TTTCTAATAGTATTTTAAATATTCTGAATTAAAGATAGTAGATATCAGTCTTTAATTATAGTCTTGTTTAATTATTTATAATCGATATATATTTATTACTATTTTATAAGATCTTTATATTTCTTTATAATAAATAAGATAGGATATCTTACTAGTAACTTAGATAGTTATATATATCTTTTTTCAAGTTTTTGTCGATATATTCTTTTAAAAAATATTTATTATTCTTATTAAGTTAATAGATTAGTATAAATTTAGATTTTATCCCTAGTTTAAACTTAATCTTGTAGTTATATAGACTATATTCTAATAATATACTAATTAATAGTAATATAAATATATCTTCGAATTTCTTATATTATTTAGGTATTTATATCTTTTCTTTTATCTTATAAAAGACTTTTATATCTTTAGTATAGTTAATTATTATATAATTATTAATTTTGTTATCTAATATTATAACTTTTTTTATAATATAGATATTTATTTTTATAATAGTATATAAAGTCTGATCTCTCGAGAACCGAAGATTATACTAGATCTTCTATCTATATATATTCTCTAGTATATTTATCTATCTAAAGTTAAGCTTCCTAAACTTAGTGGTTTTTTTAGGTTTATCTATTATCTTATTATTTATTATTTAGTATTTATATTATATAAATCTAAGTATATATATCTTTTAGTTAATCTTAGGATTATATTGTTTTAATCATAGGCTTTTTAATAATATATTATATTTTCCTAATTCCGAGATAATATTAAAATTATTTATTTTGAAATAATTTCCGAGTTATATTAATATCTATTTAATTTTATATTATATCTTTATTCTATATATATCTATCTAATCTAGTAACTAATATAGTATTAGGATTAGTATAGATTGGTATTTTATAGGCCTTAGTTTATATTTTAGATATAAAATTTTTATATACTCTAGAGTCAATAAATATTTATATTTTCTTTCTTATAAAGATTAGCTTAATCTTTAGATAAGATCTTTATTATATTCTATAAATTAACTAGTCTTAGGTTTTTTTAGATTTAGATAGTATTAATCTATATCTGATTAAATAGCTATCCTTATACTAGTATTATTATTATAGCCTTTTTTTGTTTATATATATTGTTTCTAATAAGATTTAATCTTGTCTTTCTTTTTCGAGTATTATAGATAATATTATATTTTATAGTATTATATAAAGGATATTATATTATAATTAGGATATCTAGTATATATATAATATAAGTAATCTATTTTATTATATAAATATCTTATACTATAAGATAGCTTATATTCTTACTAAAATATATATTATTATAGATTATATTCGATCTAGACCTATATCCTTTCTTTCTTAATAGTATTCCTATTTATAAGTTTATATAACTTGTTTAATTTTATAATTATTATCTCTAATATAAGATTCTTTTTTAACAATCTAATTAAATAATCTAATAGCCTATCCTAGGTCCTTATATTATAGTTTAGGATATAAAGATTCGAGCTTAAGATCTTAAAAACCCTCTATTTCTTAAACAAGATTTTATATCTCTTAAAATTATTCTCTTTATTTCTAAGACTTAGATTTATCCTAGATCTAACTTCTATTATCTTATTTAATCTCTAAAAACTTATATTACTAATTTTCTTTTAATAATTCTGAGATATTACTTTGCTTATATATCTATACTTCTTTATTATTAATATTTTTTGTAATTCTGTCTACTAGTTTATCTTTTATAATTTTATTTTTATTAAGTTATAAAAGATCTAGTATAATAATCTATATAAGTTATAACTAATAGATTTAGATATAATAAAAAACTTACAGAAGAAAAATATTTTAATTATAATTAGGAGAAATATTTTATAAAAAAATATCCTAGACTATAAAAGCTATAATAACTATAGTAACTCTAAATAATAAATAAAAACTAAGATTGATATAATAAAATAAAACAAATCTATATTATAAAAAAGTATAAAAGAAATAGAATATTAAATTTATAATAAGATATTTAAGATCTATTTAAAATATAAATAATACTTTTTTTTAGCTATCTTATTACTAGAATCTATAAGTTCAGAATAGTTATCCTTATTCTTTCTATTATTATACTTCTTATTATTAAAGTAATTATTTATAAAATTAGTCATCAAATTTAACTAATAGTTTAATAAGTTTAATTAATTTATTAGATTAATCGATTCTTATAAGTTTATCTTTAATATCTTTTTTAAGATTGTTTTTATAAATAGTTATATAAATATTATTATCCTAGTCTAGATAAGATATAGTCTATTAAAACTCTATAATATATATATTAACTAGTCTAGTTTACTATAATTAATATAATTATTATTCTACTATTCGAATAGTATTAATATCTCTAAAAATAGCTTTTAACTTCTTTTTAAAATCAATATAAGATACAAAGATCTCTTTAGTAATATTATTTTAATCTTTAAACAATTTATTATTGAAGTCTTAGATATATAATTTAAACTAATTAAAAATTTAGTCTCTAAGATATAATATTATATATAAGATCTTATCTTCTTTTTTTTTAAAGTTAATAAGTCAAATTTATATATCTATCTATATATAAAAAATACTCTTAACTTATTATGTTCTTTCTTAAAAAAGTCCGGTTTTAGAGATTTAACTTATAAAAATCGTTATTATTCAAGTTTTATAATTTATTCCTATAATTAGCTAAATATCCCCTCTAGTTATATATTATTAGATAATATAGTTATATATTAGATATTACTATCTTATATCAATATATTAACATTTTAAGATCAGGATATTAATTATTGTTCAATACTATATTTTGTTTAAAAAAGACAATTAATATATTATATACTACCTAGCAAATCTCGATAAGTAGATCCTTAAAGATTATACTTCTCTTAATCACTCTATATACTAAAGATATCTTGTCACTCTATTATAATATCTACCAATCATATACAATAATAGACCTTAGATACTCAAATCCTTAGAGATCTTATTTAGTAAACATAAAACTATTAAGGGCACTAACAAGATCAGATTCTTATAGATCTCCCCTACATTATTAAGATTTATCTCGAATAAGTAAACAATAAACTATATTATATTCCAATCTAAAGTTCTTAAATAACAGCTTATAAAACAAGAAGGATTAATCACGAAAAACTAAATATATAATACTAAATAAATATCCTTATATATCCAGTCCTTCTTATCGCTGATATGTCCGGGATATATCGCTAATACGTTCCACACATCGCTAATATACAACGCTCATCGCCGATGAGCCGCTGCTGTCTTGCTGCCTTAGCAGCTGCCTCTAGCTTCCACTAACCGCTATATTAAGTAGTATGGTATTCTTTGTGCCGGTTGGTTAGCTGTCGTGTCCGGCCCCCTTGTCATATGTATATCAACCTCGACAGGTTGGTTAGCTGTAGTTAACTTATCTCCCTTAACTAAAGTGGGTCTGTAATATATATATTATTTCTATTTAAATATAAACTTTATTTTGATAAAAATATATATATTAAGAATAAAATAATCTTGAATAATAATATCTAGAGAATAATAATACTTAAATATATACTAAAAAGAATTAAAGTAAGATAGATTATCTATAAATTTAACTAATTAAAATGTATACTAAAATATAATAAATTATTTATTTACAAATTATTATAATAAATATTCATTCTATAATATAATTAAAGATAACTAGTCTAATCTTATTTCTTTTACTAGAATAACTTAATTCTTTTAGTTTTTTAATATATTATTTTTAAAACTGAAGACTAACTAGAATAGCTATTAGAGATAATAATTTATTCAGATGAATAAGCGATTTTAACGCAATTTACTACCGAGTGGCTACCCCACCTAAATATAATCAATTAGAATACATTTATCTCAACCACAGCGCTATTAATTAAATTCAATAAGCTAAATTTGAGTTCTATTAGGGCACGTAGTCAATTTATGCCCTTTAACTCCATATATACTACACGTCGGCGGCGCTCTTGTATGTAGCTGAGAAGGTTCTGGATCTAGCCCCGTTTTAGATAGTGTTGGAGCTAAATAGATCTAGTTTCAGTTCCGTGAGGAGGGGTTGATGAAAATGATTTCCTGTCGTTTTGAAAACGTCATTCCAAAGCTACCGACAGTAACACACGATCGAGAAGCATCTTTACAGTCATATCGATATTCATCGCTGCCGTATTTGCCTTACGTGCTCACAGGCCCCATATTGGCGTTTGGCTTCATAAGATGAGGGTCATTCATGAGATGCGGAGCGCTTTACCAGTGTTCCTGCCTTACCCACACTCAGTTTTACCCAGTCCAATGTAAGTTTATATTTTTCTTGGCCGCAAAAATGCCCATGCAGCAAGGTGAGAGTAGAGTCGACAGTGGACCAGGCTTGATTGCCGGCTGAACTGTTGGTGGGTCAGGCAACATATCCAGACGATGTCCAAACTAGGCAAAGCAGGATTCTGGAGCGGGTTAAAGAGGGTGGGATCTGGCCAACTTACTCCACTAATCTTGGACGTCGGGGTACCAGGCAATAGCCAGAAGCTTGCTTAATATCTGAGCCGAGAGCAGTATTTAGTTCAACATGTAGAGAAGGTACCCACTGTCGCCTACCCTGCTGCGGAACATGTTTCCTCTCAATCGTCTTTGTCATTTGTCATGACACCGATTTTCGTCATACCAATCCTGACTAGTTTCAATTTCCACGTCTACTCTTGAATGCTGCAACTTCTTACGCAATGCCCTCCTTACCTCCCCCTCACCGTCTTATAAATTCGTTCTTGAAGTCTTGCAGAAAGCAACACATCCTCTTGAAAGAGACCAGACAGAATCGGGCTTCCTACTACAGCTATGTTTAGGCGCCCGAGACAGACCGAGCCTGACAGGGTCTCTATGAGACTTATCAACATACTTCAACCTCTATCTGTGATTCCTTGGGGACCGCTCGCCATGTGGTATCTGGGGGTCCCTATTGCTGTTGATGTAAATTCTACCTTGAGTAGTAAATCTGAACCGTCCTTTTTCCTGCTAACGATGTACCCATCACTATAGGCCCCCATGGTTGTGGTGCGAGACGACGACTACGTAGACGCTATTGAAAGGCTTGAGAGCGCAGGATTCGGCCGAAGCGTTCCGAATCGCGACCCTCCTCCCGAAATTATGGAAGACCTTCCAAACCCACAGCAGGTTTTGGAAGAAATATATGCTGGCTACAAACGCTTGGACCGGTCTTGTGCAGTATTTGATTACCCACATGGTGATCCAGCAGAAGAAGACATGCAGGTGTTCGTGGTTCCCGACTCCTTTGCGCATGTTTTCCAAGAAGATATACCCCGCTCTTCGATCAGAATAGGAGATACAGCGCCAACAACGCGCTTTCAAAATTACGGCAGTCTGTACTATCCACTAGAACAGGCACTAGTGGAAAGCTTTGTTAAGGCTGCAATCGACGAAGAAACTGCAATCGACGAAGAAACAGCAATCGACGAAGAAACAGACGTTGGTTTTTCTGCGTGGGGCGAATCACTAAAGTCTTGGGTATCTCTGATGACAGGGTACCTAGAAGTTGACAACGATGCCCTCGATCTGTGTCCTGATAAACAAGCAGTGGACTGGTACAGTCGCAACTTTGGTCGAATTCATGAGGTTAATTTCGGTCCTATCGACCGACGCATTTCAAAACGTCTAGGCTCAGGAAAAGAGATGCCAATAGATGCGAGGGGCAATCCTCTTTGATAATGGCCCACATTCAGCTAGAACTAGCGATGCCGTGATCATCCACATGGGGGGGCGGGGGCCATTTGAATGCTCCACACCCTGCTGAAAACTTTTACGATTTACAGATATGAATCAACGATAACTCGGTCAATTTTGAAGCTATTTAAACCTGGAAAACGCTAAATAAACCGTCGGAATCTAAATTAATGGGTGTAGGGGTCCCTGGGTTCCCGAATCCTGTGTGGTGGGGCCGGTTTCTGCGATTTTTTTTTGGTCTCGACTCTCTTGTTGCCTTCCTTTCTGTTACCTGTTTCTCTTTTTCCTCCTGTTCCATAATTGAATGTGTTGTATCGAATCGAGATAAACTAGCTGATTTAGATGATATCTTTCGTCGACTTTCCCGAATAGATAAATTCCCCTTCCTGTGTTGCTTTAAAATCGATTGTAAACTCTCTTTTATAGCTGCTTTATTAACGTAAATAATAATGACCGAATTTTGCTGAAATCTAGATTATAACAAAATTTAGCTTTAATCTTATTTAATTTATAAAGAATTTAGTAAGATTTAATTAAAGTTGGATAATTTAGATAGAAGTTCTGTTTAAATAGGAGAGGAAATCGGAGTAGACTCTTATTATAACAATAAAGATGATAGAGTTACCCCTAGGTCGTAGATAGTTATAAAGGTATATAGTCGGTGGCCTCAAGCTACCTTTTGCCAAGGTCTTAAATCTTTAGGGCCGAGCAAAAGATCCTTTTGTCACGGGCCAGGGCCCGGTCTTGATCACGTAGGACACGTGACCTTGGCGTACTAGTAGCGGAGGACCGGCGCATTGAACTTCTCCTCTCTAAGTTTATCGAACACAGTTCGTGGTCTAGTATAGATTGAATCAAGTCCTGCTTTAGCCCTTCACATCTTTTTCTTTTATAGTCTTCTATCTCATTATTTTGTCATCCTAACGGCATGTAATGGGCTAGATTCATTTGTAACCGGATACATACTATACTCGGTTAAATATGACATCTTGCCCCTTACTTTTAGACCTTCCATCGCAGATACTTTTGGTCTTAATAACTGTACATCTGCCTTTGATCTTGCCAGCACCCTTTTTTATCTCTACACCCTTTACTGGACCGCTCACTGTGCAATTATTCATTCAAAGTTTTGACTAGTAGTAGTAATAGGTGCGGGGCAGTGACGAATATTTTTGCTCCCTTGGTCATCTTTCGGTACTATCAACGGAACGCCGAGGAGATAGAAATTCATCGAAGGCGACCAAGTAGGCGTTGCTTGAGCGGATCAGTTAACTGCAATCTTCAGGAATTTGATAGTATGCTTATTTAAGACCACTATCTCTAGACTTGCTTTCATCACGTCCTTTTCTGTTAGTGGTTAGCGCCTTTCTACTTGGGCTGCTTTTGTGCTCATCCTTTCTCCCTTCAGCTTACACTGATATGATCGAACCGACTAAGACTCTCCTGCATTCGTCACAATGAACTACTGTAGGACCTGTTACGTTCTTTCTTTTTGCTGCTTGGGGAAGGTTCTACGCACGTACCTCGTTCATTCGTCATAGACTTCTCGAAGATAAGATACTTTTGTGGGCCTCCTTCTGGCTATAGTATATTTTGTAGCTCCTATTGTTGGGACTACCTCCTTTTCAACTTCTGCGTAATTTTCTGGAGGCTAGCAGTTGGGATGGTGGGACTTGTCTGATGATATATATATTCCCGTGGCGGCTAGGGTGTCATAACGCCGGGTCCCTTGCCATACGGAAGATAGTTATTCAATTCGCGGAGGGTGGGATGGTCCTTGTGATCGGTGAGGACCTTGCTGTAATGGCATCTCCATGCCGAGAGGGTATGCCTATGGCGCTTTTAAACGAGGGGAAAAGAAAGGAAGAATCCCTTGTAATGATAACGCTAGCCGTGCCATTTATGCAGTCTGAACCCGTGAATATATATAGCTAGATAAATGTTATAAAATGTCATATTGCCCAGCTCCCTTTCCGCTCAGGCATCCCCCAAGCTGATTCGTCATCTTCCCCCATATGAGGTTGGTGGAGGGCCCAGTCTTGGATATAAAGACGAAGTGCCTTCCATCTGCTGCATGCAACAGGAGAGTTGCCATCGGGTGCGACCACGTAGCCTCTTGCATCCGTCCTTAGATCATCACACCGCAATTCCTGAACGGTGATACCCGAGATACGGCTTAGTTCATCATCATAAGAGCGCGCCACGCAAGGATAGCCAAGCGAGATATAATTGTATATCTGTGTGACAAATGAATCATCAAACTCATCAAGCACGTTTGGCGAGAGGGACGTGGCAGTTTGACGTGGTCTGCATGTGTTTACCCGGCGTTTTTGAACATTGGGGAGATCCAAAGAGCGTGCTTTGGTCACACTAACTCCATTACTCGAAACCCTCGAATTAGCCGTGCCCATCGAAGTACCGGATCCCACTCCACCGGGCTCATTCCTTTGACAAGTTCCTTTCCACAAACCCGAACCTCGCCCTCGATCAGTATGCTTTGAAGCACACCAGAGACCACCGCAGCCGGTACATTGATCATCGGCGGTCGGGGAATCGCCCCCAGCGTGGGGTTTTTCGCACATAGTCCCCTCAGGAGATTGGCTCCGAGGAATGACAATATCACTTCCAAGCATAGGCGGACTGCGATCATTCTTCAAGGGTGCTGGGTTAGATTGCATAGATTCAAACAAGGGCTTGCCCGTTGCAATCATTATTCTAAGTCTCTGCTCAGCTTCCTCTTTGTGCTGACGCATATACTCCAACTCCCACGAGAGGTCCGCAGAGGATTGCCGTCGAGATTTGATGTGATATGCCTGGGGATAGCTCCAAGGCTCGCCCTCGGAACCATTGTCTTCGTCGTCCACAGCGAAGTGATCAACCGGCTCATAGGCTTGCTCGTTTGGGAACGCGGCTAACGCCTGTTCCTTCAACTGCCTGTGTGCTGACCGAGCCGCGAGGGCTAGAAAATACTCCGAAAGTGTTTCGTCGGAGTCACCTTTGAGGGAGTGCGCATGTACCGGGGAGATGGATTGAAACGAAGTCTTAGCCGGGCGAGGAGATGATGACGAAGAATCTGAAGATGACTCGCTACTGTTCGATGGGATTGGAGGTAGTTCTGGAACACGAAACGAATGTCTCCGTCCCTCTTGTCGTCGGAGTAAACTCGCATATGAGAATTTTGACTCCGAAGGGCGCGGATACGTTTCTTGGCGAGGCACCAACCTTGGGTCATGGACGGAGGCCTGTAGGTATCCATTGTCATTCTCAAAGCGGTTAACAGGCGCTTCCACCCTTCCTCCAATAGACTGACGAACTGTCTCAATCAATTCCGGTTTGAATCGCCTCGGGCCAGCCGAGGCATCATGTGCTCGAGGCTGTGCTGGGGTTTGCAACGACGGGGCATGGTTACTAGATTTTGTTGTCTCTATTGGCTCCGGCAAAAACTTCCGTCGTGCACTCCTTTTATCTTGTTGTAACTCAATATTCGGGCCGTTGGAGGGACCCACAGCGTGTACCACGCCAGTAGAACCTGACCGATCGGGTGCTGAAGTCCGCGAGGTGGTTTCAATTGGCTGGGGCAAGAACTTTCGTGGTCGGGAGGCTGACTTCGGTTTGTCTTTCGAGCCTTGAGATGAGGAGACCGGGGATGAGATGACAAGTGGTGGCGTTTGTGGTTCTTGCTGTGGGTGCGAATGCTCAGGCGTAGACTGATGACCCATACTTCAGGGGATCAAATATATACAATACCCTAGATTGATGTCATGCTATAGCACGTATAGTATGATCAATGTGAGGTATTCACTCGGTGGATAGCGACATCATTTCAAGGCGCTCCAACCAATATGTCCAGCCCTAAAGACCGCACAGGCTCTATTTATATGATGCACATAAGACTCGAGAGGGTGGCTTGGGGACAGTAGACGAACCGCTGGCCGGGAAGGTGTTTCTTGCACGGTGTTTTTTTTGGTGGAAAGACGCAAAAGGCGGGGTTGATCTGGACGCGGCCGAAGTTTTTATCCGTCACTGCTTCGACAGGCGGTGATGCATATGACATCAGCGCGATAAGACAAGCCCTGACGATACTGCGGAAACCGTTGTTTTTGCTAAACCCATCACTATGGACTCCGAAAAGAGGAAGTATGACCATCTTGCTGACGGCGATCAAGATTCATCTCCGAGGAAGCGACTGATTGGCCCCTCAATGCCTCCTTCAATGCCACCCCCGACGGAAGCGGAGACTCAAGCATCCGAGGATGGCGAAACCGATGATAGCGACGACGATTTTGGCCCCGGCCTACCTCCTTCGCATGGTGGACCAGCAGCATCTGTCCAGACATCTGATCCACACGAACCTGATTATCAAACAAACCTGACCACGCCGCTCGCCAAGAAAGAAAGCGCTCGAGATGAGTGGATGTTGAAACCCCCCGAGCAAAGTGACTGGGCCTCCAAAATCGACCCGACACAGCTGCGGAACCGAAAGTTCCAGACTGGCAAGTCTGCTCGCTCCGGAGCTGGGCCAAAACAAGTAGACGCTGCGTGGACGGAGACCCCTGAAGAGCGGATGCGTCGATTGGGCGACGAAGTCATGGGCGTGGGTAAGCAATCAACCACATCTGGAAGGCTTCCCAAACCCGACCCCAGCCAGAATCGATCCATGGAGGAAAAGGTTAAGAAGTATAATGTAAGCACATCCTGATTCAATGACAATCGGCTGCCGGCGTGCCTGCTAATCTACCACTAGGATCGTATGGGGAAGAATACCCGCCTGGAAGAACAGAAAGCACGGAAAGACGAGGATGATGACCCAAGTGCACGTGGATTTGATCGGGAAAAGGATATGGCCATCTCATCGAAGATAACTGGCGCACAGCGTCGCGATATGGTGAACCGTGCCAGTGACTATGGCTCGCGGTTCAGCAAAGGGAACTTCCTTTGACCTTCCAGGTATTGACAGCTATCTCTGTATTGCTTGCGATGAAAGGGGGAGGCTATTGCAACTTCAATCTTGAACCTGACCGAAAGACTACATATTACCCTTCCTAGTGGCCTTATGCCCCCAGCAGGACAGCCGCATCCCACTAGCGCCGCCCTGCCAGATTTCTAGAAATAAGCCAGAAGCTGCCACTGACCGATAAGCCTTGGCCTCCAGATGCCGCTGCGGTCTTCCTACTCTGACAGCTACAAGTGCTTGGCCCGTGTGCCACAAGATTGTCGAGCTATCTTTTGAGTATAAGTGTACAGGTGTGATATCCATCAAATAGAGGTCAGGTGATAATGGCAGGAGGATAAAGGAATAACCTACACATAAGCACAGTCGAACACCTACAGGTGCTAAACTCTTATCTTTAACAGCGATAAGTGGGTTCACAATGAAGTACTGCGTACTCCGTACACAGTAAATTATTGTCCAAAGCGGGCCAATCACTGACTCCTTTTTTCCACCCCACCTCCGGCTGACAGATCACCCTTTCGTCCTCTATCCAATCGCCACCCTGCGCAGGGGGGGAAAATACTCTCCGACGTTTTGCTTCAAGCTCGCACCCCAAAAGGTTGGAATTGGCAGGTGGATTCTGTTTCAATCATGTCCTTCTCCAATCTGGTTTCTGATCTCGCCTTCCGGGACTCGAATCCCGACGAACGCGGTTCACAGATATCCCATGCTCCATCTCGCACGGCTCGATCATACGCAAGCACGAATGCAACCAGTGTTAGCATCTCTGGCGATATCTCCAGTCAACTCCATGCTGGATATAGTCACCCGTTGAGCCGGTCATGGCAGGCAGAGAGACAATTGACCAAGGTTGGTGGGAAATCGCTCACTTGATACCTGCTGTTCATTAGACTCACTCTGTATTCGCAGGATATGCTAATCTACCCCCTCTTCATTACCGATAACCCAGACGAGGAGACACCCATCCCCGCTCTGCCGAATCAACACCGCCGAGGTGTGAACCGACTGGTCCCCTTCCTCGCTCCCCTTGTGCGCAAGGGACTTAGGTCAGTTATGCTTTTTGGTGTTCCGTTACACCCGTCAGCAAAGGATGCGCTTGGTACAGCCGCGGATGATCCAGCTGGTCCCGTCATCCAGGCAATTCGGCTTCTACGATCCCGACTCCCCCAGCTCTACATTACGACAGATGTTTGTCTTTGCGAGTACACTTCCCACGGGCACTGTGGTATACTGAGAGAAGACGGCACATTAGATAATGCCCAGTCTGTTGACCGGATCTCCGACGTCGCCCTCGCCTACGCCGTCGCAGGTGCTCATTGTGTCGCCCCATCAGACATGAACGATGGTAGAGTTCGAGGAATCAAATTGAAGCTGATCGAGGCTGGTCTAGCTCACCGGGTGCTTCTAATGTCCTACAGTGCCAAGTTTAGTGGTTGTCTCTACGGGCCGTTCCGTGACGCTGCTGGTTCAGTCCCTTCATTCGGAGACCGTCAATGCTACCAGCTGCCCCCCGGTGGTCGAGGCCTGGCTCGTCGAGCTATTCAGCGAGACATGGCCGAGGGTGCTGATATTATCATGGTCAAGCCTGCCAGCAGCTACCTGGATATTATTCGGGATGCTAAAGAGCTTGCTGAGGACCTTCCTGTGGCAGCATATCAAGTCAGCGGCGAATATGCCATGATTCATGCAGGAGCTAAAGCGGGCGTTTTTGACCTGAAGGCCATGGTTCTCGAAAGCACGCAAGGGATCTTGAGAGCGGGCGCTGGGATTTTATTGACATATTTCGTGCCGGAGCTTTTAGACTGGCTCTGAGTTACTTCGTCACAAGTTTCGTATGTGATGCTTGCCTTCTATCTATTGTGATTTCTTACGGGTCTAGCACTGATCAGCTGAGTGGTGAGCCATATTTCAAGCAATTGCCCCTGCCTGATAGGAAAATCATTTTGCCTTTCAAGGCGCGCAGGAACTCCCCATAGTAGATACCTATCATATGAACTTGAAAATTAGCAATCATACAAACAGTCAGAAGAAATACTTCCAAGCAATACCTAATTTACTCATCTTATGTGGAACCAGCACTACTATATATGTATATATATATAGATTCACTTTCGATCACATTTCACGATTTATTATGTACAAGATTGTCCTAGAGTCATCCTTCACGCCATGAGCCCAAAATAAACTCCTATCCCCTTCCTCCTTCCATAGCGCCCCAGAGGGAAATTACCAATAATAAAATGACAAATAGGAGAAAAAAGCACCTTCGAACCTCGGCCTAGATGGCGCATAGCCCCTTGGACCGGGTAGGAGGGTAGAGGCGAAAGAAAAAGTAAAGCATAAAACAAAGAAACATGACTCTTCCGTAGGTGAAGATAAAGTAATCAATGCTATCAAGCGAGTGATCGTCACCGCCTACATGTAGTTGGGCTTGAATCCCTGAAAGCCGTAGGCCACAATGTCGCTCTTGACGACCTCTCCAGGTGCGACATACGCACCCCTATACAAAGTGATGCCGGGGAAGATCGTACATCCCGCACCAAGGTAGCAGTCCTCGGCAATGTGGACCCGGCGGCCTTGGTACCGGCTTTGAGTGCCTTTGCGCTCCTGCATACTGGAATGAGCCATAGAGCTTAGGATAGAGACATTAGGCCCAATCCATGTATGGGCTCCGATGCTGATGCCACAGTCGTCAACAAACAGGCAATTGTGAGAGATCATTACATCCTCTCCAATTGTGATGTTGTATCCATAGTGGCAATTGAATGGTGCCTCGACAATGGCGCCAGTCCCGATAGCAGGCCCGTGGCGAGTTCCTGGTGAACTGGTACCCGGCGAACTCGCTGCAGAATTGGACGGCGGGACCAACACTTCCTTCAATAAGCGGTTCTGTTCTTTGGAGCTGACCCCAGAGAACGGACTGCACGCGTTGTTGAATCTCCACAGCGCTCGTTTACAGCGATCTCTGTCTTCCATTAATTGCATTTCAAATGGCCGATAGTAGTCCCCACGGACCATCCTATCTCTCTCTGTATCCTCCGCGGGAACCGGGTGGGTAGAAAGCTGATTTTCGATGCTCAGGGCCATTCTCGCTTGTGTCTGCGGGCTGCTTGCATCCATGGTCGTGGGAGGAAGAGGTCTTTGCTCAGGAGGTCCCTGGAACAAGGGTATATTCGACTTCGGGGGCGGCCCGTGAGAGATTTCTCGAATCGGCGGCACGACCGGATACTCGGGCTTTGATGGACCTTCCCGGGGAAGCTCATGCAGGGACGGGATTTCGCGGAAATCGGGTTTCGCTAGATGCTCTGATACATATGGCGAGTGACTGGTCGTGCCGGGCCATCCTCGTTTTGACCAGGAAGGGTGCTGATTCGAGCCCCCTTCCGTGGGGCTGGTATTGTATTGTGAAGCCGGTCGTTCATTTTCATCAACGATGGGTCGCATTTTTCGTGAATCCATGTGTTCGGTTAAGGGACGTTCATGATGTGATGCAGCCTCAGGTACATATTGAGCGGTCATCTCGGGATAACCTTCTTTAGATTGTAATGGTACTGGCGCTTTGGATCCTGAGGGCTTTTGCCATGTACTTCGCGAAGTGTAGCCTTCGCATAAAAAGCCCCCGCGAAGACAGTTGTTGCCTAGTGCCTAGTTAGATTCGAGTTCCCTGGGTATGCACATGGAATTCGCGGGCCTCCTAAAAGAAAAGCATTGCCAAACTTACAGGCAGGGTGCTGCTCATCGCATTTCTTTTTCCTCCTTCGGCAGGTCATGCAACCCGTCTTGGTCCGATTGCTAAAGACTCTTTTCCGCTTCGGTGCCACTTGAACTGCCGTTCCAGCTCGTTCTGAAGAGTACGCCGGAGAGGAGGCGGACTGCATTGGGGGGCCAGGTGTCAGTCGGCTCGCACTGAGATTCCTCGGACTAGAATCCTGTCCATGCGCCTCTTGGAGAGCATCTGCCAGCTGCACGTCGGATGAATCCATTTGCTGAGCGCATTGCGCCTGGCTTACCAGCTGGGAATCGTATTCGGGCCAGGGGCCGTTCGAGGAACCCGGGCCTGTTTCCTGGTCTGACCGGCCCCCAGGGTGATTAGGCTCCATATCTGAGGCAGAGCCGGACCCGGCGCCATTGGAGTTCCGCAAGGCATCTGAACCTGGAGGAAAGTTCATGGGTCGGCTCGTCATATGCTCATGCTCAGATGACTGGCGGGAGTCCTGCTCTCCAGACTCGGACCTTTTCCGCTTATGCTTGTTATAGGTTGACACCTCGGGTGACGATGCAAGGGACTGCTGATCATCCGCACTCTCTACATCGCGTTTCACCGGAGGATCATGGGGTTCCAGGCTTGGCGGGGCATCTGGCGGGTGCGGTAAGGTCGAATTCACCGCTGCCGGCGCGGGGATAGTCGGTTCCTTGCCATTGACCGCCGTGAAACGCGAAGGGCTTTGCTCGGCCCCCTCAGTTCCTGAATCGTGGTTGCTCATGATGGGAGCGCTTGCGACAGCCGTCATGCTGGTCTTTGGGGAGCTTGTCGCGATATACCCCGGAGCTGAGTGTCGAGTTTAGTCAAAGCGAGACATACGCTGAGCCACGTTCTCGCAAGGCGCAATCGGAGGGCGGGGGCCAGAAACCCGAAACCCGCGGCGGATGGAGAGGAGAAAGGTAGAGGGATGGGTTATGTGTATCCTTTACCGCCTCCTGCTAGTTTTGGGGTCGGGTTGTCTACCGCAAAGAGATCGCGGTAATCTTGTCTCCGGGGGTGGGGCGTCCCCACGGTGGACACTGGCTTCAAGGTGTCAATGGAACAGATCGACCAGCTGGATCCAAAATCCAAAGAGGGACGATCACTCGAAATGAGCGGGAGAGCTTCGTGGGAGGGAGAATAGCAAATGGGAGGGGCAAGAAATGCCTTGATTACGGAGAAACGAACATAAGCGGTAGAAGGTTTTTTAAAGAGATATTAAAGGTGGAGGGGGGGAATGGGGGATGAAAGGACGGGCAAAGGGGGAGGGGGGGGAAGACTAATAATATACAGGAAAAAGAAAGGGAAGCGCGAGAAGAAATGCGAGTATAACCAACTAACAAATTCACCTCCAAGCCGCAGACCTAAAAGAGCTTCCCCCTCCTCCCGCCCCCAGCTGAGATCATCACCCCAAGACCAAACATCTGAAAATCTGCCCAGGCCTCATTCCCCTTCTCCTATATCTTTCTCTGTCCATCTCCTCTGATTCCCAACCGCATCCTGCTTCCCCTCCCTGAGGAAAATGGAAAGGGGAGGCGCGCGATCGGCACGGCGTCACACATCGCCCACCAATCGGAAGACACAGGCGCCGTGTTCAGGTGAGATGTGCGCGGGTCTGAGACACCCATCATTTCCCAGACGACCGGAGCGACTATGGCGCGCGTTCCCAGGCGCCCCGTGTCCCAGTGGGGCGCACAAAGTCAGGCAGCCTTGGGGGCGCGATGCCACATTCGCCATTGGCGCCGCGTGGGCGCATTGGGCGGTTATGCATCGCTTATCATCTGGTCACCTCCGCGCGCTGCATATTTCGCTCTCGTCACATCCCAGACGGCGCTAGCCTTGGTTTCCCCCCCTCCTGACCTTGGATGAGTACTGGACTAGTGGCTTCCCATCCCCCCGGTTTCTTTCCCTCCCAATTTTCTTTGACGTGAATCTTTCTTTATTCTTCCCTTTTTGTTCTCTTTCATAAATATTATTTGGGGGGCTACGTCTTCGCGTTGTTGTCACAGGTTCTTTTATTTTTGTATTATCTTTATATCCTAGATGAGGTGCCGACCTTCTCTCTCTCTTCCTCCCCTTCCTCTTTTTTTTTGTGGATCTATAGGTTAAGACTCTCCGGGGATAACGACCGGAGCGCAGAGAGCCCGATTAGGGGAGTAAAGCGCGTATATGACCTGGGAATAGCTCGGATTAAGTGCGGCTGACTGGGACACGGATCACCAGGCTTGCTGTTTCCCCTTTTAAGCTCTAGACCTCCTCCTCCCCACTCCTCCCGACATTGAGGAACCTTTCGGGTTTCAAAATACTATGTCGTCATATAAATGGCCTCATAGATAACGACAGAGTACCTCTTATTATATTTAGGTTTGAATATAATCCATACTGTGGCTCTTGGCCTTAGCTTCCCGATCCATGGGACAGGCGCCCCCCCCAGGATTTTGTCTATAGGCTTTTAGACTGCCCGGATCTTTGACTAGCCTGTATTTATGTACAATCAACAAGTAACGGTCCAAGGCAGAACGGAGAAAGCAAGAGCAGAGAGAAGAGAGAACATGAGAAAAGGAAGCTTGAAGGCCAGGATACGGTTCCGGTGATGCATCCATACACCCTGTAATTGGCAATCGCAGCGTTTGGTGAATGCTGACTAAGATCTCGAGTTCTCCCTTTGGGAAACACGCGCCCTCACCGCCAGTGTTGACGATTCGCTCAAGTAACTTTTGCACTGTTTCGATTCCCGCCCCAAACCTTCCCTCACCTAGTTCCTGGAGGTTCCTGCCCACCAATCACCTCTCCTCCAGCTTCTCCTAGAGTGCTCAAACAGACCGTGCACCCGCGCGCAAACCGGTGCTGACTCTAAACCCCTCCAACCCCACCACTCCTCTCATCAACTCTGAGAAGACCCCTCCCCCTCTCCAATCCCAGTGACGTTGGTCCATCGGCGTCTGCCAATCACAGTTTCATTCGACCCCTTGTCGATCCTCACTTTTCCCATCTCCCTTTCCCCAACCATCTCGTTGCTGGGGGATTGTTGTGGACAGCTACCGTGCACTCGGCGACTTCGCCAAACTCTGCGCCGGCATGTCTGTTTCTGTACAAGAGCTGGACAACACGGTCCGAGCCTTCTTTGAAGGCAAGGGCGATGTGGTAAGTTTTCTCATCACCCTCTCCTCATCCTCTTCGCGTCGCGTCGAGCGCGAAGAACACTGTAATTAACTATACCGTGCAGCAAAAGCAAGCTCAGCAAACTCTCACCGAGGTAAGCCTCAAACCCCCCCGGCGGAAAGCTCACCGGATTGGTAAGGTTGAGCTTTCTCAACTAACTCAACCTCTTTTTCCTTCTAGTTCAAACAAAACCCCGATGCTTGGGTGACTGTTGGGAACATCCTGCAGGAGGCTTCGTACCCTCAAACCAAATGTATGTCCTCGTCGATTCGCCAAACCGATATTCTCCACTTTGTCCTAACAACTCTTCAGACATCGCTCTACAGGTCCTTGATGATGTGATAATGACAAGATGGAAAGTCCTGCCGAAGGAGCAGTGTCTAGGTACGTTAAAAGACAGCATTCTCTCTCTTACCCATATCAACGTTGGAGTTTCTCGAACTAGGGATCCGCAACTTCATTGTCAACTTCATCATCGAAAATTCCAACTCGGAGGAGAAACTCCGAACCGAACGCGCCTTCTTGAACAAATTGAACCTCGTCCTGGTCTCGATCTTGAAGCAAGAATGGCCTCACAACTGGCCAACCTTTATCAATGAGATCATTTCATCCTGCCATGTCAGTCTTTCAATTTGCGAAAACAACATGGCCATTCTACGTCTCTTATCGGAGGAAGTCTTCGACTTCTCGCAAGATCAAATGACCTCGGCCAAGGCTCGCAACCTGAAGACTTCAATGACCCAGGAGTTCTCTTCGATCTTCCAACTGTGCTCCGATGTGTTGACCACCGCGGACCAGCCGGCTCTTGTGAAGGCTACCTTGGAAACTCTTCTGCGTTTCCTAAATTGGATCCCCCTCGGTTACATCTTCGAAACTCCTATCATTAATACCCTTCTCACCCGGTTCTTGGGCACCCCCGGAGTTTCGCAACGTCACCTTGAAGTGTCTCACCGAGATTGGTGGCTTGCAAATCGGCGCTCCTTACAACTACGATGAGAGACTGGTTCATATGTTTACGGAGACTCTGACCACCGTTTCAGCTGTTATCCCTCTGTCCATGGACTTGAAGGAGACTTATGCTCAAAGTAACGGGAGAGACCAAGAATTTGTCTCCAACTTGGCCCTTTTCTTGTCGAGCTTTTTCAGTGCTCACTTGCTTGTACGTCAACCCAGACCCCTGCCACTTGTATTGTCAAGTGCTAACATTGCTTGTTTAACCAGTTGGTCGAGAAAATTCCGAACCAAGACTACCTCACCCACGCCCATTTTTACCTCATCCGTATCAGTCAGATCGACGACCGCGAAGTCTTCAAGATTTGCTTGGACTACTGGACCCGTTTGGTACAAGAACTTTACGAGGAGATGCAGCAGCTCCCTATCACTGATATCAACCCTCTCGTTACCATGGGAGTGAGCGGCCTTGCTAACGGCGGCGCGCCTCACCCGAGCACGTTGGCCAATTACCCTCTGCGGAAGCACAAGTACGAAAGCGTGCTGACGAGTCTTCGTACCGTTATGATTGAAAAGATGGTTCGTCCAGAGGAGGTCTTGATTGTGGAGAATGACGAGGGCGAAATCGTGCGAGAATTTGTCAAAGAGAGTGACACCATTCAGCTCTACAAGACTATTCGCGAGTGCTTGGTCTACCTCACCCATCTGGATGTCGTGGACACGGAGACCATCATGATCGACAAGTTAGCGAAACAGGTGGATGGGTCTGAATGGTCCTGGGCTAACTGCAATACGCTTTGCTGGGCGATCGGTTCCATTTCAGGAGCAATGAATGAAGAGACTGAGAAGCGCTTTTTGGTGACTGTTATCAAGGACCTTCTCGGGTTGACTGAGCAAAAGCGCGGCAAAGATAACAAAGCCGTTGTGGCCAGTAACATCATGTACATTGTGGGACAATACCCTCGGTTCTTGAAGGCTCACTGGAAATTCTTGAAGACTGTGGTGAACAAGCTCTTCGAGTTTATGCATGAAACTCATGAAGGTATGCTGCACCCATTCCTGGGAGATTTTCGCGTCTCCACAATTTTCGCATATAGAGTTGGCTAATCCTTCCTTTAGGTGTCCAGGACATGGCCTGCGATACATTCATCAAGATCGCCAATAAATGCCGACGCCATTTTGTTGCACTCCAGCCTGGAGAAAATGAGCCGTTCATTGAAGAAATCGTTCGCAACATGAGAAAGATTACCATCGATCTTTCTCCCCAGCAAATTCATACCTTCTACGAAGCATGCGGCTACATGATATCTGCACAGGGTCAAAAGGGGCTCCAGGATCGCTTGATCGAGAATCTGATGGCTTTGCCCAACCAAGCATGGGATTCGATTATTGCCAGGGCCAACCTAGATGCGTCTATTCTCCAGGATGGGGAAACAATCAAGGTCATTGGCAACATAATGAAGACCAATGTCTCTGCCTGTTCATCCATCGGAACCTACTTCTACTCACAGATCGGACGCATTTATCATGACATGCTAAACATGTATCGCGCCACAAGTCAGTTGATTAACGATGCAGTCGCCAACGATGGTGCGTATTTCCCCCTCCAAGCTCTTCAAACTCTAGTTCATACGCTGACCATTAACCAGGTCATATTGCCCCTAAGACCCCGAAAGTTCGCGGGCTGCGCACCATCAAGAAGGAGATTTTGAAGCTTATCGACACGTATGTGGAGAAGTCGGATGATCTCGAAATGGTCAACGCCAACATGGTGCCTCCACTCCTTGAGGCTGTCCTTATCGACTACCATCGAAATGTCCCTGATGCGCGGGAGGCGGAAGTCTTGAACGTCATGACAACCATTATCCACAAACTTCACGTAGGTTTTTTCCATCGATTGCCGCAAAACCCCCTCCTATAATGGCGTTTGTATACTAACTTCTTTGTCTCCTTTCAGAACCTGATGGAAGACAAGATCCCGGCTATCATGGATAGTGTTTTCACTTGCACGTTGGAGATGATTAACAAGGATTTCCACGAATATCCTGAGCACCGTGTGCAGTTCTTCAAACTGCTTCAAGCCATTAACCTGTACTGTTTCCAGGCCCTCTTGAAACTGGATGCTACCCAGTTCAAGTTTGTCATTGACTCCTGCATGTGGGCTTCGAAGCATGATAACCGTGAGGTCGAGAACACTGGTCTCACTATGTGCCTGGAATTGATGAACAACATGGCTGAAACCGACGTACAAACTGCAAGCATCTTCTTCCGCCAATTCTACATCCCTATCCTACAGGACGTTTTCTTTGTTCTCACAGATAGTGATCACAAGGCCGGTACGTCCACTACCGACTTGATCTCATCTCCTGGGCTGGTCGTTTTCTGACGGATATTTTGGCTCTAGGTTTCAAATCCCAGGCTATGTTGCTATCTCGTATGTTCTACTTTGTTGAGGCGGGGAAGATCCAGGAGCCTATCTATACCCCCGACCAAGCTCCCGTCGGTACCTCAAACAAGGACTTCTTGCAGGAATACGTCGCGAATCTCCTCCAGAACGCCTTCAAGAATCTTCAGGAGTATGCCACCCACCCTAGCCCCCTCTTCTTCAATGTCTTTATGTTTGTTTTCTAACAGCTTTGATAGTGTGCAAATCAAGCAATTTGTTCTCGGCTTATTCGCGTACACTGACGACCTGAACAAGTTCAAGACTCACCTCCGCGATTTCCTGATCTCTCTCAAGGAGTTCTCTGATGACAACGCAGACCTGTACGCCGAAGAAAGAGAACAGGCCGTGCGTGACGCTCAAGCCGCTGAGCGGGATCGCGCGATGAAGGTGGGAGGCTTGTTGAAGCCATCTGAGATGGATCAAGAAGATGAGCTGTGACTCGACCAAGAGCTGCGTACCGAATTTCCCAGGTCTTCGCCATCTGGGTCTCTTGGGCGAGAAAGCAGGAAGTTTCCAGAAACCAGGAATAATGACCTTGATGGCTGGTCTCTCTATGGACTCTAAGCAATGGATAAAAGGGGGGAGTTACTAGTTGGTCTGTCTTTTTCTCTTCCTTGCCCTTCCCCCTCCAGGCTCGAGCACCCTACCAAAACGACATGCAATACTCCTTTTTTACCTGTTCACCGGCGTGCTAGATCAAGCCATATGACGCATTTGTTTGCGCCTCTTGAATGTACTTTGCGTCTTGGCCTGCTGTGCCTGGTGATCTTGTTTGATATCACTTAAAATAGCTCTTCCCCCCCTATGTTCCCCTGATTTGCCCTTGTCCGTTAGTCTTTGATCAAAAGAGAGGAGTGTCTAAGAGCAGACCGAACCAGCGGAAGAAATAATCAAAAATCATTGAAGATATTCATCTCCGAAGGTCATGTAGACATATGGCTTAAGTATCCACCCAGCTCCGAAGGCGTCATCGGGCTTAGGTAAATCTTCAAAACTCATTTAATAGCTCAATCTGTTCAGCCTTTACAGTCGGTATCTATAAAAGTTGCCAGTAGGTCTCAGAACTTCCAAAAGACCTCCGGGTCATTTAAGAACCCGATGACTAATGGATGGCAGATGAACCTTGGAACCTTGGAAGCAACTTTGGAAGTGTGAAGGGCGGTGAATCCTTTATCGATCAACCTTATCTTTTTCGGAACTTCGCATTCTAGACTTACAAGACCCGCATAGACAGTGAACTTCCCCAGAGTCATCTTTCGAGCCTTTAATACATCATGTCTCGGGTGCGACAGGCTGCCAATCCCTCCCATACCCGAACCGCTACTGAACCTGCCCAAGAATCAGCTGCTCGTCTTTCAGGGACCCTTCGGTTGAGGGGTGACGATACGCCCACCGTCGCTCCAGAACCCTCGGCGGCTCGACGTATTCGATGGAGTGAGGATGTAGTGGACAACGAAGGCATGGGGAAGAAAAGCTCTAAAGGTAACCCATTATGCTCTTCATCGTCATTAGGCGTTCAAAGGTTCATTCCTGATCATCTCTAGTATGCTGCATTTACCACAGAGCCCGGCCCGTGGGAGAAAGCAGTTCAGAATCTGAATCTTCCGACTCTAGCTCCGACTCTGATAGTGACAGCGAAGTCGATCGTCGAAGGCAACGAACACGCCGTGCCAACCATTCACATTCCCGAGGAAGAGAATCACCCGCAGAAGGGTCCCCCCCGGGACGAAGCGTCGGGTGACTGTTGTTCGCGTCATCATCGCCATGCGCGTTCCAAGCCAAAACGAAAGCCCAGTCCGAATGCATATGAGAAAATGCCCAAGCCCTCCAAAAACAAACCCCGAGATGCTTGAGAAATATCACACGAGGTGATTGATTCCGCCTATCACGCACAACCGACATTCCTTGCCATTATACAACCCCTGGGATATCTTGCTGGGTGGCGAAGTCTGCCTGCCGTCTTTTGCCTTTGACCTCAAAATGCTCATTCATTCCTCGCAGTCTGCAATCTTTGCGAAGACTCGCGATTCCCAGCTTCCTCCAACATAAGACGTGGATGAAAATTCCAACTTTGGAAGACATGTACACCTTTATCAATTGCATGGAAGTGGTGCGCCATTTAGAGGTCATGCTCAATACTTAAGGCTTGCCTTATATGCAATTAGTCCAGGCTACTGGGCAGCGGTTCCAATATGTGACCTAGCCCAATCCCTTAGAGATAGACTCTCCATGGAGAGGTAGCGAGAGGACACGCTCCGTACAGAATTCATATATGTTTGTGAATATGTCATCCGCTTCTCAGCTCTATGGTGACATACCGGGTTACAACTACGAGTGGATCATAGGATGCTTTCATGCCTCCCGTTTACTCACTTGGTTAAGGCAATACAAGTCCCACCAGGTGACAAGCCCGAGCTGGTCTAGCTCAGTACGATGATATTCAAGCCCCAAATGACAAACGTAGACAAACGTAGACAAACGTAGATCTAGCGCTATCATATGTTGCTCCATAGCTATGCAGAGTTGGGCTTTTACAGATGACTTGGATATTCTCAAATGAATACGATGTTTTTCAATCGCAAAAATCCAGCTCAGTGGGAATACGTATGGAAATAAAGTCTATATACAACGTGCATCTTATGATCATACCATCATGCTTCTTCTCCGAGCTGTGACCCGCGTCTCTCGACGATGCCCGGCATCCTGAGCTAATACCTTCCCGCTATCGTCGTCAGCCTGAAATGACCCATCAGACTGCCCCAATGAGATATTCGAGCTATCTAGGGACCCATCATCTTTCAAAGTCTCCTCACCCACTGGCGATGGGTCATAAGTGGTACCCTTGGGTGAGAGGAATGCCGCCGAGGCGGCTTCCGTTGAGAAACCTTGGCCAACACTGCTTCGCTGGAAAGAACATCGGAAATTTGGTCTGCAAGAGCAAAGTCTGCAGGCATGTTGGTACCAAAGCGTAGATGAGGACTGATTGGCCCACGAGGAGTGCCGCTACTGCCATCAAAGCTCTCTCGTGAAGCTTGGAAACTCGATGATCTGCGGCCGTCCTTACTCACAGCATCGATCATGTCTTTGGTCGGTCGACGCATCTTATCTCGAAGATTAGGCTCTGCATAGCTAATGACCGCCCCGCGACGCCGCGAGGTGCGGGATGCAGATGCTAAATCAGAGATTGTGTCCATGCTGACGGTCTTTGCCGCCGGGGAGTCTCTCTTCTGCCCTGGTTTCGGTTGGGCATAATTCGGCAATGATGTTGTTGCAGATGCAACGGAACGTTTCCCCTTTGTTTTAGTGATGGGCGGGGGCTCTTGTAAGTTCTGAGTTTGAGGCCCATCAAGCTGCTTCGCTTCTTGTGGCGAGACTGCGTTCTCACCGTCTCCCATGAGTTGAGAGATCTTGTTCTCTGACTGCAGAGAGCGTGATTTCTTGGGAGATGCAAGATTGACATTGGTACTTTCTTAACGTTCATTGTTAGGTTAGATGCACCGAGCGCAGGAAACAAAGAAGGATATCTTACTAGGCTCAAGAACTTTCCGCTTCCCGATCCCGCCAGGAGGTACTCGTTTCATCACTCGGGGAGTCTTCGATGGGGAGCCGTCTTGACGAATCGGCTCTAGGACATCAGTCTTCCTTCGTGGGCTTTGACTAGATCGCGTAAACTCGAATTCGTCGTCTTCGGGAGCCGTATCTGAGGGAATTCCATCTTCATCAGGGCTAAACTTTCGTTTTGATCCTGATTTCGCGATCTGTGTAGATATTCCTTGCGGGGTCGGATCAGACTGTAGGACTTTCTCTTCGACGGAAGTTGCTGACTCTGTTCTTTTCTTCTTTTTGCGAGTCTCCAGGGTTGGGGGTAAAAATGGATCAGATTCGACGGCCTCATATTGGAAATTTTCGAGGACGGACTCCTGCAGAGACGAACATGGGGTCTCTATGGCGGAATTTTCGTCCTTCTCCTCCGGCTTAGAAATTTCGGTATCGCGTAATAGACTAGGCTCGGCCGGGCATCGCAATGGACTCAAGCTTTCCTGGACAAGTTGCTGAATTTCCTGAGATCTGGCAAAGGTGTCAGTAAATTGGATCATACGAACAACTAGGCCAAACTTACTCTAGAGTTCTGCGTGGGAAGTGCTTGTCTTCCAAAATGGAAGGCAGCCTTCCATCATCCATTGTAGAGTCGAAGTCGACGGGTCGGCGGGGTTCTAGAGTAGAAACCTTTGGATGATCGGCATTTGTGTCGGGTTTGCTGGATTTAGCGAATTTGCGAGGTAGCTTGCCCAAATCAGATGCAAGGCTACCCAGTTCTGCTAGCTTCGCGTCCAGCCGGGATTTGATTTCGTAGACACCATCGTGAAGCACCTTGGCTGCCTCCAATCGTTCGATCTCTGAAGTAAGGTTGATGACCTGTTCCCTTAATGATACGTTTTCTCCAGGAGGTGCGACACCTCCGACTCCAAGCTGCGGATTCGCAGCGATTGCATCGAGTTTACACGCGCTATCTCTCGGTTCTGCCTGACGAAACGTCTCTTTACTAGATGGTCATGTTAGTACCAGAACATATAAGCCATACAGGACCGGGACCTTCACATACAGGCCTCAATAGACTCCGATGGAGCAGCGAAATCATTCAGCCGCGCCATAGTTGGGGGTTGAGCGCAGACAAGCGAGTCGATAGATGCGGGTCCAGTTGCGAGTTAGGAGGTTTTGGCGTAAACACGGTTGTTGATGTTTACCCGCATACAGACTAGTGCATACTGAGTGACTCAGCACATCACGTGTCAATATATACCCCACTGAGCTTGAACCTCTAATCATCACGTGCGCTGGATCGTCCTGTTGTCGGATTGCTTGTTTGGGAGGGACACCTCGAGGCGGCACGGTGATATTTCTTACGAACCGCGGACGTTCTATTCGCTACTGTGACTGTGCAAGCCTGATACTCTCTGCCTCTCAGTGCCTTCATGTCATACTCGCGCCCAACTTCCATAATACCCGGGGGGCATCGTCAGCCCTCCCAGCCATCATCGGCATTGGCGACTCGTATTGCCGCCAAGAAAGCCGAGTTGGAAAATCTTCGCCAGCTGCGCGATTTGAGCGGCACCCTGGCAATGCAAATGCAGGCGCTCGAAAGCAAGATTGCCACGTTGAAGGATGGCACCGAAGGTGATACTCTTTCCCCTCCCTACCGGGCTCGAACTAATCTAGTTGCCAGCGGTTGCATGTGTTCTTGCCAATTGGGACAACGTCCTGCGAGCTATCAGTTTGGCCTCCAGTAAGCGTGATGGATAGCTTATCTTTGTTGGATCATCCGTTAATTCAATCTTGCAGGAAAAGCAAGTGGACTCCCGGGCGAGTCCGAGGACCCTGCGGAGACTCGCCTGCCAGCCACCCTGGTTCGCATTCCTAACCAAGGGGAGAACGAGTGAAACCACTGTCTTTCATTGTCTGTCCCCGTGATGGCTTTTCTCTGCTTGGCATTCTTTCCCCTTGAACTTTGTGGAGGGCTAAGCTCAAGACGGCCTTTCCCCACATGCACATGAACGTGGTACTTAGCCAATGGACCACATTGCTCCCCTACACGCGCGCATCAGAAAAGGGTGGGGGGATTTTTTCCCCTCCCAAGAGATCCGATCATCCGAGAGATAAGTCTCAGACGAGGGTAATGATTATACTGATCTTCTACCGGGGTCCTCTCCATGAGGGGAAGCACTCCTGAAAACCACGAAGCTTTCCCCCGCATTCCCAAGCGAGTCGTTATTCTCGTGTAACTCCTTTGGGCCTGGACGATGCAGCTAGTTTTACCTCTATGGGGCCAGGGGGGTAAAGTATAGAAGCATAATACGCCGGATTATAACTAGAAGGAGGGGAGGCGAGGTTTGAGGAGGTGCGTGCGTGATAGTCGTAAATTTGTACCATAGAGAGACTTCGTACTAGGTGATGAGATTTACGCACAAAAGGCCCAAAGCCCCTTAGTCGTACTTTGTCCTTTTTCACGGTTTCCCAATGTCCCACACGAGGCAGACTATTCCGTCGGCATGACGGGATACCGATTAGCAGTCTTTCGTAGGAGAGGAAATATATGCATGCGCCGTCGCAGGCACAAAGAAGGGACTCTGGGGAGTACAAACTTAGAAAGGACAAGGTTTGCGGTTTTGATCTGCAACGCAGGGCGATCGTGATTTGGCCAGGAATTGGTCTCATCAGGCACAGTAGGCGAACGCTTAGGCCGTGAATGCGCAGATGACAGGCTTGAGAGGCTTGAGAGGCGTTGAGGGGCCGCACGGCCCAGTGGGAACGTCGATGGTTGCCCCTTCGAGGTTCCTGCAGGTCGCATAATGCGCTCAGGTCCTTTTTTTTTTTCTTTTTTTTTTTCGCTCTCGATCTTTTTCGCTTTAAGCGCCCGAACCACATTAAAACAGGGGCCCCGCAGAGGGTCACCCTATCACCTCGTTGGCCCAGTTAGCCTAAGTTGCCTGTGCTCCATACTGTACGAAACTCCCCCCCCTGTGTCCGCGCCACGGTACCTCCCCGTCCCCATGTAACCCATGATGAAAAGCATGTACCAATCTAATCCTGTCAACCCTGCCAATCATGCCAATCATGCGAATCGCACGTCCCCTGCCTATTTGGGGCGCCCCACTATTCTCGATGCCTGCTATAGGCTCTGAGGGAGGGGGGAAATGGTCATGTCTGATGGCATGATTGATTGGGGTGGATACGCCGGGATGAGGTGATCGCTGTTCGATGCCTCGCTGCTATTATATTATCAAACCTCTGGCCGGAATTCTTCAGCCTTTCGATGCGCGATAAACCGCATCTTATAAGACACCCGGCCTGCTCATTCTCGTGCCTCACTCTCTTCGCTCCCTCCGATCTCTCTCCCTCGTTCCACCATGTCAACTGAATGGTCACTGGATTTCTGTCTGGTCTGTGACCGTCAAACCCTTGGCGGTCCCTATTGCTCTCAATCCTGTCGACTCACCGAGCTAGATCGTCCAGCTCCCGTCGAAGACCACATCTCCCAGCCCTCAACCGCTGCTCATTCTCGCTCCTCTACCATCGAATCTACCACCGAGGCCCAGGCGGCCCTCAGTTTATCAGCTTCATCTTCTCAGACCTCCCTGTCTTCTCTCCGAAGCCATGCCTCAAGTGCTACCCTCTCCGACCATCTCCAAGATGAGCTCCGGGATTATGCAAGCTCGTTCGACCCAGTTCGAGACTTGAAGCGACGAATGACGACCTCCCAATCCGACCATTGATTTTCTTACAATCCTGTCTGCCATGACCTTCATACCCGCTACCTATGCTTCTCTCTTTCCTCACTCGGGCTTCCTCGCGCCCCCTCACCATTGTACCCTAGCGAGTAACTGCATTTCTCGGAACCTCGGCGCCTCGACACTCAAAAAGGACTTGAAATTTATCCCTGAACGTCTCCACTACACGTCGCTTTCTTATACCCCGACTTTGGCGACCTCGTTTCTCATTTGTTCTTTTTCTTTTTCTTTCCTTTTTTTTTTTTCATTGGCTATGTGACCATATTGGAGTTGGGACTGGAATGGATCATGATACACCGGCTCAGAATGCTTGCGCGATTTTCGTTTTGGGTATAATGGTTACTATATGCTCCCCAAGTGGGACGAATCCTCAGAATGTAGATTAATACAGTGGAAAATTCCCACGAAGTCCCATTGATCGGCTCTTCTGTACTACTCTTGATCCCGGGTCGTATACAAATAAAAGTGGGGAGCGATGGAGATAAGAAAGGGACAACTCGGGTAGAATGGTCCACCTTCGTGAGCCGATCCGCTACAATGGCATCATTCGTACCCTGCCACGTTCCCTTGTTATTTCCATCAGTCGTCATATCCCCCCCACCTGAACGTCTTTCATCTAGTCATATTGCATGCCCCCCCATCCTTATTGTCTCAGCGCCTGCTTCAACGCGGCCGCATCCTTGGGCACGAATCGAGCTTTGTACCTTTGTGGGATGGCCACTAGACTGGTTGGATCCGAGTTACCCCGAACAGGATGCCAGTCCATGTCCTCATACGGTTCGATGTGAAAGCTGTTCAGCGTTCGCATGAACACTAGATAAAGCTCGCGATTGGCGAGTAGGGAGCCTGCACACATTCGGTAACCTATGCCGTATGTGAACAGCGGGGCGTCTGGCTGCTCCAGCCACCGCTCTGGCCGGAATTCCTCTGGGTCGGTCCAGATGTCTGGATCTAAGCAATTGTTAGCGGCCTTGGGTAGCACCGTGTGATAGATCTCACCCATGTTACAAGCCCAAGCATTCAAGAAGATCACCGTACCCTTGGGAATGACGACGCCTTCATATGTGATCTCGCGAATTGAAGTTCGGGGTAGCGCTAGCCGAAGGACCGTGAAATATCTATATCAATATGGTTAGCAAAGATCCGCAAGCCTTCTTGCTCAAGTGGGACCGACCGAAGACATTCCCGAACTAATGCTGCAACATAGGCGCATTTCTGATCATCTTCAGCTGAACACATAGGCTCGTTTGCGCCGTACATCTCCGATATGGCTTGAGCTGCCTTTTTCTGCACGTCCGGCCGTGTGGAGAGCAGCCCGATGCTCCAAGCGACCAAGGTGGTGACAGTGTCTAAGCCACCAGAAAGCATCGTCAAGCTGATGGACGTGAGCTCTTCGCTGTTCAGTTTTGCCTCCTTATCCAAGATCACGTTGGCCTGGATACATGGCTTATGGGTTCCTTTCTCCATTCGCTCATCCAGATCCCGGTTCAAAGCTCCCAAGTATTTGTCACGGCGCGCCCGCATTTCCGCAGCTCTCTTCGTATTGGAGTTGAGCGGGTTCAAACGTAGGAGGGGAATATAATCCTGCAAGTTGCCCGTGGTGCTTCGAAACTTGCTGATCTCCTCCTCAACATGGGTGATCTCATTGAAGAGGTCTTCCTCCTGCGATGCGACACGGACGCCCCAGTTAAGAGTCAATGCTAGGCTGAGACTGAGTCGCTGGATCATGGGCATCGGGTCGACAGGGGTATTGCCGGCCTTGCCGTATCGGTATAGCTCTTCCACAAAGGCCTTAGTTTCCGTTTCCAGATGAGGTACATACGAATCGACCGATGGTCGGTTCAGCGCAGACGCCGCGCCCTTTCGGCGGCGCTTCAGTGACTCGCTATACGGCGAGGTACCGATGGTCGTCCCCGCGGTATTGGAGACGATCTTCTCAAAATTAGCCCTATACTGACGCTCTAATAGCGGTAGCATTATGCTTTCGAATGACCGACCTTGTGGAAAGTATAGAATTCGGGCCGAGAGCTCAACGCCTGGGCATTCTGACCGAAGAGTACTTTTGCTGCTGCTGCCGAGTTCACCACCACGATGGGGATATTGCCTAGTTGAATCTGGTATACAGCGCCAAACTGCTTGGCCCAAAGGCGGTATTGCTCAGCAGCGTTGACCCTAATCTGGGCCAGGTTGCCAATCAGTGGCAGGCCGGTAGGTCCCGTAAGGCCCTTGATGCGCGCCGAGGCGCGAGTAAACTCGTTGAGAATCACATAGATCAGCGGCAAGATGAAGGCCGCTAATCCCAGGGACTGCCATGGATGCTGTATCGCTTGGCCCTGTAAGGCTACCAGAGTCGCTGCGATGGCCATTTCAAGTTCTGGTTGCTAAGGTATCCTGAAGTTCACGCCGTACGGCATTGCTCAAGTCCCATTATATAGATGAGGGGAGATCTTTGCCTGTGGCCATGGAAATGTTCCGTACCACAAGGCCCCTGCGATTGACTTCGTACCCCAGACAGGAGTCCCATTGCCCCACAACTGCTGCTTTCTCCAGGTCGGCTCTGACCCCAGACAACCGAGTCCCGCGCGGGCCCCGCCCGCACTGCGGGAAATAGTGCGCTCTTTGTCTTCTGTATGTAGGGAGTATAGTTAAATTGGGGTTTACTGAGGTCTACTGACTGCTCGTCCTATATAGACCCGCGCTTCAAACTTTAGAAGTCTCGTAACCCGTCATTAACCCCCAATCGCTGTCTGCCTCCCTGTGTAGTACGAAAGTGAACAGACAGTTTTCGAGAATTACAAGGATACTCAAACAAATAAGCGAAAGAGAAGGAACTACGGTCAGACATTAGAGAACTAGACTCGAGAGTCGGACTTGGGCCAGGGGCGAAAATTAAAATGGCCGCGAACACAGCAACAACGCCCACGCCAGGGGGGGTGGGGGCCCCCCAGGGAGGCTGGGTCACCCATAAAGACTTTGCGGCCACTCCCTGGCGTCCTTTGGGACCCGTGGGCGTCCGAGCTTCTACGTTATAAAACACACAACACAAGCCACCCTTTGGGCACTGGATTTTTTTTTTTTTGGGTGGGCGCTTCTTTTCTTGCTCTTTCCCGCTGGTCAAAGGGAGATGAAATCAAAACACCAGAAGAATGTACCTGGAGCATGCCGAATTTATGCAAGGAACGGGGAACTAGGAACGCGCCATCTGTCCTTTGGCGAGGGAGATCCTCGCCGGATCACTTTGATGATATTCTTTTTTCATATGGCGCTGTCTAGAGCACGGGGCCAGCTACGAGCTATAATTCGAATTTGCGAGATTCCAGACTTTTAACGACCCTAAGCATTCCATAATTCTTGAGGCTAGTGGACCCAAAGGGACGAGAGCTCCCAAAGAACATGCCCCTGAAAATCGGGGCCGCAATTTAGAGTGGAGCTGAGCCGCATTCATTGTCAGCTGCTCATGCAGATATTTGCAGGACGTGGATCGCTGGGGGGCATTTTTAGAGATTTAGAGATTCGGGCGACGGCGCTAGTGGCAATAGGAATTACGGGCCGGCACTAGGCCAGCGAGCTGGAACGGGCAATAGCAACATCGGTCATATTGAAATCAATTGGATGGGACTCCTTACGTGCCAGACCAGGACGTTCCAAGGCTGGAGACATCTGGGAGACATCCTCCACGGCCAAAAACAAGGCGAGCAACAAGTCACTGGAATCGCGGGAGTCGCTGAAATTTCTGCATGGTCACATGTAGAATCGGGGTGGACATCCGGATTCCTGCTAAGCTCACCCGACAGCGTGATTGGCGGGATCTGCCTCGATGAACAAATTCAGACAGGTTGGGACCCGCTGGAGCTGATGATGCTCTCTGTGGCTGCGCCAACCGGTTTTCTGGAAGGTATAGCGATCTGCTCTGTTCTGCTCTCGTGTACTCCGTACTTGCTGCCACGTTCCCTACCGGTTTTATCGCCTTTATCGCGGGCCCCAGCCCATTCCGTCATCGTTCCCCCAAAAACTCCGCTTCCTCTTCCCTTTCCCTCCCTTCTCTCTCCCATCTCCATCTTTTTTCCTGTTCGAACCCGCCATTGTTTGGACGGATTCAATTGACCAACTAACCGCTTAGTGCGTGCAATTGGTCTTCGCCACATCAAAAGATAATGGCTGCTCGTCATTCTCGTAAGCTTCTGCGACCGCTGCTCTACACTTCGGCCGCGGCGGCGGCCGGTGCCGGAGCGCTATACATTTCCTACCGTCCACGAAACATCCCCGGTCTCGAAGGTCCCGCTGTGCCCTCCCCCGGTTACCATGAAGGCAAACTGGTTCCCCCCAGCTTCCCTACCATCAAATCTCGTCTCCAGCAGATCCAGGACTTGAAGAAGAGCGAGGCTTCCGATGAGATCTACGACCTTCTGGTCGTCGGAGGTGGTGCGACCGGTACGGGCATTGCCCTCGACGCCGCTACCCGTGGCTTGAAGGTGGCGTTGGTCGAGCGGGAGGATTTCAGTTCCGGAACGAGCAGCAAAAGTACGAAGATGGTGCACGGTGGTGTGCGTTATCTGGAAAAGGCATTCTGGGAATTAGACTATAATCAGTGAGTCAACAGACAACCGGGATAATCTTGATCAGCCCCCGTCCAGCCTGTGCTGACAAGCGACGTCGCTCCAAATCAGATACGCACTCGTAAAAGAAGCGCTTCGAGAGCGCCGGTACTTCTTAAACACTGCCCCTCATCTTTCATCATGGCTGCCCATTATGGTGCCCCTGCAGAAGTGGTGGCAGGCTCCTTATTTCTGGGCCGGTTGCAAGGCCTACGATTTCCTGGCTGGATCCGAGGGAATCGAAACCTCTTACTTCTTGACAAAGAGTAAGGCCATTGAGTCATTCCCTATGCTCAAGCGTGAAAACATTGTTGGAGCTTTGGTGTACTACGGTAAATTGCCCTCGGCCCCCTGGTTCAGCGTTGGAATGGTTGGAACTAATTCGCGGATGCACTTGCAGATGGTGCACACAACGATTCTCGTATGAACGTCTCCCTTGCCATGACCGCGGCGCTCTATGGCGCTACCGTTGTTAACCACATGGAGGTCACCAACTTGACCAAGGACGAGTCCGGCAAGCTGAATGGAGCTCGTTTGAGGGATATGATTCCTCCCAAGAATGGAAAGCCCTCCGAGGAGTTCGGCATCAAGGCCAAGGGTATCATCAACGCCACCGGCCCTTTCTGTGATGCTATTCGTAAGATGGACGAGCCCGAAACCCAGGAAATTGTTGCCCCTAGTTCCGGTGTCCACGTTGTGCTCCCCGGATACTACAGTCCTGAGAGCATGGGTCTGATTGATCCCGCCACCTCTGATGGCCGTGTCATCTTCTTCCTGCCATGGCAGGGCAACACCATTGCCGGTACCACCGACGCACCCACCACCATCACCCAGCACCCCGAGCCCTCAGAGAAGGACATTAACTGGATTCTGGACGAGATCCGTGGCTACCTCGCCTCGGATATTACTGTGGAGCGCAGCGATGTTTTGGCTGCGTGGTCTGGTATCCGTCCTCTGGTCCGTGACCCAGCCAAGTCCAGCTCTCAGGCTCTCGTCCGTAACCACTTGATCTCCGTTTCCAAATCCGGTTTGTTGACCTGCGCTGGTGGTAAATGGACGACTTACCGGCAAATGGCCGAGGAGGCTGTCGATGAGGCTATCAAAGCCTTCAAGCTGACCCCTCGCAAGGTCACTGATGTTCCCGATATCAGTGGTGTCGGTGGGAGTGGACTGGTAGCGGACGGTGCGACTTTGGACGGCACCTGCCAAACTCACCAGGTTCGCCTGATCGGTTCCCACGGTTTCTCCAAGACTCTCTTCATCAACCTGATTCAACACTTCGGTCTCGAGACCGATGTCGCACAGCATCTGACGGAGTCCTACGGTGATCGTGCTTGGCAAGTTGCTGCCCTCTCTTCCCCAACCACCCTCCGCTACCCCGTCCGTGGCCAGCGTATCCCCCCCTCTACCCCTTCGTGGATGGCGAGGTCCGCTATGCCGTTCGTCACGAGTACGCCCAGACTGCCGTCGATGTTGTTGCTCGTCGCACCCGTCTGGCCTTCCTGAACGCCGAGGCTGCATTGGAGGCCTTGCCCACCATCATTGACTTGATGGGTGAGGAACTGGCCTGGACCAGCCAGCGTAAGGACCTGGAGTTCAAGGATGGCCTCACTTTCCTCCGCTCTATGGGTCTTCCTGAGAGCTTCCAGAGTTTGTCCCGCTGGGAGGTCCAGAAGGGCAAGGTGAAGGATATTGAGGTGGAGCAGCGCAAGAGCTTCTCTCGTACTGGTGAGTTTCTTAATCCATGGGTTTTGCGCGATAACGAAACTGACAATGTGATAGACCCCCCCTGCGGACATTCTCCAGAGCGAGGGCTCCACCGACCCTGCGGTTGCTTTGGTCAAGAACTAGACGTGTGACATATAGAACGACTTGTACAAATAGACATTTAATATTTCTTGTGTTCGACAAAACTTTCTCTTGGGACTCCTTCCCTGTTCCTTCTCGCCCCTTGATTGTAAAACGGCAAGAGCAACCGGCCGCTCAGACGGACTACCAATGGACTGTCCAAATGCTTCTGCTAACTGGTCTCCCAATTACTCCTCTCGTCTTCTTTACTTCTCACCCAGCACTATGGAGATGAAGCCGCCAGGCGCCAGGCCTACGCGAGATTCGTCCAAAGATGATACCGAGCTTGAGCCGGGAGTCGCTGATATCGAGACCCAACCGGCGGCTCACGATTCGCTGGACCCCTTTGGCGATGAGAGCAGTGCTACGGTCAAATACAAAACGATGGCATGGTGGTCGGTGACCGGCGCATGTCCAGTGCACATTGGCTTCACTGACATCCATCTCAGGCAGGCAGGAATGAGTGAGCAGGTCTCGAACCGAGACTTTCCCGCCCCACGACTAACACCAACAGTCATGATCGCAGAGACCATCTCTTTGGGCATCCTGGCTCTACCCAAGGCACTTGCTGTTCTTGGTCTTCTACCGTATGCCAGAGATCCCCCTTTCTACAGGTGTGTACTGCTAATCATGTCTTTAGGGGAGTAATGACTATCTTGAGCATTGGGATCATCTCCACGTACACAGGTTACACCATTGGGCAGCTAAAACAGCGGCACATGGAGATTCATAGCATGGCAGATGCCGGTGGCCTTTTCTTGGGTCAATGCGGTTGTCGGGTGCTGGGAGCAGCGCAGCTATTGTTTTTTGTGTTTGTGATGGGGAGCCATGCTCTGACGTTTTCCATCATGATGAACGTCCTCACAGGACATAGAGACTGTACCATCCTCTATGCATCCATCGGCGTGCTAGTCTCATTCGTCTTGACTTTACCTCGCCGGCTGGAGCGACTATCACATCTCTCATCTGTCAGCTTCGTTAGCATTATCGGTGCAGTGATGGTTGGTATGATTGGGGTTTCTGCTCACCATCTGCCACCTCCGGTGATTGCGGTCTTTCCCCCACATCCCACTGTGCATGACGCTTGCCTGGCTTTGGCAAATGTCGTTTTCGCCTATGCCGGCCATGTGGCCTTCTTCACTTTCTTTTCCGAATTGAAAGACATCCACGACTTTCCTCGGGCTCTTGCTATGCTTCAAATCTGTGAAATGATTCTGTACACCGTCACTGCCGTTGTGATCTATGTCGCTGTCGGGTCTGAAGTCACCTCTCCCGCGTTGAATTCCGCTGGGAAGTGGTTCCGCATCATTTCTTATGGCATTGCAATGCCTACTGTGAGTGGCATCCGTTTCTAGATAGGAGACCAGCGTCGCTAACTTTCCCTAGATTGTGATTGGAGGGGTGGTGAACGCCCATGTTGCAGTCAAGTTTATATACATCCGTCTGTTCCAAGGCACTGATGCAATGCACGCCCGATCCCTTTCGGCCCGAGCGGCCTGGGCAAGCATATGTGCAACCCTGTGGATCTTGTCCTGGGTGATCGCAGAGGCTATCCCGGTGTTCAATGATGTACTCGGGCTGACGGTATGGTAGATCTCTGATCCATGTCCTCACCCCCACTTTAGAAGCTAACCAGCCCTACTAGAGCTCTCTTTTTGCCAGCTGGTTTTCCTTTGGGCTGCCTGGGACGTTCTGGTTCTACTTAAACCGAGACAATTGGTTCAGAACTCGGAAACAGACCGTTCTTTTCTGCATCAATGCGTGCCTAATACTTCTGGCTGCGGTCATCGTAGGTCTACCCCAGGTCACCCCATGTCTCTGCAGGATTCTAGCTGACCACGTCTAGTGCATGGTTGGAATGTACTCGTCTATTCGGTCGATTGCGCAGAACCTCCGGACGGGCCTCCGAGGGGGAGTTTCTCCTGCGCTGACAATTCCCTTAACTAGATGCGTGTGTATTTTTCACTTCTCATTTCCGTTCCTTTTCAGGTTGCCATGGTGAGATGCGGTAGATGATCGGCAGAGACCTGCAAGGATCCAGTTGGGGGGGGGAGGGGTGGATTTGCAAAATTTTCATGGTGGGGACTTTGATGGACATGCTCTTATTCTTTTTCAGGCAGGAGTCTATTCGGTGGGCTCCAATAGGTGTTGAACCAACGCATGACTATTTCTTCCAATCGGGACATCGAGGCGCCCGAGTGCAATATTGAACGTCGCCCTGTATGCCGATCTGCACTAGACTTGATACTTCGGACAATGATCGGCGAGGCCAGCGCAAATCAATTCGTAGAACCGATCATCGGAACCCTTAGCTTGCATCCGGGTCGACGTCAAACGGACACGTAGGACGACTACTCCGTAGTCCCCTGCCAAATTGCCGCTCAAGTCTCTCGACGAGTCGGCGGGCGGAACATTGCAGCCGGGTCCATGCAGCGCAGCCTCTGGCAGCTCGGGAGCTCCAGAGCTCTTCTCCACAGCGGCAAAGCTCCGATTCTTTCCTCCAAAGAACCTTTCGGGCAAAATGGGAAAATTGGAGCTGGAAAGTTTCTAGAAGTTGTGGGGAACGGGGCTCTCCACAAGAGAACCACTTGAGGTTCAAAGGTTTGATTCTATTATACATAATCTCATCACGTTCGTAACAGGGGGACACCTAACAATTCCGCCCCCCCAGAGTAGATGTACAGTCTTTTTATATGCATTGAAGGGTGGAAATGACGGAGAAACCCTCCGGCCCAGAAAGAATCGCAAACCCGACGGAGCACAGGGATCGTAAACACAAACCCCTGCCCCGTACTTAATTTTCCGCAGGATGCAACTCTCCTGCCCACCTGAGGTGGTTTCCAGCTAGGGAAGCTCCCCGGGGGGGCCCCATTGGGCCCGATGGGGACCATGTCTCCTTACTCCACCCGCCTCCTCCCCAGTCTCCTCTTATGGCTAATGGGAAGGATGACTGCAAGGACCGACGTGCAGTTAGACAGTCGGTGAGTTGGCCAGTCATTGTCGAGGAATCCCGAAAGGCGCTGGAGACCATATGTTGGTGGGGCCAACCTGCAAACCCTGCAATAGATAGAAGCCCTGGCGGGCAGGTTGCCTGTGGGGGACAAAAGGGGGAGAGAGTAAGAGAAAGAGAGAGAGAGAAAAGAGGAGATGAGGGAAGGAGGGGGGAGGAAGAGGGGGAAGATGTCGAATCTCCTCTTCCCCGTTTCTTGCAGATTGGATTTCTGGAGAAGTCTTTTGTCCCTCCACCCCCGGGGGCCGGCTATTCGTGGTAGTTGTTCCAAAATCGCGCGACGGCCTTCTGGGCCACATTGGAACCACGATACCGTTCCAGAAAATAGTTGAAGAGGGCGAATTCGTCTCGGTTCAAGACATAGCTGTCTGGTTCGGCCTGGATCCGGTTCCATAGATCGCTGATGGCGGCTTCGAGGGTGGCCGTGGTTTGGGAATCCACCGTTTCAGTTTCACAATTCCGCGCATGTTCCAACGCTTGTCGAATGCCGGCTTGAGTCTTGGAATCGGGCATGATAATAAATGCAGAGGGCTCAGATAGCGAAAGATCAACCGAAGGAAGCCAGGGACGAAGAGAGAGGGAGAAGAAGAGGGAGAGAGAGAGGTAGAGATAGAGCCCGTCCAGTATAGAAGGGAAGGAGGAAAATCGGACAAATGGCGAGCCACCCGGGGAATGTCTTGTCTTTTCAATGATGAAATGGATTCCAAGTGGAGTCGGGAGGGGGAAAAAAGGGAAAGGGGGAAGTGGGAGTCTGAGCAAATCTGGGCCAGTCGTCCCGAGATTATCACAATTATCGGAAGATGCTAAAAAGTGACTTCAAATTTAGATTGCCTCCAAAGTAAGGCGGGTGACATGGGGTCAACTCATGGAGATGGATCCAACAGAAGACCGGCCAAAACCCAGAGAAGCGAGGGCTATATGACCGAATACAGAACCATGAAAAACAAAAAAAAAAAACAGAAAAACGGAAAAATGGAAAAAAAAGGTAAAAACAGAACCAAAAAACAAAAGTGGGTGGGGTTATGGTTCAAGGACGGGCTCGCCCGCTGTGGGAGCGTTTAAAATTACTGGCGTAACGGTTTTTTCTCCAATCTCATGCACTCGAATGACATGCTCCGGGGATCGAGCTGCGATCGGAAAGCATCCACGTCATCCATGCTGATTCGCGGATGATGGTGCATCCTAGGGGTGGTCGGGTGGACGCTTAAGCCTCGACTTTTGCTCATGCAGCCAAACCCTTGGACAACAGCCTTGGGAGGGCCCAGAAAGTCCGGTGCATCAGTTCAGTGGGGCGGGCTCCACCGGGCAGAGGATGTGAGGCTCCTTGAAGGTCGATGTTTCCCAGGTCTCCGGCCTTCGATTCTCTCACGAGTCTATGTACGCAATATGCCATCTTACGATCTTGCCCTAGGTTTCTGCAGCCCGTAACGCAGTGTCGCCGTGCCGTGTCGAACCGTGGACACAAAATCCAAGTCCATTTGGTCCAGCTGGAACTGGAATGATCGGTCAGGTCCGTTTTCTTTGTCCCACAGAGTTCCTTTCCCCCTTGTCGGAACGTGGCCTCTTTGCCCTAAGATCAGTCTGCGATCCACTGCGCGGCTGATCCCCTCCAGGGGTCCAGCCGAGAGCACCGTGCAGAGTATGGACTCGACATGGAGAGATTGGAATCTTGGAAAGTGTAAATCCTTTCGGAGAGGCCCTTGCCTCTCCGGGCCCGTTATCCTTTTTTTCACGTGCGGAGGATCGAGAAATTCCGGGACTCTCAAGGCTTGTCTTTCCCTCTATATGGCAGGACAATATGGAGTGCATCAGCGTTCAAATATGACCCTACCTGCAGCGGAACCCGATCTTGTCTTTCACCGCGTTAAGTGAGATGCAGTACCTTCGTTTCAAAATGTCTCTGATCGACATAGCAAGTCATTCGGTAGATGTTCGGCTCAGCGAAGGGCATTTTATCCGCGGCCGTTGGCCTATGAGAGTCGCGAAGAAGCTGGAGTCACTGACTCGGCTGCTCGCACAGACCAAACTGTCTCCGGGAAGGGATAAACCCCCGAGGTTGACAGTGAAACGCCCCATTTCCCCCAACGTGCCAGGGAATAAGAGGGGAAACGAATCCCATGAACCAAAGTGTGGGTTGCGCCGGGCAAGCGGACTCCACACGCAACCTTAAATCGCGTGGCTGTGAAAGCTTCATCCCGGAGGTTCTCGACCTGTCTATGGTTCAGACCCCTGAGCAGAATTTGGCAATATAACAAAGTAGATTGCCGTTCTTCGTTGCTCCGGATCCTTTTCCAGCACCCGTTGGAAATGCTCTTCATATCCAATTGGATCTATCCAGCCCAGGGGAGAGCACCCCCACCCCGCCAGGTTCCAAATTTGACATTTCATAGTGCCGGTTTTGACTCTTGCCCGTGTGATGGAGATGATCCGAGGATTTACCTCGGTCCGGGTCGCGCAGGATTGTCGTACTCCGGTCTCAGTGGATCGGAAAACCCCCTGGGCTTTTGTACCCTTGTGCTTTTGATTATAAACCTCTACGGTGGTAGCCCGTTATGGCCGAAGGGGTGCTTTGGAGCGCGATCCTTACGTTTGAAGTTGTCTCCCGTATCTTTCGGCTACCAAGCCACACCGTTGGGTGTCACTACCTCCCGCGTTCCACTTTTCGCCGAGGTGAGCCGGGTAATCTGACACTTGGGTTATCTGTGCCTTCGGCAAGTTGTGGGCTATGATATCAACCACCGTCTAGTCTTTTAGTCATGTCTGACAATTCATGTGGTGAATCTGCCTAAACGCCTGTTGACCCACCCAGGTCCTTCCAAATACTGGACTCTGGACTAATATGGCGAGAGCAGACCACTGTCAAGGGATCCCGAAATACGAAGGTATGAAACACAGAACGTATGATCTGATATTCGCGACTACTAGGAAAGAGAGCTGGCATATATTGGCCCCGGGACGGCTCCCAGGGCCCAAGCAGCAATCTCGAACCAGCAAAGTTCAATCCACGATCGATGACGTTGAAACCACGTGGAAAGGTCAGGAACCCTGGGGCACTCGGCACTCGATTTTCCCGGTAGAGTACGAGGAGTTCGTAGTTCATATTCGTAACTCACTCCGCCTCGCGCGGAGCACTTAGCCCTGGAGCCCTGGAGCCCTGGACGGGAGATCTAGACGCCGCTGACTAAGACATAAATTTCCCCCGCGAGATGGTGGGGGAGAATCGACGGTTACGTTCCTTGAGGATAACGCAGTGCAGACAGTTGCCATGGTATACTATTTCACCTCCAATGTGGTTAGTCCCGCCGCATTCATCTATGTGGGCAAAGACAAATTCGAGAGTATGTTTGTGTCTGTTGTGACCAAAAGTCTTTCTAATGACCTTGGTAGACGAGTCCCTGATCGAATTTGGATTGGACCAAGATGTGTGGTAAGTAGAAGCACCAAGGCTGCTCATACTGAGGGCTTCTAGATGAACCCTCTTCAGTAGTTCATCATTGACGTTCTGCCTCTTAGGGTCGGTCTTCCCCTCGAGCATCCTCGTCGACCTTCCGATTTCGCCAAATGGTTCTAACGCCACGCATAGTTCCACGTCGACAATTTGTCAAGTGCCCACGTATATCTCCGAATGCGCGATGGGGAAAAAATGGGATAGTATTCCCCAAGAGCTCCTCGACGACTGCGCACAGTTGACCAAAGCAAACTCAATTGAAGGTTAGCCGCGCCTTCGAAGATATGACCATTATCTAGAGGATCAGGGGTACTAAACCTTGGGCCTAGGCAACAAAAAAGACAATGTGACGATTATTTACACCCCATGGTCGAATCTTATGAAGGACGGCTCCATGGCCACTGGACAGGTCTCGTTTCATAACCCCAAGATGGTTCGCAAGATCCTAGTGCGGGAGCGTGAGAATGCCGTTGTCAACCGGCTCAACAAGACCCGTGTCGAGAAATTCCCCGATCTCCGAGCGGAGAAAGAAGAAGACGGCAAGAAGCGACGCCGCGACGAGCGCAAACAGCGCGAGCAGCAACGACACAAGGATAACCAGGAGAAGCGAGAGCGAGAACAATTGAAGTGGCAAAAGGAACACGCCTACGACGACATGTTCAGTGCTGAAAACATGGAAGCCAACAGCAACCAAGATCGCGCTGCAGATTGGGAAGACGACTTTATGTGAGGACTGGCGAGGAGGATTAGTTGGGATTTCCCCCCCCCCGGGGGGCTGGCCTCTAGCGGAACGCCGTCTATATACCTACTGTTCTCCGACCGTGCCTCTTTCTGCTGACGTTGAGCGATTGATGCAGCATACCAGGCATTCAAGCCAAAGGAGATGTATTCTTCATCAGCGAGGGTAGGCAACTGCTTTTTAGCTTTTTGTGTTGATTTCGGGAGATTCGATGATAGGCATCTTGGGATAACGCCCGAGATCACAACTTCAGCATATAGGGAGATAAGACTCCCAAACTAAAAGAGAATATGAGCTACATAAGACTTCCCTATCCATTCCAAAGCTCCCCATGTTCCTCAGTAGATGGGTTGATGTTCCCGCGATTAATCATCGCAGCCCCAGGCGGAAAGGGTTGAAACTCTCCAGCCCGCGCTAGTGCTGTTGACAGCTTCCCTGGAACTTGCTTCTCGAGGCATTCTTTCCTTTCGCTCGCCACCTTTTCTACCAGAATGCCCGGCGAAAACCCTCCGCCTGCTCAAGGTACGCGGATCGAACCACACTAACATTCCGAAATGCATCCCACTCACTTCCCCCGCTCTCCCGTCCAGGCGCGAAGTCCAAAAAGAATAAGAAGAAGAGCGCAAAGGCCGAAGAGAATTCACAACCTTCTGAATCGGAACCGCATGGCGATTCTAGCAACCGAGATGATGTAGACGTACGTCTTTGAGGACTCTGTTGGCCCTCAATCTGGAAGCAATGGGCGTGGCTAATCAGCTTTCTAGGACGAAGCCGATAACACAGATGCCCCAGAGGCATCTCCCTCCGCCGATCATGTTAAAACCAATGATGCTGCAGCTGATTTTGGCGCAGCCAGCCACCCGGATGATAAAAACGATAACTCTGCACAACCATCTCAAGACACGTATGCCTCTGTCCCCACAGCCGAGCCCAAAGATCGTTTCGATGCATTGGTTCGAGACCGCGACTCCTTACGAGCTGAAGTCACGGATATGCGCAAGTCTCTCGAAGAAGTCCAGTCGAAGCACAAGACCGACATGGACGCGCTACAGCAGAAGCTGGATGATTCGGAGACAAAGAAGGAGCAGGCAGAAACACAATATAAGAAGCTGTTGGAGCGGGTCAACACAATCAAGTCTCAATTGGGAGCCCGCTTGAAAGAGGATGAGGTATGTACACAGGACGCTTTCACAGCACCATGCAGCTATTACTGGCGCTGCTTTTCCTAAACCCACTTCCTGCTGACCACCTTTCGCTTGATAGGAGGAATTGACCCAAGCACGGAGTCAAATTGAAGATCTAGAGGATGAAAATGCTACCTTGAAGTCGCAACTTGAATCCAAGTCTACAGAGTTTGCGGCGGTATTGAACGAATCCGAGCAAAAGTCGAAGGAGATCTCGACACTTCGAGACCGGACGAATCTGTCGCAGCAGAACTGGCTGAAGGAGAAAGATGAGCTTCTAGAACAAGTGGCCTACCTCCAATCTGAGTTCGAACAGGCCAAGGAGGCTATGCATAATTGGGAGGTGCTAGCTATGGAAGAGCGCTCCATCCGGGAGAATTTGGAGTGAGAAGGTTGCCGACCTGGAGGAGCAGCTCAGCAACATCCGCGATGCCTATGAAAGAGCATCTAGCGATCGGGACAGCCAGCAGTCAACCGTTGATGGGCTACAACGAGCATTGCAGGAGATTCAAATTGCGCGGAAGCAAGAGCTTCGCGAACTTGTGGAAAGCTCCAATGCCCAATTGGAAGAATTGAGACGGTCACTGCAGCACGCACAGCAGACCGCAGCCGATGCCGAGAAGAATCTCGCCATTGCACAGGAAGAGATTGAACGGGTGCGGCCATTCGAGAAGGAGGTCAAGGAGAAGAACCTTCTCATTGGCAAGTTACGGCACGAGGCCGTAACGCTGAATGATCATTTAACCAAGGCCTTGAGATTTCTCAAGAAGGGGAAGCCCGAGGACAATGTAGACCGGTTCGTTCTCACCAAAAGCTTTTTGACCCAAGAAGGCACCGCATGCTGATGGAAAGCAGACACATCGTCACCAACCACTTTCTGCATTTCTTGGCGCTGGATCGATCTGATCCAAAGAAGTTCCAGATTCTACAGCTTATTGCAGCTCTTCTAGGCTGGGACGACGGTACGTTGATCGATTTGGCGGGTTCTTGGTTCTCACTGACAATTGGAATATAGAACAACGGGAACAGGCAGGACTTGCGCGCCCTGGCACCTCCAGCATACCAGGCAAATTGAGGGCCCCTGGAACGCCACTGCGCACCCCAAGCACCCCCAATCTTGCCACCGAGTTCATGGATAACGGAGCTTCCAGTAAGGAAACACTAGCAGAGCTGTGGTCCAACTTCTTGGAACAAGAGGCAGAAGTGGGCCAGATGGACACGATGAGACGAGGAAGCCACTCAGGGCCTAGGTAATCGAGGTTTCAGAAAACCATCTTGCCCCTGAGATTGATCTTTCATGTGGCATTTTTGTATAGAAACCATTGATAAGATAGTCCTAATAGAAGTGAAAAGGACACCGCTCTAGGATTCTGCCGGGCGTTTTCATCCCACACTTTCCCTTCTTCCCCCTCTCGACTTGACTATTGATGCCTTGCTTTGCGCAATTGCGTGCCTTTTCGCTCTTTGTAAAGCCTTCAGTCAGATCTCCGGGCTCCTCTAGATCAACAATGTCTTCTAGTGCTGGTGCGTGCCCCCGATCTCCGCGTAACATGCCACAACCTCAAAATGCGGCGACTAACATTAATGTGTCTAGTTCAAAAGTTTCGACCAGTGGTCATCTCTGGGCCTAGCGGTACGGGGAAGAGTACCCTGATGAAGCGCTTATTTGCAGAATACCCCGGAAAATTCTCTTTCTCCGTCTCACGTTCGTAAAACCCCCGATCAAGACCTCCGCGAGATGACACAGAGAGGCCCCCCTGACCGGCGCTGTATAGACACTACCAGATCGCCCCGCGCCGGTGAAGAAGATGGACGAGAATACAATTTCACGACCAAGGAGAAGTTCCTTGAGCTCGTTGCCCAGAACGGCTTCATCGAGCACGCCCAATTCGGCGGAAACTACTACGGCACTTCGGTAGATGCAGTCAAGAAAGTGTCCGAGAGCCAGAAGATCCCAGTTCTCGACATCGAGATGGAGGGTGTCAAGCAGGTGAAGAAGACGGATCTGAATGCGCGCTTCCTCTTCCTCGCGCCTCCATCTATCGAGGAGTTGGAGAGGCGGCTGCGCGGCCGGGGAACCGAGACGGAGGATTCCCTGCGGAAGCGACTAGATCAGGCGACAAATGAGCTGGAGTTCGCGAAGCAGCCTGGTGCTCATGACAAGATTGTGGTCAACGATAATTTGGACCAGGCGTATGCGGAACTGAAGGACTGGGTTGTCGACGGAGGCAAGTTTGGCGCTCAATAGAGCTATTGCTGTAGACATCACATCGACATACGATGTTTCTAAATGTAGACGGTAGACACTAATTACTGAAAGCTCTGCAACACTTTCTCCATCCGAGGTAATTAAGGAAAACTAAGTACATGGAAGAAAGACCGGTAACACGAGCACTGGATGCCAGGCTCTTTTCCTCGGCAATACAAAAATCTTAGTGAAGAAATCCCAAGCTGAGTTTGACGAACATAACCGGTGGACACAGAATTATCGGAGACGGTAAGGAAAAGAACAAGACTTGGGGAACACGCAACAAAAAGAATAATGGGATATCTGCAAGGGCCTGCTGGCGTCGAAGATGATGAAATTTTCGGAAGGGATGAGAAAAACCTTGCCCGTGGGTCCACGCCTCTTCTATCGTGGGATTATGTTGATGCCGCTTAATTAGTATCCGTTCATGCCGCCACGTGGGGTGCTGCGGCCGCCCAGCTCTCGGTCAGCAGAGGGACTGATGGGCCGGCTGCCGCCTGAGTGGCCGCCAGCGGCGCTGCTCTCCTTCAGAGCCATCAGCTGCTTAGCACGGAAGGTCTCGTAGTGGATCTGGCTGGTGGTCTCGACCAGATCCTGCAGGTGGGTGCGGGTCAGGAAGTTGCGCAGGTAGACGAATTCGCAGTGGTTCTCATCCTCGACGTTGATGACTCCCCAGCGGTTTTGACGGCCGCGGACTTGCTTGCCGTTGACGACAATGGTCTTCTCGCTTCCGACGACGGAGAAAGGAATGATATCCTATCCCAGGTTAGCGACATACACTCAGAAGCCTTTTCCCAATATTCGAAAAGCATGTGCCTTACCTTGATTTGCGCGTTGATGGCGCGCTCCTCATCGTCAAGCTCGTCGTTATCGTAGGGGTACATCTTCAGGTTGTGGAAGGCGAACTCCTCCTTGATTCTCTCCTTGAAAGCCTGACGCTCCTCGAGGGTCAAAGAGTCAGCCTTGGCGATGACGGGAACAACGTTCACGACGTCGGAGAGCTTCTTTAGGACGACAATATCGATAGGCTTGAGGCTAGAATAGCATAAGGTCAGTCTCAAAGACTATAGGCCATCAATGCAGGGGCGAAATGGGGTAGACTCACGCATGGCCGGAAGGCTGGATGAAGAACAAGCAGCAGTGGATGCGAGTGTCTTGGATGTATCGCTCACGCTGCGCAGTGAGTTCTTTGCGGAGGTATGCAGAGTGCTGATCCTTAATATACTTGACGATGGGGTCCCAGCTAGCTTGGAATCAGCGATTATTCCGGATTCGAGGGACGAAGATTCGCATACCATCGGTCATTGTTCACCTGGTCACCGTATCCTGGGGTATCGACGATGTTTAGACGGAGGCGCACACCGTTCTCCTCGATGACTAGGTTTCCATTAGCCATTGTGCTCCATCGGCCACCACGGCAGGTCTAATGGCCACTCAACATACTGTGCGAGACGGTTTGAATTTCGGTGGTTGAGCGCACGGGCTCATTGGGGGTAAGACGACCCTTGGAGTCGATCAAGTGGGATGCGAAGATGGTGTTGACTAAGGTGGATTTTCCGAGACCAGTTTGTCCTATAGAAACAGTAAGCTCCAGCCACTGGCAGAGAAGATTTCTCCAAAGACCAAGGAGCGACAGAAGCGGGGAAGATGTAGTTCACATACCAACACACATGACATTGAACTGGAAGCCACGCTTCAACAGCTTCCGCTCAATCTGGGAGGTAATGCTGTCGAAACCGACATGGCTGTGGGGGAAGACGGTAGGTTGCTCGCCCGAGGCAGCGGTGGTAGCAGCAGCCATTGTGAATGTAGAGGAGGAAGAAAAATGAAACCCAGAAACCAAGAAGCCAACAGTACGAGTAGAGAGAACGCGACCCCCTTAAGTTGTGATTTCCCTATCGAACTCAGGGGGGAACCACGCTATTCCATATTGGGGCTAGCGCCGTCCGGATCAATTCGTTTTCCTTTTGGGCGCGAAGACGAGTCTAAAAAAGCCTACTGCAGCTCGTCCCAGTCAGTTATCGCAACGGGCTGAGTTCACTGTGTCGGTCGCAGATCACTTTCACCCTCCCTCGTCTTCTTTCGCTCCATCGACAGCACCATGGCCCTCCGTCTTCTCGCTCCACTACCCCGGGCGCTGCCCCAAGTGGCTCCCTTCGGCTTCCTCTCCGCCGTCACATGGCCTTCGATCTCCATCACCTTTCCTTCCTCGGTGGCTGATGTGTGGGAATCGGTTTTGCGGGCTGTGCCAAAGAAGAAGACCTCGCACATGAAGAAGCGTCACCGTCAGATGGCAGGAAAGGCTCTGAAGGACGTCCAGAGTCTCAACAAGTGCCCTGGGTGCGGCCAAATAAAGCGCGCACATCTGCTTTGCCCCCACTGCGTACGAGGTATGTGGACACCAGCTGCTCTTGATATAGAAGCTGCATGAATAATAGACCTCTTTCATTTGTGTGGGTTTGGAGACCTGACCGTTCGACAGATATCAAGGACTCGTGGAAAACAATGGAGACCGCTTGAACGCAGGCTACGGCTTGGACCGGCTGAGGAATTCGACAGTCGACCCATCGGTCTATAAGATCTGATGGAGGTGGAATAAATGTACTTCTAGATACTTGGGGGCTTGATTATGTTTTCTACTACAGCATGGCATTTGGCGTACGGCTTTACGTGGGATCACAGAGTGTATTTATACTCACAAAAACTATGATGTAAAATACTTCTGATTCGATCAAACTCAATAAACGTATATACAATTACCTGGGAAGTACTGGATCATAGAAATAATAGGCTCAATCAAGGTATGAAGTAGAAGTGAAAGCTCAGGTCTGTGGCTCAGAAGCTGAAGGCGGAATGCGGGCAAACGGGGAACGTCATATAACCACCTCGAAACAAAACTTGAGCAATAGCCAGGAGCTTCCCAGGCAACCGCAAGCATGGTAAGTTTATAGAAAATTGGTATCGGCGCATCACTTACGACGGTTCTTAGTCAAGACAATACCTTGCTTGGGGTTCGGCAGACCATGGTAAGTGTGTTTGTGTGGTGGGGGTCATCGGATTGACGGTTGCTAACACTACTCAGCGCATCCCGTTGACATATTCTCCCTTGCGGTGACTAGCAAGCAGATTTTGTCTGCATCAGGAGCTTCATCTCTTAAGGTTCACTCGACTGTCGATCCTGACTTCCCGCTTGTCCAGTCGATTGATGGGGCCCACGAGTTGGGCTGCCATCATGTGGTGACTGACGCGGAAGGCACGCGGGCTGTGAGTGCTGGCTTTGCAGGAGAAATTAAAGTTTGGGCCTGCCATGATGGCCACTGGCAGGAAGACCCGGTGTCAGGTACCTATGGCTCCTTGATATTAGACCTAGGTGGAAGCTAATCTAATGCTCTCAGCTCACCTGCCGCGCCTCAATGTCTGGGCAGTGGCGCTATCTGCAGACGGTCAATATCTAGCTGGTGTCTCTCACTCTGGGCGCATAGGAGTATGGGATCTTGGCGCAGAAGGTACACAAATTCGAGACCATGAAACCAAAGGAAGCTTTGGCTATTGCATTGACTTGGTATGTACATACCGAGGTTAGTCACACCCTCATGCTAATGCTCTATGTAGTCCTCCGATGGCCGCTTCATTGCGAGTGGACATGAGAATGGAGCCGTCTACATCTTTACGACCGAGGAAGGGCGCATGCCATTCTCGCTGGCTGGTGAGCGCTCAAGCCTTTATATATATTTGTGATTGATACTAATGCACATCTAGGGTTGGTAAAGCCAGTCCGAACAGTGGCATTCTCTCCACTAGGATCAATTCTGGCGGCTGCAGGGAATTCGAAGGTGATTGTGCTTTATGATACTAAATCTGGCGAGCAGATCGGCAACCTCTCAGGCCACTCAGGCTGGGTTACGTCTCTATCCTGGAGCAGCACTGGAGAGTATTTGCTCAGCGGGTAAGAAGATTGAACACCTGCCAATCCTATGGTCGATTTATTGCACAGACCTTCTAATATTCGTGAATGCAGGTCCGTTGATGGCAAGGTCAAAGTCTGGTCGATGGAGACCAAGATGTGCGTTGCCACCCACTCAGAAACCGAAAAAGCAGTGTGGAGTGCCAAATGGCTACCAAAGAGCAACCGATCGGAGTGCTTTGCTACAGCTGGGGCCAATCGGAGTGTGGCATTCTATCGCGAAGCCAGCGGAGGTTAGACTGGTTAGACCAAGCCCAGCTTCACTACGTGCGCTTATGATTCCCGCTGGGCCTGAATGACTCCTATGCCATAAGACTCATAATTATCATTTGAAAATACCTTGATTATCAACATGGAAGCATTACTTCAGAGTTTCCACAAACAGTTTGCGCATCCGCTTTAGGAATTCGCCGAAATTGCGATCGTCATTCACAATATCAATCTCGCGCTCCAGAGCCTCGCGGTCCAATTTCGGCCGGGTGTGAAACACCTCGTAGTCACGGCTGGCTGTGCCTAACTCGAACCAGGCCTCATATTCCCAGTCTTTCTCGGATATATGGCTGTATATGAATTTTAGGCGGTCCTCTCGACCCGCGCCCTCGATCCGTAAACAAAGCTTGTCATGCCAGAATTCCAATTCGGGATTGTTTAGACGAGATTGTGCATCCAGCTGCTGAGCATGAATCTTCTGAGCCTCCAGTCTCTGGTTGACAGCTTTCTGCGCTTCTGCGATCTGCTGCTTCAGACGGTCTTGTTTGGTTAATCGCGTGTCGTGTTCCAGGGTAATCGATGAAATGGCTGCGTGCATCTCGGCGGCCTCGGCGGATTCTTTTTGGAGTATCTGTTCGTGGGTCTGGGATTTCGAGTTGATGATTTCAATATCACGCTGGCGCATTCGGTCGTCCTCTGTGTCTATGGTTAGAAGCAGTGCTTAAGCAGAAGCGGAGGTGGGTGTCAACATACCTTGTAATTCTGCCAAATTAATGCGGAATTGGTTTTTCTCCTCCAGAACTTGCTTTCGTCCTCGTTCGATAAACGCATCAAACTTGGCAGTAAATTGGGTCATGCGATTGCGCAGGTCCTCGAAGCCAAAATTGATGCTGGGCAGCGAGTCGGCCATTGACGGCGCATCAGCTGAAGCCAGGGGCGGCCGCATGCCACTCGTTGATAGCGAAGGTTCGAATGAGGACGCCATTTCAGGATGGTTATATCGGATAGCAAATGCGAACCTATGTGGTAGCTCAAAGTGATTGCGACAGGCCTGTGAATTAGATGGATACGGAAGACGCGACTAGGTTTGTGTTGGGTGTTGCGCCGCAACGCCGCTACGCCGCTTATCGATAAGCACCGACCGCCTTCAGTCGAGCGCCCCCAAAAAAAGCTTCGTCCATATATTTTGAGTTGGATATCTACAAAAGCCTCGATGACTGAAAGCTCAACTTGTTTTGGGTCTTTATAAGCCAACACCAGGGCTTTTTTTTCTTGACCATGCTCAGACCTAGTCTTATACGCTGCATCGCAAGGAGCAATACCAAATCAAATGGATGAGCATGCAAGCAGTGCTCTCCACTATGGGCACGTTGGAAGAGCCATTTATCAGCCTGAGACTAGCTCGTGGTCTTTCTCTCGCTCATTTACGCGAGGGTCTTCTCTCACCTATACGGGCGTGACCAACACGACAATACACTCCCCACGAGATACTTCGAAGTCTCGGGGAGATGGTCAACTCTTCGAATCCTCAAGCCGAAGCCTCATTCCCACACATATCCCGATTTAGCAGTTGTGTGGCCAACAGTTCATGAGGATAAATTCTCGCAATTCGTGTCCTCTGCAAGTGAATACTATGATCCTAATGTATCCACTCTCTTAGACCTGGGCTATGCATTACATTCCGGCTACGATGACGCCAAAGTCCGTCCAAGACCTATGATGATCGCAGCAGCAGTAACTGGGGAATGTAGAAATGTGATATCATTTCGAGTTCTTGCGGAAGGTCAAGCAGAGCTGACTCAAGAGCGTTTAGCTGTGCGAGTTCCTGTAATTGACGATGCAGAGGCAACAGAATGGTCTACTGAAGGTGCTCAAATTCATCAAATATGTTTCGCACGGCCGATGGAAGATGACGAAGAAAAAACCACGTGGATGGCAGCTCGGCTTTCAGAGTCAACAGCAATCTTCAAGCCTTTTTATCAACGAGATCCGGTGCCTATGCATCTTCGTCGAGATGATCCGTGGGCGCTCCCAACGCCGCCGCACAACTCCCGGTTAGATGCCAACCCGGTAGTAGAGATCTTGGCTTCCTATACAGGTGGATCGCCCCACGCTGATGTGGCATTCAACCCTTGGTACCAGAGACAACTGGCCATCGTGGACAACAAAGGGAGCTGGAGCATATGGGAACTTACTGGCCGACAAAAACGGCGCAAGGCCCATTGGCTTGCCATTCCAGGCCAAACAGGAAAACTGCCCTCAGATGACGATCTCAAAAGCAATGGGCCTAAGCACGATGGCTGGGCATCCATTCAATGGATCGCCGACTATTCAGTAATTTTGGTTGCCGATCGCACCTGCGCTATGTTATTTCGTCTCGGCGGTAGTGAGACTCGATCTACTGTGGTCAAACTCAATATGGGTCGAAAATCAGAATGGGTGCTGGACGTGCAGCGAAGTACTCACAGTATAACGCAGTTCTTCATTCTCACCACATCTCGCATCCTTTGGTTTGATCTCACGGGTGTATCATTGGATGGGGAGGCTATGCATTCGGCTGTACGACCGTCTCTTACTTGGCGACATTTTCGAGATCCGGAGGACATAAGCCTTCGGTGCAATGATCTGTTGATTGGTGGTGGTGCGTATTCCCAAGCTGAAAATTTGAACTCGAGTATCTAACTCATTCAGCTTTGCATATTGTTCTGTACTCTCGCCTGACGCAGCTTGTCCAAGTTTTCCCGTGTCCCTCTCTCAGTGATGAACAGGAAGATTCTATCGCGGTTTCTGATCCATTCCTGTTGCATGTACCATCTGCAAGTGATGCCTCCGATGTGTCCAAGAAATCCCGTTTTTCCACCTTCGTCTTTCGCGAAGTTGCGCACTCCCCCGGAGCTCATCCTCAGAAACAATCACGATACAATCCTGACATGACCCTCATTAAATTATTTTGGATAGATTCATCTCTTGCGGTGCATGAGACTCTTTACAAGGGGCCTGACCGGAAACAACATGATGAAAACATTGACACACAGGACAACACCAGTGTTCTTCGCGTAAAGAAGCATGCAGCCGCTCACAGAAAGGATACTGAAATTGACGAGGACGACGATTTCATTGTCGAGGATTGGGATGAATCCGTATTTGGCCCTTCGAGGGCCTCTCTTCCTCGAAGCAGCCGCGTCTCACCATTTGCAGGCCTCGAATGGACTGTGGACTGGTCATATATCTACATGCTGGCTCTGAAAGGGGTCCTTACAACCGGCAATGGAGCTTGGCTTGATCAGACCATGGAAACACTGAAAGGTCAAGACAACGCAAACTTCGCCCCAGGCAGAGTAGTGAAACTTTGTGAGTAGCCAGGTTCCGATCAGATTACATGAATTTATACTAATGAAAGTATCAGACTTGAGATCAGCGGCGGTCAGCTCTCTCCAAGCGACATTGTCGAGTGTGGTCAGGATTTGGATAATCTGACTTCCGCAATTGCACCAGGGGCTGCTCGATTTCCACAACAGTTCATGATCCTCCCGTTGAAACTCTCCGATGTTTTCGCCGGTATACGCATAATATCTGGCCAAGACCCATCTAAACTTGATTTCTTGGACACCTACGATCGACTAGTCCACGAGTGGCTTGCTAATCTTCCCCCGAGGATTCCCAATGCTGTTCGAGTCACAAAGGAGAAAACGATTCGTGGGATTGCTCTCGATCTCCTTCTGTCTCGTATAGTAAGGGTCTCAAAGAGACCTGCGGATGGCCATGAAATACATGCCAATGGACAGGCGACCAGAACAGACCCCGAAACATCATCCCAAGGATGGGGGATGCCACTGCAATCCTCCCAGCTCCTATCCAGCCAGAACAACGCATCGAGCAACGTTGAGACGCATTCAGGATCAGTGGAGGCTGCACAACCTCCTCACAAACTGTATAGCCATCTCTCGATGTTTACAAGCTTCAAAAAGCCCCGGTCTATGCCTCGGAACATAGCTAGCCTACTCTCCCAGTGGAAACCAAACACCGACCCATCCGGGTATGATTGGCAAAAGAGCTTACGGTTTGAAGACGATGACACCCAAAGAGAATCAAGAACTCCCAGGCGTGGAAAGAAGAAACGCTCTCAACAGACGCCCGCAGCTGATGCACCACCCTTGCCCCCAACGCCCGTGGCGCCCCTCATGCGAGGCTGGGGCAGTCAACCCGATCAACCAGCACCCGCCTTTCTGCAAAGCAGTCAGCCCACAATAGACGAGGCGCCGATGACACAAATAGAACGCGGGCAGTTCGGAACACGAGATACAAAGAAGGGTGTTAAAGCTAAGAAGAAACGACGGGCGGCAGGATTCTAGCGAGTCATAGCAGGCAGACTGCAGATGGTCAACATGGTATTAAAATCCCCCTACATTCATCGTCTCAGCGCTCGGAGCCACCAAAGCCTCCACTACCCTATCCAGTTCTAGAATATCCACCAGATACAATACAACGATGTCTTAGTACCGCTGCTTGAAATTGCGGAACGCAGCCAGGTCGAAGTGAAGCACACGAGCAGAGTACCAGAAAGTTCTGTAGATACCAGCAGGCAGCCAATCGCGGAAATCGCTCAACCCAGGAATGAAAGCACGGCATGACAAAGCGCATTATAAATCCCCTTCGCTTGACCAGTCCACCTCTGGAATCCCAAAAGCTTCCCCAGCGCAACCCTCTTACGTTCTCGTGTCCTCGTGCTTCCGTGTTTTCGTGCCCTGCCAAACTTCGCACACCTCAACCCGTCGCCCCTCGCGTCCCGTTCCATCCTCCCGCAGCCCCGCGCCCAACTTCAAAATTATGGCCGACCACCAGTACAAGTTCAACGTATCCATGAGCTGCGGCGGCTGCTCTGGCGCCGTGGAGAGAGTCCTGAAGAAGCTTGAAGGTACATTAAAGGCTCTTCTCCTTTATTGTCTTCGATAGTTCGTCGCTAATTGCCCCTCCAGGCGTCAAATCGTTCGATGTCAACCTTGAAACTCAGACCGCGCTCGTCTCCACCGAACCAAGCGTCTCTTATGATACTGTCCTCGCCGTGATCAAGAAGACTGGAAAGACCGTGAACAGTGGCGAGGCTGATGGAGAGCCCAAAAATGTATGAAAGCCGCTTGCCTTGCGAGGATTGTAATATGTTGCATGGCGATGATAGCATCCAGCGTCGAGTTTCGGCCTATTGAGAGTATACCAAGCAACCCCAGATAGATATGCCATTGTGGAAGTTGCAAGTTGCAAGCCAACAAGGCAAAGCCATTATTCTACGATCTTACCAATCTCTACTAGTAGGATTATGACGGAATATACGTGTGCATAGCATGCATGCTACAATGATCAGTATATAGATGCGTCATAGTAATAAGCTACACAAAGGATGGATGTAAAAATGTAAGAATGGACATTCAGAGTCGATGGCAATGCCGGAACCCAATAAATGTAGGTCTCCGTAACGTATGCAGATGGGTATCAAGAAAGTCAATAAAAATGCCAAAAAAAAAAAAGAGAATGCCAAGCTTCGATCCAATAAGCAAATAAGGCCCCGAATGGTATCTGTAAACGCCATGCGACCTAACGCCATGTTGACTCCTCTTCAATCAACTATCACCACATGCCGTCCATCTGGCACTGGATTCTGTGGGGGTTGGGAATTCACTCGTTGTACATAGACAGGGCGATTCTGTTCTGCCATCTGGAAGAATCGCGGATCGGGCGCGCGTCTGCAGGTGATTAGTACTGGAGCACAATCATGATAGATCCCCGTCACAAGAGGCCCTCTTAGTTCGGTCCCATCACAAGTTCAATTTAAAGAAACTTACCGTGTGGCGTGAGATGCATTGCCGTGGCGGTGATCACGAGAACCGGTACCATATGAATATGCTTGACGAGCTGGGGGATGAGGGGGAAGCGGATATGAAAGCGATGTCGCCCATGGGACGGGCAACGGAGATTCCGAGGAGCTCTGATTATGATTATGGGAGCCCTCTTGGGCATATTGATCTGGAACCCGATGCCTGCTGGCTTGAACGATCATTCCAGGTTGTGCCCGTGGGTTATTCGGGGATTCAACCGGGCGAACCTCACGGACATCCACCTGGCGGACAAAGCCGTCCGCGTAAATTTTCCCGGAGGGAAGTTCATGAAGCACATGGCGGTTGCCATTAGTACGGGTTTCCCAATTAGATGGACGCCGATCTTCGACATTGAGAGAACGAACTCGATCCAGGCGGGGGCTACGATCAATGGGGAATTGAGACCAAGCCTCTGGACGGGAAGATTCCACTGTGGCCCTAACTGCGCGATCATCGGGAATCATCATGCCAGTGGGTCCGGAGGATGTGGGGGGAATATGCATAGAGACAGCTCCTGTTGGATCAAAACGCGCCCGGTCTGTTTCAGGTCTAGGGTCAAGGCTCGCTGGCTGTGCGTAGAAAGGACCGGAGGGCATTTCTCGCAGATGGCCGAGGAGCAATGGCTGTTCCTGCGGAGATGGATACTGTTGACGAAGATTATGTCCGTCTTGCAGGCGGATTTCTGGACCGAGCTCAACTCGATGATATGGTAATCTAGGACTCAGATTCTCAGTGACTGGGATAGGTCTCCCATTCCGTGGATCGAAGCGTAAGTCACGATGGGAGCCAGCATAGCATGCGGTTCGTCTTCTTTTGTAAGTAGGGTCATCAGGGCTGTTAGGGACTGATCCGTGGCTACGACCAAAGGCTTCTCCGTGGGCGTGGGACGGAGTAACAGAACGAAGGGTCATTCTCTCCGCCATATGCTCCAAATGCGATTCTGTGCGCCGCTTCTCAGACTGCCTTGGGATTTCAATGGATGGTAGAACCTGGTCACGGGGACTCATTCCTGGTCTACCCCTGTGGGGGGGATCCAAAATGACTATCGCTGGTCTGCGGCAGCTCTGTAGGTCCATGAACGAACACGGGCATATTGGCCTTGTCATTGAGTGGCAGAGGCATCCTTCCCTCGGACCAGGCAGAATCGGTATCCAAATGCAGTGGATGAGGTTTACCATGCGAGGACATGGTGTCTGCGTTCCATCGAGGGCTCTTCTCCCCCGGACGATTCTCCGAACTGGTTAGCTGTTTGAACCTGGAATACGACAAGTTAGGATCCAAAGGTTTGCGCTTTACTGGAGCGATCACGTGGTTATTGCTAGCGGGTAGTCGCTGAGGTGGAGGAACCTCATGGGGGGGGAACCCGTCCACTCCTTGTGAGGGATTCCGTGGTCTGAAGGACTGCATCACCATGCCGAGGAGACTCTTTTGTCTCTTCAATCGCGGAAGGCCGAGCAGCCTGCCGGGGACGCTGCAATTCATTATGCGAGTCCCCTAGCTGGCGCTGCTCAGTGCCCTGTACCCTCTCTCGAGCCCGTGTCAGTGCACGGTTCCAAGCTTGGTACCGACTGAAGCCTCTGCGATCGACGGCAGTTTGAGCAGGAACGTTCAAGACTCGTGACCCCTGTGGTACTTCCTCTGACATACCACAAGTTGAACCCTGGGTAGAAATATTTTCACCCAGGGGCGGTTTGTGCAGCCGGTGAGTTATGGCACGGCTCGAAATGAACTCAACGCTATGGCCCCGAGTGCCGGTTCTCATAGTTTCATCTTCCAGGTCGCTCTCTTCGTCATCGGAGATGACAATCACCTCCCGGAACACGTCCTCGAGTACTTTCTGGCCATTCTCATCGTCTCCACGCCAAGCAATGATCTTGTCGAGCGTCGCCTGCTCGACTGCCGATCTCGCTTCTCTGTAGCCTCCCTCTTTCAGCAGCCGCTCATACGTGGTGTAGGTGTGACGTATGTGGGCCACCACCGCTAACTGTGCTCTGCGAGCCAATGAGAGCTCAAATGCAGTGCCGACCTTTCCTTGACCCTAGAGGTGTGGTAAGATACCAGTCAAAATTCCTTGAACATGTTCTATTCATCTCCTGGGGAAGGGTGCAAATACCTTTTGGAACGAAGTCTTGATAATTTGGAACAAGTCATGGTCTGGAATTTTGGGGAATAGGTCCTTGATCGTGTCTCGTGCGCCGGTATTGATGACTTCTTGAGGTGCATTGGGGTCTAGCTGAGAGTCTTCCCCGAGGGACTCAAGAGTATGGAAAGGGACTGCCTTGCCTGTGCTCGTCAGACGGAGTCCAAGCTCAGTGCAGACCGCTGCCACGACAGGGGTGGGAAAATGAAATCCAATCCGATTAACTTGTCGAGACAGGTGGTGTGTGTTCAGATGAGGAGTAAGCTTGAGTGGAAGGTTAGCAATTGGTCGCATGAGCAAAAGTCAAGGCAATTCTTGAATCGGGGAGACTCTGTAAGCCTTGGTTTCTGGCCTGTTCTGCCTTACCGAAACTGTGCTCATTTTTAGTCCCTCTTTCCTGCATCGTTCCTTGCAAGCGGCAGTAAGCTGTGGGTTGCCAACGGAGATGTATGTGTAGCCAGAAGGTGCTTTCGTTTCGACGGTGTACTGTTCTTGATCAGTCTTCCTCCAAGCATGTAAGCTTCAAATTGCGCACATTCGGTTCGAGTTTTTTCCTTTCTCGGGTGACAGGTTCCATGATCACTTTGTGTTTACGCGCCCTTCTTTGCACCGCACTGCTAGGCCCGCGGCTGGCCGAGGCCGATGCGGCTCCTAGCACCCGGGCCATGTTCGTTGTTGGCCCAGTTGGTGCTTGCACCTCCTCCTAGGAGAACCTTAACACATGTTCATCGAGGCAAAAAGCCAAAAGGGAGGCGAAGGCAGGCGAAGGCAGGCGAAGAACCGAAGGTAGAAGGACTTGGGAGAGACACGGGTCGTATCGAAGGCCAGTAGAGGGCGGGGCGGTGGTTAAAATACGGAAGGAGAAAACGCGTCCACCAGCGCCCGAGCTGCAGGGGTCCGCTCTAAAGAAACAAGAAAGTTGCGCAAGCTCTCACAGGAAGCGAGCCGAGCTTATTGGAAGGTTATCATCAAACTGTTCCCCCAAAGGTCCCAAATAAGGGCAATAAGGTGGGGTGGCAGAACAGAAGCGTTGCGGCCCAAAAGTCACCTGCTCCCAATTGGGCTATTTTTCTGCCTGAGGCCGAAGGTTTTTTCTATCTCGATTTTGCTCTTATCGCATCTCGACGACGCGACTTTCGTCTATCTTTCCTCCGGAGTATAGTCTAGTGTCCCCCTCTCTTTGCACGACACCGCTTCAGGGCGAAGATGACGGCTGTGGTTCATGCATACCGGCATCTGTACAGACAAGGTCTGAAAGCTATTCGATACTCAACCCCTGCCCGACATGTTCTGAGATCCACCTTGCGGAGCTCCTTTCGTTCGTCTCCGCTCGAGGATTTCGACCAGCCTAGAATCGACAACACTCTGGCTTTCATGCAACGGGCTGCAGAAACGAATGGCCTTGAGCACAAAATCCTGCGTAATATTCTAATGACGAGATACTGGGAAACTCCACAAATTGCTAAGGAGTCTCGCATGTACGTAAACAAATCACCCGAATCACGCTGAAACGATGATATGGGTTCTAACTTTACTTGCAGACTGAAGATGCTTGGCCTTGGCAAGGAGGAGTATCGATTGCGCAAGGATGCTTCGAAGCATTTCAATTTGACCCTTGAACGCCTGAATGACAGCCTGGGGACCTGCCTGAAGTGAGGAGCGCGACGATTGCTTTCCCGATTCGTTGCATCACAGCTCTCCCGTCAGGCCCCTGTACATGTGGCCTTTGGGCAGGAACCATGGGGCAACAAAGTGAGTTCCCAAAAGTGGTGTCAATGCCTCAACCCCCATTGCTTCATTGGGGTTTCATTCCTGTCAATCCCAATGGTGGGTTATATCCGTCATGCGTCGGCTGGTCGTGCTTGGACCCAGAACACCAATCGAAGCGCTGGTGACGTTCCCGCTATCATATCTCCCTCACCGCGATGAGAATCACAGGCCGTTCATGCATCTTGCAATGCTCCCCGCTCCAGGCCGCCTCAAGCTGATAGGATGCTTAAGAGGTGCTAGGCTGTGCGGCTGACTGATGTAGTGTTGGTCCGAAAGCGAATCTACAGGAACTATATCAAACTATATATGTGAAACCGGCAATTGAGGGGCCCTTTCCTGATCAATAAGGATGGCAGACAGTTCGGAGATTTTGCCGTTAGACCCCGTAGAAATCGTATGGCAATATTACCACGTGAGAAGGAGTACGTACCTCGCAGGACCTCGCGGGATAAGATCAGGTGAACCCGGACCTGAACGGCATGATGATTCAGCAGAGCCCGACGCCCACGGTCACATGCCACCATTGCCTCAGAAAACTTTGGTGATTCAACTTGTGCATTTGAGTTTGCATTAGATGTCGAGCCCTTCATGAGCAGCCTCATTACCTCACTGCTAGCCGAACTCGGATTCTACCCGCGCGAACCTGCCCCCCCACCGACCACCCCAGGTGGAGTCACCCCTGCATGGACAAACAAACCCGCCCTTGACGAGCCTGGATAGGAGAGCTGGCCTACTTGAAGAAAGGAGCAATCTGGGAACGGCCGGTGGAGATGCGGGATCCAAACCCGAACCTCCCTTCTTCACAACTTTGCCAAAAGAGATGGATCGAAGAAGCCCGGACTCGGTGGGCAATCTGCGGTTGCCTTCGACAGACCCAATCACAAGCCAAACGCAGACCGGACATCAAGCACAACCAATTCATGAGATTGAATTGAGCAATGGCACAGATGACCATCAGTCTTCACCCGCTGAGAATAACGTCTCCGCCACAAGTTTCAATGGTCTGGATGGCACATCCCTTGAGATGAATCATGCCCCGGCAGATGCGCGACCTAGCGCCGGCCAGGGCTTGGCAATTGACGAGTTGGGCCAGCTATCTCTGCCAGCAGATGATGGAATGAGCTTATTGAGAAATAAAATACATGCGATACAACGCCAAGAACTCAGGAATAGCGAGAAGGCCCGAAAAATTCATGACTTGATGACAGAAAGCTACAATTCCTCCCGCCCACTACCGCCGCATTCTCCGACCATGTCCTCCCCCATTATTGAGGCTTCTAAAATTACGACCTCTCCGGCAGGAAGACCCTCCGCGAAGTCGACTATCATGCACTCGCCCACATCCACCCCTGAACAGGACACCCACTTCTTGCTAACCCCCGAAGATCTGCAACCGACCTACGTCCCCAAGCTCGAATCCGAATCAGCCGCAGCGGAAGCAGCTGAAACAGCTGAGTTGGCTGATGAGGATCCGGATACAGAAGAGCTCGATGAAGCGATACTCGGCTGTGAACACTATATGCGCAACGTCAAACTTCAATGTTTTACTTGCAAGAAATGGTATACATGTCGCTTCTGCCATGACGCACATGAGGATCATAATCTGGTTCGTCGGGATACTGAGAACATGCTGTGTATGCTGTGTGGACACGCGCAACCGGCAGCACAGAATTGCCGACACTGTGAAGAGCAAAGCGCCCAATATTACTGCGATATATGCAAATTGTGGGACAATGACAGCAAGAAAAGTATCTACCATTGCAACGATTGCGGCATTTGTCGGATTGGCCAGGGACTTGGAAGGGACTTCTTTCACTGCAAGGTATGCTCCCCCCCCTCCCCATCCTTTCCACATTCTATCGCTTACGAGAGGCTTAGACATGTTGTGTTTGTCTGCCCATATCAATCGAGGACACTCATAAATGCATCGAAAACTCCACGCAGTGTGATTGCCCAATCTGTGGCGAGTACATGTTCACGTCCCCTGATACAGTGGTGGTGATGCGGTGTGGGCACAGCCTTCATCACAAATGTCTGTCAGAATACTCGAAAAGTTCATTCCGATGCCCTATTTGTAGCAAAACAATCACCAACATGGAGTCGACTTTCCGGAATTTGGATCGTACGATTGAAGGGCAGCCCATGCCAGCTGAGTTCAAGGATACCAAGGGTCTCATCTATTGTAACGATTGTGGGGCCAAATCAATCGTGAAGTACCACTGGCTGGGCTTGAAATGCGACTTGTAAGTGGAGTCACAGCATTTGAAATCGTTGCAGATATTAAAAAATTCAGGTGTGAATCATACAACACAGCTCAAATCCGGTTGTTGCAAGGGGACGCATACAGCTTGCTCGAAGAAGAAAGGCTAAGGGACGAATCATCCCAATATCAGTCACCACAAACTGCGAATGAAGAACCAGTGACATCGCTGGCATCTTTGCATCTGAGCACAAGCCCAATTCACCAATCACATCTTGACGTACCGGTGTCTGCTGGATCTGACCGACGCTTTGTATCCTACAATATGACTCATGGCCGAGCAATCTCACCCGTGGTCGGTAACTACTTTGGTTTGCCTCCTGAGCGCGAGTCCGAAAGGCCAAGCTCCTTGCCCTTCTTCGGGAAAACCGGTCCGTCTAACAATAGTGAATACGGAGCACTCAACTTTCTCAGCAAGAAACTTCGTGATCGTTATGGGTTCCTCGCCGGAGATGCCGCAGCAGCTGATGGGATATCGGAAGCCGAAGAGGAAGATGATGCCGAGTCTTCAGAAAGCTCAGTCCCCGACGAGGACGACGGTGATGAAGAAGAAGATGATGATGATGATGAGGATGAGGATGAGGTGGACCATTTGGACATTTTTGGTCATCGATGATCCAGACAATCCTCTGTAACCCTTTGTCTGGGGCTTTGATTCTTCGTGAAATCCCTCACCTTTGCAACTGCCAAGCCTGTTGGACTCTGGCTTGCTTCCTTGAGAAATACCTGTCTCCCGGTGCATAAAACCCATCGCTCCATCACAGACCCTATCAGCATGAAGGTTTCGTCTTCTCATGTCTTCTCATACATTCGGCGCCGTGCGGAAGGTTGTGGCTGCATCATATTGAACCTGGAAACAGACGTTTGGTGCCCTCGAGAAACGCCCATAAAAAATACGCGGCTCAGCAGCTTGGTCTGCTCCGTCACAGAAAACCCGCTGTGATCAATACGGCATGCATATTTTTCGTTAATAAACTTGCATTAGCATCATGATGAGACGATAGCGATCAAAATTCCATAAAATTAATCACCTAATTCCACACTTAAAAATAGTTAGATCTAACTATGTAGATTTGCTTCGTAATGCCTGAGGATGTGATGCTGTTACATCGATTCCTTGAAAGTAGCGTAAGTGTAGTTATGCTCTCGTGAATATACCTCCATCTTTATTCTCGTAGTCATTAAGATCACGATTTGAAGCCATGTGGGTGGGTCTTGAGACGCGTGGCCTTGTGTGTACGACCTCATTGATGCATTGCGAGTATATCGATAACTACTTCAAGTTGAAGATGCCAATTTGAGAGAAATTCTGTCGAGTCCGGCGACTTGTTAAAATCCATAACACTGCTAGCTTACATCAACCCTGGTGTGTCGAGGACCATAGCTTCTTGGTTGCTAATCTTAGGGTTTGTGACTAGTCACCACTAGATAGGGTGGCCTCCCAGATTCCCCAAGATTTAGAGACAGGTTAAGCAACAGGTTCGATTAGGTGAAACCATCATACCAAATAGCAGATTAAATACCCCATAGAACGTTCGATTTATCTTTCCGAACAAGAAAATTTCAGGCGCATCTATAGAGAACTTAATGACTCGTTATCGGGGGCTTTGGCCCGGAGAAAGAGGCGCAGCTTAGCTAATCGGTGACGCCTTTCTGCTTGCGGCGATTGGATTCCATCTTGGAAGTCAGCAATGCCGTGATCTGTTTTCGTGAAGATTAGAGGCCACAAGCTGCTTTCGCTCATTTCTTTTGCTCTGAGCACGTCTCTTCCCCCCCTTTTCCCTCAATATGAACTGATCCTGGCTCATCTCGACTGAAACAAAGCACGGATCCTTCCGCACCCCCGGCCGCCCTGCCCTGAAGCATATACTCCCTGATCACGGTCGTGGGCCCCGAATTGCGCTTCTTCTCCCTTTGAACTCCTTATACTGATCGAAGGGGTGACGATAACTGGGTTCGTCTGCAATTTCCTCACCAACCACGCCCAAGAGCTTCTCTAATCTCTTATCAGCTGAGCATTGCCCCGCCGCCTACCGTGATCAAGAACCTCTCGCTACCCCTGCGCCTAAGAGTGTACGGCGTCCCACGACTTGATGATGATGCGTCGTAACTCCGACATCGAGATTCAGCTCCCGGACGCAGGGCCGACCCCCCTTTCTCCCGAGTCGGCACCAGAGGCCGACATTGAAATGCTCTACGACGAACCTGTTCTGCCTCTGACGCTCCCACCGAACATTGCCGCTCGCTTTTACCGCCGAAGCAGCAAGATACGACGCTCCTCCAGCGTCTCATCCCGCAGGAGCTCTATTTCCTCATTACATTCACACCACTCGAACGCGTCTAATGGCGCAGCAACCGACGATAATATAGCGCAACACCTTCGTCGTACTACGATCATCGAGAACCGTAAGGCTAGACTGGCTGATCGTGCACTCCACGCCGAGAAGGTCAGACTGCGTGCGGCCCTTGCAAAAGCAGCGACACGAAACCTTCAAATCGAGGCGCGGGCGCTGGCTGCTCAACAGGCTCGGGAGCGTCTCTTGGCAGATATAGCAGCGAAGTGCGAGGATCAGGTCAAAAGAGCCAAGAAGAAGGCCGAGGACCAACGGGAGAAGAAAGCCGCCGAGTACGCCCGTCTCAAGCTTGAGATGACAGAAAAATTCGCCGAGGCTGAAAAACGGAGAACACTTTACCAGCAAACCCACCGGCGCCAGCGCACCAGCAGCCTACCCGCTACAGAGGAAAAGAAGATGGTCAAGGCACTCACTCGAGATGCAGCAGCGCGCAAGATCCAGCGAGTGTGGAAGACGCATCACGCAAAGAGGGTCATGCAGGAGTTCCACGGTCTCAACTTGTCGGTGGAACGAATCCGTGATATGCCCTTCGAGGAGGTTGGAATTTTGGTGTCCAACCAAGATGTCCTTGACACCATGACCAAGGTCCTTCGACTATGCGGCTTGAATGATATGGAGGGCGGTGCTTTGGGGAACGAGGCGCCGTTCGCACATTTCTTAGTAGTTATTTGATTGTCACTCACCCCGCTGAAGTTCTGAGCGGGGACGGCGAGCAGGAGCAAGATCTCATTGCAAAGGCGCGCGAGCTGCTCTCGGCTTTCGGCCAGGTCACCGCATTGCTTTCATCCGGTTGTTGCTCTCCAGCCGTTATCAGTGCCGATTTACAGACCCTATGCGAGTCTCACAATGTGTTTTTCTCCGCTTTCCACGCATGGAAGTCTCACGACTCGACTGTTTTGATCGAGATCATGCTTGCTCAATTCGTGGAGCTAGAGATGATCTGGCAGACTGTTAAAGGCGACACTGCGGGTGGCGTTGCCGAGGACTACCGACAAGGCATCCGACAGAACCAAATCCTCCTTCTGGCTCGCTTGAAACGCCTTGCAGGCTCAGATCGCGCAATGCAGATGGTTCGAGATTCTCTCAAGAAGGCTAAGCGAGAGAAGAGACGCTCAGCCTCAAAGCAGGCCATCCCTCGATCTGCCGAAGTGGCCCCTGCGTCGACAGAAGTTTTGACGGAGAGTGTTACTTCTCCTATTAGCGAATCATTCAATAACGTTGATGCGGCCGTCCTTCAGGAACTGGACAAGCAGCGAGATTCTCCGCATGAACGATTCACGAAAATTCTTACTGCTTTGCCGGAGAATCGAGTGTTAGTGCACGAGCTCTTACTAAATAAAGAATTCAAGATAGAAGAAGCGTCCTACGCCGAACCTCGGAGACAGATCATGGCGCACATGTGCGATCAGATGAGAAGAGATGTGGAAGCTGGTCAGGGCACCGCTTGGACCGTTGCTATGGCCACTGTAATCCAAGACCGTTTGCTCCGATCTCTCCGACCTGGCAACTCCCTATACGTGTTGATCAGTGAAGTCCTTGACCCCAAACTTGTGGAATCGCAGTGTAATGCAGGATCGTTCTCCTACAGCAATTTCTTCGACTTCATGAACAACATTCTCCCTCGCCTCTGTGCTCCTTATCGAGACCCTGCCGTCAAGGCGTTCGCAGAGGATACATCCGGGGACGCCATCGACCGACTAGCAAGGTTGATGAGTATCATCGATCTTCTGTCTCTTGACCACACCAACTTCATGATTCAGATGGCTGCACCTCAGCTTATTCAAGAAGCACCGGGATATGAGCAACGGACCTTTGAGAAAGGCATTGCCGACGGATCTATCACCTTAGGCAAGACTAGACGATTCTTGCGCACACACCGGAAGATTATTGTCGACGAGATGAAGAAACGAGACCCGGAGAACATCCACGGAGAGCCCCAACCTCACTCCACAAGAATCTATGCGCACGGCCTTACCGACTTGGTTCTCAGTAACGCGGCTGTTTCTGAGGACTTGATTCCGGAGACCCTCGCCCTCGACCACCAACGACTAGAGCGATTGCACGCTCGCGCATTCCAGATCGTTGCCACAGCTTCTATTCTGTTGACCGCGAAGAACCTCCTGAAACGTGATGCGCGATCTCAGTGGAAGCCAGAAGCGGACCGGATTCTCTCTCTCGACTTTAATGAGATCACCGTGGAACGAGTGCGGTCGATTCTGGAGGCCACACACCCCATGCCAGCCTCCGCCAGCGCACAGCTCACAGCCACAATCAAACGAGTCCCTAGTACCGGTTGCCGCTGCGAAGAACGCTGCGGCCCCTCATGCTTCCGTGCACGTGCAAGCTGATAGCTTTTCTGAGGGGTCAAGCTCCTCTCGGGACGATGCTAGCGATTCTTCTGGCGGACCCCCTGGTTCTCCAAATCCTAGCTTCACTGATCCTGTAGCCCGCCTCATCTTATCGCGGCTGCGGAGTCACGTTCTCTCGCGGTTGAGTGCCTCAAGTGCTTCCGAACGAGTTCGGACAACGACCACCGCCAGTCAAAGCTTGGCCAGTGCCGGTATGCCGGAGTTTGTGGGGGAAGTTGGGCAACTGGTGGATGAATTGGAGAAGGTGCGAGAAGTGGACTGGCAGTGCCACGGTGCGGTATACGAACGATTATTTGAAGAAGGGACTCTCTCGCAGTAAGGGCGTTCTGAATGGGGGGCATTATAATATTAATATCATGATCTTGTGATGGAGTCTTTACATCGATTGTTATATTGAAGGGTCTGGATCTGGATTTCTGATTTTAGCAAGCTGGCAGATTGGCAGGATCGTTTCATTACAAGCACTTGCGTACGGATTTGATGTAGTCTTAAGAGGCCGTTCCTAGACTCTTATATGCTATAAGAGATATATCAGTGTAGTATAGTAAATATACTTGGCAAGATTTATGTAAAAGCCAAGTAAAAGCCAAGTAAAAGCAAAGTAAAAGCAAAGTAAAAGCAAAGTAAAAGCAAAGGGGGGAATAGTAAATCACAATCCAACCCTATTCAACAAGATGGTCATGGTCAGCGCCCAGGCCTACTAAACAGCTTTTAATCGAGGCTTCAGGTTAATTTTCTCTTCTAGATAGAGCACTGGGGTGCATTGGTAGTATGCTCGTTAGCGTGCTTAGTGGGGCGGTCGTTGGGACAGGAGCTTATGAGATGTAACGTGTCCAATAAATGTGTAGGATGGGTCATCAGCTGGCATTGTGGTCTAGATCTCGATAGGAACAGTGAAAAGAAGGAGACTCGAGCCTCGAAATGCTCCTTCGAAGGGGATTTCGGTGGACAAAATGTTAGCGGCAATATTACGAGCCATTCTTTCCATTCGGTGAAATCTCGCGGCATCTCTTCCCGGACTTTGGTGCTCAGTAGCACCTTGTAAGAATCTTTGTCGGCGCCTCTTGTGATCGGCCTGGAGCGATCACAACCGATAGCCACGCTTGGCGCATTCAGTTTAGGGATATGGACTGGTGTAGCCCCAGCCTGGTCCTGCTGTGCGTAACGGGTGAAGGAGGAATGGAAATTGCGGTTGCCTCCTCCTCCCAGGTAGAGGCTGCCATAAACTCTGCCTATATCATCATTCGCTCAGTGGAAGGCGATTACAGCCGTCTTTCGATAGGGCTTGGATTTTGTCGCGTGGTGTATGGCCGCCTCCAAGTCGGTAGAAAATTGATCCAGGCGCTTCCTGGCCTGCTTCAGGTTTCTTTGAGGTAGGTATGGTGAAGAAAGTCGAAATTCTGAGGAGATTTCTGGGGAAGATATAGACATGTATAGGACATCTCCACAGGGACCGCCCCACCTCTCTCAAATTGGACTAGCTTACACTATTACACTAGCTTCGACTAGCTTACCTAGGATTCGCTTATCTCGCTTATCACCTGCCACTCTCCTAGTACTGGTATCAGGTCATATACAAGATGCCATTTTCATAGGGCATTACGTGGATTCGCCGAGTAACCTAGCTGAGCTTACAGTGAGGGACGTACACCGGGAACGTACACCGGCATCTACACCATAATTAACCTACTACTCTTACAGATATATCAATGAGAAAAGTCAAAGTGCCAGTACTAGCATTCGTTACTCATGGGCTACATGATAGCCCAGACTAGTACAGTCCCCACGGCCGGTCCACCATTTGGGGAGTCAGTTTTCAGCAGAGATCCAGAAGGAACTAGACTTTAAATCTAGTCCTAACTTCAGACTCTACTGGGAGACGACTTCCACATCTTCCACGGCATCCAGGGGCAGCACGTGGTTTCGACCAGTAACGTCCTCGAAGAGTTGTTCAAGGAACTTGGTCGGATTGCCACCGCCGCCACCGGAGTTGTGGAAGACGTGTGTGAACGCCTGAAGGTCTCCAACCACAAGACAGACCTGGCGGGCTCGACTGAGGGCAACATTCAATCGGGCCTTGTCGGCCACAAATTGAATTGCCCCTCGGCCTTCCGCGCTGGGCTTGGTCAATAAGATGACCACGATGTTTGCTTCCCGTCCCTGAGCTGCATCGACGGTGAAGATGTCGTGTGGTGCGAGGCCCTGTAGTTTCAGCTCGTCACGACACCGCTTCAATTGCGCTCGGTACGGGGTGATGATCATCATATCTTCCAGCCCAATTCGTCCATTTGCGACCTTGAAAAGGCCGGCCAGGATTCGTCGCACAGCCTGTACTTGGGCAAGATTCTCCCACGAAGTTCCCATGCTCTCTTTCGTCGCGAGGCCTTCGACGTCCACCCAGATTCGCCGTTGACCAACCAGGTCATCGTAATGCCCTCCAAAACGACGACTGATCTGATGCATCCATTCGTCGAAGACGACACCACTAGGACCGACTTTTCGAGGGTTTGTATTGGCCTGGTGGGGAATCAGAGTGCCGTGGTACACTCTGTCGTTGAAGAAGCGAAGGATGTCCGGGTGGTTCCGGTAGTTCAACCTCAGTTGGGTTGCTGGGTAGCGCGCATCTCTCAGACGCTCGAGGAGCGATCGCTTGAGAAAGTGAGCCCATTCGTTCTTCGCGTGCTCGGAGAGGACCGTTGGAGGCAGCTGGAAAGGGTCTCCAATGAGAACGACCGCGCGCAGGGATGGGGTTGTCAAGCCAATCATCGCCTCTCCTTCTAACGACTGGCCAGCTTCATCACTGAGTATGAGCGCTGGTTGGAATCCTTGCACACTTCTCAGCACCAAGTTACCCGAGTTGCTCAGGGTCGAGGCAACGACACGAGACTCCTGCAACACGAGAGTCAAGACTTCTTGATATGCCTTCTGGAACAAGCCATATTCACGGGAATCCAAGCCTCTGTCCGTGTCAAGAGCGTCAAGTGCAGACAAGTCTCGACACGATTCCTGGCTCGGGTGGCTTCTCATGTAGTTCCGAACAAGAACATGCGCCTCGTGTTGCAGCGTGTCGGGGTTGAAAAAAGAGCTGTCTCGTCGAAGAAGGTAGTTTCTCGTCGCACTCTGCGCTCGGAATGCGGCAATCTGGGCCTTTTCCGTTCGAAAGCGAATGATTTGACCACAATCCCTAGCAATGTAGGTGCTCTGTTTGAGCAACTTGACCACTGCCGCTGTCAGGTTATCAACGGCTGTATTAGAAGAAGCAGTTATGAGGACTTGAATCTTCAAGTACATCGCGATCATAATGATGAACGCCGCAGTAACAGTTTTCTCAGTTCCAGGGGGGGCCGATAATCAAACTCAGTCCACAGCGGATAGTATCTACAGAAAAGTTCACTGCTTCCTTTTGAGATTCATCAAGGCGTGCAAAGAACATCTTCCTGAATAAAGCGTAGCGTTGTACGGCCTCAGTAGCTGGCAGTGGTGAGAGGTCCTTCAAGCTGAGCTCGAAGTAGAGAGAGCTCTTTGGATCTAGCTCGACTTGATGAGCCAGGACCATTTTCATGAGGGAGAAACCATGGCTTCTTCCTGAGGGGTATCACCAAAGACGCATGGTTTGCTCGCTTTCTTCAAGGCCTCCATCTGTGCATCTGCCGGGGTTGTGTCTACCCAGACATCCAAGGTAATAAAGGTACGAACAGGATTTTTTAGCGGTGGGAGGTCTCCATCATACTCAAGAACAAAGTCGAAGTCGGAGTCGGAAGCAATGACAATTCCCCTCTGCTGGTTCTGCGGCCCATAGTCGTAATCGAGTGGGTCATCCTGCAGAACGAAGGAAACCCTTGTTGACTCAGGAAGATGGACAAAGCGGCCTTCGTTCACGACTTTGACAAAGATGTGGTGGATTTTGCCCTGTGATTCAATCATGGCCTTGTGGGTACGATCTTTGTTGAAAACTTCAGTGAACTTCCGGATTTGTTCACATTTTTCCAAGCATGTCGCATCAACAAGACGGTAAATTCGGTCATGGTGACTGACAAAGAATGGATCAGACGGTTTGTATTTGTACAGTCTCTGCTTGTTGTGGTTGGCCCAGAGCCAGGCCGGGGGAGGCCGGTTCATATCGTTAGGGCTGTACAACTTGCGGTACCAGAACCCTCCATTACTTTGATAAGCCAGCCTGGTCAATCTGATGAACCATTCGCACATTCCTCGTTGCACATTTGCTGCTCCAGAATCCGTTTCCATTTCCATCCACAAGTTAACATCCTTGCCAGGTCCTATGCTTTTAAGAGCTTCCCATGCGTCCTTCATGGCTTGCGTTCGTGGAGCCTCCGAGTCTGGGCCTGGGAACCCGATAATAGTGGGTGCTTGGAAGACTGCGAGTTTTATAGCCATTGCCCTTTGCCATGGTTTCCAACCATTGCAGTAGTAGTCGTAATGCTTGAAGGGGTTTAGCGGGCTCATGCGGGCAGTCCTGATGGCCTCGGTGAATGGGCTTTCCTCGCCTTCAAACCCGTAATCGAAACTGCAGTCTGCTGCTGGGAAGACCACCTCGCCATTACAGCGATCATCAACGAATAGATGGACCTTGGGAAACTGGGAATCGAGCGAGATCTGCATCTTCACCTCCACTTTCGACTTCATGTCTTCAGAAGTCATGACACAACGCCAAGGATTTCTTCTGTTGAAATTCGCAGGCCAGTCTTTGTCCTGGGGGGGCTTGGAACCACGTTGGCACAGAGAAACCATTGAGATCGGCAACCTCCCAAAGCAAATCTGGTCCTGTATCGGAAGCCATTTTCGGCGGGTTCGTAGGGACCGAAGAGATATGCTTAAGGACCACGCGAGATTCTATGAAACATTTTAGGTGTCAGTAACATGGAAGCCAATACAAGAAGACATAGCAGCCATCTCGTAAGTATATCAAAGATTATAACAACATTTTGCTCACGGGGGCGTGTACTAAGAGGATCTGGAGAGAAGAGAAGAACGGGATAGAGTTGAACGAACGAGGAGAGATGAACGAGGAGAGTGGGGTAAAACGAAACGAAGAACTAGATACCCTGTAAGAAGCAAGGATGTTTAACTTGCAGTATGCTCATAGACTGATAAACAGAATATGAGTTCGTGATAGATATCAACGTGAGTGAAAACGAAAGAGGAAGTGAAGTAAAAGGGAGAGGTTCGTTAATTAGAATATTAACTGCAACTTCTTACCGCCAATAAAGAGGTGAACGAAGATTTAATTAGCACCCTCGTTTCGGATATCTCCTTCCAGGGCTCTTGTAAACAGAGTGTCCTGGTGACTGGTGGCTGTGAGCTTTGGTGGCTGTCCTGTCAATAGCTCACCTTCCCCCGGACTTCGGGATTGAAAGTTATCCCCCCTATTCTATTTTCGTTTCGCTCATATATCGAACTCCTATCAACCCTAAATTTCCTAGTCTATATCCTATTTTCATTTGCTTTCGACTGCCTCTTATACTAGGTACTCAACATGGTCAATTGAAACCTAGGCCCGTCGATTTACCCTGTAGGAATATGCATCTTTGATACTAGCCATAGCTAAACCTGTAGCCCAAAAGGAATCTCACTAAAATCAGATTGTATTTGTATTTAGATGTCAGAAACTCTAATAATAGAAAGGAAGGGACGCTTAGACGTTACATCCTTTCTATGCTCGAATGGAGCACACTACCATAATTCGATCATTTTTCTTCAACGGCAGACAGCACTAGACAATAGTATGATTTTGAGCATATCAATGCTCACAATAGAACACCAATGCCCTAGATGAATCTATATGCATGATTCTTATGAATACTGGGGAGTCGAAACAGCCTGACTAAAAAAATGCGGAACCGATATCGCGATATCTAATCGCAACCCCACATTTCCATATCAAATCCGCCCAAAAATTCCCGCCACCACACTCTCGCACATGCTCACGATGGCGCCAAATCTCACGCTACTATCGGACCTGACGCCACCCTCGCTCGAGCGAACCTGGCTCACAGCACCCCACCCCACGCTCCCGCTCGTGGCAACATGCAGCTCCGATAAGACGGTGCGGGTGTACTCGCTCACGAACTTCAAGCTCCTCTCAACCATTACCGGCGGGCACAAGCGGAGCGTGCGAACATGCGCGTGGAAGCCTCATGTGCAAGGCGAGAGCGTGCTTGCCACTGGTAGCTTTGACGCCACGGTTGGGATTTGGCGGCGGTGGGACAGCTACGGGCGGGGTGAGGGGAGGCGGGGAAGTCGTCCCCGAGAGCCGTGATGAGCAAGCCGGGGACGAAGAAGATGAGGAGTGGCGGTTTGCAGTGCTGCTGGATGGACATGATAGCGAAGTCAAGTCGGTGTCATGGTCGCCGTGGGGATGCTGCTTGCGACATGTGCGCGGGACAAGTCGATTTGGATCTGGGAGGATCTGGATGATGGGGACAACAATTTTGAGACGGTTGCTGTGATGCAGGAGCATGGCGGCGATGTGAAATGCGTCTCGTGGCATCCTGTGGAAGAATGTCTGGCCAGTGGGGGTTATGACGATACTATTCGATTATGGCGAGAAGACCTCGACGACTGGGGCCAAGTGGCGTGCATCAAGAAGCATGAGGGAACCGTGTGGGCTTTGGACTGGGAAGGTCCTGAAACCACCCCTCATTCGTCAGAGCAGAGTCTGCAAGCTCAATGGCGGGAGCAGCGTGCACTATCGGGCCCTCGACTGGTGTCCTGCTCAGATGACCGCACAGTTCGAATCTGGCGTCGCTTGCCTAAGGAATCTGCACTGCCGAGCACGCTCTCCTCTGCAGCAACTGGCATTCCCAGTATTATTCGGCCGACAGGTACCGACGAGACTTGGGAGGAGGATGCAGTGCTGCCACAGTCGCATGCCCTTGTGGTGTATTCCGTTGCTTGGAGCCACAAGTCAGGTCTCCTTGCATCCGTCGGCGCTGATGGGCGAATTGTCGTGTACGAGGAACGACTGGTTGCGTCCACACCCGATACAGACGCAATGGATACCGAATCAGAGAGCAGAGCTCCATTAAAAACCGAGTGGGTGATTCTTGCCGTGGTCAATGGCGCGCACGGCATCTATGAAATAAATCATGTTGCATGGGCCAAAAGAGCAGACCGTGGCTCTTCAGATGGAGAGGAGGTTCTGATCACAACAGCAGACGATGGGAGTGTGAAGGTATGGACGCTGCAGCCGTAATATACACCAACATCGATCTGGAATCATGATGAGGGCATCTCATCTCAAACAACCCTACTAAATAGATCACTCAAGCAGCAATGTACTCTAAACATGAAATATATCTATGAAAAGGTGCTATACATTACGAACCAAAATGAAAGAGATCAATCGGATATATTGTCTATCAGAAATCCTAACGTCTTGGATTTCGTATATATGCTTCTTGTGAACCAGAAGTAGTATAGCAGAGAATCAGTCGAAGAGGATACAAGAGCCCAAACACATCGGAGCAAGGGAACATCCTTACTAGTAGATGAACAAAGATTAATAACTGGTTATACCGATCCATATGCTACTTATCATGATTTGTCGTTCTGGCTATCCGCCGGAGGATGGGCTTCTTCGTCGTCGTCACTGGCTCCACCGAGAGCGTACCGCTCTTGATCGAGACCAGGAGACTGAAGCCTATCTAATTCGGCTTCGTCAAAATCAGCAGCCTCAACATCAGCTCGCGATCGCTTGTTTTGGAACCGGTTGAGAACAGAAGTGCCCAGTTCCATAGATGGGCGGTTGACACCTTTGTAGCCCTTGTGGGAACGACGGCTGCGCCAGATAAAGAAGCCCCATACCGTCACACCGATAATGACAACTACTAGAATGGCCTCGCCAGACTTTGTGTAGGCGTGCATTTCAGTATCTTTGATTCTTTGTTGCTCCTCCTTCTCCGCAGCGGTACTATTGGGGTGGCCACCGACCGAGGTTTGGGGGAGCTTCTCGCCATCGATACGGGAATCCGCTGGTTGGCCACCGATGCTGGCAATATCAACGTTCATGAATCGGTCGAGCATATCGCGAGTTTGACGGGGCTGATCAAATGGAACCATGTGGCTCGCGTTGTGGAAGAGAACATAGGTCAAGTTTCGAGCGTGTTGGTAGTAACCAGCCGACTCGCCTTCGAAGGTCCACTCGTGGCGCGGTGCCCAAACACCGGGCGCAGTCTCAAAACCAGTGCCCCCCTTCCATTTCATGTTGTGAATCAAGTTCTCCGTACCAATGTGGTTACAAATCAGATCTTTGTCACCACTGAACAGCAGAACATTAAGGCCAGACTCGATTAACTCAGGAAGGAATGTAGCCGCAGGCTTCGATTTAGGCGCCTTGAGTGCACCGCCGACCTTGCCTGAGCACTCTGTCCAGCCGGTCATCTTAGCCGGCTTGATGTTCAGCGCTTTAATGACATCCTGTCGTCGAAGATAAGGCTCAATATCCACCAAGTCTGGAGGCCAGTTCAAGCCGCACGAAGGGTGTGAGTCCTTAAGACGGATATCATAAACGTTATAACACTGCTTCTGATCGTCGAGAGTGAGATCGAGGAACTGCGACATGACCAAGTCACACGCGGGGATTGCCAATCTGTCGCGAGCCCCAGGGGCCTCCAGTTTGGATTGACAGGCATCATTCAGGGCTTGCAGGGTTTGGTATGTTGGGGTATCTGGCTCGATCAGACCTTCTCGTTCGACAAACTCGAAAGTGGAAGGGTATTGATCTGCAGGACCAATCCAGCCATTTCCAATCAGCAAGCCACGAAGAGGCCATTGCTGCTTCCCAGCCTTTGAAGCTTCCTCGTTGCGTTTATTAATAGCCCTTGCGATATATGGGATATGTTGGCCCGCGTAGGATTCACCAGCGAGATAAACCTAAGATGCTCTGTTAGCGTGTGGTTCGGTAAAAATATACTTTTCAGTCACAAAGGAACCGGGCATCACGTACATCATCATTGTCATATTCGGGGAATATTTCGAAGAATTTCTCCAAGAACACCATGAACTGGGAGGCCATTTCGTCCAACTCATGGACATAGTGGTCTGTATCAACGTAGCTGAAGCCCGTGCCAACCGGCTGGTCCACAAAGAGCAAATTGGCGAACTCGTCCCACGAGCCTTCGTTAATGGTCAAAGTATGGTCGTTCTTCAGACGGTATGGTCCCACTTCCATTAGAGCCCCATCCATAGAACTGCATCCCGGACCACCGTTCAGCCAGATGACAGTCCGCTGTCTATTCGCGATATGTTGGTTCTGGAAGTGCCAGAAGAATAAATTTCCGTTGTTCTCCGCGTCGACTTCGATATGTCTGTCCATCTTGTTAGCAGACAAAGCCAGGCCAGAGCCCATTCAATTGTGCGTGGCGTACCCAGCATGCATCTTCAGCGCAGGACCAGTAGGGGCCCCCGGTAAATCTCGAACATAATAATCCGCAGCCGACTCTGCTGCCGCTAGGGTGAGGCCTAGATTTAAGGAGAGTGTCCATGATAACGCGGTCAGGGCACTCCCTCTCTTTGAGAAGAAATGCATCGCAATGAGCTTCAGCGAAATCCTCCGCTGGGAACCATAGGAAGCTCAGCGGAACCTCACGGGTGAAAAACCAGGTCGTGGCAGCACCGGAAGGATGGCGTCGCAGAACCGGGACTCGAGAACGGAGGAATCAAATCATGAATGTTCCCGTGAGGGAACGGCGCAAGGGCGAGAGAACTCGGGGTTGAATCGAACGTTCCCGACTTTCAGACAATCTTCCGAGAGCGTCCAGGTAAATATCCAGAAAGTAGAAAAGGGATCGTGAAGAAAGGCAGCCTGACGACACTGAGGCGGAGCGGACAAGCTGGCGTGGCCTGGACCCTTGGTACGGTTGGTATCTCCATTACAGCATTATCTAATCAATACACCAGTCTCACTGGGCGATATGATGTATAATTTGTACTATCTGTGTACCAAGCGCCCAATACATGACGCCCGTTCCGTCTTGATCCTATTGAGATCTGATTAGGGAGGCGCTCTTTGTCCCTGGACCCCCCTAGTTTGCGCTCACTATTACTACTGCTGCTGTGGCTGCTTTGATTTTGATTCCATTCATGCCAAACACGGGATATATAAGCTCCAACTCCTTGTCTAAAACCACGCCATGTCCCCAACCTTATGTATTTACGTTTTACTTTTGGTTTACGGCTGTTCCGATCTCAGAAAAGATCGTCGACACCCTTGTCCGCATCCTTTTTAATCAGATCCACCATCCCCTGAAGGTGTCAGCGTCCGAAAGGGGAGGGTTTCTGGAGGGGCTCCTTACATCAGGCATGATGGGCTGGCCCTTAGCATCAACCACATAGCGGAATGGCATCTCAGTGCGTTCGTGTTCACTAACATGGATTTCAGGGTAGTCGACATAGGAAATGTCTTCCAATGGCACTAGAGACAGATTAGTGGAGGAACTCAGAAAAGACCAAGAGGTAGCATGCGAAGTGTTTTTTTTACCTTTCTCGTGAACCACCAAACGGGTTACTCGCACCGCTGTATCAGTGGTCATTTGCTTGGGCCCCAAACGACGGCCTGCGTAGCCCTTTTTACGCAGCTCCGAAGTCCGGTCTGTACAGTTAGCACCAATTGCTCAGAATATCTGCGAAGAACATTCTCACCTCGAGGGGGATCGTCGCCTACAAAGTTCGGTTAGCCTGTATCACCAGAGAGATCACATGGTGCCTCTGCGGGGTATCCCCAAGAGTATATGGAGAGCATACCAAGGATTCCACCAAACAAGAAGACATCAAAGTTCTCCCCGTCGGCTGGGCTCAATTCAACCTGAGCCGCAGGATCCAGCAGGCAAACGCGGTCCTTGATATCAGCGAAAATATCTTCGACACTGCGCTGCTCCACCTCCAAGCCTTGGGTGGCCGCTAAATCGGCGGGCATCTGCAGCTCGGCGGGCACAGAGCTAAGTAGGAATCGTGCCCCGCGAGCATGCGATTCGCGCGCAATACAGCCATATTCCAGCGCCGACCAAGGACCAAGTTCCGGATCCAGATGCTCGACCACAAACGCCTTGGTCAACGGGGTCTTCTGATCAGCCATTGCGGGGGAATTTGCGTGGGTGGCGGAGAAGTAAAGGGGGGAAAAAACTGTGTAAATTTGATTCGGCGGAGAATGTGCGGATGCGGCCTGTTTGGGCTTCTTCTTTGGGGACTTTCGCCTTCCCCTCTATCCAATGCGGGCAAGAGGTCTATCTGCACTGTTCCAGGACATGTCTGCAATAGGACCAGAAGGTTCCCATCCTATCGCCCTTGAAAGTGGCCAATCTCGGGTATCTAGAGACTCGTCATTGCTTGATGACGTACATTTCCGTGGGATTGAAGGACAATGTTTGAGAGGGACGGAGCACCAAGAATACATAGTAAAAGAGCATAACAGTACAAACAAAGAACAGAGGTCTAAAATGACTCACAAGGGCCAATCATACTACGAGGAGTTAGTTCTCTGATAGGCACGCCGCCTCGAAGCTGCCAAAGTCAAATGCCCAAACGTGAGGATCCACAGATTTGGGCTCGGGAGGACGTTATCGATAATCTCTCACTTCGCCATACTTTACTTCCCCAAACTTCTTCTGGCTTTCCACTTCTCCTGCCTGATTCCCATTGAATCGCTACAGTCTTATTTCCCTCCTCATCGCCAACTCACTCTCCTTTGACTTTTCGGCGGATTTGACCCCCTCCGGCACTATGAATCCCCACCAGCAGAACAAGGTCGACATCAACGTGAGGGCACTTCCATTCCCTCTAGAGCTATTAATCTAATACATCCAAGTCTCTCACCCCCGATGAGCAGCGACTGTTCCGCATGTATGGCAAGCTGCCCACCAAGAAAGACCTGCTCCAGAACAAACTCAAGGTGAGTTTGATCACTCCCCTCCCGCATCTTCCCCTCCTTAGTCGACTACTTTTCATTCTGCCTCGATCCGATCCGCTGCTGCCCAGCATACTACCTGACTCTGTTGAACTACCCTGTAGATGCAATCATCCTCCCGAAAATTCCACTTGGATCAACTGGATTATCCCAATACTAATAGACCTACCCCTCCTAGGAGCGCAAGTACTTCGATTCCGGCGATTACGCCCTTAGCAAGGCCGGCAAAGCTTCAGACGTCGGCGTAACCAACATTGGCTCTCGCCACCCTCGTCCCAGAGGACATCCCACACCTCACCGCGACATCTCCTGGCACCGACAACGCAGCGGCCGTGCCTGGAAATGGCGGCCCCGTCAATAGCCAAGGCCAACAACTTCCCGGCAGCATCAGCGGTCATCCCGGCTCTGTGGGGTTCCAAAGCCGCAGCCCTGTCAAAGAGGGCAGCTTTCTGCACCGGGGCACAAGCATCAGCGAGGGCTCCGCTGGGCCAGTCTTACACAAGGACAAGGAGGACGACGAGAAGGATCTCAGCGTTAGTCCCCCTACAGCCCGAGAGGGTGTGCCCATTCAACAATAGAAAGAAGAAGCGGGCGAGAACTGTTAGTTAGTTCGTTACTTGGGGGGAACTCTCCTTACGCATTCGCATTTGATATTTGACGCGGCTTTCTGATTGGCTTTTTTACGTTCTCCATCTTTATGTTTTTGGACTTCTCGCAGGTAGTCCATGGTTCGTTGTTGTGATTTATTTACGTTTAAAAGCCTGGCGCTATGGGAATTCATCCGCGGAGGTGCGCTGCGGGACAGGGCAAAGGACGATGGGGTTGGGAACGGAAGCACATTGGAGATAAAAGAACCGGAGAGAAAAAAAAAAATAAGAAAACAGACTGGACTGGGAAGGAAAGGGAGCATTGAGAGTGAGACTGTCAGTTGCACGGCTTCCCATGGTTATTCGGATGCTTTCCCTCTCGCCTTGTTCATACTTCCCTAGGATCTTCGCCATCTGCGTGACTTTCGGACGTGCGTGCAATTCCTTCTGAAGTTGTATCCTTACTCATTCTGAATCGCGCATGTCTGATATGTTTTCAATGCGGTTTCTGCTTCTCTTGCTAATTAGTACCGTGTCCATCTTCCTACTCCAATTGAAATTGTTGATACTGATTTCGTTGATGTATTACTTACTGGCCACTACGGTGTAAATGCCATCATTTTTATATACCAAGGCCTAGGGAACTAATCGTAAGAGGCAAGGGCTTTACTATACCTTTATGTCTGACAGGGGAGTAGAGTTCTACTGCGTCAGACTGTCCTGCGGAATTATCGAGTGCTATAGTTTCATTCAAAAAAACGAGCAAGTGGCCTTTTGGATTGGCCTGGTATTACTATTGGAGAAAAGTTTCTAGTTTGGCAAGGCAAAGTCAGGGTATAGATGAAGGACATAAGCCTTTGGATGATGAAAAGCAAGTAGATTGTATTTGGTATCGTGGGGTCGTGAATAGAGAAAAGGGGTGACAAGACTCCTCTCGAAGTTCGAGAAAGGAGGAAGGACACAAGTCAACGGAGATATCGAAATACCCTCGGAGTGCGCCGGAGAGAAGAAGTGAAGTTTATACACCGGTCGAATGGCCAGGAAGGTGAATGGGGGTTTCCAGAGGCCCGACCTCGAATGGGAACCGGGAGGAGAAGTTGCCACAGGATTGCGGGGCAGTTGGGGAAAGCTAATGATCGCCATGGAAGATTGGAGACTCCTAGCTATATCCGGCAGTCCTCACTGTGCAGTGGGGATCAATGTGATCTCTGGAAGAGGTCCAAGGTGTAGATATGGCGTCACGGGGGTGGCTTTCCCTTTCGACACGAAGCATTTAGAAAGAAAGTATCGATCAAGGGTGTTGGCTTCAGAACCAAATCAAGAGCACCTTGATGATCACTCCCTATTCATAGGAATTTGTTCAGTCTGTCTTCCAATGCCCAGCCAATCCACTATCAAGATCATCATGCTCTCCCAGCCAAAGCTCAATCGCATATAGCCCCATGGTGCAAGCGAGATTGATCCATCGCCAGAGGTTACCTCCTCCGGCGCCCTGGGTCTCCACCACTCGCCCACTCCTCCCATTGCTTGTGAGGCAGATGAGAAGTGCTGCATCAAGAGGCTTGTGTAAACAGCGATGAGGATGGTAGGGGAGAAGTAGCTGAGGAAACCCAGGACTTGGCCGGCCGCATCACTATCCTCAAGGGACGCTTCCTGGGACAAAGCACGGGCTCCAGATTCGCGAACTGCGGGGATGATGCGGGTCGAAGCATACAATACGCAGAGACGATACGCAAGCGAAATTAAGACGGACGGAGTGACTGCACTGAAGACAGCTGTGATCACATTGAAAGCGGCGTGGATTATGGAAGGCAAAAGAGACAGGGCGTGCAGGAGAGTGGAGTATGAGGCCATAATGATCGGTGGAAGTGGAGGGAAGTCGCTAACTTGCGCGGGAGACGGAATCTGCTCCACAGGTCGCGATGGTTGATAATCGGTGAAGATTTGGTAGATGCAAAGGACGATGTAGGCGAACAGCAGAGAGCTTTCTACCGGGTTACCACGCCCACTTCCAATCCCCCAGGCGCATAGGATGACAGCGCAGGTCACGGAAACACCGATGAGAGCCGCATCGACGTTGGAGATCTCGGGGAACTGAAGGACACGCCAGAGGAAATACACCGAGCTGGAGATCACTGTAGCGGATAGGACAAGGAGACCGATCTATTAACTAGTTAGCATCAAGGCCGTATCGCAACGTTTGGGAAGGGGATAGAGTAAAAAAAAAAAGAAAAAAGAAAGGGAAAACCGACCATCCAGCTGTCGCTACGACCACCACGATTTACCAGCCATCGAGTGATTTGGCCTGCGGCTTGAATCACTAGCAGACTGCAGAAGCCCTCTGCCAGTTGGAAAACAGGTGTCGACCACCGCAGCAAACGATCCCAGTTACCCAGGGTCACTGATTCCACCAGACCATCGCGACCGAACAGCCACTGCTGGATCGAGCCGTCCTGTGCTCTCTTCCCACTAAAGGTGCGCTCCACCCAGCCACCGCTATGGTCGCCATCGACCGAAAACCGATTCAGAGACCAGATCAGCAGGATCGGAATTAGGATCCATTGCGTGGACCGGATAACAGTCACCAGCGAAGCGCGGAACCACGAGCGATCGGGTGTGATGAGGCGTAAGAACGAGAGCAGAAAATAGAACGTGGCCAGGGATAGCGAAAAGGCCAGACCGCAGGTCTTCCCACCAACATCAAAAGCCAGGGGTATAGACGACACCGTAACGGTGAGGAATACGGCCGACGAGAAGACTCGGAAGAGCCACATTCGGAGAAGGAGGGACGCGCAGGGGCGCGAGGGAAAGGATCGCGAGGATGGTTGAAGAGGAAGGAGTGGAGGGTGCGGAGGGGAGACTTTAGGCACACGACTTTATTTTTGGGGGGAGCTTATCTTCCTTGTCTGGATTTCCCCTTTTGTTTGTAGTTTCACTCTTCTTTCAGCCGCTTTTTGCTTTATAACACAACTACTCCAAGGCAGCCTATGAATGAGGTTTACAGATACTGGGGTACTGAGAAGAAAGTAGCCTGAGATCTCGCACATATTCTTCGAGATAGCCTAAGGTGGGATCCTGATAGCAGCGGGCACGAGAGCGGCGGTCAGGGCGCCGCCGAGCCAACTTTTCTGGCTTCTACCAAGGTTCGAGGGATCAGCAGGCTCGCGAGAGCATGAGAGCATGGAGACATAACCTCGTGCAAAGGCTCCAGTTGATAGCGCAATCATTGTGCAGGAGGGACCGTAATGTACTAGGTACAGGCCAAAGCATGTGCTTGACCCGCACTAGCCTTGTATCAGTACAGGGTGGTCTCGGCCTGCATCCGCAAACAGAGCTAATGTCTAAATCAGGAAAGTCTATTGGACATCATCTAGTACTCTTGGGCGGGTTTTGGTAGTCCTGAGTATCGGCGGCATAATAGAGTCTCAATAAATCTTTTCTTTTCTTTTCTCTTTGTGGCTGGGTCTAGCTAAGAACTTGAATTCGTGATATATATGTGATCTGTATGTAACGGGAGGGCATCCTGGCGGCAACAGCCCATCTTTAGATCGTCAAGTTTAACTGACCATCCCACCACTTCATACTTCGCTACATATCTTTCCATTATCAGCGTGAAGAGACTTGAAGGCTATAGTATTACCCGATAGTCTAAAGTTTTTGGAGGCTGACTGGCCTCTAGTATCTACTTCTGGCTGCCTATGTGATCACGGTGAAATAACTCTGGAGCTTGAGTCTAAGCGGGTTTGTGTTTGTTTCGATCTACACACGGACTGAGTTGCTTGCAGTCCTGCCATACTTAATGTGTTGTTTTGGTTTTCAGACGAGCCCAGATGCCTAGCGGTGTCGAGATAGTGCTCTCCGCATGACAACCAACACAGATCTTAGATCAGGAAGATGTGAAGGGCTAAAGCAAGACTTGATTCAATCTATACTAGGCCACGAACTGTGTTCGATAAACTTAAGGAAAGGACTTCAATACGCCGGTCCTCCGCTATTAGTACGCCAAGGTCACATGTCCTACGTGATCAACACCGGGCCCTGGCCCGTGACAGAAGATCCATCGTAGTACCTATGAACTAGTATGATTTGTGCTGGCTCCGCGTTTTCATAATTAAGTGGTAGCTCAGTGTCAGTTGAAGACACCTTTGTATGAAGATAAGTCATGCATAACAGATACTTGAGGACAGTATGACTTTCCCCTAGAAGTGCACAGAGGAAGTCAGATCTGTACATGGCGAATGAAACACAATAGACATTATCCACAGCAGATCTATAGCGTAACCAGCAACTTTCTAGGAGACTTCTCTCTCAGAATACTCTGCGAGATCCATGCAAAAGTTGATGGTCCATGGATGGTATGGACGATGGATAGTCACGTGATTACAAAGCCCTGCAATATAGCCCTGATTTCCTGATATGGCCAGATAAGGACCCGCTCGACCAGCCAGAATGAAGCTATTCCTATGATTCGAGACTTTCTTTCTTGATGAACGTTCTGTTTCGGCGCCTGTTCAAGATGGCTGAAGAAACTGCTGCGAAGAAGCTCAAGACATCGCCTGTCATCGGCACCCACAAGTAAGGTCTATACCTCACGCCATAACCACACGAACGAATAAATGGCCCTAGACTCAAGCTCCAAGAAACTAACAGTCCCGAAGTGGTCACTTCCATGCGGATGAAGCTCTAGCAGTGTACCTTCTCCGCCTACTGCCCACATATGCCTCCTCCCCACTTGTGCGCACCCGCGACCCTGCTCAGCTCGAGACCTGCCACACCGTCGTCGATGTAGGTGGGGTGTACGACCCCGCGACCAACCGCTATGATCACCACCAGCGCACCTTCTCCACGACCTTCCCCCAGCACGAGACAAAGCTGTCATCTGCTGGACTGGTGTACATGCATTTCGGCCATGCGATCATTGCCCAGCATATGTCTCTCCCCAAGGACCACCCAGACGTTGCGCTTCTCTACGAGAAGCTGTACACCGACTTCATCGAGGCCATTGACGCCAACGACAACGGTATCTCGGTCTATGACCCTGCTGCCGTGTCAGCTGCCAACCTCGAGAAGCGCTTCAAGGACGGTGGTGTCACCCTTGCCTCCATTGTCAGCGATATGAACAACCCCGATCCTACCAGCCCCCCCAGGAGAGCCCCAGGATGAGGACAGCCTTTTTGGCCGCGCTAGCACTCTCATCGGCAACGTTTTCACCCGTAAGCTGCACCAAGCGAGTAACTCGTGGATTCCTGCCCGCGCCACCGTCGGTGAGGCCTACAAGTCACGAACCGACATCCACCCCTCCGGCCGCATCATCGTCCTGCCCAAGGGCGGCGTGCCTTGGAAGGAGCACCTATACAACTTCGAGAAGGAGGCTTCGGGTGGCGAGGAGATTGACTCAGCGAACCAGGTATACTATGTGCTGTACCCAGAAAGCGAGGCCGAGGACTCCAAGTGGCGTGTGCAGTGTGTCTCCGAGTCCGAGAGCAGCTTCGTCTCGCGGAAGCCTCTTCCTGAGGCTTGGCGTGGCGTTCGCGATCAGGATCTGGATGGCTTGATCGCCTCAGAGTCGGAAAAGGCTGGCCAGGAACAGCTCCCTGCCGGTGCCATCTTCGTCCATGCTAGTGGGTTCATTGGTGGACACAAGACACGTGCCGGTGCGATGGCCATGGCGGTTCGCAGCCTTGATCAATAAATCCGAGGCGCGGTAATTATTTGAAAAGTTGGATTGATTTTTACGACGAAAATATGACAAAGAATACTGGTAAGAGAAATGTGAATCAACTTTTGATTTATGACATGTGATTCAATTTTGCCATGTTCTTTCGAGGTCGGTATGACTAGAACATGCATCCCGGTGTGAAGTTATATAGAGCTGCAAGCTAGTAGACACGAGGAGAGGCCAGCAACTTCGTCGTTCGAGACGACGAGTCCATCGTCGCTGTCGGCGTAATTGCCCGTGGAGTATTTTTGATCCACGTGTGGTTGTAGCTGACGGAGTCCGTGATCGGGTCATAGCATCCCTGGAAGCAGTCTTCGCAGGAAATGGATACGGGCGACATCTGTACATGATAATACAACCCTGTGGTTCCTGGAACCTGTAGTGTGTTGCGAATATCCAACAATATCTCTGATCCGCGCGTTGTAAATCCATTGTGATGCGAATCGGCCAAGATCGAGAGTGCTTTCCTAGAACGTCCTCAATGGCGAACATTCAGTGCGCTGATATCTTCGATGCTACCAGTGCCATCGCCGGACTTCGTCATATCTTTAGCGCTAGAATGAGGTCCCAAAGTCTCTTCGCCTTCTCCCATTGCCCGTTGGATGAGCTTCGCCTTGACCGCTGCGCCTTTTAAGCGCTCGTCAATATCATTCACAGCTTCCTCAGTATTCGACATATCCATTGAAGCTGGGTCTACTAGCTCCATAAGCGTGGCAAGATTGCGCGCAAGACGGGCGCTGTGGGCAGGAAGAGCGGGCATAGACTTGCATATCGAAGGATCGAGGGAAAAGGATTCATCTGACACATCCACCGGCGTTAACTGCTCCGACGAATGGGAATTAGAGTCTGCCAACCGCTGTGCCCAGACTAGTGCTTTCCCGTATAGACGACCCATCTCGACGAATTTCTCGAAGCCCTTCTCCACCGCGAAGACGCTGCCTTCGGTGTAGCCCGCTGCGGTGCCATCGGCAACACCCAGGTTATATCCTTCTTGGTAGAACTTTTCCTCGAGATCGAGGAGGCTGTCTAGTAGATCAGTATCCATAGCTTCGATGTCAATAGCTCAAGTAAGGGGTGAAAAGTGAGTCAGTGGAAGATTCAAAGGGATTTTTTGGGGCGATATGCGGGGCAAATGTCATGATTAGGGCGCACCCGGCTTTTTTTTATGATACGACCTCTTCCGTTCCCCTCCTCCCCATCTCATCCGACACACACCATGGTTTCAGACCCAATCCTGCCCAAGAAGGGCGAGCGTAATATTCTGATCACAAGCGCACTGCCATACGTGAACAATGTTCCCCATCTGGGCAACGTCGTCGGCTCAGTGCTGAGTGCTGATGTCTTCTCGAGGTATATGAGTCACGCAAATCCCCCCTCGCCAGAATTGAAAAGCTTACAATATGATAGATACCACAAAGCCTGCGGCCGGCCTACTCTCTACATCTGTGGAACAGACGAATACGGTACAGCAACAGAAACAAAGGCGCTGGAGGAGAAGGTGTCGCCGGAGGAGCTTTGCGCCAAGTACAACAAGATCCATCAAGAGGTCTACGAATGGTTCGAGATCGGATTTGACCACTTTGGCCGCACCCCAACGGAGAAGCACACCGAGATTTCCCAGGCAATCTTTAAGAGGCTCAACGAGAATGGCTTCCTAGCACAGCGCACCACCGAGCAACCTTTCTGTGAACAACATGGCTCCTTCTTAGCGGACCGATACGTCGAGGGCGAATGCCCCCTCTGCCACTATGACGATGCGCGCGGTGACCAGTGTGATAAGTGCGGTCACGTTCTAGATCCATTTGAGCTGATCAAGCCTCGATGCAAACTGGACGGCGCTACCCCGGTGCGACGAGAAACTACACACATCTACCTGCTGCTGGATAAGCTTCAACCGGAGGTTGAGAAGTGGACCGCAGAATCGATTGCCAAAGGCGAGTGGCCCAAGAACTCCAAGGTTATCACCGAGTCCTGGTTAAAGGAAGGACTGAAGGACCGTGGAATCACTCGCGACCTGAAGTGGGGTGTCCCGTCCCGCTGGAGGGTTTCGAGCAGAAGGTGCTGTACGTGTGGTTTGAGGCTTGCATTGGGTACCCCTCCATCACCGCCAATTATACAAAAGACTGGGAGCTGTGGTGGCGCAACCCGGAGGATGTGCAGCTATATCAATTCCTGGGCAAGGACAACGTGCCTTTCCACAGTGTGATTTTCCCTGCCACTCAGATCGGCACCCGCGACAAATGGACCATGAACCACCATCTGAATGCGACCGAGTACTTAAACTACGAGGGAGGCAAGTTCAGCAAGTCTCGTGGAGTCGGAGTGTTCGGTACCAACGCGAAGGAGACTGGGGTGCCCCCAGATGTCTGGCGATACTACCTGCTGAAGAACCGCCCCGAGACCAGCGACACGCAGTTCGAGTGGCGCTCCTTCGTGGAGTCTAACAACAGCGAGCTTCTGGCCAAGTTCGGCAACCTCGTCAATCGGGTTATCAAGCTTGTCGCCGCTTCATACGGCTCCGTGGTCCCCGAGTTCACCATCCCCGACACCGAACTCTTCACTTCCTTCAACAATGAAGTCACCACTCTCTTGCGCCAGTACATCCAGGAGATGGAGAGCGTGAGCCTGCGCGCCGGCGTGACCACCGCCATGCGCATTGCCGAGGCCGGTAACGGTCTAATCCAGGCCAACCGCCTCGACAACGCGTTGATTGCCAATGAACCCGAGCTCGCCGCCGCGGTTGTCGGCTCCATCCTGAACTTGATCCACCTGCTGTCCGCCATCTTCTCGCCCTATATGCCCACGACCTCCAAATCCATCTTGGCCCAGCTGAACGCACCCGTGCTTCTGATCCCCACTCTCGAGTCGATTAAGGATGGCTGGAAGCCCGACAGCATCAAGGGGGGGCCACAAGATTGGCAAGGCCGCCTATCTGTTCTCTCGCATTGACCCCAAGAAGGCCGATGAATGGCGTGAAACATTCGGTGGTTCGCAGGCTGACCGTGCGAAGAAGGCCGCTGAGGATGCTGCCATCGCTGCTAAGAAAGCTGCCGACAAGGCCAAGAAGAAGGCCAAGAAGCAGCAGAAGAAGGCTGGCGGAGAGGGAGGCGCCGCCGGAGAGGTTGAGCAGGTCACCGAGGGTGTTTCGTCTATTAACCTCCCTCCTGCCTAAGGGGACATACATCGGATTGGAAAAAAAAAAAGGCTTTCGTTGGATGTGGGCGTAGGGGAGCCTGAGGCTGGGAAGGATGGAAGCGGCCTTTTCCTTGTGGGACTGGATGTACTGGGTATTAGGATGGCATTATATCATATGAATCATGTGGTGTTACGAGGGTAGCTGAATTTAAAGACATATTGCATCTGAACTCGTCTTTGCATTCCTTCCTTTGTTTCTTTCATCGAGAGAATGTTTAGAAGTATCGCCCGTAGCAGAGTGACCAACGCGATTCTGGGAATGCAAGGGGTTGGAAAGTGTAGACCCGGGGATTTCCCAGCAGTTCTGGTTCGAAAGCATTGTACACGCCGGCATGAGGAAAAATAAGTGAGTAGAAAAGAGAATAATAAAATAGAAAAATAAAATGAAATCAAGACCTTCATTATGCTCATAGCGCCCGTCGCTCCATGACACACTACCAGCGCCCCTTTATCCTTGCAGCTTGCTCTCAGCGCGTATCCGATTTACCGCTTTCGCGTACCAGGACGAGGCTTAGTCTCGTCGGGAGCTACAGGGTGCAGCATCACCTTGTTGGGAGAAGCTTGTGTGTTGGCCGAGTAGCCCTTACTCCAGTCGTAGCTTACGGAGTAAGCGAAGATGTTTCCAGTGCGGTTGAACGCAGTACTGGTGATGGGACCGCCGACAGCCGGGTAACCCTTCAATCGGTGCTTAGCATCCTTGTCCCAGAAATGGAACGTACCGTCACTACCAGCAGTGCTGAATGTACCGTGGACAGGATGGAAGCAAATCGAGTTGACAGAGTAGATGTTGCAGATGTCGCGGGTGTTAGGAGGGGTTTCACGGTGGCACTTGAAGGAGAAATTGGAGGCAGAGTCCTTCTCTTCAACATACTGAATGGCGCAGCGGCCCTCGATACTGCCCACGGCGAATCCTGAGGCATCAGAGAAGCAGCTGACTACCCGAGTCTGCCACTTGAGGGGGGACTGCAAGGTCTTGTAGAATTTGGTGGGGTTGTCGAGGTTGATGATGTTGATATAGCGGTCAGCGGTTCCGATGACCAGCAACTTGTTCTTGACGTCCATTGTGTATACGCGATCCTGGCATTCAATCTGGCCGATGGGAGTCGATTGACGGAGGTCCCAGTACTTGACGGTCTTGTCCCATGAACCGGTAATGAGAAGTGGTGATCCACCCACGCTAGGGTTGGGGATCATATGGCAGCTTCGAATTGGGGCATCATGCGCGGCCACCTGGGTAGTAGTGCCGGAAGCGATATCAAACAGACGAGCAGCCTTGTCAGCACCGGCACCAACGACCTTGCTTCCATCCTTGAGGAACACAGGAATTTAGCGTGGAGCTCCATGTTTACAATTGTGCTACGGGACGAATTGAGAAGAGGGAAGGGGACAAAAAGAAACGTACAGGTGCCCAGCAGCAGTTCAAGACAGGGGCTTCATGTTCGAAAAGCGCCTTGCCTTCACTCTGTCCTTGTTCATTGATTTCGTAAATGCGAACTTTCTTGTCCCATGATGCGACGGCCAGGTGCTCGGTGGTAGGAGAGAAACGAAGATCTGAAATACCATCCTCTGGGGGCTGGTTCAATGGCACATCTTTCGAGATGTCGCCAGTGGTATTTGTCTGGCCAGCAGTGCTCGTTGCGGCACCACCACCGAAGAGACCCGACATTTCGAAGGGCGCTTGGGGAGCTCGAATACGCGGTATCGACGGACAGCAGCAGCGAAAGAGCCCGGGGGTGTCTATCAGTGAGCTGGAGGCAGCGTGGAGCTCTGACAGGAAAAACAGGCCTGAGAGAGGGTAAGCAAGAAAAGAAGGATTGAAGAGATCGCTGGAGAAAGATCATTCCAATGCAAGTCGGGCGTTTGTGATACGCGCCGCGGCAGAAAAACACCACACCGCCCCGAAGGCACGGGCCAGTGGGGAACTATAGGCGCCCGTGAGGTGCAGCCTATGCAGGGGAATCTCATCTAAAACCACCTCCGTTTGAGAAGATGTAGGTAATGAGCTATTGATAGAATAGATGGCACATATTCCTATGTTGCTGCTGCTTTTTCCTTCTTCCTGCTGGTATAATGCATTATAGTGTCTGACGGCTTACTGGCTGTCTCTTGAGCCGACCCAGACCTTGACTGAGACGAGGCCGTCAAGTGTCAATGGTCGGCATAAAATGATGACTTTTGTACTACAGTAACAGCTTCTACACATTACCTCGTATATGTACTGTAATAACAAAAAAGCCCCGAATCACTTCTTCTCAATCCATAAACCACTCCCATCTCCCATGCCATATGCTTGAATTACTCTCTCTAGATTACCTTACATCTACTACTCCCCTCTGCTCATATTACGCGTTGGTAGCCTCCAGTCATACTGATAAGAAGATATATATTTAGCTTACTCGTGTTAGATCTATATAAGTTATGGCGACTAGTCGGAAGCTTGTACGGTACAGAACCGAAGGTAGGGGATTACTGTCCTTCAATGTAAGACGGTCGGCTACCTTTGATCTATATGTGCCATTGACATTTACGGCCTTACACGTTGCCGTAGATGGGTATTGACAACTGCAAAGATCAGCGACTCAGAATATCTACCCATTGTCAATACCAAGTACAAGGACTCGCGAAGAAGTCCGGTCTCTTGGGAGCTTTATACGACCATGGGGAATTGGTCTGAAAATCTGTGGACCATCTAGGCAGGATCTGTCGCGTAAATCAGGTAGCATGATCGAATGCCCAAACGGAGACGGAGGAGGTTCCTAGAGAAGTAAGCGTCGCCTGAGACTGGAATCCACGGGTCGTACGTTGTCCAGTGGGCCGATCGAGGGGCATCATATGAGCCCCCTGAGGCGATCGGCCATTGCGCACATACGAGGTTTCACTGGCAGGTTTTTTTTTTTGGAGAATGTGAATAGATTGCCGGGGTCTGAGGGCTACCTTAGCCACCAAATGGCGAGCTTGAGAGCTGAACTTGAATAGGTGGAATTCCTGACGATCCGAAATAAAGAAGTGGAGTAGAATGCGGGGTGCAGCTCCTCGATTGGCCCACTGATGTCAGCTGCTCGTGTGATCCGGGGCCGCCGTAGACATCCATCTATTGGGAATGGGGGATGGCAGAGAAGACAATGGGCGAATGATAGGAAAATAAGGAGAGGACGATGGGAGTTAAGATGGAAAGGGACGAGGAATGTCGAATGCAAAACCCAGGCAGAGAGGGATGAGTTGGATTCAAGCAATACGAAAAGGGGACGGGGTTCCAGGACACAAAGGCCATTCTAGGTTTGTCCCCTAATTTGGTCTGAATGTACACGGCATGACATCCATGACTTAAAACCCCCGCCCAAGTCACCTGCTACTTCCCCCTCTTCTTCTTCTTCCCTTCAACCCAAGCTCGATCGCCATCTTCAATCATGTCTGTTCCTCTAACTAAAGTCGATTCTGCCATCGCTGGCTTGTCTCTCGAAGAAAAACACGAGAAGCCTCCAGCTCAAGAAGTCGAGTCCAAGACCGCTAAGAAGGAAAAGCCATCTAAGCGTGGCTCGATCTCCTCTGACAAGCGCTCCTCAATCTCTTCGGACAAGAGAGGATCTACTGCTGAAGGAGTCTATAACATCAAGGAACTGGGTAGGTGTCACCCTTCCTTTCTAAAGTTCCCAGCTGGTCGCCTCCGGTCAGCCTATGAGGTCATACGACAGGGCCACTTACACCGCAGTAGAGGAGAAGAAGATCGAACTCACCCTGCCCATCGAAACTCAAAAAACAGGATGGTATGTCCTTCAACTGACCCCGAGCGTTCTTCTGGGATCTCCCCTCATTTTCCCGGGACATGTCTTGGTTCGTCAGAGACTGATCACTTCATCCAGGAGACTGAACACATCACCAAACACAATTGAGGACAAAGATATTCTCAAGCTTCAACTGATTGACCCACCAGTCAAGAAGATTGACCTGCACTTCCCATTGGGCTTGGAGGTCACTGCCCGGAATTCCAAAGGTGTCACCATCAAGGACGCATTAGATGCCATCTACAAGCAGTTCAAGAAGAAGGTTTGTTTCTCACGTACCCCATTTCCCGCAGTAGATGTTTGAGAATGACCGCCATGTCCAGGCAGATGACGAGCTTGAAGCACCCTACCTCGCTGGTTTCGAGTGGGACAAAGACGAGTGCTGGACACGACTCATTGTTCACCAGACAAAGCATAACACTGCCCCACACTCCTCACAACCGACTGGCAAGAAGAACAAGAAGAAGAATAAGGAAGAGAACGCATAGACTGGCTCCTTCTACTGTTCGCTGCCGTCTTGAGGGAAAACCCCACTCTCCTTTGCAATGTGGGCCTTGTGCTTTCCATTTATTACAAATCTCCTAAACGACAAGGGCTAGCCCCCCTCCTCCGACGATAGTCTGTATTCTCCTCTCTACCCTTTATCATGTTCCTCTTACTATTTGGTATGCCTTTGCGTGCCCGGGGTGAAGAATCCTACAGTAAGAGGGCACAGAAAGGTAATTTTTTTCCCTTACAATGTATTTCGTTGCGTTTTTATGTCCTTACATGGCCCCGTGCTTTCCCTTGTTTTTGATGGAGCGATCTCGTGTCTCCCTATGAAGACCCGCTGCCTGTGCGCAACGCCTGGCATCTTTTCGTTCATTTCTCTTTTGAGACAATCCAATCCCAAGTTCACAAAGAATACCAAATGGCATGAGCGTAGAATGTTCTAAGGTGCTTGCTTGGTGTAATATGGGTACGACTACAAGTCCCACCGTATCCAATCGAGAGTGAAAATAAGGGACGTTACGCTAAGACAGCGTACCCACTTTGGCCCACAACCCGCTTTTAGCACCGGTAGGCATCTTCGGCGCCTTCGCTTCGCTTACAACCCAAATTTTCAACTACGCATGATTTCCGGAATTGTATCAGAGAGTATTAGGCGGGATAGGTAAGTCATAGTTGTATCTACATTGTGAAATGCAAAAGAGCAAGACCATTGGAGGTTGGGATTGGGAAGATGGGGGAGTGGAGAAAATCACGAAAGAGAGATATCAATATCAAAGCGCTAAAACTCGAGCGTGCGTGGAAGTCTTCCCTTCGTATATTCATGCGGTTTCGTGGAGATCATGAATCCAGTAGTCATATCCTCAGCGGACACGACTGCCAAAGAAAACAAGGATAATTTCATCAAGCAGGGTAAAGGCGAGATGAGTGTTCAAGGGCTTGTTGTTCAGTGTAGCGAAGATCCGGCGGGCGGCAGCTTGCGCATTTGCTCGACCGACCACATTCGCTGCTAGGTCTGGGATCAAGGTGGCGAGGACCACTGTTGCCTCTGTTCGACTCTTGCGTCGTTCGGCGTCAGAGCGAGGACTGAATTTGCGCAATTGCCCGTCGGGCCACATGGTAGTGCGCAGGAGAGTGAGATGGCGCATGAGTGGTTCATCCTGGAAGGCGGAGCGGACACTATCGCGAACTTTACGCTCGATAGTGCCACCAAGCAGCTGGTGCAAGACAACAACAACCGCTCGGCCGCGCAGCCAGTTGTTGCCGCGATTTAATTCAAAGGCTTCTAGAAAAAGGTCGCATATAGGCTTGATAAACGGTTCAAGCTCCCGGTCTTCAAAGGCATTGAGCTCTGCTTCAGCCTCTGCCGACGTGACGGCATCTTCGCTCGCAAGGACTGGGTCATTGCCAGTGCCGATGCTGATTTGCTGTGTTGCAGCGGAGATGAGGTTCTGCCCTGCTGTAGAGAGCTGATCGAGAACACCAAAGTTGCCCAGGAAATCATCCATTCCATCCGTGACCGAATTGTAGATACGTGTAACAAGATCTTGGGTATCTCCTTCGCTACTTCGTGCGCCTTCCTTTTCATGCAGAGGAACGATGGCTTGCTGGGACAGAAAGGCACGTAGATCACGGCTGCGACAGACCTCGGGCAGAGCAGGAGTTTTTGGAGGTATGCTTCAAGCGCCACTCGGCGTTTCTGAAGAAACTCTCGCTGAAGCTTCATCACCACCCGTCGCCGTGGGAACTCCAGGTTGCGCACAGACGGGTACCTTAAGCGCAACTTCTGGTGGAGTTCATGAAATTCGCTGTACCGGCGAGGGACGACCCATGACGCAGCAGGCATTTGCTCACCAGCATTTCGTTGAACCTCAATCACATCTATATTCCAAGTTAGCCAAGCTATGAGGAACTGATGAAAAAGACAAAACATACACATGGCAAACTCCCGACCATCCTCTTCTTTACCTACGACAATTGATTTGATACGAACGCTCGATCGACCATACAGACTGTTGTCGCTTTCTTGGATGATATACTGCTGTCGTTGCATCTCTTTGCGATGTATTTCGCGCTCAATGCTGACCTTGGATTTATGCAAAATCCTTAACTCGGCAGTATTATTCGTCAGCTCGGCCTTCCTGGTCAAGGCTTCGACCACAGAGCCTTGAGAAGTCAATTTGTCGATTTCAATCGTCAGAGCCTCGATGGCTTCGGTCAGACCAAGATCGCCAGGTGCAGCTTCATGAACTTCATCTGCTGGATCCTTGTCATCAGTGCCGACTGGCTCTTCGTATTCATCTTCGATAAATTTCTGCTGATCTGCAAATAGCTCATCATCAAAGACACCATTGCGGGATGAATAGTCAACCAAGCCAAGAGAGGCGATGTTCTTCTTGGTCCTTTCCATCGCAGGCCCGTTCTGGCGTCCTGCTTCAGAGGAGCCGACAGGCGAGTGTTCTGGGTATTCCGAGCCGAAAAGAGACGTGGAGGTTTCGCTGCCTCTGACGTCTTCTCCCTTTGCCCCTCGAGGCTCATTTATAATGATATCGTTCAGCGCAGCCCCCATCGTTTCAAGAACTTGGGTTTGAGTAGGATCTGTGTCGCCATTCTGCGAATCCTTACCCAAACTGTGGGTGGACATGGCGAGGTGGTCCGAGTCATAGTCATCGCCGAAAAGAGGGGCAGATCTCTCTGAGTCAATGGATCGTCGAGGTGAGTCCTCATCGTCAAAGAGCTTGCCCATTCCTCGAATGTCACTCGATGAGACAGCTGCTCTTCGAAGATCCCTAGACGGCTTTCCTGATGGCTGTATACCGGTACGCAGGGGAGGTAAGGGCCGTCGTTCCGGTGGGTTTGTGGAGACAGAAGCTGGAGATGAGCTCCGAAGTGGATGCGCCTGAACACCAGATGTCTGTTCTGAAGCTAGATACTTCCAGTATAGGTCTGACTCCTTGAATTTGGGATAGTATGCGCTCTCCAGCCGTTCAAAGACTGCAGATTGGGTAGATAAGACCACGGTCCTAGCCTTGCGGTATTGTTCAGGAGTCGCACGCTTGCCTGCGCCCAAGAACGCTTTCACTGCTCTCCGAGACTCCTCGGAGACTTGAAGTTCTGGTTTCGAAAGATAAGCCTCGCTTAGAAGAGCAAGGTCGTTCCTGTCTGTCGATGTCCATGTAACTGATGTAGATGGAGTTTCATCGCCAAAGTCATCTTCTAACGGGTTCCTGAACCCGTCCACAACAATCCAGTATTGGACCAAAGGCATCAATTTCTGACGGTCCATGAACTCCATGAAATACGATAAGCCAGTCGCACTGTGAAGCACATCAACCAATGAAGATTCTTGAGTCATAGATGTAACATCCTGAGTGGTTTGCGTAGGCGCTAAGACAGCGGCATGAGATGAATCGCCAGGTGTTGAGAGCTTGGCAACTTTTTGATCTAAAACCCTTTTCCCAGTCTCAAGACGCTTTATGTAGACTTGGTCCTGTCCTTCCACCATGCTCTCTCGCTTGAGCTGGCTGGTAACCAAGGCACGGAACCGCCGAGCATCTGAAAGATTGTTGCAGCGCCTGATGGCCCGAACAAATCGTTCGAAAGCCCGTTCCGAATCATTAGGATTGAGCTTCGGGAAAGGCTGCCTCGTTTTGATTTCGGGGCCGGCGAAGCATGTTCATCCAACGCAGCTCGAAGTTTCCGCACGGTTTTGCGATCTTGCAACGCTGTCCTTCCATACATCTCCATCAGTTGATTCCAAGTATCTGGGTCGGATAGAGCGGTCATTACTGGGAGTAATACTGCGCAGGCGATAATTTCGCGAATCAGGACCGAGACAATTCTACTTTTGACAACACTCTCCGGGAAGAGCAGAGGCAAGAGCCCCGTGGCAATCTTGCGTAAGTACTCTTGCTGCACAGTCTTTTGATCTGCTGAGGAGAGTGCGACTGCCGGGTGAAGGCGGCCCTCGCGAAACTTGTTGGCAATGGCCAAATCTAATTCTTCAGATTCTGTCACATTGCGATCCAAATTGCGCCCGCGTACTGAGCGCTCAGCCACGTCAAACTCCCTCAGATGACTTGTCAGAATTGGAACGATACGGGATACGACCAAGGAAACCAGGTCTTCTGCGAGGACTCGGTCTCGGATATTCTCAAGCGCCGCTCGAATCACTCTGTCGATTTCATGTCCAAAACTTGGATTTGGACTTATGTGTCGGTACCATGTTAACACAAAGTCTCTGTTTATGAGTGACAAGAGCTCGTCGATCTCTTCGGACACAACGAAGGATTGCGGGTAGAGAGGTCGCGGCTGGTATCGAACGGTCCTGCGTACATTGAACACTTCCTTGCGCCATTGACCAGCCTTAATAAATGCGAGCGGAGATCTTCTTCGCCCCGGATTGATTTGGTTTCGGGTTCTGCGAGTAAGAGCCAACAGGGCTAAGAGACCGACAGAGGACAGTACGGCCCCAGTGGTCAACGCATATCCCAGATAGCGAAGAAGCGGCCACCGCTGCACGAGCAGACCCCAAGCAATAAAAGCAGCGAAGCCTGCTAGTAGAAGTTCGCGACGATGTAGGACCATTCTCCCCGAGCACCCATGAGAGCTCCACGTCTCATGACGATCAGTCAGGTAGCAGGTTAGAGAAGGGGAGCTTGGCTCGACATTGGCGACTTCGATCGAACGCACCCTCAAGGTGTCCGGCAGAGGACCCAGCTGTTTGCGAAGCTCCAACTGGTGAGCACAGAGCGTTTCAGTATCCAGGGGATACCTGACATTCATGTATCTCCAAAATATGGCAGAAGCCCACAAGTCCCGTGACGAGTGGAGAACAAGCTCGACGTCACTCTGTTTACTTAAGCGCAACCTCATCTTGCAACTTTAACTACTTCTTCTCCCCCCAGACGGATTTCCCCTCTTCTGCGCGCCTTCCCCTTCCTTCTTGTCGTTTCGTCTTTGGATCCCTCATCATGACTAGCCTGAGTAACTTCATTGACTTCTCGCCAACTTCGCTTCTGGGTACGTGGGATTTGCGACCCATACTCCGCGACTGATCCTTCTCCGCATTTTACATGTGATCCTGCAACTAACATCAGACAAGTGGCGGTAATTGCCATTGCATTCAACCCTATCTTCTGGAAGTAAGTAGTCTTCCGGTCGCATCTATGACTTGGGACTGACTGAGGATTTTTGCAGTGTTGCTGCTCGAGCAGGCAAGTTGTATTTTACCCCACCCACAAAGTGGGACGCGTACTTTTGCAACTTAGCTAACGGTCAACCAGAATACAACAGTCACATATTGACCCGCATTTTTGGGGGACCATACAATGGCTGCTACTTTTTGGCTGTCGTGATCTTCTCTCTGGGGATCCTGCGTGACCATATTTACCAGCTCGCCCTCGAAGACCAGCCCTTCTATGCACCAGTTTACCAGCCAATTCTGGGTGGCATTCTGTTCACCGTGGGGTCTGTCCTGGTCCTTTCTAGTATGTGGGCTTTGGGTGTCACTGGAACTTACCTAGGCGATTACTTCGGCATTCTCATGGATGCCCCCGTCACCGGCTTTCCCTTCAACGTGACCAGCTCTCCCATGTACTGGGGAAGCACCTTGAACTTCCTCGGTGTCGCACTTTACAAGGGCAAGGTGGCAGGGATTCTGCTAACTGCCGAGGTCTTTGTGGTCTACTGGTTTGCATTGAAGTGGGAAGAGTGAGTTTGAGCCGCACCCTGATATTTCCCTTCCTCGCAATCCATAGCTAACAGCTCCTTCAGCCCATTCACTGCTGAGATTTACGCCAAGCGCGAGCGCGAACGCTCTAAGAAGCAAGGCGGCAAGGCGCAGTAGAGACAACGTCATGTATGATAGGGTTTGGGCATTCAACATCCACAATCCACACATGACAGTGCCTTGGGCCGAGGCATCGAAATATCCCATCATCATGGGCTCGGAGTGACACATTTCGGAGTATCGATGGCAAGCCCTACCACGCCGATGCATCACAATCTTCAACAATACTGGAAAAGTAAACGGTAGACTTTTGCTTCCCCCCCCCCTGGCCCAACTCTTTCAGCGATTACGGCTACTGAGCGCGTACTGCTCCTCTTTTACCCCTATGCGACCAAAAAAGACGGCAATCACCACCGACTGCGACAACACCCGATGCTCATTGATTTCAGTAATCCAACTGTGCATAGCTTTTTCTACCCATTGCGATAGTAGTGACTAGTACCGGAACTCAAAATCGCCTGGGTTTCAATGTCTATACAGGAATCGAAAGTGTTTCAGATCTGTACATACAAAACGTTTCTTTCTGTATCAAATAAAAGTGAAAGATTACAACCGGCTGAGGCAAACACCCGAGGAGCTCTTTCGAATACAAAATACTGGCAGTAGTGAAGTAATTTAATTTAGATGCTATTATGCTTGGTAGTCCAGCCGGTCATTCTGCAAAATCAGTTCATAGCATATGAAAGAGAGACCGGTATCAAAATACCTGAGTACTTAACATATCAAACAAGATCCATTCCGAAAGGGTATATCTAACACCACAGGTTCCCAGATAGAGTATAAGAGCCACACTTTTATGAATGGACTAAAGACCGCCAACACCGCGCTAATGGACTGAAGGTAAATCAAAATAGGAAGAGTAGGCCGCTTCAGGCCGATAATAAGGGCGCCCGTCTAGGCTCGTCGCCGACCCCGCTTAGCAGTCGTACGACTGTCATCGACGACTTCTCCCTCATCATCATCAGTTCCTTTCTTCAAGTCTTCGCCCTCGGCCAGGCCCCACTTCTCACGGTCATACCAATCCTCGCCATCACTCATTTCTCCAACATGGCCTTCAGCCTTGCACCATTCAAGTACGTCGGACTTCATGTGGCATGCTCGGCGTAATGAGTCTAGCATATGCTCAAAGCCACGAACTGTCTCTTCCTGTTTCTGGACATATGACCAGAGCAGACGCCGAGTTTCTTCAGCTTCTGTAGGTGGAAGGCCGAAATTGGCATCGGGCAGGATATTTTCTGGGAACAGAAAGAGAGGGTGGGGATTCGGGAGAGAGCTAGCTGAGTCGGCTGAAAAGGTCGGGGACTGGTTGCCATCATCTTGAGGGTTGGTTGCATTGGCTTGGGCACGCGTCGTCATCCGACGGGGTGGCTCGGGTGAAAACCCATCATGCATCTCTGCATCATTCTCAATCTCGTCATCATGGGCTTCTCTGTTCTCGACGTCGGTATTCGTAGCCGCTCCATTATTGGTCCCGTCCATCTGAAGATCACCAGCTGCATGATTTGGCTCATCTGCGGGCTTTGGATGAGGCGGGAGATCATTCACACCAGCATCGGCTTCCTCCGATTTGAGCACCTTGTTTTGGTCCTGAATGTCATTGGGAACCGGTCCACCAGAGGCCTCGGCAGTCATCTCGACATCGTTTTCTGGCTGCCCGTTTTGGGCGAATGATTCCTCGGGGTTACTATTGACATGCCCGTTGATAGATGGGGAATCCGCGAGAGTTGGATTACTCTGGACACCGTTTGAGCTCGACTGGTTTGCGGGCCTAGGTTCAAAAATGTACCTGTCGTCGGGCGTTTCTATAATGCCACATGGCATCCAGCCAGCGTCGCCCAGAAATTGCCGATGAAGATTTCTAGCGCGCCATAGAAGGGCTCGTTCTTGGCGGAGCTTCTCGTCTACTGCAGCTGTCATGTGTTCCAGGGCGCGGGATGTGTACGGTTGGGACATTGAAGGGTGCGTGGGGAGTTCGGAGGGGTGCTTCAGCGGACACAAGAGTGCTGTCAAAATCCCCAGGTCAGAATTGAGGTTTCATGGGCAGAATGAGGAGACAGCGAATGAGATATACTCACTTTCCAGTACTACCCCAGCGAACGGATTTTCTTCGGTGATTGTAGTGTCCGTCTCGGAATCTTCGTCGTCGTCCAAAAGTTCATCGCCCTCCGAATCGTAGCGAATTGGGTTCCTTTTCAGGATCCGGCGTGTATAACCTGCGTGTTCGACTTTCTATTGTCGGAAAGGAGAACTCAAGTCAGCTTTCAAAGTCTTGTCAGGTTGCCACAGCCTGGATTCGAAACGGGCTTGACGGGCGACAAATAGCCTACCTCTCTGTAAAAGTCCTCTGCATCAATATAACCCATCGCGCCCTCTCGGACATACTTTGCGTTCGCTCTCATCTTGTTTCCGCGGTTGGTGGGCTGGGTAATGGGGTCGTCGGGGGCAACATCTGACTCGCAAGTTAGTACAGTGCCCACTTACGTACCGAAACGGGTCCAACAAACCATCCCGCTCTCTGCGGAGAGCTTTCTTCATGCCGATGATCGTATCGGCTATCAGCGCTGCTTGTGTCGCCATGGTTGCAAGTCTGTGACGGCCCTGCAGATTCACGCCTGTGGGGGAAGAGTGTGGGGAGACAGATCCGAAGCAGAATGAGAGGCAGATCTTGCTGCTCGTGGGTGTGAAGCACAGACTGTATGGGCACAGTCCTTTGCCAGACTCGAGACTCAGGAAATGCAAATCACGATTGTAGAACTGCACGAGCGGAAGTGATGAAGCTCGCGGAGGAGCTGTGACAGTGCGCGATCAACACTAGCCGCTTTGGGAAGGCGTGCCGATAAGCCATCCACACGTGACTGTCTTATCGGATATGAAGAGAAATGGGCAACTTCGCTGGAGTATGGGCGGCTTTTATTACGGAAGTAATAATGGGCCCCGCGCGGTTCTTTTTCTTTGTGAGTCTATCCTTAATTAAGCTACTAAAAACTTAGAATGCTGCATCTATACCCATAATCTTGCATAGTTTATGGGAACTATCTCTCTAGTGTCTAATAGCCAGACGTATAGCGCAACAAGGTATATCTGCCTTATAGTCACCTTATACATTGCAATTCGACCAATAAACAATTCACTTCCAGGGAAATAGTAGCCTAGGTCAGCCAGTTTCCATTTTCGTCTTCCCATCCAAAGCCCTGCTTGGTCATCCATTGATTTCCTCGGCGCCTTGATATTATCTGCAAAACGAAGCGACACAATGGTCTTATGCGCTTCATTTATCTCTGTCATCTCAGACTCGGACAAAGTTATCAGCTTGATAATCTCTTGAAGATGCGTTGGCGAATTGCTCTACGGGATAACACAGACGCCACACTAGACGGCCCAAGACAGAGCCAAAGGCAGCAGTCGAGCATCCGTGGCCTTCTGCAATTCGCGGAAAGAGTATATGGGTCGATATTTCTATTCCGCCTGCTGCGTGCTCACTCCCACCCATCGTACTACGCACAGCATCAACAATCGCTTCTCTATAGAGGATTAATCGAACTCACCTCCAGCTCATCCCCCGAATCCCCTTTTCATGGCAATGTGGAACAAGTTTGAGGTTCGGCTTGAAGGCGTAGCATTTAACCTGATTAGCCACAAGAACGGTCGTTACTGAAGCCAGTAATACGTCCAATATCTTTTGGGTAAAGTTACTTGCGCCGATAGCCCTGCAGCGGACCAACAAGCTTCTCCAACGATTTCCACGTCTCTACAAAAGTCGGGCTATCCGTGAGGCGCAGTGTTTTCCCATCTGGAGTCGTCACACATGACCAATCCATCAGAAATATATGGACGTAGTCCAAGCCCAGTGCGTCGAGAGAATTCTAGAGAGCTTAGGCAGGATCGCGGTGCCACTTGCTCCAGAACTTGGTGACGACGGCTATTTCACTCCAAAGAATTCCTGTTTCCCGGACTGCCTGGCCGACTGCTGGTTCGACAAGGTAGTAAGTATTGGGTGGAGTCGAGGAGACGGTATCCATTTTGGAGCGCATAGATGACAGAAGCGCGGACTTCGTCATGTTTTTTGTCACTTCCAACCCCTATCAAATTGGAGGATCAGTCTTTCTGAATATTGGATAATTCAGGTGCGATTTCCATAGACGATACCTTACCATGTTCCTAGTCCCACGGCGGGCAGTCTCATTCCTGATATCATTTTAGTATAAGATATGAACCCCACAGGATATGTGGTCGTGCAGATTCCTCGTCCAGGCATATCGACAGGCTAGGTAATGCTGTCTCTTGACTCAAGAAGTGCAGGCAGGAGAACTAGATGGAAAGAAAAAAGTTGTCAGAACCCTGCTAATATGCGGGGTTCCCCACCTGCGCACATAACCTCCGCATCTCATAACTTAGCTATCGCCGAGAATAACCTTATTAAGCTAGAACCGGCGCTATCTGAGCCGGTTCTTGAATCTTTTCCATTACCTCGTTGAACAGATCTGGGAAACGGCCAATCCTACGCAATGTTAAAAAGATCATCTAAGCCATCTCGTGTCGATTCATGTTGTAGTTACGCTAAATGGATTACACAACGCTCAGAAAGAATGCTTGAACATAAACACAAGTGGCCCTATTTTCAATCATCAGCGTCAACCCATACCAGGATACCCTTCTTATCGGCGCGCAGATCTCCTGTTGGGAGGGCCCGTAAGGTCTTGTTGAAATAGGTATCCACAATCACCAGCTGAGGCTGGATCCACAGTCCTCGGCGCGCAGCCAGAAGATTGTATCGAACAGTATGCCTACTCAATGGTACGAGCTGGACCACGGTTGTCTTGGGCCCACTGAAGGCAAAGTGTTCACTGGCTTCCATCATCAAGTTGAATGTGAGGAAGTGGGTAGATGGGTTCTCCAGAGTATAATCCAGCTGGATCATACCAGGCAGATTGGCTGAGGGAGTAGCGGAGGCAAGGACCCGAGGCTCCCCCATCGGAACAACTAGGCGAGGTACACCGAGAGTGGTCAGGGTCTCGTCATGTTCGCTGCTGGGACTTTCAGATACGCGACGCCAAGCGATCTCCAGCACTAGGTCGAGTGTAGACTGTCGTCGGTCTCCTAATTTCAACTTTTGCAGATCAAGGAAGAAGTTGGACTCGCGCAGCTCTTCTGGTGCAATATGTGGTACTTCCGGGCTGACGAGTGCCTCTGGCTCGATTTGGCAAACTGCACCGCCATCCAAATCCAGGAGCTTCAAGGATATCTTGTTTATCACGATAGGTTCCAAGGCAAAAGAAACAAGCTTCGAGTTCAGGCACCAACGCTGTATCAGCCCGCCGGCGGTAGAAGGGGAGGCATCGAGAACAAGTTCGTCCTTGACATCGAAAAAGTTAGGCCAAGGTTGACCATGAAGTTGTGGACGGAAATCGTAGTTCGCTTCGAATGGACGAATGAAAGATAAATCGACGGTGATTGTCTTGCTAATGGGAGTTTGGATATCAGAAATCAAGTGGTAGACAGTGGAAATCTCCAACGTGTATTTCACTGCATCCTGGGTGTTTTCCAGGATAACCACGAGTTCTTTATCAGAGGAGCACTCCATGAGCCCAACAGTTCGTTTCAAGCAATGAGAAGAAAGTCCATCACTCAATGAGTCAGCACTTGCATCTGCAGGTTCAGAGGACTCTTCCGAATCCAGCCAGTTGAGAGACGTTGTTGACTCTGAACTTCCGAACAGGCGAAGCTCAGTCGTGACATCAGCAGTCCCGTCTTCTGCGTTATGGATGCTGATGGTCAGGGCAACACGTTCGTTGGTGTAATATGTCTCCTTCAAGTTAGGCACAGACAAACGGATCTTTGGGGGCTTTGGCATGATTTTGCATCGTCTGGTATCCCGATCTTTGCCAACCCGTCGGCGAGTCGGCCCCTTTTTGGTCTGTTGCCACCAATGCGATTGAGCATACGCGTTGTCTGTTATTACGTAGGTCAAGTCAAACTTTTCCTCCTCCACTAGGAACGCCATGGAAGCAACCTGTGCTTCTCCAGCCTCCCGAGGAATGCAAGTGAGGTTAAATATTTTGGTCTGAGATGGTGCAATCGTCAAGTCAGCCACGCCAATTAATGGAGACAATGCACTGGTGGGCGATTGAATTGATGAATCTCCTGGAGTGCTAGGTTCACGTAGAGAGACCGAAGAAATGCAGGACTTAGATGTGACATCCGATTGTTGATCATGGTCGGAATAGAGCTTCCCAGGTCGGAGACACCCTTCGAATACAAGTTTGACCTCAGAAAGCTTGAGCGGGGCTGAATGTTTTTGAGCTAATGAAGAAATGATGAATTGGGCCTTCAAAGGCTCGCCCACATTGCCCTCTGACTTTTCGAAGATAAGAGAGGCAGTCACTATGAGTTGTTAGCGCATAACACACTATTAAACATTCAGCACACTTACAAGGGGTAACGACGTCCCCGCCGCCGAGGACAACGGATGGTTTAGGCTTCTCAGCAGGGAGCTCTTCCAGGCTTTTATGTATATCATATCCCCACTGAGGCCTGGGGACGAAGACTAGAAATGAGGTCAGAATAGATACATAGAAGAAGAGAAAGAGAGAGTCTCACCGTTGCTTAAAAGCTCCCAGTCCACCCGCAGTACGGTCTCGCAGTCCTGCACCTCCTGCGCACACTCCCTTAGAGCCCATCCGAAGCTTTCCATCAAAGGCCACCATCCGGACTTGCGCCAAGTAAGACCTGACCAGCGTGGGCGAAGAACGTCATATGCTTGGGACCAGGATCCGGTACGCATGTATTCTTGCGCAATTTCCAAACTTAAACTCTCTACCTTGCGAATTTGGTGCCGCTTTTCGAACTCTTCCATTGAGGCACGCAGGGTATCGATAATCAGACGCGAGTGATCAAAGCCGTCTTGCCCAGATTGAGGAAATTCAATATGCGGTTCCGGGGCAAGATATGTATCATACAGGTAGGATTTACCAGCCACTTGAGAAGCAGGAGATGAACCCGGCGGTAATCGATCTTCTGCAGGGATTTGATGCGCCAGAGCTCTTCGGGCCTTTGTATGCCTTGCCGATCGATTGTACCAATAGCCTTCATGGTGAAGGTGCTCCCATGGGCTTACTATTTCGGTTGGAGGGATGGACTTTTCGGGATGAATGAAAATTGTTGAAGACTCCAGCCCTTGCGGACCCGAGATGAGAGAGATCTCCGCGCGGCGAATGAGTTGGGCCATAATCAAGGACCAGCGGGCTTCCCAGGCCTCCCACCCATAACTCTTACTGCCTTTCCCTCTTCTATCGAGGATATCTTTTGTGCGAATCCGATGGTCCACCCAAAATCGTGTGGCGGAGGTCGTCTGGTTTGTCCACAACAGGCAACGAATAATGCGAATGGCGAGAGCGTCGCCGAGCAGACGAGCTTCGTCGAACCTCTGATTCCATCCCGCGATATTTTCGAACACTTCCTGTCCGAAAAGAGTGCCATATGCACTCTCGTAGTTCCGGCATGCAGCATCCATTTCCTGCCGAAATTCGGCAAATATCCCCAGCTTGAATTCATACCGAACGTTCCACCCCTGAAAAGACAGCGTTTGTGAAGTTCCAGTCGTGGGCGGAGCTGTAGGTGGGGGAATAGTGCCTCGGTTCCGCTTGCGGCGGGCGTGCTTAGACAAATCTCGATAATATTCCACAACAGAGGGCTGAAGCAAGGAGAACAACGACGTCGCAAACTCTTTCAGCTCTGACAATGTAGCGTCCGGAGGGATGATGAAGATCGACTTCTGATCTAAATTTGTAGAACGCCTGATCCCCCCGATGCGGTCATCAATCTCTCCCTCATAGCCTCCGTCTCCCTCTTCCGAAATCAAAACAACCACAAACCGAGTTCGAAACCCGGACTCTGCCCATTCCTTCTTCAAAGAGTTTATTTCAATCTTCAGCTGATTGTCCCGCAACGAGTTCATGTTGGGATCCAGTGAAGAGGGGAAGAAATTGATTACTGCCGCGGGCACTAATTCTTGATGCTTCATCACCCAGAGCGGGGTGAGCAGGCCATCTGGGAAAGTGGGAGACTGTGGCGATAAAGGAGATATGGGGGAGTGAAGGACAAATGAGGGAGGCCCGTTCTCAGAGCCTGGTATAGGACTTGCTGGCGGTGAACTTTGAGGAGGGTTGGCTTTGCGAGGTGGGAGCTGATATGACTAGCATGAACCGTTAACAGAAGGCCGACGAAAGTTGGTGATATAGCACAAAACAACTCACCCGGCCCACATTTTTGACCTTAACACCTACATAGGAAGGCGATGCAGGCCCATTCGAGCCGGAGACTGGCTTCCAAGATTTCTGGGAGGCATCTTCTTCCAAGAGCACTGTCCGCAGATTCTCCGCAACGGCCCCGCTCAAAAGGGGAAAGTCCGAGAATACTTTGGGACCCTTCTCGACCAGCAAGGGATATTCGGCGCCAGCTTCTGAGGGCGTCTCAGTACTTGCCTCAAGCCCTGACAGGAGGACTAGAGGAAGGTTGTGGTTGACGTAGTCTTCTGGATATGCGTCCATTGCGGACACGGAGTTGGGATTAGGGAGTCAATCACCACATTTCTGGTCATGAAACAGCCTCTCGTCGGCAGATGGTAAGATTCATCAACAATCTTGGAAGAATTGAAGGCGAGTCAGTGTAATATTATCTAAATCAAAAGCAAAACGCTGCTCGCAAAAGTTACGAGCCCAAGACTCATCGGTCCATTTACTGCCACGCCCCCCCGCAGGCGGTCAGATTGTGTCCCTGGTCCGTGTGCCCTGGAAGCTTTCGAGGTTAGTACCATCGTTTCAAGATAATTGCTACTGGGTAAATTAAACTTCTTCACTACTAGTATGAGTGGCTTTCCATGATACGTGTGACAATACCATTATCATACCCGGGTTTTCAATTATTAGGCGGTTAATTTTATATGGCAAGGGTCCCAAATGAAGTAGAGGAAGAAATATATAATTGCGATTCCAAACCCAGACTCCCAGAATCGCGTACTACTAGTTATCTTGGTTGTACCCGTTACTGATTCTTTAAATCTCTTCTTAGCAATCGTTCCTTGATATGAGCACTACCACTAGCCTTCAACGAGGGACTTCAACTAAGGAATTACGACTGGACTATCAGGACGCATAAGTACCGACCAGCTGACCAGGAGATGAAGAATAAATTGTCCGAGCTCCGGGACCCGAAAGAACGGAATCCTAGTGGATTTTAAGGGGATTTTCCTTCGTACTAGTCCGAGTCGGGAACTCTGCAAATCTGCACACAATGCTTTAGGGCTCTTGGACACGTGGGATCCTCATTCTTAAGGATGCAGTTGACTCCTTCCTGTATCGTATGACTTCTGAATTTCAGTCAACCAGATCCGAGTCCAACTGGGTTTCCGAGGTCGAGTGCAGCTCATGATTGGATCCATGGGTCGTGAGCATCCCTACCCGAATAGGCGTACGCAAACCAGTGGGAAATTGGGGATCCATCAGTGGAGCTGAACGCAAACACTAAACATCTCTCTGTTCTCCAGTCCAATCTTGCCATCGACGGGAGAGAAAAGATCGGACATTTACATTTATCTCCTGAGCGTCCTTCGTTTCTTTCTCTCCCAAACTCTGTTTCTTATCTTTTCCCCTCCCCTCTTTTCTTACACTCGTTTCCCCTTCTGCTCTTATCTATCGACCCCCCCCCCACGTCAAGACGCGCAAACAGTAAGGGGCTCGTGGCTAGGACCACTCCCTGCCAGTGACCCGCCCGCGCAAACTGCATATAATTCTCCCGTAGATGATGGGCGTCCCCTCGTCTGCATAACGCGTTGATCCTAGGGATTGATAGTTCCGTCTCCATAATCGAGAACTATTGGACGCCATGCAGATCAACGAGGGTGCTCCGGCACCCGCCGAGTCGGCTCTGCTCAGCCGTCGGCGCAGGCGCAGGTCGCTCCCAGGGCAGAAGGGCAAGGGCGTAGACCCAACATCGCCGGAACTGATCTCGTCGCTGATATCGTCCCTGTCTACTATCTCCGTGCCCCTGAACTCGCACTTCGACAACATCCCGCGTATTGACTCCAAGGGTTCCAAGGACTCTTCTGACCCTGGTTTGCCTGACGTGCCTCATACTGCACCGTGTTTCACTATCCCTCCTTCGCAGCAGAATGGCTTTGGTCTGAGTTTTGGTTCCCATTTAGAAGAGCAACAGCCAAGTCCATTCCTACATCCGGATGATGCTGCACTCCCGCCTATCGTTCGCATGGCTAGAGCGCCGCCTTCGCCCAAGGCTCCACGATCGCCTCGTTCGCCAAAGTTCAAACGCTTTTCGAAATCCGCCGATACCTCTGGTCGGCCCGCGTCGCGGGACTCCTTTGCGTCAGTACGAGCCCCCGAAGATATGGTGTTTGGGACGATCAGTGCGGAGCCAGGTCCACGCCTCTCAACTGCGGTCAGCACCGCTTCCAATGGATCAGGTCGAACGAAAAGCCTGAAGGGCCAATTTGGCCAATTTGGCCTGCTGAAGCGATCTTCGTCGCGGGAATTCTCCAACGAACCTGATACCCAAGCCGACCGCTTACGGAAATCAAACAGCCTCAACGAAAGTGCCCGCCATAACAATATCCATAAGCGGGCCAGCCTGCGATCCATGTATTCGATGGCAAACGTCACCGAAGAGGCCGGTTATAGAAACTCGAGCGACGAGCCTGTTGCGAATACGCATCCAGCAGGGGATCAAAGTACTTATCAAGGAACATCAGATGCTTCAAACAACCCTGGGGGAATTGGGAGTGGACGGGTAATTCCGACACGCGATTCTTCTTTGCGACACCGACATAGCCAGTCCTCCAGTTCCAGAAAACGGATGTCTGCCCGCCACAGCCGTTATCCGTCTACCGCTAGCAGAGACTCGACTGCCGAGAACGGCCTTCCGGGATCAAGTAATGATGCGGAACAAGTGACTAAACGGATTCAGGAGCTGAAAGACCAGCAGCAGAAGATTAAGACCGAACTGGAAGTGGACGACAGCCCGGGGAATTCTCCAAAACCCGTTCAAAAGCAGACAAAGTCCGCACATATCTTCAGTCAAGTGGATCACGGTCGTGGCACTCCGAACGAAGTTCAGAATGTGACCCGGACCCCGGCTGATCGTCCAATTTTGAATGAGAGTGCGCCTTCACCATCGGTCATGACCGGTAAGAGCCGAGTATCAAAATCAAACATCTTCGGCTCTCCGATGAGCAAAGCTCTCCCGGAAACCCCTGAACACGAGCGAGCCAAATACCGACGATCACAGGAACCCATGACTCCGACTAGAAGCCACGCCCGTACATCTTCCATCCCGACCATTGGCCGATCTTCAACCTATCACGAGAGGCCCTCTAGTGCAGATTCGATTGATCTCGCGGTAGGAGAATATGTGTTCTCTCCCAAACTGACCCAAAAGGTCATACACCCAACGTCCGGCCGAACCATCGCATTCTCAGAAGTAGGCGACCCCAAGGGTCATGTCGTGCTGTGCTGCCTAGGCATGGGCCTCACCCGCTACCTCCCCGCATTCTATGATGAATTGGCACGTACCTTGAATTTGAGGCTGGTGACTTTAGATCGACCTGGAGTGGGCGAAAGTGGACCGCATCAACTGGATGAACCAAGCAATCCATTGAGCTGGCCTGATGATGTCGCCATTGTGTGCAATCACTTGCGTGTGACCAAGTTCTCTATCCTTGCGCATTCTGCTGGCGCTATCTATGCCCTTGCAACTGCTCTCCGCATCCCACAGCATATTCGTGCTCGGATCCACCTCTTGGCTCCATGGATCCCTCCGTCCCAGCTCTCCAGCATTGGCTCTCAAAAAGAGCCTGCCCCTTCCAATGCCGTCCCATATTCGCAACGTATCCTTCGTGCCTTACCCACATCTCTCCTCAAGGTTGCCAACACCAGTTTCATGAGCACTACGAGTGCTAGCATCACGACCAGTCTTCCCAAATCCCCTAAGCGATCCAAGAAGAAGACAGCAAAAGAGCCACCAGTCCCAGATGTGGAGTCTGTAGCTCCAGAGCTCACTCTGAATCTCGGAAACGATCAAGAAGACCCAGGTCCATTGGGCGGTGTCAAAGCCTCGAACAGTTCCAGAGCCTCCCATAGAAGGAGTGACACTACCCTTGGGTCTCGCGCTAAGTCTCCAGAAGAGGAGCGTGAACGGCAGCAGGACTATGACAACCGGCTGACCCACAAAATCTGGGAGCTGGCTACTACCAATGCCAATCCAGCCGTAGATCTGCTGATCTGCCTGGAACGACGCCAACCCATTGGATTTCGCTACGTGGACATCACCCGGTCTGTAGTCATCCACCACGGCAGTAAGGACACTCGTGTCCCCGTGGAGAACGTCCAGTGGCTGGGCAAGACCATGCGACGATGTGAGGTACGCGTTCTCGAGGGTGAAGGCCATGGCCTCATGGCATCTGCAGGCGTAATGGGCAACGTCCTGACGGAAATTGCCAAGGAGTGGGAGGACTGGACTACCATCGTTCAAGGCAAGCGTCGCGCTACTGTCCACCAACCCACACGGCCTGGAGTCTCAATCCCTGCTTAAAGGAAGTTTTGTCTTAAGGTTCTTCCTTCTCGTCCTTATACAATGTCCCACCCACGGCCCGAAATGACCGGTCCTATAGGACTGTCATAACATCTTTGTTTCCCTTCAACCTTACCACAGCTGGCACTGTGGATTTATTGCATGATTCACCCTGGTCCATTCCCTCTACTGCTTTCCTTGCACACACTACATATATACTACACCTAAACTTAATCCCGGCCCATGATGCCTGACCATGGATTTCTGATGTGGAAATGCCTTGAGATCCAAAAGCCCTTGTGATTTAGCAGAATACCCCTAGTTTGTTTAATATATACCATCATCCTTCGAATTACAGGAGAAGAGCTCGTAAATATATGTGTAGGCCGAATTCTTGGACGTTCGATGCATACAAAGAAAAATACAACCGCAAAAGGTAGCGAATACTGCAGTAGTATCAAAGAGTAAAGTAAAAGCCCTATAATAGTGTCTGCGCCAACCTGATTCATCGCCATAATGCTATTGCGACGTACGGCGTTACTCGTCCATACCCTCCTCGTATTGGTAAAGCTTAAGTCCACAGCCAAGCATTTGGTCCCGCACTCAGGGATGACCCTGTGCCCCTGGGCCAGAACCCTCCTTCCTGTAACCCAGGCACACGGGCAGGAACCTCCATTTTAAACCTCAGCCAACAAATCACCGGAACCCGCCCGCTAAATACCATTTCATCTCCACATTCTCGCAGAGCACCTGTTATATCACACACGACACCTTCCCGTATCGAATACGCGCTGGGATCGGCGGAGTCTTGGCGCGCGGCACCACCTTCACGTTCCAACTTTGGAATCGCGGTTCAAGCGTGGGCCTACACTCTTTAACGTCTTTTAACACCTCAAACCATTTGGGCATACACAGCCAAAATGCCTTCACAACGGCGTGGAAGGATGATCACAATCTTGGTGTTTGTGATAGTCCTTCTCACATACTACTACTCGGTACGAGCAATAAACAACCGGGGCAAGAGCGGGGAGAGAGCTAACGATCACGCTTTACGTCCAGGGCGAGGGCAGAAGTGTCCAGAACCAACAATTCTACCGTTCCACACTCGAAGCGATGCGGGCTAAGGAGGCGGCGCGCCACTTGGCAACAAAAGAGAGAAGATCCAGGAGGCTATGGCCAGGCCTCAGGCGGTCCATGGGGGGCATGAGAAGGCTGAGAAAGTCGCGGTGCCGGTTGTGAAAGAGAAGGGAAGCGATGAGCAGGACACAGAGGAGGTTTCAATCGCGGGGCGCACCAAGATGACCGTCCCTAAGAAGGGCTCGCAGGACTCGTCGAACGCGGAATTGGATCCGAGTTCATTTGCGCATCCCAGTTCGGAGGAACAGAAAGAGGCCGAGGATAGAAAGGCTCGCGAGGCGGAAGCTAAGTCTGAGTTGAACTACATATTGAAGCAGGCACCAGGTGCGTAACCCGCCAAGAACGTCAAAAGATGGCAGACGTTACCGTTTCCCGACTGTCAAGAAGCTATTCTAACCATATTGATTGCTACAGTGATCATCTTCTCCAAATCATACTGCCCACACAGCAAGAGAGCCAAGACGATCTTGCTCGAGGGATACGAGATTTCACCAAAGCCATACGTGGTGGAATTGGACCAACACCGTCTCGGCGCAGACCTCCAGAGCCTGCTGGCAGAGACTACGGGGCGTCGCACCGTGCCGAACATTCTCGTGAACGGCAAAAGTATTGGCGGCGGAGATACAATCGCTTCGTTGGATCAAAGCGATAACCTGGCTACGACATTGAAGCAGTATGGTGGGAGTTCGTTGACGGAAGTTTCCCAGGGCCCGGCCAACGCACACCATTAAGTATTGGATCTTGGATTGTTCAGGGGCTTTGCTTTGGATTTGGCGGGGTCTTTGCCCCCTTGCGGTTTGTTATAATGTAAATGTAAATAAATCTGGTTGAGATACCGCGCGAAGTCATACACTATTCCAGGAATACACGGTGGGTATGTGGACATGAATTGAGACAAAAACAGGAGTAGTTGACTACGGGGGACGTACATATCATTCATGTAGATCCAAAGAAAGGAGGCGAACCCAGGGCGGCCAGCCAGGAAGCCGAACGGATGTTAGTGAGAGAATTGGACAGCGAAGGGGCAACTGATATGGTAGGAGACGAGGAGCTGGAAACAGGGAGAGACAGAGCTATAGAGAGCAAAAAGATCGTGGCGAGTTAATCAAAGACACTGAAACAACTACTGCGTACTGCAGTAGATCGTAGACCCCCAAAAGTGCAAACTATGCAAACATGGATAGCTGGATAGTTTGGATGCGCAAACCATAAACCATAGCACGTGATGATAAGAACCGAGTCGGCTTGATAACCAACCCTACGCTAACCCCAAAGTGGACCTAAGCGACGCACAATCCCGTGACGGTAAATTCGCTCCACCACTTACTGGAACATCGATTTTTGATCCTCCCGACATCGACAATTCACCCCCTCCGGCCAATTCCACCCAGCAGTCAAGATGCGGTACATTTACTCCGAGGAACGGCTGCCCATTCCGGACAATGGTGAGCTTGCGACTTTCTTCTGTTTTACCCGGTTTTTCGAGATGTGTGGGAATGTTGGGAGGAACTGGATGGGAGGCGCACTGTGCACAACCATGAGGCTGGATCGCTCGACGCCGTGATACTCGACCTACCTCATGGGAAATGCAGAAAAGCAGTGACTACCTTGAAAGGACTTGCCCTGGACGTTGTCTGCGTCGATATAAGACATAACCCGACATGATTTGAACGCATACACAAATTCAAGGACCGAGGCTGATAGGCGTTTTTTTTCTCTCTACAGTGAAGGTTCACATTAAGTCGCGCATTGTGACCGTCGAGGGTCCCCGCGGCAAGCTCGTCAAGGACCTGTCCCACATTGCCGTTACCTTCGGCCGCCCCGAGAACAACGTCATCTCGATCGAGCTGCACCACGGTGCTCGCAAGGGTGTCGCTACTCTCCGTACCGTCCGCACCATCATCAACAACCTGATCATCGGTGTTACCCGCGGCTTCCTCTACAAGATGCGCTACGTCTACGCCCATTTCCCCATCAACGTCAACATCGAGAAGAACGCTGAGACTGGCCAAGCTGAGGTTGAGATCCGGTATGTGACTATCTGTGTGGATGTGTGGATGTGAATGTTCTCTGGATGAGAAATTCTTCTGCGATCTCGCACATCTGCTGGAATACTTGTGGACTAGAGTACTGACAGTCTATCTCTAGTAACTTCCTGGGTGAGAAGTACGTGCGCCGCGTGACTGCTCAGCCCGGTGTCGAGATTGTCCCTTCCCCCAACGTGAAGGACGAGCTCCAGCTCTCCGGTAACTCCCTTGAGGGTGTTTCCCAGAGTGCCGCCGACATCCAGCAGATCTGCCGTGTCCGAAACAAGGATATCCGTAAGGTATGTTGCTCTGGAATATTCTGCATCTCCCCGCCAAACATCAATTATTAACCTGGTTATAGTTCTTGGACGGTCTGTACGTGTCGGAGCGGGGCAACATCATTGAGGAGTAAAGAATTCGCTTGGGATCGGGTGTCCGGGAGAGCTTCTTTTTAATTTCGCCGACTTGCATATAAGGAAGCATGCGAAATGTCAAAAATCAAACGACTTGAAATTCATCACAATTCTTAAAAATGATGGGCTGTAGCCATGTTTCCCGTGTTCTGTGTCTCTGTAGTCGTAGTTTGGAGGATCGAGGGTTCAAGACTCTTGAGAGCCAAAGGCGGCCCGCACCAAAGAACATCCACTGCACTTAAAAACCTCCCAACTTCGACTCATCGGATCACACCCGACGACACCACTGCTCCCACAGGTCTAACACTCAGCCAAACTCCCTAAAGCTCCATAGCCAATTACAGCCCTGCATCCCTCTACATTCCTCTGCATTCCCGGCTTGCGCGCGTGACGCCATAGCATGTGAAAGCGGCCAGTTCCCCGCCAGACTCCCCAGCTTCGTTCGACATGGGGACATGGCTGAGCGGGATGTGGAAGATAATCGCCGCAATTCTGAGCATGATGCTTGATGTCGCACTGTTCTGGAAGTCGGTGAGTATCTAGCTCGCCCTTGACGAGCTCGCGTACAGCACGCCGACCCCCCGGGCCTCTCGGACACCAGCTCATACACGCTACAGAAACTGCTTTCATGGTGGACATCTAAGACGCCCCACGCCCGGCTCCTGCATGCCCTTGAGACGGCCCAGACTTACGAGCAATGGGAGGAGGCAGCGTTTGAGCTTGACGAGCTACTGAGCAAAGATCTATGGTACGAATGCCCTCCGGATTGGGATCCGGGGAAGGAGGATAGGATAGGGTTCTCACCATCAAACCTGAACCCTCCCCCCACCCCGACCTGAAATAGCATATTTGTGCCCACGAACGCACCATGGCTGATCCAAGCTTCTAGGCGCCAAAACTCCGTCAGCCGGCACTATGACTACCGGCTCATAATGGGCCGACTAGAGGCGCTGATGAGCGCCCGCGAGAACGAAGACATCCTCACACTAGTCAACTTGCTCCGCTCGGGACTCGTCCGGAACTTGGGCAATATCACGACGACGAAGCTCTTCACGCATGCGTACGCGGGGACCAAGCTGCTGATCGACGACTATATCACGCAAGTTGCGCTGTCGATTCAGTACGTGAGCACGTTGCAGCCGGAGCCGGCGCAGCTAGGCGGGTTCACATCACAGGCGAAGCTGGAGCTGCTGCATGATACGCGGCAGGCATTTGGGCGGACGACGCTGTTGCTGCAGGGCGGGTCCGCGTTTGGGCTCTGCCATTTGGGGGTAGTCAAGGCGTTGTATTTGCAGGGGTTACTGCCGAGGATTATCACGGGGACGGCGACGGGGGCGATGATTGCGGCGCTTGTGGGGGATTCATCCCGAAAGTGAGCTTTTGGGGCTGCTTGATGGGGATATGTTGGACTTGTCTGCTTTCAAAGGGTCGAAGGGCGCGACGAGAGACGAGGGATGGATTGGGACGTTTGTTCGGAGGACAAGGCGGTTTTTGCGGACGGGACATTTGTTTGATATGGAGCTGCTGGAGGAGTGTGTACGGACGAATGTGGGTGATTTGACGTTTGAGGAGGCATATGCGCGGTCGAAACGCATTTTGAACATCACGATAGCCACAGCGGGGGAAGACAGGGACGCCGAATCTTCTGAATTACTTGACAGCACCAAACGTGGTATGTACTGCTTCTTTACCCGGCAGGGTGAAGGACCGGGGGTGTATATCTAACATGGAAACAGTTGATATGGTCTGCAGCTGTTGCGTCCAATGCCTCTGTGTCTCCTAGCTCCCCCAAACCCAACATCACCATCTACTGCAAAGACGAGACTGGCGCAATCGTGCCCTGGCCGCACACCGAAGACGCCGTCTTCCAGCCCTGGCGGCACATCCCCTACAACGATGGCGAGTCCCCTCTATCGCGAATCGCCGAACTCTTCAACGTAAACCACTTCATCGTCTCCCAAGCTCGTCCATACCTCATCCCCATCCTGCGCTCCGAACTCAACCTCCTCGATCGCCGCCAAACAGGCTGGATGAATCTCTCCCGCTCGATATCCCGTCTCGTCCTCGCCGAGCTGCGCCACCGACTCCGCCAGCTAGACTATATCGGCGCGCTCCCAGGAACAGTGAGTAGACTGCTCATCGACGAAACCATCCCGGGTCCAAATCTGACGCTAGTCCCCGACCTGTCGCTGCGAGACGTGGCGCGGCTCTTTCAGCAGCCAACGCGCGAGCGAGTCGCAGAGTGGACGTTGCAGGGTGAGCGTGGCGTGTGGCCGGCTGTCAGCGCGCTGAAGGTGCGCGAGGCGATCGAGATCGAGCTTGATCGGGGGTATCAGCTTGTAAGACGACGGAGACCGAGTGATGCGGCACTGCCGGTAAAACACTCCCCCAACGAAGGGCTGCCTAGGAGGAGGAAGGTAGGCGAAGATCTGGAGGAGAACGGGCATTTTGCTGATGGGGAGAGAGAGTAAGCCTTGTGCCTATAGATTGTATGCATGCTTTGCTTGGTTGTATGGCTCAGTCTTGGGAGGAGAGCGAAGTATACGTATATAGATAGCGCTCTCCTTGCTCGAATGTATAAAATTGCCGCAGTTCAAGTTGTACTCGTACTTTGGAGAAGAAAAGACGGCTCAGTTCGTCTATCGATCTACATTCGAGAAAATTACATGTAATCAAAGTAGGGTTGAGACTAAAAAGAACAGATGATTGAATACAATAGTCCTGGTCTGCATTGAAATTGACAAATACAAGATAAGTAAAGCAAAGCCCTAAGGATCTATTCCAGTGCATCCGACTCAGGCGGTCCTTTATAATCTGCAGCAGCGAAAAGTCAGCACCAACGAGGCACACAAAGAATCCATAGATACAAAACTCACGTTTCCTCGCATAAACAAGATACCACACAGCCGCAATAGCCAGAAACCCCACAAAGACCACGGAGGCGTAATTCATCGATGTCGACGTAACCGGCAACGCAGTCGGCATACTAAACAGCACCAATTCGAACACAATCCACGCCAACGCAACCACATTGGCAGAGGCACCGACAATATTGCCGTAATGCCAGGGCGCCTGCATAACCTCCCTCCGTCGATTCATCAAGCTGAGCGCGATGGGCATCGCGTACGCCGCCGCCAGCGCGATGACGCCGACCGAGACGAAGGCCGTGAACGCGCTCGAGCTGCCGAGGTTGATCAGACCGAGCAGCATTTGGATGACGGTGATCAGAAGGAGAGACCAGACGGGGACCCCAAGACGTTTGTCTACGTGCGCCCAGAGGCGGGAGAGGGGGAGGGCGTTGTCACGGGCTGCGGCCCATGTCGCGCGGGGACGCGGCGACGGTGATACTGATTGAGCAGAAGAGGGAGACGACGAGGACGAGGAAGGTCAGGCCGAGACCGCCTCCGGGGGTGCCCATCACGCGGTGTAGGATGTAGGGGAGGGCCTGGCCGCCCGGGGAGTTCAGGATGTCTTCCAGCGGGGCAGGACGACGCAGAGGGGAATGATGAAGAAGAGGCCAGCGATGCCGCCGACGGGGATGGAGAGGGCGATGGCGCGGGGCACCTTGATGGCGGGGTGGGCGCATTCTTCTGCCATTGCGGAGACCATGCCGATGGCTGAAAAGCAGTATGCGGCTGGGAGCAGGCCGATGAAGAAGGTGAAGTTGCCCCAGCCGGAGAAGGACTTGTCGTAGTGGCCGAGGGCGTAGGCGGCGCTGTGGCGACCGGCTTCTGCTTTGACAGAGACTGCGATGAGGATGACGATGATTGTTAGGGCTGTCCAGGTTGCGCAGGCGATGTCTACTTGAGGGAGATAGCGATTGGCAAAGATGCAGATGACCATCGAGCCAAGGCAAGCAGCATAGAAGATCAGGAGGAGCTGCCAGCTGTTGGCGTTCCAAGTGGGATGATACATGGAGACGGTGGCTGCAAGCATGGAGGCAAAGCCGAAGTTGACGGAGAGCGTGATAGTCCAGTTTCCAATCAGCCAGATCCAGGCATTGATGAAAGAGAGGGTGCTCTTCGAGGTCTGGGCCATCTGAAAGGTCCAGTAATACGGGCCCGCAGAGGTGGGATAGCGCGAGGCCATCTCAGCAAGAGACATCGCGATACATTGATCCAACAGGCAGACGACGATCCACCCCACGAAGATGGACAGAGGACCACCACCATAGATGGCACTGATCAAAGGACTGCCCTCTCCATAGGGAATTGCAGCAATCGCGAGTGTCTGGAAGAGCAGTGTGATGATTGATCGGTTTCGGCGCATCTCCTGCTTGTAGCCTAAGCCCTCGAGCTCCTTGCGTTCATGGATGCTGGCGATTTCGCCAGCCTCCTGATCGGGGCCATGACCCTCAACGGGAGAAGTGATCTTCTCGTCTCCCAGCTCAAATCCCATTATGAGGATAGTTGACCTTCAAGTCACCCAGGGATGAAGTCTGTGAGCCGCAGCAACGATCGTATCTAGGGGTCTGAAGAATAGAAACAGGGCGATAAGGCTGATCGATAAGCTCAGGAGGATCAGCTGGGATTAATATCGTGATTGGAAGCAGGCTATTATCCTGACCCACCGGTCAGACAGTACAGAGCAATCCGAGATGCAGCAAGCTTCGCCCCGCAGGAAATCTGGGATTCTATATGACCTGAGCCGGTGTAACCAAGCTCCGCGGAGAGCAAAAGTAATGAGCTTTCGCTATGCAGCGCCCTTCCTGGCCGCACAGGCCTGTTGTAAAAGCGCGCGGAGACAGAGCCCTATCACATAAGGGCGTGCTCGGTTTGCATTGCCGCAGGTGATCAAGGGAGGAGCATTTTCTCCTCAGTTGGGATCGCAAGTATGGATTTGGAAGCCTGCAAAACGAGGGCCGGGCCGTGATAAGCGCATATCTGCGCAAGAAAGTGATTAGTCGATCCATGAAAAGCCATTGCTGGGCTTATCTGGTTCGAGTTATTCATGATAAGAAGAACCACTCAGGAGGCAGAACTACTGATCTCCCAAGAGCTGCTACTTGCGGAGATAAGAGGACCCTAAGATAAGCAAGCCGCTCTAAACCGCAAAGAGTAGGCGAGACCGCGTCTGCACAGGCAAATTAGAGTTGAGTCTCGCCAGTCCAACTAAACCGTAATTGGGATATAGATGCGCCTTGGTTCAAGAAGATTCACAGATGGAAGTCGGACATTTGGGTAAGAATTATATCCTGTGGGGAAACCCCGCACTATTACAAATGACGTCAAAAGAGGTATCAAGATGCGAGGTAGATCGCCTCGGAAAAAAACAAAGCCAACAAAGATACAGACTACACTTAATGGGCAGTCGAAGGACGGCCCGCGGGCGCTTGCCCGTCCTGCTCGTGATCTTGGCGAGAACGAATGCTACGAGAAGCTGAAGGAGGGGGAGCAGTGGCTTCCAGAAGGGGAACTGTAGATGTTGTTAGGACGGAGATCAATACGGGTTTTGATTGGGGGACGAAAGAAAACTTACTGCTGAATCCATAGCCCTCGGTGGTACCTTGGCGGTCCTGAGGGCTGATCTCAATGCGAATGGCCACATCGAGACCTCCGTACATGGTGCTACCGCGGCCGAAGCCATTGGCAGCAGGGTGGGCGGTTCCTGCATTAACTTCGCCCTTGTGAAGAGGCGCATGGCCATCCTTGGGCAGCTTGTCGAGCTTGGCGGTCTCCGTGGTTTCACCGTTCGAAGAGGGAGCAACAACTTCGGTCAAGATGGCAAAATTACGCGACGGCATGGTCACCTTATTCCACGCAGCGCTCTTTTCTTGGCCACCGGGCTGCTTGTCCCACATGGGCATCAGGGTCTCATCACAGTTGCGGTCCAGGTGATGAATCTTGTTGCGGCGGGCCAGGAGGTTGGCGACCGCCTTGGGTGGAGGCTTGTTGGTGATCGCACTGCTAACCACGTTGACGATGAAACGGTGGTCGTTCTCACCGGCAAGGTTCAACTTGGGGTTCGAGTAGAACCGACCCACGGCAGCAAGGTGGACATCACCTCCGAGAATGGTCACTCGGATCGAATGGACGCGAGCAAACTCTTGCAAGCGCTGGATGAACATCTTCCGCTCACGCTTGTGCTGACGAGCAGTATAATGGTCATCCAAGTCATCCAGCAAATCGACCTGACCGTCGAACTCGTTGAACAAGCTGCCAGCGACACCGAAACGCTTGTTCAGCAGACGGACAGGAGCGATTAGAGGAGACGTGAGAATGTTCTCCAACCATGCCAGGCGGGGGTACGCAATGGGGACACCCAGCAGAACAACCAAGTGCTTGATGTCGCCCTCGGCGGCCGACACTTCGCTCTGCAAGCGCTGGAAGAGAAGATCGTAGGTGTCATTGTAGTTCACCTGGTGGCGGGTACGCTCGGTACGAGCATCGAGACCGACGAAAGCAATGCGCTTTCCGAAACGCATGTAGAGACTGCGACTGCGCTCCTCCACGTAGGGACCCGGACGCTTGCCAATGATCCAGCTGTCATCCTCCGGTTGGTTTTCAAGGACATACACGTTCTCAAGCTGACGGGGGTCTGCGCCAGCCGTGCCGTTCACGGCGTGCATAGTCTGGGGCGCATCAGTGGTGAAAGTCGACTTAGGGGGGGGAATATGGTGCTGGAACAAGCAGTAGTACTTGAAAGCCACACCACCGATACCGCGGAAGACAGCGCACTTCATGAAGTGATCCGTGTATGATCCGAAACCATCGATAATGTCATGGTCATCCCAGATGTTTACCTGGGGAATGCGGCCATTGGCGGCACGGAATGGCTCGGTGTTGTACCAGCGCACATAGTTAGCATAGTAGTAGTCATCACACTCGGCGCGCATCTTGTTGCTGAAGTCGTGGGTTCGACGCTTGTGCGGGTTGTTGATAGCGGTCCAAGGCTTCAAGGGCCCGTCTACCCGGATTCCATCGTTGTAGATCTGGTCACCACCGCCCACCATGACGTGGAAGGGCTGCTCGCCGTGTATGCGCAGAACATCGTTCCATAGGTTAGGGCCCACCCAGGCCTCCATGTCGGTACCAACCGAGAAGCCATTGCAAGAGTGAAACATCATGCGCATCGACTGCTCCGCGGCGGGCACGACAAAGGCCCAGGGGCTGTTAACCTGGGCGCCCGACTCGTAAAGACCGGGGATTTCATACTCCCAGCGCGCCTCGTAGACCTCGACAGGCACGGCCAGACTAAAACGCCAGAAGGCCTTCTCAGGATCCTGGTATAGCTTAAGACCCTCGATGGTCTGGTTCTTGGCAGAAACGGATTGCTCGTCGGAACCGACGGCACCGAGCTGACGCAGGTGTAGTTGGGGCTGGTCCTGACCGGGCTTGGTAACAATCAAAACACTACCATGCCAGACGGGAGAAGGCGCATAGTGCATGTTTTTAAAGTTGATCAAGGGGCCGGAGATGAGCTCAAAGCGGTCGTCCGCGGAGCGCGTAACGGGGGCGGGCTCGACATTGGGGATGGCGGACCCTGTTGTCGCATAAGCATTAGCATAGTTTTCCAGCAATCAGATAGGTTCATGACGGGGATCCCATGCGCGCTTTCAGCTTCACCCTTAACAGGTACTTCTACAAGGAGCGCATACGAGCGTCAACATGCGCGACCAGGGTCCCTAACCACGAGTTCCGTGAGATGAACATAAGGGGACACCGAGAGCTGTCATGTTGACACTGTACGGGGGTATGCGCGCACGCGTTCGTGGAAAGCTTCAAGCGCTGCGGAGGTGGTAGGAGATCAACTTACCATTGACAGGGTCAGTAGCTTCAGCCATTCTGACACAATTGGCGCGAGTGGGGGAGCGCGCAAGGATCTATAGACGAATACGAAGGTCGGAGGGTGTCAAGGAAAAAAAGGAGGGGTGGACCAGCTAAAAGGAGGGAGGAATGTCAGATCTGCCCCCGATTTCTTTCAATCCCAGCTTCACCAAAACACTTGGCAGGGGACTTGGCGTACAGGCTAAGAGTTACAGGGCTGGAGGCCGACTACTTAATTGAGGGGCGCAGATGCTGTACAATTCATCGCCTGAAAAAAAGAGACAAGAAAATAAGAGAAAAAAAAGCCAAAGAAAACGCGAAATAGGGCAAACTACGGAATATGCCGATCGTCTACTTTCAGCCGTCTATTGTTGGGGGGCGATCCAGCACATCTTTTGCAGCCCATGACGGTTGCCAAGAGAGCGGAGCGAATCAAATTGGAAGTGATTTCCAATGAGCCACGTAGCGCCACAGAAACCGGTTTTCCGCTCTCGCTGATTGGCGTCGATCCGTGGCGGTGCGCAGGGTTGGATCGAGCTCGATTGTTTTTGTATATGGAATTGTGGTGCCTAGCAGAACATCCTGAACTTCCGGGGTTCAAGGCGGGGCGCTACGGAATACTTGGGGTTGGGCGGCCTGAGATATCTGGCCTGTTCCAAAGTTGGCTGTTGGGTTTTACATAATTGGAGTCCTGGAGACCTTGGAACCATCTACGAACCACTACGGCAAGTACACAAAACCCCAATTGGACACAGGATAGAATGCACCGGACGAATAAGATGTCTCTAATATAATCTAATGAATAATTATGTACACAAAAGATGGACCCGTACTGAACTCCGTACGGAGTATCCGTAGCAGCTGCGTGGTTCCCCAGCCCCATCTGTTGGCGTGGCTGGGATCCACCGTATCGGCCCATCGAAAAGCTACTGCGTCAGCTGCGACACCATCTGCAGCATACTGTAAGCGCATGAGGACTGCGCCCAAACAGGGGCGCGAGGGGTGGCTCCCTTTACAGCCTGTGGCTGCTGAACCTGTACATGCACAGCAGGCACCTGCTCGACAGGGGACGGCTCAGAAGCAGGAGACTCATCCAAGATCAGCTGACGGGTAAGAATGGGCTTCCCGTCCCGCTGCTGGCTGTAAGCTTCACAGGTCTGGTTCTGACGAACAGCTGCCACCAAGGCGTCGAAGGAAGTCTTTCGTAGTAGGTCGCGGAGCTTGAAGTCAGACCCATGGTGTGAGTCGCGATACGGCTGCGGATCGTCCCAAATGAGGTGGGCGATGTCGCTTAGAAGCTCTGCGAACTTGATCACTACGACGAGGTCCAAGCCGACTGGGAGCTCACGCGTGGTCTCACGGAAGTAATTGAATAAGCCGGTTGACAGAATATCCAAGTCTACGGTACAAACAAAGACATACATCTCTAGAAAACGGTCGACATGGACATCGATAATGAGCTGTCCCTCCTCCCACGCAGAGCCGAGATCAGCAATACCCTCCGGGCAACACTCAAAGAAATATGCCTGGATACGATGGTTCCGTAGATCGAACCCCAGAACCAGTGACTGGCGGGTAGGTAGCTCAGAGGCTCTGTGCGGGAGTAGAGGTAGAAGAGCGAAGGCAACGAGACGGGTCTTCATAGGGGCGAATGCGAAGCTCTTAGAATCAGCGAGCTCATCTAGCCAGATTTGGCGGAATCGGTTGCCCTCCAGAAGCATGAAGTTGCCGATGCGAGTCTGCCAATCCTGACCTCGCTCGATGGTTGCCAGGTACAAGTGGTAATCAGTCAAGCCCCATGGGTGGAGCGAGCACGCCTGTACTTCAGCAGCAAAACTACGCCTCTGGCGACCAACCTGAGCAGGTGCTGAGCGCTCCAATGGCTTCACTTGGTTCGTCGCGTTGATGGTAGGGCATACAATAGGCGTCATATTAAACTATAAGCCGTTGGATTATACAGCGTCTGAGGTATAGTGAGGTCAAAGCAGATGGTCAAAGGCCGATCGATGACCCAAGGTAATAGTCCCAAATGGTTCTATTCTGGGAACAATACTATTCATGGACGCAGAGCTATTTATACCATGCCATTGTCATTGTTGGTCCTGAAGGGCTCCTCTCGTGGTTCATGAGGGCTTGGTATACAGTGCTTTGAGTAGATCCTCGGAAGAAAGGGGATAACAATGAGACTCTAAATCGAACAATGAGTGGCACTTACGAATCATCATATGAGCACTTTCGCAAAACCATATAACAAAGATGATCTGGTGGCATAGATCTGTTGCTGCAGGGAAAGCATTGACGGATCAACGGCGGTATGCGGAACATCTTTGTCATAATAAAGGAAGGTTTCAGATCAAAGGCGGAAACTCGAGAGACGATCTCGAAGGGGAAAGCCACACCCGCTCTAGACTAACGACTACCGCTTGGACGTAACGCTAACCTTTGTTGGACGGTTGCGGGTTACACAAAGCAGCAGCGCGGAATGAGGATTAGAGGTCGAAATGCCGAATGTTGATCTATATCATACTGTACAAAGCCCAAAAGGGACTGGAATCTGATAGCGTGAACGCCCGAGGCTAAGCAATCTGTACACGGTGTTTAGAATGGCCAGTTACGCGCCTTCCGTCGCTCCTGCGCCCTTTTACGTAGGTAATATCCAGAGGGTATACCCACGGCAAATCCGCCAAGGTGCGCAGCAAAGTCCATTTTCCTGCCGAAGTTGAAGAGACGGAGCAGACCCATCACACCCATCACTTCCATACCGACTAGACACACCAGTAACGTTGAGCCCGAGAGCCAGAGAGTATCTGACAAAGTTGGTGGAATAAACCACAAAGTGAAGCGGGAACTTTCGAGCGAGTTAGATCAAGATTCTGCAATGCCTCAATCGACACATAAGAAGAGACTGAGACTCACTTGGGATTGATCATGCACATAGCGCCAACCACGCCACAAACCGCCCCACTTGCACCAAGTGAACTCAAGCCTAGAGTCCCGAGGATGACGCTGCGAGACAGCGAGAGCAAGGACCCAGCAACGCCGGAAGCTACGTAAATGCCCACAAGATTTCCACGCCCGATCTTATCGTGCACTAGTCGAATCAATTAGCAGGTCACCGGCTTCCAGGGGAGCTGTGTCTACTCACGAGGAACGGTAACAAGACCGACACCAAGCATATTCCAGGCCAGATGGTTCCAAGATTGATGGCTAAAGGTGGCACCGAGCATACTCAGGGCACGAGGGTAGAAAGGAACGATGACGAAGAATCGATTGAGCCATTTCCATGCTGGAGGAAGGAACCTCCATGCCAAAGTCACAGCTACATTAGCGCCGATAATAGCTCCAGCAGTGGCCATGGCCGGAGGAACATTCGGCCAGAGCCGGTCTTCCCTAGCAGGAGGTTGATATGTCTGGGCGAAATAGAAACAGAGACCGAAGACAAGGAGACCGAAGGCCAGGGAGGGGAGCAGCCGTTGAGCCTGGAATTTAATTGAAATCAGACCAAGCCCTAGCAACGCAGAGAGAGCCAATGGAGCCACTCATGACACTCACAGATGAAAGATTAACAGCATCGGGGTCGTTAGCAGTCGCAGCAATATGATGCTTCTGGACCCAAGCAAGGTATGGCCGTACACTAGGGTCCGCGCGCGGACGAGCTGTAGAGCGTCAATAATACATTCAATGCTCTGGTTGCATGGATCATACCTTCTGCCAGATATTGGTCCTTGTAGACCTCAAGCGACTTGTTCTGTCCGATTTGGCGCATCATTTCCTCCTTCGACTGCTCTTCGCTAGCAAGCCATTCTTGTCGTTTTCGCTCTTGCTCGGCGAGGAGGCGTTTCTCGTTTAGCTCGCGGTATTCCTTCAGAGAACTCTTTCCGTACGGAGACTGATCTTCACCAAGTTCCGCGTCGTAGGACCCACTCTGTGGTTTGTAGAGGCCCAGTGCCTCGGCGCGGCGTACCAGTTTCTGTTCCTCCTCGCGCTCTTCGCGCTCAAACCGAGCAAGAATGGCAGCATCTTCGTCGACGGGGTATTTCGCGCGCAGCCAGGCCAAGGCGTTTTCTGCTTGAGATTCGGTGATGCGGCTTGCGAGGTCGGCGGGGAGATCCTGGTCAATCGTACCCTCTATCCGCTGCTTTTGAAGGACCTCCAACGTCCGATTACCCACCGCAGCAGAGATATCCGGGCTTTTGAAGATTGCTTTGATTTCTGCGCTGGAAAGGGCCTTCACGGAAGGAGTCGAACGCGATGAACCGGAAGGCTTGGCGGTGGTTCTTTTGGATCTGGACCAAAGACTAGCAGGAGTGGTATGCTTCGTGAAGGGGGAAGACAAAACAGGCCGGTGTTGAGCTTGGGGGATAGGGTTCAAAGCGCTGAAAGGCCGTCTCAAGATATTGTCGAGGCTTCCTGTTGCTATCCGAAGGCCATGCGCTGGCCGTAGAGATGCAAACACAGAGGGTCGAACCCCCGAACACGTCGTTCGCCATGCTACCCAGAGCGGGTTGCTCATGGTGCCGAGAATGGGGACAATATTTAGACCGTGAGCAGTCGCAATACAGCGAGGGCGACTATCGATAAGCGGGCTCGGGTTGTTCCGGCTCCGAAGAGTGCAAAATTGTACAATATGATTGGACGGCAATTTTCGAGAACGACTTATTATTCCACCGGCTTCATGAGATCCTTGCGTACAAGCCAGGCAACTAGTCATACACACTAGTGTATGTGGAAGGGGCTTCAAGTTTTGAGGCCTCTTGACAGCGGTATTCATTCCTCGATTAAACCCAGGTATGCTTGTTCACATTGGGGTTTTGTTTCTCCGTGACTTGGTAGAAATATATTTACCAAAGACTGTGAGAATAGAGGGTATTCATTTGCCGCACAAGGACTGTACGCCGCACCCGCTTCATAATCGATGGTCTCAGCCTTGGAAGGTCAAAGAGATTCTTTGAATCGCTACGTTGCTACCAGACATAATATTTCCTACGAGACGGGATGGACACTGGAAGTTCCGATCGAACTATAACCGAATGCTAACAACCGCTGATTAGGGCTCGGCAGATGCCGCAGCAGGCGGGTAGATCCGTCACCCCCTCACTCGGAGCTTTAGGGCATTGGGGACTAAGAGATAAGGGAAACGATGTGCTTACAATAAATAGCCCAACCCATTACCTAGAATTGGCTAGAATTACTTGTGAGTATCACTCGTAGGAAAATAGACTGCCAACTTGAAGATGGAACCATCACTGCCTCACAATTCTTCAACCTTGTCCCATTGGCATCGGACAACACGGTCATTCCCCCACCTCCATGCCAATCGGCTGAATACCGTTCCAGCCGCGGCGACATACGTTATCATTGGCTCTGGCATCTCCGGTGCATTGACAGGCTGGGAATTGATTAAAAGCGGTGTCAAAGGGGACGAGATCATTATTCTTGAAGCGCGAGAGGCGGTCTCGGGTGCCAGCGCAAGAAACGCTGGACACATTCGACCTGGTAGGTCAGCCCCAATGTCTAGAAAACTTCGGGGAAAAATCTGACTATTGCAGACTCATTTCGTGGATTTCCCGGCTATGCTACAACTCACGGAAGTGAGCAAGCCCGGAAGATCCTCGAGAACGAAAGAACTGTTTTGAAAAATGTCCACGAGTTTGTGAAACAACACAATGTCGACTGCGACTTCAAGTATACAACAACTTACGAAGTCGCCATATCAGAAGATTTTGTCGAGCTACTATCGACTGCATTTACTGCTTTCAAGGCTGCAGGTGGCGATGTGTCGCATATCCAGTTCCACGAAGGCGAAAAGGCAAAACAAAAGACGGGCGTCCCCACTGCAATATGTGCCTATGAGTCACCAGCTGCATCCAATCACCCAGGGAAGCTGGTTCAATGGATTCTAAATGACTTCATCCAGAAGGGAGGCAAATTATGGACCCATTGCCCTGCTACCAAAGTCGGGCCAGCCCAGGCTGGTGCGTCAAAAGTGGGAGGTCCACACACCACGAGGCACAATAGCCGCCAAAAACGTCGTTCATTGCACCAATGCATATGCTGCGTATTTATTGCCTGAATTGAAGCATTTTATCTCGCCTCGGCGCTCACAGGTGAATTCGTTTACTCCGAGACTCTCTCTGTCTGGAGAATATGCTCCGGCCCATACTATGGCGCTCAGGTACAGCCCTGATCACTTCTTCTCGGTAAACACGTTGAAGAACGGAACGATACTGTTTGGTGGAACGGGGACTAGAGGCGAGAACGACGTAGATAAGGAATTCGAGCGCGCCACGTTCGACGATTCCAAATATAGCGAGACTCTTGCTCGAAATAGCTCACGGGAGTTTGATGGTATTAGTCGAGAGCTAGATTCTGTCCCTCTCCGACATGGCGAAGGATTCGATTACGCGTGGACTGGGATCATTGGTACGACGCCGGATAATGCTCCACTGATCGGGGCGATCGATGGCCTGCCAGGTCAATGGATATGCGCTGGGTTTAACGGACACGGTGGGTATAAATCCAGTATTTGTGCCTTTACAAGACAGATGACATGTTGCTAACAGAATTAGGAATGGCTCATATATTTACGTGTGCCCCGGGTCTGGCGAAACTCGTTCTGGGGAAGTCGTGGAAAGAGACAGCTCTTCCGGAGTGTTTCCAGTTCAGCAAAGAAAGGATTACCCAATACTCCGATCTGCACGTTAAAGCCCGAATCTAGAAGCATATAGGACTTTTAATGGCTAAGTGGTTCAATTACGAGGAGATACCAATTGAGACTGTATTTACAAATAGATGCTTCGATATTGGGACAAAACACAATGGCAAATTTATCCTTATCCTGGCTATTGTGCTCCTATTCGTGGACTAATAGACTTGGCCCTACATCATTAGCTTCATATTAGTACTGGTAGTATCAGCAGGTAGGTTCAAGAGAATTTGCGGAATCAGCTTGATATGAGGAACCGCTCGGATTGCAGACTTGGAAAGAGTGAAAATACCCATGAGAGCATAGTATTATACTTACACAAATCAACACCAAAATGTAAATTTGCATCAGTATCCATACTAGTTTGACCAAGTCACTCTCATCGCTCCTAAGATCAAGAGCAGCGAGGATCTATCTACACGTGATGCGCAGATAACAAACACACCCCGCTGATCAATCATTGTTTCTCCCGCGACATTGCCCATCTTACGCCATGCATCTAGCTTGATCGATCAATATGTCAAGCGAAAGCCTCCCAATCAACCCAGCTGCCTTTGCCGAAGCTATCACAGAGCTCCCGCTCTCAGCAGTCTACGGCAAAGTGTCAGAACTGCGCAACTCGCTCGCCCACCTGCACCGCTCCAACCTCGAGCTCCGAATCTTCCTGCTTGAGTCCCAGGAGCCCGAAGAAGAGAAGAAGGAGATAGAAGGCTATGTCACGGAGAACGAAGTAGTCATCGAGTCGATGAAAGAGCGCATCGCGTTGCTGAAAAAAGAGCTGGAAAATCGCGGTCAGCCTTGGATCGAAGTTGAAGATGCAGAGAACAATGGCGAGAACCAGGAGACCTCCGAGGAGGCGCAGGGAGCTTCAGATACCCCAACAGCTTCTCTTACAAATGGAACTGGCTCTGGACATGGTGATCAGAGTTCCGGTGCGGGGCAAAACGGAGATGATGGTGTCTATCTATGAGGGGCTATCTATGGGACAAGTCCATGACTCTGGAACATGGAACGACAAGACTGAATTCGAAATTATCATAATATGGGGCTGCTCGTGACTGATTGCTTGCCCTGATGATGTTCGCAATTTGCTCGCGTCGCCGCCGAATTATGAACAGATGTGACCAATGGCTGGGGCTCTTTTCGCGCCACCAAATCCAAAGGGTTAGCATCGCGGCATGGCCCAGGTTAACCGACCGAGACTTGTTTCATATATTTGCTACGAAGAGAACAGTGGGATGCAAAAGAAACTCCTATTTCTACTCGATCGGCCAAGTCAAAATCGTCTCTCGAGAAGATGTATAAACAGACTAGCGGTCCAGATGGCCTGCGTCTGCAAGGTGGAAGGACCATGCATGAGAAATTCACCGCCACGAGCTGATGCGGATCGAGGAACATATGCAAGAATCATCATGAAATAGTCACCGCATGCTAAATGCTCAAAGCCTCGGGTCTGTGTCATAGCGGCAGATTCACTCCGTTACCCGTACGGTAAAAAGCAGATTTCGTATAAAACAGAAGCAATCCAACGCCAAATTGAGAAAAAAAAACATGTGGTATGAGTCGTCAATGTAGTGGGAAAAGATGGCTTGCTCTAGGATATCTTCAAAAGAAGGTATATCCAGACCTAGTTGGATGGCGGTGGTGCAACCGCCCAGTGGCCGCCATTAAGGGCCTCAGGAGGCACCCGCTGCTGTTTGATGAACAGGTCGATCAATGGCTGCATTGGCTCCATCTCCTTGTCCGAGACGAGCTGGTAGTACTTGGCGACAGTCACGAAGTGAACAAAACACATGTTGAGAATGTCGTGCTTGTTGATGTGCCAGAATGGATTCAGCCAGTGGGCATGGTACAGGTGGGCGTAGCAGCGGAACATCTGCTTCATGATTCCTTGGCAGTCCTTGTAGAAGGTTTGGGGGAAACCACTGGACTTGCCAATCCACTCGTCTGACCCGGTAGCATTTGGACCAGCGGGAGCTCCCTCTGATTGGTCTGCGGGTTCGCCAGTAGCCGCAGCGGCATCCTTCATGGCAGAAGTCTCAGGGATACCGGTGACCTTCTCAGTTGGGAACATGACGGGGTCGTGAATTTTGCTGACGATCCATTTCTCGACGCGGTTGATGAACTTCGGGGCAGAGATCTTGGCAGCACGACCGTCGACAAGCCAAGTATAGGTTAATCTAGTCCAAGTGACGAACGTCAGATTTTTGTAACCCCGTATTTACCCCGCATTATTGCACGTACCGGCCAGCCGACATTGTCGGGCAGGTGCTTTCGTTGCAGATAGGAACACCAGTGACTCCGTTCGTCTCTTGAATCACCTGGAGCATGCCGTGAAGCAGACGATATTGTTCAACAACTGAGTCCATCCTATCAGTATCGCAAGCCTGAATTCGGGGTATTGGAGCCCTCCCCGTTGTAGATATCGAGATAACTTACTCTGATGAGCCAGCCATTCACCAAGCTCCACATTCTTCGGACAGGCACAGAGGGTCAGGAAGTTGCCCCTCACATTGAGCGGGGCGTACTTCTCCTGGAAGAAGTATTTCGGGGCATTGGGGTCATTTGCGGCGATGTTGTCCAAGGTGAGACTGTTGGATAGGGAGGGTGAGTTGGCCATCGTTCGAGGGTCTTGAGGAGCCTGGACAGGGCTCTTGGGAGGAGTGTTCTTGTTGTTCCCCCCTCTGCCAAACCCTTGGCGACTGCGTGTATGTTAGCAACTTATCCAAGTCTTCCAGTCAGGGGCTCCAGCGTAAGATAAGATGACAGGGGGAATTGGATTGAAGACCGAAAAGAAAAGTACAGGAAGACTCGGCGCAGGTGATTTGGAATATTTTGGGCAATCGGAATGCTGCTTTGTGTTTGTGGCGCCCCCAGTTGGGATGCAGTACAAGCATGGAGGGGTATGGCAATAACAGGGAAAGTGAAGGACCAATCTCTTGTTTGTGAAAGCCTGCTTTCACAGGCCCATTCAAGTATACACTTACACACTCTGGAAGAAGGTCGCCATGATTTATAGAACAAATATGCAATTTCAATTGAACACAGTTGGAGACGGTGAAGACGAGACTCCCCTGTTGGTGGATCCCGCTTCTTTGGGTCCGGCCGCGGATCATCGTTTAGTCCGCTCATTCACTACTGCCGCAAGGAAGAGAAGCTCCGTTAAGTTCCTGGAGCTCTTGGAGCTTTCGTGTGGTCAATGACTATTTAGCATGCTGATTCCCTTCCTGCACATATTTGAAAAGTTTTAACCTTCTAAATCTCCTTTCTCCATACTTCTCCCACAATATGTCCTCGGACGAGGAGGATATCCGGCGCCCTGGCCGCAGCGGCGCACACAGCCCTGTGGAGAGCGACGCTCACAATTCCGGCAATGAAAATCTCAGTGGCGAGAACATGGACGAGGACAATGATGCTGATCTCTTTGGGTCCGACGGAGAGGAAGGTGGATTGGAGGATGAGTACGAGCGCTTCTCTACACTCGGAACAAGGTGCAGAAACTGATATTTTCCTACTCAGACGTCCCAATCGCACTCTTGATGACGAAGCTCTCGACTCCGGAGATGATGAGGACCGCTACGATCGCCGTGATCGCATGGAGGATGACTTGGATGATGTAGACGACCACACTGTCAACATCATGGACGTGAACCTTGCGCGGGCGCCAGTACCAGCGACCAATGATGGCCTAGTATGCCAGCCCATCGATATTGGATAATTATGAGCATGGTATTAACATTCACTTCCTATAGGTCTATACTATGCGTGTTCCAGACTTCCTGACGATCGAAGCCGAAGAATTCAATCCGGAGACCTATGTCGCACCGCCCTACTCTACAGCCGCTACTTCTCTCTGCTGGCGCCGAGACCAAGCAAGCGATACTCTCCAATCCAACGCGCGTATCGTGCAATGGGAGGACGGTTCTCTCACTCTGCAACTCGCATCCGCCCCTCTGGAGCAGTACCGCATCGCAACCAAGCCGCTAGCACCTCTTTCCCGAGCTGGAGAGTATGACACTAAGCTTGACTCCCACGTTTACCTCGGCGCTGCAGTTGAAACATCATCTCTCTTCCGTCTGACGTCGCACGTCACACACGGCATCACCGTCCTCCCAACAACCCACGAGACGGACGACGCAGTCCAAAAACTCCAAGAGTCATTGGCCGCGGCTGCACGCGGTAACAAGAAGACTCTGGATGGCTCTGCTCCTGTCATTGAGACCACCGAAGACCCAGAGGCAGCTGCAAAACGGGCCGAGAGGGCCGAGAAAGACTCGATCCGGCTCCAGCGCCGCCAGGAGGCCCTTGCCGAGCGCGAGGCCGATCGTGGACGCCGGCCTCCCCATAGGACTCTCGGCACCGGTCTCAGCCTCGGCAACCTCGAAGGCGACGGTATGTCGACGACCCGGCCTCGCGCTAAGCGCCGTCCCAATCGCCGTGGAGAAATTTACAGCGATGAGGAAGAGGACTACGGTGGCCGTGGTGCACGCACCCGTGAAGATGAGTACGACGAAGATGATGGTTTCCTGGTTGGAAGCGACGAGGACGTCGAAGAAGGAGAGGAAGGGGAGGAGGAAGAGGAGCTTGAAGACGACGATATGGATGCAGAGGGCGAAGTCGACGACGAGGTTGCACCTGCGAAGCCCTCTCGTAAGGCCGAGACTGAGGCGCCCCGCTCTGGGACACCGCCTCGAAAAGAAGAATCGTTACATTGTCGAGGACGATGACGAGGACGAGTGATCTTGCTTTTTCGTTCAATATCCAGTGGGTTTAGTCTTTTTACCGGCAGGGGCGTCATTCTACAGGAGGGGCATTTGTTTGGACTTTCTACGTCAGATACCAAAAATGAATGAAATCAATGACTTTGTCCACTCAACTTATCATTCGCTTCATGTGATACCATGCCTCAGGGCCCGGTTTCCAATCTTTCAATGGCCGAATTGGAGGGTAGGGGTAGTGGATACCATTGTTTGACATACCCAGCTTGTTCGAAGTGTCACCTTGAAGATGCGTTGGTCAGTAGCCCCTGGCGTCGAGGTTATATGGCTCGGAGACCAGTGGAGTCCGTCTAGATCGTTTGGGGCGATGAATTGAGACCCTCTTATGAGATATAGGGTGGAGCTGGACGAGGTGCGAGAGATTGGACACCTGCCGTGTCCATATACGCAATGCGGGGGGGCGTCGAGGGGGTTGAAGACGCCCCAGGCGACTGCATAAATGCCATGTCTGAGGAGACGCGATAGACCATTTCGAGCAAGACTGTCTCTCCTGGGCGTCGTCGTTGGGATAGGGGCTTTCATGTGGAGTACCCGCTTCTGAAAGCGTAGTGCCTCTGTGTACTATACCGGGCAGTCTATCGCCGTTTGCACGATTACACAGGGCGCGGAAGCTCCCAGCTCGGACGGCGTTTTGTAAGTGCAGATCTTCTGGCGATAAAGGCTGATGGCTATTTACGACTGGCTGGGGAGGCCGAGAGCTCTTCTTGCAGGATCGGCGATTTCGCTTGGCCCAATTTATGGTGGATTCTCAGATTGTATCGGTCGGTGAACTACCTTTAGCAAAGATTGGCGTAGAATTAACAACCGGCAAGGCGTATCAGCCCTGCAACATTCGGAACATTGCTTTCCAGGAGCATCAAGGATATCGCATTGTACTTTTCGCCGACGGCAGCTATCGCAAGCCTTCCGCTATTGTCGGGGTCGCCTATCTGGAGAGCGCGATAAAGTCAATGACCCCAACTACCCCAACTGGACCCAATGACCCTAGTGCCCGATAGAGGGGCTTCTAGTATGACAGATGTGCAGTGCGTCACTGCGGACCCGAGTAGACGGTTCCAAAGACTAGAGAGTACTTCCGTTCATGCGAAGTGTATGTACATCAAGTGCGGGGAAGATTCTATGGGAGAGATAAAGGTGGAGCCTCGGCACCGAGCAACTCTGCAACCCGTGAGATTATGCGAGTTCATGCAATTGGTTAGCTGGGGGCTCTCGGCAGTTAAACATTTTGTGATAACGGTTTCCGCCAAGGTGTCTTACGGTTTTTACGACCTAATGTTTTTGGCAAGCTGACATAGACGGTGGCCGAGTGGAGAGCGAAGCGCGGGACGCAGTACAGCCATTCGCTAGGAAAGGGGCTTCACTGTAAACTAGAGGGCTTTGCAATTGAAGAATAACCATGAGCTACATCATCCGTCGCTACAAATATGCTTTCCAGTTAGCGGTAGACACGCAACAGCAAAGGGTTGGAGGGCATACTATGTAGTAAATAGTCATTGAATGAAATTGGCTCCGCAGCCGCCAATAATGCTGGGGGAAGTTCGCCTAATAATATAATGCCGCTACTAGCGTCTTGCGAGTCTGCTACATCCGACACTATCTTTTCTTTTAGTATAGCCCTCCTAAACTGGATGTGTTCAGGATCCACTGTGATGCACGGATCACACAAAGAGGGTTGTTTACAACACCCTTGGCTAAAGGTATAAGAAGAGCCCATGCTAACTAACACGTGCGTTCAAGAGATATTTCAAGCCCGGCCTCTTTTTGGAATTGCTATTTTACTGCTAATTTACTGGAAGAGCTAAATACCATGTCTCCCGTGGATAAGATCCACAACCAGCCGTATGTTATCTCAAACCGGGACATAACTGAAGCTACCTGGGAGTCTTTGATTATGGCCACATATGAATGGTCGCAAGATCCATACTCTGGCAGGGGCAGCCCTTGTCCTCCAGTCACGCCTGGTGGTTTGGACACCATTGGAGCTAGGAGCTTTCGAGAGCCATTTTGTAATGCCCATTTTGCAGATCCTGAGACTTCAGTTCGATGGAAGAGCTATATGGAGGGGACCACTGAGAATGGCGAGCGTGCTGCTGCTGAGGTTGTGCCGGCCATGAAAATTTGAGCTGCAGCACGTCTGTAATCCCCATTGGGGAAGTTCTAATGCAAAATAATTGAATATCAAGAAGATTTTGAGTTAACAAAGGGGATTTTCTTTTTGGTCTTTTTCTACTTTTGGCAAGGTGCAGTGCGGCTGCAGTATTCCTTAACTATAAGATTCAACTAGTTATAGCCATATTTTACAGACCGCGCTCCTTGTTGAATTGATCTGCTATTTCCCTGGTCGCCTTCACGATTTCAACGCAGCCTGGAGAATCCGAATGACAGCATATGGTGACCGGCTGTCCCCTCTATTTGAAGGTCGACATCCTCCCCCGTAGCGGCGAAGACACGCCCTTCATATAGTTGTTTCGAAACATGTTTCCTGACATCTTCGGGGTCCCAAGGCTGCTTCTTGCGATCGATAATGAGAGTTCCATCTGCCCGGTACTTCACATCTGCGAAGTATTCAGCCCAGAACACTAGCCCGGCCTCCTTCGCTGCTGTCTCCATATGCGAGCCTGCCAGACCGAATACCCTCATTCCTTTCGGCACTGCAGCCCATACGGCGCGAGCGATTTCGAGATCGCGCGCCATCATACCGTATAAGATGCCATGAGGCTTCACATGGTGCATCTCTAACCCTTCGCGGTCAAGAAAAGCCTTCAGAGCCCCGATCTGGTAGACGACGTTGGCTGTGTGCTCCTCCGGGCTGAATTTGATCTCGCGCCGCCCGAATCCTTGTACATCAGGCAAGCCGGGGTGGGCGCCAATCTTAACATTATGGGCTTTACAGAGGGCGACGGTTTCTGCCATAATCATGGGATCCCCTGCACTTTGCTTCGGATTAGTCTGGGATGGTCCAGCTCGGCACAGCGCATTCTTACTGAAAGCCACATGCCACGTTTGCCTGGTCGATCATGGGGAGCAGCTCTTTGTCTGGACCACAGATAAAGTTGCCATACCCTTCTCCCATGTCAACGTTGATGAGAGCTTTTGTTTGCGTCGGCGCCATATCGGGTAGATGGGATTAGTTCGATATGGTAGAAGATTTGATTTTGTACGAAGTGGACTTTTAGAGACCTCAAGTCGCAGGAATGCGGGAGCAACTCGAGAGAAGCGTAGTTGGCGATTGCTTGAAATGCGGAATGATCAGCCCTGGCTCCTGGCTGAACATGACTGCCAACCCCGCATTGATCCAGCAGCACAAATGTCTGATCGATGGCCAATGTCATCTCGGAACCGAGGGAAGTGGAGGTGGCATGTCGTCCTCATAATGGGGAGTTGGAGTAAGTCGAGCTACCCCAAATCTGGTGATAGGTTGTATTCTCGCGATAGGCTGTCTGTCGATGATTGGCTCCTCTATACTGGGATCACATCCGGTCATGGCCAATCAAGTTATCTTTGGTTTGGATAGTCGTTTCAAATCTGATATACTAGTCCTTATCGTTGAATTCATGTAGGAAGAAGGGGATGAAGACGGCCTGGACTCGGGGCATGTAGCTTGTTAGCCTTTGGTATATGATGTGATCTCACCCGGATTCTCTGCCCAGACTCCCTTGATTCACATTGTCGTCAAATGAAAGCAAGATGTCTGATACAAGTGCTGATGTTTTTCAGATATCCCCGCCTCTCTCGAGGGGGTAGGCTATGGCATAGTCATCGGCGTGGGTGCAATATTCGCTATTGGCATGTCCCTTACATCTTGGCTCCTGAGTCGATATATGAATGAAGTCCAGGACTCTGAAATGTTCATGACAGCAAAGCATTCCGTCAAATCAGGCTTGACTGCATCTGCTGTGGTCTCTTCCTGGACCATTGCCACCACTCTTCTTACTAGTACGACTTATGGGTATCAGTATGGCGTGGCTGGGCCATTCTGGTACGCCGCGGCAGCCTGTGTCCAAATTCTCCTCTTCTCTGTCGCCGCGGTTGAGCTGAAGCGAAAGGCTCCAAATGCCCAAACATTCCTTCAGGTTGTCAAGCTCCGCTATGGTACATCGGTGCATCTTCTTTACACGGCTTACTCGGGCGTTTATCAAATAATCAATACGGTCAATCTTCTGGTGGGTGGCTCGGCGGTCTTTTCATCCATGTCTGGTGTGAATCGAGACGCAATCTGCTATCTCTTTCCTGTGGGAGTCATTATTTACACCTTGATGGGAGGAATCAAGGCCACATTTATCACTGATTGGGTAAGCTGGGCATCCTTGCTCACCCTTCACCTGGACAGTACCAAAGGGGAAGCCCATTAACATCCATGGATGCGCAGGTCCACACGGTCATGATCTATGTTATCATGCTGATTTCCCTGTTCGTATTTTATACGACCTCGAGCGTCGCCGGATCGCCCTCCCGAGTATGGGAACTGCTCAAAGAAGCATCTTCCTTGCACCCTGTCGACGGAAATGCCGACGGCCAGTACCTGACAATGAGGTCACAGGAAGGTGGATACGTCGGCTTGGTATTCATCGGGGCAGGATTTGCAGCATGCGTTGACAGCCAGTTATTCCAAAAAGCGATCGCAAGTGATCCACGCACAACCTCCGTTGGATACATCATCGGTGGTCTGTCATGGTTCACCATTCCTTTCGTTCTCGCCAGTACATACGGACTCGCTGCAGCAGCTCTCGAGCATCTGCCTAGCTGGCCTACATACCCGAACAGAATGAACGACTACGAGATTTCCTCTGGTCTAGCAATGCCCTACGCAGCTTACGCTCTGATGGGTGATGGCGGAGTCGTGGCAGTCTTGCTAATGATCTTCATGGCTGTCACTAGCGCAATGTCCTCCGAGACCGTGGCAACCACGGCACTGGTGACCTACAACATCTACCAGGCTTATATCAAGCCTAACGCTTCTGGACGGAGCCTGCTTTATTTCTCGCACTTTGTGACGGTGGGATTTGCCATTTTCTGCTCTTCGATTGCGGTCGCATTCAACCACGGAGGATTCAGCGTTGGGTTTCTCATAACGGCGATTGGTATCTTCGTCGACGCGGCCATCGTTCCAATGGCTTGCACAATCATGTGGAGAAAACAGTCAAAGCTTGCAGCCTTTCTCACTCCCATCATGGGCTCGATTGCGGGGGGTTCTCGCGTGGTTTCTGACGACCCATTCTCTCTACGATGTCATAAGTGTCGCGACCTTGAGTGAAAATTTACCACTGGTCGCAGGTAATATCGTTGCACTTGGATCACCTCTAGTTCTCACACCCTTACTCACCTTTCTAAGGCCGGAGGACTTCGACTGGCAGATTTTCAAGGATGGAATCAAACGGGGTGACGACGAGCAGATACAAGTTCCAGTGGACGATGAGAGCAACAAAGATCCGACCAGAAGGACAGCAAGAGAGATGCACGAGGAGCAAGAGGACGAAGCTACGCTCATCTCTGCTCGGAACCGGTCGATCTATCTTTCTATATTCCTCACCTTGTCGCTTGTCATCCTCTGGCCGATCCCAATGTATGGAACAAGCTACATCTTCAGCTCCGGCTTCTTTACGGGCTGGGTTGCGTTTCTTTTTATCTGGGCCTTCCTTGCTGCCGGCATAATTGTTCTGTTGCCAATCTGGGAGGGTAAGATGCAAGTATATGTTCTGTTGAAGAAGGTTTTCGGATCCCCAGAGGAACTAGACAGTGAGCCGGTGACGACCCTTACATTGGGAGAACTGGAAGACATGACTACTAGTACCACCGAGAAACCGCCTGTTGATAGCGCTAAAGCAGTGGTGTGACAGCCCCACGTCAGCCTCATTGATATGGGAATCATTCGTGATTATATTGCTTATTGATGAGCCCTTTCCTCTAAGTAATCTCATTCCAGCACATCTGGAATTATTTGCCTCACAGAGCTCTCAGACGCTTTTGTGAAACTACCGAAAGTCAACCGCCAGAGTTGGAGAAGACCCAAGCGGATTCCTTTATCTCCCGCGTGTTTGGAGTAAGATACTTACCCCAACTTGCCTTAAAGTATTCTAGGGAAGGATTAGGTTTCGAGCTGGGCGCCACATACCGAGCCTTTGGGCCCCGGTGCTATGGGCTTATCGTCTCAGGTGGATCATATGAAGTGGGGCAGGTTGGGGTATCAAGCTATCAGTAAGTTTAGAACTCTAGACTGTACCAGGTCACGGTAGTCGTGCGGGGTTTAACGCTGCCCCTGGGGTATATGCGTATGATAAAAGGGAATGGGCGTTGATCCCCCTCAGTACTGAAGAATCTTACGCTCTTTCCGCAGAATGGAGCATCTGAAGGTCGTCCTCGTGGCTAATCGGGGTGAAATTGCCTGTCGGCTGATCAAAGCTGCAAGGTAAACACGACTATACGCACACCCTCAGAGATGAAATACTGAATGAAACTAGGAAGCTTGGAATTCGAACAATCTCCATCTACACCGACCCCGATTCAGAATCGGAGCATGTAAGAGCAGCAGACCATGCGGTGTTGCTGGAGGGCGACGCCCGAGCGGCATATATCGATGGGTAAGCTCAGATCTCCTGTCCACGGGTTTCCTTTCTCTTCTAGCCCTCATCCTCTTCTCACGTTCGCGCTGATTTGACCCCTTTCCAGTGATCAGATCATCAGAATAGCGAAGGAGCACCAAGCGCAGACAATCATCCCAGGCTATGGGTTCCTGTCAGAAAACACGAGCTTTGCGCGATCGGCCCATTCAGCCAATATTGGATTCGCAGGCCCATCCCCTGAGGCAATTGAATCCTTCGGTCTGAAGCACACAGCGCGCGAGCTTGCGATCGCTGCCGGGGTCCCAGTAGTTCCGGGCACACAAGGGCTTGTGGAAACTGAAGATGCTGCGGCCGCAGCAGCCCAGACGTTGGGCTACCCCGTCATGTTGAAAGCAACCGCTGGAGGGGGCGGAATGGGTCTTTTAACCTGCGTCGATGAAACCGAGCTACGCGATAATTTCCGAACCGTGCAGTCTCGAGCGTCGTCGTTGTTCAAGAATGCGGGTGTTTTTCTCGAGCGCTACTACCCCGACAGCCATCATATCGAGGTCCAAATCTTCGGAAATGGCCAAGGAAAGGCTATTAGTATTGGCGAGCGAGAATGCTCTATCCAAAGACGGCACCAGAAAGTCATCGAGGAGTGCCCTAGTCCGTTTGTTTCCCAGCAGCATCCAGAGTTGCGGAAGAAACTCACTGAATGTTCCATTCGATTGGCTGAGAGTATCAACTACGGCTCGGCTGGGACGGTTGAATATCTCGTTGATGACCATACCGGCGACTTCTTCTTCCTAGAGATGAACACCCGACTTCAAGTTGAGCATGGGATCACGGAACTATGTTACGATATCGACCTCGTGGAACTCATGTTGCGACAGGCAGACGAGGAATTAGCTGGGAACGGCGGACTGTCTGCGTCAGAGCTGGAGAAGCTCCAGTCTCGCTGCTTAGAACCAAAGGGCCATGCAATCGAAGCCCGTGTCTACGCCGAAAACCCAGCAAGAAACTATGCCCCGAGCCCAGGACTTCTCCAAGAAGTTTCATGGTACGCCCCCGAGGGGACTCGTATAGACACATGGGTGAGAACAGGAACTGTGGTGAGCCCATCATATGACCCCCTCCTGGCTAAGGTCATGTACCATGGCCCAAACCGGGATTCGTCGATAGAGGGTATAGCAGAGGTTTTGAGCAAATCATCCATCTGTGGCCCCCCGATCAATCTTGGATTCCTTCTGGCCATCATCCGAGACAATGTGTTCCGTGGCGGCAACACCATCACAAAGTTCTTGGAGAACTTCAGCTATACGCCTGCTGCTATTGATGTTATCTCAGGTGGCTCATACACGTTGGTTCAAGACTTCCCTGGACGACCCAGTGTCGGTCACGGATTTGGCCACGCAGGTCCAATGGATCCAATAGCCTTCCAAGCTGCTAACATCCTCGTCGGCAATGACGTTGGCGTAGAAGGACTGGAAATTACTCTCACCGGACCAGAGCTGCTTTTCTTAGGCGATGCGGTGGTTGCGTTGTGCGGGCCCCCGGTTCCAGCACAGCTCGATAGTACAGAGATTCCGCTTTGGACGCGCATTCACGTACGCTCAGGCCAAAGACTCAAGATTGGGAAATTAGAATCCCATTGCCGAGTCTATCTTGCCATCTATGGAGGGCTCCTCAACGTGGCAAAATGGTTCGGCAGCAAGTCCACAAACCCCATGGTGAATGTTGGGGGTTATCAAGGTCGACCGTTGAGAGCTGGTGACTTTCTTCACATCGCCGACTCACCTGAGCTTCCCGCGCAATTAGAAGTCTCTATTCCGCAGGAGCTTCTTCCAAAGTACACTACAGACCCGTGGATTATCGAAGTAATGCCCGGGCCGTTCGAGACGGGGTTCTTATCCGCCCAAGACATTGAGATGTTTTTCTCTGAAACTTGGAAAATTAGCCATAATGCGGCTCGAGGTGGAATAAGATTGATTGGCCCTCGTCCAGAATTTGCACGCAAGGATGGGGGCGAGGGAGGAGCTCATCCGAGTAATATCCTCGAGTACGGCTACCCACTCGGAGGTCTAAATTGGACTGGAGACGAGCCAGTGATCTTCCCTGTCGACTGTCCTGACTTTGGTGGCTTTATATGCAGTATCACAGTCACCAAGGCAGACATGTGGAAAGTCGGACAGCTTCGTGCTGGAGATAGCGTGAAGTTCCATCGCGTTTCTTTGGAGAGGGCATTGGAGTCTCGACGAAACAACAATAATTTCCTGCAGGCATTGAAAGATGCAATCAAGACCCATTCATGGAGCAACTGCAAAGCCTTTGACACCTCGATCGGTCCTGAGCTAACAACACCTGGTCAGGATGTGCTCAAAGTGATTGAATCTAGCAAGGGCCAGCCAAAAGTAACCTACCGCGCTGGAGGAGACGAATATCTGCTTGTGGATTATGGCGATGGTCGTGCGGACCTCAACAATAAGTGCCGTGCAACTGCACTATCCAGAGCCCTCGAGTCGGCATCTGGCCCTGTATCTTCTAACCGAAGTAATGGCGGCGCAATTTTCAACATGGTGGGATGTGGAGGCTCTCTGGCCATCTTTTATGACGGCCTAGCTCTCCCCAGAAAAGACCTCCTCAGCAAGTTAGTTGAGATGGAAGAAAACTTGGGTGACATGCGATCTATCAAGATTCCTAATCGACATTTCAAGCTTCCGCTCACATTCCGGCATAAGAAGCTTGATGATTCGATTGAACGATACATGGCCAACCAGCGTTCTGTAGCTAGCTATCTTCCCGACCCGCTAAAATATGTTGCTGAGAACAACGGCCTGACGCTTGAAGAGCTCAAAAAGATGTTCTTGACCATGGAGACGGTCATTATCGGAGTTGGATTTTTCATGGCGCTCCCAGAAGGTCTGCCGACTGATCCCCGATTCCGACTCCGTGCACCAAAGATGAATCCCAGTCGAACATACACCCCAGCGGGAACTGTATCTTGGGGAGGGTGCTGTATTGCAATATATCCCGTAGATTGCCCGGGAGGATATATGCCGACTGGAATGACAATCCCTACAGTCGACATATCTGGGTCTCGTCCTGGCTTCACTGAACAGCGCCCATGGATATTCGAAGACATGGATACGTTCAGCTTCTACGAGGTCACTGAGGAAGTGTTTGATCAGAAGCTAGCCCAGTTCAAGGCTGGCGCGTATCACTTTGAGATTACAGAAGGCGTGTTCGACATGGCTAAACATAATGAGCTCCTCCAGGCCACCGAAGCCGAAGCCAAGGAGATTCAAGAGAAGAGAGCAGTCTCGCAGCAGAAAATGATAGACCTAGAGAAGACCATGCTTGCGGAGTGGCTGGCTGCGAAACAGGAGAGTGGTACTAGCTTGGATGAGATAAAATCTATGCTGGAAGGTATGTATGGCTTTCCCATACCCTGAATGATTTGACTGACTGGTCCGTCATTCAGACCCCACGATTGAGGCAATTGAGGCCCCAGTCAATGCAAATGTATGGAAGGTGTTGGTCCAAGAAGGAGATGTTTTAGAAGCAGATGCCGTCTGCTCTATTCTTGAAGCGATGAAGATGGAGATAAATGTCCATGCGAAGTCACACTTGGCGGGTGCTACAGTTGTGAGAGTGTTGAGCAAGCCAGGAGATTCTATCGACAGCGGGAACCCTCTTTTACTGGTCAAGAAGTCCAGAGCGCCATCATGATCATGATCGGATAGACCTGAATCGCAATTCTTTATGAGCAATTCATAGAATTTTTGATTAGCCATGGAATCACTTCAGGGTCGTATATGCACATGATTCGGAGTTTACCTAGTGGGTATGTGCCCGCTGTATACAACTAGGGTCAACTATAAAAAAAGAATCACTTGGATGCGGCTCGAACTTCAAATTGCCTAGGGGCGAAATGTATGCGAGGATAGTTGGTTTCATTACATTCCAGTTCGAGGATTTATTATTAAGAAGGAATCATTGAATAGCAACGCTGGAATGCAAGGCATATCAGACAGGTAAAAATCATAATGGGCTTGCTTCGTTCATAGCCTTCACCACGTGCATGACGTTTTCAAGGGGCTGTGATATCCAGGCCTTCAGGTACCACTCCGCCAGGAAAGTCTTCTGGTTTGAAGTTGAATTTTGCCAGGACCGCTCTTGCGCTGCCAACAACACGCATACAAAGCAGGCTCCTTTCGTCGAGTGGTTGGCAATCTTTCTTTTGGTCTCCGGGCCCCAAGAAATGATTATCATGCAAAGGATGGTTGCCAGGCTCATGCCAGCGTCGCTGACGGTCCTCGACGGCAAGAATTAATTCCAAGAGGCTTGGCTGTCCGGAGCAGGGCCTAACAGCATCTGGGTCAAGGTTTCCTCCTATTACACCTTTCCGAACAGTTTGCTGCAGCCATTCCCTCCAGCCCTGTGCCGGGTCTTCGCTATGTGAGATTTTTTCAATATAGTCAGGCGGGGCATGTTGTATCCCAAGTTCGATAGGATTACTTTGAGCGAGACGAAGCCAGGCATCGGCTAGTACTGTTAAGAGTGCCCCGGTGAACATGACATTTTGGACACCGGTGGCAAAACTCTTGGGGCAAATCTCACAGGAAATCACATTGTGCGCTGTCCTAGCCCCAATTTGCAGAGAGCAAATCGTGTGTGAGTTGACAGGGAAAGCAGAGATTGATGAAATGTGGCTCAGGCAGAGATATAGATAGGATAGGCATGTACATTGGCGACCGGCGGTATTGTCAGTAGGTGGCGTGAGAGGAAGAGATGTGATATTCGCAAAGTTCAAAGGACTGGAGATTGGGTCCGCCGCGGATTGTAAAACAGTCGAAAAGTCAGGCCAGTCACCCTGAGAAGCAGGATACGGGTCTTTCAAGCGCTCCGGCGGCATGCCCCAGGCAAGACTCTGGTGTTCGACGTCCATAGGCAGACCAGATTCGTTTGGATTGCGCCAGAAAATCAGAGGGCACAACTCACGGGCTTCTAGCGCTGCATGGCTGATGCCGAAGTCTGGAAGGGCAAATGATGGGTCTGGAGGCGTGCCTTCGGGGCTTGGCCAGACATTACTGTTCGATAATTCGGGCACATCGTCCTCGACACGGGATCTCTTCTTCGGTGGGCGCCCCATTTGCTTCTGTACAGAATAATTGCAGCTAATCGATTGCTTCAAACATCTAGAGCACCCTGAAAGCTCCCCAGAGCATTTCAACTTTCTTTTCCCTGTGACAAGCGGTCTACATCAGCATTTCACCAAGCCTTTGCGCTGCTTTGGCTGACTTACTGCATTCGTCACATGCTGCGTGACGTTTGGGCTCAAGTTTAGAGACCGCGCCACCCTTTTGTAATAACGTCTCCATATGATCTCCCTCCAGTGATTTGTGGTTGATTATTTCGTCGACTTTCGAGGTCAGGCGCCGATGAGATCAATCGGCGATACGCGATAAGATTGGAGCGGGGAGTCATGTGGGCGGTGAGCGGCGATGGACAAGAAAAAAAAAAATCGGGAACAATTGATGTTCAAGCTCAACGGCAACAATGGACGCCAGGAAAGCCTCCAAAAAGCGCAAGGCGGTTACTCGCGATGTCGAGGAAGAAGCTGGTGTTTTCTCTGGTGACGAATTGAAGAATGAGAATCTCAACGGTACCCTCTCGGACAGTGCCAATGACCTGTCTGAGAGCGAAGACGAGAGCGACTCCGAAGTTGAACTTGTCGATGAGTTCAGTGACGAGGAAGACGAAGAGGACGAACTGGACAGTGACGAGATCCCTTCAGATGATGACGAGGATGAACGGAAGAATCAAGTCAAGAACACTGATGAACCCAACTTTCGCATTGTGAAGGATGCCAATGGAAACGACCGCTACCTTTACGATGAAATTAACCCCGACGACAATTCAGACTATTCCGAAGCTGATGAGAATGCGAACACCATCGGAGACATTCCGCTCAGCTTCTATGACCAATATCCTCATATTGGTTACGACATCAATGGCAAGAAAATCATGCGTCCAGCCAAGGGCGAAGCCTTGGATGCCTTGCTCGATAGCATTGAGATTCCCAAGGGGTGGACTGGTCTCACCGATCCATCCACTGGCAAGCCATTGAACTTGAGCCAAGATGAGCTTCAGTTGCTGAAGCAGGTCCAGATGAACGAAATTCCGAGCGAGGGCTATGATCCTTATGAGCCTCTTGTTGAGTACTTCAGCAGCCAGAAAGAGATCATGCCTCTCAGCGCTGCCCCTGAACCCAAGAGACGTTTTGTTCCTTCCAAGCATGAGGCCAAGCGTGTCATGAAGATTGTCAAGGCCATCCGAGAGGGCCGCATTCTTCCGTACAAGGCTCCTGAGGAGCGAGAGGAGAAGGACGATAATTTGATTAACTACGACCTATGGGCGGATGAAGCCGAGAGGCCGGACCACCCAATGCATGTCCCAGCGCCCAAGCTTCCGCCCCCCCGGATACGAAGAGAGTTATCACCCACCTGCCGAATACCTGCCTGATAAGAAGGAACGCAAGGAGTGGGAACAAACTGATCCTGAGGACCGCGAGAAAGATTTCCTGCCCAATGACTTCGGCTCTCTTCGCCGAGTTCCAGGCTATGAAAACTTTGTCAAGGAGAAGTTTGAACGCTGTCTGGACCTTTACCTGGCCCCTCGAGTCCGCCGAAGCAAGCTGAACATCGACCCTGAGAGCTTGCTTCCTAAGCTCCCCAGCCCCGAGGAGCTGAAGCCTTTCCCTACTACATGTGCTACTGTGTTCCGTGGACATAAGGGCCGTGTCCGCTCACTTCACGTTGATCCGACTGGACTCTGGCTTGCAACTGGTGGCGATGACGGCACTGTTCGTGTTTGGGAACTTCTTACTGGTCGCCAGTTATGGAGTGTCCAGCTGAGTGACGAAGATGCTGTCAATGTCGTTCGTTGGCGCCCTGGAAAGGATGCCGTCATCCTTGCGGCCGCTGCAGGTGACGATCTTTTCCTTGCTGTTCCTCCGATTGTTGATCCAGAAATCGAGAGCGCTAGCTTGGAGATCCTTGATGCGGGCTGGGGATACGCTTCTTCGGCTCCAGCCCCTACTGCTGCGGAGGCCAACAAGAAGAACACCCCTCCTAAGTGGATTAGACCCTCGTCTGCTCTTGCTGACGCTGGTGTATCCGTGGTTATTCCATTGCGGTACGTGCCAAAATCGATTTCCTGGCACCGGCGCGGTGACTACTTCGTCACTGTTTGCTCTGGCGCTTCAACACCAGCCTCCGTGGCTATCTCCATCCACACTGTCTCCAAGCATCTCACGCAGTTCCCCTTCCGTCGCCGCCTCAAGGGTGGTGGTCCCCCGCAAACCGCACATTTCCATCCCTCAAAACCCATCCTTTTTGTTGCAAACCAGCGCTCAATCCGTGCCTACGACCTTTCCCGTCAATTGCTTGTTAAGATCTTGCAACCCGGTGCCCGCTGGATTTCCTCCTTTGATATCCACCCAACCTCATCAACCGCATCGGGAGGTGACAATATCATCATCGGTTCCTACGACCGTCGCCTTCTCTGGCACGATCTGGATCTCTCTCAGCGACCTTACAAGACACTGCGGTACCACCGCAAGGCTATCCGAGCCGTCAAGTTTCACCCTAGCGGGCGGTACCCTCTCTTTGCGGACGCCAGTGACGATGGTTCGTTGCAGATTTTCCACGGTAGCGTTACTGGAGACATGCTTAGCAACGCAAGTATTGTTCCTCTGAAGGTGCTCAAGGGACACAAAATTACTGGTGAACTCGGTGTGCTGGATGTCGACTGGCACCCTCGGGAGGCGTGGTGTGTTAGCGCTGGCGCGGATGGAACGTGCCGTTTGTGGATGTAATTATGGTCTTGATATGCATGGATATCTTTCATTTTGTCATTGGCGTTTTAACTATCTGTGTGTGCATATCTCGATGTATAGCCTCCCATATTCTCTCTAAAAGTATTTATCGCTCAATCTGGCTTTCCACTGCTAGTATATATGGAGGTAAATACCATGATGTTCATAGAATGGTCGGATAACAGTTCTGTTCGCCTCAAACTCCATGAGCTCGAATGGGTATGTACATGCGCCGGCGTAAACAAATGGGTATTGTGAAGTATACCTTGTCCAAAACTCTATATCCTCCCTCTCAAACGACACCGCCACTCCAATCACGCCGGAGCTTCTCATACTTCTTTAGATCAGAAACACTCGGCCGAATAAACGCCTTGGCAGCAACGAAGTCCTCAAACTTGATGGTGTCACGACGTTTGATAGCATTGTAACCAGCACGACGAAGCAAACTGCCCAGATCAGCACCGCTGAAGCCCTCACATTCCTCAGCCAGTCTGCGCAAGTCCTCGCCAAAGTCAATAGCAAGCTTGCGGACAAGGGTCTGGAGAATCTCTGCACGTTCAAGCGGCGATGGAAGATTGACAAAAAGAAGGGTCTCGAGACGGCCAGGTCGAAGCATGGCAGGATCGATGATGTCGGGGCGGTTAGTTGCAGCAATGACAAAAATGCCTTGGCGACTGCTCCCTAGACCATCGAGCTCCGTAAGGAGAGTATTGACGACTCGGGCGGAGGCCTCTGAGAGACTGTCATCACGCCGGGGAACGAGAGCATCCAACTCATCGAAGAAGATAACGCAAGGAATGGAGGAGCGAGCACGGACAAAGACCTGGCGAACAGCACGCTCCGATTCACCGACGAACTTGTTCAAAAGCTCAGGACCCTTGACGCTGATAAAATTGGCGCGGGACTCGTTGGCCACAGCCTTCGCGAGCAGCGTCTTACCACAACCTGGTGGTCCCCAGAGAAGAACACCGGTAGGTGCGGTGATACCAACCTTGGCGTAGATATCGGGGTTCCTGATCGGCTCGACAATGGCCGTAGAAAGCTCCTCGCGCACTCCACCAAGGGCACCGATATCAGCCCATGTTGTATCAGGAATGGTTGCAAATCCTTCACGCTTGGAGGATGGTTGAATCTTTGGAAGTGCGGTGAAGAAATCGGCATTCGAGACAAGCACGATCTCGGTTTCTTCGCCACTGGGGTTCTCTTTCGCATGAGAAATGAGACGACGCAATTCGCGAACCTTGGGGCTGAGATCATCGTCGCCTTCAATTTCCATCTCTTCGCCACTGTTAGTTTTGAGAATGTCTAGGTATCGCTTGATAGCCGCGGAGCCAGCGGTGGAGACCAGATCGTTAAGATCGGCCCCGACAAAACCAGGAGTTCTCTTGGCCAGGGTTTTGAAGTCAAGATCGTCTGCCATCCGCATCTTGCGCGTCAGAGCTCTGAGAATTTGTTCTCGCACAGGCTCTGATGGCACAGTCATGTTGATTTCCTTGTCGAAACGGCCTCCTCGTCGGAGAGCAGCATCTAAGCTGTCTGGTCGGTTGGTCGCTGCAAGCACAATCACTGGTTTGCCATCCGTTTTTTCGAGGGCAATATCATCCATACACGTCAAAAGCTGGGCGACAATTCTCTTCTCCATCTCCCTCTGTGCGCTCTCTCGCTTAGGCGTGATTGCATCAATCTCATCGATAAATATCAGACAAGGCGCAATCTTCTTCGCTTCGTCGAAGTACTCCCGTAGAGCCTTTTCAGACTCTCCCGACATACCAGACACTACAGAGGGGGCGGAGATCGAGATGAAAGGCACCCCAAGCTCAGCCGCAAACGCATTCGCAATCATCGTTTTACCACATCCCGGGGGGCCATGTAGCAGGACTCCGCGTGGTGGCTGTACATTTGACGAGAGGTATACTTGTGGGCGAGTCATGGGGAGAATGACTAAATCTCCAAGCTCTTGAACCACGTCATCCAAACCACCCAAATCTGCCAAACTGACATGTGTAGGCGGAGATCGATCAACGGCAACTTCAGCCTTGCGTCTCTTAGAGGCCGACTCTCCCCCATTTGTTCTTCTCTTCGATGATGCACCGGACTCGGGTTTTTTGGCAGGGTTGGCTTTCGGGGTGTTCCAATTACCGACGATGCTCTGGTTTACCCCATTGGCTTCCTATAACGAGCCATTAAGTTAGAAAAGCGTATGTCCGAGATTTACTTCATCGAGCACACGTACCGTAGCTGGGGGCTCTTCTAGGCCCTCAAAATCCCCCTCTACCGAATCCTCCTCCTCATCATTCTCATCACTCTTAAGAACCTCCAGAACTCGCTCCAGACTATCCTCGAGTAGCTTCTTAGGCTTCCGGTTTAGACTGGAATTCGATTTCTTAATTGACTCGTAGACTGCTGCTACGGAAAGGCGCACACGGCCGGTATCCGCTTGATCGTCAATGATCTTGCGCACGACTTGGTAGACCTAGGGCAGATATAAGTTCCAAAGCCTGTCAATCCCATTGCCAATTGAATGCCATACCTCCCGATCGAGCCCCTGGCTGAGGGTGGGCCTGCCCCCGCGATTTCTAGGCATGTTGAACGATGTGCGATAACGAGGGAAAAAAAAATTGGGGAAAGCGGAAGAGATAAAAGGACCCGCAGTGGTCGTTTAGTCACCAACGTCATCCCGGTTCGATAGTTCCAACAACAAATGCGCCATGGGGAACACAGGGAGTTCACAGAAGATCTCGTCGCAGGATCGGTGAGTCACTGGTTGTCTGATTTGACGGCACTCTGCCTTACCGTCATCGCTGAAGTGGAGCGCACTACGTGCATCATGCTCACGAGACCTCCGAAGCCGAGCGGGATGCGATACAGACATGCTAACATAAACAACCTTAATCTACAGAGCGATTCTCGATCTCAAGAACCAGCGCGATAAATTAAAACAGTACCAGAAACGTATCACCGTTCTGACCGACCGAGAGACCCAGATTGCCAAGGAATGCCTGGCGCAGAATGATCGGCGGCGGGCACTGCTTGCCTTACGGCGGAAGAAATACCAGGAGTCCCTGCTGGAGAAGACAGATGGGCAGCTTGCGCAGCTCGAGCAGCTAGCAGGCCAGGTGGAGTTTGCACTGGTGCAGAAGGACGTGATGTACGGTCTGCAGCAGGGTACGCAGGTCCTCCAGGCGATCAATAAGGAGATGGGCGGGATTGAGGGTGTTGAGAAGCTTTTGGGAGAGAACGAGGAAGCACGCGCTTACCAAGAGGTATGGATTATGCCTATCTCCACTGGGGACATATTTGTCCGGTCTCTATGAATCTAGTCTGACTAACATGGTTCGCCTTTAGGAAATATCTCAGATGATTGCGGGCAATCTGTCCACGCAAGACGAAGAGGATGTCGAGGACGAATTGGAAGCTCTGCAGCGCGAACTTGCTCCACCTCCCAGGCTGCCTTCAGCTCCTGTCACCGATTTGCCTGAGCAAGAGGTCCAAGAGACACCCACTGAGCCCAGCAAGGCCAAAGAAAATACTCGAATGCCGCTGGCGGCATGACAACGTTATCTACATCTTGATGATCATGATATAGACCCGATCAGAGTATTGCATGGCGCCTGGTGTTTGCGTTGATACATTATTTGTCCATCAGTCATTATTGCTTGCAGGCTAGACCTCATAATACATTGGATTGGAATTTCTCTCATGAGCCCGATGACTCTGTTTGGTTTTCTCAGTAGCTGTTCCCGGTTCGTCCCAGTATGCGTAGTCATGATCATTGACCGGGCATGATTCGCCCTCCAACACCACTCACTCCTGGGATTGCGACATGGTCGTTAGGATTGGCGGCAGCTTCATACAAGAAGCTGACGGGTTCCCGGTTCAACGCCATGAATTGGCCCTTGAAGCCAACATAGCCGACCTTCGTAACATCATCCTCACCGTCGCTCCAGTTATCTTCAAAGAAGAGCGTGATGGATGTTGTTGTGTTCCAGTGGGCCCGGTTGAGGGGGAGCTCGAAAACATCGGCCCCGACTACTGGCTGCGGGATCTCAATGGTTTGTGTTGGCGAGAGCTCCGAAGCGGTTGAGAAATCAAGATCATCACGATTCTTGAACAGCTTCAACGTCTTGGGGGCTGCGGGCGTCGGCGCAGTGTACAACAAGAGTGCATGGAGCTTCACCTGTCCTGTAAATCTGATATCACATTAGTATTTTCGTCATCCGCATCGCGATTTTCGCAGTGAGGGGCACGTTGGCGGGGTAGCAGGTTTGCGGTCGCTTGAAAGACCATGACATAGACAGCTCTCGCCCCGATCGAGGTAAAGAAGGGAGAAACATACGGGATGTACATGAGCAGTTGCTCATCGGCGTCGCTCTCGAGCTCTGGCTTGTCGTCGAGTCGCTCCGCCCATGTCTTCTGGACAATTCCAGCTCCAGCCTTTGGCGTAGCTTCTGCGGAGGCGGGCTGGTTAGCCTTAACAGAGAAAGTCAAGCGCCAACGGGGTTATCCACTTACCATTCAGTGTAGTGATGGAGTCGAAGTCGATCTGTGAGTAAAGGAGGGACTGGATGGCCGGGGTAATATCATTTCGAGTGATCGTGCCCATCTTCTCCATGGCAGCCGCCATCCCCATGATGGTGGTGATGATGGTCTGACATGGTCTTGTATACGGTGAGCCTTGGACAGGGTCTTGTTATTGAAAATGGAGTACAAATTTGTTGAGAGTCGAAGATGGAGCCATTGTTGAGGGGACATTACCAAGGTGCGCGGCTCTGACTACCGCTTACCGTGGATGAACATTGTCGCTTTATATCAATTTGCCCCAGCCAAGTCCTTGGACCGAGCCTGGCTATGGTGACTAATTTAGATCGCTGGACTATATTTTCCTTCTTTAACTTAGATAAAATTGATTCTTCCATTGAATGTAGATAGATTACTTTATTTGGTAGTGATACGGCATACCCCAATGGGCACCCGAGTCACCATGCCCTTTCGCTTCTCATAAACGATCAGGTTACTTTGTAATATTCAGGCGCATATTCAACAAGATAGCTCCTCTCAATCTTGGTGATGTCGCGAATGTAGGTTTTATTGCCGGTTTCCATGATTTCGTGGAAGATCACCCAGTCAGCCTTTCGATTCTGCATTGAATTAGTAAAAATCTGGAAGCAGATGGACCAGAGAATAACATACAAACATCAGAGATGATGGGTGTGGGTGAAGGGTTAATGCTCCGCTGACTGTCTTGAAAGTCCCGTCGGGTTGCATCTTGGCCGCATGGGCAAAGTAGCCAGTTGTGAGGCATCGTCGAATCTGCTCTGGCTTTTGACTCAAATCTACAGATTGGCGAGATGACAAGGTCTCGTCAACCTCGATGCCAAACCGCTCAAGATACCGCTTCAGCTGACCACGAATGCTAACTGCACGTTGCAGGGCCTTGAAGTTTAACAGGTTATCACGACACCATTTCGAATCTTTCTTGCCTTTGGTGACGAACGCTTGGTACACATTCAGATAGGTAAGATGATCACCTTCTTCAACGGCGAACTTGCGGCGGTGGCTTTCAGCATTCTTCTTGTCACCATCATGATTCACCCATACAGTACCCTGCAGGCTGACCATCGCGGCGATTGAGAGGATTTCACTAAGACAGTTAAACTTAGGAGCCACGAGCAGGACCTTGGCCATCATGGGATCGACTGCAAGCTCTGCCATGCGCATGCCAAGAGGTTTCGTGAGTTTGGCATGATCGTCGACTGCACCAAGCGAGAACAAGAGCTCAAAGGCCCTGATGACGAGCTCAGCCGGGGGCGGTGTCAAGAAGTCAAATCGTACAATGTTGTCAATGCCTAGAGCCTTGAGCTGCATGACGATGGGTGCAAGGTTCGATCTTTGAATTTCAGGCACAGTCACCTCTAGAAGCTGCTCGAAGGATGACTGGGTATAAAGACGAAAGCATTTTCCAGGTTTAGTTCTTCCCGCTCTTCCGGCTCGCTGGGTAGCAGAGGCTTTTGATATCGGGACCGCAGTAAGAGTTTCAATGCCAGTGCTGGGGTTGTATGCTCGAAGCTTGGCATAGCCACAATCTACCACGAACACGATCCCATCGATAGTAACGGAAGCCTCAGCGATGTTGGTTGACACAATGACTTTTCGGACACCCTCGCCAGCCGGTTCAAAGACGTACATCTGCTGTTCAGTGGTAAGACCGGCGTAGAGAGGCAATGGTGATAGAGAGGCAGACTTTGGGTGAAGAGACGCGGCTCGCTCTGAGATGAGTTGTATGGCCCTGTCAATCTCTTCGCGGCCAGTCATAAACACAAGAATATCTCCTTCTCCCTCCTTTGTATGGATATCAAAAACTGTCTTCACAGCTCTTTCTACGTAATCCTCGGTGGGTTTCTCAAGATAGAATGTGTCCACCGCGAACATTCTGCCCTCTAGACTAATAATACGTCCAGTGCTGCCCCCAAGTTCGCTCGGGTCGGCATCAGGCTTGTAGTCTTCTCCAGCAAAGAACCTGAGAAATTCCTCTGCTTGAAGCGTCGCACTACTGATGATAATGCGCAATTCGGGTCTCTTGACCCGGATCTTCTTCAGGATCCCAAGAAGCACATCGGTACTGAGAGATCTCTCATGAGCTTCATCAACCATGATGACCGAGTATCGAGAGAGCAGCGGATCGACCAATGCTTCTCTGAGAAGCATTCCATCGGTGAGGAATTTAATCTTTGTAGAAGCCGAGGTCACATCCTCAAACCGGATAGAGTAGCCAACCTGTTCTCCAAGTTGGCAACGCATCTCCTCGGCCACTCGGGTTGCTACCGTCGTAGCCGCGACACGCCTTGGCTAATATCAAGTTAGCACGACTCGCCGCTTGTAGCTCTGGTACGACTTACCTGAGTCACCGCAATAACTTTTCCATCATTGCACCATCCAGCTTGTTCCAGATATTGCGGAAGTTGCGTTGTTTTACCACTTCCCGTCTGACCCACCACGATTGTCACCGGGTATGTCTCCACAACATAGAGAAGACTCTGCTTGTGTTTTGCTATGGGGAGAAGGGATGCTGGCTTGTATAACGCCGGGATGAATGAAGTTGAGAGCTCCTGCTCCGAAGACATTGCGACACGAAGGAATGGAAAACTGGAGATGACGAGAGCGAATTCGGCTCTAAAGGCAACAGAAGGAGCACAAAAGTAACGCGAGCGGCAACATTCTGGGGTGTCACTTTCTACCCAACCGCCTACTCATCTATACCTTGCATTACTCTACGAACGTGTTGTAGACCAAAAAGTCGTGACTATAAGCTACCCGCATCACGTGCATCCCACGCCGCTGGAGCTTCCCCGATGATCTGCCTGCGCCACGTTTGGATTTGTATTCCTAGGCAACTCTTTTCCTCTTCTTTTCTGACTGTTTCCGTGCCGAATACTTCAAGATGGCGGACGAAGAGAAGCAGGTCAGCTTCAATAATTCCTCAAATTTGACTCAAGGCTCACTTCAACATGCAGACCACCCCCATCAAACCCCCTCTGGTTCCAAACAGCCCCCGCGCGGGGGCCGAATCGCCAACCACTGCGCGACCACTGGATTTCAATGACGAGGACGAACCCCAGGAGAGCGGTGTCACCACTGCGAGCCCCAGTGAGCCTCAGCAGACCGCGACCGAGACTCCCGCAACTGCCCCTCCAAAACCACCTCGGCCTCTTGGCCCCAGGGAGCATGCGGAGAACACTCTCAAGGAAGCTTTCCCCTCCGTGGATGCGTCGGTCGTCAAGGCTGTTCTAGTCGCAAGCAACTGGAACGTTGAGCGAGCATTCAATGCGCTCCTGGGTGCGTTCGAGATCTGCTGGATAAAACTTCGAAGACTTTGTTGACATGATTATACTAACACAGGCATGACGGATCCCACTGCCCAAGAAGATATGGTTCCTCCCCCAAAACCCCCTCGCCCCTCCCAGCCTGCCACATCTACCACTCGAAGCCAATTGGAAGCCGATGAACTGTATGCCCGCCAGCTAGCGGAGCGCTACAACTCAGACGGACGCCGCCGTGCGCCGGCACCTGGATGGGAGAATGATCCAAGATACCACCGTCCCCGAGGCGGCGAGGAAGAGGAGAAGGAATATAACTTTTTCGATGGTGAGATTTCATGGAGCTTGATCGCGGGGGGTGGCTGGTGCTGACGGCGCATGCAGATGATCTACCTAAGATCCAAGAGAACCTGCGCAAGGGCTTCCTGGAGACACAGTCCAAGGTCAACTCATGGATGACAAACTTTAAGAAGAAGTTCGATGGCGAAGAGGAGGAGGAAGAACCTAGTCAGCAGTACCAACGGCCTCCCGCCTACGGACAGCCCCGACGAAGTGGTGACCTCGGTCGTCGCAGCGGAGACCGTGAGCGATATGATGCAGACCCGCAAGTTCTTGGAGATGACTTTTCAGCGCTCGAGCTTCGAGACTCCGAAGGTACGACTTATCTGAACTCCCTCGCGTTTGTCTAAGCTAATGCAAGAACCACAGCGCCTCCACCCCGTCCTCCCCGCCCTGGCCAGTCCAGCCTCAAGAAGGCCACCTCTCCCTCGCCAGACCGACGGAAGGTGTCTTTCCAAGAAGGCCCACCAACAGAAATCGATAATGCGGGTGTGGAGACCAAGAAAAGCCCTCCACCAAACGGCGGCAAGTCTAGCAAGTGGCAGCCACTGGCCACCGTTGATCCATCTCCTGTGGCCGACAACGACCCGTTCAGCCTTGGCGATAGCGATGATGAGAAAGAGACCAAGCCCAAGGAACAGACCACTGAGGGCGAGCAGTCGAAACCAGCAACAGAGAAGAAGGACGAGCAAGCCTCGAAATAGCCCCGGTAGTTTTAGCTCTGAGATGTGCACGAGACCAACCCTTATGTTTTCAAGCGCTTTGATTCCCAGCTCTCTCCCGGCAATCCTACCCCTAACTTGCACATGAATAAATGACGCTTTAAATCGCCTTAAGCGGCGACGTGAGAATTCGCCATTTTTTCTAGTCCATGCTACTGTACCCCAGAATCGGTCGCACAAGCAATTTACCATAATGATTTGAACTCCCAAGGTTATAATGCGATAATGTAAATATGAAGAAGTGGTATCGTGTAACGGAGCCGCAAAAGTACCTTCAACGCCATAACCTCTCATTCCATGTATTCGACCTAGGTACCTTGAGCAAACCACCATTCCTAAACATAAACGGCACCGTTGGGACACAAGTGCCCAAATTATTCCGCACCTTGCGGGTCTACTGGGCCGTGCCTAGAGGTACCCGCCTCCCTGCGCAGGTCCTTGATCACAGTCTATAGCGACGGTCAGGTACAGCGATCTCGCAACAAATATTCTGGAACAGCAAAAATGAAACACCAGCTATCCTGGCCAGGAGACTTACTGCGAGAGCATCTGGGTTGACCCCATTCTCAATCAACGAGACGCACAGAGACAGCTCCGTACGATTAAGATTGGTATTCTGCGGCGGTTCAGCACATTATGAAAACAAACCGGCGAAAAGCATTGTATTCGTGCTTCGGCTGCAGCGACGCTACCGCAACACCCGGCACAAGTGCCATGGAACCGGGCCACTCACCAAGATCTTTGAAATGTCTTCCAGGATATCAATGACATCACGCGCAGCTTGACGCTTATTCTCTGCTTCCGAGGGCATGTTGGCGTTGGGGTGGAGAAGGAGGAGATGTTTGGATCGAGATGATGCCCGGGATTGACACCTGAGGCGTCAATACTTTGCTCCTGGGCCAAAGACGCTGAATAGGCCCGGTCAAGCTTAGGAGACTGCGGGACTGAACCAAGCAAAGAGTTGCAGGGCTATCTGAATCAATAACGGCAAGTATGTAGATAACAGAGAGTCCTGAGTGTGCAAGGCTACAGACGCTGTCAGAACGTGGCTTGGGTGGGGGGGGGTTGGTTTAGCCATGTGGTTCGGGCATCATTGTGCATGAACTCGTCTCTAGAAGTTGGGAGCAAGAATGCGGGGTGTGCACTTCTGCAGAATTTCAAGTCTATTTCTGCCTGAGCCCCTTACCGTCACACAAGCTGGAGATAGTTGCATTGCTATTCATTACGAGATATGATGTTCATGGACCCCAAAAACCATCTCTGAGACGCTCGCCGATTTAATTCCCCAAGTACACTTTTCGCTTTGAATGAAACCCGACACAGGGTCTCTAGGCTTGAGGTGAGGACAGAAAGCATAGCCTTACCAGCTGATAGAGAAATTTCTCCTCTGTCATATATCTTGAACAAAGAGATACCGGTTGCCAGAAGGGCTTCGGCCATGACCTCTGAATTTGGATCCGAGATGAGGAGATCTGGCTCTCTCCCGTCTCCGATTTGAGACACTCGCCGAGCTTGATCTAGGACGTTGATGATAGCTCGAACACAGCTAAGCTCGGATAACCTATCGCGACCAGGTACCTCAAGAGACCGGGCATCGATCTCGCCGATAAGGAGAAGCAGCAACGTTTGGTAGTGTATAATGGTAATGACTGTCTAATTGTCAGGAAAGCACCACAGGTCGTTAGCAAAAGGCTTACAGTAACTCAATCTATCTCTCGAGTCAATAAGCCAAATATCCCTTCGGAGGATGTCAAGCAGCGGCAGGAGTACCTCCTCATAGGTTCGTATATCTGCAAGAATTGAATTAAGGTATTTGTGGAAACTGCTATTCGAGTTTTCTTGCCGAAGATTGTTGAAATTGCAAACAATCATGGTCTTATGTAAATTGGCATGCTTGAGTAAGACAGATAGCACATCTTCCGAAAGTGGCTCGATTGTCGTATGGAGACTCTTGAAAGATCGATGAAACACATGTGTGCGGTCTCGGACTATATTCCAAATTTGGTCGTCAGGCGACAAGTACGATAACTTGCCATGAAATGTGGGCTCGATGAAGCGGAAGAGAGTCTCGCACTGAAATCCTAGCCAAAGGGCCATATCTTGCCTGGATCCTTGACATGATTCGCCGTCGATGACTGTCTCCCTTCCATGCAATACTTTTATTTGTGTAGAGGCCTTGGCAAAACATATTTCGGTGAAATTGGAAGGGGTTCCTCGCATCGATAATCCTATCATTCCCAGGAAATATAAGGCAAAGGCAGAATGATAGCTTGTGGTTGCCATACAACGTGATGCTTCATTCAGTGCTTGCTTCCAAGTCGATATCATGCAGCCATCTTTTTGGATTGTCTCGATGTCCTTTGATTCACTCCGTGAGCTACCACTTGACAAGAGGACCTTCAAAGAGTACAAGCGGACGGCAAGCGCGAACGGGTTCTGGTTTGGATCGCGATAGAAGCGATGGACAGTTTGCCCATCTCTTCGCGAAGGCAACATATCTAGATCAGCCAGAAAGTTGACAATGGAGTCCGTTGGTGGCTGTCGGATGTTAATATGGAGAACTCAAGAGGCTCAGTCAGGTACACGAACGGAATGAATAGAGACCATTGGGGAGCTGTGGAAGTTTATTAAATTGAGCCAGCATGATTCCAGCACATCTGAGGAGATCTTTAGCAGTACGTCATCCAGCACGGTGCTGTTCTGCTTCTGGTTAATATCCCGTGTTGCTACCAAGGAGCGCGTGCGATCAGGCACTTCCGCTGGAGGTCTTTTCCACTACAACGGTAGTCAGTTGAGTGCAGATAGGGTATTCAGCGGGTATCCAACTTTGGCGATGCAATCCTTCCCACGGCGAATGCAATTGGAACAAGATTGTCCGTTCTTTTGACGAGCGTCACAGCCTATGCGGGCTTTGGCGCAAGGCCCACATCTTGTGTATTGTTTTCGCCTCATCATTATGCGTGCGAGGAACAGACGTTTGAACCGATGACATGAGAATACGAACTTTCCAAGGTTAGAAACATACCTGGGCACCTCATCCTCTGCTTACGAGTGGACCGGCGTTTGGAAGCCCCGTTAAGCCCGGGTGCACGGGCCATACCAGCAGCAGTTGGGCATCCTCGATTAACGAAGTTACTCGGGGTGGTTCGTTTATTCTCTGTCAAGTAATGGAAGTCGCTTATCAAGGACATATCCTGGAGAGCCCTGGTCAGACGATCTGCTTCTTACGGGAACAGCCGTCTCTACTAGTAATGACCTCAGTTGCATGTCGGAGGAACCAGTATATCGGCCGGCGTCTATAGGGTTAGACGATCGTGATAACCTTTAACTGTAATTATATAATATCGGCTAGTTTAAAAAAGACTTTAAGTTCCTGGCAGTGCAAAACCATCACAAGGGTCGTCCTTTCAGTCTTGTTGCTTTCCCGACATGAATTTACAGTACATAAACTTGGGGCAGGGAGGATCCCTTGAAACTTGAAGCCGCTGAAAACCCTCATAAATAGGAATTGACATAAGTCTTTCCTTAAGACCAAGCTTCAAACAAAGAGAGACTCTAGTAGTCCGCCTTTTCTTCCAAAAGAACAAATTATTCGATGACATACCGTGACCCTGCAACTGTTTTGTCCCTCTCAATAGCCTTCGCGTAGTGTTTTGTTGCCTCAGGCCATGATCCACTCAAAATGACCCGCCTCGTCCACATTGATCCAATAGTTCTTTATTGACGTATATGCCACGCAGAGGATAAAATTGCCGAACGTGGCAAGCACATCCTCGTGTAGAACCAAGTCTCTCGCCAGGAAGGCGGAATGAAGCGGCATCTTAACAGCGCGCTCAAGAATGCCCCCCACAATCTCCGACATTCATTCCTTGAAGAGGAACGAGGCACTAGAGATCCTCACCCAGATCTCACGCGTTGAGAAGAAAACATTCCCTACCAATGAGGCATTCCCATTCGGCGAAGAGCTGTGGAGAAAGAAGCCCAACACGCGAGTTCTGTACGCGACTCAATCTAGGGAGGGGAACGCCCCAGAGCTTATCGCGTACGCCGTGTATGTGCGCCAGAAAGGTGTAGCGCTCTTGCACAAAGTCTGTGTGATCGAGTCCTGTCGACGACAGGGCATTGGGGGCCTCCTTATGTCCTACATTCAGGAGCGCCTGCGAAGGGAAGGCTGCCAATACATCCAGCTATGGGTAGACAAAGCCAGGGAGCCAGCACGGAAACTATATCAACGATGTGGATTCGAGGAGAAAGAACAAATCCCTGACTACTACTCCCCTGGACGAGCAGGCATTCGAATGACCCTTGACTTGGATCGTGGTGTATGAGCCCTCCTGCATTATCCTGCCCCTATGGAGGGAGGGGGATGGATGTCCTACCGCATTGACGAGGCAATCGGGAGGAGAGGGAGCGTGATTCTTGCTTTTAGAGCCTCCTTGGAATATGGTTAGGGGCAAAGGTCTCCAGGAATGATTGGCTCCTGCGCTCCTCGACTGCTGGAGGGGGTGCTTATCCCTTGCAGTCCGAAACGTGAGCCCGAGTCCCGACGCGCTCTCCATTCCCGACTGTCATTTTGTCCTCTACTGCATACTTTGGTGACGTCGCGCATATCCAGGCATGGCTTTCTATCGCAAGACCCGCCCTGAATGGGGTTCTATGAGTCCCTTTGGCACGAGAGGGAGCCGTTCTCCTTCCACCCGATCATGGAGGCGTATCCTCTCATCTAACGCCCACCTCTTCCCATCTCACCCATTCACTGCACAACCTGGTTGCGATACTATTCACCATCCGAGAACGTGATCCACGCGTCTGGTCGTGCTAATTAGGCTGCCTTCAACTACAGTCTTCCGAGCGTGCTCGGGCGTGCTCGACCAGACATGGCGTTACTTCTGGCTATTCTGACCATCGTAGCTTTGGTGAATGCGGTGGCTCTAACAGCCAACTACCCAATTAATTCGCAACTGCCTCCGGTTGCGCGAGTGGAACAACCGTTCCATTTCGTGTTTGCAGACGGCACATTTGCCCACTCGGACTCGAACACCAAATACTCACTATCAGACGCCCCGTCATGGCTCTCGGTAGACAGCAGCAGCAGAGCTCTCCACGGGACACCTCAAGCCAGCGACACAGGCGCGAAGAAATTCAAATTAATAGCGTCAGATGGATCGTCTTCTGATAGCATGGATGTCACTCTCATAGTCACAGCGGACAAAGGGCCAACAGTGGGCAAACCTCTGATTGAGCAGTTAGAGAAGCTTGGCCCAGTGTCCTACCCGACGACTCTATATATACACCCTGGTCGAGCATTTGCCATCGAATTTGATTCAGATACCTTCGAGAATACGCATCCCTCTACGATTTACTACGGCACCTCCCCTAATAACGCTCCCTTGCCTTCTTGGATCAACTTCGACCCTGTGGCCCTCAAGTTCGCTGGCAACAGTCCAGCATTTCCCGGCGCAGGACCACAGGCCTTTACTTTTCAACTTGTGGCTTCTGATGTCGCTGGATATAGCGCGGCCAATGTGACTTTCCAGCTTGTGATTGGGCCGCACATACTTGCATTCAATGAAACGATGCAAGTCTTCAACCTAACCCGAGGCGACAAATTCCAAAGCCCCAGTTTCCAGCAGCTACTTACCTTGGACGATTCGCCGATCCCAACCAAGGACCTGACCAACATTGACACCGATCTCCCCGACTGGTTGTCCATGGACCACCAATCGATGTCGCTCAGTGGCACCCCTCCCAAAAATGCGACCAACCAAAATATCACTATCACGGTGACCGACAGCTACTCGGACCAAGCTCAGCTCATGGTACGGTTGAACTTTTTGAAGCTGTTCTTAGAAACGGTTGAAGGTTGCGAAGCAACCATTGGAGATGATTTTATGTTCATTTTCAACCAGTCGGTTTTGACAGATAACTCCGTCGAGCTAGACGTTGACTTGGACGGAGATCTGTTGTCGTGGCTTACTTACTTTTCCGACAACAAAACTTTATACGGTCACGTCCCCTCGGACACAGACCCCCAAAAGATCAATATCCCTCTGAAGGCGTACCAAGGAGGGATAGAGGATACCCAAGACTTCCAGCTGGATATCTTGGAACCGTCAGACACCAATTCCACCTCGGGTGACCCCTTCACCGACTCATCCAATCCTTCTCGGAAAAAGGCCGGCATCATCGCGATTTCAGTTGTCATTCCAGTTGTGGTCATTATGAGTTTGATCATTCTATTCTGTTGCTGGCGTCGTCGCAGGAGATCGAATGCAGTTGAAGAGGGCCAGTCTCCAAAGCAATCGCCTCCTCCTCGACCTTCACGACCGGACTTTCCGGACCCTGAAGAAGCTGCTGAGAGGATGTCGCAAGATGATAAATCGGATAGCTGGGTAAATCCTTTCTTGCCTGCCTCTGACCTCCCTAAGCTCGAGCTGGGACCTGCATGGAACGTGGCGTCCTTTGAGAAACCAAAAGAGTCCTCGGATCCGTCCCCCAACCCTCCGCCTCGCTCTCCCAAACGTGGTACTTTCGTCCCCCTGAGAGACTCGATAATCGAAGAAGATAAACCCATTCGCATATCCCCTGCCAAGAAACAGCGTCTCTCGTTCACGAGCAGTCCTCCTGTGCGCCGTCGAACCAGCACTCGTTCACGGCGGGAGCCATTGAAACCAATCCAGCCACGAGCCATGAAGCGCGAGTCGATCCAGTCATCTAGATCCAAGCGGTACTCTAAACGATCCAGTGGTATTTCCTCGGTCGCCTCTGGCTTACCGGTACGGCTGAGTGGCGCCGGACACGGAGCTGGAGGGTTTGGGCCCCCTGGGCATGGAGTGGTGCATAACTCTTGGCAGAATAATCGAAGCTCTTTCATGAGTGACGAGAATAGCTTTAACAACATTGCGCCGCTCTTCCCTCGACCTCCGGCAGCTGCACGAATGCGACATAGCTTAGCATCTAGCATCCCCGAAAACCCCAAACGAGTGACGCTCCGAACCGTGGATCCCGACGAATCTGTCATCTCTGAAGCCGATTCTCTCGAGGCGTTCGTTCACTCCCGGGCAAAGCATCGCAATTCTACCAACCCGCTCTTTTCTGGACAAGTCAGTAACGGTCGCCGCTCGTCGGGACTGCGAGCTCTCGAAAGAGCACGGAGTGTGCGCAGTCGCGCTGACACCGTCTCCGTATCCACCTTCACGGACGAATTCCGCCAGTCGATTCAAGACCGACCATACTCGACCAATCTGTCTGTATCTGAATACGGAGACGAGAACCGCCTGTCATCATACCAAGGTCTGCAACCACCACCCGGCCTCTTCCCTCTAGCCGAGGGAGGTGGCCGCAGCATGAGCCAGCTGAGTATCGCACAAGACTACCGGGGAGTGATCTCACCGCTGCCTCGGTTCTGGAGCGAAACAAGCCTCAGCAGTAACAGGCGCATGGACTCAGGCAACTATGCCAAGACTGCGGCTCCAGCAGCAGTACCACCCAGCTCCTCAGTCCTGTCTGACCTAGACGAACATCTTTCTCGCAAGGCGAGTCCCCTGAAGACCCGTAACCATTCGCCGAATGGGCAGCTGGAGCCGCCCCCTCCCATTCAAGACCCCCACCGTGGGCTTCCTGTGGCTAGTAGCGGGGAGATAGCCTTTGTTTGATCATCGTGATTCCCTTGATTCCCTTTCATTTTCTTTTCACCTTTCCGTAGTTTGTTTCATGGAATATCTTTGGATCTGGAGTTTATTTGGGGTGTATTGCGAACAAGATATCCAATGCTGATAGTGATGGTGACGGTGCCAGTGATAGCGATAGCGAATAGGAACAATTGATTGCTTACAGCTCAGGGCAGAGCGTGGCACGTGCAGGTAGGAGGTAGGATGTGATCTTCAGCAGTGGGCCAGTAGCCGATCGCCATGGCTTGTAGGTCGACGACAATTAGGCTGTCAAGTCAGGGCTGTCTAGGCTGCCTTGGTGGCAAGGAATCCTTCACCGTACATGGGGGGTACCTTTGTGCACACGATGTGGCGTAATTGATACGGACATTTCGTCAATGCCCCGCCATCCGAGGCCTCATTGAATAGGAAACTATTTAGATTCAAGAACCCCCCTAGAACATACAAGACTAATTTTACAATTCAGAGCCTGCAAATTTCAATAGAGCTGCGTGGACTACCAGAGCACACGAGCGCGGTAATATTACCCTTTCGTTTACCCTTCGCGTACGGGGGGAAATCTCTGCTTCCGATCTCACCCCAACTTTTTAAGACCGAACACGAGAGCAATCCCAGAAAGCAAAATCTCTGACACCTACTGATCGGCATATCTGCAAATCCTCAGTCCTCACGAGCTTCTTCAGATCGTGTCGTGCTTCCCCACCTGGATCGGACCCGAGGAAACGCGCCTGTAAAAAAGACTCCTCACCTGACCTCCCTCTTCTCCTTCTTCCACATTCATCTGGAGCTACCCTCCGATATTCTTTCCCCACCCACCCTTCTCTCCTCAATTTCCTCTATTCAATCTGTGCCACCATGGGTCAGACCTTGTCCGAGCCGGTGGTCGAGAAAGTGAGTCTTATTCCCATTGCATTTCTGCCCCTCCTCTGCACGGCCTTTTTTTTCTCGCTCCATCGCGGGGCTCGTCGCACCCGAGTATCCAACTCTTCGCGGAACAGCCGGGCTGCAAACCGGCTGTGAAAATGCTTTTTTCCACCCCCCCTTAACCTAGTGTGAACCCCACGAGCCCTCTTGCCGACAACCCGGGGCTCTCAACGCAGAGATGGACGATGCGGGGTCCTGATGACTCGGAGGGGCTACGATGAGTTGAACTCGAACAAGCCCGGGGCAGGGGGCCCGACAAAGCACACGGACTCTGTTAAGGGGGTCAGACTGGAGGGTGTTCTCATCAACGCTGACTCATTGCTCTTCGACTAGGTATCGTCCGAGGGCGAAGATGAATGCTGCGTATACGGAGTGTCAGCCATGCAAGGCTGGCGAATCAGCATGGAGGACGCCCACGCCGCAGTCCTAGACCTACAAGCCAAGTACACGGGCTCGGGCGAGCAGAAACCGACCGAGGCGGACAAGCGCCTTGCTTTCTTTGGTGTCTACGACGGCCACGGAGGAGACAAGGTTGCGCTATTTGCGGGGGAGAATCTCCACAAGATTGTTGCCCAGCAAGAGTCTTTCGCCCAGGGCGATATTGAACAGGCTATGAAGGACGGCTTCCTTGCTACTGATCGGGCTATTTTGGAAGGTACGTTGCTCTACGATGTGGCGGAGGGAAGTATTCTTTTGCTGACGTATTCCTTTTTTCCAACCATTTGCAGACCCAAAATATGAAGAAGAGGTGTCCGGTTGCACTGCGTCCACCAGTATTATCTCCAAGCACAAGATCTGGGTTGTAAGTTTTCTCGATTGATATGGCGGCTGGAGTAGTTAGTATGGCAATGCTGACGAAAACAGGCCAACGCAGGTGACTCCCGATCGGTTCTCGGCGTCAAGGGCCGCGCAAAGCCCCTCTCTTTTGACCATAAGCCCCAGAATGAAGGTAAGTGCTCGGACAGCCTGCAGGGAGATCTTTTGAAGTGTCGGGCGAGGCCTCATATTAACCCATTTACAGGCGAAAAGGCCCGTATTAGTGCCGCTGGTGGCTTCGTCGACTTCGGACGTGTCAACGGTAACCTGGCTCTTTCTCGTGCCATTGGTGATTTCGAGTTCAAGAAAAGCGCCGAGCTCTCCCCGAGCAACAGATCGTGACCGCATACCCTGATGTGACCGTGCACGACCTGACTGATGATGATGAGTTCCTTGTCATCGCCTGTGACGGTATGTTGAGCCCAAAACTGACGCCGCCGCCACCCCTCCTCCTCTCACCTTGGGATCAATTGGCTAAATTGGCTAACACATCTCAGGTATCTGGGACTGCCAGTCGTCCCAAGCCGTGGTTGAATTCGTACGGAGGGGCATCGCCGCCAAGCAAGACCTCTACCGCATCTGCGAGAACATGATGGATAACTGCTTAGCTTCCAACAGCGAGACCGGGGGAGTAGGATGCGATAACATGACCATGACCATCGTTGGTCTGCTCAACGGCAAGACTAAGGAGGAATGGTATAACATGATTGCGGAGCGGGTTGCGAACGGAGACGGGCCCTGTGCTCCGCCCGAGTACGGCAAGTCTCACGAGGAATCCGAAGCAAGTCCCTCTTCGTGCTGACGCTCTATACGCACAGCCGAGTTCCGTGGCCCAGGGATCCGGAATCAATTCGAAGAACAGCCGGACGAATATGACCTGGAGATGGAGCGCTCGCGCGCTTTCAGTGTCCACCAGGGCGGCCGGATCATCTTGTTAGGCGATGGCACCGAGGTCATTCCCGACCAGCACGACGAAGAATTGTTCGACCAGACGGATGATCACGACCAGAACCAGCCGCCAGCCTCCGCTCGTGAGGACACCCCCGGCCCCCAGGGCAAGGAATCGCAAATATCCGAGTCCCCGGCCTCCACGGAGGACAAGTCGAAGAACTCGTAGATCTCAATGGGACCGGGCCAGGTTGCTCCCATTTCGTCTTGCCTTATTTCTGATTTCCTTTGCCCTGTTTGACTTGCTATCGTCCCTCCTCCGTCCTCCCTTCCTCTCCTCTTCTCCATTTTTGTTTGACTTGTGAACGACTGCCATTTTCAACGCCCTCTTCCTGCTACTACTCTTTCCGGCTTTTTCTTCCTTTCCCTTATTTCTGACTTCGCGGGCCCCCCCCATCCTTTTCCTTCATGTCCCGCAAATTCCTGTTAAATTCATGATCGGGCTCCACTGAATCCTCTCGGATTCTTGTTTCATGCGGAGGACCAGAAGTACAGAGAGGTAGAAATGGAGCAGGAATGAAGTGGCCACAGGCGTACGAGGGTGGCCTCTTTTGCCCGGCGCAGGGGCCTTCATGAATACATGTCTTTTTTTTATGCTTTTCACCCCACACGAGATACCGCAGAAAACGCTCCGCTATTGAGACGAACGATTTACACATTCCACGCTACCTGTTCTTTTCTTTTCTTTTCTTTTTTTCCTTTTCTTTTCTGTGGCCCCTATCCCACGGAAGTTCTGGTCCACGACAGTAGCGCACGATGGACTGGGGTTTTCTTGCGGCTCCGATCGAGCTGTGCTCGGAAAAAGACATCAGCATCCGTCGCAAAGTCCTGGAGCTCGGCAGTACGCCTGGGGGATAGTCTACGTGGGTTGATGGTTGATGGTTGGCTTTTCTTTTTGTCAGCAGTGGAGTTTCCAGGGGCTGTGGGCCCTTTACATTGACAAGATAATCCGAAGCCATCACGAGAAAGGAGAAGAGGAATAGAGTAGACTCAAATATCGCGAATCGGAAAGTTCGCTATACGAGCCCAGATAAACGAAAAGCTCCTCCGAGCCCCAGCATGCTTTCTTACCCCGTAATGCTCTCCGTATCCGTGACCCCTAAATGACGGGAGCGGCAGCCCCCACTTCGCGCGTTAAAAGAAAAAATACACGCGGACCCCTAAACCGGGCAACCCGCACCGGATCCGCCAATTCCAAGTTTCCGAGCTTCGACCTCTCCCTTCATCCCCCCCTATACATCAACACCATGGCGCCCTCAAATTCACCCGGCGGAAAGCGTAAGCGCAGCGCCTCCCATCTTCCCGCTCCCTCAAACGACCCCCAGCCCTCCTCGCGCGACGCGTCCGGCGAAGACGCCGAGGACTCAACCGGTCCAGCACAAGCGGCGTTGGCACGGCACAAGCAAAACGAGCCCAACCCGCCTTCTAAACGGGTGCGCAAAAGCGGCGAGGCTCAGGAGGGCCAGGAGAACCCAGGAGAACCGTCTGAGACCGCGGCCAGCAGCGACATCGAACAAGATGGAGCCCGTAACCTCCATATCGAGGTTCCCAACAACGACCAGGACTCGATGCCTCCGCCCCAGCGCGGCGTTATCCGGGACCCCGTGGGATATAAGACTAATCCCCCGCCCGTGGGCCGGCCTGTACGGGTGTATGCGGACGGCGTGTTTGATCTATTTCACCTTGGGTAAGTCTTTTCAGTAAATGAGGGGAAGGGGAGACGTGGTTCCTCGTTCCCACCATCCCGGGAGGTGGAATTTACAATTGAAAGGGAGTCCAGGCTAATTGTACCTTTCTACAGCCATATGAGACAGCTTGAGCAAGCGAAGAATACTTTCCCAAACACCTACCTGATTGTCGGTGTCACAGGCAACGAGGAGACCCATAAGCGTAAGGGTCTGACAGTTCTCAGTGGAGCCGAGCGCGCCGAGACCCTTCGTCACTGTAAATGGGTTGATGAAGTCATCCCAAACTGCCCTTGGATTGTTACGGCTGAGTTCCTGGAGGAGCACAAGATTGACTACGTCGCGCACGACGATCTACCTACGAGGCTGCCGAGGGCGACGACATCTACGGCCCCATCAAGGCACAGGGCAAATTCCTTGTCACCCAGCGAACAGAAGGTGTTAGCACCACAGGCATTATCACTCGGTTTGTCGCTCGTCGCCATCTTCCAAATGGCCTGCTCAGGACTAATCATAGAAACTTATTCTAGTATCGTGCGAGATTACGACCAGTACATCTCCCGGCAATTCAAGCGTGGCGCCTCCCGACAAGAACTTAACGTCTCCTGGCTGAAGAAAAACGAGCTTGAGATCAAGCGCCACGTGGCGGAGCTGCGCGACAACATCCGCACCAACTGGACCATGACTGGTCAGGAGCTGGGTCGTGAGCTGCGACAGATCTGGCAGAACAGCCGGCCTAACAGTCCAGCTCCCACTGCTCGTAACAGCGTCGACTACACCAATGCTCGCGGGCCTTTGGCCAGCCCCACTGGCGGGAGCAAGTCGCTTCTCTCGCGGGTGGATACACTCAGCCGCCCGGAGAGCCCTACGTTGGGCTCTGGTCGCAACGAGGACTTTGCCACCGGATACAGTCTCGGATTGATCGGTGGTGTGCGAGCATGGGTATGAAATCCTGCCCCAGTCGACCAAAAAGCGTCGATGCAACGGGATGCACTTTATTAACAATCCTCCCAGATGGCACGCAGCCGACAATCCCTTCAAGAGACCCCCAGTCACCCTCTCTCGCCCGCCGAGGACGAGGAGCCCGAGTCAGAGACCCCCAACGGCGTTGAGGAGGAAGCTCGTGGCCGCACCGGTCAGCACGTCTCAGCACAGTAGTTTATCTCGCTTGGGTGTGACCAAAAAAAAAATGGAAGAAAGGAAGAAAGGAAGGAAACCGGTACATGAACAGCAGGGTACAGCAGACCGAGGTACCTGACTCCAAATGGGCCTTGCATCCACTACATTTACATTTGCATTCGGTTCGTGTCTTATAAATTTATGGATATGATCTTTAGGGTTCCCATCTTCCGTCTTTGCTCATGAGTCCCACTTGCAGGCGAATTTTCATTGGTCTATAGGCGTTCTTATCCAGTTTTTTTTTTTCTTTTCGAATTTGTGTAATTTCTTTCTTATTATTCTGAAACCTCTTGCTAAATTGTCGTCCCTAATATTCCGCAAATTGAACCCTTGCCTTTGCTTAGTGTGTTCCTGCAGTTGCCTGCATCTGATCGTTCTAGGAGAGAATTATGTGCCCGTTGGAAACTCAGGGTTCCCTGGTCAATTCTTTGTATCTACTTCCGGGTTATCTTCCGACCTTGCATATAATTCTCCACAGGCTCCATACATGTTGCGCTCTCGAGGTACTCTTTCGTGACCAATGACAGAACTACTCAAAGGAATCTTCTTGGCCAATGAGTCAACAAGTAGCAAATCCCCAGAATTCCACCCGAACGCCAAACTCGACATGGAATTCCTTACTTGGGAAGAAACAATATTACAAAATCCAGAGCCCTCCGCATATCATAGTACACAGTATAGCATAGAATAAGAAACCGGTACAGCGAATACAGCCGATCTTTGCCAGCACATAGAACCACCCAGATCCGCCTCCCAGTCGAGACATTCTGCTCAGCCTCCTCGTCCACAGTCTCCCCCGGCTCATCCATTCGCTGCCCCTCCGATTCAAGCCTTTCAATCAGATACTGCTGATTCAGCCCCCGCGGCCAATCCACCTCTTTAGATTCATCGGGCAGTTCATAGAAGACCGTCAATATCCGCGAGGCCAAAGACCTGTTAGCTAGCATCTCGTGTATCTTCTCTCGACTCAGCTGATACCGGTCAATCAGGCATTGGTACAGCCCGAGCAGACACCGCTTATCCGCCTTCGAGCTCAGCTGGCTGAATCCAAAGTCCACATTCACGTCTCGCGCGGTGGGGAGTCGGTCGGCCAGGCAGGCGTGGTAGAGAGCACAGGTTGCTTCGTAGGAGGGGGGCCGGTCATCGGCGTGGCCGGGACGGATGGGGCTGTACGGTGGGAGTGCGAGAGCAGCGACGTCCTTGGTTCCCTGGATATGGTCGTCTTCGGTCGTTGGTACGCTTTCTAGAATGCTAGTTGAAGGTAGTTTGTGCATGTTGTTTGAAGGTGGGATTGGAGTGGAAGCGCCCTCTGTTCTTTCTGGGTGGTTTGTTCTACTTGCTGCTAATTTGGGCATTTTGCTTCCTGGGAATGACGCTTTGATTGAGAGATCCGAGTGATGGCTCCATTACAATACTCAGATGGCTCGAGTATTCACTTCAAGTCCATGGGGAGGCGAAGTTCTTAGCACAGATCCTAATAGCGCAAGTTATATAGACTCGGGGATGAAAGAAGCGGGCAGGGGCATTGGACTCAAGCTGTAACATAATATACCCTTTGTTCGTTGCCGTATAATGCAGCATTTTTAGCAACACACGTTATATTTGAAATAATTGAAAGACTTGACAATGAATAGTAACCAGAGTGCTCGAGGCCGCTGATGGTTCTGTCGGTGCATTGAGGGAGGAAGCTACCGTATATCGTGTCCAAGTTTACGGGTCTGGCGATGATTCTGATGACGGATGTATTAAGACGAAGCGATGGCAGAGAAGTGACACATTATAAGAAACTTCAATTGTATTGGCTGCATGTGAGATCGCCGAGGCACGAAAAGGAGATTCCAAGTGTTTCCAGTTTCCGGCCGCTCGAAATCTATCGATCCGAGGACGATCGAGCCTGAAAGCCATTATCTTGTCTAAAGAACCCCAAACATCCAATCTGAATCCAATAATCGAGGAGCACACCCAGAACAATCTTTTCTTAGCAATCTTTAAACCCAGCGTGATCCATCTCCTCCGCTTTTGGCTTGGCCGGCTCTTCTTGAGCCATCGCCACATAAATAGCACATCCCAGAATCAGCGCACTACCTATCCAGCTCAGAGGGGAGAGCGTCGCACCCCATATAGCCTTGTCATATAGTAACGCGAAGAGCAACTGTGAATAGATACCCTGCGTCGCACGAGACCCTTGGCCGTTCTTCGAGATCCCCGGCGGGGGCGCGTAGGATAAACCAGCCGTCAAAAGATACTGCAGCAGGAACCCACAGATGCCCAGTATCAACAGAAGTGTCCACTCCAGAACGGTGCTAGGTAAGCGGAATGGGACCCAGGGGAGCAGCATCGCGACAAGAGAAATTACACACGTCCCCAAGGAAAAATAAGTGACAGACACCAGAGCATGCGCACGAGTGCCAATCATACGGATGGTCGTAAATGCCCCGGCAGCACCGAAAGCACCGACAAACGCCACGATGGTAGCGAGGATATGATGGTACGAATCTGCCGAGCTCGGGTTTCCATGCCCGTCGCCGTCAGAACTGGGAGAACTACTACTCCCAAAAGGCCGCGCAATAAGCACAACGCCCACGAGCGACACGACGGCCGCGACTTGCTGGCGCCAGGAGAACGTATCGCCGGGAATCAAGAATGAGCATGCGTAGCAGGCCATGATAGGCGAGAGGAAAGTAATGACTGTCGCTTCGCTGAGTTGGAGATACTGCACCGAGTAGGAACATCCCGTAGACACCGAAGAATCCGAACACGGCGCGACCGAGAAGCAGAGGGATGACGGGGCGGGTGCCTAAGGGCGCAGGGACTTTTGCGTACAGCATATATAGATAGCTAGCCAGCGCCGTGATAGACATGCGGGCGAAGAGGATCTTAATGGGCTATGTTAGTCTCTGAGTTTCCGGGGGGTAAAAAAGATCAAAAGCAAGCTACAATCGTAGCAGGAAGTGTAGGGTTACGGGACTAACCTGGAATGGATCCATACCAGATTTGTTCTCTAGAATCTGTGCCACGACGTTCATCGACGCTCCAAACGCCTGCGATGCGATCACATAGAACATGCCCTTGTTGACCAGCCAAAGGGTCCAAAGCTTGGTCTGCCATGTTCGATCTGCCTCGCTGGCTTCACCTTCATCTATCAGCGGGTCGTATTCAACAAGCGACTGGGCAGGATCGTGATAGTGTGAGCTGGCCGACAAAGGTGCATCTGCTTCTTCCTCAGAGGGCGATGGCAGGGATCTTGAGGGAGCAGGTGGGGAAGTTGGCCGGGACGACATCCCGGATCTTAGGCTTCCTTATAACACGCCTCCTCCCCGGAATGCGCGGGATGAAGAAAAAGAAAGAAAAGAAAGACCCCTTCAAGACAACTGGTATTCGAGAGAAGAAGAAGAAGAAGAAGAAGAAGAAGAAGAAGAAGAAGAAGAAGAAGAAGAAGAAGATAATCGAGGAATCAAGGAAAGAGGGGAACCGAACATGAGGAAACAAAGAAAAAGCAAACGAACCACACGCTGAACTCGTGCGTGAGGGTGGATTTGCCGACGATACCCCGCCTATGAACAGATTCTACAGCATCGATGCACTGGAAACGCTAATCGATTCAGGCAGGTCATCCGGTGACCTTCCGATAGTCGAGAACATACGCACACTTGTGCGCGACACTAGGGTCTTGGTCAGCATGCCAGGCTGCACTCGCAAAGAAGTCCGAATCATGCGCAAAGAACTATTAGATCGAGAAAGTATTGGGAGACAAAGCGCTTATCACCCCCCACTGATAGGCCGCACAGCCAGGAACTCGAAGATCGCCATTCTATGCCTGCTCCTTGGTAGGGCTCTGGGCTTCATGTAGTGGAGAAGATCCACTGCTCCTAATATGTGCTCCTACAGTATCCTATTGACATGTTCTACAAAATTCTTTTCGCCCGGGGACCCGAACCGTTCCCGGGAGTTGTGCATTCGCATCTTATCAGATCCGGCAATCGATCCCCGCATTCTCTTCTGCCCACGTTTCGATGTCCAAGCCAGAACTCGAACCCTAAGCTTCAGCCAGCAGAACCGCCCATATCCGCTGAAACTCGGGGATTGCCGCTTCATCTGGCCTTCTAGGTGGAAATACCGAACGCTGTCAGCGTGGCCCGTCAAGATTTCTTAGTTTCTGTGCACTAGCCCGGTGAGATCGTAACTTTGACGATCATAACCGTAATGGTCTACATAAAACGGCTGCCTCTTGGTCTATAACTGAACGGAGCAGAAATTTTCTCAGAGTGCAGAAAAGCGCTACTGGAGATGCACTTGTATAATTTGAAACCAGGCCTGCGTTCTTGGTCACTCGAGAATCGCTGACGGAAAAATGAACTTTTTCGCTTTCATGTCAAAACTAGGGTATAAGAGGCAAAAAAAATTGCTTTAAAACTCATCGGAGGAACGGGCGAAGGATTGGGTTTTTTTTGCCCGTCCCCGGCCATGGCAGTGATACAGCTAGGTGAAAGTAAAGGTGTCACCCCCTTTGTCTCTTAACATATTGCCAATCCGCTGAGTGCCGACAACACGTTCCAGCTTCAGCGCATCCCATTTCGAGAAGAGTGCACGAACACCACCCTCGGCAGCTTCCACCACTGCGGCCGGGTCCAGACCGAGGAATCCGACAATATCCCCGTAGAAGGTCGGGTTCTCCGGCAGACCGTACATAATAACTCGCTTCACACCGCGGATCTGGTAGCGACGGAAATGGTGGGCTCGCTCAGTGTATAGCAACACGGAGTGTCGGCCAGTCATGAAATGACTGCGCGCGCGTGACATCTCACGGGTCTCCGTGTATTCGGAAATCGCGCCGAACGAGATGTTCGAGGTCTGATTCGAGGTGGCAAAGTGGTTTCGGACACGGACAAAATCGAGGTACGAGGGGATGAAAACAAGGGTACCGGTACTTCCCTTTCCGCGACTCTCGATGTTCTTGACGAGAGACGACAGCACGGTGCTGGTGAAGTGCTTGAACCTTGCGTCTGGGTCTTTGGCGGGAGAGACGCTGTCGATACGGGAGAACGTCTGCTTAACAGATACCGGTAAAGGGAGCTCGGTGATGGCCCCCGCATATGTCGGAGTAATTTTGACGCGGCCTGCGGCGTTTTGCATGTGGGTAGAGAATAGCGAGTTAATCTCCGGAGTAAGGAAGGAGGCGAGCACAATGGTCTGGCGGACATGTCGAGCCTGATTGTCCAAGTACCAGTTGCGGACTCGGCTGAAGTCGCAGCCGTGGGCCTGTTTGGGCTGCATGTTGAGGTGCTGGAAAATGTACGAGACATGGTCCCAATTTTGCATTATGAGAGCGTCTGCATGATCGACAATCACGACTTCAATAGATGACAAGAAGTCCTGGTCTCTTTTCTTGGCACTTTTTGATAGTTAGTACCAGTGGGGTAGACGTCTGATATGTATGCACTTACTCAGCTTGATCCATGATGGTCCTCAGTCCAAGAGGACTCGCTAGGATAATGTCCGAGCTGTAAAACTGGGAGAAATACTTCACGGTTTTGCGAGTAAATTTAAGGCCCAGGCGGAACATGTCGTCATTATTCCCTCCGAAGAGTTCGCGCGCGTCCTCTGCCTTGCCGGCCCAGGTATCGTCCTCGGGGGGAAGAGAAAGTGTCAAGGAATCGCTTCTTGTTCTCTTGTTGCTCCACCTGGTAGAAGCGGGTGATTGAATTGACCGCTCTCACGCAAGCCTGGCGAGTTGGAAGAATATATAGTACCTTGGGGCGAGTGAATCCCTGGTCCCGGCACTCAATGTCTGCGTCTGGGTCTTTGGCCAGGCGGGCATTGTTTTTTTAGAACTTGATCGCGGGTCTTGAGGAGATGGTTCACTATATGGAGAGCCATGACATCGTGCATGGCTTTTGCTGTCGGTGTTGTTCTGGCAGTGTAAAGCACATCCTGGTAATCGAATACGTAAGGTGCAACATGTTGGGCAGGCCCATTGATAGTTGGAAGGTACTGTTCAGCGCGGGGCTTGAGTTTGTTTTTGATCTGAAGTTTTTCGAGATTAGCAACCTATTCAAATCCTCGTAGGAGGAAATTTGTGGTACCTTCAAATTGGCCGTTGTCTTCATTGCTGGTAAGATCGATGCGTTGCTTTCGCCCGTCGCCGGGCGGGAGTGCACTAGCCGGAGCCCATCCAGTTCCTTCTTTGTAGACGCCCAATTGTTCGCATCGATTTCGTTGATTTGCTTCGTGAGTTCGATTCCTTCGCCGAGGTCGAAGTGCTTATCGAAGGCGCCTACAGCATCCTCCTCGTCATTCCCCTCCTCGACGTCCTCTTCTTCGTCGTCGGATGGTGTACTAGACGCTTCATTTTCCGAGCCCGAGTCTCCCAGTATATCTTCGTCGTCCTCGGGCTCCTCAACTGTAGCTGCCTGAGCACCTTTTGTCTCCTTCTCTTCAGGTTCGACCTTCCTCCTTTTACGAGCAGGTCCTTTGGGTTCATCGTTTGCATGGAGCAATTGAAGCAGCTCATTGTATGGGCGCGCAGTATTCTCTTCCTCCTCGTCCTCACTGCTAGACGAACCTTCATCCATCATCGGTTCATCCATACCCTCGTCCATTTGCTCATCACCTGATTCGTTCTCCGAAGACCCTTCAGATCTATCTCCGAGTCAGCTCTAGCCAAATGGCATAGATTCAACAGTTCGTACTTACTCAATTTCCTGCAACCGTGAGGAACTGAAGCCATTACGGCCTCCGCGACCACGACCAGAGCCTCGACCACGGCCCCGGCCTGGTTGTCCTCCTCGTCCTCTTGGTGGAGCCATCTGTAGACGGAAAATGCGGAGTTTTGGAGGTGGTCGTGCTCTTTTTTTTTTCTCTTCGGGAAGAGCACCATTTGCTTATCTTATCTTAGCGCGAAAATTCCCACACACAAAGAATCCCGGAGCAACCTACGGCGCACTCCACCGCGAAAGGAAAAATTGTCCCTCCGAAGACTCCTCGAAGGCCTTTGGTGAGAAGCATCTTCAACCTTCCCCCCCCAAACTCATCCTCTCCACCATGGCTGAAGACTCCTTCCTTCACCTTGCCCGCCCCCTGGGCCCAGTGTCCATGGGAACCGCTCCCACCACCGCCCCTCTTAACGTCGTAATTCAGCCGCAGGTACGCTACTAACCCTGGGTAAAACTGCGAGGCAGCACCTGACATCCGGAAAAATTCAGGCCATTTTCTCGATCCTCGACCACTCTCTCCGCCGTAATGCTGACCAGGAACGTGTCATTGGAACTCTGCTAGGAACCCGATCGGAAGATGGAGGCGAGGTGGAGGTGCGATGCGCGTTCGCCGTGGGCCACTCCGAGGCCGAGGACCAGGTCGAGGTGGACATGGAATATCACAAGCAAATGTTGGCGCTACACTTGAAGGCCAACCCCCGCGAAGTACTGGTCGGCTGGTACGCCACCGCCTCCGAGCTCAACACTTTCTCCGCCTTGATCCAGAACTTCTACAGCGGCCAGGGTGACGGGACCTGGCCTCACCCCGCCGTCCACTTGACCGTCTCTACCGAAGCCGGCAAGGACCTCGAGACCCGTGCCTATATCTCCGCCCCTGTTGGTGTCACCGCTGAGCGGGCTGCCGACAGCGCTGCCTTTATCCCCGTCCCTTATGAGCTCCGATACGGCGAGGCCGACAAGAGCGGTCTCGAGGCCATCGCGAACGCCAAGGATGCGGAAGATCGCAGCACTAACATCGCCACCGACATCGAGGCTCTGGAGCGTGCCATTGAGGAGGTTCTGTCCATGATCGACCGGGTATCACGCTATGTGGAGTCTGTTATCGATGAGGAGGCTCCCGCTTCGACCGCCATGGGTCAGTTCTTGCTGAACGCGCTTGCTCTAGCTCCCAAGGTGGATCCCGTCGAAATCGAGAAGGACTTGTATGTTTCTTCAATTCCCCCCATCTTTCGCATGATTCGAAGATACTAATCTCTATCACAGCCACAACCACATCCAGGACGTCCTCGTGGTCTCCTACCTTGCCAACACCATCCGCACACAGATGGAGCTGTCTAACCGATTGGCAACCGCACAGCTTACTCTTGGCGGCGGTGACGCTGCTGGCGCGGGCGAGGGCAACCAGCGCAACCAGCGCGGTGGCAAGGGTGGCCGTCAACGCCAGGACCGGGGTAGTGCTGCCGAGGAGACCCGCGCATAAGGGTTACCGATTGAGAAACGATGCATGAAGTGAACTATTCCCGCAAAATTTCCGCCGTTATGTTTCTTATGTCCCAATTCTTTGTCCGATTTTACGGACTCTTATCTTTTGGTTCTCCCCTTATATCGTTTTATTTCCTCCCATTCGCACTCCATTTTCCCTCGCGAGAAGCGTGGAGACAGCGTTTTCTTTGCATTCTGATTCCATGGTGGCTGCTCGCAACGCCCGCACAGTCACCTATTAGGGGCCCCCAAAAGCAAAGATTGAAGTCGATCTATCCGCGTTCAGATAGAGCAGGTGGTGGAGGAAGAGCATTGCAGGAGCTGCATGAAAGCAGACTGGAATGGAGACTTGGAAGAGAGTCGGAACAAGAAAATACATGTCAAGAAGAACCCCCCGGGTCATACTCGCCTGGGTTTATGAAGCCGTATCTTCAGATGCGGTGCCTAGTTATGATGAAATGGACATAAAAAAGTTACCTCTCATCCATACGTAGGCTCCCGGGCATATAAAAAAATCCCCTCGAGTAGGCCAGCCTCACGATGTATGCTGTAGCCAGGCGATTGATCCAGCAGCATACCACCACCAGGGTTAGCGTTCTTGGGAGAGGAATCAAAGACTTCAATTCACTTGCTGTTAGAACTTGCTACTAATATTCATACTCCGAGTCTACACCGCTGCTTTTTCTAATTAGCTTCACATACTCAAAGCATTCCAAATCTCCATCACTGGCAAGTGTTCGTTCAAGGCCGAGGTTCAGCCTTGACAGGAAATCAGCAAAATGCACCCCTCCGATTCTTTTCCTGGCCTATTCAAGCCTCGGCTATGTTGCGTTGATCATAATGACAACTCGGAGGCCTGTAGGTTGTATTCAGGCTAAAACCAGAAAAGAATCTACCTCATACGAGGTATACGAGCACGTCCGTCGGATCCTTCCGCAACGACCTCGTGTGCTTTATTTTTGGATGCTCACTTAGGCCGCCCAAATTTCGGAAAGCTTGCAAACGCTTGTCGATTCCTTCTAGAGCTAGGCATTGTCCTCAAATAGAACGACCTTGAGTGGTTCCTTCCAGCTTGATCGTGGGTTGCCTGACCTAATTTCAGCATGGGGGCGAAACTTAGCAGCACCGCGTTGGACCCATCCGGAATCTAGCACAACCAGAAAGTCATCTGAGATCCGTAGATCTTGTCGGAGTCACGGCCTAGATCGAATGTGTTCTCCGCGTCTCGTAGTATTGGCCGTGCTGCTATGGACTCGGGCTATCTACTAATGGGACTTTGGTGTACTAGTAGTATATAATGAATCGAGGCGCCCAACAAGTCCCACATGAACCTCACCAAAACATCTTCACATTCAATCCTAGTTTAGAGCTAACGCCGTCAAAATGCTATCGTATATTCCACTCGCCTTAGCTCCTCTACTATTCCTGGGCCGGCTTGCTGCTGCAGAAGCCGTGCTTGCTCTCAACGTGGACTTCCCAGACCCTTGTGTGATCCAGACCGACAATGGATACTATGCTTTTTCTACAGCTAGTGGAGATGTAAATGCCCAGGTAGCTAGCTCGCCGGACTTCTCTTCTTGGACTCTTCTGGAGGGAACTGACGCCCTGCCTGGGCCGTTTCCATCGTGGGTTGGGTCGCAAGGTGGCCGACCCCAAATATGGGCTCCTGATGTGATCCAAAGGGTAGGACTCTTTGCCATAAGCCCCCAACCGGTATCTAATCCTCCATGCTGACCATTTCTTTTGCCATGATCCAGGCTGACGGAACATACGTCATGTATTTCGCTGCGGTCTCCAGCAGCGATACTGGGAAACACTGCGTTGGTGCCGCCACTTCGACGACAATCACCGGCCCCTATACCCCGGAAGAGAACGTCCTCGCCTGCCCACTCTCCCAAGGAGGAGCAATTGATGCAGCTGGCTTCATCGATGGTGACCAGTACTATGTCGTCTACAAGGTCGACGGCAGCAATCTTGGAAACAACAGTCCCACTCCAATCATGCTGCAAGCCATGGAGTCCGATGCCGTGACTCCCAGCGGTGACCCTGTACAGATCCTCGACCATGACGACGGCGATGGTGGCAATATCGAAGCTCCCAGCCTTGTTAATGTCGACGGGATTTACTACCTATCGTTTTCCTCCAGCATCTTTGACCAGACCACATACGACTCCAGCTATGCAACTGCAACTTCTATCACGGGCCCATATGCCAAGGCCCATACCCCCAATGCGCCGTTGCTCGTTACTGGGGACCCGAGCAATGTGGGAACCCTGACTGCTCCTGGGGGACTTGACTTTAGCGCCGACGGCACAAAGATCGTGTTTGCTGCTTGGATTAGCAGTGATGGTGTTGGTTCTGGACGAGCGATGTATACTGCCTCGGTTCAGATTTCTGATGACGTGGTCAAGATCCTCTGATTTTTGGCGGTCAGTACGCGAAAGGTTCTCGCTTTGCTTACCTTCGCTTGGAGCAATAATGGGCTCCGAATTGTGCTATCCATGTGTTTTCACTTTGAATACCTAGCATCTAATCAAAGCACAAATTGCTCAATTCTCATTATAGTCAAAGCAATATAAATCATGGCTAATGGGAGCTGGAGCCTCGAGACCTACCTCATGATATCCCATTTATTACAATCGTACTACTCTGCCTCAATCGTACTACTAGGAATAATTTTAAGAGCGAGCTGTTCTGTGGCATCAACCAAACGTGGTTTGCTTAGGCTTGTGCCTCAAAGGCAGCAAAAAGATGCCTATTAGAAAGAGCTTTGTTTTCTCTTTGCCCGCGCTCTCTATGCCGCACATCTTGTCAACAGTCTTTCGACCTCAAGCGACTGCTCAATTTCTATTTAGATATTTTCTCCCGGTTGGCTGAGCTCCACGTAAAGAAAGGAGAGTAACGAGGACAACAGAAGACATTATCCCTCCACCCAGCAGAGCTCCTAGCCGCGCCTTCCCGGCGGGTTTGATCTGAGCGTCCAAGACAACTTGAAATTACCAATCTGATGGACATCGGCTTCGCAAGCCCTAAAAAGACCTGCACGATACGACTTGTCTTAACCCGTCCAAAAACCAAATATGCCTAGCAAACCACCAAAAGGATGGCATGGCCCTTCCAATATGCCCAGAAGACACGTTAGTGGAGATAACATCAGGTCTGAGCCTTGGCGAGAAACAGATGGACACGCAATTCAAGACATACAAAGAAGTGAAGAAGGAGCTCACCATGGACTACTCTTTGCTTCTAATTCCAGACGGCAAGACGAGGCCGCCACAGCCTCGCGAATGTCACTGCCGTCATGGAAGCCTATAGGATGGAGAAATTAGGACGGCATCCTCATTTGGTAACTTATTGAATTAAGGGAAAGCAGCTTCGCTTGCCGCGACCATTCGACTGGTGTGAATATCGGATGCTCCATGTCAGACATGGCGGGTATACTCGTTTCTGGACAGAGCCAGCATGTGATGACTGACTTCGTGGCTAGGCTGTTTCGGGTCTGTTTTGGCTGTAAGGTTGTATTTAGTCTTATGCGCGTCAATTATGAAGGCTCCTGGTAGGAATCTCCCTTGCAGTGTTTTGCAATGATTACTAGAGTTACGAGGACAAGTAGAAAAATACTACTACCTAAAAATCATTGAAGAACAATCTCCATGTTATCTTCGTTTGAAAATGAGTAGAACTGTTGCATTGCCCACCGTAAGCGACGGATTCTCACCCTCCGTCACACCCAGTGCCTCTTTCACATCCAAAGCGAATTGCCGCACGCAGTCATTGGCCGTGGAATCTGGATGAGCCTCCCGCCAGCGAGTCACCATGCTGGCCGTTTCCAATCCCGAAGCAAGCTCGTCGACAGTTGTTCGCTCCGAGCCCATGAAGAACGAACGGCCGTTGCTGAGAACGCCATCCCGGTCCCATTCGTGCCGTTCAAACTCGCCCTGGGGGAAGCAGTGCGAAACTGGAGCACCGTCGCCTGTGTGCCAAGGAAGACCCAGGTTTTCATACAAATCACGAGAGAGTCGATTAGGCGGCAGTTCATACGGGGCGAGAGTCTCTCTTTCTGAGACGGAAGAATGCTTTTTGAACTTCTGCCGCGTTAGGGGTGGATGGATCTGGAGGTTTGTTAGCTCTGGCTCCTCTCAATTCATTCTCTCCACGCACGGCAATACAGAGAGGCGCAAGTCCACAACGCCACTGTGCCGCCAGGTCGAAGGACCCGTGCTGCCTCTACCCAGAACTTGGGCATATCAAACCAATGAGCCTGAATACGATTAGTCTAACAGTCCAGACCTATCAGGCCATATGCAAAAGACCAGGAAACATACCGCCATGGCAGCCGTCAATAGATCTACCCCGTGCCCTTTAACACCTGGGCAACTCTCTTCCAATACCCGCGAGATGTGTTCTGCACCACATACAATGTACTGAATAGGCTTCCCAGATGAGGTCGATCCACCGAGCCGGCGAGCTGTATTGATCATTTCCGTCCCCGGATCAAGACCGATTGCAGTGTCGAACGAGTGTGCCAGGTCACGGGTGGCGTTCCCTGGGCCACAGCCTATATCGGCGAGCACATTCAGTGCGCCTCCAGTTCTGACATGACGCTCGATCACAAGACGGTATAGTTCATCCGCATACGAGGTTCGTTCCTTGGCATACTTTTGGGCTTGGCCAGTGGTGTATTTCGAGAAGGTTGGATCGGAGGGAGACATGGTGGGCGTATATGTGGGTTATACTTGGGTGAGGTAGGCTACGAATTCCGGATATGAGTATCTGGATCTTTATATTCTGGATTTACGAGGGTTACGATGCGTCGATTCTTTATGCGTTTCCTCGCCAATGGCTCGTGAGTCAACGTGAATCACGGATAACGCGGTCTTATCAATGGCTTATCGGAGTCGCAAGCAACCCTCGAAATCATCCGTATATTCCATGAAGATGTCGAGAGAAAACATCCCAACACGATGGAAATGGTTCAGAACAAATGGCTGAGTAGTACAAGGAGTACTGGCATGATGTGACTACTAGCAGCGGGCCCGTTCCTGTCACTGGGTCTTTCCTCCGAGAAGAGATTCCTCTATTACAGAGGCAAGCTACATCTCATTAAGGTACAGATGTTGGTGATTGTGGAAGTATAAGACTGGGTTTTCCGGAGTATTTGCGGTGTATTGCTTCTCGTGTACCCGAGGCCAATTGAAAAACATCCACGGTGCAGATCACTTCGTTCACTCCGAGCAGAACGAGCTCATTATCAATGATCACGGAGTATCTTGGTGGATTGAAATCTGCATCACAGGACTGGAGAACCATGTCACGGCTGATAGAAAGCTCAGAAGGGCAATTTCATGCAATCTCATCTCATTCTGAAATACAAATGGTTCCTATAGACCCAAGCCTGCCTAGCTCCTAGCGCTGGACCCGCTCCAGCTTCACCATCAGAGGCTTCTTTTCCCAGATGTTCCAAGACTGCTGACCATCCCATCCAATGGAGCTTTTATCTAACGTGAGGTCGAAGCTCCATAGAAGCTTAGCAGCGATGAGCTTCATTTCGGCGTACGCAAGGCTATAAAGAGACCATCAGTTAAAGAGACCGTCCATGGTGAACAAATCGAAAGACTTACTTCTTGCCGAGGCAATTCCGGGGACCCAGCGAGAACGGATGAAGGACATCTCGTTGATCAGATTCGAATTTCTGCTCGCGGTCAGGAAGCCATCGCTCGGGGATAAAAGACTCCGCATCAGCAAAGTGAGACGCGGAACGGTAAGTCGAAAAATGGGCCCCCGCGACCGAGACCCCCTCCGGGACAAACTGCCCATTAATGAGGGCGCCACCCTTGGGCACAACTCGCGGTAACAATCCAGGGACAGGAGGGTACATCCGCAGCGATTCCTCCAAGGTTGCAAGCAGGTAGGTCAGGCTGTTGATGTTTTGGAAACTAATATCCTCATAGGACTTGAGTGACCCTCGCACTTCGCTGACGACTTTCTGGTATACGTCAGGATGCGTCGTGACATAGTATACGAAGCCAGAAAGCAGAGTGGCGGTCGTTTCACTGCCCGCAATAATCAGGACCGATGCGTTGGCGTCCATTTCCCGTTCGGTCATGGCCTTATCACCGGTGTGGCGAAGGACATGAGCCATGAAATCAGGCCTAGGAGTCTTAGTGTTGAGTCGGCGTTGCATTTTCTCCTTGGACAATCCGAAAAACTCGTCTCGTCTCTTCAGGAGGTCCCCTTGGGTGAGCAGCTTCATGAAAGGTAGCAAGAAGGGGTAGATCGCAGCTACCACTCGAAAAGAGCCGGCTTTCACACTAGTGAAGGCCAAAGTGACCCAAAAATGGTAGGTCTTGTTTTTCAAGCAGTCAAAAGGGTCACCGAAGACCAAGTCACCGATGATATCAAAGGTGGTGAAGTTGAGCCACTTGGTCATCTCGGTGGTTGCTCGTGATTCGGATATTTCGTCGTCTAGACAGCGGATTAACAAATCCACGTATGACTGGATCAAGCCTTCCTGGTCTCTCAGCGCTTTTTCGGAGAACGCATGGGAGAAAAGCCTCCGTTGTCTCGAATGATCTGCATCGTTGGAGTTGATGATGTTTGGCCCATAGGGCCCGACGGTATAAAACTCGGGGTCCTTCATGAACGACCCTGCGCCTGACTTGCGGTGGCCGTAGATATCCCGCCATGCCTGGGCATTTCGATAGACCAGTCGTCGTGGTCCCGCTCGAACCACATCCCCGTATTGCTCATGGAGATCTTTCAGTTTGAGAGCCAAGACTCCCCTCACTGTCCAGGATACATACGGCATATCGGAGATTGCCGCTAGCTTTGGCCCGGGGTATTTTGAAAGAGGACTGAGGTAAAGGTTGTATATGATCATCCAAAAAGGATATGCCAGAAGCTGTGCTCCATTAGCTGCGTTCCGGTCCATACCAATGGCGATCTACTTACAGCGACAGCCCCGACTCCTAGGAGCAGAGCGGTGTCGTCAAGGGCACCGGCTTTGGAGGGTTGAGGCACCATTTTCGCAATATTCGAATGTTGGCTTGTTGGCTTGATATATCAATGTAACACTAACCGAGCTCCCCAACACGCCGACCCAACAGCTGAGAAATGTTACAGTATATAAATATTAAAGTCAGGGTGCTCTGAAGGCCTCTTGCCCGGTCAACTTCTCGGGACAGGCGTGCCGTTCTTCCACTCTTGTCCCGTTACAAGAGGCGGATTTAGATTGATGTGATCGACCAGTCCGTGGTCGGTCTGGCTGGTGCGAAGCCAATCAGAGAAAAGGCACCGCTGGCCTAGTTACTTCGTGGAACTTGCCCTTAACCTAATCGGAAAGGGCCTGTCGTACAGTGTGCACGGACGGTTCAACGTCCAAGGTAGTAATGCCCGCGAAATCTGCATAGCACAAAGGCTCCGAGTGTTTTATGCAAAGAATCGTACTTTTGCAACGATTCTCGCCACTACCGGTGTTCGGGGTTCAAATGAAGGAAACGGTTTCGCAGCGGGGAATCGCTGGCAGCCTCAACAACGCCCCAAATGGACGTCGCATTAGAGATGCATTATGTTTATCAGAGGCTTGTATGATCTGCACGGCTTGAGGATTTTGTTCTATATTACCCATGGCCATAAGATCTCCACCCCGCGGCAAGTGACGATTCAGCGCCTAGTGGAAAGGGAGACATTCCCCCTATACGACTCCTTGATGAAGGGTTGTTTGGGGGGGCACTGATTCAGCACTTGCTTTAGCGAAGGGTGCCAGGCTGTATGGGAACGAATCAGATTGGGAGAAAATTCAGCTATTAATATCGCGGTAGAACGTGGGTTCCTTCAGTACTACCCGCGTATGAGATATGTCATGCCGGCATTGGGAAGGATGGTAGTACCAATCCCAGACCCACGATCGATCAGATCCTGCAAGGGTTCAGCGATGGCGCATATTTCACGGACGCCTGAAGATTGGAGAGGCCTGAGCACTAAATCCCTCAACTTAAAAATCAAAGACAATAGGAGCAACGCTTGGCGAACAAAACCCCATGATTTTCCAGGGCGTCTTTTGGGTTAAGCTTGGCGGATGGACCCGCATGGCGCGGGCTGGGGCCAACCTTACTGTAGCCTGAAACCCCCACAAATTAGCCGGGAAACAGCCGGAAAAAACCCGAGAGGCCCGCATGGAAAATAGGCGAGAGGACTTGCTGCGCATGATTAGTATTTCTGTACCTTTGCAAAGTCATGTAGACTCGGAGATATTGCTAGCATTTCTCAGCGTGACTTTCACTACTATGTACCTAGTACTATCACTTGACCACTTCTGTGTTACGAATAAAGGTCTCCCACTCCCTGGCGGCCATCTGAATCAAGGACTCCCACAAAGGATCAGCTTGTGCTTTGGCGCGGTGCGGCCCCCTGGGCACCGAGCCTTAGGATTAAGTACTAGACGTCATGTCTAAAAGATACGGAGAGCCTGAGGACGGGCGGAAGAAGGATAGACAGCTTACGGAGCTTTGGAATACCACTAACAATAAAATATGATTACGCAGCGTATATTCGTATTCGCAAAGCCGTACTTTCTGAGATTGCACGTTGGCTCATTTCCCCCACCGGAGCGGGGCTGCTCGGCATGGCTCCGAGAGAACCAGGGGTGATGCAGGCTCCACCGGCTTCATTCTAAGAGATAACACTTCGCCGGCCGAAGAGGTGGCTCTGCAGAGGTGGCCGACGTGCATGAGCCATTGCTCAACAGGTCCCCCGATCTGTCGCCACAGCCTCGGCCCTAGACATCAACATCTCTATTGGTAGGTGACCTCAACTTCCAACCTCCTGATTAGCATCCTTTGACTTTGTATATAGATTGTGGCAGTACTTCTGCGATGTACAAGCTCAGTACCCAGGCGTGACTATCTCGCATTCAAGTTCCCGTTCGGAAGGTCCAACGAACGATCGAGACGTTCCAACAGAGGCAAGTCGAAGACCCCTGCAAATTGTCGAAGAGTGACAAATACCAATCGGAGAGTTTCTGGATGGATCCCGTTGTAGCCTCGCGTTGCACAGGTACAACCGTCACATAGGCGACTTGCTCGGGGGCAAAGGCATGGATCTGCGCTCGTCGCCCCGAAGGCGTTCGAGGAGATTTGCGTCACAGACAACCAGACAAGGCCAGAGCTGTTCGCACTGAATGTGAGCGATTCACCCGCATTGCATAAGATCTCAAGAATAGACGAGCACATTACGATCGAAGATTACGATCTCAACCCTTCGTTCCTGGATAAACCATCTGTGATCACAGATCCGGTGCCGGTGCAAATCTGAGTAGCGGGCAAAGACGAAGTCCAACATCGCTGCCCGAGCTGTAGCGAGATCCATCTCCTTGGAAATCTCCATGCAATCGTACCTCTATCCAGTCACGAGGACAAGTGGCGGATACCCCCTCAGAAGCTGGATTGGGGATACCCTACGGAGGCACCGGAAGTCGACCCAGCCCTGCTACATCCGGGACATGTCTTAATCTGCCAAACTGAAGGGCGAAGTAGAAGCAGAGCTGATCTCCCAAGGGGCTGGGGCCTTGACAATTACCCTCGGGAGTCTTCTAGAGGTTGGGGGTCTAATCAAAATAATCGGCGGTATCTTAATTATTACAGATTTCTTCGTCTTTTCCTTTTTTTTTCATGTGCAAGCTGCTTAGACGGCCGTGGCTTTATACTTCAAGCTGTGTATAATTCGCTACTTGACTCAACTGTGTCCCGTCAAGATCTGATTGATAGTATCCTGCAGCTGCGAATATCCGGGGCTTGACGCTGATTCAAACTTGCACATATCACCGTGGCTAGCGTTGACAGATATGAAGGAACATGGTGCCTATTTGGGTCAGATGGTGAGTTCTCTGTTGTAGTCTTTACGCTCACCTCCGAGTCTGTGCCCTGAATATAGGCTTGCAGGTCTTTTATTTTTCGTGGGCCGGAAAGGTAAACTGTGTGTATATGCTTCGCAAGCGAGTGATACTTTTCGAGGGTTTCTAAAGTCCACTGGGCCTCTTTGTATGTGTCGCTATCCGCGAGCGCCGAGCCCTCGGCGCTAACCAGGTAGTTTTTCAAGCCAATAGTGACAGGGCCGAGCTCTGTGGCATCCAACGAAAAGACAGCGCGAGTTGATTTGAATATGCGTTCTCTAGGGTCAGTTCTTTGTGCCGAATAAACCAAAGCCTCGGTTATTGTCAGCAAAGGCACCCATTACTTCGGTAGGCGTTATCGTACACTTTTGACCACATTCCCTCCTAAACTATGGCCGATGAATATGATGGGAAGGTCGGGCATCTGGCTATCAATATCAATTCACAGCCTAGTATTCAAGTAGTTCGCTTTATACTGACGTTCTCTTCCTTCCTGCTTTCGTGTAAGTCGTTTATCAATGTTTCCGATACTTCTTGCATAGATTCTTGATTATCCTCTTTGGGAGACGCATCGTAGCCCCAAACGTAAACTCTTATGTCGGGGAAGTCGGTCGGGATCAAGCTCTGAAGCCAGTTCACTCCGTTGCTTGCCGTCCACGATTTTTCCCTGTGCCCCCCAAGACCATGAATCGCGACAATGCTTGAAGCCCGTCGAGTCCGTAAATTAGCGGGGTAGCTCGATTGGACCCTCATACTCAGCCTTTGGGAGCGGTGCAGAGTATAGACATTTCAACCTGCTGCCAGTGGATGCTCGATGCTTTGTATTTTAACATTTTCAAAAATTGACCGAGGAATTGCATGTAGGGTCCTTACGATGTTCGGTTGGGTTGATGAACGCCTTGACTTTCCGGTAGGCCAACAGCAACTGAGCCCCATTTTTTCTCCCTCTGTATACCCTGGAATCCCTAAGAGTCCGAAAATACGTATGGCGAGAGAAGGTACAAAAGGAAAGGTGTATATAACAATAATGGTAGAAGTATCATTCGAGGTCAAAGCAGCTAGCACCGGGGGAGGCTTGTCACGTGGAGTGGTAATAATAGAAAGCTTGGCGCACATTCCGTGCATTTAAAGGGCATGAAAGACCTCGCAATAGTTGCTCTTGGGGAGGAACTTAAAGTCTGATATTCTTGGAATATCTTCACAAGAAGGAGCACCATGCAAACGGAATCAGTCCGAATGACTGAAAATAAGATTTGCAGCCGCAAGCTTTCGCTTTTTGGGCTAATCTTCTTGTTCGTTACTCTTAGTAGCATTGCATGACCCTAGTTACCCGATCAAAAGCGGGATACAATCAAGTATCAGTTCGCATTGGCAAAAGGTCGAGGCACTGTGTGGCACAACGTATCGAGGAATGGGTGAATTCCCCCTTATAATTGACCTAATAAACTTGCTTCTCCTCATTCATTCAAGATCGAGTCTTGTATGCTCTCCCAGTGTGTAGTATGGCTGCTTTCTTCCGTGTGAATCTAGCAAAGTTTACACATACAGTGAAACACGCTTATTGGAGATAGGCTAACAATTGGCACTGAGTTCATGCATTACTCATGTAAATACTTTCGGTGATTGTCGAAGGTGGGGCAGGCTAAAACACTCGGTGGAAGGATTCGCCGGGATCCGTAACCACAGCTTATTTGAAACCGCGTCAAGCTTGCCCAATTTGGACATTTTAACACTATCGAACAGCCCGAACATGTCTTCGAGTACAATCAAATCTGAGACTGAGAAAGCAAGCTCGTCGCAAGATCCTGCTCCTGCGGACTCGAACATCAATCATGCTGCGTCTATTGAGTACTGGAGCAGTAAGCCAAGCACCCACAGCACAATGCTCGGCGAGCTCGGCGAATACCCTTGGTACACACGAATTGATCTCCAAGGGTCGAAGAACTTCTTGACGAAGGTTCGTCGCCTGGTCCCATCCCTTTCTGGAAAGGAGAAATTCAAGTTGGGCGCAGACTGTGGCGCCGGCGTGGGCCGCGTGACAGAAGGGTTTCTAAGCCATGTCTGCGAAGTGGTGGACGCCGTTGAGCCAGTCGAAAAGTTTACCCAGGTCTTGAAAGATAGTAAGCTTAAGCAAGAGGGTATTATTGGTGACATCTACACCGTCGGCTTGGAGGGCTGGCATCCGGAGAAGAAATACGACTTGATCTGGACGCAGTGGTGCGTGGGCCATTTAACAGATGCCCAGGTGGTTGACTACATAGTTCGGTGCCGGTCTTCGTTGGCGGAAAACGGCCTTCTGGTTTTCAAGGAGAATTTGTCCACTGATCCTCAGAACAAAGATATGTATGACGACGAGGACAGCAGCGTGACGAGAGCGGATGCCAAGTTCAAGCAGCTGTTCGCTGCCGCCGGGATGCAAATTCTGAAGTCTGAAATACAGACTGGCTTCCCAAAGTCTTTCGACCTTCTTCCTGTCAAGTCATACGCCCTACGACCTAAAGTTTGAAGCGCTTTTGACACGGTTGCTTTCATCAGACGCGGCAAATCGGGAGTTTCAGCTGAGCTGCCTTTGTAGCGGGAATTGGCTCATAAACTTGTTCGTATGGCCGGCGTTATTATCTACATGCCTTCAAATGATGTATGGGGGCTTAAAGTGCTCCATCTGCTCGCAAGTGATCATGAACTACTACTCTCGAGCATGCAGGCCTAGTCTCGAGTTGGATTCCTTCTGTGAATAAGCTCCCTCGTCTTCGGGCCGGCGCTTCTGGCTTCTTGAGGCTTATGGGGAGCGTACGCAACTCCGAAATCGGGTGATATCGGCGGCGATGAAACTTGCGACTATCGGCACATTAATTACAATACCAACAGACATGTGCTCTGTGGCAATTAATATGGCGATTCCCAATAAAAAGAAGAGTCTGCTTCTGATTCCGATCCATCTGCAAAAATTTCCTGAATCAGCTCACCGAGGCTTGCAGCATAGCCGGCGGAGATGAGTCACCTGCAGCTCTAGGAAGTTTCATCAATACCACTCGATATCAGATCCGACTCTAATTTCCATTTATGTGTGTAATTTCTGGATATCTACCCCTAAACCCCAGCTGGCTTCAAACTGCCTTCCTGTACGGGCCTGCAACCATGAGCCAGACTAATATTGTGATCGTTGGGTAAAGCGCGCTTCCTCAAATGACAAGAACAAGCTAAACATAAACCCCCAGGGCCGGAGTTCTAGGTCTCAGCTGCGCAGTCCAGCTCTCCAAATGCGGATACCGAGTAACAACGATTGCAAAAGACCTACCAGGCGACCTCTCCATCGACTATGCATCCCCATGGGCTGGAGCGCATTTCCGCCCCTCCCCGCGAAGACCGCTGCAGATAAGCTCGAGCAGCAAATGATGCGAGAAACGTACACTGAGTTCGAAGACATAGCCGCTAAATACCCAGAGTCTGGTATCGCGTTCGTGCCGGGTGTAGAGTACTTCGATTCTGGCGACCCGGTCTCTATCTGAGACCCTGAGAATGGATATGTCGGCTGGCCTGACTTCCGGGTCCTTCCACAAGAGGAGTACCCTAAAGGCCACGAGAACATTCGATTGGGGGTATCCTACCGATGCTGGGTCCTAAATTCTCCTGTCTATCTGCTATGGCTGAAGTCGAGGGCCGAGGGACTGGGAGTTCACTTCGTGAAAGGCCAAGTCAGCAGACTGGAAGACGCCGCCGCAATACTTCTTCCGAGTCGGGGGTTAGATGGAGGCAGTAGCACTATTGTCATTAACGCTACTGGGCGTGGACTGGACGATCCAGCTTCATTCCCTTCCCGCGGTCAATTCGTTCATGTTGCCAACGAGTGCCGAGAAACTATAAGCCATCACTGGGCTGACGGGTCTTCAACCGTGATCATTCCAAGGCCATTGGGAGGAGGAACTATTATTGGCGGCACGAAGGAGCCTAACGACTGGTATTTTCTGTCCACGCAATCTCAGCCTGGTATTCACTAATAGCGTTCAGGTCAGCAGAGGTATCAGCGACTGTGACCGATGTGGTCCTCAAGCGGGCTGTGGAACTCGAGCCTGGGCTTATCCAGCATGATGTCGCAGCAACGAGTACAAGTGGATTCAAGATACTACAAGAATACGTAGCCCGACGTCCGATGCGGAATGGTGGCCTGCGACTGGAAAGTGAGACTGGTCCAGGGAAACCCCCCATCATTCATTGCTACGGTGCAGGTGCAAGCGGGTTCAAGATCAGTTGGGGCGTTGCAACACGGGTGCATAAATTTGTTGCTGACCTCGAAGCAAAACAATGAGCTCCTGCATACACAGGAAATTCATCTACAGATGCTGGAGTGGGTATGTACGGTCAATCCATTCGCCATTTAACAATATCCTGAGTGCCATTATGAATAGACTTGCACTGGTGGGTAATCCGAGTCATCCATCATCCTATGTCCTTCGTGGAGCCGTTTCGCTTTTTTTTTCTTTTTTTCCCCTTTTCTTTTGCATTTGTGGTTTCCGGTTGGATGGACTTCGCTCTAATCAACACAAAACTCCCTTTACACCTAAATGCGCAGACCGCAGATACGAAACGCCAAAGTAGCTATGACTCGACTTCGCCCCGTCGGAGGGCAAGCAGTGCCCGAACATCAGTGGCATACTGTAGTGCCTCTAGCATAGGAACCAGATGCAGCAGACCGTTATCAGTGGGGTCGTTGATCCAGCCTTCAATGGGAATGGCGTTGTCTAGATGAATATTAGTAAAGCCGGTAAAGAGCATGATTTCAACTGGTTGAACTCGCCCTCGTGGAAGATATAACTCATAGGACTGTTGTCGAGGATCATCACTTTACTCAAATCTGGCTCCACGGAGCTCAGGTCTTTGATGTATGCACCATTGCGCAGGGTGCAGTGTTGCCGGTAATAGCGAGCTTGGAAGTACTTGCGCTCTTGCTCGAGCCAGTCAATAACGGGGTCGGCATATTCTTGCACACTTGCGGTGAAGATGACCAGTTTATACCATTTGCATATCTTGCGCAAAAAGTCGTCGCAGTGCGGTCGCTTATGCACGTAGTACAAGATGGGATGTTGAGGTCCCAACGTTGTCTGCGGTCCACCAGGAGTTAAGGCAGTAGTCATGGGCATCGAAAGTTTAACCTCGACCATATGGCCACTGGACATACGACCGCCTTTCGCAAGCGAATGGATAAGGGTCTCGTCAAGATCCAGGACAAGGGTCTTCTGCGGTAGGCGGGTATTCCGTGATGAAGCAGTATATGAAGGTACTCGTTGAGGAAGTAAGGGCCGGGGGGGTGTTGGGGAGTGTGGGTATTTATCGAGACGGTGAACCGATGGTGAGGTGGGAGACTTCAAGCTATCCAAATTGACGGCGCCCTGGATCCGCGCAACGCCTTCGGGCATTGGCGGGCTCAGATCGCCGCTATTTGACCGCCGTTGTCTTTGTCGTTTTGACACCTCTTCGTTATGGAGCTTGATCCGGATAGACCGCCGTGGCGTGTCGTCGGAGGCTGGGTTTGTATCATAATCTTGCGAATGGCTGAGTCTGTGTTTACTGGAAGACGCTTTTGAGTCGCGTCGATCTGTGTCGGATTCAGACGCCGTAGAGGTTATCGAGTCTCGCGAGGTCTGTGGCTTCACCTTGCGTATCGAGCGACTTCGCCTCCGGCCTGCTGCCCCAGAAACCCCTTTCTCCGAGCGAATCCTAGCTTCAGCAGACGGCCTCCAGATTCTCCGAATTGGGACAAGGAGCGAGTACCGCCCGTCATCATCTTGGAAGCATTGGGCTGGGTAGACCCCAGGAGCAGCAACCGTTGAGAGAATAAATCGAATCGTCTCCGTGATCGTGTCGAAGATCCGCTTGGTAAAGAGACGCCAGGTGCTCTTCGTTACTATCGTCCCATCCTTGTGAGTCCCGTGGAGGAGAGATGTCTTCTCGTTGACCGAGTCGAGCGCTTCGTCGTTGTCTTCATTCGCGGATGATACGGAGCCATCGTAGTTCGGGTTGAGAGTGAAACTGGTCCGAAAGTTGTCTTCACTATAGGACCTAAGCTTTGCGAACTCGCCCTGCGGAGTAGCAGGTCGGTTTTCACTCTGGGATCGCGATCGTGGGCGCGTCGAGTTGGAAGACTGGCCAATGACTCGCGAGGACAGGATGTTCAACGAGTTCATCTTCCAACAAGGCCCACGAGAAACAGGGGCGCGAGGGATCTAAGGGACGAGAAGTTCGTCAGTCGTCAGAACCACTTGCCAAAGCCCATCTAATGGGAGGAATCGCCAGCTTCGAGTAGTCTCAAGGGGAAAGGGAGGGGCATCGCAGGGAGTAAGCTGGGAGCTGGTAGATTGGTTGGACGGACCTCGAATGCGCCAGGTCTCCCCGTTGCCTCGGAAGTCGTTTCGCAATTCCACTCCGGTATCTAACCGCGAAAAGGGCCCCAATATCAAGGAATGAAAACAGGCCCGGATCGAAAGGACACGGGAGGCGAGCAGAAGAGAAAAGAACCGCAACAGACCCTCTAGAATCAGGAGAGGGGAAAAGGAACGAGTCCAAGTCTCAAGTGTGGGGAAGCGGACAAAGGTTCCCAACGGCAGAAAATCGGTTTCTGCTGCCCACATTTTTATATTCGCCGCGACTTCTACTTACAGCTACGCTTGCGACGACACTTGCGAGTGCGGAAGGGATTCATCCGAGGCTCGTAGAAGATCCAGGTTGTTCGACGAACTATTCTTTGTTTTCTCTTTACCCTCCGACATATCCTCTGTTTCGTCTGAGAAGCGGCAGCCACACAACATCCCACTTCCAAATGCCGTCCACAGGCTTGGCCCTGACGCCGGGTCTCGCGTCCTTTCTCAAGTCACTGAAGACGAACCCGATCGATACCTCGATCGAAAACCTTATCTCGTGCGCCTTGACTCCCTTCCTACTTTGGGCTACCTGCCCAGGGCAGACCTTCCCATCTAACCACAACCACTTGCGTATAGATTGCTCAAACGCCGCCAAATCCGCCATTCCCGGTCATGCGCTACCGCAACGGCGTACCTGCTCTTGCGAGTAGTATCCGCATGTCGGACCTCAGAGTCATCCAAGCTCATTGACCGCGTACAGAGCGTTGGCCGGCGCCTCATAGCTGCTCAGCCGCGGGAGATGGTGGGGGGAACATTGTGCGACGAGTCCTGGGTCTGATTCGCGACGAGGCGGAGGACGACCATGAAGCGGAGTTCTCTCTCAGTGAGGCCGGATCAGAGAGCCAACCCCATACCCCCCCGTGCTTTTGACGGTCAGTTGCATATCTTGTGGCATCGAGGCCAATGACTCATATAACTTTACAGATGCTTCATTGCCTTTAGACAGAGATGCGCTAGGCCTGCGGCAAGATGGACAAGACCGGAATGCGGTGCGACCTCCTCTTACCTCCATGTTCAGCCTCCTCTCGCACCCCGAGCCCGAAAATTCGCAGCCGAGCACTCCAGGTTCCCAGTCCCCGAGCGGAAGGTTCCCCAGTCATGGTCCCAGCAAAGACGTGCGCGCTGAGGTTCTCGAAGGTATCAATGAGATTATCGATGAACTTGGGCAAGTCGACGAACAAATTGCCGCATATGCTTTGGATCATATCCACTCCAACGAAATCATCCTGACGCACACGTCCTCATCTACGGTTCAGAAATTCTTGCTCAAGGCCGCTGCCAAGCGCAAGTTCACTGTTATCCATGCCGAATCATTCCCTAATAATCATGACTCCACACATGCTACTGTCAGCGGCAAGAGCCTAGGCGATGACGACCAACTGAGCACAGATGCTTTCCAGAAGCCACTGATCCAGCTTGGTATCACCGTCATTTTGATCCCGGATTCCGCTGTGTTTGCCTTAATGTCCCGAGTCAACAAGGTCATTCTAGGCACACATTCGGTGCTCGCAAACGGCGGGCTCGTCGCTGCGGCTGGTACTCGTGTCATCGCGCGTGCTGCGAAGGTCCACCAGACCCCCGTTGTCGTCGTGAGCGGTGTCTACAAATTGAGTCCAGTCTATCCATTTGACTTCGAGTCGCTGATTGAGTACGGAGATGCAAGCAAGGTCTTACCATATGAGGATGGTGACCTCGTCGAGAAGATTGACGTCCAGAACCCTATTTACGACTATGTCCCCGCCGAGCTGGTGGACCTCTACATCACCAACCTGTAAGTCTCATCCCTTTCTTCCCCTTGAACCTTCTGTTAATTACCTTCTAGTGGCGGCCATGCCCCATCATATCTTTACCGTATCGTGTCCGATCACTACCGAAAGGAAGATATCAGCTTCTGATTTTAGAGTGCTGGTAAAGTACCTGTGTCAGAAAATGCGATTGGAGAGAAATTGACTTCTAGACGTCCATTGGGCGGTATTCGAATATGATGTGACGATCACCATGTTGACCTTGTTGAATTTATGGAATAAGGTTGTTTCACATTTGAATTGATCGCTACTGGATGCAATATGTAATTGCACGAATCAAAGTTTGACGATCATTTGTGGCCTGTTACGGCTACGTCAGTAAATTCCGGTATACCAATATAATAGTATACAACACATGAAGCATTAATTCCAACTCGGATCCAGGGCTGCAGTCCTTCAGTCCTATCAATTCAGCGCCAGGGGTTAAAAGAGATGCAAGTTTCCCAATGGAGTAAATCAAAATTAGAGTTCATAAAACTTTCAGGATCCATCAACTCAAGTTAGTGTATTTGATGAGACCACTTTTGAAAGAAGCCTTTCCGCGGGCAATTATCAAACCCGTCTAGTCTTCAACCTTGTAGTATTCCAAGATCAGACCAGGGCAAAGAAAATGCAACACTCATCTGCCTCTGGAAATCTGCAAAGTATTGCTGGTGAATAATCCGAGTTCAATTTGATGATCCCCGAGTTGAGTATTTTGAGGTCGTTCGTGCACGATGGGTTGGGGAATATATAGTTGTCATAGCCAAATCACTTACCTTAGTTGAGCTGACCTAGTGAAACAACACCTACTATGAACTTTCTCGCCTTTCCTTAGAAAAGCCACGGAAAATTGACTGGATGTAATCTCAATTATGAATATCCGGAACATCGTATCTTTCGAGGAGCAATTGTTCGCGGCCTCGAGGCCAAGAGCCAGCGGAGCCAAATGACCTCGAAAATAGCGAGATAGAAGTAAGACAAACTTGAACTCGGTTCCGGAAGACTATTAGATTGAGACATTCAACTTGCGGGGAATTAATCAATTGATTGATAACACCAGGGGCGATTCCCACTATTGGAAACATGCGCTCAAGTGCTGTTGCTGCGGCATAGTACACATTGTAATACACGCATGGATGAAGTCTCGCCTCACAAGCGCTGCTAGTACTTGCATCCGAGGCTCGAAGCCTGCTAGTGCAAGTTCTCGATCGAGTCGTGAAGAGTATACACGCAGAGAGGCCATTTACATCCTACAGGAACATCATATAACGTCAAAGACGCCCAAAAAATGAAGATCATAGCGCCATTGTTTTTTGAAATTGTATCAACTCATGGTAATTCGAGCATCAATCCGGAAGAAAGCCCGCCCCGGGTGGTATATTCCCCAATGAAAATTCTCATGAAATCCAGGCGCTGATGAGACGGGCTTCCCATCCGACACCGGTGCTCCTCGCTGCTCCGGCCACATTTTGCATTCCAAACTCCGACTTTGCGTTTAAGAGCGGGGCTTCTCCTTCTTCTCCTTCCACAGAGCGAGGAGACCGACACCAGACACCTTGACGACCTTGAAACGGACACCGGGAATATCACCCTTGGCCTTGCCCTTACGACCGAAACCGGCCAGGAGAACCTCGTCGTTCTCGTCGATGAAGTTCAAGCAACCGTCATTGGGAACTAAAGAACAAGATGGATTAGCGCAAGCTCATCATTCAGATTGAGAATATCGTGAAGCTGGGTGCGACTTGGGAGACCCAAAATCGCAGATCCACCCACGACGTTATCAGGAGATAGACGCACCGAAAGCAGCGACCTTCTTGCCGTTCTTGATCAGCTGGACCTTGACACACTTGCGAATGGCGGAGTTGGGCTGCTTGGCCTCAACACCGACCTTCTCAAGGACGATACCCTTGGCGTGGGAAGCACCACCGAAGGGAGAAGACTTGTAGGCGGTACCGAGCAAGCGCTTCTTGAAGTGCAGATCAGCCCAGCGCTGATCCTTGCGGTGAGCCTCGAGCTTGCGGGCGGCGTTGAGACCACGGGGCTTTCCTTTACCCATGTTGGCGGATTATTTTTGACGGTCAACTAAACGGGAAAAACCGGCGTTAGTTTTCGAGATTCCAGCGAGAAATTTCTGCCGAGTGCTAGTTCGGAAGGATGCATGCGAGGGAGATTCACGGGGCGTGGTCGTGGGCGCGGTAGATCTAGTTGTTGAAAAATGTTGGTGATGGGTGGATGTCGATATGGAAACTTTTTGTGCGAAGCCGACGAGGTGGTGAGTCGGAAAACCACTCGTGATGAATCCCAAGCACGTATCCTTCCGAGTCGCGATCGAGCAGATTGAATTCACAGCGGTGCACGTACCGGTTGAAACTGGGTGTTGTCGCCAAAGGGCTTGGTCGTGGGGGAGGTCGAAAGTCGAAGGGTTTGGATTTGTTGCTCGACCGGCCTTTCGCTTGCTTGGGTCCGCTTCCCGTGACTTTGTGCGCTTGCCCTAAGCGAGTCACGGGATCGCATAAGCCCCCTCTGTATTATGTCATCAGAGATAAGATCTCCACCTTCGCTGATAAGGAACCGTTATCGTGCCACTGCCACGGCAGCTGCATATCATCATAGCTCGGATCAACCCAAGTTGGTCTGGTTCAAGTTATCGCACGTCAATGGATTCCTCACGAAAGCATGCAGGCACACAGCGGCAGCCACCACCATCCCTATTCCAAAGGCCTCCGTCTCGTAATGCTTCCAATCTATCTCTCGCAGTTCCTCCAGCCTCAACACTTGCTACGCCAAACAGCCAACAGCCATCACTGCAGCGCGACTCAACCACCAATAGTAATGAAAGCACCCGCAGCTATTCTCCATTTGCCACACGCCGCGCATCCAAGAATGATGTCGACGGATCAGACGCCATATGGCAAGAGATGCAGAGCGCATTGTCTGAGGTGGAGCTGAGCGCCATGACGATCGAGCATGTCTTCGGCGAGAAACATTCACAGGCCTTGGAAGATCTACGCATGAAGCAGTTGAAGCTAGCCCAAGCCTGGGCGCGCAGTGAGGCTGAAGACGAAGTAGTTGATTCCAGCCGAAACACCGCAGATGACGATGGGACTCTACGGCGGGCAGACGCTGAAACTATCCCCGACAATACCTCAACTGACAAAAATCCCCTCCGGGATCGGATCTCGCCCGGTAAACTGGATGAGGAAACTGCGAAGGATATCGAGCTAGCGCGGAAACGGCGCCTGGCGAATGACCGTTATTTCGAACGAGTCAACCAGGGCGTGTTGGATGTGGTTGAGAAGCTGCAGGAAGTATCACAAGCTATGCGGACTGTGGAGCGAGAAAGTAAGGATATCTGGAGTGACTCGGAAAGTGTGACAACGGAGGCTCCTTCCTCGGCTGCTGAACTATAACTTGGTCTTATCCATATCCAGGCTGCATTGGGCTATTACGGAGCATGATATACCACATGCTCGGGATGAAGCGCTGGTCGCTCTCGACCCCAATCATAAATGACCTTTTTCATAATGTTAATCAATATAATATTGGAAAGAAAGCACCGCGATTCAATAAATAACCGAGGGTATCCCTAACTCCGCTGCTGTCAATGCAAAACCGAACGTAATGGTACAGGAGAAAAGACAATAGGTAACACGCGTCTATGGATGCATCACCTAGATGCTTAGTCCTTCTTAACATAACTTTTTACCGCACCCCAAGAGCCCGCAGCACTGTCTCGGAAATCTTCCCATCGGCTATTGTAGGCCTTGCGAACCAGCTTTTCGACCTCCTGGTTCCATCTGTGTTTCAAAATTTCTTTCATTTCAGGGGCTCGCCTTTTGTTTGCAGTTTGTTCCTCGAGACGGCGGGTCAAGTCCTGCGGTTCATTGCGACGGTCGTATGCCCCGGCGGAGGATGCAAGCCAATTGATCTGGTCGACTTGTTCACGGATCGCACGGCGCTGTTCAAGCCGAGTGGTGCGGTGGACTTGGATTGTAATGTAAAGAACCGAAGTTGTAAGGGCGAAGCCGCTGAACTAAATTCGACGTTATTGTCTTATTTTCCTCGGCCCGGCGCAGTCAACTTACAAACCCAGGGAAGAAGCCCATGGCAATTTGCACAAAGTGCAGCTGATGAAACAGCCGGTAGTAAAAAGGAAGGAGGGTTCTTTTTATTTATCTTTAAAATGCTAAGGATGTTGAGGGCGTGCTGATCTGGACGCGCAAGAGTTGAAGTCGGCGAAGGCGGTGGCAGTGCTCCGATTGGCCGCGGCTGCAACTCGAATCTTTTGCGAACTCAGTCCCTTTCAAAGCCACGGGCGAATCCTCTAACCCAACACAACGCCCTCCCTCGATAAGCTACGACCAATTGAGGCTTACCGGGCAATCTGATTCTGCTTCTTCCCTGCTTCTTCCCTGACACGCCCTCATCACTGTCGCTAACATGGCTGGCGGCAAAATCTACCGGCACCTGGGCCGCAAATCCTCGCATCGCAAGGCCCTGCTACGCAACTTAGTCACGTCGCTGATTGAGAATGAATCGATCACAACAACCTGGGCGAAGGCGAAGGAGGCACAACGGCTGGCAGATACCCTGATTACCCTGGGCAAGAAGAATACAGAGGCCAGCCGACGGAAAGCACTGTCGATCTTCTACGTACGTTACCCTGGAAATTCAGGACATGCGAAGCAGAGCTACCGTAGTTCGCGTTTGGCCCGATAATCTACACGGAAAAGTTTTGTGCTATTACTGATGCACACTTCTACAGAAACCCCATGAAATGCTCCCAAGCTATTCGGACCCCTCCGCGAGCGCTACGCTGAGCGACAAGGAGGCTATACTCGCGTGCTCCGCGTGGAGCCGAAGCAAAAATACGAATACTACACAGTAGCCAAGGGCGAAAAGAATGCCAAGCGAGAACGCAAGCCGGATGACCAAGCTCCGAGCGCAATCCTGGAACTCGTCGACGGACCCAAGGACACGCGGTTCGCCATGGTGGCGCGGACTGTTGCACGCCAGCGGGAGCTAGGAAAGCCGGAATTGAACAGCTTGACTGCATTGAACGTGCGCAAAGTGACCGCTTTCCGAAAAGGATGGCATTGATGCTTTAGAGCAGGCGATTTCGCAGTTGCAGCTTCGAAAGGGTAAGCCCGCGAATACAGAGAAGGGCGAGGCCAAGATCCCTTCAACGGTTGAGAACACGAAGAAGCTATAGGATGAGGCACAATCACGTTGGGCTTTACTGTAGGCCCTGCTGGTGGAACTTATGAAGCTGTGGAAAGCCCATGGTTTTTGGCCTTGGAACACACAATTCTTTTCTTGCTTGTTTTATAGGAGTTATCTGCTGCTTCTAGCATATCCTCTTCATCTGTGACATAGCCTGTATAGTATCAAACATCTTGATTTATTTGTCCGATCTGCGTTCTGGCTTAACCTAACACAATACGAGGCCCTACCAATTGTAGTATCTGCCAGGGTATAGGTAAATGCCACTACCACAAACCATATAAGGTAGTGATTTGAAGTCCAGGTTTCCTTAACATATTGTGCACATCTGCTAGTAGTGCACACTGCCTCATTCCTCCAACCCGAATTTCTCTGAAGGTCCATGGTATGCTCGATCCGGTGTAAGTTGGTATTTTCCAAGTGCTCTACCTTGGAGCTTCATGGTCTTAGCAAAAATCCCCGTGGCTGTAAGTGCAAATTGTGGACTCTCATTCGGTACCACTTGGCGCTCTATGAAAATCGTTAGCCTGTCTATCCGAAACACTTCAACTTATGATCCCGAGAGGTACGAGCTTCTCCTATCCCGCAATACCTTTTTAAATCTGCTCAGTGTCTCAGTTCATTATAAAAACGACACCCTCTATGTCGGGGTCAAGATTAACTGGATATCAGCTTCGGATACTTGATTACAACATAGATGCTTCTTGCGAATGTATATCCTAGCACTCGCCCCTAGGTAAGAGTGTCGACGGCTGGGCCCAGCCTGTCTTCACCATCAGAATGATACTTCAGAACGACTAGCGAGAATTCACATGGCAAGGAGGGAATTGACTGATGTCATATTCATGCTTTCTAGGTATTCTATTTACAAGAGCTTGTTAACTGGCCCAGATCGTGCGAGCCTCCGCTTGGACGGAATTTGGATGGGCGTCTTTAAGAGCAGACTGATGGCTCGGCGTTGGACTTGTATAGGAACCCATCATTCAAGGCCATTAGAATAAAGTGTACAGAGTCTCACATTCAAGTTCGATGTCAAATGTTCTGGAGGCAATGCCACTGTATAGATCCCCTGATGATAGCACCGAGATATGGAACTTTGATGCACTAGAGGCGGAGGGGTTTCTTTGTCAGGTCAAAGAACCACCGAGCTCATACTTACATGCTACTAGCATCTGGCCACAGGAGATCTGCTCCTGGTATATCATCGTGAGCTATGACTGTAAGTGTCACGGTAAAAGAGCCACAGACATACAGGCAGCTTTCATGAGGATTCGCGGCCTCGAAGCCAATAAGGTCTTTGATTCTACTACGAGTAGTAGTACCACTCAAGCTTTCTACATATAGTGTGACGTTTTCTATTTGTTAGAATTCAGTCTTGTAATTTATGGTATCTTCACTGAAGCTAAATGACCCTCCAATCAAACCAACACTAATTCCACCGTAGGCTCTTCCTCTCCTTTTATAGTGTTAGCGGAACCTTCGATACCTTTCCAGTATATGCCTGCTTAGGGTTAAATTGAATGAAAATGTATCCTTACCCATCAGGCTCGCAAAAAGCTGACCATTCATAACAGTCAGAAGGCCACCTGAAGACGGAAATAAACGTTAGCATCTTCCTCAATCTCTTGGAACCAGGAGTTGCATAACATCACCACCTACCGGAAAACCTCAACTTGCCAGGGTCGTTTTCGTCAGTCTTCACAGGCAGAAGACGTTCAGGATCTCTAGACCACACAACCTTCTTAGGCAACAAGCTCCGGTCTTCAACAAGATTCCGGCCTAAATAGAGCCCTTCACATTCAAGATGGTTGCTGGAAGCGTTGTAGGTGAAGATAGCCCTTTCAGGGCTGGCAATAAGGGACGCCTGGACAGGGTTATTGTCCTCAAGGATGGGCTTGGTGATCGGTGCCCCTTTGACGAGGATGTAGAAAGGATCACCTTCGACAACGCCCATGTTCGGCAAAGCAAGTATTCGGGCTGGGAATCTGGAGAGCGAGGACAGTGAAAGATATAAATAACGTGGTCCACCACCGAGCTACGCACACCGCCGAGCTACGCACCCCCCACCCGAATTAAGAGAAAACCCTCAAATTTAATATTATTAACCACGCAAAAATTTATTCTATTGCCCATTAGGGCATCTATTACACATATGCCCAACTACTCCACATATTGAACAGGTCGGAGGCCTCCGTTTAGTAGGCTGTGGAGGCAAATTTTGCTCCGAATTCGAGGCCTCTCCAGCCTCTTCCGCTGCCTTTAATCTCGCTTCTAGCAACGTCAAGGCCTCTGCACCAGTTATCCCTTCATTCCATGGTATTTGGACCTTTGATTTACCACGTTTCAAAGTTTGGCGCTGGTTCTCAGTGATATAGATCTTATAATTATGTTGAATAATAGTAACTTGATCCATGTGAATCTCTCCGCTTTTAGCTATTTGATCAACTTGACGTATTAATTCCTCCGGAGATCGCGATCGGAAATGTTGTCTTATTAACCGTTTAATAGAGGCAACTTGACGTTTTAATTGACATTTATTTACAGGTATTTTAGGCGAAAATTCACTTAATGAACTTGAGTTTGGAGGAGATGGTGTGCGAAGTCGGATATCGAGTTTTGATATAACTCGATCTAGATCAAAGGGAATTAAACCAGTAGCAGTAAACGAATTCACGATTGTCTCGTATTTGAAGGTTTTTGAATATGCTTCTGGATAGATTTGGAGAAAATCGAGTTTATCGACATGGCTAACTCGACGTCGAGTAAGATCTTGGATAAGTGTTCCATATGTCTTTTTTAGCACACTAAAACAGCCTACATCAAGAGGCTGTAATAAATGTGATGAATGTAGAGGCATGTAAAGTGGAATAATATTATTTTCCTTGCAGATCTTGTCGAATTGAGGAGATAAATGGCTGCTGTGACCGTCGAGTATCAAAAGTCGATATTTTCCGATAGTTCGACTTGTCGTAGCTGGAATAAAGATTTTTTGGAGCCAACGAACTCCAATTTCATCAGTAGTCCAACCATTAGCACTTATTTCAAGAAGCCAGTCAGGTTTGAGATAATCAAACCAACCTTGAATGAAAACTTTCCCTTTCATAATAATGCAAGATAGAAGTGCCTATCCAGCGGCGGATATTGTCTCAATTGCAGTAACCCATTCACGATTTCCAGGCTGTAAAACTTTCTTTTTTCCATAATATCCAGCTCAAGTAACAACCTTACTAGTTGCTGCAATCCCGATCGCAAAACCTGTTTCATTAAAGTTGTAGATATCTTGGTTGGTAATACCATAATCATGAATCACACGATTAACCAAGTCAAACCACTCTTTGATAATCTTAGGATCCTTGTTTTAAGCCCTTTGATAATCATATCGTCGAGATATAGCAACTCGGAGTTCAGGATGTCGTTTAATAAATTTTGAAACCCAATTTATCCCAACTATTGGAATAGTAGTGGTTCCACGATTTGCAAGCAATAAATTTACCATCTCGCGAATTTGAGACTGTCGAGGAGAGGCTCCACGGAGATCTAGGTCGAAAATCCATTGTTTTAATGACTCCTCTTCTAGAGAGGTTAATTTAGAACAATTTGGACGTGTTTCACTGCGAGGTTTGATTCCACGGAGTCGACTCCGGATCGTAGCCTCCGAGACCTCATAAACACGAGCAGCTTCGCGTATAGAGGCAATATTTTTGTTCCGAATAGCTTCAACAGCGAGAGCGAGTTTACCCTCTAAATTTGGTTGAATTTGAGCGTGTTTTGGAGGCATGATGGATGGTTGAAGGTAGAAAAAACGCGACGCGTCGGAGGTTCGGGTGGGGGGTGCGTAGCTCGGCGGTGTGCGTAGCTCGGTGGTGGACCACGTTACCCCCTGCAGATCCTGACTAAACAAAATTACAAGGCGGGCCTTTGCAGATCTCAGTTGTCAGTGGATCATCTACTTTGTGTCAGTGGTTATGTCGTAGAAGCTCCCATTTGGTGCCAAAGAACCCTGCATAACAAACATCCAATTGAACTCGATACATTACTAACACTGTGTTGCATTCTCGCCCAAACTCGATTTGGCTCTACGCGCGGTCGGTATACACCAGTCAGGTCGGTCCTGATGACCTTGTGTTATTGCCGGCCTTATTCCATCTTCCAATGAGAGGTTCTGGATTATTTCCTAGCTCGAGCGGTATACCCGTCTGGCCAAAAATATGAAATATATAGAGGCGATCAACGGTCTATTTGCTGGTTTCTCGACGCCACCGAACACGCTCCAGAAGTACCTCCACAGATTCCTCATTTTTCATAGAACGCAGAGGGAGGTTGGGGGGCGTTGCGGGTAGATCAGTTGAGAGGATCTACAGGGAACCCTGGCTGATCAACGGCCATTTGAACAACTGATTCGGTCTTTTCCTGCCCAAGTTCACGCGGCTCGTTAAGCGCCTCGAGCAGGCTGACCATGATGGAGGTAGCACCATGGCCATCAGTAATGATATGGCCAAATCCCAAATGAACATCAGGGTTGACAAAAAATAGCTGACACGGTGAAATAGAATCGCTTGTGAGCCACAGCCCGTGGTCCTCTTCAATGATAGAACCCCTGTACAGCCGGGCGACGTTGACAAACTTCACATGGTTCGCCAAGTTGTGTGTGATTTGCTGAAAAGCCTCGTATGGTATGCCCTTGGCGAGGAGAGCGTCAGGCCGGAGTAGTCTCCGTAGTTGCGGTTGGAGCCACTGTTGGTGCTGCCATCTTGTGCTTCTAAGTTCTACTGGAGGAATACATTCAAGCTTACAGTGTTTTGGATTCATTTCTAGGTCGTCACCTTATTATTAGATTCGCCTACAGGGCTGCATAGCCTACACTATGAAACGTTTCTCTCGTCGGGAATACGTAGATTCAACTACTCCCATGCGCCTAGCGCACGATGCACTTCACTATCTGTATAAGCCGGTGTTGCCAACATGGTATCGTCAAGACCTCTCACAACCCAACCCCAGAAAGCCTCCTTGATGAATTGAAGCAGACAAGTGCAAAATCCCAGTGAACCTTGTTCCACTCCATGTTGGCTTTTAATTCGGCTTGTGCGCATTCACTCCCCTGATACCACAAGCGGGCCATTGTTGGAAGTGGCGATGGGACTCCCACTGAATTGCGCAGTTGTTGGCATTGGAAGAGTGCCGGCTCGGTGTTTGAGGTCGTAGTCGGATGGAACTTCAGATGGAGGAGGTTTAGGAGGAAGGTGGGATGGTGTGCCCCATTTTGCAAGGGAGTTTGTGTTTGTGTTGGTGTTGGTCGGGGGACGGCCTTGACTACCGGCCGACAGAGGATCCATGCTCCTGTTGTGACTTTGGTCTGGATATCCGGCAGACCATTGAGCCTGGTGGGGCGGCATGCCTCCGTATGTTGACATGGGAAGCTGGGGACCCTTATTCGGATGGCGAGGAGGCGGAGGCGCACCCGGGACAAAGGAACGTGTTTGGGGATTGAAATGGGACCTCGGTCCCCCTGACATCATCTGATGAGAATGAGCTTGGTAACCTGGGTTCATATGTTGGCCAGGGTATTGTGCGTATGAGTAACCCGTCATGTTCGGTGTCATGGACTGAGGCGGATAACTGGGCCAATGCACGGGCGGCTGATTACGCTGAGGCATAGGCTGTGGGTAATTGCTGGCGTAAGACTGCTGATTCCAGCTAGCAGCCTGCTGATACGGCCCTTGCTGTGGGATAGCATAGTTGGTCATGGCTGGCGATGATTTGGTAGAGGACTGCTGGCTCATACCAGGCTGATTCATCGAAGCATAGCCGGAGTATGGGGATTGCTGCGGCATGGAACCAGTCTGCCAAGACGGATTGGAGGTCATCTGGGTAGACATATTCAATGGGTAGGGCTGCACATTGCTAACACCCATGTTCCCCTGATACATGCCGCCGGTTTGTACCTGGGGGATAAAGCTGTTTGTAGGCGGCGAGACACCAGGACCAACCAGATATGGAACTTGGCCAGCGTATGTCCCATCGCCTACGTTTCCATTGTATGGCATGGGACCATTGTAACCACTCGCTCCTGGAAGATAGTAAGCGTTGAATTGAGATCGCCCTTCAAAACCATCGTCCTGGACCCTTTGGCGGTTGCTGCTGTTGTTGTTCTTCTTGCGCCCGCTAGTAGAGCTGGAACGTGACATATTATGAACTGACTCGCCACTAGCTGAGTCTGGCTTTGGATTGTCGGGGAAATCGCGGAAAATTCGTTCGCGAACTTCGTTATACTTAGCCTCTCGAGCTTCTCTGCTCAAAAGAGATCTATCTTTAGCAGGTGTTCCTATGGAGGACCCTGGTTGATCTCCATCTGTACCGGCTTCGCCATTTTCCGAGGGGGCCTTAGAAGCAGCAGATGAACTGGCCCCTACACTTCCATCCATGGAAGGCCGGTCTCCATCCGTTCTGCGCATAATCTTCTTCGGGAGGGTAACCGGCGGCGGAGTTGTATTGACCACGGCATGTACCGCGGACAAAGCGGTAGGTCTACTCTGATCAGCAACCCGCAGGGCCCCCAGGGACCAAAAGAATAGAGAACTTACAGTCGACAGAAAGGCGTACGGTGAAGCCTCACCGACGTTACATTGTTGTCCACAAAGTGCGTCAAATGGTAGTAGTCTCCCAACTTATGTGCGAGAAGGCGCCCAAACGCATTTGATGGAGGTAATTCCAAGGATTGTTCACTGGGATCTGGTCAACCATACTATACGGGTGAAAGAAAGGAGGCTATTCCACATACCTGGAATCGCTGATGAAATAGCGGATCTTTTCCTCCAGCTGGAGAATCAGAAGCCTGTCTTTGGGGGATTTCATCGCTTCTACGAGCTTCTCGTCGGGGTCAAGAGGAAATCCATGCGGGGTTGTGCCATCTGGCAACCCATCCGGGATGGCTGGGATCACAAAATTGTTAGAAACCGAATCAGGGGGAATATTGACAGTTCCGCGTTGGTTGGAACTGCTAAAAAATGGCCCAGAAACTGGGAGCACGCCACGGGATCGCTGGGCATTACCATCACGAGGGTCTCGGAATCCTCGGCCACCGGCCTCGGAGCCTGTCACCGAGTTAGGTGCGCCAGATGCCGGGCCAGACAAAGACTCTTCTTCATCAATAGCTTGGACACTAGCACTGTCATCCGGTCGAACGGAATTGTTTTCATCCATTGCGAAAGTTGTCACAGAGGCTAAGCTCTTAGAGTCAAAATTAGTCATTTTCGTGGAAGAGTTGGAAAGATGGGTGTGATCATCGTCGAAGAAGTGATCTCGTTTGAGCATGTTGCCGTCCTGGCCGTCCAGGGAAGATCCCGAGCCTTCATGGTCCTTTTGCGGGGTAAGCTCAAGCTCTTGCACTCTTGCTTGTAGGCCTTCCACCAGAGAATCGTCAGTGGAACCCTCTCTGGTGGCCGTATTTTGGACGGGCTGCGAGCCAGACGCAGGAACACTACTATCAAACGGTTTAGGTACGGCAGGTACGGGAGCATTGTCACTGTTGCCACTTGTATCGGGGATTGAAGACAGTTCAGGTTTTGAAGACGAGGGCATGGCAGCAATCTGAACGATGAATTTAACACCATTGGCTTCCCACAAATTAAATGCAGGGATAACTTACTTTTGCAAACGAAATCTGGCTATCTCCTTGTGACGTACCGGCCGAAGCCATGGTGCAGTATACCCGGCGGGATCGATGTCGAAATTTGGTGGAAGACGTCCACGAAGCAAACAAAAAACGTAGGCCGAGCTGGTCTCAATGAGCAGAAGGCTTGAGACAACTCGAAACCTTTGATTGAATAGGCAAAATATGACTGGAGAATCCCGGTTCACGCAAGCTCAAAATGAAAGACATTTCTCAGGTAAAAGGCCGCTGCCATCAGGGAGTGCTGGAGATAATAAGCATTAGCGACAACCATTTGTAAACGCAGGCGTATCTTCACGATCGGACAAGACCACGTAGCGGGAAAGTGGCATAGTGGCATGGTGGGTCTTACACAATGTCAGAGCTGGTTCATGGTCAAAACGATCAGAACCTTCGCAAGTGTGAATATTGAGACAGAGTGGACTGTCGAAGAATTACCAGAGGGTATTCAAAGGATTTGGCAGACAGATTCGGATCCCAGGCGTACAACCCGAAAGAGGAGGAGCAGAGCACAGGGAGCACTAGGGTCAGATCTTTCGAATCTTCACGCCTGACGATTCTCTGGTGGGCAGTTGAATTGCCGTGTCCCACCGCCTCCTCCGCGGTTTTTGAGATCGAATATCGGCACGGCGTGTATACGCGACTTGTGCAGAACACTCTACTTTGAATCAGTTTGACCCTACTAGTACCTGTTCCTCAGATATCCCCTGCTTTCCACGCTACTTATGAATCGCTATCGCAACGCGCCGACCCTTCGGGGCCCGACCAAGGCCTCCGCGACCACCCAATGCCAAAAATGCTTAAAACGAGATATGTCGTCCTTGATGCCAGGCTTCCCTGAGTAGTTTCTGGGCTTGGAGCTAACTTGCATGCACGACACTACAGCTATGAATGTAAGGCGTCTGCTCAAGAGCGGCCATACATGTCCCGACCCTCACGCACCCAGCAGCTACAGAATCCACGACTTGTACCCAAGCTTTCAGAAGAGACCCCAAACCCTCTACTTGAATCGTAAGTGCTCCGCGTCTTTTCACAGAGCGCCAGTTCTAGATTTGGTCTTGGCCGTTCGCAAGCTCACCAAGGAAACTAGCGCTGGTATTGCAGATTCAATCTTAGCCAAGCGCGACGAAGAGCGTGGCCGCAAAACTGATCTGGATGGGTCATTCAAGCGGGGAAGGTCCATCTCATCGCATTCAGATAATTCGGTCTCAACGATATCCACAAACCGTTCTCCATCAGCATCCCCAGATAGGCGTGGAAGACGTCACGGCAGCCGTTCTGTATCACCACGTGCATCGAAGTCCCGGAAGCGCAGATACAGCGACTCAGCCGACAGCTACTCAGGCTCATCATATGCCTCAGAGGACAGACAACGCTCGAGATCAAGGACAGACGAAAGAAACATCCGACGTCGCCGTCGAGAGAATAGTCCCGATGAGCGAGGGAGGCACATGACTTCGGAAAGACATGGCACTCGGAGTCGGCGCAGTCATAGCATAGATCAGAGCCGTATTGCCAAAGGAAGGCGGTCCCTGACCCCTGATGCCAAGTATCATGATTCAGAGCGACGCGCCTACAGAGCCCGAGACAGCCCGTCACGCACGCAACAAGCACGAAGCAAACCGGCACCAAGAGGCCGCCCTGAGCCACGAGAACGGAGCATGAGTCCATACAGCAAGCGCCTCGCATTGACACAATCGGTCGGTCGCTAGGAGAGTGTCGAGCGTATGGAATGGGTTCGTTTGTCTTATTATTCCTGGTGGCACTATTCTCGCCATATTTTGTTCCATGAGTTTAATGGATCTTTATGTATTACTACCATATCTTTAGAGCCCTGTATCTTGATACCATGAAATTCCTCAATTGAATTCATCCTTCGCGATATTGTTAGTGTCTGTACATGCAGCTTTATACTGCTACATTGCCGACCGCTATTGCATCCCATATAGTGAAACGGATATACTGTTTCAAATCCTAGTCACATGGTATGCTAATCCCAAAGATATGGATATTTCGTAATGAAAAAAGAAATGGTTCAGTTTGCATGGCAATAACGATAGCAGTATACTCATGTACCGACCGAGACATGCCCAAAAGTAGCCGCGACTAAGGTGGCCCAAAAATAGCCACCCTACCCACTATGACATCCTCCGCTCATACTCCTCCCAACCTAGCAGTAATAAACGGCTAGTCGTCTTCAAAGATGGTAAGAAACATGTACTCCTGGCAGCGTCAGATAGTTGCTTGAATGATTCACAGCAAGGCCTTATGTGCTGACAGCACGAGTCAAATTACTATACTTACCAACTTATTCGCCGGGTTTCAACTCTACCGAGGAATTCTTTGCCGAACTAAAGGCATACATAAGAGACCTTGGGCAGCATATGAAGAGAATCTCGACCAAGAGTTTCATACCTTCCTTCGGCAGTGCAAATATGTTGTTGGTGCAAAACAGGATAGTACAGGATAGTGCCGAAGGCCATTCCCGAGTTTCAGGTATACCAGTAGAGAAGATACGATGGGCTTTCGCACTAAATATACATATTTCACCAGTTGTTAAGATTGCGGTAGACTTTATGACGGCGTGGCATGCGAGGGCCATGGGCAGGTGACGATAAGGGAACGGCATTCGCTGCCTCTCAGACAAAATTCCAGCAGGTCTCCGTAGAGGTGGGTTCTTTCCTTTCTTTTCCTCATGCCCAGTCGCTTCATCGAATGCTATTACGTTGGTTGACTACCTTTCTCTTCGTACCTAGGCGTAACACCAGCTCGGGTTTTTCGTGTTGTAGCTGTCCATTTAGTAATACTTTGTATTGGGTGGAAGACCCTGTCTCTTGTCGTCGTTCTGATGGTCGTTTTCTGTTAGTTACTGTTATGATGTTCAAGTGAAACTAGACCAACCAGAAGCTTTCCAAACTCATGACGAGTTCGGTTTCATAATCACAATATGCCTTCTCGCAAGGGCCCATGCTGCTGAAAGTTGTCGCAATATCAAAATCAACCCACACAATCCTTGTACCAGATACAACAAGCATATTCTTCGAGTAAATATCATGGTGATGAACGAAGGCGCCATGGACCTGTTTTATGCCCTCATTTGCATAGGGAAAGAGGTCTTCGGAATAATCTTCGCAGTTGAGTCTTTCAGCACATGGCAAATATTCGAGCAGGATGGCTCTAGGTTGGTATTTATCGTCGGCGAATTCCTGAAGCAGTGGGTGGAAAGCAGACGGATCAACTCGATCGACGTGGCCGTAAAAGGCGGGTACAAAGCCTCGGTCGCATACGCCAGATTCAAGGAGATTGTGGTAGGCGTTCAGCTCGCAGCGAAAACGATTCAAATCTCGGCCTTTTTTGGTGTAACCAGGGTCGCCGTTGTCGTGAAACTAGCAGGTCAGCGACATCCTCGATCACAATACTTATACTCACAAGCTTCATGACACATGGCTCCCCACGAAGTCGGATTTCATAAACTGTTGAAGCTTTTGAGCGACTGAGCTCACGTTTAATATCAATATCCGAGATATTCAGCTCTAAAGTGCAAGCAATTTGCGAACCCATGATCGCTCCTTGAGCTACATTGAGCGTGGCACGACTGAAGGGATGTTGTTAGAGAACCAACGAAGTGGCGAGGCGGAAATGCTTGCCTACAAGAATTATCTAGCTAAGCGAATTTTGCCTTAGCTAGTAGTTGTTGTGTTACTGCAATGTCCCATCTTTACTAGTCTGTCGAGCTTCCAAACTAGCAGTGGCTCAGTGAAAAGATTGCCAAGAGGACCATGTATCAAATACTTCCAGTTGAAGAAGGTGCTATTTTGAAATCTGATTGTTCACATAAAATAGTGCTTTCCGTATATCCCAATGTGTGACAGCCTCGAACGCCATACTTTTACATCCATTGGCACTTAAGGAGAAAGGACGAAACCGCCCCGGGAACTAAGAGACCCAAAAAGACCAGGAAATTCAGCACAAAAGGAAAAGTAAAAAAAGCCACGGCACATATAGTCAATCCTGTCATGCTTCCAGAAGGGTATCATTTCAAATTTCATCCTCGTCCCGATCTTGCTCTTCTTTCTCCCGGGCATGGATGCCCTCCACAAGCGCCTGGCCTTCAATACCCACTTCCTCGCCTTGCTCACCATTTGAGCTAGCCCCCCCGTTCCTTCGCCGCACGTTGAGCACCCTCTATCCGCTGGCGGACAAGCCGGGCAATAGCGTTCTCAGTCCTCACGTTGAGTATCTTTAGCTTTTCGTCCAGATCCCGTCGCAAGTCCCAGTTGGGCTTCTTAGGTTGGAGTTTGAATAGATCGACTGGTTGGTCTGCATCTGCGTCCTTTTTTGCTTGTTCCTTGAGAGCCTGCGCAATCTCAGCTGCCTGCGCCTCCACGGTCACTTTTCCTTCATGTGGGCCTTGCTCGAATCCCAATTCAGGCCCACGGGTCTCGACGTCGTAGTTTCGGCCGGAAAGAAATTTCGCAGTTTCCTCGGAGGGCTCAGTAGACCCTTTGTCGTCGGTGCCGGCATCTTGGTTGTCCGATTCTGGTTGCTTGCGCTTCAGCGCGGCGAGTTTGGCGAGGCGGGCTTTGCGGTCTGCGGATGCCGCATCCAGCGAGGCATTGTTCGACGACATTTTGGGGGGGGTTGATGGAGGAAGAATATGAGGACCTCGCCCAGGTAGTAGAAGTAAAGTAGAGTGAGGACGAGAAGCCTTGCAAGCTTCAAAAGTCCCCGCGCTGCCGTCGAACAAAAACTGGAAGTGATGATGTTGAACCGCTAATGCGGTGCGCCACAACACCAGCCACGGCAAAATCGGGCGGACGCGATTTCAAGTCCTTTGAAGTCCGCAATACCGCGCGCGTTGGCCAACCCTGAGATTCTCTCCTAGCTTTTCAGCTCCCTCACTCTGTTTCCGATGAGCACGGCCGCGAAGCCTTGAATGTCGCAGTGTCTGCACAACTTTGTCCAGGCCCGGCTCAGGGGCCTGTCGTTGACTTCTCACAGCCCCGGCCGCTGGGTACGGAACTCGGGCGCACACAGAGCACAATGCTTTTCGACGCAGCTCCCGCGAGCTAATGAGGCAGAAGAAAACGACCTGGAAGCGGCGATGAGAACTCTCCTCGAAGTTACAGTGCCACCTGATTCAGCGCTATACGGGGTTGTGGGAAGGCGACAACGAAAGAATGCAGCGCTTCTTCAGCCGTCTCAGTACTGGCCGGCTCCTCGTCGAAATAATCTGCGAAGAAAGACGGTTAGCAGCAAGGTCTCCTCTGTGAAGGATCCCAGTCAAGCGGTATCCAAGAATTCGCTTCGGAATGCGTTGTACCATAATGGTGCTAATCCTAAGCTCGCTCATAAGATACACCCGGTCCTTGTCTCTGATCTGGGAGAAGATGCTCGCAAATCCAAACTTATCCAAGCAGAAGCTTTGCGACGTGCCCGGTCGCTTTATCCGCGACAACTCGGCATGAGGCAGTGGAAGATTGCATACAAGGAACTCTACAAAGCGAAGCACTATCGGCGAGAACCCCAAAGGGCCTTAATCCCGGCATTGAATGGGGAGAGCAAAAGATTGCTTGCTAAGCTCCAGTCGGATGATGTTGAGTCGTTTGAGGATGCTTGGCTCCAGATGAACCGACATGCCAGAGCCTCTGTTTGGCAAAGGCTAGCATTGTGGCTATTAGAGAATGACCCAGTATTGCTCTTGTCATTCTTGCTCATGACTGCGCACGGGGCCGATCGGCCAGACTTTCAGCTTGTGGGTGACTGTATGCTCTATGTGGACAGATTCTTCTATTCACCTTGGATGAAGTATGATGAGGTCGATCTCGAGACCTATCAGGAAGTCGTCGAAACTTGCCTGGATCCAGATACATGGCCTGTAATATGTCCGCCACATAGGCCTTTGTCGCTATATGTGCGGAAAGCCAGGCCGGATTCCGTCAAGTCGGCCTTTCAGACTTCGCAAGCCAAGGGGATCGAGTTGTCTGGACCAACCGCCTTGTCCTTCGCATGGCGGCTCCAAGAACTTGGGGATACGGACATGGCGATCGAAGCCATCGCATGTCTTCGTAGACTCGATAACCCTAGGTTTGCTATGGACGCCGACGGCGTCTTGCGACATTGCTGCAAAATTTTGACCCATGACACTATCGAAGATGGCCCCGAGGGACGAAACTTCAAGCTCCTGCCACGATTATTGGAGATCGGCGTGAAACCAAACCGAGACATGATGAATATTGTGCTTGCGAATGCGGCTAAAATCAGTGACTCTCAGTTATTGAATGATATTTTGAAGTTCATGATTGATCACGACCACAGACTCGACTCACACACATACCTGGTTCTTCTTCAAGATGCCATCGCCCGAGAAGACCGAGGCGGTGTTGACATCTTAGTGCGTGAAATTGGGACAGTGGACCATTTGGACACCAATCCCTATCTCGCCAGCAAGATCTTCCATTCGCATTACCTCTTCACCGTCAAAGATATGGACGTGGAGGCTGATAGATCAAGCATTCTACACTCGACCCTTGACATGTATAGCCGCCTTTACGATCTCACACCCCTCCGGGATCTACTCATCGTCCCTCCGTCCTACCAGCCTTCCTTTCAAGGTAGAGAGAAGCCATCAACAGTTGTCCTCTTCATCGCTTTGGCTACTTATCTACGTTGCAACCCTGATGTCTCCAAGATGCAACAAATCTACGCCAGATACCAAGAACTTATCAACCAAGGAGATCCAATCATTTGCTCTATGGCCGAAACCGACCATGCATATAACGCATTCCTGAGCGCGATGCGCCACAATCGCCGCGCATTACGAACATGCGTGCAGATCGTCGAGGATATGCTCCATCCCGTGGTAGAAAAAGATCGCAATGGCAGAACCATCGACCACGTGAAGCCAAGTACACGCACCTGGACTCTTTTGCTCAGTGCTTTCATCTACAACCGCCAAATAGCTGGCGCGGAGAAGATTCGAGACATGATGTTGAAGCATGATGTTGAATTCAGCCAAGTGACCTGGAACACTATTGTCAACGGTTACGCGAATGCACAGGACATGCCTCAAACTGCAGCCGCTATCAAGGATATGGAGCAAGCTGGATTCGCCATCGATTCTTATACCATGAAGCCGTTGCGCTATTTGCGCGACCCCGAAGCGTTGTGGGCTGCTATCGATGCATTGGATCGCCAGTACAGTACGGCGAACCTTGCTCCCGAACCGGAGCTCACCCCCGAGGAGGAAAAGGAAATTCGTGAGTCCCTGGTTGACCGTGCTTTAAGTAAACTTGCCGCGAAGGCGAAGTCGAAGTCAAGAACAAAGTCAAAGGAAGGGGCTTGAGACTTGACATCCTGTTGTCCCCCTTTCCATCAAACCATGTACCATCCAGCATATGCATAAATAGGAGTGATGAAAGCATCGATATTGCCAAAGCTTGCATTTGGCTATGTACTTATACATACAATCATAATGGAATGGCTACGCGCTGAAAAATAATTTATCGCTCTGAACTTGCATAACGGGAGACTCCGACCTGAAACACCGCCGGCATTACTTTGATTGCCCCCATTTGATTTTCTCTTCTGTTTGCTTATTTGCCCTGTCTCGCATGCAAAAAAACACGGCATTATTCCATAGGCCCAAGACTTAGCCACCGATGAAGAGCTGGACCTACATGTCGGACACGTATTAGCACCGATTTCCATCGATAACTCTCAGAGGGTACGTACAGCCATCACGATACAGCATATGCTTACATATGGACTGAGTCGTTCTCCTATCCGGGCACATTTCCAGAAAATCCCGAAGACCCTGCGAATATCAAGATTAGTTCACTTCATCCACGCCATCGAACTCAGCCGAGGTCCCTTACCCGCTCCGGTTCCGGTCCATAATCCCAGGAAAGTGCGAGTGCGCGTAAGTGCTGGTGCAGATGATTAAGAGAATCACCAGAAGAAGCGATTGAAAATTGAAAAGGGCCGTCTGCGCGATAACCATCGTTAGCGGGCTAGTTTGCGGGGAGTGGCCAGGAAGTCAACAAAAGCTTCAACAAGCCGAGCTCAACCTCCAGACCATCTATTCTTCCACCTCTCATCAAACTCACCATTATTGCTGGTCAGTCGACAACCCCCTCCCTGAATCCAGAAAAACAAGTTGATCCGTCATGAACTTGCCAGCGTCACCGCTTGTCCCTCCAGCCGCATTCTGCCTGCCATGTCCGCCAACAGCACGGACCAGCGGCGCGTCCACTGGTCTACTCCGGCTGCTCGTCCGTGGGCCACTTCTAAATCCCCATCAGCGACGCCCGAGAGACAACCATCGCCAGCTCGGGGTCCAGCAACAAGTCAATATTCTCCAACTACAGCCCCAGGCAGAGCGGGAGTGAAGTCCAAGCGCCCCTCCGCCTCCCCGGACCTTTCCCTTCTGAACCTGGGCTACCAACCGGCCTGGGACCCCCGAACGACCGCAAGAGCGACGACCCCAGAATCCAGCCCGCGAATCCCCAGCCAGCAGCGCTTATTCGGCATGGCCGAACCCCGAGCTCGCGCCGCCCGGCAGAAGGGCCAAATGAACTTTTCTTCCGAGCGTACGCAGCCTTTTCCCCCGGTACACCTGCACGTAATCCCGGACATCGCGATACTAACATAACGACATCTAGTCCGTCTGCTTCTGTCAGCCTACGGTGACCCCAGCCCCGCAGCACCATACCCGCTCGAACCGCTCCCCGAAACCGTCCGGGTCCTGGACGAAATCGTCACAGACTTCATCCTGGAGCTGTGCCACGGTGCCGCACAGGTCGCACACCATGCGCGCCGGCAGAAGATCAAGGTGGATGACTTCCGGTTTGCGCTGCGGCGGGACTCAAGTAAACTGGGGCGAGTGCAGGAGCTGTTGCGGATGGAGCGGGAACTGAAGGAGGCGCGGAGGGCGTTTGACTCCAACGATGATAAGATTGCGAAGGATGCGGCGTCCAAAAAGGCTGCTGAAGGGAAGGAAGACGGGGATGGGGTGCTGGATGCGGCAACTTCGGCGACGGGGAAGAAGAGTAAAGGGAAGGGGAAGAGGGCTGCTGCGGCGCGAAGAGGGTCTGATGCTACAGAGGGGTCTGTCTCGAAGAAAAGGAAGACGCAGTGAGCAGGCTCGTTACCTGGATCATGGGCTGTGTTTGTTTATGAGGCTTTGCGGCGTTGAGAGGTTCTATTTTTAGCCGCTTTCATGCGTGCGTTCTGCATCGTGGAGTTCGGGATTCCATACTTCAAAAATACCCATGGATACATTTGAGAATGAACTGATTTTTATTGGTTTTGATTGCCATTTTGTGCTTTTGCTCGGGGTGGCCAGTGTCAGGCATGATTAGATAGTAGCTAAGCCCGAGGGCTAGCAGTAAGCTTCCGAATTTCTCGAACTAGCATGGTAGAATCTCGTACGTTCACGGCACTGATGTTATTCCGTCGTATCGTACTAAAAATTGTCCTCAACGACTCAAACGACTCAAACGATACATATAGTAATAAGACGACGGCCAATGGCGTGATGAGGTATGTCATCGCCAAAATCTTGATGTATGAATTTGTTCTTAAATATTGGTAAAAGGGATAATTTTACGGTAGATGGACCATGGGAGCAAATCAATACCTCTCCGTTACTATGCTAGAATTCTCTGCAGCGAAGGTACCAGAACCGATTCAGATGAGCTTGAGAGGACGATGCTTCCCGATGGGTTCAATTTAGGTCACCTGCTGCAGGGGGTTTCTCGCTTTCCCTGTATTTGTGTAGCAGGAACGCGGGTCATTCACGGATATTTGGGACAGTTGAATCCAGCCTTGATAGAGAATAGCGACGGTTTGACTAGGATTTTTGGGTCTTGGGATACTTCGTCCTATAGATGACAGAACGCCTTGCTCCAAATCAAATACTAGCGGCAATTGCATATCTGGAGGCGAGATGCGAAGAGTGTTTTTTCGGGTGCTTTGACAGTATCCGCCTGCTAATTACTGTACCAAGGAGCGACAATAGACAACCCCAAAAGCAGAGAGAACTAGGATAGCTCTGTGAATACCACACCCCTTCTCCAACCTACGCTATAAGTTTACAGATCACTAGCATTGGCAGGAGGATCCTTGCTAGCTTTGCAGTCTCTGATCAACCGTGTAATTGTTTATATTGGTTCGATTTTCTTTGTCTGATCGATATGTAGTTAGGGCTCGTGACACTGGCAAAACCAAGGGCGGGAAGCGGTGGAAATCACATGCCCCCCTTTTTTCGCCCAGAAATTTCAAGTTTGGCTCCGCCTACGCGCCCAAGCCCCTGCCAAGCCACTGGCTGCTTTTTGGAGGTGCCGAGTGGGATCAAGGGGAATTGATTACGAGATCGGAACTCCAGTACCCGTGGAGACTGGCAAAATCTCGAATTTGAACGGTGGAAGAAGTTCGACATGGATTTTTGTAGACGTTGCAGATCTTCGATCTGTGGAATGCGGAACAGAATGCTGGGGGATCGTCATACTTTAAAGATCCAGCCTCGGGGACTTCTTGAAGATCACATCTTCAGGTCCATCGTTACGTGGGCCGTATTCTCTGAGCTCTGTGCCATGGTGCGATACTGTTCTCGCAAAATATCACTATTTACTTCATAATTCTCGATCTCGAAATACAACAACTCAATCCAAGATCGTATCCGAAGGGCCCGGGGGAAATGTTGATGAATTATGTAAAAGCACCGCTCGATCATGGCATGACGACCTGGGGAAAAAAAGAAGTAGGTCCGGTTACTTAAAATATGCTGGTATCTGACTAAATTGGTTTTATGTATATAAATGGACCATATATAGGCCGGAACTTTGTGAGATGTCACGCTATAACATTTGCATAAGAGGGCAGGGGTAGAACTTTGAAACAGTAGACGAGTGGAGATCGTGGACTTGTGTATAGATCCGTGAACGCTATTCTGGAACACTATACGGCCAATAGTGCTTGAATATCGTGAGACAACCCTTCTCCGTTCGTTGCCGCCTACTGCCCAGCCACAGGAGGACACAGCGGATTGAGGAAATCGAACTATTGCAGTGGGGCAACACTGCTAACAGTGGAGCCCGTGACAGACCGGAAACGCCACTCCCCACAGCGCAGTGTCTATTGCGGTCCAATGATGGTCCATCCTAATTTCCAGCGCTTGGGAGCTCCTTGGGAGCTTCTTGGCTGTCCTTGGCTGTCCTTGGCCGTGAAAGGCCTTCAAAGGGCTTGGCCTGCACATAGGGGAGACCCGTGGCACCAGGCTGTAACCTTCAATCTTGAACATTTCGTTCTTCTCATTCTCCTCTTCTACCATGCTATAGCCCTGCTGTCGACATTGGTTTCTTCAGCTGGTTGCGTGAGACGGCCCCCACCAACCTTATTCTACTCTATTTCCCGCGTTTGTACTTGCAGTCAAAGCGGCGAGCAAGCCTTCAGCCCCTCGATTCCTCCTTTCCCTGATATTAGACATGCGGGCTGATAGGGTGCATTCATTATGCGCTATTCTATTCTCCAGTCTTTCCTTTGTGCATCCAGCCCTGGGAATTGATCTCACTATTGACGATGAACGTAAGAACTGCCGATCTGCTGCTTGCGCAATATAACGGGGCCATATAACGCTAAGCTAACACGATCATTTCCAAAGAATCGGTAAAAGATGCCTCTTCCGAAGCCATCTGGGGCGCCATGACATTTTATCATGGCAACGAATCCGGCCAAATCCCGGGCGCCCTCCCTGAAAAATGGTGGGAGGGCTCAGCCCTCCTCCTCGCAGCCTTGAACTACTGGCACTTCACCGGCGACGACACATACAACGAAGATGTAAGCGTGGGACTACAATGGCAAGGCGGTGACCACGGAGACTACATGCCTTCGAACTACAGCAGTTACCTTGGAAATGACGACCAGATGTTCTGGGGCCTGTCCGCGCTGACGGCCGCCGAGTACGGTTTCCCGGATCGAAAGGAGGGGTTCTCGTGGCTTTCACTTGCGCAGGGAACCTTCAATACTATGAAGGCTAGATGGGACAACGAGTCGTGTGGTGGTGGTATGCGCTGGCAGTTGTTCGTGTACCAGGGCTCAGGGTATACATTGAAGAATGCGATCTCGAACGGCGGGTTCTTCCAGCTTGCGGCGCGGCTCGCGATGTACACGCAGAAGAGCGAGTATGCGGATTGGGCGAGGAAGACGTGGGAGTGGTGTCTAACCACGCCGATGATCAACAATAAAACATGGACGATCAACGACTCGACACAGGGATCTAACAATTGTGCCGATACAGACCATATGCAGTGGTCGTATAATTACGGCGTTTTCCTCGCGGGTGCTGCGTACATGTATACTTTTGTAAGTGCCAGCAAGCCTCCGATCACGACCTGTGACCCCAAATAGTATACTTACCCAAAAAAGACAAACGATTCGTACTGGCTGGAAGTAGTCCACGGCATCCTCGGCTCGATATTCAAGATCTTCTTCCCAAAAGGCATCATGTACGATCCTGACTGCGAAATCGCCCAAAACTGCAACAACAACGAAGTCCTTTTCAAAGGCGAAGTCGTCACCTGGATGGCCTTAACGGCTCTTATGATCCCGGATCTCTACGACGAAATCATGCCGAAACTGAAGAACTCCGCCGTCGGCGCCGCCGCTTCCTGCAGCGGCTTGGGGAACAACAGCTGCGGAGTGCGCTGGTACCAGTCGAAGTTTGACGGGCACCACTCGATGGAGGCGGAAATCAGCTCGAGCTGTGTGTTGAGCGTGAATATGCTGCCGTTCGTGGACCGCGACAAGAAGAAACCTTTGAATATTCACAAGGGAGGTAATTCCAAGTCGGACCCGAATGCTGGCAATTTGAAGGATAACGATGATGCCGCCGCTGCTGCCTTGTCCCCTATTACCACGGGCGATAAGGCTGGAGCAGCGATCTTGACAGTGGCTTTTATCGGTGGCTGGCTCGGTTTGGCGGCTTTCATGTTCATTGGAGCATAGCGCTTGTATGGATTGGCATTCTATTGTATATACTTCCAAGTACAAATTTTACTACTTATTCATGACTTGATAGTATCATGGCTGTCCATCGATTCACTCCAGCACAGAATTGGCGAACCCCGAAGTTGGCCGTGTACTTACCCAATGAAGCACTCTTGCACTTTCGAAATGCATCCCATGTTTCCCATTTTCTCCATTCTAATATTTGATTCAGCCAATAATAACATCACATCCAAGCTGAAAAGAAAACTTCATTGCTCAACTGGATCACCGCTGAAGGAACCAAGTTAGGACTTTCTGATACCTGTAAAAGATCCATCTCGAGCGATCCTTATACGCGCTAGACAAGCTGTTCGATCCCTGGTCTCATGTTTAGTAGACAATAATAGATAGCTAGATTCTCTTAAAAAAAAATAGGACAATTCCATATATCTGAATCTACAATTCGTAACGAAATATACTACCCTCGAGCCCTGCATCGTGCATGCGTTCTCCCCGACTCATGCTGTAATACGAAGTAATCGTTCCGCATTGCGGAATGCAAATTTCTCCAAGTCCTCCTCACTAAGCAAGCCGCTCTCTTTGATTTTGCCAACGAACTCCAGTCCGGTCTCATTAGACGAGAATGGATAGTCCACACTGTACAGTACGTGATCGATAGACGTGGTCTGCAGAAGACAAGCCAGCGGAGGCAAGGAGAACATTCCGCTTGTGGTAACCCAAACATTCTCTCGCCAAATGTCCTGCAAGCCTCGCTTTCTTCCCCATCTCCGAGACATTTTGATCACTCGATCAAGCTGGAACGGAAGCATCTCACCCATGTGGCCGATGACAATCTTCAGCCTCGGAAAACGGTCGAAAAGACCACTTGCATAGAGCTTCAAGAAGCATAACGCGGTGTCAGAGTGCCATCCCCATCCAAACGCGCTCAGAGTGACAGCAATGGAGTCGTCGAAATTGCCGCGGTAATGCTCTAATTGGGTCTCGCTGGCCCAAGCAGGATGGATATAAAGAGGGACATCCAGCTCTTCGGCTTTCCCGAACACGGGCCAGAACATCTCGTTGTCATAGAATTGACCGTTCTGATGATTGTCAATCAGCGCGCCGACAAATCCCAGGCTTCGGACGCATCGCTCGAGCTCATGCGCTGCAGCAGTGGGATCGCGCATGGGGATCATGGCAAAGCCTGCGAGTCGAGATGGATATTTTGCAATGGCGGTCGCGAGGCCATTGTTTGCTGCGACGCAGAGTTCTGGCGATCGGTCCCCGGGGCCATGGGAAATGACCTGGACCGATACCCTGCCATTATCCATATCCTGTATCCGCTCCGCTCCGAGGGTATCGAGCTTTCTTACGAGGTCCTGTGGGAAGTCGAACATCTCGCTCCCCGCCTTAGCCGCCCGCACTGCGGGGGACATATAATGTTCTTCAAGCGTGATAAACATGGCGAGTTGTAGTAGCGAAGACCGAGGTCTTTGGTGTGATTGCCCTCGAATTATTGAACGTTCATATATGATTCACATCTCCGGGCATTAAGTGGACCAAGACTAGTATGTAAAGAGTTTAGCGGCTCCGCAAACATCGAGTTTCACGGCAGTAAGGCGCCTACTAGCCGAGGTGGCAGTAATCAAGTCCGATCTATATGCGGATCAATCATCACCACCAGTTTGGTCAAAGAAAATTAGCATCTCTTCGAGAACAGTGGATCGTTCTTCGGTTGGTTTCAGAAAATAGAAGCGACATCTCAAGGTTATCAGTTTCGTCGATAATTTCGAATATAGTATTCGATGTAGGGCCACTTTACATATTGCGCCAAATGGCCATGTAGAGAAGAATTACGGCAGGAATATTTGGCGGCAGCAATTTGATTGTTCTAATCTAGCGCTACACCAATAAGTTAAAGCCCCAAAGTAACAAGTAGTGACATAGACCTATGGAGGTTCTTTCCCATATTCCCCGCTAATATAAAGCTTTATATTGCATTGAAGATGGACCAGCAAAACTGGAAATCTGATAAGTCAATCGTTATTGAGCCCTTTAGATCATTTATGGGGCCACAGAGGGCTCACGCTAACATTCTCAATTCAATATCATTTTGCCTACTAGCTGTCCTGAAACTTCTATCACGCATCCACGACATCGTCGTAGGCCATACTTTCAAGGTACTGGGCAACTCTGCGGCGCTGGTCGTTTTTGAATTCCATTTCCATAGTTGAAATCCATACCTGCTGAGAGTTGAAATTTTGTTCTAACCGTTCGACACGCAATATAGCCAGCAAGCTCCCAATCAATGATGCCCAGCGAGCCTGTCGAGGTCTCGACAAGAAGATTTGTAGGGTCAAGATCGCAATGATAGAAGACAAGGGTGGAGACATTCAGACATCTCTGTACATCGGAAGTTGCCGTAGAGAAAGGGTATCAGCCGTCTTGCTGGATCAGGATGATTCAATAGGTCATGCGAATCAGCATAACATTTGTGATAAATGAATAAAATGACATGCTCCGTATCGCCCGTCGAAGCCAAGGACCTGGAATTCCTAGTGCGAAAAGTCGAATTTCCTGCTATCAAGATCATCTTCTCTATCGCTTAATGTTTTCGTTTAGTTCAAGTTAATGCATGAAATTTCAGGGCAAAGGATAGGGAGGAATCCAGGAAGATGTCATAAGTTCTTGAGTGAAGTGGAAATTGAATTTTTTTGGTAGCAAGCCATCCTTGGTATACAACACGATCTGCAAAATACTTCAGCTTAACCCCGCACGTGTTCACAGATTCCGCTTTGCTAGCAAGGCCGAGTTGGCAACCCACCAACGAAAGGTATAGAACGTAAATATCATAGGCCTATGAGTTCGACTGAAGTATGCTATATTATTGTTCTTCCTACTCCACCCCAATAACAACCTTTTTTAGGACTACATGGCCACTCTGTTTCCTTATGTTTGATTCGACGTCCAATCAGCCACCCAGCATGCAATACAATTCGATTGCTGTCTTGGATATCTGGGCGGATATCTTCGTGCTGTCAAGCCATATCTGATGTCGGAATCCCCGTCTTTCAAACCAGGAAAACAAAGCTTCTAAGGCAATACACTTACTGATCATTTGTTTGCCTGAACAGTCGGGCGCTTGGGCACCGGGGCACCGGGGCAGCCAAGGGGTCCCTTATATAATATGGCTTGGGGCAGCCTTAACTATCGCCGGTTGCCGCAAATACACTCACTGCCTTGCTGATAATAATCAAGTATTGGAATCTAAGCCTCCGAGTTTTTCTCTTTGATTAAAGCCAGGTTTCGTGCTCATTTGGAGAATTTATAGCCAGGCTTCCCCATCTATTTGAATAACACATTCTGAACCTCACTGAATCACTAGGCCTAGACTACTGCTTGAATATGGCATTCTACATATCGACCCTCATAACAGGGGCAACTCTCGCCTTCCAGATCTTCGTCGCCGCTACCGACAGCTTCTGCGGCCTGTCAGGTCAGGACTCTGTTGTGCGAGCAATCCTCGCACCGCTCGACTCCGCGGCCGGATTGCTTTTGGTCTTAGCACTCCTTCACTATTTTGAGTTTATACACAGTGGCTTCTTCTTCTATCTCCCGCGCTGGACCCTGCTTCATACTCCAGAAACCATGCAAGCGGTTCCAAGTCTCGAGTTCCCTATCCGCTCAGACTGGAGGCAGATTGAGAAGCCAACGAGAATAGCGCAGATAAGGTGGCGGAGGACTCATAACGAGGTTTGTAAGACGGCTTCGGAGTAAACGAGGTCCCTGCTGATTTTGAGAGGCTTAGGATCCCACCGACTATGGCGTTATCCCTAATACGAGCCTATTTATCGTTCCGTACATGAGGGCTTGGGTTTCCCCACAAGCCTTTACTGCGAACCTGCTACAGCATGAGGTCGTGATGAGTAGGGCTATCGCAGGCGAAGCAGCAGCTCGATCATTCGCCCGGTTTTTGACCGTCACAACATGGAGCTCGATCGTGTTTGTCATACATATCATTATTCTCCGCTTTTACGTCGACATTTGGAAAATTCACCTCGTTCTTATTTTTGCGGGCCTTGGACGCTTTTTACTCACAATTTTCCAGGCTTCAAGCATTTTCACATACTCGTGCCATTACAAGGGCGTCTGCACCTGGGCTTCACCGCCAACATTCCGCTCAAATCAGTTCCAAGCCTGGAAATGGGACCAGGCGAGACAGGATGCGTTCGCTAGATTAGTCCGCACAGGTCTCTACCGCTGGGACTATCCCACCATAATATTCCATCGCCTAGTCGAGCTCCTATGGAGCCCTTTGATCTCCTACATTATACCATACCATCTCCCCAGCGCTCCGATGTACTCAATGTTCCGCAGCCCGCCACAAGATGAGTTTGCGACCGGCGGCCGTCTTGAAGTTACAATCTCCGAGCGGACATCCAGCTCCGTCTTAGACTTGTTTAACATTAGATTCGTTAATGTGCCGGAGGTCATTACACTCTTCCTTCAGGGCCCAATGGTTCCCTCTCATGACGAGAAGATCTTGTTTGGCGGTTTTACTGCTTTGTTTGCTCTCGTGGGGATCGTAGAGCCCGTGGTTGTTGGGGTAATGGAGGCGAGTGTTGTTCCAAAATCCTTGTATCTGTTGGAGCAGGCTGTCGTTGCACTATTTCGTTATTATGACTTTTGTGGCAGTTCAATCAATACCGAGATTGGACCTAGTGTGCTGGTTCCAGCTGATGTTGAGGTTGGGATTCCGGGACCCAGTACTAATCTCCAAGCATCAGGACAGACCATAGATGGAGAGGACGAGCAGGACCTTGGTGTCCGTGAGGTAGGATAATTAACGGGCCAATAGGCAATAGGCATCTAAATACTGAGTTTGCCTGGCTGTTTGTTTGTTTTATCCCGTGCGAGACTACAGGACATGCGGACTTTTTTCTCTTTTTCTCCAGATACTTGATGAATATTGCGGTGATTGAACCTCTTGGCAAGAACAGCGTAGAGATACATGGGGTATTAGCTTCTATTGAAGTCAACAATTAATACAAAGAATATTCGTGCATCTTCTAATAGTTTCATACCACCACTCCCTCCTCGGCTTCCTTTAGAAGACTATTTCCGCCGGCTGCGAGTCCGAACTAAACTGGAACTCGAGCTGCCAGAGTCCCTGTAACGCAATTACAAGTAACTTAAACTTACTAGTACTAGTAGTTAGTGGGTTTCAAGATCACCGATGCTATTTCTCGGTGAACGTATGTCTTTTATAACATACTGTACGTCAAAGAGACGTGAATTATTAACAGAATAGCACAGTTCCTAAGATCCCTTGATCCTCTGTGCTGGACATCAAGGGATTCAAATTCGATTTTCACAGCTTTGATACTAGGAACTGAATCCAAGGGTCCTGATGTACTTTGAAGCCCTTAAAACGAGGTATAACTCCGAAGAGAGCTTGATATCAAACAGTTCGAGTTTAGGAATAATAGCGTGTTTACTGACAAATATGAAACATCATGTAGACCCACAATCCCAAGTAAAGTTGGTTAAACCAATATCCCAAATAGGTATCTCATATCGGATGCGGCTAGCTTGAGCTTCATGTTTCAGCAGGCTGCTATCGTCCGGTTCGTTACGACCAGCAGTATATCTAGGCAGGTTTGACAATTTGCAAAATACCCCGGCATGTCGATCATCGCCACCCATCAGGTATGCGAGCAGCTTATTTTCCTCCAGTCGAACCAATAAGTCTCAGACTTCGGGGATGGAGATTCCCCGCAGTCGCTCTGCATGATTCGGCCCCCGCTTGCCAACTAGCTCCAACCGCAGCGCCCCATACCCTCCGACGACAAATGAGGAAACTGGGAGACGTTCTCAAACACACGTAGTCTCTGACAGTTACATCGCATTGAGTAAGCCCTTGTTTTTTATTGGCCACTCCGGCCTCGATCTGCAGGGTCTCCAAGCTAGGGCGTCGCAAATAAACTCAGTTGGGTGCGCAGTTCCGACGCACGCTCTGTTTCTATTGGTCTCTTCAAGATGCTTCTAGGGTGAGCTGAGGATTTTGAGTATTTAATAGGCTCTCTGGATTCTTCAGCACGATACCTGTCATTTGTTTCTCAAGCTTCTTATCGCAACCAAGCGGCAATGGCTTTCAAATACTTCATCCCAGCATTTCTCGCGCTCTTCGTAAGCCAGACTGCCGCCCAGACAGTCGTTGGCTCCAAGTATAACAACCCAACCGCTGGACCCCCGGCTAGCTTCTTTGCAGCGACATCGACGATCCCTGTCGCTGCACTGCAGACGGCTGCGGCTAAAGCGACGAAGGCCGCCAAATCCGCAACATATGCGATCAATAACGATGGCGGCGCTGCTAAAGTGACCATTCATAGTGACTGGTCCGGCTTTAGCTCTGTAAGGAAACTAGCTTGATTTCCATGATCTTGGATGGCTGATAAGAGTCGAGGGCGCGGCTTTTGTTTTCGTCGCCGATATGGATGTAGATTGTGATGGCATTGACTATAAGTGCCAGGCAAGTCTTCCAACCCAAAAGAGAATCCATGAGCCCGTATATCCTCTAAATATGAAACTAAAATATAGGGAAACCAAGACGGTCAATCCCAGACCAACTTCGGCGCTCTCGCAGCTTATGAAGTCCCCTGGATCGTGCTTCCTGATCAATTCGCATCGGCGTACTCGAGCGTGATCCCAGGCAATAATATTGCGGCAGTCATTTGGTAGGCTCTTTACAATTCCATGCCAGAAAGGCCTTTACTAAGAACAAATATAGCAACGGCAAGATGTTTTATGGGATCTACGGTGACTCCAACGGTGATACGCCAGAGGTCATAGGCGAGGCATCCTGGCTGATGGCTCGCACTTGCTTCCCGGGCGATAATCTAAATGGAAATGCCGGTCATGGTGCTGTTGATGTCACTTGTAAGTTTGCCTAAGCGCTCCGATTTACTCTGTTCCTATCCACACGTGTACTGAACCCATTAGATATTGTGTTCACTGGAAGCTCCGCTGTTTTACCGAGCAGCGCCGTGAGTACGAACTACATCACCGACTTCACCACTCTACGTTCCAAGGGCGATTCACTCGTTAACTCTCTTGTCAAAAACCTGGGTCTATCTGGCGGCGGGAGTGGAGGGGGATCCTGTTCTTGGGCTGGACACTGTGCTGGTAAGCTTCCGATTCAACCTTCCAAGGTTTTAAGCTGCTTGTTAACACAGTATGCTAGGGGCGACCTGTACGACCGAGAATGATTGCTCGGATGATTTGGTCTGTGTAAACGGAAAGTGCGCATCTGGCTGAGTCGACTGCATGGTAGTGAAACGCTCAATATCTTCGTGCTATCAACTATACGAAGATCCTGGTACAGCGGAATCAAAGCAGGGGAATCGTTCATGTCTCTTCGTATTCGCTAGTTTCACGTTGTATGCTCATGCATGGAATTTGAAAGAGTAAAATGAAAAGAAAAGCCATGTGGTTATGGTGGATTCTATTGTTGTTTTTAAGATTCACGAAAATCGTAATGTCGATTCAAGGGCTTGTTCGTGGCTACTGCCAAACCCCCATACATGCATCCAATAGCCCTCCGCTAACCAATTTTCGAGATGCATATGGAAAGGTCGATTGCACATTCGGCGGTAATTCCATGGTTAGTCAGTGGCGAAAGCTGCCTACGACGCTTTTAATAACTTCTTAGACACGTTACAAGATAACAACAGCCTAGAAATATGCTTTTCGGCTTGCGGCTTTAAGTATTTATCACGAATGCCTTGACATCGAGGCTGCCTTCAAGAGCAATAATCCTTTTCCTCTGTGAATCCATCAAAGTACCCATTCTCAACAAACCCTAAGTAATTCCAGTAATCCTGCTTAAGCCCTTGTCCAGCAACAGAAGCATTATTTCGATACTTAGCCGTCCAATACGAGCTTCCCCCGTGTAAACTGCGCAAAAGCTGAGATCCCAGCCTGAACATTCTTCTTTCTCAGGGCAAGCGAATTGCCTCCTCCGGCTTCAATCGCTTCAATCGCCCACTCGTCCACAAAAGTAGGAAACTTGCCATCGCCCGCGCTCTCCCTCGCATCAGCACAAATAATTCTCAGCAAATTGACCGATGTCGAATTCGTATACGGATAGTAATAATAATGCAGGTCAAAAACAATATTCTGACCCGCCTCATTGACGGGCTCGATAGTGTATGCTTGCGGGTGGCCAGAGCTCTACACAAACTCGATCACCGCGTCTACGACCTGCAGCGACCATTCCAGCGCCGGCTGGTTATACCACCAGCCCCAATGCCCGACCGCTTGGCCTATCCCGAGACCGTTTATGCCGCCGGGCAGCGAATGAATATCGACGATGATGTGCATATTATATTTCTCGATCGCGTAGTTCGCAATGCGGCGCAGGTGCGCTTGTTGATGCCCGGAGTATAGCCGCGAGCCCGGGAGGTCGATCCAGGCGGCGTAGGTCGTCGGGATTCGCGGAATAGACACCTTTGCTGCCGCCAGTTCGTCGATGTCTGCCTCACGGATAAAGGTCGAGTATCGGTCCTCCATGACGGCAGGCCATTCGGGGCCGAGGTTTTCGCAGAGGCCCCATTCGTCGGTCGCGTTGTCGGCGTATCTGGCGAACCATGTTGTGTCGATGGAGGATTCTTGCTCCAGCCAGCCACCGAGGTTGACGCCGTGGCCTCGAAACGTCCGCCAGTTTATGTATGTGGCCAAGGAGGAGACGGCTGCTGCCAGTCCTTCGACGCCTAGGGCTAAGGCTGTTAAGAGAGTAGACAGACGCATGGTCGGCTATGGAAAACTATTCAGGCTGGGCGAAGCCTGATCCTTCTTTCTACCATGTGGCTAAGGACTTTTGGCAGGGAAGGTCTCCAAAGTTTGGCATCGTAGTCCCCACTGTGGAAAGCATGTCTTGGATACCCCTGGTGCACTACATTCGGTCAAAATGATGCCTGATGTTTTGAACAGAATGGAGTAGAGAAGACCCAGCGGAGTTGGACAAGGCTGTGTGAACGAGCAACCGGTCGTGGTCTTTCTCTTCGTCTCCGCTGATCTCCTCGGACTTTCCACATCGTTAGGGTGGGAATCTGACCACGAGAATGCGGGATCGGGGTCCCTGGAGCAGTCGGAAAGTCCGCTAAAGTCATCATTCTCCATGGTCCAGGCCGTTACAGAAATTCAGTACTGTGCATGAGGCTTCTAGGGTAAGTAACCTGTGCCTGGGCCATGGGGCACGTTCCTGCAGGATATGCATATGTCTCAAAAAAGAGGCTGAGAGGAGATCTGCACCCAATTCCCTGCACCAGCCGCTTCCCCCATAGAATCCTAGCCAGCTTGCTCGCATCAAACGGCCCCACGATGCGACATTCCACCTTGACTGGAGCTTGAAATGGGCTTCAAAACCGGGCTAAGCATTTAAAATGCGTGGAGAAAGGATGGAGGACCCATCTATTGGTGGAGCCAGAACAGCGCTACGGGGTAAGGATGAGCCAAAAGGACCACCCTCAGCCTACGACGCGCCTGCACGCTAGCAGAAACCTTGTTCGCCGAGCCCGCAAGTTAAGAAAGCTCGGAGTTGGATTAGCTAGATGCCTCCATCTTCGAAATGATACCAGGGACTTCCTCTGGGTGGACAGCCAAAGCGAGGCCAGCCGCGGCTCGGCTGGGGCCAAGCTCAAGCAATTTTTCATCAAGAAGCGGCTGGTCGAATCTTGGAAAGCGCAGCCCAAATATACTCCGTAGACGCTGCCTACATGGCCGACATGTTATTTTTACTGAGTTCTGGCCCCCTGAACTCTGGTCAAATTTTTGAGGTGGAGGACATTCCATTTCCTCTTTCCCTGTTTATCGTATTTGACTTGAGGTTTTAGGTTGATACTATCAGCATGAACGACCCACACAAGCTTGGCATTTGCTCCCGACCGATTGCTTGGCTTGTTGAAGATAGATCTTGCTCGTCGGTCAGGAATTGCCCAATGCCTGGGCGTGGTCGCTCGGGGATCATTCATCAGCGAGGAGATACACCCACGTGGGATCCATTTCATGATTATACAATGTATGTCGGGGTCTGGGGACCGAGGTAAGAGATAACGATAGAGGTATAGGGTGGCTATCTGAGAATAGGCAAGACAACAAGACATGCGCTTGGGGAGGGCGGTTAGGAAAGGAATTACTATATCCCTAGACTTGAAGTTCCCGCTTCAAAGGGACACAATAAAAGCTGAGCCATATAACTACATATATATGACTCAAGGTCCTGGGGAACTACTAATAAATGGCATAACCTGTATCCTTGATTCCTTCCGCACTGCGATCAAGGACGACACGGACGTACCTGGAAGATATCGGGAGAACTGCCAATTTGATTACATAATATGCTAGTTTGTCCCAGCACGTTAAGAACCGCTGCGGAGATCAAGCCAAAGAGCAGCGTAGGGATCTGAAATGGAAGGACCTCGGAGGGCGTCACGCCTCGTGTTGCTTATCGCATTTATTTTAACCATTAATATGTGAGACATTAGCCCGAACCAACATCCCATAGATAAGGACTCAACTTTACGAAGTCTAAAACCTTGCCAAGGAGATTGATTAGTCCAGAAGCTGGAGTTGAGGGCAGATCTTAAAATTGGTCAAAACAACGGCTCGTTTGCCATGTTGATCCTGAGACAAAAGTACGCCGGGGGCGCCTGGCACAGTCGACGCTGCTCCACTCTGGGTATGATTCGTCACATTATCCCGATCGCTGGAATTCAAACACAGTGTGTCCAATGTGTGCCCCGGATAGGACCCACCAGACGTCGGGCTAAAAATGAGTGTTGTCATAGACTTGCGCACTTTCGTTGATTTTTTGATAGGCGCAACGGTGCTCGTATAAAGCAAGGGTAGATTACGAGCCTCGTACTCCGGGTATACGGTATACCTGGATATATTTGGACCAGTGTGGCACCAGGCATATGTCGGATAATTTAGCCCCCTTTCCAAGGTTGGCCGAGGGAAAAAGGGTGGTTGCAGATACTTCAGCATGTTTCCGAGCGGCAAAATGGAGCCAGCCAAGACAGCTTTTCTGATGTGTCCTGGTTTGTTCAGCTTTGTTTCCCATGAAAGGGACCTCTCCTTTCAGACTAGCTCGATCTTATTGTCTGGAACGTTTCGACGGAGTTCCATGTGATTCTCAGCACTTTGCCCCCGGGCGCAAACGAGGCTGTGTGCTGACAGGGTCCTGGTGCAGGCTAAGACGAGGCGTCGACACCCGATACTTATCACAGCAGTCATTTGCTGCCCCGTCACCCCCAAAAGTCCCTCGCGGTAGCGAAACACCTGTCCCAAACAGGCATGGTGGAATACCTCCCAAGGATCGCGATCGCGGAGGCCCAGACCACACCTTATCCGTGGCGGGTTCTGGGAGAGTTTGATGGCCTGTAGCTGCAGGAGCCGCACGGTTCCGATGACCCTGAACTATTAATACTAAGGGGTTGGGGCAATAGATCAACAAATAGAGGATTCCAGAAGTCGGTGTGCTGGGAGCTGGTAGAACTCCGTAGAGGTAGCCCTGGAGCTGGGGGGGTATTGCATTTCTAATATACTGTGCTCCGAAGACGGAACCCCCCCGTTTCCCCCTGGTCTGGCAACTGTAGTTGATACAGCAGATGTGTCAATGCATGACGTGTCGCTGAATTTCCACGTCAGAAAGAGGTATTGCACTTGCTGCTTGGACTTGGTCCTTCTGGCTGATCTAGTGGAGTCTTCCACGCTCATCCCCTGTTGCCCCCCCCCCATTCACTGCCATTCCCATCTTCCCAATCTTGCCCCCTAAACTTCTTTCCCATTCCCCCATCCACCCCTTTCTTCCTCCCCGAGAGTCTTCCTTTTCTTCCTTCTCCCTTCCCCGAACGTGTTTTCCTTTTTCTTTTCTTGGTTCCTTCTGGGATCTTTTTTTCTCTTTTCCCACCCCATCCCCACCCCCTTTAATAATAGAAACACTTGCTGTACTTTGGGTTCTCCCGCCCAACTTTACCCAACTTGACACGGTCGCGCGACCACCCCTTTCCCCGTCGTTGACGTCCACTCCTTCTGACCGCCTTGTTTGCCCACTCCAGTATCGTTAAAAAGACAAAAAAAAAAGTTACTTGAATGGGCCTCGTGAATTGATTGCTCTTTGTTTATCTTCTCTCTCTTCGCATGGCATGTTTCGCTTGCTACCCTGGCCCTCTGCGATAGGAGGGGACAAGGTAATGACGAAGGAGGTCAAAATGCTCGCTGGCGTCAACAGCCTGTCGCTGCCCAACCTGAAGCGCAAGCGCTCAGATGAAGAGTCTGACGCGCCTCCCGCAGTCAAGCCGCGCACTGAAGACACCGCGCTGCCTTCGCCTTCAAGTCCTACCGCTCCTTTGCATCTCCCCATCGCGTCTGACCTGTCGGACCCGGTCGCATCTACGAACCCGCCCGCGCAGGCCGCCGGTCCTACCGTAGATGTGAATCAACTGCGTGACACCATCACCGCCCAGCTGAGCCTGGAAGTGCTCCTCAAGCATAACGAGCTACGTCTGATCGACCAGGAGATCGCCAAATGCCAAGTCGCCCTGGAACAACTTCGACGATGCGCGGAAATCCCCTACCCGGGCTCTCATGTCGCGGGCATCTCCGCCGATGTGAGTGCTGGGACGGGCGCATCGGTGCTGAAGCCTGGAAATGGCCCGCCACCGGTATCGCCTGCGCCCTGGGGTGTCACGGAGGGTCCGTACTCGCGTCACTACGCACGCTGGTTGCTTCCTGATCCCCGTTTCGACGGCGGTGAGATTGAGCCAGGCCTTGCTGCCGCTGCCGCTGGCATGCAGACAGAGGGTCGCTCAACCCGTGGGAATCCGATGGACTTCAGTGCTCTGGCCGGGAAAACGCGGACTGGCCGTGGCTCTGTTAGTGGCAAGTTCCAAGCGCTGCCTAGCGGATATCCTCCGGTCAAGGAAAAGGCTGGGCCGATGATCATTCGACGGAAAGCGGACAATGTTTGGGTGAAGCTTGTTTGCCTAGACTGTCATCGTGACAACTTCTCCAGCACCCAGGGCTTCATCAACCATTGCCGTATTGCCCACAACCGTAACTTTGCTAGTCACGATGCGGCGGCTCAGGCTTGTGGTGTACCGGCTGAGACTGATGAGTCTGGTGCCCTTGTTGGCGGTCGAACTGAGGCTGCGCCTGCTGTCACTCCTACAGCTACTCCCACTGTCTCCACTCCTACCGTCCCCGGCTATGTGCATCCTTTGATTCGCGCGGTACCTCCTGTGTCTTCTCCTGCGTCGGTTACTCCCAAGAAAGATTTCAAGATGAACCCTCCGGCCGGACCCGTGGCCACTCCACCGGCAACCGTGCAGCGGATACCAGAGCCGCGCCGTCAGTCGGCCCCTGTCACTGCCAACCCTTCATTCACGGCCTCACCTGCGACTCCTCATCTGTCGGCCCTGATGCGGGAACGCGGACTGGGACTCAACATGGACAAGCTCGTGGAAGAGGCGAAAACTCCAGTAGACCTTAACGGTCTTTCAGATGGTGAATCTGATTCAGAGGAGCCACAGCTTCCTGTATCAAAGCCGGGTGCCGCCTCTCAGCCTATGCGGATTCCTACCGCCCAGGCTGCATCCGAACGAACGGAGAGCCGCAAGGGTCCCGAGAGGGCGTTCGCTCATCTTCAATCAGAGAACGCGACTCCATCTAGGCCGCAATCATTCTTGCGTGACCTCTCTGCTCTAGCCGCGAAAAGCCAACCTTCCCACGATAGTCTCGATCACTCGGCCAACCTCAGTCCTCATACAATCGAGTCCAACCAAGCGCCTAGCCTGGTCAGCGATGATGAAGATGACTATGAAGCCGCTTCGGACTCCGATGGCCCTGACTCCTCGGAAGCAGGTGACCATGAAGAGGAATTCCGCCACATCGAAGTCCAAGATGACGAGCGCCAGGCTCCTGCTGCTCCCGCTCCTGAGGCCAAGCCCGGCCCTTCATTAGCAAATCCCACTCCCCAGCCTGCTTCAACCTTGCAGCAGCTCAAGCAGTCCCGGCAGCAAAATATCCCTCTGATGCCTTTTGACAGCCGTGACGACGACCCCAGGAGTTTTGTGCGTCCCGAGGACCCGTCCAACCCGAAAGGGACACCCAACGGACGGAAGCCCGCTCCCTCAAACCGCTAGTGCCATCTCTGTCATTGACCCCGGGGACATTACCACTGTTGATAACGTTCTCTCGCGCGTTCCTCATCTCCCCCCCTCTTGTGCCTGGTGTATTAATATCCTCCCCATTTTGGGACGGCTATATTCACCTCTTCTGGCTTTTTGAAATGTATCTGCAATATGTAACGGGGTCAGCTCCTCCCCCCCCACCCCCCCAACTTGATAGTGCCCCTTGGGCATCTGCTCTGGTTCCGCTCCACGAGTCGTCTTGACGATGGCCACTGACGGATGATGACTCTTTCTTCATGATGCTGTATTTCGATATTCTGTTTAATGAAAACTTCCCACGGCCTCAGCCTCTGTACATATGTGAAATTGAAATCGGCTGGCTTAGTCCGACTTATCTAAAAGACCTCCAGTAGTAGGTAGCGCTAGCCAGTTGCTAATTCGAGCGTCGAAGGACTCGGACGCTTTGATGAGTTTGTGAAAGGCTGCTTTCGATGCTTGGCTCTGTTCCCCACTTTCATGTCTACGTCTTCTCTCCAGCACTATCTAGCATTGTCTCCTTTTGTCATTAGCTCCGAGCTCGAGCCGGTGCCAAGTCTGTGCTGTCCGTTCCAACGCGGAGATATAAGTTCCAACGCCGAACTCCCGGGGTTTCGAAGAAGTTGAGATAAGATCAGTGTCTATATCTTCCAATTGGGTACATACGTTTTATGGGTATACATACTTGCTTCGTTATTTTCCAAAGTTGGGGAGTCTTGAAGATCGCTCCTAAGGGGGGTACTGACATTGCGGCAATCATACCCCCTTCTTCTGAGAATTTGAGCAGTCAAACGAAGCCCGTGGTGCTGATGCTATGGATGTGATTTATTCTAGAAGTCCCAGAATCCTGTTAGTCTCTTTTGTGGCTACTCACTAGATCTCTTAGTTTGGCTGGTCAGGGACCCGAGTCGGCTTCCACCGTCGTCCCGCATCAGTGGAAATCCAAGTATTCAGCAACTGGCCGAGAAAGCAAGCGATTCACTTCTCAAGCTTCTCTGCACCGTTTCTCACCCAGGCTCAGAAGATGGGTCCTATCGCCGATCTTCCCTTTTAGCTCGCATAGCGGATCCCACGGGATATGGAGCAGGATCAGCGTCCCCGCCTCGATCACCTTCACCTCTGTAGAATGGGATCAACTTGATGAATTCGCACCTGAGGACAAGCACAATGCCTCGTCTATCTCTCCACGCGCCTCAAGCAGCTCCATGTATACCATATCGATGGCGTCCCTGGTGGCTCCACGCTGAAAGCCCTCGCCAGATTACCCCGTGACAACCTTTCATGTCAAAACATAGGAACACCTCGAACGCCTTTTTGATTCAGAGGAGTTTAAGAGTGAAAAGGACTGACATTGGCCAATGTTGCTGTAGGTAAGTGCGATGTACCGGAGAATGTGAAGACCGTTTTTGGACGGGCCGAAGTAAACTGTAGAGCAGCTTATATTAGAACACTCTTGTACATACACTGAATTCCCTACAATCTTGCAAGTTCAAGCCCTAAACTATCATCTATGTAAAGCTGCATTCTGGTACTATTGCTTTTTTTTTTTTAAAGCCCTGTCGTTGATGAGATGAATTTGTGTGCGGTAGCTTTGAACAAGGTAGAACAAGAACCCTGTATCGTCAAGTTTTCGCAAGGTGAATGCTCGTAGATCTAACTGTCACTGCTCAGATACGGCCTTTCGCATAATCCCACAGATGTTTGCCAATATGTTCTCTCTTCCACTTCTCTGGCTAAGGTCAAACCAGGGTGTAGAGTTCACATTCAAGAATCCGTCGAAGTCAATTCTCTCGAATTCATCGATATAATCCCCACCAAAGTCAAATTGAAGAAAACACATGTAGTGTTGTGTAGCGTGAATTAGGATGATGCTATTGAATATGTTAGCAAATGAGCGGGTTTTATGGGAAGTCTCTCCGGAGGAAAATCTACCAATTCCATATCAACAGGCGTGTTCAAGGAGGGGGGGGGAAAGGAAGGGAGATAAAAGAAGAAGAGAAAAGAGAAGAGAAAATAAGAGAAAAGGGAAAGACGAGAACGTTCTACCTCTGTGGAAAAGAAGGGCTAGATAACTTTGTTGCTAGGGCTTCACAAGTCATCTGCGCAAAACACTCGTCCGATATGATGGGTCTGCCATTTTGGAGACACTGAAACCGAGTCTTTGCCTCCAATACAGCTATGTGATTGTTGACCAAAACAAATCCCTTGGTAGGCTCATGTTTTCGCAGACACAGGCCACCGTCATCAATGGCAATTATGTGTCGCTCCCGTCTTGTTGTGATAGCGTCTAGCCTTATTTTAGCATCTCGAAACTCAACCACCTTTGGGTTCCAATTCGAGTGTTGGGGTGCGCCAAAGTAGAGAATATGCCGAATAACGCAGGAAGCAAGTCGCATAGTGTCGTCTTCTGGCGACACGGCCAAAATATGTAGGTCAGAGTCAACGTATCCTAATGAGGACTCCTGAGGACTACTACTATGAGAGGAGCCTTCAGCAAGAGGGCTGCTAGAGTCAACTTGAATACTGCCAGATTCGACGAAGCCTGGTTGATTCGTAAATCGTCTAGCACGCTTAGGGTGCCTCGTTTCGAGCTCATCAGCAGGTATAATCGAATCCTCTTCAACTATATCGTCATCCTTAGTAATGTTTTGCGTACGACGGTCAGGGCTGCCTTTAAACATGGCCATTGCTGCCCAAATTTGAGCCAGAGATATACTGTAATTAGACCCCCGTATTAAGGAATGTTCGCTCTGAGCCATCGACCCCATGTCAGGCCCTTTTAGAAACAGTTTGATCTCATCTGATGCAGAATCTATATCGGTGGGGGTTGTATATTGGGATAGGACAGGAAGGATGTTGCGCTGGGGTTCACGCCTGACGACCCGACATGCAAACAGATGACCCCGGTCCCAGTGACTAGCGGCGGCATTGCGAAGGTTTTCGAAGACTTGTCGATTTTCAGCTTTAAAGCGAGTCTTAAAGGCGGATTCTGAAGTAATGCTAGCGAAGTAAGGAGAATAAGCCATAATTCGTGGACCTCGGGACATGGGAAAGGTTTCATTTAATCGATAAGGCGGGCGGGCCCGTGGCTGCCTAACTATCAAAAAGCGGTAACTCTGTGTACCGGGCGGTGATATAATTGTACGGCAATAATCTTCTCTTGTTCCCTATAACATTGTTTGTCTTTGTCGTCATCCCAATTATGGCGGCCGAACCAAGATTAGTATCGATTCGCGACCTTGTCTACAAAAAACGGGGATTTCTAAAGAATCCCCTCCGCTGGACCTTACAGCATCTTGACGTAGTAGGGTCTCGATTTGAGGATCTTGATCCAGCCCCTGCGGAGAGCGCATCGCTTGAAGATGAAGACAGCCCCAAAAACGCGTGTCCTGAGTCACATGCCGATGTCGAACTCATAGCGACCGGCTCGTTTGATTACATCAAACGCAAACCTCTCATCAAAATTCTGGTTCATAAAGAGCGAGCTTTTGCATCCCCTCGGTAAGATCACCTTGACTTTCCTAGTTGCCAGTCACTGATAGATTTGACGGGTAGGAAAGGTCCCCCATTCTATTTCCAGGGACGTCCGGTCCATCGACCGAGATTTATTACGTTCACTCGCCATGAAGAATCTGACAACTTGGCCTATGGCAACTCCCCTCTGATAGTTGGCCATGTGCATTACCAGAACATCTGTGGAGATCGGAGAAGACTATTCGAACCTTGTCCGGGGCCTAGAGGGATGATAAATCATCCCGGTTTTGATATTATGTTCAAGAGACTTGACCAGATCACCCCGAAAGATTGGACTGCAGATCCATACTTCATGTGTTATTTGTTAGCTCTTGCACAGCTCCAAGAGCGTCACTTCGGGCATTTAGAGCTGCCTTCGTACACTGTCAGTCTCGAAAGTCCATGTTTTCTTAATCTCGCGCTAACGATTCTATAGTCACGTATTATAGTTACAAGCCTGGCAGATAAGGAATGCTTGTTGTTTTGCGAGGCTGAAATTTCGGCCGAGCTCCTTACTGGGTTGAAGGCTCCGGAGACTTCAGTAACTCCCGTGAAATGGCCGGCCATTCGTCGAAAGAAAATCAAATTCCGGCCTTATGAGACCTTTGGAGAGCGGCTTGTCGCGGAGCTTAAAGCCCCATTCCGAAACGAAGATGGAACTATCAAGAACATCCGATCGCAATCACCCAAACAGTGTAACAGCGCAGACAACAAAAGGCCATTCTCATCTTCAAACCCAGAGGTAGAACCAGGGCAAAAGCGGCATCGACAGGAATGAGGCATGTCGTTTTAACTATCTATCTACCGTACACTAAAATTACATATTAATACTAGTATTAGCTAAGCCAATGGCATTAATGCATTCGCTCAATAGCATATGCACACTAATAGTGCTTGGTGTCCTGAGTCTCAATTCTGATTGTATCAATTTACGTCAATAGCCCCGCAGTCGTGGGGAAAGTAAGAGAATTGGAAATATCTCAAGGACCGACGAAGGTTTCCACCCCACTCTGAGAACCGCGTTGGAAGAAATTCTGTGAACGGCTCTCTATGTGGAGTTTTTCCGAAGTGTCTGGTTCGATCTACATTTTCTGCTGAAGTCTCATGCTATTGTTGTCTTGATCGTCGCGCTAGCGCCGTTATCGATAAGCTGATAAGACCCACCGTCTTTTTTCATCTTTCCCCGACAGCTCAAGCCGCTGCGGCTTGGTAGACCGGGTGCTTCTCGCTACGAAAACTCAGCTTCTGCAGTCAATTATTGACACAGGACTTCTTCATTAGCCCCGAGACTTGATCCACTCTTCATAAAACCATGAGCGACGATACAGAGACCAACGGAGCCACAGCTCAACCCTCCGTCGAGGAAGACTTCGTCGTGCTAGAGGGAGGCCTCGACGATTTTGAAGAAGCGTCCGACGATGAAGCCGACGAAGATGCCTCTCTTGAGGGCAGCTTCCACCCGCAACACATTACCCTGGAAGTATTCCTGAAGCTCTTGTCGTGCTATGCGACAACTCTGGAGCAGGTCCATCGGCGCAAAGCCATGCTCAAGCTGCAGCCGAAGCCAGAGAAGGGATCGAAGAGCCGAGCGATCAAGCGAGCGGGCTCTGCATCTGCGAATCTGCGCGGCGCTCTCCTTATCCAGAAAACCGAGTTCAATGCCTCCGAGACGGCGCATATCAAGTCTGAGGTTGAGAAGATGCAGAAGCTTGATACTTGGCGGTATGAGGAGATGCCCAAGATTATGGACGAGCGCAGGAGTAAGCAAGATGCTGTGATAATGGACAAGGACGATCTTATTAAAGTCATGGATTGGAAGACGTGAGTAGTTCCTACCCAGTACCCTTTCCCTCTTCACTCAAGCCATACCGGTTCTGCTCCTCGGAGCGACGCTAACATCTCTCACAGCCGCCACGGCCTCCCCCGTCCCACCCTCATGGGCATGGTCAAATCCAACCAACCCAAAACTATCATAAAATGCGCCAAAGACGCCATCAATGGCCTGCCAACAGTTGGGCCCGAAGACTCCTCCGCCTTCCCAAAACCCAGCATGGACGCTCTCCAACCCCTCCGCGGCGTCGGCGTCGCAACCGCCTCCCTCATTCTCTCAATCGCTACCAGCGCCGGGCCCCCGTCTCATCAGATCCCATTCTACAGCGACGACATCTATCTCTGGCTCTGCCTCCACGATTATCCCAGCACATCCCCGACGGCACCCAAAATTCCATCAGCACAACCGCCACCGCCGTATCCACCGAGCACAGCAAGAAACTGGCCAAATACAAGCGCCCTAACGGCGAGCTGAACGTGAAGTACAATATAGCTGAGTACAAGCAGCTCTGGAACGCCTCGTGGGACCTGCGCCAGCGCCTGAACCGCGAAGCTGGCGACGAGTCCGTCTCGCACAACGATATCGAGAAAGTCGCGTATGTGCTACGAAATATTGCGGTTTCAGGCTTCTATCCGGGTGTTGATCCTACGGAGATTCTGCAGGCGCATGCGTCGAAGCAGGAGTTGGCAGATAAGGCGGTACAGGCGGAGAGAGACGCGGAAAATGCGATGATGGAGAAGATGATGAGCAAAAAGCGGAAGAGGGAGGAGAAGGAGAAGGGAGAGAAGTCGGGGGGGAGGAATAAGAAGAAGAAGAACTGAGTGAGGGCTGCAAGTGGCGTATATGGATATTCTTGTAGATGTAGGCGTTTGCATTGCATGTGGTTAATATAATTCTATATACCGAGTCTCACAGCGCAAGGTATCGTTGCTCATTAATATGGATAATGGGGTGGCTGGAACGCACGGGATATCTGAATGATACTACCTAGTAGAGCATGGAACCATTACGTTGAAGGTATTGCTTGATCTTTCCACGTTTGCGCCGAGGCCTAGTTGATAATAATAGATCCGAGGGCGTGACTGTGAAACATTGAGGTTCCGTGAAGGAGCATTCTTTCTGTGGGTGGAGATGACTATTCCTGAATTGGATGGCCAGTGCTAGTAGGAGGGTCGAAAGCCTATTGCGAATGCTTGTCTTCGCTTTGGCAAGTTGTCATGGCACCAGGTTCAACAGCTAGTAGCCATTGGCACTGGCATTCGAGCGTAAATTAGCTAGTAGAACTTGCATACGGCCGAGTCGCCTGTCCCACGCTCCGACCAAAACGCCGAGAACATCATGACGAGGATAAAGATCCTGAGAGGGCTACGTCACGCTACAAAGAAACTATAATGAGAACTTACGAGGTGATGTGTCTTATCTGGACGATGCCAGTAATACGTTTATTCAGAAAATATGCATTTTTGGAACTTCTTCTATAACCAAATGTCAGGCCAAAGGCTCTCCTATGAGCAATCCTAGGAATGACTTATAAATATGTACTTATTTACAGACTTAGAGGCCCTTCGCCTGCTTCGCCTCAGCCAGAGCCTCCTTCAGGGCGCCCAGAGCCTTATCGATGTCTTTGCGGTTGGCGTCAGTCACACTAACACCCATGTGGCCGAAACGGATGTACCGGGTGGCGATCTCCTTGTGCAGGCCAGCTGCGAAAATAACTCCACGCTTCAGCAGACCCGGCAGCACATCGGGTGGGGTCAGGCCCTCAGGCAGGTACATAGCGGTCATGCCATGGGCCTGAGCCTCTGGGCTGGAGGCCAGCTGCTTCAGGCCGAGCTGAGCCACAGCCTTCTTCACAGCGTTGGAGACCTGGGCGTGGACGGCGAAGCGCTCGGCCATAGGGCGGGCGGTGATCTGGCTGAGGGTGGTGTGGAGGGCGTGAATGAGCTGGGTGGGCGGGGTAGCGAAGTACGAGGGCTTGTTGTTCTCGTAGTTCTGCATGATGGGCAGCCAGTTGGCGATGGAGGCGTAGTAGGAGCCCGGAGGGGTCTTCCGGGACTGGGCACGCTGGATCGCGCGGCCGGAGGTGTACACGATGCTCAGACCGGGAGGGCAGCCGATGGCCTTCTGACTGGCTGTGAGGACGGCATCGAGATCCCACTCGTCGAAGGCGATCTCCTCCGAGCCCACGCTGCACACGCCGTCCACGATCACCAGGGTCTCGGGGCTGACTTGGCGGACGAGCTGGGCGATGCCCTTGACATCATGGAGGACACCGGTGGAGGTATCGACGTGGGTGATGGTGATGAGCTTGTAGTCCTTCTCCTTCAGCGCGGCGGCCACCTGGTCCAGGCTGTGGCGCTCGCCGATGGGGACCCGCAGTTGGGTGACCTGGGCGCCGTAGGTCTCAAGACATTTGCCGAAGGAGTCACCGAAGTAGCCGGTGTTCAGCACGAGGGCGTTCTCGCCGCGCTCGATCAGGTTCGCTGACACAAGGTCCCATCCGAGGGTGCCGCTACCGGAGATAATGAAGGGCTGTGCAGAGGGGTTGCTGGACTGGAAGAGCTTGCGAAGCAGGGTCAATGTTTCGCCAAAGACCTTGACGAAACCGGGAGCGACATGGCTCTCACTATGGGGGAGAAGAAGAGAGTTATTTAGCTTCGATACTCTAAAAAGCTGAATGGCCCATGCGTTGGGATGGAAAAAAAAAAGGGTTGCAAACTTACGCATAGTGAGCCATCGACTGCAGCACGGCATCGTCAAACTCGATGGGGCCCGGGATGAGCAGGGTGTTGTGAGGAGCCTGAGCAGACATTTTGGATTGGGGAATTGACGTTGGGGAGGGGAGGGTGCAATCGATGGGTTTATATTCGAGGTCGTCCGGAGGCTGAGAGTTTCTTTCGGTCGAGAAAGGCGTGTTCAAGTTCGGCAACGGCAAGCGCTGATCCAGATGTCTGGAGATCAGGCTTAAACGCTGTACAGTCGCCTTGGTCGCCAGTTTTCCGATTGCGGCGGGGCAGCCGCGGGGTAAACTCAGTGCTGCAGTGAAAACGCTTGTGATTCCCGCGGGTACCAGGAAGGCAAAAAAAAGGTTGGTTCTCGGGGATCGTCGCAAAGGGCCGGGATTGGCTGCTGGAGACCCTAATAATCTGGTTCTTTGGTATACCTTCAATTGCTTGAAACCTGTAACTATCGGGTCTGGCGAAGCACTATTTAAAGGGCAATGGCTATTTTCTCGCGATCCCAACAGTTTGCTCGCCCTAATTCGGTTCTGGTGTGGTTATGCGATCGGAGTTAGACGGGCGGAGCCTCCCGATCGATTCGTCTACGCTGTAGTCTGTGTTCTGTACCCAATTGAAGAGGTTTGAGCCAGGGAACAGTGCGCTGGAGTACATTCTATAGATCTGGGAGTTTTCTATGTTCTCATATGTCTTGGGTAGATCTGGTAGGGCAATTCAAGGTATAGTGCTGTAAGGCCTGAGGACGCATTCTATCAAATCAGTCTAGCAAGCGTCTTCTTATCTGACCAGTATCTAGTTCCCTCACGTTATAGTTAACAGTTAGTGACTAATTGATATCCGGTCAGCCCTGGAGCGTCTCAAACCCACCCGGTCTGCGCTGTGTCGCAGTATGGTGAATGCGCCGTATATCTGATCGTTCTAACCGCCTCGTCGGACGGCGACCTCCGCAATGGAAACCTTCGAGAGACAGAAATATACTTTAGATTGGATGGATCGAACCGAGAAGTCAGTCGGACGAAACATCGGCCTCATCAACCAATCTTGTCGAATGCTGGAGTTGAAGATCAGAAGGGGGCCAACCAGCCGCTAACCCCTTCCCGGCCAATCCGCAGGGCAAAGCGCCTGACGTGGCTCCCCCGCGAAGCTTCCGCTTTACACGCGCATCTTTTTGAGCTGGACATTTGGAGCTTTCCTTGCCCCACCATCCAGGATGACTGCCCGTCTAGTCCTGGTCATCGGTGACTTGTTCATTCCCGATCGAGCTCCTGTAAGTGAAGCTACTTCTCCGCAGCCGTTCAGAGCTAACGCAGACCCTCCCCCAGGATCTCCCACCCAAGGTACACATCCCTCGCGTCGCAATCTACCAATTGAACACTAAACACCTAACCTTTCATTCTCCAGTTCCGGAAGCTCCTTACCCCCGGAAAGATTGGTCAAATCCTGTGTCTCGGGAACCTCACCGATCGCGAGACCTATGAGTTTCTCCGCCAGGTAGCCCCCGACCTGCAAATGGTCAAGGGCGATTACGACGTCGACTCACCAAGCCTGCCCCTCTCAAAGATTGTAACTCATGGTAGCCTGCGCATTGGTTTCACACATGGCCATACCGTCATCCCGCCGGGTGATGCTGATGCCTTGTTGATCGCTGCCCGGCAGATGGACGTGGACGTTCTGCTCTGGGGTGGAACCCACCGCTTTGAAGCATTCGAGATGGAAGGTCGATTCTTTGTCAATCCAGGCAGTGCTACTGGTGCTATGAGTTCCGGTTACTGGCCGGAGGGCGAGGAGCCTACGCCGAGCTTCTGCCTGATGGACGTGAGTGACCCTGGAGGCCTGTTACGAGTTTACGTGGAGTACACCGGCTGACATACTTTTACAATAGATCCAGGGAGATGTCCTTACACTGTACGTGTACCAACTCAAGACAGACGCCAGTGGAGTCGAGAATGTGTCTGTTGAGAAGGTCTCCTACCGCAAGAGCCAACCCCAAACCGCATAATGTCCTCCTGCTTCTGCCCCTCGGGTTGAGCGATGCCCTTTTTACCTAAGATACTCTCCTGTGTACATAGTCCCTTTAGCGCTTGCTGTCCCACTGCTCAATACAAACGTGATACCTTGGATTCAGTCTTGTTTAGACCTAACCGTCTATTCTACGAATATCAAGGCTGGATCTCTATAATTTTGAAAGCTTCCCTACTCAATGGACGATTAAGCTTGAATACGGCTGATGAGGGCCAGTAATGGGACAGAGGCTACGTTCAATATTACAAGCTATTCGTCGTCTTAAGACACGGAAACTGCTTTATTTACAGAAGAAATTTAAGTACAAAAGATCTTTCCTTAGGCCAAGCAGACACGGATCTTTTGTCAGAATCAGTATTGATCTAGTATACTTCAGATCAGGGTGTACATGATATGGCACGCATGGTTGCAAGCTTGTGTTCGCGTGAAATGCACTAGTCCTAAAACGGCAGCATCCGATTCCCAATCTCATCGCGCGCTGCGTTCCGCCCCGCAAAGATCCCCCGAATAGATCAGAGCTCACTTTCTTCACTTCCACATATACTTTGTGGGGGTCTGCCGCTCGTACTCGGTTTCTGCGATCGTGTTCAGTGCCTTCAAGGCAGCATCCAGATTCTGAAGCTCCAAGTTTCAGCCGACCAACGCTCCCTCGCCACAGCGACCCAGCTCCCGCCTTGAAATTTCGATTCGAGCACAATGGCCACCGAAGGGGCTGAGATCAAGGATGAGCAGCTTCCAACTGCCCATGAAGGAGGTGGCGATGATGAGGTATGTCCTAGCGACAGGCTTGACCAAGCACTGGCTCTTTGACTTTGGGCCTTTGGGACCCCAAAATACAACTCCCTCTTGCGACACCCTGTGGCTTACTTATCTCTTCAACAACAGGAGGAGATCGCCGCGATGAAAAAGCGTGTTGCTGAAATGGAAAGCGAAGCCGCCAAGCTACGTGAGATGCAGGAGACACTGGACCAGCAATCAGAGAGCCTGGCAGAGAACAAGGAGGAGGTTGATGCTCGAAGCATCTTCGTCGGGAATGTCGACTATGGCGCGTCACCAGAAGAGATCCAGGCACACTTTCAGAGCTGCGGCTCAATCAACCGAGTGACCATCCTCCTGGACAAGTTCACTGGGGGCCCAAAGGGGTATGTGATACGTGAAAATCGCATCCAATGCACCGAGCTGAACAACAAACCTATAGATACGCATACGTCGAGTTTGCTGAGCCCAGCCTTGTGGCCCAAGCCTTGGTGTTGAACGAGAGTGTTTTCCGTGGTCGTAATCTGAAGGTGAGTCTTGGAATTTTTTTCCCCCATCCTGTCATGCCGTCATACTCCGGGCTGTCTGGCCATGATGTGGCCATGGTTGTGTTCCTCGCTAATGCAATTCCGCTCTAGGTCACTCCCAAGCGCACCAACCTCCCTGGCATGAACCGCGGCCGTGGCCGTGGGCGTGGCGGTCGCGGTGGTCGAGGATACCGTGGAGGTTATCGCGGTGGTTTCCGGGGTCGTGGCCGTGGCTTCACGCCGTACTAAGAGGGTCAAACTAGAATGAGATAACATTATAATCGTTTTTCGTTATTTGCTTGCAAGGACCAAAGAAGATTCTCATCCCTATGGGCTTGTACCGGCCGAATCAAAAGACATAGGCTCTCTTGAGCCGGAGCGGTTTTCGGAGTTGGGTTTTCCTTCATTGAATTGTATAATAACCACCAAACTGAGCATGACCTTAAAAAGCTGGAAGAGCTCTAGGCGGGCTGTGTCATGATCACTTTCCTCTTTTTTACTTCAATTGACCCATGGCTGGCTCACTCCAGTCCGACTTTGGGTTTCCTTGTAGCGCTTTCACCGTACAAGGCTGCCGACGGCAAGTTCGGCGATTTCAAATTGCATAGACTTCTCTTGCACAGCCTCCTTTGTAGTTACCCCTATTGCTCTAATGTATTTTGACATGCATATAGTAGCGCGGACTTCTGAGCTACAATCTAACCGGATTGAGACAAGAAAGAAAAAGTAGCTGCCTTGGAAATCCAAGAAAGATGATTTCAGAGCGCGCTAACAAGGCTACGCAGAGTACTCACTACCTGCCTTATTGCCACCCGTCTGGACCCGCCAGTGGATTACGTACGCCATGAAGTTCATGGTGTGGCTCAGAGATACTCGTACAGGATCACAGAGCGGTTAAATCCCAAAGGACAAAAGTAAATAGAGAGAAATAACACCAGAGGCGGTCTCTCGTGCTCAGCCCCAGTTAAGTACTCCTGAGGTAGTGCGGGCGTAGTTAGGCCATAGCGGGAGTACCTGCACCCTACCAGCCCGCAGAGAGAATTGCCAACCCTTCCCTTCTCTTCCCTCCTCAAACCTCCTCATTCCTATCAACCCAACCCCTCCCCCGACTCCACGCCTTTCTTTTGTGTTCGCCCACTCCTCGGACTGGTGACTCGTTGCGAATTCGCCCCTCCTGGATGTGCGCGCCGTGCTCACCGCAGGCTTGATTGATCGGCCTTTCGCAGTGTGCTGGAACCAGTAATCAGGGCCACCATGGCTTCCAATCTGCCATCGTACGTGCTTCCACTCGCCTTGCCGGCTCCGCCAGATTGGCTGCGGATCTGGACCCCTTTGATCGTTCAATGCTAACTGCTTCGTGTCCAGTCAACCAAATCTTCGAGTCACGAGTAAGATTGCCATGATGCTATGCTGTGACGCGGGACGTTGCGGGGTCCGAACCGGGGCATGAAACTAACGACTATCTCTTTTATCACCTTTTAGTTATCGCGGCCGACGGTCTCTACAAACGTGATGTGTTCCGTATGTTCTCGATATCGCCTGACTCGAATCTCTGATCGGAGTTCGCTGACCACTTTGCTTCCTTCTTTCTAGGTTTCCCCGATCCTTTCGCGGTAGCTACTGTCGGGGGCGAGCAAACCCACACGACCTCGGTGATCAAAAAGACGCTGAACCCATACTGGAATGAACAGTTTGACTTGTATGTGCTTGGTCCCCGAGCCAAAAATTCCATTCCATGGCTTGTTGGCAGTCGTTAATGCAACTGGGTGTCGCAGGAGAGTCAACGAGGACAGCATTCTCGCGATTCAGATCTTCGACCAGAAGAAGTTCAAGAAAAAGGATCAAGGTTTTCTCGGTGTTATTAATGTTCGTGTTGGGGATGTCATTGATCTTCAGATGGGAGGTGACGGTATGTGATTCCGGCTCGGCATCCTTCAAATGACTTGTGATTGTGTGCGCTTACCAAGGGACCTTCCACAGAGATGCTCACCAGAGACCTCAAGAAGTCGAACGATAACCTAGTCGTTCACGGCAAACTGATCATCAATCTCTCCACTAATCTCACCACCACTCAACCGAATCAACCCAATGGTGCCCAGCGACCTGCCGTCCAGGCTCAGTCCTCTACATCCAGCGGCCTTGTACCACAAATCGCATCCGCTACGCCATCTGCCGGTCCTAGCCAATCAGATCTGTCAGCTGCTCCTGGATCAACAACGTCTCTCGCTCACCGACCTGTTCCAAATCCTCACCCCAATTCGGTCACGAACGGCGCTACTGGGGCGGCGCCTCCAGCTGCCCCGTCCCGCGCTAATCTCAGCTCGTTTGAAGATAGCCAGGGCCGTTTGCCTGCAGGATGGGAACGCCGAGAGGATAATCTGGGACGCACTTATTATGTTGACCACAACACCCGTACGACGACCTGGTCGCGCCCATCGGCCAACTACAATGAAAGCGCCCAGCGCAGTCAGCGCGAGGCAAACATGCAGCTTGAGCGTCGTGCCCATCAAAGTCGAATGCTGCCAGAGGACCGCACAGGTGCTAACTCGCCCAACTTGCCCGACTCACAGCAACCAGCAACCCCACCATCTGGCGGAGTAACCGCTCCACAACCTGCGGCGGCTCCCTCTCCTGGAGCCGCAAGTGCGGGCGCGGGCTCCTCGGCGAATGCGATGTCGATGATGGCCACTGGAGCTACCACTGCAGGCACTGGAGAGCTCCCACCCGGCTGGGAACAGCGACATACTCCCGAAGGACGGTCATACTTCGTCGACCACAACACCCGTACAACGACCTGGGTGGACCCTCGTCGCCAACAATACATTCGGATGTACAACGGTCAAAGTCAAAATACGGGCGGCAACAACACCACCATCCAGCAACAGCCCGTCTCCCAATTGGGGCCACTGCCCAGCGGATGGGAAATGCGTCTTACCAACACTGCCCGGGTTTATTTTGTGGACCACAACACGAAGACTACGACTTGGGACGATCCTCGTTTGCCTTCTTCCCTGGACCAGGGTGTGCCGCAATACAAGCGTGACTTCCGTCGCAAGTTGATATACTTCCGCTCCCAGCCAGCTCTGCGAATCATGTCCGGTCAGTGCCATGTCAAGGTTCGGCGTAATAATATATTCGAGGATTCCTATGCCGAGATCATGAGGCAGAGCGCTTCCGACCTCAAGAAGCGTCTGATGATCAAGTTCGATGGTGAAGATGGTCTGGACTACGGTGGTCTTTCCCGGTATGTGATCTACCGATATCAATGCATATGTCATTTTTTCCCCGTCTCGCTAACCTCCCCACCAGTGAATTCTTCTTCCTTCTCTCGCACGAAATGTTCAACCCGTTCTACTGTCTCTTCGAATATTCCGCCCACGATAATTATACCCTACAGATTAATCCCCATTCTGGTGTCAATCCAGAACATCTCAACTACTTCAAGTTCATTGGACGCGTCGTTGGTCTGGCAATTTTCCACCGCCGCTTCCTTGATTCATTCTTTATCGGTGCATTCTATAAGATGATGCTGCGGAAGAAGGTCACTTTACAAGACATGGAGGGTGTCGATGAGGATCTACATCGTAACCTGGCATGGACTTTGTACGCTTCCCCTCGGACCGCCTGCGTTGAACAAGGCTAATGTTTTTTACAGGGAAAACGACATCGAGGGAATTGTGGAGCTTACATTCTCTGTCGATGATGAGAAGTTTGGCGAGCGTACTACCATCGATTTGATTCCTGGTGGTCGGGACATCCCTGTCACTGATGAAAACAAACCGAAGTACATTGAGTGAGTCGTTCCCCGTCCGACAGGCATGCGAATAGCAATTCTAATAGTATCAAGGCTGGTCACCGAGTGGAAGATTGTGAAGCGGGTCGAAGAGCAATTTAACGCTTTCATGTCTGGCTTTAACGAGCTGATTCCCCCAGACCTGGTCAATGTCTTCGATGAGCGAGAGCTGGAGCTTCTGATCGGTGGTATCGCCGATATCGACGTGGACGACTGGAAGAAGCACACCGATTACCGTGGGTACCAGGAACAAGACGAGGTTATCCAGAACTTCTGGAAGATCGTCCGCACCTGGGACGCGGAGCAAAAGTCCCGTCTCTTGCAGTTCACTACGGGTACCTCCCGTATCCCCGTTAACGGTTTCAAGGATCTCCAAGGTTCCGATGGACCTAGAAGGTTCACCATTGAAAAGTCCGGAGATCCTATTGCCCTTCCCAAGTCTCACACTTGGTATGTCATCCCATACCCTCGTGCTTATTCGAATCCAACTAACCATCCCAAAGTTTCAACCGTCTCGATCTTCCGCCTTACAAGACCCACGAGGCCCTTGAGCACAAGCTGTCCATTGCTGTGGAGGAGACGCTCGGATTCGGACAGGAGTAGAGGCTCTGCATATCCTCATTCTCAACCGCAGCACAATCCAAATTCGGTTCTATTTATCCTCCACCCTCTGTAAACCCTTCCACCTCTTCCCGAATACATGTCCTCATGTCTCGCCGTGCGAACTTCTTTTGCCGCCTCTTACGTTCTCTTCTGACCTCCTGTCTCATCTCCTTCGTTTCTGTCTTGTAGCAGTGGTGCTTTCCATACGGAGCAGGAAACTCTTATGTTCTATTCAGTCGTTGCTTGTCCACATTCGAAGGTTCATAGCCAGGAAAAGGCCAATTGACGCCGTCTCCTGATGTCTTATTTGGCACAGGTCCAAGTAACATACGCATGCTTCCGTCCTTTTTTTTTCCGCCTCGGTCGTACTCTCGCGTTCTGTTTTCCCGCTTGGTGGCACTGTCTAGCTTGTACATAGGTTCCTGTGTATCATGGCCATTGAGTTGAATCTATCCCTGGTAAAAGCGGGGGTCTGGTGTTTTGCTGTTTTATATACAACCACAAAACTGTTGCGGAATGAATTCAATTTTCTATTTGGAGCGTAAGCTTGCTCCCCCGGCGATTTCGGACGAGTAGGCATCAAATGCACATCTCAACTTAAACCGTAGCCGGAGAAAGCGGCGCACTAAGTACACTGTAACCCTTAGCGAATTGCCCTCCCTCCGCTATTCCTGCAGCCTGAACGTGCCTGGGCCTGGCGCGCGAAATACCTGCCAAAGGGCCGTCCAGGGAAGACTTTAGCCCCTCATTTGTCGCCAGAGGGCCGCTCCCTCCCCCGCCACGTCGTCATTGGCTTTTTTTGGGGAGGGGGGGGGGCGCTTCCAGCCGGGAATATACCGGTCCAGCTAGCGTGTACTTCTGCCACTGTGCATCTCTTGCCCGGGGCCTGTTGACCCCTGAGATGGTTCCTTTGTCAGCACGGCCAGCTGCTGCATGTATAACTGGATTCAATTTGGAGTGAGTTGGGTGTTTCGGATTCGGGGGGTTTGGACTCAGGGCATGGTGATGTCGCAACTGTCCGAGGCATGATTCTGGATAGCTTATATGAGCAGTATAGCTTCAATACCCAAGTTTAGTTTGATTATCATACACTGGCGGGACAACATGCAGGATTCTTTAACCCTGGATAATTCTCGGGATCGTGGGATACTCAAAGCCAACGCCTAAGCGGACGGGACGCTGTGCCAGGCCTTTTCCGACGGTATTTATCAGCACATGGATGGCTACGATGTTGTGGTCTCTCAGGGTTGTTGATACCGCATGTCCAGAATTATGTTCCAAGAAAGAGTTCTTATTCTGCGAAGGCTATCGTTGCTTGAATCTTCTTTATCATAGACCAACTACAGTACGTTAACTACTTCCAGCTATTTATAGAGGTAAAAAGTATCTAGAATAGCTTCTTCGAAACAAACCTTGTCCTAATAGTGCTCATAGTCTAGTCGTCACCGCCATACTTACAGACACCTCAAACCTGATGCGCTGGCTCGACCGTCGGAGCCCTCATCAAAGTCCCCCAAATCACCAGCGCCACCGCAAGCATCGCCAGCAGAATGGGCTGCAAAATACTCACCCCCCTCGGCCTGCGCAATAGCACCAATCAAAAAAGGAAAGACCGCAGCACCCCCCATCGAAAAAGCCGCCGCAAACCCAATAGCCGCAACATGGATATCCTTGGGCAGGATCCGGGTCGCGACAACCACCACACACGGGAAGATCGTCCCCAAGAAGAACCCCACCAGCGAGACCGCAACAGCGGAGACGATAAACTGCGGCACCAGCCAAAAAAGCAGCTCCATCACAATCGCAAGCACTATGTACAGCGCAATGGACAGCTTCTCGCCCACCCGCGGCGAGACGAAGCCCAGCACAAATCGACCTACCGTGACACCCAGCCAGAAGCCTGTTTCTGTCATGCCGGAGGCAAAAGTGCCCCCGTGTCGTACATCGGTCATGAAGACGACGATCCAGCCGCCGATGCCGACCTCGACGCCGCCATATAGGAACAGGAAGGTGGCGCAGATCCAGGTCGCTTTGTAGGTGAGCGAAAGGCGGGTCTGGGGGAGGGCGCCGCCTCGGGACGAGCTAGGGTTCTCGTCGCGGAACTTAACGCCTGTTTCGGGCCAGAAGGCGGCTGTAGCATAGAGGGAGCTCTAGAAAAGCGGCTCCGGTCTGTTTTCGAGATATTTAGTTTTTTAGTCCTCTTTTTGGGGGGGGAGGGGGTGAAGCATGCCGTCGAGCAGTGATCAATGGAAGATAATAGAAAGAGAGAACCGGCTCGTACCATCAGATGGTAGAAATCAAACCACTCCCACCCGGCTTTCGTGATCAGACTCGTTGCAGCCAGAGGGCTGATGGTCGCGCCGACGCCAAAGAAGCCGTGGAAGAAGCCGAGGACTTCGTTGGAGTTCGCCATGTTGCCGATCCACACGTTCCAGGCTGCGTTCTGCAGGCCGCTGCCTAGGCCCACGAAGATATACATCACCACCAGGACAGGGAAGGGGGATGGACGGAGAGCACGATGAATGTCATGAGATGGCAGGCAGGTCCAACGACGGCGATCCCGCGCCGCCCAAAGTGCTGGTGGATTGCATGGCTGAGACCGAATGCGGCGATGGTGTACCCCACAAAGGGGGAGAGGAAGACCAGAGAGATTATTGTGTAGCTTTGGTGGTAGTACAGCTCTAGCTGAGCAGTTGGAACGGCATTAGTTGCTCGTCTTGGTTTCGCTGGGGCGGAAAGGGCTTGACGTACATAAGGGATGATGGCACCGTATGCAGCATCGTTGGCGCCCATAACGAGGGCGCACAAGCATGCTGCGGTGACTTGCCAGATCGTTCGCCTTGATTGGTTCCACCGTGGTGCTATATTGACGGCGTGTGACGGCGGCGTGTCGTCGGGACTGGGCGAATTGGCGAGCGCAGTCGTGTTACACCCGCGGCTGGCGAGCTCGAGGGTGACATCCTGTGTTTCGCCGGTATTCATAGCTAGTCCCTTTACCTTTTTGGTGGAGTATGGATTTAGTGGGGTTGATGATCAGCAATGGCACGGAGGTGGCTGCTCGGACTTGGGAAGCGGGGAAGACTGGGATAACTGGAGGCCTGATCGAAAACGCAAACCGTACAGAGGCTTGGGTCATCTATAAAGGGGTGGGCTAATTTTATTCTGATATCCCTATTGACCGGTCAAACTTGGGATATAGCACTATTTTGACATACAACCTTAGGTTGCATAGCCAGTCTGGGTCTCCGTTGTTATATATGACTATCCTTAGTACTCCGTGTATATCCGATGGGGAGGTAGTGTGCTAACCACAGTGCCAAATACCCCAGCAGGGATGGTCTTCATGACTCTGAACTGCAAGAGCAAATTCAAGTTGCTAATATTCCCTCCAGGGAGCTTTATGTTGAGACAAATAGTACAATTCTAAGCCACCCGACGCAGACTCGGGGAAAGAATTGCAGCTCCGACTCGAAAGAGACGGACCGAACGGTGGGGAAGATACTATTTGCATGACTCGGTAGGTTGGAACTCGACTTCCACGCATGCATGCTTGTTTTGATGCTACTCTTGATGTACATGAAAGCCCAAACGCCGGCTAATAGGCAGAAAAAAAAGCCCTGGAATCGAAAAACGCCACCTTCCCAAAATTATGCAATATTCATCATCTTCTTCAGTTCTTGGAGCGAGAGTGGTTTGATCAGGTAGTCATTAATTCCCGCTGCTTGAGCCTGTTGCTGCATGCTATCGGAGGCGACTCCGGTGACAGCCATGATGCAGGCGGGAACCATGCCTGTTTCCTTTTCGTGCTGTCGAATTTTACTTGTAGACTCAAGTCCGTCCATGACAGGCATTGAGATATCTGGAAAAGTCAGTTTATACTAAGAAAGCCAGGGAAAGGGGAGGGGGGATAATAACAATGGATCACATACCCATAAGGACCAGATTGTATGCTTTGCTAGTTCCAATGTACTTCTCCAGTGCGATGAGTCCATTGCTCGCGGTATCGTAGGTGCACCCCATCTTGCGCATGAATGTTGCCATGATCTTTGCGGCTGTTAGTTTTGCCACTTGCGTACTCGTAGAATTTGCGTACCTTTAGATTAATGTTGTTGTCATCGACAACAAGCACATGCCAGGCTTCTGGTTTGGATGGTGAGGTCGGGGAAGGGATTGTTGCAGGGACTTGGAGCTCCGATGGAGGTTCAAGAACTTTAGGTTCTTCTTCAATCTCTTCCTTCTCCACATCGGGAACCGGCTCGGGTGAGAACTCGGTATCATGGGCAGCCTCCGCCTCGCGGAGCTCGGGAGCGGGCTCGGGTTTACTGTTGGGGTTTTCGTGCGAGATCTTGATAATTTCATGAACTTTGTTCAGGATCTTCCGAGGGCCAAATCTATGATTCTGTGAGTATGTAATATTCCCCCGTTGCTCGGATTCAGCACTTACGGTTGAGTCACCCAAAAGAACTTGGACTTATCCGGGCCTTCAAGCGAAGACACCTTGCTTCCCAGCACAATGAAAGCCTTGACAGGGAGCTTTGGGATGACCTGCTCAACGGAACCGGTAGCGTCGATGAACTCTTTCAGAGCCCCTTCCTCGATCACAACGACGTCACCATTCGCCTTATCAAGTGAGTCCACCAGGGAAACGCTCCAGCCAGCCTGAGCCAAAAGCACATCCGCCAGAGTGCTCTGAATAGAGAGCTTCCGCCTTTCCTCAACGGTAAGCATTCCTGTCGGCGGCTCTTTCAGATCAGGATAGCCATTGAATGCGACTAAGCAGGCATGGAACGGCGGCGGTGCGACGACTAAGGGTCGGAGGCTGGAGCGGCGTGTGCTCTGACTTGTGCTGCGATGCAGATACTGCACAGGGATGTGGACATCGACCTGGGTTCCGACATCCAATTCACTTTGTACGTTGATGTGACCACCGAGTGACCCAACAAGCTGATTCACGATGCTCAGTCCGAGGCCGACACCCTCGTCCAGCGAGTCTTCCTGCGTGAAGGGGGTAAAGAGCTTGTGTCGAAGGAACTCCGGCGCAATGCCACATCCCGTGTCGGTGACTGTCAAATGTGCCAGAAGCTTCTGGGGATCGGCTTGGTTTCGGGAATGTGAGAGTGATACTTCGACAAAGCCGGCCGTGGTCCACTTGATTGCGTTGCCCAGGAGATTCATGACGATACGTCGCCATGCCCCAGGTTGGGATTGAATTTCCCATGGGTGATTCTGTTCGATGCGTACAATGACCGAGAACTCCTCGGACTCGCTGGTGGGAGCAATGGACGGGGGAGTGTTTGTCGGGATCCTGTTCACCATCCGTGCTGAGGTCACTGGGGCCCTTTGACCGGTGTACAGGATGTTTGTGACTTCTTCAACCAATAGACCCAGGTCGAACCCTGAGACAATTGTGGGGGTGTCGTATCGAGTGAAATTTTGTTTGGATGTCTTAGCCTTTGCTAGGCTGTTGATTTTGCAAAAGTCCAACCTGCTTGTTGTGAGATAAAATTTACTTAACAGGGTTGAGTCAATTGACTTACAAATGATCCGTTGTGTCAAGCAAGGTCAACCCAGACGATTCAATCATCCTGACCATTTCTTTCTGGGCGGGCTGCAGAGGAGTTCCAGTGAGAAGCTCGGCGCTCGCCAGAATCCCGTGTAAGGGTGACCGAAGCTCGTGGCTGACCGACGAGATGAAGTCGAATTTAGACTTTTCAACCGAAGCCCAATGAGCGCGGGATATTTCAGAAACAACAGAGTTTCCAAAAACTTTGAAGTAATGGAGTTCTTCGACTCCCATGATCCTTCGACTGTTCTTGGTCCATGACAAAGTTCCTGCCATCCATCGTGATTTTGTGTAGTCCCACAGCGGGAAGAACAGCACTGATTTCGCCTCTGGAATGAGCCGAGATATTTCTCGAATGGCTCTCTGCATGCTCTTGGGGTCTGATGAGGATTTCACATTGCCGTTCCCTTCAGATACATAATCTACAGGATCGAACAGCCCTGATAGATTGAATACATGGCCTTGCGGGAAGAGTGTGACGAGTAGGTCTAAAAGGCCTCGAGGTACAGTTAGATCGCCATGGGGGGCATTGGCTTGTGGTTCGGAGGGTCTCGATGCAGAACCGAGAACCTGACATGGCGAGTCCAATGGATTCGGGACAGCATTTGATAGGACCAATGGACTCGGACATGGAGCAGTGGGGAATTCCGGGGTCACCGTTGCTGGATTCGGATTCGATCCATCGAAATTACTAGATGTGAAGCTGTAAGAAGTCGGAACTGAAGGTTCTCCCGTTTGGGATCATTACTTACGATACTGGCATCGGGTTTTGGGAAGCATCAAGAAACGTAACACCGTCGAGGTCCAAAGACTCCTGTAATAGAACACTCGCACGTGTGAAGATCATGTTCATTCGTTCGGACATGGGCATAGTCTCGGCCCAGGCATCTTGAAAGGCATTTGTTGTTGCCGCGTCCGTGGCATTTCCAAGCCTGGATGCTTCTTCCAAGGTTTTTTCTATTCCAGGGGTGACGGAATGAGTATCCGAGGAAGACTCGATCGAAGTTGGCTGGGTAGGCACTGAAGAGGTTTCACTGAAAAAAAACGGGGTGGAACCGTCATGCCAACTGGTTGATGACGAGCGAGTCACATCTGCGCTATGCTTTCTTTCGTGCTTCTCGGAAGTTAGCTGTAGAAGCCTCGGCGGCGTCGCTGTTGATTGGCGTGAAATGCCCAATTTCGATGCAGATCTCAGACGGCTATAACTGGTCACTTCATGTGGGTTGAAATCCTTCCCATCTTTCACGAAAGTGGTCAGCCCTTTCACCCATCGCTCAGCACGTTGGTGGAAGTAGGCAATTCGGACATTCTCGAGATGGTTTGCGATCGCATCGGTAATTTCTCTCAATACTACGTAATTTTCCTCGCTGAAGTTTTCTCGTGGTTTATCGTCGACGACACAATACGATCCAAGAACTTGTCCCGAAGGGCTGAACAAAGGGACCTCGGCGTAGAAGCGAAAGTACGGCCAGTCTCGAACATACGGTCGATCTTTATAGCATTCCTCTTTGGTGAAATCGCGGACGATGTATCGGGTTTGGTTTGCCGTTAAGTTGGGCGTGTCCTGGCAATATGACAAATCTTGACCTGTGAAGAGCGGCATGAGAAACGCGCATACTCCCCATACCAAGTCTATGCTTCGCGCCCCAAGGTAAATTGCATCGTTGGGTGCATGTCTATCTCTGTCACGCAGTGAAATTGACTTGGTCGCTTCTGCAATAATGTGTTGGTTGGCGCCGTCAATAATGGACACAAAAGACCGCCTGCAGTCCAGTTGATGAGCACCCAGCTGGGCGAGTGCCGTAAGAGTAATGTCTTTGGAGAGGATCGAAGGTGCATCCTCCGTGGGGGCATTGTCCTGTTCGTGGTCTTGGGTCTCGGAAGACGCTTCTGCCGACTGCGGATTGTGTAGGGTGCAATAGTATCTGTATGAGGGGCACCGTTAGTCTCGGTCTCAACCTGCTGGGGGAAGGTTCAAGTGAGTCCCACCGAGAAAGCTCCCGCAGTCGCTCGCGTTCAGATTCACACGCTGCAGAGGCCTGGTAGCCTGGATTTTCCATGACCAAGAGATCCACGCATTTCCTGCTCGTCTTGAACGAATTTTTTTTTTTGGTGCCAATTCTGTTGACAGTAGAGGTGTTAGCGGGAAATCAAAAAGTCCGGAGAAGGTGGACTCTTAGTATAAAACCTGCTTTTGAGCGTATCTACCCGGCTGCGCTCTGATTGGCGGCACCTTTTCCCACTCGCCCACGCTCTGGTAAGATCTGCCGATTTCCGAGCTCCATCTTGTTCCAGGCCTCCCTTCTTTGCTTTGCCGTGGGGAGCGTTCTCGAAGCGACAGGGTGCAGCTACCTGCTGTACACTCTATTGAGCCTTTCTTTCCCCCAGCAAATGTTTCGTGGATCCCCTGTGAATCGTGGTGATGTCACCTCGGCCAAGGCCAGTCCATCCTGATCAGTGCCTCTATTCGAGATCACCGTACATCGTGACGACAACTGCGTTATCCGAGGCCTCTTATTGAGCCAAATGAATGGATGAGCACATCAGTAGAGTCGAGTGCCTGAGCCGGCTCCACCGATGGCAAAAGAATCTTCGGTCCAATCCCACTCGGGAATGTGGAGATTGTCGCGATCGAAAGACGGAAGGGCCTGGACTTTCCTTTCCGCCTGTCATCCCTACACATGTCTCATAGCATAGGTCTTTGCCGCTACATCATCATACATGGGGCGGGGATTTCGGAGTCCAATCTACCTTGGGAGGTAAACGGCTTTCTTCCCGCCATTGGAGACTATAAGCGGCAAATTGAGGCAGGTGCGGGAAAATACAAGCTAGGGCATTCCAGCCAAAAAGGCACCTCACGAGGTGGGTAGAAAGAGACTTCTACAAAATTGAAGCGAACCTGTTGCACTCTCCACCGTACAAGATGGGAAAAATTCTCAAATTTTTCTGGTATCCACTCTTGGTCGACTCACCTTTTAGTCGGGGTAGACCGTAAAATAGCGCCGAGGGCAATAGTCCGGGCACGTGCGGAGTGGCATCCCGAGAGACCGAAACCAAAATCGCGCCCCCAACATGAGCCATTGCACAACCTCAGAACCGATGGTACCCCTGTTCTTTCACAAATGTCTGGTGCCATTGCCCCTGCGACTTTGACTGACTGAGCTGGAAATAAAATTTTGCGTGGGAGTCGCCGTCAATATCGAAATATGCAGGCGACCCGTCGGCTCTCCGTTCATCGGCGTAATAAAATCTGTGGCAGCTCATCAGTCTCGTGCTTATCTAGTGCATCCCCCATCCCCTTCAACAAGCCACCTACTTCATCCGCCGCTCTGCGTAGGAGCTTGCAGCATACTCGAGAAAATGGGCTGTTGCCGACTTGCCAGTGCCGAGGCTCATCATTGGCTTAATAGTTCGCGTGTTCAAAATGTTTCCGGTGTAAATGAAAGTCTTGGAAGCTGAAGAAGGAAGGGTTTCGAAACACGCCACAGCTTCCTGTGCGGCAGCGTATACGCTAATGGTATTGATGCTCAAGTCCCGCGAAAAGTCCTCGAGAGACAGAGACAAGGGATTTTGGGGATCATCTCGACCAGCAGCGGATGCTTTTTCCGGGTCAGCCCAATATTTGATTTTCAATGTGCCTTCGCGGCTTACCATTATAAACGACAACACTTGGAGCCCCGAGCTGCTCCTTGACCTTGGCAAATGCGGCGGCAATAGCGCTTGGTTTGGACAAGTCGATGGGGAGATGAAGCTCCTGGGCGGTGCTGTCTTCTTCCTTTAGCTTTCGTGCCGCAAGCGCAACTCTGTAACCCTTGGATGCAAACTCATTTGCTACGCTTTGTCCAATATTGGGGCCCGCGCCCAGAATGAAGATGACTGGAGATTGCGACATGATTGTAGGGTTCAGATAGTCGGCCGTAAACGACTTGGATGAATCACGATGCCGAAATGACGCCCGCCCTCCTTTTAAACCGTTTCCTCTCGATGTTTCCTCCGCACAGTAATACAGCGCTATATCATCCCTGCTACGAACTCGCGCTTTCAATTCCCCGACGCTTTCAAATCCTCGAATTGATGACGAGAGGCATAGATTTCGGAGATATCCGCGGGCCCGCGGCCACACCCGCTCTTCCACGGACCCCGGCTGCGTTGCTCCGGAAAATAGAATACCAGGCAGGATAAACAGCGATGGAAGGTATGCTCTAAGAGCTGTCAATAGACCACTAGCACTTGGAAGGGTGAAATGCTAAAACAGTGGGGCCACCCTACAAATATCTGCTGGAGCAAGCAGTAGCATAGGGCTTCTAAATATTAGACGTCATCCCCTTTCTTTTCGGAATCAACTAAATTGGAAGACTGGCGACCAGCAAATGGACTTCGTTACGTCGCCGTGTGTGAGAAAGCACCACCTTCGGATATCGAAATACTAACCTAGCGCTGCGCTATCACAGAACCGACAGGATCATCACGGAGCATTTACTGTGTACTAGCCGATCCGCTGCGGGAATGTTTTAGCGGAAGCTTATTGTCGCATAACGCAGAAGCACCGGTGCCAAGATGTCCTGCGGAGGTTCTCATGGGGCTGTGTACGAGAACAATCAGGCTTGCCGGGCATAAGGCTGAAATGATAAGAGCCATCACTAGTTTTAAATTTCGTGGGGGCCAAACTTAGTCACAATGCATCTCTTCAGCCCCGGGGTCATTGGTTGGCCGCCCCCTCAGCCCCACAATACAGGTGGTCTTCCTCAGTGTCGTGAAGCCCAATGATCCTAACACCCCCTCTGATAAGCCGCTCACGAAATGGTTGGCGTCGGCGGTCGCAGCAAAGGATGTAAGACTTGCCGCCGGCGCAAGGTGAAGTGCGGTAAGGTGAGGTCCCGTCGCTACGACGGAGATTCCAACTGACATAACCTGCAGACGAGGAGAAACCCACCTGTAGCCGATGCCGAAAGGCGAATATCAAGTGCGAGGGATACGTGCAGTTTGCGGAATTTATCCACGTTAATGACCGCGATGCGGGCAAGCCACTCGTCAAGAGGAGGGCGTCCAAGCCGGCCCAGGCGCCCTCGTCCGTGAGCGATGCCAGCGAAGCCAGTGCTGCGAGTTCGAACTCGGAGTACTGCATGGAGTTGTCGCTACAAAATTTCTGCTTGATAGAACCGCTGTACGTGAACCCAGCCTGGGATCAGCAAAGTATGTTTACATCGCATTTGATCCAGCGGATGTTTTCCTGGAGCAACAACCCGTCATCGCCTTTCTCGGCGGCGTGGGTCCAAGTCCTCCTTCGCGACTCGAAGGAATCGCCTGTTCTGTCGCATGCGTCTATCCAAGCGCTCTCCACTTCATTCTTTGGGAAGGTCCATGGAGACCGGCAGATCATGCAACAAGGTGCAGCTCACTATTTCCGCGCATTAAGGGCATTGCAAGTCGACTTACAAGACCCAAATCGTGTCACTGACGATGCTACTCTGATGGCGGTCCTTATCATGGCAATCTATGAACTGGTTGCCTCTGAACACCCATCTGGGTGGCTGAATCACTATAAAGGACTTGCGCGACTGGTACGTGGTTATTATGCCCGTTTCGCTTTTTGCGGATCAGCTAACAATGGTGGAGGTTCTTTTGAGGGGGCCCGAGGCACATCAGACGGGCGTCGGCTTCAATGTGTTTTCCACTTTGAGATCTTGCTTGGTGAGCGACCAGGCTTGAAAAAACCTCCGCGGATTAGAGCTTGCTAACGTGAGAAGGCGATTGGATACATCATTGAGCGGAAACACCTTTTCTTGGAAAACATAGAATGGAAAACAATACCATGGGCCATCCAAGGGCTAGATTCCAAGGTTCCATTGCAAGAACTTCACGACTACATGGTTGATGTACCGGGTATCCTTGAGGACATGGACACCTTGGTAGCATGGCCCCCCGGAGTCCCAGGCCGTAGCGAGTTCAAAGACCAAGCCGCACAGCGAGCGCTGGAACTCCTGAACTTACTCTATGCTTGGCATTGGGAATGGATCCGGAAGTTCCCATCTGCTACTTTCACCATCTCCACAGCCGGCCTCGACCCTGAGACTGCAATGCCGATACCCCCTTCTCCGTTTGAATCGATTCTTTGGTTCAATGATTCGTACCGTGGTACAGAGCTAATCACTTACAATGCGCTTCGACTAATCTTGATGATCTGCCTGGAACTGACGGGTATCCTTACGCCTGGGATACCTTCCGCGATAGGGGTGAATGATCCTCTGCTGCCGATGCAAGGTACCCGACATGACATCGCTGTGGAAATCTGCAGGATGGCCGACTACCACCTGCACAGCTTCCGTCGCAGCTTAGGGGCTTTTATCATCCTCTTCCCATTGAACGTGGCCCTCGTGCATCTCGATGAAAACGCGACTGAGATCAAGCGATGGCTCCGCCAGAAGATGGCCCGGGTGGCAGATTCCTACGGATTCGAAGTTGGACGCGATGATGTGAACCCCAAAGTGCACCAGACTCCACTACTTGTCAAAGTGAAAGCCCTGTTAGCAGATTCATCACATTAATGAGCTTTGAACTACCAATGCAAATACAAGCAATGTCCACCTCATTTCTTCTTCCCCTCATCCGAGTCTGAATCCCACTCATCATCCTTGCCCGCAATTAGCGACTTCTCCGCAATAACAATCCAGAGAACCTTCTTCGCCTCCTTCTCCTTCTTCTGGTCATTCTTCTCCTGTCTCCTAGACGCAGCCCGCCCTCCACTTCGGCGCCCAGCCCTCCGCGCCTCCTTCTCCTTATCCTTCTGCATCTGCTCATACTGCTTCTTCTCCGCCTTCTCCGCTTCCTTAGACCCCCACTTCTTCCAGAACCCGTCCGGTGTCGCCTGCGGTTCCACCCCCTGGAACGACAGCGGCATCACCCGATGCCCCAGCGCCGACATCCGCTTCATAATCGGATGCTCCATATCCTGCATCTGGCCCCCCATCTCAACCTGCTGCGCGCTCTCAAACGCATTCTTGTACTGCTGGCGCGCAAACACATTGTCCTGCCCGCCCAGCCCAATGTACCCCAGCATCTTCTCCGTCTTGCACACCTGAACATGCAAGCCTTGCGGCTCGAAGATGTCTTTGTTGGCTTGCTCGAGGAACTTCTTCATGCGAACCTTCGACGTCACGGCAGACCCGACGCCCGCGACTACGTTCACGCCGACACTGACTAGCTGCACGATGGCGGAAGGTGCCATGCCGCCGATGTTGGCGACGTTGTTGGCCGTTTGTAGGGCTGGGTTTGCCATGAAGGCTTCGTTCAAGCCGTCGATGAAGACAATCAGGTCGTGGGCCGAGACCTTGGACTCCAATTCGGGAACGCGGACGCGGACGAACGGGCTCATGTTTTCGCCGCTGAAGCGCTTGTGCGTGATTTCTTGAGGGGAAACAGTGATCAGCAGACGGTCCTTGGTTCTGGAGGGGAGTTGGCTACTTACGAGGAATCACGCAGGGCCGTGGCCCGGTCGGCTCTGGTGGCAGCTGGGGCAGCGGTGTTGGCGGCATGTTGTAGCCTTGCTGCGGAGCTTCATAGGGTGCTGGAGAGCCCCCGTACGGCGATCCGCCATACTGCTGAGGCGGTGCCCCATACGGCTGCTGTTGCGGTGATGCTCCGTACTGTTGTGGCGGGGCACCATACTGGCGCGATTGCTGCTGCCCACCGTACTGCGGAGGGTAGTGCTGCTGCTGTTGCTGTTGCGGGGCCCCGTACGGCGGAGGCTGATTATATTGTTGCTGCGGGGGATATTGCTGCTGCTGCTGGTACTGTTGAGGAGCGCCGTAGCCCTGTTGAGGACCACCATAGCCCTGTTGGGGGCCACCGTATTGTTGTTGAGCGTACGGGTCCTGGTTATACTGTTGGGCATAGGGGTCTTCCTGATAGCCGCCGCGCAGGCGCGATCGGCCTAGTGCGGCTCGAGGGTCTTGGCCCGCAGCGCGAGCTTCTCTTCTGGCTCTCAGCATGATGCCTTTGGGGTTAAATAGTGTGGCTGATCTGAAATGATTTCATCCTTCCTGCGCTTCTTTATTCCCCTTTATATGTGATCGCCGTAAATCAGCCCCCACCGCTGTTTTAGCCCGGTGGCCCGGGGGCCAGAGAGGCCCCAATTATGCGTCGTTTGGACTGGTCGGGCACTTTGGTTGCAGGGGTGGCATCGTATACTTGGAATACGAAATGGCGCAGGAGCTCCTCACTGGCCCGAACAACAAAGAAACTGCGCCGGTATCTATGTATCAAGCGCGTAAATACGCCAGGTCTCAGCCCCTGATCTGCGTTCTGTATTCTTGTAAATTACCAAGCATGACCCTATTGAAGAAGGGATTGGCGCACATCCAGTCTCGCGTGCCTTTCCCGTTCGAGACGACACAGCCCCCACCACTAGAAGCTTAAACGGATCATCACTTTGGGTCACTTTGGGCTATTGCTCGGTCAGTTTGCCGAGTATGCGGAATAACTTGCCCTGGGATGGAAATTGCTCTGACTAGGACCCACACGATGGTCTTTTTAAGCTTTTTCAGCCACTTTAACTCAGGTGGGCCTGGGCAAGCTCGCAGATACAACCTAATCCGTATAGGATGAGCCGCACTGGTTTACCCTTTTCGGTATCCGAGATGTTGAAGAAGAGATTATGTAGTGGATCTTATTCTTACGCAGTAGTAGCACCTGACTGAAGATGGTGCACTGCATCAACTGCGATGCACTGTATAAAGCTCGCTGAGGTCTGGCTGTCTTCAGCCCTTCCAAATCAGCACCTCATTCATCTCGAGTCTCCGACGAAATGCATCTTTCTATAGCTGTTGTTGCCTCCCTGGCAGTCATCACACCAACCTTTGCGCTACCAGCATTTTCAGGATCCCAATTAAAGTCTGCAGCCGATGCAGTACCAGGCGAATCATCTCTATTTGTCAACTACCAAGGAAAGAAAACTCCACTTGCATCCAACTATACCAAGGTCTCTCCCGCCACCGGATCAGGCCCCGCTGGCGCAGACGACCTCCTTTTCCAGAACCTCCTCTCCGCTGAATGGGTCATCTACTCCTTCTACCAGCGGGCCGTAGAGTACTTTTCTGCATCCGACTTTACCAAGCTCGGTTTCCCCAACAATACCTATGAAAGAATCGTCGAAATCCGAGACAATGAAGCCGGTCACGTTCGTATCTTCCAAGATCAAATCTCCAAGAACTCCATCACCCCAGGTCCTTGCACGTACACCTACGGCTTCAACCAACTCGCCAAGCCCAACAGTACCAAGGAGTTCCTCGCGCTGCAGGTCCTCCTCGAAGTCTCCAGCATGGCGTTCCTGACCGGCCTCGCCAACCAAGCCGACCTGAACATCTCCAAGAGTGCCCTGATGGCCATCGGACAGGTCGAGAGTCGCCACAACACCTGGTCTCTCATCGACGTGTACAACGTCTCCCCCTTTCTCCGGCCCCTCGGATACCGTCTACCCCTACGCAAACCAGATCCTGGATCTGACCAACATGTTCATTGTGAACGGGAGCTGCCCTTCGCAGAATCCCATCTATCCCTTTCCACGCCAGAACCTGCCCCGCTTCACGTTCAACCCTAAAACCACTACCGCTCGCCCGGGCTCTACCCTGGAGTTTGTGTTCCAAGCTAAGCCGACGTTTGCGGCGGACAAGGACTACTGGGCTGTCTTCTATCATGACCTCAACCAGGTCAGCGTTCCCTATGACCCGAAGAAGAACGTTGCTACCATTCCTAAAGAGTTTGATAGCAAGGTGGGCGTCATCATGGTGAATATTGCCGATGAGAAGGATGCTCCCACTGAGGACAGTGTTGTTGCGGGACCTCTGATTATCTTGGAGCAGCCTGGCAGTTTGACATTGCTCCTGGATTAAAGGTCTTGCGCTGGATGTATCTAGCAATAGACTTTCCGTATCCAATGAGCGCTTGCTGGATCGATGATCCTAGTTCTTTATTATTGGATAGATACACGTTTTCGAACGAACTTGGCAATCACACACTACTAGATCTGTACACATCCCGTAGGAGTGGCCTGGGCACAGTAGCATATGGTAGAAAATCCAGTCACATGAGACATGGTCTGTACAGATGGTCATACAAGTAATCATCTTCTATACACTCTTGATACAAAGACAAATGTGAGAAGAAACACAGCTTCTCATATAGAGAACTTAGGCCTAACCAGGCATCTCAAACCGTGTAGTCGAGACGGCATCAGCCTCAACTACAACACCATCACGGCCAGTCCCGGAATAGCTCGTAGTATCATAACCCTCATGCGAAGGCTGATCAGAAGACGTCTGGGCCATAGACGGCCCATTCTTTCCCGGGGATTTCGGCGCAAGCGATAATCCCAAATTCGAATATTCCGGAGCCGGCAAGGGCGCATTACGTTTCCTGCGTCTCATGACCAGAGCGATGACAAGTATGGCAACGACGATAACACCCACGCCAACGCCGACGCCGATTCCGGCCTTGGCGCCTACGGATAGGCCGCTTGATATGAATATGGGTTGATCCGAAGTCGACGTTGAGGTGGAGGTTGCACTAAGACTTGTAGTCGCGGCCGTCGACGACGCGAACGTGGGGTCTATCTTGACCTGGTCAGCTGTGCCACAGCAGTCGTCGCTGTCGCCGCAGCACCAGTAGGTTGAGGTTTTGGTGCCGTCGCAGGGGGTCATCCGGATTGTTCCGTTAGATATTCCGTGTTTCTGAGGTCGTTAGTCCCGTGTTGCGTGTAGATTGCGTTCGATGGGCGAGATACATACACTGGTATCAGTGCAAACATCCAAGCACCCACTATCCCAGTCCGTCTGAGAGCAAAGATCGCGGAAGTACGTCGTGATGTTTGCCGAGCCGCCGTTGATGCCGATATTCATGCAGAGGCCATTTGGGAGACATTTGTCCGCGGTATTACCGTCACTGAAGTTGCCTCCGGAGGGATTGGCACGGTTTAGAGCACAGCACATTTGGACTCCGCCGTTCGAGTAGGGACAGTAGCCATATTCAGTGTCGCCAGGGGCACTGCTCGTGCCATCGGGGTTGTAGCAGACCACGGACAGGGCTGGAGGGATCAATGCATGGAACGCGAGGAATAGGGGGATCATCCGGATCTCAAGAGGGCGCTTCATTGGTTATATTACCCACGGCACCTGCGGGTGCAAAACAGTGAGAGGCTTCAGGGGATATTCTGCGGAAGAGAGCTTATGTCTGCCTCGTGGGATTCTTATGTACCGGTTTCCCCCCTCTTCGACCAAAATGGTATTTTAAATTGGATTTTTTGTTTTTCAACATCGTTTGATTCAGCCGGTGGGAGGCCTGAACCATACGCTGGGGTCTTTTCAAGGTTTGTATCTTCTGATCTTAGTTAGTGGATTGGCCGCTTTGGTTCATGATCCACGGTCAGCTAGATTTATCTTCAAAGTGAATTCACACCTGTTGGCGATTTACGGACATAGTTAGTATGCCAATCTTGGTTTGTTGTTCCAGATCCAGGCGCAACAAAGTGTGGTGTATATCCCAGATACCCAAGCCACAATCCAGGGTGCCGTAGATGCTCGTACTAGTAGACACGACTAGCCTACGATTGAACTGAGGTTGGCGGGAAACTCACAGCCTAACAAGGCTGCCTTGGATAGCTCAAAAAGTTCAAAGTGTGATGGATGTGTTTTCAAGGTGCAATCGTATTTTATTGGTCGTGGGAGGCGGGTCGCTCCAATACTGGTGGCCTGAAATCGCAGAGCATCTGCACAGCCGCGTAGGGCCCGACATTTGCGAGCGACAAGGTTCCGTGCTCAATACAATTACAGGTTTGGAGGAGAGGCTGTCCTGATACTAACACCTTTTGACTGCAGAATGAATCCAATTTGATGTGGAGTATTAAGAGAGCCCTAGATTTCGGAACGAAGTTCCATCTTTCAAATTCACGACTCCATCCCGGGCCGGGACTGCGTTTTGCCTCGCATCATGGCCAACAGGGCTTTTCGATCAACGGTCAAGGTCAACATCTGATCATCCGAGATTCCAATCTTCACTTGATCGCCTCCCACTTCACAGCATTCAGGCCTTACCCCAGATGGCAATAGAAGGAGCCTTAGACTTGTACAGGCTTCTGATGGACCCGATTGCTCAAATCGAGGGTATGATCTCTTAGCCCCGAAATAAATCCAGCCGCCATCGATATATATTTCGAAGCCTTCTCCTTGCCCTTTCACCATATGACCCTTGTACCATATGGGACCAAGATTGGTAATGAGATATTGGTCCCCTTCAGCGAACTTGATCATGCTTGTGAACGCAGAAGCAGAAATGATGTGGTTATTCCTCGGATGGCGAAGTTGGACGCGCTTTGGGGGAAAGGAACTATACTTCGTGCTCTGGAGATACCCGCCGAGGTCCCACAATCTGATGTTCAAGCCCCTGCACAAAGATGCGAGAAGTTTGCTATCAGATGAGAAACTCAACGAAATAATCGACGCTAGATGGCCATCCAGTCTGGTCTCGTATCGACCTGTCTGGGCATTGTGGATAATGATAGTACCGTTGACAGCACCAGACGCGATGTGGACCTTGTCAGGCGAAAATGTCAATGTTTCTATGCGCGTATTGTGGCTCTTCACTGTTTTGAGTACTTCCAACCTGCCCCTCACAATAGTCCCTATCTGTACAGCCCCGTCCATGGAGCCGGACGCGATCTGTTTCCCGCCAGGAGAGAACTCCAACGTGCTGATTGCACACGTATGACTTTTCGATGTTGAGATCATTTCACCCTTTGTGGAATTCCAGATTTGAATAGTTCCATCCGCAGCGCCGGATGCAATTTGTCCGCCATTCGGTGAGAAGGCCAATGCTTGTATGCGGTCCCCCTTCCTTCCCAAGATATGTCTTCTCTTGCCCGTCACAGTATCCCAAAGGCTCACAGGCCCCGATGAACAAACACTTGCAACCGTTTTGCCATCGGCAGTAATGGCCAATACAGTTATGCGGTCGAGCCTGGCATTGCCCTCTTGGATGGTTCTGCGCCCTCCTGTTGTCGTGTCCTGGACAACTATCCCACCATTATCGCCACCAAATACCATCAGCTCACCATATGAGGAGAATGCTATAGAATCAGATTCTTTCCCAAATATGTACTTCACGGGTGGCAGACGCCGAAATCTGGCTAGAGTGCTTGAAAAAACCGATAATGTGGCCGGTATAGTATGCACTGCTTCGTCTGGAGGGGATAGAGGTGGGTTTCATGTATGATGCTTGTTGGGGCCTGTTGACCAGGGAGGCTTCTTTCAGCCATGCAGGGGACTTCGCCTTGTTACGTGCTCCGATGAGACTCGGAGCATCCAAGAGAAATATGGCCCAAGTATAGATCTGTAAAGGGTATAAATAAACACTTGACAATACTGCGGAGTAAAAAAGCTGAACGGCTTCGTGCAAAAGGGTTGAAAAAGTCGAATCTTGGCCGGATCCCTTCGATAGGTCAGTCAGTGGACGTTGGAATGATATTTGGAAGCAGCCTATCTACCTTGAGCAAGACCTTTAAGTCTTGAAATAGTGAAAATCCGCATTTGTCGAAGAGAAATACGCATTCAATCCACTGCAGTAGTTTTTCACGAACGAAAGTCTGGAATGAAGACGTATCAAGTGTCGTTTTCTGGAGGTTCACTTTCCTCATGGCACGAGAGAGGTGCCTTACCCAGAATTTGGAGGCGTACTCCAACGAAGACAGCACACGATGAGGTTCAGAAAGCCCTCCGTGTGGCTTTGAATTTTTCCGGTCGGTGGAACGCCTCTCATTGAACCCGTTCTGATTTGGAGAATTCGATCGGGCAGGAGCACCTTCATATTTACCGCCGACCCGGTGGTCTGAACCACGGTGGGGAAGACATGCCATATTTGGTTTTAGATGCGCAGATAAGTATGCAACACAGCTAAGAGCAATTTCATAATCCCCGAACTTCCCATGCGCCTGGAGTAATGCCTTCCCAGCTCGCCCTGTCAGGAAGTCTCGGACAGACTGATGATTCAACTCAATGTGTCTGTTTGAGCCATGCGATCTTTTCAAAAACGATGCGCATCGATCAACGAGAAAAGTTATCCTTTCGTCGCTGAGAGAAAGATCACACACACTATTAACTTCCTCAAACTTCAATGCTCTTTGCACTAGGCTGAGGACTTGTAGCAATCTAACACAGTCTTTCACTTCGGATTTGTTGCCCTTCTCGAGCTGCTGAAACGCCCGGAGATAAAGAGCAGATAAACCAGGAGGTATTCCTTGGATGGTCGCGAGAGCTTCCTCTTTTTCTCACGCCATCAAGCTCCTTGCACACTAGGCTGGCCCACAGAAATGTTCCTTCTGCGTTTTTCACCAACTCATACTCAATTTGCCGTCGCAGGGACTCTCCATAGCTCTGACGCCGGTCGAGCTCGTGCACTTTCTGCACGACATATTGCCGCACGGACTGAGCGACATTGTCATAGTTTAGCTCCAGGCTAACTTGAGCTTGGTCATGTCCGGGAAGCAACTCTCTTTCAGCGGCGTCCAAAGGTCGACTCGTCAGCAGCCATTTGATTCTTCGGGGCTGATCAAGCCCGTTTCGAACAATCAACTGCAAGAATGCACCTATAGCATTGTCCTCGCATTCATCGAGGGCGTCCACGACGAGATACACCTTCGAGCTAGTGCACCGGTCTAACATGTCCCAAAGGATATCCCAGAGCTTTCGCCAAGAAGTCGTATCAAACTGGAATTCTCTCTCGGCAGTATTCCATCTGGATCTCAGAACTCTCATCAAAGTATCATCTTGCACCACCAACTGAAATATCAGACCTTTCAGAATAGCTGTGATGCTGTTGAGCTCGGTATCACTATTTCTGCAGAAGAAGTACGATACCAGAGGCCGATTTGGCAAAGAACATTCCGTGCGCAGCCACCAGAGATGGTCAACGAGGCTTATCGCCATCATTGTCTTCCCTTTGCCAGCACCACCTTTAATCCAAAGCAGACAGACTTCGCCATCTTGCCAATTTCTAAACTCTTCGCTCTCGAGAACCCATGTGACCAACTTGGGACTCAACTTGTCTTTCTCTTCGGTCAGCCGGTTCCTCACAGTCCGCGAATTGGGGCACCGTAAGGCTTCGATGCACATTCGGTCGATCTCATGATCGGAGGTCCCTGAAGTTGTCAGCCGCAATCCGTTCATCGCCTATGGTAACGCTGGCGGAGGTGTTCACTCACCACCGATCGTGATTTGGCCATTGTTTTGATTCACTTCCAACCCACGATTGTTGGCACCAAACGTGATGGTAGTGGCCATGAGGATCAAGTCTGAATATATGTCAAATGGTCGGCTAGGAGCGCTGTCATCGACTTGACCCCATAAGCGCTGGCCCCCACACGCTGATCAGCCGCATATGATGTTTGGCTTGTTTGGATTCCCGAATCAGCCTTGGGCCGTATCTGCAATGGCATTGAACTAGTAAATATGGCCCCCGGATCATATCCCCTTCCCCACATCCTGTGGCTCGGCTCCATGTTAACATAGTCGCCGCTTGGAGCGATGTACCGGGACAGCGAGGGACACACCATGAAGACAAGAGCTCTCCAAGCCCACAAACGGGCGCCAATAAGATTCAATTGGTAGGCTGGCTTGGGACGGTGGGCTTTGTGAGCTATGCATAGGTTTAACGAGTCTCCGGAACCTTAGCTTGGGAGAGATAGGAAAAGATCTATAGCCAGAGGCTTTCATACAGACAGGTCAAAAATCAAATTCAGGTCGTCAATCCATGAGTCAGATACATAACGCCACAAAGCACATTGCGAAGCTCGCTAATTACATTACGCGAATGCGCCAACCATGAGCACTCCGATGCCAGCTCTACAGCTTAGCAGCCGGCTCCAAAAGATGCTTCATCTCCGAGTTGGGATACTCGACGTTCTGCGAAGAGTCGGGCCGTTGGCGGTCCAGGCCCACTTCTCTACTAACTCGGGCTCCAGCTCGCCCTCCAGCATCTGGGTGATATACTTGCCCAGCACCGGGAAGAACTTGTAGCCGTGGAACGAGCCGCAGGTTGCGATGTAGAGGCCCTTGGAAGCCGAATGGGGAGAGATGATGAAGTCGGAAGTTGTGGTGAAGGCATCCCTAGAGTTCATGTCAGATGGCATTAATATGAGCGGTGATTTTGGGTCTGGTACGTACCAGCAAATGCGGTGCTTCTTCATCTCCCAATCTGCGCTCTCGGGCCCGTACCACAGGTTCCGGGATTCGATGATGTCTTGCTTAAGGGGGCCGGGGACCTTCCATTGGTTGTAGTCGTGCGTCGGGGGAGGAGAGGAGATGTGTCGGCCTGGCAGGACCTCGCGGGTGTTTGTAAAGATCTTCGAGCCCCACCATTTAAGCTCGCCGTCTTTAGTGGGAGGGATGCTGCCAATGAATGGCTTGCCTGGATACGGTCAATAACCTTGCACAGAAGATAGGCAAATGTGGAAGACTCACCCTCTTCTGGGGTGTACCCCTGGAACCCAACAGGCATATCCTTGAACTTCTCATACATGTCGCCCTTGAGCTGCGCCATTCCGGTCGTGATACCCGCCGCGGTAATCCGCTCTCCTGCCCGAAGACCGAAGTTGCGGCTCTTGGCCGCACTCCACTCAAGCAGCGTCGGGGTGAAAGCTCCAGCCGCCACAATAACATGAGATGCAGACAGAGTCTCCCCAGACTTGGTCATCAGACCAGTGCAAGTGCCCTTCCCATCGAACTCCAGAGTCGCGACATCCGCAGTCACATACTTCACACCCAACTCAATGCAGCGCTTCGTCACAGCTCTCAGCGAGTCGCCTGCCGCAGCCCAGCCACTAGCCTTGTTGATAAGAACCTCTTTGACACCAGTATAGTCCGCCTTATCGAACAGCCCACCATACAGCTTGCGGGCCTCCGCAACGGGCAATGCCACGATATCATCATTGCGGCCGAGCTCCTTGTGGTGATTGATGACGTTCTGCGCATAGTCGCTGCGGCACGTCCAGTAGACGCCCGTCTGGTGGAAATGGGGCTGCCAGAGCGGATCATTCTTGAAGATATCCTGGGCTTCCAGCGCAAGACGGACATAGACCTTATCGTCGTAGTCCGCACGAACAACCTTGTTCCAATCCCACGACGCAGCAACCCGCGACTCGGCGTCGTAGGCGTCGCGATCAACAAGCGTTACTGACGCATTGGGGTACTTCTGGATCAGGTGGTAAGCCGTGGACACACCGAAGACCCCGGCGCCGATGATCAGGTAGGAAGCGTTTTTGGCGGCCATTTCCAAGCGGTATATACTTGGCAAGCTGTGCGATGTACTGCGCTTTCTCCAGGGAAGTTCGGACGCCCAATTGCTTTTATACAATGGACTCTACGAGATGCGGGGACTGGCGCGGGGATTTGGAGCCTGGCAAATGGGGAGATTTTGAATTAAATAGCATGGTGTGTTAAGGGCTTATCTATGGATCCCCAAGCTCCCAAGCATCGTGAATGACGGTTCGCGACTCCGATTTCGCCAAAACGGGCGGGGATCCCGTGTAGAACCGATCACGTGCAGGGACTTTCTAGCTGGTTCAAGCTTAGTTGCGCTGCACGTTACGAGCTGCGTCCGGTAAACGGGCCGGTTACCACGGGCAGCCAATGGGAAAGCTCAATGCGGCGTAAAGCTGTATTGTCCGTGAGGGGTGATACGCAGCATGTTGGAGATAACGGTCGGCAGCTATGGTAGGCAGCGCTTCGTCGTAAATCATGCGATTCAATCCATACTCGATGAAGTATCAGCCAATAAATATGCAATAACCCAGACTTGGGTATCGGGCTGGTGGGCGGTATTTGAATGCTTATCAACGGCTGCGACACGCCGACGGAGCCTCGAGCCCCCCCGCGGGAAACCCGTTACGGGGCCGGCTCCGACCTGGTCACGAGGATGTGAATCCGATCGCGATATGGTAGACGGTAATAATCAGAGAGACGTTCCTGGTAGAGGAGCCGGCTGATGATGTTTCCATCGTGCCAATTACGTTCCGATTAGTCCCATAAAAAAAGGCTCTAAAGGCTTAAGCAAATTTTAGTCGTCGGTGGATGCAGAGAGGATAGCAGCATCGAGGGAAATCTTCTGTCATGAGGTAGGAATCGTTCAATAGGTGCGTTCCAGGTACGTTCCCTGTGCATCGTCGACACAATTCGTGAACTGGTGGTTGTGCACCGGACGCCCTAGATATTTGATCTGGGCAATAAAATCGGCCATGCAAGTGTGGAAGGGCCTGTCGCGTCACATGGCCTGGGCTATGTTGCTCCTATTGTCACCAAAAAAATTGATGAAGGAAGTAAGCATTAATGGCGCTAAGGAATGATGGCAGTGATGGCAACGATCTCCAAATAGACCGCCTCTAATGTTATTATTAGCACCTGTGGCGTCCGGCTCTGCTGGTACGGGTTAGACCAATCCAGCTAGGCCCCAGAGTGGATCAGCTTCAGACATTTGGGACAGACAGTCGGAATGGTCCCCGAGGCTAGAGAGTATTGGGTCTCTGCAAATCGGCCCAAGATCCCCAAGCAACTTGAATGCTAACCAAAATAGCCGAAAAGCTGGGAGGAATAGCAAAAAAAAAAAAAATACTAGTATTCGATACTTAAACTTTCTCAAATGCCTTGCAAGTCATCTCCAACTCAATCCATATGCATGTTGAGACACATGAGATAGTTGCAAGAGCTGACCATCCCTTTGCCCACTTCAGGCCCCCAGGTATGATCACAGGCGACGCTTTCGTTTCCCATTTGTCGTATTCCAGGCTTGCGTCTGTTGGGTATTGACTTCAGGTCACATCATGCAGCCTCTCCTCAGCCTCAAATTCCCCACGAGGCCTTAGCAGAGGCTCTCAATTCACACCGACGCAAATCTCGCTCAAGCGCCGCCTGTCCTTCCCCTCGCGGGACGGGAAATTTGAACATAAGACATTAAAATTAGATCATGCCATACAAATCCAACCTGACGCTTGCCGGGTGGGGAATCCGGCAAGGGCATACAAATGTTTCCGTCCATACCGAGGATCTTCCGCTGGAGTCAAAGGCTGCCATAGTAATGGGACCCCTGCAGACGATTTGTACACATAGCTGTGTTAAGGTTTCTGGATGTGGCCCAATCTTGATTTCAGCCAGTGTGGGGGCGGGAGCATCAGTTAGGGGATCCGGATCGGACATGTTAGTCTGGGCATAAGCATATCGAGTAGTCATCGATCACTTGCCGGTCATCCGCCTTGCTGGTGTTAGATTGGTCACGGTGGCGGAGAATGACCGGGGGTGTACCAGGACTTCGCGTATTTGCTCACTCTCTCCGAGCCTGCAAGTCAGCCCATCTAAGACAACGACTTGTGTCTTCCTTACTAGATCGCTTAAGGCCTCTCCATCTTCATGAGAAAGGCGTCATGGTGCAGCCAGTCTAAACCCGAAAATGAGCTAGTCGTGAAGTGGGGAAAGCGCCAAGATTGGGTGAGGAAAATATCCTGGGAGAATCATCCGAGGCCGCTAGTTTTGCCGTCTGAAGACTCGACCCAATGCGGCCATGGTTGCCGATATTATGAGGCAGCTGATGCAATGGCTGCGAAGGATCTCCTGGTCGTGGCGACTGCGCCCCAACGCCTAACCCTGGAAAGGTCCCGAGGCTCTTGGTAAGACCGGCAGGTTAGGGTTTCGGGGGCATGTGGCTCAGGGTCCAGCAAATGCGGGGGGGCCTAAGTTTAGCCACACACCGTGATTGGCTGGGTCTCGAACATGTCTTACAACACACAGTTAGACCTGGTGACTTTGCATGGAAGTAAAGCTAGTGTCATGACCTCAATCGAGGTAATGGGTACATCACATCCATGTCTCAGTCTGCCAAAATAACCGAAGTAAGACAACATTAGCCCCGGCTAATGTCTCCGTGACCTGCTTGCATGTACTGTTACATCCACTAGCTCCAGTTCACCATGCTGTGAGGCAACTCGAGGTTTAGCTATGAGAGATTTCGATGAGCTTCTGACGATCATCTCCCGATTGAACGCTTGGACTTGAATAACGTCAAGAGTTGGTTGATATTGAGGAAAAGCTATAAATACCCCCCTGCCCTCCGTCAATACCTATACATCATCACACTCTACAATCGTTCAAACCAACCACCACCGCCACCACCTCCTACAAATTACATCTCTATAATACTCTTCGAGATTATCCACAACTCCGCAACAATGCAGATCACTCAATTCTTCCTCTCCACCCTCCTCGCCGCTTCTGCGGTCGTGGCCGCTCCCACTCCTGCCGAGACCCGTAAGTCCATGATGGCCGCCGACTCCCAGTGGACCATTGAGGGCCTGAAGCGCGTCTGCGACAAGGGCAACACTACCTGCACCTGGACCTTCGGTATCGACACCGGCTCCGCCGTCCAGAAGGTCAAATACGTCGTCCACAAGTCCGGCGATACCGGTGCCAACGACGCCAACGGCGGGCCTTCCACCTTCGGCGACTTCACCATCACCTCCGGCTGGAGTGGTCAATTCGGTCCCGGCAATGGCTTCACCACCCTCTCCGTTGTCGACAACAAGCTCAAGGAGATCATCTACCCTGCCTATACCGATGCCCAGCTGGCGGGCGGAAAGGTGGTCACTCCTGACCAGAGCTACACCCCTGCTGCTCTCCCCTAAATGGATCAGCTTAAAAGCATGTTTTTGAGGGGCCTTTAACGACACAGGCTATGCATTGAAATGGCTCATTGGATATACTTCATTGGACTCTCCTGTATGTAATCATTACTGTTGAGGATTCGAGAGGATTTCTTTGGTTTATATAGCGACAGCGATATCTGATAACTTAATGCATCTGTTGATCGGAAGTCATGCTGCAGAAGTAAGGTGTAAAGCTGAGAGTTCCCGGTCCCAAAAAATCTTCCTCCCTTGGAACAGTAGGAATACTAGTAATTTCCAGGCTGAACCTTCCTGACGCTGAAGACCTGTATAAGTTGGATGATCAAAGTCTGCCTGCTGCTAGTACGTAAATAAATATATGTGGAACATACAAACACAGCGGAAAATAACTCTTCATTGAACGCAGCCTACGGCTGTTCAAGTTCATGACTCGAACACTTTGAATCCCCGAATTGTCCCAAGCATCATCATAGCGTATTCTCTTTTGTGCTAGTAGTACTTGATCTTCATCTCAATCTGGCTCTTTTCATGGTTGTAGTAACCTTTTACTACCAAAAAAAATTTCAAGTGGCGCCGAAGTTGAAATTTTGGGGAGATTGTCACGTTGGATGCGTGTTCCAATCCATAAATATACTTTCGATCCCCGTCAGACTTCTCTTGTACTAGCATACCGAGGCAGATCGCCATTGATGCCAGGTACCATTGAGCCTGTCGACCAAGGAATTTCTTAATACCTGCCTAGTAGCACCCAATTTACTGTGCCACTTGGAGCATTCGCAGTGTGTGGTTGATACCGGAGGCCATTCCTAACTTGCACGGCCGGAGGTAAACATTGCCAGAACAAACAGTCGAACCACTTCTCCAAATCCACAACTCGAGCTTCCAAATTCTCATCTTCTCATCCAGAACCCTCCCCAACCAAGCTCCTCACATCCAAAATCCAAACCTCCATCCAGTCCATTCTCAGTACTTGATGTCAGTATATCATGGCCTTTTCTAGATCGACGCGGCTCCGATACTGATTACCTCAGCGCACCTCGACCAACCAGAACCCACAGCGCCAACGCGATGATGCCAGTCTCCCAAAACAATCCGCCTAATTCGTCCTCGCCGCGTGCCAAACAGCCCTCCGCAAGAATCCCTGGTGAGTCCTCTCGATTCTGCACTTCCTCCCCAAACATCCACGGGCTCGACTCGCCGGTATCGCTTCATCCCCTGCCGCATTGGCCCCATGGCGCCACCATTACCCAGCTCGAACATGATGTCAAGCTGACCGGACCGCGAACCAATGCGTATTGCATACAACCCACGCCTCGATGATAACCAGCTAACGCTGAGCCATAGTCTCCTCTACTGTATTCCGCGATCTGCCCAGAATGGCCGTCGACACCGCCACCCCCGTCTCTGTACGTGCCCTCCGCGCCGCAATCGCGAAGCACTGAGCCCGCCACTCTCCCCCACGACAATCCGCTAATACCAAGAAAAAAAAAAATTCAGCCAATTCCCATCCCCGAGCTGACCAAGATCACCTCCGATGTACGCCTCTCTCCAACCGATTCTCTACCGCGAAAGGAAGACTAACCTCCGCCCCGCAGGCCTGCGACAAAGCCCTGCAAAGCGCCACCGAATACGAGCACTCCAAGGTCGGCGACTGGAACTCCCAAATTATCGTAAGCCGGACACACCTTCTCCTATTCCGATATTGCGGATAGCAACTAACGGAGCTAGAACACTGTCCTGAAAGCCCTCATCGCTGCCACTGCCCCGTCCGACTCCTCCAAGCCCGCTCCCTACCGCTTCACCGTGAACAGCACCATCGTGCAACAGGGCGTGATCGACAAGACGGCCGCTGCCGACGGTGCGCAGGGTAATGCCGGAAAGCGCGGGATGCACTCCGCCTCTGGCGCGTTCTGGGACGTGAACCGCGACGGCATGTGGACGTTCAAGTACCCCGGTGCGGAGGAGCGGGGGCTGGATGTTGTGGTTAGTGTGACGTGGTTTGCGCTACCTTGAGGGGGGGTGTGGGCGAGAGGTGAGATTAAGCGTTAAGGATGTTTCGGACGCACTTCGGTTCTTCTATGTTTAAATTGAATGGAAAATTTCTTCGGTTGTGCCTTTTGTTTGCGGCAAATTATCATATTCTGAGCCTTCCAAGGCTGTACTCGAGATAGGAGTAAGGATCTTATTGTAGAAGCTTGAGACCTGGGAACATGCAGTGAGTTTTAGGTATGCTTGTATTAGATAGGAGCATTCGGTGCTATTAGTCCGAGTCGTGACTACACGTCGACTTGCATCGGAACACGTCAAGCTTGTTATATGAATAGCCAAGTCCCGAAAATGGTATCATTGTCAAAAGTCCTGGGGGAATAAAGTAGAGAAACTAGACCGCCAAACCAGCCATCCCATCCTTACGCCATGCTATGTGAAAGTAAAAAGGATTACAGTTCGCTAGACCCGTTCAGCGGGGTTCAGAGTAGTCATTTAGAGCAACGCAGACCGCACCGCGGTGATGACCACTGTACTGACGGATGATATTGCCGGAGCTCAATTCCCACAAGCGTGCATAATGGTCACTGGAGACAGTAACAAGGTATGCCGAATCAGCAGAGAATGCACAGTCCCACACCCAGCGCTGGTGATTAGCGAGGGTAGTCTCGAGGAACAGAGTGTTATTGGCGGGGTCCATTGGGGGCCCATCGGGTTGAGTCGTAAATGTTTGCTGAGGAGTCTCAGTAAGGGGAGGATTGTCGGAGATACGGAGTAGTTCGCGGTCGCGGATTGGGGTATCGAAAATGCGGAGCAGATCGCGGGCTTGATTCATCAGCTCGCCTTGTTGGGCTTGGGCGACTTCGGCTGGCGTCTCGGTCTGGTCCTCGGTGGAAGCTTTCAGAGCTTGTTTCTCGTTCCAGTCTTTGATTGCAATTTGGGCTGGCGCATAGTCAGGATCCAGGTTCCAAACTTTCGCCGTGTGGTCGGCAGAGCATGTGGCCAGGTGCTTGACGTCCGGTGAGAGCAGGACGCGAGTCAGGTAGTCTTTATGAGCTTGGAAGGTGCAGATTGGAACGATCTTCGTCGATTCTTCCGTTTGGATCATGCGCCAGATGTAGACATTGCCCTATATTATTATTAAGCATTCTTCAGCGGATATGTGGGACAACAAGCCTACCTTCTTATTACCAGCACAGAGTAAAGACCCGTCACTAGCAACGCTGACGCTCAGGACAGCGGTGTCGTCCTCGGGGATCAATTGATGCGTACAGACGTTCTCGCCCAGGTCCCAAACACGAACCATGCCGGCACGGTCACCGCTAATTAGCTCGCCCTGGTTTGGATGAATCACGACGTCATTGACCGCCACGCGATGGAAATAATTGCGTTGCAGACTGCCAGTTCGTGTATCCCAAACTTTGACAGTCCCGTCCTCAGAGCTCGTCACCATCCATTTGCCCTCGCAGTGGAACGCGACGCCCGTAATGTTGCTGGTATGGCCCTCGAAGGTCATGACCGGGTTCGGATTGGTTGACTTGATGTCGAAAAGCTTCACATTGTTATGTCCGGCCGCGGCAAGGAAGCGCTTGTCCGGGGTAATGCAGAGACGATTGACCTGTGAGTCGGGATGTTGTATCGTACGGGAGCAGATGCCCGACAGAGCTTCCCAAAAACTAGATTATGATAGATTAGAGGACCATTACTGTAATGCAGAGGACCCGAAGGGCCACAGCTAGGCCAGGATTAAAGACAAAAAGGTATGAAGCTCACCGGATGGTATGATCATACCCCGCTGGAATTCGGGCATTAGCATGGAACGAAGGAATGCTATGGATTGTCTTGCACAAGAAGCTCACCGGTACAAAGAATGACACTCATGCCGCACTGCTGGATCTGCTTTTCTGTTGAGTTCGAGGTGGAAGCTGCTGTCGGGAGGGGCAATCAGCTGGAGCTGCCAGTAGGGTGTTGCTCCAGAGTCTCGCGGCGATTCTGCCTGTCAGTCACGTGAACTACCGACAGGCGGTAGGTGCGCTAGACCAAGGCGGTGTGATGTTTTGTGTGGTTGCTGGAAAGCGGTAGGAGTATAGCTTATTTTATGCCGGACAAAATATATCAACAACGTCAGATCTTATGGTGTGGGAGCTTCTTTTATCTTTTTACGAACTGAGGGCTTCATAAGTCGTGTGATGTAAACATGAAGAAGCTGTAGATTAATCTGCAGGAGATGCCCCACTCTTGAATTCTAGAACCACCATTGTCGTGAATTTACGCGTCGTAGGTTACCATGTTGATAACTATGGACGATGATTATCCTCGTTTCCTTCGCGTTCAACCCGAGCCTTAGGTCTTCCCCCCTGTATCTCAGAGTTGATTTGAATCCATATATTTGTGCATGGAACATGGCTCTTAATGTGACCATAGAAATAAAAAAGAGCACCTCTCAGCATTTGAACAGGATGATGTCCAAGCAAAGGGGCCTCCCACGGTGATCTCGATGTACTCTTTAACGCAATGAACCCACCAGGTTACCAATAAGGAATACTCCGATGATAATATTAGATTGGGAAACAACATGCTTGTTCAATAATCCTCGATGACCTAGATGTAGCTCTGAGGACCCCCGGGAAAGTTGTCAACACGACCTGTTTGGGGGGGATGTGATTGCATGCATACTAATGTAGCATGAAAAAGCTAAGAAGACCTGAAGAGCGGGGCTCTGCATTAACATTGCGAACCCAACGTGGAACTGTCAGTGAATGCGGTGGATCTTGCAGTAAATGTCAACATTCACTAGATCGCTCGAGTTCCTGGCAGTATATCAACCTCCACCCTGCACCCAGCTTTTCTTCTTCCCCAGCTTTCTCTATCTTGCTCTGAAAGCTTTCGATCTTGCTGTCCATCTTTTTCATAAGCTAACATCCTTCATCATATTCTGCATTGTACTGCTGAGCATGCGAAGCAATGTCTGACCAAGTTGAAAACAATAACCTCGTGTCTGACGCGGGCTCTGAGTTGGATTCGCTGTTTGACGAAACTGAGTCCAATTTGAACTCGCCTGAGCAGCTTGCACAAGATGGTTCCATGACAGCGAACATAATTGATGGTATTGATGATGATGATGAATCGTTTCTTGACACAATTACGGATTTCATTGAGCTGCACGCGAGGCGAATGAAAAGAGCCTCTGCTTATCAAAAGGCTGCTTCTCGAAAGGCTCATCTTCAGAAAGCTGCTTCTCAAAAAGCCGCTTCTCAAAAAGCCGCTTCTCAGCAGACCCATTCTCAGCAGGCCCATTCTCAGCAGGCCCATTCTCAGCAGGCCCATTCTCAGCAGGCCCATTCTCAGCAGGCCCATTCTCAAAGCCCAGGTGCCTTAACTCCTGCTTCGTCCAATGCACTTGCTCCTCCAACCGATGCTGCTTCTCTCGAGGCACTTGCCCCTCCAACTCCTGCTTCATACGATACAAACACTCCTACCACTGCCGCTGCTTGGCCCGGCGAACATGCCCTTCCAACTTCTGCTGTGCAAAGTCCAGCGTATCCAACCCCTGCTTCATCCGAAGCACTCACCACTACAAGCCCTGCTACCCAAAGGCATGCTTCTTCATTTGACACGTCGTTCGATGGACTTGGTATCCCAGTGTCTGCTTCGTTCGACCGAGTGACCTATCTGGGTGCCCCCGTCACGGGCTACCCTTCAACATCTCTGACTTATACCTCGCCATACGATCACCTCACCTCCGAGACACAGAGTGCTGCCCAGTATTATGTGGAGTATGCACAACAGCAACGGCCCCAGGAGGGCCAGTATTATCTACAAAGTCCTCCATCCTCCCAGGGAGTAAACCCTGTTCAAAATCCTGTGAGCCATGTACAACAGCATTGGCCACAGTCAAACGAGGGCCAATATCCTCAACAAAGTGCTCCTCCATCCTACATCTCCCATTCGACATACTCTCAGGGAGTGAGCCCTGCTCAATATTCTGTGAGCCATGTACAACAGCAACGGCAACCGCAGCACCCCCCACGAGGGCCAGTACCCTCGACAAAGTGCACCTCCATACTCGCAGGGGGGGAAGCCCTGCGCAGTATGCTGCCAACAATTGGCAGCAGGAGGTGCACAACAGGGGCCAAGATCTCCTGCGGAGACTTGCCGAGGTCGACCCCAAGACGGGCACTGTGCGGGCTTTGGGCTTACAGCAAGAGCTCGCCAGTGCTCGTCGCTTGGCGACCAGGTACAGGAACCAGAATGAGCGGCTCATGACCGAGCTGGTGCAGCTGCGAACAGCGCACACCTCCCTCGCGACGCAGTTCAACTCACTGCTCGCGTCGCACGTATCCTTGTGCCAGTCGATTGGCCTGCCTCCTCCCATCCAGGCCTCTCCAACCGCCGCTCCGCCTGCTGCGACCCCCCCCTGCTGCGACCCCCCCCCTGCTGCGGTTTCTGGGAATTCCCCCGCTGGGGCTCCATCCCCTGAGTCTCAGGCACAGCTTCGCCGGTTCCTCAATCACAACGGGCAAGCGAGACTCAGGGGCCGAGTGCCCACGGGGCTACTAAGCCCCAGAAACAAAGCCAGCGTGCGGGGAAGCGCCCCCCGCGAGCCCGAAAGTGACCGAGAGCCCAAACGCCAAAGGGTTCAAGGATCGCAGGGCTCGCAGGGCTCCTCAGTCGGTGACCTGACTGGGGAGAGCAGTGGCTCGTCCACTCCCCACGAGCGGGTGCTCACAGCATCCCAACCGGGACCAAGCCCGGGAGAGGGGTCCATATGCCAGATCAAGAAGAAGAAGCTGGACTGGCTCGTGGACCCCAATCCGCTAAGCAGATCCCAGACGGCCACCATCTCTAAGGCGCTGGGTATGCATCTCGGGCCCGGCAGGGATCCTGATCCCCCGCTCCCGTGGGAAGTGAGAGCCAAGCGGGCGTACGACTTGGAGAGGCTTGGGGAGGAGGGACGCGCCAAGCGCAGGCGCAAGGAGAAGCGGGACAGGGCCTCTGCTGGGGGAGGTCCTGTCGAGGAGGAGGACCCGGTGCTCGCGGAGCTCAATTCCGCCTTGGAGGGGGCGAATTGAGCTCCGTGAGCACTGGGGGGTTGTCGAGGGAGAGGGGTGGGGGAGGGGGGCCATGTACATAATTTAAATTGAAATTGAATTCGTTTTGCTTAACTCTCACTGTAATACTTGGAATAAGGAATTAGAGGCTAGCCGTATTCTGAAATGCGCCTATAATCTTATGGAAGATTTGGCCGACCCGGCTAGCACGCTATAACATACAGATTCTTGGCTACATTTCTTTCCTCGTAGTTAGCAGAGGCTTTCAGACTTTAGATCGCTTGGGAATAATCTAGAACAAACTACGCTGCATGAACTGCCAGGCGATCATCCATTCTATGGTAACATTATTCTAAAGACATGGTGATAAATAGAAGAGAGGACATGGAAACCAGGGATTGATCGTTTGAAGCGACAATCCGAACTCGAGCCTGCCCTGATATTAACCTCGTCGAACGGAGAAACCATTATTTGGATGAGATGAGGCTGAAAGATTATCAATGAAGAAGTAAGACAGTACAGAGAAGCAAACGTTGAAGTAAGAGTAATTGGTAAGAGAATTGAATGAGTGAAGTGATATAAGACTCGAGGAAAGGTGAGGTGAAAAGGAGCAGGAAGTAAGGTTAGGAATAGAATAGGGCCTGAGAGAAAAATTTTGTTAAGCATTAAGTCTGAATCAAAGCATCCTTAGTTTCAATAACCTGGCTTAGGTCAGCTATTCTTTTGATGATAGAGAAGCATAATCAAACAGAAGAATACATCTTCTTCATTCATCCTAGGCACGGCTACGAACTGGTAGCATTGCCTGGTTCGCTGCGCACAGAAATGGACAGATTTCAACGCCGCCCGCGTTATCAAAGCCGAACGCATCCCCTCGACCCAAGCCCGCTATTCTACGTTGTTCTACGTCTTAGGTGTGCCATGTATCGCGCTATGCTGCGGATACCCTATCTTGGATTGGATGGCTTCTAAGCCCTAAAGTCTTACGGGACCTTGGCAAATGTCAAGAATAATGCCACAATCAAGGAGGCTGAAAAGGACCGTTTACTAGGCCCTATCCTCGCATCGACGGAATTTATCAAGACCTATTAAACCCTCATACGCGTTTACCATGACAACACAGCGCAGAGGCTGGTAGCGCCTTCTGTAGATTCTCAGCTAGTAACCTCGCTGTCGCTCCCAATCATTGGAGTTCTCGTTCCTTAGCCATCCCAAAAACATCTTCGAGTCTTTCATCTTTCAAAAAGTCCATTTTGAGCCCCCTTTTACTCATTTTTGGGTGTCAAAATGGCCGAAAATACCTCACTTACGGCTCTCGAAACAGTTTTTGGAGCAGGGACAAGACTCTGGCACGGGTCAGCCCCAGCCAGGCCTTGAAGGCGGAAGGGTCATAGATAATCCTTTATTATTATCCCGGAATCCCTCCGGGACCTAGTTTTAAGAATTAACACTCTTCTCCTATGAATTTGCATTAGCACTGTTTCCTTCTGGTACGGCGCCAATTCGAGCAGGCTGGAGTGGTATATGCTACACTATAAATACAGTTCTCAATCGTCGTTAGAAATCTGGACCTTATCGTTAGTATCTGAAAGGATATCTAAACTACTGACAAAAGCTCTAACGATACCCTAGAAGCATAGAAAGATATAAAAGCCAAATTTAGTATGGCGTGACCTAGGCTAAACGTTATAAACATACTGTCGATCATTATCAAGCTAATCTATAACAAACTTATCATACTTGCTAACCTTAAAGCTTCTTATAGTAGCCCTAACAGATGTCAAAACAACCTTTGTAAACACGACTACTTTAGCAAGCTCAAATACAGTCACATCGCTAATCTCTTAGCCCACGAGAAAGACAGGACTAGAAGTTTAGTCCCAAACTCTGCAAAAGCCACCCTAAACTATATGTACCATCCTAAAAAGCTCGTCCATCTCTTCAAGGCACCACCTATAACCACAAACTAGATCACCAAGACTCGTAAAAGACGCGGTTAAATATTTGTACCGCATTTTAAGCTAGGCACACGTTCCTCACTAGACCTCGGAACCGCCCGCGAGCCGCCCTCTGAGGGCCGCCCACGGACCCGCACTTTTGCGGGCGGAGGGCAGGCTCTTCCTGCCCGCGGGTCGGGTAGGTCTCTACCCTGCCCTCAGAGGGCGGCCCTCGGAATATTTCGAGGGCCGACAAACATGACAAACATAGAAAGCTCTGTGGTTGCATAAATTATGCTAGTTTTGACTGTAATTTTAGGTATTTGATATACAGCTAGGTCCTTTAGAATAAATTATCATGATTAGGGAAAGCGTGTTGAAAATATCAAATAATTGCTTCAATTCATGTTATTTCATACTATTTCTAGGGCTAGATACTATAAATCAACTCTCATACCCTTCTAAAAACCTTGAGCGCTTTCGAACCCTTCCTGAATGCCGAAGTTGTGTGTTTGGTAAGTCAGGCTCGCCCTCTTCTTCATGCTCTCCATTTTCTGGCCCTGTTGACGAGGGTTGTTGTTGTTGCGATTGAGCTGTGATGACTGCAATCTGTGTAGTATCAATAACTAATCCTGCATCATCAATCTCTTCGTTATCGCTAATTGGCTCAAGGTATGGAGTATTTAGATCTTTCGCCTCCTGGTTGGCCTGTATCTCTTCATGTAAGAGATATTCGTTGATTAGAGCTCGTTGACCTTCTTCAATCTCAAACTTTGATGTACACATGAACATCATCAGATCTTGAATTGTTGATGGCTTTAGCGAGCCTCTCCGGTAGTGACAGACATCCCGGGCAGAGTTAAAGAGGCGCTCTACACCTGCCCCTGTTGCAGGAATCGAAAGCACGTCGCGTGCAAGGTTTGCAAGCGCTGGAAATTGATGCTGGTGATCTTTCCAGAACATACAGACAGGAGTTCGTACAATGCCTAGAATATACGTTAGTAAAGACTTTATAAGTGAGATATTATTAACTTACCGCTATCAAGATACTCCTTAAGCTCATCAAATTCAGTAGATGCTAAAGGCTGGGACTCTTCCGCTCCACACTCCATCTCAAGCTCTGAGATAGCGACTGTAGGTGATTGAGCTTTAGATATTGATTGTGTATCGGCATGGTGTCGTTTATAGGATTGAAAGTAATCCTCAAGACTTGCTCGGTAGATTGCACGCCAGTTGTTATCTGGATCATCCCAGTCCTTTCCTTCAAAGAATTGAAGCTTTTGTTGCGGTGAAAGTATCGTGCCAATGGCATAGAGATTGCCATCAATTGTATCCGTCATACCATAATAAGTTGAAAGCTTTCTCTTTGCGGCCTCGAGAGAAGAAAGCATAAGCTGCTTCCAAGCAACCTTTTTCCGTCTTAACGCACTCATTGACCTTTCAAGATGATTGAAGAGCTTGTTGTAGATGCTAAAGACTAGATGAATACTAACATCCTTAGTCTTAGAAAGAAGAGTGGTGAATTTGAAGAAAGGCTGGGTTATCCAGAGAAGATACTCAATTTGTCGCCACTCCTCTTGACTCAATGCAAAGTGGTCCTGATCATACTGCGAACAAAAGTCATCAAAGGTTGATTGAAGCCGTTTAGCACGTCGGAGCATCAAAAACGTTGAATTCCAGCGAGTTCGAACATCCTGGATAGGAATAAGCCTTGGTTCTTCCTTCTGAAGGTTGTAGAATGACTCGCGCCGTTGCGGGCTTGCGTTGATGTAGATAGCAAGGTTTCGGACCTATATAATCATAAAAGAGTTAGTATTGTTAATAAGGTAAGAAAGTAGGGGCATACCTTGTTAAGTGTATCAACAATTTCTCTTTTTTGTTGCCTTACACGAAGAGAACGGAATCGTTCGTCAGACCAATCCATCTCCACATTTTCATTCTTTGGAATTGCCTTTAACTTCCCAAGAAGATCATTCAAGCTAAGCTGAATCACATGGGCAATGCAAGGAACTCGAACGATTGTAGAACCATTATTCAGCTCAAGTGACTGTAATGACTCTTGTATACTTGACATTAACGTGTTATTGTTTGATGCATTGTCAGTTGTCACGGCAAGTACTCGATCTGCGATTTTATGCTGTCGGAGAAGCTTTAAAACCACATCACTTAGATTCACACCAGAATGGGATCCAGATAAAGGTTCAAATCCAAGAAGCACCTCTTGATATTGCCAGTGTTGGTCTAGGAAGTAGCCAGTAACAGCCATAAAAGCCTGTCGAAAGGGAGATGTCCAGCAATCTAGTGCTAGTGAAAGTTTTGCGTTTGGAGGAAGCTTCTGAAGGATAGATTGTTGCTGCTTTTGGACGTACTCTTGTAGCCGAGATCGTATTGTTTTTGCTGAAGGGATATGGGGTTGTGTAGGGGCAAGTCGGGCAAAGGTAATAACGTCACGGAACTCTGGATGTTCAATGAATTGGAAGGGAAGACGTGATAAGGTGATCAATTGTAGAAGCTTCTGCTCCCATGCTTCTTGCGTAAAGACTTTTGTTATATTTGATGTGTTCTGTGCCTATTATAAAAGAGAATGATTAGTAAAACATTAGACTATATGTCCTAAGTGATACATACTGCATTTGCGAGTAATCCCTTGATATTAGCCTTCTGGCTAGTAGATTTGCGACAGGTTGGACCAGCTAAGTGCCGATTAAGGGCAGTTGTTCCATACCGCCCACTTGCTGGATGATCAAGGACTTTCTGGCATTGGCGACACTTTACCCCTGGTTTACCAGTTTTTGCGTTGGCAACTTGATCAAATTGTTCCCAGCATGCCGCTGTACGGTTACCACCCCAATTAAGTCTTTTCCTCTTCCCAAACTCAGTCTCCAACCACCAAGCGACGAAGTCATCCTTTGACATTTCGGAGTATAGGATGAATGCTGGTGATCGACCAGGACCAACACGCTGAAGTGAAGAAGGAATCAAGGGTGGAGTAATTGGAGTGAGAAAATCGGGATTTGATGCAGATTCAAGTGTGTGCTGACTTCCAGAAATATCAGGCGTTGGGAATTGATCATTCGAAAAAGAGAGAAGAGCATCAACTGGATCACCATCATATACTGATGAAGAATAGATATCTGAGAACTGGGACATTTGGGACATTGTTAATCAGATGATCGCTAGTAAAGCATGATTTGAAAAGGGAAAAGCGACTGGTTTCTGGAGAAGATACCTACTAAGAAAGCCCATAGGCTCTGGTAAATAGAATTATTGACTAGCTTGAGTAGCTTTCCAATATAGCTTGACTATTATCGAACACATCAACTATTGACCCACTTTAACTTATTAATCTCCCTATGATTGGTTATTTATTGAGGGCTGATTGAGGGCGGCCCTCAAATCGGCCCTCAAAATATGCGGGCGGCCCTCAACCAGCCCTCGAAATGTGCGGGCCGCCCTCGAGCGGCCCTCGAGCGGCCCCCAAACGGCCCTCGAAAACATGCGGGCCGCCCTCGAATCACCAATCCGCCCTCGGTTTTTCGCTGACTTGTGTATCCCCTCAAATCTAGTGATGCTTTTAGTTCAAAGATTATTATGGGGGCTCTTCTATTAGTAAATATAGTATGATTAGACTTTATCGGGGGGCTCACCTTATAAAGAAGAATTATATGATATTTGGTGAAGAATCAAGAATTTATGAGATATGTTTAATGTTCTTGTTATTCCTACCAACATGACGTTGTAAATATATATATCTAACCCAACCATATTGAACTAATATATTCAAAAATCATCTCCTTTCTATTCACCCTCTACCATTTACTTTTGGAGATTCAAAACCTGTAATATAATCATTACCTACTATGCTTTATTACAATACAACTAAATTTCTTATAATTTCATAAGACTTAAATAGTGATACCATGGAGAATAAACTATAAACAGGAACAGGCTTAAAAAACAGTAATTAAATAGAATGAATCAGCAGAATTATACATCTAAATGAGGAATAGCCAACTTTTTTTATGCAAATGAGGGCGGATAAGGGCCGCCCGCGAGCGGCCCTCTGAGGGCTGAGGGCCGGGCGAGGGCAGGCAAGAACCCGCCCTCCGCCCGCGAGGGCCGGGCGGAGGGCGGGAGATACTGGCCCTCGAAATGTTTTTGACGAGGTCTATTCCTCACAACCGCCTTTTTTCCAATTCGTATCAAGAGGACGCTTTTCTTGCTAGCCCCATGCTGTTACCCCCCTAAGCTCCTGCAGGCCATATGAGGAGCCGCCATTAGCCAGTATTAGTCTAGTTCCAATATATCCTCTTCAATCCTAGCCGTGGCTACACAGACGATCTTAAAGAGAGCCTGCCTTCTCCTCGATATTGTTGGTTAATTCCGCATTGTCCGTCTCACTCTTTAAGTACAGTGACATAGAGCATAGTGAGGAATGCCGCGAGGAAATAGAACTTGATGAAGATCATTATAGTAGAGAAAGACAGCAATAGGGTTGTAAAGGGATAGCAAGAATGTTAATCACAGTCTCCCAGAGTCGGAACTTGAAGGGTGGAGGAAAGGCCAGTCGTAAATCAGGGATGTTTTAGCAGCGAGAGGATTCAGTTCACTTTAACGGTATAGAAAGTTCAACTTGTAACTCGTCTTCAACGAGCAAAACAAGAGAAAGAAAGTGCCAAGAGCTCTATACAGGCCTGGATCTCAGTACATGACCACGGGCTGGTCGGAGGCATTTCGCAGCAAAGTAGACCGAGATTCCTGCTGAGAAAATGATGAGCGGGTAGCGTAAGATCTATGATCTTCAACTTGTACATCATGAAGTCTAGTTTCAGGCTCTGTCATTTAAACGCCGAAGCCGAAAGTCTTCAAGTGGCAAGTTAGCAGCGCGGCGCTAACATGCTGTGCACACCAGCTTTGTACTCCATGCTCAGGGCAAAGTTGCAACCAGAGTGGGATGATGCCCCCCCCCTCATTCGTGCGGCGGGGGCTTTTGGGGCCGCTTATACTAGGCTTTCCTCAGACCGATACTCTGCTAAAAGACATACCGTCCGTTCTTCCATAATATGTCTAAGAACACCTACTCTGGATAGGCTTCTTCAACTTTTGAGCTTCTCAACGAGCGTATCCCCCCCTGTTATGAACCTTGCTGATAGATTCGAGTGATTCGAGTGTGAGATATTTTGTCTTTCAAGTCGTTGAATGGACTCTACAGTCTACTCGATGGAAAGTTCTCAACGAGCCTACCTTCTATATCATTCTTCTATCTTTCTGCTGCTATTTCTTTCGACAGGAACCTGTAACTTATCATTCTGATGGGATTGATTGCAGCACAAAGCTCCCGTGAATTGGATATATTTATTACTTTTGAGCACAAAGAGCTTATCGGCCATTCGACCGCAGTAAATCCACGGGACTTGGGCTCGGCCTCGGAGAGGATTCAATACAAAGCTGACGACTTGAGTAGCATAGAAAAAATAGAAATGAACAGCACAACACAGCAGTGCTGTTTGGATTTGGCAAAGTGTCTATGTGAGTCATGACTATCTGCAAGTCTAAATCGTAAAATATGAAAACAGAGCTGGAGGAGGCTGGATAACAGATCAAATCAAGGCTGAGGCGTCCACAAACCACACCCAAAATACCGACCCATAAACTATGGTCAAAGAAATAACAAAGTTATTAATCCGCTTACGCAGTAGTAAGCGCATGAGGCTGCTGCTCATACGGCTGCTGCTCATACGGCTGCTGCTCATGCGCGGTGGATGCCGTCGGCGACGAGTTGCTATGGGAGGAACGCTTCTCATACACATCCACGCCCTCCTGCTTGAGCTGCTTGCGCGCCTTGCGACCACCACAGCAAGCCGCGCAGCAGGAGCCGAACTGGATGATGAAAGCGAAAATACTGAACGCCGAGGCCACCCACATAAACGCAAACATCTGCGAGCCGATGTGGGCATGGATGTTCAGATTCGGGTCCGCGTTAGAGAACACATTGGCGAAGATGATGAACATGACGGTCGCAACGATGGTGGCAGCCACCGTGATTAGGGCTGTCAGAAAGCTGATGATCAGGAAGGGGAAGGCCCGGAACAAGACGAAGGTGCGTCGGCGGTGGGGCGGCCCGCCCAAGGGTGGCTCAGTTCCGGAGTTACCGACCATATACTTGATGGTTTGGGGAGGGCGTGAAGACACCGCAAACGGGCTCACGAAGATCAGGACGAAATTGAGCACGGTGCCAGTAATGAACAGGCCGAACATCCACTGCGACGCGACCTTGGCTAGGTGTAGAGGGCTAGTGATTTCAGCGGGCAAAGCAACTGTAAAATTTTGAAATTAGCGCCGTTCAACAGTTCACCGTCGCACATGAGTCTGGACGGGTGAGGTTGGTCCCACATAATTCGGCCAGGTGGCGAGTTATGTGCTATATATCTACATAAAAAAAGGATGGGAAGACATACTACTGGCACCTGACAACAATTCGCTCAGAATGATCTTGACCGGATCGAAGTGGTACAGGTCCTTCGGTGGCGAGCAGTGGGTGATGCCCTGGCCATTGTAGCCTTCACAGAAGTTCCACAGGCCGACCTGGTAGAAATCGTGCAAACCGATGGATTGGGCGATGGAATTAATGAACTGGGCGTTGGGGACGGAGAGCGGGATGATGTTGGAGAGATCGAGATAAAGAAAGTACGTGTCGCGTAACACCGGCTTGTTGGAGACATTTCCAATGACGACCAGAAGGCAGAAGATAAAGGCGATCAAGTAGAAGAGGGAGCGCACGATTCGGTGGCTATGGACGGTCGACCGAGAACGACACGCCATGGGCCGGTCGGGCCGGCTGCCACGAAAGAAAGGGAGGCGCCGACGATTAGGAGCTGCCTCCAAGTCACTCATGGTGGTCGAGAGGGAGAGAAGTTGAGGAGATCTGGGGAAGATCTCTCGCTCGCCCACGAGCTTTGCGGAGGGAAAAAAAAATGACGTCTAGACAAGTCTGCGCTTTTGCTCCTTAAGCTTTTTCCACCCCCCTTTCCGCCCTTGGGCATCTCCGTGTCGTAATTATCTTCCAGGCCCGCCCCGACCGCCTCGATCGTCAGTGGCTTGGCCGCGCTAAGGGCCCACCGGGAGCTTCTTGGTCTTCTAGCCACGCCGATCATGCGAGATGCCGGGTCCAAAGGCTAATTTGCACCTAAGGCAGGGGTGAAGTAGGGGGGAAAATACGTTTACGGAGAGATATTTGGGACGTGATACGAGGAATACGGTTGCTACTCCGTAGAAGTACTGGGACGCTAGCTTGGCAGACATCGTCTTTGCCAGTGATCGTCGCTGTCCTCTGGCTGTCCTCTGGCTGTGAACTCCCTAGAATAGCCGCCCATATTCCCCGCCCAGCGCCAGGCTGCTATCGTCAGGCTCTGGATGAACGCGTATCCCCAACCCGCAAAACAGAGTTTTGGTAGACCAGTTCAGCCAGGTTTTGCCAAGCTTTCAACCCTAGTGGGCCAGAGTCGCCCAGATGCGTGGCTTTCAAATACGCTACGTTGCTAATACTGCGACAACTTCGACGGGGCGATCGCTAGCCGATCAGTGTCCAGCCCCCAATGGATGCTGCGATCACCTCGCTTGTGCCCCCCTTGGCAATACGATATCGTTACCGTATCAATGTACAGTACATCTCTGCTCCATACCCTTGGGTTATCCTCATGGCCCCTATGTGCCGGAGTCGAACAGAGCTCCGCCCCCGTAACATGGCCCCATGCATGATTGACAATAATGCGCAAGTAGTGCGGGCAAGTGTTACTAGCCATTAGTGTGCAGGAATTCCCGGTGCGTACTTCGTGGATACTGGCGGGAACATTTTTCTGCGGGGCGCTAAGAATGTACTCCGTACGATGGGAAAACCCCGCGCCGAGTATCCGGGGATACGTCAGCCAGCAGGGGCACCAAATCAAGGTCGACTTGCAACCGAGTCTCGCCCTGACGATTTGACTTGAAAACCAAGGCGGGGGTTTCTTCCTGCTCCATATTATTGGCCAATCCAGCAGCTGCGAGTGGCGCCAAAACGTCGTCACCTAGCGACCGGAGTGCCGCGCCATAGATCCACCGATCATTAGTGGCTTTTTTTAGCAAATCAGGACGGCCAAACCGGGTTCCAAGGAAGAAACGGAAAAAGGCTGGCGATCGGGAGTTTATCACTCCTCCCTCCTCCCCAGAAGGCTTCCTGGATCTGTCCTTGCCCTCTCAGCCATGCGTTGGTCACTAGCGCTTGCCCTCCTCGCACGAGTGGCCCTAGGCGAAGCCCGCGACCACACCAGCGACACGACCAGCGACCCGACCAGCGATGACTCCTCCACCACCACCATCGCCTGGAGTGATGCATCAATCATCACTGACCCCAGCTCTGTAATTCCGACCGGGAGCTATTTGGTGTACGGGACTACCATCAACCTGTCCGACGGGGACCAGCTCACCTCCACCATCACCCAGAATGCCTCGGCATCGCGCACCGGCAACGGGACCTTGTACACGTCCACCCACGACTCGGTGACAGTGCTCGTGGGCGGCGCTGGAACCACCACCCTCGGCAATTCCAGCATGAATGCGACCGCCACTACCACTGCGACTGCGACCCATACTCCAATCGTCAACACCCGGCCTTGTAACGACTATGTGCAGTTCTGTCAGCGCAGCTACTCGAACATCACCATGGTTGGTGCCCACAACAGCCCGTTTGTGCAGAAGAACAATGCGGCTTCCAACCAGGTTCTCGATGTCACCTACCAGCTGGATGATGGCATTCGCTTCCGTAAGATTGGCTACTTGAAAACGCTCTAATGCATAGTCACGCTAACCTCAGGACCAGTGGAACTCCAAGCCCACGACCAGAATGGCACCATGTACCTCTGCCATACTTCCTGCGATATTCTCAATGTCGGTACCCTCGAGGCCTATCTCACCAAGGTCGCCTCGTGGGTGAAGACACACCCATACGATGTTGTCACCATCCTCATGACCAACTTCGACTATGTGTCTCCCAGCCACTTTGTTGAGCCGGTGAAGAACTCCGGTCTGTATGATTATCGATATACCCCTTCGAAGATTCCCATGGCTCTGCATGACTGGCCCGTGCTGGCCGATTTGATTCTGCACCAGACGCGCGTGCTCTTTTTTATGGACTATCAAGCAAATCAGACGGAATACCCATGGCTCATGGATGAATTCTCGCAAATGTGGGAGACTCCCTTCTCTCCCACTAACCGCAGCTTCCCCTGCACGGAGCAGCGTCCCCCCCGGTCTTTCGCACAAGGACGCTCTCAACCGCATGTACATGGCTAATCACAATCTGAACGTTGACCTGTCACTTGGATCGTTCAATATCTTGATTCCTAACACGGCGGTTATCAACGAGACCAACGCAGTAAACGGCACTGGCAGCCTGGGCGCGATGGCCCGCGAGTGTACCGGTAAGTTACTTCACATTTAGCAAAGCATTATAATAAAAAAAAGAAAAGAAAAGAAACGAACTTGAGTCTAACAAATTCTAGCCATGTGGCACCGCCCTCCCAACGTTCTGCTCGTCGACTACTACAACGAGGGTAGCTTCAACGGCTCTGTATTCGAGGTGGCCGCTCAAATGAACAATGTCACTTACAACCGCACGTGCTGCGGCGAGGAGTCCGCCGCTGGCCACGGTATCTCAGCAGTCAGCCTCACCTCCCTGCTGCTGATAGCCCTGGGTACCACACTCTTCTCGTCCTTCTAAATTGAACGACGCCACGACTTGTCTCTTGTGGAATTTTTTTTTCTTTTTTTCTTTCTTCTTTTTAGACTATAATTGATTTATACTTATCATCTAGCATGAGCACCGCCCGGCGCTCGGTAATTCTCGGATTTGCATTGTGTAAATAGCTAGATATTCCCTGGAACAAATCCCACCGATTGAGACAGAATTTGCATATGTATACTCCAAACCCCACGATACCCCCTCCCAAGCTCGAGAGAAAAGGTGATGTAAAAACCTAGCCCACTCCCAAATCCACCGTTATCACCGACTCCGCCGCACAATCACATGACCCCCGCATCGCAAATCCCACTCCATCACCGAACAACCCCAACCAAGCAACAACCTCTCAATTCTCCTTCACGGACCCCCTCAAACCCACTCAAACTGCCGACCAACCGCCAAAATGGTCGACATCGTCCCTTTAAGCTCCTACCCTTCGTACATCGACCTCCTCCCCTCAATCCAAACATGCAACATCACCAACCTGCCCGAAAACTACTTCCTTAAATACTACCTCTACCATGCCCTCACCTGGCCCCAGCTAAGCTTCGTCGCCGTCGTCCGGCCGAAAGGCGGGTACAGCAGCAAGGGCGCGAAGGCGGGCGACGTCTCAGGCCACTACCCTAAGGTGGCGGGGTACGTGCTCGCGAAGATGGAAGAGGAGCCTACGGACGGGATGCAGCATGGGCATATTACCAGTCTCAGTGTGATGCGGACGCACCGGCGGCTAGGCATCGCGGAACGGTTAATGCGGATGAGTCGTGAGTATCCCCCCCCCCCCCCCTTCTTCTTTGAAACGACGTATGATGGGAACAGAGGCACGCTAACCCTTTCCTTTTCCCCGGCCAGAGCGCGCAATGGCCGAATCCCACCGCGCAAATTACGTCTCCCTGCACGTGCGCGTTAGCAACGTCGCCGCCCTCCACTTGTACCGCGACACGCTCCGCTTCGAGGTCGAGAAAGTGGAGAGCAAGTACTATGCGGACGGCGAGGATGCGTATGCCATGCGCTTGAACTTGGAGAGCATGTGGATGGATTGGAAGGCGATTGAGGCGCGGGACCGGGAGAACGCGAAGGACGAGGACGCGGATGAGGGCGAGCCAGTGGGCGAGCTGGGGAAGAAGGACGCGGCGGAGGACGATAAGATGGTGCGGGTGAAGGTTGGGCGGGGGCTGGGTGTGGGCGACCTTGTGGAGAAGAATGAGTCGCAGCAGTCATGAAGAAAATGCGGCTGGGCTGGGCTGGAATCAACTGGTCACAGGGTTTAAGCGCTGAAGCGCCTGGAGTAGTAGCAGCTGCTGCGCCGATGCTGCAGATATTGCTGCAGGTGGTGCTTGTGGTGGCTTACCCTGCAGGATTGACGCAGAACGTGGGTTAGAGTTTCAGCCGGAATGTGGCATTTGAGCTGCGGCTCTAACACGAGGAAATCAGGTTTTTGCATGCGATGCATCGCGATGAGGTTAGACTTAAAAAGTTATGACTAGTGAATGGTATCTGTACAAAATGCTCGAGCTGTTTCATTGAGAGTTACTGGGGAGCCGGTCCCCTTTCTGGGCTATCAGCACTCAGTTTCGCCCGGAAGCCATACCGGTGTTTCCGTATCTAGTTGGGTAAATGTGCCACTGGCCGAACACCTGCCTAGGTAAGTACTACTAGTGATAGATGAAGCAGCCTAACACGCACGAAATTTGAAGAATGAGCATCTATCCTCGCTGTAGCATGATAGTAAGTGGCCAAGGTCTGATCTGCACTGGCATACATCCTACGTCAACTTGAACATGAAGTTAAAGCCCGACTGCCAGTGACCATGGTTACAAGTATATATAAACACAAGAACCATGTAAACGAGATTCAAGTCGGGCCGGTACTACTAGTGGAATTTACCAATTCTGTGTGAGGCCAGCTGGTTGGCCAAGACAAGAGTATCTCGGCCAAACGCATACAATACCTTCGAGGGACGGAGTCCTAATGTTGCCTGAATTAGAGGTACTAAGACGAGAGTGAGGTGAAAGGGGAAAGGAAAACAAAAAGAGGAACAAGTCTCTTGTCCATCAGAGTCCCACCCCAACTTCCGGGCTTCATTCGAAGTTCAACTGTGTCTGATCTGTTGACAGTAAGTTTCAAAATTAGTGCCCAACTATAATAGACAGTTTCTAATCGGGGGAACTAGCTTCTCAAGACAATACCTCGACAATCGAGTCAGTCGAATTTGGTGACGCGGGCAACACAGACGCTACGTTGCTTCTCATTCTTATACGTCCTCTCTCCTCAACGATCCAAAAACAGCCAGAGCTTTTTGAGTGAGAAAATGTTCATTTGAACTCATTTACTCTTACTTTTGAGGAAAAAATGGCTGAAACAATGCCATTGACGGCCCGATGCAGATACGAAGCCGTGGCACGTCATCTGGTCAGGACCCGCTGAGATTATATTCCTGGTCATGCTCTTCTGTCTTCCATTTGGGTGGTGAATTACTTGGGAAACGGATAACCAAGTTGCCCATGTTTCAGCAAAAAATCCTACGATTCAACTTTCCGTCTAACGGCCACGAAGTCCTGATTCCGATCCACAGCCTCGCAGAATACATGATTCCGCGGTCGTCACGGAGGAAGAAACCATCTTTTGGAGCGGTCTCAATGATACGGACCTATTCGAAAGTCATATATCGCCCATACCCACTCTCCAAGTGCCTCGCCACTTTGGTTTAACGCTTGTAATATAGCTACCTCATTGGAGCCCCTTACCGGAGGTGCATCCGAAGGACTTCAAGCTGGCTCACTTGGTCCTCAGGATGCACCGGTCCAGTAAGCCCAAAGGTTTCAATTCTACCTGTCAAGGGATTGAAAGTTCTGATGGACTGTAACAACCCCAAGGTGCTAGGATGGACCAATGTGGATATGCTTCATAGATCATACAATCAAAACTCAATCTTTACGTATCACTCATAGATCCTTTTAGCACCAAGATTGTATATCCAGTCCAGAGATGTTGATACTCGGCTTTATCAGCCGTTGAAGCTCCTAAGCTCCGTGGCTACCACTCGGCGGCCCGCCGGCGGATGTCCTCTGGCTTCACTAGTATACCGCCCCGCCAGCTTGATCCCGACACCATGCAACATCAGATGAACCCTGTCTATTAGGAAACGTATTGGCGTTAAAACGAAAAAATCAGGAATCAATTCTTAGAACGGAATCAGTCGCAGCATTACCAATCGCACGGCCTCACCATCCCAAGCCCTATAAATACAGTCCACCCGCCCGGTAGACACCAGATCACAAACACAGTACAACAGTGTCCAATTTACCAGCAAACCCCCTGAGACACCCAACCAAAGCTCCCACCCACCAAAATGACTAGCCCCCATAAAGCCCTCATCGCCAACGCCTCCCGCAGCGCAGACCTAACCACCCGCCCCCTCCCCGCCCTCCGCGCCGACTACCTCCTCATCAAGACCGTCAGCGTGGCCCTAAACCCCACCGACTGGAAACACGTCCGTGACGGGCTCGCCCCCGGCACAACAGTCGGCTGCGACTACGCCGGCATTGTCGAAGCCGTCGGGCCCAAAGTCGTCAAGCGCTTCGCGAAAGGCGACCACGTCTTCGGCTTCGCGCAGGGTTGCAACGTCATGCAGAAAGAGGACGGCGCGTTCGCGGAGTACATGGTTGCGAAGGGCGACGTGCAGTGGCGGAAGCCGGAGAACGTGTCCTTCGAGGAGGCGGCTACGCTGGGGATCGGGATTGCGACAGTGGTGCAGTCGCTGTACCAAGGGCTCGGGCTCGAGTGGCCGAAAGCCGGGGGGGAGGAGGAGGAGGTCCAGGGTAGCAAGGGTGTTATTTTGATCTACGGTGGTTCGACGGCGACGGGGTATTTGGCGGTGCAGTGTGCGAAGTTGTCCGGGTATACTGTGATTGCGACGAGCTCGCCGCATAATTTTGAGTATGTGCGTGCGGCGGGGGCGGACTATGTGCTTGATTATAAGGATCCGGGGGCTGTGGGGGAGGTTCGCAAGATTACGGATGGGAAGCTGAAGCTGGTTCTGGATACGATTTCGCTGGAGCAGAGCGTCAAGTTTTGCGAGGCGGCCCTGTCGGAGGAGGGCGGCAAGTATCACTCTATCTTGAGTATTACGCCTGGCCGCAAGGATGTGCAGTATAGCTTTAGTCTGGCGTATACGATTATCGCGGAGGACATGCACAGGTTTGGAGGGGAGTGGCCGGCGCGGCCGGCGGACAAGGCGTATATGGAGTCGTTTGGGCCATTGTTCGAGTCGCTCTTGGCGCAGGGGAAGATCAAGCCCATTAAGCCTCGTGTTGGCGAGCGTGGATTGAATGGCATCTTGGATGGGCTGAAGCAGATGGAGGAGAAGAAGGTTTCTGGGGAGAAGCTGGTCTATAACATTGCGGACACCGCTTAGAGCGGAATTTATTCAGGACTGAAGGGTAGTCTAGCCCCCGAATTGGATCTTTATAGCTAATACAGACATGATATCATGGAGTGCCTTCACACTACTGTCGCCCTGAGCCCAGGGGCTGATGATAGTAAGTGCTTGTTTAATGATGGCCTGGGCATCGCCTACATGCTGGTTCAATGTTTTATCTTGAGATGCAATGGCGAGAGTGATAGCGCTTGCGAAGCAGCTGGTTCGAGGAGGAATGATTCAGCAAAACGAGTCAGTCGAACCTTCTTGTGAAATAAGACGTACCTTTGAATGACACTGTACGTATACGGCGTCCTAACCGACAGAATATGATGCGCATTGTTGATAAACTCCCGACAAGCATGGATGCAAACACGACACGCCTCGAGTGCAGGATCAGCATAGTCGCTGTAATCGGGAGAAGTCCAGTAAATCACAAGCGTCCTAAATATGATCTGCTTAATATTCCAGAAGCGTAGTCTTAGCTGGCATTGCTGCTGATTCCCCTTCTCTTCTCCCGTAAGGTCGGGCTTGATAGGATCTGGCAGGGCCGAGTACCATGCTTCCAGCTGGCTATTAAGTTCGATGGCGAGTTTTCCAGATGGATCTGGACATAGAAAAACCGCAGATGATGCTGCTTCAATTCGCTTTTGGTTGAAAGAAGTCAAGGTGTCGAGGAGCCGGTCTAGGATGTTTCTTGCGGTTATGTCGGCGAGAGCGAAGAAACCACGAGATCTGTCGGAACCCCTGTAGCCTGGGAGGGGAATCACGTTTGTAAGTTGCTCCATGTGGCTTTTTTGGGAGACCAACGCCGGGGCAATGATCCCTGTTCGTTGTAAGAATATGGTTAACCGGACCGTCCTGAAGTTCACTTACTGCTCGAGAAGGAAGCTGACCCAGTAAAGCCGTACGAGAACATGGTCAGATGTGTTTTCATGTTCTTGACCTGTTCCTCTTCGGGACTGTTATTTTGGGTGCCTAAGGAAAAGATGTTACTTTTATAACTCACTTCTTTAACACCTGCTGGATGCTGGTTGATGCCATGTGGGCAAAGCGCCAAGTCATCATCGGATCCACCGTGAACGCGGAATAGATCGCGCACAATAACAACGTCTCACACATGATGATATCTGGATGAAAAGACACGGACCATAGAGGGAGTAGGATTCTGAGACACCTCTGGATAAATAAATCGCCTGAATATGCCTCTTTTTTCTGGTTTCCTGTATGTGAAATTGATATTAGGATGTCTGTCGCCAGAAGATCGGGCAAAAGAGTGACTCACCGATATCCACAGGATCCGCAGCCGTTGCACCAACAGCCAAAATGGCCAACGTGAAGGCAGAATCACGGTCTGATGCCAGGCCTCGCGCTAAGGTCTTCTCATATCGGGCCAGCGACTGCATGCACTCCATGAACGGGTAGAACGGGTGGACCAGTCGGCTAAAGTTAACGAAACACCGACGGGCGGTTTCTTCGTCAACACGAATTTCCGTAGAATCCATTATAGCATTCGCAATAGGCAATCTCTCACGGTGATTTTCTATCCGCAAGAAAAAGTCCTCCGCATAAGAGCCAATCAGTTGGCAGACTTGAGGCAGCTTGAGAAGGTCTCCGAGGCTTGAAGGATGTGCATTTAGATGATCATGCGGTGCCGAGGACTTATCGGTTCCATTGTGAGACGAAGCAGATCTTCCTTCTGCTGCTCTAGCTGAAAGCGGCGAATTAGACGTAAAGTGGTGAGTCGAGGAGTTGGATGACCCTGTCGGTAAACTTGATATACCAGACAGCGGGCCACCAGGGGCGGGAATTTCTGCCTGTGAAGCATTTGAGCTGTTTTGGGCCGGGACGTGATTTTCCAAAGCCTTGAGAGACTCAGCTTGCTGCTGAAGCAGGGCCTCAATTGCATCCAAGTGTTGCGCCTGGGTCTGGTGTGGCGGGACATCATCTTCTCTGGTCGCAGTTAGCAGTTGTCAAGGCTAGGGGCTGCATGGGATAATTACTTCTCCGCATCTGGATCTGGGTATTTGCACTGCAGTCCCTTGGTGCGGCACGTCCTACAATGGGGTGTTTGGCCGTCGCATTTTCGTTTTCTGCGAATGTCAGATTACCAATCACAGGATCACTGGCCCCAGAAGCCCGATTCTTGCGTGGGCATGTCGACCGTACCTGTAGCGGCAGTAAGTGCAGGCGAGAGATATTCGCTTTCGCGAGTTGGGCATGATCGCTGGGCTGCAGGACCAAAATTCGCTGGAGGTCTCGATTGCCTGCGGGGGCGGCTCGAGCTTCCGCAAACGCTCCGCCCCGTCACAAGCCATCCTCAGCATCCATCCGGAATGCTTTGGCCACTTTGGATATGGAGAACAAGCTTCGATGTCGACTGTCGGAACTGTCCAATCAGAACAGTGTCAGATCAACTTCCTGCAAAGACATCTCTTTCCTCAGCTCCGATATATAAAGCAACATGGTAAAGTAGACGAAGGACGAGCTCGGAAGATTGAGATGTAAGATGAAAATGACCTCTAGCTAACATGAGGGAGATAAGAAACAAGACAAGGCATGACATACATATGCAAAGAAGTATCACCCTACGGCAAAGGGTATGATGAGTCTCATGACTACCAACTCTTTAGGGCTATTGCCGCGATACATGAAGAACACGGCATAGACAAGTATTGGACCTGGGGCTAGCCGAGAACATAGAATTGGCTAAAGTGGAAGCTCTCAGAGTAATAAAGTAATAGATCTTGAGCCCTTTATCATTGCCTCCCAAGGTACCGAATTTAATTTTCAAGATGAGATGGAAAGGTAGTGAGCATAGAAGAAAGACTCGAGTGAACTAGGACTAGAAAAGATCACTTATTATGGAATGATCATTCTTGATTATTCGCGGAAGACTCCCGTTATGAATTTCAAACCTTGAAGTATACCACCCACTGGCCGTCTCTAGACTCGATATTACATTAGTGGTTAATCAATGCCACCGTATGCCACTTTGGCTAATGTTTCTGCACTCGAGCCTTATTGCTTTTGTGTTCGGGACACTCTGCATCATTGGACTTGGGGTCACGGCCTCTGCGCATTTGATTATCTGCATGGATTTTGTCTGCTAGAAATTGGCTCCGTCCAGGTCAATCAAACTACAGAGGGCGTACATCGGCATTCGTATTTTGGATCTTCAGATCTGCGGTTCCCAAACCAGCGTTGCCACTGATAACTGAACCGCAAGTTCACCAAAACTTGAAGGGTATACAATGTGTCAAAGTGAAGACCAGCACTAGACACTTCCGCCGGAAATTGGGGATCTCATAGACTGCAGTAGTCAATACCTCGGAATTTCCAAGCCGAGGAGCGGGCGCGAGCTACCCCGCCCCGCAATATAAGGCTGCGTAACTCTCTATTTCAGCTGGAGAGAAGTCTTAAGTCCTCTAGCCGCTGTATTGGGACGTGATGAGATTTCAAGAATAAAATCTCCCATCTCGCGACAAACATGACAAGCAACGAATCCCCTAAACCCCGCGTCAGTCTGGGTCTGATGACATTCGGCCCCGAGGGGACCCAGAAATACAGCAGCAGAATCACATCCCTAGATGGCTTCAACGAGTGCCTCGACTACTATCAGTCGCGAGGCTACAACGAGGTCGACACAGCTCGGACCTACGTGGGCGGAAAGCAAGAAAGCTGGACCAGACAAGCCAACTGGCGTGACCGCGGCCTCAAACTGGCCACCAAGTGGTACCCCCCTCACGCCTGGCTTCCATGCCAAAGCTATCGTGAAGGAGAACTTGTCCAAAAGCCTACAGGAGCTGGGCACGGACACTGTGGATATCTTCTATCTGCATGCGCCCGATCGGACGGTCCCGTTCCAGGAAACGCTCGAGGCTTGCAACGAGCTGTACGGAGAAGGCAAGTTCAAGCAACTGGGGCTGAGCAACTATGCTGCTTGGGAGGTGGCTGAGATCTGGAATATCGCGGACCAGCGAGGCTGGGTCAAGCCGACGGTTTATCAGGCCATGTACAACTGCCTGACTCGCGCGATTGAGGAGGAATTGGTGCCGTGCTGTCGAAAGTACGGCATCGAACTGTTGGTTTATAATCCGCTGGCCGGAGGGGTTCTCAGTGGCAGGTACCAGAGCAAGGAGGTGCCCGATGATGGCGGCCGTTATTCGACGACTGATCCGTTGATTGGAGAAATGTACCGGAAACGATATTTCAAGGACGCGAACTTTGAGGCTTTGAAAGTCATCAAGCCCACGGCGGACAAATTGGGCCTGTCGCTTTTGGAGATTGCGTTCAGGTGGCTGGTTCATCACAGCCAACTCAAGGTCAAAGATGGCAATGACGGCGTGGTGATAGGTGTCAGCTCTCTCAGCCAGCTGAAGGATAACTTGGATCACCTAGAGAAGGGGCCCTTGCCGGATGAAGTACTCGAGACCCTCGATCTCGCATGGACCATCACAAAGCCATCGTGTGCTTTATACTGGAGATAGGGACAGAGGCTATATAGATACCTAGATAAGAACTTGAAGCCTCGCAAATTCAGTCGACGATTTGGTTGAATTATCAAGTCTCATGACATTCCGGTCGATTAGTAGTTGCAGTAAAAGCATAAAGAGTCAAGCTTCGAGGGGCTCAGCCCACCAGACATAAAACATCAGCGGATTGACCGTGATCTTCGCAGAAGAACTACCCGACCATGCCTTTGTCGTGCTCACGTACCGTATCTAGGGTGACTATCGCCCGTAGTCCTGCCATGCCGAACTGACCATGGGCAATCTATGCGGCCACGAGAAACACATGATTGCCGGGTTCCTTCGCTGGAGAAAATTCAAAACGTTCAGCCGGGACTGTGCAAGAAAGAAGATGGTGCTAAGTGGGATCTAGCGACGCCGAGACCCTTGAATAGGTTCTGTTTATTTACTTCGAAAACGACAATGCAAAAGAGGAAGGGGTTTTTGTTACCCAGATCAAATGGGATGGAGTTATTAAAGGGGTGAAGTCAGAATTGCAAAAGAAAGGCAGTGATGCTACGATTCATCAAAGGAGAGTTGTTGATTTTGAGGCAAGTTCTGCCAAAGGCGCGTGATATTGCAGACAAGGCGAAACAGAGCCGAAGTTAGCCAGCTCCAACTCGGATTCAGAAGACCCATTACTCCACCAGAGATGGGATTAACAGGTTGATAGACTTTAGGAGGAACATAATGTTATAACAAGATGGAGATTGTAGATGGGTATATATGCAGCATACTAAGTGCGGATTAGTTGTCACGATTTGTACAAAAATGAATTAGCATCTTTCAGCCTGGTTATGACCTATCAAAAGTTCAATCTAGGAGCCACTCGGGTCCTTATCTTTCTTTCTTGCAGCCTTGTCATCAGCCTCTTTTAACCGTGCCTTGGTCTCGTCAGCTTCTCGTTTCGCCTTAGCCTTGGCATCCTCGGACTCAGCAGATGCATTATGTTGTTTCGAAGAGCGCGGCATCAATTTATCCCTCAATCGAGTCTTTCCTCCCGTCTTAGCCTTCCGATCAGGAAGCTCTACGGCGGAGGTATTATGAGACTGGAGACTCGAAACTGAAGGCGTATTGCTGGAGCCAGGGACCGCGTTCTGTGGGCCATGCGGCATCTGCGACGGTGCAGGGAATTGAGATTGAGCGATAGGTCGTGATTCGCTCGTCTGCAGATTTGGTTGCCCACTCAGAGAAAGTTGATTCAGATTACCGGCAAGTGATTCACCAGTCTCGTTTTCGTCTGCGGAGTGCAACCCCTGGGATTGGCGGTACCGATGCTTGTGGTTGCGGCGTTTATCGCGCTGTTCTTCGCGGGCGCGACGGACTACCTCACGGAATGCTTTTCGGGTAGCTCGCATTTCGTCCTTCATGGCTCGGCGCTCCATAGATTGGCGCTGCTGCTGGGCTGGTGAATCCCACCGACCCCAGTCGTTGCGGTCAACGGGTTGAACCTGGGGTCTATTCCAGCCATGCTGTCTGTTTATGCGGCCGGAAGTTTTGGCTTCTCGGCGCGAGTCCTGGAGGACATCTAACTGGCGCCTAAGATCGGCAGCAGCTTCATAGAGAGTACGGCCGTGACGGTCCTCTAATGACTGGAGTTGGGTTCTGATGTTGGCCAGATCGGATGCGCTGAGATCAGATGTGGTTTCGAGGGATTCGAGTGAGCTGAAGGATGATTCGGACGAAACCGAGCTGACTGATGCGCGTCTAGAATGCTCGATGCTCTTCTTGCCTTGCTGATCTGGCTGTTCAGGTTTGACAGGTGTGTTCGGGGTTGATGTCACAGGTTGTATTTCTGCTGGTCGCAATGGAGATGGGCTGGGTACCACGGGTGGGGCCACTGGCACAGCTCCCGGTGGTGGAGGACCCCACTGATATGGGTAATACCCAGCAGGAGGAGGATGAGGAGGATAAGTACCCGGCTTGCGGGGGTGGATACCTGCCTGCTCTTCGATCCATCTTCCATGCAACAAGGCCCGTTCTTCTACTTGCCGACCATAGTACATAGCTTGGGCACTAATTTGGTCACCATATTGCTGGGCTTGCTCCGCAAATCGCTCTCCATACTTCTGTGCTTGTGCGGATAGGTTGGAAATCCAGCCTGAGAGCCCTCCTTTGGAGCCTGAGTTTGTTTGTGCTTGTGCACATGCCGGGTTATTCCACTGCCAGGCAGGAGGAGCAAAGCCTGGTGGTGGAGGTCTTCCCGGATAATATTGAGGCGCCTGGTAGGCTTGACTAGGGAAAGGGGAAGCCGGGGCTGGCATCCCCGGCGGCATTGGAGGCGAGTTAGCGTAGGGCTGTCCGTATCCCATCTGCCAATGATGTGGTAGCGGTTGTCCAGGGACAGGAGATGGATTGCTGGGGTTGGATGACGTTCGGCCAGGTACTGGACTTGATGTTGTAGATGAGTTTGTTGCTTTGGTTGCAGCTGGGTAACAATAAGGGCACAGAGCGGATTTAGGCGCCGTATCCGGCTCTCCAATATAGACAAAATCCAGGCGGGTCGCCCGGGGCTCGAAAAAATTCTCATTCCACTCATCAATGACAGCGACAATTCGAGCATAGCGTTGCTCATCGGATTCCTGGGGTCGGTCTTTCCTATCCCGCTGAATTTCGGCCCTTAATTGGCGAGGAAGGTCTTGCGAAGCCGCTGCAGGGCCCAATTCTGGAGGGAAAAGGTAGCGCAGAAAGGTGTCCCAATCCTGTTGCGTCACATCATTTAAACGGGGAGCCCAGCAACGAGGCCGGCGAGGAAAGTCTTTCGATTGACTTCGGGGGTATATTGTCATATGATGGTGCAAAGTTTCGCGAGTGCCCTCTGGGGCAGAAGCCGGTCTTTCCTCAAAATAGGATACCGCAGAGGTAAAATGAGTAGGCACTACTGTAGGCGGTGCCGGTGTGGGTAATGGCACAACATGGGAGTGTCTTGTATGCTGGGAGCTAGCAGGGCTTTCTCGAGATGGAGTTGAGGATTGTTGTGAAGAGCTGTGCCGATCCCCCGGGGCAAGCAACGGGTCGACTGCGGAGTAAGGCGGCGGAGGAGCCTCATCCTGGTCCATGGCGCAGGAGACTTGGAATGCGTTAAAATAGGAAAACAGGAAACCGATGCCTAGATAGCTCTGGAATTGGTCGTAATGGTCTGCCTCAACGCCGACCAGCCATTCCGTGATAAGATAGGGCCTAGCGCAGATCGAAGGCAGCAGAGTTACTCAAGTTGGCAAGCGGCGTTCCGAGGGGCCTGGAGAAGTCATGAGCCGGGGTGAGATGAGGATAAAACCAAGCCACCGGTATCTCTGTACGTGCTTGATCTGATATCGAGTGCAGCTGCTCAAGCCCGGACAGATGAGGGATGCAGAGCAAGGAAAGCGGAGCTGCTTTGACGGAACCGCGGGCACTTTATCGTTTATCGGGTCCCGCCGAACCCTTATCGATAAGACGGTGATACTGATAAGTCGACAAATTCCCCGCAAATCTGTTTCTGATATGATTTGAAGCTTTTCAGATTGATAAATCACTCATGGCACGGGCCAAATCGGCTCAAATATAGGATGGAACATGGTTACCCTGGTGGGCCATCAACGCCTTGCGGTAGTGCTGCTAAATGGGCATATGCATCCGTACTGTCATTTTCGATTCCTTGAGGCCCTGTAGACTTCGATACATTCTGTCAAAGTCTCTAAGGTGTGTCTCACTTCTGAAGAACCTAGTTGATCATTCACCACTACCTAGATATCATTATCCACGCAATGCATATATACAGAGCCTTTGATGGTAGCATTAAAGTAAAGAGGGGAGGATATCAAGAAAATAACACCTAATCCCAAGCATCACCCCAATCATCATCCTGGACCTCATCTTTGGGTTTGATATCGATCTTCTTCGCAGGAGCCACAGCTCGAGGTTTAGGAGCAGCTCTGGTAGGGACGGTGTTCGTCGAAGAAGCCTTGTGCAAGCCCTTCGGAAGCGGGTTCTTAGTCTTGGCTTGGCTCTTAGCAGCCAGCCAGCCAGCAAAGTCGGGTTCGCCGCCGTCATCGTACGGCACCGCAGGCGACCTTGATGCGGAAGGAGCGGGAGATTCTGACTTGGGGGTGGCTACTGCGGCGGTGAATGGGTCGACTTCTCCTTCGTCGTCATCCATGGCGCCCCATGCGTCGAAGACGTCTTCGCCGTCATCTTCAACGGGCTCTGGGACCGCTGTCGCGGGACGGTCGGACAAGGAACGGCCCAGCGGCTGAGCCACTGGTCGAAGGGGCTGCTGCCTGGGCAGGCCTAGCTGAGCAGATGGTGATGACTTTTCTGGGCGTGGTAGAGAAGTAGGACGAGGGATTTCCGGCTCGGAAGGTTTGGTGGCGGTGGCAGTGGGCGCAATGTCGCCATCCGCTGCAGCAATCTTGTTGGTAAAGGAGGAAATGGCCCATCCAGCCCAGGATTTGTCGTTTGATGTGCCGATTTGAACATCTGACTTTTGAGGCTGGGGTGCGGTCGACGGGGGTGGGAGAACGGTGTCTGCCATGGTGCTCGCCGTTTTACGGACTCGCTGGAGATACAAATCAAGGGTCTTATTCGCCTGGTCTCGGACAAGCCTGGAAGTGGGATATCAGTATGATATTTGGACGTGCAAGGAGGGGGGGTGGTTTTACTTTTCCTTATCTAGCAAAGCCGGACATATTGCTGGCAGGACTTTGCTGGCACAATCATCGTCGGTGAAGAACTCGACCGTCGCGCCCAGTGCAAGAAGGCCAGCATTTCTGGCATGGACGAAGGGATCCCGGATTGCCCTTGTGAACGCAGCTATGAGGACCTTTGAACGGGTCTGGCTATCCATTAGCTCCAGTCTTGGAAGGCTATCCAGTTTTACTTACACTTTGACCGATGTTCTTGGCAATTTTTCCGAGACAGATAGTGGTATTCGTACGAATTCCAGGCTGTTCGTCATTCGCAGTACGAGCTAAGAACTTGAGCAGCTCTCCATTGATGACGCGATCACTCAACTTATTGATGACAGTCAAGACAGCCTTGACTGTCTGCTCTCGCACAACGGGCGCAACATCAGTAAATCCCGAAGTCTAGTAAATGTTAGCGGCGGCCAGATATCTTGTATCGTACTGACTAACCATTGGAGGGAAGATCTTGTCGTTCACAACCTTCTGGGGAAGATTGTCAATCATCGACGGCAGATTATCCAATAGGCACACACGCAAAGCACGATCGGGGTTGCTAAACAATCGTACAATGACCGGTGTTAGTTTCGCGTTGAATTCATCAGCCGAGAGCTTGGATCCAATTTTCAAGGTTGCTCCAAGCACTTTAGGACCTCCACCTCCAAACTCGACGGATTTCAGCAACTCAGGAAGGACCTTCATCTTGAAGAAGTCTTCTGGGAAGTCATCCGCCAATTCATCCAGCTCGCTGTACAAATACATTAATTCCAGTGATCTGGTGAGGGGAGTCAACATACATACTTTATGAATTGTTCTCTCTCAGCATCACTCTTCAAGCCCAAGCTTTCGACATCCTCGGACATTCGGATCAACGGGGTCTGGAAGAATCCACCATGCTTCTTTCCCTGCTCCAAGAAATGCCCCGGGCTCAAGCGAAGCTTAGGGTTCGCAGTGCACAGACGCTTGTAGCTCTGGTGCATGCTTGGTGGAATATTGGTAGTTTTGCCGACTTGGTCCCCGCCGGAGAAGTTCCCGTTAAAGACTTCGTAGATCAGGACCCCCAGTCCATAGGCATCGACTGCCGCCAAAGGATGGCGCTTAATGACATCCCAGCCTCCCTTGGCGACTTCCGGAGGGGTATAACGACCGCCGTCAGGGACTAAGCTCCCGTAAGTCTGTCGAATATCAGTATTCTCGTCCAACTCCAGGGTCTTGGGAACCAAAAGACTGACATAGATAATTGCGTCGTCCTCCTTCATAGAGCTCAAAATATCAAAACCCCCCAATTTCCACTCGCCGCTTTCGCTCGTGTATATCGAAGATGCGCGCACGGCACCATGCACGGAGGAAGCGTCCTCATTGACGAACTTTAACGTCGAAGAGATAGTGTACAAGCCCCATTTCGCGGTTTCCTCGCTCAGACTGCGACGCTTAGTCTGCCAGGCCAGGGGCGCAACCCTCTCGGTGACGATGTACAGATTCGTTTCCGTCTATCGAGCAATCAGTCTCAGCACAGGTGTATGCCAACCATCGAGCCACGCGTCTCCCCATACCTCAATTGTGTCCAGAACCTTTATTACACCCGGATGTCTCAGCGTCCTTGATTTGCGAACCGCATTCTTCGCTAATGGTAGCCGCGATTTGTTGGCTGCGATGTCAAAGGTGAAGACGCTGCAAGCAGAGCTATCGTCCTATGTTTTCGAGCCCCCATCAGCAAGCTGGCCACAAGCCAGCCGTGGCCGGATTTCTGGACCAGGGGAAGTCACCCACTCTTTTCGTGCCATTATGCAGTGTCCATATTGAATCCCCGATGTCCACTCGATCGCCCAGCGAGAAAGGGAGCGAGCTGCCCTTCGCGATCGCGGACGCGACAGCGGATTTCAGGAATTCCATCGACGTGGCGAGTTGCGGCCTGGATGGTTCGAGCGCCCCGGGGAGGGAGAGAAGGAGCTGCCAGTAGCCCGGAGCGACTTTTTCAGGAATCGAAGGACTCTGATCGGAAACAAGCAGGGACTTTGTTAGAAGTTGACCAACCCTGGAGATTCCAAGTTGGCGATTCCGCCCCGCCTTATCGGCCTAAAAAGTGGACCCGCAAAAACAGGGGGATTTGCGTATACGGGGAACCACGAGAGTTGGAGAAGCATGGGATTTGCGATGAGCCACCAGAGAATGTCCGAGTCTATGCCCCCGCTCTATTTTGATCATTTTGCTTTCCTCCTGCCCCTTCCAGTTGTCCAACGATTGACTCGAGTTCAATAGTCTCACTATCTTTCTTAACAGATCCATCATTTTCTTAGCCCGTTGCTTTGTTTTCTTGACAGGGACTAGTTTTGGCAAGATCTCAGCCATGATGATCTTTGAATAGTCTAAAGCACTCCATGGTTAGTCTGGGCCAGTTCCTTGCTTTTTACTCTAGTAGGCTAGGACTATGTGTGAGCCCACCATTTCTTTCTGATAGTCGCCGGGACAGCTGGGTATATCATTCTATGTCATTCGTGCCAATGTGAGTACTTCCAACTGCCAACTTGAAGGTTCAGATTCAAGAGCTTGGAGTTTGTACGGAGTATGGAGGATCCTATAAGTGCCCCCGGCCTCGCCCCGGGCTGGCCTGCAGTGACAAGGCAGGTTGAGACATCAATGATCCAACGGACCGTGCCTAGCGACAAACGTGATTTAGCTCGCGCATATGGTCGCGAGTGGGCCCCCGAGCATTTGACCTTGCCCACTCCTACACATAATTCAGACCCTAGAGCGCAGTGCCCGGGCCCGCGGGCAGACCTGAAAAGCTTACTGTCTAATTTTCATTCACAACCGAGATCACACCTATCCTGCTAAAGCCCTCCTATCTGGAATACATTTGAGCCACTGTTTGTGAAGAGGTACGATACAGGTTTTTCTCTCTAAGATATCTCTCTACAAAATACCCAACTTATGTGTCCCCTCGTCTCAAGTGTATCAAGCAATCTATCATGTCTACTACAGACACCCAGCCCGAAGACTCAGGGATAGGCACTCCTGATCCTCCAAATCAAGCTTTTATATCCCCGGGTCGCTCCTCCTCGTGGAGAGACTTCACCGAGGCGTCCGTCATTGGCTTCTTCGCTTTTCTACTCACAGAGAGTGTTAAAGGATTCTTTTCGTTCGAGAATTTTTTCTTCCGCTGCGGGATACATTTTCTATGGACGGTGCTCCTCAAATTTCTTTACCGGAAATTTCGTCAGATTCAAGTTCAGGATATAATGTATCCTAATGTGTAAACTAAGCGAGACTGTATGCTATGATGAGTGTTAGGAAACGGAGGCCCCGGGCTGGCGTTCCAACAAAAGGCGATAGTACAACCAAACAAAAAGGGAACTACGACTTAGTGAACGAACTAGTTACACAATTGAATGTGCACTCTATAAGCCTAATATTGAAACCACAAGGATTGTTCCTTTTACGTTCATCGACTTCAAAATTACTATTCAGCGGGAGAAGCCGCAAGATATACCGGCAAGCTCCCGACGCGCGTGGCCCGTGAACCTACGCCCCACTATATTTTCCATCTCGACTGTCACTTTCCAGTTCCCAGTTACACCTTCGCGCTCTCATCCCACGACTACTCCCAACAAGTCCAGGACGCGTCCCAATCTCTAAAATCAACCCCCAAAGCTCCAAATCCTCTCTCCCCTCCACCACCAAACCACTTCAAGTTAAAAAGTACGTTTTGTCCCCAGTTCTCACGCGTCCCTCCAAAGATGAGCAAAGGTAAAAGGGCAGACACGCGCCCAAGCAAACCACACCGAAGGAACACAGCACCGCGCAACCCCGACTCCAACTCTGCCCCTCCCTCCACGCAAACACAGCCATGATTGACATAACCCGGACTCAACTGCTGTCTTTAACCGCAGCCTGCGGGCGCGGTGGGTTGTCAGGCTGTGGACATTGATGTACTCTGTACGCGGCCACCTATGGGGTTCCAGCGCCTGCTTTGTTCTATGAGGGCCTACGGAACTAAAGTGCGGTGGCCGAGAGAGGGCGCGGGCTGAGCCTTTGCCAGGGCTTTCATTGCGTTGGATTTGGGCAGCTTGGTGCATGTTTGGAGGGGCTTCCTAGTAGTTTGTCCTGAGGAAGGGGTGGGGGCTGTGCGAGTGTGGTTGTACCGCGGTTGTGGTTGCGATTGGGGTGAATGATGAATCTGAAAAACTGAAAAGACCTGAGGAGATCCACCTTGCTATTTTCGTTTTGGTTATTTGGGAAAAGCTAGTGCTGACTCCTTCTATAGGGTGTGGATTTTTTTGTTCTTTTTTTTTTTTTGGAGGACTGGGGTATGGTTCTGTAATTGGGGTGCATGCAGAAAGAGGATTACATGAGTATAGAGGGCTGTTATGTCTATCCTGTGTTCGGTGATTGGCGCGAAAGAGAGAGGTCTAGTTCAAGGCCATGTGGAATACGGAATGGAGGGTTTACGGTAGAAAATTACAGGCACATGATACGATTCGTTTCATTGGCATCACCTAGAGGCTAGCAATCACCGTAGACTATTGCCGTCGTGTCAGATCTCTCCCACTTCGTCGAACGCGCTCACTCCTTGCTCCAAGTTTTCCCGTCCCCGGTCGATCCCTTGGCACTTCTGTGGAAAGACCTGCTAACGAATTCCAGTCGACCACTCCCCACTCAATATTGACACCGAAAAGAGATAGTAAAGAAAAAAAAAGGTAAAGCAAAGACGGAAGAAGGCAGACCAGAGCCCAGCGGTGTCAGGCAAAAACGAGATAGTAGTCGATTTTATGACTGCGGAGTAGGTGGGTGGAAGGACAGCAGTGGCTGCATCTTGGGATACAGAGTGGTTCACCAGCGGCGGTCACCCTTGTGGGATAAGGAGGCATGATAAAATAGATCCACCTAATAAGCCTGCAATGACATTAGTGTGGAAGCGGGAAAAAGGACCAACAGCCAAAACTCACTTTCCGAGCTCCAGCAGTTCTTATCGTACGGTGCCTTGACCGGGCAGACACAAGAGTGGGAAAGCAGGAATCATGACGGGGTCGCCAACATTGTGGGTGAATATGAATTTCTCCGGTGATGTAGAATGGCAGGCATCTAAGGAAAGACTTTGCCGATCTGAGCTGCCACAAAGGGCGATGTGGCTCATTTTGCTTCCTCGGTTGCCTCAGCCGAATGCGAACCAGACCCAGGGGTTGCCGGCGCGTTTGAAGACGCGGGAGGAGGTACCTGAGGCATTTGGTTGAAATTGCTACCGTTGTTGCGATGCTGGTTGTGAGGGAAATGGTGGGTTTGATGTGGGCTTGACGAAAAATGAGGTTGCTGCTGGGGGTAGCCACCGCGGCGGGGGGTAGATGGGCGGGCTGCTGATACCCGCCCTGTCCAGGAGCCATGAACATCATCTGAGGCGGCTGGCCCGATTGCGAGTTCTGGTGCATCATCATAGGCGCTCCACGGCTAGGGCTGGGATAACCACTCTGAGGTTGTGGTGGAGGCGCATGCGGGTAGGCGTGACCAGGAGAAGGAGAGTACATTTGCATCTGAGGAGTGTAGGGAGTCATGGCCTGGGGAACACCCATGTAAGGGCCATTAGATGTGTTTGGCATCATCATAGGCGCACCCATGCCTGGCTGGTGATTCATGAATTGAGGGCCATGGGCCCCTTGGTAAGGTCTCATATGAGGGGGGCTGGGGACCGCCACCGTAGACTTGAGGCATGCCCTGCTGGAACGGAAGTTGGGCATGGCCGGGCATTGGAGACGGATATCCCATGTGACTCGGCTGCATGCGAGGAGACGGGAAGACACCGGAGTTCGACTGAGAGAGCTGCATCCGGTGATTGTCATCAACATGAGGCGCGTGAGGGTGATGAATATGAGGTCCGGTAGGTGGCCCAGATGAGGGCGGCATGCCAGGATTACCCTGGGGGAATTGAAACCCATGAAGCTGGTGTTGCTGTGGCATGTGAGGGTTGTTTGAAGCAGAGCGTCCCTGTGGAGAGACAGATGGGAGACCAGTGGGTTGCTTGAACATCTGGTCATATGTCTTCTCCTCATTGCCCTCTCCAGCATCCCAGGTGGGCGCGGTCTTGTACGGCGGCGGGATGCCTCCATTGCTGGCGAAAAGCTTCTCGTCGGTGATCTCCTTCTTCATACGTTTGATGGGATTGAATTGGTCGTTGATAGACGGGCGTTCAGAAGCGGGTTGAGGCTTACGGGCGCCAAAGAATGAGGTCGGGGTGAGAGCGCGAGAGATGGATCGATTCCGCGAGAAAGGCCGTGGGCTGGCGGCGGGGCCAGCAGGGACAGCAGTACCAGCAGCAGAGGAACCACCCGGTGTGAAGGTGCTAGCAGCGGGGTTTGGCTTAAACTCCATAGCTCGCACATTGAACTTGGGTGTGGCAGATGAAGCGCTAGCCTGGGATTTTGCGGGGCTTGTAATGCGAGATTGCTCACTAGCAGGCCCGGTGGGGGGTAAGCGGGCGTCTTGGACGGGCAACGGAGCTGGGACAGGACCCACGGCTCCCGTCTTTCGTTGCTGAAGGTTATCTGCGAGTCGGTGGCCTAGCATACCAGTGTTCTGAACACGCGGCTGGACGGGTTGTTGGGGGAAACGGCCGTTGGGGCCTCCCAAGGGCCCGGTGGGGGGATAGCCAGGTCGGCCTCGAGGGAAGTTCTGTTGCCCAGCTGGGGCCGCTGGAGGAACAGTATTCATAGGCGCCGGGGTGCTACGAGCAGGAGTCTTTTGCTCATTCGTAGAATCACCTGACTTGCTAAGTGACTTGGTCTCCTGAGTACGGGAGATGATGGCTTCCTGCTTATGAGGGTCCTTGGCCAAGATTGGGACCAAGTCCTTGGGCACAGGAGTCGACAATTTGAAGTTCTTTGAAAACTTCATGAGCTCGTTCAACTTGACGGTGCGGTCGTAAGACGCTTGGTTGCGGCGACGCTCCTGCATCTTCAACTTTTCATTATTGGCAAATTGTCGGAAGTGATCGAGGACTTCGGTTTCAACATTTGCAGTAGCATTCTCAGGAGCAGCTCGCTTGGGCACGGCAGTAGGAGCCGTACTACCTGGTACGGACTTGGGATCGATTTCTGTGCCAGTTTTTACAGATGGCACGGAGGCCTGCTGCTTTTCGGCTGGGGCAGCTTCTTTGGTGACGGCTGGAGTAGAAGTGGGCGCGGGAGAGGGCTGTTTAGCAGGTGCGATTGGCGGCACACCGGGCTGGCGACGAGCTGGTGGGGTATATTTATTAGGCTGTCCAGACGCAAGGGCTGGGGAGGCCTTGGTCTCTCTCTGGACACCACTGTATTTAGCTTCCTCGTCATCATCCCCAGTGACTGGAGCTACCAATCCCCGTTCTTCGCGCATGTGAGCGTTGTCCACAGCACTGCTCTCAATCTCTCGAGCAATACGGGCAGCATCGGCTTGCTTCTGGCGGAATGAGGGGTCGGAACGATCAATGGTGGTAGTGTATATGTTCTCATCATAGTTAGTCTTGAGGCCAAACAGTCGGTCATTTGCCTCGAATTGATCCCAGCCTGTCGAATCACCAGCGGTGCTTTCCAGAGACATGTCGACATCAGTCTCGGCAGGTTCCCATCGCTGCAACGTACGTTCGCGAATTGCAAGATTTCCCGAGATGTCGGTATCTGTCCTGAATCCAGAGGCTGCACCATTCGATTCTTTCGCAGACACCTCAGCTGGGACAACATTCGGCACTGAGATATTCGCAACGTCCTTCATGTTGAATGTCATCACATGCTCGAGGCCGGACCCAAGATAGGGGCTTCTGATTTCGCTGACTCCATTCGCCTTGGGCTCACTCTCCTGGCTAGCATTCTGCACCATCTTCAGGGTGACAGATGAGTCGTTAGCTTCCAGGTTGGCAGCAGAAAAGATGCCAATAAACTTGTCACCCGCGCAAGTTGTCACCGTAGTGGTTAAGCCCTTGGGATAGCTTTATCAGCGATGGTCCGTTGATTTGAATAGATTAAACATAGCTGTCTTACAATGAAGCTGGCAAAGAGGAAGACAAGACGATCATGCGCATGATTCTCCGGGGTGTTCGACTCTTTCTGCGAGGGACGAGGAGATCCCGACTGGCGCTGAGCGGAATTTCCATTCGAGTGTGAAGAGCGTTGGGTGATGGGGTTGGTTCCTTGGGACCAGGCTTTGTGGGAATTTGTGCGCCTATGCGGTAGAACATGCCTCAGTCAGTAAGTGCAACCAAATCTTGACGGTTCAAACATTATGACGAGTAATCAAGAAAGCCATCCTCCAATATCCGCAATACAATTGGCTTGCGAAGGCGCACAATGCTCAGCCCACAACCCATCTCGCGAACGAGAGGGCACGTGCAACAGGTGTTATCGGGGCATGGGGTTGGTGGGATGAGATCATTGCGGGTAGCTCTTTGGAGGATTGCTCTGGGATCGGACCGGGGATGGACAAACGTATGGAAGAGGAAATCGCAGACAGGGGTATCAGGGGGAAAGCTCATCTCATTCGAAAGCACATACCGTTGACCACCTTCTCCAGGGCTAGCTGACTGGCGGCGACCGTCCCCCTTGGTGCTGGCACTGGGTCTTAGTGAAGGACGGCCGGAGGTTTGGTTAGAGGGAACCGCATTGCCCGAGGCATTATTGGCCGCGGGCGCGGAGTTGATCGTAGAAGCCATTGATTGACTCGGGTGTCAAGTCAAGGCAGGATTGCGGTCGTGGAACTTCACAGGCGGAAAGACCGCGAAGATGAGGCACGGGCCTGTACACCGCCTGCACAAACAGGGCTAGTGGGAAGGAGGGGGGCAAAAGGATGAAGAAGAATAAACTCTACCACACTCAAAAACGAGGGGTTAGAAAAATGTCTCAATGGAAAAAGGAAAGGAGGTGTGATAAGGAAATCGAATGGATGTTCCGAGACTGGGGATTTGTTTGGGTTGGGAGTGGAAGTCAGGTGGAAAGGAGGAAGTGGTAATGTACGGTAATTCGGTGCGACCCTGATTGACAGCGGGTGTGGGTGCAAGTGGGTTTGGCCTCGACTTTATCTTGCTCCGGCTCTATCCTGCTCTTTGCGGGGTATATTCTGATGGTACCAAGGACTAGGGACTTCATCTAAATACTGTTCACTCAGTCATGGAGCCGGATGAATTTGGGGACAGAATTGGGGACTATGTCCTGGTCTGAGTAAGTACCATAGAGGATAGCTGGGTGTGCATGTATATTTCCCGAAGGGATACTCTACGGCCAGTAGTATTGAGTTTACCATTCTCGCTAAGGAAGGAGCAAACTCTTATCGCAGGTGTCGTCGAATTATTATTTACTTTATCCCGGCTTTCGTATTTCCATTTCCAGTAAGTCCCCATAGTGCACCCAATGTGTATATACACCAACTACAGTACGTTGGGCCTATGCGGCTGCGGGTAAATTACCCGGTCCGCACAAATACAGGCCTTAAAGGACGTATGTTGATTCCTTATTGCCCATAGAATAGGGATGAGATCTGTTGGACACACCTCATGCACCTCTCGAAGGCGCAAAAGAAATAGAACAGTAAGAATCCCCACCGGAACAGGTCTACTCCAACAAGGCCAATCAGGCGCCACGACGAAAGCCTAGAGTATCTACCCGAGCGGGTTATTTGTGCGATCTTCAAAGTGTTATCCGGTCTGCTAAATTGACCCACCAGATCATTTCATAGTGCTTGTATGGTCTGACTTAGGGCTGTCCAACACCGTCCCGACCAGTATTCTTTGCCCGAGGGGCGCCTAGCCGAGGCGTCCAACAAGTGACCATTTCCAGAGGACATGGAACAATAAGAAGAAGATCTAGCCGACCGAGAAGCATTCCTCCATATCCACGGATGCGTATGTGATTCCTCACCGTGTCTAGGTGGATAAGCGCGGGAACTGCCGAAGCGCAAGTGGTACAGATCCAATAGATCTGTATAGATCGCTGCAGTCCAAAGATCGTGTGTTGATTACCGTCACAATACCACAATACACTGCCCTGGCCGCCTAAAACGGCAGAAAGGGTCGAACAACATTAGAAAAGCGGGTCCTTCCATACGTTCCATGCAGAGATCCACACGCCGCCCTGTTCAGAGGTGGTAAACCTGAGAGGCTGGGCTCTTGGCGTTTCTGACGCCTTCCCCCCAATCCTTATCTTTCTTTCATCTTGCGGTCTTTTGCAACGGGCAACGCGCCATGGCTTCCACTTCAGGCCGCAGCTCCTCTGCGTCTGGTCGTGCCCAGTCATCCAAAACTGTGGTAAGTTGACTCCCTCGGTCTATTGGGCCAACGTCACCCAACGCTGGAGATCCCTTGCTAACGGCTTCTCTGGCACTGCGACAGCCCGACAAACAAATTTCTCAGATCGAAAAGAGCGTGACCCATCTCTTGGTAGCGACCAAACAACTGCTCGAGACTTTGACCCAGTGGTCTCGTAAACAAGCCTCCGAAACTGACGTCTCTGATGTTTATGTGCGTCTGGGATATGAATTCAACCTGGCATGTCGAGCCTTCAATGCCATCGGCGTGGAAACTTCGGATTTGGGGCCGGTCCCGGATATATTGCGCACGATCTTGGAGGATACATTAAGTCAAGATGCCTCCGCACAAAGTCTGGACAAATTTCTGCCACAAATTCGCGACATCATCATCAATCTGCTCCACGGCCTCAAGAAGAAGCAGGCCCGCCTACGGTCAAAGCAACAGAAGGAGGAGGCGGCGCGAGGCCTGCCCGGTCGCCAAGCGAGTGCTGGAAGTATCTCCAGTAGTCAGTCAAACATGGGACAACTTTACGATGAAGCAGCCGCTTCTACCATGGCGCCGGGTACCGTAACGTCTCCAAGGCGATCGGCCCGTCGTTTTGGTAGCAGTGGATCGTTAGAAGAAACTCCTGCCGGACATCGAATCTCACCTCCGACAATGGCTGAGATGCCTGGGCCAAGTTACACCGATCGCGATATGTCCCGCCGAGAGGCGCATAACCTGCTCAGCCAGTCACCTGAACTGGTTCAGTCTCAGCCGATAGCCCAGCCAGGCCCACCGTCCGCCCCTCCCGATTTCCCTGCTCCTCCTCCGGCCCCCAGACAGGACGATGCGATCGGCGCGTTGCAAAGAAGCGGAGAGCTAGAACGTAGGGCATCTCGTCGGTTCTCGCAGTATCAGATTCAAAAGCACCTCGGTACTTCGACAAACGGCGTTTCCGTCCTGCCCTCGCAAAATGCACCCATGCCCAATCGCGGAAAGGATGTACGAGAATCCCTTAATGCGGTCCGGCTTCGAGGCTCCTACTCTCACTCCCGACAACGCTCATCCAACCGTCTACAGGAGACGGTCAAGAGTGCCCAGGCTCAGGCTCAGGCAAACATCCCCCAGCCAGTAGCAGAGGAGCATAGTGAGCGGTCTCCTGTACCCCCACCGGGGGTAGCGAAGAAAGAACCCCTCGGGCGAAGGAGGAGCAGCCTCCAACAGCAGAGAAAGATCTTTCCCTCCCCGCAGAAGCGGACAAGACCACCCCAGATTTCCCCCAGCCTCCTTCTGGTCCATCCCTGGGTGATGCTTTTGCTCCCGAGAAGGTTGCCCGCCCAGCACCTTCTACTCGCCCAGAAACTCCCAAGACATCTGCCTTCAATGCATCGGAGATTGCTACTCCACCAACAGTCCCTAGTTATGTCGGAGACCAGCCTTCTCCTGGGAAGGAGCTGACATTGTTCCTTCAGTATAGAACAAAGATCAAGAAATATGTTCTGCCGGAGGGAATCACGGAGTTGACTATGGGGCGTCTTCAGCTGGCTTTCATCGAGAAGTTCGCATGGAATACACACAACAATGGTGCTGATCTCCCTGAAATCTACATCCAAGATCCGATCTCTGGAATTCGCCACGAGCTAGAGGATCTCAATGATGTTAGGGACCGTTGTGTCCTCGTGCTCAATGTCGATTCCCTGGATGAGGTTAAAAGACATTTTGATGAAAGCTTCACAGGCGTGCGAGCGTTGGTCGAAGGCATGAAAGAGACATTGGTAGGCCAAGGCTCTGCTATTCAGCGAGTCTCTGATCGCCAACTTGAGGCTGCCAAAGAACTGGCACGCCTGGCCGCTGCTCCTCCCCCACCCAGCGGAGTGGAAGCAAGCCCCAGCGGTTCTCAGCTAGCGCCAATGGCCGGAAGCCGCACTCAAGTCGCCGAATTGCAGAATTTGCGTCGCGACCTCGCTGTCCTGCGGCAGACATACTCCAACTTTACAGCGGATATTGCCAGCTCAATGAATGCGGTGCGTACCAAAGCAAGCCAAGTCAAATCCGCTGCCGAAGTCGTTGCTATTCCAACATATGAAGGAGATGCGGGCCGCGCCCGTGTCAACACGGGCAAGAAAGAGCTTGCCGGAGAATCAGAGCGTCTTGTTGCACGCGTCGATGATCTGCAAGATCTTGTCGAAGATCTCCGCAAGGACGTCGTGACTCGCGGTGTTCGACCTCTGCCACGCCAACTTGAGGCTGTCAACAAGGATATCAGCAACGTCATGAAGGAGATCAAGAAGATGCAAGACTTCCTTGGCCGCGAGAAGCCCATCTGGACCAAGATCTGGGAGAAGGAACTGCAGTTAGTCTGCGAAGAACGAGACCAGCTTACCATGCAAGAAGATCTTGCTGCTGATCTCCAGGACGATCTCGAGAAGGCAGCTCAGACCTTTGCCCTGGTCGAGCAAGCAACCAAGGAGCAGGCCATGGAGAAAGCCAATGGCGGCCCTTCACTGCGTGCCCCATCTCGGTCTCTTGGCATCGATCCAACCATCGACCCGATGAAGGCTAAGGATGGAGTATTGGGAGAAGTCCGTGCGCTACAGCCTAATCACGAAAGCCGCTTGGAAGCTATTGAGCGTGCCGAGAAGAACCGCAAGAAAGAGCTAGAGACTCGGCGCATCGGACTTTTCCAGAAGGAGCTTGGCAAGTTTGTCCAAGAGGGCAAGCTGAAGAAGAGTGGCGGCGTGGAAGAGGCCGAACGACTTCGTAACGCCAAGGACGATCGTATTCGGAAAGAGGTCTGGGATCGCCAGCAGGCCCGCAACGCCGAGATGGAACGACAAGAGGCGGAGGCCGCTGCTGCTGCCGCGGCTGAGAAACCCGAGGGTGAAGAAGGGGGTACCCCAGCAGAGGCAAGCGAGCCTGCAAACGATACGTCAGCGGAGGAGGCCAAACCTGAGGAGCCCGTCGAGCAGACTCACGAGGCTGAACCCGTCTAGACAAAGTTGGTGGTTGATGCCTCGTGGATTTTATGTCATATCTTCCTTTTCTTTTCTTTTTTTCCCCTCCCTGCCCTTTCCCATCATACGCTGCGTTCACGACCCCCACTTTCGCATTTCAGGTCTATCTGCGGCGCTTTGTTATATCATGTTCATTTGCATTGCCTGTCACTTTTTGACGATACCCAGTCACGTATTGTGGCTTGTTTCCCAGTTCTTGTTTCGCGTAGCATGGAGTCCCACAATTCATTGTCTTGTCTATCGAATCCTACGATACATTGTCTATCTAATTCCCGATGTTTGATCGCCATTATTGCATTTTATTAGACTCAAGACCGTGAGGTCATCGCTTATGCCCTCTCTTCGAGTCGCGTCTGGCAGGCAGTCTTGCCTCTAGCCAGCGCAATTTGAGGCCGCATGCGGACGCTCAAGGAACTGGTTCAACCCCCCAGATCGACGTCAATGCTCTTGAGATGCACCATGATGAAATGGTTCTCTGCGTCTCTTTACGGCTGTTCACCATAGAACATGACAGGACCATGGGTTGAACAGCTGAACTGAGTTAAACTACAATCTCGAGGATGCCAATGGCTGTACTCCTTCACTTTGACAATGTACCGGGGTCGGGCTCGAAACTGTTACAATATCTTGCTTCAGCACCTCACGGACGGTTTCTAGACAGTAAGAAACCAAAGAGGAAGCCTTGTGATACTCCGTGTGTCAAGAATAGATATATATCATCCTACCTATGCTTCTGAATGTCCCTTATTGACCATTATTTTGATTGAAGTTCTATACTATTACTACCAGGATTTTTTGAAGAAACAAACTAGATAAACGTGTGGAAAAAAGTCGAGCCGCTCCAAAGGTAAATAAGATCGAGGAGAGGAAATGATGCAGGTGCGGAATTCAAGTTCACACTAGCGTTGTTATTTATCCTTGTGGTCCACGCTAACTAATCAAGAGCTAGGTTAACTAGTATGGACTAGCAATAAGTTAGTATATGGAGCGGTGACGAATACATGTCTAGCTAAACACCTAACTGGTCAGGACTTATTTGCTTAACTCCACATCCAGATTGTGGTTTCAGGGCTACCGACAAGATTAATTGCGATGGCTGGTCAACTGCCTTAAGTCGCGCTGCGCACCGGCATCACCGCCACTTTAGCTACCCGCCGAATCCGAATTTACAAGCCAATTCTACAACAAAAGATATCCTCAGCGACACAAATATCCTGCTTTGGCCCGGATCACAATCCTGACGCAATCTTCCAATTCTCTTCACGTGGTGTTAGATCTTGATACTTTTATCTACCTCGATAAGAGCTAAGATCCGCCACCTCGACGACTCGAGGGCTGCGCTTCGCAATTCACATGCGGCTTTTATTGACATTAGCTGTTGGTCTGCTCTCCGGGTCAATATGCTCGGCCGAGCAGCATGTTGACCCGTCAGCGCCAGATCAGCGGAATCGTGGCAATGTCCACAATCAAGAGAATGAGATCCTACGACGAAATGCAGATATTGAAGCTCGACTAGCTCAAACTCCTGTGCAGGGTGTGAAAAAGATGTCCCACGACGAGGGCGAGAAATTCTTCCTGGATTACTGGACCTTTGTCGACGACTCTGTGGGCCGGCAAGCCAAGCGAGATGTAGAGGGCGCGCCCAACGAGGAGCTCTTTTATAATAATACGAACATGGCTTCAGAGGACTCTGGCGAGTACGACATGATCCTGCCGAGACACTTCCCTGCCAAAACCTCACTTCCCCAAGAGCAGAGTGTGGACGGCGTGCTCGGGCGCCGTGACTTCAAGTGTCCGACCGACACATACGCTTGCTTGTCCATTGGACGCCCCGATCGCTGCTGCAGTATACAAGATACCTGCCAGCTCGTCCAAGACGGGGTCCGGGGACGTGGGATGTTGTCAGAAAGGACTGACCTGCTCCGGGGAGGTGGGACTATGCCCGGCCAACTACGAGACATGCCCGCAAGACTTGGGCGGCGGATGTTGTATTCCTGGCTACGAGTGTGTTCCTGGTGGCTGTGAGTACACATATATCAACCCCATGTCATACGGCCCTGGATAGCGAGACTAATCGACTCCCGGTTTTAGGCGCATATGTTGCCGTGGTCACCATAACCGTCCACTCGTCCGTCACAGTATCAACCGTGACTTATTCGACTACTCCGCAGACGCCTTCCTCGACTACCAGCGCCCATACCACGAAGACCGAAACCACGGATAGCCTCGTGCCGCCTGCGCGACCAACAAGTCTTACCACAGCAACCCATGCGACCACCAGCCGGGTCGATGTCTGTCCTACAGGGTTTTATGCTTGCTCTGCGGTTTATCAGGGAGGGTGTTGTCAGACAGGACGAGATTGTGACACAGCATCGTGTCCGAAGACCGCTTCGACCACATTTGTGTCTGATGGGGTGACTGTTGTCGAGCCTGTTGCGACCGGGGCTAAGGGAACGGGGGCATGTGCTGGAGGCTGGTTTAGCTGTGCGGATGAAGCGGGCGGAGGTTGTTGCCCTTCGGGGTTTGTTTGTGGAGCTAGCTGTACTGCGACCGCAGCAAAGACAACAGTGGCCAAGCAGCAGGAGACCGGGAAAAGTATTGCGACGCAATTGAAGAGTAGCAGACTCGGGCTGGTAGCTTTAGTTATGGGATGGATGCTGTGAGGCTCAAGCTGTACAATAATGGAAATGGGGGGGAAGATCAATTCCCCCCCACGGGGTGGAGGATTAACCGGTGAGCGCAAGAATGTTAGTGACTCGGGTGACCGCCGAAGATTACCGACACCGGAAACTCCATTCTCCTGCTCCGCTCGGAACAGCTTCCTCTCTTCTCTCTTCATCTTCTTCATCTCAGGGTACGTTTTGCAATTTTGCGCTTCAGGAGCCTTTCCCAAAGCCGTTGTTTCATAAAATCCAATTCCATATACTCTGCGCCCTTGCTCTCGCCCATTTCTGACCTCCCTCATAGACCACCGCCATCATGTCCGACAAGCAAGAGAAGCCCCTCCCCTTCGTTTACCAGTTCGCCGCCGGTGCGGTGGCTGGCGTGTCTGAGGTATGTGTTCCTGCCATTCTTTTGACGTATCAACAAGCTTTCAACGGCATTGTCTTTGCGATCACGCGCAACTAATGCATTTCCCCGCACGAGCAGATTTTGGTGATGTATGGCCCCCCCAGCGTTCCTGTCGAAGCAGACCGACCTACGAAATACGAACCGATCAAGGGATATGAGGGAATTCTAATTGACAATTTGTGCGCTTATAGGTACCCATTGGACGTTGTCAAGACTCGAGTGTAAGGCCCCCATCGGAAGAATCTCCGAATGCAGACAGAATCTCGGAAGAGCTCCTAGCTTACCCGAATCCACAGTCAACTTCAGAGTGGCGTCGCCACCGCAGGTGCAGAGCACTACACTGGCATGTTCGATTGCCTGAGCAAGATTGTCAAGCATGAGGGGTATGTATCCAACAATTCGCCTTCCGCAGTGGGGAAATAAGCACGGTCTCAATCTAACCCGCACTGCGACAGCTTCTCGCGCCTGTACCGCGGTATCTCCGCCCCCATTTTGATGGAGGCTCCTAAGCGTGCCACCAAGTTCTCCGCCAACGACAGCTGGGGAAGCTTCTACCGCAACTTGTTCGGTGCCCGAAAGCAAACTCAGGGCCTTGCCGTCCTGACCGGTGCGACTGCCGGTGCCACTGAAGCGTTCGTGGTCGTCCCCTTCGAACTGGTCAAGATTCGTCTCCAGGACAAGGCCTCTGCCGGCAAGTACAATGGTATGCTGGATGTGGTTAAGAAGATTGTGCAGACCGAGGGGCCTCTGGCCATGTACAACGGTCTGGAGTCCACCCTGTGGCGTCACATCCTCTGGAACGCTGGTTACTTCGGTTGTATCTTCCAGGTTCGCGCCCAGCTGCCCACCCCTACCCCCGGCAACAAGAGCGAGCAGACCCGTAACGACTTGATTGCTGGTACCGTTGGTGGTATCGCCGGTACTATCCTCAACACTCCCATGGACGTCGTCAAGTCGCGTATCCAGAACACCACCAAGGTTGCCGGCCAGGTGCGCAAGTACAACTGGGCCTGGCCTTCCTCGGAATCGTGATGCGCGAGGAGGGTTTCGGCGCTTTGTACAAGGGATTCATTCCGAAGGTGCTGCGTCTTGGACCTGGTGGTGGTATCCTGCTCGTGGTCTTCACTGGTGTGATGGACTTCTTCCGCAAGATGCGTGCGGAGTAAACGGGGCTTTGATCAGAAAACACATTATGCCACCGAAATCTCAGGCTGCGATCAGGCGAACCGTCCACTGAGCACGAGCTCGGGTGGCTGGCTGGTATGCTCTACCGAATCGATGGCTGGGCCTCGATATACCCTTTACCTTCCATTTGCGTTCATATTAGATGCCAAAATTCATGGCGACCAATGGAGCTGTGCTATATCCTCTGTTCCTTCTATCGCGAGGCAGACTAGAGTAGACCTACAAGATCTAGAAAAGACTGCACTTTCCAATTCGATTCCATACTTCTCTTGCCATTTCATCGATAGCGTTCCATGTTAATTTCCAGAGGAGACCATACTTGTTGTGTCTACACCAATCTTCTAAAAAAGACTGCCGACCTGCGGATTTTCATGCGGCGCGGTTAGCACGTGTACTTTGAATATCCTCAATAATTACACGCCGCCTTGACATGTATTCAAGATACGGCAAAATTAAGCATATTGCTACTTATGGATATGAAGGAAGGTTTGGCGGAAGTGATTATCTTGGGCTAGCTCGCGAAGCTTAATCTTCGATAATGTAGCGTACGCAGCCCAAAAGCCTGGGTGGACTGGGGGCCGTACTAAGCAAGACAGAACTAGAGTGGATATTCGAAACGAATGTCTTCTTTTCTAAGAGCTAGTCTCCGGGGGATCCCCGGATAATAATGGGAAATAAATGTGCTCCTTCCACCCTCCGGCCCTGTCTGAGCCTGACCGTGTGTGACACTTTCTGCCCGCAAGAAGTGCTCTCTTTGCTCTGGTCGTCACAAGAGCCAATGGCCTTTAACATCTTGTTCCATCTTCAACATCTTGTTCCAACCAGGAATTCCTCTTTGCTTTCTTTACCCTCTTTGACTTTCTCACCCTGGTAAGCACAATCTCCACATCGCCGCGAGCTTCCTCACATGTCCCTGTGAGAATGCTAATGATTTTCTCAGCCGCGATAACGGGCTGACAGAACTGTCACGGATTCCAGCTAGAGAGTGTACTATATAAGGCGTGCCTGGGTATATCCGCACACGAAGCGCGGATATGGTAGTCTTTTGGCTTAGTTGATTGAATATTAGCCCAGGGATGTTCCTTCACAAGAACAGACTTCCAAACGTGGTGATTAGAAGATGATGACGGACGTTTATCCCGTTCCCATGCCTCGTAATCTAGATGGCTAGGAAGTAATGAGTGCGATAGTCTGATTACCCCATTTTTCAAACCGGATTCCTGATCGACGCCGACTAATCCGACGTGTAATGCATTTCTTGCCTTCCATCATTGAGACTCAGCCAGAACCGCGTATCAGAGTTTAGCTTTGCGTTATTCCAAGTACGCGAATTCAAGAGTGACGGACGGTAAACGAGGTATCCCACAAGCAGCGATTTTTGGGTGGGCAGGCATAGTCAGCCTCTTTTCCTCTGGACGCTCCCCCAACCTCTGCACTCGTATATACTGTGATGGAAGTAAATGAGTTCAAATGAGTTCCTCGGGTTGATGGCATCCAACGGATCCTGTCTGGGTTGTGTCTGTGTTGTGTCTGTGTTCTAATTGTGTTGTGTTCGTCTTGCCTCGTTTTGCAACCCTTCCGAATACTCCCCAGAGATCCGAAGGTGGCCAAAAGCAGTAAAAAGAGTGTCATGTTCACGCGTGGCTTTCTTAAGTGCAAAATTTTGGACGTTTGAGTTTTTCAGTGTTAACTCAAAGAGGTCCTCTCCGTCAGTGCCTTTTTTCTCGCCGAGATCCCTGAATTGGGACCGTCATCACGTTCCTTCGTCCAAACTTTCGGGAATTGTGTTTCCTTATTCGTAATGGAAACGTGATGAGGACTAGGATGTCTTCGAGAGGTTTCGAACCGTCTGCCCGGAAGCTATTCAGCATGTTTAGCTTCAAGCCCGTGCAAAAGAGCGGATGTGGCAACTTTTTCTCTCCACGCAAAGTCATTTTTTTCAAGCCTTGTCATATGCCCAGGTGTGTGTCCTGCCACTTACTCATGCCATCAGAGAGGATGATAGATCCAACTGGGTAGTGTCGTGCAATCTCCCTTCTTCGACTGATAGGTTAGATGGCTCGCACTCATCGAACAGATTGGTAAAAGCGCACATATTAGTCAACGCATAAAGTGACATATTTCGGAGCGTGCACAGGTAGGCTGAATCCCCATAGTTTCCCCAGGCTACAGCTTTAGCCGTACCACGCCCTCTACTAAGGTAGGACAGCCCTGGCACGCTTCGCTCCATCATCCAAAAGGACATGCTTTTTATCATCTGAAGTCATGATTTAATCTTCCAGGTCTTGATTCCCAAGCATGCCTCTTGCATTGGACAATCAACAGCTTCTTTGCTCTTGTAGGATCCGGGGATCGATATCGGTATGTGTGGAGGTTGGATAATTCATGCCTGCCGTATTGCCAGGCATGTTGGTCCTGGGGCCTGGTTATGTATCCATCTTCAGCCTTGAACTGCCAGGTGAGAATGAGGTTCCACACCCTGTATAGCAATTTCTTGTCTGTCGGTCCTGCGGTGCGGATGAGGTTAATCTCGGATTTTGCAACGCCATCATCTGTTTGAGGTGTAGATAGAGATAGGATAGAGATAGGTTCCTGCTAAACATAACAGTATGGTATTGCTCCGTGTTTCGTATCAGTGGATTCAGCGTTGACTGTGTTCTCCCTTGGGGGGCTCCAGAAGAAGGAGGCTGGACTCTGTGTTTCCGAGCCATCGTAAAGAGGGAATAGTTGGGATATGAGTGGAAGCAATATAAAAGTGAGAGATAATGTGGGACACGAAACTATTTGGTCATTCTCGTGAGGTATAGGGAATTTGTCTCGTGTGTGATACAAGGCTCAAACTGGCCACACAATGTTAGCCATGTGTCGTTTCTGGGAGAGGAGTATTCAAGTTACCCAAGACGTTGTGAAGTAGTCAAAAGTGTAAGAGCTTCAAGTTTGTGAGGATATGGAAACTCAGAGCGGTAGGATAAGGTTGTGAAATTCTGAAATTGTCAGAAGAGTAAGAGCTTCAAGGTGATGAGGACATGGAAACTCGGAGTGTTAGGATAAGGTCGTGACATTTTAAAGTTGTCAAAAGAGTAAAAGCTTGAAAGTGGTGTGGAAAGTGGATCTCCAAGGTGAGAGGAGAAGATCTTGTAGGTTGGCCATCTTCAAATGTAGCAAACAAAATCGGCACATGGAAGTGATTGATGTACGGGGCGGTGAGGTCTAGAGCTACCAAAGATGGGACGATCTTTTGGAGGTCGTGCGACCGCTTCATGTTGAGGGTGGTCGTTCGAACCTGAAATTTTGACCTCAAAGTCATATTCCTTCGGTAGGAGAGAGAAAGTGTATTGTCGAGGGAATAGAAAGTCAGAACCATCGGTCGTACTACTGTACCCTTAAACCGTTCAATTTCGACGAAGTAGTGAAATATATGGATGGCTCCAGCTAACCCAATCTGGCAGAAACTCAAGGTAATTCCGTCAATTTGAAATCGCCACTGAATATCAACTCCTTGACTACACAGATATGATCTCTTAGATGAAAATGACGGCAAAGATCCCAAACAGCGTCAGCCACAGTCCCAGAATAATAAACGTCTTGGAGACCGTCTTGCATATGGCCGCCCGGTTCTGTCGCGCATGGGTCCGTTCCATGATCTTATCGCAAACCTCGCAGTGTGTATGGTCTCTGCCAGGGTTGCGCTCGACTAGCGCAATCGGGGTTGAGTGGGAGACGTGGGAGTGTGCATTGTACTCGACATCAGCGTTGTCCTCCGGAATAATGCGCGAGTACTGGGTCGCAGAAGAGAAGAATGAGCGAAAAAAGGTTCTAATGTTTTCTGGGCGGGAGGAATAGATTACCCCGGTAGCTGGATGGGTTGGAGGCTCTTCGTAGAGTTCTTGGTAGGATGGGACCTCTTCAGTTGAAGTAACAGGCGGCGCGGGTGAGTTGCCCATGGTGGTTCTAAGTTTGGGACTGGCTGAATGTAGACCGGATGAATATCGAAGACAAGAACAGCAGTTGCCAAACAGATGCGAAGGCCTCCCTTATGAAGTTACAATATACAGGATGTGATTATCTGCATTTCTATCGATCATGTTATGACTGGTGCCTGTTGTACGGGGGGCCCTAGCATAGCTTTGCTCCGCCACAGGCCCCAGGCAACGAGATAACACGCCTGTCAGGCTGAACTTGGATATTTTGAGATGCATAACCTCTCTAGTAGATAAATGTCTTTGCTTTAATTGGTTGAAGATGAACATAAAACTTGATATTTGGTCCCTGAATGATGTTGTCCTCGCGGATGTTGCTACGGAGTAAACCCAATGTGCTATTTTAAGACAGCACGTATTGGCGGGGTAATAACAATCCCTGAATCTTTGATTAATAAAGCCCGAAGGTAAATACACTAGTTCTAGTCCAATTATATTGCGTTCTTAGCTGGTTCTTTCCAACTTGAGGTGCTTTGTTCTGCGCGCCGCGAATCCTCGAACGTCCCACTCGAGCACGATATCTTATCCGAGGACGCAGTAGCCAAAGCACCATTTATGCTTTTCTTTGTTGAGCTCTAAAAAGGGCTGGCGCCCTTGCGTTCAGGTGAGTGGTAGGGCTTCGCCTGCACTGAACTACTTCGCGTCCTCGGACTGGACGCCGCTCGAAGCTTTTGGTTGTTTTTCTTTCTGTCTGCCAGATATGCCATGTCAGTATGACAGAGTGAAGGGCGACATATTAAAATAACTCTCCGTCGGAGCTAGTGACTTTGGGCTCGAACAAGGCATTCTCTGAATTCTGCCTTGCCCTATCTGGCGGAGTCTGTGACTCGGAAGGGATGATTGGCCGATAGTGGAACTTTTGTCAAATAATAGGGGACTGCTGTAGCCTTGCTCTCGTGGGATCGCGTTGCGGCAACTGCAGAATAGCAGTCCTCACATGCGGCTGCCAGGTTATTACGGGTTGACTCCACCAGACGGTATTGCTAGCAGTACATGGTGCCTTAATTGTTACTTGCTCTCACCATGTTTGCAAGGACGGATCTGAGGGAAGAGAAAATGATTGCCCCACCAAAGAGGAAATTGGCTGCGGGCGGCTGAGCTGGATTCGCTTTGTGGGGGCGGCAATTCTTCTCCACGATCTGCACGGAACACGATGTCCCTGGCCATGAGAGTGGGACTTTCCAGCGGAACCAGAAGCCAGAAGGAATGAAAGGAATTTTCGCTGGGGTTCCCGAATCAAACATCCAGAGAGGGACTTAGGAGTAACCTCACGGGTCAGAGTAAGCCTGGCTCCCGACCCTTTACGTATTGGGAAAGAGTCTAAATCTTACTTTTAGAGATGGCAAGGGGCTAAGCCTTGTGGTTAAGATCCTGAATCCCATTGAGCAACCAACCATCTAAATCTAGGCTTTTCTTCTATATTGGTAAGCTGCTTGGTTCCCACCTCACGAGTACGGCGGATATCCGAGACGGGTATGGGCCCATAGCCAACATGTCAGATCCATGGATGTATACTCTACACAGAAGCGATAAGCCCTTCTTTGGGTGAAAGACTGCAATGCAGAGTTTTCGGTGTGGGCTCAATGCCGATGGGTATAACTCGCGATATTTTACGCAGAAGGGGCTAGCTGGACACCAAGACAGCTAAGCTAGTCCAAAGCAGAAACTCCAGTGAGCCTTACAAAGCCCCGTTGAGCCCAGACTGGGCTAGGTCCGAGCCCCGGGATTCCCGACGATCAGCATGAAATACATGGAAGATTCTAAAGCTTTACTGCGAAGTTACTAGATCAGGGTTCAATGGAATGGTTCAATGGGGGAAGGATCGCTTGCTGAGTTTAGGGGGGCACAGGCCCTGGGGTTTCTAAGGCCCGATCGAAATACGCCGCTCGATTGGTTGTAAGGCCGCATCTCTTTCAAATGTACAATTTGCATGTCTAGGTGCAGAAGTGGCTGCGAAGAGATACTCAGCTCTGGACTTTCATGTGAGACAGGGATGATGAGTATGAGTTGCTTCATTTGGACATTGAATGGACTTTCGGCGTGGAAATGTTCGAGGCCACATATGAAAGCCTGGCCCTTATTGTGGATGAAATCCTTTGGGGTTGAGTAGGAAATTCCAAGGATCCAAAGTTGGCTATTTCGGAGGTCGCAACCGTAAAGAGGGGGAGGCGGTTCTAGCTCACGGGAGCCATGTGTACAGGATTTATTGGATACGAGCAACAGGGATCGCTGCGACTTACGGATCCGACCCGGAAGAGCAAACGATCCAGTAACCCATGGTTCATGAGGGCGCTCCCAAGACTTAATAAAGACTGATGTGAATCAGTTTCAAACATACCCTGATTGCCTGCGCCGGTTCAACCCCGAGAAAAGAGGTGAAGGACAAAAGAACTCGAATCGGGTGGGGTACTTCAGTGGAGCCGGAGGCGTGCACTAGCGGCCGAATCCTTAGAGCCCTAAGCCCCCTACCCGGCAATTAGAGCGTGGCGTGGGTGGACCCTCGAATTGCGGCTAACAGAGCAGCCCAATTACGGCGCTCGTCAGGCCCGCAATAGCTCAATTCAGGGAAAGACAAAGCCTCTTCTAGAGCGCCTCAGTTCTGACGTGAGCAAAGAGACGCGGAAATGGCAAAGCAAGGCTCGGCTTTCCACTTTTCCAAAGCTGCGCCCACAGGCCCCCCGTAAGGGGGCCACACGATGGACTCTCGCCTGTAGACTTCTTTTCTCAAGTTTGGAACTTTCGTCTCGACTTCTCACCTGGTTGGGAGAACTTGTATACCGCAGCTGACACTGGACCGCCCAGCAATATGCGGGTTGCATGTTCGGCTTTGAGCCTTCTGGCGGCCTCGCTTGCTCTTTTGTCGATGGTAAACGCTTTACCTCAAGATCCCGCCATTACAGCACGTCCAAAGTTACTTCCTCGAGCAACCTCCACGGCGGCCGTAACACATACAGTCACCGTGGGAGCAAAGATCAGCCCGCATGCGTTCGTCCCTTCAAACATCACAGCAAACCCAGGTGATACCGTTCTATTCGAATTCTATCCGACAAACCACTCTGTCGCAAAGGCCGACTATCTCGCACCGTGCGTGCCAGCAAGTTCCGGCGAATTTTGGTCCGGCAGTTTCAATGACTTTGATGAGGATGGCAATGGACAGCTCATCGGTGATGTAGGTCCTACGCGATCTCTACGGAACTTACGCAAGCACTAGAACTAACTAACTAATCGTTAATGCTTAGCCTCCAACATGGTCGTTGCTAGTCAATGATACCGAGGTAAGCCTTCGTCCACCTCGACCATTGCACGTCTTGAAAATTACTGATACTCAAGATAACTCCAGCCAACCTTTTTCTACTGCACAGCAATCGGATCTTGTTTACAGAATGGAATGGTTGGTGTCATCAACCAGGTACGTCTCAAACATATCCCGTTGCAACTGTGCATCATTTCCTAACAGCCAAAAGAACTCGTCGCAAACATTCGAGTCACAATACAAAGCCGCTCTGAATTACCCAGTCATGACAGTCCCTGGCCAATCCTTCCCAGCGGAGGGAAGTGACTCGGAAGGAGACGGCACGAACACCTCCACCTCACCCAGCAGCGGTCACCACGGTCTCAGCGGAGGCGCAATCGCCGGCATCGTCATTGCCATCGTCGCCTTCCTCGCCATCCTGGGTGCTCTATTCTTCGTTCTCGGCCGCAACCGTGTTTACCAGAAATGGATGACCTCGCAAGACAACCGCACCGAACGGACGACCGACTGGGCTATGTCGACGGCCGGGTCCACCAATCATTGGAACCGCAAGAGCGAGACCGAGGCGGCCAGCACTGCTCTTGGATCGCCCCCCCTGGAGACTGGGCAATGGGGCGAGTTCCCGCAGGAACAGCGATTTTCAGAGGCACCAGATACTTCAATGTCTGCCCCCCGGAGTCAGCAGCAGCGGTTGTCGGGAGGCTATGAGGGGTCCATTTCACGGAACAAAACTCCTACTGAGCTTCCGGCTTATGACCCCCCTGCACAATACCCGGACCGGTACTAAATCAATTGCTTTAATATTTATTATGGGTTAACTGTACTCTTTCCGCACGGCCATGGCGTTATTCGTAAAGGAGGATTCTAGTGGGATTATCGCCTTTGTCACTGCTACTGTCACTGCTACTTCCCAATCTATTCCCAGTCATGTTTGGACATCAATGCCCATCAATACCCTGTTTATAGCCTGGATGATAGCATCCCCGGACTTGATCAAATAAAATACCATTCCTGATGGATAGTACATGTAGTGCAAGTACGACCAGTTGATGCACGTATCTTAAGACGGGAATTTTCTTCGGACCAGAGGCCCAACCCGCCAGGATGGGACAAGGCCATGACGGCAGATAACAATCCTAATATTGCTTCCTTGACGAGAAGAACTGATTCTTGGGAGAACAAATGGGGCACGACACTAATGTACTGGAGTACCGAGACAGGGAATGTCTGGGTCGTTCGTGAAGACGGTTTGGGTCTGACTATGAACGATGTTGCAATGATGTGCCACTTTGCAAGGTATAAAATACAACGCATGTTCGAAGACGCCCTGGAATCGGGCCCGAGCTCAGCGAGTAGGCAGAGGGTTTTGGATTTCATTACTTGGGAGAATATGGTTGCTCATTGGGCTCGGAATGACATGCATTAGGAATGTAGATGCAGAAAACGGAGAAGGCTATACAAGAAGGACATTAGGAATATTTCTCGGAAGATATTCAGTGGTGAATCGAGTCTCCCTTATCTTTCGTGGTGCTTGATTCCACCGAGAATTTCACCAGGGTATACTCTGCATGCAGTCAGCCCTTTGATTTTTCTCCGGAATTATTGAGGTAGACGACCAAATCAACCGGCAAAGGAGCAGGGAATGAAGACAACTGCTCGGATTTGGCATACGTGTGATTTTTTGCATTCTCGCTTGCTTGTCCCTCAGCCCACCAATCTTATCTCTGTGATATTCCAGTCATGGTATGAAGGGTTCTCTGAGGCGGATTATCGTTGGATACGGGAAGTGAGAAGGTTACATCTATGGAATGTGCCACTCACTTTGTGCCGGGGGAGTTGGCAACTACATTCCTGAGTCACGGCGGGCTCCATCAACCTATACAGCCATAGTGGTTTCGATCAGGCGTAGCTCGAAACATCATATTACAGGTAGATCTATATGCGGGTTCTTAACGCGGTTGACGTCCATTTGCGTCAAGGGAACAGTAATGACTCTGAGTACGACTACCATATAAGATTATGGCAGACCTTGGTTCCTTGGAGGCAATCATCGAGCTGCAAACATGACACAATGCGATCCAGACGAGAGGCTCATATACTTGGCCTGCCAGCATATCTTTCGAGGCGCCAATTCTCAGGTCCGAAAACTGAAGACGGTCAAGGCATTAATCAAACAACATGAAATTGCTCTCACCGATATCCTACGAGAACATGATATTAATCGCACTAGCACCGTGGCGAAGAAGCTTCTGGAGAAAGAAGTCTTTGACTCGACCTTGAAAGCGAAAATCCGATTTCCAGAGTTATTCGACGTGTCGCCAACCCAGAGTGCTGAGAGAGAAGCCTCAGAGGAAGAAGCCGCGCGGGATGAGGCCAGCACGGTGCGGGAAATCTCTGACAGGGAGGCTTCAAAAGAGACCGCCATCATTCCACACACCGAATCCAACGGTGAAGGAAGATTGGGCGATAGTCACCTTATGCCGGCGATCGTTCCAGAGAAGGGTACCGGTTCTGCTCTAGGCGTGCAATCGCTCTATCCCGTTTATATTCACTATCGGTGTCAGCACCTCGTTTTGACGACTATACAAGAGTTACTTGAAGAGAGCTGCTTCGCGTTCGCTCAGCAACATCTCCCTCAACTTTTGACACGGAAAGGATGGGACTGTCCGGAGGCGGTCGAACTGACCGAGTGGACCAAGATACTCTCTTGCCAGTCGACGCCGCTGGCCAGCGCTCTCAAAGCCCCACTTAGTGACTTTATTGGCCTCCTCCGAGAACTCCGCCATTCTGCTGTGCACCGCCTTCGCAAAACTGCCGCGGGCGTGGAACGGCTTGCTGAGAATGCACAGCTTTTCCTGGAAGCCCTGGAAGACCTGACGCGGTCAGAAAAGGTGGGGAGTCTACGACGGGAGCTGCGATCCGCGATTGAAGAGCTCCAGCGCAATAAGAATCTTTTGGAAAAGCGACTGCTTGATCAACTCAAGGAGATAAAAAGGCGTCGTAGTGAGTTGGACGTTTGGGAAAAGAATGCGAAGGAAGCTATGATTCGAGACGACTTGGAATGTTCGAGGGATATTGGGGAAGGGCTGGAAACCATCGTTCGGCGAAGCAGATTGAAAGATCAGATGGGAGCGGACGAGCGAAAGTTGCCGGATGTGTATTCGGAGTCTTTGGACTCTGAAGAGGAATTTCTGGATGCGACGTTGTAATACCGCAGAATTGAAGAGTGCGAGAATGACGGATGTCTTTCCAGCGTCAGTAGTATACAAGCTACCTCGGTATTCTTTACAAGATGCAGATGGTTTCACAATAAGCTCCTAGTCTCATGGGCTGCCTCGATTGCGAACGTAACAAAGACCGTTTTGGCAGATGCCTGGTGTAACTTAATGGGACAAATTCACTTCTACCAGCTCGAGTAGATCTCTTCCCCGGGGCCATTTGGAAGCGCCTTTAATCAGCTTTCCGCATTCAGATAGCTGCCTCCCAGCAATATGGTCTAGTTGTCCACGTGAAAGGTTGTGAAGCCATTAGGAGAGCAATTTCATCACGGCAGGCCCGGTGACCAAATAGCAGTTCATCGGTTTCATATTACGGGTCGGCTGAGAATCTTGAAGGCTATTTCCCAGGACTGTTACCGGTGGCACTTACAAGGATAAATACACAGAGCTTTTCTTCGCCTTCGTTTTTGTAGTCACAATGCGGTCTCAAGACGATACAGGCCATTGCAAATCAAGTGCCACGACAAATTGGTTGGAGTGATTCTACAAGGTGTTTCGCGGCGTGCAAAGGAGCTGTGGAATTAGAGTCGAGCCATGTGGGGAACTCATGCAGAACCCTCGGCCTGGCTCCCCAGTTGCGGGGGAATGATCGCGATGTAATGCGGGGTTGAACCTCGGATCTCGAAACAACAACAAATAATGTGGGGAAAGTATAACCGCCCGTCAGCAAGGATCATGGATTCATGCACTACTTTATTATCAACCACACGCAGAACTAGTGCTGTTCGTCCCATCTGGAAGTCAACGGAGCTGTACCCGAAGCAATGACAACCACAAAAGCGATTATCGCTCTTGAGCCAAAAGAGCCTTCCAAAAGAAACTGGACTCTGGAAGAGATCCAGGTCGATTCTGCATCACTAGGAGAGAACGAAATTGCCGTCGAGATTATCGCAACTGGGATATGCCATACGGATATCGTTCTCGGTTCAGTTCCGACAGGCACACTAGACATTCAGTACCCGAAAGCAGTGGGCCATGAAGGTAAAACCACCCCAAGAATCTATCTTCAATTGCATCAAATAGTAATGTCTAGGGCGGCCTCAGGTGCGGGAATCACCCGGGCTATCGGCCCTAACGTCCAAGACCTTGCCGTGGGCGACCCAGTCCTGCTATCGTTCAACTCGTGCTCTTCATGCCAGCAATGCGAGGCCAATCACCCGGCCTATTGCGACTCATTTGCGCAACTGAATTATGTCGGGAGCTCGAAAGCGATGACCCGGCGGGATGGCGAGAGGATTTGGGCGTCGTACTTTGGACAGTCTAGTTTCGTGCAACAGACTGTCGTCAGCACAAAGTCCGCTGTTAACGCCAAGGGCCTTATCCAGAGCATCGATGAATTGAAGCTCTTTGCAACTCTGGGGTGTGGATTCCAGACCGGGATGGGCGCGATTGAGAATACCACGCAGGCGGGGCCGAAGGATATCGTCATGATTGCTGGGATGGGTGCTGTAGGGATGGCTGCGCTCATGGTGAGCATCCTCGACACCCCTGTTGCCATCCAGACTCTAACCCGGACTATGGGGATCAGACGGCAAAGATCAAGAAGTGTAAAGCAATCATAGCGGTCGACCGGACGCAGAGTCGCCTTGATCTAGCCACCGAGTTGGGGGCCACTTACACGATCAATACCAGTCATGAGGGGTTCACTACCCTCGATGCCGCAGTGCGGAAGATTGTGCCGAACGGCGCTTCTATTGCCATCGATACTACTGGCGTGCCCTTGATCATGGAGCAAAGTCTCCAGGCGACGTATACGCTGGGCAAGTTTGTTACTATTGGCATTCCGCCGCCGGCATATACCCTTAACATCAATGTCACTGCTCACATCAACGTAAGAATCTATCCTCCTTTGCGCCTTGGAAGCTAACAGCGTATCTGCATTCGCAGTCTGGCCGGGCTATTCTGGGATGCATTGAAGGAGATTGTGCGCCCAAAAAGGTGAGCCGGTTGTCGAGGAGTTTCAACCCCAGACTAACGCGGCTAGGCTATTCCGCAAATGATTCAGTGGTACCGAGAGGGCCTTTTCCCAATTGACAGAATGATTGATTTTTTCGATGTACGTGGATCCCAGTAGAATATATTAGGGATTACTAACACGATCAGGTCTCTGAGTTTGAAACAGCCATCGAAAGTATGCACGCGGGCGGGTCAATCAAGCCGGTTTTGGTATGGGAATCTTAAGGAGGCATAGAGAATAGAAGTTGAAAACAGATAAGTTCCATAAAATATCATATTGTTAACTCGTATCATAAGTCGATACGAAGGTTGATTGCATCACCTCCTACTGTGAGTAGTAGCTTAGGCAGCGCTGTTGCTGGCAGACGCGAAAGCCAGTTAAAAAGTCCCTGGAGGCCCACTGCCCATCCAAGGGAAAGATATGGAGGCAGAAGCTGGGTCAAATAGGATCAGTGCAATAGCCCTGGCAAACTCATACTACATACCATCAACTACAGAAGCCACAATGAATACAGGAAAGAAGCCAGGATTCAGAAGTTGAATATAATCCATGAGCGAGGATATAAAATTACATAAGCTATCCAACCAGAGCAAAGACAATTTCAAGTAGCAAAAAGCATGACCATTCACACATATCACATAAGATGAGGTATTCCGCTGAACAAAACAAAGTCACCGAACACCGCCCAAGATGCAATGCATCACTTCAAACCCTTAGACCTCAACGTGAGCGACCTTGGGAGCAACCACGGCCTTCTCATCCGTGACACCCATATCATCAGCAAAGGTAGAGTGAGGCTTCCATTTGCTCGAAGTACGCGGGGTAGTCTCTTCCATCATCTTGTCGACCTGCTCCAGGGTCAGTCCCTTGGTCTCAGGGATCAAGAAGTAAGTGTAGACGAAAGCGCAAGTGCAAAGAGACCCCCAGATGAAGAACACCTTGGCCCCGAGGTTGCCCTGGTCGGTGTCAACCATGTAAGGGGTGATGACGGCGATAATGCAGTTCCAGAGCCAGTTGGAGGCGGTGGAGAGCGCGACGCCGCGAGAGCGGATAGGGAGGGGGTAGATCTCGCCGATGACGACCCAGGCACCGGGGCCCCAAGTGCTAGCGAAGAAGAAGATGTAGATGCAGATGAAGGCGATCATCGCGCTGACGGCGTGGGGGTTCTGGCCATCGGTGACGCCGATGATGGCAACGATGAACTGGCAGACGACCATGCCGAGGGCACCCCACAGGAGGAGGGGCGGCGACCGAGCTTCTCGATGGCGTAGAAGGAGATGGGGGTGGAGCAGACGTTGACGATGGTGGTGATCATGCTGATCAGGAAGGGGTTGGAGATCGTGCCGAGCTGGGTGAAAAAGGTGGTCCCGAAGTAGAAGACGAAGTTGACACCGGTCCATTGCTGCATCATCTGGAGGGAAGTACCGAGAACGGTGCGGCGCAGGTTGCTGTTCGGCGAGAAGATGCTGCCGCGGAAGCAGTTGGCCCAGCTGCTGAAGTAGCCACCTTGGGGGATGGCCTGCATCTCATACTGGAGGTTGGCGTCAATCTCGGTGAGTTCAATGGAGATGTACTCGGAGTCGATGGGCTGACCGCGCAGACGGGACAGAGACTGACGGGCCTTCTCCTTGTCACCCTTGCGAACGAAGTAGCGAGGGGACTCGGGGAGGAACAAGAGACCGGTGGCAAGGATCGTCGCCCACAGCAATTGCAGACCGACCGGGATCCGGTAGGAGCCCGAGTCAGAGCGGTGCTCGGTGCCGTAGTCGACGCAAGAAGCCAACATGAGACCGATGGTAACACAGAATTGGTACCCAGAGACAATCGCACCACGCGCTTTGCGAGGAGAGATCTCTGCCATGTACAGAATGATGACGGCAGAGACGAATCCCACTCCGAATCCGGCAATCAAACGACCAGCCACGAGCAGGCCAATGCTGGTCGAGGCAGTCTGTAAGACAACACCCACAGTGAAGACGACGCAGCCAGCAATGACCGTGGTCCGACGACCAAACCAATCGGCCAGATCCCCAGCGATGATCGCACCGAAGAAAGTACCAGCAGAGAGGATGGAGACAATCAGGGATTTGCGGGAAGAGGGAATCACGAATTGGTCGGGAGGGGTGGTGGCTTTGTCCTGGAATGGGGTTAGCACCAGTCAAACTGCACTGCTGCAGCGGTGAACTTACCAAGCCCTCAAAAGTCTCAATGAAGTAGTCCATGCCAAGGACACCGTTGATGTATCCCGAGTCATATCCGAAAAAGATACCGCCAAAGGCAGCGAAGACGCACATGAGGTAGGTCTTCCAAGTGACCGGCGCCTCAAGACGCTCACCCTCGAGGCTCTGCGACGGGCTCTGCATCGGGGCGAGAGCCGTCGCAGACACCTCGGGAACGCCGTTTGTGTCGGTCATTGGGTACGTTTGAGAAGTGACTAGGCTCGATAGAAGATCAAGGGACCGAGCAATTGGTCTTTGAAAGATGCACAAGGGTCGTGATATATCAGTGCTCAAGTAGGGTGATATTATAGGTAAGGATGATGAATGCAGAAAATTGACGTGGGAAAGCAGGAATGTTATATAGTTGTTGTCCAACGCATTTGGGAAACTGGAAAAGACAGACTCGGCTCCGATCTACAACCCCAGATCAACCCCGGCTACCCCGGGGCATCGGTTAGACACGCGAAAGCGGCTCATGACCAGCTAAATTTTCACAGACCCATGGACTGGGCGAGAGTCTAAGTCCAATCCAGCCTAATGCCGGAGCAGCAGTCCCAAAACGCATGGAAAATTGCCATGCGACCGAAACCGGGGATGTTCCTGGTCTGCACGGAGCCGACCGCAGGGGTAAAAAGAAGCGGCCATCCCCATTGGCGGGAGACCGCCACGGCCCCGCGCAGGGGCTGCGAGAAGCCGCTCTGATTGGTGGTGCACCGATCTCGCGAAAATAGACGAGCCAAACAGAGTCTCGGCTGGCGACCAGTCTGGGGTTTTCGGCTCCGGATCCATTCGTTTCGGGCCTCAACGTGGGAGCTTTAGCGTCTGATTGGCCAGGGAACCCGATTGCGCCACATTTTCTTTTTTCTTCTTCGTGACTTCGGGGCTGCAAACGCTTCGGCATTCCGTCTTCCTGCGGCCATTCCATCGCAGTCTATACTTAGTCTGCTCTGCGCGTGACCTCGCCTGACCTGTGGGAGAAGCTAAGAAGCTAAAGGAGCGGACTAATGCACGCTCTGTATTCCCCTCATTAAACTTGCTCTCTGGGCACGCCACAGAACAGTCTTAGCGTCATGCTAATAAAAGTACATGGTAAAACGTGGTTAACCGTGCGAAACTGTCCCACCTGCCAGTCGTGTCGAGCCTGGTTGCTGAACCGGGCGATTGGTCAAGGGGGCCCAGGCGGCCCCCGCGAGTTAATATTGACTCTGGGCAGACCATACAAAAACAGAATTGACGTGCCATTGAGACCCCACTTCCACGTTGGAGGGTCCATCGGCCGAGGAATAAGAATTGATTACAGCAATTAATAAGTTTCGCGTAAGGCGCGGCTTTTGGGTTCAGTGGCACCGTGTCCCGCATGGTCCTTTCAGTCAAGAAACTATCTTGAAGCCACCGTACGATTTGTAGCACTGGCATTGTGGAGGCTACCGATGGGACGCTACAGCCGTCATAGGGTCTACATCTTAACAATAGGAAGTTGGAAAGCTGCAGAAATGGTCATGTGATTGTGCGGGAGCTGGCCTTTGCGCGATGAGCCATAAGCGCTCAGCAAAGAAGATGGGGATGACTGAAAATTCGAGTAAAGAGTCTCAAACCCTAAGCCTTCTGCACTCGACGCAATTCCTCCGTCTTGGCCTAGCCAATCCCAATTAGGAAGGCGATTAGGTGGTTCATGCTTGCCCTTCCATAGTTTGCATACTGCCTCCCGGGCGGGGTATGGATGAAAAGCTTGCAGGAGACGCTCTGTCACCTTATCCTTGCAAACCCCCGTTGGTAGAGAATCCAGCTTTGGAAGCAGGCTTGAGGACGCGCTTGGAATCACCTAGGTTGCAATTTTCAGAACTTACATTCAAGCATGGACAGCCGCGGGAAACTACCACTTTCGTAATTTTGCGTGGAAAACCCGAATCCGAGCGTCTCATGGTCCCGTGTGGGAGTAAAACAGAGCAAAGCTTCACGGACAAACCCCGGAGATGCGGACCAATCACCCGCATCTCCAGGCCGTTTGAGCGGACTCCACGTCGGGTCTCCAGCTTTCCCCGTGTCGCTCTCCAGACTCTTGATCCCGACAAGCCAGAGCCGTTCCGGTGAGTGCTTTTAGTTAAGCTCGGTATCCCAGCAAGCCGGGGATTATGGGCCCGCGAGCTCCTGGGTATGGATGGCGGGGATTTCTGGCTCGGCCTGGTTCCGGAACGTGTTCTGGACCACGCCCCGTGAAGAATTTAAGCAGACGGCGCTCGGGGAGGATCCAATGGATTCCAACGCTCAATTACCCGGCTGCTACTAAGCATACGAGATTCGCATCCAAATTTGAGCCGTAGGCGAACCGTGATTTGTAGAAGCAAGAGCCTATTTCTTCAAATTCCGGTCTTGAGCCAGACAAGCGTTTTCGAGTTAGAGTGGAATTTCTGAAAGCCTCGCTCTGTCAGTGATCATAACCATATTCTTCGCGGACCAAAAGTCTTGGCGACTTCTTACCCTGCAAATCCATCAGGAGTGATGGTATGGGACAATATTGGGATTCTCCAAGACTCCATTCGATTGTACATCGCGCCATGTCAACCTGAGAGCTGCTCGCCACGGCAAATGCTTCAGCTCCAACGAAATGTTCCAGTCCAAGCCGAAATCTGAAAGACTTTCCGGCACCAGTCTATGAACAGATGCTTTCATACAAGACAGGCGGCATTCTTAGCCCTCTAATGGCGATAGTTTCTTGGGCTTTTTTGCAGGACCAAGGCCTCTCCAAGCTACCGCCGAACACCTTAGGCACTGACGCTGGATAGAACTAGCCCAGGATTTCTCCGAACCATCTCCGCCTTGAACAGATACCTCGAATTCAGCCAAGAATACACTATGCCGGAAGCCGGGACCAGGAGCACGCAGAGGCCCAAGCGCGATGCACAAAACCTTCAAAAGCCCCGATGGCAGCCCCGAGGGATAATCCAGTTCACTCAACAATATATAAATCTGCATCAAGATTATTCTAGAAGGCTGGAAAATTGTTGAATCAACTGCCTTTGCCTTCACCTGGGGTGATCATAGGACGACACCCCTCCCGAGGTATGTCTAATTCAGTGACCCCCAGGTCAGTTATCCTCAGGTCATATGATATTAATTGGGCAAGAAATCATGCCTGATTATCCCTAAAGTATTTCTTGATCTATAATGAAACCAGTAAAAGTCACGTACACTTGAAAGATTCCATTGTTCTTTGTACTTGAGGTCTACCACTATCCTTACCTTGACTATGTTGAATACTTTGGCCTTGACATCGAACCTGACTTGAATGACTCCCGTGCTTCGTTTACTTTGAACATATTCGGCCCTGGTACTTTATTGTGCGGAGATCATTCAGAAGGAAATGTGGCAAGATGATGACAGACTGCCAGCTAAATACCGTCCACATGACATATAGGCATCATTTAAGCATTAACTTATGAATCTGACTGGCAAAATCCAAAGCCACATGATTTGTTCTGAACCACCGATCGTGCAATGTTTCAGGTAGCATTAGGCAGAAGTTCCACCTATTTAGTATCGTCAGACCTTAGCGGGTGCTGAATTGGGCAGAAGACATCGACTCAGGCAGAGGGGGTGTCTTTCCATGATCGCCCTTACATTAGTGCCCGTATCGATCCATCCAGGCAAAGCGACGCACCTTACGGCCCTAAACCAAACAGTGACGGCCGTTGTTGTTGAATCAACAAACGCCCTTCCAGCCACAACCGGGTCTATGGATCCACCGGCGCACCCCGCATTTCATCACGGAATGCTCCCACGCTCTCGGCCCCGCACTCATGGCAAACCCTGCATAAGCCCGACCTATCTAATAACTAGATTCAGGACGAACTATCAGACCAGATACAAAACATGTACCGGCACGCGAAGCCCATTGGAAACAAACTCCTCGAGGATGACATTCGAAACTCCAGCATTCATAGCCGCCAACGTGGCAGCCGCCTACCTCTTCGCGTGGTGCACCACACCACCGAACTCTACCGCCCCACCCAAAGAGCACACGGTAAAAGACCGGTTGCACATTTTCGTTGGCCGTTTCCCGACCATCGTCCGCACCGGAGTCACCGCTGTCATCTTATACCATACTCTCGTAGCCGGGCTTACCGTATACGCACCTGCCCGCGTCGGGCAGGCGTGTCCGCGGGCGCAGAACTGCAACGCGGCTTTGTTTACATGGAGCCCGACGACGATACTATCGCTGCTGAGTATCTATGCGGGGGCTGCAGTGCGGTTGTCAGCTTACGGGGGGCTGGGCCGGTCGTTTACGTTCCATCTTGCGGCGCCGGAGCGGCTGGTTACGAGCGGGGTATATGCGTGGATTCAGCATCCCAGCTATACGGGTCTGTGGCTTATTGGGTTGGGGCTTGAGGGCTTTCACCTCAGGTGGGATGGGGTTATGGCGTGTTTGGTCCCTGAAGGGGTTTATGCAATGTTGAGTGGGTGGGGACTTACGTTACTAGCGGGGATTCTTGCTGTGGAGGGCTTTCTGACTACGGCCCGTCTTGGGGATGAGGAGGAGATGTTACATGAGCAGTTTGGGGAGGAGTGGGAGGCGTGGCATGGGAAGACTGCAAGGTTCGTTCCGTTCTTGTTCTGAGGCGCGGAGATCCCGGTGGAGCAAGAAGTATCTGTCTATAGTTGCAAGAGGGGCCTCGCGAGGGGACTGAAGGACATAATGTGTAACCTATACGGAAGGTCAGTGGGAGTACCATAGGAAAGATCATCAGATACTTGACGATGCATGGATTGGCACTATCCTATGTTTCACCCCCGCCAGTCACATGTACACGTTCATAAACTTCGTACATATACCGGCCAGCACTAATCAAACACGGGTAATTTGAACATCCCTGAAAGAGCCGCTGCCATTACTTCCAAACAAGCCTGCCGCTCCACGCAATAACTCGCCGCCACGAAAGGTGAAGCTGGTAGATGTGCCTCCCCCATCAATCAAAGTAGCCACGAGAGTCCTGCCCTGTGTAGAAAGAGACAAATGATATTGCTGGTGGACTTGGACGCCGCCAGGAACGGGCTCCGAGTGCAGGGTATCCGTCTTGAAGTCACCCACTTGGTATAGTGCAAAATCCCCACGACTGCTGTCAAGGGCAATCGCATACCGACTGAGGCCGTTGGGACCCGTCGCTGAATTGGACGCTCGCACCAGGATACCCACGACCCCCGAACCACTGGTTATCATAGCATTGGCACTAATCTGGTAGTCCGTCCATCCAGAGGACCCGGTAAGAACAATCGTGGCCTGGTCACCTGCAGGCGAAAAGGCAAACTGGTCCTCGAAAATGGACCAGAGTCCGTCGAACTCGATCCATCCAGCGTCACCAGCGGTGCCAAAGTCAGACCTGTATGGCATAATTCCGACCGGTGCTGCACCGGTGCTCTCCTCACACTCTTCCCCGTCCGCCTGCGTGTTCGCTGAAAGCAGAATACTGCCGTTTGTCAACGCCAGCAGATTCGGACTGTAACCAGTGGGACAGACCCCTCCGGCCGGGATATACCAAGGAGCTGAAGCCCAGTACCAGTCTCCTTGTCCGTGATTGGTGTTTATGTGAAGGACATGACGATTTTCAGCCGTAGGTCCCGGCTTATCTTTACCAGCACTGGCAGAATACCATAGCTGTGACCTGCTGGAAACAATCAACTGCTGTCCCACAGGATCCCAAATGGAATAAGGCGTTCCCGACGCTTCGACGCTGTCGGTCGAAGAAACAACAACTCCAGCGTCGTTCTGGTTCCACGATACGCCGTCAGGGGACGTCTTCCCATGGACCACACAGAGGCCACCTGGGATGCTCGTATCGCACCACTCATAGCTCATCCAGTACTGTCCATTGTCCATTTTTGCGACCGTAGCCATACCAGGCCGCGCCGACTGCTCAGACGCCGCAACGTCCCAGACCACATCGCTCCAAGTATCCCCGCCGTCCTCAGACACCACATGGACAATCATCTGCGAATGGGAGCTATAATCCCGCTCATCGGAGAAAACAGCAACGAGGCGATCCCTACTGTCTAAAAACAGAAATGGTTCCCAAATTCCACCTGAGTACCCTTGCGGCGCCCCATACGGCCGCGAATACCCCGTCTGCCAAACACCAAGCGCATCCCACGTCTGCCCCCGATCCATCGAACGCCAGGAGAAAAAGGCCGTAGTATTCCCATCATGCAGATTCCCAACCAGCAGCAGCGTGCCCTCGGGGTAATTCCCAAGTTGCTGGGGAAATTCAAACAAGAACGGCTGGTAGAAGTACAGATTTGGCACTCCCTCCGGCGCAGACACGGTCGTCACCGTCTCCCATGTACTCCCCTGGTCATCGCTCTCCCGGACAACAAAACTGCTAGCCGTTCCATTCGAGTTCAGTCCAGTTGTCTGGTAATCTGCCTGCAGGAACCAGTGTTCGAAGGTCGCGAGTAATTTGCCATTTGCGTCGCCTGCGTGCTGTAGCTGGATCACGCGCGGGTAGGCCGCGGCCTCGTTGTTGTATATAGGTTGCCAGAGGAACTGGGAGGCAGCTACTGCTGAGGGTGCAATTGTGGCCAGTGGGATGATCACGCGCAAGGCGCTGGTAAGCTTCACCATGGCTTTGGCGTGGAGCATATCCCGGAAACAGCACCCCTGGCATAGCTGCTTCGCTATTTAATAGTTCTCGACTTTTTGGCGATCGCGCACGGTCAGTTGTTTTGCTTTGGAGCATCTGTTGGTCTGGTTATGATCGACAGGTTCGAGAATGTTACAGTGGTATGCACTGCTGCACCTGGCATATTCTCCAAATAGACCGAATTGTTCGGAGCGCGGCCCTCGTGGCCGGAGGATATGCAGGGACTATGAAACGCCTCATAGGGAAGATTAGTGCTTTCGGTGCTTATCGCCATATGAGAAGTCGTCGAAGTGGTATATGCGCGAACTATCCGGTCAATGGGTGCCTGGACCTAGATGGTTTGATTAAAGGGATGAGAGATATGCTGATCCCATGGTAGCCACGGCAGAATAATAATGTGTTAATGCTAATACCGGGATCTTATTTTATGGATGTCTTCCCACCCTGTCCAACGGATTGATCATTGGGTGCTGATCGAGTGGGAGCGATGCAGTCATGGGATTCTTCAAATTGAGGCGCCATCGGTTCTTTTTTCCTCGTCCTGAACAGTCATTGACTTCTGCTTTGTAACGTAGTATTATGCTCTGTTTCATCGGATCATAAACTACATTGTTGGTCGGGGTAGACACGTTGCTTCTAGATTGTGGAGATCGCGTTTGAAAGGATAATGGTACCGTAATGATGCAATTCTAACTGCGCAATCAGTGTATCAATGTATCATAGTACTGTTCAAATACCATAGCTTGAGTTAAATCTAACTGTCCCTGCTCCGGTATCCTGAGTTCTTAAGTATAAATCTTGAACAAGTTCCAGTCTACGCCGCAGCCGGAACCGGCCACTCGATGTCTTCCCCTTGGCCCTCCAACCACGGCAAACAGGCATCATATAATCTGCCAAACTCACCACTGCAAAGCTCCACGAACCTCCCAAAAAGCTCTTTATCAAAGCGCTCAATAAAGGCCAAATGCGCCGCCAGAAACAGATCCGCATAGCTCGGCCTCTCGCCTTCGAAGAACGGCCCGGTCTTCCCATCCCGCCCTTTCAGCATCGCAATCAGCGGCGCAGTCTCCTGTTCCACCACATCCCACAGTCGAGCTAGGGCCTCTTCGTCAGTGGGTCGAACCTCTGCGAGCGGTTTTCCAAGCGCCGCAGATCTCGTCTCGATGAAGTACTCTCTTCCCCTCGGATCTAGGTGCTCGGGTACCCGGGGTACAATCAGTGGCCTGAACCCCAGCTCTACACGAGCGAGGAATTTCCCGACAGCGACGAAGATCGCGTAGCTCGCGTCGCCGGATGGGAAAAGGGGCGGGGATGGGAATTCCCTGTCAAGATGCTGCGCAATGGCGAACGAGTCTATCAAGCCGCCGCTGGGAGTGAGGGTTGCGGGGGACTTGTGGATGATTGCGGGCATGGTGTATGGACGGCCTTGTTTATTTGGCGGAATACCTAGGCTGGTTTCAAGGGGTTGGATATCGGGGTAGGAGACCCAGCTTTGGGTATACTTGAGTCCTTTGAAATTGAGGACTGCGCGGGCTTTTAGGGTATTATAGGACCATGATTTTGATGCTCCTAGCATATATTAGAGGTTTAGGTTAGGGGCCACAGGGTTGGGTTGTTGCGAACCAGGGAAATCGGAATAGAGGTCGAAGAGATGAATTGGGTTGGCCATTTTCTGTTTTGCTCCGGAGGTTTTTGGAACGCTTCGTTGAGATTGAGTGTAGCCTCTATATATATCTCGAGCTCGGAGCAGCCTACACTTAGATTTCCCCCGTAAGGTCTACAATGGGAATCCAAAGTGGGTAAGAGAGGATGCGTCATTTGGGGGCCGTCGGGACGAACGCCGGTGGTTGATCCATTCGACTATTGGACGCAGAAAGAGGGGCTGATGACTCGGACCTGCAACTTGGTGGCCGTCTGCCCCCCACCGAAAGCCCAGATTGCTTGCGTGAAAAGGCTTTACGGTGCAGTAATGTCCCATAATGAGACTTTGTGTGATTTGCGTCCTGTGAGGATAAATGAAAGCTATCGATCACCGCATCCCAAGTAGCGGCAAGAGCCGCGTCGGATTCCATCGCCAAAGAAGCACCCATCCTCCCAGAAGAGACGACAAGCCTGTGAACAAAATCAAAGGCCCATAAGAAGTTCCGTAGACAAAACGCGAATTGCCCGAGATGGTTCCTGCTTTCAACAACTCGATTCCCGCGACTCCGCCACTTGCATACCCTATTCCTCTGACACCATTCAAGAGACCATAGAGCATCCCAGAGTCCACCGCCTCGTTACGCTCGGCGGATTCAAATTCCATCTGCTTTAGCATGCCTCCCCACGTAGCGCTGTATCCACTGGAGAAGAAACCAAATGTCATAGAAAACACGATGAGAAGTCCGATGTTCCCTTCCGTCGTCAAGCCCCAGAGCAGGAATGTGGCCAGGGCGGATGAGACGGGCGGAATCGCAGAGACAACTTGAGCGGATAGCTTTATGTGCTTATTATCGCTCAGCCAGCCGAAGAAGGAGGAGGCGATGATCCCAGGGGCATTGAACACGGCGAGCATCAGTGTACCCGAGGTCTGCGATAGCTTGGCTATGTCTCTGGCGTAAGTCGGGAGATACGACTGGGGGATACCGTAGCCAGAGCTTTGAAAAATAATCGCGATGCTGTAGAAATAAATAGATCGATGTTTGAGGAAGGTCCATGGTATCTTGCGTGCTCGGGTCCGGTGGATGGTCAGTTTGGACGGATGGGTCGGTATCAACAGGATGGAAAATATGCTCAAGCCGCCGACGATCGCTGTCCAGGCTCGCATGGTCGTTTTGAAACCGTATGTATCGATCAAGGCGCGGATAATGAACGGACAGCTTGTCCCGACAATGTTCTTGCATGACAGAACGATGCCGTAAGCTAAAGCCCGGTTGCTTGTGGTGTACCACTCCCCCAGCGATAGTGTTGTGGCGCTATAGATGAGTGCGCAGCCCAGCGCACTTGCAACCCCTTGAGTCGCGAGCAGATGCCATACGCTCGTACTGAATGAAGACAGGAGAAAGCTGATGCAGGCAATTATCGTGCCGCAGAAAGCAGCGACTTGGCGCAGATGAGCCCAGCGTCTCGTGAAAAGCGCAAATAGAAATGGCATGGACAGGTACATGACACCATTTGCGGTGGTCCCGATCACACCGGAGACATTCTTACTACCTTTGAAAGTCCAGTTGTCGAAGTAGTACTCTTGGAATATGCCGTAACTCATAGCGAAGCCTGTATACGAGTGAGCTGGGCGTGCGTACGGGAAGAAACCACGGCAGAAATACCCCATATCGGCAGTTGTATGATGCCAGAGCCTATCAAGACGCATAGCTTTGCTCTTTTTGATTCCACATGCCGTGACTCTATCAGATCTGTGCCTGCACCAGCACATTCAACCCGGACCGGCTCTTGCGTGTCGAGGATTGACAATCGCGATCGACCAGCATTCTTATCTGAATCAGTGTCCATTTTCAAGCTCAATTCAGGGGAAGGAAACGATTCCGAGGGCACGGATGAGATAATTTCAAGACGCTAGAGTGACCTAAAGCTCGGACCACATTTGAAGCAACAGTCTTGGACAAAAGAAGCTTTGCTTGTATGTCAGAAGTGCTCCAAGTTGCCCAGGTGCCCCCGGTGATGGTGGTCTGAGTCATCAAGATCGGGAAGAAGTCCGGCGCATCAGCTATGATGTGCACCAACGTACCTAGATTAGGATATACTTGATTATAGCGGGGATGCTGGCCCGTTGCCACCAGAGCTGTCTACTGACAATCCTAGTCGCTGATACTACTAGGAGAAATGGCACGGTCAATGGAGCCTCGGAGCAGGGCTCTTCCCAAGCTATTCGATTGTATACTCACGCTGCTATGAGCTGGAATAACAGGACTTCAAGTGGTAAATCAACATATTTTGAAAGTTGACGACTCATTGGGAGCACACCGTTCTCTGTCTATGCCAGACAAGCTCGAAGGCTCCCAAGACTGGCCGGCCCAATGTGGTATGCGGGCACGAGCGGGTAGGCGCTTGGGCCGCCGAGCCTCCAAGCCTCCGGCGTCGACCGGATGGGGCACAACCGTGGGAGGTCAGCGCAGAGAAGCAGATTCCCGCAGCCGTACCGTGGGTAATATTGGAGTGCTGAGAGTACGAGCGGCTGCGAGATGAAGAGACGCAATAAAAGAAGCATTTCGACGTGTTTGCCAGAATTCTATTAATAGGCGTACCCCACAGAGTCATGACGCCTATCGCCCCGTTGAATCTTGGCTTTTGACTACCGCATCCAGCACGAGGTGATTGGGCACAGTTGGATGTGGAGAAAACGAGGCCCCCCGCTCATCCCCAAAGATTTTCTGACTGTCGCGTGTCCATTCCACCCCTTTTCAACGATCTCGTCGGTGCGGAGTCGTTGAAGGGACAAGATGCGAAACCCGGTTCCGGGCCTGGGCGACCTGCTCGTCACGATCGCCAAGTTCCTGCACATATGCCTGCTGCGCGCCTGGGCGTCGGCCTATATTTTCGCCGTCATCTTCATCTCCCTCATTATCTCCAAATGTTTCCGTATATTCGCCTATTGGGAGTCATTATCCCTCTGGGGATTGCTGTTCTGGGGATCGACGTTTTTCCTGGCTGAGTTTTTGTTCATTGTGGTCGCGTGCTTCCTTACCCGATCCTTCGAGTCCCGCGTGTGGCAGAACGTGGCGGCTGTCGTCACAGCCCTATTTGCGTTCGTGGCCCTCTCCTCCCCCCGCTTGCGCTAAATAAAGTTGCTAACATCGCATGAAGCCTCGCTGTGTCGAGCATGACAGCTGCGAACATCTCCTACTATATCCACGTTGGCGTCGAGATCCATTGGCATAAGCTGCAAAAGTTCCGGAACCCGGCCCCCTCCGCGGGGTTGGTTCTGTCCGCCTTGGCAGTTGCATTCCTCGTGTTCGGATTGATATTGGCGAGTGCATACTTTGCGAAATCTTACCTGTTCCGCTTCATGAGCGCTCTCTTGGAGATGTGGGGTTCTTTCCTGCCTGCGAAAGTGACCGACCGCTTCTCTTCGAAGAAGCCACCCGCCCAGTCCTACGAGCAGATCGCATTGAACAACTCCGACGACGACAGTGACCGAGACTCAATTGAGTTCTTGGATGAGCCCCAGCATGAGCCCGAGCACCGACTGCCCGAACGAAACCATCCGCTGTTCGTCCGTATCGTCGTTACCGCGTGTGTCGTTCTGATTATCGTCCTGCGCCTTGTTCGCCCCAGTGATGCAACATATACCTTTTTCTCCGAGTCGCTGCCCCTCGAAGTGTTCTATACATCCAAGTACTGGCTGGGCCAAGGCAGTGTTGAGACACTCCCTGGTGATTTTAGCTGGTTGGAAGAGCGCACGGCGCTGGACGCATTCCCGACATTCGAGTGGTTGCAGGCAAGCGATGGTTCAATTGGCGCTACTGATTGGTCCCCTTTCCAAGTGAATATGACAAGAGTTGCTGAATACTCGAACGGATCTGTCACGCATTACAATCCCCTGAAGGATCCGTTGCACACCCCCAACCTCGGGAATGACATTTTGAAGTCAATTGCGGGACCAATCCGCGACGGCACCGTGAAGATCAAGCACGTCATTCTGATTAAACTGGAAAGTACTCGGCAGGATGTCTGGCCATTCCGCGCAGATAACTATGTCATGAAACGCATCAAAGAATCTCGCGAGGATGGCGAGATCCCAGCTGCGATGATGGAAGCTCTAGGGAACCTGACCCCAAATGCCGAGAGACTGACGGGCTGGGAGACTGGATTCAACACCAAAGAGCGTCCCGCGCCGTATGGTGGCATCAGCGCAAGCAACTGTTTTACATCTGGCACCTATACCCTGAAGAGTCTGACTGGCACCATCTGCGGTGTAAGCCCAATGCCCGTTGAGAGGGAACATGGAGTACTGGCATGACATCTACCAGCCTTGTTTCCCGCACATTTTGGATTCATTAAACCAGCGAGGCAATCTCACTGCTAACTCCGAGGACTGGACCTCCTGGCCATGGCATCCAATGTGGATGCAGTCGCATTCTGCGACGTGGGATTACCACTGGAAGCTGAATCCTGTTCTAGGATTCAAGGACGTCATGACCAAGGAGACCATTGACCGGACTGACATGAAGTACATCCCTGAGGAGACCGAGGAGGAAGAGCATCACGGTCACGAAGACAAGGTGCTGAAGTATTACATGCGTGACCTCCTGGCCGAGGCCAAGCAAAATAAGACTCGTCTTTTCCTCGCCCACTTGACGCACAATACCCATAATCCTTGGTTCACCCCAGGCGAGCGTGTTCAATACCTCTCCGATGCCACCGAAGGCGACAAGCTGAATGTCAATAACTATATCAATGCTCTTGCATATCAAGACCAATGGGTCGGTGATGTGCTGGAGGTCTTCAAAGAGGCCGGTGTTGCGGATGAGACCCTTTTCATCATGGTCGGCGACCAGTAAGTTCCTGCGCACTGCCCCGAACCGGCATGTAACTAACTAAAGCCAGTGGCCTCTCCCTGCCGAACAACGGCGGCTTGACAGCGAATCACGATTCGCACGTCACCAGCTTCCACGTGCCCCTTTACTTTTCTCACCCTAAGCTGCCCCAAATTGAACTCACCAATCCTGTGATCTCTACTCAGATTCTGCCCACCATCCTCGACTTGCTGATCCAAACCAAATCCGTGAACGAGCAATCCCTCGCAATCCTCGGAGACCTGCTCCCTCTATACGAAGGCCAATCGATGATTCGCGCGCCGATTCGTAACAAAAACGGCCGACGTGAGTGGCAGTTCACCACCATGAACCCTGGTGGAACATGGATCTCTGTGCGATCAGCCGATAAGCCCTACCGCCTCGTTGTTCCCCTCAAGCCCGACACCATGTGGCGATTCAGCGACCCTGCCGCTGATCCGTTGGAAGGAGCACCCGGAGCAGAACGTCGATATCGACGCTCTGATCGACGCGGTGCAGGCGCAGTATGGGCCCGAGCCGGCGAAGTGGACTAATGAGGCTGCCCATGTGGCACACTGGTGGATCAAAGATACCTTCCGCCGCTGGAAATATGACCCCGAGAACCCGGGTTCCCCATAATCTTCTCTTGCTATGCTGGTCATGAGGCCTTGAGGAACGATCTGAAATACCCTGTCCATCACTGGATCTTCCTGGCCATATATGTGATTATTTTATGTGTTCTTGTATTTGACGATGCTGAGTGTATTACATAGATGTTGGTTTGGTTGCGTTGTGATTATTCTTTCCCTTTCATCTGTACTTACACCTTGGTAAGGCGGCGCCTTATATCTTGATACATACCAATCAAGTCGACTGCTTTGAAAAATTCCATTTCCTACGCAACCCTCCTGCACATCGACTGAGTTTATGTGGCCCCCCTTTCCCCATCCCGAGCTTCCTTCCATGCCCATCAAACATCACACTCCCCTCCCCATGCCAATCAAACATCAAACTCCTCTCTCTGTCGGCTACCCCCATTATGATCCTTCCAGTGCATATAAAGCAAGCCTCTTGCTCCTCCTCTCCATCCTCTTCACCTCTCCATCAAATTCCATCAACTCCCTCATCCCTACCATCAACTCTAACACCAAATGGCACCCGCAACCCCCACCACCAAGAAAGGCAAAGGCCGCAAGAAGCCCGAACCCAAACCCTCCACCCCTGAACCCCCGATGGAGCCCGAAGTCCCATACCCCCAAATCCCCGAAACCCATCTCGGTGGCCCCGACACCCCCGACCCGGGCCCCTGGGCCACCCACATCCGCGAATTCGCCTGGACCTGCGAACCCAAACGCACCGCCCCGGCAACCCTCTCCACCTGCCAGATCCTGCGCCTGCTCACCAGCAAGCGCGAGCCGCACGTGCGGCGGCTCTGCGGGCAGGACCTGCACGTCAAAATCAGCAGCCGGACGGAGAACGTCGAGGCCGCGCTGGCGCAGGTTAGTGGGGAGGAGGCGGGCACCCCGTGCGAGCGGTGCCAAGCCGGGCTGGGGCCCTGGGTGAGCTGTGTTGTTGCGGAGGAGTTTGGAGGAGGCTGTGCGAATTGTTGGTGGATGGGGAATGGGGGGGCTGTGTAATCTACGTACGTCCTTTTCCGTGCCCTAGCCCCGCGCTGGGTTTTGTATAAGAGAGATGCAATTGCGTTGCTGACTATCTTCTACAGGGGAGCTGCCTGTGGGGGTGTGCTCGGAGCTCCGGTCTATAGATGGTTTTGGCTCTGCTCCCTCCGGGGGAAAGACGGAGGTTAATGGGTTCCATGGTGTTAGCGGGAGCAGGGTTATGAAGGGCAGGACTGGTGGCTCGCAGGTTGATGGTCATCGGCTGCAGAAGCTGCGGTTGTCGTTGGCTAGTATGGAGGATGTGTTGTATGAGATTGCCATGGGGCTGGATTCTGCTGGAGAGTTGCGGCCGGAGAATGCCTGGAAGAAGGAGGGCAATGGGGAAGAGGATTTAAAGACGCCGGTGGTGGGTGAGGAAGCCAAGAAGGAGGTAGCGTTAGAGGAGGAGGAGACTGATTCTTAGGGTATCGAGTGCTCTCTGAATGATTGGCTTTGCTATTTCGATTTTCATGCTGGGCGAGTTGGACGGCCCTGGGGATGACTGGCTCTATTTTATTTCATTTGGCTGTATTAAGATTGATCTTGTATGGAGTGTTATAGCTGTGGGGCTCTAAATTGAGCTTGAGAATGGTTACCAAAATTGCTGTGTGTGTTATATGCTTTCCACATCTGCCCTACGCAGGGACAACACTTGCTTGCATAAACTCACACCAGGATTGACCTAAATCCACCTGGTTCGGGGAATTCCTGGAGATACTACCAAAAATTTCGACCTCAATTTTACTTTTTCCTTTTCCAACTCCCGTTCCACACTTATTTCACACAGAATAGCACCAGGATGGACCTAAATTCACCCGGTTTGACGACTTCCTGGAGATACTATCAAAAACTCTGCCTCAATCTTCCTTTTTTTCCTTTTGCAACTCTCGCTTCTACTTATTTTCACAAAATAGCACCAGCTTTGAGTTAAATCCACCCGGTTTGACGAATTCTGCCGGATACTAGCAAAATATTTCGCGTGATTTTCCTTCTTCCCTCTACAACTCCACAACATTACGACAGATATAAAGGCCGTCCTCCAGCCGGTATATGTGATCCCAACCTTCGCAGCATGTCTCCAGGCCTGGATACACGCTCTCCCCTGGATGTTATATCTTGAGTCTGGGATTCGTGCATTTGGCATCATAGATGGATCCCTTGGGCTACTCGATCTCGCCCTGAGCGCCCTCCCCTAATACTCCAATCCGGATTCTAGTGGGCGCGATTCCGTCCTGCACGGTCCCATCTACTGCTCCATAAATGCATCTCTTGTTTATTTCTGAATTTCTATATGAATGCATTCAACATTGTTGCTATAAGCGAAGAGCCTCCATATGCGGAGCTTGGCACATAACAATCCTCGCAACAAGAACCGCGCGAAATATACTCCCCCAGCAAACCGCAACGTGCGACACCGTCCTAACCGTATCCCATCCAATCATCATCCCACAAATGCATAAGAAATACCTCACCAAGTTCCGCATGCTCAACACAACAACTCTCCGCCGCATCCTTCAATGCCTGCTATCCTACCAACTCCTGCTCCAAAATTCAACAAGACCCATCTCAAAACCTTCGCCGCACACTCAGGACGGTCTCTTTTCGGTACACAGCGGCCGGATCTGTACCCCTGGGCAGAAATGGCCGAGCGATTTGAACATTTTGGTGCGAGGCAGCGAGGGGGAGAAGTACAATGGCTTTGGTTGTGTTCGTCGATATGTATAAGAATGTGGTATTTGCTTTTACGGTAAGGAGCGCGCTATGGGTGCAGGTATAGGAGGACTTGGACGGTGTGTTTGATGAATGTTACTGTAGATATTTTATGCTATTCTGGGTTGCTCTCCTTGAGTGGGGAACATGGTATTGGCACACTAGTAGCGGCCGATTTTATGCAGCAAGGCGGCCGCACTGGGTATGGCCTGGTGTTATAAGCAGGCAATTTCACGGTCAACTGAACCGGACGACATGATGAGATTGTAGCTTGCATTCAAGCACCTCTTTCAAGGCCTCACCAAGACAAGCTCAGCTTCCAAGGCATACTTGAAGCCGGGGAATTTTGTATGCACGTTCTATTTTTCGTAGTCGTGATCATGTCCAGCTGGGATAACTTCTGCGCCGTCAACCCCAAGATCGATACGAGGGCCGGTAAAGTTCTTCCGGCCATCAACAATCCACTGGAACACGGAAATGATGATGATAACAGCAAATGCGGCGATACAGTAGTCTGATAATGTTAGGTTGTGCCTGGCAAGATGCAATTTGCGAATGACCTACTCATGCTGCTTCCGGTGACCGTGCTGGAAGGTGGGAACACAAAGAGGACGGTGGTGAGCGCTATATAAGACAGGGAAATCTGCATTCTGTGAGCCTTGGTTAGACTGCCTGGATTATGCATAGCAAGCTCACAATATCGCAAATCCACCCGACGGCGGTGGGTAGTTTCCATCTTCGCTCCGGGAGCGTGTTCCGTCCTTGAAGACAGTTCACAAGGATGGGCATGCCGTATGATAAGTCTAGGGCGACGACAGAAGCAGAAATGATGGCGTTGAAGGCACTTGTTTATTAGTGAGGATATTTTAGATGGGACAATGTCACCATACCTAGAAGATCCTAGAAAAATGCATCCAAAGCAAATGACCACGACCACGGTCAAGACCAGGGCATTCAGGGGCAGTTGTAGGGTTGGGTGAACAGTCGCAAAGAATTTGGATGCGGGGAGCCCACCGTCACTATTACGGATTAGTGGACAGTCTGTGGAGCTCTTCATGGAGAACATACCGAGCGAAGGCGTAAATCATTCGACTGCTGGTCGTCATGACACTGAGGATAGCCATGATCAAGCACACGATAGGCAACCTGGACCGGATTAGCAGGAAGTAATTCGGAGGCTAACGGATATTTAATCGTACATTAACAAGCAAATTGCACCTGCTTTATTCTTTGTTGCGTCGATGAGGATCTGCAGAAGAGGCCCTGCGGCCGAAGTAGTCACTGTGTTCATATCACCCGCAACAAATAGAAGAACGATAAGGAACACGCATCCAGTGAAGGTGCCTATTCCAACACAAGAGACCATGATCTTAGGGCCTTCAATGGATGGATTCGGAACCTCTGCTGCAATTAGTCCCGTCCTTCTAGCCAATGATTCGTGCCGTACCTTCAATCATATGCGCGACCGCATCCTGAACTTGTTAGCCGACTCCCGGCCGCAAGGTTCCGGCATACTTACAAATGCAGTGACTCCAAGGCCACCTTGCAAGAGCTGTCATAATCGTCAGTGATAATGCATAGCCCCTGGGTGCGCTACGTACTCCGAGAAGCCAAGCAACTCCATCAGGCCCTGGTCCCTGTTAGTAACAAACCACCATCGTGATAATATTGTGCAACTTACATCCTGTTTCGTTGACAAACTTGGCAAAGACAAAGCTGCATAATCTGAGTCAAAACGTCGAAAAGAATGCGGCTGATGACTTACTAGGCTGAATTGAAGTCAGGTGAGGCGCAAGCCAGAACCGTAATGCAGACAATTGCAAAGCCCCCAATGGACCATGTAACTGCGCAGGGTTAGCTCGGATTACCCCAGGCCATGAACGAGTGTCTCGGAGGCATACATGCGCCACGGTAGATAATCGGTAGAATCGAGTTCATAAAAGCATTAATGACGAACGCGCCCAGCGTCAGCCCAATGTAAATGAGAAACTGCTGCCATCTCTGCGGCTCATAACTCTGGAGATAATTAGCAAGCCCCTGAGACCGGAGGACGACCATACATACAGGGTGCATTGCAGAGATGATTCCAACAATAAGCTGACTGGAAAGAAGGGAGTTGGTTGCTACCAGCGCAACCTGTTCATTATTAGCACATGCAATTCCGTGAGGCTTCCGTCCTTACCCAACCCGCTACGTTAATCCACCCTGTGATCCAAGACAAGATTGGCACCCATCTTGGCCAGGAGACTGTCAAAGTTAATTGAATATACCACTGATGGGGCATGCAAATAACATACTAACTATATATTGTGTTAGTCAGAACAAGCTGCGTAAACCCAAATGCACATACCTGCGACCCAGTGATACTGCCCGCCCGCTCTGCGAAAGTCAGCTCAATCCACAGACCGCAAAAGGCATGTACGCACGTCGGATATGCGGATAGGAACTCGGCCAATGAAGTGGCGATGCACAGATTGCAGACTCCCGCGGTGACAAGACCTGTTGGGGGGGCGGTTAACTTTCTTCTCCACTCGGAAACCCGGCAGCCCTGGACGTCTTACCCCAGATGACACTCGTGCTGCCCCCAGATGTTAAACTGATTGACAAGCTCGCTGAAAGAGCAGTCCAAGACTGTATCTGTTAGCTGGAGATATTGGGATGATGGGATGTTCGGAAAATTCTGATCACGAACATTCAGCACCGCAAACGCAAGTCCCAGCATAGCCCTAGTTGGGGTCATCGATTAGAATCCCGTTACCATTGCTTTCTTAGATCTGTGTCATACCAAGTCGAGAATTGTCGCTTCAACTCCGGCCTATGGCCCATCGCAGCCAACTGCGCATCATCATCTTGCACCGGGCCTTTTTGATCCATTGTCGCAAAAGAAGCAGAACGTAAGCCCTCAAGGAATGAGGAATACAAATATCGAAAGAGTCGCCCACCACCACCTTATACCACCAAGAGACGCTAACGACCACCGCGTCAAGTCCACGCGGATAAGCCTCCTCGGTAGGAGAAGCTCAGAATGCGGGGGAAGCCAATCAGGCCGCCTCGGGGCGCGAGTCCACTTCCCTAAATCAGGATAGTCTTATCTATGGACCCCTCGTCGCTCGCCTGCACAGCTTCCAGAAACTCTATCAGCGTTCCTGGCGGCCCGGCTATTCCTCCCCGATCCGTCGATTGACGCATGTACCTGCCTAGCTTTGGGTGTATTGATTGATTTGACTCCGTCAGATCAAAATGGGATCGCATGGCCGATGCCGATCTTTACCCGATTGGAGCGCTGGGCTCTGTACGGGTTATCGTCTTCGACCTTCCTTCTGGATCTGAGGAGTCTATAAGTAAATAGGCAAGGACGCATGGCTTATCTCTTTCATTCATATATTGTACAGAATGGTTTCAAAACAGTGGTTGGCGGCGGCGCTTGCCGTCCAGTCGTGTGCTGCGGCTGTGTCTAAAGCGAGAGATGATGGGGAGATGTGCAAGAAGACCACGGTCGCAATTCTGTAAGGCCCAATTGAATGCATGAGATGGAGTCGCTTCAGACCGAGACTGATATTAAAATGCATGGACAGTGGCGGTGGAATGGCAGGAGTTGCTGCAGCGGTACGTCCTGGATGTCAGGATATACAATCAAGCTCCGATCCCACTGACGGTTCTGCAGCAAGCGTTATCCAATGCCTCTATGCATGATTTTGTAATTATTGAGTACCAGGATCAGTTGGGTGGCCGTGTTCATCACACCGACTTTGGTAAGAAACCAAATGGCGACCCTTATACTGTTGAGCTCGGAGCCAATTGGGTAGGTCATTGCACTCGACGCCAAACCTGGGAAGCGTCTACTGACAAGGAAACAGATTCAGGGACTTGGCTCTCCGGGTGGCCCAGGTAAGACATGGGACTCAAACTGATCATTCCGTGTACTTCAACTGACCCCTTCGAGAAAATCCCGTTTGGACATTCAGCAAGAAATGGGGTCTTAATAACACCTACTCCAACTATAGCTCCATTCTTACCTATAACGAAACCGGCTATACTGACTACTCCTCCATCCTCGATGAGTACGAGGACAAGTATAATACTGCCGCCGAACAAGCCGGCATTATCCTGAAGGAGAACTATCAAGACATGACCGTCCGGTCTGGACTCTCTCTTGCCGGCTGGAAGCCCAAGCGCGACGACATGACCGCGCAAGCCGTTGAGTGGTGGGAATGGGGTACGACAGCACCATATCCAAAACAAGCCAGGACTCGTACTAACAAGATAACAGACTGGGAAGACGCCTACTCCCCCGAGCAATGCTCTCTTGTCTTCGGCACCGCGGGCTCCAACCTGACCTTCAACCAATTCAGCGACGAAAACAACTACGTCTGGGACCAACGCGGTTACAGCCGCATCATCACAAGTGAAGCGTCCACCTTCCTCACCAAGGACGATCCACGCGTGCACCTCAACACCCGCGTCACAAACATCAGCTATACAGACTCCGGCGTCACCATCCACTCCTCCGACGGCAGCTGCGTATCCGCAGCCTACGCCATCGTAACCTTCTCCCTCGGCGTCCTGCAAAGCGACGCCGTAACCTTCGCCCCGGCCCTCCCAGACTGGAAGCAGACCGCCATCGCAAAGTTCAGCATGGGCACCTACACCAAGATCTTCCTGCAGTTCAACGAGACCTTCTGGCCCCACGACACCCAGTACTTCCTCTACGCCTCGCCGACCACCCGCGGCTACTACCCCGTGTGGCAGTCCCTCTCTGCACCAGGCTTCATCCCCGAGTCGAACATCATCTTCGTCACCGTCGTCGCGGACCAAGCCTACCGTGTTGAGAGACAGTCCGACGAGCAGACGAAGACCGAAGTCCTGGCCGTGCTCCGCGAGATGTTCCCCAACGCTACCGTCCCCGAGCCAACGGCCTTTATGTACCCGCGCTGGAGTACTTCGCCGTGGGCGTACGGGAGCTACTCGAACTGGCCGGCCGCCACGACGCTCGAAATGCACGAGAATTTCCGGGCGAACGTGGGGCGGGTCTGGTTCGCGGGCGAGGCGACCAGCGCGCAGTACTTTGGGTTCTTGCACGGGGCGTGGTTCGAGGGGCAGAATGCGGGCGAGCAGATCCTGGGGTTATTGCGGGATGAATGTGCTAATATTATGAGCACGGCCGACGACTGTGGGGATCTGCGGCATTATGAGAAGCTATATGGATCGTCGCCGTTGGCGGACTATACTGTTTTTGATGGGTGGGAGGTGAGTAGTTTCTACTCGAGTTCTTGAATTCGTCCGAGCCGGGTTCGGATGGTGGGATTTCTGCTGGATCTCTTGCTATGTAGAGGGTCTCCGACGGTATGTTTGTACATAAGAAATAGATGCGGAATGTAGTGGATTTGAGATTGGACCATCCCGAATCATGTGCTTTTTAGATTGTCCGGGTATTGCTGGACGTGGTAACACATGCGTGGTTGTGCCGCTTGTCCACATCATGGTCGAAGAGAAAAAAAGCCCGATGAGTGCAAGCTGAAAATGAGAAACCAAGGAACGCTCAAACGCCTGAAAATGTACACCCAAAAACTCCAAATTCACCATGGCAGCCCGTCAAGGAAGAGCAAATGATATCGGGTTTTAATGTGTCCGAGAGCGGTATGCGTCAAAAGCCTGCTGCATGTCCTCGAGGCTCTCTTTCCGACCATATGCATCCATGAGTTGCTGGTACTCGGCGAGACGCTTCTCTTCTTCGTAGATCATGGTTTCGCGCTGGGACTTCGCTTGGTTGTAGTAGTTGTAGCCAACGACTCCTGGAAATGGTTAGTCTGGTGTCTGGCGTAGTAGGTGCTGTATTGCGTTTATGGTAGACGTACCGAGACCGATGGCGGCGACGAGAGGCACGTAACTGGGGCCAGTTAAAAATTTTGCACGACCAGGAGGCTAGGGGGGTAAAGACATACAACCGGCCATACCTCGGCTTGAAGCTCGGGGTAGCAGGCTGGGGAGCGTGAGGTTTGTTGGCACCGGAGAGGGCGTACTGGGACATTTTGGACTGGAGACCAATTGTATATGAGAGATGTGAGGAGGAGAATAGAGAATATTGGCGTTGGGAGAGAAACACAGTATTGTGGCGCGTGAGGTCCGGTTGACGGCGTTATATGATGGCTTGAGATTGGAATGCGGGGGTCGCATGACGTGGGGATCGGTGCATCATACCACTGTAAGAATTGCAAGACTAGGGATCCAGATCATGCGATAAAAAAAAAAAACCTGATCCTTTACATTTCATAGCCTGCATATTCACTTTCAATGAGTCTTAATCTTGGTCCCTTCTGAGGACGGTGTAGGAGTCTGCTATGACCTTCGATCAACTCCTGAGTGGTCCGATTGTTTGTCTGGGGAAAAGTGGCGAAAATCGGCACTTGTGCCCTGCGATTATCCGCCGCACTCCGTGCCGAGGCAACTTGGGAAGCTGGACTTGATGATGTAAACCCGTCTGGGCAGGGTGAGTTGGACAAGCTGCGTGCTGATTCGCTACGTTAGGAGGCTGTGCTGTCGCTTGGCTCATGTAGATTCTGGTCTATACAAATTAACTAAGAAATACCCATCAAATGGGCGACGCCGTACCTCGATTGCTTTAAGCAAAGGGGCCAAAAAAAAAAAGAAAAGAAAAAAAGCAAAAGAAAAGAATAACATTACGCATTCAAGGTCATCATGCTGCAACATCGTAAGACTCCAGCTCCAATTCTAATTCCAATTCCATCTGCCCCATTTACAGGGCGTTGTTCTTAGGGCCGACAGTAGCGGGTCCCTCCGGGGTAACATAGGCCTAGTGTGTTTAAAAAGGTTAGCCTCATTCTAGCATCAGGTGACTTTGGCAATGCTTACCTTGCTCAGACCACCGTCAACAAGGAAGTCAGTGCCATTGACAAAGCTGCTCTCATCACTGGCAAGGAAAACAACGGCATGAGCTTGCTCGACGGCCTCGCCGAAGCGACCGCTGGGGAAGTGGACCTCACGACGGAAACGCTTGGGCTGGTCATCGCCGAGCCAGTCTTGGAGGAGAGGAGTGCTGCAGAAGTGTCAGTGGGCGCCCGGAATGCTACACTGGCCGACAATGCCACAAGGCTGATAGTTGGTGGTACGGAAGACTTACTTGAGGGGACCAGGGCAAAGAGAGTTGAAGCGGAATCCCTCCCGAGCGTGAACGATAGCCAGTTCACGGGTCATGGCAAGAACGGCTCCCTTGCTGGCAGTGTAGGCCAACTGGGGGGTGGCAGCACCCATCACAGCGACAAAGGAGGCCGTGTTGATGATGCTACCCTTGGTCTTCTTGTTGCGACGCAGACTCAGCACAGCGTGCTTGCAGCCGAACCAGACACCCTTGACGTTGATACTCTGGGTCAGGTCCCAGATCTTCTCGGGGGTGCTAACAGCGTCATCATCCTCGGCGTGCATGATGCCCGCATTGTTGAAGATCACATCCATACCACCCCAGCTGTCCTGCGACTCGACCATGGCCTGCACGTCCGCCTCCTTAGACACATCGCAGCGGATTGTCTCGACACGCTTCACGGTAGGGACGACCTCTTTGACCTTGGCCACAGCCTTAGCAAGGGCAGGCTCGGAGATATCAGCAAGGAGAATGTTAGCACCCTCACGGGCGAAGAGGATCGCGGTTTCGAGTCCAATGCCACTATGGAACCCAATGCATTAGCCCGTGTCAGACCTTTTTGCGCACAGAGTGCAATCTTACCCAGCACCGCCGGTGATGATGGCATTCTTGCCAGCGAGACGTCCTTGGGTAGCCATTGTGTTGTGGATTTGGAGCTGGTGCTATCTGTGTAACTTGGAAATTTGATCAGCTCGAGGGGATTCCCTGAAATATCTTCCAAGTAGACTTGCAAGCCGCGCGGTAAATACGCGAGGGGTAGCTGCGACGGACTAAACTCACCAGTTCCGATCTTTCTATATTGCACGGAGGGAATATTCAAGCTTAAAATTGTATACCGCGGGGCATCCTAATGGCGGTGTCTGTTGTTACTTAAGCATCGCGGTCCCGGACCGCGCGCTATCTCCTGTTATCACTTTTATCTCTAACCGCCGCAAAGCACACTGATAAGCAGCCACCACGGCGGTCTCGTGGCCCCCGCCAGAAACGGAATTGAGTGGCCGGATTCTCTTCCTCTGGTGCATCCCTTAGACATCTTTATCAATCCGGGGAAGCTTTATCCTCCGCCAGCTTCATCTCGAGATCTATCCAACATGTCTTCCCAAGTTGACGTCACCGCTGCCAACGTGGCAGAGGTGCTCAAAGATGACCGGGTCGTGAAGGTAGCGGGCGTGGACGTTGACGGCCAGCTGCGCGGTAAGCTGATGCAGAAGAAGAAGTTCCTTGGAATCATCGAAGAAGGCTTCGGTTTCTGCTCGGTCATCTTTGGTTGGGACCAACACGACCAGACCTACTTCAGGGAGCTATCGGTCAGCAACAAGGAAAACGGTTATCGCGACCTGGTTGCCATCCCCGACTTACGCAGTTTCCGTCGTATCCCATGGGAGGACAACGTTCCTTTCTTTCTGCTCAGCTTCTTCGATCCCGAGACTCGAGCGCCCATCTGTGCATGTCCGCGCGGCTTGCTGAAGACCGCAGCCGCCAAGGCTGAAGCTGCGGGATACCGCGCAATGGCAGGAGGTATGTTCTCTCGTTGCACAGAACACGAAATCGACATTTGGCGGCTAACCTGTTTTCTCTGTAGCTGAGTTCGAGTTCTACCAGTTCAGAGCGCCTGGCGATCATGCCAGTCCTGAGAGGGCAGCGTCCGCTACCGCCTCCTTCCTCCAGTCAAACAAGCCCGATGATCTACCAGCTCTAACAGAGGGCATGTTTGGATACTCAATAACCCGCCCACTACACAACCAAGACTACTACTATGGTATTTTTGATGCATGTGAGCAGTTCCGCTGCGGCATCGAGGGCTGGCATACCGAGAGCGGACCTGGTGTCTACGAGGCTGTAAGAATTCTCCACATCATCTTTTCAAGCGCCAAAAGAAAAAGAAAAGAAAAAAAGAAAGCTAATTACTGTATATAGGCCCTGCAGTTCGACGAAGCGAAGGAGATGGCCGACAAGGCCAATTTGTTCAAGTAAGGAATCGATCGCGGATATGTGGCGCATTGCGTAGCTAACATAATTTCGTATAGATATGTCGTCAAGTCATACGGCATTAAGCACGGCATCACCCCCTGTTTCATGGCCAAGCCTCGCCAAGGACTTCCCGGAAACAGCGGACACATGCACATGTCTTTAGTAAACGCCGATGGTTCAAATGCTTTCATCCGCGACACCCCCGACCCGAATCCTCAATACCCGGACATCGCACACCTCTCCGACCTCGGCCGACACTTCCTTGCCGGTCTGCTCGTCGGTCTTCCCGATATCATGCCTATCTTCGCACCAACGATCAACTCCTATAAGCGGCTGGTGGAGAATTTCTGGGCTCCAGTAACAGTCTCGTGGGGCCTTGAGCACCGTGCTGCGTCGATTCGACTCATCACGCCCCCCACAGCTAGCCCAAAGGCTACACGGTTCGAGGTTCGTGTTCCGGGCGCCGACGTCAATGCACACTTGGTTCTCGGCGCAATCCTTGCTCTCGGCTGGCGTGGTGTTGAGAAGAAGCTCGAGATCCCTGTGCCGCCTTTGTCCAAGGGCGAGGATATGGGCGGAGCGAGCGACAAGGGTGTGCGATTAGCCAAGTCTTTGAAGGAGGCAGTCGCTACTTTTGCCCGCCCTGACAGTGTTGCGCGGGAGGTTTTCGGCGATGAATTTGTAGATCACTTCGCCGGTACTAGAGAGCATGAAGTCCGCTTATTTGAGGAGGCGGTTACCGATTGGTAAGTTTCCTGGTTAGCTTTGGCCTTGTGAACAAGTTTTCTAACGGTTTCTCCAGGGAGGTACGACGATACATTGAGACCGTATAGGCATGGTACATTTATTGCTGTTTTATCATTCGCGGGGACCCAGCCCCATCAACACATAATACCACCGTTGGCTGATCTGGAATCACCGGCGACCTTACGTAGGTATATACGAAGTACAATCAACGAAATCACTACTTGAAAGTTTGTCTCTTTTCTTCGGGACCGTAGCGAACAGGGTAGCGTCACTTCAACTCGAGGCTCTTTGCACACCACCTAAGCTGCAAGCATGTAGCCGGCTCATTATCACGCGTGCTCCTTGGAAATAAAACCTGATAGGGCTGCTCTATGTTACACATTTGAATTATGACTTGAAGGTAGCAGGCAGCAGCCCATGCAAAGTAAGTTGCAAAAAAGGCATGTCAAAACTGCTGAGATTCTCACTCGCAAGTAATTCACCGTCTATATTCTATTCTATCACACCTTAGATCTAGCTCCAGCAGTCCACGACGGGCGATAGACATCTCTGGTAAAAAAAAACAGTATGCGCTACATTCGGCCAGTATGTAATTTGGACCGGACGACTACTGGCCCTCGTTGATCAGCAGCTCACTAGACACCATACCATAAGCAAGCGGACAGCAGTACATCCCGCCTGGTTCGACGCAAAAGCTGCTGTACCTTTGTCAATATCCACATGTTGGCCGAGCGGGTCGACGGGAGATCGGCGGCTTGGGCCCATGCCCTGCATAAGCGGGCAAGACGGGTATTTGAGAAGCTGGAAATAGTAGTATACAAAATGGCCTGTTACGAGTTTGGAGACTAGTCACTGATCATAGAGAGGCATGGGATTCTAGAAAGGCAGATCCTTGCAGCGTTGGCACTTCAAAGCCCAGTCCGTTCTCAGCAGTATCCCTGCACGTCTACTAGTCCCGCTCACTTACCAAAATGCGCCAAGAAAACGACTTCTGAGTAAATTCATAAGTGGAAAATTCCATGTCGCTGGTCTCTTACAGGTCTATACCGGCTTCTTCCTACGTGCCATTTTCCGACAGGTTGTAACGTCGATGTTCTTTCTATTTGGTATTTGAGTTTACCACACCACTTGTGACGTGGGGCCGGCGGTTTACTTGCTCTTTGGAGGCTATAATACTCATGAAATTTCAATTTCAGTCAAGATTTGTTCACTGGTAGCTTTAAGGCTGTAAAAAGTTCGTAGACTATTTCGGAATGTTTCTGTTCTAGACTACCTCAAATTTTATTCTCACTTTGAAAGCTTCAGTAACATGTATACAGCCCGATAGGTCAATCAGTACCAGGCAGACACCGTCGCCAATGGTTTCCATACTACGAAACGCATGGAGCTATTCAGAATGCCTGTCCCTTCTCGCCCATGTATCTTCTTTAGAATTCTCGTCGATGGAGCGTTTCAAATTTTCGATTTTCTAACACCCTATGCGCACTCATACACACCCTGCTGATCAGATGTAAGTGCCTGTTTCCATTCTTTACTTAGCAACAACTATGGCAACGAGTCCTCACCCCATTGCCCTGAGCACTCTCTGGGTAAGTTCCTCCCCACCTACATGCTTAATACTAACTACCATACTACCAAACAGCAGTCCAAGCGCCCTGCCGAGATGAAAGATCCTCATCGCTTGCTTCCAACCCATCAAGGCATGGGCCTCCCACAAAACTGTCGCTTATACTACGTGAAGAAACTGGAAACTGCCGACTAGAGCCTTGTGGCGGCTCCCTCGTTGAGGGATTGTGGGTCCGCGGCGGAGTTAGGGCCTGGAAAGGCTTGGCGGGAAGAGATCGGTATGTATTGATCGCGCTGTTGGAAAGGGTGGGAGGCCAACCCAGGACAGCTATAATTCAAAACGGCACAAGACCAATTGATATGGTGGGAACCTGAAAATGGAAAACTCAACGGGCCGGGGCTAAGAGAGTCCAAGATGCATCACGAGCAGCGAATCATCCAGGGGCCGGTGCTGGGGATCCCTGTTGCGAGTCCCGGCCAAGATCGTCGATTACAGAGTTTACTTCTCGCTACAATTGATTTCCCATTGGCAGTCATAGCTAGTTTAGTCCCCGCATGAACGCAGCGGACCGAGCCGATTCATTGCAGACATGCCCAGAACAAGTATGCTATTCACCCCCTTTGCGATGCTTCCGAGGGCAAACCATCCACAAGGCCACAAGGGAGTTTCGCAGTTTAATGCAAAAGACGCACAACCATCTCCAAGGAACTGCTCAACGAGGGGATCATGTAATGCGCGGCCTCAGGCAGTTTGCAATATGCTATGCGGTAGGAGCACTGGGCAGATAGAACAATACCGAGTTGCTAGCCAATGAAGTCAATCCTCATCACTATTTTCGCTGATCTGCATTTGACAGCTTCGACACCCCCGCACTGGCCATTGAGTTCCAACTTCTGATATCATCTTATTCCAACCCTCGGTTTGCAGTAACATTCGACCTCCCGTGAAGCTTAGTGGGCAAGTAGCTCTACTGTACTGCTCGAATTATCACACCTCTCAGGCCACCTAGATCGTTTCTTAAGGCCTATCGAAGCAACAGCTAAGGTTCGCTAGACGACAATTAGCTCATCTCACTGCAATGCTGCAGCAACCCCTAGCTTTTTATGCCAAAGAATAAGGTTCCAAAGCTCCATTGACATCAGCCACCAGGTGTCATCGCAGATCTACGGCCGATCAAGGCCTGGGTCAGTCACATGCCATCACATGAAGCTGACGTATCGGCCAAAAATGCCCTCTGCGAATAATCTTGCGCTTCGATGAGTCGGGACATCTCGGTCAGCGATGTGACAGCCGAAAAATACCGGGTGTCATGAAGCTCAAGCTCCCCCAAACGGCATACTTATCTCGCAGCCCTGGGAGGTGGGCCGCGGCTGATTAGCCGGACGGGTACCACGCAGCGAACAGCTGCAGCTACCCTCGGGTGAGTTAGGGTACAGAAGGTACAGCGTAACCAGGGCACGAAAACGACGAAACTTTGAGATCAGACACCAGGAATCAGCACGGTCGCATCCTCTCCGCACTATATAATTTGCAGCACCCTCCCGGACGAGAGCTTCCAACAGCAGCTAGAGACCCGATTTCGCGATCAAACTCGGGGTGCGGCGTATGCCGAATCAATGGCTTGGGCAATGGCTTGGGCCGAGTTCTTGTAAGAAATGGGGAGCTGCAATCCGGGGAAAGGGCGATGTCGGCCGAATGGAGTTGACCTTTGGAGGGGTTTCCCGCCGGGAAAGTCACGTGGTACGCCTGTCGGGGACTAGCGGCGATCGCTGGCTGGTTCGACTGGACTATCGCGGGCGCTGATTGGGCGTACGGTTATTCAATCAGTCCAACCTCCACCTGGCGAGGGTTTGATTGAGAGATAGCCGGTACCCGCTAGTCATTTCCGTAACAGCCGCGGCTGTTTAGAAGGCCCCTCTGACGTATTCTACTTCCGCCTTCGGTCGGATGGCAAACCTATGGGTTAGCTATATAACATTTACGCCCCTGCCGGCAATGAAATTGCTTTTGATTCTCTCCTGAAAACAAACACCAACCTGCTCCCGGAATTTTTGGTGGGTTGATATACAACAAATAGACAAAATCGATAAGCTCCGAGCTCCCCTCCCCCGCCATCATGTCGTCTGTCGAAGCCCAGCTCAAGGATGTCGCCATCCTGGGCAAGATCCCCAATGACGCCCGCAAGATCCTGACGAAGGAAGCCTGTGCCTTCTTGGCCATTCTGCACCGCACCTTCAACCCTACCCGCAAGGCCCTCCTGCAGCGCCGTATCGACCGCCAGGCCGAGATCGACAAGGGCCAGCTGCTCGACTTCCTGCCCGAGACCAAGCACATCCGTGAGAATGACGCATGGAAGGGTCCCCCCCCCGCCCCCGGTCTGGTCGACCGCCGTGTGGAGATCACCGGCCCTACTGACCGCAAGATGGTCGTCAACGCCCTCAACGCGGACGTTTGGACGTACATGGCCGATTTCGAAGATTCCAGCGCCCCCACCTGGGAGAACATGATCAATGGCCAGGTCAACCTGTACGACGCCATCCGCCGCCAGGTCGACTTCAAGCAGGGCGGCAAGGAATACAAGCTCCGCACCGACCGCACTCTCCCCACCCTCATCGCCCGTGCCCGTGGCTGGCACCTGGATGAGAAGCACTTCACCGTCGACGGCGAGCCCATCTCCGGTAGTCTCTTCGACTTCGGTCTGTACTTCTTCCACAACGCCAAGGAGCTCGTCGCTCGCGGCTTCGGCCCACACTTCTACCTCCCCAAGATGGAGTCTCACCTCGAAGCTCGTCTCTGGAACGACGTCTTCAACCTCGCCCAGGACTACATTGGCATGCCCCGCGGCACCATCCGTGGCACCGTGCTGATCGAGACCATCACCGCCGCCTTCGAGATGGATGAGATCATCTACGAGCTGCGCGACCACAGCTCCGGCCTGAACTGCGGCCGCTGGGACTACATCTTCTCTTTCATCAAGAAGTTCCGCCAGAACCCCAACTTCGTGCTTCCCGACCGCTCCGACGTCACCATGACTGTGCCCTTCATGGACGCCTACGTCAAGCTGCTCATCAAGACCTGCCACCGCCGCGGCGTCCACGCCATGGGTGGCATGGCCGCCCAGATCCCCGTGAAGAACGACCCCGTCGCCAACGACAAGGCCATGGAGAGCGTGCGCGCTGACAAGCTCCGGGAAGTCCGCGCTGGCCACGACGGCACCTGGGTTGCCCACCCAGCCTTGGCCTCCATCGCCTCCGAGGTCTTCAACAAGCACATGCCGACCCCCAACCAGATGTTCGTGCGACGCCAGGAGGTCCACATCACCGCCAACGACCTGCTGAACACCAACGTGCCCGGCAAGATCACCGAGGACGGCATCCGCAAGAACCTGAACATCGGCCTGAGCTACATGGAGGGCTGGCTACGCGGCGTGGGCTGCGTGCCTATCAACTTCCTGATGGAAGACGCTGCGACCGCCGAGGTCTCCCGCAGCCAGCTGTGGCAGTGGGTGCGTCACGGAGTGACCTCCTCCGAGGGCAAGAAGGTGGACAAGGCGTATGCGCTGCGTCTGTTGCAGGAGCAGGCGGACAGCCTTGCGTCGCAGGGCCCCAAGGGTAACAAGTACCAGCTCGCGGCGCGGTACTTCGCGGGCCAGGTGACTGGCGAGGACTACGCGGATTTCCTGACCAGCTTGCTGTACAACGAGATCTCTTCGCCTGGCGCGGCGGCCAAGCTGTAAGAGTGGACTGATGGATTTGATGATCATGACATACCCTAATTTCCTTGTGTTTGCGGCATGGATGTCTTGTGTTTATAGTTTAGCATTGTTTGTATAACCTTTCTGAAATAGGACTGATTATGGACTATTACGTCACACCTCTTTCTGTATTTGCTAGTTTGTGGAGAGATCTAGTCATTCATAGGTCGAATGCACTGCTCTGTTCTTCAATTTTTTATCCCGATGATTGACGTATGAAGCTACTTCATCAGGGCCAAGCTTATTAGGCGCTAGCATTCCTCAGAGACGTTGGAAAGGCCCTTTAGCTTAGTAGTATGCAGCTCTGAAATCCCCGCAAATGGGACATGTCTTGGCATGCAGGTCATTTGGCCGAAGACAGCTACAGCAAAGGTCCCACGACAGTCATCATAATATACTAGTATCCATTCATGATTTGAAGGATTGCGGCATCCTTCTCATGGCTCTATGGAATCCCACAGCGGCACAGTGGGAGCACGGCATGGCAGAATCCCGATAACTCACCCTGACATCATGATCGTCCACAAGTGGAGCCATGAATCACAATACGAGAAACCAAATTCCACAGAACTCGTCGAGTCTCCAACCCCACGGCTTTTGCAGAAAAGCACGAGCGGTTCACATAGCTGTCTGCTGACATTGCCCCAATTCTTGTCGTCATTTCCCCTCTCAAGCATCTGGACCGAGCTCCGACCTAGTCTACTCCCCATACCTCTAGTTACTCTATACACCTTCGAGTAACATCCCCGGTTCACCATGGTGTTCAGCCTCCTCAGCCGCATCTACTATGGCTTCATCAGACCTCCTCCCGCCCACAAACAAGATGACGCCATTCGGTTCGGCCTAATCGGCGCATCCCAAATAGCGTAGGCAATCTGACCCTTCAGCCCGGAAGCCCCTCCGAACCCTAACTTTGAAACCATTCCAGCCCAATCGCTCTCATCGCCCCCGCCAAATCCCATCCGGAAGTCATCGTCGCCGCCGTCGCCGCGCGTGACCGCGACCGCGCAGCTTCATATGCAAAGAAACACGATATCCCCATCGTCCACGCCTCCTACCAAGGTAAGCCCCTCCCCGCATAGCGCTTACTCCACTCCACTCCACCCGAGCCATCAGCTCTATAAAAAAAAAAGTTACCAAGATATACTAACGTAATTTCTAGCCCTCTTAAACGACCCTTCCATAGACGCAGTCTACATCTCCCTTCCAAACAGCCACCACTACGAATGGGCCCTGCGCGCCCTCAAAGCCGGCAAACACGTCCTCCTCGAAAAACCCTCCACCGCCAACGCCGCCCAAGCCTCCGCGCTCTTCACCCACCCACTCGCCACCGCCCCCAATGCACCCGTCCTGCTAGAAGCCTTCCACTACGTGTTCCACCCCGCATGGCAGACCTTCCTGGCGCTCCTCCGGGATCCCAGCGCCGGGCGCATCGAGTCCGCGTTCGCGGCGCAGTACATGCCAGCGGGCCTTGTAGCGCCGGCGGGGGATATCCGGTGGCGGTACGATCTCGCGGGCGGCGCGATGATGGATTTCGGGACGTATCCGCTGCATGCGCTGCGGCAGATGCCGGGGCAGGAGCCCGTGAAGGGGTCTTTGGGGGCGGAGGCGCGGCTGTTGGATCGGGCGAAGTATCGCGGGTTTGAGCGGGAGGAGACCGAGGTGGATGAGTATATGAGGGCGTGGTTTCGGGGGGATGGGGGTGCGGAGGCGCGGATGGAGGCGGATTTGTCGGTTACCGGGGGTTGGCCTTTCTTGCCGGCGTCGTGGACGAGGGGGGTTGCCGGGGATGGGGTGGCCGAAGTGTGAGGTGGAGATGGAGGAGAGGGAGGTCGGGGAAGGGGAGTTTGTGAAGAGGCGGGTTACGTTGTGGAATCACTTAGGCCCGAGTATTTGGCATCGGATTGATGTGCGAGATACCCATGTTGTGAGGGAGGGAGGGGGAGGAGGTGCGGAGGTGGGAGGATGGGAGGCAGATCCAGGCTTATGCTTGGCCGGTGGGGGATCGGAGGGCGGGGAGGGCGAAGGAGTGGTGGACTACTTATAGCTACCAGCTGGAGGAGTTTGTGAATCGTGTGAAAGGGAGAGAGGGCTCGGGGGTTTGGATCGATGGGCGGGATAGTGTGCGGCAGATGGAGATTGTAGACCAGGTTTATAAACAGGCTGGACTTTCGCCGAGACCTGGAACTGGTTTTACCGTTTGAGTAGGAGGATGCGTCCAGCAGAGGCGTGATTTTACTTATTTGGACGTGGGGAGAGCAAATGGAAATGACCCGCATTCAATGCCACGATGGTCCACTAGGAAATATGATGCTATCGCTAATTAGGGAGCCCTGTTATCCACCCTCACTGCGAATTGGCAATGGCCTCCTCACGCAGCTTCATCGTCTTGGCTACGGCAGGCCGTCCATTTAACCGCTCCAGCCAAGCATTCAAGTTGGGAAATTCGACCGCCAGATCGATTTCAAACCACGACGCCACCAGATACCATGGCACGAAAGCCAGATCAGCATAACTGAGCCGACCACCCACAAGATACTCCCGGTCCGCTAAAACATGGTCCAAAACACCCGAGACACGGCGAATCTCCTTCACATACCGGTCCACAGCACTCTGCACCTGCTCGCTATGGTATTTCTTGAACCACACAGCCTGTCCGAAGTACGGGCCCTGACCGGACATCTGGAAGTGCAGCCATTGCTGGGCTAGATAATGCTCGGTCGTCGATTTTGTGAAGCTGAGCGTGTGGTCCTTGTCATATCGATCGACTAGGTACTCGATGATCGCGCCCGACTCCCAAAGCGTGAGGCCTGTGTTTGGGTCTTGAATGGCCGGGACCCGGCCGTTCGGGTTGACAGACAGGAAGTCTGGTTTCTTAATATCTTCGAGTTGAAGAAAGTTGATGTGGTATGGCAGATTGAGTTCTTCCAGGACAAGGACGACTTTCCAAGGGTTTGCGCCCGTGGTGTGGCCCCAGAGAGTAATTGGTTTGAGAGACATGATCTTGCGGCTTGTTGATGCAAGTTGCTTTTCAATCTGATAGGAAGGATGCGTGCGTTGCTGGAGACTCTCAGTGTAATTGAAGTGCTTCTTATATGGTCCTCTCTTAGTTGGCATACACAGGGTCTATATTCCCTGCATATCGGGACTCCGAATTGGATTTGTCATCGGAGCGATTCTCCGAGCTGCTGAATAAAATAAGTCTCCATATGACATTTAGTTACCGAGCGATGGCTAACCAGAAGTCGGCTGATTGCTCCGTATTCGATCTTTTGTTCTGTTTATAGTAAATATGGCGGCACAAGAGGAATACATTTTCCGATGTGTGGGGCTGCAAGAGGGACTCGATTGGTGGCTACGTACAACCTCATGTTTCAACATACACCACCCGCGCAAAAGTCTGTGTGCACTAGGCCCCATTACCATCACCCTAACAACCACCCACATTTTTATTTTTTTTTCTCATACGCCTCCCCTATGGCATCAATCGCTATCAACCTGAAATGGTATTTTAGTAAGATAATAAAAAGATCTGTATAGCGAAATATATAAAGGTTTAGTTTAAAGAGCATGGGATGTATGTTGAAAATTGGCCTGTATACTTACCTGGTCTTAACCCTATTAAACCGGTCTGGAATATACTAAAATTCGAACTTTTTTTGTATATTTGAAGACTGATGTAGATAGGAAGATCTAAGGAGGATAGAGCCTATCTTAAGGAATATGTTAATACTGTATAGAAGGTGTTAGACTAAACGGAGATTGATATGTTAATATTAGGTATGGGAAGAAGGATAGATAAATTATATGCGAACTAGAGTTATTGTACGAAACATTAAGTAAGGGAACTCTATATATAAACCTGATTATTCAGTATATTGAATCTTAGTATGATCCAATAAGGATTGGTGGTGTAGGATATGTAACGATGAATATACATAAGTATTCGATGGGGTAGGTGAAGCGGTATGCACACGGACTTTTGCCCCCTATTGTACTCTTAGGCACACGGCCAAGGTTGAAATGTCGGAGAACTTTCCAACTTCCGTTTGTAAAATGTGGATATCCTTAATGACGGGCTGCGGCTATCTTGTCGTTAAAGGAGTGAAATTGAGACAGTCTGTCAACTCCGTGATGGGTGAACATCGATAGACATTTTCTTTCGAATCCTCCACTCTTACAAGTATGTTCGTAATCTTGGCCAAGGTATGCGCCAGTCAATTGAACCCTAGTAGCATCAAGACACCCCAGGATTCAGATAAGGGTTCAATTGAGACCACTGTTTCAATTGGCTGCCAATATTGACATCGGCGGTCTGGGATAGCGCCCAAATCGGGAGCAACGACCGACAGCGCCCTTCTGTGATCCCCAGCGCATCCGACATAGCATGGTGGAAGCAAGGCAGGCTCAGGTATTGTTCGAGCTCTGCTCGCAGGCATGTGATTCCCCGTGTAAGGATTCGCTCAGTTTCGCTGCAGGCAGAAGCAAGCTGGCATCCATCCTTCATTCTCACCTTGAGCACCAATAACAATGCCAAGAACTCTGCTCCAGTGTAAGAGAACTCGTTGGATGGCGACAGTCTAGGTTCTGGGAGACATAAACATGTCTGGTCATAGCAGCCTAGACAGGGTAACAATAGGTCCGGGTAGTGGGCCAAAAGCCACTTACGCCGCCAAGCAACTAGTTCATTATACAAGTGTCGATGCTTGCAGGACGTCTGTGAACAATTTCCCGAACTGGGTTTCGAGGTTGCAGGTAGGGTCGTCATTTCAGCAGCGATATCATAGAGTTGGTCACGCGACGATTTCCTGGCTATTGCCCATGGGACTTTCATCCATTCCGGCTGCGCAAGAAAGGATCGATCTTGAGAACAAAAGGCTAGTAGAATCTGCTTCAAATGAATAACTGACCTTCTGGTAAGTAGAAGGCAGGCACTTACAGCCATCTCCCTTAGCTTTTTGAAGGCCACATGGAATCCACCGGCCTGAAAAGCTTGGGGCCCTTGGCGTTTCAGAAGGCTGATAGCACCCTCCAAATGGCTAGACCATCCAGATTGGTAGATCAGCGCTGGGCACAGTTGCGTTGCTTCAAACAGAGAGAAGATTAGTGATATCACAACCAAGAGGGCTTTTTGGCTATCGTTCTGCAGCAACCGCCGAAATAGCTGGAGACTCTCGTTGTAGGCGGATAGACTGAGCACTTCATATCTTTCCTTTTCGCCGCTCAATGACAGTCTCATAGCAGCAAGGGATATAAGCGCCAGATCAAGGGCCTTGCTGTGTAGACCGAGGCTCGAAATCTGAATAGACCAGCTGTCAGGTGTCCGTGCATACAACATTTGGAACCGCGACCACAAGGTCACAAAGTGATCTCTAAATTCTCCGTGTGAGATATCTAGGGTGTGAATGGACATTGCAGAGAAATAGTCCTGTGAGTCATTCAGAGCGTGGACATCACGCCGCTTAGCAGAGCGCGTGGCCTCCGAAATCAGAGGCTTCTTCGCGTTTCTAATAGTATTCTTGTCAAGATTGACGAAGACCCCATTGACAGAAGGGTCGTATCCTTCGCATCTGCGGCCCGCATTCAGACATGCTTTACATCCTGGTCTTGTCTTGTCGCACTAGGCTAGATTAGCGGGGCCTGGCCAGGGTCGTAGTTCATCCCACTCACAGCTTTCTTCCTTAGACGACAGGTGCGGCAAGGCCGTGACATTACGAGTGCACTGGGAATCTGCCTTTGAGAAAGACTTTGCTCTATGGGGAGAAGCTTTCTCGTTACTCTCCCAAACGCCTCCTGCTTACCGCGCTAGACTATTTCAGGCATACCGGACCGCCGGCACATGCGCCTCCGAGTCCATCCCGTACAACTTCCTCGTGTTCATTCTGCTTTACCTTGGAACACCCTTTTGGAGTAACGGGGCTAGCTTGAAGAGGCCAATCGGGCCGCACTAGAAAGGGATGGGTGGCGTCATTGGTGGACGGTATTGAGAAAGACATTTCTCATAAAACTTCGTAAAAGCAGCGGCGAGGTCTCGACAGCAGGTATAAATAGGGCTGGCATAAACGCCGTAACAAAGTAGGAATTAATCTACAGAACATACCACAAGTCATTCCCCGGGTAAAGATACTCCAGAAACAACCATGGCAACTCAAACCCCAAAAACTCGAGTCTTCGCCGGCGTCACTCTTATCGACACCCCCCTCGTCCAAGCCTCCCTCGACTATGCCCGTCAAAACAACGACGCCATGTCCTTCAACCACGTCTACCGGTCCTGGGTCTTTGGCGCAATCCTCGCCTCCAAAGTCCCACGCTTCGCAAGCATAAACCGCGAGATCCACGCCGTCTCCTGCATCCTCCACGATCTAGCCTGGGACCACACAAGTGTATTCTCGACAGCAGACAAGCGCTTCGAAGTCGACGGCGCCAACGCAGCCCGGGAGTTCTTGAACCGGGCGGCACCGCACTTCACTCCGGGAGAGGTGCAGCTGGTGTGGGACAGCATTGCTCTGCATACCACGACGAGTATTGCGCGGCACAAGGAAAACGAAGTCGCGCTGTGTAATATGGGGATCTCGGTAGACTTTACGGGAACGGCGTTTCCGGGGGGCTTGATTACCCAGGAAGAGTATGATGCGGTTGTGGAGGCGCTTCCACGGCTTGAGTTCAAGGAATCGGTGAAGAAGCTTCTGTGTGGACTGTGTGTGCATAAGCCGGAGACGACATATGATAACTTCCTGCGAAATATTGGGGAACGGTTTGTTGAGGGGTATACTGTTGGGCCTAGTCTTGCGGACTTTTTAACTTGATGAAAGCTGAATGTAGTCCTGTCGTATTGGAGAATGAGGTTCAATGATTATCTTTCGCTCTTCAGGGCGGCCTAACCATGCACTATTTACTTTGCCAATTTCAATGAAATGCTGGGTTGGAAGGTATCCGCTACTCGTGCATTCAGCTCTCATACCTGAAAGTATCACGCACGTTTTAGAAGAGTATTTGTCTTATTTGATCAAATGGATAAGTGAATAAGTTAACAGGTTAATAAGGGAATATATAAATATATGAATAAAGATAAATCCCACTCCGGTCTGGAATGCCCTTAGGGGCCCCTATAAACTCTACTAAATACAACACAGGCGCTCAGGCCCAGGCGCTAGTGTGAGCGCTAAATGACCCTAGAAGGACCAGCTTAAACATACTGCCAAGCACCCTGGGTACCATTAGCAGGGACGGCGAGGGCATCGAAACCAAGGCAGTCGCTAACATTCCCAGTAGGGACGAAAGCATCATCGCGGGCAGCGAAGACCTGGTAGACAGGCGCAGCACCGCGGCGGATGCGGCGAGTCGAGGCGGAAGCAGTCGCGTTGGAAGGAACAGGGCAAGCCATGAATCCATCACCGAAGGTCCACTCGCTGTTGCCGTTGCCGAAGGCGTTGGGCTTGTAGCTGAAGGGGCCCAGCTCGGAACCAGGGGGCACAAAGACTGAGTGAGCGGTGGTGAAGCCCACGGCGCCAAACTTGTCCACGTAGAGGGACTGGCCGCCGGGAACGCTCACATCCTGGAGGCCGGTGGCATTAGCAGGGCTCTTTGATTTGGATATAGGCTAGCCGGGAAGGATGTGGCTTTGTTCGTACCAGGGTGCTGGCGGAAGAGAAGATGGTGTCCTTAGACATCTTGTCGCAGGGAACACCAACATCGTCAGGGCAAAAGGTCACTGTCTTGCCCCCGAGATAGAAGCGGTCGCCGGCGGCGTTCAGGGGGGCGAAGTGGATGGGAGAGCCGGAGCGAAGGGCAGTGACGCTGAAGGGAGCTGGCTGGTCACGACCGGCGTGAGCAGTAGCAGCGGCCAAAGGAGCGGCGGCGAGAAGGGCGGAGAACTTCATTGTGTCTATAATATCGAAGCTAAGGAAAGTATACCAAGGAGGTAATGAGATGTAAGCTCTATAGCAGGGGGGGAAATTGGAGGTTGGATGGGATCTGGGATCTCTTTAAATGGACGACGCAGTGGAGGTGGCATTTCCTGGTCCTCTACGTTCCACCACGTTGGGATCCCATGTGGTTTTCCCGCGAGGAGATTGATCGGCGTTGCTGGTGGGAAGACTGTATGCAGGGCAGTGCGAAAACTTCTTGTTTCAATCTATCAACGAGGCTATAATTATCGTAGGGCAGTCCTTACCCCTGCCCCTGACGCACTTGCAGGAATGAAGTGTTTGGACCCCAGGATTAGTGCGAGCATAGCCAGCCTGCTTTAGGTTACTGGCCCATGATTTAGCAGTGCACTAATCCTTCTTCAGCAGCTTCCCGGATCCATCCCCGGGGCCTGGTAGAAGAGTAGAAAGGATTTGTTCCGAAACACGATACTTCGTACCGAAAGCCCCCACGCGAAACAGATCGACATTGCCGGAACTCAGCTGAAGGAATGCATAATGCAGGTGGGGGCACAATTTGCAGACTCCCGAGTTGTCGCTTCAATCAAATGCATGAAGCGGAAGGGCACCCGGAATGCGATTGGCGCAGATGCTTGAGCAGATATTTTCCTCGGACGTTGTTAGAAAAGGGCAGTAGACTGGGTGTCTCAGAAGTAAAGAGTTGCGGATAGAAGCAGTGATCGACGGGTGGCTTGGTGCTTATATGGGGCCAACTTTGATAACCGGACCTCGACCGACATCAACTGTGGCTCAACTTGCCAGACAAATTGTTGGCTGTGGAGTCTCCACGCTGCCCATCGTGTCTCAGGGGCATGGTGCTGACATCACAGCCGTATTAGGGTTAGATACGAATGCTACGATTCGATGGACAGCACACATGTGCCAGGGGATTGAGCGCTGCTGAATGTCCTCTGAAAAACCAAGTGCTGAATCGGGGACCTCTGTGGTCTCTGTCCGCAAGGATCCATTGGTCTCGATTGGCCTCGATGGTTCCAAACAGCTTTGGGGACGGGGTTTAGAATCATCGGCCACGGAGATATAGACAGATCTGCCGGTTCAGCACATCTCGGGGCCAATGGTCATATCAAGCAATTGAATTCCGCAAACCGCTGCGCCACAAAACGGGCTATTATGCGAGATGAAGATCTCTACAGGCGCCCCAGCAGCTCATACTCCAATCAGACGGCTGGTATATATTCACAAAGGATCTTGCACCATCTCAAACACCGAAACAGAAACAATTTCCGCCCGAAATGACTACCCAAAATAGAATCCAGCTCATCAAACGCTAAAATACTGAGAGCAAAAGTTGAAATTGAAGACATTAAAACTCAGCCAGCAATGGGAGATCCCGCGAGCTCCGGCCAGCGTGGATGCGGAATTTGCCCTCCGGCAGAAGCCAGTTCTGGGCACGCACACTCCAATAGCTCAGGTCTTTGCGCGTCAAGGTCATGTTCACTGTGACGGTGTCTCCGGGCTCAAGGTACACTTTCTCGAAATTGCGAAGGACGCGGTCAGGGAACTGGATTGTTTCCTTGGCCCAGCCTAGTCCGCGATGCTCAACTACGTCTTCGGGGAATGAGACATAAATCTGCACAACCTCTTTACCCGAGCGCGAGCCTGTATTCGTAACATCAACGGACAATTGGAGCAGTGGTTCGTAGAGAGCTGGGTTGCCGCCCAGGCCACCCCCAGCAGGGGAAGGAGCTTGCTTTTTGTTATACCCATCCGGGTATGGGTACGGAGCGGGCGCAGTTCCGGATAATGTGGTCAAGTATGGATAGATATATTTGCCAAGGATGTTGAAGTTCGGCGGGAACAGCGCAGATGAGGGATCGATGGCGGCTGCTTCATAGTGCGGTGCCTTGACTGAGTCTGTAGGTCTAGGAGCCGGCGAATGGGTCTTGTTCTGCAACGCTTCGATGCGAAGTGAGCTCATGTTGAAGCTAGTATAGGAGAGACCGAATCCAAATTCGAACCGTGGCTCGATGTTGAACTTGTCGAAATATCGGTAGTCAATGTAAAGCCCTTGGCTGAGGTTTGTCCGAGGGAATGGGTCGTCGGGCTCGTACCGAATCTGCGCGCCGGGGCCATAGTCTTCCAGCTTTCGGCCGATCGTGTACGGCAAACGCCCGCTAGCATCGACGTCGCCGAATAAGACATCGACCAGGGCATTGCCACTCTCCTGGCCCGGGAGATTGGCATAGACGACGGCGTGGACGCCTGGAAGGTCAATCCATGACTCTAGAACGACAGGCCCGATAGAATGGATAACGACCACTGTCCTTCCACTACCACCGCCACAGTTCTGAGCTGTTTGCTCGATAAGTTGGGCTCCATTGTGCTGAAGGAAGAGGTCATTTCGGTCCCCCTTGATACCCTCGCTATGGATGTAGCCCTCTCCGCCGTCGGCGTTGGCGAAGACAATGCACAAGTCCTGCTCAGCCAGGTCCTCATCGGTCACCTGGTTGGTCAAATAAGCGTTGACTTCAGTGTTCTCGGCAGACCACGCCGTCTTGAGGGCTTCTGACGGCGAGACGAGGTAGGGGAACTGCACAGCACCACTCCCCCACCCCGATGCCAAAGTGCCCTGGTTGCAGCCCCTATCGGCACAGGAATTCGGACCTTTTCCAGAACCAGCGTCCTCACCGTAGAGACCAACACGATACTTGCCAGCAGCCTTGGTAACACTCCGCATAAGTGGAAGTGTTTCATTGACATTTTTCAAGAGGACGGTCCCCTCCGCAGCCACTTGCCGTGCAATCTCTCCATGAGATCCTGGACCAACACCCTGAGGATTCACATAATGGTTCACAACTTCTTCCGTTCGGTCATCCGGGCTCCCAGGGTGTAAGCCACCGATCCTGTCATTTGTCCACGATGAGAAATTGGGACCTCCTTCGCCTTCTGGAGAAGGTTTCGCCCACGAATCCTGCCCTAGATGGTACCATGCCGCCACAATACGAGTCACCATATCATTGAGCCGTTCTGCTGGTACAGAAGTGTTCAAGACAGCACGAGTTAGATGGCTGCCCCAGAGCTCTTTACCATCGGCCCAATTTAGGCCATCACCAGGCATGCTCATATCAAGACCACTCAAAGCACTTTGAACACCAGAACGCTGTGCAAGCCAGTCAGATTGAACAAAACCTTGGAAGCCCAACTCGTCCTTGAGGATCCCGTTAAGCAGCTTGCTGTTCTCACACGAATGACTTCCATTCACCATTTGGTATGCACACATGATACTAGCCACACCAGCACGGACACTCTCCGCAAATGGCCACACAAACACCTCGTGCAATGCGCGGTCATCAATATCTGATGACAGAGCGGTTGGAATGCCCCATTCGTTAGGCTGCCGGAAATGTTCCTGTTCATTCATTACGAAGTGCTTTGCCGTCGCTATCACGCCATGGCTCTGGATACCCTGAATAGTCTCTGCTGCAGCCACAGCCTGCAAAACGGGGTCTGATCCGAAGGACTCCCAGTTCCGACCACCGGCAGGCATCAACCCCAGTGCTCCCATCGAGGGGCCAAGGAGCACATTCACGCCTTTCAGTCGAGCTTCTTCGCCCAAGGCAGAGCCTCTCGCTCTCATGAGCTGGCGATTCCACGTCGCACCCGTCGTAATGCCCGCTGGGAACGCAGTGATGTTGTCCGCGAACCGTAGACCCAAGGGTCCGTCTTGTAGACAGAGTGACGGAAATCCCACTAACTCAGCAGGTCCTGCAAAAGGAAGCAATTGATCAGCTATGCTCTGGCCGCAGGCTTCAAGACAAACATACCAGTATTTCCAACGCAAAGCCCCATCATCCAGCCCGTCCCGGTCGTCACATTCACCTTTTCCAACAAAGTCATTCGGCCAACCATATCATGTGCCTTCCCATAACTCTCTTCCCACTCCTTGCTCGTGCCACCCAATGGGGTCGGGTACCAGGGCACGGAATCCTAGCAACAGTCAGCTACAATCCATACCCAGAGTAGAATCACCGCATACAAACTCCCCAGGCTGGTCGCTCAGAAACCTCCATCTAATGCCGTTGGCCGCAAACACCATAAGCAACACCCCCGCAACAAGCAGAAGTCCGACCTGCCACAACGGGCGGCCGCGCAATGCCGCCGGGATCTTCGACCTCCAGCCGCGCTGTTCTTCGATCGCATACGTATCCTGCTGGTCCTTCTGCAGCAGCGCTCCGTAATCTTCATCATCAGCCTCGCTCAGTGCGCGCAGAGAGTCACCATCTTCGAGGTCGAGGTTGAAGGATTCCGACAGAGCCGACCGGTCGTTCCGGAGAACTTGCTCAATGCGCTGTCCAATGTCGTAGGGTTCGCCATCGCCTTCGGGGGTGTGGCTTGAGCTACTTGTTGATGGCGTGTTCTGTGGGCTTCGATCCGATTTGGAGCTGCCCTGTGCTTTTAATGGGAGGAGCTTCACATCTGCCGCATGGTCCAGGGGCTGGTCGTCACTTGATGAAGATGATCTCGTCATTGTGTGGTTTCCGACGAAGGCTTTTTTAGTGAGATGAGGGCTGCATCCTGTGCTTGAGAGGAACACAGGTTGTCGAAGGTAGTTGTGCTACGATGATTGATTTCTCCAAGCTTGCAGAGTCAGGTTGTCTTATCGCATGTCTTATCAGGGAACTCTAAAAAAATTGGGATTACGTCACCTGACTTCACCCGCGGGCGATTGAGGATCTTGAGGATTGCGCAGGGGTAAATCGGTATAATACAGTATGGAGATCCAAATCGACTAAATGATTGATCAAGTCTAATAAGAGTGCTCAATAGAAAACTAAGGTAAAGATAACTTTTGTTCACACGGCCGGTGTATACAGGCCATAGCTAAAGATATGCATATCTACCCAAAACTAACCGAAAACGCCGTCTATCTAGGCCCCATGCAAAACACAAAGAAAGAGAGAACTCGAAAGCAGAAGTGGGCACATGCACAAAAAGAACCAATATAGGCAAAACGAATTTTCCATCATGCGTCATGTCCTGAACTAATCCATCCATGGACTCAATTAGGCCTCATCATCAGTGTCAACAGGCTTAGGGGTACCCTTGGGAGAGTTGAGCTAGACGGGTAGTTAGTTAACGAGTCGATCAGGGTAAGGGGCAAGTTTACTAACCCATTCGATGTGACGCAAGCGGCGACGGGTCTCTCGCTCCTTCTGTTGAGCGCGAGTCATCTTCTTCTTCTTCTTAGCACGGAACTTGAGCTCGCCTTCCTCGTCACCAGAGTTGACAGCCGAGGGAGCAGCACTGGTGTTAGTGGAGGCAGCAGCGGGGGTGCCAGGGGCAGAGGGCGAGTTCGCGGCACTATCCTCGAAGCGGTCCAGGTTGACAGCATTGTTGGTACGGCTAACGACACGGCCATCGGCAATATGCAGCTGCTCGGGCAGAGAGCGCCAACAAATTCCTCGTTGTGAGAAATCATCACCACACCGCCCTTGAAATCACGAATGGCAACAGCCAGACCACCAAGAGAGTCACGGTCCAAGAAGTTGGTCGGCTCGTCCAGAACCAGCAAATGAGGGTTGTTCCACATAGCACCGGCCAACACGACCTTGACCTTCTGACCACCAGAGAGACCGGAGATCTCGTTGTGGTTGGCGATCTCGGGGTCAAGACCGACGTCCTCGAAGTGCTTAGAGATGGTGGGAGGGTCGAGGACACGGAAACCCAGACCCTCACGAGAAGCCTCGTGATCATCGAATTCCTGCACCATCTTGAAGAATCCAAGGTCAACGAGGGTCTCACGCGAGATCATCGTGTTGTGCTTTGGGAGCAAGCCAACCCACTTGACCTCATACTGGAACGACTTCTTCCACTTTTGACGACCCATGATGGCTTCAATGCGGCGAGCACCGCGGCCGTCACCGAGGTCAACTGGCTTCTCCAGCTGGGCCTTGTCAGCATCAGTGAGGATACGAGTCTGCTTCAAGAACACCTCGCGATCATCACCGTTGGCATAACGCCACTGGAGATACTGACTTGGAGTCTTCTCAAGATGCATCTCGACGTGCTCCAGTGCGTGCTGCTTAATGTAACCAATACGCAAGTTGGGGTGCTTCTCGACCTTTCCGCTCTGGGGAATAACTTCGCCAGTCAGGATCTTAATGAAGGTGGACTTTCCAGCACCGTTGCCTCCGATAATAGCGACACGAGAGGAAAGGGAGAGAGAGAGGGAAGCATCCGTCAATGAAGGCTTGGGAGCACCAGGGTACTGATAAGAGACATTGTTCATGCGGAGAATAGCACGAGTGTTGGATTTGATACCGGACAGAATACCAGGGGGAGGGAACTTGAATTGCACAGTAGAGGCGGACAGGGTGTAGTAGCTCTTTCCCTCGGGCTTGACCTTGACAAAGTCTGCGAGGTTACCCGGGTAGCAGACGAGCTTCTTCTGTTCGTAGTGGTAGATGTCGGTACAGACCGCATCAAGGAAGCCAGAATCGTGAGAAACGATCAAGCTGGTGATGTCGGTGTGCTTCTTCAAGTACTCCTGCAACCATTTGACGTTGGCAACGTCCAGATGGTTAGTAGGTTCGTCCAGCAGGAGGACGTCAGCCTTCATGAGCATAGCGCGAGCAAGCGCAAGCTTCATCTTCCAACCACCAGACAAGGAGCCAACTGGCTGAGCTTGACGGCCCTCAGGGCCATCGGTGAAGCCAAACTCCAAGAGGACGTTGCTGATGTGCTCTTTTCCTGCGGAGGCAACGGCAGGGTCCTTGGAAACGTATTCCAGGATGCTCAGGTTGGCATCCTCGCCCTGGTTGTGCTCCACGAAGCAAGTGCGCACCTCCTCCGGAGGTGGGAAACCTTCCAGCTTGTTATTGGCAATGCTGCGCATCAGAGTAGATTTTCCAGCACCATTTCGACCACAAAGACCGTATCGGTGACCCTTCAGAAGACGCAGGTTGGTATGAGACAGCAGTAGCATACCACCATAGGCCAAAGAGAAGTTGGCATTGACAATTTCAACCTCGTTAGGATCCTCCTGGACAGGCTTTCCAAACTTGCGCTCATCTTCGGCGACAAAGTGAGCCTGGACAGCGGTGGAGATCGCCTCAATCTGCTCATCGCTAAAAAAGCCGCGGAGGTAGGGGCCAATGGAAGAAGGAATGCGGTCCATCATGCGAGCGTTGACATCCTCACGCACCAAGCTAGCGATATATAACTTAGCAGTCTCGTGGAAGGCTGCGTCGCCAAAGCCGGTCAGGCCGCCATTCTCTTGCAGCTTGGGGTCGAGCACAGCCAGAACCTCCTCTGGAGTAATCTTGGACACAGCACCGGTCGCGACGTCGTTGTCGGCCATGGCCTTCTCCATCACATCCAGTGCACGGGTGGCAAGCTCACGAACCTCTGGGAGAGAAGCACGGTCCTTGACACCCTTAACACCTGGCTGAAGCTTGGGAAGGAAAGTACGTGCTTCAGCTGGGTCATGCACCAGCTTTGTCAAATTCTCCACAACCACCACCGTCTGGCGAAGAGTTTCTTGGGGAGTCGATGGGTTGTTGAGGGAACGCTCGAGCAGAGGGGTCAACAGCGCAAGGACGGGAGAAGTGACAATAGCGACGAAAGTGGTCTGCGACAAGGCATGAATAGCCTTCTGGACAGTTTGAGGAGAAGGTTGTTCCATGGTCTTAATAATGAGAGGAACTCGAGGAGCGACGTCGTCGTTCTCGAGGAGGGTGGTGAGAGCATTCATAGCTTTAAGTGACTGCTTGGCGACGTCGGCCTTGAGGTCGTGAATACCAGACTCAACCACAGGGATCAAATCCTTCAAAGTCTTTCCCATGGCCTCACGCAACAGATCCTTCTGCCGCTCTTCTTCCTTGGTGCCGTTGCCAATCTGAGCCTTGAGGGCCATTTTTTCCAAGAGTTTGAAGCCACCGACAAATCCTTGCCATTTTCCGGTTCCCTTACTAAGGTAGGATTCCAAAGCAGGCAGGAAGGCATTCACCAAAGCCTCTGGGCTCAAAATGTTGAAAAGGGCATCCACTGCATATTGAGCGGCATCGCGGACGACAGCACCCTTGTCAGCAAGCGAATCCAGCACGACACTCAGGATTCCGCCATCCTTTAACAAAAACACAACCTCGCTTAGGGGGAATGCGGTGGGATAACGCTCGAACAGGGCACCGATGATCAACATGGCGCTCTCGCGGCGGGAACCACTCTTCTTATCGGTGGCTGCCTTCTTGGCCTCTGCCAGAACATTGTAGTTGAGCAGGCCGGCAGTTCCGGCGCCTTGAATCAAGAGGTTTGTCAAGGCATAAGACCCATCCAGGGAGTCCTGGGAACTTTGCGCGTTGAAAATGTTGTTCAGGACGGAAGAAATCTCTTCGGAGGTGGGGGGGCACGCCGGAGGGGCCTTTTCCGACGATGGTCGACATTTTGGGAGAATCGGAGGGTGAGACGGTGTGTGGCATTATTTTTCTCTCAAGGCTTCACTCAAAGCGGCCCTGGCGGAATATACCAGAGACTCGGGCAAGAAGGCGGATCCAGAGGGAACCCGGAGAAAAAGGGAGTGCAGAGGGGCAATGGTGGTCCCGGGACCAGCAGGACAAAGATCGAAGTAGAAGAAGACGAAGGTCGTAAAAAGGGTGGTCCAGAAGGAACTGTACAAGGTCCAGACTCTGCGACGACACTCTAACTCACTTAGAGGCCTATGTTCCGCAGAAAGGGCAGAAGAGAGGAGATGCGAAAATGTCAAGGCCCGCGATCAGGCTTATCCACACAATTTTTTTTTGTTTGGGAGGCGACGCTCTGAGCCAATCAGAGACCCCACTATCAGCATGGGGTTTCACTAACTTTATTAGGTTAGCCTTATCAGTGGTCAGATTAGTCAGGGGATCTGGGCCTGAGGCTCAATGCGGGATGGAGGATTTCCACATCTCTCCGGAATTGTATTACATGCGTCTATCTCAAGCCAGTGCTACTCGTCAAAATATTTACTGCATTACGATAAAATTGAATAAGTAACTAGCAATGCGGTATTTCGCGAGGTGAAGGAGGGACATACAGACTCGGTAATTCCAACTCATCAATCTCGCCATCAACACTGTCCATGGATTATATATCCCGGACGATCAAGCGCAGATGGCGCCTTCGCTAACCCCCCGCCGAGTCTGTAATTTGAATGCTTACTCTGTCTCTAAAGGGCGTTTCTCTTCCCAAATAGTAACTAGATCTATAATGTTGCAATTTCCAATTGACTTTACCAAGCGTTCAAGCGCTCGGAAAGTCTCATACGCTACCCGCTCCAACCTTATTGGGCTTCGGAGATGCTCTCTCGCCACCCTATTTTCGCTTAAACTTGAGATAGTGGCTTGATCTCGATGAGCAAATACTGTTGCATTGTCAAGTCAAAGCCACAACCTTGGAAGTGAGGGGTAGCTGCCGGACCACGCTAGTAGCATTCCATGCTAAGAATAGATTCGTCCTCGGTCAAAAGTACGATGACCCCTGTCCAACACAGAAAGCAACCCTGGATCACTTACCTGGGAAGAAATCGAACACTTCAACTCTCTGCGACTTGGGAAAGGCCCTGTGCCTGTCAGGAATTCAATCCAGGCAACAATATATTTAACAAGTCGCGAACATCTGCTACGATTCAAATGTCGAAATCAATGCGGAACATATTGCTTTTTCTCCGTGGCTGAGGCCCAAAAAGGGAGAACTTGGAATCCTTGACTCGAGCAAGCGCCAAATACTTGGATGTCATTGGCTCCCCGCACACCAAGGTGCTGATCTCATCCTAAGCCGGCTAGTAAATGACAGGGGGAAAATGCCCGTCTTACCCGAAAGCTTGGTACAGACTGTGCACAGCTGCACTAGCCTCATATTTAGGGTGTTTTTTTACCTGGCTGCCTGTGGCTTAAGGCGCTAGCCGTGGCTGTGACGCTGAGCACTAGCATCTACCCATTCCGCAGGCTGATTGCCTTGGGCGAGGCAGATATGAGATCATCCAGAAGAGGTATATAGAGCCCCAGGAACTGCCTCGTTTCCTGAGCAACTCATTCAGTCATCTGTTCGGTGGCTAGTTGGCCCCTATCCAATTTTTTCGATCCACTTCAATTATCGCGTTTCGTTTTGAAATCTTCCATCATGGTTACCGTCCAGGTTAACACAAAGCTTGGCGATATTCTCCAATTTGGGTCCGAGATTTCCCCCGACAAGGTGGTGACCTGCTTTGGAAACACAAAAACCTTTTCCCGCTGCCGCCACCCTCTTTCCCAAAGGAAGACCATGCTGGCTCATCGAATCTTGGGCGAGCGGATTATATTTCCAGAATTTGAAGAAGGAACTATTCAAAAGACAGTTGAAGAATTAGCCAGTCTCTGTATTTGTGGAAAGGTCCATGAAAGCGAAAAGATCCGCCTTGCCAAAAAATGGAGCAAAGACGTAAAGGCTTACATTGATGAAACCTCTCAAGCCCCACAAGTCGAACACCGAGCTTCTGGCACTGAGGAAGTCTTGCAATCCGAAGGCTCTAGTCTCGCTGCGGTTGGAAGAAGCGGAAGTGAGGACGTGGCTATGCTCAACTCGACCATTGAAGATCTGAACACAGATCTTCAACGAGTATCCCTCTCGCCACGCATGGGATCTGAACCCGACTTTCCCAGGCCCGTGGATCTCGCGGAAGCTACTGAAGAGGAACCCTCAGCCATGCAAATCGATTCTACACACGTTATGGAGGATGATGAAACCCAGCAAACTAGCCCCATGCCAGACTTACCGCTATTCAATGCTGTGCGGACGATCGTGCATTACAGCCAGCTGATCTGCAGTGCCCTTCAGTTAGAATATGGGCCTGCGCTCTTGCTAGATACCGAGGGCCAAACCCGCCAGTGTTCGGTACTAGGTGTGAAATTTCTGATGGTGTTGGAGCCGGAAAGCTTTATAGGGGGTATTCTGCAGTCGCCATTCGCTCCACTAGTCTTATTTGTGGTCCTTTACCCACTCGGGATGTATCTTCTGGGGTCATCATTGGCATATTTTGTGGTTATGTTACTTATGCTTCAGAAGGGACAGAACCCGGGCTGGATTGGTCATGGCCAGTGCGAACGGAAGAGGATATGATTTTACATGATGGATGTGACGCTAACGAGACGGTATACCCCTATTTGAATTTCAGCGTTTGATGTGAGCTTTGAGCTATGTAGCGGCCATGGTATTTGTAGTAGTAGAATAGCAGCGTAGTGTTAGTTGAAATTTACTAAATGCACGAAGCACGTCAATATTTCTCTGCCAAGCGTAACCCTGACTAGAGTTCCAAGTCATCGAACATTGCTAAACACGGTCAGAATTGGTATTTGTACTCTTGTTCTCTAGCTAAATTTCAAGTCAAAAATTATTTGCCTGAAGTGAAAGTAGTTGTTGGGGGACTTCTGGAAGGCCCCAAGGGGTCGGTAGTCAATCCGGCTACATGGCACATGTGAATCTCACTGTGCGATTTGAGCAATCTCTACATACCGAAGATGAGTATACTTTAAGCTGATCAGTTTCATATAATTTGGTAGTCCGGTGGAGAGATCTATTTGAAATCCCCAACAAAGTGCGTGCCGAGTAGAGCGACGGAAGATCGGAGGCTCGTGATGGGTCAAAGTGATTTCCTGTGAGTGCCCACGGGTGACCCGGCATGGCTGACGAATCAGATGTTGCCTGTAGACTGCTCAATGTAGATGTTCTCGAACATCAGTCAAGCTTGTGAGTGCATATGAGAGCCCCGCGTTTTCAAAAATTCCCCGACGATCCTCTTAAACTATGAATCGCACAGGTTACCGTTTTGGGATCGGCAGGACCTTATCTACCCTAACATGATTGGGCAAAAGCCGCCGATCACCTAGCCGAGGGCCCATCTGATGAATTCTAATTGGAGGAACTTTTCTCTGTGTCTCGACTGCGATGTCGGATACCGAGGCTGCAAAGTTGAAGCAGAACCCGTCGACTGAAGGCCTATTCTCAGCAAACAGGATTCTCCTCGATACTGACTTTCTGCGCAGAAATCTGTTCGAACCCAGTTGAAGCGTTGCATAATGCGACATCATCTCAGCATCGGCAATGAGGTGGGTCCTCTTCACATGGGATTCCCATAGTGAAAAGGATCCTCAGATGTGGCGCTTGGCACCACACCTCATCAACCCTTTGTTGGGACAACGAGGATCCACAATGACGGGTCTCCGCAATGAACCACTTCACATGGGGCTTTCCCGAGCCCATTGCCGACTGGGATGGAATATAAGCTATGGCCCTGGACCACACTGGGGGGCATAGATTCGACCACGGCTATCAACCATGGACACCAAGCCGCTCTCTAAGGATTCTATGAAATCCACATGGCGAACAGCAGATCGCTCGGAGTGGACTCACCATCACTGGTCTCTGGAGTTACTTAACGTGCATCCGATCGACCTAAACAAGGATGTCCCAGTACACTCTAAAGACGAAAAGATTCCTTATATGCCCCAATGGTCTCTTCAGCGCTGGGTGCTCTTCTATTCAGCGGTTCCTCTTCTCCTCCATCAAACCTACATGGTCTTCACCGGCCGTACACTCGGTCCAATCGCCGCTTTCAACCTCTACTTTTTCGCCTTCAACGCCACCGTCATCCACCAAGTCCATGTCCTCCGCCGATTGGGCCATAAATACGGCTTCCTTGACGGGGACAAGCATGAGCGCGATGGAATCCCGGATGTAGGGGTTGCCAAAGTGGTAGCCTCATTATACAAAACAACCGGTTCTCGCCTGGTCATGGCAACCTACTTGACCTACAACCGCGACCAGCTACCCAGTCAGCTAAGCTGGGCTTGGCTGCCTCTCGAAATCGGCCTGTACGGTATCGTCCTCGACTTCTGGTTTTACTGGTACCATCGACTCATGCATGACGTGGGGTTCCTTTGGAAGTTCCACCGCACACACCACCTTACGAAGCACCCCAATCCTCTGCTTGCTGCCTATGCCGATCATGAGCAAGAGTTCTTCGACATGGTCGGCGTCCCTGCGATGACATATTTCAGTCTCAGGCTGACGGGTCTTCCGATGGGCTTCTATGAGTGGTGGGTGTGCCACCAGTATGTTGCCTTTGCGGAGGTTTTCGGGCACAGCGGTCTGCGGATGCATCTCACCGTCCCATCCACCTTGAGTTGGTTGTTGCAGATGTTTAACTGTGAGATTGTGATCGAAGATCATGACCTGCATCATCGCAAGGGGTGGAGGAAGAGCCACAATTATGGCAAGCAGACGCGTCTCTGGGATCAGATCTTTGGGACATGTACTGAACGTATTGAGTCGACGGAGGCGAACGTCGATTATGAGAACCCGGCTACGATGCCTCTTTTCTAGATACCATGTGAGATCCTTTCAATTCTGATAAACGTACAATTATGATCAAATCAAGACTTTATTAAGTTGCAACGGACAGACGAGATAATTCCTCCAATCTAAGTAGTAATCCACGTCGGCCTGGTGTCGGACGTATCTAAAGGGAAGATCTCTTGCCCTGCAGAAACAACTGCTGATTGAAAACATCCTCAAGAATGGTTTCCTGAGAGCGCCATTTCATCCCAAGCAGCTCATCAGCGGCCTTTGTCTCAACACTCCAGTTAAAGTTAATTGGAGGTTCCAGCTTAGATTCCACTTCGGGAAACTTCTCCTTAATAAAAGAGGCTGCTTTGTCCCACGAAATACCGGGAGCGGACAGAATAAACTCCGTCCCGCTCGGAATGTCCTTCTCCAAAGCTTTCACGTGAGCATCGGCTACATCACGGACATGAACCCAGATATTCCCAAGGCGAGGTGTTCCAGTGATAGCAGAATCCCAGAGCCAAGCGTTGATTCCTCCAATCTGGTCGGCAGTCTCCTGGATCAGGCTGTCACCCAGCACGAAGACAGGGTGGAGAGTCAGAACTGCGAAATGGGGGTTGTTTGCGCTGAGCCAGTCCCGGGTTGCCTGATGGGATAGGATTTTCGAGGCATGGTATTTCTTGCCGTAGCCTTCTGGGCCAGCAGGGAACGGGACCGAAAGATCCAGATTGATCTTCTCGCCAGTGTTCTCTGGGTGAACATTAGCACCGCACCGACCTTGACATCACCACGCTCGCATGAATACATACCTCTCGCATAGAATTCCGTCTTCCCCCAGTCTTCAAGATGAAGCATAGCAAGGACAGAAGAGACAATCACAACCTTCTTTATCTGCTTGAACTTTAACGCCGTATCCAGGAGTGCCACCGTGCCATCTACGGCAGGCTTCTGATAGTCCTTCACGAAGTCTTCGCCTTGGCCTGGCATGGGCGATGCGACGTGGAGAATATAATCGACGTCTTCCAGGGCCTTGTTAAAGGACTCGGGATGGGTCAAATCAGGGACCAGAATGGTTTCGATGTCGCTTTCAAATGCTGCATGTCTCTTTCTGATGACAGCCTCCTGTTCGGCTTTGCGGATGGACAAGCGGATTCGGTAGCCGGCTCTGAGCACGGCTTCAGCGGTGTGCGATCCAATGAAACCGGTGGCGCCGGTGATGAAGACAAGTGACTTGGTCATGATGAGGTAAAATAAATATTTCTATGAAAATGATGGTTGTACTAGATGTGTGTATACAATGAATGAGAAATGGTTGTGCGATGGAGGTATTTTATAGGTTATCGAGTTCACACACCGAGGTTTGCACTGCCAGACCTCTAATATGATGGTTTACCTATCAGGAAAAAACGCTTAGAAACCCAGATCAATTTTGAGATAGCATTCTCCATTACAAATACTCCTATAGGCCTAAAACATGAGCTTAAACGAGGCTGCTTCGTAAGTAGGCCTGATGGTTGCGCCACATCGATATGCGGGTATGATGATCCTTATCGTGGGTTTTCAACCGCCCACTTTTTCCAAATTGTGCGCCTGCTGATAAATTTGATAAATTATAGTTATTTTAACTCCTTCATTTATTAATAATTCCTAGCGGAGCTTGAGCTCAAATCTATGTTTGTAGGCATCGAGGAGTCGAAGAATTGTCATATATCGCGTCATGCATCCCGCGTTAAACAGTGTTCACTCATCAAAAATAACTAAACCTGGAAAGGAAGCGCCACCGCGAGAGCGCGCCACCAGTTGAATAATCATTCCCGTCAAACATTCCCGAAATCAACCACCGACGGCTTACGAATATGCGGTTAGGGTCATCATAAAATACATTGTGTAATCTTCGCGCAGAAAGATTATTGAGATTCCGCGAATGTCCACCTGCTTCGCCCACAATCCATGACAGCAGTAAGCTCGTAGCGCAGCAGGTTGTAATCATTCCGAACTGCATCACCATTACATACTAATCCGCAAAGCAGCAGTTTCACATAGGCAGAGATGGCATGGAATAAATACTCTCGCCAAACCATTCGTAGATTTCATTCCCGGTAAACATCAACCGACAAGGACATTCCAATTCCACAATGCCGCTCTGGCAAATTTACCCCCCCCGGCACATTCGAAAATGCCGCCGAGAAAGAGTCTCTTTCAAAAGACATCACTGCGAACTATACAGCGATGGGCCTTCCACCGTTCTACGTCGTGGTGCACTTCAACAAGATCGAGAACGAGAACGTCTACATTGGTGGCGAAGTGAGATCTACCGCAGAAAAGCCCTTCGTCCGAGTCGTGATTACCCATATTGCGGTCCGCATGCCCGACAACGACGACGTATACTTCCGCTCGACCTCCCGCCTCGACAAGATCTTCAAGCCACATCTTCTGGACAAGGGGTACGACTTCGAGTACCACGTCGATGAGACGGAAAGGCGACTCTGGAAGATCAACAGTCTTATTCCGCCGCCGTTTACGAGTGAAGAGGAGAAGGTCTGGTTTCGAGCGAACAAGCCGCTTCCGTACGAAGGGGCTTATCCGCCTCAGACGAGCAATGCGGCACTTTAATGGCGGAGGCCGCTGAGATGCCCAGTTGCCGCCGGTGGTATTTTTAGCTGAATTTAGCTCAACCCAGATCGGAAGCCCAGTATTGTGATTTGGTCGAGCCTTGTGATAATTCCAGATAAAGAATTTCAATGGTTTCGACGTGTACTTCTTATAGTTTGGTATCCCTCCGTCCAACCGAATCCAGCCATGATTGAATGGTCCTTACCAGCCCATCTATTTCTTCTGGTGTATTGCCTGCGTGTAGACAGACCCTCACTCGCTCTCGGCCCTCCGGCACAGTCGGCGCCATGATAGCTCGGACGACGTACCCGTGCTTTTGGCAAGCAGCAGCGAGTTCGCGAGGGAAGGCGGTCCGGAGCGAAAGAATTGGGGAGTTTGGGAAATGATCAACCTCAAACATGACTGTTGGATGTACCTTCAGATCATTCAAGCACATACGAAGACGCTGTATATTTTCTTGCACGATCCTCTGAGACTGTTTCAATGTATGTAAGTATTATAGACATTCGGTCCCTTCTACCACGGAAGACCTTACCGACTCCGTTTGACCAGAAGACAAGAGCTCATAGGAGGTTCTGATAGAGGCCAGAAATGGGAACCCGAGAGCAGTTGTGTAGATCAGAGTACGGGCATAGTTGATCAGGTAGTCCTTTACTGATGGGTCACAAAGGACCACGGCTGCGTAAGAGATTGTGTTAGACGAACATCGGCTTTGAGATCCGCTGTATCCTCACCTCCATGGCTCGCTAAGGCTTTGCCGAATGTATGCACCCGAATGAACATGCGGTCCTGTACCCCCAGGCCCTGGACGACACCGGCCCCTCGAGGGCCAAAGACCCCAGTCGCATGAGCCTCGTCTACCATAAAATAGCCATTTCCGCTAGGAAGAAGCTCGTCCACCACCTTGACAAACTCCTTGATAGGAGCCACATCGCCATCCATACTGTAGATCGACTCGATGACAATAAAAACATTCCGATTGCCAGCCACAACTTTGTGGTCTTGCTCAATCTCCGCCTGCAGGGCCTGCTTCAGGCTTTCCGGCGAGCTATGGGCAAACGCCGTGCGCCGGCCCGCGCGGGACAGCCGCATGCCTTCGTGCGCACTCGCGTGGATGAGCTCGTCGTGCAAGATCACATCGCCCGGCTGCGGGATACTTGATAGAACACCAACATTTGCATCATACCCTGAGTTGAATAAGAGGGCTGAAGGTGCATCGTGGAAGTCCGCGACAAAGCGCTCGAGGTCCTCGGCATATTCGGAGTTGCCATCTAGCAGTCGGGAGCCACCGCTGGCAAAAGGGAATGATTTTGGAGCATTATTCACATGAGATAGGAACCTGTCGCGGTATGCGGAGGATGTTCCCAGGGAAAGAAAGTCGTTTGAGGAAAAATCAACAGCCGTTTTGGGTAGGATGGTCAGGCGACGTCGCGCGGCTTTAGCTTCGCGACGTTTCAGAGTGGCATTGAGTGTACTTATGAGGGCATTTGAGCGATCTGGTGCTCTCTCTTGACGAGGCATTGAGTCAATTGTGGAAGAGAGTGACAGCTCAGGAACGGAGCACGGGCAATGATCATCCCGCACTCTAAATTTTTAGTTCCTGGTACCTGCAAATGCGGGGGTGTTCCACAGCTCAGGGACTCGACAGGGGGGGGTGGTTAAGGCTGTTACTGGTGTCAGGGCATGATAAGATCTCCGTTCTGGAGGATTGAATTGGCCAGACTGACTCACTGTTGGGATTCTCAACAGGAATTCAACCTCGGTGAACCGGAAAATCGCGGTGGAGCCCGAGGGCCCGTCTTTGGTGCTCCCTTGATTCGCCAGGCGACGACAACCTTCCCGGGAAACGCAAGCAGCGACCGGATTGACTTTCCCCACGTTTCAAGTTGCTCGTCTTTCCTACATCGCAACCATGCCTCCGGTTGGTGCTGGTTTGTGGCGTTCATTGCGCGCGCACCAGGTTTACGGTGCCAATACAGACGTCGGCAAGACCATTGTTTCGACAGTCTTGTGCAATGCGATTCAGAAGCAGAAGCAGCGGGCCGCGTTCCTTAAGCCGGTGTCCACGGGAGCTTTGGACGAGGCCGATGACCGGTAATCTCAGCAACGAGTCCTCATTGAGGCTTATGCTAATCGCCGTCGCAGTCACCTGGAGCGATATGGAGCTGGAGCCTTGACGAAATGCTTGTATCAGTTCGATGAGCCCGTCAGTCCGCACATAGCCGCAAGGGAAAAGACAGTGAGTCAGACAAGGCTAAGTCATGGGGCATATGTACTAAAATCAGTCAGATTCCACGGGATGATGATCTCCTTGCGTCTATTCATAAGACCTTGTCCGGCTGGGCGCGATCGGACATCGATTTTGCGCTAGTCGAGACAGCCGGTGGAGTTCACTCGCCTGGCCCAAATGGCAACTCACAGGCGGACCTCTACCGCCCCCTCCGACTGCCTATTGTTCTGGTTGCGGATTCGCGACTTGGGGGTATCTCGTCGTCTGTCTCTGCCTACGAATCATTATTACTGCGTGGCTACGACGTCCAGTCTGTACTGCTGTTCCGCGACGACTATTATCAAAATCACGAATACTTAGGAAACTACTTCCGTAACAAGAGCATTCCGTTAGTCTCGCTCCAGGCTCCTCCGCCGAAGCCGGTGGGATCTGAAGCAGATGCTCAAAGGCGAGATGAAGAAGCTATGTTCAACTATTACGAACAGGCTTCCCGTGACTCGGAGGTTCTCCGCCTCCTTGAAGAGCTCAATACTAAAAATAAGGAACGAATCGACCGATTGGAAGAGATGAGTGAGCGCGCGCAGGATTTGATTTGGTACCCATTTACGCAGCATCAAGGCATGCAAGCCAAGGACATCACCGTGATCGATTCGGCCTATGATGATTACTTCCAAACATTCGGCTTTGGCGAGCAAGCGAAGCCCGACAGTGAGCTCCGGCCAACCTTTGATGGCTCTGCATCGTGGTGGACACAAGGTCTCGGCCATGGCAACCCAGATCTCTCTCTGTCAGCGGCCTATGCTGCTGGGCGATACGGCCATGTAATGTTTGCTGGGGCAGTTCACGAGCCTGCAATTTCTCTTGCAGATCGCCTGCTCAAGATGCTAGATAACCCCCGGTTTTCCAAGGTTTTCTATACAGACAATGGCAGTACTGGGATGGAAGTTGCTCTCAAGATGGGTCTGCGGGTTGCGTGCAACCGATACGGGTGGGATGCAAGCCAGGAAAAGATTCATATCCTTGGCCTCAAGGGCAGTTACCACGGCGATACCCTTGGTGTTATGGAATGCTCGGAGCCTTCGACTTACAACCAGAAGGTTGAGTGGTACCGTGGGCGAGGTCACTGGTTCGACTATCCTCTTGTTAAGATGGTTGGTGGAACATGGAAAGTCGAGGTCCCCGGAGAACTGAAAGAGGATCTGGGTTCGGACGTGGAGTTTGACTCGTTGAACTCGATATTCGACCTCGAGTCTCGTTTGAGCTCAGAATCTGGCCAGAAGTACAAGGAGTATATCTATCGTACAATCAAAGAGCTTGTAGAAACCCATGGCATGAAGTTTGGAGCTCTTATTATCGAACCGGTCATCCTTGGTGCAGGAGGAATGCTTTTCTGGTAAGATACACGGCCTCACACCTAAGAAACTCCCAGCTTACAAGTTCTGCTCAGTGATCCGCTATTCCAACGCTGCCTGACTGATATCGTTCGTGACCATCCCGAACTTTTCTCTCCCAACGCATCTTCACCCAAGGCCGCCCCGTCTTGGTCTGGACTACCTGTCATCTTTGACGAAGTCTTCACTGGTCTCTATCGCCTCGGTCGCCCAACCTCAGCCTCATTCTTGGGCGTCCACCCGGATATCGCAGTGAACGCGAAACTTCTCACTGGAGGACTTATCCCTCTCTGTACAACCGTCGCAAGCCAGGAGATCTTCGAGACATTCTCCAGCCCCGAGAAGAGCGACGCCCTACTCCATGGACATAGCTATACGGCTCACGCAGTAGGCTGTACAGTTGCCAATGACTCATTACAGACAATGTCAGACATGGATAAGAATGGATCATGGAATGAATTTAAGGAAGACTGGAAGGCTAATGTCCCTGCGACTGCAAACTCATCCACCGAAAACGTTTGGAGCGTTTGGTCGAATGGCCTGTTGAAGGACTTGTCTTGTGCGGACACTGTTGAGAGCGTGTTCGCCATCGGAACAGTGCTCAGCATCTCACTCAAAGATGCGCAGGGGGAGGTGAGTTCCCCAGGACCCTATTATTTATATCTATACGTGTCTAACCAATCATAGGGTATACCTCCAACGCTGCTAAGGGATTACAGAAGAGCTTGGCTAAGGGTAGTGAAAAGTTCAACGTGCACTCCCGGGTCTTGGGCAATGTGCTCTACCTGATGTCTAGCGTTACGTCAAAACCGGAGTCGGTGAGAGAAGTGGAGAATATTCTTCGCGCTTCTTTGATTTAGATGCATAAATTCATGCGGTCCACTCAGTCAACAGGAATAAGCAACCTGGTGTTTCTTCAAGCATTCTGGCACCCAGTGCCAGCGGACGAAATAAATCATTTTTAGAACTCCAGACAGGCTCTGCTCATTTGAGAGATACCAGTATCGCCGCCTTCGAGTTGATTGTCCATAGACAACACTCGACCAATATGTATAGTTAATAGTGCTTCCTTTGTAAGGCCGAACCCTGCAGTATGGGCCACATCCAGAGAGACTTATCTCCACAACGGTTGCAATAAAACCGGTATGTGTATCAGCAAGTCAAGTCCGCTATCTTAATGTACACCCTGCGCGTCCGCTTGGTCCGGCCTACCCTTTGGCCCATTTTGAACCCGCTCCGTATGCATTAGACTATGTAAATTAAGAGGGCGTACGGTAGCCGCCATGTATTCGGTGTCTTTGGCTTCAGATTTACCGACGTACACGAGCGCGACTCGATGCTTTTTCCACCACGCAGGCTACAAACGTTGACGTTACCATCAGTAAAACAGTCCCGGGAATGACCACCAGCGGCTTTCTAAACCCCGGAAACTTAATTTCCCATTCCATTACAAATCTTGCATCATGATTTGCACCCCAAATTTGGGGGATGGTACCAGAAAGCTTCTCCATGATAGCCTAGCCTACCGACTCTTTCCGATGCATGACGGATGACCTCCCTCATGCGAGGGCCTCGCAACCGGGAGAGTCATTCTCCATACCCCATTACTCCACTTTCCTGGGGTCAGTTTATAGGAGCGGGGTTTTAGGCCTCCCTCCGCGCAGGAGTGGACCTGGTAGTCATTGCAACGGGGGACGCCTGGACCAGAAATGGCTCCATGTGGCGAATGTCTGGCTGAAAGCAGGTATGGCGAGAGACTAAGCAGCTTCGATTTTGGGGGATGTATAGCTTTCCCCGACCTTGGAATTAGGGTTCTACGGATGGATACAGTTGGAAGATTCGAGTGGTATCTCTTGAACGCTTCAAATTAAGGACTAGGCCTAGTCAGAGAGATAGCATCTCACTTGCGACGAAACTATGGGTACCTTCGAGAAGGCTGATAGTGGGAAAGAGGGAAAGACGGTGGGGGAATTAGGCTTTGTTCCTCTTGGAGTCAGTGAATAATCGTCATACGGCAGATCTAAACTTTTGTATCAGTCCTCAGGATCCTTGGTGTGTGGCTTCCATGTATTTCACAATCCAGATCGCATGGATGCATCACTTGAGACAAAAGCCCCTGGAAAGCTCGAGAAATGTTTGCCGTCGAATCATCTGGCTGGTTCATGACATGTCTTGCCCCGAAGGGCTTAGATTCATGTGGGGGACATGTCCCGTCTTAGGAAGGCTATAGCTGCAACCGCGACCAGGGCCAGAAGGGGATCCTTCCTATTTTGACCATCAAATTCCTGGACCGGGATTGGCACCTGAGATTATTTTTGTCATACGATTCTTGGCAGGGTTCAATGCCGGGCTATGGATGGTTGGTCTGACTAAAACTTTCTGCTTTGGGGATGCGCATGGAGCCGTCACGATCCACGGTGGTCTCCAACCTGGCAACTGCAGAGTTTTACCCACGCAATTCGCATTTGTGGGAGAACGTGCGGCGTTGGTGCTGGGACGGAATACTATGTCAGTCTACCTATTTCCGCCATTGGAATCATAAATAGCAATTCCAACATTTCCAGCCAGAAAGGCTGCAATCGGAGGACGAATCCGGCTACAATCGGTAAACACCTCCAGGGGGCCGGCATTCTGTTATCTAATAAGATCTCTGGCCCGAGTACCTGACTGGCCAATTTATGTATGAGAGTGGGGGCTTAGCGCTCCCCCGAAGTGGGTCGAAGGACGCTTAATTTTCTGGCGGATGGCCTGCATAGTACAAGTCAATGGCTTTTTAATTATCCTTTTTAGAATTGTTCTGTGCAATAGAAATGACAGTTGTCTTCGATAAGCCCCGATAGCTTCCGTCTTCCAGAACCCCCGAGCCCCAGAATTCCTCCCCAAGCGTGTTCACCGCGGGGTTCGGTTGGATCATTTGCAACGTTGAGCTCCACTCGCGGTTAGCTAAGGAGTTTTTTTTTTGCCCACATACATATCTTAACACCGCGTAGTTTCCTTCTTTTTGGTTCGCTTTTCCTCTTTTCAAGGCAATTGAACGTCCTCCTGTCACAAAAATGCAGGGCTTTGACGGAGTGAACCCGCAGCATGAACCCATTGACACCGAGTCGGGCTACAATGACAAGTTTCTCGATGAGAAGCCCGTCGTGCCTCAGTTCCAGGATGCCTTCGGGGATGAGGCGAATGCAGAGGTCAAATACAAGACGATGGAGTGGTGGTAAGTTGGGCGCAAAAAGTGGGAGCAGGCTGGATCTGGAACTAAACTTATACTTCCCTTTTAGGCAAGCCGGAATGTTCATGATTGCCGAATCCGTTTCTCTCGGCGTTTTGTCTTTGCCCGGAACTCTGGCACAATTGGGTCTTGCACCAGCTCTGATTCTCATCATCGGTCTCGGACTTCTCGCGACTTATACCGGATATGTGATCGGTCAATTTCACCGGCGCTACCCTCATATTCAGAACCTAGCAGATGCCGGCGATGTGCTCATGGGGGCGTTTGGCCGTGAGCTGTTTGGCATTGGCCAGCTCCTGTTTTCGATCTTCATCATGGGGAGTCACATCTTGACTTTCAGTGTGATGATGAACACTATCACCGAGCACGGCACCTGCACCATGGTTTTCACCACCGTTGGTTTCGTCATTTGCATGGTCTGCTCGCTGCCACGTACCATGAAAAATATGACCTACATTTCCTGCTGCTGTAAGGGTCTATCAGATGAACAGAGAGGAGCATAGCTAACTCTCATTCTAGCGTTCGTCAGTATCGTCACTGCCGTGATCATCACCATGGTTGGCGTGAGCGTCCAGGACCACGGTTACACTGCTATTAAGGCCACCATTGATACCGACCTCTACAGAGCCTTCACAGCCGTGACAAATATTGTTTTTGCGTACTGTGCGCACGTTGCCTTTTTCGGTCTCCTGGCGGAGATGCGCGAGCCTCGCGATTTCCCCAAAGCCCTTTACATGCTTCAAGGATTCGAGATCATCTTCTACACCATTGCAGCGGTCGTGATTTACTACTACGCCGGGCAAAGTGTCAAATCGCCCGCTCTGGGGTCTGCAGGGCCTCTCTTGAGCAAGGTCGCATATGGAATTGCCATTCCCACGATTGTAGGTGCGGGTGTGGTCAACGGCCACGTCGGACTCAAGTATATCTATGTCCGCCTTTTCCGGGGCACGGACCGCATGCACCGACGCGACCTGTTCTCAATTGGATCTTGGGTCGCTATCGGCCTGTCATGCTGGATCATTGCCTGGATTATCGCCGATGCTATTCCCGTCTTCAACAACCTGCTCAGTCTGATCAGCTCCCTCTTCGCTAGTTGGTTCAGTTACGGTCTTGGCGGTGTCTACTGGCTGCATATCAACCGCGGGCGGTGGTTTTCCTCTCCTCGCAAGATATTCCTGACTGCTCTCAACATGATCATCGTGCTGGTGGGCGGGTGTATGTGCGGTCTCGGCCTCTATGTGTCCGGTCGAGCTATCCACGAGGATTCATCGAACAACAGCTTCTCCTGCGCCGACAACTCCAAATAATAATGGTTCTGAAACCACTTGCATGATAGCATGGGAATGTTTTCATACGACCTAGTTACGTCGACTAATGCTTAGATGTCTTGCATTTCTACCCTCGCCTTTTAGCCGGATGGACTCGGAGTTTGTACATATATTGGGAAGGGCATCTGCAGTGTTCATAGGCTTTATTACTAGAATCATGATCATGAACTTCAATTTTACCATCATTTTATCTTTGATTATCATCAATTACCTCTTCCTACTCTAGACAGCTCCTCCCAATCTGGGGCCCCGTAACTAGTTGACTAGCGGGAAGTGATGACTCATCAGACCCTGAATCTGGATCTCGATCCAATCTGCGTTTCGAGCCAAGAGAACCGTGGGTCGCGCCGATCGCGGGTTCGCGCAGAGCTCGTCTCCTTGCGATAACCCCCCCCGCGCATTGGCGTACACCTTCGCAAGATGGCTGCTCCCGCGGGAATAGACATGAACGAGCTTGACTCCAATCCGCGCTATCTGATCCGGCAGCCGCGCGCTCTGCAATGGTTCGAGGACGGGCGACTGGTCAAGCGGCACGAGTCCGAGCGACAGGCAGGTGAGGGGATTTCCCACGAGAGCTGGGGCAATTGACTCTATACTGACAGATCATGGCAGGACGCTTCGAATTGTTCCTTGACTTGCTTTATGTGGCCATTCTGTCGAACTTTGCCGATACCTTTGTCGAGGATATTACCGGCGCCAATCTTGTCAAGTATATTGTACGCTTTTCCCAAGTCCCTAAGATAATTGTCGGACGAAAGAAGAAAGAGAAGAATACCAATTGCAGGCACGTACTGACCCTTCCGATCTTCTAGCTCATCCTCGCCCCATCGTGGCACGTCTGGAGCGACATCCGCGAATTGATGAACTCCTTCTACAACGACGACCTCATCCAGCGCATCCTGATCCTCTGGCTCATGGCCCTCCTCGTAGTCTACGGCAACAATGCGCCGCTTGTTAGCGAGGACATTGGCGCCATGCGCTCCGCTGTAGGCTCCTACATGGTCGCGCGCCTCTCCTGCACAATCGCCCATTTCTACTACTCCTTCGCAAGCTACCACCACCGACCGCAGCAGCGGCTCTGGGTCGTTCTGTCCCTGGTGTCTCTCGCTATCTTCATCCCGCTGTATTTCGAGTCTGTCTCCATCCGCGGGAAGATCGCCACCGCGGCGGTCGCTGTGGTCTTCGAGGAGCTGTCGTGGATCTTCTGCTTTTCGCCTGCAGCGAAGAAGATGCTGCGCGTCAAGTATTCGACAGCAGTCGATATTCCGCATGAAGTGGATCGGTATGCAGCATTCTATATTATTGCGCTGGGTGAATTCTTATACCTGATTGTTGTGGGGTCGCATGCGGCGGTAGGCTTGAATGAGAGGCTGCTGCGGGCTGTTTGGACGCTTATTATTGCATTTTGTCTGAATTGGCTGTATGTTCATGCCGACGGGTCGGTTGTTTCAACTCATCCATTGCGGCATAGTGTTTTTACTGCATTCTCTTGGTCGTTGATCCATCTCCCTTTGATTGCTAGTCTGCTCGCCGGTGGACATGTTGCTGCGGTTTCCGTCGAGGAAGAGGGGTTCGAAGATGCGCAGCGATGGCTTCTCTGTGAGGGTCTTGGGGTAGGAATGCTCTGCTTGTGGGTTTTTGCCGTGCTCCATGGATCGCAGGATGAGCCTGGAACGCTCGCGTTAGATAAGGTAGGTCGCTCGCATCGTGATGGTAATAATATTCGCTAATTATTTCTACAAGCACCTTCGAATGATCATGCGTCCTATCACTGCTGTCATCGTTATCTTGATTCCCCTGGCTCGCCACCTCGGGGCTACGTCCGTGCTCTCTATCATCATGGCTCTGTTCGTCCTCTGTGTGGTCTGGGAAAGCATCACGTCCTTGCGGTGCGGGGCTCATATTTGGGAGAGATGGTCGGAGACAGATTACCCCGAGCGGCGTCGCGGAGATGATACCTTCAAGAATGGCCCCGGACGCGAACTACCCTCGCAGGAGCCGTCGCAGAAGGAGCCATCGCCCTGATCTATACAGCTTACCTGCTACATGTTTACCCTCCCTACCCATGACATGGAATGACTGCTCGATTCAAAAAAAAATAATGATGGATATAATTGACATGCAATCTAATGTACCTAATTCATATAAATCCCTTGCCATGTAGAAAAGGAAATAGTCTATCTCGCTTCAAGCTTAAACCATCGACCTCTCAACAGTAAGATCCCCAGTCGCTTGCGTCTCCGAACGACTCATAGTAGGATATCTCTGGAAATCCTTCAACCTCCCCTTCTCCCCCTGCACACCCTCCCATGCCTTCCTCTGTCTGAACTCCCTCCGGCGGAAATAAACCCGCTTACACCACTTCCAACTCTCGATGCCCAAGAAGAACAGCACAGTCTCCACAAAAACAACGCCCCACTCCCACGAGATCGACGTATGCTTGAACACACTGCGATTAATAACCGGGATATACAAGATGGGAAACGCAAGCACAAAGCCCGCCATAATGCCCCAGAACAGAAACTGGTTCCGCCAGATATCATGCATCCACTGCGTAAACACCCGCTTCGACTCCGGCTGCATGCTGAAGAAGCTGCGGCGCAGGTGGATCATTTCCCAGGCCAGGAAGAGCGCGAACCACGTCATGCAGGTGAAGGTGGTGGCGCGGGCCCGGAATACCGTGTCGCAGGTGTAGGGCTTGAGCGGGTCGTTGTACTTCGTGTTGCAGCCTTCGCCGAGGTTCCCGTCGCCCCAGCGGAACATGACGAGGGAAAAGGCGGAAAGACAGAGGGCAGCCATCCAGACGCCGTAGACAAGGGTGTCGATTATAATTTCCCAGGTGAAGATTCCTTGCTTCTGCATGATGTTAGTACGGAAAGGTTCACGGTGAGGAAGGGGAGGGGGGAAGGGGTTGAGAGACGCACGCTTTGGGGGGGGGCGGTCCATTACGTCTGGGGCTGCGATTTCCATTCCGAGGCCCATGTCAGGGAGACCGGATGTGATCATGATAATCCAGATGATTTCGACAGGGGAGATGGGGAAGACAGATTGGTTGGTTGTATCCTTGAACGCAAGACCAATGAGCAGCGTCAAGGCGAGCGCTACGTTCTCGGCGAGAAGGTGCAGGACGAATTTTTGGATGTTATCAAAGATACGGCGGCCCTCTTCGATACCGTTAATGATGGAGGCAAAATTGTCGTCTGTCAAGACAAGCTCGGAGGCATCTTTGGCTACGTCCGATCCATTCTGGCCCATCGCGATGCCGACATCCGCTCGCTTTAATGAGGGTGAATCATTGACCCCGTCGCCTGTCATGGCGACGTAGCAGCCCCGACGGTGCAAAGCATCGATCATCCGGACCTTTGTATTAGGTGCACAGCGAGCGATGACAAGTGGAAGAGTCGGCAGATTGTCGATTTCGTCCTCTGTCAGTTTATCGAATTCTCCTGCCGTCATCACCATGGCATCAGCGACGTCTTTGGCAACGGTGTCCATGTTTGATGGGATGATTCCGACCTGGGCAGCGATAGCCCGCGCAGTACCGGGATGATCACCAGTAACCATGTGGACTGCGATTCCTGCCTTATAACACTGTCTAATGGCACCGGCGGTCTCAGGTCGAGGCGGATCATAAAGACCGATTAATCCGTAAAAGACGAGATCTTTCTCGATTTCCTCACGGGGAACCGGTTCGTTGCCATTGGTGCTATGGTCTTCGGCATGGTACTCACGACCCGCGAGGGCGAGAACGCGGAGGCCCTCTTGGGCTAGTGCTTCCATGTTTTCGAGAATCTCGTCTTTCATCTCGTCATCTAGAGTGACAGGGGCTGATCCGGCTTCCCAGACCACTTTGGTGCACGATTCAAGGACTCGCTCAACGGCACCTTTGGTGAATACCATCTCTTGGGGTTTCTCAGACCCCTCGGCTGACTTGGCGTATATGACGGACATTTTCTTGACAGTGGAATCGAAGCCGTATTCAGCTTTATTGTGCCAAATCGGCTTCTCGCCCTTTTTCCAGCGGTCCGCGCCCCAGTCAAACCGCCAGGCGAAAACTTGAATCGCAATGTCTGTAGGTTCGCCGCGAGCGTGCCATTCGTCGTTGGAGCTTTGGTGGATATGAGCGAGATTGGCGAGGGCGGCCACGTTGAGGAAAGACTTCAATTGCTCATTGTCTTTCAGCAGGTCCTCCGGAGGGGATGGCTTGCCCCCTTTCGACATATTGTTGAGCTTAATTGGCTGCTCGGCTGTTAAGCTAATATCCCCCTCCTTCGGATTCAAGGGATTGTTGGACGATCCGACAGAGTAAGTCCCAACCGATGGAAGCCAAGCTCTCTTTGCAACCATGCGGCCTTGGGTCAGGGTGCCAGTCTTGTCGGAGCAGATATTGGTGACTGCGCCCAGTGCTTCCAACGAGTCTAGTTTGCGAACAATCACATTTCTCTGGACCATCTGGCGTGTTCCGACCGCCATTGTGATGGTCAAGACAACAACCAAACAGGCAGGAATCATAGCAAGACCAGTTGCAACGGCGTAGATAATCACTTCCTTATCTCCTCGCCATTCATTGGACCCAGCGACTACGATGGCAAAGATCACCGCAATAGCGAACAGAAGAAGCGCCAACTTCGACAATTTGCGCTGCAGGGGAGTTCCAACATTGATACCAAGGAACCTTCCAATCGCATCCGTGGTCGTCAGCGTCCACGCCTGAACATACCATCGCTTCTTGGTCTCGCCTTCAGGGCCGCGCTTCACCGTACGACGCTTGGAATTGCCCTCGCGCAATGCCGTAGCGATGGCACCAATCTCAGTCTTCATGCCGGTCGCAACTACCACACCTCGGGCACGGCCTCGGGTGACGGTTGAAGAGCTATAGGCAATATTGAGCCGGTCGCCAGGTCCAGTGTCAGCCTCGAAGGTTGACTCGGCATCTTTCTGCACCGGAAGTGACTCGCCAGTCAGGAGCGCTTCGTCTGTTTCGAAATTCATCGCTTCGGTCAATCTGGATCTTGTTAGCTCTATTCAATCTTTCTTTCTCAGAGGGGCTGGATAGGCTCTCACCTCAGGTCTGCTGGGACGGTATCGCCGACTTTTAGTTCGATCATATCGCCGGGCACAATTTCATTCGCGGGCACTGTGGAGGTGTTGCCGTCTCGAGTCGCAACACCGGTAGGCGAACTAAGAGAGCGCAGTGAATCCATTGTCTTCTCAGCAGCAAAGTCTTGGTATACCCCCACACAGATGTTCAGGGCAATTACTGCGGCGATGAAGCCAGCTTCGATCCATGACTGGATGCCGAAACTCACTGCCATGGCAATGATCAGAATCTAAAGATTATTAGCATTTTTTTGATTCCTCTTACTATTATTCCCCAAGGCTACCTACCAGCATCATGGCGTTGGCGATTTGCCGAATGAATATCTTCGTGAGAGAGACCCCCTCGTCCCCTTCCAGCACATTCTGGCCATATTTCACCAGGCGCTCCTTAACTTCTGCTGAAGTCAGTCCATTCTCTGAGTTTGTCCCTAGCTCAGCTATGACATCCTCATGAGTTAGACTATGCGGTGGTTGCGAGAGGTACGGGTGACTAGCTCCAGGGGTAGAGCCAGGGCCTGTTGCTTGGATTTTCTCCTGAGACATCGCCCGAGTGTCTGGAGAATAGAGTATGCGGTGAGCGTGGAAGCTTGGGGATTCCAAGTTGTTCTCTGATACGTATTTCTTGAATTACCTCAAGGCGGTGTCATGTAAAATGTATCGTCAAGGGTGTGCGAGTCCATGAACTAGACAACTCTTCCGAAAGTATGAGTCTATAGATCCTCGACTCGTTCAATTTCATAAATACAATTGACTCTATTCTAGAAACTTTCCAACTCTATCGGGGGGCATAAGTCCCACTTAAATAATCTGCGCGTGAGCCTCGATGGCGAAAGCCGCTGCGCTCGTCGGGTCTACGGCATGGTAGAGCCGAATCCACGGTATCGTACCGACGTGATATCTGGGGAACCGGGGGCGGTCATTGACCAATCGCTCGTCTAACCAGAAATCGGCCTGGAACGATCCAACTTGGCGTGGTCGTGCCAACCGCCGAGGCGCGCCGTGACGCACTCGACTGGGCTGGAGTCTTGGCCGCGGGTGGCAAAAGAGGCCTGTGATTGGCCCAAATGGCGGCGGAGCGCCAAGAGCGGGATTCTGGGCGCTCCCCATGCGATGCGTCCAGTTCCGGTCTGTTTTACGGTCCATAGTCTACTGTGCTTGGCAGGCTCTGGGCACTTCTTGGCACCTCCGACTTCACGGGGTCTGAGATTGAGCCTGATTCAAATTCGAGCCCCTTTCCCTCTATCTTGTGGTTGTTTTCCCATGGCTGTCATCGTTGATATACTTTGACACAGTATCTTTGTTGCGTGAGATCTAACGATAGCTGGCGGGCGTTTGGCTTGGGATCCTGCCAGTGTTATTTCGGTGCGACACCTTAAACTTGAACTCCGAGACTCCCAGCATCCCACCGCCGCTCTACCAGCAGGGAATTGGGCTTATCTGCGCCTGTTCTTGCATCCCGCTTGCATCATCTCAAAGGCCCGGCCCCGCGGCCGATGACTCCCCCACCATGTCGAAAGACAGTATCCCAACAGGCGAGGTCATCGGAATCGTGATTGGAGCCTTGGCGCTGTTTTCCGTTATCAGCTTTGTCCCGATGTAAGCGCTTGGCATCCTCGTTGTTTGGGTCGGTTCCGCTCGGATCTCTAATGCCATGCCGTTTGCAACAGACTACTCATGTGTATCCGTCGTCGCCAGGACGCAACGAGACGGGCCAGTGAGGTGGAGAATCTCACCTCGTCAATGGAGCAGGTGTCCGTGGAGCGGTGGTTAGAAGACCAGAACTCTCCACGCTCTCTAAACCAGTTTTCGCAAGATATTTGGTACGTTTGATTCCCAGATATCTTCCATCCTTCCAACCACCCGTCATATTCTCTTGGTTATGGCCTTGGAGAAAGCATGGCGTGTGGGGAACGCCGAGGGCTGGGCATGCACTCCTGCCTGCATTTCGAGATGTTCCCATTACGAAATATTTTGAGGGGCGTGTTGAAGCGAGCCTTGCGGACTGGAATGCCGTGTCCACGTTAACTTCCTTGGCATTCGTGCTTCTGTACCGGGTGCATAAGGGCGAGTTTGCTATCTGGCCGTGGTCAACCGGCTCTGTCTCTAGAGAAGATTGCTAACAATGCCAAGTTCGATATGCCTGTCGTCCCTATCGTCGTCGCCTTACCTCCCCGCTCCTGAGCCGGCACATCTACACCGAGCCCCAAACCAGTCCTCTTCCTCTCTACCCCCTTCATCCACCGATCCCAAAGATCGAAACTGTACGATCGTTCTCAGCAGATGCCATCATGCATTCCACCTCCCATGCCTGACATCCTGGTTTGAGTATCGTCGATACAACTGTCCGATCTGCCAAGCCGTGTACTCTCCCGCCGAGACAGCGACATAGCTTTACGTCTTATGAACGTGTTCCTTGAATTATCATGACTTTCCCACAATGCGTGTCGCCCAATAAACAAATAAGCTCGTAAGACCTAACCAGTACTGAATAAATCGGCAACTCCAGAGCTATCTGTCTCTCCTCAACCCTCAAGAAAGGTGCCTTGTCATCTTTCGCCGACAAGGCAGGCAAATGCAGCGGCTTTGTAGCCGGAGTTGATGGGGCCGTCGATCTCGACTAGATCGTTATCAACCCGGAGAGCTTCGGTGAAAGAGTGGCAGCAGAGGTGGGAATCGTGGTGGGCCGGCGTCCTGAGTATGCGCTAGTCGGAATAGTCTATTCTTGATAGAATCGCCAGGCGTCCGCGCCTTGAGGACTTGTTCACTGTATGAAGGGATCGGCTTCTGGATGTATCTTCGGGCCTCCAGACATCATTGTTTCGGCTCGGCATGGTTCAGAGTCCGAAACGTTCGAGACTGACGCGTCTGCCAATCCAAGCACTTCAAGTGGAACTAGGCAATGGACCTCGTAGGTCACGCAATCCGCTTGTTGATCCCTCCGAGCCGGTGTCCGAGCGCGGGAGTTTGGGGACAAATGGATCACCTAAGATCTACTAATCTATTCGGGCAGACTTAGGATGCCGTTGTGACAATGCAAACGTTACAGCCGTGGACTCGGGATAGCTGTCTTGGCATTATCCCATACATTATGGACGCTATGATCATCGAGACTTAACGTAGATACATCCGAGTGGCAGGAGATTGGACGCCGGGGACCAGCTTCGATGCGAATCCAGTAGTCCGAGTGATCTCATTACAGTAGAATCTAGAAGTCTGGAGAAAAAATCAATTGAAACTGGAATGTATCGTAGATTCAGCGATAACTGTCTATACAAATTTTGCTTTCTCGGTAGTAGGATATATTCATCATACATAACTCAGACCGTCCCCGAATTGTGATTCGAGCACCCGCCGTTTTACGAGGACGGGGCAATGACCTTGTCCTTGACGTACAGGTCAACGTATTTGTCGACCTCGAAGTTCTCGAGCTGCTGGCGGTCCCAGCCGACCTTCAGCAGCTCGTCAATGCGAGCCTGGTCAAAGTGTCCCTGCAAGTGGCGCTTGTACTTGGCCAGAATCTCCGGCTTGGCCTCCTCGCGGCGCAGACGGTGGCCCAGAGGAGCTTCAACAACCACCTCATCCAGAACGGTGCCGTCCTTCAGGGTGACGGTGAGAGCGTTGGGGATGGTGCGCTTGGTGGGGTCGTGGTAATCCTTGGTGAACTGCTCATCTTCGACGCAGCGGATGCGCTGGCGGAGGTCCTCCAGCAGAGGAGAGGTAGCAGCCTCGGAGCCGTCGGCGTAGTCGTTGGCGGTCAAGCGGTTGAAGACCAACATGTTGGCAACCATGTACTTTGGACGAGTTAGCGGGTTCTTCGGTTTCAAAAAATAAAAACTGAGCATACCTGAACACAGTGATCACGATCGGCAAAATTGTCCATGGGCTTGAACTGCTTGTCGATGATACGGATGCAAGCCTCGTGGGTGCGGTTGGTGATCTCCTTGATATCGCTGGCGCTCTTTCCAAGCTCAGCAAGCTTCTTGTTGATGATCTGAGCAGCCTCAATGGCAGTCTGGGAGTGGAACTCAGCTAGAAAGGCGTTAGCTTATAGCGATGAAGTATTAAGAGGTCGTAATGCTTACCAGGATAGGAGACCTTGAAGAGAACGTTCTCCATCACGTAGCTGCCATAAGGACGCTGGAACTGGAACTTCTTGCCCTTGAAAAGGACATCGTAGAAACCCCAAGTAGGAGCAGAGAGCACAGTGTGGAGACCACCCTCACCCTTCTGGACCTTCAGAACAAGGTTCACGGCGCGCTGGCAAGCATCACCGGCAGCCCAGGACTTGCGGGACATGGTGTTAGGAGAGTGACGGTAGGTACGGAGACTCTGGCCGTCAACCAAAGCCTGGGTGATGGCATCGGCCGTCTGCTTCTCGGTGAGGCCCAGAAGCTTGGAAACGACAGCGGTGGTAGCGACCTTGACCAAAAGGACGTGGTCCAAGCCGACCTTGTTGAAGGAGTTCTCCAGGGCCAGAACACCCTGGATCTCGTGAGCCTTGATCATAGCCTCAAGGACATCGCGGATGGTCAGGATCTTTCCGTTGCCAATGTTTCCGCCGGCGCGGTTAGTGCGGGAGATCCAGTCGGCCACAGCGAGAATACCACCCAGGTTGTCGGAGGGGTGACCCCACTCAGCGGCGAGCCAGCAGTCGTTGTAGTCGAGCCATCGGATCATAGCACCGATATTGAAAGCTCCATTGATGGGGTCCAGCTGGTAGGGAGTACCAGGCACGCGGGTACCGTGAGGGACAACAGTGCCCTCAACAGTGGGGCCCAACAGCTTTGCGCACTCCTTGAACTTCAGGGCCTCCAGACCACAACCCAGAGTGTCCAGGAAAACGAGACGAGCAGTGTCAAACTAAACCCCAAAAGTAAGTATCAGACTGAAGTTCACCCCGAAACCCGATCGTTGCAGCCGATGGAAAGACTCACAGCAAGGTCAGAATCCACGTTGTATTTGTGGATGTAGCTGGCCATGTCCTGGATCTCAGGATCGTAGGACTTGTCGACTGACGCAGCCGGAGCAGCAGATTGACGAGCAGCCATCGTGGAGAATCGAGTCACAGGAGCGCGAGCGCGGACAGAAGCAATGGGCGATGGAGAGGCAAAGCGGGAGATTGTAGAGACGGGGATGCGGGCAAAAGTGCGGGGAGACGAGTGGGTCAGCCGTCTCACAGCGGGCAAGGACATGATTAAAGAGGAACAAGGGGAGCAATTGAAATGAAGCCAAAGCACGGGGTAGTTGAAGAAGGGAAGTTTGGAGAATTGGCGATCTTAGGAGCCAAAAAAAAGGCGAAGAATGCGGAGACCGGGGGTCTGGGTGCGACGAAGGTAGGAAAAAGGGTGATTTCATGCGGCTTTCATTGCCGAGGCCAGTCGGCTACTGTCGGTACGCGTACCGACGCAACCTTTCCTTTTGCCCTATTTGATGGGATATAATGCGCTGGGCGGCATTAGTACTACGAGAAAAATCGACTCTATTTTGGTCCCTTGGTAGCTCCGTGAGCTTCTTGCAGGATCCGAATATCGGAGGGCACGGACTCTTGAGTCCATACGGCGTACGCTTCACATTCTTGAGAAAGGTTACTTCGAGACTTGGAGCTACTGTCACTATACCCTCTTCACGAGAGTTTCAGGGACGATGCGACTATCGGCGATTATGGGTATCTACTGAAGGTGAAATGTGACAAACGATGGAATCCCAGCCTGATCTTGCCCTTCCCGCGATTGGGTGATCTCCCCCCGTCTTTCCCTCCGACAAATCTCTCCCCAACCTCGGACCAGACCTCGGCGGGTCACATGATGCATCCCCACTCGTCCAGCTCCATCAGGACTGGCTCGGCTGGCTCTGGCGGCAGCTTTAACTCCTCCTCGTCCGTCTCACGAAGAGAATGAGCAATATGCTCGAAAAGGCTCTTCGACAGCAGAGGAGGCACCGCGTTGCCGATCTGCTGGCGGATACAATGTGAGGAGAATCGGAAATCGAGAGGAAAGGTCTGCAAGCAGGCAGCTTCTCGCTCACTGAAGCGTCGTTTGCCAGAGGGGTGATAATTCCTCTCACCTCCACTACAGGTGAGGGTCTTAGCAGGCCCATGCTTGTCGTAGGGTTCTTTATACCCTCGATCGTACTGCTGCTCTAGCAAAGTCCACCAGTCATGGTCGGGTGCGTTGCCAGGGATGCTGTCAATTGTGTCCGCAATGGTTTTGTATGGTCGAAGGCCTGGTCCGTGGGTCTCGGGCAGGAAAGATGGGAGTTTCTCGCCGGGTCTAGAGTCAAAATAGTCAGTACTTGAAATTTGGTGGGTCTGTAGCAACGTTCGCCGGGGGGTTCTCCTTTACCCTGCCGCAATAACTATCAGTCGCTTTCTTGTCTGGGGTACGCCGTGGTTCATACACTCCACAATGCCCCATAGAACCGAATACCCAATCTCGATGAAGTCCTGGATGATCCGATTGAACATACGGGAGTGACGTTCCAATAGGCCGGCCGTCTCTTCGATGGTCAGGATTCGAGGCTTTGCCTTTTTCACGATATCCAAGGAGACAAAGACGCATGCTGAGTTCTTTTCGTCGCGCTCTTGATTATTAATTGTGTGTGCCGGCGAGAATGGCTGGCAAGGAGGAGATGCATGAGCAATATCAACGCGCAGCTCCTTCTCATTGTTTGACATGAACTGGTCGAAAGAAGATTGCTCAATGATTGTAGTGTCCCCACCAAAGTTCATGTGGTATGTTTTGATGGCATTCGGATTCACGTCAACAGCCCACCGGATCTTCAGTCCAGCCATGCGGGCGCCACAAGAAACTCCGCCAGCACCGCAGAATGCATCTCCGAGAGTGTATGCCCTATTGCGAGGGTCAACAAGATTGAATACGGGGCTTGTACTGTCTTCTTCGGGATCAGCGGTTCCTGTTTCGAGATCGATCACAGTGACCTCGTCGAGATCAATCACCGATATGTCTGAAGCTGGGCGAGTCGGGGCCCTTGCACGTTTTGCAGGTTTTGCGAGCTTCGGAGGCAACTCATGGGCACCAAATAGAATCGTCTCCCCTTTCCCACGCCATTTGTCACGCAACTCTCGGGATGTCCGCGAGTACATTGGGTCTGCTTCTGCCGCAGTCAAGTACTCGACGGAAGCCCGCTCTCCCACTGAAGCCGAGGACTGGTGTTCATGAACGCGTAAAGCGAGGCGGCACACAAGATCACTGTGGTCTTCCCATTTATCCAGCCTGTTATTTGTGAACTTAATTTCAACGATCCGCTTGACCTTTGCGACTGTGGCCAAGATGTCTTTTTGCTTGAGCCATACTAGCTCGCCCTCCACCCTGGGCAGAAACCCTAACACTTGTTCAGCATACTTGCTGCGGAATAACCAGCGACCGGAGAGAAACGTCTCGTAGCCGCCGTGCACGACTTTTTCAATTCGCAGGAACATTCCGCATATGAGCTCCACACAAACACCGGGCTTCATGGAGCTCCTGCCAAACATGCAAGTGCAAGGATGGCTGTCTTTGCTTGGCTGGGAAACTTGAGCCTCAAGACGTTCCCTGACTGCGACATACGACTTGCCAGCTGGAGTCCGGGGAGGCTCATGCACCCAGTCGTCTCGGTTGGCTACGAGAGTCAGATCAATGAATTTATCGGCCGGGGTGCTATCGCGGTCTTCACCGGTATCCCTGGTAAGGTCGACGATTTCCCGGGTCAGGTCCACTGGCTGATCCATGGTGGTTCCAACTATAGACGGTGGGTTAGAGACGATCAGATACTAGCAGTGAGGCATCATCTTTTCAACCCTGCTTACGGAGAGCAGTAAACTTGAGAGTTGACTGAGACGTCAAGGTAGACGCCGCAATGAGAACCCTGAAGAACAAAATGAGGCTTTTCAAGCAAGCTGTCCACGGAGTACTCCGGGTCTTGTTGAATGGTGGATATGGGCCGTACTTACTGAGAGCGCGAGTTGGGGAAGGATCCTGAAGACGGTCCCGCGGACGATGCTGAGGCAGTCCGTACGGTTGCACCAGCTCTGAAGCGGGTATATAGGTGTGGTGCTCGAGGATATCGATATTCGTATTGAATTTCCCAAGCGAAGCTGGCTGCGGGCCAAATAGGGCTGCCATCGTCGATTGAGGAAGAAAGAGAGAGAAATGGCCGAGGAGATCAAGGGAAAAAAAAACTGCTTTGAGAGATACTGCGGTTCTTCAGGATCATTCAGCAGAGGAGGCATGTAAATAACTCTGCTCTGACGATTAGAGCAGTCTATCATACCTTGACTATCCTACCACATAGCATGATGCTCTGATGAGAAAGCTCTCAGCTTGGAACACCCAACCGCCGGGAGATTGCCTGTGATGTGAACCATATTTAATTGAAGAGATGGAAACTGTCCATTTTCCCTCACAATGGTCTTAAAGGCTTATTGTTAGGCTTTCAATGGTGTTTATAGCGTCTGGAGTAATCTGCTGTAGTGATCTGTATCACTCTGTCGTTCGGCTTCCATTGAAGAAAGCCGGACTTCAACGGCAGGGATGAATGAATATGTCACTAAAATTATATGGAAGTATCACTTTGTAAGATGTGTTTCACTCAAGCCTTTTTATGTGAAAGAGTGTTGTTGTCTTTGGATATAAGGGGTAAGGGGTCAGCAGACGCATCGAGGCTCGAATATGCCCGGGTGCAGCTTCTTGATAGCTACTATCACTAGATCAACTTCTAAGGAAAAGGCTTTTTTTTTTTTTGATATCTTTGAAATTTTCGTGGAACAAATCCAAACTATCCTCTCCGTGGTTCCTTTTTTGGCTCACGGATAGCCCCGATGCTGGTCTTGAAGTTATGGTGGGGTAATCAAAACGGGTGCTCTAGATAGTACAAATCCACCAGAGAGAAGCATGCTAGTAGGACGTTAGCTCAAGTGATCATACTATGGACGGAGTCCGGGATCTTTTCAAGTTATTTTTTTTTACTATAATAGCTCGTCCACTATAAAGCACCGTCTCCTCGCCTATTGCCTATAGAAGTTCGATAGGATCGATGGGAGTAGAGCATATATAAGACTTTGCAAGGTCCTGTTTTGTCTACCAACTCTAGTGACCTTTCCATCTCCCACATGTACCCTCCAAATGTTAACGAATTAAGATGACCAAACACCTTCAACCTTGGAATGCTGTGTGGTGCTTAGTCGGCCACCGGGGCAAAGGCCGTTTTGCTGAGTCATGCCAGCAGCCGCGCGGGCCGGCGTCGGCGTCCACTGAAAAAAATCTTTGTGGAGTTGGAACCACCGCGGGACCAAAAAATGCATCGAGATTTCTTTTCCCTCCTCTTCCGTGTTTCTGGGGGACCAGGTTGACTGTTTGTCCAAACATTCTGAGCTCTTTGGTAAGTGTTGGTTGGCAACCCGTGCTGCCCCTTGCTGTCTGCATGATGAACCTGGAAAAAATTATAGATGTTAGACTTCCTAGCCTTTGCTGCGGAGAAACTTCCAATCTGATCAGGACAAGCAAGCTAGCCATTGACACTTCTCTGCTGTGATTGCCTGCCCAGATGCTGACCGTGTCAATTTGCTTTCTCTAGGAACTACACCCCGAGCATCTCTGAACCCGCCACAATGTGTGGAATCATCGCTTTGATCCTGGCCAACCCCTCCTCTGCTGCGGCAGTGGACCTCCACGAAGCCCTGTACCTCCTCCAACGTGAGTAGCAGTCACTACCTGTGCTTGGGATCATGTGCTGAACCTCTGCTTGCTCTGCAGATCGTGGACAGGATGCAGCTGGAATTGCCACCTGCGCACATGGTGGACGGATTTACCAGCTGAAGGCCAATGGGATGGCTGCGAAGGTTTTCCAGGATGGTGCTAAGGTTGCGAACCTGCCTGGCTCCATGGGAATTGGACACCTCCGCTACCCCACGGCTGGTAGCAGCGCCAACGCTGAAGCGCAGCCTTTTTACGTGAACAGCCCCTATGGAATCTGCTTTGCGCACAATGGAAATTTGATCAATGCCCCAGAACTCAAGAAGTACCTGGATCTGGAGGCTCATCGCCACATCAACACCGATAGTGACAGTGAGCTCATGCTTAACATCTTCGCTGATGAGTTGAGTGAAACCAAGAAGGCCCGTGTGAACAAAGAAGATCTGTTTGCTAGCTTGAGCCGCATGTATAAGAGATGCGAAGGTGGATGGGCCTGTACTGCTATGCTTGCTGGTAAGTCATGCCCTTTCCTCGCATGTCTCCTGCCAGATATCTTTCGTCAAATCCCCTGTTGTCGGGATTCCTGGGGTAATACTTTGTGTGGCCTATCTAACCAGCAACCTTCTAGGCTTTGGCATACTTGGCTTCCGTGACTCATATGGCATTCGGCCATTAGTCCTCGGATCCCGACCCTCATTGGATGGTCATGGCACTGACTACATGATGGCATCTGAGTCTGTTGCTTTGGATCAGCTTGGATTCACCAACACTCGGGACATCCAGCCCGGAGAAGCCGTCATTATTGAGAAGGGCGGGGAGCCTGTCTTCCGCCAGGTCGCCCCCAAGAAGGACTATGCTCCTGATATCTTCGAGTATGTCTACTTTGCTCGTCCAGACTCTGTTATGGATGGTATCAGTGTGTACCGCAGTCGCCAGCGCATGGGTGATAAGCTCGGTGCTCGCATTCTTAAGGTTCTGGGCCCCGATGTTGTCAAGGATATCGATGTGGTGATCCCCATCCCTGAAACTTCTACCGTGTCCGCAACCCTTGTCGCTCAATACCTCAACAAGCCTTATTGCCATGGATTTGTGAAGAACCGATACGTGTTCCGAACGTTCATTATGCCAGAGCAAAAGACCCGTCAGAAGGGTGTTCGTCGTAAGCTCAATGCTATGAAGGCTGAGTTCAAGGACCGCAATGTGCTTCTTGTGGATGACAGTATTGTTCGAGGCACCACTAGCCGTGAGATAGTGTCCATGGCCCGTGAGGCCGGTGCGAAGAAGGTCTACTTGGCCAGCTGTGCCCCTGAGATCACGTAAGTTCACTTGTTGAAACCCCCGTGACTTGGAAGTTCCGTCTACTAACCTACTCGCAGTCATGCACACATTTACGGTATTGACCTAGCCTCTCCACAAGAGCTCGTTGCCCACAACCGTGACGTCGAAAGCATTGCCCGTCACATCGGTGCTGAGAGCGTCGTCTTCCAGACTCTGGAGGATCTCAAGGCCGCCTGCGCTGAGATTGCTCACGAGAATGGCCAACAAGAACCTAAGAACTTCGAGGTTGGCGTCTTCTGTGGCAGCTATGTTACCCCCGTGTCACAGGACTACTTCGATCACCTTGAACAGGTCCGTGGCGAGGGCCGAAAGATCAAGGCGCTTGACAAGGCCAAGGAGGCAGTGGCCCATGGCTTTGCAAGCGTGACCGACTACCAGATTGCAGCCAACGGTGTCGCTATGGATACCAATGGAAAGATTATCCCTGCCAATGGATCCCCTGAGGTGAACCCTCGGACTCCTCAGCAGAATCATGACGAGCACAAGGTCTCAGACCGCATGGATATCAGTATCCACAACTTGGGTGATCAGCCTTGAGCTTGATCAATTTAATTGTTTTTTTTTTTTTCGATTTCGTGTTTTCCCCCTTGCATCTGGCGTGTTTGGAGTCTTGTTTAGACGAGGGATTTGACGATTTAACGGATGTGAATGCCGACGAGATGTTATGTGATCTTAACTACTGATACCACTTAAAAAATGTCCATACAATCATGATTTAAAACCCAAGGGCTCGCTGACGAATCCTTGCGATTCAGTATACCGTCAAAGCAGCTGCCTATGCTTACATACGAAAATCGAGTTCAACCCTACACAGACGTGGCCCTGGCCTCCTTGGCCCTCGTGCTCTGATCTTTAGACACAACTGCCAGTCATATGTACTTAGTTGACAGTCCACCATTGACAGCTTGATTTACCTATCTTGGGCAAGGGCATTCAAGGTTATATTGTATAGGTTCTATCTGAGTACCCTTCGTTATATGCATCAAGGCCAGGAGTAGAATATCCCACGGATAATTGTTCCCCCAGGTCGGATCCCTTTTCTGCCAAGTTCAGACGGTCTCGGCTTTAGGCAAGCCTTGAAAAATAGCCTCGTTTCGGCTTTTGGGCCGGCTGTATAGATCTTCCAGCTTCGTTTACTGACAGGACCTCCCGCCTTAGCAAAACTCCTCCCTTTGTCAACTCCCCATTCAACTTTCAACCTGCACCTAACCCCAGAGCTAACTTGAAACCTGCAAGAGCCTTATTGTCCCTCAAGCATTTCCTCAGTAACCTAACCGCCTGAGCCCATACAAGAACATCAGGCCGGTGACGTCATTGAGATGGGTAGTCCTTCATTTGATGCAAATGAAAACTTGACCTTCACACTCACACTTTCGCACTTTATCGATTATCATACCTTCTCTCATCATGTCTGGTCGCAGCACTCGTGCTTCGTCGTGTCGAAAGAACGCGAGGGCAAATGATCAGCAGGCATCTGCTTCGTCAAACCCTTCTTCCAGGCTCACAGCAGATAAGGCTCATGCTGCTCCCAAAAAGACCAAGGCCAAAACGGCAACTGACACGTCAAACAAAATGCAGTCCACGCGTCTGGACAGTAACGATACCCCGCAGGCCGCTCATGCAAGTGATAACACGCAGCCTGCTCAACCCTCTCCTCAAAGCCGAGAACTTCCCCACAACCTTGGCACAATCCCTATTATTTCTCCTCAGGCCCAGCCGCTCAAGATCGAAAATGAGGCCAACAAGGAAGATTTCCCACTTTCCACCGGGCTTGCTCCTGGACATAGACAAGACGTAACTCCTGGAAGTGCGATACCCGCGCTCGAAACAGTGATCAAGAGGAGCACCTACAAGTTGACTCCCGGTAGCACTCCCTACCCTGAGCTCCAGCATCCAACTCCTCAGGAATGTCAGGAGGTACACGATCTTTTGACCCAGGTGCATGGAAAGATCATTGCTCCATCTGTCATCCCTGCACCCTCCCTGACCGTCACCGGCTGTGGGGAAGTCCCATCGGTCTTGGATGCACTTATCCGCACCCTTCTTAGTGGAGCTACCACCTTCCACAATGCAGCTGTTGCATTCGCAGGCCTAGTTGAGCGGTTTGGAACCCTTGATAAAGGCATCGGCAAGGGCAGTGTCAACTGGGATGCCGTGAGACAGGCCTCACAGAAGGATGTCTTCATGGCGATCAAAGGTGGTGGCTTGGCGGATGGAAAAAGTAGGAACATCAAGGCCATTCTCGACATGGTGTACGAGGATAACCTGCAGCGCCGCAAGCTCCTATCCACCGACGATCCCAATGCCTTCCCCGACCAAGCTCTCGTGTCTGCCGAAAAGGCCGAGAAGGACCAGAAGTACGAGATCGACTGCGCAAACGAAAACCTCATGTCGCTGAACCACATGCACAACCTGCCTACCGACGAGGTCATGGAGAAGTTGACCCAATACCCGGGCGTTGGACCCAAGACAGCCGCCTGTGTCATCCTATTCTGCCTCCAGCGTCCCTGTTTTGCGGTCGATACCCATATCTTTCGTATCAGCAAATGGCTGGGCTGGCTCCCCCCCAACCTGCCGTAGTGAAATCTCTGCATTCAGCCACCTGGAATTCCGCATCCCTGACCAGCTGAAGTACGCCTTGCATCAGCTGCTTATCCGCCACGGTCAGGAGTGCGTGCGATGCAAAGCCAACACCTCGCCGCAGACTCCAGGCTGGGAGAAGGAGTGCATCTTGGAGCGGCTGGTGACCCGGACCAAGACCCGGGACGCCAAGCGGGATCGCACGGCGGAGGAGGGCGAGGGGGCCGTCGCGAGCCCTTCTCGGCGGAAGAGGATGGCGCAGAAGGCGTCATCCATCCGCGCCGCTGCGAAGAAGACTCGCGTGGCAGATGATGAGAGTGGCGACGAGTCAGAACTCTCAGTTATGTCTGACTCGCAGCTTCAGGAGCTCTCTGAGATGCTGTCGAAGGATCTCTCGGATTGGGAGTATTGAGGAGGGGCGGAGGTGCGGTGGGCGCATGCTGTTTCTTTGACAACGCGAGGTTTGCTCAAAGGCTTCCTTGCACAGTCTAGCGTTTGTATTTCCTAAAATTTTTGCTGGGTTGTTCTTCCCTCGAGATATCCCATCGGCGTTTTTTCCCGTTTAATAAATCCTGTTTCCCTGTATTTTATCTGCTCTCGTAGGACTTACGTATGACAATAAGGGGCAACTAGCATGTTAAAGAATCTATACCTTCTAGAGTACTGCGGAATAATATGAATTGAAGGCCTTCAAGGATGCTGGACATCCACTAGTATAAAATTTATGGAGACACCCAGATCGACAGGAAAGTACCAAGTCCTAGGAAGCCCAACCTAAGCAGAGCTCTATTCACTTTTCCCTCAATACTGTCGCAGTAAATACAATATATTCGTTGAACCAGACAACCAACTTAGAGATCAACCATGAGGCTCATCAAATCTACATCTAAGCAAGGACTCGTGGTAGACGGCAATCTACCAAAACCGAGCTTACCCCCCCATGTACAAAATACGAGCTTACTGTCATAGAAAACGAGCCTCCTTCATCCCCAAGGTCCCTTCAAAATTCCCAACCCAAATCAAAATTGCCATAACTAGAATACGAAGCTTATTATTACGTGCCCTATAATTAGACCACCAACCATTCTGGTCATCCTTGCCGACGCCCCGCAGCCTGAAGTCTTCCAAAACTCCCAACTTTCTCCCCTTCCCCTCTCAATACCCAAAAATTAGTAGAAGCCAAATTAGACTAGACTTACACCAAGAGAACAGAAAAAAATGGGGTTCCACACAGACCAACCCCCCCTCGACATCGAATATGCCGCCCAAATGCGCTGCCACCCCTACGGCATCGCCCTCTACCACCCCCAGCCCCGGGCCACCTTCCACCCCGGCATGGTCGGCTACTTCGACGCGTATGGCAACTGGAACCACATCACCGATCTCTCCCAAGTCCGCAGCTCTGCCGACACCGCGCTCGCACCACCAGCAGACCTCCCCGCGCTCGCCCAGCCGGAGCAGCAGACCTGGGGCCCGAAACTGGGGAGCAGCACGCGCGGCCGCCGCGTGGAGCTCAGCGCGGGGATCTCAGAGACGGTTCTCGCGGCAGCCGGTGCCCCGCTGAGCCTGGGCTCGTGTTTCCGGTTTGAAAGCGAGCGGGCGAGCGGTGCGGTGCTTGTTACGAGTGATCCGGTGGTGCATGAGCGGTTTTATCATGAGAGTCCGTTCAAGCGCTGGGTGGTGTCGAATGCCCGGCGGTTATTGGGGGAGAGGGAGGAGCTGAAGGAGTACGAGCTGTGGGTTGTGACGAGTACGTGGAGTGCGCGGGAAGCAGCTGTGAATTGCTGGCGGGACCAGAAGAAGGCGGTTGAGGTAGGGTTCAAGGTTGGGTTTGTGGAGATTGGGGAGGTTGCGCCGAAGGGGGACTGGGTGGATCGTGGGGGCGGCGGAGGGGTGGATTCGAGTGAAAGGGGACGAGGAGGATCGTAGGGTGGTTTTCTTTGGGGGGTTGAGGTTTAGGTATCGACCACTTATTGGGGTAAGTTGTTGAACTTTGTCGCTTGTCAAGTCGGAGCCTGAGGTGCCAGGGTCGATGGGGTGAATGCTGACATCGCGATTAGGGCTTGAGTCAACAGACTAAACGAAATAAATTCCGCGGTGACGAGCCAGAGCAAGAGGTCAAGGTTGGGTCGATCCAGGCGGATGATGGCATGCAATACGAGTTACTCTATGACGAGATTCTTGAGAGGAGGGATTTACGCCCTGCGGAGGAAGAAGCGGAACAGGAAGGGGATATTGAAGAAACCCTGGACCAATCTGATGATGACTGGTAGAAAGAGAATACTGAAATACAAAAGCGGCTTTCCTCTCAGGGACCGGAATGGATATAAGCTGCCCACAGAACAGAGGCGACACCCGATTGCTTCAGATCCAGAACAGCACGACGTAAAGCTTTCGCGGATTGAGACGGATCCCAAGTGACGCCCATGGATCCAAGGGCCTTGTAGAATCCCACAGCCATATCCACACTCAAAATATCATCCACACGCCAGAGAGTGGCAACAACATACGGCACTCCAGCCATCTGGAACCCCCCAGCCAGATGAAGTCCTTCGTCGCGGAACTTGGATTGATTGGATGCACTCTCGCAAGCCGAGAGATACGCAAGTTGACACCCTATATCGGTCTGCTGCACCAGGCTTCTGACATCTAACGGTTTCGTCTCCCAGTCCGTCAATCGCAGCGCGCTTCGCACCGGGTCTTCTCCATCGCACACGCCATGGCAGGCAAAGTGGGCATAGTCAGTTTTCCCGAGATACTGAAGAACTGCATCACGAGTTGGGCTGCCCAGAAGCTTAGCTTTCGCGCCACGGCCCTCCAGAATTTCATGGATCTGCTTGACCTCGCGCCCAGCGCTGGGGAGATTTGCGTTTTCTCCCATGCTCGGGGTAGTCTCCATGGACACCAGAAGAGAGCGGGTATGAGAACGAGCGCGGTTTTCTTGCTGTCCAGACCGTCGCCGGCTGCGCACGTATGCGAGCGCACGGAGGCTGTTGATATAGGACGGTATGGTTCGGTCAAAAACAGAGTGTCCGGGCCCTTTATTCGAGCTGCCAGCAGCATGCAGGGGGAGCATACCGAATTTGCCCGTTGTGATCCACCATGTCCGTGGAAGATCTTCGCCCGGGTGCTGCTGGCCAGTCAGACCGATGTGCTGGAATATCGGCTCAGCAACACTATCCCAGAGCCATTCGAGCAGTTTATCCATCCGTTCGGTCGCGGCAGGGAGGTCGGTTCCCATGAGGGTCAGTGCGTCCTGATACCAGCTCTCGCATTGTTTGAAAGAGTTTCCATCTAGGGCTGGCAGTCGAAGGGATACCACACCAGTCGATCTCACAATTATGGCGTCGCTCCGGAAGAGACCATGATTGACAATGATAATCGGGCCTTCTTTGGCCAGGTCATTTATGCTGTTCACATCCCCTGGTAAGTTGAGAAGCCCGTCTGGTGTATCATCTGACTGTAGCTCATGGACGATCTTCTGATATTCGATTGTTTGTCGGTATACTTCATGCTGTTGCTTTATTAAAAGTTGATCTAGTCCTCCGGAAAGAGAAGTTGTTGCTGCCGTGGGCTTTGCTTTCACAAGGGGCTTTTGTAATTGCTCTAGCTTGGCATGCAAAGCGGGAAACCTTTCGATGGCCTTTCCGCGCAAAGTCGATCGGCTGGTCAGGATATGGTCCCACATGATACTGCGGACTTTATCAAAAAGTTCAAGGGCTTGTGACGGCGAATCGCCCGCCTCGAGCGAGTATGCGATGGCAAAGCTCGGCAATGCTACAACATTGCCAAGGTTATTCAGAATATCCTGACGATCGAAGCTGAGTAAAATGGCCTTCGGTAAGATGGCAGCCGCAGCAGAAATCATGTCTCGCGCGGCCAGTGGGTCTTGGGCAACTATATGCTGTGCAAGCGCTGCATAAATGTAGAATCGAACCACAGCAGAACCTTGGATGGTCTGGAAATTGGGAAGCAATGACTGGCTAGCACTCAGGTATAACCTTCCGTAGTGATCAGTGGCGCTGAATGCGGAATCCTCCCAGCCTTGAAGAATCATTTCGACGAAACTGACAGCCATGCCCTCCATGTGCATTCGCTGGTTGCCCTTCAGCGACAACATGTATTTCAGGCTGTGGGCTAGTTGCAATATGACAGCCATCTGGTCCATGGTGCTCTTGGTTTGCGTAGCTTTGTGCCGCAATACGTGAGTCAGATTGACCGATGCAGCCACGAGGAAGGCAGGAGCTGTACAGCCGGTAGCAAGGGCTTTTCGAAAATGCTCGATGGCGAAGTCTAGATACGTCTGTTCTTCATACTTGATGTACGCAAACAAAAAAGCCCGCCCCAAGTTGTTGTGCATGTTGCAAAGACTATTGGGCTTCAGATCCTCCCAAGCAAGCATTTCGAGTAGAAGCGTTTGCGATTTCCGGATGTCTTCCATCTGGCCAGTCAAGTTGAACCTCAGTTGGTAAGCGAATGCAAGATTCTCTGCGCGCATAATATACCGCTGGGACTTCTTTGGGGCCCCTTGAACACATTTCTCATAACATAGGATTGCCCTGTCGATGTCCTCTCGCTGTTGAGTCACCTCGAATTGCGCTGTCAGTGAGTTCGCTAGGCCGTGGGTGACCATGAGAATAGCATCTTCGGGGCTTGCAGACACATTCTGCTGCAAGGCATGAAGAGCGAGGTCGGACTCTTCGATCGAGCTCGAGAGATCCGCAAGTAAAAGACTGTTCTTGAATTTGAGGTGATATGCAATGGAGAGATCATGGTGCATCAGATAGCTCTCTGGCGCATCATCTGCGGAGGTCACCAAAGCTTCCTTGATAGTTTCCACGGCCTGGTTGATATGCTCAAGATCGTTCCCCAGCTTGTAACAGGCGATATATATCTTTCCCTGGGCATGGAGGCAGCTTCCTCTCAGATCACTAGAAACCTCTGTGAAAGAAAGGGCTCTTTCAATGGTGTCCTGAGCAGCTTTTACGTCGTCCTGTTTCTCGAGTGACTCGAAACGCAAGGTGAGGCAGTTTGCAAGCTTCCTCAGGTACCGAACCTGGGATCCCTGATCTTCACACGGTTGATCGACTAAGTTGCGCAACGTTCGAATAGCCCCGTCAATATCCTCAACATTGCCCATCCACATGAACCTCTCTGTGAGGGCCTGGGCTTTTGCTTCACAGAGAGAACTGCTCATTTCCGAGTCAGCGGCAATCTGATGCGCTCTCTCCAGTAGGTCAACTGCCTCAGTGAGCATCTCTTCCGAATTTCTTCGTTGAGCAACGACCCGTAAATGATTTCCAAGACACTCCATCGCAAGCGCAGAGTCTGGCACAATGCGAAGAGCCTCTTTCAGCATCTCAGTCGCGGAATCACCGTCTTCAGCCTTGCCATCTCTTGCAAACCGTAAAGCGGTCACGCGGCCAAGATCCCGGCATGCCCGAAATCGCTCCATCGAGCCATGCTGAGGAGCTGTTCGCGCATAGCCAAAAACACCAATCGCATGATCCAAGTCTTGGGGGTTCTTCGTTAGTTCCCATCTCTCCCACATCGCCCATCCCATATGCCACCAAATATTACTGATCGACACACGGTATTCTGTTCGTACAAAGGCCTTGCTTTCGCTGGTAATAGCATCTTTCAACTTCAGTATATAGTTTCGCAGCATGTCAGCTTTGTCTAGTTTGTGAAACTCGTCGTGCTCTCGAATGAGTTTCGCCCATCTGAACATGAACACCGGTTTCCCCGCTGGCCGGAGTGATGATGCCTGCTGGAAACACTGTTCCGCTTCAGCGTAATCTGCAGCTTCATGTGTGTGGGTGTACCGTGCTGTCAACTGCTCGCCAAGATCGTATAGATGCAAGGGTCGTTTCTGCTCCTGTGCAGGGCCAAGCTCAACCGCCTTGCGACAGTAGTAGATCGAATCGTCCAGCAACTTCCCCTCCAAACGATCGACCTGCCAGAGGCAAAGAAGCGATCGGGCAAAAACACTCAGGAGGGTCCCGCGATCCAGATTCTCCGCGTCAAGCGGAACATGATAGGCGATGAGAGAGCCGGTAGCCACCGCGTGGTGTAAGCAATGGACGTCCTTGAGGCGGTAGTACTTCATCAGCGAGGCTTCGCACTCTCCGGCTAAGAGCCCTGGTCTCTCGGCAGGGTCATGGTCGGTGTAGATCTTGATGAGTCGGACCAGTTCTTCGTCGCCGAACTGCTCCACAAATGCATCGCTACGGCAGAATTCGCCCTCGCGGATTATTTGTCCATTGTTCGGGGTCGCAGCGATCAACAACTCTAGAACTTCGCGTTGTTCTGCGATTTCCGGATTACTAACTGGTGTGAGTTCAGACATGGGCAATGTAACAGAAAACTTTAACTCTTTGAGCAGGCCTGAAACAGAGCACGATCAGCATAAATTCATTTCATAAATATCTGCTCAGGGGTGTTCAAATTGCGAGTCATCCTAGTCTCGTGTTCGTTTATGCGACTGTGGTGGGGCAAGATTGTAACGGGAAATCGGAGACGACTGGCCGTGGCTTCACGCGGCGCTGACGGCAGCGAGGAAGATCCTTAGGCAGAATAATCTTTTTCAGATATATAGCCCTCAATTAATTAGGGAAGTTGGGAGGTAGGCCACCTAGATCAATATCGTCTTTTAGGGCTGAAGCTCCCAAACACAACGTTCAAGGGTCACTTGGGTGGTACAAATTTCGCCAGTAGGGGTAGTTTCGGACCGCTAGGAGCGTCAAGTCAGGGCTAGACCGAGTGGTGATGATTTATGCGACTGTCCCACGCCGTGTTTTGTTAGCAGATGGACGAGCTGAGGTACCGCGCTGCCCCCAACAGGGGCCGCTCAGTCATAGGGCGATCCTCATATCAGTTGGCAACCAAATCAAAATCAAAGATGAAACGAATCATGTCTTGCATAAATTGGAATCATTGTGCTCCACGCTCGATCGTTATAACCATAAGATAATTCAGCTCCCACTAACGACAGTTTCGGTCAAGTTCTTATCCGCATTAGTTTTCTCGCTAGCAGCAGTTTCAACATGAACCTGACTGCTCCCAAGACCGTCACTATCACGGACATCGCTACCATCAAATATGACTGCAATCTGCTCCAACGTGTATCCTCTAGTCTCCGGATAAAAGAAGTAAGCGGTAATGCCAAAGGTAATCAACACGCCAAGAAAGACGAAGTAGTACTTCCACCCAATGGCAGCCAACGCGATCGGGTTCACAAATGTATTGAAGAACATGGCAGTAAGTGTCGCAACCCAAGTCACGGTGAGACCGCGCGATCGGAGGTGGAAGGGCCAAATCTCGCAAGGGTAGGAGGTGAGGAAAGGCGTTCTGCGTCGGGTCAGTTGTCAGTCGTTGATTCAATGTTTCGAGGGTCAAGAAAAGCTCACAGGGCAATACCGTATCCCGCGAAGAATATAAACAAGAATGGAATCACAGCCGCTCCGGTCGTCGCATCGGAGTTTGAAGCGAATGAGCCGGAAAGACCAGTGACCAGTACATAACTGATGAACATAATTACAGCCGAGCTCATGAAGAGCGGCCGTCGTCCAACTCGCTCAGTCAGAAACGCACCAAGCCCAGCGAAGATCAGATCCCACATTTGCAAGCAGGCAGAGATGAGCGTCTGGTCCCGCACATTCGTCACGCCCACAGAGTCCAGAATCAGCGCGAGGTAGTACGAGATAACACTGTTTCCGACCCACTGCGCGAAGAAGCCAAGACTAATTGATATCATCAAGCGCCACCGATTCCCTCGAGTCCGGAGCATCTCCGCATAACTGCCAGTATTGCTCTCTTTATCGCGGCTCTCAGCCCAGATAGCGTATTTCATTTCCCGAAGCTCATAGTTGACCAAAAGTGATGATTCATCTCCATCGGCGTGGAAATGCACAAGGATATCCCGTGCGTCTTCCTCCCGCCCAACCGAAATGAGCCAGCGAGGACTCTCAGGTGCAAGGATAAACCCAGGGAGGCCCACTAAAGGCACCAAGCACTGAAGAAGAGAAGGTAGCCGCCAGGCCCAAGAAGATCCGTATGTCCGCGAAGCGAAAACCACCCACGCCGCAACCGCTCCGCCGATATACCAGCCGGACATGAAAAGAGCATTGAAGAATCCTCGGTGTGTCGGATACGCGATCTCGTTGATGAGCAGCGGAACGCCGTTGCCGAATAGCGCAGCGGTTACCCCTGAGAAACAGTCGAGCCATTAAGAAGGTTGTGGAGTTCTGCGCCACGGTCTGCAGGACCACACCTAGGGTAAGGAAGCAGAAGCCGAAATAGACACCGGGCTTCCGACCATACCGGCCTGCAATCCATGAGGCACATATGTACCCAACACCACATCCGAGCAGGTAGATGGCGTTGATCCATCCGAGCCGAGCGCCTTCGGGGTTATCCATGAAACTCTTCCATTGATCGAGAGCTTGCAGGCCGTTCATCAGGGATCCGTCGTACCCGTTGGCTGATGAGTACATCACCAATGATATAATGATTAGGTTCAGGCGAAGCAGGCGCTTTTGGCGATACCAGGGTGGCGCATTCCGTGGTAGAACCGCAGCCAGCGAGTCTTGGGACACAGTCATATTCGCGATACCGGCCTTGTCGCTGTCCTATTTGTAGATAGGTCCCGGTATCCGTTATCAATTCAAGACATAGACCACGGAGGAGGGGATGATTTTCCTGGTTTAGACCACCTCCGATCTTCCCCTCGCGTGGCTGGAGTCCCAGCAGAGAAATCTTCTTGCCTTGTCTTGTCCAGGGGGCAGCGAGGTGAAGACAAAGATCGCAACCACCCGCAATAGGCTTCACGGGGATTTTGTAGTTTCAAAAAAAATATTATATCACTTGTATATCGAATTTTCTCTGCTCCGCTCGAGACCGATCGGTTGAGAGCAGCCTAGGGCGATCCCTAATCTGGGGTTCCCGAAGTACGGAGAAACGTGAGAAAAGGAGACTCGGGCGAGGCAAGATTCGCAGATTGAGCCAACGTTTCACATTAAACTTTCTCCTTACCGAAGTCGGCGCAGTACTTATACGTCCCAGGCTCCTCGAATCACAAAAAAGGGAAAAATGAAAAAGAGAAGGGCCTTTGGCTTGAACGTAGATAAACTGGGCTAATGCATTTCATCCCATCATCAAACGAGAAAAAAAAAAAGCACAGACCAGAGCATAACATGTGATAATAATACAAAAGAGGGTATTCAAACAACTACGCCCGTATAAAAATGAATCACGCACAACCGCCCCGGACACCTTAATCGCTATCGCTGGAGCTGGAGCTGGAGCTGGAACTGGAGCTGTGCGAGCGGTGACGGCGGTGCTTGCGCTCCTGCTTCTCGCGCTTCTTTTGGCGCTTGCGCTCCTCCTTGTCCTCTTTCTTATGCTTCTTGATCTGGTTCGTAGCCATGTTCATCCCGATAGCACCGACGAGGGCACCGCCGGCCGTTCCCAAGAGCCCGTGGCCTACACCATGGCCCATCTTGTGGCCTGCAAACCCGCCCAGTGCCCCTCCGGCCAATGTGGAGCCGAGGCCCTTCTCACCGTTGGGGTCGACCTCGCCAGTTGGGTAGGCCTGCGGCTGCTGGGCTGGGGCGCCGTAGTAGTCTGCGTTTGCGCCACCTTGGGGGTATTGCTGATATTGCTGCTGGGGCGGGTACGGGGAGCTACCACGGTCCTGGTAGGACGGATGCGGGGGCTGGTTGTATGAGCCGCCATATTGGGATTGCTCAGTGTATGGAGAGGGGTGGCCCTGCTGGTAATCATATGGAGATTGACCGTACGGCTGTTGCTGCTGGGCTGGATGTCAGTACACTAGACCACTTCTCGCATCTCCACATGTCATGCAGGGTCGAGGATTAACTCACTTGTGGGGGATAACCCTGGGGTGGGGCTTGCTGAGGGTAGCCCTGCTGGCCGTAGTATTCACCGTATTGCGGTTGACCGTAATGAGACATGTTGGAAGGTATGAAACGTGGAGTTGCAAGAATTGCAAAAGTTGCTATGAAGCTTGTATGAAGAGCAGATAGTAGGGGAGCAATGAGGAATAAATAGGTTTGGATACGAAAGGCACCTTCTATTTACTCTGTACAGCCCCCCCAAATGACGGCACTTGGCTCGTCTCGCCCCGCTTTCTTCTTCGGGAATACGTCGCGACTCTGGTGTGGCTTGGCCACAGCCTCTTTCCAGTATAAGCCACCGGACCCGAAATAGACGTACGTGCGATCTCACCTGTTCATACTCTTATTCACACCAAGCCTTACACTTTTAAGTCTCTGCATGTAATTATTTGATCTGCATCACTTCTGGTTGTTTCCAACGGAGCAATCTGCGAGGACGCGCCACAGCACTACGTATGGCCAAATAGCGGTCCCGTAGAGTCGCAAAACCAGATTCCTCCAGACTTCAAGGTCTCTTGGTTTACTCGGGAAAACAGCCAGCGCCGCTCCCCTGCGATCAAAGAGCTCACATATCTCAATCCAGATATCTCCAATGCTTTTATACGGAGCGCCCATGGTCTGACGAAGGGCAAGATCGCAGACATTGAATTTAGAGTCAACTGGATTTCTGGGTGCCTGTCTGACTCTCAAGCCCAGGCCAAACAATGATCTGCTGGTAATACTCACCACTCTTGTGCAATGTTACTAGAGTTCACAACTCACGTAGACCGGTCATATACGATCTTTGCTTGAGAAGCCCACTTAGACAGGATCGTTTCTAAAAATAGAGCATCACCGAATCCAAGTCCGAGCCACCACAGACCCCGGAGGATGTTTACAGAGCCTCTGTCCGGTAATCTTCGATTTCACAGGTGGCTGGCCGATTGGGCTGCTGGGATAAGGTGTGCGACACCCTCCAATGGCATCGCGATTCGTTAGAATAGATTCCTCCCACAATGGAACCATTTCCAGTCAATTCCCCACTGAAAGACCTCGCTAAACAGCCGCAAGTGGACCTCGGGCGCAACAGTTCTTCGTCCCTGGAATGGGCGTATTTCCGGGACGCTTATCGAGAGACACCAAAATCAACAGCAGGCAACAACATCCTTTGAAGCCTTTTTTTTCCAGAGAGATACTACACCACCCGGTCAAAAGTCTGTGCACTCGGCCCCATTACCATCACCCTAATAACCACCCACATTTTTATTCTTTCTCCTACACCTCCCCCATGGCATCGATCGCTATCAATCCCAATTATATTCTAGAAATATAAAAAAAAGATCTATATAGCGAAAGATATGCAGGTTTGGTTTAAAGAGCACGGGATGTATGTTGAAGATTGGCTGGTATACTCGCCTTGTGAAGGGCTAAAGCTTGACTTGATTCAATCTAAACTAGGCCACACGCTGTGTATAAAAAGCACGAAGGAGAAAAGGGGCAACAGGAATAGAGCAGGCAAGATAATACAGATAAGGCGGAGCGGGCAGGCAGAACAGAGCAGGCTATATGGCAGGGCCATATAGTATAACAGGGGCGTAGCCCGTGACACGCCTGATCTTAATCCTATTAAACTAGTCTGGAAACGACTAAAATATTAAGTTTTTTTATATATTTTAAGTTATTATATAGATAGAAAGATCTAGAGAGGACCGGGCTTACTTTAAAGACTATATTAATATTATAGGGTTGGTGGTGTAGGATATGTAACCGTGAATATACACCAGTATTTGATGGGGTAGGTGAAGCGGTATGCACACAGACTTTTGCCCCCCATTCTACGTAGTACTGCCAGTCCCAATCTTATCCCCAGCATAGAATTCGCCTTTAGTACTGGGAGAAGCATATTCCCCAAGCGTAGCCTAAGAAGTCTGATTCCGTCGCTAAGTTTGGTTCTTTTCTGCTGCAGCGGATCCTCCGGTCGACTAGTATCTTCCGGGGATTTGGAGCGGCCACTCTAGACCGAATTGGCAAGACGCCACCCGAAATTTTTACGGCTCAATGAAAGGGGCTCACAGGGTCCAACGATCGATAAGTTGCCTTTCTTGTTACCTTGACTGCTCCTCGAGGGTCTCAATAGAACTTGGAAGCCACCAGACACGCTGCGAGGAGATTTCAAGTTCGCGGGGAAGAGGCATGACTACACGTACAACCCCTGATCTCATCCAAACGACTTGATTCCGAGCCCTTTCTTCCTGAGATTTTTGCTTCGTAGCAGGCCCACTCTATCGAAACAAAGCAAGGCTTCAGGACCGATTCGACGTGATCGTTCGCTGCGCAAATAGGAACTCTGCAATTGCATGTGAGCGTGTCTGCTTATCCTCCAGATCCCGCCGGCAACCTTCGCCATCGAAGGAATCCATTTCGAGGATATCACGCCGAGCGCATTCTTCAACATGTATAACTACCTAGATGTTGCCGACGAAACTATAACCAAACTGCACACGAGTGCCCAGGACCAACTACCTGTTGGTAGGTCGACGTTCCCACTCTTTCCCGGAGCCGCGCAGACTCGTATGACATGCTAATACATATTAGTTGATCGCATTCTGGAGGCGCAAACCATCTCAACTCATTTCCTTCCGTTTGCGTTCGGCAAGCCTCTCGCGGACGGCACCTGGTCTGAGGAGACCCGGACCGATGCCACTCTCCTCGCAATTGATGAGATTGATATCTTACAGGCCAATTACCCTCCAGGCTCTATCGAGCCATCCATCCTCGATCGTGTGTCGAGCAGGATCGGCTCCGTAGACGATCACGAGAGACTCTGCATCATCGGCAAAAACATCCAATCGCTCAAGTCTCGTCTATGGGAAGGCATCATCCCCATCAGCGACCAAAGATGGCGGGAAAAGGGCCTCGATCGTCCCGAAAACATCGCGCTAGCCTTGGAGCATCTTTCTGCCGTCTTAGCGGTGTTCGCATATCTCAATGACAATATTGTCCGAGGGTACCTCCGGGACACCTACAACCTTATCTACGATCACTGGGAATCACTAGACGCGATGCTCAACGAACACAGAGCCAAGGAGGGTAAACTCGGCCCCGTCAGCGTGGCCAATTTGTGGGCTGTCTACATGGAGTTCCATTTCAAGATGATGACCCAGCGTGCACACCAATGGGTCATCAGACACGTTGAAGCCCTTCGAGGGCCGATCCTGGAAGAGCTTCGGGCCCATCGAGGCGTGACAGATGCAGAGGGGAAGCCGGACGAAACGCATTGGAAGCTTACGAATGAACTGCAACTTTTACTCGAAACGTCTGTCCGTGCCGACTATACCATCCTAATGCCGATGCAAGGCTATAAAGGCGTTACGCCCCCAAAGCCCGGAAGCGGTCCGCCTGCTCTGTACGATGCTGACATAGAGAAGAGGGGGCCTGCTTTTGCTGAGCGTCTAAAGGTGCTTAGCTATAAAATTATGTTCGATAAGATGTTAGACGCGGGCTTGAAAACAGAGGAGAAATCTCTGGGCGAGACATACTATGAGTCGGCGATGGAACAGATCGAAGCACACATGCAGGTTCGTGGGGAACTTCGCGGGGATTCGCTGGATATGATCATTCCAGAGCCTTGGATTGCATCGATCCGGTTGGAGAAAGAGGAGAACGCGACAATTGAGCATGGTCTGGCTATATACCGTCTGACACATGGTCAGACGGAGTCCGAATGGGCCGAATTCGTCCGAGAACTCGAATCTCACATCTCTGACTGGGGCGAAGGCCAAACAGGCAGTGAGGAGATCAAGCAGGATTTGAAACTTACCTGGGTTGACGGCAATGGCTTTGGGTTTGCTGAGGACGATATCGCCGCTGCCAAAACGTATGCAAAAAATCCTCACCCTGTCCAGAATTATGTTTGTCTAACAACCAATCAGGCACTTCAAGCAAACATTCTATAGTGATGACACCGGTGACAACAGCAACGGGCTCCTGGATAGTCTGTTTCTGGCCATTGACTCGGCCTCCTTTGCGTCCTACACCACCGACACCTATCGCACTAACAACTCCTATATCCTACCAGGCGACTTGAACGGCTTTGTCTTGGCCGTTGACCCTGAATATGATTCTCTGGAGGGTATTGAGCGGCCAGACGAGTCACCTGGCTACTCCGGGCAAATGCATGTCCTCGGGAGCCTGGTTTGGGGTGACTTGTTTGCCTTGATGGTGTCTCAATCGACGGGTCTGGAGGGCCTGTGGCCGCTTGCGATGGAACATCCAAACCAGGTTTATCATGGACCGACTCTGCCGACGAATTTTGATTACACTTACTGGGGTATATTTCGGCTTGTGGCCTTCCTGGTTCTTGTGGGTATTGTCTGCTGGTACTTGTTCCGGTACGTGGTCCGCGTGATTCGGAGACTGGTCGTTGGCATTTTGAGACGCGTCTGGTGATTAAAGATTGTGAGACTTAAAAATCATGTAATGCAAGGGCTGAATTTAATCAATGATATTGGCAATACGGCATGGTTCTTCGGATGTCTCTCGACTCTTCAGTCCCGGCAGCCCTCGTGAATCACCAGAGGCACATCTCGGCTACCGAGTAAGGCATTTATCACAGACAACTTGAAGGACTCTGCAGCCGGCTTAGGCACCTTTGGCGGTATCACCGCCGAAACTAAGCAAGGATCTGGAATCCAATGCGTTTTCGTTCGGTACGATGTTCTACACCTAAGGATCTCGGATTCCACCATATCAGCTCGACATACTTGCGCCGTGCAATTATTTCCAACAGGGGCTGACATGGGTCAAGCTTGAGAGGTTATAATTGACAGGTTCTTGGCCCTTGTTTTCTTTCTAGAAATGGTTGAAAGTTTCATCTCAACCTTAAATCATCAATGTGGGGATCTGTCATTTGGCATAACGTCAGATCGCCCCTTTCTTTTTCCCATTTCTCAAGCCCCGTAGCCCTCCCAGGAAACCAGTTTCCGATACACGTGATTGCTAAGGAAACAGAATGAAGTCAACCTCATCCAGGTAAGAGCAGCATGGGAATGTGTGGTTGCCCATTAGAGGAACTAGGGTCCTATCTGAGTGGGAACCATCGGAGGCTATACTTCGACATACTTTCAAGCTATCTCTCTTGATTGAACCGGACCAAAAGCGTCGGCAGAGTTTCGATGATCGCTACGAGCATGATGTCGGCAAGACATCGTTCCCAGCCAGTGACATCCAATGCTGGGTAGAGAGCTTGCCTCGTACAGAAGTAGTCCATGCAGCAGACAAAGGTACTAGATAAAACATCATACCCCTGGACAAGGTGACATGTACCTTGGCGAACCCGCACAGGTGCCGTCCATTACCCGGTTGGCTCGCGTACCTCAACAGGCAGTCGAATTTTCCCAGCTCTGACCGTTCGTGCATGATCCATCTATCGACAGTTAGAACTGAAGCATTCCTGTGATTGGCGGGAGAACCAGCCGACAGCAAAAATTGACTGCTCGCCCGATATTAATCACGTGCAACGTCACCCCCACCTGTGTGGCGTTGGCATCTAGAAAATGTGGACAGCCACTCAATGGTGACGTCAAGGCTACCCTGAGCAACATTGACGCGTAGCCAGTCAATGTCGAGAAACTAGGGCCATTGTCCAACGACAGGTAGGCATTGCATCAGTTACTGCAGCAGTGACACGAACAAGAGGCTCCAGGTTCATGCGAAAGTCAAGCCACCAGAGGCCATGGCGAAGCACGGGGACAGAACCTAAGACAAGGATCGTCTGGAAATCAGGGAAGCAAGCCGGATCCAGCGTCGCCATGACGGAATTTCATTAAAGTCAACCGGTAACTGTCGCCAGGGGCTGATCCTGATCGTCTAAACCCGGCGCATTTCTATCCATTCCTCGTCCTTCTCCCATTCCCCATCCTCGATCTTCCAATATAAGCTCTATCAGCAATCTGATTTCACTTCAGCCCCTACGTCAGTTCTGGTGCTTTGTTTCAGCCCTACCTGGACCATTCCACTCGCAATCAACCCTGGTGCCACACTGCGGGTTCTGTCTATCATTCTCCCTTTTCAGACGAGCCGTTACGTATCTCCTAGATAATCGGAGAGAAAGGGCAAACTTGCTTTCTCCAGTAGGATATTTCCGCAAAAGCCCTTCTTAAGCCACCTTCCTCGCCCGCAATGCGTCCCTTCAACGATACCTCCATCCACGCCACGGCTTCCAGCTCAGCTTCCTCCCCTACCAAACCAAAGTCATAAACAATAAAAAACTTTCTCAGGAACCACTTGTCTGATCACTCAACATGGGTGCCGTCGTTTCATGCGTAAGTCTTACCTGCAACCTGTGGTCCACCGACGCGAAGCCCAAGGGTCTCTTGCTGTCTGGTGGGCTCTTGAAGCTCAAGGTCCTAACGGCTTTCTAGATCGCGGGCGTCTTCCGCTCTATCGGCGCTTGCCTCATGGCCATTGTCAACGCCATCGGTTCTGTTCTCCACGCTATCATCAGCGGCATCGTCACCGTCTTCGATGTCCTCATCTCTTGTCTGACCTGCGGTTACTGTGGGGGGAGAGGTGGTGGCCGTCGTCGTAGGGCGGCGGTCTGACGATAGTCCAGGAAAGGAACATTTCGGAGCCATGACTTGATTTCAGTTGCGCTTCTACTGGGATGCTGGTGCTCCGTCACGACTCCATACAGCCAGTCGTGGTTCTGGTATGAGTTTACGGGTGACGTTTTTCTCGTTGTGCACGTTCTTCTTTTCTTCGCCAAAGAGCTTGCGCCACGACCGCTCTTCTATGGTTTTACGCAGTTACATACCCAGGGATACGCGTGTTTAATGTGATTCTTATTTTTTCCCTTACGGATTTATCGACTGAAGACAAGTCTCTTCTTTCCTTCCTGGTAGCTCTTTCCTTCCTGGTAGCTCATCATGACGTCGTGACTGCTTGATAAAATAAGCATCTGAACTGTTGTAAACAAGTAAACCCAAAAAACAAAACAAAAAAAAAGTTACTCCACCTCAAACACTATTTAGTATAAGCCCCACTAGCCATATTCAACATTGACATATTGAATCAACTTATCCTTCGCAGCCTCTGCAATATCCTCCCACCGCTCATCCAGCAAGAAAAGCGCAAACGGATCTCCCATCCCCGGCCCATCCCCATACTTCCGCACAAGCGGGTAGATTAATTTCGGCACCGGCCAACCCTGAGGAACCCGACACTCTGCCGTCCGAAACTTCATCCGCATCAGCCTCCGAAAGGGCGAAATCTGGCGCTTGCGAATCATCTTGGCCAAGATATTTTCGCGCAGCCCCTCCGCCTCCGGCAAATAAAAGTCCGCCGAAAGCAGCTCCAGGAACTCGAGCTTGTCATTCGTCCACGGCTCTCGGAGGAGCTTGTTCGGAATGCGGCCGGGCGCTATGGCGCTGGAGCAGGGCAGCCGGAAGACGTCGTCTTCGATGAAGATCTCGCGCGGGGGCCGGATCTGCACTGCGCCGCGGTGGAACCAGAGAGCGAGTTTACGGCGGCTGCCGTCCGGGGCACGCGAGGGGATGATCACGTCGCCCTTGCTGTTGCTTGGGCGGTCGGCGTGCGAGAGGCCGGTGAAGAAGGGGTCTAGATGCGCGAGCTGGGCTTCGGCGTCCGGGTCGAAGCGGAGCTGGAGCTGGCTGCGTTGATGGCGGATGACATGGTACATGTAGTCACGTTGGCAGCGCCGCATGAAGGAGAGTGTGCACCAGCAGCATTCTAGAAGCGCGGTTTGGAGGGATTGGCGCTGTTCGGGCGAGAGGTTCCAGATGTCGAGTGGTGGGGTAAGAAGTCTATGGTGAAGAGATCGCGCGAGCTTCGGTTTGGGCTGCTGAATGCCAGCCGGATAAACCATGTGTAGAGAACTGGGTTGCTGAGAGCTCGACTCAGGTGCAGAGTGGAGCGTGGAAGGTTAATTTCCAGACTGTGTAGGAAAATCAGCTCCAGGATCTCTACGGGCAGTGATTCGAGGCGCGAGGTTGGGCGGGTGAGGGGAGCAGTAGCCATTGATTCAATGACGCTCAGGTCCACGGGGAGTGGCTGCAGTATGTCCATGCCGCGGAAGAAAAGAATCAATATGAGGCAGCAGTTCTTGGATGTTTATTTTGGGGCGGAGGGGAGAAGCTGGTTTACCTTCAACGCGGTCTTGGCAAAGGATTCCCGCTGCTCATCCACGAGTGGCAGGTCCAAGCTAAGTCAGGGATTAGAAGCTTCTACGTTCAAGCTTGAAGGTGTAAACACATCGACCTCTGGGCTTGAGAACCTTTTCAATTAACCGTCGATGAGGGTAGGCGACTCTGCAATTGGCATTCTCCAAAATTTAGCTTCCCACGGTTCTCGACCGTTGATATACACTAACGTCCATTGCATACTATATTCACCACACATCCACCACCCAAAGGTGGCTCGTCATTAGTACAATGTTAGTGGTTGGATCTGGGGAGCCAGAGCTCTATAGCTGTATCCATTTTGATAGTTCTCGCTCATGAGCAATCGAATGGAAGAGAAGTACTCGTCTGTGTGGTATCCATGAATGTTGGACATGTCCCGCCTCAATGTCCGCATTTGAACCATAATTAAAATGCTCCGCCCAAAGGCTTGATTTTCGATTAGATGACCAATCACCTGGGAAGTAACTATGCTCCGGGGTTCGAGATAAAGCAAGGTTGCCTGTTTGCAGCCTTCAGCTCAGATGTGTACTCTGAACCTGGGCATTGTCGCCAAACTTAAGGCATAGTGCCCCAGCTTTGCTCTTGATGCTCAGTAAACAACTCGAAGGCTATAGCAAATAGCATTTATCTACTACCATACCCTCAATATCCATACCAATCTCCCTACGTCCACATCTAGATCACCGGTATAAGCAGCTAGTGTAATGACGACAAAAGAAACGGCTGTGGATTCACAAAGGGAACTCAGAAACCATCTGACTTGAATTGTTTCTATACACATCCCAACCGCAAACCACACCAAGGATGGGAGGGACTTAATCGTAGTCGGGCTAAAATGCCATATGATTGAAATTGAACAAATACATCTTGTAGTGTGACACAACGGGGGATAAAGGGCGCAGTTGCACACGTAATTCCATCGTTTAGACGGCAGAAAGGTCGCCGAAGCGCTCCTGCAAGGACACTCGGTCAGAATCCCTCCACTACAGCCAGAGTAGAAGCAAGCAGCACATACCTTGTAGCCGGGTGGCATCCACTTGCCCTTGGAGACAAGGGAAGCAGTCTTTTTCGTCGATCTCGGGCTGGGCGGACGCAACCTCGTCCTGTACACACAATCAGCAATCCATTCCTTCTTGGCCCATATGGCCCCAGTGATACGTACGACAGTGAGGTCCTCGAAGGGACGGGCAGTCTCGATGTTCTCCAGGGTCTTCTGGAGGTTAACGAGCTCAGCCTCGATCTTGCCCTTGGTTTCCTCGGCGTTCTGGACAGCCTGTGCCTCGAAGGCATCAATGGCCTTCAGCTGGCGGCCGACATCGTAGGAGGCGGGCTTGAAGTTCTTGAAGTGGTTCTCGATCTCGTCGACGATGGCCTGGTTCTTCAGGACCTTGCGGTAGTGGGAGAAGTCGACAGTCTGGGGAGTCTCGGAGAGGACCTGGACCTTGCGGCGGGCGTCATCGTTGCGCTTCTTGAAAGCCTGCAGAGAAGCGGCGGTCTGGCCGCGGAGGCCGAGCGAGCTCGACACCTTGGTCCAGTCGATCTTCAGAGCAGCGCTGCGCTGTTCCGGGGCAGGGGCGGGTTAGCGGATGTTGTTTATCGGGGATATTCGGGCTGGTCTGCAAAATTAAGCATGGGGGGGAACGTACAGCGGCCATTGTGACGGCTAGAGAATTGGTGTGTGGAGGTGAAGGGAGGAGAGGGGAGGCTTCAATGTGCAGGGAGGTCTCGGGCAAGGCGAGTTTGAGTCGGAAAGGATTGGATGCGGGCGGCACGTGATGATCCGGTATCCGAGCATTGGCCAATGGCAACGTACGAGCAAGACAGCTTCGAATATGGTACTATTGATTCTTATTTCAATGCTTATTCTGGCTCTCGTTTGGTTGCCTGCGAAAATCCTCTACGCGTGGGGTACCATTTGCTACGTTGAAAGTTGGTTCAATTCTTTTTTTTTTGGGAAGGTGGAATTGTGTACACTATTGGCAAGCCGACTAGTCATGTGTCAGATGCCAAACCCAAGGCTTTCGAGAACCGCTACTCAATAAAATTTGTGATCGGTCCTCATATGCTGAGAGCCATGATGGAGTTGACAATATCATTGTCATTCTCCCGAAGAGCGTTGACGGCCTTCTTGCGGGAAACGTTGGCCTGTGCCATGACAAGTTCGATATCCTTGGCCTCAAGGCCAGACTCGTCGACGGGGGCACCGTCATCCTCCTCCTCGTCCTTCTTAGCTTCAGCCTCAGGGGCCTTGCCCTTGCCGTGGTCGTGGTCGTGGTCGTGACCAGCGTGGTCACCGGCAGCCTCAGCAGCAGCGAGCTGCTGAGCGGCGGAAGCCTGGGCCTGGGCGTTCAGGTCCTCGATCTTGGCCTCACCGAAGATGCTTTAAGGTATGAGTATCAAAACATATAGAGAGGACGACAGGTAAGTACATACATCCAGGTGTTGCTGTTGGGAGAGCGGTAGACATCGGGCTGGTTGACGACGAAAAGAATCTACCGAGCCGTTAATACATGAAGTCCCAGATTCTCAGCAATGCTCAACTGCAGCATTCATGCACCACTCCAGCCGCATCGCTAGATTTAAACATTTGTACATACGTTCTTGGGGCGGCGGAGAGTGACACGGGTGATGCCGGGGACGTGCTTCAGGCCAAGCTTAGCGATGGCCTTGCGAGCCTTCTTCTCGTTACGGGAGTGGATGGTGACGGAGGCGCCGCCGGGGATGGAAGCCTCGCCCTCGCCAGCCTCGGAGTCAGAGTCGCTGCCCTCCTCAACGTTGGTCTTGGGGACCTCATCATCGGGGAGTTCTTCAACACGGGGATCGGCCATTTTGAATGTGTAGGGTGTCTAGAGAACAATTGAATAATCCGAAGTTAGCGACAAAATGCGCGCGCCGTGGAAAGCCAACAAGGTGGTTTTCGAGGTGGCATAGTGGGATGGTGGACGTATAGTGGGAGGGACCGTAACCACCACCTCACAAATCCCACGAGCGGAAATTGGCGGTTTTGGAGGGTGGGAATCCGAGAGAACGGGGTATTCAGCAATTCAACGCACCTGGTTCACTGGGAAACAGCTGTGGTGGAAGAGGATGGATTTTGGTGTTCGTGAGGTTCAAGGTCGATGAAGCTGTGCGACCGGATGCCCGAAAATCGTTAGCGAGGCGGTTACGCCCACCCCAGATCTTGCCCACACATTGCCCTATACAGCCCAATGCTAAAGTCAGTGACGATTGGCCTACATAAGTCTATATCGATTTCGCTACTTTTAACATGGAAATAAAATTATGGATCTGGTTCTACACAATTGTGCTTTCCTTGATTATTTCTCTCAGGAAAGGTCTCCCGATTCTATAGAAAAAAAAGAGCCTCTTCGGCTTAGAACGCAGAGAGAACATGACACAAGGCCTTGCAGGATATCAAGGTTTTTGAATCATTTTTGCTGTAGATGGATAATGCATACAGCGATTTTGCTGGGAGAAATGCCAGCTATGGAAACCCGTCCCAGGACACCTCCTTCATCCTATGCACCAACCCTCATAATCATTTATGCCTTAGTGGCAGCGCGAACCTTAGCGAAAGACTTCTGGACCTCGTAGCGGGCCTGGGGAGAACGTGTTAGTACTCGTCAAATCACAAATAAAAGGGGATCGATCAGACTCTTGAGCCATGCGCTCTGGGTCTGACCAATCGTAAATTCTATAGCGTACCTGCTTGCGGAGGCGCAGGACCTTGAAGCGCTCGAAGTCGGTCAGGTTCTTCCGTCGGTCGGCACGCTCGGTCTTCTTGGAGAAGCTGGAGTTGGCCCACTTGCCATCGATCTCGTTCTTAGCCCAAAGCTTCTTGACGGGGCCGGTACCGGCAGCACGGGGAAGCTGGGGGATGGTGAAGGGAGTGAGGGTGGCGTGAGCGAGGGGAAGGACGTGACGGGGCACGATCTTCTTCTCCTCACCGGAGGGACCGTCGACCAGGACCTGCGAACACAGTCAATAACAGTTCAATCATTTCTTTGCGATCCTTTTTTCTGCCCCCCCAGAGTTGCCATCTTCAATGTCCCATGCGTGGTGCACTGTCGCGGACTCCATGGGGAGAGATCGGGATTCATTTTTCAAGGCGATTTTCACATACACGGCGGTGGTCGACAATCTCAACGATGGCAGCGAGCTTGCCAGCGTAGGGGCCGCGGCGGATCAAGACCAGGCGGCCAACCTCGACCAGCTTCCACGAAGCGAGCTTGACATCGATATCGGCCATGGCGAAGGCTTTCTGTAGAACGAAATAACTCAGTTGCTGAATTTTTCTGCTTGTCTTCCACGCAGGGGCACTCACGGTCGACGGGGGTGTTGATGAGTCGGGAGGGTTGTTGTCGAAGGAAGTCAGTTAGTCCAAAGCGTCTCTGCGAATTTCGGATGTGCCCACAGAATTTCTCGCTTAGCGGGCCAACCGTGGAGGTCCTAGGGTTGAATTAGGTCAGCCATCCGCTGGATCCGGGACTACTTTTTTCCGACCGGTAAGTTTTCTTGCATTTTTTTCCGCCCTGCTCTGCTGTTTTCCTCCATGAGCAAATGTAGCTCATAAGCTGTTGAAAGCTCCAAGCTCTGCAAAGAGACATGCAACGATTCCTTACAGTGCACTAACATGCCATCCATTATGCAAGACTAACCTTATGGTATGTGCAAGCTTTCTTTCCATCTGCCTCTTCTTACATGATGCGGTAATTTGCGATTGACCCGGTGTCTGTGAGGCCCTCGCCGGGGTTCTCGATACAGCGCTGCTGGATGATATTCAATTTCTTACATATTCTGATATTTTCCTGACTTGCTCCATTAACGCCAAAAGCTTTCGGTGGACTTTGCTGACAGCTCGAAGATCTCTAGCTCTTACCCTTGACCCGCCTTGACACGTCGCAAACTCCGAATACAGGGTATGTAACCTTTTTTTTTCTTCTGACTTTGCATGCGCTCTACACCCCCTCGGTTCGATGATTACAAACTTTATCACGCCTAGATAGTAATTGATGCCTACGGGCAGCTGAAATTTCCTTTCACCAAGATCTCTGAGAACCTTGACATTCATTGCAATGCATCACACAGCACTGTCATAATCATGTGCTAACTGGATATAAGAATTATAGGAAATGCATATCTTTAGTCGACTCCTTTAACTTAGCACTCATGAAATCCAATACTCTTCATTTATGCCTCTGAATCTCTCCCGTAAATACAATATCTTTAAAAAAAAAAACCGCTTACCATTGGAATTTTTGATTATAATAAGTCGTGCTATATCATGACAACTTAGGCTAGCGTGCAGTTCGCCAAGACGCCAGATCAATGTGCTAAAATGCCCCCATCTGCGACCTCTTTCCACATCCACATCTGTCTATGCCACGGCCGAGATCCCTCAAAACACCATGCACTCTATCAAGAGCTTGCGCGTGAGGCCGCCGCCGAAGGCCCCTCTCGGCTGAGCAGCCACATGAACAGGAGCTGGACGAGGTAGGAATAGGCAAACAAAAATTGTGTGCGCTTAGAGCGTTGAGGGCGGCCAACAATCTGCATGCTTGCGGCGTTCATGTTGGAGTCGTTGCTGTCGGGGAGCAGGACATATTTGAGAGAGCGGAGCTGGAGTGGAATAGCAGGTTAGTGACCGCCGGGAGTGAACGAGGGAGGTAGCGAAGCACTTACCAAGAAGAAGCCATTGGCCAAGTAGGTGTAGACGAAAGTGACCCAGCCAACCCAGCCTCCTGTTCCCGACCGGGGGTCAGGATCTCCGCAGCCACTAAGGTAACGATGATGCCCACGAACTTGTACCCTGAGTATGCCACGAGATCCAGAAGCTGGGAGTCATTGTTGATGCTAAGCATGTACATAGCTATCTTCAAGCAAACAATCTCGAAGATGACCACAGCAATAGCTGTGGTGGTGAGCGAACCGAGCAATTCTGGGTGGAAATCGCCCCCGGAAACCCGAGAGCAGCACTGACAACAGAATATATGTCACCATAGCCATAACGGGGATGTACATATCTGGCGAGTTGAGGTCATCGCGAGGAGGCAGGAATATGGATGAATATTGCTGTGTCATTTGGCCGTTCGGGCCGGTTTGATTGCGGGCTTGCTGGCGAGACCATGGCTTGTGTCGCCATGGGAAGAGAACGAGGGCCAGCTTCTTCAAGACATAGGAATTGGAAACGTTAAAGTAATGCTTCAGGGCAGGAATGGACACATAACGATTGAACTAAAGATGGCTGTTAGTAAATTCCTATCACGCAGATCGAGAAAATGGTATCCCAATACATTCTGCTCCATGTACTCCTGTCCTGCGGCCATTGCAGTCCGGCCGACCTGGAATCCCATCTGCGCAGTTGGATCGGTCATAAACTGGCCAAACCCAGGGCCATAACTCGCTCCGCTTCCTTGGGCTGGCGACGGCTGGTATGGGTTTCCTCCTGCTGCGCTTCCGCCTCCATATCCAGCATTCGGTGTCTGTTGTGCAGAGGGAGGGGGTGGTGAGCGCATCATGGGTACGGTCGAGACGTGTTGCGGGACGGGGTGGTGCAGAGGCGGCGACTGCGCAGGTGGCGGTGCGAAGGAGCCCCGATACATTGTGTTCCTGGTATTACAGGAGAAAGATCGATGAAGAAGCTGGATTTGTCGGACGGTAGGAAACAGGGCAAGGAAGGCCGAAGTGTAGGCGCCTGAGGTGGTGGTAGTTTACAGAGAGAAGGTGTTTATACGTGGCTGAAGATCCCGCTAGTGCTCCGATCTTCGAACATCAGTTTTCGGGCGACGCCGCCACACAACTTTCTTTCCCTTTGCGCTCCCTCACCCCGCACCTCAATTATCTCCTCTTTTCTTTTCGTCTTCAATCCGGAGGCCATCATTTCATAATGCTGGAAGCTTTTGAAATCCTCACTACCTCCGGCGTTGTGCTGTGGTCCAGGTCCTACGCACCGGTGGGCAGCCATGTCATTAACAGCCTAATCAACGACGTCTTTATCGAGGAGAAAGCGGCGCCTCAGCAAAGCTCATCTGGGGCCTCGCCCACTTACAAGAAGGAGAAATACACCCTGAAATGGAAGCGAGCCAAGGAATTCAATTTGATCTTTGTGGTATGTCGGCGGATGTCGCATGATCTCGTCTACCGTATCGCGAAACTGACTATGCTCTTGATAGGCCGTTTATCAATCGCTGCTACACCTCGGATGGATCGACAAACTGTTGGAAAATATCTCGACGATTTTCACGGATGTCTACAAGGACCAGTTGAAGGGAAACCGGGTCAGAATCACCACGTACAAGTTCGATCCGTACTTCGAACAGCAGGTGCGCGAGCTCGAGGACAATACCGGCAGCATCGCAGACACATACACTGCCGAGACAGAGGAGAAGAAGGACCCGCTTGTCCAGTCAGACAACGGAGGTCCACCCCCGCCGCCTATCCCTGGCCTAAAGAAGGGTATGGATCCTGTCTCATGTAGTTTATGGACTCGTCACTGATGATCACGAAGCGCAGCAACAAGCTGCGCTAGCCGGGGCGACCTCTGATGAGGTCACGCCACCGACAACTCCTGATATTTCTAGGTCTTCGACACCCGCCAGCAACCACCTTCTCACCACTCAGGCTGGCCCAGGCGGCCGAGTATCTCGCCGTGCGCGCAAGGCTGCAAATGCCAGCACCAATGCCTCGTCTGGCGATGAAACTTCTCGTAACAAAAAGCCTGTGAAGGGCTCAGCTAAAAAGATGCGCAAGTGGGATGCGAGCGGCTACGCAGATGAGGATGACGGCGAGGTTTTGGATTATTCCGCTCCAGCTGGGGATGAATCTGCAGCTCCTGCAGTCGAGGCTGTTTTGCAGGACGAATGGGGCCGTAGAACAGAGAAAGGCCAGTTCGTTCTGAAGGAGCTAGGTGATGAGGTGCATGATATCTTAGACAACGCTGATGCTGCGAAGGCTAAAAATAACGCCTCCTCTGGGGTCGTTGGCTCTGGCTTCAATGCCATCGGGGGATTTTTCCGCAACATTGTTGGTGGGAAAGTGCTTACGGCAGCTGATCTCGAGAAGCCGCTTAAAGTGATGGAGGACCATCTGCTGAAGAAGAACGTCGCTCGTGAGGCTGCTCTGCGTCTCTGCGAGGGTGTTAAGCAGGAGTTGGTGGGCAAGAAGACTGCCAACTTCCAAAGCGTTGATGCAGCATTGCGCATCGCTATGGAGTCCTCATTGCGAAACATTCTGACACCAACTTCTTCCTTGGATCTTCTTCGTGAGATCAACGCCGTGACAGCGCCAACCACCAAGCAACACGCTCCACGCCCCTATGTCATATCCATTGTCGGTGTGAACGGTGTCGGCAAGTCGACTAATCTGAGCAAAATTTGTTTCTTCCTCCTGCAGAACAACTATCGAGTTCTGATCGCCGCGTGTGATACCTTCCGTTCTGGTGCAGTGGAGCAGCTGCGTGTGCACGCGCGCAACTTGCAGGAGCTCAGCTCCCGCGAGAACGTTGGTGAGGTCGAGTTATACGAAAAGGGCTACGGCAAGGATGCCGCCAATGTTGCCAAAGATGCTGTTGAATATGGTGCTGCAAACAAATTCGATGTTGTGTTGATTGATACTGCTGGCCGTCGCCACAATGACCAGCGGCTCATGTCTTCGCTGGAGAAGTTCGCCAAGTTTGCAAAGCCAGACAAGATCTTCATGGTGGGCGAAGCGTTGGTTGGCACTGACAGCGTTATGCAAGCACGCAACTTCAATCAGGCATTCGGAACGGGGCGGAACTTAGATGGATTTATTATCAGCAAGTGTGATACAGTGGGTGATATGGTTGGAACTCTCAGTCAGCATGGTCCACGCTACGGGCATCCCCATTGTTTTCTTAGGCGTTGGCCAGCACTATGGCGATTTGCGAGGACTGAGTGTCCCTTGGGCTGTCAACCTTTTGATGAAGTAATTATTCAGTCGGGCTCATAAGCTGGGCTCTATTTATAGTTATTATCTGCCTTATACGCTAAGCTATCCTATCACGCCATCCCTCATAGTTCTGTACATCATGTTCGTTTATCCCAGCTAAACGGCAAATATGGCATTCCAATGCATATTTTCCGCATGTTCTAAGTGAGGTTGGCCTTGATCTTTTCAGCGTTTCGTTGATTCTTTATATCACCACCCGTCTTTCAGGGCACTTTCCTTTCTCTGTATCACTCAATATTGAAGTCACACATGGGCCTTTCCTGCGCTGCCATGCCCTATAAGAGAAGAGGAGAAGAGCACGATATTGAAGCTAAGAAAATTAAGCTTACCACCGGATCTTGATCTCGCAGTTATTATTGCCTAGTAAGTATCTGCGCTTGTTCTAGCTTATACGTCGAGGCTCACATTGCAAATAGCACATTAGCAATTTGAATCTACATTGGCTCGACGTATTTCGACGCCCAGACCGTTTTTCAGCCACCCGTGGTAGAAAGGCCTCCCATGCTCCACGGAATCCCTCGTCGAAAGCGAATAAAAAATTGAATCCATCTTTGGCAAAGAGCAAAAAGAATTGACCGACGCAGGGGTCGAACCTGCAATCTCTTGATTCGTAGTCAAGCGCCTTGCCATTGGGCCAGCCGGCCTTGCTTGAATAAAACTTGGGAAAGAGGGGTATGTGGGCTGAGGGTGGGGTGATGTGAGGTTTTTGGGCTCTTGACCAATACGAGCGATTTATTTCGCAATGATTGCCCCACTCAACCTTCGCTACCATTATCCGCCGTGTTGGTGCTCCGATGTTGTAGGGCATGCCGGGCCAAGGGGACCTCGATTACGTTCATTAAGCAACGCAAGCAGCACCGAGCTATACCTTACAGGCTCAATTTGAAAGTTTAATTAAACTTAGTCATAAGGAGTAGGGAAAATTACTGTGTCGCTACAGGGTTCGGTGATATTTTAGTTAAGAGATCTAGTAGAGCGATCGCCGCACTTACACAGTACATTTCCTCGGTCAAACAGACCCGGCCCATTCGTCACGCGGCACTTCCGCATGAAGCAAGCCAGGAATCTTCTTGAAGGCAGCAAGAGTGGTGGTGATGGTTGTCGTGTGCATCGTCTACTCCCTTTACTAGTCTGATTTTGCATAGACAACACTTCTGCTCGGGTACTCAGCAGATATCTTCCTCTACTCGCTCCATTATAAAGGGCTGTATGTGGATATGATGTCTCCATAACTATGGCTCACAATTATTGCGTCATTTTCCAACCCGATGGACATGAATAGATTGGGTTTAAGATATCATTTTGTGTTCCGTTGCTCTTGGCGGGGATACTTCCAGTAATTTACTTATTTCCCCCTGAAACGAAAGGCTATGCACCAGAAGAGAGAGCGATATTGTTTCATGGAGAGACGGCTAACTCGAGAGATAAACGAAGCAAGGAAAAGATTGCGGGTTGGATGGTGAGCACGTTGCAAGTTCGATTCGTGCGTTCTCGCCTGGATATCTGAAATAGTAGCCTCTAATGTGCAGTCTGAAGAAATGCCACACCTATTGTTTAGAAAACAACACCAGATTTCATTTCAATCGACCAGTCTTCGTATGCAGATTCTTCCTTTTGGGTACTACAGACGTATTTACACCCAGTGCTAGAAGGTGACACCAGGATCCAGCAAAATCCACCAGGTTCAAATTTCCCGATTTTTCCGCCAGATACTGGCAAAAAAATTTGCTGCCTCTGTGTTTTCTCTTCTTACAACTACCCGACCTTCATGGCTTCTACTTGTGTACTAAATTGGAGAAGCCTTTTCGAAAGCAGAAATAATGTACTACCCTGCCTGTCTACAACGGCGCCCGATCTGCCAGCCAATTATTCCCTGGCTCTTGCTTCTTAGCTGGATACAACGGAAGGAGGAGCTAAGTCGACATGCCAATACTGACCGGGTGGCTTGTTTGCGGCGGTCATCAACTGCATCATCCAAGGGGGGGATTTAACTGAGGGATCATCTTTTTCAATACAACGCGAGGCTCCCACTCCGCCCTCCACTTCAGCCTCGGGCGTTTTCACAGCAGAGGCTATTTGACGTGTTTGTCGGTAATAATGAAAGGGGCAAAAAAAGCATAAAGTATAACAACTATTTGGCAGGTGAAGGGGGGAATGAGGTCCAAAAATAGACAAAAAAGAAATCTCTCCCTCGGGGAATCGAACCCCGGTCTCCCGCGCTTATCGGATTGACAAGCGGAAATCATCACCACTAGACCAAGGAAGACGTTAGCCGAGTTCCACTCGACCACTTGGGGTTGGTTGATGCAATGAACTCAATTTTATGCTTTATTTTCCATAGCTGGCTCTCCACCCGTACTGCGCCCTCTGACACTGTCCATGTTGGCTTCCTTGACACACAATACAGTCTCAAAGTGGATATCCATTGTTTAAAAATATTCTTTCGTTCATACTTCGCGGATAACGTACACTGAACAAATTATTGACCTGATAAGATCGCAAAGCCCGATGGACGTAAAATATCACCATGCTGCCTCCAAGCGGGTGTACTACCATATATATATATACGCCCTCATGTTGAATGAAGTACATCGGCTTATTTTGAATTTGGACTCTTTAGGTACCCAAATACAAGTGAGCCATAGACCTTGATATCACACCCAGGGTATCGACAGCTATAATATTTTCCCTTATCGCTCGTGGCTGAACAGGAGAGTGTCCTGTTTCATAGTCATTCTCCTTCCGCCCGAATACAGGGCGCACTGATCCTCATTCGTATTCTCATCGTCAGGCGCATTGGGATCATGCACTAAGTCCTTGGCTGAGGGAATATTATTGTCGTCCGACGGTGCTGATGAATTTTTATCGCGTTGTTCTGGTGAAATGATCAGCGGGGATCGTCGCAGCAGGTCCGGGGATCTATTGTCCTCACCACTTGCTCCAAGTCTGTTACCAGTATCATTTGAGCTGCTGCTCGAGGCCCGATCGTGATCGGTTATCGTGTCTTCAATATCGTGCAATAGACCCGACATCGTGATAATTTGAATCGCTAGGGGTTGCCAGTGGAGTTCGGAGCAGACGTAGACCACGAGGGTTGAGATGCACGCTTTCATCCATCTCAAGGTCTGGGGATCCTCGGCTTATGTTTATTCAGGTGAACGGTCGTGACGTAACACTAGAACCCTCTAGCTTGGGCCTGTCCTATGAAACAGTGAATCAGAGTCCACGACTCTTGATCAGTTGGCGTCATGGCAGTGTCATCGGGTAACTTCCCTCGTTGAACCGGACTTTGGCCTCTATTGGTCTGTTCGAGAAGTACATATCGTGTCTACCCCATTTCTTGGAAGCGACCGGTCCCTAATGCAGCCAATCACGATTAATTCTATCCAAGTTTGGATGACCTGCCAGCCTGATTTGTCGGTCGCACCCATGGATCCCTGACACGCTGACAATTTCCCCGCGTCAACGTGCTGCTTCTCCACTTTCTGTACGGGGCAGGAGCTCGGCATCTGCGTGCATGATCTAGATTTTCCGAGGGGAGGCTCGGAGAAATGGACTGTGAAAGGGCGTCGGTGGGACAGGAAATCACTCAAGCTGTGCAAACCACTTGAACCTGTCTAACTCGAGAAGACCATGTCTGACCAGAGCAGAAGCGGATCTCTATACTGGTGCTTCGGTATGATCATAGCAGTACGATTAGCGGCCACAACGTAGAATGCTGTGGTATTTTCGAGCCTTCCTTTTAAACCCGGCTGTCCGTCTGGGGAATAACGCAATTTATACATCTACCAGTAAGCCATGATCGCTCTCCCCAGGTGTGACCGGATGGGGGTTCAAGCGCCCAAGGTGCTCTAGCTAGACAAGGCCCAGGTCAGTCCCATCACGTGACAATCCACTTAAGAGTGAGTACACTACTATAGGGGCCAAAGTAAAGGTCCGTGTGCATACCGCTTCTGCCACCTACCCCATCAAATACGGGCACCCAGTTGAACGGGACCGAAAGGCAGAGTCAGCATTATTATCACATGGCTAAGGAGCACCAGACCCACTATACAATCATGGCTGGCATGGCTACATAATAATGAGTTATGTAGCTAATAATTGGCCAGCCGCTATTCCATTCCCCGCTTTTATGTCCTTAGAAACGTTTAATCCGAGCATGATTGTTTTGGGTTTGTTTGATACTGATACTATATGCGGGATGGAGTTGGTCCATTTCGACTATAATAGTAGATAAACGAGACGACATATGAAGTACTTAGTTATAATCTGCTAGGTTACATAATTATCGAAAAGGCCCCCGGGGCCCCGGGGCCGGATCGAGAATGATGCGCGGGTAGTCTGCACGGGGCAGGAGATGCGTTGGAACTTGACATCGCTGTTTCAGACGTAAACCCTCCAGTCCAGAATCGATGAAATTCGCTCACTTCTACGCTACGAGACACGGCGAATTTGAAAGAGAAGGTGTATGACCGTCGCCTGGCCTCTTCAAGCTCTTCCCTCTGCTCCCCGGGTCTCTTATCGTGTTTACGTTGGCTTGCCGACCAAGGCTTAGGCCACTACGATGAAAGCAGGCCTCGAATAGACTGGATATTGTACGCAGTAAAAGTCCTCTTGAATACGAAGACGAGGCTGATAACTAACTGTTGTTCCTGATTAATGCAAGCAGCCGACTGGCGGGCCAGACCCTGACCCTGACTCAGCGCAGTCACCGCCCAGTTACATCATGCCGCATTCTTCAATGCTCTAGCGCTCTCCCAGCTACCCTCCTCTAAACTATTGGTGCGAATTTCGAGCGTTTCTCAGCTTTGAGGCTACTTCTGCGCTATTTGCCTGCTCTGATACCCTGAATTAGCGACCACGACACCGGCCATTTGCGCCGAGCTACTCTTACGACTCTGGGCTCTCGCAGCCTAGTAAGTCACTCCAGCCTCCTCCAATCGCGTGGTTGGATTTACAAACGCTGCAAGCAGTCTTGATCTCACTGGCTGTCAACATGCCGCCATCGGACCGCAGCGCTATCAATCGCCGTTCCTCTACGCAGCACTACCAGACTTTTGATACCCCGCCCCCAAAGTCGCGTGGGCGGCCAAACTCCGGTCGATCGGAATCCTCCGGTGATGGCTCGCACGACCCGCACCACGATGACCACGATCATGATGTGAAATCACCGTTGCCAAAGAAACAGATGGCTGTGTTGGCGATGATTGCGCTCGCCGAGCAGACCGCACTCAACTCCATCAGTCCTTATCTTCCGGAGATGGCCTCCGCTTTTCCCGAAGTGGAAGCTAATCAGGTGGGTGTCTATGTGGGAACTATCGCGTCGGCATTTGCTTTGGCACAGTTCGCAACAAATTATTTCTGGGGTTGGCTGTCAGACCGCATCGGGCGCAAACCGGTCATCCTTCTGGGAACGTTTTTGACTGCATTGTGTTTCGTTGCGTTTGGATTCTGCAAGACCTTGGTACAAGCCATCGCGGTGCAAGCTATTATGGGGGTGGTCAATGGCAACCAGGGATTAGTGTCGACTTGCCTGGGCGAGATTACCGACCGAAGCAACCAATCACAGGCCTTTACATATCTGCCTGTCCTCTACGGGGTTGGAGGCATCACAGGCCCTTTGCTGGGAGGGATGCTCATCTTCAAGCGCAATCCGTTTACAGGCAACCCTAGCCAATACCCGTACCTCGCTCCGAACATCATTTCCGCTATCATACTTCTTGTCGATTTTGTCCTAACAACGGTCTACCTGGAAGAAAGCCTGGAAGATGCGGATGTTCTTCCCAAATTTGGCCGGCGTATCCGCAGCTTCTTCGCGTGGTTTTGGCAATTCACTGGATTCTCTCAGCGACCGACATATGTTCGAGTTCTCTCCACACCGCATTCTGATGCTCACCGTAGCACTGCTGACGCTGAAGAGCATGACAGTGATCTGGACTCTGCCTCAGAGGTACCCACTGAACCTGACCATCACGAAGAATTGACTTGGGATGATATCTTCACTCGTGACACAATCCTACTTTTATTGACTTACTTGATCTTTGCATTCTGCAATGTATCATTTAATTCTTTGTTCCCCATATTTGCGCAAGCACAACCCCCAATGGGGCGCCGCCTTACGCCTTCTGAAATTGGGCTGGCGCAGGGATTTGCTGGTGGTGTCATGATACTGTTCCAGATCGGGATCTTCAACCGCCTTCGTGATAAGATGGGCAACCGTTGGTCATACCGTGCTGGTCTTTTCGGGTTTGTGCTTTCATTTATTCTGATGCCTTTCATTGGATACAAGAGCGAATCCGGTAAAGGGCTCACCCGCCAATCAGTGTTCCTGGCGATCGAGCTTTGCGTTGTCCTTCTGATCAAGACTGTCGCCTCAGTGGGTGGTCTGACCAGCTCTTTGCTATTGGTAAGTCCCTATTCAATCTCCTCTCATGCACGAAATCGGAAGCTAATGAATGTTGCCTAGATTACAAACTCTGCTCCCAACCACGCCGTTCTTGGTGCACTCAACGGCCTTGCTCAGACTCTGTCAGCGGCTGGTCGCGCGGTGGGGCCATTTTTGTCCGGCGGGCTGTTCTCCTTGACATCTAAAATCCAACCAAAGGGTGAGGCAATCGCGTTCGGTGTCTTTGGTGCAGTCTCCTTTGTTGGATTCTTACTGAGCTTCGGTATCCGCGGTCGCTCACTCGAAGCAAGTGGATGGACTAGTGACAGCGACGATGCGAATTACAAGTCGGATGACGAAGAGCAAAATGGCTCTTGAGTAAGATGATTGATTTTCTCGTTTTCCGGAGTCGATATTCTGTAAAATTTAGATGACGTGACGATTCAACCCTTCAGACCTTTGCATTTGAATTTCAGCATATTAATTTGCTGGCTGAGACCTGTATTCTCCGGGCATATGATAGATGGTGGCTTTTCTTATCGTCCTCAACTTTTGTTTTCTTCTCTGGTTATGTTGGCTCGCAGAAATATGTATATAGATAGACTCGCAGTCCCCATAACCTAAATACTTCTGATATTCGATTGTCCTTTCTACCACCTTGTTCCTAATAACGAACGTAACAAAAGCACGAGGGGCCAGAATATTATAACTGTCGTCATCTGGAAAAGAAAGAGAGCTTAGAAGTATCATATCCTCAGGCTTGAATGGTCAGACCCAAGAGGGCAATTTGAAGCCGGTATTCTCATGATTTGTCCTATGACTCCCCATAAAACCTCGATAGGGCTCTCTGTTCGCTTGTCTCGATTGACAAACCAAAGAAAACCGACCAAGCAAAGGCCCTAGAATATGTGGACTACCAAATAGATCGCAGACAAGACAGATAGCAGATAAAAAGCGGCTGTTGTCCCCGAGTCGGATACTCAAATATAAGCTTGCCCTAAAGGCCGTTAGAGCGCTACCTTTTTTTCCTTTGGAAAGACATTCTCCAAGCCGGTGGAAAGATGATATAGAATGCCAGTGGAGAGATGATATAGAAAGCAACCGGTGTCTAGATCCTATTGTTCCACGAAGAGATATCTGGGGAATAGAAATCCAGCGACCGTGTCAGCTGCTGAAACTAAGTAGTAAGATGAAAGGAGCTCAGATCTTCGATATTCCTCGAATATCTCCCAATGAATTAAGAACGTACGGCCTCTAAAAATACATGCAAAATGGGTATTGGAGTCCGCCAAGATACTGAGATAGGTTGTCTTTCGAGTGTAGAGATTCTATGACTTTCCAGGTCTACTCTTACGTCTATATGCGCACAACGGAGCAGGAGCTGCCAGAACATGGATATTGACCAGATAGATCATCTCATATTGCGAGAATATCGAAAATAATAGGAATATTCCTTTTCAACAAGATTGCGCGCGATCAGGCAGGAAAAGCGCTGGAGTGACAATCAGAGCATGGCAATTGCTACCGTAAGAGTCTCTTTAGAAGGCATAGCCTTGAGTAGCACCTGAGAATTTCCAAGTGAGGGTACCATCTGAGGTGCGCACTAATGATTTTTTTCGTCATACTGCTCAGCGCCGTCGTCCCAACTTCCTCCCATCTGTGCTTTCCATCTTCCTCCCTTCAACACCCTTCAACTCTCTTCCAACTCCCTCCCACCTCCCTTCCACCTCCCTTCCCCCCCCACAACTAAGTTTCTTCACTCTCGAACCGTGATCAATACGATTTTCGTTTTCAGGTACGATACCTTTGGATAACAAAAAATCTATTTCTCGTACTAACTCATTTATTCCTCAAGTTTTCCAAAGATGGTTTCTTCAATCGACGTTGACTACGAAGAGTCTTCCCTTGGAGGCACCGACCCCCCTGATGTTGATGCCTCGACTCGTATCAATACTCAAACCCCGGTTGTTGACACCTCCAGTCTCATCCATGTTGACCCATCCGACCTCACTGGTGTTGAAGTCTATGGTCTTAATGACAGAGAGCGAGTTGAGAGGCTCAGTCACACAAATTCCGACTTTTTGTACGACTGCGAAATCCGCGAACTGATGAAAGCACCTCTCCTTGTCCGTTTCAACAGTCCCAGGATCTTCTACCACAGTGGAACCTGGAGAGGGCGCTCTCGCCTTCAGTTCTGGCCCGTGTTGTTGGCTACCAATAACCATGGAATCCGTTATTTGTCCGACGAGACACTGTCCAAAGTTTTGCCGGGGTGGAAGCTATACCTTGACCTGGATGAACCCAAGATGCCTCCTATGCGTTCGCTACACCTCCACAAGCCTTGGTGGACATGGATCAAGCGCGAGCACAACAAGCTCAACGCCCTGCGGAAAAGCTGGCCCAGCCAACATGACCCTTCGCTCATATCTGACATGGGTCCCCGCACCCCTCTCAGTGATCGCCTGAAGGAGGACAGTCCACATATCGTCTCTGCAGAGAAGCGGAGAGAGGTTCGCCATGAGGTTGACTTTCCCAGTAAGCGGAGCGTGACCAGTCTCCAGAACAATCTTCGTACACGATATGGGGCCAGCTCAGCCAAGTCCCGCGAGCGCCGTGCCACTGCACGGCGTCATCGAATCTTGGCAGACGAGCTCATTACTACCGAAGCATCTGAGCTGAATTCTCCAGTTGCTAGAACTCCTTCTACCTTGAATTGTCCAACGGATCCAGCTCCAGCTCCAACTCCAGCTCCAGCGCTCCCAGGTCAAGGCTCTCTGACTACGACCATGAGGTCTCAAGGTAGCCCAGTTGTTCAGACTCAAGTCCACCGGATTCCTCCTGCTACCCAGGCTCAAGCCCCACCATCTAGCCAGGGTCCAGGCCATCTGCCAGTTCCAGGTTGGATACCATGGAACCACTATCCAACTCCAGCACTGACTCTCGTCCCTCCGCACTTGACATCCCCGAGTGTGCCTAGCGTGGGCGGGCGGGGGGCTGAGTCTGGGTGTGAGCTTAGCAACCTGCGGGATGAGATGTCTCAGCTCCGGAGCGAAGTGAGTGCGCTCCGAGAGAAATGTGAGCGCTACGAGAACGACATCCAGTGGCTCACAAACGATCTGGGAATCCACGCGACGTACATCAGGGCCCATCACCAGACCTTCTCATGGATTGGAGGGGGGGATCACCCAGCAGTATGGAGCGCTTCCAACCCAGGATGCCTCATCGGGTGCCCTTCCTGGTCCAACTGGCGGGAATACCCTTCTTCCTCTCGCCTCTGGTCCTGCTGCTGGTAGTTAGCATGGTTTTCACTTTGTAGGAGACATACATGGGCTTGACTAGCTGGCTTTGTTTCCAACGAGGCGACTTGATATTAAGACAGGCGTTTTAAACATGAATGGTAACCAAATTGAATTGTGCGTGCATATTGCATATATAATTGCGTAAGAACCTTGATCTAGACACGAACGTGGTATCTGACACCGCTCCGCCCGGCCGCATACTCATCCAGAGCTGCATTGACCTTATCAGCATCCAACCCGTCAATAGTCTTGTATTCCAGGGGCTTAATCTTGCCATTGGCAAGCCACTCCGGTAGCTTCGTCCAGAGCGCCTTCCCGAACGCAGGAATGAGATTCGAGAAGCCTAGAGTCCTCTTCTCCTCAAATCCAGCCTTCTTCTGCGCCGAAAACCGCCTCCGAAACAGGACCCATGACGTTAAAAACCAGCGTCCCCCTCTTGGAGTTCGAAAGAAGAGACGCCGCCAGATCCAAGCTTCCAAAGTTGAAAGTATCGTACACATAGAGCAGCTCATCACCGACAATCGCCCGAACCTGCTCCTCAACATCAGAATCATGCCGCGAGATGACATGCGTAGCACCAAAGCTCTTCAGCAGCTCCGTGCTTGACGGCGACGCCGTAACAATAATTGTGCCCCCCCCGCTAACTTCAACAACTGAACCGCAAGCTTGGCGGTATTGGTACCGCCGCCAATAATGGCGACCTTCTGCGACGCATAATCGAAGCCCTGCGCCTCCGGTGTCTCGGGGAGCGGGAACCCAAAGCCTTTCTCGGAGAAGAGGCTGATGGCCGCTGTCACGATGTTGATGGGGTACAGGGCAGCTTCGGTGTCGGGGATGGTTTTGGGGACCTCGGCTGCGTATTCGCTATTGAGGATGGTGTACTCTTGCAGGCCGCCGCTCTGGGGCAGCTGGAAGATCATTTGAGAGAAGATGTGAGTGCCAAGTGGAAATTTATTCTGAGGGCCGCCCTCGATCACTTCGCCGACGATGTCGCCGGAGAGTACCCATGGAAGACGCTCGCCGATTCCTAGGCGCCCGAAGTCGCGCATTTTTTGGTCGAGGGGGGCAACTGGGATGGTTAGGCTCGTTGGAGGGGGGAGTTTGGCTAGGGGGGTAAACTCACGGCCAGCAGCAGTTACTTTGACCAGGACCTCTGCGTCTTTGAGTTCGGTGCCTTTGTGAGTGGAAAGGTCAAGCTTAACCAAGGGCTTTCCGACCTCGGTGATGGCGAGAGCAGTTTGGGTTGACATTTTGTAGAGTTCCAAGTTCCTTTTCTTTGAGCTTCTTGTAAATTGCAGTCGAGAAAGGACCTTGCTGGTTGTGTTAAAGAAGAATCTGTGATGATCGGGAGGTAGAAGACGAGTTACAGTCATCTTCTTATAGTTCTTGAAGCCGGAGAAGACTCGATATCTCCGCGGGTTTAAGCTATTTCCGATAATACTGCTCCAGCTCGGGCATAGCTGAGGCCGAGCGTAAATTACATGGTGGTGTTTGCCTGAAGCTACGCTGTATAAAGGGGAGTTTTGTATGAGTGTTGCTAACGGGGCCCTTCGACGCGCAACGCTAACTCTAATTAGAGCGAGGCAATTGCTAATATGGAGAATTCGGGAGACGGCGGGGCCCCCACTCAAAGCTTGAACTTGCATGGGGCCTCTGTTGCGCGCAACACTAACCAGATCAGGAAAGCAGTAGATACTAGTGATTGTTAATGACTATTTTCGTTCCCGGCGTTTTCCTGCAGCCATGATGATGTATAGATAAATCCCCAGTCAAAGCAAGTCGAAGGAGACATATAGGTCTCCACAGGTAGGAGATACGAGGGGGGCTTTGAAATTGAATACCTTTTCGTCGATCATACGTTTGTGCACATTGTAGCTCATGTTTTTGCTTTTGGATTCAGTGGAGAGTTGTTAATGAGTGATACTGTGCAATGATAAAGAAGATTCCTGTCTTGAAAGGTCCATACACAGGCCCAAACTAAGCATAACTCCATCGAATATACAGGTAAGGTCGTAAGTCGTGATTGACATGCAGCTCTGTCGTTGAGCGACGGGGCACACGAGAAGCAAGTAGCAAGAAATCCAGAAGCAAATAGTCTAAGTGGACTCATTCACTTGCTTATGTTTCCATGGAATATCCTTCCTGAGGAGCTCTCGTAATTCAGGTGAGATGACCTTGGGTCTGTCCGCATCCATCATTTTTTGGAGGGTAGAGTGAGAAGCTTGGGCCCCACTTGCAGATCCGACTGTCGAGGATTGTGGAAACTTTCCTTTACCAGAATCTGTAGAGCCTGTTGGTCGGCGTTGAACGGTAGTTGGAGCGGCAGGGAAATTGTCTTTCTTGTCGATGGCTTGAACAGAACGCTCAAAGCGACGGAACAGCGATTCGGCGCGGGTGAGCAGAGGGACGAGGTCCATTGTGTTGGAGAGCTCATTGACTAGAGATACGGGTTAGGATGCTTGTCGGTGGCAAAAGGTCGATAGCTCCACTTACTGTATTTGAGAACTTCGTCAAAGTGTTTGAGATGGTCCATGATCACATCACGATGTTTCTCAAGGATAGCTAAAGCAATGAACAAGTGGAAGCTACTGGAGTAATAGTCTGTCCACAAGGTCTCCCATAGTCGAAGAACATCGCTCCATTTGAATTCCCGCTTGTACCAAACAAGTAGCATTCGGAAGAAGAAGAAGAAGTTTGTGCTGTCCGCGGACTGGAGATGAAGATATAGCTGGGGGTCCATGAGTTGGACTAAATGATCCAACGCGAGGAGCTGAGCTCGCATCCCCGATTGGTCTCGAAGGAAATTTCGCTCCATTCGGTTCATAAAGCCCACGAAAGCCCAAAAAGCCACAGCGTCATCTTGCATGACCGCATAGAGAGGAGCGAGGAGGTCACTCATTCCTTGTACATAGCCCAGTTCAGGGTTGTATTCATTGTAAGTGAGGAGCATATCCTTCATTTGTTCCAGATGAACATTGGTGCCAGAATCAGCAAAGGGCGAGTCAGGGTCGGGATGAGGAATGTCCTCCCCAGCAAAGAGAGGGACGGTGCGGTCGGTTCGATGAACATCCTTCTCTGAAATGAGGTTAGCCACGATTCTCCAAAATAACATCGAGCCGGTACTAACCTATACGATTTCGTTGTTCCTTCCAGTTGTCATACTCCTCTGCTGTTGAACTACCCTCCACCATACGCTCCCACCAACCAGCTTTCAGCCGAATGTACTCATCGCGTTTGGAGTTCATGATCGCTTGTCGCTCTTCGTGGCTACTCTCCCATGGGTAGACCTCAAGGAGAAACAGCCAAGCTTCTTTTCGTGCGCCGTCATTGGGGTCCAACCCACCGTGGAAAATCCTTTCTTTGACTTCTTCCACGGTGATTTGCAAGCGCCCGGAGACCGGATCAAAAAAGCTAGTCCACTCGGATAGCGTAACAATTCGGCGCTTGTCTTGCAGACCCAGGTTTCCTGTCTCCATCTCCAAAATCTCAAACTCGCCCACAGAGCTATTCTCTGATTCCAGAACATCCTGGGCGGTCCAAATGCGCTGTTGTCGGTCTTTCTCACTCTGTTCGGCAATGCTCATGGCCCATCGGGCCAAGTAAATCCTGGCACTGTCGAATTCATCTTGTAGGGTTTGAATCTCCGGATTTTTCATCAAGCGTCGCACCTGAGGTGGGATGCGCGTGTTCTCGGCAAGATCGTTTGCCGTCCGCCGTGTGAATGTCGTGATCTTGCTGAGGCCCTCGAGCACTTTCCAGCGGGTCTCCTTGAGGGTTTTCATGAAGGGATCCATACCAGCATCTCGTTGCCCCCCACTGGGGCCCGCAGAAGCCGCTTCTGGATCCGCCTTGGCTATCAAGGAACCGTCGCCACCGAGACCGCCTTTTCCAAATGAAAGCTGATCTTCCTGCGAGGGGTTGATGAGATAGACGCTCTTATCCACTGAGGATCGCTCCACCTCCACATATTTTCGGAGCCACCTTAAGACTTCATCACCACCCCAGAAAAGGGCACCCTCACCGTCAAACGGATCAAAGCTCTCCTTGACCCGTTTCTTCTTCTGTAGTATCGTTGATTCACACTCGCTGTCGTGGAAGAACAGGGCGGGAAAGCTATCGCCAGACTTGGTGTTGATGATCAGGCTTCCAAACCACCATCCGATGCTTGGAGGACGCACGGTGAGCGAATAAATGTGTGATACCGGCACAGCGAAGGAGTACAGACCGACGGGGTCTTTATGGGTGGTTGTGGCCGGAAGGGCGGGAACAAGATTCCGCTGGCGTGGCGGTGAATCATCATCAGCAAGATCAACCTTCACATATGTATCCAATGCATCGCCTAAGGATGATTCTGGCACCCAAGCGAGCAAGAAAGAGGCAGCGTCATTGGGAGATGCGGGGGCGGCAGGGTTGGAAGCAACAGGCTTCTGCTGGATAAGAGCGATGAATCCAGCAATATTATCCTTTGAGGAGGAGGTAGGATGAACATAGACCTAACCTATCGTTAGCTTTCATCATACCCAGGCGGCCTGGTAGATATACCTTGCTCTTGGAGTAGAGTAGCTTCACGCCGCGGCTGGAGTGGGCATGGGCGATGGTGTTATATTCATCCTCGTCTTCATCACTCACATCATAGAACGAGGCAGTCGGCGATGGAGGAGAGGGAGGAGGTGTGTATTTGATGGAGTCTGGCATGATGCTGGGCCAGAGATGGTTGGAAGGGCGAAGTGCAAGACGTAATGATTCACGAAGCCCCGATAACCGGCTTATCGCTTATCGATAACAACCCCTCATGGGCTGACGATGTTGATCAGAGGGTGAGAGGAACAGAATAGAATACTTGAGACACTTCGAGGATGAGTATCTGACATAAACTGCCCAGGGCAGTACGTGGATCTTTCGATGTTGATGCAATAAGCGTCGGGTTTATGGATTTGCCACTGCTGTCTTACCCTCCAGGCAACAACAAATACCCCTTCACACGTAAATAGCTTTAAGAAGCTTCGATTTCACCATGATTTTGATAATGAGAGCTGGAACGATGTTGATGTGAAAGAAGTGGTGTATTTGTCTTTGGAAGCGGTCACCTGGCGTTGGCAGGTGCAAGTGACGCGGGGCATCTTGAGCCTCGGAAGTTCAGGTCGCAAGGGTGCCATCTCATATTGCATCCCAGACATGAGATAAAAAGTCTTTAGATTTCTTGGGAGATTGCAATACAGAATATACTAAATATTTAGAGCCTGCTGCCACCTTGGGCGCACATCATGTCTTTCGGTCTCTATGATCGGCAAGTACTTATACTAGTATAGCTTCAGGTGGCCCGGCGGGCACCGCTGATACGCTCAGTAAGCAATAGATGGGAGAGTCGGGAGTGAGGCACATCAGCTCCATGCAACATCATCTGGACACTTGCCACGGCATCCTATCCGAGCGGGAATCTTGATTGACATCAACACAGAATCCTGCGGGATTTCATAACCTCTTCAGGAAACGATAGCCGGGCGCCCATCTAGGCCGCACAAGTCATCCCGAGTAGACTGTACCCAATAGACTATGAGGCAGACCCTCATTGCCGTAGGCACAAGCCTAGAGACTGTGTAGATATAAAGCCAGGGGTCGCTTGGCTCATCCCGATCAGCTATCGTCTTTGCTCCAAGATTGTACTGAAAATCCTAATACAGAAAGCATGTCCAAACTCGCACGTACTCTTCCTGCTTCTTGGTATTGCAATGAGTCGCTCTATCAAATGGAGCGGCGCGCTGTGTTTCAAAAGGTACGGAGATCTTTGCCTTGCAAATCTCGCCAGCTAAGAATTTGTACAGTCTTGGTACTTGCTTGGCCCTGTGACCAAGTTCCAGAAGGTCGGCGAGCATGTCGACTACGAGATTGCACAGCAGCCTATCTATGCCATCCGCACGGGGGGTGACTCCTTGAACCCCACTGCCGCGGAGCTCAAGGTCTTCTGTGCAAAGACGGTATGAGAACATGAAATCAACTAGAATGTCTGCTGAGATGCGGATAGGGCAGAGAGTTTCGAAGCTATGTGACGCCGACGGGGCTGCTGTTTACAACCATTTCAGATGAAGCTCCTACTTTCCACGAGTTCTTCCCCGAGCTGGAGCAGCTGGTCAATAAAGTCGACTTTACCAGACTGCCCCATCGCCGCAGCATTCGCTACGAGGGCCGATTCAACTGGAAGACAATGTGAGTCCTCCTGATTCTAGAAGGTCGCCTATACGCTAATAGCCCTTTTTAGGGTTGATGGGTATCAGGAGTGTCTACACTGCCAGTATACCCATCCCTCATTCTCCATCTACTATCCTCCAACCTTCTACGCTGTGCATAATATGCATAACTTCTCCCAGCATATTGCGGACCCCAAAAAGCCTGATGACGGGCTCTTCCTTTACTTTTTCCCAGTTTGTACTCTTAATGTCTACGGCGGTGGCATGACTTCTTTCAGAGTCTGCCCTACGGCAGATCCCCATGTTACCCGCATGGAATTTGACTACTACCACAAGGAGTCGGGCGAGAAGTTCGAAGAATACTTTAAATTCGTTCGCCAGGTAGCCCTGGAGGACTTCGAACTATGTGAAAAAGCCCAGGAAAACCTAGCGAAGGGTGTCTATCACGAAGGAATTCTCAACCCGCGACAGGAAAATGGAGTCTCTTGTGAGTTAATCTGTAGCATCCAAAGAACAAACCAAGAAGCAGCTGCTAAGCCCTGCCCCAGATTATCAGCAGCGTGTTTTTGAAATGGTGCTCGAGCAACATGAACTCGACCGTAAAGCCAAAAGCGCGGAATCCCTGGAAGAACGACATGCACCCACCATGGTTGAGATGTCGGCGTAGCGCTACCAATTCAGTCATTACTTCCTCACGTACCTAATCAGTATCCTGTGTCTAAAGTACCAAATTGGAACTTGTTCATAATATATGCGGGGTTTGTAGTGCCATTGATACTACCAAAGATACCAGGTCAGGATCCGCTGCGTGGGATGATAAGCTCGAGAGCCTGTCATTGGTATACGATTCATAAGCACGGCATAGATGCGTCACTCAGAAATCTTCAGGGACTGGAAATTCCAACTCAATCGGGAAATCCCACCGTCGGAGGGGGGCGATGGGCGGCGCGCCGATTGTGAACTGTATATTGTGGGGATCGTGCAACTTGGGCCATTCACTAACAGGAGGTATATCAAGTCAGCGTGTCTTCAAGAGAACCTGCTTTGAATCAAGAGATTTTTTTTTCTGGAACTGATAAATTAGCTTTAGTTTTCTATGATGGATGTTGCTCAAGCTTATATACTATCTCCCGGGTCACTCCTTGTCGGTGTAGTGTCGGTCGCACTGTTGATCAACGGCGCATGGCCGCGTCTCTATCGCCGAAAGCAGCTCGAGGGATTCACTCATGCCCCCATCGCCACAAACAACGAGTCTCTTGCCGTGTCCAAAGAGCCGGAGGTTCCGCCGGGATGGTGGAAGAGCCGGGAAGTATTCGAGTTGGAGCATCGTGCCATCTTCAGCAAAGTAATACCCAAGGTAATAAGATAATCTTCGGGCCGTGACTAACTTCAGATACAGTCCTGGCTGTACCTTGCCCATAGCGCGCAGTTTGCTAAGCCTGGAGCGTATCAATCGTTTGACATTGCTGGCTATCCTGTCTTCCTGATTAGAGGCAAGGATAATCAGATTCGCGGATTTCATAATGTGTGCCGCCATCGCGCTTACACCATCACCAGAAAAGAGACTGGTGCTTCTACTGTCCTTGGCTGCCGATATCACGGATGGAGCTATGATACATATGGACGGCTTGTGAAAGCACCGCAATTCGAAGATATCGAGGGGTTTGAGAAGTCCGAGAACGGTCTTTTCGAGGTTCACACGCACACGACTGTCCAGGGTCACGTTTTTGTTAACCTTGATGCCAACCAGCCTGGCCCTTTTGACGAATCGACTCGCATGGCCCTGGACAAATTCTGCTTAGCTGCCGGTCTGAAAGATAAATCAAACTGGGTCAGTGGCCACACCTTAGCTGGCGAATTCAACTGGAAATTTGGATGTAAGATGCCCCTTCGAGCTGCCTGCAGACAATGCTGACATATGATTAGCAACTTCTCAAAACTTGAAGAATGTTGCATCCCAACTGGAGGAACGGATCACACAGCTGCGGGCTCCGTCTGTGACTGAACGGCTTATCGATGTTGTGGCACCAAAGAACAACCAGGCAAACTGCTCTTTGTTCCCAATCTCTTTTTTCTACTCTTTCGAAAAAGCAGACCTGTGGATCTCACTAACATTCCTGCCATCTTCAGAGACAAGCACTGCTTTGCGCTTTGATATTTTTACATCTTCCAAGGCTCGGGTCGAAGAAAGCTGGGTAAACTCAGTGCAAGATCAGGTTCAGGCCATGATCAAGGAGGTCGAATCCAACTATCGCCTCGCATCTGCATCTGACCGCCCTGTTGAAAACACGTTGGCAACCCATCGTATTGTCAAGCAGCTTCAAGAGCACCAGAAGCTCGAAAAGACGGCCGGTGGCCCTATCAGCCCAGCGATGCGTCAGCCGAAGGGCAGCTCCCTATTTGAACAGGCAGAGCAATGTGAGTTCAGTCATTACTAATTGCCTTTTTTTTTTTGCCTTCTCAGAAGCTGATTTGAACAGTGTGCAAGGAGATTGACTGCTCTGGACCCGGGTCTGACGGTAATGGTGCCTCTGGTGGCCTGGATTGGTAAATTTCGTGATGGTCACGGCCGGAGAAGGGAGGGCGGATTAATGTAACATGGGCCTATGAACCTTGCTATTATACCTAATGCATGTTGCAATGTCATAAGAAGTAAAGAATATGCCCTGATTGTTTGCCTAGTGCAGGAATAGTGGGTTGGGCCCTGGGTATGACTGCCCTAAACGAGCTTGACAGAATGGCCAAACAGCGAGTCATGAGTGGATGAAGAAGCCAGCCTTTGTTATATAAAAAGATGAGCTACTCTGTGCCTTAGAGCCACATGACGAAGCAATGGATGAGATATAGTCCTTGTTATTTGTTTAGTATACGCGGAAAGTCCGAGTGGATTCGACGCTGAGAACCTGCGATCAGAGCTGTGCATGCATACAAATGCTGTCCTCTTAGGATTCGAAGCCCCCATCTTTCAATCTCCAAACAACATGCACTCACAAACTCGGAATGCTGCTTCCGTAGCTTCCATATATAGCTCAGCCCGCTAACGGGCAAAGCGAGAAAATCACGAACCGGCGGCGCGTGTGGCTCCACTCGATCGTGCCCCCTTTCTCCACCTCGAGAGCGCGGATCAGCAATAATTATTCCGACTAACCTGGGGGTCATTTGCGCTTTTTTTTTTGTTCGTGGCATATGAGTCCTTCTCTGTTCACGCCCAATTCCAAACATTACCAGATTTTATATGCAGTAGTTGTTTGAATACCGAATATCCCCACCATATTACCGCCGTGTTTCGCGTCTGCAGGTCTCGCCTGGAGGCAACATACGACTTTGCCCCCGTCACACCTCAAATCAGGATCGTTGACCTCGCGTCTCAGCATGCGGACTCAACAGGGCCTTTTCCGTCCTCCTGTTGCTCCTTGCCGCCCTCCGTTATTCCTATGCCACGCCGAGTCGGCTGAAACACACCACCCCCATCTCTGAAGCTGGACCGAGCTTCCGGGCTGAAGCCTCCGAAATGGCATCAGGCCGCATCAGTCCTGTTCGGCCATCGATCCGCCTCTCTCCCTCACACTCGCGAGCGAATTCACGGTCGACCTCTCCGGAGCGGAATCCTGGGTCATTGTACCCCAAAATCGACCCTCTCCTCAGCAATTTGTCTCCCGAATCGACGTTGAATGCCCTCACTTCCACCGACGCCGTGCCCTCGGATGCAAACTTCTCTCACGATGTCCTGTCACAAAGCATATCGCAAGTCTCTCCCGGAGAACGTGCCTTGGGGATTCGAGCCGCCATAGCTGCCCGGAACCTGAACTCTTGGTACAGAGAAGTGCAGTCATGGACATGGCCGGCCCAAAAGGACGCGAAGGAAGGGAAGGGGTTCGTTCCTCCGGGAGAACCACATTCGGGTGCAGGTGAGTATTATGGAAGTCTGCCAGCCACGACGGTGGAACAATACGAATTGAGAATCGACGAAATACGTGACGAAATGGACAATTTAAATGTGGAGGAGTTGAAGGAGCATGTTCTTAATGCCCACATTCCATCCCGTTCTCGCCCTTCGTCTGCCGCTAGCATTGCCTCCATGCCCCCGCCGCTCAGTTATGTTCAACTCAGTGACTTTACCGCCGTCGTCACCGCAACGATCCTCCGTGCCCTGCCATACCTCTCTCGTCTCAGCAGCTTACTAGCTACCTGGGATGTTCGACTCCTTGTTCTCCGCCAGGTCCCAGGTCTCCTGCGAGAGCTGGAAGCAACCCGTACCCTCTTGAATTCTTCCTTCGATGCGTTACGAATTCCCGATTGCTCCAATACCACCCTTAACTTTACGTGCGGCTCCGAGATCGACAATGCAAAGATTAAGCTGGAATTGGCAGTCGTTTCGGTAGGGAGACGGATGGACCGTGCTCTGGACGTCCTCGAGGGACGCCAGGATTCTCTACCTGAACAATGGATTGACGACCTCGAAGCGATCGAGTCTGAGTTCGCGGCGTGGGTAGTGGAGGCTGAGAGGTACAAGCTACGAATCGAGTGGCTCGCGAAGGAAAAGGCCAAGGAAGACGAATTATCACAGGATGTCGAGCCGGAGCCGGAGCAAGAGAGACCCTTGGAGACGCAACGCTCAGCCCCAACAGAGTCGGAAATTCAAAATGAAACCGGCACTGCAACAGCGCCAGCCGAGGAGGTGCCTAAGATAGAAGTCGAAGACATCACCCTGGCAATTGAAGAGCCTAGCCCTGAACTGGAAACAAATGCGTCGAGGATGGAAGTTGAACAGGTGGCTCCAGCAGCTGAATATCAAGGCGAGAAGCCAGAACCAATTGCGCCGAAGATTGGAGCTGAAGAGGTGACCACTTCGACTGAAGAGCCTCTCGCCGAACCGGAACCAGTCATACTGAAGGTGCAATTGAACGAATTAATCCCAGCAGTGGAAGAGCCATGCGCTGAACCAAAACCGCCTGTGCCAAATCTTGAATTGGACCAGACTGTCCGTATGGTTGCAGAGGCTTATTCTGAACCAGAACCAATTGCGCCAAAGGTGGTAGTATCCCGTTTGCAAGCCGGTGCGCCAATCATCGAGCCAAGAGGATCTAGTCCCACCGAGAAGCGATCAGAGAAGGGAGCCCATATAGAGTCAGAAAATATCAATCCCGAGGTGGAAGAATCTCAACGCGTTTTCGAAACGCCGCAAGATGCGCTTCTTGTGTTGACGAACCACGAAGTCGAGGATCCCGAGCCAATTGGCCATGAATCTTTCCTCTCCACGGACAGTGACTCTGTCTTTCCTGAAGTTTCTGACCCAGATACTTCTCTAAGCCCTCGCGATCGTGACATCATGGCAGCTGAGATGCGTGTGAATGAGGAGCCCAGGGAGAGCCCCAAAAGCCCCCGGAGCGTTGTCCCAGAAAGCATCCAAACCCCAACGCAGCCCAAGTTTCCCCGCGAACGCTCGATCAATACTCCTACCTCTGCAAGCCCGTCTCCATCGCGCATTCCATTGCCAGTAACACCAAAGGTGGAGAACAAGGAGAATATTCGTCCACATATGGCATCTCATCGATTTACACCGACTCGCCTGGCCATAGTGGAGTCTATCGAAAAAGATCCTTTCACCCAGACGCCTATCGCTGATGGAAGGCCCACGAGTCCTAGTGCTGCTGCGCCACGAGCAACGGATGTTCGTCTAAGCGACGTTGAACCAGGCCAGGCCTTCAAGCAGAACGTAGGCGAACATCACGGTATTGAAGATGATGAAACTCTGCAGAAAGGGTCTGGAAGCGAGGCATCGCAGTTGGCTGTACAGGATGAACTTGTCAATTCGCTGGAGACCCCTTCCCGTGTGAAGCTTGCGGACGACCCCCCGGCTCGCGACGCTGTTTCTCATAAGACGCCGACGGAAAAGCCTTCTGAAGCTCTCGAGGTGCCTGAGCGGAAGGCCCCTCAGTCAGACTCTCTGCAAGTGGCGTTACAGTCTACAGTTGAAAAGAATGCGGACCCCGGCCCCTCGAAGAAAAAGCCTCTCCAGAGTCCGATTAAGCTCTCCAAAAGTCGGCCGGCCCGGCTCAGCTTGGACAAGAAGTCTCCCAAGGGCCGAACTCGCCGCCCTTCGACCGTGTCCATCAACTCCATATCCGACAATTCTTCTCTTGCGTCCGACCCCGCAGAAATTGCTCCTCGCACGGGATCATCGGGCGAGGCACCACCTCTGCCTCAGATTCGCCCGGAATTCATCCAGCCCGACTACACTTCGTCGCGTGACTACCATGTCTTACGCGGAGATCACCTTCGCCGGTTGGAGAATCGAAACCCACATGCTCGACCCATCCTTCATGAGGACCGTTCTGTGAGCTTGCCTCTCGAACGCTTCATAAATGAGAAACTAGACCTTGACCTGAACCCAGAACAAGTGCCAGAAGTGCCTCGTTTGCGATCCGCTGGCAAGGCGTCGGTGCCCGTCCAATCTTCTCGAGGCGCTGCTTCCACACCAACAACGCAAGCTCTATCTATCCCCAAGCGCCGCCCGGCTCTGAGCCGTGGCAAGTCTTCCTCCAATCTTAGAGATAGCGACTCAGTTTCTGTTGCAAGCAGCTACGATATCAACCGACCGACCTTTGGTCAGAATACCGCCCGCCGTGCTTTGCACCATCACGAACAACCCAGATCAGTTCGGTTGCAAAAGCGCTTGACTGCTCACCGCAGTCTGGAAAGTCTAGGCCTTCAAAGACATGAGTTGGACTACGTGGAAGAGGACGAATCAGAATTGCTCGACCCCGGTTCTCGTACCTCCTCCCCGGGTAAAAGGAAAACAAGAGATCACCTCGACGAGAAGATCAATTCCATCCTCAGCACGCTCCCTGGCCGCATCCACCTTGTTGATCCCAGCAACGAGGCAGACACTTCATCCTCCTCATCGTCCATGGATCGCAAAATGCGCGAGAGGTATCTTTCGGAGTCTCCCCGTGGCCCTCAGTCTCGCAGCGTCACTCCCGCTCCATCATTGACCCTCATGCCGGCGGCAAGAAGACGCCTGTCTCACGCCCACAAGACGGAGGACAGTTATGTAAAATTATACCATCTTCATCACGGGGGTCAGGCTGCGCCGACCAAACTTTTTGTCCGAACCGTCGGCGAGGACGGGCAGCGAGTCATGGTTCGTGTTGGAGGCGGCTGGGCCGACCTGGGCGAATACCTCCGCGAATATGTCATCCACCACGGCCGTCGCAAAGTCTCGGAAACGCCTTTGGTGGAAGTCCAAGGCCTCGCGCCTCGGTCCTCCCCTGGCTACCCATCCCCCACTACTCTATTCTCCCCCCCACCCTCTACCCACATCTCCGGGCGCGCCACTCCATCCCGACCCCCTTCTGCTCTCAGCGCTCGCCCCGCTTCCTCCCTCACCGTGCGGAAGACCCGCCGTGGCTCCAACGCATCAGACGCAGTTGCAGCGCGGTCGGTCACGACGGGCACCTTGCATCTTCACGCCTCACCTCCCGCACCGCCTTCTACGCGCCGCCGTCTCTCCATATCCTCCACCTACTCCTCTGGCGGCCCGCATACCCCCGGCCATCCCAGCACGGGTCCCCACGAGGCCCGCTCGGCTCCTCTTGGCCTCGCCGGCCCCAAACCCCGCTCCCGACAGGTCTCAATGAGCCCCGAGGGCGAAGCATGGGTAGAGAACGTGCTCCAAAAGACACGCCGCTCTACCTCCCTGAATCCGCCCCCCTTCGCGCTGAACGTGTCTCCGGGCCATGAGAATGCCGCGGACCCCGATGCCCATGACCACCCTGTCCACGATTCTCATGACCAGCCATCTTTGCCAAAAGTCAGGAGTATTAGCGACATGGGAGCTGCTGGCACAAGCCGGCGGGTTGTTTTACGGGGTCTTGGCAGTCACCGATAAGCCATCTATGCATTTTGAGATTTGTACTCATTTTGATTTTTTTTTTCTTCTCTGTTCTTTTCTTTTTCTTTGGCTTGGATACCATTTGCATTAGCGCGGCGAATTTTTCTTCTTCTTCAGTTTACCTTGTTTGTTGTCCTTTGATTATTCGATATCCAGATCTGTTTGTAGTCTTTTGGGAGGGGGTGGTTTTCACTGTACATATATACCTTTTGCTTCTTGCTCGATACCCGTTCGAGGCTCACATAATTCAGACCGTCGATATTCCAATCCTGTGTAAGCCTTGGAACCGTCTTCCGTTACAAAAAGTCTATTATGCCGCTGTTCCACGCGAAAGGGGGGAAATACTAGTAGTAGCTTGATGGAGATACCATCTGTGCTACTCCTAAAGCAGACCCAAATGAACCCCCCCTTGGTGGGGGCGGCCCGGTTTCTTCGCTCGGGCTGACTCCGGGGCTGCAGGACCGGGCTCGATCTCTCGTAGTCCAAAAACCCTCACATTACTGACATGTATACTACTGACATCAGGGATGAAACTCAAACCAGTGGATCCACGGGGCCGTCCCACGATCAGGCCATGTGCTGCACACGGCATTCCATCCCGCAGACGTCAATGTCAAGGTCAACACGAGCAACAGAAACCAAGAACTCGTCGGGATCCAGTTTCCCTGTTCCAAGATATCCCCCCCGCGGGACCTGGAACTCCGAGTGGGGGACGTTTAGCCCACAATTCGCCGAGGAGTCGCCGGGCTCGATCCAAAACGTAATGGCCGGAATGTGGCCGAGCATGGCTTGGGGCTTCGTGATCCTGCCGATATTTTCTCGGAAAGCCTTTTCGGGACGGCAGACGAGATTGCGGGAAAAAGTGATCTGCTCGGAATCCTCATCACTCCACTTGCCCGTGTCAGACGGCAAGCCGCCTGACGATGCCGAGGAGATGGTTAGTTCTTGGGGGAGGAAGATTCAGAATGCAGTGGTGGGAGGTTCCTGGCTCTGGCTCAGAGTAGGAGGCAGCAGAAGCAGAAGACATTTCAACCGTCTGGGGTTACCGTGAAATGCACTAACCTCTAACCTTCCGTGATTCGACTAATCATCCGATCAAACTCCACGAATTCGCCGGCCTCCACAGTCGCCGGGCAAAGGTCGACCAGCCCATTTGGGCTCTCGGTGAATCTCCAGTTTCCAGGATTTCCCCATTGCATCCTGTTCTCCGGCTTTCTCCAGGCCTCCCCAGGTCCCTCCAGACTCTCTCCAGTTTTCGCGGCCTGGTCCGGGCGTCCAGTCCCCACAATTTGAGTTGGGGCCGAATCAGGAGTCCCCATGCCAAAGACAAGCTAAAGACAAGCCTAAGACAAGCCTTTCATGCGAGCTCGTCATTCTTTGCCTTCTGCTTGGGGCGCGTTCCCCACTCTTCGGGAAAAAAAAGCTAGATGTTGATATTCTTCCACTCCAACGCTAGAAGAAATTGCCGGTTGATCGACTGGTCGACTTCCTAATCCTTCCTCCCCCCCCCGTTTACCCCCCAGGGTCTCCGCATTCCGGAAATTTCTTCTTGTAGGCCTTATAAATGCCTTGGTCCCCCCTCCTAGTAGAATCTTCGATTTTCATTCCGTCTGCACTGGGAACCGGGGCACTCCAAGCAGATTCTGTATAGTTCCTTGTAGCCCCCGCCTCTGCAGAACCCACCTCCCCCACTTTCTCTACTAAAGCCTGCCCATCATGTCGGAACGCAAAGACGTCGAGGTTTTGAACGACGCCCACAAGGAGGCCCCTCTGGGCATCGACGAAGATGAGCTCCAGGACCTCAAGGCTGATCGTGAGTTGAGTGAGGCTGCCATGAACTCGGAGCTGCAGCAGCTGGAAGAACAATTCCAGACCCTGCCCACGAAACGCTTCCAGATCACCTTCGCCGACCCGGCCTACTACACGTGGGTGCTGGTCGGGTTTGCTTCCATGGGTGGTCTGCTGTCGGGTTTGGATCAGTCGCTGATCAGCGGTGCCAATCTGTCGCTGCCCAGTGCCCTCAACCTCAGTGACAACCAGGCCAGTTTGGTCAATGGCGGCATGCCCTTGGGTGCCGTGGCGGGTGCGTTGATCCTGTCGCCTTGCAACGAGTACCTGGGTCGTCGCATGTCCATTATCGTGTCTTGTATCCTGTATACCGTCGGTGCCGCCCTGGAGGCAGGTGCGATGAACTTCGGTATGATGTTCGCGGGGCGTTTCATTCTGGGCACCGGTGTTGGGTTGGAGGGTGGTACGGTGCCCGTCTATGTCGCCGAGTCTGGTAAGTTGATGATTTCGTTCGGGACCAACCTGGATGGAGATCCTGCCATTCCGTCATGCTAACGACCGTGTGATCAGTGCCCAGCAGAATCCGCGGTAACCTCGTGTCCCTTTACCAGCTCAATATCGCCTTCGGCGAAGTCCTCGGCTATGCCGTGGCCGCCATCTTCATCGGCGTCGAAGGTAATTGGCGCTACATCCTGGGCTCCTCTCTCGTCTTTTCCACCATCCTCCTCGTGGGCATGTTCTTCCTCCCCGAGAGCCCCCGTTACCTGATGCTGAAGGGCCGCGAAATCGAAGCCTACGCCGTCTGGAAGCGCATCCGCGGCTTCAACGACTACGACTCCAAGGATGAGTTCCTGGGCATGCGCCAGGCTGTCAGCGCCGAGCGCGAAGAGCAGGCCCAGACCAAGAAGTTCGCCTGGATGGACTTCTTCACGAACCCGCGCGCTCGCCGCGCCCTGGTCTACGCCAACATCATGATCTTCCTCGGCCAGTTCACCGGCGTCAACGCCGTCATGTACTACATGTCCACCCTGATGCAGGCCATCGGCTTCGACAACAAGACCTCCGTCTTCATGTCCCTCGTCGGCGGCGGCTCGCTCATGCTCGGCACCATCCCCGCGGTCATCTACATGGAGCGCTTCGGCCGCCGCTACTGGGCCAACGTCATGCTCCCCGGTTTCTTCGTCGGGTTGATCCTCGTCGGTGTCGGCTACACCATCGACTACCAGACGCGGCCGGCTGCCGCCGAAGGCTTGTACCTGACCGGCATCATCATCTACATGGGGTTCATGGGCTCCTACGCCTGTCTGACCTGGGTGATTCCCTCCGAGGTCTTCCCCACGTACCTCCGCCACTACGGGATGACCACGGCCGACGCGAACTTGTTCCTGTGCTCGTTCATCGTCACGTACAACTTCACCCGCATGATGAACTCGATGACGCGCATTGGCCTGACGCTCGGCTTCTACGGTGGCATTGCGGTGCTGGGCTGGTTCTACCAGGTGATCTTCATGCCGGAGACGAAGAACAAGTCTCTCGAGGAGATTGATGAACTCTTCTCGAAACCGACCTCGGTCATTGTGAAGAAGAACATCAAGCAGACTGCGCAGATTGCCCGGGACCTGGCGCATTTCCGTTTGCGCAAGGTCTTCTCGCCGGAGCCTTTGAACGTCTAGATGATTTACGCTTATACCATATGCCATATACCATGTTTATGATAGAGAATGGAAGATGATCTCATATTATATATCTTAAGTACCTCGTGTTGTCGATGTGACGCAGTGCCCTTCGCATAGATATGTCTTTCTTAAGGATACTAGCTAATAGGTGTTATGGAGCCATAGCCGAAGAGACCTCATTGAAGGAGAAGGTAATGGGAGAGCGTCGAGATATTCTAAACCAGGCCTGCACATGGGCCGAACTGGGACGTGGTTCTGATCTCCATTGTCACTACGGTGAGGAACCGGACTTTTGCTATGGGCTTGGCGAGTTGCGTGTTTTTTCCCCTTCATCGCTTATTGGCACTCCATATTGTAAAAATGGATGAGGTACCTGGAAAATTTCTTGATAGGATGGTAGTTCCCTGGCTTTGGGCTGTTTCTGGGCTGTCATTAGTCCCTATTGGACCAACTCTGCGTTGGAGGAAGAGAGACAGACTTGGTCGAGCTCCCGTAAGACAAATGCGGTATAGACCATACAGTTTAAGCTATCCCTGCGGTAAATTCAGGCCTTGATGATGATTCACGTTTCAGATCTGTCCGCGATGAGCGGGAAGACGAGAGAGAACTTGCATACCGCAGGGGCCACACTTTATAGGGTCTATCTTAGTTTTTTGGGCTATTCTCTCAATGGCTGTCAAACACTAATGATTACAAACCGAGATTATACGCCAATCCGCCGACGATTTTCAAATAAAAATTGAACTGAATCCATGCTCGGGTTTGGATTCCCACAGCAAGTATAGTCCTCAGAGTTAAACCCTCCTCCTTCTCCTAATCCCCTCTATTACAATCCACACTGAGAGTATTCCTACTCAACCCTCCAGTCCCCACCGATGTAGAGATATCGCTCCCCGTCGTCACCGGGTCGCGATCGTCCCGCCGTCCGAGTATCGGACCTAATATGTTGCTTTTAGTCTCTGCCGGTCTTGATCGTTTCTCATGGTGATTGGGCCTTGAAGGGCCTTGTTCCCCAGAATTGGATAATTAAATGTGACACGGGGGCTTACGGGGGAATATGTATTCCGTGGAAGGAATTTATATTCCGCCCTTATTTCATACCAGTCAGCGTGGCGGCTGTTGGAAACTGTGGGGAACAAGCCGCGTTACATACCTGCTCTGGGGAAAGATGAAGGACCGATTGCTCATAAAGGGCTTATACGAGGCTGGAGATGGATGTGCCATGCTAGTATATAAGGAGCCACACAGCGGAGGTAAACCTTGGATATCCCACTGCACCTTGCCGATAGGACTTCCGACATGGCTCCCAATATCTTGATCACAGGGGTGACCGGCTTCATGTATACTCGTGAATAAATGCTTCATGGACCTGAAGGCACTCACTAATCATCCAATTGCATCGACAGAGGTGGCACTCTTCTCCAAAGGCTCCTGGAAACGGATTTGTTCCCGAGATCCAACATCTGGGTAGCAGTCCGCTCGGAAGCTCACGAAGATCGCCTGAGAGCCCTTCAGGTGAATATCGCCCGCGTCTCCTTGGACGACGCGGAGGATGTCAGAAAGATTGTGCTTGGTAACAAAAGTAAGTATTAGGACCCAGGGCGCTCGATAACAGCTAAGCGACCTGATACAGTTGACATTGTTGTGCACACTGCCGGGGCTTTGAAATTTTCTCTAGTGGAATCGCTCTTGAATGCCCTTGGTGCTAGAAAGGCCGTGACGAAACGTCCGGTTCACCTCATCCAGGTATGCCATTCCAATATCCCCTCTAGGAAATAGCTAACAATTAAAGACATCTGGTGCCAGCACCTTTGCAGACAAGTGCGGCTGGACCTTCGGACCGGGCAGAGAGTCGGATGACCTGTACACTCGTGAAGTGGAGATCCGTGATTCTTTCCTGCTCCATGAGGTGAGACGCACCCATGATGTGCCATTTTAAGCATGGCGCACTCACCGACTCAATGAACCCAGACCAATATTCGGATTATCGAGACGGGGGAAGCCCTGGGGGTGCTTGTCTACCTAGTACTCCCACCTCTTGTTTGTAAGTCAAACAAAACGCAAGGCAACTGGTATACCCTGCTGAAAAGCTCACTGGAACAAGGCGGGAAAGGAACAGGCACTGGAAACACCGCCACCTTCATATTCAGCTCCATGATCCAAACGGCTCTAGCCCAGAAAAAAGTTTATTACTTCCCGGAGAAATCGGTATGCGCCCTTTTTCCTCGTTCCATGTTTCACTCGTACTGAAGTCTTCCAGCATTGGCCCGTAGTCCATGTCGTCGACCTCGCCAATTACTATATCCTGCTTCTGAAAGCCATTCTAGCCAACAGCGCCCCCGGGTCCGGCCGACAGGGCTACTACTTGCCAGCCAGCCATACAGTAGACCGTCACGAGTTCACCTTCGCGCTAGCGAAGGCTCTTTTTTGACAGAAACTTGGTTTCCAGTCCCACGCCCGCTGCTTGGCCGAGCGAGGAATTCGCGTCTGATGCTACGGGGCTTTCTACGGAGTATTGTCAGATTGCATTCAATTCGACGTAAGTGTTTTGAGGCGTGAAGGGTGGTATTTTCGATGGGTGCTAACTAGTCGCAAGTACGGCGGTTATCTCGGAGAGAGGTCATCAGCTTGGTTGGAAACCTGAGTGGGATTATGCGGAATGGCTGCGAGACTTTGGGGGAATGGAGGTTGACCCGATTTTGGAGTCTGATGTTCAGAGCAAAGATACGGTTAAGGCGTTGGGGAATCTTTGATAGGGTGGACTTGAAGTGTACCGATTTTTTTATCATTAGGGCTACGCAGTTTTACTCGCCAGCACATCACAAATTAGTTTGAAGAGTGGGCTGGGGGGATTATTTAAAGCCGTCTTTCTACTTTGGTCCATCGCTACTTATTTATTTATTTATTTATTTCTTTCTTTCTTTCTTTTTTTTTCGATCAAGTACATTCACACAACGAGAAAAGTCCGCGCCTCGTAACTCCTATTGTGCTCTATTCAAACAAAAATGCTAGTAGGGACATGTACAAAAAAGAAATGAGCGCGGGGGAATACCGTTGTCACAGAAAAGGTGAAAACGAAAGAGAGAATCCACGAGATACGGTGTTGCAAAAATATAAATCCGTCATCCGCGCACCTTGCGGTAGCTTGGAGGTTTCCATGACTGCTTGATGAGCTTTCCAGCTCCAACTGGAATCAAAGAAGCCGCCAAGACAGCAGCAACACGCCAGACCCAGTCCACCGTGATGACGTACCGGAGGTCGAAGTAGTCCCCAAGGAAAGGAACACTGCCAGCATACACGAGCAAGGTCCCCAGCAGGCAGAAGATCATGACGGGATGCCAGGTAGTGATGGAAATGGCCACCATGCCCAACTCGTTGAGAATCAGAGCGGTGAAAGATACGCTGATCAAGCGCGGCCCGGTGATGGTATCCAGGAGAATCTGAGATAGACCCTGGATGACCGCGCCTTGGTAAACCGAGATCAGGACCCAACCAAAGAAGGATTGATAGCTCAGACTCTTCCCGGTCTTCAACTCCTTATAGAGCTCGGGGTAGAGATTCGCCAGGCGCTCATCGACATCCTTGTCGAACACGAGGGAAAAGACCGGCGCATTGGTGTAGATCGTGGCATAGCCGATCATGAGCCAATTGATGAACAGACCCTTTGGGTCGAAGTGACTTGCAATGCTGTACATGGTCTGGCAAATACTGATAATCAGACCACGGTGCATGATGAACTGTGCGAGTTTGGCCGATCTCTTGTATGAGTTTCGACCATGCCACACTAACAACTTGGTCAGATGGTGGAATTGGGTAATACTGAAGTCGGCGGCGAGAGAAGCCTGGCGACCCTCTTTTCCCACAATGCCAATACCAACATCCGCGGCTTGAATCATCGAAACATCATTACCGCCATCGCCAATGCAACAGACACGCTTCTTGGTATGTTGGCGGATCAAGTTGGCAACTTCGGCTTTCTGGGTCGGAGAGCATCGGCATGCGATAACTGCAGGCAATAGCACGGCAACAGAGATGAATGCGGTTCGGAACTGACCCAACATCAACGTCAACGATTCACCATCAATTAACAAACAGCAATCAGTCTTATTTCGTAAGAAGTCGAGGGTCTCTTGCGCGATAGATTTGTCCGTCACTTTCGAGACGGTGTGAATGTATTGACCACGCGACACCAGCTTAGCGGAGATTGCAACACAACGTGCAGTTTCCACTTTGTCACCAGTCAGCATCCAAATCTTGATACCGGCATTACGCATCAACTCCAGAGAGGACTTGACGTCGCGCTGTAGTCGATCCTCCACGCCAGTAACACCCAGCAATTCCAAGTCTCGTTCAAGGTATTCGCCGACTACTTTCGCCATACCAGCGTCGCGACCTTGAAGAGACAAAGCGGCTTGCTTGTACTTGGAGGAGAACTCCTGATACTGCCCTAAAGAGAGTCGCTTACGCCCGACAACAAGTGTGCGAAGACCCTCGCGTGCCATGTTGGCGGTTTCCTCATCAAGCCAATCATTCGCCGCAACAATCGAGGACATGACCGTGTCAGCTCCTTTCTGGTAAAACCAGATTTCAGACTGGTCGCTGCTCCCCGAGTCAAGGCCGTTCTCGCCTTGCTCAAATTGGACAATGATGCCCATCCGCTTGCTATCGGATGTGAAAGGGAAGATATCGAGGATGCGAACGCGAACGACAACTCGCTTCGAGTCGGTGGATTCGAGTACCACGCTTTCCCGATCACGATAGGCCAACTTGAGGCCAACCTCTTCTGTATAACGAACGATGGCAATTTCATCCGGAGAGGATGCCTGGTAAGTAGTCACTATTTGGCCATCCTCTTCCTCGGTGGTTGGCGTGACGTTATGGCAAACGGCGAGGGCCAGAATAATGTCTCGAACGCGAGAACCGATCTCCCTTCGCGTGCGCGGGGCAGCGCCTTGGCCGGCTTGAGTCCCGAAAGCAGTTGATGGGGTAGTCAGGCGCTGCCGGCAAAGCCTTGGCGAATGAAAGACATAACCTCGTCCATTGCCTCATTGGCATAGGACACAGTGCCAACGTGGATTTTCTTCAGTTCCATTTCTACAGGGTGGGTTAGCAAAGTCTCCAATTTACAGTAAGCATGCTCTGAGATTCACCATTCTGAGTCAATGTCCCGGTCTTATCGGAGAGCAAATATTCAATTCTCCCCAAATCCTCCGGGATTGTACTTGTGCGAACGACCGTGTCTGGAATATCCTTGTCGCGTTCGATGAATCGGCCATAGACGGACTTGGCCATGTCCAAATTGACACGAAGACTCATCGGGATGATGGTTGAAAAGAGAATTAGGTAGATCATGATCGCAACATACCAGACCTTGTCATTTGTAGGCTCAAACCCCTCCAGTGCCACAAGAACAATAGAGAGGGTCAGAGTTAGCGCACACAAGATCTTAGTGAGATTATTTATCTCGTACTCAAGCAGTCCAACTTTGGACCTTGAGGGGGAAGTTGACAGGGCGGCCCGAGTTTGAGAGCCGGTGTAGATAATAGCAGCGTAGGTGATTGTATTTGAGGCAAGAACTGTGTTGGCCCAAGCGGTATTGTCAATGCTCAGTGGTGCCGAGTTGGCTGACTGGTCACTATCAGCCTGGGTCGCATTTTGTCCTTGCGATGTCTTGTCGACGTGTGCATCGTAAAATCCGGTAGGCGGGCTAAGTTCTATCGTGCCCACAAATTCGTTGACTCGAGGATCGGGAGGGCTGGCTGTGATCTTGAGTCGCGTAAACTCACTCAGAGGGAGAATCTGGGACAAGACAGATGGTAAACGAAGCTTCCAATCAGTCTCACCATCAAGCTGATCGGTTCGAATGAAAGTGTCCCCGGCGGATGAAACGTCAGCAGGGCTAGAGGAGGCCTCGGGTGCATTTGTTTGAGGTGTTTCATCAAGGAGGTCGGCGGATGGACCAGCCCTGGGCTCATCAAGAGAGTTTTTGCGCGAGGACGCCATTTCATTGGTGACGCTCTTCAGAATCACGACGTCTGCCGGCAGACGCTGATTCTTGCGTACTTTCAAAACGTCACCAACCTTGAGATCCCGCGACTTTTTGATGATTTCTACCTCTTTCGACCGATCCAGAGACACCACGGAAAACTCTTCAGAGTTTGCTTCAGCATCGCGTCGACGTCGAGTAATGTCATCGAGCGCCTCCTTGCCCAGTGAAATGGAGACCACAAAGGCCAAAGGAGCAATATAAGAAGAAAGGTAACCGATCCGTAAGACCGGAATGATCTGCGACAGGGCGACGAGCAGGAAGTAGATGTTGAAGAAGAATGAGAACTCGTTGTACAGTGTGCGGGGAGAAAGCTCCAGGGCGTGTATTTGGCGTTCGAGACCACATTGGGAGGGTATTTGGCAGTTTGGTATTGGCCAACAAGGACTTCTCTTGGCGGTTTATTGGTCGTCTCGTCCTTTTTCTGTTGACTTGACGAGCCCTGGAATAAGCGACCTATGCCTTTGAAGCTCGGCAACATCAGTCGTTTCGCTTTCTTGGATAATCCTTCATCGTTGAATAACCGCGTGGATGCGCCCCGATCCAGCAGCGGCGCATCATCGTCTGTCATATTTCGGGAGCTCGCATGAGATGGTCGTAAGCCGTCATCCGCCGTGTGCTCAAGTAACGCGTCTGTATCCTCATCTCGCTCTCCACGACCGGATGGGCTCCCTCTTCCACCGACTCCCTACCCCAACGCGGAGGTTCCGTAAAGCAATCCCGGGGCCATAATTTCCTGAACGGCTGGTATAGTCCCTGGATACTCTGGAGTGCTGAGGAGGCGGTGCATCCGGGTCCAATGCCTCAAGATCCAAGTCGTCGTCGGAACCGGAGAAGTCGGCGTCTTCTGATTGACGAAGGGGATGTAGATAATCGGGTGACGAAGGCATGGTGAGCGGTCCGCTCTGGAACACTTTTTTTAAACTGTTCGCCAACTCGTATGTATCAGTGCGCTTGTTGACTTATGCAAGCTCATTCCAGGTGTCCGATGTAGGTTGCATTAAAAATAACGCGGTAGCATAATGTGCTGCGGAACGAGATGTGGATGGTCGCGGATTGATATAGCTGGGTGAATTTGTATCAAAGCGATCGTGGCGAGAATAGTCGATCTGAACAAAGAAAACCTATGTCGAGGCAGACGTTGAAAACGGAGGGAATGATAGAGCTGTTCCAAAACGCCTGCCTTGACGCCCGCGATGCTGCATCACATGACATTGATTAACGGCCAATCTGTCACCAGATACACCGCCTTCGAGATGACGACTGCCACAACACCTAATTCGGCAGATCTTCGGCAACCAAGGATAAGTTTATTTTGCTTAATTTTCCAGGAGACTTGTGTTTTCAGTACTAATGGGTAGGTGGCGGGCTCTTTCTATTTTCCTAGCCAGCTGGGCGTAACGTGGGGCTCGGATTAGCAAGTCGCCTGTAGACGGATCTCCTTTTTGAAGGTTATTCCAGATCAAAAGCCTTTTCCCCGTTGAAATGTGAACACAGCGCCATGACAATAGCGTCTCCTAGTAGCCTGAGAATCCCTTTTTTAGATTTATTGGAAGGTCATTCTGAGTGTCCTGTGGCTAATGCTACTTGGAAGCTGAATATAAATTTGGGAATACAGTAATTTCGTCGAATCTCCCCGACGGACTCGGAATGGACTGCGCTTAGGTCAATATATAACTATATAGTAACTACTTACATTTTGGGATGATTTCAAAGTATGCTTCAAGCATGCTACATCTCGATTAGGGAATTTCATATGAGCTTGCCATGGCAAAGACGTGTGAGAAGCCCGAAGAACAGAATCTTCGCCCCAAAGGCATTCATCAATCCAAAGGTCAAATGTACCGACATACACTAGAACTTCAACCTATTGGAACATGCGGATGAAATGTCACCGTGTTCCTTACGGAAGAATGTTTGTCCTTTGCCATTTAAGGAAGCTGAGTCAGCGATGGCCGGGGGCGCAATGGAGTCTGGGGCCATCGCGATCGGGAGAATCAATCTTCGGAGTCGGCGACCTGTTTTTGGCTTTACTTATAATCTAATACTTACTCATTCATCCAGTCGCCGACTATCGGCCCCTTTTCATGGACTCTCGGGTTTAAACCCTTGTCTTGTTAGCCGGGATACTCGACCCTGAAAGTCATTCGCGACGTGTCAAGTTGCCTCCGGACTGTCCGCGACAACTCGACACTGGAGCCACGATGGCCGAACACTCAAACCCAGTTGATGAGTCGGATCCCTGGAACTTTTCATCACCGGTAGAAGACCAGGATCGGTCAGCTGAAGTCACTTCGACGACAGATGCATCATCTAATCTCCTCGATCCGGATGTCTCGACTGAACCTACGAAGCCCGACGTTAATTCACCTGTGAGCGACGATGATTTTTCGGCTTGGGATATGTCGCATGAGAGCAGGCAGCCTGAGCCGCAGGATGCTACTATAGACTCTGTTGTGGAAGCTCCGGTAGGAGCCTCGGCAGAGGCTGCCAACGACGCTCAGATCCCGGAGGAGACCAGTGATGCTCTCCCTACCGAGCCCGCGGCGCAAAGTGCGAGTGAATTTGATGATCAAAAAACTCTTACGACCGAAGCTTCACCTGCACCCTCCCAACCCGAACCTGCCGCGGCCGAAGAGCCCTTAGTTGATGCATTACATGCTACAGAGCAACCGGATGCCTCCCACACAGACGCCATATTCACGTCGAACGAAGAAGCAGTCGACTTTTCGGATTTGCTGGCCAAAGACCCGGAAACTGTTGAAAATGTGAACGCGGAGGAAAAGGAGGAAGCAGAGCGAAAGAAGGAACAAGCTCCTACAGTTGGTACCCCCTTAGTCGAGGCTGCGCCCGCGGAAGCCCTGCAGTCGGAAGTACCGCCCATGGAGACGCCTCCGGTCGAAACAATGCCTATAGAAGAGTCAGGAAAAGGGGGAATTCCTGAAAGCACGCCACAACAACATGTACCAACAGACACTTCAATTGTCGAAGCCCCGCCAGTGGGGAAGATAAACGAGCCTGCTGAGCCCTCCTCAATCGATGCCGTCTTTGGGAATGGTGAAGACCATGATGATTTTTCGGCACTACTTTCTAAGGAAACCGAAACCCCTAATCCTGAGCAGGGACGCGCATTCTCTGAGGGTGCTAAGCCCGAGTCCACACCCGCCGAGCAGCTCTTGCCGGATAGCGAGGTCAATGGTGCTAGCGTTTCGCCATGGGCTTCCTTGGACAACGTCGATGCTGCAGAGGAGTTAGACTCAGGCCTGGCATCGCAGTCAACCCATCAACATGAGTCAAACTTGAAGGATGAAGCGGCATGGGGTAATCAAGTTAACGGCGACCTCGACTCAGATGGTGATGATTTTTTCAATCAACTCAAGACGCAGACAAAGCCCATTTTCGCCCCGCCAGAAGCCGAGTCTAGATTCGAAGAGGGTGTCCCATTACTGGATGACGATGCACCTCAATCTCCCGAACGAGCTGTACCCGAAGGTGATGCCGCGGCGGACCCTTTTGCCGATGATAATGACGATGCAGAGGGCTTCTTTAGCTCTACGACGAAGCCAAAGTCTACCCCGTTACCTTCATTACATATTACTCGTAAAAGTACGTCCCAGGTGATGGAGCAGTCGGCTGGGCTCGACTTGGCATCACCTGCAAGTGATGCTTCGGCAGCCGCTGCATTTGACGAGGCACTTAAGGCCGCACCCAATCAAACAGAGACGTCTCAGCCCCAAGCAAAACCTGGCGACCAGTCAGATGACGATGACATGGTTGCACTCTGGGGTGCTGAGTTGAGCGATACTGATGAAGAAGACGATCTCATGGCGCAATGGGGCGCTGCACTTGACGATGGTGATGAGGCACCGGCTCAAGCTGCCCCGCGGAGCCCTGTCGCCAATGGGGGTCTGAACAGTCCTTTTGAGACCCCTCAGCCCAGGCAGACCCCCCCCCAGGGCTATACCTGGCGTTTATGTCCCACATCAGCCTTCTACGTCTGACATGGTTGGAGGGCTTCAATTTCCAGGTGCCCCACCTGGGAGTACAAATGTTCCTTATTATTCACAACCGCCGGCGAACCCAGTCACCGTTAGAGGAGAGAGCTTCGCTGAACGGTCCAAACAAGGTTACAAGTCGCCCTATGACCTGCCAGATGACCTTTCGAAACCTCGGCGACCTCTGTCTACGCCTAGGCCTGTCCCTCCGAGAGTGGATAGTGCCCTGCCTCCCCCGCCAACTGCTGGTTCAATGCAACCGCCAGCCTCTGCGGTGCGGCAGGCCCCGGCTGCGCCGCCGCCTGCTCCAAAGAACTTCTTCGAAGAATTGCCACCACCAGCACCCAGATCACCTCGGCCTGCCAGTTCAGGACGTTATACTCCGGGACCTGTTTCAGCTCCAACTGGATCGGCCATGCCCCCGCCTTCAAAGTCATATGCACCAACACCTGCTGCCGCTCCCGTGGCTCCAGTTCCACCTGTAGCTCCACCTGTAGCTCCACCTGCAGCTCCCCCTGCAGCTCCCCCTGCGGCAGCTCCTCCCATAGGTAGCCCCCCCAGTTCAGTCGGCGCTTCAACCTCCAGAAGTTCTGGACCCATATGCATCATTAGCTTCTAGCGCCCCAGCTGGTCCAAGTGCTTCTGCTCGCTACTCGCCCAAGCCTCCTGTGTTGCAGCCAGGTTCGAAGGCATCTAGGTATTCACCTGCACCACAGTCAGCCGGTGGGCGGAACCGTTATGCCTCGCAGCCTCTAGGCATCCCAGGTCAAGTGAACTTACCGTTCCAACCTCGGACGTCAAGTCCCCTGGCGTACCACGAAAAGGTTTCCTACCAACCCGAAAATGCAGGAGAAGGGCAGCAGCAGCAACCCCCATCGCTGGAACCTTCTGTTGACCTTTCCCCTCCTCGCGCACAACGTTCAAGTATTGACCACGGTGCTCTTCCTCCCCAGTCGGCAGCCCGAAAGACTTCATACGCTCCTCCAGAGTATCTCAACGAGTTTACTAAGCGTCTGGCGCCAAACAGTGCTTACCAGCCTGCTCCTCCGACTGGGGCCGTGCCTACATCTCCTGCATCGGAGCCGCAGATGCCTCCCCCCCCCGAAGATCCCAGACGCAGTCACCGGGTCAGCAAATGACAAGCCCTCGTGCACTTGCTCCTGCTGTAGATCATCAGGCAAGGCCTGTCTCAGCGCATGCGCCAGGCTCTCCTGTAAAGGCAGCAAACCCATATGCGCCGCCGCAGCAGCCCTCTGTCCAGACCCATGCCTTCTCCCAACAATTTGAGTTCATTGCCCCGACTGATGGACAAGAGCAGGATCCGCTTGAACGGTGGAAGGGTGCTCCCATTTTCAAGTTCGGTTTTGGGGGGATCTGTAGTATCATGTTTCCCGAAACACATTCCTCGCTACTCTGTGGGCCAACCAAAGCCAATGATTAAGCCCACACTTGGCGAGCCGAAGCTCTCAAAACTTGACACCTGGCTTCCTCCAGTGGATACTATTGTCCCTCATCCTGGTCCATTGAAGTCAAAGTCGAAGAAGAAGGATCTACTGGCCTGGCTTTCCAGCAAGATTGCAATCTTTGAGAATGAGGTTACTCCTGACTATAATCCACTGCAACCGGACCTGCAGAAGCGTCATGAAGAGAAGATCTTGCTTTGGAAGATCTCCAAAATCTTGGTTGAGAATGATGGTGTTTTGGAAGGTACGCCTGAGGTTCAAAAGTCATTGCGACAGGCAATCTTCCCCAATCTTGTTGAACCCCAGAAAGATGATGCTTATAGCGGTGAATCCATCATTGGAGCTGGTGCGGGCAACTTGGGTTTGTCTGCGCAATCAGGTTCTACTGATAGCCAATGGACCGAGGAGCTGCGGACGAACCTCATATTGGGTGAACGCGAAAAAGCTGTTTGGTCTGCTGTTGATCGTGGCCTTTGGGGACATGCTATGATCTTGGCATCTACCTTGGAGCGCTCTGTGTGGAAACAGGTTGTTCAAGAATTCGTCCGCCGTGAAATCCGTTCAACTAGCGCTAGCAATGAGTCTCTTGCAGCGCTCTACGAAATCTTCGGTGGCAATATTGAAGAAAGTGTTGACGAACTTGTACCTCCATCTGCCCGTGCTGGTCATCAGTTGATCAGCAAAACTGATGGCCAGGGCGTAACGAAGGATGCTCTTGCTGGCTTGGACAGCTGGCGAGAGACCCTTGGATTTGTCTTGAGCAACCGCAGCTCTGACGATCGCAACCGCAGCTCTGACGATCCTCAGGCGTTGGTGGCTCTTGGCAACCTGTTGGCATCATATGGACGTATCGAGGCTGCACATATTTGCTATATCTGCTCTCGGGCCGCCGTCTGCAGCGGAGCAGATGACCCACAAGCTAACATTGTGCTCTTGGGCGCTGACCATCAGCGTTCTCCTGCATCCCTTCTGGAAGACGATGCCATTTTACTCACTGAAGTTTACGAATTTGCCACGACTGTCCTGGCTACCGCTCCGATGCCCCCACTGCCATATTTCCTGGCTTTCAAGCTTGTCTATGCCAAGACTCTCGCGGACCGTGGACGCAAGACGGAGGCGCAGAATTACTGTGATGCAGTGGCCGCAGCACTTAAGGCTAATACTCGTCATTCTCCTTACTATCATAACCAACTATTTGTGGAAATCGACGAGCTGTCTGCTCGCCTTCGCCAAACAACAAGCGACGGTTCTTCATCCTGGATTCCACGACCAAGCATGGAGAAGGTATCTGGGACCATGTGGGCTCGATTCAATAGCTTTGTCGCTGGCGAAGATAGTGATGCAGCGTCAACGACCCCTGGCAAAGGAGGCGAGATGGCTGATGTTGGACCATTCGCTAACGTCGCCGGTACACCAACCGTTAGCCGTTCGCCATCCGTATCCGATACCTATGGCTATTTCCCCCAGGACAGCCAGCTCCGGCTGGTATCCATTCGAAATACCATCCCTCCGCTCAATATGCACCTAGTGCCTCGCCAGAGCAATACCGAAGTCGGTCTTCGATGGACTCTTACAGATCGGTGTCAGGCAGTAGCGCACCTTTTGGGCAACGTCGCACGTCTCAAGAGTCTTCTCCTGTTGAACCCCAGCCTTTCCAGGCTGCCCCGTCGTATGGCTCCCCAGGACTTGGCGGATATCAGCCTACTCCCCCACAGTCTTCGTATATGCCACTTGCTCCGGTCAAGGAGGACGCAAGCCACACCTCTGGCGAGGGTATACAGCCTCCAGTGAATGGGCTTTTCTTTCAACCCCCTGGACAGGCTCAGTCCTCAGATAGCGTGTCACCTTTCTACCAAGGCCCGCCTGATATGCCACAGGCAGAGGATCCTGGCTACCTGCCTCCTAGCATTCCCAACTCCTACGAGCCTCCATCTTTTGCCCCAGACGTTGAGATCGATGAGGTGGGGCCTGATGATTCTCCTGATGTGAAGGTTGTCAGGAAGAAGAAGTCTTTCATGGATCTCGATGACGACGATGACCTTGGAGACCGAGCTGCTTCCATTCAAAAGGCCCAGCGGGAAGAGAATGACCGCAAGGCTGAAGAGGCTTTCAAGAAAGCTGCCGAAGAAGATGGTATGTCTCTTCGCCCTCACTTGTCATTGCTTCGAACCATTGCTAACTGTAACCACAGCCAAACGAGCCGCACAGCAACCTGCCAAGAAGGGCTGGTTGAGTGGATGGTTTGGGGGCAAGAAGGAGCCTGATAATGCGACCGGGAACGCCCCGATTCGAGCCAAACTTGGTGAAGAGAATTCGTTCTACTATGACAATGAACTCAAGAAGTGGGTCAACAAGAAGGACCCTGGCTCTGCCACTGCCGCTCGTGCCACTCCACCCCCGCCGCGCGGCTCTGCTCCTACTAGTCGAAACGCTAGCTATGGTAGTATGGCGCCGCCGCCCCCTCTCTCCGCTGCGTCAGGCAGTCGGCCTCCCTCTTCAAGCAGCGAGGCTGGATTCCTCTCATCTAGTCCAGCGTTCTCGGGTCTTGGTGTCCCTCCCCTCTTCCCCGATCTGTCTCTACCAGTGCAGCAGCGCCAACTCCCCCAGGTTCCTCAGGCGGTCCACCACCTCGACCCACTTCTTCTTTGACGCATGCGCAATCCATTGACGATCTTCTTGCCGCTCCTGCTGGTCGTAAAGGTGGCAGTGCACGAGGCAAGAAGAAGGGTCGCTATGTGGATGTCATGGCCCAATAAGTTTAAGCTTTGATGTCTCATTTTTTCTTTTCTGTTCTTTTCATTTGTTTTATTATGTCTATCACGTTTTTATTTTATTCGTGTATTTGCCTTTCATGTTCAGCCCTCGACAACCCCTCCAATATAATAGACACCTGGTCGAGGGGTTTTCCCTGCGCCAGCATCTTGCATGTCTGTCCCCCGGCAGACTTTATCTCGGCGTTTTTGCACCATGAACCAGTCATTGCTAAGCCATGCACATAGCTTGCTTCTTGCTGTTCCTTGCGTGCCGAGGGAGAGAGACGAGTCTCCTTGCATCGTGCACATCATTTTGATTCTTGCAGGTTTTACCTCGGTACATGTTAAATGATCCGTGGAGGCTCCTGATCCTTTTGTTCAATGCTTCGGTCAAACCTAATGCATGACTGAATATCCCATATGACCAATTTTAATAATGAAACCTCCCGCCTTACACGGCGTTCAGTCCCCGAAATAATATTCTCACATTTGAGATCACAGTAACTAGCCCAGCTTAGTTACTGCTATGTTGTGAACGAGTTGATGTAATACTGGCAACGTCAGCCATCCAGAGCCATGGTCGACGGGTGTAGGGTATACTCACTGTTAAACAAGACTCTTCCCCATCGTATGTGTTAGGAAGATAGACATATAGAACCAAAGCTGTGTCATTAATGAAGCCTGCGCTCCAGTCAGAACCAGTTCCCAACCCACAATCCAAGGCTCGAAACTCACAAGCAACAACCTTTGGACTCAACCGCCCAATACTCAACACCCGACTCCAGTCCTTCCCGTCAATCCTCACCTTCGCCCACCCCAACTCATCATCTTCCCCAAGCTCCCTCATCCGCTCGCTGGGCAGCTGCGAATACTGATCATGGGAGATATGCGCCGGATCAAGCGGTGGATTGACAAGCCCCGACCAAACACTCTCAATCCGCAACTCGTCCGTCGCAATCGCCAGCTTCAACTTCCCGTGCATATTCGCCGAAAACTCCAGCTTCGGCGCCGTATTAGTTGAAAGCACCGCCGCCCCAGTCGTACCCTCCCCTGTCCCTACTCCTCCCACCGCCGCCGCTGCCATCCCCGGCTGCCTATTCTTCGCATCCGAAGACGCAAGCCTCGTGAACCGGTCACTGATACTCTTCAGCTGCGCCAGGCCCGGTAGCGCGATATGCACCTCCGGATCGGGACAATGCGGCTCATGCAGGCCTTCCACGGCAGCTTCGCCGAGGATCTTGATCGGGATTTCCTGCGTGATCCAGGTCTCGCGTTCGCGGGCGCGGCGGTCTCCGACGACGTCGCTGTGAGCGGCTGTGTTGGTGGGGTCTTGGGCGAGATTGTCAGTTGCTAGGGACATGTTCCCTTCTGTCCATTCGGTTGCCAGGACGGTGAGTGCTAGAAGGGGGGATTTTGTCTTTCTTTGTGAGGCGGAGTTGGGCGTGGGATGCGCCGAAGGCTGAGCGGAGGGCGCGGTTGAGAACCCCGATGTTGATTTCGATGTTGATGGCGTCGGTGTTGGATTCGATGTTGTAGGAATCTTCGTCAAAGATGGTGTCCTGGGGCGCTTGTTAGATGGGAGTCGTTGCAGCATGGCGAATGGACTCATACAACTGGGAGATGGGCCCATGCTTGGGTTCCTTGGTCGGGGATCACGGTGAAGCGCACCACGTCCTGTTCCAATCGCATCCAGCATATTTTGCCGAGGGAGGAGAGGGAGGCGGTTAATTCTGGGATTTTTAGCGTTGGAATGTAAGCATGGGGTGTATTCCTTACTGGAGAAGGTCCTGGTATCCTTTAATTGGGCCCTGAAGCGCATTTTGGAGGAGAGGTGAATATTTGGAGAAGCTGTGCATCTCCGATCTTATCGCTATCGCGGGCATCTCAGCGGGCCCCAGAATTCCTTTAGGCATGGTCGGCCACATGACTTATACAAGCTTTGTGTACCCTATTATACAACTTCATACGGTATTGTTTATATAGATGGACAAAGAAGTGAAGATATATATTCACTGTATAAAGGCTACCTCCGTCTAAATTTATTTGTTTGTATCTTCTACAACCAATATCGAACGCGACAATCTTTTCTACACCTAGATCTTGCATCTACCATCATTATCGGCCATCCTTATCAGCGCGTCGCCTCGTGTTAGTCTATGCCCGTATACATCCGTACAAGATTCGGTCCATGAACAGGAGCCCAATGCAAGCCTCGTCTAAGATGAATGAGATTCTCAAGTATTATGCTAGACAGGCTTCGCTTCCTGCTCGCCCTCCAACACCAGAGCGGCAGCCAATGCCGCCCCAAGCCCGGATCCATCCTCCGAGGCATTCAGCACGATCAGATCTACTTCCCCCGGCGGCCAGTCGAAGATCTCTCGCAATGCCTGGGCTGCTCGGCTCTTGAAGGCGCTGTATTTATTGAAAACAGACCCATCTACGCCGACATGGCAACGATTGAAGCTTTTCTTCTTGCAAATGGCGGCAATTCCGCAGGCATATAAACGGGCAGCGCGACTGGCAACCAATCCAATCAGATACCGACAGATTTTCAGATCTGGGAACTCCCGGGGAGAGACTGAGACACTCTTCGAATTCCATCCTCATGTCTTGGAGCCCTTCCGAGAAATCTAGCTCGGCAGCAGATAAGAATGAGGCTTCGAGCGCATTCTCTTCTTGGAGACGTGTAATATCCAGCCCTCGGAAGAGCTTCCCTTCCTCGTGCAAGGTCACGAGAATCAGCCGTAGCATCTCGCCAATGTAAAGCCCAGAGATCATCTTTTCGTAGATTTGCGTCCCCGGCCGAATAGATTTCTGGTCGAGTTGGTGGTCGAGTGGGGTTAGCGGTAATACCTGGCGCTCGTTATCAAAGGCGCCATACTCCGTGTTGATGACCACGGTTGCGTCCTCCGGTAGCCGGGAATCCCTTAGCTTTGGCACATCCCTAACATCCTCCATATATGCCGCATTGACCCCGGTACTGAAAATGCCTCCGATCTTGACCTGTGGGTCTCGGTAGTGCGAGGCGATGAGTGTGCCGGTTGTGTCATTGACAAGGGCCACTACCTTCACGGGGAGTTTCTGCATCGAGTGAATCAGTAGGGCTCCTCAAACTGAACAGCTTCCTGAACACGACCTTCCGGGCAAATGCGTCCTCCAGTTGGGGGACAACATCGTGTCCCTCCACGCCAGACACTTTGAAATTCTTGGTCCAGCGCTGCAGAATCCCGCTCCTGATAGATCGTTGCGCCACGGGAAACGAGAACGTAAAGGCCAGGGGGGAATACGTAGGAGCCTTCTTCCCAATTGCGGTGCCCTTCCTGGAGAAACGATTCGACCTTCTCCGCAATAAAATCCCACAGCTGCTCGGCCGTCCCTCTCTTCACTGCCTCGGGGAGTTTGGATTTCCGCTGGGTCTGCTCGAAATCCCGTTTCCCTGTAGAGAGCTCAACTTCGCACACCCGCAAGTTGGTTCCGCCCATGTCGACAGTCAGGAATCTTCCTTTCTCGTGCCCGCTGGGATACTTCATGACCCAGGTGATGTCCATCGGCTACAAGTTGCATGATTAGCTGTTTTTGCGAGTGCAACGCGCGGAGGGCAAAGACTGACAATGCTGCCGCCCTCCTTCGAAAGGCCTTTTTCCAGCTCTTGGACGAAATGATCTGTGATTTTCCTCAGTCTTTCCCGGTCCAGAGTGAACATGTCGTCATATTTCTTGAGGTCTTTCACGAGCGGCTCTGGCATATCCTCCAATACCTCGGGGCGGTAATGGAACCCTGACATCTCGAAACGGCGATTGGTACTAGGAAATGATGGCTTTCGTAGAGTATGTTTTTTGCCCAATAAGTTTCGCTACTGCGTATTAGCAGAGGAACATAAAGGACTGGGATAATGTGTAATGGTGACGAAGTGTACGATCATCCGGAGCTTCCTAGCTCTTTCATTCATCCATAAAATGGACTTTGTCGTGTTAAAACTTTCCAACAGAGTGGTGAAGTTCTAAATGATTCTCTCGATATAACCTGGCAAGGCTACTGGTAAACAATACTCGCTCTCTACATCCATTTTATCTACGCTGGTCGGCCTGGCCATAAAAATGGCCATTGCCATTGCGCTTGCGCTTGCATTTCTTGCCAGAGCTGTCACCCACGGTACTTGCAATCACGTTTTGGCAAGCCCTGATTATGCAGCCACGTATGGGCTTGCTCTTTCGGATACGGATCGAGAGATCCAGCTGCAATATGGAACTGATCAAGGCAAACAAGATCTTAAAGCAGCAATCCCTCGGGCGGATCAGTGAATCTAGTTGGATCTGGACCACCCAGGCGCTGAATAGTTCCCTCATACAAGGTTTGGGATTCGCAGAATTCGGTAGGCCAGCCTACTTCCAAGGTGGAATAATGTTCCAGCTTAAGTTTCTTTCTGTTTTGTAGAAGCTCTCACCAGGTGCAACTCTACGCTTCATGGGGGGACTGCCCGTTATTGGGATATTCATATCATTCGGGCTGCAAATGCTTGTTATATTTCGGCGAATCATGTTAGATGACGGCGATCCAGGACTCTCCATATCCTGTCTCATTACAGCCCATATACCAGGAGCATATCGGGCATCCGGAGTGGTCAGAGAGGAGTCCGTCACTGAATTTGTTAAGAGCCCGGCATAATACCAGTAAGTACTAAACTATCTAAGTAGGTACCGGGGTAGTAAATGAGCTATGGCCTGTACAAGGGATCACGCCCAAAACATTTCTAGTAGCAGAATACCCAAAACGCGGACAAGTAATAAGACAATCAGAGTATATTGACAGCGTCCATCTATGTAAAACACCACTATGTACATAGGCAAATATAAAAGAAAAGAGAAACACCCAGCGCCATGCTCACGAGAATGCAACCCAATAAATACCTCGTCCAGCGCTCTAATACTGTCTCCCCGACGACCCAACCGGCTTTCGAATACTGGGGTCCATATTCGCCGGGCTAGGTGAGCGACCACCTTGCAAACGAGCCCGCAGCCTCTCCTGCGCCGAGCCACCCGATCCACCGGACCCAATTGATTGCGACGAGCCTGCACGCTGGCTAGGTAGCGGCCGGCCACCCGAGGGACGGAGGGGCTGAGACTGAGCATGCGTGAGAGGGGATGCATACGGGAGCGTCGAGCTCTGAGGCCCTGGCGAAGGAGGCGGGACGCTTGCAGCTCCGCCGCGGCCGCGTCGGAGGGAGGCTGTTTGTGCGGAAGAGGGAGAGGAGGCGCCAGAATCGCCCCAGAGATCCCCTAGGCCGCCGCCTCGACCGTAGTTCACGGAGCCTTGGCTGCCTGGCTGGGCCGTTGCGATGACGCGCGGTGTGGCGGCGGCTGGAGCTTTGGGATCTGGAGGCAGCCAGGGAGGGAAGGGGCGGCCCTTCTCGGTATAGTAAGCTCGTAGGGCGTTGGAAATGTGCGAGCAGTCTTCGTTCTCGGGGTCGTCGCCTTCGTCGCCGAGGGTGATGGCTCGGCGGAGGCTGTTGAGTCGTGAGCTGAGAGCGGTGGAGATGGAGGACCCTCCTGTGAAAGAGGACAGGTAGGAGCTCATTTTGGGTGTGATGGAGGAGGGTGTTGGACTCGAGACGAGCTGCAGTGGTGCGCAGGTAAAGGACAGCTTGATGCGGAGTGGGGGGTGCGGAGCAGCTTCCGGATGGTGGCACCGTGGATGCTCGAGCGGAGAGTGGGGGGGAGACTCAAGAGTTTAAAGCTGGTGAAGAGTGAAAGGCCTGGCTGGATTGGAAAGCGCTTAATTGACTCGGTCGACCGTGTATGACTCTGGTCCCCGAAGAGCCAGTGCCCGAAGGTTTGACAAAGCACTTTCAACGGTTCAAGTGGCGGAGATGAAACTGAAGAAACTCAAGTTGAAACAGGGAGCCCTACGCACGTGATTTATCCTGCGGCAAAGGAATGGATGTACAAGGTCTTTTAGAGATGACTTATGTATTCACTACCGATTCTTCGCAAAATCCATCTTGCATCCAGTGTAGCAACACTGCATTAGGGTCTCGGAATTGTAGAGTCAGCTTTGTGACTGAATCAGCCATCAAGTCTTTCAGCCTCTGTTGCAGATCCTCAGCCCGATACAACCCCCCTGTCGGGAGAACCTCGCATTTGGAGGACCGGAATAAAGTGGCTATAGTTGAGACAAACTCGACCTGAGACATCTTCATACCAGGACACATTCTCGCCCCCTCGGACCAGGGGATAAAGGTGCCTTTGGCGGGTGTTATGACCTGGCCTGCACCATCGATCCACCGAGTTGGCCTGAAAGCCTCAGGGTCTGGGCCCCAATATTCAGGGTCGAGATGAATGGCGGCTTGACTTATGAAGATATCCATTGGCGGAAAGAGAGAGTGTGTTCCCCTCTCGCTGACGAACTGTTGGGATTCGTGGATTGCACGCATGCTATGAAGAACCGGCGGGAACAGGCGCAACGTTTCCAGCTGTAAAAAGCCATTAATTTCTAGCGCCATTGATGATCAGTAATTTGATTCACGACCACTCACCATGATGGCCAATGTTCGCTTGCATTTCGGAAAAACGTCATCGTAAGCCCATGTCGTGGGATCGAGATCCAAACCTTGCAATTCCTCGCGCAACCAGTCTTGATATTGCGGGTGTGCGGCGAGTAATGCCACGGAATATCCCATGGTGTTCGCGGTCGTTTCGAAACCTGCTGTTGTGAAAACAAAAAGATTGCCGCTGATCTCTTCATCCGTTAGAGAAAATCCAGTCTTGCTGCGTTTTTCCGCGTCTGAGAGGCGAACTAGCAGACTCAGAAAGTTGCTGCGAGCACCGCTTTCGTTCTCAATGATACTTCTCTCTTCATTAAGAACCGACTTGGTATACTCAGGAATCCTCTGAAGGTGGTAGCCCAGTGTTTGGATCGAACTCGGCATGGTTGGCAGCCTCAATACCCAAGAAGGGACCAGAGCTGCCTGGACAAAGGCGTTGGCTATCATGGAAAGAGTCGAGAAATAGGCCGTACGGTCGTCAGTTCCTGTATGCATCCCGAGTTCCCGAAGCTGAGGCGACCAAGGCTGTTTCTGGCTGTATCCTGCCTGGCCAATGACATTGACGGCCAGACTCCGTAGGCCATCCAGCGTCTCGCCGCCTGCCCGGCCGGCCATATAGTCTCGCATAGTCACTGATTGTTGGCAGCCCTCCGTCCAGACCGTTCTGCTGATTCTCTCGTCCAAGTTAGCTGAGAAGAGTCTACGATGTCGTTTCCTGGAGGAGTAATCAGAGACTTGTTTGAGAAGGTCGACCTGCGTCGAAAGTGGTCCTACCATTCGTCGCCGTTATTCTAGGTCAATGTTAGTTAACTTCAAAGTGCGAGGCTCGACCCTTGCGGAGGCAGTTTACCGTAAAGATGTTCGGTCCCAAGAATCCCATAAAGGTTGCCGTGATTGGGGCTTGGAGGAAGTCGTTCTTGCGCTGTAAGATGAGAGTGCCGATATCTGCATCAGCAACGCTAGCAATTCGTCAGGGACACTCTATCCCAAAGCCCTCACCGGACCTGAAGAATACATACACCAGAGCGCACTCATCGGGAGTAACTATGCTGAACACCTTCCCTAGCCGTTCCTGGTACCTTCGCTTGCTACGAAACTCCCAGCCGAGAATAAGAAGATCCAGTCGATCGTAGATCCACTCAGGGAGATATTTCCGGAGAACTGGCTGCAAAGCTGGTGCGAGAACCAGAAAGGGAATGGCCTTGGAGAAGACCGGGGACACGAAAATTGGGAAGCCAGCGTGGCGGGCATGGATATAATGTCGAGCGAAGCTGAATAGTTTGTAGAAGAGGTAGAGGCCGAGTAGCAGCTTCAAAGCTGTGCGCAGCAGCGCACTGCCCAAATCCGTCATGATGCTGTCGCGGGTGGAGTTGGAAAGGGTTGTAGAGAGTGGACTCCCTTACGTACGTATTCCAGAGTCTAGTTTAAGTTTCAGGTGTTTTCTACACTTGATCGAAGGAAAAGATGCGAGTGCTGTTGGGGGTAAACCCAACATGTGCCAAGCAAACTCGACTCCATCATCATTCACTTTTGATAAGATCACTACGTTCAAGTTTGAGATATGCAGAGCTCAGTTCTAAGGAACAGCACGGGAATGGGACAAAAATCCGGTTGTACTACATTATATTCACAGCACACTCGATGCAATAGCTGGGTATTGTGCCCGATCGCAGGAGGAAACAATGCGAGTATAGAATGAAAGAGAAAGAACAGAAAGGACCCAAGAACGCCATGCCAAGCCATCCAAACTTTTTCAGGATGTAAAGATATCTCCTGTTCATGCCATAAGGTGTTCCTTGCCAGCACCCTCGGTCTCGTACTCGATTTCAATGCGAGGCCCCTTCTTGCGAGGCTTAGGCTGAGGAGCAGTAGCCTTGCGTTTCGCGCTAGGCTTGGGCTTGGGCTTCTCGTCCTCACTGGGCTCATCCTCGCTGTCCTCGTCGCTCTCGTCATCGCTCTCATCACTCGAATCAGCCGATTCACCACCAAGCCAATCCTCAATATCCTCCAGATCCTCATCCTCGTCAACATCACTGACATACTCCACCTCCCCAACACCCTCCTCTTCTTCCTCATCCTCAAGCAACTCCCCATCGTCAAGATCCTCGTCTCGCTCACCCTCCCCTCCCCTCTCCAAGCCACGCAGCACCTTCTTCCAGATCCCCTCCTCAACATTAAGCGGCCTATCCCCATAAGCTCCAGACCTCAGTCTCTCAATGAGCTCGCGCTCAATAGCCCTCTCAACCTTCGCCGCCGACTCCGCCTTACGCTCCCTCGTGGCCTCGCGCCGGCGGACCTTGGGCGCCAACTTTGGCACAACCCGCTCGCCCAGCCTCTCGTCCTCCTTCGCAATGTTCTTCATACGGATGTTCACCTGCGTCAGCCGCGTGAGGCGCTGCTTGCACTTGTGCACCAGGAACTTGGGCCAGTAGATCAGCCGCTCGTCCAGCATCTCCAGAGCTTTGGCGTAGTTTGACGGGAGCCGTATCCGCTCCCACCATTTGCTGGGCATGTGGGCGCGCTCAATCGTCTTCATGTACAGGTACATTGCGCCAGTCTCGGGGTCCGAGCGGACGGTTGCGTAGCGCGAGTTGGCGAGCGGACAGGATTGCCGGTTGCAGAGGCCTGAGACGTTGTATTCATTGCGGCAGAAGTTTTGGCCTTTGGTGGTTCTAAGAAACGGGTTAATTATATGAGATTTTTATCAGCGGTGTTTGAGGAGCTGGAAGGTAGAATTTGATTTTTCCATATAGGTGGGTGGATTGATGAATTGGCGGTTTTCGAGCTCCAGATGATATTTTTTTTCCCCCCACGTGCATGGCTGGGGAGAACTTTAGAACAAAATACTTACTTGAGTTTGTAAGAGCAAAACTGCTGGTTGATCACATTCCAAACAATTTCGTCCGACATGATGGGCGAAGATGTCGGTGTTGCAGACTCGGAGCGGTTGCGCAGATGTTGAAGAAAAAAAAAAAGATGTCGGTCACGTGGTGATCCTTATCGATAAGAGCGTATATATATGGACGAATGGTGTTTTCATATTAATATTTAATGCAATGCAGTTTGATCCACTCAATTCTAATGAGGCGAATTACAATATTTTCCACGGAGAAATGAAGTCGCTGTCAATGGCTATTCACACAGCCTCTGCAGTTGTATGATCAGGAGATACGGTTAGGTAGCACGACCAACCATCAATCACCTTGATTGCCGCCTCAGTCCCGTCGAGAGTAGAAATCAGAAAACAAGAAAGCAGTGTTCTTCCGAGATAAACTTGATATGTGGAGCGCGGGGTATATGAAGGTTATAGCAATACTAGTCGAAGTAGGAACGAATCAGCCCCAGCTCTCCATCTGAAGGCTTCCATCCCACTCTGTCCCATTGACCATTTGATTGCCAATGTCTGAATCCTCAACCAGATCCTCTGCAAAGCCCCATCCCATTGACTCTAACTCCCTGACAAAAAAGTCACGCTCTTCCTCCATCATCGATGTGCCCTCTGGGCCACCCATGATGTCCTTATACTTCCGAAGATGCCACCAGTGAGTCAAACCCCGTAAAGCCTGTTCCAATGGCAGCGCCTCGTCAATCTCGCCATCGATATCTGCACCGGCGAGCCAGTCGTCACGGAGTTCGGGGCGGCAGTACAGATAAATAGCCGTGATCACTCGCATGTTACCTTGACGCCATTTGCGGCTGCAAAATGGCACTTGCGATTTGAAGAGTTTCAGGGTGTAGAAGCGCAAGTGCGGATCTGGAATCTTGAGGCCCTTGCGTAAGATTGCACTGGACTTGTATTGTACAAGCAAGAGGGCGCGGTGTGCCTTATCGCGAGTGATCTTTTGCATAATGTGGAGGTAGTTGATTGCAGAGAAAAAATTGCGGAAGGAGAATACGGTTATGGGCTCCTTGGGGAGAGGTGCGGTTGGGTAGCCCAGCTCATCTACTTCAGGCCGGGTCGGGCCGTCTACAATGTCCGGCATGCATTCTCCTGTAGGGTGAAAGCGAACGGAGTCCGTGGTGTGGAAAGCTGGTCGGGTTCGAGAAATTGGCGGTGGCGCGGCCTCGTCTTCGCTTTCGGTGTCGCCGCCGTCCGCATGGTCTGATGTACTGGCGCAGTGTTCGCGACAGAAATTGAAAAAACTTCTGTGAGTTAGGCTGATGTTTCTGGAAGATATAGAAGTGCTACTTACGACAAGTCATCACGGTCGTTTCGTTGGGCTACAGCTTGGTCAACGTCTTGGTGGGCGAACATCTTCAAGATGAGAGGGAGGTAATTGGAGTCGAGCAAGAGCTGAGTCATATACTCAAACTTTAGAATGTCTTTTCAACGGTTAGCAACGGCCATACGAGAGTTTCGATAGGAACTTACGCGAACGTTTGAACCATTTCACAAGAAGAAGCAAGGTTCCAGAAACCGCCTTAGAAGTGATCTCTCGGAGTCGAATGTTGTCGAGCTCCTCAATTGATATGTCTGAAAAGATATCGTTGGAGCCATTTCCATGGCTGCTTCAAAGAAGGAATTAGCTCGTATTTCTATGTTACCGGGGAAAGGGATTAAAAGCGCACCCCGTGCTCTGGCTTTGGGAGCCCCCTTGGCTCACCACCGCGCTGACATTGGTCAGAATGATCTTTAGGAAAACAATGGTTATCGATTGAAGGTGTGATAAGGTTTTGCACTGTGGATATATTAGCTTGCTGCTTTTCCTTGAGAGACCATTGACTCACATAAAATGCTTCGACGGCATCCAGGCGCCGCTGAATATCGACGTCATCAGTTTCCTTCGATGGTTCCTTAGACTGTGATGGTTCCGAGCCCGCCGAAAGATTCAAGTCGTCCAATTCAAGGCTCAAATCGTCAATTGCGGTGAAGTTGGGTACTCTGTGGCCGTTCTCGAAGTTCCACCCGCGGTCGTACTTCATAAAGTTCTCACGCTCGTCCCACAGCTGCTGCATGGCTCTTGTCATTTTAACATGGGTGGAGAACAGCTGACCGGCCTCGATAATGGATGCGGGTACATCGCTTCCTTCCCAACGCTTACTCACCAAAGCATCCTGGCGTTCAGTGGTGCCCTTGCCACCAATACCGTTGCTAGAGTCGTCCAAGGTGGATACATGAGCGGGAAATTCTGGTTGGTCTGATAATTCTGTTTCTTACCGGCTTTACCGCCGGGGCCAATAGGTGAAGGAGGTGGGGAGGGAGCTGGGGTCGCGATATGTACAGCTTGCTGGAGAATAGAGCCATTTGCTCCAGAGATCGACGGACCGACACCACAGAACAAGCCGCTGGATGAGTTTGCCCTGCTAGGGTGTTGCGGGATTGGGGGTAAAATGGTGTTGTTATCGAGTTCCAGCGGAACGATGGGACGTGGCGGGTTGTAGGCAGGGTATTTGGATGTGATCTCTTGCCGGAACAAATGATAATCCAAAGGCGATGCATGCAGAAATGGGCCTCGGCGATTGACATAGTCTTCTTCGTAAACTGAGGGTGGCTCCAGGACTTCTTTGGCTCTCTTAAGCTGATCGGTCCCACCGAAAACGAGGAGCAAGGATTTCCACAAAAGAAGAATAATCCGAGTCAGAGGAATGTTAGCTGTCTCATCCCAGCGCAGACGTGCAATAATCTCAACAATGGTGACCAGTAAGGACGGGCTGGATTCTGATAATGCGTCCCTAATGAGTGTGCTTGGGGTATCTCGAGCTTCTTGCCTGCGGCCAACCTCAATGGTAAAGTAAAGAATGGTGAGAACTAAATTCGCTTCTCGTTCCGGAGCTGGAATTTCCCCTGGACTGGATCTGTCAAACCCAGAGCCTTCAGAGTCGGAACTTAAAGGGGATCGACTGCGGTCAAAAAGTTGTGACAGCTTCTTGATCAAAATAGGGATACCCGAGCATTCTTGGACCAACATGACATTTCTTTCGATCCATTCGATCTGCAATGATTTCGACCGAGGAGTTTCGGTACTTGTTTTTGGATCAGGATTCTCGGGGTAATCCGGTGTAGCTTGTCCTCCAGTAGTGCCCCAAACTCCAGAGACCGCGTAACAGACATTTTCCAATGCCTCCAATCGTACTGAAATATCGGAATCCTGTATTCTTTGGAGAGACTGAGATACAAAGGTACGGCGGAGACACTCAGGGCTCGCGACCCAAGGCTGCTCTGATAGGTTCAAATCCTGGGACTGACAGAACAACCTCCACTGTCGATCAAATGTTTGTTTTGCGCCGGTCAACATGACCCGATCGAACTCATTGTATTGGAACCATTCGTCGATTTCATCGGAGAAGGATTGCGAATCAGCATATTCAAATGCATACGCCGGCTGCTCAATCTTTGGCATCTCTTGTACTAGTCGTCGGAGCTGAGCCAGACTAAGCGAATCAGCTGGACGATCCATATTCTGCTGCTGCACCGGGGCAGGTGGAGGAGGCTGTAAAGGAGGAGGGGGCGCCGCAGTGTCTCGTCGTAGGTCGGGGCGTTTTGTGTTTTGTTGAGGCTCAGTGCTTTCAGGTTCTGCCACGGGAATCGGAGAAGACTGTTCCTGTCGCAACTCCTCTGCCACTTCCTCCATCAATTGGTCGTCTGGAATCGGTGAGATATCCGTTCCCGTCTGATCCACCTCGTCAGCTTTAACGATATGCTGAGCAGTCCCTGTGGCGCCGGCTGGCTCTGACTGGGAATCCATGGCAGCGTGTTACAAGAGGGGGAGTGGATTGTCCAAAGACGGAGTCGAGGATTGATAGCGCGAGTTGCTTTGATTTGACAGCGAGGGACATAGATATAAGTGAGTCGGAAATACGGCAGGGGTATCAGGAAAATCAAACCAATAGGATTTGAATGGGCATTTCAGCCACCAGCGTCGTAGCTAAATCAATCGGGGCTATCGACTGTCAATTGCGGTGATAGCGGCGCCGATAGACGACACGTGACCTACGCGTCGCGGTTTAATGTTTAATCGGATATTGTACAAATGATGCAAAGCGGAGAACTGAGCGAGAAATCTACAAAATGTCACAGGAGAAAATGAAAATATCTGAGGGGAAAGAGGACTTGAAATTTGGCATAGCCATCCATCTCGCCATACTCGATTATACCGGGGGGCCACTTTGTACAATCGGTTTTACTCCGACTTGCGGTTACGTTGACGGCGCTTTAGCCGCCGTGCTTCCCATCGTTGCCATCCGGACTCAGCAAGATCCTCACTGACAACCAGGTCACGCACACGCATAAGACGACAGATGGTAAGGTCCAGAACCCAGTCAATCCACCCCCAGCGTCGAACAAGCCCGGTGACAACAAACCAACCCACGGCACACACGACGCCAGCCGCAGAGCCCGCCAGTACTTGGGTGGGCGTGTGATAGTTCAAGTAGACCCGGCTTGTGCCAACGGCAGCTGCAACCCCACCGAGGATGATGATTACAGCACCTCGGAGCAGGGTGCCGCTGTAGGGGTAGGAGGTTGCGGAGGCGGGAGTGTGTCGGAAGAGAAGGAAGAGGATCAGATAAACGGAAAAGAAAGCCATAAATTGAGAATGAGAGGAAGGCATTCCATAGCCTTTTCCAAACATTTCTATCCATCAGTGTCAGTCGGGTTAAATGGCGCTCAGGACTGGAGCCAAATTCTTAGTAAACATACCCTTTGGGCGCTCTTCCTTGATGATTCGCTTGAGCACAAAATTCACTGCCTCACAGCCCAGCTGTCCAGCAAACATCAGAACCACCTCGATCTCTCTTGTAGCCCATGTCAGCGTCGCATATGAGACACACAGCGCCTGGGGGAGTAAGGCGAGCCATGCGGAGACCAAGGATAGGGGATCCTCGGGGTTCTGTGACCGGGCAGCGATGCGTTAATTGTGAATTGGCATTGGGCTACTGACAAATCAGCACTTACGTAGTGGACATGAGTCAAAGACAACGAGGCCAGCGGAGTGTCTCCCATGATGGATGTGTTTGGGGAAGCTGGAGAAGACAAGAACTGAAGGGAAATGACGAGCCGCTTTAAGGCGGATGCGATAAGAGATAATCAAAAGCAGCATCGCCCCCTCGTTCAATAAATTCCCCATCAGGCACGAAGAGGGGCACCTATTTACTTTTTTGCCCCTCCTACTTTAAATTTTTTTTCTTCTCTTTTCTGTCCGAGTTCATTGCTCTCACCACCTTTGCCCTTCTATAACGTTCGATGCCTCTGTCCGCCTCTCTTCTTCCTCCATCTTTCTGCACCTGTGCCATAAAACCATGACGCAGCGCCTGCTCGATACTCCGGCCTTCTTGTTACATCATTTGATAGACTCCTCAGTCTCTACAGTCCAGCCAGTCAACGGTGGTCTAGACTAACCCTAGGGTGGGTGTTTCATTTGCACCGGGCGTATATAGAAGTTCGCCTCCCTGAATTTAGCGTGGTTTCGTGCAGAAAAATTCCCACCTTTCCTGCCTGATCGCCACTGGTCGCAAACCCCGATATTCACCCAAGAACACTAACCCCTTCGAGAGACATGACTGACCTGGTCTACTCTTTGTGGTGAAGTCGATCATTCCGGCTGTCCGACTCCTTCTCAACGGTCCTCCGATTCATCGCTTATACCAGTCCCCTTCCCTACTACGAAAAATGACGGAAGCCGATGAAACTTCCGAGGACGACCGCTCCGTCGAGCTGTCTTCCATAGCGGCAATTTTCCCTGAGATCAAAATAAACCCCGAGTCGCCTTTCAAAGCTACGCTAGACCTGCCAGTCGCGCTACCGTCGCCAACCAAAGTCTACTTCCAGCAGCCTGTCGATGTCGGTTTTCCTGCGGCGTTGACTCCACCTACGTCCATCGATGAACACAAGGCTGAACTTGATCAAACCGCAGCTAGGGACGTCCATGTCCTGTCCTATCTACCACCAGTCAACCTTCACATTGAACTACCGGACGGCTACCCCTCCGAAAAGCCCCCACGTGTGCAGTTGAATACCCAACCGCCATGGTTGCCAGCACCCATTCTTGCGAAGCTATCCAATGACTGCGAACGTTTGTGGAAAGAGTGTGGGCAGGATATGGTGGTATTTACATACATCGACCATCTGCAACAACTTGCTGAAACCGCGTTTGGGATTCAAGACACAAATGACGGAGAACTATATTTGGCACGGGACCTGAAGATCCCGTTACTGGACTTCAATAGTAAAACCGAGCGGGAAAAATTTGAGCAAGGGACATTCGAATGTGGGATATGTCTGGAGCCAAAGAAAGGTGCCAGCTGCCACCGTCTGTTGCGTTGCTCTCACGTCTTTTGCGTCCCCTGCCTGCAAGACTTTTATAATACGTGTATCACCGAGGGGGATGTCGACAGCGTGAAGTGTCTTGCTCCAGACTGCGACAAGAATCAACACCCCACACCAGCTCCGGGGAGCGAAGTACAGACTCCTCGTCGTAAGAAAGATCGTACCATCGGTCCGAGTGAACTCCTACAGATCCCCTTGTCAACAGAGACAGTGCAGCGATATGTCTTCCTCAAGCGCAAGAAGAAGATAGAAGCAGACACCAATACAGTGTACTGCCCACGCCATTGGTGCCAAGGCGCAGCACGATCAAAAAGGCACCCGAAACCGCAGGATCCAATGGAAGATGACGATGGATCAGACGACGATGAGGCTTCGCCCACAGAACCGAACGGTAAGGTGGATGAGGCACCCAGCCGTGAAAATCGCCTTGCTATCTGTGAAGACTGCAACTACGCCTTCTGTGCCATTTGTAAAAAAGGTTGGCACGGCGATCTAGTATTTTGTGTACCGCGCCTCCAGGCAGAGCCTACGGAGGAAGAAAAGGCGACAGAAGAATACTTCCGTCTCTACACTACTCACTGTCCAACCTGCAATGTACCTTGCCAGAAGCTTATGGGATGTAACCATATGCGGTGTGTCAAATGCGACACGCACTTCTGTTACCTCTGCTCAGCCTGGCTTTCGCCTGATAACCCATATCGCCACTTCAACGAGGAAGGTCGCTACTGTTACAACCGGCTATGGGACCTGGAAGGTGGTGATGGTGAGAATCCTATCGGTGCCGACGCACTGCATAATATTTTCGAGGTTGACTCGGATGACGATGCTCCCAATGAGCTCTTCTGGGATCTGCATTCGAGCGACGAGGAACCCGAGCCTGAAGCTGAACCTCCTCGCCGTCGCCACCGAGCTCCGCCCCCTGCACCGATTCCCCTCGCCCCAATGCCGCCGCACGAGACGCGGAAGAACGGGTCATGCGTGCCGTCGAAGTAGAGCGCCGAGCACACCGCAATGCTATAGCTGGAATGCAAGACCGAGAACAGCCAGTACCGCCTCCGCCTCTACAGGTAGAAGATTGGCAACAAGGACTTCAGCGCTTCTTGCATCTCGTCCAAGATGACAGAGAGGACGAGTGGGATAGCGACGAACTCGATAATGAGCTATGAGTTCCTCTTACTCTAGATACCTCTTTCGTTTTCGCGATTTGTGTCGCGATTTCTTCATGTCCTTTCCACTTCCAAACGTTGAGGGTCCCCGACTATGTCATAAGAGCGCCGAGCTGCTTCGATGTTCCAAAGGCTTAGTTTAAAGCCCTTGGAAGTGCCTACAAACTCCCATCACATTTCTACGTTCCACTCCAACATGTTCATCGCAGGCGAGGCAGTATCTCATGCTTTCATGTTAACACGTCCTCATGTTTCACGTCCTTATGACCAATGAGTCCATATCTGTTGTCCGAGACTCCATGCCTTCATTGCCCCTGTCAAATATCCCAATCTTCTTAGATCATTTGCTCTTATCTGGCGTGCTGCAATTATTTTATTTTTTTCTTTTCCTTTTTTTTTTTTGCATTTCATTACTACCGATCTTGTTATAGGTCGATCTGGTTAGGTTCGTTCGTTTTCCTTCTCTACTGTGCGTGCGGGTTTACTTCCCACTGCGCTCGTTTCCGTTTCTATGATTCGATCCCCGATGTCACACTATGGTTTCCTTTATTTCTATCTTCTGCATGGGTTGGTCGGGCAGATACTGGTGTTTTTCAAATAGCTTTCTTTGCCAGATACTCTAGATAGAATTTTGCTTCTCACGATTCTATATTATTCCTTTTCCTGGTAAAAAAAAAGAATTCGTTTCACGAACTTTTGATATGCCAATTACCGGGTACTCATACATACATAATGTGTGTATAACGGGGGTGTAAGAGGAGATGCAAGGATACACGATTTTGGCACGCCGGATTTCTAGGGGTAGGTACTAGCACAGATGACTTTCATTTTAGATGGCATTGCTTGAGCAGCCCTATTTCTGCCAATCGTGCCAGAACTCGTAGCTCAAAACTGTATGATCACAGTAGTAAAGCATTAGGCGGTAATGGCGAGATGGGTGGAGCCCATGCCAGCTCTCGCGAGGCCTGTGAGAAGACGAGGCTTGGGCGTGGCGCTCTGCTAGAGTTTGTTTTCTGGGAATCTGTTTGGAGTCGGGAGATTGGTCTCTTTCTTGAGACGATGATGCTGACGATTCTGATGATTCTGACGTTGATCTTGGTGGGGAAGTGGGGCTTGAGGTTGGGGACGCGGGCTCTCTTTCCTTCGGATTTTTGGGATAACCAGAGTCAGACGGATTCGATTGCTCATTATCCTCTGTGTCGAGGGTTCGGTATTGAAAAGATACATCACTTTGGCCCGTAGGAATGAAGGGAACGTCATGCGGAACCTCGAATCCTGGCATGGGACTGACAGCGATACCGAGGAGTGGAATCATGGGACGCTCGTCACGTCGCTCCTGGCTCGCGAACGGAAGAATCCAGTCTACCCGGAACGCAAAACCTATCTCGTGATGCCAAGTTAGAGAGAGTATGGCGACTCGGCCTTTCTGGGATGCAGCAATAACGAGCTTGAGCTCGGGGACGTATTTCACCATATTGAATCGGTCACAGTGAGCGCTGATTTCCACACTGTATGAAAATCTTTGGAAAAGAACATTTCGGGAGATGAGTTGGTACTCAGAGTCAAGGGGATAAGGCGCTAGACTGATATGATGTTCGGAGAGATGTAAGACAGGGAACAGAGTTGGAGATGTAGCTGAACAGCATCGAAAGAGATCATTAGTCAAAGTTCTGTAATGCATGTACCCAAGGGAGGCTCTTACGGTGTGGGGGCAGCGAAGCAAGTGAATCAAGGCGATAATATTCGGCTTCGGAACCCTCTTGGTCGAATTCAGGATGCGCAAATGATGGAGCTCGGGCGTGTTCATTGTCTTCTTCGAAAATACTTGGCAAGGACCGTTTCCTCAAAATTACCGGTCGTAGTTTAGAGTTTTTCTCGCTCTCTGGTTCTGTTGGACCGTCTGGAGATTGAATTCTGAGGTCAGAGCTGGCATCGACTGCCTCGTCGGCAGCAGATTCGGAAGATGTTGAACCACTTTCCACTTCATACGTCTTTACCTCCGGCTCAACACGTGCATCATCAGAAAAAACATCGTTTGGAAGATAGTCAACCTCGAAATCTCCGTACTCAGCAGCGCCGAATGTGAGTATATGTGATGCGTCTGGAATTTCTTCGATAGCTTCTGACAAGTCCACGATATTTCGCTCAGCGATCATCATCGATCCAGGCCTGCACCCACATGCTTCATCTGGGGATGACAGGCGCCTAAATGTCCGGGGGTCCAGCGGCATTACTGTCCAGCCTCGTTCCGGAGGGTTATTCATCGGGTGACCAGGGTAATATACCCGCCTAGGGAATAAGTCTTTCCAGATTTGCCATACGAGCACTCGATTGCTAATATCAGTGCTGACCATCCAAGTGCCATTCGCATCCAGATCAAAGTTGGCAAAAGATACGCTGGGAACATTATCAAAATGGCCTCTGTAGGTTATCCGAAGGTTTCGGGCTCGATGGTTGTGAGGCATCTTCTGATTAAGCTCTGCAAGCTGCGCCTGATTATCGATATGGAGCCATGTCTTATCAGAACGATCCAGCTCTGACTCTTCGCCCGCCTGCGGCAGATCATCATCACTGCCATCCTCAGATGTGTCGGTTGCAAGGGCGAATGCGAAAACCGTGATATGAGACGTGTTTGAGCTGACTGCGATAAGCCGAGCAAACTTATGTACCGCCAGCCCCCATGCACTTAGATCAACTCCTTCAACGAAGAAAGGGCTCACTTCTGAGTCGTCAAAAGGCTTTTTGTAGTTGTGGCTCGTACACCGAGAGATTGCTGAAAAAATCGCCTCCACGTGGTATGCACAGACATTTCCCGAGTCTGTTGCCAAAACAATAATCTCATCTCGTCCCAGGTCGTCTACGATCATATGATTGATAGTATGAGGTGCGCGTTGATCTATGTAACCACCGGCATCGGGATTTTCCATCACCGGGGTGATGATCATCTCAGGGATGGTCCCCAATAGCTGGAATGGGCCAGCCGGGATCCATACATATATCTGATGCCCGTGTGCTGAGAATAACAGGTTCCGACGTTGAGAAGAAGCCACCTGATCAAGATCTCGTTAGCCTGTCGAGGATCCTACTAGAAAATACTGGAGGTTCTCGTTTCTCACCAGGTTACATCTCCATGTAGCTATTGTAGGAGGAAACTGATCCCTTTTCCTTCGGCTTTTGTCAGTATAACTTCGCATGTCGAATATGCACAGCTAAATACATACATGGAAAACTATAAATGTTAGTTTCTGAGTCCACGTGAGAAATGTCAAGGTCCTTACTCTTTGGTTACTTGTCTCGACATTGAGGGGTTTGAACTGAGGACAAAGAGTAGTTCTGTCAGGAATGCTCTCCCCATGTTCAGCGCCCTCCAAGCCTCGGGGGGCCATTTCCTACTCCTATGGAGTGGTCGCGCGGGTGGTAGCGGGTAGGCAGCAGGGCTTCCGCGAGTAGAAGGAGATGTCGGACACAAACACAGGAGAAGCTGGGAGTAACGTGTTCATTGCCAAAGAGCCCTGGCCCAAGAGGAGAGACCGAGGGTGCGAGGAAACGAAGGGGCAAGAAGTACAGGACATCATCAAGCCTAACGGAAATTCAATATCGGTAGCGGGGATTAAGTGGAGCATGGTATGATGGAACCCACTTGGACTCACCGCCTTCATGTTCCAAGGTAAGCTTCATCTTTAAGCCCTGGAGATCCCCGCTGCAAATATCCATCTGACACCATGGATCTTATTGCAGGCGTTCGAAAGGAGGGTAGCCGGTAAGTATTCACAGAAGCACTCTGTATTCAATCAACTTGGGCTAATAACTGCTTTTAGTGGCGGTCGCAGCGAGTTCAAATGGTCTGACGTTCAGAACTCAACCCACCGGGAGAACTACCTAGGACATTCGTTGATGGCCCCGGTGGGAAGATGGCAGCAAGGACGAGACCTCAGTTGGTACGCAAAAGGTAATGTCGAGGAAGAAGCAGAGCGCTTGCGCAAAGAGCAGGAAGAACGTCAACGAGTGAAGGATGCCGAAGAGGAAGCAATGGCTCGCGCACTCGGGCTGCCAATACCGGAGAAAGCTTCAAACAACGCCAATCTAGTGCCACTGGGGGAAAAAGAGGCCGGCCAAGCAGGAACAGAGGTGACGGGTAACAAAGGTTCAGAAAAGGAACATCGAAGCAGTCGGCGACACAGGCGCGATCGCAGTCGCAGTCGAAGCCCACGACGTGAGCGGCGAAGGGATCACAGTGATGATCGAGGACGTGACCGGGAAAGACCACATCGCCGACGGCATGAAGAAGAAGACCGACGCCGAGATCATCACCATCACCACAGCCATCGTCATCGCCATCGCTCCCGTTCGCGCTCCCGCTCTCATGACAGGGAGCACCGACGAAGACGGCATCATTCACGATCGCGAACTCCACGTGTTCGGAACGATGATGGGGGGCTACAGGCCAAGAAGGACAGAGCGTAGCTATTCTCCAAGAGAGCGCAGACAGAGCCCAGAGCGTCAAAGGGGCCGGGATGACCGCGATCGTCGACATTGATCTACCGATGTCATAATATCTTTCCCCCCAACCAACTCAGCGACAAATATGGCGACTTAGCATTTCGTTTTCACATATCGAAACATCGCTATCTAATCTATACGCCTATTTTACATCCAACTAATACGGCCTACAGCTCATCGTGTCTTGCTTGTGCACTCTCCGGCAAGTCGGGCATGGCCATGATGCTCACCACCATACTGGTCCAGCCGGTAAAGTGCTGTGTCCTCTGGCCAACTCCTGTTTCGGGGTTGTATTGTTCCCAAGCAAACCCGGTCTTTTTCCATTCTCTGAATACGTTCTCGACCAAATTTTTGCGCAGCTCAGAGTATAACTTGCGGGCCTGCTCTTGGTGAGGTCCAGATGCCGTCGCGGTGGCCTGCTGCGTGTGAGCTTAAGAACCTTCAAGAAGGGAGTAAGTGCGCTAGCCGGAATCACTTACATGAAGATTTGTCAAAATCAAGTAATTGATGGGAACCCAAATAGGACTTCTCCAATAATTCTCCTCCGTGCCGTAGTACTTGTCTTTCTTGCTCAAACTGCGAATGCCATAATCGCTCCACAGCTCTTCGGGGTTGCCAATCAAGTCCAAGGTAGCCTTTAGTCGGGGACTATCGGGAGCAAGCATACCCGTCAGGAACGGGAAGATCGAAATGTAACCCTTGTGGCAAACATGTACACTCTCCTCAAACTCATCAATAGTAGCATCACAGAATGTCTGTGCGGCCTCGTCCCAGTGGAGATCGTCAATGTTGCGGGTAATGGCATTCTCGTGCTGAGCAAACTTCTCCGCGTCTTCTTCCTCGCCTAGTGCGGTTGCAATGCGGCGCAGGGTTCGGCTCATCATGCCCATCCAGCTGATCAAATCGACATGCAGCTCACCGGGGGTGGGGCGGCTGGGGACGAGGTAGTCGTCAATGCCAGACGTCAGGATATGCTGAACAGAACGGCCACGCCAGCGGTATCCCTCCTTTGTCGAGAATGCCTCACGGTCATACGATTTGATGTCACCCTGCTGAGTTTGACGGAACCAGTAGTAATGTCTCTTCATAAGAGGATAGAAAGATCGAAGGTATGCATCGGCGAGCTCGGGGTTTCGCACAGTCGCCGATCGCAAGCTTTCCGCCACATCGGCAGAATCTAATGATTCTGTTTGGTGACTCTGATTGGTCTTCACTTTGTCCATGAAAGCTTCAAGGGCCATGAACAGAGTCGGTGGATTGGCGTAGTGCGGGTACTGGACGGTGAACTCAGGAGGGACTTTGCTGCGAGCTTCTAAACCCAGGATCTGTTCACGGGCAATCCAACCATCTTCGTCCATAAGATGGAACCAGCTCTTGATAATTTCGAGGCTGTGAAAGTTAGCTTACAAGTCATGAATATTTGGAAGACAGTGTGACATACGCAAGATCCGAGTCGTATTCCATCACAGGCAGTAGATGGAAACCTTCATCCCAGAGGAACCCTCGCGGGAAAAATGGTCGAGAGGGTACACAGGTGAATAGATCCATGGGCCCTTCGAGGACTGGTTGGGCAGCAGCTCGTGCCTCGGCAGTTTCCTCCCAGAAGCCCTCATTCTCTTCGTCGTAGGCAGGAGAGTCAGATCGATCGACGAGAGCATCGCCGTGGAAGAACCCAATGCCACCGATAAGATTAGAGAGCATCGCTTTAGAGAATCGCAGATATTCGGCAGAAGTGAAAGGCGCGCGTGGCGAGAGAACCTGCTTGAACCTCTCTGAGAACGAAAGCGAAGCATGCTTAATTTGCTCGGAAATTGTCTCGGCTGCGAAAAACGTTTAGTCTGTATTCATAAGGAAGAACGTAAAATACCTACAAGTCATTGGCTTAGAAGCAGACCCAGAACTGAAGAGGACATCGAACTAATACTGTAAGTCCATGCTTTGGTGAGAGTATATTGCAGTAACTCACCTCAAATGGGCCCGTGAACACCTTCTGTACCATGTGGACATTGCCATCACCAGGACTAGGCTTGATAGTAAACAGCTGGGCAGGAGGAGGAGCGTTGCCGGATCCCCATTGTTCAATACCGGCCTCAACTTCTTTCTTCATGTTTAAAAACATTATACCTGTAATGAAATTAAGAAGCGAAATTTGAAGATTGTTTGTCGAGACGAACCTTTAGCCTGCCAGAGTTGATGGGGGGCCATAGTGGTACTAGAGACGATACCCTTGCCCAGAGGTTTCTCGTCGTAGCTAGGGTGACCATGGGCAAAGTATTCGTTGGTCTCGGGGCCCTCAGTAACCTCAATCTGGAAGGGACCAAGATCAGGAGTGAAGCCATTCAATTTCAGATTTCCATCTAGCGCAGGGCCAGGAATAGTATCCATGTCAACTCCCAACTGGCCCAGTCCTTCAAGTGTGGTGTAGAAGACCATTGTCGTAGGTTGGTCGGGAGCACCGTCGGCGCGAGGAACGCCCTTGACGCGGAATCCCCAGTTACCTCCATATCGGCCATCGGGAATCTTGACAAAATCAATGGTAAGATCCAGTGAATTTCCGGCATCGTGGATCGTCTGGCGACCTCCTTTTCGAATGTCGTATTCGTCCCAGCCGTACCCAGCCATGCCTTCATTCTGCTCGCAGGTGTGTCGGAAGTCTAGTGGATGAGGGTTAACTGGGATCTCGACGCGCAATTCTGGATTATAAAAGGGAAATCATACTGCTTTGCACAGTGCCATAGTCGTCTGTCTTGGCCCACATCAGACCAGCAGCAAGACTGTTTGAGATCCGAGGACGGACACCAAAGTACAGATTCGGTTTGTAGGGACCCCATAGCAGTGACTCGTTGTTGGCGCGAGCGGCCTCTTTGATCAGGACCGTGACATCATTTGGGTCTTGACTTGCAAGACCGAGCGCGTAAAGGAGCGAGGTCAGGATTACCGAGATCCTGAAATGATGCATCGTCATGTCGCATCAACCCAATTGGAGGGGCATTGGAAAGTCGTTCGTTCGGAGAATGAGGCAATGCTGTTCTCTCCGCAATTACGTGGCCCGAGCTCTGCGGTGCTCCACTCGACCAGGTTACTGAGTAAAGCAGGTACTTCATAGTTACAACACTTGGAAATCTTCTTTTCTTATATCCTAAATGTATAATGCTCAGTCTAAATGTGCACAATTAAAGGAGAGATCAGATTTGCTCGCGGGGATCCAATGATCCAATTTTGGCACTTTTGGCCTTGCCGTCAAACACAAACTCGCTGATGAGCTTTCCAGTTCCAGGACCGTTCTGAATGCCCCAGCAAGTGTGACCAGAAGCAAGATATAGACCCTTCGTATTCGTGAGACCTATCAAGGGACCCCCAATGGCGCAGCTAGGCAGATAGCAAGCTTGTTTCGTCTGGACCTGGCCGTCACGCAGCTCATCTGAGATACAGCCGACTTGGTCAATGATCTCTTGACAACGCTCATCGTCTACCTCCACCTCTGCAGAGGTCGAAGGAAGAGGGACTGTCTTATCTCCATCGCCGCAGGCGTAAACAGTGTCATCTGGGCGGGCGTAGATCTCGGGTGCAGCGACCGTGGGCCTCGACTGCTTAGACGGGAGGAAGTTGGCCGGGATCTCAATGTTAGTGAACAAAGCATACGCGCTGACTGGTCTTGTGGGCCGAATGACAACACTGTGTGCCCGTGTGGCGAGGATTGGCACTTCCGGGAGAACAGCCTGAGTCCAAGGGCCGGCTGCAACGATCACATCAGTAGCAGGGATTGTGCGTGACTCCCCAGATACCTTCTCGGTATATGTAACTGACTCAACGACATCACTTGGCCTCGTTATGTTCGTTACGGTGCCGAATACGACACTAAGGCCTTGCTCTTCCGCCAGCTTCGCCATAGATGTCGTGAACAAGTATGGATGGACCTGTGCAGTTTCACCCGGCCCACTCATGCTCTCGTATGCCCTTAAAAGGTCGGGCTGAATCCAGTCCAGGTCCTTAGGGATCTTCGCGCTCTTGAGCTTCGATAATGCGGCGGTGCTGCGTTTCTGTAACGATTCGCCCTCGGCTTTGGATTCACTTTTCTCGGCGAGCTTGCGACCTCGAACGACCACTTGTCCGCAGTTGGTTTCTCTGTAGCCCCATCGGTTTTTCCCATCGTGTTCATTCGCAAGTTCCCTGTGTAGAGCATAACTCAGGCCTACTATATTGCTCGGGTAGGCCCATTCCGCTAACAGACCCCCCGCTTTGCCTGATGCTCCGCCTGCGATGTCTGTAGCTTCGAGAAGGGTGATTTTGTGACGTGCTGGGTCATACGAAGGGTGCCGGGTGAGAAAGTATGCAGAGCAGCATCCAATAATTCCGCCACCTAGATTCAATCTCTGGTCAGCCTGCTCGTCGGGTAATGGGCGCAGAACGTGGGGCTGTGTAGATTGGCGCAAAAAGTATAAGCTTACCCACGATCACAATTTCCCGACGATCTCCTGCCGCGGACATTTTGAAGCTCGGCGCGACTCTGTATGCCAGTTTTGGAAATGAAGCCACGGTGCGTGATGCTGAAGAGGAGTAGAAGCGAATACCATGACCGGTTTTGGGGTCAGAAGCGATAACGTCACCGTCACCGCGACCCAGTCAACCAAGTTTTTGTCATGTGCAACGCTACGGCCTACAACGAGTAATTTTTCTTGGTCTACTTAATAAAATGGCGAGGAGTTGAGTACTAAGGATATTTGATTAATATCTCCATCGAGTATTGAGAAATAAACACAATATGCGGCAAACGAACCACGAGTTATGCCGTAAGAATTCCAGAACAGACCGGGATACCATGCTCCACAAATGCATTTTGCTGGCTTAGTCCAGCGAACGTTAAACAAGGAAGTTATAGAAGTGAGGCGTCCACCCAGAGTATCATGCGCACGTAAAAGCGAAGCGAATCGAGAAAAAAAGGGGGAAAGAAAAGCCGCTTATCGTGATGGACTGAGAGGTCGGTTGAAACCACCCGAACGATTCATGTACTGGCGGTACTCCACCTTCTTCTCTTTCCGGACGCCGTATATTTGGTTGCCAGGCACCTTGGTGTTCTTGGTGCTGCGGAAGCGACTGAACCCCATACGCTTGCGCATGAAGGCGTCCAAGTCTTCTTCATTGGCATCATCCGGGAGATCCACGTCCATTTCCTCGCTCTTTCCGCGGTTGCTTTGGCCCTTATTATCACTTTGCCGAGGTGTACGAGAACGGGATCGGTCGCGGAGTCTATCTCTAGGCGCATTTCCTTGAGGATGGTCAGTAAACAGGGCCAATTGGTTCGACTCGAATCGCCAAGACTGGAGCTTGGTTGAGTACATACCTCGCTTTTCATAGCCACGGTCATAGTTGTTACTGCTTCTGCGGTCTCGAGGCTCGCGTTCGTCGCCTCGATCTGGCTTATCACGGTCGCGGCGGTCGCGAGACCAGCTTCGTTCGCGCCGGCGTTCGTTGGGGTCTCGAGAACGAGATCGGTACCGTTGGTTGGGGGCACGGCTGGGGGGTCCACGGCGACGGCGATCGAAGTCTGAGGCTGACTCTCCTGAGCGACCCTGGTAACTGCGTCGTTCCGACATTTTCCTATTGTCGACCCCGCGGACGCGCTCTGTGGAAGGGCTCTGCCTTCGTGATCGCCCCGGCCCGATTTGGGTTCGGTCAAGTTATGTGCGCGTCGGATTCAAGTTGTAAATGAGAAACTGAGATTAGGGGATAGTTGAACTGTAATGAAGCTGAGTAAAAGAATTCAATTCTCCTTAATTCTGTGGCGAAGTGAGCGATTCGTAAAGGTGTCGCGGCAAAAAATGAATGGAGAATGGAGACGAAGTTGATTCGGCTGCCGATGCGGGCCCACTGCGCAGTTTTGAAGACACAAGCCGCTGTCCTAAGATTGCAAACATGAGGAGCAGAGGATCTTAGGAAAATTGTAGTTAATAGACTTTTAATTAGACCTGCGCTTTCAAGCTATTTTCTACCCAGAGCACACTAATATAATATTTGCATGTCTTGAATCGATGCAAGTATGACCTGTATAGTTGCAGCTGCGGCCTTATTTCTAGTGCTTTACTTACAGTAAGGGTCTCTACAAAGTAGCTTTACAGTCATGATATTCGAAATTGCTGTTTATTTTAAGTCCCTGAGCGCCTTACACTGATGATGATGCATTTCATGTATTGCTAGTATGTACAAGGGTGGATTGAGTGCCAAGGTGGAGAACTAGGAGGAAGCAGCAAAAGATTCTTATAAATTGATTTTATATGTAAATGGAATCTAGGAAAGCACATATCTCTTTCCTGGCGTAAGGAAATGAGTGGGTACATGCAATTTGTACAGTGGCTATATTGGAGCTGGAATAGGCCTTTTACCCAGTGCAAGTATGGCGAATACGGTCTCAGTCTCCACACATACTTGATATGGCCACCCAAAGCTGGAATAGGAGACTTCCTGGCATTGTGGCTGTCTCCTTAGCCAAGACACTAGAGATCGTATTCTAGTAGGCAAGGGGGGCATATATGTGAAAGATTATTCGAGTTGTGAATTTGAAAACCTCAGTTGACTACTTATGGTCTAAGGGACTTGTACAGGGCAGCTACTGGAAATCACTCATCCAAAATTCAGATAAAGTGAAAAACTTAAAACACACCGAAACCTTAGGCGTCTAGCCTGGTACAATGTGCAGTGGGAAGTTGTTAGAGATTACATCCAGAAGCCACATGGTGTCTACCATATGGCACTTACCGTAAGGTTCTTTTTTGAATCTGTACATTAGGATATCTCTACCTCATAGTCAAAGACCACCAGGCTCGTCCACTGCAATGAAATTGTTTGGTTAACTTATAGAAATGCGCATATTTTTATTAAAAGCTTGATGGAATCAGCATAGACATAGATGGCAACCGGCTTCATGTTGCCCCAGACCTGCAAGTTTGGATTGAGTGACGATATTTCATTGCCAGGGTCATTTTCCTCCCTCCAAATTCCGAGCCTGCTAGACTAGTTCGGAGGCTTATTCGCTCCGAGGTTGTTCAAAGTTCATATACGGTCTGCCTCTATCTATGCGGAGGTCATTTGAAGTACATGAAGCTAACCCATGGTGTAGTAGTGGAAACTTGGAGTACACATTGGACATTGGTCTAGATACTCAAAGGTTTGTTCTCTCCAAGGAGCATCTTGAATCAGTAGTGATGCACACTAGAAAATGGAAACTCGACACCCCTAGATTCAGAAGCTCCATCGCGGAGCAGTGCCACTAACACAAATTGCTTTTCCATAATCCTCCCGTAAGAACTCCAAGTTGCTACTGTGGCACACATCCGGCCCCACATATGGCGCACGATCAAGTTCCGATCCACGGGTAGATCCGAGGTCCCCATGCATGCCAAGAACCCTTCCAAGGCCCGCGCGCTAGTTTGGATGGGATACCCTTCGAAGGTTTGCAGCAAGTTCGAGAGCAGCATGAGTCACGGTAAATTAATGGAGATATTTTCTGTCAGCCAATGAGAACGCTCATACGCATTGCCATATTGTGAACCAGTACCAAGGGTCGCATTGCTAATCTTTTTAGCCCAGGGTTAGTAGTGGATCAGGAAAGCCTCTGAGGACATAGCAAAGACCCCTTACTACGGCAAGAGGCCATGTTAAGTAGAGCTTGCTTGAGTTTGAAAGTGTCAGAACAAGAATTGGAAGTAGCACCTGTAACTACATGGGCGAAACGGCCGACTTTTAATTCCTGGGCATCACCTTATCGTCAACATCTAGAAGCAACGCCAAGAAGCGGGGCAGACCTTCACTGCTCGGACTAGAACGCCGCATCCTATTTCCTATATTTACTGTAAAAAACGGCGAGGATAGCCCATGGTGATGCGCCAAAATAGATTGGGGCTTGAGCAGCTACACAAGAATCATCGAATGGGAGTTATCGCGAAAAATGACACTAAGGAACCTCTTAAGCAATAAGGCGATGCACAATTTTCTTCTTCAAGTTCGCGTCATTGACCCAAAGTTTGATGAAAAAAAGGTGCCCCCAGCGGTTATGCTGGGGTGGTTTCAAAAATTGTGCAGACCGTCGAAAGACCGTCAGACTTGGCGCTCACTACTAGGAGTGAGCTTGAGAACAGATCCTGAAGGACTGTCTCGGGTAAGGTTCAAAAATTCGGCCAACTGTGTTGCGCACCACAGCGGCAAAGGTGTAACCCATGGTGGAGGCTTGCAAAACTGTCTGGGGGACGCACGACCGCCAGTGAGATGAACTGAATTGGAGGGGGAAGAAGGCGTATGTAGGTCCAAGGCCCGAAAGCGCAAGGACCCCCAAGAGAAAGAGGTGATGATAGAGAGCATTTGGGGTGATTTGTGTTGAGGCTGGTGGGAGCGACCCACGATCTCTCTTACAACAGTGACCGGCCCAAATCCCCGGAAAACGTCATGTCGTGGAAATAAGTGGAACAAGGTGACAGACGTGCCGGGATGCACAATACGCGTGAAGGAATCATCTGCGCCAGGTAGCTTGTGCTAGCCGACGTGAGAGCTTCGACCAAGGAACCCTTGCAGGCTCCGAGGCCCCAACCGCTAGCAAACCCTCTGGAAGAGCGAGTGAGTCGATGGCAGGGGTTGGTGTGTCAACAGTTAGTTAAAGAACAAGTGGTTGACTCCTGGCAGTAGCGCACCGATGAATGGCCCATCTGGGGAGCGGGCTTACGAGAACACAGCCGCATCACCGTCAAAGGCGGAGATGGGGCGTGACTGTGCCTGGGAAATTGCACGAAGCAACAAGGGAAGATGAGGGGAAGGGGATGGACTTACCCACGTGGACACCTCAGCAGTAATGCAAGCCGCCATGGGGGGAAGTAGGGAGCGGGATGAGAAAGGAAAGCAAGGGGAGACACGAGAAAGGAACGCAAGACAAGACGCGAGAAAGGAACACAGAAGACGCGAAAAAGGAAAAGTAAAAAAAGACGCGCAAAGGAAAAGTAAGAGAGGACGCGAAAATGGAACACAGGACAAGATAAAAAAATGAAATGCCCAAAATGATGTGAAGCCACAAGACCTGGGCGCTGCCGCCTCAGTGTAGAGAAAGCGGCGAACGGGGTGACGATCTAACACTGTTAGCAAATAAGAAAGGGAGCCATACCTGTTATGAACTTGGACTCGGTGTAGAGAAAGCGGCGAGCGAGTTGGCGATCTAACACTGTTAGCAAATAAGAAAAGGAGCCATACCTGTTATGAACTTGGACTCGGTGTAGGGGAACCGGCGAGCGAGTTGACGATCTAATATTGTCGGCGAAGCAAGAGGAGGAGGGAGCAAAATGTACAAGAAAGTAAGACGCAGATGGTCAAAGAGGGGGATGCTAAGCGAGAAGACAGTCAAGTAGTCAAGTTACTTGGGGGAAGGGGAAAAGAAGAGAAGAAGGTGGGAGAGTTGGAGATATTTAAGTCAGGAACAGTTAATGGGGGTGTGGGGCCCTGGTCTTAGTGTATAAAGTTTCGACCAATCAGGGAGCTCTATGACCAAGTTTCAGTGAATGTGTGTTCATGAGTTGCAGCCTTCAAATCAAGGCACCAAGGCTGCTTTCCTTATTCAGCTAACAGAATTGACCTGGAGAAATTGGGGAATAGCCTTCTGGTCTGTCATGTGGATGGAGTAATTCTCAGCTGCCAGACTCGATCCCCCTAGAGTTGTGTCAGATCTACAGCCTATGTGGGTCACAGAATTAAGTTCCGGCGCTAGTGCACGGGTAGATCCGTCACATTTCCGTGCATGCAGGCTACTTGGATAATTGTACCACATACTTAATTTGCATATTATAGCAATATCAATTGACAGTGACAATTTTCTCCATTATAGCGACCTAAGTACTCATACAATACATCAATGTAATCTTTCTGCATATCTTCGTACCGAATGTACTGCCCACTACAGTACCTTGATAGGCTGTCTAGATCAAAAGCTACGCAGAGCAGATGAGATAACGATTAGGTACCACCTTGGTGTAGCGCTGGAAGAAATTTACTATTTGTTGCTTTAAGCTGCGATTTGTAGATTAAAGAGAAGCACTAAGGAAACAACTAATATTCACAAGACAACCCGTTCATTACATTCACTTATCAGAATGCACGATCAAAAGATAACGGCTCATCCTAGGTCACTAGTTCACTTCGGGAAACCGACCAACCAGCTCCTGGGATCACAAATCTTGACCATAAATTTTGGTTGGCCAATCAGCTCGTAAGATCGCAATGCCGTTCGGCCAATTGGTCTCCAAGATTGTAGTGTCATTCGGCCAACCAGCTCGTAAGATCGTAAATTTCATTCAGCCAATTAGTTTCCAGGATCGCATTGTCATTCGGCCAATTATTTTCCAGGATCGCAGTGTCATTCGGCCAACCAGCTCGTAAGATCGCAAACTTCATTCGACCAATTATTTTCTAGGATCGCAGTGTCATTCGACCAACCAACTCGTAGGACCGCAGGATCGCAAGATCGCAGATTCGGGGAATGCCTCGGATCAATCCGTCCTATTCCCCCTTCCTCTCTTCCTCTTTCTTTCCCTCCACGTGTTTCTTCGCAAGTGTGGTATGTGACCCCCCCACTTCTCACCATCGCCCTACCCTCCCACCTGGGTCACCTCCTGCCCTCCCCCTTCTTGCCTGCCCCCTCCCCTCCCTCCACACATCTCCCAGGTGGGCTCCTTGCCCCCTCCATCAGAGCCATTTGAGTTGAAGTCCCTCCTGTTATGCACCTGCAGCGACACTTGCTCTCTGGTTCGCAATTTTTTGTACCACTTTTATCACGTGCCTAGGTGGCTTCGGGGACTCCTCCGCTCGCCGCCTGGCCCTGCGGCCCTCATTTGGGTGTCGCCAGCTTACTGGAATAGCCAGTAGGCAATTTTTGGAACCAAAATATCCCCCCCCCCCCCCACCTTTCCATTCTTTGTCCCCCTTTGGGGGACCAAGCAGGCGTTCGAGGTCTCCCTCCAGTTCGCTGCTTGGCAGTGAGCATAATTTTTTGCATACCCCCAGCATAGCTGCTGGGGACCATTTCCTTTTCATCAAGCCTTGGGTCAATGACGCGAACTTGGAGAAGAGTAATTTCTAAGCAATTGTGCTCGGTAGCTCTGCCGCGAATACACGTTGACATTATTACGCACAGCTCCCGTGTTACTAGACAGAAGCTTTATCTAGACAACAGGTATGTCGACCATATGAGCACCGATAATATCGAGCGTGGAAGGCATTGGAAATTTTGTAGTGTATTTTGTCTGTATACATCTTGCATAGAAAAGTGGGACCCGCCACGCTATGTGTTTGGCCGAGCCGCATGGCGCGAAAATTTCACGGCAATTACCCCACTTCGACTTCAACGCTCTGCCCGCCAAACCAGACGACAATGGTGGCGGTCAATTTGTCCCATAGAAGGACGCATAATTTGCTCCTTATTTCGAAGCTGCTGAGTCTGCGGGATACGACGTCCCCACTCACGCTGTTAGTGGATTCATTGGAGCAGCCCGCCACACCCCTCATCCAGGAATACATCAGACGCGCCAACGTAAGTGAGACCCATTCTTGGGCTCTAGAGCATCCAGGAGACTTAGAAAGGGACTGTATTGATTCAATATGTTGACTTTGAATAAGTTGTCCAAAGTTCATGTCACTCTAGTCGCATTCGAAACTCTGAAGTGCCCTGAAGGATGTGATGCGTTTATTTCCACCCGGCGTAAGAGCCCAGCAGACATCGTCAAAGAGGCTTCACGGGCCTACCAACCAGCATCAACTGGTCCACCCAAAAGTGAGCTGCTGTGCCTGTCGGCGACCTGACTACGCTACTTTGAATTCTAGACTTACGGCCTTACTAGGACGACTCATTCTGATCGACGCGATCAATCCACTCTTGACCTCGAGGAGGGTTGACAGCAGTTTTAGCCTTCCAGCATTCTTCGGTGCCTTGAGCACTCCAAGTACATCCGCCAAGTTAGAAACATCGCTCGTGGTAGCATATCACCATGATGTGCCAGGATCCGCGCCTTCAAACCTGTACGCGCCTTCTCAATTCTCAATGCTGACTTATCTGGCGACGACAATGATCACACTGCATTCGTTCTCTCATATTCTGGCTCAGAAGGCCGCTCGCGACCGCAGCTTGGCCGCCCCTGTTTTCGGACTCGAAGAAGAGCAAGAGGGGGTTCTGCTCGGCCGACTCGATAAACTCTCTGGAACTGGCGCAGCGGAAGGCATTGTTCTTGAGTTGGAGCATCGCCGTCGTAGCGGGCGCGGTGTTTTGGAGTGGTACTTGCTTCCACCCGCCTCGCGCTACTCAGCGCGACAGGTCAAAGAGGTGGTCACGTTGCTGGATGATAACGTGTTGTACAATCCTCCCGTCGAAGCCGACGACGCTGACGAGGAGCCGACCTCTACATTCGACTTGGGTCTCACAGAGCGACAGCGCCGAGATAGAGAGGGCGTCGTGCTCCCATACTTTGACGCACAGAACGGCGATGGTCCGGGAGAAGGAGGGCGAATCCTATACGACATGGGCGAGGAAGATGACTTCGACGAAGAGGAGGACGAGATCTAAGTATCTACATAAAAGACGGGAGTTTGCCTTGGATATCTGCAAATTCATTGCATTCTTCTAGAATAGGTGGACTATGTCTGCAACCACCTGGAGGTATTAACTATGCATACATTCATACAAGGGGGATCGGGGAAACATCACGCACGGCCTGTCGCCGATAAAGCTCAAAAGAATCGCCAGAACAGAAAAATGAAGATCACGAGCCCCACGCCCGCGAAAGGCCCGTACTATACTGGTCAGCATTTGGAAATCAAGGGCCCTGGGGCATAGCGTCTTACCTGCTTCACCAGCAATTCCCAGTTGATGCGTACTGCTGCTCGTCGGTACTTCTTACTGTCCTCCCGCAGACGACCCGACAATTCTCCCATTCGCTCAAGGCTGTCTCCACGGTATAAAAGATCCTCGATGTTCTTGGTCATAACCTTTGTGACATCACGAAGCTCGTCGTTCAGCTTGTCCAGATTCTGCGAGGCGCGGCTATCTTGGTATAGCTTCTTTGTGCGCTGGATGAAGGTGTCGAACTCTACAAAGGCGTATGGGCGGAGATTGGGAGATTGGTATTGTGAGGGGGAGTACGTGGTGGTGAACTCGGAGGCCAGATCAGCGAGATAGGTGAAGGCCAGCTTGCGGGGGTACGATCGATCGCAGATGCAGAGGAAGCAGATGTCCTCTTTGATTGTGTAGCTAGCGAGCCATTAGCAAATGCCAAGGCATGTTTGCCAAGAATGCGTGCCCTGTCACTCACTGGAGGTTGTACTGGCCAGACTCTATGCTTGCCTGGGGCGCGGAGTTGCGATTCAGGCGGCGAAAGATCATTTTCGCTTGCCCTTTGATTTCAGAAAGCTCTGACTCAGCCTTTCTTTGACAGTTAGTCTTTCAAGCAATCGAAGAGTTCCTAGATCTGTCCTCGTGTCCTCACCTGCTCGTCATCCACTGAAGCAGCTAGCATCAGGCCTAGTCATTGCCCAAGAATTAGCATTTCTCGCTCTTCCACAAATATTACAGGCATACGCACCATCCAGCCTTGAAATTTGCGTCGACTTGACCATCCTGACGAGACCTTGAGAGTTCAACGGAGATAGTTGTTGTGCATCAACGGCGCAATCGGCCACTATGTCCCGCGAGACAAAGGCGGTCAAGAGAGGCAGATCGCAGGACTTGCAAGCTCCCCAAGGCCCTTCTCAGGGACATTTCTTTTACTGACATGCACATAGAGATCAACCTTCAAATACCCCTCCCTGTGCAAATGTAGCTAGGCAGCTACATAGGGCCATGTCGCCGACTGACTCCCGGGTGGCCAGCGCTGTCAAAGAGACGTCCAGGAAGGCCCGGGGCAGGTGGAGCGAGGAGCATTTGATGACCAGCGATAAGTCAATTCTGATTGATAAAGACATCGTGGTAAGTTTTTGCAAGGCGGAGGACTACTTTTGAACCCTCCTTGCGACAAACACAGATTGACTCTTGATCTCGTTTCTAGAAACTCCTCGCAAGCCCCGGAGCATGGCATTGTTTAGAAGAAGCTGAGAAGCGCGAGATTTTATCACTATTACCCGCCGATACCCACCCTAATCCAGAACCAAATCCGGACGATCCAAGCTCAGGAATACCCCCTTTGCCCGATTCGTTCGTTCGCTACTCGAATAACTGGCGGGATGGGATCCGTCAGTTCCAGCTCGACCTTCAGAATGGCCGATATAACCCCGAATGGCTCCGACAGGCCGAAGAAGCCAGAATCCAGCGCGAGAATGGTGAATTCGATGCGTTCAAAGAGCGTGAGTTCGAGGAATTTTGGGGACAGAAGCAAAAGCTGAACAAGAGTCTACTGTCCGGGGAAAGTAGCCGCGTTTCACTAGAGGCTCTTGTTGATGCAGGTGTCATCCAAATAGGCGATGTCTGGAGATTTGAGCACGCGTTTGGCAAGGGAGACGATCGCGTTCTGGTGGAAAAAGAAGCCAGAGTATGTGCGCGGCCGCTTTTTGTTATTTTGTTCTTATTATTGACCAAGTATAAATAGGTCCAAGAGATCAACGGCTCCAAGCTGACATTCGTGGTGCCGGGTGGCCACCGAGTCTTTCTGTCTAGCACCGCCCATACAGCTCAAGCGCATGCGCCATTAGACGCCAATGACGGACAGAAGCCAGAACTAATAAAGGAGCCACCGTTTAAGGTCGAGGAAGGCCATCCAGGCCATCCCGAGAACGAACCAGACAAGGGGGAGAACCTACCCGCCAATATTCCAGAATTCGCCAGTGCCCCAACATATCTGGAGAAACAAAGCGGCCTAGTTCTGGATGAATCTCTACACCAGAAGCCATCGCAGGAGGGTGAACGCACCAACTCGGGGCAGAGGGTTGTAAAAGTCGAGATCCCAGTGTCAAACCGCGTGGATAAAGAACAACCCAAGGGTCTTGAAGATCTTGCAGGCAGTATCATTGCCGAACCGAGTGCCGAAATTACCCCCCCTTGATGAACATGCGCAAGGTAGAGATCCAAATCTAGAAGTTGTCATATCCAACTGGGAACTTGAGAATCACAAGCGGAGCGTGCCCCGAACCTGCCGCTGAGCCTCCGCTAAAGCGGAAGAGGGGAAGGCCCCGGAAGGATCCCTTGCCTACAGGCGATGGTCATACCGAGGACGACTCAAGTCTTTCCAATAACCCGCCCGGTGAGGGAAACACTGAAAATAATGTCGAAGTGGTTCTGCCGGCGGAGCCCCAAGGCACTTCTGCACCTAGCAGCTCTGATCCTGCCAGCGTGAACGCGATAGACTCGGCTGCGATACCCCCGCATCACGAGAATCGAGACTACATGAAATTGGAAACTGTAATGGAAGCCCAAGATATCCCATCCCAACCAGAAACCTCGAGTGAACCTCAAATTACCCTTGACCCAGAGCCGCAGCGAGATCTCATGGCAAACATCGGACCCCAGCACGAGGCATGCCCAAGCACTGCATCATCTCCATTGTCCTCGCCTCCACCATCACCAGCCGCGGAGCCTGAAGCCGATGAAGTTATTATACAGAACGTTGCAACGCCCAACATGCTCGTGGGGAAAATCCTAGAGATAGATGGTCGGAAGGCGGGCTCCCGAGCTTCCAACTCGTGGAAGGAGATTCGTTGCTATCGGAAAAATCAAGACATGGGCTCTCTTTGGGATGTGCGACTCGCCTGGTTTCACAAAAATAGGTAGAACCAGTTGGAGAGTATCGTCGTGGCTGGTATAGCATAAGCCTATCTCCAGGGCTTCAGGCTACTCGATTACAAACCCTTGTATAGTGTTCGGCCCGGAGCCGCCAAAACAGGGTGATCTTTCTCATTTACAGCACCGGACTACTGCCATAGCAGAATCAAGTTCAGAAACACGAGATGTTGCTATTTCTTATAGTTCTTAGCGCGGATTTTAACCTGCAGTAAATAAACAATTCCGCCGTTGGTGTACTGCGTATACAATAGGGGGGCAAAAGTCTGTGTGCATACCGCTTCTGCCATCTATCCCATCAAATACCTATGTATATTCATGGTTTCATATCCTACACCACCAGATATATAAGAAGGGCTCTCGCCTCTGTAATATTTGGGTGTAAAAATCTAGCCATCATCTGCTGAGGTGTCCAAAATCCTCGTCGTTTTCTCTGCCACGGCCACCAAGGAAAATCAGTGATCGACGCCGTTTCAACGACGCCAGATTGAGAAACCAATATCTCATCCGCGGCATGACCTCGTGATCCCAGCAAACCAGAAGCCCAAGATCTACTCAAGTGCGGCAGCGCGATCGTCCCCGCCGAAGCGAATGACCCCGAATTCCTCTGCAAAGCCTTCGCAGGCGCAAAGGTCGTCTCGAGAAGTACGATCAACATCTACGACAGAAACACCAAAAAGACCGAGCTCGAACACGGACATTCCCTGGCCGATACCGCCGTCGTCCTCCTCGTGCCCAACCGAATCTAGTCGACATTGCCACATGTGGGCAAAGCTCACGATAGAACACTAAAAAACTCAGGTAAAAGTGTATATCCGCTCGTTGCCTATTCGCATTTCGTTCGTTGCGCCTGGGTCATTCATGCAGAATTTCCACGCCGAGATAAATGCCTCCGGCTGTTGCTGAGGCCGTGTGGGCGTTAGCGGGCCTGGTTTCCCCGATACAACTCTGCCTTTCATTGACACTCGAGATGATATGGGGAAGTGGGCTGCAGCGATTTTGGCTGATTTCGATGCTTGTTTGTTTCGGGCGCTACGGCACTTTATATATACAAGGAAATCGCGCAAGTGAGATCTAACATCCTGGGGTAGAATGTGATATATAGCCAGGTGCAGGCTGATGCGTGGAAGGGGGTCTTGAGAGAGACTAAGCGTAAGCACATCTATGACATGCTTGTGTATTTCCAAGACTACGGGTGCTACGTTGGGAAGAATGACCGAATTTGAAGGTGATGGGACAAGGGCACGAGGGCATTTGAATACATTGGAGTTATCTGACGGCTCTTTGGCCCTGCACTTTGGGACAAGAGGAACTTGTGCTCATAGTCCGGAAATTATTGCTTCTTTTTCTTATTCTTTCTCTTTTGCTTTTTCTCCTTTACGAACGATGAAATGGTATAAATTTGGCATTAATATGATAGTAGCCTTTCAATTAGATTTCAGATATCATGGAACCGGCCATCCGAAGAGAGTATTATCATAAGAGAATCCTCATAAGGAAGACAGAGCCGAGGAGAGAGTACAATAGGGGGCAAAAGTCTGTGTGCATACCGCTTCCATCAAATACTGATGTATATTCATGGGTACATATCCTACACCACCAACCCTTATTGGATCATACTAAAATTCAAAATACTGAATAATCAGGTTCATATACGGAGTTCTCTTGTTTAATATTTTATATAATGATCTTGATTTATATACAATCTATATATCATTATTCCTATACTTGCTAAAAATCATTCCAGATTGATAGCGATCGACACCATAGGGGAGGTGCAGGAGAAAAAAATGAAAATGTGGGTGGTTATTAGGTGATGGTAAACACAGACTTTTGACCGGGTGGTGTATTACAGCTGAAAACTAGGTGAAACGATACGGTATTAAATACGATGTACTTTACGATTACCTCCAACTCATTCTGTATCAAGAATTAGCGAACTAGGATTAGGAATGGACAACAGCTCCTACTTATTTCCTCTTAAGGATCGATACAGGCAGCTTCCAGTGACCTCGGGATCAACGCTCTAGATCATATATTGTCAGCGTTATCAGCGTATCGGACGAGTTATCGCCTTTATCAGAATTATTCTCCGATCCCGGGGTAGTCTCGCCCCCAAGGGCCAAGGCACATAAGTGCCAACCTTGCCCTGTGGACAGGTCCCCAAAAATATGTTTTGTCATTTCAAGCTTTCTCAATCATAGATAATCCAGAATGTCAGTATCAGACGAGTTTCATTTCTTTCCCTGTCTGCCCCCTGAATTACGACGGATGGTGTGGCGTTTCTGCTTACCATCTCGTGTTTGCGAGATAGATGCGCCCTACGATCAGTGTGCCTTCGAAGAGAACCATGTCTATGGGCCACCATGTGAACTTCAGACATCAACATTGCAGAACTCACGCCCCCCAGTCATCACTAGGGTATGTCACGAATCACGTGCGGTCGCATTCGAAACGGGTTGCCAACTCAATGCCAGCTATGGCCATGGCGCACCCGACGGATTTGAATATCGTCGTGCTATCACAACGTGGTTCGACCCTTCAAGGGACGTGATTCATTTAAATTGGACCCCGATTTACGAAGTAGAGTTCTTCGGCTGTTATACAGGGGAGCCCCTGGCGCTTCTTGCGTGGTATGCTGCCCGATTTGATCTCCGGCCCTCCTTTATGTGCGCTTCTATTGGCAAATTCGAACATCTCAATCCAGACCAGATCAGCGCTCTCAAACAGCGGCCAAACTGGTTAGTTGTGATGCGGACGATAATTGTTCACTGCGACTATAAGTCTGCTAGAGAGTCCGGTCTATTTGGACTACTCGGCGATGCCCGGATCCAGATCGTGGATGTTGCAGATCAAGCAAGAGTCAGGGCATATATTGATTTTGCGGAAAAGATGGAACTTGAATCTACGGATGCCCCGAGAAGGGACATACCCCGTGATTACCAAAGCTTCAGCCAACAGAGCACAAGTTTGATGGAAAGGGACTTGAGGGAAAGAATGATCAATTCATGCGGAAAGAAAGTGGCAGAGGAGCTTCCAGCAATACGACCTGCGATGATGTTTCGATATTGCCCTATGATGTGCAATCATACAGGAAGCCAACGGCTCAAAGTACGTGAGATGGAGAGGAAAAGTCGACTGCCCGTGCGGGGCCGGGGTCGAGGAAGGGGCGTCCAGTGAATAGACAGCTTAATATTTGACTTGGAAAACCTTCATGTACTGTATATCTCCAGGTCACTTATTCGACTCTGTACTGCCTGGTCACAACCCTTACGAAAGGATCGCACGGTACATGATGAATGCACACACAGCCTTATATCCTCGGAAACCCCCACACGAGATGCTATTGCATCACAATGTATGCATCTGACACTTCATTAGCTGAGTCAATCCAAACAGAAATGAGATCTTATACTAAGAGTATATTAATCACAAAACTCGCTATTAAGAACACTCTGATATCCTTGACTCGCTTGAGCGGCAAGAAAATGATTCTGGTACTTTTTCGATGCACTATATTCCGCGACAAAGTCGCTAATCGTTTGAGTAAGATCAACTGCATTGACTTCAGGATGGGCGTCAAGAGTTGCTTGAGAATCAAATTTCTCATATGTGCTGCCATCACTGAGAGTCTCGGTGGATGTTTCAACATCCTTTTATGTAATATCGTTAGCGAATACCCCCAGGACGCTAAATGAAAAGTTTTTTTTTCCAGGTGGCACATACCCACGTATATCCTCTCTTATGTAGCCATATGTTCACATTTTCTATAGCTTTCTCACTTTGGTCAGCCACACGGGCCTCATGATTGTATGCCATAGAGTCCCGGGCACCCAAAAGCTGAGCCGCAAGTGGTTCGTCCCCGACCTCATCACGGCAAGCTTGAATGACCCCGAGGATCTTATCAAAGACTTCACTGAAGGGAGGTGTAGTATGTCCATCCATGTTTTCGTAGTCATCTGGTAGAAGACGCCGTACGTCTGTGTTACCGGCATACCCGGCTGCACTCAGCTGTGCAGCGGCATCTTTAGGATCGGGCAGAAGATTAGCCCCTATGTTGGTTCTGAACCTGGGGCTTCCCCCTGGGGGTATCGCTCGGATTTTGTTGATGAATTCATCAAAGAGGCAACTTCCATCCACAGAGCTCCCTCTGCAGTCTCGTGCGATTATGGTGTTCCCCGCACCGAAGACGATGACATCCATGCGATATGCGTACCAAAGATAGACACCCTTGAGAATTAATTGTCAAACCGAAGACTCACAGAAAAAGATCTTGTTTCTTGTACTCACTAGATACGGACCTGCACGATAACTGGCCATGGCCTTTTGTGCTAGGCATAGTGCACTCCAGGGCTTCAGGCTACTCGATCGCAAATACTTGCATAGTGTTCGGCCGGGAGCCGCCAAAGCAGAGGGTGGTAGCGCCTTCCTTGTGTAGATTCTCAGCGTAGTAACCTCGCTGTCGCTCCCAATCATTGGAGTTCTCTTTCCTTAGCCATCCCAAAACATCTTTGAGTCTTTCGTCTTTGGAAAAGTCCATTTTGAGCACCCTTCTACTCATTTTTTGGTGTAAAAATGGCAGAAAATACCTCACTTTCGGCCCTTGAAACAATTTTTGGGGCAGGGACAAGGCTTTGGCATGTCTTGGGGGCAATCCTTGCTGGGATTGCTGTGCTTGCAGTTATATTCTGCGGGGCATACTGGTGTGTGCAAGCTTTGAAGAACCGGTAAGATGTCTATTCTAACTTCCAAATGCCTCGGAAATCTTTATTAATACCTGTACTATAGGTACATACCCATGGGAACACTTGTTCCATCCGCGGAGGGACTCAGGTTCACCCGCCTTTCGCTCCATTTTCACCGTTCAAGTAAGTCCAGAGACTCCATTTCTGCCTGTCAAGGAATTGAAAGTTCTAATGGCCTTTTAGTGACCCCGGGATGGATCGTCGGTCTCGCCCTTTGGCTCTGTGAACGATCCAAGCCGGCCGGGCAACCCAAGAAAGTCACAATGAGATCCGTAGTCGCCAACTGGCTTCGCCGCAGACAGCATCCCGATGATGAAGAACAAGCCGAGACTCGGATTCCCACCCCTGATCCAGGAGAGCAGAGCAACCGGCCTACATAAAGAAAAGGTGACTGATAACCCACCGAATCGCTAGGAGCCAGAAGAGGGCCCTCCCTGAAGAAATAGGGGAGGGTCCTCTTCTGTGCTTCGGAGCCATGGTGGGGATACAGGAGCCAGAAGAGGGCCCTCCCCGAAGAAAATAGGGGAGGGTCCTCTTTTGTGCTTCAGACAAAAGGTGGCGACCGGCTTTTGATGGGGTTCCATGTGTATTCTTAGCCGTTTTGAGGTTGTATGTTTAAATCGGGACACGGGAGTTGGGACACGCGGGTGTACGCGAGTGTACGAATTTTTGTGACGCCTGGACGTTGCTTTCTAACTGTATAACTAATGGAGCTATTCCTGTTGCCGTCTTGCCGCATCTTACCGCCTAGTTAGTTATAGTGCTGGCTATGTTTCTAACTACGAGCTTTTTGTCCACATTGGTGAAACCCTCGATGGTAACCCGAATAACATCTCAATCAAGCAATACGAGGATGAAGGAAATATTCTGATCTACGACGGTAACTGGGTATCGTGGCTGACTCCTGAAAGCTATGCGGCTCGACGAGCATGGACGGACGGCTTGAATTTCGCCGGAACCTCTGACTGGGCGGCGGATCTGAACACCACATATGGCAAAAACGGAACAGGAGACGAGCTCCCGACTGACGGGGAAGATAATTACCAGATTTGTGATTACGGCCGCTCCTTCGACGACCTTGATTCTCTCAATTCTGTTGCCGCAAATTATCGGACCGACTGCGCCAATTACTATGCCTTGAGCGTGTTGACCAGATGCTCGACACAGCCTACGCAAATTACACAGCAGTGAACAACGGCTACGACGAACTCTACGGTTATTACGTCAAGTACATGGAGAAGTTGGTTCCAGAGGTTCTGTCCTACGAGTTCATGTTCAACTTGAGCGAGACAGGAAAACATGCTCCCACGCCTAAGCCGGGCATCGGAATGAATTGTATGTATAGACATACCGGATTAAATCATGTAAGACACTGCTAACTTGGATATCGATCAGATTTTGACTGCGCGCCCAAGGGAGGGTCAGAAAAACCCTGCACTTCCTATAATTATGACGTACCTATAGACGGTGCAACGTACGAGCTTATTGATGAGGATGGTTACAATGCGAAGCTGGGTGATTTGGGATTGGAGCCTGACTGGGTTGTGTTGGCTGACTACACTTACAAGTACGCCTATGAAGCCCAGAGGTATGGTGAAGTTGATAGAGAATGGTCAATCCACAACTTTCCTACGAAGAATGAATCTATGGAGGTGCCCAATCCCAAAGATATCATTACGAAGGGCCTTCCAAACATGGATGATCTGAGGACTCAACTGTCAGCTACCATGATGGATATCATGCTAGGTCAATGGATCAACGGCACCGCAGCCGATGCTGTTCAGGTGTACAGCGCGCCAATATTCTTAATGATGCAGGCGGTGGATGGTATGGCGCAAGTCAAACAGCTTGGTACCAAAGAAGAAGAGGATGAGGAGGATGAGGAGGCTGAGAGAAAGCGAAAGAAGAACTTCATCCTCCTCATCATCAGTGTTGTTCTAATGGTATGAAGACTTGTCCCTTTCCGGCGTTACTCTTACATCCATGCAGTTGCTGACGAAGACTAGTTTGTACCTGTTGTCGGTGAGGAGTTTGCAGCAGCAGCAGGTTTAGCTACTCTTGCTCGCTCGATGGCAATTGCTGGCGAGCTTGCTAATGGAGCGTATGCTCTGTTCGACACCATTGATGATCCCAGTTCCGCCGTGGTGAACGTGCTAGGGATGTTATTTGGGCTTGGTAATATCGCCAAGATTGCTCGCGATGGCAAGGGGATTGCATCTGCTGCCAAAGTCAGGACTGCCATGAAGTCTTCAGAGGTTTCATCTTTGGGGACATCTTCAAGCGTAATGACGATAAGGTCCAGTCGATCTTGAAGCATTGCCAGCTGAAGAACGCCTGAAAATGGGGGACGATTATTCAACTACTGCAACATAGATAGTATTCTCATAAGATACATTAGTAACATCTTTTAGCATTCGAGACGGAGATGTTTCAATTAAAGCAAATCCTAACATTCTTCACAAGAATCTTAGTATCGAGACCCTATGGGCCAAAACATGTAAGGAGAAGACAAAGCCAAAAATCCAATTTCTCTTTAAAAGCAATGGGAGAACTCGTCGTGGAGACCTAGAATGTAGGCTTTGAAAAGAAAGATGCTGTAGGCATTGGATTCAAGACCACCTTTAAGGTTGAAAGCGGGCTGGCACAGCTTTTGCTGGTCTTTTTTAAGTTCAAAGCCACGAAACTCAATACAACATCCGCATTCTTTGGTGCAGTGTCCTCTAGCACGAGATCGAGTAGCACTCGGCTTTTCACAGCACTTGCAGGCTCGACCACAGCACCCCCCTCGACTTGCACAGTCGTTGCATAGTAGGTCACTAAGGTACCACACCGGATCCTTTCGCACTTCATTGTAAGCCCGAAATATTGGCCTGTAAAATGTGTCTGACCAGCATAGGCACCCAAGAGAGAGCTCTCTATCAATGCGCCAATAATCTTGGTTAAGTCTTTGTAGCTCGTCTTGCCAGTTATCGAGGTTCTGTTGCGAGTATGGTTCTTCCTTCATCGCTTTGATTTGGCCGAGGACTGAGCTCGATTTCTGTATCAAATACTCCTCTCTCTGGATGACCTCACGTATGGTAATATCAAGTTTGATCATAAGATTCATCCAGGCCCCTACCTTCCGTGGCCAAGTCCGTTTGCAACGGCCCATGATCTGGTACAGACAACATAACTGAGCGTAATCCCTTGCTTCATGATCTTCAATAGGAAATTCCCTGCACCACTTCTCAGCCCTTTCGTCTGGGATCTCCGGATCCATTTCCTGTTGTGGCATATTGAAGAATACTTTGTGAGAAGTGTTAGAACGAAGGGAGATCTTGTTGCAAAAGAAACCTGAAGGGGATTGAAAATCCAAAACTTTCAGACAGAGTTGATTATGATTTGATCATGACCTCTAGATTCGTCATCAATATTTAGCATTTTCTGGTTCAGATGATGTATTGCTATTTCGATAGTATATCGGTGGATTATCATTGGACCTAATTGAGTTTTACGCACTCCTAGCTAAGTGACAAATCTCATCAAAAAAGGCCTCGCATAAAAACATAATAAATTTATGACCAACGGAAAACATGTCTTCGTAAAATAAATCGCAAATGCCCCTTCAGATCAGCGGCATTGTCACCCGGTTCTCGTAGTCAACATTATCCTTGACACTTTCGATCCGATCACGGCAAGTCCCAAAAATTCGGTCCCAGAGTCTAGTTTGCTTTCCATAGTTATGGCTTTTTCTCCATCCGTACCGGTGATGAAGGTCATGATCTTCAATCACCAGCTCTGCATCAAAAATCTCCAATAACCAATTGAGTGTGGACGGCGCGCCGCCGTGGATCCTCAGTCCGCTGTGGCCGATGAACTCAGAGAAGGCGATGTATTGAAAACACACCCACCACTCATAGAAACCCATTGGCATGCTCATGAGCTTCATTGTCCCATACGCCATCAACGGAATTCCGGTGATATCCATAAACTCCTGTTCATGATCGGCGTACGCAGATAGAAGGGGGTTGGGGTGCTTTGTCAAGTGATGCTTGCGGTGGAATTTCCAGAAAGGGCCTGTTGCATGCATCGTGCGATGATACCAGTAGAACCAGAAGTCGACCGTGATGCTGTAGATGCCGATCTCAAGTGGTAGCCATTTCCACTGGAGCGAATCGGGGGGTCTTGTCCGACTGGTATGTAAGGTAGATAGCCATGATCATCCGGAAGGTCGAGGTGGACATGAGTTCTCGAATGACCTTGCCGACGCCGACGTCGGGGATCTCGTCTCGGGGGTGCTTGTCGCCATCTAAGAAGCCGTAGACTTGACCCAGACGACGCATGATGTGCATTTCGTGGATTCCGTTCAACTTGAATGCAGTTGAATAGAGAGCAAATGCGGCCAAGACATTGAGATTCTGTCCTGTGTACGCGGTATATGCATGGTGAATGGCAAGTGGGATCGCGGCGTGGAGGAGGATCCATAAGTGAAGGGTCCATTCCCGCACGGCGGGAATTTTCTCACTCTTCGAGAAAATGGGTGGTTCTTTTTTGAGATCGATAAGGTGTAGACCAAGAAGCTCGATCACCCAGTGCCATAAGCCCCATTGGGATTTATCGTTCCGCCAGGTAGAGACCATTGAGTCTCCATGATTTCGCTTTGTTTTATTGATTTCGGTAGACATGTTGACGGTATGCAAACATATAACAGGTTGTCTGCTGATGCTAAATCGGTCGACGTGGAGGCACCGTGGTGCTCCAAGAACTAAATATCATGGTTCATACATCGGTTGGATGGGATCGGGGTTAGTTATGTCAACATGTGAAGTCAGGATCATCGCCTTATGACGGCTAGTCAGTGATGTAGGAAGAACTTTAAAACGCCCTCTTCAACGAATCAATCTTAATAAATCAAGCCCAAAGCTCGCTTAGGAAACGTTGGGGCTGCTAAAACCGCTCTGGCGAGCGATCAGCAAGGCCCGTGAGGGCGTTGATTGCCTCGGTCCATAACCAAAGCAGTAACCATTGCGGCGTCTGTGGGGTAGTCTCCACTGCTTCCCCGCGAATCACTCCTAATGCTCCGGCTTTCATCATCTCTTATACAAGTCACAGGGGTCCCAGCCCGAGGGGCGAAGACCAGGCTGCTGCTCAATCACTTGTAATACTACCCAAAGGTTCGGCATCAAGTTCGTAACCACATGTAACATGGACTGATTTTCCGATGAGCCCACATACTACCACGGAGGGAGCTCCGTGGTAAGAGGGGTCTCTTGATATCTTTGGAAAGTTGGAAATAGGCGTGCCATCTTACTCTACGTCTTGTATGTTGAATGCCTGCCATGTAGCGCGGACGGGATCGGGCTATCTGTGATGATATCGGTAGCCTCCGCTGATCGTTCCGTCAACTCGTTGGGCTGACCCAGGAAGAAGGACAGTTATGAAGAACTGTCGATTGCACTCAAGGCTGTCTCATACGAAGGTCCAATTCCTTGCGCTATACATCGGGATGGCACTTGACGTCCGGTCATGTCGGAAAAGTCTACACGAAACTTGAATAGAGTAGATACTACAAGTATTTTTGAGTCTACGCATAGGCTGCGTTCACTTGAGCCTTACCTTATTACGGCGGCAAGAGATATAATGACTCTCTTCTCGAAGAATCGCTCAGCTCGAGAGCGCAGAACGATCGGGCGAAGCATGCATATCGACAAAGAGGCGACCTGTTGGCAGTCCGAACCTAAATACGGTTATCCTAGCGTGAGTCCTTTCAATTCATACGGCCTAAGCAACAAGAGCAAAAAAGACAACGTGGGGATAATCCAAGATCTAGCGATGCAAGATCGACGTCTTGACAGAAGTACCTGTCACATATAACCAAAATGTTCATTGGCGGGTCTTCCACGCTGATCAGGTGCATTTGCGGCTAGCCAGTCCCGGAACGAGTCCAAGACAGTCTTGACTGATCTGGCACCGAAACTTTGCGACTTGAAATTTAAAATGATATCATAGCCAGAAAAGAACCGCAGGAAGCCAAAGAAATGACTTTTTACGAGGTTGATTCATGCGCTGAACGATTCCCGTCTAACAGAGGGGGAGACACGAATGCCAAGACCCACTGGTCCCAAAGCTATTTAGCTCCCACTTGGTTTACCCCGTTTGGTCGCGCTGGCTTCTTCCACCTTCTACTGTTCTCTCATCATCCATCATGCCGGAGCAACAGCGCAGGCAAGAGCCAGAGTCCACGGGTGTATGTTGATTTGGTCGTGCTTACTGTTTCATGCTGATCGCTCTATAGTCGGGCTTCAAGGGGGCCCTCCAAGGTCTCGGTCTCTTTTTACTCATCCAATTTGGTATGAGCCAATTTTTTGGCAGCAAGCAGAATGCGAACACCAATGCTGGCGCCAGTGCGCCAAGTGCTGTGCCTGCCTTCGTCGATCGACCCCATCCGAGCGAGATTGCCGAGCCCAGCCTCGTTCCTGATCTCATTGCCCCGATCTGGGCCCCCGACAGCGCCGTCGACATTAACATCTACGTGACTCCATCGATCGCGGTTCCTTCCTTCAAATCTGCGGCTGGTGAGCTGGTGATGCAGGAAAAGAACTTCACGATTGGAAACTACAGCGACACGCGTGAGATCGATACCATCATCCAGGTCCCGAAACAGGTCCAGCACAATGGAACTTTGTGGGCTCACTTCTTTGTCGCTCGCACTGGGTACCAGCTAGATCCGGCTGCCAAGGATTATAGCTCTGATAACGCGGTCTATTTCCCTCGGCCACTGAACCAGTACCTCCCCAAGAAGAAGGCAAAGAAGTTGAAGAATCTCCTGTCTGGACCTGAGGAAGGAGAGCAGGAAGAGGAAGACGATGGTACCCCGGATGTTCAGATCGTTTCTTACTATCACCCCAACTTTACCGTTTCTATCATCCCAGACTCCGGTATATTGAAATTTTCCCAGGTGCAGCCTGCTGTTCGACAGTATGTCCAGTTGGAACGCACTGGCGCACGCGACGCCAGTGGCAAGCATGGATGGTACTACCCAATTCTTTTCTTGAACACTTTTTGGCAGCTTAAAAGCCACATGAGAGAGCTGAATTCCACCGTTGAGAATGTTCCGCTGCGTATTACTCTTGATAACATGGCCAACTGGAAGTTCAACATCTTGTCAAGTATTGACGAGGGTTCGAAACACAGCGCTCGCCAGGCTGCATATGGTGGCCCGGTTCCTGGCGGTGGCGATGGCACGGAATGGGAGATGGTTAAGGAGATCCTGCTTGACACCAACATCTATCTCCTGGGAACCACTGGTATTGTTACTATCCTGCACATGATTTTCGAAACCTTGGCGTTCAAGAACGATATTGTAAGTTGAATACTGGCCCCCTGAGCGTAAATTTTATGGACGACTAATGCTTCTTTTCCCCCAAAGTCCCACTGGCGCAAGAAGAAGGACGTTGTCGGTACATCTGTGCGGTCGATCCTGGCCAATGTCTTCATGCAGGGTGTCATTTTCTTGTACCTAATGGACAACAGCGAGAACACATCATGGATGATTCTTGCCAGTCAAGGTTTTGGAATCTTGTTAGAAGCGTGGAAAATCACCAAGTCCGTCGACGTCCGTTTGCGCCCGCCGCCCACCGGCTCGTTCTTTTCGTTCTTGCCTTATGTCATTGTGTTCGAGGACAAGCATAAGCTCACCGAGACTGAGAAGAAGACCCAAGAGTATGATGAGATTGCCTTCCGCTATCTCTACATCGTTGCGGTTCCATTGCTTCTTGCCTACGCTGCTTACAGCCTGATGTACAACACCCACAAGTCCTGGTACTCGTACATTATCGAGACCCTTGTAGGAAGTGTATACGCCTATGGCTTCCTCATGATGGTTCCCAGTCTGTACATCAACTACCGCCTCAAGGTACGCACTCTTCCAATGTTTTCGTCGCACACGCTAACATTTTCTTACAGTCTGTGGCCCACATGCCCGGCAAAGCGCTCACGTACAAGTTCCTGAACACTTTCATTGACGACCTCTTTGCTTTTACTGTGAAGATGCCCTGGCTGCACAGACTGGCCACTCTTCGTGACGATGTCATCTTCTTCATTTGGTTGTACCAGGGCTGGAAGTACAAGGTTGACTACACTCGCGTCAACGAATTTGGCCAGGGAGGTGATACTGACGACGAAGATGAGAATGGTAATGAGCATACTGAAAAACCAACGACCACGAACGAGGCCTCGGATGAGCAATTAGCTGCCGCGCAGCCCACTGCTACGCAGAGCTCTTCAAATGCCAAGTCCAAGCCTGCCCGCAAGCGCAAATGAGCATTAATCTCTGGGGCCATTGCTGTCTCGATTATCGTTGACTCTGATCCTAAATGCTCGTCAGGCTTGTGTCGAAGCGCGACGAATTCACTTAATGCAGCCCTCCGCTATTCGTCGGATGGGTATCTATATTGGACTTTTTAAGAAGTTTCACTTCCCTTTCTGTAGATTAGGGATAAGATATTAATTCAATCTACTGCCTGTTGTATTAAATAACCTACTTTGTAAAGTTGGCTATGCAAGTCGCGTAGCGATCCGCACTTGTTATGCATTACCCGATCGGGACTAAGGCGGCGTTCCTACGGCTCGCGCGATTTTCTACTCGCAACGCTGTGCGTCGATTAATGTATGAGATTGAAAGTCTCGTCGAGTCACTTGCCTGAATCAGACTAATTACCAAAAAATATACTTCGCTATTCCAGACCCAAAGAAACCAGGCGGCGCGACGTTCGCGACTCTGCCTTGACGCGCGCCACGGCTCCGACACGCAGCGGCGGCAGTGGTCAACAGACTCTCAATCCAACCAAGACAGCGCAATATGTCGCACTCTCCTGAATCGCCAGGTATATAACCTTTGTGCTCAACTAGGAACAGAGCCTTTCGCTGATGACATCCCAGAGCATGGACAGCATGGACGACTTGCGGAAACTGTTGAACATCTAGAAGCCGGTAAGTAGCCACATGTGTTAGCAAGGGCCTATTCTTATCATTACATTAGTCGCTTTTGTTCCTGTCAAGCAAAGATATACAGATGCGAACCAGCTCGCCCAGACCATTGCATCTGCCGCTTATGAGAATGGAATTCCAGCCGATATCCTGCGTCGCCTGTTGAAGATTCTGACCAAGAAAAACAACCTCGACCAAGGCACGGTCACCACGCTAATCAAGAACCTTTACCCCCAAGAATTAATCGCCTCCAATCATGTGACGCAAGTTGTTTGCTGCCTCGGTCCTAGCAAGGCCAAAGCTAGTCCAGCAACACAATCTCTTCTCGTTCGATGGCTAATCCTGACGTACGACCTGCTCGAGGATAAGTCACATCTCGGGAAACTTTATGCAGTGCTTTTCAATCATCTGGATATGATCAGTCTCCGCAAACCGCTGTGCCACTTGCTCTCCCTCATTACACGACGAAAGCACGTCAAACCGTTCCGAATTCAAGCCCTTATGGAGCAAATCCAGAATGCTGGGGGGGATGAAAAAGAACTTTTGACTTTACTGAAAGTGTTCAAGAATTACTATCCTGAGATTATTCTGGGTGGTGGGACGCGCAGGGCACTCTTCTTCAAACATGCAGATCCAGAATGGTCAAGTCATGCAAAAGTCCTGCTGGCACAGAATACCGAGAGATCAGAGGCCGCGGCATCCAGTATCCAGTCTCTTCAGAGGGGATTGGCGAAGCGGACCAAGATTGAGGTTGTAATTCCGGTTCTGCAAACATCGCGAGTCTCGAACAAACACACTTCGCTCGAGGAATTGCGCAGCATCGAACATTTTGTGGACAAAATTGATCGGATTGAATTGCCAAATCAAATCATCTCGACACTAGGAGATGTGATGGCGCGAAAATACATTCACCTCATTCAGTCAGAAGCTGCGAACCATCGGCTTGATGAGTGGTTGGGGAATTTCCTACAAGACAAACTGGAGCAAATTCAAGGGGACGATGATGATGACCCAGAAATACTCGATTATGTTTTAGATGTCATTGTCGGCTACAGTGCTTACACCAAGGTAAGGTAGATGCCCTGTCATGGAGTTTCATAGTGCTAACAGAATCAGCACCTTCTGCCTTCTGTTCGATCGTTTCTGTTGTCTTTCCTCCAACTTTGGAACGGTAAAGAGCACCGCGAGCAAGTGTTTCGGCTACTTCAGTATCTACCCGTGGAACCTTTTGAGGCACTCCAAAGTGAAGTATTATCTCCGCTAGAGAATGCCGCCCTGGACGGAACTCTCCGCTCTCGGATGGACCTCCTTGGCTTTTACTCAGCCCTTATCGCAGAATGGGGAGTTAAGCTTCGCGTTCAACCATCAGCCACAGAAGAATCAATACCTCTCAGTCGACTCATTCGACACGCCGAGCTCCTGGCATCTGCAATCAACGAATTCGAATTGCCGGATGGGAACATCTCGGGAGTATCTATACCCGCTGATCTATCCATTCTCAAGTTCTATCAGTCTCTTGCACGTCTCTTCTCCCACGCGCCACATCACGCGCACATACGACTCTCCATCCCACCAGCTCCACTCATGTACTCTCTTTCGTTTACTCCGACCGTTTCCGTCATATCAACCCTTAGCTCCATCCTCACAGCGTATAAATCCGGCTTCGAAGCTTCCATAACCTCGCACGCTGCCAAAAGCCCAAACACAAAGCCCCTCTACGATCCTAAATCCGTCAATCATTTCAACGGCTATGTCATGGACACATGCAATATGCTTTGGCGCAATCGAGGTTTGAACACGGATGATCCCAATGCTCGCGCATGTCTAGTCCCGAAGTCCACTATCGCAGCACTGCAGAATTACGTCCGCAACGTTGACGAGGCTGCCAAGCGATATGACCGCGAGAGTGCCTTTCACTGTACATTGGCGACCATTTTCTCTCTCAGTCATAATGCGGCGTACTCTAATTTATCGGCAGCTTGCTTTCGGGATCTGGAGGCAGATCAGCAGATTGCGGAGCACCGGCCGCAGTTGAGGAAGCCGGTTACTGCTAAAGCCTTGCAGGCGTTGGAGAAGGAGGGTGGAGCGAAGATTACTTGGCAGGAATACAAAGTCCATATGTTGGACTGGCTGGATGCGATAGGGAGTCGGGGAACAAGTGATTTGATGAGGAGTACCCTGAAGGTCTTGCGGAAGGAGTAGTGCGAGCGATTCAAATGTCCGTTACACGTAAATCTAAGGGTATGAATATACTGCAATTGGTGTTCAAACAGTTGAATCTATATCAACGGGAGGTTTATAGTTTCGTCTGAGTCGTCCATCTACTTTTCAAACTTGAAATCCTTGGAGCAGGGTCCGTAGCAGCTCTATTCTTCGTTACCCAATACCCCTCCCGCCGTCGGAAGGGATGAGACTCCAAGAGCGATGGTTTGAAATCTTGGTTAAGGTAATACATAGAACAGGCAAAACATTGCTTTATCCAACTCATTGTAAGTCTGCTTTGAATGGTCAATGTGACTAACTCCAGGTAGATGAATGTATATTCGTTTTCAACTTCATCGCTATTCTCCCGCTGCTTTACTCGCCTTCGTCCCTTAAAATAACAAAGATCCGCAATGGCTTCTTCGTGCTCATCTAGTATGCCCCAACAGATTAGTATCCCTGCCTCTCCCACCGGAGATGGTCAAAGAGATCTTCTCCTCTTGCCCAGATATCTACACTCTTGACCCAGTGACATCGACATGTCATTATATTCGGGATGTCTTCTTTGAATTTGGAAGGCAAATCTTGCACGGCATCTTGGAGCGTATTCCATAAACTTACCATGCTATGGCCGCAGAAGAGATGCGACCAAACCGCCCCCCGGAGGATGAAGGATCCACTCATCGATTGTCGCGAGGGAGCCTTCCGCTTATGCCGTGATAATTTACCCTTGACGATGCTAAGATGGCCTGTAAAGTTACCACAGATCCGTGACATGGCAAGTCTTCAGAGAGCCGTTGGGTTGTTATCTAGAGCTACGGTGGAGAACTTATTTTCTACACTCAAGCCACTCAAGCCAGAGCTGAGTCCTCTTACCAGTAATCATACGACCCAAACTAAGTTATTCCGCATTTAGCGGTCTTTCTATCAGTTTGAGATATTACTAAGGTCTCGAAGTCTTGGTTGAGAGAGCAGATCATGGGCACTTTGAAAGGCTTCCTGCTCGAGGACTCGGAGCTGGCTATGTTAGAGACGCTCTTGTAGCTTTCACACGCCGATTCGCCCCCTGGGAGAATGAGCAAGTAGCATATGTCTATGAATCCGTATTAAGCACCTTTTTAAAAGTTATGCAGATACCAAGATATTTCTGGAGCGACACATGGCCTCAAGTTTAGTATATCCATAAACACTCATGGCCCGCTAGTACAATGGGGGGCAAAAGTCTGTGTGCATACCGCTTCACCTACCCCATCAAATACTGATGTATATTCATGGTTACATGTCCTACACTACCAACCCTTATGGGATCATAATAAAATTCAAAATACTGAATGAACAGGTTCATATACAGAGTTATATTGCTTAATATTTTATATAATAATCTTGGTTTGTATACAATCTATCTATCCTTCTTTCTATACTCAATATTAACATATCAATCTTCGTCTGGTCTAACATATCCTATATAGTATTAATATACTCTTTAAAGTAAGGCCGGTCCTCTCCAGATCTTTCTATCTATATAATATCTTATAATATATAAAAAAAATTTAATAATTTAGTCGTTTTTAGACTAGTTTAATAGGATTAAGATCAGGCGAGTGTACCAGCCAATCTTCAACATACATCCCGTGCTCTTTAAACCAAACCTGCATATCTTTCGCTATATAGATTTTTTTTATCTTGCTAGAATATAATTCCAGATTGATAGCGATCGATGCCATGGGGAAGGTGTAGGAGAAAGAATAAAAATGTGGGCGGTTATTAGGGTGATGGTAATGGGGCCGAGTGCACACAGACTTTTGACCGGGGGGGTGTATCAATTAAAGTAGCTGAAATCCTCTGATATAGGAGGAAATGGCAGACGCGCAAAGCACTGTCATTTTGGAGACTGCATGTTGCAATGACACAGACAGAATGGATCCAAGCCATATATACCTAGGTTTCCACAATCTTTAGAAGCTTTCGGTAGTGTTCAAGTAGATCTCCTGAACAGTAGGATTTTCTCGTAATGCACACAGGACATCTTCAAGTGTCTTAACGTGCTCCTCGTCCTGTACTTCAACCAGCGTATCCTTATTAGGATCCCAGAATATTTCACGCTCTTCGATCGCAAGGCCCGATAGTTTGGAAAATGTCTCACCGACCCGTTTCGTATCAGCCGGGTCTGTAAACAAGGTCAATCTGTTCTTCTTGTCCATAACGATGTCGATTGCGCCCGCCTCGATGGCTTCATCCAAGTATTGATCGGCATTGACTCCTTCGCGATATTCCATAGTGACACGACCTTTTTTTCTCAAACAGAAAAGTCGTGGGGGTTATAATGCCTCCGCAGGTCTTGATTAGATGTCGGATGTCTTGCAACACCCTCGCTTTCTGGTCCGTTTGACACTCCACGACTACTGCGACAGATCCCGGAAACATTGCCTCAATCGTAACAGCTTCCAACGCCTGCCCCGTAACACTGAGTCCCTGGCCTCGAGCAATCGCCGATTCTATCACGATCTTAGGTATTGAGGCGCGTTTCGCATTCGATAGGGCGAGGGTTAATCTCGGGTTGAATTTGGGATCGGCACCCCATACTGTCGAAGAAGAGAAGTCAGCAACACCCCAGCATATATAGAAACAAAAAGGGCATGGTTACATTGTGTAGCGTTGCTGATTTCCTTGCTCACCATCTGCCGTTCCTTACTCTTTGCCCTGTCATTCCTGGCTTTGTCATGCTTAATGGTTGACCATTTGCTATGGCCTGAAGAGGAGATAGGAGAAGAGCTGAACAGCCGACAGGCATTGCAGACATAAGTCGATCGAGGTCGCAGACCCCTTAGGTAGTGAGGCACCTCCATTGCGGATGAATGCAGCTTCATTTTTGTTGCAGCGCAAGGCCATACATTCCAAACGGGCCGACAGTTTCTCCGCCCCTCCGCGGACGGGGAAACACACGATAAGGAGATGATGATGTTCTGTACTTAATCATTTTATTTGTCTCTTTCTTTCCTATGGGCATTTAGTTGTCCATTATACCCAATGGCTTCCTCCGAATCTACTCCTCCAGCTCCAACGCCTCACGAAAATGCCACCCCGGACCTGGACGTCGAGAAGCTACATGCACTCCCCTCCGAACAACAAGACCTCTACCTCCTCACCTTCACCTCCGATCTTGTGCAGTTCATCTCTGGCCTCGATTCGAAACAGGTCTCCTCACAACAAAAATCCCTGAAACATGAATTGTTTAAAGTCCTCACTCTCTCGTCTCCCCCGATCACTCGAGTCCTCCGCAACAACCTTGGACGATCCTTCGGTTCAATTCTTACAAAAGGAGACCGTGGCATTCTCTTTGAGACGATTACCGACCTGCTTGGCATATTGAGTGCCGGGAAGAGTGAAGCAGAAGTGAGGACAAAGTTCGCGGCTGCGCACTGCCTGGGAGAGGTATTTGCGACGGCCGGAGAGAGCGCTTTCATGCAGTCCAATGTGGCAGCTTCGACTGTGCTCAAACTGCTCAAGTCTGCAGGTAGCCACACTGGCCTGCGTGGTGCCATATTCTCTGTACTCCGCAAAATTGTGGTGGGCATTGGTGCTCCAATTGATGAACCGATCGCGCGCGACATTTGGAAGCAGGCGCGCAATGCAGCAACCGGTGACAAGGCAACGTTTGTGCAGGTACATGCATGTCGCTGTATTGAGCAGCTAGTCAACATGACGCCATTTTTTGATAATGCCAATGATTTCGAGAATCTCAAGTCTATGTCCTGGAAGGTCATTGACAGCCCTGTTGCCCCAGTTCGTCATGCTGCGGCTTGTTGTCTTGGTCGGGCCTTGATCAAATTACATGCCACCGACACCCATGTCGCTGCTGCCCCCCCCAAACCGAAACCCAAGAAAACCAAGAAGACCTCCAAGAAGGCCGGTTCTCGACCTGGTGACGAAGAGGAGGCGGACATGTCTGAGTCCTCTGTTGCGCCGAAGAAGAATGAATCTCGACTGTTCTTTCTCCTCCCAGACCTCTTGAGGCAACTTTCATCCCAGTACTTGAAGAGCACAACATCAAACCGAACTCGTGCAGGGATCTGCATCTGCTACAAATACATTCTTCGCAACCTGGGCGATAAGGTTGTCGAGGAGAAATACGGCCAAATAGCCTCGAACTTATTGATTGATTTACTGAATCACCCAACTGTGACCTATAACCGATTTCGTCTTTTGATGACGCGCAAATTTGTCAAGACTGTCTTAGAAGACACCATCGGCCGTGAAATGATGCAAGAAAGCAGCCAGTTAAATGCTGCGAAGTGGTTGATCAACGATATCCTCAAAGACTACCCCCAGGTCATTCAAGAGCGACGCGAGCCTAGCAAGTACACGCTGACAAGTGCAGTTAGTGCCTTGTCCTCCTTGATTTCATCACTTGGCTCGGCTTTCGGTGTGCATGCTGATAGTTGTCGGGATGCATTGCTTCAAGTGCTGCCTCACCCAAGCTACACTGTGCAGGTACATACAGCCCACTGTCTTCGGAACTATGTACTTGCCTGCCCTCATCAGCTTTTATCCTGCGTCACAATCTGTATGAATAGCCTGAATCGTGAAATTGGCCAACTTGGTGCTCCACGCCAGTCGCCTCGCCGATGTGTTGGATATGCCAACGGCTTATCAGCAATGCTCAGCACATCTCGGCTACAGCCATTGTACGGTGCCGTGGACGTATTTGCACGCATATTTTCGCAGGCAACGGATCTTTTGAAGACAAGCTCTAGCTCGGAATTACGGGTAGCTAGCACCCAAATTCAGGTGGCATGGATCTTGATCGGAGGTCTTATGCCCCTTGGTCCAAGTTTTGTCAAAATTCATCTTTCGCAGTTGATGCTGCTTTGGAAAAACTCACTACCAAAACATCTGAGTAAAGAGAACGCAGCCCAGCCTAGCCTTCTGGAAACAAGTTTCCTCACTCATGTCCGAGAATGCGCTCTGAGCGCGCTGCTTGTGTTCATGGAATTCAATAGTAAGCTCATCACCGCCGACGGGGCTAAAAGAATTGCTGCCATGTTGCAGAATACTGTTGAATTCTTGGATGATTTGCGTCGTCCCAAGTCAATGGAGGATATTTCCCAACGTCTTCATCCATCCCTGCAGTTGCACGATCTTATGACTATGGTTCGTCGGCGAGTTTTGCAATGCTTCTCAAAGCTAGTTCATGTGCATCATCCTAGCCATGGAGATATAATCTCGCAAACAAGCTTGATGAGCATAGCAATCGCCTCCTTCGCGGATCCAGATGCTCAATATCGACCATTGGAGAGCTCTATAGCTGGGTCAACTGGTCAGTTCGACGGGCTATGGGATCTGTGTGATAACTATGGATTTGGTGTAACTGGGCTCGCTAGAGAATATATCCGCGCTGCGCTATTTGGCACGCAGGGTAAAGACAATGCCCCTGCCTGGTCTAGTATTGACTCTGCAGACCATGGTATCGATGAGGCTTTGACTTTCCCTATTTGCCAAGCTAGCGAGCATGATGCAGTACTGCTGTATAGTATGCGCGACGGTGACCACCTCTCTGTGGATCCCCCTACCACAGGCGTGGTGAACTCCGCTATTGAGCTCTTTGCTGTTGCTCTTGGGCTCCATTCCGCCAAAATCCAAGAAAGCAGCATCGAACAAATTGCAACCTTCCTCACATCACCAACTCTCCAAAGAAACCCAGGGCGCAAGGCTGCTTTGGCCGTCAACGTCTCGGTGGCTCTTCTCCACGCCCTCAAGGTAGCTGTCAAAGACACGGATTTCGTGGCTGGAAGGCTCAACTCTTCAACCGACAAAATCATGCAAGAGCTGGTTCAGAAATTTACCATCGACACTGATCCAATCATCAGAAATATCGGAGTTGAAGCCTTAGGCCGGCTATGTGTCAGCTCAGGGAATGCAATCACAAATACTCAAGTCAACTGGCTCGTGGATACTATCGTTGCCAACCGCGAGCCCAACGCTCGAGCCGGATGTGCTTCTGCATTGGGTTGCATTCACCAGCAAGTCGGTGGTATGGCGGCCGGGTTGCATCTGAAGACGATCGTTGGCGTTCTGATGTCCCTGTGCAATGACCCTCATCCGATTGTCCATTTTTCGGCTTTGAATGGGCTGGATAGAGTCGCTAGCTCAGCTGGTCTCACGTTCTCGCCTTTTGCCTCCAGCGCGTTAGGGATGCTTGCTCAGCTGTACAATGCAGATACCCACAATGAGGAATCAGCTGCGCTGGCAACATCCAACATCGAAATGTTGTTCCTGACGCCCGTTATTATCGGCAGATGCGTCGATTCGCTTATCAACGTTCTCGGGCCGGACCTGCAAGATGTTGCGAAGACTCGTAATCTTATATTGACGCTTTTGCGTCAGTTCCAACTGGAGGAAAACCCAGCTTTGGTAACCGAGAGCTTCAAGTGCTTGGACCACTTCTCACTCTATGCTTCTAGCTACGTCGACTTCGAAGGATATGTGAAACGCCTACAGACAGAGCTCCGTGCGAAGAACATCTTCCTCCGAAACGTAGCGATTCGCGGGCTGAGCAATTTGATGAAACGTGATGCTACTTCCGTTGTGGCGACGGCAAGTGAGACCCTTGAGGACGACATCTGGCTTGCCTTCGACGATACCCCGGACAACTTAGCCCTGAGGAACATGATTCAAGAGTGGCTCCAACAAACAGCCCTTACTGAGCCAGATGTTTGGATCCAGCGCTGCCAGAACATCATGACGAAGACTCGCAATAAGGTTGAGTTGCCACCGACCACTGCTGTCCAAGCAGCAGACATTCATGACGATGAAGTCGCTGGGTTTGCCTCTGCCGCTGCTGCTGAAGGGCAAGGCGATGCAACTAATGAAACTATTTCCGGTCAAGAACTTTTGAAGTGGCAGACTCGAAATTTCGCCATGTCTTGCATTTCCGATCTACTTGCTATGGTCCAGGAAGCGATCCTGCCCGACCAGACCATCCCGGCTGAGTTGGCTCTTCAGTCTAAGGTTGGCGATATTGTACGGATGGCATTCTCTGCGTCAACTGCCAATGTCATCGAACTTCGAGTTTGGGGCTTGAAGATCCTTGATCAAGTTCTTACCGTAAGTATTCTATGCAATTGATGTATTCACCCCCGAGGCTAATTTGTATAGATGTTTGGCAAAACCCCCGACCCCGACTTCGCAGAGGCCTCTTTGCTCGAACAGTATCAAGCTCAGATAGGCTCGGCTCTCACTCCAGCCTTTGCAGTCGACTCCTCCCCAGAGCTTGCTTCCGAGGCTATCAATGTGTCTGCTACATTCATTGCCACTGGCATAGTGACGAATGTCGATCGCATGGGAAGAATTCTCAAGCTTTTGGTGCTTGGCTTGGAGAATTTTGCAAAGAATCCTGACACAACTGAGATCGGCGACTTGAAGGGATTGAACTCCAATGCCCGAGTCATGGTCAAGCTCGCGCTCTTTTCTGCATGGGCTCGGCTGCAGATCGCAAGCATGGAGCAGGAATATCTCAGCAGGGTGGTCCAGCCCTACGTCGCTAAACTCACACCCCTGTGGCTCTCGTCTCTTCAAGAATATGCGAGGCTACGATTTGAGCCCGATATCTCAGGTGCTCTGGGTACCAGTACCTCGAGCAATGATCTGGATGAAGTCTATGCTGCGTTGAACCGGGAAACCTTGCTCAAGGTGCGTTAGAGCCCTATAGTGGGAAGCATTATGCTAACCTTTTTGACAGTTCTATCAAGATACTTGGCTCAATCTTGTCGATGCCATTGCAGGCCTTGTTGAGAAGGATATTGACTTCGTCTTTGATGCTTTGGATGGCAAGCTCCAACCTCCTGATGAGACCAAAGGAGATAAGAACAACGAGAACAAGGGACAAGAATCCAACGAAGTTTCTGTTAATGAGTCCAAAGACAAGGGCGACGATATTAACTATCGTGAAGAGCCAGTCGCATTCTTCTTCGTCCTGTTTGGCCTTGCTTTCGAATCATTGGTCGATCAAGCAACCTCGCCTTCCCACCGGTTAGCAATTCTTCAAGCGCTTAAACGGATTCTGCGGCCCATCATCTGTGGAAATGCGATTTACCAAGAGGCTGTTTTCACTGAAACCATGGACACCTTTGACCGACTTGTCTTGACCGAGACCATTCCTGTTCAGACTGTCATTGTTGAAATCGCCCAGAACCTCTCGCTTGATCATCCAGTAGCTCAGAGTGACCAGGATCGCCCCGATCATCTCTCTGATGATATCGAGCAATTATTCGAGCTGACGAGAAGCATTATTCTTGTCTTGGCGGGAATGATTCCAAACCTCCGTGAAGCGACTCCAATGGCGAGGTTCAACGTGACGTCAGATGATTCTTTGGCTCTTATACGCCTGGCTCTCCGGTCTCTGGTAGATGTTGCTGCCGTCTTCCCATCAATCATCCGGAATGACCTTCATGCTTGTATTATGCATATCTTCACTACTATCCTCGCGACTGGGGTGTGCCAAACAGAGGTTGTTCCGCAGGCTCTTCCCATCTTCCGTCAATTCGTCCACGCTATCACTCATTCGGCAGATATCGCGGAGGAGAGAGACGTTGTTTCCTACCAGATTCGTGGCTGTCTCACTCGCTTCCTTACCATTCTCACCATTGCTCAACGTCGCGAATCTGAGTCGTCTATGCCTTGCGCTAAGAACACTCTGCTGGCAATTACATTCTTGCTGACTGCTGGCGGGCATGTCCTGCCCCCGCAGGACCCTATCATCAATCAGGTCCTCAATGAACTGCTCGATTGTCTTCAAGATGTCGGCCTTGCCACGGTGGCTGCTAGCTGCTTACGATCTATCCTTCTCAAGCCCAGTCCCCGTTATATGACAGATGATGTGATCTCACGCTACCTCCTTCCGCGCCTGATCGCTTTCCTTATTGGAACCCCCAGTAATGGCGGCGATGTCCCAAGCGACCCAGAGAACTCCCGAACAGTCATCGCCCGCACAATTGTCTCGTGCGTCACAAATGCGACTTTCTCCTCTACTGCAACCCCTACTGCCATGTCATTGGTCATGTCTGCCCTCATGGCTCGCGCGAAGCGGGACGGTGCGTCTGTATATCAGGAATCTGCCGTGAATCTGCTCGAGCTCGCGAAGGCAGACCAGGTCATCTTCCGTGCTTTGGTAGCCAATATGAACGCGGACCAGAAATCCCTTCTGGAAGAAGTTCTTCGCAGTGCTGGTATTGGCACTGGCTCTGCAAAGTCGGGTGAGACTGCAGATGCTGCCCACAGGCAGCGCCTAGCATTGCCCTGCGCATGGACTTTTGAATCCTATGAACATACTGGAAATGTGCTATGATGTTAATGTGGTGTGGTAATCTGTCTTAGCCCTTTATTTACCGAAGGGCCCAAATTCTGTTAATATAAGATGAAAATACAAAAATAAACATTAAATATTTGCAACCCCGGAGTGTTCCTCCATATGCGCTACTTTTCCCCGCTCCCCGCAAAATCTTAAGACTGCCCAACTCCCATGGAATGAATTCAGTCTGTGATCTTATCTTACGATTTTGGCGATGAGTGGAGTGGAGGGCTCGTATGGACATGGCGGGATGGAGTTCGAGGAGTCCCAGACATGCTGGGGATCAGTCACATGAGCATGACAGCAACTTGCATGATCAAATACAGTGCCAATTGCGCCGTCACCCAGTCCTAATTCAGTTGCAATCTTGTAGGCTCGAACAGCCGCACAGTTGAGGCGATACCACGCAACGACGAGTTGGTCCTTGATATATTCATCCTCATCCTCATCCTCATCCTCATCAGGCCCGACCTTTGCCCCCACAATTAGGCCTAGAAATGGGATATGGGTAAAGTGTTCCTTGTTGGCCAACCTCTGCAAAATACTTAAATGAAGTATGCGTCAGGGGGGGGGGGCTGCATTGTTAACATATCCAACTTAAAGCTGGAGAGGGGAGATAAGAAAAGCTAGCAATAGACTTCAAGCCAAAGTGACCCTGAAACGGCTGCTGACAATCTACTGACCTAGAGAAAATAAACTTCAGTACGTGGAAACAGCACAGCTCTCTTCACTATTCGACTTCCCCTTTGGGCAGTTCACAGCGCGCTTATGTTATCCATATCAGGTGATATACGTGGACGCGGTGGTAGACCCTCACACGACTTGATAATATTTCGTCCAATTTAGAAAGGAAAAAATTAGATGGATCCGTTGGTTCGTCTCACATTAACATATTAACCAATTTCATCATCACTGGTTCTCAATGCCTCCACATCGAGGCCGTGCCTCGCGAGCTTGCGCCTCTTGCAGGAGGCAAAAGACTCGATGCTACGAGCCAGGAATTCCAGGGAAGCCATGTCTACGCTGTGATAGGCTTCAACAAAAATGCTCCCTGGTGGATGTCCCGATGCACGAGGATGAGGTTGAAACACCAGGTGCTTCCGGGACAGACGTTCGGTATGAGTCTCGATTCCCCACATGGAATGAGTCCCGCGATCCAAGCATAGTCTGAGCCTGTGTGGCTAACAATGTTTCTGCAGATTGGAGCGACTGGAACGGACAGTGGCGGCTCTACTTGACCGGCTTGGAGAAGGCCCCTTGGGGCCTGTAGAACATGAGTTGAGCGGGCCACCCAGTGCGCCTACAGCCTCAGAAACAAGCGATGGAGCGTACCAGGACGCGGAGTCCTCGGCGGCTCCAGTGATGGTGATTCGCGATCTGGCGACTGACAGCACAATCAAGCCTTTTCCTGATCCACGACCGCTCGGCAAGGTGTTAGATGACCTGATCTCGCCTGAACTGGCATTGACCTTAGTATCAATGTAGGCCCTCCTTATCCCCTCATACTCCCTGCTTTCTGGAAGACTTAATTTGATATAGCTTCGCGGAACACTATGGCCGCTGGGTTCTGCTTGATGCCGACGGGGATGCAGCATCTCTGTTGCCTCGCATCAAGAAGTCCCCAATTCTGTTTTGTGCGTGCTGTCTCATTGCAGTCCGACATACATCCGAGGAGCTTGCGGCATTTTTGGCGCCGAAACTGTACGAGTCGGCCAGGTCTTCGATTTCTAACACTCTCCTTACGGCTCCACAGTCGGTCGAATTTTTTCAGGCAGTTCTCATTCTGTGCATGTGGTCTACTACCGTCGGACAAGTCCCTCTGAGCATCGACAGCTGGCTTCTGAGTGGCTTTGCACTTCAGCACACGCAGTCTAGTCCTCTGTTTGCGACAGTCACAGCCCAGTCTCTTCCCACCCGACTGGACGACAAGGCGCTCAATATGTGCTGTTTATGGAATCATCTATGCCTGGCGCATCTTCATTACTGTGTTGGTACGAGCCGAAGGTCGATGTTGCAAGGGTGGCAGATTGAGCGAAGTCGTGCTATCATCAATTCTGACCATGCCATAAATTTCGAGGTCCGCATGGTTGCGGAAATACACCTCTATTGGACTGTCTATGAGAATCTCATCCAAGATACCGTCGACTTGCTGAAATCAGTAGGCGCACTGCAAACTTGGAGACGGAAGTGGGAATTTGTCCTCGGTACATCTCCCCCTGTTGTTTGATTCTGCGAATCATATTAACGTCTGTCCAGAGCAACCACGATCCCAGTTCCTTCTCATGGGCTTTCATTTTTCTAATCTGCTCTTATACGAGCACTCATTAAAAAGTTCAAAGACACCCCGAGCCCGCGAATCTCTTGTTTCCGAAATGATCCGCCACTCCACGGCAATAATTCGTCTCGCAATGGATACGGTGGATGAGCGGACTCGCCACCTCAGTGACCACATCTATCATATGATCACTTTCGCGGCCATAATAATTTGCCGGTTGGTAAACAGCTACGAGCAGCAGTTAAGCTCTTCGTACAGCATTCCAGAGCTCGATGAACTCATACGCGATCTGGTCTCATGGCTCCATAGCATAGGGTTGCCATGCCATGCTGCTCACACTTTAGGCAACATTATTGCGAAAGTGCATCAAAAACTGCGTCCTTGTGTCGAGGTCGTTCTTGAGCCGATGGAAGAGTTTCCCGACGAAAACTTCGCAAACTACTTTTCCCCGAGTTTCTGGGCTTGGGAACCTCTGGCGATGGGAATTGGGGCCTGCTACCCGATCTAAGCTTCTTCCCTGAAACACCGAACTCTTGACATCTGATCATTGAACACAGCTACAATATTCATAACACATTTAACAGATTGATAGAATACAACTTTCATACGGGACTTTGGGTGACCTGGATTCATTGATTTCTCAGGGTGAGTAGAAAGTCGTCTCTTGTTCACGACTTCCCGATCAGTGCCCGTACCGACTTTCCATCCAGCGGAAGATGGGAAACACGATTCCCGAGAAAGCAAATGTCAGCTCGTGGCCAATATTTGCACCTTTTCCTATCAATGAGGCAATTGGCGCAGAATACCACGTGACCTTCATTCCCAGAGCTGCTCCAGCAAAACCGAACGCAAAAGCGCCGATAGATGCCCATCCGAAAGGAAGCGCCGCTGGATTGTTCCATTCTTCCAGATTATATGCAGACCAGCGTCTCCGGAATATGAAATGCTCTTCCATTACCACCGTAATGTGAATCACAGTCCAGTATCCAATGACGCTCAGAAATGTCTGCAGAGCATCATGGAAGTATACTGCCGCGCAGCACCCAACGATGACGGCTACCACAAAACCAAATGTTACCAAGACCACCCGCGGAATCTTCAGTGCCCATGGGCCTAGGTTCTGCATATGGAGGGCAAAGGAATAATTATTCGGAATGTTGTTCTTCGCGGATTAGTCGAAGTCACGCATAGATTCTTGTCTGGGGATACTTACCGGGATAGAGCTCAGCGCGGCCAGAACCATCAGAAACTTGCCGAATCCACCAGCGGGCTCAAGAGCCATCTTTAGCAATCCGCCAATGGAGGAGGCCCCATATGCCTCTTTCCACACATGGTTCGTTATGGTACCTGTATATAAGGCTGCACCAAGCGACTGAACCAGAACTGTAGGGACGAAAATCCCAACATACGTCGCACTGAAGATTTGCCAACGTGATGTCTCCCGCGGCATGCGTACATTATAATCGGCTGCGCAGTTCACCCATGAAACGGAGAAGAAAAAGATACTCGCCATATAACTAAGCACGGCTGCTGCCTTGTCAGATCCGTGGAGTGACTTTGGGCTTTCCGCTGTGAAGGAAGATGCGCCGGTTCCTGCGGCCACGCACCAGACGATGAGGGGGAAGATCCATATGAAAGTATCCAGGCGATGGATCCAGGTTATTCCGAGGGCACATATTATCCAGACTAAGGTGCATATAATGATCACACCGGCCACGTAGGGCATCTCCCATCGGAGAGTGCGTTGAGAACTACAGCGCCTGATATCGAGTTTATCGCGTTCCAACCGGTTGTTGCAATCATGGAAAAGATGACGACAAGCATGTTTCCCCAGTATCCGAAGGAATAACGCCTGGATTACCACAACAGATCAGTTGGAGTCTTTTTTAAATTGATTTCATTGCGAATGTCACGACTCACGAGAAGGTTGTCATTCTAAGTCCGGTTAATCCAGCCGTCGCTGTCCACGCTGGAAGTAGATCGCTTGCCAGATTGACCACCAGAATGATAATAAAGCAGTCCCAGAAACCAAGGCCCATCGAGCCCCCTAAAGATCCAATATTCAGTGTCGCTATTGCCATGTTGGCGCTGAACCTGGAGTCGAGACATTCTTGTCAGCTCCCGTTGAAGTCAAGATAAGGGAGTAGCCGTAGGGGATAATTACCAGAAAGTAGCCGCATTCCAGAATCTTTGCTTGCTTTCGACTCGTTGCTCGTCGGTGATTCGTTCAATACCTCCCTCTTCAATAGAGAACCTGCTCGAGAGCCATGTAGACTCTGGCAGATGTTCAGTTTCAAGTTCAGAGGGGGGCTTTGTTCGATGAAGAAAGCCGATCTCGCTGTGTTTCCACGTCATGGCCCATGATTAATTCGAATATGACACTGGAAATGGCTTTTCGAAATCATAGGTAAAAGAAAAAAGCACTATCTATATACTCTGTCAACGCCTGCATCGTAGCTATTCCATCTGACTATCTGTATGGACTGTTGATAAGCATATCTCCAGCCTTTCTGACGCAATCGCGAGTATACTCCAGACATTCATGACGGACCCACACTGTATAGATTCAATCAAAACACAAACAGAACAAAGCCCATAGACAGTAAGATGCAATGGATGCCCCTGATTGAAATTACGATACGGAAACCCAGTCCCTCTCCACCCGTCAATAGGTACTTCAACCATCCTGACTGTGGATCCACGAGAATCGGGCGAGGCTTATCAGCCGCGGCATGCCGCGGCATGCCGGTCCAGTGCCCTAACCTCCTCCACAGCAGCTTCGTGTATCCAAATGTCCAAAGAGATATAATAACGCAATTCCGCGTCAGGTTGGCACCATGTAGACTCTCAGCCTGCAAGCCAAGTCTCCCACAATCATCCACCCCAATGGAGCAACACACGCTTCGCCGCCGCGGCACCGGCCTCCGAGGCGTAGACCAGGACAAAGTATCACCAGGATACGTCCTCTACTCGCCCCTGACCTCCAACACAGCCCACTTGGTGTCGACAGATGGAACAGAAGCGCACCGCTGGACCCTGCCGTACCGCGCAGGCCGGCACAGCCGCATCCTCCCCAACGGCAACCTCGCCTACAACAGGCGTGCACCCCGACGCACCACACCTGTTCCCCATGTGGTCCAAGTACCGCGGCGGAATGATGCTGCAAGTCGACCCTCACGGCAAAATCCAGAAGCAATACTCCGATCCTTACGCCCACCACGACCAGAACCACCTCGACGACGGGACAATCCTCTACACCACCCTCGAGCCACTCACGCCCGCCGAGGCCGCGCGCGTGCGCGGCGGAATCCCAGGCAGCGAAGCGCCTGACGGGAAAATCTACGCAGACTGCATCAAGCTTGTCGATCCGTGGTCCGTCTCAAACACATCCTCCTCGGCAGACTTCGAGGGCGCCGGGACAGGCGGCGCGAAGCTGCTCTGGTCATGGCGCGCAATCGACCATCTGGACGGGGAAGATTTCGCCGCGCACCAGCATTATCCGCGCGAGCACTGGCCGCTGATCAACAGTGTGTCGTTTGACTCTGAAGGGAACATTATTGCATCGTCGCGGAATGCGTCGAGCGTCTTTGTTATCTCGCGGGCGAATGGGGAGGTGTTGTGGCGGATTGCGGCGCCGACGGTTTGCCAGCAGCATTGTGCGCATCAGATTAATGAGGAAGGGGATATGTTGGTTCTTGATAATGGGGTGTTTAGGCCTGGGCTGGCAATGCCGTTTTCGAGGGCGATTGTGGTCTCGAAGGATAAGCAGGTTAAGTGGGAGTATAAGGATCGGTCGACGGGTGGTTTGGGCTTTTTCACCCCCTTCATGGGGTCGGCGCAGAAGTTGGGCAACGGGAATTTCTTGATCTGCGAGGCGGCCACTGGTCGTGTTATTGAAGTGACTGCAGACGGGGAGATGGCTTGGGAGTTTGTTGTGCCGCATTTGCAGGACTATAAAGCTGTCATGGATCAACAGGAGCTCGCGCAGATGGAGGCTATCGGGTTTTCTTATCAAAGCAATGCTATTTTCAGGGCTTATAAGTATCTCCCTGAGGAGATTCCCTGGTTGCAGAAAGAAAAGTGATGGTCCAGAGATGGGGCATTGGTGGACGAGCTGATCTGTATCTTAGGGGAATGTCATTTGTATATAGATACAATAGGGGGCAAAAGTCTGTGTGCATACCGCTTCACCTACCCCATCAAATCCTGATGTATATCCATGGTTACATATCCTACACCACCAATCCCGACGTCCTTATTGGATCATACTAAAATCCAAAACACTGAATAATCAGGTTTAGATACAGAGTTCTCTTGCTTAATATTTTGTATAATAACATTGGTTCGTATACAATCTATCCATCCTTCTTCCTATACTCAATATTAACATATCAATCTTCGTCTAGTCTAACACATCCTATATAGACCTCGCCATGGAACTTCCACGGGTAGGGATTTTGGTTCCAGTTCCGTGGGACGGGTAGGCAAGTCCTACCCATTACCCATCCCCGTCTACCCAGTGTAGACCATGGGGTACCCGCGGGTTACCCACGAATTACCCAAAAATGCATAATTACCCCTTTTTGGACATGCCAAGCTGTATAAAATCGCTTACTCACCCAAGTAAATTACAGTTTTTAACAGCTGTTCTGGTTAGCCTCTAGTTTATGAAGCGATACAACCACATTGACTACGTAAATTAAGTATTGAAGTTGAAAAGCGTTATTAGTAGCTCTGGTAATAGTGGTTTGTATCTATATTTAATAGATTAAACCTTATGGTAGATGGTTGTAGGTAGTATTGTGGATTATATATTGTCAACTGTTGAAAATATATATTTACACTACAAGGGAGTAAGTGTATCTTCCTGACAACACAATCATACCCCTTTTATATACTCTTATATCAGTGAAACTGATTAGCTGTTCGACAAATCGAATTATATACGTTATTTCCATTTAAATATGAGCTTTGCTTTAACAAAATTGTATATATTAAGTGTACAACAGCCTTGAACAGTGGTATCTATCTTGAAAACAATGGCACTTGAATATGAAAAAAGGGGTTAAAGTGAGATGGGTAGCCCGTGGGTAACCCCGTGGGTTACCCGCGGGTTACCCACGGGCTACCCATCTACCCACGAATAACCCATGAGTTCAACCAATTAGAATATATATCATAGATATAGTGGGTCATTTATTCGCAAGTTATCAAAAAAAGGGGGCTAAAGTCTCTAAGTCTATCAGTCGCAAAATTTACTATAGTAAGTACTTACTTCGTTATGTGATTAGGGGTAACTAGCCTGGTCTTGTTTCCCTTGCCATAATGTCTCAATTCTCCCAGTTCTCTGATGTGTATGCATCATCTTTATATAATACTGACAATCCAGATAACCTTCAGGTTATTCAACCCGACGACCTTACCTCTAACCCTTCGTTTAACCAACAAACATCACAATCAATCGCCAATTCGGATTTCATTTATCCATCCCGTGTGGCCCCTATACCTCCCTCCCCTTGAACGTATCTGTCCTGACCGAACTTCGGCATACCTTGTTTATTCCAACATGACAAAAGACGATTTTGTGAATTGGTGGCTTCAGACAGACTTTGGACAAAAAAAGCCGATACGGTGGGATGCTCGACAGCAATCTGATGTGTGGAAGCACTTTGACCAGGTAGCAAAAGCGAGCGACGGAATGCCCAAGGTTATGTGTAAACGATGCAAGAAGGTGCTCGATCATCCACAACAACATGGGAATGGGACCACAGCGATGATCAAGCATTTGAAAGGGATTGGGTGTCGTGGCACAAATGGGCATAATATCAAACAATTTTTCCACGAGGTAATTTTATCTTATATTATGATATCTTTTTACTAATATCTTTCTAATATAGGCTACACCAGCTTCAGATAGTCTCAGTTTTACTCAAGAGGCTTGGGAAGCAAGTTTACTTCGTTTCATTACTGATTCCCGGCTACCATTCCAAATCCTCGAACACCCCGACTTTCATCAGTTGATTTACATGGCCTCCCGTGCCCCAATGCGTCCACAAATCCCATCTGCGAAAACAGTTCGACGTCGACTTCAAGGCACGATCACTGAGTACCAGAATACTATCCTCCAAAAGCTACCTAAAGATGGTAAGCTATCAATTGCCCTTGATTGCTGGACATCTCCATTCCAGCAAGCATTTATGGCAGTAACTGGTTATTTTCTTGATGAAGATTGGAACTATCGGGAGATACTGCTTGGCTTTGAACCACTTCATGGAACACACTCGGGTGTCAATCTAAGTGCTGTCCTTCTTGAACTTCTTCAAAAACACCAGATCACAGACAGAGTGCTTGCAATTACTACTGATAATGCATCAAATAATAGCACTATGATGTCGAGTATCCAGGATTCTATCCAGTCTCTTGAGATTAGCGATCATACTACGATCATCAAGGTTCCCTGTCTAGCCCACGTCATTCAACTTAGTCTGAAGCAGCTTCTTGGGCAAATGAAGGCAAATCCAAAGAACAATATAGCTGAAATGCAGTGGTCTGAAACCCAGAATCAATTGATCCGCTCAAGGCAACAAAAACGAGAGATTGTTGACACACTGAATAAGGTAAGTTTATCTCTTCAGATATAAAAACTATCAACTTATTTAATTATATATAGATACGAGGCTTAGCTGTTTTTATCAATGCTAGCCCTCAACGTCTCGAGCTGTTTTCTAAGCTTCAAACAACCTCAATACCTCTTGTGCCAATTCAAGATGTTCGAACACGCTGGAACTCGACCTTTCTTATGCTCCGACGTGCCAAGCGATTACAGTCTGTCTTTGACGAGTTCTGTACTAAATATGGACATTCGCATTTGAAGCTTGATCAAGAGCAATGGCGTCAGATCGACTACCTCCTTTATATCACTCAACCTTTCTTCCAATTCACGAATGCGCTTTCGAAAACAAAGGATGTTACCATACATCTGATCTTTGGTATCTATAATAAGCTTTTTGATCATCTTGAGAAGTCGATCAACCAGCTTAGATACAAAAAGGTACCTTGGAAGAAGATGATGCTAAATGCGCTTTATGTGGCGAAGACAAAGCTTTCCCAATATTATAGCAAGACAGATGGCGTTCCTGGAGACCTCTTTGCTATTGGAACAATGCTTGCACCGCAGAATAAGCTCCAGTTTTTTCTAGGAAAAGATTGGGGCGATGAGTGGCGTGATCGATATCGCCAAAGCTTTGTGGATTACTTTGAGTCTTATAAGCAACGTCTGTTACAGAACCAGACATTACTAGAGTCTCATATATCCACAACACAGACCTCGGAGTTTGATCTTGAACGGATGCTTAGAGAGTCTGAATCTCAGCAAACAAGCTTAACTGAGCGGGATGAGCTTTCAAGATATCTTGAATCTGGTCAGTATTATCTTGGTTTATTGTGTGTTTTATTAATAAATATTAGGTACTATCACTGGAGTAACCATTCGAGCGTTCTGGAAAGACCATCAACATGAATTTCCTGCTCTCGCAAGCCTTGCACGGGATATTCTTACAATTCCTGCTACAGGTGCAGGGGTTGAGCGTCTCTTTAACTCTGCTCGGGACATCTGTCATTACCGTCGAGGCTCTCTAAGATCTGAAACTATCCAGGAGCTCATGATGTATAGGTTCGCAACAAAATTTGAGCTTGAAGATGACAACCTTACTCTTAAGAAGGAGTATCTTACAAGTGGGGAGATTGAGACAGAGAGAGAAGAGAAAAGTCCTCAGTCACTACAGGATATTGATCCTATCAGTGATAATGAAGAGGAGGATATAGAGGTCATACAAGAGCCAGATACTACCCAGGGCCCTTCTCATGAAGCTTTATCTGACGATGAAGCTACAAATCCTCTCCCAGAGACTCAACAACGGATTTCAGGTAGAAGTCGGAAGCGGAGACGGGATGATGATCAGTTTATTGAGTATTAGCTATAGAATCAAATTGACCTTGTTTTAACCTCTTTAATACTGAGAAATCTCTTGAATCTTGACTGGTAGTTGTATATGAAATACTCAAAATTACAGCTCGAATATGCATAAAATATACAAGTCACGGGGTCCCACCTGTTTGTATTGTTTGACTACCCGCGGGTACCCAGAAAATACCCATGGGTATTAACCAGCTTCCCACTACCCGCACGCGGGTAGGCAAACCCTACCCATTACCCGCCAAGAAATGGGTAATGGGTACCCCGTTTGGGTAGACCCGCGGGTCGTGGCGAGGTCTAATCCTATATAACATTAATATATTCTTTAAAATAAGCCCAGTTCTTTTTAGATCTTCCTATCTATCTAAGGTCTTTGAATATACAAAAAAGTTAACATTTCAGTAGTTTCCAGGCCAGTTTAATAGGATCAAGTTCAGGCGAGTATATAGGCCAATCTTCAACGTATATCCCTTGCTCTTTAACTAAAGTTGTATATCTTTCGCTATATAGATCTTTTTGTTATCTTGCTAAAATATCACTCCAGATTGATAGCGATCGATGCTAGGTGTAGGAGGAAGAAGAAAAATAAAATGGTGGGTGGTTTTGAGGGTGATGGTAATGGGGCCGAGTACACACAGACTTTTGGCCGGGTGGTGTACTACCGGTAGATGATTCGAAGATCTATAAGTTCAATGTAAATTGGGTTCGTGTATATGTGTTGTTGAAGAATGAGGGTATCAAAGTCTATATATGATGGTGGTACAGTTTCTATATGGCGATGATCTGCACAAATGAAAAAAAACCTGGGACGGTTGACAAGGATGCAGTAGAAGCGAGAAGAATGATGGTTATTAGCGAGACAAGGTCAGCCAAGAGATTCGCCAAGAAGTGGTTCGGTCCCAGCAAGGTTTGCTTGGACAGCAGCATCATGAACAACACGAGCTTCCTGAGTGACTTCTTTCACCACAGGCTTCTCGACTTCTTTGATGACCTTCGGGGACTCGGCTTTCCGAGTAGAGGAGTATTTCAAGAAAAGAATGATCATTACTGGAGAATGTTAGTTATTGCGACGGATAGGACAATATCAGCGTCACTTACAGGCACAGATGCCGACGGTCAAAGCAGCGCGTCTAGTCAGAATCCAGCGCAGCCCTTCGATTTCGCTCTTACTATCACTGTTGAGCGAAACAGTGATTTTGTAGTTAAGCTCCTGTACCATGGTGTCGATCACTCTTTGGTTCTCTCTTGTAGCCATTTTGTGGTCATTAAACATGCCCTTAATCTCATCTTTCATGCCTTGGAGTTCTTGGTTCAAACGCTGAGAAAGGATATCGAGTTCATGTTGCAGTTGGGCTCTTGAAGTCCGCTGTCTCTGTATCTCTGCGTTTCTTGCCATATGCAAGGACTGCGTAAGTTCAGAGCATGCGGCCTTGAAAAGGTACGACTCATTCTCCACGTCTGACTTGGAAGTCAAACTCTCCCGGGCGAAGTCGATGTTTTTTTGCAGGATCGTTCGCACAGCCTTCATAATAGTTATAGATTGTTCATTTGTATACCCGCCTTGGAGAGATCCAAAACGAGGGAATATGTATCGAAATGGTGAACGTATGGTGCGGGGGACATATGGGGCGGCTTATGTTCCGGTGACGGTTCGGTTGGAGAGAGCGAAGTGGACGGGGAAGGCATGTGATAAACCTCATCGAAAGCGCTTGTGTTGGCGTATGGCGACATTTGCGACATTTCCTCGCCTATAGGGTCCGGCGATGACGTAGAAGCGTCTTTCTGTGAAGATTCATCCTGCGCCATCTCTTCCTGCATTTCGGAGGCTTCTGTTCCTTGTTGAGACTCCGCCGATTTACTTGGCTTGGATGCATCTGCGGCTGCCTGTTCTGAAAGACCGGACGATGCTGCATCGGCGGTATCTTTCACTGGTTCTGCAGGCTGGCTTTCCGAGGCAGTTTGCGACTCTGGTTGGTCCGTTGCCTCCTCTGATAAAGAACCTGAGTCTTCATCGACAGACCGTTCGTCTTTGGCATGGGAGGAAGGCTCATCCACCTGCTGTGCACGGTCTTTCGGACGGTTTGGTGGAGGTATATTCGGCTCGACAGCTGGGCCATATCGGCGGTGGAAGTTTGACTCTTCGCGGCGGCGAGTAGAGTGGAATGCTTGCCGAGGTCCGGGGAACGGAGGGCTCGAAAAGTAGTAGGCCTACATGACCGGACAGCCCGCATGAGGTTTGGATACAGAAATGGGAGCCGTGGTGTCGCCATGGCGGATGGCGTTGGGAGTTGAAGGAGTCACAATGCTTTTCCCGCCGGAGCTGCGAGTGACGTTGATCTCCCCGCGGAAAGTCGCATGACTAAGCTGACTAGCTTGGCAAATCTAGCCGCTCTCATTGGTCAGATCTCGGTTCGCCTGTATGACTAGAAGCTTGATGTGTTTGATTGAATATGTTTAAGCGATCGTATCACGTTACAAACACATATGACGAGTCTTGGTCACGACAGGTAGGCAGTATTTTGGATCGTGGATCGCGCAAAAGGTCGATAACAGACTTGACTTGAAGGCAGCAGAAGACAGTGACAAGATACCTCAATCGAAAATTTGGATATGGGCCATAACATTCGAGTCTGCCCGGATTTCAGACGTCATCTTCTTTGCCTTGGTCAACACCATGTATCTCCGCGGAGCCTCACATGAACTCGTCTACAAGTTTTCCTCCTCTGTTCATGGGATCCTTGATGGCAGTTGCGATTCTCCGTGACGGGGAAGGTCACGGCTTCAAGTTGTAGATCCCAGTATACTTCAATTACGAAGAGTGAGACACACCCGGGACTTTATTGAACCGAAGCATTCCTATGGCATATGCAGGGTTGGAAGTATTGGCGATAGTTGGCAGATGGATACAAGTCGGGTAGGTTCAAAGAACAATAGAAAATGCTATGCTATACCATGCTGGACTCCAAAAATAAAGTCGAAAATCAATGTACAGGGAAAAGGGCCCTACCGAACAGCCAGCAGCCCAAATAGCAGCTCTGTTTGTTTCCAGTAATCCGAAGCTGCCTTCTTGATGGCCTTAACAGCCTCCGCGCTAAGCTCTGCGCTCTTTGAGACATTATCGGCGACACTTCCAAGCCGGGATTCATCGCCTAGCATATTTGACAGGTAGATAGTGTCAAAAAGAAGCTGAATCGTCCAATCCCGCAGAGCGTTGGCTTTGGAGTCATTGTTAGCGTCCAGGCTGTTGTTCCGATTACCCTCATTACTTTCGTCTTCATCGAGAGGCTGATCGCCGGCGGCACTTGGCTTTGCTGAGGACTTGGTTGGGCTACTAGGCGTAGCTAGAGAATCCAAGTCCGATTTGATGTCCCACTCCAGCCGCTTCTGCAGCTCCAATTTCAAAGCTTGGACGGTTGATGGATCCCATAAATCACTTCCCTTCTCATCCATTGTTGCAGTAAGACGACGGAGAAACTTGAATGTTGAAGGAGAAGGCTGGACGGGTATTGCGGGGTCCTTTTCCCAGAGAGTCCTGCCGGGCACAGCTTTGAGGTTCTGAGCTTTTACTTTTATAAGAGACGGGGAATCGATCTTTGTAACAATATCCTGTGAAAGCACTTGCTGGAGTTCGGGTACAAGATCCTTGCAGAAAACGAAGTCATGCACGACAAATTCGGTTGGGAGATCACGTCGCATAAGCCGAACCAGCCGCAGAAGGAAAATAGCATCCGCGCTCCGGTGCTGGGAGCCAGAAGTTTTAAAAGCATCTTCGAAGAAGGATTGCAGCACGTCAAATGCTTTTCTAACAGCCGAACGAAGAGATTCTGAGAGTGATTTCGGGTCTTCCTCATTCAGGCGGGGGTTGACGTCGATCTCGTCGTCGTCTTCTTCACCACCAACGAGAACATCGGTCCATCGGAGACGGCGAAGATCTTCAATTGAAGTGCTGATATCATGGATGGCGGAAAGCCAGAGCTCATACTTCTGCAGAACAATGGAGACTTCCTCGTCACGACCAAGGAGCCGATCTGCGACTGTTTTCTTGAACCCTGTGGCTCCATTCGAATAGTCTGCTAGGATCAGATCTCCATCCCAGAGACGCCCCAATGGTGTTTGTTCCGACTTCTTCAAAGACGCAATGGTGGAAGAAATCTGGCCTGTGACCAAGTCGATACCTTGGACTTGAGTTATCAACACACGTTTGATATGATTATTGAACAAATCCCGCAATCTCTCCAGAACGTCTTCAGAGCGGTGCGTAATTATTGAACCCCAGGAAGAGAGCCAAAGCTCAATAGTCTCTGCACGTAAAGACAAGATCCCTGCAAAATCATTCGTCCGAGCGAGGCATGCATCGCTCCCTTCTGACAAGCGTTCGAATGCTTCAGATGACCATTTCTTGATAGACTCGACTCCTTCAGAGCGGTTCAATTCGCTTAAGTTAATCCAAGGTGTGAAATTATTGATTTCCGGGGCCACCCAGCGGCCTAGAACTTCAACATCAAGTCCATCCAAGTTGCGGACCGCGGGATCAGAGAGGATCGGCCTTGCTTTTAATTTGGACAATACATCTGTAAACTGCCTTGAGCGCAGGATTTTTGATGTCTGCAGGGTGTGAATGAAGAGGTGTAGTGACTTCGGAATATTCTCTGACGAAATATCCAGCTGGCTTATTATGACATCGAGTCGCACCTGTTGAAAATGGTGGATGGCATCATCAGAGGACAAGCTCTTCGCGAGACAGTACGCTGCCAGTGACTCGACTACCCCATCCTCCGTCGTGCTTGCAGAGGCCAAGCGTTTATCAATCCGTTTCAAGAGGGTCTCGCGCAGTGATGCCAATTGTTCTCGTAGGTTTTTCAAGAAGGGCGGCGTAGATTCGTGCTTCGCAAGCTTATTGTGCAATTGTCGAGAAACCACTAGGATTTTGGCGACGAGCAGCAAGGAAGAGCGCTTCCGAAGCAGACGCGCAATGGAAGTCGTGCACTGATGAAGGAGGGCGAGCTGCGCACCAAAGGCATGCTTATCGGCATCTACGCTTTTGATTAGCTATTGCTTCAGCGTATGACATTACAGTTGGATGATTCCAGGAAACATTGCGTACCTTTCCCTGTCGCATCTTTCTTCATCTGCTGCGCATGGGCATGCTTTCTTTCAATCAGGCGTGGATTACACCGTCGCCCAATGTCAGATAAGATGCCCTCCACTTCTTGTATATCTGTGTTCATAGCCACAATTGTCTCAGCTGTGCCAACTAGCTCTCGATAACGTGTCCTATTCAGCACAAAAGAATTAGTTTTGAGGGGCAAATCACGACTATTATCAAGGCTGCGTACCCCACAAGAGCTCGGAGCTTCTCCTTATTGCTTGAGATATCTCGCCGCAGTTCTTGTTCCACGCGGCGGACCGTAGGGATCGGGTATTGAAATGCATCCTGCCATGAATTCAGGCTCTGGGGATCTGGAGCCTCGGGAGCCATGCTGAAGGGCGCTATTCGAAGATATCAACGACGGAGAAGGCCATTTGGTCCGAATCGGCTCTGGCCCGCAGCCTCAAACGGATGATTACATAATGCTTATCTTATCGCTCGTGACTCAGATAAAAAAGACCCCGCGGAAGTACGAATTCCATCTAGAAGGTAATTTATTTGATCGCACATATCCAAGTCCGTCAAAATGCCCTTGATGGAGTCTGGATCACCAGATATTCCTCCAGCGGATATGCCTTCAAATGATCTGCCCGATCGTTTACCATTCCCACCCATCACATACTCGCATATTCTTCATTGCTCCTACCATGATTGGCACCAGCGGTACGTAATATATCCAGTCTAAAACAAACCATGATCCTAACTCAATACCAAAAAGCTACCGACCTCTTGCGCCTAAGTCGCGCGTTATTCCACTTTCAGATCAATTCGTCTCCTACCTTCGCGCCGACGGCATACTCCTCCCACCCGAACGACGCCGCCCCCGCGAAGGCGACGAACTTGACACATATTCCGACGAAGAAGAAGAAGATAGCGAAGCCTCCGATCCATCAACTGCCTGGCCTGAAATCCACACCGCAATCTGCAACACAATCCGCGACTTCGGCGCCGTAACCCCAAAACTCAACTGGAGCGCCCCGAAAGACGCAACCTTCATGTCCGCCACCAACGACACAAAATGCAGTACCGCAAACGACATATACCTGCTTCTGAAAAGTAGTGATTTTATCACGCATGACCTGGAACACCCCTTCGATGATTGCGTGCCGGACTCCGACCCCTCGACTACCGCAGCGACAGACTCCGTGATTCCGCAGGTACCATACCATCTGGTACTGCGCAAGTTCGCGAACTTCAATCCGTCGCTGGAGTTCAGGTGTTTCGTGCGCGGGCGAAAGTTGCTGTGTATGTGTCAGCGAGATCAGAACTATTACGATTTTCTGTTCGGGATGCGGGATTTGCTGCGCGCGCGGATTCAGGCGTTTTTCGACGAGAAGCTGAAGAATTCGTTTCCGGATCCGAACTTTGTATTTGACGTCTATGTGCCGGCACCACATCAGCGGGTTTGGTTAATCGACATTAATCCGTGGGCGCAACGGACTGATGCGTTGCTTTTTAGCTGGCTGGAGATTCTGAGGATGAAGGATCCTATTGGATTTGAGGAAGAAGAGGATTCAACTGGCGAGGGAGGGTTCGTCCGATTGTCACTACATGATGGGACAATTTTGACGTCTGAGAGTGGCGAAGAGCCACTTGATGATAGCGGATCTGAAGATGAGGCAGACGATGCTGCGCACCACGAGGGCGATGATGAGATGGCACCTTTCTTACCGGAGGTTCGACTGGTCAAGAAGAATGATCCGGAGGCGTACTCATTTTCTACGCCGCAGTACTCTGCTCACAAGGTTCCTAAGGATGTTGTTGATGCATCATTGGCTGGGGTCGGAGGCATGAGCGAATTTATGGGCAAGTGGCAGGATATTATGGCGCAGCAGATGCGAGAAGCGCGTGATGAAGACAGTGACTCCGATTAGTCTTTCATCGTACATATAAAAGGCGTTTGGTTCATTCTCACGACAATCCATAAATTGACAGCAATCTTGGCCTGGTACATCCAACTTTCCTTCAAGACTTCTTTACCCAGGTTAATTTGCTCAGAATAGAACTTTTTGGCCTGAATGCTAATGTGTCCCTTGAAAACCTGATAACCTAAAGCTACCACATAAGACTCTATAGCTTGTGCTTCTTCTCTCCAGAAGCCAGCTTCCGGAACTCCTCCTGCGGCCCACCGGTCATAAATCGCTCAATACCGACAAAGGCCTCCAGCGTATTCTGGCGATCCAGAATCTCCCGCTCAGGTCTCCTGATAAGCTCCTTGATCTTCACCAAGCTCGACTGGTTCAAGTGCGTGCCAAGGCGGTCCTCAACTTCGACCAACACATTCTTCAAAAAGCCTGCCGAGTCCTCCGGCTTTTTCGAGTCCGCGGTGATGACCTTGTTCACGAAGCCAGTGGACACTAAATCCTCAATTGGAATCCGCTTGCTCATGATCAAAGCTTCGTTAGCCTTGGAGATACCCAGACGCTCAACGAATGCACGGCTGGCACCGCCTTCCGCGACGAGGCCGAGCGAGGCGAAGGGAGTGAGGATGAAGGCGTGGGGAGCGGCGTAGATAAAGTCTGCGTGGGCCACTAGCGCAGCAGAAAGGCCAACGGCTGGGCCATTGAGCGCGGCCACTAGGATCTTGGAATGGTTGTAGAATTTCCGGGTGATGTCAACGTTGTTAGCGAAGAAGCCGCGGAGGAGATCGCGGCGGACGGTGGAGAGGGCACCGCCTTCTGGCCGAGCGCTGGTGACATCCGCGCCGCTGTGGCAAGCTTGTTAGTTGGATCCCGGGTAACTGGAGAGCTCTGCGGAGAGCTTACGCGGAGAAGAATCGGCCAGTTCCTGTGAGCACGGTGATGTAGATATCATCGCGCTCGTCGACCTCTCGTAAGCGCTCGCCCAGGAGATAGTATAGGTCGGAGTCCAAGGCGTTCAGCTTTTCTGGGCGGTTGATGGTTACGATCGCAATGCGATCTTGGTAGGTAACAGTCACCAGATGGCTGAGGTGATCGACGGACATTACGGCAGGTATGCTGTGAATCTAGATTGGGGTTCGGAGATCTTTGAAAAGACAATTGAATGTGTTTATAATCGCTAGGAAGAAACGAGGGTATATTCACAGCCGATAAGATAGCCTCCTTAAGTTCTAATGCACCGGCAACCAGAATTAATGCGGGGAATCGATCAACCGAGGCCCGCGGAGAGTCTGTGTCTCTGCCTCAGGCGCCCGTTTTGAAAAAACCTTGGGGGAAAAAAGATGCTGAGTAATCGCTTTCTCGTAATGGACTAGTTAACTAGTCACGGGTTGATGGCCTGGGATGGCCCACTCTTAATTTGATGGGATATCGAAGATCAGGCCATTGCAAAGCTCGACCTATTCCACCCTACAAATCTGGAAGCTAGCGGCTTTTGCTCACTGATCATCCCTCACAATGTCGAGCATCCTCCGCAGACTCCAGGGCGGTAATCTGGAAGTTTTCAAGGTAAGACCAGTCGCAATTCACGGACACTGACGACGCTCAACGACCACCGCGGTTCCGCCATGCAGGCGGGGGACTGTCCATTGAACATGTTGCTGATTGCGCTTCCTTCTTTCTCCAGTTCGGCATGTACGTCCTCTTCCCAATCGGCTGGATGTACTACTTTGGTACGAACCTCGACGACCGCTTCAGCACCAAGGACTTCTGGCCTACTGCAGAGCAATCCCACAAGATTCCGCTAGACAAAGAAGAAATCGACAAGGAACTCGCCCGCATGCGCATGGTCGATAGTGTGCGCCGGGAGCGCCGGGAGCGTGAGGCCGCTATGCTGGCGCAGACTTCGGCCCAAACCGCGTCATCTACGGAACAATGATCTCGTGGCAGCGAAAAGGGCGCTCAGGAGAAAAGATTTCCTTTCCACGCGACTTTCTGGACTGGACACAAGCTAATGCGAGCCAATGCATTGACACGAGTCCTCCCTGACTTGGGCGGTTTACTCTGACCTGATTTCCATCAGCATTTGGCGCCCAAATTAGCTTGTATAGTCATTTTCTTTGTACAACACTCTACTCTAGCATCTACGGCGTTTGGAGAATGAAGATTCAATTGGATGATCACTCAAGATGATTCTCATGGTCTATGTTCCTGTTCATATTATGTATTATATATTACTCAGACCTCGTACGGAACTAAAGTCGTCGGTCTTTCTATGTGTGCTATATGCAAGAAATCAGCCGAATTGACATGGCATCGCCGAAGTCAATATGTCGTGTCAAGGGAACCACAAAAGGACGTCGATTGAAGATAAGCTCTGCATTCATGAAAGCAGCATCTCACCCATCCACAGTGGTAGAGCCCGAAAGCACAAACACAAAGCCAAGGCCATTCAGGAAAGGAACAGTCTGCATGGGGGGACACCCATCAGATTCAGAGCACATCCCCAATCAAAAAGAACCAACCCCGCGGAATCTGGCCCAGAGCCGTATCGAATGAACCTTCGGAAGAAATGAAAAAAACGCCGAAAAATGCGCTGCTGGAGCCAGAAAGACCGATTGGCACTACCAACCTCGGGAGCACACAGCCCGCGCGTCTCCAGCGATGAAGAAACCCTCAGTAACACCATGCTCACTACTCCGCGCATTAGAACGAAACCAGCCCGTGCATCTCAATATGACCGCTCTGGGACAAAACTAGGCATTGGGTCCTTTCATAGTTCCCCTAGATGATGCGTAGTTGCCGCAGCAGTGTTCTTCGCGGTGTCATATACGACCTCCAACGGGGCCGTCGCCTCCCCGAACACCGAACTCATAGAGGACAGGCGTGAAGTCATTAATGTACGCTCGCCCGCCCAGTAGTAGTATAGGTGTCCGTAGATCGTGCGCAGGTGGTCTGGGAGGTAGATGTAGATGCCGGCAGCAATCATGGTAACAAGAGTGAGAAGGAGGGAGTCTGTACAGTGGGGGGTTAATTCTTGCCACTCAATCACCTCAAAGCCTGGGGGCTGGTGTCGGCCCTGGCCCTGGCTGCGTGCCACTCACTGAAGATAAATTTCTCGGTCGGAGTAAGCATGTAAATGGCGAAGGTCACCTCATACTGGTAGATCTTCAATCGTACCCAGCGAACGAATGAACTAAGCATCCAAAGGGCGGTCATTGTCATTAGCGAAGCCACTGCGTGAGTCGTGGTCAGGCAGACAACAGAGGTGATATCAAGGGGAATGTGGATCTGAGAGCCTCGGTAGACTCGCCACTTGGTGAAGCTTTCGGGGGTGTTGTTTGCGACGGTGGCCTTTGAATAATACTGTGTCACTTGTGCAATTGAGAATGGGCAGACAGCAGAGGGTTGGCACAGGATTTCTAGGTCTAGAGGTGGGGAAATAAGAATAGGACTGAACAATCGTGATAGGGATCAAAGATAGCAAAGATAAAACTGAGGCGATTGATCGGGATTCGGTATTCAAAAGGCCGCGTGGGCAGTTTGGGCTTGACGTGCTTATTTTTTTTTTCCCTTGTTGGGGCCGCCTGAAAGGGGACGCGAAAGACCAACGGAGCCAATGATTTCCCCCGGGTTCCTTCTCCCGATGATCCAAACTCAGGAGGGAACGCCCAACGCCCAATTCGATGAGGAACACAGCCGAGGGCAAAAAATCTCCTTTTAACTTCGCCACTTCGTGTTTCAGCTTGAGTTCCAAGGTCCGCGGACAGTGGCTCCACACCTGTCCACGCGTACCCACACGTGTCTATGAACCAAATGGGTCAAATGGGTCAATTTCACTATTTCAGTATGAGCATTAGAACATGACTGCACTAATTCAGACCCCCGCTCCAGGCCCAGTAGGGATCACCCGATGCTCCTGCTATAGTTGCTAGTGTGTGAATCAGTTGTTCACGCGGAAGAGCTTTCCCTTGAGAAGTGCGCCGTAATATGCAGAGAATGCAATCCATTCTCGAGACACCGAAGGATAGTAGTCGCGCCAGGAGGCCTATGCCGCATTGAACAAGTCACGCCGTGCTGCCTGTAGCAATAGTTCGAACCTTGAATAACTCTACTCGACAGACATTTCCGTAGGATTTGAACTTCTGCCTTACTACTCATTCTCGGAAGACGAAAATTTAATCCCTGCGCGCAAGCTGGTGATCCCTTGCAGCAAGAAGCGATTTTCGTAGAAGAGCGGATATTCTGCCGCATCCTGGCCAGCGTTCCCTGAAGTTTCAATTCATAGCTCAGAAGATACCACCTTCGAATTCCCTCCCTCAAGGTCTCTTCATCCACGCAGAATATGACCCGGAACCTGCCCCGCTGCTCTGCGTGGTATTGCTTGCCCGTCGCCATGATAACGCCTGCTGCCTGCAGTTGTTGGGAAAGAAGCCTCTCGGCTGCCCATGCATCGCCCTCAGTATTGCCGATGGGAAGATGCGGACTGAGATCCAACCACACAAACAAACTTGCATTTCTGAATTGATCATGGAGAGTCAGAACACCGTAGTTAATCCTTTCGCTGAATCAAGTGACTCACTCTTTATCATAGAATCGAATGCCCGCCTGATTGAGGAGACTTTCTGCGAGCAACCTGTTCCTGAGCAGACCGTCCTGAGATTTGCGCAAGATTTCTCGAACGAAATCTTGATCCTCGAGCAGCTTGGTTACCAAGCTCATAGAGAACTGAGAAGGAGAATAAAAGCGACTGGAAAAAGGATATCACGGATTAGTCTTCACACGCCCCGCCTGCGCCCCGGTGTGGATGTGTATTCCCTACCAAATGGCTCGTATGGCATTGGTAAATTAAGGGTTCTGCAAGATTACGCAGCCCAGCCGTAGTCTGCATGCACCAAAGTCCTATCACGATAATGAGTGTTGTCGTTCTCGATTCAGATATGAGGCTGCCCGGCTTCTCACCTTGGACATTCCGTACATGACATGGACCTGGCTTGGGTCAATGACATTGGTGAGATCGATAGAGCGCACCGACACGAATTCCTCCGAGGGTCTATCTTCTCGGTCCTGAGACTGAAAGTGCATAGATCTCATCGCTTATCAAGTGTATTCCCTTTGAGTCGCATAGATGAAGGATCTCGACTAATGTTTCCCTGGGATAACAGCGCCCCAGCGGGTTGTGCGGGTTGCATATTATCAATGCTTTGATTGTTTTCCCCGCGGCCTTTGCAGCGTTGAATCCAGCGTCAAGGGCGGCGATGGAGTCCGGCAAAAACTGCTGTTCGTTTCCAACAGGCACGTATCCTAGATCGATGCTATGATGTAAAAAAAAGACTCAGCCCAGGTTTTCGTCTTTAATATGCCATCATGATTTACCATGTCCTCGTCTGAAGATAGCGATAGAAAGCCCATACACAGGCTGACCTAGCATGATTATATCTCCGGCGTCACATAGCACAAGAGCGCAGGCCTCATTCAGACTCGTCAGTCCAGCTGCAAAAGTGATTTCCTCCGCGAGAAACGCAGTCGCAGGCCTGAAATAAGAGTTGAGATGTCTGGCCATTGCCGGTCGCAGTCGTAGAGTCCCAGTGTATCCTTCTCCATAGGAGCAGCGCTCAGCGTCGAACGACTTGTTGATCATGGGTCAGTAAGGTGTCTCGTATATCTGTCTTTGGTGTCACGCACCTGCTTGTTCAGCTCAGCATGAAGCATCCACTGTCTGTTGCATCAGTCTTCACCAGATCGTAGATTTTTTTCAGAGCTGGTACGTACATTCTCGGCATTCGCGAAGCTCACGACGCCACGAGGATTGCCGTCACGATCATAGACATCTTGCTGCCCATGCGCGTAGTCTCCTACGCTCCATTTCAGGCCCCTTTCCGACAGCATTTTCGGAATATCGTAAGAATATTGGATTGTTTCTCTGGTTGCCGTGAAGATGTTTTCAAGCGTTTTCACAAGTCTAGTCAAAGAGTCATCCAGGGCGAGGTGCCTAGCGGAAGAGCTAGCGGCGTCCATAGCACTAGGAACACTAGCCTCCGCTGGGAAGGTCACTACAAATATGGTCGCTCGAGCTGTGGCGTGGGAATCTTGAGAGGTTGGATCGAAATTTTTCGTCAGGACCCGCAGATCTGGGCGTTGTTCGAGATATATCTGTTGCTATTCTTCTGAATAAGTTATCAGCAATTTAGGATCTTTGAGAGACAAATGACGAGAGACTTATTGCTTTATTATGGCTGTAGGAAGTTGGCTGAGACGTGTTTGCACCTCGCACAATGTACAAAATCCTAATCGCTTTTCGGAAAGAGGCGTTGTGATTATTGGGAACACTGTATAGCCCGTGCCTAGCTTGAATTTATGACGAAGCACTCCATAATGGCAGTGTAATGCAGTTGCTGAACTTCCCAGGCCTCCTACCAATACTCTATGTAAGGTCTCCAGCCATGAAGAGCTTTGAGGGATGTATAGCTTTAGTCAGTTGAAATACACCCCTGATGGGAGTGATTCTTGATCATGTGCAAGTGTCCAACCAGCTTAGTGGATGGGTTTGGGTGAAGCATTGATGATTATACCTATCCAAAGAGGTCATGGACCGAAGCAAGGCTTCTCCCTCTGATCCTAGCAAGACGACTGGACTAAATTCCTACCGAATAGACACAGTGATGACATGAGCTTCAAGTACATTAAGAAAGCTTTCAGAATCTTCATATCATGTCCATGGGTCTCAAGATCAGAGTGGGGAGTGAGAGTGGTAGACAGCACCAGTACTTGATGGTATTTAGAGAATACAGCCAATAGCGTGTATTGATCTTGGTGGGAGGTCGTGATTTTTTTTTCTGCCACTTTCATCCACTGCTTTGGGGAGACTATAAATTAAGAAATTCCCCCCCTGGAATAATTCTTCCTTCCTTTTTTCCCCAAGCTTCTTTGCGCTCGTGGTCTACTTCTACCTCTTCATTCTCACATGCTCAGTCCACCTGCATCAACTTCATGCAATCCACATGATAATTATGTCACATGATCATGACAGGTCACCACCTTCAAGTAAGTTCTTCTCTACTATATACTTTGTTTCTCTTTTGTGATTTGTTACTTGCTAACACTATACTCATCTGCTTATCTAGGATCAGGTCACCTGACATGTACCTTGATACAACTTGACATGTACCTTGATACGTCTTCACACTCTTCATCATCATACTCTTCCTCTTCACACACTCAGCCTACCAGGCATCAACTTCATACAACCCACATGATGATGTCACATGACCATGACAGGCCACCATTTTCAAGTAAGTTCTTACTTTGAACTTTGTTCCTCTTTAGTGATTTGTCTACTTGAAAACACCATACTCATCTGCTCATTCAGGATCAGGTCACCTTATGTGCACATTGACATGTGCTCACAACAACAATCAATAACAACCTACTCGCATCACTGTCGATGATTAACCTTACTATTCTTCAAGGTCCCTAACATCCTTGGACCTCAATATCATCCATATTCTCCAGCCTTTCTCAGATGCTTCAACATCTTTCCAACCATTTTGGTCTCTCACCCATCTCAACATTATTCATTTACTTCACATCATCAACCTTGATCTCTCTCATACACCTCAACATCGTGAATATTCTTTCAATTTCTTCCACTTTCTTTTGCTCGGTCTAGCCGATGACCTTTCTGGACAGGCGTCATATACCCTGTTAAGGGCATATGTCAGGACAAATCCAGACTGGTTTGACGTCAGGATGACCAACAGCCAAAAGGAGACCAGCTTGGCCTAGCCGATGACCTTTCTGGACAGGCGTCATATACCCTTGATACGGTATATGTCAGGACAAATCCAAATTGGTTTGACGTCAGGATGGCCAATAGCCGCGCTCTTCAACCATCAGGAGTTTCTTCATGAGCTAGCCTACCAGCTCCATTCACACTCGATCTACCAACTGCAATGTGTCAAGTCCACTTTAAAAGACCACCGTGCACCATCCACGCTCTATCTAATCAAATGAACAAATGAACAAGATTCAAAATCAACAAAAATGGACGACTTCTTGTCTTGAAACACGGACTCAGACTATGCCCCTCAACCCATGGGCCACCTTTTGAAGATGACGAGAATGGATCATAACATGCTTCCTAATCCGGACTAGCTCCGGCCGCGGTCTTTCTTATCTGCCTTATCACGCGGTCACAAACCTCCACCTTTTCCGATCACCAAATGCTGCGGCCGCGTGCCTGCTCGTGGGCATCGGGGCCTATCTCGAGCAATCTTCTACCCACCTTTCCATATTGCTTCAAGGCCCTAGCAGTCCCTGTGAAGCCTCAAACAGCGATCAATCACAAGCATCTGCCCAATTTTCCACATCGCTTCTTCACTCACACACCAAGGCTTCCTGCAAAACCTCTTCCACCCCGGCTCAAGATCAACGATGCGGACTTGACCATTTCATACCTCAAAGGCACTGGTCCTGGTGGCCAAAAGATTGTTGGTTTGCCACACCCCTGAGGAAGGTGCCAATTGACTTGATGCTAACTAACCACTTCCAGAATAAAACCAACTCCGCTGTCCAAATCAGCCACGGCCCCTCCGGCATCGTTGTCAAATGTCAAGCCACACGTTCCCGTTCACAGAACGAAAAGATCGCACGCTCTTTACTTGCCGATCGAATCGAGCACCAGGAAAAAGGCATCGATAGTCGCGTCAGCCTCAAAGCGGAAGCCGCGCGGAAGAAGAAAGCAAGCAAACTGAAGAAGGCCAAACGGAAATATCGCTCGCTTGAAGATGAGTCAACGGAGTGTGACATGGAACTCGAACACCAAGACACGCAGGCGCAAGATCGAGAGGTCGAATCCGACCTCCCAACCAAGGAACAAACATCTTGAGACTTTGGATGCGGGATATGAATTCTGGGAATCGAAGGTATAAGAGGAAGGTAGAAGGGGGATATTACCTCTCTCTAGGCTCGGTCTAGCCCAATGACCTTCTGGACAGGCGTCATTTGCCCTCACCCGGGGGGGGGCATCTGTCAGGACAAATCCAGATTGGTCTTGGGTCAGGATGAACAACAGCCAAAAAAAAAAAGGGGTTCGGATCTGGGTACCATGGGAAACTGATATCTTGAAAGACTCTGGCCGCGGTAGTAGATTATTTTGCGGTTCTTTTGCATTTACACCCGTCACCTCGAATGCCATGCAAAACCCCGAAAGGGGGATACCGCCTACTTGATTTCTCATGGTAATCCTAACTACGTAGGAGTAAATCCAGGATATTTTGGCTTACTGTGTTGGCCCAGTCCACGAATACTAGTAGGTGGCCCGACAAGCAAACTTAAAGATGTGAGGAACGCATTAAGAAGCAACTTTCCACCCTCCGCGCTGACCGGCCGACCATCCGCGCTGGTGAATACTACTAAAGATTCAGAGTTAGTAGATTCCAAATCCCGTGGAAACTCTACTAGTAGAACATACTGGTAGCCAATGCCCGTTTTAGCTATGGAAATTGCAGAAGACTATCATTTTCAACTACGAATTACAGCACGATGCTATTATCGCGAGATTCCGGTGCTCCGACCATCCGCCGCCTAAGTCGAACCCTTGAAAAATAGTATATAAGTTACTAGTCACCCCACAGAACGCACATCCTACATCTTCACTTTTTAAATCCAAGCCTGCCGATAAACTCATTGAAAGCAACTTGATCAACAAAGAAATTTGAACCACCACAACCCCCCAACAGGCCTCTCAAAACAACCCTTGCCAGCCACGACGTTACTATTACCTACCACATGTCTCCTCAGCCTCCACCAAACCCCCACGACGTCTTAATCGCCGGTGCAGGCCCCGTAGGCCTAATGCTCGCAACAGAGCTCCAGCTTGCCGGTGCAAAAGTGCTAGTCGTTGAGCGCAACCACGACTTCGACACCGCCGGCAAAGCAGGAGGTATAAACACCGCTTCTGTGGAAGCGCTGCAGCGCCGCGGTCTTCTCCCGGCGCTCCAAGCAGCGGCGCAACAGGCGCTTCCTAGAATCGCGCCGAAAGTGACTGTCAACGGCGTGAAGACGTCTCCGTACGCAGGTTCAGCGGGCCACTTTGGGGGTATTACTGTGCCGGCTGCGGCAGTGGATATGGGGGATCCGGTGCTGAGGGGACGAGGTCGTGATGGGTGGATCATGCTCGTGCCGCAGGTTGAGGTTGAGAAGGTGCTTTTTGCCCGGGCTCAGGAATTAGGTGTTGATATTTGGCGTGGGGTGGGCGTGCAGGACTTCCAGGATGATGGGGACGGTGTTAGGGTTTGGTTGGAGGGCGGCGAAGTACTTGAGCTGCGGGTGCCGTGGGTTGTTGGCTGTGACGGCGGGCATAGTCTTGTTCGACGGATTGGGGGATTTGATTTCCCTGGCACAGATCCTCAGATCACGGGGCGGCAGGCTGTGGTTGAGATTGAGGGGGCAGAGAAGTTGAAGCGAGGCTGGCAGTACACAGCGACGGGGGTCTATGTGTATGGGCCCATGCCGGGCTATGTGCGGACACTTGAGTTCGACGGTCCGCCGGCGAATAAGTATGCGGCCGTGACGGCGGAGGAGATGGAAGGGAGCTTGAGGAGAGTCAGTGGAATCAACGAAATTCGGATCCCCAAAGTGCTGAGCGGTTCGCGGTTTACGGACAATGCAAGGCAGAGCAGCGATTATCGGCGCGGGAGGGTTTTACTTTGTGGAGATGCCGCCCATGTGCATTCGCCGTTGAGCGGACAGGGACTGAACTTGGGGCTTGGGGATGCGGTCAACCTTGGATGGAAGCTTGGTGGTGTTGTTCGAGGGTGGCTTCCAGAGAAGCGCCTTGATACCTACACTAGTGAGAGGCATCCGATCGGCATGAAGGTGTTAGAATGGACACGCGCTCAGGTTGCGGTTATGCGAGGCAGTGCCGAAGCGTTTGCTCTCAGAGGCGTGGTGACTGACTTCTTGAGTACTCGAGATGGCGCCACGCATTATGTGAAACAGATCTCTGGCCTTGGTCAATCTTACGACCTCGGGCTCCCTGAACCACATCCATTGGTTGGAAAGGTATTGCCAGACATTGTGATGGAAGATGGAACGCGGTTGTGGGAGCATATGCAGGAGGGACGAGCCTTGCTTCTTGATCTGACAGCGGACGTTGAGATCGCACAGCTGAGTGAGGTCTACAAACCGCGATTGAAGGCCATCAGGTGTGCCTTGAATCATCAGGCTCTGAAGGCCTTGTTTGTCCGTCCGGATGGTTTCGTAGCCTGGGCAGGGGATTGCAATCACAACACAGGAAGCTTGAAAGATTCTTTGCGTTTCTGGCTTGATGCGTGATAAATAGCAGACATTGGCCATTGCCCAATGATTGTTGTATCCTTCGGATTGTATGGTAGGACTCTCCACTTCTCAAGGTATCTAAAATTATACTTGTTGCAAGAATCATCGTCGAACGTGTAGTTTTATTAATGCTCTGGCCAGTCACGTATTTTGGATAAGAAATAGTATTCCTGTTTTTATCCTACCTAGGTATCAAGATGAGATGACTCATTGATCTATGAAATTCGTCAATGCAAATGCGCCGCGGCCTCCATCCTTGGGGACATGTCTCCATGGCATACACCCTTTTCGTTTTGTATCATTGAAGTCAAAGTCGTCCTCAAGAGATGTAGCTACCGAGCACAGCCTTGGCCTGGTCATCAAGACGTTCCCCGGCGAATTGCGAAATCCGGCCGTTATGCGTCTTGTCGGCTTCCTTGAGATAAGCACCGACCCACTTCTTCAGGTCGGCACCAGTCTCGGGCCACGGATCTTTGTCTCCGGTCTTGATGGTGCTCAAGGCCGTGAATCCAACCCCAAAGGACATGTCCTCGATATCGACTTCCGTCATAAGATCGTCCTTGTGAGCAACTGCAGGCGGAAGCTCCAGCACCTTGAGAAGAGTGTTGCAGGTGGAGGCCCAGCCTTTGATGAATCGGGTGGCAAAGGCATCCGAATTGGCAAGGGTCTTGGTCAGTGACAGGACCGCTGTTTTTCGATCCAAGGGACGCGCAAGCTTTTGGGTCTCCTGGAGAATGACGTGAGGGTACACTTGGGTGAAGAGGCTTTGACAAATTAGTTATGTTATGAGAAAGAAAAAATAAAAACCCCCTGTTAGTTGAACGGAGCACTGGACGTACCCGGTTTGCACTTTCTCGGTCACTTGCATGATGAAGTCAGGGGAGTATCCTTTGTCATCATGGGCCGTGACGAAATGGTAGAATCGAACAAAGCGGAGAGATAAGTTTTCTGTCTTCGAATTTTGCAGACGGTGGAGAATAATCTGCATGATCGAGACGAAGTATTGCTCCAGAGCGGCACTAGGTCCTTTTATAAATATTCTACAGTTCATGAACGGTAGGAATAGGGTATGGAACTTACGGTGGGAAGCTGGCCACAACAGTTTCCAACAAATCAAACGCGTAACCTTCGTTAGCCTTGGTCGAGACCAACTTCTGGAAAATACCCAGAATCGGCTCGATTTGGTTGTTTTCCAGGATGAACTGCGACCCACGGGGGATGATGGAAGATAGCAAGCGGACCAGTGCTGGGATGTTTCCACGGGATTCCCACATGACAGGCATCAAAATGGGACCAATGAGCTCCTGGAAATAAGGTGGCAAAGTACTTGAGGGATTAGCCTCCAGAAGAGCAGCGAAAAGCTGGAAGACATAAGGCATGAATTCTAGTGACAGTTTTAGTTTTGGGCTTAGATTGAGGTACGGAGGTACATACCTTGCACATCACCCTGCAGGATGGCCGCAAATGGACTGTAAAGTGCTTGTTCAAGCTTGCCGGGTTCAGCAGGCGCAGAGTAGCGAATGAAAGCACCCAGAGCCTCGAAGAAAAAGTAGTAGAAGCGAGGATTGCTGGGGTTAGCGCTAATGATCTGAGTGATGGTGATGAAGCGTTGTAGGGCAAGATCGGAGAATGGCACAACACCATCCCGAATCACGACCAGAACACGCATCACACATCGCATCAAGAACTCGTTCTCTTGAACCTTCTCGGGGCGGGGTCCCTCTGAATAAGTTGGAAGATGTGCTCGGAGAGGTCTTTCGCGAGCGGAGTGATTTCGGCAGGTGAGATTATAGGCTGACGCTGAGCATCGCTGAGAAACAAGGCCCGCTCTACCGCAATCGCAGCGTAGGTATACACAACGTAGTTCGAAGAGGCCAGGTGTTTGACAAGGACAGGAAGAACCTGCTGCCACTGTTCCTTTGTGATGATGCTTCGGAAAGTGTAAAGGTATTTAATAGCATCCACCTTGAGGATAGGGTGGACCCCATCATCCGCAATCAGGTCCGCAGCAAGGTGCTGCTGGAAAAAGTCCGTGATGCTAACCAAATTGTTCGTGGCGGTAACACCGTGCGCGGCAGTTGCGACACCCTTGGCGGCGACAGCGGAGAAGAGATAAATCGCGGTGTCTTTCGATTTCCAGCTGGAAGCAGGGTCTTTGGAATACTCTGCCAGGTAGTGCTCGCTGTACTTCAGGACAACCTTTGTGACCGATTCTTCGAATTTTTCGGCCAAGCAGCGAAGGAAATCAGTCGCAGCACGGCGACGAGTCTCACTGTCTGATCCCTCCAAATCGCGTCGAATGAACTCAATGGGCTCATCCTCGAATAATTCTTCATCCGATTCACGGAGACTTACGTTAGGCAGAATGACCTTCTCAATGATTTGGCTCAAGGTCTCGTCTGCCTGGAAAGCCGCAGCATGCTCGGGCAGAGCAGCAACAGAGGTCAAGAAAGTCAAGGCACGACTGACGAGGATGTCGTACTTAGTCTCTTGGCCAATCGTGGTCAGAAGGCCCCACGAGCTCTGGATGAATTGGCCAACAAGTGGTCCGAAAGCATCCATGAACTTCTTGACATACAGAGTCAAATCCTCGAAGATCCCAGCACGAACATACTCCAGCAGTCCAGCCTCGGTATCATCACTGGTATGAAGTAGTTGGTTGTCATATGTCAAATATTTGTGCAGGATAGATGCGAGCGAGGAAATGTGTTCTTCGAACATCGGAGGAAGGTCATGGCAGGAAAGATCGTAGAAAAGCTTAACCATAAGATTCAGTTGAGTGAACCCTTGAATCAAGTTTTCTTTGTTGTTCTTATTTTGCTCTAAGTAGTTATCGAGTCCCTACAAGATCGTCGATAAGTTAGCGTCCTCTTGACGGAAGGAGAGCAGACGGTAAACGTGAATTTTTACCTCGAACAAAGCTAAGTATGGATTTCCAAACTTGTTCAGAACATGGTTGATTTCGGTGTAGAGTTCATTGGACTGGAAGAGAGGGCGCCATCTCTTGAAAATCGAGTGTGCAACCTGCAGCACACCCACGTTGACGCTTGGGTTTGACGGGTCCAACTTGGAAACGAGATCCTACCAACCAGTTAGATCTGCAATGCCATACTCCAAGACCAGAGGTACCTACATCCACGAGGGTATCCCAGCGCTCCCAGAAGTCACTGTCAGCAATTGCACTGACGGCCTCGCCCAGTTGGGTACGAATCGCAGGAGGCACTGAGATCATCAAGGAGATGAGTTCTCGCTTAATGGTCACTACCTCATCCGGCGGCAACTTATATTCACCATCCTCGTTCACCCAGTTTCTCTTGATGAAATTTTTGAAGCAAAGGGCGCTCGCTAGGCGGATGTTGTTGGGGGAGGAGTCCGACGCAGTAATGTGGAGGAGCTGGATCGAGAAGCCGGGCTTTTGCTCTTCTTGACGAAGAGCATTCTCAGCTGAAATAGAGTTAGAGACATTGTCGTATCTTTTCATCGTGGCTGACTTTCTATAGACTGACCTTCTTTGTTCCGTCGCGGGTCCAAGCTGGCCTCCAACAGAGCTCCCAGCGCCTCCGCCATTTTCACCGATACGTGGGGTATCAACAGAAGGGAGGGGCAACACGATCGCAGATGGGTGGAGAAATCGGGGAGAATTCCGACAGTAGTTGCAAAGAGATTGTCCAGCTGAATATCACCCAGAGCACTGGTTTGGATGTGGGAGACTCACGGGAAGTGAGGATGAAGGAAGCTCGACAAAGAGCATAACAAATAAATGAGAGCCCATATAATAGAAAGCCCACTGCGTCAACAATCTAGTCCTAAAGCGGCTAGTGAATCACGTGATTTTCTGAGGTTTATTGCTCTATTATTGCGTCACGTGACATTATGGCGGCTAGCAGATTGGGACTCGTGATTCAATAGTCCAGTCTACTTGTTGATCGCACCTTCTCTCCTTACGTTCGGTATTTACATACAAGGCAACATGGGCCATCCGAATCGATGCATTGCAAAGCCACTAAGCTAAACAAATTATCAGTGTGAAATGACACATACTGCGGTAAAAGTCTTGGGTCTAGGCAGATGAAAAGGCATGGAAATTGGGATTCTTTGTCAAGGAAATAGCAAGTAAATACGGGTCAATTCTCATGGCATAAACCACCCAGTGGATGTATTTCCCGTCCCTCAAAATTCAATAGCCATATGGACCTTGTGCCCATCCACGATTTCTCTCGGGGTTCCAAGGGAGAAACACCTGCGTCAATCCCATTCCCGAGCGACTCAAACTGATGATACGCAAAAATTTCATATTTAAACCTCGCTAGCCATCGTATATAGTAGTAGCCCCCATGGTCAGAAGGTATTCTGGACCGCGTTCAACTTAGACAGACCCTGCATGCATATCTAAAGGACAGCCGTACATGCCAAAACCTTCCATCACACGAAGTACGTTCTTTCCTTCAGATGGTAGATCGGTACCATAGAAGCGGTTGGGATTTATATTGAAAATTGATCTGGTGCAGCTTGTCCAGCTTAAATGCAGCAGAGAACCGTGGAAAAGACATGCCAGTGGTAATGACACAGTGTCGACCTTTCAAGAGAGACTACCATTTTGTGTTTCATACAATTCTTCACTAGCAGAAAAGGCGGAGTACTCCCAGGTGACATCTGTGCTGTGTAGACTTCCCCCGGGTTAGAATTCATCGCCAATGAGACACTGAGAGGACAAACGCGGCATGATTGGGAGTTTCTCCGGCAACGAGTATATTCTTAAACTTGGAACATGGTGGGAAAGAGAACTAAACAATATTCAAGGTTATCTCCAAAGGCCTAATGTCTGAATCCTCCGACTGTCCGGTTCTTTTGGCGATGACAAACTGTCAAAAAAGGCATTCCTTCAGAGGTCATATTATATATACATGGTAGTCTTGCAAATTTCGTACTAATTACGATACAGGAGGAGAAACATAATTATAGTATGTAAAAGGTACAAGGATATAGACAGCATAGGAATAAACAAAACCTGAAATCACTCAATACACCCTTGAGACCAGCGACACAATATGCTGTAGCATGTGGCAAGGAATGCAGAAGCTAAGCTCTTTGAGTCGGTCTGTATTGTTCTAGTACAGCCACCTGAAATTCAGCTTCTATTCTTTTTGAACTTTTTTGCTTTTTCCTGTTTTTCTTTCTGCAAATAAGCTCTGGTGCATCACGGTCTACTGTCTGAGGCAAAAGTACCCTGCGTATAGCTTATTCTGCCACGCGGTGCCAAGTGTGTGGTTGTTGTGACTGTTTCCAGATCTATTCTCTGTATTTAATTCGAAAATCCATTTGTCATAGCCAGCATGTCGGTCCCTCTCCGCATAAGTGGGCCATCTGGGGCCACATGTCTCTTTCTCTTTCCGGGTGGTTGCCAATATCCTAGGATATTATTACATGATTCCGAGGGAAATTTACGTACAAGGACGCTAAACGAACCTGCGTTTGATCTAACCCTCCCTTTATTATCATCTTGATGTATTTCTAGAGGTTAATAAAAACAAACAACTAGCAATGAAAAAGTTCTGAAAGTGGCGTGGACCTCCAAGTCCTAGCGCTGCTTATATATTCCACCAGATAAGTGATATCATCTCCAAAAATCAAGTAAATTACATAGATAGGAATTTACAATTGGAAGACCCGCATAAATTTTTCCCTAGCTAGGTTAATTTGAGAATCTATGATTTGGTTTGTGGAGTATTTCCTTGTTATGACCATCGAAGTCTGAACGCATTCATTGGCGGAAGCTATTCCTTCGAATACGAGAATTTAAGTATTTTAAAAGCCACCGATATAAATAGAAAATTATTTTCCATGAATTTTATTAGAGTTAACCTCAATAGCAGTACAAAAGGAGTACTTCTCGAAGAGCAGTTAGATATCGGTTGTTTCTACCCGGTCATATAATATTGGACTACTAGTCTAAGTAGAAATAATGTAGAAGTCTTAGATAATTTGAAACGAAAGCGGAATGGACTCGGATTGTAAGCCCTTTCCTATCGAAATGTCATATTCAAGCTCGGTTTGCAGCAATATCTCGGAATTTCCGTTCTCGAGAATCATGCCTCAGAACTTCGCGCTGTGGCTTTTCAAGGAGAAAACAGATTAGTCAATTCCACTCCAGTTTGCCCTCGAAATATCATTGCACTGCCCTTTTTCAAACCCGAGTGCTTTTCTTTTGGTTTTCTATTATCATTTCTGCTCTGGTCTACGGAATCGACCGAATTGGCAGCTACGGGTCTTCATACATTCGATGGCGGACAGGAGTCAACTACTGGGCCGCCAGTCGAGTGGCCAGTCACTTTGAAGAGTTTAGGATTTCAAGTTGTCAATTACAAGGAGCATCAGACCGGAAGGATTCGGCCGATGAAGCGCGGTAATTGCGTTCCAATGATTAATTGAGGAAACTTGTTGCATCTGCAAATGCCGGTGCAGGGGTGAAGAAGCGTAAGGAAGCTAGAATGACTTGCCATCATGCAGATCCATCACAACCCGACAGAAGAGAATACGATGAATCACAAACATATCTGCCGATCTTTATGCACAACCATGCGTCTTGACGCTCAAGTGACGTGGGCTGCCTTGTTCCCAGGACCCATCTGGCGGGTAGATGCCAACGAGAGGACCAGTGGAGCGAATACCTAATTTTTTGGTCGGTATAATGAGCACAAGATCTGAGATAGTCTGTGGTATGGTAGACCATCGGGAGAAGAATTCACAGAGCAAAACATCCCCAGGCTTGATAGCCTTCCGGGATCTATGCCCGAATTCTGAGTCCTGCGACCGGTCCAGGCAGTGGCGAGTGTTTACTTTGCGAGAGCGATCGCTAGGCAAATCTCGGCATTTGGCACGAGCGGTGGGGGAAGCGGGTCGAGGCCCAGCTGTTTCCCAGCATTCTGGGAACTTTCTTACTGCTTCTCTAACCGACATGGGCCTATCGCTAGCGGGCGGGTCCACTGTCCAGCTTTGTGTGGCTGGCTAAGCCCAGTTCTATTGATCTCTCTCCCGCAGCTCCGTCGTACTAATGCACGATGCGGTAGTGACCACAGCGGGGTCCAGCCAGCCCCCAGTTCTCTCAAGTTGGGACGGAGTTCACCGGAACGAACTAGATTCTTATGGCGGGGTTCGAAACAAATCTGCTCGCTGAACCCTCTCAGAGGGGTATGTCGGCTTTGGTGGTTCTTCTCGGCTCCGATGGATGAATCAAGCGCTGGTGTCATCTCCGTCTTCACCTGGACCCAAGCCACTTGAAAACAAAGACAAAGCAGCCGAGGGTGATCACACTCCGGGGGTTCGGGAGGCTAATCTGGGAAACGGGAGCTAAGTGGAACCTTTGTCGTCAGAGATCCTGCATACACTGCACATGCCTGGTCGGCCATGGTAGGATCCGTTGTTATGCAACCCCGCTCAATGGAACAAGCAGAGAGGATATCGATGGTTACAGATGGATTATGATCGGCAGATCGGCCGACAAATTCAGTCATCGATTTTGCTCCCATCTCAGCCTAAGTACTCTGTACTGAATCATGTGCCCCACAATCTCGCCTACGACTAGGAACTCCTCCATTCAGTTGGGACCTGGCTAGCCAGCCATTTTCATGCACGGTGCACACCCTCAGCTATGTACTTCTGTCTGACTTTTGCTGAGCCGAGTGTGCGGTGCTGAAAATAAGCAATAAAAATGCGCCATTCGAAGCGCCCTGCCTCAAGCTAGCGGCCACCCCGAGTTCTTGCCGCCCACCTGCTTTCATATCGGCTGTTTTCCCACGCACAACTCCCACAGGAGTGGATCTCTCCGTCTCCGCAGCTCCCACGACAATCTTGATGAAGCACGATGATGTCCTCGGTGGAGTAAGGATCGCCAGTCAATTGCATTTGTCTGCATGCGCTATCACTGTACTCCACTAAAGCATTAGGTTGCATTGCAAGACAGATAGCCGGAGAATTACAGCGCGTTTCCACAAAATACCGTGCAGTGTCTTTCCATTCAAGTACCTTCAGCTATGATACTTTGAAGAGAGGAAGCTCGTTGTACCAATGCAGCTTGACAGATGCGATTTCGACGGGCCCGTGGGGGGAGGGGGAAGGGGGGAGAACTCACGAAAGCTCACGCAAGGCGACGCTGCAGATCACTCCATTGGAAAACAATACCAAGAAAATCAAATTACAGACAAGCTAGCTCAATCGAGAAGCTCCGAGGGTGGGTGCTTTGTGCCCACCAAAGCTAAAGCTCATTGCCACATCTTGAAATCGCCGAGCGTCGCATGGCCCATACGTAATTTAAAAATCCCAGATATTCCAATTCAAGAAAAAATTGCCGGATATGAAAGATTGTGGCCATCTTTTCAGCTACTTAAGTCCGAGTATTTCCTTCACTGGTTCCCCATTTCGAACCAACCCGCAATCCTGGCCCAAATTCTCTGTTGCTTTAAAGGCTATCGCCATTTCCATCGCCGCCGCCGCTGCTGTTGTTCAGCAGAAGAGCCCAACCTTACCACGGAGCCCTTCGTTCCCCCAAGACCTACAACTTCCTCTGCCTCAAATAAGTCTACTCAGAGAGCTGAAAAAGTCTCTCTTCCGGAAATCCTAGCCAAAACCCCTTCTAAATCCTCAATTGAAGTCTCCAAGTCAAATATGGCCCCTGGTATCGTCTCCCCAGTACCGGGTAACCACCACTCCGCGTTCTACAACTTCTTCCACGGTGGCTCGCGGCAGGTATCCGGAGTCTCTGGTGCCCTCGAAAACGACAACATCTCGCAAAATGGACGCTCTTCTTCCCGGCGGGAATCTTTCATGCCACGCAAACCTAATGGAGCAAATGCGTCTAATCTTACAAGTGTTGTCCAGTCTCTTTATCGCCGTAGCGGTGACGAACTCGGTGCCTCAACATCTTCTAAGCTTTTGAACAGCACCTATCACTCTCTTGTGGAGTGGATCCGTGTTCAGCGTATGAGCCATTTGCCCCCAGAAGGTAGCAGTTATGATAAGGTTCTGGCTTGGGCGCAGCTCTTTATTGAGCGCCTTCACCACTTTGATGAAGCTATTCACGATTTTGCCGGGGATAGCGGTCTTGCCACCCAGCTATCTTACGGTTACTGCGGCATGCTGCTTGATGTAAGCCAAAACAAAGTATCCTGAAACATAGCGAGTTCTAACCATCGAAACCAGCTTGGCAAGGAGAATGCCGACGCTTTGATGATCTCTTTCGGGTTCTTCTATAGCACATCTTCAACATTGGTAAATTTGCTTGAGCGCACTGAGCTTTTCGCTGTATCGCAGGAAATCAAGGAGCAGCTGATTCTGGCCCTTGCTGATCTGGTTACATTGGTTCACAGTGTCTCAACTCACTTCCACCAGGCTATCAGTGGTTTGACCACTGCTTCTGTCTCTGTCAATATCTATGATACTTTTCCTGGCCAGATCCAGTCTTTCAAGGACCGATGCAGAAAGATTGCGGAAGCCATGTGGCGCCATCAGCTGTCCCGTGAGAACATTGATACTGAAAAAGGTAGATTTACCTCAATATTCCTGCGAGCGAAAGTCAATTGCTTACCCGAATCATCTCCAGTGTCTTTGGTCAAGTCTGTTCACCATTGGCTCGCTCCTGAGGATGGTGTTCTAGCGCGTCTAGCGGAGAACACCTCCCATCTTGCTCATGAGCGAGAGGAGAATACCTGTCTTTGGGTTGGCTCAGCATTGTCACTCTTCCTGAAGAAACAGACCAAGACGCTAGCCTTCAGCGGCAAGCCTGGATCTGGAAAGACCGTTGCAGCTTCCGTCCTTGTCGATCGCCTGCAGGACCCCATTGGCAGCGTCACTTATAAGACCTTATTTGTTCCTATTAGTGAGTTTTTGGAGAACCATCACTGTATAAGCGACATTCTAATTCTTGGATTCTGAAAGATGCCCGAATCCCGGCCGAGGCTACTGCTATAGCGGTTGCTAAAACTATCCTTCACCAGCTGTTCGAAAAGCGCATTGGGAACATTCAGCTTCTTCAAATTCTAAGTGAGGCTTACGAGCAAAGTAGAAAGACCACTTCTGAAGCTGAATATGAGGACCTTCTGTGGCACGCTTTGCACCGAACCCTGGGAGCGGCCATGCGAGGTTCAAAAGAGCTCATCATCATTGTCGATGGTATTGATGAAGCCACTTGTGGCGAAGCCCATCTCTTTGAAAAGCTCACCAATGCTGTTGCCCATACAGCTGCGGTCAGATTGATCACTCTCGGTGGAGAGAAGCCAAAGGATACTACGAACGTGCTACATGTTCCTATCAATGAGGAGCGTAATGGCGAGGACGTCTCCATCGTGGTGCGCAGCAACCTTGAGCACAGCAAGGTCTTCCGAGAGATGTCTGAACTGGAACAAGAGACTATCATTGACGAGATCTCTGAGGCCGCCCATGGCTCGTTTCTTTGGGCAAAACTCTGTGCAAATAGTATTCGTCACGAGCACACTGCAGAAGATCTGCACAAGGTCGTTGAGACTGTGATAAGCAGCAAGCTCACCATCACTGACTTCGTACAAAGAGCCATCTCATCGCACGATGTCACCGATGATGCTCGTCACATGCTCCTTTGGCTTGCCACTGGTGACCGGCCATTTCAAGTGAAGGAGCTTCTCCTTCTGGCCTCTGTTGATGTCCATCACCGCACAATTGTGGAGCGAAAATTGAGCCCCGTGGGTATTCTCAAGCCCCTAGACAGCCTGATTCTTTTCCAGGATGGACAAGTCTACTTCCGTCACGGACTGATCCGGAGCGCTATCTTGGATGTTTTCTCGAAAGGCAAATTGGTTCCCACGATCAAGGACCGCCACGCTGACTTGGTCACTCGTTTATTGATTTATATTAAAACTGTTCTTCCTGAGCAGCATGAACCGTCTCTTTCTCCCCTAGACTACCATGATACCAACAGTCTGATTCAGAAACACCCTCTCCTTGAGTTCTCTGTTCGTTACTGGTATCAACACTTGACGCAGACCACGGTTTTCAAGACCCACGGTGAGGTCCATACTGCTAAGGAGTTTGGCAAGGTCTTCCCCTCGAGTGTTACCTTGTTGCTTCTCCAGAATACTGTGTGGAGTAACGTCATTACCCCCCAGATTGCTCAAGTACCACACTACTACTTGCAACTTGTACCGCCACATCTTGACTCCCAACAATGTTGTCACTCTGCAGTCCATGATCACATTGGCCATGTTCTACCGTGGCATCGAGCTTGTGCATGATTCTATTCCTCTCGTCTATGAGATCACCACCCTCAGCAAAACTTTGCTTACGACTCGCCACCTTGTCACTATGAAGATGGCAAACATCTTCCTTGAATTGACTACTACTGAAGTCACAAGCTCTCGGACTGAGATCATGATCAAACGCGAGGAGATCTACCTCTTGCTTGTCGAATGCTATAAAATCCACTATGGAAACAACTCCGAGAACGTTGTTACCACTCTACAGGCCCTGATTGAGCATTACCGCCTAACGAAGGAGGAGAAGAAGATTCAAGAGATTACTGTGATTATTCAGTCTATAACTGGTGTCACCACTGAGAAAGATACCTCCCACGGTGATCTCCACGTCCACCTGAGACACAAGCGCCACCACAGTGATGGAGGCATTCGTTTTGTCTTGGATGTTGAAGAGGATGAGCGTACCTCTGAAGAATTCGACTTCCATGCTCTCCTACAGTTGGCTGAGAAGTACCGTGCTGATGGTCAGATTCTCGAAGCTGAGCGCGTGTATGTCGAGATATGGCAGCGTGCCTCGCACGAGTGCCGCATTCAGTCTTCATCCTACTGGGAGGAGATCAAGCTAGAGTCTGTCATCATCTACTCCAAGTTTCTCAAGCAGGAGAAGAGAGAGACTGAGTCATCTGCAATCCTCTCCAGTGTCTGGGAAGAGTACCGCCACTCTAGCCTGACTTTGACAGAGAAGACTTCCCACCACTTCCAAGAGATAGCAACCATCATGGCCTCAGTTGGCCTTACTGCTGCCGCTCTGTCGATCTTCAAGCAATGTGCTCATTACTATGAGAGTAGAAATCAGACCAGTTCTTCCCGTTTTGAGGAGATCAAGAAGAGTATCACTACTACTTCTGAGCACGTTATGAAGTCTGCCAGCTCTTCATCGTCTACCGTGTCAGAATCTACCTTGGAAGAAATTGTATTCGAGGCCTCTTCTTCGCACAAGGTTGACCAGAGCTCCTTCACAGCTACCACTACTCTGGTTGAGCTTTACGTCTCCCAGCACCGCTGGAAAGATGCCACTCGCGTCACTAAGAAGGTCCTTGAAGGAACTTGGTCCACCTTGTTCGCTGCCTCAATTCAAGATGTCATTCTGCCAAAGGACAACATTGAGAACACTATCGAGCTAGCTGAGCGTCTGTGCCAGTGCTACCACTATCGACGCCGTTTCACCCGCGAGGAGAACATTCGGACTCGTATCTACCATGCGATCCGTCATCATCGCCCCGTGGACGATAAGATCAGGGAGCGCATCACGGTCGAACTTATTAGATTCTTTGAGCGTACTTCACAAACCGATAAGGTCATCAGCACCTATCAGGAGCTACTGGATGACCAGGTCAAGCATTACGGCCACGATCACTCCGTCGTTATCAAGACTCTGTGGACTCTCGCCGAGCTTACTCGTCCCCGCCCAATCTTCATTGAGTACTACCAGCGAATCATTCGGGCTCTGAACAAAGACTCTCCTCACTGCAAGCCAGAAGCGCTGGAGCCTCTGATTATTGTTGCTACTGAGCTATGGTATCAGAGCCGCTACTCCGATGCTGTCGCTTACTTCACCTTGCTCTTCACCACTTTCCTGAGCCACCCCAAGCAGCCCAGATTTGAGAACACCGTCTTTGTGCAGGAGATCTTTACACGCTACACCCATTGTCTCCGCTCAGTTCGTACTGATTACAGTATCATCCATAAAGTGACTCTTGACTATTACTCCAAAGTCAAAGCTGTCTTCGGTGCCACCGCTTCGATCACTATCCAAGCAACTCTAACTCTTGCTAGAGTGTGCCAGGAGTCCAAGCGCTATGAGGCTGACGCTATTGCGTTGTATGAAGAGCTTCTGAAGATCAAGTCCACCGAGGTTGACATTGAGGAAATTTCGGCGACCCTCGACAGCATCTACGAAGAGCAGACTCTCATTGCGACTTCTTCGAACACAACCCTCTCATCCTCGCAGGTTGAACGGGCTTCGAAGGTCTTGCGTAAGCGCATTACCACTACCCGAGAGACTCATGGCTGGGCTCATGAGGAGTCTCTGTCTAAGCTCAAGGAGATTGTGTCTTTTCACTCCAAGCACAGCGAGACTGAAAGTGTCCTGAAGGAGCTCAAGGAGTCGACCGTTCAGATCATTTCATCTGAGAGGTCCTCTACCAAGCTCGTTGCCGCTGCTGTCACTATTGCTAGTAGCTACGTTGCTACCAAGCAAGTGCACAAAGCCACTGAAATTTCGCAGGAACTTTACCGCCAGATCATCATGAAGGACAGTACAAATGTCAAAACTTGCCAATTTGATCTGACTTCTAAGAGCCGGCAGAGTCTTGTTTTCTTGGCCCAGTTTGAGCATAGCCTGCATCAGCACAGTACTTCTGTGACCGACATCCTCGCATCGCTGACCACTGAGTATGTGTATTTTGAGGAATTCCGCAGCTTCTGCTCCAGCAAGTCTGTCTCTTTCCACGAGGTTACTATCTCTGCTTCGCGCCTATACTACTTCCTGCTTCGTAGCAACCGCCTCGAGGCTTCTTCTCGCGTGTTTGCTGAGCTCAGTGCCTACTTTCTGTCGACTGAAGGAAAGCGTACCAAGTTGACAGACGCGAGCCAAATCAAGATATTCCTCAGCACTATCTTGAGCCATTTCAACACTCACAAGTCGTCGGACTTTATCCGATCGGTCGGTATTGCTAGCAACGTCCGGGTTATTGAACTCCTCAAGTCCCGTCAGTATGAAGATGCTCAGAACCTGGCCCTGGCCTCGTTCTACTACATCTCATCCCACGAAGTTTTCAGGACCGCCGCCATCGTGAAATTCGTTTTCACCCTCGGTGTATTTATTACCGGTCGAACCATCACCCCCCCAGCCCGACGCTGTTACTCAGAAGAAGCTGCACGGTGTATCTGCCACTATCATCCGAGAGGTTCTCCACGTCATCGGCGATCTCAAGATCAGCTTGGCTCAGATCAACCTGGACTACCTTAACATTCTGATCGGTCTCCTCGGCGAGCAGAAGGAGTACAAGACCCTGGTCTGGCTCCTGGGCGGCCTCTGGTCCAGCCGCAGCCAGCAAACCAATTGGCCTCCTCATATCACCCTCGGTCTTGCCCGCCGCTACATCCTCGCCCGCTATCTAGTCGGCGACGCACTAAAGGCCTCCCGTCTGGCTGAGGACATCGTGTACAACTGCCGACGTGTCAACGGCGCCCGCCACTCGAGCACCCTGGAGATGTCAACCCTGCTCACCCAGCTGTACACTGGCATCGCCCAGCGCTACCAGAGCGAGAAGGGCGGGCAGCACATGGCCAACAAGTACTACAAGAAGGCCGCCACTGTGCACGAGAACATTCTCCGCGCGTTCATCGACCCCGTCCTGGCTGACTTCGAGGGCGGCCTTGACAACAGCTTCAGTGTCGACGGCTCCGCTTACGATTTCAATATGGAAGAAGTCACCAACGGCTCCTCGCAGATCGATGGTGAGCATGTCCGTCATCACCTGCAGCTGCTCAAGCTTGCTGTGCAACGTCTGGGTGACTGGCCTAAGGAGTACAGTGAGTACGAGCGCCTGTACAATGATCTCCGTGAGGAATTCAATGCAGACCTTGAGGGAGTTGAGAGTGTTCAGAAGTGGAACTTGAAGGGATTTGGTGCGGGCAAGGCCTCGAGTAAGGAGGATAGCCTGAACCTGGACGGCATCTCCTGGGAGCTGGATCTCCAGCAGAAAGCCGCCATTGAGGAGGAGGAAGAGGAACTGTAAATTTCTTGATATTTCGTCTGACTTGAAATCGCGCTGTTGTCTTACATTTTTGTGAATTTCCGTTCTATTTCTGTCTTTATAACTAATCGGTCCTTTTGTACTAATCGGCGATGTTTCATTTGAATTTGAGCTCATTATCAAATTGCAAGGCTTAACTAGAGGCTCTACTTCTACCACTAGGAAAAATAATCAGGGATCAAACCTTCCACCTTCTGCATCACTCATCCAGAAGTCCCTTCCATGAATCAGATTATGCCTTGGTTTTCTGTTCGTAGATCTATGGATAACTATCCCCCCAGCTGAGCCGAGGAAAATCATGTTAAGTGGGGCAGGGTCAATTACCAACAATGGCTCAACATGACTCACGCTGGGCTTATTTCCACGCTGATCGACATGGTGCGTATCACAATATGGAACCATCCTGATTTAAAGTGACCTGTAGAGCTTGAAATATTATTCTGCATACTAGCAGCTAAATAGTAGTGTCTCTCCGTCATGGCCGACGCTCGAAACCATGCCATTGTCTACGGCGCATCCGGGATCATTGGCTGGGCTCTAGTCGACCAGCTGTTGAAACATTACCCTGCCCCAGGAACGTTTTCTAAAGTCACCGCAATCACAAATCGGCCTCTGGATCTTTCCAAGTCTTTCTGGCCTGAGAAAAGGCCGACCGGGCCTGAATTGGAGCTTGTTTCCGGAATCAATCTCAGCAGTGACGGGGTTTCTCTAGCAGATATTTTGAGAGAACGAGTCAAAGATATTGAAAATGTTACTCATGTTTACTATTTAGGTCCGTGAAAGCCTGTGTAGAAGTTGATCTGATCACGCTAACAGCCGAAGTCTTCACTGCAATGGAGGACGATGTCGAGGAGGTCGCGACCAATTATCGCATGTTCCAGCGTGTCATCGATGTACACAATGTGACAAGTCCCAGGCTTAAGTTCGTGGCCTTCCCAGGAGGAACAAGAGTACGTCCTCTCTAAATTGAAAACGACATCTTGACCTGACCCTACTATGACAGGGATACGGTATCTACGTGCCGGGCGGCACTTTCACTCCACCTCTTCGCGAAGAAATGGTGAAGAGCCTGCCATCCGACTACAGCAAAACAGTCGTTTACCCGGCGTATCGTGAGATGCTCACCAAAGCGAGCGATGGTAAAAGCTGGACGTGGTGTGAAGTTTGCCCAGATACCATTGTAAGACTATCGTCATCTCAGCCACGCTGAGCTTTAACTGACTTGGCGCAGATCGGCTTCACTCCCAACGGGTCCCAATTTAGCTTGGCGCTCCACTGGGCCCAATACCTGTCATTATATGCCTTCAACCACGACATCAAGCCTCGTTCTCAAAGTAAATCCTCGAGAGTCGAAGTGCCTTTCCCCGGGAGCACCCTTGGAGCCAACTCTTTGCACACGCCCGTATCGAGCAAGATACTCGCCCGATTCATGATATACGCCTCTTTGAGCCCGGAAAAATGTGGGGGCGGCCGGCTTTTCAATATCGCGGATCGCGCAAAGCCATGTACTGCCAATGAAGTCTGGCCGCAGTTGGCAAGCTGGTTTGGCTTGAAGGGTGTGCAGCCTCCTGACACTGAGCCCGCCGGAGAGGAATTGAAAGCCGGCCAGCTCCCTAACTCTACCCCCAATCTTCTACCGGGAGAGTATACTAGCAGATATCAGCGTCTCTTTGCGGAGTATGGCTGCTTAAATGCTGCCCATGCCGGCGTGGGAGTAGGAAATCGGCAGTTGGACAGTGTTGGGTATTGGTTGACCTTTGATCGCCAGTTGAGTTTGGATAGAATCAGGGAATGCGGGTTTGAGGAAGAGCAGGACCCAGTGAAAGGCTGGTTGGAAAGTTTTGAGCTTTTCCAGAAGGCAGGTCTCATATTATAGCGCTAAATCATTGGCTTCTAGGCCGGAGTGACATTCCTATACCCAATGCTCAGTTCTGGTTCTCTTTTGTCTTTTATGCAGTGTGTAATTCCTGGATATGCTGACTGTGGCGGGCTTTTGCTTCATTGTCCCATATCGTATACTAGCCGTTTGAAGGACGTTTTTCTGTGTATTAGAGCCCACACCCGTTTAGACGCCCCACCGTGCTCCACTCACAGTGGATATATTATCCATAGTTGAGCGTCCTTTCTATAGGATGGCAAAACACCTGAGTCCGTCCGCTGGGTTTTGGGCGGCAGTCTATGAAGTACTAGAAGCGCTGGTAGCTTCTGGCTGGCGCAAAGCTCGGCTGTGTTGGACAAAAGTTGGCCAGGGGCGGTAAGATCCACCCCACCTCAACCGACGCTGAATAGAATTTTCTGCTGGCTTATTCGGGCGGTGAGTTCACGTCATGACATCTCAGCTGACCTTGGGCTGGAATAACCTCATTTCTCCGTAAATTTCGCTCCCAACATTGCTGGCCCTATCGCCAATCTGTGCTCTGGAGCTTCTGTGCGGTTGTTGCCTTATATCTGCTCTCAGCTTTTCCGTGACTTGTACGCGTGATATCGCATCACCTCTCGTCGACTGCGCCAGTCCCACTTTGGTCCCAACTGCGGCAGGGTACTCGTGGTCGCCCGCTATTCTCCATCTGGCCCCTGGATGCCCCGATATCTTCGTAGAGCTGCCCCGATGGTGCAGGCTCTCTTCTGAATTTTTATTGTGGTGAGTCTCTATCAGTGAACCGGGGGTTGTTGCTCTAAACCCTCAGAAAGGCAGAGCGTACTGACAATTATATAGACATAAGTCTCGACGAACTTGAAGCATATCTCCTTCTTACCTCAGACGCATGTCTTCCGACGATGCTCCCCAAACGCCCCATTACAAGTCTTCTTCCACCAGCTTCGCAGATGTCTTTAAAACACTAGGCGTTGGTCGTCCCAAGTCGCATTCACCTGTCTCGGTTCAAGAAAGTAGCAGTGACTCTTTATCTCATACAACAGAAGCTCGTGGTTCCAATCGAATGGTTTTAGGGCTCGAATCTATGCATCGCGGAAGTGTAGTCTCAAACTCCTCGGATCCGCACGGCGGCCTGGACTTTGAGAGCTCACTCCGGAATCTCACGCAGAGACAATCACTTGTCTTGGCGATCGAGGAAGCTGAAAATGTGGCTAAGGGGCTGTCATGCCTCCCTGCGGAACAATCAGTGGTATTGTGGGAAGCAGCCGAATACTTATTACACCATGAAAATCCCGAAGCCCAAAGGAGCGCTGCGCGACTGCTAGAAGCAATCTCTGCTCGTCAAGACCTATCTCCCTCAGCAAGACATCTTGTTTACGAATCAATCGCTCGTCCCACCGATGCGGAAGTGATCGCTTCAAGGGTCCAGTCCTTGATTTCGCTATCCGACCATGGTAGGAAGCTCGATTTTACCACGGATTCGGTTCTTCATGTTATCACGGCGTGGATAGTGCCTCTGTATGGGCTCATAGCCTCTGGTCGCTCCAAGGCCAAGAAAGGGAAGTCTCCAAAGTCCACTGCCCTCACTCATGAAGAGACTGCCTTGGGGGAACTTTTCCAATTTGCCGTCGACTTGGTTACTTTACAACGCAAGCCCCCTACGAAGGAGGATATCGAGTTTTTACTTGAGGAGACTATTACTATATGCAAAAGGACCAGTGTTGCTGGAGACATAAAGGATTCCCTAGCCATCTTTGATGCGGTCATCCTGTATGCCGACGTTCCAGATGTAAGCTTCGTTCCTCTTCTAGAGGTTCTCTGCAGCATACACGCATCCGTCAAGCCTCTCTCTGGTCCCACCTCTAGGGCGGTACGTAGCCTGGCAAAGTCACGAAGGCAGGAGGAGATGGCGAACACGCTCCACGAATTTCTGAAAGAGGGTTGCGGACCCGAATCACATCGGAATATGAATGTCGTTCGCGGAGCGCTTTACTTGTTCTCAGACCTCTTTCGTGCGTATGGGCAACCTGGTATGCCAACCATTTCTTTTGAGCAATTGATCGAATCTTTGGAGATTGTGGCTCGGAACGATGATGGTCGCATTGATTCGGATATTCTTGATCTGTGCCTGAATATTTTGGAAGGCGATTTCATCTCAGTTGCTTTAAAGTCCGACTGGGCAAAGTTTGTTGATTTGCTCATTCTGTGCTCTCGGAAGATCTTGCATGATAATGAGGACGCTTCCTCTTCCTCACCAAACCCCCCAGGCCCCTCAAAAGGGCACACATGATGATACCAAATCGAGCATTCTTGCGAATATGATTCGGATTGCAGCTGTTCTTGAATCTTTCTGGGATCTGCTCGGCCAGGAGCAAAAGCAACATGCCGTTCGCTTTTTAGCAGAATGTTTTCAGCATATTGATCCCTCGCAGTCTGAACTGATCATCAAAATGGCTCGAGAAGATAAAACTTGTCATCCTGGCGGTGATGACTCGGATTGGATTCAACATACCAAAAACCTAATTGAGCGATTTATCCAGCCGCGAAAGCAATCTTCTGACATCCGGATTCTGGCTCTAGACACAATCAAAGAAGCAATTGTTGGACATGAAGCCCTTCTCTTCTCTGAAGAACATAATATTATGAACCTGCTTCTTCAAGATTTCGCGGCTGAACATGATCTTCTCTTCTTGGAGTCCTTGGTCTCTTTCATAACTGAGCCTGCAATCCACAACAGCGATGACGGTACTTTCAAACAAATCATTGACACCATCAGTACGCCCATGAAGCATGACCTTGTTAAAGATGAACACTCTGAAATCTCACCCATATATACACCTTCGTCTCGCCGGACATCGACCAGCACCACTGAGCTTACTCTGGCGAACGTGTGTGCAGTCGGTCTCGTGAAGTTGATGCTCCGAGCTTTGAATTCCTCTGCCACGAAATCAGTCATCATCTATGAGGCGCTCCTACGAATCGCACAGTCTCCGAATCGCCCGACCGATGCCCGTCTTACCGTTTTGAAGCTGCTCTTTCGTCTCCGTTGTGATTCAGCCGGATCTGTTTCTGTCATCTCAACATCCGAAGGGGATTTCTTGATGAACGTCTTGGGTCGAAACGTTGAGGTTGGCCACAAGATGCGGGCACCTAGTGACAGTCCTATCAAAGAGTCCCAGCCGGAGAACATACCACCACTTCCGAATGGGAAGCTGCCGGGCAAAGACCTTCCGCCTAGTCTCCTGTCCAAGTCTATCCAAAGGCATGGCTCGCTTTCAGCTCGGACTTCCAAATTGACCCCTCCTGTATGGACCTACGCTTTGCCACAAGTCCTCCCGGAGCAGCCTCCCGGAGAGTCAAGCCCGCTTGTCTTCGCGCACACTCAAACAGAAGCCATGAGCCCTGTCGTTGAATCTGCGCCAGCCCAAGTTGGAGTCTTGAAGGTCAATATGTGGCTTGAGATTGTAATTTCTCTCCTCCAGCGTGAGACTGATTGGGATGTCTACAGCTACGTCCTCACTCACCTTGGTCCGCAATTGAGCAATAAGGAGTTCTTCGCTAGTTCCATTCCGCAGATAAAACTCCTGCGCAGCATCCTGTGTGATCAGGTCAAGAACGAAACCTTCCACGAGCCTCCGGGCTTAACTGGTCTGAAGAAAAGTGATGTGGCTGCTTGTATTTTCGATGCCTTGTGCATGTTAATCAGCTACCACGAGCATTTTGCCAAGAGTGAGGAAGATGACCTTGTTCGAGCCTTCATGATCGGCATCATCGGCTCCTGGGGCGCTACCTCACGAGGATGCATACAAGCGCTGTCTCTCTGTTGTTATGAGATCCCAGCATCGGTCACAAAGTCTTTGAACGGCATACTGGACAAAATGGCCAAGGTGATCACCATGTCGAACCTTGCTGTGCATATTTTGGAGTTCTTGGCGCTGCTCGCACGTCTCCCTGAGGTCTTCAGTAATTTGCGTGAAGATGAAATCCGTCCCGTCTTCGGCATATGCATTCGCTTGTTACAAACCTCTCGTGAGCAACGTTCTAAGCCCTCCGATTCGTCGCCAACCACTCGTGCATCACAGCAAAACCAAAACCGACTCAGTGTGGGTAGTCGAGAGCTTACTAGCCCTGTGAATAGTGTAGATCTTGCCGAGAACGCACCGCAGGAAGCCATGTCAAGCTACATGATGACTCTCACGTATCATGTCATGATTATCTGGTATCTGTCTCTGAGACTCCAGGATCGGCCAAAGCATGTGAACTGGATCACCAGTCGGCTGATCTATCATGATGAACATGGGAAAGAAGTTGTTGAAGAGCAGAGTCAAGTTTTCATTGATCTGATGCAACGAGTTGCGTTTTCAGACTTGGGAGACACCGTCCCATTTGAGACATTTCCGCCAACCCCAGAACATGGCTCGGTGGTCAAGAAGTCTTGGGTTGTGGGGCTGAGCATCATCACCGTTGAGACAGCCACTACCTCTGGCCTTACCCAAGTTACCAAGCGCCAGGCCTCAGGGACTACCTACATTGAGTACCACCAGCGTACTGCCCCGGTTCTCCCACATCAGGTGCCATTGCCTTCCGACGATACCATACATGGGGAACCACGTACAGCAGTTCTGCCCAGCCATATCATGCTCCAGATGACAACTTCCGCTTTTCCGACGCCTACTGTGATGCAGCCAATTCCCGTTCCCGAAGACGATATCACTCGCCGGGCAATCGCCAGCTTTGATCGGACGGACATTGTGGATGGCCACCGCATTGGTATAGTCTACATTGATAACGGCCAAACAAAAGAAGCCGAGATTCTTGCAAACACAGGCGGATCCGCTGACTACGGATATTTCCTATCCGGCTTGGGAACCAGGGTGTCGCTTCGCAATGCTCAGTTCAACACGCAAGGACTTTACGCTGATACGGACGGTGAGGAAACGATTGCCTGGCGAGACCGTGTGACGGAAATCGTATACCATGTTGCAACAATGATGCCGACGGACCTCGAACGTGATCCCGCCTGCATCAACAAGAAGCGCAACATCGGCAATAATTTCGTGACCATCGTATTCAACCGCTCCAATCTGCCTTTCGACTTCGACACCATCCCCTCTGAGTTTAACTTCATCAACATCGTCATCACACCGAGCAGCCGCATTGCTTACGACGAGAACGGCGTTATCAGAGGCCAAATGGACCCGGAGTCCCAATGCTACAGCGTCCGAGTGATCAGCAAACCAGGCTTCCCCGAAGTATCGCCGGCCGCCACACCCAAGATCGTCTCAGGCAAGAAACTCGCAGCCTTTGTCCGTATCCTCGCCGTCAACGCCTCTGTCTTCTCTCTAGTCTGGAACAATAAAGGCGCCGAGTTACACTCGTCCTGGCGCACCCGCCTTCGCGAAATTAAGAAGGTCCGTGAGCGCGCTCTAACTATGCAAGCCCAAGGTGCAGAAGCCGCAGAAGGAGCCTACCCGACTCAGCGCCGCAATACGAAAGCGAACATCTTCTCTGAGGAACTGCCCGTACGCGCAGCGCCTATCCAGACAGACTTTGCCGCCGAATGGAACGCCGCATCGGAGACCAACATCCTTCAGAACCTGGATTTCTCGCGCTGGTCTCGCTAGGTGTGATGCGTTCAGGCAGACCCTTCTTTCTCTCCTGCGGGTGTTGTGCTTACAGCCCTACCTGTTTCCGGTCCCCTCTATACTCTCTATCATATTTCCTCCTTTTTCGACACCATCCGCCTTCATCTGGAACTCCCCATCCTCTCTTTTATGCCCGTGTAATCCTAGGAAACGACAGATTCATTCCTTATGACCACCCCGCTACGATTTCATGTATATCATTGTTTTGCAACCCTGCAGCATTTGTGAATACCCCAGCCCCAAAAGTTTTGTGTTTTTGAATTTGAAACGCAGTGGTTATATCTTGTATGTTTCCTGCTTATATGATATTGTTCCAATGCGAGATTGTCGTCGGAGTTTGTCAGATTCGGTAGCTATCGTCAATTGATGACTTTGGTTTATACAACCCCTTTTTATACGATTTGCTACTAGTAGAGACACTGTCCTTAACGAATTTGACGTACCAGGCACACTGTGAAAGGTCTCGGAAGATGCTGTGGGAATATATTTATAGATATCTAGATTACATGCAACAGTAACACAGTTGGTGAAAAAAAAAGAAAGAAAGAAAGATAGAGCAAAGAAAGGCTCGGAGGAATGAAGGTGTTCGCATCTCCCAGGTTACCAATCCATCATCAATGGGATAACATCACCCATTTCTCAGACAGGACAGATATGACTGTTGGTACGGCTTTCCCACAGTTTACCAGCCGAAGACCTCGCTTACACTGAGAGTGCTCCACCGCACGCCCGCAACAGCAAAGAGCAGCATCACGACATCGACAACAGCCAGCGCGAGCGCGCCGAGCATGAAGCGCGGGCTGAAGATGCGGTACAGCATCAGATGGCGGCGAAGATGGCCTGCCCACATGGTAGTTGCGAGATTGATGGTGCCGAGGTAGAGGAGGTGAGTTGTAGCCGCTTGGATGACATCAGAAAGGAGCCGTGTGGCAGGATTAGCGGACTTGGTGGTTGAGGTTGTGGTGATGCGGTCTTGGGTCTGAAGAGGCCGTTTCCAGAGGACGGTCAGAGGGACAGCGAGAGCGGCGAGGATCTGGGCACCAAAAGTGTTGAGAATGATGAATATCGGGGTCCAGGGGTACACGATTGTGGAGAGGGGGATGAAAGCCGATTCCCACTGGATGGAGCTGGGGACGGCCTGGTGGCCTGTTTTGAAGAAGTAGAAGGATCCTAGGAGGCCGAGCACGGTGGGACCGATGGAAGAGTTCTTTTGGGTTAAGCCGTTTGTGTCGAGGATTTCCAGTAGGGAGAGGATTTGCCAAACGAGCAGGGCGATGGTGCCTTGGCCCATTGGCTTGGACATGAGGATGATGGCAAGAGCGAAGTTGAGGACAATGAAAAAGTATCGAGTGCCGTAGACGTTGCCGAAACCAAGGATGGTCAGAGTAGTTCGGGGCTTCTGGTCTTGACCCATGATCATGGGAGCAGGAGGGACATTCGGGTCTTCTTGCGGCTTGCTCACGCTGATGCTGACACAGGGCTTAGCATAGATATAGGCTGCTGTTCCGGCAGCGAATGCAAGGCCCAGAACAAGTTGAGCCATGAATACTCGGACAGATTTCAGAGTGTCCTTGCTCAGCGGAAGCCACTCGCCATCGTCCGCGCCTTCGAGAACCCAGAAGACCGAGGTAATAAACAGGCCCAAGCGGAAGGCGAATCCGATCCAAATTGTGGCATTATCCTCATAGGACTTCGATCCCACGTAGAAGGACCGCACCACGCTAGGAAGAAAGATCATAACAACGAAAGGGATGGCCAATTGCCAAGGTGCAGAAACAGAAGAGGTCGCTGACGAGTAGTATGTTGAGCGGCAAAAAAGGCATCTGCTCCTCGCGACAAAGACGGGAGAAAGATGCCAGTCTACCCAGAAGAACGAAGATGATCGAGTGATAGACACCAAGGACACGGTCTTGAGTTATTTTCTGACGCATGGAGGAAATGCCAGCACACACGCCGAAAGGTGGTGAGGAAGAAGAGAAGAATCTCGTCTTCCCAAATTGTATAGGAGTTCGAGGCAAATCCAATGGACTGAGAGACAGTAACAAAGAGAGCAAGCCAGCCCCACATGCCATTTGGAAGAGGCACAGTCAATTGTGCTGACTTTCGAAGCATGGCGATTGATCCGCCCAGCATGCTTCCACCAGCAGCGAGCAGAATAGCTAGGTCAACCACAGAGAAATCAACAATTCTAACTGAGCTTAGGGCTGCACCAGCAGCTGCCCCAGACCCAGCCCCAATACCAACTAGAGACAAGAGACGCGCAGTCAGATCAGTCCGATCCGCCTTCATCCCGCGTGCGTAGATAACCAGTAAGGCCAGGCCACAGAAGAGGATGAATACACCTTGTACCATGCTGGGAACATCGAATCGCGTCCAAAGGCCGCGGCAGATATCCAAGGTGTGTCGCTGGTACTTGCGATAGAGGTTAGAACTTGCACGGGCAGTAGATGACTTTGAAGTAAAGCTCTTCGAAACTGACTGCCATTCCTTTTCTGCTGCAGTCCACAAATCAGATGATTCCTCGTCATCCGCAGAATCACGCGCCATAGTATAGGCATTTTGATATCTCTTGATTTGTGCGGCCGTCAAACGATTGACAGCAGCCAGATTGGTCCAGTCATTGCCGCCCGATCCAACAAAGGCCTCCTCAATAGGGGATCCCAGGTTATTGAAGGGGATTGGCATGCCAAGAAGCAGTGACATGGTCGGAACAATATCAATCTGAGGAACAGGTCTTTCGCGGGCGTGTTTGGGTGGAAGCAGAGCCTCCGGGCTGGTGCGACCAAAGATCCCGCGCTTCGAGTACATCCACAGGGCAGCTTCGACTTCGTCATCTGATTCGCCGCCGTGGTCACCTTTGATGTCCATTCCATGATCCCCCATCACAACCAGCAGGGTGTCGTCGTCAATTGCAGCAATGACATCACGGATAACACGATCCATCTCGCGCAGTTTTCCGGCCATTGCAGGGTGATTTGGTCCGTACCGATGACCGGCGTGATCAACTCCAAGGTAATGGCCAAATATCACATCCCATTTGCTCTTGTTCTCGGTCTCGAGAAGGGGGAATAGATGCTTATTGACCCCATTGTCGACGGTGTACAGATCCCACACATTGAACGAATCGTATGGGTGTGTGAGGTTCTCATCAAAGTAGCCGGGGAAAAGTGATTGCCACGTATCATCGCCTAGTTGAACGAGTGTCTTCCCGGAGCTGTGCAGCTGTGCGATGAGGTTATCTTCGTCAATAGCTGTACCCGCAAAGTTAGAGCCAGCATCAATGAAAGTAGGCAGGGTTCCAGTAGTCAACCCTTTCAGACGCTGCAGGGTGGCAGTTGGCGGGTCAGCAATGAAGGGCAGCAAGAAGGCGTTTGCAGGCTCCTTGACAGCGGTTTCGTAGAGAACGGGCATATTGTCATGGAAAATTTGGGCCTCTTCATCACCCTCCTTTGCTAGAAAAGGCACAGTAAAGTCATACCGGAGAGCATCGATGATAATCACAACGGCCTTATCAAAAGACTTCTGGTGCCAGCAACCATTGCCTTCTTTTGTTCCGGAAGACGCAAGTTCCCGAGGCGCAGCGCCGTCGAAAGGGAGCAATTCGCATGAAGATTTGTTATCGAGTACCATGCGCGTGAGAAGAAATCCTTTCGTAAAAAAATAGATACCGGCAACGTGCAAGAATCTTTTGAGAGTCGAAAGGTTAGCCATACACCACCCATTGCAAAGACCGAGATGAATCTTCGACAAAGAACTTTTCATTCCAATCGGTTCGAACAGACTCACAGTATCCAGGCTAATACACCCAAAAGTCCAAAGTGTTTTACTTTGAACTCAAATTCCAACTTCATGGCTTTCGCATCCTGCAGGCCAGGTGTCTTGTTTTTTGTAGCTTGCGGATCCCCAATTGGAGCTCGAGGCGGAGCACCACGAAGAGGGACTGGAGGTTTTTCCATACTGGAGCAGGACTTGCCGTCACTACCCCCAGAGACGCGATAGTATGTTTTCGAGAATTTGTTCGAATTGAAATGCGTATGCAAGGAAGGTCGGACGAATAACTCGGTTGCGGTTGGAACTGGAGATGAAGTGCACTTGCAGGGCAGGGAAGCCGGGAACAAGCACCGATCCAGTCAATTGATCCTCATCCAATGCGACTCACCCACGAGTGTTGCGAAGGAGTGATGCGGGAGGTCAAAAGACAGTTGGGAACGATCCCCCCTGTTTGGGCTGTGCTGAAGAGCGGCTTCCCTCTGGGCGAAGAGATTAGTAACCCAGCATATCTGGAGAATCGGTGTTTGAGAAATGAAAAGGCGAAAAAGAAATGAGGCGGAAGGAATGGTTGTGCGAGGGGTCCACGGACGATCGAGGTCCAAAATTCATTGACGATGCGGAAGCGGCGGGTTCGAAACCTCCGTTTCTCCGCGCGTCTGATTGGCTGCCACGTCCACGGTCAATCTATTCTACAGAACACATAGAGCTGTTACTTTTCGTTTAGGTTTGTTGGGGTGTATTTACAGGATTGAAGGTACAGGTCCGCAATACTCGGGGTTTTGCTTTGTAGATGAAGATAGGAGGACTAAGTACACACATTATCCAGCTGCCGGAAATACCATAAAAAGGCACATAAGAACGTCAAGTTGCAAGGCGGCACCAGAAAGGTCAAAATGAAAAAGATGCCGTCCATAAAAGGTGGTAAGAAGAGAAGTAGATGGAAGGAAGGAGATATTCCGCCCCGCCCCCCAGGCACGTATCAGGGGAGGATAGACATCGTGAAAGAAAAACGCCATAAAAAAAAAGGGGGTTCAAAGATCAAAAAAGGCAGGACCTCGCTATTCACAGACTGGCCTTGGCAGATATGTCCAAAGCACACGTGGGAGATAGGTCTCGTATGAGTACACGGCCAACCGACTCCGAGGCAAAAACAAAAATCACTTGCATCGGATCAAGGACCGGTGAATCAAGAGTTATGTGCAACCCACAGCTGCAGGTACGTGAAGAAATAGGTATGTCGAAAAGTGTAGGAGGTAAAAACAGAGGTTCGCCAAGTTGCTCGTCATGCTTTTGGGAGATCGTCGAAGAATTAAAGGGTATCGGAGTTGTTTCAACAGCAGCGGTATTGAAAGCACCGTGGGTTAGGGAGCGGGCCGGTGCAATTATGAATAACTCTTCGTGTCCTCTTTCTCCTTCAGACCACCCATGCGCTCGAGGTCAAGTGACTGGAATCGACCCGTGTCGTTGGTTTGATACGGAGGAAGTTCGTCATGGCAAGGTTCCAGGCCAATACTTCCAGCATCGCTAATTCGGACGACAACCATGCGGCCGGACTTGCGCTTTCCAGACTCATCTTCCTCCTCGGGGAACGTGATGCGGATCTCCGGAACGGGGCTCGGGGGAGGGCTATCTGAGGTCTCCATGAGGGCGCGCTTCTCGTCGTAAACGACGACAGATTCAGTCTTGCCGGCGGTGATTGTAAGACGGCGCTGATGGTGGGGAGTTTGGCCGTTGTGGATGGGAAGCAGAGATTCTTTCTTAGCTTGGCGCTTGCGGCGGAGAGAAGCAGACCAGCGACCAGTCCAAGACTGAGCAGGATGAGCACCAGGAGGACGATCAGAAGATCGACCATAGCAGGGGAGAGACCGTCGCTCTTGTCATCGCGGGCAACAAATATGTTAAGCATTTTCTCGATCGGTTGCGTGTATCGGGTTGTCGCTGTGATGTATCTGTCGGTCGTCGGTTGTCGAGAGGTTTGGGGAGGGGTTTGAAAACTGTCGGAACTGAAATCGACAGCGATCGTCAAAGGCGAAATTCCAAGGAGTGTGGTGGACTTGATCCGGGGATAAAAAAGAGAGTGTCGGAATGAATGCTCGAAAATAACGTCGCGGACGGGGTGGTTCGAGGCTGGTCGGAGAAAGAATGGAATCGAGCGAATGAATCGGGGGAACGGATCAATTCGACGCGACGGCAGAAAGAATGGATAGCACGGAGTTCAGCTGAAAGAGTGAAGCTGACACCTGCTACAGGAAGGAATGGGAGGTGGAGAGAGGTAGAGGGGTGAAGAGGATTGGAGAATGAAAGGAAAACAGGGGAAAACGAAGGGGAGAGAGGGTGAACCACGCTGACTGGCCAGAATTCTCGGGCCTATGGGGGCAGTCAGCTTCTCGCCCTGGCCTTTTTATTTTCGTTCGCCCTAAACTCCTCGCGGCTTAGCTGCTGGAATCGTTGGTTTATTTTCCCAGTGGGTTCGGTTTGATTTGGGGCAATTAAAGTCGTGCTGATGGGGCTGGAGCTTGTCTGGCCAATCACACCCCAATGGTTCCTGGCAAACCCGTTCACTCCAATTTGACGCGCGTTATCATTCGCTAAAAAGGAGATGAGGTCTCCACCAACCTATTCCTTGTTTATTTTGGTCTCTCCCCCCTGAGAAAGCAAAAGACGCCTGGCATGCTATCACGGCGCTTACTCCGTACCGAGGCCTTGGAGTTCATAAGGCTGCGAGATTGCGGTATGCGTATGTCTTAGGGTCACTTTGTTCTTGTCTTAGCATCTGGCAGTCTTCTTCCTGCTGAGATATGATCTTCAGAGGGAAGTGCATCGCCCATGGAGACCTATGATGCAATAGAGCTCGGTCACTTGGGCAGAACAAGTTTAACCAAGCAGTTGGACAGTGGATATACCCGACCCTACGGAGGATCCGCTCTAGAATCCGAATTGCCAGTGATAATCTTGACTACCTCATCGATTTAGCTAGAGTCTGAGACGATTGTCAGAGGGACAGCAGATACTTCCAGGTTCTACCGTGGTGCTGTAATCTCGTAAGTCAGGTCGGCTAACGGGATTCCACCTGACATCATTCGGATCTACATATTGACAGAACCAGCCGATAATGCCTATTAGTACTTGTCACAGATATTATTTCCGCCAGTATGTAGTTAGCAGGATAGTCACCTTGGAACTTGAGAGAGGTAGTTGTGGATCCTGGCCAGTAAGTGCCGTAGCACGGGGCCGGCACATCCGGCCGTACGATGTTCAAGCGGGCCAAGTCTACACGAGCAGTTGATCCAAATATCAGGGTCCGACGAATACGTCCCTCGATAAACACTATTTTAGCTTCTCAGACTCCGAAACTCGAATCAAATAATGCCTCCTATGCTAGCAGACTGAGAGCGTGATAAATCGGAAATGTTGGAAACCACCCCCCCCGGGCGCGGAAAAGGCTGGTGCTGTGAATATATATAGTCCTGCGCCTGCATAATGGAAATTAAGCCCAGCTTACCAACGTTCGCTGTTTTTACCCCAAATTGAACTTGAAGATTGCTTTTCAGATTGCTAATTTAAATACACCTCCTAAGCCATACCACCTTACCTGACCCGACTCATCGAAGGCTTCTACCCATCTTTCCGATCTGTCTGAGCGGCGTCGTGTACGGGCCCTCAGATCCATAAGATGCAGCAAAACCGTGCGTGGGCCGCATTCGAGTTCTGACACGCCACTTGGGCCCAGATATGGTTGTACGACTATGTTACACGCTGGAATCTCCGTACGCTAGTACGCGCAGATACATGGATTTGTCTACTTGCTGGAGATTTCTCAAATTGGGTGACGTGAATTGTTTGAGCTGTGGGCTTTCAAAGTTTCCCCGTTCCTCGCAACCGTCATAAAAGCACCGGAGGAGATCCTAGTCTTTCGCAATGACATAGCTACTCTCTTTCAAAGAAAGACCTTTAAATCAAATACCAGGAGTCAAGCCTAAAATATCAATCCTTAGGCCTTCAGGGATCGGGCGACGCTTATACCCAGGAAAGAGAACCCACATCATCATGGTGTTGCTCCATCCCCATCTATATTTATCACCTCATATGAGATGTCAATAGTCGATCGCATCAGGTGACCGCCTGGGATCTCATTAACAAGAGGCTAAGAAGGAAATAATAATGCCGCGTACGCTACACCGCGAAGCGACCTGGGGAAGGCTTGTAGATACCGGCGAAAAGCAGAATGGGGGCGAGAGTCCATTCGCGCCCGCTTCACGCGAACGTGGCTTCGCTGCAACAGCGAGCGGGTCACTTCACAACCATGGCATGGCGACTACGCTAGAGTGACGGCTGATTTGCAAATAAGCCCTCTGAGAAATCCACCACCTATGGGTCCCGATCGCCAACACAACCAGCAGCAAGACAACTGGGTCTCTACAGGTCCAATTCCCCCACCGCCACATACCAGGGTCCCGGCCATCATCTTTCCCTAAGGATCGGAGACAAATAATTTGATACATCACCGCCACGGGCTAGACCAATAGCCTCAGAAAAGTACGGGGGAGAAAAGCCTCCAAAAAGCCAGTTGTCAAGCCCCAAGGCCGAGCATTCGGCCGCAGTGGCTCCGCATTATCCAGTTTCCACCCAACGGTTCCGTTCCCGCTAGGTCAAGCCAGCCTAAGCCGTCGACGGAAATCTAAATAGCGGTCACCGTCACCGTCGCCTTGGCTGCGCTTCTATAGAGCCCTCTCAATAGCTTTATTGCTCTTCCGTGGCAACCAAAACCAAACGCAAGGTGGATCTGAGTTGCAGCTCTGTAGATCCGGTAAACCTCCCCCTCGAAAGATCTGGGGTAGATCGAAGCTTCCTGCGAGTAATGGCTTGACAGTAGGTTTGTGCGACTGCTCTGCAAGGATCCGGAAGTGGGTATCCTTCCTTGCCCGTTGTATTACGGCTGTGTCTCGGCCATTTTCTTAATTTCACCGGGCGACGGGAAAAAGATACGCTCCTAGGCCTTATCTGACCATGTACTAGTGACGTCGGTGGATAGAAATTCCCCATTTACGAGGCCATTTAGATGGATATAGATACGAGTCTTTTCTTTGGCATCGGGATGAAAGAACGATGGACCATCAACAGGAGTGCTCTGTCAGGAGATGCACCGCGGAGATCACTGAGGCCTCCGACTCAACAACGAGTGCGACGGTGCAGATGCAAGGGGGTTGTCGAATCGATGGAACATCTACCTGCATTTGCGGCCCCAAGCGCAGAATTGGCAACCAAGCACGCTATTACTTCTGGCGGTGCCCAAGGGATGACTCGATTTTCTGGTTACATGGTCAAAGGCAAGAAGAAATATGGAGCTACACTATTTATCAGAGGCGGGCAATAGCTTTATGGAAGGGGATGTCGACCAGCGTCGGACTCTGTGTTAGAGAGCGTCCTGCAGATCCGAGTCGACCCAGGCGACGCTCCATTAGGTTTCCGACCAGGCAGAGGGAGATCGGCCAAGGCATTGGAATGGCCCAGTCATCCATTGGTAGAGCTGTGGCGGTCCCTTGGATTGTATTAATGAATCTAGAATGTATCGGCAGAAAGCGACGTTGCTTCCTACGTTCATCAGATATTGTAAAACATGGATCTTAGAGCAATACGGTAGTACGTCGATCTCGACATAGACGAAACTGGATCGAGCTTCCATTACAACCTGGTCGCCTGCACCTCGGAGGGAGCTAGGGTCCAAGTGGGTCCCCCCCGATCGGACACACTATCGGGCTGCCAAAACCAACTGATGCTTGGACGGGGCATAACCTGGACGCGATATAATTGGGAGTGGAAAACTGGAGAAGCTCCAAACAATTTATTGAAGTCCCTTCTCTTGCCTTTGGACCTCCTGCAGATACATATGTGATGGTTGCGTGCACACCCAGGATTTGGAGCGAGGGTCTTTGACCATGGTTAGAGCGAATACATCTCATGAGAAATGAATCGCTAGGAACTATTGTCCGGAGCTGTCCCTCGATGACTTCAGGTTTTCACCTTCACATTCGGCGAGGCCGCTCTGAATTGGGGGGGGATCCAAGGTACATGCCAACTCGAGAGGATGTAGCATTGGAGTAGTTGACAGGATGGGGTTTATGGAGACTAGACTGACCTTTGGTTAGATTGATAGAGTCGTAGTTTGATTAGCAGAGCCATTGATGGACGAAGCTAAAAAAGAAAGCGCCGGAGGCCAACGATCTTGGGGGATCTGAAGATGACAATACGTGACATCAGGCATGCGAGGTGTCCTGTGTCAGTCTGGGCCTTGGCGCTACCTGCCAATACACGACCTGTCTGCAGTAAAGGAGGTACCCACGCTAGGATCGACCCTGCTTCTACCCATCATCGCCATCGGGTCAATACTCTTCAATACACGCATCATACCTGTCTTGTCACAGCGGCTGATCTGCCTTCACCAAGCATCATTTTGCACACCTTATCTATCATTTTTTTCCTTGTTCCTCAGTATCCCCTTTCCAGCTTTTTACTCGCTTTCGTGTGACTCTTTTTTTTTCTTTCAGTTCTTTTTTTCTCTTTCTCCTAATTTTTACTCTTCCCCTCCTCTTCTATTTCTCTTTCCTGTGGGTTTGAACAGGCACTCCGAAAAATTCAACTCAACTTGTCATGCTGGCGCCTGTGTGACAGCTGGAACTACATTAATGCTGTGCTTTGTCTCTTTCCCACATTCCCATCCATCGACCCACTAAATCCCACCGGACTTCCCTTCGTTGCGCGCATTCCACTATCCATTTTTTTTCTTCCCTGGATAGGAAGAAATCTTCGAAGCGTCTCCCCCTCTCTTCGTCCTCCAACCCGTGCCCCCCTCACCACACCCCCCTTGCGCGAACCTCATCCAAGGGTGTCAACGCTCTTCCATTCTCGGGGATCGCCTCTCCATAAGGCACATGAGGACGATCAACAAGCTGGGAGATTCCTGGAGTATGCACGGAGCGCAGTAACCGCGCGACGCTTTCTCTTGTTCGGCTACCAACCGCCTGCACGGTCAAACGAAGGGGAGGATTTTTCCATCCTGCCAATTCTTTGTCGCCTTGCATCTTCCGGGCATCTGTGCTTGATTTGAACGTCCTTTCCCTTCATTTCTCATCTCTCTCACATCTCCTACCTCCCTCCCCTCTCAACCCTCCTGTCTCTCCTGTACATGTCCTGGGATCGTGGTTTCTGAAGAAAAGTCGATTCAAGGGAAAATCATCTCCGGCCTTTTCCCCTTCGTCACTCGTCACTGTCCGGGACTCCTCTTGTCCCCTCTGGTACGCGCCCTCCTCTAGCCCTGTACACCTTGGCTGGGAGGTCACCTCCTCTCCATACCACAGCTCCCTCCAGCTAACAGGGGCCTTCGTCTGACTTCCAGTCTTATATTCCTTCGTGTACGCCGTTCTCTCGTGCCTGGTGCCCGTTGCAAATACTGGAGGATTCGGTTGCTCGGCCTACTGTGATCTAGTGTCGTCCGACTCGAACTCCTTGCAAATAGTCGCCCGCCGTTCGAGTACATATCTGATATCCCACCTGTCGATCAGTTTTCTGTGAGATGGCTTCTACGATGGCTGCCAACTCTGTCCACAACGTGAGTGACGTAAGCGGCAACCCAATGGATTCGCGTTTGACACACGAGATGCAGGTTCGATCGACTCGAGGTGGTACCATGGGTTCATCTGGCATGAACACCGATCGCTCGCGCGGTCCCAACAACAACAGCGTGAGCAAGGGTTTCGGCACTACTGGAAAGACCAGCTGGAACAATATATGGGGTGATTCGAACCTGGGAGGCGCTTTCGCGGATGGCAGGTCTCTCGGCAGAAGCAATCTCTGCGAACCCTTCGAGCCCCAACGGCCGTTGACATCATACTCAGGCGAGCACATTGGCGAGACGGCATTTGAAGGTAAATCAGGGTCTGGTTCTTTGTTGTCCACGTCCGAGTCGGATAGCTGGAGTGGACGCCCTAACCTGCCGTGGACCACTGTCAACACGTCATTGGCAATGGCTCAGAACCGATCTCATGCCACATCGCCTGTTGAAACTCGTTCTAGCGACCGTAACGCGCAGCAGATCAACACTGCCAGCGACTCATCTTACTTCACCCTTCCCGAACCTCAGGTATTTCCCACGTCCGCGGGCACCGTCAGTCACCGTCCTTACCTTAACTCGGCATCTGAGGGCGTGTCGCCATCGAGTGACGGAATGACTTTCGGTGGATTCCCCGCCTTGCGCAATGGTGATGGTCGTCGTCAAATGAGCACCACCGGTCTCAGTGGTAGTCCAGTTGGCACAACTTTCCCTAATCAGCCTGGCTTCCACGCGTCTCTTGATGGCTCGCGTAACGACGAATTAAACACCATGAGCATGTCGTCGATGTCCGGCATTCCTGATAACGTGTCTCCCACGCAGGCGCGAAGTGCCCTGTCTCACATGTCCCACAACTCTGTCTCGTATGCTCAACGTCCCGCTCATTCTGCCCATCCCTCCTTCTACTCAGACAACCACAGTGTCGATGGTCGTTATGGCAACGCCTCCATTGATCTTGGTGGTTCTTTCAATAAGCTACAGCTGAATGATACTGGATACAACGCTCAGGCTTCCGGTCAGCGACCTCAGTACGCATCTCACGCCTCATTCGATAGCTCGATCTCTCGTGGAAAGTACCAGCATGAGGATGTCTACCAGCTGGGTTATGAGGGTGGATCCGACATGCACCTTCAGTATCAAGCTCGTTCTCGCGGTGCTGAGACTGGATCCATCTCTCCATCCGACTACGTTCGCATGGATAGTCCACTCTACTCTGGCGTCGAAGGTCAGTATCGAAACAACGGTCGTATTTCGGAAGCTCAAGCCGCTGCGTATGATCGCCGCCTGCGAGGTTTCCAGGAGCAAGAGTTCATCCCTGGCCAGGGTAACTCTATGCAACGCATGCAGATGCCCCAGTCGTACGAATACCAGAACTATCAAGCTGCTCGTTTGAACGCCCTTCAGGGTTTCTACCCAGTCAATCAACTTGGTAATATGGGGCCCGCGGGACTCTTGACTCGCCAGCACCGCGAACACGATCCAACCCAAGTTGTGCGGAGTCCTCTTCTGGAGGAATTCCGTGCTAACAGCAAGGGCAATAAGCGCTACGAGCTGAAGGATATTTACAATCACGTTGTGGAGTTCAGTGGTGACCAGCATGGTTCGCGTTTCATTCAGCAGAAGCTGGAGACGGCCAACAGCGACGAAAAGGAGCAGGTCTTTCGGGAGATCCAGCCCAACTGCCTGCAGCTCATGACCGACGTATTCGGCAACTATGTTGTGCAGAAGTTATTCGAGCATGGTAACCAGACTCAAAAGAAGATACTCGCCAACCAAATGCGAGGTCATGTCCTAGCCTTGTCCACTCAGATGTACGGATGCCGTGTTGTCCAGAAGGCTCTGGAGCACATTCTCACCGATCAGCAAGCTGCAATGGTCAAGGAATTGGAGAACCACGTGCTGAAGTGCGTGCGTGATCAGAATGGTAACCACGTTATCCAGAAAGCCATCGAGCGGGTCCCATCGCAGTACGTGCAGTTTATCATCAACGCTTTCCGAGGCCAGGTCAACCGTCTTGCTGCTCATCCGTACGGTTGCCGTGTTATCCAGCGCATGCTCGAGCATTGCGAGGAGATTGATCGCGAATCTATTCTCGCTGAACTGCATGCTTGCACTTCGAATCTCATTCCCGATCAGTTTGGTAACTATGTCATCCAGCATGTCATCGAGAACGGTGATGAGAAAGACCGCAACCGCATGATTGTGATTGTCATGTCGCAGCTGCTCGCCTACTCCAAGCACAAGTTCGCGAGCAACGTCGTCGAAAAGAGCATCGAGTTTGGTGAAGAAAGCCAGCGTCGTCACATCATCAACACCCTGACAATGCCCAATGATCGGGGCGAGAGCCCTCTTCTCGGACTCATGCGTGACCAGTACGGCAATTATGTGATTCAAAAGGTCCTGGGCCAGTTGAAGGGATCGGAGCGGGAGGCTCTTATTGAGCAGATCAAGCCTCTGCTAAGCCAACTTAAGAAGTTCAGCTATGGCAAGCAAATCGTAGCCATTGAAAAGCTCATCTTCGACCCCAACTGCCCAGCCGCTGGCCCTGTGTCTCACGCAACGTCGACTACCCCTCCCAACTCCCACAAATCCTCTCCCCAGCCCTCCAAGCGGGTTCTCCCCATGGAGCAGCCTCGTGGCCCCTTCGTTGGCACTGCTCCGCCAACCCCTCCCCCCACGGACAACCAGAGCGGCGTCGATGGCACCCTCGAGTCCAAGGGTCCTCGCTCAGAGCACTGTGACTTCGGTTTCCAGTCCCGAGACGGCCAGCACCGGTGTTGCCTTCCCGGTCGATGTCACCAGCGCTCACTAATTCGATGCATACTTTTTCCGCTTCGCTTGCCCACATAATCGTTCTAATGTCAATCTGTCGAACCGAGAGCCATTCTTGTTTCTTTTAACTAATATGGGCTTATACATACAGGGGATCCGGCGGGATATATGGTTTACCAACTTCTGATGTGATTTCCCTTTCTGCCCTTTTCTCACGGCTTCACGGCGCAAAAGTCTAGGGCTTTCATTGTTATCTCTTCTTTTTCATGCCCTGATCTCGGTCCGATTTTCCAAACTCTTACGCCCTTTACTGCTGTGCTCTTCGACTGTTCATGTTCTTCTCTCTATCTGTTATGACGGTGTTCCTCTTTCCTCTCCATTGTCTTGCAATGCGTCTTTGGGAGTGAGGAACTATTTTAGGTTGACTGTGATTCGGCGTCGGTGTGTGTTTTTATGGGAGCATCTGATATTCGCTCTCAACGATCTTCAGCATATGATATGGGAGATTCGGATCTGGAAATACGGGGCGAGAGCAACTTCCTTGCATGGCACGGGCTCGATCTTGTTTGTGTGTTCTATCTTGGACACTTTTCTTTTCCTTTTTTCTTTCTTTTTTCTATGATTTTTATGTTTTATCTTAGTCGAGTCATCTTACCAAAGATGCTGCATATCGGATGCGGGGTTTGCTATTTTACTTCCTGTGTTGTTCGGCAGACTCTGTTCCTGATGAGAAAGTGTCTTGCCTAAACAGACGCTGTGTTGATACCTTGCTTGTGGCTCATGTAATATCCAATATCAACTATGGTCGAGCAACCTATTACTATTCAATCTGGACCTCCGAAAACTAAGGAATTGTCCATGTCACTACTGAACGTGTGAATTCCAACCTCAGTAGTTTGCTTCGAGCGTGGCCGCACACTATCACCACGTGACCGATAAGACGTCTCGCCAACCACACTTCTGCCGACAATCTACACTTTCTCTCTCCGAAGCTTCCAACTTCCACAAGCATCTCTCATTTCTCCTACGAAGCGCGTATACGGCAGCTTTGAACAATCTGAAATAAAGATATCACAGCTTCCACAAACAATCCCCACTCAGATCAGACCAACCACAATGTCTTCGAACGTAGGCCTCTCCACCCCACGAGGCAGTGGTACATCCGGCTACGTCCAACGAAACAGCGCCTTCATCAAACCGCGCGCCCAAGGATACGGCGCGCCCTACCCCACCCCAGGCTCCAAAGGACCCTCCTTCAAACAGCGTCTCCCAGACAAGCAGATCCTGGAACATGACCGGCGCCGCGCCATCGAAGTCCGCGTCATGGAAGAGCGCGAGCGACTGGAAGAAGAAAATGAGCGGATCGAAGAGGCGCAGAGCAAGGACAAAAAAGAAGAAGGGGAAGGACGTTGAAGAAGGCGAGGAGAGCGAGCGGGTGCTGAATGAGGAGGAGATTGATGAGCGATGTGAGGTCTTGCGGCAGCGGCTGCTGAAGGAGTTGGAGGAGAGGGGGGATGTGGAAGAGAGGAAGGGGAAGAGTGGGGGGGGAGGGATCGTTGGCAGCTCAAGTCCTACCAGGTGCATGAGCTTGCGGAGGCGAAGATTGAGGAGAGTGAGAGGTTGAGGAGGGCTTTGGGAATCCGCGAGGACCGGGAGACTGGAGAAATCAGTAGTTCGAGGGAGAGGAGGGGACGGGAGGGGAGGGACTAATTTGATCTAGTCCTTTTGCTCGTGCTGATTCGTTTTGTTTTGTTTGAGGCAAAAAGGGTATGGGATGGCGTTATGGACCTGCATTATTGAGTTCTTTTTCCCCCACCCGGACTTCGGCAGGTGCGTCAGATGTAGAGCGGTGGAAGGGGCTACAATTTCAATCAAATGGATATCACGATCTGTGTAATGCTGGATCATCAGGTTCATGGTATATACAACAATTCTATTAACACAATCAAGAGACAAATTTCTCAATAACCCATCCATCCTTCGGATCTTTCCTTTGCACGACCTTTTTCGCCGGCAACGGCCAGCCCGTCCCACCTGCATCGCCAACCAAAGACGGAACAACCCAGCACGCACGTCGCTGCGGAATACCCTCAAGCGTCTCGGTCTTGCCAATAGGCTTGCCGTACTCAATCAGCGGGGTACCATGCGCCAGCGCGGCAAGCTGCAGCCCACTTGGCGCAACGAGCGGGAACATGCGAATCTTCGGTGTCTGATCGGCCACCACGGAAGCAGCCGACTGTTGCAGATGGGAGTAGACAATGTACTGCGGCATTTCCTTCGGAGAGAGCTTTGCCAGGATAGACGACGGATGTACGAACACTGCACGCTCGGCAATGTCGTCTGAATGGCGGTCGCGAGAACGGAAAAGAGTCAGATAGGGCACGTCGATGGCTCGGCGGGGAGCACGCGGAATGTCTGGTGGAACGGGCGCGAGGTCGGCGCGGATGGCGATGTGGTCAATGAAGCCGGCTGTGACGATCTGCTTGAGGGCTTTGATCTGTTTGGCCGAGGGCTCGGGAAGGCGGGCTTCGTATGTGCCTAGGAGGCCGGGGTTATTGGAGCGGACGATGTCTGTAAGCTGGCGGCGGAGCTGAGTGGCTTCTTTGAAGGCTTTGCCGCGGAGGAACATTTGTTCGCAGAAGGCATCGCCGTCGGAGGCGTAGGCGTAGGCACAGATTGCGGATAGGAATTTGAGGGCGTCGGATGTGTCGTCGTGCTTGCTGAGTAGACGGTGCACACGGGCGTAATCCTTTGAGCGCTGTTCGCGCTCTGTGTCTTCTAGCCTGTCGGCATTTGTGTAGACTTTTTCGTCCTCGCTGGAGTCGCTGTCATCTTCGCTGTCTTTTGGACCCTTTGATTTCACTGCGCGTTTTGGAGGGTCGACTTCATTTTGAGCAACGAAGAGGTCGCCGACAGCTAGTGCAGAAACCAGAGCGATGACATAGGGCATGCACCCGTGCTGGTGGCCGATGTATATCATCTTACCGAAGCGCGGAGAGAGAGGGTATGTTGAGAGACGGCGACCAATGTGCGTGACTTGGCCGTCCGCAGTGAGCGCACCGAGATTCTTGAGCAGTTTCTCTGCCTTTGCAAGTCCCTGCCGACTAGGAGGGGTGGGAAATGGGAAGTTTATTACGTTGTGGAGTCCCATGCTCTTCATCTGGAGGACAACCCCTTCGATGGGTGTACGCAGGATCTCCGGGTCAGTGTATTCCTCAAAGTCTGCTTCATAGACTGCCGAAGAGTATAACCTGTAGCAGTGACCGGGTCCCGTTCGACCAGCTCGACCAGCTCTTTGGTTGGCACTGGCTTTGCTGATCCATCCAACCTGGAAACTCTGAACACCGGTGAGCAGGTCGTACTGCTTTTCCTTCGCTCGACCGCAGTCGAAGACGTATTTGATGCCAGGAATTGTAAGGGAGGTTTCGGCGACGTTAGTAGCAAGAATAATCAGTCGCGAGCCTTCTGGCGGTGGCTCAAAGACCTTCATCTGCTCTTTTGTGGGTAATTGAGAATATAGAGGCAAGACATGCACCTTGGTTGATGAATCCATTGCCTCTTCGCCGAGGTCAAATCCTTCGTCATCCTCCGGCTCGTCAAGCCCCGTAATTTCGAAGTCACTATCATCGTCAAAGCCAGCATTATCCATTTCGGCGCCACCAAGCTCCAGATCCTCTGCTTCCAGAGGAGCATCATTGGCTGAGAACTCAACCCTGGCTTGGGTGGTATCGACCCGCTGAGTTGGCTTGAATGCTTGTTTCAGGCGCTTGGAGAGCTGCCGGATCTCATTTTGGCCCGTGAGAAACACGAGCATACCACCGGGGGGGAGTTTACGATGTCCTCGTGAAACTTTGCGGAAAGCCTCTTCAACATAGTCTCGGTGGGTTCGGCGAGCGAAATGCACAGAAACAGGGTACTGGCGGCCTTCTGCTTGAACCAACGGTGGCGCTCCATGCCTGAAGAGGCTTCTGTTCTCAGTAAAATCCGAAATACGCAGCGTGGCAGACATGATAATGACCTTCAATGGCTTGACAGAGGGATCCTCCTGACTCATGGACTTGCGGAGATCCACAATACGGCTGACCATTCCAATAAGAATATCGGTATTGACACTGCGTTCGTGTGCCTCGTCAATGATGATCACCGAGTATTTACGCAAAGCAAAGTCGTCAGCGATTTCTCGAATCAGAATACCGTCTGTCATAAACTTGATAGCCGTATTTTTTGAAGTTGTTGACTCGAACCGAATCTGATACGACACTTTGTCGGAGTGCTGGCCCAGTTCCTGGGCGACGCGGTTTGCCATACTGACAGCAGCCACTCGACGAGGCTGAGTGACACCGATCAAGCCTGGGTTAGGGCTGTCTGGGGTACCGAAACCAGACTCAAAGAGGAATTGTGGCAGCTGGGTTGTTTTACCCGAACCCGTAGCGCCCCAGATGACAATGGTCGGATTGTTGTAGATAGCTTCCATAATCTTTTGCTCCTCGCCTACCACAGGCAGGCCCATTCGCGCATTTTGGATTTCCTCCGAACGGTCCACTGGCACACTGAACGCCTTTCGGAAAGGATCCCCCTTGGTGACTTGTAGTTCGGCAGGAAGGGGTTCTTCCTCATAAACAGTGTTCTTTGGTTCCTTCTTGGGAGGTGCGAATGCCTGCTGTTCGATATCGTTGTAGGCTGGGGCTGTGGTGGGTTTAAAATCGATCGCGTCATTGATTTGTTGAATAGCCCATGACTTAAAGGCGGATTCCCGTGGCTTGATCTTCTTTACAGTCCCGTCATCTTCAGAGTCCTCATCCGAGTCTTCCTCAGAGCTGCTGTTCTCGGCGGAATTGGTCTCGGAACCGTCTGAGTCTTCGTCGTGAGAGTCACTTGCTCCATCATTCCCAGAGTCTTCCATATCTTCGCCTTCTTCACTGCGCTCATCCTCGTCCTCTTCGTCATTGAAGCCCTCCCACTCAACTTCCTTTACCGGTGCCGGCGCGGGTTTTGCTGCCCGCTTTCGTTTTTTGATCACTGGGAAACCATCGGGTCCGAGCTCAAGAGGCCTCTTTAATCCACTCCCGACTGGCACAACTGGAGCTTGCGGTTTTAGTGGCTCTGGGTCCGTCGCAGGATCAAAAGCTTTCAGGTCCGCATCGGAATCGTCGCTCTCGTCCACAGTATGGTCTTGTTCTGGTCGTGCAGGTTCCGATGACTTAGCGCTAGTCTCATGTTCAGGTCGCTTGCGTTTACCTAGCTCCTTGGAGCTCTGGAGGTTCGAAGTGTTGACGTTGGCTTGCGCAAGTTTCTTGAGGAGCTCGAGGTTCTCTTCTTTTTTCAGTTTGTTTTCCTGCACAGATGTAAGCAAGTAATCCACGACGCCTGAATATTCCAACATACAATGTACTTGTCCAGCCGCTTCTGCTTCTTTGATGAGACATTGGCATTCTGCCCTCGCAGCTCCTCGCGCAGCTTTTGCCTGCGAGCTTCTTTTTCGTCTTTCGAAACGGGTGCTAGTTCTGAGACGTTGGTGTCCACCGGCGCACTCTGCTCCTTCTGCCGGTGCTTTTGCTTGCGCTGACGCGGGACAAATTTAGGAGGCATCTTGACAGATTCCTCTTCGAATTATAACGCCACGATCTAGCGGAGAGCTTCACCTGGACTATTATGCCTCGAGCCGAAAAAAATTAAGAACGCCGTAATGGCGGTAAAATATTGCCTGACTTTGGTGTGGGGCGAACTGACCGCCCTCATCAGCATCAACATCCAATTACGTTCAGCATCGCCGTCGTCCAACAGAACATTATGGCATCGATAGAAACAATCTTACAGGGCTCTCAAGACCTCCCATTTCCAGCACCGACAAGGCAGGTGGCGGGCCTCGTCAATGGAGTCAAGACGGACGTGATGGTCATGAACTTCAGCGATAAGATCATGGTGACTATCTCGCAAGAAGGGCGTCTTGCGCATTGGGTGAGTAGGAAACCCCATGTTCCTGAAAGTGTCTAATATTGAATAGCTACATGTTCCCATGGGGAACGACAACCCGGGGACCGACGGCATGCATACATTCCCTGAGGATAAAGATGACAGTTTGTTGCCCCTCAGTGGATTAACAGCAACGTCTATTCTTGGTGGCCACGCCCCGGGGCAGGATACAGTGGGGCAGCTGATTGCGCGCCAAATTGCCACTGCAATTGCCATGAAGTCTCCTTCCGAAAAGAGGTTGCTCGTGGTTGGCCTCGGCTTAGGGAGTACGGACGTCGACCGAGATTCGTTCTTCGCGATCAATGACTTGATTTTACATTGCATATAGCCTGGACCATTCGACGCTGATTATGATACCCCATTTGAAAAAATATCACGTCGAAGCTAATAGCATCGGAGAATCAAACATTTGCTACGCCATGAACGCCTTATGGTCATGGGCGCGAGATACTTAACTAGAATAAAGATACCATTCTCTCCTACGTCCGAAAGTGATGAGTGTAAGTTTGTCTGTCATGTCTATCTTCATTCAGCTAAGTAACCGCAAATATTCTCTATTTATCTTCCTTGATCAGGTCAGCGGCCCGCTCTGCAACCGCATAGACACAGGCTTGGATGTTTCCAGCCGGCTCCAGCGGGAAGATACTGGCGTCAACAACCCTCAGGTTCTTTGTTCCGTAAACCTTACACTTCGAGTCCACGACACCACCGATATCCTTTGGTAGCATGGCGCACGACCCTGCGGGATGAAAAGCTGTGAACAAACGCTCCTTCACCAGCTCCTTCACATGGTCTAGGTCGTCCAAGTTGTTTGCAGCCCTGGGCCAAGTTTTACCTGGCTTGATTAGAGAGGCAAAAGGCTGAGACTTGACGATGCGGTCTATGAACTGCATCTGTCTCGCCATGATCTCCAGATCGAGCGGATGATCAAGGTACTTGGGGTCGTAAATAGGCTTGTCATCGATGTTCGCGGAAGCAATATGGACTGATCCTCGAGAGAAGGGGTGATTGTGGATCGCCATAATAGTGACATAGTTCTCAGGGAGAGAAATGGCGACGACGTCGGACATGGCTGTCTGGTCTGGACGCATGTTGATCTGACAGGGGAGAAAGAGGTATTGACTCGATGTATCTTTGCTGTCCATAAGGATTTGGCGTAGATGAGCATACTGAACCTTCAAAGCAGGCGAGATATCCTCATTGTCCAGGTACTTGGAAAGGAGAGCCTCGATGTCGTTTTTGGAAACAGCACCTTTGCCATCAACTAATGGTAGGTAGGCCATGCTCACAGGCATACCAGAGAGAGGACCAGATCCGGTCTCTTCATAGAGCTTAGAAACCATCTGAACCACATTTGGATCGCGCATGATGTCTCCTGAGACTTGACCCTCCGCAACTTCGAAGTTGATTGTGGCTTCGGGGTGATCTTGCAGGTTCTCGCCAACTGCAGGGTTGTCAATGACCACTGGGATTCCATGCTTCTGAAGCAGCTCCTTGTTTCCAATTCCAGAGAGTTCTAGGATTTGAGGTGAGTTAAGACTTCCGGCGGAGATGATCACTTCTTTCTTCGCATGAATGGCACGCGAGCCGTCCTTGGTCTTGACTTCAACACCAGTTGCCACGATGCTGCCATTGTCCTCAGAAAGAAGAACCCTCTGGACAGGAGCCTCTGCCAGGAGTTTCAGATTTGGTCGAGCTGCGACATCAGGTGTATAGTAGTCCGCAGCATAGCCTCGCTTCCCCGTCTTGGAATGAATCGTCAGAGGACAAGTGAAGCCTCCTAGCTTCTCGCCAAGGATGGGATCGGCATCTGTCTCCCATCCAAGCGCGGCAAATGTTTCATCCCAGGCCTTATTGAATGGGCCATACACATCGGGATGGGTTGCGGGAACCGGGCCATTTGATCCCTGGTTCTCGGGCTTCATGTATCGGCTTGTCTTGATGAGATTGGCGGTCTCCTCCCTGGGAGGAGAATAGGTATGGAATTTTCGCAGATAAGGTGCCAGATCCTCTGCACCCCACCCTTCGTTGCCGAGGGCCTTCCACGACTCCCAGTTTGACTTGGTGGGATACATGACCACCGAGAAGTTAATTGCAGAGGAGCCACCGACCACGCGGCCGCGAGACTGTCCAATTTGGCGATTGTTTACATTTTCCTGAGCGCCGTTAACATCTACATCGGCCAACTACAACAGAGCGAGAAATACCTGGGGAACGCTCATATAGCTCCAATCATAGACTGGATCGCCATAGAGGGTGGCCAGGAAACCAGGAGTATCGATCCGAGGGTCTCCCGTTCGGTTGGGCCCAGCCTCGATCAGCAAGACCTTGGCGGAAGCATCCTCACTTAGACGATTGGCCAGGACAAGGCCACCGATGCCTGCGCCGACTACGATATAGTCATATTCCTCAGCCATGATCAGCGTGAACTCTTCCAACTGGAAAATGAAATAGGGGGGTGCAAGTAGGGTCCAAAAGTACTTTGCTCGAGAGGGCGGCAGCGTGGCGTCCTTTTAACGGACTATCACTTCGGCCATGCAGCCCCTCGCTCGAGTCTAATGTACCGCACTAGTATGTACGCAGTCCTTGATAGGAGCCTAGCTTCGGAATTTCTCCGGGCCGTACCATACCACCGGGTCCGCCAGCATTATCCATCGGGGTATCTCACCTGGCCATTGCCTGACCGAGTAGAGCCTGAAGGATTTCGTTTTCGCAAGAGGCGTGATGGTCTGCTCACCCGATTAAAGGTTAGGGGGGAAAGAAGAATGCCGGCTCTCCTGCGTAATGGGTTGTTCGGTAATCACCCTGTGGTCCGCGGAGATGAATGGCCTTGTCCGCTCGACGTTGACTCGCTATTTTCTACTCCGTCGGGGAGGTGATCAACGCTGTCAAAAGTCCAGAACGAGCCGTCCCGGGACAGCGCCAACAATCCCATTGATCCTCAAAGGCGAGAGGACCCACTTGGTATACTTAGTATTGTTAGCGCTTCCTTGGGCCCCTAACTCTCCCGGCTTCCCAAAATTGGACCTCCAAATTGGGGGCTCGGTCGTTTTCTTCCCCGTGTTGAGTGGGACTTGAATTCGGTTTCAAGTTAGGTATGATTGGCAGCAGCACATGGTCCCTCTCCCCTACTGGCGAATGTCTTCTTTATTCCTTCAACAAGCAGAAGGTCGAGCCTAGCCCAATTACGAGCCCACCCGCCCGGGTCCATGGCTGAAACCCCCCGAGCCCGCTAAGCTATAAATGATAAGCGGGCCCCTGTCATGCAAGAGACTAAGCTTAATCCATATAGCTACCAATAAGTCAACGGATGACAGCCTCTGCCACACAGGAATAAATTTCTCCTTAGAAGGCCACTCGTGGGGTCCCAAGGCCTTTTTATTCCTTCCTCCGTTCCCCCCTCCTTCCCCGGCACAAATGGAACCATGAAAGGTTGGGGAGTATTTGAGATTGACATCAATCGCGACCAGCTTATTGCCAACACCGTGCTGGTCGTGATTGCCACGATCCTGGTGATACTGCGGTTCATATCCCGTCGCATCCGGGAGAGCAAGATCTGGTGGGACGATGTACTGTGTATTGTCGCGTCCCTGCATCTGTTTGCTCTGCTGGCCGTGGAGTACTACTGGGCCCATATTGGAATGCGGCGCCTCATCACGGCCATTCCGATGGAGAACACCGTTATGCTGTACAAGACGCTTATAGTCTACCAGATTCTATACTACGATGCCATGGTCTGCACCAAAATTAGCTATCTGTTTTTCTATCTGCGAATATTCGTCTCGAAGGAGTTTCGCCTCGCAACATGGATCTGCATGATGTGCGCAGCGGCGTACTGGCTCGGTGCCATTCTCCAGGTCTTTCTCTTGTGCCAGCCGTTCGAGAAGAACTGGAACCCGACCAAACCGGGGCATTGTGCGAATCAGAACATCGCATTCTCGACCATTGGCGCCTTCAACCTATTGACAGACCTTATGATCGTATTTCTGCCAGTACGATTCATTTGGCAGCTCCAAATGAACCTTGCAACCAAGTTGGCTCTGTTCAGTATTTTCGGCCTGGGACTCTTGTAAGATTCTTCGCTCCAGCAGAGTTGACCAAGCACTGACAAGAGCGCAGCATTGCATCCATCACCATCATCCGCATTCGCGTCCTCACCACCACAGACTTCAGCGACCTCCCCTACAACATGATCTGGGCCGCATTCTGGAGTGTCACTGAGCCCGCGCTTGCGATCGGAAACTCCTGCGCGCCGATGCTTCGACCAGTGGTGAAAGCGATCTTCCCCAACTTATTCCTCAGCGACAAGGTCGACTACTACGGAAACTCGTTGCCAGTGAGCGCCCCACGAAACCTCAAGGTCGACCGAGCAAAGCAAGGCACTGAGGCGGATGGCGAGATCCCCCTCACACGAATGGAGGACGCTTCACACTCAATATCCATGTACGATGGCTCTACGCACGAGGGCTCGCAAGATGGATGCGAGGCCTCCTTCTCCCATAGGCCCAAGGCAGAACACCCTGTATGAGAACTTTCGTTTCGGTTTCGGTGGGTGCGAGAGGGGGGGTCTTCGTACTCTTTATTGAGGCACTCTCGAGCACTATGATTGCATGGAGTCTTTCGTTCTGAGTGGATATGCGGGGTATAGCCGGTTTATCCGAGAAAGTTTATCCAGGAGACAAGATGAAGAGGATAGGTGGAATAACACTCACCTCCGCTTTGTGGCTTCATGGAGCCCACATTTGACGGCTCTCTCTTTGGGTGGGAGAAGTGAGCTATGTAGAACCGGTTCTTGGAAATGAAGCTGTATGGGCGTGAGGGAAGAATACTCTGGTTGACGGAACACTGGTGCAACCAGCCATACCGACATGTTACATTCAGGAGGGACTGCCAATTTGGAGGAGAGGCAAAAATCCCGCAGGTTGAAAAGCTTATTGACTATAATAATAATAATACGAGTTACGATAAAGAAGATCCGGGGGAATCGGGCGACTGAGTTCACTCGCGGAAGATCCCCCCCCACCTGGCGTAGATCCACCCCCCACTCGCATTTGCGGGGAAAGCTGGTTGTGACCAGCTCAATATAGGCCGCTGCCACTAATTGCCGGCTACATCGACGGCTTATCAGTGATTTGTGAAATAATTATCTAATTCAATGATTTAGGACAATTGACCCTTCGCCCCTTCGAGTCGATTTTCGTCCTGGTGGCAGCGTCTGCAAATTGTAGTCCTGCGAAATAGTAGTCTACGGACACTGCGAATCCCATTTCAATAGGAGCCATGAATCAAGCTCTTTTCATCTCAATCATGTGTCTTAAGTCCGAGCATATCAAGTTCCAGGATTTTATGGTAATGTGCTAGTAAAGTGTTGTACTTCTCGAGTCTACTGCGACGGGGGTAGGAAGCACCATCATAGCGGCACAGTGCACCAATTTTTTGAGTCCATTCCCATTAGAAACGCCTTTCCTGCAGTGGCCCCGCATAAAAAAGCAATTCAAACCCCGCATATTACACATGTGTGGCAGGCACTCTATCAATGAACACCAACGCCACCTCCAAGAATGTGGGGAACAACATACAAGGAACTCCTCGTTCTGTAATGTACGAAATCCAGAGACTGAATCAAATTAAAGGCCAGGGAGAGTTATTACTGGGGAGCTTGAATCACTTACCTGCAAAGAGAACCCGTTATTCATTGTACGAACTCTACTCAGTATTGGTAGTCATACATCGCACAGCACTCAGAGTTTTAACGCCTGTCGATAACGCTTACAGAATCGATACTCTGTAGTTCTCGAATATATTCTCTGTGATACCTGTTTCTCTCTTGTCATAACATGTACTGGCAAGTCTCTTTCTCCGCTTGCGGGTCCGCACTTGGCTTGCGGGGTGAGTTTCAAACCCTGCGGAGAAAGCATCCCAAAGACGTTAGTCGTTGGTGGCCTGGGGTTAGATACATGGACTGGGTACTAGAATATGTAACTATAAAAGCCGTGTGGGAGTTTTTTGATTCCACAGTTCCTCAGGTCAACGTAATTCTTCTGAATTGAACTACTTATCCCATCATGACAATCCCCGAAGAAGTTGATATTATCATTTGTGGAGGTGGCAGCTCAGGATGTGTTCCTGCCGGTCGTCTCGCCAACCTCGATCACAACCTCTCTGTTCTTTTGATCGAGGCAGGCGAAAACAATCTGAACAACCCATGGTAGTTTTCCCCAATAGACCTTCGGCCGCTAGTCAGCTGCTGATTTCCGAGTGCAGGGTATACCGTCCTGGAATTTATCCAACCAACATGAAGCTCGATTCAAAGACGGCATCCTTCTATCATTCCCGCCCTTCCGAGCATTTGGATGGCCGAAAGGCTATAGTCCCATGTGCGAATATCTTAGGAGGAGGCAGTTCAATCAACTTTATGGTATATAATTTGGGAGGAGCAAGCTTGAGGTCTATTTCTAACAGCTTTACAGATGTACACCAGAGCATCTGCCTCAGACTACGACGATTTTCAAGCAAAAGGTTGGACAACGGAAGAATTGCTGCCGTTGATGAAAAAGCATGAGACGTATCAGCGTGCATCCAGTAATCCGGAGCTTCATGGCTACAGTGGACCCATTAAAGTCTCGTTCGGAAACTACACATATCCGATCAAGGAAGACTTCCTCAAGGCTGCAGAGTCGCAAGACATTCCTGTTACTGATGATCTGCAGGACCTGAAGACCGCGTAAGAGCAAACCACCCCGCTTACACCACGTAATATTCTAACATCTCATCACAGACATGGCGCAGAACATTGGCTCAAGTGGATCAATCGTGATACCGGTGGGTCGAGGGTGTACAAGAATACCGTCTCATGTGTGCTTACATTTCATATACAGGCCGCCGAAGTGACGCCGCTCACGCATATGTCCACAGCACAAGAGCAAGGCACTCCAACCTCCACTTGAAGTGCAACACCAAGGTGGACAAGATAATCATTGAGAATGGAAGGGCTGTTGGCGTTGCAACGGTCCCCACCAAGCCTCTCAATGGCGGCGAGCCCGTCCGTAAGATCTACCGCGCCCGCAAGCAAATCATCCTTAGCTGCGGCACACTCAGCTCTCCATTGGTCCTCCAGCGTTCTGGAATTGGAGAGCCAGAGAAGCTTCGTCGTGCTGGAGTCCAGCCTCTTGTCAACTTGCCCGGAGTTGGCCGGAACTTCCAGGACCACTACTTAACCTTCTCAGTCTACCGGGCCAAGCCTGAAGTTGAGACCTTTGATGACTTTGTGCGAGGAGACCCGGAAGTTCAGAAACGCGTCTATGAGGAGTGGAATATCAAGGGTACCGGGCCTTTGGCTACCAACGGTATTGAAGCTGGTGTCAAGATCCGCCCAACGCAGGCTGAGCTGAACGAGATGAAAAAGTGGCCAACTCCTCAATTTGGCCAGACAGGATATGACACCTACTTCAAGAACAAACCTGATAAGCCCGTCATGCACTATTCCGTTATTTCAGGGTAAGTTCAGTCACCACCGCTTAAGGGGCATTTCTGATCGCATTACAGTTGGTTTGGTGATCACATGGTTATGCCCCCAGGAAAGTTCTTCACCATGTTCCACTTCTTGGTATGACTTGAGAGATCCCCCAGCAGAGATTCAGGAGATATGAACCGCTGACATGATATAGGAATACCCCTTCTCTCGCGGGTTCACTCACATTAAGTCGGCCGACCCGTACGAGAACCCCGATTTTGACGCAGGCTTTATGAACGACAAGCGCGACATGGGCCCTATGGTCTGGGGATACATCAAGTCTCGCGAGACTGCTCGACGTATGTCGTCGTATGCCGGAGAAGTTGCGAACATGCACCCACATTTCGCTTTCGATTCTCCGGCACGGGCGCAAGATCTCGACCTAGCAACAACAAAGGCGTACGCCGGGGCAAACCATCTATCTGCTGGTATCCAGCACGGTGCGTGAATTAGCGGGAATCTTTTCAGAACATTCATACTGACACGAATAGGTTCATGGACAACGCCCCTGGAGCCCGGAGAGCAAGCTTCGGCAACTAGGCTGAACTCGAACAAGCACGAAAACCGAAAGCCACTCGAGTACAGCAAAGAGGACATTGCGCATATCGAGAAGTGGGGTACGAGCTCCAAATGGACACCCGACGTACAAGAACACAGCTAATTTTTGGTAGTTTCACGCCACGTGGAGACAACCTGGCACTCTCTTGGAACATGCAGCATGGCACCAAGAGAAGGGAGCTCGATCGCCCCGCAAGGAGGCGTCGTCGATGAGCGTCTCAACGTCCACGGCGTCAAGGGCCTCAAGGTCTGCGATTTGTCGATCTGCCCCGACAACGTCGGCTGCAACACATTTAGTGTAAGTGCTAAAGACCTCCATTGGCAAAGGTGGTTTCTAACTTGAGATTCGTTCAGACTGCCCTGCTTATTGGCGAGAAGTGCGCCATGCTAACTGCAGAGGACCTGGGATACTCGGGCGCAGCCCTGGCAATGGATGTGCCCAATTACCACGCCCCAGGCGAGTTCGCTAACCTTTCGCGATTGTAAGAAGGACGTTTTATTGGTGGTTGGCCAAAATGCGATATGCTTTCTCGTAAACTAGCACAGCTCCTCAGAATGAATAATGAAATTGTTTTCTGAAAAAGTCTCTTTTCATCTGTATTGCGGGGGGACCAGTATTTGAGAACATATGAGAATCTATACCTGACCTGCCGAGCTATGATTAATACTACGATGTATAAGCTGGTATAGGAGGAGCTGGAACCAGACGAGAGGATTTCTGAAATCTTTTTTGGTGGTTTGGGGGGGGGCGCAGCTCTCATCGCACGTCGGGGACCCAATATGGAAGTTTGTCCCGAGTTTAAGCGATGATGCCATTGGTAAATTGAAAACCTTCAACAGGACCGAACCTCCTCTCATTGGGTCCTTTCTAGCAGACGACACACTCCAATGGCCTCACAAGCGCAAAATATATATGATAATGCCACCTTTTTCTCCGGCTACGGGAATCTCCCACGCTCGCAGCATGGGTTATCCGCAGCACCAGAATGGCCTCAAATGCGGGATATGGTGCTAGGCAGCAAAAAAGATACCTGAAACTTAAGCCAAAATCTGGAAGGAAAACGTGTTCTTGACCTCGGCTGTGGATACGGCTGGTTCTCTCGGTGGGCGAGAGATAACCAAGCGTCATACGTCCGAGCAGTCGATATTTCGCACAAAATGATCGCTCGCGCGAAAGAGTTCGAGTCGGGCGCGAGTGCCGGCTCGTCTCCCATCGACTACACGGTGGAGGATCTGGAAAAGGTCACTTTCAAAGACCAAAGGGAAATTGAATCCTACCACCTCGTGTACAGCTCACTGGCATTCCACTATGTTGAAGATCTGGCCAGGCTCTATCGAGAAATCCACACTTCTTTGAAGCGCAGTGGCAAGCTAGTGTTCTCGGTGGAGCACCCCGTCAGCTCCGGGCCTATCCACCCTGGGCCGGAATGGGAGACACTGGAATCGGATGGAAAAGAACGGACAATCTGGCCATTGAACTCGTACAGTGAGGAGGGGTGGCGGACAACCAGTTGGCTTGGAGTTGAGGGGGTGCGGAAGTATCATCGCACCCTAGAAACATACGTCAAGATTCTTCTAGAGAGTGGATTTAAATTGACAGGGCTCATAGAGTGGTCCCCCTCCCTTGAAGACATTGCTGAGCATCCCGATTGGGCTCATCAGAGACATCGTCCTTTTTTTCTTACTCATTTCCGCCGAGAAGCAATGACAGGCCGCGTGAAGTATGATTTCCAATGTGATTCCTTCAATTTACTCTACTTGTCAGTTACCGTAAACCCAAGAAAACCAGGATCATTCCGATGATGGCACTTCGACAAGGTTCACCATTTCTCTTTATGCTGAGTAAAGAACTCCTTCAAAGTTACAGGCTTTTCCGACAGAGCGTTGAGGCTCGGAGATAGGTCTGCACCAGCATAATACCCTTCTTCCTCCAACAGGAGGAGATTCTCGTACACCTCAAGCACCAAGTGCGGGGGCATCGACGCACCCAGGAAGGATTTGAAAACTTCTCCCGGGACAGACACAACCGCAAGTTGCTTCCCGGTAGCTGCTTCAAAATCGACACCAATCTGCTCGGGGGTGTAGTAACCAGCGCTAGCATGGATCGTATTTGAACCCTCTTTAGGCGGATTAACCAGAGCAGCGCGAACGAAGTTACCTGAGTGTGTCAGCTGGTTCATAAGGCCTTTCAATACTCTGAGGCAGACGTACCAGTGTCCTTAGAAGCATCAATGAGAGGCGTTGGAGCCTTCGTGGAGACAGGGAGAGCCAACGTAAAAGATCCATCTTCTCCTTTTTGAATCAAGGTGAAAAGCTCGCTCATGAAGACACCGAGCATGACAAACGTGGCAGGGATTCCAAGGGAGCGGATGTATCGCTCCACCTCTGCTTTACCATCAAAGTGAGTGATATTGACAAGTCGTCCATTTGTCGTCTTCGATGCGTCGATCAGGGAAGAGAAGATGAGATGTTTGACACCGGCCTCTTTACAGGCATCTGCCACAATCTTCCCCTGCTGAATCTCCGGATCCGAAGAGAAGTATTCCCAGAAGTTTGTCACCAGGAATACTGTATCGGCTCCCTTCACTGCAGTAGCTACATCTTGAGGATTCAGCAGGTCTCCCTATGTTAGTGTTGGTTCCCCGTCTTCGCTATACATTCTCTTGTTGGTTTTTATTTACCTGAACGATTTCAACACCTTGCTCGGCGAGAGCCTTAGCAGTCGGCTTGTTGACATCTCGAGTGACACCCCGAACCCGAAATTCTTTGCACAGTTTCTGGTCGTTCAGGATAGTGCGAATCACCGATCCGCCTTGATTTCCAGTTGCTCCAAAGACAGTGATTAGCTTCGACATTGCGGTGACAAGAGTCAGAGAGGCTTGGTAAAAGAAAATTGAATGTTAACAATTCATATCGTCAACGTTCATCTGGATCTTTTCATACTCTCCTTTCTATATCCGGCCGGGGGAATTAAACGGTCCGATTGGTTGAGGCGGCTGTTTCAGGCGTCCCACTTTCGGTGATCGGAGGGATGCGCGGGCCGAAAACTTCTACCTGCTTTAATTGTATAATCATTGCAAATCCTATTGGGATGAGTGAATATAACTCATGGATTGTCTTATCGTCTGTGTAATTGGTGTTATTGGGGTAATACCTGTTATCGGGGAAATTGCACTGCGAAGAACGCAAAAAACGGGAAAAAAAAGGGAAAGTATACTACTAGCACGCTAAAAACACTTTTTCAAACTTGAACAACCCAGTTGCTTGTTTGTATACTAGTATTTTACCGGTCGATAGAAAATCGTCGTAATGTGAATGGTGACTGAATTCCGAGTCTCCGGGTGTTGGCTCGAGGTCTCGTCTTGACGAACATGTCTATCGGTTTCCTTCAAGGCTTGAATTCATTCCGAGTCCCGGTGAAATAGCAGGTCCTGTCAATGAAGTGAGATGCCAAATATTCAAGCTCATGCCGTACACTGGGGACCATACCAGTCATGCCATAGTTCCAGGTTTACTGTTTACCATTTCTTTACCCCGGATCTTGTCGGGTTCCGTAGTGGCGCTCCTGTACAGTCGTGTGATGATATTGATGTATCAATTAAACATTGAAAGCCAATACTACGCACAATCTGAGCTGGTAGAGCTCAACAAATAATATGGATCGCTCCCTAAGTTCACCATGCTATTTTGAAAATTCCATAAAACAATTATTCCAATTGCGTGCCCAGCGCAACTAACATCCGCCGGGTTGTTCTGTGACGTCATCACTTCAAGGTCACATCCAACTTTCGGCTCTTTGCTGCACAACCACTTCACCTTTCCTTATCCTCTCAAAACAATTCTCTTCGCTAAACATCAAGAGATGTCTGAGTCAGTCGCCATCCTCCGCCGCCGTCGCTCAGACGAGCTGGCCAGACTTGCGGACGAGCACATGCAACACGACCTGCAGAGCGAAGACCGCGACAAGCTCAAGGCAGCAGCTTCAAGCATCTCGCTATGGACAACCGTCGGCTCTGCAATTGGACTCAGTGTCGGATTGTATGCCGCAATCCGGCTACGCAGTACGCGCCGCGCCTTTTTCGCTGCTGTCCGTGCACAGGAAAAACCTACTCAGGTGGTGTTTGCAGATGGGCGTACCGGTAATCTCTTCCGACGGGAGCTTGATCGCGTTTCGATGTAGAAATGGTGCTAACCTTCTGAGCAGAGGCTATTCCTGACCTAACTCCCTTGCTAAAGCCCTCTGCTTGGGGCGATTTCGCGACTTATTTCTTTGCGTCACTGGGCGGGCTATTTTTGGGCGGAGAGCTTGGTAAGGACACCGTTTCTTTTTACATGTGGCTTCATACTAACGGAAATTTAGGTCTGGCGGGAGGAGCAGCAAGTGGCAGTCGCACTATATCTTCGGACCCTGAGAGCAAGAAGCGGATCGAGACGGCGTTTAGAAAGTTCCGGGCTGATGTGCTTCGTAAGGAAGCGGATTCATTGGACAAGGGTGCTGATGTTTCAGGCGAGATGTTCTAAGTCGCCCGGATCTTGCATCTAGAGCGTTTTAGCGAAAGTAATAACATGGCTCAAGGCCCGGGCGTAATAATGGCCGCTTATGGGAAGTCGAAATAGAACTAAGGAGAAAGTATTTTGTCGATCTGGAAATTCCACGTTGTCAAAAGAACGAAAAGATCGGCCGTAGGACAAGACTTCCACCTTCCACATAATCGTTTGGGGCTTATATAGGATGAACACCGAACATGAACTGCAGGCTTCACACAATCCTTCATCTAATGTTGGTACGCTTTTCTGGTGAAGTCTCCAAAGTTCTCCGGGGTTTCATGTTCTTCCTGCCGGCCGAGGTATCTGTCCTTGACTGTCCCCCTCCGCAGCTAAAGTCCAGTCGCTCATAAGGTCACTGCTCTCCAATCAATCTGAAGTCTGGGGCTCCGGAGATAAGCGATGTCACGTGTAGCCTTGAGAGCGTTGCCCCGTTGGGACTGCCGGCTCTTTGTAGAAATTATTTTCAGGGGCGCAAAGACCGCGAGTGGCGAAACTGATGGTTTTCAATGACTGGATGCTATCATAGATATCGTATCAGAAGCAGTGATTGGAAAGATGAGTGCTACTGCTAGAGTATGATAGAACTCAAAATCCAAGATCACCGCAGGGTAATTGGCGCTGAGTGGGCTGAGATACACCATCCATGGATGACCCCTCAGTAGCTTTGGGGGCGGTCCCGGGGAAATTGCGCTATCTTCCGTCAAGTACGCAACCCTCGTCTTCGTGTGAATTAGCCTGCCTAGTCCACGATTTCTCCAGACCCATACTTCAGCAGCATCTGCCTCTTAAGCTGATGCCTTGGGTTATCTATACTTTATCTGGCTGCCTTGACACGGTGGTATCAGCACAAGCAAGTAAAGCTTACATATGACTCGACCTTGGCCATCCCACGAGCCTCACGTAGCGAGGGTTAATTCCTTGAGCTCCCACGCGCCATCAAAGTCAACTATCTCCGTTTAGAATCTTCTGTCATGTCGGTGTTCGCTATCCGGAATACTCTCCTACAAAATGGCTCCTCGAGCCTCCAGGACGAGCGTCTTAGCTCGTTTGGGCCAGTGACCTCACTCGGGTTCGATTTCACCCCTCTTTTCGAAGACACGATCTTCGGGCTACTACCATCAGCCCTTCTCCTACTATGCCTACCTTACAGGATCTTCAGTCTCCACTCTCGAAGACCCAAGGTCAATGCCGGGGGCTTCTTGAAAGAAAGCAAACTGCTTTTTCTATCTGTTCTCGCGGCAGTGAATCTGGCCTTACTTATTCTGAACGTCTTCAACTCATCGCTACGGACAGTCACCACGATTCCCGCATCCGCTTTGGCTTTTGCCGCTAGCCTGGGGCTTTGCATTCTGTCTGAGTTTGAGCATTCCCGGTCTCTAAGGCCTTCGCCTATCATCAACATCTACATTCTCCTAACATTTGTTTTTGATATTGCGCGAACTCGCACACTCTTCATGGATCGAGCTAGCATGCCCGTGGCCGGGTGTTTTGCCGCGATGATGGGCGTCAAGGCTCTAGTCCTAGTGGCTGAGGCGATTGAGAAGCGAAACATTCTATTAGATCCATGGCGTGGACTGTCCCCGGAAGAAACCAGCGGTATCTACAGCAGGTCAGTTTTCTTCTGGCTCAACAAACTCATGACCTCCGGATTTCAGGGCGTTCTTCGCAATGAAGATCTCTACCCGATTGATCGCGATATGACTGCGGAAGTTCTGCGGGACAAAATGAAATATGCCTGGGACAGGGCCACCAAAGGAAAACGTAGAGCATTGCTTTATGCTCTTTTACGCGCGAATACCAAAGCCCTGGTCTACTGTATCGTGCCACGCCTGGTACAGATTGGGTTTCGCTACGTACAGCCATCCCTACTGACCCGCGTGATTTCATTCGCGAGTGATGAGTCTCAGCCGGACAGTATTGGATGGGGTCTGACAGGAGCCTTTTTTTTGGTTCTTCTTGGGGTAGCTGTTTCTAATGGATTTTTCTACCACATGAATTACCGCTTCCTGACACGAGCCAGAGGTAATTTAATCAGCATCATCTATACCAAGACTGTCGATCTTAGCATCGCTGCTGTCGATGAATCGGTGGCGGTGACTCTCATGTCCAGCGATGTGCAATCCGTCTGCGATGGACTGCAACTTCTGCAGAGTCTCTGGGCTGTCCCTCTTGAGATGGCCATAGCCACTTGGCTTCTCTTTCGCCAGCTTGACATCGCTTTTGTTGCGCCGCTTGCCCTGTCAGCTATCTCAACGATGGCCATTATTTGTCTCGCGAGATACATGGGATATGCTCAGAAGATCTGGATGGAGAAAATTCAGACACGAGTCTCCGTGACAAGCTCCATGCTTGGGTCGATGAAGTCTGTCAAGATGCTGGGGTTGTCCGATTGGCTTGCTGGGATTGTCCAAAATCTTCGAATCACTGAACTGAACGAGGCAAAATTGTTCCGGAGGCTCCTCGTCGCGAGAGTGTTCTTTTCAAACATTATCTATGTTTTTGGGGCCTTTGTCACTCTTGCTATATATGTTGCCCTTCCGGGAAGCAAAGAACGTCCGTTAACTTCTGAATCAGCATACACAGCCCTCACGCTTGTCTCTTTGATTTCAGCACCTGTCAATGAATTTATCCGGGCAATTCCCTCCATGAATACGGCCATCGCGTCTCTGCAACGGATCCAAGACTTTCTTGAGTCAGAGGCACGGCGAGATCATCGAATAACCCTCCCTGGATCCCATAGCTCATCAGCCCCCACAGAGGATAGCGATGGGATCGAACTTGTCGAACAAACCCAGGCCCCAAAAAGCGAGTCCTCGGCAGTGCTTGTTGCACGAGATGCCAGCTTCTCCTGGGACCCAGCATCGAGTTTATCGGTTCATGATGTCAATATCAGCATCGGAAGAGGTCAAATATGCATCGTCATCGGCCCAACAGGGTGCGGCAAAAGCACTCTTTTCAAAGGAATTCTAGGAGAAACCCCATCGACAAAAGGCTTCCTCTATTCTAATTGTGCAGAAGCAGCCTATGTGGACCAGACCCCGTGGGTCCGCAATACCACGCTTCGAGAAAATATCCTTGGCGTTTCCGTTTACGACGAATCTTGGTATGAGGAGGTGGTGAGAGCTTGTGCTTTGGATCAAGACCTTCCTATGCTACCAAATGGCGATCGTAAGTATCCTTATCACCATGTCCTCTAGGGGTAGTGTCTCAAGTCTGACGTTCTGTAGACACCCAAGTTGGGTCCGCAGGAATTTCACTTTCTGGTGGCCAGAAGCAGCGACTGGCCCTTGCTCGAGCAGTCTACTCCCGTAAAGAGCTTATTCTGCTAGATGATGTCTTCTCCGGCCTTGATGCTGGAACAGAGGAGCGCATATTCGCCCGGCTATTCTCCAATAACGGAATTTTTCGACGGTTAGGAACCACTGTGCTGCTTGCCACACATGCAGTACACAGGCTCTCTTACGCCGACCAAGTCATTGTCATGAGCAATAAAGGCCTTATCGCTGAGCAAGGCACTTTGGCTGAGCTTGAGAAGAGTGGCGGATATGTCTCTTTGTTGAGGGCCCAGTACCGTGAAACCCAGAGCGACGATGAAGAAAATACACGAGTCGATAAATCTACAGTGGCACTGGCTGCGTCGGAACAAGCTACGGGTCGAGACACCATGGAAGAAGAGTTGAAGCGAGGAAATGGAGACATATCTCTCTACACCTACTACTTCAAGTCTGTCCACTGGGCGTCTTCGGCTACCTTTCTCACCGCTTGGGTGATTAGTGGCGTATTAACGCAATTCGATGGTATGTTGGTCAATCTGTGGACCAGCGCTTTGGAAAAGCACGGCAATAGTGTCAATGGCCTTTATTTGGGACTTTACGCCCTAGTGGCGGTAGTGAACACAATTTGTCTAGTTGGTGGCGCCTATCATTTCATACTGTTCTTCGCTCCGAGAAGTGCGCTGGTCTTACACGAACGTCTTCTGAAGACAGTCATGAACGCTCCCCTTGCCTTCTTTACTTCGGTGGATACAGGAACAACTACAAATCGGTGAGTAGAGCTGTTATACTAGGCCGGCAGAAATTCCATAGCTAATACGACCATCACAACAGCTTCAGTCAAGATATGATGCTACTTGATCATGATCTTCCATATGCGTTGGTTGATTTTGTGCTATCTTTCTTCCAAGGCGTCATGTCAGCGGTTTTGATGTGTGTCTCAGCCCGCTACTTTGCCGCCGTCATGCCGGTCCTCTTCCTATTCATGTGGGTATTGCAAAAGTTCTATCTACGCACGTCCCGTCAAATGAGACTCCTCGACCTGGAAGCCAAGTCGCCGCTATTTTCTCAGTTCATCGAAACTTTGTCCGGGCTGGTGACAATTCGTTCCTTTGGGTGGGCGGCAGCCTTCGAGAAGCAAAATCTTACATTGCTCGATGCGTCACAGAAGCCGTTCTACTTGCTTTTCTGCATCCAGCGGTGGCTAGAATTGGCACTGGACATGACAGTCGCGGTCCTAGGCGCCATTCTTATGGCACTTGTTGTGAAGCTGCGCACAGAGGTTGGAGCTGGATACGTCGGTCTGGCCATCCTCAACGTCATCACCTTCAGTCAGACTCTTTCCATGATCCTTCGTATGTGGGCCTCCTTAGAGACATACATCGGCTCGGTGGCTCGAGTCCGTGACTTTGTCTCAAATACCGAGAATGAAAACAAGCTCGGCGAAGACGCTCTCCTTCCGACAATCGACCTCTCATCCTGGCCAGAGAAAGGCGCGATCGAATTCCGCAACGTCTTCGCATCGTACAATACCGGCGCCGACAAGAAATTTGTCCTTTCAAACCTCAACTTCGCCATCGAAGCCGGCCAAAAGATTGGTATCTGCGGCCGCAGCGGCAGCGGGAAGAGCTCGCTGTTAGCTTCTCTGTTCCGGATGGTTGAAGTCGAGCCAAGCAGCCAAATCCTGATTGATGGCGTTGATATCACCCGGATTCCGCGCAACACAACCCGCCAGGCTCTAAACGCCATCCCCCAGGAGCCATTCTCAACACACGGGTCTATCAGATCAAACATGGACCCCAGGGGAGTACACACCTCGGATGTCATTGAGGATGCGCTGCGACGAGTCGAGCTTTTGGATCTCGTCCAGGCCAAAGGGGGGATCAGCGTTGCTATGGATTTCAATTTCTTTTCGCATGGACAGCGTCAGCTCTTTTCTTTAGCGCGCGCATTGCTTCATGGGAGCAAGGTTGTTATCCTCGACGAAGCGACTAGTAACGTGGACGTTGTCTCGGATGCGCTGATGCAGCGTGTCATCCGAGAGCAGTTCTCGGATTGCACCATCATTGCCGTAGCGCATAGACTCGGGACGATCATTGATTTTGACAAAATTGCGGTCATTAAAGATGGGGGGGTTGGCGGAGTTTGATACGCCGCAGGCGCTTCTTGGGAGGAATAGTCTTTTCAAAGAGCTCTACGAGTCGTGATCAGAGGGAATCAACTGGAAGACCCTCTTTCTCAGCTTCAGCAAAGCCGGGACAGAGAACATCTGTTCAAGACTAGAGAGGCAGTTTCTCCAAATATTCTTCATAAACATGGTAACCGAGAATCGAAATTGGTATCAAAATAGTCTAGCAGACCTCACATCCGAAACATGTACAGGCCAAAATGCAATAAAATCCCCATATATCTCATCATAATCGCTTGAACGCTGTTAGTCTCAAATTATGCATACATACACATACACAGAGGCCAACAATGCCCATATTCCAAACCTACTCCTAGTAGTACTGGAGTACTCCTAGGAGCCTAGAGGATGCCATCACGGATCCGCAGAAAGTTCTCATACCGCTTGCGAGTCAGCTTGCGGCAAGTCTTGCCCCAGTAGATCATAGGGGCAGTCGTCATGAGAAATCCGAAGCTCAGCACGCCAATTGCGATGAAAGTCTTCGACAGACTCTCGGCATCAAGCCAATACTGAGCGGTGAACGTGAAAATGCAGGCAATGGTGTTGTTGATGACGGAGACGCCCACCATGCCCTCCAGAACCATGTCTGGATAAGCATCCTGAAGATAAGCCATGCTGAGATCACCAGCACAGCCCCAGCCAAAACCAATAAAGCCAAGACCCACATAGGGCCAGGGCCAGTTCCATCCTTGTCCGATCCAATGCCGAATAGCATCAGACCTGCTGGGGCAATGATGGCCACCGGGAACAAGAGCCAGAGACGGGACTCGGCTTCGAAGACACCGTGGTTACGGCGAGCCATCCACATCACGAAGTAGTCGGAGAACCAGCCACCGTAGATACAGCCGATGCAGGCGCCGATTAGGGTTGGGACGTTCATGATCCCGACGGCTGCGTCGGAGTAGTTCCACGGGGCATCATACCAGTTGTCCTCCTCAACGGTCAAGTAGAAAGTCAGCCAAGCATCCTGGGCACCCCACTGCAGTCCCGAGTACAGGACAGCAGGGAAGCTGAAGATGCGCAGGGTGTGCCACATGCGACGGAAATACTGCTTGAACCCGCTTCCGATTAGTGTCGGAGAAGGGGTGATCAGCGCAATACGCTGAAAATACGTCTTGCCCTGTTTACGCCCAGACTCCTCGTCCGCCGGAGAAGAGACGGAATCGATCCGTGGTTGCTGGTCCTTCTCCTCCAAGGGACGATCGGCCACGGCTTGTTTGGTCTGTTGCTGAATGTCCTGTCCCTGCAGGACACTTTTGCGATCAAAGGACGTCTCCTCCAGCCCAAAAAGGAAGACGACCAGGGTCGCGCCTGAAATGATGACCGCTAGCCAACCGACCCATCTCCATCCCAGGACATCGCTATCTGTAATGAAGCCCGCAATGAGCGGTCCCAGAAATGTACCAATACTAGTCGCCAGAATGTATAAACCCAAAACCAGTCCTCGATGATGCTGGAAGAAGAGATCCGACAAGGACAACTGGGCCAATGCCTCAGCGCATGACTCGGATGCCCCAACGAACAACTGATTCCAGATATTGTCTTGCACGGTCTGCACGCGGGCAAACCAGATCGAGCCCACGATGGAGAACAGCAAACATAGCAAGTAGGAGATCCGTCGACCGTACAAGAACGGGGCCGGACTCAAGAGCAAACTACAGTAGCCAATGCCGACGAACAGCACACCAGCCGCAGTATTAATATCGTCCCAAGAAATCCCCAGCTGCGCGTTCATTCCATTGCCAGCGGTACCGGCGTCGTTGGAGGTGGCCGCGGTCAGGGCAACAATGAAGAGCACGAGGAACGCGTGCCAGTACCGGCGCCACGTGGGCCAGTTGAGTGGATCGTCCGGCGAGTCAGTTGGACTCGGGATGAGCGTGATCTCCCCATTGGCAGCGGGAAAAATGCGCTCAGTTCCAGGTAGATCCAACTCCAGTGTATAGGCTTCATGCTCCACATTGGCATTGGCAGTATTGGCAGTATTGGCAGGCCCGAAGGGCCCAGCAGGAGAATTCAACCGGATTGCGTCGCTCATCAGTGCGCCCCAGAACCCCGGGCCCAGAGTTGACGATTATCAAGGGGCAGAGAAGTCCTTCGACCAAAATCAGAGGAGGGGCTTTTTCTCTCTGAAAAAGGAGGGGGCTCGGGGCAGGGGCGTCAGCTTGGAAAGGAACTGATAAGGGAAGAGATTTCCTCCCACGCGCAACTTTCCAGTTTCATGCGACTTTTATCGCCCTGTGGAGATAAGAGATTTTTCTTTGGTGGCGGATAAAGTGGGCCAGCGCCGGTGCTAAGCTTCCTTCGATTCCGTTTCACCTTCTTCCAACTCGGAAAGTCCTACGAGAGACAACGCTCAGTCTTCCCCTACTTGCGGTCACCGCCGAATGTCCACTTGCCAACTCAGAATGTCCCAGTCATTCCATGTGTCTTCTTCAATCCCGGGCAGTAGTCCCATAAAACCAAGTAATTGTGGCTCCGACCTGGCTGCGCGCCTCGAGGCGGCTCGAATCGAGTCTGCCCCTGATGAGGCACCACGCGCAGTGAGGTCGGAGCCACGAAAGGTGATTGTTGTGGGAGCCGGAATCTCTGGTCTTCGCGCTGCTGCTTTGCTCCGCCGGTCCGGATGTGAAGTGGTCGTGTTGGAAGCCCGCGACCGCATCGGCGGTCGAATCTTGACCAGCAGGAATGGTGACCATGTCCGTGACATCGGTATGTACGACATTACCCTGGACTCGTCGGAACAAGCTGCTTACCGGGCGCAGGTGCCGCTTGGATGCACGAGACCTCCCAGAACAGCTTAGTGAAACTCATCCCCCGCCTTGCCATCCCCTACTACTACGATGACGGCGCTCCCCTCTACTTCACTCGTGAAGGCCGTGCTGGATCCCAGTTCAAGGCCAAGAAGGTCGCCGACGAATTCGCCGACTACTGCGAATGGTATTACGACAGTCACCCCGACGCCCACGACCGTCCCGTCAGCGAATTCGTCAAGGAATTTGTCCTCGAACACCAGCTGATCACGGACGATGAGCGCCAGTGGGCGCCTCAGGCTCTCCGTGAAGTCGAATTATGGATAGGAACCAGCATCGAGCAGGCCTCCTCCAAGCACCTATCCTACTTCATCACTGAACGAAACCTGTACATGAAAGGCGGCTACGACCGCATTGTGAACTGGACCGCCCAGTCTCTCAAGAGCGACCCTAACGTGATCCGACTCAACCATCTCGTCGAGAACGTGGAGTGGAACGAAGAAGGCGTCGAACCGATGCGTGTGCATTACAAAGATCCTGCTGGAAACCCGGGCTTCGTGGAAGGAGACGCTGTGATTATGTCTGTCCCAATGGGAGTCTACCACCATAAACTGATCAACTTCAACCCGCCCTTGCCGAGTGACATCGATGAGGGCATGTCTCGCTGGAGCTATGCCGCGTTGGGTAAAGTATTTTTCGAATTCGCCGATGTCTTTTGGCCCAAGGACAACGACCAATTCATCTTCTACCCCTCCCCTGCCGAAGAGTCGGAACCGTCAGCCGGCTCCTCGGTTAGCTCGACCGATAGCCTCAGCTCTTTCGGAGAGCGAGACAACATTCTCAATTACCCCACCGTTACGATTAACCTGTGGATCATGACCGGCGGCAAGGAGCTGTGCGTCCAGATCGCCGAGCCGCTGACCCAGCGCATCGAAGCAATGCAGAATCAGAAGGAGATTTACAAGTTCTTCGAGCCGCTGTTCAAGCTTCTCCGGGCTGAACCCTACAAAGCCCTTCCCCGCCTGATCAGTGTTGAAACTACACACTGGACCCAGGACCCGTTGGCCGGGTACGGCACGTACTCTGCCGATAAAGTTGGCGATGAGCCTGATCTGCTTATTGACTCGCTGGCCAACCACAAGAGTAGCCCCTTGCAGTTCGCCGGTGAGCATTGCACTTTGGTTGCCAATGGCTGTGTGCATGGTGCTTTCAAAACGGGTGAAACCGCTGCCACCAACTTGCTACAGAGATTTGGCATCCCGTATGATGAGAAGGAGCTTGCCAGCCTGCAAGCTTAAGTAAATATCCTGACACAGTGATTTGGAAATAGTCACTTGTGGGTCATACTCGGCATTCTTTGCATTGAGTAGAATCATTTTTTCACAGCGAGTTTATCCCATCCCATTGCGCACTTTGAATTTTCCATAGAGTCTTAGAAACCTTCCGATGTCCCGATATTTGTTCCTTTGCAGCTGGTAGAACTGTGTTGCAGCCATGCAATCACCCTAGTCGCATTTGTTGTGTCAATCAGCCACTCACAATCGATCATCGCCACTCGTTCCCCTTATAGTCCGTTCCACATGGCGCACCGTGGTTTCGCCATAAATCTCGTTAGGCTTAATTCGAAGCGGGGAACGGCTCTGATAAGCATTTACCATTGGGACCATTGCTGCGACGTGCAGGGCGCCTGGTTTTATCAGGCGTATTTGTCAAGTCGCTTAGCGACTGTAGCTCTTAACTCTCCTTTTTCGCAAGGATGGGGGCGGCTACACGATGAGTGAACAGCCTTTTCATATCCAGCAAGGCCCGCCAGGGAGAGGCCATCATGCCTTTCACAGAAGTTGCTGGGCTCTTCCGATGGTTTCAGCGGGCTCAGTGTAGAACACTGCATATCCTGTTCGTCTTCAGTGTTTGCTTTCTCTTCGCCGCGCCGCGTTTAAGAGAACGATACATCGCAGAGCATACAGAGGCTCTAGCGCCCATACAAGAGCAGGTGAATGGCACTCGTAGGTCTGGCCATCCTGATCATTAATGAGAAACTGCCCAAGCTGATGTTTTTCCAGTTCCCCCGGCCCCTATCCCCAAAGACAGCTTCTTTCTGCCGATTCGAGCAAAGCTGAATAGCTCTGATGTAAAAGATGAAATGCAGCATAATTGCCACTTTTCATGATGCGCATTCGATCGCGTATGATTCTTACCTCAAGTATAACAGCCCGGCATAGAAAGCAGAATGGAAAGGGACAACTGAACCATGCGTTGGATCGGATGATGCACTACTGGATCCCACGCAGGATGGAGCTCTGATGCACGGGTACCACTGGAATCAATCAGGTAATGCAGAGAAACGCTCTCCTAGCCACTTGAGAAGAACGAAGTTGACAAGAGCCAAAGCTTTTTCAACGCCGATATTCAATTCCTATGAGCCATGGAATCTCGACAACAGTCTTTGTACAGCTCAGCACTCTCGCTATAGTGCATACGGCCATGGCAACACCAGCAAGCTTGAAGACGTGAATTGGGATATATTGCAGCGGAACTGCCTCGAGCGGAACGGCCAGCGATACGCTTCTCTGCAGGGCAAACTTACCTCCCTTCAGATGGAGCAGAGACAAAATGGAGCCGGCAATGTTTGCATTTTATCTAAAGTATATTGCATGCTCAAGATTCATTCAGTTCGTAATCTTTTTCGGCTGCCGCATATCAGCGCAGGCATCCATTACGACAAGAACCCACGAACATAATGACTGGGTGGGCGCGTATATCTGACCTGGCTTTTCATCGAGGACCGGCCCACCTCCATCCATTCTCCGGTCTAACTCTCGGTCTAGCGCAATATTATGATCTTCTTCAATGGCCTTCTTAGCCGACTGATAGATCATTTCGGAATCCCACAGCATCGATTCCGAAAGGCACTTCTCTTTGAAAATGTTCAACGCAACAAGGCGCAGCTCCAGTGTCCTACTATGCATGAGCACAAAGTACAGTAGGGCAGGGAACCCGAAGGGTGACTTCTCCGGTTTATCTCGCCCGCCTGCAACATTACACGCTATTTCAACAATACGCCGGAATTCCTTCTCGGACTTCAAGGCATCGGGGGATGTATTGCCCCGTGCCCATATCTTGCAGACGAGCCACCTTGCCTCAAGGAGCTTGTACGCGTCCATTTGGACGTCAAGTGGGTGTCGGCGCTTTAAGCGGGCAACCGCTTTAGACCAGTCTTCAAAGTCTTGGTTCAATGCTTCGCACTGCGAGAAGATGGCCGGGGCGTATTCGGGGTTGTATACTTTCTTCGGGTTCATGATTATGCCGGCTGCGAGTTTCATTGTGCGATATGTGAGCCAGCCGAGGGCTTCTTGCGCTTGGTCGATTGTTTCGAAAGGCCCGGAAGGAGGTGGGCAGTGGTAGTCCGTTTGTGCGGTGCCGGCGAAATTCGAGAAGAAGAAGATGAAAAAGTTGAGCCGGCGGAAGATGTCCAGCAGGGCTGCACTGGCATTGTAGGTGAGGAGGAGGGCTTTGCCGTACTGGTAGTGCACCATGGCGCCGCTGGGGTTGCCGCGCAGGAACTCGATGCATATAAACTGCATGCAGGCGATGACGACCACGTCCAGATTCTCTGGTTTGGAAAGGGCAATCTGCTGCAATGCTGCATTATAATGGTGGATTGCATATCTTTTGTCCGCATTGGATATCTCGCGCTTCCCTCGATACTTCTCATATAATGCACTCATGGCTAGGGCAGCGTGGCGGACGGCGGGTTCTTGATGAAGTACCTGAGGGACGATATGTGTCCAAAAGGAGCGAGGTAAAGTCCCAGCCATGTCTGGTGCCATACAACGACGATAGAAATCCAGCCCTCGAAAATCAGATAGATCCGAGCCGGGCACCAGTAATGGCTGTACCTGCCGGAGCGACCGAGGGACCCATGCGATGTATCCTTCGCATTTACGTCCAGTGGTCCGACATCTGTTACAAATAGGGCGTGTTTCGTCACATTTCACCCTTCGAGACCTGCAAAGAGCAGAGTTACTGACATGGGCCGAGATAAAAGAGGGGAAGGAGCAGGTATACTGACTTGCAGGTAATGCACCCAGTGTGGGTTCTGCGGATTCCTTTACGAGCCATTATGAGGCGATGGAGTGTTTGACCGATACTCTGCACCGCATAGACGCAGGAGCAGGGTATATAACGTTGAGACAATGTGGGAATGGGATGTCTAGCGTTCAATTCCCCTGAACACCGCAGGTCCATCCCTTTCAAACCAACAGTACGAGTTGGTTCGGGCTGCCCCGTCGCAGTCCTTCTGCCGAGCTGCCGATAATTTCGTGGCTTCACTTCAGCGCATTTCTCAGGATCTAATTGACCGAGTCCACCTGCGATCTGCAAGGCCACTGGCTATGATAAGCTTGTTGGATGATCTCACCTATTTATAGCCCCGCACTCCTCCGATCGTATTGTCGATCCAATCAGATCCGTGGAACTCGTCGGTGCTTACCTACGTATTCACCAACAGAACGACTGTTGGATTTCTTGTCTCAAAACTTGAATCTCCTGAAAGCTAGAGCAAGCAGGAAGCTCAACGCTGTTCTCTCGGGTGGCTTCTATGAGAGCCACGTTGGCTTAAACCCCCCCCCCAAAACGTGCGAACAAAGCTATTCGATCGTTGCTGCTTTTACTGCCCCGCTCGTTCTCATAGCCAGTGATATTAACTTCCTGGTAGACCGAGAGACTCGAGAATGGCCTGTGCCTTGGAAGATGAGCTGATGATGGCTCAAATGGACTTCCCCCCCCCCACAAACCTCTTCCCGAGCCCATTTAGGTGTCGCTATGCAATGTGGGTTGCCTACGCCAATGGATGTCGAGCGGGGTATTATTCAGGCAAATTTTCGATTGTTCCTAGCATTGTTGCGGTACTAGGCTGCGATGGTTAGTCTCTTTGCTGCAAAGGCAGATAACGGTGTTTCCTGGACTGCGATGAAGGCTTCCAAAGCTACATGGAGAGAACTCTGCGTCCAGATTGGGACCATACCGAGGCGAATTTGGCAGTGATACATATATCACAGTATCGGCTGCAGGCGCTCATAGCAGAGAGGTCCCTTACAAGGCTCACTCCCGCATATATCGATGAAAGATACTACCTAAGCAGTGTTCCAAATCCTGGTGCTTCTACTTCCTTCCTCGAGTAGTAAATCGACCTACGTTGATAGGTGTGCCCGCGTGTGGTCGCACCTGGTCACGTTCATCGGATACTGAAGCAGCCAACCTGTTTTGCTTTGCAATGCTGATATATCAAATTCACGAAGTCTGGAATAAGCCTGAAACTAATCCATGCCAACATATATGAGGAAGGTCACGTGGTACCCCGATCGGGAAGGGTTAATCCGTATAAACACGTTTGAAGCAGAAGGAAAGATCAGAGGACCCAGCAGAGAATAGATCAAAGCGTATCTACTAGTAATCTTTACTGGATACCAGGGTCTGTTTTCTGTCTCCGCAACTCTATGGCCTGCGGCTCAAGGCTTCCCCGGGCAAATCGATAGCGACTTGTTTCCACCCTCCTTCGTCTGCTTTCTTATCCAACCTCCGTTCTTTCGGTTTCTCTTGACATATCCTGTTCTGCTAAACTTCTACGCTTGCAACCATTCTTGTGATGGATGACGATGAGGATTTGCAGGCCGCCATCCGGGCATCCCTGGCTGAGTACAAGGCCGAACAGTCTCGCGCCCAGGGTGTTGTGGATCTGACAAACGACTCGAGTAACGACTCGGATGTTCAGGAAGTGTTCCCGAAGTCGAATTCAGTCGTCGGCTCTGATACAGATGATGACAGCGACGGAGACTTGAAGAAAGCAATTGCCATGTCTATTGAGCAGCCGGACGAGGAGAGTAAGCCATCAACTGTAACTGTTACTCACGAAAAGCCCCAGCCTATGGGCATCTCAGGCCTTGGTCTCCTTGACCGTCAGAAGATGGAAGAAGAGCGTCTCGCCCGTTTGTCTAAGCGGAAAGCTGAGAAATCTATGAGCCCACCTGGACGAGGCGGTTCCAAGGCCTTGAAATTTGCGCGACAGCTTGACGCAGACTCGCCTGACCCATCCTCCGCTGAGACTACCACAACTGCTTCCCTCGGGTATCGCGACAATTTTCCAAGTGCCAGGCCAGGAGTTCAATTCCCACACGGCATTGTTAAGAAGACTTGCCTCGCCAAAACTCCACGTGTGGGCGATGATATCACCATCGAAGAGGTCATCCAGCGATCTCAACTAAAGTTTGCTCTTCTGAGCTCGTTTCTATGGGACACAGACTGGCTGTTTTCTAAAATCGATATGGACAGCACCAAATTGATGCTCGTCATGAGCGCCAAAACGGAAGAAGAGCGGCTCGCCTTGAGACAGCAAAGCAGTTTCCTAACGCAGACTGAATTAGTCTTCCCACCCATGAACGCACAATCCAACTGCATGCATTCCAAGTTGATGTTGCTTTGCCACACAGACTATCTTAGGATTGTTGTCCCGACTGCCAACCTTACGCGTCATGACTGGGGCGAGAGCGGGCTAATGGAAAATGTAAGGCACGTCACCGTTCAAAGGACTCCTTTCTAACCATAATGCAGACCGTCTTTCTCATCGACCTTCCGCGTAGGCCGGCAGGGTCCACTACTCAGGAGACTCCCTTTTATCTGAGTCTCGTTGATTTCATGAAGGCGAGTGGGCTGTCTTCCAAACTCATCGACCGGGTTGGAACATACGACTTCGCTGAAACAATGCGATATGCCTTCGTCCATTCAATGTGAGTACTTTTTGCCTCTGTAAATAGAAGATTCATTGACATATTATCAGCGGCGGTACCACCGGCCCTAGCGCCCAAGACCCGTGGAAAGGTACCGGATACTGCGGTCTTGGACGGGCTGTTAGCCAGCTAGGTCTTCAATCCTCGTCCCCAATCAACATCGACTACATCGTACGTATGGAACTCCGCCTGGGGGGTTTATTTGCTAACTCGAGTAGACTTCATCCATTGGTTCTCTGAACGAAGAATTTCTCCGCGCGATCTATCTTGCTTGCAAGGGTAAGTTTCTTCAAGGAGAAGTGATTGAGCTAACAATATAAAAAGGCGATGATGGAATGACTGAATACACACTCCGTAATACGAAATCTTCTAAAGCTTCTTTCCCGGATAATCGACGCAAAGCGATGGAGAAGGTTGGCGGCGAATGGAAGCACCGTTTGAACGTCTATTTCCCCTCTGACCGCACCGCCCATGCCGCCCATGCTCGGCCTCTTGACACCGCGGGAACCATCTGCTTCCAGGAAAAGTGGTGGAAAAGTCCTAGCTTCCCTCGGCATGTTCTGAAAGACTGTGAGAGCCGACGCGGCGCTCTTATGCATAACAAAGTACGGAAATTCAATGTTCCTACCGTCGGCGCAAGATGCTAACTATCCAAGCTCATTTATGTTTGGCCGGACCAACCTATCTCTTTGGAGCAAGACAATATGGAGTGCAAAGGCTGGGTTTACATCGGCAGTGCCAATATCTCTGAAAGCGCATGGTAAGCTCAGACATAATCCCATTTCTATGGCTCGTTCGCCCCTTTGCTTCCTTGTGCCACTCTTTTATCGGAATAGCATCAATACTGACAGATTCCCCTAGGGGCCGCCTCGTCAAAGACCGTGCCACCGCTCAGCCCAAGATGAACTGCCGAAACTGGGAATGTGGCGTTGTGTACCCCATCATCACACGGTCTTCCGCAGTCTCCAGCGCAGACGGAAAAGCTCCAGCCCAGCAGCATCTGCCAGTGGCGGTATTCAACGAGGCGGTGCCTGTGCCGATAAAGGTTCCTGCTGAGAGCCTCTCTGACGAACGACCACCCTGGTTCTTCATGGGCCAAGAGAAATTTTATTGAGGATCCGGGTTTCGGCGTTTGGGATTGGTATGGCGTTCTGGAAGGCGTACTTTCTCAAGTTCTTATGGACATTGTGTTCGCTTCCATTTACTATCCGTAGGCATAGTCACGGATTAAGATGTCAGATGACGGCAATTGTGAAATATATCTTTCCCATAAATGGCAGGCTACCTTTCACGGTTGTGTACTAGTGGAGTATGAATCTCCTCAGAAGCCAAAATAAACGCAGAGACCAAATATTCCATGTTATCAGGAAAAGACGTTATACATCGTACATCAGCAGAAAAGTCAATGAAAATGATCGCATAGTGGGTATCTCCAAGTTAAGACAGAAGCAATAAGACTAAAAAAACAATGGTTCAACAAGGATCAAAAGGATCAAAAGGACTAGCCCAGGTAAACACCACTGGCAAAAGTACGTACGTAGCCTTGCGTGTCAAGATCCGTGGCGTGGCACTTAATTGACCTCCGGCTGGCAATAGAATCCTGGCAAATAAACACCCGTATCATTCAGCCAGATGAGCAAGGGGTAATCGCAAGCCAATCTTGAGCAAAGCTCATCGCAGCTTTGCCGCGGCACCTGAGCAAGAGCTCGTCGATTATACGGAACGTAATATCACCTCGTCGTCGCGCGTGGGGCGGGGTCCAGTTTCATTTACGGCGCTCCCTCGCCATGTAATGATTTTCTTTGGGTTGCTCTTCGCGCGTCTTGGCTCCCAGGTGCACGCTACGTCTGTCTGGCTGGACCCAGCTTTGCCTCGTCCCAGCTAATGACGAAAGCATCGAATGGGTGACCGGCACATTCGCCATGCTCATCACTCGGTGGCTTGCGTCCCGTGTTGAAAGAGGAGGAAGAGAGGGGCTGCGCTGCTTCTCCTCTTCCTCATAGCACTTCCCAGCTACCATGCGCGCCCGCTCACTGTCTTCCAATCGGAGGGACGCAAGCCAGCCTTCATTCTCGTTCTCCTTGTATTCCTCCTCCACGCTGCTTTCGGATAAAACTTCGTTGCTGTCGTCATCTTCTACCGTAGCAACGGGAGACCGCCACTGGTGGTGGTGTGGGGTGTTCAGGGCAGGGTTCTCGATCCTGATGTTCAGATTCATGGTGTTACCGCCCGATTGCGGTTGCCCGGTGGTATTGCTGGTTTGCGGCGCTGTTTGGGAGTTGCTGCCCTGAATACCGATTGGGAGCGAGCCTAGCTCAGCGCGCAGAACGTCCCCTGGGACTGCCGCGGCTGAGAAGGAAGTGCCGTTGCTTGAGAGCAGGTTGGCCGGGTTGAAACCCCACCCGGCTTGGTACCCTTGGTTTCCTTGGGACCCGGGTGAATAGCCGTTAAACTGGGTTGAGTTACTGGCTGGGATCTCGATCTAGATTGTGAGTCAGTTTTTCTTCGTACATTTCATTCAGCTCGATTCGAACTGATTGCTCTCCCTTGGAATCGAGACAACTTACACTCCGCGAGTGATGACGACCTGGCATTGCCATGTAATCTTCAAACGCACTTTTCAATCCAGCAAAATTGAACCCGCGGCCAGGGATAGCAGGGGTAAAACGCTGGCCTATCTCTTTGTTAAAATCGACATGATTTCGTCTGATGGGTTGGTATGCGGGCAAAGCAAGCATCCAATTTGGGTAGCTCCCCACTCGTGATTGAAGGACAGGCTCGATATTGATGTCCAAAGAAACCTTACTGTCCACGGCTGGTTTTTGGACGAGCATGACAAAGGTGAACTCCCGAGGAAGGCCGGTGCGGTCAAGACTATTTTCCTCTAAGGACCAGACGACTTCCCCGGACTCTATATCGAAGGCGCGCCCGCGAGGGCTTTTCCGGGTGCGAGCAGAGCCCTGGATGCGCATCATTTCATAGCGGTTGTAGCGGCCGTTCAGACCGCCGGAAGGTATTATGCTCGCGTTGACGGGGCCTTCGGAGACCCCCTAATGCACCGGCGAGACTGAAGTTCCATTGCATAGTTTCTGGAGACACTGTCCCGTAGAGGAGGTGGGGTGCGTGCATGAGGAAGCGAGGTTTTAGACGCATGTCATGAGCATCAGGTAGGCAGAGTAAGTATTCTGGGTTCCATCGGAGCCGTCAGCGACAGAGGCTCGAATCACAGCAGATTTGAAGCGGTGGTTGAGAGACTGAGCTGAGTGGAAAACGAAGGTGATGCCGAGAAAGTCCACGTGGTCGGAGTCCATGTCGGACACCGCATCATTTGCGTAGAAGCCATGCTGAAGGCGCTGAACGTAGGCTGCGACATGGGCATCGCTCGGTAGCCGCCGCTCATAGATGCATGGGCGATTGATGAGAAGGCGTGGATCCGACATGTTCGGATCTGGCGGTGGAACAGGCAGGGGAACTTTGATCTCTTTTCCAGGGGGAGGGACTCGACCCGAAGTTGAGTTCGAACCCCTTCTGCCCCTCTTGGAGGTCGCCCTCGTCGGCCACATAATGAAATGATAGCACCGACTCTGACTATATGCAGTCGCTTGCTCTCCATTTGTGAAGCTGTTGGCCTATCATGCCGGGGCTCTTTGATGGATTTTGCGACCACAAGAGCTGTAGGACACAGTTAACTATTACGACTCGGGATGATATATGATTCAAACATAGGTAATGCTTATACGGCGAGCCTGCCATCAGGCGGATTGTCATGTGTGGGGCGCGTCACCTGGGCATAGTGAGGCCCGTGAGGGTGAGCAGCCATAATGACTCAAGCTTGCCTCGGCAGGCAGTAGCGTTGCAGGAACTGTTCAGTCTGCATAGCATATTGCAGTTGGCCAGAATTCTTCTAATTTCGAGAATTTGAGGGCATCTAGTGTTCCATGGAGAGATTCATGCTTGAAGCTAAAAGATGCACCGAGGCCCGTCCCGGGATATTGTTAGTCCGAGACCCATCATCAAAACGCGAAATGACCGTTGTCATCTGGTCTGGGGAACTCCGGATTTATTGAGTAGCTGATCCACTGGGTTTTGCTTTGCTTGGTGCAATAGAGCTCTCCTTACATCATATCCTAGTGGACTTGAGTATTGTTTGAGCTTTGCTGAGATCCTTGATGCTGCTCGTGTGATTTATCCCGTCATTGCTTCTTCTCGAGCATATCAAGTTCCATGCATAATTGGACTTGAGCACCACTTACAGATCTAGTTTTGCATGTCGTCAAGGTATATCAGTCGACGTACCTGTCCTTCCAGTCCTCCTAGGGGCAAATTGTCTACAAGCCTAGCGTCTGTGACGTCTTTAAACCTGTATCAATATGTTTTCACCCAGGGCAGCCCAGCTGCTTCAGCCTCTGAGAGCGAACATTGAGAACAAGTCAATCCAAAATTGCCTCCGACTTCAAGCGGTCCAGGTATATATCCCGCGAGAGGTGGCACGCTCCATATCCATGTCTACATTGACGCAGTCTCGGTCTTCAGTCCCGTTGTCAACACGGTAGGGTGATACGCATCCCCAATCTTCTATGCGAGCTAACTTAGCCTAGGAAATCATGCGCAAATACATACCTGCACTCTCCTCCTAGGGTATCAGTGCTTGTCCTGCAGAAACGCTTCTCAACTTCCAAACCACCGGAAGAACCGAATGAAGCGAACGAATCGACTACGTAGGTCTCAATCCTTAGCACTGAATATTCTCCCTTAGGTATTAATGAGAGCAGCTCTAAAATTTCCGCCCCAGCCAAACGGCTACTGTCCAAGATTCCCCTTGCTAAAAGCCATGAGAATATTTACACTATCCCTAACATTCTCACCTTCACACGACTACTGGCTGCACCGGCGGTGGGCTACCTCCTTGTCCATGAATACCATGCAGCCGCACTGGCGCTGTTCGCTTATGCAGGCATCACCGACCTTGTCGACGGATACATCGCTCGGCGATATTCGCTGCAGACGGTTGTGGGGACAATTATTGACCCCATGGCCGACAAACTACTGATGACGATTGGAGTTGCATGCTTAGCGGTGAACGGGGCTCTTCCCGGTACGTCCGCCCAGACTCCAAGTTGGCGTATGCCCAAGCAAGCTTCTGCAGCTAACCTGTCGTATAGTATGGCTAGCCGTGATCATTCTCGGCCGCGACATTGGATTGGCCATCTCTGCGATCTACTACCGGTGGATCTCTCTTCCGCCACCAAAGACCATGGCGCGGTACTGGGATTTTTCGCTTCCCTCTGCCGAAGTCAAGCCGACCGAGATCTCGAAGATCAACACTGCGCTGCAGCTGGTGTTGGTTGGTAGCGCAATTGCTTTGCCTGTGGTACCCGAGCCCATCATCAGTGCTTGGCATTTGGGTGAAGTCATGACTGGATTCCAGTGAGTTCATTCCCTTTCCCCTTTCTCTTTGTTTGCGATTTTTTGTTGGGGGACTGGCGCAGCCCGTTATAGGCAATCCAAGCGGGAAGCCTAGCACATACGACCACAGGGTGTGGAGAACAGGGCTTCCCGTCCGCTCAGCCGTACTTAAGCCACACGCCGGTCAGTTAGTAGTATGGTGGGTGACCACATGCGAATCCTGACTGTTGTATGTTTTTGTACATTTTGCCTCCTTTTTTTTTTTATTCCCAACTGCTTTCTTTCGTTTTTCCGATTGCATGCCTTTTCCTATTTTGATATCTTTCCAATCCCGAGACTAACATTGGAATAGGTACCTTGTTGCTGGCACTACTATCTGGTCGGGCCTGAGCTACGTCTTCTCCAACAATGCGGTGAAGATCCTCAGCAAAGAGGAAGTCCAGAAGCGGATCGCTGCTGCAGCCGCCAAACGCAAGCACTGAAGACATTTGCATCCACCCTGTATATTATTTTTGCATTAGGCGATCTATCGTCCTGTATTAGAATCCATATGTTTTATTTCCGTTGCTCAAAGGTCTCCGGTTCTTCCTTTGTGGTGCTATGCCCGTTGCAACATGTCTGCATAGGGCCTTATGAGGAGAAATCATGTTGGTGTGTTGGGAGAGCAGATCTTCCAGGGTGATCCCGTTTGCGATCAGCTTTCCATGTGTTTCCAACGGTTGCTTGGCTCGGCAGATCACATGTACCTGCGACTGCGTAGATGCATGAGGCCCGTGCTTTTTGCCTCCAAGGTGGGGCTCAGTTATCGTAGGTTCGGTTTCCAAGGTTATACTGTGCTGCATCTCGGGACTTGGAACTCCCAGAACTCCAGGACGGATTCAACATCAATTACTGATGCCACACTCAAGGCACAGCCTTGGAGCAATAGTTATCGGCGTACGCCTTCTATGACCCAAGGGCTGCCCTGGACGAGCCAATGCATGGTAATACGCACACGCAGCTTAGGTGCATACAGATCGAGTACCGAGGGCGAGGTCGCATCGGAGAGATCTATAGAATCTTGCCGAAGTTTTTTTGACTCGTGATGGGGCCGGTTTGGGCCGGGGCTCGACCGACATTACTCGGGGGAGCGAAGAACCCACGGAATATGTATTCCTCTCTGCAAGATTACAGAGCGGCCATGGGGATAGGGGCCCACTGCCTCCTCTCCCATATACCGACTGGATAAGCTCCCACTTTTATCGCCCAATGGGGTTCCCGATAGGAATTCGATATTCCGTGAAGGGACCCATCTCTGGACCCAATCGCATCCTTGATGTTAGTCCAAGGGCCTTCGACTGGTCAGCGGCTAAACGCCGGGTCTAACTCCGAAGGTCGGTTGGTGGAAACGGAAATAAAAATGGAAAAGAAAAATCTCTGATTCGGTTAGGCCCACCTTGACTCCTCTTGACTCATGGATCCACCCAAGCTCATCCCAGTTTCCTACGTGTATGTCATTCTTCTGTTTGCAGGTTTCGCTGTGTTGGGGTCCATCAAAGGCCCATTTCGGCTATACGCAGCCTCCTTCGCTGCGTAATTGGGTCCGCTGCTCTTACAAATCAACCTACCGGAGTTAAGGATACCTGAACTCTAGCGCATCTTACGCATATAGGACGCCCCAAAAATTCACCCAAGGTCTGTTAGTGCAGGTTCTTATAGTGACGGCGTCCCGAGGATCGCGTTTCTCTCTAGTTTCTTCCTAATTGCCTCCACCTCTCCGTTGTTTCGACTTCGCTTCTGTGTTTCCTGTACATATCTCTCTCCGCAAATATTAACCTGGCAATCTCCCCCATTGTACTCGCAAAGTAGATCGAGAGACCCCGCCTCCCCCGCGGAGATGGACGACCCCCATCCAGCGCGGGAAGCGCAAACAGAACGTCATCACTCCGAGCAAAGTAACTACCACACATCCGGGGTCGAGACAGAAGCACATGCTCAAGAATCGCATGTCACGCAGTCTGATTTGACCGCGGAGCCCTCCAGCCCTCTGGATTCGGAAGAGACTCAGCTTGAGCAAGCTCACAATCATGAGGTCGCCGAGCCGCTCACCTCCGCCTCAACCGCCAGTTCGCGCGAGAGCGGGGAGGGCCGTTGGGGCGAGCACGATGCCGGCGAGCCCGTCTCGCGGTCCAAGGCGATGGAGGATCTGGAGGAAATGCGCCGTGAATTGACTCTACACCGCACCCGATCCGCCGCCGCCAGGAGCACGAAGAGTGCCCGTCGCTGGAAATCACAGGCGAGTCGCCATGATGAGGAAAAAGGCGACGAAGATGAGTCCTCCACCGAGGCGGAGAGCAATTTTGACTTGAGTGATTTCCTGGTGAGTGGCCACTTGGAACGCCGCACTACGGCTGGTGAGCCCGCGAAACGAGTGGGCGTTGTCTTCAAGAACTTGACCGTACAGGGAGTGCAGACTGGCGCTACCTTCGTGCGCACCCTGCCCCAGGCGGTCATAGGAACATTCGGTCCTGATCTGTATAAAATTGTGTGTCAATTTGTGCCGCAGTTGCGGTTTGGCAAGAAGCCGCCCATCCGGAACCTGATCAGTGACTTCAATGGCACGGTGCGCGAAGGCGAGATGATGCTGGTGCTGGGTCGCCCGGGGGCTGGATGTTCCACCTTCCTCAAGGCCATAGCTAATGACCGTTCTTCCTTTGCGGGCGTCCTGGGTGAGGTCAGCTATGGTGGGATCTCCGCGGAAGAGCAGAACAAGCACTTCCGTGGTGAAGTCAACTATAACCCGGAGGATGATCAGCACTTCCCCGCCCTCACCGTTTGGCAGACTCTCAAGTTCTCTCTCATGAACAAGACCCGGAAGCATGACCGGGCGAGTATTCCGATCATCATCGATGCTCTTCTGAAGATGTTCGGCATCGGCCACACCAGGAATACTCTGGTCGGGAACGAATATGTTCGTGGTGTGTCCGGTGGTGAGCGGAAACGTGTGAGCATCGCTGAGACTCTGGCGACCAAGTCCACCGTGGTCTGCTGGGACAACTCGACCCGTGGTCTGGATGCCAGTACTGCTCTCGACTATGCCAAGTCTTTGCGTATCATGACGGATGTCAGCAAGCGTACCACTCTGGTCACTCTTTACCAAGCCGGAGAAAGTATTTATGAGCTGATGGATAAGGTCTTGGTGATTGATGCCGGGCGTATGCTGTATCAAGGCCCTGCCAACGAGGCTCGCCAGTACTTTGTTGATCTCGGATTCCACTGCCCAGCGCAGTCAACCACTGCTGATTTCTTGACTTCGCTCTGCGATCCCAATGCCCGTGAATTCCAGCCTGGTCGCGAGGCTTCGACCCCGAAGACCGCAGAAGAGCTGGAGAAGGTTTTCAAGAACAGTGTCGCCTACAGGCGCATCTTGGATGACGTCGCTCAATACGAGCAGCGCCTCGATGAGACCGGCCGAGAAGATACTGAGCGCTTCCAGAAGACCGTGGCGCAATCGAAGAGCAAGACAGTTTCCAAGAAGTCTCCGTACACCGTGTCTCTGGCGAAACAGGTTGCTGCCTGTGTTCGCCGCGAATTCTGGTTGATGTGGGGCGACAAGACCTCACTTTACACGAAATACTTCATCATCGTGTCCAACTCTCTAATCGTCTCGTCTCTGTTCTACGGTGAATCTTTGGATACCAGCGGCGCCTTCCCGCGTGGCGGTGCCCTCTTCTTTGCTATTCTGTTCCTCGGTTGGTTGCAATTGACTGAGCTGATGCCGGCTGTTTCTGGTCGAACTATCGTTCAGCGACATAAGGGTTATGCTTTCTACCGTCCGTCTGCGGTCTCAATCGCCCGGGTGGTGGTGGATTTTCCGGCTATCTTCTGTATGGTTGTTCCGTTCAGTGTTGTCGTATACTTCATGACGGGCTTGGACGTTACGGTCTCGAAGTTCTTCATCTTCTTCCTGTTCGTTTACACCAATACGTTCGCGATCACTTCGCTTTACCGCATGTTCGCCTCGCTCTCTCCGACAATCGACGACGCTGTCCGGTTTTCTGGAATTGCCCTCAACTTGCTGGTTATCTTCGTCGGTTATGTGATTCCTAAGCCGTCCTTGATTCACCATTCGATATGGTTCGGATGGATTTTCTATATCAATCCGATTTCATACAGTTACGAGGCTGTCTTGACGAACGAATTCGCCGGCCGTACCATGCAGTGTTCGCCATCACAGCTCTTCCACAAGGTCCGAACGCTGTCAGTGGACATCAATCTTGTACGTTGACAGGTTCGGGCTTGAATCAAATAGCAATCCCTGGTTCTCAGTACTTGGAGAGCAACTTCGAGTTCACACGCTCACACCTGTGGCGCAACTTTGGTGTCGTGATCGCTTTCACCGTTCTCTACCTCCTTGTCACTGTCTGGGCTGCCGAATTCCTGTCCTTCGTCGGAGGCGGCGATGGCGCATTGGTTTTCAAGAAGTCCAAGCGCTCGAAGGCCATTGCTTCGCAAGGCAAGACGAACGATGAGGAGAAGGTAGGACAGTCAGCTGATGACGCTGCCATCTCCCGGGGCGAGGCTACTACTGCTCCCGCTGCCGATGCTGCTTTCAACCGTTTGTCTTCGAGCGAGCGCTGCTTCACCTGGTCTGATGTTGAATATACTGTCCCCTACGGTGGTGGAACCCGGCAGCTTTTGAACAAGGTGAATGGATACGCCAAGCCTGGACTCATGATCGCCCTCATGGGTGCCTCGGGTGCCGGAAAGACCACACTGCTCAACACCTTGGCCCAGCGCCAGAAAATGGGTGTTGTCAAGGGTGATATGCTCGTTGACGGCCATCCTCTTGGTACTGATTTCCAGCGTGGGACTGGATTCTGTGAGCAAATGGATTTGCACGACGGCAGTTCCACTATTCGCGAAGCTCTGGAGTTCTCGGCCCTTCTCCGTCAAGACCGAAATATCCCGCATGATGAGAAGATTGCTTACGTTGATCGGATTATTGACCTGCTCGAACTGGAAGAGATTCAAGATGCTCTTATCGGCTCTTTGAACGTTGAGCAGAAGAAACGTGTTACTATCGGTGTCGAATTGGCTGCTAAGCCTAGTCTGTTGCTGTTCCTTGACGAGCCAACCAGTGGTCTTGACAGCCAGGCTGCATTCTCCATTGTTCGATTCTTGCGGAAGCTGTCCGACGCTGGGCAGGCTATTGTTTGCACTATTCACCAGCCTTCCTCGATGTTGGTTCAACAATTCGACATGATTCTGGCCCTTAACCCTGGTGGCAACACCTTCTACTTTGGTCCGGTTGGCAAGGACGGCTCCGCTGTCATCAAGTACTTTGCCGACCGTGGTTTCGTCTGCCCGCCTTCGAAAAACGTGGCTGAGTTTATCCTGGAGACGGCCGCGAAGGGTACCGGGAAGGATGGCGCGCGTGTCGACTGGAATGAAGAATGGCGCAACTCGGAGCAGAACCGCGCCGTTCTTGACGAAATCGAACGGATCAAAACTGAGCGCAGCAAGATCCCCGTGGAAGAGTCTGGAGACGCAGTGCACGAGTTTGCCGCCCCAACTATCCTGCAGACCATTCTCCTGACCAAGCGTCTCTTCCTGCAGTACTGGCGCGATCCTTCATATTACTATGGAAAAATATTTACCAGTGTCATCATGGGCATCTTCAATGGTTTCACTTTCTGGCAACTGCCGAGCACAATTTCCAGTATGCAAAACCGGATGTTCTCGGCCTTCCTGATCATCATGCTTCCCCCGGTCATCGTCAACTCCGTTGTCCCCAAGTTCTACACCAACCGCTCCCTCTGGGAATTCCGCGAGTATCCCTCCCGTATCTACGGCTGGGTCGCCTTCTGCACAGCCAACGTCGTCTGCGAAATCCCCGCCGCCATCGTCACTTCGGTCATCTACTACTTGCTATGGTACTTCCCTGCCGGCCTCCCATATGATTCCTCCGCGGCCGGCTACGTGTTCCTGATGTCGATGCTATTTTTCCTTTTCATGGCATCCTGGGGTCAATGGATCACCGCCTTCGCGCCATCCTTCACCGTTATCTCCAACACCCTGCCCTTCTTCTTCACCATGGTCTCTCTTTTCAACGGTATCGTTCGTCCGTACTCTGACTACCCCGTCTTCTGGAAATACTGGATGTACTACGTCAACCCTATCACCTGGTGGCTCCGCGGCGTGCTCTCTGCAACCCTGCCTTCTGTCAACCCTATCCGCTGTGCCGCGGATGAAACCACCCGCGTCACCCCTCCACCCGGCCAGTCCTGTGCCGAGTACGCGGGCAACTACATCAAAGAGATTGGTGCTGGGTACCTGATGAGCTCGTCCCAACAGGGAGTCTGCGAATACTGCCCCTATAAGAACGGAACGGAGTACATGGCCACTCTGAACGTGCACCCCGACGACAAATGGCACTGCTTCGGCATCTTCTTGGCCTACGTCATCATTAATTGGATCCTGGTCTACTTCCTGATCTACACTGTTCGCGTTCGCGGCTGGACCTTCGGGTTTGGCCCGCTCTTTGGACTTTTTGGCTTGATGATCGAGCGCGTGAAGGGCCTTTTCAAGAAGAAGGAAGCACAACCGTGATTTGGAGTCTAGGCTACTAGGGGGCTTCCAATCTCACATATCGACTGCGGTATGGTATGTCTGTCTAAAATGGCCCAGAATGGGGACCTATCTCGGTATTTAATAAGCATTTACATGGAGCGTGCAAGGCCGTCGACGAGTGATGGAGTAGATTGTCAACAGCTCTTGATTTCCTGTTAATCCTTTTCTCTTTTTTTTTTGCCTGTCTCGGTCTAGAACGGCGGAGGTCTATAGATTAGAACAAAGAAGGAAGTTCATAATCCAATATACAAAGTCTCAATAGATCCAGCCGTGGTTCCTACTCGTACCAGTAGCACTTGAGCGTGGACCCAGTTCGAAGAAGCTTGAACTCCTACTGGTATTATTAGTGGAAAACTTCAAGCTGAGTCCTCATTCCGAAATACTCATTTATTGAGCCTATCTTCCTCTCCTTCGTGCTCCAAATCAATGTGATCGGATGAATCCAACGACAGCGCTTCAAACCTCCGTCGAGGACTCATCGATATACAGAACTTAGGGGTTAGTATAACTGACTCCCTGATCCCAGTGGGGTGAAGACCGCAAACAATGACTCCATTCTATCAGCATCGCCCCAATACCAGCCGAGTCACTTTGACTAGCGTAGATGTCAACGCCCGCGGTCACAGGGGTTTCCAGGGTCCAGTCGGAGCCCTGAGGCCTGATCTTTGCATTCCGGCACCTCGACTCGGATAAATACGCCTGGCATCGAACGCTGTATGTCTGGAAAAGCCTGTGTAAAGTTTCGCTGGTTTTCTTGCTGATATGTGCTGCGGCGTCCCCGTGATATATTTTGAACGGCGACCCGTCGCGAATTACTTCCCGAGGATGAGAACGTAAGTAGATCCTAATTCCAAGTGTCGGCATTGTGAGGTTGCGCTTTGACTCTGGCGAGCTTCGCCATGTTAGCAGGTAATCGAGTTCCTTTTCTTTTTGTTTTGCAGGATGACTTACAGTCCCTAAGGAGAATTTCCTCGTCGGCGATAATCCTTAGCGAAGGGGGAGGCATTTTGAAGTCACACTGGGCCTTTCGAGGCCCAGTTCCTCTGGCGACTGGAGATGGAATCGGACAATGCCATCTCGGAAGTCAGCATTCTCGATTTGGCGGAAAGGGTGGAAGGATTGACATATCGACTGGGGCGTTATGTTCGACTGATGTTCAACTGGGGAGAGGGGGATATGTTCAAGTTTAATCCAAATATATTCCTTTGAGCCCCATTGGGTTCCTTGGGCCCGCCTAGGGGAGATACGAGGCTGATGCGAGAGGGCGGTTCACGACGAGGATCGTCTGCCTGCAGAGCCGCAAGCCTCGTTTGTCCCGTCAAGGGCAGATTCGAGAATGACTCGGAAACAACATGAGATCTCATCCACTCTGTCGTGTTTGCTAAAAACGATTACCGCCCCAGAAACTATAGTAGATACGTGAAATAGTGCACAGGAATTACATTTTGATTCCGAGAATAAACCCCGGAGGGATATGATACAGGAGATTCAATATCTTACAAAGGACAGCCAGCTAGGTTATTTTGGCTCCAGTAAGCCATTCTCTTCAGCCTTCCGAATGGCCTCCGCAAACAACTCCTTGCAAGGGACACGACTCCCCAGTCGCGCACAAAGCAAGAAAGCACCACTGAGTTTTCGGTGCAAGCTATACGTCTCCTCAGGAGGCGGGGAGAGACGCTCACGAATCATCAATGGGATGAAAGCACGAACTCGGTCAGTAATAGTCTGATTTTGAAAGTCGTAGACATCAGGAGAGGAGAGCATGAAGGGCTCGGCAATAGTGACGAGGGACGAGACGTGTGCATCCACCATCGCCTTGGACTCATGACCCGTCAGATATCCTAGTTTGAGGGAGAGATCTTGACAGGCAGCACGGTCGTTGCGACTGGCGGCGACAAGAGTGCGCACGTAGGTGGAGATGAATTCAATGGGGTACTCGCGAGAAGCTCCGAAATCAAGGAGTTCCAGGCGGTTGGTGCGGGCGTTGTAAAGAAAGTTGGTCCAGTTGGGGTCTGTTTGCATGTAATGGAACTCGGCAATCTCGCGGAGACAGAGACGCATGATCTGCGTGCCGATCCAGTCCCGTTGCTCTTGAGAGAAATCTTGGATCTTGGTGACGGCGACGCCCTCCAGCATCTCCATGGTCAGCACCTGTTCGCCCGAGGCTTCGGGGATGATCTCAGGGACAACAAAGACGGGATCATCACGAAGGAGCTGGCGGAAGCGAGCTGCGCATTCGGCTTCACGGAGATAGTCACATTCCCAAGCCAGTTCAACCCGGGCATTCGCAATGGTCTTGTCGAGGTACAAGCCCCGTGGGAGCAGGCGGGAGGCTGTGAGGAGAATAGAGAGGTTGTTGAGATCGGAGTCAATCGAATCCGCTACGCCGGGATACTGGACCTTCACAGCGACAGGCTTGCCTGTTTTTTTGAGAACAGCAGAGTGGACTTGGCCGATAGAAGCTGCTGCCATAGGAATTTCGTCAAACGAGGAAAACAGGTCGCGCCATTTAGGTCCAAGGTTGTCGGTCAGAACTTTGTCTCGCTGCGAAGCTGGCATGTAATCAGCACGATCCTGCACACGTTGTAGGACCTGCTGGATAGGCTCTGGTAGCATATTCGAGTCTGAAACCACTATTAGCAGCATGAAGCCGACCGGGATCAAGAGGTAATACCTTGGATGCTCAGCATTTGGCCTAGCTTGAGGGCAGCACCTCGCATCTTTGACAACTTAGCAACCATCCGCTCCATGTTGCCCGCGCTGAACATGACCGAGCCGGTATTTTCACCCCCCGCGGCCCGACGAACAGTCTCGGAAACAGCACCAAATGCCATGGACGTTCCGAGGCCTGCATATTGCCACAATCGACCAAACCTGGATGACGGAACGCGCGATTCCAACATCTGGTATGGCACTTCTGCGGTGGAGACTGCCTCCTGGGCAACACTGGCGCCCAGCTTCTCCATCTCTGCCTCTGACGAAACAGCCTCAGGTTTAGAGATTGATGTTGTGGTCGTACTGGTTGGATCCGTCCTCTTCTCTGCTGGAATCCAATCTCTTTTCGGTATCGGTTTCCCTGAAAGCGCCCGCGACACCCTCGGGCTATGGAACAGCCCCTGCAGGAGTTCTTCTGGGATCTCTTCCTTTGCAGGCGTAGCTTGGCGCTCGGGACCAGCAGCCGCGTGGAAGACATCCGCATTCAGCCCATCGCCTCCTCCAGCTTGAACCGTCCCAGTGGACTCCGGAACTTTGATTTGAGGCGACGCAGATGGATTCGATACCGTCTGAATTGAAGGTTCATAGAAGACCTCTTGTTGTGGACTGATATTCAATCCTTCTGGCTTCTCATTTCCACTATACTGTGCAGCCGCAGCGGGGACCTGGAATTGCGCCTCATGTTGTGCTGTACCACTGGCCGTGGGGCCAGAGGCGGGAGCTTCCGAGCTCGACGCCGGTGCAGGTGGTTTATTTGATGCCGGAGGGGATGCAGTCGGTGGCGAATCATTGAATCGGCGAGCTAAAGCAGCAGCGGCTTGCGCGGTAAGAATCAGCCCGTCGGTCCGCTCCTTGATGCCCTTGGTCAGCGAAGAGGTCCGAGTGTAGACGTCGAGCTGGTGCTTGCGGATCGCAAAGTGCTTTGCGGCGACCGTCTTGGAGACATTGAGTAATTGGATGGCGTCCAGCAGACGCCGGCCAGACATGATTGGAGTCAAGAAGAGGGAGCTAGGAACATCGGGCAAGATCGGTGGTGTTTAGGCCCTCGAGTAATAGAATTGGATAAAACGGACAGTCATCGCTCTCCGATAGCGAATGCACCGGCCGCCTCCGACGTCCCGCTTTCTTTCTGCCGATCTCCATGTAAAACCGTCTTATCGCCCTTTCTCTTCCTTCCCCAGAAGCAACCATGCTGGATATGCTGAAGACCCCAGAAAAGGATCTCCAGCTGGAGATTGCGCAGCTCGAGGCTCGTCTTGGAGATCTGCGCTCGCAATTGCACGTCAACTACACCACCCCTCTATCTTCACACCTCGAGACCAAATCGCCATGGACCATGTCGTCAGGTAAATTTTAATATCACTCAAGGAGGATAGTGATATATTAACAGATCTCATTCAGAACTATATAAGAATAATGATAGCTATAATACTTTCCAATCGACCGCCCTCCGCGCCTCACCCCTCCACGCCCTCCTCCTGCTCTCCGACTCTGCCCTGCCATTGGGCTCATTTGCATACTCCAGCGGGCTGGAGTCATATCTCGCACATAATAAACCACTTCGCACATCCCCCTCCGCCGCCTTCCACCGCTTCCTCAAGCTCTCCATCGCCTCTATTGCAAGCACATCCTTACCGTATGTACTAGCCGGCTACCGGCACCCAGAGACTCTAGAAACGCTCGATAACGATCTCGACGCCTCAACGCCCTGTATTGTCGCTCAGCGCGCAAGCGTTGCCCAAGGCCGAGCCTTAATAGGCGTGTGGGAGCGGGCGTTCCGGGCGAGCTTCGCAGCACCCGGACCGAGCACCGACGCGGGAGCCCGGGTTGCGGCTGGCGCTATCGACGATTTCGCGGATGCGTTGAAGTCAAATCTAGAGGTGGAAGAAGAATATGATACGGTGCCCAAGGGCCATTTTGCTCCGCTGTGGGGCGTTGTCTGCAGGGCCATGGGCTTGGATCTGCAGCAGACTGCTTATATCTTTGTTTTGAACCATGCGAAGGCAGTTCTCAGTGCTGCGGTGCGGGCGTCTGTGATGGGACCGTACCAAGCGCAGAATATCTTGGCGAGCCAAAGCCTGCAGGATACAATGATGGGTAGGATCAAGCGGGAGTGGGATACGCAGGTAGAAGAGGCTGGGCAGGTGGTTCCGGCGCTAGATCTTTGGGTTGGTCGCCACGAGCTTCTGTATAGTCGGATCTTTAATTCATAGGACATGACATAGAGAAGGGCATCTAGACTGCATTGCATTTCTCGTAGCGATGATATCATCCCGTCCGTCTCGGTAACTTGGTCATCCCCCTTAGCGGAAGTTGGGAGTTCAAGCCAAGGGGGAAAACGCAATAGGGCCCCTCGACGACAGAGACTGAATCGTCCGCTCGGCATTCCAGCACCATCCCAGCGCCTTGAAGGGAAGGGACGGGTGGAGGAGAAAAAAAAAAGAACATGAATCCACCTCCTAAATAACCATGTGATACCCCCCCCCAAAAAATCCCCTTAATTGCAACGCAAATCATCGAAACGCCGACCCCGAGGGAGATCTGAGAAGCCAGCCTCCAAACACCGCACCATGAACCGATCCGAATGACCACTGACAATGGTAAAAGGGTAAAAGAGTAAAACACACCGCAAGCACTAATAAAAGAGTTTTTAGAAAGCAAGAGACTTATTGTACACGAAAAGAAGTGGGGGAGAAACGAGCCACATCAGAGGGTAATGTGCATGTGGTCATTGCTTCCGAATGATTTGTTGCAGTTAGGGCATTTGCGAGAACGAGACGTAAGTCGCTCTTCCACACAGTCAAAGCAGAAGACATGCCCACAAGTCTTGATGACGGTGTTCTTGAATTTGAGGCGGCAGACGGTGCAGATGGCAAGAGACTAAAAGGAATGGTTAGATCTGAATTATGGATAACGCTATAGAGTCTTAGACTTACCCGCAGGCCTTCATACTCCGCAGAGTTGTTGCCGAGGCTCTTGGATTTCCAGTTCTCTAGACTCTTCTTGGTATCAGAGAGGGTCTGCTTGAGACCGACAATTTCTGTTTCTGCCTGTCTCAGCGCAGAAGAAGTGTTGCCCAAAGTCGTATCCTTGGAAACTGAGAGAGCCTTGAGTTCGGCGACTTGATTCTTGAGACCATCAGTGAGGATGGTGCTCTCAGCCAACTGCTGTTGGCTCATTCGATACTTGTCTTGGATTGCCGTAAGTGCTTCCTTGGCCTCGCTGGTCTGTTTTTCGAGGTTAGACACCAAGGAACGAGCAACAGACTCTGAGTGTTTCAGCTGAGAGATGATATCGGACGTAGAAGAGCTTTGCATGCGAAGGGTGCGGATTTCGGCATCACGTGTCTCCTTCGTCTTCATTGCTGCAAAATACTTCTGGTCCGCCTTGGACTTTTCTGCTGTCAAGCGTGAGATCTTTTCCTCAAGAGCGCCAAAATCAAGCACCTTCTGGGAAGCCAGCTTGGAGAACTTCATATATGCAGCTTGCATCGAGGTTAGTTCGGTACTGAGCATAGCATATTGACGTTCAAGGTTGGCGTGTTTGGACCGCAATTTTTCGAGGGGCATATCCTCCACCACGACCTCTGCATCCGACCCCTCAATTTGTAAGCGCAGCCTCGCCGTCTCTGATTCAAGAGCTGCGATCTTGGCCTCCCTCGCATCTGCCAACTCCTGCACCTTGGCACTCAATGTCTTCTCCTGACTCTCTGCGGACTTGCGCATTTGCTGGTCCGCCAACAGCTCATCACGAGCATTCCGGATACGTGCAAGGTCCGTCTCCAGCCGCACCAGCTGCGATTCTTTCTCACGGACAGCACTTTGTGTCTCGTCATCAATCTGGATTCGGTATGCAGTTCTTTCCGCTCGGTACTTCTCCGCCTCCTCACGCAGCTTGATATTTGTAGCTTCCAGGTGGTTGACACGCTTGACAACATCATCGTATTGGGATCGGAGTTGCTTGAAAAGGTCGGTGTGGGCATAATCTTCATCATTCAACTTGGAATTCTGTGAAGCTGACAGTCAGACATTGCAACAGTGCCATGAAAAGGAACAAACACACCTTGATCTTAATCTCCGTGATTTGACTAAGCAATCTAGAATTCTCCGCCTCCAACTTCTGCAATTGTTCCTTCTGTTTCTCCGAGATGGCACTGAGTTTGTTGTTTGTTTCTTCGAGCTCATTGGCGCGCTCGCCGATAGGAGTTGATCCACCGTTTGCAGGTGATGAATCCTCACGCTTCCCATCACCTTCGGGACCACTCTGCAACAGGGCGCCTGACTGGTACTGCCTCTCTAGCCTGGCAACAGTCAAGCTCTTAGCGCGGTCGAGTTTGCGCTCGGCCATCATGTACCGCAGGGAAGCCGATTCAAGGCTCTCCTCAAGCTGCTGCTTCTCAGACAGGGTTTTCTCGAGCTTAGCAATTGTGACCTTCTCATCAGCAAGCTTCTTCGCCAGCTGACTATGGAGGTCGTTGATATCAGGCGAAACATTGGCGGCTTTGGCGGCTTCCAGCCCGGAAATGACCTCGCGAATGTATTTTGATCGAACTCTCAAATGCGCCTCGAATTCAGAAACATCTTGGAACTGTAGAGAGCTCTTGAAGGGGGTTTCTAACATGTCGTCAGTATGCGGGGATCCTTATATGTCTTGGCGGGGCAGAGCACTGACCTTGGGTGGTTCCTTGAGCAGGGCCTAATAAGAGCTTCACTTCATCGACCAACTAACAAAGACAGGGTCAGAATCTCATTTCTTTCATCCCAACTTTCCTTTCGCCTGACCATATTTCGAACTTACTTGGGTGAACCACGCATCGATAGCACGAAGATGGGCATCATGGTGCTCACTGGCTTGCTTCGCATCACTCAGACGGGCCTCTAGGTTGGACTTTTCCCGCTTGTATTCGTGCATCTGTCGCAGAATCGCATCTTTTTGGATACGCTGGTAAGGGGGGACGTGTCAGTATCGTGCCACCGAGATGTTACCTCCCATGGCTTGTGATTCATCGCAAATCGCGTTAGAAAAGACGTGGAAAACTTACCTCAAGATCATCTTTCCAAGGCATGTCAGTGTCCGGGTGAGGCTTGGCCCCGCCATTTGCGGTGGTAGCCTGTTTCTTCGATGGTGGGGCTGAATCGGTGTTATCCACCGCAGGTCGCTTCCGTTCGTCCATCTTGACGAGACCGGCTTCAGAAGACACAAGGGGGGACTCGGCGGCCGGCATCAGAGGCTAAAACTGTCATGGGAAGGGAAGGGGTCTCGATCCACCAAGCCTGAACCCAAGTCTGCGACGACCACGCCTGAGAATCAAAAGATCCAGAAGAGATTCAGTAACAATGACTTAGAAGAATTATAAACTTAACAAGCAGGCGTGGCGCGCGGAGGGCGTAGGAAAGGGGGCCGTTGGACAGTAATCCAAGATCGAAGGAGATTAAAGACAGGAGGATAATTTCAAGAGGCTTAGCGCCCCCGTTACCGCCTCATGGCACGTGACTTGCCCACTTCCCCGGCACGGAACTTTTCTACCATTCCATGTACCCCACCCAACCTCTCAAACCTAGTGCAACCATGACCGAAGATTAAAATGCGAGCCTTTTCGAGCACAGTCAGTAAGTTTTGAAAAACACGCCTGTTCCTGTGAGTGGTTTTGCTGATCTGAATTTTCAAGATAAATCGGGGAAGAAATTCGCCCCGAAAGCGCCCGTCCGCCGCCAAGCGCCAGCCGCGCCGCGACGGGGCAGTACAGCATCGCAAACACAAAAGGAAGGGGGAATGTTTCAGGAGCAGCCTCAGAAGTGCCTGTATCGGCATCGCCGGTCCGGGACCAGCAAACTCTCAAGGAAGGGACGACAGCTTCAACTGAGAACCTACCTGTGACTGAGCCGCAACCAGTAGCAGAGCCGCATTCACAAAAGTCAACACCGTCTGTGCAAAAGCAACCAGCAGCTACCCCAATACCTCGCTGGGCTCCTAAACAAAAAGAACCAGTTCCTGTACGAGTGCCTGCCTCGACGAAGTTCCCCGCTGCCAAATCCAGCCCACCGACCGTCATCTCCACCCCGCTACCTGACAACCCAACTTCTCCTCGAACTCTACCGGTAGAGCCCACTGTTATACCTTCGATTGAAAAAGGCATCGAGCAATCTGTAGCAAGTGATGTTAATCCGGAACAAGTCTCCATTCCTACGCCCATAACTGCCCCCCCAGCTCCTACAGCATCTACACAAGAGTCTCGTACGACTAAACGTGATGCACCTACGGCGACTGAACGGCCCGGGAAACGAGCAAAGAAAACTTCTGAGATTACGCGATCGAAGGAATGGGCGCAATGGCAGGCACCTCTCACACCGGCATCACAAAATGTGACCTCTGCGGGGGAGACAAGCGAGACGCCCCGAGACTCAGTTGCATCTTCGTCAGCGGTATCGTCCACGCCAGAGCCACGCCGCGCGTCGACGGCCAGCAAAAAGCGCAAACCCTCGAAAGCCGCTGTTGACGGAGACGGGTCCGAGAAGAAAAAGACGCGTCGCCGCCGCCGAGAACCGACACCCGAAGGAGCCGAAACGGTGGAGATCCTCCCCAATGTCATCAAGATGTCTGAACTCTGCAAAGACTTGAAGACCGGCAAGAAATCACAACGCGAGGCAGATATCCGCAAATGGGAAGCAGAGCAGCAAGAGAAGAAGCATATGACTCAAGAGAATGGAAATGGGGCCGGGACGCCAAAGAAATCGAACGGTGCCACGGCCGAACCAGAGCCGAATGCATCTGCAGATAAAATAGACAAGGCCTTATCTTCTGCTGAACCAACTAAGCAATCCGGACCCGTGATGCGCATTGTCAACGGCGAGATTGTGCTGGACGCTTCATCGCTGGAGGTGGATCGTCACGCGGACGCTGCGAGGGACGTCGGTGAGCTGGAATCCGTCGAAGAGAATCAATTTTCTCGACGGGTCAACCAGTCCACATGGGGGAAACGATCGAAGACAGAAGCCTGGGATGAAGAACGCACGGATCTCTTCTACCGAGGCCTCCGGATGTTTGGAACCGACTTCATGGTCATTTCCAAGATGTTCCCCGGCCGTTCTCGGCACCAGATCAAACTCAAGTTCAATAATGAAGAGCGCAAGGATCCACAGCGTATCAAAGATACCCTGATGGGTCCTCGTGAAATTATTGACATCGAGACCTATTCGGAAATGACCAATGCTACCTACGATGACCCCAGGATCATCCAAGAACAATTGGATGAAGAGAAGAAGAAAATTGAAGAGGAGCACGACAAAGAGAAGAAGATGCAAGAACAGCTTTTGCGAAATACTGCCGAGACCGGGGGGAATGCGCCCAAGGGAGAGAAAGACGGCAATGCGCCTGGAAAAGCGAAGTCACGAAATGTCAAGAAGAAGCCACAGCCGATGGGCGGCGGCACAGAAGAGGTGCTGGGATCGATCTGAGATTTAAATATCTAACGGGCGTTCTTTTCTTTTGAATTTTCATAGGAAGGTATATAAATGGGTGGGTTTCACGGCGTTAATTTGTTCTCAGCGAAGACACTTAGGAAAAGGTGTGGGCATGCGAAACCACGGCGTTCTTGTCTAGAGAAGGACTTTTGGTTACTTAATTCTCTGGGCTTCCTTGCTTCGAGCCTGAGATGGAGAGCAGATGTAATTCTTCAAATGATACCAGATCAAGGAATCACCTCCGCCGAGTTGAACCGAATCCTGTGCTCGTAGACGTAGATGAGAATCCCGGCGTTCGACTTCCTGAGCTACCCTCGCCTGGATCGTAGTTACGCCCAGAATAGCCACTATTGCGAGAACGGCCCAATCCATATCCAGCAGCTGCGCCTCCCAAAGCACCTGACCAGAAGCCAGGTCTCCAACCCTCTTCATGCCGGTACCTCTTGTAGGAATCAAAACCATCAGCGTATCTGCTATATGGCGGTGGTGGCCCTGGAGGATAACCACCACCTCCACCTCCACCTCCTCCCCAGTATCCACCCCTACGTCGAGGTCTTCGGCCTTCATGGTCACTCCCATCGGAAAGACCGCGTATGCACGGAATGCAGATGAGCAGAGCCACAGCGATCATGATGAACCAGAATATAATGGTACCGAAAGTCCCCAACGAATCCTCTGAGCTGTCTCCGCTCTTCCAGGAATCCCAGTTGCTATTGCCAAACCTCTTTTCACCTTCTTCTGTCAAGAATAGCCGATATTCAACACCGCAGCTGCCCTTCAGGACCCACTTGTCGTCTGCATTGCGGTATCCCTCGCAGATCACATCGGTGGAGCCGAGTTTGAACTCGGGGGGCAGTGGAGCTTTACAGGTCCATTGCACATCTTCTTCATCGTAGCCATATCCATCGTTGGTGCAGCGCATAATCTCGGGCTTGTAAAGACGACACACCCTTGCAGGACCCACACATTTCAGTTGCGGTATGGGAGATACACGACGAGCTGTGGTCATGCCATCTGCCCGTAAGGTGAGGGTATGCACATTCGAGAGTAATATTGCATTTCGGCCAGGGGGAGTGGTACTCGCAGATGCTTGGCAAGGTAGAAGCATAATAGAGAGCAGGGTAGCTAGCCGCATAGCTGCGACATCGATGTAGACCATTTTGCAAAGAAGACCCAACGTGTGTCAGTGGTAGGCCAAGGCTAGGCGAGGACAGATAGAGTGCAGTTTCCCTTAGCCATGCACACAAAGTAGTGGATGCCCGACTTTGAAAGAATGGGAATGGACAAGTGGCGTGTTGTATGAGCAACAAGCAGCAAAACGCGATAAGATAAAAGATAAGCGATAAGCGATACCAGCAGTTCGGCCAAGAAAAGATCCACCCGACCCGACGACTTCACCAACTCGATTCCTCGTGGGGATGGGCCCTTGACCAGCCATTGCCTGCCGCCGACAATGGCGCTCCAACCACGTACGTGACATTTCCCATTCTGTGCCGGATATCCGTTGACCTCTTTCTTAGAAGAACTTGCGCCAGTGGCACCGCAGTCCTCGTACGCTTCATCCATCTAACCTCGGTATTTCGCGGCAATTTGGCTGACATCGGGCAATAGCCTGTCCTTTACACAGGGATTCCTTTTGGGACAGCTCTCTGTCGTTCTCCTGATCGGCGCCTTCATCAAGTTTTTCATCTTCGGCGAAGCCCCACCTCCCCCTCTCGCGGTCTATCAAATCGCACATCCCACCGCCGCTACAGCTCCATTTATAACAACCTCCAGGACGGCCAGAAGTCATTACGTGAGAAACCGTCGACTTCAAATGTGCTTCGTCCAGTTCCTGCCTCCTCTACAAATACCCGATCTATCCTACGCAAGACCTACTACAGCGCAATCCCAACTAACCCCTCCTCGAAACATGGCCGTCAACGCATACACCATACATCCCATCAGCCGGAGTCATTGGACTGGTTCAACGTGTTGATTGCCCAGACAATCGCACAGTATAGGCAGACTGCATATGTGCTCAAGGACTCGCCCACCTCCTCTATACTCAGCTCCCTGAATGCTGCCATGAACAACCCCGAGAAAAAGCCATCTTTCATCGACAAGATAAATGTGACGGACATTTCCTTGGGTGAGGAGTTCCCAATCTTTAGCAATTGCCGAATCATCGCAGTTGATGACCCGAACTCGGACGGCGGGCGGCTCCAAGCCTTGCTGGATGTGGACCTCAGCGACGACAATCTATCCATCGCGGTAGAAACCTCCATGGTGCTGAATTACCCCAAACCCCGCTCTGCGATTCTCCCCGTCGCATTATCTGTCTCTGTTGTGCGTTTCTCAGGCACGCTTTGTATATCGCTGATCCCCGCATCAACCGAAACCGACCCACTGCATACCCCAGCCGGCTCTCCTCCTCCGCCAACAGAAGCACCCAGCTCCCCAGGCAACAATTCCCAAGACAAGCCTCCCCCTAAAAGCAGCCCGAAGAGCAATGTCGCTTTCTCTTTCCTGCCTGATTACCGTCTTGACCTTTCCGTGCGCTCGCTCATCGGGTCCCGGAGTAGACTTCAAGATGTTCCCAAGGTAGCTCAGCTCGTAGAAGCCCGTGTCCACGCCTGGTTCGAAGAGCGCGTCGTCGAGCCACGCGTGCAAGTAGTCGGGCTTCCAGATCTATGGCCTCGCATGGGCAGAACCGGCGTACGGACCGAAGATTCAGACACTGGGTCCACCGCGCCTCCACGAACTGCAGGATCCGCTGACCCAGGCAGCCCCTACCAGTTCTCTGGAGAAGAGGGGCTGCGATTCCGGGGAGTCTCGGATCCCCGCTTGGGGCTTGGGACCCTGGGTGCGGGCTCAAGGAGCAGCAGTTTCAATGTTGATCTAGGGAGTCTTCGCAGTCCGAGTCTAACGCGCCAGGATAGCACTGATGCCCCGAGTGAATCATTGCAGATGCCTGGTGGGTTGCCGACGGGTGTGTCTACAGCGCGAGAATAGCGTGTTTTCGCTTTCCTCGGCTCTGCCTTCACTCCACGCTGTCTTTTGTGTCTTTGATGATCTACCTGTACACTAAAAATATATCGATGACTTCAGCAATCTAGTACTGCCAAATGAGTAGTGGTTAAAATATATTCTCCATGCGACACCCAAAATCCTACTCTCGTGACCAAAGCAACGAGGAAAAGACTTGGATCTATAAATGATTGAATCGAAAAAGCTCGCTGGAGAGCTGCAAAGTCTTCTTTCATGAAACCCAGATCACATTTTACGAAAGATCTCCTCGAATCTGGTGTAATGCAAATCTTTGGTCTACACAGGTAGCATGTATCCATAGGGTTGTTATAATGCATTGTTCCGACCTGGAGTCGATGGATACTGAAAGTGAGAACGTTCTGCAAGGAATAGAAGGCAAGGACGTTCCTCAGAGGTTCACTCAAGCTGGAATGAGACGCCCTTCATCAAGCAAAATCGTCAACGGCTTGCTAGTATATGCCTCGCCCCAGTGTGACTTGCCGAAGGTGTTTGGCTGAATAGTTTTCAGCGGTCTGGCTCTGCAGCGCGAGACTCGACTCGAGGTAAGCTGAAGAGAAGTGTGCCTAATGACCATTGTACTCGGTAGGTATGATACAGATTACAATGGAATGTGACTGTACTCTGCCATTTGAGACGCTTTGGAAACTACTTAAAAACGTAAATTCATGCCCGGAACCCAGCTCCCTCGTCCAATCATGACAGCATCGCAACGACTTATTTGACAGCAGTAGGCTTGATGATGGTATCCAGGTAAGTCTTGCGGTGGGGATTCGCATCAACGTCCGCACCACGGTTGAGCGCTGTCCACTTCGGCTCGTCTTGGAAGAGGCGCATAGCTTGGACGTACTATCTCGAAATTAGCAAGACTCCAAATCGCCAGCCAAGTTGAAAGGGCGACATACGTTCTTATCATTGGTAGTGAAACGGTGGTAGATCCCCGCAGGAAGGACAATCAAATCGTCCTTCTCCAGCGCAATCCGAATCCACTCGTCATCCACCCCACGGACATCAAAATAGCCCTCGCCGTCGCGGATGTACCGGATCTCCTCGTCCTCGTGCAGGTGCTCGGCGAAGAACATCTTCACCTTGTCCTCGTAGATGGCGCCCATAGCCTCCGGTGACACGATCAACTGGTCGCGGTTCTTGTAGCCGCGTTCCACGGCGATTTTGTCCACTTGTTCGATTGTTGGGCAGTGTCTGTAGAATACGCCGAGCTTGGCAAGGGTCTCCTCTGAGACCTCGCGGCCCGAGTCGTGGGGCTCGCGCTGGTCGCCCTTTTCATTTTAGATAGTGTTAGTAGAAGGGGCCATTGGAGTGGGGAGTTTCCCAAGGGCTGGATCGGGCGATGAAATCTATAGGCCGAAGGATTGAGCGGTATAAACGTACCGGCTTGTTGTCATACCAGTATGCGCGCATGGTTGAGAGGTGTATGAGGATAGCTTTGGATCGGAGAGGTTTCTGGGGAATATTGGAGTACTTGAAGCTTTTAATAGGGTTTCGAGGCGTTCGGCGCTCAAATAGAGGGAAATTGTCAGCATTGCTCACCTCCCAGCCCCGCAATTGGTTGATGGCGTGCGCGGATTATGTCATTTTTGTCAGATCTGCCCGTGAGGCCTGGATCTTATCCCACGTGACACTCTTAAAGTTTTGCCTTATCGGGAAATGAAATTTGTCCGTGATCCCTCTCGACAACTGTTGATCACCATGGCTTTGCTCAGGGCATCAGCTCCGTTGCGGAGGTCGTATATTGCGTCTCGGCTTGCTGCGTGCAAGATCCGGGGACTCGCGACTGTGGCCAATGGAGCACGGTAAGAGATCTCCAATTAGGGGGAAACATCGAGTTCGCGCAAAACTAACAGTTACTGTTCCGTCAGACTCTACGATGTCGTTGTTATCGGAGGCGGCCATGCTGGATCGGAAGCATGCGCTGCCGCAGCTCGTTCGGGTGCGCGAACCGCGCTGGTCACGCCGTCGTTATCGAATATCGGGGTTTGCTCTTGCAATCCCAGTTTCGGAGGCATTGGAAAGGGCACCATGCTTCGGGAAGTCGACGCGATGGATGGCGTCGCCGGCCGGATAATCGATAAGGCTGGGATCATGTTTCGGGTATTGAATCGTTCCAAAGGCCCGGCGGTATGGGGACCGCGTGCGCAGATTGACCGCGACCTGTACCGAAGGTACATGACGGAGGAGCTGGTGAACACCCAAAACTTGAGCATCGTCGAGGGGAAGGTTGCCGATATTGTTGTTTCTAGGGAGGGGTTGGAGAGCACTCCTGGGGCTCAGGGCAAGATTGTTGGTGTGCGCCTTGAATCTGGCGAGGTTATACCTACCGGCAGGGTGGTCATCACGACTGGGACTTTTTTGGGCGGGGAAATTCACATTGGACTGGACATCTTCCCATCGGGACGCATGGGTGAAGCGCCTACGTATGGTCTGAGCAAGTCTCTCCGTGATGCCGGGTTTTCACTAGGGCGATTGAAGACTGGAACGCCGCCACGATTGGATTTGAAATCCATCGATTTCACAGGGTTGGAGGTACAGAAAGGTGACTCTCCGCCACATCCGTTCTCCTATCTCAACAAGACTGTAGATGTTGGCGACGAGGGCCAATTGAACTGCTGGATGACCCATACCAACGAGGCTTCCCATGAGATCATCCGGGCGAACCTGGACAAGTCTGTCCACATCAGAGAAACTGTTCGGGGCCCCAGATATTGCCCTTCTTTAGAATCGAAGATCATCCGGTTCAAGGACAAGGAACGTCACCAGATCTGGCTGGAGCCAGAGGGGTTCGCTCCAAACGAGGTGGTGTATCCCAATGGTATTTCCATGACCGTCCCTGCAGATGCACAATACGCCATGCTGCGGACTGTGAAGGGACTGGAGAACGTCAAGATGCTCCAGCCAGGCTACGGAGTGGAATATGACTATATCGACCCTCGCAACCTGCGCCCTACGCTCGAAACCAAATTGATTAACGGCCTTTACCTGGCCGGACAGATCAACGGCACAACTGGCTACGAAGAAGCGGCTGGCCAGGGTATCATTGCTGGCATGAACGCTGGCTTAGAATCGCAGGATCGCCCTCCACTTACTCTGACCCGTTCCGATGGATTCATCGGTATCATGATCGATGACCTGATCACAAAGGGAGTCTCCGAGCCCTATCGCATGTTCACCACTCGCAGCGAATACCGTATTTCCACCCGGTCAGACAACGCTGACCTACGATTGACGCGCATGGCCCGCGATGCGGGTGTCGTCTCGGACAAGCGCTGGCACAACTTCACCGAGACAGAAGCCCAGATCCAGGAGCTCTCGTCCTTGTTGGAACGGACCAAACTCTCGTCTTCCGCCTGGTCCCGCAAAGGCTTTAGGGTGCGCGCCGATACTTCCATCCGCTCTGCCCTCGACATCTTGTGTCTAGACAACGTCGATATCGATGCATTGATCCCGCATATCGAATCACCTGGCAACGCCTATGTCGCTGCATCGTTTGCCCCTGAGATCCGCACACGTGTTGCGATTGAAGGTCGCTATGCTCCGTATGTCAAGAGACAGGAGAAAATGGCCCGCCGCTTCCACCAGGATGAGAATCTCTTGCTCCCAGCAGATCTCGACTACGGTGCCATCCCCGGGATCAGCAATGAAGAGAAACAAGCTCTTGAGCGAGTTCGCCCCGCAAGTGTTGGCATGGCGAGACGCATTGAGGGCATGACGCCTGCCGGTGCGCTACGATTGCTTATGCACGTCCGAAAGGGCAGCGGCTTTGTCAAGGAAGCTGAGGAAGACCCTGCTATTCAGGGTGTTCTAGGCACCTCGCCATGATCTGTAATATTTGCATATTTTCTGATTTTCACGGCATTAGCGAGTACCTCTAGGCGCTAGGACACATTGTATGATATGGGTTGCTTCTGATTTTATCTAAAGTTTTTTGGACTTCTTCCTGTGTATTCCATCAGTCTCTTCTCTGTTACGACTTGATAAAGCACTCAGTGTATTTCCAGACAGATACCTCCTCCCTGAAACCTCCTCCCTCCCCAAATAAAACCGTGCTACGAAGATCGCTGTCCCCATGTGCGTAGTCAAGTGTGCGTAGTCAAGTGATAAGACTCGGGCTTCACTATTGAAACATTCCTATTAGATTCTGATATCCAATGTACTTGAAAACCATAGATTCACTACAAATATACAACAGTCAATATATCATTTACCCAATTTATACTTCCATTGTATTCTCGAAATGCATTATCAGACATCAACGCATCAATAAAGCCCGCGCGAGCCCAAACTCAATCCCCAACCAGTCCCACCCTGAAAAAAGCAAATAAAGAACCGTTTTCCTCAGAACCCTATGCATCGTGCATTCCACATTCCACGCTCTTCCCCAGAACCCAACACGCGAAGAGCGCCCGTGCGCCCATACCACCAACTCCCACCAGCTTGTAAATCCACGCAAGGGGCGCCGATCACGACTACCAGGCATACCTCAAGACATGAGATCCAGATCGCCAATTCGCCGATCTGGGTCATCTCTGATCGAGCACCTTGCCCTGTCGGTTTTGATGCAGAGCTCCTTGGGCCCGGACTTTGTTGCAAGGTGTACGTCAACCGTAGCTTAGGTGATGCGTGCATATGCATACGTACGTAACTGTGTATCTACTGCCACTGCGGTACATAGCAGAAGGACCAGGGCCGATGTACGCCGCCCCCTCCTTCGCGAGGAGGTCCGTGGCACCAAGATCTCCAGGTCATGTAAGGGGAGGATATATTTCCCGATGGCAGTGACAGCTGGCTGATAGGTCCAATTGCGGCAATCCGCTCATCGAGACAGGACATTTTGCTGGAGCCCAAACTAGCACTTGAGCCAGCACGTCAGACTCGAATACCCGGGCACAAAAGGCAATCACCCCCAGGCCCTGGTTTCCCTCACCAGGGAGGGGGGGTTTGCAAGGACATGCGAGTCCTTGCGCTGCGCCCTTCGTCTCGGCACCAAGACCCGAACGCCTGGCCCCAATGGCCTACGAATACAGTGGAACCAGTACCTGCGCGGGGGGAGGCAAAGCAAGCCCAGCTGATCACCGACCCTGGGCCGTTCTTCCCAATCGCCACCTACCAAGATCCAGTCCATAGCCTGCAAGAAGATCCCCCATTGGAAACTTGCGAACTAATCTGTAGTACCGCGCATATTAGCTCCCTTGATGCGCAGCTATACTCCGTGGCTGACGCAGGCCCCGTCTCTCGTGCTACAGCTGCGAACACCGGTTCTCAACTGCGGTGCTACTGCGCGGCCGCAGTGGCAAGACGCAACTGGGAGGCCAAGGCACATATGCATCGAAGCCCCAGAAATGGGGGTCGCATGTAAGTCCGGGCTGTAAACCGCATACAGCAGTCGAGAGCTGTTTGCCCCTGCGACTCCATTGCCCGAGTGGTCTAGCTGCCTGGGCTACTGCACTATGCGGTCACATTTGGCGGCGGAGGAGCTTGGCCTGATACCATTCCTTTCTTTTCTTTTTTTTTTATTTTGGCTCCGAGCTTGATTCGGGGAGACTGAGGATTGGACTGGGGAATGAAATTGAGGTAGACTTTGATGCTGAGTTTGTTGAGTTCTGGATCGCCTTTTCTTTCCTTCTTTTTCCTTTTCTATATATGTGGCGGATGGAACGCAGACAAGCCATGTCTCGGAGGGAATATCCCTGTAGAAGTACTGAACAGCCGGAGCATAGACATGCTGAAATGGACGGTTCCTAGCTTTTGCCAGATGACGCCCGATCTACATTACTCGTACGACACGAAACCGGGAGCGCAAGACGACGTTGCACAGATGTGTTGGACACGAGCTTTCTTTTCTTTTCGTTTCGTTTCTTTTTTTGTTTTTTGTTTTTTTTTTTGTTTTGGAATGATTTGGTTTGGATTTTGGCGAGCCACATGGGAGTGGGGTCGGGAGTTAATGAAACTCAAGACTTGAGCTGATTTGAGACTTTGAATTTTTAATTTCTTTTTCTTCTTTGCTTTTTCCTTTTTTCTTTCTTTTTTTTTTCTGGACTCCCTACGGTTTACTACGTGGAACCTGCATAATATTTGTTCGCTTTAGCTTTGCAGGGAAGAAGCTTTACGGGGAAGACTAAGAGGACGGTTTTGGGTTTCAGTGATTAGGTTTCGTTCATAAGATCTGCCGCTATGACTGAACTCTTTTTCTGCCCTCTCCCAGACCTGGGGACCTGGGGACCTGGGGTAAAAGGACAAAGGGAGCAGTGCGTCAGACCACACTTTTCTTGTCCATCATCTTCCCCGGCACCGGTGACCATAACGACGAGGCCCACCATTATGCATCCATCTAGTACGAACCAGGCAATAATCCCCCTCCTTGTGTTCTGCGCAAAACCTCCCTAAACAAAAAATGGGCGAAATAGACGATCTGCTGATCCTGATCCCAAGCCCCCCTCTGACCTTAAGGGCGTATTGATTTCCCCCCGAGGTCAGTGCTGCTCGTATTGGCTTGAAGTCGAGCGATCTACCTGTAGACTCCACGACTAGCGCGTTAGGGGTCTAGTCCTCCCCAATATCTGCACTGGATGAGCTTCGGCGCAATATCGGGCGACTTCCGAATGAAACATCTCCCAAATCACTCGGGTATGATTTGTTGCTCCCCTGAGATTGGCAAGAGTCCCTCGTCATTGGTCTCCATCTTCACATGGGCGACCTGCATACGCATCTAGTGCCTTGTGCTTCCCCCTCGGAGAAACGTCGTAACTACGTACACGATATGATGATGTCCAAAGTCACGGCCCAGAAGGATCCGCCTGTCCCAATGGAACCTGGGCGCCACAGGCTCACGCGTCCCGTTGGCGCCGGTTATAGGAGATCGGATCTTCCTACGAGTCGTATTCATTCGCCGTGTCTTGCATTAAGTGTTAGTTTATTTCTATAATCTATTTTGTCAACAGAAAAAGAAGGAGGCAAGACAATTAGGCCGATCAAGACCCTTGAGTGATTGCGGGATTTCTTGTTGCGCTACTATATACGCTAGGCCCGAAACAACCGGGCAATTCAAGGTCGTTGCCAACGCCACCCAGTTCCAGATCCTGGCTTAGTGTCTTGTGGTCCTGCGGCTAGACAGGGCTCCGACTAGGGTGAGGCTTTTTTGACTCTAGCCTGCATCATTGATCGTGTTAAAAAAAAAATAAAGGCGATATCATGAACTCGCTATCTGGAGCTAGTCGGTGCCCCGGGCGACAAAGTCTCCGGTTGGCCACTTCGGTCTGAAACTAGTGGCGCCAATACGAAAAGATCGGCCGCCTACCCGGGACTCCTCAACCCCTCCCCTCTGGCTCCTCCCAATGGGCCACTGATAAGCCTGGAGAATCGTCAGAGGCCCACTAGCCCTTCTACGATCTCCAGGGCTAGTTATTCCCGGAGAGGTCCAAAACCCGGGCCCGGACGACCTAACTCAATCTTAGCCTTTCGGGCCTGGCCCAAAAGCTAAGAAGCTCAATTAGCAAAGGCTAAAATCCGAGATTCGCCAATGGTGAGCCCCCCCAGGGTTTTCGAATCGAGAGAAGCAGGATCTGGTAGTGCCACCTTTACTTTTCACTCTCCCCCTCTTCGAGGCACGGATGCCTGGCACCGACGGCCTGGTACGGGTGTGCACCGTCCGTGGATGCGGATCCTCTCGAACGGGCGAATGAGCGAGGGAGATCAACATGGGAGACGCCTTGCCGGAGCCAGCGACGTCAAGAGGGGATTAGCGTGCGCGTAGGGCCATTTATGGGCTTGTTGACCTTCCGTAAAGAACAATGTCATTTCTCGATCCGAACGGGCTAAGACTTCTAGGGTGGAAGAAGGTGGTGATTGGGTACATCGACCTAACCGTGTGGGGTAATGAGATTGGCGCGTCTGATTTTCAGGCCCACTTTCGTAACTGGTCCATTTTGGACTTGTTTTCTGCCTCTCCCCGCGCTTAGGGAAAGAAGAAGAGGGGGGTGGAAGAGGGGGGAGGGAAGGGAAGGGAAAACTGGAAGTGGCTACCGAGATGGAGCTGGCTCGGCCTGGGCTCTTCTTTCTTTTCTTTTTCTTTTTCTTCTTATTTTTCCCCCCTCCCTTTTTCATGGCGTTGTGCAACTCGGGCCATCGGTCGCCGTGGTCTAGAACTGATCCGCAAAGAAACTCGATCAGGGCGTCTATGCGGACCTTAGCTAGTAAACGAAACTATAACGGTTCGGTTCGTCACTTCTGGAAGGGAACATTGGGTACCAATAGCATCCCGAGGAAAAACCGTCCCTGTCCACCCGCGCTGATAGGCCAACCCAAGAAAACCAGGGGATATAATACTAGTCAACAAGCCAATTCCCATCCAGAAAAAGAAATACAGAAATACACTCATCCCTGTATATCTAGTACCGCGCGCGCGCTCCCCATCCTTCAATTCGGGCCCCCCAATGGGCTTACTCCATCAGGTAAACGTCCGGTCTACTCCGCCTGCCTTGCGCCCCGAAAGGAAACGGTGCTGACATCTGTCATGGGCGCCAATTGAGTTTCGTCAAGCGTGCGCCAACTCTGATGCTGATAGTCTCCCGGGCTTCTGGGTCCTGCTGCGACCGCCGAGACACGGGAGAGTGGTCTCCGTGGTACTCCGAACCTTGTGCCTCCCGTTTCCCATGTGTATCGGAGAGCGTGGTTCCAAGCCACGAGTGGAATGTTGCTCGTGCATTCTTGGATGCTCCAAAAGTACGACGTTGGCGCTACGCATGTGGTAATCCAGGGGTGGGGGGGGAGGAGAATGAGGCTTAGCTATTACGACATGGCACATCTGAAGATTGCTGAAATGGCGCTACACGGAGACTACTTCCTTACTCATTACGGCACTATGGGGGGGCATTTGGGGCGCAGCCGGCGGTCTTTTCCACATGGCCGTGTGTGGCCGTGTGCTGGATCTGCTGGGGATCTCCCGCGAAGGTTTTTGCCAGGATCCAATGATCCAATGAGCCAATGAGCCCCGGATATACCTCAGGTACGGGTCCCTGTGGCCCCTCTGAAGGGCTTTCGGGGAGAGGCGAAGTGTGAGTGGACGGCAGGTATACCCACCTGGCTGATTGGGGAGATTGGTGACCCAAGGGAGACGGGGCAAGGGGAGAAAGGAGGGGAAGGTCTGGGAGTGGGAAGTTGAGAGGCAGTTGCACGGTTATTCGTATCGGTCAGTAGTTAAGCAGTAAGGCCCGGGCGATGAGCCGTTTGTCTGCTGCTCAAAAGCTGCCCATTCGGGATGGGCTGATCTACCCCCCAGATCCTCTCTAGTACGCTCAGTCCTCGCGTGGAATCCCGCTATCCCTTCCAAGCATGCTGACGACAGAGAAGGCGACTAGAAACGGGAAATGAGAAGAGGAAGCTGCGTGGTTGGATGTCAAAAGCCAAGATGTGCCGTTGATCATCTTCGCCCTATTCAGTTACGGACCCAAGTCCTTGGATGGTGGAGGTCCAAATTTCAATAGTTCCAGTGCATTGGCCAGGTCCCACATGGGAGAGGAGGGGGGCCCTCTCCCCCCTAAATTCCTCGCACCTATTAGGCCACGGTTAAGCCTCGTGAAGCCCCGTCCTGACCTTTTGGGGCAAGTCCCAAGCCCCGATCGATCGGTAATTGGCGCAGGTTCGCACAGCTCGGGCTCCTCGATCGCACGCCTGTTCGTAGCCTCCTTTTTTAGTCCTTTTCTATTCTTCTGGCCGGTGAACCACGGTTGGCAAGGTATCTTTGCCTAGAGGGAAGTGGAGCCCATTCGGCTTGCATAGGGATTAATGCAAGGCTCCACGGTTTGCAGGCAGATTATGTACGGAGTACATCAAACGGTGACGGGTTAGTACGGAGTAGGTATGGCGCAGGGGGGACGGGCTCGAGGATCACAAAATTGGGGTACAGCAAAAAGTGCTGAGTCAGATTCCCCCAGAATCAGAATCGCGAATCTGGCCTGAACGCACTAACCCGATTTGAAAAAGGACATTCCGTATTAGGAATGATTGACGTGGTGGCCGGAGTGAAGTGACCCTCCGAGTCCCAATCGTTTCCACGGGGCTCCACCGCACGATCATCCATGGCACGGGGACTCGATGATGATTGCAATCATCATTTACGTCTACATCGGTCATCGAGACCAGCACGGCTCCATCCCTATCTTTAGCCCAGGAGAAGCCCGTCGCGACGCCAGGTGTGCAGATATGCAGATATGCAGATGTGCAGCTTCCCAGATTTCCCAGCTTCCTACGCTTGGTTTCCAGATTTGCAAGATCCAGAGACTGAGGGGTCTGGGTGGGCGCCGAACCCCATCGGCCGTAGCCTGCAGCGGAGGGTTTGGTGAATCACCAGTCGATATTTCTTTGATCTCCGTATTTCTCCGCTCCTTCCTAGAGGGAATCGCAGGGGAAAGATCACTGATGCAGGGAATAAAAAATAAGGAATACCGTACCATACGATATACTTTCCCAACGCCTGTCATATCCTCTCTTTTTTTCTTCCCCCTGTCATTCAGGACTCAAAGTCTCTTTTGGCTACCTGGTTCGCGCCCCGCAATGAACCCTCCGATGCTCCGGCCCCATAAACTCTCAATAAAGTTGGATTCTTTTCTTATACTATTCAGAGCCCCTGCAGGATCCCCCCCTGGTGCTTTACATCATCGTAATAAAAAACCCAAGAAAACCATCGCGGATTACCACTGGCAGATCATAGCGGTTCTACCCTACCCTAATTCACTTCCGCCTCCAACCTCCCCCCCCAACCCCATCTGAACTGGGACTACTCCAGTATACCCATAGTGGACCTTTTGGAAGTGCCGCAACTCAAAGGGATCCGTGGAACCGTTAGGCAGATCCCCATAAATCGCCCATCGTCCAGCATCTCCAGGCGAGATCGGTGCAACCTGTTGACTCGCTGACTCTTGGGTCCGTGCTTCTGACGATCCTTGGGAAATCCAAGAGGAGGGGTCGATATCTTGCTGGTCGATCTCTAGCTTATTTCCTTTTCCTTTTTTTTTTTTCTTTTTTTTTTTTCCTTTTTTTTTTTTTTTTTTCCTGATTTTCCCTAATTCCACATTTTCTGTTGGTGGAACCCTTCCCTTTTCCTCTTGCACCTTCGGGGGGTTTGAAGTGAAACCGCGAACATCGTGATCTGCTGCTCCCCCCAAACTCAAAACTCCCATTAGTCCCCATCAAACAGCCTCTTTTCGCATCATTCCCTTTGCTCTCTTCCCATTCCTCCCCACTCCTCCACCCTCCCCTCCCCAACTCCGCATCATGGTGAACGGCACCACCGCGGTGTTGGAGCCTACGTTCTCTGGGTATGTCGCGACCACGCAGGATGCCCTGATTCTGTTCGAGGCCTGCTTGACCGGTGTTCTGCATCATGTCCCCGTCGGCCGCACGACCGGGAACGGAGTCACCTGGTTCGCAGCGGCAGCGTTTTCATCTATGAAGAGAACTCCTCCGGCATTAAGCGCTGGACCGACGGTGTTACATGGAGCCCGAGTCGCATTCTGGGCAACTTTTTGGTCTATCGCGAACTGGACAAGCCCTTCCCGCCCGGCGAGAAGAAACGCGCCATGAAGAAAGGTAACCGTCGCCCGGCGCCGGCAACACGGCCGGGCGAGCCGTATCCTCGTCCTGACAGCAATGGGCAAGGCTACTCCCCCACATCACCCACCGGCGCTTTTGGAGAGCGGCCGCATCAATCCGAAGTCGAGCGTGCCTTGGTTGGGTCGCTGGTCGATTCCTATGGCTTCAAGGACTCCGGCTTGGTCAAGAAGACGATGAGCGTGACCGTCATGGGCGTAACCCACCACTTGGTCTCGTACTACAGCGTGGAAGATGTGATGCGCGGCGTATTGAATCCTCCGTCAATGGTCGAGTCATTGCGCTATATCCGACCTCGCGTGGATCTCACCCAGAAACAGAGCTTCCGGGCTCCCATCGACGACTTGGAGTCGAATGCGCTGGAAAGCGCGGCCCACGACCCATCGCACGCTGCACTCTACGGATATCGCCCGCAGATGATGGCGCCGCCGGCCTACGGGATGCCCAACCCTACTCAGGACTTCTACATGCACGCCACGCCCTACACGGCCCCGCACGCTCCCCCTTCCGGTCCCATCCAAGGCTACTCCATGGCCGGCTCCATGCCGGGCCTACCGGCCCCAAATCCTTATCTCCCCTCACCCGCGGCGAGCAGCTTGCCCAAGCAAGAAGACTACCACGCATTCCGGGCCGGTCCCTACGGTGGCAGCATGGATTCGATGAGCCACAGTGCCCTTTCATCATCCATTCCCAGCGGCATCAATACGGCCATCCCCAGCTCGCTGAGCGACCGAAACCGATCTACGTCCGAACACAGCCCCTCGGCCTATCGCAACTCTTCCATCTCATCACGGAGCGTCGCCACCGACGCTACTTCCCCCATGGATCCCTCAACCCCCGCCACCTACTCCCGTGGAAGCTTTAGCCTGTCCGGTCAGCTAGATGCCAACACAGCAAACACCTCTCTCAAATCCCGTGGCCTCGGCCCACTGGACCCCAGCGTGCCTCGGCGCGAATCAAACCCTGTTCATCCTTCTTACTATGCCCCTCACGACCGCCCTCAGTACTATGTTAATCCCGCACCACCCGTGAACCACCCGCACTATGCTGGGACGCAACCGTTAACTACATGGACCACCACCGCGGCATCTCAGTCCCAGATCTAATAATACCGCGGGGGATTATTATAATCGTTACTTGGTGTTCGGAACTTGGGATTTGGAATACGACTATGATTTATGGGGATTGCTGTGTTATTGTTACCCAATGATTTTTTTTTTTTTTGACGTTCTTCTTTATACCTCCCATGTGTTCAATTGCGTTCAAATGATCTTATCACGGTGCAAGCAATGGTTCCGCAACGCTGCTGGGTTTTCATGGTCTGAAAGGTTCGAGGCTCCATTGGCGGCTTTTGTCTGGATTGCAACGATTATTCCAATGCTTTGTGATTCCCGATTCCCCCTTCCTGCTTGTTTGGCTGCTTTAGCCACCTTATGGCTTCTTGTCTCCCCGCTATTTTCTTGCTCGACGATAGATTTCAGCCTTTATGGCTTTTACTGTTATATCGGGAGGAGGGAAGCTTAACAAGCATGGTTGTCGCACAGAAACGGGACTCCCCTGCCCTGCATTCTTGACTTCCAGTTCTCGGTGTCCCTTCCCTCTCTCGCCGATGATGTACTCATCTTTGTCTATACGGTCTTCGGTCTCTGCGCTCGCGCGCTCGCAATGGATCGCGGTCATTACGTTTCTCTGTTTCTGGTTGTTTCCTTATTTTGGTTTTTTTGTTGCTTCTTTGCTGACTTGAACATGTCATCTTTCATGTTCATTTTGTGTGTGTATCCTTTCTGTCCTTTCTGGTTCGATGTTGCAAGCCCGATATCTGGGTCTTTGGGCGGCGTTTCGTGTGATTCCTTACGATGTGATGCAACCCTGACACCCCCAAAACGCTACCGTTTTATTCCTACGAGATATATCTCTCAATCCTCTCAAGCTAAGTCTTGCCGAGCAATCTCGTATGTGCCATAGTCCGAGAGTATAATATGAAAATGGTCTACTTGTAAAGTCTTACCTAGATATTCCTCATGCCATATCCCGAGAGTTTAATATGAAAATGGTCTACTTGTAAAGTCTGACCTAGATATTCCTCAGGTATAGCTAAGCCTTTATCTCCAGGACTAGCAAACTTTAATAACCGCGCAGAACCCAACTCCCTCTGAAAGACGGCAATTACTCTATCCGGAAACGATCCGATTAGACTAATCAAATTGCAAATCAGACCCAATCAAGCCTAAGGAAATTCGAACCAGGGTGGGGTTCCTCGATCCGTTCAAGTCCGGGATCAACGAAGGGCTCTGAGCAATTTGAAGTAGAGGGCCTAAAAAACTTGCCTCGGACGGTCTGCCAACCACACAGGATCGCCCCAACCTGCCACAATCTCAAAATTGCGGCTTGGGTAAGACCGGCATATTGTTATCTCTCCCCACCCCCCACTCTCTCCCCTTGCTACGCTGCCAAGGCGCCTTAAGTCCAGGATTTCTTCCACTCCATCTTGCACGGACTGCGAGCAAGGTTGAAGCTGATCGCACGCAAGGAGGGTTGGGGTCGCAGATGTTCGCCCGAGTACGTCCAATACGAGGATAGGCCGTGCTTTAATTAGGGGTTGACAGCCAGCTTGAGGCCATGTGAATCAGACCGGCTGTGCCAAAGTCGCGATTTGGGATTCGTTGCCCCTGCGAAAGCCCGTAACGGAAACGAAATTCAGACTAAGATTAACCAGAGGGCCCACGACGGCGGTCCGCAGATCGCGGTGCTGAAGGCGTTGCGTCTTCTAGACCGTATCTCTTCTCTCCCGGACAAAAGGAGTAGCACGTGGTTTCTTCGTTGTCGGGGCTTATCCGTTGAGAATCTCCTATCTGGTTTCGGCCGAAGGCTGTTTTCAACGGTTTCATATTATTGTCATTGATTTCCTTTTTTTTTTTTTAACTTACTATTTTCGAACGTGCAAGCCTAGTTAGGAGCAGATATCAATCCTACAGGGGCTCAGACTCGGGACTGGCTACGGCGACTAAGGTCGATCTCCTGTTGATTGTGCTCATTCTTGAGGCGCTGGCGCCTGGGCATTATCAGTGTTTGATTGCTCTATTACGGGTGGTTATTGCGTGCGTTTGATGCGTGCTATAATTGAGCAGGGGCTGTTAGTTATGGTCGAGCCAGAGCGCCATGAGCACGCGAAGCAAAGGAGGTCCCGAGGTCCGTCGGCGGATGCTTACAAGGCTGGGTCGTACCTGATGACGTGGACACTACGAATGAAGATTAATGCAATCTTGTTAGGTCCATTCTATTTTATGTTTCGTCTAGTAGTTTTCGGATCTGATCTTCATAGTACATAGCCTTAGCAGTAGCCGCTGCATGGGGCAATATCGACCTTGCACTCATACCGAATAGGCGATTTGCTTTGCGTCTATCAAATTATCACCCTGAATAGGGCCGCAATTCACCCCGGGCCAGAAGGGTTCGTATGTTCCATTAAACGCTATAAAGTACTGGCACATGACAGTTCAGACACAAGAATAAATTTGAGAGAATTGGGAGTAGAAATGTATGAGCGTATAAATTCAAATTGGTGCTGAAAATTAGATTTCGAATCTTATCGCCCACTTGAACTTGGAGAGTCGATCTAGAGTATATAATGCTCATAAGTATAATCACCTTCGGCCAATCCTTGAAGCAATTCACCGCCTCTCTCTGGCTTTGGAAAGGAGCTTGTAGGTCTATTCCTCTCGAATTTCAGCCGAGAGGAAATTCTACAGGCAGTAAGGTACTCGCCAAAGAGGGATATAATGACATCTCTTTGCAGACTGGTAGTCCCATGACCAGTTAGAGTTTTGGTACCTGCTAGCCTGAAGGAGCATCGGCACCTGGGCTTCACATGGGTTGCTTTCTAGGATTTGACGGTGAAAGTGGCCAATAGGATGGTTAATCGAGATGTCCGGAGTAACTAGGGAAGACAGTAGGGACCGCGTAGTCGACCAAGGTAAAGTTTATCGGCTGGCTTGGCTTGTATTTGGCATGTACCTTGCCATGCAATCAAGATGGAAGCCAATACTCTATGAAGTGTTGTTTGCTTCTTTGGCTATCTACAAAATTTGTTGGCGGTCAGCTGCTCAATACGCAGTAAAATTTTGGTCTATTGAAAATAAAAAGCAAAGATGAAGGTAACCACCTGCTGTGCGATGTGAATAATGTCGATCGTCTCCACATTTGGAAAGCCTGTATGACAACCATGTCAAGTACCTCGTCAAAGATGACATGGCGAGCTGAGAATTAGTCAAAACAAATCATACTGTTACCGCTCTGGAGGCGAACCGTGCTGCAGCTGAGAAGCATAAGAGAGAGACCGCTATGGCTATCTATGAAGGCTCACCATATATCTGACAACTAAAGCAAGATGGGCCTCAGACTACCGTCCCTTCAGGCCGCCCTGGCCTATTTGACGATAATTTTTGCTACACTGTTCCTCTATGTTATTGGAGTTATCACCTACCGATTAGTCTTCAGTCCTTTGGCACGGTTCCCAGGGCCTCGCCTGGCAGCTGCAACGCGCCTCTACGAAACATATTTTCAGATGGTAAAAGGAGGAACTTTTACATGGCATATCGAGAGCCTTCATGAGATCTATGGTCCCATTGTCCGTATCACTCCCTGGGAACTGCACATCAAAGACCCAAACTTCTACGACACCCTCTACGCAGGCCCTGGTAAGCATCGAAACAAAGATCCCTGGTTCAGTTACATATCGTACCCAAAATCAATTTTCTCTACCCAGGCCCACGAGACTCATCGTCCGAGGCGGCGAGTCTTGGGTCAATTCTTCAAGAAGGCCGCTGCTTCGGATATCCAGCCGATTATCCAAGCCAGCATCGCCTCTCTTTGCAAACACCTGTCCGAGGCGAATGCGACCAAGAAACCTATGGAGCTTCATGCGGCATTTTACAGTTTCACGAGCGATGTGATTTCGGAGTATGCGTTGGGCCACAAATATGGACTTCGCTATTTGGAGAGACCCGAGCTGTCTGACGAGTGGAAACTCAGGCTGACGTCCATGTTTGGTTTCTGTCGGCATATCAGACATCTTCCCATACTCCCCTTCTTCGCGCGCTTGGCTCCCCGTATGGTTGGCACTGTGGTCCCGCCTTATCGCTATGTTTATGAGATGGAAGAGGTTTGTCGGACGTCCCAGTCCCACTAGTTCGAGCCCATGCTCCTAACATATTTACTACAGGATATCAAAGGCCGAGTGAAGGCTTTGCTAGACGACCATACAATCGACTCGAAAATTGACCCGGAAAAAACAGCCCTGCCTTCCAAGACACAGAAGGCAGTATATCCTTCCATTCTGGCTGATCCCAGTGTCCCTTCAAGCGAAAAAGAGCTAAGCCGTCTCCAGGATGATGCCATCTTCTTGATGATGGCTGCCACAGATGCTCCAGCACAGGTCCTTGCTATAACACTCTTCCATATCCTCAACAATCCGGCAGTATACGCGCGCCTCAAAGAAGAGCTGTTCTCTGCTCTGGACAATGCTAGGGAAGTTCCGACGTTTGAGCAGCTTGAAAATATCCCTTATCTTGTAAGAGAACCTTGATCCATTTGGCCACATAGTCAGTACTCATTTTGATGCCAGAATGCGGTTGTTCGAGAGGGCCTTCGCCTTTCATCTGTCGTGACGACCCGCCTCCCTCGCTCAGCACCCGACGAGGTTTTGCAGTTCCAAGAGTGGCAGATCCCACCTGGGGTAGGCTAACACCAAACAAGAAACTGATGATCATTAGCTGAACAAGAAAAAAAAAATGCCCCAGACATTCGTGAGTATGTCAACATACTTCATCTTAAGAGATCCCGCGATATTTCCGACCCCGTCGAGCTTCACCCCGGAGCGTTGGCTACTCCCTCGCGAAGAGCTCCGGAGCCTAGAAAGGCATCTCGTGCCAGCGTCGAAGGGAACCCTGGGATGTTTGGGACAAAAGTCAGTTCACACCCCATTTACAAGCGAGTTCCCAAGCTGAATGACTTAGTGTTAACTGGATGTACATGCACATGGTTCTCGGAACCCTGTTCCGACGATACGACTTGGCTTTACATGAGACAACAGAGAAGAACGTGGAGATGACGCGAGATAATTTTATTGGGCAGACTGACGAAGGAATGAATAACGTTCAGGTGAAGATCCTCGAGGAGTATACGTGTTGATCGTGTCTTTGATGTATTTCGGTTCACTCTTGTGCGGGTTTGAAGTTTGCAACGAGGGCATACTCGTGCTTAGTATTAGTTTGTCCAATGGGTTGATCTATTCGTAACTCTGCGGGTTTGATATGCAGTATATTATCTCCTCAATTGAAAGACATATCTAGTAGGACGGGAAGTCAAAGGTATTGCTTTCCAGATGAGTCTAGTAAACCCGCGACTGGGAAAAGTACAGCTTCTGTCCAGCCAGCTGGGCATATATTCTGCTTTAACCACAGCGGATAGGCGAAAGTGCGACTGCAAATGCGCCCAATTTCTATCATGATCCCCCAATTGCAGTACGCAAAGATCGCCGCATATCGAAAACACTCCCTCTACATGGTATCAAGTAGACCGGTCATTGGATTCAAAGATATGGTTCCAGTATTTCTTCACCCCAGCGCAAATGCCAGAGCGACCCTCCCACGACGCGAACTTATCCTCGAGTTCACAACCTGTCCAGAGAATCTCACGCCAAAATTCCCGCTCAATGTCGACTTTCGAGCTGAACTTGGCAACAACTTCCTCCGGTATCGTCCAAGCACGGGTGTAAGTGCCATCGTCGAGGAACGCAGGTTTCACCTCGTGGCCCATGTCAAAAACAGTCGCGGGATTGAACTTGGGGAAATTTGCATGAATAAAGAATACATCGGGCGCAGGCGCCTCATCACCCCGCACACGCGATTTGCCCTGACTGGTTAGGGCGTAATCCTGCATAGGATTAAACTGAGCCATGGCTGAGCCCGCCATGCCACCCGGCTTACGGTGTCCAAGAGCACAAATCGACTCGCTAACTTGATAGAAAGGGTTCTCCCATCGCAGTGGCCGCTGCAAGGAACGTCTCTTTGTCGCCTTCTCCGGCAGCGCCCTGCGATAGGAGCGGGTAGTAATGGGATGGTCCCCAGTAATTATAGTAGGTGGCGAGCAGGAGGGTTTTGGTGTGGGTTCTCTTGGAAAGGACTACTTCGCCGGACTCGGTTGACTGGCGCAGATCCATCGGTGGGATGGGAATTCCCGCAATCTCATAAAAGAGAGGCGAGACTGACGAGGCCCAGAAATCCGGCCATGTCACCAAGCCCTTGGTGCGGAAAGGCTCGCCCTGGAACAGTGCCTCTGGCTTCTCAAGCGGAAAGGCATCCGCGTCCAAGAATAAGATGTCTTCGAAAGATGAGAAGAGCATTGCGAAAGGTTTGAATTGATACTTCTCGATATTCGCCGGGGCCGTAACCAGGATGCGGGATAGCACCAGGCAGCGTGCGTTCAAGGACGGAAGTACCACATCGCATATATATTCCTCGTATTCGTCCTCGTCGGCTAGGAAGACTTCCATTGGCAGCGTAGACCCCGTCCGGCGGAGCATACGTAGCGAAATGACCAGCACCGGAAGGTAGGCCCCGCCCGCAGTGGACACTACACCTTTTGTGCCGGGAACATATTGTAGCTCAGGAGGCGATCCTGAAATGGCCCCCACGAAGCCAGTATGTGCTTGCTTTATGGTCGCTATGTCCTCCAGGCTAACATCCAGGTAATCCGGACGACTGCCGGGGTTCTTCGCATTGAAACCCTCCGTTGGCGCCTTCTCCAGTTCGAGAATGGGCTCTGTATCCGGCGCATATTTCTCCAAGTATCGGGAGAATGATTTCCAGAATCGTTGATGCGCAGCTGTCAGATCGGGGGTAGCTGTAGAGGGCGCATTCGTGGAGCTTCGGTCGAACGGGGGGGCTTTCAACGTCAGCCCAGTGGAGGTAGGTCCAGACAAAAAAGGTGAGGATGATTGCGGCACTCAGCAGTGTGCGCGCACGCAGCAAGAATCGTGGGAGGCTCATCGTGAGCGCTGGAGCTCAGGATCGCGGGCTCGGAGTGGGTATCCGGTGGCCCGGCGCGAGTTCTGCGCGGTGGACCTGACAGCTGGAGGTTGCGGGTCCGAGCTGTCAGGAGCAATTGTTCCTAGAAAGCGTCAACATGAGACGCGTCCGAGAATTTGGACGAGCCCACGAGGCCTGGAGTGCACCGAAGTTGAAACGTTGCCCCGTCATGCACGGGCCCGAAGACCCGCTCCTCCGCACCACACGGGTTGCTCCACACTCTGCTGCCACAACCAGTGCGACTGGAGACAGAAGGGTATACTCAACAGACATATTATGGGGTACTAGCGGGTTATCAAGCTCGGAGGGATGTCTCAGAACTTTTGAAGATCCTCTATCATCCCTATTACTTCTGGTCTTCGTCTTCAGCCATCTACATATATTTCTTGTCCATCTCGTCTAAACTGAACCGTCCACGCTCAACCTGTCGGATCATGATGCTAAGGCTTCAGCTCGGCCTACACTACTGATTGTAGAATACAAGCTACAAGGGCATTGTTACCGCCGATTGTCATTATGATGGCCGGGATGATGCCGATATGAGCTTCGATATCTCGCGGCATCTGTGGAGATCCCAACAGCAAGCAGGTAGAAGTATGTATTCTTCACTCTTCTCTTGATTTTCATTTGTATCGATCATAATGCAACCTCAGGTCAAAGCTTGATGCCCCGCTTCTATCCTCAAAGTATAGGATATCTGTTGAACACTGTTGAACAAGAGCGGAGTCAATCGTACTAGAATTGTGTCAAGCGACCTTCAAATCCCGGCGTGCGTCTCGCAGAATTTCATGCCGGCCTGATCATCGAGATTCACCGCAATCCCCACGTATGCAGCACTCGAAGTCTCATCTGTAGTGCACCGATATCCGGTTCTTGCTATTCTTGAGAATCGCAGTACGTCAATCCGCTTTTCCATGCCACGATACTCTCGTATTATACCGAGGGGCTCTGAGATATTAGTGGTTCTGCCATACTGGAACGTGTTCAGGTTACCCTGCGCACAGACTTGAGTGGAGCCTACTAGTAGTTTGTACAGCAGTTCTTCTTGCCCTCTTACACCTACGTGTCATCGCCTAAAATATACTATCGGCATCATATCGCGGAATTCTAGACTGAATTGGTTGTGTCGGGTTATTTGAGGTTCGTACTATTATTAAGACAGTAGTGGTAGTTACTCAAGGCTTGAAAGTCCCTGGCTTCGGAGGCATACCATGACTCCCCGAATAGATAGGAGAAGGGCAAAGTCTAAACATCAAACCATGTATCCAAAGACGAAACAAATCCTCAAGTCTAATCATTGCAGCTTGCACAGAGACTGGGAAGTATCGCCAACGGGTATCTGGAAAATGGGCGGGACCTCGGCAAAATACCGACACAAGCCGCATCGCGGGGTGCGTTTATATAAACTTGTCGCCGTCCACGCTTTCCGGGATCAATTTCCGCTCTTCTCGAACAAAATGGCGGAATTCAATATCCTGACGACGAACCCCATGCTCGGGTATGGATACCGCAGCGAGCATTTCTGGTATGGGATCGAGCAATACTCCCCCAAGGCCATAATTGTCGATAGCGGCTCGACCGATGGTGGCCCATACAAGCTCGGCCTGAACAAGATGACCTGCGGGCGCGAGTCTTATATCAGAGATCTGACCCCTCTCCTGCAAGCGTGCTTCCACAAGAAGATCCAGGTTTTGATCGGCTCTGCGGGCGGAGATGGTAGCGACAAGCATGTGCAGGAAATGTATGAGATGGTCGAAGAAATCGCTCAGAAGGAGGGCTTCTCCTTCAAGGTGGCGACAATTTCCGCCGGAATCAACCGAGACATGCTTCGGGAGCGCATTATCAACCACAAGGTCTCTCCGTGTGGCCCGGTGGAAGAACTGACTGTGGACAGTGCGGAGCGTGCTATTGATATTGTCGCGCAGATGGGTGCGGAACCGTATGTATTATGACCATCCGGGCCACGTCTTCAAAGGCAGTCCACTGATATCACAATAGATTCCTGAAGGCTCTGGAAACAAACCCAGATATCATTATTGGAGGTCGCTCATACGACCCAGCCCCATTTGCCGCCTTCTCAATCTACCATGGAACAGAGGTTGGTGTGGCCTGGCACATGGGAAAAATCATGGAGTGCGGTGGCATTTGCGCCCTTCCCAAGGGCCGCTCCATGATTGCAACTGTTCGCAAGGACTCATTCGATCTGACCCCGCTGTCACCGAAGGAGCGATGCACTCCCTTGTCAGTGGCGGCCCATACTCTTTACGAAAAGACACGACCAGACCGTCTCCCTGCCCGGGAGGCGTACTCAACTTAGAGGGTGCTTCTTACGAGCAAATTACGGAGAAGACGGTCCGCGTCAGTGGTGCCAAATTTGAGCCGACTCCTGTGTATCAAGTGAAGATCGAAGGTGTCGAGAAGCTAGGATATCGCACAGTCTTTATTGGAGGTATCCGAGACCCGATCTTGATTAGCCAGATTGACACTTTCCTGGCAGACGTGCGTGCTTATACCCAGGACTTGTTCCCTCAGCTGGATCAATCCCCCCAATGTCGCTTGATCTTCCACTTCTATGGCCGCAATGGCACCATGGGCCCCATTGAACCGTTCAAAACGACCGTGGGCCATGAACTTGGTATCTTGGGAAGAGGTTGTCGCTCCCTCTCAAGAGCTTTCCTACACTATCGCGAACAACTGCCGAGCGTCAATTCTGCACATGCCATATAAGAACCAGGTGGCCACTTCTGGTAACTTTGCTTCTCCATTGTCACCGCATGAGACCGCCGCTGGTCCAGTGTTTAGATTCAATCTTTACCATCTTGTCGACCTTGTTCCTGGAGAGGAAGTCGATATTTTCCCTATTGCCCAACGCACCATTACGAACGAAAAGCCTGCGAACCTGGCCGTCCCCGGCCTGACAGACGCGCAAAGAAAACAACTTGCCTCAGAATCATTGGAGCCACTGACAACCAAGCCAGTTCCCGCTGGAGAATGTAAAATGTTGGAGATTGCAAAGATCATCCGGTCAAAGAACTCCGGTCCATTTGAATTGACCTTCGACATCATGTTCGATAACAAAGAAGCCTACGACAGGGTTAAAAATGCCAACGTTCTCACGAACGAACGCATGATGGCACTCTATCACCTCAAACCCGAGGATATTATTACAAACATGTTTTTTGAGCCTGCTTTAGCCTGGAAATGTACCATCCGCCGACCCTGGGAACAGGGCACCGTTGGGGAGCGAGACACTCTCGGTACGCAGCAGCACGGTCCGCTACTTACTATCGTTGTGCCAAAGCCTAACAGCAAGACGGATCTCCCCTTCGAGAACCGCTCAGCTTTTACTGCAAAGGACAGCGTCGAATATCTCTGGAATAAGCTTGGCCTTCCCGCCGATTCTCTCAAGCAGCTTTTGCTCCCTGGAGAAGGTCTAGGCCTGCCCTCTTCTTTCAAGATTGCACACATCGCTCAAGCATCTATTGGACTCTCAGCTCTCTTGGCCGCCCAGATCTATGCTCACCGCAACTCCATCCCTATCCCTCAAGTCAGCGTTCCATTGCAGCATGCATGTATCGAGTTCAAATCAGAACGACTATACATTTTAGATGGGACTCCTGCGCCTACAGCCGAGGCCACGATCGGTGGACTCCACAAGACAACGGACGGCTACGTGCGTGTGCATGATGGATTCCCCAACCACAGAGATGGCACGAAGGCGCTCCTAGGGCTCCCGGTAGACGCCGATCGTACTCAAGTTGCCGAGAGTATTGCTCCATGGAGGTCTATCGACTTGGAATATGCTGCAACCGATTCCAAATTGGTAATTGCTGCTCTCCGCAGCTATTCTGAATGGGATCTTCTGCCCCAAGCCCGCGCCATTTCCGATTTCCCTATTTCTCTTCGCAAACTCGGTGACGGTCCGGCTGGCCTGCCCAAGGGGGTTGACTATGCAAACGCAGACAAGGCCCTTCGAGGTCTGCGTGTTCTCGACCTCTCTCGTGTCATCGCCGCTCCGCTAGCGGGCAAGACTCTCGCGGCCCATGGTGCCGACGTTCTCTGGGTCACTAGTCCCAACCTCCCGGACCTTCCCCTGGTGGACCGAGACTTCGGTCGCGGCAAGCGTACAATCCAGGTTGATCTGGCAACTGACCAAGGGCGCGACGAACTATCGGGTCTGTTGGAAGATGCGCACGTCTTCCTACAAGGCTTCAGACCCGGTAGCATTGCTGGACGTGGATTCTCTGCTGCGGAACTTGCAAAGCGCTTCTCTGACCGTGGTATAATTTATGCCAACTTCTCAGCATATGGGCCCAGCGGCCCATGGCGTGGCAAGCGTGGCTTTGACTCCCTCGTCCAAACTGTCTCTGGTATGGGCGTTTCCGAAGCCGAACATTTCGGTGCTGGAGAGCCCGCTCGACCAACCCCATGCCAGGCCCTCGACCACGCTGGTGGTTACTTCTTGGCTGCTGGCATCATGGCGGCGCTGTACAAGCAGGCTACCGAAGGTGGCTCGTGGGAGGTCAATGTCTCGCTTGCCGGTACTATGAAGTATCTGCGGTCTTTGGGCCAATTCGAAGGGAAGTCTGGGTTCCAGACTCCGGATTATACGTCTAGCAAAGATGTCCCGGCCGAGCTCCTTGAGACTCGATCGACTGGCTTTGGTGACTTGACTGCTGTCAAGCATTCTGTAACCATCGAGGGCCTCCAGGTTGGATGGGATGTTATGCCCAAGCCACTTGGGTCGGACAAGAAGGAATGGCTTTTGTCATAGATTATTAGCATGTGCCAGTACTGCATTTCCCGCGACTCAGGTACTCACTTTATTATCCACGGCCTTCATTCAGCTTGCTACGCAGGTGCTGGTCCCAAGCTCCTTTTCTCTTGTACCATCATGAGTGATGGGATTTGGCCGTGGAGTATAGTTGCATTCCATTAGTTTTATGATGAACGGCACGCATTAGCGTATTCTCTTTCTGGTCATGCTATTGCATACTTCTGCTATCTGTTAAGGTTCATTCAAGCTAGGGTTAACGGTTTAGTTGAGATGATCTACACGATCGGGCCCCGCGTTTCATTTCCCGAGAAGAAGTTCGGCATTTTCGTAGTCTGTCATCTGTTGAGATGGAATTTTATCTTTACTCATTCTGACAATGCTGTCTCTTTTCAGGCTAATCGTTCTAGAAAATGCTTGGGCCGGTTATCCCCACCAAAAAAATCGAAATCTCCCGCCCCTAAAAAGTCATGCGAGCAAAAAGGAAAATCCATGGTGGACTCGCCGGGAATCGAACCCGGGACCACCCCAATGCGAATGGGGTATTATACCACTAAACCACAAGCCCAAGTGGATATAATTAATCCGGATTTCCGGCTAGACAACCCCCCACAGATATCTACGGCATCAGTCTAGAGATACAGTAAGTTTTTAAAGGTTTGGCTTCACTGCGGTGGGTCTTGTCAGAACGTGTTGAACGTGCCTTACATTTTGAACCAGAGGGACCGCGGGAGCGCCAAATCTCGTGACTTCCCCGGCATTTCCTGTTTCGCCCAGCAAATTGTTTTAGCATGTCATTAGGGCCGATGAGGTCCAACCAGCGCTGTGGCATTCTTTGCACTGCGAGCAACGCCGGCCATCTCGCATTTCTGATTCTGCCGTGGAAAATTGTACTAACTCTACCTGCATAAGCTACACTGTTTTCAGACGCCCTCCTCCAGAAACAGGGACTTCCAAATTCTCTCAAAAATGAGTTTAATCTATAATCTGCCCAGGTGGTATACTCAAAGATGAGTAATCTTGTCAGCTAATCTAAGTGTAGTTGCATTTCATTGGCACCTCGCAGCCTAGTACATGTTTCCAACCCTTTTCAGTATGTTTTGTAATGTCTTCAACTAAGGTAATACTAGTTTCATTACAGAGTGAAAGCTGTCGGATCAACTCGATCGATATAGCTGTGAACGTAGCAACAAGTCCTTGGTCACATACGCCGAAGCCACGCGGATTGCGATAAGCATTTAATTCGCAGCGAAAGCGATTGAGACATCGGCCATTTTTCTGCGTGTCGGGGGTCACCAGTGTCACGGAATTCGCCGTTCATTTTTATCTTTAGACCCATTAACTGAAACTCCAAGTATCAGCACTGCCAACTTGCCAGGTAGCCTGACTTTAGAAATTGTTGGGACTTCTGAGCGACCAAGAGGATGCTGAAATCAGCAAAGCCGACAAGTCGGTCCCGCCGCTACTAGGCACAGGAATCCGCTAGCGCATTATCAGAGGTTTTTGGAAGGCGTTTCGGCGATTCTCTCTAGCTAGAGCAACCTTGAAGAGGACGTTCATGAGCGGAGACGATCGTGGAGATCGTAGGATGCTGCCTTTGCAAGCACCTTCCGATCGTCTTACTCTTGGCAGCCACATATTTCTAAATGAGTGTCAAGAGAAGTGGCGCCAAAATCCCTCCAGGGTGATCCAGAGATGGGCGGCGTTTGACCACGAGTGGGTAGAGTAGATGGATATGATATATGGAACATAGGCACCGAGCTACATTTAGGGATGTACAGAGTGGCTCTGGCGTTCATGCATCATACACCACTCAAGGAGGCGGAACTTGCTAATGCGACGGATTCCAAGGCTCTTGCTTGTGTGTTCCAAGGTATTCTAAGGCGTCTCACGGAGAGTCTTGGCTGTTCTCTTCCTCTTCCACTATCGTAGAGGACAGCTTCGGTGATGGATCTGTCCATTTCGACTCCCAGTCGATAGGCTCATCCTTGACACTTTCGGAATCCTCTAGTAGTGGAGGTTCAGTCGAGTTATGTCGCTGAAGTAGCTGGAACAGCGCAGTGTTGGTAAAGTAGAGCAATAAGCCCACTGATGCCCCTGTGAGGACAGCTCCTGTAGCATAGTAAAGAAATGCCTGAGGAGTCATTAGTTATCTCAATAGATGCTGAAGTATCTACAAATAGAATGTGGTGGAGCAATGGGTCGTACCTCGAACTTTAGAAGAATTCGTAGCGGAAGACCTGCTACAGTCAAAAGGCCGTTTGCAAGGGCGAGCACTGGCGAGGCCAGTATGTAAACCAGGGCGACAATCCAGGATAGCAGCCAGATGAACGGCTTCCAAAATACATTGAATATTGTCCGAAGCATGAATAGTGGGCCCTCAAGGGCGTCCACGCCCGAGCTCTCTTCCATTGCTGGAAGAAAAGGGGAAAATCCGGGGAAGTCGAGCTATGACCGGTGCTCAGCCCTAAGCCCTAAATACCCAATCCAGCTCGGCAGTCCAGCGTCATCGGACTTGCTCATTGACGCGACCATTGACTTCTTCTCTGGATACAGCCGGCCTAATTAATTGCATCCTGTCTGTTCGCGAGCAGTCGATACATTGCACATTCAACATATTCCCCTCCACCCCTCCTTCCCGACACTCTTTATCTCACTCAACAGACCGTCTACCCCGCCCCCTCCCAATGGGCAACAACCCTTCCAAGCCCGACGAGGAATCGTCGGGTCACGTTCAAAATCCCCCTCATGACCGGAAGGTAGCTCGTCGTACCTCGCTCAATGCCATTCCGACATCCAAGGCCACCGCGGCAGACCCTTCCGCCACCAAAGAAACAGCTGCCGGGCACTCGGCAGCTTACCAAGGCTCAGTCCAGCAACGCCTGCGGTCCCGAAACTCCACCGACTCTCCTAGCAGGAATGTAAACAGAACATCAGAAGATAAGAAAGCTGCCCCAGTGCAGAACAAAGATACCCCCTCGCCCGACCACTCAAACCCCGTCCAAGTCCCGACTTCGCGCCATGCCGCGGGGCGCGATTCTGTGGCACCAACAGGAGCGCCACCCCTCAACTCATACTATAGCGCCTCGACCCATCTACAACGACCTCCGCGTATGCCACTACCCATTGGTGATGCCACAACTACGCCTGGATCGCCGATCAGTGGTCCTGAAGATTCTCTCATTCAATCAATGCCAGCAGACCTGCTTCTGGATGACCAAATGCCAGCAGGATCTCGTCTCAGCAGCAACACACTAGACGGAGATGAAATGGGTGATGAGCTTCAACCATTTGGTACCGGCAAGGCAATATCAACCGTGATCGAATGGTCGGGCCCAGGCGACAAAGTTTATGTCACGGGTACTTTCGTGAATTGGGAGAAGAAATTCAAGTTACACCGAAAGTAGGTGGGCAGGGAGTGCATATATATATATATATATATATATATATATATGCATGCCAGAATTTGTTCCTTGGGCGAGCTTTGTATGCTAATGTTGCGCAGGGAGGGCGAGTCAGTCATGTCAACCACATTGAATCTGCGACCAGGTACACATCATTTGAAGTTCCTTGTTAATGGTGACATGCGAGCTTCGGATAATCTTCCCACTGCTGTCGATTTCACCAATCACCTAGTGAACTACATCGAAATCAGTGCGGATGACGATGAAAAACCTACAACACCAGCTGGAACTCCGGCACAGGAAGAGCCTTCCAAAGGCCGTGCACCAGAGGATACCGAAGATAATCCCCTGAAAAAGGAAGAAGTGTTCGAGGAAGTTCCACCAGGCGATTTCGGAAACTTCGTCCCTCAGTTCTTGGCCGACCTGGACAAGGAGGAAGACAGCCCAGCATATCTACAGGCCGCTAACGTGATTGGCGACACCCCTACACCACCCAGCCTCCCGCTTTTCCTAGGTAAACCAATCCTGAATAGTACTACGCCCACCAAAGACGACAGCAGTGTTCTCAACTACCCTAATCATACTGTTCTTAACCACCTTGCGACAAGTAGCATCAAGAATGGCGTACTTGCTACCAGTGTCACCACACGATACAAGCGAAAGGTAAGCTCGGTCCTTTTCCAATTTTGATGGATTTTTCTAATGATGAGTAGTACGTCACAAGCATTCTGTACAAACCAACTGGTGATATCACGGGCTGAGCAGCGTGCTTCTGTTTTCATGCCCCTCACTGTACCATTTCCACATGCTGCGATCTATGTGTGATATTTCGAAGATCTGCAGCAATTTCCACCTCCCGTTAGGAGTAACTTATCCCATGTACAGTGCTCCCTCCACTCAGTCTGGATGGCCCAGAACATTGCCCCAAGCGCACAGAATCTACTATGATCCACAAAAACCATGAAGGAAAAACAACATCTCTGGGCTAAACTATGTTGCATATCCAGCTTTCATGGCCCGATGTGCCAGACTGAAGTCTTTTGAAGATAGATTAAAGAAACTGCAAAGAAAATCTACAGACACTGGGAAGCATCTCAGATTCTGCAAGTTAAATAATTCCAGACAAGCTTTAGACTTTGATCAAGTACCAGTACCTCCATGATGGCTTATTAACCCCAATTGACTTAGCCAGAACTCCACCAGACGCCCCATCTTAAGATATGCTTCAATCGTAACACATCATATTATTTGATATTTAGTCTCTCCAGTCGACGAAGACCTCGTCCGTCCGAAACCGTTGAGTGCATGCAGACTCGGACAATGGGGTCTGGAAACCTGTCTTGAATGCCTCTAGACCAGCCTGGGCAATCATGATCCCGTTATCAATGCAGTAGCGCTCATCAGTTGCAAAGACCGAGCCTCCACGGTCTCGGGCCATTGTTCCCATCATTTCTTGTAAACGTTCATTTGATCCAACGCCACCAACAATAAGCACCTGCTTTGATCCCACGTGCGCCATAGCTCTCTCAGTGATCTCAACCAGCATCGCATATACCGTTTCTTGCAATGAGAAACAGAGATCAGCTCGAGTTGGCCTAGCATCAGGATCTCTGTCTGCTTCGCCGCTATTGATTCTCTCGTCGTCTGCTTTGGCCTGCTCCTCTCCGCTGAGGCCTAAAGACACAGCCAATCCATCGACAGCTGCTAGAATACCAGAGAAGGAACAGTCCATCCCTTTGACCACATATGGAAGATCCACCAGTCTAAAGCCCTTTTTCGCCAGTTGCTCGATGTTGTATCCGGGGAACGGGTCGTTGGGGATGTGTAGGGTGCGCGCAAATCGGTCAAGGCAGTTTCCAACAGCAATATCGAGTGTCTCACCGAAAATCCGATACCGCTTAGCACTGTATGCAATAACTTGTGTGTTCCCGCCAGACACATAGAGGACGACTGGGTTATCGGCGCCTGTAATGAGACGGCCCATCTCAATGTCTAAGTGTGCAATACACGTCAATTGCCATTCAATGGAAATTCCGCGCTGAATTTTTGCAACAAAAAAAATTAGGGTGTGAGTACTTACGTCCAACGCAGTGGTTTACACCTATCAATGGTTTCTTCCAAAGAAGACTCATCATTCGTGCGGCAATCGCAATACTCTGAAGTGGAGCACCCATTCCAGGGCCCTTCGTAAAGCAAATACAGTCAACATCTGCGACAGATACTTTGGCTTCTCGTAGTGCCTGCTTGACTAATTTGACAACCCAGGCTCGGTGGTGGCGTGCTACATCTTTGGGCAGGAAGCCTTCGCCTGGCGGGGAAATGTAGGTGTGTCGAACGTTGGCAAGGACCTTGGGCGCACCCCCATCTTTTGGGTGTAGCATAATTCCAATGCCCACTTTATTTGCTGAGCCTTCCATACCAATTGCGAGCATTGTGAAGTTGGCAATATTGTCGTATTGAGGTCGACGGCGGGGAGGTAAAGATGGCGAGAAGTAATTTTTGTTATCGTTATCAGCCAAGGCGGTAACCCAAGCCTACCCCAATCCACATGTACTGTACATACTCATTTTCCTTCTCTTCCCCCCAACCCCCGACCTCCTTCTGCACCCATCTATCCCAGAGGCCTCGAGGAGGCTGACTGTACCCTAACTGGACATTGTTTATCTTTGTCTAACTATCCTCATACCTGCATTGTCTCCCTTTCGAATTCTTTCAGCATGTCTTCTTCAGCCCACTTCCCTGACCCTCCAAACTTCCAACAACAGTCAGATGAATTTATTTCCTGGCTAGAAGCAAGTCCAGGAGTCAGAGTCAACTCTAAGATTGTTCTAGCAGACTTACGATCCAGCGGGGCAGGGCGAGGAGTCGGTAAGATAATTAACCCCCCTACACCCACCAAGACAAAACCCACAGTGGCTATACCACAACGCGGCGAAATGGACATCCACTAAACTAGAAATGCTTTTACATCATTATAGTGGCCCGCACAAACATTCCTGAAGGAGAAGAGCTCTTTTCGATTCCTCGCTCGGTCATCCTTACTGTGCAAAACTCGCAGCTGAAGAGCCTGCTGGCGCAAGATATCGAACAACTTGGGCCGTGGCTCTCGCTTATGTTAGTCATGCTTTATGAATACTTGCAAGGCCCTCAGTCTCGCTGGGCTCCGTACTTCCGGATTTTGCCCACACGGTTCGACACTCTCATGTTCTGGTCTCAAGCCGAACTGCAGGAGTTGCAAGGCAGTGCCATTGTTGACAAGATTGGCAAGGAGGCTGCTGACGAGTCAATTCTGGAATCAATCGCTCCCATTGTTAGAGCTCATCCAGATATTTTCCCACCTATCAAGGGCCTTGACTCTTACGAGGGCGAGGTAGGGACAACAGTGTTGCTAGAGCTTGCTCACACCATGGGTTCTTTGATTATGGCCTATGCCTTTGACATTGAGAAGCCCGAGGACGATAACGAGGAGCCCGAGGATGAAGACGAAAACTACATGACAGATGATGAGGATGAACAGCTTCCTAAGGGCATGGTTCCGTTGGCCGATTTGTTGAACGCAGATGCTGATCGCAATAACGTGGGTATCCACCCATGATAAGCAGAGTTTTCGGATCTAACAACTTCCAGGCTCGATTGTATCAGGAGGAAGAGGCCCTCGTCATGAAAGCGATCAAGCCAATTCAACAAGGCGAAGAAATTTTCAATGACTACGGTGAAATACCTCGTGCCGATCTACTGCGCCGTTACGGCTATGTCACCGATAATTATGCTCAGTATGATGTCGTTGAGATTTCACTTGGTGATGTTTGCCAGGCTGCCGGCCTCGCAAATAGCGATGTTGAATCCCAACCTAGAGTACGTCACAAGCCAGACCCCGCATACCTTGCATGATCGGCATCCTGTGCTTCAGAACTAACAAGTTCCCAGCTCCAACTCCTCGACGAACACGATCTTTTAGATGATGGCTATGTCATTCCTCGTCCGTCTACAGATGCATCACTAGAGACCATTCTCCTGCGGAGCTCGTTGTTCTACTTACAACATTGACTCTGTCGCCCGAAGACTTCGAGCAGCGCAAATCAAAGAACAAACCTCCCAAGCCATCTATGGATGCTAACCAGGCGGGTACTTTGGCCAAGGTTCTTCAAGCCAAACTATCGCTATACGGAAGCTCTTTGAACGAGGATGTCCAGCTTCTCGCCAGCATTCCTCCCCAGCCCGCTCTAGAGGGGTCTGCTCGTCGGCGGAGAATGGCACTGCAAGTGCGCATTGGCGAGAAAGAAGTCATCCAGGCTGTTCTTTCTATGCTGGAGCCTATTGTCGGTGGCAGTTCGTTGAAGCGATCTGCTAATGGCGATAGCCACGACTCTCGCCAAGCCAAGACGCCGCGTTTCTAATCAAAAGTTGTTATACCTGTCTACCTACGAAGCCACTGACGACATACGAAGATGGTGACCAAAAGCATTCGCGAATGATTATATTTCTGTTAGATTTTCGATACTTATCTCTTTCCAGAGCTTCCTCCTTTTTCCATCGTCGCAGGCGTCATAATTTCGGGTGTCCATCATACAAAAGGGCCAGCCACACGGTGCCCGCTCCGCTCCCGCGAGAAGTAAAAAGAAGAAAGAATTATGTACAGTGGCAATTGCAGCGCCATGCCTTGCGACACGACAGCTGCATCGGAAAAAAATGGTGAACGGGGAGTTGGGAGAGGGGTAAGGTGGAGGCAAAACAGAGAGAGAAAAAAAGGGCAAAAAAAACCACCAGCCTGCCTCGACGAGCCCCAAGTCATCCTTTGCCGCCAGAATCGTTAAAACATGAATAAGAGGAGTACTAAAACTACAATGGCGGTAAGAAGGCGATAAAGAGATGGCGACGAAGAATGCCGAGGGACGAGAACAGAAAAAAGCAACCAGCAACTAACGCCCGCCAATGCTGCGAATCAAGAAATCGAGTGAAGGAAAAGACCTTACGCCTCAGACGACGTGGGCACAGATGATGCGGCTGCCGAACTAAGTCCAGGATTTGACCCAGAGTTGCCAGCTTGTTCGCCCTGCAGTCGTCGAGCTTGGGCCTGGGCTGCTTGTTGCGCCTGCGCATGAGCCTGAGCCACGGCGTTGTTTTGCTCTCGCGCCTTGAACCAGGTCGCAGCACGATGCTGCATGATTTGTATGTTGAACTTGTCTGTTTCATAGACGGGCTCGTCATCTGAATCTTCTTGGTCGAACTTGAACCGGTCACTCTTGATAGGGTCCATTTCGATTTTACAGCGTGCAGCGAAGTTACGACGGTCGATCAATAATCTACCACCGCGGCCGACTCGTCGACGGAACGAAGGTAGGCGATGTGGCTCCTCGTGCAGTTCCATGGCCCGTGAAGCGAGCCTGTCTTTGGAGAGGAGCGGGCTAGTGACGTCTAATGAGGTTTCGACATCACCAGACGACTCTGAAGATGGGGGAGTGGGGAGTTGTGCCGTGAAGGCAGGGCGGAATGACGCCGTGTCGAATGGTCTTTCTGGAGATGGAGAAAGCGGTGCGCGGGTAAGATCCACAAAGCCCTCGTTCCACCTCATGTGCTTGCCTATATTGGCCTTGATATCGTTGGCAATCGCGTTCTCCTTCTCCGCCTGGACATCTTCCAGCAGTTGCAGGTCCTCGGCGCCTTGGAGACCAGGCTTGAGAGGTAAGCGCAGCTGGGGAGCATTGGGTCGTTGCCCAGGAGGAAGATCCATGGTTTTCTTCTTGGGCTGCGTGGGTGTTAGTTGGGCTTCATTATCAGATCCTGTGTCCATGCTAACCTTTTGATTGATCAGATCCTCGTCGTCGTCCTTGACACCAAGCTTGCGCTTCATTTCCTTGACCTCGGCACGCTGGAGGAAGATCAGTCGCTCATTGATCAACATCTCTCGGCGAGCTACTTCGCGCTGGCGCACCAGAGCGACAAGCTGACGAGAATCTTCCAGTTCTTTACGCAGTCGTCGAAGCTTCTCAGCGCTCTGCGCATCACGGCCACGGGTCTTACGAATCTGCCGAACTTCGCGACGACGGAAGCATACATATGGATCGCTATCGTCCGTATCTTGACCAGTTTCGAACTATCAAACATTGTTAGGCTCGATCGCAATTGTGCACAGCACCAATGGGGCCGACGACATACCTTAAGACTAGGTTGCAGCATGTGATTGCCGCCGCCTTCGGACCGACGCGATTTCCAGTGATCATACAGGTCCTTGGCGAAGTGCTTTACGCTCTCTTCTACGGCGGCATCCATAGCCTCCTCCATTTCTGAGAACGGAAGGACAGGCGGGTTATCGACGGCAGCATAAGGTTGCTTCGTTTGAGCCGTTTCCTCGAAGAAGTTCATGGTGGCCTCGAAGGCATCCTCGGAGCATCTATCTGCCGGGTCGCGTTTCTGGTTAAAGACTTTGAGGAAAGCATCGTCTTCCTCGGTCATATTGTACGGGCATCCACAGCAATCCTCCACTGTCGACGAGAAGCGGATGTAGGTGGCCGGTTGCGAGAAGAAGGGGGGGTAGAGTTCGTCATATCGGAGGTTGCTGAGGATGGTTTCGGGGGTTGGGATGTGAGTATTGTTGACTTTGCCCTGCGCAGTGGCATTTATCGCGACTTGCAAGTGAAATTCCTGCAGGGAAACACGCTATGTTAGCACCGTGAAAATTTCGTGTCGCTTTGGCGATGATATCACGTGACATCATGCAGGGATGAGGCTACATATGGGGGGATGGGGCCACTCACCGACTCTTCGGCCTTTTCGACACCGGTCTCGATCTGTTGCAGGGAAGCCTGGATCTCATCCTCGAGGGCATCTATTTCGTCTTCGCGAACAATGGGAATGGACGCCTTGGAGGTGAGCTTTTTGGGGCGCGTCCGGCCCAGGCCTCCGTACCGAGTCATAGCGTCGGAACGCGCCAGAGAGCAAGGACCATGGGCGGGGAGGGGTTAAAATGGATATCAATAGAAAGAGAAGCTCATGGGCATTCACGTAGACGTAGTTTGAAGATGAAATTTGATGGGAAAGGGGGGGATATTGATCGGGCTAAACAGGAGGCTTTGAGGCTGACTGTTGGGTTGACGTTGCAATGTCACCCGGCGATGGCCTGTTTTGGCGGGCCGCACGGCCTCAGGGGCTCGCTTGGGTGGCCGAATGCGGTTAGTGCGGGGCTGGGCATTATCAGATTCATCCCCAGCTTGTTCTCCCTGCTCGTTCAAAGGACGGAGCCTGCTGCCTGCACGTGACGGCCCCCCTCATAATCTCAACTTTGGTTTTTGTCCCCGTGACGCTATTCGTAATCTCATCCTTGACTTCACCCACTTCGATTATGGATCAACCAGCCCAACCCAACGCTGCTGCCATGCACAATGTGGTTCGCCGCCGTGGCTCGGTCGGCACCACGCAGCTCTTCGATAACATCGTGTCCACCTCCAATTGTATGCTACTTCCCGTTCGCAACTCGTTTTATCGCTTTTATCGGTCGCGAAGCATTGGGCGTTGTACAGGATGCTGATTACTGTGGACAGTCGACTACGAAGAAGTGGAGCGGCTGCGCAAACGTTTCATGAAACTTGATAAGGTACCACATGTTCTGCCGTCTGCCGATCAGGGTCAGTCCCTGCTGACACTCCTCACAGGATAGCTCCGGCACCGTTGATCGCGATGAGTTCCTTTCGCTACCCCAGGTTTCTTCCAACCCGCTCGCAACCAGGTTCGTTCCTGCCCAACCCTCAGCCCACAGCCACGAGACTTCGACGGATGGATCTCTGGTTGGCTACACATTAGCTAATATTGGCACGCTTCAGAATGATCGCGATTTTCGACGAAGACGGTGGTGGTGATGTCGACTTCCAAGAATTCGTGATGGGCTTGTCAGCATTCAGTTCCAAGGGAAACAAGGAGGAGAAGCTTCGATTCGCATTCAAAGTCTACGACATCGACCGGGACGGGTACATCTCCAACGGCGAGCTCTTTATTGTGCTGAAGATGATGGTGGGCAACAATCTCAAAGATATCCAGCTGCAGCAGATTGTGGATAAGACCATCATGGAAGCAGATAATGATGGCGACGGGAAGATCAGCTTCGAGGAATTCACACATATGGTGGAGAGTACCGATGTGAATTTGAGCATGACATTGAGTAAGTTGCTTACCACCGAAGTCGTCAATTGGGTGCTGACGTTCTTCTCCAGACCAAATATAAAGAGCGGACTATACCAGGTACATTGGGAGGACCCTGCAACGCCGGAGCCTGGCGCCCGGAGCCCATAGCCCTGAAAAACCATTCCCTCCTCTTCCCTTCCCAAACCATATTGCATCTTTGTTCCACGACCACCATCTCGTGGCGTGTGAAACACTGGCCCTTCGCCCAGGCGAAGGGGCGGAATATGACACGACTCTATGACCAGCGTTTATGTGTTTGATGTAGTCTAGTCTTTCTTGGAGTCTAATGAAGGAGGCGGATTACTATGAAATTGTGAAAGCCAGCCCCCAGGCACCCAATGAACCCAAATTAAAATCAGGAGGGGCCCCAGAGCTGTCAGAGAACAAAAAAGGGGGGTGAAGTGGAGAGGGATCCAAAGGATGATAGGGTGGTTCGGTCCATCTGATACAAACCCCAAACCGCCAGTCAGATCTCAGCCTCATCCGTGAATCCTCGGACCAACCTCTTTCCTCTTTCCGTCCGGACTGCAACGTGGTCCATAATCTCAGGGAAACACCGCCGTAATTCCAATCCTGCCATGAGAGCCACTGGTGCGCAAGATCCCTCGGGAAGGGGACGGTAGCACTGCGTGAGCATTCCCTGTCGACATACAGGGTGCAGCCTCCTGTCACTAAGGATGCACTATAATTGGCCTCTTGTCAGCTGACGGGGTTCGTGAGTCGGATATGCGCGCGAACGGCCACGGATTATGGATTCCCGACTCTCCTATCGCCTGGGGTGACAGCTATAGGGATGGGTTATGGTTGCGTGCAGTTTTCTCCCATTGCACGCCCTTCTGTTTGGCCATGCTTGGTGGCGACTCAGCTTCTTTCCCTTCTTTTCCTTATTCTTTGTTTTTTTTTTTTTAAGAAAGAATTTCCATTTTATCTTTCTTCTTATCTAGAGTACCCCTTCTCCGACTGTGCCGGGGTGCATCGGGATATGAATCCTGTTTCATGACGCTTTGGCCAAGGCCAGACTTAGGTATCTACCGTCTAGCGCTTTTGGTACCTAAACTACTACAAGTTAGGTAAAAGCGTAAGGCGGCAAACGATAGCGGCTGAGCAACGGAATCCGACTAAGCCCCATGGTCATGATCGAAGATCTCCGAAAAAGAAGTTTTGGGGATTTCAAAATTAGACACCTTCGAGACCTCAGCCCTCCACGGTGCAACAGATGGCCCCGGCCACCGGGCTCCTTGTTGCGAGCTGTCAAAGATGTACAAGCCCCCGAACATAAAGCCGAGTTCCGACACGATTGCATCACTTGGTGCAACCTAGCGAGATTCAAGAGGTATGACCCAAGGTGCCGGTATACTTGGGGCGCAAGTACCCCGTGGCAGATGCGCGTCTTGTACCTACAGAGCCCCGGATGGGGGAAAGCTCGATACCTGAAAGGCGACCTAACGGGAGGGAGCAGTGGAAGTCTTCTCGAATGCGTCCCAACAAACTTTTAGACCCATCCCATAGGCTTGGTACCCATCGATCACCGAAGATAGACAGGCACGTCATACACCTTATTTATTGGACATCCAGCCCCTTGGGGCTTGCATTAGCCAACCTATCATATGATTGATCTTGGGTAGCTCCAGGAGGGGCTATCTTGCCGGGAGGGTAAACACCAGCCACGCAGAGAATCTATTTTCGGATCAGATCAATATCAGCCCAGTTATTACAGATCGGCACGTTTCAGTTACGGGCATCGATCTTCCTCTGATCCCATGCTGCCTGGTTTCTTACTGTTCCAAGAGGGCCGACAGGTTCTACATTCTACTTCTGGGTCTAATTCTGCGCCTGCTCCCTCCTGGTCCTGCAGAAGCATGACAGGTGCAGAGTCAGATAGCTGCTGGTGAAACCTTTTTACGCCATCAACCCTAATCTCGGCTTGTCCGCATCCCAACCACCGCGTCGGATCCGGTTGGGGGTGCAATGGCTTCGACTCCGGAGAAAGGGAGATGACAGTGCCATGGGGGTGATGTGGATCGGCAACATTGGGCAGACAATGGGATCGGATGTCTCAAATTGGCCTCTTGGGTACAAGTATTTGTGTTTAGATCTTGGGTAGCTCCGATTGCTTGACAATGGAATTATTAGACTGCGCTTCTCTTTCCAGATTATCATGCAATTATATTCTTTGTGCTCTTTTTCGCTCTTTGGGATCCCAATCGAGGTCCTTGGGCTAGAGACATGATGCAAGTCGCCCGGCGATGGGCTCATGTATTTGTAATACTTTCCCGCTGAAGGTACTCGATAGGCGTCCAGGCGTCAAGCTGCACCGCCTGCTCCTAGTCCTGTATTCTGAAGTGCCTGAAGTACCCATCATCCCCTATTCTTGCCGGTAAAGGGTGGGGAACCACGGCGGCTGTCCGGACAATCTACGCCTCTCGGGAATGTACAAACAGGAGCCCAGCCCCCCTATGCCGGATCTTGGTATCCGTTGACCTGAAGTCGATCTCGATCCAAGGTTGATAGTGGGTTTAGCCGATCCTTCATGAACTTTCCATTCGGGTCCAACTAGGCACGTCAATCGACTACTTTCCACTCGGCTGGGTCGCGGCTAGGCCTGACACTTTCGCTAGTGGATCCAGCCACGGCTGATTTGCTTCTTCCTTGTTGCCCCTTGGCCCTAGTGGGGATCGGCCAAACTACCGAGCAAGGGGATTTCATGCGAGTTTTTGGTCATAAGGCATCAGCCACGGCTTCATGGATTGTCAGCCCCGAGCAGATGGGTTACACATCGAAAAATAAAAATAAAAAATAAAAATAAAAATCATTCACCATGAATAGATTATTCCCTGGGCTTAAATCCGAAGAGAGGCAAAGCCATTACATCCAGGCCGATTGGGAGATTACGAATCCCCCAATTCCTCCCAAAATGAAATCAAATCCCAATCAATCTAACCCTTGGAAGTTCCAACCCTTGAAAGTACACGCTCACCTGACCCTAAACACCACCCCGGCCCATACCGTTCATCGTCTGTTCAGGTCTCTCCGTCCAAGCCATCTCTTATTTGCATATCTGCAGCAATTGGAAAAGACTCATCCCTAGCTCTTTTTTTTTTATTTGGTTTTTTCTTAGTGGCCCACTGTGTCGGGTTCCTGGGCGCAAAAGTACGGCCCACCGGAACGAGTGTAGGCGTAGATCACTGTGATCGGCAAGCTTAGAGCGCCCAGAATACATAGTCGGAAATGCTACGGAGTATAGCCCCTTCTACCCAAACACTAAAGCTCCCCAAGGCCCCAAAACGACGGATCATGACACGAGCCCGATGAAGAACTACCCGTGCTTTTTCCCCAGTCGCTCGGGCAAGTGTTACAGGTCTGTTCAGCTACTGCGTTTCTTCCTACCTTTTGGCTTTTCCCCTTTTTTTTTCTCCGACTCTAGTCATCCTTCAAGTTTGCCCCTGCTCTCGCTGAAATTCTTGGATCAGATTCGTCATATTCTTCGTATGCCCTTCGCCTGGTTTTCTGAGGATTTGGCTCCGATTGCTGTGAGGCTTTTTTCTTTTTTTTTTCTATTTTTCTATTTTTCTATTTTTTCCCTATTCTACTTTCTCTATTTTGATCATTTTCGATAAAACTTTTTTTTTATCTCATCTCATCATTATTGGCCCTACGTACGTAATTTCCATATTTGGTATTTCTCATTTTTCTCATTTTTGTTTGTCTTATAGTTTGTTCCTTCCACTTTCCTTTTTTCCTCTTAGTTCCTTTTCGTTTCCCAATTTGGGTACTGTACTGTCGGGCTTCCTAGATCTAGGTTCATCTGCGCATATCACCTGTGGTATATGTACAATCTCCTTGGCCCTTGTGTTGTTTATTTTTTTTTTTTGGAAGACATTCTCCGCCCTCAGATCAGGTCTGATACAGGCTATTGCTCCGGTCGACGCCATTCACGACTGATTATACAGAGCTATAAAGCTGGGTGACAAGGAGTCAGGCGCCACGAAAAAAGAAGAAGAAGAAGAAGAAGAAGAAGGAAAGAGACAAGAGCACAGAACGCTATACAAAGCGGGAGAGCCACAAGAGGTATCCCTTCCGCCAAACTGCTTGGAAAGTTCGGAGAATTGTTCATTCAAGCTGGCATCCTACGCAAGTCCACCAATATCTCCCAAACAGTGGGCGTATCTCGATCTACGCAGGTCCGTGTGGGACGGCCTCATGGATGGCGACCAACGAATGAGACATCATGAGCGATTGATGGCACGATCTGGGAATGGCTCGGCCGGTGGCCGTGCAACCGAGTCATTCGAATCCGCCATGCATCAGATGGGGGACCCAGCAGGGATGTCGCAGGCACCCGATCGTGCCCCAATGGCCTATGATTACGGATACACAGGCGCTCCTTTCCACGGCGGTTCATTGCAGTCCAATGAGGTGCAGGACTATCCGGACTTCGTGCGGCGGACGCCATCGCACCTGGAGCATCAACCTGCGCATCCGCAAACTCTCCTCCGGCGACGCTCGCAACAGCGCCACGAGCCTTTTGTCCCATATGACTCGGGCATGCTGTACAGCTTCAGTCACCCGTCGCCAGCACAAGGACCCTTCGACGTTGTTCCACAATACTCGAGCCGGCCGTCTGCAGCAAATGATGGGCTGTCGAACCCATTTTCCGTTTCACAGTATTTCACTCCAGAAGACTCCGCCGCGACGGGGGGTCCCCGCGCTACTCAACTATCCAAATCCACAAATATCATATCATCATCTAAACCTGGCACGGCAAAGCACCTCTCAGCCTTTCGCTGCCACGATGTCTGAATACCCAGTCGGGACCTTGACGAGCAGATTAGAGCCAACCCAACCGGAACCGCCTCACCACGCCCCAGAGCATGCACCTCTTGAAGAAGCGTACGCTCAGTATCAGCAAGCCCTACGCAGCACCTTCGACCATACGCGTGCAGGGCGATTGGTGGAGGCCAGCCGATCATTACTGGAAATTTCCGAGTGGCTTGTCACCAATGCCCGAGATCTTGGTACGTTCGCCTCGTTTCTTATTTTACCCACCTTCTTTTTTTTCCTTTTTCTTTTTTCTTTTCATACTTTCTATTTTTATGTCCGATCTCTGATTTGCAGTCCACTGGATCTATGGTTTCTCTCAGGGCAAGGCGAACGCAATAGTGAACCCCCGCTGAGTTGTGGGGACATTGCTTCATTAACTTGCGAAGCTCGATGCAGCTTTTCTTCCTTTCATGGACAACATATGATCCGGAAAAACAAAGGCCGTCGTACTACACGGATTATCTGCCTGGACCTTTTGGACCCTTTGGACCCTTTTTTGGGGGGTGTGATTTCGCCTGCAGGCACGCGTCATGCAAGCATCATCTGATAATGTGCAAAGGAGACTAATTTGCCTCTTTGTGATACATAGGACTCCTGCGCGATGACCATCTTTCCTATCCTGACCGCCTGGAACTCTGGAAGGACTTCAACATCTGTTGGCTCGCTGTTGGCCAGAAACAGAAGGATTTAACGCAGGATTACATTACGACGGGTCGCCCGCCGGCACAAGCAAGTCTCTTATCCAGAGATCGTATGGAGGCTATGGGCAGAGACTTGATTCAGCTTTGCGATCAGCTTGAGCAGCACGGCCTGGTAGACTATCAGATGGGGATCTGGGAGGAAGAGATTCTTTCAAGTAAGTGGTATGCCGGAGCTCGCTAGCCTACGACCTCTCCCGTTCAACCTTCTACTCGCATGTGGACTGCAATGGACTACAAAAACCCCCAGACTAATCGCACTCATAGTCCTGGGCCAGTGCCTCGATCTCGTGGAAAGTAAACCCGAGCTGCACATGCAAGCGGTACCTGAGCCCGCCACTGCCGCGCCACGCCCTTGAACCCTAACTAGGATCGACTTATCCGCCTCACTTCCAACCCCACCCGCCTCATCCAAACGTCGACCAGTGTTGTCGGCCGCAGCGAATGAGGCGGAACCGTCCACGAAGATTCGGATCCCGAATTTATTCCTAAATCATCTTCAGCCCCCACTGCTGTACGACAAGGCGTGTCTGCGGAGCGATCGGGCCGCCTACGCCATGCATAAGCTATTGCGCACTAGCGCGCCGCAAATCGCACCAATCATCGAGATATATGAGATCGTCCAACGAGAAAGGGCTCGATGTGCTTTGTGCTTCGATCTGACCTCAACTTATCTCCCTTTGGGTTCTGTTTGTGTGTGGTAGGAAGGGGCTTGTTGGTGTTCTCGCGGGAGACCACAACTCCCCAGTCGGCCCTCTATTTTGCTTGTTTGCGCGAGTCATGCGCCACAAGTATTTCAATATGAAATGACAATGATTATCTACGTCATCAATCTCTATTCCATCTTGTCTCTCTCATCCCCTGTGGACAATTCGTCGGGCTTGTACATATACTTCGCCACTGTCAGCACGCTTTTTATAATGTGCTAATCCTCTTGTTTCTTTCTGATGATTGAGAAAAACATGCATGGGACTAGGATTATGTTACAAAAAAAAGAGTTAGATGCGGTCAGAGAAGTAAGGCCTGGCTGGCGTCAATTTGGTGTATCACTGAGACCTGTTTCAGTATCGGGTTTTTGTCCATCTACTAAGTTCTCTCAGTCTGGCTACACTGAAGCACCTTTCGATCAGGCTTTCTGGTCTCCGTAAATCCATGGCCATAATCTATTGGGATCGTATTCGTATGCGTGGCCTACAGCTGTAGATGGCTATATGCAGATTTGCTACAAATCATGGGCCAGATAATCCACGTGTAGGGCTTCAGATTTCAGTTGGAACATTTGGAAGGCTCTATTCACGTTCCAGGTCTACCACTACAATCGAGGTCCAGCGACCCCGGCAACCCTGAATCATAGTTCAGAGTCCCATGGGCGATATATTCATGCCTGGACAATGATTTCAAATTGATGATTTTGACTCCTAGTATTTTGAAGCAAAAATGTCGGGCTCACTAGTTCTCGGTGAAAAGCTTCAATCCCAGTCCTTCTGTACGTCGGAAGGTATATTCTGGAAGCTAATCAGCATTTGGACCAGAACCAATCTCGTCCTTATTATGATGGAACCCTGCTCGGATCATTGGACTCTATAGGCTGGCTATATACTAGTATAGCTAAAGTACAATGAATAATAGCTAGTATACCGGAAATGGCTGGTTGGCTATTTCCAAGACCCGAGGTTGTACTAGGAACCAATAGTAATAATTCTGGCTTCCGTAGCAGCCAGGCTTTTGCAGCTGCCTGTAGGAACGTAGAGAGGATATCAGTCCTCCGCCAATATTAGGTATGGGTACGAGGAGGCATCCAACTTGGGGAAGTTTAGTCACGCTTCATGCCATTGATAGTTACAAGTGAAGTGGAAGCTCCGTATGCATTCGAGTACAGGATATATAGAACAGGTTGGCAGCTTGCCATGGCTGATAGAAATACATGGTAGATAGAAATGAGAAAGCATCGCTCGCCAAATATGTCTTCACCGCTTGACCCAGGTAGGCATCTTGCGGGCCTTGACATGACCCGGCTTCTTCCTCTCCACACGACGAGCATCGACCGTGATAGCACCAGCTGGAAGGCGTCAGTAACCACAACCAAAACACGAGATCAGGAAAAAGCTCACCTTTTCGCAAAACAGGCTTCAAACCTGGCTCATGCAACATCAGTGCCCGTCCAATGGCGAGCGTGATAGCCTCTGCCTGGCCAGTTGAGCCACCGCCGTGGACTCTGACCCAGACGTTATACTTATCAATCCGTTCGGTGGATCGCAGCGCCCACAGCGCCTTCTCTCGGTCATCTACCCTCGGGAACACATCCACGATGGATCGGCCATTCACAAGCACCTCGCCCTCGCCCTCAACAAGCTGCACAACCGCAGTCGACGTCTTCCTCTTTCCCTTGGCACGCGCACAGCCGTTCTCATCGACCTCGCGCGGGGTGTGCTCCTTCGCGTACGGATTTCCCGGTCGCAGGAACACGGAAATAGCTGTGCGGACTTCTTGCGGTGCGATCCCGGGCTCAATACGGTTCAGTTGCTGCAGAAGCTTGAGCAAGCTTCGGTACTTCTTGACCGGGACAGCCTCGCCGACGAAGTCGCGAAACTGGGCCAGCTTGAACCAGGCCATTCGAGGCGCTTCTCCGGCCGGCACTTGTGGGAGCGAAGCATACTTCTGTTGTAAATGCTCCAGGTTCAGGACGTGATCGATGAATCGTGGGTTGCCGGAGAAATATGCCCGTGAAGCTGGGACAATCCGAGCTGGGCGCTGCTGAAACTTTGCGAAGTTGATCTCTGGTGCAGGTCGGACTTCGAGCTGGGGTTCTGCGGTCTGCTCTGGTAAAGCCTCCGTTGATGGGGTCTGCGGCTCGGTCTCGGTCGCGTAGAAGCGGGCGGTTGGCCGTAAGGATGGGATCACACGACGATATGGAGTCCCTTGTAACCGCAGCAATTGCATTGCCTGGACAATGCCATTGGGCGCGTGCCGGGCCATGACTAGGAGTTGGGGGTGTTTCTTTTTGGAAGGGCAGCGATCTCCGGAACCCTCGATGAACAAAGGCTCGAATTGCTGTTTTTCCCTGTGCCACGTGATCCGGCAAGATTGGTTAATCCGGGTGCCGGCGCCGCGCCATGCGTGCACAAAATTTCTCCTGTGCCCCTCCTTCTCCTTTCTTTCTTTTCCCTCCATTCCCTAAAAACCCTCCTTCATTTTCAAAATGGCCTTCGGAAAGCTTTACGGTCTGCCTGTATGTGCTTTGTCCTGCCCAGCCTTCCTTTCACAATGCTAATTGTCGCGCAGGACAACGGTCGCACCCTCTCTGTCCTGGTCGCTGCCAAGCACAACGACCTGGACCTTGAGCTGGTCAAGACTGAGGCCAAGGCCGATGCCAACACCGGTGCCGAGTACCGTTCCATTCAGCCCCTCGGAAAGATCCCTGGATTTGAGGGTGCCAATGGCTTCAAGCTCTCCGAGGTTATCGCCATCAACATCTACGGTATGTGTCAACAAAAAAAAATCTTGAAATTTGGATTAGCTCCATTTGTCGACAAACTGCACGCTTCCTCGCAAAACCACCCCCTGCTTTTATGATGAACATTTTTTTCAAATTATCTAGTTATCCCTGGCAGAACTATAACTGTTGATAACATACACTTCTGAATCACAACCCCTCCAGAGGAAAAAATTGAGTACCCCACTTTGGGCGGAAATTTTTTTAACCTCTGGGGAAATGGGCAATCCTACCCCTCTTTCGGGAAGGAATTGTCTGTTCCATTGCGTGCTCGATTGCTTAAATGCTGCATACCTATTGCTAAGACCTTGACTAATGTTACGGCCTTCATAGTGACCTCCCAGAACGAGAAGACCACTCTCCTTGGCAAGACCAAGCAGGACTACGCTTCCATTGTCAGCTGGTTGTCCTTCGCCAACGCTGAGCTCCTCCCCCGCTTCGGTGCCTGGTACCGCCCCCTCCTCGGTCTCGATGGCTACAACAAGAAGACCGTCGACGAGGCCTCCAAGGCTGCTCTTAAGACCATTGCTGTCCTGGAGAAGTACCTGACCGAGAACACCTACCTTGTGGGTGAGCGTATCACCCTTGCTGATACCTTCACTGCCTCCCTTCTCACTCGGGCCTTCGCCACCGTTCTGGACAAGAGCTGGCGCAGCGAGAACCCTGCCACCACCCGGTGGTACAACACCATCATCAACCAGGAGCCTTTCAAGGCTGTCTTCCCCAACCCCGTCTTCGCCGAAGAGGTTGTCAAGTACACTCCCCCCAAGAAGGAGGAGAAGCCCAAGCCTGCTGCTGCTGCCCCCGAGCAGCCCGCCGAGGAGAAGCCCAAGGCTAAGCACCCCCTTGAGGCCCTTGGCAAGCCCACTCTCATCCTCGATGACTGGAAGCGCAAGTACTCCAACGAGGAGACCCGTGAGGAGGCTCTTCCCTGGTTCTGGCAGAACTACAAGCCTGATGAGTACTCCCTCTGGAAGGTTGACTACAAGTACAACGACGAGCTGAAGCTCACCTTCATGTCCAACAACTTGGTGGGTGGCTTCCACGCCCGTCTTGAGGCTTCCCGCAAGTACCTCTTCGGTGCCCAGGCTGTCTACGGTGCCAACTACGCCAACGTCATCACTGGTGTCTTCCTTGTCCGTGGCCAGGAAGCTGAGCCCGCTTTCAGCGTCGCCCCCGACTGGGAGAGCTACTCCTTCCAGAAGCTCGACCACACCTCCGAGGCTGACCGCAAGACCGTCGAGGACCTCTGGGCCTGGGACGTCCCTGTCAAGGGTGCTGATGGCCAGGACCTCCCCTTCGCTGACGGCCACGTCTTCAAATAAGCTTGTGCGCCCCGTGCTAGCTTTCTTTTGACCTTCACCCGAATACCCCTGAGAATGCGCGACTGTGGCCTCCATATTTATGCCATCTTGCCTTCTCTTTCTTCCCCCATTTTTTTCAAAAACTTTTTTTTCTGTCACGCGCCGATGTGTTTCACGTTTACGCTTATGATGATGCGAGATGATTGACCGGTTGCCCTGGCTGGGTGGCTTAGGTCGTAGCTAGTTACTTTTTCTAGCAATGAATAAAGGAATCGGGGCCGTGTCTCTGATGACTTTTGTCAGCATTTTACTTCCAGCCCTGAGTAGTTAATCTCATTGTAGTTTGTCGAATCATTTGATTGGTGAGGTGTCTTTGCTATTAATCTAAGGCGTCGAGCTATACCGCTCAGCTAATACTGGCGCTTTAGCTGCCCTAGGTTATCATTCTCGCACATTGTCACTCTTCAATATCACAGGTCATTCGAACGGCCAATAACGCTCGTACTCGGCCTTTTCCTCGTCAGTCTCAGCAAGTTGCTCCAACAGCTGACCCTTGACTTCGTGGAGCGCAGCTTTGCAATCATCGTATCGTTCATGCTCGATGAAACCTTTGTCTGGCCACAAATCGCCCATTCTCTCCTTGATCTCCGTGACAAGCTCAGCCCCTGCCACTGCACCATCACTATCCAGTTTAATACGCTCGAGATCTTCTCCCGAAAAGTCAAACGGGAATGGGATATTGCTGTTCAAATCCGTCCACGTGTCCTTCAGATCGACCAGAAGCGATTGGAAATGCGCCTCACCGTATTCGAACATTCGGTGGGCAAGAAATATCAGGCCATAGGCTGCCATCTTTCGGAACTCGACTACTCGATATAGATCGGGGTTTTTTGTACGCATGAGTTTCCGCCATGCAATAAACACGTTTCGAATAGCATATTCCTGCACAGCGGCAGATCGTTCTTTTGCGGAAAGACCTGAGAGATTCGGCCGTGGCGCCAAATCGAGGATCTCAGGCTCAAGGCCATCCCAGTTGAGGAAGGCTGGATCGGGATTGTGGTTGAAAAGGGGCGAAATATGGCAAGATTGCCAGTCGATGATGCCCGTAATCTTTTCGGGATTATGCGGGTCTACAAAGATGTTATCATCGTGTAAATCGTTGTGCCAGAGATAGGGCCTGGTGATAGTAGAGTCTTTTGGAATAAGGACATCGACGATTTGTTGATACCATGCTAGAGCAGTAAGTTTCTTTTCCTTGTCTGGTCTGTAGAGTTTTGGGCCATAAAATAAGACAATCTGTTTTGGCGGTTTTAAAGACTGGATAGCCTTTGTCTCTCGCGTTCCGACTTCTTCTAGATATTGTGTAAGAGAAGTCCCTATAAGATTATTAGCAGCTGCGCGAAAAAGACATAAACAAAAAAGATATAAACAACAACATACATGGCCCTTTCTTGATATCCAAAGTTAATCGGCCTGCATCAAACCAATCCCGGCCTGTAGCGGGGCCAATAACAAAACCCGAATCTCTGATAGCCTTGCCATCTTTGATATAGTAGCTGTCTGCTGGTTGTTGCTGTAGGTCTTCTGTGTAGTATAAGCTACCGTAATGCGAGAATGAAACGCTCAGCCATTGTTTCTGGAGACGTGTCATGGTAAGAAGTATTTGAAGCTTCTGGGGCAGCTTTAAGGTATCCCAGACTTGGGACAGCGGAATGCCCTCAATTTTATCCATGATAATAAATTCAGCGCCAACAGGATGCGATCCTGCTTGCGAGTTCCACGAGTGTACACGCGGAGCCGGCGTCTCAAGCACTTTTCTGGCCTACAAAATCAGTCTTGTTAGCAAGATTTGTTATAGATAGAGTTCAATATAAAGCATACAAAGTCCATAGTAGCGACCTCACTAGCCGTGGTAAAGTGTGGGACGCCAGCATTCGGGTTAGGCACCTTGGCTATGACTTCTCGGCCATCATCCATAGACATAAAAAATGCTTTGTTGAACATGCCGTCGGGGTACTTCTTGATGGAAACGCATCGAGAGGCGCCCACAGAGTCTGCTGCGACTCGTGCGAGCCTATTCATATCGAACCTGATCTCTCGCTTTCGAAGGTTCTCTGCCTCATCCACAATAAAGCGGCCACGCGTGAATTTGAAGAATTCATCATGAGAATTCCAGTCTGATCGGGATTAATAATATGTTGAACTGCGCTCAAATGGTGTTCACCTTTCTGAGAAGAGCCCATGTTGGTGGGACGGTGGTCATATGATAACGTTGGAGCTTTCGAAATCGAGCGACAGTGATGCTTTTGGCTTGGTATTATCCTTTGGAGATAGAACCAAAGACGCGTGGATGGGTGTCGGTACATATTGCAGGAAGCGTAATCCTGTGTTGGTGCCTACCTTCCAGAAAATCACTTGGCACTCGATCACAGGAACATCAGATTGCCGAGGAAATCAAGAAGCAAAAAATAAGATCCACCCATCGAATGCCGCTTTGCTATGCATGATGATGATACAGGTGTTGTGGAGAACAATAAGTAGTGGCCCCTGGATCCTCTATAGAGGACCAGCACGTGACCATATTGGGACTCGCGAGTCGAGTAACTAACTAGGTTAATAGTCATAATGTTTTTTATATAAGGAACCTGCTGTATAAATAGTCCGTGCCTGTTATTCTAGATCCATCAGAGTTATATATTCTTTCTTTCTATACTGTATTTTATAGATCCTCTTCTACAGCTCTAATTCATCATGTGAAAGAAGTGACAAAAGAATTGAGCGCACTTGCGCGCCACAATGGATATCTCAACATTATTTACAGGATTTTGGTTCGGAGTACGGATTCTAGCAAAGTTCCTCCCTCAAAGTCAATCACAGTACCGAATGGGGTAATAAAATACTTCTTCCTAAACGCGAAGCCCAAGGCCATCCTCCAAGCGATCCAGCAACGAATTTCCCGACACTGACGAGATAGCGGGCGAAGCAGGTCGATCAGGTCGCTCAAGTTGCTCAGGTTGCGCAGATTGCTCCGGCTGCTCGGTTTCAGCTGGCGCAAAGCTAGTTGGCGAGTACACGCTGTCAGCGTCCGGAGCCTCGACCTTCTCATCCTCGCTGGTAAGCGGCGAAGGGGAACGCGGCGCTTCCAGGGGAGCGGGGATAGTATCGACGTGGCCGTGCTCCAGCGCCACAGCCGCAGTTTCGGCAGGCGAAGAGAGGACCAGACCGGGGATGGACACAGCCGCACCGGCAGAGGGTGCTTCAACAGTAGCTGTTTGTGCAGGATTGTTGCGAGGGCGGAAGTTGTGGCGTGGAGCGTTGCGGTCGTGGGCAGAGCTAATAGCTGCGTTCATAGCCTCGCGCTGGTCGCTTGTGTTCTGGTGGTTGGAGGACAGATCCTTGAGCAATGCGTTTGGCTTGGAATTCTTCTTCTTCTTCCTTTGATTGACGGGCTGAGCCGGCATGCTTCTTTTGGGGCCGGCGTCGTCAGGACCGTCATACTGTTGACTTGGAATCTGGGGGGCTGATTGGAGATCCATGACCAGTGCATTGGCCTCCGCACTGAGGTCATCCTGCATGGCTTGCTTTTGTTTTTTGCTTGGGACTGGAGGGGCTAAGGCTTCCCGTTCTTTCTTCTCGGCCTTGCGAGCCTTCTTGCGTGCTTTCTTTGCTTCTTTCAGTGCAGCTTTTTCTTCAGGCGAAGGTGCAGGCTTGTTCTTGTTCTTCCTATCCTTTTTGCGTGACGAAGCTGGGTTGCTGTTGCTGTTGCTGTTGTTGGGTTGTTGTGGGGGTAGAAGTGGTGTTCCACCACCGATGTCAGAATCCTCCGAGTCATGTATTTCTGGCTCGTCAGGCTTCTCAGGGCTGATGTCCAGATCTAAGATGTTGCCGCCGCTATCCGCAAGTCGCTCGTTCCACACGCGTAGGACCTTGGAGACGTCGTCGTGACGCGCCAGGACGTGAAGACGCCCGAGTACCTTCGCAAATAAATCCGACTCATCAATAGTGGCGTCGTTCGTGAATTCAGGGATCTCCAGAATATTGTACGGTTCGCTAATAGCCTTGAGTTTGCTATCGTCGATAAGAACGGTGTTGGTCTGATCCCACTGCCCCACGGTCTTTGATGCGGAAACCGCAGCGATCTGCTTTGCCAACTTCTTGCGGGCAAATTTGCCCCCGGGCTTTCCACCTGTCTCGATTGGCTTGTTGCCCGGATACCGTGATCTGATCACCGGGTCTTCCCACACCTTATGCAGCTCTTTGTACACTTGGAGCTTCGAGTTATACTGCCGGGGCGTAAGGCCGAATTTCTCTCGGTCCCAACGTGCCACGAGCTTCCGTTTGCCTGTTGCGGGGAATAACTCATCACATACTGCGTTGCAGGTCGCGGGCTTAGAACTCGTCCAGATCATCACCGAATAGTTGCTTGTCAGCTTGTCCAGGAAGTGGTCCAGACCGGCGCGTCGGGTGTAGGAAGGGGGGAGCTTTTTATGTTTCCGAAGAATCAAAGTTCCGTTTAGGTCAAGAATGACCAGAAGTGGTCTGGGTTGGCAGGGTCGAGGCGGCTGTAACGACTGTTCCAAGTACGTGGACTTGGGATCAGGCGCTTGCACTACCGGTGTAACTGACCTCTTTCTTTGCGGACCCAGACTCGTAGCAACGACGTGTTGTATGGGGGTGCCTCCAACCCACCCACGGAATTCATCAAAGGGTGAGATGGTAGCATCGGGTTCATGTCTGGCGACACGTGCGAGTAGGAAGGCGAGAAGAATGGAGGGTTAACATAGGCCGGCGGGTGGTAATCTGTCGCCGGGTTGATATTGGCTGGATTCCAGAAAGGCGCATTCGCATTGAAAGTGCTCAGTATCGGAGCTCCTGGAGGTGCTGGAGATTGTATGAATCCTGGACTCGGTCGCTTGAAGTCCTGTGGATACGGGCTGAATTGGTTGTTATACGGTAACTGAGGATTCGGCCCTGGGAGAGAACTACGAGTCACAGGCCCATACACACTACCTGGAGGAGAGTATCCACTGTAGCCATTCCGCGGGGCATTCGGCCACGAGCTTTGGCGTTCCGCACCACGCTCCACCGGCGCGTAATAGAGCCGCGAACTGTAAACCGGAGGCTCAGAGGCAGCACTGTAAGCTTGCGACTCAAGCCTCCTCCTTTTACCGTCCCCAGGACGCGACACTTTGGCAGATTCTCGAGGCTCGGGCTCGGAGGAAAGACGCTTCGAGGGTAAACGTGCGGGAGGCGAGTTGCTAGATGAGACAAACATTGGCAACATGCTATGAGATGATATGGAAGACATATACCTACTCGAAGGATTTGTAGACACCCAGTCTCGAGCGTATGAAGGAAGCCCACCGCGAAGCCCAAGGCGAGCAAGGCATGTGGAACCTGCGACCTGATGAGTTGCAGAAAAAACGTTCTAATCAGCGTTATCGTCTCACCGCCTTGGCAGTAATCTTATTTTTCACTCTGTGTTTCAATCTCGACACAAAACATCCAACATGGCAATTCAAGACATGCTGAACCGCCGTGTGCGGGCAAGGCCTGCTGACGAGGACTCTTACTCTGAGGCCTCTGACGCCGAGGCTGCCTCCCAGGACGAGCGTGGCCGGGCTTCCGACTCCAACACCGAAGATATCGAATCGCAAGACGTACGATCTACTCTTCCCCCACCTTACAAGTACAGAAACTAACCAGTAATCCAGTCAGATGAAGGCTCGGAGCAGGACAGCGAAGAAGGAGACGAAGAAGAACTTGCTTCCGAAGATGAGGACGAGGACGAGGACGAGGACATCCAAGCCTCACTGAGCAACATCTCATTCGGAGCCCTCGCCAAAGCCCAGGCCTCCGTGGGCCCGAAGAAACGCAAAGAAAGAGCCACCAAAGAAAGCACAGAGACCACCGTGTCTCCAATCGAGGAAATCCGCGCTCGCATCCGCGAAGCCCGTGAGCAGAAACAAGAAGGCAAACCAAAAGCAGCCAGCAAAAGCGAGCAAAAGCCCGCCCGCCCCTCCAAGCACGCGCCGATGGAGATGTCCTCCAAGTATGCCGTTTCTCGCAAGCGCACCGTCATCGAACCGCCCGCCGCCCCCAAAGCGCGAGACCCGCGGTTCGACGCCGCAGTGATGGGGCACAGTGGCGCGGGGCGGTACTCGGAGGGCACGAGCAAGGCGTATGCATTCTTAGATGAGTATCGGGCGCAGGAGCTGAAGGAGTTGAAGGAGCAGTACCGGAGGACAAAGAATGCGCAGCAGAAGGAAGAGCTGAAGAAGCAGATCCGGTCTGAGACGGACCGGATGAAGGCGCTGGAGAACAAGAAGCGGGAGCGGGAAATTATTTCTGAGCATAAAAAGCGTGAGAAGCAGCTGCTGCGGGAGGGCAAGAAGAGTACGCCTTACTTCTTGAAGAGGTCTGATCTCAAGAAGCAGGTTCTGGAGAAGAAGTATGAGGGCATGAAGTCGAGGGATCGGGCAAAGGCGCTGGAAAGACGGCGCAAGAAGATTGCGTCCAAGGAGAGGAAGGATATGCCCATGGAGCGTCGGGGAACAAGTGACGATGGGCCTCCGGTCGATAGGGGCAAGAGGAGACGGCTGGATTGATCTGTAGATACCCATTTTGTTTCGAAGTAAATGTTTTCCAATTTATTATCATACAGGACTTTTTTCTTTGCACGGGAAACGGTTCGCAAGTGATCAATGCCCAATCACTACATTAGATTCCTAACTCGGGAAGACCAGTCAGAGCCGGCCGAAAACTCGAGAAACCCATTTAATGCTAAAGCTCCAAAAGTAGTATGCAGAAGATAAGGTATATAGTAAAAAGCAAAGATTCCACCCAAACGCCACTGCATTAACATCGAGATGCAAGGTTCACAAGCGCAAATATTTTCCAGGAGCCAGAGGCTCGCCACTGTCGTACCGTGGATCAAAAATGAGATATAAACATCAGTATCATATATAGAATGGCCCGTTCATGGAAGACCGGCTAAGAGGGCCATAGCTAGGAAAGAAAAACTCTTTCGAGTAGAAGATTTTGTCGCTGCGGATTTTAGACAGGGCGATAGAGGTGGAGACTGAATCGCTGTCCTATTCTGTCTTTCCACAGAGAGCGGGTTGCCACTGCAACCCTTGACATGGCTTGGAAGCCGCCTTCATTAGGCCAGGGGCTTCAAGTCCATGCACGATGGTATTATTAGAAGTAATGGCAAAATGTGCTTCAAGAGTGAAACAGATCCCACGCTCGGGCACACAGGCCCAGGAATTCCTCCTTTTTCTTCCGCTGAGTTTCAGGCGAGTCCCGACCCGCGCCAAATGGACCATAGAAGGTGGAGTTGGGACCCGGTTGGGTAGCAGGATTGGGGCGATAATGAGGGTCAGGTTGACGGCCCAGGGGCGGGCTGCCATTGTCATTCTCATACTCACTGCGCGGGCGGCGACGCGCGGTGACTTCGGCGGTGTGTAGCATCGCAGCATGCGCCGCATGGGCTGCACCTTCACTGGCCAAGGGGGCCGTTTTGGGGGCCATATGCATCGTTTGAGGGGATGGCGGGGTGGGTGGCTGGTGACCGCCATAGTGAACGATGCGAGGCAGCAGCTCCTCGCGGCCGCCGGACAATTCTTGGACTGCTTCTTCAGCAGATCGGTACTCACGAGGCCGGCTCTGAGACTGGCCTGGAAGGCCGGGGGAAGGCATGGGCGCAAGATTAGACTGTGACGAGTTGGTACTGGAGGCATTTACGTACAGCCCTTGACGGGCATCACGGTCGCGACCCAGCGATTCAGATCCAAAGACATCCGAGAGAGGGGGAGGCGATTATTCGTCTGGTTGGCGGGGACTTGGTGCATATGCGAGGTTGAGCCGAGGGTGGGACTCTGGTTGACAACATGGCGGGTTAGAGGCTGGGGTTGATATCGGCCGGTGAAGGTTTGGTTGAGCGGCGCCGACTGCACGACGCGCTCATTGGCGAATTGTGAGGCGGATGGAGGCACAATCGAGAGACCTGGCGGCGGTCGTCGCTTGGAAGACTTGGGCATGTTCATAAACCCCGCCTCGGACGGCTTGACGCCATCCGGGCCATCATTCTTCGCTGATTTCTGAAGTCGCGACTCGATGATCGACCGTTGCTGATCCCGGACGGAAAGACTGCGCTGAAGCTGTTCCCGCATCGCCGGGTCGTGAGTTTGGAAGCCCGGCGACAAGCACGCCATACCCAGGTCCTGCATTCTGACGCCATCGCGAGCAGTCATGGGTCCTCCGGGCGGGCGAACAGTAAGACCACTCGACGATGGCAGGCTGGTGGATAAGTCTAACTTGCGTGGTCGGGGACGAGACTGGATCTTAGGTGATGAAGCTGGCTCCTTTTTCACCGTGATCCTCAGGGGCAGTGCTGCTTTGCGACCCGCGCATGACGTTAGCATATCTGGGACTGGTGCCCCGAACAGCACCACTTACGGAGACGAGAGGTTCTTGGGAGATTCCTTTGCTGAATCATCCTGAGGATTCCGAGGCGGCGAAGAATTCACCGGGGCCAAGGTCGGACAGTTCTTGGGGCTGCGATCGCGGTTGGTATGCGGCGAAGACAACGAGGCTGCAGGCGCAGAAGCCACTGCCGTAGACATGGCGGGTTGGATGTTGTCCTCTTTTTTATAGATATATTTCTCTTATTTCCTGTCCTCCAGAAAGCCTCCCGAGGGCGATTATAAGGCGAGCATGAACGAGCGGGAGGACTCAGACACTATGACGGCTCTGACGCAAGTTCCAACCTGAGGTCTTGTACACGGGCGAATACAGGACAAAGAAGGGAAGAAGAAGGTTGGAAAGGCCAGATGGGAGGGGAATGGAGGGGACGGTTAGGCGGCAAACCCAGAAAAACCAAGATTACAAGTTCAAAGAACCAACAGCACCCCAAAAGATCCAAAGACCAGGCCCAGAAGCGAGAAGCGAGGACGAGTAGAGTTTAACTAAAGAGGAAAGGAGAAGGGGGGGAAAGTGGAGAGTTTCGGATGAAATTCATGGTTCTCCAGGGGCTCAGGATGATAGGGATGCCACCACCAACACGACCAGGGCCAGGGACATGGTTCGTCAAGATCAGCCGAGGCCACAATTTGCGGGTACAAGAGGTTTCGTGGTGGAGCAGGGGCTCCCACACCATCTACGCCCGGGCGTATCAGCTTGCTCGGCCTGAGACACCAGTGGTTTCTGTTTCCATCGCATAGAGGACACACTCCTGAAACCAGGGAGTCTACGGGACGAGTCATGGAAGCGCCCAGTCCTACTCCTGCTGCGCTAACTGACAATGTCCTCGACTGCGGGCAGTACAAGTAACCTCCATTCCACGACGCCATGAGTCCATAATTTGGCCCCTATAACTAAGCCTATGAGTTTACAAATCCACTACGGAGTACGGAGTAGGCTCATTCCAATTAATATGAGGAGGTCAGATTTTTCAGCGGGGTTTCACGTCTCAATAGTTTCGTTTTGAAGGCCCCGACCCACTCGGCCCCCAATTATCGATCGGCATCCCACGGGGTTCACATCGTGGCCTTTGCGGCGCTTACAGCAACATGGCCTGTGGCTCCCTCCATCGATAGTCTGTGACGGGCAGGGTGAGACTGCATGAACCCACAGAGCCTGACAGGGAGGCTTGAGACATGCGGTTTTTCTTGCACAGAGGTCACAGCAGAGACAGGATAGGTCCAGCCATGGCTTCCCCCACCCCTTCCTGTGGATCACAATGCAAACCCAAATGTCAATGCCCGGCTGCATTTACCGCTAGCTCGCTCATGCAGAAGACCTGATTTCATTGCTCTTCGGGGCCACTGATTGGCTGCAAGTCACGGTCTCAGCTCCGCATAAGGGAGGTGTTCGTCAAGGAGGCCCAAGCCTATAGGATGGGAAGAACGTCCCAGCCGATCTCAGAAAGAATCGCCGTATACTCCGTATTGTGGGCACTTTTCGAAGGCTGCTCAAGCATGGACTTAAGATGGAGGCTCCGCTGACATGGTGGCTGCAAAGAATGGCCGTGCTTATTGGAGCTCCGCGATGGGGCAATCTTAAGAATCCAATAGTGCCGGGGCCAGAGTGGTTCGTATCCGTCTGCTCCACCACAGTCATTGGCTGACCGGGGAGCTTTTGACTGCTCTGGCCCTTTGCAAAGTAGCGGAAGCAATAGTCCTGCTCCGAGTAGATTAAAGCTGTGCATGGATCTTCGATCTGTCAAACTTTTTTTCTTTTTTTCCATTCCTGACAACTTCCCCGCTATCAGCCACGGAGTCCGCATTGCGCTGCTGCACTCGAGTCACTTCGTCACCCGTCACCCCGTCACCTACTTCGGGACCACTTTGCAGAATTATGTAGGCTGATTTTTTTTGAACTAGGGTTTGTATGACGTGATAGGTTATCCCAAGAGGGGCGCTGCTGGGTGTCTGAGTGGCTCAGACATTCGAGGGCTGGACCCTTTGCGGGATGAGACTAGGGGGTCTGGTCTGATTCCTTTTAGAGTTGCGTCCTCCGTAAATGCCACGGCATACGGCGAATCAAAATTTAAGTGTATGCGTTGTGTGTATAATCATGTCTAAGAGCTCGGCCAGGAAGTCTCCATATCCCTTACACAGTGTATGCTCGTGAAGCTCTGTCAAGCCAGCTGCCCTAACTAAACCGTTGACCCTGTCAACGGCAGCAGACCAGCTGTTCCTGCTGTGAGACGCCATCTTCCAATCGCCCGCTACACAGCATTATGACTCCTGCACAACATATCAGTTTTGCATGGTCGCGAAAATGACAAGACATTTCAATCTCCTAAAAAAGTATAATCCAGGAATGATGTTTATCAACGCTGAGCTGGAGTCGAAGTTCAATATATCCGTCCCAAAATAGAAGGCGGTGGATCGCTATCGATAACCCACTTTTTTTCTTTCGGGGTCTGCAGTTGAACGTCATTCTATTTCTGCGAATCCACGTTCTTCTGGTGCCAGCTGGATCGGGAAGTGGCAGAATACCTAATCCTCACACGAAATCATCACTATACGCCCCGATCAATCGCAACCGACCCACCAATTCTTCACGAATACCTCTCGCCATGCCAGGCTCCGTCCACTCAGACTCCCAAGACCAGTCTATGGTCGACGCGGGACAAGAACAGCCGGAGGTCCCTATCCAGTTGGACGAGAAGCGCATTGTAGTGGTATGTAACATAAAGAGACTGCAATCTCTGTTTTCCATTAGTACGAAAGCTAACTTCATCGCATAGCTTCCGGGCGCCGACGAACACAACGCTTCCTTCCAATTTGAGAACGAGGGCCACACACTCGGCAATGCCCTGCGCTACGCTATTATGAAGAAGTATGATTTGGAAAATCTCGGTCTCCAACCTGTGCTGTACTGACTTTTGCTAGCGCCGAGGTCGAATTCTGCGGTTATACTATCCCCCATCCTTCCGACCCTAAGATGCACCTTCGCATTCAGACTACCGGTGGGTTTTATTGATGATTGGATTTGGAAGTTCAGCTATGGGCATTTGTGTGCTGACGTCAATACAGACCAGACTACTGCCTTAGCCGCCCTCGAGAAGGGCTTCAGTGACCTGATGGACCTGTGTGACGTTGTCACTGAGAAGTTCACAGAGAGCCGGGATCGGTTCAACGAGGAGAGCAGCAATCGCATGCAAGTTTGAGCGAGGATCGCTAGTTGCATTATGTCATGATACACATGACAAGAAAGGCGTTCTGGTTTGGTTTGAAAAAGCTATCGTTTCTGGGATATAAGGACTCACCTTGAAGTAGTGTATAGAAATGCGTACATATTTGGATCAAAAGCCAATGATCGCCAATTTAGAATGGCCATTTTAGCCAGGGAAGATCAATTCCGCTGAAACTTGAAGCAATAAGAACCAAGAATATTCATTATTCCGACGTGGTCAAGGCATATCGCCGGGCATTATGCCCTTACTCCTCCGGTGTGTCACGGAAAAGCATCCCAGTAAAAGCGTCAGGAACCGAACCCCCAACAGCAGGCGTCCTATCCACAATACCCCTAATCTCCAACTCCTCCGCATCCGTAAGCGTGACGTCAAGCGCCCCCATATTATCCTCGAGGTACTTAATCTGCCTCGTGCCGGGAATCGGAAAGATATCATCTCCCTGCTTCAACAACCAAGCAAGCGCCAACTGCGACAAGCTGCAACCCTTCCGATCAGCAACGACCTTAATCTGGGCCGCCAAGCTCGCATTAGCCTGCTTCGCCCCATCCTGAAATTGCGGCATCATCTTCTCGCGGACATCCGCCTCGGCTCCAATCGCCTTGCCCTGGCTGAACGCGGAGCTCAACAAGCCTCGGCCTAGCGGCATTGCGCAGACAACTGCGATGCCGAGCTCGCGACATGTAGCTAGGGCGTCGGTTCCTTCGGGTCCTTCGATCAAGCGCTCGAAGAGCGAGTAACCGGGCTGGTAGGCGGCGATAGGCGCTATTTTGGCGGCGCGCCGGATAGTGCTGGAGGATACGCACGAAAGGCCGATGTGCTTGATTTTACCCTCGCTGGTTGAAGTGAGCCCTCGATTCTGCCAGTGGTCATGTAGGTGGGGTTTACGTACGCTTGTAGCTCGACGAGAGCGCGCATGGTCTTCTCGATTGGGGTGACTTTGTCTACGTTGTGGACGTAGTCTGTAGGGGCGTTAGTATGATGGATTGAGGGAGATCTCTGAGCATTGAAACGTACACAGGCCAAGGTGGTCGATTCCGAGGGTCTCCAAGGTCAAGTAGCAGGCCTTCTTGGTGTATGCGGCTGAGGTATCGATCTCCAATGTCGGACTACCGCGTACGTATCCGAACTTGGATGCGAGGAAGATCTGGTCGCGTTTTCCGGTCCTCTTGAACCATTGCGCCAGGAGCTCTTCGTTGTCACCATAAAAGCTGTTGAACTGTCAGAGATGCTCGTTTGACATGCTGTCGTGTGGAACACTTAATCGGCGGTGTCCCAGAAGGTTGCCTCAATTTCGACGGCGCGGTCAAGCAGGGCGAAACGCTTATCATCTTCGATCGGAGCTCCGTAAGATGGAGAGGTCATAACCATCATACCATATCCAATGGCGGGGACCAATGGACCATTCTTGCCTAAGCGCCGGGGGTTTGTGAACTTGGATGCCATTTTGTGTCTAAAGTGATCTGAGTACAGTTCTGAAGTCAGCCATGATGTGGACGACACCCTCTTTATATCTCTCGCAAATGCCTCTTCTGCCGCTTACATCCCAAATCCCGTCCATGATTCCAAGTGACTCTAGACAAAAAGGTAGAAGAATAATAAACTCGGGTATGAGTGGATGGCTAAGAAGATTAGTTATGCAGATCCAGAAGGGATTTCCGAACAGACCAATGGCCTTCTTCTGGCGACTTGGGACGCATGTGTCATGTTATTACGCTTATGGGTGACTAGTCATTTCTCCTCTATCACTCGGCCAAAAATATACTCCATCAATATGCTCTGGCTACTTGTTCTAACCCAATTAGCCTTCAGCCCGAGATACTTTCCCAAATTCCGAACTGGCGAACCACACCATTTGAAAACAAACGTCCCCGCAGCCCCACACAAGCCCCAAGTAAGACGAGCCTCGTTATGACCGCATCGACGTTTTGACAATGAGCGCTTCATGCGCTCGACGTACCCTTAGGCAAATGAATATGTATTCGAAAAATGGCTGCCGCACCTGCAAGTAAGTCTGCCCGTCGACCCTGAGCATAAACGAAATCTAGCAGAACTAAAAGTCAGTAGGATCCGCAAGATCAAATGCGATGAAGGGAAAACCGTCCTGCCACCGCTGTGTATCAACAGGACGTAGATGTGATGACTACACTCTATGGACGGGCAATAGGACGGTAAAGCAGACTAAGAATGCTATGCCCCACGATGTCACTATCCCGCATTTGATCAGCGCGCTTTGTCGTTCAGCAAGCGTGGAGGAGAAGCAGTATCTCGATTGGTTCAAGATCCGCACTGTAACCAAGCTACCGGGCTCTTTCATGTCCGAATTCTGGTCAATGCTACTCCTCCAGGCCAGTGTCACTCAGCCGGCGATTATGCATGCCAGCCTTGCGTTGAGTGCCGTGCACAAGCTCGATGCGACGGATGTAAGGCCCGAGGATAGGCCTTTGATGGCGCAGTTTGCGGTTCGGAATTATGTTGAAGCATTGGGATACTTGAAGGCCCACTTTCGAAAGATGGACATGGAGTCTTGCCAGGTCATTCTAATTGCGTGTGTGGTTTTTGTCTCGTTGGAGTGTCTACGGGGCCACATCGCGTCCACGCAAGCGGCGTTGGCAGCGCGTAAGGTGGCTGAGCTCGAAGGGGGGGGGGTTTCTATGATAGCTTTGACTTGCCAGAATCTGATTTGACGGGCTGTCAGGGCGCGCCGGCTTATTGTGGGCCGAGGCTACCTGAGTCTCATCGAATAAGTGACGTCGAAATGGTATTATCTGGGAATCCCACACAAGAGATGTCGATCTGCAGGAGGAGGTTGAGAGACGGGCAGACCAAAAGTTGCTTAGCTACGTATTGTGCTACTTCTCAATCTTGGAGGGAAGATGACCATGTCAAGGGTTTTGTGTGCAGACGCACAGCTTATTGATGGTCATGCTCTCGCGTTATTCATAAAGATTAGATATCACACAATTATTATCTAGGTATCACTTATCGTACATGGATCTGTCCCCCTTGAGCACTAGACCGTGGCCTCCTCAAAGATTGAAGCTCAACGTCATTAATATCCATATCGGGAATCATATTTGAGTTCGTCTGGCTGAGGCTTTGGTCTTTATCGGTGTTCCGCGATAGCATGGCCCATTCACTCTGGATACTCGATTCCCGCCTTTGTTCCCTGCTAGAGAAGACTCGAGGCCTGAATCTACCAGCTGAGCTCGGAGCTTCGGCTCCTGAACTGGCAAGAGACGAGAAAATCCTCTTCAATGTCCTGGTAATCACCCTATAAAGGAACGGTATATTGGCGCAGATTATACCACCGAGGGTCTCGAATACAGATAGGATGCCGAGAGGCACTCCCGCCCCTAATCTCGTTAGAATATGTCACATTCTTCTTGGGGGACTGGGATTTACATGTGAAGTCGGATGATCCTTGGGAAACGACCACGGTGAGACGGGCAATGCTCACGCCGCAAGCCCTAACAATTATCAGTACTGGTATGTGTCAGACGACGGAGGGAAATGTACAGGATCCCTATAGTAAAAACACCCGCAACCTCAAACTTCCGCTTGCGCGTAACATGCAAGCTAAATATCACCGGCAATGGAAGCAGAAAAATCCAGATGTCAGTGACGAGATTGGTGATGTTGGTGAAGTAGGAGAAAGCGACCAGATTCAGACAGCTGCCGGGCAGTGCTGTGTTCCAGACCTTTTCGACCGGGATACATTGCAGACCGAGTCCGATCTCCATCGCTGCCAGCCACAGGACTATGAAGACTGCGGTGGCGATTACAACACGGCGGAAAACGACTGTACTGAATATGCGGTAGTACAGAGCTAGAATGGCGAGCTTGATACTTGCGATTGCCCAGTCGTACAGGTGGCTGAAAATGTAGTCGCCCTATGCGGGTTAGGTGGAGCTCGGGCATTTGGACCGAGGGAAGCATGACTTACCCTGAGGAAGGACTCAATTTCATGAGGAGAAAGGGCAGCTTCGTGGCGGCCATAGCCATAGGGTGGGCCTGGTGTTCCAAACGCTGTTAAGCTGGTTTGGCGGGTATGCATTCTTGGGCTAGATTGACGTACCATATACTAGCCCGCTTATGGCTAACGTTATTGAGACTGCCTGTACAACATTAGATCCTGAGACGTCACGAAAACATCCTACTGTTCCTAGTGCACACCGTAGCAAAAATGATCATGTAGTCGTCGAACGACATAGAAATCTTCGACGAAGGGCGCAGCTTAATAAAGAGCCGCAGGCCAGTAAATAACAGCATTATAGGAATCGGGATTGAATAGCACACGTTCACGGTCGTCGTGCGCGACTCACTGAGGTCGACATTAGACTCCATCGCGGGAGGTCTAATTCTCGTAATCGCTACGACTGCCGTGAAGACAGGCAGAAGGCACCTGGTCTTCCAGCCGGAATGAAGGGCGGCGTTGATCAAGGGTATCACGTCCGGAAAAACAACAGCCGGTCCTTTTTGGGCATATTGCATGCCACCCAAACATTTAAGTCATGAGATGCTTCCAGTCGATCTCTCGCTTGATCGAAAGTAATTGGGACGGGTATATGTAAGACACAGGATATTTGCCCAGGTGCGCGTTGTACTTTGCCCGTTTCGCAGCGAATCTTCAGCCGGCACTGATAAGCAAATGCCTTGGGCCCCCCACAAATATGCATATGTAATGGAGGGTACCGGATCCATGGACCTTATTGCCGACTTCACTGCGCAAGGCAAACGTTGCTTACGTTCTGATAGGACAAAGCAGGTGTGCAGACTGCGCTAGCATTGTTATTGAAATCCGGGCGGCGCTACTGCACCAACGGGTGCTTCGGCCCCAAAGTTGTAGCCCATAGATTAGATTCCTAATCTTGGCAGTGGGTAAGGGTTGCATTCAATTTCAGCTATAACCCTTAGAATCCACCCCCGAATCCACAAGTAGCTTAAATTCCCTTTGGGATCTATCTCACATCACGGCCCGATCAACACTCGGCTTGTCCCGATGATGGACGACTCGGAGATGGAGGAATGATTCCTATATCAAGGGAGAATTAACCCCTGTGCGGAGCACTCAATACTGAGGGCCAACCAGACCTAGACGCAAATAGGCCCGTATTTCACGTGCCTCAGGCGTTCCAAGCGGTTCGAAGCCGTGGCTCTCCGGAGTGCCCCCTTCTCTTTGTGCAGGGCGCCTGGGCTCACCCAGGCTAAGATCGACACAACCAGTCTTTCGCCAGTCCACACCACCTTTTTATTTTTTTTTTTGCGCTCTTCCCTCTGGTTTTCCTTACCACCTGTCCTGCAGCTACTGCATGTGAGGCGGCTATCATGAGGGTTGCGGCTGAAATCCGTACCCTGGCCCTCCTGCTTGTCCCAGCCGCCCTTGCTAGGTCGCCGGTCGTGGACCTGGGATACGCCAGGTACCAAGGCACTTACAATAGCACGTTCGACCTGAACATTTTCAAAGGGTGGGACTAACGTGACCAACCCTGGCCACCCGTCACACCTTGCTTATTCTTAATTAGGATTCGATATGCAGCTCCCCCCCGTGGGCCAGTTGCGATGGCAAGCCCCGCAGGCTCCCGCTGTCAACGCCAGCGCCATTCAACTTGCCACGGATCAGCCCCCGCTATGTCCTCAGTCCGGCGGCGCCAAGCTACCTGAAGTTTATGGCTTTAATTCAGCCCTTGGCGATGAGGATTGTCTTTATTTAAATGTTTATGCGCCACCGGGGGCCAAAGACCTTCCGGTCCTGCTCTGGATCCGTAAGTCGAGGTACCACATTGCACGGTGAAATTTGGAACTGAGCCTTGTGATAGACGGCGGAGGGTATGGGATGTTCGGTGCGATCTACGACCCGAGTGATTGGATTAACACCAGCGATAATGGCTTTATCGCCGTGATGATCCAGTATAGACTGGGCGCCTTTGGCTTTTTGGCTTCTGAGGACGTGCACGATCACGGTGCTACAAATGCGGGCTTGCTTGATATGCGCTTTGCCCTCAAGTGGGTGCAAGACCATATTGGCCAGTTCGGGGGTGACCCGACCAACGTCACAGTTGGCGGTGAATCTTCAGGCGCGGGGGGTGCGATGTACCAAGCGCTGGCTTATGGAGGCCGTGAAAATCACTTATTTAATAATGTGCGTTTGGGTGAAAACACCCCCGCAAGGTATGGGGCTTCTGCATAGACTGACTTTTCTAGATAATCGCTGCCAGTCCGTACAGTCCACCTGTGTACAAGTACGACGACATTGTGCCTACAAAACACTACCAGGAGTTTGCAAGGCTAGCTGGTTGTTCTGATGAATCGGGTTCATCTAAATCTGCAGTTTTCGACTGCCTTGTCAAGGCTGACACCGACAAATTACAATACGCCAGCGGGAATGTTTCGACTTCTGGTGCATGGGGAACCTTCGCTTTCCTCCCAGTGATTGATGGGGACTTCATCCAAGAACTGCCATCGAAGCAGCTTCTGAGGAAGAAAGTCAGCGGTAAACGGATTCTTTCCGGTGTAAGTGACCCCACGGTGCCTCGTGTTGCCAAGTTGGAATGCAGTGCTAACTTCGGCAGAACAATGCTAATGACGGGGTCCCGTTGAGTCCTCCGTACATCAATAGTACAGAAGGATTTCTAGATTATGTCAAATCAACGTTTCCTCGCCTCCCACTATTTGAGACGGCCATCCTTCTTGATATCTATGGAACGAAGGGATCCAATCCAGAAAACGATGGCCCGCGTTACGATACACTTGGTGACCAGGGCCCTACAGCTCTGAACCAATCGGAAATGGCAACCGGACTCCAGCAGACCGTCTTCGACATTTTCGCCGAAACAACCTTTTCTTGCCCTTCATATTGGTTGGCAGATGCCTTCTCGGGCCATTACGCCAAAGAAAGCTGGAAGTACCAATATTCCGTAACCCCTGCGTACCACGGCGCAGATTTGACCGCATACTTCTCTGTCGGAGCAGATACACCCACCAGAGGATTCATGCACGCATTCCAAAAGATCTGGAGCAACTTTATCATTCATAATACGCCAGTTATTGCTGTCAAAGACGCTAAAGCCGGTTGCGAGAATGCTACTGTACCAGAAGATGACGACGGATTGATTTCATGGCCTGTGTGGGACGAAGCTTTCCCGGTGTTGATGAGCCTGAACACAACGGGCGGGAGCCTTGTCTTGGACCAAGTTACTGACCTCCTCTCGTACTGGCATCGAGAAGACCCTGGGGTTGTTAATGCCTTCAAACTGGCAAATGCAGATTCTTGGGAAGGGGGTCGCGGGGGGCGTTGTGCTTTCTGGCGCAGTATTGGGCCGCATGTACCGCAATAGAATTGGGACATCACATACGACATAGAGGATACTACCAGCTGTGTATATTACTCCAAAAAAAGGGGTTAATCGAACATCATAATATTCTGGATACGATCATCTAGTATTGCAGTTGACGTTACTGGTCCACGGCAAAATGCTCAAATTCCAAGTTGTGCCGTACTCTACCCGAAAGCCAAAGTGAAGAGTCTCCTAAGAGTGATAGTCAAGCCAGACAGAACTGTTGAGAAGACAGCCCTTCAAGCTCCAGAGCCGGATAATCTGAAGCTGAATATGAAGATACACGCCTTTTGCTGATGCCGATATGAAGGCGGTCAAAGTAGCGACGGCAGTATCGTGTTCTCCGCTCGGCACAACATCAGCCCGGCTCGGCAATATCCGCTGAGCCTCAGATGTAAGTATGATGAACGCACTCGAGTCTTCGGCGACATTATGTTTAACGCTCCAAACTTAAATATCATCAAAATTCTACAGTATTGCGCCTTTTAACCGAGCTTATAAACCAAGCTCTTGGAGTTCAATTGCCCTCTAAAACCACGAAAGCGCAGCTTCTCAACTCAACTAGTACTATTTCAAATCAGATAACTCGATTAGATCCGCATTGGGACTCCCACATTCGCCATCGCTCAAACTAAACAATGACTTCCACTTCTGTAACCCGGTCCCCGCTAGACCCAGGCCTGGCCGAGGTTCACAACTCCCTTTCGGCAGATTCCCAAATCAGCACTCCAGAACAGATCGAAGCCCGCCGGAAAGACCTCGCTTTTAGATTAGAAGATGTCATCCGCGGAAAAGAAGACACAGTCGCCCACGAAGAGCGACAATTCCCGGCCCAGCAAGCCTTCTAACAGCATCAATCTTCCGCCCCAGGAATGCCCCCCAAGACGGCAAGAAGGCGCCCGGGTTCCTCCACGTCCACCCGGGCGGCTTCGTCGGCGGAAACCGCTTCATAGGCGTCGGGGGTATCCTCAGCTGGGTCGAGGTGTTCGGCGCCGTCATCGTCTCAGCGGAGTACCGTCTCGCGCCCGAGCACCCCCAGCCTGCACAGCTCGAAGATAGCTACGCTGCGCTGCTATGGTTTACCAGCCATGCCGAGGAGCTGAGCGTGGATCTGAATCACATCTTTGTCATCGGGGCTTCTGCCGGAGGCAATCTGGCTGCTGGCGTAACCCTCTTAGCGCGCGACCGCGCTGGCCCCAAAATCCGCGGCCAGTTGCTCGCCTACCCGGTTCTGGAAGAAAACTATTCAGTCAGCTCGTTTGAGCAGTATGGGAATATGGCGCCGTGGACGGCGGCGAATAGCTATGATGCCTTTGAGTATGCGCTTGGGAAGCATCGCGAGCATGCGAATGGGTATACGCTGCCACTGCGCATGAAAGATCTGACGGGGCTGCCGCCTACTTTTATTGATGTTGGCGAGGCGGATGTGGTCCGGGATGAGGATGTGAAGTATGCGTCTGAGCTGTGGAAGGCGGGTGTTTCGACAGAGCTGCATGTATGGCCGGGTGCATGGCATGGTTTCGATGTTTATATGCCTGCTGCGCCTATCAGTCAGAAGGCGGTTAAAATACGTGGCGAGTGGGTGCGCCGCTTGTTGAAGGGTCAGTGATACGATGGACGTTCTAAGCTTGTTCTTCATAAATGTACAGGGTACCCAAACTTTGAAAGAGTATTATAATGCCAAGTTACGTTGGTTATTATCTTAAACAGGCATATATTGAGTTGTTCGATCACTTGTAACACTCTTCGCAGAGGAGCGCTATGCTAACTATATAGAACACGTGATTGCCGCGTCTGGGAACTTATAAGTGTTCGCGACCCCTGGAATCATGTATAATTTGTTCGGCCAGCGCTCCAAAAGGTTCATTTCAGAAAACATGCCAAGATGTTCACTGCTTTCAGGAAATCTTTGACTCGAGTAAATTCTCGAGCTTGGCTTGCGAAATTTCTTGAACCTGTTTCTCAAACGTCAAGATCTTCCCGCCCACACCAGATAACAGAAGAGCCAGACTTTTATACTACTGGAGGCTTCCATCCCGTTTCACTTGGAGACACTTTCAACTCTGGCACATACAAAGTGTCGAGAAAACTAGGCTACGGACAGTATTCCACTGTTTGGTTAGCTAGGGATTCCAAGTGAGTGTCGACTTCCATATGTCAAACATGCAGCTTATTGAGAATTGCAGGGTTCAGAGGTATGTGGCTCTCAAAATACTAAGAGCCGATTGCTACGGAGGCTTGCATGACATCTTCGAGCGAGAAGTTCTGTCAAAATTATCCAGTATGTCTGAAAAAAGCAACCACGGGGGCCGACGCTACGTGTTGCCCCTTCTGGATCAATTCAAGCATGAAGGACCAAATGGACAATATGTATGCTTTGTGTTCGACGTGTTGGGCCACCACTTGGATTTTCAAACCGCAAAATACGAAGACGGGAGATTGCCTATTAAGGCGGTAAGAACCATAGCGCGACGGCTTTTACTAGGGTTGGACTACCTCCATGAGGAATGTGGAATCATTCATACCGGGACTACCATACGTTTCGAATAGTATCCTGCTCATAATAATGGTGCTGATCACAGTCGATATACAGATCTAAAACCTACGAATATACTACTCGAGCTGGACAATCCGGAAAAAACCATTGACGAATATCTAGCTGAGGTTCCTGCGCGGGTCACTAATGACAGTGGTGTTACAAAGCCACTCCGAGAGGTGATCAGGACACCGCTCGTCTCGGAGATGCGTGAGCCGCACGTCAGAATAGTTGACTTTGGTGTTGGTATGTATCATTCCTCTTGTCCTCTTTCTGGGCGACACTTACACTGGCTGTAGCTTCTTGGTCAGACAAGCATCTGGCGGAGATGATTCAATCTCCAGCTCTACGAGCACCAGAAGTCACGATTGGTGCCGACTGGGATTCCAAGGTTGATATCTGGAGCCTTGGTTGCCTTGTGAGTATTCAATCTATTCGGTCAAAATGCGCCGAGTCATCTTTCATCTCCTAATTTTCAATAGATCATTGAGTTTGTCCAGGGGATAGTGCCTTTCTCTGGAGTGGCATCAAAAAAAGGATCGTGGACAGTTGATGACGACCGGCTCGCAAGGACCATCGAGATACTTGGTAACTTCCCGCCTGAGCTTCTTCAGAGAGGAAGCAAGACTGCGGAATTCTTTAATGCGGATGGTATGCTTTCCTTTCCGGGACCAGAAGGGACGATATTATATTTTCCTAATTTGACTAATTCTACTTAGGTGGTCTTCGTCGAATCCCCGATCTGAAATCGACTAGCCTTGAAAGGTTAATAGATGGCGCTGAAAAGCCTTTCCTCAGACCCAAGGACATGTCTGGCGCTGAAGTCCCTGTCTTCATCGACTTCCTTCGAGGTATGCTTACGATTGACCCGACGTCTCGAAAGCCGGCCTCCGAACTACTGCAGCACGATTGGCTTAAAATGTAACTCCTCCGAAACTCAACTGGTCATCTCATTGCCACTTTTTATAAGGAATACAGAACTTATCCCAAGTTGACCGTAGTCTTCGCAAGGTTTCTCTTATATTGTTTCAAAGAGACATGTTCCGATCCGGGAGTCAAGCCGCATGCTGGCTGATCGCACGATGAGTTGGCAGCTTGGGGGCCGGGCGCTTAATCGAACTCCAAACTACCATCCCATATCGACTGAAACATTCAATGCTGGATTTCTGTAACTAATGAGGAGTGATTATAAATGGACTATAACCTTTTGAGAATCCCCCTGGCTGCCTTGTTTTCTATACTGCAGAGCGCCACACTATCATTGGCCAAGGCTGATCGCGGTGATGTACTAGCATACGAGGCGCAGCGGGGCTGAGAACCCTGCCACTTTCCCACTGAGCGGTAAATACGAATGCCCTCCCACACGAGAGGGTTCTATTCCATCTCAAGTGCAGTTCCCAGGTTACCACCCGAGAGGCGCCAAAATGGATGGACTGAGTGGCGCCGCGAGTGTGATAGCAGTCATCTCGTTAGCCGTCCAGCTCGGCTCTGGCGCCCACACTCTTTACCAATTCCTAGAGACAATTTCCGATGCCCCTGCCGAGCTACATCGCTTGCAGAGCACTCTTTCTCAGATCAAAGCCATCGCATTCGGTATCCAAAACGCCCTCGAGTATCAGAGACGAATCCATGGCGATGGGGTCCCGGTCGCAGGTGATATCCTGAACTCGCTCGTCAGTTGCGAAGAAAGAGTCCAGCAAATCACCGATATCGTCAATAAGGCGGATGGCACCCACCGGGGGCTAACCGGGGTATCTCGAAAGTGGGCGCGGTTCAAAGTCGCCTTGAAGAAGGAAAGAGTTCAGGAGCTCGAGCAACAGCTTGGAAATTCTCTCCAGGTTTTGAATGTGCTAATGACGACGAACCTCATGTAAGGATTCTTCACTGGGGAAAGCAGCACCGTGGTAAAATACTAATTATGGTTATTTAAGGATCTCTAATGCTCAGACAACAATGTTTCTCATAGATAGGCTTGACGTCCAACCCCATCAGCAACGAAACCACATATCAATTCCATTGAAATCTGCGGTTCCAATGCCCAAACCTCGGGCTAGGGCATTGACAGAGTTTTCATCCGATGATGGCCTCCGAAAACGAAACGCTGACTCGCGTGAAGAATATTATGAGCGTGATGTGACTTATAGGAAGATTGGATGGCGGGTCTTGGGCTATTTCACTACCGAATCAACGAAGACACGAAAGCTTATCTTGGATGGAAACCATGTTCATGAACAACATAACTCTAAAGTGACATACATAATATCTCCTGCGTTTCTCTCATGGTCGCTTGAGCTTTGCATCCGAAGACTCGGCTACTGCTCACCACAGGCGTCTCTGACAATACAGCATCGCTTGTCACACGAAACCTCTCACAAATTGGAGCGGATCATCCCATCTGATGATCTATTTCAGTTACAACAACTATATAGCTCAGGCGAGCTTTCTCCACACATGGACGAAAGCTCCATTAACCGTGTGGCTAGTATCGTGGGCTGTGCTCTAGTATGTACATGCTAGAGGTGTTTTGAACCCTAATCTGTGTCAGCTAATCCCACGCCTATCTATAAAGATCAAATCCGGGTCCGAGTTTAATATTAATTCAGCAGCGCTGTTTTTCCTCCAACAAAATGCAAAATTTACATTCGCGAATTTCAGGTTTTGGTAAGTCACTTGAGACTTCAAAAGTTTCAAGCCAACGACAGCATTTTGACCTCTGCTTTTAGGGCCTCTCTTTTCCTAACTATAGACTGCTTCCCTCTTCTGCTTGCCTCTCCCCCTATAGACTGCATGTCCTCCAGAGGAATCAACTTCGAGGGATTTCTTGAATTGATGATTGACCGAGTAGAGGACGATCCTTCAAGTTGGCTTGTGCATGAACTTTACGAAATATTCTCGCTTCCCGCTCCTGCTTACTACTTTGAGAAAGTTGAATTCATAACTTTGAGCCTTCTCCAAAAAACATGCCTTCCATATTCCGAGTACCTCGGATCCTCATTATGGATCATGGGCCCTTCAGTTGCCCGACCCGCAATGATCGGAGGCACTGCAAGGGGCCAATGGCAAGAAGACCTCACATGCGGCAAAACACACCCCTTCATGCTAAGGCTTATAAAGATGGGAGCGGATCTGCATTACATTGGCCCCACTGGCCAATCAATCTTCGAACGGCTTCTCTCACATGCTGTGGCGGGTAATGAAGTTGTGATGATGTCGGCTTGGCTCAACCTTCTCCAACAATGTGACATTGATTTGCAAGACTACTGGGTGCAAGAAATGACTCATAGCGACGGCAAGGTCTTGGAGCTGTCATGTGTCTACAATATATTCTATGCTTGCTGGCCGACACGAATCATCAAATACGAACGTGGCAGGGACGGGCAAGCTTTACCTTCACCTACGGTCCAACGATACGTGGATCCAGCCAGTTCTGCGACTCTTCTTCTTGAAGAATTCAACTTTGCACCAGATTTGGTGTTGAGGTGGGGTCTGCATTGCTGGGCGTTCAAAGACTTGCTCAGATATTGCGAATCTATACCATCCAAACTACTAGGCTTTCTGTCGGAACAGCCAATACAAAAGTTCTTTACATACTTGGCGAAGATCCATTCAGACGAACACTCGACGGATGAGACTCTTGTCGATTCCACGGATACTGCTAGAAGAGTGCGGGAAATTACCATTGATTCTTTGCATCTATGCCCCTGCGATGTTGCTGGCAATTACTTTGATCTATGGCCATTCTCTGGCCGCATACATACAATATGTAGGGCCAAGAGCTCGGCCAGGGGTCAATCTTGTGATAGAGTACAGGGTGCATGCACATTTCATACGTGTACCTTTAATCATGAGAGATTTGAAAGAAAGCAGGCCAAGAAGAAGTCGAAAAGACGCAGGCGAGAAGGACAAATGGTTGGTGGGCTGAATATCCCGGGTGCGTGGATTGACTGAATTTGATACTCAGAAGAACTCCAGGGCTTGTGCAAATGATGATCATGGAGAAACCGAATGATTTAGCGATCTACTCAGACAATATGTACACGTTATGTCTCCTTCAATGGCGCTGGTCCGCCACAAGTCGGCATTGATAAAGGGAAAGAAAACGATAGACGGGTGAAGCAACATTCTTCTCAATTGCGGCCTTCCAAGAATCCGGAGATGAAGTTGCGCGGTAGCCGTGCGCCAGGGTCCTCCTCTGGGCGGAAGTATTTCATAACATGAGAGAGTTGCTTCCAGTAGTTAAGGGTTTCCTAGAAGACAGTCAGTACCAAGTTCAGAATACACGAAATTAGAGAGAAGCTTCGGATCCATCCCAAAGATAAGATCGTGAAAGTCAGGCAATGCCTAATACAGGGCGTCCCATTGGCCAACTCTTCCATGATCGTCCCCGCGAATAGACCCACAACCAAATATCCAAACTGACCTGGAACTCGGCATGGCTCTGGTAGAGTAGGACATCGACAACGTTCAACTGATTGACATAACGGTGCTTTTCAAACTCCTGGCGGATCTTGGTTCGGATGGCTGATACGGGCATGTTCAGAGAGTACATGGTCTGGATCTCCGGGGACTGTAGTTTGGGCAACATCGCAGATTAGTCTTCCATCTTCTTCCATGTTGGACTTCCAACCGCATTCCAGTTGTGAAAGGCAACAGTCTCCGGCGATTGCTCGGGTGGGGATATGGGGTCTCGGGGTTAACTGACCGCGCGCAGCCACTCGCGGTACGACTTGAGGACACGGAATTGGGCATCCCTCCAGTTAACGGCTAAAGAAACGACGGTTAGCGATCGGGTGATCTTCAAGGGCTCCAATTAAGTATAGGACACCGAAGGTGGGCGATCGGAAGACATCCGGGATCGAAGGGAGAGACGTACAGGAACGCGTCCGCTGAGCGAGGTAGGTGGGGTTGATGGTCATGATTGCAAACCGCTCAGCATGCACCAATTTGAGGAAGGGTCGGTCTCTGGGGGAGGGAGAGTTGAAAGAATTGGAGGTCGCTGGAGAGCTCACTAGTGGGTTTGGAGGTTTCGCATGAGGTTGGTCATCCCCCCCGGGCAGTAGTTCACCGCCTTCCCCTTCGAAAATTTTCCGTCGATTTTTTGGGTTTTGGCCGCGTCGACTGAACAATTTCTCAAAAGTCGCATACGACCTAATATTTCTTGCAAAGGTTGTTCTTGCGCTTGAGAGCTCTGCAGTCTGTGCAGCTACTTCAAATCCAAAGAAGTTGCCTGACATCTCATTCCGCACCGCAAAACACTTTGTCGCCATCTGCGCATTTTATCGGAACCACCGATTCTCAAGAGCTCAACAAACACAACAATGGCACCGACCAAAGGCTCTGCCAAAGGCGCCTCTTCTGGAGGTGGATCATCTTCTAAGCCCTTGTCCTCAGGCTCGCGCGTGAGCAAATCCAGCAAGAATAATGTGAAGCGACCTCCGCCAAAAGAAGTCAAGAACAAGGCTCGCACGGAGCGGGAAAATCTTTCGAAGAAAAAGAAGCGTGTCTATAGCGAGGCAGAGCTGAATCTCCCTGAATTAAACACAATCACACCAGTTGGCGTTGTGAAACCCAAGGGCAAGAAGAAGGGAAAGACCTTTGTGGACGATAAGGTACGTTACTATGCGCCTCAGGCCCGGTGCTTAAAAGCTAATTAGGTATTGTTTATAGGAGGGTATGATGACCATTCTCGCTATGGTCAACGCGGAGAAGGAGGGCCAGATCGAGTCAAAGATGATGAAGGCGCGCCAACTTGAGGAAATCCGAGAGGCCCGGAAGAAGGAAATGGAAGCGCGCCAGGCGGAGAAGAAATCAAAGCTTGAGGCTGCTAAGGACTCAATTCGCAACAAGAAGAAGGGTAAGGGCGTTGACAAGTCGGAACCTGCAACAAACGGGTCGGCAAAGTCGAAGCCCAAGCGCAAAAGTGTTGCATTCGCATAAAGGATGCATTGTCATGCAGCCAGATAAGGGTCGGCGTTTGGGAGGTCATTTTTACATGTCATCAAAATACCATGGACAGCGTTAAAATAAGGTATTGTTTCATCTTTCGCCTTTTGGAAACAGTGAAACTTTCTTGCCGTTACTCATTATCGGCGTCCCCTAGGGTCCTCTACTACAAGCAATCTCAATGTAACCTGTAACGGCATCTATTCACGTACCGATGGCTGTGAGGCACAGCTTCCATCTTTCTGTATAACGGGTCGCTTCCCGATATCATCGGCCCACTTTCCAACAGCTGGGAACTCATTCAAGTCAATATCCAACGCGCTCAAGTACACTTCGGACCAAAGGTGGACCACTGGCAATGTCAGCAAGGGTATCAATGCCCTTGCAAGATGAAGGCTTTCATTCAGTCACAATTCGAGGACCGATTACAGAAGCTCAGTCTCGTTCGTGAATTGCTCGATGGCATGGTCAGGGCGTGTATCAGCCAGGAGACGGAATGGCGTGCTTGGCCTGCCAGAACTTAATAAGTTGAACCGATTCTCTGTGAGTCGAAGCTTGTATTGGTCCCAGTCCAACTATCTAAAACATCAGCCATGAAAGCCGTGTCAATGTGTTCACTGGCATGTATCTCTGGGGCATGGCTGACTTTGCGGTCAAAGTTGTTCCTGTCGACTAAGTGAAGTAAGACGGCACCGCTTCCCAAGACTCGTTGCGTACCATGGACGGTAACGGGAAGACAGCCATTGGGGTCGATGTGAAGATATCAGCCGTATCGAGAAAAATCAGACTATGGCTAGAGTTATAGTAAAATCATGATTCACATACTACTCCTGTTAAACTTTGTTCCTGATGTTAATTAATTCGGCTTTGTAGACAAGGCCCAAGTTCTTCGATGGCAATGGATCTTCGAAAACTTGGCGTTCGCCATGCAGATAAGGTGATATCGCTCAGCATCATTCCCGTCGATGAAAGCTGATTTGGATACGCTCAGCACAGGCGACAGTAGGGAAAATTGCGCTGCAGCTTTGACTAAGCTGACCCCAAAGATCTGATAACTATGACATCAATCGTGCGAAATGACAAAAGGAGTCGAACTGATATAGAGACTAAGCGCCATCAGGGTCGTTATTATCGAGATGATTGATATTTGCGCGTTCTAACAGTATTCTGTCATTGAGTTAGAACGAATCTACCATGTTTTGGGTGCCGTTCGTTCTGGCTCACGATATTCCCCTCCAACCCACCGTAGAACTACGCATGGGTCTCAGTTGACTTCTGTTCCCGACGCCTGCATGCAAGACTGGTGTTGTTCCATGCAGTTTATATGAATTGAGGAGCCCACATGTCTGGGGAAAGGAGAAATGCCACCTGCACATGAATGAGAGATTCAATCGAACGGGACGGGCCTTCTTGATTGTTCTGTAAATTCCCCTCAAGGTCATGCTGCCTCACAGGTTGGTAGCGCATGACCCCAACCATTCGCAGCACTACCCCACAGCCCCTTCCTGAAGCCAGGAATTACCAAAGGCTCGTCAGACAAAGGCCGCCTATGTCAGTGGAGACACTTCCAGCTTATGTGGATAGGACATTGATAATAGCTAAGGGGTACAATAGTCCAGTTATTGAGCGGTCAGCATTTCTGTAATATTTGCCCGACATATTGTACCAGGATGGTAACACTGAAAGAACTAGTATGTAAAGATCTATAATGTATGTATAAAAGCATGAGCTGCCAAGTAGCTCCCTGTTCCGAGACTCCCAGCCAGATACCGGCACTTTAACTCTCTTAAAGAGGAAGCCCAATGTCAAGCTTACGGCGCATGGGGTTATAATCCGGTTTTGGTGCCTTGTCCGAGTCCTTACCCGGACCAGAGTGGTGAGCAATATTCCCGGGTAGTCTTTCGGGGTGTTCAACCACGCCTGGGATATCAGTGTCAATTTCCTTGGCCATCTTGTTCAAGAAGTTGTTCACCTAGACATGGTCAGAACTCCGTGAAAAGGTAGAAAGGCTGGTTATTTGTTTGAAATGCTTACTGGCTTGACAAACCACCGATCGCCTCCTAATTCAAACCAACCCAGGTGACCGCCCCATGACGTTGTAACCATGACACCGTAAGGGTTTTGGGTAATTTCTTGGAAAGGCAGGGCCTCACGTGCGGCAATCTATTACATATTAGAGCTTGTCCGAGTAAGAGAAAGTGAGAAACAAAAATTCTTACTGGATCGTCCTCAGCCTGTAGACAGAGGAATGGAACACGGATAGCAAGCATAGAATCCGTGGACGCGGCATCGCGATAGTATGCACCTTCAGAAGGATAGCCCCACGTTGGACATTGCAGCGCACTGCACAAATCAGGTCAGAACCAGTAAGAAGTAATAGGAGTGATGGAGACAAACCGATCGAACTCATGCAGGTAAGTTATGCTCCTGATAGTATCGATATCGATACGGGGGGTTCTTGGAAATTTCGTCCACGTGCCTAATTCGATTAGTTGTGTGGTATTCAATGGGCGTGACAGGCCTCTTACTGTTCGAAGAGTTTCTTCATGCTTGTTCCCATGAATTTGCTATACTCTCTACCGAGCCTGGTCGACTGCAAAGCAACAGAGCTGACGTCCAAGTTCCATGGACTTGCGCAAATCACGGCTGCCTTGACTTGACAAGCATCGCCTTCTTCTCCCAAATACTATGATCATGTGAGCTTCTTGACCAGATAGCCCGGAATGAGGGTTATACATACGTTAGCCAAGATGTTCGCGCCCAAGGAAAATCCAATAGCGAACAGCGGACGGTTCGGGAAAGTCTTGCGCAACCACTTGATAGACTGGCGAAGATCCCATGTGGCGCGAGCATTATAGAGCACTCCGGTGTTGATCTTTGTCTTTGCGCAGCCACGCGAATTCACCACACATGCCTCCCACGAGCCGTCTGCGATAAGGGGTGCAAGAACGTGGCGCAGGTAGATTTCATGTGATCCCCCACTTAGACCATGCAGCAGTACCAGCATGGGCCTGGTGTCATCAGAGGGCAAACTGGACAACTCTTCTGCGGAGAGAAACGAGGTTCTTGGCGGTAACCCGGATGGATGGGTGTATTTCCTCGCTTGATCGGTCAATTCGCCCTCGGGCGGCATGTCATAGGGCTTGACGGCGAAATCTATGGCATACTGGCCCGCGAAGGCTTCACTATCCGAGTCGAACATTTTGCGCTTGTAGTAGACCGGCGCATTGTCTTGTTTGAAGACCGTGTAGGCGGTCTGCAGATGTCCGTTGAAGAGGAAGGGGTTGAGACGACATGTCTCAGGAGTGGCCGAGCGACAGATCTCCTCCAGAGTGATTTGGCCTTTCAAGCCATCCTTGCCAGTCTTGGTCAACCGCAGCTGATTATTTTTGGCGTGATAGAAGGAGATCCGAGCGCTCGGACGAACCCATGACAGCAAGCCCATCGCTAGCAACCCTGATAAGAGCAGCGATAGAGAGAAAGAGCTGAGAAGCGCGGATGCGGATTCAGACATAGAGGCTAAAGCAGGAAAAGTCTCAATGAAGAACGCACTCGAATCGCTAGGGAAATATGCACATAAAAATTCTAAGCAAAAATCTCCAAGACTTCCTCTATCTGCCTGATTAATCGGGAAAGAGCCCTGTGCAAGGCCTCGATAAGCAGGAACCTCGGCTCGTCCATCGCAGTCTTGGCAGAGCCCGATTATGCAGAGTATACGTCACGTGCGTCTATATATGTTAGTCATTGATGCATGAATCACTTTGCTCGGCATCCGCCGATCCCGTGTGGACCTCTCGGTCATGTGAACTTGACGAAGTCATTGTGCGTAGGGGAATCGGTGCAATCTTTCCAGTTACTGCAAAAATGCATATGGGAGGGTTTGAGTTGACGAGGGGGGGGAGTTTCTCCCCTAAATATGGGAGTGATGTGGTAATGATGCTTAATACGGGGACCTTCTTTCCGCATGTGCGGGCACTCATCGCTCGGGCGCATCTTCGAGCCGTCAGAAGCAGTTGTGTGGCAGGACGCACTTCGTTGGAATAAAATATAAGACCCCTTCAAAGAGGATGTCTCTAGCTGTGGCATGATTTTCCTTTTTATTTCCTTGGCATCTTCTAAACTCGGAAATACCGATGAGAGCTGAGCAAGTTTCCACCGTGCAGCAGAAACTATTAGTAGAAAGCAACCGCAGTGTTTGATACCCGGAGTTGGCATATGTTTGTATGTTTTTGCTCCGCGAGAGCTATGGTCATTAGCTGGGTGGTTACTGCCGGGGAAGACTCCATACATTCGTCCAAGGATGTGCAAACATGTACAGGATTTCTGACAGAGGGACGGCCCTGCCAGTGGACCCATGGACGGGGGTTCCAATACACTGACCATCCCACGCGGTGTGAATGACTCAACTTCGAACAGCCTTAATTTTTCCAACACAACTTGAAAAACTCAAAGGTTAATACCACCTTGGGCTGCAGCCCGCGTAGAGCAGCTCCTTTGATGATGACATCTCAATCGAGACCACGCCTAAAAGCAGTCAACTTCTGCGAAAAAATCCACATACAACATTTCGAACCATCTCCTCCTTCGCGCAACAGCAGACCTCGAAGAAGCCGCTTGGAAATGAAGGAGCAAGTATACCAGAAGTACGATGCGCCACAAGTCACGGAGACCATGCTACAAGACGCCGCGATCCTCTTCAGTGAGAACTATGGCGTGTGGGACGAGCAAGCGACTGGTAAATTCGCAAAACCAGGCAAGCTACCCCAAGCTCCTTTGCGTTCGTCTGTTAAGTAAAGATAGGTAGTCCTGTGCGTCTCAGTAAAGACCGGCTTCGATCTCAGTACCTCCCCGATAATGCCACATGTTTCTATGTCAAGGTTACTGTCGATGGCCAGCTCGCTGGTAACGCATTCGCCTGCCGTTGGACGGTCAATGACAAAACTGTGTGTTGGGTCACTCAGTTGGTAGTTGATCGCAACTATCGAGAGCGTGGACTCGCAAAGGGCCTCTTGAATCAACTCAAACAAAACGACGTCGATATCTACGGCCTCATGAGCTCCCATCCTGCTGCCTGTCTCGCAGCTGCGAAAGCATTTGGAGGTAAGCACATCGAAGCTTTACATTAGCAAATCAACTCTAAGAAATATAGACTCCATCAGCACACTCCAATTAGGCCCTATCGGGAAATATGCGGAAGAGATTATGAAAGCGTCGCCCATAGATTATGTCAAGGGTGCCAAACTCCGCGGCAGCGTTTTCAACCCTGGTGACACCAGCGGCCTTGTTTCGTCTGCTGATTCGGCATTTTTCGTCGACCACAATGAACCACTCGAAGCTTTGGCACGGGTGCGAGAGGAAATGGACTGGCCCCTTGGTGAATTAGTTGATGGACATGAATTCCTCCTTATTCTTGAAGCCAGACGTCGTTCTCGATTTAGGTCTACGTCTAGGCCAGAGTCTAGCTCCTAGCAGGCTGTCGTCGGCAGCAATGATTCTCTTTTATACTATGGATCCATTCATCAGCCCATATAAATGGGTTGTGAAGCATTCGCTTTTTCGTTTATGGCACATGGTACGGAGGAAAGGCAGATTCCTAGCCTGTAAAGGCGTCATTTAATGTTTACCTCACGGATATCAGTGGTTCCTAGCAACTTTCGTTGCATATATGTCAAGTTATTATTGACATTGTTCAAACCTTGCTCTTGCTGTAGCCGTTTCTGATATCGCAAATGTGCTAAGGTGAAATTGGGAGCACTTCTCTTCCCCTCTTGTCACCATCACCAAACTCAACTCTTCTCTTGACGAACAAGCGAGTTTTGAGCAAGAAGAAACCAAGTTTAAGCAGGAATAAAACGCTCCAGATATCCGTGACAATTATATGGTCCAGAAGTACGACACCGATATGATTCGTAACAGAGAGCCTGCTGGGCTACAATTGTTAGAATTTCTCGCGGCATGACCTTCAAGCACTGCAGTGTATAAGTCACGTGCATATACATATGTTAGTCATCGGTGCACGGATCACTATGCTCGGGATCCCAAGGCCGATCCCGTGATATCTCTTGGTCATGCGAACTTCACTGTCACTTGACGAAGTCATTGTGCATAGTCATTGTGCCTGGGGGCAATCGGTACAATCTGCCCAGTTACTGCAAACACTCATATGGAAGGGTTTGAGGTGACAGGGGAACATTCCTCCTTAAGTATGGGAGTGATGGGGTCATGATGCTTAATGCGGGATCCTCCTTTCCGCATGCGGAGCCTCATTTACACTTCCGGCACCCTCATGGAGAAAAGCCCCGAAACTGGATACCGAAACTTAGCAGGACGCTCCCTGGCTTGAGAGCTCTGAAACAGATAAATGTTCTGCGAGGTTTCTAGGGATTAGAGAGACTTCGCTGCATTGGGGATCACCAGACAACGATCGGGTAGTCCCTGCGACGATCAGCCCTAATCCCGCCTCGAACCTCCCAATATGTAATGCTGATAGCATGGCCCCATAACCTTTTTTTTTTGTGACTGCGTCCCATGGTCCGTTTTCGTGCCACCTTATCTTGCAGACTTACTTGAAGGTCAAAAGATTCATTTGTTCCTCCAACTTTGCGCCTAGCAGGTCTTGTTTCTTGCTTGTCACACGATGCACATGGGCCCCACACCAATATGACATTGCGCCTCATACTGTATTCTAGCAGCTCGTCATTCTAATTCATTACGCGCGGAACATCTCTCATGGGGTCTAGTCACAGAAAGACCCTCGAGGCTTCTCAATCACACAAAAAGGCCCATCCCTCGCAAGCCTCTATGAGTTTGAATCTGCCGCCGCCAGACTTGCAAGATCGACTTGTGCAAGCGACAGACCGAATCAAGATGATTGTGATGAAAGTGCCGTCCTGGACGGCGGTCCGGACGAGGAAACAGCCAAAGGAGCAAACTGCACGATGTTATCTTTTGGAAATGCCCACCGAGATCCTGCTCGAAATTGTCTCTCACCTGACACTCATCCCGGAAGCTGTTTTCGCCCTGACTTGCAAACGAATGTATGCTATCTCTGGGTCTATCCTCAGCTCGAAAGCTCTGCAATTCCCTCGCGACTTTGCGCCTCTTTTCCACCATTACCGCAATACACACAACTTTATCTCACCACGATGGCAGCTCCTTACTCTGCTTGAAAATACTCGATGGCGGAACTGTTCGAAGTGTTTGAAGCAGCACCCCCGAGCGGCCTTTTCGTCTCGTGATCTCCGACGCAAAGCAGAGAATCGAACATGCAACGTCGGGGAGTTGGCAGGCGTCGTTGATATTTGCCCCTGCAAGAAACTGACTTTTCGCGACAAATTGGATCTTGTAGATCACCTTCGCGTGCGCAAGCTCACCTTACAAGCCTTGAAACTTGAATTTGGAAGCATGATCCACGATGATCGCTACCTCTGGCATTCATGCACGGAGAAATACGGGCCTTCCGAAATGACGATCTCGGTATTCCCCGAGCTCAACGACGATGACCAACTCATCGTCCGCACCGAATACCAGCTTACCACGGAGTCTGGCCAAGTCGGAAAAGAGGAATTTATGACCCCACGTTTCGGGTGTGCCCACCGATCAGTGGACCTCTGGTTATCAGGTGTCCACCAAACCACAATATGTCGGCTATTTGATAAGTTCTGCTCCTCTTGTCAGCGAATATCCGTATGTGGTGCATGTAACACCACACTGAAGTGTCCTCGCAAACAGCCATATAACTCACTTGACTCGAAACGCGTCACTTATTCTTTCTGGACCGAAAGAAGCCTTGGCGGCGCCAGTGCTGTGCCCGACGCGGCCTGGGGCAACCAACGCATCCACCCTGCCGAGCCATCTGTCGGCGTTGAGAACTGCAATGAGCTTTGCCCTTGGACAGTCCGCGAACATCCTCCACTCACGTATGCGCCCACGCTGGGCGAAGAAATTATTCAGCCTGGCATGAATACTTCATCATTGAACTCGTTATATTCGTCGATTCGCATGTTATAGAACCTCTTGTTATTGGGTTTGGAAGCATCGGAGTTGGAGGGCGCAGTGAAAGTAAATCACGCAATATTTTTGTATTAATCTCAGTATTATATTGCAGATAATTTGGTCCTTCATTTTTTGTACAGTACAAATATCAATCAAACCAGGGCCAAAGAAACCAACTGCAGATCTGAGTTTGATCGAATGGAGTATGTGGTATCGCGCTTATCATCACCTGACCCTTACCAGATTCTCCGCCTCGACGCGGAAAAGCGTCACTTTCCCAGGGCGCGATAGAGCCAAAGCAGCCAGAACAGTTCGGACGTCGGGGCGATGAGCTTCCCACCGCCCAACTCCGGTCAATATCCGCAATATGTCCCCAACCCATATCAATCCGGCCATGGCCAGCCACTGTATGCCAGCAGTGTTGCCCCTTCGCCGACGCCTTATGGCTATGGCAAGCCTCAGATGTATCATCCGGGAATGATGCCTTATCAGTCATATCCACAGTATCCTCAACAACACCAGCAGTCTATACAGCAACCCCAAACTCTCTTCCATCACCAGCAGCAGCAGCAACTCCCGTTACAGCCCTCTCCGCAGATGATCCCGCAGACACACCCGCATTTGCTCCAACAGCAGCAATCGCCTCGTCCGCGGCCTCAGCAACATGCCTTTCAAGCTCAGCAGCCTCAATCGCACCAGCAGCAAAGGCCATCACCCCTTATTCAACCTCAACACCGACAATCGCCTTTGATGTCTCAGCAACACATACAGCAGCAACAATCCCCTCGTCCGAGGCATCAACAGCAATCTCCAAGCCAGGCCCCTCGACCCCAACTACAATCCCCAGCTCAGATATTCCAAATGCCGCAGAGGTCTTCTGCGCAAATTTCGAGACCCCAGCAGCCCCAGGAACCTCCTCAATTACCCCGAGCGCAAGAGTCTCCGGTCCCGTTGTCACAGCCGCCGCAACAACCTTCTCCGCGGCAAATACCACGACCTCAGCAACAGTCGCCTGCTCAGAGACCCGCCCAGATACCCCCACAGATACCTCCACTGCGGTCAAATCCTCAAATCCAACCGCACATTCAACCACCTGCACAGGCTGCTCTGCCGAAGCAGCAGTCTCCTCTGCAGCAGCCAGCGCAGGTGCCGCAACCGCCAAAGAAACAACAGAAGATGCAGCAGAAGCAACAGCAGACGCAGCAGAAGCAGCCCGCTCCTACAGCACCCGCTCAACAACAGACACTCCCGCCTCAGGTTTCCCAGGACCCGCAAAAACCTCCCATTCAAGCACCTCAACCGCAAACTAAACCTGCTCCACCTCCAGCGCAGCCACCCCCCCCTTCTCTGCCGCCTCCAGAGCCACAGCAGGAGTTTGTCAATCCAGCTAATCTGTTTGTGAACCCTGCCAATTTGTTTGTCCAAACACCTCTTCCCGCTGCGCCGCGTTCCTGGTTCACCTCATCTCAATTCGATTCAAGTGCCTTGTCGGAGACTGTCTTGGATGATCTTCCACCTATTTCTGAAGCTCCCCCGACTCTCCCACCAGAAAATCCCCCGCAGTCTGCTGCATCGCCCTCTCCAGCTGAGCCATCCCAGACTGCACCCTCCGCCCCCGCTCCTTTACAAGCCTCGGGGACTCCAGGTGTCCCAAGTTCAACAAGCGCCCCGAGCGCTCCGGGCGCCCCAAAGGCAGCCTCTGTCAGTGGAAAGTCAACGACTCCATGGCAATCTAGCTTCCAGCTCCAGCCATCCCAGCCTGTTAAGCCTGAGATGCAAGTCCAGACCCCAGCCAAGCCTAAGCCTTCCCCGAAAGTTGAAGCAAAGCGGGCACTATCTGCTGCCAAACCACCGCAGACTCCAAAGGCAACTCCGATGGTTTCGAGGCCTGTTCCATCTCCGATCACGCCTCAGATCATGGTCCCGGCACCATCTCAAGAGTTTCAGGCACACTTGACCAAGCAGCCTAAAAAGCAACAGCAGCAGAAAAAGCAGACTAGTCAACAGACTGCCGAAAGGGCCGCTAAGCCTAGTAAACCTCCGGTTGACTACCAGGTTTTACTATTGTCTCTAGCTGATGAGTATCTTAATGCTGCACACAGTCTAGGGAGCATAACAGCATTAGCAAATGATCACTTGGAGGTTGAACAGTATTATAAGTTAATTGCTACGGGACTGGGTTGCTTGGAGGCCGTATTAAAAGTAAGTCAAAAGTATCCCTACTTCTTAACACTGCTAATTTTCCTCAGAACTGGCGATTACCGCCCCGCCATGAAGCACTTGTACGGCTCCGATATGCACGAACACTATTTGAAGAAACCGATAACGACATTGAAGCGGAAACTGCCTTGAGTAAAGGGGTATGTCTCAAAGTCTTTCGCTCCCTGGGCTTCAGCTAATGATCCTATAGATTGATCTTTGTGAACGAGTAAGTAATGATCTCGATGGACGCCTATCATTTACGTATTGACCTTTTTTTTAAAGAATCGTATGTTGGATTTGAAGTACAGCATGCAGCTTCTACTAGCACGCATGCTCCACAAGACCAACTCCAAGGCTTCGCTCAAGGCAATCGATGGTATGATCCAAGACGTCGAAACGTATGTATCTCTGGCATCCACTCGCCATGGTCAAAGCTAATGAAGACAGGTACCGCCATACGGCTTGGGAGTATGCTTTTCGCTTTCTCCGAGTATCTTTATCGTTATCATCTTCTTCTCATCAAGAAACCCTTCATGCTCTGCAGCATCTCAACAAGATCACAGCTTTGTCTGGTCGTAATGCAGATAAGGCCGTGTCTGCAATGGCGGCCGTTATCGAAGCGCTGGCCCATTTACAGCAAGGTTCAGGTTCTGATGCTATCGAGCAAGCCCAGCGGGCCATTGCTTCAGCACGAAGTCATCAGCTCAATGACGAACTTCGCAATATACCCCAACTCGTTACTCTAATACAGATGGTAGACATCTGCTGCAGTGTTCTCGAGTACGACATCAATAGTTCTTCACAAAAGCTGAAGGCTATGCAGGACATGATAGATCAGACGCTCAATGATCCTATTTGGCGCCAAGACGGGTCCTTTTCCGTTCCGCTTAATGGTAAATCTCCCCCAGGGCCTTCTTCGATGGATACTGGAGATATTCTTCAGGTTGAGAATGGGACGCTGTTTTTGAGCTTTACCTGGCTTCCTCAGCATGATCTCTATGCCCTTTCCTACTTCTTGAGCTCTGTCACTTTGAGTGCCAAGAACTCCCACGACGGTCGAAAAGCAGAGAAGTACCTGGACGAAGGGTTACGAATGGTTCAAGGTATGTAGTTTGCGCACATTTAACCTCTTAGCTTCCCGCCGCTAACCATCATAACGCAGGTTCCTTCACATCCCCACAGGAGATTTCAGAGTCAATGGTCACCGCAGCGAAACGAGTTGAATGGCGCCGTTCTCTATACTGCAACTTTTTGCTACAGCGAGTCTTTCTCGCCTGTTCCCGGACCGACTGGGATCTAGCAAGCCAAACCCTCAAGGAGCTCCGCCAAGCGATGCATGATATTGGCCCAATCAACTGTACGCCAATCGAGTGCTTGATGGAATACGCTGCCGGAACCATCGCCCAAGCCACAGGGGATCTCGCGGCTGCGCTGAAAATCTTCCAATCGCCTCTACTCTCCCTTTCCCCAACGGCCAGTAAAACCTCCCGCAACGACCCCTGCCGCGATACATGTATTCTCGCAGCCCTCAACACCATCCTTATAATCCGTGACCCCGCCCACCCATCCCACTCCCAACTCCCCACCATCCTCGAAAAACTCGATACCTTCTGCCAGCACAGCCCAAACAAGTACATCCAAGCTGCCTACTTCCTGATCTGCGCAACCGTCCACACCGATTCCACCATTCAGACAAAGCAGCATCTCCAGCAGGCCTTACAGTCCGCTACCGCAATCAGCAACAGCCAGATCACCTGCATGACCCTGACCTTCATGAGCTGGAAGTATTTCCGCGGCGTGGTCGGCGAACAAGCCGAAAAGAGCGCCCGCGCAGGCCGCGCTATGGCCAAGCGCGCGAACGACCGCCTGTGGGCTAGTGTTACGGACGAAATGCTTGCCGATACGCTCGAGCGACAAGGTAAGGGCGAGGAGGCGCGTGGTGTACGCGATGAAGGGCAGCGGCTTATCATGGGGCTGCCGCCGGATTTGAAGCGGTCTGCTTAATTACTGGAACTCTTCTGCCCAAGTAGAGATCATTGGGTGTTCTGTCATGACTGGATGCTCTTCTCCTTGTTTCTATAGTTCCTATTACTTTCGGCATTTTGCTTGGGCTGGCGCTTCGTTTACGATACCATTCATGGAGATAGCGAGAAGGCGTTTTGGTTATTTACTTAGTATCTATACTGCGATTGCATGATATGGGGTCGATGGATCTCACTTGACGAATGAATCAAAGAGACTACCATCTTTAACTTGTAGCTGATTGATGCCTCAAAGCTTCCCGATGTCCAGTAAAGGGAATTACCGTAGGGTTTTCACCCAGGAGTAAATACGGAGGCCCCGAGGATTGTTGAGGATTGCTTAAAGTGCCTTATACTTTATTTAAACTATCGTGAATCCTAGCGAGGCGAGTATCTTTATTGCAGCACGAAGTTACGATATATTTTGGGGTCATTGCACATGCTCAAGTCGTTCCTGAGCGCAGCCAGAGATAATCCACGAATAGCATAGTAGATTGGGGCATGACATACCGCCCGGTTTTCGTGCATTCCACGTCCAACGACTCGTGATCTAAGCGATAGAGCCCTACTAGGCTTATTTGAGGAGGCTAGATCATATTTTCGACTTCTGTCTCTGCTAAGAATTTGAGAGATCCGTGAATTTCAAGATGGAATTTGAAATCCTTTAGATTACGAAAGGGAGCCAATGATGTTTCATTACTAGTGATACTGACTCGGAATCCAGATCAATGTCCCTACTTGGTCCATCTCTCAAGGTGATGCTTCACATTTTGGTGTATGCTCGATGGTGGTTTGAACAGAGAATACTGCTAAAGATATTCCGAGAGTGGGAGCCCGAGATCAGGAATGGTTGACTTGAAGGGTTGCAAGGTATACCCAGTTTTGGAAGAGGACAAGGACTAGGAGGAAGCATTAAAGGTTGACGATAATCCGCACGAAAACTCCAGCATATCAAATGCTGTGGCATTAGAAGTAGATCCTTGAAACAGGTTGACACCATTGATAGCATGAGATGTCTCTCCCCCACAACTTATGGCGAAAGGGCAACACCACCAACTTCCACGCTAATGGACAAATGCCTGGTATAAAGAGCCCCTAGCAGCATCAACGCCAGACGGTCAGGAGCATCTCGAATAAGAAATTCAGAGATAAAGCAGAACCCAAGCACAACTCCTCCCAAATGAACTCCATTCCATGGACGCCGGCAGTATAGATAAAAGCCCCAGAACAGCCCGGTGCGCGGGGTAAATATGCGCGTAACCCATTAAGCCCGTTGTCGCGAACCACGGCAGATCCCACGTTCAGATTAAAAGCTCGCTCGTACTACTTAAGCTTTACACTCGCAATAAGGACGGCCTCGCTCAACCGAGTCCTCCCCACACACCTCTTATCCGCCGTGCAAGCTGGATGTCCTTCTGCATGATAGTCACACGCTTCGCATGTAGCGCGCAGAGGTTCGTGTCTTCAAATAGATGTACCATGAATGCCTCGGCGGCTTCTTGCAGCGCCTGGATAGCGTGTGACTGCCAGCGCAGCTCGGAGCCGACGTCGGCGGGAGGAGGTCCAGTGCGACTTCGCGGACGAGGCGAGCGAAGGGGAGTTTCGCGATCAGTAAGTCGTATGAGCGCTGGTAGCGGCGAATTTCTTTAAGCGCTACAGTCCCGGGCTTGTAGCGGCGGCGTTTGCCTGTAGGTGCTGGGTCGCCGGCTGTTGCGAATCATTGTTAGCATCTGTAACCGGAAAGATTATGCGTTGTGTTTGCGCCGGGCGCCAGGGGCCCATCGTGTGCGGTTTCATGGATGAGGGGCCGGGAGCGCTTATTCACTAGATACGTACGCTGGACGTTGGATGGTCGCTTTCCTGCAGCCTTTGCGGAGGTCGTTTTATTTTCTGTTGACTTGCGCGCCTTATTTGGTGACGATGCTGTTGGTCCACGCTTGCGCTTTTGCGCGGGACTCCCGGCTAACTTTGTTGCTGTTTTGGTGGCCATCCTGGCGGGGGGAAGGTCGAATTGGTGATATTGGCGCAGTAAGCTGGCGCTGGCGGGGAGCGTCCTTGCTTAGTGGGTTACCGAGCTCAATTGATTCAACTTGACAGGATAATTGGTGGTTGCTGTTTTTTTTTCTGCGAAGAGTGTCGAGGGATACACCCAGGCAGTAAGGCAATAAGGGCGCACAGATAAGGAGCGTCAGTAGTGGGAGGCGAAACCGCGATCTTTGGATCAATAGAGCAGGAAGAAGCGCACACGAAGAATATTCAAGGGAGGCTGGGAGGTTGCCATATGAACTAATTGGTCTTAGCGGCGCCAGCCTCCTCGATTTTCCCCGACGCGCACGCGTATATAATCACGTGATATTTGATAAAGTGGCCAGTATGTTATCGGTGGCTATCTGGATTCTTTATCTGCTGATCTGGTATCAACGGTTGCTGCTGGCTATCCTCCTTCCCCCACTGGCTTTCCTTCAATATGGCTGCTCTCTTCGAGAACAACGGCGACCAGATGGGTCTTCCGCTGGAGCAATGGTTTTACGAAATGCCTCCAGTGACCCGCTGGTGGACAGCAGCCACCGTGGCGACTTCGGTGCTCGTGCACTGTAACATCGTGACTCCATTCCAGCTCTTCTATAGCTTTCGCTCAGTATACGTCAAATCACAATACTGGCGGCTGATCAGCACCTTCCTGTATTTTGGCCCGCTCAATCTCGATCTTATCTTCCATGTCTTCTTCCTCCAGCGCTACTCGCGCCTGCTGGAGGAATCTTCTGGCCGCTCGCCAGCCCAGTTTGCCTGGTTGATGGCCTACGCCATGTCTTCGCTCCTCATAATCTCGCCGTTCCTCTCTCTCCCATTCCTCGGCTCCGCCCTCTCTTCAAGCCTGGTTTATATCTGGGCCCGCCGTAACCCGGATACTCGTCTAAGCTTCCTCGGCCTGCTCGTTTTCACCGCTCCATACCTACCTTGGGTGCTTATGGGGTTCACTGCGTTCATGCATCGCACGGTGCCAAAGGATGAGATCTGCGGTGTTGTCGTGGGTCATATCTGGTATTTCTTCAATGACGTCTACCCGTCTCTGCACGGTGGCCATCGGCCTCTTGATCCGCCGCAGTGGTGGCGCCGTATCTTCGAATCCGCGCCGGAAGCCCGGCCGACTGATGCCACGAACGTCAATCAAGAGTTTGCGGCGGCCGCGGCACCAGATGTGCGATGAGCGCTCCCTTGGTCGAACGGTTAGCAACCCGAACTCGCTGTCGCCATATTCAAAATTGCCCTCAGTCGAGCTTCAAATACCCTGCGCCTTCCTTCGCCATTCGTCGGGGCACGGAGATCATTCGTGGTTTGTGTGCGGGCCCAGGACTATCACCAGGGAGTGCTTGAGTTGCGCGAGGACGATCGTTGCATGATTACTGCTGCGGTGAGAAGCGACCAATACGATTGGTTTGGGCTCCGGCATGAGAATATAGACCTTGGCCCAAGTAAAAATCATTCGACTGCTGTGCCACCCTGTCCTAACAAGGGATTGGAGTTTTAAGACCTTGCATCATTTCTTAGCATGTTATAGCGATAGATACCCAAAATGTTTTCTTCCGATCAAACCATATCCCTGCAACAAAGCAGCCAATGCGGTCTGCGCAAACACCCACCATGCCCAAATAGCCCCCTCGACCCGTCAAAAGTAGCCGACCAAGTCACCGTAGTACGACCGTACGCAGTGAGACCAGTGAGACGAGGCAGTGTTTATCGCAAGTGCAGCGATAAGTGCTTGAACTACCACATCGGGCATCCACGCTATGTCACAGTAGCTACGATCCACGATCGGCCCCGTCTGTGCTGAAACCGCCCCGGTCAGAAAACCCGGTCGCAAAAGATGGGCTCAATTGGGCAATTCCTAGGGACTGATTCCTACAGGGCTCGCTATCTACCGGTGGATCCCCTCCAAGGTTCTCATGCGAGTTGTGCTATCTTTGGTGCGATAGAGGAGAAGTTATCGGCTCCGACAATACAGTCAAGAAAAGTGTCACCCCAACAACATCGATCAACGCTGTGTCAACCAGCTTAGGAACGGTGATTGCAATGGCCACTCACGTCACTCCCGTCCCTCTTTGCCGATCGTCGCCTGCTGGGGAATTGTGCAATTCTGGAGAGAAGGATGATAGTCTGGAGACGGGCGGACCAGGGTTTTGCCTTCACATCTACGGAGTACTCTGTACCCCATCGACTTTCACGGCGAAGTGAGCTTCCTGGATTCCCTAGTTTCCAAATTGGGAATGTCGGATTTTTTGCCGGCTCATGGAATCGCACCGGACTTGTCAGCGATAACGTGGCCATTGGCGTGGTAGCGCTGTGGCGTATGCCTTTTAATTGCCCCGAATGCTTTTCGCTTAGTACAAAGCAGACGTGGGTAGATAACAGAGGGGGGGGGGCAAATGAAAACGCGGGAGCATGTCACTGGCTTTCTCAGAGGGGTTCCAATGTGGGTTGGCGTCGTCATGTGGAGGGGCAGTGAAGCGTTTCCAGTCACTTTCCCCCATGTCCATTGCATTGCATGGATTGGTAGACGACCCCGTAGAACCACTGTTGAAAGCAAAATTGCGGGCGATCTACCAGGTGCTGACGCGGTCGAACCATGGACAAGTGTACATACCGCAATTGCTGCCTCGGTTTACAGGCTGTGGGAGAATGGGCCCTAGTGCAGTGGAACCACACAAAGGCTAACGGGCGGCGCCTATTACTCCGTATAGTGTAGTGATACGAATACGCCTGTCTTTTCATCGCTCTACTGTAACTTGCGCGGCCCTTGCGACATTTTTACACTAGGTATCAAGTCCCGTATGGAGTACTCGTACATGATATGGGCTCTTGACCAGAGGGACTACGTGGTGAAACCAGCCGGGAGAGACAGTGTACTCTCCCCGTTAGCCGGGTAGACCTGGTCGCTTCTAGGAGCGATTTTCGGCTAAGCATTGGATCCTACGCCCCTGCACCCGAACACCATTGGGAGGGTACGCCCCCACTCCATTGCATTATAAGCATTAAGATCGTTTCAGTCTAGAAATTCGATAACACTGTCTCAGGCCCACCACTATACGTCCCCAAAAGCATGAATGCCCTAGCCTTGACGCTAGAAGGGTATCGGCGTTGGTTAGCGTCGCGCGGTAACTCAAATACCTCGCGTATCTCGGGTGCCAGAGAAACACATGGACTCTGAGGTATACTCCGTAGACCTCCACCTCTGGGAATGTCGGTCGGACCTGTGCAGAGAAGAGGCAGAATTAACCAGTTGTGGGCTTTTTTTTTCATTAGCCACAGGGGCACAATCCAAGGACACATCGAAATGGCTTACTGAAAGTAGTAATAGGCCCCAAGCGGGCGAAAGCTTGCCGATGCATAATCTATTTTTAATTATAGGCAGCTAGTTAATCGGACTATCACATTGCTTAATCCCGTACGGAGGTCCATATCAAAAGAAACCGTGCATCTCATATTGAAACTAACCCTAATCTAGACTAGTGGTTATTTTCCTTGTATCGGCCTTCCAAATATTCATTTCCCCCTTCCAGTCTAATAATCTCCTCAATATGCCTTGGCAAGCGCTCAATCCATGTCTGGATATTTTCTTGTGGCAAATCTTTCCAAGCTTGTTCCCACGCTTTAATTGCCTCCGAACGCGATTTTGGTGCACCTTTCTTGGTAGTATATCTTTTCATCCATGGCCAACAAGGTTCAATTGCATTCAAATCAGGAGAATTTCCAGGCCAAAGAAGACGTTGAACACCTGCAATATCAAAAACTCGTTGTTGATAATGATGGATATGAGAAGGAGCTTTATCTTCTTGAACCACTGTTTCAGGACGCTCAATCATACACTCTTGAGCAAAAGGTAGAAGTTTCGGGATAAGGATTTTCATATGATATCGAAACCAATCAATCCCACCCTTTGACTTCTCGCGGGTCAATTTACCTGTCTTTTTGTTAAATTTCCAAGTTGGCTGTTTTCCAGGAAGTTGACGAAGGTTTAAACGTCGTAAACCATTTTGGAGTTCCCAATTTTCTTTCAAAATTGGCTCCAGTTCACGATTCCACTCTTCAATCAAAACTTCAGCTTCACGTTTTTCAGCAGCAGTCTCAGGAGTCCAACAATGACAAGGGCCTTCTTTATCATATGTAAAACATGCCCAAAACATAAACTCCGAACATCCCTTCCATCGTTCTCGAATAACACTTCGAAGAAAACGTTCATCTTTCGATCGCCAAACTCGATAACCTCCACGTCGGTGAAGTAGAATAACAGAAGTTTCATCCGACCAAATAACATTTTTCCAATCTTCAATAGTCCAGTGTCGATGTGCTAAACACCAGGCTAGCCGTTCATTTTTCATTTTCTGTGTCAATCCAGGTTTCCGAGTCGGCTTTGTCTTCCGAAGACCAGCATATTTCAAGATCCGATAGACCGTCATCGCAGAGATCTCGTTCCCTTCGGAACTTAACTCGCCGGCAATATCAGCACAAGTTTTTTCGCGTCCATAACGATCAAGGCGTACTTTAGCAAGAACAACCTCTTTTATTTCAGCTGTCTGTTTTTTCGGACGACCAGAACGAGGAGCGTTGATAATAAACGCATCACAGACTTCTAGAGGTCGAGTATTAGGATCGAAACCACGTTGCATCGCACGAGATATAATATCACGTATTGTGCTTTTCGGAATTCCGAGTAAATCAGATATCTCAGAAGTTGTTTTTCCTAATGTGAAACAGGATAAAACAAAGGCACGTTGAGCGGTATCAGTAGTAGGCATATTGATTGATGATAGTTCAATAGAACAATGGTGGGTGGGTGGGAAGAGGGAGAAATTCAGGGGGGAGGGGTAGCAGGCTCGGTTATCGAACTATTGTAAAACGAAGCTAGTAAGAAATGTAAATTATTTGGACCCACTGCACGGTTTCTTTTGATATGGACCTCCGTACTCCGTACGGAGTGCTTGGGACGTACCGGTCAACACCTACCGTTTAACCTCAACCAAAATCCACTCTTTTCTGCTCCGCACACCCAGTGGGGTATCGGATTTCGTAGGCAGCCAGAATACCGCGCGAACACGAAGGCATGACCACGAACGGAAAAGGTTAATCAAATCGCAGTGGGGACACGCGTAATTCAGGAGAAATAAGCGGCGAGCCAATCAGAGCCAGCTTGGGGGCGGTTTGCCCCCATTTGCCCCCACCGGATACGAGGCTCCACCAATCACAGGGCGCCCCCACGGTTGACGGGACCTTCAGCCACTGTACCTCAGCCTCTAAACTTTACCATGTCTGGGTCCAACGTAGACAAAAGAGGCGTAGCCAGGGTACAGAGCAGCAGTACAGCCCCAGGCCCAGTGATAGCAGAGGCCCCAGCCCCAGAGGCGAAAGTCCGTACTGCGTACGCCCCAACTTGTACCATCCCCAGTTGGGAAGGCTCGACGCGGCTTTTGCCCCTTTCTGTACGGAGTACGGTAATCCTCCCCCTGGTCCAACGGCTTCGCCCTCAACCTTTTCTCTACAAATATTCACTCCTTTCTGGGCCTTAGCCTTCAATTCTTCTCCCCCACTTTGTCACTCCTTATGTTGATCCCGCTCCCCTGAATTTCTTATCCCTCAAATAACAAAAAGACCAAAAAGAGCTCTAAAACAAGAGCTCTCCCCACTATCACCCCAAATCCTTTCTTTGCGCCCTGTCCCTCTCTCAGATCAATAACACGAAATCAAATCCCACTTCCCCCCCCATTCATGGCTTGAAAGGTGTTCACGGAAGTAAAAAGAACATCTCAACCTTTCAATACCTCTTTGAGCATCGCCGAGCCGATTCGCTTCGTCGCCCTTGCCCAACTCCGCATCGGAGTTCATGAGACGTTCTTTCTAAACCATACGACATTTTAACGACCACCCCAGCCCACCCGCGACAGAACCCAATTGAAGAGCCGCTTCTCGCCTGGCGATTAGGGTCCACACAGCTCCCACCATGCGGCGCGGTCTCATCATCTTCATTCTCGTCAATCTCCTTATACTCTCCCTCTTGATCCGCAGCGTCTCCACACTCCTTTCCCTCCTTCTCGAAGATGCCTCTGCCGACGCGATCCACCGTTCGGAGCTGCCTTCACCCAATTCCAGCTTGATTGAGACGCGTCCGCAAGTGATACCCAAGATCATCCACCAAACTTATAAGAATGAGACGATCCCCGAAGTGTGGCGCGAGGCCCAGCAAAGCTGCATTGATCTCCACCCAGACTACGAATATATTGTTAGTCACTCGATGCTGTAGTCCTTTTAAAGTTCAATCGCTAATCTACCCCTCAGCTGTGGACCAACGAGAAGTCGCGCGAGTTTATTGCTGCGGAGTATCCCTGGTTCTTGGAGACCTTCGACAACTACAAGTACCCCATTCAGCGCGCCGATACCATCAGATACTTCGTTCTGGCCTACTACGGTGGAACCTACATTGATTTGGATGATGTACGTGTCTGGCGAGCAATCACATTGCTTGGAACATTGCTAACAGGTCCCAGGGATGCAATCGCCGCCTCGACCCTCTCCTAGCCTATCCCGCCTGGGTGCGTCGAACAGTCCCCACTGGAATTTCGAACGACGCAATGGGCTCGGTCCCCCAGCACCCATTCTTCCTCCGTACGATCGAATTGCTGCAGCAATATGACCGCAGCTGGCTTCTCCCGTACATCACTGTCATGTATACTACCGGTCCACTGTTCCTTTCAGTGATTTGGAAAGAATACATGCAGACCAGGCCCAGTGAAGCAGGTCGCGTCCGCATCCTGATGCAAGACGAGTACAACCGGTTCTCCTGGAGCTTCTTCACCCACCACAAGGGCAACAGCTGGCACGGCAAGGATGCGCACCTCATCTTCTGGATGGGTCAACACTGGATGTTCCTGACCTTCCTCGGGTTCGCTCTTGCGGGCGTCGTTGGCATCTGCCTCTGGTGGACATATGGTCGCGTTATGCTCCTGGGAGCCAAATATCGCTACCGCTATTCCAAGGTGCCCACCATCGTCACCTCTCCTCGATCTTCCTCCTCGCCTACTCGACGGGCTCGGAGGATGGTGCCTACATTCTTTCGCCGAGTAAGCTTCAAAGAAGACGAGGAGGCCAGGGGGCCTATCGAGACCTCATATGAACTGGGTCGCCGTGAAGACTAAGGACTTTTTTTTCCCTTCCGATTCGCTATTTCATTGTATCTGTTGTGCGTCGATACGGCCTTGGACACGATCTTTGCATCTGCATTTATTTTTTACTTTCTGTTCTTCTTGTCTTTCGTTTTATGAGCGCATGCATGGTGTCTCGATCCCGTGGCGGGATCTGGATGTTTTCACCCGGAGCACTTTTTTTTTGGTGACTGTTTTACTGCTGGATTCTTTTGGAGACGAGCGTGCAGCGTCTCGTCCTGTTGCTCTGGATTCCTCTACTATTTCACCTACGCTTTTGTCAATTTGTAAATCGGCTAGAGTTCAATTCTTGGGGTTAGGGGAGCAATTTGGGCATATCGATCGTGGATCTGGTATCTCGAGAAGATAACGAAACAATGGCTTACATTCTGCCAACCGTCTTTAAATTCTGCCTGGCACCGATAGAATGTAGCAACAACACGACGAATACTGTAGGACATGAGCAAATGAGGCCTCGGGATACTTCACGTTGAATGGAAAACTGCTCATCCCTCGAACGTCGACCCCAGGCGCCGATCTCCACTCATTTCCCCAATGAGGCAACATCAAATGTCGATCTTCCAGTCCTGCGACTTGACCACAGTTTCAGCCTCGCTGAAACTCTACACTGGCAGCCAATGAAGGTGCAGTTACGTTCTGCACTATCTGATTCGTGAACAATCACATTCTTTGCCAGGATTTCTTTCTACAAAGGAGTTTCACCTTCAGTGCTGCCGGCGAGTCACTGCGCCCATTACTCGCTGTGGGGTCTTGACATGCCACGGTCTCCGCAATCCTCCTTCTACCCCTTTGTAACCCTATGGTCCACGCCCAATTCCATTATGCATGTTTATAATCGAAGTATGCCCAGCAGCCCTCTGCTATGCTTGGATCCTCTCCAGCCATCCTCTCCCAGTTACTCCAGGCAGGTTTCCTGGTATAAACCTGGTGTCTTTCCTTCGGTGATCTATACGTCTAACCCTCTTCACGACCCTACCTATTCTGCATCAAAGGACATAGTTACCGGCTAGCTATACTCTTCCACAACTTGTTTTGACATCTTTCCAACCTTGGATCCTTTCATCAAAGCACCTGGACATCACGGTTGAACAACCATCATGCTGCACTCAACTGTAACCTCCACCTTGATCCTTTCCCTCTCCCTGCTCTCAGCAGCATCCCCCATCCCCTGGCTCGCAGCCCGGGGCACATCCGTCACGGAAGCCCAGATCCTGAAGTTCGCCCCCTCCTCCAACTCCTGCGCCAATCCACCCGCGGAAGGCGAGTGTGCCACCGCCAAAACGGCAGCCAAGTATGCCTCACAGTCTTTCCAGACGTACAAGGTCTCTTCGAAAGCCGAACAAGCTGCCATCCTCAGTCTTATGGCCTTCGAAAGTGATGACTTCAAGTACAACAAGAACCACTTCCCCGGCACGCCGGGACAAGGCAGTAAGTTTTCCCTCTACTCCGAGCATACTGCCATACTGGGCACTAGTATAAAGCCACGGTCGAGATTGTAATATCTAATCATGCCAACAGCCCGCAATATGCAATCCCCTGCTTTCAACAAGAAATATGCCTCCAGCATCCCCGCTCTCAGCTCCAAGATCGCACAAGTCGCCAACGATCCCGCCGCACTGCTAGATCTGCTGCGTGACAACGAGACCTACGACTTTGGCTCGGGCGCTTGGTTCCTGACGACGCAGTGCTCGGCCAATGTGCGTTCTGCGCTGCAGACGGGCTCTGAGAGCGGGTGGCAGCAGTATATTAGTGACTGCGTAGGCACATCTGTTACCGATGAGCGGAAGGCGTACTGGGAGAAGGCTGTTGATGCGCTGGGTGTCAAGGTGTAAGGGTGGACTTGCTTTGGCTTTTGATTTTCCTGTTGTACAGAAGTGGCTGTTAGGGCTGGGACCTGGTAGCCTTCACGTTTCAAGTTGCCGGGTGAAATAGGTTGACCTAAAATGGAAGCAAATACCTATACTATACGAGTACCGATCTTGATCGGTCCCATCATGAATAACCTTTTTTGTTTCTTACATTGCACATGTCTATCATTTCACATAACCACCCAAACTTTTAGGTCTATACACGCCCCTTTCCATTCCCATGAGAGGCCTGCTCTACAATACACCCTTCGTACTAACAACATCCCCCGCCCCAACCTCTCCCGCAACCCGCCTTGAACAAGCCGTCCTCACCGCAACCGCCAACGCCTTGAACGCACTCTCCGCACGGTGGTGGTCGTTGCTTCCATACGAACATCCAACGTGGAGCGTAACACCAGCTGCCTGTGCAAAGCTCTCCAGCCCATGTGTGATCATCTCTGTGCTCAGATCCCCGATCTTCTCGCGGCGGAAACCCAGATCGATAACCGCATAGGGCCGGCTGGAGAGATCGATGACGGCCCACGAGAGGGCTTCGTCGAGGGGGGCATCGCCGCGGCCGAAGCGGGTAAGGGGATTGGCGGGCGCCGAGCGCTTGGGTAAAGGCTGTGCCGAGGGCAAGGAAGACGTCTTCCGTGGTGTGATGGTCGTCAACTGCATTTGTTAGTTGATTTCCGGCAGATGAGAAGGGAAAGAGGGGCCAATTGACTCGGGGCAGTGCTGAGAAGGGGGGTGAAGAGGGATTGGGGTTCGGGTTGGGGGTTTCGGAGAGGTATGGTTTGACTGCATGACTCGGGACACCTACTGATAAGATCGCCCTTAGCACGAACCGCCAGACTCCAGCCCGAGTGCTTTGCTAATGCATGCAGCATGTGGTCCAGGAAGCCAATTCCGGTGTGTGCGGTGATCTGCTGGGTTGCGGTGAACTGGGTAGCATGGGCGGCATCCTTGGGGGGCACAATGCCTTTCTTTGCGGCCTCTGCTTCTTCCGGGGTGGCGGCGGGGAAGTGCGAGGAGGGCTCGTAGGGGGGAAGTATGCCGCCGTCCAAGGACAGTGAGACTTGGATTTTCGTCTCGTTGGTGACGCGGGAGACGACCGCGGTACGGGCTGGTAGGGACATGGTGGGCTGTGAAATTTTTGGGGGGGGGCAATGTGGATGGCGGAGCGCAGTCCCGGCTTTGATACAAAGTTATGGATAGTCTTGCTTTTCCTGCGGATCTGAGTCGCGGGAGAATCGTTGATCCGTGAGCTCCTCCTCGGGGTCTCGGGGTCTGGTGGTTTAGATTGACAACATTGCGCTGGCTGGTCCAGAAAAGTTTACGATATTCTCGGTTGTCTCCTTTTTTTCTCTTATCTTCACGCATCCGAGTTAGATTGCGTCTCGACCGCTTCTGTCTGAGGGCGCCCTGTTTCCTACTTGTTTGTCTCCGGCCTCGGCGCTGTCAGGCTTAAGCTCTCACACCTTGCTTCTGGCATAAACTCAATTGTCGCTATGCCACCTCCATCGAACCAACGGGCTGATATTGAGCCCCCGGAGGAACTCACGTCGGTGGCCGCTCAGGGGTTCATGACCGGTGCTTTCCGAGTATGTATTGTTGGCAGCAGTAACTTCGATCTTACGGCTGAATGAATGCGTTGGACAGTTTGGGTCAGTGTCAATCCTCGCACACATGATCATGAACCTCCCTCATCCATTTGTCTTCTCCGAGCCAACCCCGCCCTCCACCCAAACACATGCACAACGTCCTCGCCCGTCGATCTTCTCTCGAGACTATCTTCGCGCACGGCTCTTCCACAGACCGCTAGAAGGGTTCTCAGACTGGGTTTCACCGACCTCCCGCGTATATCGTGGGCTTACACCGCAATTTAAAGTCTTCCTGCAGCTCGCAGTGATGACTCTTGGTGGCTGTATCTGGGCCGAGCGCCGCGTGACGGAGTATATCGAGCTGATGCGTCGGATCAAGCGGGCGGAACGACTGCAGGTGGAGCGCGCCAATAACTACCGGCCCTGAGGGGCATGAGGAGAGGGGCCAATGAATGGGAATGCTTGCATGAAGCTTGAGCAGGTCAAGAAAGTATGGGCGAATCGGCAGGGGTGCGGACAAGGATGGACAAGGATCGGGCGCAGAAAAGACTCTTATTCCCTCATCTCGATTGGGCCATTGCCCGCGAAAATCCGCCGGTAGTTTTCGTTCCTTTTTTCACGCCCCTTCATCGGCCTTTTGTCGCTTCTCTTTCTTTCCCTTTTGGTTTCGGTTTTCTTTTTTCTCTTTCTTTTTTCTCGGGTCTCGCCAACAACTCGCAGTAGTATGACGCAACCGCACTCAAGGGCTCGTCCCCTAGTAGACGCTTCTTTCCGGGGTTCCTGAGGAAGCAAAGATTTTCCTGTAGTATTGTCGATCTATTGCGATCAGCTCTTCCATCGCTTCTTCGACGTCAGGATTACCTCAATTTTGCGGCCGCTGGGGGGTTTTGATATAGCCGACCGCTGGTGGATCCTACCATCCCCAGAGCTAGTTGGAGCTAGTGCTAGAGGAGTTGAGGTCTACTAGGCTATATTGGAAGGAACACCGAGAATGCACCTGGGCAGGATATGTATTGCTTAGCAAACGTAGACGCTACCTATAATGATATGATAGTCCTGAGGCGAACGCAGCCTCGACAAAGTACCCCTGTCAACGTAGGATGCACTATGTAGTCTTAGCTTCTTAGCCAGTGGAGTCAGCCTCTTACGCGGACGGAGTCTCCCCGACCGTCTGGATTGGGATCTCATTCGACTTGGCCCCTGCATGTCTCACTGGCCTCGAGTGTCGAGAACTTATCAACCTTTCACGGAGGCAATCTACTAAGGTAGATGGCGATGAGACATCAGGTTAGAGAAAAGGCGGGACGGCGAAGGATTAAATTATGGTGGAGTTGGATCGAAGTTTGGACCAGACGTTTCCAAGTTCCAGACGGCAAATCAACCGACTCTGAAACAAATCGAAGGGAAAAGAAAAAGCAACATATCAGAAAGCAGTAAATAGCGTGTCCGAGAGTCCGTCTGTTCGCCTTTCAGGTTTTCCCAGTTTTTGGAGCTGCATCCGGCCATTCCTCACCTGTGCTGTTCTATTCCGATCTGTTCTTGTGCCAATTCGCCGAATTGCTCCCTCCCCTTATCGTACTTCTGCCCTTTGCCTGCTCCCGTCCTGCCCTTTACTGTTCGCGGTAGATCTTCATATCCCCTCGCCACGGCCCCAAGGTGGTTCCCCAAATCCCCAGCGAGCTCACGGATCGGCAGCCTTGACCCTCTCGGCAGGATCGACCAGAATATCGGGGGGAATCCAACTGTTCCAACCTGGGGTGTAGGAAGATCGAGCCTCCAAGGCCCGGAAAATTAGGGTACAATATAAAGTACAAACGTACGTAAGTTGGTTGGCCGTGTTTGGAACATCCCCCTTCCGGCGAAGTTCGGGTCTACCCGGTGCAACCTTTCCCCTCCTCGCCACATTGTTGACAGCTGCCAGGCGCGCCTTTCTCTTTCGTTTCCGAGTTATTACCCCCCTTGGCCGTTTGTGGTGCGATCTCTAGTATCTCGCCCCCTTCAATTCCTTCTGATGGCGCCGTAAAGGTCCATTGTGAGTCTCCCCCCCAATTGTTGGAGCATTGAATTTGAATGGTTGCTTGTAGGCCTGCAATGGCGGGCCTACTGATTGTCAAAGGCAGGGTGCTCTAACCTCATACCATAGCTATTCCTTCCCAGGAACGCAAACCGACGTTGACGTCGTGGATCTCCATTTGCTCCCCCGCTCCTTTTGACTCTTTGATTTCGCCTTCCGACCACGCCATGGCGGAAATCGTCGGCCGGAAAGAACGACGAAAAAGCCTCAGCTTGTTCAGCCCTTCTTCCGGAACCTCTTCTAGCTCAAATCCGCTCTCTCGACCCTCTCATACTCGAACGCCCTCAGATGACGTCCTCAACAAAACCCGTCGCAACTCCGGCTTCTTTGGCCGGTCCCAAAGTCCAAGCCGAAAGACGAGCGGCCCCGATGTCCTTCGTAGACCTGGCACCGCAGGCGCAGAGACCGCTGGATGGTCCGCTGCGATGTCCGCGTCCACCCCGGCGCTTGAAATTCCACGACCGCGCCGAAAGTCTCTCCAGAAGAAGAGAGCATCTGTATTCGGCTCCTTAAAAAACCTCCATATGGAAGATGAAGATCCAGTCAGCCCCTCTATTGGCTCGGTCGGCGACGAGCAGAGCGCAACGAGTCCTCGAAATGGGATGTGGTCCTCGGCCATGCTGCACCACGGCGCCATTCAAACCACGGGTGGCATGTGGAGGAAGAAGAGTCAATACCTCGTGCTAACAGACACCCATCTCATTCGCTTTAAGAACCAAGCCAAGGCCGCAGAGCTCTTCTCTTCTATCCCGCCTTCGTATAACGCCCGCCCGCCAGCAACACATCGCCAATCGGTAGCTTCCATCAGTTCGCTCCAGGACATGCAGTCGGTAGTGAGTGGTGAGGCATCGGCCGGGATCCCATTGAACAGTATCATTGCAGTCTACATGCTGGAAGACCCCCGGCTTTCGCCCACGGTCGAGGTCGCATATCTAGATGAGCGCACGCACAAAGCTGCCCTGGTCCAGATGCAGACGCCAGACCTGCAGGAATTGAATCTCTGGATGGTGGGGATCCGACAGGCGGCGCAGATGGCCCGCGCGAACGACCCATTATACTTCGATCGCGGCACAGTCGATTATGTGACGAGAATGCTCGAGTACGAAAGAGATTACGATCCGGAGACTTTCCGGATGTTCCGTGTTATCCAGATCGCCTCCAGCAAATCCCCTACCCGTTCGTCCTCGGAAGATCTGACCAAACTTTCGCCCACAGGCTGCTATCTGGTGATTGGCCTGCACAAGGTGCATTTGATCCCTATGCACAAGGCGGCCAATCGGTCTTCGGTGGTTTCTTTGTCCGATGCAGAGACGGCTACTACTCTTGGCCTGATGAATTTAACCGGCTTGTCTATGGAATACGGTGACGACAGTTTACATCTGACGTTTCGGTAAGCAATACTCATCCCGGACTGGTGTCACTTGTCCTTCCTAGCCATCCCCGCTCACAAGCAAACCAGGATACCCTTGCAGAAATCATTCAATGTATTTTTGGCCTCCGTTCATTCCGTCGAAGTTGCTTGCTGGATTCGCCAGCACACGGAATTCCTGCGTCCTCTCTGGACAAGGCAGCCGTATGACTTTCTTGTCCCACGGGAGCTTCGTAACGACAGCAACTTTCCCCCAGTCGAGCTGGATGAGGACTATGGCTGCATTGACCGAACATTAGTTGCGTATTCGGCTAGCTATGGTGTGGATACTTCTAACATTCGCTATACAATTGACCTGGAATGCGAAGATGCACCGTGCTTTCGCCTCCTTGGTCCTGCTACGTCGACAAGAAGCGCATACAATTCCCTGGAATTAATCGCAGTGATGCGTGCCCTTCGGTATAACCAGAATTTCCGGTCGATCTCTTTCCGCGGCATCAATTTGGATGCGCTTCAGCGGGTCCACGATATCCATGGAGTTGATCCCGACGTGCACCTGAGACCGAGCCGGATGCCTTGTCGAAATCCCAGGCCAGGAGAATCTGTCCGTACTCGCGCAAGAGGTGCGTGCTCTGGTATTAAAAAGTACTGCGCTTCGACGGCTCGACTTTTCCTTCTGTTTGACGCGGACACCGACTCTCGACAAGGGCAGCCGAGACCCGGGCTGCGGCATCCCCGAAGCTATCTTTCCCGTTTGTCGACGCAAGATGACCAATGTCGATTGGGTTGTCTTGAACGGTATCAAACTCGGTGAGTCAGATCTTGATTATCTGGTGGATGCTGCTTCGCAGACCCAGAGCCATCTGCGGGCGCTGGAGGTCGGTGACTGCGGGTTATCTGTGCACGATTTAGATCTTCTGTTGTCGACACTGGTCGCACAAGCATCCACGCTAGAGGCGATCAATATTTCAGGCGTGCAAGGACGCTTGAACCCCGAGGTTCTCCAGCAGTACATTGGGTACTTTGGCAAGATCCGGAAGATCAATTTCTCGCGTATTTCTCGAACCTCGGGAACCGATCCACTGATTACCGCAGAGATGCTGTTCAATTGGGAGCTGGAGGAGCTCACGCTCAGCCAAACTGCCGTGAATCAGGATACGGTAGACTCCATTGCAACGTACCTGGCTAGCGACAAATCGCGCAACCTGCGTGTCCTTCGATTGGACCAGTGTGGGTTGAGTGGCGAAGATGTCGCGATGTTCATGCACTCGATGAGCGTTGCGCATGATCAACCTCGCAACCTCCATCTGCACGCGAATGGAAACCGCCTGGATATTGGCTGCACACACCTCTTCAACGCTGTTTTGAAGAATAAGACCCCAACTCATCTTTCAATGCAGATGATCGATTTCAAGAAAGAAGATCACTTTCGACAGCTTGTCGAGGCGCTTCGCAAGAATCGGACGATAAAGTATCTGGATATCGCCAAGGTCTCTCTGCCGTACGATGCGAGCACTGAAACTTGCAAGGCGCTGCAGCTCATGTTCGAAGAAAATAACACGCTTGAAGCGTTGGACATCAGTGGTGAAAATGCACATCTTGATGTGGCCCGGTTTGGAATCGGTCTCAACTTGGCACTGACTGGTTTGAAAAAGAACAAGTCTATCCAAGTCCTTCGAATCGAGCATCAAAAGCTTGGACTGCAGGGCGCTAATACCCTGGCATCTGTTCTGGAAGAAAATGATACATTGCGTGAAGTGCACTGTGAGAACAATGACATCAATCTTCAGTCTTTCACCGTGTTGGTCAACGGCCTCCAATGCAATCGTACTCTGCTTCGCCTTTCTTCGATGGATCGAGACCGGGCCTTGTCTTTGGACAGGGTGCGTCGAGAAGTTGACAACGTGCGTTGGGATTCCAGTAACATCCAAACCTCGACTGCTACTTCCATTCGCCGCTCTTTGCATGCCGCCATGGGAGTCAAATCGGGTTCAGCCAGCCACCGACTCACGAAAGCACCGCCGACTCCTTCTCCTTTGAGCGCCTCTCTGGATGCCTCGAGCTTTACCGCGCAGAATGTCGATGTGATCATAAGCTCTTTGCACCAGAAATGGGAGGTAGAGCTATCTCGACTACGCCGATACCTTCTCCGCAACTACAATGCCGCTCACGGGATTGAGTCGGACGGTGATGATGGAGCAAGTGACGGACGGCCTGCAACAGCAGCCAGCTTGGGCACTATGCTTGAGAACCTGAAATTTGAGGTTGCGGTTTCAGCAGACGAAGTCAATGGCTCGCCGCCTGACGACACTGCATCTTCAATCCACAGCGACATTGCTCCAGACCAAATTGAGCCGCCCCCCACTCTAGCACCGACACGCAAGCTCCAGGCGAAGCTCAAAACGATGAAGAGCGTATCCGATTTCCGGCCTAAGACTCCTCAAGCAGCCTGCCATCTTCTCCCACCTGAATACAATTCGGGCCCCTCTTCTACCCGTGGAGCCTCACCCGTTCCCGCTCTACCGCAAGCTCTCGCGAAAGCGAACAGCGTTCGTAGCGCGCGCAGCTCGAGTACCGCGTCCACCAACACTGGAAGTGCACGAAGCGCGTACGGCTCAGCCTCATCCACCCTCCGAGGTTTCCTCACAGGCGGTGCCTTGAAGGATCGCCGTCGAGGCGAAGCTCTACCTCCTCTGTGCGTCACACGGGACGACAAACCACCACGACTGGACTGGTCTCCCCCCAAACTCGACTTACAGGAGCTTTCCTAGCCTCCCTCATTCAACCGTTGTACATATATAAATGTACAGATATAGGACTGTCGGTCCTATTCTCGCGTTCTGATCCCAAGAAACAATTCCCATGGCACCGTGGAGTCTCTGCGTCTTTGATTCATTTATAGGGGACCCCTGCAGTGAAAATGGGCCCTCCACCCTTTATGGAACTTCCAACTACGTCTCATTGAACCACCTATTCCACCCCCTTCCCGGCGTTACATGCCTCTGGCACTGATACCCTGATGCCCTGCATCTGCGACATTATTACTCGGGGGCGCCTGTACATTTGATTAAACCGGCGCCAGTCTCCGGCGTTGCCTCTTGAATTGTTGATCTTTTCCTTTCTGTACCGGCGCCGGCAATGATCAGCGAGAGGGCGTCTTCGCTGCTTCATTCTTGCCTTTCTCTTTCTTGCTTAGCTGGTTCTTTGTTCTAATAGCCCTAGTGGCTTTACAAGGCAGGGACGTCATCGCCGTATGATTGTCGCTTGCTTTACTCGGTGTTCCTCGGCACGGTTTATCTTCTTTGCTGTGTAGCTTGTTAGCTACTGTTACTGACGCGGGCGGTTGTCTTTTTTTTGGCACATTTGATCGGTTTACGGTAATTGGTAATTGGCTGATAAGATCGGATGGCTGCGCCAGAATATTATGGCTGCATTTACTATTTTTGAGATCACTCGTAGAGGTGTTGCCGGTGTATTCATAGGTTTTCTTTCTTTTCTTACATGTAGGGCGGCCACTCATTTCGAATTCCTGTCACCCAATTCGAGAGTTTGGAACCCAGATTGATGAATCCACACCTCGTTCGAGAAAATACTAGAAAGCATGCAGCACACCCCTCATGAACACTTTGATTCTGCATTTGCTGTGTAAAAAGGGTAGGAATACTATCCTTAGCCATATTCTTGGACACATTCGAAGACTTGTCTTAGAGCCCAACTTCAGAGTCCACATCCTGCGGCCCATTCCGTGTGCGGTTATATATCTACACCCAGTCCTAGAAATTATCACCAGGTCGAAACCTCTTAGTAAGTCATTGCTTCACCTGGGCATCTCGGGATTCTATATTATGTTTAATAAACTGTGTGATTAAGTACCGATATGGTTGACTGCCAGTGGTAGTGAGTAGCTGTACACTAGCAATATGTTGGAGTTCCCACTACGCCATCAAGAGCTGAATCAGCACTAGAAGCACCAGTATGGAGATTTTACCCGAAAGCTTCGGGCGTCCGTGGATAATGACACGGAGCGGACTGAATTTACTAGGCGCTGGTAGTCGACCTGTGGACTTATAAAAATGATAGACTGTTTTGCCTCGTCGACGTGCTATAGATGTTGCACACGATTCCCTTGCCACGACTCTATTCGTAACCCTGGATTATAGACAAAGGACTGCATTCTATCTTACATATTATACATAGACCACCAAGGAGGCTATACCATATGAAACCCAGCCTCACAATGCAAATCCCGATAAACGCCTGGACCCCTAAGCGAAAGTGGCTAAGGGCTTGCTCAATCCTTCTTATTAGAGAGAGACTCGAAAACAATGATACCCTCCTTCTCATCAAGCATGTCTTGAATCTTGCGGAACTCTTGTCCCTTCTTCGCAATCGCCCGAAGGCGGGAGTTATGGAACGCGTTCGCCGCCACGGCATCGGTCTCGCCTTTGTCGAGGTCCTTGCGTCGACGTTCACGAACCTCCTTGTATACTGAGCGGGCATGGCTGTCAACCATGTCACAGAGTTCGTACTCGACGTCCCAAGTATCTTTCTCTCTGAGAAGGTTCGGTCGCTCAAGATGAATGCCATTTACGACATTCTGAATGGACAAGACCATTCCGTATACCGGGCCATTTGCATCGGTGTTCTTAGGCTCGGGCTGGGCAGCAGTCGCCATCTCGTCCCATTCCTCCATTTCATCTGACTCTGAGTCGGACGGCTTGGGAGGAGCAGGTGCGGTAGATTTCTGATCAGATTTAGATGATTCGATGTTCAGGATACGCTTCCGGTACGCCTCGAGCTCGGTCTTGCTCTTGCGTTGGATTTCTTCGATCTGCGCGTCAGTGACAGGCTCAGCGAAAATGTACATGAAGTCTGGCTTGGCAGGACGCGTTTCAAAGTGGAGGCGCAGCGTCTGTTCGGGGAATCGCGCCGTGGCCTTGTCCATGACCTTGCTCCAGAGGTCCATGCTGAGCTGGAATTCTCTGTCGCCGAGGCTGGTGTCTGCTTGTCCGTGCAGAGCAAGGTCCATCTCGGACAAGCTGATGTATTGGAAGCCGAAGATGCGCTCGATGTTGTGGTGTGCGACAAAGATGCCGTTCATACGACCGATCCGCACTTGCAGGGAGTATTTAAGGAAGGCGGCGCGGATCATATCGAAGTATTCCCGCTCATAAGACTCGTATAGGCCGAATTGGCTTCGGATCTCGTAGCCGAGGCCGTGCTCGAAGTTCCTGGCATCGGCGCGAATCGAGCTTACCGCACGCGTCTTCAAATCGAACATGCCTGTTCCTGGAAGTCGAGGATCATAGGCATCTAATTGGGATCGCATGGCAAAGTTGCCAATTGTAGAGTAGTGGTATGATTCAGGAATGGCTTCCTCCTCCTCGGCGGACACTTTGTTTTTGTGAGACCGGCGGTACCTCTCAAACTCCTCTTTGGGCATGGTAAGAAGCTTCTCCATGGACTTCCCAAGTTCCATGAGGATGTTTCCAGTATCATATTCCTTGTCTGCATCAACGGCATATTTTCCGTCTTTGTAATGAAGGAATACAGCCGCTGGGGCACGAAGGAACCTAGCAAAGGAGCGCAGGTTCTCTTGGAAACCCTGCGAGAGCATCCGGGTGTCGACAGGTCGCCAAGCCGATAAGAGGAAATGGAAGTGAGCAAGAACTGCAGTCATACTGGAAGAAGATCCTCGGTACTTCTTATCGACTTGGACTGCCAGGTCCTTGAGGGTCTTGTCTTTTGACGAGGTAATATATTCTTTTAGAAGATCGAAGTCAAATTCGTCAACAGGCATAATCGAGCCAAGATATGGGTCAAAGTTATATACTCGAGATCTCGGATCACGCAGGTGGTAAACACCAGGATTGAAAAGCACCCGGTCAAGACCGTAGGCCAAACCGGGTACGGGAGCTGTAGGGAATTCTGGCAAATCGAGAGCTTCTCTTGGTTAGTATGGCTTCTGTTCGGGCATATAGTGCATGACATACCTGTGAGCTCTTGATCCTTTGCTCCAATGACCCCATTCTGCCTGTTTTTCGTCATGCCTCTGATATGCGACCCCAAAGTAACGGACCTATCATCGTAACCCTTCTCGGCACCTTTCCTTCTCAAAATATCAGTTACTTTTTGGATCCCACGACGAGAGTCATGAGGAGTAGAGACTGTTTCCGCATTGTTCTCCGAAGAATTGGCCTTCGCAACTGGCTTCTGCGCTGGTCTGGCCGGTCCGGGTACCCTTTTCGGAGCAGGACCGGCTGCTGGTGTTCCCTTCTTCTTCTTCTTCTTCGGCGGCTTATTCTTGGCCTTGGTGGCTTGCTTCGCGCGTGGTGTATCACTAGGAGGCGGATCTGAGGAAGATTCGTCTGCAACTGGCGCTGCATCGATTATCGTCTCCTTCTCTCTTGCCGCTGGCTTCAATTGGTCCTGGGCAGGTGTTTCCGCATTATCGGCTGCACCAACCGGAGTTTTGTCTGAAGTGGGCGCCGTCGCATTGGAATCAGACCGCAAGATTGGCACATGATGAAACTGGCGAAAAGTAGCAGGTGGCGCTGCTCGATGCGCTAAACACAAGAAACAAACATTCGCCCTTAGCGGGTTGGAAGCCTTCAAAGCAGTTCGAAACATCCCAGCGCCCGTATGCAATGACCAGCAAGAAAAGCCACGAACGAAGGGAACGTGCAAGGAATCCAATGCGCGTCAGGAGAAAGTCTGTTGCAGAACACGCGCCGGGTTTTTTTCTGCCGTGCATAACTGACCGCTTTTCTATTGCACGCATGGGCGAAAGGGCCAACGATGTACTTGCGATTATGGCACCAGAGACTTACCAGACTCGATAAATTCTCGATCAAACGATGTGGATGTCAATTCAATCTGCGTCTATCTATAGAATCTTGGAGGACTCGAGAGGTGCCTATCATGGAGCCTGTTCGCTGAAGATATTGTATGATAATAATAGGAACCGAATTTCACAGTTCAATAGTTTTCATGGACTCATGTCTTGATTCGCTAAGATCAAAGCTACTTTCAGCCACATCCCATGTCTACTATGAATCTTCCCATCTACTTCGAGGGTTGGCAGTAAATCCATGCATCGCTGATTGCTGATTAGATTAACCGGGCGGAGAAAGCAGGCCCGGCAGAAATCAACGCCGCCGAGAAAAAAAAAGTATGCGGCGAGCCACAACTTCCTCCACATCCTCGCAGTCGTTTGTTTGATATTGGTCTCTGGCTGAGGTGAGTTGCGGTGAATTTCAAAGCTGTTATACTTTCGGTCTTCATTTTTGGCATTGGATCGCCCAATGTCTATGACTTGTCTTCAATTTTCATGCATGGAGGGGCTCGTACCCCGCCATAGACGAGCAAATTGCTAACTTTTTCTGCTTCCTTAAGTCACTCGAGACACTGCTCCCACAATGGCCCAAGAACAGCTCCGTATCCTCATTGTTGGCAACGGTGGCCGTGAGCATGCTTTCGCTTGGAAGCTAAGCCAATCGCCCTTGTCGACGTCGTCTATGTCGCTCCAGGAAACGGCGGCACAGGTCCCAAGATCACCAATGTGAACATCAAGGGCGACAACTATCCTGCACTGGTGGAATTTGCTCAGAAGAACCAAGTGAACCTCGTGGTTCCAGGTCCTGAAGCGCCATTAGTGGATGGAATCCAAGGATATTTCCAAGCTGGTATGTCATGAGAGTGTTTGCGTATTGGTATGCAATAGCTCACACAACCTTGATTAGTCGGTATCCGCTGCTTTGGTCCTTCAAAAGCTGCTGCGCGCCTTGAGGGCTCCAAGACTTTCTCCAAGGATTTCATGCAGCGCCACAACATCCCAACCGCTGAGTTTGGAAACTTCTCCGACTACGAGGCCGCACGCCGCTACCTAGACTCTGTCTCGCACAACGTTGTCATTAAGGCAGATGGACTGGCTGGTGGCAAGGGCGTTATCATCCCCACCACCAAGGAAGAGGCCCACCAAGCTCTTAAGGAGATGATGGTCGATCTGCAGTTTGGCAAGGCCGGCAATGAAGTTGTCATCGAAGAATACCTGGAGGGAGATGAGCTGAGCATTCTCACTTTCAGTGACGGTTATACCATCCGGTCTTTACCTCCCGCGCAGGACCACAAGCGCATTTTCGATGGTGATCAGGGCCCTAACACTGGTGGCATGGGTTGCTATGCTCCCACTCGCATTGCGCCTAAGGAGGTCCGAGAGGAGATTGACCGAACAATTATCCAGCCATCCATTGACAGCATGCGCAAGGACGGTTTCCCATTTGTTGGTATCCTTTTCACTGGCCTTATGATGACAAAGAATGGACCTAAGGTCCTCGAGTACAATGTCCGTGGTGGAGACCCCGAGACGCAGACCTTGCTGCCTCTTCTCAGCGCAGACACCGATCTTGCGCAGATCATGGTCGCCTGTGCTGAGCACTGGCTTGACGGTGTCTCTATCAACATCGAGCCCAAGTACTCTACTACTGTCATTGGTGTTGCTGGTGGCTACCCTGGCTCATATGCCAAGGGCAAGCCTATTACCTTGGATCCCACTCCAGAGGGCACGCTTATTTTCCACGCTGGTACCACGCGGTCTGGTAACGAGCTCCTGACTTCCGGAGGCCGCGTCATTGCCGCCACGGCAACTGCTTCCACTCTTGAGGAAGCTGTCAAGAAGAGCTACGAGGGTATCTCCACCATTCACTTCGAGGGCATGTTCTACCGAAAGGACATTGCTCATCGTGCGTTCCGCCAAACTGCCAACACCTCGCTCACCTACGCCGCCGCTGGTGTCTCTATCGATGCTGGTAACGAGCTTGTGAACCGCATCAAGACCGCCGTGAAGAGCACCAAGCGTCCCGGCACTGATGCCGTCATCGGTGGATTCGGTGGCCTGTTCTCTCTTGCTGCTGCCAATTCGCAATACCACCCCGAATCTCCCACCCTGATCGGAGCGATTGATGGTGTCGGCACTAAGCTCAAGATCGCTCACTCTGTCGGCATCCACGATACCGTCGGCGTCGACCTCGTCGCCATGAACGTCAACGACCTCGTCGTCCAAGGTGCCGAGCCCCTCTTCTTCCTAGCTACTAACTCCTGCGGCCACCTCGACGTACCCACCGCCACAGCCTTCGTGACCGGTGTTGCTGACGGCTGTGTACAAGCCGGCTGTGCCCTGATCGGCGGCGAAACGGCCGAGATGCCCGGCCTCTTCGTCGACAACACCTACGACGCCGTGGGTCGCGAATGCCGACATCGCCAGCGCGCGCACGCCCGCCAGATCCTTCCCCTACACTGACTCCATGCGCTCCGGCGATGTGCTGCTCGCCCTGGCTTCCTCCGGTCGCATTCCAACGGCTACTCGCTCGTCCGCAAGATCGTCGAACGCGCAGGCCTGAGCTACTCCCGACCCTGCCCCCTTCTCCATGCCCGGCCTGCCCGCCGACGTCTCTCTCGGCCGTGCCCTCCTCACCCCCACCCGTATCTACGTCAAGCCCATCCTGAAGACCCTTGCCTCTCACCCCGGCGCGATCAAGGGTCTGCCCACATCACCGGCGGCGGTCTAGTCGAGAACATCCCGCGCATGCTGCCCGCCACCCTCACCGCGGATATCGACGTGCGCAACTGGAAGCAGCCGTCTGTCTTCAACTGGCTCCAGCGTGCGGGTAACGTGTCACCGGCTGAGATGGCGCGTGCCTTCAACTGCGGTGTTGGTATGGTCATTGCCGTCGATCCTGCTGCCGAGGCTGCTGTGCGCCAGAGCTTCGAGTCGCAGGGCGAGGCCGTATACCGGGTGGGCCAGCTGCGTCCTCGTGCCGAGGGCGAGGAGGGCTGTGAGCTCACCGGTCTGGAGTCGTGGGCTTAGTCTTAAATATTCGAAGGGTTTTGCGAGTAAGCTTGGTCGATTTATGGTTCATGTGATTTATGTTTGTTAAAAGCTTTGGACAAAATGGATGCGTCGTGACGCTGATCCTGTATGATGGATGAAATGATATATACTCCCTGAATTCTATGAAACATGTTGAATTACGAACAACCAAGTCCACCCCCGCATTGAACTAGGTAATAGTCCATACAGTCGTGAAGACGAGTGTTCTAGAGACTATAAATAACTTGCCCCGCAGGGACCTCGGGACCTTTTTCCTCGTAGCAAACCGGAAGGCGTTAAAAAGCAAAGAGCTCATTCGCCGAGTTTATCTGGACGTGGCACTTGCAGAAAATAAGCTTTTATACCGGATCTAGTAGCAGTCAGCAGCTACTACGTGCGACTGAACTGGAAGCATTGTGAACCGAGGAACTACGTCTCCTCCAGGTTCTTAGGCTACATGTACTATATATTAAGACTACGGTACACTCGAAAGGCACACAAGACAATTTGGTCGGAGATACAACGCATAAGGCTAGAAAACAACCAGCATCGCACATAGCAGCAGGAAAAAGGGAAAAGAAAACGCGACCGGTGCCAACTCCATGTACACACACAATCCTCACCTACACCGACCGTGGCACCAAGGGACCGGGGCCATTGCCATTCGAGGGGCTTTTGAGAAAAGCATTTTGAAAAGAAAGGCGTTCCAAAGGAGGGCGGAGGCTCGCAGAGAGAAACACAGAACGGGACTGCGGGGAGCAAATCCAGTAGACAGCGTAGGATGGGAGGTGGGGAGTGGAAAACAAGAGGTAAGTAGGGAAAAGAGAAGAAAATAAGAATCATGAAGAAACGACCGACTCTATTCCACTAAAATCGAGATTTCCATTTTCAGGCTATCCGCTTGATAATGCGAGTCCAACAACAACGCTTGCGATCCACCATTGCCTCCATCCGGCCTTTTGATACACCAGGAAAGTACGAGCGAAGACGATCAATGCGCCACAAGAAGCTTAGAAGCACTTGCGGTGCACAATGGAGGGACCGCTCTCGTCGTACTCCTGCTTGGAGATCCACATCTGCTGGAAGGTGGACAGGGAGGCGAGAATGGAACCACCGATCCAGACGGAGTACTTGCGCTCGGGGGGAGCGATGATCTTGACCTTCATAGACGAGGGAGCAAGGGCAGTGATTTCCTTCTGCATACGGTCGGAGATACCGGGGTACATAGTGGTACCGCCAGACTAAAGGAGAGAAAACAAGAGTGAGCAATTTCAAAACGTAGCAAGATTGGGGAACAGGAAGAAAAGGAACACGTACCATGACAATGTTACCGTACAGATCCTTACGAACATCGACATCACACTTCATGATGGAGTTGAAGGTGGTGACGTGGATACCGCCAGACTCCAGACCCAGAACGTTGGGCTGGAACAGAGCCTCAGGAGCACGGAAACGCTCGTTACCAATGGTGATGACCTGTCCGTCAGGAAGCTCATAAGACTTCTCCAGGCTGGAGCTCTGGGAAGCGGTCTGGATCTCCTGCTCGAAGTCGAGAGCGACGTAGCAAAGCTTCTCCTTGATGTCACGAACGATTTCACGCTCGGCAGTGGTGGAGAAGGTGTAACCACGCTCGGCAAGAATCTTCATGAGGTAGTCGGTCAAGTCACGACCAGCCATGTCGATACGGGAAATGGCGTGGGGGAGAGAGAAACCTTCGTAGATGGGGACAACGTGGGTGACACCGTCACCGGAGTCAAGTACGATACCAGTGGTACGACCGGAGGCGTACAGGGACAGGACAGCCTGGATGGAGACGTAGAAAGCAGGGGCGTTGAAGGTCTCGAACACGATCTGGGTCATCTTCTCACGGTTCGACTTGGGGTTGATGGGAGCCTCAGTCAAGAGGATGGGGTGCTCCTCGGGAGCGACACGGAGCTCGTTGTAGAAGGTGTGATGCCAGATCTTCTCCATGTCATCCCAGTTGGTGACAACACCGTGCTCAATGGGGTATCGCAGAGTAAGGATACCACGCTTGGACTGTGCCTCATCACCGACGTAGGAGTCCTTCTGACCCATACCAATCATGATACTGTACGTATATAGTTAGTACTGTCTGCCTGGTTCATTTTGCATGACTGCAGATCCTGCCAAAGGAGCAGAAAACCTGCAGTCTGGAAGCAAAGGGAAGGGGGACGGGGGGATTTACCCATGGTGACGGGGACGACCGACAATGGAGGCTATTCACATGGTGAGCAAAACACATTACTGTCAAGATTGCAGGCGGAAGGCCAGATCTTGGAAACTCTTGCCCCGCCGTCGTAAACCAAACCCAAAAATGCCGATGCACAATGCAAGGGTTGGTGGGATGATTCTGAAGGGGTTCGAGCGGCCTCAATCTGTGGGGTTGTACTTACGGAAAACAGCTCGGGGTGCGTCGTCACCGGCGAAACCGGCCTTACACATACCCGAACTACACAATTGTCAGCAATCCGGCTTCATGCTTGTTGACAGATAGGATGCTTCGGTCTGGACGGCATTCGGCTGGCGATTGGGGCGAGAGTCACACGCCGGGCCGGGAAAGGGGGAGGGGGCTGATGACAAGTCCGCGACCGACTGGACGCCCCAAAACACCACCTAATCTGCCCGTCCAGAGGGGAGAGCAATCCATCACGTACCCATTGTCGATAACGAGAGCAGCGACTTCCTCTGTACAGAGATAAGGACGTTAGCGTGATGCCACGATATGAGATGGTTGAAGTGACCGTTAGAGCTGAGCTGGCCCCAGCTCCCTGAAGAGGGGGGGGGTTAAACGGCCCAGGTGGCCTCAACGGGGGAATAGCAAAACGACGACAAACACGTACCTTCCATGGTGAATGAATAGAGAAATGACCTAGAAAAGAAAAGAAATGGAAATTGGGGGGGGTTATAGCTGGAGGGTGGAGGAGAGAAGTAGGGGGAAGGGAGAAGGAAGAGGAGGAAGTGGAGAGGAGGGGAGGGTTTGTGATGGTTGGGACCTGGTGTGTGCGCAGCGTAACTGGTCTCGACTAAGCCCCCCCAATCGACAGTTTTACTTGATTTTTCCAGATGTTTTGAGACTCTTGAGTCTATATACGATTCCTATCACCCAAGGCAGAACTATATCCTTTTTATTGTGATGGCTTTCTTCCCCCCCCCTACTCGTGAGAGAAACGGGCTTGCCGTGGGGCTGCCTGGAGCCTCCAGACCCTTCTCCCCGAACGGAACATTTTTGTTCAGGTGCAGACGCCAGTCATACCGGTACCAATCAGCTGCCTAAGACCAATTGTACGCGCCCCCCTAAGTTCCAGCTGCTTTATGGTTCCCAGATGGGGGTAGCAGGCTACGAGATTTGGGATTTGTTGTTTCCTTGACGCATGTGGCGGGGGGGCAAGATGACTGTACACTTCCATGCTGAACCACGGCTGGATGTCACTTCTAAGTATAGATCGCCTGCTGCGCCTCGACCCAGGTACCTCAAGGGTACTTCCATCAAGTAATTTGACTTAGAGCCTATATATTGTGCATGGTTTGCCGGAGCTTGCAGGGGCGATGATCCTCGGGATGAAAGGCTGCCCAAAGAGACTAATATTGCGCCCCCATACGGCGATGAACAAGCAAGGTGGCCTGCCTGACTTGTTACCGCCATTTCCCACAAGACGGTGAGCAGGTCACATGACCTTCTCGCAGGTTCCCGAACGGTCCACGGATCCCGTGACTTTCCTGATCTTAGGCTCTTATCGCGGGCGCTGTAGTTATATCATGATAACCTCCGAATTTGACGTATTTCTAGGAACGTATTGCCGCACGTCTACATTTACTTCAAGCTCTCACGCCGTTACCCCTCGGTACCCTTTTCAAAATGGCTATGGACCCTACCATGAACAAGCTCCTTAAATGGAGTGTCCAGAACTCCCAGCAACAAAATGAAGATGGCACTACTACTGCCCCGCCTTCTGCCAGTGAAGCTGCCCGCACTCTGACTCCGGACATGATCAATGCTCTCATGGGCGGTCCTTCCGACGCAGATCTTATGAAGGCTGCGATGGAAGTGCTGCATTCCGATGAATCTGACTTGGAGAATAAGATGATCGCATTCGACAACTTCGAACAGCTCATCGAGGGGATCGACAACGCCAACAACCTCGAGCCGCTCGGTCTTTGGAGCCCGCTTGTGAAACTATTGGACCACGAGAATGCCGACATGCGCCGGTATGCGGCATGGTGTATTGGCACTGCCGTGCAGAACAATGAAAAGGCCCAAGATAAGGTAAGCGCTCAATTGAAGGCCCCGGAGGTATCGTCGACAAACGGAGCTAACGCTATTCCGACCCAGGTTATCGTTCTCAATGCCATTCCTAAGCTTGTGAAAGTCGCTACTACCGACTCAAACCCTGCCACCCGCAAGAAGGCCGTCTACGCGATTTCTTCGTCCGTGCGCAACTATCAGCCAGCCATGAACGAATTGACCAGCAACCTTCCGGAGGGTTATCCGTCTGACAAAATTGATGCGAGTGATATGGATGCCATCGATCCTCTCATGGACAAATTGCGCGCTCATCCCGTGAGCTCTGCATGAGCTCTGCATGCTTGAGCTATCTCATATCTAGAAACCCAACCTTAGCACCCCTGTCGCAAATGCCGCGGCCTATGACCATTGCACCCTAACCCCCGGGAATGCAAATGCCTGGCTCATACCTGTCGCATCTTCGACACAGGCAGCAGAAACATCCCGTCGAGCGTGATACGCAATCGGGTAGGGCTCATTTCCTTGGGCTCACTTTCAGGCATCCTTATTCAGCTGGGATGCAGGTGCCCAGGTGTAACATGAGCTAGGTGCTGCGATTTATGTTACGAATATTCAATAGGCCTGAGTAGATTCGCGGTTAGGCCGCGTCATCACATCAGGCAAAAGCGATTCGATCTTACATGTACATAGTTTACCGCTTGGTTTAATCTGATCCACTTGTAATCTTTACGTTGATGAGTCTGAGTTGCCCTGCAAGTTATTATTACCTCGTCGCCGTAGCTATCTAAAATCTGCTTGTCTTATTGGATCATCCTAGTTCTCAAGCATGATACGAGTATGAGTTTAGGCTAAACCCGACGCGGGCCCGCGGGCCCGCGGCAACATGGGACGAAAATCTTAACCATATGCGTACGTATTTCGAATAAGAAGTCTTCGAGGCAACTGCAGAGACACCACTGCTTGATGCTGCGTGCCCTTTATCATCAATGTCCGACCTAACGACACTAGTCCTCGTACACGGTTCTTGGCACCAACCGTCATGCTACAACAAGATCATCAAACTCCTCCAACCAAAGCTTAAATGTGTCGCAGTAGCGCTTCCATCTACAGCGAATAATCCAAATGCAACATTCAAGGATGACCTTGAAGCCACCAATGAGGCTATCGCCAAAGAAACAGCCAGCGGGCGTAATGTCGTCGTTGTCGCTCATTCCTACGGCGGCATAGTTGGCGGCAGCGCGATCAAGGGATTCGCGCGGCCAAACGACAGGCCCAAAAACAACTCTGAGTCCTCGACTGGATACGTAATTGGCCTTATTCTGATAGCCTCCGGCTTCTGCATTGCCGGGCTGTCCTTTATGGACCCGTTCTTTGGGCACCCGCCTCCCTCCTGGCGTGTGAACAAGGAGACTGGCTACGCTGACCTGGTCACGCCGCCGAAAGAGCTCTTTTATCACGATGTTCCTGATGATGAAGTCGAGCATTGGATATCTGAGCTGACTACCCAGAGTCTCAAGGCCTTGTTCGAAGGTGGTGAACATACCTACGAGGGCTGGAAGGAGGTGCCTGTCTGGTATATTGGTACTGTCGAAGACCGAGGACTACCCGTTGCGGCACAGCGAATGGGAGTCGGATTGGCCAGAGAGTTGGGCGCGAGGGTGGAACATCGCGAGCTGCAGACGAGTCATTCACCATTCTTGAGTCAGCCGGAAGCAACGGTGGGGATTATGCTGGATGCTTTAGAAGACTTCACAGGGCAGTCTGTGAAAGACCATGAAGTGACGGGGGAACGCAGCGCAGTGGTGAGTGTACCAAGGGCATTATTGTGGCAGCCGTCTACTTGGTTTAGATTTGGGCTGCCGATGGCTTTTGGTCACATCATCGGCAGATCTATTATCCTGTTTGGATGGGGTCGAGGGCTCTGGAGGTCGGTATTCTCGAGGCGCTGAGTAGTATATCAGCTTGTACATTACTTTAGTTTCATTTATGCCAACACTCCACTCTGTCTTGTTCATTGAATCTCGGTCGTCCCTCGAACTCTGAATGCAAGCGGACCACTTAAATTGTAGGCCTCCATAGTAATATGAATGAGGCGTGCCCGGGTCTGCTACTTGAAGTTGAAGGTACCCGGAGAGCTCTTACTTGGAAAACTGACTGTTTCAAGGTCATGCCACTATTTAACTTCACATTATCTGCTAATACCAGTACTTCAATTCCTTCTTCCTGTCCAATTTTTTTTTTTCTTTTCTTTAACTTTAACGTCCAACCTGAACATTTGTGGGACAAATTGATAACAATTTCACCACTTTCAATTAGTGGTCACTCAGACATCTCTATACATGATCGACAGTGGAGTTAGATACGGCTACGTCTGCACAGGAGAGGCTTGTTTTTCCCTCCATATCCCAAAGGATGATCCAACAGTTGTTCAATATTTCTTGTGTATCCCGAATCAAGACTTGCAGGCAGACGAGGAATTACGCCTCCACCGGACCGCTATCAGACAGGTAGTTGCATTCAATCTTGAAGCCCTCGTCGTCGAACCTCCGACTCAAGAATGGCATAATGTAGCAAACGACCTGGAAAGTCGACGTGTTAAGAGAAATCCGCGAAACTCTCCGCATTTAAACATGTCATGAGCCATATCATCAACCATGAGAATTCTAGCTCCTTTCACCGAGAGTGCGATAAAGCTCTGCTCTGATCTACGGAGTTGTCCATAGCCAGAAACCTTGACCTCGCGGCTGATATCCGAATGGACTTCCTAGCTGCCGGTAGGCGTTATGACGATGCTCTTGCAGCGAGGAAAGAAATACAGGCCAAACTCCACACAGCACAATTCGCACCAAATGTCACGAGCGTACTATCGGCCATCGCCAAGCCGATACATAAAAACCTGGTCATGCTCGCGAACCTAAAAGCTGCATATGGAAGCCCAGCGGATATTGAAGAGGGTCTATATAAGCCTGAATATTTCGATAAGACTAAGGGCGGCCGTTTATCCGAAACAAGTGAGGGTGAAAGTGGAATCACCTTGGGCTACAGGTGTTAACCTGGCGAACCCGATAGCCTGTTCAAGACCCCAGATTCCACAAAAAAGGTCACGAGGAACCACAACAGAAGTTAAGACGTGTTTCCTAGACTCCCCTGATGCCTCTTTTTCGAACAATCTTTGCGCATCGAGGACGATGTTCTTTTAGCGCGCCCATGTTGTCACTCGCCAGGTACGGCCACAGACCGACAGTGAATGGAGCAATATTTTGTAGGATGACCCGGGTGGCCGTTTGTTTATTGTTGATTTGGAGGATATAGAAAGGATGAAGCCCCCTCCCGGGCCTTTGATCCATCGTCTGGCGACGCCCGGCGTGGTCATCGCTTTGGAACGGGAAAAGACAAGCAAAGGCTCCTGTTCAGCTCAACTAATATGCACATAACGAATTACAAAATTATGAATCAACTGCGTTAGGTGAATCAGCTAGTAACCTTGGGCTATTGTTGTGCCACTGTAGCAGCGTTTAATTATATATTCTCATTGGTGGCTGCGCACAGGAGGTGGAGCTGCCTCAGCATGAACCGAAAGCCCAGTGTCGGTGTGCTAAAGGGTTCAGCTCACCCCTTTTAAGAGCGTCGCACCCTCTTCAATCATCAAGCATCTGGCATCGTGTTCCTGTCCATTCCACCTACAGTTTTAGAGATGCGAACCCGCATGTGCTTCGACGATGTTGCGTGGGAACAGAGTGAGGCCATCCAAGACGCCTGGGTACACGAATTGTTCAAGGAAGAGACTTTGATGGCTATAGGTCAATTTATCCTGAAACATCGAAGAGGAGTGCCCATTGAGCTGTGTGACCCAAAAGCTGGGGCGTTCAATGTTTCCTTCAGAATGAAGTTTGAGGACGGCGGTTCTGCAATCATTCGATTTCCCAAACCCGGTGCTACGATGTTTCCCGAAGAAAAGGTGCGCAATGAAGTCGACATAATTAGGTATATTCAACAGCATACGACGATTCCCGTACCATTTGTCCTGCACTGGGGCACCAAAGAGGAAAATCCCCTTGGCCTCGGTCCATTTATCATCATGGAGTACATTGACCATGTAATGGACCTGAGCGACGTCCTTAATACACCTGGATATGCCATTAAGGATCGTCCCATTCTCGACCCACACGTTGGAACCGCCAAGCTTAAACTGCTATACGGGCAGTTTGCGGGTATTTTGCTTCAGTTGTCCACGCTACGGCTACCTAAGATAGGATCATTGGTCCAGATTGACGATTTCACCTGGGAGGTGGCTCAAAGACCGCTATCCTACAATGTGAACGAACTCGTCCGTCTAGGGACTCTACCGCGTTTAAGGTTACCAAGGGCAAACGAAACTTTCCAATCAGCGTCATCCTACTTCACTACACTAGCAGATCTCCACCTCGAGCATCTCATACACCAACGGAACGATGCCGTCGATTCCGCGGATGACTGTCGACGAAGGTATATTGCAAGATTATTGTTCCGAAAGCTCGCTAAGGAGGGTCGCTTCACGGCTTCTTCCACGAACCTTGGACCATTTAACATCTGGTGCGACGATCTTCGGCCCTCAAACGTCTTGATCAACGAACATCTTCAAATCGTCGGGGTTGTGGACTGGGAATTCACCTATGCTGCACCAGTGGAGTTCTCTCATGCCCCGCCGTGGTGGCTGCTTCTTGAGCAGCCAGAGTATTGGCCGGATGGGCTTGAAGCGTGGACGAAGGTGTATGAGTCACGCCTTCAGACGTTCTTGAAGGTGCTACGCAAACAGGAGGGCGTGGCCATAGACCAGGGCAGGCTGAAAGACGAACAGAGGCTTTCCAGGCCAATGCAACAAAGCTGGGACAGTGGTGATTTTTGGGTCACATATGCGGCGAGGAAAAGCTTCGCATTCGATGCTGTATTCTGGACGAAGCTTGACGCCCGATTCTTTGGACCCAGTATGAGCACCGAAGACGACCGTTGGAAAGAGCGGATAGACCTACTTACCAAAGACGAAAGAGCGCATATGGAGAAGGTGGTCGAGAAGAAGCTGGAAGGGATGAAAACAAGGGTTCTTGCCTGGGAGCCTGACGAGGTGGATCTTAAGATCTTAAAGTAGTACCCTGAGATAGGAGTACGCGAAAGGGCACGGTTTTGAGAAGGCCACCTATCTCCTTTAACCTTTTGAATTCACAACTGGGACCTCTGTTAATTACTTCCGTAAATCTTTTTAGTTACTCTCTGTATAGTAGGTTTATGTAGATATATGGATATCTAGCTGTGCGGGAGGCGTCCTTTGATTCCATTTATGGACTAGAGCTTGTTTCATCAGTTGTGGAGGTCGAGTTGACCGAGACATTGAAAGTGAGACCGAGGTGGTAGGAAGGTACTGTTGATACCCGGTTAGTAGCAAGTCAGACCTGATACAGACATGGCAGCTACCCGCCCGTATAGTCCGGCCCGACGATTTCCCGACAATCGTCATCAGCCGCCGAGCTTCCCCCCAGCTCCATCCGTTATACCACACCTCAAGCCCAGATGGAGTCCTCCAGCAACAGACTCTTCCGGTTCTCCAAGCCAGAATGGCTCAACAACTCTGCCGTCCGTAATACGGGCGTCTACGTCTCCGGCGCGCTGGTGAGTGACCCGCCCTGATCCTTGCCTACCGTACTTGGCTGCACCGTGTCGCATCGACCCACGCCAGGTGTTCGCGATCGCCTTCAGATCGCCCTACACTGAGACAGTACTTGAGAGCGGGAACTGACTCGCTCTGTACCAGTTTGCGGCCGGATTCTTCTTCCTTATCGACGTCGCTTCCTTCTCGCGCAGCGCCCGCAATGGCTCGGATGTGCACATCAAGTTTGTGGACTGGATCCCGGGGATCTGCTCTGCACTGGGTATGCTGGTGATCAACTCCATTGAGAAGTCACGACTGCATGCAGACAGCTTCAGCTACAGCGGGGGCGGGGTTGCGTGGAAGGCGCGCTTTGTGCTTTTCTTGGGCTTTGCCCTTTTGGCTGGTGGTCTTGCGGGGAGTGTGGTAAGTCAATCTCACCTGAGAGTGATTCTCAGGGCCGCTTCGTTCCTTCCCCACTGGAATTTTTGCTGACTGGATTTGCAGACGGTAATGGTCCTCAAATACCTGATCCAGGACTACCCGATACAGACCCTTTACTTTGGAATTGCAAATGTGGTAGCCAATGGTCTTGTCATGCTCAGCTCCGTTGTGCTTTGGATCTCCCAGAATATTGAAGATGACTACACTTATAACCTTGCGCTGTAATTGCGAGAAGGAAGCATACAGAGAGGGGGTTCAGTGCTGTACTTTATGCAAGGATATTATGATTTTGCTTGGTTTACACTCGCATTTTAGCTCCCAGGCGGGAATTCTCTAGGTAGGAACGGTGACAATTGAGCGACTTTCATCAAATAAACCTCGAAGGTTCTGGCTGGCTTTTTGATCTGGCCTTGGCATTTCCTCACACTAGAGACTATCTTTCACATCACTTATGATTGTTATTTAAATGGCCCAACATGGTCATATCCAGCCATGCGCCCTATGGTAGTGTGCCATTTGGAAGCCAGGTTGACTGGTTCTGTCTAACAAAAAGATTCTAAGGAAATCTGAAATGTCTTCATTATTAGTGTGAGGGTGATGCTTCAACCACTGTTGATATTAGGACCAGCCTGATGGTTAAGTTTCATATCCATAGAATGGGAAGAATCAGTCGACATTTATGCTACGTCGCACATAGATCTTCCCAGTCTGCAATACATCCGCGGTTGACGAAGCTGCATCCGACTCACTCCCCGAATTCTGGAATCAGACTTTCCATGATGTTGCGAAAGCCAAGCATCAAATAGCTCAATGTCCAGAGTATTATGCTTGAGGATGACCATGTCATCTGCACCCCTCGTATTCTTCGCAGGGCGAGGCGAAGAGTGGCCCGTGGATCGAATTCTCCTGCCCGTTATAAACTTGAACAATGGCGCACACGTTGGGAAACAAGCACACATGAATGCGATGCCGAGCTGGATGGGGGTGATCAGAGCGACAGGGAAAAGATCGGTCGAGTGGTGACTTGACGTAGGCCTCCAGACGTATGCAAGTTTGACAATGCTCATTGCGCATACACTATGCGAACATTAGCAAGGCGAGCGTCATCATCATTTATGAATGTAAACGCACAAGCCTCCCAGAAGAAACATACCGGCTAGGGACATCTGTTTGGCTCTGCTGAGCTTCATTCGCTTGATCATGACGAGCGGAAAGCAGAGCAGTGCCGCGTCCAGTAGTAAAGTGGAAAATTCTAGCGCGAACCACGTTGAGCCGGTGGTCCAGCAGTCCTTCTCACTTCCAAGAGCGCTCCATAGCTTTTCGGTCGGATAGCATTGGAGCAAATTGACGAAGAAGGCAGCCAATACCCAAAGAATGCAAAGGCCAGCCACGACTTGGTTTGTCACTCGGAAAAATTTGGATATACCAATTAGGTTGTGGTAGAAAACACAAATCAAAAATTTGATATTGCTCAACGTTAAGACATAGGGAAAGTCTGAAATATAAATGTTCTAGGTCGGTAAGCGCTGAACTTCCAATGTAGCAATGTTTGTTCGACTCACTCGTAGAACAAACTTGATTTGGCCTACTTTCCTCGCATGATTCATTTCGAGCAGGTCAAAGTTTCCATCAGCGGACCGTGTTAGTATCTGAAAGTTGCTTTTAGCGCTAAATAACATAGGAGTACTGCCAAGTCTAGGTAGAACTCACCCTCGATCAGAAAACTAGAATATGGAACCATAAAAGACCAGAGCTATCAGTATCAACCAGTCGGCCCAGGTGAAAGGTAACTTCGACCAGTATCGTGCCATGAATCTCAGCCAAACAGAGAGTACCGATAGCAGGAGCATGACGATAGCCACCGTAAGGACTGCTTTGCCTGTGCTATCCATCTTTGGACCACGCGGAACCTAATGCATAATACTACAAAGGACCCAAAGCAGGCTACTAATCGGTATATCAATGCGATCTTCATCCTCGATGAAGCCCCAAGTGGTGTCGTCCACTGTCACCCGCATGCTGTTCTCGATAAGAATGAGTAGCAGCTGTTCTGCCCCTGCATCAGGGCCCTAAGCACTAAACCAGGGGCCGTGGGGGCCTGACAGAGATACGGCGATCTGCCGTCAGAGATGAGAGCCCCATAATACCGTTTACGAGTAGTGTATGGGGATCAGGCGTTATATATTCTTCTCGCAATCCTGCCCAATGATGAGTTTGGTACTAGAGTTCGAGTCCCAGCTCAAGGATTATACTATTTGATATCCTAACTCCACATCGTAATCATTCCATTCTGGATATGGCATCGCTCATGGCAATCCCCGCAAACGTTCTATATCTAGCCTGTATCGCCAGAAGATGATTTGGTCAAACTTGAACAAACCCGCAAAGCGATCCGTAGAGGAGGACTCTTGGCTCAGGGCGGCATTCTTTCCAATGATGCTAGCAAACCCGTCGGTTTCCATGCTTGCCTTGTGTTATGGGCCCAAGACAAGTGCGCCGAGACCATTCGGCGGTCGAGAAAGTTGCTGATTCGTAACTACAGTCTAGGGAATAATTGGTTCCGGCAGCAAAGAAATGGCCGAGGAATTGGTGGCATTGGTGCAGGTCCATACTATGCATCCGATTGTGCAGAAGTTAGATTTCAAGCAGGCGCGAGAAGCATGGGAGTTACTGGCGACACGCAGTAAGAGAGACAAAATTGCGATGAACGTGTGAGTAAAGGCACACCAGTTCCATTTAGGGTTTCAAACCCATCATCTGACCATCGAGGGAAATCTGTTATGCTTGGGGTAGGGTTCTTTATCGCAATTCCAACTGATATGGACTGCTCCTGGGAGCCTTCAGTGGACTAGCTAGGGACAACCAACTGGACAGATGTACTGATCACATGACGAAATTACGCGTTCAGTACAAGGATTCCGCCCACGAAATGGACGATCGAGCGGTTGCTGGTTAGCTTGTACGTGGCCCAGCGGTAACATGGTTATTTATATGGTCCTTTCGCTGCAATGGCGCAGTCATAGCCGCCGGCCCCCAAGCCACCATGCAGCTAGGCTAATCGATACAACCAAGCCACCCCCTCGCAGTGGTTGAGTATTTAGAGCCTGCTCGATAAGAAAATCAATTTTGTCTTTATTTGCCCCCTGATTTAGTTCTTTCCTGGGCTTATACTTTGTCATGGGCACGTCTAACTCTCACGTTCGAGATGCTTTCGAGATTGCGAAGAATGAATTCATGACATCGCAGAAAGACGGCTCCCTTTTTGACCATGTTTCCAATGTGACAAATGTTCATGATATTTACGAATTTGTCATGCAATTTCAATCCCAGCAAAGCAATACAACGGGCATGCGATGTCTGCGGAGAATCAATGGTTTTCTGGACGGACTACGTCAATATTCCCAAGTGATTGAACAATTCGTTCAAGTCAAGCCTGATGTTCTCGCTTTGATATGGGGACCAATAAAGCTTTTGCTTCAGATGGCGAATGTCACACTGCAGTCTTTCAACGCTATCGTTAATGCAATGGTCAGTATAGGAAATTGTTTGCCTATGTTCGAGACCTTCGGGACACTTTTCAAACAAAATGATCGAGTGAAAGATGCTCTGGTGTTATTTTACAAGGATATCCTGGATTTTTTTGATATCGCTCTGAACTTCCTCAATTTGAAACGTAAGACTTTAATGATACCTCAAAAGATGTGAGCTAACTACTAGTATAGATTGGAAACTTGTTTTCGAGTCTGTCTGGCCAAAACACAGTAGCAAGATTGATGTGGTGGTTAGCAACATGAAACGTCACAGTCTCCTTCTCCGAGATGAAGTAGATATCGAACATATCAGTGAAGCCTATCGGGCTAGAGAACTCGATTTCGATCGCTGGGCACGGACGTTTGAGTTCCAGGCACGACAAGATTTTAACGAACTCCAAAACTTTATCTCCCCAAAACTGTACGATGACGATCAGGATCGATTTCAGAGCAACTTGTGCGAAAGAACAGGAAGTTGGATCCAAAGACACAAAATAATGAGCAAGTGGTTCAATCCGGATGACACTTCTACGAGGCTTGTTTGGCTGCAAGGGATCCCCGGGGCAGGTATGTTCACGCGGATTATTGGCTTAAAGATAGAGAAAAAACTAAGAAAGCGGCTGATGTCATAGGAAAATCTTATTTATCTTCGACGATTATTGCTCAAGTCCAAAGTTTGAAGATGCCTGTCATATTTGCGTTTCTGAGCTACAAACAAGGAGATATATCCACAATCTCAATTCTTCACTCGTTAATCTTTCAGCTACTTATTGGCTGTGAGGGATCTGACAATACACTCAAAGAGGATATGAGAACCAAACTTTACGAGACCTATCGGTCAAGTCAACGTGACTTGAAGAGTAATACCAAATTTGCTCGCGAGACGCTATGCAGCTTCCTGCATTGTATGGGGCCGGTGCATGTCGTCATAGATGGATTGGACGAGCTTCCAGAAAGTCAACGAGCTACGACCCTTCGTGAAATTTTGAATGTGTTACAGGATGCACCTCAGACGAAAATACTTATCAGCAGCAGGATGGAGGACGACATATCTCGAATCATGAGGAAGACTAGTCACAAAGCACTTCGTGTTGATGACAATAATAGAGGATGCATTCAGTCGTTTGTGTCGATTACAAGCCAAAAATGGTTGGATGATTCGGATTTCGACGAAAATAATCGTGCTGAAATCATGCAGCTCTTAACTCTGTTGGCAGCTAAGGCAAAAGGTCTCTAATCCCCCTGAATAACGGGTTGAACCTAGCTAATTTTCGATCACCTAGGAATGTTCCTGTATGCAAAGGTTGTCATGGATAACGTCAAACTTTGTCCCAACCCAGATTCCATTCGAAACGAGTTAAGAGCTTTACCCGAGACTCTGCAAGACGCGTATGATACTCAATCCAAACTTGGCTCGGCGGTATACTAAATCATTTGTATCAAGCTATGCCCGTATCCTTCACCGACTTATTGGCTTGCCACCTGCCCTAAGAGAGATGTCTCGACGAGCACTTGGCTGGATAGGATGTTCTCCTATCCCGATCCTTCAGCAAGAACTTTCACTTGCTCTCAATAGAGCGAATGAAAAAGATATAACACTTCCATGGGATACTGGTACCTTCAACATCGTTCAGCTCTGCGGTCCTATAGTAGAGATAACAGGGGACTATGTACATTTTGTGCATTTCACTGTCAAAGAGTATGGTTGATATGGCCCCACTGACCTGCATACAAAATCTGACAAGGAAAGGTACCTCTTCCACGAATCGCAAAGCTTTGTGCGCACTTTAGAGGCAAATGTTGACATGGCTACCACATGCCTGAGATATCTTTGTCTTGATATATTCGACCCTGAGATTGACCCGACTGATGTGAAAATGCATATTTTATCTGGTAGATACGGCTTGTATTGGTTTGCGGCCAGTCAACTTCTGAGCATTCTCCAAAGATGTGCAAGGCTCCTCGCCGACCAAGCTCTGCCTGACTTGCTGAAGAACGAATTAACTCTGTTCTGCCAAATCCGCGGAAACATTAGCTTTGATCCTGCGGCAAAGGATGACAAAAAAGCTGTGAAGGAGCAGATACTTCCAGAGGAGGACGTTTTTCAGACCTTCAAACCGGTCTTACCCGAAGAACATCGCTTTTTGCACCATGCGCTTGCATTACGCAGCCTTGATAATGGGAAATGGAGACTGGACCAAGGTACTGTTACTTCGCAACAGAATATCCCCCTCAAGCAAACACGCAGCCAAAGCTGAAGATACTTATGCTGACCTGAAAGCCTGGATTTAGATGATGAGTGGATCACTAAAGATCCGTCCTCTTTATCAGAAATCGCTATTATCATTCATGAGCAGTTTGAAGCGCTTCTCTGCCAGACATCAGATCATTCCGGCAATTGTGCCTGTGCCAAATTAAAACAACATTACGGCGCACGCCTCTTCAGATGTCATTATGTGATATGCCAGCCCCAACGAATCTCTTTCGAGCGGTTCTCCTCTCGCGAGATACCAAGCAAAAACCATAGTCGATCATACAAATGCCCACACACCGGGTGTGCATTCTATTCTCTGGGGTTTTCTTCCCCAAGGCAATTGGATAAGCACATCGAAAAGTGCCACCGCGATACCCAGCCAAGATCGATTCAAATTCTTCCAGATCCTGACTCAAATGAGCTTGTGCCACTACTATCAGATTTGATTGCGCTGGGACGGACTGCGGAAGTAGAAGCATTGTGCACACCTTTCCAGTCATTGAATTCTGATAGTCAGCTTGGCCTTCTAGATCATGCTGCCCACTCTGGACCATTGCAGATGGTGAAAGCTCTCTACTCGGCGCGTACAGAGAGTATTCTTCACACGTTAAAATCATCCACTCGTTGTGAGGAAGCCAATGCCATTTGCGGACTAGCTTGTTCGTCGCTTTCAGGAGAGAATCTTGACGTCTTAGAGTGGCTCAGCCTCAAGACACACAATGTCTGCGACGGGTGTGGATCGCTTGTGAGTGGCCATTTCGAAGAAAAGTTCTTCGTGGACGGAATATCTTCAGACTCTGATGAAGTATTCGAGGCATGGAGAAAATGCTTCGCCTCTGCTATCTGTTATCCTCGCCCCCTTTATAGACTGCCGGCAATCATGGACAGAATGTTCATCTGGCAGATAAGAGAACCTATACATCAGGATCGGCTAGCAGGAGTCTGGGAAGACATTCTCCACTGTGGAAAATTTGATAATGTTGAATTAGGTTACACTCTGACCGATCTGGCTAAAGGGACATGTTCTGTAGCCTTGGCGAAGGTCCTCCTCTCGGCTGGAGTCGACGTGGATTTCAGATTACCAGAAGTTGGAAGGGAGCAATCTACGAGGAAAACTCCATTGCATTTTGCCTCTAGGAAGACCACTAGGGAAGCAGCTGAAATGATGAAGTTGCTTCTTATCTGGGGTGCGAACCCAAATGCTGAAGCAAGAACTCCTTGGTCTCATTCGCATCAAGAGCGATCTCGTGATGAAAATGTTAGACCCAGGCGAAGGATCGGTATGGAAAGAGGAGCACGAAACATTCAAAAGTGGCTGGGAATGTCATGGGAAAGTTTGGTCGAATGGGCTCAATGGCAAAGAACTCAGGATATGAAACAGAATGTAAATACATTCGAAAAGGAAAAGAACAGTGGAGGTACAGGGAGTAAGCATGATCCTTATGTCATCTCCTAATATCAGGTCAACTTGGAGTTTTGGTGACGAACAGTATTGTCGAGTCTTCTGGTAATAACAAGTATCCAAATCAAAGCAACACCTGCTTAAGCCTCTATTCTGGTTTTAGTGAAGGTGCCGATATAAAATGAATCCAAAGTCTTGCATACCTCTAACCGGCGATCATTGGCAATAGCTTGGCTCGAAAGATTGCTGAAAGGTTCCTGTGCCATATTCAATTTGGCTCTTTGAAGATCTTGAACGTACTGATATTTGATGGATAGATTAGTGGGAGGGTTTGGAGGGATATGGAAGCCGTGACAGGCGAAAGGCTGTTGCATGGCTCACCGTTTCAATTGAATCCTTGACTATGTAGCGTGTTATCAGGACATCTCGCGTCTGTCCCAGTCGGTGCACCCGGTCAAAGGCCTGTGCTTGAATCATCGGATTCCACTGAGGCTCAACTATATGCACTGAGGTCAACGCTATTGGAGCGAAGAAATTCGTTACGTTGAATTATGAATCCCATAGTTGTCAGTTGAACATACACCTCGGCGATGCTTCCGATACTTGCGAGCATCACTGTGCATCTTGGATCCTCTTGCAGTTTTTCAAAGGCTTGCGACCTTTCTCCAAGCGAGGTTTATCCGTCAATTTGCTCAAAATGGAAGTTGTTATCCCGCAGAGAAACTTATATGAGGTCCAAACATCTTTGTCCAGTGGCTGAATAACACTACCAGGTATAGTTTAGTAAGTTCTCGATACTTCCTGTGGTTCTGCGCTGACCTTTTGATAGGATTGCAACCTTCGCAGTTGTTCCCTTCTTGCTCTGCTATAATAGTCCTGGTTAGAGCTATGACTTTTGAAGACGGTACGTAAGAGTGGCTCCCTTGGTGGTCAGGAGTTGAGACATCCAACTTCGACTCAAAAGCCTCTGAGCTAAGGATTAGTGAAGCCTCAGCTCTGTGTCGCGGATAAGTAGCTTCCTGGACGCTCAGATCACCACCCGGAGGAGTATCTCGCTCTTTCCATAATTTTATGGCAAAGGGGGGTAGAAGATTCTCTCCGTGATTGCAGATTAATCGTAGGGCATTCATTAAAGAAAGAATACCATGTGCTCCTTTCTCGATAGCTTCATTACCTACCGTAGATTTTGCAGCCACGGAAAATGCTTGAGCTTTGAAGAAGTCATAGAGCAAGCGCTCTGAAGTGTTTAGCTCAATACATTGCTCTGCCTCAGCACGATGCGGAAGCATCAACTGATTTTCGACATTCTGTTTCGTTCTCCGCAGACAAGCCGCAGCCACAAGTCTTTTCAATCTGTCAAGCCGTGCAGTTTCTTGCTCCTGAGACCAGGTATGGGAGCTAATCTAATGGTAAAATGCCATTTTCCAGATGGTCCAGTGAACTTGGCTCTCACTCCTATGAATGGCAACAACGCCCCATAGTCATCCATTCGATTGCGGATTGGGGTTCCAGTGAGGCACCATCGATATTGAGCGCGTAGCCCACAGACAGCTTTGAAAGGTTGGTATGAACGATTGCGAATATGATGGGCTGCCACTTATTGAGTTAGCAAGATAGGGGCCTTGTCGGCTGTAAAGCAGGGACCCCAGGAATACCGACCTTCATCAAGAACAACACGACTCCATTGCTGAGTGTTGGAGAACAATAGGCTGTTTACCCGGTCAGCACACCATTCAGACTTCAAGGTCTCGTAAGTTGTGATCGCGATTCGTTGGCGTATAGTTATATCCGAGGAGAGCTTTCGACGATCGAAACCGTGAAAAACGGCGCTTTTGAAATATGTTTAAAATATGTACCTTCTTCGTAGAGGTTTTAATATATGCCGAGTATGTCTACATGTGTAAATGTACGGATATCAACTTCCAGAGAAACTCAGCTCCGTTCAGACGGCCGTTCTAATTCCGTGGAAGGGATGAGCGTCAATCCCATCATTGGTCGATTCGAGTCCGCCTAAATAAAGTCCTCACATAAGTTACCTAACTAGTAACTAAATGAGATTGATTTCCCTCTCCCAAAATGCTAAAATTTATCCTAGGGGAAATGCCGCGAATTGTCCAATATGCCCTTCAAGAACGCCCCATCCCGATATATGCACCGTCATAAGTCATATCCAACCTAGATTCGAAGCTAAAATAGCTTGATCCAACTAATAATCTTCACAGAAAACACGCAGAAGCCCGTCAATGCATGTCATAGCCTTCTCCTTTTCTATTAACGTAGGTGTAGGGTTCGAGCCACCTGTTGGATCTCCCAGGTACTTGCGCAATGCAAAGCAGGCCGCTTTATAGGTCGCATGGTACATGCCCTTGAACTCGTTATCAGCCGAGGAACCCGGGCCTGGGGTTTCTGCACGGGTTTCTGCGGTCGGGGTGGCATTTGGAGCCTCTGCGTCTGGGTCGTTCGTTCCCCCAGTAGGCTTGCCACGTGGATTGGAGCGGTGGAATCCGTAGAGGCGCATGCATGTGAGAGTTGTTCGAGTAATGAGGTCTTTGTTTTGGGCGATAATAGCTTCTGGGCTCTTTGGCGGCGAGTCGGGTGTGTTATTGTCATCTTTATCGGCTGATTTGACTGATACCTGCTGTGGCGCCAGTGAGCCATGGTGAAAACTGGGCTCTAGTGGTGCATTTGGCGTTTGAGTCCGTTTCCTGGGATCCATGTTCAGGCCCGGTGTTGCACGCACACCGCGGTTGCTTCCGGGGCGTTGGAGATTGGCTCCGATCGACATAGATCGCGATCTGTGGGTGACTATTCGGTCGAGGTTCTTTGGGAGGTCGTCCTCTGGTTCTCGTTTGACGAACAGGGACTGAAGATTCTGTGATGATGACTGGGGGCGCACTGGCGCCATTAGCTGAGAGACGCCTTCGCCTCCCCTTTGCCGTACTCGGCGATGATGCTGTGCAGCGGACTCAAAAAGCGTGGCGACTCGTTTTCGCTTGGGACTGGGAGAGCTGGCATCCGGGATAAACTCGGCTTGTGTCGAGCATGGCTCTCCATCTGCACTTGCTGGTGGCGACGGCAAAGACTGGGCTTGTGTGACTGATAATGTAGATAATGGCGCTCCATATATTCTCAGCTCATATGGTTTGGTGGTGTTGTTTGGACGGCTCGCCATCTCGGTAGGCGATGAATGAGGCGGGGTGGGAGGACGAGAGCCAGAGGCGGCGTTGGACAACACGCCATAGATCAAGACATCGGTAGTCTTTTTGGATGTCGAGCTGTCAACACTGACCAGCAGGCCAACAGGACATTGTAACGACTGGTGTAGATCTAATTCGTCCTCCTCCAGCCAAATCGCACCCATGAGTTTGCTCCGAAGCCATTGGGTGGTGGCCGGAGACGATGTGTGTAGTTCAAGGTTTGGGCCTGCACGCGCATGTAACGGGATCAAAGCAGGGTTGACAAAGCTACGGAGAGCGAGTTTGGCATCTTTCGATATGTCGCATTGCCAGTGGGTGGTTTGATCAATCAAGCTAATCCCTGGGAGAGGTCAGCGCGGCGGACGATAATACACGGGGCTCGGCTTACCTTCCAGACCACGGCCTGCGTCCAGCGAAATAGAGCCCGACCAGACGTTCATAATTGTGACAGACTAAAGACAAAGCGTCATGTTTGGCGTGGGGTGGAGCTTGAATCGGAGTCGACAAACACTTCCCGGACGCGCGATATGTGGGGAACGCGTCCAGACCATCGATTGCGGCCTAAGGCGTCATGCGTCATGCAAGACAGTCTTCCTCGAGTCATAGACTTCAGTACAATTCATCGTTTCCCATGGAAATGCTCAAAACGACTTGCGGTAAATACGACTGATCCTATGGCGCCTGGCGATTATTACTCAAAATGTACCCAACGCAAGCGGCGTCGCGTACAATCAGTACAGTGTTCAAGTTATGACGGTCAAGAATCGCAAAACCTTAGTTCTATATCCACCTTGATATAATACACCCCATATAAAATGGCCAATCGAATGCTAATGCCATACACTATAGCAACGCTGGTGTCAATTCATAGCGTCTCGTTCGAAGTAGATCGTGCGTACGTAGGAATCAGACCCGTAGACCCGTGGACAAAAAAAAAGCTACCGTAATCATAGCAAACATATGACCGTGCATATTAGTCCCATCCGGGAGAAACTTTGCCCAATGCCGGAGGATATACTCAGAATTCCTCTTGCTCTTGGAAAAACATGGTGAAACTGATGATTGTTCCGTAAATCAACAATCCTCCAAGAATAGACATGATCATTGCTGGGATTTGGATATGGCCACTGTGCGCAAGGACCAATGGAAGGGCTGGAATGAAACATGTTAGAATAGTGCACATTGTTGGAAGAGCACCCAGCAACTTGAAACAGGCAGCCGCTGAAGATGCATCGCGGGGCCTACTCACCAATACCAGTGAGCACCAGGAACCCGGTAAAGAAGCGTCCGAAGTCCATCGCTGAGTTACTTGTGCTATCCATGAAGTCATCTGGGTTCGCGACTCTCGCGCAAATCCAATTGGGAAGGGGCGCGATCACATAGATGCCGACGTCTAGCAGAGGCCAGTACTTGTGCCAGAGCGCTGAGGAGAGAATGACCAAGAGAAACCCGATCGCAAGCACCTATCCAAGATTTGAGTTAGTTCGACGCGAACAGAGTGCTGTATCGCGGGCAGATGTTCCATACAAAGGACAGTGCGATGATGGTCTTGATTCCGGCTGCCATGGTTTGCGGAGTCACCGAGCTGCCGAAGCTGCCGGGCGCAGAAGAAAGGTGGCTTAAGTAGTTTATAAGTGCGAGATGTTCGGATAAGATACTCGGCAGTGGAAACGTATGGATGGCAGCCCCATAGAGGAGGGATCGAGGGGAGGAAGAGCTAGAGCTGGAATGGAGTGACGTGGGCGCCTATTGGATTGGGGGTCACTGGATGTGGCAGCCTCAGGCCGCAAGAGCTCACCGCGTCACCTTGCTCTGCCTTGCGACTCCAGCTTTCCCCATCTGGCTTCCGTTTACCTCCCTTCACCTCTTCCGTCAACATTGTCCTTCCAGTTTCTCGCTTCCTTTACCTCTTCTTTCCGCCATGTTCCGAAACAACTACGACAACGATGCCGTCACCTTGTACGAAGACTGCCCCGCCAAATAGCTCAATAACAGTTTATGTAGGCGACGCTAACTCGATCATATTTAGCTCTCCACAAGGCCGGATCTTCCAAGTGGAATACGCACAAGAGGCCGTGAAGCAAGGATCAGTGGTCGTGGGTCTGGTGAACAAGACACATGCGGTGCTTGTTGGCCTAAAGGTGAGCACCTATCGAGCTCAAGGCTCTAAAGGGTCTTTGATATCGAGCTAGCTTGAAAGCAAAGGCCTCTCTAAACACACTAGGGAGCAGTGGAAGGCTAACCGGATCATGGTTTCCCATCACAGCGAAATGCCGAAGAACTCTCCTCTTACCAGAAGAAGATTATTGAGATCGACTCGCACATGGGCATCGCCATCGCCGGCCTGGCATCAGACGCCCGTGTCCTCTCCAACTTCATGAAGCAACAATCGCTCGGCTCCAAGATGACCTACGGCCGTCCAATTCCGCTGGACCGTATTGTGACCCAGATCGGGGACCGCGCTCAGACAAACACGCAGCACTACGGCAAGCGGCCATACGGTGTTGGTCTGCTCGTTGCTGGAGTTGATGAGGCTGGGCCTCACCTTTTCGAATTCCAACCCTCGGGTCTGATCCACGAGATGCTGGCTTGTGCCATCGGTGCTCGTTCCCAAATGGCACGAACATACCTCGAGCGCAACCTCGATAAGTTCTCGGACAGCAGTCGAGAGGAACTGATCACGCACGGCCTGCGGGCTCTTAAAGAAACCCTGTCGCAAGATAAGGAGCTGACTGTGGATAACACCTCTGTTGGAGTAGTTGGCCTGGCCCCCGAGGGGTCCAAGAACCGGGTGGAGAGCTTCAAGCTGTATGAGGGGCAGGAGACGGTGCCACTGCTGGAAACTCTGGAGCGGGTAGAGATCTCCGGCACGGTCGAGGATGAGAACATGGAGGTTGACTCATAATTCCCTGTCTCTTTTTGAGGTTTAATGATGCGCATAGACATGAAAAATCTTCTTGCCTACTGCCAAAGGCTCTGCGCATGTAATGCAACATGATTATCTATTGGCGAAATACTTCGACTGTCTGTATTAAAAAATGTGTCTATGTATAAAGAGTAGAAGCACCAAACTCCTATTCCCACTTGACCGAACGACTTTCCAAGTTCTGACCAAACAGCATTACTCTTGACCCCAATTCAGCTGCATTCGCTCACTGCTGACTTGGTATTCCAGCAAACGCGGCCAGACCTCCCTAGGGTCACTCGCCTCCGCCAGAATCTTTCCATTCTCAGCACTAATAAACCCTTCCGCGACGGCGTTTCGCACCCAGCCCAACAACCCATCCCAGTATCCATTCGTATTGAGCAACACAACCCCAACCCGGTGAATGCCCAGCTGATTCCACGTTGTCATCTCCATAACCTCCTCAATAGTCCCAAATCCACCCGCAAGCGACACAAAGCCGGAGCCGGGCCCGCCCTCGAGCACCTTGCTCGCCATCAGCCGCTTCCGCGTATGCATATCCTCCACGACCGTCGTAACACCATACTCAGACTCCGGAATGCCGTCTTCCTCAAGCATCTCATCCGTGACCTCGCGCTCCGCAGCCTTGCCCGCACCGTTGCCATTGGCCTCGGGGCTTCTGGTGCTGGACTTGGTGGACACTTTGACGAGCGCCCGCGGGATGATGCCGTGCACGGATTGAGGGCCGGAGAGGGAGACGAGTGTTTTCGCAAGTTCGCCCATGAGTCCTGTCGTGCCACCACCGTACACTAGCTGGATGTTGTGCTTGTGGAACTCTTGCGCAAGGGTGCGGGCTGCTTCCAAGTGCACGGGGTCTTTGCCGCCGGTTGAGCCACAACTGTAGTTTTCTCCCCCAATTGGGGAGTCAGTGTTAGTCTGTGTTCCGTCTGTTTTTCCTTTTTTTCGTCTGGTGGTTCTCTTCGCTTGAGAATTGGAGGGGAGGTAGACTTTGTAGAGCAGGTAGGTGGGGCATGACTCACAAGACACAGACAACTGGTTGCTTATTTTGAGTCATGGTTGCAAATTGAGGGAGTGTATATAAGACAGGAAAGACGTAGATCTTTTCGGATCATCTACGCTTCAGATCTAACGAAAAACGAACGAGAGGCGGACTGAGTGGAAGAAGTGGAAGTTACTAGGGCGGGGAGTATAACAGGCACGGGGAGGGTCCACCACGATAAGATAAAAGACGATGAATCACGTTGCCCGGTTCATTGGCTGGTATCACAATGATGATGCTGCCCCTCTCGAGCTTCTTGTTATTTCTATCCCGCTCTACTTGCAGATCATTGCGCCATTCAGGATCAACGAGCTATGCTGCTGGCTATCCGGTCCACAAACCATATTCCGATTGAATAATCTCGGGTGGCTGGCTGTGTCCCCGGTAGATCATGATCTAGATGCAAATACTCCAAGTGGGCCTGTGACGCTCTTGTGCTTCCTAGTCCAATTCATCGGAAGGAACGGTGGATCGATAAACCCTCTCGCCCCTCAACGCCTCGAGTTTTTCAATGCCTGGTACGCTCCACGGAATTAGAAATCGGGTATACCACATCAGCTTGCAATCCTGCTTTTCTTTCGTTTGACCTTGTTCTCCCCCGAGCTGGTGGGCGAATTGGTCTTCTCCGATAGCTTGCCTGGGGTGTCGACTCGGACCTGCGGTGTTGCAACCCGCGCCGGAGCTGCAGAGGGGGATGTGCTCCGAGGGCGTGCAGGTGCGCTCTTGGCTGCGTTCTTGGTGGCCCGGTCCTTCTCGCCTGTGCGGGATAGGATAAATGAGCCTGGTTCACCGACCAGCGGGTTTTCGTCCATGAATTCGTCGCCGTAGCGTGTAAAAAGGTTGAACGACTCGGCCAGGCTGCGGATATCCTTGTAATTGGAGCTCGAGGTGGAGACACCGAGGCCTGCCTTGCTAGATGTCTGGGTTTCGGCAGTGGATGGTGGGGCAGCGTCGGGCATAGGTGTTGATTCCTTGCTTTGCTGTGAGGCTTGTGGTCCTGCATCAGTCTTGGTCGCAGGCGGGAGGTAGGTGTGGCCGTATGAAGGTGTGAAGGTCGGAAGGGTTGAAGCGGTTTTCATCAGGCGCGACAGAGAGGTCACGGCCGAGAGCTAAAAAAATAAGTACGGGCAACTGCTTCTGACTTGGCTCTGACTTACGATCCGATTTCCAACAACGCTCGCAACCGACGGTGCCATGTAAATGCTATCGCCGACGACAAAGTACGTTGATATCACCGTCACCTCGTCGTCCATACCGTTGCGCTTCCGCCGATTTTGTTTCCGAATGACCCAGATATTTGACGGCTCGTGTGCGAAGCGGGTATCTGATTGAGCTGCTGCTTGTAAAGGGTCATAAGCGACTATGAATTCCAGGCCAGACATGGTCTTCAACCGGGTTTCGAAGGCCTCGCGTGTTTCGACAAAGTGACGGAATGCTTCGTTGTAGCTGGCTTGGATGGTGAGTGAGCTGTTGTTGGAGGTCGGGTCAAAGAACGGCGATTCGGCAAAGTAGAAGAGAACTTAGCGTAATTAGCACACTATCTCGAATTTCGAAGGCAAGCATCTCACTGTTGTTGGAGTGTAGGTATCCCCCCATCATCTGGACATGTGGAGGAGACCGCCACATGATCTCCTCCATCGGAGCATCTTGGGTGGCCATGCTGGGCAGAGGTCCAGTATATCCCAGCCAAGCTGCGGCGAAAGATCAATTTGTGTTGGAGAGACGAGGAAGGGTTGGGTCAAATTCGAGGTTCTCCGCGCTTGAAAGCCATCAGAGCGATCGCGATTAGATAGAGCGGATGTTTTGCTTGTTTGCATCTGCACATCGAGTAGAGCCTCACCCTTGCATTCACGCTATCCTGCTTCGATCGGCTTGAATCGAACGATACCCACCGAACTGTCATACCTGATCAAATTTGGAGGAACAATTTGGAGAAAGACATTAAGCTGGATACCTCAGAGCTGAATATCCAAAAATACAGTATTTGAGACGATCAGCTGGTAATTAACCAGGTAGGACCCCAGACGTTCGCTCAGAGCAGATCATCGATCATCTTGGGTTTATTTCATGAGTAGTATTCTATTTTCTAGCAATTAGCATAGTGGGTAAAGAAATAGGTTCAGCCGACACAAGCTAACCTCTGAGAGAAGACTCTAGTAGATTCGATTTAAAGATTGCTATTCTGATGATATTCTACCAAATCTGATACTAATTTTTCGAACCTGGTCATTATAAGAGCGTTATGAAATCAATGCTTTGTGATAATCGAAATTTCCGTTCAGATTGGGCTCTTTCTACGTGATGCAAATAATCTATAAACCCAACGCCAGCGCTTTATGTTGAATGCGATCAAACCACCTCTTTAGATTTGTTGAAGCCACGTAAGAGTGGCCCGTTCAATGAAAAATGGAAAAGAAAGGAGAATTCAGGGGAGAAATGACGTGCCCACAATCAACGAGACTCGCCAGAGACGTCAAATGGAGCAAAGATAGTGTCCACAGTACGCAGTTTGGTCAGCATTTCCTGCCATTCACCTTCAGCTGTGCTCAAGGTAGTGATAGCACCACCGGCTCCAATGCGCCATACCTGCTGGGTATCCTGGTCGGCAGTTGAGCTGTGGGTAAAAGCCATACGGATCATGACCGAGAAGCTTCCACCACCTCCAAGATCGAGGTAACCCATGACACCAGAGTAGATGCCGCGTTTTCGGTTCTCAATGGTTTGGAGATGCATGCAGGATCGCTCCTTGGGCGCACCGGTCATGGAGCCAGGCGGCAAGCAGCGCTGGAGAGTTGTGAGACCGTGGACCGCCATATTGGAGGACTTGAGCTGAGGCATGTGACGGACAGAGTATCCTGGGGCTTCAGGATGAATTTTGCCCTTGACATGCGTGATCATAGAATAGACTCGGCCGTAGTCTTCTACTTCAAGTAGCTTTTCAACATGGACGCCGCCAGACCCGCAGATGCCATACAGATCGTGTCGGATAAGATCTGCTATCATGAGGTTCTCGGCCATTTCCTTGGTTGAAGCAAGGATTTCCTTGGCCTTCTCTAATGTCATGTCTGGTGTCTTGCGCACTGTCCCCTTCATGGGTTTCATCTCGAGAGTATCTTCGCGGTCCCAATTCAGGAAGCACTCTGGGCTGCTGCTTACGATCTTTGTGTTGCCCAGATTCGCGAATGCGCTGAATCTTGCTGGGTTGTACTTCTTCAAGCGTTTGTAGAGACTCCAGGGAAAAGATGCCTTGCCTGAATCGGTCGATGCAGTTGGAAGAGTGATTGTTGTTTCGCAGGACAGGCATAGCTCATAGGACTCGCCCGCCTCGAGCTCAGCCTTACAGGCTGCGATTCTATTCTTATAATCTGCCTCCTGAGGGAATGAGAAGACAGCCTGATGAAGAATCGGATTCATGAAGTCCGAGTCAGCCCCTTCGGTTTCCGACTCGTGCTGATCCCTTTGAATTAGCTCTGATGCTTGGTCAAGCCATCCGCTGGCAGAATCGTCCTGCCCGCACGTCGACTGTACGATAACATTATTCGTCTCGTTATCGTATACAATGCTTCGTTCGCACCAAAGCAAGCTGACATCGGGGGGGGTCTTCCAGAGAGATTTTATTAGACGAGCCATCCGGCGAGGTCGATCCACCAAAGGATGATGATTGGTTTGAATGCGGAAGACCAGAGAGGCTAAGTTCGTATGAAAAGTAGCCCAGGAAGCCACCCCAGAAGGGGCTCTGGTCGCTGCCATGGGTAACTTTCTTCATATCCATCAGGTATCGCAAAGCATCCCAGAGTTGACCCACAGTGATCTTTTCTTCAACAACACGATGATCACCACCCAACTGATAAAGGCTCACTTTCTGCAGCTTCACACTGTACTCTAGTCTCCAAGAGCCGGAGCTCGGAATGGAAATAGTGGTGAATCGGCCTTCTGAATTAAAAAGCACAGTAGGTGCCCCTGGCCTGTTAAAGAGTTCGCTGATAGTTTCCGCGCCATCTGGTCTCCAGCCGAACGAGCGATAAGCTGAGCGTTTCGAAGTTGAAGAAGTCCACCGATGCATCTCATAAGCAATAGTCGGGAAAGAGCTTGTATCAGCTTGAGGGCTAATGATAGCCTCTGGCGACGAGCCATACCCCTCTCGCCCAGCTACTTTGTTGAACGCAAGTGCCATTCTCCACCAATTCTGAAGGAGCTTCTTGCAGGCTTGAGTTTCGGACTTGCAAGATTCAGGGTGAAACTGCACACCCCAGAATGGCTTGGATTGATGCTTGACTGCCATCGGAATTTGGGTACTTCTGTCTGAATCGCCGAGTGAAAGCCAAGCCAAGAAATCCAGTTCATTTACTTGTGACTCTGGAGCGAATCCCGACATTTCGACATTAGCATATAGAGAATGATATAGTGTCACCTCAATGCGGGGGATCTGATCAAACAGATCTCTAGAGCTGGTGGCTATCTGATGGACTTGCCCATGGAGCGGGTATGGAAGCCGCTTGATGGGGACCCCGTGGTGCAGACAGAGGCTCTGGAAGCCCAAACAGATTCCAAGCACAGGAACTAGGTCGGCCTCGTGAAGACTCCAGATGTCTTTCATGATGCCAACGTCTTTAGCCAGGTTGGGGTCCCCCGGACCTGGGCCCAAGACAATGGCATCGTAGTGGCGCAAAAAACTTGGACATGTTGCCCTCAGGCCAAGATGAGTCAATCGTCATGACGGTGACCTTGACACCGAGCATCTCTTCGAGCATTGCAACGACATTGTATGAGAAAGAGTCATATGCATCGACATACAGAATACTTTTTGCCCGCGTGCTGGTATTTGCAGACGGCAAAGTATTGCTTGGACCATCCCAACTTCCTAGTAACGGCGCCATGATCGCAAGAAGACGCTTAGTGGGGATGAGTCCCCGGGCTCAAATGATGTGAAATCTTCAGAAATACGACTTGGTGGGGGGGCGAAGATGATCTTAAGCTTGAAGAGATGACCGTTGGGGGCGTTTTCCGTCACCGGGTCCGAATGAGCGGTTCGGAAAAGTGGCGACGCCTTTTAACTTGGAGTCTGGCAGCCCCTGCCTCCTCATGTTATGAATCATGAATTCCTAGAAGAAAAGCCTGGGATAGCGTTTATTAACTATATCCCATCATCCTTGCACGCAAGTGCTCTCTTACCACGTGTGCCAGGGGAAATGGAGAAAAAAAAAAAATTTAAGGTTGGGGACTCGCAGGAGAAAAGCGGGTACCACCGGAACAAAATCAGCCATGCGGGTGGCAAAGGATATTCAAGAGCTTCACATTCGGGAACTTATCAAGAGGATCTACATGCCAAAGGGTATCTTAGATCGCCAGACATACATCATTCATTATACATCATGCGCTGGGCTGGGCTGAAGTGTGGCAAGCTTAGCAGCTGCTTTGAGGAAATACTGCGACACGAAGCCTTCAGTGTAGAAGCTGTGGGCGGAGCCGTGGTCCCCTTGAAGGTTGTGAGCAAGCTCGTGGCACAGAATCACCCACCAGTACACAATGGCATCGGTGCGGTCTGGGTTGGGGCCTTGCAGGAGAGATTTTTCCTGCAGCTGTTGGAAATAGAAGTAGTTGCAAAAGATACTGCCCTTCAAATTGAAGGCCATAGCCTTGCTCCCAGGGTCATAGAAGATGCTCAGGCTATCAGCACGCATCGAGAAAATCGAGCCGCAGTCAAGAATAATCGATGCGAAGGTGTTGAAGCCGACGCGATTGGTGGCCAAGAAGGAGGATCGGTCGGTTAATTTTCTAGAGAACAGAACATTGACGCCGCTAGGCAGCGTCGCGACAAATTCCAAGTCTTGGCTCGGCTGCTCATCACAGTATGACTTGCTTTGCTCGATCTGAGTTGTCTGGGCCGGGCTGAAAAGATGAGATGAGCCATGCGGACGACACGCTTGCACAGCTGAAAGGAGCTCCTGGTTCAGTCGATGTGGAGAGTTGACAGTAGTTCCCTGTTCTGTCCTTGATGGCTTTGACTGCTTTGGGTCTGTGTCGGTATAAGGCGGCGGTGCTGGAGATTGCTCAGAGTCCGGAGGTAATGAGCTCGCTTGGTCTCCAAGAGTCGGCGGGGAAGAGCGTGACTCCAGTCCCAGTCGCTCTTTGAGCCCTGAAAAGAGACCGCGAGGAGCTCTCCCGGGAATGCTGGGCTCAGAAGGCGCATTGTTGGATTCGGCTTGAGCTTTGTTATTAGGCGAATGGGGGAAGTCACCGGGCATGGGGGCCTGCGAAGTCGGCTCCGGCGTTTCGTCCCTCGATCGCTCTGCTGCAGCTGCATTCCAGGCGGCTTCTTGCTCTTGAAGTTTAATTCGTTCCTCTTCCAACAGCTTCTGGCGTCTATCTTCCTTCATCCGAGCCTCCTGAGCTTTTTGCCTAAGGATACGTTCGACGTTATATCCACGGGCTCGAAGTTCGAGAAGGTCGGTTTTGAGCAGCATCTCCAAAGTCAAAATTGAATGAAGCTTGGGGCGTTTTAGAATCAAATGACCCAGCGACTGGCTGATCTCGTAGAGATCATATTTGCCAGGACATATACACAGGCCTTGATTGGCTGTGATGGCAGTCCGCTGCTGTGTATGCGATACGCGTCTATTTTTTAGAGACCGTGTGAGCGAAATTGAATTGACAACCCTGACACTGAAGTTTTGCTCTAACCATCGTGCATCGTGTTGAACAGAGTCCGCGGGTTGGTCGTGAAGGAACAGGCGAGCTCGCTCAAGAATGATCTTCAAGAGCTTGATCCCAGAAGTTTGGTCAGCTGCGAGACCACCGAAGCGAGCATGCTCTTCCACAAGGCCGCTGAGTGGTTGGGCTCCGAGACTTATGTAGAAATTTTCTAAAGTCTCTTCTTGGGGTGCAGCCAACATATGCTCTTTGAAAAGATTAAAACTCTGGAAATCATCCACAACAACAATGTCCCTGGGAGCTGCGAGGTCCCATTCACGGATATCTAACTCCTCATCCAAGTCGTTTGTCTCCAAACCTGGTAATTTCCCCTTCTCGGTTCGGCCTGCAGCAGGTGGAATATCGCGACTCGCAAGGAGGAACTTCGCTTTCCGCATCTCGTGGACAAGATCTCGGTCTTTCTTGAGCGTCGAAAGGCTCTCTGCGAGTGTTCGCAAGAGCATCAAGTATTTCTCAGTGCCTTGCAGTGATCCGTAGATGCGTGCGGGCTCCTTGACCAATATCCGCGCGATCTCGGTCTTTGTTGGTTCCCGTCTAGAACCCACAGCGAGGAGAAAAAGGTTCGCATCTTCGCCGAAATCAACGAAATCAAAAATGTCTTTATAGTCGTCTCCGTCGCCAAGGTAGCACAGCCGCGGCGCAACATAACGAACTTTAGACCCTTTCTCGGTACTTACACCAATGGGGATGATTGGAGAGGCCCCAATCTTGGCACTGTCCGCAGGGCGGATGTCTGGTATTCGGGCCGACAGGTATTTGAAGATTATCCTAGCATCTCGTTGAGAGCCCGGGGGGCGTTTCACTAGTACATCAAGGCACTCTTGCATTGGAGGATGTGCTGGAACTCCTAGCTTGGACGCATGCGGATGAAGCTGCCTAGACAAGAGGGGAAACCCGAATAAGGTAGCACCCTCATCTGTGAAACACTTTTTTGGCGCTGCGAGAGTCTCTGAGCCCTCGATTGGGAGGAATGGGACCGTGACAGCTTTGATATCGAATGCGTCGTAGCCGTTGGTATGATATTCGGTCAGATAATAGGACAGAAGTTTGGTCTTTCGAGTGCTATTCTTCACAGCATCACAGGTGATCATGAGCCGGACCAGCTCAGAACCAGATGGGTATTTCTTAAGACCCATCATTGTAAGAAACTTCCCTCGTTACTCGCGCTATTGAAAGTACCGGGCCATTCAATGATAGGGAGTCCCAAAGAACGAAGAGCAGGCTTTGGTTCGTAAAGCTCTGAAATTTTATAGCGCACAATGTTACCATTCTGGGTATCGCTGTTGTTTTCCGCAGTGCAGATACTTGTTTCTTTCAGTCTCTGGATGTCATTAGAGGGGATATCCTCACGGACAGACGTCAGGTATCGAATCAAATCCACATGACTCCATTTTCTCGTTGGAGGAGTCTTGGCATCGCTAGACTCTGTCGAGTTGATGAGGCGGTCAAAGATGACACCCAACTCCACGGTCTTGCGAACTCCCAGCGCAACAAGAATCTTCTCCTTGACTCCGTTCAAACCATGAACCACAGGCAGGTCATCGAAGAGACGGACAGATGCGAAATAAGTTTGCGCTGGTTGTTTCATCCCGAGCTTTGTCGGGATCACGGTTTGAGGCTGGAGCATCTCGATAACAGTCTGCTTCGAGGACTGGCTCATGGTCTCCCACTGCCGAGACAAAATGGGTAGAACTTGGCCCGCAAAGGAAGCACTCTGAGTGATATCTTGTTCTGCTGAAAGCAGGTTGCGGGCCCCAGCATTGTTCACTAAATAACGAAGCCAGGGCACGAGTTGTAGCTCAGTCCACCCTAGCGATTCAAGCTCCTGCTTGCTGAGGGTCTTGGTGAACCGGAAGGGCATCACCGAGGGCGGAACGGGAAGATCGGCTGGAATCCGCTGGGGATTCAGGAATCCATTAATGTCGGCAAATACGATCAATTGCGTGGGATTCCCTTCTTTATCTTCATCATTTGCCACTGCAACTCTTAGCAAGCTGTAAATAGACTGTCTGTCAAGTTGCCCCGTAACAGCTTTGCGACCAAGCCACGTCAAGAACTCTACTACTTGATTGGTGCGTAGTGTATGAGCTTCCAATTCACGCCTGATGTCCGAAACGGTAATTTCTGTCACAAGCCCAAATTCTGTCAGTCTGTTCACGAATTCTTTTGATTTGAGGACAAATTCCTCAGGCAACGCGGGTATGGAGTCCATGAAGCTGAGATCCTTTGGAGCCAGACGAGTCTGATGACTTGGAATGACACCAGAAGTAGAGAGTACTTCGATTGATGCATTCTTGTTGCACATCCAAAAGGCATCCTCGATGGTCTGACCTAGGGTCGAGGAAGGTGTTGATTCACGGAACACAAACTGATTTGCAGTATGGATCGCTTCCGGCAACACGTCCACGATATCATCTTTGCAGATTTTGGACGAACGAGACGGCCCTATCTTGGCGGCAATCTTGGACTTGATGGTAGCCATCTCCGCGGACCAAGCAATCCGGCAGACCACACCGACTGCCCGCAGCATTTCAATATTCCATTTGCTGATGTAGCGCGTGTTGAGATCAATACTTTCTCGCTCCACCGTTGGAATGACTGATGGCGCAGAGACATGAGCATTGAGACCCGTTGTTTGTGCAGTCGGAAAACCGATGAAAACTCGGCCAGCCTTTGTAGGCAAGATAGACGCGAGAATTTCTGATTGGGAAGTCGATGCTTCAGTTGCAACATTGGCGTCATACGATGGAGTCAAGATGGCGATAGTGGCCTTTTTTGGTGGTGGCTTTCGAGTGGCTCTCTCGAGTTCCTTGCTAAGACTTGACGAGATCGATGGTACAATTGATGCGGTGTTGATGTGCAAGAAGACAGTTGCCTTCAGCATGTAAGTCATATCAGTCGCATCATCACGTCGTTCAAGCTTCTGTGGTTGACTGGACTTCTCGGGTCCTTGCGATGTGAACCTGGAGAAGAAGCTCTTCAGGGAGTTTGTAGTGTCCCGAATTGTATCAAGACTGATCAAGCTTGGATTCCATTCCACTATTCGCATCCATGCCGCGTCGACTTGAGCAATTTCTTGGGTGATGCTAGCAACTTTCATCAATCCACCCGAGGTTCGAGTCTCGATATCCCGGGGAATCGGCACATTGGTACCGGGGGCAGTCTTCTTAGAGAGTCGTAACAAGCTCCAGTCATCTAGAATCAATTCTATTTCTTGCAAAGAAACGAATGTCAAGCTGCTTGCCAAGAACTGGCAAAGTGGCAATAATGAAGGAACCGGAGAAGAGTCATTCCGATAATCCAGTACGAAAGTCGTCTCTTTATTAGAAGTGTCGCCAAGGTCCAGCCGACGGGTGAACAACGCATTACCTTTCCAGTAGAATGCCATGGCCTGGTTACCGGAAGATACAAAAGGCTCCTCACAGTCATCGAAAACGCTGTAAAATCCAACTCCAAACGCACCAATCTTGGTCTCGTCAGGGTTTCCATCTGCGATACGCTTCAGGCGGGCCCAGTCCTTTTCACTGAAGGGCAGGCCGTTATTTGATACCAATAGCCGCTGGAGGGTATGGTTTGTGATAGTATGCTTGAGGTGTTCTGTTGGATCCGTTGATGACGGAGAAGGTATGGTGGTGGATGGCAGCGTTTCGAACTTTATGGTTACTTTGGTTGCAGAAGCATCGGCAGCATTTTGTATCATTTCTCGCAGGACGGTCCTATACAGCATATATTAGTTCTGTTCATGGATGACTTGTGATGAAGACACGCGTAGTTTTTCTCCAACTTACCACTTCCCGGAATATCGAGCTAGAACCTTGGAGATCAAACCTCTAGTATCGACGGTGACTGCCTCCTCATCGGCACCAGACCCCATAGTCTGGGCTTTGAGCGCATTGAAATCCATCTTGAGAGCCATCTTAGGGCATGTATATATGGATCATCAACGACCTTCGTTTTCTCGCTGGAGCAGAGAGACACCCCACTAATGACCAACAGAGATGCCTATTTCATAGTCTAGACTGAACAGTTTTGCATCGAACAAGGGAAGGTTTCAGAGGAGCGGGAAGGATGACAAAGATCAGGAGCAATGAATAAGTTGATTATATTTAGAAATGGGGAAGGTCTGTGAGCAAGACGCCCCTGAAGATGACTTTGTAAAGCAAACAAATGACAAGAAGCAGTTCGGAGGTTGCGGAGACAACGATAGACCGATAAGCGCCCGCGGCTTATCAGTTCAGCTTAGATCAGTCCTTAGTCAGCATGTTTCCTGCGCGGGCGGCTTCAGGAGCGCATTGCGCCCGCCAAGGTATGGCCTAATGTGAAGGCTTGTGATTCTTTATCGTCGGTTTAGCGTGCAGTTGCTAGTTTCTTCCTGGCTTCCTGCCTTGTTCTTGTCTTCTGTGGCTTGTCCAGGCTGAGGAAAAAAGCTTGTACTTGTCCTCCGGACGTGCGGGTTTGACATCTTCCTCCGCCAGTGTTTTGGTCTTCCTCAGATGCCAAAATGGGGGTAGACCCATTATCGCCAATTGCACCAGTACGCCTTCGGGCGCTATTGTTGCCAATAGGCAAGATCAAGCGCTCGCGCTTTCTGAGCTTCGCCTCCCGACTTCAAGCTGAAAATGTGGTCCGCTTGGGGGATATCAGTCCCGACGCTCGGCCAAATAGAAGTGCGAACCTTCCCCCTATGAGCTCGCTGGATATCGTTTGTGATATCCACGGACTATGACTGACAATGCTACGCTTCAGACATGTTTTCTCCACTCGCATTCCCTACTGGAATGATTCTATACGACCTCTCCTTTGCAGTTCCCCCCACCTCGCATCTCGAGCTATTCCCATTCGAAATATACCGAGAGCCCTTGGTGGTCATTGCTATCGCCGACGGGTCGGAGCTCCCTCCAAGTGCGAACTCGAGTAGTCCACACCCCGCGCCAGAAGGTCTCGACCAATTGCTCGAAGAGCTCAACGCAGCCAAGGAGAGAAGCCCGCGGGCACTGGTGAGCCAGCTGCTGATATTTGACTACGAAGGCCTGGAAAGAATCAATAATGGGCCAGAAAACGTTATTTGGGTTCCACGACCAGAGGCTTCAAAAGCAACAACCATGAAAACGGTTTTGTGTGACATTACCTCGGCCTTGCTCTCAGAACTTGACGAGTTCGCGAAGACTATTCAGGCAATTCCGACCATTGAATCCCCAAAGACTTCCTCCTGGGGTCCACATCGCCATCCGGAGCTACGACCTGAGACCGGTGGACCGGCTACTACACCGGATGACCCTGCCTGCGCAAATGCCAGCCAATTCCAGTGATGTACCCGATACGCCAAAGTCCACTGACTCTGGTGGCCAATCCCTCCCTGATCATGAAACAGCAACGACATTTGATGAAATTACTCGGTCAATTCAAATCACCCGCACACAATCCGGTAGTAAAAGCCCTTCAATAGCATCTGGCAAAGAGCAGAGCAGAGATCGAGGGTCTGTCAGTGCAGTGAGCGCTACAGACCGAACGAAGAACCGTATCAAGGGACGAGCTGGCGTTGTCATTGGTACTCTATTCCTGCAGGCAGGAAGATGGCATGATGCTCTGAAAGAGCTCATCGATGCGGCGAATAATGCTCGTGCCAGTAGTGACTATATCTGGCATGGCAAGGCGTTGGAGTCAGTTCTATTATGTTTGCTCATGCTTGGCTGGGCAGGGATGGATTTCCAGGTATGTTCTTTTTTTTCTTTTCCTTTATGAGTATTCGAAATGGCGCAGTTGTCTGACGAAAGATATAGATACCTTCAATTCTCTACCCCGTAGCAGAGAAGTCTTCGAAATCTTCTGCAAAGGACGCCGCTCCTCCAACTAGTGCGGGAAACCGCATTATTTCTCTTCAAAACCTAGCAAACTTGCTCCCAGATCTTTCAAACACCATTGTGAATCTCTACACCCGTGCCGCAAATATCACAGAGGAGCCACTTCCCCAGCTTGTTTTTTCGGAAACAGTCATTCGGCTCGCAAGGCTCCAGACATCAGCTCGCATTCGCGATGGCTCTCTTGACGATAACGCTCTCAAGCACATTGTCATGAATGAGCCTCTGGTCCCGTTGCTTCAACCTGAACTTCCTCGAGGAACAGTTCTACTTCGCAAGACTGATATCGCGAATTTCCTTTACAAAGCTTTACCATTGTCGCCCAATGCCGACATTCCTGCTACCGATGCTGTGCCTATAGTTGTGGGGGTGATTTCTGTCTTAAATGCCTTGGATCTACCGCGAAAGAAAGCCTTCATTATGCGAGAGCTGCTCACAATCATGGTACCAAGTCTTGTTCAAGCACGGAAGATTGGTGCTGCCGAAGTTGGTATTCACCCAGCTGCAGGCCTGGCATCTCTGAGCGATACTGCATTCGATGTCAATGCTTTAGATGTGGGCCCAGGCGATATGGAAAAAAGCGTCCGTATGCTTCTAGCGACAATTGGCGAAATATATGGGGTTCAGCCTTCTGCGTATTACGAGTGGGAGCAGAGACAGAGCATGTCTTCAGCTGGGGGGGGTTTCCGATTATGATTCTGTTGCTAACGTTACAGAAAGATCATTCCGCCACCTTATCTTGGATAGATATGGTGACATCAATCTCAAAATCGACGTCCTTAAGGCTTGTATCAACTGCTGCGAGGCTCTTCCAGACTTTGATGGTGTTTTGAGATTCACGGTCGAGCTGCTTCAGACTATTCGTGGCGATTTGATGCTTGGCGACAGGTACAGGACCCCGCCTTACCTCTCACAAGATGACCAAGTCCGTCTTTTGAATAATATCAAGCGCACGGTTGGAGCAGCCAACCGTTTAGGTTCGTCACATATGGCTGCAGAGTACTGGGATGATTTCCTTGTGCGTGGGGTTCAGCTTCTGGCGCTGCCAAACCCACGAAGGCCCGTACGCCGGTCCAAATCTGAACTGGATGCCGTGACGGCTACTTCTGATAAAGCAAAGAAGGATCCATTCTTGTATAATCCATTCGCGAAGCCAAACAGCAAAGCCCTGGAGGTACTCTCGGTCGCTGGTGAGCCTGCATCTTTCCGCGTTACTCTCCAGAACCCATATGAGTTTGATGTCGAAATTGAGGAATTGCGGCTGGACAGTGAGGGCGTTTCTTTCGAAGCTGTTGCAAAAAATATCATTCTGCCCCCATTATCTCTTCAGGACGTGGTTGTGCTTGGTACTGCTCATGAAGAGGGCAACCTCAACATCACTGGGTGCATTGTCAAAGTCAGACATTGCCGGATGCGAAAATTCTCAATCTTCAAGAATTTATGGAAACCGGACCCAGAGGTCAAGTTCAAGCGCACTGGATTGGCCTCGAAGAAGCCACCCACTGAGCGCCCCATGTCTTGGAGCTCAGAGACGTCAAGAGATGGCAAAATTCTCGCGAAAAAGGGCCCCGAGACTGAAACATGCGAAGTCAAAGTCATTGGGAAACAGCCCTCTCTTTTAATCGAATCAATGTCATTATCCCAATCGGCAACGATGGTCCTTGAGGGTGAGGTCAAATCGTTTACTATCACACTCCACAACACGTCCTTTGCCCGTGGACTTTGTTCTCTTCACTTTCCAGGATTCAACCACACGCCAACTGCAATCAGCCCTCAAAAACAAAGACCTTTTACCGGTAGAGATCTATGAGTTGGAGCTTAAGCTGACCACTCAGCCGGCATTGCGATGGCGTCGTGAGGGAACTAACCCGGAGAATTGCTCTATACTCGAAGGCCAAAAAGCTACTTTCACAATCGAAGTCTTAGGCAAGCCTGGACTTCAAGAAACGACAGTGCAAATCGACTATTCTTTCATCCGCGCCAAGCAGGGCGAGTTACCGAGCGTTTTCTACACGAGGCAACTGTTCGTTCCCCTCACAGTCACTGTGAATGCAAGCGTTGAAGTGGCTCGATGCGACATCTTGCCGTTCAGCGGCGACTTTGCTTGGAAGAACCATCTTGATGCAACCCTTAGCTCTGATAAGCAATCAGTAGCACCCTTGTCAGCCACCGAACTAGATCCATTCTCTCAGGTGCTTCCCCGCCTTGGCAATGGGGCGTATGGACCAGACCATTGCGTTGTATTGCTTGACCTGCGGAATGCTTGGCCAAGTCCCTTGTCAGTATGGCTGTGTGTCGGCGAAGACTCCTTATCAGCGCAGCAAGGTGAGAGCGGCAAGTACTCAGTTGATGGACACCTTCAGCCAGGTCAGGTTTCGCGCTTTGTTCTGGTAATCCCTCGAATCTATCTTGATAATCCGCATGCGGCTATCCCTGTGGTCAACACTGGCACTCGACGCCAATTTGTCGTGAGTGCTCACAAACTGTCCTACGAGGCAGAAGGTGCTTCACGGGAAGCATTCTGGTTCAGAGAAGAACTCCTTAAGCGAATTGTTGGGGGCTGGTCAGAGCCTTCCACTGGTCGTGAGGGCTCCATTGATCTGCGTAACATCCGTCTCAATGCTCGCATGGTGGAAGCAATGCGTCTCGAAGATACGGAAATAAGCTTTTCTCTTGCCTCGCCTTTCGCTACCTCCAACCCTGAGTCGGCTGCTGCCGTCACTCAGATTGGCCGCTATCGTTTCCGTGCTAAGACAGATGAGCTTCTTACTCTCACTGTCAACGTAAGGAACCGTTCTTCTCGCCCCATCCATCCCTTACTTCGTCTCCAACCGGGCCTCCGCCATCAACCGAACACGATTGCATTAGACCTCACTCGGCGTCTCGCATGGACTGGCATGCTTCAGAAAGCGCTTCCAATCCTACAGAGCGGCGAGTCAACGGAAACTTCCGTCGGCGTCACTGTGCTCTGCCGCGGCGAATATGATTTCGGGGCTAGCGTTGAGGAAGCCCGAATCATCCGCTCTGTCCACGATGGTAAAGACGGCGAGCAAGATAACCCACATGAAGACGATATCAAGGACACCTTTGGAACGGACGTCGCCAGAAAACGGCGAATTTGGCACGCGAAGGAGCCGTGCATCATTCTTGCCGAATAATGGCAAATGTTCGTACAACTTACGATTACGTCTAACAATATTTGTTGCATAGATGTTAATGACTGTGATGTATTCTTCTTACATATAGTACCATCGTGGTATATATTTCATCTCTGATAGGACTTGGGTCTTCGAGCTCTTGGAAATGACAGGTGTATCCTGCTTCGCGCAATCTTCTTCGCAACTCCAGTCTGTAGAATCCGCTGTCCACCAAGAGGGCGGCGCTAAGCTTTGGATATGGCTTGAACTATCCAAGGAAGCTTCCCCGGGCTTCATTTGGAGCTCTCATTGCCTTCGGTCACGGTCGATAAGCAGATACTGTGGCTATCGGTCGGAAATACCTGAATTAGCATCCCATGTCGGATGAAAGCGCCAAACAGGCATTAAGTGGGCACCATTGTCATGCCATTGGAAGCTACCGGAAGAAAAACCCCGCCTTTGCTTCCTTAGTCAGACAAGCATTCATCCTAAGTATGAAAGAGCGCTGATCTCAGCTCATCCCCCTTCAGTGGTTTCTGTCTGATTATTCGTCTGCACTGTTGATCTCTCTCGACCAGAAGCAGCAGGTTGTGTCTCCTCAAGTGGAAAACTAAGATGTTTCCAATCCTCAATCTCTTCAATAATACACTTGAGTCGATCCCGAATACTCTCAACGGCGTATGTCCCCAAAATCAACCTCAGAGGCGGATATGAACAATGCCCCAGCTCCCAAACCAGATGTGCCGCTTTAACAGCAGAAGCAGGCTGCTTGTCCCCTAGCCACATCAGCATCCGGCGCGCATGCGCAGCCGGTGACGTAGTCGTATTATAAGGCTCACTAGGCGGCTTAACCAAGAAATGGCCATACAATGGCAGCGGCGACGACAGATTATCGTCCGACGGATTCGCAGCCATATACGAAGGCGAAACGAGATCCCCGACGTCGTCACGGCGCATATGTCCCGGCTCGACCAGCGTGCCCTTGATATTAAAGCTGTCCACCTCATACAGCATACTCTCCATCAGCCCCTCGACAGCATACTTCGACGCACAGTAGGGGCCGAGTCCAGGCACGCCCAGCGCGCCAGACGTCGAGCTGAAAATCAGGTACCGCCCCGCCCGTCGCTCTCGGAAGTGCGGCAATGAGAGCTGGATCATGTTTAGGGTGCCGGTGAAGTTTGTCTCGAATTGGTTGCGGATGTCGAATTCGTCTTGGTCCTCACAGGCCCCGATCACGCCGTAGCCGGAGCAGTTGGCGATCACGTCGATGTGCCCGAATCGGCCGATTGTGCGGTCAATCACTTGGCGGACTGTGTCGCGGGCTCGCACGTCGCAGAGCAGACCCATGCAATTTTCGTGCTCGTCTTCGAGCTCTTTCATAGCTTCCGGGCTGTTCTCGTAGGTGCGGCCGACGGCGGCTACGAGGTCGTTGCGCGATAGCGCTGTTTTCACGAGGGACCGGCCCATGTGGCCTGTAGCACCGAATATCTGGCTCGCGACTCTTGGGTCAGTCTGTGCTTTCCCGATCGGCTCGCGCTTGAGCTAATTGTGTCAGGCAGAGGGGAAGAGCGGGGGGATCTACCTACCAGCCATACGAGAGGTTTGGGGGGATTCTGCGGACCTGGCGGGTCGGTAGTAGAAGGCAAATGGAGACGAGGTTCTCTGGACGCGTTTGGAGAGGATGATCCTCCCTGAGGAGGGGAGTATTGATCCATAGTAGGAGGACGAAGGGAGAATTGCAAGACCACAAATATGAGGTTGGATCCCCGCATTCCGCAGAACGGTAGGACCCACATCAGCATGTTAATTTGGAAGGATACAGTTTTTGACGCCCAGGTTGATACCATCCATGGACTTGCTGAACTCAAGTTTCTTCAAAATTCGATATATCCACGATTGTACCAGTCATTATTCGGGGATATGATGTGTAGGTGCCGGCGAGCTACGGGGCTTCAGCTTTGTACTGCGAAGCTCGTCCTGGTTTTCATTGAATGAATTGTGCCAATAGCTTCCAACGTCTATCTTCAGATTACTCCTATAAAAACGGCTTGCGTCTCATTACCGTCCAACCTCCCGCCGTAGCCGTCCAGCAGCTGATGAAGGACTAGGTTCAGGCCAGCTAGATACAGCATCATCAACCTCTTCCAGGAATGTGGTGCTGTTGTGGATGGTGGTTCCACCCAAGACTACACGCACTCCAGGAGAGCTAGCGTTCACCTGGGCCACCATCTTAGCCTCTTCATATGTGGCGCCGCCAACTATGAATATAATGATGTCCTGCGGCTTGTCCCGTGTGTGCCCACTGCCCTCCAAAAATGGGTACTGCATTTCCTTCAGGCGCCCCTTGATCAAATTCTGGAGAGTGACCTCCAGACGTGGAGAATGTTGCGTATAGACATTTTCGACGCCCTTGAGACCCTTGAAGCGGTCGCGGGCGCCGGATAAGAAAGACGTAGACTCGAACAGATCGGTAAATCCGCCGGCTACAGGGGGTGCTTGGAGAGAGTGATGGTAGGTGAGAAGCTTGGGGATGAGGTTCACACGATTAGACGGGACATTGCCAGCTGTGACGAGGAGGTCGAGGAGGATGGGTAGGGCGTTGTTCGGTTGCTTTTCGTAGCGGAGAGCGTATAGGGCCACCAGGCGGAGCTTGTTATCAGCACTGACGTTTGGCAGCGCAATAATACGTTGGAGTGACTAGACAATCGTTAGTCACATTGGAACCGAGATTATTGATCATCAAACTTACTTTCAAGTCGCTCGAGTGGTTATCATTGCAGGCTAGGCTCTGCTCCAACTCACTCACGTCCAGCAGATCTTCCTCGCCGACGCGTCGACTCAACTCGCCGACCAGGGTGACATGCTTGCTAACGTTGCCTGAGAGTTTCCGGAATTCGGGGTAATCCTCCACAAATCGCTTCATATCGGCAATGGACTCGATGTTCATGTTGGTTTGTGTCTTAACCTGGTACTGCTCCACGTATTCCTTGATGTTCTGGCCTAGATCACCAAAATTCTGGTACATATTTTTCTTGAAGAATGGATCTTGGTCTTGAGCAAGAACGATCTCCTTCAGCTCTGGTCGAATGTCCGGGACATCGTGCAGGTCCACGCGTCCATTGTTTATTCCAAGAAGCTCATGCACCATCGCTTGGTAGGTCCATTGTGTGAGGAGTGGGGTAATGGGATCGTCGCGGCGATCGAGAACAAGAAGAATCGGAGGAGTATCCGCCCGGCGGAAGTTGAACAACTGTTCCTCTTGCGTTATATGGTATCGGACTTCGGTGGCAAGCTTCCGTGCCAGCAAACTGTTCTTTTCGTAGCGGATCAAAGGGTTCTTCTTCAGCGATAGGAGCAGCGCCAGCACGCCCTCAGTCGCTCGCTGCAGCGCATCGGCGTTCCACGCATCTGGAGATTGGGCCCATAGTCGATCGAGTGGGAAGCCCAGGTTCAGAGAGGCCAAATCGGGGTTAATCACGAGGAAATCGGCAAAATGCTCCTGGACAGATTGCACGACCTCGTGACTGTCGGCCTCGGCTAGCCGTTCAAGTGACGACTTGCGGATAATGTTGCTTAGGTGGATGTAGTATTCGCCGTACTTGGGGTCTCGAAGTTCGTCGACCAGGAGCTGGACGGAGTTTGGGGTTGGGCGCACGAAAACCAAACATCGTAGATGTCGCATCTTCTCACGCGCGGAGTTATCGAGGCGGTCAATGAGGTACACTTCATGGTTGAGGAGGGCAGACTGGGTGATAGCAGTGGAGACGATGGGAACCTGCAGGAAAGTCAGTCAGACCGATCAGAAGTAATCAATTCTAGCTGTAAGTACCCACTGTCTCACTGTCGAGGAGCAAGATCTTCATCTTGGTCGACGAAGACCCTGAGGCCGATTCGCCAGCCGTCACCATCTTGGAGATGTAGCCCGAGACGGCCGCGACGACGTCCATGGTGGCGAATGCGCTTGGACGCGCGCAAGAGGCTGAACGATGGGAAGAAACCAGATAAGATGCAGGGGTGTCGTGGGAGTGTTGTAACCGGCGAGTGGACGCCCGTGGGGGAAGTGGAGAACCGGTTGTTGAATGTTGGGCGTGGCCGCTTTTCTTCCCACATGATCGGCGCTCCTTGATCTGTTGATCTCTCAAACGTCATTCCCTCCACCAATTTCTTTCCTTTTCTTCATGCATTCCTGCCCTTGACTGTTTTCTACGCCATCGGGTTGGCATCATGTTGCCCTATATTGACAGCTGTTAGTTTTGTCCCCATGAAGCTAGCAGCTCCCCGAGCTAATTTCTCCCCGCAGTGTTCGAAATACCGGCGAACCTCACCGGCGCGTCGGTGGGTGAACGTGAGTGAAGCTTCTTCCTACGAGCCCTTATGCAGATTCAGCTAAATCTATCTCTTATAGTCAAGTTGATTGCCTCGTTCCTCTTCTCGTTTCCTCTGGCCGCAGTCCTCAAGCGCATCCCGGATGCTAAACCCTGGAGAAAGAATGTCTTCACCATCGGCGTCTCTTTATTTTACATTATCGGCCTATTTGGCCTATGGGATGGTCTGCGTACCTTGCTATACAGTGCTGCTGGAACCTATGCAATTGCCTACTATGTGGACGGCTCGTTGATGCCTTGGATCGGCTTCATCTTCCTTATGGGCCACATGTCTATTAGCCATATCTACCGCCAAATGGTGGACGATCCTGGGGTGGTCGACATTACAGGAGCTCAAATGGTCCTCGTGATGAAGCTTTGCGCCTTCTGCTGGAACATTCACGATGGTCGTTTGCCCCACGATCAGCTGACCGAGGCACAGCAGTATTCTGCGATTACTGAGTTTCCTGGTCTCCTTGATTATGCAGGCTACGTCCTGTTCTTCCCGTCCCTGTTTGCTGGTCCTTCATTCGAGTATGTAGACTATCGCCGCTGGCTAGACACCACGCTGTTCGATATTCCACCTGGCACAGACCCAATGAAGGCGCCTTTGACCCGCAAGAAGCGCAAGATTCCTCGCAGTGGTACCCCAGCCTTCAAGAAAGCTGTTGTTGGTCTGCTCTGGATTGGCGCGTTTGTCTACCTCGGCGGTATCTTCACCACTGACTTCGTCCTATCCCAAGACTTCCTTGCATACGGCATCTTTCGCCGCATCTTGACCGTCTACCTGCTGGGTTTCACTGCGCGCCTCAAGTACTACGGTGTATGGTCTTTGACGGAGGGAGCTTGTATTTTGTCTGGTATGGGCTATAATGGCTTCGACGCTAAGTCCGGCAAAGTCTTTTGGAATCGCTTGCAGAATGTGGACCCATGGGCGCTCGAAACCGCACAAAACTCGCACGCTTTCCTTGGCGCCTGGAACAAGAACACCAACCACTGGTTGCGCAACTACATCTACCTTCGTGTCACTCCCAAGGGCAAGAAGCCCGGGTTTCGTGCCAGCATGGCCACCTTTGCAACCTCGGCCTTCTGGCACGGCTTCTACCCCGGTTATTACCTTACCTTCGTGCTGGGGTCATTCATTCAAACAGCCGCGAAGAGTACGTATTTTGACATATCTAATTTGCGTTCCCTGGACAGAGTTACTAATGACATATCTCTCAGATTTCCGGCGTTATGTTCGCCCCTTCTTCCTTACCCCAGATGGCACTAAACCCACACCGAACAAGCGCTATTACGATATCCTAAGTTGGCTTGCCACCCAGCTTACCCTTGGCTTTGCGGTCATGCCTTTCATCATTCTCAATTTCAATGACTCCATGAAACTCTGGAGCCGTGTTTACTTCTACGGTATCGTGGGTACCATTGGGTCTCTCATTGTCTTCGCAACTCCCGTCAAGGGCTACCTTGCCGGCCAGCTCAAGCGCCGCAACAGACCTCATGTTGTGCGCTCTGTCAGTCAGGAGAGTGTACAACCACCAACCCTTGGACTGTCAGCGGACCCAGAGCGAGACTTTGACGAGGCAGTCAACGAGATCAAAAATGAGATTGAGGCGCGTCAGCGGAGGGGCAGTGTCTCTGCGACTATGCCTACTGGCGAAGAGTTGAAGGTTGCTATTGAACAGAAGATCGGGCGTAAGCTTTGATGCGTTGCAGTTGCAGGGTTGGGATTGAGCCTGTGATTCTCAAGGATCAGTGGGCATATTCTCTTTATGTTGTTTTGTATCTTTAGACTTTCAGTCTGGGACGTGACTGGCCCTTGTATGTTCAAACACGAGAGATTTGCTGGGTCATACTTTAATTCGCCTCCCTTCTATCTCCAGGTACAAGTCGGATATTAGAGGAATGTAAGCATCAGTCATTCATCAACAAAGCAAGCTGGTTTCTAAATGCTATTGTTGCAACTTCGAAAGCCATAAGCCAGCAAATATTCTGAAACCCTAATACATCTGCACTGAGTCAGCATTATGACGAGAAGCCTCGCTGTATTGAGCACTTCATTCTGGCTGCGCTTCATAGTTCTCAGGGTGTGCTAGTCGATGCATACCCATTACTTCTGATGGTCGCAGCCAAGGCGCAAACGTCAGCGGCGCGGGAGCGGTGCGGCTGTCCCATTGCACGTAGAACAATCGTTGCCTTACACCTATTCTCCTGATCCATATTTCCCATCCCTCACTCTTTGATTCGCAATTGTTCTGGACGATCTACCTCGTGGTTGTTGGGCAATGGAAGATATCCAAGAGGACGATGAAGTCTCTCGATTCACTTCGACAGCCTCATTTACGGAACCGCTGTCTATATATGGGTTTCTAGAGTTATCTCGAGCCACCATGCAGACCTTTTTCTTTGTTTAGTTTTGTCTGTATACACTCTGAAAATCAATCCCTATTAGACCAACACCGCTGTGTACTGTGGCATCCCACGTCCAACACAGCTAATGAGAAGCTACGTACTGATAAAACTACAGGGTGCCTCTCCAGTAGTCGGGTTGGTCTATTGTCTTGATAAACTTAGTTATAGTAAATATTCAGCTCCTGGGCCGTTGGGACGCACTCGGTATAGCCATCGAGTTCCGATAGCTCGGTTTGAGCATGCTAGTAGACCCATAGATTTCCCAAGTTTCCCAAGAAGTATACATTACATTATTGGAACCAGGAAAACTATGGAAGGATAATGAATGGTTTAAATCAGGTTTTATTTTAGGCAAACATGTTCATTTCGACCCATGAAGCTGGTGCGACATGGGCAAGGACCAAAGCAGTAGAAAGCTAGATAACTTCATTACATAGTTTGGTATGCGATGAATAAAGAAAAGAGACATATTCCAATGTAGCATGTTCGAGAAAAGAAGGAAGACAAGAATAGTCGAGAAGGGGATATTATGTATGTGCGTAGATCATTTCGTGCAGTCGTATCCAATGATGTGCAGAGAAGCGAAAAATAAACAAATCATGCTTTGGGAAGCCCCGGAGTGGAGAAGATAGAAAATGACAAGTCGAAGACGAAAGAAAGCTGGGTTGCTGTCTGTTGAGGTTGAAAGGAAGGCTTGGAAGGACGGCGATACCCCCAGATGGGACAAAAAGCCGTAAACAAACAAGTAAACAAAGGCTTGAATGCTAGGAAATGGGACGAGAATGGTCCAAGTCGTAAGAGCGCTTGAAATTGCAAAGTGCACAGTCGTGGAAAGAAATCGAGAAGTGAAACAGGTGTTAAGAACACCAAGAAGGTATCAACAAACTACGTTTGCGACTAGAACCCCGTTGTAGCGCCAATAGCAGCCAGAGTGATGACAAGGACAATGACGACAACTCCGAAAGAGATCATCCATCGATTCAAGTTGCGCCACCAACGGGCATTTTCGTATCGGCGCCGGCGAAGGCTAATCAGCTGCGTCTCCAAGGCAATCTCCACGTCATTGTCCGATTGGACCATCTCAGGAGCAATGGGCTTCGGCGGGAGAGGAAGGAAAGCAGCAATGAACCAAGCGAGCGGGAAAACAAATCCAATACAGAACGAATAGACCTGAATGTTCCGCCGTCCAAAGAAGGGTTCCATCGTCGAGTCGAAAGAAGGGGTCGTCCATGCACTGTGGGAGTTGGGAAGAGTTCGGCGGTCCCTGTACAAATGGGGAGACCAGCTGTGGTGCAGTCGGTGGCGAGAGGAGCTCACCACCTCCTGGCTCTCATCCTCTGGGTCCGGTTGCCAGTGAGCTCGGGGATCACGAGGGTCACTCTCGATGCGTCGTTGAGTCCATTGGGGGAAGTGAACCCGTTCGGGGGATCGAGGACGCTCGGGAGATCGAGGACGCTCGGGCGAGCGCGGTCGCTCAGGAGAACGAGGGCGGGGAATTGTCAGAGGAGTAGGCATGAGGTTGAAGACGCTGGAGCTGCCGGTACCAGAGCGCGCGGATGATGGTCGACTAATGAGAGCGGGATTCAGGCTCATCGGGTCCGCGCGATAGTAGATTCTGGCCCAGGTTGGCAAAATGTGGAAAACGGTGCTGGATCCCGTACCAGGACGCCTGATACTAGCCAAACTGTTGCTGCGTCGAGAGCCGGAGGAGAGGCTCTGGGTGAAGCCACGAGGGGGAAGATTGGTCAGACTATCGGACCGCTCGTCCTCGTCTTCTTCCGACTCGGTCACGAGCCATACGGTCGATTTGCTGGGCTGAGCATGCAAGGCCGGCGGGGGGATCACTAGTTCCGACTCGGAACTGGATGGGTCTTCACGCGGTGGAAGAGACTGGTCTGCGAAGTCCCTGGCAGACCAAGCCGAGGATGATACACGGGACAGATGAGGATTGTAACGACCGGAGATCGGGCCGGGGGTGAAGTCACGGTCTGACACAATTGAAGTCTCTGCGCGAGAGCTAGACGAAGCCTCACGAATCCGAGGGTATTGAATAAAGACGCCATTGTCAATAGCCGCTACAATATCCGATACGGAGCGCAGACTACGTGAGGAAGAGCTAACAGAGAGAGAAGGACTCGCGGAAAACTGTCGCGCAGGAGGCAATGGCGGTGTCGTCGACAGAACTGGTGGACTGGACCGTGGGGGACTTGAACGTGGTGGGCTAGATCGGAATGACGGCGAGCGGGAAGGCGGTTGCTCAGACGAAGCGGCCACAAACGTCCAGGGTTGTGCACCCGGATGTCTGACGACTGTTCCTCGGGAGTTGTACGATGACAGCGAGTTTGTGCGCAGATCGGAGTCGGCATTGGATGCGGGGCCTCGGGGCAAGAATTGTACACTGGAGTTGTCCAACGTGACAAAGTTAGGGCTGGACGGGACTCCAATCCGCTCAACATTAGGGCTTGAGTAACCCATCACAGACTCTTCCGCGTGCGCAGTGCTAGGTGACGATGGCGGTTCGGATAGAACGGGCTTGATTGTTGGTGCCGCCGTCGGCAAAACCGCCAGCTCGTCGTCTGAATACTCCGGGTCCAACCCCTCCATATCAGAGCTATAGTCCTCTGGTTTGGCTGACGGGAACTCGGGTAGTGATGACTTGCTGGAGGTCGGATCCTCATCCCACAGCTGCGGTGGAGAATTCCCAGTGTCGACTGTGGAAGAGACGTCCCAGCTTCCAGCCCTAGACGGTTTCCGCATGCTCCCGCCATGTCCTAATGGTGGTGACCAGGATGGTCCGCCCTCCGAGTAGCTGAATCCGGTATCTGCGATGTATTCCTGCTGGCCTTTGCCGGGAATTGGGAGCAGGATCTGCTCTGGCTTGGTCGGAAACGGGGTCGCAGTATAGATGTCGGCATCTTCCTGTTCCATGGCTCGGTGCGGAGACCGAGTGGGGGATCTTTCATTGGTGTGCGCCGAGCTGCGCTCTTGCAAGGCTCGCCGCCTCCGTGGAGGAGGCGAGGTTGAATGGACGCGGGTCGACATGTCGAGGTCCAGATTAGAGCATTATCCGATGTGTAAGAATGAGGCGCCAAAAGAACGAAGCAGCAAAGCAGTTTAACAGAACGAGAGAATGAGAGCCAGCAAACAGATTCCCTATTCCGGAAACAAGGTTTTTGTTTTCCTCCCAAGATTGAAAGTAAGGAATGCTAGCCCTGTAATCGAGTCAATCGAATCCGCTGAAGTCTACTGTGTATAGCAACATTAAAGCTTTGGAATGTTTCAAAAAGAGTGTGGGGATCGCAAAGATCGTGAAAAGAGCGTAAGTGACCCAAAAGTCGTCAGAGATCGTTTAGATCGTTTCAAGAAGCCATAAAAAGAGCGTAAGGCGTTTAATAAAACAAGAACAAGCACAGACTGGAACAATGGAGCACGACGAGATGAGACAATTGAGGAACCACAGGGCCCAAGGGGGTTGAGGAATTTCGTTGCCCCGAGCGGTGTGCCCACGCCCACTTCCCATCTTCCTCCGGCGCAATTGGGAAATACATGACCCATTGACGCTGCTTGGCCCTATCATCGCCCTTCTAGATCGCCCCCAGGGGGAAATTACTGTAATCCACCCGTATTTTCCCTCTTTTCCTTCGCCCCACTCCCAGAGCCTTCGCGGTTTGCTGTCTTAGTCTTTTGGACACCCAAGTTCGTGCCCCTATTTCGGGACTATTGAATGGACTTGTTCACCTGCAGCCGGGGTATCATAGGAGGTCGCCAGCACCATGCTCATGCAGGCACTGGTCGTTGTCATTCCGGCCAGACCAGCCCCCGTGGTGGAGCCCCCCCCCCGATGCGTTGTTCAGGGCTGATTAGCGCTGACCTCATGGGCGATTACGAACCTGGAAAATCCCCATCTAAAATTAAACCCGACCAGCGCTAACGAGATCATCTCTCGGGATCTCCGCTCTTCTGAAACGGTGCTCCAAACCTCTATAGCCGCCTCGCGAGGGTGCGAGACATCTTTTCAATATATTCCCTATCTCCATCGCAACGCTCCCACATGTGCTGGATCGGAGAATTAAACTCCCACGATCCCCTCGCATTGACTCAGAATTAAGATGAGGATGGTCCGCAGGGGCAGCCTGCAGATGGTAATGCATCCGGTGGGCTGTGCAAGGTACGAAGTTCGTTCCCACTACTCCGTAATGGAGCCCTTAATTTTAAAGGAAAAAAGGAGGATGGGCGAGGCCACGAGGCGCTTGGTCCACGCGTTTGCGAGGATAGATCACATGGTTTGAGCATCCAAGCTGGAATATCGAACTTAAAGGGGGGAGCTTGAGCCTTGTCTCCCGCCTATATCTGCTTGTCACGCACTCCCAGTCAAAGAATCAGAGAATCGTGATCGTGTGGTTCTTTTCCCTCGAAAGACTAGGGGTCATAAAACGGTGGTAATACCGGCCGCTCGGCGCGACTGCCCGCGTTTCCCCAACTTCTTGTCCACCGGTTCTTTGGTGCCACTCCGCCATTACCGTAAATACCAATTCCAACTTAAAGAACAAAGCCCAGCGTAGAGCTCTGGAGATCCGAACTTCGAGAATACAAACACAATCAGTTCCAGGATGTCCCCTATCCTCATTCTAGACCATCTCAACTCCCTCTGCTCCACGCACAGTCTTTGCCCTTGCGTCCCCTCCAATTTCCGACATGTTCACTAACCCGGACGAGCCGCTGTCGGTGCATACGGCCGCTCTGCTCTCGGTAAGCTCTGTAGAACAATCCATCGTGCTGCCCTGAGATTCCCCTGAAATTCCAAGGTTTTTCTCATCCCGCATCATTAGGTCGCCCTTACATTGATCTTTGTGGCCCCAATTTATCTATCACGAACCACGCGACCAACTCCGACTCTCAGCCGCGATGCGCCGTCCGTGATTCGTGCGCGCCTCAGCGCTCTCTCCATCTCTTGCATCGTGGGTTCTCTGATGGTGCTCTGGATTATTGTCGAGAAAGGGAATACCTCGCTCGCAGCTGCGTTGACGCTTCTCGGGTGGTGGCCGGTGAGCCCGGCTGATGTGGCTCGCTGTGTTCTCTTGACGGCGATTCTTTTCGCCGGGCCGTTGTATGAGCGAGGCATCGTGGAAAGCCAATGGCGCTCTTGGGTCAAGCCTAGGTAGTATCCATGCAAGCCTGAGTGATTGGATTCCTTGGAGAAATTATGTAGTTGTAGGTTCGATCTGGAGTTGAGGTTCCGCTACTTTCGGGTTGATCTTGGCTGCTAAGATATATATATACTTCAGGCCCCGGTTACAGAGGAGATCGTGTTTCGCTCCGCTATTATCTCATTACATATTCTCGCAAATTTGTCTCCCGACAAAATCGTTCTGGTCACTCCACTGTACTTTGGCATCGGGCATATCCATCATTTCTACGAATTTCGCCTGACAAACCCCGACACCCCGCTCTTGGTGGCCCTGCTAGGGACTCTTTTCCACTTCACCTACGCCACCCTCTTCGGTTGCTTTGTCACTTTCGTCTACTTACGGACAGGTTCTGTAGTGGCTGTGATCCTCATCCACAGTTTCTGCAATTGGTGCGGCTTGCCGCGTTTATGGGGGCATGTCGAGGCGGACCCGCGTTTCCAAGTAGGAAAAGAAGGGGACAGACCACTGCATGTTGGATGGACTGTGGGGTATTACCTCCTCCTGCTCCTTGGTGCAATGTCCTTTGGTCAGCTTCTGTGGCCGTTGACCGAGTCGGATCATGCTTTGGTGTCCTTCTCGTCCCAAAGTTGAACAGACACATACTCGTACTAGTGTCTTTTCAGAGTGTCGGAAAAGAATAGGATGCTATGGCCATTACAAGTACTTTTGTATGCGTAAAGCCCCGCGGTAGCCGTTTGAGGAAAGGGTTTCATCAATCGTTGCTGGCAAAAGTAAGACATTTGACGATCGCAACGCAAGGGGCCCACGGAATGTGGGCAGAGAGTTTTCAAGTTCGAACAGACATAGACTCAGGTACACGCCGGGTTTTCACGTCATCGCACCAGTTTGTCCGACTAGAAATAATAACAGAAACACCCCAGGAACTTCAATGTAGGTACTTCAATGCTAGGACGAGACAGCATTATATACACATAATCTAAGCTCAACGGGGACCTCGGCATCATCTTCGTACAAGCCTTTGACCAGCCATAATACCCGCAGGGAAGCAGTCGCTGGACGTCGGGCTTCCGATGAGTGGTGTGTAGGAATATCGTAGGCTTTACCGCGCTCCAGTACTCCCACCATGGTTTCATTCCAAACATTTCATCCATCATTTGAAGAGATAGTGCCCGGACGATCAAAACCAAGTGCTTGTTCGCAGAATATAATGCGTTCCGTCATTAAGCATCTAGCGGCTTTGTCTTGACTTGAAGACATAAGGATATCAGTAAGTTCCTGCATGGACCTCAGGGAGTCCGGGTGGTCTTTTCCTTGGAATTGCTTACGGGTTTCCATAGCGTGTTCCTGAAGCCTCTCCCGCTTTCTCAAAAGGTTCCAGGTCGCAGTAGTTATATTGATGCTAAGGCCTCCGTACTATTCATGATTAGAGTGGTGAGACAACGCCCCTGTCAACCTCCTCAGCCAGTCCTAGTAATTTTAAGGTGTCCTGGTTCAAGGCTTGCCCTGAGCCTCTCAGGATCTTTAGCCTGAGGTCCTCCGCTTCTTTCCATCTCCCTTGCAGGAGGTGCCGGTAAGTATTTGCTAAGCTGACCATGCTAATTAGAGTTTCGGGGTGGTCTGGTCCTAGGATCCCCATCAAAGTTTCCAGGGCTTGTATTGCACGGCCTTCCGTGATCTTCAACTCCTCGTGCCCCGAGCAGGTCTGTAACTCGAATAAATTGACGATACTCCTTAGAAATAGAGGATGCATTGGTCCTAGGGTTCGCTGATAGGCCTCCATGACCTGAACCCCAAGTTCTCTAGCGTCTTTCCAACGTTCCTGCTGCTTGTAGCTTTTTGCCAAAGTTTTCATGATTGAGAGTGTAAGAAAGTCATCTGAACCCCTTAGTCGCTTCGAGATTTTTACCAGCTCCCATTGAAGATCTTCTGCCTCTTTCCATCGACCCTGAGCAAGGTATGTTACTGATAGTTGATGTCTGGCTTGAAGAGTATTGAAGTGTCCAGGCCCCACTGACCGCATGTGTACCTCTATAAGACGGTTTTGTAATTCTTCCGCTTCCTGCAGCTTTCCCAACCCTTGATATGCGCTAGACAACACCAACGTTGCGTGAAGTGTATACTTATGGTCCGGGCCGAAGGTTTCCTTCAATGCTTGATATGTAAGGGTAACTATTGTCAGGAAATTGCGAATATCAGGTATTGCCATAGTACAGGCTGCATGGAGAAGGATGTTCCCCCACAATTCGAGTGGACCGTCGTCTCGAGGTCTCTGTTCGACTGCACGTTGTATATGGGCATGTAGCAACTGAGAATTCGTGCGAGAAGAAACACCAGGCTCGTGTAAACTTTGAAATAGTCTGTAAATAAAATCATTTTTCGTTTTCTCGAACTGATCATGATTCTTGAGCCATTGCTGGACGGCTAATTGGACAAGGTGGTGCAGCTCGAAAGTCGTTCCATCAGGGCTAACAGATATCAAAGAGTAATTGCGCAGCAATAGTATATTATCTTCAAAGGTGATACTATTGCTTGCACTGTCCTCTTCGACATCACTTAGGTCTCCTGTCTCAACCCTGTACTGCAGTGCAAACTCAGGAATACCCTGTCGGTCAAAAAAGCTCATAATGGACAGCAAGTCTGCTGCTGAGCGGTGATGAGAGTACAAATGATCAAATGAGATTTGCCATGTTGCGAAGATCGCATTCTCGGTGTCTCTGTCTCGTCGCAGCTGGCCTCCTTCATGGGCCAAAAGTTCGGCTTTCTTATGATCACTCCCCTGGAATATTGCGAGGTACTTTTCGACCGAAGACCGGGGTGCCCTATGCTTGATGTAGGCGGCTGCTTGTACTATGGCAAGCGGCATAAAATCGAGAGCAGCAACAAGCTGGCTAGCGTCTTCTTCCTTGCCCGCAACCCCTACCTTGCGTTCGAAAAGTGCGACCGCATGGCTCTCTTGCATTGGCTGTATTGATATAACGTCATTGTCGTCAACGATGCGCGCTACCATGTGCTTGACTCGACTAGTGATGAGAATTAAGCCACTCAAGCTCTGAGGGAAATAGTCCCAGATAGTGCGTCCTGACACGTCACTCGCCTGATCTCCAGCGTTCTCTTGCTTCGCCGGCAGAGCGCGATGAAGGAAGCTATCATCATCGAGATTGTCGAGCACAAGGACCCATTTTCTCCTCGTGTCATGCAGCCAGTCGGAGACAACTTGGAATATATCTGCTGAAGAGCCCTGTAGACTAGCTATCTTAGCTCTATGGGCGATCGTCCGACAGTCCTGCTCAAAACGAGTCGCGTTGCTTGCATGGACCCAAAATACCCATGTCTCCGGCGACCGGTCGCGCACACGATACGTGTATTCGATAGCAAGTTGCGATTTCCTGTCATGTCGTCAGCCTCGCGCTGAATAGTGCCAAGGGCCTATGATCCAAAGCTCACCCAACGCCCCCTATACCAACGAGCCCTACCCGGGCACCCGGATGCACTGCCTTTTCATCGATTTCATCTAGCAGGGTTCCACGATCGACAAAATCTGGGTCGCGGCGGAACGGCACGGTTGACAGAGGGGTTGGTGGAGTTTTCGGTCGTTCTAGCCCATTACGCTTTTAGTAAGTTTATCTAGCTTGTAAGTTTCGTTGAACCTACCTGCAGAAAGGAACTGCGCTGTCACTGAACCATTTATGATATTGGCCTGGAGGCCAGAGTTTGACGCCCCAAAAGACATGGATGGAGGCTATGATTGGCACGTTTTGCAGCTTGCAAGGTTAGGCTTCCTGGCTTCAGCTCAAATGTGATGACCCCGCCCTGTACGCGCTGGTATCAGGTGACTGGCGCTAGGTAAGCGCATTATACCTGGGATCGCTGTGATGATAGATTCAACTTGCTGGTGTTGAAATGTAGAAAAGCTAACAAGGTCGAAGGATACTTGGTCATTGGAGTACAAATGCGAGATAACACCCGACATATATTGGACAATCGATATCAAGTGACCTTAGCTCCCAAGCTTGGAAGAGCCATTCAATGATATTCTGGAAAAATGTTAATTATTCCGAAGCTTTCCATAAAATCTTATACAATTATCCAATAAGCATCAAACGCGCCAAACAATTATCCTTTTACCAATGAAATCTAAAATATACTAGTATCAACGAGACCTCCTCGAAATGATCTCTTCCAACACACCCCTTTCGCCACTCTGGTTCACCAGCTCCCGGAACTCTCCGCCCTCAATTTTAATCAGATCCTCCGGCGGCCCAAACTCAACAACCCGTCCCTCACTTAGCACCAGGATCTTATCGAAGTCGGCAATCGTGCTCAGTCGATGCGCAATCACCAGAAATGAGCTCATTGAGCGGCCGAATTCCGACCGGATAGTTTGCTGGATCAGTCCATCCGTCTCCATGTCCACGGCCGAGGTGGCCTCGTCCATGATCATGACCTTGGCTTGTTGAAGGATAGCGCGGGCGAGGCAGAGGAGCTGGCGCTGTCCCTGTGAGAAATTCGCTCCGCCCTCTGAGACTGGCAGGTTCAGGAATGAGGCACTGTTCCCCTTGCTTGGTTTGCAGAGATGAACTCGTTCCAGGACGACAGTCAGCTGTGTCTCGGAGTACCAGCCGAAGGGGTCTAGGTTTGTTCGGACAGTTCCTGCAAATAGGGTAGGGTGTTGGGGCACGATGGCTAGACCCCTTCTTCGCAGTGCGTCGAGCTTGATCGTGGATGTGTCGAGTCCGTCGATCAGGACGCGGCCTTCGCTGGGTTCCATGAGACGGAACAGTGCTAATGCGAGGGTTGATTTGCCCGATCCAGTGCGGCCGACGACGCCGACCCGCTGGTTGTTTTCGATGCTGAAGCTGATTCCCTTCAGCGCGGGAGGAAGCTCGGGCGCGTAGCTCACCGTTAGGTTTTCGACTTCGACTTGTCCCTTGGTAGGCCAGGCGGCAGGGGGCTCCAGGCCGCCCTGTGGCTCGGTCTCGATGCTGGCATAGTCGATGACTCGCTCAGCTGCGTTCATTTCCATCTCGAAGCTGGCGTAGATACGGACCATGTTGGACACGGCAGTGTTGTATTGCAGGACGAAGCTGATGGCGAACCCGGCAAGCGAGGCAGAAACGCCGAATTTGACGACCATGGCCGCGGTCACTGTGGAGAAAATGGCACCGAGGACACCAATACGGAGTTGCAGCCACCAGTTGAATAGCCAGAGGTGTCGTGAGACGTTTGCGTAGGCATCGATTCTGGTGAACATTGCTTGGACATATTCGCGTGCTTGGTCGAAAGCACGGATGGTGTGCAATCCAGCCAAACTGGAGATGAAGTGGTCGAGAATGGGGCTTCGGGAAATGCTTTCCAATCGCTTCAGCTCACGAGCAGCAGCAAGGTAGAGGACGGCTAGTCGGAGTGAGACGGCTAGCAGGACAGCGGCGAGGACCAGAATTGAGGGTGAGACGGAGGTACTGGCGACCATAACACCGACGATCTGAAGAGTCGACTGCACCAACTCTGAAATGTGCGTACCGAGGACATAGTCAACGATGTAGACGTCTGCAGTGAAGCGATTCAACAGACGACCCAGGGGGACAGTGTCGACCCAACGAAGTGGTGCGGCCAAAACGGAAGACAGGAAGTACTTTGAACAGGGAGTTCGAAGACCGCATGGCTGCGACCCGGAGGAAAAGAACCTGCAAAGTGGCCATGATCGCGGCCCCCAGAGAAATTCCGACGTAGACAGAGATGTACTTGGCAAGGTCATCAGGGGCATCTAACTCGCGGAACCTTTGAGCAGCAAGTGATACGACAGCAGAGCTGTAGCTCGTGTAATGCGCGAAATGCACTTGGCTTGTGCCTGTCCAAATGTGAAGCCACCATCCCTAGTGAGATAAGTCAGTCAGTTAGAATAATTTATTAGAAAATTTCTCCGACAACTTACCCGCGCAAAAACAGAGGACGTGTATAGAATAGCGACAGTAAAGCCCAGTGCCCACAATAAGCGGGAGTTTTTGCCAGTCAAGAGTCTCTTATAAATTTGAATTGACACTGAGCCTATTGCGCGCTCCTCATCAGGACTGAACTTGCGAGTTGCAGGCTCGTCAATCTGCTGCTCGGCGGTAGTGGTGGGGCGAGAGTGCTTGCTGCTCTCGTCGCCATTTTCCACTTGAAGGATATCGTATAATCCTGTTTTCTTCTTGAGTTGATCCGCCGACCCGACAAAGGACATAGAGCCTCCCTCCAGGACAACGCAGTAGTCTGCCTTTGGCAAGCAAAGACCGATGTGGTGAGTTGCAAGGACTCTAGTTCTGCCCTTAGCTAAAATTCCAGTGAGCCCGTTCTCATATACGTGTCGACTGGTGTCTGCATCAAGAGCACTGAAGATATCGTCCATGATCAATATTCCAGCACGAGAATAGAGAGCTCGGGCAAGGGAAACACGGGCACGCTGGCCACCGCTCAGGTTCACGCCATTGGCACCGATGTCAGTTTTGTCGCCGTCGCTCAAGATCTCGAGGTCTCTTCCGAGACCGGTCGCAAACAAGACTTCTTGGTATCGCTCCCAGTTAAGAGGCAGACCAAAGAGAATGTTGCTACGGATAGTACCGTTCTCGGTCCAGGGCTCTTGAGGGACATAGGCGATAGCATCATCCACAATCCAGTCATTATCGCCGGTCGGAGGGATTCGCCACTGCGAACTGTCCGAAGATGGAACCTTGACTGATCCAAGAGGGACATCGCTTTCGCCGAGAATAGCGGACAGAAGCAGACTCTTTCCAGAGCCAGTTCGGCCGCTAATTACGGCGAGACCTTTGGAAGGGAACATGAGGTTTAGATTGGACAGAAAGAATCCCGCGGGATCGGATTCCTCGTCGCACGGCCAGGAGATAGTGGCATCTTGGAACATAATATTCGACGACGGGCTGCGCTCGGTCTCCTTTTTATCAGGGGTCTGCATATACTCATCAATTCTGTCGACACTCATTTTGGCCTCCAAGGCCGTGGCGAATAGGTGAGGCAAGGCAGCCAGAGCGACCTCCAGCGAACCAAAGATAGAGATCGATGTGAAAGCGACGGAAGCAGACAAACCGCCGTATTGCAATGCGTAAACGGACAGAGAAACAGCGGACAACAACAGCGGTGTCAGAGTCCAGACGGCGACGAAGCCGGTCTCCCGGAAGCAAGCTTGAAGCAGGAAGCGCAACTCGTGCTTGCGAGCTTCGAGGACTCGATCTTCCCAGGCAGAGGCCGTCGCAGAGAACTTGATCTGCCGGATGTTTTGCACAACTTCGTGCACGAGGGACGTGCGGTGATCTTTGGCTTTCATCATTGTCACTTGGAATGACCTGTATTCTTGTGCAATCCAGATGTTGATAGGGGACATCAGGAAGACAGCGGCCAAGCCTGCAAGAAGACTCTTCCAGCCGATGAGGAATAGCAAGCAGACGCAAGCCAGAATGAATTGAGCCACCGATGAGGGAATCAGGTGATTGTAAGAAGCATAGTCTGAGATTCGGCGGGTATCGACAGTGACAAGATTAATAACTTCTTGTTGGCCTTGTTGGACAGGACCGGATCCTTCCTTGCCATTATCTTCGTCGCTATTCTTTGGCTGTTGGATATCCTTGCGGCGCATAGTTTTATCATAAAGGAGCGCCTGCAGCTCCGAAGCAATAGGGACGGCCAGCTTCGAGTAGGTAATCCACCAGACCCATGATGTAAATGTAGAAAACACACACAGAGAGACACCCAGCACGGCTGCCCAGACACCCGGACTACCTAAAGTCGCGTCTTCCAGAGTCTTTAGGATTCCATATAGTGCAGCATGGGGACCAAAGCTGGATATAGCAGTTGCGAGGGCAAGAATGACCTGAAGAATCACGGCGCCTTTGTGTGCCTTACAAATAGCCTGAAACAGCGACATCCCCTGTGATCGGGTTTCTTCGATAAGATTGTGGAGTCTCTCTGCCCGGGCTTTATTGGGTAGTTCAGGGAATTCCTCGGTAGCCATAGTTCCCTGCCGCTTACCACTGAATCGAAGGAAAGGAGTGGTGTAACCAAGGGTCAGCCTGCTCCACAGGCTGGAGCTGAGCTCCTGGTCTACCAAACGTCCCTTTCGATAGACATCGGGTCGGCGAGGAATAGAAAGGCAACACAGGCCTCTTAACATACCGGCGGTTGCACTGGTAAGAGTCAAAGCGAAGAATGTTCTTTCATTCTGCAAGTAGTATGTCGTCAGACGGGGAAGCGCAAAGACGAAGACCCCGAGACTGGTCCAGAAGCCACAGTGCGCGAGGTCGAATCTTCGGAGAACAGCCGTTTCCTTCAACAGAATGATCGATTGAACTGTCGCGATATTCTTTTAACGCTATTAACTTTTGCTGGTGACACCGGAGCGAGATCCACTTACCCAACCTGCGAACTGAGTCCAGTACAACGGTAGTTCTTCTTTTCCAAATCCGAGGGTTGACAAAACGGATGTGGCTAATGAACACCCAAACCCGACGAGAGAAAGAACAGCGATGAATCGCAGGGACCATTTTCCTCCCAGACCCTTGATCGACTCTGCAGTCGCCTCTCCGTCCTCATCGGAATAGCCATCATGGACCTTGGATGAAGGCCGGCGGCAATTGGACCAAACGACAGGGACATTGCTCAACCCAACAAGGGCCGCACCTATCGCAGACTAGCGATAGAAAAGTTGTCCATTTTCAGCACAAATCAGTCGAAAAGTCGACTGAAAATATTCCCAAAACCGACCCAGCGAAAGGGTCTAAATAAAGCCTGACAATCATATGGCCGTGATTTTATTGATAACATCATGATCGGCGCACATCAGAACCAATACAGCGTACAGTGGCTATCGAACCATAGACCCACTACAGCTGAAAAGAAAGGTCCGCAGATCAGAATGTCAGGGGAGGAACAGAAAGCTGACAGGCGATCCTCAGCCCGGGTATCGTACAAGTCCCTTCGATACAATACCGTCCGCATCGAAGTGGGTCCCCATGTCTTACACGACGCATACAGTTACATCGTCTGGAGTCGGGGCTTTTTTGTTGCTGCGGCCAGATCTACACTTTCTCCGACCCTGTGGCGCCCGTAGCGGAGTGGATCGAGTTGCATGAAGCGGGAGGGCTGCCAGGATCGCGGATTCGAGGGAGACCCACGGAAAGAGGAGCAACACTGGGAAATATGTCCGCTCATGTGAGAGCACAACTGGGAAGAACCATGTGCGCCACTCGGTTCCTCACCGTATGGAGTCCTTCTACAAAAGGGAGTTAAGAGCCCGATTTTCGCGATGCCCGTAGAAACGCTGCACAGTCCAGCGCCATGTCGAACTCCGCAGAGCTCGAGAAGACCGTGAGCCCCTTTGAAAATGAGCAGGAGTGTGACCGAAGCGAGCTTGCTGCTCAGTATGCGGCATTTGAAGAGAGCTTGACTGTTTACCAGACCCTTCGACTGTATTGGCGCTCGATTTTATGGGTCATGTATGGCCTGGCGCTGGTGTTTGGGTTTGGTATCGACGGAAACGTCGCTGCCAACTTGCTAGCGATGCCCAGGTTCCGGGTCGACTATGGCAAGGAGCTGGATAGCGGGGGTGTTGTTTCGTATATCATTCCGGCAAACTGGTTATCACTGTTCACCGGCATTTCGCAACTTTGCGCGATTATTGGAGCTTTTGGGGCAGGCTGGCTGGCCGATCGTATTGGTCGAAAGTACACGGCGTTGATCTCCTGCGTGATTTCCATCGGTGGGGTTGCAGCTCAGTTCGCTTCGCACGGTTCGCTGGGTGTTCTGGCTGCTGGAAAAGCAATCAATGGAATACCGACCGGAATGTGGCTCGTTATTGGCCCTCTGTATGCATCTGAGACTGCCCCCCTGAAACTCCGCGGGGTGCTCATTGCCATGACGAACATCGTGTCGCTGAGCGGCGTTCTTCTCTTTACAGGAGTGGTTTACCAGGTCGGATCGTCGACTACTGCGGCCGCCTACAGAATTCCGCTTGCTTGCCAATGGATTGTACCGGGCTTGATTATATTGACTGCGGTCTTCTGGCCCGAGTCCCCGGTCTGGTTGGTGCGGATGGGCAAACCAGAGGCTGCGATGAAAGCGATCAAACAATTATACGGGTCCGACAAGGGAAGGATCGATGGCGAGGCAGTCTTGGCCCAGATCGAAGAGACTATCGAGCGAGAAAGACGATTATCCGCAGACAAAGCATCTTATATTGAGTGTTTTGCCAAAGGAAACCGTCAAAACACCCTCATGAGCATGTTTGTCTACGCCTGCCAATATCTCTCTGGGGTTGTTCTTGTGCAGGGCTACCAGAGCTATATGTATGAGCTTCTCGGATACTCTTCGCATGAGGCCTTGCTCCTGGGCCTATTGAATATTGCATTGCAGTGGATCGCCAATGTATGCTCTTGGTTCCTGATTCCTACTATCGGCCCTAGAAATCTAATTGTCTGGGGTCAACTGCTTGCTGCAATCAGTCTATTTATCATTGGAGGCGCATGCACCGGTTCCACCCAGGCCGCAAACCAGGTTGCGGTTGGTTTCATGTTCATATGGGTAAGCTCAGGCCCACGGCGTTGTCTACATTATTGAATGAACTAATCGATCTCCAAGGGTGTTATCTATCAATTGTCAGTCGGCGCTGCCTCCTGGACCGTCGTCGGAGAGCTTCCAGTGCTAAGGCTTCGGTCCAAAACCCAAGCTTTGTCCAATGCGACCCTCCAGTTTTTCCAGTGGCTGATTGGGTTTGTGTTTCCGTACATGTTCAACCCGGATGCAGGAAATCTTGGAGGAAAAGTCGCTTTTGTCTTTGGTGGCACGACCATGGTGGGCTTCCTAGTAACATTCCTTTTCCTCCCGGAGCTGAGGAACCCATACAAAAAATGAAGGAACGGGAGAAAACGACAACGTCTCTTATTCATGAAGATGTCTCGCATTTATTCAAATGCCCATCCATCAGAATGCCAATATACCTATCATACCGTTTAGAGCAAATAGAAGTTATACCAAATCGGCTCGTGAATTTAAACCGATAACTCCTCCATGTTTAATTCCTCCTGTCGTCTGCGGACTTCAATTTGCGCAGTGTGGTTTGCCATCAGCAAAACACCGACCCGCGCAATCTCTGGCCGCCCGCCTTTGAGCTTGATATCATATTTCAGCAGAATATGGCAAAGAAAGATCTTCATCATGGCGGATGCGTAACTGCGGCCGGGGCAACCATGTCGCCCAAAGCCGAACCCCATGTGGTTGATCGTTGTAGTGTGTAGCTGCGATGCCACCTCTTGTCCAGGAATCTTGCGTCTCTCGAGAAAACGATGACTCTGGAATTCAAGAGGGTTTGAGTAGTGCTCTTCATCCCACATGTTCTGCGAGTGCACCACGATCTGGGCTCCCTTTGGGATCACAACACCATCAGAAAGAACAATGGATTCTTCTGCGTAGCGCTTCATAGTTACTATGGGCGACTCGTTAGCCTTCGAATAAGCAGTCAGTGAAGGGGAACGTACCTAAGAACATTGGCTTCAGCCGCTGACTCTCTTTGATCACACTGTCCATCAGTTTCAAGTTATTCAGCGAAGCGCTTGTCAGACCTTCAATGCCAATGACAGTCAAAATTTCCGCTCGTAGCTCTTCAATCAATTCAGGTCGCTCGGCTATATCAAAGATAGCTTGAGTAGTCAGATCGGCAGTCCCGTGGATCATCGCCTGAGCGATAAGCAACTGAGCCAAACAGGTGTCAAAAGGAACTCCCTTCGCACGCTGCTCCATCCAGTACAACATGTCTTCATATACAGGAGGACTTTCCCCCTTTGCGATGGCTGCCTCTTTCTCCGCCAAACGGATTGCAGCAGCTGCGTCAAATACCTGGCGAGCCTCTTCGATGTCCGCACGGAGCCTCTTCCATGACGGGAGAAACCAGTGGACGATGGGACGGAGAAACCAAGGCCAAACGTCCAGATCAGCCGCCGCGATGAACGTGTGGACCGTGAAAGAAATGCTCAGTCGACGCCATGCGGTGCTCTTGGCGAGATCTGGGCCCGATCGCATTCGCGCTGTGAGCTGGGAGACCATGTCCAGAACCAGTGGGCTTGCGGTCAAGCTGTGCCATTCTGGCTTTGTGGTCCAGAATTCGTCCAAGATAGCCGTAGTCTCCTGCGACCAAGACTTGACCAATGACTCTGGTTCAATTAGCCCTCGTGCATAAGGGATATCGGGACTTCTCAGATACCTAATGCCTTGCGGATATCTTGCTTGATTGCAATATTGCCAAATTCGGTGTCTGGCCAATAGCTTCCCTTATAACCTTCCATGCCTGGGATATTGCAATGGAGCTCATCTTCCATTGCCTTGGAGATGCTCAAATGTGGGTTATTATGCACCTCGCGGGCATACCTGTTCGCAAGGACCAGTCTAGGTCCTTTGTCTGTTTGAAGATAGAATGCATCACTCTATTGTTTTTTCCCAGATTAGTTTTACCGGGTCGTCCATTGGCCAAATTCCTTTCGAAAACATTAGCATACCTTGCGCAATCCTTCTTCCAGAAGTTCTTTCGCGCTCGTTCTGTACCTCTCCTTCAGCCCCGAGTCGGTGAACTCAAAAAGTTTTCTGCCATTGATGACAGGCAGAGGCTTCGCGTTTCTACGTCTCAGCAGAAGACTAAGACCCAATGCCAATGCAATGCTGACTGTAAGCACGGCAGTGAAATTCTCGCTGATCAACGAGTGAGCCGCCAGTTCCAACGCCATGGCAAATCTCCAGAGGTGTCGAAGAGGTGTGTCCCAAAGTTATTCGCGCTCAAGCAATATGAGCAAGGACCCCTCCCCCTTCTGCCCCTCGATGTATTTTCTTTTTGCAGCTTCCGTAGCTCTAGTGGGTCCTCGAGGCGGTGTACTGTATTTTAACATTACACGTTATCTCGCATACGTAGCGAGCTCCATGCGCGGTTTTCGGTGCAGTTCCGCGTCCTTCCCGGTCCAGATCGAAAGGCGTACGCCATCAAGCCACAAAGTCTGCTAGCAAACCCCAACAGCATCCACCGGCCGTGGCAAAGACAATATATTTCATCATACTGACCCCGAGCGGTTGGGCCCATCTTTCAGCCCCACATGTTCGATCGGCGGGAGTGGGGATGGTAGCCCGTGCGTCTCTGCCGGAAGGATCCACAAGCAAAAACAAGGATTTATTACCACTCTGTATCTTTCTCGTATCCCTGTAAGTTTACCTACTGCAAATGTATCACAAAGTCAGGCAGACCCACCGGCACTACGGCATACTGTACCTGTGACGATAAAATCCACCCTCAACGAACGAAATTGCATCTATTTGCAGGCGTGAGACGGTGGCTTAAGGATACGTAAGTCTATCAATCCTACCGGAGCCTCGGGAATCGATCTTTCCCGTCCACACGAGCTTATCCGCTCCACATGACAGGATGAAACAAAACCTTGAAAACCCATCGAAAAAGAAAGGAAAAAGACAAAAAAGGAAAATTCCAAAACCCCAAACCGCTCCTCCCCTTATCTCCCATATCTCCAATTCGTTTCCACTATTGGGTTTTCGCCTGCTCAAGCGGTTGCAGGTTCGGGCTCCTTGAAGGTGGGATTGATGATCTTGATAGGATCGTCCCAGTTGACCAGCCCCACGCCGGGAGGGAAGGAACCATAGCCAATGAACCGCTGGATGGGAAGGGGGTATCTGAGGATGCGTTTTACATCGTTGGCGAGGTATTGATTCTCTTCCTGGCGCAGGTAGGAGCAAGTGACGCCACAGGTGAGGACTAGCCGGTGCTCGTTTTCAGTTGTGTTGGCGCCCCCGCCGTGGTAGACACTGCCCAGGATAATCACCCCGTCGCCCCGCTCGACCTCCGCATCGACGATACTAGTCTTGTCATCCGCAGCTGGGGGCGGTCGAGTGTAGTCCCACAGGTGGCTGCCAGGCACGATCCGAGTAGCTCCGTTAGCTTTATGGGTCCTGTTGCAGGCAACGAAGAAGGTGAGCGACTTGTCCCGTCCGAGAACATATTCCTTGTCCTCGGTATTGAAGCCCTGGTGCACTAGATCGTCGCGGTGGAGACCTTGGGCCTCCGCACCGGGTCGCAGCTCAAGGCAGGTGGCGGAGCCCAGCTGAGCGGATGTCTCATGGGTGCCTTGGTTGTTGCCAACCTAAAATGTGTTTCGTCTGAGTTTAGTGGGTGGTCTCCGATCTGCCTAATTGTCCGATTCCAAGAAAAGTTCAAACTTACCCAGAATGTTCCTTTCGAGTAGGTCAGGAAGTAGTCTCGAACCTTTGTCCACATGGGGTTGCCAATGACCTCCAGCGCGTATGTTTCGGACTTCCCTGCTAAGCCGGTGGCGGTGACGACATTTTTTTGGAAGTCTGTGCCGTTCCCACAAAATATGGAGTTCAGTTCTCAATCTTGTGGCCGCGGAGGGGCTGGTGGGACGATAAACTTACAGGTCATGTTGCCGGCGTCTGTAAGATGAGGCTTGACCTCGGCCTCTAACTTGTCAATTGTGTCCTGGCTGTAGAGGTTCTTGATAATGCAAGCTCCAGCAATCTTCAGACCCTGGATGACATCGTCCGCCAGAGCATCAGGTGTCGCACCCTTGGCGTCCACGGTGGGAATAGTGGCCTTGACACCGTTCTCGATCGCCATGGCTAAGATAAAAAGGATCAGAGGTAGAAACTAGAAGACGAAAAAAGGGGGGGGGAAGGAGGAAGCAATGCAGGCTTGCAAATTGGAAGATCAGATCCGAGTCAACTATCGCACAAAGCTTTTATAATTTCTATACAATCGCCATTGTACGTGCTTCGAGTTCCGGTACCAGGTCATGCCAAATACCTGAAAATGTGAACTGTAACTTTCGCTGGGGGTCAAGTGGGTCGTTTGGGGCCTCGAGTTGGCGCGCCCCACCAGAGCTGCATGATTGACCCCTCCATGGCACTGAGTCTGGTGTGGAAACCCAGTTACCGCTGCAGGAATTGTTCGTACTACCTGAGCATGCTCAATCCGAGGTGGCGGTATCAGATCGCTGGATCTCCAGCGTGGGCCGTATTCGGTTTAACTGCGCACTCATTGGCCCCCTCGTGGGCCTGCGAAGCCCCGGTTAGCGGCCAATTCAAAGCTCCTGTCTGTTCCGGCTTTGCGATCTTAGCAACTTAAACCGTCGACTCTGCTCCAAGCTTGTAGTTGATTGAACGAACCTTGGAAACATGGACGGCCTCTACGGTGAGAAGTTCGGCGTGCGCAGTCCAGAGATGGGATCGCATTACACGGCCGCACTCGAATTTCTTCATCTGCACAGGTATTGGGTTGCTCTAATCCTTGCGATCAGCGTGATTGGCAGCAGCAAGGTTTACTCGAGTGTGTCGAAGAAGCTCAGAGTAAGTCTTCAATTTTGGAGGACCTGTATAGTGGCGATGTTATTAACAATTCTGCTGCAGATCTACGGCGCAAACTTCCCTCCTGTGGTTAAATTGACTGTGGGTTGGATCGGCACGTTCTGAGGAATGAGTACTGAGATAGTTCTAGAACGATCAAATTTTCAATGACCCCATCAATTCGTACAACAATGCCATTCGCGAGCACGGTGATATCATTGCGGTGAAAAAGAAGGACAAGGTAGATTGAGCTTCCGAAGCGTGCGGAAGATTCCTACTCACAAAAGGTGTTCTAGATGGAAATCATGGTGTCCGAGAAATACGCCCAGAGGGTTCTCACGGATGAAAAGAACTTCAGTTTCGAGCATGGGGTCGCCGATGTAAGGGGACATTCACACTTCGTTCAGCAGCAGTAGGCTGACCAGCAAAAATACAGGCGATGAACATGGAATTTCTCATGAACATGACCCAAGGGAGGGTCTTCAAGACCATGGCCGATGTAACTTCCGGGCTTTTGGGGAAGCGCATGGATATTGTCGTGAAACAAGGTATCTCAAAGAACACTTTGCAGCGTCCACCAAGTTTGCTAACCTTCTCAAGTCTCATCGATCTTCTTCGACCGAGCGGAGGAGATAACAAATGACCCCAAAAGCCAAGCCCTGGATCTCTTCGAATATACTCAAAGCACTGTGTCTGATGCCATGGTCGTTCTGCTTCTTGGAAAGGTTAATAGTCCGGACTATCACCCGCGCCGAGTCTCTTCTGACTGATAAACAGAAATTCCTCAACCCTGCTTACAGCCATGCCGTTAAGATGGCAGCTAACGATGTTGCTGAGCTTGGAGGCATTTTCCAAAACCGGTCTTACTTTGCACGAACATTCCCTGCCTTGTGGAGATTTACTACAGCGTACGATTCTTCGAATGGCATATTTCTACTTCCAAAAGCTAACAGCTATATAGAATCAAGACTACATTCTGGAGACTGGGGGTTTGTTTGTTCATGTTCATGGGCCGTCCAATCTGGCGCGAGACGAATCGCCTTCTGAAAGACCCTCAAACTTATGTCGAGGAGAAGGAGGTAGGGAAGGAAGCACACGGTCTTCGTGCATCGTACTGACAAGCCACCTAGATTACCCTACTCCTGCTTCTCGTGAGGAAGTTTGCCACCCCTGAGCGAACTTTGAAACTGGCCGACAGAGGAATGATCTACCTCGTACTCATGAGCACCATGTTCGCATCCGTGCATCAAGTGTAAGGTTCGGGACTGTATGTCTTTAGTACCAGTTGTTAATACCATCACCAGAGCAAGCACCATGGTCTGGGTTCTCTGCGAATTGGCGCTCCGCCCCCAGGATCAGGAAGAGATTTACGCCGAGATCAAGTCCATCATGGACAAGGGACCGGAGAACCTGACCCACGATGATCTTCTGAGAGCCGTCCACACAGATTCCTTCCTGCGTGAAGTGATGCGCACCAAGGGTGACACCTTCAGCACAGTCCGCATGGCCATGAACGACGTGCCACTTGGAAAATACGTGATCCCCAAGGGTGAGTTACACCGTTTCCAGATCTACGGGTGCGCGAATTCTTATCATATCATGCAGGCTACACCGTGCACCCCAATGCAGCCTTGGCACACAATGCACCTGAGAATGCTGGTGATAACCCGGAGACTTTCGATGGTAAGCGCTGGATTGGCGGCAAGCCTGCGTCGATGGCCGGACCAGGTCACCTCGCCTTCGGTCTCGGCCGATGGGCCTGCCCAGGCCGCTACTTTGCAGTTGCTGGTAAGTTATTCCTTGCCTTCGGTTTGAAAGCGTCGCTTTATATTGACTGCGACATAGAAATCAAGATGATGGTTTTCTCCATTTTGGTGAATTCGAAAGTGGAGCTCGTTAACAACAAGTACGAGATTGTGGACAAACTCATGATTGCTAGCGCACCCCCCGAAGCTGTTTTCAAGCTCACCAAGCGACCAGAGTAGCAATCGAGATAAGGACCCGTCTTGCAGAAAATTCTGCGAGGTTTGCCCCGCGGCGAGGAGGCTGGGCCAAGCTACGTAGCTCGGCCTTGGAACGTAGGCGAGTGCACATTAGTTTCACAGATAGGCCAATGACCTCACGAAAGAGCAAGGTGGAGCATGATGCGCCTTGGGTGTTGCTAAGATGGGATATAGAGAGTATTCAGAGTATTAAAGTTAATACGACGCGTATCTGTCTTACCTTTCGCAAAGTTGGCGGGATCGTCAGTCTAGATTTTGTGTGGCTCCGTAGATCTTACTCTTGCTGAGCGCTTGCATCTGCTTGTGTCACGATACACAACCATTGATAGACACGTGTCAGCCCAACGCCGACATCTCAATGCCGACAGCGCGGGATCCTTACATGGGAAGGTGTGGGGGAAAATGCATCTCAGAAGCGGTAACAGTAGAAGAGGGGTAGCGGCCTCGGGGCCCTGTTAAAGTGAGTAAACTATGCTTTATCGCAAAATTCCTGACGTATCATTCTTCATGCAGGGAGCTCCACCCCGATCCCAGCCGAGCTCGTCACATATCTTGGAGCTGTGGGTTAAAGCCAGCCACATGGTGGACCCTTCAGATTGACTTTGCCAATCTTGTCCAAGCTAAACCAGCGTCATAGCAGAGTGCCTGGCTCCCTAGCTCCGTTCCCAACCCCCCACTTGCCAAGCGAGATCTCCCTGAGAAAAAATCTCAGCGGTACGGGAGTCGATAGCGCCGATCTTACCAGGTACTTGGGATATGTGGCGCGGATACTAGCGTATTACATCTACTAGCATTTACTCTTGAAGCTTTCATCCCGGGCCCCCAAGCTAAACGTGTAACGAAGATGCATTGTAAAATGGTATTATTTATTTAGTCGCTTGGTCTTTGTCCGACATTCTAGCTGTTCCGCGGTGCGCCAGCGGGACCTTCAAAATCAACCGTAGATCACATCGAAGAGACCGACCCATGGTTGTGGACGAGTGTTTACAAGGACCACACTAGAGCTGTAGAGATCATGAAAATGTGTGTATTAGGGGCAAATAGGCCTGGTTCGGTTTCGACTATGCACCTTTGCGGGTCGTTTCCTGCGACTGGATATGGAATTGACTTGACTGGACTCAACCGGACTACTGTCGAATCCAGCAGTCCGCATGAAACAATCTCCATACGAAGCACCACATACGGCAATCCCAGGTCAGGCCCACCCTGGGCTTGCTTATCGAACAATTGGTCCCGCATGATGTAAAGATAAACCGCATTTCTCAAGAATCGGGCCTTGCTCGGCTTATAATTTCCTCCAATCCAGCTCCAGACCCTTGAAGAGCCGTTTGGCCTACCGAAAGGATTATTGTGCTTGGTTAACGACCCTTTCGCAATGACTTTAGTGCTGGGATACACTCTGGCCACTGCCTGGCTAGCATTATGCGCGTGGAGCATTGGGTACACTGTCTGGCTGGTTGTTTACCGCCTGTGGTTTCACCCTATTGCGAAATTTCCGGGCTCCTTCTGGGCAAGAACTACCTTCTGGTATGAGTTCTACTATGAATGGATCAAGCCAGGAAAGTACTATGCCCGGATCAAGGAGATGCACGAACAATACGGTACGGCCTGAGACTTACTCCCCGGCGTCAGCTCTCAGAGTATTTGGCTGATGCGCAATCAGGTCCGATCATTCGTGTGACGCCAGATGAGATTCACATCTCGGACCCATTATTCTACCACGAGCTCTTCGTTCCTTTCAACGTGAGGAGAACCAATGCCTACACCAGATATGCTCAAGGCACAGGCTTTGAAGGTAACCGGAGATCCAAAAGCCCTTTGCCCGCTCATTATGAGATCTAACGCGATGAACCCCAATGCTCAGATATCTTCGCCATCATCCACACGCACGAAGGACACAAGGTTATTCGGGACCCTGTCGAGAAGCTCTACGGAAAGATCGCTACACATGAACCACTGGTCCTTGGCTGCACAAAGAATTTCCGTGCCCGACTCGACCAGGAAAGGGACACCGGGAAATTGATCAACCTTTCCCATGCCTGTCTTTCCCTTGCTATCGGTATGTGACCCAGGGATCATAGTCATCATAGTTCACGGGAATCGTACTGATGCACCGTCCCAGACGTCGCCACAACCGTGACCTTCCAAGCTCCGTCAAACTACCTGGAGGAGCCCACTTTCAACGAGAACCTGTATGCTCCCCCGTGCCGCATGTTGTTGCAGCTAGCTGATCCTGTCCAGCTTTAACATCCAGAAATCCGGACTGATGCATGTCCCACTCTTTGCGCACCTTCCCACCCCATTGAGGTTTGTATTCCTCATTGCAAGATCCCCAAGCTCCGATATTGACCTTTATGCCAGAATGATCGTGGTGCCTGCGATCCAGGTGCTGGCGTCCCGTATTCCCGAGCTGAAGGAGTGGGATGAGGTATGTCCTGCGGCCCTCCTGCATATTATATCGCGAACCCGGCTAACCTTCCCCCAAAGAAAACCCGACGTCAAACCTTCAGAACTGAGCTGCAGGAACCCACCATGAAGTTACAAGGTCGAGCCAGCATCTGGAAGCGCGCCAACTTTGCTTCCCGTATTGGACAGGTGAGTCTCAGCATGTAACCAAATGCCCCACCGCCATTCCATGCTAACAATGCCCAGCTCATCCAACAAAACGGCATCTTCCACGTCTCCCACACCATCGAAACCATCATTACCCAACTGGCCATGGACAAGAGCCAACTTCAAAAGCTGCAGGACGAACTCGCCCAATTCTGGGCAGAAAAGCCCGACAAGGTCACGTCGTGGTATGCCTTACGCGAATTACCGTACCTTACCGCGTGTATCCACGAGGGCCTCCGCTTGGGCGCGGGTTCCATGAAACGATCGCCACGAGAATACCCTGACGACGAGATCCACTACCAAGGATGGGTTATTCCCAAGGGCGTGAGTTTGCAAAAACCTCCGCATTTTGCGACCGGACTGCGGGTCAGGCTGACCAAACTATTAGACACCCTTCTCGATGACTACATACTACATGCACATGGACCCGACCGTCTTCCCCAATCCGGACACTTTTAATCCCGATCGATGGCTGGGGGCGGACCCTAATGGATTGATGCATAAGTACCTGCTCCCATTCGGAAAGGGTTCGCGGGCCTGTGCGGGGCAAAAGTAAGTCCCGCAGCCAGTCCTCGAGCTTGGCGTTCGCTGTATTAACCTTCGTTGCAGTATCGCGTGGATGCAGATGTATTTTGCGATCTCGCAGGTATATCAGCCCGGTGGGCCGGCAATTGAGCTGTTCGAGTCCGATGAGTCGGATATCCGTCTTGCGCATGGCTATGTATTCCCCCAACCTAGGCTCGATTCCCCGGGCGTGAGGATTTATGTTCATGACCCCTAGGAGCTGACGCGGCAAAAATTCCGGCTTACCATTGGGTCGTTCATGTTGATGCATGCATGGGTAGCTGTATTGTTTGGGATCACGATGTGCATAGATGCTGAGATGAATAGAACCCGTTTCAAGATTTTTCCCTTGAGGTAGCGGGACTGCTGTACCTGCTTTCCATGCTCAACTGGAGTCGTGACAGGCATAAACCTCAACCTGCTGAAGAACTAACAATGCACAAACGATGTCATCTGGTTTTAACTCCAGCAGGGAACGAGCCTTTTGGATGGGGTCGGATAGGCCTGAGCTCCAGGACGGAACTGGGAAGCTCAGGGAGCTCCACTTCCAGGATCCAGAGCTTCCGTATTCAGGACGCCCAGGTGTTCGTGCTAAACATCGGTTACCCACCGGCCGCCTTCCGCTTTTCCAGCTGGTCGGACCTTCAGAACCTGATTCCATCGCCATTTTTCTTCCACTGCTTCTTTTTGGAATGGCACAAGTCGAATATGACATCCGGACGATCCCAGAGACAGCGGCACCGCGGTCATTATGTTTACGGTTCGCCGACAAGTGGACCACCCCCGTAGCCAAAGTCGCCAAGGCAGTTGCGCTCTTCTATCTGTTCGTTAGGGCATTTTTCTTGTTCTTCGGGGCGAGTTGGTGGTCGTGGGCCACGTTCTACTTCGAATGCGTTGTTGCGTGTATATATATTCCCGTCCCCACTTATCCCTGATGGTTAGCTTATTGACGCATCCAGTTGAAACCCACCGGAATCAAGCTATCGTTATCGCCGCTCACAACTACGGAGATCCCAATACCGGACAGCACCGCGAACGCCTCCGACTGTTGCATAGCCGAGACCAGGGGACTGATTTGCCCTTGGTTGATATTCTGATCACTTGCTGCGGGGAAAGAGCGGAAGTCATCCTCGATACTGTACGCGGGGCATGTCAAGTAGACTCCCCCCCGGTCGGTTTCGAGTTCTCCTACTGGACGATGGTCGATCCTCGGCTCTACGGCAAGAGATCCTGCAGCTCCGAAAGACATGGCCTCATCTGCAGTACCATAGCCGTATCCAGTCAACTGCAGGCCAACATGTCTTTAGCAAGGCCGGGAATCTGAACTATGCCTTGTTCGACATTCAAGGACCGATGAAGCAGCCCCCCGAATTCATCACCGTCCTTGATGCCGACTTCATTCCGGCGCCCCATTTCCTCCGAGCCACTCTACCGCATCTCCTCCGCCATCCCCAGCTCGCCATTGTCGGAGCCTGTCAGGACTTTTACAATCTTCCCCTCGACGACCCATTGGACCAATCCTTGGACGACTGGCAGCGACGGCTCGTCCCCCAGCTCAACCAATTTGGTGCTTGCTTCCACGGGCACTCCGGGGCCGTCATCCGGCGAAGCATCCTGATGGAGCAAGGGGGCTTCCCGACCATATCCTTCAGCGAAGATGTCCTGATCTCCAACATACTCCTTGGTTCGGGCTTTCAAATCATCTCGCTCCCCGAGATGCTGCAATTGGGCCGCAGCCCGGAGTCGCTACAAGGCCATATCGCGCAGCGCACTCGGTGGGGAGTTGGCTTGATACAGCTGATGCTCTGTTTAAAAAACACGCCCCAGAATCCCGTCCCAGCTAATCTTCGGTGGGGGATTGCGTACCAGAGCGCCGTGATTTTGTTCGTCCTGGTCAATCGGACAGCGATGCAAATCTTTGTTCCGCTCGCCTTGTTCAGCGGTCAGCCGCTGGTCCCGGCGTCGTCCCCGTTGCAGTTCAAGGGGCAGGGGATCCTGGCACTCATGTTTGTTGCATCGGGTTGGCTTTTTGACTGGCTGTTCACTGCCAAGTCTGGGTTCCACGGATTTGTCTTCGGAGACCAAAGGGAGATTTGGTTATCTTGGAGTAGGGCTTTTTCCAGCATCCCACTGTGCGATCGATTTTACTGACCGCTTTGATCTTCAGGGTACTTGGTGGTTCTTTTCAAGTATTTGTTCGACAAACCAAGATCCAGTGGATCAGCCGTGACCGGCAGCACACTCAATCCATGGAATCATAACGACACCGGCGACCGCTTTGCGGGGTTGAAGAGGGACCTCTGGGATGCAGGAGTCATGGTGAACGTGCTGAGCTTTTTCGCAGTATGTAGCGCTATGCTGTATGCAATGATCTATACCAAAGAGCGACACGGGGGGCATCCTGGTAGGCCTAGCGTGGCCCCCTATCTTGCATATGTGCTATCTGATCATCTCTTCTAATTGGATCCCGCTCGCCTGCACCTTCTCACCACCTGTATGGGAGAACCCAATGACAGCGGCCATGAAGCCTGGCGACATGGATTCGCGGGCTATGTTCTCCCAGACGGACCTGCAGCGGACCCTCCGTCCAGCTGGGACGCGGCCGCCTCTGGGTCGAGCGAACCACTACGCTCTGTTGCCGGTTATCTTGGTTGGCCTTGGCTTAGCTGTGCTCTCTTACTGCTTTGGGGATTGAGGGCACGCAAGTGGCCATCATGTCAGTTTACGCGCTCTGATCGTGTCACGTACATCGAACTCGACGGCATACGGTAGTCCCATACGCTGTCAAATGATAGCGACACATGCACATGCAAATGCAATATGCATATGCATACGCACACGCTTATCTCCCTTGTACTACGCATTTCTAGTGGGTGCATAGACCATCTCAACAGTTGCAGGATGCTTGATTCTCACCGCAATACTTCCGTAGGAGTTTCCATCACTTCAAGCGAATTTTCTGTCGAAATCCCGGAATCCAAAAACCAAGGGGGTAAAAAAAGGTATTCCCACAGCTTCGAGACATAAACCTGATTACTATTCAGCACCTACTGCAACATTTGTCATCGTGGAGCATAAGCAAGTCTCAAGTGCCGTTCACTTGCCGAAGAAGACGGCAAGGTACAGGTGTCTCCACTGGCGTGGAGCAGTGATGGATCATAAACAATCGTCACGAAGTCAAAATTGAGATGTGCCACCGCCAGGTAGAGGGCAGCGAATACCCCCTCCTAACACACGGCTCAGTGTCGGTACCCAATCAGACTACTCAACCTGCTGACTCTGGAGCTTTGATCGCCAAGCACCGTGAATAGCTTTGCACTATCCTGCCATGTTTCTGGGACGGACGGACCGAGGACCGGTCCACGATTTCCCCATTTTCAATCGCCCCACCTGCTTTAGCGCCGTCTAGCGCCATACAAGTGAATCTTACCGGCTGCATGTTCCTCCCGCTCGGATCGCGTGGGACGCAAGATTGCGGGGCTGCATGCCGTCTTCTGATGGAAGTGGGTACGGAACTCGTACTGACGGTCTCCATACGGCCTGTATTCGTACGGGGTATCGGTATCTTCGGGACGGATACGGGAGGTATTGTTGAAAGTTTCGCCCGGGAGTTCGAGCACATGCGTCAATGCGAGGTTGCAGATCCTTGCGTCTGGGGCAGAGAGACTTTGTTATCAGTTGATGTCATGCCAGGATCGAAAGGGTCTCGGATTTCTCAGCTGTGGCGATTTTAGGCGAGAGCCTATAAGCCGGAGCGCCACTTGACTGGTGTGGTGAGAGATATGCTTATCTTACTCCACTGGTCTCAGAGTTCGGTGTTAACACCACTTGCTGGGTCCTTGCTGCTGCGTATGGACCTTTTCTTGGGGTGGGGGAGACCTTTGAGAATGGATCTGCGATCGATCCGTGTTCGAATATCCCTCATACAGGCGGTACATAGAACAGAGGTCCCATAGTGTAACCAAAGCTAGGGCTCTAAAAGTCTTAGTTCAATTTGGTAGTAGATTCGAACAAGTGGAATCGGCTACAGAATATGCAAGTATTTGTCAATCGAAAGTTCCTATTGAAGCGCTCAATACGTACCTTTGGAAAACTAAGACGTACATACTAGTTTACTCCGGCTGCGCTGACAGTGGAGTGTCCGCCATGCTTATAGGCACCGTTTGGGATCTAAGGACCTCATAGAATTGAATTTGCTACATGGACTAGTACTCCATGCCCTAGATGTCACTCCTAGTACCGAAGCTCGAAGTCAATCAAATCGGATGCTTGGACTTTGCACGCGGATTTCCCTCTCCGGCGGTGAAACGCCGGTCGATGCACCACACGTATATACTCAATTGAAAACCAGACTAATTATCGAGTAGAAACCCTACACTCCATCTTGAATCTAACATGACATTCTCTCTTACCACCCCCGGGCTGCCTCTACTAGTGTCCAACTTCAAGAAAACTCTCGGCGCTCAGAATACGAAGTCAACATGGTGACTGGGGATCCACCAACTTGCAAGGCCACCAGGCCGCCCTATGAAACCCCCCCGGCCTGAAAGATAATGCTGACATCATGGTAAAGAATAAAGAATTGTCTCTCAACTATTTCAACACTCAAGTCCAGGACGAATCCAAACAGAGACCTGCCACAACGGCCCGACTCCTCTGCATGAACCCAAGGGGTCATGGGTAGGGCTGAAGTCAGCTTTAGCGTCCACGCCATGAGCAGCAGCGTTTGAAACTCCATCGAAGTGTAGATCCGTATGACAAGGATATTCCGCATTTGTATGATCGTATTGTACTATCCATGGGTACCTCTGATATACTGTGATGGTATGTCTGCCACCTGATGCCGGCTGCTCAGTCCACCAATCGTGTGTTGGTAATAGGGCCTTCTAGAGTCTTTCTCTGGCTTGATTTGGAAATATGTTTCTGGTTCTCGGAACGTATTGATTTACATGACCAGCCCAGGTTCCTGCAGGACCCAGTTCTGCATGGAACTTTTGTTCTGCCACGGCTTATGCACATGTCCGGATGAGTGGTGTGGATCGTTTGACTGAGACGACAGGATTTTCATATGGGACTGGTGTATCCCAGGATGCCCGGAATCGAATTCATGAGTGGTAATGTACATGTTGATGGAGATTTATAGTATACACATCGGGATGGGAGACCCAGCGGCTAAAAAACCACATTCACCAGTTTGCCTCCCTTGACCACGATGACGCGCCGGCGCTTTTCCCAGTCGTGCTTGACACGCAACCACTGGTTCCCTTCTGGTGTTTCCAAGACTCGATCGATGATCCAAGACTGTTCGTCCGTCCCATTCGATGGCTGCCAGCGTGGGATAGTGACTGCACAACGCAGCTTTCCGTTGATCTGGACAGCGACTGCTTGGCCCCCGCGGGTAGACAGAGCATCGGCTTGCTCGGGGGTAAGGAGGGGGGGTAGGCCAGGGAGAGGAGATCACCGGGCTGCCGCGCCCTGGGGAGCTGATAATCTGGGTGTGCAGCACTTCCCACGATTCAGAGGCAAGGGCCGGGGCAATAGGTGCTAAGAGGCGGAGGAGAGAGGATACGGACAAATACAAGGGAATAGGGGAGCTTGGGGGCGCTGAGGATAAGGCATTGGTGAGCTTGATCAGATCAGAGATGACGGTATTCAGACCGTATGGGTTGCTCTCGATACAGGCGGTGACTGACGAGATCGTCTTGTGGGTTGCAAGAACCGCGTCGGCGTCAGAATCGCTCAGCTCATCCAGAGATGGAAGAGACACGGCGTGGCCACCAAGCATCATCAGACTGTCCGCTTCAACGGTGAAAGATGACGAGGATAGGGTCTGCTGGGTATCGTGGATTAACTTCCAAAGTCTGCCAAACCAGCGCTCAATGCCGACAATCTTGCTCTCGTCCCATTCCAGAACCTCGCTCACAGGAGCTGAGAAAAGAACATGTGCGCGAGTGGCATCAGCGCCATAATTGGTTGCACACGCAGTTGGATCAACGCCGTTGTGCTTACTCTTTGACATTTTCTCAAATGATACACTAGGGGTGACCTGGGTGCCCTTGATCAAAGGTTTGTCTGGATTGGAGAGATCCAGCTCGTCTGGATGGAGGAACCGGCCCGTAGACGGATCGCTGAGAGTTTTGCCGTGGACCATGCCCTGGGAAAGAAGAGTCTTGAAAGGCTCATGAGGCAAGCGCTCTGACGCGACGGATGGGAATAACTCGGACTGAGCAAGGAATTTGTAGATGAACCGAGCATACAAAAGATGCAGAATTGCATGCTCAACTCCACCCAGGTAGATATCGACAGGTCGGGCAACAGAGGACGAAAAGGGAGAATCCTTGTTGGCGGCATCGAGGAAACGCAGGTAATACCACGACGAGTCAACAAACGTGTCCATGGTATCCGTATCGCGTTTCGCTGGACCCCCGCAGCTGGGGCACTCTGTGTTCAGCCATTCATGGGAGGACTCGAGCGGGTTTCCCTTCTTGCCCTTCAACCACTCCCCTTCAATCTTTGGTAGCATAACAGGCAGATCTTCCTTCGGCACAGGAACGGGCCCACACTCGCTGCAGTGGATAATCGGGATAGGTGTGCCCCAATAACGCTGCCGACTGATGAGCCAATCTCGCAGGCGCCAGCTTTCGACAAAGCTTGCTTGTCCTTCCTTTTGTAAGTCGCCAACAATCTGCTGTGCTGCTTCTTTTGAGTGAAGGCCTTGATACTTTCCACATCGAGAGGTCAGAATGCCCTCTTGAGTAAAAGCTGTCGCAGAAGTGACCCTGTCTCCTTCTTCAGCAACATCCTTGGTGGAAGCGGGCTCGATAACGAACGGAATCGATTCGTAATTGACATTCTCCCTGAAGAACGCCATGTCTCTGGCATCATGGCCAGGCACGCCCATGACAGCACCCTCGCCGTAGTCACTTAAAACGTAAGGAGCCACAAAAACAGGCAGCTTGCGCTTCAGGTGCTCAGTTGAATTATCAATCTTCACCAGAGGGTGCGAAGCATGCACGTCATTGAGGAGATACCCGGCCTTGGAATCTGGCGGCAGCGAAGACGCCTCCGCCAGGAACTTGGTGAGTGAAGGGTCATTCTCGGCCGCTTGTAGGACAATTGGGTGGTTCGAGGACAGAGCCACATACTCCACGCCATACAGAGTGTCTGGCCTTGTTGTGAACACGTCCACGTGCACAGCAGTGCCCCGGATTGTTACGGGGAATTTCACCTTGGCCCCCTGCGACTTTCCCAGCCAGTTACGCTGCATCGACAACACACGCTCTGGCCAACCACCGGATAGGGTGTCGAGATCTTTCAGCAGGGCTTCTTTGAATGCAGTTATCCGGAAGAACCATTGTTTCAGATTCAATTTCTCAACCTTTGCGCCAGACCTCCACGAGAAGCCATTAGCATCCACCTGCTCATTCGCCAACACGGTCTTGTCCACCGGGTCATAGTTGACCAGGGCTTCGGCCTGGTACGCTAACCCCTTCTCATGCAACATCAAGAAGATTCGTTGTGTATGTTCGTAGAATTCGGGGGCACAGGTCGCGAGTTCCTTTAGAATAATTAGATATCCACAAACTTTTTTTCCTTTTCAACATCATGCGCCCCGGAGGGCACAAAGAGCCTCACGATCACATACCCTGTCCCAGTCAAAGGCAACCGATATCCGCTGTAATTGCTCCTTCATTTTTGCGATATTTTGCTCTGTCCACAGCGCCGGGTCCACGCCTCGCTCGATCGCCGCATTCTCCGCCGGCAGCCCAAAAGCGTCCCAGCCCATCGGGTGCAGGACTTCATGTCCGCGCATCTTATAGAACCGTGACAACACATCTGAAATGGTATAAACTCGGAGGTGACCCATATGTAATGTGCCGGACGGATACGGGAACATTGGTAGAATATAAGATTTCGGTCTGCCTTCGGTCTGTCCGGCGGTGCCCTGCGAGCTTGCTGGCTCCGCATGCCACTTGGCCTGCCATTTCCGATCGAGAGAGGGGAGATCGAGCCTTGCGGTGTTCGAAGTGGTCGCAGCGAAGCGAGTAACGTGTTTCGAGGAGAGACCGCGCGGGAGCAGACGCGCGCCTCCGCGCACCCGCGCAGGCGGAAGGGATGTCAATCGAATGCGAAGAAGGGACTGCATTGCTACCGCGGCATCATTATGCTGTGAGGGGAGCAATGCGACCGTGTTGCGGCGTGGGATGTTGTCCCGTTGGATTCTTTTTCGTCTCCGAAATTCGTGGAGAGCTTTATTCCCGATTGGGACTAGCGGCTGTTTCTAGAATGCGTTGACGGGATGAATCTGCGAATTTATAGGAAGAACATATAAGAGGTCGGTGAAGACACGCGTTGGTCTATCATGATGTCTATTGCGCGAATCTACTATTCATACAAGACGCGGATATCCTCATGGGGGTCTACAGTCTCAAAATGTCACCGCTCCGATCAATACCGCCACGGAAGTGATCGCTGAGAACTCTCCCCCCGAGGATAGTTTCGTCGACAATGCCCTGCACATGCTTGGGCTCAATGCGACCATACCAGATTCCCTTGCCTGCGAGCGGATGAGGCTCAACCCCCCCGGGTCATGCCGGGTGGAATATAGACAATCACATTGCCGGCGTACTTGTGCCCACCGATATGACTAATAAGACCAAGGTTGGCATGATTGGGCGCGTCCATGATAGCACCGTCGCTGCCAGTTGCTGTGTATCCCTGCGACAGGAGGACTCGTTGAAACTCTTGCTCGAGCACCGGGGCCATGACTCCGCAACGCATATCACGACCTCCATGCCCACATATTAAGACCGTAGGCGACTGTGCTATGTCCAAAACACCCGTGAATTTTGATGCCAGGTCTGGAACCCGGGTCATACGGGCCTGCTCGTCCTCTGGCAAGCCGCCATGCATACTATGTAATTTCTCCGGTAAGAGGAATGCGCGGATGAAGGTCGTTAGGTCGGTGTCATTTGGACCGATTTCTGCGGGGATCGAAGGGATAAATTTGAAGCTGGGAAAAAGCAATGCGGAGGCAACGGTGGGATCCTTCGAGGCAGGGGCGATCGAAGAATTGGTCACGAGAATATTGTTAAAAGGCTAGCAGTAACTCAGCGTTAGATCAATCTCCAGGCTGGGAGCATCGGGTCCAAATGACAACGCTTACATCCAGGTACGGGCCTCCCCGCCCAAGGAGCGTCTTCAAGCCCCGGACCATATTACCCCAGCCCTCCGTCTCTCCGTCATCCTCAATCCGACTGGTCCAGTCTCGTTGTCCGGTGCAGATGAGGAGCTGCTGCGCGTAGGCCACCATCGTTCCGTTTAGCGGTTGATCATGGTCGATCGGGAGGCCCTCTGGCATCGAGGGGGTCGGAGGGCAGTCGCATGTTGGCTCCGGGCATGTTTTGGTAACCGGAAATGGCGGAGGTATCTCGAGGCGTGCGCGGAGTCTGCTCTGGTGGGATACAGTGGTGGACAGCAGCCGAGCAGCGGGCTTCTGGCAGCTCTGCCCGCTCCAGTCGCGCACGAGCGAACGCGCGAAAGCCGTGCCCGGTCGCATCGGTAAGGAAGGGGGGGGCAATGGGGATGCGGATCAAGTCATGGATGCAATGAGAACTCAGAGTGCATGTCGCGCGAAGAGGGAAACCCAGTTTGGCTAACTCCGAGCAGCTCGGAGCGGAGATCAGGTGGGGAATCTGGCATGTGCGGGTGGCGGTTCGGATTTGCTAGGCCCTCCCCATATTAACAGAAGTTAACAGCATTCGAAGCCGTGCAGTAGTCTCAGCCCTAGTTCAATCTGATTTAGGAGGGCCAATTCTTTTTGTCTTCTGACTTAACTTACGCTCTATCCAAGTTAAAGAGAGTTAGCTGTCCACATATTAAAGACCTTAGAGCTCGGTCAAAGCTGACTCTATTGAAATACTCAATTACTCCCCGGTCTATGGATGGCCTTCAATAGACTGTCAGGCGCCTGGGCCTTCCACCTTGATTTCCCAAAACTCGAAGATTAGCATCTCACTATGAACTTGACTCTATTAAACTTGGCACGTGTTTCTCTTGATTATCATACATACTACCTTGGAATCTTGGAACAACATCCAGACTCGGACCAACTCATTTTGAAGACCCAACGACTTCTACCTTCTACACTTGAACAAGCCTAGCCACACACAGCAAAACTCACTCCAGATCTATGGGCCGGGCAGGACGCATCCTGTTCCAGAGGGATTTACTGATATTGTTGGCGTGCACGAAACGACTGGGGAACCCCGGATAGGAGATGGAGATGGAGATGTTCATCTCGAGCCCACACGCAGCCAAGCCAGGAGCTACAGATTACATGATGACCGGGCAACTGGGCAGGATGCGATCTGCCGATGCCGAACGGCTTTTGAGGCACGGGGTAGACAACAGCCTTTCGAAGATAGAAGAGTCGCAACGTGCTGTGCCGAATGCGTTGATGCAGAAGCTCGGCGAGTGGGCTCGGCGAGTTGGGTAATCGCCGAGCCAGTGAGGGCTGAGATGACGTAGTGGTATCTCGTTCCCTTTTGCCGCATCCGCAGTAGTTAGGCGTCCAGTCGTGCATACTGGCAGAGCTCATTACCTTCTACGTCATATGTGGCTTTCAATCCCCCCAAGTTCCTCGCAATGAGTCTCTATTAGCAAAGCCGAGAGGGTAGGCTCTTAGCTATGCTTTGGGACGCAGTTATAGCGGACAAGCCCCTCAAGGTCGGATGTGATAGGCTCGGAGATCCGACCGAGCCGCCGATCCTGAAGTGACAAAAAACGGTCACCCCAGTCGGCTTCCAGTCTGGAGAAAACTCGATTTGACCGGGTAAAACGGCTCCGTCCCCGCTGTCGGACGTCCGATGATCTGCTAAAAGAGTCGAGCTTCAGGATTTTCGATACTGGGTTCTTTGTAGGTTGATCGGAGTTAAAAAGAAAATAAAATCCAGGACCGAGCCGGGTACTGTCCAGGGCTAAAAAGGACCCCCCATCGCCTCGAAGACATGCGAGAAGCAGACTCTTTCTCTAAACTTTTTTTTTGGCGGATACCCCCGTGTTCTTTCCCGACCTTTCTCCACCATCGAGTGTTAATCATTCTTGGCATACAATTGATCATCAAGGCCCAGCCATGGCCGAGTCGGAAGAGCATGACCCGCGCTCCAGTGCGTCAAGCGCCGATATTGAATCGCACAGCGAATCCGATAACATGACCCACGAGCAGAACGGCGAGTCGCCGCCACTGGAAAAGCAGTCGACCTCAGCATCCGGCATCTCAGCATTCCAACAGCGGACCCAATCCGTGGTATCGCGCATCCGCAGCCGCGAGCCGGGCCAGACTGCTAAATTCACCCATCCGCTATCACATACCAAGACCAGCACCGATGTGCTGGTCGATTTCGACGGTCCAGATGACCCCTATCGGCCGCTCAACTGGGGTTTCAAGAAGAAGGCTATCACGACGGTGCTGTACGGATTGACGACCATGGGCGCGACGTGGGCCAGTTCGATCTATTCGACCGGCACAAATCAGATCTCCCATGAGTTTGGCGTCTCGACGGAAGTCGGGACGCTGGGGACAGCGCTGTTGCTGTTCGGCCTGGGTCTGGGGCCCTTGGTCTGGGCGCCACTGTCAGAGGTCTATGGGCGGAAGCCAGCGGTCCTGGCACCGTATTTTATCGCGGCCATTATGTCCTTCGGTACAGCGACGGCGAAGGATCTGCAGACGATTATGTTGACTCGCTTCTTCTGTGGGTTCTTTGGCTCTGCTCCGGTGACGAACACAGGTGGTGTGTTAAGCGACATCTGGACGGCGGAGCAGCGTGGTGCTGCCATCGTGGGATACGCAATGGCTGTCGTGGGAGGACCTGTCCTGGGCCCAATTGTCGGCGGGGCAGTCGTTCAGAGCTATCTGAGATGGAGATGGACAGAATACGTGAGCGTCCCCTCCGGATATAAGTTGCACCCCTAAAATGATAAATACTAAACTTTAATTCGCAGCTCACGGGGATAATGATGATGTTCTTTCTCACCCTGGACCTCCTCTTCATCGACGAAAGCTACCCACCGGTCCTCCTCGTCTACAAAGCCCGCCGCCTGCGGTTTGAAACAGGCAACTGGGCCCTGCACGCCCGCCACGAAGAATGGGACGTCACGCTCAAAGAACTGGGCAACAAATACCTCATCCGCCCCTTTCAACTCCTCGCCACCCCAATCTGCTTTCTGGTCGCCCTATACGCATCGTTCGTCTACGGCATCCTATATCTCAGTCTGGCTGCCTTCCCAATCGTCTTCCAACAGGTCCGCGGCTGGAATCAGCTCGTGGGAGCCCTCCCCTTCCTCGCCTATCTGGTCGGCATCCTCTTCGGCGCCGCCCTCAACCTCTTCAACCAGCGCTTCTATGTCAAGCGCTACCGTGCGAACAACAACCGCCCCGTCCCCGAGGCCCGACTGCCGCCGATGATGGTCGGCTCTATCATGTTTGCGGCGGGCTTGTTCGTGTTCGGCTGGACGAGCCCCAAGCATATCCACTGGATTGGCCCGATCATCGGTGCCGTCATGATGGGCTTCGGATTCTTTACGATCTTCCAGGCTGCGCTGAATTACTTGGTCGATACGTTCCAACAGTTTTCGGCGAGCGCGGTCGCGGCGAATACGTTTCTGCGGTCGATGTGCGCGGGCGGCTTTCCACTGTTTACGTCGGCGATGTTTCATAATCTGGGCGTGCCGTGGGCGGCGAGTCTGCTGGGGTTTATTTCCGTTGCGTTGATTCCTATTCCATATCTGTTTTATATCTTTGGAAGGAGGATTCGGGCGAGGGGGAAGTGGTCGCGTGCATCTCTGTGAGGGGAGTCGGTGGGCTGGTCCTCCAGATCTCGATACCCGGTTTATTCGTTAAATAGTACATATGAAGTCTGCATGAGGATGAGATAGATATTCATAATATAATAGAAAAGCGATCTTGCGTTTTAGATTTGGAAACCAGATTCTGCTAGTAATAGGGCCTGAGAGGATGTGCAGTGGCAGGTCACGGCCCCTGTTAGCACTCTACTTGGCGGATAAGATGTCTGTCTTTACGTTGAGGAGAGCGTAGGGCACCTCGGAAGTATGCACCAGATATGTTTGTACAGAATATATGAGACTCGCTGCTCTCAAACAAAGGAAAATTAGAAACCACAGCTGCGGCTCCAACTTAAGTGGCCAATAGCATGCCATTCATCAAGGACATTTGCCAGGCTATCAAAAGGATTCAGATAACATGGCGGAATGCCGTACGATCCGACCGCTCGCCATATCTAAGAATACTCGCCAGGACCCGCGCATATCATCATATCCCGGTCTTCCATCAGTACTAGATAGCCTCCTGCGTACTATTTACTTTTCTCTTTTTTCTTTTGTAGTATCTAGCAATAGGTTATATTGTTGTGCCTTTAACTACCACATGCTAGTACAAGTTAAGTCATGCTATCACTGCCATTGGACTACCATATATATATCACGATTCTGCCATGCTTGCCGCGCTCTATGCTTTCAATTATTGTGAATCATGAACTGGCAGTTGTCAGCCCGCGCCCCGGTGCGGGCATAGAACCCTTTCCCGAGTTTACGAGACAACGTGCGTTCCCACTACGCTGGTATTAGTAGACCTTTGATAGCTTGATGGTTGAGTATGCAATACCAAAGATTGGACTGTGACGCACAGACTACGAGCAAGAGAGAAAGGATTTGGTAGACGACAATTTGCGCTAGATTATAGGGCAGGCGGAGAGAGACTGTTTAATGCAAAATAAGGTAAATGGGAGACATAAGAAGCAAAGGACGAATATGGAATTCCGACAGCGGAATATGGAGCGAAAGCCGTTTGTGCAAGGCGTATGCTCGAAATCAGGAGTGTCTAACAAAGGAAATGAACGAGTGACGCCAGGATAGATATTAAAAATGCAAGATAAACGCGACCTTCCTTCTGATTTGACTTTTGTGTTGTTTGGGTTGTTATTGTTCCTGTTGGATTTTTTTTTTTCCCTTCTTTTTCTGTCCTTTTCTTTTTTTTTCTTTGGGTTTCCGCTTCAGTATCCGAAGGCTCAAGCTCGACTGGAAACGACCTGGTTGCGACGAGTGAACTTCCGAGCAAGGGTCATAGCCTTCTCCCAGGTTTTCTTCTTCTCAACACGGGTGATAGCAACTGGGTCGGGAGGACATAGCACCGGAAGCGAAATCGGCAGGGAAGTGCTCCTGATGGTTGGCATTGTGCAGCGCCAAGACAGCCATTTGGCCCAAGAAAGAAGGATGCTCAATCAAGTCTTCAAGACGAACCTTGAGACCTTCTTGTTCCAGGATCCAGGTCAACTGAGCCATGCTGAAGATGTCGCCACCCAGATCAAAGAAAGACGAATCCAGTTGGAATGGTTTTTGTTGAGTGGGGTTTTCATCAGTGTCTTCAGCATCTTCGTTGGCCGGGCTGGGAAGTACCTGGTGCCAGGATCGGGAGAGAATGTCGGAGTGCACAAGAAGCTCTGCGATAGAGCGCGACTTGAGGTGAGTGCTGAGGAAATGCTCGTCGAAAGTGCGGGGCAAATCCTCAACGGCTTGAGAGGGCAGAGAGCAGAGCATGCTTGGGGATGGCAGGGCGGTGGAAGGGTTGGCGATCAGAGACTGAGCCGTCTCGCAGACCATATCAAGGACCTTCTCAGCAAAGTCTGGAAGAATAGGGCCCTTCTCAGAGTACCCAAGAGTGATGCTCAAGTTGCGTTCGCCTTCGGGGCGCGAAACCATTGTCAGGTCAGTGAAGTTGTCATTCACGCCGGCGCCACCCATCTGGTACTTGTTGTTGTCAAGTTCAAGGGTGCCCTCGTAGCTAACGTTTTGATGAAAGACCGACGTAGTGAAGTAGGTCCATGATGGCCAGTCACTGCAGTGCTTGATGATTTCGCGGAAGCCAAGGGATTCATAAGGCATATTGGAAACCTGCTGATCTTGAAGGTAACGGAAGAGGTCAAGACCGGTCCACTTCTCAGCAAAGTTAACACGAACGGGGATCACATTGACGCAAGGCCCAACGGTGCTTTCAATACCCGGAACCGTGGCATTGCGACCACTGATAGTAAGGCCGAAGACAACGTCAGACTGTGCAGACAGTTTGGCCAGTGTAAGCGCCCAAGCAGCCTGCATGACCGTTGCAACAGTGACGTTTCCAAGGGCAGTTGGTGGGATCTCGATCGTCTTGCGGATCTCTGTGAAGGAGCCGACGTTCTGGAACATGGTTGTTCCCTTGCGACGGACGACCTGAGTCATATGCGAGCCTTTGAGAAGCTTCGACCAGTGGCTATAATGCTCTGGACCGATTGTACCGGGAAGCTGCCGCAGGTAGCTGGCGTATGGAGTAACTAGGGGCAATGGACTACCCTCGTACCCAAGCTTGATCGCTGACATGATCTTCGATAGACACACCCCATCATACTGAGTGTGGGACAGGCGGATCATGATACGGTGCTGGTCACTTCCCTTCTTCTTTACCACGTAGAACTGAACGTATTGCTCGCCCTCCCGTGGGCCATGTTCACGATCACGTTGCTGCAAAGTCATGGTAAACTCGTCCAAGCCACGCTCGGTTTCATAGACAAAGATACTTGGACGGATCTTGCGCAAGACAACCTGGAAGAACTGATCGTGGAAGCAAACAAAGACAGTGCGAAGGATGTCGAAAGCATCGACAACCTTTAAACAACTCTCGCGAAGGCGACGCAGGTCCAACGGCCCATTGCCTTCCAGGAAGAAGTAGTTCAGCATCCATCTTGACTTGAACAAGGTTGCAGTCAGGGACATGGCCTGGAAGTCCGTAACCGGCAGGACATCCGCGATGCCACCCTTGAAAACCCCGATCTTGGGGCAAATGCCGCTTTGCAATGAAGCATCATCCATTGCCTTGGTAGGCCGCAGAACGGAAACGCTCTCAGAAGAGGGAGTGGGTGCAAGTGTTGTCGGATTGCTATCCGGAAACACTTCCGCTTCCTTCTGGGCGGACTGAAGCTCGACATTCAGTATCTGCTGCGTCATGTTGGCCGCCCGGACAGTGGCAAGCATGTCTTCGAAAACAGGGTTGTTGAAGACATCTGCAACAGTAAGTACCAAGCCCTCCTCCCGAGCAGCACTGACCATCTTCATGGCAGTGATGCTGTCGCCTCCTAACTTGAAGAAGCTGTCCTGGTGTCTAACAACATTGGGCGAAATACCCAGTGCAGTACTCCAAAGATTCCAAAGCTTCCTCTCCACGTCCGCATATACACCCTCTTCACTGCAACGCGAGGTTGCTGAGCAAACTCCCGAATCGTCTGCTCCCAAATTTCCATCCAATGGGTACGGCGAATCCACGCCATCCTCAGTATTACCATATCCAGATAAGCCACTGCTTCGGGCATGAGGAACCATTAGCTTTCCGTCTCTTAACATTTGGCTGATGATCTCATGAACACGATCATCGATCATCTTTTGGATGGAGGCACCATTGATGCCGTCCAAATCATTCTTCACGATGTCGGTATTGATTGTCAGCTGAGGCTCTTCCGCGGGCTTGCTGCCAAGCTGGAACGCCGTGACTGTGGAATCCGGCGACTCGATGAAGCTGTTGAACACCTTGGCGATTGTGTCCACTAGGTTTTGGGCTTGGTCATCCGAGACCACATCACTCCAGTATCGCAACATAATGCCTTCACTGCCACGAGAAATATCCACGTTGACAGTTATAGCGTACTAAAACGCGTTAGATACAAAGCGGGTGAAAATAAGGGAGGTTAGACTTACCTCACTAGGATCGTGAGCATGCTGGAGGTCAAAAGATAGACCCTTTTCCTGGGTACCGCCAGCGACGGTATGGTTCTGGATGGACAGAGTCGTGTTGAAAAGTGCCTGGCCCTTGTTGCCGAGTTCATGCTGAATTGTTGCGAGAGAGCAGCTCTGGTGTGGAATGCTGCGGATGTAATCGGCATTTACATTCTTCGAGATTTGAGCCAAAGTTTGCTGAGCAGTGAATTGGACACGGCAGCAGAGCATGTTGATAAAAATTCCGACCATGTCTTGAATGCCGTCTACAGGGGCATCCCGTCCAGCGGAAAGATAGCCAAAGCAGACATCATCCGACTTGGTAATTTGCTTAAGGACGATGGCCCAAGCAGACAATGTGAGGTTGGCGAGAGTGACAGAGGCAGACTCGCAGAAGTTGAGAAGTTCAGGGAAGCGATGGAAATTCATGAGAATACCCTTCAGCTCTCGCTTGCTCTGTAGCCCTTGAGGGGGGAAACGTGGCAAGGCTTGACGCCACCAAGGTAATTCTTCCAGTGTTCGATTGCATCTGCTTGGGACTGCGTTCGGATGAACTTGATGTAGTCACTGAATCGCGGACCGGGTCCATCAGGTAGCTTGCGGTCATATGCCGAATTCAGATCGCGGAGGAGAACATCAACACCGCCGCCATCGATGATGGCGTGGTTGATCTCAAGTTTGATAATGACCCGGCCAGTATTAGTCTTGCAGATAGTTAACTGGTTGGAAAGTTTCTGCTGGCGCATAGCGTTCAAGTCGCGCAGGGAGATCGCGTCGAGCTTCTCTTGTACCTGGGAGTCAGGGCACTCCACACGCAGGACATTGTTAGAGACACGCTTGAAAATCAGTTGGTCAAAAGAGCCACCGCTGTAGTTACTGTCAATAAAGACAGTCCGAAGGACTGGATGACGATGCACAAGGTGTTCCCATGCACGGGCGAGCCTTTCCGCATCAACTTTGCCAGTGCGAGCATCTTTGACCTCGAAAATGGTATGGAACATGTAAGCACTGGGATCCCGAAGCTGACTGAGGAGCAGCCCCTCCTGCATCGGAGAACAGGGATAAATATCTTCAACTTCATTCTTATTGCGGATGCCGAGTCTGCGGAAAGTGTTGTTGGCGAGGAGTTGAAGACCGTGGTAGTTGAGCGGCAGAAGAGGGTAGTCGCTAAGTGTTGGCTCCGGAGATGCGTTGTTCAGAGCGAGTATCTCCTTCTCCAATGTATGCTTGCATTGCACGATCCAGGAGCGGATTTGGCTGACACGTTGCATGTTTCTATTGTAAGTGAACGCAACAGTAAGACGTTCCTTGAGAACAATAGCCGACACTTCGAAGAGGGCGAAACGAACGGTCTCTGGACCCATGTCACCTGCGATAGCGAAGTCTGAACTGTCGAAAACACTTCCTTGATGCTGGAAGAGAGAATCAGGTCTTTCAAGCTGTTGAAGCCTACCAAGGTAATTGAACAAGATCTCGAGGGGGACTTGGAAGCCTTTCCCATCATCCTCGAGGAGGCTTTTGGCGAAGAAAGGTCGCCCATTGTCAGCGATTTGGCGGCGAGTATCCTTGACGCGCTTAATGATATCCACGAAGGAGCCTGAATCGGTGTTAGAACCTCGTTGAACTGGAATAAAAGAAAACTTACCATTTTCACCATCAACAAAGAGGGGCGCCATTGTTGTAAACCAACCAACAGTGCGCGAAAGATCGAGACTAGCGTCCCACGCCTCACGGCCGTGGCCCTCATTGTAGATGGTCGGCATTTTCCGGTCAGTGAAGACGCGCCGGAAAGAGTGGGCGATAGCAGCGAGCAAGATATCAACGGTGTCGGTGCCGAAGGCTTCATGGCAGCCCTCTAGAACAAATTGCGTAGACTTTTCACTAAGACTGAAAGACTCCATCTTGATATCACCATAGTGATTGGAGACATCGTTCATACCCCAGTAGCTCAAGTCAGATTGCCCAGGTACGAAAGGTAGAGTGAGATTTGAATCGTGCGTTTTGACTCTCTCCACTTGCATAGAGCACCAGCTTTGGAAGGATAGGGCCTTCTCATCGGATAAAGAGCCAGAAACAACAAGCTCTTCCAGATCGGCTAAAACAATGCGCCAGGACACCATGTCAACGCACAAATGATGAGCGACCAAGAAAAGGACTTGTCCGCCAGCGCGCAGGTCGAACAGATCACCTGCGAAAATGGGACCATCTTGGGGGTCAAGACAGGATTGGGTCTCAGCGATCCTGGGGACCATCGCCCGGGTGTCATTGACCGAGTGCACGCGGAATCGGTACGATTCATCAATTTCCTGTTGAATGATGTTAGTTATGATTAAGGGCACAGAGTCAGGAGACATACCACCGCAGTCTTTTGCTGCCAAATGCCGCCGGAGGCCTTAGTAAAACGAGCACGGAACATCGGGTGTTGACTGGTGACCGTCTTCATGGCCCGGCGAAGCACCTCGGGCTCAACCCTGCGCGAGATTCTCACAGTAATGCTTTGGTTGAACCGGGAGTCTCCCTTAAAGGAACTGCTCGAATCCATGTAGAGCTTCTGAACAGGGGAGAGAGCGAAGCCCTCTCCAGATTTCTCTTCACAGCGAGTAGTGACAGGAGCATTGAGCTTGACAGATTGCGCAAGTTCTTTGATACTTCCACTCTGGAGAATGGCGTTAAGAGTCAAACGGATACCCTGCCTACGAGCCCGGGAAATCACCGCCATGCCTGTAATGCTGTCGCCGCCTAGTTGTGTCTGTTAGTATGACCTCAGTTTGGAATAAGAACGGGTCGGATTGAGAACTCACCCAGGCTGACGAAAGATCGGTCAATGTTGACCTTCTGGATAGAGATGTTCAGAACTTGGGAGAATATTTCCCGCAGAACCTTCAGGGATCCATCCTGCTCTGGTTCCTTTACTTTCGCGGTAGGCCCTCGTTTCATCTGATCAAAGTCCTGCATGATGCGCTCATAGGACTCATCATCAATGTTCTCAATCCACGCGGAGATCTTCTTCCGGTCCAATTTACCAGAAACAAGCATGGGGAGCTTTTTGATCAAGGCCCATGTTTGAGGAACCATGTAGACAGGGAGCTGAGCCTCAATTGCTTTTTGCACTTGAATAAGATCTTGAAGACCAATCTGTTCAAATTGAGCCTCATCGATGAGCTCACAAGCCTTGTCAGAGATCAGCTTGTTGTCCGCCGGGATTTTATTGAGAGACATAACTGTCACCAATCGCTGCTTAAGCGGCCCAGTCTTGGGCAGGATCACAACGCCATGACGGACAAGTGGATTCTCATGAATACGATGCTCGATCTCGCCGAGCTCCATGCGCTGGCCATGAAGTTTAACCTGGTTATCCTTACGGTTGATGTAGGCGATAGATCCATCAGGATTGTAGTAGCAGAGGTCACCAGTCTTGTAGATTCGGCGTGGCGAAGGCAGGGATGATTTGAAATCCTTGATCCATGCGGGGTCTTGAACAAAGGCCTCGGCATTCTTCTCTGGGTTCTTTAGGTACTCCCGCGCGAGTGGAGTTCCCTCCAACGCAAGTTCGCCGACTGTGCCCAGTGGTGCGAGCCGATGATGATCATCGACGTCGACAATCCATGTTAATGTACTGGGAATACCATATCCGATTCGCGACGGATCCCGGTGAGAAGCGACATCGGTGTCAACAGTAGCAAAGACTACGGTTTCAGTAGGCCCATATCCGTTCATAAGCTTTACAGAATTGGCCCACTTTGTGATGACCTCTTGTGAACACTTTTCGCCACCAACGATAAGCAATTTCATGGAAGGGACGGTCGACGGCTCAATGATGCTAGCGATTGAGGGAGTCAGGAAAGCCCAGTTGACACTCATACGACGGATGGCACCTGCCACATCGTTCAGCCTCTCGTCCTCGCTGGGAACACAAATTGTGCCACCGCGCATGAGGATAGCAAGCGTCTCCATGATAGCAGCGTCGAATGTCAGGGAGGCGAACTGAAACACACGGGAAGTCGCGTCCATCAAGGTCATGGGAGCAAAAGCCATAATGCTACTGACAGCATTTCTGTGCTCGACAATAATGCCTTTGGCACGACCTGTGCTACCAGACGTGAACAACGCATATGCCATATTGGATGGGGTAACACGCGATTGGCTCTTGACGGAGGAGTGAAGTGACCCATAAGCTTTCAATGTCTCTTTGCTAATTGGGATGACGGTCTTGACTAGCTTGCTGTAGCGGTTCGTGTAGGCGGGTGTACAGAGAATCATGCTGGCCCCAACCTCTCCCAAAATCTCCTCGTGGCGTGAAACGGGGTGGTGAGGATCGAGAGGAACATAGGCACCACCAGCAATGAGAACACTGATAAGTGTTACCATAGCCCATGCTGACTTGTCCAGGCAAACAGGGACGAATACCTCAGGTCCAACACCACGAGAAACAAGATAATTGGCGAAAGAGGAAGCAAGGTACCAGAACTCTTGGTAGGAGAGTTCGCCGTCCCAGGCGCATACTGCAAGGGAATTTGGCGTTTGAAGAACCTTTTCATGAATGAAATCCTGGACACAGCGCTCAACGGTGAGGGGCTCACGCTTGTTCCAGTCAGCGATGACCGCTTTGTCCTCTGGGCTGATTGTCTCGATAGTGGAGACTTTCTCAACACTGCTCTTGGGAGTCATAACAAGTTGATTCAAGACATGGCAGAATTGCTCGACAAGCCGCTTGGCTTTCCAAGCATCAATGACGAGTTCGTCGTGGTGAGCGATCACGGAAATCTTGGACTTGGAGATTCCACATTCGACGACAAGAGGGTGGGTGAAGAAAGCCTCACTTGTCTCACGCTTCTCATCAATCCAAATGGATTCATCCAATTGACTTTCGGTCGGCTGAATGACGAGGAGATTCTGGAAATTGCAGCCAGCGGCGGTGTCATCGTTGAGTTGCCGAATGCGTTGGAGTCCAGAATGGAGATGGGGGATCATGTCAGTGGTAGATTCATGAATTCTATCCAAAAGCTTGACAATGGGCATATCATTCTCGACAAGCACACGTGTGGGCATGGTCGTTAAGACGGGTCCAGCAATATCTCCGACTCCAGGCAAGTCAATGTTGCGTCCAGAAAGCGTCTCCCCAAAGCAAACGTCTCCGGAAGCAGTGTGGGTGGCAATGACGATTGCCCAAGCGGCGCGGAGTAAAACAGGGAGTGTGAAGTCCACACAGCTCGAATGACGAGAGAACTCGAGGCTGTGATACTGAGTGTTACCAGCACGGATGGCATCCGGAACAGCATTCTTATTGTGTGGGAACGCAGGGCTTGAGATGCCGGCCAAGTAAGTCTTCCAGAAAGCATCGGACTCCTCCATGTTTCTCTTCGTAAGGTATTCAATGAACAGACCATATGGCGTGGCAGACTGTTTTGTTTGAGAAGCGTTATAGTTTTCTTCCAACCTGCGGTAGACAAGAGGGATACTCCATCCATCGTACAACGCATGGTGAACAGACCAGACGAAATAACGTATAGATGAGTCGCGCGGTTGAACGATCGCGTATCCTGTCATGGCGCCACCGTTGCACTTTGGTAGCTCAATGAAGTCCGAAGGAAGTTGGGCGAATGACTCTGCATGGACCCAGGAAATGGGCTCATGCTTGAGCACAGCCTGGGCAAAATTCATTGCTTCGGTATGGATCAGACGAGTCCTGAGAATTTCCAGGTCAGCAACCGTTTGTTCCCAAGCAGCCTTGAACTGATTAAGATCAGCTCCATCAGCGAGACGGAACGCCGGCTGAGCCACATAAGCACCATTTTGCTTCATAGACAATGTTAAGAGACCTTCTTGAACAGGGCTGCATGGGTACACATCAACGATAGCACTCTTGGTAACCTCACAGCTCTCGCTAACCTCGTCCAGCAGAGCTTCGAAGTCAATCCCAGAAGGTAAGAGTGAAAATGGCTCAGTCCTAGTCTTCTTTGGCCCCGGTGAAACAGAGGCGGAGAGAGTCTTCGCCATGTCAGCGAGAACTGGGGTTTTGAAAATGGCTGCAACAGTAAGAGAAATTCCTTGAGCTTCTGCAGCCCCAACAAGATTCATGGCAGAGAATGAATCACCTCCAAGGCCAAAGAAACTGTCCTCGTTCGTGACGGAGCCAGCGTCTAGGTCGAGGGTTTTCTCCCAGAGGGCCCGGAGCTGTGCTTCGATACCATCATCTGAAACTTCCCCTGATCTTTCGGCATTATTGAAGGTGATGTAAGACTTCAGGGTTTCCTTCGATAGAGTTTGAACCATAGCACGAAGGCGCCTACGATCAATTTTGCCGGATGATGTGAAAGGTAGATTATGCAACGGAAAGAACAAACGAGGCATCATGCTTTGCGGCAAGTAATCGGGCAAAGAAGACTTCAGACGGACGACTGCATCCATGTTGGCGACAGAAATGGGCATCAAAAGAGGATCAGCACCAGGAACCGCAGGCGCGAATTGATCATTGGTGCCACCTTGCTCTAAATGCCCGTCATGAACAGTGAAGAACACTGCGAGACCCTTAGCCACAGTCTTTTCTTGAGGGACAACGACATCAACTGCCACCTGAGAATCTTCAGGGAGGCATCGAAGGCACTGGTGTTCAATCTCCTCAAGTTCGATGCGCTGACCATTGAATTTGATCTGCGTATCTTTGCGAGAAATGAACGCCAGAGTGCCATCACTGTTGTACCGAACAAGATCGCCAGTGCGGTACATCCGCTCGTCCCTCTTGAAAATTCCGTGGAGCCCAGGATGGTGGCTCCAAGCAGGGTCCTCGACAAATGCAGCCTTGGTCTTCTCGGGATTTCCAAGGTATCCCCGGGCAATGTTGCTTCCCTCGAGTACCATTTCTCCCACAGCCCCCACGGGAAGAAGGCGGTTGTAGTCATTAGGATCAACAATCCAGACTCTGCAGTTCGCTGCGACCCCAATGGATGTGGGGTCATCATTGACCCGGTTGCCATCCCAGTCGACCTTAACGCCGACAGTAGCAACAACAGTCGCCTCCGATGGCCCATAAGCATTAATGACGAAGCGATCGTGCCAACGATCGATATGGTTTGCCGGCATCTTCTCACCACCAGTAATAATGGTCTTCAGAGTCGGAACAGTCTTAGGTTCGAGAGTGTTGACAATTGCGGGAGGAGCTGACATGTAGTTTGCTTCCATTCGGCGGATGGCGCCTACAAGATTGTTCATTCTCTCTTCTTCACTGGGAACACAGACACAACCTCCATTCATCAATGTCATCATAATCTCCAGAACACTGACATCGAAGGTGTAGTTCGAGAATTGTAATGCACGAGTGCCAGAATTCATGTGCAAGGCATCAGTCATGGCCACGGCAGTTGTACTGAGGGCAACGTGCTCGACGACGGTCGCCTTGGGCTTGCCAGTAGTACCTGAGGTGAAAATAGCATATGCAGCATTTTCATAGCTTGGACGGTTCCCAGGCAATGCCAGAGGGGAATCAGGGAGCTGGGAGATGCTAGTTTGGCACACAGAGAAAGCCTTTTTGCAAAGTTTGGCCATCTTGATGTTGAGAGAAGATGAGCACAAGACCAGCTCAGTACCAATTTCATCAATCAGCATTTTCAGTCTAGAATCAGGATGAGAAGGATCGATCGAAACAAATGCACCGCCAGCCTTCAGGACAGCCAATTGCGCGACGATCGCCCAGGCAGACTTTTCAAAACAGAGGACAACGAACACTTCCGGCTTGACGCCAAGTGACGTAAGGTAGCGAGCGAGTCGGCTTGAAACAATTTCGAGCTGACCGTACGTGAAGTTCTTGTCCCAAGAGCAAATGGCCTCTGCTCTTGGGTGAAGCAATGCTTGTTGTTGAATGAGCTCATCGGCGCATTTCTCAAACCGAGGGGGGCATAGAAGCATTCCAGTCACGTAGCTGGCGGCATGATCGCTGGGGAAGGAGATCTATGTCGCCAATCCTGCGCTTTCGTGGGTCGGATGAAATGATATCATTCAAAATATGATCAAATGTATCAATCACATGGGAAACTTGCGTGGAAGTAAGAAGATCAGTCGAGTAGCTAAACAGAATCTCCGCGACCGAAGAAGAGACTTGGGCTGTGAGTGCGATTCCGTATGTCTTCGAGAAACACGCATCACGGCTTCTTCGCTGGGGCAGAGAAGATGATTTGCGGAAGGTGAGGACGGTGTTAAAGATCTCCGTATCATCTAAGCCAAGGTGATGCTTGACTGTAGTTTGTGGCGCAAAATGCTCAGTGCCTTTCTCAAGGTCGCATTTGCATTGCTGAAGAACCTCGTCCATTTTCCGATCGTTGTTCAACAAAGCCCGGAAGATGGAAACGGAGGCCAGGTCATCGGTTTCAGCGGTAGAATATCCAAAACAGACATCGTCATTGCCAGTGTAGCATCGCAGGACCAAACCCCAGGCCACTTGAAAGAGGATCTCAACAGGCACTCTTGCCATCCTGCTGAAAGCGTGCAGCTGCTGCGTTTGCTTGTTCAGGGTCCGCGACGAGCGACGTTTATCCTTTGGCTCGAGCGACAAGGCAGGGAAGCTACATGGCTCGATGTCACCCAAATACTCCTTCCAAAAGGAAATACTGTTGTGGGACAGAGATTGGCCAGAAGACCGCTTCGAGGTTTTCGATCCGACCCAGTGTTTGATGTCGAATGATTCCAACGCATCTGGAGCGAGGCTTTGAACCTCGGAGATGAGGCTCCTGTAGTTAGTCTTACCGAAAGAGTTTAGGGGGAGAGAGGAAATGGGAATGTAGAAGCTCGGAACCTTGCTGGCAACCATGACGGTCCCTAAATATGTGTGCAATGCGGGGACAACATTGTTCAGTTGACCTCCCGATTTCAGAATCACTGGCTCAGAATCTGTAGATATGGATCTATCACCAGGGCACAAGAATGCAGCAATAGTCTTGCCTGTCGTACCAGGAAATTGGATGGAGTGCACAATGGAGTGATAGTTTTGGCCCAAGTGAGCATTAATGTGATGGGCGACGCTTAGGCTGTCCGATTGGCTGAATGACCCAACGGTCTCATCAATGCGGTCTACAAAGACAACAGACCCATCTGAGTTGTATCGAACAAGGTCTCCTGTCTTAAAGAAGAGGCGCGACTGATGCGAGTCAATCGAGCTGTCCGACATGGCCGTCAGCCAAGAGGGCCTCTGGAAGAAATGTTCATCGCTAAGGTTTTCCTGACCCAGATAGGCCGATGCGACGAGCGGCCCCTCGAGAACCAATTCACCAACAGCGCCAATAGGAACCAATGAATTGTGGTTGCAGGGGTCAACAACCCAAGCCACACAGGACACAGGAGTCCCAATGCTGAATTGGCGGATCTGCCGCGCAGAGCTGGCGCGGAAAGAAACCGAGGATGACTCTGCAGTTCCATAGAATGCATGGAGTGACTTGCCGTCCATTTCCCACTTGGCGAGGCATCCGGCTTCGATTCCTTCCCCATAAATAGCCACGGTTTTCAATCCTAGAACATCATTTGGGTCGATGAACTGGGCCACAGATGGCGTGAAGCAAGCAATGTTGGCATTCAGGAGGTTGATCGAGGATACCACACGACTGGGCGATACCGTTTGGGGCACACACACAGAGCCTGCATGCATGAGAGTACCAAATGTCTCTAGCAGGAAGATGTCGCTAGTGGAAGACCCAAGCTGCATCACCTTAGATGAGTCAGAAATCCCAAGGGATGTAGCAAAGCCTGCTGATCGTGTGAAGAGAGTAGAGTGATCTAGCACAACGCCACGAGCCCGCTGTGACGTCCCAGCTGTGAAAACCACATATGCAGGATCGGTAGGTGAAGCGGACGACGAGAGGGGTTCATCATTGAGGTACTCCAGAAGTGACTCGGTAACTGGGATGACATAGGGGATGGTATCTTCAAGGAGCTGGGCCTTTTCAGGTGATGCCAAAGCAACTTGCACGGCATTTTCAACGGCCCATTTTTGGACAAGCTCCATTGTAGCGCTGTTGTCGACAGGAATACAGCCTCCGCCAGCCTTCATTACCGCCAGAATGGAAACAATGTTCCAAATGGAGTTCTCGAAGGAAGTTGGGATAAGAGTACCCGGACCAACTCCAAATGTAACAAGGTAACTCGCGAGGCGAGAGGAATATTGGTCGAGCTTGGAGTAAGTCAAGCGTGTATCCTCGGATACTATGGCCAGAGCATCGGGGTTGTCGCTGCAAACCTGTTGCACAACTTGTTGAACACATTTGGTAATGCGCTGTGGGACTTGACGATTCCACGCTGAAATCAAGCTCTTGTTTTCCTCGCATATTGTTTCAATCTCACGCAGCTGACAATCCATCTGTGTCATTATGTTATGGAGACACTCGACATAGGTATTGGCAACATTAGCAGCTTGGGCGTCGGAAAGATGGGTAGTCCAGTAATTGAGGTCAATACGAGCTCTGGAGTCCATAGCCTCAATGTTGATGAAGACAGGGAATTCGGCCGGATCGTGGATGGAGCCAACTTCGACACATTCGATATCACTGCTCACTCCATCCTTCGCGCCAGGGAGGCGGCGGTATGATACACCCGTGTTGAAAAGGTTTGTATCGGAAAGCTTGAGCGCATGTTGAATGTCGATGAGGGAAGTGTGTCTATAGGGAAGGCTCTCCATGTAATCATCCTGAATCTCCTTCAACACGTCCGAAAGAACCCATTGTCCAGTCATCCTCATCCGGCAAACCATCAAGTTAATGACAGGCCCAAGGACCGATTGAACGCCATCGGCAGGAACATCACGCAGTGACGCCATGTAGCTAAAGCTTACATCGTCAGATCCACAGAAAAGCCGCAGTGTCAAGCCCCATGCTGCATTGAACACATTTGACAATGTGATTCCCTTCTTCTCACACGCCTTCTGCAACTCTGGCAGGGAATTAAAGTTGACAGGGAGAGATCGCAAGCTCTTCTCCACAACTTCCTCTCCATCTGTTAAAACAGGGAACAAGCAGGGCTTTGCATCTTCCAAGTACGAGTTCCAGTACTTCATGCTGGCCTTCTGAGGCGCACTCTGGAGGAATTGAATGTAGTCCTTGAACAGAGGTCTGCGGCTTTCCTCCAGACGACCAACATATGCGAGCTGCAGATCACGGAGAATAATGGAGATAGAATTTCCATCCATTGCAGCGTGGCTGAGCTCCAAGCGGCAGAATAGCCGGTTGGTAGATGTCTGACAAATGCTGAACCTATATGCTGGGCCAATTTCACGGTAGTTCTTGGGCTCTTGTGCGTCGAAAGTAGCCAAGACATCGCTGTCTCCTGAGGAATGAAGCAACACCGGCGATGCTTCGTACTCCTTGAGCACGATCTGACAGAATGGATCGCGAGGGGTCAGATTTTCAACAAAGATGGTACGGAACATAGCGTGGTGCGCCACAACCTGTTTCCAGGCCCCCATGAGTCGATCCAGGTTCGGGGCTGTTGCGCCAGTCCCACGCACCTCAAATGTATCATGCACAGCATAGTAGGAGGCATCTTTCGTCTGGCCTAGTAAGATACCCTGTTGCATGCGCGAGCACGGAAAGATGTCTTCGACAAGATCTGGTGATTTGATACCAAGGGCGGGTAGCTTCTGGTGAAGCATTCTCTCCATGCTATCGTACTCCAAGGATAGCATTGGGAAGGAACTCAAGGTAAAGCGAGGAGCCATCGTTGTCAGTTGCTCTGAGAGTCTGATGAGCTGCGCGTGACAGTTAGAGACCCAAGTGTGAATGCGATCTTGGTGCTGCATGAACTTGTTGAAGGAAAAGGTGAACCTAATCTTGCCAGCAACCACCATGGCGGAGATCTCGAATAGACCAAAACGCGGCGTGTCACGACCAAAGTCAGCAGCTTCGCTACCCTGGCCAGTCTCACCGGCCATTTGATCGACCAGCTGGAACAGACCATCGTGCCTTTGTAGATCACGGTGCTGACCGACGTAGTTGAATGAAATTTCGAATGGGTGTGGGTGGATGGTGTCTTTCAAATCACCAACTTGTAAAACCCGACTCGCAAAATCAGCACGTCCATTATCAGACACTTGGCGGCGCAAATCCTTGACCTTGATCAACGTATCCAGAGGATCTTGTGGCTTGAAATTGTTCACAAGGATTGGGTGCAAGATGGTGAACCACCCGACGGTGTGCGATATGTCAATAGAAGGATCCCATACCTCTCGTCCGTGGCCCTCATTGTAGATGACTGGCAGAGGTCGATCCGTGAAAGAATTTCCGAAGGAATGTAGCATAGACGCAAGGAAAAGGTCGATTGGCTCAGTATCAAGTGCCTTGTGGCATTGAAGAAGAATCGAATCGGAGTGAGCAGAATTGATCTCGAAAGTCGCACAGTCAACATCACCGTAAGTGGTTTCGTTGTTGTTCAGGCCCCAGTAAGAGAATTCAATTGGTGGAAGGGACGTCTTCGGAGTCCTCTCCTCCAAAGCCAGATTCTCGCAGTGTTCGCTCTGGAGGCGGCACCAGGTTTGAAATGGTAGTGAGGCGCTTTCGAAGTCTGACTTATCCGGATTGGCGATGAATTCTTCCAAGTCTTCAAGGATAATTTTCCATGACACGATATCAACCACCAAATGATGCGCTGTCATTGACAACACATGGGGCTGGGTCTTGTCGTGGAAACGGAAGTAGTCAACTGCAAGCAATGGACCCGAAAAGCAATTGATCGACGACTGGCTGATTCCGATGTGTTTCTTTGTCTCATCCATGTCGCCCACAGTGTGAAAGCCCCACCTGTAAGACCCCTTGATATCATTCGTAATGCGTTGCGCAGATGCTGTCGCATTTCCAGCGTGGTCAAATCGCGCGCGCAGCATAGAGTGCCGAGACACAAGGGTTTCGATGGCCTTGTTCATTGAAGCCTCATCGATCGGCTTGCTCAGTCTGGTCAGAATCCCTTGATTAAAGTGTCCCTGCCCTTCTTTACGCAAGCCGAAGTGCAGCACTTGAATTGGGGAAAGACCAAATGGCTCGTTCACGGCTTCCTGGTATGAGGTCTGATGATCGATCGCTTTAGCGCGAGTAGCTAAGTCACGGATCGATTTGCTCCGAAGCACATCTTGAACTGAAAGCGCGATTCCTTGCTTCTTGCACAGGCCAATACAAGTCATCGCAGCAATTGAATCACCACCCAAGCTCAAGAAGCTCTCTTCCAAGCTAACGTGCGTTTGGGGGATGTTGAGAACACGGCTGTAAACAGCTACCAGAGCTTCTTCCGTCTCATTTGCAGGCTGAGGCATTTGAGCGTTTGCACCTACCTGTGCCCCAGCCAATGAGATGTCTGGATCGGCTTCCATATTCAAAACCCACAAGGCGATTCCTTTCCGGTCAAGCTTCCCAGAAGGCATAAGAGGTAATGATTCTACGCATAACCAAACTGCCGGTACCATGTAGGTTGGGAGCTTGCCAGCGAGGCGCTCTCGAATGCCAGGGATGAATCTCGCTTTCACAGAGGAAGACACAAGACGGAGTGGCTGCGGGTCTGCATCTGATTGTTGACCCAGGAGTCCTGCGCAGGAAAGCACGACGGCCAACCTTCCCTTCGAGAACCCTGACTTCGGGAACAACACCGAACAGTGCGTAACATCAGGGTCGCTACCCAATTGATTCTCAATTTCACCAAGCTCGATACGCTGGCCGTGGACCTTCACTTGCGTATCCTTCCGACCAATGTAATTGAGCGATCCTGTGTCGGAGTTGTACCTCACCAAATCCCCGGTCTTGTAAAATCTGCGATTCATCCCCCCTGCAGGGTCAAGCTTTGTCCAGAGCGGGTCGTAGATAAATGACTCGTTCGTCTTCTCTGGGTTGTTGACATAGCACCGGGCGAGCGTCGGGCCTTCAAGAAGTAGTTCACCTGGGCAACCCACGGGCACGAGCTCATCGTGGTTTTCCGGATTGACTACCCAGACTCTGACGCCAACCGGGAGACCAATATCCTTACAATCGGTGTCTGGTGTGACACCGGTGTTGATCACCGACGCGACACTGGCCTCGGTAGGGCCGTATCCATTAACCAGTTGAATTTTAGACCAAGTCGCCAGTTGTGACTGCGACATTGCTTCTCCAGCCAAAATAACAGTCTTCAAGTTGGGGACACTATCAATATCGACAAACCCAATGAAGGACGGCGTGAAGCAGGCCTGCGTTACCGCCATACTATTGATTACTCCGACAATGTCGTTGAGACGATCCCCATCACTAGGAATGCAGACACAACCTCCATGAATAAGCGGCGTTAATGACTCTGCCAAGCTGGCGTCAAATGTGTGAGCTGCAAACTGCAGCGCGCGAGTTCCGCGAAACAACCCCAGGGCAGGGCCATGGGCCATGGCGCTGGACAGGAACGCCCGATGCTCCAGTAAGGTACCCTGTTCGAAATGTCAGAATCCACAATTTAGGGTTCGGCCGAGCATTCAGAACTCACCTTGGGCTCGCCGGTCGACCCGGAGGTAAATAGAACATATGCGGCATTCTGGCTGGTCACACCCGATGCAAGGTCCACGCTCTCAGCGGGATCAGGTAAGCCGGCTAGTGTCTCCTCGCACAAGGGAATCACGGTGCTCGCGATCGACCTCAGCGTCTCCGTGCGAGCCTGAGAGCATAGAACCACGGGCGCCTTGACGGACTCGATCAGGCGTTGCAGGCGCGAGGTGGGGTGTGTCGGGTCCATTGGCACAAACGCGCCTCCCGCCTTCATGACGCCAAGCATTGCAACGATGTTCCATTTCTGCAGCTGGTCAGCACGACCGTCCAAATGCGAATTCACGGGAGAAGAAACTTACTGATTTGTCAAAGCAAAGCGCCACGCGCACTTCAGGGCCGACACCCTGCATGCGAAGATGACAGGCGACCTTCGACGCCAACCGGTCCAGCTCGCCATATGATAATCTTCCGTCCCAGGCGCAAACAGCTTCGCGATCTTCGCCGCTACGAGCCTGCTCCTCAATTGCTTCGTGAATGCACCGGTCATATAGCTTGGGGCTGTGGGAGTTCCATTTCTGAATGCGCGCCCAGTCATTCTCCGAGAACAAATTAAGCTGGCTAATAGCGACGTTCTCGGTGGAAAGCACTCGGGCGAGCATACGGTCCAAGATGCTGGCGACGCTCTTCATCTGTTCTCCAGACATGTCTCCATTACGCCATTCCAAGAATATGTTAATGTCGCGGCGCAGCACCTTGACATGGACGCGAACTTGACACTGGTTCCAGATTAGGATGGATCGGGTGCTTCATTTTAAATTTTCTTCACTACATACCTGGTCCGGTAGGGCAGCTGCCAAAAAGGGCTTTGAGGGTGATGATGGGGTATCAGACGCCTTTCGGTATGTACGCAGCATCAAGATGGTGTTGAAAGACTGGTAGGCATCGGGAGCATCCGCCGCGCCGCCGCGCCCACTGGGCTGTGGACTCGACCCATTGTTCTTCCACACTTTATCTACAATAGCCTGGATGGTGTCGGATTCTTCGATAGATAGTCGTAAAGCGGCAATGTCGGAGCTCGAGTTCTGTACATGGTCGTGAGTGGGGGCACAGTCGCCGTCGATGTGTTGATAGCCAAAACAAATGTCTTCGGTTCGGAGGTAGTAATGCAAAACCAAGGCCCATGTGGTCTGCAATACCGAGTTCAGGCGTCCTTCGTGCCATGCGGTTAATAACTGCGCGTGTTGCGAAGGAGTCGGTTTGATCTTCATCGAAACCGGGCGTTTAGGGCCATCGACCGCGGTGGCGAAGCGCGGGAGGTAGCATTGCGAAGATTGGGCCATGTTTTCTCGGTAATGTGATAAGGTGTTCACGGTCGTTTCTCTTCTAGTAGCGAGTGAAAAGGTGACTTTGTTCAGAATAAAACGAGTGGCGAGCGTGAGTATTCTTGTGTGAGACCCTGAATTAGATTGGATATGAGTAAATTAGATCCAAAGAATAAGATTAGATTCACACAGGAACGCCCGCGAAGTCGGATGTCTTTCAAGATTTTAAAAGAGAAGTAGTTTTTATTTGTCTCAGCCCAAGGGAACCAAAATAGTTACGCCATGGGTCATCGGCACTAGATGCTGCATGGCCATGCTCCAGCTCGTTCACGAACATCGATGTACGGATCTAATACGGTATTACAACGAATGACCAATGACACCGCTAGGGCGAGCTGATCCGTTCAGGATGCCCCTGTAACTACCTTGCATGAATTCGGATCTAGATGAAGAAGGGTTGGAGACGCCACGCCGCATGAGGGCCCAGTGCGCTCCCTAGTGGATCACTCTTGTTAGCCCCTGTGGAACCGAGTCAGACACCCCAGGACGTATTCTGCATTCTCCGAATTCAGGCTTGTCTCGGGCTCGATGCTCACCTTCTAGAAGAAGGATTAGCGTGGAGAAGATCCAATCTGGTCCCGAATCCTAGTTGGACCCCATTGTCGGAGGCAAAACGCAAAAGGACGGGAAAAAAGAAAAAATGCTCCAATTTCTACCACTTTTACCGAATGGCGTCGCTGTTTCCTTGATATTTTTTTCTCACTACCATTCTGGCAAGGGCTCATGCTCATTCTACTAGTATCTGGGTCATCATCCTACCTTGCTGATAGGCAGCGCTCCATTAATTACCCAAAGCTGGCTTGGTAATACTGAGTTAATCATTTCTATGTCATACATTTGGTCAACTCGATCCACTCACAATTTCCCGATTGAGCTCCCCCTGCGCTGCGGTCTCGAACGTGGTTCAGCAAGGTCGACGCCAGGCTGTCAAAAGCCGTGGGGGTTCTCATCTGGCCTTGCGCCACCTGTTCATGTCAAGAGGCGCGGGATTTTTCCACATTCCTGCTTACACTTTCTTCTGGCAGGTTTCCCTGGTCAGCAGACTATTCGCCTGTGTCAAACACAATCAGATGACGACTTCGCGTCCGGAGCTCGCATACGGTGTCATAGAGAACAGGCACAGGCCGACCTGATGATTAGTCTCTGTCCGAATATAGGACGAAAAAAGAAAGGGAAAAAAAAAAATTTCTGCCCGGAAAATTCCAGACCTGGGGCCCTTAGTTATGCATACATTGGCCCATGTCCAACCCACTGGACTTTTTGATGCGATTACATATCGTTACACCACCTGGATGTGCTCAAGATGCACACATGGCAAAGCTCCACCTAGTTCCAGCAATCTATTTTGCCCGGGGAAAGCAATTGGTGTCAGTGCGTGGTACCGAATTTCCATCAATGCTAGGGTTTGGACTTCCAGCAAGGTTCATCACGGCCCGGGAAGATCACCCAACGATTTGCCGTGCAGTTCGGAGGTCCACCGGAAGAAATTCATTAGCCGCTATTCCTTCCGGGTGATGAGATTAGTCCCCATCACTTCAGAGTTGTGTATTATTACCTTAGCAGCTTTTCGTAACTCGCTGCCCTCGTAATTTAATGTACCTGTCCTGGAATCAGGTAACGAGGGCCCCACTTGCAGCAGCTTCGAACGAACTTCTACTCTGTTGGGTTTGAAATGTTGCATTTCATTGATTTGGAATACGAGAACATAAACCATCTCCAATCAGAATACCATATAGGATATGCCAATGCAGCGGCCAATCTGCCGGGATCGCGGGGGCCGCTCAGATCTGCTCCTTGGGTGGACGACTCTGCGAAGAGCTAGTCGCAGGAACGGGCCTGTGGGCAAAATCAACCCCGATTCTATTATGATTTTCTAATATGATATGATTTCGAATCCTTCTCGAGGTACCGGATACCTGGCAGAGACCGGTGGAGATCGGGAGCTCCGGGTCACACATCCCAACGGACGATCCGAGAGCCAACGCTAGCGAACTAAATATGGTCGCTGCAAGGGCGTAGAGGGTTTGTTGCGGGTCGATCCGCCGAGCTCGATCGATTCATCGTTGGCGAGGTGACCGCCCTTGTTAGCGGGGGAGCTGTCACTTTTCGGTACCGTGGACTTTCCGTGACGGTTACGAAATTAGCGCCCGTGCCCTAAGCCCCTTCCTGCCCAGGTGACATATCAGAAAAACAGAGATCCATGCCTAGAACATCGCGCCGCACAAAGCCAATCGCCATGGTGGATCCTCGGCTACGCAGATATCATCTGTCCCTATACCGTGCATTTCTTCCTGCGGGACGGTCAAGCGTGGTTCAATTAGAAAAGAAGGAGGGGTGAAAGATTTGGAATCTCTCCGCCCATGTGGCTCGTATTACCCTAAGCGTGTGGAGTGGGCTGGAGATGATAATCGCATACCTTGTTTTCAATCGGATCCTTCGTGGATTCTCCCTTGAAAAGACCGGGAATCTGCATAGCAAAGAAACTGAACTGAGGCGTTCTGCCACTACTTGGGAATGGTAAATCCTGACGAGTGGTGGGGGCAAATTGGAGGCTTTAACCTTAGCCACTTAAATGGGGTAAGGCGTAGGTTTGCATTTTCTACCCCTGCCCGGGTGATAGTTCCGCCCAACCGGGGCGGAGGGCTTGCCGGGTGGGGGAGTATATTGGCTGAGCGATGAAGCTCCCGCCGCCAGGAATACGGGCTAAGTTTACCAATGGCCGTTGGCGCTGAGTTGTCATTGCCTCCTGAGGTTAAAGGCGCGAACAATTCATATTTTTTCCGACTTAGTTGCAACGTTGGGGGCTAATGGATGAACTCCACATCGTCATGGTCAGATCTTGGCCGTACTAGTGTTAGTACAACTACTTGTAGGAGCCTTGGCCCCACTCTCCGGGAGATCGGTACCTGAGATTTCATTTAGCGAGTTAGACTAGACCACCTTGGGCGGCTTTTTGTGATCGATATATATCTTGAGTGGGAATGCATATAATGGCTGCTGGACCGGACCCCTGGCGGCGCAGGGTGGATTCACAACACAACATTGGCAGAAAATTCTTGGAAATTCTAGTGGGACTTTCACACTAGTACCTTGGCCAAGTTTTCTGGGGTTCAGAAGTACGAAGCATACGGAGCTGCACCCACTTGGCCTTTGCCACTCAGTCATCGCCCACACTTTCCATTCCAAGGCTGGGATCATCCCAGTCACGCTGCATACATCCCGCTTACTGGGGTCCGTCGCTTGGGCTTTCGAATGTAGGTACGGCTCCACGAATTGTTTGGTGGAGAAACCAGTGTTCCGGGGGCTTGTGCAACTACTTGTGCGTGTCTTGCCATGTCAGTCGCAATGGCGACATGAACCAGGGTAATGCATCGTCAAACATTTCTGGTTTTGAATCCGGGCGCGCGTCGAGACTTGATCGGGTTATTTTCATTGGCCCAGACTATAACAAATAAGTATATGTGCTTTTCTTCATCGGGGAAATTCGGCCCCTAAAGATCTCAATGGCTCGGCGAAAGTACGGTTTAATGGGTGGATCTCGGGATGAGAAAGACAGAGCGAGAATATTGGAAGTCATGATGATGCGAGAAACGCAGGCCATCCTGAAATACGACGGTTTAGGATGCTAAAATACTACCGCTTTCCAAAGATAGACCATCACACCATGTGAACCAATGACAATATTTTCCTTGAAGCCACGAGGGCTGAGGCGGCGTGTCGAGGTTCAGGAAACGCCTGACACATAATTCGCATCGGCACTGAGTCTCTCGTTGCACAAAGACCCTTCTACCACAGTGAACGTCGTGTTATTATTTTTCGGTTGGGCTTGAGATTGGAGGACATGCGGTGAAGACCCATTCGTAGAATGTTTCCGCCTGCATGGGCTTGAATTTGGAGAGGGTCAACCGAAGGGCTCTTAGGGAGCAAGAAAGCTACATATAGTGCCTTTCTCCCTCGCATAAACATGGGTATATTACGTTTCCGGCAATACGGGTCTGACCTGGCTTGTCCGGTGTAAGTTTACACCGTAAATGGGGCCTCACATTCGTATTGGCCCAGGGGGAGGGTTTTCATGCAAGGCGCCACGTCTAATCCCTCGTGCCAGTCTGTAGATCTACCTGCTGCGTGGATCCCAAGGCTCTGTTTACCAGAAAATTTTTTCTGCCCTTACACTAGGGGTCGATACTTTATTGACAGACTAACATCCCCCACATCCCCAAGGGACGTCTATCGAAATTAGTCTAGCCCGTGTTGATTCACATAACAAGACTGTAAGATTAACCAAACTGAGACTAATGACAACATACTACGTAAAGAAAAATCGTAATAATCCCCGGTAAAGACGGCATGGGGTCGGATAGAAAATTCCCTCGCTAATAGAGTAGAAAAGCCACTGTCCAACAGCTTGGGCTAGTATAAGCGAGATCTCTATACACTGGCTACCAGGCAGCGTCCAGGATAGCGAGCTTACTAGGGTTGCATCAAAGTCCACTTGGTTGCAGGGACGGGAAACCACTGTCATAGGAGCATAGGGAGCCTCTCTCCTGGGCAAGTACTCAGCTCCTGCAGAGGGGTACGCAAATAGTAACCCCAAAGGACCTGTCTGATGCATCCAATCTAGACCCTTTACCAGCAGAGTGCGCCCCCCAATTCATAATTTATGATTCCTCCTAAATCTCCTCCCACCTGACACGACACTGGTGCGCATCTTGACTTATCTGTTACCCATCTTGCATTGTCCTTAGATGGTTTTTGAGAGCAGTCATGGTTCCCTCGAGCTCTTCAGGCCCGTCGTGCCATGATCTCGACAATTCCATGCATGCCTGGGCGGGTTCATGTCGCGGCGGCTTCGACTTTACCTTGTTGTTTGAAGAGACAATTCTTACCATCCTACCTATTTCACTAATCTTAATTCTTGTACCATGGCGCCTTTGGCAGTTAATGCAGCAAAACCACAAAGTCAATAGCTCGGTCCTTCTACCATTGAAGCTGGTGAGTAGCTCATATTTGGTTCCAAAAGCTCAACGGCTGTACAGCCGTTGAGTTTGAAAGCGATCTACTGATCACGATCTTCTGTCTTCTAGGCTGTTTGGGTATTTTACTTCGGCCTTCAGGTTGGCCAAACCGCCTTGTGGGCACTGCCCGCTGCGGATACGACGAAAGCTTCTGTTGGGACGAATGCTCTGTTGACATTTGGGACTCTCCTCCTGATCGCCCTCTCCTATGCGGAACATACGCGATCCGTTCGGCCGTCCTTCATCCTGAACGCCTACCTCCTGTGCAGTCTTCTCTTCGACATCGCGCGGGTGAGAACCCTATGGCTTCGGTCGATCAGCGCATACAACGATGTCATCGCCCTTGTCACGAGCATTGCACTGGGTTTCAAGGTCGCTCTTGTCATTCTGGAAGCTGTCGAAAAACGCCGGATTCTGCGCACCGAGTACGCCGGATATCCGCCCGAAGCGACCGCGGGATTATACAACCGATGTTTGTTCTGGTGGATGAACCCGATTTTCAAGCTGGGATTCAGCACGGCTCTTTCCATTGAAGACCTTTTTGTTCTAGACAATGAGCTCAGCTCTGAAAAGCTTCTTGCGGCATTCGAAGAGCGATGGTCGCAAGGTATGCATTCCCCCATTTGACTTTCGTACCCCGCGTGTTCCTGACTAACGGCAACTAACTTAGTGAAAGCCAAATCTCCAAACGCTTTGCTGTTTGAATGTTTCAAGGCAGCGAAGAGGCCACTTCTAGCCGCCCTTCCAGCTCGCGCTTGTGTCGTAGCTTTCAACGTCACGCAGCCATTGCTTCTTACAAGATCCCTGAACTTTTTCAATGAGCCGGTGAACAGCGCCACCACCAATGTCGGCTATGGGTTGATCGGTGCTTACGCCCTGGTTTACCTGGGCTTGGCGGTATGTATACCCGCGACATTAAGGCCAACGCTTGCTAACCTTATTTTTTTCTTTTTTTCCCCCAGGTCTCTATGGGGCAATACCAGCACATGACATACCGTGGTATCACCAAGACTCGAGGGATTCTTGTCACTATGCTCTATAAGAAAGCCACTTGTCTGGCTATGAGCAATGCCGACCCTGCCAACTCACTGACCCTGATGAGTGCCGATGTGGAGCGAATCACCCAGGGCTGGCAGACAATGAACGAAATCTGGGCCAACTCCGTGGAAATTGCATTGGCAATTTACCTCCTGGAGCGCCAGCTTGGAATTTCATGCGTGGTGCCAGTTTGCGTCGCATTATTTGCCCTGGTTGGCTCTCTGGTGGGGATGTCTTTCGTTGTCGGTCGACAAGCCAAGTGGCTCGAAGCTATTGAGCGCCGAATCTCAGCTACCTCGGGCATGCTCGGCTCCATCAAGGGAGTCAAGATGCTGGGACTGCAGAACTCTTTCATGAAATTTATTCATGGGTTGCGAATTGACGAGTTGAACATCTCCAAGAAGTTTCGTACCCTCTTGGTCTGGAATATGGCATTCGGTATGTTCAATGCAGCACTTTTTATTAATTTGATCTACTAACTTCATAGCTTGGTTGACACGAATCTTTGCACCCATCTTCACTTTTGGTGTATATGTGGCCATCTCAGACAATACCTTGACAGCTGCCCGCGTTTTCACTTCTCTCTCCCTCTTCTCCCTGCTCTCCGATCCCTTGTTGACTTTGGTCATGGCACTGATGTCGTTCGCCGGGTCAGTTGGCTCATTCGCCCGCATTCAGGAGTTCTTGGAGAAGGATGACCACAGCGACACCCGCCGCCACCTCCCACCTATGCCTTCGGTCGAAGATCTTAGCGAGAAAAAGCTGCTTTCCAAGTCTGATATCCCCAAAGCTGGCGAACTCGATGTGATGTCCAGTAGCTCCAGCTCAGTTGAGTCCTTCCGACGCTTTTCCACCTCTACCTTGGCAAATGCTATCATGATTCAGAATGGAACATTCAGCTGGGAGGATGGTAAGGAACCAGTCTTGAGGGACATCACTTTGACTGTTCCCCGTGGTAGCTTTACTATGCTCATTGGTCCTTCTGGCTGTGGGAAATCCTCTTTGCTTAAAGCTATTCTGGGAGAGATCCCTCCTTCGGATGGCAAAGTTGAGCTGCCGTCTGCCAGTGTTGCATTTTGCGATCAAACGGCATGGCACATGAACGGCACTATCAAGGACAGTATCGTGGCCATGTCGGACTACGACCCGCGGTGGTACGCAACGGTCGTTCAGGCTTGTGCCCTCGAGGAGGATCTTGGACAATTCCCGCGTGGCGACCGCAGTATCATCGGAAGCAAAGGTGTCGCTCTCAGTGGAGGCCAGAGCCAGCGCATTGTCAGTTGCCTTTTTTTTTTTCATATTTGTATTCGCTCCTTTCTTACTAACGATGAACAGGCCCTCGCCCGTGCTGTATATGCTCGCAGAAAAGTTATTATTCTTGACGACGCCCTGAGCGGACTTGATGCTACCACCGAGAACCACATTTTCCACAGCCTGTTCGGTCATATGGGTCTTCTCCGACAGGTTGGCACTTCCGTTATTGTCGCCTCTTCCTCAGTGAAACGTCTCCCCTTCTGTGACCACATCGTGGTTCTGAGCAATGACGGTCGCATCGTTGAGCAGGGCGGCTTTAGCGCCTTGAACAAAACCGGCGGCTACGTCTCGAGCTTTGGTCTTGGTGCTCCTGATTGGGATTATAAGCCAAAGCGGTTCTCCGATTCTCCTAGCTATAGCACTCTAGACTCCATCGAGAAAGAGAAAGAGTTTATTGACCCTGAGCCTGTGAAGCGGGATACTGGTGGGGATCTCTCCATCTACACGTACTATGTGAACGCTATCGGCTGGTTCCCTGCTCTGGTCTTCATTGTCGCTATGGCGGGATTCACCTTCTGCATTTCCTTCCCCAGCATTTGGTTGAAGTGGTGGGCCGCTTCAGATACTGCTCACCCCAAGGCACGCATCGGCCATTACCTCGGTATCTATGTGATGCTTGGTTGTGTCGCTATGATCACTTTGATCGTCGGCTGCTGGCAAATGATCATTACCATGGTCCCCAAGTCGGGAGAGAGCTTCCACCGCAGGCTTTTGAAGACTGTCTTGAGTGCCCCCATGGTTTTCTTTGCTGGTACGGACAGTGGCAATATCCTCAACCGATTCAGTCAGGACCTGCAGCTCATTGACATGGAACTCCCGATTGCTGCTATTAACACCGTTGCCACTCTCTTCCTTTGCATGGCCCAGATGGCTTTGATCGGAGTGGGTTCTAAATACGCCGCCATTTCCTTCCCCATTGTGCTGGGTCTTCTCTTCCTGATCCAGAAGCTTTACCTCCGCACTTCCCGCCAACTCCGTTACCTTGACCTTGAAGCCAAGGCTCCTTTGTTTTCCCACTTTACCGATTGCCTCCAGGGCCTGGTTACCTTGAGAGCGTTTGGCTGGCAACATGGTATGGAGAAGAAGAACATTGAGCTGCTCGATCTTTCACAACGACCCTTTTACTACATGTTCGCTATCCAGAGATGGCTCACGCTCTCTTTGGATCTGGTCGTCGCAGGAATTGCCATTCTTTTGATCGTCCTTGTAGTTGTTCTTCGAGGGAGTGGAGTCAACGCTGGCTCTATGGGAGTCGCCCTTCTCAACGTCATTCAGTTCAGCCAAGGCATCAAGCTTCTTGTTACTTTCTGGACCAACCTTGAAACCCACATTGGATCAATTCTCCGTGTGAAGGAGTTCACTACCACGGTTGAGTGCGAAGACAAGCCTGGAGAGGATGGTGAAATCCCTCCCAACTGGCCATCGGATGGAGCAGTCAGCTTCCATTCGGTCTCAGCAGCTTACAGGTATGAATCGTTCTTTGTGTCAAATGTCTCAACGCTAACGCTCTTCTACTCAGACCATCTGAGCCTGTATTGAAAGATGTCTCGCTGTCGGTGAAGTCCGGAGAGAAGCTTGGCATTTGCGGACGCACAGGAAGGTAAGAATAATGACACATGGGCCCCGTATTTAGAACATACTTGACTAACAACCATCAACAGCGGCAAAACTTCCATGGTCATGAGCATTTTCCGAATGATGGACTTGACTTCTGGCATAATCACCGTGGACGGTGTAGACATCGCCAGCCTACCCCGACGTGAGATTCGCGCCCGCATCAATGGCGTCTCGCAGGACTCCCTCCTGTTCAAAGGCACCGTGCGACTCAACGCAGACCCACTGGGCGTCTGCAAAGATCACGACATCCTGAACGCACTCAAGGCCGTGCAGATCTTGCCTGCAATCCAAGAAAAGGGGGATTTGAACACCGACATTGACGACATCCACCTCTCGCACGGCCAGAAACAGCTCTTCTGTCTCGCCCGCGCCCTCCTCCGTCCGGGCAACATCCTCATCCTCGACGAGGCAACCAGCAAGTGAGTGAATTTCAATTACTGTCTCGCCCCCTCACGCGTCCCCTCGCATGCAGGGCGGCCCACTCTTTATTACCAAAAGATTTTTCTTTTTTTATTCCCCCGTTTTGCGACTTGTGTCTTTCCCGGTTCCTGTCAATATGTCCCCTGCATATGCGGGCTGAGCCGGGCGTTCCGCCCTCATCCACTCTCAGCGCCATTTCCTCCCCTTGCATGAGCCATAGCTAACCCGTCCGCAGTGTCGATACCAAAACAGACGAAATTATGCAACGCGTCATCCGCGAGAAGTTCTGTAACCATACGATCATATCGGTTGCACATAAGCTCGACACTATTCTGGATTACGACCGCGTCCTCGTTCTGGATGCAGGCAAGGTCGTTGAGTCAGGCGAGCCGTACGCCTTGCTCATGGATCCGAAGTCCAACTTCAGCAAACTCTACGTGAACTCGATTGCGTCAGAGGAGAACTGATTGGTCTCGCAGGGTCGACTCCTCTTCCTTTACCCTCACCCTCTTCCTTTCTCAGTAGAATTGTTCTGCACAGACTGACAGTAGCATATGGCGGGGTCATTGTTTGGCGCATTATTGCCCCTCCTTTTATGGTACATACCGATGTCGGCTTCATGGTTGACTGCCAGGCGTTTTGTAATTTGCCCCTTTACCTGTTTTATGCTTTTATTTTTCTTTTTTACGACGCTCGTTTGCACTGGTTTGAAAGTCTGGCGTCTACTTCTCACTCTCGCTGACCCCAAAATTGGCTCTGGAGGGTTTCAAGCCACTCAGCGTGGGCTGGAGTGGGCTGTTTATAATCTTGCATATATCAGCAGTGTGTTTTGGTTAATATTAATTCGGCTAGTTCTTGAATGCTGGAGTGAACGCATTTTGCATCTTCATTACCGTCCCATGCTGCTACTAAAACTCTCAATTCCACGAGCGGCAACATATACCAGCGATCCTGAAATAAATGTACTTCTAACGTCAGGGAAGCGATGGTGTTCTCAATTCGAGTTAGCATACTCGCGGTCGGTCACCCGCACTCCCTGGCATACTTATTAGTTCACCCTACTTGGGAATCAGTAGCACTTCGAGTCTTTGTAAACTAAATATAACAGCCCCAATAAAGGGCCAATTCAACGTGAGTCCAACCTTGTCCATTTCGAAGTTGTAAAGCCAATTCCCAATATTCAACTCGGAATAATTCAAATTGCTGGAGCCCGACGGGAACAATATATAACTATCTGGGCTACTTGATACTTGGGTTCCCGCAAGTCCCAAGTCGTAAAATACTCCCTAGTATCTAATTCCGACGTTCGCCATACAATCATATACAAGAAACATTACTATTGCACCATTTTCCAATGACCTGAAACTCTCAAGGCCTTCACGCGATGAACAATTCTTACTGGTATGCGCGGTGACTCGGACTTTAGCTTGAACTGGAATATTCTCCATCGGAGCCGATCGACACGATTCGATTCTCACTTTGCGACCTCAACAACCAATTTTTTACAGCTAACCCCCTCTCGCAGTTTGTCCATAGCAGAATCGAGAGATTCTATGCCCCTTCCAACTACCATTGGCTCCGGACTCGGCACAATCGTACCCTTGACCAGATTCTTCCGGAGCCACGTGCCAAGCCAGAACCGGAATTGTTCCAGCCTCTCGCTTTCCACCACAGAAGGAACGAGAAAAATCGTTTCTAGCGCATTCCAACGTTTTGCCTCATCAGGAACAGGCGGCGCAGATGCGACCGTGACCGTCTCGTCGTCCCGGCGGAGAAAATGCTTCAGCACAGAGTGACACAGCGCCAGCGATCCGGTCGCTAGGAAGCAATGGCGAATCACTAACCCATCCTCAGCAGCCGCCGCAAGAATAAAGTCGACAACTCTCGCGTCCTTATAATCGAACACCCGATCAGCGCCCATCGAAGCCACGTACTCGTGGTTTGTTGCGCCAGCCGTCGCATAGACAGCCGCAAAAGGGGAGCTCGGGTCCATCCGTAGGAGCCGAGCTGTCTGTACGCCCATGCTCCCGACGCTAGAAGAGGCACCCCATACTAAAAGTACCTCCTCTTTGTTTGCGACGTCCGCCTTCTCGGGGGCACTGATTGGGTTGTCGAGTCGCGGAATCCCCATCGCGTCCCAAGCGCAGAGGGCCACCTGGACCGAGACAGGCAACGTCACCGCGTGGTTCCAAGAAATGCTGTCCGGGAGAATTACCGCATGCTGCCAGGGAACGAGACAAGTCTCCTGAAATACTCCGTAGTTTGGGTCGGAGGCTCTCCAGACACAGGCCGAATACGCCGCAATCCGAGTAAGTCCGGGTCGGAAAGAGGCAGATGGGCTGTCGTTGTAGGGAGCGACTGGCACATTCTCGCCCACTTCGAGGACTAGACCTGACACGTCGAAGCCGAGGATCGTAGGGTGTGCGCTCACGAGGATGCCGGTATCCCGCATGAGGACATCTGCTGGGTTGAGGGCTATGGATTTGACGGCAACGAGGAGGTCATCTGGACCTGGTTTTGGCGTTTGGCGGGTTTGGATTTGCAAAGGTTGCCCTTTAGCAAGCGAGACGGCCGCAAGGTGAGTAGCCATGGAAGCTCGTGCGAAGGGAGGGTTACGATCTAGGATCGTGTGCGAATAGAATTAGCTGATATTTGCGAGGTAACAAGGCGGCAAGATTACTATTTCTCGCCATTTGATCCAGGCCAATCTTTCTTTTTATACACAAAATCGAGCGTCCATCTCAAGACTTCTTGCTCTCTCAACGCCTGGTGATCATGATAGACATTCGAGCCAATCAGAGGCCTCTGTATCCGACAACTGGTTATGTGGGAGCGTCAGGAGGCAAGGGGTTGTAAAGTACGGTATTGGAGTGAAATATATGTAGCTCTGATTCTCTCTAAAATGACAGGCACCGAGTATTTATATGGTGGGTTTCTTACAGAAGAAAAGTTATGCCCATAGGCCAAGAAATGAACGAACGGTAATACGGTGGTAACGGCACCGTGTGTTCCGACAGGTTAGCGTGGCGCACTAATCTAACATTGGGCTAGTGCATCCTGGAAACAAAGGCAAGACCATTTGGATCGCCCTCACGCACGTCTCCCGGTCCCTTAAATACCAACCCTCACGGGAGTCTCGCGGACTAGCAGGGCTTACCATGGCAGGCTTAAGAGCATCGGAGATTCCGACGCGTCGGCCTTCGCGGAGGTCGAGATACGGCTGCCGGAATTGCAAACTGAGAAAACTCAAGGTAAGCATCAACCCGCTTCTTGAAGCTGCCTAGCTGACTATACTATGCACAAGTGCGATGAAAACAAACCACACTGCAACAAATGTGGCTCTTTCGGGGTTTTCTGCAACTACTTCTCTGATATTCCCGACCTGCAACCTCTAGCTGCTGACAGAGGGAGGCGATTCACTGCTCAAAGGGCCGAGCCAGAACCCCCCCGTATCCAGTGCTGTATGGTCATGCGACAGATCCACGTCGTTCCGACTAAACGCAAGGCATCAAGAGTTCATCAGCCGGTATCTCGGGCGTAGTCTCATTAGTCCGGACGAGCCCAACGTGAAATACGTCAACCGTTGCCTCTTGAGTCTAGCGTTCGAAGTAAGTCCTTATATTTGAGCCGCCAAGTTGTATCAGCCCAGCAAAGAAGACACGCGAGTGATGGATCGATTAACATGACCTACAGCACCCTTTCCTAATGCATGCTTCTCTTAGGCGTGGCATTCGCATACGACCGCCACCTCAATGCACCCTCAAGAGCTCGCCGATCTCTGGAAGAGTGTTTTCATCTGGCGCAAGCCACCACTCTTCTAAAGCAACGATTAAAGGAACCGATAGCAGAAAAAGACAAGGATCCAATATGGGGAACTGCGGCTGCTCTAGTCACCTTAACATTCTCGTCGCCTGATGCGCGAACACCAGAAGAATCGTGGCCGTTGAATTCTTCTGGTTCTTCTGGCCTGGACTGGCTCCCCATGAATAAGAGCAAAATGGCCATGTGGCATGTAATGAATCCTCTTCGATCGAACAGCCTCTTCCGCGTGATGGCTGTAACCTTTTCTCAGATGGAGGTACCTTTGCCCGTACAGGGCAGGGACGGGATATCGCCTAACTTGGCTTCGCTATGCCGACTTACAGATTTTTCCACTGCCGAGGACAACTCTTACTTTGATTCTGCGCATGGATTATCCTATGTTCTAGGGATACCGGACAGTGAGATCACAATAGGCCATGCCTCACCTTTCATGCGCTCTGTTGATGGTCCATTTGAGGATCTGCTGCGGAGAAGGGACCCGGTCGCCCTCTTATTGCTTTATCTTTGGTATCGAAAGTCCGGTCGCGCTATTTGGTGGATTGGACTTAGGGCTCGAGTGGAGTGTCCCTCGATTCGATCCTATCTACAGATCTGTCGTCATGCAAATATTGATGTACAAGCCTTTCTCCATGAATATGCTATCAGCGACTGAAATTAAATCAAATGCATTGGATACACATACCATTGTTGGAATGAATTGAAAACTTCAGCCTCTGTGAGCGGCATTTTTTGAGCATGACGTTTACTGTGATTCCGGTTTTCAGCTGGTTTGACTCGACCTTGTGAGATCTGAGTGGCGTATGAGGCATTTTCTTTTTCGCGCACTACGAAACAGAATAGCATATGAGGTATTTCTTTCCTCGCTTTAACAGATAATCGGATGCGATGTGAGGGATTTTAGCCATCTGACAGTGGGGCTCTGCGAGACCCTTTTATCTGGTTAGGACGAGTTTACCCTTCCATGAAGACCGAAAGGAGTGAGATGCCTGTTCTCCTTCCAGCATCGTCTCCATATTGTGTCCTTGTCAAGCTTCGAGCCTAGGAGTATCTCCTCAAAGCCACACATTAAGCATGTAGGACCTGGTCAGAAGGCGGTTGGTCGCGGAAGGCTGGGGCGGAGTCCTCAGGCGTCCAGCCGCTAGAGGCACTCAAAGCTTGGGGGCTCGGTAACCGTGAAGGAGTCAACATCCCACGCCAGCTAGGTATAAATACAGCATGATCTGCTATTTCATGAGTTCAGAATTTCAGGTTCGCCGACAGCCGTTGAAATGATGCGGACCATCTTATGTGTCGCTTTCCTCGTTTGCCTCGGGCATTCTTCTACTATTCCTCTTCCTCCCAGTACAGGACCATGCAACGTCAGGCTTCATGCAAGTGAACTGGTCGATGCCTCTCGGACTGACCCCTATGATCCAAAAAGAGGGAAACGCGCTATCATGGTCACGAGTTTCACTCCGACTGCTTGCGGCAGTGTATCCTCCGCCTCTTACTTCCCGAATGCAACGGCCACATTCGAGGATGAATTCTTCCAGGCAATGGGACTAGCCCTAGCCCCAGGAACGTTCAAGTCTTTTCATATAGAGACCCAGCTCAGTCAGCAGCCGTCTTCTGCCAGCCGTGGAGGATATCCAGTAGTACTGTTCTCCCCGGCAGCGGGAATGTCAAGATTAGTGTACACGGTGCTCCTTCAAGACATTGCGAGTTACGGTTTCGCCGTGGTTTCTGTCGACCACCCGCATGATGCTAATATCGTCGAATTCCCTGACGGCCGCACCGTCATCGGAACAAACATCTCCACGAATGCGCAATATCTCGCAGCGCTGAACGTGCGAGTGAAAGACATGTCGTTTCTTCTCGATCAGATACAGAATGATAGCGCGGTCAAAGAAATATTTCCTTTATCAAAAGCGAGTCCAAATCTGCTCTCGCTCCACCGCGCATCGATATTCGGCCATTCGCTCGGCGGTGCAACAGCAGCACAGACCATGTTCGTCGATGATCGGTTTGCCGGGGGCATCAACCTGGATGGCCAACTGTGGGGCTCCGTCGTCGACAAAGGTCTTGCGAAACCATTTGTGCTTTTCGGCAACTCAAACCATACTCAAGCAACAGACCCTTCCTGGAGCAAGTTCTGGTCCAAATCGCGCGGATGGAAACTTGAGCTCAAGCTCGCGCAGTCTAAGCACTATACCTTTTCCGACTTCCCGGTGCTTGTCGATGCGCTGAGTATATCAGAAGAGGCGAGGCAGGTTGTGCAGACCGAGAGGACGGGGACAATAGGTGCCGTGAGGGCTAAGAACGTGATTACCTCGTACGTGACTGCTGCACTGAAGTATTTTGCTTATGGAACATCGTGTGATTTATTAAGCGGGCCTTCGGCATCATTTCCGGACGTGAGCATTGTGGCATCAAAGTCTTAATAAATTCAATGACAACATCAGACAGATGTAGTAATCAAATGTGACGTGTGTGCCCCTTAAACCCCTGTTGATATCATGGTCCGTAGCGGTGTAGCCCAAACAGATGCATAGATCATTGCCTCAGAGGCAGGCACACCGGTCTTTAATACATTGCCTCTCACCATGACTTCTTCCTTTGCGTAGTCAAGCACAACAGGCCCACCTTCCGAACGAGAAGATACATAGCAAACTCCACAAAACGTGCCATTTCCGTATAATCGCTCCAGGGGCCCTCTGGTTGAACACAACAAGATCCAAAGCGACCAACACACTTAGACAGAGCGAAACTCTGGAGATTCGGTGTCCTGGATGACGGAAAAAGATCAAAAGTACGCTAAAGAAGAGACAATGCCTGCTTAGTTCCGCGTTACGAGCTATTGACATCTGCCTCTGCCGTGCCATCGCTCACTAGGGCCGGCGCTAGGCGTATCATCGGACAGACAGTGGGATATACGGAGACGACTTGGGGTTTTGGGCTTGAAAGATAAAGCCTTGTTACGCGCACGAATCATCGCGCATGCAGCGTTGTCTGAAGGGTAAATGGAGGTGGGAGTAATGATGCCGTCTTCGGCGTGGGCTTGATTATAGTCTTCTTCGGCTTGGAGATCCTCTTCGTTGCATTAGTCCATTGGTACTTGTATTGAGAAGTCCTGCACTGGAGAGAATCGCATACCAAAGATCCGGATGGTGACGTGAGAGCTCAGGACTTGTGGGATTTCGGGAGCAGACGGACGACTTGGAGGACCCAATGCCTCTTGCGACTCGGTCCTATTGGACCCACGGCTCCATTTTTGGAATGAGAGATAGTCACGGAGCATGGTGGACAGCTACCTACGGACTCGAAAGACACCAATCCTTGTCGCGATGGAGCTGTATAGGTGGCTGAAAGACGACAATCGCGAGATTTGTCTCTCCAGATCGGTTCCAGTCACTATTTTATCATTAGTTCCCCCCGGTCTAGAAGCCAAAGACCAACAAAGAACAGCTAGAGCGGCGACCCGGCGGTTCACGCTCAGCCTTCGCATGGTTTCAGACCCACGGAAGATGATTCAAGAGAATAATCAAATCAATTGCAAACAGCAACTATTGATCTCGAGTTCTAGACCCGACAGCCCCCAGGAATATCGGTGGGAAGACCAGAGCCATAACCAGATAGGCCTGAGCCCAACCAATCCGACCTTACCGTGACCCTCACATGTAAACCGATTAGATTAAAATCCAAGACACAATAAACCCCTGGCTGAGCCCCTCCCCCAGATCGAATCATAGCAGATCGATCCGCCGAGGCCCCACCGCGCCACTGCGGGTACTAAATTATACTGAAGTGTATGAAGTAACGCTCCATGCCCCTCCATCTCATCCATCCCCATCCGCCTTCTATTTCTCAACTACCTGACCAACCCAAGAGATTCGGGAAAAAAAAAATCCTAAATCCATTAATCCCAAACCCAAACCGGCCCGACGCCACCCATCATGGCGCCCATCCCTACCATCCTCCTCCTAGGAACCTGCGATACCAAACTCCCCGAACTAGAGTACACTTCCACCCGCCTGCAAGCCCACAACTGTGCCGTCCTCCTCCTCGACGTCGGCCGCAAGCACACCTCCGCCCCCTCCATCGCAATCACCCACTCCGACCTCCTCGCCCAGTCCCACCCGTCCAGGACCGGCCAGCCCGATATCTCCGCCCTGCCGCGCGCAGAATACATCGCTGCCCTGACGCCCCTCGCCGTCTCACGCACCCGGGCCCTGCACGAGGCCGGGCGCATCCACGGGGCGCTCGGGATGGGGGGGCTCGTGCGGGACGGCCGTTGCGGCGGCGGTGATGCGGGAGGCGCTGCCGGTGGGGTTTCCCAAAATGCTCGTGTCGACGATGGCGTCGGGGGATGTGGGGCCATATATCGGGGAGAGCGATATCGCAATGATGTACAGCGTGGTTGATATTGCGGGTCGGAACCGGCTGTTGGAACGAGTGTTGGGGAATGCGGCGGCGGCGGTGGCGGGGATGGCGGGGAGCTATCTGGATTCGGTGGAGAGGGAAGGGGAGAAGGGGGAGGAGCCGGTGAAGGTGGGCATTTCTATGTTTGGTGTTACGACGCCGGCGGTCGGGGCTGCGAGTGAGCGGCTGAAGGAGCGTATCCCGGGGGTGGAGATCTACACGTTCCATGCGACGGGGTCGGGGGGCCGGGCAATGGAGAGACTGATCATGGAGGAGCAACTGGACGCGGTGCTGGATTTGACGACGACGGAGATCGCAGATCAGGTGGTGGGTGGTGTGTTGAGTGCTGGGGAGACGAGATTGCTCGCGGCGACCAAGAAGGACATTCCGAGGGTGGTGAGTGTCGGGGCGTGCGATATGGTCAATTTTGGGACGCCGGAGAGCGTACCGGCGGGGTTTACGGAGAAGGGGGACGGGGCGAGGGTATTCCATCATCACAATCCTACGGTGACGCTGATGAGGACTACGAAAGAGGAGGCGAGGAATATTGGAAAGTTGATGGCGAAGAATCTGTTGGGCGAGGAGGGAAGAGCGCGGCCTCGAACACGAGACTGCTTTTGCCTACTGGAGGGGTAAGCATGTTGGACGTTCCAGGGCAGCCGTTCTGGAACCCGGAAGTCGATGAAGTGCTGTTTTCGACGCTGGAAGAAGAGCTCAAGGGCAGCCAGATCACGGTGGAGCGAGATTCGCGGGAGATCAACGACCCTGGATTTGCCCATGCAGCAGCAGATCTCCTGTATAGTCTCATTAGACTGTAAAACACGTAACACTGCCAAACTGTCCAGTTCCTTTGCATACCGAAGTTGCGGCACACTCATCTACGTAAGACACGGTAAATTAATGAACTACTCGTAAGTCCGGAAACGGAGCACGGATATTCTCAAGAGCAAACGTGCTCGCATCAAATTATGTTTCATAGTTAATCGCGGTGCTGCAATTCTTCGAACCTAGCAAGCACTCATTTCTGGTATCAAAAGAAAACCCATCCGTACGCAGTGTTGAATGCAAGACCATCCCGGGTCGAAACCACGCCATTGAACAAAATAAACAAGACACTCCCCAGGTGGAGACCACTTTTTATGCCGTTGAAGGACAACCACTTTTGGATTCAAAGTTGATAAAGAACCCGATATGCCAATCGTAACATCGTTGAATCATGTTGAAAGTCTATATCTCAAGAAGAAAATCTCATCGAGTAGAGCGCAATTGGAGGTTTAAGGGGGAGGGAGGAAAAAAGAGATAGGGGTGAGAGGAGGGCGCGTGAAAGAGTGGGAGCCAAAAGCGATGCGCTTAGTAGCGGTAGATCTCAGGCTTGAAGGGGCCGTTGACGTCGAGGCCGAGATACTCGGCCTGGACGGGAGTGAGCTTGGTAAGCTTGGCGTTGACATGGTCCAAGTGCTGGAGAGCGACTTGCTCGTCGAGCTCCTTGGGGAGGACGTAGACGCCGACCGCCTTCTTGCCGGAGGTGCCGAACTCGACGTACTTGGAGGCGAAAGCCTGGTCCTCGGCCTTGTACAGAGAGATCTGGGCAAGGACCTGGTTGGAGAAGGAGCAGGACATGACGAAGGAAGAGTGACCAGTGGCACAGCCAAGGTTGACCAGACGACCCTCCGCGAGCAGGATGATGTGCTTGCCGTTCAGGAGGTAGCGGTCGACCTGGGGCTTAATGTTCTGGACGGACTGAGCGTTGGCCTTCAACCAGGCAACGTCGATCTCAATGTCGAAGTGACCAATGTTGCAGACGATGGCGTCGTTGCGCATGGCTTCGAAGTGGCGGCCAACCAGGATATCACGGCAACCGGTGGTGGTGACGAAGATCTGACCAATGGGAGCGGCCTCTTCCATGGTGGTAACCTGGTAGCCCTGAACGGCGGCCTGGAGGGCGTTGATGGGGTCGACCTCAGTGACGAGGACGCGGGCACCCATGGAGTGGAGGGCCTGGGCACAACCCTTACCGACGTCACCGTAACCGGCAACAACAGCGATCTTACCAGCGATCATAACATCGGTGGCACGCTTGATACCATCAATGAGGGACTCACGGCAACCGTACAGGTTGTCGAACTTGGACTTGGTGACACAGTCGTTGACGTTAATGGCGGGGACCTTCAACTTGCCCTCCTTGAGCATACGGTACAGGTGGTGGACACCAGTGGTGGTCTCCTCAGAGACACCGTAGCAGCCCTCGAGTTGCTCGGGGAACTTGGAGTGGACAAGGGCAGTCAGGTCACCACCGTCGTCGAGGATCAGGTTGAGCTTCTTGCCATCCTTGAAGGCACCGAGCTGCTGCTCGAGACACCACTGGTACTCCTCCTCGGTCTCACCCTTCCAGGCGAAGCTATCGAAAAGCATTAGATTGCGGCTTGTAAATGATCGGCCCATGCCGGCAAGGGGGAGTGTGGTAAGCTTACACAGGGACACCGGCAGCAGCAATGGCGGCGGCGGCGTGGTCCTGGGTGGAGAAAATGTTGCAAGAGGTCCAGGTGACCTCAGCACCGAGGTGGACGAGGGTCTCAATAAGGACGGCAGTCTGGATGGCTGAAGAAGAGGTTAGCAATTGGGTCTTCTTTTTTTCTCTATCTCATTTGCTTTTTCTAAATTCCAATTTTGCCAGGGTACTCACTCATGTGCAGACAACCAGCGATACGGGCGCCAGCAAGGGGCTTGTCAGCACCGTACTTGGTACGGATGGCCATGAGACCGGGCATCTCAACCTCGGAGAGCTCAATCTCCCGACGGCCAAAAGCAGCCAGGGACTAATGAAGCTATCAGCAATTGAAAAAGGAAAGAAAGAAACAGCCATTGATGAGGATACGTACGATATCAGCGACCTTGAAGGTGTGGGCGGGGGCAGCCATTGTGAATGAAAGAGAAGAAAGACTGGGAGGAATTAGAGAGGAAGGGAATGAAAAGGAGAAGAAGACAAACCAGAGGGAGGGGGGTGAAAGATAAAGGAGAAAAAAGAGGGAGGGGCGTGGCCGCAGATCGAAGGAGGGGAAAAACCTATTTCGGGGGCCGCTTGACAATGTACGTACCGGTACTTGTAATTACCTGTTAACTTTCATACTATTTGATGTACTAGTACATAGCAGGTAAGCCCACGTTCAAGCGTTGGTGGGGTCCATCTTAGTCAGAAGCTTTATCGGCAGCGGACGGGGTCGAGAGGCGCGATTATTCGAGGGGCCAGGGAGGCTTAGTCGAATCACCGCTCTACAAAGGTCCTTCATTCTGTCATTCTTTGGGGCGGTTTACTACAGAAGCTTGAGGGCGAAAGGATTGGGATTCTAGACGACCTTGGGGGCGAAGTCATGAGGGGAAGCTTCCTGCTAAAAGAGTTCTACCGGGAGTTCAACGCCTAGAACCCTAACTCTATCCATTGTAACCATTGGTTCAGGAACGGTCCCTGGAAAGCTGCTCGAAGCAGTAAGCTTTTGGATTACATGAAGCTAAGGTGTAGTATCACAACTCAGAGAATATAAAGGAAGAAGAAAATAAAATTTTGACAAAACAAAAAAGCAAGGACAGGTCATAATAGTCGTGTTCATCTCTCATAAGAACCCCACCGCTAGAAGCCCCACCTCCAACAACAGCACCACCATCCATCAATTTTGGCCTGCAGAACTAGTAAGTCGCCTGTGGGGCCTCAAGGGCTTGGACAGGAGTATTGGGCTTCCACGAATGCACCGGTGAAGGAGCATCCTCAATTTCGTCCGGCCAGCGACGTCGATATGGAGGGCCTTGGCTGCGAGCACGTCGCTTCTTTCTCAACTCAGCATGCCGAGCGCACTCTTCCTGGAACTCGCGACGTTCCTTTCGCTTCTCCAAGACTTCTTTCCATTCACCAACGGCACCCTTGATCCCCAACGCAGCCAGCCCAATACTCGCGACATCGAGAACATCAGCCTTAATGCGGCGTTTCCGGGCCTCCTCGGGTGTGATCTTGCCCTCTTCCAGCTCCTTGATCCGCTTCTTGCGCTTTTCGATACCCTGGTGCACGCTATGCGCAGCGTGAATTGTCGCCACAGTAGCCAGGCCACTTGTCACCAGCAAGTCTCGCTTCATCTTCTTACGTTTCTCCCTCTCATCAGAACTGTCACCTAGGTCAGAACTACTTTCAGAACTTGAACGCCCGCGCGACCTGGGGACCATTGCTCCATCATGTCCCCCGCCTGGTGCGCTTGCCGGCGCTCTGGGGGTTGAATTCCTGCCGCTTGAACGGTATAGACCTACATCTCGCGAATCTCTGTCGCTTCTTCCTCGCCTCGAGCCCCTGCTCCGGTATTCACTGTCATCTGCGTCCGAGTCGGAGTACGAATCGTGCCGCTTCGAGCCCCGCCGGGATCGTCCGTGGTCCCTATCCCGACTATGACTGCGACTGCGGCTGCGACTATGACTGCGACTGCGGCTGCGACTGCGGCTGCGACTGAGACTGCGGTCTCGCCCGTCGCGCCGATCAGATTCACCAGCCTCAAGCCCCAAGGCAGCCATGCCCTTGCTCAGGTAATCCGAGACACTCTTGCTCCGCTTTTGCGAACCGCGATGACCATCTCGGCGTGAACTGCGCTCATCGCTCTCGGAACCGGAACTATCGCGAGAACCATCACGGCCTCGCGGCCTCGAGCGTGAGCGCGAAAATCGGTCATAGATCTCTTTACCCGCCGCGGCTAAAGCTCCCGCCGAAACGAGGTCCTTCAGGCCACCGGAAGACTTATGGCCGCGTCCTCTGGACTTCGACCGTCCTCGGTTCATGAGCTGCCCCGCAGCGAGACCTGCCAGTGTGGACTCAATGGTGTGGCGCTTACTGTGCTTTTTGGGATCTTTGTCCACCAATCCATCTGTTCCTGCAGCTGCCACAGCGGCCGTGAGGATCGCCTTGCCCTTCTCGCCGGTCCATGGACCTGGGTCTTTGCGTGAGCGGAAGGCTTGGACAGCGCCGGCTGCAAGTGCTGCACGGGCGGCTTGGGCGATCCGCTCTTCCTTGGTTTTGCTGCGGTGCCGGCTGCGGCTGCGGCTGCGTGAGGAGGAGTCACGGCGGTGGCTGCGCGAGTAGGAGCGGCCTCGACGGTCGCGGCGGTCGCGGTCATAGTAGTCTCGATCACTTCCACGGTAGTCACGATCACGATGTTGGTCGCGATCGTGCTTGTAGGCAGCTGCAGCTGCACCTCCACCTAATCCCAAAGCACCGAGAGCCTGTTCGCCGAATGACTTGCGGCGGGACTTGCGGCGCTCTGGGGACGGGCTATAAGATTGCGGCGAGTACCTTGAACGACGGGACCCTGGTAAGTCATGTTAGTGATACATTCTGCAAGAGCACCCCACAAGCCGTAGCCGGCTCTGAGTCCTCATGCGCTAATTAGACCAAAGGTACTTACGGCGGTCATCATATTGGCGGGAGCGCCTGGTGTCAGATCGGCGGGGCCTATCGTCGTAGTAACGATCGTACCCGCCAGTCGACGAGGCGCGGCGCACTGTCTCATAGACTGGTCTGCCCGAGCGGCGAGAATTGTAGCCGCGCTCATAGACGTAGTCTTCACCAGGCGGGAAATGACGCTGGACTTCCTCAACGGAATCGTCAGGGCGGCCGTACGGATAGATCTCTCGCTCAAATCGGCGTGATCCTCGAGGCGGCTGGGGGGACTCGGGGTGATCTTCATAGTATTCTGCGGCGGTTCCTTTTGGGCGGTCGCGGCGATCCGGGGCGTAGTAGGGGCGGTCGTCGTAGTATGCCATCGTGGCAACGTGGAGGGTAGGTTCTCAATAGAGTCAATAAGAAAAGGCGACAGGATGAACTTTCTACCGTTCACTGGGACGAGGTTGACAGGAAGAAAGAACTGAGGGTCCGATCTGGCTGATAGCGGGGCAGGCGGGTGGCGTGACGTCGATGGGAGCAGGGGAGTGAGGCTGGGGCGTGGCTGAGAAAAGCGACGAAAGTGAGAGAAAGCGCGAGGGCCGGACTAGGGCTCAAACTCGGGTCATTGGGAATCACAGTGGGCACTGCTACTTCCAGGTTTAGTCTCAGTATATGCTTGGCATGTATATCTGGGTACATACACGAGGGTGGATGGTCCTCGTCTACCTGGTGTTGCGAGGGGGATTTTGTATCTCTGGCGCCTCAATGAAATCCAGACTTGTCAAACCCGCCCAGGCGCTTTCATATATGCGTGCGGATAAGCCCCGATGACGTCGTCTTAATCTACGACAAGCCAGGCAACGCGGCAAGCAACGCGGTCACCGCCGCATAAGCGTCCAGGTGGTTGCGCTGGCAAATGGCGTCATCAGTACGAACCCCCCAAACAAACCCACCAAGCCCTTGTCGAAACCGTCGAGGAAATACTGCTTACTTGTAGAGCGACGCTTGAATTCACTGATTTAGATCCTGTAGTTTTTGACTTTGATCTCGATTGCCGTCAATAAACAATGGGCCCATTTCCACGGAACAGCCGCGGATAGCCCCGCCTGATCCCATGGAGCCCTTCCAAGGTCGACTCGATCCGCTCCGCATTTACGGCGATTGCATTTTCGGGATCGAGATCCCTCCAACCGGAGTAGCCGCTTACGTTTTGGTTTCTTACTGGCTTGTTTGTTGTCAGGTCAAAGTCACACCGTCATTTCTGCCAGGACACCCCGGTCTCGCCAAGTACTAGAAGTACACTTCAAGCCCGCCTCGGCGTGCATAGTCACAACATTCATATCGCACAAACACGCAGATGTCATGGTACAAGGGATATATAACATGAAGGTGAAGAAAAATTAAGTTCAACGATCCATCATAAAGCGTGCCAAAAAGGAGAAAAAAAAAAGATAATTGGTACCCCGTGCACGGCCTCGGTCGCATCTAATCGATCAAGTGATCGCTCTTTTATAATACTTGAAACAGCCTGAGCTCGAGCTCTGCACAACCAGACCGGAGAGATAAATATGCCTGCATTCGATATGCACTCTTCTAGGCACCCCGCAATGCTCTGCGCGGGCCAGGCGAGGAGCTGCGCGATCGTCAGGGGATCGTCAGGGGAAGTGGAGTGAGGCAGTATCTGGTCTGCTCATGCAATTATGGTCCGAGATACGACACTCGGTCCGAGACAACGGCCGTCACAATCATGTGCCCGTTGGGGTTTAGGTCTTCTGTCGGAGAGAAGTAGAAATCTCATCCTTCTTATCCGACTTGTCATGAAGGGTGATGCGAGCCATTGAAACCGGAGGCGACAGGGGCGGAAGCATAGGAACGATGTCGGTGTTCTAGCTACTGGTCCGCGGATGTGCCGTCGTGGCGTAGCCAGAGTCCGGTCTCGACATGATCCATCTCGGCTCTGCATCTGGCTCTGAAGTGGTGGTTGAGATGGTTGAGATGGAGCGCATATCCTCTGAGTGAGTGCGGTGGGTCCGGATATGCTGCTTCATGTTGTCTTTCCGGGTGAAAGCCTTGTTGCAGATGGGGCAGTGCACGCTCTTCTCACCGGTGTGCTTCTTGCCGTGGCGGGCGGCGTGGCCGGAGGTGGTGAACGTAGCTGTACAGCCATGACTCGCTGCGTACGGACATGGATACTTGTTCTTACGACCGGTGCCGCGCGCACTGCTCGCACTAGATGATGAAGGCTTTGCATCTGTTGAAGAGATCACATTGGCATGGGCCTCTGGAGGCGTGCGAGGTGGTGCAGGGCCCCGTGGTCGAGAATACGAGTCCCGTCGTAGATCCTGCCGTGCGTACGGATGATAGGCAACTGACGAAGATTGACTTACGACATAGTCATAGGCAGAGCCATCGGACGAGCTGGGAGATGTGGGATGGGCAACCTCGTTGACTGAGTCGCGGGGATGCCGCACACCTTTCGGAGAGGTCGCTGGGGACTCAGACATTGCTGGCTGGAAGACGTATGGCGGGTTGCTGACGGGCGGGGGTTGATTCGGTTCTGACATTGGAGGCAGTGAGCTCCCGCTCAGTCTGGGATTAGATCGGACCGCAAACGATGGGTTATCGTCATTGTTGAGGATCGACACTACGTTCATCTTCCTGTCGGACATTTCCTGGGAGCCCCGATGCACGGCCACCGGGGCTAGGAGGGTATACTAGGACAGCAATTCAGTATTGATGCTTCATTAGATCTCTCTTTCCCGCATACCTCGAAGGGCTACGGATCACGACGCCAAGGTAAAGGAAAACGAGGGAAAGGACGGAAGAGAGGGAGGGGGATCTGTACCTCCCCCCCTCCGCATCCCCTTGAGGATACTGCAAACGTACCAGCGGTTCTCGAAAGATGTTTGCCCTCTGTGTCGTGTAACACGTCGCCGACATTAGGCCCTAAGTAGGCACCGGCCCGCAGACTTTGGCTAGGAAGGCTGGATGAGGTCTTGGGTTGTAACGCTGACGTTTGTTCTCAGAAAACCTGAACAGTTCTAGGAGCCCCGCGAGTCTCTGGATCCGAAGAAAAAGGAGTGAGACGCTATTCCCACTAGTCCTCAGAATTCCTGATTTGGGGGAAACGAAAAAAGGTACGGCGTCTAACCCGGTAGTCCCTTGGGACAAATTCCTTTTCGAAGAATTTGGCGACTTTCAGCGTCCTCGCTCTTGTTCGCTGCCCTTTCCTTCTATTGCAACGCCCCAAAAGTTCGATGTGGGGAACACAATTCTTAACGGTGGTTGCAAACTGGCCCGGGTATACTCGGCCGGGGGTAGACGAATAGATGACACTGGTCGTCAAATTCGTTGTACCAAGCACAAAGCAACCGTCCTTCAGACCAAAGCTGGGACTCCCAAGAACGGCGAATGGAATGTGTCACGGCGGAGAGTGCTGTTATGAGGATGGTCGACCACTGAAGGAGAGGCTTTTCGTCTTGATCGTGAATCGCCAAAGCAAAGCAAGTCTCGGCGTACGCAGTGGAAGGTACTTGAAAACTTAAATGGCGGGGAGGGGAAGAAGAAGGGCAATGGTTCGGATGGCAGTTGCGTCAAATAAGAATGGGAATACAAAGCCCAAAGAGGGCGAGGCCAGAATAAAAAGTACAAAATAAGAATAGAATAAAAAAGAGCAGATCCTCAAACAACCCCAGGAATTCTTATCCATATATGCGAGAAAAAAAAAGGCCAAGCTTCCAGGGTCCGTCACAGACGCTCCAGAAGCTCCATGTATTTCCATACAACGGAGGTACGCTATCGCACTAGCCGTTGGAGTGGAGCCAAGGGCAAGAGCCAGAAAAAGGTGAAAAATGAAATACAAACAATACAGAGGGGAAACGGTAAATAACCAGGACCCCTACTTACCCCCTGTTTCCTGTGCAGACCCGTTTTTCTCTCCGTTTCTTCCGGGCCGCCGACCCTGGCGGGACGGCATTCGCCCCGAGCTATCTACGCTGCGTACGTAGATGTGGTTTCTGAGTTTCTGGATTTTCCCGATTTTACCGGCCTGTGTGCTGAGGCTTGTGCCTTTCCGTACCTCTCCGCGCCTCTGCCTCCCAGGCCCAATGCTGCTCCTTGATGCCTATTTTTGCTACTGTTTCGCTTTCGTCTTGAGTTCCCAATTGGACTAGGGCCTCGGCTGGCCCAAGCGGAAAAGTGGAACCCAGCAGAGAGGATGCGAAGGCATCTCGGGAGAACTACGGCAAGCAAGAACCGTCGGAAGGGGGGAAGATAGGACGCGAATCATCACCTTGAACGCTATCTAGCCTGTTTCATCGTTGCAATGGGCTCTGGCCACACAGGGACTCGGCTATAATCTTAGCCCTCTGATCGAAAATTGAAAATAGTCTCCTGCAAAAATGGGGAGAAACCTCCAAGCAGAATGCGTGCAATATAGTAGCGCTCAGAGTGGAGTGTATTGTGAGCACTAGCAGTGACTCGTCAGGACCAAGAGGCGCCGAGTCTGGGGTGCGTACGTAAGTGATGATGTTGTGGTTGCCGTACTCATCGGGCACTCGCACTCATCTCCGATCTCAGGCGGGGATTTTAGCGGATTTTAGCTTCTATTCTCCAGGTCTTGATTCCTCACCTTGATTTGTGGATTTCTTTTTATTTCTGCGAATTACCTTTCCAATCCAGTTGAAGGCACTTGGCATCAGATGCATTGCAGCTACGTTTGAGGTAATGCTCTATGCTAATATTGGCCTCGGCTCTTGGAATTTCCTGCGCTGTGAAATAGACTGGTCTGGCCACCCGTGGCGCTCCCGGCCTCGAATCTACAGTTTGGTTTTCTGGGTCAAGTTCTCCAGGCCGAGCTTGCGAACGAGCAAGACACAAAAAAAAAAAAGAAAAATAGAAGAAAAATGGAAAGGAATCACAGGTAATGGAACAAAGCCGAGTCCTCAATGAAAGTAATAATAGCATAGAAACCACTTTAGGCATGGGCTGGGGGGGGTAGATCCCACAAGGCTGATGAACACTGAGCGTATAAGTTCGTGCGGCAGAAATCTATCAATAAAGCGCCGATGGATTTCACGAGGCAAAAGCTTAGCCCCCAGATGACATTCCATGACAGATTGCCGCTAACCCCCTTCCATGTATGCGTTAATACTACGATCACCTCACAGCGAAGTCTAGGGCTCGATAGGGTTGTAATTCTGGCCCGTGCGACATTCGTACTCGTATGTGTTGCACAAATCGTCTGCCGCCCCACCCCGAACGAGCATTTTCCGCCCACGTCTACGTAAGGCAGTAACGTATCGCTCCGGTTCAGATCTAGAGAACCTAAACCTGAACTACGAAGGGATTCTTTCTTCCTTTCTTTCTTTCTTTTTTTTATTTTTTTGCAGCCCAAAGGCTTCGAGTTACCAGGGCTCTCAGCTCCTGGCCGACAGTCCTACAAGCCGCGGCAGCGACCCCTGGATTGCACAACTTTTGACTATCAAATTGAATTGGTGCCGAACCGCAGTGCAGGGTTTAGGCAGAATCGTTTGGTGCGAGTGTCCAGCTCGAGAATAGAAGACTCGCGTATCTTTGCTCTGACCGTTGCAAAAATGATTATTTTCGGCGATAGCCTGGGGCATACGTATGCTGTATACGTATATCCAGTGCCGCGCAGCCGTAGTCCTGTGAGATTATGCCAAAACTAGCATTATGCTTTGGTGCTTATCCTGACTGAGATTGGGGTGCTCGCCATGGCGCCATGATTCGTACGTCAGCCGGCGTTAGGAGATAACGCCACAGATCGACTTTGGTCAGAGCCCTGGTTTTAGTGCAGTTCCTTCGTTCCGGACCCTTTTTTCCCCTAACCTGTTCGGTTTCTTTTTCGTTTTTTTTCCCGAGCGCTCTGTGGCGCTCTAACTTATTTCGACCCTCTGTCCTCACCATGGTTGCCCTGGCCTTCCGTTTTCTGTCTAGCGGAATTTTCAGCTTCGAGACCCTGGATGCAGGGACTCGTGGCCATTCCCCCCCGGTAGCCTAGACCAGGCTAGCTTGGGGTTTCCCGGACCCCTCCCGGTTCTTACAGCTCTCAAACTTTTCTGTATCTTGTCTAGTGCGATGGAGCTGGCTAATTAGCGCCCAGGTGTATCTGCATCGGCTGAGTAAAGCTACGGGTAGACGCCTGCCCACGCGGCCTCTGAATTATTTTACGCCACCTCGTCAGATCGGTCAATTGCCAGAGGCTTCCGCGTGGCTAGTAACATATGGCGTATGTCACTCGGATGCAGGGACTGGTGTACGACTTTGGCCCCAACAATTCATCCCTTCATCAATGCGGAGAAACGAACTGGGACGCGCAATTACAGAACAATTTCCGAAATCTTGTAAATCTCGTATTGCTCGAGTAGCTCGGCGCTGCCGAAGACCCCTCTGCTTTGGGGACGATAGCCACATTGGTTGCTGCCTACAATTCTCTGGCGCACTATTGAATCCAAAAAGTCTGCAGCGAGTCGCGAAGCTGTTGGGGCTCCATCGATGATCCGGCACCGGAGTCTGCCGTTCCCGCGTTACCCTTACCGGCATAACGAATTTACTTATGCACCACTGGAGGTTCATAAACCTCCGATCTGTGGCGCAGACTTTTCTATCTATCGCCTATCGGTGGATTCATTTGTCCCTTTAGCTTCTACGGTATCACTCTTCCATCCGTCTCGGCTAAGATCCTCGTCAAACGCTTACATAGCCGGTACTCGGAAGCTGTATTGGGACTAGTAACTCGCTGACCAACCTTCCCAACTCCGATTACCGTGATGCATGGTCGTGATTGCTCGATCACCCTCATCGCACGGAGCACCCGGAACGCGCATGTTTACTGTGTACCACGCATATAGCCTAATCTCTTCATAAAAGCCACGCCTTCAACGCAGATCAGCGGACGCAGCTTGGCACATTAGAAGACAAGTTCCACGCCCGTTCCTATTAGTAGCCGCTGGCAGATGTACAGTGTAGCTGACAAATATCCACCAAATGGTAGTTATTTGTCTGCAGGGGTAAAATACCGTTCAGGCAGGCCCCCACAGGTCAAAACTTGAGTGTCGAAATCACCAGAACCAGAATCCTAAATTTGGCTCGCTCCAGCCACCCCCCACCCTCTATTGCTATCAGACCCGCTCGACTAGCCCACGCACGACCCTCATTCGATCGGCGGTGACCTTCAGGGTCCGGCCGGGTTGAAATTAACTGGGGCGGCGAGTGGGACGTAGATTGTATATCAAGGAAAATCTCCGTGAAGGAACTGACGACACTGACCACGCATGCCTATTCGTAGGTACTAGTCTCAGGCATCATCAAGCGGGCCATCCTCCAGTACATTGTTTACCGAACGGGGAATGCGCAAGACGGCGCGCCAGTCGACGTCCCAACGCAATCCTGGTGGAAGCACTCCCTGTTCGAGCTGTCGATACTGATTGCGTCAGGCAAGAGCTACACGTATCCCTTAGACCCTTCATAGGGCCCCCTCCCTTTGCAAGCTAGCTGCATCAGTCATTGCCGTGCATGCCGTGCATGCCTTGCGGAGGCTATGCTGGTCCTCGAGAGTGGGTGTATTGTTTCGCACCCGTAATTGTATTGTGTTCCGTGCTAGCGTGCCTTTATGTATGTATTTGGACTCGACTGCGTAAGCGGAAACATACGTCATGTTGATAGGTGGGCACGATACAGCGTTTCGGGCTGGGTGACCTATTTTGATTTCGATTTCACTGCTTCGGAGTTCATATTAGGGTTGAGGTGTGGCTCGCGGGACTTGCTGATAGCTAGGGGGGCCTCTTACGTGGCTGAAAGTCTGAAGAGTTGGGGAGTACGCAATAGATTGGGTTGCTTCATAGTGTTATTCATTTTCTTTTATGCATTGTGCATTGTCCGGGATTTCCGAGTGCGTTGAACCGAGCAGGTGGAGTGCGCTTGACTTGTTTCTGAGACCCTGGGGAAATGGTTCCCAGGGGTGGCAGTTAAACCATACCTCAGAGGAATGGACTGAAAGCCGTCTGCTTTGAGTCTCGTGCCGGTGGTTCACATCCGTCATTTGATTCAATGATCACGAAAGCCGGAGGGCTAAACTTGCAGCTTCAGGTTTTACCCCAGCGGAGCCCCTGCTATGGTACCCATCAACCTTTCTCAGCCTACCACTAAATTGGAAACGGACATTTGAGGTCCCCAGCTCCCAGTCAGTTGATAGAATCATGGCGATTGGATTAGGCATATGACACCTAGCTATCTCTGGGGCATCAACTCGAGCAAAGCCTTGTGTCCAGAGATCTACCTTGGACAGCACCCTCTGGAACAAATTAGCACTCGTGCTTGTGGTACCTTTGCTTTCGCGCTGATACATGCGGCTAACCACCACCGGGCTATTCCAGAGAAGTGAACGAGATCTACCTGGCAACTCAAGTCGGTAGTGAGTACCCTTCATCTTCAACTCTCAATCGAGCCAACAACCTGTAATTCCATCGCATACCTCCCCGAAGATACAAGGTACCAAGCATTTGATGTACGCACCGATTTTTTTATTTTATGTCGTCTACCTCGAGACCAAAACGAATGCCCCGAAGCTGGAGTCAAATGATCTACACATGATGGTTTCTCCAACTATCTCGACCAGGAAGATGATTCGAAATCTTCATGCTGGGAGGGCTGATCCTAAGCGTCAAAAGATTGAAAGATCAACTAGGGAATACCTACCGGGCTTATTGTCGTCAAGATTTGGATATCACAAGTCCGAGCTGGGATAGGGCGCAGGAATTTGCGTGTTCTTTGCTTTTACCCCACTTGTTGTCTCCTTACTTTAACGACCATATGAAGGAAGAGATCAACACAACGAGAGCCGCATGAATTGGGAATGGCACGATTCAATATTTTACGATCTGGCCACGATGGTTTTGAAGTGGGCCTGGGTTCGCAACTCGGCGACGACGTCCTGAAAGCAACTGAACCATCCTGGTGGGGTGTCACAAGCTGTATGCGCCATTCATGCTATGGCGGATGGCGATCAAGGACAGCTGACATCCCGAGATTGTTTGAATGAGGCTTCCATTTGGTACCATGAGGCTAGACGCGTCGTCCAGTTGTGTCCACTACCGAGCTAATGTTTCTCAGCTATCCTTCATCTTCAGGCATCCATTAGTGTCAGTGCAACCCTAGCTGCAGTAGCCTTGAGATGATGCAGCAGTACAACGAGTGCAGCAAACAGCGTTGGTCTAAGGCTGCTGACGGAGGCAGTGTTTTCATGCAGTCATGCGCCTTCCTTCAGGCGCCCCGTCAGTACTCGGCAGTCCTCAAATTGAGTCTTCAACCTCCGTCAATAGCAAGCAACGCTTGACTGGTGCCCGAAATGCACAATCAATCTCATCCCCGTGGCCAATCATCCTCAAAGCTACTAACCTCATCAGCCAATGATTACTGCCAGAGTCTGGGTCGGATTCCACGTTCCTAACAGATCACTCTCTTGACAAACGATTGGCTGTCAATACAGCGGCAAATTCGCCGTGGGGCTTTATTATCGGAGATAAAAGGGATTTTAGCACTTCGGGCATCACATATCGCAGGTTGGAGATTTCGCGGGTAGTAATGTGACGCTACGTGCTTCCCACTAGGCCCAACTAGATCAATGTCTGGCCCCAAATACCAAGCATCCAACATCTGCAAGCGAACTCACCGATGGCCCCATAATTGTGAGGTCGGTAAGAGCCGCGCCAAACTACATACGGCCTAACTTCCGTCGAAATCCGACTTAGCGTGGATGCCAAGGTCGTCCGTGCCTCAAATCTTTTAGCAATGGGGCTCTAGGGGCGCTTCTGAATTACTTTCTTGGGTTTGGGATGAAATCGGGGAGGGCAAGTGATTGGTTTCGCTCTCCACACCCGCAAAAATTTCTTGGTTTGCGGCAGGGTCAATGCCGCTAGTAAAGAGCTAAGAGACAGGGGCCAGAGGGCATTAGGTACAAGAATGCCCATTCCCCCATCTGCGCCATCTTCATCTTCTACGCTCGTTTCGCTCGTTGCTCGTTGACGGGCTCCGTTGTGTGGTTTATTCATAGAGCATATTTTACCCTATAGTCTACGGGACATATTTCGGAGAATTAATCGACGATCGGCATTCTCGTGGAGTTAATCATGTGGGGATCTGCTATCTTGCCGATCGCCCTCCTGGCTGCGCTGCCCTGCGCCAATGCCATCACTCTGCACAAGCGTAGCGAGCCCGCGGTCCTTGGACTTCCGATTGTTCGCACCGAGCGATCACAGGCGCTGCAGAAGCGTGATAGCAAGACTGTCAGTGCTGATCTTTATAACCTTGTAGGTGCCGGTCTCAAGTCTTCAATTCAAAGCACAAGGTCACCGGGAAAGTTACTAATACCATCTAAGCAAAACATGCAATATTGGGTGAACATTACTGTGGGAACCCCAGCACAGAAGGTCTCCCTCACCCTCGATACAGGCAGCAGTGATGTCTGGGTTAATATTCCTAATTCGACCTTCTGTTCGGCCGACGACGACCCCTGCTCCCCATATGGCGTTTTCAAGCAGAAGGATTCATCTACCTTCCACATGCTTGATTACCAGATGAATGCTACCTATGCCGCCGGCTTCCTGGCAGAGGGTTACTATGCCACAGACACTCTGTCCATTGGAGGTGTAAAGGTGAAAGATTACCAGTTTGCAGTCGCTGATATAAGTCATAACGAGAGTGAGTAACCGACTCAGTTAGCTATTTCAACTTCCCCAAGAACTCATTTTGCTAATGGTTCATTTTTTTATTTTCATAGATGGTATCTTGGGGGTTGGATACCAAAAGGGCACCGACGCATATGCCATCGGCAAGGAGTACACCAACCTCCCGGGCGCGCTCGTCAAAAGCGGCGCTACTAATTCAGCCGCTTACAGTTTGTGGCTGAACAAGCTTGACAGCACCGGCAACATCCTCTTCGGAGGTGTCAACAAGGCGCGATACAACGGCGAGCTCCAGAGCGTGCCTATCTTAAAGGTGTACGGCGAGTATCGCTCTCTGGCCATCGCATTGACTGAAATCACCGTCAAGGATAAGACCTATGCGTCAGGTCTGCCCTTAGCTGTCTCCTTGGACAACGGTAGCTCCATGATCGCTCTGCCCAAAGAGCTCTTGGACCCCATCTACAAGGATATCGGCGCCGGCTACGACTCGAAGAGCCAGTTCGGCTACATCTCTTGCGATGCTGCCCACTGGGACTACAACATTACTTTCAGCTTCTCCCAAGCTAAGGTCTCCATGCCCATCAGTACTCTGGTATTCCCCCACTACTCTGAGACTTCTTTCCCCAAGGGCGATTGCATCTTCGGCATGGTCCCCAGCCAGCCTGGAGTGAACTTGATGGGCGACCCCTTCTTGCGCGGTGCGTACGTTGTTTACGACCTCGACAACAACGAGATCTCGCTCGCTGAGACGAACACCAACGATGGTGATGATGATATTCATGAGATTGGCACCGGGTCCGACGCTGTCCCGGGGGGCCACTCTGCTGGCCTCGGCCGTCACCTCCGCGACAGGCAATGGGCCTGCTGATCAGACCGCCACGACCGTTCCAGTGACGGCTCCCGCTACTATGACTGTTACTGGTGAATTGAGCACTACTGACGGCTCCGCTCCAAAGACCAGTGACGGTGGCGCTGCTGCTACCAGCAGCTCTTCCGAGGGCCTGGCAGCGCTACCTACCAGCAACCCGAACCATCTGCTGCCTGGTCTCCTGGGTGCCGGTTTGCTGCTTGCGCTGTAGACTCATCAGTACTGTACTGGCAGCCCTGACGAAATGGCTTATACCCTCTTATGTCGATAATCGGACCTAGAAGGTCGAACTTCGCGCCGGAATTGTGCGTGCATATAGTAATGGATACCTTGAATAATTGAATGGAATTGCCACACCTGACTTCAGATTTTGTGAACTTCAAAGTGCTATTGATACTTGACTCGGCTTATTCACCCCTGTTAGAACCTCTTTCAGGCTCACGGATACTGCTACTCGTACAGAATTGACCACATGTTCACACCCTATGTCCGCTGAATGGTGGGGTCGCACGAAATATCCAGATGTCGCAATGAAGGAAAGGGATTTAGCTGGCAAATCAAGTTGCCCATTGAACTCATAAAACATTTTACATACAAATCCCCCTGCGTCCTACAGCGGTCGAGTTTCAAATATAGGCCTGACGTCACTTGCTCCTTAGCTGGAAGTATCGTATGATTGCTTAGCTATTTTCCTGCGTAGTGAGTGCTTTCTAGCCTTTCTCAATATTGGCATCCTGAATTGGGAATGCCGTTGGAAGAAATGCGTTGATCGGGGAGCTCACTATCAAGGTCCTTGATACGCAACTGATCCATGGATATCAGTAGGTATATAATGGCACGAATATATATGTAACCCTCCACTTAGGTCTGACCCCAGGGGTTCAATACGAACTTGAAAAGTGGAACTCATGTCCCAAAGAAACGGAAACAAGCAGTCTACTCAGTCGCGTAGCTAGATGAGGTCAGTGGGGCAATCATGATGAGGGGTAGGAATCGTGCCCGCTTCCCGCAAGCAGCCCAAGCTCTCCACCCGCATCATTACTACGAGTAGTAGTCCCCGTCAGATCAAGCCGCCCCAGCTCGAACCTGAAACCTAAACTACCAAACACCATGCCCCAGCCCAAGAATAGGGAAGAAGTCCTTGCCCGCCTACGCAAGACCGTGGCAGATGGCTCCATCATCGTCGGCGCCGGCGCCGGTAATCACCCCCAATCCATGAATTCACCACAAGCCAACTAAACCCGCCTGCAGGCATTGGCCTCTCCGCCAAAGCCGTCGAGCAAGGCGGCAGCGACCTGATCCTGATCTACAACTCAGGGAGATTCCGAATGGCCGGTCGCGGCTCGCTCGCAGGCCTCATGCCGTACTCGGATGCCAACGCCGTCGTAGTCGAGATGGTACGTTCACGCTACGACTGGGAAAACCTACGATCTTCCGCCTCCAGTCTCCCCAGCCCTCTCCCCAGCCCCTTTATTCCCCACCCACTCACACTTCCCCAGGCCAGCGAAGTCATTCCGGTCGTGCAGCACACGCCCGTCCTCGCAGGAGTGTGTGGCACCGATCCCTTCCGCTCGATGCCCACCTTCCTCGCCGAACTGCAGCGCCTCGGCTTCGTCGGTGTTCAGAATTTCCCGACCGTCGGCCTGATCGATGGTCAATTCCGCGCGAACCTCGAGGAAACGGGCATGGGTTATGACAATGAGGTGGCCATGATTGCGACCGCGCACGAGCTCGGCCTCGTCACAACACCGTACGTGTTCAGTGCGGAGGATGCGGTGAAGATGGCGCGGGCGGGCGCGGACGTCGTCGTCGCGCACGCGGGGCTGACGACGTCGGGAGCGATCGGGGCGTTGAGCGGGAAAAGTCTGGAGGAGTGTGTGGGGTTTGTGCAGGAGATTCGGGATGCCGCCGTGGGGGTCAACAGTGAGATACTAGTTCTGTGTCATGGGGGCCCGATTGCGAGACCAGAGGATGCGGAGTTTGTGCTGAGCAGGACGAAGGGCGTCCATGGGTTCTTTGGCGCCAGTAGTATGGAGCGGTTGCCGGTGGAGATTGCGATCAAGGAAAATGCGGCGCAATTTAAGCGGTTGAAGGTGCGGTTGGCGTAGAATTACCCGGTTTGCTTTTACCCCCCGCGAGACAGAAAGGGTAATTTTGCTCCGCGGGGGAGTGGAGCGCGGGGAACCAAAGCCGTCGGTTAAATTGGATTGGAGATGGATACAAGGTGTTATCTTGTTTCTTCTTTGTTCTTTTTCCTCCATTTTTTATTCGAGTATTCTTCTTCTCTCTTTGATTGAATCCTAGAACGTCCATCATGGCGAATTCAGGCATTCTGAAGGGCCGATTCGGTATTGTGACTGGTGGATCGCGGGGTATGGACACCCTCCCACGTTTCACGATATGCAAGAGCAGCACTGATCATAGACCGTAGGAATTGGCGAAGCAATTGCACGCAATCTAGCAGCCAAGGGCTGCGACCTTCTCCTGAATTATACCTCCGCCTCCAGCCAAGGACCGACCGAGAAGCTGTGCTCCGAGCTGGCCTCTGCGCATGGGATTCGCGTCGAGAGCGTACAAGCCGACCTGGGCAAGCCGGAAGAGGGCGTGCAAGTTATCCTGGCCGCCGCGCAAAAGTTCAGCTCCTCCGGCAAGCTCCAGATTGACATCCTGATCAACAATGCCGGAGTGTCGGCCGATCACAACCTGAACGACCCCGTCCGCGGCCCTATTGGACCCGAGAACTTCCACTGGCAGTACGCAATTAATGTCCTCGCCCCTCTACTCCTCACTCAGGCCGTCGCGCCGTACCTGCCTACCGACCGCAGTGGGCGCATTGTCAACGTCTCGAGTGTGTCGTCATCGCTGGGCTTTGTGGGGCAGTCGATCTACGGCGGAACCAAAGCTGCACTAGAGGCCATGACACGGACCTGGGCGCGTGAGCTGGCAGATCGTGCCACCGTCAACTCGATCAACCCGGGCCCTGTGATTGGGGATATGTACTTCAAAGCGGGCGAGGCCTTCTGGCGGGATCTGCAGGGCTTCGTGGACAATGCGCCCTTGAGCAAGTTGGACTTGAACAACAAGGATGTGACAAGTCGATTGACCGAGGATCAGATCCGTCTGATCAACGAGAAGATGGGCGGGCGGAGACCTGCTTTCACGAGCGAAATTGCGGGTACGGTGGGCATGCTCTGCACCCCTGACGGAGCTTGGACCACGGGCAGTGTTGTCAATGCCAATGGCGGTATGAAGATGGTTGAGTAGATAGATATGATCAATGATAGAACAGCATCGACTGATGGTAATGCTTGGATTGTTTGCTCCATGTCTCTCAAGTAACCCGTTTTGTCGAACATCTCGATGAGGCAGGTTTTAGGCAGTGCCGCCCATCATCCCCTGTCAAAAGAGTGGGGCACGATAACGGCTCGATTCATATACAGTAATTTGTCATGCGCTCTTCCTATTCTGGACTGGTACTATCTCCGAACCACTCGAACACAAAAGTCCGGGAGTAGACTCGGACTTCCGCAGGTGGCGCCAGGGCAATACTACCTTGAGTGGGGTCGGTGGTGAGAAGGTTCTTTTGGCTTGTGCACTAAGAGGTGTGGCGGCTTCTAGAAGGTCTCTCTGTGTATGGTGGGATGTTGCCATGTAGCAGTGCTGGGGATGTTACGATTTGGAACAACCCATGGATGTAGCTCAGGGCAACCCTTGACACTCGCCGTTTCAGCGAGCAGGATCCGCGCTATTAGCTGCAGCCGCACTTTCCAGCCAGTGCAATCCCGACACATGCGTTGAATCTTGAGACAGAAAAGAAAGACATTAGATTGAGTAGGTTGGGTTTCATATTGGATATTATTATTTAATGATTCAAGTTTTCGGGGCTGACGTTTCGCGTCCCCTCGGCGTCCGCCCAGGCCCCACTCTCCTGTATGATATCGGCCTGACTGGACTGGCTATCGACCTCCCAGTTCTTGGTGACAAGGATCTGGTTGGACTTGGACCGTGAAAGAGCGGGTCCTTTTTGGGACTGGTATCGGGAATCGCGCGCCTTGGATTGAGTTTGGGACCGTCCTTCCGATTGTGCATAGTTGCTGTTGTAGGCATTTGTCATGTAGTCCACATCTTGAATCCGTAGGCCGTTGGATTTCAGCCAAGTCAGGAAGGGCTTGAGCTGTCCCCAACAGGCGGTGACCACGCTCAGGCACTGGGTGAGCATCTGTAGTATTGTCACCACGCACATTTCGTAGGTAGGGTCGGTGGTCTCGGTGATTCTTCGGGTGAGAATCAGTTCGGCGAGCACGGTACCGATCACCCTGTCAGACAAGATTGTCAGCTTCAGCTCCAAGATGGCCATGAGTATCACACATAGAAACCTACAAGACGCGTGGAAGGAAAAGACTCGTGATTAATAGGCGCTTTGTGAGAGACGTTTGGACACGATGGGTTAGAAGAATGCCTTGGGCGAGGATCAGAATTTCAGTGACAATGTTTGAGGCGCAGACAAAGTATCTCCAAGCCGCCTAAAAGTCCCATTAGCTTATACCACTGGCTCTGGGTGCATTCCTACATACCAGATCAAAGCAGTTGTTGGACCAGAAGTTCCAAGTGCCCGGCACCGAGCACTGGAAGGCAGTGCCGAAGATGCTCACCACCGCCCATACGCCTATGGCAATTGCTAGAAACAGCCCAAAGAATCGATCGTTCGCCGTCTGCGTGAGGTTCCGCATGAATAGTACCAGTGATATCTTGGAGGCGCAGATGCTGGCGAGGTAGAGTATAGAGCTCGCGTAAAGGTACTAGAGACCACGGCGATCGGTTAGACATCGGTTTCATCTTAGAGCTGCCGTACTTCTTACCTTCATCACCGTATCAAATTCCGGCAATGTCACTTCTTTAAGATGTTTCCCGTAGCCCGAACCGACGGCCATGGACACGCAGATACTCTGGACGACACACAATACCTACGCGGACCCTGTTAGTGCACCTTGAACTTTCGAATCGTTACCTCGGCCCAGGTTACATACCAATGAGGCAATAATCGCAACATCGTCGCTCGTGAACTTGTGAAAGATTCGAAATTTCGTCCCCAGCCGTGCAAACACACTGAGTATAGCCGTCACCAGCAACACCCAATTAGTCACATTGACCGCGGGATCATTGTTGTCGCCCTTGAACCTGGTGCCCATATCTAACAGCGAACACGGTAAGAAGGTGGGGGGGAAGGAACAAATGCATGTAACTTCAGAAAGTCCCGAGCCCACGTTTCTATTATATCGGCAGATGGTCTAGCGCTGACACTGCGTTATCGGCAGCAAAGCCAAAATCCTAATCCCCGTCGCAGCTCCCGGGAGAAAAGCCATCATTCGTCCAATCAACGATGATGAGGACGTGCAGGGATTTCCACATTCCCACCACTCACTGCGCCCACAATCTCACCTCAGTGCCGAGCCACGGCCTCCCCGGTTCAGCTGGCGTCTGCTACACACGCTCATAGGCCGCTAGCAATAGCCTAAGCACAGGCCTATCAACTCCAAACAGGGGCCAATCATGCCCCCGTGTAAGCTATCAGTCTGTGACCCGATCGACCGGATTGTCTCCCGCGGGCACCATCCTTCAAGCACAGCCAGTTCTGAAGTTTTTTGCCCCTCACTGCTTATTCAAATAGCGACGGCCTGCCCCTCTAGCCAACCGCCAGTCTGGCTGGCCGGCCTGATGTGATACGAGACCCACCGCCAGAGGCTTAGACAGGGGTAGCCGGGCTTCGGGGGGCGTCCTGTTGGTTGGGCGAGCACAGATCGGCGGGTCGGTGGAGCCGGCGCGGGTGGCCGTCTAGACCAGCCAGGTGGTGTCCTGGGCATCCCGGGGCTTCACGCCAGTGCGGCAATTTTTGTAGGGGGATTTTGCATGCGGGGCGTGGTTTTGCAAATCCAAGATAAACGGGCTGGTGCAACATTCCTACGGAGGCCCCTGTTAGCGTGGGCTGTGGTATCCCTTTTGTATTCCGCTCCTCCCCCCTAGCTTCGACTCTTTATCGTTTCCTTCGGTCTCTTTATCTGACGCTGCAACCATGGCGTACGAATTGAAAGACCGGACAACTTACAGTAACAAGGAGGCACAGATCGGTGGAAATCGGGATGATATTCAGCTTCAGCGCCTGGGGAAGAAGCCCGTGCTAAAGGTATGTATACGTGGTTGAGGTGGTCTTGGCGTATTTGGTATCCGATGTGGACTGACCATGGTGTATAGCGAAACTTTGGGATTCTGTCTTTGCTGGGCTTCAGTTGTACAATCCTCTCAACCTGGGAGGGATTACTGGGGTACGTCATCCGGTCTGTTTAATCTCACAAACGCGAGTTCTAATCAACAGGTCTGAATAGTGCCTTTGTGGAAGCTCTGGAAAAGTTCGTACCACCCTCGCCGTCATGTTTCCAAGGTTCAATCTGACATGCTGACTCACATGGCGTAGTGGTGGCTCTGCTGGTGCAGTCTATTCTTTCATCTATGCTTGGACCGGTACTGGTTGCTGCTTTATTGTCCTGGCAGAGTTGTCGTCGATGTAGGTACCACCAATCGGATATTTCGAATCCCTTATTAACCTTGTTAGGGCACCCACCTCTGGAGGGCAATACCATTGGGTTGCCATGCTGTCCCCGAGGAGATATATGAGGTTTCTGAGTTATGTCACAGGTAGGACAAATCAGTGGCCCATGCATTCGGATGTTATTTAACGAGATTCTCAGGTTGGCTGACGACAATTGGCTGGCAAGCTGCCTTTGCCTCGGCATCCTTTATGTGCGGAACCCAGATCCAAGGCGTCGCCATCCTTGTCTACCAGAACTATATGCCTCAACGTTGGCAAGGAACCCTAATTGTATGGTGCGTGCTCCTTGTGGCCTTGGGGATCAACGTGGCGGGTGGAAAGCTTTTGCCTCGGCTGGAGAGTCTCATTCTGGTGGTTCATATTCTTGGATTCTTTGGGATCATGATTCCCCTCGTTTATATGTCTGATCACAACTCGGCCCGAGAAGTGTTCTTGGAATTCAACAATGGCGGTGGCTTCCCAACAGATGGACTTTCCTGGTTTGTTGGAGCCACCGGCTGCGTCTTCGCATTTGCTGGCGGCGATGCTGCAGTCCACGTACGTATTATGCAAGCCTCGCCGAAATTGTCCCGGCTAATAATTTTCACAGATGGCCGAAGAAGTCGCCAATGCATCCACAGCCATCCCGAAAGCGATCATCACTACGGTTCTCATTAACGGTAGCTTGGGGTTCGGTATGCTCATTGCCGTTCTTTTCAGTCTTGGAGATATCAAGGCGGCTTTGAACAGCTCGACTGGATATCCATACATGGAAATCTTCTACCAAGCCACTGGGTCCATCTCAGGCTCCGCTGGTATGGTTTCCGCCATGCTTGTTGTTGGCGTGGCATCCAGCGTCGGTATGCTGGCCGCGACATCTCGTCAGTTCTGGTCATTCGCCAGAGACAGGGGTATTCCTGGGTGGCAGCTTTGGAGCAAGGTAGAGTCCCCTCGCCCGGAGGCAACTGGCAAAAGCTTATTTGTCTTCTCCAGGTTTCCTCTCGCAGCTTGCCAATGTATTCGATCTATATCACAATGACTATCTCTGTCCTGCTAGCGCTGATTAACATTGGCTCACCAACAGCCTTGAACGACATTCTTTCGATGGCCGTGTCTGCCATTTACACCTCTTACCTTGTTGCCGGGTCACTCCTTCTATGGCGCCGCTCCACAGGCTTTATCTCACTTTACAACGACAATGATGATATGACGGTCAACTTGCCCGGCGCAAAGTTAGTGTGGGGCCCATTCCGCGTCCCCGGGATCTGGGGCATCCTGGTCAACGCCTACGCTGTTATCTATATGATTATTGTGATTTTCTTCAGCTACTGGCCATCTATGATGCATCCGACGGTTGCGGAAATGAACTACAGTGTCGTGGGCACCATGGGATTTTTGATCCTGGCGATTCTGTATTACTTTGTGTGGGCCCGCCGGAGCTACCAAGGTCCGGTGGTCGAAGCAATGCTCTAAACTCAGACGGTCTAAAGTTCAAGGCATGCAAACATTGATAGTTGATTTGCAGAAAAATTAATTGACAGAGCCAGAGGCTGGAGGAAATCTTGAACAAAAGGCATCCAGGATAAGCTTCTTCGCATTAGATGACAAGTTTACCTTCGTCGATACCGACTCCATTTTAATACTATACTATGGATTCTCTCATGCTGCACGCTGTAAATAATAGCAGGAGTACTTTCGTCTTATCGCCTTATCGAATCGAACGGTTACACCGTGGCTTGCCCTACTAGATACGACATTAAATATTCATAGATGATGGACGCAAAAGGCACCATGAACTGCCAACTGAAACTGTATCACACGGCTTTTCTAAGGTTTAATCTCTTCGGAAATCCGCTTTCACGGATTCAGCGAATTTATCATCCACCAATATCTGGCAAGCCACAACAGCCATCCCAGCAGCACAGGCAATACTTCTGTCATGCCCTTCCGGCGAGCCAGCCCCGCTCGTAAATTCTGGAGTATGGTTGACTCCGTCCGCTGGAATGGGAAAAAGTCCATGGAATCCGGGGACCACATAAGAAACATTTCCTTGAAGAACAGGGTGAGCATAATTTATTCCAATGATTCGAGAGGGGACTCACCCATGTCCGTAGATGCACCGGCTAAAGCTCCGTTTTGCGCTGAATTATCAAGGATCGTATGATATCCCATGGCTCTCATTGCTGACACATAGCTCTCGCATATGGGCATGTTGCTCTTCAAATCATCGTATGATATCCCCCTGTCAACAATGATTAGGACCATACTACGTAACAGGTGGTGCTTGAGAGTAATTACCAGTTGAATTCGACCTTGCAGCCAGTCGCAGTCGCCGCAGCCTCAAAGCACTTCACAACTTTCTCTGTTAATGATTTGAGCGACTTCTTGGTGGGTGAGCGGATGTAATAATCTACTGTCGCAGACATCGGGATAATATTCGGACGGTCCCCGCCATTTTTGATGACGCCATGTATCTTCTGGGAAGGAAGAATCTGCTGTCGGAGAAGCGAAACGTTGACGTATGCAGAAACAACTGCATCTAAAGCGTTGATACCTTCCCACGGTGCAGCTGCAGCGTGAGCTGGCTTCCCAGTAAAAGTGATTTGAACTTTGTCGTTCGCAAGGAAGCCACCTTCGATGACGGTGGCTATGCTCACAAAGTCAGGACTTCCTGGAGTCATTGGGATTGGATGAACCATGAGGCAAGCGTCGACATCTTGGTAGGCTCCAGCATCGATGAGTTTAACTTTACCACCACCCGACTCTTCTGCGGGAGTTCCTAATAAGCGAACGGTGAATCCAGCTCCGGAAGCTGCCTTGGGATGGCTTTTCATAGCCTCGCAGGTAGCAATGAATGCAGCTATCGAGCTGGTGGCAATGAGATTGTGTCCGCATGCATGTCCAATACCGGGGAGCGCATCATATTCAGCGTTGAATACCACGACCCGCCCTCCGTTGCCATGCTTGTACTCAACCTCCAAGGCAGTCGCTAGGCCATATGCTTTCGGTCGTACTTGGTAGCCTTCTGACTTGAGACTGTCGAAGAGTTGGCAAATGTGGTCATGGGCTTTGTATTCTTCGTATGCAAGTTCCGGATCGGACCAGATCTGCACAAGTCAACACTTTGAAATGACAGTATAAGATTTGCCTCTCAAGTACCTTATGGTTAATATCTTTCAGTTGAGCATCGTACCGGCGCAAAGCTTCTTGCACGCGATCGAGAAACGCGTGCTGCGATTCCGGGATATGCATATTGACTATAAATCATATAAATCCAGGCTCATCAATTAGAATACCCTCTGAATGAATGACCTGCCAAAGTGGCCACTTTTATACTACAAGCGCAACACCCCTCGACGCTTGTCCACTGCTCATCGGCTGGACCAGCCTATTCCGTATTAGGTTAGTGTGTATTTGCCGATGCAACCAATCGGCAGCTGCAGTCTTATCAGTAACTAGCAGCGATAAGCTATCTTGATAAGCGTAGGCCGGTTCACCTGTGTAGACACCTGCGCCGCGTACAATGAGATCCTCTTGAGGCTCTCGTTAAGGAAGATACGTATGCACTATCTGGCAAAGAAGGGATATTTCCTGTTTGGAACCCCAGAATAGCTCGGTTCCAAGGGATCTGATGCCTGCATGCTGCACGGATAGTGGACCCTTGTATCTAACCGAATTTGGTCAAGCGTGTTCTACTCGGCAAAGATAGCACGTTCCCCGGCTTTCTACTTCCCCTCAGAGGACTAATTTGTTCTTCGTCTCTTCCCCGCTTCACTAATCCTATATCAATGCTTGAGTGGTCAAGCTATAACATAGGCAATCGTGTGCCGATTGATTGTAGCCGACAGCCAGTTCGTCGGCAATCTTCGCAATGCATCAGGTCGGCAAAACACGTTCCAAGACAGGTAAGGATTGCCTCTTCATCCCCTGCCGACACCACTAATTCGTGACGCAGGATGTCGCACTTGCCGGATGCGCAAGGTTAAATGTGACGAAGAGAAGAACAGGGTCCAGGGCCTAGCAGAACCGCAGTGCAAGCGCTGCAAATCGGCACGTATCCGCTGCGAGTGGAAAGGTGGGCCTATTCCGCGCAAGCGGACGGGGACTTCTTCACCGATCTCGCAGAAGCCCCGATCCAAATCCCAACAGCTCAATCACGATGGGGGTAATGAGTACGACTGGAAATCTCCCAACGTGGAGCCTCATGACGTGCAGGGTGACGGGGCGCTCCTCTCGCCCTTGCAACGTATTGATACTGAACAGCCGAGTGTCTGCCTGGAAGCTGCCAATTCGCTGAAGATCACTGCAGTGGACCGCGAATGTATCGATTACCTTCGAACATCCACATTGGTGATTGTCCTTGGGAAACACTGGCCTTGGTCGACCGTGTCCTATGCATATCATAAGATTGCTGTCACACAGCCCATGGTTATGAGCATGATCTTGGCGAGTACCGCAAGGGAAATCCATAGATTGCGTGTCAGTGATGATCAATGTTTCTTGAGTGATTCCAGTGCGTACGAGCCATTCGAGTTGAGTGGCCAGGCACATTATGGCCAGGCATTATGGGCGCTCCGCCAGGCTCTCAAAGAGGATGTCAAGTCGCCGCAGGATATAGAAGCTATATTCATCACCCTATGGCTTATAATTGATTACGAAAACAGATTTGGTGGCGGGGAACCTGCCATTCATATCCATATACGGGGAATAGAGACTATGTTTCACAATCATGTTGCCCCTTTACTTCACAGCATACCGCACAGCCCGGGCTCGTCAATAGTACTTCCAAGTCCGACTTCGGCATCTCTCCAACTTCAAATGCCCGAGGACCGGATAAGTGAAGACATTGACTGGGTCAGTCTGGAGGACCCCTACCTAACAAGGACAGCAAACCTATCTCCAGCCCAAATATCGCTGGACGGATTAAGCAGTACTTCAGTCCCCCTCTTCCTGCTATGGACCCTATACTTCTTCACCCCCTTCCGCACATGCATTTGGTCCCGGTATCTCGGGAGTGGACACGGATATCTTCCGATTCTTTCTCGGAGCTGGAAGCCGCACCAAAGGCCGTCTAACTCTATCTGACCTCTATCGCATTAGTAGACAATCTGCCTCCCGCTTCTGGGGCGAGGATTACCCGTTGTCGGCCCAGTTGGATGAGTTGGAGAATCTTCCCGGTCTGACACTGTACCACCGCAGCCACGTCATACAGTTCCGCATTACCGAACTGTTCAACCGTGGTCCGACTGTAGACACGGATATTCAGGGTTCATCCCAGTACCAGTGTCTAGTGGACGACATCCATATCCTGACCAGCGTAAGTTCTGTGCGGGCAAATCTTCCGAGCGGATCGAATTAATTTTACTTTCCTCAATTAGGAATACGATACGGTTCTTACAACGGCCCGTTTAACTTCCTCTTGCGACACCGGCGGCGATGGCCGTCGGGTTTTGGAGACTGTCTATTGGGCTTCTATAACATATTACAGCATGATTGTTTATTTTCAGCTTTGCTTTCAGGACATCTTCACTGGGCGGCGTAACCAAAAGACAAATAATATTATGTCTCTTCGCGACGCCGTGTCTCAGGTCCTCGAACTGAGCTTGAAGCTGTATCGCAGCCGCCCACGGCTCATGGCGAGAATTTCTTGGCCCCTTTTCATTGCGGGGATAGCGACCTCTGATAGAATTTATCAGGACTGGGTATCAATACGGCTCCGTGAGCTGGGACGATATGGTCAGAACTACGCTCGGATGAGCGAAAAGTACGATGAAGTTATCCGTGCGGGTGCCCCAAATATACATCGCGTGATAAGCACAGTTCTCGGCTCCTAAGCCACCGAGCTTGACAATCCTATACATGATTTATGAAATTTATTCAATACAGATACCCGCTCGTACTAGTAGTCCCCACTGGCACCATGCTGTCCTAACATATTTCCCCAGAGACACGACTGAAATAGTCTTCGTCACACACGGAAACGAGCGAAACGAGTGGCGGGACCTCGGGATCCGTCGCCAAGCTTTGCTAAGCACCAGGCGACCCGCCGGGGCGCTCCTTATCAGCGCCGGAGTTTTGCGACTTTTCAAGCGCGACATCCCCCTTTACAAACCACACTTCTCGGGTCAAATAGCTCCTGTATGGCGCCTTCAATCCCAGACGAGGAGACGGGCCTTGCGTCCAAAACTCCAACGAAACCGTCTGAAGCCGATGAAGTCCAGGTAGAACCCATCGTGGAAGGTCACCATGGGAGTATCCTCAGCCGCGTGACCGCGCGGCTGCACTCCCTCAATTTTTTCGAGACCCGCGGCATAGAGCGCGTGCCGGTCGAGGAGCGCCACGAGGCCAAGGCTTCGGATTATATGCAGATGGCGCTGCTTTGGTTCAGTACGAATATTACTGCGAATAATATGGCGGTGGGTATGTTGGGCCCGCTGGACTATTCGCTGGGTTTCGTGGACTGTGCGCTCTGTGCAACCTTTGGAGCGTTGCTCGGGGCTGCGGGTGTGGCGTATATGGGGACGTTTGGGCCAGTGAGTGGGAATCGGACTATGGTACGTTCAGAGCCCTTGCAGAGAAGCGAGACTGGCGCTAAGGAGTCTGTCTGCTCAGGTGGTCGCGCGTTATTTCATGGGGTATTACCCGAGCAAGATTGCGTGTCTGCTGAACATGATCATCATGCTTGGGTATGGGATGATTGATTGTCTGGTCGGAGGACAAGTTCTGTCCGCTGTCTCCGATGGCAAGATGCCTATTGTGGTGGGGATTATCATCATCGCAATCATCAGTTGGCTCGTTGTATTGTTCGGCATGAAAGTATTCCATACATACGAAAGGTGAAGGGCCCCGCATCGCAATGCCCCAGCACAAGATCTGACAAGTCTCTCTACAGATGGGCCTGGGTCCCTCAATTCGTCGCAGTGTTCGTATTAATTGGCAGCGCTGGCCCTAAATTCGATACTTCCATTGAGTCAACCGGCTCCAGCGAAACCATCGCAGGGAACCGACTCTCATTTTTCTCGCTCTGTCTCTCTGCCGCCGTAGCGTGGGCTCCGGCTGGCGCAGATTTCTATGTCTATTTCCCGCCCACCACATCCAAATGGAAGACCTTCCTCTTGACATTTCTCGGCGTCGGACTCGCCATCACCTTCGCGAACCTGGTGGGTATTGGTCTAGCGTCCGGGACTCTGACTCAGCCGTCCTGGGCGGACGCCTTCAACACCTCCTCCGGTGCCCTGGTCGTTGCTGGATACAGCGGTCTCGGCGGCTTCGGCAAGTTCCTCGGTGTACTCGTCGCGCTTGGTCTGATTGCAAATAACATCCCGGGGACCTATTCTGCGGGCCTCGGGTTCCAAATCATGGGGCGCTATTTGGCAAAAGTTCCTCGGTGGCTTTTGTCAACGGTCGGCGTGGTTATATACACTGCCTGCGCGCTGGGCGGGCGGAATGAGCTGTATGAGATTTTCGAGAATTTCCTCGCGTTAATGGGGTACTGGGTCACGATCTACCTTATGATCGCTTTCGAGGAACATGTGATCTTCCGTCGAACTAGGGGGTTTGATTGGGATGCCTGGAGCGATCCGTCCAGGTTGCCGGTCGGCATTGCAGCTCTGGCTGCTTTTCTGGTGGGGTGGGCAGGGGCAATTGTTTGTATGGATCAGGTCTGGTATGTTGGGCCCATTGCGAAGATGGTTGGGGAGGATGGATCTGACCTGGGGATTTGGGTGGGTGTCTCGTGGGCTATGTTGGTATTCCCTCCCTTGCGATGGTGGGAGTTGAAAAAGTTCAACCGATAGGTTGAACATATTTGTATGAGTATTACTATGTATCACCTCCATCTGAGAATGATCTATGAAGAATTTGAATGTAAGGATGAATTGAATCTCGATTTGTTACGTTCAGGTTCCAAGACCGTGGAATACCGTATAGTGAGACCCGGTAGCTGGGGTCGTTTATGCTCCATAGTAAACTAAAGTAGCTTCTCGGCGTTATCGTGCCTGATACCACTGGCAGTTCAAAGTCCATTCCAAATCCGTAGCATCTCCAGCTTAACGTTTCAATCATCATTCATGAACTCACTTCATCGCATGGGTCATCATGGCATTTCTTTCAGGACCCTCTGGCCGGGCAAAGGAGGTTGCAAGAAATCCTCGGGAGCATCCTCGGGCAGTTGATTTGCTTCTGCCCAGTCACGGATCTCTTCGAAATTTTTACATTTGTGCTGAGTATTGAAGTTGATGAACGGCTCTGGATCCTCTGGGTATATCCAGACCTGGCCTAGAACCCCAGTGTCAACCGCACACATCAGCTGCTGTCGCAGTATGTCGAGGCAGTGCGCTAGAAGATATGTTATGAGTAAAGCTAAAGCTAAAAATGAAAAAGGTTGGGCGACTCACAAACCTGATGTCGGACAATATAGTTATTGTTGGTGAAGACGCCCTCAGCCTGTTCGTGGTAGTAATCGTAGTTATAGTAGAGGGACTTTCGAAGAACATTCTAGCACAGTAAGTTTCGTTCCTCTTCATTTTGGGTTAAACGGTGGCTCTTAACATACCAGGCAATGAAGGTGGTGAAGTCCTTCCACGTATGCTGGATAGCCACCGCCATATTCCTCTCTGATCCTGACCTGGTCCGAAGCAATGTTCGATTCCGAAGCCTCGTTGAGTGAAATTCTCACAGCGCGGTCTAAGAAAACAGCAATTAGATTTCATCACGACTTGAAGTGAAAAACTGGAAGCTCACAGTTCACCCCCAACGATTCCCACGCTGCATCAACTTCAGGGCTAGCATCCTGTCGGAAGATATTCTCCTTTAGAAGCGACCCGTTGAATTCTTTGGTGCCAAACTTGACACCCACATCGCGTATTAATGGTGCTTCAACGGTCAATACAAAGTGGAATGGCACTATGCGGGGTATTCCTTACAGTATTGGGAAACATGCTCACTGCACAGCCCATCCAGATCACCCCTCCAGAAGAAGCCGACGAGAATACCCACCAGAAAGATGATGCCAAGGATTGTGAAATGAAGGAGAGTAACGGCAAGATCGCCCAGTCGCTGTGGCTCCTCGTCTCCTGTCCAGAGACCACCCTCGACAGCTAAGAGGCGCTCAGCGCTTCCCCTGTCTTCGTCTTCCAGGCATCGAGACTTGGTGAAGATCATTTTGGAAGCTCTTCGAATCGGCTTTCGGATGGCGTGAAAGAGACCGCAGGAGTCCCCTGAGGTGAATGCGCCCAGCTTTCGTCAGCACTAATGGGGTGGACAAGCGAGCCTATTTTGGACACGGATAGACCGCTACTGCACAACCGAGCTGCCCTTGCTAGGCAGATTAAACCTCCTTCGAGCTTCGAGCTCGAAGGTCACCCCATTCAGACTATCCATTGACGTAAGTTCTGCATGTCTTACACGTTCCTGGTCCCATGAGCTCCGGAAAGCATGGTATCATCGTGGACCACCGGAAGAAATCCCAGGGGGTCGACAGGAATAGAACATGAGAAACTCTATGGCGTAAGAATGTCTTGTCTACCCGTTGATCTGCACGAGCCCCAAGTCCTCGGCTGGAATGCGGTTAAGCCCCTTAGAGGAAGGATCGACACCGTCAGTCCGCTATTTCTGCACGTCGATGCGAGGTTCATCATGCAAAGCTTGAAAGCGGTAATGTAAGACACCCAATGCGAGGGCAAGGACTTACATGGACTTCTATATGCCGCATATTAGCCTGCCATCCAAAACCACTGAAATCATGTTGCAGCTACTTCCGCGCTGAATATCTCATCCCCGCAAGGCGGAGCGATGGCTGGCTGCACGTTCAGCTCGTGTCCCTTACAGGAAGACCACAATTGCGGGCAAACTCAATGCTGCGATGTAATGTCCCAACTCAGACACGGCCATCAGATGCTGTGAAAGCCCCGCTTTCCAAGTAAACACCGACTGAGCTACGTAATCGGAGCTCTCAATCTACTGCATAGCTCAAGTATAAATATAGGACCAAAGGACCGTCAATTCTGTTCTGCATCTCATCAATCCAAATCATCTCCTCTATCCACCAAAAAAAAAAGCGAAAGCATTCAAAAACGCAGAAAAGGAAGATCCAATTGCATTGATCAAAAGCCATCAAGATGCGCTACACTCTGATCAACGGTCTTCTCCTTCTGGCCTCGCCTTTGGCTTCTCTGGCCCTGCCCCTTGACCCCAACCCTAACGACCAGGGCGGTGTCTGGGACCCCAGTGGGCAGTACCGCAAGGGCCATTACGATAGCGCGGGCAACTTCATCCCAAACGACGGATATAACGGTGACCAGTACAATGACCAGTACAACGACCAGTACAACAACGGTCAATACAATGGTCGGTACAACGGTCAGTACAATGGCCAGTACAACGGCCAGGACCGCGACAACTGGAACAACGACCAGTACAACAACGGCCCCTACCAGCGCCGTTCTCTAAGCGCTCGCTCATTCGGTGATCGGCGCAGCCGAGTGGGTGTGCCTGGTATCAACGTGCCTGGCCTTCATGCCCGCAACTGGCCCTACGACCAGAACAACGATGGCTGGACTGACGCCAACGGCCAGTGGCACCCTAACAACAACGGTAACAACGGGCAAGGCTGGACTGATGCCAACGGCCAGTGGCATTCTACCGACTACAGCCAAGGCTGGACTGACGCCAATGGACAATGGCATCCTAACAACAACGGTAACAGTGGCCAAGGCTGGACTGATGCCAACGGCCAGTGGCACTCTACCGACTATAGCCAAGGCTGGACCGACGCCAATGGACAATGGCACCCTAACAACAACGGTAATAACGGCCAGGGATGGACGGACGCCAATGGCCAGTGGCACCCCAACGCCAAGCGCAGTCTCCCTGCTACTGCCAACATGCCCGGTGTTGGAGCTGGCGCCGGTGGCCTTGGTGCTGGTATCGCAGGCTCTCCCACTGTTGCTGGTCAACCCGGCGCTGCAAAGCTCCGCACTGGTGCCGTCCCTAGCCTTGGTGCTGGAGCAAACACTATGGGCAAGCCCGGGGCTGCTACCTCGCCCCTTCAGGCCCGTCACTACAACCCCAACGACGATAACAACGATGAGGATGACTATGAGCGCGAGCGTGAACTTGACCGCGAGGACTATGACCGCAACCGTGAGGAGGACCGTCAGACTGCTGAGGAAGTGATCAGCGATATCGGCATCGTCCCTCGCTTTTGGCCATTCTCTGACAACTGGCACCGCCACCACTACGATGACAACGACTACTACAACGACTGGAACGATGACTACAACAATGACTACGGATACGACGACAAGTGCAAGCACAACGACTACAATGACCGCTCCGGCTTCTCCTGCCGCCACGACTGGGACATGAACCGCGGCCCTACTCCCACTCCCCGTGTCGCTGCTCGCAACTGGCCCACCAGCAACACCTGGAACCATGGACCCCAGACTAGTGGTACCCCCCGCTATGGCGACAGCGGCAGCTACCAGAACGACGGGTCCTACCAGGGCTCCACCAAGAAGGTCGAGAACCAGGACCGCGTCCTGAAAGCTACTGCTACTAAGACTAAGCAGTAGATTGATTTCCCTTCCAGGGTATCTACACAATCCATCTCGGTACGTCCATACACTTCTTGGTATTTCTTTCCACAACTGACCAGAACTTAGAATGGACCTTGAAGAATTGTGATTGCAGGGCATTTTGAATGATCTGATGCATTTGATGAGTTTTGTAACGAGAACACGAACTGTATACGCTCTTTTATGTTGCATAGCTACACCACTTGGCTTGTGGAATCAGCTCCGTGAACGAGGAATCGGAGATTGCGACCGATAGTTAGAAGAATAAAACTGGTTTTTAAGTTACTTCATGAGCTCACGTAAGTTGAGTCGATTTCTCCCCAGCGAACGTTTGAAAATGTCACGGAGGTCTCTGGGTGCTCCTCCTTGATAAGATCCGGATCCCCTTGAGTGGAATCGCATGGCCCCGCGGTATCACTATCCAACCAGTTCAGGTAGTCGGCCGCATCATTCCAGATACTGAAGACCAGCACCATGCCGCGCCCTAGAGCTCGTCCAATTGGCTTCAGGCCCCCCATTGTCTGGAAGACACCCGGATACTCCGCTTGACAAAACCCGTCAGTCATCGCAACCACATCCCTTCCGTCAATCGCGACTGCAGCATTCTGAATAACCTTACCCCCCTGAACATACAATCTTCGAACCTCCTGCAATGTGCCTTCGTCCGTAGCATCGTCTGTCACGAACTGCGTCACCACCGTGAAGCCGCTCGCTGTATCAACCACCTTCCCCTGTCCGTAGAAACTATGATTCCCCATCTTGTACGGATTCCAACTGCATCCAATCTTATCACAAACTCCTTCACTCCCCGTCCCACACTCATCCCCAGCACACTCATAAAGGCCCTCCTTCGTACAAGCGTGAGGAGTAAACGCCGTAGCCTCCGCATTCGCCTCCCACAGATCCATCTCCGCACAACACGCCCCCTTCGCCTGCACGTTAGCCACCCCGTTAATCCACGCCGGATGAAAACACTGCGTATCACAATACCCAGTCCCATACTGCGCCCCAGCAGGATTCAACTCACTCCTGCCCCCGCTCTGCATCATCTCCGACAAATAAAGCGCCCCGTTCATCCCACACCCCAAATCCGAAACATCAACATCAAAGCTAACCTCCCGGTTCAAAAGCTTCAGCAGATCGTACTCCTGCCCCGCCTCATCAAGCAGATATACCCGCGGCGACATCGCCTCGTATCCCTCCGCAGAGGGCATATAATTCCGCAATGTAAGCGCGTCTCCGTCCGTCCGGACTCCATGCGCTTCGTAATCCGCGCCTTCAATCACGCACGCCTGGGCACATTCTTCTGCGCTCGCGCAGGCGGCTTTCCAGTTCGTGCATGAGACGCTGGTGTTGTCTGCTTTGTGCATTGGGTGCGCGAGCGCGTCGAGGACCAGCGAGCTGTTTTGCTCGACGCAGCCGTGGGCGTGGCTGCATTGGTAGGTGCGCAGTTTGGGGTGAGTTTCTGGTATGCTGCCGATTTGTTGAGCGGTGATTGGGGAGATTAGGGCGAGGATGGTTGTCCATCGCAATGTGTGGCGTGGCATTTTGATTAGCGGTTTATTATTATGATTTTTCTTTTTTCGAGGTGAGTGCAATATCGGCGGTGCCCTTTTGTTATTTATGTCGATTGACGTGTTGGAAATTGCATCTGGAGCGACTTCGAAGGTAAAACAGGGCTCGTTTCAGATGGGCGGCATGTTTGATTTCAGGTCGTGGTCAGGTATGGGGTGGGTTTTAGGTTGAAAGAGGGCATTTATAGATCGGGGCTTCGATTTCAGGGGTAGTCGATTATATTTGGACAGATTGCAATTCATTTTTGAAAGGTTTGTTGTGAGCGTTAGTCGGGAATGTGCCATTGGTATCCAGGAGGCGCTGTAGGGCACGGGGCCGAGCGATGCATTTGTACGGACCTTCTTTTTTTGAAAGGAAAAAAAAATGAAATGAAATCTAATAATTGATCAATAAGTTAAGCTTGGGAAAACCTCATGCTGGACAAGTCCATAGCTCTCAATGCTGGAGGAATAACGGAGTCGACGGGGCTCAACTCTGAAATAGAGGATCACGTTTCACCTTGCATGAAGGGTTCGTGGTTTCGAACTATGAACCGCAGGTGGCCCGTTCGCACAGTTTTAGGTACTGGGCTATCGGGTGACGAAGTAGAAGAACACCACTTGATTTAATACTAAGAAGAAGATGCGATATGAGAATGGTCATGTATTGCCTAAATGAGTGATACAATACGGATCGAAGATGGAAAGCTCGAACAGGAGGCGTGTCAGTCATGTTGAATTGACTTCAAAAGTAAAATCCGCAAAGAGAATTCGACATAATCAGCGTATCATGGGACTTGCTTTAATAGTCAGTTCCACGGCTGATGACCTCTTTATTGCAAGGTCCTAGTAATACGGTCTAGAACAGGTTAGCACACCGAATCCAATGATATCTAGGTAGGTGCCTTCAAGCTTACATGTTCAAATTGAGCAGAGTAGGATCCCTCAATATCCATAAGAGGTGGATAGACGTCCATGACCCCTTGAGAAACAAGGTTGTTCATCTAACATAATTAGCATTCGGTTTAAACAATACTCCCCGGACAAAATACTCACAGCCGCCAGGTAACGATTAACCCCCTAGACGTTCAAGACTCCGGCGATTGAACACAATGGTACCAAAATTCTCATTGATCTTCTTGTAAAGGGCTTTGGCAGAGGTAAAAGGTGTCACCACCCGCTTCGGGGCCTCATAGTCCTTTCCATACCCATAAACGCCGGTCTATGAGATCGATGAGTATTGCGCCAAAGTCAGAGAAGGACATCTACATACCCCATCAACGGTATACCCACGGCCTGTGGTTCCGAACGTCTCAATGGCGAAGACTTCGCCTTCTTCCATCTTGGTCTGGTCCTTGGTTTTCACAAAGGGGACCGACTTTCCGGCATGGATCTTGTAAGGTTTTATGTTGTGGCCGGTGATATTACGCACTGGCTTGACAGGGAAGACCTTTCCGCCGATCTCAACCTCGTAGCTTTCCATGACTTCTTGGATAGCTGCACTAACATCGCTGATACGAACATCAACTCCGGCATTCTGTGGCTATGTTAGCGATGCCCGATACTTGAAAACGACTGACATACCCTGATGCCGGTGTTCGTAGAGTCTTTGACGGCGGTAAGCAAGTTGTCATAGATCGGGTCAAAAGACATGGTGAACGCACTATCAACGATCCAACCGTTGATGTGAACACCGAAATCGACCTTCATGACATCGCTCGACTTCAAGACAACTTCCGGCTGGCCCGGGTTCGGAGTAAAGTGCGCAACGCAGTGGTTGAGCGCTAGCCCAGGAGGGAATCCCAGTCCGGACTTCAGCGCACTTCCAGTCTCCAGCCCGGGGTTATCGAGCAGCGCTCTCACGCCATCTTCAATCCCCACTGCTAGCTCGGTGAGAGTCGTACCCGGGCGAGCAGTCTCCTGGACCCAGTGACGAACTTGGCGATGCACCTCCGCAGCCTTTCGGTAGTTTTGGAGCCACGTGTCGTCCTGCGCCTGGCGACGGGCCTCGTAGCGCTTCTCCTCGGCGGGAGTGCGGGCCGTTGTGTCGATGGGGCTCGCATATTCCTGAATCTCACCAGCAGGGAACTCGCCGGATGGGAACAACTGGTCCAATGGAACTCGAGGTGGGAAGGACTGCTTCAAAACAGCCTTCTTCTTAGGCTTCTTTCTTCTCTTCTTCTTGGAAGCGTTCGACGACGAGGGTTGCGACGTCAGCGACCCGGTAACAGCGCCAGCTTCGTCTCCGTCGCCGCCATCGTCGTCGCTGTCGCCATCTCCGAGGCTTCCATCACCGTCGCGGGACAGGTGGGTGCCGCGAGGTTCGCCGCCTGCTGCAGTAGCATTGGCTGAGTTCGACGGGTCGTCTAGCGCGGGTAAGTATGGCTGAAATTCTTGTGTCTGACATTGCTACGTACTACCGCCATTCTGGCTCTCGTGCTCAGGGGATTTGGCGCCCATGTCGACATCAAGATAATGATCTGGTCATACGATGTTGAGGGAAAAGTGTGGAAAGCTTGGAAAGCGTGGGGGGCCTAAATTCTTATCTGCGGGGCGGTCTGGTGTTCTTCAAATAGCATCCACATCCCTGAGCCACTTGGTAATACGCCGCAGTCTTATATTCCTAAGGAACCCTCCTTTTGATATCTCATGGATGTCTTGAACGATATTGTGTCTATCATACAATGACCTCCACTAGTATAATTTTGCCTTCAAACTAGCTAGGCAAAGCTCGAACCTTACGGGTACCGGGGGTCGCAGTACGGGTACTACTAATCAAAGGTCCTTGCATTATGTCCAACTAGCATGGCAGAAAAGCAGTAAGCAGCCTTCTCATCCTACTAGTACATTTACATTTCATTCAAGTTAGCGGGAATACTCTGCAAGACAGGGGGTACATAGACCCAATTCAGGCGCCAAATGGTTTGAATAGATCGTATAGTTCGCAACGGAATGTGATGCTCGAGTGTTTCGAACGAAGGTCACCGGGTCTTCCTCAGCATCTGACTGCTTGAGCCTGAGCGTTACTAGAAAGTTGATGGCAACCGAGTAAGTCATGATCACTGTTTTCTTCGTGAGACTCGGAAGGATCCAACATGTCGCATTCGCACAAACAATTAAACACTTGAAAGTACGAGCGCGACCTCTTCCGACTTCAAATAAGGTATAGCAAAGACAACCCCAGATCTGTGTAAGCGAAGAAAGCTTCTCATTTTAGAAGCTTCTCGTGCGTTTTCTCTCTTCTTTTGCAGTTTTTCGATTTCTTTTCGCGGCTCTCCCTACGTTGGATTTGGTAGTCCTCTATATAGGTAGTACCGATTGTAAAGAAATTCATCACGAGAGACCAGTCTCGTTTTGCTGCAACTGATGCAGAATCTGATTGACTTGTCTGGCCACATCCATGGATACAATGATAGCCAGGAGTAAGCACAAGCGCAGTGCCTCAGTGGATTTCAAGAACCCATATATCTGGATGCTGACCAGACCATACTACGAGGAATTCCTTCAAGTCTGTATATACTAGTACCATGCAACAGTTGGTAGATGAGTATATAGTAGGTTGGCTATGATGAGCAAAAGTGGTAAAAGTGATGTATGAGTCGATTGCGTTTTATCACTCCACGCGGCAGTACCCATCACCGCCTTGCCCGCACTGGAATTGATAGACGGCATCTCGTGAGGTTTGACAAGAACATCCTTACCTCCCACCGCCTTGAACTGCCCCCGTCCGTCCTTGCCTCTAGCGAAAAGATCCATTCCTTGTCGCTGAATTGCATATCAGCCTAAGCAGCGGGGGTTTCGGCGCCCCGGGGTTGATTCACCCAAACTCTGTGCCAGTTACCCAACCCACCTTTCGCCTGCGATCCCGGATCCGGTCCGAGTAGAGCCATATTACACAGAGACGACCGCCATAATGATGGAAGACTTCAATAGTGAGACAGATAGTGACTACACTAGCTACTGGAGAGACTGGGTAAGTGCGATCTGGGGACTGGTTGCGACTGCCATTTTGTGCCCCGCAGATACCCTGATCACTTGCTTTTAATACTCTCTCTGTGGAGTACAAAGTTCGCGCAACAACATCAGGATGTCTCGGATGGACTACAGATTTATGGTATTTCAAGACACGGCGCTTGATCTCTCGTCCCCGCCCACGAAATGAACCAAGCTCACGTGTTGTCTGGATCTAGTTCGTCTCCTCTCGCGGCAACGAGTACTTCTGCGAAATCGATGAGGACTACCTCACCGATCGCTTCAACCTGACGGGCTTGAACACCGAGGTTCCATACTACCAATACGCGCTCGACTTGGTTACCGATGTCTTCGACCTCGACGCCGATGATGACCTTCGCGAACAGATCGAGAAGTCCGCTCGCCATCTTTATGGCCTAGTACACGCGCGTTATATTGTCACGACTCGTGGTCTGGCAAAGATGGTATGCCCGAAAGAAGCACCTTGCATTGATAATGACGATTGACACCGATATAGCTGGACAAGTACAAGAAGTGCGACTTTGGAAAATGCCCACGCGTGATCTGCGACGGCCACCCCCTCCTGCCTATGGGTCAGTCTGACCTCCCCAGCATGAGCACCGTTAAGCTCTACTGCCCGAAATGCGAAGATATTTACAACCCCAAATCCTCCCGCCACGCCTCTATCGACGGGGCTTATTTCGGAACCTCTTTCCACTCCATCCTCTTCCAAGTCTACCCTGCTCTCAGCCCCGAGAAGAGCGTACGCCGTTATGAACCCCGTATCTATGGATTCAAAGTCCATGCTGCTGCTGCTCTGGCGCGCTGGCAAGACAACCAGCGAGAAGACCTGCACTGGCGTCTTAGGGACTTTGGTGTACCATTCAAGTTCATTGAGGACAGTGATAGCGAGGATGAAGATGTCGATTACGAATATACGGAGAAGGGTACCGAAGGCTCAAAAGACGACAAGGTGGTGGGGGACACCGCGTCGGGCCGCATGGACTTGAACAACTGAGGCTGCCCTGAGTCTTTCAACTTTCAAGCATTCGGCGTACCAAGGGATTTCCCAGCATTTTTATCTTTTGTGAAATGCGTTAACGAATAATGGCGTCTTTCGGGCCTGCGTGGGCGGGTCTCTAATGTATTTACACAACTTCATTCCCGAAGATCCAAATAAAGGAGATGCTAGTCCGCTTATCAGTTATGTACCGCCTGTTTGTATGATGCTGTCATGTCAATGCTTTCAGACCCTTTCGCTCCCGCCCAGGAATTCCGGCTCTGGAGCAATTCCCATTTTCTGCAATTCCACGAAAGTAAATTTGACTGCTCGAGCAAGCTCTTCCCCAATGCTCCATGCTTCATCATGCCCGCCACTAATGGGCAGGAAGCGAACATGTCGAATCCGATGGGCCAACTCTCGTTTAGGGATCTGGGCCTCCTTCGATTCCCAGCCCTTTAACGCTTCTAGAAGTGCGGTTTGCTGGCCCTCGTCTACGAGCTCATCATCCTTCGAATGCGCCAGCACGACCAGTCTCCCCGTCTTCCATCCACCTTCTATCCCGCGTGATCCTTCCATCTGCGCGGGTGATACAGCATCCCACAGTAACTCATCCGTCCCGAAAGCCCCCTCGATGATCTCTCGATAAGCAGGTGAATCGCGATGGTCATTTTGGAGCTTCCGCAGGTCATATATTCCCGCCACTCCAACGATAGCCATCGGATGTGCAGTCAACTTCGGCGGCAAGGGAGCAGGAGACATAGAGACCTGCTCCACGTCTATGCCGGAGTCCTCAGCCCCATTGAACGACTGCTCACGGTGCCCCGCGACAGCACCCATGACCGCTTGAAAAGCTAACGTCGCACCGCAGCTATGTCCGACCAGAATGTAGCGAGGCCCGAAATTATACGTATTCTGCAGAAATGCCAGCGCAGCTTCTACATCGCGGATATGATCCGGATGTTTCGCATCGCGATATTGAGTGACTGGGGTCTCCTTCTTATTCTGTGGGTAGTCGGGATGCGCGCTCAGTCGGTACGAGATCGAGGCAAAGCCGGATATTGGCAGGCCCGGGTAGCTTCGAAGGAGGGCTTCGGTGGGCTCGAAAGAGGATGCTGTGATGGTCGGGTCACGCCAAGCGCCGCCGTGGATGTAGCTGTGGCCTTGCGGTGAGCTCTCTGTTTGGATGACCTGCCTTGGAAATGCATGAGGGGTTGCCGTTGGAGAAACTTACACTACCCAGTATCCGTCCGGGTTTGAATCAATAGGAGATATGATTATGTTTTGGAGCTCATGGTGCCTTCCGTATGCCACCTGGCGCCTTTCTGGTGAGCTTGACATTTTTGATCGAAGTGCTCTTTCGCTTCTGTCCTTCGCGCAGAAGACGGTTGGGGACCCTTTCAACTGATAAACGATTGATATCGATAGGAAGCGGAAGCGGGACCGGATCTCCACATTATGACTAACGACATTATATGTTGCTTTTTGATTATTTTTGGGGAGGTTAGCTCCAGTAGTGCAGGGCAGACGGTCGCATTATTTTATTTGAGAGATTGAGTACATTACCAGGGTCTAATCGTCTGAACGAATGAATGAAGACTTGTTGCTCGTTGTAGCCGCTTTACAAAGGAAAACTACGGAGCACGGACAACGTTATAATACCGTAATACCCCTCCATAGCCCACCTTGAAGAGCCGCGACAATTGTCTGGTATTACCAGCTTCCCATACGAGGCTAAACCCGATCAGGATTTGCAGGTTGAATTGTTCTCACACAAACCGCTCGTCCCCGTCCACGAGTGTCACCCCCTCTTCTTTCGGTGCATCCACCTATTAAATATGGCTGAGTACGTTGAAAAGAACCGCTTTGTCATGATTCCATGCTAACTTGTATTCTAGAGCACAAGCCCCCATCACGGCCGTCAAGGTCGAGGCCCTGGTACGATTCCCGCAGTCTTGAAAATATGGCCTCCCCTCGCCAACCACAAATACTGATGCTCGGAACTCTAGGTGGTGATGAAAATCATCAAGCACGGTTCCCAGACGTTCCCTACCGTTTCAACCGGCTCCCTTGTCGGTATGGACGTGGACGGCACCCTTGAGGTCACGAACTCTTTTCCTTTCCCCGTTGTGGAAACCACCACCGAGTCGCACTTCGACAATGCCGCGCCGAACCCTGCCGCTTCTGCTCCTCGCGCCAAGGGAAACGCCGCCTACCAAGCCGAGATGATTCGCATGATTCGCGAGGTCAACGTGGACGCCAACAACGTCGGATGGTACACCAGTGCCAACATGGGAAACTTTGTCAACATGAACGTGATCGAGAACCAGTTCTACTACCAAAAGGAACTGAATGAGCGAACAGTCGCGCTTGTTCACGACGTTAGCCGCAGCGCTCAGGGAAGCTTGAGCTTGCGCGCATTCCGTCTCTCTGCTAAGTTTGTCGAGGCGTTCAAGGAGAACAAGTTCACCTCGGAGGAGTGTCTTCCCCCCCCCCCCAACAACACTATCGGCATATTGGTGCGATGAAAAGAGGTTTCAGAAACACTGACAAATCATCAAACAGCCTTCAAAAGTCCAACATCCGCTACCAAGACATCTTCGAAGAACTCCCTGTGGAGATCCACAACTCACACCTGATCACCACCTTCCTCCACCAGCTGCAGGGTCCCAGCACCTCAGGTCCCATTGAACTTCCTCTCTCTCTCAGTGCCCTTGAGGCCAGTCCATTCTCCAAGTCCTCAATTCTCACCCCCAACTTCGACAACCTGACCCTCAACATCGACCCATTCCTGGAGAAGAACTGCGACCTCTTGCTGGACAGCATCGAGGCCCACAACACCGAGACCAACAACTACCAGTATTACCAGCGCGTTCTTGGCCGCGAGCAACAGAAGATCAACAACTGGAAGCAGAAGCGCGCCCAGGAAAACGCCACCCGCTCCGCTCTGAAGCAACCCCTGCTCCCCGAGGACGAGTGGCAGCGCCTGTTCAAGCTGCCCGCTGAGCCCAGCCGGCTGGAGAGCATGCTCAACACCCGCCAGGTGGAGCAGTTCTCCCGCCAGGTCGACAGCTTCGTCTCGTCGACTACCGGCAAGATGTTCGCTGTCAAGGGTAACCTGCTGCCCGGCGAGACTGCGAACTAGATAACGTGAATGCGGATGAGGCTTTTGGGATTGCATGACCTTTTACGGCGTAGGGACGGAAAATGTTCTCTGGATGTTTATACAACTTCCTCTTTTGTTTCTTGTATCCGTGACGACGTCGAGTCTTTTCTTGTCTAATTAGTGACATATATGGACTGGCATCCGTTCATAGAAAACTTTATCTTTTATTAGAACCGAATCTTATACTGCCAAACCTGCCTCTTCGTCTTCATGCTGCGGAATCTTGTATTCAAGGGTAGCCCTATACGATGTAGGGTAACCATAAGTCACGTGGTTTTATGCAACTCGCTTTATGATCGAAGCGTGAAGAATTGGTATCTTGGTCGCAATCTCTAATCGAAAGGTCCACCCTTGTTCGAGCGTTATTTGATACGGACCTTCGAGCTTTGTATCTCGCATTTTCAATCAATCCACTTATCTCGATGCGGTAATTTCCACCATGACCACGTGATGTTATGAGGTCATGAACTGTTACGTCGATCTCTGTAGCTATCCCCGATTGATTGTGATATAAATTGGAATTCCGTGTTTGAGACCCAAGCCTCAGTTCTGAACTCCAGTCCAGAGGCAGCGGCATCACCCATGTACAATACTAATACCGACATATGGGCTGTGAGTATGAAATGGCTCCTACATACTTATCGCAGGACCATGCGAATCCTTCCCTATTCCAGTTCAAGTTGAACATTGAACTCAGCAAGCCAATTCGAAGAATTGAGCTTCAAGTTGGATTTCCCTTGCCAAGACATAGATACTAATATTTCTCCAGGCAGGTGCATTCGCCGCCGTTGTCGTCGACTTCATCGTCTACCCGGTCGACACCCTCAAGACACGCATCCAATCTGCAAACTACGAGAAGCAATTCAAAGATGCACAAACCGGCGCGCTTAAACGGAATGTATTATTCAAAGGCTTATACCAAGGCGTGTGGAGTGTCGTCTTTTCAACCATCCCATCCTGTAAGTATGACCTGACCACATCAAGCAGGTCGAGCATCAGCTCCCAAAAGATTTCCAACTAGCCACTAACTCCATAAAACCTCCAAAGCCGGCGCCTTCTTCACAACCTATGAGGCCGTCAAATCCGCTCTACATAAGACATCCACCGGGGCTAACTCATCACACCCAACCGCGCAATCTAAGAGACTGCCACTCCACTCACTCCCCACCCCAATCATGCACGCCATCGCCTCTTCCTCCGCGGAAGCAGTCTCCTGCCTAATCCTAACACCAGCAGAAGTCATCAAGCAAAATGCGCAGATGATCCCATCAGATAATACGCCTAAGCTCAACATGCCAAGAAAAACACCCATCGTGCAAGTTCTATCTCAGTTCAAGTCCCAGCCCTGGAGGCTCTGGAGCGGCTACTCCGCTCTTCTCGGCCGTAACCTCCCCACTACAGGGATCCAGTTCCCGCTCTTTGAGTACGTGCGTGCGCGCATGGTAGAGTGGCGGAGACGGCGCAGAGAGGAACGGGGCATTCGATGGACGGGGCAGCGGGAGGTGCTGGTTGAACGGGCTGGGTTGACGGGGCTCTCGGCGGGGATGGCGGGGGCTGTTGCTGCGTCGGTGACAACTCCGATTGATGTGGTGAAGACGCGGATGATGCTCTCTGCGAGTGGGTCTACTGGAGGTAAGGGTGGCGAGATGAGGAGAGGAGGCACGGGGAAGGGGCGTTTGCGGTTGGAAGGGATATTTTCCGTGCGGAAGGGGTCAGTGGGCTCTTTAAAGGGGGTGCTATTCGAGCTGGGTGGACGGCTGTGGCGCTGAGTCTTTATCTTGGGATTTACGAAGGGGGGAGATTGTACTTGGAGAACCGGCGGATGGAGTTGGATGGTCGGAAAAATGGGAGGGGAGAGGGCGATGAGCTGATGTAGCTGCTATACGGCGATAAAGCATATAGATGAGGACCAGAAGAAAATTTTGATAAACAGTAATCAAGCGATATTTTGAAATCATGAGGTCGTATCCATCGTCAGAGCATGCTTACTCCAGACACCTGGAGTGGGGTATGTAAAAGGATATCAGAACAGCCAAAGCCAACTTTATCGTGTACAAAAAAAAAGACAATCAGAATAACCAATCCAAAGGGAGACATGACAATATATATAAATGAAAAAAAAGAAAAAAAGAAAAAAAGAAAAAGAAAAAAAAACAGGGCCGTAGATATGAGCACATTGCCAACGCCAAATATCAGATCCCAGATCACTGCAACCGTCTACAGGTTGGTCAATTTTCGAAGCCAGCTGCCGGATTTTTTAGCTCCCGAGGTAGGAGGGGGTCCTCCATGGCGACTTCCATTTTTAGATCGCATTCCCCGATCACGCTCATAGTCACCACTGCCTGAACTGCTCTTCATGCCATCGCGACGAGACTCGTGACGGCGCGAGCGCATGTCATCGATCTCGGCATCTGGCATGTCTCCATACTTTGCACGCCGCTTAGCACGACGGCGAACTGCACGGCGAGCTTCCTCATCGGAGGATAGGGAGTGACCATTCATTGCATCGGCCGCGGCCGCAGCGGCGGGGGGCATATCGATGAAGGTCGGGACAATTGGAGGAGGCTCAGGAGGTTCATCAGCTTGTGAGTACCCAAGACGAGGTCTTGTCATTCTTTTCTCCGCCAGGGGCACTGCCGCTACCGTTGATGTCGCGGTTCATGAGGGGAGTTGACACTTTTTCAGGAGGAATGGCTTTTGAACGTCGTCGACTAGCCTTGGGGTCTTCGACATCTGCGGGTGGCTCAGCACGGGAGCGACGGCGTTTCGCTCTGGCAGCAGCTTCTTCTTCTTCTCGCAGACGACGGCGTTCCCTTCGTTCAGCTGCCTTAGCTTCGGCAGCGGCTTCGGCCTCACGGGCTGCTTGTTCTTCTTTCAGGCGACGCTCTTCGCGGGCAGCGCGACGGACGCGTCGTCTCTCTTCTTCCTCATCTTTGAGCTTTTGTTGTTGATCTTTGATCTTCTGTTCACGGGCCCTCTCTTTCTCTTTGCGCCTGGCGCGGCGCTCTTCTGCTTCGCGTGCTTCGGCCTCCCGTGCTTCAGAAGGTGCCATTCGAGATGAGCGTTTCGCAGCTCGTCGGGCAGCTCGTCGGATCTCAGCATCCTCGGCCTCGGTTTCACCCGCCCCGGCACCAGCAGCGTCAGTTGTGAATCCTTCACCGTCAGTGTCGGGTTTGACGGAGCGCCGACGGCGTTCACGATCATCACGTCGGATTTTGCGGTCTTCGCGCTCTGTCTCAGTCATTCTTCTTGACTCGTCATCACGGTAGGAGCGCGACTTGCGTCTCTCTGGGACGTCTGCAGCCTTCGCATTCTTACGGAGGGACCCGAAGATGCCCATCAGCCCACCAGACTCTTGCTTCTTTGGTGGTGCAGTGTTAGAGCGTTTCAAGCGGCGCTCACGGGGGTCTCTTGGGGGTGCATCGACGAATGCAATGTCGTCAGGCCCAGATACAACATCAGGATCTTGTCCCTGTTCAGCGTCGACCATGACAGCGTCCTCATCGTCTGGTCTGGCCCGAGACTAGAAAAAGGAAATATGTAAGCAAATGGGCAGATAGGACATAGTGGGTTAACTAACTTCTGGCTTGGACTTGCGTTTGGATGGCCCAGAGCCTCTAGAGCCTTCCTTCGGTGACTGTCGACCCGCATCTTCCATATCGACCACAACCATATCATCATCGTCGATAGCATAAGGATCGGGAGCTGTGCGGAGGGTGAGCACGTTAGATATCGACTCGAGTTCTTTCGACTGAAATAACAACATACCTGACTTGCGTCTCTCAGCGCGGGGACGGTCACGCTTCGACTTTGAGCCACCCATGCCCATAAGCTTAGCTGCCTTATCGGGCACCTCAGCCTTATCGTCTATGGGGGACATCATTGCAGCCTCCTCCAGTGACGGACGGCGGGAGACGGGCCTCGAAGCCGATTTGGATGTGGTCGACCTGCGTATCGGCTTAGGTCGCGTAGATGGCGGGGGAGCGCCGAGGATAAAGTTGGACAACGTTGTGGCACGTTGCTGCTTCGAAGCTCGTGCTTCCCGATCGCGGCGTTTTTCTCGGTCCGACGCAGACGACTCTTTCATCTCCTGGTCAGATCCCCTTGGTCGCGATTTGCTGGATTTCGTACGCACGGCGTCTTCATCTCGCGACTTCTTCCTGGACTCCTTTTCCTTGGGGGGCTCCTCGGCGGGGACCCTGCTCTCGCGTCGGCTCTCCCTTTTGGAAGACTTCTTGGGAGGTGGCGCACCGGCCAGGAATCCCCAACCAGATGTGTTTCCACGATCCGCACGAGCACGGTCTTTCTTCGATGACTTCGGGGGTTTGTCCTCTGGCTCCTCGGGAGGGGGTGTGGGGGGGAGCTCCATCGTCAGCAGGCGCCTCCTCAGCAGGGGCCTCAGGCTCAGGGGCTGGTTCTGGATCCTCCGGTGGGGGCGGATCAGCCGCATCCGCCTCCACATCAGCTTCTTTAGATGCTTCCGCTTCCTTGGCAGCCTCTGCTTCTGCCTCTGCAGCAGCAGCTGCCGCCGCTTCATCGGCAGCCTTCTTCTCAGCTGCTTCTTTTTCTGCTTTCTCGGCCTGTGCCTTTTTGTATTTCTTCAGCTCCTTCTTGGTCATTTTCGAAACATCTGGCTCAGGCTCGGGTGCTGGTGCAGGCTCTGGTTCTGGCTCCGGGGCCGGTTCAGCTTCAGGCTCCGGCTCCGGCTCAGGTTCATCAGGAAAGGCACCTGGAAGCGAATCTTGCTTCTCTTCTTCAGCCGAGGGCTCAGGCTCAGGCTCCGGCGCCGGCGCCGGTTCTGGTTCTGGTTCAGGCTCTGGTTCAGGTTCTGCCTTCTTCTTTTTCGACTTGGAAGTCGATTTCGCATCAGCCTTATCTTTCTTGTTCTGCTCAAGAGCCTTGATACGCTCTGCAACAGAAAGCTTTTTAGTCTTAGACTTGGCTGGCTCTGGCGCAGGTTGCGTTTCCGGCTCCGGCTCTGGTGCTGGTTCTGGTTCTGGTTCTGGTTCTGGCGCAGGCTCTGGTTCTGGCGCAGGCTCTGGTTCTGGCGCAGGCTCTGGTTCCGGATCGGGATCTTTGGGAGGATCATCAGCGACATCAATGAGAAGGTCTTCCTCAGGCGGTTCCTCGGGTTTATCTTCTTTTTTGGCTTTCGCCTTAGTCCCACTGCCGCCGGTTAAAGTAGCCCAGAAACCCTTAGCCGCTGGTTTTTCTTCCTTGACAGTCTTCTTGGCCTTAGAGCTCTTAGGAGCCAGATCTGCCCATATATCATCCGCACCATCATGAGCTGCGTCTGGTTCGGGTGTCAAGCCTTGAGCAGGAGGAGTTGGCGCCCGTGGGGGGAGGGGCTTCGGCTTCTTGACCCTTCTTCTTTTTCTTGGTTTTGGTAAGCCCCCCATGATCCCCACGCGTCATCTTCAACTGGCTTTTCAGGTTTTGGCTCTGGTTCAACGAGTGGCTCCGGCTCCGGCTCCGGCTCTGGTTCTGGTGCTGCAGGGGGTTCAGGTGCAGGTTCAGGTTCCGGCTCCGGCTCTGGGTCGGCGGCCTTTTCAGGTGGAAGTTCGAAGTCCTTGCCGGGAATTGGAAGACCCTTCTTGACCAGATTCTTTTCGCGCTTCTTCCGCTCTTTCGAAGAAAGGGTATACCAGTCTTTATAAAGAGGATCATCAGCAACTACTGGCTTTTCTGGCTCCGGCTCTGGTTCAGGTTCAGGCTCTGGTTCAGGCTCTGGCTCTGCCTTGGATTCAGGTTCCTTGACTGGCTCGGGCTCGGGTTCAGGTTCTGGAGCTGGCTCCGGCTCCGCTTTGCCCTTCTTTTTCTTATCCTTCTTTGTTGAGATACCCCATCCACCCCAGTCATCTTCCTCCTTGGCCGGTGGACCAGGCGCAGGCTCTGGATCAGCAAGAAGATCGATCTTCTTCTTCTTATCCTTCTTGGCAGGAACATCCCAGCCCCAGTCATTATCGGCCTCCGCCTTTTTGGCATCCTCCTCCTTAGCTTTCTGGGCCTCGTCTTGTTTGGCTTGTCGCTCCTCGATTTCTTTGTTTCGGGCTTCTTGCCGGGATGCATTTTCGTCCTCCGCCTCCTTCACTCTCCTTTCCCAGTCCTTTTTGTACTTCCGCTGTTCTTTCTTAGACATGCCATTGTAGACAGGATCCTCAGCGAGTGGACCGGGGACTTCTACAAGCTCAAGTTCTGGCAGAGGTTCGAGTTCCTCAGTAGGAGGGTCTGGAGCTGGTTCGGGGACCGGCTCGGGCTCGGGGGGGGTCAGAATCAAGTAAGCTCTTCTTCTTGTCTTTGGAAGAGGCCCCCCAACCCCAGTCATCATCTTTGGTATCAGGCAGCGGCTCGGCCTTTTTGCCTTTCTTGCCAATGGTACCAAATGCGCCCCAGCTGCTGTCTGCCTTCTCTTCCACGGGTGCAGGGCCTAAGTTACCAAAGTCAAACCCACCAGTGGTCTTGGTCTTTTTCTTATTGGCACTTGCCCATGGGTTTGTATCTTTAGGAGGCTCCTCTTTGGGAGTCGAGCCCCAACCCCCGCCCCAGCCTCCGAAGCCAAAACCAGTGGATTTTGGAGCCGAATCGAAGTTCAGATCTAGCTGTGGTGCACCGCTATCAAGACTAATGTCCTGAAAGCCGCCAGGGGGTTCATCCTGAGTTTATGAATTAGCATATCGTGGTTGAATTTTGAAGTTGATCCCAGGGGAGAAAAAAAAACAAGACATGTCCTACCTTGCCCTTCTTTTTCGCTCCCGCACTAAACCACCCATCGTCACCAACATCTCCATCGTCAGCCCAGCTGAGATTATTAGTAGTAGCCTCGGCGGCCTTCTTCTTCTCTTCTTCCTCTTTCTCCTTAGCAGCTCGCTCGGCCTCATCTTCCTCTTCCTTTTGTTTCTTGCTCTTTTTATCCCCATCCCATCCATTTCCCCAATCATCATCACCACCACCCCCCGCACCGTCTCCGGCGCCAGCACCATCTCCTCCCTCTCCAGGTGGCGCATCCCCAGCATTATCCGACCCACCGCTATTGTTGGTCGGCGCCAAAGAAAGCGGTATAGCCTTCTTCGCCGCCTTCTTCTTCCCACCCTTATGCTCGCGCACACCATGCGCGTTGTCAAAATCCACGTCTGCCCGCTGTTTCTTCACATAAAACTCAGGCACGTCATGTCCCTTCCGTTGCGCGCGCGCAGGAAGCTCCGTATCCTCTGGAAGTTGCGCCCTCGCATCCTTCGGCGGGTCGCGCGCACACGGCAGTGGTAGTAACCTCGGCGCTCGAAGGCCCAGGTCCTCGCCCGGAGCGCACGCCGCACTGGTTTTCGCTAGCACCGCTGAGACATCGTCGAGCAGCCTAGCGAGGACAGGCTGCCAGGGTTGAGACGGTGGGGGGGATCGAAGAACACCCGATGCGCAGGCTTAGCGTAGGCGCGGTCGCGACGCACGCCATGGCGAATATGCATATAAGGCAGTCCGCTTACTGACCCGATCGCGTGAAATGAGGACACATGGGGTTGTGGGAGGACAATTAGGTTCCCCGCGCAGAAGTGGATCTGGTGCTGGAGTGAGAGCGAAGCGAAACCGGAAGGGAATCGTACGTAGCGAGCTTGAAGTCGTCGGCGCGGCCTTGCAGGCGGGAACGGTGGTTAAGGGGTTAGAGGTGTAGGACGGAAAAAAGCAAAGCAAGGTACTTTTCTTTGGGACAATAGACCCAAAGGAACAAAAAAATGACAATAGCCACCCTGCCACGACCGGCGCGAATATTGGGTTTCGAGATTGGAGTCGAGATCGAGGTCGCGGGTTGTAGTTCGACTTTCAAGACAAAGGACTTTTTGCGCTGGGGGTGCAAAGATTTGCTTCGTAGGGAACAAATGAGGAGGTAGGGATGGGAAGGTTGTCGGGGCGGTGGAGGTGATCGCCAGGCTATGGGTTGTACTTGTACAGTGTTTCTGGTTTCTCCACTGGTGGTTGGGTTGCCACTGAGTCACTGACTTACTCGAGCCCCCTTGAATAGAAAACTTTTAATCTCCTTACAGTCTCCTGTGTTTCTCTTCTAATTAAACTCCCGGTATCGATCTGTTCACGAACTGTTGTTCGGGGCGTCCAGAGGTACCAAACCAAAAAAAGTCTTAAGTGGAAAATAGGAAGGCTGGGAGGAACTGTGATTAACTACGAATCACATCCTCGGCATTCCTAGAGGAAGATTATACTTGAACGAGTTATAAGTATGGCCCTGCCGTGTCTAGATACTCACGAGCTCAGAGATTTTCGTGGCACAGACTTGATATGCGCAACGTACAGGATGCAGCAGCACCCGCCTATCGATAACGCGGGCGCCCCTCCATCAGGGCCGCTATGAAACGAAAACAGTGCCCCAGCAAGGGATCATCTGCAATACGACTTAAGTTAAATGGCTACAGGGCTCTCTGTATGGACACTTCTGCAGTCCACTCTCTACACTTATATCTGTCCGTTTACTGTTGTTTACTGCAGCCCAGTTTGCATTTCCCGGTCCGCGGTTCACCGCATCAATAACCATGGAACGCCGCAGACCCCCAGCAATGGTCCAGGAACAATATCCTCGATGCCCAAGGCGGATATCTGCCTGAGATCATAGGACGCATGAGTGCGTTAGCTCAAAATCCTGCCCGGCCATGTGATGCAGGCAGGAACTGCGGAGAAAGCTATTCCCTGTCAATGTGTGGACGGGTAGCTTGAATTAGGATAGGCCAGTGCGAGTATACATCTAGTATAGCACCAATTTATGAGGATTGACTTGATCATCTGCAAACCATAACATGATCTTTCGCACGTTCGAAGCCCGCAAAATCCCGCAGATGGCTTGGGCTGCTCCGCACACGCAACACATCGTTTTACTCACCGCCACTTTCGCGATCGCGGACTCGCAACCCACTGCGGGGGGTGGGTTCCGCGGACCCTTGGTTCCATGCACGTAAGGCCACTAGACTCCATCGCTTAAATAAAACCATACATTTGTCCTCGGAAAAAACGGACTGTGTGAACTGTTGGCATTCATAAACTACAATACAGGGAACAAAGGAAAGGGAATCGAGCGACGAAGATATGAAACACAGGCGATACAAATCAAAAATTAAGAAAAAGCCGTGATCCGCCAATGACCCTAACCCCAATCCGAAAACATTGACCGCCGAAGTACGTAGTACAGGAAAGGAACTTGTTCTCGTCTGCTTAAGTGCGTGAACCGGGCTTGGTGGTCAATGGGCTGGGCTCGCCGTACACCTCCAGGTGCTCGCGCACGTATCGCGCATGGTCGTCACGAGCTTTTTGCTCATAAGGCTGGAATTGGCGTTAGCATATGTCGTTCGAAATATGACGACAGCCTGCTCAGGGAGGCAGACGGCGAAAAACTGAACCTCTCGCTCACGCTCGGTCATATTCTTCCACTCCTCGCTGATGCGGGAGGAAGTCTCATCGATGCGGAGGTGCATAAAGTCGCCGCCAGATCGGCGCTCAATCTGGAATTGCATGTAAGCGTTCATGGGGCGCTTCACCAGACGATCGTCCTTCAGAAGATGGACCCGCGTCTTGTTCCGCAGACGGCCCAAAGCACGGCGAGCAATGTTGGCATCCTTGATCTGAAGAGGAGTGAAAGTCTTCAGCCAGGCCTCATAGGCGGCCTCGTTGGCAGCGCGATTCGCCTCCGCTTGGGTTTTGTATTGCTAAGAGATACGTTAGCTTCCTAGTCTTGGAACTCAAATATGGATGGGAAAGCAACAGACCTCTAGCTCATACTGCGGCATTTCCTTCAGCTTGACGATTGTTTTCGCAAAAGCTTCCTTGTGAGATGGTTCATGTGGTCTGATCGAGGCATAGACCTGAGGGAAGGCCAAGTTATAGGCCCGGTCTGGGAGCTTCTTGGGGGTGACCAGAGCGGTTTCTTTGAGCTGCTTGATATGCTCTGCCTCCTTCTTCTTTTCCTTCTGCTCTTTCTGCTTTTCGGTCAACGCCTTCTTCTTGGGAGCTGGCTTCTTCTTTGTCGTCTTCGAGCTCTTGCGCTTAGTGGTTTTGGTAGTGTCAGAATTTGTCGCAAATGATCGAGAGTACTGGGAGATAAGACTGGACACAGTCGCGACGGCAGGGACTGAGGGCTGAGGCTTGCTAGATAGGGTGAGCTGGCGAAGCTGGTTCTCAATGCCAATCACACGACTGGGGCGTCCCAAGCCATCGAAGCGCAGGTGTCGAACACCCACACGGGCAACCCGCTGTAGAGACATGACAAAATAGTTTGTTGACTTGTAGAGAATGATGGACAAGTAGCGGGCAGTAGCCACGGGCAATTGAAGACAGAAGAGTCGACAATTGAAGGGGGTCCCTGACGCAAGCGGGAGGCTGGCCAAGGGTCGCGGCTGAGCTTCGTTTGGACCTTACCATATTCAGTTTAGCGTCCGCAGCCACGTGATTGAGCTCCCGCAGCTTTGAAAAAGCATCATTGTCTTTGTGAACTTGAAGGCTGCTGCTGTTCACCAACTCCCAAGACGCGTCCCTGTTCACCGCCTTCCAGCCTTTTTCCCAGTGCGGGGAGCCTTCCATCAACAAGACAACTTCGCCATTCTCTTTGATCGAACATTGAACTGCAGTAACACTCATTTATCGGTTTGGCCAGCAGCCATGGCTCGCCGCGGGGATGCTCGCTCACCATCCCTGCGGGCAGCTCATTCTCAGCATCTCGCCGGCCTGGCAATAGAGGTCGTCGCGATGATGATCGCGGTGATGATCGCGGTGGCCATCGTCGATCCCGGAGCCCAGAGGTACGTAGAGTCCTGACCCGAGATATGACACCCTCCAGTAATTTAACATTGATTATTCCATGCAGCGTCGTTACCATGATCGAGACAGTGCCCGCGGTAGAGATTCATATCGACGCCGCGACCGCTCTGTAGGCCGTCGCGACGATGGAAACAAATATCGACCTGGCCGCCGCGATAGGTCTCCAGATCGTCGCCGATCTCGATCCCGAGATGCCAATCGCGATTATCGCCGGCGAAGCCGTGACAGGGACATTCGATCCCGGCGTGATGATTCGCGGGGCCATGACAAGAGACGAACCCATGACCCTGCTGATTTGAAGCCTAAGTCTGGAAGGGGGGATAGCCGTGACCGAGGCTCTGCCCGACGTTCCAGGTCCCGTGGTCACGAAGTGCGTTCTGCCCTTGCCCTGAAAACCCAGAGTACGATTTCTAACAGCTCTTCGCAGCCATCGAAGTCGTCAACCTCTGCCGCAGCTCCCGCAGTCAAGTCAGAAGAAGAAAAGAAGGCCGAGCGTCTAGCGAAACTCGCGGCGTGGAAAGAAAAGCAAGTTGCAGAGAGGGAACGCAAAAGACAGGAGGAGATTGCAGGTGGTGCCCGCAATGTTTTGGACGATATAGATCCACGTGCAGCACTCTCCTCTACGGCGGTCAAGTCCCCTCAAACCCCCGTCACTCCTGCTTCTGCTTTTTCTGCTGAGAAATTCGAACCCACAACAATCGTCAAGAAACCATCCCACACTACGACTGCTGGACCTCAACCCTCCCAAATTTCCGTACCTCCAGAGGGAGGAGGAGACATGAGTCTTTTTACCTTCTCCAAGACTGCCTCTGCGAAGGCGAAGGGGAAGGCCCCGCTACTCGAGCATTCGGCTTCGAAGATGATGAACCTACTACCCGCTTCAAACCCGCAAAACTACCTGAACTCACTGATGACGGTACCAAGTACCAATTTGATGATGACGAAGATGATGATGATACCCCTAGGGACCCTACCCTGGAAGCAACCATTGCCGCAGAACGACGCGACAAAATACTCCAAGGCGGCGACCAGGCCTCTGGCTCTAATGCTATGGATGTCGAAGACGAAGTCTATGAAGAAGGAGGCCATGGCGAAGAAATGGACGAAGACGACGCTGGTGACGATGAACTCGACCCTCTTGACGCGTACATGACGGGCCTGGGTGAAGCTGGTCCATCCGGCACCAAACGCAAGGCCCCAGACGCTCCGACTATTTTCACCGACGACAATGAGCCTCAGATGACAGCTGTTGGGAAGGCCGATGCCGAAGCCCTCGCTGTGCCAAAGAAGAAGAAGGATGAGGTTCCAGTTGTGGATCATTCGAAGATTGAGTACGAGGATTTCCGCAAGAAGTTCTACGTCCCACCCTCCCACCACTTGGACATGACTCCAGAGGAGGTCAAAAATCTTCGAGCCCACCTCGATGACATCAAAGTCCGTGGCAAGGACGTGCCTGTCCCCGTCTCGACGTGGGCTGAATGTGGTTTGGGTGTACAGACCCTTGATGTGGTGTCTGACCTTGGCTACGACCACCTGACAGCCATTCAAGCCCAAGCCATTCCCACCCTGATGTCCGGCCGTGATGTAATCGGCATTGCCAAGACTGGGTCTGGAAAGACCATTGCATTCCTGATCCCCATGTTCCGCCATATCAAAGACCAACGTCCCTTGCATAAATCGAAGAAGTTGACGGAGGGCCCCATCGGCCTAATCTTGACTCCAACACGGGAACTCGCAGTTCAGATCCACAGAGAATGCCGTCCATTCCTGAAGAAACTGAGGTTACACGCCGCTTGTGCATATGGAGGTGCTCCGATCAAAGACCAAATCGCCGAGGTGAAGCGAGGTGCGGAGATATTGGTTGGCACACCTGGACGCGTGATTGACCTTCTCAAAACCAACTCGGGCCGCGTACTTAACCTTCAGCGCGTCACTTATCTTGTTCTCGATGAGGCCGACCGTATGTTTGACATGGGATTCGAGTCTCAGGTCATGAGAATTCTGGGCAATATTCGACCCGACCGGCAGACCGCGCTTTTCTCCGCCACCTTCCCCCCTAAAATGGAAGGGTTGGCTCGTAAGACTCTCAAAACCCCGGTTGAGATCATCGTCGGTGGAAAGAGTGTCGTCGCACCCGAAATCACGCAGATTGTCGAGGTGATTGACGAGAAGGACAAATTTGTTCGTCTCCTGGGACTTCTCGGTGAACTTTACAACGACGATGCGAACCAGGATTCCCGGGCTTTGGTCTTCGTCGATCGCCAAGAGGCCGCTGACACCTTGCTCAGTATGCTGATGCATAAAGGCTATCCATGCAATTCCCTCCATGGTAGGAAGGACCAGCTTGATCGAGACTCGACTATCCAGGATTTCAAGGCCGGTGTCTTCCCCGTGCTAGTGGCTACATCTGTCGCTGCTCGCGGTCTGGACGTCAAGCAGCTTAAGTTGGTGGTCAATTACGATGCACCCAACCACCTCGAAGATTATGTTCACCGTGCTGGTCGTACTGGACGCGCCGGAAACACCGGTACTGCAGTCACTTTCCTTACCAAGGACCAGGAGCGATATGCCGTTGATGTCGCGCGGGCTCTGCGTGAGAGTGGCCACGAAATCCCCGAGCCAGTGCAAAAGATGGTGGAGGCATTCCAGGAGAAAGTCAAGGCTGGTCAAGAGAAGGCAGCAGGAAACTCTGGATTCGGTGGCAAAGGCTTGGAGCGTCTTGACAAAGATCGTGAGACTGCTCGCAACCGCGAACGCCGCACCTACAAGACAGGGGAAGAAAACGACGAGTCTGAAGACGAGGAGCTCCAGGCCAAGGACGATGAGCGCTTCAAGAAGGCCCTCTCCCAAGTTCAATCCGCTGCGGCCGCCGCTCCACCCGAGCCCGCCGACCTGCCAAAGGGCATTGACTTGGATGCTCAGATCATCGTCCACAAGACCGAAAGGGGCGCTGGTGCAGGTCCCGATTCTAAGCTTGCCCAGGTGGGAAGTGCCGTGGCCGATATCAACTCTCGCCTGAGCCGTAATGGAGCGATCCGCTCGGGTGTCCCCATTGACAATCGTGGTCCGGATGCTGGCGCATACCATGCGACGATGGAGATCAACGACTTTCCCCGTAAGTTACACCACCCTCAGTACTGGCTTTATTTTCTCGCGCATAACTAACGTTGATTTCCCTCTCAGAGAAAGCTCGTTGGGCCGTCACTAATCGCACGAATGTGGCCAAAATCCTGGAGTCCACGGGGACATCCATCACGACGAAGGGCAACTTTTACCCTCCTGGGAAGACCCCAGGAGAGAACGAGTTGCCCCCCCTTACATTCTTGTAGAGGGGGAGACTGAGATCTCCGTCGTGAATGCGATGCGGGAACTCCAACGCCTCCTCAAGGAGGGTACCCTTGCCGCCGCTGATAGCGAGGCGAAAGCTCCGGTCACTGGCCGCTACAGCGTGGTCTAAGGGGCCCTCCTTGAGATGTATGTATTATTAGCAGTTTGGATATGATAGCTCTTAGCAGTATCATCAGCAACACACCTGTAATCTTAAATTTGATGGCCTCTCGTAGGTGTATCGATAGTACCAGTGCAGTGCGTACACAGAGTAGCGGTCTGTTCATCGTTCATGGAGCTTTATGTTTTGGGCTTGACGAGCTCAGCAATGAATGCTAATGACGGTTGCGAATGGCCTGGGTATGGTCGATTATGTGCAATCTCGCCGCTACCCCTACTCCCCACACGAACTTGAGATAAAATGGCGGGGAAAGTTGAATGATAGTCTGCACTGTGTGCCCCCATTATTAGGATCTGATGACCGTTGTACTGTGGGTCAGTATTGATCCTGCTTCATAAAGTACACCAGTCTTCTCCTGTAGGAAATTGAGTATGCCCTCAAACCCCTCGTACACACAATACGCATACTGCGGACCTGAGTATATTCTTGGCGTAAGCGACATGTGGAGCTCCATGGCTGCTTTGATACCGCGTCACATGTTTAATATCATCTTCTTATGTTTGTGAATACTCGTTCACTTCGTTTGGAGAATCGTCCTGGACACAACATGTTTCGAAAGATGGTCCGAGAATGGTGTCTTATGCATCAATATTGAGACTATAATTGGACAAGTAGCGCGTGATACGAGTCAAAACCTCTTGATAGACACGACTATTCCCAGTAATTTTCCATTTGTAGCTTAACAAGATAGAGAACTTCACGCTAGCTCAATGACCCTCAAAGTCATCCAAGGCCTTCTCTGTCCAGTCCCACAGCCTTTCGGCAAGAGTTCCCTTGCCTTTTTTGGCCCTCCTCCCTAGCCCTGGGTCGCCCAGTCTTCCAACTGGGAGATAAAAACCGCCACTTGTAAGTTTCTCTTTAGGTATTGTCGCTGCCCAAAGCTGACTATAAGCGCCCTCATGCGGCTGTATCATAACCCACCAGAAGACCAAATACATAATAATTTTGTTCTTGGCGCTCATCCTGTCGAACAAACCGGTCTCCACAATCCCCGGATGCACTGAGACGCATGTCAAATGGGGGTATTTCTTGGCCAACTCCCGCGCATACAGCAGATTAGCCAACTTGGATTGTCCGTACCGCTGCCAAGGTCCGCCCACTAAAAAGTCTTGCCCCGTTCGAAGACGCCCAAACTGTATACCACCACTGGGATGGAGGCCCCACGCGGTGGAAGAGAGAATGATGATGCGTCCGTCGCCGCCTTCGCTTGCAGTCTTTTCGATGAGCGGAAGAAGTTTGCGAATCAAAAGCGCATGGCCGAGATGATTCGTCGCAAATTGAATCTCATATCCATCCTTCGATGTATCCGCCGGCCTTGTCATGATCCCTGCGTTGCACATGAGAGTATCCAGTCGTGGACTTGGTGTTTGTGCTAGGAATTGTTCGACTGCCTTATGGACCGAAGACAAGGAGGACAGATCGCACTCTATAAACGTCACCTTTGTACACTTTCCGGCCTCGGTACTTTGGACTGCCTGTATGATACTTTCAGCCTTTCGCACACTGCGCCCGCTGATGTATATATGAGCTGGACCGTGCTTGGCCAGCTCTTGTGCAGTTTGTGCACCCAATCCCCCGGTGCCTGATGGGTGGATTTAGCTCGACGTGAGAGAAAAGCGAATTTGATAGCGGCATTCCTGATTTCCGGTGATAAAGATAGATCGCCCTGCAAGGCTCGGGATGTCTCGATCTGGGTTGTATTTGGCAGGCATTGTTCTGCTGGTCCGCTGGTCGATGTGGTTTTTACGTCGGTAACGTAATGATAAGATATAGGCTTAGGCGTTGCTGCCTATAATTTTATTCCGCTTGACATTTGATTATCCCGTGGTATAAATAGTTGACCAGGACGCGGTAAATCGGCTAAACATACAACCCGCCATTCTTCCAAATTCGCGGACTCCCAGATTGGGCCGATTGACTCTGCGGTGGGGGGGATCCCGACGAGTTCTTCCGACTCCACAGCGTATGCTGAATAGAATACTAGACTGGGAAAACATAGACTGTTAGTGTTAGAGATAGGTCGTATCACTGCCACAATCACCACCGTTGCTTGGTGGGGATGCGAAAGCCTCCAGGGTCCGTCCGACTTGAACCCCAGTTCAACCCGCGCTCCTAGAACTAGGTTTGAACCTCACGAAGATACGGTTTGATAGAAAGTGGACTAGCTCTCTATCGCTTGCAATAACCTCACATTCGCTATCGGCACTCTATTCAAATCCGAGCTTGGTCAACGCGGCGTATAGTAAATGTCTGCTGACATCGGAAGCGCATATATATATTTGACCACTCCTGCTGAGGTTACATATTCGCGTAAACTAACTTGGGCGATCTCGCTATAGGCCCGTTGTGATTATCCTCACGAGAAGTTCGGTGATGCTTCTTAAACGAGTTCAAAGGGAAGGGTTGGCTTGACCAACTTGCTATGCGCTCACGGTTTAGCGCCCAAATCTGCCTGATTACGAAGCTTTAATGTGGAGATGACCTATAAGTTCTGTGTAGCGTACATTATGGCATTCTCAATATTGGGGTAACATGGCTATATAGGCGCGATGTTTTGATATCCTTGTCTCTTGCAGACATCACCAGAATAAGAGAAACCTTTACAGTGGTTTGGAAGGCCTCTAGTCCTTTAGCAATCCAGTGAAAGCATGTCCAGAGATAGCTCGAGGGCTATCTCGATACAATTTCTAATCGATTGCGCATCTTAGAAGCATTGAACTCGTGACTCGCGACAAAAGAGAAAGAAGGGAATCAAGAAATCTGAATCAAAGCAAGAAATTGTCAAAGGCCCCGACGGGGAATATGTTCAAATACCAAGAAATACCCCGAAGAGTCCACCTGAAGTGCATATTCATTTTCGAACCACCAAAGCTAGGCAACCCGCAAACATGTGCAGGCGGTCCTCAGTCGAGGTGGGGCAGGTCGACGAGGCTCACCAAAACCACAGCTGGTCATCGATCAGCGTGACTACATCGAATAGGTTATTCAATCTGAGAACGAACCCGCTCTACGCTTGTACTGTGACGTCGTGTGGCTGAGATGTCCGCTACGGCCTAACTATCTCCAGCAGCATGAATATAATAATTCGCCACATAAAATTCCCCGACACGATCTGTGATAGGCCATCCGGGAGATCAAAAATATATTAATTGATCATCGATCAATGCTGTGCTGGCTAAACGCCAAAGACTTGGATGGGGAGGACAGCATGACTAACCGCACGTAACTATCGGCACCTACGTCATTAGTCGACTGGGCTATTTAGAGATGCCTGGACGTAAGAAGGAACTCGGATCTCATCAACCTTTCATCTCTCCGTCACTCAAAGTGTCGTTATTTCTCAAATTTATCTCATCCAAACCAACTCCCAACATGCCTCTCGTCGTACCCGGGATCAACTCTTCGCTGGGCGATAAGTCCGAGTGGGTCAACAAGTTGATGGGGAAGAAGATCAGCGATTCAACTCGCGACGAGACTGTAAGAACTCAACTTTCCCGTGACGAATGTGCTAGTTCAATTAATGGGAATAGACGTTTGCAAAGACAGATCTCCCCAAGAGCCATCGCATCGTGAAATCCGGTGACATGCTGACTACGGACCACGACCCTAATAGGTACGTCAGGAAGCTCCAGAACTATAATCGCATCTTACTAACCGGGGGCTCCTCGGTATAGACTCACCGTCCATACCGGTGATGATGGGACCGTGCAGAACGTGACCTACGGTTAATGGAAGGCCTTTCCTAAATGCCGTTGTCCGTCGAAACCTTGCAGTGGAATGTGACAACTCTGACGAGTGACGAACCACGTTCTTTCACGACTTATGTATTGGTACTCAATCAAATGAAGTAGAAATTGTCAAGGATCCAAGTCAGTTCTCAGGTCTCCGGTGGCTGAACGCTACTTTGTAGCCCAAGTGTGTCCATAGATCCTGAAAACTGCTAGTTGATGCTTCCATTCAATTTAACCGAGTGTTCCAGAATGCAGTTCGGAGGTTCCAACTCCTCCCCATGCACCGATCCCCAGGCTCAAACTGCCCAATACCCTCATTCATTCCCCCAATGGCGTACCGGGACATTAGATGCTATCCGAGTCCGACTCGGAATAGCGCAGTTGAGCGGGACCCCACAAGCCGTCTGGGCGCGTTCTCTCAAATTGCTGGCGCCAAAATATCGCCAGATTCAGTCGCTGCCAATGCGTTTTCAAGGCGCTTGAGGACCCATGAGAGTAGGACATGATACATATGATATGACCCCGCTATTCGCTCCTATCTCGTCTCTAAAGTATCCCAAGGGATACCCCGCATAGCTATACAATATCTTCTCAACACTTCTCAGCAGTTGCTTCTAGGAATGTCGAATTCAAATATAACGCTTTGCGGAATAACTTCGTGGGAATGTCGGTTGCGCGGATGAATTTGAAGCCTCATGAATCATCGAAAGTTGAATAACGATTAACTAACTAGTTAATTAACACGAATCTTCTGGAACGCTAGCAATGCAATGGAAGGTGGACCCGGTGTCCAGAGGTGCATTTCAGCATTTCAGCCGAGGATTGGCCAGTGGAGTTTGTGGCTTTTCCCGGTCTTATCAAATGGCATCATTCCTCCACGGGTGGATCAACTCGGGGAGAAACGCATTTAGCCGGAACGCAATATAGGCAAGGATAATTGTAGGTCTTTTCGAAATGGGTAAAATCGCCCTTCAGGTAATGATAAGCATCTCTAAGCTTCGTTGTCTCACCGATTGCGTTGGCCCAATTGTTGAAAGAGACGCGGTTTCTTCCAGTGGGTGAACTATGGCAAATCAAGTTAAGGCGCATACCCCACACCCTGAGAGAAGGAGGGGCACGACATCATTGCGCCAGCTTGGACCTGCCCTCTTTCTCCCCCTTGTTATTTATTAAATCGCAGGTTTCCCAACTTTCACTCCTTCACATAATTCTCTTCTTCACACACAAAATGGCAAATCACACTCAGTAAGTTCCATCGTATACCGATCCATGGATTGACCGTAGTTCATTACTAACTCCGTTTTCTCTCGCAGGAAGACCTTCACCCTTAACACCGGTGACAAGATCCCCGCCATTGGCCTTGGTACCTGGCAGTCCAAGCCCAACGAAGTCCGCACGGCGGTCAGAGATGCGCTCCTAGCTGGCTACCGTCACATCGACACTGCCCTGGCCTACGGCAACGAGGCTGAGGTTGGCGCTGGTATTAGGGACTCTGGCATCCCTCGCGACCAGATCTGGATCACTACCAAGCTGGACAACACATGGCACCACCGTGTTCAAGATGGCATTAACTCCTCGCTGAAGGACCTGGGCGTCGACTACGTTGACCTTTACCTGGTCCACTGGCCCAGCTCGACCGACCCCAACGATTTGAAGAAGCACCTTCCCGACTGGGACTTCATCAAAACTTGGTGAGTGTTCCGTTATCCACAGAACTATCAGCACGGAACCCTTCGCTAATAAGTCTCTAGGCAAGAAATGCAGAAGCTCCCCGCCACCGGTAAGGTGCGCAACATCGGTGTCTCCAACTTTGGCATCCGCAACCTGGAGAAGCTCCTGAATGATCCTAGCACCAAGATCGTGCCTGCCGTTAACCAGATCGAGCTGCATCCCAATAACCCCTCTCCCAAGCTGGTCGCCTACAACACCTCCAAGGGCATCCATTCCACTGGTTACTCTTGCCTCGGCTCCACCGACTCTCCCTGTACAAGGACCCTACCCTTCTCAAGATTGCTGAAAACAAGGGCAAGACCCCTCAGCAGGTGCTACTCGTCTGGGGTATTCAGAAGGGCTGGAGTGTCATCCCTAAGTCTGTCAACAAGGCTCGCATTGAGGGCAACTTCAACATTGATGGCTGGGAGCTGACTGATGACGAAATTCACCAACTGGACAACCTCAAGGACCGCTTCAAGGTCTGCGGTGATTCCTGGTTGCCCGTGAAGGTCTTCTTCGGCGATGACGAGTAGATATGGAAAACTGATCATAGAATTTGGGCTGGTTGACATGGGAAATCACGAAATTTATTAGATACCAAAATTGAATGACAAGCATTGTTATGAGCTCTAGCCGTTTCCATTCCAGTACAATGTCATATAATCTCTTTCAACTGAGAATAATTTCAAGTGCTACGTATAAAGTGCCTCAACTGAACCGGGACCAACCACGCATCGGCAGTCACATGTGTGGCGGTGCTTCGCCACCCGACACCCCGGGCCCACTGATAAGACACCCTCCTCATCTGGCATCACTTCATCCCCCCCCTGTACTACATCAGTTCAAGCCCTTATCTTGCACTTGAATCGTCAGTATGGCGCCTGCTAATGGGCACCTGCTGCTCCCCAAAATATGGAGGGCGGCAAGGTACGTAGCATCGCCCCGTGCCTCCCTTGTTTACTTTCATTCACCATTGACGTTATCGCAGGTTTGCCTATGAGAAGGCCTCCAGGGCTATAAGAGCCAAACTACCAGAACCAACACAACACACAACCCTTCGATATCAGCCTGTCTATGCCCGCATCAACACCCACCAACCAATCAACAAGGCTGCTGCCATCCGACAGGCCCGAAGCCGCTACTTCTCGACCCGCGCGGCTGGTGCCTTCGTCTCCGCAGCTAAATCGAGTGTTCAAGCGGACGCCGGTGCCTACCGAGCTACTCGAGTCGCCTCAAACATTAGCAGACTCACCTGCCGCGCTCCATTTGCGTCCACCCTTCGTCCCAATTTGACCGGGGCACCTTGGCCGTACTGCGGGGGGGCTATGCTATCGGCGCCGGCCGTTTCGGAGGCGCTCGGTACTTCTCGCATGGACCCGCTGCACCTGCGCAGGTAATTCAGAACGTCTCTCAGGGCGTCCGAGCCTTTTTCCTGTCGGGTCAGAAAATCCGGTTCGACGGAATTGACCCTCGCACGGGCGAGAAGCAGTACAAGGCCGTCAGCGCGCTGCAGGACCAGGCGGGTCGCAAGATGACTTCCATCCCCCGTACCGCGTCGGGCTCCTACCTTGATTTTCAACTTTCGCCTACCATTACTGCTTTCGGTGCTTTGGCTGCCTTTGGAAAGGAGGAGGGGGCTTCTACCGAGACTTTGCGGTCTGAAGGTCTGATGGATTTGCTCTCTGCGGATTTTGCCCGTGCATTCAAGGAGTTTGCCATTGTTTTGAACGATCTTAAGCGGCTTTCTGCCTTGGGTGATCTTCCCATAACTCTTGAAGATCAATCGACTCTCCGCGTCCGTTTCCCCGGCTGTGATGCGGAAACCGTGGAGCGACTTTGCGATGAAGTGGGCGTGCAACGAGGCCGGGTCAGCCAAGATGAGGATTTTGATCTTCGAACTGGAGCTGATTTGGCCCTCCTGTTCCCATTCGCTCCTAGCATGGCTTGTTCGTCTGATGTAGAGTATCTCTTCGAGAAGCCTGCAAAGTCATGCTGCGCCTCTTCTCGTGATCTCGACTGGCAAGACATGCTGACGCCCGAGGGCCACATGTTCTCCCCGAACTCTGGCTACGATTCTGGCAATGGTATCAGTTTTGATGACGAGGAGCTGTTCTGTAATAACCCGTGGAAGAGTTCGTCTCGCTCGGCTTACTCGAGTATCAACATTAGTGAACTGGGTGACCGTGCTTTTTTCCAAGAAGCCTCTCCTGCCAGCATCCCTGAAACCACGAGCGAGTATGATGGGTCGGAAGGGATTCACCGGTTTCTTGCAGAATGCGATCGCGCTCGACGCTAGGCTATTAGCAGCTCCTGCCTCTGTTGTTTATTTCGTTTTCTTTGATGGATTATTTGGGTTTGATCGCGGCCGAGGCCCGATCCATTATGACAGCGCTGATACCACTCCACTCACTTAACATTTCCTTTCTGTCATTTCTATCTAGTCGGCGAATCTAACTACCAATTTAGCTTTTTGATTTCCAATACCTATGTATGTCTGCCACGGAACATTTAGAATTACAAGCGGAGAAACCGGCACTGTTTATCAGCACGTGACCATACGTCATTACCCGATAAGAGTAGCTTCTGCGTTGCAACAAAGCTTCTCTTTCGTCTCAGCACTAACAAATGCCTTCCAAGACATTCTACATGATGCCAATCTCAATTCGTATCAGGGTACCTGCGAAGTGCCTTCGTGGTACTCCCTTGCCCGATCAACCACACCACTAAAATCGCCTCTCTCCCATGGCATCAGAACTATGACAACTGCCCGCCAGAGCCGGATCAACCCAACGACCGCCACCAAGGTTCCCTGGGCAACTCCTACTAGAACTGCGAGCCCATTCATCCAAATCCAATTCACCCCTTCAACCCAAAAGTCTTACAGCACAGCTGCACCCCCCCACAGCAGACACCCTCATCGACGAAATCCAAGACGCCTACGAAATCGCCAAAGACGAATTCGAGATTGCCACGGAAAGCACCGACGGCGGCACCATCTACGCGGCTTCTGACCGCGACTCCGCCCGTGATGCATTGAACGATCTGTGCGCGATCTACTACCGGTACGCCGCGAAGCCCGGCGAAGAAGACACGGGCATCATGCTGCGCTCAGGCAAGTATGTATCTGGTAGCGAGATGGGCGAGGAGGTGCCGGGCGTGGATGCGGTCACGGCATTTAAGACGGAGGATGTGCCGCAAGAAGTGAAGGATGAGGTGCGACGGCGGGTTGGGCAGAGGATTCGGGAGTTGCGGAATGCGGTGGAGTTACTGGAGGAGAGGGCGACTGAGGAGTGAGGCTGGTGGCTCTCTTGACTCTGGTGTGTTGTAGAGAGATATTCTGCGTCGTTTCATACGCTGTCACTATGTTATCAGTTGCCCGGCAGGCCCCACACTTTCTGACCTCTTTTTTCTCGCGTCCAATACACATAGCTTGGGCTAGGAACATGCTATCGGGGAATATGATATTGCCAAGTCCCGAGCTCTATACTCCGTGGTCCTTGTAATCGTCCATAGAGCCTCCAAAGAACCACCACCGGTAATCCACGGAATTTCCGAGGTGAAATCAATTTATATAGTTCAAAGATATCCTCCCAAGGCTATGAACACAAAAACCCATGGAAGCCCCTCAAGGCTCAATGCCGAAGAAAGACATCTTCTCAGCCACGCAGCGACTCCCCACTGCGACAACTTCCAGTTAGCTCCGAACGTCAGCTCTGCAGAAACAGCCCTGCTCCGCCCCAATGCAAGTACGTTTGAATGCTATCAACTGCCCTGATTCCTGTATTAGGTGAAAGGCTCAATATTATCATGTCATGTCCTCTTGGGTCGGGGGTATAAGCTCAGAAGCCTTTTGGTGTGATCTGTATGAAGTGCAAGCTGTAATTACTACTCATTGGTTTTCGTCCGGTCTATGGCGACGCAATAGTAAACCTGTAGCCACATATTACTACCCACCCGTGGTATGAGCACCCGACGTCCGCAATGAACCTAGTATCTGAAGTTCCACCATTTCTCCATTAATCTTTGCCCATGTCCGGAGAAAACCAGAGAGACTGTCCTCTTTTGCTTGCTGTCAACAGCATTTGCACTTGTCATCTCAATGGGACTATCTCTAATGCCACTTGTCTCTTCTGTTTTTTTTCTTGCAGACAGAAAGGGAGTTTGCTGCTATAGAAGGAAGATCCTTTTCTTTCCTGTGCCTTGTATCTTTCTTCTTTAGCTTGGTATCTCAAAAATTGGGTGCTTCTGGACTCCATTCGAAGCTGTTGACCTTGATACGCAAGCTCCACATTGTATACCTTTCAATTCCAGTTTCAGAAACTTTTACACATATTTGGCCCACTATGCTAGGGTTAAGTTGGAGACTAGGAGTTGATTGGCCATCTCAACTTCTTTCAATGCCGGTTTGAATCTGCATTGTCGAGTCTGCAAATGTAAAGCTTTCGCTTTGTGTAGCTGGAAGAAAATTAAGTTATTAAGACTGCTACGCACTTGGGGTAACATCATTCAGGATTAGATATAATATAGTTAGGTTCCCAGCTCCCTCAAAAATCTTTCTCCAGTCCACCTTTTCCCTCCCATATCTACCCAAGTACTTCAGGTAGATCATGTATAGAGCACTCGGCAGTAGCACCCAGATTGAAGAAAACCCACCCAGTTATAGAACTTATCACCCACATAGGAGAAAATCAACCAGCTTTGGTATAGGCCTATGCTATCACTCGCAACCACCTATAGACGTAAAGTGAATAGGACACCCAAAATAATACTCTCCTCAACTCGCGTCTTCCTCTTCCAAGCACTGCTGCGCGTATCACCACCAGCTTCAAGCATCATTCAACCACAACTCCTCATTGCATTGCAGCATCATCCATCATTAAGCAACCTATACCCACTAACAGCAAAGCACCAACTAACTCTGCCCACTTAAAAGCTTGAAATCCTCCGCCATGGCCTCGAGCTCTACGGATCGTCACGTCCTGCAAGGCCGCATCTATCAATGCTGGATCTCAGGCCGAACCACGCACGCCCGCGGCCCATCTCCCATCCTCCCAAGCACCCTCATCTTCACTGACCTCGACTTTGTCGACGCCCTATCTCACAACCACCTCGCAGCTCGAGTACCCCTGTCCCCTCTTCCTCCTGTCCCACTACTCCCGCGGTGCCCTGTTTGGCGACGACCTCTTTAACCGCATCGAAGCCTCCGTGCGAGGCACCCACTGGGAAGACGACAACTCCTGGGATGGCGCCGTGACACGGGGCAACATCTTTATTGAGAGCGTGCACCGCGACAGCGGGCCGCACAGCTCGGAAATCATGCAGGCGATCTACCAGGAGTATTTCCCGCTGTGCTCGCTCCGGTCAATCTTTGTGCTTTCGGTCGTCAACGCCGATACGCTGGAGGCGATCAGCGCGGTGATGCGCAACGGGGTGGTCGATCGGGTTGTGCTGCGGTTTGGATCGACGGGGTATCAGAGGATGCTGGGGACGGTGCTGGGGCGCATGGTTGCGTGCTTTGTGCTGGGGGCTTACCGGCCTCGCTCGAGGCGGATTTCCGTCATCGAGATCTTTCGCATTTCGTATAATGCGGGAGAGAACAGGACTCAAACCTGGAATTTGAGGTTCGAGTTGCAGGAGTCTGGGGAGGAGGACGTACGAGAGGAATAGAGAGAGCGTTTGAGGAAGATCCAGGAGGGGGGGAGGGGTATCACCCAAATGAATCACTTCAATGCTAACATAATACCCAGAGGAGAACGGTCGTCGGTGACGAGAGGATTAGAGGACAGAAAAGGGGGGTATCAATCACATTCATTAGTTCAATGCTAACGTAATGCCCAGATAATCGAAGTCTGGATGGCATAGCTTTCTTTCTTAATTCCGCTGAAACCAAAGATATTTTTTTGTTGGTAATAGACACAAAGAGTTTGAAGGGTAATCAGGAGAGAATCCAAGGTCCGAGGCTTCCAGCACTCGGAAAAGTCGATGCACTACGCATCGGGGTTCATGAAGAGGCGGCGTGCGCCAGGTGTCATCGAAGGAGTATTAAGAGCTTCGTATCAGAGAAGCGTGAATGGAAAGTGAACGCATACTAAGCAAATGACCTTTAAACATACGTTCCCAAAGTGATGGAACAGGTCACATTCATGAAGCAAACGCGTAAGGGAGGGCGAAATGGTCGGCCGATGGACTCGGGGAAGGTAGAGTAGAGGATGCGTCTTTGTGAGTAGATCGTTGGTGTCGTTTTAATTGATCTGGAGAGGGGTTAGCAGAGCTGGGGTGTTCATAGAAGATAAAGCACATACCAGGTCGTGTAAAGCTCTTCGTGCAGCCAGGGTAAGGGCACTTGTGCTTTCGTTCGCCGTGTGCTGGACGTGGTCAGTAGAGGACTTTTTTGGGCCTAAGGATCGGAAGAGCTTACTGAGCCTATGACTGGACATATTCGAGGACTATGAGGGCAATTAGCTGCGATGAAATTTAGAAAAGCCGTTTTCGGGGGAAACTCACATCGCCAGTCTGGAAAGTACACCCTGGCCAGTCACATTTGAAGGGCTTCTCGCCCGTGTGAGTTCGCGAATGGGTTTCTGAAATATTAGCATTGCTCATATCGGGGTCGAGTCTTGCGGGAGGCTCACTAAGTTCGCTGCTATCGGTAAAACATTTACCGCATTCCTTGCATTTATATGGTTTGTCGCCCCGGTGGCTCCGCTCATGACGGTCCAATGTTGCTTGGCGCGCAAACGATTTTCCACAAACAGAGCAACGGAAGTTTTTGTCTAGCAGCCAAAGAGTTAGTTTTTTTGTGTCTGTTTCCCTGTCATCATCGCAGGACAACTTGGGGTACTGTTCTTACAGTTGCTATGGGTAAGGAAATGCCCTTGCAATTTGGACTTCTGTGAGAAAGGATCGTCTGGGCGATGACATCCCGCCCAGCAACAATAATAGCCGGTGCCTTTTGCACCATCGATTGTGTTCATATGGGTTGCCGTAAGATGCTCTTGGAGGGCGCCTGCGTCCGCAAATGTGGCTCCACAGGGGGTCTTGATGCCATGGATGGTTGACGTCCACTTGCACATGTGTATCTCATTATCGTCTGTTGAGAATTCAGGCGTGGTCATGATAGAGGAGGATCCCCCCTCGAGTGGTGGTGGAGTATCCCTAGGGCTCGACAGGAAATGGGAGCTGACACTAGACCGGGAGTGACGCGAGTATGGAGAATAATGATGCGCATGAATGTGATGATGCCCTCGGCATCGATGATGACTGCGATGAGCGCCGCGAGGAATGTTGAGGTTCAGGTCGTTCGGATTTTTGAAGTGGGCGTGAGCATGCTCGTGGTCATGGACATGGTGGTGTTCGGGGTGGAAGCAGTTCAGGGCATCCGCAGCAGGGTCGGTCTTGGGTTTTTCGAGGGCATTGGGGATGAGTTGCGGCGCCGGAAGATGCGGTTCATGGCAAACGGAGAAGTCCGGGCATGTGCCAAGCATCTGAAAGACATCGGATGGGTTGACTTCGGTCGCTGTCGGGTAATGCTGGTTGCCGAACATGTCTTGCAAGTCCTTCTGAAAGTCATGGCACTCAAAATGGTTGGACACATTTTGATCGCAGTGTGAAGAGTGCTCCTGGTACGATGATAAAAAGGACTCGTGGTAGCAAGGGTCAATCATGGCCGGTAGGGTATACTCGGGTTTTCCTTGCCCAGCATAAGGTTGATGGGTCATGGCGGACGAGGGCAGCATTCCCGTGGTATCGAGGGACACGGGCGTTGTGAGACCAAAAAAGGCTTCGAAGCCACAGTCGCCAGCTATGGCCGTATCACAGCAGTGATCTTGCAAGCAGAGGGAGTCTGTGCTTTCACAATGATCCTCGTCGCAATGGTCTTCTTCGCAGTGAAGCTTGTCACGATGAGTGGTAGAGCAGACTTCAGAGGCATCACAGTCTACGAAGCCGTCGCATACAGACTGGCAGTCGGCTGAGCAGTGGTCCAAGTCACAGCAGGGGTCACTGGCTTTGGTTGGAGCTAGCGACGTGTGATGCTCTTGGTCTGTGCAGTTCCACTGGGGCCGAGACGAGTCCCCGGAAGAGCCTAGTGACTCGCTATTGTCAATATGGAGATCTTCCCACCGACACTCGAGGCAGAAATCGCCCGCTTGAGGTTGGGAAACCATGGTGGGCGCGGGCAGGACGGATCTTGGAATGATAAAGGGTAGAAAAAGCGCCCAGGGCCCGGTCAGAACAGGACCCGTCGGTGCGCAGTAAGGTACGAAACTGAAATTCCCGGATCACGGGTAAAGACCGAGGGTGGAATAAGCGAACACAGGTGAGATTTTGGTCTTCTGTCCGGAACAAACACTACGCCGCCAGGTAAGAGAAGCGCGCCAGCCGACAGTAGGTGTTAGCGTATCCACTTTGATACTCGCTTGCCCGTAGAAAATACTCGCCCCGGGCGAGTTCTTCTGGAGATTCCAAAGGTATTCTATCGTAGGAAGTACCCCTCCCGAGCGTGTATGGTCTCACGATTGTGTCATGCGCTCAGGCAGAATTCGTGCAGCGTGGGACCAAGGTCCAGACGCAATCAGAGCAATTTAGTGGCGATCACACTCGAGGCAGAGGGGCATGAGGACCTTGTGAGACTTGTAGAGAATGCAAGGAGTGGCAGCTTTTTTTTTTCCTTTTTCGATGCAGCTGCCCTGCAGGAGGGGGCTTCAGCCCCAGAAAGTTGCGCCGTGAGGACCTTTGGGACGCGGAAGCAGCAAGTGAGTACCTTGGTGGTTAGACCATTGGAGCACTTCACATCGTCATGACGAATCGTAGCGCACGTGTTAGCAAGCGGTCAATCGTGGAAAGCTTAATGCGGAACTCTATCGCATCGTTCCCTTGGAAGAGGATATCATTGCAGGCATCGCTCGGGTGCAGGCTCCTCGATTCCCGGAGAATTCTGTTATTTCTTCCCAAGGTCCTCAGCGTTTCCCCATTTCCCGCTGACTAAACATGGATCTGCCCTGGCCCTAAGCCCTATCTAACGTCAATGCTCTCCAGAGTCAGAGCGTCGTACGAGATTCGCGTTGTTGCACATCTGCTGATATTGTTGCTGATCAGATACAGGATACGAATTGAATAGGGATGGTAGCCAATGATATTCCTTGGATCATGCATCGGCCGAGTGGCATAAAAATTTTCCGAGGCTCAGCCATCAAGTATTACTAGAGACGAATTCCCGCTCAGAGGACCAAGTTAGAACTGTCCCTATCCCCAGATATCAGTATACGAGACGAGCGAGTCTCTTTCACGAAATCTCTAGCACAAATCCTGGTGTCGAGAAGCTCGAAGAGGCCGGTCGACGGTGTCTTCTGTCCCAGCATGCACTTCTCCTTTCAGTTTCAGTTTCAGTAATTCATTGATAGATGAACGTAATATGATACGTGGAATCACGATAGCCCTCTTTTGATCCCAAGTCGCCTTCAGTCGTAGATCCCCCAGAGCATGCCGCAGCAATAACTTTATCTCGAGATCTACGTGCCCGCCCCGGGGCCGGGATCCACGAGATGACTAAGCCCCCACGTGCCCCGGATCGTCGTGCATCTTATCGATAACATCAACACACTTGCCTGGCGGCTTCTTCAAACAGTTCGATCTCTAACCCCCCACCTCCGCACCGAGCGCGACTCAGCGCGGCCATTTCCTCCCCAATCAATCACGACCCATCCCCCGATCTCGAACTCCCAAGGTATCCCCCTTCCCCGCAATCATGGGCAACATCTGCTCCAAATCCGCAAACAAGCCCGACGCGACAGCCTCGCCGGGCCGTGTCCTCGGAACCTCTGCACAGGCCCAGCAGAACAAGGCCTCTGGTGGCCGTGTTGCCCCACCCAAATCCACAAATTGGCAGGCAACTCCCGGGCGAACGCTCGGAGAGTCTTCGCCAGACGGGCCGCAAGGGAGCAGCGACGAGGCACGTTCAAACGCTGCCATCGCGGCGCAAGTGAGTATTCCACGCCCTCCAACACCCCACACCGCAGTCCACCTTCGCCAATTCCAAGACCTAACGTTCGATGGCCTAGAAACGTGCCCAAACTGCCACGACAAGTACTAAAGGCAGGTTGGGGTCAAAGCTAGCGGCACAAAAGGCAAAGACGCAGACGCAGACGCTGGCGGAGGTTAGTAGGGATGAACGCGCTGCACGGGATGCCGATCAGATTGCAGAATTAAGGACTGGAGCATAGTGGGGGTACAGAGGACGGCACTGGGATTTGTCACGCGTCCGTTGAAGCAACTCCAGAGGTGCGTATTTAGGGAACGAAGACAGAGGTTGGTGTTGTAGGCGCATGGATTGATCTTTCTCTTTGCTTTTTTGGTAGATCGACAAGTTTGTAGTTATCGAGCGTGGGTCCAACTGAGCGGCTATTATGAACTTTCAACCAACGACAATCGAAGAACAGTCGAAGAACAATTTGAGAAGCTACACCTACCAGGCTTCAATCATGCCAGCCTAGAGACAGACCTCGGAAAAAGGGTTTAGCGTGACTGGGATTTTTCACATCTGAGGTAATACTAAGAGATACTACGGTCTAGCGGTTCCTCTTTCTGTCTCCTGGTACTTTTCTTTTAGTAAAATCTTGTCCTACTCTCACCTTACTCGCAGATACTATCCATGGCATGCTGTTTCATCAACTCCAGCGAGGGGGTAGCTCCACCATGCCTTGCGATAATCCCCAGGCTCTTCCGGTTTCGACGGCCAGACGCTCGTCCAAATTCTTTTCAGGTCCTCCCGTCCCGAAAAGTCCGCACGCAGTCTTGCTGCGCCTCTGGATAGCTCGAGAGCCCTGTCTTCATTCAGAAACCTGTCCTGCTTTGCGATAGCAGAACTCTGGTAGCCCCTTGTGACAATCCATGGATTGGCGACGTATTTCAACAACACTTTCATGTCCTGGTCTTGCTGAAACGTAGGTCCTGCTCGAGTCGTCGCAAATGTCACGATGGATATATCGCCCGATCCATTGCTTTCACACCGCTCGGTCCAGATCCAGTCTCCACGGACGGATAGATGCAGCGATTGAAGATTTGAGGTTCTGTCGCCCACGATATTGAAAATGGATAATGCCAGTCGCGAGTCAATGGCACTGTTGATGAGACATGCGCGAGTTGTAGCTAGATCAACAAACGGGCTTCTGACAAGGCTCACTTCGTCATCATCAACTCCACCGCCGTCTCTTGAGGCTTCTAGGCGTCGTGGATGGAATTCGGAAAAGTCTAAGAAGAGTCTAAGATGCTTCAGTCGTCGCAGCCAGCTCAGTGCTCGGTATACAGCAACCTCGGATGAGTCGCCTTGATTCCTTGCTATGCCAAGGCTAAGTATCTGAATATTGGGGCAGTGCTCTGACAACAGACCAAGCTTGCGAATCCATTCAGCGCTTGAAAGACCGGGCTGGTGGCGCCCGCAGTCTAATCGAAGATTCTGGAGCGCAGAACCATGGTGATATAGAATGGTAGTAAAGGTGCGACCATTACTGTGTACTGGCCCAGAAAGACTGAGCCTTTTGAGAGCAGGGATTCCTTCAAGAAATAGGCTCAACGTCAAATCGAGGTCCGTTCCGTCCATCTTGGGAAATGGACCGTAGGAGAATGAAGCAAGGCTTTGGAAGGCGCCTTCGCGGGCCATGATAGTGAGTTTCTGTATCACCACGGAACTGCCACCATAACCAATTTCAAGATTCCGAACCCGGGTGAGATTGATGAGTTCCCATGCTCGAAGGGTGTTGGTTGGCCCCGGCGTGTACAACGAGGTATCCCCAGTGGCATTGAGAACTAATCGCAGGCTAGTGATTCCGTTCGCTTTGTTTCCATTAGTAGCCTCGCCGGAGTCCAAATAGTCTGGCCATGGGAATCGGGGCTGCGGCAGCCATCTCGATTGTCTGTATGTTTCTGTGTACCCGGTATGGTGCTTCAGGTTAGGTGATACACCTCCAGCCATATTGACAACAGCCAATTCTTGTTGGCTATTTGTGTAGTGACAAGATATGCAATGCAAATTAGGGGATGTTATTAGTCCCCACTCTTCCAAGCTGATAAATTGGTTCGTTACGGCGCCTGGTGGCGGCCATGATGACAAACTCCGTAGCCGAAAGCTGTGAATATGCAAGCGAGTTTGTGGGAATTCACGATGTAGGATTTCGAGGTAACACTGTGGAAATTGCCGAGGATGGTTCCATATCAAGTCCCGAAGGCCAGGTAGTGATCGAATGAAATCTCCCAGAGCTACCCAAGACTGCACCGGCTTTGGTCCTACGAACCGACGATTGACATTGGTCTTGCTGAGCCACTCACAGGAGTCTTGAGGGCCCTCTATCCAGTCATTTTGGGAAATTTCACGCTGAGCTTTCAAGCTAGTCCACCATCTTGTATGCTCCTCGCCGCCTGTGATTTCCAGGCGTCGGACCCAAGCACGGCGATTGCCGCTCAAAGCTTTTTCGATGTCTTCGAAGCCAGTCGTTTCACAATAACCCTTCAACTGAATCTGAACTTTCTCGAATCGATATCTCTCTGCGGCTGAACGCCAGAATCGGTTGACCTGTGCAAATGCAAGGAGATCCCTTTGGTCAAAGCTAAAGCAGTTCACGAAATAGGCTGTCAGTTCAAGCAAATGAAATGGAAGAGGTTCCATCTCGGTCGTATTTCGGGAGGATGATGGTAGCTACTGAAGACTGGCAGTATGAAGATCTACGTTCTCAAAGTCGGCGGGGTAATGCACGCAGGATTGCAGGGCCTGGACACCAGGCACCACTGAATTGCAGTCCGCTCCATATTTCAAGGAAAGGATGGCATGTGCATCCATTGGGTTCATGCTTCGGCTCCAGCAAGCTCGTACTCGCATTCGTTTCGGGGCGCTCAAGCGTCCCTCGTGGCCATTTCGATGGGCACACGACTCAGCCACACAATGTTTTCCATCTACACCGCCTCAATAAATTCAGCCTCAACTCAGATCAAGCAAGCATTCTTAGCTGCAAGTAGAAACGTCATATTTTTCATCCATCAGCTAACGGCCTTTGATCGGGCGGATCAGTGTCTCCTAGCACGACCATGGCAAATTCCTGTCTTATGCCTGGTGTCAAACCCGTTGACACTCCCCTCTCTGACTCACCAACCCGGGTATCCACTGCGAATGAGGAAATTGGTCAAGAAAGGACGAAGATATACGAGATCCAAGTTAGTACGTAGCCGGGTGTTCTGCAAAAAGTTCCAGCTATTGGTCCTTCATATTGACATTTCACGATAGAGATCAGTACTGTCTACTCCCTGGCACTTGCACTGCATCGCTCATTATTTACCTCGACCGATCCATTCAAGCAAGTACAGCGTGAACTGTGTCCTCTGATTGTCGCTCTTGGGCATGTTGGTCGAGTGTTCAATGCTATAACGGATCGGCGTTACCCTCAGATTGCTTCTGATCTCGATCAATGCGTGGATACCTTACAGCACCTTGGGATGCTAAAGTTGCAGGGCGACGGCCTTGTTTCAATTCCACACAACAAAAGCGGAATTTCCGATCTTTCAGGGCGATTGAAAGATATCAGAGTTCAGCTGACATCTAATACCCAATCGTTGAATCGGTGGAACGTCGATTCTATCAGGTTCGGCTTCCTTCAAGTCGTCCACAGCAGGAAAATGCAGGTCTAACAAAACTTAGAGATGCACAAAGAAATATCAAGATGCCCCTAGAGGCGTTTGTGAAATCTGTTGAAAATGATAGCTCCAGAGCGTCAGTAACCTGGAACTCATTACTTCTCAGCGGCGATCAGAATATGTGGAGAGAACTCCGTGGAGAGTTCAAAGATGTCGGGATCAGCGACGAGAACTATGTTATCAATCTCGACTTCATCATCTCGAGACTGACGAGAGCTACCTTCGGCGGTAATATTCCGGATACCAACACAGCTAGACAAGCTTCGATGGAGATCACCGACTTTACAATTGTTGAACCACCAAATTTCATTTCCTCGATCAGCAGCTCTCCAAATGCAACCAGCGAGCGAATCAACGAAAAACAACGAGAGCCTTTTCATCACCCCGCAAGGAACTTATCGTTCCAGCTGAAAGGAGCTTTAACCTGGAGCAAAGGAAAAAAGGGCGGGGAGAGCGAGATCTAGATGTTCGAGGAGAATTGGTGCAGCCAGGGATGAACCTTGGTCGCGCTTGCCTTCGCTCCAAACCACAATGTGTACTTCCAGATCTTCTTTTGTTCAAGATAGAATGGATTGACTAGACATCCACTTGATGCATCACGCCCCTCATGAATCTTTGGCCTTTACTCCGCGGGAAACATCGCACAGTGTATCTGGGCAATCCTCGAGATGACTCCAGTGCCCAGCATCCACCACCGAAGGAAGGCAAGCAAACAGGGGACCATAGTGTCCCAGACACAGATACCCGACAGACGCCCACATCTCCTTGGACCACTCCGACTGAAAGTACGCCGCAGAAAGTGAGTAGCTCAAAATACGTCAAGCCATCCATAGCCGCTGCCACCATCGTCGGCATCATTTTTGTCGCCGGAGGTGTATTCCTCCTGGTCTGGTACATCCGGCAAGAAAGACGAGCACGCCGTCTCCGTGTCTTGCAATCCCAGAACCCGTCGCAAGATCCCTTCTGCCAGTCAACCCTAACTCTGAACGAAGACAGCGACAGAAACCTGAATGAATTCCTCATGAAAGATCTGCAGCCAGAACGCAGATCCATGATGTTCAATCAATCTCTCTCGCCCTCCTTTCCATTCCTTGTGGATGACTTCGATCATACAAGTACATCCACGCCCAGCCTCAGCAAGCCCGACTCCAACATGACCCTCACTCCAGGCTCAACAGAGACAACTGTGCCTCCAATTCCACCTGAAAAGACACCAAATGCACCCCCTGCCCCTCGCCTGTCGATAGCTTCGACGGCCCCGCCGACAGCGAGATCCTCGCAGTTGTGGACTACGACAACAGGGACAACTACATCGACTGTCCTCACGGAACTCAGTTCGCTCTTAAGCAATCCCGACCCCGGAAGCTCTCGTACCTCGCAATCAACGCCCCGAGTAGCTGATGAAATCACTTCTTCCGTCCCATCTAGTCTGGTATCGCACTTGTCAACCTCGTCTCATGTATCCAGTCGACGTTCTCCGGGTGCTGTGAGGGCTGAGCCACAAGCGGTCGAGAACCTAGAACGGACAGAGGACCAATTCACATCGGCGAAGTGAGCCCGCGTTTTCCATGCCTGCGACGACTAGAGTATCCAGTCTACGAATATAGCGACCATTCCATCGACTCCCTCCCGTGTCCGACTTTCTGATGCTTGAAATAACTACTGGTACCTTTGTAGATGAGATTCTGGAAATTGGTGAGAGGACACATTGGGCCTCTCTGCATGATTGGCTGCTGGCTCACCATTGATGTTTTGCGATACGCTCTATTCATTACCCTTATAGCGAGTTAAAATGGATCGATCATCATCATTATCGTCACATTGAGCCCGCCCAAGCTATCGTGTATAGAAGTAAAAACAAAAGACTGAGGCAGCCTGCTGACCCTGAATCAAGCAAGCTAGAAAGCAAAGACGAAAGAAGGAAATAAGTACACATCTCATATCTATTATGAAAGTGTACGAGGAATGTAGACTGAAATCCTTTGAAATTTCTCGAAATAACCTTGGAAGTCTATCCTCGTATTACAAACAGGAACTGGGCCAATCCTTACTTCATCTCCCGCACGCTATGCAGACAGCGCTCCATGCGCTTCCCACGCTCCTTTTCCCGGATAAGCGTGTCCTTAACGAAGGCGCGGATGGCATCGCGGCCGACCCGCTCGCGCCAGGTCGTCCAGCCGGCGAGTTCGCTCACCACAACGTCTTTGTTCCAGGAGACCTCCTTTGCGACACGATTGGAGGCTATCTCGCCGTCACTGATCTTACGCTCGAGGTCTCGCACGGTTTTCTGGCGGGACTCTTCGAAGCCGGGGAGATTGATATTGAATTTGCGGGGGAGGGATTGGGAGAGGAGGGCTGAGCGGTTGCGGGAGACAGCACGGCTGATGGAGTTCAGATCGGACATGAGGGATAGGGGGCGGGCGAGGGAGAGGAGAACTGCAGAGGTCGTGTTGTCGATGGCCGTCATGGCTGAGATGTATTGCAGGAGGGGAGAGGAGTCGGAGCGGGAGGTTGAGAGGCATGCTCCGTAGCGGGTGAAGGCGTCTATGTGGGAGGGCGGAAGAACATTTGTGGGTTCCTTGAGGGTAGAAAGAACAGAGGCGCAGAGGGAGACCGAGTCTGCAAGATCGGAGGCGCTGTTTTGGAGTGCATGCCCTCGTCGTATGAGGGTACGGGTGCTGGCGTGGACACCTCGGACCATGTCCTGTGCATGGGAGACGAATTGCTCTGTGTCACGTATGCCATCCTGTGTGATGGGGGGGGTATTCGTCGGCGATAGTCTCACTCAGGGCAGCTGCTTTGCTTCGAGATCGATCTGCCATCATCTCTGGCTGCAACTCAGGCACAAGGAAAAACTCCCATAGCATCTCGTGGGTGGAGAACGTTGGGTGCATCAGCAATGTCTTCAAGAAGCGATCTAGCTTTTCTTGAAGGTCATGTAGAACAGACCTTGATGGCTTCGAGTGAATCTGGAACGGGTTACGGAAATCCGAGAGAGACGGCACGTAAGAAGCAGGATGCTCGACGGACAGCCACTTGGCCAGGTTCTCGAAGTCAACGAAGCTCCTACGGCAGGTCGTGACGGTGTAAGTAGTTCCTGATCCCGGTCGCGCAGAAGCCATCGACTGGGTAGGAGCTTGCGGTGCACCGGATTTCAAGATGAATCGAACGGTTGCATCTTCCACAAAGAAAGACCGTACTACCGTAGTCACACGGCCAGACGAGTCTGCATAGGTCGATGCTGGATGGGATAACAGGATCAGATCATCGATACGGTTTCGAACCTCATCATCTTTAGCCAGTTCAACGGCGGTCAAGCCGCGAGCTTCTTTGACGTGAACATCAACCCGCGGGTCCGAAAACAAGATCCGAACCTGGTCAATTCGACCATATTTACTTGCCATCATCAGCGGTGTGAACCTCTTGTCGTTGGCGGCATTCGGGTCACAATCGCTTTCTTGCAGGATGCGGGTGGTAATTTCAGGGTCGCCAACAATATGCAATAGGGTGTTGCCCTTCGCATCGACGTGGTCATCGAGTTGTAGAGGCATCATATTGCCCTGGGCTTTCTGAGCGGCAGTCAATGCCAATTGAACCAGCGCCTTGTACTCGGGATGGTCGTATGACCGACATAAAGCGAAGAGAGGTGTTTGTCCATGCTTGTCGCGCTGCCGCCAGGGAAGCAAGCCACTGACTCTTCTGAGAAGCGCCGGGGTACTGAAGAGGTAATGGGCTGCAGTGCGACCATGAACGTCGGACTTCGTCAGATATTTGGCAACAATGCCCTCGTCCGTTCTGCTAAATAGGAAATCCAACAGGATATGGACGATTTCTGCGTGCCCAAGCTGAACTGCTGCGTTAAGAAGCGTAGTCCCATCCTGCATTGGTGTCTTCCAAGATGTCTTCCAGAGGATAGTACTCCTCCAAACTCAGAAGATATTTTAAGGCCTCGCTTTGGTGGCTTCCTACAGCCATCATAGGTATGGAATCGCCCGCAGGGTCCTGAGTCTTTGTCAATGTCTCGATAGAAGTATCACCTTCGATCCCGCTAGCCATCGAATTGATAGTAGTCGATCTTGAGTGAAAGGAGATTGCCGATGACTCTGAGAGGCTGCGGACATCCATTGAAACTTTCTTGACTGGACGATAGATATCTCTTGAGAATGAATTATTCTTGTGCCATGTTTGAAAGGGGAATACGTGCGATAATGGGGGATCGTCTGGCGCATTCGGGTCGTCGGGTACCGGCTCGCCATTTATGGCCGCTGGATTGCTGTACACGGATGAAGTTTCGAAAAGAGACTCATCGACTTCATCAGCGCTATCAGTCTGGAACAGCACTGACTTGCGCTCCGGTTCGGGTGGAATTGCCTCGTCGATGGATTCATGCTCGCCGTTGGGCTCCAATATCCCTTTCATATCCGAGATCCTGCCACTTTTAGTTGCTTGCCAAAGACGTCGATTGCGCGCACTGGCCCGACGCAAGCCTGCAGAGTCGGTGACTAGATACATCAGGACAGCCTCGAATGTGCTCAAAGCATAGCCCATCTCGCCACTGTCCACATCATCGATGTAGATAAAATGCTGCATGTAGAGCAAGCGGGCCTGAAGATGTCTTAATTGCGATCGGATTACGACCACCAGTAGTAGCGAGACCAATACGTCTGCGTTTATCGTAATCGAAGGATGTGCCTTCTCAGATGCTGGCCCATCCACATTGTCATAGCTTCCAGGGAAAGACACTACCTTTACAGTCTCCAACAGAACATTGAGCATATCATGGGGCCCGCGAGCATCATTCATTTTGCGAAACTCTTCCACACCTTTTCCCAGTCGACGAATCAATTCTCGTTTTCCCCGATGGCCGCCTTCGACGGTCAGACCAACTTGAGTGACGTCGAGACTCTCCATGTGACGGATTCGGGAGTCCAGCTCTGCATCCTCAGGCTTCCGGAAGGCGCATAAACGTGGAAACACAAGAGTCTCGTGAACTTGCTCCGCAACATAGCGCTCGATCAGTCGCTCGACCAAGGGGCCGGTGAGATCAGTTGTCGCGCCCAGAAGAGACAGCTGTTGTTTGTCGACTAGTCGAAATAGATCAATAGCAGCAGTCACCGCAGTTTCTAGACTCCTGCGCATCAAATCTTCGTCGTCCTCAAAGTATTCTTCAGAATTGAATGGCAGCCGGCTGCGGCGGGATGACCAACTGCGAACAGAGGAGCTCTCATCCGCGAGGGTTTCGGCGCGGGATAGCCTGTGTTCAAACTCACTTCCAGAAGCAGAAGGCGACCGAGAGGGTGGCGGCGGTAGTGGCTTTCCGAGTTCTTTGCCGAACTCGCGGAAGAGCCTTTCCAGACCTGGCTGCATCTGTTTTGCGATCATTGGAAAGTTGGCCAGCAATTCACCAAATGATTTGATCTCTTGTTTATTTGGAGCCGCAATGGGCCCTTCGTTCCTGTCCTTTTTATCTGAAGGTGAAGGGTCGAGGCTCCTAGAAACCGTCCCCGGTACTGCGGCTGGGATGACTTTAGCAGGATCATATGTTCCAACTAACGGGCGAGAGATATAGTAGATCAGCCATGGGCGTGTATCGTTTGACGGGCCGTAATAGAGGGTATCTGACAAAAGCTGAGCCTGTGTGAGGGATTTGAAACCTATACGAGCCTTTGTTAGCCTGAAGAAGCCATAATGGAATTGCCGTTGCCATACCTTTGTTGCTGTAGACCGAGCTGTCCTTGATGATGACCGTTCTTCCATTGAATGTAGTCACTTGCTTCGCCTTCCCCTGTTATCCCGTACGTTCGATTCTTCCTTCCCATCTTTTGAGCCTGAGTTTGTCGGGATGCGCAAGACATGACTCCCCAGGAACTCTTCCGAAGCAACAAGATCCGAGTAGAACAAGCTAGATTCGCGATCTTTCGAACCGACAAGGCATTCCGTGGTTGGAACGAGTAAGATCTAAGTAAAAGACCTATAAGTTAGCCGGCATGTCTTGTCCAAGGAAATAGCATCAAGAGCGTACATGATTCTCCACGGGTATACACTGCGCCGGCACAGTGCTTCGGAAGAAGGCACGAAGGAAGGGGTTTAGGGGGTGCATCCAAACGGTATTGGACGGCCCAGTTTTGGAATCTCTGCAATCATCAAGTCGTACTTCTCAAAATCTTGGTCGCGTCACGAGGTAGTTGAAGATGGGGGAGGTTCGCGGGGAAGAGCTCCGACGCATTCGAGTTGCAAGCGGCAGTCGGGGGTAGTGACAGCTCCGGGGAACACGTAGGAGCAGGGTCCAGAGAGGTATATACAGCGGCAAATTATTGTAAAGAGAGCACAAGATAGACGGGCGCTGAAACGCTCTGCACAGGCAACAGTGAGGTGAAGCAGAGACATCTGGATGTTCGAGAACGTGATGCCTGCGGGAGCTGATGGCGCTATACCGCGTTTGGGAACTGTGGGCTCCCGCGGGTTTGACCCATTCGATCAGAAGCATGTGATTCATATAGCGATTCTTCGCCTTTTCCATGTGTATTGGTCCATTGATGCTGCAGGCTACTCTTCCATTTGGAGCTAAAGGGATAATCACCATGGATGTAGCCCCTACCCTCAGTCCCAGTTCGGACAGACTAGAGAATCTCCCTGTGGGCTCATTTTCTAATGCTACCTACGGAGCAGGAAGAATAATGCTAGTAAATCCCAGTGTGATCGTATTCAAATTGAAAAGTCATATTGACTTGGAATATTTAAGTATACTTGCTTGGCTTGGTTCCAGGCAGTTTAGAAGGAGGAAAAGTGCTGTTGTACATTTATGACCCGGTTGTGGGTTATAGCTAAGCTATGTGTTGAGTAGTCTTTATAAAAACAGTTGTACACCAAAGTAAATATTACGCCAAAGCCAGTAAGTTGAACACGTGTGGCCAAGCTCGAAGATTCACAATCAATGGTCTCTCTAACCCAATCTGCGGACTTTGCGACTCCGAGTACCACCGAACTTGATGCGGGTAGAGTCAGTCACTCGGTTGACAAGACCACGGATGTTGCGGCCTTCGTTGCCCAGAAGCACTTTGGTGAAAGCTTCACGCCCTTTTCCAAATCCACGATACACAATTTCCAATCGTTTGATTTCCATCAGGTATCCTCGCTCCTGAATAAGTGACATGACATGGGCTGATAATTGGTATGCGGGATCAAAATCACTGCGTCCTCCCTTGCGAAAACCGATCTGGCCACAACCCATGGACATCATCGGATTGCCATTGGGGCGTGTCAAAGTGAGGATAGTGTTATGTTTGTGGCAGTAGACATGGAGGTGGTGTGGAGGAGAACGGTCAGCGTAGGGGTGCTTCATCATATCGGCTTCCAAGCTCTCAGCAAGTCTAGCATAGTCGGAGCTGACTCGAGAGGCAGATGAAGAGCTATCGCCTTGCATCATTCTTGTAATGGCCGAGAGTGGTGACTTGTCTTTCGAAGGTTCGGGGGTGCGGTTCAAGATCTGGCTCTGAATTGTTCGGCTACGATCCCCACGCTCGGAGAGTGAGCTGCTGGTTGAGGAGAATGGTCGAGCCAACCGTAGCGCCGCCGAGCTAGATTGTGATTGCCGGCATACTGAAGGCAACCACTTTGCGAGTGTGTTCAAGGAATTCATTGCGACGAGAAGACGGACGGACGGTCGACAATCGGCGACGGTGGGCGACGTAGCTGGGTCCGGAATTGCGCTTGATGAAAGAGAACAAGCGACTGCAGCAAAGAATAGCGCACTCGAAAGACAGCAATAGCACCCAACTGATGGAGCTAGAGGCAGCCGTGATCGGGAGGTCGGTGACGCGAGGCGGAAGACGGGAAACACAGGAAGTTTTTTGAAAGTCTTGGCATCGCGAACTTTTTCCCTTATTCATTCGCTTCTCCGGTCCAACCTCCGCTAACCCTCACACTTCACCCCCAACATCCGGGCAGGGCTGGAGCTTCCCAATCTTCATTCCATCTTCCTCCATCGATCTTCCCTTCCTCTCATAGAGCATGATCTCGGCTAAGATGGCCACTGCCACGCGCGCGGCTGCAGCTCGGTCCCATGCCCCGGCTCGAGTCGCATCCCAGGGATCGCGGGCCATTTCATATTCCACATTGCCGGCTTCCAGTCTCAGAGTCACTGCGCAAGTTCAACGAAGCGTCTTCCAAGCTGGTCATCTCCCCGTTTCTCAGCTTGTGTCACCTTTCGCCCTTCCTTTGACTAGATCATTCCACAGTGCCAACACCCTCTTCCAGCAACAACAGGAGCAAAAGAAGAGCGGAGAGGCCAAATCCGAGTCACAAGAAGATGGCAAAAAAGAAGAAGAACAGGAAGGTGAGAAGCAAAAGAAGGATGACGCTCCTCCACCCCCTCCTCACGGAGACAAGTCCCCATGGCAGGTGTTCCGTGACACTCTTCAGTCTGAATTCAAGGCATCAAAGGAGTGGAACGAATCTACCAAGGCTCTCGCCTCTTCCGCTCACCAATTCACCGAAAACGAGAATATTAAACGAGCTCGCGCTGCCTACGAAGCCGCCTCCAGCGCCACCACTTCCCGCACCGGCGCTGCCCTCAAGTCGACAGGTCAAGTCATTGGAAAGAGTGCGGCTTGGACCTGGAACACCCCTGTTATGAAGGGTGTTCGCAAAGGTGTCTCTGCGACTTCCTCCGGGCTTGAAAGGGCCACGCGACCAGTCCGTGAGACCGAGGCTTACAAGAGTGTGAAGGAAGCTATTGATGATGGTAGTAGCTCCCGCTACGGTGGCTGGATGGATAAGGAAGAGCGTCGCAGACAGCGACAGCTTCGTGAGCAACAGGAAGCTAAGTCTGGGAAGGGCAAGGCCGAAAGGCTTGTTGAGGATCCCGAGTAAGTATCTCGGTGCTCATTGCTATTGTTTTTTTCTCTTTTCCTTTTGGACGTATGATTAATTTTTATCAGGGCCGGAACCAACATTACTCTCCACAAAGACTCTGCTTGGAAGGAGTCGTGGCGCGCCTTCAAGGACTCAAACCCAATGATGCAGAAGCTCTTCTCTGCACGGGAGGCTTATGAAGAGTCCGAGAATCCTCTGGTCAGCACTGCTCGTAGCATCACTGACCGTATTACCGGATTCTTTGCCGAGAACGAGACAGCGCAAGTTATCAAGAAGTTCCGTGAGATTGATCCCAATTTCCAGATGGAAGGGTTCCTGCGTGAGCTCCGTGAGTATATGCTTCCAGAGGTGCTTGACGCCTACGTTAAGGGTGATATCGAAACCCTGAAGCTGTGGCTTTCTGATGCCCAATTCTCGGTTTATGCTGCTCTTGCCAAGCAGTACACTACCGCTGGTCTCAAATCAGATGGCCGAATCTTGGATGTTCGAGGTGTCGATGTCTCTAGTGCTCGTCTGTTGGAGCCTGGTGAAATCCCTGTCTTCGTCGTTACTTGCCGTGCTCAGGAAGTGCACGTTTATAAGAATGTGAAGACCGGTGAACTTGCTGCCGGCATGGAGGACAAGGTCCAGCTCGTGACCTACGCTATCGGCATGACACGCATCCCCGACGAAGTCAACAACCCCGAGACCCGTGGTTGGAGACTGATTGAATTGCAGAAGGCTGCTCGTGACTACATCTAAGAGCAAAGCTGACCTGCCTGCCTCATGTACGATTCGACCTTGCCCCTCCCCCCTCCCCCTTTTCTCCTGCGGCCCATTCCTCGTCTCTCTGTTGTACAATATATCTGCTTGGCACGAACCCAGACAGAACTGGCGCTTTGTCTCCATGTCTATTTTAGTAACCCGGTGCCTGGTCTTGAACTGGCGGATTCTACCTTCATGTATTAATGTTTGCCTTTCCCATTCTTCCTTGTGTTTCTGTTACTTGTGGGTGGATTGTCTCTTCTTCCAGTCTGCCACTGGGTAGACTTGGAGGGAAGATCACATGCAGCCTAATCTCCATAGACTCGGAAGCAGCTATGTTTGATATCAGCTGGTCCGATCGCATTTGGGTCTGTGGTGTTCTACGGCGTCTTGTTATGGTGTGCATTTCTCTCTCCTCTCGACTCTCTTGATCTGCATGTCAATGTTCGTTCATGGCCCTTGAGACCTTTGTTCTTTGCATTTACTAAATGCAGGTAGCAAAAAAAAAATGCGATTGCGCGAAACCCGTGTATATATATTCGGACAAAAATCTAAGTACGCACCTTCAGTCAATAACATGATTAGACAAGAACCACCTCTGCATATCTATATATTAACCTGTGCCAGTACCTAAGTGCTATTGGTAGTATACTAGTAGCGGCCGCCTTCAAGTCCAAGTTCAAATTTTAGTCCGAATCGTGAAATCAAGAACCCGGTTTATCTATGGAGGACTCGGGAACAGTAAGCAAATATAACTATCCGTGGATGCTATGAGTACTATTACTAGTATGAGAAAGAATTGAAGGCCGTGGAAGGTGAAACTGGAAAGAAAGGTCCGTGTCTAATTATCGCTCAGCACAAAAACATCGACTCGTATCTTTTTTGGCAATCATCCATTATAAAAGAATTCTTGATTAATGAGATCCACCAGCACCCCCAGCACCCCCAGCATTGCCTCCACCCATTATATTGCGGGCCCTGAAGTAAAGAGATTTAGTGGTTGAACGAAAAGAACTCGGTAGCCTGAACTTACATATCCGCAATGTTGGGGTCACTCATAAGGCTCGACATATCCGGCATACCACCACCTTGGCCGAAGCTCTCTGCCATTTGGCGCAGACGGGGGTTACTCATTAAGTTATTCAACATGTCGGGGTTGCTCATGAGGTTCTGGGCCATGCTAGAGAACATGGGGTTGTTCATCAAAGAGCTCAAGTCGGGCATACCACCGCCGCCACCACCACCAGCACCGCCGCCGCCGAACATACCAGCCAGCGAAGAAAGGTCGGGCATACCACCACCGCCGCGAGAAGCACCGGGTGCACTGTCCAGCTCCTCGGATGGAGGCTCGGTGGCACGGCTGGCCTCTTCAAGCTTGCGCTTGGAGGTCTCCAGACCGCGCTTCATGGCATCACTGCCACCGTTACCTTCAGCCTCGATACCCTTCTCATATGCCTCCTTAGCAGCGCGGTAGTCACCGCTATCATAACGGGCCAGACCCAGACGACTCCAGGCCTTGGAGTACTTAGGATCCACGGCGACGGCAAGCTCCGCGTCCTCGGCGGCCTTGTCATGTTGACCAGAGGCGGAATAGGCGGCAGCGCGGTTCGAGAGATAGATAGGGTTTGCTGGAGCAATCGCCAGGGCCTTGGTATACTGCTCGATAGCAGCGGCATAGTCCTTCTTAGACATGAGGGCGTTACCCTCAGACTTGAGCTTGTCGGATTCGGGAGTGGGCGCACCGGCCTTGGGAGTGTCGGTTTGCGTTTTTTGGGCACCAGAGTCAGCGCTGGCAGTCTGGGGAGCAGACTTGTTGCGCAGCTTCTCGTAGACGCTGTAGATGTTGCTGAGCGACTGTCCACCCACGGCATCCTTCACTGCGGCCTCGTCGGTGGGGTCAACCTTGAAGGTGTCGGCGATGCAAGATTGGGCGATTTCGATGGACTCGGAATCGTCGGCAGTGAGAGTGCCATCCTTCAAGCTAGTACCGAGGAAGTCAATAATGGCCAAAGCCAGGCGCTTCTTGCTTTCGTTGGGAGCCTAGAGCATATACAGAGTCAGCATAGCCGCGACATGAACGTCATGCATTGGAGAGGCAGGGTGCACCATTTTGAGCAGAACTCAAGTTCCAATAGACCGGACGTAGAAGATAGAGAAAAGTCAAGCTCAGGGGAAAACGCCCCTCCAGGTGACCAACAAAAAAGTAACAATGCGGGGAGCTGCACGTGATGCCGCTTATCGTCTCTGTTGGATCGTGTCGAGCCCGACGCCCCGTGTGGTCAATTGCGCCTTCTACAGCTCACATAAAGTGGGCCGCAAAGCTCAACTTGCCCCTTTATGGCTCGCAATGACCCCATGTGAGCTTCATTGCCAATCATAACACCTACCCTTGACCGCCGTCATGTATTGGCCCAATGGAGTCCCCCGGGTTTACGCGGTCAATGGCCCAGACATCGCCGAGATCCATTCGAATGTCGAAGGCGAGCCGGTCCCTAGCACTCAGCGGGAGGAGGGCAGCTCCACAGATGGGAGGCCAGTTCCAAAACCGCATGAAGTTCCAGAGGAGAAGGTCCGGGAGTCAGGAACCGAGGCACCGCCAGCGAAGGATAAGGTCAAATGGGAGAACGAAGCTATCAACGGACTATGTGTGTCTCGGTCAGGGCATATCTTTGCCACTATCACCGAGTCATCTCTGTCTTTATGGCAGACCAGGGTATGTATATCTCCTCAGAGCTGCTCTCATGTCACCAACGGAACCTGACAAAAGCTAGCCGACGGCGGTCGTATCTGCAATCGCGCGATCTGCATATTCCCTCCAAACGTACGGCCCCAATGTGGCTGTCCTGATGCATCCTGATTCAACGATATTGGTCGTCCAAACACTCCACGGATACCTACTCACGTACGCGGTAGCATCGGACCCCTCGACCCGAGTTTACCAACAACGGTTCGATCATTCGACACATCCGCGTCGCCAACAATTAGCACATTTTGCCGCAGTCGAAGAATCGAACGTGGTTGAAGATATCAGCATCAGATTTCGCATGGCTATAAAAATCGAGTCCGGTATCGTCAAAGCACTGGCATTGGATAAGGAGTTAGTCGTTGCAACGCTCAAACCTCCTGCGATACAGTGTATCCGGTGGACGCCAGAGGCAGGTGGAACACAGACCACCTCAGAAATGCTGAACAAAATCCTCGGAGTCCCTAAAAATGTTACTATCGTGGATATGGTGTATGATCGTGCCATGAACCTGTTGATCTGGCTAACGAGCAGTGGCCAAGCTTTTACCGTGCAGCGGTATACAGGACCGCAGCCAGACGAAGCTCATCAAAAGTTATTCCATGGCCATTGCTTCCATGAGCCTAAAGACGATGGAGAAAAAGCTCTGAAGGTGGCCGTTAATGCACGCTTTTCCCTGCTGACAATTAGCTGTGCCAATGGGGAAATCTTGGTTTATACTGCGAAAGACTATACGGGTAATGTGCCGCTGTCGCAGAAGCTTCAGCTTCCAGCTACTCCCAATACCACTGGAACTCTGACTTTCATAAACTACTCGCCGGACGGGTACTGTCTATTTGCTGGATATGAAAACGGTTGGACAACTTGGAGTGTTTTCGGGAAGCCAGGGGGAAATAGCTTCACAGTGGACCCAACACTCGCAAAAGCAAATAAAGAGGACTGGCTCACGGGTGTTTCCAATGGCTGTTGGATCGGCGGTGGGTCGGATATCATCCTGTCCGGGAACAGCGATCGTCGTCTTTGGATTCTAGAAACAGCAAGGAGTGCATTGACGGGATGCTTTTCCGCTGCCAATCTCGCTCGGGGACTACTGCAGACCGGCACAGAATTTATTCTCTATCGCGGTCATGATCTCCCAGAGCTGATGACTATATCAGGAAAGGATTCTTTATGGCATCATGCTCAGTATCCTCCTGCATATCTCCATTCACAATGGCCTATCCGGTCTTCTGTGGTTTCTCCCGATGGGAGATATATTGCAATTGCAGGCCGCCGTGGATTGGCGCATTACAGTGTTAATAGTGGACGCTGGAAGGTCTTTGAAGATGCCAAAGTAGAAAATTCTTTTGCTGTCCGAGGTGGTATGTGTTGGTATGGACACATCCTGATCGCTGCTGTCGAGAGCGATGGGTCATATGAGGTATGTTAACTTGACCTCGTGCTCAAGAACGAGTACTCATCGCGGATCTAGATTCGGCTCTACTCGCGAGACGCAGCCCTCAACAACAACACTATCATGTTTATCGAATATCTTCCTTCGCCTGTGGTGTTCATCGGACCATCGGGGGAAGATTCCCTGCTCGTTTATACCTACGACAACATTCTGTATCACTATATCATCAATTCGGCTCAGCCACAGATCACTTTGGTTCCCGTGGGTCAGATCGCTTTCAACGGGATTGTTCGAGCACCTACTAGAGTTCGGTCAATCAGCTGGGTTTTGCCAGAAGAACAAATGCGTAAGTCGGGAGTTGAAATCCCGTGGAGAATAAATTTTATCTAAACTAAAGCAGGCAATGGCGACCCTTCTCAGGATGTGAAGGTTGCATCCGTTATTCTTTTGGTCGATGGCAACCTCGTTCTATTACAGCCGACGGTATCGGACTCCGGGGACCTGAAATACGATATGCGTGTGATCTCTCATGATGTGGAATACTACATGTTGATGCGTGATCAGATGTCTTTCAACTTCTCACCCCCTGTGGATGAGTCTCTCCCCGCCAGTCCTTCAGCAGAAATGGTCCTCAAGCCATCTTTCAGCAACTTATCGTTACGAGACTCTCTCTGGATTTTCCGAGGCAAGGATCTCTTGGCATGGAATGATGTTCAGGATGTTTTGCAACAAGACACGGTGCCGGCACCGGTCAATATACCCCTCGACTTCTACCCTCTTTCGGTAATATTGAACAAAGGCATTGTCCTGGGTGTGGAATCCGAGATGACACAACGGCGTGATGTGACATTTACAAGCCTTAAATTCGCGATTCGAGTAAGCTTTGACCCTCCCTATGGAATTGACATCTTTCTGACATCCCGTAAGACCCACCTCTTCCTCCCTTACTTCCTCCAGCACAGCCTGATCAATCTCGGCACTCCCGCTGCGCTGTCTCTATGTCGGCACTTTTCTCACCTCTCCTACTTCGCCCATGGCCTGGAGATTCTGCTCCATCATGTCCTGGACGACGAAGTCGACAACCAAAGCCGTGCCAATAAAACGGATGATCCCTCCAACCGAGAAGAACCTCTCCTCCCTGTTGTCATTGCCTTCTTGCAAGCATCTCTACCTGCGCGTGAGTTTCTCGATATTGTAGTCCAGTGCACCCGCAAGACAGAGCTCCGCTTTTGGCGCACCCTTTTCACATATTTGCCCGCGCCAAAGGATCTCTTCGAGCAAGCACTGCGACTCGACGCTCTCAAAACAGCTGTCGGATACCTCCTCGTCCTTCAGTCCTTTGAAGACGAAGACCATCACCACGACGGCCGCATCGAAGAATACGTTGTCCGGCTCATCGGGCTTGCCTCACAGAAGGGAGACTGGGAGCTGTGCGCTGAACTTGCTCGCTTTCTTATCGCGCTTGATTCCTCAGGCGAAATGCTACAGCGTGCGATTGGGCGCGTCGGACTTCGCACGAGGCATCCTCGCAATGCAAATGGAGCCCAATCCCGGTCAGAGTCTGTTGCGAGCATTAAAGGTCTTGGGCTGAGTCTTCCTACTCGCACTCCGTCCTGGGGCTCTATCTCACCGGTTTCATCTTTGTCCCCGCACCGAGAAGGAGAAGTCTCCGATGGATATGCAAATTCCATGGCCAGTAGAGATGGGCCGTGATGTTGTTTGGGGCTTCGGATTCTATGGCGTTCTGCACATATGCTCACTAGGCTTGAATTGTATATATCCCTCCGCACTGTATATTTGTGTTGAATCTGGTCGTTGCTTGTTCCTTCGTTATATATATCCTGCTCGCCTCCGTATTAGTAGTAATAGCTGGTGTCATAAGCCTCATCTACCCCCGAGCACTACCAGTCCACGTAAACCGTGGATATCGTCTTAGAAGGTTTCAACATCATTGAGCCACCAATAAACTAATAATAATCCGAGAGAAGCAGCTCGGCGTAGAATGATACGAATTCGATGGTTACAGCTTAAGAGGAATGCTGTCTCAAAGCCCCTATAGCCTGCGAGATATCAATGACTTCATCCACCCTCGCCGCCGGGCCTCCCCAGCGCACAATGCCCTTTTCATCAATCGCCCAGTGTCCACTAGACTGCCAGCGGCTTCCACTCTCAGTCGGCCTATTCCAGATGCCCTTCTCCGAGCCCAGCTTATAGATAGCGTGCATAGCAGTTGGGCTGAGTAAATGGCCCCAAGAAACAACACCCAGGCCCCACTGGGCATAGATCTCACGGTCAGCATCGACAATTACAGTGACGGAATCCGTCAGCGATTCTTCGTCTTCCCTGATGGCTTCCACCCACTTCTCCGTGGACGCTTGGTCACTGTGTGAAACCGCGACGAAGTTGATGTCGCGGTGCTGAGTCGCTGCCGTGCGCATTTCAATGAAGGTCGCTTCGGCGACTTTGAAGGCATCTGATTAGCGTCTAGGGTTCTCTCACTGGGCATTTGAAACCGCGCGAACCTGGGCATCCGCAGTGGCGGAGGAATGCAACGATGGTTGGCTTTCCATTCTCGGCTGGTAGAGCCAGCTTGGAGGTAGATGGTGCTGGTTGGCCCACCTGGGGCGGGGGCAATGTTTCGATCTGCGGTGGAGCGAACCACGATGCGAGTTCTTGTGAGAGGCCCATTTTCTATGCTGCAGAGTGTTTATGCGGCCGATGTTTGAGGTTGCGGAGTTTCCAAAGTTGGGGGTTACGTCATGCGAGATAAGGCCTAAGGCCGCTAGGTATAAATCGGGTGAATTCCAAGTAGTGGAATGATACTTCAGATCTTGAATACTAGCAGTCATCCGGTGGGCTCTTTGGGATTATATGGGATTATATGAGATAAAACGGAGAGATCATCCTATGGAATATGTGGTATGGGACCAACGCAAGTATAGACGGTTGACTCCCACTTCCCGGACTTATCTAGGCTTCACAGAAGCTTGCAAGTGATGAGGTTTAACAAACCAATCGCAAGACGAGTCCAGCCACTGCTTTGGTTCACACAGCTCAAATGCAAAGTGTCGGAGCACGTAGGGTACTAATTTTGAGATCTCAAGGTAGCTGATGTTCTTGCCAATACAGGTTCTGGAGCCGCTGCCGAAGGCAAGGAAGTACCGTTCCATGGCGGAGAGAACGTCTGGCTCTGAATCAAGCCATCGCTCTGGACGGAAATCATCCGCATCGGGACCAAAGACCTCTTTGTTATGGTGTGCGACCCAGGCGTTGATTCCCACGGTTGCCTGCCATAGACCCGTCAGTCACGATGGTGGCCCAGAGGAGTCAAGACCTTACTCCTTCTGGAAAATGGACGCCGGCGATCTCAGCGCCGCCCTTGGGGACGAGACGAGCCATTGGCAGGCCGGTTGCAGGGTGAAGTCTGAGGACCTCCTTAATGATGGCCTGCAGGTAGGGAATCGTCTGGGTTTCCTGGAAAGTGAAGAATTCATCCTCTCTCTTATTTGGATACGTCTCTCTTATATCGTTAAGTAGCCTCTGTATGCAGTGAGGGTGCTGTAGTAACCAATAGAAGGCTGCAGCCAGACTAATCCCGGTCGTATCGCTCCCAGCGGCCAGATTTTGGCTCAACAGGGTGACGCCAATCTCAAATGTATACACATCGGGGGCTTCGGCTTGCTTTTCTTGGAAAAGCCTGGCGAAGGGCGCCGGTTCATTCTCATTTATTCTCTGATCTTGGTCTGGTTGCTGTAGCAGACGGGTAGCATAAGATCGCACTTGTAGGGTCGTACTTGAGATACTTATTGGTGAAATGATGCAGCGTTGGGAAAAACCCGGCAATAGCACCGTAAGTCAGGGTTTCTTCGGTGGTAGACATCAATCTGTCGATATCTTGCCCCTTGTCGAGGAATCCGAGAGGGTACCCGAGCTGCCAGGCAGAAGAGATTGATTTAGTGGCCACTCGATCGATATGTGAAGAAATGGGGTCCATACCGTGATCTCAGTGATGACATCGAATGCGTAGCATTGAAGCCAGTGCATCAGGTCTATTCTATCGCCCGACTCTACAAAGGTCCGCAAGTGCCGCGCCAGCTTCCTCGCGTTTTTGTCCACAACAGACTCATATCTGACCAGCGACGACACTGAGTATAGTGAGCTGTACTTCTTCCTCAAGTTCCCGTGCTGCTTCTGATCTTGCAGAGCGAATAAGTTCAGGTGGGCAACCGCCACCGGCGTCGAGGCAGAATACCAGGTGCCTTTGATGAACTTGGTTCCTGCGCCGTACAAGGGCTTGACTGCAGATGGGTTATCGATGCTATATTCGTTTGGTCGAATCCTGACAACGGGGCCTTGACGGATATTATTCATTGAGTCTATTTCCAGAGCGGTAGGACCTTATCATTTACCGTAACGCCGGTGTAACTCAACATTCACCTTGTGAAAATCCCCATACCAAGCCTGTTTAACCAGCCAGAGACGGGTAAACCGTGCTAGGAAAGGACCCTGGATTCGTCGAAGGGGATCAAGAATGCGTTTCAAAAGCCATGCCAAAATTGTGTAAACGACGGCTGCTATGACAAGCGGTGCCCCTATAGCCATTCTGAGTCGAGGACGCAAATAATAGCGTTGAAAGAAATGGCAATGATTCGGGGGCTTTTATATCATGTTGTAGCTGTTGTACATGTAACCCCCAGGGCTGCAACGCTGCAACCTCACAACGCCAAGCTTTTTGCCCTAAGTTTTGTCTGTCGGGTCGTTGTGACACACCTGCTGGCTACTGGTACCTGAGCTGGCTATCCCGGCAAGGCATGTTGTGAGATCGGGGTCACTCGAGAGACCTTCCAGCCAGGGGCTTAGCTCTTTATGAGGGAAAGGTATTAGATTGGAGAGATGTCACATTCAATTGGCGGCATCTCGTGAACGGCAAGATTCTGTTATAGTAGCTTGGGTTTATTATAGCAGAGGCGTTGCTGGCAGTGCAATTCATTTGAGAGAATTAGTAGCAATTCTACAGAGAATAAAAAGTGTACCCGATCCCCTTGGCAGGCGTCGACAATGTTGTTAAGGGTAGGCAGATGGTGACCGCGCTTGGGAACCTATGGGAGATAGCGATAGCCAACAAAGAGTACGGTAAAACTCCCCCCTCAAAGCAAGCAAATGTGTTTGACCGTGATCACATCTAAGCTCAGACCTCTCCTTTGTCCGGAAGTTTCCTGAGCGGCTGAACCAACGCTACACTCCAATATCAACATCAAACGCGGCCGATGACTCGACAGCTAATTTAGCCACATGTTCACGAGTATGTCTGCGATGGACTTGATACTCGACATTTGGCGAAGACCGATCATGCTCAAGGAATATTTTCAAGGATACGTAAAGAGACTCCTGCTGAAGTGCCTCGCCATCTGCGTGTTTGGCTTGCTTCTCGTTTGCCAAAAGGAAAAAGGCACGGCGCATCCTTCTGAAGAGTGTCAATATATGAGCTGTTCATACACTGCTGGGGGAACCAGATGTCTCCTCGAATCTTTCAAAAGAATCATACAATCTGCCTGGTCCCCCAATCCACGATGTGGAACAGGTACTCATATTGTCAAAGGTATGCCGTACTCTACTCCCTTGTAAGCGCTTAAAACTCACTCCCTCTTCCTCCTTGAGAGTCATGCCTCGTCTTTCTGGTTTCAGAAATCCTGCACATCGTCACACCAGAGCTGAACTCGGAGCGAGCCGCCCGGATAATTTTCGCCTGCTGCGTCCTGAAACTGGCGTTCGAGATCTTCCACAGACCTAACCGCCGAAGATGCGAATGGCGATATTGCGAATCGGGCACCTTCGCCAGCAGATCTAGTCTGTTGCAGCATGTTAAGGAGCAGCATATCAGTCCACAGGCCTTTGGATGTCCCCAGAAAGGCTGCTCGAAGCGCTTCAACCGAAAGGCAAGCGCAATTGCTCACTACCGGCGGTTCCATGTGAAGAAGGGGGCATAGATTCGGATGTTATTGGGTTGCCGTGGGATGGAATACTTGATCAAATTGCACATGTATGGGACCTGTAGCTCGATCATTGGACTTTAAAAGCTTTTTTATTTAGAGCTTAAATATGTCCAATTCTCGCGATGCGTTTACCGAGAGGCCATCTGATCTCCACTTCAAGGAGAATCTTCGCAGAGGAAGTCCACGTCCTGGTAGACTAAACAAACTAGTATGCAATGGTACCAGACTGTGGAAATCAATGGCTCGTAGCGCAACAAGCGCTCAATGTTCTTCAAGGGTTCATGTCATCAACAGCATAAAGCTAGAAAATCGTTACTGAGGTATATGCATCCCACACCGTCTCCGAAATCAACCCCCCCAACACCACGACACCACCCCTTCAAGATTCATGCACCCCCGTGTCGTTCGGCAGACATCGCCTAATCCAGCTGCAGCCTCCAGAGCCCATCTCCAAGATAATGTCCCTCATCCATAACAACCCCCTTCCCCTTACTCTTGATCTCCTCTGTGCCAACCTTCAGCACCCCAATAAGGCACACCTCCTCCTTCCCCTCGGCCTTCACAGCAACGACCTGCCCGGCCTCGATCGCGTGCTCCGCGTCCGGGAGTCTGCCGCCTGGCGACGTCAGACCCGGTGCCATGAGCGCAGCGCCCGAGAGCACGAAGCGGATCGCGCCGCGGTCGATCTGCACTGTGGGGATAGCGGAGGGGTACTGGTGGACGAGGCGGAGGTGCGGAATTGGAGGCCCGTCCATGGGCTGGAAGAAGAGGGGTGTTGTGTCGATTGTGTACAGGGTGACGCGGTCAGGTCTGGAGGGAGAGATATAGTTATTAGTCGAAGGTTATATAGCTTTTTGCGTTGAGGGCCTGGGGTGGAGGAAGCGGCTGAGAGGTGTCTTCTGCATGCTACGTACAGCTTCACAACTTCGAGGGAGGCTTTTTTGGGCATGATCTCTTCGATAAAGGGCTCGTAGCCGGGGTATGTGTCCAGCAGCTTCTGGCGCAAGCCTCGCTGCACGGAGGACTTGACCTTGGAGCGATTGCTCGGCGGAATACTGGGAATACATGTTAGCTTTTTGCCAGAAGAAGTTTTGGACCATTCAGTCCACGGGGAAGAGGTTAATAAGGGTCTCCCGGGTCGCCGTTCAACTGGTATCAAAGCTCGCGCCAAGCCGTGAAGCTTTTGTGCTGATTGTCGGAGCCATTGGCCGGAGGGTAAGGGGGATGTGATGAACGGGGATCTTGTCTGGTTTCCTGTTTTCTGGAAACACGCTCTGACGGACCACTTACTCTTTCTTAAACATGGTGCTGTGTCGTGGAAAATAGGACGTGGAATATCTGCTCTACAAGTGGGATACGCGGGGCGGTCACGTGTATCTATCGCATTCTGCCCGCATTTTCTGTACGTGGAAATACGTGTAGCACTTGCTGGCAATTAACAAGGAAAAGGGAACAGAATCTTTCACTTTTACGAGCTTAATTGGCTGAGATCATATTCATCAGGGTGAACAGTTCGTCATTGGAGATCTATTCTTAACTTTTTATACCTATGCCTTAGCAGCACCGGCCTTGATGAGCAAGATGTCGCCATCCTCGACGACATAGTCCTTGCCCTTGGTCATAACCTTACCGGCCGCCTTAACTTCAGCTTCGCTACCAAGCTCCTTCAGAAGGTTGTAGTTGTATACGATAGCCTGGATGAAGGTCTTCTCGAAGTCAGTGTGGATAACACCAGCAGCAGCAGGGGCTTTGGTGCCCTTGCGGATGGTCCATTGGCGGACTTCGTCAGTACCGGTAGTGAAGAAACTGGCCAAGTTCAGCGCCTGGCGCATGGTGGTAATAACCTTGGGCAGGCCGGACTTGGTGCCAAGCTTCTTGCACTCTTCGGCAGCGGCTGCGTCGTCGCCCATCTGGGTCAGACGCTCCTCGAACTGGGCAGAGATGGGGAGTACTGGGGAGCCGGTGGAGTTCTCCTTAATCCACTCGAAAAGCTTGGGAAGGTACTTGTTCTTCTGGCGGATGTAATCCCTCTCGCTCAGGTTGACCAAGTACACAACGGGTTTAGCAGTGAGGAGGAAAAGGGGGTTAATGACTTCAACCTAGAACCATTCAGTTAGTAAATAAGTCTTAACAATGGTTCTGTGGTTTAAGGAATAGCGGGAAATGCCTCCAAATCTTTCAGATAGTACTTTTATCTCAAGGTGCCTCCGCGTGAGTTTTAAATGGGGCACTCAACGAGCTGGGTTAAATTTCGAGCAGAGCTCTTATTCATCATTGAAATGGAGGCAGGGTCTTCCAAATGGTTGGGGATTGGTGGGTGGATGGGGGAATGGGGAAGATCAACATACCTCCTTAGGACTCCAGTCACCTTGGCGGATGTCCTTGCCAGACTTCAGCCATTCCAGGATCTTAGCAGTAGTTGCCTCCTCTTCCTTCATCTTCTTCATCTCAAGAGACTGGCCTCCACGGCGGGTCTGCTTGGACAGAGACTCCAGAGCCTTCTCCACGAATTCAATATCCTTGACACGCAGCTCCTCGCTGATGATTGTCAAATCACGGACGGGGTCGACATCGCCCTCAACGTGGATGATCTCGGCGTCATCGAAGCAGCGCACCACTTGGAAGATGGCGTCAACGGCGCGAATGTGGGACAAGAAAGAATTACCAAGACCGGCACCAGTCGAGGCACCGCGAGTCAGACCGGCAATATCGTACACGGTCAAGTTGGCGGGAACCTGCGACTTGGGCTTGTAGTGGTCTACGAGCCAGTCGAACCGCTCATCAGGGACAATGACGCGGGCCTCTTCGGGGTCGATGGTGGCATACGGGAAGTTGGCCGGGTTACCCAAGGAGGACTTGGTGATGGACTGGAAGAGTGTCGACTTGCCGACGTTTGCAAGACCAACCTGCAGCCATTGTAAGTAAGCCAATCGAGGTCAATGGATGAGGTTGGGATGCGAAGAACGTGAGGAAGAAAAGAAAAGGGGGTTGCGCAGGGGGGTTAAATAGGTGTGGAATTAAAAAGTGGACTGTGCTGTGCGAAAAAAAACCAGCGAAAAAAAGCGACAAAGTGGGGGCGCTGCTCACATACGATACCGCTCTTCAAGTTGTTGCCGGGACGGCCCAGCAGGACCTTTTCTTGAACTGGGGCCTTCTTGGGAGGCATTTTATTTGATTTCTTCTTCTTGGAGTAGAAGCGACAAGAAACCAGGGAAGATGGGAGGTGGGGTGTTGTGCAAAGGCGGAAGCGGGCAGTGGGCAAAGCGCGTGCGCCTAAAGTAGATGCAGGGCCAGCTGCGGATCGATCAACGACACGAAGGAAAAGGATGGAGGAATTGAGGAGAGACGTGATGCTGGTGCCCACAGGGATGTGGGCGGAATGATTGGCTTGTATAAATATGAAGTATCAAAGGAGAGAAAGGGGTTTATTCCAGGGAGAGAGACTTGTCGCAGCTGACACGAAACATGTCATCGAAGTTTTTCTGCCTGGGTTTCCAGACCGCCCACGTGCAGCCCCAGCCCTTCATCATGTCACGTTTTCTTTGCGAGATTGTACAACCCTTGCAGCAATAAAGATATCAGCTTCATATGATGAAACAGACCATAGATACGATTACTGCCTGTAACCTAGTTCTAGAGATTGGAGGCTCTCAAGGATTTTGCCGAAGCGAAATCAATGGACCAGGCGGTCAGGTCATATCTTTAAGATCACCCAGGTTAAAATATAGAGAAGGACCACAGGAGGGTTCACGAGTAGGCTGCAGAGTTGAGCTTATCATCGGGTATTAAAGAGTTCCAAGGTTTAGATCAATAGAATTTGGAAATCGGCTCTTGCTGATAAGAACAAATAACTATCGAGGTACCAGAAAACCGGCGCCCCAAAACATTGGAAACTGAATCATGACGGCTTCCACGAGTTATGGTACAAATAAACGCAGTCGAACAAATCGTCTCGCATCCATCCGGGATATCAAAATATCAACCAAACAATAGTAGCAAGCACCCACCCCCGAGCCAAGTCCAAACCATTAAAGCAGCCAACGCCGAAGGAAGCCATAGAACCGAAAAAAAAAAACAAACAACCGGAAATCAGAGGTCCATCGCATCGCTCTCGGTACTGTCCACCATATCAAGCAACTTGGCATACGGAACTGTTACCCGCTGGAGTTCGCGGTATTTACCTGAGAAGTTGTTAGCTTGAGCATCAAGACTTGTGATCCAGAGATTTGGTTCATAATAAGGGAGTATATACCTAGAGAAAGGATCACCTCCCTCAATAACGTCTCCCGTGGCCAGCCACACAGGTCCTCAGATCCCTCTCTCCAGTTGCGGCCTGCAACTTCATTCGGCTGGAGTTTTGAGACCTCATTCGAGTTGTCTTCATCTTCGAACAAACCCCCGATCAACCCCTTGAGGAGTTCTTCGACCTTCATCTTGAGACCCTCGGCCCCGATACGTTTCGCGTACATGCTGAGATAGAGCCGGAACTCCTCCTTGGCGCCCAATGACAGCGCAGCCGCCATGCGATTCTCAAGATGCGCAATAGAAACACTCGATTCAAATGTCTCATAGCCTTCGCGCGAGAGGAGGGTTTTGATGAGGCGTTGTAAGAAGTATGCGCGCCCGCGCAGTAGAGTCTCGTTAGTTGTGTTTCGCTCCAGGAATGGTATAATACCGGCAGACACAGCTGCCTTGGCATCCTTCATATCTTGCTGCATATCACGCGATTGCAGGTTGCCAACTGCTGCATCAGTCGAATTCCAGTATTGACTGCCGACGGCCCACCAAGCTTCTGAGACACGCTGCCACGCGTACATCGTTGGCGAGTAACTATATCCTTCGCCATTAGTAAGAGATACCACGATGCGGCCTTCCGAATTGATTCGCGCATCTGTTACGGCAGGAACGACTGTGGGGTGGGCGCCCATGACGTAGATCGCAGCGTCAAGGACCGGCTGTATAGAAACAGGCGGGTGTGGTGAGGAGAGGTGCTTGACATTCCAGACGTAACACATGCCCACGGCTGTGATGCAGAGTAGCCACGGCCCGTTGCTCTCGATTATAACTGGTTGAGCCTCCAGGACAAGTGCGCTTACCAAGCGGCGGCCCGCTGGTGTCCAGAGGTAGATGGAGCCATCTTCACAGCCAGCGGCCCAGAAGTGCTGATTCCCTGTTACCTGCAGGACAGATTTGGGCAGGAAGTCCTGCCAAAGGGGTTGTTCACCACGGAAAAGCGTTAGACGAACTGGCTCTCGATCCACAGCCCGACCAGTTAAGCTGGCGGCTGACGGGTTGCGAGCCTCAAAAACCACGTCAACGCGAGACTTGCTGCTTGAATCTCCGCCACCACCAGGGGCTGGAGGCTCTGTTGGCTTCCCGGTAGAATCTAATGCGCGGAGAATGTGGCTCCGAATCTTGGGAACAGCAAGACGAACCTGACTCACCGACATGCAAGGGTTGGTGACAGCCGGCCTAATGAATTCAGGTGTTGGTTGTTGACCGATCGTCCCAGGCTGTGTTTGGGCTGGGAGCAGACCATCTGGAGTGTTCGCCATAATAGGCGTGGCACCATTTTGGCTGGCTATTGCAACTCGCTTCTCAACGGAGTTTTCTTCGTCACCGTCGAGGTGAGCAAGTTTCCGCTTATTGCCGAGAAGTAATGCAGTAAGTCCACCCTTGGGCAAGCCATCAAAAGGCTTCGATAGGTCAACAATAGATGTTGGGGTATCCACCTTCACTTGATTGCTCACTGAAGCCATGAGACGTGCCTGTGGAAGTGAGGATTCTCCAGCCCCCGCCCCAGAAACGAGCAAGGGAGCAATGCGCTTCTTGCCCTCTTTCGTATAGGTAGGCCGTTGCTTCAGCCGCTCGAGTTTAGCTTGATATGGATCTGGTTTCTCTGTTTCGCTACCAGGAGCTGCTGATCCAGTTCCGTTGGTCTGGGTCTTCGCCGCGTCAGATTTGGGGGAAGGAGCTTGTGCTGGTGTCGTCCCGTTTGAAGGCTGTGCTCCTGATGTGCCATTCACAGCGGCCTCATTTGACGTGCTGTCGTCACCCATCAGAGCGCCCATGCGACCTTCCACGCCCTTGATTTCCCCAGCTTTGCTTTTCTCCTCTAGCAGAAGACTATCAATGTTCTCGGTGATTCCCGCACCTTTGCGGTTGGTTCCAAATTTGGTCAACGACTTCTCGTTCTCTTCCATCTCGGTGGCAAAGCCCAGCTCTCCTTCCTCGAATCGAATCATCAAGATAGTTCCGTCCAGGGCAGTCGCGAAGAGGCACTTGCCGTCAGGACTCCATGCGAGGTCCGATATCGACTTAGCAGCCATTTCCTGTGCTACCACCATTGGCCGAGGATTACTTGTGATCCAGATACTTAGAGACTTGTCAGCCCCAGCACATGCAATCACTGTGACATGATGCGCGGCATGGTGGCTGTCGGCGGCCTGCTTTGACAAGGGTTCTCTTGAATACAGCCGAGGAGAGAACGAGCAGACTTCTACCGGTGCTTCGTGACCAATGAGATTGATATCGCCATCCCATGAGCCACGATTGATAATAGCAACAGAGCTAACGGGACCATTTACAGCGTTCGCGGCAGCAATATGCATGCCATCGGGCGACCATGAACAGCGACGGAAGTAGGCAGTTAAGGGAGAATTCTCGAAAGGCGCAGTGATGGTGTGCTCGAGGACGAAGTTGTTCATTTGGTCGTGGGAGGTTGAGTTCGGGGCTGGGGAAGTGAATCGGAAGATGCGCACAGTACGGTCGTCACTTGCGGTAGCAAAATACTTGTTGGCAGGGTCGAATGTGATGCCTTTGACATGACTGGAATGCACGGCGATCGTTTTCAACTTTTCGAAGGTATGTCCTGACCACACAACCACTTTGGAGTCTAATCCGACTGAAACCAACACCGAGGAGTCGAATGACCACCCCAAGTCCTGCACATCGTTGTCGTGGCCGATCAATCGTCGGATTGTCCGCCAATTCTCGACAGGCGGCGCCTCATCGGAACCTGAGCAAAATTCCCCAGAACCCATTAGTTTGAGCCTTTTGATCTCACAAGATTATCCAAACCTACCGAATGTAGAGTGTGTGGGTGGGTTTGAATCAAGCGTGTATACACAGACAATCTTATCATCGGCGCCGGAGGCAAGGTACTTCCCATTTGGCGAAAAGCGTACAGTATGAATGGTACCGGAGTGGTTGCTCATCGACGCAAGCTGTTTGGGCTTACCGGCAAATTCAGGGTTTCCGGTGTTGCTAATAGCTTCTGTAGACCAAATTCGCACATAGCCATCTGCAAAGCGCGAAATTGCAAGTCAGTGGCATTTCCCAGGGTGTCACACCGGAAGCTCCGTCCTTTGCTCCTGTTTCGGGGACTGCGATCATGTTGGTCTCTTACCTCCGGCGGCTGTCACCAGTCTCTTCCCATCTGGAGATACATCACAACTGTAGACCTCGAAATCCTTCCTCTCGCCTCCGTGCGTAAGCCAGACCGGCTTAATTATATGCATTGCGCGGGGAAAGGCAATACTGCTTTCGTTGAGCCGCAAGGGTGAGAATGGCCTCCCGGCAGTGCTAGCGTAGTCCGTCCCTCAGCTCCTGAGACGAAACTAGATGATAAGCTCAAGCGAGCTACCCGTCGACGTGAAGCGTGGAAGGAGTGGCCGTGGTCGGGTGTCAATTAGGTGTATATCGCTTGTGACATGACACGGCTATCGATCAACAGGCTACCGCCCTTGGAATATCTGGCGGTAGCTTCGTAAGACCTTGCAAGCCGTTGTTGAGACAAGAAGAGATGTGTGTGAGATGCCGGTGGCGAGTGCGGAGGAGGATGCAGGAACACAAAGGGAGAGCGCGAAATTGAAAAGTCGCGATCTCCAGATTTGGCGCGTGGCCCGAGCTCCTTTTCGCGTTGGTTCAACCGTTGTTATACTTCTGTTTCAACCAGAGTATTCAACCAATGGCTCTCTACTTGACTGATCTTTATTTTTAGCTCATATAGATAGATCAGAGGAATCTTCTTGAATGAAAAATGAAAAAAAAAAAACTCGCTATTTTTTTGGCGACTGATTAAATTATCATACACGCTGTCCTTCCCATTGCCCCGCCGTTATGTACACAGATACACGCTGCTCGGATTAAAATCCCATAGTGAAGGTAGCAGGTGCTGGATTTTTGTGTTGCTTTGACTCCTGAAGAAATGCTGCAGAGTAGAACATTGGAACAAAAGGAAACGGATATAAGAACAGAACATGAGCGGAGGAGTGGTGCATACAAGAGATTGGCGTAATGTCTCGGCCAGACCACAAGCGAAGAATGTCGGCGAAAGCGGTCGGGTGCTCATATCAAAGGCTCTGGAGCTTCATCATCAGAATAATCCCATGGCCACATGCTTATTGCGCCTTGGAATTGGGGTTAATCTGATCAAATCCCTCCAGAACACTATCCTGGACACTCGGCGTAACGTTGCCCTCGGCATCGTCAGCGGCTTTCTCATCCATAACGCCCTCGCTTGCGGCAGATGGGGTTTGGATGTTCTTCTCATCGGCCCCGATAGCCTTGGCCGCAATGCTCTTCGCTTGAGCCTCGCTGACCTTTCCATAAACAGCCATAGCATTGGCAATCATGCCACCCATGTCACCAACGTTACCGGGAACAACCACCGCAGTTCCTTCCCGAGCAAGCTGCGAAAAGGCATCAACGTACTTCTCAGCAACGCTCAGGCTAACTGCGTTGTGAGCATGCTCCTGTCCATCCCGGATAGCCTTGGCAACAGCCTCAATTCCGCGTGCCGTTGCCTGGGCCTTAAGCTGAATAGCCTGAGCCTCACCAGACGCCCGGTTGACTTGCTCCTCGCGCAAGGCCTCTGAAGCCAAGATGACAGACTGCTTGCGTCCTTCGGCAATGTTGATCGCACTTTGGCGCTGGCCTTCCGACTCGAGAATTTCGGCGCGCTTCGATCTTTCGGCTGTGACTTGGCGGTGCATGGCGGCGACGACGCCTTCGGGAGCGTGGATGTCGCGGATTTCGTAACGCAGGCATACAACGCCCCACTCTTGCGCTGCTTCGTTGATAGCTTGTGTGATGTTGGTGTTGAGGGTGGCGCGCTCTTTCAGCACGTGGTCGAGGGTGAGCTGACCGATTTCGGATCGCATGGTAGTTTGCGCAAGCTGGGAGATGGCGTATTCGGCATCTTCGACTCCGTAGCTAGTTCGTATGACTCGTTAGCAACATTATTCGAAGCACCTGCAGGCAGTTCGATACACGAGAGATAATAATGACCCTTGTAGCCAGCTTGATTAACTCACCTCGCCTTGTATGCGTCAAACACCCGGGTATAAAGCACCCCGTCCAGCTCCAACGTCACATTGTCCGCCGTGATAGCATTCTGGCTCGGAATCTCCAGGGCAGACTCCTTCAGGCTCTTCACGTAGGCGATGCGGTCTACGAAGGGATAAAGGATAGCCAAGCCTGGCTCGAGGATCCGGTTGAATTTGCCCATGCGCTCCACAATCCAGGCTGTCTGCTGCGGAACGAATCGTACGATGGTGTTGACGGGAAGGGATTGACGGCTTGAGAAGTAGCTGATAGGGGCACCGCTGCCGGGTTGCTGGGATGATGGAGCACTTGAGAAGCCAAAGAGGGATTCTTGTGCTTGGTTAGACTTGGAGTCTGAGAGAGGACGGGTTTGCGTCACGTTCGATGCGATAATTGACCGTGGGAGGCGGCGTTGTGGCGCAAGGAGGCCGGTACGGCGAGACTGAATGAGCCTCGAGGCCTGGCGGGTTGCACCCTCCATCTTTGGGAACCTTGGGTGGTGAGTATATGGAGGGGGGTAGAGCTTGAATGCGGAGGGAGCGGATAGTAAGCTGTTCTTGAGGTCGGGATCAAGCATCGGGGCTGTGTTGGTGCCTGAGGCTCTACGCTATTTCTGGACTAGCGTGAACTATACATCGTCATCTGATTCACGATGAGAGTATTCTATATTACAACTCCGATTGCGACGAAACGTGAGCGTCAAAGGAGAGAGGAGTCTAAAATATTCTAGGCATGTGTTAATAACGTTGAGATTGACTTTCAAGTCTGAATAAACTGAAGATGAAAGTGTGGGGAGAAGTCAGCAGACTTGAATTTTTTTAAACCTGGTGATCTTCTATAAGACTGCGGATGTCCCGATTAGGTCATGGAACGAGATTAGGAGGAATTTTTTTGTTAGCTAATCTCAGTCCAGGTGATTTACCCTATGCCTGGGTGTTAAATTATGTAAATGGGTCCTGACTCCTTACAGAGAACTCACTGGACCCGAAATCGGAGAAAGCCAGAAGCCACGCAGCTTCGACCTAGTGTAAATTTCTGGAAACGGGCGACTTCTCTGACTGGGGCACTTTCTTCTCGATCAAGTGTCAATGAGCAGGGTGCATGCAATGCTAGTGAGACCTGACTGACTACAAGAGAAAACTACCTCTACATCATCCAGAGCTTCAAGCCAAGTGAATATCTCATAAAGCTACCTAGCCACTTGGGTCCCGAGAATCAGCTCGAAACAAGACATTTAATCGTAAAGATCCCTGGGAAATGCGACCCAAACTCCGAGAACCAGCACAAGCACCACCGGAACTCATAGATAATGCAACAAGGCGCGGGCCTAGGAACGCAGGGTGAGGGTGATGTTTGACTCATACACAATACTTTTCATTTTGATTGAACCATTGCGTTGCTCTTGGTCACTCGGGTAACGGTGAACTCGCTAGAACCCAGAGCGTAGGGCAGAATTGGTATCGACGCTCGGGACAAAAGGGGGGAAAACGAATTCACAGGATAAGAACGCGGATCTCTATGAGCAGGAATGGGAACACATCATTTTTGGGCAACCCGAATCATTGGAAGCAGGCTTTGAAAGAGGAGTGGATATTGCTGTAACATCATGCCCGTACTCCGTAAAGTTTTTGTAGAAAAGATCCCTGGAAAGCAAAGCGAAGAAAAAAAAGGGCAAGAAAAAGAAGAGGATTTGAGATAACAATAGTAAGGTGGGAAAATGGCAAAGGGGAAGGGGGACAATCGAAGAAAAAAAGAAGAGAAAGAAAGGACAAAGACAAAAAAGACCCCAGGATAAAAAAAAACACACACACGAAAAGTGGATAGAAGGAACTCCGAGGCTGGCGAGATGAACGGGAAACCATGCCGCCATGTTGCAATGGAAATATGACCTCTCTGTCGACCTCTCATGAGGTGACGATGCATGCAAGACCCTTTAAACACAAAGATGCTGATCATGAATAAACGAGCAGGCAGGAGACACCAGTAATCAGAGGGGAAAAAGGCAAAACAAGTTGGGTGCAAGAGCCACGGAAAGCATATCAAGAGCAAAAACAACGAAACGGCTAATCTTCGATCTCTGCACTGCATGCCGCCGCACTTGAACCGTTGGTCGAAGGCATTGCGACGATCCTAGACGTTGCATTGGAAGCAACCAAGAGTCGACGGCGATTGTGCCTTTCCATCAGGCCACTTGACATGGCGGTTTGGACAAGAGTGGAGGCGGCGGCGTCATAATAAGGCCGGAGCCCCATGTGAATAAGATCAACTAGGACCGAAGACTCGATACGGCGTCCACTGTAAAGAGCCCATTCGTAATAGCCCATTAGAGCGTTAAAACCATGATAGACGTGACGAGTAATAAGATCATCAATGGCGGAGCGCCTAAATTCATTGTACAGTGGCAAATCGAAGTGAAATATCAGATGCTCCACCCAAGTGGCGTAAGGTGGAATGGAAGGCCGGGGTAGCAGGTAAAGGGTGCAGGAGGTTCGGGGTTTCGCGCATTTCTTTTATTGGTATTAGATTCTGTATTGCTTTCGTTAGACGCTTTGGATGGCTGGAATTTGTTCTGCTCAGACGTTCGGAACGGCCGACGGTTATTGGAATTCTGTCTGTAGTACCAGTCGGAACTAAGACGCATATAACGTTGTTAGAAACTACATCCACGGGGCCTGAGGGGCCTGAGGGGAAAGAGGCAATACATACTTAACGTGCGGGTTGGCGATTCCACAAGTAGAACAGAGGGGTGTTCTCAATCGGCGCGGAGCTAGTCCACTCGCTGGGATGACGTTGTCAATAAATGATTTTGGGATTTGGTACCGAGGGCCCTTGGAGGCACAAAATTGAGGGTAAAAAGCCTGGGGGTGTCCTACATGCAATATTTCAGTCGCTGCTGCCGGCGGAGGGCCGGATGGCTGGAATTCTGGAGCAGCGGACGAGAGAGGAGTCCGAGGGGCCCGAGAGGGGACTCCGTTTGGGATGAAGATCTGGGAGCCAGGGTGCATGGATCCATTCACAGAACTTTCGCTGTGGTTGTTGGGAGCAGCGTTCTCGTTCTTAGCCGAGATCCGGGACGGGGCTGGACCGTTTTTCAGAGGAGCAGGGTCGCGCTGATCCTCGGGAAGAACCCATTGAGCCCACTCTCGAGGGCGAAGGCGGTCCACACTATCCTCACCAATGACATACTCAGCATTTCGGAGATGACGCGAGACATGGCGGAGAAGCTCGAAATCTTCGGTAAGCGACCTGATGCGCGAAAAGGTAGCAAACAAGCCCAAGGGAACAAAACCTTGTCCATCCATCTGTTTGCGAAGGTAGATATCCTTGCACATGTTATCCACAGAGAAGTAGTAATCAAGTTGGGTACTCAGTAGGTGAACCACCGAGTAAGGTTCCACATATGGCTGGTACGGCACGGCGTTCATGGGGCCGTTGATCGGCTGGTAGTTGTTGTACATCGCAGTCATGTTAGTAGGCATCTGGTAGACGTCGTACTGGTTTCCGGAAGCGGGCAATGAAGGAGATCGCATAGGCAATCGGTTACCGTGCTGTGATCCATTCATGTAGGCGTGCTGTGATCGCTGGCGGTCTTGGTAGCCATATGATTTGTTAGGGACAAACGAGTTGTTTGACGGATGGCCGAACTGGGCATTTTGGCCGCCAAATGACGAGTAAGCGCCTCCACGGCCTCGGCCAGGGCGACCACTGCGAGAGTCACCACGCTCACGAGCGAACTCTTGGAAGTGCTCTCGGTTGGCGTCAGCAGACTTTGAGCCTGACTCAAAACGACGGTCATTGGCACGAGCGGCAGCCTGGGCATCCAAGCCTAGCTGAGCTGCCTTGTTGATGCGGGCATCATTGCTCTTAGGGAACTGCTTACCCTCACGCTGAGGACGAGCAAAGTTCTCGCCACCGTTCACTTGTTTACCATTTGTGGCAGGAGCGGTTTCCTCCGGACCACGAGTACCCTTTCGCTCATTAGCCTGGCCCTTGCGACCTTCAGGGGCTGTGACATCGGAGCCAGCAGAGCTTCGAGCCTGCGCTGGAAGAGACGCGGCGCGGTGGGAACCGTGGTCATTGCGCCCACGTTCGCCTGGGTTCTGCTTCGGGCCTTGGTTGTGAGGAGACTGTCCAGAGGCACTCTTCTCAGCAGGGGCACCATTAGCATGGGCTGCGCTACGGCCACCCTCTCGTCCACCTCGTGCAGGTTTCCGCCCGGTGCGATTACCTGGTGTTGGAAGCGGGGTGTTGAAGACGGCGGTCGGAACATGCTCAACTGGAATCCACTTTTCCTTTCCATGTGAGCGAATCTGGGGCTTCTCCTGCTTTTCAGTCTTGTCCGTCTTTTCCTGGGCCTTCTTCTTCTCCTCGCCTATGGCAACCTCGGGAGTAGGCCAAGAGGTAGCATCTTCAACTGGGGGAGGCGCGACATCCTTTGTCTTGCTGTTGTCACCCTTCTTGTTTGACCTGGAACTGTCATTGTCGCCCTTCTTCTTGGGCTTGGCATTCTCTTGCTGGTTATCCTCTGATTTGCCGGAGGCGGCCTTGGTGGCAGTAGTTGGCGTAGCCTTCGATTTGGCCTGCTGAGCCTCCTTTCGCTGCTGCCAAATGTTCACGGAGGGAAGAGGAGCAGCCTTCAGCTCCTTCGGTGGCTCGGGCTTCTCATCCTTTCCGGACTTCTCCTTGGGGTTCTCCGCACCGTTGTCTGACTTTTCGGTCTTCGCATCCGACTGGGCATGCTTGTCGGTAGCATTTTCATGTGTCCCATTTGGCGAATTTGAGGATGCAACTTCTTTCGACTGATTACCAGATCGAACATTAGGGGAGGAAGTCCTCGAGTGGGCGGCCTTGGAACGTGCAGTGTGCTTGCTGGTCACAGTGGTAAATTCTGATGACTTGCTCTCAGGCGGTGTCACCTTCTCAGTGTCCTGCGGGGCTTCAGTCGCAGTGGCAGCCACTGACTCTGTAGGAATAGTGCTGCTTGGCTCCTCGACCGGGAGCTCGGCTTTCTCATTCTCCAGAGTGGCTGGTTTGGTAGGGACTGCAGCGGCAGCACTCCCCTTGATAGCTTGTGCGTAGCTAAATGAACTCATTGTTGTTAAATGAGACAAAAGCTGATGATTGGGTTCGAAGACAAGATCCGTTCGGCGTCGCAGGATGATCTGCAGTGGAACGAATGCTTCGGCGAGCCAGGAGATCTCGTATTACCACTCACGCGCGGTATCTCCGGCACTGTTATGGCGATGGTTGATGGGAAAGAAGAAAAGAAAAATTCCCACCTGCTTGTAAACCCCACCAAGCGGCAGCTTCCAGTAATGGGACGACACTCCCAATAGGCAGCAGAATCAAGATGAGAATAGGAATCCGGGGTATGACACGGGAAAAAAAAAGGTCGAAACGCGAACTTCACTTGGCCGGGTACGGACTATCTAAGCCGCGAATCGCATCGGTAGGAAGTCGGGATCGCGTGAAGGTGATTTGAGGGTGACGAGAGTATAGCCGACGCGTAGAGGCTGTAACCGTCGCGACAGAAGAGAGGACGTGGTTTCGCACAATTAAATCACCTGGAGCTGATTTCCGTGAATGCTCTCTTTTCCGTATCGGAGATTTTCAACCTCGGGTCTCTGGGAGGAACGAAGCTGATAGAAACTCGATCGATGCAACGGTATCCAACGCGAGCGCAGGCAGGGACACAAGGAGTGTTTTGGCGAGCTGGGCCTTGTGGAGAAAGGTGTTAACGTACTGAGGGTCGAACGCTGGGAGTTCGGAAATCCAACGGATTGTTGATGCAGAAGCAGCGTTGGAACCGTTCTCACGCGAAACGTCGAGCCAGTTGAAATCCAAGGCTGAGAAATACCCAGCAAAGAAGACAGGCAGGTGGTGGGAGGAGAAAAACGTGGGAGGAGGGGTGGTAAGAGGGGAAGAAGAAGGGTAGGAAGCAACGGCAAAAAATATTATTTGGGTAAATTTGATTTGGGGAATCAGGGCATTGTGGTAGCGGGGCCGGAACTTACCAGGTGAAAGCCTTCAAGAGCAGGTCGCCCTTGACGATTCCCTACTTAGGATGAAATGAGACGTAGCTGCTTCACGCGAGTATCAATGCCCTTCTGTGAAGACTGTTATTCCTTGGGAGATTGTGGAATTTCGCATAGAAAAAAAAATCTCTTATTAGTTATGGGGAATGGATGGAGCCCAGCGGATTAATCCCTCGGTGCCGGACGCCCGCACACTGTAAATTATCAAGTAACTTTCCTTATGCTTACAGCTTATGAACAGCGCAACCTGCCAACAGCCAACACTCAGTACTCGGGCTCTTCCAAAATACATTTGCAGTAACACTAGCTCCTGCCAGGAGAATGTGCTCAGCACCATTGATGTCGCACAACACACAACGTTCCCCAAGGTTGAAGATGGAGAGGTCCCCTTTAGGACTAGCGCCCAGATGCCTTAGTAGATTTCCTTCCTGTTACCCGCCCATTACCACATTACATACGTTCGGCCTTTGCTTGCAGTCGCTGGATGAATTCTCCAGAAATGCTGCTCTGCTCTCCTAGCTGCAGAGGCCCTCCCTTCTACGATGCTTCCTACGTCATCCTCAAGCAACCATGTATCCAACCAGACTGATTCTCGAACGATGGATGATGAAATACTGCATCGGACTCTAGCTTGAGCCTCAATGATTCCAAATTCATTCTGGGTACCAAACGAAGATGTATTGTGCAAAAATTGACCTCAATTCAGACCTCTCAGGCTTCTCCGGCAAGTACAGGGGGGCGCTTAAGAAGGGCTATACTAAGACACAGCGGAGCCTCTATTGCGAACTTCTAGATCGAAAACTTAGACAACCTCCGACAGGCCTCCTGCTTGTATAACTAATGTGACCTCGTTATTAATAGCATACCCATCAGCAAAATCAGAACGAACACGGTCGTGATTGTGGCTTGGTCCATAGCTGATACTATCTTCTATTCTTTAAAACTCAAATGATAAAATGACTGTTAATTACTAGTAAAACAGCCTTCAGTTAACGGTTAACCCCCAATTTGGGGCCCACTGTCACCGCTTCCATTGGCCCCGGAGCCTCGCTCTACCCGATTACATGACACGGTGCGACAGGAAGTCAATTCATCATGCGCGTGATGGTTTGTTCGCTTTTCGCTTTTCCTCTACGCTTCAAGATTTTTCTCCTTTGCTCCCGATAGTACGCATGGGTACCTTTGTCGACTAGCCCCTCTTACTATTCCTTTTTGTACCTTTGACCACTACTAGTCTCACCTATTACCCTCGCCTTTTCGTCCAGTATCGTATATTCCCGTCCCGGATATACACCCGGCAGAGGCCTCGGGTACCTGGCGGCCACCCGTCTTGGAGATACCGTAATACAGACCCCGAATCTTGGGATAGCAATCCCTTGTGTGCACTGCTAGCCCTGCGCTTGGCCCATGTACCCGCATAAGGCACCCTGGGGTTTCCGTCGATGGGCTTTGTGCAGCCGGGCTATGGATGTGCTATTCACAAGCCTTTTCCATAGTACTAGGATCATGCGACAGAACAGATAACATAAATTTTGGAGACCATCCTATAATCCATGCATCGAGTCTGCATAGTGCATCCAAGTTGACTCATCGTCTCCGCCTTAACTACCTCAGGCTGGCAATGTAACTACTGTAGCGTCTTCGGCAACGGGGCGGCAACGGGGCAGCAACTTGAATCAGTAGAGCTGGAGCTCTCCAGGCACTCGGCGCCAAGCGGACAGAAACGGCGGAAACCAGATTTCGGCTGGGCGCAATTAGGGCAGAGGGCACGCGGAATCCGTCGGGATGCGGTGGAGTTGGTAATCTGATTACCGCGCACGGGGGACCTTTGGAACGTGCGATTGCTGTTTGTGTATTATACTCCGCTAGACTATTGTAGGGGTATATAGGCCCAGAATTCCTCGACTCCTCGCTATGAACAGCAAAATCCTATGAAAATGGAATCCTTACCGAGAAACACCAGAAGCCCGGCTACCAATGCCGCACACTAACTAAAACTTGCTCTCGCGGATCTCCCTCTGAGGCGCTGCTGGCGCTGAGTCGCGCGAGAATCTGCCAGACGAGCTTCCGTTTCATGTTTTCGCGGACGGGGATTTTCTCCAGGGCATCGAAGCCGTTGAAGTATTTGAGGAAGACGGGCCAGTACTTTCTCGTCAGGCTGGCATAGTCGTTTGAAATGTCCGGGCTAATGCTCTCGAAGGACTGCTCTGCCGTCGCAGCTTCGGGGAATCGGGACACGATCTCGTCCAGCCACCTCGATTCGAGCGGGGATGCGCGGTGCGGTGAGTGAATCAAAGACGATAGACGTAGTGCAGTTGATCGGTCCAGGAGCTTGTGGGAGCGTCGAAGTTGGGCTTGCGGGTCATTACGGCCTGGCATTGGTGTCTCGTCACCACTGCCATGGCTTCCGAGAGAGGATGAGGAAGAAGACGCGGCATCGCCATCCTCGGAGGTGTTCCGCTCATCGCCATCTTCAATGGCAGAGCTAGCGATCCCTTTGGCGAGGTAGCGGTCGACTTCCTCCTTTCGTAGAGCTAACTCGACCGCTAGCTTGATTTCGGGTGTGACTTTTACTCGGGCAAATGTGCGCAGCTGTGTGACCCAACCTCCACGGAGAAGCCAGGCCAGAATAGCAAAGTAAGTTTCCTTGTGGTCTTTGCTAGGAATGAAGCTTCCATAGGGGCGAGGCGTGCCGCTCAAGGTCGAAAGCATTTTTGGGAGACTCGGCATGGTTGGGAACGCGGTTTGATAGGCAATAGTTGCAACTTCAAGCTTGCTGAGGTCGCAATTAGGAGAGACGATGTAGGTGTCTCGCTGGTGGAGAGGGGGGATTGCTCGAGCGCGGCGCCAGTAAACCAAATGGCTAGCCAACATCTGGATTGTGGAGAGTGATATGCCTGAAGAAGCGGAGATTTGCGCGAACGATTTGGTAGGTTTTGAGCAACTGATGTAATGTGCCAATGCTGGAGCAAGCGTGCCACCAGAGGCTTCAACGTCTTTGATAATCGCTGCTTCACTGTCAAGCAGCAATAAAGCAAAATGCCTTGCCAGTACATGATGAGTTGTACCGTTCTCGTCAGTGGCGGGTTCGTCCACGGGAGTCGCGCTATCTGCGGTTGTTAACCAAAGGCCTGGATATGACTTCTCCCCAGGGCCAGGAACATAGGAGGTAGATGTTAGAGGAGGAATTTGGAGCGAGATAGAGACGTCCGGGCTGAGTGAAACAGAAGAGATCTTCGACGCTGAGATGCTGGTATACACGGTATAGATAGCTCTCGCCAGGGATGACTTGTTGATCAGATCCGTGTACAGATTGTGGGAGAGCGATTCTGGGAGAAATTAGTTCATGGGTCGCAGGTTATAGCTAAGCGTCGATCCACATACTGTTCTCTCGAGCATTTCGCCGCATCTGTAAGATATGCTGCGATTCCCTCCAGACATAGTCCGTACGAGCCTGCTCCCATTTTAGAGCCTTCGCGAACTTCTTGATCACATTTTCATAGATCTCCTTCACCCGTCCGGAGTACTCCAGCAACGGCGGATCCATGACAAACACCACATTGAACATCGTCATATGATCCTTGTCCTCAGGATCACCCCCAGAAGGCTTCCCACTAGGCCTCCAGCCACTCGTCGATGCTCTCTTCGAGTCCGTCGGCGAAATTGTCGAATCCGCAAGCGAAGCGATGCTCGCAGTAAGATCAGATACCGGCTCTCCATCCTCCTCTGCCGTCCTCTCCGCAGCCTCATTATGCCCCAGCTCCCCGCCATCCCATTCCGAAACCTGCTTCTTCTTCTTCTTCCGCCGCTGCTTCCTCCACGTCCCATCCTCCCGCACAAAAACAGGCCATCCGATCAGCGCAAGATCATTGATCCCCACCTCAAACCGACGCTTGTGCCATGACCGCGACGGACTAAGCAGCTTCTCCCACACACTCCCCGGTAACCCCAACAACGATTCCCACGGCGCCCGAAATGGACCTGCCCGCCCATCATCAGACGCCTCCTCATCGTCAGATCCCACCCCCGTCCGCTTCCTGTACGCAGAACCCCGGCCTGATCCCAGTGATCCAGGGCGCTGCGCCTCCACCACTGTCCCAGGAGACCCAACCAAGGACCCATGATCCTCTATTCCCAGCCCGAAATTACTCGTTCGCCGGCCCAGCGGCGGGCCCGCAGGAGGCGGGTGGGGCTCGCGCTCGCCGCGATCCTCCTCATCTTCGTCTGAGCTGAGTCCGCTCTCATCGCTGGAGCTTGAGTCGGTGTTCTTGTGGCCCTGGCGGGTGCGGGTGCGGGAGATGCGGCGGCCGCCTTTCGTGGTGGTTCTCAGGCGGTTCTCGTGCAGTGGGTTGGGCGGGTAGTGGAAGACTAGGCGGGGTCCAGCACGCGAGCGCACGATGAGGATTATGGCCACCAGTCGCGGGTCTGGTGGCCGGGCGATTGACGACATTGTGCTTGGTGTGAGGGGGGGTGAAGTGGTCTGGAGGGTCGCGTTGGATGTTCGGGAATTCCCCGCATTCGAGCTTGAGCCAATCGTGGAGCAGAGGACTTTTAAGGTTGGTTTTACAAGGTAGATATCTTGTCGGCACTTGGTGATTGGCCATAATTTTATGATCTTTATTCTAATGCGTTCTACGCTCTTCCTAATTGGATGGAACTAATTGGCAGGGTAGGATATAGAGAGCTCGTGATGGTGATACGGGAACTGCTGTGTCACAGACAACCGGCTAAGCTGGACCTTGAATTTACACGAACCGAAGTGTCTACATAAGTTGCTAGGCATTATCAAAATTATGAGCGATTTTCTTGTGGGCCTTTGTAAGTGGCTTTTTGAGAGGGGATATCATGAGATATTCATTCCATGCAATGTATATGTCCAGTTTCTGAAAAGCGCCCGACAGATGCGCCTTGCCCCCCGCGAGTCCAGTTATTTTATATCGTACAATGAATTCCCATCATAAACGTCTTCGCTATGTTTTTCTGTCCTGGTCCGATTTTTCTGATGCAGCCGAGGTGGATGTGTCGTTCGGTTGGTCCTCTTTGAATACAAGACCGAGGTTCTGGAAGTTGTCTGGCGCCATGAGGTTCCTACAGGACCAATCAGGGTTAGCAATGTACAGATCGGCACTCTCCTCCAAATCCTCTCTTTACGCTCAAATGAATCAAGCCACGGTGAGGCCTTGTATCTCGCAAGTTTTGTAGAACCGATACGTACTTGTCCATTCGACAGGCCAGATAATCCTTGGCCAATTTCCGACAGGCCTCATCGTTGGTACCGCGGTTAAGCTTGATACATTTCAAGTAACCCGAGATAATGTGCTTGCATTCTCCTAGATTCCAAAGGTCCATCAGCCATTTTCGCTCCTGCCAGTGGAGGTATTCGTCGGCATCGCCGCTCGACTCGAGGACATCAGACTGCCATACCTTCGTGGTCGAGAGGAAAGCTTCCGCGCTCTGGTCTAAAGTTGAGAACGTAAGCCCTCGTGTCATGGAACTTTATATGCTGTCGATCAAACAAAAGCGCAGTCGCAGTACAGGAGCTCAGGCGGGCTTCGGAGCCTTCAGCGCGGGGCACTCACGGTGTGGGCTTGTAGTTCACTGAACCACCTCCAGGAGCTCCGAAACTCATATTGAGGGTATTGGAGCTTGCTCTTCTCAAGTAAGAGGAGGAAGATCGCGACTCGGAGTTGCACGGTTGGAGTCTGGATTCAGGGAGACAAATGGAGCAAACGAGACAAACACCCGCTCGTCCAACCGGAAGTGCAGGAGGCGGGGGGGATGATGTATTCGCACTGTCAAAGCCGGACCTCGCGCTGGAATTGGGCGAATCGGTTGCTCGGAGCTAATCAGAGCCCATAGTTTGTTATTATGACAGGTTTCAGGAATGTTTGACGAATTTACAGGTTTAGGCGGACCGTTGCCCCGCAAAAGCATATATATAGTGGAGAGCTCTTGAGCTCTTACTTCATCTACACTTTTGCTCGACTCTTCTGCATCGCTTCTAGCCTTGAAATTTGAGAAACATTCTTAAGTTACTGAATCTCGCCAGCTTAGTCTTAAGATGCCTATGTAGGTGTTTCCACATCTCTAACCTCCCCTCATCGGAGTACGTCATTAACGAGTCTAGGCAACTCGACGGAAGCTGCCAGTGTGGCGGCGTCGAATTCACTCTCCAATCCCAAACTCCAGTACCGTACCAGCTCTGTGCATGCAGTATCTGCCGCAAAGTGGGCGGCTATGTGGGAAGCGTGAACCTCGGTGGCATCGCCGACAGCCTGCAGATCCACAAGGGCAAAAAGCTGATCAAGTGAGGACTCCTACCATCAACACGAAAGAGAATCCAGTGAGGGGATGTGTAATGTGTGTACCGATGAATAGAAACTGATGCATTTTGAGCAGAAAGTACAATGCTATCAAAAACCGCGGGACCTCTGATGAAGAAGTCTGCTCATCCGAGCGGAACTTCTGCTCCAACTGCAGCTCTATGCTTTGGCTGTGGGACCACCACTGGCCTGAACTGATTCACCCATTTGCCTCCGCGATCGATACTGAGCTTCCTGTTCCTGATGAGATGGTTTGCATCATGAACGGCTCAAAGCCGGCGTGGGCACGATGGCCGGAGGGAAAGAAGAGTGTGCATGAGTCTTATGGAAATAGTAGTCTCGAAGGGTGGCACAAGGAGCATGGTTTGTTTGTGGAGTGAAAGTATTGGTTCGATGAAGCGAGGAGCCGAGGCGTTGAATTAAGGATGAGGGGAGCATAGGCGTTGAATAGAAGACGAGGGGAGCATAGGTTTTGAATCAAGGGTGAGGGGAGCATTTGATGATTAGTTAGGAGTATGAAATGACGGGGCCAGACAGATGTTATGCAAGTAAATTCGATCTTTGTGCCAGTATTTGATGCTAAAATCTTGGCTGATGACTGGAGTGCCCTCAACTTGTGCCAAAGGTCTTTTGTTAGTGCCCAAGGCCCATGACTCGTATACCAACAAGTAGATAGACACCGATGCTGATCGCAGTGCAAAGGAAAGTTGATCAGAAACCTTTACGTAGCCTTGTATAAAGGGCTCTTTCATGGCGCTAGCATTATTCGTGTAATAGGAACGGTTGCGCCCGTAATTGTCACCAATGATTTTACGAGGTTGTAGCCGTTGGGATCGAATTGGACGAGTTCCCGGTCGATGATGTTGAACCTGATTGGGAAACAGAGGACAGTATTCTGCAGTGTCTTCAGCCTACGAACCTCTGATAAGTGTACCTGATATGTGTACCATGTTTGAAACCAGACTCGATTTGGATACGAAGAGTACCTGCGCAAGTATGAGAGCGTCGTCATGTGGGATAGGTATGTTGATCCAAAAGCTGCTGAAATGTGCAGTTGTGGTACCGAACAACCAGCAGGGCAGGCATTTTCAGTACTATAAGAGCGACGATGGGAGCCATGCTAGTAATGATGTGCTGGTTTGTATACATCATGATTTACGACTATTCTTACGATTTTCGACAAGCTATACTGCTACTAGGTACGTCTACTGAACTACTAAGATGTCACCTAGGCAGCTACGCTATCTATGAATACCAAAATTCAGGTTGAAAAGTATATATTCAATCTATTAATGGGTATCACGGGGAAACAGGTATCCTGGAATCTTATTAGCAGTTGACTCTAACAACAGGCGATGATGATGATGTGTGAAGGAGAGAAGAGATCAGTTCTCCAAGGTGAATCAAATGTTTTATCCTCATAAAGAATAGGAAAGAACACAGCGAATATTTGGGGTTCATCAGGAAAGTAAAAGGGCTGACTGCGAATGCTGTATACTCACATTAAGAAAGAGGGGATTTAAGGGAAACATGGAGATCCTAAATCTTTGATCACGTCGAGTCAGCAACAGCACTCGAAAGGTATGCAAATGTGAAACGCGATATGAAGTCATGGCAGTTTGTCAGGCTAAAAAACTGTTAGCAGACAGCCTCAATGGCAGCGGTAGAATCGACAAACCTCATTAAATCAGATTTTTTGTTTAATGTTCATTCTCGCAGAAACGAGTCAAACAGTGTGAATAAGTGATCATCATAAAAAGTATGACCATGACGGGCAGATGTGCAACGATGGAAGAAATTTGATTACCTATGATCATCGAGTTAGAAAAGTTAAGAATTTTCTTGGGCAAACAGTTGATGATCATGGGCATCGAATCAGCTGACGAGTTCTCAACAAGTAGTCCAACTACCTACGCCCACAGAGTTTGTACGCCCTGTTGTTTAACGGACGTGGAGAGAAAGATACATTTTGTCCGCCCGTTCGTTCAAATTTTCTTCATGCAAAGCACATGCCGCAACCGGGGAGGGATTGACGGGGAAATAATTTACCTAGCCAGATTCAGAGTTAGCATGATGTATACCAAAAGTGCTATTGAACAGGTGGTAAGGTTGAGGGCGGAGTCAGACAAGGCTGAAACTTATAGATTGACAAGATTCCACATGATAACTTAAGTTCGAGGAATGCCATAGCATGTCAAAGTATCATCATCCGAGGGGAAGGGTCGGCAAGAATTGAGACCAAAGCTTCGCTTACCTTTTACAAAAAATTCTCATGCACGTCGAGGTATAAAACAAGCATCTTTGTTCAGGTGACCTGCATGTCGAATTGCCGAATAATAAACATGAGCAGAAGCTCGAAGCTCCTGCTTCTCCGTACGGGAAAAAAAAAGCAGGCACTGCGGAAGAAAAAAAAATTGTGGGTGGAGCGCGGCATATAAACGGGAGAAGTGCTACGGCGGGCGCGGTGAGCTCAAGATGTAGTTTGTTTATGCTGCAAACAATTATGCCAAAACTACCTGACACAGCACGTGACAGACGGGGATCTGCGTCTGGTCGATGTTCTTATATTCTTGATTCTCCTCTTTATAATGTAGCGAACACCTCTTACCAGACTACGGAATTGCTCCATGTGGAGCAGCACATGCCTTTTGTTGAAATTAGAGGACACTCTCCCAACTTACGACGACTAGTAACGCGATTGAATCAAAGTGGCCAGTGCAATACTTCGGTCTCTCTGGCATAATGAACACCAGTCCATCAACAAATTCTAGCTTCTCTGTGACTAAAACTGACCTGATCTTCCAGAATGATTGATATGAATGAGTGGCCCATTAGGTTATATTGAAAGGTCTGCTTCTCCGGTAGACCGTGCTCAGATGGTACTAAGAAGCGCTAGCCTAAAGTCGTATGCGGAAATTGGACGCACCTCAGCGAACTATCCACAAGTTATATATGCACGCGGAATTGAAACACGGAATGGCAAGCCCCTAAGCATGACTTCAACTATTGAGTGGTGGCCACTGAGTCATTCTTTGGGTGCCGACCTCATCCCAACGTCATCCAGACGGAGCCTACTTATATCACCCCTTCATCGCGAAACTATTGGGTCTCGCCAAAAACCATTTTGATCCCTGAAATTCAACTTCCATTCTCAACTCAAGCTTAATATTTGGGCAAACAATCCGTATCGGGAGATTGTCCATCAGAAAGCCACCATGACTAAAGCTAAGCTAAACACCGGAGCGGAAATTCCAGCTATTGGGTTCGGAACGTGGCAAGACGCGGATTCGCAGGAAGGTGCCGTTCTTGAGGCGATCAAGGCTGGTTATCGACATATCGACACAGCGCACATGTAAGTAATCATAGTTATCTTGTACTTTGACCGATGAGTAACAAGCAGAACCAACCTAGCTATGGCACTGAAAAAGCCGTCGGCGGTGGAATAAAAAAGAGCGGTGTGCCTCGAAAGGAACTCTTTGTTACCACCAAGCTCTGGAACAACAAGCATCACCCTGACGACGTTGAAGGAGCCCTGGACAAGTCCCTCGGCGAGCTGGGGTTGGACTATGTCGACCTGTATCTGATCCATTGGCCCGTTGCCTGGAAGCGAGGAGAGGAGCTTTTCCCGAAGCAAAATGGCCAGATTGTTGTGGAGAACATTGATCTTGTTGACGTATGTCGTCACCTTCTCATAACTGACCGCACAGCTAATGAGAAGCCCGATAGACCTACAAAGCTATGGAAAAGCTTTTGAAAACCGGTAAAACCAAAGCGATTGGTGTATCTAATTGCTCGAAAGCAGAGGTAGAAAGAATCCTCCAAAACGCGTCTGTCGTGCCGGCAGTTCATCAAATGGAATGCCATCCGTGGCTCCAGCAGCGCGAGTTCACCGAATGGCACAAAGCCAAAGGCATCCATGTCACCCACTATTCGCCGTTCGGAAATCAGAACAGCCTGTATGGTTCCAAGGGTGGCACTGGGAAGCTCATTGAGGATCCCACCCTGGAAGCTATTGGCAAACAGTACGGAAAAAACTCGGCTCAGGTTGCTCTTGGTAAGCCAAAACACGAGATAATATTGTAATAGGATTCAAACTAAGTGCTAACTTTGCGTGATATAAAGCGTGGGGAGTCACACAGGGTCACTCCGTCCTTCCCAAGTCGAAGACTCCGTCTCGAATCAAGTCGAACTTGGAGGGCGACTTCAAGCTGAGCCCAAGCGATATGGAGAAGATCTATGCGATCAATCGGAAGATCCGATTCAATGATAGCAGCGGAGAATTTGGTAGAGACTTCTTCGAGGATTTGGAAGATAAAACAGGCTAGAGAGTTCTGGAAAGGGTCTCGTCCAGATTGAGAACATCCGGGGTCGAGAAAGCTCAAAAAGTTAAGTACTAGGAAGCTTCGTGGTGCTTTCAGGAAACCCAGAGATAGGAGAATGGAATCAAAAATGAAAACCAAGTTTGAATAGATTTCACGGTTCCAGACCTTGACGCAGACTGATGCTCCACATTGGCTCCCCAAGCTAGTTTACCACCAAAAGCTTTATCATGCTGATTCCCTCGGCGTTCCGTATCAAAATCCAACCCATCAGGCACCCTCAAGCCGGATGACGGTGGTTATTGATAAACCTCATTAAATACCTATCGCGGTAAAGCCAAGAATCTTCCGTTAGACGCTGCCTCAAGTAACTTCCTGAAAGAATGCTTGCGCTTGGGCTGAAATGACAGCTACAACTCGCATGTTCCTCTCTTCCTTGACCGCCCAAGAATACACGTGGTCTCAGGCCGACGGTCCACACTCCTTGAATATACTAATGAGATGCGCATAGCGAATGCTACTATTATTTATGATAAGCATCATGGAAGCCCACCTCCCCGAGGCAGTACCGGTAGCAACTGACATGAACAAGAGCAAGCAAGATTCTCGCGCACGAGGTCCTCTAATCCCCAACCACATTAGCTGCAGTGACCCTTACGCGGTCTGATATCACAATATGGACGGTGGATTGATCGTCGTTCGTGATCGAATTTCGATCGACCACACATGACGTCATTCCAATCGAGGCCGATTCAAGGGAGTGGACGGTCACGTCGACCTCGGGCCTTCCCAATGGCCTCATAATTAGAAAGATCTCCAATAGCAATGAACAATGGATTTGCGCTGGTCACTCCAGCCTCCCGAGGTCTAGGCTTCGCCTTTACCCAAACGTTGCTCACCAAAACAACCCTGCCTGTTATAGCTACAGCCCGCAAGAACACCTCCGAGCTCCGAGATCGCCTGCTGTCTAGCGACGTCCCAAATGGCGCAAAAGAAAGGCTTCGCGTTCTAGAAGTGGACGTTACAGGTACAAAAAACCAGAAAAAAAAATCAATCTGGCCCTCTAGCTGACTGACATAGATGAAAACACTATATCTTCAATGGCAGAGACCATCCGCGAAGATTACCCGGACACACATCTCCGAGTAGCACTGGCCGTTCCAGGCATATTGCACGTCGAGAAATCACCATCCCAGGTGGACGCTGGAGCGGCCTTGGATAGCTTCAAAGTGAACTCTCTCGGCCCACTGCTGCTCATGAAGCATCTTTCCCCATTTCTTCCAACGAAAGCTATCACGGGTTTCCCAGAAGCTGATGACCAAGAGCTAAAATTGCCTTCCCATGCAATATACGCTATCATGGCGGCCCGCGTGGGCTCAATATCTGATAACAGCTCTGGCGGCTGGTATTCTTATCGTGCAAGCAAGGCGGCTGTCTACCAGCTAACGAAGACCTTTGATTTATACCTCCGAGGACGATGCGCGGAGAGGGCACTGGCTGTCGCGTTACATCCAGGCACTGTGCGTACGGATTTTACGAAAGAATTCTGGAAGGGGAGAGATATGCTGGAACCTAACGACTCCGCGGAGCGTCTATTGCAATTTCTTGTAAATATGAAGCCGGGGCTGGGAGATGGAAGAGGGAGATGTTGGGATTGGAAAGGAGAAGAGGTGCTACCATGAAAGACATTGTGGAATGGGAAAGTTCCGTAAAACATGGCGGCTTTATTGTTCTATATACATTCATCTTGCAAACAATAACTTCCCTTTTTGTCCAGAGTCACTTGGGCTCTTTATTTCCTTCCGCCTGCCATTGAATAAGGAATACGTGGAAATGGAGCCTCCACACTTCAAGGCTGCGGGCATTCCTTCCGCTGTAGTAGGTCGAGAAACCCACAAGACCATAAGATGCTGGTGTTTTGGTGCTGAAAACCCAAACCCGGACTTGATGGATCAAGCCCATATAGCGGTAAATCGAGAACTTGAAAGTCATTTTGATCATCTTTTTGTTACGAGCCCTGATCCTCGTGTTTGTCTTGATCAAGCCCTTTGCACATTCTCGAGTCATATATATTGTTCATCAGAAATTGTATATGCATAGATTGCTGGAAACGCCTTCTTGCAAAGGAAACACGAGGCGAGAACTCAAAGGTCAAATTCTTTGGGTGTGCATGTTTCAAGCTGCATATCTTCCTGATGCCCTTCCGAATACCACGGTGGTGCCCGCTAGCCAGCCCTTCTTACCGATTGGGCTCGAGAAAACGGGGGTAGGCGTAGTGCTGACTTCGACCTCCGATTCTGCAGCCATAGAGGGATTTGGAACCGCGTGAGAGACTGTGTGACTCGCTTGTAAAAAGAGGCAACGCGAGTAAAAACGTCGGGGACGTATAATTTCTTTTGGTGCCAGAGAACTTGAAAATTCCATGTCCAGGCATTGTTGTGTGTCCATACCTGATGCAGCGAAAGGAGAAATGCTTTTTTGGATAAAAAGATGGCAAGATATTCCAATGGGACTTGAATCATTCACCTGATACGAAAACCGGGATCTTCAGATCTGACTGCCGATCCAGGGATAATGTCGAAGAAATCTTTATTTTCGGACATTAGGTATGGACTCGCAGAGCAGCTTCCTTCGCCTTGGGCAGGGGGCTGAGATTGTAGGTCGGAATTTGAGTAAATTGGGTAGTAGAAATGTGGAGTGTATATCTGTCATATACGCGACGGAGATATTGAAAGATCATTGAAGTTAATTGGCGCTAAATGCAATCTCTTGAGACCAAGAGATTTTAAATGCCATTTAGACACCGGAGCGAAATTGCATACACACTCTTTTTAATGCATGTAATTTCAGCGTCAAAGGCAGTGCAGGCGCCGGGTAAAGTCCCTGGACTTCATAGTGTCGGTCACAAGGGCGAGGATCGTATCGTCACCCCTAACAGACCGTCGGTTCTGTACGAGCTCCGGACATCTTAGCGTTAGTCCTAGAGCGAGGTGTCGCAGCGGCGGCCTCGGCATAAAGACGTTAGTGACTGTATTGATCTTGGTGGTGACGGCTGTGCTTGCGAGCGTGTACCAGTATTCACTAAACAACGCTGACGCACAGAAAAAGCCGCCCACATCCGCTCGCTTGCTTTGGCGGGACCAGAGGACTGGCCCGCGTAAGAACCCTTCGTAGAGTCTTTACAAGACTTAGGGTTACTGTTCCTCTTGATTCAGGAGGCCGCCGCCGTCACCGAAGATCCCCCGTGGAGATGACAATGTTACTCCAGAGTAGCAAACCGCAGGAATTGGAAGAACAATCCTTGTCTTTGGAGTATGAGGATGACGACAGGACTGCCATTCTTCCCGAAGTTATCGTGAGAATAAGCGGGTCTCCCATTGCCGTGCCCCATCGCTTGGACGGCGGTTCTTCAGATAAGCTGTTACTAGTGTCCATCCCTGAAGCCACCTAGAAACATGACAAGGACGGCACGTTGAAGCCATAACTGGTGTGAGTCTGCCTTCTGGGTCCACCTAGTGCGGGAGCCTCGAAAGGCCGTCTGCAGCCTTGGATATTTCTCAGTGCTGGCTCTGTTCGCTCGGTAGCTGCAAGACCGTCTGCATCTTGGGGGCTCCGAGAGTGATACGCTGCCTCGCAACAGCCACCAACTAGTCGTATCTTAGGTCGATGCCGGGGCGTTGATCAAGAAAGTCTGAAGTTTCGTGCAATTCTCAGTTTGAAATCAACTGGTGGAGTAGATTCTTTTGGCGGTTTTTGCGCACCCAATATGTGGCGATATTATTTTAGTTCCAAAAGCTTCTAAGTAGCGCTGGTTTGGTCGTCGTGGATACCAGCGAAGCATTCTGCATCTCTCATTCGGCTACTATTCAGGGGTTCCATGGTATGTCCGTACAGCCCGTGTAAACTTCAAATTGCAATGGGCTGATGGATCTTTCGCTTTGGTTTGCGACGTCCTGCAAGTTTTTCCGTAGGAGCATTTGGCTGCCTGGTAATTTCGGCCGCTTCAGGCCGGCTAGTGTAATATGAATTGCCTTGGTGGTAAAGGTTGAAACGATGTCCAGCGCAGTGCCCACGATGAGAAAGCCTTAAAGCTGGACCAGTATGATGATATATAATGAGAAGGCAGATATCTGAGTGGGAGCTCGACAGGAGAACTTGGACATTTGGTTTTGATCTTGGGGCTCCGTATTAAAATGGAGATCGATCGGATGAACTAGGGCGTATCTTGACAGGTCGAGGTCTCTGATCATATCAACCATGGTGGATATGGGTTTGGAGACACCATGCCCTTGTGATCCAGGGAAACGATTAGATTCACTGGGTATGCTGAATCGACAAAAAGGTGCTTTTCAACGACCTGAGGATATAGGCCTTGATCTCTATGATACCATATATACCATAGGTTCCGAAATGTCCCAAATATGATAGGCTTTTGCCTTGAGATAAAGGACATAACGGATCACGTACCACTTCGCGTCTTGCCGGAAGACCAGTCATTTATAGATGTCAACTGTCTGCTGTATAATGGCTCTCAAAGTAAGACCGGTAAATCGAGAGATTCATAGAGTTCGCTGTGCAGCAGTTTGTGTTTGCGCGCATTCCATCGGACTTCTTTTTCTATTGGGCATGTCTGGTAGCTTTTCAGATGGCGACACGAAAGTAACCTTCACCACGTCTCAAGTAACTTGATACATGAAGCTTTGCATCATATAGTAGCCTGTCAGAACGATGATAACAGCCAGAAGTAGAACATACATCATACATACCATTATCCTGAACGAGTTTTGTTCTCACAAAGAAGCCACTTCATCATTGACCGCAGAAATGTCCCGGGGCTGAAGAGGACGGAAGACCACTAAGGTATGAGAACTTTATTTGTGCGTCTATTCTGACCTGACGATTCCAAGTTTCAGGGCTTTCACCGTCACAGCATTGAAATCCCAGCTCTAGCGATATAGGCAGGCCAAGATACCTGCGAGCAGATAATACACAAGCAAAATAAATTTGCTCGATGTTTGTATGATGACTCTCGAGTATTCGCCCGCCACTTTGTAAACGTAGACCTGCAATATTCGACATGTTTCTTATAATGAATCTGCCCTGCTGTGACGCAATTTCAATAGAGTTCAGAGCTCAGGGACAAGCCTCATTTTGGTTTGATAGATGAACTTGACTCAGTCTCAGCCTTTAGCAGTGCCATCCCAGAAGGAAAGTGCTCAGTAAACCTGCTCTCAGATGTATCGTGATTCTGTAGGCGGTACATTGGCATTCGCACTAGTAGGTAGTTCCGGCTGATCTGTGCTACATTTTCACTCTGGGCTTCGTTCATAGCGATTTCGAATGTGGGACTCTTTTTGCCCCATCCAAAAAAATGGCAAGGCTTGTCCGGTAAAGAACAAGTTCGGTGTTATATTGCCGGTACATTCTGAGAGCCACTAATCGTGGGTAGAGGCACGGACTGGAGCAAATTGCTGTCGACATGAAAGGGTCTTGAAATTTCAATCAACCCCCTTAGAGTAATCTGGAAGAGCTTGGGCTTGCTTCGAGCATTGAACCAGATTCCCGCGGGAGAGCCCAAAGTGCGCAGTTTTGGCGGGTTGGTGTCGGTGAGCGTGGTAACCGGAGTCATTGATAGGATCGGTAACAGGAGTATAGGGACTCTGACACGCCAGAAAACATGACTAAAGGTTTAAGAAGTGCTTTAGATTCCTCTCGCACCGTAGAAAATGAGTGACATCAAAATGTTGTAAAAAGGAGAGCCTGGGATTCGTATGATTCAGAAGTGGTTAGTGACACCCCAAATACCCTGTAGCCATTGGACATACTCACGAGGCTCATAGTCACGTTACATGAGACTGCACAATGTTTCCAGTGACAATTGGTACTTGAAAATCCAATATAAAAGGATTGGAGTAGAAGTTTACCGATTACAGCTCTTTCTATAGGGTTCGAATTTCGGCGCGAGGTTTCCAAGTCGGTGGAAAAATGATCAAGAAAGTTCCTGACCTGATGCGCTTGAAACGAGTCAGGTGTTTTGGAGTGAAGAGTCAAGGGTCTTCCATCACCTATTAGCAAATAGGAGACGGCGATAGGAACATGCGCAATTTCAAGCTCCTCCAATACTGCTCAAGTATTGGTGCCTTCAAGCTTTTCGACCTCGAAGCTCACATAATTCAGCGCATTCTAGATTTGAATGCTCGCTAGGTCGTAATGGACGAAGGTACATCTTCCTCAACTATATTGTAACGGCCAACGATGACTTCTGGTTCGCGGATATTTGAATGCTCGCTTTCGTTGTCCATCAGATAGTTGGGTTGTCTGTATTTATGCTCCGCTCGTACCAGATATTTCTCTAAGTCCTGGACGGTCTGTCGCGAGCCGTGATCGAACCCTGCTTCCGCGAGTTCCAGGGTGGCCACCGTCTTTGGCGCGGCATCTTTTGATTAAGTTGTGCTTTAGAAGGTTTGGCCTTTGAGCCGCCACCTGCCCTCGGCGTCTCCCCAATTGGGGTCCTAGGGTCCTCAATAGCCGATGAAATTGCGGACGACCTCCCAGTCTTGTGAAGTTCTGCGATTTCCATGTCCCCTCATTTAGCAAACCTTCCTGACGTCCTTTTTTCCTTTGAATAACTTTGGATCCCTGTTTCCTAGGGGCCCAAACGCTGTAAAAGCAGTGTCATGTTCTCTGATAGCTTTCTTTGACGCAAATTCTGTCCGTTTGTGATTATTCACAGTCAGCTCGAACAAATCATTGCCACCCTTATCATTCCTCTCCCCAAGCTCCCTGAATTGGGTCCGCAGACAAGCTTCTTTGCGTTTCCCAAGTTGTTAAAGATTGTTGCGTGCATCCGGGAAAAGAAGAACTGAATGACCCACTTCTGAATGAACTCTGGCTGAGCGACAGGCAACCCGGGGCATGAAAGTGAGAAACCCCAAGGCTTATCTCTTGACTGTAATTTAGGATAATCATTCTCCACGAAAGTCAATCCATGATTTCTCGAAAGGGACCTTCTATATGATGCGTGATGCGTTCCGAATATTTTTGAGGAGTTGTTGCTGAGAATGCTCCGAAGATATGAGTATCGAGTAGAATTATGAACCCCTCGAGGAAATTTTGAGGAACAATTTTCCTTTTTGCTCGGATTCACTTGAGAGAACAGAGTATCATTCTTGGCTGTCATATATCTAAGTTCGGGCGTTATCGTATGATTGAGAAACGCGACTGAGGTCCTAATCCGTTGGTGTAGGAACCGGATCCGGAATTATGGCCACTTTTTAATCGCAGTATATAAACTTGTAACGCCCTGAGGCGTTAGCCTATCCGTGGTAATCCATAGATCGGTGCTTCAACATGATGCAGGTAGATTCCCGGTCAGTCCTGAAGCTGCGATACTTCATATTCACCGAGAATCAATGTGATGTGGTTCGCGCATAATTCCGCTTGGTTCTCGATGTAGACGTGCCATAGTTGAAATGCGTCTGGAAACACTGTCTTGGCCGTTAGATCGGCAGCTCTTCGAATTGTCGTCCTATAGTGTGCTTGCTGAGTATAGGGTGATAACTTGATTCGAATAGTCGCTTCACTCGTCTCCGATTAAATATATACGTCCAGATTGGATGCTCTCCAAGAAACTTGCGTCAGGTTTGAGGCTTTTGCCATTTCCTGGGTAACTGAGCCACTTTGCGGCACGTACCGTAATGGGGCGTCCTTCGCTTTCAGCTCAGGGTCTGCAAACTGACTTTGTCGGTACAGATTCTGACACTCTGGGCATTTTGAGGCTGTCTCAGAGTTGCCCTCAACAAGTAGGCCTTTCCTATCGAGCCCTATGTATGGCATAAAGAATCGGCGGTGAAAATTGCCTCTTCAATCAGGCGAAGTCGCTAGCTTCATGGGCGCAAATATATTGGAAAAGATTTGCAGTAGGACCTCTATTTCTCGCGCGGATACAGAAAAAAGCACAATGACGGACATTCGTACTCTGGCTGCTCATTTGTAGAAAGAAAGATGGACACGGTGAGCCATCATGATTCTGACTATGTCGACAAGTATTGACAAGATGTTCATTCAAATGTTGGCTGACTAGTACTAGTAGCCCGATTAATAGTTAGCTTGAACCATAGAACTTGTGAAAGATACCTTAAAGTTTCATTCCGTACCTTTCAGCATTCTTTACTCCGCAAGTTTTGATGTCTCATCAATTTGAGGACGCTCGGCAACTGGAATGATTTGATGTTCTATACCGGCCCAGCTTCTTGGCCCGATGTATTTTGCCGTCGTATATGAAGGTTCTTCTGCAGGGCCTGAAGGCAATAAGGAGCCTAAATGAACGTGACGCCTGCGACAGTAAATTTTCAGTAAATTGTAGGTATGCCCAAAAACTCAAATCAGGTTAGCCTCCTGTGTGAAGGATAAAAGAATACGTCAAATATCTTCAACGCTTCGGAAAACTGATCATTCAGAGGAACTGGAAGGAGATCTCTCACATTTCCTGTATCATCAAGATAGATAACCCCGATAACGACACATTATGTGACCGGTGTCACTGACGGATAAGAATGAAGTAGAAGTGATGTTTGATGAATACTGGAGTGTTTTCCAATATTTAAGATTCCGATTCTGTCCAGGCTGTCCGCTCAAGTGTGATGGAGAAATTGTGTTCGTGGACAAATAGCTCATCGATGTTAAAGATACGCGAGAAAGTGAAGGTTGTGAAGTGAAGGAAGGTTGACAAATTGATTCGGTAGTTGAGCAAGGATGATGTAGATGGAATGCGGTGTCGCGGGGGTGTAGCGATAACACATCGGCTTACTGGCAAGTCTGAATCTTGCTCATTTGAACATTTTCTGGATACCTGGATATCCGGAAACGTGACTGTGAGTGGGGATTTGATATTTGTGGTTTGGCAGGAAGTTCGTGGATCGTGAACATATACATCCAGGATCTCGAGACTGAGAGCACAAGTGAGGTCAGGAAAATGAGGAAACAAAATGAGCCACATTAACTGGTATAGATCTTGTCGACGGGCGGAGTGCAAGGTGATGTTGCTGGAAAGATGTTCAACCAGATCGAGGTCTGGGGAGAAACCACTGCGGCTTAGTGGGGTTTGAAAGGATGAAGAGTGTAAAGGAGGAAGCTTGCGAGATGACTCAGGAATTGAAATTTAGGGGGTGGCCAGGAACACATGATTAATGCAAGTAAAAAGGGTCAAGTTTGTCTTGATGCTTTTTCAGGTGAACGGCGTTTGACATGTGGATTAAGTACAACGCATCCAACAAGACCTGGAGAAGTCCGCTTCAAATGTTGAAACAAGGAATTGTGATGAGCAGAATCAAGTACTTGCATAATCCTGGGAAATCTCGGAACCATAGAAGTAATGGTTCGCGTTGAATGGTGAGTCTTGAAAGTTGGGCTCTTGTATTGAACCTCTTGAAGCCCGAGCTACGAATTGAAAACCAAAGCCGTCCTCCATTTAGAGAAGCATTTGTTTACCTTGCCACAACTATATAACCCCATATATTTCTCCTGAGGTCGTTTCCCCTCGTAAAGGATAAGTACTAGGTGCCTCTTGAACATACATGCTCCGTATGCACTATAGATATTATAAATGAACAAGAAATAAATCTTTAAGACGTATGAAGCCTTAAGACAAGATGAAAAGCTACTGCCCAAAAAACACCAAATGTCGACTCTTGTTACCAATGAAGGATTTCCGTATCTTCGATGTATTATCAAACCATAATGATCTGCAATGCCCTATTCGAAAAAGTTTTGTCGTAACGCACGTATCCTCTATCTTGAAAAAAAAAAAACGCCTGCCACAAAATATTCTGGCAACCCAAGATAGATGGTCAAGATTCTCTGGGATGAGTTTAATCGCCTCTCTGTCCACCGCGACCCCGGCCACCACGGCCCCGGCCCCTGCCGCGAGTCTTCTCCACGCCGCCCCTTCTATCACCTCGGCCAGCTCCTGGAGAGAGAACACCCGAACCACCCCCACCGCGTTTAAAGTTGTTTCCACGAGAATGATTGCCACTGGAGTCGCCCCCAGTTGCGTAATTAAAGCCGGGGACGCCTTTCAGGCCCATCTTATGGATGACCTTTTTCTCCATGGGAGGAGGCTCGGGGCAACCCATGCCTTTGATAGCCAGGTTGTTGGCAAGCTGAACCAGCTCGGTTTTGTCGATACGCAATTGCTTCAGAAGACCGGATCCAGCGAAGAAACCAATGTATGAAGAGTAGGCTCGCTGCTTCGTCTCCTCGTCAAGACTGTACATGGCATTCATAACGGCATCATGGAAGGATGGGGCTTCGGCATTGATCGCGTCTGTTTGTGGGTGCGCGCTGATGGGCAGTTGGCGGTTGTTGCGCAGAAAGAATGATTCGCCTTGCGTGAGAATGATGATCGCACGGCCATCGTTGCCTGCGCGGGCTGTACGACCCACTCGGTGAACATACTGCTCGCCGCTGGAAGGGAGGCCGACCTGGATAACTAAGTCGACGTTGGGGAAATCCATCCCACGGCCGATCACGTCAGAGGCAAACAAGATTCCGGCTTCAGCAGCCTTGAACTCTTCAGTGGTTCTAGTGCGCACGTTTTGGTTTAACCGGGAGTGGATCTCGAACACACGCAAGTTGGTCAGGCCCTTAGCGAATGCCTTGGCGAACAAAGCCACTAGGTTTGCAGTAACACCAAATACAATGATCTTGGTGTTTTCTTGCCCCTCGAATTTCAGAAGCGAAGCGAGGGTAGTGAAAGTTTCAACCACTGAAGGAATAATAACGTGGAACTGAGGCACTCGCTCGTGTGTAGGGGTCTCGTTCTTCTCCATGGTAGAAATGTTGGTATATCCCGGATTCAACACCACGTTGACCACATCTTTGACCTTGGGTGGGACTGTAGCTGAGAAGCACATGCCTTGCCATCCGGTGCTCTTTTTTGGAATCAGCTGCAGGATTTGTTTCACATCAGCCAGGAAGCCCTTCTCTAGCATAGTGTCAGCCTCATCCAGAATCAGGGTCTGAATGTCGGACAGTCTCTCGGCGGTGTATTCATCCGAGAGGTAGTCCTTTAGTCGGCCAGGCGTAGCAACCAGAACGGCCGGTCTGTTGTTCATAAAGCGCTTATGAGCAGAAGCCCGAGCCGTGCCACCAACCGCAATATGACATTCAAGGTCTTTCAACTGAGAGGTGAGCTGGTCGCATTGCGTTGCGATCTGCTGCGCCAGCTCTCGCGTCGGCGTGATGATCAGGATGGCGACCTGGCCCTTGGGGGCTGGCATTTTTCCATTCAAAAGGCAGTGCAGTGTGGGGAGCAGAAAAGCCAATGTCTTGCCAGTTCCAGTTTTTGCCTGGACAAGGCAGTCGCTGCGCCAGTCTGGGAGCTCAGTCATCACACGGTGCTGAACTGGAGTCATGGTGGTGAATTGCATCACATCAAGCGCCTTCAGAAGCCTGGGGTCCAGCTTCCCAGACATGCTGGAGAATGGCTGGCCGCCATTACCATCGGTCATGATTATGTCTCCCATTGAAATTGAGGGAAAATTTTTTTTTACCCCTCGAAGGAATCGAGCGAGAAAGGAAAATGTGATTTCCCGTAAAAGCAGATGTTTGTTACGGTGAGTGAAGGCAGAACATATTTTTGGATTGTTATCGCAGCTTATCGCTATCGATTGCTGTGGACCCGCTTACCAGCCGCGCGCCGCGGTTTTGGGACGAGTTCTGGCCCAAATGACACAGAATAGGCTACTTCCAAAAATGGACAGGGCTTGGACATCAACTTTTCCTATCACTAGTTGATCCCTGGTCTTCTTTGTTTTATGTGGCAAATACCTCGGGGCTTTGTGTATTATACGTATGCAGACTTTCGACCATGTCATGTAGTGAATGTGTCAAATCATGCCTAGCAACTTCGTGGGCACGAGAACACCGTGTGATAGATTCCAGTCGTATTGTCAGTTCTGAAGAAACGGTGCAGATTAAAGTGAAAGGTCTATCACAGACAGCATAAGCAAATATCAGGGGTGGCAACACATGTATTCAGTCTGGCCGAGCATGAGACCTTGCATTAGTAGCAGACTAGGCTGCCTCGATTGGCTGTTTGTGCTCAAGGGGATGGGGTATCTTCCAATGTGCTTTCTAGGCTATAGGCCCCTCATGAGCCGCATAGTAATGTTGGAAGTCATGTTCATTTCTGTGCTTTGTGAGCATTGTAATTTCCAGATCATTTCGCTCCCGCCATGCCACACCCTGGTCTTCTTAGGCAGCGTACCGTGGAAATCAATACTATGAGAGCAGCCAATCCATCGGAGCTGGCACCAAGCGCTAAGGCTCATGTCAAAATATTTTGTAAAAGCCTGTTCCTCTGTCTCTGAATCATTCGCATAACAGACCCCTCCAAGGAGCCTTCGGCCCCCCCATATGGCCCTCAAGTCCATTGCGTGCGACAGCTGAGCTTTGAAAGACTAGCTTTTCCTTCCTCAGGGCTGTACGAATTTTATGTAACTGCATTGGCCAACGGCGAATAACACCAACGCGTCCGTGGTCTCTCAATTCTCCCAATATCTGGACTTTTGCAATGCCTCATCCTCTTCCAATGACACCCTCGTCAACCCATTATTGAGCAATCAAGCAGTGCTCTCCGCAACTGCCACCACCTTGAACCCTGAGATTGCTTCCTTAGAGATTACTCCTATTGTTTTAACATCATTCGCAATCAATACAAATTGCTCAGCCACTGTATCCTCATATATAGCGTTGACACAGCCAGCCAAACATGACACAATCACAAGTGGACGCTCAAAAGATCGAGTTATCATACCCGCAGTGCTGGTGTCAGTCGTTGTTATGTTTGTATCAATACCGCAAGGCACTATTTTCATGATGCGTCGACGACAGAACAAGTCGATTGGTCCGAGTCTGTCGCTTCAAGTTGCCGATGAGATCCCTTTCTAAGACCAGCCTTAGCTGCCCTCAGATGATTTCCGGCCGGAGCCGAATGTGAACAATTCTCTCATTGCCAAGTATACCGAAAGGCTATCCAACTATGGCACTAGTGGAGCTCCCCGCAGGAGAAGTGGATGAAGAGTTGGACGATGAACGAAAGGCTGAGTAAATATCATAATCCGATACACTGGGGATAACATGTACAAACCCTGGGTTTCTATTTTTCGCTGCATTGATGGAGTAGTTGTAATAGCCCTTTTTCTCGGCGTGCTTGTAGGTACCTATGAAGACAATGACAGGATGCGCGACCAAAACGAACGTAAAGTTGAAGCTATGCATCAACTACTTCGACACCCCGAGCAGATTTGTAGTAGATGGTCCATGGGTTCTTTTTGACCAAGGATATGATGTTCGTATTGGTGACCGCATAGCTCTGACCGCCATCTTCTCTTCGCTGGTCCACTTTCGTTTTAGTGCGACTGATCCAGGCCCGGGCGATCGTGGGCGAGCGTGGCGTCTGGGGTGACCATCGTAGCACCACATACTAAGCTGCCAATTCTCTGCCCGTGAATACTGTCGGCATAAGACAGTACCGGGAGATCACGCGAATACTAGTACTGACACGCAGAGTATCCTCATGAGATTGAATATGTATTCTGCCCCTCTATTCGATGACCGTCTTTCCCCTGCTCTCAAAAGTGGCCACGGTGCTCCAATGCAGTCGGGGTCACCGGAGATACCCCAAATTCTAAGTTCCAGGCACGGGACTTATGGTCAGCGCAACTGCCGCCGGGTCTGAGGTTTGAACGTCACAGACGAGTCTCTTCATGTGCCAATCTTTACCCAAAAAGGGGTCAATACTCCAAACTAGTTAACGACTAATCACTCTCCAAAAGATCTGTCTCCTGCAAGCCTTGAGAAATGCGAACTCAATTGGAATCCCCAAACCCTACGGCTTGTTCTCAGCTTGCGGTCGGACAATCATAACCAGGCTCTCGACCGAATACGCTACCCCCACGTCGCCACTCTAGCTTGAGCAGACCTGTACAACCCGTGGGACTTTTATACACGTAGTACACACGTAGTGCAGTATGTGCTGTAGACCTTTGGCCAAGAACCCGGTATAGCCGATTAAGGCCTGGAAACTTGTACTAATTGCGTCGGGACCTTAAGGCTTACCTGGGGACGTTGTCACTTCCCCGCACGGCATCCCCACAAAATGGCGCGTTCTGGGCCCCACAACCCAAACAAGATTCTGCGGAGTTAATCATAACGCCGCGAATCAGAATGGCTCAATCTAAGCCCGCTAGTGATTCGCACTATCTTACATGGTCTTGAGATTAACACCATTACATGGTTGGTGCTGATAGATCTACGGGTCAGGCCTTTTTATCCTGATATTCGGGTTCCGATGAGAGGGGACTAGAGCTTGGCTCGTGCGTTGCATGAATATAAGATGCTCAGCATGTTCTCCCTAGTGTGTTGCTGGTTTGTCCTGGTTTTTTGAGTTTCAACTCGACTTCCGAATCCACTGCTGCTTTCCCGTCCGTTCTCATAGCCTGCCATGTCCGACGATAACATCAGCGAAAAGCATCATGCTTCCACCCAAGAGGCGCTGAAACGCATACAAACTGCGGACAGCGTCTTGCTTCCTATTCCCCGCGATGCTTTTGAAAAACTCTATCTGACCCCCAAGACGCCTGCGGCGGGTCAATTGCGCCGGACATTTGGTAACCCGACTCCTGTCGCCTTGATGGGCTTCTTGCTTGCCGCAACCCCGAATTCAATGGCGGCAATGGGCTGGAGGGGTGCGGGGGGGAAATGGAGGAGCTATCTTGTGAGTATTAATGCTATCACCTCCTTTTGAGGCGTGAAGGACAAGCTTCTAACTTGCGATCCCACCAAGGCCCGTATTCATCTTCTTCGGCGGAATAGTCCAAATTTTCGGCGCAGTCGGTGAATGGCTCCTCAACAATACATTTTCTTGCGTTTTATTCTTCACTTATGGTATGTCATACGAGAAAACGCGCTGCTAAGCCTTTACTCACATCTTCATAGGCTCCTTTTGGGATTGCGCAAGGCACATCCCTTATGCCCTTCTTCGCTGTCGGCACAAACTACGCGTCGTCAGGAAACACTCTCCAAGGTATACAAACACCCGAGTACAACGCGACGGTGGGCTTATACTACGTTACGCTCGCTATTGTGACTGCCGTTTACTTGATGTGTTCTATTCGCACCAATGTTTCGCTTTTCCTCGCTCTGTTCTTCCTAGTGATCACCTTTGCTCTTTTCGCAGCTGTGTATTTCCAAAACGCGCTGGGAAATACTGCCACGGCAGCAAAACTGCAGGTGGTATGTTCGATATTCTTCTTTTCCAATTAAGGTTTACTGACCGTATTCATAGGCTGGTGGTGCATGTAACTTCGTGGTCTGTCTTCCCATATGGCACATCTTTATTGCTCAGATATGTGAAGCCGTCGACTTCCCCTTCGCTATTCCCGTTGGTGACTTGAGTACTATTGTGATCGGTAGAAGCCAGAAAGCGAGGAGGAAGGCCAACAGGAGTGACCAAGATGTTACAGCCCAATGAGGAACATGGAAGCATAAGACGCTAGCTAGGCTAGTATGTTGGGGGTTGACCTACAATTCTTTATAGCAATACCGTCTTATATTCTTTGCCGGCCAAAGCTTAATTCTGAGAGATTTAGGATAGTAAATTATAGCGGTGTCCTGCACCATTGTCTATACGAAGATTGCTACAGAGCAAAGGTCGGTAACAGTGATGGAAACCCTCATGACCCTCTAGCACCTTAGGCCTAGCTTTGCCTTCCCATAAGGCTATAGGCGCCATGAAAAGGCCTCCACAGGGTAGGGCCAGAAGGTCTCAAGCCGCAGTATAATGCACAGTGGAACCAAAAAAAAAAAAGAAGCCCCAGTGCTTGCTTGCACTTCCAATCCCCAAGTCATAAATCATTCAGTTCAATCATACAGCATCAACTCACCGCCACCCCCCAACCCTCCCCTCGTCCCACCTAGCCTTCGCCTCCTTCCTCGCCGCCAACTTCGCCGCCTCAGCCCTCACTCTCCTGACCCAATCTGAGGTCTCCTTCTCCGTTGCCCGGCCGTGGTGATCCTCGTCCAGAAAACTCTCCTCCACAGCATGACAAACAGCCTCCTGCTCGGCAATCGCTGCGCTAAGCCGCTGGTACAGCGCTTTCGGCGACCACGGCGCCAGCGCGGAATCCATCTCTGTCTGCTTCTTGCGCCACGATACCTCAAGTGATTGGTGCGTCAGCAGGAGGGACTCCGTCGAGGCGCGTAGGTCTTCGACGCGGGATTGCATTTCCAGGAGCCGGGTTGCAAGGTCTTTATTCAGCTGCAAAAGGGATTCGAGGTTCTCCTGACGGGCGGTGTGGGAAGGGTGCTGGCTCGCTAGGGCGGAGATTAGGGAGGGTTTTTCGAGGATGGATTGAAGGTCGAGAGTCCTAGGGCTGTTAGCTGGGGTTCCGTGAAGGACGAGGGATGGGTTCTTACGATTTGTCCTTAACAATCTCGGGAAGCCAGCCTTCTTCGACGGACGGTGGTGCCGGTCAGGGCGGTGGGCTGGGGCCAGGGGGGTTTGGTATGCGCTTGGGGTTTGGGAGTCCGGACGGTGGTTCGGTATTTGTGATGGGGTCATGGCGGTTTGAGGGGTGCCGCCTCGGCTGGCTTCGTGACCGTTGGGTTTCGGGGGGGGGAGGGGGAGGCGTCTCGGCGTGCATTGCTGAATTGAGTGGTGGAGCTGAGTAGAATGCTGCCTGTGTTGGGTAGGGGGAGTTTGGTTGAGACATGCTGGGGAGGTGTATGAGGGGAGATTGAGATGGAGAGATGCGGGCTGCGGAGGGAAGCTTGGCGGCAGCACACGCCAAGCTACGAGTATGACTGCGTCCAATCCTTCTTAGATACTAAGGTAGCATACGCCGAGATCGATACAATTGACCGGAGGGGGTTTCTCTTATTGCTGTAAATACTGGATATCGTTGCATTCGGCACACAACATACTATTATTGAAGCGTTCGTTCTTAGGCGGGAACCGAGAGGAAATAGACATCGATATCCATGTTTCAGCCTACTCGGTCCTTTGCCTTGAGAATTCACGATCAGCACTATCGATGTTCGAGCCGGAAATCGCGTCCATCACCAGCTCTCGTAGCTGATTTTGGGTTGCCTCGCTGTGGAAGTCCTCCCTGGCCGCAAGTTCATCAATCCTCCGCTTGAACTCAGGATCCACCTCGGTCTCACCAGCACTAGCCTCTTGCTCTGACATTGTTCCAATATTGACCTGCATATTATTCGGTACAGGAGGTGGCCTGTTCAGCGAGGCAGCTGTCGAGTCCTCACTAGAGGCTGGCGCACCAATGACCTCGCGTAGGTATGCGACAACTTGGGGGAATTCTTCGTCGGCCTCCATCTTCTCATGCGCCTTTTGACCTTCATTGTTGGTCTTGTTATAATCCACACCAAGCTCCTCGACCAGGCACCGGGCGACCTTGGGCACCTCCGCCACAAATAGACAGGTTTCACCATCTTCGTCCAGTAGGTTGACGTCTACATTGAACTCTTTCACGAGGGCGCGAAGGAGATCAACGTGTGCATATGAAGCAGCAGCATGTAGGAGAGAATAGCCATGCTCATCTTGGCAGGATGCGATGGAAGGATTGGCGCGGAGGAGCTCCAGGAGAGTGTTCGGTTGGTCGCAGGCCAGGATGTACGGATTGGGTTGGGCCATGGTCGCGCCGCGATGTGAGTCACCGTAGTGGGGTTCAGGATATGATTCACACTAGATACAACGCGAATCAAAGAGGTCAAAAGGCTGAAAGAGGGTGCGATTTTTGTAGCAAGGGAGAACTAGGTGTTCGGAGGAGGCAAAACTGGCAGCCCAAAAAATAGAGATTACGATAAGATTTGATCGCCCTTTCCCTTTTGGTTCCCCGCAAGTCACAGCCTTATTGCACACTTTTGTTTTTTGGTTCGTCGAATACTCTAATTGAATTCCTCGGACACATAAAAGGAACAAAGGCTCCCCTCCTGGCAGCTTTTCTTCCGTCCAAGCTTTGTTCTTCTTCGGTCGCATACCATTTTCTTTTCGTCGCATCACGGTCCCCACTTGCCCCTCCATCGAAATCCATTCTGCATCCCATCAACCAGATCACCAGAACAGAAAACCTCCTCAAATAGCTACCACACATACCCTTTCGATCATTGATAGCGATCAATTGAGTCTACAGGTGGCAAATCTTGAAGGCCATGGCGAGAACCCAAGCAAGACAGCAAGACCCGGCCGAGGTCTCTGAGCTATGCCAACGCCTGGAAACTGCCTTGCGGGCTCCGAAATCCAAAGGAAAACAATTTACCTGCAAAAAATCCACATTCAAGGTCTCCGGCACAAATGACAAGTACGTCGATTCCTGGAAGTTCCAGGACTACGATTACAAGCGCTCTGGATTACCCACATATGCGCGAGGTCTTTTCACCACCAAACGGAAGGACGGCACTCCCGAGATTGCGACCCGAGGATACGATAAGTTCTTCAATATCGATGAAGTGAACGAGACCCGGTGGCGGAACATTGAGAACAACACGCGCGGGCCTTATGAGCTTAGCGTGAAAGAAAATGGGTGCATTATCTTTATTTCCGGATTGGAGGATGACACTCTGCTTGTGTGCAGCAAGCATTCCACTGGCAACAGATCTGATATTGAGATCAGCCACGCATCGGCGGGTGAGAAATGGGTTCAACGACACGTTGCGACAGTAAACCGAACCACCAAGGACCTGGCGCGAGTGCTTCGGGAGAACAACTTGACTGCCGTGGGTGAGCTATGCGATGACAGTTTCGAGGAACACGTCCTTGCCTACGATGAGGCTGCTGCTGGAATTTACTTGCATGGTCTCAACTTCAACGTCCCAGAGTTCGCCACAATGCCCGCAGAGGATGTACACCGCTTCGCCGATGAATGGGGATTCAAGAAAGCGAAGTTCGAAGTCTATCGGGATATTTATGCGGTGAGGCAGTTTCTAGAGAGCTGCGCTGAAACCGGTACATGGGACGGTCGAGAGACTGAGGGTTTTGTGGTGCGATGCCAGATGCGCGCAAATGAGAACATGCCATACCAAGACTGGTTCTTCAAATACAAATTCGAGGAGCCGTATCTCATGTACCGCGAGTGGCGCGAGTGCACAAAAGCGGTGATTGCAGGTAAAATGCCTCGAATCAAAAAGCACCAGAAGATCACAGAAGAATACATTCAGTTTGCGCGCCGAAAGTTCGTCGCTAATCCGTCTCTCATGCGAGCTTACAACCTGAATCACGGAATTATCTCCCTGCGGGAAGAGTTTCTCCAATCCCGAGGAATGAACGGACCTGAAATCATCGCCAAGGAGGCAGAGGAAGGGCGTGAGAACGCGAAAGAGATAGTCCTCGTTCCTGTTGCAACCTTGGGATGTGGAAAGACAACGGTGGCCCTGGCCTTGGCTCATCTCTTTGGATGGGGCCACGTTCAGAATGACAATATTCCCAAGCAAAAGGACAAGCCAAAGAAATTTGCATTCGAAATATCCAGGCTATTGACCGAAAAACAAGTGGTGATCGCTGATCGAAACAACCATCAACGTCGAGAGCGGCAGCAGCTGATGGACGACGTCCTCCCTGTTTTCCCGGGCACAAAATTCATTGCCCTCCACTATGTCCACGAGCCTAAAACCCATCTGCTTCCTCAAATCAGAGAGGTTACCCAAAAGCGTGTCATAGACCGGGGTGACAACCACCAGACGATTCGCGCTGGCTTGAAGGATGACCGCGAGATTATGGGCATCATGGAGGGGTTTCTCAACCGTTTCGAAGGCGTTGACACCTCGCGGAAGCCCGATGAAGGCTTCAGCAGCGTTATCGACCTGGACGTCTGCGCATCTTCGCGAGAGAACCTCGAAAACGTTGTCGCAGCACTCCACTCGCAATACCCAGAAGTAGTTCCCAACATGCCCTCTCCCGACGACCTGGATGTCGCTATCGACGCCGCAATGAACAACTACCGAGTCGACATCGACCTAAGCTACAGCTACTCACAAGGCAACAATAAAAAGGAGCAAAAGGGCGATGCTGCCAAACCCCGTACTGAAAAACAAAACAAGAAAGTAAAAGAGCGCACCCCGGAGTTCCTCGCTTCGAAGATCGAATTCTTCGGTATCTTTGTCCATGCATCGGAGATAAAACTAACCCTGAATGCCCTCTTTGACTCCTCTGTTTCGCCTGAAAAATCCCGCCTCTACAACCAACTCATCGGCTCCCGCCGCATTCAGCCTTCATTTCATGTCACCCTGATCCACCGCGCATCCCAGGCCGATCAGGCCAATATCTGGTCGCACTACAAGGACCAGTATATCAAGGCGCTAGGTAATACACCCGGTGCTAATGAGGCCGCTGCCACCTCCCCTCCTACTCTGGGCTATGCGCGCGTCCGGCTCGAGCGTCTCGTCTGGGACAGCAGAATCATGGCTTTCGTGGTTCGCATTCTGCCTGCAAATGAGAACGAGCCTGACGACGGGCTTCCATGTGCGAATCCTATCCCCCATATCACTATTGGAACGATCTCGCCAGATGTGAAGCCCAAGGAAAGTAACGATCTGTTGCAGCGCTGGGCGCGGGACGGCTCTGGTGAGCATACGGGGATCTTTGAAGCAGAGGTACCCGCCGTGAAGGTCATTACCGGGTCTGTCGGAGAGGTAATGTCGAAGGGGAACTGGTGAATCAGGTCACAGCCTATAGGATGGTATTCAAGATATCACACTCAACATCTTCTGGGTAATCGCTGGTGGCCCTACACTACATAATTAGAGGATAATCAATATATAGATAGAGATTACCATTATGAACTAGATTTAGTGCTATGCGGCTGCTAGTGATGAATGAACACAGATCCTATCTATCATGACCAACTCTGCTAGGTGTACGGGAGAAGAGATTTAGAGAACTCGTAACTCCATGCGGTTCAGGTACACTCAAGCCCGGGAATCCCCATCTTAGAAGATCTCCAGACGGACTCGGGCAGAAGCACCGCTCAACCAGACATCCACGCCGTCACGCGCGACGCGCCAAAACGGCCCATATACGACAAGCCGGTTGTGCCCATAGGGAAATAGCTAACCAGATACCAGACGAGGGCCGTGAGCTGGAAAATCGAAGAGATGAGGGTGAGGAAGAAGTTTTGGAGCTAGCGAAATGGTCAGCTGAGCACATTGGGAGGCTTGAAAGTATGGATGACGGGAGCAAGAGAGGGGGTTGTAAAGGCTGTGTAACACCATGGAAAAAAAAGACAGGACAGGCCCCGCGGGTCGCGAAACACGGCTATTGAAACTGTGATGGTAATACCCGCGGTGTCTGTGACGGTCAAGCTTGGGTCAGTGGTTGCACGAGGGGGGGTCCGCAAGGGGGAAGTGATATTGATCTTGGCCTTGCCCACTTTTTCTCAGGATGAGAGCTCGGAGTGACGAGGTAAGTCACGTCGCACAGCGAGATAAGGCACAAGAATGCAAGATCCCCCTTTCCCCGACTGGTGCCGTGCAACGTTGCTGATCTATGAGAACGGGGTGTGGGGTGGGGTTGCGGTGATCGACAGAAACCAGAGAACGGTGATTGAGGGAACAACGTAGGGTTATCGAATGTCGTGAACTTACTCCGATAGCAAAGTAGAGGGTAAGGGCGATGGATCCAAAGTAGGCTGCCGTGAATGGAAGCCGTGATCCCGAGACTAAGTGTCTTACATAGGACCAGGGTCCCATGAGGACTGCCCATGATAGCAGGAACAAAACTGAGCCAACAGACCACCTAGGAAGAGGGACAAATCGTTAGAAAGTTGGATATAAACGTTGCCTGGGTTTGAGGTTCCTTGGAACGAGGCGCAGGGAGGACTAAAGGGGCGAATCGGAGAAGGCTTGCGAAGGTGTGAGCCCGCACATGGCCCGAATGCAGATCCACTCATGACCAAATTATTCGCAGATGCAATATAAGTGGTCGGAAGTAGACCCCGGATGAAGAGTGAGAAAGAACAAAGGCACGAAGTGGTTTGGGGGGGGGGTTCCAACGTGCTGCATATCTGAGCAAACGGGCAACAGCTGAAGCTCGGGCAGCGGTAAGGAAAAGGCAACTTACAAGACGGCGAATTTGCGGGGCTTGAGCGTAAGTACTGGGAAGAGGAAGAAGCAGATCATGAAGCATACAGCTGCACCCAAGTTACAAGCGGCGAAGATGAGCATCCGATCCCAACGACTCACTAGATGCAACTCTCGTTAGCGCATATTATTTCTTCCCTCTTCTCGGAAGGCATCCATCCAGATAGACAAGCATAGCCATCGTGTATCGTCCCGGCGCAGGAACTACATTCTCATCACCTGCACCATGTACAGAGGGCGGGACGATTGAAGCATGCGATGGCCACGGGATGACGACGGAAAGTCAAATCTCAAAAATGGGAGATAATCCACAAAAGGGAAATAAAAAAATAAATTGTTAGCAAGCTTACAAGCAAAGAACCCCTCCTCTTCTTCCCGTCGACTGGGTGCAGGTAATGGCGCTCCGGGAGCTTCATTGTGAGTGGGGAGCTGGACATACCCGCCCTGTCCAAATGGGTTATAGGACTGCAGGCGCGATAAGAAAGTTGTCTCGGAAGATGCATTCGTACGGACTGGGAAATCGGGATCTCTCCGCGACCAGCCCAGCGAGTTGACTGAGTCGCGGAAGGTATTATTGGCCATCATGTATGCTGGTTAGTGCCTAGGATCCGGGAGAAACCTAAAGGGCGAAGGAACGTGCACGGGAAGGTCCGTAGAGAAAGACCAGTGGCTCAAGAATCCAAGGTCGAGGAAGGAAAGGCCTGCAGGGACTATGCACGATGCAAGTGCAGATGATCTGCGCCGGCTGATGAGCTGAGCCGAGCAAAACGGTTGGATGATATAGACCAGATCAAGTCCACAGAGAGGCAGATGATGCTTCCGGCAAACGCGACTTGCTAATTTTCCCGGACCTCTGAGGCGTTGCGCTCTGACCCGCGTTGAGTAAACGATGGGATCAAAAATCCGCCAAAAGCCCTGCCCAAGGCGAAAGCGAACGCCGATTAGAAGACGCTCAACGGGCTAGCAATGATGCACTAGGCGATCGTAAACTTTACGAGTGATCCACCCGCTTTCCAGTGGTGGATTCTTGCCTTATTGCTCTTCCGATGCCACACCAGACCACCGGATCTTCAGCGATATGGAGCGTGCACCGTACCCGCTATGACTGATGGTTTTATTGATTTGTTTTTTTCTTTTTCTTTTTTTTCTTCTTTTTTTGGCCGCGAAGGTTTGACGAGGTGGAGACCTTGATGGGCGTAGGGCGGATCGAATGGGCGTACGTCAACGGACGCGCCAGGGCTATGCGGACGGAGATGACGGACGTTGAACCTTTCGGGGCGACCCAAGTTCCAGAGTGAGGGGCAGAGGGTCGATCCCAGTCAGGAATCTTGGCAGTGATTGGACAAAGAAGCGCTTCACTATCGTAAGGAGGGTCGAGGGGGGTTTGGAGGCACGCCGGATGACGATATGGGAAGAGGTGCCGATGTGAGCCCGGATCGGCGTTGGAGAAGGAAGCTGTCAGATGATGCAGTGCACGTCCACGGTTTCGGACCGAGCTAGGTCCTACTGTTGCAGGGGTTGATGGAGAGGAGGCCAGCATTCCAAGCAGTTGAGGGAGATCAGCCCAGAGGGCCGCTAAGCCACAACGGGCCACCACACGGACCAACACCTCCGCAAGTTCCTCCACTCGCACTGCTTGTGGGCTCCTACCTCTCCGCGCTCTTCAGCTTCATTGGCTGTCGCCAGAAGTCTTAGAAATGTTCAACTTGGCTCAACTTTGGTTCTGAGAAACCCTGCTCGAAACAATATGTCTCCTAATCTGGCATCTTGCAGTAGCCCCGTGTAGTTCTACGGTACTAAGCCGCTATATAAGATGGATCTACCCAGAGCGTCGTATTATCTACCCTTTCGTCAACGGCAATACGAGTGTCGATCTTCCTGGCCGGTGCACACCCTGTAGCGATGATGGTGCTGAATGGCCCAATCAGGAGACTGCCCCGACGGACCGTAGCTGGTGCAGAAAGCCATCTAGAGTTCTTAACATCTCTCCCCACCTACAGTAGAGCCCTCTATAGACCCGCATCTGCTTCCCCGCTTCTGGTCGTATCGGAAACGCTCCTGCAATCTTAGTCTAGGCAATGTTGCATACCCTTGACGTCGCTAGCCGTTATGTGCGACCATTTGAATTATCCGACATCCGCAAGAAGAGACAAGTCCTGCACTCCGGACTATAGTGCAGGGTTGGGTAACATTGGCTAACTCTAGCTTCATTCTTCGGCACTTGCACTTGAAGTACTCTCTGCTAGCCTCTGATCGTTACCTATTCTCCTCCTTTCGTGCTCGCGCTTGGGTTGTTAGTCTGTTTTTAGAACCATCTCGGTACTAGTATTCCCTCCGTCGACCCAGCGCGCTGGGATATACTGCAACACAGCCCGCTAGCAACGTCATTTCCCAGGCTACATGGCTTTGTAATTCAAGTTGGGAAGATTGTATCCTCCAGGAAGAGAAGTAAGGGCGTGCGCATTCAAGACTCGAAAGACAGATACAGAGCGGCTACCATGGTCGCAGCAGAAGATACCCATGGCCTCCTTGCATCATCCGTGGGAGTCTCGGCGATACCCTCCGAACCTTGACGGGACGGGACGTAGAGATCCACGGCCCCTCTCTTTGTTCTTGGATGCCCCCAAGTCCCAAGGTTGACTCCAGTAGGGATCGTCCCCGCCTTTGCATCTTGCATAAGACGTATCGCATGTGTCTATTATGCAGAGAATAGAAATCTTACCCAGCATATTGGAATTCCAATATATCCAACCTGAATAGTACTAGTATCACGGGAAAGTCTATGGAGAAGTGGGCTATTCCGCACCATGATCCACCCCGTGGCTTAGACCCCATTCCATGATGCACATGGAAACTTTGGCGATGTGGCTCAGTCCGGCGAACTGAGCGAAACATGTTCAGTCTCTCCACGATGGTGTGAACTCTTCGTAGTTTTGATTGGCCGCCAGTCTCAGACATCATTCCAACCCCTCCAATCGTGGCGACCGCCACATTCTTGAGATCGCGCCTTGGACTACGAGCACGACCGGAAGGCGACAGCTCCTTATCTTCTTGCGCTGGAGCCTGGCCACACGGGCCACTTCACGGTGGTCATGGTGGGTAAGAACGAGCAAAGAACCGCGAAGCTCGGGGTCGCGCGGGAAGAAAGAACCCAGAAAAGGATGAGAACTAAACACCGACAAACCTTAGAGCTTCCAAATCGAGTATCTCAGTCAGCTTGGAGGAGCCTGAGCAGGGAAACGCACGGCCCAACCGCCAGGGTGATCAGCCCCATCATGATCGCCACCCTCTGCACGACATCTCCTCCCCCAGCACGCACTGATCTCGTTGATAGAGTTGATTAGGCCTACGTCCTTCTTACTTCCCGATCAGACTACCTTGCGCGGCCATGGATTTTGACGGACCGCGATAACCGTTATATTCTCCGGACGAAGCCGGCGAGTTTGTAGACATTCACGGTGCATCGATCGCCGTCCCGCGTCGCGCATCGCGCTACAGTCATGGAAAGTTCACTATTTACATTAATTAGGACACTAGCGGCCAAGACACTTTCCTACATGCCTGTTGCCGATCATGCCCATCGTATCTACCTTGTCTCATTGGGGGATCTGTTCTTCATCCTCTCGGCCTCCACCCCCCTCTCTCGACACTAATGTCCCTCCTACTCATAGATTAGGGTTTCTTTTCCAGACATCCAAACACCCTGTTTTACCGGTTTTTCCCCGTATGGCGTCTTGGAAAATGTTCTCTCTGTAACCCTTGACCATCTGATACATTCTTTCCCTGCTTCTGTCCCCCAGGCGCAGTACCTTTCCAGGCTATTGTCCGCCCTGAGTCATGTATAGAGCACAGGTGACAAACGTCTCCGGTATCATGGGATAGGTGTAGTTTACCATATCCGGCCGTATCACCCTTCCCTCCTTGGTCCTAGTTTCTGTCTTGATCCGGTTTTTGGGTTTAGGATAAAGGCGGACGAGGTTTACCGTCGATTTTATGTGAATTTTCATCCGGGTAATTTTTTTTTTATTTTCTCGATTAAAATCGATTATTCTACCAGCTCTACTATTTCTAATATTACCTTGCTATTGTTCAGGAGGCTCGGGGGGTTTACGGTTGCCACCCCTCACCACACGCTTCCCACCCTCTTCGTCCCCTCCATTACCTTTCTCAGCCTTCCTACCCCCCCTTCGGGTCCCCAAAAGCGTAATCCGTAATAGACCTCCCCCCCTCCCAAATGACAAAAATAGTTATTTTCAGTAAATCGAAATAAATAAATGTCCAGAAAGAGTACTGCACGTCCGAAGCCGAACGCCCGGCAAGCCTCATCGATTCCCACCGATCGACGGGCTGCATGACCGATGTTGTAATATATCAAATGAGAGGCGAGGAGCTTGAGTTCTTAAAGTCTCCATCTCCTCGATCTTTCGAGCTGCAAGTGCTTTTCCTTTCTGCGCCATCACTGCTGTGTTGTCACTCCATCACTGGCTTCCCGTCAAACCAGCCCCTCCCCTCCGCACCTCATGATTCGCAAAGGTTCTCGAGTGGATCATCCAGACTTTCTTCCGTGAAGTGCTTCTACGCAGGTACGTTGCTGTCCTTGAAACATGCCTCCTCGCTCCGGTTCCTGCATTGCTGGCTCGTTGCCTGGGTTCACCTGGGTCTCGAGGCAGCCACGTGTGGAGGCAACGGGGCTCTGCGGGATGTCAGATGGGGCTTGTTCTCTATGCCTTGCTGTGCCCACCGAGTTCAAGTGCTGTGCATTCAAGTTAATTTGCATTGGCTGACTTGCTTTATAGACATCCAAGCCCCCGGCAGCTAGACTTTCTCCAATCATCTCACATCAGGCATCAATAGGTAAGAATGATTCTCTTTCAGCCCTCTCCCGTTGAAGAGCGAAAAGGCGATGACGTGGCATCATACATGCCCACCGAGCCTGCCAACTGCCCCCTGGAAGATGCAGCTGCTCTGCTGTCTCAAGACGGAAAGGAGTAGAGATTCTGGAGAAGTCCACCGCTTGCTTGAAAGAGAAGCATCGCGGGATCGCGAACGAAGACGCGGCTTCTTCAGATCGCCACTGCTCACCGCCCTCCACCGCTTCTTTTCCCCTTCTCCCCCTCATTCTATTAGTTGTCTTGTACGGGGGTCTCAATCGCTGGAGAGTCGGTTTTGCTCTCTCGATTCTCTGTCCTCAGATTCCTCCACTGGTCCCTTTTTTTTTTTGCTTTTATCCCCCCCTATCCCCCGTTATCTCTGCGGCCTTAAGGGTTTCCTGCAGATTGCTTACCGAAGATTCTCCGTGCTACAGCCTGGTCTTCATTGTTTCATCCTCGAGTTTCCAACCCGGTCGTTGTGACCTGGGTTCCCTTGACCTACGAATCCCATTCTCCTCCAACCGTTGACCCATCCCAAATCCGACCGGACACCCGTTGCGCGCGCCCCTCGAGAGACCTCGAGATATTATATCAACGCAGCTCAGAAAGGTAATGATTCCCTCCATGCGTCATTTTACTCCTTGGGGGGGGGCCAAGCCAGTTGCCTCAAGGCGACTTGCTAGCACAGGCACCCTGCGCAACCTAATTTGCCGACACCCACCCCTTCCCGGTGAACCCGTTTAAGGCTGACATTTTTCCCTTCTCCAGATTCCGCGAGAATTTCTTTTTTTGCCCCATAGCATACCAGTCATCCTGCGACACTTGACTGGGAACTTTATCTCTTAAGAGAGGGTCAGTAACCGACATCAACGACTTTCTCCCACGCCGAACCCCCGCGTTACCCCACATATCCACCTCAGATACCTCGCAACGTTAGTCTGCAAAATGGCAGAAACAGTTCTTTTTATAAAGCATGAATCTGACGATTTTAGCAATCCTTTCATGATGTCTCACTCCGGTTACATGGGTAACCATTTCGGGCACTCTGATGGAGTGGACCCTTCAGACCTAACCATGCAGCAAAATGGCTTCATGCCCTTTTCCTACGGTTCGCAGCAGAACATGTCTTCGAGCTTCAACTTCGGAAACTCGGGCATTGATACTGATGAACTCCTGGATCTGGAAATCAGCGCCCCTAACGGCGGCCACCGTAGCGACAACGTGAACTACATGCAAGACCAGAACGCTGGTGGTATTGCCATGAGTCATCAGAGCCAGATGTCCAACCTGTACTCCAATACCCCCGACAATGCCCCCATGGCGAGCCCTTTTGTTCAGAACAGCTTCAACTACGAGCAATACCGCATGAACCAGCAGAACCCGCATCTGCAGCATGCCAGCTCGTTCGAACAAAGTTACATGAACTCGAAGTCCCGCCCAGGTCTCCAGCAAATGGACCGTACCTCCTCCGAAAACCGGACTCCCATGACTCCGAAGACTCCTGCCATGGGATCATTGACTCTGGGAACCCCGGAGTCTGGTAGTTTCCCCGGCCAGCCAATTCGCAATGGCGGCCTGCAACACCGACACCAGAAGACTCTTTCTGGTCAATGGGGATGGAACCCCCGGGAGTGCTCAATCCTATGTGGACTCTCCCATTTCTTCCCCCAACCAGCAGCATCATGCCGGTATTTCCGAGATACTGTCGTCCGGTAAACATGCCTCTCTGCCTGCCAAGGTAGACCTGCCTGGTAGTTCTCAGGAATTGGAAACCCAAGAGGCTAAGCGCCGACGACGCCGTGCTTCTCACAACCTTGTGGAGCGTCGCCGCCGCGATAATATCAATGAACGCATTCAGGACCTGTCTCATCTTGTCCCCCAGCACCGACTGGAAGATGACAAGGTCCGCAAGCAGCTCGTGAACAACAGTGCCATGTCCATGGCCGGTGCTGGCAACAATGCCGCTACCTCGCTTCTCGCTGGTGGCAATGGCCGCCGAGCTACTCCTGGTAATATCACGATGGGCCTTCCCATTGAAGAGAAGGAGAAAGGCCCGAACAAGGGTGATATTCTCAACGGCGCTGTCAGCTGGACGCGCGATCTCATGTGGGCCTTGCATGTCAAGTACCAGCAGGAAGCCGAGCTTGCCGAGTTAATCAGCAATCTCGGTGGCACCTGGCCCTTCGAGCCTACCGAGGACGAGAAGCGCATGCGCAGTGAGATCCTCGAGGCCTTGGAGCGCAATGACCCAAGCTCCTTTGCCTACACCCGGGGCCCAGGTAGTGGTCTTCGCGTTCCGAAGCATACCAACCTTGCCGGTGACCCCATCCAGGGCGGTGAAACTGGTCTCACCCCTCCCAACATGAGCCCTTCGTTTGGCAATGGCAATATCCCCGGCGCTGCTGGCCAGCCTCAGTACTGGAACAGTGCTGGCCACGCGGCCATGAGCTTTAAGGAAGAGGACGAGTACGGCATGGAGATATAAGAGCTGCTCCCTCCATGTTCTATGCGAGATCGTTACTTGCATCCTTGGCGTATCAGGAGTGAAAGACTTCTTCTTTCTCCATGTTTTTTTTGTTTCTTGTTTTCATTTTCTTTTCCTGTTTTTTTTTCCCCATTTTTGGTTCGGGTCTCATCGTCCATCTTCCCGCATTTTCCCGAGTTTGATTATATACATGCTTTTTCGACGTCTGTCTCCGATTGATGATTTATGTTCGATGGTGAATCGGCTAGCTGGTGTCTCCCTAGCTGAGTTTGTCTTGGGCTCTCTTGTCCCAGTGACTTTATGACTGGCTTCGTGTAGCCATCAGCCGTCGATTTCCCCCCTTCTTATTCGCATCTGTGTTTCTGTTGGGTTATGCCTATCGGGTCGATCCGCGCTGGTTTTTGCTTTATCCTATCGATACCCTGTTCTCGTTGAACATGTCTTCCTGATCTTCCATCTGCATGTCTTCTAGGTGCTCTTTGTTTACTACAATGATTCGTGATATTCAACTCCTTGGTTTTTGGATTCTCTCGTTGCAAAGTTTGGTGTTGCTCGTCCATATATGTATGGTATGGCTCGCCCGACCTTGCTTCACCCTAATTGAACCCTTCCTTTCCGCATGTTGCTTAAATTGCTCGCTCTTGTTCGCTTTCTTCGTGATAGTCTTTGTAGGTACCAGACTGTTATTAGATGTGCAGATAGCAATACATAGTCCGCACTTTCGCATACGAAGCTCTCATGTACCCAATGATCACGCTGCTCGTATAGCCCTTCTTGTGCGAAGATCTCATCCCAAGAGGAGCTGACCTATTGCGCAGACGAGCGACTGTAATCATACCCCCTGACAATCCTAGTAGAAGGTCATCAAGTCAGATTATTCCGATTCCTGCCGGAGGAGGCTAACTCACATCGACCCTAATGACTCGCAAGGTCGCTTGGTCTAAAGGTACTGGCTCTACCCCCTAGGCTGGGTCCATAGTGGGAAAATCAATATTTTGTGGGTGTGAAGGTTAACTGGAGCACGCTCTATCCATAACCTTCCTTCCATTTGGTAATGACTCTCCATGTATTTTATAAATTGCAGTCCCGCGCACTGTCTCCAGACTTGCTCTAGTTCTGTAAAGCTTGAATATATACGATACTTCTAGACTGGGGAGCTGATAGTGAAATATAAATGTCTGAAGCCATCGTGTGGGGTCCTTCCGGCAAAAGTGTACATCCATGTACCAGTCGCGCGCCGCCTTGTACTTGGAACCGCATTATAAAGGATACAGGAAGAACTTATTCTCCAAGTCCGTCAGATCAAGTAAAGAAACATCGACTTTGACCTTGACCGTCTCCCCATTCGGATCTCGCCTTTCAATAAATCCCTCGCCATGGTTTCCCTTCTCAGCCTGCTCCGCAATCCACATCCGCCTCTCCTTGTTTCGCCTCGCGAGAACAAACCTAATAACAAGCAGCAAAACCGGCGTCAGCACAAAACTTACAACGATGGACGCGATCCAAGACCCGTAGTACCGCGGGCCGCCCGTCACCCACATCTGCGGCGATATAATGTTCGCAATGCCGTACGCAACCATGAAGATGGCGTTGCGGGTCAGCTTCTTCGTATAACCCGCTGAACTGGATGACGCCCAAGCAAACGAGATAATATACGTCTGCGCCCATGTGCTCGTTGCAAGAATAAGACATGCGAGCAGCGGAAGCGTCTGGTTCCAGTCCAGGGCTACCATTCCAATACCTCCTGCGATGCCGGGGAGGACCCAGAAGGCGGCCCACCAGGCACCGTACCCCGGGAACAGGCGCAGGAGTATCCAGGCAACAAGTGAGACGGCGACTGCGAAGCCACCCGACGCCACTGTAACGAGGGTTGAGCCGAGGTTGCTGACTCCTAGGTCTACTAGGAGAAGACTCATTTGGAAGGTCAGGTTGTTGGCTAACATGAGGCAAAAGGAGGCGAGGCCGAAAAGCCATGAGATGGGGTCACGGAGGGCTTCGTAGAACTGGTGCTTTTTAAATGTCTTTTGTTCGATGGAGCTTTTTGTGGTATCGTGCACTCGGCGGATCACCTGGACTTTCTCCTCGGTTGTTAAGAAGCGGGCTTTGGCTGGGTTGTCGGGGAAGAAGCAGTAGGAGGAGATGGAGAGCAGAAAGGTGACGCCGCCTGTGATGATCATGAAGAATTTCCAGGGAGCGATGGTTGACTTGCTGAACAGTAACCCGTAAGCAATGAGACCAGCTGGGATTGTTGAGCCGACACAGGAAATCCAGAAGATCGGCTGGACTTGCTGGAGCTCGTTCGGCGTGAAGAACATGCTCATGCTTGTCTCCATCGCCGGAGTCAGCGCGGACTCTACAAATCCCAGGAAAAAGCGTAAAGGAATGAGGCCGCCGTAGTTGGTTGCTGTACAGTGCAGGAGGATAATGACTGCCCAGAGAAATATTGAACCAGATACGAATTTGCCTAGCGGCAGTCGCTGGATGAGATATTGACCAGGTATTTGTCCGACAATATAGCCTAGTAAGCGTTGTTAGCCGAATATCTTTTTTTCCCCAGCACATATTCCAACACAGGCTCGTCAGAGGTACCCACCAGTGTAGAATATCGTGTTCAGATCATTGTACTTCTTATCCGATAGCTTAAAGTCGTCAAGGAGGCCGAGAAACACGGCTTCGCTTAATGTCGCTTTATCAATCTGTTAAAATGATTAGAGAATTTGCCTTATCGATAGAATTCGCCCCCCTCTTACGAAAAGCATCAGGTTGATTGCGATAACCTGAAGGAGAAGACAGGAATACAACTTTCGCTTCAGCCTCCCGGTCGCTCTTGGGGACAGAGTATCGACCTCGGAGCCCACGTCTTCAAGAAGCGTGAGTGTCTCATCAGCTTCCTTCGAGGCGACTGTTGCTAGGTGCTGTGAGGATGTCCCTAGAGACTGAGCCTCTGCAGACAGAGCCGTTTTCTCCGCTGACTCCTCCATGGGAAACAAGAATCCAATAATTAGTGGTGGAGAAGCGGTGGAGGGGTATTCTTGTCCCGATTCATCTTCTTTCGAGTGAAATCTTTAGGTGCGTAAGACTCCAGCGCTGATGTAAGGTGCTACCACCAATGGCGAGTTGTTTGCAATCAACCGTGCAAAATGGCACAATCAGCGGGGGGGCCTTGCAGGGATCGGCGCGATACAGTCCATTCGTGATCCAGGCGGTCAAACTCGCAAGAGTCAGAAGAAACCCTTTTTTGAGGGACACCTCTGTGAAATTGCTAGTACTAGTACTGGTACTGGAATTTGGCCAGTCTGGTTTATAATATACACGACTACGTGGAAGTTACCATAATAGAACCAGTGCGAGCCAAGCTTTCAAACGTTGAGCCCCAACGCCTAAGGTTTGCAAAATTGATTTCTATTGCTTTATTCATATCTCGTAGATCGCTTGAACCGGGATAAACCAGGTGTTGATTGTGCAGGCAGTAAGTCGATGTTAATGTTGCAATGTCCCTCAACGTCGGACTTGAAAGGTATGTGAAGGAGTAAGGTTGAGCCAATTGGGTATGCGTCTCCAAGGGCATAAAGGTGCCAATGTCGGTGGAATTGTGATGGTGAGAGCTGTGGATTGTCATCAAGGCAATGTGTAATAGCATGGCTTCGTTGGCTGCAATTATGTGATTGTAGTCACAATGTTCTGATATAGTTGGTTCGTTATCTCCCAACGGTAGAGATGTGTTATAAACGTCTTGAACAAGCTTGATAGCTTTTCAACCGAGCATGGAGCTAGCCTCCCTGCTTGTTCGCTGGTAAAATGATCGCCGATCATCATGATTATCTTGGTTGATTCCCAATGCAACACCAGATAGCACTTCTTTTTTCACTGTGGCCGATGAAATACCACGAAGCGGATCGGGCGCCGTCAGTTTCCGTCTTTTTGAACACCCGGCCCCTGACGGCTTGGAGTTGCTGTAGAACAGAGATTGTCTCACAGAAACAACAAGCGAAGTGAACATATATCCTCATCAGCGACCGAGGACAGTTCTGCGTTAGAATATTCAAAGCCTTCATGCACCAACGGTGTCCACGGATTGTCGCAAAGATATCATTTCATCGTATGTGCTCAAGAATCCGTACATGCAGCCCAGATCCTCCATATAAATAACCAGTTTTGCTAGTATCTTCAAATGCTCTTTTAGATAGAACTTGGCCCATGATCATGCTCGTGGATCCCGGGTACCTTGATCTCTCCTATACCTTTCATAAGGGTGGTACGTTCTTCAATACCACGCCAGGTATACTGGAATATATAGGGACGCACTTAAAGTCCGCGAAGTGTAGGTCGAGTTTTCTGCGTTGTTGATTGTGGCGCGAAGACTGTTGGATACTTCCCGAAAGTATACTCGACCGTCTCCATGCCGAACTTCGACACACACTCATATATATAAGGGGTGAAAATAGCCGAAGGTGGTGGAATGGCTGAGGAAGGGGAGTGGTTATAGTATCACCCAATATATATGCATTTATATAAAGCATACGGACGCCGGGTGCGTAGATCCAGGGGCCTGGCGCTCTTTTCGCCTCCACCCACCCTTGTCCGTTTCACTTGAACCGGTTCTGACCATTTCGGTATTTCGAACTCGAGTGATCTTCACCATGAATTATATCATGAACTCGAACGGCCAAGTAAGAGGTGCTGGTGAAGCTCAGTGAAAATACCCATCATTTTCACATTAGCATTGATGTCCTCCGATCGGACCCATTGGTAGTTATAATTTAATTCAAGTGAGTTTGGTTGCCAAATCCTGGAATGGTCTCTTCATCGGTATGCTCGCAGAATATTCGTACAAGGGTGTGAATCATGCTCGTAATGTTCTCTCAAGTCTTCAGAGCGACGACTGATTATCGTAAGTGATGTCCGACGTTGGAAGCAATGGTGTTCCAGTATAATTGGTTCAGCAGACGGGCTGGGGTCTTTTCATGTAAAATTGTTGTGCTCTTCGTCCACATGAAACTGACTCCAAAAAGGCAGTCACGCCATGGGAAATTACCCCGGGGGTGACCAGCGTCACATAGCTTGGTCTAGATGGTGACTGGAGATTATCAGAAAGATATAGATCTCCTAGTAAAAGAGATACTCACCTAGAGCTTCTCGCCCGCAAAACTCTTGGCCTGAATTCTGGTAGGATTGGTAAATACGCCACGGAAACCATGCCTTTAATTGCTCCAATAGCACATTCAATGCTATATCCATGGTAGAACACCAGACCCAGACCTTCTTCCAATACTGTGTTTATTCCAGGGTAGAACAAGATAATCGAAATCAAACCTAGGAATAATCAGTCAATACTAAAGTGACGAGGCATATCTCATATAAGATACTCATTACCTGTCAATAGCGTCCAAGGCTGTTTCCATCGGATTTGATTGAATTTGCCAAGAAGGACATACTTCAAGCCAGAACCGAGCTTCAGTGTGTGTTTGATATCTGGAATTTTCTTCTTATCCACCGGCGGTTCATGCCTGAAGAAGCACTGTATTCATCCCCCTCTTCCTTTATCCTTTTATTCTGCTGCGAACAGCTTTCTCTTGAAGCCTAAGGGCGCAGGGCCTATCAGCCTGCCAAATCCTTCGAGCGAGGTAGTAAGGAGGAGATTATATTGACCCGCAGCGTGGCGACACAGTCATAGTGCCGACAGCAGCAGTACGACAAGTTTTTTTAGGCGTGTGGCCAATATCAGGTGGTAGTCGTGGGTACAAGCCTACCCTTAGAAAGTTCCAAGAGTAGAATAAGCCTCTTGAGACAGTAATCCATCCAATGCTTTCATGAGCGGAACTTGGACTTCAGCATAGGAGCTTTTTAAGGTCTTCTCAACCCCGCTCTTCCCGCTCGCACAGTTGGGTTCTTGCTGTTTCGGTCAGTAGTGCTGCAATATCAGTATTGCTAGTCCGTGTGCGTCCATTTGCATCCGTTGGCCGGGTTAGAAGTGCTAAAGGCGTTCGTTTGCGTGGTGTCTGGTGACAGTATATTGGCAAGTTCTGGACTGCAGTGTTGGTTGTAACGGCAGCATATATGTATGGATCAGGCCCCGAATTGGTGCGTATAGCTGTCACTTCTTTCCAGCGCTAGGGTGGCGGGCATTGCAAGATGCTCAGCAGTATGGCTACCACAGTGCTGAAACGAAACTTGTCTTCAGAGTAGTGATATCCTCTTTAAGACAGACCTTTCCACTGGGGAGAGCATTTGAGTATACCAGATACCATAATGACAGTAGTGAGCATCTGTTTTCAATATCGGGAAGTGAATAGCGCACGGCTATTAGAGTAATAGCTTAAAGGTGGTTCACAAAAGATTAGCGTCGATTATCTTGCAGCGACCATCCACTCTCTCCAAAACCACCAGGTATAGCTTGCTGGTGCGTATCATCGCTACTTCCCTTGATCGTGTTTCGGTCGGATCGACGATGTCACAATCGGAGAATATAAACGAATAGTCTGGTATGCCGTATCTTTCCATTGCCATTTTCCTGTCCAAAAGAGGAATCAGAATCACTTTTTTGACATGGCACCAAGTAATCCGCAGATCCCTCCATGCTCTTCCTTCATCCAGTAAGATTTGAATGTATACACACTGGCCAGATGAATGATGGACGGGAGGTAACATTTCACATCTCCACTGAAATGGGTGGATCAAGTTTGATATCGTGCATATAGTACCAATGGCAGCTTGTCACATTGTTAGCTGAATCCCCATAATAGTAGCAACAAAAACTACCTCGGAATGCACGTGCAATTCAACAGAGTACTTTGTAGTAGGTTGTTGGCTGACTTTGCTTGGATCCTGGATAATCATGGTTACTGGAGAGCACAGGAAGGGGTATGGGGGGGCCACGGATCGGGCATGTGGTTTAGGTGCAATGTCAAACTAAATCTCACATAGGTCGGCAGAAGGGACAGATGACCATACCGTAATACAAGTTGACTGCGTCAAGATTTCCTTTGACAGGGAAACTTCAGTGACGCCAACGAGGTCTGTCCAGAGTATCTGGTCCTGTAGTGCATCATATCCATACTGGGCTCGATGTCGTCGGTGAATCTACCGACCACGACCTGCGAGCGTGATGGAGCAATATACTTTGTTATAGTCGTTCTTGGGATGTTCATCCCTGTCTCCACTCTCCCAGTCCACGATTATTGCCACATAACACACCATGTCAGTCCAGGATTCATGAAATTTTGCCAGTGATCGAGAGCCGATTTGTGCAGCCCATCTGTCAAAGAGCCCGTGTTGTACTTGCACAATTAGATGTCGCCATCATGGACGTATATAGACACACGGTATATTGTAATCATACGGTAAATCGTAATTCTTGAAGATGCTGTCCTTCCTCGTTATATATCAACGTTTCGGATCTTGACACCGTGTGAGAATATATGCTGTCATGTAGTGGAGCGTAAGTGGAGGCCAAGGACTCGGAGACCGACCATTTCGGGATTTATATTGATTGGAATGCTCGATCCTTTTAACCGCTCTTTTCCAGAGTCGGCGCGATTTCTTCATAATGATCCGCACGCCTTCTTTGGTCAGGAGCGAGAGGATATAAAAGATCTCCGTTAAGGAGCCACGTCAATGTACAAATCATGAAGGAATGATTTGTGTTGGCAATATTTTTGAAGGGATTGTCATACTGTGATCGACAAATCATCTTCAGTGGTGCTCTTTCGGTTTTCGTCAAAGCTGGACGCCCGCTGGTGAAATGTAGAGTGGGCAGCTTGTCATAACGACCTTCCGGCATTTTGTCCTCGTGACCAGCGAGAAGCCAGTGAGCACTGCGAAGATATGGACCATGTAAACAGTAGTAAAAGAAGCCAGGAAGCGGTATCAGAGAGCAAGGCCTGGCCGAATAGTGAGAAGAGAAAAATTTGGCCGTTGCTATCAGTTGGCTGTCGGTATTGGCACACAGAACCACAGCTTCACCCTTTCACGGTATACCACAACCCGCACAAGCATTCTCTGAAATGAAGTTTCTCTGGATGAAGTCGATTCAAGTTGCTTTTGTGCATCCGACGAGTTGGATTTTGGTAGTAGGGAGTATCTTGAGTTGCTGCTCAGCGCTTACTCTCACTCGAGGGCCACACTTTCCATGTCTAGTCAGATAACATGATCCTAAAATAAGCCTGTCTGCGGGCGAGTTTCATAAAGCTTGACAGAAAAATCAAGTGCCTCCCCCAGACTGGAACATCCCGCGGGTGACTCCGTGCAGTGATGATACATTCTTAGTCTCATCAATCGCGCAGCGGTGTTCGCGGATAATTTTATCTCGCAGACGCTGTTGCAAAGATCTCTAGGAATTTCGTAGACCGGGTATTGCTCAGGATATCACTGGTGACTTCTCTGGTGAAAGTGATGGTTATGGACAGAAACAAGTGGGAAGGCAGGTCAAAAGAAATATACCCCAGGCCATTTGCCAAATATCCGTTTGTAAAGAAAGATTTTGCAGTAGTTGATCTAACTTACCACGTATTGGACAGGCTTTGGTATAACCGCCCAGTCTTAGCAATTTGACAGCACTGAATATACTGTGAGCTGGTAATGCCTTCCAAATTCCAAATAGTCGCGATTCTCCATCATCTTTTGATGGAAGAGCGACATGGACAAACCAGATCCATAAGTCTCCATGATAGATATAGTGAACTCCAATGAGTATCTACATATCATGTGTTCCTATTAATGGGTCCATTGATGGTAGTTGGGTGTGCCAATTGGGAATATTTCTATGCATATGTTGAACAACCGAATTTCCTACTCTAGGAGGCCAGAGAGAATGGTTCAAAATCAAATCTGGGTCCCCAAATATAGGTGCCTCACAGGACGAATTTCAAGACAAAATTGAAGAAAGTGAGTCAAATTGACTTCTGAACGATCGAAAATATGATCAAGTTTATTATTTCGTGTACTTTATTTCTAGGATACAGAAGCCTTGCATATCGCTTTGAGAAAGTAAGATGTTGCCCCTCTACGATATCATATCCATCTCCCATCTTATATCAATGGAGCAGGCAGAATTTGAACAGAGCCCAAATTCCCTTTTCGAATTTGGATCCAAAATTAGTGCTAGGTCAATGACATCTTCCATCCTAACTGGGATATCACGTCAACCCATAAATTTTGGTGAGCAGTGGAATACCGATGTGTCCCCTCCGCTTCAAGATCTCTTCGCTTCCATATAGCTTCAACAGCACACAAAGTCGACGGAACGTTACTCATAGGCTTCTTTTGTTTCAGAAGGGCGAAAAGTTCGAGGATCCTGACACGTCTTTCCTCTGGAACTACGCAGCTGGCTATAAAAAGAGCCCACATTGGGTAGGGCATATAGCAGAGATGTATGCCTTGTGCTTGGTGGATTGATTCGATGATTTCCAGCAGTTTCGGGAGATGGAAACGCTGGATCACTTCGCTCTCCCGTGGCTGATTGCCCACTATGTGGTGCAGATAGATCCATGTTGCTTCTTGGAAGGCAATGGAGTTGAGGTAGACCAATTGAGCTTGGTCGGATGTCTCTCTTATTAATTCGAGTTTGTGTAACCGGCTTTTTAGAGTGTCAAGCAATGTGTAATTAATTTCGGGACGACCAGACGTCAGTTGATCTCTGGCTCGTTCATTTATGGAGGAAATGATGTCCAGTAGTTCTGGCGAAAGACCCATGCAGGGGTCAGCACGTGTGGGATTGCCGGAATTTAGGAAAGGGAAAAGTGAAGAGATTTCGGTCGACCACCGAAGGCTGTCAAAATCGTCCTTTTCTGTATCATTGAAGGGCATAGTTGTGGTTCTTAGAAAGGTATCTTTCTCGATGAAGAAAATATGCACGAACTTTACTACCTCAGGGCTGAACGCGACGTCCCGAGGACCAGGGTAGAGGTTTCTGTAGTACTTCATAACCTGAATAGCACCTTTCATGTGATACGTCCATTCCTGTGTGCTGCCGCTGGCTATCTCAAGCAGACAATGGAACATCATGAGAAGGAGAAGGGCGTCTCGGTCGCATCGAGTTGTAGACGACCCAGGCATTTGATCCTGATGTGTTCGAGGTACCATTCTTCGTAGATACCCAAGGGATCGAAATTTGTTTGACAGGGTCAGACGATTATATCTAGAAATATCGAGGCTACCGCACTTGTTCCCGAGCGAGTGTGCCGCCCATGCAATAGCGATAAAGAGCAGTCCCTCTGACTGGAAACACATCGGCACCAAAACGGATCTCCAGGGATTATCAGAATTTTCCAGAGATCTCCACACGGTACAATTGTTGACAACTTCGCCGCTGTCAGTTTTCTGAGGCACATAATAGTAAATGGGGTCCCAGCAAGGCTACTCACAGTAGTGAAATAGAAAGGAATCAACATCGGCCAAAGGGATGCCGATACTTGACAGCATATGCGGATTTGGTATTGTTGTCTTTCCATTCACATGGAGAGACAATGATGCCTTGAAACAAGGCCTGTTTTGAATCTGGCTCCCTTCATAGAAGTTGCGAATATCCTGCGTTGTCGTGTTGAGCCAAAATCTAGCCACCTGAGGGTTTGTTGGTAGGATAAAATGCGACACTTGGCATGCGAGGCTACTTCCTCTGGATCCGCGGTTTGTAGTCGATCTTCCAAATGCAATGCCCATTGAATGAGCTTCTTCTTCCCACAGCAAGCGGACGCCATAATGGCACAGAAGGCCCCGGTCATGGCAGTGACGGCATGTTGGCTTTCCCTCTGTAGATCTCACATGAGGTCCAAATTCTACATAGAAACTAGTCAAAGTATTCTGGAACCTACCGCTGCACCGTCGGCGCCGCTCTAAGACCACCTACACGTTAGAAGCTGCATAATCACTGATTCCGAAATCTGTTACCTACTTTTACAATTCCAGCACCCTAATCTTGTTCTTCGGATTTTCAGACTTGTCGTTCCCTCCATAGCAAGATCCTCGCTGTATAGTGCATAGGGCGTGAATAGAGAGGACTGAATAAGGGTTCGGAGGCCCAAGATTAAGAAGCGGGGTTTATTATATGCCTAAGTCTCCTTATCACCCTCGCCCGATCCTCCCATGAGCAGCGAGACTTCCCAGGGGATGATTGGGGGAACTTGGCCGCTACAAGGCTATTGGTCGCTGATAACCGAGGAAGACAATACGCGGCAGGAAAAGGCATTTCAGAAACAAGTCTGACCGAAAAGTGCTTAGCTTCCGGGGTTGTTCATCAAGGAGAACGTCATTCACTTTGTTGGTCGAAACAATCTCATGAGAAACTTATCAGCTTCCAGCTAATCTCACCCTGGCTTGATAAATACGCTTTTCTAGGATGATCTCAGTACTATCTAGACATTCCTACCCCTAGCCTCGCCTCTTCACCGCCCGTTTGATACATAACTTGGTCCAATCCCATTGAATTCACAGTGCGCTCTTGACCGGCTTTCCCCAGCCAGGTAGAGCATTCAGGTCTAGGGACACTTCTCGATGAGGATTCGTCGTGTGGTCCGCGGGCGCGACACCTGGCCTCCATTTCCACTTCTGAGCGATTGTAGGGTCCAGACTGCCTTCCATCATTTCAACAATATATTTGCCCAGGACCGGAAGGAACTTGAAGCCATGCGCTGAGCCACCAATGGCAATCTTCAAGTTCTTGTGGCTGGGATGCGGCGTGATAAGGAAGTTATAATCGGGCATATCCCCGTCCCTAAATATTGATTAGAGATATTCAGGGTAGACTGATGAGAATAGGGGGAATTTTGTCAAAACATACCAGCATATCCTTGTTTCGAACCATTCCCGATGCGCAAGATCGGGGACAAAACTCTCCATCCATTTGCGGAGGCGAGCCTCAATTTCTTGTGGGATCCCGTCTCGGGGATTGTCAGACCGGTATCGTGGAAGGGAGATTCCGTTGAGCAATGGCGCATAGTTCGTAACGAAGTGGATAGCTCCAATTTTCATGATGCCGTCTTCCTGTGGGGGGAATAGGATACCTGTTGGGGTATTTTAGCAGGCGCATACTTCGCACGTCAAGCTGCTGGTGCGAACCTCCTTCCAAGTGGTCGATAATAGGCATATTCTTATATTTCTCCACCTCTTCTGGTGTCAGTTGAATATGACCGATTGTGTGGCCGTGGGCGACGATTTGTCCTTGCAGGTCCAAGAGACCTCCAGCTGCAGCGCCAGCCGCAAGTACGATTTGGCTGGCAAAATAAGTGGAACCATCGGCACATTTGACTCCAATACATGCATGATTCTCATCATACAGTAGCTGCATTGCGTGCCCTGAGCCGCCAGAAATGTATTTCACTCCAGATTTCATGGCCTCTTGAGCCATCCTGACAAGACCTTGCCTCGCATCCACCCAAGCCGCATTTGGACTCCAATATGATTGCCATCCCTCAAAGTCACCATTCATCTCTGGCCACTGCTTATGAATCTCATCGGTGGACACAAGGCTTGGAGGAGCAACCCCCATAGCGTGCGCAGTTCGAATGGAGCCATCAATGAAGGCTTTGGATTTCTCACCCACCGCGATTATCCATCCACTAGGGTGATACAGCCCAGAAAACAGGCCCTTTGGATCAGACCAAATTTCCCTAGCATCGGACGCTAGCTTCGTGTATAAGGGCTCTGGGTATTCGGTTCGAATGATCTTGTTGATGTCATTTCCGGCTGCTTCAAAGGATGGCACGGGAAACCGATCGAGCACGATCACATTGGTATAACCTTTCTTTGCCAGATGGTAGGCAGTTGAGGTCCCAAACGTGCCTCCCCCAACGATGATAATAGGCTCAGTGAGTGGGGCCATGGTAAGATTGGCTTTTCTTCTTGGACAACGAGATTTTGCAGGGGATGGAGAATTCAGATATCGAACCCCTGTCTTGTCGCTTTATAACTTGTGCTGCTGTCTGTATCCTCTCAACTCAGCGTCAGACTTTTTTGCGATCGTGCTATACTACCATACCCCGCTCCATGGCAAAGGGCAGCTCGGTGCGCCTTTACCATTCTGACGGCGGACTTCGCACACCAATTGACATCGAGCATAGCATTCCCAAGGCCCGCATGCAAGATAAACCTTAACAAGGACCCAATCGGGCAGCTCTTTGGGTGTTTCAGGTGGGGCAGATAAAGCAACTAAAGTTGGGGAAATCTACTAACGGGCGCTTCGACCTGCCTAGCATTTCGTTATCTGAGCGCCGTTGATTGTCGTTCTCCGCAGCTTATCAGGACTTCACGGCAGGTTTCCGAAACCCATCAGCCTTCTCGGACTGACTGCTCCTACCTTTGTGTATAAAGATACCAAGCCGTGCTCCTGCTATTACGTTTCCGCGATGTGTTTGTTTCCGATCCAGCGACAGAATGTCACAGCTACAAGACCTGAAAGATATGAAGACTCCTGAAGCGCGATCGCCAAGCGAGGCGAATAGCGACGAAGGTTATGGAGAAGTCATTGCTGTGCAAAACAATGCTGGCTTCCATCGAAAATTCACCGCAAGGCAGATTCATGTATGGAAGCTAATATCCTCACTATCCATCCATTGCAGGGGCCACCTAACCGGGCATAGGTCATTTCTCTTGGAGGCCAAATCGGAGCCGGGCTCTTCATTTCGTCTGGCAAAAATTTGCGGGATGGAGGCCCTGGGTCTCTTTTCTTGGGGTTTCTGATTGTATGTTCCTGTGTGTGGGCTGTCCTCCAAACCGTCAGTGAGATGACAATTGCCTTCCCTACCTCTGGAAACTTCATTGATTATGCCGATCGCTTTGTCGACCCTGCCGTCGCCTTTGCTGCTGGGCTTGCCATGTGGCTTGGTTGGACTGCTGTCCTCGCATCCGAGGCCGTCTTTTTCTCCACGATAGTCAATTATTGGGCAAAGGACTCAGTCCCAGAAGCAGTGTGGCGTATGTTCACTTGGCGTCTGCAGACCTTTGATATTATGACTGACAACTTGCATGCAGTGACGATATTCCTGATTGTTATGTTTGCCATTTTTAGTCTTCCAAACACAGTCTTTGGATGGTTCGAATACTTCACTTCCATCATGAAGATCCTGGTTCTTATCATATTCATCATCACTGGGATTGCTCTCATCTTTGGAGCGGGCCCGCATGGCACCATGCACCACGGCGAGACATGGCGTAATGGAGATGCTTTTCTCAACGGGTTCAAAGGCTTCGGGAACAGTGTTTTATTGGCAATCCTGGCAATTGGAGGTATGCTGACTTTCCATGCTCATTTGGAAATGAGATTTCTCTCTCATGCTACCATGTTATTAACAACTGGCCATTTCACAGACAACACCTTTACTGGATTTCTGGCCGGCGAGGCGAAGAGTCCCCGATTCTCAGTCGGCCATGCAGTCTTTCTCATCCCTATCCGTGTCTGTGTTTTCTATCTGACTTCCATGGTGTTGGTCGGACTTTTAGTTTCGCCCTCCAACGATAACTTGTTCGGTACCAGCGGCGTTGCTTCGTCCCCATTTGTCATCGCAATTAACGATGCTGGAATCAAAGGCCTTCCTGACCTTCTGAATGTGATTATTCTCTTTGCAGTATCCGCCATCGCTGCAGAAAGCTTCTTCGTGGCTTCCAGAATTCTGCAGTCATTGGCCCATCAAGGTCTTATCTCCGCATACGTCTCCAAGGTGGACTCACGCGGACGCCCCCCGGGTCTCTTTGGCCTTGACAGGAGCCCTTGCTATTACCCTCACGTATATCAACCTCAGCGCAGAGGGGACGATTGTTTTCAACTGGTTGGCGCAGATTGCTAGCACAGGCTACTTCATGGTTTGGTTTGTCATTGCAATCACTTCCTTCCATTTCCGCGCAGCTCTCAAAGCCCAGAACGATCCGCTGTTCGAGCAAATCCATGCCTGGAAGTGCAGTATCTGGCCAGTTCCACCCATTTGGTTATTGACCTGCTGTTGCTTCTACATTGCATGCTCATTATATCTTGCTTTGTACCCGATTGTGAGCTCCTCTGCCCCATGTCATCACATGGCATTGACGTCTAACTATCCCTGCAGGGCTCCGATACACCCACCGCCTACTATTTCTTCCAATATATGTTCGGTCTCATACTGATTCTTTTCAGTGCACTGGCATACAAGCTTATATTCCGCACCAAGTATCGTGACCCTAAGACAGTTGACTTGCAGACGGGTCGCAGGCCGCTCGGAATAGAAGAGATCAAGCAGCTGGATGACTATGAGGTTATGCCTTGGTGGAGAAAGTTTGTCTCATTTATCCAACTCTGGTAGCTGTGGATGACAAATATCATCAGAGTAACTAACTGGATCTTCAGTATTTTGTTCGAAATAGGACTCGGAAGGCGTAGGCATGTAGCAGGTCGTAGTACTATCGCTTGCCTCGAAAAGTACCCAGGGAAATGTATGCTTGGAGCCTGACTGGGCGACAATTTGCGCTTTGGCATAATTCCCGAGTCTAAACACCCCTCAGTTGCTCCAGTGAGTGATGCTGCATGGAACTCTACCGCCACTTGAGCTTGTTCCAAAGAAAGGGGGGGGGGCTGAAATGGCGCAGGTCCGTCCCGCCCGCGGCCCAAAACACAAAATATCCCAGACCTAGAAAGCATCTTGCCAAAAGAGCGATCGTGGCAACAGCGTCTCGACCCCGGTGTCGCAAAATTCGTGTCAGTAGGCTGTGCAATGTTCCCCATAATGTGGACTGGGATCTCAGCCACGATGACTGCAAAAGTACCGGCTCTTGTTACCCGGGTTAAGCATCGCCAGGCTTCCTTCTAGCCCAATCCTCGACAAAAGAAGATCAATATATGCAACCACAGTAAGCATCATGTATCCTATAACATCACTTGCATTGCATTCAATTATATCACCGGCTGGAATGTATGAGAACGTTAGAACATGCGTGGAAGCAAGAATATCGAGGCGGATCATCAACTCCCTCGTACGCCCGACCGCAAGTGCCGCAATTCTCGATTCGAAGCGGGTAACTTGCTGAAGCACGGAAGATGCAACGGACCATCGGAACAGGATCTCGGGCATTAGTAGTGAGTAGATCATTGAGGGGAAATTCGTCTAATAATCACAGCCATGAGGCTCCAAGCGGGATTGCAGTGCGCCGGTGGTTCGCTCGAGGCCCCGCGTAGCCTACGCTATGATGCGTTGAGATAGGCTAGATCAAAAATACGAGGGCTGAGCCACTCCACCAGCAGAAAGCCCGGGGGCAGCGCAGCCCCACCGGTATATTTGGTACGGCCCCCCCCCCCCGACCCCCGAAGCATCGAGATTGCCATCAATTCTGCCTCTCACGCAATGACGGCTGTTCAGATTCCTCCATTCCACGTGCAGCTGTGGAACGAAGGTTCGTGACGGCTCCGCGCTACCGAGGAAGCCTTGCTAACAGACCGCACAGAGAACGGATGGCGGGATGAGAGCGTTAGCGCCGATGGGCTCTCTTTGGAGACCCCGTTCGCTATCCCGACTGGCATACCTTCCAGTACGCAGGTCTTTGTTATGTGAGAGTCCTCATGATTCATAGGATTGGGAAGGTATCGTGTTAACCCCTCGATAGAACGGTCGATGCGAAGAAGGTTTGGGCATGCCAAGAAACCCGTCAAGTGATCCAGCATGCGCTTCGCCTGCCCGACATATGCTGGGCGAATTATTTGGCCAATGCAAATGGCTACTTTGGCTGCGACGCCACCGACACAGAGGGGGAAATCGACGGGTTCAGTAAGTCGACCGGTTCGCGCGGGTAGAGAGACACAGCTCACGTAGATCAACAGATACATGGGCTTTTTTTGAAGTCAAGCATCTCTTGGACAAGGCTGGCCCAAATGGCAAAGACTATCGTTGGTTCAAGATTGGCATTTTCTCGCGATGGCTGCCGTCAACTCACCAGACTGGCATCCTGCTTCTCAGCTCCGACGAGCATATGTCGTCTTTTTCGTTCAAGCCAAGTCCCGGGAACCTCATAGATCCGTTTTGGCTATATCCTTGTATACTGGGTGATATCGCCCGTCTCCAAGAAACTGCCATCTGGAACATCAGAAACGAAGTACGCAAGATCGAAACCAAGCGCCAATTATCTGGAGAGAGTCCCCAGCCGCACTACGAAAGATTGCATGAGATCGCGCGACATGCCATTCACGTCTCGGAATCGATCGATGTTACCGTGCGGAATCTCCAGGAAATTGTCTCACAGCACCAAATGTATACCAGCCAGTGGAACATGCATCCGGACCGATTCGTCCCCCCGAGTCTGCGCGAAGCGCCGGAGAATCGGGAGATGCAGAAATCACTCATCATCTACCGCAGTCTCAATCGCCGGCTCCAGTTCTTCCTAAGCCACATCGAGAGTATAGGCCACCGCGCCAAGGCGAATGAGAAGCGGCTCCAGAACGAGATCCAACTGGCATTTAACCTGATATCTCAGCGCGATACCGCTGCAACGGTCCAGATTGGCGAAGCCGCGCAGCGAGACAGCGCAACAATGAAGACTCTATCATTTATCACGCTTATTTTCCTACCACCAACATTTATATCGACCATCTTCGGGATGCAGTTTTTTAATTATGATAGTACGGAAGGTTTTGTCCTCACGAGCGATTTTTGGATATACTGGGCAATCGCTATTCCTATCACGATGCTGACGGGTCTTGTGTGGCTCTTCTGGTCTAAGATTTTTCCGCATGATAGCCGCACCACTTTTGAACGCATCCGGCACCCCAGGCATCGCCATGATGAGAACTTGAAGGAAGGGCTTGAGCTTGAAGTTCGGCACAGTGATGGCTCTCCTGTATGATTTGTTGTTTCATGAGCAATTTGGCTGCATATAAATGCCCGTGATGAATCTTATGAATGTCACATGGGGCTATAAACGTGAAATGGCCTGTGGATGTATGTAGTGTCATGAATTCTCTATCTGCTTCTAGATATGCGGTCCATCGCCTGGCCAAGAACAATTCGTCTAGTCTATCCCAGTCTAAACCGAAGTACCGACTCATTGGCAGTGGGCCAAGTCTCAAATCGCTGGACACTCCCGATGTCAGATCAGCTCAAAATGATGTCATTCTGTGGCACGCGGAATGTCCAGAGGAGCCCTGCTATTGCCCCGAAAGCGCACGCAAGCGCCCCTCGATGCTTTTCAACTCCTTCAGTCTGTCCTGCTCGCTCTCCTTCAATAAGCGGAGATGCTCAGTCTTGAGGTTCTGGAATTCCTCGTCGAGTTTCTCGTGCCATGGATACAGAACGCAAACTTGGAAGCACAACGCTGAGCTCGCGATGACAAAGTTTGTCAAGGAGAATCCGCGAGTGATGAGCATTTTGCCTGCTTTATTTGACTTTAGCACGGCCGAAGATATTTGTATGGGCGACCAGAAAGCTTACAAGAATGACCGACACTGCTACCGGTGGCCTGCAATATGTTTGGTGCTACCAGTAAAGACGCCTTCTGCTCCGCGCGCCAGACAAAGCACGACTCCGATACGAGCGGAAATCGGAGTTTGTTGAAAGTATGTGCCTGGAGTTTCACGACTGGTTGCACAGAAATCAACTGAGGGAGGATTGGAGCGAACTCTTTGGTTGAGCCTTGGGACTGAGGAAGTGATTCTTGCGAAAATAAAAAAGAAAGCGACGGAAAACGACGAGCAAGTCATTTCTATACCCCTAGCGATGACTCTGGAGAATCCACCGGGCTAACCGCGGCTGTCGGATCCGAGGGGAACATTTCATTGGCTGGAAGAGAGCACGTCGGAATTGTCTCGGGATTGATAAGCCATTGTCGCCCCTGAAGTCACAAGACAATCTACTGTGAACGGAGATCATAGACGAGGGAATTCCAACTTAGCAATTTTCACGTGATGGGGTTTCAATCGGGTCGTTTCAGCCGGCCTTGTCTGTTTCGCCTCCCAGGAGCACCCGAGGTAAGACTTGGGAGTCCTCAGGAGCCTTGTTGCAGACTTGAAGAACCGATCCTTTACGCTTCTGTTACCGACGGGTAACAAGAGCTGTGCTCAGCAATACCTCACTGTCTAATTCACTAGCCAGTCTTTCCGTCATAGTCGCACCTCGACGCCGATGAGAGCGCGAAAACGCACTGTCCGGGATTTCCGGACGGGCAGGACAGAGAAGCGAACGTTGCTAAATTTCGAAAGGCGACTGTAAGTCCTCTGTTCTTGCGAATCCTGAATGCACCGATCGACATAGCGCTCGAAGTCGTATGCCATTGTTCTTAGATACAGCCATGGACTTCGTCTCCTGTAACTCACCCTAGCAAGTGCCTATGGAAAAAATAAAAAGAAACAAGTAAATAGAGAGTGTGACGTGTCTCACTGGATTCGACAGTCTAGTGTTTCTTTCTCGGGGTCTTCTTCTTCCCTCTATCAGGGGTGGGATAAGCTGACGCCATCGTCTTGTCAAGAAAGGGCTAAATTATGATCCGTGTTGCGTCAGCTAGAGATGACCGAGGAAACCAAGACCTTTGGTATCTCTTGTCAGTAGCTTGCTACCCTGTTCAAGACGTTTGGTAGTTCCCTGAACTTCTTGAGTATAAACATGACATGACTGGGGAGGGCCCATCAATCGGAGCGGAATGGCTGTGCCAAGTGGAAGGGATCACAAAGATTGAAGTGATGTTGTTCTTACATGGCTATACAGGAGCACTGCGGAAAAGATCTTAGCTGAGCGATCCAGCTCGAGCTGTGGCCTTGGAGATGGCCATATGATGTACCCATTCAGAGTTGTTCTAGCGAGCGCGAGCCTTGTCTTATGAAGCGCGTATAAATAAACTTACGAGATTATAGAACATTCGATGTTTATTCGATGAACTACTTTTACGTGATAGCTTTGTCGTCCGATAATGACGCGAGCGCATACTAGTACCAGTGCCCTTAGACGCCAACTCGAACCTGTGTGCTGGTCCTCGTAAGACGGATCTGAGTTCATCCCGGTGCTCCGTATGACTAGAAGCTCTTCCCCGTACAATCAGTGCCAGGACACATACTCTGTCCACCAACCATATGTGATTCCTATTGCCGACCCGCAACTTGAAGTCCGACACAAACTTCTCACGGGAAGATCTGCGGCCCGGAACAAGACTTTCCGGGCGAACCAAGTTTCACCCACAAGAAGCCGCAACACAGCGCGCCTCATTGCGCCCCCCGACCACTCCAATGACGAACGCCTCCGGGTCCAAAAAGTGCGGAGTCGCCAATCGGAAACTAAACACCCGGACAATTAATGAATCGCCCGAGTACAAAAAAGAGGCACACGAGCCTGGCATTTTGCCGGGGGGGGCATCTCTCTCGCCCATCACAGCAATGACTTGCGCGCCCACAAAATCCTGCGAGGGCTGCACCTGCAGCAACAGCACCCGGCCCCCGGTTGCCATCGAAGACAGCGCGGAGGAGCTCAAGCGCCTGCGCCGCCGCAACCAGGAGCTCGAGACGAGACTCAGTCTCGCGGCGGAGTCTGGCACGCGGCGAATCGTTCGGCAACCGGGCCGCACGCTGCGCTCGTCAGCGTGGTTCGAATGCCGCAGTGATCCTGGGATGACGGCGATTTATATGGAGCGGTATTTCAATTTCGGGATCACGCGAGAGGAGTTGATGTCGGGCAAGCCGATGATTGGGATTGCGCAGACGGGCTCGGATATTGCGCCGTGCAATCGGCATCACATCGAGCTGTCCAAGAGGGTCCGGGAGGGGATTCGGACGGCGGGGGGGATTGCGTTTGAGTTTCCGACGCATCCTATACAGGAGACTTCGCGGCGGCCGACGGCGACGTTGGATCGGAATCTGGCGTATTTGGGTTTGGTGGAGATTCTGACGAGTTATTTCCTTGATGGTGTTGTTCTTTTGACGGGGTGTGATAAGACGACCCCTGCATGCTTGATGGCAGCGGCGACTGTGGTGAGTCTTGAGCGTTTCCGTGGTTTTTTTTGCATTAGGGCGTGAGCTGAGATGAGATTAGAATATCCCAGCTATCTGTCTGAATGTTGGCCCGATGCTGAATGGCTACTCAGAGGGCAGGCTATGTGGAGCAGGAAGTGTGGTCTGGACCGCCCGTGAGCGATACGCGACTGGCGAAATCGACGAGAATGAATACATGGATTATATCTCCAGAGGGTAGGTTTCCAGCACGCTTCCACTTTTCCATCCGGTGGTGACCACTAACGATCGGGTAGGACGCCCTCTGTCGGCCATTGCAACACTATGGGCACCGCCTCAACAATGAACGCCCTGGCCGAAGCTCTCGGCATGGCATTGCCAGGATCTGCGGCCATCCCAGCTGCATATCGCCATCGTGCGCAATGCGCCTATGAAACCGGAAAACAAATCGTGGAAATGGTCGAAGCCGACCGGAAGCCAAGTGATATCATGACACGCGAGGCCTTCGAGAATGCCATTGTTGCGAATGCGGCCTTCGGCGGGAGCACGAACGCCCCTATCCACTTGCTGGCTGTTGCCCAACACATGGGCATTGAGCTGACAATGGATGACTGGGACAATCTCGGCTCCAAGATCCCCCTTCTCCTGAACATGCAGCCATCTGGCGAGTACCTGGGCGAGGAGTATTTCCGTGCTGGAGGTCTTCCAGCTATTATGGCAGAACTGTTAGATGTGGGTAAGATTCATGGAGGCGTCCTCACGTGCAATGGGCGCACTATGGCAGAAAATGTCCGCGGAAAACACTCGTGGGATCGCCGAGTCATTCGGCCTTACAGCGACCCGCTCATGGAAGAGGCGGGCTTCATCCACCTAAAGGGCACCCTATTCGATTCAGCGATCATGAAAACATGCGTCATCTCACCCGCATTCCGTCGGCGATACCTGTCCAATCCCGATGACCCAATGGCGTTCGAAGGGAACGTGGTCGTGTTCGATGGACCAGAGGACTATAACGAGAGGCTGGAGACCCTTCCTGAAATTGACGAGAATGCCATCCTGGTCATGCGTGGCGTGGGGCCTCTTGGATATCCTGGCGCTGCGGAGGTCGTAAATATGCATCCACCGGGCAGGCTCCTGAAACAAGGGGTGGATGCCTTGTTCTGCATTGGAGACGGTCGACAATCCGGTACCTCAGCCTGCCCATCTATTCTGAACGCCAGCCCCGAGGCTGCTGCGGGCGGGAACCTGGCTATTTTGCGCAATGGAGACAGGCTGCGCATTGACCTGCCCAAGCGCCGGGTGGATATCCTCATTAGCGACGATCTGCTAGAAGAGCGAAAAAAGGATTTGCAGGCAAGTGGTTATCCACTTGTGCCTAGTGGGACGCCGTGGCAGGAACTCTTCCGCCAGGAAACTGATCAACTTTCGAACGGCATGGTCTTGCGGAACGCCGTGAAATACCAGCGTCTAGCACAAAAGAACCCTGTACCACGACATAACCACTGAATAGACAATACCCCCTGTATATAGCTTTTACATATGAGATGATTCATTCAAGCGGAATACCTCGACCCATTCTCGTTAGACTAGTAGGCCTGTTGAAGGCATCTTCGCGGTTGTCAGTGTGTCAATACAAATGGTTATTCAAGTTGCGGCCGACAAAGCTCGCCATAAGCAATACACCAGATAACGTAAAAGATTTTTGCTCTCCAATCCGGCTCTTCCTGCTTTGCCTTAAGAGTCTATTCGCTACTCAGCTCCGGGTCTAGCGTTGCCGATCAGGCACGCCTAAGGTGGAGCGACTATAACAGATCTTGACTCCGCCGCAATATCGTAGACGGGCTGACCAATAATGAATAAGAATCGAAACAGCATTGGGGATTCTCAGGAATCCCGGAGGGGGCCTAAGGCACGATTTTGCCTAAGTCTGCATGCGACAGGGCCCACGGACACTAGGGCAGCACCGTATCCTAAGACATAGAGCTGAAGAAACCCATCCGGAAATAGCCTTCGTACTTGCTGAGTGCTCGAGCATAAACAGTATAAAAGAGCGATCTACCATGGCAGACAATTCCATCGGCACCAACAAAACAACTTGTTCCTCTACTCGTGCCTTCGACGTTCAAGATCCTTGACTGTACATTATCATTCACAATGAAGACTTTGAGCATTTCCAGCATGGCCCTCGCTGCTACTGCAGCTCTGGCCCAACCTGTTAAGAGAGCCGGCGGCTTTGAGGCAGTGACATTCAACTCCCTCTATGTTGATGTCTCTGACACCATCTGCAACTTTGCATTCAGTTTCGATGACCCCAACACCAACCTGACGGACAACCGGGTCAACTTGAAGTGGTAAGGACTATATTCTTTGAGAGGTCACTGTGTTGATCCTTGTGCTAAGATGTGGTTAGGACACGTCCCAGTGAGCCCCCAGCGGATACCTGGACGAACGACAACAACTACATTGTTTCCTTCCCCGAGGGGGTAGACGATATCACTCATCTGACCTTCACGGTCAAGAACGCCAATTCCCCCGAGAGAATCAATGTGGCCACCAACAATGAAGCTGCAGACTCGGCTTGGACTTGCAGCCCCACTAAATTCACGAATGAATGCCACAGTGTCCGCTCTGTCAAGATCAGCCCTGTCCTTTCCTCCTAACTTGGGGTTTTGCAGTTCAACAGATGTACTCCGTCGTTTTCTCTGCTTCCAAGTATCGGAATAGGTTCTTTGGCATATGCCCAGATATATATTTGGGTCGTGTTTTCTCTGCATAACTATTCTCCTGTTCTTCTTTATGCTGTATTCATCTGCTATTTGTCTAATACTAAGGTTATTAAGCCCATCCAATTTTCGATTGGTAGTCGAATCGGGCCTATCGTTATTTAACTACACCGTACTTTGGGATTACGTTAAAGTCCAACTTGAAATTGTATCTCACACATTAACACAAATATACAACCTATGATATACAGCTAATAACCCCACAAACTCCTTGTTATGCAATCATCAGTGGAAGCAGATAGAATCATATCAGATAGCCCTGATACCCCACCCCTGAGTGATTAGTGTTGACCTATAGGCATTCAGAGTACATCGGGGTGGGCCAGCGTTTGGATAAAACAACATATGTAAGGAGGGTCTCCCATGTGGCATGCCTCTTCGCAGACACAGGGAATCCGTTCATGGACATTCTACCGAGCGCAGTTCGAGGACAGTGGAAGAATCAGATTCGGACATCGATACGGACTGAGGTGTTCATCCGCTCAGCCGAGGCGCAACGCCCCGGGTAGTGAACATTAATATGGGTGAATAGCGAAGCAGAGGTCGTGACGTCAGGGAACAACCCTCCGGTTTATGATTTTGCAACGTATGAACATTCGTCAGACCGAGTCCAGTCGGAATCATATCGGGTGTTCGTCCACTACGGAGCTGGAGATGCCGTATATGCCGGAGGGCTCGTAGTATGTCCCTTCCTTGGCAGCAGATCTTCTTCATCCGAACTCTCCGTTATCCGGGAAGAGAAGGAGGCCGCAATACTCGACTGAGTTATGGAATGTCGTAGGATTCGCCTCTCCGATGGCTTAGCCGCCGCATGGTCCAAGTCACGTATGGCAGATGGACCAGCTTCGAGCTCAGCCGATGCAGAGCCCGGTGGCGCAGCTCTCGGCGGCTCCGATCCCGGGAGCTCGAACACAGCATCAGAACGATCTGGTGCTATTGCTAGTCGATTTTCATGCTCGCAATCAAGCTCGCCAGGCCCATCGGACAAAGATTCCAGGCTGGTCGTACTATCTTCCAGGGTTTTACCTTTTTCGTCGCTCGCAGATCGACGTTTCCGTACATACATCCATGCGCTGACTCCGGCCGCTACGGCTAAGAGCGTTCCAACCGCGGTACCAACCCCGATTCCCGCTTTAACTCTCGCTGGCATACCTTGTCCTTCAGATGAGCTATCCCAGGGATCGTCATAGGACTCAATGCGGACGATGTCCGCGCTGCCATCGACCAGATCATCGTCAAATTTGGCTTGGTAGACAGAGAACTGCTCTCTCTCGTAGTCGACTGCCAAGTACGCTTCTTGGAAGAAGACTCGGCCGATACGTTGTTCATCACTTGTCGATGCCATCTTGACCGGAATATAGGGAAGTGAAGAGTTGGAATACTCGGAGGGTAAATTCGGGAACGGATAGGAGAGTGAGTGATCAAAGGCTTGGAAGGGAAGTGTTATGTTCACGGCTTGGGAGGCATCGGGAAAGTCGGAGATGGAGAAAGTGATTGACAAGTCCATGGCCAACAAATTCTGCCGGAGAGAGGTGTCGTTTCCGTATGTATAGAAACCTAGATTATCATCATAGGTAAGATTGAAAGCCTGGCCGAATGTATCGAAAGCGTCCTTCGGCAGCCAGATGTAGCTAGTTGAGGAGTCGAGGGTGTAGAGAGAGCTGGTTCCCGGGGTAGACGCCGTGATTTGAAGAGGTGTGAAAGGACTTTCCCCATCTTCGGACGCGGACGAAATTGATATAGTATTCAATGACACAACGGGGACCAGATTGTCGGTCAGATGAAAAGTTGCACTGTTATTGATAAATCGGTCCTGATCTACACCTCCAATGGTGAGAGAGGCTAAGACACCTTTCAATCCTGTTATATTTGTCAGTAAAATTCCTACACGTGTGCCTCTTAGTGCAGCGCATACGATAGTGAGCACCTGCAGTGTAGCCATAGGTTCCACTCGGAGAGATACTCCCGTTGAAATATGCCTGTTCCATCAGGGAATAGGCAGTTAAATCGCTTAGAGCATGGTCACTCAGGCTCACAGCGAGGCCGAGCAGTCCAATCCAGGTATCCTCATTTTCGGCGACGGCAAGCTGATTTTGGGGTACCTCCGTGTAATCCGCTAATATTGTATCTGTGCCATAGGTTGCTTGGGCAGAAGTCCTGCCCAAGTTAGGAGGGTTATCCTGAGTGCTCCATGTCGAAGAACTTGAAGGATCGTAGAGACCGCCTCGTTTTGTTGAACAATCTGATAACGACGCTGGCTTCCACTGTCAGGTTATCATGTCAAATCTTTCAGGGCAACACAGCGCTGGTGGCAACAAACGTACAGTTTTCACAAGCCTTTTTTCCGATGAGCCATGTGCCTCTATCTACAGTGCTTGGGAACAAAGAAGATGTCGTAAGCTCTGAACCAACATAGATATTCACGCTGAAAGACGGTCAGTCCTCGAAAGTGGGAAACGGCAAGATATCCTCGCTTACGCGCTCCAGGTTCCATCAATGCCGTACCTATGCCGGAATTGACATTAGCAGGGGATGTGGGGGATATAGGCAGCAAGAAAGTGGAAAGTACCAGTCGACATCGGCAGCTAGAGAGAGGGGGTAGGATTCGGTTTCTGCCCTAACAAGACAGAAAAACAATCCGCCTAGAAGAGCTCGACTACGCCGGCTCTTCATAATGTTGGTGCTCAAAAAATTGATTGCAATAATTCCATTGACTGTAGCTGGCTCTTCAGAGCCTCCAACTGAGATAAGACCTGACCGACAGGGCAGAGTGTCGGGGTCCTGGACCCTGAGAGACGTTGGGGCAAAGAGCGGAAAGGAGCAGAAGTGGAACCTCGGATCCAGCTTCTCTTGCCAAGATTGCTGACTGAAATTTTCTGATCTCGACCCGGGTGGGGTCATTTCATTAATAGAATTACCGTTGTAGCCTGGCGTGGTGATTGGTAGCCACATCTTGGTAATTAACCTTCAATAGCGCCCCGTTGACTAGGGAGGGACCCGACTTCGTGCGAAGCCCGTTCCATGTTAAAAGCTCTATACCTCACCCAGTCTCGATTGACAGTGGCTTATAGTAGTGAGCTTCCGAATGTTTGACCGGGATGATGATGTCTTTAGGTGGTATAGCTCGCTCTTGTTGCTACGCGGCAATGCTGTTGGTCCGCAGTCTAAAAATGGTCGCTAGCGCGCAATTCAATCGCTTTGCGTCTCGATTGCGCGAAAGGCCCTTTACGACAACAAGTACTCTGTAGATGGAAGGTGCATTCGGGACAAGCCAAGCCAAGAAGGCGTTCTAATTAGCGTGCACAGCACACTTGGGCTAGTATTTCAGTCGAATCAAAGCGTGCGGACAGATCCTAGACCAGGCGCGATCGATCCGCCACACTCCCCTACCCGTGGAAAAGCCCTACCGCTCTAAACTAGAAAATGGGTAACACTAAACCAATCATATAGGAGCCACTCACGTTCGCCTGTATCACTCAAACGCTCCCCACTTCGCCCTAGGCTCCAAGGCCGTATCCACACGGAAGACATTTCCGCTGCCGAATGAAATACTCCATCACGTTCTGGCCTCCGGTGAGATAGCGTCACGTACCTAGCACAAATACAATTTCTGGTCGCGTATCGACCATTTGCTTCTAAAAGATCACAATCACAGAGTATGTGTGCATTCTATCGCTTCTTCTGCAGATCGATCTTAGAAGCTCACCTAAAGAGATCGTACCGCTGACCCACGATCCGTCGAGGGTGCCGAGGCACACATATACATTTGCGCGAACCTGCGATTCTATCAGGATCTTTCTTGCGCAAGACTATACTGCGGCGGCACTGATCGCGCCTCCTGAATCTCTCCGCTCTATGTACTCAAATTCCATCAGAGCACGGCACACGGTAGCTAGAGGTCGTTCCGACTTCCCTATCAAGAGTGGCTTAGCGCACGCAGATCTCCATCCAATCAGAACCCTCCATACTCTATAGTCAAAACGTTAGCTCGTGCTGATCATTCCGCAGTCCAACCGTCGCGAAGATCCGTGCTAAGCACTGACCGAGAGACCGTGTGGTGATACAATCTCGTATCCCCTACATGATAGGTCCCATGAACCTTGGAAATCAAAGCGATGGCTACGACTGTCGATGGTCCAGCAGTTCTTGCGCCGGCCATTCCGGCTTTCGTAGACAGTCATGCTGACGGGGCGTCCAATAGATCCAAATCCTTTAAACCCCTAGGAATTGCACAGCAGGGACGCAATCGGCACTAGCACGATCCACGATCCATAAATCGTTTTTCCACCCCCTTCAGCAGTAATCACCATGCCATACTACCATTCAGATCCCCGACCAGTATAATAACGATTCTCGCTTTGAAATGGGCAGCGTAACGAGTATCGATCACGAAGAATGTACCGTGGCATTCCGCGCTACAACCGACGGCAGTGCACACGAGCTGCCGTTCTACGCTTTTGCTCTTGAGACCGGGTGAGCGACGCCATCGCCGTTATTGGAGCTTACTCGGGGCGAGGCATTCCTGAAAGAGCAGGAAAGGCTTTCCGCAAGGGACTGAAAGGCGCGAAGAGAATTCTTTGTTCTGAGGGGGGAGGACAGCTGGCGTTGAGGTTGCAGGGGCGTTGGGGGGTTATAGCTGAATGGCAGGCCGGGGTGATTTTCTGGTGCGGATAAGGATCCCAAGGTTAAGATTACAGCTGTCACGGCTGGATCGCAGATTCTGCCTCTGCTGCGAAGGAGTATTCGCCCAGGTTGGGGCGGTGGCTGTGAGGAATGAGAAGTCTGTGGAGATTACGCCTACGGAATCTGGGAGGGAAAGGGGGCACTGGTCAACGGAAGACGGTTGTTTCGCCGCAGGAGGGAGTAAGCTCGATGCTGATTTGTTTATTCCTGCTACGGGGGTCGGCGCGAATACATGGTTTGTGAATGTGAGCTTGCCCGCTGAGGACAGGTGGGCGTGGGCTAGTGCTTCGACGCTGAGGGGTGAGAGGGCGGGGCCAGAGCCTACGCTGCAGGAGTGGGGGGGGGGGCTATTCGAGGCCTGTAATGCACAATAATTTTGGAGCCGTGCCAGTGGTGGCAGCGAATATCAAGTTGGATTTACTGCTTGCGTTGGGGAGTAATGAGGCTTCTGTGCAGCCGGATCGCGAATTCAAAGAAGATGAGCTGGAGACACAGACGGTACCACTTTGTACGAATTCAGGCGTCTGGGGCGGCCATGGGGTGGCAGTTGCCCAGTTCCTTGGTGTGGTGATTAAGGGTGAGATTATTGGCTCCGGGCGACAGGGGATCTGTGGAGCGGGAAGCATTGGACTAAGGAGACTTCGTGCGGAGTCGCTTTCGGACATTGGCGCTGTGGCTGAACATGAGATGCGTTGTAATGCTAGTGAGCATAGTTTTCTCTCGGCTCATACAACTGGAGGCGTATTAGTTCCTAGATATGGAATAGGTGTTAGACAGGAGAGTCAGAATTTAAAGGAAATGTAAGAAAAGCACGTTCGATAAGAAGAGTATCTTCAAAAGAGTAATACGGAGAATAACCTGAGACGCCGCGCTGGAGTACAAGTCTTGCTGGCTGCAGAGTACAATTTTGAAATCGCGAAGTAGCACAAGGGCTCAACACGCTTGATCGGTTGTGAAATTAGTATAACAAAGGAGTCAAGAGACTCCACTTTTCTCAGTCTTGACGTCCCGCAAGAGCAGGAGCAAATCAAGACGACCTACTTGAGCAGAGGCCGGAATCGGATAAGTAACCGTAGGAAGTTCGTTAACCAAGGAAGACTATAGAATTCGTGTTAAAGCAGAGGACTTGGCATAAAAGATCTCGGGTCTCTTACCTTCCCATCCCCATTCCGACATTATATTGACCCAATGCAGTCTGCTCCGAACAGTCCGCTCAAATTCAATGTTCTCTAAGCTTGAAAGAACAGAGCCTCTTCGTGGCTGTCCAAGCTTAGGGACAGATGAGCTCAGAGCACCTGAGACGAACCGATCTTGGTCCACTGAGCTTGTCCGGTGGTGGAAAGATCTCTTCGAACTCCCATTACCATCAGGAGATCGCATAGACGGGCTCATCTGACTCGGGTTCTCATTCGAGAAAGAGCCCGACCGCCGAGAAGCTGCCATCTCTTGCTGCTTCTTCGCTTTGGCAGCATCGCGTCGCGACCATACCTCCCGAATAACATCAACGCAGCGGTCAATACCACCCAGCATCAGGCGAGACTGGATGGTCATCCACCGATCCATCACCCACTTCCGATCATCCTCGGCATCCATCTCAGCACCGGCAGCCAAGAGAGGAAACATCTGGATGATCGTTGTCCGAGATGTGTAAGGGACGGTTGCTAACAAGATCAATACCCGCTTGCCCAGTTCCTCGGCAGACTCTGATGGCATCTCCGGGACGGCTTGATGGAGGTACAACAATGTCGCCCACCGGTAGGCATGGGCAACCTGAATGCTATGCTGAACTTCAGAGGTCGGGTCTTCTGGGGGTTCGAACCATTGCGGAGGCTCCCATTGCTGGATAAGTGTTTTGAGCTCCATTGCCTGCGCCACGATCGACACTGAATTTGTAGTGGTTTTCCGGACACGCTGAACCAACCTGGCGACACGGCCAATCAGAGGGAATAGGGTAGTGGCACACCCCATCAATGGATCAATTTCATGGACCGCATCACCAGGGAGGTGGAAGATAGAAGGGCTGAGATCCTGCGACCCAGCTTCATCCAATGATGTCAACCGCGCAATCACATCCATATACGTCCACGTATTATACAGGAACCGGATCCGGCCCAGCTCCTCTCCATTAAGTGCCCCTGACAAACCCGAGTGAAGACACTGCAACATCAAAGCTTTAGCCCCTTTGAGGTGTTGGATACAGGTCCGGGTATTCTGGTCCCAGGTATCTGCAAATGCCAAGGCCAAGCTTGTCGCAAGAGCAGTATCAGCTCGCATGCCCTGTATATCTTGTCTCAAACAACTGATGCTCTGCCGCATGTGCTTGACACCTTGAACCCGAAGAGACGGGTTTTCTTTGGAAGAGTGAAAAGCAGACAACGCGAACAAAGCATGGTACAGAGCAGGGGTCCCTTTAGCGAGAGGCCAAACTAAGGTGCGCCAGGGATTCTCGGAGATTCCGTCCTTGACAGACAAGATCCCGCAAGTCAGCCGGTCGAAGCGCATTGCCAGCATCTCCTGGCTTTCTGGGGCCAGCGAAGGCTGGCCTGGAAGCCGTGCCATGTCGAAAATATTGGTTTCCTCTCTGGGGAATGACAGACTCCATCCTGAGATTGGATCAGACTGTCGGATAATGTCCTCGATATCTTCGTTGTCATCTACCAACTGCGAAAAGCTCATGCCGGATTCGGAAGGTTGATATGTCTGGGGATCGAAGGTCGGAACCGAGCTCGGCTCCCGGTCTGCATCTGGTATCAAATCATCACCAAAGGGGACTGGGCCCTGGAAGGGCTCAAGAAAAGAGAGAAAGTTCAAAGAATCGGCTTCGAGAGAATGCGAGACGGCGAGACCAGGTATTGCATCATCACTCGGAGAAGGATCTGGGGGTATCCTCCGGATCTCATCAATGGAGGGGGCATCTCCGGACACATAACTCTTGATACTTGCCGGGGAGCTCTGAAAGGACTCGTGCGGCGATGTCGGGGGAAGGTGAGAGGCACGGACGGGAGAAGCAGATTGCTCAGTGGTAGGAGGAGTAGGGAAACTATTCGCATTCGAGTTGGTGATGGGAGGCTGTGCCGAGTGATTGGCTGGGCGTATAGATCAGTCTGGAGTCTGGGAAAGAACGGCGCATGCATCGTGGATGGTCTGGGGGTAGTCTACCTTTCTTGGGTTTAGCGGCATTGGGAGTCGGTCGCCCTACAGCCAGGTTGGTCTCCTCGAACGGCCGCCATTTGAAGTCCTTCTTGTATCCACCACAGACTACCTTGCGACGTTCACATTGGTGGCAGGAAGGCTTAGTCTCGTCGCACTTTAACCGCTTCGCTTTGCAGGTGATACAACCTGGGCGAGAGGAGGAAACCGGGTCAGCGATGTTGCGAAAGCAGAGTTAGATGGGCGATGCCCATTGTAGTATATGCGTATAGAGCGCTACGTCTATACGTATACACATCTTTATACATGGAGAGGTGAGGATGAAGATGGCGACATTCCCATCGGAGCATCGTACCATTACGAGACTTGGTCTGTTTGGGCTTCTGCGTCGGAGCCTGCGTCGGAGCCTGCGTGGATGCAGGCTTTCCCCGCACCGACGCCGCCGGTTCGGAATCTAGAATAGCGGAAGGAGATGGGATTTTGATATTTTCCATACCAGATGAACATGAGATATGTGGAAGGAAGGAAATCACAGGGAACAAAAAGGTACCAATAACAGCGGGCAGATAGGGAAACGGGACATGATAAGCAATGCGGGGAATGAAGGTTGGAGAAGGGCTGAGGGGGTTCGAGGTCAGATGGACGGTTCACTCTCGGGTTGCAAACCGAACCGAGACCCAATGCGCTGGCCAATCTCTGGGGCTGCTGTGGCACATAAAGCATTGGGACCTCCTGGCATCGTGAGATGTATAGACATGCTCTGAAAGAGACAGCAGCTTCTGCCAGCTTCCACCTTCCAGAAGCCATCGTCCTCCGGTGCGGGGATCGGGGTCCGTGAGCGGCGTCTACGAGATGCAAAAGGAACCAGATTTCCATCAGTCCAAGGTTCGGGCGATGCAGGGAGTCTGCATTCTCGGAGTTTATCGTTCGTACATTCTCGGCGGGTCTGATAGGAGAATTGGGGGCACGTAGTGGGCACTTATCACGATCACCCATCTCACGCCGTTCTTTCGATCTATATTGCGGTCCTCCTTAACAATACTGAATCCCAGTCGATAACATTGTGAGCTGGCTTACGGCGATTGGATCGAAGTCTAGATTGTGGCAATCTTGGCCCAAGTTCACAATCAGGCCTGCGTCATTGGGTATCCAAGGCGCAGGCCAGAGATAAGTAGGATCGCCCTTCGGGGGCCATCTTCTCCCCTACTTTTGACTATGCCGAGAAAATGCTGCGTCGCGGCTATCAGTAACTCATACAGTTACTGAGCATAACCATATCACATCATCTCCAGAGGTTGATGGCCACCATGGCTGGCAAGCGCTTACATTGCTTACCATTATCGCGGAAGGATCGGCGTCTGAGCCGAAACAGACCAAGATGGATCGGCTCGGGCGCAGGGCAACACCTTATCTCTCCAAATAATTCGTTGCGCCGCATCGAAGCTCCCATCATCGACTCAGGGGGCGTTCTTCTGTGCTGATGTCTATATCAGTAAACACAGTTACCGTATGAAACTAGCCAGGAAATGATAACCTCGAAGCGATTAGTATCTCAGGGAAGCAAGCGTCACGGGGCCAAATCTGACACTTTCATCGGATTTATGTATCTCAGCAGTACATTGGCCACTATAAAGCGCCCTGCTATCCAAGTAGACCAAACAATGAGGACCAACTCGGGGCCGGAATGGTCTTTTGCCTCGAGCAGATACTCATCACGTTCCCCCTGCTGAAACGTATGCCAGCTCTACGGCGTCAAATTTTTACAAGTGAGAGAAGAAACAATTCATCCCGGTGATAACAGGAGAGATAGGGGGCTTAAGGTTCCAGGCCCGAATCTGCCACTGGAAGGCTACCACCAAGTCCCTCGCGCCTCATGCCGAGCCGGAAGCAAAAGGATCAATTGGAGCGAAATTCTTAAAAGCAAATTTGGATCTCAGATAATCGACACATTCACCGAACTTCTCTTCTCAGATCCAGCGCAGGCTTAGCGAGTGAAGGCAAGTGGCTCGGAAGATGCAGGTCTTGAAAGACGTCGCTTGGTGGAGTTGGACCCCCTAAGGTCGAGAAGTTAGTTATGTTACCTTATTTTCCTGCATTTCAGCATTGATCGTTGGCGGAGGTGCTTCAAGGAGCCTTTCATGCGCGAGTTCGACTTGAAGCCCTGGGGGCTTTATGTGGTCTCTAAGGGGGGCCTCGGAAGACTTGACTTTACTAGGCTTCCAAGGTTAATTTACCTCTTGTGGCCAACGTTCCTCCTTCTGGGGAAATTCAAACACAATGAAGAACAATCCGTGATCTGAGAGCCTATTCATATGGGGAAATCCCTTGATACTTCGGGAGAAATACCAGATAGATGCGATGATTAATGGAGTTCCTTCAGCTTCATTACTCATTAGAAGGAAGCCAGGGTGCTATGGATTCCTCGTAGATGCCTCAGGGCTCCACTGTTGCCATGCCGTGAAGTAACCATAAAGGCCCTCTCTAACCCCCGATATATGTCTCCCTATCACAAAAAACTCCTCAGATCCAACCTTGCAAATCATTTTACTTCAACCCTCGTGAGTGGTGTATAATTGAACCAAGGCCCCTGCCTTAGAATTACTAACTCGGTTTGGTAAACACATGCTGCTTTGCTGACCAGCAAATCACCTCTTACCTCAAGAATCCATATGCCGGGACTCAGCTCAGCAGCCACGGTACACGCCATGTCGAGCAATGCGTAGCCTACAGCGTCAGGGGTTCGGTAACTCCTTCGCTCTGGCGTTGGCTATGGAGTGGTTTCGGACATCCTAGGAGAGGGGCTTCCGACGCGAAACCTATGCCATGCCTGACTATTAAAAAAGTGTACATATATTTGCTTTCGGGGTTCCTTGGCGCGTTTCTGCTGCCTTCTCGGGCGCTTGAGCTTGATTTGCTATCAACATAGTATTACCATCGCAAAATTTTTTGCTACTTCGGCACTTAGAGTATTCATTAACATTCTAGTACTTGTTGACGTGTATTTATCGTTAGAGTTTCATGGATACAGCATCATGTAGGCTTGGAGCTTTCATTTCCTGTCTGTGAAAAGTTTTATCAGCACCATTAATGGCTGGATTAAGATCGCCTGAATGGTGCCAGCAATAGTCGTTGACGGCTTCTACGAGTGCAACTCCCTGTGGACGGCTTCTACAAGTGCAACTCCCTGTGGACGGTTCCTCTAAGCAGCAACTGGACAATTTTGGCATGGCTCAATCCTGCTTGAGATTGAGCACAGCCATCTCACTAAAACGAATTATTGACAGAGCAGCCTTTCTAGATCTGAAGTGACCGCACAATCACCCCATCGTCTCCTTATGCCAGGTATAGTGCGCTCCTACCAAAGTCTGACCATCAGCGTCTGGTTACAATACGGAGTACCACGTGTATACATACCAGGTACGGTCCGCGGGTACAATCCAGTATGTGCCGAAGTAACATACCGCCGAGGCGTTTCAGAGCGGCGTCAATAACCTTAAATCCGGACGAATAACCCGTCTGATCGCGCAATACATCAAGAAAATACGGCGAATCCGGGGAAGGTGACCGAACAAAATCAATCCCACACGGGAACAAAGAGGTATCCAATATTACAAGCACGATTCGAGGATAGGCTTATGCGTAATACTCGATTATTTCCTAGCGTATGCATGAATACGGCTAGCAAGGGTCTGTCCGCAGATCGATCTTCTGTATACAGGTACACTGGGGATCTATACAGGTACCAAGAATACAGGTTGACCTAACTCACCGTACTGATGCTGATCCTAAGATCAAGCACGGACAAGTACCATGGGACTTCACCCTGATTTATATACTGATAGTATATACGGACGAAATGCTTGTTGTGGAACCTGTAGACAGGAGATACCATTGCAAACAAAGCTAAAGTAGCGTAAGAACCTTGAAAACTATCAAGCTGAATTCGACCAGGAGCCCATTCAAAACAACACCGGGAGGGAAGACGAGATCAAACCATAACGTCGCATTAGCCGAGACCGATACCCATATCAGAAATCGTTTCAAGAGATACATCAGAAATGAACAGAAGAGAAGGGTAAACAGGGCATCGGCAGAGGCGAGTGCGGGCCATGGTTGGCATAGTACAAATTCATTCGCAAGCACATCACCAATAGCCGCGCCTAGAACATCAGTAAACGCCATTTTCCATCACAAAAGGACATACGCTGAATAACCATAGGAAACGAGAAATCAGTTCAGACGATATTGGCTCAGTTGACACGGAACGCGTCGAAGATGACTGCAGCGGTGTTAGATTAAGGACGTATTAGAGGAATTCAGGTGGGCGCATACCTTCTTGGCCCCGTCGGCAACCACTTCCGATCCACATCAGGGTGTTAAGGAAAGTATATCGCTCATCGCCCGTCTCCATGGAGAGGTTAATGCGATACTTGTAGCTGCCCGGGTTAATGCCATCGGCCATGCTGGAGTCGTTGACCTTGTCGAGAACATCCTTGGCCCCGGTAAGCCATCCGTCGGCTTTGATCATAATGAACGCAGGAGGTTCTTCGGCGGTTTGGAGCAGGTAGTTGGCGTGCAGATTGGTTGTTGAGTCCTTCGTGACAATTTGGGTATCTTGGCCACCGGGCTGTATGGAATCAGACATAGGCTCAGAGAGACTTGAAAACCCGGAGCTTGAACCTACCAGAACAATTCCCTTGCCCCACGACCGGCCCATTGGCCGCCAACAAAGGAAACCCATTCCCTATGGCCCCAGGAGCTCTGACCCACGGAAACCTTGGGGTTCATTTTGATGCTCATGCGAAAATCGAGTTCCAGAGTCGGAGCAGGAATCTGGAGTGATCGTGCGACATCGCCCTCGGGGAATGTGTGGAGAAGGTTGTTCGCAGGAATGGAATCTTTCATGACACTGAGGTACGTGGGGCACTCGAGGAGATGCTGGCGTTGCCGGCTGGTATTCTTAGCTCGGACCTGCTGGCAGTAAATGCACTGGACTGAAAGACACTGTTCGAGGTTAGCGTCACCGTTTATTATTTTACCCTTCGCTTCGGAAGGGGAGACCGCGCTCATATCGCGATGTCGCGTCGCTTACCTTGTCCTCTTCCTTTGCGCGGAACTCCACGAACGCGGCGTGCACGTCGTCGAGTGGCGGCGCGGGCAGGTTCGATGTGCTTGAAGACTTGGGCTTGGGTTTGGGGGTAGGGCGTGAGGGCGCGGCAGAAGGTGGTGCGGAGCCTGGGGGCGCGACAGTGGGAGGCCCCGGGGTGGCCATTGGAGGACGGTTCAGAGTCTGCAGCGGGGTCCCCAATGGAGTCCCATGGGGGTTTACCCCGTTCGACATCAAACTTCCATTTGGTGTTGGCATAGGAGGACCTGTAGGCGGCGCAGCACTCGTAGGGCCGCTGGGCGTGCCCGGGTAGCCATTTGTTGACGGGAGGCCATTGGGGGCCTGGGCAGGCTGCGACGGTTGCGCGGCATTAGGGTGACCTCGAAGGCCGGGACATTCGAGAAGATGTTGCTTCTGACGCGAAGTGTTCTTTGCGCGAATCTGCTGACAGTAGATACACTGCACGGATAGACACTAAAAAACGGTTCTCGTATGTTAGTAACCGGTGATGGTGGATTTCAAATATTACGCAAGACGGCAAATACGCACCTTGTCATCTTCCTTGGCGCGAAACTCCACGAACGCAGCGTGTACCTCTTGGTCGACAGTTCGGCCCATAATGACAGTTGATCGGATGAACCCCAGAACCCCTTTAGATGGTGACAATACGCGTTGATACGCGGTTTGGGGGGATCAAGACACAGCTGTGGTGGGGGATGGAACCGGGTTTCGAGGAGAAAAAGGTGGAAGGGGGAGAAAAACGGGAACGCTGAATTGTAACGCGTACGCTGCGTATTATTCATCATCGGTAAAGCGGCGGGCGGCCGTACCACACCAAGTGGAATTTCGTTACGGCGGTGATTTTACAATCATTCCATTTCTTTTCTTAGCTATTTTTCTCAGATTTGGACCATTCTAAATGTCATGCAAGGTTTTGGAGAGCTATCGCTTCTATTGTCCCTTCTTTTTTCATGGATCTCGCTCCGTTCTTCTGGCCTTACCCGAGCGGCGAATAGCTGGTTACAGCCAAACACGGCACTGAACGAGTCGTCATCAACAGCCAACAGTAGCGAAAGTATGTGCGGCACACAATGCAACCAGGCAGTAACGTTACGATTTTTTGCCCATCCACTCGATTTAACCTCGTCAATGCTCGATCAACGTAACATGATCGCTTCCATATACGAGCCTTGGAGTCATGTTCAACGATGACAAAAGCATGCGTAATATATTTGAGCATGTGCCAGTGCCGGTCCCTCGGTTAGTCTGGGCACAATACTGGCCTTCAACTGGCTAAGACAGGGAGAACATGGCCAGGATAACCCTTTTCGCTTGAGGTGGCTATTCCAATTTCACCTATACCACCGTGGGAAATGGAATCCAATTGCTAGCAAATTACATAGCTACCATGTATATCAATTTTTCTATCGGTACGAACGCCTCGGTACTAATGCACGCTTACCAGGTACCATCGGGGTTTGCCAAATATATAACCTCTGGGTGCAACTGGCCCGGTGACCTCCAGAGCTCACACATTCTAGTACATAAATTCTTTTGAAATTGAAAATCACGCTTTGGAGCTAGCCATCCAGGTTCTGATAAAATTGCTCCAAAAAGGCGATTTGTCGCAAATGCAAGATTAACACGTCAATCCAAGCACTGAGAGCTCCCTTAATCAGTGTGGTTCTAGACCCGGGTTTCCCGTTACTTACTGAAACCTTCGAAGTACTGTCCCAATACTCCTTACAGGTTCCTGGTAATAAGATCGCGACAGTACGAACTATAAAGCCGTAACCAAATATCATAGGGTTTTGTTTCAAGTAATACTAGCACTCGAGCAGGCATCAAATGCGCCACCTCCATAGAACTTTTCGCCCTTCTATCGGTAAATAAAGTATACTTGCCTGTGAAAGCGTCTTCCACTTCAGTGACTAACCCCTACCACCCAACGAATTAAGACCGAGCCAGTTAAGTCAATACCATGAAAGACAAGCCCCAGGGGAAAATAGCCAGGGGGAAGAAATTAAACCAGATACCCATAAAGAGCTCAAACCCCCTTATCCCCTCCAGCACATCCCAAGCACTAAATTCCTCCCAAGCGCAATCGAATCTCACCATCCCGATACCTCTTCCCCCAAAATCCTTCGCCCGTATCCTCATACTCATCCTGCTCAACTTTCAACAGCCCCTTTGTAGCCAGCGTAAGCACATCCATAAGACCTTGCGTAGCAACAACCGCCGACGTAGAGCCCGGAGGCAACAGCTCCGAGAAACAAAGCTGGCCCCCGTCAGCTTCTTCCAAACGTCCCCTCAAAAACTCGAAAAAATTAGCACTCTCGCGATCCAGCAGCGCAGCTGCACGACCAAGAGCAGAGATCCGGCGCGACAGAACAGAGATATCCTCGTTATCCGTCGCCAGCTCGCCTTCAAGATACGCAGCAATGTCCCGAGCTTCGAGCTCGTCGTCCATCCTGGCAGACTGCCTACCGCCGAGTTGCCCTCTAGATAGCCCAGTCCAGCCAAAGGACTCGCGTTGGTCAGCCGGCCCCGGTGCCTTTTCGCGAGCACAGATGACTCGCCGCTCCCGAGCCGGAAGCGAGAGCTTTGCAGCGAGGCGGTGATGTTCCAGGGCATCTGCGACGAGTGTTCGTCCGGTAGGCTTGCTGGCGCATCGCGCGCGACTTCGACGTCTGCGTCACGCGGGGGACTGGGGCCGATTTCGAGGCCGGGATTCCCAATTAGCTTGTTCCCAGGTGATACGACCTGCGGGCCGTCGGAAGCAGGCTCTCCGCATAACGCTTCGTAGAGAGCTGTGCCGGAGAATGCGCTGAGGGGGTGCATGTCGCTGTCTGCGCCCAGCCCGACGCCTACAGAGCCAATGCCATGGAGCAGGACCCAGAATTCGGCATTTTTCTTGATGACCGTCTGCTGCTTGTTCAGTTGTTTCTGTTGGCGGGCAAGTGCCATGTTCGTGAGGTAATTGTTGTTGGCGTTCGCAAGGTCTGTGTTGCGCAGCGTGGTGCTGTCGTCCGTGGCGATCAGCTTGCGTGCTCGCTGTTGACGCGCTCGACGGAGGGGTGCGATCGGGGCTTCTTCAGCTGGCAGTTTTTGAAGTATGTCCTGATCGGCATCTTGCATGGTTATATCCATACCCTCATCGCCATGCCGAATGTCTTGCTCCTTATCCTCTGAGACCTGAAGGAAGTCAGTGAGATATCCACAACATGGCTCCGCCAGGCCTCGTGCTCCATTACTGACCTTCATTTGCTCATCAAGCATTCCACTTGCTCGTGGGGTCGCTGTCTTCCGGCGCTTGCGAGGAGAGAGCATGCTAGGATCGAACTCGATGATATTGCCATCTTCATCGAATTCAAAGTCCGGCTGTAGCAAGACGCCCCCCTCATCACCTATTACATGCTTCCGGGCACTGCCGCCATCTGGGCTTACTTGTAGGTCGACGCCGACAAGATCATCCTCAGAAGGCAGTTCGAGCTGAACGTTTCCGACTTTTGGGAGACTCGAGTGGCTATTGGAAGGCGACCTAGCTAGGAACTGTGACGGTGGGAATACGATATCGGGGTCTGTAAGATCGATGAAGGGCAGCTCGACATTTATGCCAGGGAGGTTCGTCTCAGGTAGAAAGCTCGGATCGTAGGGCAAAACCAAATTGCTTGGTCTGGGGGCTGTTAGTATAGGAGAAGCTGGACCCTCAGATAGTAACTCACTTTGTCTTTCCGGCGCTGGGATCCAAGCCACCACCGGGCAGGAGTCGGAGCATAGTAACCATCTTGTCGTGCATGGCCTGCACATCGAGCAGAGTATAGCCGCATTGCTGGTGGTAGACTCTGGAGACGCCGTATCTGGGGACTTGAGCGTGTGGACGTGGTCTGGAAGAAGTTAATACTTACAGCAGGTTTCCTTGAAGCCGTAAGGCCATGGGCGCTTCAGGGTTTATGATAACCCTGCAGGCACTGGGGACGTCGACGTCGAAAATGGCCTTGCGGTTGAACCGGCGGGTGATGGATCTTGAGCCTAGAGTTGCGACCAGCCAGATGGTGGCGACGCCATGTTCGGGCGATGTAAGGACTTTTGAGAGCCTTATGTCAATTATTGTTAAAGAAATCAAGATAGAGTACTCACTTTCGTGGCTATAGAACATGGTTGCGGCGTGGTTATTTGATGGGACAACGCGCGTGGCGGTTCTCAAGCTAGTTGGAAGTGATCAAGGCTGGTGGGAAATTAATGACAAAGAGGAGTATTGCGAGGATTGACTTGGGCATATGGAGATGGACGCAGATGACTGTTGGGAAGACGAGTCGCGAGATAACAGAGCGGACCCAGCACCACCGATTTTTGCTTCATACGGCGTTGTCCTTCAAAACTCAGTCGCAATCTACACCATGAAGGGGCTACGAATGAACCGACACTGAGGAAATCTAATTGTCCATGGCTCGATCACGCAGTTTTGATGAGCTGACACTGAGTTTTAAAATCAACAATGCCTTCAGATTGAGCACCACAAGCTCCCCCTATGCCTCTTATCAGCCACTCCCAAGGTCTCCCTAAGTGAAGACTGGAGGGTATTGGCGGCTCCAGGATTCTAGATGTCGCTCAGGCGCAATAGCCAGATCGCAAATTACTTTTCGGACAAACCCGACTTGCCGGCATATCTAGGTCGAAGATCAACGAGGCGTAAATGTAAACCCAATGGTAGAAAAAGTCGAATGAGTCTAAACCGCGGCAAAATGACGAGACGCCAACTCTTCGCGCGAGACAGTACAGATGGAAATGAAACCGAAAACAAAGACGACCCAGGAAGGGCAGATCGGGCGTATCCCAAGATAATCAACAAAACATCTGATACATGAACCCCCCGAATATGACACAAAAACGCGAACGCACATACAATACCCCGCTATTTTTCATAAGTTTGCGCTGGGAATATTTACTCCAAAGGAATACCCTCGTACTCGGAGTAGCCCAGAGCCAAGTTCATGTTCTCTGCAGCACCAGGGTTAGCAAACATCCTGCTTTGAAAAGGGGGAAAGTTATGACGTACGAAGACATTGAGTGGCAGCTCCCTTGAGCAGGTTGTCAATGGTAGCACAGACAACCACGCGCTTACCGCTGGAGTGGACAGCGAAGCCACCGATCTCCACGCCGTGGCGGCCGGCAATATTCTTGACTAATGGAGCCTCGCCAGTGATCTTAACGAGCTTCTCGCCGGCGTAACGGTCTTGGTAAAGGTTGCGAATGTCGCGGGAGGTCATCTCCTGCTTCAGGGGAATGCTAATAGTGTGCTGTGGGATGATTAGCGGTAGCACTCGGGGGAAGTAGGAGGGATACTTACGTGGATACCCTGGAACCAGACGGCAACGTGGGGGATGAAGGCAATGCTAGTGCCGAGCTGGGCGCTGATTTCACGCTCGTGAATGTGGTCAGTCAAGCTGTAAGGAATGATGTTGTTGGTGAGGAACTGGACGTCGTTCTTGGGACTGGGCTTGGTGCCAGCACCAGAGTAGCCAGAGACACCGAAGGTAGTGGGCTGGCCACCGAGGAAAGGAACGAGAGGGGCAATGCCAAGCTGAGCAGCAGTGGCGTAGCATCCGGGGTTGGCGATGCGAGTAGCACGAGCGATCTTGGAGCGGTCAACCAGCTCGGGCAGACCGTAGGTCCACTTCTCATCAAATCGGTAGTCAGCGCTGAGATCGATGATCACGTTGCCCTTGTCAGCGCCCTGGTCGACCGCATCGACAAAGGGCTTGCAGACACCGTTAGGCAGAGCCATCACCCAGCAGTCAACATCACCGTTAGCGGACATCTTACGCACATCTTCAGGGCTGAGGTTCTCGTAGATGATCTCCCGCTTGTCATAGCCCTGAAGCTTCTTGCCAGCCAGCTCGCGCGAGGAAACGTGGCGAAGATCCATATTGGGGTGAGCGTTGATCAAGTTGATGAGAGCCTGGCCAGTGTAGCCACGAGCACCAATGAGAGCGACTTTGGCGGGTTGACCGTTTGAGGCGTTCTTCTCGCCGAGAGGAGGATTGGGGTTAGTGGTAGCATAGGTACGAATTCCATTCACGGCAACAGAGGGCCGCATCATGCGGTTGGCACGAAGAGGGTTGGAGGTAGTGGAGAATGCACGCTTCTGCTCAGTAGAGGCAGCGCTAGCTCCGAAGCCCTTGGACAGGATGCTGGAAGCAGCCTCGTGGGCACGAGAGAGACGGGATTCAAGGTTGATGTCACCGAACATCTGGCGGCCGTTCTTGGTGAACTCCTGAACCAATTGCTTGACCTCTTCGCCGTCCACAACTCCGTACCAGAAGAGAACTTCACCATCGCGGCTCAGGCTACCGTCGGCCTTGTCAAAGAACCATGACAGATTCTCATCGTCCTCCTTCACGGTCCAAGCCAGCTTGTTGAAGTCCTTCTTGACGCTGGCAAACACATTGTCAGCAACATTGGTCAACCAGCCCGACTTGGTGATAGTGAAAGTGGCCATCTGGGCGATCATAGAGCCCTTCTGGGGAGGCAGAACGACAGCCAAAGCCTCCATAGGGTCATCGTAGTAGACCTTGAAGTCGTGCTCCTTGAGGCCATCGACATAGCGGTCAACAACGGCACGCGCATCAAGACCCTCGCGATCACGGACCAGCACATCCTTCAAGCTTTGGATGTTCTCAATTTCAGACAAAGAGCTCTTGACATGGATCTTGTTACCACGACGAATAAGAGTACCGGCACCGGAGTCGGTGAACAACTCCTTCTGAAGATCAGCGGGGTGAATAATAGCAACACTGGAAGAGCGAGGCAAGTCACTCAGCAGCTCCTTCATCTCCTTGATCTTTAAGCGAGTACCGTGGCGGACCCACCACTGATTCATCAGGTGGTCGTACTCCTCGTCTGAGATTGATGGCGGAGATCTTCTCGCCGGTGTCGCCGTTGAACAGACCGCCCTTCTCTGCAAGGTAGACGATCTTCAACGGCTGCAGAGCGCGGGCCAGCTCGCCAGCAGCCACGTCGGCGTTCACGTTGAGCACCTGTCCATCGGGGGTCTCGGCCATGGAGGTAAGGATTGGCAAGCAGCCAGCAGCAATGGCTGACTCGATTGGTTTCTTGTCGACGCCATTGATCTTGCCAACAAGGTTATACTTGGGCTTGTCAGGTAGTCGGCAGAAAACACACCCGCGGTAAGAGGACGAGCACGCACACCCATGCGCTCCAGCTCCTCTGTCAGCTTCATGTTCTCCTCCAAAAACAGCTTGCGCGCCAATGCCAGTGTCTTACCATCCGTAACCCGGATTCCATCTTCAAAATGGGGCTCCACACCGGCAGCCTCCAGCATACGATTCAGCTGTGGGCCAGCTCCGTGGACGACAATGGGGTAGAGGCCGACATGGTTGAGGAAGGCTAGAGCGGAGGACAGAGTCTGCAGATGCTCAGTGATAATGGCACCGCCAACCTTGATAACGGCGAATTGCTGGGAGGAGACGGAGGTGAAGTGGGAGAGGTACTGCTGGACCTCACGCTTAGAGCCGATGTTGCTGAGCAACTGGACGACGGTGTTCCGAGTGTTCACAGTCGAATCTGTAGCGCGGGAGTAGCATCGCTTCTGCTGAGAAGAGGCAGCGGAGGCACGAGCAGGAGCTCGCAGGGGAGAAACGGTGAGCGGTGCGGAGAGAGATCGGAGGGGCTTGGTGGAAGCTCTCCGCACAGCGGAGCGAAGAGACAGCATCTTGCTCACCAACATGCGGCAGCTTCAATTGAGACGGTCGCACAGTATAAGGGAAGGACCCTTGGAGATTTACGGAACAGAAGAATTGGGGAAAAGAGGGGAGGTGTAAGAGTGTTGAAGTGTGACTAACAAGAGAATTTCCAGATATTCGGTCCGATAATGGCGCCCAATTAACGTGCGGAATAAGGCGGTGGGGGAAGGGAAAGCACCAACTCCACAGAAAATTCGGTCCTTTGGTCCTCTTCCTTGGTCCGGGCCATGAGAGCCATTTGTTTCTCCCTCTCAACCGCGTTGAGGGTTTCTCCCTCGCTCTCCCTCGCTCTCCCCTCGCTCTCCCCTCGCCCTCCCTCGCCTGAGAGGGTCGTGTAATTCCCTCTATGCGGTAATAGAACCAGCCAATTCATGGTCCCTATTTAACCAACAATACAAATTCTTCGTTGAATATCCTCTATTGCTCATCACGAGCAGACAAGGTCCGAACCCTCGGGTCGCTCTGCGAGGACTCCGTTATCATCCCGCAGCCATCCTGCTTGTATAAAGATGGTATTAAAGGGGCCAGGATTATTCATGTTCTTGTCAAATCTTATTCGGGCTGAAGCCATGTATTTCGGAAAACTCTTTAGCGATTCACAGAAAGAATCCCCACTCCTACTTTGGAGATCCTGTTCAACATCACCCGCTTTGGACCTAGTCGGGGTTATCTGATCCCATGCTGTCTTCTAACTCGTGCGCTCCACCCCCGGCACCCACTTCCTCCACCGTCGTTTAAATGGCCTCCTCTACACTAGGCGTTCCGTGGCCGGGACTGGCGTGTTCCGAGAGGTTAGGCCAGATGGGCCCCTTCTGCGGATACTTGGCAATTGGCTCATGTCGTACTGGGACCCGTTAGGCGGGGTCACCTCGTCAAATGGGATCTCGCGAGCATCGGGAGGAGAACCGAACGGATGGCCCTAGACAGGCCCGGGGTTTAGATCTACTTGGAGCAGGTGGAAGAGACGAAGCGGTCATCGAACGGGAAAATACATCCGAGGCACAGTGAGGCACAGTGAATGGGAGGGAAAAAAGACCAAAGGTTGTATAATGGTAACATACTCAAACACGGCATCACTTAGCAGTAGTATCATTTACATCTCCCCTCGGCGGGTCCAAAGAAAGCGAAACTCCGATACCATATGAAGACTCAAAGTCTGATGAATTCGTTGCAGAGGGAAGAAGCCTTGGAAGGCAGAGAGGCAAGAAACGCATATTGGTCATTCAGAACGCGCCCAAAACATAACAGCAGGAGGTATTAGCAGCTGAGAAGAAAAAGCAAGAAGCCCTACGGCCTCGATGACAGAGAGCCCGGTAGGATTTTAAACTCCCACGTCTCCCAATACAAAATACATTGGCATATCCTCGTTTAAGTTTTGGTCACCACGACTGCAATTCTTCTGTTAGCCTCTGTTTTCTTGTTCGCTCGCTTGTGCGACTAGACTCCACTTACCAGGGACGATGATAACCACCAGCAAGCAGATGATACAGATCACGAGGCACACGCGCATCTTCATATCCTTCCACCACATGTCTTTCCGCACGCGATTGGCGCCTCGGCGGAACCCCTGGGCTGATACGGCCAGGTTGTCTGTCTTATCCTGCAAAGAGTCCAGGCGCTCACCACGCTGGGAGACCTTGTTGATGTTCTCACGCATTACGCCGACGGTGTCATCGATTTGCTAGAAATGGAATTTTTAGTTCGCAGTTCGCAGGCGCAGAGGAAAAGTCAAGTCGCGGAAATCAGCGCAACATGCGTTCTCGAAAACGGTCGGATTCAAAGAATGCAGTATACACATGATCGTCCTTCGACTCAACCGCAAGAGGGGAGGCTCACGGCTTGCAAAGCAGCAGTGCGCTGGTTGCCATTCTGACCAGATGCGGCTGGTGCGCCACTGCCCCCGGCGGGGATATAGGGATCATAAGGTTGTTCGGAGGCCATCGTGAGCGCGAGAGCTAGAAGCGAGATGTCTTTAGAAATATGTCCCGATTTCAATAGCGATCCCGGCTGCCTCGATCGAGGATTCAGGGTTGCCTTATTTGGGACGGGTCACCAACCGGATTTCGCGGATTAAGGGGCTTGGGAGAGACGGAGGTAAAGAGACCGTGATGACGCGATCGACGAGTCGATGAGGGCGGGAGAGCTACGGAGGATGTAGCGACGAGTATTAGAGAGTAGTGATGCTTGTTAGGACGAAGCCGGCGAGATGGGAGTTGCCGCTGATGGCGGGTTTGTAATCACGTGATTGTGGCGTTGTCTCAAAGGTGAGGCCTAGGCAGCGGGTTTAATTTTCGGCTGACGCTGCAATTAGAATCCATATCTTGCGCCTTCGGTTTCCTTGGCTTACAGTCCATTTCCTCCCTCCGCCCTTGAACTAGGGGGGTTTGTGGATTGGTTGATTCCAACCTACTACACGGGGAGCAACTGGAGAACAATCTACTACAAACAGCCACTGCATGGCTTCTAATTGGCTCCGCTCGCAGTACCTTGCTTTTAGCTTGGTCCGGGGGTTTGCGTTATGCTGATCTCTTGTTTTGCATATAAGCTCTCGCGTCCTTGTCTTTATGCAGTCTCGTCTCCGAGCGCCCATGCGTATCCTTTGGTTTGGCTGTTCGTCACTTCGTCTACTTCGTTGCTCGAGAAACGCGCCACGGGTCACGGGTCCTGGGTCTATACTTAGTAACCTTGGGTGACCCACTTAAAAGCACCCGAACTTTCCATACTTTTCGCTATATACGACTTGAAGCGGATTTGACGTTATTTGCTTTTCGTACTTCTACTGAGCAGCCCACGTATTATCGGAGCAATCCAAACCTGTGTAAAGAATAAAGAATGCTGGCTTTTCCAGGATCCATGACTGGATTTGGTAGCATGACTGCCGATCACAACATCGCGGTGGATCGAGCTACAGGCTACTGTGAAGCACATCGAACATTTGACTGCCCTATGTGACTAGGAATTCTAACTACTAGTGTACATGGAATAAGATTCGTGACCTTAAAATGCATCAGAACTGAGCATAGCAAACTAGATGTCGTACCTGCCATGACTACTAGTGTGAAGGGCTAAAGCAAGACTTGATTCAATCTATACCAGGCCACAAACTGTGTTCGATAAACTTAAGGAAAGGAGTTCAATGCGCCAGTTCCCCGTTACTAGAATACCAAGGTCACGAGTCCTACGTGATCAACACCGGGCCCTGGCCCGTGATAATTAGTACCAATATATTTCCAACTCTACTAACATGGGCGGGAAGCTATCGGCGGCAGTAGATACGACCCTGCAGACAGACGGACACTCGAAGAGAGAGATGTATATAAGAACCGAGGTTAGGCGTGCGCCTTTGTCTGCGTCTTCTAAATATAGCTTGAACTTGAGCTTGGAAGAGTAAGATACAGATCCTGACCATGGTGTCGCCTATTGGAAATTACCATGTTCAAGTTAAGATTTTGTCAAAACTGTTTTGAAAATGCGAAGGAAACTTACTCTTTGAATTCATAGTGTTGGGTAGTCAATCTTTCAAGAAGTTGGTACAACATACCTTGGTACCTAAGGATCATCGGCTATAATGGGTCTATTCAGTGCTGTGCAGATGCCCTAGTGTCGCACCTTTTCTCTTATTTCAGCCAGAGTGTTTGTGGATCTCTGAGGGAACAAGGAAGCATCCCCTTTATAAGACTGGTATCTAATGCTGCCCCAACAGGAGGATAAAACTGATTAGGGCCGTGGATTTCCCCGCCGCAGGCTTGACTGCCAGTGCTTATGTCTATGCCTCCGACAGTGAGGAAGGAACCGGGACGAAAGTATGACCAAGCAGTAGGCTATACAGCCTGGCAATTTGCTATACGCTCAGGACGAGGCTTTCCGCTCCTGTCAACTCTGCGTGACACTCAATAGGCCGAAAGTAAACGAAAGTTGGATGTCGCCGCTCTTGTCATCCTGGTGAGTGATGTAGCGGACGCAAATCACGTAGGACAAATAAGTGCCCAGGTGGATTGTAAGTATCCTATTTGGGCAAGGTGGTACAGTCTACCTTGTCCCGATCCACCAGCAAAATGACCTTGAAAAGAGATGAGGATACCGATTTTCGAATATACATGAATGGCCCCGGAAAAAGGCTTTTGCAATGGCAAGTCACCGGCCGAAATATCGTACACGCCATGGAAATCATCGGAACACCGTCGCTGCCAATGTCACCTCGAAATGGCTGTTACTTTTCGCCCAACATCTCCTTGCGCATCTCTTCCCTTTGTGCTTGTGTCTCCGCCTTGGCCCTGACTCGTTGAGCTTCTGCCTGTGCGCGCTTCGCATCCAACTCTTCTTGAGCAGCCACCCAGACTAGGAACAGGAACGTTAGCTCGAATGCTGTGCCAAGACCTGCCTCACCAGGAGCAACGTACTTGACTTGTCTGACTTTGACCACTCTTTCAACTTCATGACATAATCGTCAAACTCTTGCGCCTTCTTGTCTCCCTGCTCCTCGCTACGCTTCCGCAGGTCCGGGTTGTACCGCTTCACAAGCTCCTCATCCGAGGGGCGGAGGGCTTGCACCAAAGCTGGGCCACCAATAGAGATCGCGATGCCACTGCAAGCGAAAACAGTACGTCAGTTGAAGTCAAGCGTCACGCCTCGGGCCCTCGAGCATCCGTGCCAGAGCACCACTCACCCTGCGATGACCTTGAACCAGAGTCCGGCGCGAGACATGTCGTAAAGGCTTTTCCCCCCCCGGAAGTGAGGCTCAGGGAAAGGACGGGGTTGAGGTTCGGATCGAAGGGCGAAGAACGAGTGGGACGTGACTCAACGGTGAGACATGGATGCCGAATGCGCGAAGAACATCATCTGCATCATGGGGGTTCTCATTTGTCCGATGAGAGGAATTGCACAGCCTCAAGTGGCTGGTGCATTGGACCCTGTGGCGCAGGGGTTCCGTGTCTCACATCTTGGGCCTTCCATTTCAATTCGAAGCACATTCTCTACCCGCCGTTTTACGGTTTTCCCCACACTCGAAGCACCAGTGACGTTGCAGCAATGGTGCTACTGCGGATTGGTGTTTCGGCTGAACGACTTGTCACACTTCTATTCTTGTCACTTCTTACTGTGATCCAATAGCCCAGCAAATTCTCTACCGAATCATCCATGGATTGGACTAAGAGGTAATCTCCACGTTTCATCGGCGTACAGGATTGTCGCGTCGTTGGGCACAAATTGCAGGCCCCTGTGGGGGGTTACCGAGTCATGTGGAAAGGACTAAAAATCATGGCTCGTGGGAGATTGGACCTTTGAATTACAAGATACTTTCGAAGGATTTGGGGATCGCAGTCTACAGGTCCCCGGACCATCAAATTTGGATAATGGAAACACATCGATTACAGCTTCTGCAAAAAAGCGGTTGGGGCGTGAACTAGACAGCCCAGGGATGGTCTAAGCTATTTTACAGGGGGATGCCTCAGAAGCAGCTCGTAAGCTCGTAAGCTCATACAGTATAAACTGGTAAGGCAGCGTTTTCGCCCTCCCTGGGTATTAGTTACAAGGGTACGCCTGATACCGCGTACTTCGTACAAACTGGTAAGGGCCGATGTACATGTAATTCCCCCTGATCGTCAGGTACAATGACAGGGTGCTGGATGCTCTCTGTATCTACAAGTCCAGGGTGGAGTCAGGGGGTTTTGGCGGACAGGCGACATTATCCAAGGTACCCAAAAATGTCTCGTCTGATGCTCCACTAAATCCATCGCCAAGAGTGCCGAATCTGTTCCAGTTGAGATGCCGCTGCAGAATTTCGAAGAATTCACGATGACGGTGGGTGTGGGTCGGCGGTTTTATTAAAGTCAGCCACGCTCTTTCTACCGCCCTAAATTCAACTTTCGATTTCCTCTACGCCAGCAGAAGAGTGCGATATTCTTATACAGGGCTCGTTCCGGCGTAAGTGGTCCTCATTCCAAACTGTACACGTGCTCGATCACCGGGGACTTCGCTCGTGCCGATTGGAGCTGACTTTTCCCCCCTCTAGCGATTTGGCCCTCCTTGAATGCGACCCTAGGCCTCGGTCGCCTCCCTACTCTGTTAACTGCACAGAACTCGCCATTACTTCGAAAGAACGGAGCGCTATGGCATTTCCCCCTCCAGCACAGAGGCCACCGCCTCTGAGACAGTATAAAAGCTCCGCGCCCTCCCCTGGAGGCTATGCGCCGGACCCCAGTAACGGCCCGGACGGAGGCTTCGGCGCCCTAAATGATGGATACGCAGACGATGGATATGGGAATCCAGGGCACAGTGGCTACGGCCCTCCCCCAGCGCAGTCGCAACCCCGCCCTATGCGTCCGCCAGGGCCTCCAAGTGGACGACCGCCACCTGGATTTGATCCCCGCCGCGGACCACCACCAAGAGGAGGGGGAAGGCCCCGTAAGTCTCTAGGGACATGAATTAACAGAGCACCGCAACTGACTGAATGCAGCGGGTGGTAGTCGATCTCGTGCTGGGGAGAACTATGATAACCCCTTTCCCTCCGTACCTCCAGCGAGGGATCCTCGAGATCCTCGAGATCCTAGAGGCCCTCGTGACCCTAGAGATCCTCGGGCTAGAGATAAAAGAGATCCCCGGGACCCTCGCAGTCGGCGGGGCCCGCCGCCTCCAGGAATAGAGAGTGGTATGGCTGCAATGGATATCAACGGTCGCGGCCCTCCTCGACCGCATACCTCCAATTCGTCCCGACGACCTGATCCGCGGGATCCCCGTGGCCCGCCTCGTGGATACCCTCCTGGTCGCGGTCGACCACCTCCTGGTTATGGACCCCCACGATCTGGTCGCCCTGGACCTAACGGCATGCCTCCACCAAGTCGTAGCAATACAGTGCCAGTTAATGACCTCTACGGTGCACCAGGTGGTGATTATGACTACCCAGGAGGCCCAATGATGGGCGATATGCCACCCCGTCCTAGCACTGCTGGTGGCGCACGCCCTCCTCGTCCACCAGCCGAGCATGACTCCGGGCTGATGATGCCTCCCCCTGATCCCACGCATCGGGTATCTTACGCACCGAAAGAGTTCTTGGATAGCTACTTCCATGGAGGTGACGAGCCTGAGATGCCGAACTTCGATGCCATCCCAGAGGGCGGTCCTATGGACGAGATGGGTTTGGATACACCTCCGGCCATTCACACGCCCACTTCTCCACCATCGCCTTCTGGTCCATATACAGCATATGATCCTGGAACTCCGCGATCCCAGAGTAGCTCGAAGCTGCGGGAAGGCGCTAACCAATTCGAGAATGCCGGTTTCCAATTTGATCTTCCCGGTGGTTCTCCAGGCGCTCACCCTCAAAACGAACCTGGATCTGCTGTTCAGGGTGCGTACGCACCTATGGGCTACGAGGAGCCAGGCAGCTATTTCCCCAATGGGGCGAACAACCCCTACACACAGCCACCGCCGCCTAATGCGCCTGCACCTAATGCGGAGGAGAACCCGGATGCCCTGCCCCAACACCCTACGCCATACCGCCCAGGTATGCCAGCCGCAAAACCTGCCCCGGTTCGGAACTACAATCCTGCTGCTCCAACTGCCCCGCCGAGCGGTCCTCAACCCATGCCTCCGGATGGAATTCCGGCGAGCCGTGTTCCAGTGACCCACGATGAACTCCAAATGCTGCAGCAAAAGGCCAAAGGCAACCCTGGAGACCAAGCGCTTCAGCTTCTGCTGGCGAAGAAACTCGCCGAAGCGGCTACAGTTTTGGTGAGTGAGAACACCCGCCTCGACCCGAAGACCAAGGCCAAGGCGAAGGAAAAGTATATCATGGATTGCCATAAGATTGTGAAGAAGTTAGTTTCTGCGGGTTATCCCGATGCCCAATTCTTCCTGGCAGACTGCTACGGCGAGGGCATGCTGGGATTAGAAGTAGATGCCAAAGAGGCATTCTCGCTCTACCACTCTGCAGCGAAGCAAGGCCATCCGCAGTCTGCTTATCGCGTTGCAGTTTGCTGCGAAATCGGTCATGAAGAAGGCGGTGGCACCAAGCGTGACCCTCTTAAGGCGCTTGAATGGTACAAGCGGGCTGCTTCTCTCGGTGATACGCCGGCCATGTACAAGATGGGAATGATCAATTTGAAGGGTCTCTTGGGCCAGCCAAAGAATCCTCGCGAAGGTGTTAACTGGCTCAAGCGTGCCGCAGAACGCGCGGACGAAGAGAACCCGCACGCTCTACATGAACTGGCTCTGATGTACGAAACTGGCCAGCCCACTGATGTCATTGCACGCGACGAGGCGTACGCCTCGCAGCTCTTTCACCAGTCTGCAGAGCTGGGCTACAAGTTCTCCCAGTTCCGTCTTGGTACTGCCTACGAATACGGCCTTATGGGATGTCCCGTTGATAACCGTATGAGTATTATCTGGTACACCCGTGCTGCAGCACAGGGTGAGCACCAGAGTGAACTTGCCCTCAGTGGCTGGTATCTTACTGGGTCAGATGGTGTTCTGCAGCAGAATGACACCGAAGCCTATCTTTGGGCTCGTAAGGCTGCTACGGCTGGTCTGGCTAAAGCGGAGTACGCCATGGGCTACTTCACTGAAGTTGGAATTGGCATTGCAGCCAATATGGATGATGCAAAGCGATGGTACTGGCGAGCAGCGGGTAAGACTCATTTCTTTCTCTTGTGTCTCAGTAATGTGTTGCTAATGTTGGTACAGCCCAAGGGAATCCCAAAGCCCGTGAACGCCTGGAGGAGCTCAAAAAGGGTGGCGGCCGAATGCAAAAGTCCAAGATGGACCGCAAGAACTTCAACGGCAAGCAAGCCGATGGCGAGTGTCTGCTTATGTAGGATGTTGCCCCAGCTTTTCATCTCGTGTTTGGAGAACTTTTTCACCTTCTTTTCTCGGTGCCGGCCACCGTTTTCGGGTGCTGCACTTGTGCTGCATGTACCTTTCTTTCTACCCTTCTAATGAACTACCACCGCTACGATGATGAGGGCAGTTGCTTCGATTTTACGAACAAATTCTGCCTGCTTCTCGCGGTTGATTGTACAATTTTTTTAACCGATGCCATGACTTATTTTGAAGTTGGCTTTGGCCCTCCCTTTTTTTCGTTTCGTTTTCTGGAGCCCTTTCCTCATGTTCTGTGTTAGGTGCATCACTCCTATGGAGATCGACATGACTGTTATGGACAATTGGGGCAAGTACTCTGCTAAGCCGGCAGGCCTGGCTGCAATTTGCGTACTGAATAGAATGGATTTTACATGACCCAAACTGCTCTATCTACTAGTAGGAAGATCCAGGAACATATAGGTATGTATTGAGTATGTCCTGCAGTAAATGAGGGGAACTCTCTCTTACGACTATCGTTAGTCTTCAATCAAATAGAGACTAAAGGTATAGTGGTACTATTAGACGAGTGAAGATCGCCAACCAAACCGCGCGGGCTCAATTCCGCGCTTACCCAATACTCGGCTCGGCTTCTATTGAATTCCTAATCACGGCGCAATCCCTGGAATCAGGGATTCTGACCAATTATTACGCTATATCCAGCCTATTAGGGGCAGTCGAGCACCCTATATACATTTAATTCGAAGCGCTACCCATCTACAAGCCCATTCCTTCGCCCGTATATGGCCTCGGAACAGCCGCCTCATACCCGCCCAGGTAGGAACGCATCCGATATCCCACAAAGTAGCCATAAACGCGCCATCTTCACGGGCCTCGCACTCCTCGCTGCATTCCTGATTGCTGCATTCGGGACAGAGTCCAATCTGTCTTTCCTTCGTCGTATCTTCGGGTCTTTCCACTCCGTGCGAGTCGGGGTGGAGCCGTACAATATCCGAAATACTTCCAGTGTGGTGAAGATGAAGACGCCGATCTATTTTCTGAGCCATGGAGGGGTAAGTCAACCTCTGATGAGATGCGCTAGTAGTGAACCCTTGTCTGATTCTTTAAGCCTAATATCATGTTCGATGTCGAACACCCGGCCTACAAAAAACTCGGTGCCATTGGGCGTGAGATCACGACGAAAGTGAAGCCGCGTGCGGTCGTGGTATTCTCGGCGCATTGGCAGGGAGGAAGGGATACGATCTACGTCAACACTGCCGAGATGACGGATCTTATTTATGAGTAGGTATTGTGCTCTTCTGTCGTAACCTGGGTCTAATTTGATGTTCTCTGCAGCTTTTACGGGTTCCCGGACCACTACTACAAAGAGAAGTATCCGAACGTCGGAAGCAAAGAGGTCTCGAGCAAAGTCCTCGATGCACTGAAAGAAGCCGGTATTTCCGCGAAGGGGGTGAAACGAGGTCTCGACCATGGCGTCTGGGCCAGTTTTAAGTGCGGTTCGTAACCATCTCCCTGTTCCTTTCCCTCGGACATCCCGCCATATGGACTACGAAGCGCAAAACCAAGGAGCTCCTACGGAAGAAGATTTACTGATAAAAATTTAGCTTTCGACCCCGAATCAAATCCCCTCAATGTCCCGATAGTCCAAGTCTCACTCTTCGACACCGAAGACCCAATTCAGCACTACCGGCTTGGTGAAGCCGTCGCTAAGCTGCGCGAAGAGAACATCATGATCATAGTCTCGGGCATGGCAGTGCATAACCTGCGCGATCTGCGTTTCACCTTCAGCAACCCTACTCCATTACCGTATACGGTGAGTTTCGACGAGGCGCTCAAGGACGCAGTGACGACCTCGCCGGAGGAGCGGGAGGAGGCGCTCGCGGCGCTGGTTAAGAGGCCTGATGCACGTCAGGCACATCCATCTTTTGACCATCTTTTGCCTATTCATGTTGGAGCTGGAGCTGCGGGGGCGGATCGGGGAGAGCGACTGTGGACGCTGAAGGAGGGTAGTATGAGCTGGGCGCAATTTCGGTTTGGGGAGGTTCCAACTGGGAGTGCTCTGTCAGCTGTAAGGGGAGGAATTGTGGGATAGATGTTTCAGATGCATAGGTTATCATGTAGCGTAAGAAACGGTGTTTTTTGTTTGCGTGGCTTGGATTCAGAATCTTTATGTAGGAAGAGCTCGAGACTCGACTCGACTCGAGGATCCGATTTCTTCTATAGATACAAGATACATAATGGTTGACGGAAAGAAACTCGCATTGCGGCAGGGCATAAGACAGGAACGGGTGGATATTGATTGTCATTATGAAGCCTGCTTCACCAAGTTCGTGACGCGGTCTTCGATCTGAGCGTCGGTGAGACCTGCGACGAGGTTAGCATGTTGGAACGGAGATGTGGGGTTTGGGGGGCTGGATGAACGAACCAGAAAGCGCTTCCTGGGTCTCCTTGCCAAAATCTATAATATAACATTCGCAGATTAGCAATTGACTTCCTTTGAGACCGCGTTGCGTTGTTCTTTGCGCGGGGGGTCGTACCGTATCGGGCGAAGACTCGTGGCGCAGTGCCGGCGGCCTCACGGATCAAGATGGGAGTGTGTGGGTTATGCTTCTTCATGGTAGGGTAGGCACGGTTGATGAAGGTTCTATCGGGCGCAAGAGGATTGCGTTAGCCAGTGTGGTCGAGGCTTGTGGAAGGTACTGCATAGCGCGGCGACGGGGTCAATGCCATACCTGGTGGCGGCGCTCTGTTCGGAGGTCTGGCAGAACAAGAAGCGGAGCTCCTTCAAGCCCTTGGTGAAGACGTATTTGCCCGACATCTTTAGGGGTATTTGGTGCTTGGGAGGGGGGATATCAACGGGAGACCACGAGAGAGCAAAGGGCATTTATTCACAGCCGCCGTGATTCGCTCACACTGCTGTTCTGCCACGCTAAGCCGAACTGAGAGACGATTAGTCACCATTCCTCCATCCGTATGTGAGATGGAAGGCATGTCTCTACGATAAAGGCTATCTTGCTGGAAAGCCTTGATATTTTTTTTCAAGTATCTGCTACAATTGAGCTTCGGTAATTCGAGATCAAAACAACTCCAATCAAAATATTGGTGCTGGTGAGATATCACTCTTTGATCCTCCCCGGCGGAAAACTCGCTCGCCCCGGTCACCGGCCTCCCGCCCTTCTTCCCTCTTCCCTCCTCTCAAGCCGCCATACCCAACCGTCACCATGTCGTCTCGCGTGGGATTCCGCTTCGTTAACAACGCTCGCTTTGCGTTTCGCAATGCCACCGGGCCTTTCCGCCGGTCGGGCGCCCAGGGTTTCCGTTTCCAGAGCTCCGAGGCCGGAGCTGCTCCAGAGCAGAGCACCTTCCAACGCCTGTGGAACAGCCCCGTGGGTGTGAAGACTGTCCACTTCTGGTGAGTAGTTCGCGCTCGGGTTTGAGTGTGATGTGTTATCTCTAGATTGACTAACTCTGTGTGCAATAGGGCCCCCGTGATGAAGGTACGATTAAGTTCACCCGCTCCCAACATGTTTGATAAGCACGCGACGAACCCCCAGCACACCATACATACAAAAAGACACCTCCCACAACGTTTTACACCTTTCTATCTATAATTTAGATGGCTAACAGATTTCTGGAATAGTGGGCTCTGGTTGTGGCCGGTATCTCTGACATGGCCCGTCCAGCTGAGAAGCTCTCCCTTACCCAGAACGTCGCTCTGATGGCCACCGGAGCTATCTGGACCCGCTGGTGCTTCATCATTAAGCCCCGTAATATTCTGTATGTCTTGTTCCGCTATACATAAACCAGGTCCGGAAAAGGAAGCTGACTGATATATCCAGGCTCGCCGCTGTCAACTTCTTCCTTGGCTGCGTTGGTGCCATCCAGGTCGGCCGTATCTACCTCTGGCGCCGCAGCGTCGATGGATCTGCCGTCGAGGCTGCCAAGGATCTCGAGGGCGATCTCGTTGACTCCGCCAAGGGTGTTGCCGCTTCCGTCGAGAGCACCGTGAAGGAGGTCAAGAAGTCCGCTTAGACTATCGTGACGTCTTGATTGGACCCAGTTAATAAGTTGTGAGAAGAGCTATGGTTGACATTCACCCACGCGGATGGGTTTCTGAAGAGGACCCTCAGGCTCGTGCCGGCTTGAGCTTGCGTCGGGATTTGATATACATCCATTAGAAGAGTTTGTTTCGTTGCTGGTGCCATCTACTGCTTCTATAAGAGACCCGCTGTACATAGTAAATCATGTCAAGATATTTGAATTCTTCCAGCTCAGGGTCAGATAGTGTTTGATAAGACTGACTGATCACCATGAAGACCCGCCGGGACGAGGAGACGCAAATCTGGATATGCACAAGATCAATTGTTTCATGTGCAGGTGATTACAGTGAAAAAGCCCCTCCACCAGATCAGATGAGTAGCGGGGGTTCAAACCTCTTAAAGTTGAAATGTTAATAAAGCCCTCTATCTGCTCTCATAACGGAAATGTCTGCACCGACGGAAGAGTCTCATTACCACGTATCTGAAGAGCACAAAGCCGATTTCTCATGGTGGGTCTCGGATGATGTTATGAGAATGGCGACTGTGCCATAGCCCTAGAGCAGATGCTCGTCTCGTTCTCTTCATCTACCTCGCCTGCGGCTCATGATTGTACGGGTTGGGAAGATCAGCTACAAAAATTGCAAAGGAAAAGAATGCCATGTCCCTAGTATATCACCTGAGGATACCGTAATCAGGAATTACTATTATCAATAGACATCGATGTTAGCAATCTCTCAGATCCGGTCCGTGACAGAGTGCCGATGAACCCAGCTTCGCGCTCTCTTCCCGAATATATACCTGGCCGTGGCGGAGTGATCAGCACGCATCCCATCTTTACTGCCAGAGTGGGCCAGCTCATGAAATTACTCACATTGGAATCGTAAACAGAGTAATGCCTATTGTGATTCCACCGATTGTGAAAAAGCAGTTGCGAACTCCCTGGATGGCAATCCAATCGTTGATATAAAACGACAACCCGAAAGCGAACATATTCTTGATAAAATTCATTGTCGCAAATGCCTCTCCGGCCTTTTCTCTGTGGCAGTCAACGACATACGAAACAACCCCCGTCGTCCCAAGCTGAATGCCAAAGTTGATAAGCCCCAGGCACACAATGACAGACACGGGCCAAGGATCCTTCGCGTAGGAAGCTTGGCCCCACGCAAAGAAGCCCGTTGAGGTAAATATTAGATACGTGACCATGATCGGAAGACGGAACTCTGGCTCTGAACTCTAGTCAGCTTTCAATATGCGATGTAGCTGGTTGGGGGTGGGGGAGATACCGAATATGCCGCCATTCATTTTGGACATCTTGGTGATGAGGCCATCCACGAGAGGTCCCGCGGTGAGGGTCCCGAGAACAGATGCAACAAAAGAGGAAAGGTTTGTCGCTCCGACGCCGACGACAGAGAAGCTATAAGGAGGCGCAGAGAAAATCTGGGACAGCGTTAATGATATGCCAACCAGCCATGAAATGCATATCGTGAAGAGAAGGACGGCCCAAATTACAGCCGGAGAGCCAAGTAGATAGAACGGCCGGATGAGAGTATTCCAAAAAGATACATGGTTGACATAGCCGCTGTAAGGCCATAGATCTTGGAACCAAGAGTGAGATGACCGGGATGTAGGTGTACGATTCCCCCAGACATGTTCCACTAGTTCCAAGTCTGGCTTGCCTTCGAGTGTCACCTGTGGAGTGTCAGACACTGGACAGCCATCTGTATTGAGGGCCCATACCGTTGTTTTGCCAGTGTCTATGTTTAGCGCCTCTCTCTTGAAAGCAGATTCGGGCATCCAGAGAAAAATCAAAATGAGCTGAACACTAAATGCGCCACCCATTGCGTAGAGCGCAGCATGGTAAGATCCATATTCAATGATTGCGGAGGCTGGTGAGCATAGCTAGATCAGACGAGAAGTCAAATGTGCTCACATATTATCTTACCGATCGGAACTGCCAAGTTAATCCCCCCCCAAGACCCCGAGATTGAAGATCGCGGTACGGAACCCACGCTCGTGGACAAACCTGGTCATATTGTAAGCGATTCTCTTGAGAAAGGAGCAGACCAACATACCAGACATCCGCAATAGAGGCTGGCACCAGAGCCTCCATTGGGGCCATACAAAGACCACAGAAAACCCGTGAAGCCACAAAAGAAGGGAAACTAGTCGTGGCAGCTCCCCAGAAGCACGAAACCAAGAGACCAATTGTTGTCCCGAGATATACAGGGCGCTTCCCATACTTCACTGCGAGCGAATTGAAAACCAGGCTACCGACAGCGATTGCCGCGATTGCTCCACCTTGCACGGCAGATGTGAATGTCGCCAGGGAGACACCAAATTCAGCAGCGAGGGGCACGAAGGCGCTTCCTAGGAGAGGCCCGACCGCTTCAGAGGCATGGGATTAGCTGAGTCCAGCTTGAAGGGAAGAGTATGTGTCGCCAGACTTACCCCCTACACATCCGCAGCCCCATCCGTAACAAATGGTAAAGAGTTCCTTCTTCGTGCGAGACCAGTTGTAGGGATCATTAGGGTCGTCGGACGGCTGGGGAACAAGCACTATCTTGCCAGTGCGGTCATGTTTGAGAAGACCGGGGTCTATACCAGTATACGTGGCTGTGTCGCCGAGGGCATTTAGAGGTGCTGTGCCTGGAATGTGTTCCAGAGTTGTGTCGTCGAGAATACCCAGTGGCATTTTGGTCCAGTGGGAGAAAAGCTGTTTCGATGTCGGCCAGGACTAGCAGAAGCTCTCTAGGAGGGGTTCGCTTAAAGTACGAATTCCAGACACCTTGGCTCGGACTGAATATACTGAAGTAAGGCTTGTCTAACGGAGCTCAAAGAGACTCCATCGTTAATCAACTGCCGCATAGAATGATAGCTGCAGGATTCACAGCGCCAAGTGCTTTTACCAAGAGCCTAGCGGCTGTAGCCTATCAGACTGAGGAATTGATCTTTACCACGGGGTCAGAGCCCCTGGAAAAAATGCTGGAGTAACGGTAACCGGCCATATCAGTATAAGATGATCATTAGTTTAGGGTGGAGGAATATGGGGCTTCAGCAGCCCCAGGTGGGGAGCCCCAGACTATGTAAATCCGGGGTTCCCCACAGCGTGGCTTGCTTAATTACCCGACAGTTTCCATTACTGAGGGTCATCATTACAGTCACATATGGACAGTCGTGCCCAAATGAAATTGTCAATGCGTTATGGGCCTTTTGCAATGCCATGTCTTGTGTATTATGAAGCTGGCCACGCCTGTTTAGGAGTTTTCACATAATCCGTCATTGAGAAGTGGATGACAGCCTGAGGACTGGTCAGGTGTCTTGATTTGTGTCCAGCAAACCCAGTCCCAAATATTGAAGGCATTCCAATAAGCAGGTCCCTGGTGGGACTATAAGTTGAATTGAGGCCGAGCAGGTACAATAATCTTACGTCTAATTCCAATTGGTCTTCGTACAAGACTGCTCAAGGCTTGTGAAATAAATTACGGGGCCGAAAGCATCATTGGAAAGGGGAACTTCCTGTGACACGTGCATGTAAGCATACACCGTTTCACCTGGGCAGTAGCGGTAAATCTGCATCCTGTCGACACTATTCCTCGATGTGGACCTCATCCCGTCGGGGCAGACCGAACTGTTTCAGAAAGAATAGGGTTTTTTCGGAAATTAAATCCAGCGTGCATAAAGATTTTTGACAGTACCCACCTACTACAGCATAGCCCCGGAAAACCCCCAGCGCCACGATGATGTGGGGAACAGGTGAGGGGAAAGCGAGATCAGCCGACATGACAGAACCTTGGAACGGGAAGCCCAGGAAGAGAGATTATAGAACGACGCTGAACGCGAGCCTGAAATCATTCGTCCAGATCTAAAGAGCCATGCAAGCGAAGCGGAGCATCATCGTGACCGGTACGAGTATCTATCGATGACGTTGAGAACTCTCTTAATATCGGGTAATAGGGGGAGCATCGGGAATTGGGCTCGGGATAACGAAGCATTTCATCCAGGAGCCAGACACGCACATCACTATTCTCGACATTAACCCGAACACCGGGGCTCAGACAGTCGACAATCTACGCTCCGAGTTTCCATCCGCGGGGATCTCATTCGAACAATGCGATGTTTCTTCTTGGGAGAGCCAAGCAGCTGCCTTTGAGAATGTTTATAAGAATCAAGATCGTATTGACATCGTATTTGCCAACGCTGGCATAACAGAGAAGGGCAGCATCTTGATACACGAAGAAGGCAGCCAAGACCAAGGCCCGACAAAACCGAACCTGGCTACATTAAACGTGAATCTCATCGGAACTCTGTATTGTAAGTCCAGCATTTCCACCATCCCGCAAGCTACACGATGTTAAGCTGCTTCGAGCCGTCCGACTTGCAACGTATTATATGTTGAAAAAGTCGACTCACGAGGAGCACGGATCGAAAGGGTTGATTGTCTGCACCGCATCAAACGCGGGCTTATACCCTTTCCCCATTGCACCCGGATACGCGACTTCCAAAGCTGGGGTAGTTGGCCTCGTGCGCTCGGCTGCCCGGCGGCTCGCAGCGCACAAGATTCGCATCAACGCCCTTGCACCGGCTGTTATTGGTACGACAAATGCGATAAGCATGACTATCTTTGAATGCTTCTCAAAACCACTCTGGACCAAGCTAATTCAACGCATAGAAACGAACATCGCATCGAACGCAGATCTTTTTAAATCTATGATTATTACGCCTATGTCCACTGTCGAGAGAGCAGTCGCCCAATTTGCCGATGACGAGAGCCTGACGGGTAGAATCACCGAGCTACATGGGGAGCATGTCACTTTTGCTGAACCACCAAGGTACGTGGATGGTGATACGGAGAAGAATATCGAAAATTTCTGGAATCTCGGATATGCATGATACGACCGAGGATTGCATTGCGAGCTGCTAGTACTACTAGGGCTGATTAGAAGCATTCTAAACTCAATCAAGTCACCATACAAGTACTCACACATCAGATGCTAATGCATATCATATATGGCACTCATCTATACTATACACTATGGCCCTCTGTAAGGCCATCATGGTATGAAATAATCAATAACATACCGGGGATATCAATAGAAAACCCCAAAAAGCACTATACGGCCAGACCAGGCTGCAACCGAATACCACCAGAGCGCCAGAGAAACATCAAGCGCAAACAGCGCGCTGGTTGAAGCGTGCTGTCCTTGCACCCCCATCTCCTTCCGAAAGACTTTAGTCTTTCTCGTTTTGTAATAAAACCGCCAGCCTCTGCAGTTTGTCTTCGCAGTTCACCTCCATTTTCATGATGATTTCCACTGCGTCTTTCTTCGTAATAAGGAGCTGCGACACGAGCCAGAAGTTGTATCCATTCTTGTAAAATCCCATGGATGCCCATTCATCATGGGTGACTTGGGTGCGCAACGCGGCCCAGTATTCGCGCCACCGTCCAAGAGCGATCATTATTGATGACAAGACCGTGTCCTCAGGAATCATGCTTTTGCTGTCGGTACTGCCGCCAGGGCTCTGTACCGACTGTATGGCTAGAGGGTGACGTCTTATTAACCCGACAAAAGTCATGTGTTGATTAATGAAAGCGAACAATACTGCGAGTAATTAGTAAGAGCCGAGGAGGAATGGATGGTGACCTTGCACATACTGTGAATAAGTATGAACATGTCCAGGACGATAAGGTCCATACGATTTGTCTCCGGTGTCGGTTGCGGAGATGCGAACGGAGTAGCGACGAACAGATTTTGAAAAGCTTCGCGTATCGTGAGATTGCGAGAGAGTCGGAATGTCGGATCAGCAAAAGGATGTTCTGACTTGAACAGAGCGTCTGAGCAGGGAAACTCGCATTCCGTGTCGGACATAGTCAACCGGCAGGGGTAATTCTGGAAAAAGAGAAATGCACAGTCGAGGAGCGAAATGAAAGACATAGTCCTGTTTCAATATGAGAGGTGTGAGGTATGAAGGCCTAGATCGAGACGTACCGAATCCGACATTCAGTCTGAATCCACATCTGTTCAGATGCCCCCTCGTGAGGAAGATGTCTGCTTTTGGTTAACTTTAACCGACGGGCGATCTGTTTTCATGTGAGTGGTGTGGATCATGAAGGGGGCGATTCTTGATTACCTTGACCACCTGACTGAAACGAACCTCCATCGCGCGATTGCGAGATGTCGGGCACCCTGCCCAATATTGAACTACCATTATAATGAAGCCCGCGAGAAACGTTTGAAACTGATTCCAATCGCTGCCGTCGTCGATACTTGAGCTCCCAGTGAAGATCGAGGCAGCCTCGAAATCCGAGGCGTAGATGTTGCTCGAGAAAATGAATAATTCGGCAAAGTCGAGAACTCGTTTTGCCATGTAGACCTCCCTCTGGTCTGTGCTGTATATAGCACCCATGAAGACAACCGCGGCTAGGAGCGGCAGACCTACCGTCTCTGGGTTAAATGTAGGAGCATGAATCATAGCACAGTTTTTTTGCCAGTACTTGAAGTAGAAAGATATGAATTTGCGGATGCGCGCAGTGGTCAGTAGCTGATTTAGATTGGCCGATATTTCCTCCTGGGCTTTCGCGTCTAACGGGACTGTCCACGCCCGTGCCAGGATAGACTGCACCAGAGCCATTGCGAATGGGCGTTCGGGTTCAAAGACAGCCTGCTCTGCTGACAGCGCTAGCTGAGGGCGCTGTCCTATAAGAGATGGAGGGTAGGCTAGTTGCTCATTGAACGGGTGATCATCTGTAGGCTTGTGACTCTCTGTAGAGAGCCCTGAAAAGGGCCCTGTAAAGAAATCAAGGAAGGTATCTTGGAAGAATTGAAGGGAACTCAGTTCGAAGGGATCAACCGAGCCGGTCATCAAGTCCGGCCGGTTGGTTTGTATATTATAGGAGAGCGTTGCTTCGGCGCCTTCTTCCATGTCCGTCTGGTTATCGAATATGAGGCTCCGCCCGCGGTCGGTTCGCGGAGGCAAACGGAATTGTTCGATGAAGCTATCGGTGCCGCCGTTGAGGAGGAATTTGATCGACCCCCGATCGGAAGAGGGAGCATACATGTCGGGTTTCTCTTCTGCGAAGGAATGAGCGTATGTTCATATGTAAATCTCCAATTTCCGGTGCCCACCTTCATCGAATACGTTATGAGAGCGCGTGTTTCGTTCATTATTGCAATCGAGGTTTCGTTTGACGCAAGAGCCACAAGGACTCTGCCCGTCGCATCGTAATTTCATCAAAGTACACTAAGGGACAACACGTCAGCTGGAGCCAAACTCCCGGGCTCGGGGAGAGAGACCCACTGATTGGCAAGCATGCCGCCTCCGTCCCCTCTGACCAGTCTCTGGGATTTTGCGGTCTCCGCGCTTGGCACAATCAGTGTAGTGATCGCGAAGATTGTCGCTGGAGGTTTATTAGACCAAGACACTTGGCGCGTTCAGTGCACGTACCATCGCGCGAATGCCTCGTTGCAGAACACGCACGAGTAGGGTTTTTGGCCCGAATCTGAGGAGAGTGAGCAGCTTGATCGCAATCGTATAGAGGGGGCCATACGTCGAAGATGATGCCGCTTCAAGTGGTCAACGCGCGTGAAGCCCCGCTGACAGACTGTGCAGCGAAAGTGCTTGTCGGCGGGCGCCATGGTGGTCCATCGGGGAGGAGATCCGGGGTAGTGAGGAGAGAAGATCGGGTCTTTGGTAGAAAAGAGGAGTTTACCGTACGGGCGATCCGTATGGTACCGTCACAGATGAGATCATCAGCGGTCGGCCCAAATGCTATTCGACGGCTCTAGGAGGGGATATAGGGGATATAGGTGAGGTGAGAAAAAGTTTATTTGCTCGTTCGAGTGCCAATCGTCTAAGAGGCCATTTTGTCTCTTCTCTGGCCCCTGGAGGTCCCATGCGCTGTGCTCCCGGGATGTAGCGCCTTGGTAGTCTCTTCTAGTGCTATATGCTGGCAACTGATCTACCGCAGTCCACGGGCTGAGGAAAGTCAACTTGATCGTCATCCAAATAGTTCACGTTGATCCTGTTGTATTTCTCATTCTCGGTCCACCCGTCGCCAATCCATCCAAAGGCATTACCAGTCACATACTCGTACTCGTAGTCTTCCCATCGAGGATGAGCGAACGCCTCGAGGGCGTGCAGCGACGATCCTGGGGGCCAGTCAGAACCAATTGCCAGAGTATGGGGAATGGGAACTCACCGGGCCATAACGCTGTTACTCGGCCATTCTCCGCTCCACCCTTGTACCAACTGCGGCAACGGGCACTGAATACCGTTCTTTTGAAATACTCGTCACAGTATTGGGCGAACTGCTGAACGGCCGCTGGTCGAACACTCATCGAAGCAATGTGATCGCGTTGCATCTTGCGCACGCACTCCGTAAAATAGTCAATTTCCTTCTCGAACAGAAGCAGCAAGTTCCCTTCACCGACCGCGGAGTTGGGGCCAAAACAGATGAAATAATTAGGGAACCCATCTGTCGCGATAGACAAGTAGGTCTCTGTGGATTCCTTCCAACGGTCGGCCAAGGATCCCCCCCACGCCCTCTCACAGGAAATCTGGGCGTGAAGGTGGTATCGAAGCCGGTTGCACAGACGATCATATCTACCGGTCGGTGATTTCCATCTTCGGTGACGATACCGGTTTCGTCGACCCGTATAATGTTAGATTTGATGAGCGCCACTTTTTCATCGGCCAGGGCTTCGAGATACCCAGGTCCTGGGGTTAAGCGGCGGCAGGCTACTGGGAAAGAAGGGATCAATTCATCCAGTAGCTCGGGTTTCTTTGCGAGACGCTTTTTCATGTTGTCGATTATTATATCGCGTTCTGCAAGTTGCGTGGGGTTACCCAGGAGGGTTGTACCGTGAATAGACTGGAGCTGGAGCTCGACCTCTTGTGTCCTCGGTTAACAGTGCTTTCTTGTACGTCGATTGGCCAGGGGCTTTACCTTTGCGGAATTGCTGATACGCGGCGTGATCCTTCTTGAACGTATCAATCTCCTCTTGGCTGAATGAAACTGCTAGGGGTGTGAGTCAATGATCGCTTCCACAAATGCTTTGCAGCGTACAGTTCTGTGTGTCCCCGGAGCGCTTGTCGATATATTCTCGCGCAAAGGTGGGTGAAATCCAGGTACGTGACCTGACATAATGATCAATGTGATTCACCTTGGGCAGCATTGCCGGAAGGATCTGAATTCCGCTAGAGCCATTGCCGACAATGGCGACATTCTGGTTCTAGGGGCAAAGTCAGAAAGTAATCAGCTCAGGAGGTCCAGAGGCGAAAGTACCGTATAATCATAGTCCGTTTCCCAGGCCGCGCTGTGCATCAACTTCCCTTTGAAATCGTGTAGACCAGGGATGCTCGGCCACCTCCAATTGTTGAGAGAACCTGTAGCTTGGATGAGGACATTACATTCATCCTGGTGAGACGTTCCAGCATCATCTTGAACCTTAGTCCAAGGTTAGCTGCCTGTAATATACGTGAGGTGACTTTCGTACCTGCAGTTTCCACTTAGACTTCCCTTCGTCCCAGCTTGCGTCCAAAACCCTGTGCTTCAGTTTGATGTACTTCCAACATCCGTACTTCCCCGCAACTCGCTTCCAGTAATGATGGATTTCTGGCGCCGGAGCGTAGAACGAAGACCACTCTTTGTTCGGCTCGAAGGTCGCTTGGTATGTATGGGCCGGGATATCTGGAGTAACGATGTGTGAGTCCAACTTCTCGCGCTTGGGGAGACTAGAAAGGTTCGGAGGAAAAGAAAAAAGCTAAGAAATTGACTGACCACACGCGCATCCGGGATATCGGTTTTCAAACCAAGTGCCTCCGATATCCTCATTCTTTTCGTAAATGCACAACTCGACATTTGGGATTCTCTGTAAGAATCGGATACAACTTATAATCCCGGAAAGACCAGCTCCGATGATAACAACCCTCAATGGACGGGCTTCATCAATAGATCGATCCGCTACTGAACATGAATTATTCGCCGGTTCCACGGTGGCCATATCCGGTGCCTGGGGAACAGGCCTGGGGCCCTTGCTGAAAGGCTTTGAAAAGAATTTCATCATGTCACACAAGTGAATCTTGGGAAAAGGGTAAAAAATTGACTTTAGGATCAATGGAAAGATCAGGCTGCCCTCCGCGGTCTAATATTTATTAGAATCAGGCCTAACCGGCGATGTATGCCAACAACTTTCGTGGCAAATCCTTGGTCAGGGCGTCTTCCCCACCTCAGCGCCCCTTTCCCATGGGTTCATTGAATAGCTCGACTAAGTGCGGCCTAGATTAGCGTCGGAACAAGGACTGAAACAGAACATGCAATTGTTGGGTATTTGCTGTGTATTGTGGACGTCCCCGAACGATGAGAGCGGAGACGTCCACATTCAGCCCTGGGGCCCACATTATTGGCCCCGCCGTGGATATTTCCGTGTATCAGTGTGCTTTTGGTCTCGGGGTAAACGTCATGAAGGAACTTCTGGTTGGAAGTAGCTGCGTGAGGAGCCGGAATACGATGAAGGTCTTTTGTGAGTGGTAGACCGGGAATCCCCCCCATCCTGGCCATGCGGGGAGGAGGTAAATAGCACGAGGGCCACCTGCGCATGGTCCAAGCATCCAGAATTCTCCACATGTTGTGCGAGATTCTACTGCTGATCTTGCCTTGTAATCGCGAAGGATCAATCTGACGAACCACCTGCTGACGGGGGCGCATTTAGTCCCGGGCCTGCGCCGGATATGGAAGATACAAGTCGTAGTGTCATTGTACATATTGGGTACGATGTCTTGTCCCGAGGTCCTTGTATGAAACATGCCTTGTGACGCATTGATCTACACGTCCAATTGTTATTACCGAAAGATGCTGTAGATCCAATGGCGGAAAGTCGTATGAATCATTTCCCTCCAACCTTGGAAATGTCAGATCTCATTAAGTCAGATATGAAGTAATGTATCTTGAAATAACCTAGCCCTGGAGCCCTGACCACATGGAACAGGGTCCTCGCGGTCGTCAAGTTTAGTATACATGGTGGACTGTGTGCTATTCCCCGATAGCGCCGACAATGACTGCAATGATGATGATTATGGGCGGATCAGTAGGCCGGGGGTTAGCGATGAGTGGAAACTTAAATTACTCACCAACAACAAGTAGGATTCACCATTTTGATCCTTGGCACTCCTAGCAGATACCACAGCTCGCTCCAAGAAGCCATTCCCTTTCTTGGTGTTCTCGAGGACAATTAGTATGTTATCCATCGTCTTTTGGATGAGATGATGTTGTTCCTCCACTATTATTGTGGTTTCTTGAAAAAGCTCGCTCAGAACTTGCAAGCCCTGAGCTATCTTATGAATAGTTCTACACACTCGAAGGCAGGTGTACGAGCCTTCGATGCTTTCTGACTTCGCATGCCTTGGATCTGCCGTGCGTCCGCTATGGATGCCCGCAGCTATATCCAAAACACTGCGGCGTCAATTTGTAGCTTTGAGGAATAAGCTTAGAGGATTGGTCTCTCCCTTCATGTCAATGGTGGTCCTCGCGCTCGCCCCACTTTTTGCGTGTGTTTCACCCATCCACAGTTTCCGCTTCCTGGGCCTCCTCCAATCGCACGGCCGTTGAATATCTCTCTCTGCGTCCCTGATGCGTGCTAGTGATACATTGAGCCAGCTCTCTATTAGGACCTCACAGTAAGATTCAGGAACCGAATCAGGGGCTGCCGAGCGGCCTTAAGCACAACTAATTGAGGCTATGAAATGGCGATGCTATTCTGGAAGTAAGGAATGACTGTACCAAAACAGGGAATATGCTACATAGAGAGCCCTTTTGACTCTTTTCGTCTGATTAAAGCTGTCAGGAAGTAAGTCAGCTCTCTCTTGAAGCCGAAAATAGTATCAAATTATTTCGACAGGCTGCAGCATTTCACACCAGATTCCAAAAGTAAAGGAAACGTGCAGCCTTATAGCTCGGTCGGCGCCATTGTCGTAGGAGAAGTTAAATTTGCTAGCAGTAATTGAGTAACATCCTTCAATAGAGATCTCACATTCTCCGTTCGAATCCTGGAAGCTCAGACCACTAGGACTGACCCTGCAACGAAGCAACTGGCGGAAAAACCCCGTCCCCACAGCCCGGGCCCGCCGATGATTGATTACTAGAATCTCACCAATTCATTACTTCCGTCCCAAAGGACGGGCTATGAACCATGACTGGCTCCCTAAAACGTTGGTCCACTCGACCCATAAACTTCGACAGTAAGTCAATTGCTGCCGAAGCTCAAAGCCCACATATTCTCCGACATCCTATGCCTAAGGTTGTCGCATATGTGGGCGCAGCGGTGAAGCGAACATAGAATAAAGTCTCGCTTGCCTCTCATTTCACTCTCATGGTTTCTATAAACTATCTGGAGACTTGATCATCGTCATGCCTGTTTTCACCGAATATTCCGCGGCGTCGCGGGAGCTACGGGTTTTACCCTCTTTCGCACCCCCTCTCCCGCGTCTCTCGCCAGCACTCCCGTTAGATACAGAGGGAGAGAGATATGAAGTTGTAATTGCGGGTGCTGGACCTGCGGGCCTCATGCTGGAGCTTTTACTTGCGCGCTACGGTTTGACAGATGGATCGCTGCTGTGCGTGGACTCGAAGCCCTCGACTCTGAAGTCCGGCCAGGCAGATGGTCTGCAGCCACGCACCCTGGAGACGCTGAAGTCCCTTGGCTTAGCTGACGAAATTTTGACGGAAGGCTGTCAGATGTGGCAGGTATGTGTAGGCTGTGCAGATGAACTATGTATTCCTTACTGAATACCGGCAGGTCGCGTTCTGGAATCCTTCGTCCGACCCTGAGAAGATCATCGAGCGCACCGCAATTGTACCCGATGTTGCTGTCCCAGCGCGGTATCCGCACGAAGTCACCATTCACCAAGGACGCATCGAACGAATTCTGGAAACAAATCTGCTGCGCTATTCTAAACGGGGTGTCCAGCGCAACTCGAAGCTCGTTGGTGCGAAAATTGACGAACAAGGGGACGCGGAATTCCCGGTTGTGGCAGAGATTGAGACGGAAGGACACCGTCGAATCGTTCGCTCGAAGTATCTTGTCGGAGCGGATGGCGCACACTCTGTCGTTCGACAGTCCATGGGCCTCAAGCTCGAGGGCGAGTCGCTCGATCATATCTGGGGCGTAGTTGACCTGGTGGTCGATACGGACTTCCCTGATATTAGACGGCGCACGGCTATACACTCGCCGGTGGGGTCGGTGATGGTAATTCCGCGCGAGCGCATCGCAACGGGGGATTATCTTACCCGGCTGTATGTGCAGGTGCCTGGTGAGATTGACCCGGAGGCTCAGCAGGATGGAACTAGCGCGCGGGTATCTGCGGGAACAGATGCTCGGACCAGAAGAAGCAAGGTTACAGAGAAGACTATTTTCGAAAACGTGGCCGCGGCTTTTCAACCGTATTACATCCGACCGAAGACAGGAGGTGCGGTAGATTGGTGGGCCGCATATCAAATTGGCCAGCGTGTTACGGATCGCTTTTCTGTTCGAGACTCCAAGGGTGTCAATCGAGTATTTATTGCAGGTGATGGTATGACTTGCAGCTCAACCCGCGATCGAACAGTACTGACGGAATCTCGCAGCTTGCCATACCCACAGTCCAAAGGTAAATGCGGCAGGAAATAATGCCAGGCGTTGAACTAACGCGAGAAACTATAACAGGCTGGTCAAGGAATGAATGTGTCCATGATGGATTCATACAACCTGGCTTGGAAGCTTGCATATTCCATTCACGGATTGACGCCCCCGGGGTCTGCACAAAACCCGGACCCACTACTAGGCACGTATCATACGGAACGCCATACAGTCGCTCAACAGCTCATTGATTTCGACCGAGATTTTTCCTCCATGTTCTCCGGGAAAATCGGCGTTGCAGAGGATGGCGCTAGCGGACTGACGCACGAGGAATTCCTCAATGTATTTAGCCAAGGCAACGGCTTTACCAGCGGCTGCGGGATAGAATATCCTGAAAATTTAGCAGTTGTGAGGGAGTTGGGCGCCAATACCAATCCCATCAGCGGGACAGACTATCTATCTGGGATATTGCGACCGGGGAGGAGGTTGTTAAACGTTCGCGCTATTAGGCATGCAGATGGCTATAGGCGCGACTTGCAAGATGGTCGGTATTCCTCTTCCCTACTCAAAAGATGTCTTGTCAGACTAATAATTTGGAAGACTTTTTGTCCACTGGCAGGTTCCGTATACTCTGCTTGACTTCACAAGATCTACTCAATTCTCAAGGTGTATCCGCCCAAACACTGCGCAGTCTCGGTTCAGTCATACAACAATTCCCGCCTGTGATCGAGCAGATCGTCGTTCACCCAAAGCTAGAGAAAGATTTCATGTGGCATGATATCCCGCATGAAGTCAAGCAACACTCAGAGATGTCTTTCTATAGCGGATACGAGCTGGACGATGTGTACGGCATTTTCGGGGTTAATCCAACTGAAGGCGCATTAGCTGCGGTTCGCCCCGATGGCTATGTGGGAGTAACAGCGGCTTTGCATGATGTTTCTCGGGTCCAGGAATATCTCGAAAGGCTTATCCGAAAGTTGTAAATCAGATAATAGACAGTTGGGGGGAGACAGCATCGATATTGTGGTCGTGGTCGGTTTTATCTAAATTCCCGGAATTCCGCGAAGCCGCGGCGCCACAATAAGGATTGACCGAGGCCAACTTACCCCGACCTCCAGCAAAGTGAGTTCATACGCTTATCATTCACCGCGATATCTCCGCCAGGTTTGGGGAATAAATATAGCCGGCCACTTTTGAATGACCGCCCGAACTTCACGCTCCCCTCAGGTCTTTCTTCTGTCGTTGGAGAGAGTGAATATAGAAAGACTGTTAACCGTGCCTCACCATGAGCTTTCCCCGCTCCTCAGAGCATCAGACCTCGGATAATAGCCAGGCGCATACAGAAGCAGAAGGCGCATTGCAGACTGGTCAGTCGACAAGAATAACTCTAAATGCAACTGCCAATGATGCCAAGGCATCCGATACAGATCTGGAAGCTGCCAAGGCCTGTCCCTCAACCCTCGTTCCAGCTTTGCAAGAGAAACCGGCCACAGCCACAGACCCGAACTTGGTATTATTTTTTTTTCCTGATTCTCCCTTTGCGATGAGCCTAAATTACTGACCTTCCCCTGGCAGGTTGACTGGGATGGTCCAGATGATCCAGAAAACCCCCGAAACTGGTCAATAAAGCGCAAATGGACCGCAACCATCCTTGTGTCTTGCTTCACGTTCATCTCCCCAGTGTCGTCAACTTTTGTCGCACCAGCACTGAGCAACATTGGTGACGATCTAGGAATCACTACAGAAGTTGTCCTTGAGCTCTGTCTATCAATCTTTGTGCTTGCCTATGCTTTGGGTCCATTAGTGGTAGGGCCCCTATCCGAGATCTATGGCCGCAAAATCATCCTGCAGACAACCAACCTATGGTATATTGTCTTCAATGTGGCTTGTGGTGTAGCCCAGACAACCGGCCAAATGATCGCTTTTCGTTTTCTAGCTGGCCTTGGAGGAGGTGCGCCTCAAGCTGTAAGTCACGTCGATCGCTACATGAGCCGGGTACTAAACCATTGTAGATCGGTGGCGCGACACTGAGCGACTGCTTCCGGCCAGAAGAGAGGCAAAGCCATGGCGATATACAGCCTGGCCCCGCTTCTCGGTCCCGCTCTCGGCCCCATCGCCGGGGGCTTTGTGGCGGAACGAACCACATGGAGATGGGTGTTCTACTCAACTACCATCGCGGCCGGTGCCATTCAGCTTGCTGCCTTCTTTTTGCTCCCCGAAACCTATGCACCCATCATTCTCCAGAGGCGAGCCCGGAAACTCAGGAAGGAAACAGGCAACATGTCCCTCCAGACGGAGGTCGAACGCCAGAACAAGAAAATTACCCAAGTCCTCCGCGTGGCACTTATCCGCCCGTTGAAGCTACTTTTTACGCAACCGATTGTGCAAATTATTGCTTTGTACATGGCGTACGCCTACGGACTCATGTACTTGATGCTTGCCACATTCCCGACTCTCTGGGCGAGCCCAGACTACTACGACGAGTCGAAAGGAATCGCAGGTCTCAACTATATATCCCTCGGCATTGGGTTCATCGCGGGAACTCAGGTATGTGCCCGCATGCTGGACCGATTCTACCGACTGCTGAAAGCACGAAACAACGAAGCTGGCCGACCAGAGTTTCGGCTTCCGATGCTTGCAGTTGGGGCCTTTTGTACACCCGCTGGTCTTTTCATCTATGGCTGGACCGCGCAGACACACCAGCACTGGATCGCGCCGAATATTGGAGCCTGTATCTTTGGTATTGGATGTATGATTACTATGCAGTGCCTGCAGATATATACCGTGGATACTTATACGCGTTTCTCGGCGAGTGCCCTCGCTGCTATTGTGCTGCTTCGTTCGCTTGCTGGGTTCAGCTTCCCGCTGTTTGCACCATATCTATTCCAAGCGCTGAAGTACGGATGGGGGAATAGCGTTCTGGCCTTTATCGCGATTGGAATTGGGGTTCCGGCTCCTGCGTTACTCTGGGTTTATGGGCAGAGATTAAGAGCTGCGAGTCCTTTCGCAGCAGGATGAGAATCAATGTTGCAAGGTTCTCGGCAGAGCAAGTGTAGATATCAAAGATTGGTATTGTGTGTTTTCCAAGTTGAAGAGGGAAGTGTCGTATAACTCAAACCAGACATGTCACAGAAAACAAAACCGTCGCTCTGAAGCCTCCTCATGCAATTAATTATCAACCACCTTCGAGTTCCCATCCGTAAAACGCCTTACCGCCCTCGTGCTAGTAAGACTGATTCTAATACTTTTCATCAAACTGCACCTCAGGGACATCAGGTCTTGTCCTGTCCACTCGGCCGTATTGCTTCGCCAACTTCCCCCGCCGGGCATCGATGACTGGGTGGACATTTTCCCACTCTCCGTCCGTTTCTTGCCCATTCTCGCTAAGCTTCTTGACTCTTGTCACAGTCGATGCTATATCACTGTCAGTCAGGTGATTCGCTTGTCATACTGTGACAGCAGCAGAACTCACGAAGTCCATAGAGCTCCGAGTCAACATATATATTCTCCCAGTTGTTCTGGGTAGATGCATACAGCTCATGGCCGATGGTGATATAGCCGTAGTTCTTTCCCGTTGATGCCCACCACCTCCAGGCTTCTGCGTGGAGGGGCCCGTGGGCGAACTTGTGGACGTCTTCGAGACTGCGGAAGTACATCAGGTTGACGAGATGGTTCTTGGAGGTGCTTTCCTCGGCGCCGAGGAGGGCCTTGGATCCGAGGACTAGTCTTGTCAAAAATAGAACGCATAGAACTGGTTGGCATGGTATGCTTACATCCGTGCTCATGGGGGTTCTTGTTTAGCTCTTTGAACATTTCTCTCGCGAGCCTGCTGATGTCCTTGAATCCCTCTGAGAAGATTCCAAGCGGGCTGGTTGGACAATTAGTCCGTCGTTCATTGTTCACCTAGCTGATGTACTCACTGGTTCCCGCGGACTATAAGTAAGAAGCATACCACCGTCTCGTTTGATGGCTTGCTGCTGAAGACGCCCTCTCTGCTTGGTATCTGACCCGTGAATTTCCCTTTCACAATTTTATCCATGAAACGGTTGCGTGTGTAGCCCTTGTGCATCAGGAAGATATCAAGCACTTGGTATGCGAATATGAAGATGGCTGGAAGAACAGCGTAGACTTTGGGGATCAGGAGCACGGCAGCGCTTTGCGCTACGGCTCCGATCAGAATCCATGTGGTAAGAGGCAATTGGTCTCTTAGAAGCTATGAAACTGATTAGTCTGGGACATCAGCTCGGGATACGAAGCTCTCTCACATTACGTCCCAAGGTTCGACCCGACTCTGGCGAGCCTAGTGGGTTTCGCTGGCCAAGAGACGGCAGCATTGGACGAAGAGGCTTTGGACTGGACATGTTGATTTTTGCACTCGAGCTTGACGCGAAAATGAAATTTTATCCGCTCTATATCTTTGGATGGATGTAATTTGTTTGATAGCGACTCAAGAAATGCCGAAGCTCTGCACTATTTATCGCCTGAGCCTCCATGGTATCCAGTACCCCGCGATCGGGCAGTCTACCGGTCCGTCGGGGGCATCCGTAGCGCCATACCGGGGCTGACTGGAAGCTTGAAAAATTACGATTTCTGGAACTGCCCTGCCTTGAGCAACTTAGGCCAGGAGTAAGATCAAAGTGCAAACCGGCGGTTGGTCCGGTCCCACCGGACACGGACACGGAGTTAGCCACATCGTGTCCGACAACAATGGGCCCGCAATTAAGGGGTTTCCTGAATGAGGTCATGCCCTTGCCATTGATTAATTGTTTATGGGCTGACGGATGACAGGCAATCCTCCGAGGTCCGTTGGCTCTACCTGGTACGGGTTCCATGTACTCTGCACGCTACGTTTGAACGTGATTACTGCACACACTCCACCGGGGACTCTCCACCGGCCATAGGCCGTACGGGCGGGCCAGTTGATCTTTTATGATTTTTACCAGTCGCCAGCGTACGTGCGACGAGGATGGTCTCAGGTGCCACCTGGTGTTCTGTAGGCGTCAGTTTCCGAAGTTTTGTCTGCCACCCGTGCATTCAGGCGACTACTTCGGCGAATCTATACTAACGTCTCAAAAGGCCTGTCGGGATAGTAAAATTTCATTAAAGACCAAGGGCGCAGTATAAGCCATATCAGTAGCGTTTTGTCGTTAGGTCCTCGAGTATCCAGCTTGCAATGCTCTTTTACCTGGCGGGTACCACAGGAGATCCAAGATTACCATCCACAGCTGAAAGAACCCCAAGAATCCGCTAACCCAATTGGCCTGGCTATTTTACAAGCCAGTCCTAGGATCCTTGGAGTTTTCAAATCATGCAACGCAGGTGGTAGCATGCCAACCTGGACAAATTCAGACGGCCCCCTCGCCAGCACATCAGATCGAGCGGATGTGTCAGCAAATCGAATCGCCCCCAGGGTCCATGTAACCACACCCACGTCGACACACTCATACACGCAGGGGCTGACGGTCGGCTCTCAAGCCACCATGGGCTGGTGGTACCATATCGTCACGCTTGAGCCCGAGGCCGAAGTCGACCGGCGGAATCTGATCAATCGATACGGACTCTATTCCCAGTTGTCCGTGCTGATCCCGATTGCCGCTTATCAGATCTACCGGCTGGCGTTGTGGCTGCGGGCCCGGAAACAGAGGGCCGATGTCGCATACTCAGTTGTGGGAGAGCCACCAGCTACTCCGCAGTCAAGCCATGCGTCGTTGACGGCCCTACAGGCTCGCTGGAGGGCTGCGCAATGGTGGCTGGATGGTGAACTGGCGCCTGATTGGGGACTCAGGAAGCGGTGGATTGTTGGAGGTGTCTGGACTTTGTGGATGACGATTCTCTGCTTTAGCCAAACAGGCCACGGTACGCATTCCTGTATTACTGTTAGAAATGGACAATAGCTAATATCTCTCTGCGACAGACTATCTTCATCTAGCGAAGCGGATTGGACGAGTTGCGGCAGCGCAGTTGCCATTCCACTATTTGCTCTCGATCCGAACCCGCTATTCACCGCTGACAGCCCTTTTCGGGACGTCACATGAGAATTTGATTCATTGGCATCAAGTCTGCGGTCGCATTATCATGATGTTCTTCATCGCCCATGGTGTGCTGTATTTCAATTATTACATCCAGACGGGGGGAGTTGCTTACGCGCCTTCGGTCCAGGCATGCAATTACAGGACTGATGGCGATTGGCCTCATGTCCATTCTGATGAGCACAAGCATCCAGCTTGTCCGCCGGTGGAGCTACCGCGTCTTCTTTCTCTTCCACCTTGTCATCGGCCTGGTCGTACTTCCGATCCTCTTTTTCCACGCGAAGCCACTCGCCATTTACACCAGTGAGGCTCTAGCAATCTTCATCGTGGACAGAGTGCTCCGACGATTGGCTACTATCATCGAGCCTGCGACGATCACGCGCATTCCTCATACCGATCTCTTGAAGGTGCAGATTTCTATTCCTGAATCCAGACTGGCGCGCTACCAAGGGAGCTACGCCCAGCATGTCTTCGTAGGATTTCCATCTGACCGAAGATTCGGAGAAGTGAATCGTCTCTTGTCGAACCCATTCACTATTGCCGACGTGTCGAATGGCGAGCTGACCCTCATTCTTCGAGCCGGTCGCGGGCCTACCACGCAGACTCTGTGGTCTCACGCAGACAAATACATATCCAAGCTGATGGTGTCGCTCGAGGGCCCATACAGCATCAAAGAGTCGATCGTGGCGCGTGCGCTCGAGCACGATCGGATCTTGCTCGTCGCTGGCGGTATTGGAGCTACGTTTATGATTCCCATATACCAAGCCTTGGTAGAGCATCTGGAAGGGCAAGACAGCGGGCTTGAGCGGCTCAATTTCACATGGGCGCTGAGGTCTGCCGCAGAAGGCGAATGGGCAGCAGATATAGGAGGAATCTTCCGTGAGAATGCTCCTATTCAGGTCTATCTCACGCGACAGGGCCAGCCGTTCATTCAGGAACAGCTATCCGATTCTGCACCTTTGGCCGAGAATATGGAGATGGGTGATTTCGAGCCATCTGAAGCGGGGATGATTGGTGGAGTCAAAGCGGCAATAGGCCGGCCAGATCTCCGAAAAATTGTTGATGATATGTTCGGACATCATGCGCATGAGCGCATCGCGGTCCTTTTTTGTGGGCCGCAAGAGATGGCTCGTGATCTACGACTGTCAATGAGCCCCTGGGTTGATCAAGGACGGACTGTTTTCTGGCATCAGGAGAGTTTTGGGTGGTAATCAGGCTGAGGCTATTTAACATAGCATACATAGACGAGTATTTTAATGAAATTTGTCCCGATTGAGATGCCTTGCCCAGCAGCCTTATACGCGCCCTCTAGCCTAGGCTAGGGTCAACGTCCAGAAGCCCCGTACAACAGCTGCATGCGGGACTACAAAGGACCTTCCATAGCTACAAGTTGCTCGTACAATAAGGCGGCACCAATATCATGGAGAGCTCTGGCTTCCTTACCGAGCAATGTCAAGCGTGGGATCTTACTACAAGGCTTCCTGCGCAATTGATGGAAGATTACTTGTCTCTGGCGTTAGATCAACATCGACATATCTACGAGGAATCATCCCTGATATCCCGGACCGAATGCAACCGCATAAGGCGGCGTATGCAGACCATTGCACGCAAAATGTCATTAGATGCGGGGAACGAGGATTTCAGATACAATAGGGGAATAGCTGTAATCCAGATCATCGCATTCTCGGCGCCCCTACTAGCCGCCATCTACTTCTACCACATTCTACAGATAGGATGGCTTTTGCACCGGTGTATTCTCCGTCTTATGACTTGTCAGCGCTACTTGCAGGCTTGCTGTCATAAATCATGAACCATATGGCCTATGGGGAGTCGTCTTTGTGTGAGTTGCTAGGGTTGATCTATATTAAATTCTTGCTAGTAGAGATGCTCGAGAGAATATAAGTCACTTCCAGCCCGACCTTGCAAACCAAATCTGAAAAGCTAATGACATTGATTGACAGTACCAAAGTCATGATTGTTTGAGAACCGATGATTCTCCCCTCTCCGTTCACCTGGATCGATCTCGCCGTGTCTATCGCAGGATGGGTCGTTTTCGTTGTTGACCACGCTGACAACTCCTGGGCGCCTACTCCATACAGTCAAGCGAGCATGCTGCTGATAGCCACGATATATGTCTATCCCATTGTGTCGTTATTTTCTGGTCTGAGCGGGAGAAACACCCCGGAGAGGAACGAGGGGGGCTTTGACGGCGGTCACTATTTGCATTCGCTTGTTGGAAATTCGTTGGCGTTTTGTTGGCGTCCTTATTGATATTTATCACCACAGGTAATATGGATTCCAATGCGAGCAAGGTGAACAGAACCGCTCAGTTGATCATGGTGGTGCTTCCTGAGACCGGGATCATCCTTTTGCAGAAAGAGAAATATGCAGCACCGCAGCTGGCTGACGGGTAGAGCTTCGATTCAGTGGAGCGAGGAACTGTTACGGCGAGGTAGATGTCGCCTATTCAGGGCCATGTTATTGTTTAGTGAGCGGATGTTGTTCATAGCATAAGTCAAGTTGTCATCCATGGATGGACCCTTTTTGTTTCCACAGGCGCGTATCTGCGTTGGTTTGATGGGCGAAGGTGCAGCTTGGGGTCTTCAGTGACACAGACCGTATGTCAAAGCTTCATGGTGTTCATAGGGCTCATAGCTCGATCAATCGCAAGATAGGCACTGCTCTAGATTCGAATTTCCCGGGCACGCTCCCTTGAAGGAATGTCTGCATAAAGAAGAATAGAGTGTGCTAGTCGTGGCTCAAGGTCAAATAGATTTGTCCTGACACAGGCCCTGATCAAGGTGGGCATATGATGCTGGTCCGGAAAGAGCAGATGGTTGGGCCACTGCGAGAGGAAGCTGGCGTGCCGCGGTGTGCGAGGGAGGGCTAGTAGAATGGTGTGGAAGAAGTCCTTGGTAGGCGCGTCGCAACAGCAGGTCGAAAGACTTTAAGAGTATCGGTCGTCATGACCCTAGCCCGATCTGGATTTGTCCTGACACATGCCCTATTTAAAGGACATGTGACGCCTGTCCAGAAAGGGCGTTGGATTAGACCAAGGTAATCATAATAGAGCACGTTGTTTGAAGATGGTTTGATTGCACTGTGGTGCAAGTGTGGTGGAAGTGCGGTGGGTGCACCATGTGGAAGAAGTCGTTGGTAGACGCGTCGCAATAGCAGGTCGGAAGACTTCAAGGCTACCGGTCGTCATGACCCTAGCCCAATCTGGATTTGTCCTGACACATGCTCTAGTTAAAGGACATGTGACGCCTGTCCAGAAAGGGCGTTGGATTAGACCAAGGTAACCAAGATAATCCGGGTCGAAATGCTTTAAGACTACCGGTCGTCATGACCCTAGCCCAATCTGGATTTGTCCTGACACATGCCCTGGTTAAAGAACACGTGATGCCTGTCCAGAAAGGGCGTTGGATTAGACCAAGGTAATCCTAATAGAGGACGTTGTTTGAAGATTGTTCCGTTGCACTGTGGTGGGAGTGTGGTGGAAGTGTGGTGGGTGCACCATGTGAGGGAAGTTGTCAACGTGAGACGCGTCTAGGGACGCGTCGCGTGAGGTAAATAGCAGGCTAGACCGAGCTGAGAGGAAGCCGGTAGAGTGAGTTGTAATAGTAGGCCCAACAAGAACAACAAACTTGAAGATGGAAAGAAGAGAAAGGTTGGGGATGGAGGGGGATGGAGGGGGATTAAATATCCCACAGCTCCGTTTGTCCACTCCCCCAATCTGACTCGCTTGGACTAGCTTATACTCGTTTGTACGGCTCGCTTAACTGCCCAGCCAATAAGCAGTCGATCTCTATAGTCTAGAGCATCTGATTGGTTTCACCCCGTGACCACTCACGAGTTGTTGCTCACCATAACGCCCCTGGATCGTTTGTTGCGCGTAAACAACTGGCTCCAAAGACTGATGGAGCATACACAAATTTGCTGCTTATGTAGCTAGTTCTGGGGATATCATCTCAGTAAAAGATGAATGATAATTGTTCTTTAGGACTTGTAGGTAATCTTTTGTGAAGCACAACTTGACTAAAACCTTCTTATTGTATATGACCTTCGGCACCTCCATTTCCTTTATGGCGAGGGACTAGAGCAACAAAAAAAAGAAAGAAGATTGACAAAGAGCTACACCATAATCGTAGAGCTGGTCTAGCCCGATGTATCCTCAATGACAATGATAGAAGGAAGTCGGCAGCATTCTTCGAGCACAAGTCCTTTATATGGGGCTTTCTATACTTGGGAGACAATGGATACAACGCTTCTAACAACTCGCTGATGAACAATTCTTCTCCAACAAAATACTCTAATTCGAGGTTATACTAGTAGTTTCCACTAGAATTGCTAATAAAAGCCTGCACCTCAGAGGCTATAAAGCAGGTGAATCAAAGGAAGTCAGGGGCAGAGCGGACCACTACGCGGTTACCAAAGCGGTTAAACCCAACTTATAATCCGCCACCTGTAGAGGAAAAAAATTCATCGTCGAAGAAATTCGGTTCCTGGAGTAGATTTACCCTACTATTTTTTGGGATCACGGGGCTCCTTCGTCTCAGAGCTTCTGGAAAGAAGATGACAAACTTTCGTATTAATTAACTATTGAGAGATAATGTGGAAAATCTTGGCTTCGTCCCAGTAAGTTATCTGATATACTTCTTATAAGTCGCAAATTCCATTGTCACTTCATGTTCATTCTTGGCGCGAAGCCTCGGAAACTCTGACCGGATTTCCTGGATTATGAGATCTGACTATGATGTGCCAAGGTTCCTCGCCATGCTGAGTCTTGGTAGTGACATTTCTTCCGCTCCTTCCATGCATCCTTTTATCGGCTCTCTTTCGAGACACGAACGAGCTTATCCTATCCCAGGCCTCTGGTGATATGACGGCACCGGTGAAATATTGTCCTGTCGTTGAATTGATATTGATTATCGGGGCTGTTCAAGACAGTGTCCTACATATAAATTGCCCCAGTCTGGCGGATTTCTGTGGCGTCCTTAAGATTTGATCCAGCATAAGATGGCTCCTGTTTGGAAAAGTAGGTTGTATCAAGTGCTTTCGAACAACATTCAGGCTGTGGAATGCAAAAAACATATCCAGTCTACAGAATTGTGAGCTTTTCTGAGCATATTTTGAATTTGTATAATATGACTTCTGTGCACTCGTTTTGAAAAGCTCTCCGGTCCTGGTGTAATAGTAATGCTAGCCCAAACAATTCAATATCTTTTTGACACCCCTGACACTTTATCCCATCCAATAGACTTGTGGCGTCTGTAGCTAGCAGTGACTCTACGGCTGGCCTGTTCGATGAGCCGGGCAATTGTAGTCGCGCTTGGTCGAGCTGGCTTGAGGCAGTAGAGTCAAGGGCTTGCACAAGCTGCCTCGTTTCTCAGCCGAAACACACCATTGAACATGGTCGTGGGTAGGGTCCTATCAAACGCAATTTTCTTGATTTTCCTCTTCACAGTTCAATAATTTTATTAGCATTTTCTTCCTGTCCCAGCATATTGTAGCGCTGGCATGAAAGTGGCGAGGCAAGTTGTCCAAAAATATGGAGAAGGTAGCCCACTTGGAGTTCTAAATCCTCCGTTGATGCTACCCACTCACCTGAGATAGCCACTAACTCACGTGGGATTTCAGCGAGAGCATATCGGGTAGCATTCCACCATGCAATGGTTCTCCCCCGGATAATAAAGGCTAAGTTCCCAATCTCTGTTATCACGCCTGATAATCTCCTCAGTCCGCTCTTCGGTACAAGGACCTACCGAAGAAAGGAACAAACAGATGGTCACTAGTAAATATTGGTTCATTGTGTATGACCCTATTAAAGTATAAGACCGAGAAACAAAACTAGAATTGAGCTTTCTCACCTGGTAATTCATAGCCAGGATCACTGCTGAGAAATTCCGATTGTGGGAGTCTGCTCAAATCTGACTTTGTGCTTGTGTCGACTGGTTAGGAGGGCTGTACTCTAATTTCAAGCGACTTGTTACGGGTTTGTGAGTCGCCTGTGCCTTCCTATTGATCTCGAGGATCGCCCTTGTTTCGCACTGGAAACGACACATGCTTTCGATTCCGCATTCTATGCATGTTGCACAAGGAGATTCGCTGCCAATGCAACGAATTTTCCTCGTTCGATAGGGCAGGCATGCTGTGGACATTCTCATAGTGCAGATGTCTGTGTTGCTGTATTTCGGGGAATTTTCGAAGGTTGTGAAGTAGCGTTAGAATTGATGGGCAACCTTCGAAGGACATATATGGTACCAAGGAGCGGGACAGTCAGTGCACTAATAAATGCCAAATCCTTTGTAACTGTAATCTGTTTGGACCAAAATATTCCTTCGCTGGATTATTGATCTTTGTGGTAACGTATGTGCTTCTAGAACTGGATAGCAAATCAGAATTCCTTTAAGTGGATTCGACCTTCCACTAAGCCAAAGTTAGGCGTTTTAGTGGAGTAGCACTTTCTATGAAATTATGATCCAAATCATAATACGAGATTCCAATTTTACCTTAATTTATAATTTGATCGTACCGGAGACAGTACTCAAGCCAGAGCTAGATTATTGGGCTTGATAATTTTGAACTATCGGCAATATATCGGACATCAATTATGCCATCAAGGCAATCACAACGTAAGACTTATAATATTTTGAGGTAAATATTATTAACAATTTGGGAATGGTCAATGTAAGAAAATTGGAGTGTACCGAGCATTCTGAGGGTGAATTGGCAAAGTAATCGCTATACAAGAGCAGTCCAATAAATAGTGAAAAGCTACGTCGTAATAGTTCATGGAATTTCATTCTGTTCAAAACTAAACTAATTTTAGGCCGGTCTCCCTCAGCAGAGTCTCTAATGCCACAGGTGTGAAATGCTTTCCAGGTGCATCTGTGAACTGCTGGAAGCTATCACCAGCAGGCAGTGAGCGTAAAAATTCCACAACGCTGACATGGCGGTTCATTTGAGCCCAATCAATAGCCGTTAGACCAGAAGGATCCTTAGTATAGGGCCATGCACCTCCATCAACCAAAACCTTGACGGAATCAAGTAATCCTTTCCCAGCAGCGTAATGAAGAGGGGTTGCTATCCCGCTGTACATATGAAAAAAGTACTCATCTCCACAGTCTTGATACATGATATTGTTTACCGGGATGCCTTTTGCGATCAGATAACGAAGGATTTCCTGCCGATCATCTAGTTCTCGCATTGCGGCATAATGCATCACTTGGCCCTGCTGTAGGGGAAGCACCATGTTCGAGAAGAACTTGGATTACTTCAAAATCCGCCTCCAGAAAAGCAATAGAAAGTGGCGTGCAATCTTTGTTTCTATCACATCGTCGGTTAGGATCTGCTCCATTGGCCAGGAACCATCTAGTTAAATATATGTCATGGAAGGACGATCTGCAAAATAATATATTAATACATTTCCAGTACCAAGGAAAGAATACTCACGCAATGGCCGGAGGGTTGTTTGTGTCAATCGGCGTGTTGATATCGAACCCATGATTAAGGAATGATTCCAAAACCCGGTATGACGTGTTTTTGGTAGCCTCCTGAAAAAGGAACGGGCGCATAGGAACTTTCTGGTCAAGAAGGTAATCTATGACTCTGAAGGAGTCATTTCGAATTGCCTCGTGAAGAATGGGGATGGTTTCCGCCTCGAATGTTTTATTATCAATCAAGCTTGGTTGCACTTGAGTGAAAATAGAAATGAATTCTTCAATATTGTCAACAGAAGCAACTTCTCGAAGAAGGACCATCTGGTGGAGTTCGTCAAGGTCCATTTTGGAGTGCATCTGTGAAGTAAAGGGAGGATTCATCTGAGGAGGCAAACATGGGGTTTAAATGATCAATCCCATGACCAATTTCGGCTCGGAAAAATGTTGTCCCATTAAGTGCTACCCTGTGAGGATGTTGTTTTTTTTATGATTTATAGCGATATCTTTTATATTTCGCACAAATAGTCATGTATGTCTTCTAGGGCCTATTGGAATTGTATTTCACAGTAGGAGAATAGTAATTACTACTCAAATCCGGAGCACTGCGGTTTGGCATTCTACAACAAACCATTTGGGCCATGAACGGAAGCAGACCATTTTTGAATTTGAGGTTGGCGGAGCTGTATTGATAAAAAAGGATTGGAATCAGTCTTTAGATACACAAGTAATGACATCAGGCGATGTCATTATTTACATCTTAGATTACCAGTAGCTGATCTTCAACATAAACAGCAACAGCCCCAGAACTTGAGTCAATCAAAACAGTACCCGAACCTGGTCTCCGCATGACGCTGAAATTCACATCGTATAACTTCAAATACGGCTCACTGAGGCATTGCCCCCTAATGATTGCGGTGATTCGTCGTATATGGTGATCCATTGCAGGCTGCCCGTTCGTGGAACCGCCAACGATGAGAGACGTTGCCCCTGGCGGAAAGAGAGACTTATTGGCTTGGTACAGTGAGACAAAATTTGCCATGATGGTCTCTACATGGAGTAGCCCGGCTTGTGGGTCGGAAGTTGGATAAGGAATCGGGGAAATGTGTGCAAGGATTGCTCCGTAGTTGGACCAAAGACCAACTGCGGTACAGCCGTTGAGGTTTTGTGTTCCAATGGCTCGGGACCCGGACCCACTCCTGAATGAAATGCAAGATACCCCGTTCATAAGGACTTCGTGGGTATACCCCGAATGTAAGGCTTGCTGGAAATGGGAGGTCATGTCGAGCACGAGATAAGGTAGAAAGCATAAGTATAAAAGAATACTCTGGGCTGGGGTATGTTGGCTTTTTATAATTATCTAAAGCTGGGGTTTCTTTTGTATGATGGATGGGCAATTTTAAACTGGAATACTATTATGAGAGCATGATCAGGTTGATGCAGTGTAACAAATAGTACTGATAGACAAATTAGGCATATCGGTATGTAGTCTAGAGAAAGCAGTAGATGCTTTTTTGTATCAATTGGTAATGATTTCAAACTACGTGATTATCTTATAGCGACTGTATAATTTGTCGCTCAATTAGGCCTAGCTGATATTAGAGCTCTGATACTATTCCGAATTTAGCGATAACTTGAGGGTTGACAAGTTATCGCTGAATCAAGCCTAACTTGTTAACTAACGCTAACAGCCTTACTACTAGTCCTAATCCAGCGATAACTTGGGGGTTGACAAGTTATCGCTGAATCAAGCCTAGCTTCTCAACGCTAACAGCCTTGCTACTAGTCGGAATCCAGCGATAACTGGTCAATCCTCAAGTTATCGCTAAATTTGGTCGTGATACTGCGTAATGTCGTGACTTGGGTCCCTGGTTTGGCTCGAAATTTTGGTTGAAATTGAACCTCTGAACACAGTGGGCGGGAAGCACGTTAAAGTATTTCGAGGACCAGCCTCGGTTCGGAGTGGACGTGCTCCACCGAAACAACACTAGGATTTTCAGGTTTGGCGAGTAGTTTTACAATATTTACGGTAAAGGGCCCTCGACAAAGAGACATATCCGCTCAAGCTCAGCCAAAGTGCCTTGCTCAGCGACTAAGCCTTTACTGCTCATGACAATGACTTGGTCGGTATAAGAGAGCCTATGTACTGCATGTGTGGCAAGCAGTATAGTGGTCTCTAACTGTCGGAAAATTCTGTTATTGGAACGGCCCCACGCGTACATAGTCACCATGTTCTACATGCAGTTTGCATAACGTCTCTTCCGCATGTCCATGAGCTACGTCAATGAACCTCCAGAGATTCGAAAACTTTGCCCAAAATGGACCAGGGATAGAAGGGCGAATATGCGCTTTTCTGTTCTAGTATCGAGGCTGGAGAAGATATTATCTAGCAGAATAAACTCTTTACAGGAGTAGACTACTCGAGTAAGGGCTAGTTGTTGTTTCTGGTTACTAGAAAGCGAGATTTCTGCGGACCTAATTTAGATATCAATAGAATATTAGGCTTAAAAAATTATCTTAAAAGGTATAATGATAATGATCCTTATAATTGCTATTTGGTAACATAGAAAGATCTTGATCTAAAATGCAAACTCTCACCATCTCATCATACCAAGATTAGTTATGAACAAAAACACCAAGGATATTTTCTCGAAGCGTGGTATTACGGACCCACGGAGTCTGATCTACATAGGCTGCTTCTAGGCAATTAGAGTAGAGGAAGCCTTTTGTCGATGGGGTTTCTCCAGTGCTTCTGCCGCACCCTGTTGGGCCGATGACGATGCATATTTGACCTTTTTTCGGGCGGAGATACCACCGTGTACCCACCAACTAATTTCAATTTATGGAAAGCCTGCCAACTAAAGCCTCGGCTGAAGATATAGTACGTCGTGGCTAGAAAGTGTTCTTCAGGATGGTCATGTGGTCATGTGACGTTGTGCCCAACCTCAAATGCTGCCCCTCCAACCCCACAGAACAGAAATATCTGATATCCTACGCCAACAACCGAATATACCTGAGTATGTTCAATATCTCTATGTTTTGAAATACAGTCAGCTGATTCACCTGTTGGTCTGCAGGGACCGACCCATCTCGCGTCACCGCTACGCTAATGAACCTTCAAGAATTACCTTCTGCTGCGAAGGATATTCGCAATGAGATCAAGGCAATGATCCCGGAGTCTTCGTCCAGCAAATCCTCTAATTTTCAAGAAGAAGTCACCCAGGATGAGGCAGGGAATAAAACATACAAAGGGGTTGTCTTTGATGAGAAGATGGCTCGACTACAAGAACAAATGGGGATTAACAAGGTAAGGCATGGCTATTGCATATTTCTTGGAACTCGACTGAATATCGTTCAGAAATGTGAAAGACACCTGGTCTACTTTTCGAAAGCAACCAGGCTGGACACGAGCGAGACAGAGGGATATCTTATACCCTTGTCTGACAATGTCAAGATAGCACCCTTGTCTGACAATGCCAAGACAGGACCCGGCGGGGAGTTGCAGGGAGGTCCTTATATTAATGTGAGGGGAGGCTATTATATCCATGTCTCTAATAAGGCGATTTTAAGCTCAGGGGCAGCGATACTTCTTGTAGTCTCAGAAGGCTAGAGTATCTTCATGCTCAGAATCCTTCCATTGTTATTTACTTCGCATTAGACGAACAGAGAAAAGAAAAAAAAGATTATAAAATTAATTCAAACAATCAAGACCCTTTTGCATTCGAAGTCTATTGACATCAATATACTTATCTCAGCTGCCTTATCAAAGGAAGAAATTCTATGATACTTCATGGGCCTGAGATAGCTCCCTATTGAATGCCCTATTTGAGGGACCGGGGGATGGAGCTAGCAGAGGTTCATTGGACAGTATTCTTTGTGCAGTCACTGGAGGCATATCCGTTTGATGATGACTCGGGTGAGGGTTGGATAGGGGAAATATGCCCAAATCTGAAATCAAATGACTGAGGCACATTGAATAACTCAGAGATGTCGTCGAGTCCATTCCCAGAGGATTGGCGCACATTGGGTTCATGCAACTCTGACTGACGCGACTCGTAAGGCTGAATCTGGGAAATATGCCCGAATCTAAAATCAAATGACTGAGGCACATTGAATAACTCAGAGATGCCGTCGAGTCCATTCCCAGAGGACTGAGGCACATTGGGCTCATGTAACTCTGATTGACGCGACTCGGAATGCTGAATCGGGAAAATATGCCCGAACCTAAAATCAAATGACTGGGGCACATTGAATAACTCAGAGATGTCGTCGAGTCCATTCCCAGAGGATTGGCGCACATTGGGTTCATGCAACTCTGACTGACGCGACTCGGAAGGCTGAATCTGGGAAATATGCCCGAATCTAAAATCAAATGACTGAGGCACATTGAATAACTCAGAGATATCGTCGAGTCCATTCCCAGAGGATTGAGGCACATTGAGCTGAAATAACTCAGAGATACCCTCGAGTCCATTCCCAAAGGATTGATGCGACTCTGGTTGATTCGACTCCGGGGAATGTTGGATTGGGGTGATGTGTCCAAATGTCTTGTCAAAGGACTGAATAGACGATGATCCTGGGGTATCTGGCTGCAGTGATTGCAATGGAGAACCATGATATAGATGCCGATAAGGGGATGAATGTGAGGTATTTGGCAGGGGTGTATTGTTGTGCGAGCATATGCTGCGCTCGCGTCTATTATTCGAATTAAGATTCTGTGAGCTGTTGGTAAGGGTTAGAGAATTCACCAAGTTCCCAAAACTAGGTAAAGGTTCTGATGAGGTATTCAGCGGACGAGTCAGTTGCCAGGTTTCACCTTCTAGTACGCCCCGTGCCTTTTTGGATGCACGTATAGCAGGTTGAAGTTTCTCCCATACTGTGTTTACAACTCCTTCCACCGCCGGGGTAAAGACAACAAACAGATTACCATCTATATCTTTTCGTATTTGGTTTGTATAATCCTCCCAGTATGGCCTTTTACTCGTGTGGACATCGATCCTTGAAGAAATTAGCATTCGGTAACATTCTTTTGGGGAGGTAGGCAAACTGGTAATCAGAGACATCGTTAATAAAAAATATCGTTCCATAACCACCAACCGCTTGACATAGTTTATGGATCTTTGTTCCTCGATTCGCCCAACTGGCAATTTGGTGTTTCCCGACTCGAGGTTCGGAAGATTGGCACTCAAGGAGGCCAGCATCGCGGGCTATATTCATGGCGTGCCCTGCGTTGGTCGAGCGTAGCCGCTGTACGTCCAAGCCTTCATTTTTCAGCTTATGGAAAACGATGGACAATATACGACTGCGAACTCTATCCCGTTCCTTGCTATGGTCCAAATTTGACATAAAGGTGGCCAGTTCGGGAATAGGATCGTCATTGAGGACTAGACCTTTTTGACCTTTGAAAAAAGATAATGGATTTTCGATCCACTCCTCAGCGTCAACCCGATAGGGTGGTTGTAGACAAACTTTTGCGATGGGCTTCTGATGCTGAGAATCTGGTCGCCTTTGACGCTTGGGTGGTCGGCAGTTTCCCATCACATCTTGCAAATTTTGCCGCGCTTGAGGCCTTTCTCTAGAGGGTTGTTGGTTTCGGAGATCTAGTTGCCTTGGGCGCTTAGGAGGTCGGCAATCTCTAGTGACAGATTGCGATTGTGGTTGTTGAATCCTCCTTACGGCAGATTGTTGTCTTTCTTGTTGGGGTTCCTCGCTTGGTAACATCTGTTGTATCTGTTTCTGGAACTGATATTCATTGATTGACCGTCGGAGCGACTCTGGAGCATCATTCCACAGCCGCCGCGCTGCATGGAGAAACTGGTCATTGTTAGACTGTGAGTCAAGTCAAACTGAGGCGAAACTGACGGATTCCTCGAGCTCAATTTTGATTTTTGGTGAGTTGGATGCCTGCGCATTTGAACAGGCATTGGAAAGGGTGTTGATCACAACTTTACTTTCCCTCACTCCCATGGTGACTGACTGGTGTATCGTGTTTGTGATGGCGATGAAGGTGCCCTGGAAGTGATGGGGGACGTCACATGACAAGGAGAGGAGGAATAGTCGAAATAACTACGGAGTAGGCAAGGGAGAAATTACGATGTGAGTGACTGAATTTGTACACAGCGGGACTTCCCCGGTCGATAAGGCGCGGGCCGTCCAGCACGGAGAAAGTGGGGTCTTGGGCCAGGCCCATGCCGAGAACCGTCAACAGTGGCCTCGAAACATCTAGTCTAAATCCACAAGGATCCAACGAGCTCCAGTCACTCTGGTATAAACCTCACCTTTGTATAATATGCGAAATGTGCAAGAAAAAAGAACATATGGAAATTTCTATGGTGAGAATTTGGTCAAGGTTTGCAAGATGCCATGTGAGATTTTAAGAGGCAATGGTTACCACCCAATGATTGTCGCTGAACTGAGCGGCCTGTGCGACCATCACACTACCCTTGTTACTCCTCCCAGCCACCACCGTCCCAACCAATAATTATAGCTGAACTGAGCGGCCTGTGCGACATTCACACAGCCCTTGTCACTTGTCCCAGTCACTCATATCCCATTCTCGTATTGATCACTTGAGCTATATGCCAGTAGCTAGCCAAGAAGGTAGCTGTTAGTAGTTGGTTTTGTGTGAATATGAAATCGGCAAAATGGAATTCCTGATAGTAAAAGCTATTAAATTAACTAAGGTCAGAAGGTACTACAGAAGGAGGGTAAGGAGTAACAAGAAGCAAAGGAGAAGAAAATAAAATTTAACCAAGAAACATATCAGCCTGTTCAGATAGCTACAGTAAAGTTGAGTGAAGTGATAAGAGGTTAGGCTAAAGGGGCTGAAGATGTGGACAGCAAGGCTACAAGGCTGGACGGATCGGCAAAAAAAAAGTGGGTGAGTAAAAATATACAATAGTCAAGGATTCCTATGTGGTCACCCACCATAGTACTAACTGACCAGTGTGTGGCTAGAACACAGTCGGTACTCGGGTGGGTGTTGCTCGGGTGAGTTTAGGGTGAGAGGCTTTACAGTCGCACGACTAGGGGTGAGCGGGGTGAGTGCACTATAGATGGGGGTGAGGTGGGGTGATCACTGGGTGAGATTCCGCCACGAAACGCATATGCAACGCACAGACTCCCTACACCGAGTTGTTACTGAATATGATTGGCTTGTCTCGATCTACCTGAGACCGCGGTCTCTCGCCTTGTTGCTAGGATTGGCTGGACGAAACGGCGAGGCTGACTTCCAGTTTGCCCCTCGGCCAAGGATAGGTCTTTGTGAGATGTTGACCAGGCCACCACTAATTCACCTGTCCTGATGCTGATTCTGAGTTGCCGTTTACTGGCAGACTTAAAGAACTGCTCAAAATCAGGGTCGTGTTGTTATTATCCTCTTTTCTTTCTCGAACTTATCTTGCATAATATTATACCTAATATAGTAAGACTACCCCTGACCTGGTATCTAGCGGTATTTCAGTACAGTTGTAAATAAACAGATCAAAAATAGTCATTGTATGCTGTTGTATAGTATAGGCCTTAAATCCTTGCAAATAAATCAAACAAATCCAGGCAGTTGTCTGGCCACTTCTACAGCTTGCGTTCCCATCTTCACTTCTTGTCTCGAAAAGAATCCAGCAAAGGAGCCAAAGAAAGTATACTGACGTTACCGACAAAGATTTACAAGCTTATTTTAGCTGGCTTATGATATTACGCTTGTTAATGGCCTTGACCTTGAAAAGATACATAAGGATCAGAACCCGGATTGCTTTGTCAAGAACAGAGTTGCTATAGGTATTGTACGCCGATTTGTAGGTGATATCATTGAATGGATAGGGGACGTAAGGGTTTAGTGGCCTGATTACAGTTCAGATATGTGGTCGTTTCTTAGGCTTAGATGTTGTTATGTATTTTATTATGTGTTTCTAGTTGATTCATTACGATATCATATTATTGTAAATGGTGGCCTACGTTGGAAGCAGGAAACTGGTAACAGCGCTCTCATTCGAGATCATAGAACTACGAAAGGAAAATGAAGGAGAGGAGGAAGGATAGTTGAAGATAACCTAACTACCCCCACCCCGGAATGCTCCATCTTATGTTGGCCCATCTCGCAGTTCAGACGGCTGGTATGGGTAATGGGTAGGACTTGCCTATCCGTCCCAAAATCCATACCCGTGGTACTCCCGAGGTCTAGCTGAACGCCACGCATGGAAGGCTTCCGAACGTGCGCACCCGTCGCGTAATGCAGTGTCAGTCTTCTGAGGTCTGGTAAATAAAGAAGAAACCAGGATTATTCTCCGACTTTATCGCCCAAATATATAGAAAAATATGATAGAAGAAACGCGACCAGTTGTACGAAAGCTGTAGCCAAATGAGGTTCTTTTTGTGAAAAGATCTGTCATGATGGAAATTGAGCTGCCTGCTCAGGGATCATTTGTATATTAAAGGAATAGCTATATAATAACTGGTTATGTTATAACTTAGAGTGATATCTTCGAGTTTATGTGTATTTCAGATCACAGAATTTTTAGTGGCAGAATCTATAACGATAATATAATAAGTTAACTATATAGTATAAGATATTCTATTGCTTCAGGTCCTTATACTTCTACATATATCTGGTGATATACTTATTATCTTTAAAGAGCTCTATAACTTTAGCTTCCTCGTCGAGACATTCGTCGGAAAATAGACATAACTGGCACTATCAAGAGCGCGATACCGGGACCGAATACCGCCTCAAGTCGCCTAACTTTCCTGCCTTGTTTCAGATCTCTTTCAACGTTATGATTATCTGACAACCCTAAATAGCGAAGGAAAGACGGCTTCGGCCAGACGCCACGTAAATGATTACCCCGACAGACACGCTCTATCCCCTACTCCTCTCGCCATTCCTCCTCTTGTAAGGCGAAAGAAGACCATTGGCAGACTTTGTATAGGCTCTCGATCGACGGACGGAAGTTGGCCCCTGGTGAAAGCAAATCTATCGCACGATCTCTGTCGGTGGCGTTGGAAAGGATCATAGCTGGAGTGAGATCCACCTCCAGAAATTTAGTCAAAAAGTCTATTTGTGCCGTCATGTCCTGAAGGAGATGTTCCGCAGTGACGGGCTGGTGGCGGCGGGGTGGCATCACGTATCTGTGCAGTTGGGTGGTCAATGAACCTGGATGAAGTCCTGAAAATCCCTGTATTGCTGACTCAGAGCCCTAGCTATAACTTAGTTAGTTAGCGAAATAGGTATAGAGTAGAATACATACCCCCCCTCAGGATTGTGATACTAACCTTCTAGCCCATGTGATAGGGAACATATCACCGTCCGAGCTAGTCTTGTAGTGGAGTCTGGTACGTAATGAAAACCCTGAACCCGCAAGCATCTGGCCCAACACTCCTATAGACAGCGAAAGATAGCTTCGTGGAAACAAAGTGCCTAGTATCTAGGATCTGATCTTCGGACGCCTTGGGTCCTCTATGGTATGGACAAGTCAGTCAGTCTCTGATCCAAGAGATATATAATAACAATTGAGCACACGGCTCGAACGGAACCAGCCCAGCCACCGAGTCACTTCGAAATCTACACAACCAGCAGGATAGCACGTATCCTAACAAAGGAAAGGTCACCGAACACTAGCCGAACCTGATTATGCTGGAGATAAGGACGCGAATATGGAAATAATCCTAGGAGCTTCCTCGAGCGTCGTTCCACCGGTCCCTCCTGCAGAGTATCCGAATGGACTCGTCAAAATTACGTCCATCTGTTATCAACCCAGGCCTGAGAATACGGCTGCGTAGTACAGGTCAAAAGAAAAGGTGGACAAGAATGGGTCAAAGCTCCAGAACTTGAAAAAACTCCAGGGGGCCTAATGGTACTGGGCAGGCTTGGGTTACAAAGGCAATCCCTAGCATAGGAAAGCAACCCTGCTCTCTCATTACCGAGCCAAAAATCAATTTGCCGGGCGTAGCCCATGCTATACTCCCTCAGCAGAACTGGTGCTTCTTGATTTAACTTGAGCTATGTTATTTTCTATTTGATAGCCCGATATGGCCTTCTCATGACGTGCGTAATGTTTGTATATGGCCCGTTTTTCATGATCACATTCAACGAAGGCTTACATTCTACACAGTATCCTATAGCTTCCAGGAAACCTTTGAGTATCAAATTCTGCAGGCCGTTTGATTGGCATACAATATTTCAATAATTTCTACGTTGTCTTCAGATGCATTATTCAAACGCATTACTCCTGATATTCTGACGAAATCCACTTGCATCTGTGGCTTGGAAACACCGCCGAAGTCGTACTCATGCTATTAAGATACGAATAAAGCTTGGGCCTCTCTTGCTTCAAGATGACCATCTTTGGCTACATCAGCCGAAAATAAAGAATTTATCGGTGAGGGCCGCTTAGCCATTAGAGGAACCTGCCCTCTAAAATCACGGCCTGGGGCCGATAGAGGTCCCACAGAGCTCTAGAAAATTAGTGATTGACATGTAAATTCGATACTTGCTCGCAACGTTCCAGCCAACTCAGCGCTTCACTACTTTAGGACATTCAGCCGGCTCCACTGCTTGATTGTCGCGTGTGAGGAATTCATATAAAAAAGAAATATCCGTAATCCTTGTCATCTTGTTGGCATAATTCTGGGTTTAATCTTATTTGTCTACTAAAAGGGGGGGGGGCTTGCTAGGAGAGGCCAGCACCTTCCTTGGCCTGCCTCCTTTGACCACCTCCAGGTTATCCCGAATCGGATGAACCCCGCTTCTTTTTACTTTCGCATTGACTAGAACCACATGAAGAATTGCGCGTGACGCGTCACATCGACCGCCGTAATACGGCTATTTAAGCGACCAGCTCGCCCTATTTTCCTATTAACCAACCCTTCGGCCAACCCAGCACAATACTAGAAGTCTTCTTCGTCCCCTATGGATATCCGGCTTCTTCCAGAAGCGGAACTCACCAACCATGGTGGGTTCCCAATTCCCTGTGGAACTCCAACAGCCAAAATTGAGAAATTGCGTTCTTTGTGCACCGATAATAATTCCCAAGGATTTCAGAACGCGATGTACTCTGAGAGTCTCGAAACAGCCGACCTTCACGATGTGATGATGGAAGCAATTCAACTGGACCAAGTCGAATTCGTTTCACTACTTCTCTCTCATGGCTTCCTGATAAAGCCTTCTTTTACTCGAAAGGCAACAGTATGCAAGGCGAAGCGTGTTCTCGAATGTTTTTTCGGAGCTGGATGGGACATAAATGAGCCAGTTGATGTTTTAATACCTCCTGTGCTCTGGTATGTTGGTTCCGCTACCCGAAAAGACAATCCAATGACAAGAGATCTATTTTCTTAGCTACGCGGTAACAGACGCCGATATGACCAGTTGGTTTCTGGAACATGGTGCGAACCCTAATACGCGATGCGAGGTAGACTGCACCCCGTTATCCTATGCTGTTCGAAATGCACCTCTGAGTGTCATCGAACTAATGCTAGACCGTGGAGGGGACGTGGGGAAAGGACAACTTCTTCAGTATGCCGTTTGTCGAGACGAGGGGCTTGAAGATGTCATTTCCCTGCTCGTCGAAAGAGGTGCCCCTTTGAACGCAACAATGTGTCAGGATGGCCCGACATTGATGCGATTCTTTCCTATGAGCCTAGGGACTGCGTTGCACGTGGCAACAGAGCAGAGAAAGACGAATGCAATCCGCCTTCTAATTCATCTCGGAGCAGACACTGAGGTGAAGGACGCGAACGGTGATACTGCTTTAGAATGGGCACAAAAATGGAATAAAGCAGAAATGGTGCAGCTGTTGAGAGACTTGGGATGTCGTTCCTAACATGATCCAAAATTGAAGATAGGAATGAAATAATCTTCTTTCAAGTACGTCCGTGTGTTTGTGAGTTTTTACCGTCCCTGCCACCCTAGACGGCGTTCAAGCTTCGCTGGCTTTCATTCTGCCGATGATGATGATGATGATGATGACGGCCTATCCAAAGACCCAAGCCATAATAAGAAAGCTGAATGAGCGCCAAAAAGCGGAAAACGACAGGAACTATATAGGTTGGAGGAAATGGATGTTTGAAAACAGCCTGATGGGCTTGCCTGGCGAGGTCTTCAGATGCAGAGATCGTTCCTGAGCTTTGATATGGCCACCGTGAAGCCATTGGACCATCATTCAGAGAACTGGGCGACACTTTTTTTTCTCGTCAACTCTAGCAGACCTAGTATTCTCTAGCTGATATCTGTAGCTCCCAGAGACGAAAAGGCTCGATTGCAGAGGTAGACTTAGCGCTTCGAAGCATAGTGCACTGGCTTCTCCCTTGGGGAGGAAAACGATGCTGCTGTGGGCTAGTTCATCCCAGCGATTCTTCTCCTGGGTCGTGCTCCAAAAAACTTGAATAGCTCCCCGGCTCCGGCCAGGAAACTGGTCCGAGAACACGCTATCACCTCAGACCAAGGCCGTTTCCCGTCTCTTCTTAATTTCAACAGGAGATCCTGCTCTTCAGACGAATACGGCATGCCCTTTCTGGAGCTGCCATGGGGCTCACAACTCTCAGACCGTTGAGGCAGGCGACTTGCTGGCCGCACGTCTCCGTTCCCAGTTGCCAGTAGATCGGGCGTAGGCATGTAATGTGGCCGGGAGTCGTCCAACAGCCAGGGGAGGAGTTGCAAACGTTTGTCAAGCGGCAGAGACTGTAAGTAACTTTGTACACCTGAATTTCGTGCACCTAGCTGTCATGCTATTAAACACGTTATAATTGCCTTGGGTTTCAGACCGGTCGCCTTCTCATTATTAGATTTTGCGGATCTTCCGATTGAATCACATAATCCAATTTATTCAACTCAACACAGGAAGTCGACGAGGGAGGTATATATCTCTCTAATCCATCTCATGCTGTGCGGAATTATAGTGGTCCTAAAAGTTCCAATAGCTCATCTGAGTCAAACCTCTTACTTTTGATAGTCTCAACATATGAATCAAGTCTTACTTTAGCCCTTCACATTCCCAACCAATAATTATAGCTGAACTGAGCGGCCTGTGCGACGTTCATACAGCCCTTGTCACTCGTCCCAGTCACTCACATCCCATCCACGTATTGATCACTTCAGCCATATGCCAGTAGCTAGCCAAGAAGGTAGCTGTTAGTAGTCCGTTTTGGGTGAATACGAAAACGGCAAAATGGAACTCCTGATAGTAGGGGCTATTAAATTAACCAAGGTCAGAAAGTACTACGTAGGGAGGGTAAGTAGTGACGAGAAGCAGAGGAGAAGAAAAGGAAATTTAACCAAGAAACACGTCAGCCTGTTCAGACGGCTGCAGGAAAGTTGAGTGAAGCGACAAGACAACTCCTTTACTAATAAGAAACCCTTGCTAGCCTCTACTTTCTTTCTATCATTACTAATAAATATATACTTAGAGTTTCTCTTTTAATTATTTAAAAAGGCACTCCCACAATACATATCCAAGCCTAAAATACCCTCTAGTATCGTATCTTCGAAGAGTCCAGATGGTACACAGATCCGAAAGCAAGTCTGCTAGGCTATACCTCAAGTTGCCGACTCTGTGAATAACAACAATACCCGAGAAAATTCGAGGAAAGGGATGCTATGGTTACCCGAAGAAAAGGATCTTTTCATAGATTTGAAGAATACTCAAGGACTCCTTGGTCTGAGGTAATAAAGACTGTTGTCAGATCAATACCCGAACGCAGTCCGGGATCTATTCAGGTATATTGGTGTATAAAGCTCAGGAAGAGACGTTCATGATTACCCTTATATATCCTCTGAATGTATTGAGGTAACAATATATGCTCTGCCCAGCGGATCTCTTAGTTCATAACAACATCCCAATGCCAAGTGCCAGCCTATAGAACGAGATCCTCTGCTTAGACTCATGGTGACGATATTTCTCTCTACCAAATATGCTCGTCGGTTGATGACCAGGAGAATTCGTTCGGAGCGCTTCGCTTCCACTTGCTGCCTGTCCTGCTGAATATTTACTACTCACTTGACTGTCCCGAAGGGCAATGAAAGCCTGGGCCTAATCTGCCGAGAACTGGAACAATGGAAGCGAAGCTTAGTCACAGGAGACAGGGTTCTTTTCAGACAGATTTACAGAGGCCATGAATCGAGCAAGTCGAACTCACAATTCAATGACTCCATGGGCCGAGATGGATACAGATAACAGAGATATTGAAGTAAGGAATGTTTAGACACGTATATGAACAGGTGGGTTCAATAAAACTCTTCACGATCTCTGAACGGCCATCCCTTTTCCAGGAGCCGGATATCCTCCTGGTCCCCTTCCGCACTCGCTAGTAGGGAAGCCTTCAGTTGACCAACTTTCTGCATGCACTCGTTATAATTCTCGATGCTTACCCATCCATCTTCGGAGATACCATAGAGTTGATCACGCCACTGGTTTACAACCTTGTTCAGATCAAGCCAAGTTTGTTCCTGGCGGTAGAAGTCATCCACTTCTTCGCTTGCGAACTGCACAGGACATTGGTGACCCTTCGTGTCCGGCAGGTGAGGCCAGTATTCGAACATCCGGATCAAGGCTCCTTTCAATGTAATCAAATTTCCATTCCACTGTCGTCCAGCCCTGTCCACAAGATGTCGGCGGGGGGGCTAAAATGGGATCACGTAAAGCTTCGAGATGAAGCTTATTGTAGTGGCCGTTGAAAATGCGGTAATAATGAAACAGGAGGCGTCGTCGGTAATGCTCATCGGCTTCAGCCTTGTCCTGGGAAGATAGCGTCACATAATTCACCGGAAGTGATGGCTCCGCAAGATCAGACGGCTGCTCGAGGTCCGGATTCTCAAATACACGAGGGTAACCGGCCGCCAGTAGACATGGCTCCACAATAGCATGTTGCCAGTCTATGAGACAGGATATGGCGCCAGAGTCCGGTGATATGAAGATGTTGTTGGGATTCAAATCTGTGTGACCTGTCAGAACTGTCGAAAGCGTCCAAACAGTGAACATACCGGGATGACGAAGCGTAGGCTGATTGAGGCGATGGTTAATGTCCTCGGGGAGAAGGAACGGGGCTAGGGCAAGATATTTGTCGAGAAGAGACATATAATCGGCCGGGGACTTCGTTCCAGGGAAGACACCGTTATGCGGAAAATCCAGTTCGATCGGCTTCCCAAAGCGTCGAGCCCACTCAACTTCTTTTTGTGCGATACACATCAAATACTCCTTATTATCACTCCCTGAAAGCGTAAGAAAGCACATCGAGCCTTTAGTATTGTCAGGAAACTCACAGGGACCTCGATGGATATCCAGATTAGCTCTCTTCCCGTACCAAAACATATAATCCGCCGTTGGGCCTATACAGAATATGTCGGAGTCCGGTTCATTTCGAACATGAGCTGCATATAAATCGCCTCGGAGGTTCCGCGGAACATCTTTTTTAAAGTAGATACTCCCGATAGATCCGAAAGAAATGTTGAAAAATTTCTTCTCGATCTCAACAAAGGTTGATGCGAGCTTATGCAGCTCACGTTTGCTCATGGTATGCCACCTGCTTTGCAAACCAACTCCTCTTGCTTTCTCCATCACGATGTATTCTACACCGACAGGATTATCCTCCGATGACGAATACCCATATAACTTAGGAACCGGAATGCCTTTGGAGTGGAGAAACTGTAGAGTTGCGGCTTCGCTAGCGGTGGCATAATGTCTCGGGCCTGCAAGGCGATATGGTATTTTTGCAATAACCTCAAAACCATCGTCCATTGTTATTAGAAAGACGCGGTTGAAGCCACCTTCAGCCAGCTTCGCGATACGCGTGGCAGGTCCATGGTAATTGCCGACTAATTTCTCTGCTTCTCGTAAGAGGGCACAGGAATCGAATTCGACATAACGCTCATGTAGGCGACGAGATTCGTTGAAAATAAATCTACCGGACGTGTAGGTATATAGATCGCGGTTCGTTGAAGACCCTAAAAGAAGCTGAAAGGTTAGTAGAGATGACACCTTGTGTTTGGTGATGGTTCAGACCCATTGTCCGGCAATGCAGCTTCGGCGCCAGATTGCGCGAGGCGAGAGAGGTAAAGTATAGGCTGGCCCGTCTAAACATAAGAGCGGAAGGTTCTCATTAAGGTGTAGGGAACCCATGTGAGGGAGCCCCTTGGTTTAAAGACAGAAAGCCGAGCTCCCAAATGTGGTCTCTTAGTAAGCCAGCACGGCGCGTAACTAGTTATCATCCGTACTTATCCTAAGAGAAATTGCAAGTCTGTTTTAAGATCTAGGGCTCTCAGAGAATCGACTGTGTTCTTTATGTGGCTTAAGTACGGCTGAGCGGACGGGAAGCCCTGTTTCTATACCCTATGGTTGTATGTGCTAGGTTAAGAAAGAATAAAAATTATATGTGCTTAGGTATGTGTCTGAAAATCAAGACCTTCGTTATGCCGAGAAAGAAAAATAATAAATTTGCGACGGCCAGCACGAAATCCTGTTCATCATAGCCAGATCATAAGACGACCAGATAGGAGCCTTACTCGCCTGCACCTCAAGCTGGCTTGCTGTAGAGCTCATATTTAGCTGAGATGATTCAGCAGCATGCGATTGTAAGCATCCAAAAGAGCCTTCAGAGAATACTGTATTCCTTAAAGGATAAGCATTGAAATCAATATCTATTTAGGGTACACAATGGAGTAAGTAACCCGAGGCTTCGCGCGACCTACCTCCGTATAGTGGAATGGGTGGGTAAACGTCATTGAGAGCTTCACTTGTCGTCTCAGGATTTAATTTTACTGATTTCTTGATATATATGTTTGAAAAATTACTCTTATGCTGCATTGCCATTATCCACACTAGTACATTATAGCAAAATATAAGGGTAATAATATAATGCAGAAGGTATTGGAGCGGGAACTGCTTAACTGGTGGGTCTCGCCAGATATGACCCCAGCCGAGAGACGCCTAATTATGGCGACATGCCAGTAACGGTCGTCTTTCCAGGGGCGTTTTCTGGATCAAGATAGCAAATTAGCAAACAAAGAATTGGATCCCACCGAATTCTTGTCCCTTAATTTCTGGGCAGTCTCTCTTCCAAAAGCAGGGACTTTCGAAGTGGCTTTCGCCTCAACTCCCTGAGCTTCACCAACCGGGAGATGAGTGGGCATCATCCCGAGCTGCATCAGAACAGTCCCTTGGTCCCAAGTGATGTGCTCATGGTAAAGTCGATCACCACGTATGTTGACCACTGCCATGAAAGGTATTTCCAAGTCCTTATAAGTAGGCGCAATGCCCGGAATTCTAAGATAATCAGTAAGTGCTCAAGGAACAGGATATCGCGAAAAACTTGGGAATCTTACAACCAGTCCACCTCGCTATCGTGCCGAAATTTGAAGATGAACTCGTCAACCACTCGGTCGATTCCCATGGTGCGACTAATCAGCTCGAGGGTCGTGCTCTGAGGGTTTTTCCAAATGAAATGATCGCGGTAAAAAGCAGTCAGCTCTTCCCGGCCGATTCCTCCGGTAAGCTAAGGAAATGATCAGCTCAACAAACTGCAAGTTCGGTTTCATAGAGAGGCTTACTGTAGGTACATGGTTCACATAAGGCTCTTGAACCATCGTGCTCATCGTATGCTCCACGGACCGATTTTCAAACTCGTAGTAGGTGTGCTCGTCCCAAATCTGTTCCAGATCGAAGTATGGCCCTCCAACAATGTTCTTTAGAAACGTGAGATTGCGCGTATGCGACACTGACTCCGCATTGTAGTGGAAGGCATCTTGAAACGGAAGACTGAACTGCGCGCTTTCTACTTCCGGATAGCTATATTGCATCAGATCTTTTCCTCTATGAAGACTAATCGGTGATGCTTTGCCAGCGAAATGTTGAACTGTGGGGACTGAGGCGGTGCTCAATGAGTCCAACTGCTCGACTGTGGCGTATACCACAGACGCTCGAATACTTGGTACGTCCTTGAGGAGCGGCGCTACCATGTTCCATCCTGCTGTGCTATACGCTATTTTGAGCGACAGGCAGTCAGCTATGCGGCTCAGAAGTTACAGGCTTTTATTGAAGATATGTAGCGACGCGAGCTTACCAACTAATCCCACCCGGTCCTTCAAATCGCATGTAGCATTATCATTTAGGATCTGCACTACCGCGGCGATCAAGCGTTTTGCTTGGCCAGGGTCTTGCAGAGCGGAAGTATTGATCGCAGCTACCACGTAACTTTCTTCGGCCCATTTGACCAGTGGCGAGGGAACCCCATTCTCAATTGATAGAGGAGGCCTATTCAGATCTGGGAGTAAAAGCACCAACCCGGGACCTGTCCCTCGTCTTGACAGCGGTTGCAGTAGAGTAACGCCGGGGAGGGGTTCTTCCAGATGCGGTTTCGGAAGAGGCGGAACGGGAAGGGAGGGGTGTGCTTCTGGCTGTCATCTTGTTTCATGTGGAATCTTCGCAGGAAATGCAAGGACTGAAGATGTTATTCTTATCACGCTCGGTTGTATTGAATCCAGTCTTGCCACATTGGATGTGACTGCGGGGGAAGCGCGATAAGGTGTGGCGGGTAATGCACCATCGGGAAGCGGATAGTGTAAGCGTGCGGGTAAGATACCGGCAACCTATTCGCGGCCGAAAGGGAAATCAAGGTCTTAATTATTATGATTATTTTTTTTTGTGGCAGTGATAAAAGAAAACCCTGTCATTATCCTAGCTCCAGGTAGCAACATACTTGCCAATATGTCCGGTTTAGAAAATGTCCGTCCGATGTTCGACCTTCGCGGTCGCAACTACATTGTCACGGGTGGCGCACAGGGAATCGGATTCGCTGTTACGCGAGCGATCTGTGAGATGGGAGGGCGTGTGGCGGTCCTCGATATTCAAGAGTCTCCCGTTCCGGAGTTCAATTCTCTTGGTGAGGCCTTCGGTATTCAGCCCATTTACATCAGGGCGGATGTACGCGACGAGACCAGCATCCATGAAGCTTTCAAGGAAGTCATTGAGAAGTTCAAGACGATCGATGGTTTAGTCCCAGCTGCAGGAATCGCCATCGACAAACCTTTTATTGAGCAGACTTGGGATGAATTCACAAGAATTCATGAGATTAATGTAAGTCCGGCCCATCCTTGATAGGGTAGCGGGATGAATGTCAGTACACAATTCTAACGGTAACAGGTCCGGGGAACCTTTTTTTCTCTGCCAGTTGGTCGTGAAAAAGCTTCTAGAGCAAGGTCGAGCAGGAAGTTTGGTCCTCATTGCCTCTCAGTCTGCTCATATTGCTTTGCCCGGCTACAGGATGGCGGCATACAATGCATCCAAAGGAGCTGTTTTGATGCTTTCCAAAGCTCTGGCAGTGGAGCTGGGTCCGCATAATATCCGCGTGAATACGATCTCGCCCGGGTTCGTGGATTCGGACATGACTCGCACCGTTCGCGAGCACAAGAGTCGGATGCAAGGTGAACAGATGTGGCTTGCGCCACCTATGCGCCGCCTAAGCACGCAGAATGATCTGACCGGGGCTGTTATCTATCTGCTGAGTGATGCAGCGAGGTTTACGACAGGCGCGGACATTCCCATCACAGGTGGCTTACATGTGGGCACTATCGATGGTCTCATCACCTATGAAGACAACGCCTGATAGTACTATAGTAATCTAGGGCTTATTGAATATGGCCAAATGAGTTGATAATAAACTTGGAGGAGACCTTATGAAAATTAGACAATTGATTTCTTTACATATTCCAATCCAAGCCAGTTGCGGGGAGACTCATGAAACTTTCCAGACACGGATCGAGAAACATGCGTAGAATTTCATTCTCGCTATTTGGAATGGACCAGTCCAGCTGTAAAAGAGGATCCTCATCCTGAAAATTACCGATGATGGTTTGTGAGCTACCCCATGGCGAGCTTGCATAAGTTCGGGCTGTAGACATCGAAGTATCTTCCGGGTCCTCGAAAGACAGTATCTTTTCAACACTAGAATTCTTCCGTCGGGATCTATCCGACCGCGATTTTCGCTCGTGTCTATCGATGGCTTCTGCGAAGCTGGAGAGTATGGAATGATACTGTGCCGCCTGTGGACTGTTGATGCCAAAGCGTGCGAGAATCCGTGATGTCCCTTGAAAGGCCTGGCGTGTCTCTTCCATCTGATCATGTGGTCGCAGAAGGGAAAAGCCCAGAACAAGGCCAGCGGAAAACAACCATGCCCTGTACATAAGGTTAGCCTTGCCTGGCCGGAGAATGAAAATACCTTAGAGTGGAGCTTACTTTAAAATGCACATGTTCCCGAGCAGAGCTCCTGCGCTCTCGGCATCATCGCAGATCTGTGCCATAAGAAGTGCTGCTTCTGTGCACCCCTTGGCTAGCTCCGATGTCCTTCCATTATCGGCGCTCTCAAATATGCCTCCACACACCGAAGGGACGATGTGATCAATGAGAAATTGACGCGTGACTTGAATCACACCGTAATAATAAATACAGGCTAGATGTATCTTTCCGACCGTAGCCCGTCTGGTTTCAATAGATTGTGAGGAGGGATTTCCAAGGCTTTGTCTTCGTAAATGCGGCGGAAGCTTGGAACTCCATTCTCGAAGCTGGGCCAAATACCCTTCCGCTTTGCTGATTGGTATCCCTTCCTTCTCTTTGGTGTCATTCACAACAGATTGAAGCACAGCGACTGCCTCATATGTGGCGCATAAAGTTGCGTAATTAGGACATATTTCGCCATCTAGGTACTCCAGCTCATCTGTTATGACAGGGGTACTGCCAGGGCGACCGAGTATAGTGTTGCAAATGAGGTCTAGGACGCGAACACTTTTGCCTGTCTGCAATCTAAAAGAGCATTGTTAGCGTAAAGGCCTCTATTAAGGCTCATATGACATGACGGCTGTACCTTGCTTCTTTCTTCTCAATGGGTAAATGTTTGTAGTTCTCTGGGCAATGGAGTCCAAGAATGCCTGATATACTAGAAGCGACCCCCACATACATCAGAGCAGAATTTCGACTGCAGGCCCCTAGCATGTAGAAAGCCATGAGTGCAAAGCTACGAGCCAAGTCAACTGTGGGCGTCTGTAACATCCCAGCAAACGCAGCTTTCTGTGCTCTTCGAAAATATGAGATCGAAATATAGTGATTCATGTCACTCTTCGGTTGGCATTGTGCACCAATCGCAATAATCAGATCCAGGCATACTGAATCCTGACTCGCTCCAGAATCAGATATACTATCGGGTGATCGTGGATATTGCGATTCAGTTTGGGGGCACAACAGCCGCTCGTAGTCTCTCTCCGTGAACAAGTCCAAAATGCCGCTTGACTAGGAATGAATCAGCTTCCGACCAATTCACAGCATCCCACCATTTCAAAGATTTCACTTACAGCATGTAAGTAAGACTCGGCAAAATATCTTTTCTCTTGGTCACTCAGATCATGCTTGATCGGTGTCACTGAGTCAGGTATTTCGATCTCAAGCATTTGGTCTGTGTCCTGGCCTTCTGTGAAGTTATTCGGCTCTACATAAGTGCGCCAGGTCTGCTGTAAGAATTTTAGAAATGATATCGCTGCGGTTTTTCCAACAAATACTATATCATAAGGAGGTTAGTTCATGATTGGGCCAAAAAGCCGCCAGCCTTCTGGTTGACACATACTTCGTTCATCAGAGGCGCTTTTCAATAAGATGGAGCTCGGCTTAGTAGATAGCACTGTTTCAGGTGTAGCCTGAGCTTGACTTTGACTGTCAGAGGCAACCTAAAGCAGCGTGATCAGCACTGAGATCTTGTTCCGCAGGGATGGCACGTGTTCAGTACAGTTTGAGGTGGAGTGCCCGCGGCACTCGCTCGTGCCTTGGAGCCCATCTCCACCGGAAAGTAGCAACTGCTCCCCTCCCCTCGCGCGACACATTTCCGGCAAGGGTGGTGGGAATCGCATTTTTTTCTTGGATGAGCGGCATTGAACGCAGGCTGTAGCGCATCGCTTCCGGTTCTCCGGCCTCACTCGTGGCCGGGGCATTATCTCGGTGACAGCAGGAAGATCCGGCGGGAATCAAACGCACTAAGATACTTTTCACAAAAGACCAGGGGAGCTGTATCCGACGAGGCGGTTATATCCCGCAGATTCCAAAGATGATCAGAAGGCAGGAGAGAGTGTTATCTGCCCCCGAGGGATCAGTTGGTGCTTTATCCGACGCTGGCTGTCAGCGCTATCAGTGGATCTGCTTCCCCGCATTTCGAGCATCAAGTGAATCCGTGGAACCAGGGAGATAGTCCTTCGATAGACCAATCACAAGTCGGGAAATCAAAAACGAGCCGCGATAAGGGAACTTTATTTCCGAAACCCAGCACCGGCGATCTCTGGCTTGCTCTCCCATTTCGCGTCCCCCGGCGGAAGTGGGCCCTGGACGATAAGCAGCATCCGACACCCATGACCTTTAAACACGACCAAGATACGGCTACAGCCGCTGGATTTCAGACCTGCGATTTCACCAAGACCTATTGTGAGCCAGATATCATCGACTTCGAGCTCCTCACGACAAAACACACAACATGGCCGACGCTAAAGGCCTGCTCGACTTAGTGGTAGTGGGCGCCGGTACGTGACATGCTACATATCCCGCGAAAGTAGCCAGCTTCTGATCTCCTTCTAGGATGGCATGGCATCGCTGCAGCCAAAACATACATTCAGCTCCATCCAGACCACAAAGTCATCGTCCTTGAAGCTGAAAATACCTGCGGGGGTACGTGGTGTGAAGACCGACTCTACCCAGGGCTGAAGTCAAACAATATGGTCGGATCGTACGAGTATCCCGACTATCCTATGAATGAAAAGATCTACGGCGTGAAGGACAACGACCATATCCCAGCTGCAACTTTGCATCAGTATCTTACCGACTACGCCAGACAATTCGGTGTGCTCTCCCAAATTTCCTTCAACACACCAGTGCAGTCAATTGAGCCGATTGAATGCACTGGCTGGAAAGTTACCGCACGGAGGGAAGGCACCGACGACGACTACATTCTCCACACGAGAAATATCATTATGGCCACCGGGCTCACCTCCCAACCTAATATGTTGACATTCCCTGGACAAGAAAACTTCAACGCCCCCCCTGTTCCATGCAAAGGACTTCTGTCGGAAAGCCACCGCCACCAAGACCGCGAAGAATGTGACCGTCGTGGGCGGGGCAAAATCGGCATACGATATTGCCTATGCCTTTGCCCAGGAGGGAGCCCAGGTGAACTTGATCATTCGACCCAATGGCAATGGCCCCGTATGGCTTGCTCCGCCATTCGTCAGCCCCCTGAAGCGCAAGGTCGAGGAGCTGCTACATACACGCATCTTGACCTGGTTCAGCCCCTGTCCGTGGGGTGATCAGGATGGTTTCTCCTCCATCCGCCAATTTCTTCACAAAACAGCTATCGGTCGATGGCTTGTGCATAACTTTTGGCATTTGCTTGGCTCCGATGTCATTGCGAGAAATGAGTATGATGCGCACCCTGAGACCCGGAAACTTAAACCATGGTCTTCGCCCTTTTGGGTTGCTAGCGGGTTGAGTATCCACAACTACAAAACCAATTTCTTTGACTTGGTGAAAAATGGCTCTATTCATGTTTATGAGGCTGAGATTGACAAACTGAGCGAGAAAACTGTCCATCTGTCCACGGGCGAGTCACTGGCCACGGACGCACTGATCTGTGCTACTGGCTGGAAGAAAAGCTCCTCGGTGAAATTCCTGAACTGCGATCTGGGTATCCCAGGTACCGATGATGAGAAATCAGCCATGTTTGAGGAAGCAGACAAAAAGGTGCTAGAGGAGTTTCCAGACCTCGCATCGCAGCCGAGTCTCCGGTACAAACCAGGGAAGTCTGACCCACTCCGACTATACAGATTCATGGTCCCCACCGCCGCATATGAAAAACGGAACATTGCCTTCGCAGGTGCGGTCTCAACTGTGAGTACCTCGACATGTGCTAGCATCCAAGGACTTTGGATATCTGCCTTCTTTGACGGCCAGTTGAATCGCACCGCTGCCAACACCGAAGAGGCAGTTCAGGAAGCTGTCCTGCACTCTCAATGGGGGATTTGGCGCTACCCGTGTGGCTACAGTCGGACGCTTCCGGATATTGCTTTTGACGTTCTACCTTACTTCGACTTGATGGTTCGGGACTTGGGTTTGAAGCATCATCGGAAAGCAAGTCCATGGGCGGAGCTTGTGGAGCCTTACAAGCCGAAGAATTACGCGTCGCTTGTCGAGGAGTGGAAGGCATCTAACTTGAGTGTGTAAATGAAGCATCATTGGTCTCTACTAGTATGAAGTTTGGTATTCCAATATATGAATCCATTTAGCCAAGACTGTCAGTTCTCCGCCAGTGTAGTAGAGCACATCTATAATCCCAGTCTGTGGGATATACCTAGTTCCTGTCTGAGCACCTCTTGACTGAAGGCCTGCTGACCCTGCTCATCCGTGTCGCCCAGTAAATATACGTATCGCTGGCAGAGGTGGCCTTCTTTGTAATGGCTACCTGGAGTTCTTTCCGTATCTTAACCCTGCATTGGATCACTTTGACGAGCTCTTTCCTCCCAGGTCGTAGGTCTTCCTGCCCTCATCCCCAGTATTCGGCATTCGTTCATAGGCCAATTTAACGGCAGTCGGATTTATCATTTCGATCATAGGATTCTCCGACAATGTTCCTTCGTTCATCTTTGAATTTAGTTCGGCCATGGTAAACTTTCTCTTCCTTGTGGCGTTGCGAGGCCCTTTCGTTGTCAGTGTAAGAACTGGTGTATCTATTGGCTCAGCTACCGTGTCCTCACTTTGGACAATCGGAGTTTGCCTTTCCCTTGCTTCAGTGTCGTTCGTCATCTCAATTTTCTCTGGCTCCTCTCCATATCCGCTGCGGGGGCCACAGTTCGATTCAGAATTGAGAAAAGTACTGTTAGTACTTAGTGAACGAGGGTTTAATGTCGGTGATAGAGTTTGAAGAGTGATGAATAAGGCTTGAGATGAAGGAGAGATCTCAAGAAAGATGGAATGTGGACTTGATGAGAGATTTAGTCGGCCTTAGGCAGCCATAGTTTGTCGAGCATGTCGTAGGCTCGTTAAGATGCTGTTGCATAAGGAGTTAATGAGAGAGATGAGTTCCTTGCTGTCAAATACTGGATCCTGCGTAGACATAAGATATCAAGATTAGGCCAGGCTGATTGTTTCTTGGTCGCTCCAAATACGACGTACCATCCAATAGCGGTTCAGAAATGCAGTCGGCGGATCTAAGCCGCTTGACCTAGCTCATAGGATTGAATAAGTAATCTTAGTCCAGTTTGGTCGAGCATCTGATCTCTCATCATATTATAGATAACCCCGTAATTGAGATTCTGCACATTCGTCCACAGCAGAAATTGACCGTTTACTAGGTTGTCGCCATTCGCCCGCTACAGTAGCTGAGCAAGATTGCGATCCCACTCCGCACCCGCAGCTGCCTGGGGATTCGACACGGAGATAACCGTATATAAGACGGAGAAATCACCCATTGCTAGGTTTATTGTAAGTGTCAGCCGATTCCATTATGCATTCGACATGAATTACCAAGAGTCGGCGATAATCTATTGCCGTAATACCACTGACGTAGAATGCAGCGGACTTTGCGGATATAACCCACCGAAGTTATAAAATCATAGATCGCATAGTAAATGGATCATAAAGTAAACACAAAGAACTCGACATTCTGCATCAACAGCCTCAATGCCAACCCATAAAGCCCTAGTCCTTCACGCCCGAGACAAGCCCCTCGTCCTCGAAAACGTTCCCCTTCCCGTGGCCTCGACCGGCGATGCCATCGTCCGCGTTCTGGCAGCTGATATCGTCCCTTATATGGGAGATGTAATCAGCAACAAGCGCCCATACCCACTGTCCGTGCCTCTGACGCCAGGAAACACAGCCATTGCGCGAGTCCACGAAGTCGGCCCGGACTCCGTTGCCCTGCAGCCGGGCCAGCTCGTTTTCTGCGACATCACGATCCGCGCGCGCGATGACCCCGGTGTCTCAATCCTCTACGGCGTTCATGGGGGCGGGTACCCAGCGGCGCAGAAGCTCATGGACGGCGTCTGGCGCAACGCAACGTACGCTGAGTATGCGCGATTTCCGTTGGAGAATCTGTATCCATTAGATGAAGATCTCCTCATTAGGAAGATCGGATATAGCATCGAAGACCTCTGTCTTATGCCGGTGTGCTTGGTTCCCTTTGGCGGTCTTTCGGAAGTTGATGTGAAGCCCGATGAGGCGGTTATCATCGCCCCTGCCACGGGAAGGTACGGCGGTGCTGCTGTGAATGTTGCTATGGCAATGGGTGCGACCGTCATCGCTGCTGGGAGAAACCTGGCTGCTTTGGAGAAGCTTAGGAAGATCCATGGATCAGATCAGCTAACGACCGTCCAGATTACTGGCGATGCGACTGTGGACACAGAAATGTTTCGTGCATCGGCTCGCAAATCCGAGGGGGCAGATGTCTATCTAGATCTTTCACCACCGGCGGTTCAGGGCTCGTCCATGCTGGCATCTGGCATTCGTGCATTACGTACCTTCGGTCGTTGTATTGTTATGGGCGGAAACTCTGGGAATATCGACTTTCCATATCTTGATATCATGTTCCGGAGCATTCGGATCCAGGGACGCTTTATGTATGACCGCCATCACATCCTGCAGATAATTCAGATGGTGCAGTCAGGCTTGCTTCCGCTGGGCGAAAAGTCCGGTGTGACGCAGACTGAGGTGTTCCGGCTTGAAGATATCGAGAGTGCGTTGGAAGCGGCTGGGAAGCTGAATGGTTGGTGTGGACATGTTGTGCTGAAACCTTAGATTACTGAAACAATGACCTGGAATAACTCCTTGGATCCCGAGCCTCTAACTTGTCGATGATCGCTGTATCTGAGGGTCGCGCTATATGAGTGAGGACCTTTGGGTAGGTCTTGTTAGTTAAAGATTCCAATGAAAGACCAATCTCATCACTTACAGGACTGGAGCAGCTGCCGCAATGTAATAACCTTACCGATATACACAGGGCAGTACTAATTCTTTACCTGGGAGGAAGCTCTCATTAACTACCATTCTTTCTTTTCCTTTTCTTTCTCCTTTTGTGCCTAGGGCTTCTCTAGAAATGCCTCTTCCCGACGTTCTAGTATAGTCTCATGATCCTCTTTCCGATTGCTTTGTGGGGGACACGAAACACAAAACCCAATACCTACATGACAAGGTATAATATTACAACAGCAACTCAGGACCAAGATGAAAAAGTATGTGAAGATGCAAACACTAATCACCAGATTCATCGGTGGGATATATACGAGATAAGATTTTCTTCATATACCTGCTATGTCCAGCGCGTATTCTGTGAACCCCTTTTGATAATATATCACCAGCCGCATCATGTTGATTCTTTTTAATGCGAATCCTACGTGTCCACCACCAAAAATTCCCTTTGCAATATGGAGCATTTGGGCGTTGACGATATCCTGAGAGGCGCAACATCCTACTAGATTTTAGAAACCCCAAGAGCTAGACAGGGAGCGACGACAGGAATCTGAATGGTTGTATGCCGCATAAATGTGAATTGTCGAGGGTCCAATTCCAAGGCCGTCAATCGCAGCCGTAAATTTTTCCACCGCCCGCGTGACTTCTGTACCAGAACTACACTTTGCGATATTTCCCCCAAAGATGCCTACAAAGGTCTCCAGGTGATTCTGATAAGCGTCAATCTTTGAATCTCGATGAAGCTTCCACAATCTTCGCATCGAGATAATGCCTCCCAGAAGGAGCCGAGTGTCCGCCGCGTGCGTGTTCTGCCGGGAGAAGAAGGTATTCAACGCACCCCCCCAATGGACCAAATCAAGTTCTAAAGCCGAAGTAGTTGAAATGTGATGCACAAAGGCCCAGATGTGGCAGCTGCCTGGCAAGGGGCATTAAGTGCGAGCAAAAGCCTCTCCAACACAAGCCTAGGTTGGTCAGGAGCTCCCAAAGGTGGCATCCACCTCGTCTAAAAGTCACTACAGGCCAACGAATCGCCGCATTTCCCTCCTAGAGCAAGAAAATGCATTGCTGCGCCAACAGCACGCCCAAGAGTCGAGCGTTGCAGTCACTGTAGATGCACTCGTTTCGGTGAGTCCATCTGTAGGCCAAACCGACTCGCCGATCGACCGCCCCACGGGGAAAAGCACCGGGTCATCACATCCCGAAGCCCCCGACGGCGCCCGCTACAAGAACACCCCTTCTTTATACCACGGGCCTACAAGTACTGCCTATGACGATACTGCTAAATCTCATGGCAGTGGATCAAATGACTCACAGGGTGCGACTCTTGTTACTGAGGAATGGACAAGAAGTATTCTGTTTGCTGAAACTGCGAGACAAAGTAAGCATGATCATCGCGAATTTGATTAGGCAGGCTGACGGGGGTATGAATTAGGACAGCTAGAGTCACTGAATCTCGCCGCAGGGAAGCTTGACTTCGATGGCGTCGACCCGGAGACTGGCATGGAACTGCTGTCTATCTACTGGTGTCGCCAGCTGTACACCGCGCAGATAATTTACCGACCGGCGTTCATGCGGGACATGGCATGCAATGGTCCTTATTTCTCAAAACTTACTTTGAACGCCATATTTTTCACCGTGTCGAAGCATTCTTCTAGACTCAGTATCCGATCTGACCCGGACGACATCACTACCGCAGGATGGAGCTTTCGCCAACGATTTACCGAGTTGTTGCGCGACAGTTTTGACAAGAGCGAGATAACTACCCTTCAAGCACTCTTGATAATGTCGAACTCCTTGTTCTCAAGGTGTGATGAAAGGAGTCTATCTTGGTTATATGCAGGTAATGCCTTCAACATGATCATTGACCTGGGGCTGCACGTCTTGCCATCGCCTAGTGAAATGACTGCAGAAGATCTTGAGATCCGGAAACGAGTCCTTTGGGGTGCCTACGGTAAGTCCCATGTACTCCGAAAGCAATGTGGATATAAACCTAACCTTATTGTTAGCTATTGATAAAATCCAATGTCTTTTTCAAGGAAGACCGCCGCTTCTTCGCTACATGAATTTTAAAGCATCGTTGGACTTTCTAGACGACTACGACGAACTTGAGGCATTCCAAGAAATCACATACAACCCAGTCAAATCACGATCTGTGATTCCGTCCCTGAATGTGTCCCTGCTCACCAAGCTTTGCGAGTTATCAATCATCATTGATCGCATACTCTGTGAACTTTACTCAGAGTCACAACAAATGACCCCGGCTCAAAGTCGGGCCATATCCGAAAATATCAATGCGGACTTGGCAAAGTGGCGACAGAGTCTTCCACCCCAGCTGGACTGTATCTCCCAACCAGAACACTTTGTTGTTCTGCCCCAGGCCTTTTGCTTGCTGTAAGTGCTCTTGACCTTATCTTGAAAATGGATGCCTAACCGACCAGGGCCCTCTTCAATGTTTTAATTATTCTTTCTCAGCGACCCCTCTTCACCGGAAGCTACAGCCGTACTGCGACTTCAGACACTGCCTATGAGTCTGTGAACATATGCACAACTGCGGCGAATCAAATAGTCCAAATAATCCACGACTATTCCCAGAACTTCTCGATTACCACCGCGCCATACATGCTCTCATATGCTACCTACATCAGCGCAATTATTCATGCGCGAGTGGCTGCGCAAATGGGCCGAAGCTCGACGTCATACCCCTCGCTGACGTTCTGCCGGCATATCTTGAAGGAGCATCAGAAGCTCTATGCTTCCGCGGGGAAAGCCAAGGCAAATCTAGATAAGCTCATCTCGCATCTCGATATTGATATCTCCGATGATGATGATGGAAATATCGCTGCTTCTGTGACTGTGGTTAGGCAAGAGCCGCCTTTCGTCAGTGAGAGCATTCTCCTGCCAGGCGCGTCTGCTCCAATGCCGCAAGGGACCTCAATACAATCTCCGCAAGTGAACTGGGAGCTATCCGATATTGATCTTGAAGCGATTGCGCAGAGTTTCCTGCCGGAGAGTGAACTGCATTATTTGATGCACCCGTCCGGTCTATCAGGTCCTCGATAAACAATCAATACGACAAACTAGATGTTTCTTCACCACTACTGTCAAGTATACCCCACATATTTTGAAATATCATTGACTTGAAGTGAAATATAAAGTTCGTAAAGCAAACGCATCATGATTCATAGTACTTCTGCCGCGGCTTCAATGAGGCCCGTGATAGCGGCGGGAAGAATCTGGAATATGACCATCCAGGAAGGAATATAGAGACCCGCGAGCGATTTTAATCGGAGTTTCTACCACGACGTAAAAGCGCGGGGTTAGAAAGCTTTCCAGTCAAATCTCACCTAATGGATGTTTGGTATACTTAAAACCTGCATTTCCAACCCCATCAGCAATCACGCGAGTGAGCTATACCCGGAGCTCACGAAATGACTGAAGACATAATTTGTGGAGCGTGCTATAAAAACCCTAAAGTCTACTCTTGGAGGCGATTGTGAGATTTTCAAGTGCATCAAGCGTGTTCAAGTTCCGCACCTGACTACTAGTACAGAGAAATCAATAGTCGGTTCTAAAGACCAACACCAGGTTTGATAAAATTTCACCAGAAAATGGACCTTTAATTATTGTCGAAGTCTGGTGGCTATCAGATGAATCAAGTAGTGCCTAATCTCAATATCGGATGAATCAAGTAGTACCTAATCTCAATTCATCTGATAGCCACCAGACTTCGAAAACAATTAAAGGTCCATTTTCTGGTGAAATTTCATCAAACCTGGTGGATATCGGATAAATCAAGTAGTGCCTAATCTCAATTCATCCTATATCCACCAGACTTCGAAAACAATTAAAGGTCCATTTTCTGGTGAAATTTCATCAAACCTGGTGGGTATCGGATGAATCGAGTCCTAGAGCTTTTACCTTTCCATTTCCTTGGATTCATAGCTGATCTCGGTCCTTGAATTTGCTTGAATCTCAAGTTGGTGAGTTTGCGATATGGATTGAATTTTGCGACTCCGTCTATGGAAATTTGGTGGGCTTATGAGAGTTCAGTCAAGCCCTGAATCCAGTCAGCCAAGAAAGCTCACAGGAAAAGCGCCAGAACCTGCGGCTCTCCATTTTCATCTGGTGAGATGAAGCTATAATTTGTCTATATCCAAGCAGCAACAGATGCCTTTGGTCACATACACGAGTATATAATTTGAAAGGACGTCGACCGACGATAATTATTCAGGCCGAATCTGCGGCGACAAGGACACCCGTGCTGTTTTAAATTTTAATATGGACAGATTGTGACTTGGGAACAGGATTCGATAGCTCAGCTGATAACCCGAGCCTACTTTTGATTTCCAATATCAGACGTCTGGAGGTACAGTGCTGGCAACATACGCTAAGATGGAAACTACTCTCCGATCCGAAGGGGCAGGAAGGCTCTATCAACTATGCGAGGAATCGTAATCCGAACGAATCCAGTCTTTAAGCAGTGGTTATGCGAATAAAGCATACGGCACTGGATTGCTGGAAGTTCTAACTCCTTCCGGCAAAAATATCCGTACCACTTCAGCAGATTACTAGACAGATCATTTGAACATACTAGGTCTTCCCTTGGTATGAAATACGCAGTATGCATACATTATTTAATCGTAGAGCACGGTTGCGCTTTCAATGAGTACGTGACTAATTAATTCAGAAAATTCTAGTGTAAGCGCAATCGCTGATCAAACCCCAGGCCTGATAAAAGCTTTATCGCCAGATCTAAGCTTCCCCTCACCGGATCTGAGGACCCCACACGTTATCCATGGCGATTTCTGGGCCCTTGCTATTCGACCCCTTGGGTCTGCCCAGTCGGGCAGTTTCATGCGAACAGCTCTTCTAGGGAGGATCGGTTTGCCATTCATCGGATTAGAGATGGCTATCGCCCAATTACCCCCCTCTGGGAGGGGCTCTGGCAGCGCTACGACAACATGTATAAGAGTATGAGCATGCCTCAAGCGTCAGTAGTCTTTCCTTTCAGTAACATACCGCTAATAAATCGAACAACCTTGAAATTGGACATTTTATTCACTATGCCTCTCGGTTTCACATATCACGCTAACGCCCAGGCAAACTTCAAGCCTCCTCTCGTTGCCAACGATAACGCATTCCTCGGTGATATCCAGTCAAAGTACGTACGCAGCCTTGGTCTGGACCCAAGCCAACCATCAAATCTCCGAGGCCACTGCGCTAACCATCGCACAGCGAAAAGACCGTCCCCGACAAGCCACTCTCTGCCGGATTCTACCGGTTAGAAAAGGGCACTCCGCTTGTCTACACCTACACCTACGAAGAGATGAAGATCATCCTAGAGGGCGAGTTCGAGATCTCCGACGAAAATGGCCAGAAGGTTACCGCTACCAAGGGTGATGTGTTTTACTTCCCCAAAGGATCCACCATCACCTTCACAACCCCGGACTACGGACTAGCGTTCTTCGTGAGTACCTCCTTGGTAAGCCGCACAATGAGCGGTGCTGACAATTATCGCAGGTGGGCCAACGCGCGGAGGGCGTAGCCTAGATGTGAAATGTGAAATGTGACAGCTCTCAAGTGTACATGTGATAGTCAAGCAATTTTCAATTGGCAAAGGATCCAGTAGCGACTACGGCTACTTGCACACTAAGGAATCGTCCCGCGCAGAAGCGCTCGATCCATGGGTGGTGATGAGGTCCACTTTCCCAATACGGTAGTTTGCTTACCTCGGTGGAACATTTGTTTACCTCCTTGCAACATCAGATGGGATAGTTTGCTCTAGGTTATTGGAATATGAGACGATCCTGCTAGTCTGTATCTTAAGAGGAGCTAGCAACGGGGGCCATCAATGTCTTTTGCCGGTCATGCGCGACATCGTAGTACTCTCGTCTGGAATTGCCCGCATCTTAGCGACCCGCTTCAGACGCCATTTTCTCCGATCCTCGAGACTGCCCAGCCGCAATTTCACAAGCAAATCAAGGCTTTGATGATGGGCCCCTCAGACTGTGGCTTGCGGCCAGGGCAGCCTCAAAGGTGGCGGCCGGCGTCTGAGAACCCACGATTGGGGGACCTGGGGCCGATCTTGAGCCAGAAACCGGGATGGATGAGGGATGAAAGTGGAGCCTTTTTCAGCTCGGGTCGATTGACCTGGGACCCAACGGACTGGATTTCAGCAGGAGATGAAGCAACTAGTCGACTGGCACAGCCTGTATGACGTGGGGAAAAGAGTTGCCGCGGCAACTCAAGGGGGAAAGAAGGATACAAGGATACAAAGTGGACACTAGTGAAGCACGACTTACTTTAGGAAGGTTTGGATCGCAGAGTGGATTCAATAAATAGGAAAGCGAAATCAAGATCCAAATCGATCAGTGGAGTCGATCGTCCATGAAGCTGACACATAAAGAAAACCATTGACCCTCAGGCATCGCGAGAGTTCTCTCGCTCTTTCATTCTTGGGTATTCCGACGTGGTTCTGCCCGACGCGATTAGTGCGTCTTAGTCTCTCCCTTATCAAGGGGGTCCGCTTTTCCAACCCCTCCATCCTTCATCTACAAACAACACCATGGCTGTCGACATCGCCGATGACCGTTTGCGCCTCCCAAACCCGCCCCCGCTGCTGCATACTCGCTCTGGCAATGAGGCCTTCGACCGACCCTCGACCCCCTCCGGCAATGGCTTCACCAGCCCTCCGCAGACCCCCCAGGGCAGCCCCAGCAAGTCGCGAGCACCACCGGGCTCCTTGGACTTGCCCAACATCTTCGATAAAGCCTTGAAGTTAACACCCACTTCGCCTTCCAAAAACACACACAACCATTTCAATCACCCTATGTTCACGGCGGAAAAGAACAGCGTCGAGGACTTCAACGAGAGCGTCATCCACCAGCGCCCAACGAGCCCCACGCGCAAGGCCAACAAGGAAAACACGCCTCCCGGTACGCGTACAGCAAAGGACCTGGGGCCGAATCCGACGGCGGCTGCGATCTCGCGTCACGAACATTACCAAACCAGGGACACCGATACGTCCAAGCGCCATGTTCAGTTACGCGGCCTCACTCCCGAAGAATTGGAGAAATTGCAACAACCCAAGGTCAAGCGTTTGACGAATGTCACACAACTCTGTAAGTGCCTGATTCCGGCGTCGCGCCCAATGGCAGACATTAATTTTACTTTTCCAGATTTCCTCGACCATTACTTCGATCTCCTCAGCTACGTCCACAACCGCCAAACCCGCCACGCCCAATTCAAAGCCGCCCACCCTGAACCTCCCGTAACCCCAGCCGAAGAATACGAGCCCGCACTCCTCAAGTACCTTGGTCGGGAACGTGCACATCTGCGCAAGCGTCGCACGCGTTTGCGCCAGCACGATTTCCAGATCCTCACTCAGGTCGGGCAGGGAGGATATGGACAAGTCTACCTGGCACAGAAGAAGGACACCCGGGAAGTATGCGCGCTCAAGGTGATGAGCAAGAAGTTACTGTTCAAGCTGGATGAAATTCGCCATATTCTTACCGAGCGCGACATCCTCACAGCCGCCAAGAGCGAATGGCTCGTGAAACTCCTCTACGCTTTCCAAGATGACTCCCAGATCTACCTGGCCATGGAGTATGTGCCAGGCGGCGACTTCCGCACTCTCCTCAATAACACCGGCGTCTTGCACAACCGCCACGCTCGCTTCTATATCGCCGAGATGTTCAGCTGCATCGACGCTCTCCATGTCCTTGGGTACATTCACCGCGACCTGAAGCCAGAGAACTTCCTCATCGACTCAACCGGGCACGTCAAGCTGACTGATTTTGGTCTGGCAGCCGGCATGCTGAGCCCAGGCAAGATCGAGTCCATGCGCGTCAAACTCGAGGAAGTAGGCAACACGCCCGTCCCCTTCGGTCGGCCCATGGAGCAACGCACAATGGCCGAGCGCAGACAGGGCTACAAATCGCTCCGCGAGCGAGAAGTCAACTACGCAAAGTCCATCGTCGGCTCGCCGGACTACATGGCCCCTGAAGTGCTGAAGGGCGACCAATACGACTTCACCGTCGATTACTGGAGTCTAGGCTGCATGCTCTTCGAGGCCTTGGCTGGATACCCACCGTTCGCAGGCGCAACGGTCGATGAGACCTGGCAGAACCTGAAACGGTGGCAGAAGGTGCTCCGGAAGCCCGTGTACGAGGACCCGAATTACTTCCTGTCGCGCCGTACGTGGGATCTTATTACGAGACTTGTGGCGGCGAAGGATACCCGGTTTAAGAATATCCAGGAGATCCATGCGCACGATTACTTTGCCGAGGTCGACTTTTCGAGGTTGAGGGAGCAGCGCGCGCCCTTTGTGCCAGAACTGGATTCGGAGACCGACGCGGGTTACTTTGACGATTTCAGTAACGAGGCTGATATGGCGAAGTACAAGGAGGTACACGACAAGCAGCGCGCGCTGGAGGAGATGGCTGACCGGGATGATAAGATGGGCAAGGGGTTGTTTGTGGGATTTACTTTCCGGTATGCGTCCTGATTTCATCTTACGGAGTCATATATGCTAACTCTTCCTTCTAGTCACCGCAAACCCGCCGCAGATGGCCAAAGTACACCACGCAAGCCTATCACGACGGACGGTAGTAACTTCGGAACAATGTTTTAATCGGATATGTGTTTCTATGGTGGGTGGAGTGGTTCATCCATTCGCTGATTTCTCTTCTTCCGTCCTGCTGGGGCCGTGAATTCCGAGCTGGATCTCGTTGTTCGGGTTACAGGGGTGAGTGCTTGCAGTATGAGTTTAATGGCGCAAATCATGTTGTTTCCTGTTCGAGCCTCCACCTTTCGTGTTCCAATTATTCCTTAGAGATAGGTTTTATGAAAGCCGAGGCCAAGGCTGTTTATGTTTTCGTACGCTTCAATTGGATTGTGATTGGTATGGTACATATCATGATGTTAGATGAACTATCCGTGGCGTAGTCGACCCGAGTCCATTTCATTCCCGGCCCTAGCATTTAACGGTCGAGCAGCGGTATACGCGCCGCTCAGATCCTACAATGCTGACATTTCGAGCTCGTCGCGCAACGCATCTAGTTCGAGGGAAGCTGGCGCACCATGCGCAAGATCTCAGATTCCTGGTCGCCGATCACAGCACGGCCATTGACCCAGTCAACAGTCTAAGTAAATTAGCACCGCGTCTGCAATCTAACCCCCAATTCCCCAGGGTAAAAGGAACCAATACTTACAATAGGACGAACAAATCGTGACTGGTCCTCCTTGAACTTCTTCACCGCATCCTCGGCATCCTTCGCGCCCTTCACCAGCTCAGAAACCTCGTAAGTTTTCTTGTCGCCTTGGCCGCCCACGCCACTGACGGGAGAAACGTATTCGATAATGCTGCGCAGCTGGTCGGTCGTCGGAGGGTTCGTGGTAACCTCCAGCTCGAACTCGCCGCGCTGCTGCTTGGCGTGCGAGGAGTACTCGCTCGCTTGGTCTTCGGTGGCGGTCTCGGCGGCGTTGATGGAGGCTTGCTTGAGGAGGTTGAGGGCGCGAGTGCTGCTCGCGAGGGAGGGGGAGTGGAAGAGGGTGATGGGGTCGAGGGTTTTGCTCTGCGATTGTTAGTTAGTTAAGCCGGGTCGGAAGACGTGTATACATTTGGCTGGGGAATCAACTTACGAAGCGAAACATTGTGGTGGTTGTGGTGGGGAGGTATTGGAGGTGGGGATGTGAGATGTGGAAGTTCAAGGTCGGGGAGCTTCAAAGGCAACTTGGAAGCTTCAGCCGAGGATGATGTGATGATGTCATGTGCCGGCCCCGATTGTGTAAACTGAGGGTTCCTTTTTTGGATAGTTTTGCCGGCTCCAGCTTGGTATCTGCTGTTCAGCCTCACACACCGCTTTTTACTGCGTGGCTTGAGTAAGCTAGCTCAGTTCTTAAGGTGCGTATTGAAGATGACAGATCGGTTGTTTGGAGCGTATGATGGGCGTTCATTAGAACAAGGTTCGCTCGATATCTATTATATAATGAATGGTCTTGAAGTACATAATTCGGTGGGATTTGATTGAGACCACAATTTACCGATTGATTTCTGGTTTTCGAGGTCGTGATACTTGATTAGAGGATCTCTATCAGGGGAGGCGTACATGGCTCGAGGCGCAGTCAAGGCAAACAAGGCACCCTCGACCCTGCATCTTGCCATGCATGTCCAACCCCACGTGTGTAATCCCAATTGGAGAACTAGAAGTGTGGCTTTGATCAGATTCCAAGGAGGGATAGCCATTGGCTTTGGGGAACCGGGTTTATGTAGGAATGTCTAATCTCAAACACGCGGAGAGGGGCTGAGTTCTATTCTGATAAAGCGATGGCGCCCGGCGGCTAATTCGTTCTCCTTGTATTTTGTCCCTCTCCTGTTCAAGTTCGCAAATTATTCTGCACGTTCCTTAGAAGCTGATTTAACACGATCGTGTTAGCATTTCTGGCATATACGGAGCAACAAGACTGGCATGGGCGACCCACTTTCTCTCACCGGAACGGCGGTGGGCATCGTTTCACTGGGCCTGTCTGTCTGTCAAGGTCTTGTCTCTTACTATAGTGCCTTGCGCTCCTACTCCCAAGACACCAAAAATGTGATCAACAAGCTTGAAGGCCTAAAGGATGTCCTTGCGGGACTTGAAGCCCTATTACAAAGGCTTGGCCCACTTCAGACTGAAACGGCTGCAATAAAGACAGCCGAGCGGCATATTCTAGCCTGTAGAGGCGGTCTAAGTCAACTGAAAGAAATCATGGACAAGTGTGAAGAGACCTCAAGTGGATTACAGCGGGGTTACAGCAGAGCACTGTACCCTTTTCGGCGCGACACGATCGGGTCGGTTCTCAAGCACGTGGAGAGTCTGCAATCAAACCTGGATACATCAATGCATATACTGAGTCTGCAAGTTTCACCTTCCTATTGAATGACCTGAAAGCTTTGGCCGCTGATAGTCTACAAGATCCGTTTCCTCGCAAACCTCAGAGAGCATAGGGCAACTGCGTATCACCACGGAGCAGACTCTATCCAAGTCGGCAATCATTCACAGTCACGCCCAGAGCATCGACCAGGCGCAGCAGGATATCAAACTCGGGATTTCTGTCATTCAAAGGGATCTGGCGGACATGGTATGAGCTCTCGTATCATATGGTATGATGTCTGAACTAAAGAGAATTTATCTAGCGTCTACGCCTGAACCCACAAAGCTTACCAATTCCTCGCTTATCTGAACCAGGATCAACATCATCGGATAGACTAATCACACTCGAGAACCGTCCAGTTCAACTTGATACACGGGTCAGACCGATAAGCCACCGAAAGCTGAAATGCTCTTGTTCATCGTCTGCCGTCTCGTCTGGGAAAAGGAAAGGGCTTTTCGCATCATTCTGGTACTCTTCCCATGCGTTTGGATGCCCGCTCTATTTCCAGGACGAAAAGAAGTTATTTGAAATCAGATTTGGTTCTTGTGAAAGACTCTTTGGAGTATCGGTTCGTCTTTGTGTGAAAAGCATCAGGCGCTGCGGAGAATACTCAATTTTTCCGACCTTGAACATCTGTCCAATTGTTGATATCTCTGAATCCCCTGCTTTTGAGCTCGTCTTCCGAAGCTTATCTGAATTTACGACAGGGCCTCTACCCTCGGATTTTATCCGAGATGTGTCATGGGATCTACAATCAATGTACGAGAGAGGTTTAGCTTCGCCTAGGGATATGATCATGGGTGGTGGGACTATCCTCCAGGTAAGCCAATATAAGTATACTGCCAAACATTTGATACTATGAATTCAGAAGTTTATATTACTCACTGCCATTATAGGAGGCTCTAAACTTCATGGAGTATATCCACGAGTCGAATTTTGAAGATTATTGCTATTTCATCACCAGCCTTCTTCAATTCGGTGTTCCGTCAAATGAGAAATATTGTGATCGCACTCCATTGGACATCCTTTTGGATCAAGGAAGCCGTCGCTTCCGTTCTGACTCAGAATCTTTCCAAGACCAACTAGTGTTCCTATTCGCCGACCTTGCGGCCTATGGCGCAGAATTAACACTAGATTTACGCAAGCGCCTCCGTTTAGACATGTACCAGATTCCTAGAGTAACATGTGAAGTTATCTACCCCAGTGACTACATTTACGCCATCGCAAGGCGAAATATCTACGACGGTACGTCCTTCAGTGTTTTGGTTGGGAGGCAATGGTCTCGAGCCGGAGTAAATTAAGCCAAAAGCAATGAGTCATCAGGACTGATATAATCAAATCTAGAATTTGACGTGTCCAAGTTAGCGAGATCGATCATTCGGAGATCAGAAAATGATCTTCGGGTGATCATATCAGAGTCCATGGGAACATTTGGAGAAGCTCACGCAGACGACACTTATCTTGGAGAGCTGTGCATTGGATGGCCTCGAGGACTCCATCTCCTCTTAAAAGCCGGTTATCGCTTGGATACCCAGGAACTCTTAGTCTATGCTCTCCATTTCGGATATTTGGAGTCAGTTGTGGTGTTATTGAATGATGGCAACCCAGCTATACATGGCACCCACCTCTGGGTGGCGTCCAGGAGTTCTAATACTGAAGCTTTTGAGTTGGTAGCACGTGCTTTGGCAGAAAGGAGGCGCAAGCTTCAGAAGTTGGCCGAACGGCATTTGCCGCCTTCAATATGTGAAAGTTTGGGTTTGCCGATCAATTGCGCGCTGGACTCTCGTGCCACTCTAGTTTTTTCTACCCTCCAAGATCACGGTATACCAATAGATCCATCCTTGTTCTTGGACCAGCTTTGGGACGGCGATACTGTTTACAATGTTTCTTATGACCGACGTTCTGCGGAAATCCTTTTCAATGCAGGCTTTCAGGACTTCGAGGAAGGAGAGATAGGAATGGAACAAACCCAGGAGGACTTCGAGGAAGGAGAGATAGGAATGGAACAAAACGAGGAGGACTTCGAGGAAGGAGAGATAGGAATGCAACAAAACCAGGGAATGTCTACACTGATGCGCGTTGCTGACCCAGACAGCTACCCTTTTTACACAAGCCTCCACAATACACTCAAGGTCATGGGGTTCTTGATCTCTAAGGGTGCCAACCCACACAGGCAACGGGTTGAAGATCGCCAAACAGCATCGCATATTCTGGGAAGTTGGCTTTCGCATTCCCTCCGAGAAAGTGTTGTATTCGAGCTTCGTAATATGAACTCACTCACAGTTTACCAACCCATAGCGAGAGCTAATTCATCGCAAGTCCGGGCCGCGGTTTTCGAAGTTTTCCGCACGTTACGGTCGGAGATCGATCGTGAAACTGGGGACATTCTAAAAGATTTCTTCCTGAGCTATCACTGTGATTCATGTTCATGTGCATGTTCAGAAAATGGCTGTTTTCCAAGTACGATGTTCTTCCGAGAACTGATTACATGGACAGATTCACCACCTAATATTCAGGCTTTGGCTGAAACTATCCGCTTCCTCAGTGAGCAGAGACGGGTCGGATCAGTGGAAGCATTCCATGATACAATAGCTCCAACTGTCCTTCGTGTTTGCATTTTCGAGCATTTGGAACTCACCCACACATGTTGCAAGGAAATTCCTCATGCTTTTTTTGGAAAACCAAAACTTGCGGATATTATGGAGGACTTTCTGCATATACGAGATGAACAGCGTTATTTGATTGAGGAAGTTGACAATCTGACCGACTTCTTTCTGTCAAAGTACCGTGAGATTGGATTGGGCCTGCCTGAATTTTTACTTGAATACTGGTCAATCGAGATTCAAAAGGTCCCCGCACCAGATCCTCAAGAGGTTGAAGCGATCAAGAGGGTTGGTGTTATACTGGATGAGTGACATCAAAGCATATGGTGCACGCTTTCGCTTTGAAGTTCCACCAATTCTCATCATAGCGCCAGTGAACCCTACTTCAGGGTATCTGTCAAGTATCTGACACTCTGTCAAAATCTGCTTCATAATCTCTCTCACTCTCTCTTGCATCGTCCCGGCTTCATCTAAACGCCCTTGCCTTCTGATATGTCCGCATGTTTGAGTCCAGATTGTTCGTCGAAGCCCGTGCGCCCACGTTGGTTTCTGGGCTTTCAAGGTTGAGATGAAAGTGCCGACCTGAACCCTGCATGGATAATTCTTGCCTCAGAAACTCCCAGAAGATAATCACCCATCTCAGTCCTGGAGCGAATCAGGTGCATCGCCTCCAGGGCAAGTTCTGTTTCAGCGTCAGGTACCAGATGACCCAGACATGCGTTCATCGACCGAAAAGTGGATCCGCCCGGTCCCGCATCTAGAAATGTTGCCAGAAATACACATTTCCCACTCCGTGGCCACTATCTCCTTCACAGACTTTTACTTTATTTTCACGACTTGCACCTTCTCCTTCCTCTGAGCCCTCAGACCGCGCTTCTCCAAGATGGACCCAATGGACTCCATGCCCGGAATGGCCCCCGCTGAAAATGCCCATGCAACCGCCATGAACGTCTTCACCAACGCACACAACACCCCACTCTACTCCGCTTCCTGGATCCCTTCGTCTCCCGCGGGCTACGCAGGGACCTGCATTTTCCTCATTGCACTCGCTATAATCGACCGCTGCCTCATAGCCTTCAAGGCAGCCCTGGAGCGCCACTGGCAGGCCGAATACGTCAGCCGCCACTACATTGCCATAGCAGACAAGCCCTCGGAAGTGGAACGGATTGCCTCCATGGTGGCCATCCACGGCCCCGAAGATGCAATCAGAGTTGTTCACAGCGTGTGCTCCGGCCCAATCCCGTGGCGACCGACGGTCGATGTTCCACGAGCCGGACTGTTTCTCGTCATCTCGGGCGTGTCCTACCTTCTGTTCGTTTGCCTGTCCGACCCCCGGCCACGTTTCAGACTGACCTCTTTCTAGTATGCTAGCTGTTATGACGCTTAATGTGGGATATTTCTGTTCTGTCTTGGCGGGAGGCTTTATCGGCGAGCTGGCGGTGGGGCGATACGTGCATTGGAATGGCGACGCGCACTGAGACATAGATCTAAGATCTAGCGAAGACTCAATTTATATTCTTGTTTCTATTTTAATGCATACATGGCGCCTCACGAGCTCAATGGATGACAATTTCACTTTGATCATCTTCCTTCTTTTTGTTGGCTGCATGCGACAGCAACACAGGGCGGACCTGTGCCGCATTGGGTTTAGTGTGTCCGGGGATCGACGCGACTAAAATCTTAATGCCCCACCGTGGATCCGTGAAAATACTTGAGAAATCCAATCGAGCTTCGAGCTCCTGCATTACATTAACCCACACGAGTCTACACAGCAGATTTGGTTCGTACAAATAACTTCGTATTCTCATAATATTATAATCGAAATGGTATAAAAACAGTTGCTAAAAGGATTTCTAAGGATAAGCTGACGATCTGGAGTGGGAGATTCAGTCATTTAGTTGAGGCAGCTCTCGCAATAACTGCGTGAGTCGCTTGAGTGGCGTGGGCTTCGTTAGGAATTGGTCAACACCGCTGATAACCGCTTCCCGCTGCTTTTCGGCGGAGATAACAGCTGTGAGTATAACAATAGCGGCCGGTTTCAGATTCTTACACTTCTCCAGATGGCGCATCTCGCGTGTTGCAGATAGGCCGTCCATGACGGGCATGGAGATATCTGTGCGTCTATATAAGCAGTCGTTCGTTCGTTTTTGGACAGGTACTTACCCATAATGACGGCCCCGAATCGCTCGTTCTTGAATAGCTCCAATGCCTCAAGACCGTTGGTTGCTTTTTTGTACGGCAAGCCCGTATTCTTAACGCAAGTCTCGATGATCTGGACGACGGTGTCAGCTAACAAGGGAAAGTCCCCAGTAGCTATATTCCAACCTTCAAATTGATTGCATTATCCTCGACTAGGAGAACTTGCTTCGATGATTCCTCTGAAAATTTACCTGCATCGTTGCTAGTAGTGTCACTCTGCAGTATACTCTGCTCGGGGGTGGCTTCCCTTGAGCCTGAGCCCGTGCGCGCAGTCAACCCCTGGGAAACATCCTGGTCGATCTCTTGAGGGTTCAGGCAATTTTCGAACACCGTGGCAAGCGTTTTGGGGCTCACGCTGTGTACCGTTAGCAATATTTCGACACGCCCAAGCAGTTCCATCTGCTCCCAAGGGTCAAGGTTGCCAACTTACGGCTGGGATAAGAAGATCGCCCTGTCCCCGTTGTTTTCCTTCACCACCTTCCAGCTACTCGCCTGTCCACTGAGAACGATAAGCGGATACCCTCTCTTGGACTCAATAAAGCTCCGGACATCTGAATCTGCCGAATCCCGTGCCATCTTTCTGTATTCATGCTCGGTGACGATCATGAAATCTGCCGGCCGATCCTTGAGCTCCTCAGGACTAAGCACTTCCAAGCCGAACCAGTCACGGGCCATCCGGCCAAGACTGTATCGAATTTCGTCAAACACTTCCGGTTTAATCCCAAGGGCGCCATGCTTGGAGCTTTCTGTGAAGAATGAAACGGTCTTGCCTTTCAATTGGTCCTTCAAACGGGACGGCGAGGAGTCGGACACGGGGCTAGACGTTTGCTCGGGAACGGGAAGAATCACCTCCACATCCGTACCGCGACCGACCTCGCTCTTGAACTCGATTTTACCTTGGAGAGAGTTAACAACCTGGTGCACCAAATGGAGTCCTACCCCCAGCCCGGGCGACTGGGTATCTTCTTGGAGAAATGGGATGTAGAGGTGGTGAAGCAGGAAATCTTGGGACATTCCACGGCCGGAATCGCTGATGGTGATATGGACTGCTCGAGTCTCCTTGCCACCAACGACCAGGGTATCTTTTCTCATAAAGAGTCGAATAAACCCTCCTCGAGTATACTTGATCGCGTTTCCGAACAGATTCATCACCACCCGGCGCCAGGCTCCGGCGTAGATGCGATAATCCCAGTTCTCATCATACTCGATGTCGACAATCGTCATAATGTTCCCCTCGTCGCCCCCTTTCTGAAGCAAGTTGGACCGACTCTTCTGTTTCTGGGCTTCGCCGACCGAGTCTGTTTCTCGGCTATAGAACTCGGCCCCGGCAAGTAATCCCTCCACAACTTCTTGCACCAAGGCGCTCAAGTTTTCAGTTGGACCATGCCGGGCACATTGACCTTCGCTGCCGAATCCTCTTTCGATTGTCCAACTTCCGTCCTCGAGTCGCCTGTGCCCGTCAGGGTATTGATCTTGGCGTAATCCAGCAAGTGATTCAATGTATCCAGCAGCGTTCGCCCGCAGCTATATACCGTGTCGACAAGCCCTCTCTGCGTATACCCCGTGACCGTCTCTTGCAAGAGCTCGACTGTCCCCAGCACACCATGGAGAGGAGATCGGAGCTCATGCGAAATGGAAGAAATAAAGTCACTCTTGGCTCGGTCAGCAGCTTCAACATCCATGCGCGATACCTCGGCCATGACACTGTTGCTGAATGCGGCCATGTACGTCAGGTCCTTCGGCTCAGATAGCACACGGCCCGGGTCATTCGTCCACACCAAGCTCACAGTGAACCAGCGACTTCGCTGGAAGTCCCACACCGGGTATATAGCGATACATCGGGCGTCTGGAAGGACTTTGTGGAAGAATTTGATTTCCTCGGTCTCCCGTTTGAGGTCTTTCTCTTGTGGAGAGCCTGGCTTGGCGGTAGTGTCACTTTGCTTGTAGCTTTGGCTCACCTCGTCTGCGAGACCCTCGTGGCTCAGCGCCACGGAGCCGTCTTTCTCGATATGGAAAATTTTCCCGCGCGGGTAGCGGTCGATGAGATGGGTGATAAAGTCGCCTGGCAGGGGTACATAATGGTTTCCGCGTTGGTTCTTATCTTTGATTGACATTTTCGAGGTCGAATGCCCAAGGACCAGGCTCTTGGGTCCAGTTCTCTGATTATCCAGCGATGTGTTCTGCTCAGGTTCTATTTCTTGTGTGATGAGTCCTCCGTTTCTTGGTTTTTGTCTGGCTTGCACTCACTTTCTTGACTGTCAGATCCGATCATCTGACGGCGCGTATATACGCTAGCGTCCACAAACATCACTCCCTCCACATCAAGGGCTTGGTTCATCAGGCTGCTTGCTCTGTTGAGAACGGATTGAACTCTTCTTGGGGCAAACGAGTTTTCCAGCCGCTCTGTTGTCGGGGATATTGTGGGCCGGAGCTCGTTCTGTTCTTCCTCAGAAAGCGGCCCGTCCGGTTGAGCGTCTTTGTCTGTGAACCTTCGCACTGGCGACAATCTTTTGCTCGAGCGTGATTCTTCGACTGGCTGCTGGCGCTCTGCCTTGGTTGTGTCCTCGGGCGAGTGTTTTGTGTCCTCGGGCGATTGGGGTGAAGACGGCGTCGCTTTCTCCTGACCTTCAATCGCCTGTTCATCTTCGTCGGACGAAACTTGGATTTCTTCCAGCTTTTTGTTGACATGATCCATCGCATCCTCGTCTGGATTGACTTTGCTATCCATTCCCTCGCTAATGTCTGTCTTGCCACGGAAGAAAAGCCCCAATGCTCTGACCATCTTCTCCTCCCGGTGCTCTTCACGCATTGCTCGTTGCGAAATGAAATAATCCATGACCGTGAGACTGAGGTCTTGCAAGAGTTGAGTTTCCTCTTTTGTCAGGCCATCCCTCGGCTTATCATCCAGAACCGCGATGCTGCCAATAATATACGAGTCGGGAGTCGTGATCGGCACCGAAACGTAGAACCGGTGATACGGAGCCCCGGTGACAAAAGGCTGGGAATTGAACCGTTCGTCTTTTGTCAAATCAGGAACCATAAAGATATCCTTGTCTTCCCCTGTAAAGCTCTTCATTGCCAGATCGCACATCGGGGATTTTTTGCCGGGGAAGCTGTTGTACTCCACGCCATAGGGAATCGGGGCCCTCGCCGCTCTCAGGACTTCGAATCCGAAAACGGCGAGTGGACTCGGCGACCACATGTTGACTTGTCCGATCGAATAAGGATATGAGTGCTCGTCTAGCGTCGAGTCTCAGGCTGGCCAGTTGCGCGAAGACCGTCAACACGTTGTCGCGCGACTCATTGGGCTGCTGCCCGACCGACTGTTGCGCAAACTTTTCGGACTGCGAGAATCCCCAGTATGGGAGATATCTGGAAGGAATTGTCTATTTTAGCACCATTGGTCAGAGGAAGGACTGCGGCGCATCGAAACTTAGCGTACAAGTGCATCTCCCGCTCCCGAGCGGCGTCAATATTATAGGCATACTTCCGAGGGCCAGCTTCCCGGGCCTTCGACGTGGTGCTTGGTTGCATGGGGATTCAATCGACCTCCCCTGGAAGGGGGGTTACTGTGAACAAGTCAAAAAGGCGCTTCGATCTGGAGGTGAAATAAGACCCTGGGTGTCAGTGGGCATGGAGTATGCCAGGAACCATCTTAAAGCCAGCGTTCAAACTATAACGTCATCGGGAGAATTACCTGCCTTGAAATTCCTTATATAGATCCACTCGATGGACTGCCAATAACAGGCCTGTCAATGCTGGGCCAGATCGCCTTGTCCAGAAGTCATGAATGCCAATCACGTTCTGACCTGCGGCGTTGTGACGTCATTTGCTCGGTCCCACATTTGTTGCGCTGCAAAACCTGGAGGAACAGCAGTACCATTGGGTCGGGTAGAAGATGGTAAGAATGATTTTCCGGGCAAAATCGGTCGTATCAGAGAATTTCTACTGCGTTTCTCAGAATGAACGCCTGATCGTCGTGGACTTGGAGCGTATGGGACAGATCTCGGACAGTCCACATGAAAGGCCTGGAAGCTCAAGCGTTTCTTTGATCGACACAAATTGAATTGAAGAGAGAGGGATACTAGATGATCAGGGGTTTCATCAATTGTCCTCCTGTTCCCTATTTAAGTAATCGATATCAGAGACCCAAAAGCCTCAAGATGTCATGAGGACCAACTTCCGGCGACATCGCAACGTGGATTTCCCATCTTGTGCCCGCTGCAATATCTGAAGTCTAGCGTGCATAGCGATATTATTAAATTTAAGGGTCGCGGGCTCTGCCAGTATCAGAGGTTGCTTGGGGCCTGCTGCAGGTTCTTCCGATGCGGTGATCAAGCCGAGTCCGAGCGCCTCGGCGCCACAGCTGAGGGACGTAGTCTAAATCCGGAGTACTCATCGGGGATTTGGTTTGAAATGCCTGTCATAGTGAAGCAGGTACAGGGGCATTAGACAAACATCCAAGCATTAAGGCGAGTCCACCGGTGCCGATGCGGCTGGGGTCAGTGTTTACGCGCCCCACTTGCCTGCCACCATGCGGGGGTGCACAAGCAGAAGATCGATTGCGTCTCCACCAATCTTTACAGAACCACGCCTATCGTTCTGCTTGAGATCTGGCCAAGTCTCTGAATCAGCCTGCCGCTACAAGTCGTTGGCTGCCCCAGAAATTTGCACCCTCGAGCACGGGCCGAGAGCCAGTCGTTTGACGCGTCGGTGGTGGCGTTGGTGGTGGTTTCCCATCGGGATTGCCGGGGCTTTGGTCGCAAAAAAATCAAGGCTTGATCTTCCTCACGATGACGGTCACTCGGGTAGGAGTCTTCCAGACTCTGCAAGTCATCGGCACTACGGTTATTATCCGAGACGACCTCTACGGAGAGCACACCGTGACCGAACCGGTGCTTGTAGAGCTCTTACAAAGCCCTGAGTTGGCGCGACTACAAGGGGTGTGCCAGCATGGCGTAACAAGCTTCTTCGGACATACCCCAAAAGTCACTCGCTTTGAGCATTCAGTCGGGGCACTCCTGTTGGTCCGCAAAGTTGGTGCGAGCGTCGCCGAGCAAGTGACCGCCCTTCTTCACGATATCAGCCATACGGCATTCAGCCATGTTATGGACTATGCCCTCTCCAAGCCTGGCGAAGGCAGTTTCCACGAGGTACACAAGCTCCGGTATTTGAGTACGACCTCTTTGCCGCGCATCATTGCAGACCACGGTCTTGAAACACACAAGGTTTTCGAAGAGGAGCTTTTCCCGTTGGTCGAGCAGCCTTCTCCGCGGCTCTGCGCGGATAGACTCGACTACTCATTGCGCGATACTGTCGCATTCGGCAAATTAGACATCCAAGTCGCACGAGAGGTCTTCTCAACACTTCGGGCTGCCCCGTCGGTATCGTCGCCCGATCGCGTGCTTGTTCTCGACGACCCACAACTGGCATTAAAGCTAGCCCGAGCCTACCTGGCAGCGGACGAATTTGCATGGTCCAATTTAGGACATGTCGATATGTACATCGAAGCGGGCCGGCTGATCAGAGAGGCGGTGGAAACCGGCTTGATCCAGGAGCAGTGGCTCTGGACCATGTCTGACCAAGCACTCTGGGACTACCTCCATCAACACGGGAGTCCCAAGATGTCTCGTGATATGAAAGCACTGGAAACCCGGCCCCTGCCCAGCGGTGAAGGACTGAAGCTTCCCCCCGCATACCAAGATCCGAACACTGGATCCCGATATTTGCCCAGACCTGCAAAAGCCGCCCTTGCCGCTGTCAAAGGTGCTTTCTGGCTGGGCTTCGGAGCTCAAGCAATATGTGGCTAGGCGTGAGGCGACGCGGGAATTGCCGAACTGAACCTAGACAAGATTCTCACGTTAATCATAGGCATGAATAGAAGGGACACCATATCGTTATAGACCAGGTCATGCAAATGCAAAAATAGAGGAAACTTGAGACCTAATTACCCGTAATACGGTCTTTGCGATAGCCTGGGACGAAATGATCCACATGATCGACGCTCCAATTATCCAAGGCAGACACCCGGAAACGAGCCTATCGCTCAGCCTTCCCTTTTGAGCTTCTAGGACCCGCGATGAATAAATAGAGGTCCTCGTGCAGAGTGTCTTGGAAGCAGACCAGGCGACGGAGCAAATCTATGAGAAGGTTCTCCGCCCGCTTCTACCATATGCCTCGGAACGCAATATTAGCACGACTTTTCGCTCACCAGCAGACAGGCTCTAGCAAAGCATTTAGCGTGGGTGGACCGGAACGCCTAATCGCAGAAGCTTTGTTCAATGGATCCCTGCCTGAAAAGGAAGGTACATATGTGCATGCGTGAGCTTGCCCGTCTTTCTGCATTTGGCCATTTCTATCTACAGTACACATCCGAGCCCGAGATGTTGATTGCGACAATTGCTAGATCTGCTTAATGGTCATGCATGTTTCTCGCTCCACGGGGATTCTTTTTGCAACACGCAGCTTGTCCGTGTCATCGAAAAGCAGGTCGCGAGCACCTCTGAACTCCGTGCCCTGATTGAAGCTACTGCATATTGATGCCGCTCAAAATGCCTCAGAGAAGGCGTCATGATATACTTGCATGCTCAATCAAATCAAGATTTATTTTCATATTAAAGAACAGGCTAGTCGGTAATAAGCTATTCGGTGTGGAGCTAAGGCTCTTTTCCGCGGCCGGAAGAACCAGGCTGCTTCAAGCGGTATATTCCGAGGCTGCTAACTCGAATCCAAATCAGCCTTTACAGTTTCGATGAGATCGAGGCAAAAGGAACGTGAATCGTATTGAGGGGGCCCCTCGCATTTTGGGGAGATTAACCGCTTGTTAACCCATATAAACACGCCGTATTGCGAGGCTGAGCGGTGTTCGACCTAAATCGAATCAAACTGCCCACGGTCACGTCGGAGTCTTACTGTACGGAGGAAAGCTTATACCAGGTGAGCTGGCACATTCGACGGAGAATGTGAACAAAATAAGGATATGTATTTCAAGGAATGTGCTCCTATAGACCGCCGATCCACGGGCCCTTCAAATCTGCTCAGTCAGCACCGACCTGTCGGGCACCCCCGACTCCGATCCCCCCAGTTTTGGGCCGAAATATGAAATTGGAGTTCAACAATCCTAGAGCCTCCAGGAAATGGTCACCTTACGCAGAAATGGCCTCCCCTCTTCTTGCGAGCCTTGCCGCAAATCCAAATTGCGTTGTGATCATCAGTTCCCCGTGTGCGAGAGATGCATTCGGACCAAAAAGGCAGACCGGTGTACATACCGGTTATCTCCGTCTACATCTACACCGAGCAGGAAAAGGGTTTCCAAAGCGCCGCTTGTGACCAGCACTCCGGGAAGCAAGCCCGATGCCACCATGATACCGTTAGAGTCAAGTCGACCGGACAGGCCGGCCGCAAAGCGCCGATTATCGCAGTGCGAGTCCTTTGGCATGACTAGTCACTTCGCCCTCTTCCAGGAAAGCACCGACCATTTGGGTGCTTCACCCCTGTCGTTGCCGCATCGTGATCCTGATGACCCCGTTATAAGCTCCAGTGCCCTGGCAGTAGAATCTAATGATGTCAGGCAAGGAAGTCACCTGCTCCGGTTATTGAGAGATCTGCCAGTATATCGCAAGGTGGCAGAAGGTTGGCTCGAGTCTACTGATGATGGGGACTTTTTTGGACGCCCCCTAGTGGAGCAGATCTTCGGAAATTTGGAGGAATTCTCAGGCGAACATTCATCTCAGTGTGATTCGAGTGCGTTGACTATACGGTCTCGAGAAATCTTTCACAAATTCTCCGAGCGCATTCCATTATCCCCCTCAATGACCTTCCAAGAGTACATGTCGAAAATGTCTTGCCGATGGGAGATTGTTGGTTTGGTCTTTTCCTTCGTTGGTTTAGGGGCTATGCTAGCCGAAAACTGGGATTCGATGTTCGAAGGGAGGCCAATAATCCCCCGAAGGGAACTCGCGCATCTGGCAATGTCCGCAACAGAAACATGCCTCCGGTTCTGTAATGAAGCAGGGGTGCTGAACGATACCCTCAGCTGGCTCGTCGAGCAACACACATATTGCATGACTCTAATACACGGTGACCGAGGTGAGTTACGCAAAGCTTTGGAGGAACACTTTCTGACAGATGTAGACTATCGGTCATGGAGGGCCTTAGGGGGACTTGTCTACCATTGTATTCTCATTAGGCCTCAACCAATCCTCTTCGGATGCCGCGGATGACCCTTTCTGGCTGATACAGATTCGTCGACGATTGATGGGCCATGCCTTCAGCTGCGATAAACAGCTAGCCACTTTCCTCGGCAGGCCGCCTCGTATCAGCTGGAGATTCTGTAATATCTCCCTGCCTCTTGATCTTGCTTTCTCCGATATCATTGCCCAGCCAGCTGTCCGGGATATGGCACTCCGCAACCTAGATTCCGATGGCTGGAACACCAAAGAGAGCGACACGCAAGCTATTTGGCTGAGGGTCGGGCTTATCATGGGCCCCGTGCGGGAAAGCATCTTGGAACTCTCTTTAAGTCAGGAGGTTCGAGATCTGCCGCAGAGGATAGAGTAAGTCTACCCTTTATCTGTACATGTGAGGCTTCTAATCCGGTGTTAGGGAGTTGGTGCAGAGATCGCATAGTTGCTGGGCCTCTCTACCCGCGTTTGTTCGCCAAATCCAATATTCTGAGGCTTGTGTACGGGTCGCTGGCCGTAGCCGGACAGTATTCCTTGGGCAACTACACCTGGACTATATGTACAATCAGTTCTTGCTATATCTCATTCTTTCAAAGCGCTCCAATATTTGGTCCGCGGACCTCATTCAAGTCTCGCATGAGATCCTGAGTGCAATTCTTAGACAAATCGACAACCGCGTCAAAGCCATGACGTTAGGGCCGGAACTTTCGTGGATAGTAGGTATTCAGTATCTTTCTCTGAAGATTGCTAATTAATGCAATTCTAGATGTCCTTCTTCGGTCTCCCTGTCGCCGGCGTCCTGTCCATTGAACTCGTCCGTCGCATTCCTTCTCTTTCCATGGATATACAAAACACCCCGATCAATCCGACGGGCTTTTCTTTCCTCGTTCTAGGGTCATCCAGGATCTCAGTATATTCGCATCCTACCTGCGAACCATTATCCAACCCCATGAAGGCAATTACGATGTGTGCCAGCAGGCCCGCGGCGCCATTCTACGTGTCTTGGATGTTGTGCTTTCGCCTGAGGCCAGCGCCCCCATCTACCAAGACGTAGAAGCCACAGGATCTAACTCGGTTACTCCGAATCCTTTCGACGGCCTTGACAGTCTTCTCGATTATAGCTACTACATTAATCGTCTCGACAACTGGCAATTCGAGCTACAAAATAGTTTGGAAATGCTCTAGACACAGGACCGAATCCATTGCCAGCATATAGCTGAATAATATAATCAAAAGCGCAATATTAGATGGATCATCTTACCCTCGCTGTTTCTCTGTCTTTTCATCGCGGATCATCACCTAGAGCGCCACATATGTAAATCAAGCAATTCTCGATGATCGGGTGACTCCTACCAGAGTGGGGCCGATGGGGTCGGGGTGATCGTCGGAGTCGGAGTCGGGGCTGCGCAAAAAAACTAGATTATTACTCATACTGACTCGAACTTTATCCCTTGCACTCCGTTTGGCGCCAGAACGTGCTCCCGAATCCTTCGTTGATCTTCCTATATTGGGTCATCGGATCAAAGTGGCTTTTGGCCCAACACCGGCATTGATCCGAGCTTGCTTACTCCAGTCTTCCAAGGTCCCCTGGGGCTGTGTGGGAGGAAATGCTTGATTCATGACAGGATCCCGTATTAGTTTGAGCGAAAGCTCTATTGACATGACTCATGTGCCAGTTTTTGGATGCCTTCAACAGTTGCGTGTCAGGTAGATTATACTGTCAGAGGCGCAAATTGATCAAGGAGCTTCATGATACCTTCGACTCCCCTGTCTGACTGGTACATGGACAACGATGGGATCTCAGAAGAAAACCTTAAGCTGTGCTGATTGACTGGGATTAATCAAGTACTCTGTGTAAGATAGGCATTCAACTTCCCCTCCCCATTGAATGGAAATCCCAAAGTTCGGATTCTGTCCGGTCCCACAGCACAACCAAGCACGGAAGCCTCAAGACCGCCGACTCTGTTCCCCAGGAAGGGGATCAGGCCAGCAGGACCCACATAAGCTTGGGCTCCCAAAGTACAATAAACTTTTCCTTTTCTTTGGGATTGCGCCGCATATTGAATTCGGGGTGGGGCTTATCTCCACCGCTGTCATTGTGAGCAATCAACACTCATTACTCCGAGCCACGCACCCTACGGGAGCCTGGAGTCGTCACTGCTTGGGCGCCTAAGCCAGGATGTCAGGGTTATAGTACTTAAAAGGGCTGCGCTTCCTATCCCTACCTTTCATAATTCATTCTTACGCTTCGACTCAAACTTATTGGATAATTATCTATTACATACCATTTTCTTCTTCTACGCATACAATCAACGAATACAATCATAATGGCTGGACTGAACTCAATTCAACGGCCTTATGGCGCTCCTCTACCCAAGACGGACGTTCAGCTTGCAAGAGAGGCATATCAATATGTCAATCGACAGATCAAGAAATATCGGGAGCGCCGACAGTCGAAGGCTGAGGGACGGGCTCACCAAGACGCTGAATCAGGCTCTATCATGAGCAGAGCTGAAACACTCGTCGTCGACGAGAGCGACGATGAGAAGAAAGATAAAGAGGCTGCGGATACAAAATCGGAAGCCAAGGCTGCGAAGAAATGACTCTTTTAGCAATAGCCATTTTACCTGTTACAGTACGTTGCCCCCTCTCTGTTGCGTCTCTCTCGACCAACTTGACCGTGGGAAGCTAATATGATCGAGTGACAGACGAGATACCCGAATTGAGTCAGTCGACTATATCAACGCAGTTATATCAGCTCAAATCAAACAATACGCCCCGGCGCATCATCACGCGGTGGATACAAGGATTGGAACTATTGGAAGGAGTTTCTGGATGAATTTCTGATTGTTTACCTTGTGGTGGCTTGACGGTTACAAACTGCAATGGCGATACTTCGCGTAAAATGTCTTGCCACATAGTAGTACTGGTACTTGAAGCCTCGTGAGAACTGTTCTTATGATGTTTTGTATGAATCAGTCCACGCTGGATCCTCCGAACGATTTAGTAAGATTCATTTTGAACTTGGACTATTCTTCCGACTTCCGCCAGTGCCCATGTGCCCAGGTGGATACTAATAGCCTTATGTAACTCCAAAATCACCGACCTCGGGGTATTGGGACCCCGAGAATATCCCTCCGGAAGGAACCAAGAGGCGTCAAATTTTCACGATTGATTTAACAAGGGCTTCATGTTAGGTATCCTCGGTATATGCATATTCTTCCTCCAAAACACTCGCTCTAATATACGGAAATGTGCCATTTTGGGGAGCAGATGAAACCAATCCAAGCGTGAATTTCGCCACCGTGGCAGTCGGAGAGTTGCTGATTGGACATCAGAAGAGACCGGCGTGATTCCCCGGTGATTCAGCCTCGGTGAAGTAGGATTGGACTCATTAGTACTTTGCCGAGACTTTTTCGAAATTCAGCACTAGCTTCTGACCGAGCATCTTCAGCTAATTATACAAGTCTATACATTGTGAACATGGTTTCTTTTCATATAGCGTAGTTTGCAGGCTAGTCCGTGTGGTATAAGCTGGGCTTATAACTATTCACTAGAGCAAGAGGAGGAATTAGGAAAGGCTGTATATGAAGACGCTCCTTTACGCGCATGAATTTAGCTCTTGACGATCAATTGCATATGGAACAAGCCTTATTGACGCTTGGCAAGTCAATAGCCAATATTTGATCGCACACCTTGACCAGCTAGTCATGTATAATACCTTTTCATGAGCGGTGATGGGGAAAAGATAGGTATGGAGTATATCCTTGGAGGTCGGAGCTGGATGTCAATTGTCAACTATTCAAAATCAATCGACCTGTGGCCCTTTCTGTGACTGACTGTAAAGAGTGTCTTTCCAGGATTCCTACTATCGGGCTCGAATACTAGGCCGTCTTTAGACGGTGGCACATTATCGAAGTTTATTTCCACAGCTGGCTCTCTTGAGCAGAGTGACTTTTTAACTCTGAAGGCCCAATTGCACTAAACACGAAGGATAAACGAACTTGTCACCAGGTTCATCCATCAAGAGGCCAAAGGTAGAAGAGATTCATGTTGACGGCTCCCTCGACTACAACCGCGCGTAAGCTATGCTATCTTATCGGCTGATCTACGGTTCGGGCAAATCTATTCCCCCTACCGCCCAGCTAAGTGAACCCGAACGGATCTGACTAACGTCCGCTGAGTGCCATGGGACCTGTACAGGTTTATATGGATGCTTATTCGTACATGAATTCCACCACTATTGACTGTGGTATTGAAAACGCGGGAATAGAAGACGGGGAGAATCGCCCACTTATCACCCTGGGATGGTATCCCCCCCTGTGAAATCATCCAGCAGTAAATGTCCAGGCGGTGGAGGCTCGATAACCTCGGCGGCAGAATAGTGGAGCGATCATTCATCTTCCATCTTTGATCTTCGAATCCTATGACCTCCCCGTATAATTAAGACTTCTAGATCACAGACACAACATGTCAGCTCGTCCATATGTCGTCCCTGCGCTCAAAAAGCACACTGCGACTGTGATCATGGCCCACGGCCTTGGTGACAGGTATGTTGAATCTCAAACCCCCCGCAACATTCATTCAAAGCTGACAATTTCTCAATGCAGTGGCGCCGGCTGGTATGGCAGACCCTCCCCAAATATCTAGATAACTCGGCTAACCTTCATTCCCCGATCCAGGATGGCTCTTGCCCAGAATTGGCGTCGTCGTGGTAAGTTCGAGGAGGTTACTTTCATCTTCCCGAATGCGCCAAACATCCCAATCACAGTGGTATGCATGACCTTTAATAAGCGGTCAAATAGCAGCTTCTAATATAAGTTCCAGAACATGGGAATGAAAATGCCCGGGTGGTACGATATCGCCAAACTGGGCGGTGACGTGAGTCTATTCGCATCTATCAACCCGAGCATCGGCCACTGACCATCGATTCCAAACAGCTCAACGTTGAAGACGTCATCCGCAACCAAGACGAACCCGGCATCCTCCGTTCCCGCGAATACTTCAATGGACTTGTCAAGGAGCAGATGGACAAGGGCATCAAGCCTTCGCGGATCGTACTCGGTGGATTCTCCCAGGGCGGCGTCATGGCCGTGTTCACCGGTCTCACAAGCAAGGAGAAGCTGGGTGGAATTTTCGGGATGTCGTGTTATCTGACGCTGAGCGATCGGATCAAGAACTACGTTCCTGAGGACTGGCCTAACAAGGACACTCCCGTCTGGCTGGCTCATGGTGAAGATGACGAGGTGGTCAAGTTCCCACTGGGCCAGATGTCGCACAAGATGATGAAGGAATTGGGAGTGCAGAACGTTTCTTTCAAATCTTACCCGTAGGTTGCCCTCTGAGGCTCAGGGTCATATGCTTTGCTAATCGATCGACAGTGATCTGGGACACTCGGCCGATCCGCAAGAGATCGTCGATCTGGAGAAGTTCCTGGAGGAGACCCTTCCCTCCGAGGGCGACGGCTCGGCTTCTGCAGGCTTATGAATTGATAAATCACACACCCGCGCTACATCTCTCCAATGGGAGTCTGCTCTGATATTAGGCATCCTGGTGCTAATAGTTGTATGGGCATGGTCTAAATTCCAGAGCCGCGGGTCACAAGAATATCGGACACAGCGCTAAATATATGCTTTGATCCCCAATTCTTCAACGCGAATCGATATTTCGTAGATAATCCAAACATGCGATCGCTCTTCGAAACAGAATGGAAAAGTCACTCTATCAAGCATCCAACTCAACCCAGCCCCAACTCCCAGTCTTTTGGAAGATTTCGAGTCTTCTATTTCTTTAGAGCCCGGTCAATGGCCTCCTCAATCACTCGCACCATCTCATCGGTCTTTTCCGACTGAAAGGGAATCTGATGACCACCACCATGGTCATAGTACGACGCCTTTGAAGGCTCACACAGCTGGTACACTTTCGTACTCATCGGATAGATATGATCATTCTTCCCCACGATATGCGCCGTTGGGATATTGATCGGATGGTAGTCGGGCCTGGGCTCGACGAAATCGGTTCCCGAACTGTCCCACGGCTGCCCCGCGCACAGAAATATCGCGCACCGGAACAGCGGCGCTTCGAGCGGGTGTTCCTCAGCGTGTTTGATGATCAATCTCGCTGCGAGCGAACCACCCTGCGAGAAGCCCATGATCCCGTCGAATGGCCCGCGCGCCGCCATGAACTGGTACACATTCTCCATGCCCTCCTCCACCTGGGGACCAGGCGGCGGGTCTTTGGTTCGCGCATAGTGGTTAAAGAATGGTCCGTCTATCACGCCTTCGAGTTCTGTTGGGTGATCACCTATTAGCATGCTTGGTCGGGGGGTTGGAACTCTCGGTGCGGAGTGTGGGGGTTCCTCAAGTGCGTTCTGGGTGACACGAGACTCGTACCTTTTTCGACCGGGGCTTCGAATTTGCCATTGAGGAAGCGGAAGCGATGGCCTTTGGCCTTTAAGACCTGGCATAAGCCTCCTGTTTGGATCTCGAAAATCTACGCGCGCTGTTAGCCTGTGCGGGTGGCTATCCAGGGTGAAAAGAAAAGAAAAATCGGGGTCGTACTTCGGCGTTCGTGCCTGCGCCGTGTAAACACACGAACTTCATGGGTGCGACCTGGCCTGTGCTTCTACTACGACGTCGGTTGGAAGTACTAGGAAGTACCAGGCACAGTTCTGGACTTGGGAGGAGAAATTTGGAGTTCGAAATCGGGCCAGCAACGAAGTCTTCAGACAGTAGGTGGTTGGGGGCCACCCGGAAATATGTATATCGAGTGCATCTGCGCGGCTCACTAGGTTATATGCAGGGGGCCAATAGTAAGGGACCGCCGAGTCCAGGGGCGCGATCGGGTCCGAGTCTGCAGGTCTTGTCAGCGAGGGAAAATGGAAGTCTTCGATCCCTCCGATTAAATGCTGTTATTGACTGTCCGATGGGCCGATGACCGATGTCGAGAGATCTTGATAAGCCAGCTTTATTAAAAGGGGGAAGATCAACTGGATGATTAAGGTTTCTAGGAACTTGAATTACAGAGCGACCAACCCCCGCTGTGGCAAAAGCTGAAACTAATGCAGATAAGATTCACAATAAGATACACAAAATGGATTCCAATCGCAAGTGCCACAAGCTCGGCTGGCCCGAGGTCGATCGGACGGGTATTAAACCTTCTTGCTCCCCATAAATGCGACCATAAGTCCCTAGCTTTCTTTCTCCAAAGATGGCGTTGCGCGATCTCGTGGCCACCAGTGGCCTAGCCACCTACGGCTTGTCCCATCCGCTCGAGGCTTGTTCGAGCTTCGGACCGACCCTGAACGAAGCTACTCTAGGCCTGCTGGGCTCCTCCTTCAAACCCGAGCGCGACATCCCTAGCTTGGAGGGCAAGGTCATTCTGGTCACCGGAGGTAGACATTGGAGTCTCGGAAATGTACAAAGCAGAACATACTCACCAGACGTCCAGGCAATGTCGGCCTCGGCAAAGAAACCGTCCTACAACTAGCCAAACACCACCCGGCGCGCATTTACCTCGCTGCGCGCACCGAGAGCAAAGCCCGCGCTGCAATCGAGTCCATTCAATCCCAGCTCCCTTCCCCGCCGATATTCGCTTTATCCAGCTCGACCTATGCTCTTTCAAATCCATCCGGGCTGCGGCAGCCCAATTTCAGTCGGATAACGATCGCCTCGATCTCCTGGTCCTCAATGCGGGGGTAATGGCCGCCCCGCCCGTCACCACCGAAGATGGATTTGAGATCCAGCTGGGGACCAATCACATCGGCCACTTCCTGCTTACGAAGCTGCTGCTCCCTACGCTCCAGCAAACTATTACCCAGGCACGGGCCGCCGGGACAACCCCCGACGTCCGCGTGGTGACCGTCTCCTCGGCGGGACATTCGTTGTGCCCGAGGTCCTTTGAGGGGATGACGGATACGCAGTCGCTCCTGGGTATCAGCACATGGAATCGGTATGGCGCGTCCAAGGCTGCTAATATCTTTTTCGCAAGAGAGCTCGCGAGGCGGTATCCCGAGCTAACCTCAGTTGCTGTCCACCCCGGTGCCGTCTCCAGCAATCTCTACGAACAGACCATATCTAAGAGCATCTTCATGAAATATACTTTCGCCGCAGCGATGCTTTTCTTCCGTGGCGTCCCCAGTGGCACGTTGAATACTCTGTGGGCTTCTGCCACACCACTCACCAATCTGGTTAACGGTGCTTATTATAGTCCTGTTGGCTTCCTGTGTAAAGGGACGTCGTGGGTTCAGAACACTGAGATTGACCAGAAGCTCTGGGACTGGACCGAGGCTCAAATTGCCGAGCGAAGCTAATGAGATCCATGGATAGATGTTTGGCTTGGCTATGCAAACGTTCCCGCTATTTCGGCACGTTGATGCAAAGCAGCCAGCATGCTGGGTTCCCTTACTGTACTTAACTTTATGTTTGCTGATATTTGCTGTCTTTTCGCCAATCCACATACACGAGATGTTCATTTGCCTTAGCGGTGAGTGTCATGATATTTGTCTTCCAAGAATCTTCCTTAGGGACCGACTGCACTAAGCCCTTTGCAATAATACCCATTCCACACCTTACCTACCAAAAGCTTCCTCAAAAGCTCCCCTTCCATCGCCTCAACGGGCCGTGAAGCTCCGGTAAAGCCGGACACCAGTGCCTAAACCTTGGACCTCATCGCCATGGATCCCTCCTCTGTACACAGGCTGAAGAGCTACTACCTTCCAGGTTGCGACCAAGTAGACAACGGCCTCTGCAGTCAACGGGCCCTGGGGGCGAGCCCTTCCGGAGGGTCTCCCGCCTCGCGCGGACGCCTACATCTGTGTGGCCGACTACGCGTGCAACATGTCGGTGCCAGACAACGCCTCTCCGTGCCTACACCCAGGGCACATACAGCCTCGTCGAGGCAGCCTGCAAGCCGAGGATCCGCAAGATCATCGTCGCAAGGAGCGTCACCGTGTAGGCCGTGTCCTTCACACATGTGGAAGGCCTATGCAAGTTCGTATATTGATTCTAGGGATCTGGGGGGGCATGTGTCAGGCTTTGTTGGAGACTAGTGAGCTTGAATCCCAGGTGCTCAATGCTACGAAAATACGATTACAAGTAACAAATGGGTGGAGGAATTCCCCAAGGCTCGATGTCGTGATATTCCAATCAAGTGGGCGATGTAGGACGCCCCAGGCGCCTTATGTCGAACGCCAAGGCTAAGAGGATGCTGGGGTTCCGCGAAAATCGTATGTGGCGGAATTGATCCAATTCGTGGGAGAAAGAAACACCAGCTATACTATGTGAATATCTTTGACCAGAGTCATGGATAGAAACCGCCCAGGCTCCCCGCCGTGTTAGCTCGGAAAGATCGCGCAGATGGGGCATCTTGTATAGTTAAGAACTGAAGTCCCGCCGCATTTCGCGGATGGCCCGATTAGGGTTTAGCCGAGCGCTTTTTTTCGCCCACAATGAACATCCCCAAGTCCATCGTGAAGCCACGAGCACAGGACTGTTCTCCCTAGACGGCGTAAAAACTGTAGATGACCGACCGTAGAGCGTAGACATATTGTATGTTTAATGTGGGCGGAGCAGTCAGTCGCGGCGCATTAGCGAAGCATCCGTTTTGGTCAAACTCCCCACACAAATCGGGATGCGCATCATCACCTTCTCTTACCTCACCTTTGAACCTCCACCCCTCACATATTCACCCGGTACGAAACACCCCTATACACTCTGTTCGATTAGCGATTCATCCTCGAATCTCGGTTTTCGAACACTGAGCACCGCTTGTCGACTTCCCCGCTATTGTTAGGACGCACCGGCTAATTGCTCAACGGCTCAGAATATCCCTCCCCTCACACCCGACATCATGGATCACGCAAAATTGGCTAAGATGCAGCAGAGCGTGCGGATTGGTATGTTTGTCTCCTTCTTTCCCGGCTTCCTGAAGCTGTGCGAGGCTTGTTGGGGGGGGGGTCCCGCGTTCGACATCGTGGAGCTGGTGGCCAAATATCGGCCGCCGCACACGTCTCGGACGTGTGGGATTCTCACTCCAGCCGAGCGCAGCTTTCGCGACAGTGCTTCCTTTGATCTAGATTTGAGATTTTTCAGATTACTGACCATGTAATTTCGTGAGTAGGGTACGTATAAATAGTCTCCTCGATTCCCAGCACCCCCCCCGCTTTTTATCGTGTTTGATGGGTTCGTGCGACACGGGCTTTTTTTACTTATGAGCTCCCATTTGCGATCTTGCTCAATGATGCCATATATCGACTCGAACGCCTCCGGTGGAGCTATCACAAATTTCAATGGCAGGGGACTGCTTCGGCATAAATCTCCACCGAGGCTCGCGCGAAATCCATCATCTACACCCGCAACAGCCCATCGGAGCGGTATCGGAATAATCTGCTAACCGCCAATATTTACAGAGGCAAGGGCACTCCCGCCGCAAGGTCAAGAAGGTTACCCGCAACTCCGGTGCCGACGACAAGAAGCTGCAGGCCACCCTCAAGAAGATGAACGTCCAGCCCATCCAGGCCATCGAGGAGGTCAACATGTTCAAGGAGGATGGCAACGTTATCCACTTCTCCAACCCCCGTGGTAAGTCTCAAGCGGAACGAGTCGGACAGGAATTTTTCCCTGGTGCTAATCGCTTGTAGTCCACGCTTCCGTCCCCTCCAACACCTTCGCTCTCTACGGTAACGGCGAGGAGAAGGAGCTCACTGAGCTCGTCCCCGGTATCCTGAACCAGCTCGGCCCTGACAGCCTTGCTTCTCTCCGCAAGCTCGCTGAGTCCTACCAGAACCTGCAGAAGGCCCAGGGCGGCGACAAGAAGGATGATGACGAGGATGATATCCCCGACCTGGTGGAGGGCGAGAACTTCGAGAACAAGCCGGAGTAAAGAGATGAATTTCTGACTTGAACCTGCGAGCTAAAATCATGGTCTATATCTTTGATCAATGAAATGTATTCATCCCGTTATTTCTGCGAGAGTTTTCTCCTTTTTCTTTTTCTGTAAGCAAGGCCAGGGCCGGCTATAGTCGGCCAAGGCGTGTTTCTACTACGGGCTACGACGAATGGGGTATGTTCCATGTGAGCGTAAACGGCCCTTTCTGAGGCCCCGTTCATAAGGTCCAAAATCAAAATGCCTGCCGGCGACTATCGTACACCTGAAATCCAGTCTTGACGCCTATCAAATGCTCATTAGGTTCCTGTTTCTTCGGTTCGGCTGTCTTGACTCTTGAGGGACTCTTGCCCGCTCTCCCGAGTCAACAGCTGCCGTAGTGAAAGCCCTGTAGTGAACCATTCTCCAGGGCAATCTTTTTTTTGTCCCAAGAATTAGGAGGTTTCTCTAGACGAAATCCCATAACCAAGAATTACCTCACTCATCCGACTTCAACGCACAGAAATCAGTCCCTAAAATCCCATCAATCATATACCAGAATCGCCAATACAGACCTGATTTCTCGTAATCGAATGTTCCGTCCTCACGCAGCTGCGCACCGTCTCCAACAATGTCGCCGGAGAACCAATTCAAAATAGGGATCGAGCGCAGCACGCGCTCGACGGCGGTGGGTTGTGGCGGGAGAGCCTCGGTGAGAGGGTGGAGCTTCGCGCGGCGGACATTAGGAACGTGGGTCATAAATTCAGATTCAGGCTTGGCCTCTGCCGGGCCAGCGACACTGCGCTGGTGCAGTGAGGACGAGCGGTCCAGGCCTGTCGAGACACCTGTTGTGCTGGCACTAGGCACGGCGGTGCCCTCGGTGGCGGTCGTGGATGATGTCAAGTCGTCGTTGTCCTCCTCGATGTCGGCGACTCGGGCAAGGTTGTTTACCCCGAATGAGCGGGGGAGCGTCATGCGGTCCTGTTCTTTGCCGGAAAGGAACGCGGTGGAGTGGGTAGAGGTGAGGGTGCGAGGGGCGCGGTTGCGAAGGCTCGCGGGTGCTGTGTCGGCTAGGATAGGGCTGTCTTCAGCAGGGCCGTGGCCATTGTATAGCTGGCAGAAGACGAGGTGTCCGTCAATTTCTTGGGGGGGGTAGAAGCATGCGCGATCGGCGGCGGAGGTTGAGTCGAAGGTCACTTTGATCCAGTGGAAACCGCCTGCATAGCGCTTCGATTTGGCGTTTGCGTCCGCGGAGAGTTTGGAGCGGATCACGATGTCGCCACCGCTTAGCAGCTGCGAGTATTGGGTTGTGGAATTGGGGTCGGTGCGTGGGTAGTCTTCGCAAATCATGCCTTGTGAGATGCGCTCGTACTTGTCGATAGCCTTCCATTCGAACTCCTTGGCCTTGTATCCATACAGGATGCACTCGGTCGCAACCTTCTCCGTCTGCTTGCGAGGGTTGTCTAAGCTGGAAGAGGATGAGGATTTTGGGAGTCCCTGTGCCTTCTCTTCTTCATCTCTTTGGGCGAGTAACCGGCCGAATTCGAGGACATTGGGGTTCTCGCGCTTTGCGGGTGTGCCGGTCCTTGTGCGGGACCGGGTGTGTTCGTATCGAGCATTTCGCTTCTTGCCGAAGGGCCCCGTCTCTTCTGGTGGTCGTCGAGGATTCCGTGATTCACTAGCTGAGTTAGTAAGGGAAACGTCCCAAGACACTGGTGAAATCGCATCGGATTGGCTCACTCTTTGTAAACATAGCCCCAAGGCAAAAGGTTGCCCTGCTCATCTCGAGCGCGTTCGTCGATGGGAACGGCGTGATACTCCATGCCGGAGATATGCTTTTGTGTCGAAGCAGGGGTAGTATAGTAGGTGACTGTTGAACGAGAGAAAGGAGGAGGTCTGTCTGAAAGCGAAGCGCGAACGTTTGGTCAGGGAAATCGACCCAACTTTTTTGGGTAAACAGCTGGTTCGCCCGGATACGGGTCACGTGGCAACCACCAATATGCAGTGAAGTCTCGAAAATCTAAGGCTATTGTCTTCTGCGAATTCTGGCGCGGAGGCCTTTTAGACTTAAAATTTAAGGTATTTGCGGCTTTCGGGGAGTGTCAGGAAAAGACACGACAGTTTGAACCAAAATATCTATTTGCGCGACTTCGCTGTACTAATGACTTCAACAGCTGCAAATACTCTCGAATCCACCATGTCTATCCGCCGTCTAAATCCTCTAATATACACTCTACAATTTATTCGCAATGCCAGAAGAATAAGTTTAACTACAAGAAAAAATTGTCCAACCACGGCATTATGCGTGGTTCCGATCCACCGCTCAGTATCTACACTATGCCCTTACTACCAGGTGTCGCGTGTATGGAGCTACTTAGCTATCAAACCGACATGGACCCTGATGAAGAAGCCAAGCATATTTCCTTCACAAGGGACCTCGCTAGGTATGATCATGGCTTCTCTCTCCTATTGCTTATCGCTATTGGACGGAGTACACCGAGCTAGTTCCTAACGTTTAATATCAAGGTACTTTGCTCGTTGTTGGGCCACGCCTCGGTCTATGGGTTCTCAAACACGCATTGAGTATCAGGCCGAAGTCTCTCACAGGCTAGCGGTCCTCAAGGCCTCTCCATCGGCTGCGGTGCCGATCTCGATTATTTCTGAACTTGAAGATATCCTCCCTCTTCGCCAGTGGATATCCTCAAGTTCTGAATCATGGTGACTTTTCTAAAACCAATATCCTTGCCAATCCAGACACATACGAAATCACCGGCATTGTCGACTGGTCGCTTGGGCAGTGCAACCTTTTGGTATGGAGCTAGACTGTCTCTTCCTGATGACAGGTTGTATGGATCTAAGTGGCTGGCACGATTATACCTGCCGGCCAAGGCTCTTGGACACGTTCTGAACCGAGTTCTGGGCAGTGTCGGGAATCGAAGATGATGATGGCCTGCACCGGGAGAACATTCGGTCTATGGCTGAAGAAGAGGGCAAGATCGGTGTTATCTTGCGCTATGCATTTGAACGAAAGGCCGATGGCGGTCCCTCTGACGTGCTATCGATTTCCGATGTCATGTGGAGGATGCTAAAGGCATGGCTTAATGTGAAAACTACATAATATCGTAATTTCCTCAAGCGAGTTGCCATCTCCAAAATTCCATAACAAACGCTATATTCCTGTAAGTGACTACCAGGATAGGGTGGCATCTTTTTACTAGGCGAGGTGATAAGGTTCAATGAAGGCTTCTACAATCGGGCTCTAGGGAGAAAATGACTAAAAGTTGCCGCTTCAGTCTGGTAGGCTTGCTGCCATTGATAGGGAGCTTAGCTAATGAATCTGTCAGATAGTTATAGAGATTGGGCCCCCTTGCTCGTCCCAGCACAGACAGAATGGAACAATGAGGCGAAAAACAATAATAGGATGAGACAGGAGGGATCTAGTCTCAGAAATACTGTAAATCAGACGTTAGCCATTAATGCCTCCCTTCACATTTTCTTGATTGCATATGCACTGGATCGTCATTATGCTGTTTAAGGTTTCCGGTCTTGATATTACCAAGGAGACTTTAAGTGGGGCAATCGGTTCAGGTACGCGTCAATCAAGTCGTAACTGATATCTTTGAATCATGAAGGCAAGCCCGGCTCCAAATTTCATATCCGCCCGGGTGGTCTAGTGGTATGATTCGCGCTTAGGGTTCACCCAAAGCATTGACTGCGCGAGGTCCCCGGTTCGATCCCGGGCTCGGGCCCATTGGTTTTTTCTTTCTCTTAGTTTTTTGTTCTTGTCTTTTCTTACCTTTTTCTTTTTTTTTTAAAAAAAAAAAGAACTATGTATTTTTGGGTGCATAATGCCTGTCATCTCCCGTATGCACTCGAATAAATCCACTTTCGTCTGCTAATTCTTTCTTCATTCGGGCAAAGTGCGACTGTCTGATGATAGAAACTTGCCCGAGGAAAGCAATTGTCCATTTTACCATCCGTCTGGCTACTATGGTCAGTCCTGCTGCAAGAAGGAAGGAAAGTAACCAAAGATCTGTCTCAAGGAATTGTAAAATTTGTTTCCAGAATTCTTTCTGTAGACCGAAGGGCAGTTCAATTCCACCTCTCTGGGAAGGCTCCGGGTTATTCACATCCTTACGCACCCAGGTACTTAATTGCCAGGTGACTTCCCCAACATTCGAGCCTCTGCAGTTTTGCAAAACTACTGACTGATGTGGTCCTTGCTCTACTAGGTTTCCTTAGACCAGTATGGGAGTTGGTCCCCTACCGACATCTCGCTACATCACTACACTTCTTCACAAAAATAATGTAAAGGGTGGTCCCGAAGAATCAACGCTCATCTGTTTGGAATTCCATTGTGAGATACCATCTTGCTATATGCTCACTAATGAGATGGGTCTTGTGAGCTATAGCTCTTTTATTTGTTTCAGTATATGATTTGAAATAGCCTATGGACGTGCGGGTTTAAAAAGAGGCCTTTGCAGGTCTTGTCGAAGACTTATCAGCTTTAGACTACTCCACGGGCCCTTTTGATCATGCTTTTGATCATGCATTTTGCCGCTGAAAATTGATCCAAAAACCGCGAGGTCCCCTCAGTCTACTCTCGATTCCTCGTTCTTAGACAGAAGGCTCGACGAAATGTAATTCTTCGCTCTGATCTCTTACTTTTATAATTGTTGCTGCTGATTTTGCGGGGGAAAGCTTGTTGTAATTTAGCTATTACTTCGCCATCCACCCGTCTCATCTCTCGGTCACTATATGGATACACTCAAAATCACGCATAATTTCGGACTCGAATCATAGAAAGGGTTTCTATTTCAGTTCGGTCCAGCTTGTGAGCAACCTCAGAGCAAGACCTTGTAGCCTCTTGTATCTGGATCTAGAATTCTTGACACGTTCTTCGTCGCTGTGGATGTAGAAGAAAATAGATGAGTGCTTCGCAAACAATAGGTACTGCTTCAGGAGCATTAAGTCCGGGCGAAGCTCCAAGAACAACTCTATTCCATCAAAAAGGGCCCAGAGGCATAAGAGCACATAGTCTTGAACCAGTCGACTCTTCTCGAGTCATCCAGGAGTTTCTTTCGAACAGCCGATTCCCAGCATATAACTGCAATCTCCTTTAAGTTCACATCGCGTCAAACCCCTGCAGAAAAACTTCATCGATCTCCAATAGTTGCAGCTCTAGTAACTCTCCCTTCACCGTATAGTTCTCCCATATTTTGGCTAACATACCGCCAGTCTGACAACTTGATCAACGAAAAAGAGCACTCTCGTCGCTGGATTCGGCTCGCCTTATTCATGCGATGGTGGGTGGCACATACGATTTTCGCTAATAAACAATATGATTTCTTAGCTTGACTGACATCTAGTATTTTGTATAAAATAGAAAGGAAAGCAAAAGAAAAAAAAAGCTGGGCCCGAGCCCGGGATCGAACCGGGGACCTCGCGCAAACAATGCTTTGGGTGAACCCTAAGCGCGAATCATACCACTAGACCACCCGGGCGGATGATGTCTAATCTTTAGGTTTTTGGTTATTCAAGCCTAGGCTTTCTATTGGCTCCTTTTGGCAGTGCTCTCCTAGCACAGTTGGGGCCAAAAGGCCTTAGGCCCCCAATATCTTATGGGAAAGGGATGTTGCTCGATTTGAGTATCTCACATTTCTAAACCTGCTAACCAGGTAATCCACATTTCCCCAGTTTATGCTGTTTGTCTAGCTCTGTTGTCTTATCGAAGAACCCGAGTTCTTCAAGGTCAATGACAACCGTCTTCAAGTATACATAAAATTTCCAGCTGCAGATCGCAGTGTGCAGCTCCTTTTTTCCGTCCTTGCATGGCTTTCCACTACTTCCCCGTGAGCTTCTCTATTCCAGAAGTGATAGTTGTTTCTGTGATCGTTTATCAAATTTAGCCACATTATGCCATGTTTTCGCGAAGTTCAGCTCCCTGGTCGCGTTTGTCTTGCCTGACGATGGATGCTCGATTCTTGATCAAATTACAGTCCGATATCATTCATCAGCTTATCCCTTTTTGCCATGGTGCAAAGAGGGCCGTAATTTGTGATTCTTACTTGCCGAACACCTTGGGTCCACTCATAAACCTTACCAGCAATTGTGGTTGGAATCGTTCTTATAACTACATGCCATTCATAACAGGTTAAAATCCGAAACACGACGAATGACACTTAAAGTTACGACTCAAGTTATGCGATCACGAGGCTGGAGCGCGGGAGGCTCCCAGAAGGCCCTCGGAGGGCGCCTACAATGCTCATAAGACTACATTGCTATATAGACTTACCATTGCTGAACCAGCCTAACATACTTCGTCACAGCTTCAGGGGCTCAAAGGGTAATCAGGAGCCAAGCTACTCGTAAATTTAAACGAACGGATGTGAGTCCGTAGATCACACCGGGAAAAGATAAAAGGCCATATTGCTTATTTGGTGATACTCTAGGGTGGCCGAACAGGTGATTCATTTGGAAATCCTGGCTTCATGATCCCGCCCGGACCCATCTTACATTATGTCAGCGGCGTAGTTAACGTGGTTTAACTACAACCGAGCTGCGCACCCCCCACCCGAATCAAGAGGACACATTCAAATTTGATTTGATTAACCACCCAACAATTCATTCTACTGCCTATTAGGGTATCTATTACATGTTTGCCCAGCTACTCCACATATGGAATGAGTCCTAGGTTCTGTTTAGTAGGCTGTGGAGGCAAATTTTGCTCCGAATTTGAGGCCTTCGAACTTGGCACGTTCCAAACTATGTCGCTGGTTTTGCTGAGATAATTCGCAAAGTTGTATTAGAGTATCGTAATCTGGTCCGTGTAAAGTTCGCAGCTTCTAGTCAGGTTGATGTATTAACTCTTCCAGAGATTGTGATTACGAATGTTGTTTAAACCGCCTTTAATGGAGGGAACTTCTCGTTGTAACTGATATTGATATCAAGGGAATTTAGGCAAAAACTCATTTAATTGACTTGAATTTAGAGAAGTCATTATACGAAGTCGGATATTGACCAAGTTGAACTACTCCCCAATAATATGAGGGACCTTATTTTAATACTTTTGATGATCATATCGTCGTGATAGATTCAACCGAAGCTTAGGGTGTTGTCTTATGAAGTTTGAGCTCTAATGTATCCTAAATGTTCTAGGTGTAGAATTTCCACGATTCGCGAGCAATATATTTGATATCTCACGGACATAAGCCTGTCGGGGAAGGATCTGCGGAGATATAGATCAATAATCCATTGCTTTAATGACTACTCTTCCAAAGTAATTTAGGCGTGTTTCATTGCGAGGTTCAATTTCACGGAGTCGACTGCAAATTGTAGATTCTGAGACCTTGTAGAGGTCCTGCAGAGGCAATCTTCCCCCCAGACAGCGTCAATTTGGTGATCTTACGCTCCAATTTAGATTGAAGTTAAGTGCGTTTTGGAGGCATGAGGGATGGTTGAAGGTAGAAAAAATGCGACGCGTCCGAAGTTAGGTGGGGCCTGCGGAGCTCGGGTGTGTGCGCAGCTCGCTTATACCCCCACGTTATATTTCGAGACCAGCATATGAGACAAAACCATGAATAAGTCTGAGATACTCTGAGTATACTGCAACAGACTGAGTTCCATAATACACATGCTCGTAATGGTCACTGTCCCTGCTATCAGCTCCATGAGATGCTTAGGAGGGGCAATTCCTCGCCGGGCCTACTCCATCAGTCTTGAGTCCTCAATTAGTGAGAAGTCAGTTTGCTACCTAGGATCACGGCTGGTATTCAGTCCAATTCTCATCCTCCGATTTACGGGTTGCTCTCCTGTGCTGATCAAGATGCCTTCTTGAGTTTGAGCTTGGTACTAGTAATGACCGGCTTCAACACCGGAGCGACGCTGCCGCTTTTATATCCATAAACAACCAATCACAACCGATCTTGGAAGGACGAAACCGGAAGAATCTTGCCGTCGACAGGGTTCAGCCTCGTAGCGTCAAATATTTGAAATATTAGACATCATTCGCCCGGGTGGTCTAGTGGTATGATTCGCGCTTAGGGTCCACCCAAAGCATTGACTGCGCGAGGTCCCCGGTTCGATCCCGGGCTCGGGCCTATCCTTTTTGTTTTGAGTTGTTCTATATTGTCGAGCCCTAGTTTCTCATTATCTGCCATCAATTTCTGCGGAATTTTTGCTCCAGCTAAGCGAGATCGCTCCGGGCCAACAGCAAACCTATCTGTATGTCCGGTAACCCTAACATTCCTTCAAGCAAAGGAATCCTTAGAAGGCACTCCAGTAAAGCTCAGCAGACGCGCAGGCAATATACAGCTGATTAGCTTGGTAGTGATACCAATGATGAACACATGATATCAAGTGTGATTCCCGACACCAGGGTAAATGGATCGTGATGGTTTAAGGCACTCCAGTGTGCTAATATCACATTCATACTGCTGGAAATGTATTGTGTATTCAGCGCCATTCCGCACGTCGGTGTGCAGCTTGAGCTGCCGGATAGGTTAGAGGATATAAAAGGATACGGAAGGGCGTACTGAGGGCAATGCTAGTCGAAATTTGCAAAAGTATGGTGGCATCAAGCTTTTCCTTTGAATCTCTCGTGGGGATATGGATGTAGTGCATGCACTGGCAATTCCCAATGAGTCAATCCGTGGGGCACTCTTTGGCTTTCTCATACATACTCATCCAATTTTCGGTATGCCTATTCAATTCGAAGCTAGGATAGTAGTCTCATCTTGGGCCCTGTGGCAATGTGACGAATGGAATTGGTATATTCGAAAGCATGCCGGGAAGAAAAAGCAAATCAGCTTGGTTGAGCTCTGCTGCTTAAACAGGCAATCAATTCTGTCACCTGAGGACACCGTCGTTGAAGTTAAGAGAATTCTCCAGGGCCGCTCAGCATTAGTCCACCTATCACATATCCCCCCCCCCACCTCACCTTTGATCTCTTCGGATAGGGAACAGCATCACTGGTTTTGAGTGTTAAGTTACTTTGGGGGGGATTTTTGAATTTCAAGTTTCGCTGTATCCGGCCAGTCCTTTGAAGTTCCCGGGCATGGTGCCGTATGCTTAAGCACTCTGCTCAAGAAAGCCCCCTTCACGTCACTGCAAACGACCCTTACAGCGGGGATTGGCCATGTTGCTACTACTTGTGGCAAGTCACTACATAGAATGCTACTAGGCTCGAAATTTGACATTAGAAAAACACGACTTCGATTGACCTAGGCCGCCGTGATGCAAGATTATGGAGTAATTATTTTACTTGATCCAAATGCAGCATCGTATCGGGTGTATGAATCTGACTCTGGGCATGCGTATAACCTCTTTGTGGGCCATTAATGATATTAATTAGCAATTCCAGTCCTTAAACAACTTGAAACTTCTGGAAAAAAGTATTCAAACAGTAAAAATTATAGGCCCGAGCCCGGGATCGAACCGGGGACCTCGCGCAGTCAATGCTTTGGGTGAACCCTAAGCGCGAATCATACCACTAGACCACCCGGGCGGATGATGCTTACACATCAAATTCCTTGTCATATGACCCCTGGGCACCTTGTCAGGTCGTTCCATGTCTAGCGTGTTGTCATTTGTACCGCCTTAGTCCGCCAATGGTTTCCAAGTTCCCTCCTACAGCTTGGTATGAGGTCTGGCTCTAGGTGAAATGAGTTCTCGGCTGGTACAAGTCGGGATTCAGGTTCGGAGTCTCCGTCAAATTACACCTGCTGTGGGGCAACACACGGATATATATATGAGCTTTGTAGCCATCTACTAGTAACCTGGTAGCCCAAAAATTAGGATGAACCTGCTGGAGCTGAAGAGCATGGAGGGGATGGTATCTTAGGAAGTATGCCAACAGTATTTTATGACACTGATCTCGGATTCTTTCAGTTCAAGGTGCCCGTCAATAGATGCCGACGCATCCAGTGTTGAGAATCGGAATCCATAACCACATGATGCTACTCCGCGCATGTGCGAGCATAGTCGAGCGTCCTCTTAACCCACAGTCCTTACCAACATTAGGATTTGTCCAGCCCATGCAGGGCTTTGGCTAGCTTGACTACAGGTATTATTAGTAGGGCCCCCTGGATACCGACGGGTATACCTTCTTAGGTTAGCACTATTTCCTTGCCATATAGCGGCCCAAGTCATGGACAATTGGACACTCAACAACCGGAACAAGAACCATCCGTACTTTGGCGTCCACGGGTTCTCTGTGACGACGGCGTGGCTTGACGTGCTCAGCCGCTTTGGTCCATGGATGGTGCCGTTGGCATGCATCATCAACCACGCGACCTTGGCGTGCAGACGAACGGGGCTCTGACCAATGTTTTCGGCGACCTTGCCATCCGTGTCCGTCGATTGGTGAGGGCTAACGCCTTGGCTGGCTGGGCGCCCAGAATTGCCTTCCTAGTTCACCTTAGCGAGCCCGAGCTTTTGGACTAATATCGTCCGGAATAGGTGCAGGTCCAATCGCCGGCTTCCTCCGGTTCAAAGACCAACAATACAACCTCGGGGGAGCACGAGCCCTCGAACAAGGCGCCAAGTCCTCCCAGGCCCCCGCCAAGCCAAGCAATATCACCATCCGGCGCAGGAAAACCCGGCCGCCAAGAAATGTGAGTCTTGGCCAACGGAGAGATGATCATTACCTGGCCAGTTACAAGCCACCGCCGGCCAATCATGTTTTCGCCCACGAGCCGCCCCAGGTTCTATACCGTATTCACTCACTACCCATCCCCGCGATGTCTGCCCCGTATCTTGGCCTCCCATGGGGAACTGGGGTGGCCTCGGGTTACCGTTTCTGTTAACCCGAGGAAGTTGGTGGAAGTGAATTCTATATAGGGTGGCAGTCCACGTTTCCCGTGCCGAGTCTGGTTTCCGTCGAATGAATCGCATTGGATGCGCTAGGTATACCATATCGTTGCTTAGACACCATGTTTGGCATCCCTAAGTTCTTCGGCTGGAGAGGCAGGTCTCTCAACCTGGCCATCAGTTCTCTAGGAAGTCTTGATTTCTTGTGTGTACATTCAAAAGTCAAACCAAGACAGCTTCTATTGGCCCGAGACTAATAGCATCTTACCATAGACTGTTCGGTTATGACCAAGGCGTCACTGGCGGTCTCCTAGATCTGCCATCCTTCATCAAATATTTCCCAGACATCAACCCGGACGATCCGCTCATCGCGAATGACCCTGCCGAGAAGTCACAGCGCAGTCTGAACCAGGGTATTTCGGTTGCGTCTTACAACCTGGGCTGCTTCATCGGCGCTATCCTGACTATCTTCATTGGTAACCCTCTCGGTCGACGACATACTATCTTTTGCGGGTGTACGATTATGGCCACGGGTGCGTTGTTGCAGTGCACTGCATTCCACCTACCTCATTTCATCGTGGGTCGTATTGTCACTGGTATTGGGAATGGCATGAATACGAGTACTGTGCCGACCTGGCAGTCAGAGTCCTCAAAGGCCCACCACCGTGGCAAGATGGTGATGATCGAGGGTGCGCTTATCACAGGTGGTATCACACTCAGTTACTGGATTAACTATGGTGCGTATGACTTGAGATTGTTGATGGTACTCAGCTGATATTCAGTGATTAGGCATGGCGTTCATTGGAGAATCCGAAGTGGCCTGGAGATTCCCCCTCGCTTTCCAGATCCTGTTCGCGGTAGTAATCTTCACCTCTATCTTAAATCTACCCGAGTCGCCTCGATGGCTTGTGATGCAAGGGCGAGACGAAGAGGCCTTGGAGATTTTGGAGGCACTGAACGAGAAACCTCGGGACGATCCATACATCAAGAACGAACTTATCGCTATAAAAGAAACCGTCAACGAAATGAACAAGGGCTCGTATCGTAGCTTGTTCAAAATGAGCGAATACCGAGAGTTCCACCGAGTTGCCCTCGCCTATATCAACCAGATGTTCCAGCAGATATCTGGTATCAATCTCATCACCTACTACGTGAGAGAAGCCTCATTAAGATGTTTTGAACTTTCACTAAAGCAAAGCAGGCCCCATCACTGTACAGAGAGATCGGTCTCGGCAAAGGAAACACCCCCTAAGCTCCTCGCAGCTTGCAACGGCACTGAATACTTCCTCGCCGCGCTCGTCCCGATCTTCATCATTGAAAAAGTTGGACGGCGCCCTCTGATGCTCCTCGGCGTATGTTAATCAACCCCCAGGAGGAGATCTTCAAAGACTAATCTCTACCTGCGTGTTAGGCCGCCGGCATGTCCATTTCCATGGCAGTCCTCGCAGGAACCAACTACCGGCTGACGCATCTCGGTGACAACCAAGCTGGTATTGGACAGGCCGTCTTCCTATTTGTCTTCAACACTTTCTTTGCTTTTGGGTGGCTCGGCATGACTTGGCTGTACCCAGCAGAAATCGTCCCGCTACGTATTCGTGCCCCCACAAACGCTCTATCGACCAGGTATATCCTCCTTCTGCCCAGTACTTCTCTGAGATTGGTCTGACTGAATGGTTTTAGTGCCAATTGGATCTTCAACTTCATGGTCGTCATGATCACCCCCGTTGCATTCGACAGCATCGGGTACAAGACATACATCATTTTCGCCGTCATGTTAGTTTGACCCCCCTTGCTTATTTCACAGGATACTAACGCGCTGTTTGCAGAAATGCATTCATGGTCCCATCCGTCTACTTCTTCTTCCCTGAGACAAAATACCGTTCCCTGGAAGAGATGGACGCTATATTCAAGAAGTCTACGAATGTTTTCGATGTTGTCAAGATTTCTATCAAGGAGCCCCACCGTTACGACAAGCACGGCCAGCTTAAACCAGAGTATCTCGAAGAGGCTATTCGTCGCGAGAGCACCTCTGTGCATATCGCGGGCGAGAAGCTTAACAGTGAGGACAGTGGATAATTATACCTCATCGGAAGACGTGCTTCGTCTTTTTTCCTTTCTATTTTTTTTTTTCGTTCATATTATACATGATGCTACGGGAGGAGGTGGAATTGAATGAAGACCGGGATAGATGACATTTTCATGATGGAAACTTATCATTCTCATGTTCAAGTGAAGATACAGTGTGGCTAGGACGAGAGAATGTATATATGGATTTCATGCTTTATCCGATATACAGCTCTGTGAATTTCTCAAATGGCTATGTAAAGTAGATAGAAAGTAGCCCTTGGCATTGTGAGTGATATCACGCACTGGAAAATCCATTGGTGACTTTCCAGCTCACATCGTCAGTGAAGGAAGTCGTGGCATCAAAGGTCTGAACACCACCATCACTAGCAATATAGAGCTTGTTCTCATAGTGTCGCAAGAAGCGAGTAGGGTAACCCCAAGCCCGGACAGAACTGCCGTCACCGCTTAGGCCAGTCATTGGGCAGAAGGTAGCATCCTCGGAGAATTGCTTCGTGTTGTCGTTGGCATTGAGCAGGAGTGCAAAGTTGTGGTGCCGGATGAAGCTTCCGGGAGTATCGATCGACTCGAATGAGAAACAGCCGTCGTTGGCGAGACCCGTTCGGACTGCCCAGCTAGCTTGTCGCTTCAGGGTAGCAGGACTAGATGAACTGACAACTTGCGTGTTGATTGTGGAACCGGTGTGCGCGATGTAGCGATCCGTGTAGCCAGAAGTAGTAGCTTGCAAAGAGACCGAGTCGCCGGCGGTGAATTTCCGTCCGCTCGTTAAAGATGTGACGGCGTATTTGGCAGCCACGATGTTGGCTTGCACCACGTTCTCGGTCTCGTCAGATGGGTAGCCGGAGGTCATGACACCCTCGTAGAATGTGCCTTGCGCGCTAATACTGTTGTCGCCGCCGATACCGAGAATGATGGAGCCTTCCTTGCTCATGGGGTTGTAGCCCTTTGCGTCTGGCCTTGCTCCATCGTAGTAGGTCGATAATGAGCCGGACGTAGCATCAGCGCCGCGGAGTGACCAGTGGTTTGGCTCGCCCTTGACAATAGCAGTGAAGAAACGAGCCGAAATCGACGGGTCGTTGGCGTTGTTTTTAGGGCTCAAGCCGGAGAACAATCCGTTCTCCAGATCGGCCATGAGCCAAGGGCCGTCACCGGCACCGGAGCCCCAGAAAGTGCTATTGCCAAAGTAGATGGCTTCCATGTGGCCATTACCAGTGTCCGTATTACTGGTCTCCGCATTGCCGTAATCGAAGCAGCACCCGTCATTGTAGTGCGTCCCGTCGAGGACAGCATACATGCCTTCTGGCTCATCACCTGTAGCTGTGCCATGGCCTTTGTCAATGCGGTATCCAGTTCTGGGCGAAATAAAGACACCGTATGCCTTGTGTCCGCCCAAGGTAACCGGGGCACCGATTGCACTTGCAAGGTTGTCGTAGCCGTTGGCTTCGGGACCATCGAATCCGCCTGGTGGCGCCTGAGTAAGGTCGTTTCCCTTCCCAGACTGATCATAGATTATAGTGATTAGACACGTTGTGCCTTCGCAAAAAGTGTCCTGGGCAGTGGCGTTTGCAACACCGCCAGCCGAGAGAGGAGAAATATTGGTGGTGGCGCCATCGGATGTACGTTTCACTTGATAAAGCGAGCCAGAGTAGCCACTGTATAAAGCACGGGTGGTGCTATGTGCAGCAATGCAGGGCGTATTACCGGCGGCGTACAGATCGCAGGGACCGGCGTTAACAAGAGATGCCGAAGCAACAAGCGCTACAGATGCGGAACGCGCACAATTGAACCGTCGCCTTGGAGACATGGCTAATATATAGGAAAGCAATTTTTCCTGGTTATGATGAACTTAAAAGGAAGGAAGAGAGCTGCTGGAATGCCGTGATAAATTTGAGAATGCTCATAGCGTCTCTATAGCCATTTTATAGGCGCTCCGAGGTTTACCCATAGGGAACATGGTCTGGCCGACTAATGCGGGGGAAGAATCTTCCTCCAATAGTCTGGGGTCCGATGCATCAGATTCCTGAAGAGCAATTTACCCTACGAAGGGCTCGGTTAATATCAATTGATGGGTTGCGGATCTTGCATTAGACTTTGAAATGGGGCTAAGGGAACTATTCCACCCTGGAATGCGGGGCAATGGGGGGGATTTGTCTCATCCAACGTAGGTGATCTCTGTGACCTCGGTCATCTCGGGACCAAGTACGGTACCACTGAAACCGTCCCTGCTGATCGGACACGCTTGGGCGTTCAATTCTCAGAATGCAGCAGGGGGAGTCGTACGGTCCAGGGCGGACGAAGCACGACTTAACGTCGCATTCAACCGTATCTGCATGGTCCCTGAGGAACAGGTATCATTTCGGGATGTGTAGAAGATTAGGCCCCTTGCTACCTGCAGATAATTGAAACACCACAGCTGCATAGCTGCCGAAGCCGGCTCTGTATTGTTTTTTTTTTGTCTGATTGCCTCGAGTTTTTGGAGGTTGGGGTTGTAAACACCAAAATGAGGAGGATTAGTCATAGGCTGCCCGGATGGTCTAGTGGGTAAGACATTCAGTCCACCACTTGTTGAAACCATTTTCTAATGAACCAATAGTATGATTCGTGCTTCGGGATTCCATGAGTCAAATGCACGAGGCCCCCCGGTTCGAATCCGGGTTCGGGCCCGTTCTTTTTTCTTTTTTTCTTTTTTTATGTGAATTCTTCCCCGCCCATGAGTGTCTCTCTGTATATAACTAGATCAGATCAGATCAGCGCCTGAAAAGTCCATGATGTGCCGGTACATTAGCGTTGTATTCACAACCGGTTCCACATGCTGGAGGTCCTGCGGAGTGACCCTGATATGCCTCGTCACGTTGTCAAGCTACCACCTAGAGGGCCTCTCTGAACCATCACATTCCTCGCCTGATTGGACCGAGTATATGTGAAGGTCCAAGCCGAGGGACGTGCACTGCTTGTTCCTATTTCCCGCAGTAGGAGACAATTAACCGAGGCGAGGGGGGTGTTTAAGCCAATGTAGGATTGGTGTGAAGCCCTCTTCGGGTGGATGTTATTGAAGAATGCGGGGTTGATGCTGCAGAATCAGGGGAAAGCCGAGATCAACACCGTGCTTTACATGCATCGGCAGCAGACAAATAGGAGACTGATCAAGTCACTGGGAGTAAGCCATCTGGGATGGCTCCTGGTCCATCAGGGTAGATGCCAAACGCTTACTCTCCCATTCGGGCTTCAAGATCCCCATATGCACTTCATCCCACCACTGGTCATCCTTAAAGAAAACCTGTCGTCTCCTACCCTCTTCTCGGAACCCTATCCGCTCATACAGGTTCATTGGCCGGAGATTCCACCCCAGAAGATTAAGTTCAACTCGGTTAAGACCAGCGGTCGCAAACCCCCAGTCAAGGGCCCACTGGATTGCCTCCCTGCCATAGCCTTGGCTCCGATATTCCGCTGTAATATCAATGCCCAATTCTGAGAATCGATGATGGGTCATCTCCGGACTCGCAGCTGTCAGGAAGAGCATGCCGATGGGTTCGCCCCTACCTCTTGTCTCGTGCCATATGTGAATTACCACGAACAAGATGGAAGTCTCCAGAAGTTGCTTCAGAAAACTATCAAGATACTTCGCGTCTGCCGGTCTTGGCAGGCATGGCGAGGAGTTTATCAAGGTGTTTGGGTCGCTTTGGCTGGTAGTGAAAAATTCGTCGTGTTCATTTGGGCTGTAGCTGCTGTAGACAAGACGCTCGGAGTGGAATGGACCCCAAGCCATGACGATTGATCGTATGCTAACTAGGCAGGAGAAGATGGGTCCGACTGGGCCAGACAACTATAGTAGGTGATCTTGTGACCGTTCAAGCTCTGATGTTTGCGAGACAAAAGTGGCCCCCCACTTTTCTCTTTTCCCGGATCCAACGGGTACGTTCGGCCCCCTCTTACCGCTAGAAGAGAGCGTATCCGGATACGCGTTCATATATGCATGCTAAAAGTCGGTAGAAATGAACAAGTCTCCTAATCCCGACAAGTGCCAAGACTTCTTTCTCTTGTAATGGACGTAGTCAATCTATATGAGTCTGTCTCAAGTGCTGTACCTGAACCGGGGGTTGCGATCTCCGAGTTCTCGAATGTCTTCTTCCGACATACCCTCTATTTTGGCATCCTCTTCACCTCTCGCCCGGCGCTTGTTGATTCGCCGAAGCGCGAACCACATCACACTGTATACAAGGCCAGCCCATCCAACCAATGCCAGGGTAACAGCATTTCCTCTCACGTATCGGGGGGGCTTCGTTCGTCTTATATAGGAAGGGCGACATCACTCCACTCACATTACCCAAGGTGAGCTGGAGACCCGTGGCGAACGTCCGTTTTCCGTATCGAGGTAGATTGGTGGGTAGCCAGGCAAGCGGCAACCCAACGGTCACATAGAGACCCATGGCCACCAAGAGTGCCCCAAAATAATGGACACCGGACGGGGTGTCTGAAATCAAGATTCCATAGCCGATGACAGACGTCGCACTGAAGATACAGACAAAGATCGCCCGGTGCTGGACTCGATCGCTGAGCCAAGCGACCGCAATATAAGCTATCGCGCCCACGGCATAGCATGGGATCGTCAGGGCTTGAATCTCTGGCGTCGACCAATGGTTGCCCATTCCTTTGATGATACTCGGAAGGAAGGTACTGTAACCGTAGAGCATTGTGTCGCCGCCGAACTGGGCAATGCAGAACGTCCACACCTTCCAGTCGAGAGCGCCCTCCTTGACATCGGCCCAGTGGAACTTTTGTGCGGACTGTGTGTGGCCAACCTCGCGACTACGACAGCGCACTACAAGTTCTCGCTCCTCCGCGTTGAGGTAGTAGGCCGTATCTGGATCGTCGGCCAAGAAGATCCAGGTGAAGATGCCCACGATCACGGTCGGGATTCCTTCGAGGATCATGATCCAGCGCCAGCCCCTGAGCCCGCAGATCCCGTCCATGAAGCCAATTCCATATGCCAGAAGACCACCGAATGCGCCCGCCACAGCTGCGCTCCCGAACAGGTACCCTGTTCGCAGAGCGAGCTCGCGCTTGCCGTAGAAGATGGTCAAGTAGGTCATCATTCCGGGGAACAGTCCTGCTTCGACAACCCCCAGAAGTACTCGACAAGCGATAAGGCTGCCATAGCTCTGAACGATACCAGTGAGCGTGGCGATGATACCCCAAATTACAGCGATGGCAGCAATGTAACGCGACGGTTTCAACTTCTTGATCACCAGATTCGAAGGTACTTCGAAGAACTGATTCGGAGATTAGTGTATCGCCGGGGCAAGGCAAGGGCCGCACATACACAGTATGTTACAAACAGAATCGAGACCGCAACCTGGTATTGGGTACCGACTAACCCCAGGTCCTCTTCCAAGCCGTATAGACGTGCATTGCCAATGTTTACTATGCTCAGTCAGCTCCATCTGTACCCCAGAATTTCGGGAGCGGGGGAACTCCGAGACAAGTCAAACGCACCTCGGTCCAGAAAGCTGAACAGATAGAGCAAGACGACAAACGGAAGGATATGCATGTCCATCTTTCGGATGACCTTCCGCTCCATTTGTGATACGTCGGACGAAGACGATTTAACTTCGTCGGACAGATCTGGCCCCCTGGCGGGGGACCGATCCCCGCCCTTGGCCAGAGCTTCAATTCGCTCCGTCATATTGGATTAGATATGAGGGCTGACCTGGTTGGCAAGGGTACAAAGGGGGGATGAGGGTCTAAAGATATCATTCCATGAGGAAATTCTATCTCTGATAAAGAAGGAAATGCGCTGAAGGAATTTCGCAGGAAAGAAGGTTGCCAAGCTTGGGGTCCGAGGACGGGCGATCTGCAGTCTTTTCCGCCTGCACATCATTCTTGCTCAAAAGCTGAAAACTCTGATAAGGAACTGATAAATGAGGGTCGTACTAGCATGACATCGCTTTATTCCTAAAGCTTTGGGGTGACTTCTGGAATCCCATTATCTAGTGTACATTTCTGGCGGGGTTTATCTATATTAGTCTATGCATTGCCAGCCAATCAAAGCATACTTAAGCCATGCATGATTATTGCCCCGGTAGGCGGGTGCAATTTGTCCTATGAATGGATCCGTTTGGCTCTAGAATTCACTCCAAAGTCTCGATAAGTCGCGGAAAATGTGCCTTTGGTACGAGCCATCCGATGGATGCCCCGGCACTTAGGCAGAATGAATAGTGAACGGATAGGTACATAAAACCAGCAAAGAATGGTTTCGCTAACAACCCCAACAGTGCTCCAATTCCTAACTTATTATGGGTGCCCTCGGAGCGTATGATTTGGAGTAACCCCACAATCCGGTCTCTATTCAGCATGAGTGGGTATTCCAGGTGCGCTAGGGGCTGATAGGGACAGCCAAGTTCCCTAAGGTAGACCACCTGTTGGAGCGACAGGAGGCAAGGGGTTGTAATGTACGGTAATGGAGTGAAATATATGTAACTCTGAACTATCTAAAATGACAGGCACCGAATATTTATACGGTGGTTTCCTTACAGAAGAAAAGTAGTGCACATGTGCCAAGAAATGAACGCTCGGTCATGCGGTGGTAATGGCACCGTATGTTCCGACACCACCCCAAGATAACACCGGTACTTAATGGTCCAATGGGAATGAAGCCGCTAGGTGATGCCACACCATATCGCTGCTATCAACCCGCCTTTCCGAATTGCCCTACCTGTCGCAGCCAGGGTGATAGATAGACCTGGAGGCATTCAGCCAAGACTCTTCTCAAACTCGATAAAACATAAATCGGCTGGCAGCTGTGTGGCGGCGAAACTCTCTATCGGAAATGGTGATGTCTCGCCTGTCTTCTGATACCCTCGGCGCATGTACCATGCGATAAGAGCAGGGCGTGTAGAAAGTGTGTTGAGAGAGAACTTTCTAATGCCCCAGGTTCGCTGACAATAATCCTCAGCGTAGAGGAGGACCTGCCGACCAACACCACCACGTTGGTATCGATCGTTGACAGCGAGCCTGGACAGACGTCCGATGTCCGCACCGCGCTTGGTGACCTGGATCGAGGCCACGAGGTCGCCGTCGGCTCCAAGGGAAGTGAGCGCCATGAGGAAGACATTATCTGGCTTGCCGATGTTGGCTGAAATCTCATCGACAGAGATGCTGAAGCTTGATGCAAGCTCCAGAAGGCCTGTCCATTCCGGTCGACTGTCATGGGTACGGAATGAAGATTGTACTAGTTGTTGGATACGCGAGGCGTCATCCTGGTTTGCGAGGCGGAACTGGAGGGTTTGTGTAGTGTCTATCATTTTCGAGACTCAGGGATTCAGATCTATTCTTTGTTTCGTCCCCTAGAGAACTGGCTTTATACCCTTCTTATGTTATAATGTCCGTCTTGTCAAGAGAAGGGCGCGTATCTACTAACTAGTGTCGCCGTAACCTATTGTAAGGTAATTTATTCAACGCGTTGTGGTTGGTCCCTTAGCCCTGACAGCCGAGGTTGGTACCGCTAACATCGTTTCCGCGGCTGTTTTAACGATACGCGTGATTGACACTTGGAGATTGCATGATGCTACAACATCGGAGAACGAGGTCCCTAAAAAAGCCCACGAGACTTGAAAGTTGGGCTATACTAGCAAGAAAGCATCACGGAAGTGATAATATTACCTATTATTTGATTGGAACCAGGCAATAGGACATGGCTGCTATCACTACCAATCTTCAGTCTAAGGCCTTAAACTGGCCGACCTCTAGTTCAAGCGATCAAGCTTTTGAACCTGATGCTGAGACTCGGGAAGTAGACTGTAGTGGAGATTGCAAGCTAGTGGAACGAGAGGGATAAAGTCTACGAAGAATGAATGTATCATCGTCTGAATGTGTTAGTACTCTGGTGAGAACTCTCCACGGGTTAGAACGCCCAATACTCGTCTTTCTCCTGTCATATTATGAATCACAAAAGAGTCTCTTAAGTCCCCGACCGAGTCGGTGGATACTTTAACCTTTTTGTATCAAAAGACATGGCGTGGGCCACCGAACCGCATTTCGCGTGTTTGGTGGGGTGGCGCCGATCGCTCCAGGCCTCTAAAACAGCGCATGCCACATGTCAAAGACACGTACCACCATAGTAAAGGATCAAGTTTTCGCGATAAGGATAACTGATGAACTGATCTTAAGAGCCGAAACCTTGTTTAATGTTGGTTTTGAGCCAATAAAAGAAGGGTGATTAATGGACCGCGGCCGTGAAGTCTAGAAGTCTAGAACTCTACGTCATCCCAACAATCACATGCCATAAGCGTATCGGTTGAGCCCAATTGTTTAGCGCGTTGCTTGTTTTAGGCCCGTATCTTCATCCTTTCAAGGCACTGATTCTCGATCTTCAATTCACCAACTCCCATGGATCATCATGTTGAAACCCGATGCTCAACCGGAGGAGAAGCCGGAAACTCAGATCGCGATCAGCCACGGCCCCGCGGCATCAGGAACCACTTTGCTGCCCCGCCCAGTCGCGTCTTTAGTTTCTTTGGTGACGCAGTCGACGTCGCTCTCCCTTCGAATTGGGACCTTCTTCGGTGGGGTGGCCCTTGATGGGGCCCGCGCGACGACGTTGACAGGGCTTGAGCTGGGCCGTGCTGTGATAGAAGGCATTTTGACTCGGGCTGGTAGAGATGTGGCATTGCGAAGTGGTGATGAACATGGAAGAGCTGAAGCCGAGAGTCTTTTGGAGCGCAGTGTGAGTCCGAAGTCAATTGATTCTTCCATTTCAAGGCCATTCCCGTAAAGCTCACATGGCAGCTAGTTAGCAACTCTACATACCACAGTGACCTCTGCTTCGTTCTTTGCTGCTGCGACTTTCCACTTTTCCTCAACGACGCTGGCATCAGTTGCAAATTTCTCACAGGCGCTTTTGTCGACGCTTGATGCTATTCTCGGGTCCACTGAATCCTCAAGGGCCATTGCTGCCATCATCACCCTCATTCGAAGAGAATTTCGACCGGTAAACCCTACGAGTAGTGAAAAGATTGGCGTCGGAGACCTTCTCATAGGGTCACTCGGGTTCGCTCTTTTGCAGCGGTGGGGCAAGAAAAACACAGAGAGATGCCTCCGCGAGAATGGAGGGGATGAGATTATCTGGGATACCGTCATTCTGGATACTGGTGCAAGGGCTGATGTGGTCGGAACACATCAAGTACGCTTCGCCAATCCAGACCATAATGCACCAGATGAAGCGGAAAGGGCTTCATTCATGGCCCCGGGAGCGGGGATGAGCCTTTCAACGCTGTACAGCGACGATCGAGTGTGGATACCACAGGATCCCGTCTATCTTTCCCGACAGAGGGGCAACAAGCAGTGTCAGATGAAGATATACGGGCTTACATAGTGAGCCAATTGCCCCAAGGCTGTCATGCCTCGATCAGGTCAGAGGTGCTCACTGCTCGAACAATCACGGTCGATATCTTTGACGATGATTCGGCGGAGATTGCTGCTCCTCCGGGAACCATGATGGTTGAAGAAAGGTTTCATCATGATAGCGACTATACCGACTCCACCCTGAGCAGCAGCAACTTCCGAAGCATACAATGGTCTTTCGGACGGCGTTGAATAAATCGCAGAGCACTCAGTTGCGACCTATCGATCGTCCGATTACCCCATCCACCGAATCGAAACCGCCACAGAATGCTCTACAGGGGAATCCGCCATCACCAGCACAGCCGAGAGGCGCACTAAAACGGGTTAACTCTCAGCCTGAACCTGCCCACACTCTGCTCAACCCAGACATGAATGGCTCGAATGTACCTAATCAGCCCCAAAATTCGTCCGCAAAGGGTTCTTTCACTAGGCTGGCCCAGCGAGTCAAGCCCAACGGTCCAGAAAAGAAAGATGGGAAAGACAGTGCTAAACGTCAACCTCCAAAAAAGCCCACCATTAAAGTTCCAACTTCTCCAGTCGCGCCCAATGGTCGACATGCAGCAAGGCCGGTTAAAGGAGCCGCTGGTCCCAAAGAAGCCACCACGCGAGAAATCGCCTCCCGGACAGGTGCAATCCACCGCCCAGATGAAGCACCTGAATACCGTCCTAGTACACCTGCCCCCAATCGAGGTCTTCGAAGGTCACCATTCCCTGGATCTCCGCATGGCCAGCCGGCTCAATTGCAGGCCCGGAACGTACTCTCGCGTGGAATGCACGACCGGAACCCCCCAAGCGGCCATTTTGTCGCCCACGAGAAGAGTCAGGAATCGCTGCTGACACACACTGATGCCTTCTCACGACGCAGTTCCGATATGCGCCCGGGCTCGCCAGCTGCCACTCGCACCCATGTACGGAGCAGTAGCTCGCTCTCCGTGACCAGGTCAGAGACTGACGGCGGAGGATCAATCCATGACTATCGCTCGGCATCCCCAGCATTGCATCGGCGGTCGAAATCATACACTCCCAGCGTGTACTCTGTTGCTACTGCTGGGTCCGAGACCTCGCTCATTTTGGCGCATCGGCCACGCATGAGTGCCTACGAGGATATCGAAACCATCCAAGCGCTGAACCGCGATGGCCTCATTCCCGGGATCTTTCCCGAAAGGCACTTTGTTCAGAACATTCGCCGCTTCTGCCGCTTTTCGTCCGCCTCGTACGGGGCCAACGCCCTCAAGGTCATGGGAGTGCAGAGTACCGCGAAGAGCCTGCCACAGGCTACATCCGATACGCATGAGCATAGCCACTTTTCAGATTATGCCGGCCTACCGCCATCGACGATCCTTCTATCGTCGTTCGTTGATCCCGCCGGGGGCACCAACGCAGCTGGCGAGACGGAGAGCGGGTTCCCACTTGTCCATTACTTGTCTATCGATCATGACTCCAAAGCCATAGTCCTGACGCTCCGTGGAACATGGGGCTTTGAAGACATCCTCACAGACATGACCTGTGACTACGATGAACTCGAATGGCAAGGCCGAAGCTGGAAAGTCCACAAAGGCATGCATGCCTCTGCCAAGCGTCTCCTCGAAGGCGGCGGTGGTCGAGTGATGATCACCCTCCGCGCTGCGCTGGAGGAGTTTCAAGATTACGGCATCGTCCTCTGCGGACACTCGCTCGGCGGAGGCGTGGCCGCTCTGCTAGCTACCATGATCTCGGAGCCTAGTAGCTCTCCCACGGGCACTTCGTTCGTCACCGCGTCCCATCCACCTGGCATCCAAGCTCGTCTTCTGGGCGCCGATAGCTCGCCGACAAGGGCGCCTCCTCGCACTTATGATCTTCCTGCGGGTCGTCCCATCCATGTCTACGCATACGGCCCACCGGCCGTGATGTCTCCATTCCTCCGGCTCGCCACCCGCGGCCTCATTACGACCGTCGTGAATGGGCAAGACGTCGTGCCGACCCTCTCCCTCGGAATCCTGCATGACATGCATACCGTCTCGCTCGCATTCAAAAGCGACATATCAGGCGCGAAGTCCCACGTCCGCCAGCGCCTGCACCAACGCCTCCGCGAGAGCATCATCCACAAATTCTACGTCAATCAGCCCCCTCTCGTGATCAATGCGGGGGACGGCGTCGGCGAGGATGCCTGGGCGTGGAAGACCCTGGGCCTGCTGCGCGACGAGATGCGAGCACCAAAGCTCCAGCCTCCGGGCGAGGTGTTTGTCGTTGAGACGATGCGTGTTTTGCAGCGGGAGGCTTTTACTCCGGCACCGGATTTCGCGGGCTCGGATGGGTATCCCAGACTTGGACGGCCGGCCACGCGAGTGCAGATGCGGTTTATCCGCGATGTTGATGCGTGGTTTGGAGAGCTGAGGTTTGCGTCGGGGATGCTGAGTGATCATAACCCGGCGCGATATGAGACCAGCCTGGCTGCGCTGGCGAGGGGAGTGGTTGATGATTGAAGTTATCTTAATGACGGGCATGATATTTGGGGTTCTAGGCGGGTTTCGATCTTCTTGATTTTTCGGGTTCTGGAATGCTTTTCCGTGCGAATCTAGATACAGATACCTTTCGTTCTTTTGTCTGTCCCTTCATAGATCTAGATCTGATCTACTGATAGAATGATACCATCTCTTTTTCTGATCAATGCTTGATATCATTTTTGTTTTTGTTTTCTCTTGATTAGGATAGAAGCCCCAAGGCAAAGGATACATAGCCGAATGCCGTACCATCTCACGCACAGTATTCTCTGGGGTACTGCGCGCCTAATCATGTTCTAGCCTCCTAGGCCTCTCTATTGTCTTCATAGTTTTGCCACTATTCGCCCGCACTCTACATCATGGTGTCCCTGCCATATATCAAATCAGGTCCTGCTGTTACTGGATGGTTTACCTTTCACATACTATATATTCTTGCCCGCAATACTATCGCCTCGATTTCCGCTATGTGTGGATTTGTGTGTAAACGATCAAGCAGCAGCCCAAGGACTCCAAAGGATCAGACCCTTCACCTTGGGGACAGGCATAGAAAATCCTTATTCTCATATCATTTCTCCTAACAACCCTCCCATTTACTTTCCTAAGCCGTATCGGCAATATTATACACCAACTTCTCCCCACTAACCTTCCCTTCCTCGAGCAGCTTCAATCCCTCCAAAACCCCCTGCAACCCTCCCTTCCCGACCTTCGGCGGATGAACCTTGACCTTCCCCGCCGCCAGCAACGGCTCCGCCATCTCAATAAACTCCTTGATGCACGCCGCATCCTCGGGCTTCGCCGGGAAATCCTTCCCAAACTTCGTAAACGCCTCCCCCATAGCCGTGTACCCCAGCGTCGCCGAATCCACGATATTCTCCCTCTTCGTGGTCGTGCTCAACAGGGCCGTATACCGGCCCCCCGCCGTCGAAATCGCCCCCTCACAGAACGCCGCACTCCCCTCATCCGCAATGCAGTCCAGCGCCAGCGCCAACTTGTCCCCGTCTTCTCGCGGATCGCCGCCGCCGCCGCCGCATCCCGGTAATCCAACACCTCGTCCGCGCCCAAGCCCTTCACCAGCTCGAAATTCCGCGGCGAGCACGTCGTGTACACCGTGTACCCGCTCAACTTCGCAAACTGGATCGCCAGCGTCCCCGTCGCCGTCGACCCCCCGTAGATCAGCAGCGGGATGCCGTTCGCCACGGGCTCCGCCCGCGGCGCGTCCAGCTTCAGCGCCTGGTACAGCGACTGGCCCACGGTGACGACGCCCACGCCCAGCGTGGCGGCTTCTTCGAAGGAGAGGTTCGGCGGGATCTTCCACTGCGCGTGCGCCTTCGCCACGATGTACTCCGCAAAGGCGCCGTCGTCGTGGTTGGAGTCGTTGGACCCGTGCGTCATGCCGCACACGCGATCGCCCTTTTGGAAGCGCTTGGTCACGGCCGCGCCGACCTCTTCGACGATGCCGGCGTAGTCGCAGCCGACGAGCACGCCGGGCTTGGCGATGTACTTGATGTGTTTCCAGTCGGTGGGGTTGAGGCCGACGCTGACTACTTTGATGAGGAGGTATTCGGGGCGTAGAGCAGGGCGGCGGCGGTCGTTCACGACCGAGGCCACTCCGGGCGCTGTGATGGTGATTGCTTTCTGGGTGGCCATTGTGGTTGGGGGGGGGGGGTGTTCTTTGGATTCTTTCGAATTCTTTATGTGCAATATTTCAGCTGCGATGGGCTGTGTTCTCTTTCCGAGGGACTAGATTGGTATTTTATATGTGGGAGAAAGTCATGATGTTATGCTCAACGATGTGGCCTTTTGTATAATAATCAGATAATCCGAGTGGGTTCTGATTTCTCAGCCTGGGGGACTGGATTAGCAAACCAGATAATTCGAGCTTTGGGAGGGGGCTCTTCGATATGCCGAGGCTTCGTCTTCTAGAGTTCGATGGATCCACGCTCGGGGCATCGTTCGCCCGGTGAAACCCAACTGCGGGACCGTAAGTTTGAAACAGACACGCAGCGGTTTCTGAGGAAAACCGGATTCATACTTCTGTCCACCTGATGATCTGTAAGCGTACGGGTTTCTCGCAACTTTCGATAGCATTCCAGAAGTCGTTCTGTTTTTGGTTTCTTTCTTTTGCCTGGCTCTCAAACCCTTGATAGCTTGGACTTCGAGCCATGGTCCGGATATCTATATACTTTGGAGACAGAATTCGTAAAACCAGTCCTGCTCAGTTTTTTGACCTTGTATCACCGTACAGCCAAGGCGGGGATCGAGCCTTGGGAGCTAATAAACTACCGAGTCAAGTCCGCACACTACCAGCGCATCTACACGGGAGCATCATCGTTCGTAGAAGATAGTACATTTGTCTCGTAAGATATATTTTGAGGGCTCTCCGTCCTTGGAACCCATCCAAACCAAATAGAAACCCGGGGTATCACGGCGAAACAGACAGCCACAGAAAAGCCAACACCAAACCCAGCGCCCCGAAAAGAGCAAAAATAAAAAAAAAAAAAATATAAAACACGAGAAGAAAAGCCCATGGGCACATAAGGTATATACAAGGTCTGGTTTTTCTTTTTTTTTTTGTTGCTTTTCACTTGTCGTTTATACCACAAGAGGCGTCGCAGGAACCGCCGGACGACCGGAGTGGCAGCCCCGCTCATGGCGTTTCATGTTGCTGCGCACAGAGAAAGCCTTGCCGCAGCCCGCGTGGGTGCAGCGGAAGGGCTTCTCGCCCGTGTGCGAGTGCGAGTGGATGCGCAGAGACGAAGGGCGCGAGAAGGCCTTGTGGCACGTACGGCAGATGTACCGGTCATGGTTCTGCTGGTACGGCGCCGCGGTGGACGGAGGGAAGTAGTGGTGATGCTGCCAGGCCGGGGTGACGGGCGAGATCAGCGGGGGGGGATTGAGCCGGCTGGTGGTGCACTGCCGGCATGGGTGCGGTGGCGGGCAGGGGGGGGTTGGTAGGTGGCCGTTGATGGAGGCGCATAGTACATTGGCGCCGGGGCTTCCGTGGAGGAGTAGGATGAGACGCTGGGAGCTGGCGAGGCGTATGGGCCGGCAGCTCGAGGAGCACATGGCGCAGAACCGGTGCTGGAGATGGAGGAGCGGTGCGGCAGAGTATCTGGCTTGCGCTCAGATGGGGAGTGCACGCGGTGACCGGACCCCGAACCCGGGCGCAATGGTGGCGTGGGTGGGAGGTGGACGGGGCGGTCTTGATAGACTGGGCTCATGCGCTGGCGCTCTGCGGGAGGTTGATGTTAATATTTCCGATATACACGATTGATATATATAGAAGTGGGATGCATGTCTCCAAAGATAAGACGAGGGCTACTTACTAGCTGCGTGCTGAGCGCCATCGGCACCCTCCAGCAGGGTCGAGATCGAGGGCAACGAACACTTGGGCTGTTCTTCCACTGGTGGGGAGGGAGGGGTTTGGTGTGGACGCTTGCCATAGGTCGCGGTGTAGGGCTTAGGAGCACCATTCATCAGGCTGGCAAGATCCATGGTGATAGTTGTGTACGGATGGGGAGGGCCGACGCCTGGGTGGTGAAAAGGGCAGAGATTCTTTAGGGAAGGGAAGTATGGGGGATGGACACGAGGGTTTATAGTTATAGTCGGGACTTTGGGATGATCGACGGGTGATGCCGACGGGGGAATTAAATGGGAAATAGCACGGCAAGAAAAAAGGAAATCCTGGAATGGAATTTGAAAAAAGAAAAAAAGAAAAAGAAAAAGAAATCAAAAACCAAAAAAAAAAAAAGACATTTAAAAAAAAGAAGAAAAAAGCGGACTTGATGATTTCATTCGAGTAGAGAGTTTCCCGATGGAATCTCGCCAAAAGGTGAGACAGTCCGTTCCAAAGCTTAATTGAAATGCCTATAAAAAAAAATTATTCTCAAAAAAAAGATCTGGTCTAGGCAAGATGCCTAGGAACTCGAAGATCCCAAAAGGCCGAATGGAAGGAATAATTGAATTTTTAAATCCCGTTTGGGAAGGGTTTCCTGGAGTATTAAATAATAGTCGGAGATTAACCCATCAGTGGAGACAGAATGACGATGAGTCCACGCGAACGAACAAATAACGAACATCTCGAAACAGCATCTACCGAGGGGGCAGGATGGGGATCGGCGAATCACGATCGAGGGATGTGCCCACTAGTTGGAATGCACTAAACCCAATAAGGGAGGCCGGAAAGTCCCCGTTGGGTTCGAGCTTCGCCTCTCCTGCTAGTGCAGATCCTGCTTACCTGTCACACCCAGGGGCCCCATAAACGGCTGATCGCACCCGAACCTGATCTCGCGTCGATCCCTAATAGTGTATAATCTTCCCCCCCCCAGAAATAGGAAGGAGGGAGTCCGTATCCCCTAACGTATTCCTGCTAGCTTCCGAGCCTGCATGAACCCTGTTTTGAAACGCCTCAAAATTGAACTTCCATTTTGTGTCCCGGATCCCCCGAACAGCTCATCGAGGGACGTGGGGGTTGGGCGTCCAGGGCGCTCTCCCCCTGGAGTTCTAGAGAGAGTTCCGTGGGTTAGGGCAACCCAGGGTTACAGCGGGATCGAGGATCTTCCAAGGGGCCCCCCGGAATCCTTAGTCAGAAATGTCGCGTGGAAAGAATCGATGAAAAGGGAAGGTCAGAAACTGCCCGCATTGCACTAGGCCCAAAGAGTACAAACCTCCGTTGGGGCTGGGATTACGGGGTGGCGGCTCTAAGCGCTCGGATCCAACTCGCTTAAACCTACTGCTGTGCGAGGTGATCCTGAGCATGCATATACGATGTTCGTAAGTGTGCAAGGCAGATGGGAGGAGCGGTCTTGTCTTCCCAAGTCCACCTTGGGGGGGAGCATCTCTGTCCCCGTGGACGATCTGAGGTATTCATGTATTCATGATCGTCGGACAAGTTCCGGAGAGCCAAGAGCGAATAAACATAAGAGACAAAGTCAATTCTAAATGGATTCTGACAAGAGAAGGTGCCAGAGCCAACATCTCGTCGATCCTAGGGTCTCCTGAAGATCTCCAAGAACACGAGGCCTCGTGTCCTTCCTCTTTGGCCCCCACCGCAAAACGCGGGTGAGGAGGCTAGTCCGTTTCCGGATACGATCCGATCGGCGTTCTGGAACCCCGGGGCCGTTGCCTTCGATCATTTCAACCGCTGAAGGGCCGTGCCCGCCTTCTACATTAAGACCGACGATTGGGCATTTGGTAATCCCCACCGTCCCGGCCTCGTGGAAGCGAAGCTCCACTCTAATTAAAAAAAATGATTTAGCCAGATTTAGCCAGATTTATCCCTTTACCAGGATCGCCTGCTCCGTGCGTGCCCGTTTGCGAAGCTGGGTTCATCAGGGTGTCAGATATCAAGCTGCCTCGTTACAGAAGCACTGGCCGGGAGATGCCGCTCGACTCGTTCGACCAGATGCCCGGTGCGCGTTTGAGAGCTTAACGGAGCTGCGCTCGAGGGCAAACTCATGGGCCAATTCACTGCATCATGGTCTCGGAGATTGTCCTCGGGGTTAGAGTGTGTCCACTTTACGACGGCCCCGTACATCTCAGAGCAATTACGCATGGCTCGGGCGGTAAATGATCCACGATCCCTTTCGGCATTTTGTGGAAAGGAACGCGTTATCGGGGGTCTCGGGGGCCTGTTGGGTCTATTGGGTCTGTTCGATTAATTAACTTTGACTGTGGGCTTCCAGGTGAATGTGCACAGCGCAAGTAGACGCGTCCCCGTTGTAGCCGCCCATAATGCGGTAGTCCCCAGTGACGGAGATGTGTGAACCTCTCCCCCCTAGACCACGGGCAATAGGCCTCATGCTAGTTGTCGAAGGGGATTAAAGCGGTCGGCAGTTCTGTTCGGGATCGACTAGCTCCCTTTAGTTTCCCGGCGTTAATATTCCGTTGGGCCTGATTGGCGGGTCCTGCGGCTCGTTGAGTGGTTACGATGGTGGGGGGGACTAGGCTCCCGTTCTTTGACGGTCATTTCCTCCCCTGATTTCCAGGCCCCTCTTTGCCTCGGGCTCTAGGCAAATATCCTGAGGCTAGAACTGGTCGAGAAGACATTCCCTTCTGAGAGATTCCATCCAAGAAACCCTAAATGGCCTCCGCTCACATCCGTCCACGGCCGTCATGAGGGGCCAATCCACCGGGTCATTGTCCCATCCTTTTTATGACAAGGGAAACGAGGTCATCAAGGATCTAACTGCAGAACATGAGCATCCAGCACAGGCTACGGGCCCGGAGAAGGGAGATGCGACCGTACAGAAGACCTGTAGGGTCTGGATGCGGTACTGCAGGCTGACCCAATCATGCCTCTCAAGAAACAGCACAGACATCACAGGGACGTGGGATTCTGTCGCTAAACCGCTTCGGGCCACATTTCCGGGTCCATGCGCTGATCGATCGGGGATCATCCGGGGGCGTCGCCCCAATGCCACGCGAGTCTCACCCCTTTTTGAACCTTTTAAATTTGAATTTTCGCGTTTTTTTTTCTTTTTCGTTTTTTGGTCGCGCTTTTTGCTTTTCCCGTTTTCCCTTTTTGCATCACATGGAAGTGGGCCCGCATCTGATCCATATCATGCTGCGCAAGGAGGCCTGGAGAACACATGGCAAATGCATCCAGACCGCAATCTGCAATGCTGCGAATGCTGCAAGATGGCCCATACCATGGTCCATCTGACCTCGAGCGTTTGTCGAAAGTACCATCCTTCTGAGCTCGCAGATACGGCCCAGTTCGGACAAGTTCGGCCGGTGTCGATGTACCGCCCCATCCACCAATCAACCGTTTGTAAGCATGGACTGTCAAAGGACTCCCCTAGGATCTACGTGATGGCCCTGGGCGGATGGATGCGCTCTAAGACAACTTGGGAAGGTGAGCCAATTCATGGGTCGGAAGGTCTTGGTCGCGGCCACCGTTTCACTGCCCTTCGTGACGAAAGCATCCTGTCGATCCCGTATCTGCGTCCGACCGGGCGATCATGGCGTTTTGCAATGGCCGCCTGGGGAAGGTAAATGAACGCAAAGCCCGATTCATCCTTCGGCGAAGCAAAGCCGGTCGTCCGGTTGTCCACGAGCATCACGAGGTGCGGAAGCGAGGATCCTCAGGATCTGGTAACTGGGAAAGTGGCAATTGGTAGCGAGTCACTGGTAATCTCCGCCTGAAGGATTTGATTTTCATGACCGTGATCCGTTTTTGTGATCCGTTTTCTGTGTCTATTTGGCAAGAGCCATGGAAACCATGAAACACTACCCCATAAAATGGGCCACCGCAGGTCGGGTAAGCGGTTGAGAGGTGATTTGCAGGTCCCTGACGTGTAAGCCCAAGCTGTCAGGACTTTCACCTTCCTGATCCGGCGGATCGCCCGTGGATCATCCACACAAACGCTGGCCAGAGCTTCTGTCGGACGCGGTTTCCCTTTATCCCATTAGCCGGTTCTTGGGCCTCAGGATGGATGCGACCGAGGTTGGCCAGGCAGATCGCCTCCCTCAAGTGCCCCTAAACAGACACGAGAAGTTTATCCGCAACTGACTTTTCCCATGCCCAACGCTTGGCCTACGGACCTCCCTATTGTAGACCTTAATTACCCGCCCAGATCTGACTTTTGGTAGATCTTCAGCCGAAGCCCCAAGCCCTAACACGAAAGGGGCAAAATCTAACGAGGAAGCCCCTCCAGGGTCAAACCTGGGGCACAGTGTACGTAACCCGCCCAAAAGAAAAAACCTAAAAAATCAAAAAATTTAAAAAAAAAAAAATCAATAGATTGTATGAGTATTGGCGCCGAATAAATAGAGGATAGAAAAGGGACAAGGCAAAAGGCAAAAAGCCCTCTGGGAGCCACCAGGTTCAGCAAGCCAAATTCCAGCGCGCCGTACGAAAGCGCCCACAGGAGCAAAGCTCCCCCTGTCCGCGATCGACAGGGTGATCCCACCCCAGATCGTGCGGGAAATCCGACCTTCATGCCACAACCAATGCTGAAACACGATCTGTTCGTCGCGAGGGGATGACCCCAGGTGGACAGGTCGGAATCTTCGCGACGGCGCTATACCCGACCAGGCATAAACCCCGTGTCGGATCGCTGGACGGCGTTCTTTTTATTTTTGGGATTATGCAGCAGGCCAGCCGTAGTTGTTTTGGAGATGCAAATTATCTGATGCAGCTTGTGCCGAGCAGCCCTATACTGCAGCCATGCTCCATGTACTCCGTACATTAGGGACCTTCGTCCTGCACGCAAACCTACATGTGTAGTACGGGAGCTAATCTGATTTTTGGGACCTTGGGCTCCTCTTTGTCCGTTTCCTCTGTGTTGAGCCCACTGTCTGGGCCTCCCCCCTTCCCCTTCCTCCTTGACTCGTCAGTCGATTCTTATTTTTGGGTCGTCGTGTCCTATACGAAGCCTTTCGGATCACATGAATTTCTTGGATGCAACTCGTGGATGCACTCCTTCGTTAGTGTCGCTAGTTATACGGCCTAGTTCCAGTTCGATCTACAATGTCCCCCGCTGCCCGATTCGGTGCTATTGACTATTCGATGGACGCCGAAGTATTAAGGCTTGGGATCTTCATTATGTCTCATGTCCAGCCTTGTCCCTATAAAGGTAGGATCAAAAATACAGAAAAGAAAAATCCCGAAAGACACCCGCTTGCCATACTTCACCCCCCCCCCGATCCTCCACGTCTGGACCCAATCGTACTCGACGGGGGCCAGTTGGGTAAGCATTACTATATCACCCCCGACTCGCATTGACGACACTGGCCGAAGCATGGGTTTCTTGGTGCATCTCCTCGGTCAGGACTTAGTTCCTAGATAGGTGTAGCCGCGACAGGGATGTCTATCCCAGCTCGACGGGTCTCCTCTCCATCCGATCTGTAAACAGCAATTCCTCCTTTCGTGCTGCCAACAACTCGATCAGAGAGCCTATCATTGCAGACCCAATGCAGCTGATGGTTTGCCCAAGTCCAAGGCATCCCAGCTGATTTTTCTTTATAAAAACAAATGATTTAATTTTCTTTTTTTTTTTCTATTGATTCATTGGGGGAGGTTATGTCTATGGATTAAGGGGTGTGGGGCCCGGGGCACCACCTTCCACCGGCACTAACGGTAGATCCTGGCCGATGATCGACCTTTGGACTCAAACTTGAATTCCAGTGTCGAGAATGAGTTTGCCCGACAGGGATCTTTGAGATTGACATCGATTGAACCGACTTGCCGAACATGCCCTAAGCTTCCCCGTCAGATGTTGGCATTCTTGCTTGATCATCAGGATTCGTATTCGTTTTTTTACTCGAATAGGCGAAAATCACGGCAAACCCGACACTGCGCGTCGCATCCTGCTACCTTTTGGCTTCCTGCAGTAGATCATCTCACCTGTGGCATCTCTCCTCCCCTTTTTTTTTCTTTTTCTTTTTTTTTCCCCCCTCCTTCCCACCCAACACGAAGGAGCTGCCTCGTACTTGTTGCTGTCGACTGACCTGGAAGGGGACAGCTTTACGTTTTGTTTATTGGATGGACCACCGGCCGGTGTCGTGTTGTTCTCCTGTACTCTGCCGCCGTATGCAGCCCCGGCGCGTTTTCTTCTGGCGAGTCATTTACTGAGTCATTGGAGTGGCTACGCTGCGACGTTGGTCCCAACCAACAACAGGAAAGATGTCTAGTCGCTGCCTTGTCTACCATGCCCAGCAACGATTGCCCCGTACGGAGTACCCGTAGACAACATACCCACACATACCCACACATAATCCATGTCCATTTGCCTAGATAGTTCTTTGGAGCGTCATTCAAAGTTTCTTTTCCCCCACCTAACTCCGTACACAAAGAAATGGGCTGTTAGACAGGGGTGGCACGGTAAATGGGTGCCATCTTACCCGCTCCTATTGCAATCAGGCTTGTAACCCCCCCGTCTGCTCGAGACTCTGTGCCGCCGTGCGACGAGGAAGACCGGACGAGAAGCCTAAAAAAGGGGGGTGGGTTCGACTGTGGTGCAGACACCGTTTCGACCACTCTGGAGATAGATCTCCGGAAAAGCAGGAAGCCCACGCTGGACGCCAGACCAGGGTCGGGTCCCTGAGAGACAGAAGTACGGCGTACCACGGGCAGCTTCAGGCCTAGTCTGACGGCTCGGGAATCCCAGGTCCTTGGATGAGGGGTCACCAATGATTCCCACAACGTTTTGAAGCCGCTGGCGTCAAAGCCAAGAGAGTCCGTCCCAAAGCCCTCCGTTCTTTTAGTGCTGAGGCTGGAAGCAGCTGTCGCTTACTTCCGACAACAATGAGCGGTCCGTGCTGTGGGGTGCGAGCTTCTCCGTAGCTCCGTAGCGCCGTAGCTCCGTAGCCCCCTTGAGGTCGCCCTCATCTCCGTGATATTAGCACATGCTTACCTTATGAAGGACCGGGGGGGGCCGTGGATTGGGGCCAGGGCGGCTGGGAGCGACAACTAATTACTACGGTATCTGCGTCCCGCGGATTTCGGCTTACGGCCATTTTCCCTTTCAGCCTGAGGATACCTCACAATCATACTGGAGCATGAGTGGAGATGACTTGTATGCGGCCAGGATTCGAACCGTTAAACAGGGAAGGCCAACGGGCGCCCAGATTTCGCCACTGCTCTCTCTCTCTCTCTCTCTTACCTGTATATCCCTCGTATGCAGCCCCATGGGCGGGTGCCGTGCAGGTGATCTCACGGATTCGCCCTGGTGCCCACCAGAAATTAAAGTATATACAGAGTTTCTAGAACGAAGGGATATGATGTAACTAGATGCATCAGATTTCTGGCGAAAAGGAAACCGACCTTTTCCCTAGTCCTCGCCTGGGTCAAGGGAATGGGGCGTGGAAACCCTCGCTACAGCCTCAAACGTTTCTCAATGTCTCTGTCAAAGAAGTCAAAGAACAGGATAAAGAGCAACAGGATAAAGAGCTGGGGTTCAACAGTCAAAGCGTCGGAATTGCCCCACCGAATATGGGGAGACCTCTGGCCCAAGCGCTTGCGATATCGAATGCAACGTGTTGGCTCCCGGTGGTCGGCTGCTACTTACTACTTACTACTACGGAGTACAGGATATGTCATAGAGGGCGCCGTGAATGGTGGGGATCGAACCTGGAGTCGCGGTGGAATCGTGGAATATCAGGCCAATCACTCCATCTTTTTCTCCACTGCCGTCGATGAGACGCAGCGTCGATCAGCGTTGTAGGTATACGCACATACAGCATGCAGCTGGAGGAGAAGGGGGGTGGGAGAAATGACACGGGGCTGGGCTTGGTTGGGAGACTAAGGCAGTGGACAACAAAGCAAGTTCCCCCACGTTTGAAATTGCGCGATATTCGTATGATCCAAGTCCCACCACCCAGCCTCATTCCATCGAAGGGCAGACAAGGACGCACAACGCCAAACCTTCGCGCGGAGCGTGGCCGAAAGGAGGGGGCATCCACGACAGGTTCCAGGACGGGTCACCGAAGCATTTTAGAGTTGAGAGTAGCGAGGAGATGCCCAACGCCGCCCAACGATTGGCACGCAAAAGCTCCGGAAATGGGGCCTGTGATCTGCGGCGGAAACGCCCGGTGGTCGATCTGCATGACACGGTCACTTTTTAGAAGCCATTGCGCGCCTTTTCTTTTTTGCACGAGGATCATGAGTGGGGATTGGCTTCTCGCCATCGAGGGGCCCCCCCCACCCCGTAACCGAAGATGCAAGGGAGGGCCTGGGCGATGAGGCGCTGGGCTGCTCGATCTTGGCCATTTCTGTACGTTGGTCCGATCCGAGCATGGATCTGAATCCTTTGACTTCGCGCCGGGAATTCCCTTTGCCACGAATTTCTGTCGGCATTGACCTGCGTCAATCTAGCTTCCCCTCCTCTGATCGGCGGGTTAATCCGACACTAGGTTATGGTAACGCCTGACCCGATGCAGCCCCGTCACAGCCAACCGGTTCTGGTCCGTTCCATCCCCGGCACCTGGTTTTGGGTCTTCTAGTTTCAAACAGGCCCTTACTTTTGAAGGCGTGCACAGTCAAATTGGTGAGGCGGAGGAGGGGTGCCCCCCAGTGGGCACAGACCTTAACGATTCCGTCCATGCATGGGACCCAGCGATCAAGAAAAGGAAACGGTCGGGGGGGGGGCGCTCTTAGTGGGTATAGTGTCCTCCACAGGCACGCCTGTTTTGGCAGGTCAATTCTCCTGGAGTATAACCCTGAAACTCCTCGTCAACATCCCGTGTATAGAAGGTTCGATATCAGTATAACACAAGAATTTACCCTCAGATCATGCGCCAAGGTGGGTATGTTTGATGATCGTGCGGCATTTTTGGGGGTTATATCTACTGATAGGCCTGGTCTCTATACCGACTCGGAGCAAACAACAAATTCGGTAACGGGGGTTAGATTCAAGCGAGAAAACAAGATGGTATCATGGGTCATTATACAAGAGCTGTATCAGTAAACGTCGACGGGATTGCGTCTTCGTAGCTGCCGGCCGGTGATCGTTCGCATCTTCTGGGCAGCCACCCGGAAATCAAGTTTCCCGTAGTCCTCAGGCATATACTCGCCACTGTAGATGGTGAGCACCTTCATGCCACGCTTGTAGGCCAGTCCAGTAAGAAGTTTGGGCGTGATAAGGAAGTATTGGCTTCCTCCGCCTCCTCCAATGGAGTCCGCTGCGGCAGTTGCCCCGTCTTCCGTCCCGCAAGCGATGTCCACCAGGCGCCCATGGACCATGCGCTCGTTTCGAGGGTCCATACCCTGATTGATCTCGTCGACCACCCGAAAGGGTGAGGCGGAGAGAGATTGAAGAGCCATGAGGTAGAAGATCGTGCTGACAGCACGCTCTCCGCCAGATTGACGGTGAGCAGTCAAGATAGACAGTGGTTCATGCTCACGGAACTTGACTTGGATTTGAATGGCCCATTGCTCAAAGTTGCTGGCTCCAGGCTCGCCGTTCGGCCCAGGTTCGTCTTCTGCCTTGAACAGACTGACTTGTCCAGCCAGTCCGATGCGACGGAAGGAGTCTCCAAAGGCGTCACTGATTTTGCTAACGATAGCATCCAGTTGAGGCTCCCATAGGCCGCGAACCTCATCGATACTTTCTTGAATCTTCGCCCTCTCCTGGATGAACCCGCTGAGCTTCTCCTTGAGTTCTTGAATCTTCCGTTCCCGCGCCTCGAACTCCTCGATCATCCCAGAATGCCCGCCGTGGGTGAGAGCCAACCGCGCCTTTTCCGAATCGAGATCCGCGTTATAGGCATCCATATCGTAGTCCGGGGCAAGGAAAGACTCGTGCACTTCGTCTGCCCCCTCCCGGTTGCGTATCTCTCTCTCTATTTGCTTTGATTGATGCCGCAACGCTTTCCCTTGCCGCTTCGCTCTGTCCATTTCTTCAGCTGCTTCACGTAGCGTCCGTGACTTCTCTTCAAGCATCCGAGCAGAATCGCTTTCTCGGGCTTTCAGAGTTTTCCAGTCTGAGATCGCTTCCATGTGCAGGATCTCGGCCTTGAGAAGCTCTTCATAGGCCTCGCGCACCCCTTCAATGGAATCCTGTGATCTCGTTAGCCCAAGGACATGTAGGAAAATGGACAACGGTGAGACGGACGGCGTATCGAACGGTAGCTTCGGCTTTTTTGATCGCAATCTCATCTTGCTGATACCGCAGATTGTGAACTCGTTCTCTAATCTCAGTGAACCCTTCCTGACGTAGGTAAAGCTTGGACTGTTCTTGTTCTAAGAGGGGGTCAGTAGTAGCCAGGATAGATAGATATCGTTGGATGAGAACGTACCCAACCTCTGCGGGATGGCCAAAAAGTTGGTGTGCGCGGTTTGTCGTTCGGCTTTCTCCTTTTCGATATTTTTCTGCACAGGCAATGAGTTAGTGTCTCCCAGCTGGGCACGATCTTGAGCGTACCATATCTTGATCCAAGGCTTTGATTTCATCTTGCAGCCTCTCAAAATTGCGAGTCTCTTCGCCCAGCTCTGCGTAGAGATGTTCGAGTTCATCCTTTGATGATCCAATCTCGTTGAGATACTCTTGTTTAGCAGACATGTCGACGGGCTGGTCTGTCCATATCCGGGCCTTCTTGATACCCCTCGCTCTGGTAGACGTCGCTCCGGGTCCATCTCGCGACGCCGGCTGATCTGATAGACAGTCCTTCCAGAGACAAACTGCACAATCGGGCCGTTGGTCGTTTCTTCGTATGCTTCCTCACTGATTTCTCGGATGGCGATTGGAGTGCTTCCCAATTTCGACTCCTCATACAGCATACTGATCACAGGCTCAGGTCCTTTGATGAAATCTGAGGCCCAGCCATCGTATCCCATTCGCTCGATGTCCTCCTTTGGGATCGGTGACCTCTTCCAGCCAGAGCCCGCAGGGCATGTTCTGATGCTAATATCATGGAGGTTCAGTTCTTTGATCAGGGCTTGCTGCAGAGTTCTGAAATCATTCTTGCTCTGCACTGTGAACGCGGTAAGTTCTGCCTTCTGTATGAACGACTCGATCGCGTCTGCGTACTTCGGATCGCTAACTGAGCAAGTGACCATCGGTGGGCCGAAAACTTCCTTCTCAAAGCGGTGCTGGTTGTCGAGAAGCCATTGATATCCTTTTGCGGTGTCCGGAGACACTGACCGGAGAAGATTCTCCTTCTGTCCAGACTTTGAGCTCAAGTTCTCCAGGTTTCTCTGCGCCAGGTTTTTGCGACGAGTGACTATATCAATCTGTCGTTGAAGAGGATCACGTTTCTCGCTAATTTCGGAAATCTGCTCCTCAAGCCTTCGCTTCTCCTGTCGCCTTTCCCCAAGTAGACTATTAAAATAGCTAGGATCAAACTCGACGGCTTCTTCTGCATCTGGCGTTCCAATTTCCTGATTGTTTGAGAGATCTTCGAAGCCTCTTCCTTTTGCCGCTTCCCGCTGTTTCTCTCATTGTCAATCTGGTTATCGATAGCTGTCATCTCATCTTGAAGTTCCGTGATCTTGTTCTTCGCCTCTTCAGCTGCATTTGAAAGCTGCGCAACCTGCTCCCTGCGGAGAGTCTTGACCTCATCGATCTTGTCTGCATAGGCTTTCTTGTCTTCCACTACTTTGAACATAGGCATAAGCTCCTCTTTCAGCAACCGCTGCTCTTCTTCAAGGCGATTCCTTTTTGTTTTGAGTTCATCGAAAAATCGAACAAAGTCTCTAAATTCGACGATGGGGCGCAAGAACTCCATGTTGTTGATCTTTTGCTGAATGACAACTCTTTCTCGCATCCGCTCAACATCCTCTTTTTGCGCTTCGTGTCGTGTTTCCATGTTTCGCAAGGTTTCGGTGTCCCCTCGATTATCGATTTCAATTTTCCTCTGCTCTTCACGAAGCTTGTTCAGAGCGTCATGCCAGTCTATCATCCGCTTCCCACCGGCGGCTCGCTCGGTAGAGTAAAGGAGCTGCTCTGGCGTGAGGGCCGCAAATTCCGCGACTTTGTCCTGAGGGAGGAACTGGCACAGATTGTCGACTTGGATGGCAAATGACTGAACCAGCCTAAGAACATTTTTGGCAGAGACCGGGGTGCCATTAACCCAGAAAGAGCTATGGTTGCCGTCTCGTTTGATTTTCCGTTTGATGATAGGGTTTGTCGCAATTGTAGGCCCGCCGGCGAGTTCGATCTCGATGGTTGCTTCGGGACGGCCATGCTTGACAAACTCTCCAAGCTCTTTAGCGCGGCCAAGATGCTGGATTAATGGGGTGAGATCAGTTTCATCGCTCGAAGGTATAATCTAGCCCATTCGAAGAGCCGAGCTACTACATACCTGAGGACCCCACCCGAGACCAAGACAGATTGCGCAGACCAAAGTACTCTTTCCAGTTCCATTCGGTCCAATCACCATGTTTAGTTTGGGACCAGGGTAGAACTCTGCTTTCGTATAAGTCACAAAGTCCGTCACTTTGATGCGGATAATTGCGCCAGGTTTGTAGCCTTTCGAATCGACTCCAGGCCGAGCCACCAGAGGTTCAAATGGCTGCTCGGGTTCTTGCGTATCATCTTCCCCCCCCTCCCCCTCCTCCCCCCTCCTCACTTCCAGAGCTTTCTCGGGAATTATCGCCCGTTCCAGAGTCTTGTTTCGTAGGATTTAGACGAGCGCGTTTCACGTCTTCCGAGTACTGATTGGACGGCTCATCATCATCGCCATTTGTCATCTCACTGTGTGAGCGACGACGACGACTGGATAGCGGGCTGCGACTAGGAGTCGACATTGTTACCCTGAGGGTAGTTGGCTTGAGCCCACCCAAGTGTGGTGAAGATCGAGAAATCGATAAGGATGATCAAACGCGAGGGGGCGTTAAGACGCGTCTTTGTGCCACTCCACGTATCTGTTTATGGTAAGCGGTCGGTCTCCGCCCGGGGGATTTCCGTTTGCTCGCTTGACCTTCGGGCGATATTAGCAACGACGCAACAATGCCCTCGCCTGAAAATGTGCGTCGAATGATCTTGACAGCCTCTGTGGTCTCGATCACTATTGCTGGGACTCTCTATGGGGCTGGTTTGAAGACGAACCAAGAGATTGAACAGGTGAGAATATTCGTTGACGGCTGCTTTAACTTGAAACTGCGGGCATACGCTCTAACATCACCTTCGAAAATGCTAGACAAAGCGCAAACGTCACGAAGCTACTTTTGATGAAAAGATGGCTGCCCTCCAGGGAATGCGGTCGAATCTCACAGCCCGAAAAGGAATGATCGAGGCGCAAATTCGTGACCTAGATACCCGGATCAAAGAAAAGAAACAAAGACAAGCAGTGGGCAGCGACAAAGAGAGACCACAAGAAGGCCGGTGATCATGGATGGCTTTGCCTATGAGTTAGGCAGAACTTTGAATTACAAAGCACCCCTCCTGATGATGAGGACTGCACGCCCAACCATGGCTCCGGTGACAGCCACTACTCGTACCAATGGTTGAATCAAAGCAAGCGTCCGGCTACACCAGAGCTTGAGGGCAACAGCCCTCTTTTCTCGGTTGTATTTGGTCTGCTTGGGGGAATTAGAAGTCGGCTAGGCGAACATCGTCAATGAGATGCGCGTGGTCTATGGTTGTCAAGAATGCATCATATGGAGTTTTGGGGTTTTGTGGATTATGAGTTTCAAAAATAATACCCTGTGCAACATTCGGGTTTTGTGTCTAAGGGCGTGGCTATTTTGGCCAACTCAATTGAGCTCAGTGGCCCCTTGTCAGCGTATATAGTATAGAGTAAAGTCACCTTCCGCTGGTGCATGCACACTTGTAAATTCAATTTTCATTACCAGGTTTTTAGTAACCCTAAAGGACGTGTTCTGAGCGTATCTGCATAGTGTGAGGGTATAACTGGTAGTGCTTTAATGCATCTGAAGGTCAGAATGCCATGATGTACTTAGGGCCACACCAGGGAAACATCATTGTATATCCAACGTCTATTTTCTCCTCTAAGTACTCGATATTCATGAATATATCGTGACGTGGCAATGTGAACAGGGTCTAACAGTGGCGCATACTGGCGAAACATGTCAACATACTTAAGCATCCAAATTCAGAGTTACCAAAAGGTTCTCCAATTTCTCCATCAAGATTTGATAATTCATCGCGTCCTCGGAGAACTCGTCGTCGACCATGGCTCCATCCAAGGCCCGAAGCTGCCGTGCTTGTCCGTCCGTGGTGTCGCTGGACAAATTAAGTGCGTCGACTTCTTTAGTGACCTGTGCGACATCTGGCTGTTCCCCTCCATCGCCATTTGGAGGCTGCGCCGTCTCTTCCAACATCTCTTCGAGACCCGCATCGTCGAATCTGAGCCGAAAACGTTCATTCAGATAGAATCGAATATCATCCAACAATTCAATAGAGTCGGTCTCTTGACGTGCCTGAATACGGGATGCAGACTCCTGGATGAGCTCCGCGAACTCGGGAGTGTCAATGTGAGCTTCGAGTCGGTATGCAAAGAACCGAGCTGCGAATTCTTCCAATCGCTGGACTCGAGTCAACCAGGCTGCCCGCATGATCGCATAAATGTCAATATCATCGTCATCCTTGCCTCGGGTTCTGGCGGCCTCGGCTTGCGACATGCCGGCGCTACCCAAAGTGCTGATGACGACTGCGGCCTTGGTCTTGAGCTTTTCGATAAAGAGCATATCGGCCGCGAAAAGGACATCAACGGCGATATCTAGAGAGAAATCTGCGCGCTCAGTGTAGAGGAAAGTAAGAATGATCTCTAGCACATCAGGCGAGCAGTCGACATCGATCACCACTAATTGGTCAGATACCTGGGCCTCACGGAATGAGGATGAGAACATCGCCTGGAAGAACTCCGACCGAAGGAGCATTGCCCTATGACATGGAAACAACACTGATTTTTGGGGCTGGCCATCTTCCACTTCGTCAGGAAGCTCATCAGCTTGCAGCACGACATCTGCAAATATCTGGTTATTACGGTCCCATTTCACTTCACTGGCCTTTTCTGTCTCCACGATCACTTTGTTGCCAAGGACGTTAGTCTGGAACCATTGCTCCAGTTGATCACGCCCTCTAGCGAGTTCCATGGTCCTTCGCTGCCGAGCCAGTCTTCGGTCACCACTATCCAATATACTCTCCATAAGACTTTGGGTCTCGAGATATTTAGAAATTTTGTCAATGGCCGCAAAGACGTCTGACTCCGTGAAACCAGTGCCAGGTCCACTCCGAAGCTCCCGGGGCGGTTCACCAAAATAGAGATATTTAATGGCTGCAGAAAATCCCTCGGGAGCAATATTGCTCGGTAGCTTCCATGTGGTAGCTTCTGGAGTCGCTGCGAGCTTACTCCGGAAATAGGGGGACCGAGCAGCCAGTATGAATTTATGTAAGTGAACGGAATCATCGGAGGCAGTCACGACAATATCCGTTGTCACTGGGGACTCTCTAGTGAGGAGAGAGGTTATATGCGCTGCCAAGGGCTGTAAAGGGTCGGTTGATTTGGAATAATCGTATTCAAGGAGCAGATTTCGTATCCGGTCATTTAGAGCATTGTATAGACATCTAGGGCGAGACCCACCATTAGCTTCTGCGGGGGACATGTCAATTGGACGAGAATTTGAATGTCAACCTTTCACCTTGAAATGTGTCACGCTCACACAGAGCCCCGGATTCTAGAAGTAGTTGTGCAACCTCATAGTGGCCACACAAACTTGCCTGGTGCGGGGTATATATGTCTTAGACACTGCATCTCCTATACTTTTTCATTGCCAGGACTCAGAGACGCCAGACTCAGAACTCACCAGGATCAAAGGTGTATAATCATAGTGGTCGCGGGCATTTACGTTAACGCCCTCTGTTATCTTCTCCTGGCAGACTTTTAGGTCACCCTGACGGCATGCTGCACAGAGCTGCCGGAAGGCTTCACTATCATCCAGAGGGTTATCATCTTTGATATAACCCTCCTTGATCAGCTTCTTTTCGTTATGCAAGCTGATTTCCAGCTGATCCTTTCGCAATACACTCCGTTCAGCCATGATTCCCCGGCCACGCAGCTTGCCACTCGCACTGGAATTGGGTTCGCCATCGTAAAATGCGGGACGGCAGTAAGTCCCGGCCGTTATCGATAAGGGACACGTGATATATGAGCAAACAGTGCAAATGCTAATCTTAATATGCAAGACCAAAACGGTGGTTGGGATAGGCCAGCCAGCAAACAATACTGGCAGAAAAAAGAAAGACTCAGCTTGATTGAAGTCCACTGCCTACGAAAGGTCTAGAGTGCCATTGCATTAAGCTCACGTAGACCAGCCAACAGAAACGCCTCCGTCGTGTTGCCACTGACTTGCATGAACCCTTCTCTGACCGCCTTCTTGGAACGGTCTGGGGTGGGTCATAGCCAGCCGTTGCTCAGCAACAACAAAGCACCCAAACAGTCCAGGGCCACCGGCACTTCAAGGGCCCCATTGCATATCACTTTTCCACTTCTTCAATTCCTCTTCCACTACTAACAAGACAGGGAACTTTGGGCTCTTCTCTTTCCATGCTCATCACCCATTGCTATCTGGCCTTCGTCCCCTTTCGTACTCGTTTTATCTCTTGTTAGCATTGCATTTCAGTCAATAGCCATGGCGATTGCTTTGGCTGAGGCGGACAAGTATGAGATCTTGGAGAAGATTGGTAAGTCATCCATTTGTGACACAAGGCTTCTAGTCTCTTTGTTTCATATTCAATGTCTGACCATTGTCAAGGTTGCGGGTCGTTTGGGATCATTCGAAAGGTCAAGCGCAAGTCGGATGGATTCGTAAGTCGCCAGGTGCGATACAAGTTGAGAGGTTGAGAAATATCTGACAACGATAGATATTATGTCGCAAGGAGATCAACTACATCAAGATGTCCCAGAAAGAGCGGGAGCAGCTCACCGCTGAGTTCAACATCCTCAGTTCCCTTCGACACCCGAACATTGTCGCCTACTACCACCGGGAACACCTGAAAGCGAGTCAAGACCTTTACTTGTACATGGAGTACTGCGGAGGCGGTGATCTCAGTATGGTTATAAAGAACCTAAAGAAAGCCAACAAGTATGCCGAAGAGGAATTCGTCTGGCGCATCTTGTCTCAATTGGTGACAGCTTTGTTCCGATGTCACTATGGCACGGACCCGGCTGAGGTTGGATCAAACATCTTGGGTGCTCCCCCGAAGCAGTCTGGTCTGAAGGGCAAGCAAGGACAAGTCACCATTCTCCACCGTGACCTCAAGCCCGAGAACATCTTCCTTGGCAGCGACAATACCGTCAAATTGGGTGATTTTGGGTTATCCAAACAGATGCAGTCCCACGATTTTGCTTCGACATATGTTGGTACCCCGTTCTACATGTCGCCTGAGATATGTGCCGCTGAAAAGTACACCCTGCGATCGGATATTTGGGCGGTCGGATGTATTATGTACGAGCTTTGCGCCAAGGAACCGCCTTTCAACGCTCGCACCCACATTCAGCTGGTGCAGAAGATCCGTGAAGGCAAATTCGACCCACTGCCTGACTGCTACTCCCCAGAGTTGAAGAACATCATTGGTAATTGCCTGCGTGTTAACCCGGACAACCGCCCCGACACCGCCGCCCTCATCAACCTCCCCATCATTCGCTTGATGCGCAAGGAGAAAGAGGTCGTTGACCTGGGAAAGACCCTGCGTCGTCGTGAGGAGGTGGCTTCCCAGAAAGTCCGTGAGATGGAGCAGAACCTGGCCAGGATGGAAAAAGAGAAACAGCAAATCAAAGCTGAAATTGAAAGTACCGTTCGCCGAGTGGGAAGTCAAGGCACGCCTTGAGATTGACCGTCAGGTGCAGAATGAGCTTGACCGTCTTCGTAAGCGGTTCGAATCTGAGGTTCAGGAACGGGTTGCAATTGAGGTTCAAAAGCACAAGAGAAACAGCAATCCCCAATCTCGCGAGGACATCTTCCGAGCCAGCCTACAAGGCTCTAACTCATCTCAGTCATCTTCCTCTCGCAACAGCCGTTGGGAGTCTCGATCTTCCGAAAGCATGACCGAGGATACCGAGCACAACAGTGTCGATCCCAGTCAACTTCAGCCCGAGTCGCCTACCCACAACAAGCAGAAGAAGCCAAAGAGGGAAGCTCGCACTCCGTTCTGCCGCTCGAAGACTGTTGCGGAATCCCCACAGGACATCCAAATGGCTGAGCCATCACCCATCTCTATCGCTTCGCTTTCATTGTCTCCCCGTCGCACTTCCGCTACTGCTGCTTCCCGCAATATATTCGCTGAAGCTGAGCGTAACAAGGCCAAGTGGGAGCCTACTTTGGCTTACTCGGATGATGAAGATGATACCCCCGATCTTCCATCTCCTACTCGCCCGAAGGTGAAGCCTGATCCTTTCAAGGCTCCTCCACGCCCTCTCCTCCGCCAGAACACCGCGGCTATGATGCAGAAGCTCAGCAACCAGCCTGCTCTTTTCCCCTCCAATGGCTCCCGACTCCCTCAGGCCCCCGGCGGACCCGGTGGTTCTCACTCTGAAACCCGTGTTGCCAGCGAAAGTCGCGCGAAATCCCCTCACCGTCGGCTCTCCAAAATTCCTTCATCTGCTAATCTTGCCGCTGATGCTGGCTCTTCAACTCGCAAGAGCGGCCCTAAGAGCCCGACCAAGCAGAATGGAGCCGGTGGAGAGGAGATGTTCAAAGCTGTCATGCAGCGCAACATGGGTGGCCGCACCCTGGTAGAGCTTGCTCAGGCTCGTGCCGGTGGTCGGCCCACCGACGACTTCAAGCGTTGTGCCAGTGACTCCCGTGCTCCTATGCCGACTTGCTCATTCTCCATCTCCGACCGTGACCCTCCCGCTGTCTGGGATCCGGAGCGCGATGAGATGCCCAGTCCCTTCTTGGCTCGTGGAAAGAAGGTCATCCGCAACCTCCGGGTAGACCTAGGAACCGAAGAAACAGCCTCAATTACGCGTTTCACATTTCCCTTCCTTTTTTTTTCTTTTGCCCTCTTGCTTGCTTTCCGGAGTTGATATAAGGTGCACAGGCGTTGCTACTACGTGTCGGAAAGACAGTATCTTCTGATTTTGCTTTCACTTTCTTCGCCATTCGGCCGATTCTTGCTCATACCTTTTTGCTATCTCGAGGCGTTCGATGATTTTTCCGTTCTTTGTTGGGAGTTTGCCTGCAGCCCAAGCATTAGGAGACACGGAGTTTGCTTTTCGCGCTGTGTTTCTTCCTGCCCTGGCTACTACTTATGCCGCCCTGACTCGACCCTTCTTCCCTTTGTCATGCCGTGATGCCCATTTTCCTAATTCATCCTGGAGAAGGAGTTCCTTTCGTGTAAATTTATCTGGCTGCATCGGTCGTACAATTTTGACTTGATTGTTTCGTCTATTAATTGTTTCCCCTCGTACTAGCAGACTCACAGCTAGATCTTCTAGATATTGGCCTTCTGTAGTTTGTCGCTACATTGGTAGGGGTGCTGTTTTTCATCATCTCCATCTTGTATCCGGCTGGTATGATGTTTCTACCTATCAAGCCCTTTAGAGATCTACTTGTGCTCTAGGAACGTAAGCTAGAAGAGTAATAGATTTTATGAATTCTTGCAGTCTGCAGTTCGTCGTTAGTGAGATAAAGAACTACTCAAATCACCAGCTGGTTCTCTCTACACGGACTCATTGTCTTGTATTATCACCATTCGATACTGCTTGCCCTGTCATCTTCATCAGTAGCCACACCTTGTGTCGCATGATCCCTGCCATGACAGTGCTGGTAAGATGCGCAAGGTGGCTCTAGTATTGCTTGGACTGGATACGCTGCTTCATGCTGATTGTCCTTTCTACAAATGATTGCGAATCAGTGGCCTTTCCCTCTGATAAGATATGGGGATAAGCTCCCAACCGCGAAGAATATCAAGAATTTGCAATCAAAAGCTATTCCAGACCAAACTCGCCAATTAACCCAACGAAATGCCTTGAAACAAGCAGCGAGTGTATACCAAGACTAAGCCCAAACCTTCCGCAGCCCTCGTGAATCATCTTTAAATACTGCTAGCACAGATATGTGGGCTGGTCCACTATTAGGAAGTTTCAGCATACCCAAGTTCGAAGTAGAGTTCATTGAGTTATCACTTGAGCACCAGTCAGTGGTAAGCATGGAAACGGGGCAACCGGCCAATGTACACCCCGTGACAAGCAGGTAAAGACTCACTGATGAGAAAATGCAGTTTCCTCTTACCTGATGAATGGCCATTTCGAAAAAAGGGGTTTCATTTGATACAATCATTGGAGACGGAGTACTCGAGACAGATCGAGCATCTGGCTCCGGACTTGGACTCCCGGTGTGCCAAGAAGCAGAGCTCCTACTTCGATATATTGGAGGCACAATAGGGCAGCAGAATCTGATAGAGACTCTGCCGTGGAACAACGAAGTTATCTCCTGGGCCGTCCCATGCCTTTTCAACTGAGGTGAATTGGCGGTGAATTGATAGTCTTGAACTCCCTAGAGCATTCGACTATATACCAGATATTTGGATATCAAATGCGGTAGGAGATCCATGCGACGCAAATAATTACTCAAATTTGTAGGGAGCATCTGGTTTCAATACCCTCTTACCCTGCGGCAAGTATTTCAGGGACATCTACGCAGTCACACTACAGTGATGAATCTTGATTATGAGAAGTAATCGAGTTAAAGCATTTGATGAGCCAATATTATTGAGCATCCAGTTTGCCTTGCGCAGATCATGGGCCCGCCGAGAGACCCCAGATATGCCAGAAGTGCTTTGATCGAACGTGGGGAATTGACGAGAACATCAACACGGAAGGCTTGGTCAACAACCTGCATCTCTCGAAAGATGAACACTTCCATGGACAAGAGATTCGGGACGTGGTCATCAATGGTCGCCAGTTCACGGAAAATGAGAGCGTTGTACTTATCAACATCCGAAGGACGCAATTGAGATACCGGGGCTGATCATAAGAAATTGAAGGAGCTACATGTCGCCATGAATGCAACCCACGAATTATGCATGAGATGTAATTGATAGGCTGGGAAAATCGAGCATTTCTCCGCAGAAAAGAGATTCATTTCAATTTTAGTACAAGCACCCAAGATGCCAGATCAGTACATATAGTTCCTCAAGTGGGATGGTTCAAACAGTGGGATCGTATTGTACACATGTCATTGATTCGATGAAGCTGCAAGGGCTATAGATCCTCATCTGGTACCTCTTCAATCTGGACTGTTTTCATTTCCTCGCGGAAACGCGCCTCCTCCTCATCCAGCAACCGCTGTGCTTCGTCAGCATCAGTGGATTGTATCTTAGGCGGAGCACCGCAGCAGGACCAGCGTGATAACCGGCCTTTTCAAGCCGATCCATTTCTTCCGGCTCTAATAACTTTCCATGTCCCCTGATTGAGTCCTGCTTCGCCCGCACAGCCGCCGGTATAAACCTGCTGACAGCCTCCTGGCGAAGATCGCGGATCTCAGGTTTAGCCTCGTATGTAGTCTTATGCTCAACCTGAGGCTTAGGGGGCAGGGGATGCGGCCCACGACGTTCAGAATCGCCACCTGCGCCACCCTGTCCTCGCTGGTGTTGCCGCGGGATCGGAGGTGGAGTGTCGCGCGGCATTGGTATCCGCCGTACCTCCTCATCTGTTTCGCTGCTGTCGCCCTCGGGCTGTCCCCCAGATCGGGGCTCTCCTCCGCTTCCCAAGTACCCCTTCGCCCCCTTCGCCCCCTTCGTGATCATACCCGCCACGAAATGGCGCGAATTTGGGCGCTTTGTCGCCGAGAGCCTCACGTGCCTTTTGCACCGCACGAAGATCCTTCTCCAATGCCTCTAGTAATTCTTTGTCCCGTGGTCGTAACCTCTGTCCCGACTTCTCTATCGATTTCAGATCATTGATTTGTCGCTGGATGCGTTCAGGATTACGTCGTGCGAGCTTCTCATTGCGCCGTGCTAGCGCCTCCGCCTTTCCTTTCTTCAGAAATTTTTGCTTATCCTGTTTTCGTTGCGCCGCGGCGGGATTGATGGATCGCTCTTTGTCCTTGGCCATTTTGAATCTGCCTGAATCTTCACGGGGTCGAAATCAAGGTCTCCGCGTCAAGCAGCGTATTCCCGGCCCGGAAGCAATTGATTCTCGGAGGGCTCGCACTGCCAATCAACGGCCGATGGCGTCGTCAGCCCAGACTTAAAGAGCCTCGAGGGCAAGCCGGAGGTGTGGCGGGCTTGGAGGCCTTCTCGAAAAGGTATTTCGCACGTGGACGGGGATTGCAGGAAGGGAGCAAGGTTCTGGATGGGTACTGAGAGTCGAGAGCGACCCAGATAGCCTGTTGCCGGCGCAGGATTCTGCAGCTAAAGGGCGATCAAAGCGTGTAGTGTTCCCCGGGGAATGGTCAATGGCGTCGAGTCGGGCAGTTAGGTTGAGTATGCATGCAGGTGGAGCTCGGGTGGTTGAACGCCGCTCACAGGTTGGATTGAGATGTGGCTCTATCGACTGGGAGGGAGGAATACCAAATGAGATTGCCGGTGGGTTCAGCCTCACGAGTTAGGCCGCAGGTTGGGCGAGATGGGAAGTGTGATTGGACTGGATATACTTGCGCGGAGGGTTCTAAGGCGGTGATGGGGAAGAACTAAGAAACCAAAAACCGAGGCGGAGAGGTTTTGACGGCTCCATTGTTGTTCCATGGTTCGGATCCTAACTAGTGGGCGTGGTACATCTGATCGAAAGTATATACGTCCTCTTTGGATATGAATGACGATTCTGTAGGGATTCATGTTCAGGCGAGAACAACCTCTACGACGGTGTCGCGAAAGGGAGGCTGTTCCAGATTCCTCTAGAGTCCGTTCTTCCCCGACTATCCCTTCCCCGCTATAGTTAGTCTCTGTGTATTATACTGTGTAGTCCTCGAACGCACGCGCGACAAGTACTACGTAGTCCAAGCCAAGCACTAGTGACTAGTCATCACGCCGCCGTATGTACATATGCAGCAGCCCCCACTGGATCTTAGTTGGGCTCCTATGCGATGTCTGGAGGTACGAGAGGTTGCTTTTCCCGTGAACCTTTCATCATTGCATCCAGGAAGACTGGGAAAATCCCAGAGTCATGGCGATAATTATGGGATAATCGTAAAGCTCGAAAGCAGGTGCCCCCGTCCCCTCCCCTCCTTCCTCTTTCTCCCCACAATCCAATTCGAGTGCTTCGTCCGAGGTATCATAGTCCCTTGAGTCTGTGCTTCCCATCTCTGGAAAAAGGCAACCCTTATAAAGACTCGGGTCTGCCAGGCTCTCCTGTTTTCGTGTAAGGGCTGCTCACGAGCCGCGCGCGCTGTGCCCAGTTGCCGCCAAATTCACTCGGCGGCTCCCAGTTCCTCTTTCGGGCTTTAGACTTGAATTTTAGTTCTGGACTTTTCAATTCCTGAGAATTCTCCGCCTCTTCCTTCCCAGTATCTCGTCCTCCAGGAGTTCGCCCGCATCTGCATTCCGGTCTCACTGCGCACCGTCCCTCGCCCCCTCCGCCCTCCTTCTCTCCGTCCACCATGACCTGCGGTCTGTTCGGTCTCACCTCGAGTTTGATCGGCGCTTCGTAGACTGTTCGGTCGGAGCATGTCTCTGCCCGGGACCAAATGTCCTCGATCCCCGACACCTCGCTTGGCCTCACCTCCTCCGAGATCCAGATTCTTCGACAGCAGCAACAGATTGCCCTGCAGAACACCCATGCCGGCAATGGCGCTGCCAGGGGCCGGGGTGCTGGGAGAGCCAGCAACTCTAGCTCGCGCGCAACCAGTGCCGCCAGTAGCCAAGGACGCCTGTTACTGGACCCCGACAGCCTTCATGCACTGTCACATCAGCTGGGCTCCCTGGAGCGGCGTATCAGTAGCCAGATCGACTATGTACTGCACCCTCCTCTCTTTCTCCCTCTTCCTCTTATCGCGTCCGATCATTGGCGCCTATGTTCATTGTAGCTTATGCTAACCTCCATTTCCCATAGCTCTCACAACAAATATCCGATTCCGTCAAGCTTAGCCAGAGCGGCGCATTAAGGACAATCCAACAGGTCGATGCGGAAATGGCCCGGACCCGCGCGATGATGGCCTCCGCCGACGATTTGGAGAACGAACTGGCCAAGATCGGCCACATTCGGGATATCGTGAAGTCCTTTCGTGGGCGAATCGAAGGCTTAGATCGTCGCATCGACCAATCTCGTCGCCGCCGCTAATGCCACTTCGTTGCCCTTGCCTCCCTCCCCGTCTTTTTATCCCATACCTTTCTTGCTCCTCAGGCCTCTCGACACATGAGCCTGATACATAATCCCCGATCACTCAATTCTTCAAACTCTACATCACCCGCCTTATAATTGTCTTGAATGTTGCGTGGTTCACTTTCCAGGACCTCAAATGTATGCGACCATTCTTATCTTCAAACGTTGGGTGACAACACCGAAAACTCGAAAACAAACCCCTCGGATATAGGCTTTTGTCCTCACGGACCCATCACACTCGGTTGCGGCGTACCCAGTGAATCTATTCAGGTTCTATTTTCTCCTATGTTGTTTTTCTTTGGCACATTTATCGACAGCTCGTTGAAAGAACTCCATACACGCCTCGCGGCACTTTGGTCTCGGCGACTCTTTACAGCGAGCCTGCGGCTTGAACAGAATTCTGCAGTACATGACGGCGCAGGGGGTTTTTTTCGGTTTGTCTTGTTTCTGGTGATTGTACCGACTCTCTTGGCTCCTTACACATTCGCTTTTTCTAGTACGGGTCACTGCTGACTCTTGACGACTAGCGCGACTTTGGCTCACGCCATGGTCAAGTTATCCATCTACATTGTTTTTGTTTTGTTATTGTCTTCCTTGGCGGTGTGCATGAGCATGGCCCTGGACTCTTTCTGGATTGGCTTGATGATTCGTTTTATGCTGGTATTCGGTTTCGATTCCCCCTCCTGCGTGATTTGTGTACATCGGTTCGGGTGGGGCGTTCTACCCCAGCCATTGTTCAACACCAATATTATTGTGGCTTTACTTTGATTCGCCATTCCCCATTGCCCAAGTGTTGGTGACTTGTGAGCTAACCAGAAGTAGTCAATCCTACTGGCATTGGAAATCTTTCCGTCATCTGAGCATGAGATGAGTCAATACCCAGCAAGAGTAAGAGACGTGACTTGCGCATAGACGTCCCCATCCCATGGTACTCATGCATTGGTAACGTTTGTGACCCTGTATAGTAGAAATGGGGCCATACCGCAGGCTATTGATTCGGGCGCTTGAAGAGCTTGAGCGATACCTAGAACCCAAACATATAGGCCACGGGATCTAACGAGACTCGTCTCGATACTTATCACAGGTAAAAATAGGAACAGGCACTCGTTCATGACGGACCCGTCTCGTTTCGATGCTTGGTGTGGTCCCGGAGGGCTAGCCTTTGACTTCGTTTCCCTGCAATGGGGAACCGTTTTTCGGTTCCACAGATAAGACAGCGAACCACACGGACTTCAGCCCAGGGCTTCTTGCGGCCTTTGCTCTTGTTCTCAATTTCTTGTACCGCAGTTGTCTCGAGATCCAGGACACTATCACAGCGTTTGCAAAACGATCTTTTGACCAGCACCGGAAGCCGAGTTTGAGATTTCAATGACACACCACGCATTTGGGAAATACACATGCGAGATACATTGCTCAAAGATTGCTTTGGAGGGTCTTGCTGTCCTTGCCTCTTGTCCCGTCCCAACCTGTCTGAAACCGCATCTGTTTCCATCCGAGAGGGAAACTGCGATGCCTCGAGGCTGATGTCTTTCGAGTCATGGAGAAGGTTGATGGGCTTCGCATTTTGGTCCCTCTTAGTCGCACAATTATGCAGATACTGTGAGGCCTGCTGTAAAAAATCGAGCCGGGCTTTCAAGTGACTTTTGGCATTCTTGCTCTCCTTCGGCTTGGCCATTGGCGCTACAGATTTTCCAGCGAAAATGAAACCCTGGGGTGCAGCTGTGAATGATTGATTGATTGACTGCGCAGTTGTCAATGAACTGAACAATGAGACCGCCCGTTCCCAGTTCCCAAAACGGGCTTTGTTCTGGGGAACTAATCCCAATACGGACGTATCATGTGATATGGACGGCTCATCCCTCGCAGCCGCAGCCGCTCTCTTCTATCCCCATCCACCCCGTTTTGATCATCCTTCTCTCTTGTTGTGACTATCAATCTGTTGGGAGCGCTGACAGTAGTTTTCATTCACCCATCTCTAAATTCTCTCCCCTTGATCCTCCCCACCCTTTATTCTTTCACCCAACTTTGGATTTCCCCGAAGTTGCGCATTTCGACTCTTACCTTCAATTTTCCCGTCCACCACCTTCAACATGTCCAACAACGAGGAGGATCTGATCGACTACTCCGACGAGGAGCTCCAGGCCCCAGCTGCGCCTGCCGCAGCAGCTCCCGCTGCTGGCAACGGTGACGCCGATAAGGAGGGCGAGCTCACCGTGTCCGGTCGCGGTGGCGACAAGAAGGGTAGCTACGTCGGCATCCACTCCACCGGTTTCCGTGATTTCCTGCTCAAGGGAGAGCTTTTGCGCGCCATCACCGACTGCGGTTTCGAACATCCTTCGGAGGGTTAGTCTTATTCATTCCTCGTACCTTCCAGTTGCCCAACGTCCGTCCATCTCCACGAAGAAATTACATCAATCGGTTCCGGGCGGTCTTGATTCCATCATTTAAGATGGATAGTTCGATATTATTTTTCTTTTGGTTGGCTATTTGACTTCGCGCACGGGTTCCTCGCATCAGTCGTAGGCTATGGTCGCCGTCGCATCCATTGCTGTGCCCAAGGCCTAATCATGGGCGTGAGTCTCCTTGCCTCCGACGGGATACAATGCTACCAGATCGCTGGTGTTTTGTCTAGAGGCTTGCACAACCCGGGCGCGAGGTCCTTTAGCCTCCAAGGGCTCATAAGGGTCAGTCGACCTTGATGAAAACTCCGGAGGAAAGCATACCTGTGCGCCTTACTCGTCCATGGTGATAATGGATTCGGAAGATGGACGGACATTGCGACTATATCATTTTTTTGTTTTCTACCTTGAGTCGAACTTGAGTCTCTAACATCACGCCGCCTTACCACAGTCCAACAAGTTTGCATTCCCACGGCAATTCTGAACGTCGATGTTCTCTGCCAGGCCAAGTCCGGTCTCGGAAAGACCGCAGTCTTTGTCCTGACCACCTTGCACCAGCTTGAGCCCGTTCCTGGCGAATGTTCTATCCTGGTTATGTGCCACACCCGTGAATTGGCCTACCAGATCAAGAACGAATACGCGCGTTTCTCCAAGTACCTTCCCGATGTCAAGACCGCTGTCTTCTACGGTGGTACCCCTATGCAGAAGGATATCGAGATCCTGTCGAACAAGGATACCCACCCTAACATTGTTGTCGCCACCCCCGGTCGTCTCAATGCCTTGGTCCGCGACAAGAAGCTTTCTCTGCGCAACGTGAAGGCATTCGTTCTTGATGAGTGTGACAAGATGCTTGACCAAATTGGTGAGTAATTAACCGTGACAATGGGTTGAGGACGCTTCTCCTAACGATCAATCCTTCACTAGACATGCGCCGCGATGTTCAGGAGATCTTCCGCGCTACTCCTGCCGACAAGCAGGTTATGATGTTCAGCGCTACTCTTTCCAATGAAATCCGCCCTATCTGCAAGAAGTTCATGCGCAACCCTCTGGAAGTCTACGTCGATGACGACACCAAGCTCACTCTGCACGGTCTTCAGCAGTACTACATCAAGCTGAGTGAGGCTGAGAAGAACCGCAAGCTCAACGACCTCCTCGACAACCTCGAGTTCAACCAGGTCATCATCTTCGTTAAGAGCACCCTGCGCGCTAACGAGCTGGACAAGCTTTTGCGCGAGTGCAACTTCCCCAGCATTGCTGTTCACTCTGGTGTCAGCCAGGAGGAGCGGTAAGTTTGAACACCATCACTATTTCCTACCTTTATCATTGTCTAACAGGGGTACAGTATCAAACGCTACAAGGAATTCAAGGAGTTCAACAAGCGTATCTGTGTCGCCACCGATGTGTTCGGTCGTGGTATCGATATCGAGCGTATCAACTTGGCCATCAACTACGACTTGCCTGCTGATGCTGACTCGTACCTGCACCGCGTCGGTCGTGCCGGTCGTTTCGGTACCAAGGGTCTGTCCATCTCATTTGTCAGCACCGAAGAGGATGAGAAGGTCCTTAAGGACATCGAGAAGCGCTTCGAGGTCGCTCTTCCGTATGTTTTTCCCTTACACTCAGCTTGATTCAGATCGGTCACTAATTACCAATCTCGCAGTGAGTACCCCGAAGGTGGTGTCGATTCTACCACCTATATGGCTTAAAAATCGACAGCTTCAACATGTCCCCTTACAAGTGACCTAAGCGAACCTTGTGGCTTGAGATGATCGAAATGCCTAATCTTTCTATTTTCCTTTTTACAGTTTCCAGTTTCCAGTGAACGTTTTTCCAAACGGCGCAACAAGTTCGGTCGTGGTTTTCTCTCGAGGTCGCTGCAGGAGGCGGGGCCTGTGTATGTTTGAATTAGAATGAAACCAAAATCGCAAAAAGTGCAAAATTTAACCAACCTCCAATTTCCAAAAACTTCAATGACTGATTTGCCTCGTTCTTCAAGGTCGTCTTTGCCCGGCGACGTACTTCTAGGAACGATAGGAAGCCTTCAAATCCCCAGATCAATAGTGGCCTTTGGACCCTTCGAATACTCGTAACTACTAGACTACAAATTTCCCCATGGGTTAACGACCTTGAAAGCCATGAATCCCCCGCCCGCACGCGTTTTAGACGACAAGAACCACTGGCATTCATGGTGCCTGCTTACTATACTCACTAAAAGTCTCTTGAAAAACAATACACCAATTGACTGCAGCATGAGCGAGCCTCGAGCCGACACTGGCTCTTGACGCAAGAATAAGTTGAGAGGAGTGGGGCTGTCGAAGTATATTGGGCGAGGCGGAATATCAGAATGGCACATGCACCATTTCTCTCGACTAACCCTAAATCTCTCCATTTTCCTCGCATCTAGCCCCTCAAAGACCCCCAGAATGGTGTAATTGAACGATATCTGCCTGCAACACAAAGTCTCCATACAGACGCCCATCTGAAACCAAGTCAACCCAGACGATCTAGGCCCTCCAGCAGACCCAATTGTAGTCGAGGCGGCAGCACCCATAGGAACCTGGACACATGATAGTATTAGGGACAAGTGCCTTACCGGGACCTGGAATCTGGACCCCGGGCATAGAGGACCTCAAATGCTAGTACCAGCAAGCACGATAAGAGCCCAGAGACTGCTAGTCATAGTCATCACGGAGAGGATGCATATCTTAATGGGCAGCGACTGTATATCAGCATGAATTACCGCATAGTGTGGAGGCCGAAGATATAATGCCCGTGCCCCCGTCCAGTGAAGGATGCTAAGAACACGCCACAAAAATTACCAGGACTAGGTTAGATGTTACAATTATACTCCGTTCTCAAACGAGCTGTATGAGACCAAGCACCGGCCAATTACAAGGAGATCCACATGGTGCAGACCTGAGGCTCAAAACCGGGCGTCCCAAGTCCACACTTGCCAAAACCGACAAAGCGCCCAACAGGCACTTTTGCGGTGGTCCCGATGCCTCAAAACTTGGCAAAAAGTGCGGATTTTCCCCGACCCTTCCCCGATCGATGCGTACCTGATTGAACCCTGACTGGAAAGCTTACCGAGGTTGACCCTGGCACCATTGAGAGCTACCCAGGTTAGGTACCACCGCTCATCCTAATCTGCAACCCGCCCGCAAGGCTAGGGTTTGATTGGCGGGACTTCATCCTTTGGAAATGGGAAAGGGTGATCGCGCAAGTTCAATTTATTTTTCCCGGTTCTTAGTGTCCGAGCTAATGAATCTCGACGCCTATGGGGAGGATGGTGGAAACGTGGCCTCGTATTCACGGCAGGTGCAGAGTTCTGGCAGCTGTCCACGGTCAACGGCGAGAAACTGGGAAGGGAAAACCCGATTGCTGGGGCTGACCCGGATGTCAATAAGTCATGCACGTTGGTCGATCATCCAGCGGGCTAACTGTACGGCATGAACAGTTTCTACGATTCATCTCTCGATACGGGGGGAGTAGACAGTCCAGGCCTGGGAGGGTGCCTGAAACTTAATTTTTCTTTTGAGATGTCGGCGGACGAGAAGGGAAATGCCACAGGGTTTGACCCGGCAAATGTTGGGCCAATCTATCTCAGACTTCATCAGGGTTTACCAAGAGCTGTTCCCATCCAGGCTGGCACTCCGTGCACAGTCAGCGGAGGGAAGTTCGCGGCGCTTCTTCTCCATTGATTTGGGTGCAACTAAGTCGATGGGCCAATCCAGAAAATGATCGCCTCCACTAGTACATTATCAAAAAACAAGGCAGCGGCGGAAGCTAAACCCCCAAGCCCCCCCCTGTCTCGGACCTCGCAGCTAACCCTCGCACCCACCTTCGAACGCCTCTGTCTCGCTTTAGCGCGTACGAAGGGTTTTGTCTTGCGGCAGTGGGAGGGAAACCTCCCCAAAGAAGCAAGACCAAGGGTGGGGGAGAACACGCTAATCTAGTGTACTCAAACTTCGTACTCGCTCCCGATGCTGCACAGGCAGCCTTCATCCGGCAGCTTCCGTATCACACTTTCCGTGCCCCCTATTAGTTAGTTCTGCGATCGCAAAAGCCGAGAATCTCTGGGCTGGGTGAGACAAAAGGTGAGCTTCCTGTCCCAACAGCCAATCATATGCCGTTCTGAGGGATTTGGTTCTATAACTCCGCTGTTTTGAACTCTGTCCCTCCGTAAGCCATCCCCTATAGGATCTCCCCACGATTATTCTTTCCCATCGCCGATATGAACTACGCCGACCCTGTGCGGGTGCTCTGTAGTCATCCGAGTCTCTAGTTTACACCGAGGAATCTCGGTCAACTGGTTCCACCCAGATCTGGAAGCTTCTCGCTGGACCGGGCAAGCGAGGCTCCAGATCGAGCGGATCTCAGCCATCGCGCTCTAGGCGTAACCGTTGTTTGGCCTGGGCCGGGTCCCAGTGGACCCGATGAGCCCGGGAACGGAAAATTTCGCAGCCGCCATAAAATACCAGTATGATGATAGCTCATATTGCACAATTCCAGTGTGTATCGGGTCGCGTTACGGACGTACGCAATGTACATGGGGTGTATGAGCGTCGACGCTTTCACAAAACAGATAATGATATTCAGATCGTCCAACGCAACTGCTCTACACTGTGTAAAAGCTTAGAGAGGCCCGCGTGGCGTTCTATACACAACCTCAGTGGCCGTTCATCCGTCTCCTGAATAGCGCGTCGATGACTATCAATGCAAATCTGTCATCAGCACGCACGACCGGCTCCGAGCCAAGGGCCGTGATTGTGGCGGAGTCGCGCTATGTTTGTGATAGACACTGTTCTGCATCGAGCCTTTCCCCTTCGAGGTATCTAGTTTCGATGGGCTAGGGGAAAAAAAAAGGAAAACAATTGTCCGCTTCCGTGCAATGCGAACGTGGTCCCCAGCATGGTTGCTGGGTGCAAGCCCTCCTTTTCCGGGCGATCTGTTTGGGGAAACTCGATGACCGCGCGGTTCCACCGGGGGCAGACCCTGCTGCGAATAAAAGCGTCCGTGTGTTCTCCATTGTACCCACCGGAGCTTGAACGCTTATCCCCATAATCTTATTCCAGATGGGGGGGGCTGACTGCGTACATGTCGATGTTGGCTTGTGAGAAAGGACTAGAGTCCTGGTCAGTTGATCCAAATCAACCGGGCGTGAGAGCCCTAGGTCGTGAATTGATGTACAGCGACCACACCCCTCTCCTAAAATAGCTTCATACCACGGTAGCTTCAAAACGGCCAACATGGTCGGAGTTCCCAAGCTGTAAGACTGCATCCTGCGATCATGCCCATCCCGACCTAGCGTTGAAACCGATCCCTTGATCCGGTTGCAAGCATTCGGCACGCGCGTCGATCCCTGCTGGCATGCTGGTTCTCAACGCCGCCTCCCCTTCCTCGGCATTTCGGAAGGGCGATCATTACTTTCTCCCTGTGCCGTGTATGCGGTCTCCGGGCTGAATTAGGGTCGTCAGGGCTCTCTAGGGCTCTGGATGGGAATATATCACCGTTGCTACACCCTGGGCGCATACTTTGGCTGATATCCTTTGTGTCTCATGCCCTTCGGAACGAGCTGTCCCCCACTCCGACCTGGTAAGATGCGTACATTTGGAACTGGAGGTTGGTCTCTTTTTGTCCTGGTCGGGAAGACAGAGTCTGAGCCGCAACTAGGATGCTTCTGGGCTATTACAGGCTGTATCCCGTTCCTGGCATAACAGTCCTCATTGCTTTACAAAAGATGTTACGAGCATATGCAGCTGTGGCACCACCATAACTTGACGGCAGCGTAGGACAGCAGCTCGCAACTGCAATGGGACCGTGTAATTTGTGTAAGGGCCGTACGGGTAGACCCTGTATCGTACGAATCGGTTGTGCGCAAAACAACCACACCTGTCAGCATCACTGGCCACAGTCTCGTGCCCGCGTTGGGCGCGTGTGGCTGGAAATTCTTGTGCAATGCGACGTGACTAGCTTAGGCCGCACCTGGAAGGACAAAAGTAATTTCTTCCTGCCGCGTTGATTGGCCCGTCGCATTGTCCCTTGTACAGTACTCGGTACATAACCCTTTGTACAGCACATAAGTACTTTGGGATCTTCTTTGATCTCCACTCATTGAGTGGATATCGAAGACGCGACCGTCCTGCGCGTCAGGCTCGTATTTGTAGTGGGTAGAGTACTCGTGGGAAGTCCTCGACCGGATCGACCGTTGTGTTCAAGGGGGACTTGCGGGCACCGCGAAAACACTAATAGCACCCAGTCCCACGGTGTAGAAAGGACGCTGTAAGACTTTTATCAAACAGTATGGTAAACCCGTACGGAGCACATAGCAATGCATCTGATCCACATGTGGGGCCATCAAGTGGGTGGGATCCCTTAGCCAATTTGGAAAATTTACTGCGTAAACAGTTTTTGGGAAATTTTCATTCTCAGGTTAATTATAGATCAAAATCTCTTAGACTTGCATACCGTGATCTGGAAAAACCGAACTGCATTATGTGCCGGTAGAGGATTGGGGGTCTCCAAGTACCTGTGTAGCTGTGTACTTTTCCTGTTCCTGTTCCTTTCCTGTTTGCCTGGCTCAGGGGCTACCCAGATTTATGCATGTACGACCTAGAAGATGGATTGCGTGGAGGGCCACGACATCACGGTACAAGGTGCTAAGGACAGGAAAAAGCACCGAGTTAAAAAAAACAATAGGAAAGAACTATGAGCAATTCGTGCCGCAAATAGGGTCAATTCACTGTTTTCAACCAAGTTCTTATCGCCGCTTCCGGATTCAGTCTGGCGGGGGATCCTCGACCGTTGAAAACGCGTCCCCCCCCATATCAAGGGAATTAGAAGCGAAAAAGAATAATAAAAAAAAAAGGGAAAAGGGAAAAGAAAAAGAAAAAGCCCATGTTTGCAGAGATGATCGAAGCAGATCTATCAACCCTTGACCAGTAGAGAAGCATCCTCGAACAAAAGCGGAAACACAGAAGTTCGAGCCAACGGCGAAAGAGGTACAGAGCCGGCAGCCCAAACTTCCCCCCCCCAAGGCCCCGATTTCATTTGAACCTGGACAAACCTGAACCTTGCCAACCTTCCCAATCCCAAAAAATTTCCCTTCCTTCCCCCCTCTCCCTTCTCCCCTTTTCCACCATCCCTGGTGATCTGGCTTCCTATCACCACCATCCTTACCCTGGCTTGTCCTCGGTAATTTCTTCTCGGCGGCCTCGCCCTAGGTGGTCCCTTCCCACCCTATCGCCTCCTGCCAGATTCAGGTTCTCATCATGGCTCCCCCTCCTCGCCTACGCATTTTGTCCGGTAAGTGTCTTGTCTATGACCAGCCTCCTTTTCCACCATGGTGCTAACTACCGTCTGCGCAGTCGGCGGTAATGCGATTTCGGCTTTTCTTTCATGGCGATTGCAAGCGACAACTTCCTGCGACGTAACGTTAGTGTGGAAGAATGGCTTCGAAGCTGTCTCTCAATATGGCGTCTCATTCAAGTATGGAGAATCACTTCACTAACCGTTTGAATTGTCGCTGACAACATCTTTCAGATCTAAGGTCTTTGGTAATGAGCGCTTCAAGCCCCGTCACGGTACGTTGAACTGCTTCTGCCTCCCTTAGCTCCGTTTGCGGTCGACCTCAATACTGATTGGCCTTTCCTAGTTGTGCGTACCCCGGAAGAAGCCTCTTCTCGCGAGAATGCATACGACTATGTGATCCTTTGCGTGAAAGCGCTCCCGGACGTTTACGATCTTGCCTCTGTCATCGAATCCGTCGTCACCCCCCAGCATACGTGCATCCTCCTGAACACTACCAACACCATTGGTATCGAATCACATCTTGAGCAGCGATTCCCGAGCAACGTCGTTCTCTCCCTTGTCTCCAATCTGGAAATTACACAAACGGGCCCGGCCGAGTTCGAACACCTGAGCTCAACGGAAATTCACGTGGGTGCAACCAACAGCTCATCCTCCGTCCCGGCATCAATTCAGAAAGATATGGCTGCCGCGCTCTCGATGACTCTGTCTTCCGGTCAAGTGGACTGCAAGGTATCGCCGAACATTCGGCAGGAGCAGTTCGATCGCATGACTGGGTGAGTTTTGCCCGCGCTTGGCCCTCCTGGGTAACCCGCTTTACTAATTTCAATGAATAGCCCTATCGCCTTCCATCCAACAAGTGTCGTGTTTGATACGGGAAACCATGCCCAGCTGCTGGAGAAAGTCGGAGTCCGTCAATTGATCACTGGGCTCATTAACGAGCTAGTCGAACTCGCTACCGCGAACGGTTGTTCTTTCCCTAGCGACTTCTGTGACAAAACTATCGAAAAAATGACGGCCGCTGAAGGCCACAGCACTATGTTCCAGGATTTCCAGCTCCGTCGTCCGATGGAGATTGAGACTTACCTGGCCTCGCCAATCAAGCTTGCCGCTGAATCGAACGTGTCCGTGCCTCGTCTCGAAACCCTGTATACTATGATTCATCACGTCAACGCCGTGAATCAAACCAAGCCAAAAGATTCTCCCCCCGCGTCGGTCATCGGCCACCCTCCCCCACGAATGTCCTCAGTACCACCCCAGCGACCGCCAATGATGAACGGCGGAATGCGAGGAGGCCGTGCAAACTCGAGCGTTGGAGTTCCTCAAAGCAGAAGAGGCCCACCACCGGGTATGATACGGGGGCCACCAGGTGGCCCCATGGGCCCCATGGGCCCTATGGGCCCTATGGGGCCTGGCCCGCGTGGTGTTCCGCGCGACAATTCCCTGGAGGGATTGGAAGAATTCAGCCACTTGGTGGTGTACGATGGCGATGAAGGCGGCCTGCCACATGCGAACGGAGGCGGAATGGCCGATACAGTCCACATAGGACCGTCTGAGATAGCTCTCAAAGAGCGTGAGCTGGCCCTGCGACAACGCGAATTGCAAGTGCGAGAACAAGAGATGGGAATGCGCCGTGGCCCAGGCCTCGGCCCCAGACCCGGCCCTGGACCTGGTAGACGTGGCCCCCCACCACCTCGACCACCTGCGTCTGCATTTGGCGAGGAGGATGATGATTACTATGATCCTATGGATAATATGCAGATTCCTCACATCGACCCGGATAGCGTTGACATGATGAGCCTTACCTCGCGACGCGCTCGGAAGGCTCCGAGTCACAGCCAAATGCAGCTTCGCAAAAACCCGGAGCTTGCAGGTGGTCCACCACCGCAAAGTCGACCCGGTTCCTCTGCCTTCGGCCGCTATTTCGGCGGTGGTCGCAACAAGCGAACGAGTGACCGAGTGATGATGGAGATCCCCGGACTCCACGACTCGCTCATGGACCACCCCATGATGAGCTATTCATCCAACCGATTTGGAGCCGTTGACCGAAACCAGATGCACGTCGACTCGCGCGCCAATTCCATGACCGCGAGTCAAATGGGGGACTTCCCGCCCCGTCCGTTCCCTAACAGCCGGCGAAACAGTCAATCCCCAGCAGCACCGTTTCCCGGTCCTCCTGGGGGCCCATCCCGCATGGATCGGCCCATGACCGCCTACGACCAAGCTCCCGGACCCCCTGGTGGAACTCCTCACAACGGCCATCCGTCGTCACCTGGTAACATGCGGACCCCGGTGCCCCGGAATCCGTCAGGACACGGCCCGGTTGGACCCCAACAGATTGAGCAACACTATGGGGTGAGCAAATCATTCCCCGCCAAAGGCCCTCCCAAGAATAAGAGTCTGACTGGAAGTGCGAGCGCCAGCGCTGAGAGCGGTGACAGTGGGGCTAGCGCCAACCTGGACTCGGCTCACAGTAGCCAGATCAGCCTTGGTGATCACCAGCAGCACATCGCTGCCGCCGTTCAGTAGATCGGATCTCCGGAAAACGATTCGCTTCTCTTTTCGATCTCACCATGACCAATTCCCAGCAAATTAATGATCCGCTTGATTTTCCCTTCTGATGATCACTCTACCTACATACTGGACGAAAAATCGACCACTCGTTCCACATAATGTCACTTTGGACCTTTTTGCATCGTGTTTTGGGCATCGGATGGGGAACATTGCTATTCGGACTCTCTATTGTCCGTTCATGGTATTGGTTAATACTCTGCTGTTCGTTTCTTTACATATACACGAGGGACATACGGGGTTTGTTTTTTTTTTTTCTCGAGTCGTTTTTGGTTCCGGAGTGTGGGCATATGGTCTGTGTTTTTGTCACTTTTTGGTTTTCTCGCTCTGCATCGATACTCATCCTCCTGCGACATCATCAATACTCCGTTTCCATTCTCCACCTGTGGCATCTTCTGTGTGCGTCTAGGCCAGGATATCCCTCGCGCCCACACCATTGAGAATATATTATTCCAGCGTCCTCCGCCCGACCCTACGATCAGCACCTCCTTATCGCAACCAATCACGCCCGCACTATCGAACTCCCCATCCTTCTGCATCAGTGTACACTATGGGATCCGGCCCCCTCCTTTCCTTTCCCTTATATTGGCTCGTCCACGTCTTTGATTTCTCCGCGTTGTGTTTTTATCATCATATCTTTTGCCCCTGAGGCATCTTCATCCTTTGCCCATCTCCTTGCCTCACGTGCCCGGTCTGTCCATCGCGGCACTGTTTTGATTTCTGTGGTCTGGGTTCTGGCGCATTGCAAAAAGAGCGGGGATTCGATTTATTCCGTGCAGCTGTGTTGAATTTGCTTTGCCTGGGCTTGTGCCTGACTAGGAATTAATGCCGAGTGTACGACTGTTATAGTGCTCGTCCTTGAACAGACTTCGTATTTCCTTTGCCGTCGAGCGTATGATCGACTTCTGCTGTTATACCATTTTGCTCTTGTCAATGAACATGAATCATTGCATGCCACTTGTGTTGTAAGCTGTATGTACAACAGTTGTATCTGCGACGGGCGAATTGTGACCAAACACCTCTGCTCGGCGTGCTTAGATTGTCTCTACTCAACGCAGGGCGCCTATCCTCCTACTATCGAACTGGATCTTTGATTGATTTTATCATCTGTATCATCTCCACTACAGAACGGCCATCGTTCAAATGCAGTTGCCCTCGAATCAAATGTTTTGACTTGCGGGACCCTCCACTTTGATACCACGTGACCATACACAATCCCCAGTAAACAGCAGCCCCGCGTCCAATCTTTTCAACCATTCACTTGAAACCTTGTTCCCTGATTCCCATCAACTCAGTCTACGTGGAATTGGCCACAATCCCAGCAAATAACCAAACTCTTAAGATGCCGCTCCATCCCCAGCGCCCCGACTCCCAATCCTCCACCTACCCGCGCGCTTCCATGATGCCCCCCCTCAGCCTCCAGCACCTTCAATCCAGGCATGTCCAACCCGGCGGCCAGCGTCAATGCGGCAGGCTCATCTAGTGCATCCATGTCCGCTGCCAAGTCGCGGCAATACTCCACCCTCCACGCGCAACTCGCCCAGCTCAACTCCAACCTTGCGGATACGGAGAACTTGCTCCGCATGACCGCTGTACAGGCGGGCGATATGCGCTTCCTGGGTGGATATATTGGGGCTATGTTCATGGGGTCGGCCAAGGTTTTGGGCGATGAAGGGGTTAAGGGGAATGCGGATAAGGTTGTGAAGAAGGAGGACGAGGAGGATTGAGTGTTTTTAAACGTTCTCTTGAACTGTTACTCGAGGATAAGCGGTAGTGAGGTGAGCTTCGGGATATGGTTTGAGTGTTGGTGCTCTATTGTGGCTGCTTGCTCCTGTCTACATTGTGCTGATGGGCATGCGCAGTCTCTTTATCTATTGAGGCGCGATGATCTATTCGTCAACCACGAAAGCTCCTCCAAGAATGATTGCTGGCTCGTCGATGCTGTGATGCTCATAACTGGAAGAATGTCAGCCATCTCCATGGAGGGCATTTTCATGGACACAATCGAGTCCGGCAAATTCCACTCACCTCAACGTTCCAACACCGCCAGCCTCCAAAATGAACGAGGTCCCGCCCAGTTCCTTCCCAATCCAGCGCATGGCAAAGGCACGGAGAATATGGCCGTGTGCAACAACAAGCACATCGCCCTTATTTTCGGGGTTCTCGAAGCACTGACGTTGATACTTCTCTCGGATTTCAGCGATCAGTGCATCAAGCCGCTTCATCACATCTTCCGGGGTCCTGCAGACGATGAGCCAAATCCACTCGATAGCTACTCCAATTCCCAATCCAACTTACTCTCCTCCCGGACATCCCTCTGTCCAGATATTCCATGGCCCCTGCCCGTTCTTCTCCCGGAGCTCCCGGATCTGCTTACTCGTTAAACCCTCATAATCGCCGTAGTCCCACTCGCGAATGGCCTCGGTGATCTGCACTTGAGCCTCGGTGCGGATAAACTCCTCCTTCACGCTTTCCTTCTTCCAGGGCAATCGCTCGCGGCAGCCGATATCGAGTAGTTCGAGGGTCCGTTGGGCGCGGGCGCGGGGCGAGACATAACTGGTTCAAGCTCCACGTCAACGATGCGAAAGCCAGAAATAGGGCTCCTCTCCGTGGGTTTATGGTTGGTTCAATTCTCTTTGTAGCCGGGGACTCTTACACATGCACCAGCTTCTTGGGGACTATCAGCCGGTCGCTTCCGACAAGGGCTTTACCTGTGGCCTTGACGCGCTTTTCGCCGTTGCTGGTGAGGGGCAGGTCGGTCGATCCTGTGTGTCGCCCGTTTAGGGACCATTCGGTCTCACCGTGGCGGACAATGAAGCACCGTGGAACCATCGTGTTGATCAAGAATGACTAGGACAAGCTTTGTACAGAGAGGGTCAATGAGGAGTATTGGCCGGGAAGGGGGGGGGGGTCTGTCAGGTTGCGGCCGCGGGGCGCGACGTCATAGTTAACTATCTGCTTATTCGTAAGCATGAAGGATCCATCCATGGATGGATGCTTCCCAGTCATTGGGGATTGGGTTGCACTTTGCTTTTGTAGATCTGGCTTGGCTAACCTAGATTTAAGGAACTCGATCGATATCGTTTCGCGGATTGCCTCATTTTTGGTCTTGTTATTTTTTATTTCTCCATTGGTTGTTTAATTCTTTTCCCCAGCTCGAGTTGTCTGCGGAGAAATGCTCACAAGACACAGTAAAGGATCGGCATGCGCCCTGACTTTAGTACGATCTCTTAATTCTGCCCCAAGCCGTATAAGCGTGACGCCAAGGCGCCATTGGCCATTGAACGAAATTCTTCAGAGAACAACCTCTGGATCAATTGGGGCCAAATGTGAAGCCTTACTAAGGTAAGCATCCCCCACTGGGCACGGCGATCAGTAGAGTATAAGAAGTAGAGCTCTTCAGTTTCAGCCCCCCATTCCTCCCCACCTCCCCCTTTAGTTCCAGTTCAGACTTCGCTATCGCGCCCATGGCGACCTCTTACGATTATATCGTGGTCGGCGGTGGCACTGCAGGCTGCGTGATCGCGTCTAAGCTCCATGAGAAGCTCCCAACGGCATCGATCCTGGTCCTCGAGGCCGGTGAGGAGACTGTCGGCCACTCGGCCACCGAAGAGCCGCTGAAAGCAATGATGGCACACAAGTCGGAGCTGGATTGGAATTTGTCGACGGTGCCGCAGACTTCCCTGGGTGATCGAGTCTGCTACCAGGGTGCTGGGAAGGGCCTGGGGGGGCTCAACGGCAATCAATTATGGAACTTGGACTCGCGGTCCAAAGGCTGATTATGACCGGTGGGCGACTCTGGTTGGCGATGCGCGCTGGAGCTACAAGCAGCTGCTTCCTTATTTCCCGAAAACTGCGACTCGCAGTGCGACTGAACGTGGCGCGTTCAATCCGGCCGCAAGCCCTAGCACGATGTACACTGCTACTCCGTCACAGAGCCATCCTGAACGCAAGTATCCGTTGCGGGGACCGATGCTGGCAGCGTGGAAGAACAATGGCGTCAAGTATATCTCTGATGCAAATAGTGGGTATCCTATGGGGATCTCGGAGCGGGTCGAGAATTTCAATCAGGGGAAACGCCAATTCGCTCACCAGATCTACAGTCTCAAGGGCATAAAGATTCTCACGCGATCCACGGTTGCCCGCATCAAGATCCAAAAAGCCTCCTCTTCGCGCGGAGATGCCGTCGCGACAGGCGTCGAATTGATCAGCGGATTGAAGCTGACGGCGAAGAAAGAAGTCATTATATCCGCGGGAACTTATAACAGCCCCAAGATCCTGATGCTGTCGGGCATTGGGCCCGCGAAACATCTTAGCAAGCATGGCATCGATGCCATTGTCGACTCCCCCGAGGTCGGGCAAAACTTCCACGACCACATGGCGGTGCCACTTGCATGGCAGTTACGGGACGGGGCCTGAACCCCCCGTTCCAGGAGGCTATGAACCATCCCATCTGGAAGCTTGGCTGGGCCAGCGACTGGACTGTTTCCGCGGGCATCGACAACTCCGTCCTCCGCAAGGCCATCGTCAAAGACGACATTAACCTCCTCGAACCCTTCAGCCAGCTCCTCCTCAACCCGCACCTCTGCTTCACGGAGACGTTGAACTTCTACACCCCTGCCGGTACAACCGTCGCCGAAATGGATACCCCGATGGACGGCTCACATATCTCGTCTACTATCCTCGGTCTCTCCCCGATCTCCCGCGGTACTATCTCGCTCGCCTCGAGAGACCCGCTCGCACAGCCCATTATCGACCCAAATTATTATTCCACCGAAGTAGACCGCGTGGCCATGCGCATCGCTATCCGGAAGGCAATCCAGGTGTACACCTCGGAACCCCTGACTAGCTTCATTGAAGGCGAGAGCCCGCCGGCCGGATTCCCGCCGTTGACCCGGTTCTCGTTGGACCGGGAGATCGATGAGCGGGTTCGGCGGGTGGGTATTAGTTTTTCTCATCCTGCGGGTAGCTGTGCGATGGGTATGGTGGTCGACAGCGAGTGCAGAGTGTATGGGGTCAAGAACCTGCGGGTTGCGGACGCGAGTGTCTTGCCCACGCCTATCGCCGCGCATCTGCAGCAGGCTGTGTATGCGATTGGTGCCCGCGTGGTGGATTTTATGGTTGCGAGGATATGATTCTATAGGAATTCAGGATGAGGTGTCAGCAGTGGGAGAAGCTTTAACCGTATATATTTGCCTGTTTGCGGCAGGTTCAGCATAGAATAGAGCACATAACTTTCCGAAATGACCCATGTTACTGGGCACCAGAAGGACTTAAATTGAGAATTCCGATTGAGGTATCGACTGCCAGCTTTTCGTCATATACCCACAATTGATGTCGTCACGGTTCGAACACTCCCACTGAAGGTGGGGATCCATAAAAGCCCGGATCTTGAGCTGTTCCTCATATATCCGCCCAAGTCGGTCGAAACTTATGCGAAGCATTCGTAAGCTTGAAGTCAGGACCGTGACAATAACTCTGTTTCTTTGGATGGCCCTTTTTTGCTCGACTCTGGTAGCATATATAAACTGTGCCTTTATAGACCACATGATCCGCCAAGCACAATGTCCGAGCCTATTGTGTTTCCAGTTAAACATCGGCAGTTATCAATGCGGATCAGAGTTGTCTGATTACATGATAGGAATGATCTAGAGGATCGTTTATGTATCATATATCATTGAAGGTAAATATAATAGTCCACGGAGGTCAAGCCGAGGATAGATAATGCGCCACGAGATCGGCGATGAAGTGGATAGAACTGATCGGGGATCCAGAAAATTCCCACTCAAAAGTTCTTTGAATACGAAAAAGGACTGCTATTTGTTTGGAGTCTTCATGAACACCCGTGAGAATGATGTAATGCTTACTGTATGTCATAGGTCCCCCTCGGACTCCGGTGGATGCTCAGATGGCCCACTGAAGAAGTCCTGACAGCTCCAATGAAGATAGCGCATACGGCGAGTCTGTATGCTCCCTACAGGTGCACCGGATCGACCGAGAGGTGTTTATACCTTAGTGACCCCCTGTCATTCCCGTCTATGGCTCTTGCCGTGACATACTAGTATATCGCCGTCGCAGGGGCTTCAAATCTGCCTAAAACTAGTCCTATTACCATTGTTTGCTATCCATTTAACAGTGACGAATAACGACGTTCGCCAATATGTCCTAGAGGCCCAGACCAACACCGGGTATATGGCCCGAGTCTTACTAGTAGCAGTGCCCAAAATCATGCAGGGGATTTCCCATGACAAGAAATCAAAGTCCGGAACCAAGCTTGGGTGCGTCATCTTATGTTCTTGCAGATAGTATGCTGGGTTTCCAGTCTCAGCCTGAGCGTGGTTCCGTGGTCCAAAACCCGTGCAGATGGCAGTGTCATAACGACGCAAGTCGATAGACTTGAAACTGTCCGCTCCAACTTGCATCTAGTCATTTCAGAAGGTCTATTTGTCTTCCCCGGCGCGACCATATCCATACTAGCCCACCAAAACACAGTCAACGCCAAAGGCCTTCTATCCATCATGAAACTCTTCGCAGTCTGCACTACTGCAATTGCAACACTTTGTTTCCCCGCTCTGATAGCGGCATCTCCTCTCACTGTCGAGTCGCCGAATCCAAATTCACATACCTGGAGTTTCAAGCTCTTCCCGAGCAGACATTGTAAAGGAGTTGCGACGACCTACCAGGGACGTGGCTCGACAGGTTGCCGCGCAGATATCCCCAAGGGGGTGGCAGCTGGCTATATGAGTCTGGGAGTCGACCCCAAGTGCACCATCGCGCTCTATAGAGACGCCACGTGCTCGACGGGCAAGAAAGGCATCGACTTGCATAAGGCATCTCAAAAGTGCAAGAGAGTCAAAGGAATCAAACATAATATGCGGAGCTTCGAGGTGACCTGCTCTTGAGATATTTTCCGAAGCTATATAGGGAAAACTAGTAGGGAAGTGGTTAAGCACCTGGCGGATTTCACTGAATACTGGCGTTGTCTTCTACAGTTGGACCTGAAGGGGTTTTATCTCCTAGCCCCAGGCTTGGGCATTCAAGTTGAAGTGTGGTTTTATGCTTGTTTGGGATCCTGGTATGAATAAAGAAGAAAACCAGATGTAATGTCGGGTGGCACATTTGAGATCCCTTTTTCTTTAATTGAGAACATCCTATATAACCTTCTGAGTACCTAAACGAGATACACTATGTCCGCTTTCATAGATTTCAAAAGCTGGACCAGTGTTGTTCTTGCTACGAATGCTCTCGAAAGACCATTCTGGTTTAGAAAATTCAAGAGGAAAAGGAGATCAACCATTTTACTCCCATAAACTTGAACTTCGGCTATCATTTCTCCACCAGAGAATAGTGCGCATAGCGATCTATACACGATGGTACCAGTCGCACGTCCTACTAGTCCAGAAGCCTCTCCAAATGCTAGTAAATGCATATCCATCTATTGCAGTGTGTTTTCTGGTCCTGATATTTTGGCACAGCTTCTCAGGTTTGAAAAATGCATACCATCTGCGGCTCATATACTGACACGTGATCTCTTTTCCGCTCGATCGTTTCTTTTCGAATCAAAATCCTTGGGCAGCAAAGTGCATCACGAGCTGGACAATTGAACAGGTTCTGATTGTAGATAGACCTGAGGGCTCGCGACAGGCCCAGGATGCCCAAACGAAAGAATCTGCGGGGACCCCGCCAAGTTTTCGGGGAAGCCCCTCGCAGAAACCATGGAGCCATCGGGGGGTGTTGGCAACGGACGCAGAAGAATGGCGCACGTCACCGGATCTTTGCGAGAATGATATGAAATCCTCGCCTGCGTCATACTACGCGACAATGGTTTACCTCACGGCCAATCCCAATGTCACCTCTTCGCTTTTGTTCCGTGCAGACATTCTCTTCGACAGCGAAGGGCTTATGCAGACGCCAGAAGAAAAGGAAGAGGCGTTTGGAACACGAGGAAATACTGAAAATGAGACACAGAATAGCTCCTCAGCACCAAAGTCCGCGATGGACATACAGGGCTTCAAGTTGATCAGGACGGTGGTGCGGAGGTTGATTCCTCGAAACCCAGCCCTTGACAAACCTCTCGAGCAAACATGTCTTTTCTACACGTCGAACGGTGCTTTCCCAAAAAACACAGGATTCAGTGACCAAAAAGAGCGCTTGCTGCTCATATATCTCCCGCATGTTGAGTCTATCGAGGAAATGCCCTTCTATCATCCGGCTCTTCGGGGGCTCGCCTATCTTTATGACTTCCATATCACCCCGGAGGGATCAGAGTCTGGATCTCTCTCGTTACACTTCCTCCCTTTCACTCCTGAAATTCCAAATAGATTGGAACGAACTCTATTAATGATCCACGGCATTAATGTCAAGATGTCAAGAAACTGGGTATACCAGCCCGGCATTACCAACGGTGCTGATAAGAACCCCGAAAAAGACAATCTCATTCCGCGCCATCGTGTTCAAAATACATATACACGCCTCAAGGCTCAGTATGCAAGTGATCTGTGCAGCAGATGGGCTGAAAAGACAGACCCGGTGAAGCACGTTTTCGAGGATCTGGCCATTACTGCGTTTCTCCTCGAGCTTTGGCGCAGCATGTACGGGGTCAACCCCCCGTTAGAAAGCCCCAATGACAACGCCGACACAGCACGCTTCCCGGGATTCGTGGATGTGGCTTGTGGTAATGGGGTTCTTGTTCATGTTCTGATCATGGAGGGATATTCAGGCTGGGGGGTTTGATGCCCGCAGGCGTCATTCTTGGCGAATCTTCCCCGAATCGGTACAGAAACGCTTGGTGGAGAAGATTTACATCCCAAAGCCTTTTGCGGATGTGGCTGATCTTCAGGGTATCAAGACAGAGATCCACACTGGAGACTTCGCGGCCGATACCTTTATCATTTCTAACCACGCCGACGAACTTACTGTATGGACGCCGCTTATGGCTGCTCTTGCGTGTCCGACCTCGCCGCTGCCATTTATCTCAATTCCATGTTGCTCCCACTCGCTTTTGGGGGCTCGCTTTCGATATCCGCCACCCAGACGGGAAAAGCGGAAAGGCGAAAACGAGGAGAACGAAGGCCAAGATGAGCATGACCCATCAGAGCAGAATGCTCAACCCGCCAGCGGGGATTTACGGGCTTTGAGGGCAGCAAAAGAGCACGAGAAGACAGAGGATGGTCATCTCAAATCTCAATATGGCTCCTTGACTGCGAAAACTATGAGCATCGCCGAAGAAGCGGGATACGAGGTAGAGAAGACTCTTCTCCGTATCCCAAGCACTCGCAACATGGGTGTTATAGGAGGTCGGCGGCGAGTGGCGGAAGAGTGGAAGAAAACATATCAGGGTGGATCTCAGGCGTCTCCGACAGAGTCGATGGAAAGGGATGGCGCCGAGAAAACACAAAAGATAATGAGCATCATTGAAGAAGAGTGCATTAAAGACGGAGGGCTGGAATTAGCTGCGCGGAAGTGGATAGAGCGTGCCCAGACTTTGACCAAAGAAGAGGCAAAACCAGATAAAGCACATGGATCATGATTCGACAATAACAGAGAATTTTGATCACGTCGTGGAAACTCCCCCAGGTCGGTCTGACGACATCCTGCCCTGGCCACCAACTTACCGGCGTCGGGCAGATTTCAAACACCGTCACGGCTCGAAGATGCCAACTGCCAACAACAGACTTTCAGTATGCTACGAGACGAAACCTGAAATGTGAAAAGAGATTTATGGCATTATGAAGCTTGGATTGTATTTGTCGGCTGCTATTCTCAGAGCGGAGGCTTGGAGAGAAGAGCTGTAGGAGTAATATACATGGGAATAATGGCTGGAGACCAGCCTCGTCTATCAAAAACCATGAAAACGCCATGCACCGGAAAACAAAGAACGCTGAACGATGTACAACATCATAGCAGCCCCTATAGCATAAGCCTGAGGAGCTCGAGTTGGAATTATCCCCTTACGCATGGTTGTCCTTTGGATTCGTCTTGATACTATCAGTGCGCAAAGAATCTTCGAATGCCGAAGCAGAGGACGCCCCGCTCGACCTCGAGGCTGCAGCTGCAGCATATTTTGACGCATTGGCAGCCGCATGAGCCGCCGCATTTTCGCGGAGACGTTTAATTCGGTCGGATCGCGCTTCGCCGGGGAGGCTCCCCCCAGATAGGCTCGATTGAATCGGCTCGCCAATTGGTCCGCGGTTGACCAAACGCACTACGCCGGGGAGACAAAGAGCTCAGTCCGGTGCCGCCATCGCCCGACTCACCCCACATGCGGACCCTTTGGAGCTTCCGGAGCTTTGCCAGCCCGTATACGCAGACTACTGCGCTGATGGCAAAACATGCGATGGAGACTCCGCCGAATCCAAAGTCAGACTCCTCGATGAAGTTCTTCAAGTTCATTCCGTACAGAGCGGAGAACAGAGTCCCGGTAGCGAGACCCAGGGTGCCGATGCTGAATTTGAGATCGAGGAGCATGAGAGAGTTGCGGTTCGCATCGAGAATTGCCTTGACACTGTTTCGAGTTAGCATCGTGTCTCACGAACAGAGCCCACGGTGACCTACACTTCTTCTGTGTTGCGAATGTTCGTGACTAGATTACTGCTGGACTGCACAATCTCATCGCACACTTTGTGATAAGACTCCAAGAGCATTTCAACTTCTTGGTGGTCATCCTCTTCGCGTTCCCTACCCGTCGCTCTTTCAGACAGGTACATGGCCGCGAGATCATCATCCGCCTCGAGCAGATCGTCGATTGCATCTCGGACCAGACGGGCTTTTTGCTCGAAAGTGCCGATCTTTTTGGAGTAGATCAGGAGGTTTCGGAGCTTATCGCGGTCAATGTCCTCTTCAAGGGCACGAAGAACTCGAACTACTGGTTCTCTAATGCCATTGAATTCTTCTTCCAGTCCAGCCGTTACGCTGATAAGGACGGCTTCTAAAGCACGAAATTCGTAAGGTAGCGGCTGACCCGCTTGCAACGGAGAGCTCTTTTGTCGCAGTTTCCCTTCCAAGTCGTAAACAAACAATGATTGCATGTAGGAATCGGTGGATCCATACGCGTCAAACACGAGAACACGGTCGGCCTTGATGAGGACGCGCAGGTGCAATAGATTAATAAGAATAGCGCTGGGTCGCACAAGGATATGAGGCAGAGTTGACGAATCAATTTTTCGAAGGTCACGAGGGAGCAGGCCGTACTAGTTCATGATGGTAAGTATATGGAGAACAGGAACAGGGCCGATAAAAAAAAATACCTTTGCAATTAACTCTAATTTTCGAAACTCCCCATTGACTAACGTGACGTCGCCGTTCAAATCGAATTCGGTACATCGAATTCTGAGCTCATTCGAAGCCTTCGCAGACAGACCACGCCCGATATTGAATATACCCTCACCTCCATCATCTGACACACCAGGGCTCTGGCCACGCTGGTTTTGCAGATCGGAGGTTTTGCTTCGTCTGAAGTCGAGAAGTCGGCGAAGAAAAGGCCTGCGAACCGTGGACGAGTGCCGGGTGAGTGTCAAGGAGGGCGAAAGATGCTGAAGCGCCGTAGGCTTCCTCCGAGTGACGGGGCCACCTAGAGGTCCTGCACTAGGCGGAGCGCTGCATCGCGATTGACCAAGGCGGACCAGAGTCGAAGAATTCCGCGGGCGTGTCGTGAGGGTCTGGTGGCTTGGAATACACGACTTGGGGCCAAGGGAGGCTGACGATCCAGTCGCACAGCCAAACTGGGAACGAAGAAAACGCAGCAGCGAAGCCGAAGGCACAGATGGCCGCACCGGTGGCAGCATGTCTGGGGTCGTCAACTCGCAGTCAATGCGATGATTTCGGACGCGGGAAAAAGCGCGACTCGGAACAAAGTTGACCCGTCAGTATATCCCGCAAGAAATGATTTGCTCGAGATATAGCTCATAGATGCAAAAAAGGAATCAGGAGGCGTGCTGAAAGGGTTAATTACATGTTGGTTTCCCCAGAGGTTCCGAGTTCGAAGTCATCGACGAAGCTGGGGTTTCGTCCTAAATTAGTGGTGACCATATTCGCCTTCCAACCCACGCCGGCTTCAAAGCAAAATCAATGGGGCAATATCCCATTTTCATTTATCATTATTTCATGTAATATCGCCAAGCCAGGCAAAAAGATGATCAGATCTTGTACTTTCGCCGTAACATAATTCACTACCGAGGGGCCAGCCTACCCAAATATAGATAATTAGAACGTACTTATCTCAACCACAACACCATTGAATCCAATAAACTAATTTCGAGTTGTATTACGGCATAAAGACACTTCGTGGCCTTCAACTCTGCATATACTACATGCCGGAAACGCCCTCATACATGGTCAAGAAGGTGACGGATCTAGCCTTGTCTCGGGTGGCGTTAGAGCTAAGATAGCTGGTTTTGGCTGTGTTATTCATTGAGATGTCTCGAAAGCTGAGAGGCCTTTTTGGAGATAGTTTTCTTTGTAGAAAGAGTTGCTTTTTTTTCTTCTTCAATATCTGTCCTTCTATAACCGTTGAAGCGTATTCTAGCGTGATTTGTATGGCCGGCAAGGCAGCGACGGAGCGTTGTACGATGACTTGGGCTGCAGTCTCGAAAATTGATCAATTTTGCTTCTTAATAGCTTGAATAGCTAATAGGATTCTACCCCTGTGCTCGTATCGTGTTGAAAAGATTTAGCGCCAATTGGTGGCATGGTGGTTGATGAAGGTACGATTAGAAGACCCGCTTTTTGTGGGGTGGCCGCTCGGAAGTGAATTCCGGTCAAGTTTACCAAAATTCCGGTAAGGTTTATCAACCCTACTGGTCATCACCAGCTCGTTGCTCGTTGTGGCCGTGTGGTAGTCCCTTTGGTACGCAGTCAGTTCCGCAGTCGGTTCCGCAGTCGGTTCCGCATGGGGTGTAGCGAAGGGCTGGGCTACCGTTTAGCTGGGTGTGATGGCCATAGTTAGCTGCAGCTGCTTTGCATGAACCAAACAGCAAGCCTCGAAGCCGCAAAATACTGTAGCAAATAGCATTTTGCCGCTTGCACAATCACCCCGTGGAGCCGGCCGTCTCCGCTGCGAGCCACGTAAATCCGTTCTTGCATCATGACTTGGGACACGGACCATAGGAGAGGCACTATATCGAGGCTCCAGTGCGGGGTATGAGTATTTACAGTGCGGGATATGAGGATATATAAGTAGTAGGGGTCAGATGTCGGGCTCAATTCAACTGTGTCTTACACTGGCCCCAACTTGAACCACCCCGACAGATCAATTTGTCTCCAAATCCAAGCATCCATGGCGCTCAACCCTGCAGGCAAGGCTGCCTTAGTAACAGGAGGTGCATCTGGAATCTGCCGCGAATTTGTTAAGACTCTCCTTGCGAAGGGCTGCAATGTGCTTGTCGCCGACTTGAAGCCGCACCCCGATGATAGTGACCTCCCGAGTGATGCGAAGCACGCCTTTGTGCAGACGGATGTCACGGACTGGGCTCAATTACAAAATGCATTCGAGCAATGTATGACCCAGTTCGGCCGTCTGGACATCGTCTGCCCTGGTGCAGGAGTTCTGGATCCGGTAGGAACTATCGCTGACAAGAACCGCCAATGATCGATTGCTAACGACGTACCATGGCAGGCATTCTCCAATTTCTGGAATTATAACAAAGGGGTGGATACCAACAAGTCTTCCTCTTTCAAGGTATTGGATATCAACCTTACTCATCCTATACGAGCAACCCAGCTTGCCATCGACGCCTTCGAGCGCCAGAAACTTGGCCACGGGGTTGTTGTTTGTGTATCGTCAATCGCTGCGCAGGGCTCATTTTTGGTCGCCCCATTGTATTGTGCGAGCAAGCATGGGGTTTCGGGCTTTGTGCGCTCTCTCGCCGATCTGGAGCCAAAACGCAACTATCGCATCAATGCGGTCGCACCTGGATGCGTCAAAACTGCCATTTGGACCCCCGAAAAGGTCGGTTGGCTGGACGAAGAAGCTGACACATGGGTTCCTGTCGAGAAAGTTGCACAAACAATGTTGGAACTCGTAACTGATCCCAAGAATGTGGGGGGGACTATTCTCGAAGTTGGCGTGGACGGGGTCCGATCGGTGCAGCCGTTCAATGACCCAGGCCCTCAAGGCCGGGGACACACTATACAGAATATGTCTGAAGCTATGAGCGACGTCTATGGGATGATACAGTCCAATTTTGGGCTCCCTTCGACCTAGCGATGGGGTTGGAAGTGGAAATCGCGGGATTATGAAAGTGCATTAGAAATTGACGTCGCTGGACATGCTAAGGTTGGCTATCTCCCATGATAAGATTCACTAGGCATATAAATCATTTCCCAATTCTCATTCCATGTGCTCCAGGAGGCACCAGATGACTGGAGCACATATCGCAGCAGACTTCAGCTGTTCTCGTCGCACTGGGTCGCATTTCACATTCGTCCCTGCGCGTGCTTCACACTGTTGAATTCTGCTGGCTTCTTGCATCCACATGTGTATGTCATGTAAAATTGGGTGCACATTCTTCCTGTTCAGAATTAGTGATGATCTAGGTCAACTCCGGGGAAGGGAACGCACCTTTATTGCTAACTGCGAAGACCTTGGCGGTGGGGCGATGGTTCACTTCGACATGACCAAAGTGATTTCTGTTTCCCAAATCTCAGCCTGTGGATATGGAGCTTTCATTTCGTCTGGTACTCACTTTTGTCTGCTCCTTACTCTGTGAAAGGGAAAACCATAAACTCCGTCCCTCAGTAACTTATGCCGCGCCCCCCGCCCATGCTTATGTCACAAGCCACGCACCCTCCAGGGCTGATTGAGACCCTCACAACGTTCTGAGGACTCACAGTTGAGGTCCTCGTCGCGTTCGACTCCGTGGGGAAAGAAAGCATCAGCTCCCATAATGGAATCGGATGGGTTATCATTATCTCAAATGAACCGAAGTTCCAACGGATGCTGGACATGTCGTCTCCGACGGAAGAAATGCGATGAGAGGCAGCCGGTATGTGACGCATGCGCTGCACTGTATATCACATGCTATTATAACCAAGAAAGACCCGAATGGATGGACGCTGGGGTCCAGCAAGAAGAGATGGCCCAGAGAATCAAGCGCCAGGTGAAAGATAATGCCCATCGTCGCCGTTGGGAACGTGTGGTCAATTCTGCCGGCATTCATAATATTCCTCCTAGCACTGACGTTTCTGACGGGGTATCAGAGATGCCTCCCATGCCTTCCAGGGGTCAGGTTTCCCAGACGAACGACCTCACGGTGAATTCCAGTAATTCAAGTGAGGACACGGGTCTCAGCTCCACGGAAATCAGTCCCTGGCAGGAAAACAGGCCGGGCTGCCTTTCCTTCCAAACGGAACAGGTACTGTGGAACAGGTCTGACAATATATTCCTCATGTTTTACCTCGACACTTTGGTTCCGTTCCTCTTTCCGTTTTATCGCCCCTCAGCCTTCGAAGGTGGCAAGGCGTGGATCCTCGAGATGATGAATAGCAGCCCCGTTGCAAAACAGGCCATGTTATGCCAGAGCTCATATTTCTTTTCACTCACGCGGAATGCCTTTGACCATGCCCGTATCTGTGAGATCACGGCCATGAAGACAAAAGACGCGTTTGAAACGCTGCGACGCGCTATCCAGGTCCTCTTGGATTCTAATATAAAGGACCATATTCACGGTGCTGCAAGAATACTGGCAAGCATCATGCATCTACAACGCTACGAAATCGCAATTTTGAGTTTCAAGAATTGCCAAGTCCACATCACTGCCTCTCTGGCTATCTTCAAACAGCTCCTAGAGTATGTCGGTTTCGGTCCCGGGTTTGGACCCACGGCAAGCTTCAACGCAGTGTTGAACTTGCTAGGGCCTCCAACCTGCATTACACCTACTTTGAACGTGCCGATTCCCAGTGCTGAACAGGCTGCATTTCGCTTCGCTTCCGCGCTGCTGATCTTAGACGACATCATTTCTTCTACTGTGCTCCAAGAGGAACCAAAGACCCATTCACTCAACGGGTGTTTATTGGGGGGACACTGCCGTACAACAGGCTCCTATCAACTTGGAGACTGCCGTGGGGTGCCAAAACTGGGTATTGTTAGAGATCGGAGAGGTTGCCGCCCTGGATGCATGGAAACAAAAATGCCGAAAGGCAGGGAATTTGGATGTAATGAACCTAGTGCAGCGTGCCAAGTTGATCAAGGAGTCACTCGAAATGCAGCTCACACGACTAGAGTCCAACCGGGGGACTGCTGTCGCTGAAGAACCAAGCATATTTGGTTTCCTCGCGGTTGAGGGTGGGACATCAATTGCCCCTTCCACAAGCCAGACTTCTCAAGTTACCCGCGTCTGGGGACATGCTGCGTTGCTCTACCTCTCCGCTGTTGTATCAGGATGCCAGCCGGCGAACCTAGAGGTGCAATACCATGTCAGCAAGGTCCTCGACATATTAACACGTGAAATATCACCGCCCACTCTCCTTCGGACAATGGTTTGGCCATTCTGCGTCGCCGGCTGTGTTTGTGACTCACGGCAAGAAGCGCGCTTCCGAGATCTCGCCAAAGGGTTGCAGCCGACAAGTATCTTTGGCCCTGTTCAAAGAGCCCTTGAGATCATGGAAAATGCATGGCGTCACAGGAATTCTGAGACCACGAAAGAGTGGGATCTCGCAGCATGGTTTAGGAGCTTGGGTGATCCGGTGTTACTTGTTTGAAAGTGTACGAATAAGACTGATGACGATCTGCGATTTGGGTTTACTGGTAGAGATATCTCTAGATACATCTCAGCAGGTCCTGAATATCTTTCGAGAAGTTGAAGACTTCATTCGAACTTGACATATCCCTTGCCCTTGACAAAGGTCGCGTCCCAGGGGATATTTCCTTCATGGTTAGCCAGGCTGGCATAGAAGGTCCCGTGAGCAGGTCCATCAAGCGCAGAACTGGCGGCACTTCCATCTTCCTTGCGTTCACCGGCATAAAAAAACCTGTAGAATTATCAGATCGGAGTCGTAAGAAGATGTCAGGAGAGCGCGTTCGACCAAGTCTTACCGATAGCCCTTGTCTGCGTAAAGAGCGTCTGCCGTGCCAATGAGGTACGCCGAGGCAGACTTTCCGACACCCAAATTCAAAAAGAGCGGCATTGGCAGGATGCTTTTGTTCAGCAAGTTTCCAGTATATATAAATGTCTTCTTGACATCCCCGGGGAGAGTTTCCCACGCTTTAACGGCCTCCTGGGCTGCGACGTGAGCGCTGACGGTGTTGATATTCAAGTCAATAGTCACCCGCTCCGCCGGGATCGAGAGAACGGATTGCTCGTCTGGAGGCGGTGTGAGACTTGCAGCATTGTAGACAACAACGCTCGGGGGAGCCTTGAACTCCGCCTTGACTTTCTCAAAGAGTGCCGGGATGGAATCGGGCTCGGCAAAGTCCGCTTGGAGGGAAAGATATCCTTCGCTTGTCTTAGCTCCAGTACCATTTCTGGTGACAACCGCGATTTGGTAGCCTTTGCTGGCTAGGCTTTGGGCCACGGACGCGCCGACACGGGGACCGGCTCCGAGGATCAGGGCAACAAGGTTGGACGACATAGTGTTCTCAGGCTATAATCCGGTGATGGATAGGAGTGGCTGGAAAGACGAAGTGTGAAGAACCAAAGGCCTTGTCTGCTCTCAAGAAATTGGAACTGGAATGTGTGATAATACCGTCTCCTCAAGATGGGCTCCTTCTTATAGATCAGGCTTAGATCGCACCTTCATCATAATCCATTTACCATCACTAGCGCTAGTCATGTGTTGCTCGATAATCAAGCTGACTTTACAAGCCGTGTAGCAGTGGATGCGTCATCTGTCAGTCGGTCTCGCAGTTTAGATTGCTCCGAGGCTAATGGATTGCGCCAATTCTTCCTCAGACATGCCACTCACGAGGCTTGACGCCGCTGGCAGAGGCCCACCTCGCGCGCGCTAGCCCCACATCAAACGGGGCCCGCGCGGTGGACCCGCTGTTGTCCGCAAATCAAGTGCTTGTCTGCGAATGTGGGCGATTGATTCCCGGACTGGAAGAATTGTATCTCGAGAAGGGGAAAGTGCATATTCGTGGTTCAGGACACTGTATCATTTTGCGGAAGTGTTCCGCTTGTTATTCAAAAAAAAAAAAAAGTCCAATTTGCTGACCCTCAGTCAGCCGTTTTCTAAATTCACTTTCCCCTCTGCTGTCATGACACCCGAGTATTCTGGAAATAAGAGCACCACAAGAATACCGGTGTATGTTCTAGGGATCGGCGACCCTGATTTCATGGAAATACCAGCCACCCTGCTTGCAGCAGGCTCGGTGTGGTTGGATATGAAATTACCATAAAAGTGAAGTCTACAGCGGTCGTTGTCTTCTCCGCGCACTGGCAGGCAGGCCCAGACAGAATTGAAGTTCATGTCGCGGAGAAATGCGCCGCTGATCTATGGCTTCTATGGGTTCCCATCGTACTACTATGAATACGAGTACCCATATAAGGGTAGCCCGGCGGTCGCGAAGAGGATTATAGATAAGCTGGAGATCGCGGGAGTACAAGTGGAGAGAGTCAACCGCAGTTTAGATCATGGTGTCTGGATGGGCTTCCTAGCAGGTATGCTGCAAACATCCTCGCCAGCCTTTTGCCGAATTGCTCAACCAAACAGCTTTCAATCCGAAGAGCAATCCGTTGAACGTTCCCATCGTCCAGGTCTCATTGTACGGTAGTGAGGATCACGAAAAGCATTATTGTCTAGGACAAGCACTGGGAAGCCTTCGAGAGGAGGAGGTCTTGATCATTGGAGCTGGAATGGTCGTTCACAATCTTCTCGACTATCGAGCTACTCGGGGAGCGGGCAAGTCAATGCCGTAAGTAGAATCGTGGTCAATAACTTCCACAATTTTTGTCCAGCTCAAGTCAATAACAGTTACATAGATGTGCCTCTACATTTGATGGCAAGCTGAAGGACGCCGTAATCTCGAGCCCGACAGAGCGTCGGGCGAAGATGATTGCCCTGATGAGACAGAGTGAAGCCCGAAGAGCGCATCCCACCGCCGAGCATATTCACCCTCCTTTTGTGGTTGCAGGTGCCGCTGGATCTGACACAGGAGTTAGGCTTTGGATATACCCAGAAGCAAGCCTCAACTGGGCTCAAACCCCAGCATAGCGCAGTTCAGGTGCCTCGGGCTCGAAAACATGCTCCGAGGTTCCCTCATAGCTAACTACCGGTCATTCTGCTTATGACTGCCAACTCTTAGGCTGGGGAATCCCCCAAAGACAAGGGAATGTGAGCAAGAGCTATTCGGAATACGGCCTGTCTTTTGGAGTATGAAACGTCGCCACGTCGAGGTGCTAGATCGATCGTACATGATCAAATGGAAATCTGTTGGTATGCTGTTCCTCGTGCTTATGTCAGGTTAACATCTAATTCCAAGGCTCTGTCCTATAAATTCTCTTTAGAAAGTGGAAGAAAACCCCTCTTGTATTGGCTTTTTACCACAAGTTGTCTAAAAGGCCCGCCCGTACAGGGTAGTCCTACTGTCTACACATTTGATGGAAAAGCTTCCCATGGTTTTTGCGCATCTTATGATTCCCTACACACAGACAAGAGGTCTCATCAAATCACTGTGTTCCGATTTAACCCAGGCAAAATGCACAACACCTGCTCGGTACCCACTGCCGGGTGAGTCGAGACCGAGGGACGCCACTACACCGTAGTCCCACTTTGTCAGCCTCGCATGCACGCACGAGGCCAGCGAAAGTAACATAAGCTTTCTGATTGGCTGAAATCCATGAATGTTTTGTTCTTTTGTTCCACTGCCGGATGAGCCCGCCTCGGCCAAGAAAGGACCCGCCAATCAGCGCGGTGTCTGGCCCCCATGTGGCTCTGCTGAAGTATACGCTAGTCCAGGGCCAAGACTAGCTTATTTCCCTCGAACCAATAACATGACACCCCCTTGCACGTGTGGGATCTCATTGGGAGATCTGTTGAAAGCTATCAGGGCTGGCGATCCGATACGCTGATACCGGCTACGAGCCGATGTGACTGTGATCGGGCGCATGTGTTTATCTTAAAACTCACCCGCATTCCAGCAATTTTTTATTTTCTCCTCCCCTTTTTTCATCCGGAACACTTCGGAACTTGGATCCAGGTACCAGGCTCTCACGATGAAGGCCACTGCCGCTTCTGTCCTGCTGGCGCTTTCCGCGGCCGTCGACGCCCGTCCGGCTTCCAACCGGGCTCGCGACGTGGACACCCGCTTCCCATATACCGGTCCTAAGGTTCCAGTGGGCGATTGGGTCGATCCAACCGTCAATGGGAATGGCAAGGGGTTCACTCGTCTAGTCGAACCTCCTGCGGTCAAGCCCAAGTCCACCCACCCAACCAACAACGTCAATGTCATCTCCCTGTCCTACATTCCTAATGGCATGCACGTCCACTACCAGACTCCCTTTGGTCTGGGCAAGCCTCCAACAGTGAAATGGGGCACCTCCCGTCACAAGTTGAATAATGTGGCCCACGGCTATACTCACACGTAGGCGACACTAGCAGTCAATGAGAAGAGACGAGAAGCAGGGCTAACTTTCAATGGCTGCATAGCTATGACCGCACTCCAGCATGCTCCCAGTACAAGGCTATCACCCAATGTAGCCAATTCTTTCACGAGGTTTCGCTTCCAGACCTCGCCGCCGGTAAGACTTACTATTACCAGATTCCCGCTGCCAATGGCACTACCGAGTCTGATGTTCTGAGCTTCACTACCGCCCACAAGGCCGGTGACAAGGACGAGTTCAGCGTTGCTATCCTGAATGACATGGGGTACACGAACGCTCAGGGGACTCATAAGTATTTGTCCAAGGCTGCCGAAAGTGTGGCCTTTGCCTGGCATGGTGGTGATATCAGCTATGCCGATGATTGGTCATCCGGGATCATGGCTTGCGAAGACTCTTGGCCTGTTTGCTACAACGGCACATCTAGCTCTCTCCCTGGTGGCATTACCGATGAATACAAGAAGCCTTTGCCTGCGGGCGAAATCCCGAATCAGGGTAGTCCTCAGGGTGGTGATATGAGTGTTCTTTATGAGTCCAATTGGGACCTGTGGCAGCAGTGGATGACCAACGTGACCAAGAAGATTCCTTACATGGTCCTTCCCGGGAACCACGAGGCTGCTTGTGCTGAGTTCGATGGGCCTGGCAATGTTCTGACTGCCTACCTGAATGACGACAAGGCTAACAGCACTGCGGCTAAGGACGGCCTCACCTACTACAGCTGCCCGCCATCACAGAGGTGCGTTTGGTCCTCAGAGGACCCCATGAACTCGAGTTTCTCTAACGCGTCATTGCAGAAACTTCACGGCTTACCAGCATCGCTTCCGTATGCCCGGTAGCGAGACCGGCGGCGTCGGAAATTTCTGGTACTCTTTTGACTACGGCCTTGCCCATTTCATCTCAATCGATGGAGAGACCGACTTTGCCTACAGCCCCGAGTGGTCCTTTGCGGAGGATGTCAAGGGCGATGAGGCTCTACCCAAGGAGTCCGAGACTTTCGTCACCGACAGCGGCCCCTTTGGAAGCGTTCATGACGGTAAAGTCCACGATAACAAGGCTTAAGAGCAGTACCAGTGGCTGAAGAAGGACCTGGAGAGCATCGACCGCAAGAAGACCCCTTGGGTTCTTGTCATGAGCCACCGTCCTATGTACTCTTCCGCTTACTCCTCGTACATGATGCATGTCCGGGATGCCTTTGAGGAGCTTCTCCTCAAGCACGGCGTTGACGCTTACCTGTCTGGCCACATCCACTGGTACGAGCGTATCTGGCCTATGGGCCGTAACGGCACCCTCGACACCCACTCCATTGTCGATAAAAACACCTACCGCGCTAATCCCGGAAAATCCATTACCCACATCGTCAACGGCATGGCTGGAAACATCGAAAGCCACTCTGAATTCAGTGCTGGCCAAGGGCTTAACACAAACATCACTGCCGTCCTCAACCAGAAAGAGTACGGTTTTAGCAAATTGACCGTTGCAAACGCCACGGCCCTCAAGTGGGAGTATATTCGTGGTAGTGATGGCAAGGCGGGTGATTCCCTTTGGCTGCTCAAGCCTGGTGACAAGCACCATTAGATAAAAAGAGCTCTAGCTCCATTCCTGTACACATATAGATTGTTTCCAAAGCATGTTTCCAAAGTAATTCGGCAAGCTCTTTGGAGTAATGTGGAGTATAGAGTCGCTGTGCCAGCGTATAGCACAAGGAGGCTTCTCCGGATCGTCGCTTTAGCGCGCTGTTTCCGACTTGATAGTGGCCTCGCTAAAACACCGCCGATGGGGTACGTTCATCATACATGGTGATATTACTGAGTGTTTCTGATCCTTAACTCCGGCCCAGTGTCGAAGTATCGAAGTAAGTGAAAGTAGACTACCTAAATAACGGTATTACACTCTCAACAGCCTTTGGCTGGGGCTTCTAACACCCGTAACCTTACGTTCTCTGTCAATGGAGGCAGTCCAGTTAGATTCGAGATGCCGCTTACGGGGAAACACAGTGAGCTCTACAGTGCTGGGGAGGGTTGGTGGATACTGATACGCTGGGGATCTTGCTGCATGGGTGGGTTGATGAACCGAATGAGCTGACTATCGCTACTATGGCGTCAAGCGATGTGTCGCAGACTTGGGGGGGCGGATGTGGTTGGGTTTAGGTTTTATGATTAGATCGGACTGCCGGGGCTAGTGAACGGTCCTCGTTCCTGCTGTCATGGCTTGTCTACTCACTACTTCGTGTCCGAGTTTATGTTCCACTGTGTTTATCCCTATCGGAGCCTTTACAGGACATCTGGGAATTGCTACGCACATTGCAGATGGCCAGAGCACCTGTCTCGGTAGCAATAGCTATGGGTTACATGACATCATAACAAGAGCTCATTAGTTGGGAAAGTCCAAGCAGGAATTTCTGACAAACTGAGGACTCTATGCATTTGACGCAGTAATCATTCCTTTGTCTCAGGTTCAATGCGGCTGGCTGACACGGCCTATGTCAACGGGACATTGGATCACCGTCAAGCCCCACATGGTCTTGACCGTCTTCTTGACCAGCCACTGAGCATATCCTGCCAAGCTGAACAGGGTCCCTTAGCAGCCGCCTTGGACGCCTGACATTTGCTCATCTCGGGCCTGCAGGAGCTATTGGCTACGATGGCGTGGAGAGGTTATAACCCGGGCTCACTGCAGCAGCCGCAAAGCGTCTACTTGGCACTATTCGGGCTGGTATAGATTTGACAGTGTTGACATTACTACGGGATTTTGGGAACGCCACTTTATCCGTGTGCGCGAATGTGCTGGCGAACTCGATCTTGACTTCGATCTCGAAGTTGATCCCCGGATACCCCGCTCGGGTGGACAACCCGGATGAAGTGGGCAATAGCTTCATGGTGTCACGAGGTGAACAGCTCCAGAGGCTCAGAGAGAGTGCCAAATGAAAGGCGTCGCGCGTTCTATGCGGTGTGCCCAGATTCTGGGCAGGTTTGTCGAAAGAAGTCTCCGGGGAATAGGTGCAGTCTGACAGGGTCAGTACCAGGTTACGGGCAGGATTCCGTTGCCTGATACGTAGTACGGTACATAGGATACCAGAGTGTCCATTCTTGACAGGCTTAAGAGGGAGGAACTCGTTTGACACATTAACAGCATTCACTTTTCGGACTATAGCTAAGACTGATTACTAGCGTCCACAGCTCAAGATTGACATCCACCGGGGATCAAGAAACACCTTATCAACCGAAATTCAAAAATCATGTTTTTAAGGGCTGGGCTCAGCCTTGGGATAGTATGCTGCACTATGAACTGCTCGGAGATGAGTCTCCCGGTTGTCCTTCCGGTTGAACCGCTTCTCACAGGACTCTACGAGACACGGGTATTGCTTTGGGGACAGGTGCATATTGCTAATGTGTCGAAGTAAGCTCGATTTCCTTCTAAAGCCACCTGTGTACTGGCAACCGTCCCATTTGCATTCGTATGAAATCCCGTCGGAGTATCTTTCGATCTGTTAGTTTGGGCTTGGTTACCGCAAGTGTAAAAATACGAGTAACATACTTCGGGCGGTTGCCTTGCGGCTCTTCCACCTTCACGTACGGCTGCTGCATTTGTGACGAACAACAGGACTGCCCTGTACTTGTCTCCCAAGGAGAGACGGGCTGATTGAAGGGAAACTCCGATACACTCCGGGAGCTTGAGGGTGTAGTCGGTGTGACGGGCGTTAATGGCAAGAAGCTCGTATTCAGACCGCAAGGGCTGTCATAGGGGACTGCTCCCATGGGCAATGTCTGGTAGTCCTCGGGAAGTGCCAGGTAGAAGTTTGTTCCAAAATCGCTGTTCGACAAGCCAGGCTGTGTCATATAATGGTAGGACTCATTTGAAAATGCCATATCCTGATAGTTATATATGTTTCGGGCTCGTATGGCTCTTGCGGACGTTTCGCATTGGCGGGGTGCGGCTGTGCTTTTACTGACACTGAGATCGGAGGGGCGGAACTGTATTAATAGCAATTTCCATCACATTCTGGTCAAGCCATTTGCGATTTGACATGAACTTAGGGATTTGCCAGTCAAAGGGCCTGTCAAACACTTCTTGACAGTAGAACATGTCGGGTCAACCGGTCCCAGGTCCATTACCGCTGAGAGCACCCGGTTGCCTGCTCACACGCCTTGACGGGTCAAAAAAGGGCGTTGACATGACGTGGGTGAGCCTGAAAAGGGAGTGTCTCTATTGACCCTGGCAAAGAGGATTGACAGACGATGGCAAAGAGGGGACATCGGATCGCCTTAATATACTTAGTACTTAGCCCCGGACGAGCTGGAGTGTTGGCCCTCGAAATCCATGGTTACGCCCCATCACTCGTGTCATCGAGCAGCCTTGTCCAAATTTAGTTCTTTCCTTGGGCTGGAAGATGTACAGCCACAGTGAAATGGTGCGCGGGTCGCCTATCCTCCCATCCTCGGTGGGCGGATCCTGTGATGAGTATCATGGGGCTTTTCCAGTGAGCATCCCAAAATTCCAAATTATGCGCAGCTTGCTTCAACGATAGCGCTTTGCTAACCGCAAACAGTCATCACTATACGGCCCGCCAAAGGAGCTGCCCGGCGGAGATTCCATCAAGGCGCAGGTTTGCACGACTTGGCAAAACTGAAGCAGCCGTTTAAAACGAAGCATGACGGGGATGGGAATAACTTCGCTCCGTCCCATGATGTTGCCAGTCACCTGGATAGAATTATCCAAAAAGCCATTCGCAGTACTCGTTCTGAACGGCAATCAGCCCTGGGTATATGCAAATACATCCGGCAAAATGTCAAGCCCGAACTGGCTGGAAATGAGCCCAATTATTACTCGGAGAAAACAATCGTCAGCCACTTGATCTCGAGCTCTGTCTTTGAGATTGTGTATGATTATGACCGCAATGACAAAATCAGAAGAGCCAGCAGCCCCAAATGGAAGATCAGATCTGGTCTAGAAGGCAGAACAGCCACTCCGAGCTCAGCCGTCCAAGAACTGCCCGCTTATCAACTGCCCGCTTACCCGGGATGGGAGTCTTTGGACTATTCCAGGAAGCGCATTTCCATAAAGGAGCTTCCGGAGTCCTATTCTATATATGAGAAGGAGTCACTGGGACATGGAAGCCCCGTCGTCTTCTCGGTGCCCCCACAGTCCAAAGGGGGCACTGAGCTCCCCACCACCGATAGCAATGATCCGCCAAAGGAGCGTGTCGTTACGATTTCAGACACCAAAAGCAATCTCGAAGTCCACGCGTCCGATCGGAGCCCTGAAAGAGAATTCCTTCCTCCACGAGCATCGCCTGTCTGTTCTCCATCCCATTCACCTCAACTTGAATCCAATCAAACACTCCAGTGTAGCGCTGTACCTCGGATCGGTTCTAATGAGCCTGGGCTTCCGTCTCGCTCGAACAGGCCTTCCTTGTCCATTGATACTTCACTGAAGTCACAATTTTGTGACTTCTCTGGTCAAGTGTCTATCGATGGTCTCTCGCAGGCATCAACAACCGTCCCTGAGACTGACGAGGAAACATTGGGGGAACAGCGGGATCTGAAAGACCTGGGGCCTCTTTCAGGCGATAGCCCTGGAAAATATTCCAAGAATGAGAGCCCCGATCGCTTCACTCCATCCTCATATGAGGCTGCAGGAGCTTCTCCTAATACTGGTCCAGCTGCGACTGGGGGAGGCGCATCCTTTAACGGCTTCAGTCTCGGTCTCCCGTCTCGCACTGGGAATGGGAATGGCCCAGAGGATCGGGGAACCGGGGAAAACCGCCCGGGGGGTCATGGAGATGGCAACCGGGATCCTGGAAATGGCGGTCCACTCGGCCGTCGTAGAAGAAGCCAGAGAACTCGTCAACTTCAGTGTCCATTCAGGTACCCTCCACAAACACACAATAGGCACCCAGACGAGAATCCGCCTTGTAAACCCGCTGTTTACCCGTGGTTCGCGTATCTCTTGTATGAACTCTCCCAGTGTTTGATGCCTCTCTTGAATTGTTCACTAACAAATATTAGGCGCCACATCGAACGTGCCCATGGTCTGTATTTGTGTATTAATTGCTTCATGGCATTTACCGCCGCAGATCTTTGTAAAAGCCATAAAACTCAGTGCCCCGTCAGGCACATGGACAGCTCAGAAAAATGCACCCGCATTTACGCAGCAATCTACCCAAATGCACCTTACCCCTCGGACAGTCGTTCATACGGTGAGTATATCCGACGTTTCTACCCGATATAGCAGCAGCACAAATGTGTAACCTCAGTTCTAGCTGCTCTATCCTCACGATCGGTAGCCCATTCGCCTCATGATCAACTTGCTTTGGGTTCTAATACCGCATTCAGTCCTACAATGACTAGCCAACCCAGCCTTGAAGATAGGGTCGCTCGCCTTGAAATGCGCCTGGCTATTTGGGAAAGCCACTACCCAACAGCCAATCTTCCTTTCGATGAAGATATCCGAACTGCCAACTTCTCAATGAGTCAACCCGTCAATCCCTCGCCAGAGGAACCGCCCGAGCCCAATATGCAGGAGCTGGAAGATTCCATGCTCGACAGAGACATGGACTTCGACTTGTCCAATATGGAGAACCACGAGAATCCTTTATACATGGCTGCCGTCATGGAAGGGCCTCGACCAGTCTCCGACAACCTGGCGATGAACGTGGACCCGAATCATATTCCCAGTAATAAAGTCGGCGAACAAGAACAAGGGCATGCTGGCGAAGACCATTTCTGGCAGATGTATGGCCAACAGTGGGGATGAGGCCAGTACTCTCCTCGCACCGGGGGAGCTTCCTTCAACTTAGTGTTAAAGAGCTGTTAGTAATTTCGACGAGGTCTTAGCCCATGCTTTTAGCCCATGCTGGTCAGGCTGAGTGAAGATTTATCAGAATTTCGGATTCTAATTACAAAGTATTAATTCTATCGAGTACATTGGTTTTTTAGATCTCCTTCAGCTATGAATACACTAGTCGATGGGTCTCGAGCACGCAAAATAGAGCCCATCAAGGATATTAGGATCACGGTATGATATGATAGACGAATTATAGCGATATGACGCTAGGGTGGTATTTGTCAGATGTGTTAGGTGCACAATAATATAGAGTCTCAAAATTCCCTCAAGCTCCAACAGCGACTTAGCAGCGTTGAGCATGTAGGTGCTTCAAGGCGAATTTCTTCTACCGCTTCTCGCGGCAGGTATCTACTACCCCGGTTGAATTCTCCGTGGAGAATCAGGTGATTGAGGCCTCTTCATTGTCAGTTCAAGCAATTTTGTTGCACTTTAGGCAGATTGCATGAGGTTATATAACGCGAGAACTAGAGAAATAAACAATCACATTGATGCTACATGAGAACACCTTGGTGAGATAACCTCATTATATGCTTGACCCTGCAGCTGTAGTCTTGGTCCTTATCATTCTCATCAGGGTAGATTCAAAGATCATTTTCGCATCATGTTGCCAGTATCAGCTATATCAAACCGAGCTTGATGTTTGTCGTTTCCCCCTATGGCGTCGCACTTTAGTTGACTTTCTCCGGCGTTCCAAATTCCCTTCATAGCTGTTAAATATCTCTCTGAGAAGAAATCGAAGTAGTCCGCCCTCATAGGCCTCTTCTTTAGGAAAGAATTTCCCTTCACGAATTGTATATTCCCTTAAAGCTTCCTCGGTAGGGAATCGCCTTGGTGGCACCCCATTACGGATACATTCCAGCAAATCGATCAGATTGACGTGTGTATGCAGCACTGACTACAAAATATGAGCTTTGAGTAGGGCAAATAGCTTGACCTGTAGGCGGCATACCTGTCGAGCTTCATGAAGGCTTTCAGGGACAGGGATTATCCCTAAGCAGTGACAGATACGTTGCCATGATGCTAAGCTATTTTGGTCTGCGCCGAACTGTGAGTTGAATGCTTGCACAATGGCAATGCGAAACAGTTCCCAAGCCTGCTGGCGTGCGACTGGGTATTGCCCGTCCGGCTGTATGTGCCACCCAAATATGCAGCACATCCGATAGAACTCGACATAGACAGGCTGTTGTCTGTCGTAAGCAAATCCAAGGTACTGGATGAAGAATTCGTCAATCTCATCCACTCCGTTTTCTTGTTTGTTAGGCATTGCGGCTAAGCAATCGAGGCTTTCGATGATATCTGGCGATATAGTATCAATGATGCTAATCATTCATGGTATAAGTTACTTGCAAGGTGAAGTGATTCTCCATTATTCAACATACCCGCGCTACCTATGCACCCCGGTAGGTTGCATCGAAGCACGTGATGTGTACAGAGCATAAACATTCTGTAGCTTGGTATTAAAGGCCATTCCGTTATATTAGTATCCTGCCAGGTCGAGCCCTCTCAATAGGTAACTTTGATAAATGATTTACATACACCCACATCAACACAAACAAAAAGCTTTTCAAAGGATTCAAGGTTTAGAAAAGGCTTATGAACACTCGATTTAGAGGCTATATCTGACATATATATTTCGTGCTAAATAGACTACGTCCCTTGTCATATCGAAAAGATAAGGATTAAGTACGTGACTCTTAGACGGCGTGCCATAACTAATGGGCGAGGAATGTAGCATATAGCCTAGGGGATGAAGTCTAATGCAGGGGCCCTGTACATTCCAACCTGGTAAGGCAACATTCTTACTTACTGCTAGAGTGCCAATCCTATGTACCCCGTATCATCAATTCGCAGGCTTTGCAGGCACACTGTCATGCATGAAGTATTTATCCCACTCCCAACCGTTCTTAGGTAATAGGTCGGAGCTCAACAACCTTGGAAGGCATAACTCACATTGCCTGAGCCTCCAATATTCTTAGCCAAATTCATGACGGATTCTCAGAATTGTCAGAATTTTCCAGAAAGATTTGGATGGCTTAGGCTTTATGAAAGAGCAGAGCCACCGGTCAGGGGTATTTCCTTCGCTAAACATTATTGAAATGAAACCTCATCATGCTGAGAATGGCTACTGTGTGTCTTGTCGAATTCGTTCCAAAGGGTTCTTTGTGATACAACTGTGTATCCCATGCGTAATCAACAGATTGCAAATCTGCCGCGACATAGCCCTCCCATACTCACTAAAAGCATCCTTGCGTTGACTGGGTATTCGAAGAATCCGTGACTCATCAGGAGAATACATTTCCGAAGAAAGCTGGTCAATTTACTAAATATTCCAGGCGAAGCTCTGATTCTTATGAGTCTCCCCTGTATCCGTGCTATACTGTCTGTCCAAGTTTAACCACTGATTCACCCCGGGCCGGCCAACAAGAGCTTACGTTAGTGACAATTAGCATCAACCTTCGGACACGATGTCCTTCAACTCTATCCTTGAATGCCTCTTTGGCACGTGGGAAAGGGAGCCAATTCCGTCCCGATCTCTCCATTCGCTCAAAGCCGTTGCTTCCAATATTGTTACAACAATTTTAACTGCCGAAGACCCCTATTTGCTTCACAAGCAGCTGAAGGAGGACATAACCACGAGCGGCTGGTCCGATATGCTGGCTAGAGCTACACTTCAAGGACTAGAACACGCAATCAACGCCGGTGCGGCGATGGCGCGACTTGCGGCTGATGCTGCTGCCCGAAGCAAGGATGCCGCGATCGACTTCACAACCAATCATCCTATTCTTGTCACTCTCATTGCGCTAGGCATTCTAGCGCTACTGATGCCTCCGGTTCTCGAGATCCTGGGATTCGGAGAATTGGGTCCAATCGAAGGTTCATTTGCGGCAGCTTGGCAACGGCAGTTTGCTGGAGAGGTTCCCAAGAAAGCTTTGTTTGGTTATTTCCAGAGGCTCGGGATGAAGTGGCATTGGACCATTTAATGAACAATGTCAGGGAGCATTTTTACAGCCCAGAACCTTAGCTCTTTGCTGTGGGAAAAGGGTTCAGTCGGACTGATAACTTTCTCATTCCAAGGGAAATCTACGAGGATAATAGTTAGAAATTGGAAATGCCTTTCATGCAGTTGCAAAGGATGGGCTAGTCAGTTCTTCATAGTTCAATAATAAGCTACAGTATCTTAATGCCAGCCCTGTACCACTGAAGCTGATCAAGTCAATCCTATCCTCTATAGGCCAACATCATCCATCGCCCAGGTGCCTCTTCGCGGGATGCGGATCGACCGCCCCCCACCGTCAGCGTAGTTTCCGACACAGAAAACTACATCGACAGTGGAAAAACAGGCCAGTCAACGGGACCTAGTCCCAATACTTCATCCAAAGCCGCACATAGCAAACCAGAAACCCATTCTCCCAAAATGAGCAAGGTCCAAACCCCTAACGTCCTTGTCGTAGGCGCAGGCTCCATGGGAATGGTTGTGGGCTACTTCCTCACCCGGGCCCACGCCCAAGTAACCTACCTTGTCCGCCCCAACCGAGCAGAGGAGCTGGATCGAACACAACAGCTCTACTGCTACGACGATAACAGCCTGAAGCACTACCACAGCTACAAGGTCCTCACCGATCCGTCAGAAATCAGCAAAGAAAGCTACGAATACGTGATCGTTGCGCTGGATGCTGCCTCGCTACAAAATGAGGAGGGCAGAGCCCTTGTCCGCTCCATGGGCGCCGCATTCCGCGATACAAGCACGAAATTCGTGCTGGGGACCGTCGCGATCGGGATCAGGGACTGGTTCCTGGAGACCTCCGGCCTCGATGCGACGCGTGTCACCCTCGGGCTCATGCCGATCCACGCGTATCCTACGGATCGCGCGATTCTCGAGGTCCATGCGCCCACGAATCCAGCGCTGATTGTACAGGCGGATGTGGCCTATACTGACCGGATGGGCGCAGGCTTTGTTGTTCTTGATACTGCGCCAGAGGTCGCGAAGCCATTTGCCGAGCTGTACAATCAATGCGGGGTGTCGACCGCCTCTGTCGTGCCTGAGCAGGATACTATGACGAACGTGGACTCGCTGCTCGCGGTGATGGTGGCTAGCGAGCTCGTGGATTGGCCTCGTTTGGCAGAGTTGCCGGCGCACAAGGAGCTTTGGGGGGTTACGACTGCTGCGGTGAAGGAGATTCGCTCCCTCGGTGTGCACGGTGAGCCTGGGCTGCGGGCTGCGGAGTCCACTACTGAGGAATCTCTCGCGAGATCGATGAAGGTGTGGGAGAAGAGTATGTTGCCGTTTGATTTACAGGGCTTTAATCAGTTTCATCATGGAGCGAAGGTGAAGAAGCAAGATCGGCTGCATTTACGCACCTGCGTCTCCATTGGTGAAGCGGAAGGCAAGCCGATGTTAGGGCTGAAAGATCTGCTGGGCAGAGTAGAAAGACACGACCAGGAATAACAAGGTCTTATTTCGAATCATGACAAGCGAGGACTGAACCAGACTTGAGTTCCTTGGAATGGTCATGAGACCTATCAATGATTCCTCGTCCATCCCAGTCGCATGGAAAACATTTTCGCAAGTCGGTAGTAACAGGCAAGTAAGACTGGGTGTACCCAGGTAGAAGACAGGACTCTGACTAAAGCTGCGACGTCTCTCAAGAAGTAACTCGAGTAGGGATGGAAGCGCTTAGAGGTGACGAGCTCGTACGTCTCCGTTATGCTAGCCTAAGTTGCGATAGTCCTAAACCGGGTTTAAGATCGAAGCTCAGACGCACAATTGGCTGGAAACCGACCGAATGGCGAATATATGGCGAAGCGTGAGGTCGTTTGCTCTCATTCAAGCTGATATTGAAACATCGCATGAATTCACCCGCGGACGGATCTCAAGGCAATACGGCAGGACATGATGCCATAGTATGTGCCAATCTTTCCATCAGTCTACATGACAAATGAATGATATATGAGTTAGGTACTAGAGGTCTGAGGTGATTATATAGGCGGTAGAAGGTGCAGTAAGTGGGGTATCGAAAGGGGTAGAAGAGTAGAAGAAGCCATGCCTAGTACTAATTTCCAAGTTGAGTATGCAGTACAGTTGTCTTCTAAAAAGACAATGGACGAGCTCGCAAACAGGTGTATTTCAGCACTATTTTAAATCCTACAGGAGGATATAAGGAATCTTCCCCACCACTGCAATCCAACTCAAAATCTTATTTACGAAGCACAAAATTCCTTCCAGCATGGGCGCTCGAAGCTGGGCTTTTGGGGCAAAGAGTTGTGAAATACCAGAAAAAATGCAATGCCCGCAACATACGCTGATAAGAAATAGGTATCACGAATAAACAAGACCGACCATGCCAAAGAAACGGGGCAAGGAAGACTACCAATCATCGTCATCTTCCTTCTCGTCATCTGCAGAGGAAATTAGTCTAAAATGCCTAGCAAAATATCAAGAAATGTAATATGAGAAACTTACCGCTTCCACTGACTCGTGCCTTTCTCTGCTTCAGAGCATCCTGTAATGCGCCGGCCAGACCACCCTGGGGCCCGCCGCTTGAAGAAGCTGCTGCAGATGACTCGGCTGCGCTTCCAGGTACCATGGCTGCACTTCTGTCCTTCTTCTCTGAATCCTTGACTTTCCTGAGTCCTCCGCCACCCTGTCCACCGGATGCACGAATGGCAGCCATCAGGTCGTCGCGACCACCACCACCGGTCGATGGCAGCGGTGGAGGAGCTCCGCCCGCAGGAGGTGGTGGGGGAGGTGCTCCAGATCCTCCAGGGGGAGGCGGTGGTGGGGGAACAGCAGATCCTCCGCGACCTGGAGGTGGAGGGGGAGGGGGACCTCCGGGAGCCCCACGACCAGGCGGAGGAGGAGGAGGAGGTAACCCGGCGGAACCGCCTGGTGGTGGTGGAGGAGGAGGCACACCAGGTACCGAGCGGCCTGGAGGGGGAGGAGGAGCGCTTCCAGGCAAATCAGGCGAAGCAGGTCCTCTTGGTGGGGAGGAGGTGCCGCAGGGGCTGAGGGTGCCGGTGCCGGAGGAGGGGGAACCGAGCGAGGGGGAGGGGGGGGAGATACAGGTGCTCTGGCCGGTGGAGGTGGAGGTGGTGGAGCGGCAGCAGCAGGCGAGCCAGCATGGGGGACTTTGGGAGGTAATGGAGGCAATTGGGGCGGCGCATCTGCGCGAGGAGGCGGGGGAGGCGGACCGGGAGGTACAGGGCTGCGACTCGGTGGAGGAGGGGGTCCAGATGGTTTTCGTTCCCCCGTGAAAGGTGGAGGCACTCCAAATTTAGGCTGACTGCCGTCCATTGGGGCCTTCGGTGGTAAAGGCGGCGGGGCTGCTGGAGCACCATTGCCTACATTAGATACAGCACGACGTCTGGGGCCGGCAGGTCCAACTGGTTCAGCATATTTGCCAGCATCTGGGAGCGGAGGAGGTGCGTTGAATCTGCGGGCTGGCGGTGATTCGACGGGTGCTGGTGATGGAGCGGCCGGCTCTTCAGGTGCATCAGCGCGAGCTTTTCTTGAAGGTGGTGGTGGCGGTGGACCACGCCGGCTTCCATTGCTGCTTCCTGTGACTTGAGGGCTAATATTGTTGGCTTTGGGGGCTGGCGGCGCAGACGGAGGAGGCGGCGGCGGTGTTCTAGCGGTTGGGGTTTCGACTGGGGTAATGGGCGCGGGAGCAGGCGCTACTGGTCTCGGCGGCGCCTGAGCTGCAGGAGCTTGGGGACCACCAATGGACATGTTGTTCTGTTGAATGTATTCTTTGATAAACACAGGATCACCTGCGATGTCCCTTTTCTTGAGCCCCAGTCGAAACAGGCTGTCAACCAATACCGTGATAGCATCCATTGTGTAAACCAGCGGCAGTAGCTCACGGATCAGATTTTGCCATACCGGCTCCTCGGGGTTGAAGTCAGGATTGCGCTTTTGGAAAGCAACTTCGCTGGTCTTCTTGCTAATATGCTTTTCTCGCGTTTGCATTGTCTTGTCGAATTTCTTCGCCTGGTCCTCGTCGGCGAATAGCAACCCAGCGTGGCATTCTTGAAGATTCACGGTCTGGAGATCGAAGGTGTAGAAGAAGGAACGTTGCATAGTATAGTGGAAGTCCTCGTAGATTTCTTGGTCCCAAATGACACCTCGGCGTGCAGGCTATATAGGCGGAGAGCGCAACTGTTAGCTTCTGTCCCCATCCATTCAATGGGAGGGCATGACAACTCACAGAGATATCCACCATTTTCAACCAAAGGGAAGGCACAGTAGTATCTTCGCAAAGCACTACTGCACCCTGTAAGCCGGTGTAAGTCCACTTCATGGGGTCCGGGTAAGCGACGTAAAGTCGCGCGACACCCTTGGCATGCTGTTTGCTAACCGACTTTGGGATACATCTATCAATGACCGCCTCGTCGTCTTTCTTGAAGACTTTAGAGCCAAACATGACGAGCCAAAGCAGGTTTCGAGAGAAGAGGCGTGGGTAACGGTGAGGGTGAGAGTGGTGGCGTGGGAGATTCTTAGGTTCGAGAGCACATCGCAAGCGGCCAGTATAGTGGATCGGTAAGACGGCCCAGCGATAACAAGGTGTAAGAGAGGGAAAGGAAACGAACGGGAGGACTCCGAGAGAATGCGAGGAGGCCGAGAGGAGAGTCCGTGAGAGGAGAGTACGGTTGCCTTGGAAGGAGGACGTTTGGCGGGGCGAAGATACTCGGGCAGTACTTGGCAGCTGGAGTGAACTTTGGCCTCCGCTAAGGGGGGCACGTGGTACACGTCAAGTACTCTCTCACTCTTTTACCCTTCAACCCTTGCGGACTGGTTGGCCTTCTGCTATTCCTTCTTGTTGAATGAGTCTGTTATCCTACCTTTAACTAGAAATTCTTACTGCAATTATACATCCTGCTGCTATGGACAAGTGTCCAGATGAACAATGCGCCCCCAGCGTTATCCGGCAGAGCCGCTAGTGCTAAGCGCAATGTTCCATTACGCTTCGATAACGTTCCAAAGGCCTTTGGTCAGTCTCAAAAAGTCCTTCTCTACTTGAAAAGAAAAGACCATCATCCTTGTGTCCAACTTGCTAAGCACTCTGGGTTCGACCCTGGAGCTCGGCTTGGTGCAAGGGTCGACCACCGACGTCATTGTAGCAGGCTGTATGGGAAAAGACTGACCTCTTTCCAATACGCTACAATCTAGTTAACTGTGAACTGCACTTGAAATCCACCCGTGGACTAGTGACTAAAGCTTTGTAAGGCCATGACGAACCCCTGTTTTTGTGGCCTAATACACTCGTCAGGCCGCAGAACTTCCCAGCAGCTTCTGGGGAGTCACCAGACCATGCTTCTGTAAACATACTACTTCATTGCTGCACATCCTATTGGCAATCATTTCAATTAGGGTCGTTAGGGTGCGGGTTGCATTTTCCGCTCTATCGCTCCCTAGTGTCGTAAGCCACAGTGTCAGGCTGAACCCCCACATGGTACAAAGTTTATCTGGTCTATGAAGCCGCATCGGCATCGCTAGTATCGCATGGAACGCCGGTTCCACTTGGCAGCCAATTTTCTCGATTTACTGGCCCAGATTTGTAACTGAACGCATCGAGGAACGGTCAGTGGCTATGATCACACTTTGGTGAGGGAGATTCAAGTTGCTCGGCAGAGCAGTACAGTTGATCGGAAGAGTGATAGGAGGCAAAGTCCTGGCCGGGGAGAAAGCTACGCTACTGTAGTTACGAGCAGGAGTATTCGATCCCTCAGGACACGACGCGGCTTCGATCCAACGGAGTGCAGCATCCCGCATTTGATTGGCGTCCAGGGTGTTTTCTTCGAAGATTCTCGGTGCTCTGTCTACAGAGTACGCTGTGATTCGTGGCTGTAGATCGAATCCAATATGGCCTGGTCGACAACAACTTCGGCCAATCAGCCAAGAGCATGGAATCTTTCAATCCGAAGTCAATTAGTCTTTTGGGTGCATGGAAGGATTTCTGTCAGGGACTCGGAGACAACATGGCCCATGCAAATTTTGCCTGCGCCAGAGAGAATGTTGTTCTAGATTCGCAGAAAAGAGTGCCGGTGGAGCAATACATCCCGATTGGACGCATCAGCCTCAGAAACCCATCTTCTTGCATTAGCAAAAGGCCCAGAGCAGTTGGATGTGGTACCCAACAATTTCAATTTGCACGATTCAGTTTCGTCTTGGCTTTCATCACGATCCGAAATAGAAACACGCAAGGGTCCACTCACCCCTGAAAGTGCAGATCCGTCAATTTCGCGGGATCGCTCACTTGTGATGTTTTCATTCCAACAAAGATGCACCTTGGGGTAAAAGTGTTTGGTTCCATCGCCATCGCGGCTTCGGTCGCTGCGGGCAATAGTACTCGCGACGTGGAGGCATGTGCGCAGATCTCCCAGCTAGTGGCCGATGCCAACCAGAGCAAAAGTAAGTTGATGGTGGCTTACCCCGGAAAATACACTGTGAAAAATCAGGGCTAACATGGCCAATGGTTGCAGCTACGGCCTCTGTTCCCAAGGACTTGGCCTACCAATGTCTAATGTCTATTCCTTTCGAATCGGATCGGGCGACCATTTTTTTGACTCAAGTTCGCAAGATGCTAGAGTTCCATTCCACAGTCGATATCCTGAAACGTATGAAATCCTTGATCTAACTGGACCAGCTGGGTGACTGACAAAAGATGGCAGATCCTCCTCCCGACTACTTAATGCCCGCTACAGACATCCTGGGCGGGGTTGACTCCATTCTAGAGAAAGTCAATCAAAAGGCCTACTCCAGTCAGTTCGAAATGGAATTGGACCTTTCCCATCTCATTGACTCAGCACACGATAGTCATTTGGTCTTCAGTCTGTGCTCGCAGTCTATCTTTGATATCACAATTGACTTTCCAATTGTCTCGGTTTCCACAGATGGGCTTTCCCTCCCCCAGGTTTACTCCTTAAGTATGCATTGCACCGTGAAATCTAGCTTCAATCTATGTTGACAAGTGGCAGGTGATGCGAAACTTCAGCAAGGTGGATCAACGGAGGTTTCACCTCTTGTGTCGATAAATGGTACTGCTGCGGCCAAGTTCTTGGAATCTGTTGCCTCAAGCCAAAGCCTTCAGGATCCCGACGCACAGTAAGCGGCCCTGGACCTCCTCCGTGTATCGATAAATATTGACTGTTCCAGATATAATCGACTATTCCCTTCGTTGGCCCGTAGTGTGAACGACGGCGCCACTAGCCCTGATGGAATATGGGCTAAGGACCAAAGATGGAGCGAAGCCTCGGAGCTCACTCTGAAGTTCGGTAACGGCACTACAAAAACAGTCCAAAAGGCAGCAGTTCCATTGGAACCGTTCTTCGACTACAAAAATGGTAGCGAAATCTATCAATTCGAATGCCTTCCTCGTATTCTGCTTGAAGCGACAACCGCCATTGAGAGTGCGCAGCAGGCATCTGAAGTTTCCGGGCTGCCTAGTACCCCGTGGAGCTCATCTGGTAATGCAATCTCCGGATACTTCTCCAATCAAACAGGTCTCGAAGACACGGCAATTATCTTTCTGCCAACGTTCTCATCCGCTCCTGCGGATGTGGCCCATTTTGTCATCAATTTCCTGCAAAATGCGACCGCTGCAGACAAGAAGAACGTCTTGATCGATGTGACTGCGAACACCGGCGGCTACATGACCACAGGTGTTGATATGTCGCGCATCTTTTTCCCCGACTCGGATCCCTATACCGCAACGCGTTACCGAGCCCATGATGCGGCCAAGTACATGACCAAGGCTTTCTCGCGTGATACAACGCCCGATACGGACAACATTTTTGCCTACAAGCAAATGGTCAAGCCGGATCAGAAAACCGGGTTTGGTTCATGGCAAGATCTCTACGGACCACATGATACCCTAGGGAGTCCATCCTCAAGCTTGCTAGCCAACTTCAACTATACCGCTACCTCAACTAACGTTTGGCCCATCAATGGATATGGAGAAGTCCCGTTAAACCCACCCAAGGCACCATTTCCAGCTGAGAATATTGCTATTGTAAGTACAACCTTCGTTGATTGAGTGACAAATGAATGGCTAACAAGTCTCCAGATTACCGATGGTGACTGTGTCTCGACTTGTGCTTTCTTTGTCAAGCTCATGAAGCGCCAGGGTGTACGCACCATTGCTTTCGGTGGTCGTCCTACCGAAGCGCCCATGCAGGGCGTCGGCGGCGTGAAGGGCGGCCAGTCGCTTGCGGTCAACTACATCAATGCTTATATTTACCAAGCCAATGAGCAAATTCGGAACTCAGCCAACTCGTCTTCGCCAATTCTCACGCAGGCGGAGTGGAAGAAGTTCAACGACTCCAGTCCTGGGACTGCCTTATCATATGCTTGGAGCGGCAATCTTAATCTGCGGAATGAGTATGACCCGGAGGACAGCGAGACCCCGCTGCAATTCGTCTATGAGGCTGCTGAGTGCCGTCGTTTTTATACCTTGGAGAACTACATGCAGCAGGAGACTGTTTGGCAAGCTGCAGCCAAGGCAATGTTCGGCAATGGAGGGTGTGTCAAAGGTTCCACTAATGGGAAGGGCAGCCTGGATGCCTCTTGAATTTGACATAGCCGCTCTACCATCCTTTCTTTCAGCATAGATACTATATATCCTCGAGTGTGGCTATAATTAACACATATTTACTGTAAGGACTTGAGAGCGGTTTTTTTTTTGGAGAGACTTCAGTTTTCGAGAGCTTTTTTATTCGTAACTCTATTACTTAAAGGGAATTTCAAGGAAAGCAAGGCTAGACAGAGGCAGAAACAAAGCATGCAGTGCAATGCAACTAAGGAAACAGGCACGCAGGCTCATCATGCGCGCCGAAACCAACTTTTCTCTGTAGCATGATCCCAGGTATTTTGCGTTGACAGATTGGAGTGGACAAGTAGTCATGATCCAGAACCCATACCCGTCAGCAAGAAAATCCCGGAAATCTTCGTCGATTACTTCCGTGCCCTGAAATTGCCGAACACCGCCTGTGGGGATAAATTTCTTCGCCCTCGTACAGGGTCGAAATAAAGAGTGCAACATCGTGGATTTGTTGGCTGATGCTCCAGTAAGTGCTCAAAGGAGTCGAACAGAGACTACAACTCAGCCCCGAGAGAACAGGCGAGAGCTGGTTATAGGGAGCAGTCGATCCAGTGGTTTGACTAAAATAATCGACAGTAGAAGAGGGGTTTTTGGCGGGGCATCTGGAGAGTGCCATGGCACCCTTGCAGGGCAGGAGCATCGAGCACTTTTGGATTGAAGGGTGAGCTTAGAGCTCGTCGACATCGATTTCCTTGTCTTCCTCATCGCTATCGCGGTCTTCGTCGAACTCGACGTTGTCCTCGAAGCCTTCTTGGCCGTAGGTGTCGGTCTCGTTGATCTTGGCATGCTCGGGGAGTTCACCGTAGGCCTTGAGACTACGGGCCTCATCGGAGGTGTACTTCATGATCACGTCGCCCTTCTCATCTTGGTAATCACGCAGAGAAAGGAGGATGATGTCACCCTGGTTGATCCAAACCTTCTTGCGCAGCTTGCCACGGATGTGAGCAAGACGCTTCTCACCGTCGAAGCAGAGAGCCTCCAATCGGCCGTTACCCAGCATCTTGACAACCTGCGCATACTCCTGGCCTTCCTCCTTGAAGACAAGTTCACGCTTCTCGTTGTCGTTCTCGTTCTTTCCACGACGACGGTTCTTACCGCCCTATACTTGGTTGTCAGAATTTGAATCAAGGGTGAATGGTATTCAGCGCTCCCAAATCCGAGGTGATCGCCAGTCACACGCCATTTTCAACCCCCGAGATGGCGTGCATTCTCTTTGTGGGGGGGTGTTGGCTAGTGGGGTGTCACATTCCGACAAAGAGGGGCTGAATAATTTTTTTAGGCTTTTTTAAAAACGTACCTTTCCCTTGTTCTTGGGCATGACGGCGGGGGATGACCTTCACTGGACTATGGCCTGGCTCTGTGATGGTACGGCAGACTCTTCTGGGAGTAAAGAAGAGGATAAGAAAAGGGTATCCCCGTCGTGGGCAAGGGAGGAGTGAAAGAGTGAGAGTGGGGGGGATCTGTGCCCTGCTCAAATCTTCGGCTTATTTAATCAGGCACAAAAGTGCCCGGCGCTCAGGTGGCGATTGCTGCCTTAGTGGCCTGATTTCCTTTGGGTGACGAGGTCTCACCGCCTATGTTTTGTTTGGCAGAAAAGTATCGGCGCTCACGCGACGCTCCGTGGCGGAGAAGAATACTTAACATTTTCAAAGTGAGTTCCAATTCTTTCGAACCGACTACTTACATCTATTCACCCCCCCCAAAGTTCTGTTTATCCAGAGGTCCCAAGGTTGTACCGTAACTTAAGGCTTACAGCGCTCAATCCCATCGGTTTCCGGCCCGGATGGTGATGAGCTGATTGATGTGCAAATTTCCCAGCCCTTCACTTTGGCGACCTGTCCTCATAAGACCCGCGTATTGCTAAGTTTCGATCATGAGCTGGGTCAAGAGTGCCGGCAAGGGCCTAACTCTCCGATATACACCAAAAAACGTCATTCCACCTGTTGCAGCACGTTATATGAGCGCTCCATTCCATCCTATTCGCCCCAAGATCACACATATGTACCAGACCCGAGATAAAAATACTCTTTGGTGGCGAACCTCAGTCACATCTCTTCATTCAGAGAAGAAGGTGGTGCGCTCCTGGTGTGCCCGGCGAGCGCGCAGTGCGTTTCGGCATGCGTTAGCAAAGCAAGGATTTGACGAATTCGGGCGTCCTCTACCAGACTCAAATCAACAGGAAATCTTCAAAGGCTCAATGGAGGTGATTGTCCGTATGCCACTCCGCGATATGCCACTCGCCAACCTCCTAGAAGAAGCTGAAGCTCTTTTAGAGAATATCATGGAATTACGGGAGCGAGCAAAAGCGCCAGCTCAAGCGCCAGCTCGTCCACCGAGCCGCAACTCCTCGAAAGCCTCCAACAACCTTTCAAACCGTTCCCACAAGCCCTTATGATGGATAGCTTGTATCATAACCTCATATCATGCCGCAGAACTTGGTGGCGCAAACTTGTACATTAATAGCATCGGTGCCTACTTTAGCACCAAACAGAGCATTCAGTTCGCATTGCCGTAGCCGAAATTATTGGAGATACTTCATTGGTCCTCCTCTCTCTCCAATCACCAAGTTTAGTAGTTATCGTATACTAAGTTGTGATCTTGTCGGTCGTCAAGGAACCTACCTGTAGTACTAGAGTGGGCGGGTCTTAGCTTCCGCTGCCTCGCGCCTCGCTAACTGCCGATCTGGCGGAATCAACAATCGGACCCAACTACAACTCCGCTTTCCCCATCATCACCTCCTCTATCCTCTATCATACCTCTTTACACCTCTCACCATGCTTGTCTCATTGACAGTCGGTAAGGTAGATGCAGGTGTTGCCGTTCTCTTGACTCACGACAATCGTTTGGTAAGCCCCAGCCCCCTATAGTGGCCCCCCGGAGACTCGAAATAACGCGATCTACGACTCCATGTGCAACCCCAGCGACCAATGTTTCATACTAATCAATACACACCTAGATCGAATTCCCATCTTTCCTCCTTCCCAATAACATCTCCTCTGGAAGCATTGTCGACATCAATGTTGCGCGCAATCACGCTGCTGAAGCCGCAAATGCAACCGCCTTCCAGACCCTCCAGAAACGGATCCTCAATAAGTACGGCGTGAAAGCCCCGTCGCCACCGGTTCTTCGGCTGCGGAATGCTACACAAACATCTCTTGTCCTCGAATGGGACCCTATCGACCTGGCAACAGCGTCTCTGAAATCTCTCTCCCTGTACCGCAATAACTCCAAGGCCGGGTCTATCCCGCGACCACTGGAGACACGCAGCACGAAAATCTCCGGTCTGGCTATTCATACCGAATACACCTTCCATCTGGTCTGCGCACGACGGCCGGCACCTATCAGTCTGAGAAGCTTACCTGCCGCACCCACAAGATGACCGATCTTTCTGGTATCACCGTCACTGCTGGTGTCCTCGACCCAGCCCGCAAAGAGGCCCTTGGCGCTGCTCTGGATCGCATTGGTGGTAAATTGATTGACACTGTCCGCATCGACACCACCCACTTCGTCTGCTCCGAGGGTCGCGGTCCGCAGTGGGAGAAGGCTGTGGCCTCGAACATACCGGTAGTGGTTCCCGAGTGGGTGGACGCTTGCGAGTCTGAAGGTACAATTGTTGGAGTGCGTGGCTATTATCTCAATGCCGATCCTAAGGCTCGCCAGCTGGGTGTCATGCACGGTTCTTCTCATCAGCGCACTACCTCTACCGTCTCCTTACATTCCACTGCTACCGGCCGCCCCAGTACGCAGCCCCAAGCCGCGGAACCCGTCCCCGAGCAACGTCAGCAAGCACCAGAGCAGCCTCCAGAGCAGCTCCCAGAGCCTCCTCTTACCCCATTCCCTGGAGGTGAAACGAGCAGTCAGCCACAGGCACAGGAAGAAGAAGTCGGGTCAGAAGATGAAGAGGAAGCGGTTCCCCCTCCGCCTCCTAAGGATGCAGGTGAAAGCGATGCGGACAAGCCTAAGCCTAACGGCGATTTGCATGCTCCGGAGCAAAATGGAGAGACCGGGGAAACAGAGTCTAGTGATGAAGAGGGGAACACGCATGAGGGCACGCTACCTCAAAACAGACCTGACGAGGCTGAACAACCCAGTGACACAAGCTCAAAGGGTAAGGGCAAAGAGGGAGAAAGCGACTTCAATGAGGTTCCTCTTTAGTAGCCTATCATTATCGCTTTATTACTCCTGATCCACCTTACTGAGGCTGTCTTGTTCAGCCTAGCCATGTGCTCTACGCTTATATCCAGTACAAATCCCCGACGGGGTTCGAAATGATTTCTAGGGTTTTCCGCTGAGGTCGTTATGATTTTCCTTTCTCTTTCCTACGATTGTATCTCTTTCTTTTTCTGTTTTGCTGGTTTGCCTGTACAAAATAGTGCACTCTTAATGCCGCATTAAATTACTCCTTAACTTGGACTAATGTAGTCTATTGTGTCACGCTGAATACATGAAAACCGTAACCATCGTACTTTTGTACAGCAAACCTCTTCCTAGTAGGACTAGCGGTGCTTTAGTTGCGCAAGTCTCATTCTGTAGTGTTACACAATCGCAGATATGGCTTCTATCTTGAAGCAGAAGAGACAAGGAATACTTGAAGACCCGGAAACGCAATATTACTACATGACCCCCACTCGAGACAAAATCACCCAGCCGACGGGCCGTACTTGTAGCATGGATGCCATTCAAGTCTTCTATATTTCTATCGTCATTGTTCGTAATTGGGGAATGCGCCTGCGATAATGCTTTTCAATTGCAGAGAAAAAAAGACCGCTGGAATTTCCCTTATAGTATACCCTTTTTCATGCACTTACTGTTCACTACGAACAACATCATCAATGGCTTGTGCAACGTAAACAACGTTCTTCTCGCTCACTGGCCATAAAATTAGCGTACTTCTTCCTAACCCCGTATTCAATCTGCATAGATAAATACTTACAGCCACTGATGGATGCTCGACCGGACTGGAGTAGGTAGATGTGGTACTTTTCCTTCAGAGCGTGGACTTGCTTGGGAGTAAGTCCGGTGTAGGAAAACATACCATTCTAGATTCATATGAGCGAGCTTCGAAAGATCCATACCTGAAATTCAACTTACCTGCTCAACGATATGCTTCCAAGTGCCCGGGGTCTGCAGGCGAACGAGTTCGTCATATAGCGCCTGGCGCATAGACTTGATACGCGAACTCATTACCTCCAGATCCCGGTGCCAATCGGCGACCAATTCCTCGTCATTCAGAATCTTCTTAACGATGGTCGTACCAATGCGCGGGCCCATGGAGAACTCGCCACGGATGAGATGGCACAGGTTGTTGACAATGACATCCCGAATAGCGGTCGAGCTGCGGTTGGTCACGTAGTGGAAAGCACCGACACGCTGGCCGTACAGGCCGAAGTTCTTTGAGAAGGATTGAGCCACACACATCTCCATGTCAGGCTTGTGGGTGAAGAAGTAGCGCACTGCCCACGCATCCTCCTCGAGAGACCCTGACGCGAATCCCTGGTACGCAGAGTCGAAGAATGGGAACAGCTTCTTGCGCTCGCAGAGATCGGCAATCGCAATCCATTGCTCCTTGGTGGGGTCGAGACCCGTTGGGTTGTGTGCGCACGCATGCAGCAGCACCGCATCGCCCTCCTGCGCCTCGGACTCAAGTGTGGCCATCATGCCGTCAAAGTCCAGCAAACGGGTCTCGGCATGGTAGTATGGGTACGTCTTGCGCGGGACGCCGGCCAAATCCCAGATAGTCTGGTGGTTGGCCCAGGATGGGTCGGAGAGCCACACGGTGCGAGGCTTCATGTGGTGGGCCAGAAACAGGGCGCCCAGGTGGTTGGCGCCGGTCCCGGCTACGGTTTGCACGGTGGCAACGCGGGCTTTCTCCTCTGACTGCTTGTCTCCGGCTTCGAAGCCAAACATCAGGTTCCGGGCGACCAGATTGAAGGGAATGTCGCCCTCAATGGTTGTGTATTCGTGACGCATCAGGTCGTTCTCCGCCACTAACTGTTTCTCAGCCTTCTCCACAACAGGTAGGGGCCATGGCTTCCCGTCGTCAGTTCGGTAAACGCCTACGCCCAGGCTGACTTTCTGAGGGTGTGTATCGGCGAAGTAAGCACCGTTCAGGGCGAAGATCTCGTCCGGAGGGACCGGTGCCACGTTCAGGCGAGTGGAAACTTTGGACATGGTGAATTCTGGGTGGGGAGGGAGTCAATTGAGATCGCGCGAGAGACTCGGAATGTGATCTCTGTACGGGGATTTTTCTAGAGTCGGAGGATATTCGAGTAAATATATAGCAATTCGGAACCCGATGATCAAAAAAAAGCTCGCTGAGTCAACCCGATATCGCTGTGTGAGTTTCTGGGGTTATTCTGCCCCGCGGGAACTGCCGCTTACGACCGGATCGTCATTCTCAGCCTTTCAGCCTTTCGCAGTTCGTGACGATCTTATCTGGGGGACCTTATGATATCACTACTTATCTAGCTCTTGGTATTTCCAGAAAACTACTATTCAGCATACAAAAGGAGTAATCTGGCTGCCATTGTCGTCTAAATACACAGCGCCGAATTGACATGCATCTAATTGGTGGAATTCAGCCAAGGATCATCTAGTAATTCTTTCGCCGTCTTTCTCTCCTCAGGAACCCACTGCAACATTGACCGAATGAATTGAAGGAACTGCTGTTTGTTTTGTCCGCTGAGATTTTCTTCCGATTCCTCCAAAGACATGGACGGTACGGAGACACCACCGGCACCCAGCCATTTACCTAATGGGAAAAGTTAGCTTTATTCGCATCTTAGCAACGTAGAACCGACCATTCTCATCAAAAACGTTCAGTGTTTCTTCGCTTCGTTGAAGAAAATGGAGGGGTGGAGCCCCGAGGTACGCAACCATTTCAGCAACATGATGAGAAGGAGAGTATTCCTTGTCTTCATCAAGCGCATCAAACAAATGCTTGTTTTCAAAAATATCCCAAATCTGACCTTCTTAGCTTAGACTAATCATCGTAATCATCGTTACCAGGGGATTGACTTACCATGACGCCGACATTCCATATATCCGCGCTAGAACTCCACGGCATATCAAAATGCACCTCGGGGGCTTTGTAGATCTCAGGCTGAATATTCCCTTTGTGAGAAACGCCGATCCTAGCTGCTCCAAGATCGCACAAGACAGGCTGACCCCATGGGCTATTGCTCGGCCATGGAAGCTTCCGGGAGCTGTATATCGTGCGATTACAATCGACAACTTTTCGAGGGCTCGGATTTCCTTTCTCATCCTTCTCGAATTCTGCAAGAATTGCTTCATCCTCAATGCTAAGCATGATATTCGAAGCCTTGATATCTATTATCTTGTAAATCGATGCTAAGTTATCTTCAGGTATTGAAGTCTTACCCGTATGGACAACATTTGCCTCACTGTGAAGGAAATCGAGAGCGTGCAGAAGACAGACCAAGGTCTGTTTGAGTAAAGGTTCACTCAACTTGCAAGACCTAGCCATCCACCGCAACGTATTGATCGACATATGCGTTGGCGGATGGACTAAACATCGGTAGTCTCCTTGTGGACTGGAAACATCAAATGCATCATAAAGCCCACGGATGTAGGCACTTCCTATATGTGATGAACGTAATCTGCGGAGGTGCTCGTAGACGTCCAACTCTCTAGATGAGGCTAATTTTGAATCAGCACTTGTCCTAGTGAGCACTTTGACAGCCACGTAATTATTGGCTCTGTATGTAGATTCGCCTCAGTCGGATAATAGCGTGTGCGAAACAATTTGTACTTCTCGTCGCGGCAAAGCCAAACCGTAGAATATGCCCCATAGCCAAGTTTTCCTAAGACCTTGTATCCAGAGCCAAGGACTTCACCCATATGAACAGGGTAGAACTGTTCAGGTTTGTAATAAGGAAGCGTCTCTTCTTCCATGGCGCGGACGGTGCTCATATGACGAGGTTGAGTGCCGACAGATCGCCTATGCGGGTTCCCACCTGCATTGTGGTAACTGCCCGGCAGGACCAGAATGGATGGTTTCACGGCAATGTGTGGCGGATGATCCAGTGCTTGATGATGCGCGCTTGGGGGCGGGCGACGGTCGGCTCATTTCTCGCCTCGGCCTCCACGATCGCTTGGGTCATGGTCCGCGGGATGTGATCGAACGACCGCGTGACTTGCGCGGCGACGATGTTGTCCTCTCGCATGGAGCATCGCGCTGACACGGCATAATCGACCTTCGCCGCAATGGTGGAGACGAAGAGCTGACGGGCTACCGGGTGGAAAAATCCCTGCAGCTGTTGCAGCGCCAGGAAAGCCATCATCCCCTTGTTCGCCGCCTTTCAGGACGTGCGACTTGAACCGAAGATGTTGGTTGAGAACAATCCCCGAGAACCTTGACTTCCGTCGCCGGCGCAACCATCGCTCCGTCCACGTTCAAGGGGAGCACGGACCGTTGACGCCGTCTCTGGTTCCTTGTAAAGTGTATGTATCAGAAGTCTTTTCAGTTTCTAGAGATGCCTCTGATTGCGCCGCCCATGCTAGCGCCCGCGAGATGACTTCCCGCTGCAGCGGGGCAGTGTATCCCACAAGTCACCCATTCCGCCCTTAGGCATAATAAGGCAATCTTTGAATTTGGTATCTGACAGTTGCGATGTTGGCGCTGCATTCTAGTGTATGTTCTAGCCCCCCCTAAGTATCTAGGGTCTCATATCGTGTTAGTGAAGATAGTCAGACTTCAAGGGTTCATGTAAAGCTAGTGTTTCTAGGGCTTTCCCGCCCGTAAATATATCAGCGCATATGGGGCCGTACTATTTGACCATGGTAACCCATAGACCAATCTTTGATGGATATTACGCTAGCCAGTGAATGGCCAGGTGAAGACTGACGCGTTTGTCTCATCCTTGACTAGGAAGCCTAATGGTGGACGCTGCATCGCCCCACGGGCTGTTGGCTAGCCCCCTCTCCGTGCAACTAACCAATCGGTCCGAGATCGATGATCGCTACACTGCGAGTCTCGGATACATCTAGGCGCCCGAAACCCTTCCCCTCCCGGATGAAACTCAGCCCTATACAGCTGCCCCTCAAATCTACCAAACGTACTGAGGCCATGGCCCAAGGCATGTCTCCAGCGGGTGATCCGGCATTACACGAGTTCCGGGTCCCCCAGATCATCCATCCTCTACACAACAGCATTCCTCGGGAGCTGGAGTCTCGATTTGACCCCGTGTACGTGGAATATTACAACAACTACAACGCCGGGCGCCTCCACACCCATGAAGTCCCCATTGAAGAATTTCGAAAAAACCCTGCTCGATATACCATCTCGTATGGCAGAGCCGCGGGGCCCGACATATACCGCATCACAGAGCAGAAATGTCCTGTCCAGGGCGGCGAGATTACGATTCGCATCTTCGAGCCGGCGCCCAAAGAGGATGGTAACGGCCAGATCATGAAGAGGGCTGCCTACGTCAATTTCCATGGCGGCGGGTGGGTATTCGGTGGATTGAGTACCGATCATGACTTCTGCAAGACACTGGTCCACGGTCTCGAGGGGCACCTCGTGGCATTCGATGTGGACTACCGACTCGCACCTGAGAACAAATATCCAGTCCCTCTAGATGACTGCTGGACTGCCTTTAATTGGGTAAGGGCTGCCTGGATCCACCCTCGAGAGTGACTTACTGTTACAACATACTGACCGTGGATTAAGATCCGAGATCACAAAGCGACAGAGCTTAACCTCGACCCTAGCCGTTTCGCAGTGGGCGGCGCATCGGCAGGAGGTCATCTTGCTGCAGTTACCGCTCATCTCTGTCGCGATGCCGGAATCCCTTTGCGACTACAAGTCCTGACGGTTCCCGTGTGCGACATACATAGCTCCTTCACCCCAGAAGGGGTATTTGATCCTAAGCTTACTCCATACGAATCTTACAGAGAGATGGAATATGCCCCGGCACTCCCTGCAGCACGGATGGCATATTTCCACCGCCATTTCCTCGGTGTTCCTCGCCCAGCACCTTCCAATGATGTGGGTCTCTCTATACACATGGCCCCGGGGCAAATTTGAAGCTGACCATTGCCAGGATTGGAAGATATCGCCCATGCGCGCCCCCAACTTCCATGGGCTCGCGCCGGCTCTGGTCTCCACTGCCGAGCTGGACCCTCTGCGTGATGAAGGGGAGGCATATGCAGCTAAAATGGAGGCAGCGGGCGTGCGTGTGATGATGAAGCGATACCCAGGAGTACCGCACCTTATAGCATCATTGGACGGCATCCTAGAAGGTGGACGGCAGTATAATATTGCTGTCATTGCGGCGCTTCAAGAAGAGATGGTCGAGATGGAGGATCTGTAGTGGACCAAGACTGAGTGGCGATTCCTAATTTAGCCAGTACTTTGCTCTTCGTCAAAGAGACAATCGACATCCTGCTGCTGTTGATCATTCTCCTTTGAGAAGAAGAATTTTGAGCTCCAAGATGCCTATCTCGTTTAAGGCTAGCCTTTTGAATACCGCATTCGATCCCGCTGGACTTTTAGTAACCGTAGGGAAAGGAGCGAGAGTAGGGTATTCTAGAACGCTCTCCGCAGAACATGGCCGCATAAAGGGATGGATGAACGGATGAATGTAGAGGAGTCAAGAGATGACGGTACGGCTCAAAAATACGCGTATTTTACCATATTATCTGCCCGGGAAATCGGTGCGTGTCTGTCACGCCGATACCGGGAAGATTCGGCAGTGCGGCTGTCGTCGACGATGTTTTTATCTTCTCCTGTTATTTCTTTTTGGTTCAAATAGGGAGATTCGTCCTTGTCTTTCGTGACCCTTGAAGACCCTTTGAGTAAGACCAACCGGGGCACTCTTCTTACTTAATACATCAGCGATATCACCGGTTCCACCATGAACGCCACTACCTCTCGAGCCGCGGTGCGCTCAATGGCCACCTTAGCACATGCGACCAGAGCTGCCAACCCCGCAGCCCGCAACCTTCTGTCAGGTGCTGCTCGTTCCACGGCCTTTGCTAGCCGGTCTCTGAGCTCCAATAGCCGCCTTTCCTTCCCCCGCCTTCAAGTCCTGAACAGCAAGCGAGCATTCAGCACAACCATCAAGATGGTAGGGAAGCGTTTGCGCATGAGCTCTGGACTGGACTGACAATCCTCTCTAGTCTTCTGAAACCCGTACCGAGAGCGATGCCTTCGGTGAGATCCAGGTATGTGATGAATTGGACTATATCCCCATCACCTTGATCTTCGTGCGGAGTTGCTGATTCAATGTTTGGATATAGGTCCCTGCGGACAAGTACTGGGGCGCGCAGACCCAACGGTAAGACGACCAACTACGATTCCACGAGCAACACCATGAACGACAGGATTAATGGAGTTATGAACAGTTCGCTGGGAAATTTCAACATCAATCAGCCCCAGGACCGTATGCCCGCTCCCGTGGTCAAGGCTTTCGGTATCCTGAAGGGTGCCGCCGCTACTGTGAATATGAAATACGGCCTTGGTACGTCACTTCTGTTACGATTGCGGATTGAATCAAGTCGGGTGCTGACCGTCCTAAAGACCCCAAGATTGGTGAGGCGATCAAGCAAGCCGCTGCTGAGGTTGCTGAGGGTAAGCTGCTGGACCACTTCCCTCTGGTTGTCTGGCAGACCGGCTCCGGTACCCAGTCCAACATGAACTCCAATGAGGTTATCTCCAACCGTGCCATCGAAATCCTGGGTGGTGTGATGGGCAGCAAGAAGCCCGTCCACCCCAACGACCACGTGAACATGTCCGCCTCCTCTAATGACTCTTTCCCCACCGTCATGCACATTGCCGCCGTTCTGGAGCTCGAGAACACTCTCCTGCCTTCCCTCAAGAAGCTGCGCGACGCTCTGCAGCAGAAAGTCGAGAAGTTCGAGCACCTGATCAAGATTGGTCGTACCCACTTGCAGGATGCCACTCCCCTCACTCTTGGCCAGGAGTTCTCTGGCTACGTTGCCCAGCTGGACCGCAACGTCGAGCGCATCGAGGCTACCCTGCCCCACTTGCGTCAGCTGGCCCAGGGTGGTACCGCGGTTGGTACCGGTCTGAACACCTTCAAGGGCTTCGATGAGGCCGTTGCTGCTGAGATCTCTAAGATCACTGGCACCAAATTCGTCACTGCCCCTAACAAGTTCGAGGTCTTGGCTGCCCACGACTCCATCGTTGAGGCCTCCGGTTCTCTGAACACCCTAGCCGCCTCCCTGTTCAAGATTGCCCAGGATGTCCGTTACCTCGGCTCCGGCCCTCGTTGCGGTCTGGGCGAGCTTATCCTGCCTGAGAACGAGCCTGGCTCGTCTATCATGCCCGGCAAGGTGAACCCCACCCAGTGCGAGTCCCTGACCATGATTTGCTCCCAGGTGATGGGTAACCACGTTGCTGCCACCATTGGTGGTATGAACGGCCAATTCGAGCTGAACGTCTTCAAGCCCCTCTTGATCCGCAACCTGCTGCACAGCTCGCGCATTCTCTCTGACGGCATGGACAGCTTCCGTACCCACCTTGTTGACGGTCTGGAGGCTAACGAGCCCCGTATCAACTCCCTTCTTCACGAGAGGTATGCTTCTACCCCTTGCCCTCCTCCCACAATCTCATATCCCTTGCACATTCAGTACTAACATTATTAACTAGTCTGATGCTCGTGACCTGCCTGAACCCCGTCATTGGCTACGACATGGCCTCCAAGGTTGCCAAGAACGCCCACAAGAAGGGTATCACTCTGAAGGAGAGTGCTATGGAGCTCAAGGCTCTGAGCGAGGAGGACTTTGACAAGCACGTCCGCCCCGAGCTAATGATCGCCCCCAAGGAGCACAAATAGATGAACAGTCACCGCTGTTCAACCCACCCCTACCACCATAGACTAGTAACGGTAGAGCTTGTATACTGAAAACTGAGCACCAATGTATTTTTTTTTCTGCCTTATCATCCTTGCCGAAGTGTAGCCGTAGCGGGACTTGTGTCAAAAATAGCTTTGATCGGAATGTAAAGCTTCGCTGGGAGGCCCCAGTTAAAATAAAATCCAATTATAATGACGTCTCGAGCACAGCGGAGAAGGAAACATTGAGCATCCATCTGATATCGAAAATATGCGGTGGCGGTGCTCCGGTGCTGCGGTGCCGCGGTGCCGGGTACCTGAATTTTGCAGTATTCGTCGCCATTAATAGAATCAGTCCCAGGGGCGCAGTGTCTCACTTGGGATGGGCCTTGGTTCTGACTATTTTACTTCTCTACGAGATTGTCTTTCCCCCCTTTCAATTACCTCAAGCTCTTTCTTCCAAAATATTCTTAATCTCCCAAAGCACTTGCTTTAGACCTCGGGCTGTGCAGCGATCGTCGATCTCCCTTGCGCTAAGAGAAAAAACTTCCCCCCGCGGCCGCTCAATTCGCCCCTCCCCTGACTGTCAAGTCCGATTTGATTTCCTTCTCCGATCTCCAATCCTCACTTGCCCCGACCACATTCTACTATAAACCAGTTGCCCCCTGCCCAGACGTACCACAATCACAATGGCCTCATTCGTGCCCCCATCTGTCGACAACCCGACCAAGCCAATCGTCAACTCTACGGTGACCTTGGTTAGCGACGAGACCGACGGTCCTCTCTTCCCTGCCTCTCTTATCTCCCCCGAAGTCATTTCCGTTCTCCCCAACAGACTATACCATCCGTCCGCTGCGCCGCTCCGACTATAGCCGAGGCTACCTCGATGTCCTGCGTGTGTTGACTACTGTCGGTGACATCGCCGAGGAAGAGTGGAACCAGCGCTACGACTGGATCAAGTCTCGCAATGATGAGTACTACATGCTTGTCGTTTGCGATGGTCAGGACCGTGTTGTCGGAACCGGAAGTCTGATTGTGGAGCGCAAGTTCATTCACTCGCTCGGCTTGGTGGGCCACATCGAGGATATCGCTGTTGAGGCCGGCCAGCAGGGAAAGAAGCTGGGGTTGCGCATTATCCAGGCTTTAGATCATGTTGCAGCCCAGGTCGGCTGCTATAAGGTATGCGCCATCTGCCTGGATGTTTCCGGGTCATCTCTTCTGACCTATCCTTGTTTGGGCTGTTTGTTTGTTGATGCTGACTTTGTACCCTTTAATAGAGTATCCTCGATTGCTCCGAAGCGAACGAGGGCTTCTATGTTAAGTGTGGCTTCAAGCGCGCTGGCCTAGAGATGGCCCACTACTACTAAGCACGTTGAGGCTTTCATTTTCGGGCTTTCTTGGGACTGGCGTTGGGGGATTTCATAAGATCAAGTCACCGATCAAGTCGGATAAGGCTTGCTTCTTTGCATAGCACACTAATATATGCATCACGGAGAAGGGAAAACGTGCAAGAGAGGACACATGCCCCTCCGCTTCTCTGACCATGGTACTCGGCATCCCAACGTGGCCGTCCCGGGTGTTGTATGTCGCATCTAGAGGGTCGGTCTCCTCGCGGTCAAGTCCTTTGTACTTAAGGCAGTGAGAGTGGTGGCTCCGCATTTTTGGCCTCGCATTTTTGTTCGGTTTTTGCTTCTTTTTTTTTTTTCTGTAATATCAGTCCTCTGCTTTGTGGCCAAGCAGGAATTGGCATGCACTGAGATTTGATATTTTGCGGGCTTGGACATACTAGATGTAGAATAGACGTGCTGCAATCCACTTACTATTGAGGTTTTACGAGTTAACGAACATGTTGGATATAAATTCTAACAGGTACTACTAGGAAACCTGCATATGTTGGTGGCCAGATGGATACTAGTAGCATCCTACTTATAGTATCATACTAGGCATTGCTTACTGGTAGGTGCTAGTGGGTAGTGTATATTGGGTTGCCTTCACTGATATCAAGTTGCATATGTGACTGAGGACCTAGTGAGTACCCTTGTTCCCATGCCGCAATAGAGAAAAGGCCTGCAGCAGCGCTAAGCTAGTAAGTGTAGTACTACGTGTGAAACAGCCTGGAGGATAGTTGAATTTTCAATTGATTCCTTTGTTCCCATTTTCTGCATTGCATTTATTGCATAAAAGTATTTCGAAAACAAGGTAAATTTTGGCCCGAGGCAGTCCTCAGACCGTACGGTAGCCGTAAAGGTCCATCATATCGCAACCGTCAACACAAAAGAACACCTCCAAACCAGCTAACTCTTTTTTTTTAAACGTTAAATTTAGCGGGACTTGGCGGCAACCTTGGGAGCGGAACCCTTAGCACCCTGCTTGCTGGCAATGCGCTGGGCACCACCCTTGGCGGCGTTGGCGGCGTTCTTGGCCTTCTCGGCCTTCTTCTGGCTCTCGGAGGCGGTCTTCTTCTCCTTGGCGTCCTTGATGGCCTGCTTGCGGGCGGCCTCACGGGCCTCGGGGCGCTGGGAGCGGCGCTCCTTGATCTGCTCAAGGGAAGCACCGACGATAGCACGCTGGCTCTTCACGACACGGCGAGAGCGCTTCTTGGCAACCTCCTATTTATTCACAGACCTGGTCAGCAAATTATCTTTCTCATTCTGGATAGTCCTTTTGTGACATCATGAATCCTCCTCTTGTGCCGTGGTGGGGTATTGGTGAGTCGATGTTTTAAATCGTCGTGCGTTTCGTCGAAGCGGCCTTTGCCCCCACTGATCACTTCCAACAAGAAAAAAATAACCAAAAGGGATGGATAACCGACCTCAGAGATACCCTTGCGGTGCTGGCGACGGTACAGAACAGTCCAAGCTATCCGGCGAGGGTTCTTGCGCTGGAGGAAGAGCGACTCGGACTTTCCGTTCTGGAAGCGGAAGATCTTGCTGTCGCCACGGACGTACAGCTTACCCTATAAATCAGACGTCATGTTAGTAACCGAACAGATTCTTGTGCGAAGTCCAGCATGTCCGTGAACGAGATTTCGGAGCGACCGTGTTTATGCGAGGATCGTTTTTGAAATAGTTCGCAGTGTGTTGGTGTTGGGGGTGAAAGTCGCCTGGTTCAAGTCGCCACAATTGCTCCTCGTCTCTCGCAGACAGGGACCTGGATGGATTCAAAGAACGTACCTTGCCGGGGTAGATCTTCTGGCCGCTGAAAGAGTCGTCGTAGGTACGCATCTTGACGGTGGACGATGCGCTGACGGTCGGTTGGCGTTGAGGTGTTGGTCGGAAATCGAGGTTCGCGGTAGCGCTATTACGGGGCCCAATTGTGGTGCGCCTCGCTAAAGTGCGACACGTGACCTGCACTGCCCTTTGGGGCCAGTCACCTGACGTACCTTATCGATACCGGTTTTTCTTATCGTCTTATCTTCACCATAGGCCCACTTGATGATGTATTCAGTGGTCGAACGCCGGGAACTGAATCTATACCTGCCAAAAGCCGAGATTATTCTATTTCCAGTAGCATATCATCTAGCATATAGATGCTACAAATCAGATGTACTACCTGATACCGCAAATATTTTCAAGGTAGAAGTTTATTGCTGAAGATTTGCTCGATGGTGTTTTAGAACAAGCTACCAAACGTCACAGACAGTATGGATCAACTTTCAAACCAAATGAGGAACCTTGGTGGGTAAGATCTGGGATTTTCCGGTCATGGAGGTAGGTTTTCCTAAGACTACTTCTGTTCTTAAGCATATAAGTACTTGGTAAATGTGCTACATAGATGCACCTTTGGAATAGAGCACTCAAAGTACCACTCCAGCGATACGGAGCAACTAGGTTCTATGCAACGCCCTGATAGCGATAATTTGGAAATAGAATAGATGATGCACTTAGCTCACGACAGTGAGATGAAAAACCAGAAGAACTTCGCGGTCCTAATGGTAGCAGCGCGCGGCACCCGAGAAAAGCCCTGCCTCCTCTCAGTCTTCTTTTTTTTTTTGCTTCGTGGTCACATAAAATGGAGTCTGCTTCAATTCATAGCATGTGTTTGGGTCCATTCCTTGGCGGTCTGAATAGCAGCGGGCTCATCATCCTTCCACCTCTGAGCAACATCGTTGGCCAATGGATCATCTGGGTTGGGTGCGCCCAGGAGGGCCTGAATGGAGAGGAGGATGGTTCGAATCTGGAGGGCGGGAGACCAGTTGTCTATGAGTGGAATAGTTAGCTAAGCCCACAGATATTCCCTCGTGTGTCGAATCTTACTCTTCAGGACATCCAGACAGATACGGCCAAGACGGTCGATGTTAGGGTGGTAAATTTTGGTCAGGAAGCGAATCTTCGGTGGAGTCATGGGGTAGTCATCGGGCAGGAATAGTTCAAGTCGGAATTTTCCACCTGGGGAAGTTACATGAATTAGCCCATCAGAAAAAGACAGCGGCAAAGTATGGAATACCTTCATATGGCGACTGCGCTGGACCATCGATCGAGACATCAAAGTATCGCAGGTTATCTTCATGCGGCACGGCGTTGATACCGGGAACCCTAATTTTTCATAAAGATGCTCAGAGTTGGCCAATGGTCACAATAAATAAGAGACGTTTGGTCATCACTCACGGATCGGCCACAAGGCGCTCGGTTTCCTTGACAATACGCTTGGGCAAGGCCATTTTCAAGGTCTACACCAAAGTGGAGGAAACACTCTATTGAAGGACAGGTGCTTTGACCGAGAGATGCTTCCGTCAATGACCTGGCGCGTCGCGACAACGGTGATTGGTAACGAGGGGCATCTATTAGTTATAGCGGGGTTTCCGCACCGGCCGATTATGACCACGTGATACTGAATCAAGCGCCGCCACACCGGCTGTCCGTGATGTATGAGCGAAGGGGCAAGCACCGCCACAGATACCAAACTAGCCACAGACCCCCGTCTTTGCTCTTATCGGAGCTCCTTGTCACACGCGAGTGGTTCGTTACGGCAACTTGCATGCGTTCCTCAATATGGAAATCCCGGCTCTCCCCAAGCTTCGACATTGCGTATAGCATTTCTGAACCCCTCTACACCACGGCCGTGGCCTGGAAAGGCCTGCCGACCTGCCCACGGACACGATGTCGAGTTCCATGGAGCCCCGGCCGCTCCAGTCCGCATTCGAGAGCCCAACGTTCGCCGAGGACAGCTCAATACATGTCGACCAGCCGGTCGGGTCCATGTCTATCTCGCCATGCGGGCGAGACGTGGTCCTAGGCTCCAAGGAGGGACTTCATGTCATTGACCTGGATTCGCCCTACTCTCCTCCCCGCTATCTCCCTCACCATACACCATGGGAGGTCGCCGATGTTCAGTGGTCGCCGTTCGCCTCCCGTGACTACTGGGTTATCAGCACGTCGAATCAGAAGGCGCTGGTATGGAATTTGGCCATGAAGACATGGCAAAACTCCATCGAGCATGTTCTTCATGCCCACTCGCGTGCGATTACCGATATCAACTTTTCCGCATTTCATCCCGACCTTCTCGCTACCTGTGCCGTGGATAGTTTCATACACTGCTGGGACTTGCGAACTCCGTCCCGCCCGGCCATATCCTTCTCGGACTGGTTTACTGGCGCCACGCAAGTCAAATGGAATCGTCAAGATCCCCATGTGATTGCAAGCTCCCATGATCGGTTCCTGCGCATCTGGGATGATCGCATGGGTGCTTACCCGATCCGATCAATCGAAGCGCATGGCACTAAGATTTATGGCGTAGACTGGAATCGTGTTCGGCCTAATGCGTTGACGACATGCTCACTTGACAAGACCATCAAATTCTGGGATTACAAGTCAGAAACTGATACCCCGGAGAAAATGATCCGTACTCCATTTCCTGTCTGGCGTGCTAGAAACACTCCATTTGGATGGGGTGTTCTTGCTATGCCGCAGAGAGGTAACAGTGATCTTCATCTCTACAGCCGCCGTGCTGGCGATGGAGCCAGCCCTAACGAAGACTTACCTTTGGTTCATAGTTTCCCTGGTCACAAAGGTCAAGTAAAAGAGTTTCTTTGGAGGTCTCGTGGAGGCGTAGCAGACGGCGTCGATCACAGAGAGTTCCAGCTTGTTACATGGGGAACTGATCGCGAACTTCGCTTGCACCGCATGAACCCAGAGATTCTTGAGCGTGTTGGCTATGAAAAAGGCAAGACATACATTTCCAATCGGAATATCAGCCGGCTAGGTGCAGTGTATCGGAGCTTCCGAGATGTCAATTCTGATCTGGAGGTCGAGGATCCTGAGTCAGTGTCTTCGATCAGACAGAATGCAACCACGCAGTACGCAGGTGGCCCTGGTATGAACGCTATTGTCGTTCCCCATGTCCGCTCTTGGACACGTGGAGCCCGCTTGGACTCTAGAGTTGGTATGCAGCCACGGTCCAATCTAAGAGCTGATACGAACCCTATTGCTTGGATGCGTGGCGTGAAAATTTCAGGCTGGGATATCGAAACTCTCGGTGATGAAATTAGCCACGTCGGCGACAAATTCAGTAAGGTATCATTCGAGTCAGTCGATGTTCGACAGAGGAAAATATCGATTTCCTTGCATGGGCCTTGGGGTGTAGACGGTGATTCTCTGTTCCTGAAAGTGGACATCAAATTCCCCACCAGTTACCCCAAGAGCGCGATCCCTACCTTTGCATTCCAGAAAACGGCAGCTGTCACTGATGAGCTGTCTCGAAGAATTACAGCTGACCTGCGGACGATTGCTGAGATCTGCATGTCTCAAAAACGAGGGTGCTTAGAAGGAGCTGTACGCTATCTTCTCGGCGAAAGTAGTCTGGAAGAGAGCATTGCCCTTGTTCTAGGCGAGACTGGCGAAAATGTCAAGTCGCCAGTGAATGACGAACTGGAAGGAGAATCCAGCGATGAAGATGAAGTTGGGATGACCCAGAGCCAGGAACTGGGCCTGAGCTCGGAGCTGTTACGGCCCGTTAATGCCAATGTTATGGTTCCCGTGGCCAAAGTGTGCGGCGCCTTGTGGGCGAACGATGGTCGCCTGGTCTGCTTTTTCCCTCCCAAGAGAGACAAGTCCACGGCTCTCTTTGACAATCTTGGATTCAAGGAGATGAACCGACTGTCGCGATCAGACAAGGTTTTTGAAGGGTTCGGGCGCCTGCAGACAAGCTCCCGGGACCGCGTTTGCCTGGTACGATCACAAGCACAGATGATGGCGCATCCGATTACTCCGATGATTCGTACTCCGAGACTTCTAGCTCATCAGGATCGTCAGATATCCTGTCCGGGCTACCTGCGCGTTTCCAGCCACCTCAAACTTGGCGTAGTGCCGGGAGCATTGGGATCTATCGGCCGCGATCTACTAATAATTCCCAACGGTCTGCGGGCGGGGCAGTGGTGTTGAAGCCACCAGATGCAGTACTGAATTTCGTCTCGATTCATGATTTTAGTGATATGCTACCGGTCAAGCGGGAGCTTGCGAGCAAATATCGCATCTGTGGCAAGGGGCCAGACGTATGTGCGCACAATGCTGCGGTTGCTCTTGATGCTGGTTACTATGAATTGGCTCAGATCTGGGGTCTGATCAAGCTGGTCTTGCATGTAAGGAGTACTCCTGTGTCTGCCATCGAGGCGAAAAAGGGCTTGAGGCGGGCTGTGCTCGGAGGGAATGGACTCGACCTGAAACGAGCTCTGCCAAACGAAGAACTCCCCGGGGGCCTGGCCAGCGCCGTCATTCGATGGGCCGACCATCCTCTGGGTAGTCATTGGCTTGTTCCAGCCTTATTCGATCATTTCGAGCGTATTGGAGATGTTCAGATGGTGGCTTTGCTTTCCTGTGTTCTATTCGATGCGAAACAGGAGATCCGCCCCGACAATTCGCAGGAAATGTACCCCACAGAGCCTGCTTTCTCTTTAGATTTCTCGTCAGTTGCGTCGACTGTGCAGAACACCTCTTTAGCCACTACGCCTGCTTCATATATACCGAGGGAGCCTACCCCCGGCGCTCACACTTCAACGCGTTCATCTTCAGAGATATGGCGTCCTGACTACACCCCCTTACTCTACGGGCACTACCCCTCCTAATGCCTCTCGCCCGCGAGGCATCGTGGCCGATCGGAAGATGCCGAGCCAGGATGTATCCGGAGCAGCGTCGCCGGACCAGCCGAATCAACGAGGCGGCTCTGGATTTGGGTCGGTACTTGCTTCCTCGTTATCAAAATCATTCACATTCGGCCCGTCATCGGCCTCGCCGCCCATATCCAGCCTCCTCAGGAAGAAACCAAGTCCTGGAGATAGTCCCAACACTGCCAATCTTCAGCCGGTAAGTTACCGCAGTCCTCTGTCTTATAGCTTTGATCTAACCCTATTCATATTATAGATGCAGTCGGATACTGAGAGTGAACGACTTGTTAAGCCGCGTGGTAAATCCGCACGCTTCAAAGTCACTTTCAAGAATCAAAATGCCTTTGATGGCGGCGATCCAGGCTCCAACTCGCTTCTCGATCGAAGCAAAGAAGGACTTTATCGCGCATATCGTGCTGCATACGCGGACATATTACTCATGTGGGATCTCCCCGTCCAACAAAGCGAGGTTCTTAAAATTGGACGCTTCTCCAAGGACGAGGCCACTCTCAGAGACAAGTACTACGGCGGTCAAAGCTCCAACATAACATCTCTTCCTGATCCCACGCCGATGAGCGACAGTGGCTCCGACATAGAGGGACTAGATTTCCAGCGCCATTGCGCCAACTGCGGACACGCTCTGAAGCGCTCAATCTTCGCTGCCGCACCCGCTGTCCCTGAAACCCCCTCAAAGCGTCACCGTCGAAAGCAGTCCGTCCAGCGATGTCCGAACTGCAAACCTCGGCAACCACTCCCAACCCGGCTTCCATGTGTTATATGCGGCGAGGTTGTGGACGGAATGCTAGTGCCCTGTCTGAGCTGCGGTCATGTAAGCTGTTTCGACTGCCACAGCTACTGGTTCCTCCGGGCATCGCACCGACCCCATGGCTCTCCTGATCTTCCAATCCCGGTAGCACCCCCAACATGCCCCAGTGGCTGCGGCTGCAACTGCTCTGAGCATGTAGCAGCAGATGTAGCCATGCCTGTGGGGGGAGCCAACGTCGCCCCCGCGACCAACAGTGCACAGTCCCCAATTTCATTCCCGAAGTGTCTCCCATGACAAAAAACACCGCCGTCGTCAATCTGAACCCACGGCCTTGAATCCGAGTGAAAGTACCACGACCAGGACCAGCGGCGTTGGCCAGAAGGAGGAGGATCTAGACTTATGGCAGACTTCGTCGCCTTTCGCGTCCCTTGCACGCGGCATGGGCGGTGGCCTTAGCCAGGGACTACGTAGCAAGGATGATCGGAAGAAGAACCGGTCCATTGCTATGCCTGCCGCCGGGCGCAAATAACGCACACATACGGGGTTTTTTTTAGGCGAAACAAGGAGCGTTATGGCTTCATTTTGATCTGTTATGATATCCATGTGTCGTATTTTCCAACGGGCGTTCGGGTTCTGAACTTGAAGGATCAAGATACCATTTGCATAATAGTTTACCTGAACATCATTATATCCTCTTCGTACCATACTTCTACAAGGCACATCGAATGTCGATTCAGTTCCTCGAGAAGGGCACATTCGCCTCATCTACGAAACCCAGCAGTGGGATATTCACAAGCCTGCACGGGTTGTACTGCGTAGGACCGCTGCCCCGCTCCTTGCAGCCCCGCACATCGCAGATCCAAGGCGGACACAGTCCTCGGGGACAGACCCCTTGCGTGTCCAGTCCTGCCAATCATGGGAAACGCCAACAACCTAAGCCTCCCACTAACGGCTGTTCTATGCCCCTTTCGAGCCTTATCAATCTATACCATGGCATACCTGTTCTACTCAGATGTTTACTACTAAGCGAGTCACGAAGTGTAAGTGTCATAGCTTCATTAGGATGTATTTCTCTCTATGCTGGATAAGAGCTACAAGGAACAATCCCGGAGCGGGGAATCTACTAACGTGCCACTTTTTCCCAAGCTTTTAAAGCTTTGAAAGTTTCTTTTCGATCACCCGTCCAAGGTCGCCAGATAGAGATGCCGCGCTAGTCTAATTATTCTATGTGGTATCGCAAGCCTACAGCTGCTTGTAGACGTGATCGGCGCTGGTGACCTCGAGAACGTTCTTCTCACGCTCCTTAGCGGCGTAGGTGACCTTGCCGTGGTCGATGACGAGGGCGTAACGGTAAGTACGGCCCTCAGCGTCAGCCCAGCCGATGCTCTTGGAGAACTTGGCATCGGGGTCGGAGAGGAAGAGCTGCGTGTGGTTAGTGGTTTGTATGGACTAGGAGAGTCATAAAGGGGGGAGGGCTGCATACAATGTCATCACCGGTCACACCGTTGGCCTTGCCCCAGGCGCTCATAACAAAGGCATCGTTGTAAGCGAGGACGGCAACCTGGTCGACACCCTTGGCGCGCAGCTCGGGGAGCTTCTGAATGTACTCGGGGACGTGGTTGGCGGAGCAAACGGGGGTGAAGGCACCTGCAGGACAGTAGCGGTCAGCACGAGCACCTTTGGAGCAAGAACTGCAGAGGGGTAAAGACTGGCGGTGGACTTACCGGGGAGGGCGAAGAGGATGACCTTCTTGTCGGCCCACTCCTTAGAGGCGAAGTAGTTGACGGGGATACCGCAGGAGGTGATCTCGCTGCTCTCCTCGGACCAGGGGATGTAGCTGAGGGAATTGGGTCAATTTCGGCTCTTGGACTCGGGATTGAGGGGGTAGAGTGACGGGATCAAGGGACTGAGGTGCGGGAATGAGAGAGTCAATGAGTACTTACGAGAAGACAACGTTGTCGGGGAAGCTGTCGCCGGCCTTGAGAGACATGATGGACGAGTTTGTGGGGGATTAAGGTATTAAGGGAAGAAAAGATGGGAAGGAGGGAAGGAGGGAAGGGAGGCGGGATAGCAAAGATAAGTATTTAAGATTAAGTGGGCATACGACCAAAACGCCCAACGGGGCCCACCGACCAGGGACACAAATCCATCAAACCACGGCGCAGAGGGCTTACACATATCGGCCCATCGGCCCATCGGGATGCTCTTCCTATGACGAATGGCGCGCTTGAATGGGACTGAGGTGATCCCAAGTAGAAAGATACCGAAGCACATGGATTAGCAAGAAAGACCGAACTGGAACTGCCCCTCGGCGGGGGAGCTCGCCCCTGATTGGCTGGGACCTGCTGGGCCCCACTGGGACCCGCTGGGATGTTGATGCCTGGGGGTACCTTGGATGCCTGAGACTCCCCTCGGGTCCCCGTTACCTCAGCTCAGTGCCTGACGATAAGGGCCACCAAGGCATGTTCAGGCCTGTTCAGGCCTAGCATGACCCTGGCCTCAAAATCGTCTAATTTGATTCTGGCAGTTGCCTTCGACTCACTTGGCCGGGGCTCAGTTCCCGGAATCGCTTACCATGGGTCTTTCCCTTTGGTAGGCCTGGGGTAGACTGAACCTGAATGCTGAGAATATTCTAGAATACTTCCTTATTGCGTTTATCTATGAATTCCAGTCGACAAGACCAGTCTCACGTCAGTGTATACACATACTGCACCCAGACATCAAATTGAACACCATTCCTCATTGTAACTCGTTGGGACAGCTAATGTGGACCATCCGCGATCCCTGTACAGAGTAGGAAGTAGCCAACTCCACAAGTCTTAAAATTGCCCCGCATCGAGTATCCCATCGGTCAAATTGCCGAATTCATGGTACATAGTGGGCTTCCTTGAGGCTGGTCGTCCTGAAGCTATTCTTATTGTAAGCATGGTTCACAGCATTCTAACATGCCAAGGTCAAAAATCGGACCCAATTGGCATTGGCACAGAATAAATGACCGAAGCTGTTAGCTGCATCTTGTGGTTCCTAGTTAGCCGGGGCTTTTCCAGATCTGGCATGCACTTGTGAGATATGGCCTGCGGGCTTATGGGACCTCGGGGATTTATTCGACGTGTCAATTTTACCCGGGGCTCTTGAAGCAGTTTATTTCATAGTTTCCTGGAACCATTGAACCTCAGTTAGGCAAGTGTTGGATACAAGGGAGCTTGTGGAGGATAGTCGAATCATCCAGAGATACTCTTTCTTGGATAATAGTAGGTTGAAAACTATCATCAAGGATACTATGCGCTAGTATCAACTCATACTCCTTGGTCCTGATATACTATCGTCAGCTTGACCTGAAGCGGATCATTCTTCGGGTAGGACAGCGCAGCTATGCTTGTAAGGTTGCTGGCCACGCTATATTAATAACGACGCTGGCAGGACCTGGCGGCTCTCGGGAGCTGTTCTCAATGTCATTGCGGTTTAATCAGTGGGAATCCCTACTGTGGCTGCAGAGCGGTGCCAGTAGTGTGGGTCTGGTTTCAATTCGTCTCGGCTGACCAAGTTGTTTGCTTACAATATCACCAGCGAGGACCAGAGCGACAATACGTGTATGGCAGTATGTTGATACCTAGTCCATGGCGTATAGCTTTGGAGCCGTACTGTCAGTACTAATAGAAATAGCATGCTCATTCCAGCCCAAGTAACTGAAATGAAATTTAACTTTGTAATATACGAGCGTCAAATTCGTAAATGTTAGCTGTACATATGCAGACCAAAAGATATTACAGAGTCTAGTGATTGCTAGGGTACTTGAATCCGGTCTGGGGGAAAAATTCTTCCTTGATGAGACGAGGGCTGGTGAACCGGCGAAGAGAGTCAGGGCTTCCAGCCTTGTCGTTGGTGCCACTGGCACGGGCACCACCAAATGACTGTTGGCCAATAAGAGCCGCAGTGGTCTTGCAGTCTAGAGAGGGAATAGTTAGTGTCTTTTGACTTGACGATAAATTGTCAAGACTTACTGATATAGAAGTTTCCAGCCGAGTAGCGAAGAGTGTCTTCGGCCTCGCGGATGGCGCGTCGGTCGGTAGCAAAGACTGCTCCGGTCAAAGCGAAGCCACCGCCCCCCTGGTCAACCTTCTTCAAAGTGCTGGGCCATTCTCCGTCAGGGTAGACGTGGACGGCAAGGACGGGACCGAAGATCTCTTCGTGGAACAGAGCGTGGTCGTGGGAGTCCACTTGGTAGACAGTAGGATGGACGAAGAACCCAACCGAATCATCGTAGGTACCACCCGCAATAAGCTTGACGGATGGGTCAGCGTTGCTGCGGTCGATAATACCCTTGATCTTGTTGAAGGAGTGGCGATGGATGACGGGACCCATGAAGGCTTCAAGGTCCTTGTCGGGGCTTCCGATGGTGATCTCTTGTATGCCTTGCTTCAGGCTGGTGAGAAATTCCTCGGCGCGGGACTCGGGAACGTACACGCGAGAGGTGGCAGAGCACTTTTGTCCCTGGTACTCGAAAGAGCCGCGGATAGTGTGGTTCACAGCGCTGGGGATATCGGCAGTGGGGTGAAGGAGGTGGAAGTTCTTGCCGCTGGTCTCAGCAACCACACGAGGGAACTCGCGGTAGGTCTTGTTAGCGACACCCTCGCCAATCTTGCCATACAGAGAGCGGAAGACATCGGATGAGCCAATAAAGTTCAATCCAGCGAATTCCCGATGGGACAGGGCCACATCGGTGATGGTCTCGGGGTCACCCGTGACGAACTGAATCACGTTAGGAGGGAGGCCAGCCTCAAGCAAGATACTGTAAACGAGCTGGCTGGCGTAGACGTTGGAGGGAGAGGGCTTCCAGAGCACCACATTACCCAGCAGAGCTGGACCTGAGATCAGGTTCCCACCAATAGCCGTGAAGTTGAATGGCGAAATGGCGTAGATGAATCCCTCCAGAGGACGATAGTCCAAGCGACTCCACATGCCATCACTGCCACGATCTGGTTGTTTGTTCAGAATTTCACCGGCGAAGTTGCAGTTGAGACGGAAGAAGTCAGCCAATTCGGCGGCCGCATCAATCTCTGCTTGCCAGATATTCTTGCCCTGGCCCAGCATGGTGGCAGCAATTAAGTCATATCGATATTTTCCAGTAGCCAGCTCGGCGGCCTTGAGGAAGATAGCGGCACGGTCCACGAAGGGCGTCTCCTCCCAGCCTTTCTTCACTTCGAGTGCAGATTCAATGGCAACTTGTGTTTGTTCCTGGGTCGCAAGCGGATAGTTTGTGAAGACTGTTCCATGTTCGGCGGGCAAAGGCTGGTCCCAGGACTCAATGCTCCTCTGTGCTTGTCCGTTGTAGTACAGGTTGCTCTGCACGGGGAGCCGCGATCGGAGCTTCTTCAGGGCGACCTCAAGTTTGTTACGCTCTTCGGAACCTCGAGTGAAAGCAGGCTAACTGATTGTTATTATTCAGTTGTCGCAAGACCCATAATTTACGAGCCTCAAGCTACTTACGTTGGGCTCATTGCGGGGGTCGGGGAGACGGAAAGGCGCCGTGGCTTTCGCACGAGTCTGAATCGATGGCCTCGCCGTGTTGAAGCGCAATCGAGAAGCGAAAGCGTGCGATGAACGCAGGTTCAGAAGGGAGGTGGAAGCCATGTCCGCGAATATGACGGGAACAGCTTTAGGTACTCAGGACTTTAAATGAACGGTCGTGTGTATCTTGACCCTTTTTTGCCCTGGTAACATCGGGCCCTTATCCGACTGCCTTGGCCAGGAAGTGGCCAGATACCCCGCCATGTTAGTATTGGAGATCTGAGCAACAATAGCCAGGTGGGGAACAAGACAGTGCTGTACCAGCTCTAGGTGAGATTTGAGACGCAGAGTCGGGCGATGCACCCGATGCCAGTTCCCCACATCGCGATACCGGAATCCGGGGCGAGCTCGGTTGGGATACAGAATGCGTTACCTAGTAGAGACAGGTTTTTTCCAAGTGAAAGAAACAAAAAAAGGTGGAAGCTATGGACGACGCTTGACTTTTATTTGTATTCGTGATGAGCCTTAAGGCTAATATGCAAAAATGAACATACATGCGACAAGATGCGATCCCAGTGGTAGACAGACTGGTACACTCGCAACTATAAAAAAAGTAGCTCCGTCATATTTATTAGTAGCTCCGTTCGTTTATCGCCTTGTATCATTCACATGCGACTGAGTCTCCATCAAACGAGCAAGCGTCACTGCTTCTCGAAGAGCTCGTCCAACGTGGCCTCGAACTGCCCCTTCTTCCAAAACCATCAAGCCGCCAATGGTACACCCCTCTGGCGAAGTCCCCTGGTCTCTAAGAATAGAAGGATGCACACCACTCTGAAGCATGGTGGCTGTACCTTGCATGGACTGGAATATCATAGTGCCTGCCAGATCTCGGGGAACGCCGACTGCCACGGCCGCGTCGATTAATGCATCGCAGATGACGGCGAAGAATGCAGGGGTCGAGCCCCCGACTGCCGTAGTCGCGTTCATGAGCCTCGGCTCAATTTGAACAGCGCGGCCGATCCTTTCGAAAATCGCTGTCGTGATTTGAAGGTACCTCTCTGGAACCGCGGGCGCAGAGACCTCGATCGCCGTGAGGGACTGCGAAACTTGCGCTGCGATGTCGGGAAGAGTTCGCACCACCCATGCTCGGCCAGAAGTGTTTCTTTCTGTTGTCGCGCTGCCGTAGATGGTCTCCTCGAGCTTCTGTCGGGTCCAACCCGCCGCAATGCTGATCAGGAGCTTGTTCGTCAGCGCCTCTCGCAGTCCGTCCTGCTTCAGCACTTTCTCGATATCGGCGGGATCAACACCCAAGATGATCACGTCTGATTCTTGAACGGCTTTCACATTGTTGCTTCGAGAAATCTGCAATCGTTGTTTCTCGGCACTAAATCGCGACAATAGCTTTTCCTCCGACTGCGGGCTGCGAACTGTTGCGATATACCGCGTGAACAAAGGCTGCTCGGCTTCTTTGAGCAAGCTCCCTAGAATGGCCCCGCCCAAGTTACCTATCATGAATTAGTCCAAAAGCTGTGCCATTGCGACAGACACGCACCACAGCCGAGCAAGCACAGTGTTGAGCTCTGGTTCGCCATAATTACCGAATTGATATAAGAGAAACAGCATCCGCCGACCTAAGGGAGTTCGAACTAATCCAGCCCCAAAAATCGCGTCAGGAAAATAGCTAAATCCGGCTCGAGGACCCCTCTATCGGCAAAGCATCCGTAGTGAAGCGGGGAAGCCCAAGTCTGTAGATTGCAGTGGAACTCCACTGTCGGAAGGCCTCCCGCTGATAAAAGCATACAGGCCATGTTTACCTGGAATGGGGTATATATGCCCCGAATGGCGGCAAAATTCGAAGATTTCATATGCTAGTTAAATCTCAACATGGGCATCTCCAAGTCTGATCCGATCATCATCGTAGGGGGCGGTGCCTTTGGCCTCTCATCGGCTCTCCACCTCACACAGAAGGGCTATACCAATGTCTCGGTGTTTGAGAAGGACGATAACATTCCCCCTCGGTTCTCTGCTGCCAATGACTTGAACAAGATTGTGCGGGCAGAATACGAAGATGAATTCTATACAGAGCTCACGATCGTACGGTTCGCTCATATCGCTTCACGATCTCTAACTGAGTTCACGATGCTGATAGTCGCCACTCTAGAAGGCAATTGATGCTTGGAAGACCCCGTTATTCGCTCCTCATTTCCATCAGGTCGGCTTCTTACATTGTGTATCCGGTGGTGCACCAGAGAAAGCCGTCGCTACGTTGAGCCGATTCCGCGCCTCCGCCGAAAAAGCACCCAAAGATGAAGGACCAGATCGTTCCCCTCGACAACCAGGCAGATATCCGCACAGCGGCTTGGCAGTTGCAGGGCGCTTTACCTGGATGGAGCGGCTACCTGAATCGCTTCGATGGCTACGCCCACTCCGGCAACGCCCTGGCGGGCGTGTACCGTGCTGTTCAAGCGGCGGGCGTTCGATTCTTCCTGGGCGAGCAAGGCACCGTCGACGAGATCACGCACGTGAGCACCGTCAACTGCCGCAAGGCTGCTGGCGTCCGGACCAAGAACGGCCGCTTCCACCCCTCCGCGCTGGTTGTTGTAGCGGTTGGTGCGGCGGCCGCTCGCCTCGTCCCTGAGATTGGCAAGGAGGTCGTCGCGAAGTCGTGGTCTGTTGCTCATGTTCACCTGACCAATGACGAGACCTCTGCCTTGCGCGGCATCCCCGTCACTTACGCTCGTGATCTGGGCTTCTTCTTTGAGCCCGACCCCAAGACAAACCTGCTCAAGCTTTGCCCTATGGGCGGTGGTTATATCAACACTGATCCGAAGACCGGTGTCTCACATGCGCCCCTGACTTTGAGCGAGAGCGCGTTCTTGCCAGAAGAGGATGAGAAGCGGCTTCGTCGATTGCTGGCCCAAACTCTCCCTTCTCTGGCCGATCGGCCCTTTGTAAAAAGCTCGTTGTGCTGGTTCGCGGATACGGATGATTCTGACTTCATCGTTGATTACGTTCCGAATACGTCGGAATCTATCGTTCTCCTTTCTGGAGACTCAGGTCATGCCTTCAAGATGTTCCCGATCCTGGGCTCCTTCATCACTAATCTCTTGGAGGCTCCAGATAACGTCCAGCGCATTACGAGGTGGCGCTGGAAACAGCCTAAGGCTAATGCGAAGGATGACTGGGGTGGCGATGTGAGCTGGCGGATTGGACAATCTAAGGAGCTGTCAGCTATCCTCCCGTCGAAGGCTGCAAAGCTATAATTGAGTGCATAGACAGAATTCCTTCCAGCGCAAATTAAGGATTATTATTTCGATCTGATGTCGTATTGGAACAGCCAAGTATTGCAAGGCCAGTGTATGTAGATAAGTTTTGACGTCGGTATGATAACTTTGGAGCTTTACAGACTCGGGATGACACGCACCTCTTAAGTGAAAGTTCATAATATAATTGCCTGAACATGCTCATTATGCGGCCAATGTTGATCTGATCCTTTAGTTGCGTCATATTATGTACTAGTACAATCCAATTTGTAAACCACCCGGAAATCCAAGTTCATCTGTTCATGTCACATTACCAGATGCTATGTTCGATCATTGCATTTGACATCCACTCCGTGTCGATGCTCTCAATCGACTCTGCCACCGCCATGATCTGGGCAGCAGTGAGCCCAGTTAAACTCCCATCGTCGTCCATTGGGGGACCGGGATCAGGTAGGACATCCTGTGGGAGGCTTTGCAATGCGGGTGGAAAGGAACCTGCAAGTTGAGTGGAAGTCGGAGGATTCAAGACCTCGTTCGGGAATGAGGGGAGGGAAACCGGCGCAGAAAGGCAGTGTGGGGGTTGTTCGGACAAGCAACTTAGCAATTCATCCAGAAGCTGGAGCTCTGATCTTCTGAACTTGGCGATTCGATTCCCGTGTTCGATCATTTCTTCGAATATTGCGTAGGCTTTTTCAAGCCATATGGGGTATGCCCAGCGTGTGTCGATTGCGGGGCCTAGGAGAAGGACGACTGTTGATACGAAGAGGGAGTCGAGGTCGAAGGGGAGGAAGGTTTCTGAGGCGAGTTAGTCCCAAGGGCTCATTGTGGAAATCGTGTAGTGTCCTTACCTAAGAGGCCCTCGGGTTGAAGGCTGTTTAAAATATTGATCATCTGGACTGAAGAATCCATGCACATCTGAATCAAGTTGCGCACGTTTCTGGACGGTTTAATGGCATCGATGCAGTTTGCCGGGGTTTCGAAGCGGATTTTCAGGAAACAAAAGAGTAGCGGGCGGGTTGCCAGAACGATGCACTGGTGATACTGAAGATGAAGGTATGCCGCCGTTCTTGAAACGCCACTGTTTGCTGAGTCAAGATGTAAAGGAAATGCCTGGTGGAGGTCGTCGGATTGGCACGCAATGCCTGCCAGAGCCGATTTCGTACTTAAAAGGAAGTTTCGCTTGAGGCGTCCATCGATAGCGTAGACAGCTAGTCGTATCATCAGCAATCATCACAAAGGCTTTGCCATCCAAGTTCTTACTGCTGCTAATTTCTGCAATGATTCGTGATAGTTTGATATGCATGTTGATTGCAGCTGTCCGCTGCACTGATCCGATGAATGAGGGCAACAGGGTGTTGGCATGGTCGTCGTTGATAGACTGAGGAAGCCCCATTAAGGAAGTCATCTCCCGATCCAGGGTGTATACTGTCCACCAGATCTTGCGACACCTCTGCACCATAGCCTCTCCAAGGTACTCGACCGGCATTTGGGTATGCATTCCCTCCGCCATTGCCATCCTCATGGCTGACCCGATCTGTCAAAAGGGAAAAAAAAGTCAGTTTTGCACTTTTTTGATTTAAGAATGATTTCCCTACATAAACATGAGCAGATGATCTGCAATCGATAGCATGCAAGTAGAGGGCGATACAGCATAATATCTCGCACGACTCAATCGGTTCCTGGTGGAGGACGGTGATATCGGGTAAGAGGCCAAGGGCCTTGACAAAGAAGTCGGCACCTGGCGGCCGGTTCCCTTGAGGCTTATGCTGCACAAACCCCTTGGCAAAAGCCAGCATTAATAGAAAGTGAATGTACCATAGGCTCTCGGTCGCCTTTAGCTGAGGCTCAGGCTGGGCGTAGAACTCTGCTAAGCCCCCCATGAAAGCAGACTCTTCAAAAAGGTGATACAGCTGCCCGCAGCGAAATTTCACGGTGTTGATGAGGTACATAGCATGGTCGTGAGTGGGCACCGATACACCATCCGGTCCCTGGGTTCCTCGAAGTCCATCCCAGCCAAGGTCGTATGCTGTGCCATCGAATAGTAGAGCACCTGTGGGGAGGGGCTCTTGGTAGATGTGTTCATGGGTTAGACTCAGGATGCGGCGGGTGAACGACCAGTTCGACGAGGTGCCTAAATAGACTAATAGCGTGTTAGAAATGTTCCTCCTCAACTGCCATTGGTCTCACGTACAAGTCCGCCCATTTTCGGTTGACATAAAGGCCGGAGGTCCTGACGACAATGGGTTGGTCAAGCCGGATGCCGGGTCTTCGAGCTCATAATGTAGATGAGAATCATCTCCTGGGTCGACGGGAGAGGATTTATGAATAGGCTCTGGAATCCCTTCTGCTAGGTCGCTGTGTTCTTTTGATGCTATTTGGCATGATTAGCCTCATCCGAGAAGCACGTAAGGCCAAGACTGTTTGCACCGACCAGGTGATCTCTCATCGGTATATCCAGGGCCGAAGTGGACAGGACCCCGATCATGATGCTGCAAACTTGCTAGCTTCTTCTGTAGTTCTGCTAAGTACCTTGGCCTTGTTAGATGCTTCTGCCGCCGAGGTAGGGATTTTGCAGCATGGTCTGGTTCTTACCCTTTGGTGACTAGAACCTTTTGGTCGCGATCATCGAAAATGCAAGTCAGCTTACGCTTCTTGCAGCCATCGCACGGCTGTGAGCCCGAGCATTTAATTTTTTGCCTGCGGCACCGAGTGCACCTGAATCATATCAGAAATAGCCCCGGATGTGGCCTGCTCGGTACATACGCATTCAAGGATCGCTTTGCTACCTTCGCACTATTTCCCGCCATGTTTGTAACAGATAATCGATATCGGATGATGTACCGGATGGCCAGCGACAGATCAGACTGCGAAGAAACGCGGGGCAAGCCAGGTGGAGTCGCTTGTGCTGCCTTGATAACGCTTGGTTCGCCCGATGGATGAGTTGATAAACCCTATCTCACGCCATTTTCTGATATGAGAGAGGAGCTCGTGACATCGCCATACACAGTTATTTCCGACTCTTCGGTTCGTGGTCTCTACGGTGCAGTTCTCTCCTATCGCCTTTCCACCGCCGGTTCTATGGGGTACCCGTCTCGCATTCATGGGACTCAAAAGACAAGACTTATCGAGAAGCAATGCAATTGCAGAGAGCTAGATCTCGACTTCCATTGCTAAGCCAAGCCTTGCATGTCCGACCCCATTCGGGAAAGGAACCCAGACAGTTTTCCGAAACGGGCGCGTTTCTTCCCAGATTTGGATAAACCACACGTTCCCCGCTTAAATTAGGTGCCGCTCAGCCTTAATTCGCTCGGGGGTGGAACCCGATCGACCCACTGCGATAGAGGCATCACGGGAGGCCTCCCGATCCTACACTGATAGACGGAGTTCGGTCGATTTACGGAAGACTAGTAGATTAGCAAGGGAGGTATGACGGCCTCTGCAGAGCGAAACCTTCTCGGAAGTCCTTGAAGGTCCCGTTCTGCCTTCTAGTACGTATAAAGACAGCCCTGCCCAAGCAGGCAGACCTGGGAGCGCATGTATATCCAAGAGCGGCATGGAGACCTTGAGATTGTTTGGCGTGATATCTAGGGCTATCTTCTTTATTATTACCAGTGCTGCTCAGTGATAGGCACCTCATTCACATCCACTCCATCCACAAACCAGCGCCCTTCGCCGTTACCATCGGGGCCCAGAACAATATCGTTGCCACTCATCATGCGCTTCCGCATCTTACCTGTCTCCCGGTCGAACGTCCAATCTTCCAGTCCGTAGCAACGCTTCCAGCGCATGCTATCGTGCGCGTCTTGGTATTCATACCAAAACTGGACAGCGATTCGATTGTCCGTGAAAGCGAACAGCTCCTTACGTAGCTTGTAATTTCGCTCGCGCTCCCACTTGGCTGTGAGAAACTTCGTGATAGCTTCGGTGCCAGAGAAGAACGAATCCCGATTCCGCCAGATACTGGTTGGTGTATATGCCTGGGCGATTCGAGGAGGATCTCTGCGCAGATGTTAGAGCCGTTGCTACGTCATTGCCGGTTCGTCGCATAGGACGCTGGACAAATGGGAGACCGGAGTCCTTGGGGGGCCAAAATATTCCAAAGACGGCCTAGGCGCACCCCAGGACTCTCCCACAGACAAACATGGAGTGTAGGAATTCAAGGGATGCGTAGCCAGCGCCCCTTCTTGCGACCACATGGTTGATCCTGGTGACGTCACGGATTAAATAGGACTTACTGGGAGTTCCACATGTCCTGGGCTGCCTTGACCTTCTTACGAGCAGCTTCCTCGGTGAAAGGGGGCTTGATGTCTGCCATGTTGACGCGGTGGTAGAGTGCTAGACTATGAGGGTAGAGTTGAATCTGGGTGCGTAGTCCGGTGTGACTGCGTGGAGACACAGAGAAACGCGGCATTTTATGTTCCCAGCAACAGGTTACTCATTCAGGTGACTCCGTATGACAATGGTTCATGCTCGGAAGTACATTCTCTCACCATAAAATATTGGCCTTTCGTCTTGACTTCAGCTCCCAGCTCTAGAGGGGAGCGTCTGTACTAGCGCTTATTGTTATCTCAACGAGGCTCCACTTGTCAAGTGCCCGAGGGAAGGAGTCCGCGGTGCCGGGACGAAGCTATAATGCACAAATGATGACAGCAGACTCCGCGGGTGGCGGGGTCAAGGCCAGATTACAGATAGAGAATTCAAAAGTGCTGTGTTCAACAGTAGTAGCCTCTGTGCAGCCTCACGCTCTTTTTGGAGGAGAGCTCGTTGCTGCAGGCAATAGCTCCTCTCCCACTGGCCAAGCTCCCCTTGCATATTTCTTTCCAATTCCTGCGACCTCCACCAGTACAACTCGTTATGTGAGTACCAATGGCCGCTGAGGCGACACTGGTTCATCCAAACCGGATCAGCAGGCCAAGGGACGCTGCCCAGACATCGAATCACCTCGAACACGATCAGGTTTTCTGCGGGCGCCATCGACTTGAAAATAAATGTTTCGCACCTCGAACAGACTTTGGTCGTTTTGTCGGTGCATGCAAGGGACTGTAGATCCTGATGCGGGCACGCGAAGATGGGCTCCGCTAGAACATGAGCGTCCATCGAACAATCAGGCAGAGTATACCGCAGGATAGCCTCAAGTTCACCTGAGGTGTTGATTCTCAGATGAACCACGACACTGGCTTCGTCCCGCAATCTGCCGTTCCTTGCGCAGGAGTGGCCGAGAGACGCCTCCCCATTCACAAAAAAGCAATTGAAAGGGCCGAATTCATTTCTGTCCGGCCTAACAGCGGACTTGAGCCGCTCGAAGATCCTTTCCCGATCGCGGACCGTCAGGGCGATGCAGGGACAAAGATCAACAATTCCAGCGAAATCAGTACACGCCCTCTGCGAAGGAGGCCGCCGAAGAGAAACTTTCCTGAATTCTCTCCGTGGATGGAGCATAAGACATTCCGCACAGTATGACCACTGTCGGTTTTCTAGTCGAAGAAGCAATTGGTTTCGAGGCACGTCGGGGCTGTTCACACATAGGATGGGGATTCGGAGATCCAAAAGTCGAGGGAACTCAAGGTCCTTATTTTCTCTGCTCTCTTTGAGCATAAGGTAGAGCTTTTTGCAACTAAGGGATAGACAGACTTGATCTACCAGCGAGACGTACTCGCCGATTGCGATCAAAACTGCCTTATCCAGGTATAGTAAAAGGCATGGCTTTTGTGGTTTCGGAGGGCGGGTTGGGAGGGCTGAATGGAGCCACTTGAGGTGCCAGTGCTTCAAGCTATTCAGGTGGGCATGACTGAGTCGCGGCATACTTGGAGTTGCACGCCGTGGCGAGGCTAGGACAGCTGAAGTGTGATGTGATCCTTGAATCGAACATTCAAGTCGAAGTAGCCCAATAAAGTTTGGGAAGACTTTTTCTACAAGCTATGTCTTCGTGACGTTTCTCCTAGTAATTCAAATGGGCTTGGATTCTCCCCGTGGTTGCAATGTATATTAGGCAAAGTTTGCGTGAAGACGTGGGATCGCGCCTACCGACCACGGATCGATGCATCTGGGGGTCACAATGGCGTGTCATTGGGAAGGACCAATATAATAAAATATATCAAGCGATAGGTACATGGCGTCATACGTGGACTTCAAACCGTCCGGGGTTCAAAATTCGAAAATCCTGTGATGGTAGAGACGGATATATATCTGTGCTGTCTACAGCAGGGAGACTGCCTCACACTCCGACACGGAGCCAGAACGTTGATACTAGTCTAACGCTATTTCTATTCTCCGATTGAAAATAAAGCCTACTACCTAGGTACAAATAGATCTGACAGTTAAGCACTTAAAGCACCAATAACCAAGATAGACATGTGCTAACAGGTTCAAGCTGACTCTCAAGCCAGGTGATGCGCAGATGCGTGGGGGCTGAGACACTTCAGCACAATACCGTTCCAAGGTTAAGTCCGGAGTCAAACATGGAAGAAAAACTGGAAATCTGATATCAGAAATAGATGCGACATTTACACAGTAGATTTGGAGAGGCCTCCAGGGGACTGGAATTCCCAAGGGGGATTGGCCTCTGCCCTTGGGAAGGCCAGAAGATCCCGATAAGCAGCTACTAGTATTAGGACGACATTGCGCCCCTCCCCCCTGCCGACCTGGTGGAATGCATCAACCGGAGTTCGTGGCCCCGACCAAACAGAAATCAAGATAATTCATTGATTTGACTTAAGAAAATCGGCGCTTAATCACCGGGTGTTTATGAGGCCCACCTGTGGAGTATATAGCAAGTCAACACAAACACGCCTCGGGGCCCAGCTGCAAGAGCTCCTTAACACCTATACTTTGAGACGTTTATTTATAGAAATCGAAAGCCTCGGCCATTGAGTTAGGAAGTAGTTAGAAAGAAGTACTTAGAGGGGTGTAGGTGGTGGTTTTACTCGGTCGTTGTGGGCAGAAAGTGTGGTGGTAACATTCCAACTCATATCCAAGAGGAATCTCGCGAGTTTCCATTCCACAAACACAGTCGGGCTCAAGCATGCCAATCAAAATCTCCTCCAGCTCTCGCTGCATTTGATCGCTCTTCTTGTTCGACGACTTTCGATTCCTGCCGACCTTTTGCCAACACGGGTATACAGCTCCCGCAACGCCTTTCACTCGCTTCTCTGACCCCGCGATGCTTCACTAATCTGCCCCCTGTCGTTCTTTAATTTTCTCTGTGCTTGAGTCACTCTTTAATTTGGGTTCCATCACTTTCTCATCCAGGAACCGCCGTTTTCCCATTTCATCCTGCCGTGAGTCGAGACGCGCCTATCCCGTAACAAACGCTAACGGTGATGACAGTGTGAACACTACCGCGCAGCTATCTCTCGTGAATTGCTTTGGTGTGCGTTTTCTATGCAACAGTGAATCCTGGGTATCCGAAACCCACTATGGACTTGATGGACCTCGACGACCCTCTTCGGAGGCGTCAGCCATTTTCAGATGCGTCCAGCAGGGTGAACTATTCCAAGTCCCCAAGAGTCGAAACCCCACGCGTCCGAGTCGAGGAAGTCGACCAGCTGAAGACGCCAGATCGAATGTCCTTCGTGACCACGCCAACGACGCGGGAGAAAGAGAACCAGAGACTATCCGTCAATACCGACTTCCAATGCGAGTCGGCCCGCAGCTCGGTCATGTCAGCGGCCTCGCTTCTGTCCAACAAGGGGAAGCGGAAGACACACGTCGGGCCATGGCAGCTGGGAAGGACCCTGGGAAAAGGGGCTACCGGACGGGTGAGGCTCGCGAAACATGCTGTTACGGGGCAAACTGCGGCCATCAAGATTGTCTCCAAGAAATCCGCTGCTATGGTTCAGAGTGAGAGCATCGCAGCAATGGACCGTAATGTGAGTAATTTCTCTGGCTTCTCGACTGCCAGACAGATGCCTTCGGGGATCGAACGGGAAGTTGTGATTATGAAGTTGATTGAGCATCCTAATGTCATCAGCTTGTATGATGTCTGGGAGAACCGCGGAGAGCTGTACGTTGAGCCCAAACCCCCGTCCGTTTAGCCCGTTATAGCAAGTCCCTTACTAAATTGAATAGGTATCTCGTGCTCGAATACGTCGAAGGAGGGGAGCTATTCGACTACGTATCCCAGAAAGGACCTCTACATGAACAAGAAGCCGTTCGCATCTTTCGCCAGATCATCGCAGGCCTCGGATACTGCCATCGATTCAACATCTGCCACCGCGACCTGAAGCCCGAGAATATCCTGCTTGATGGCAAAAACAATGTGAAGCTGGCAGATTTCGGAATGGCTGCTCTACAGCCCGCTGGCCACTGGCTGAACACGTCCTGCGGAAGCCCGCACTATGCAGCGCCGGAGATCATCTATGGCCGCAAGTATCGTGGGGACAGGGCTGATATGTGGAGCTGTGGCATCATCCTGTATGCCCTCTTGACCGGTTTCCTTCCGTTTGATGGTGGTGATCTTCCGAATACCTTGCGCCTGGTGAAAAAGGGCGACTACATGATCCCATCTGAGCTGAGTGACGAAGCTGCAGACTTGATCACCAGGATCTTGCAGAAGAGACCCGAGGACCGGATCTCGATGCAAAGCATTTGGCTCCATCCTCTCTTGAAAAAGTACGAAAAGCTTCACAACGCTATGGCCGACCACCCTATGGGACCTGCTCCCCTTTATCTGTCAAAGACTGTGGCGAATTGATTTCTTCTCGACAAGATGTGGACATGGATATTCTTCGTAACCTTCAGACTTTGTGGCACGACGTGAAGCCTGATGTCCTGATTGATAGGCTTATGTGCATTGAGTGAGTTGACTCCCCTGGAGCGTTTCCAACCTTTCTTGCTAACCTTCCCTTTTTAGGCCAACTCATGAGCGAATGTTCTACAATGCCCTTGTGAAGTTCCGTGATGAACAGCTGGAGAACTACCAGGGCCAGAGCTTGGACTACTCGGCTAGTGACTACCATCACATTTCCCGCCCAAGTGGGCGGCGAGGCCGCGGTCACAATTTTGGCACCAGCTCCAAGCGCCGCAACCATCTGTCCATTGTTCGAGACCTTCATTCTCGAATCAGTATCGCGCAAGAGCCAAAATCGTGTGCAAGCGTGGAAAGCTATGATCCTTTCAGATCTCCCAAAACGCATGGATCAGCGGCAGAAGCCAAGTACGCCCAGGTTACCATCCATAGAGTTCAACCTGAAACAGTGGAGGAAAAGGACGGCTCGCCTGCTGTCAAGCCTCCTCCCTCCATTGTGGAAGAGGCGGAACCAGAGGATGACAATGCGGCTTCGGACTCCCCTTTCACTGTCTTGCAAAAGCGAAAGCACAAGCCCAACTCTATGAAGTCTTTCCATTCGTCAAAGGTGCCTTTGTCGAGCTCGAAGCCTCGTGGCCTAAGTACTCACTCTGCAAGCTACCGTCGCAATGTTTCATTCCACCATGCTCGCAATCGCTCCCAAGGATCTACGAAGCCAAAGAAAAGGAAAATTGTGCCGAATCAAAGGTCTGACCTCAAGCGATCACCAAGTGCTTGCAGCCTGCAAATGATTGCAGATGGCATTATCCCAATAGAGATGCCCAGTAGTCCCCCTCTGCCTGCTCAACCAACCGTTGTGCGCCAGGGTGCGATGACCGCGAATAGCTTAGCACAGACACGGAAAATTCGTGCCCCCGACACCATTTGGAAAGAAGATGCCCGGAAGGTTTCAAATGAGCTGCGCCAAATCTGCGAGGAAGCTTTCAATGGAAGCTCTGTCACCACAATGCGAACAACTAGCACTGCTACCGATGCTGGGTATGAGACTCCGACTACTCCGGTGTCTATAGGAAGCCCCAATAATGCCCCACAGACCCAAGCAGTGCCAAAGCCCGCAGCCAGCACGGCTAAAGATCCTGCTCGGCCTTACAGCATTGAAGAGCTTACAGAGACTCGACGTAAGCTCGCCGAGCACAGCAAAGGCCGCAATGACAACGTTCCCACATACTTGTTGGGAGTTATTGGCCACCTTGATCGTCTGATCGAGGAGGACCACGCCCAACGTCGCAACCAGTTGCTTAAAAACAACCAGGACACTCATGCAGATCCCTTCATCTCGATCGCGCATGAGAGTTCTCTGCCTGCCATCTCTGAAGAGGCGGTCCCCGAGCCTGTTCTTGAAGGAGCCAGTCCGAAGCCTAAGTCTAGACTTCGGGGCTTGAACCGGAACCACGATGGAAAAGCCACCATCAGAATGGTTCCGCATAGCTCGCTCCACTCCATGGAGGAAGTTAAGCCCCTGATGATTCGAAAGAAGAACCCAGACGACAGTAGTATGGCTTCTAACCTAGCAGCGGCCTCTAGTATGGCTGGCACTTCTCGCCAAACTCGCAACCCTAGCAACCTAGCCCCCATTGATGAAATCCCAGGGTCCCCCAAGAAGGGTGAAAAGGTACCAGACAACAAGAAGTGGTCGTGGTTCAAGCACCGATCCCAGCTATCCGACTCGGCACCAGGTTTCCCATCTCAGGAAAACCAGACACGGATCGCCAGCAATGATACTGTCATTGTTCGACCGCCACAGGAACTCCAGGCGTCCCCTACTCGGGATGATGAGCACCGAGTCCCCACCAGGAAATCGTCCATGGAGCGCTTCAAAGGAGGCTTCCTGAAGCTTATGCCTAAGAAAACAAATAAACCCGCCCCATCAGCCGGCCCTGGAATCGGTACGTCGACACCCTTTAGCTGCTTTTACCTCCCACTGAGACAAATCCAAGGACCTTCCGGGGAGCAAACTGGTCAGGACCTGCTATGCAAAGGCATGCTGGATACTGACAGCTCATTTGAAGCACACGACCAAAATAACCCTTTCACTAACAAGCGCCGCTCCCTCGCAAACCAAAACTGGTTTGCTCGTGTGTTCCAGATCAAGCCAGCTTGCCGGGTCATCGCCCTGAATACTTCCAAGGTCAAGGGTCGCAAGGAAGTTTACCGCCTTCTCCGGGACTGGGAGGACTATGGCATGGAGGATGTTCGGATGGACAAGGGAAATAGCATTGTGCACGGCCGAGTCGGTGAAGTCAATTGTAAGTCCCCCCTACCTCTCCTCCCTTATTAAGTGTATCTTGGACCAACAACCACCCAAAGTCTTGCGCCTCCGAGAAGTTGAGTTCACTGCCGAATTCTACACCGTTCTCGAGCATGGTCGTCAAGCCAACCTGAGTCTCGTTCGATTCAAGCAGGAGCGTGGTGCAGCATCTTCTTTCAACAAGGTCGTCGACACTGTTCACATGATGCTGCGGTCTCGCGGTCTCGTCGTCGAGGACGCCTTACGCGCTCGCAAAATGGCTCGTGTGCTCGACACTATCCTTAACGCCTAGCCTGCATGGTGGCTCACCCCTTATGTCCCCCATGCCAAGATCATGACTTCGTTTCCCATGTTTGATTAACTGTGTCGCTGCGTTCCAGCACTGCAAAAGCTTATTGCATCCCGTCTCCTTCCCGTCATTCTCGTGCATTTCCCTTGAACTGATAACCGATTGTCGAATCTGTGATATTTTGACATCTTGACTTAGTTGTCCACTCCCTCATCTGAGATCATACAAGCAACCGCATGCTCTTGATCCTATTCCTTCATTTCGTTGGTTTAACCTTCCTTTCCTTTCCTTTCCTTTTTTTTTGGGTCAAGTTGCTTTTTCTTTTCTTTTCCTTGTTTTTCTTCTCCATTTTCCATCTGAGACCTTGCCTTCCGGTTGATTTTTAACCGAGGCGTAATCCATAATGCTGCGACCCCTGCTGCGGAACTGTTCGACGAAGGGGATGGCAGGTGTACCTGTAGCTAGTGAACCGGGTCAATTCATACACAAGGCTTCCCAAGTTCGTCATATTTCTTCGTCCCTCTTGTAAGAGAAATACCACCTTGACGCAAGTTCTGAAACCATCGTAACACCAACATCGTGTAGCCCCGGAACCAGATATGAATAACGTCGCCAATGATATGAGATGTCTGTAGTGCCTCGCTACACGCTATCTAAGACCTTCTGCAATTCCGGTGCTTATTTTTGCACGCCCAAATCATGCAGAGCTCTTCCTTCCATCCCTCGTCTAAGTGTAAAGGGCTACTCCAGGCCCCCAAATGGAGGCAGCGTAAGCCGACCGCATCGACATGGGCGGTTGCCGTGTTGGCCGAGTCTGTCACTGATGTTGTTGAGCTTCTATGAAGGCCTTAGCAAGAGCTAGGACGACTAGCATGCTGCGCCAAGCGGAAGTTTCATAGCGTTCAGCCCTTCTGGGTCTTGCCTCCTGGTTTCGGACGTAAGGACGTTATGCATTTTCGAAGAGCTTCAGAGAACATGAATGTTTTGGGGGGGGGCCTCCTGTGCTCACAGTCATTTTGATCCTCCAGGTCTAGGCCTAGGTCATTGAGGCATCGATTGAGTCTAGAATTACTTTGGAAATCTCCACTGCAGAACCGATTGTATTATCTATTCGGGCTTCAAGAGCTCGCCATAACACTTTAACTTTACCTAGCACCGTAAGTAGGCCTTCTTTCTGTCTATCTTTTAGGTCGATAGAGTTAGATATCTTGCCCGAAATTTCAGAAGGATGGTTTCAAATAGTCATGGGATGCTCTCAAAAGCTTCATGTTGAAGATCCCGTGGATTCTGGGGTAGACCAATGCCCTACGGAGGTTGCAGGTCTACCATCATGACGCTAGGAGTCAAGTAAATTATGAGGCCTGGGACATCGGCCTATCCATGTTTTCTTATCGTGTCCTGTACTAGTATGGTGAAGCTATCGAGAGACCTACTTTAGATCACGGAATCAGGGGGGGGGGGGTATGGTAAAATATAAAGCACTGAAGTACATCAGCATGGAAATAGGGATAACCTGAGCAGTCCCTGCTTGTCAGGTGAGTAGATCGGATTCTAGAACAGCGAGTTCATGGACCTATAAAGGAGTGGCTCCTTCGACCAGGACCACCAGGTGGAGTAGGGTTACCCGGAAACAGACCACCAAAATGCCATAGCGCTTCATATGATCAAGCGGCGGCTAATCTGATCAATAAGGCACTAGTACGGCATACTTTGGACATAAGCGCAATGATCGGAGGCGCTCTGCCGGGATCTAGAGTCGGTTTCGGCTGGTCACCGACGTAACTCGGCGCATGTCTCTCATGGACAACTGTATCCACGCAGCAACGCTCTCTGGATGTGAGAATTTGTTGTGGGTAGTGGACATGGTAGCTATTCGTGCATAATGTCCCACAAGTAATCGACCTGGGTGCTTCGCGCCCCGAGACTGCCATGTCCATTTGTGGTATACTGAAGGCGGCCGACAGGCCTTTCAGTTCCCGTATACATTACTTTATGAAGCCGAGAATGAGAATCATGATCATTGCCACTCTGTTGGGCTCTCTGGCCCAGGCCATGCTGTGCCGTTCGGGCATTTACCCTGTAACACGGCCCAACAACCCTAAATAACGCCTGTTTCAGCATTACCGCTGCAAGACCGCGTGATCCGCGTGATCTTGGTAGGGTATTATTGTCTTGCAGATGAATTTAGATCCGGAAACTAGATCGTGAGGTTGAATGCGTGATCCTGGTGAGATAGAGACGTTGCCGGCATTTTACTGAGAAGACACCACCAATGCGAAAGAGACAATCGAGGATCTCACGACCGCATCATTCAATAGATAAAGCGCTCAGCTGGCGAAAATATGACCAAAGGTAGAAACATGCATGCGAACGCGAAAAAAAACAAAGTAGACGAATAGTGATCAGACAGCCTCCCAGGTGATAAAATAAGCAGCGCATGAGGAAACCCGAATATACCGGGGAATGGACGTGAACCGTTAAGCAGGAAAACAGAATACCGACCATCTTTTTGTGTCGCAAGACCAACGCACGAGGAAATCGCTCCAAGGAGATTGCCGTCCTCATGATAAAAAGATGTACGAGAAACACAACAAACTAGAATGATAAAACCAACCCAGAACGCAAAAAAAAGGTAGCAAAATTTCGCAATCCCCCCTCCAAAAAAAAATTCAAAGAGCCGCCCGAAATTGTAACATGAATATGTGGATGCCGCCCGAAGTGCAGATAAGGGGAGTGGTAACTGGAGAGATTGGGGCCAATGTGACTAGTACGCTTTGAGACGCATGCATGAAATGCCCGGGCCGAGGTTGGTGCCAGCTGGAACCGTGGAGTCAGAGACTAGTTCGGTATGATGCGGTCGTCCGGTGGAAAAAGCCGACGAAATGTGAGATGTCGACTAGTCATGATTGGTAATATGAGAGCAGGATCTGCAGTAAGCAAACCTGCAGCGAGAACAGTACCACCATTACCCCTCCTCCCCTTCCCTTTCCCCTCAGAGCTCAAGTCCCCCCTTCGCAATTAAACCAGATATCGAGAACCGAAGTATATCGAAGGGTTCCAAATAAGAGATGAAAATAAAAATAAAAATCGTAGGCCGAATGCCCGAGCAGCCGGTCGGGCTTTTTGGACGTATTCGGAATCAAAGTTCGTGCGGCTCGTAAAGCTCATGGGTCCGCGTTTCGTAGCATCGAGTATCGGGGATTGGAAAAACAATGCCAGAGCCAATTCGTCGTAAAGCTTTCAAGGTGTTTTCCCTTTCGCATATCTCGGAAGCGCCTTTCGGTAAAAAGGCTTCCATTCCGGTGCCCTAGCGGGCTGGGAAAATGGCCCAAGTGTCGTGCGGGGCGAAAGGAATCCTCCCTGTTCAGAATCACGATCGTCTCAAGGGGGGGGAGTGGGCCGGAGCCTGAAGTTGGCCCCGACCAAATCCCTGCCTCGGGACAAAGAAAGAGAGGGAAAAAGGCAAAAAGAAAAAGAAAAAGAGGGAGATCCTTCCTCAAAAAGGAAACTGCAAAGATGCTTCCAATCTCCCCGTCCACGATTGCCGTTCTAAGATTGCCATACCTCAACACATGGTGCTCCAACCGTGTGGCCAGCACACGGACAATTCCTTTCACCAATTCCTGCATTCCGCCCTTTCCACACCGCTTCTCCGATGGGTCCGGATAACAAGCCGGTCTCTTTTTTTTTTGGAGTTTTGGTTTCCTCGCTCCTACTGGCTCAGACCACGACGATTGAGCGCATTGAGCATGTCGCTATCCGTCGTGGATCGACCGTGAGAATCGCCGGGGTTCAACATATCGCGCACATTCAATCCACCGCGAGCCGAGCCGCCGGGAGTGGACGTGGGGGGGAGGTGTCACGCCCCCCTGCTGCATTGGTGGATAGGGGGAGTTGTGGGGCGAGGAAGAATGGCGCGCATCGTAGGAGTAGGCAGACTGCGGCGAAGTGCGCCGATCGTGAGGGGGATAGTAAGGACCGGGGGCGGTGTGCGTTTGGTATCCCGGAGTGGAGCCGGTGGGTGTGACGGGTGCGAGATTTGTAGGATCAGGGTAATCGTAGCCCGAGCCCGAGCCTCGTCGGCCACCTGGCTGCCTCTAGATCAAAACAATTAGTGTTCTGGCGCAATGGAGGGGGAATGGAGGTGCCCTTACCGGATCCGGTATGGACGACGCAAAGGGCGGCGGGGCTCCGCCGTACGGTTGATACATCCCTTGGGGCGGCGGGAGGGTGGTTTCGGGGCCTTGCGGCTGCTGCTGGGGAGGGAGAGGTTGTCCATGAGCGCCGTAGAGAGTCACCGGCTGAGGGCCGCGACCACCTTGGGGGTTTCCACGTAGGTGCGGGTAGGCCGCGTGGGCCGGAACAAAGGCTTGTGCTTGGGAGGAGACCGGAGTGAACATGCACTCTTGGTTGAATCGGATACAGTTGGTGCATCGGCCGTCCTGCGAGGTTTCAAACCCAGAGCATCGAATCTGCACATTGGCCCGGTCAGTAACTCTGCGGGCTCTGTACCCAGTGCGGTGCAATCGAGACATACCTTGCGCCGACGACAGTAGCGGCAGGCAATGGCAGTGCGCTGACGCGGTGCAGCAGCCTGGTAGACGACCTGGGGAGCCGGTGGAGGGGGCGCGTAGACATCAGGTCGATAGCCCGCGACTGGAGGGGGAGGCAGGCGATAGGGATCGCCTCCAGCTTGGAGATGCGACTGGATAGCAGCCATGTTGGGCGGGGGGTATTGTGAGGGAGGATAGGGATAGGAGCGATCGTCCGGAGGATACGAGGCAGGCGGGTATTGCTGTCATATATGGTCAGCGCCGGGCAGGATAATTTTCAGCTAAGCCAGCTCTCACAGAATAAGAAGCGTGATCGTCGGGCTGACCGTTCCACTGGGGTGGATACTGTCCCTGGCGATTTGGGTCGTAGTCGGGAGGGGGTGGCCGGACATTTGTGTGATTTAGGGAAGAGAGAGAGGAGAAGAAGATGAGTCAAGGGTACAGGGATGTGACGTCGAGTTAATGAAAGGGGGCGAGTCGAATCACACGGGGGACGCCAGCATAGCGCGGTCACGCAGGGGAAGATAGGCGATGCAGGAGATCCAATTCGGCTCTCAGACGAAGCGCAGTTAGAAAATAAAAGGGACGGGAAATCCCGAAAAGGCGTGGGAAAAAAAAAGAAAAAAAGAAAAAAGAAAAAGAAGAATAGGGGAAAAGAAAATTGGAAAAGGAAAAAAAAAATGAGACAGACACAAAAAAGAAAAGAAAAAAAAGAGGCTCCGAGACTATGACGTGAGACTGGAGTCGGGAGTCGGGAGTATAAAGCAAGAATCCACCCAGAACCAAGAGATTTTAACCAAGCCAGAAGATGTAGAGAAGCGGATTCATCGTTCACGGGTATAGAGCGGCACCGTTTATTAAACAGCAAGAGGAATAGGACAAAAAAGAAAACGCAACTAGCGCAATGGAAATGTCTTATTGGAACCCGACCGGGGGCGTGTTATTTAGGAGTGGGGAAAAAAGGATTTTTGGAATTTTCTCTCTTTTTTTTTCTCCCATCTTGCCCTTTCTGGATTTCAATGATTTTTCCAGGTGGAGTGCGGGCCAGCAGAAGCTAATGACGCCGAAGCCGAACCCAGTGTCATGGAAATGGAACAGGTTGACGCTAGACAGCTGAACCAGGGTTTCGCCGTTCAGCACCTTCCTATAGAGACGGGACGGGAGACGGGTATGGGGCATGTTGGATCGATCGTGAGAAGGAACTCGCTCTTCGCCTCCAGTCTTGAAGAGTTCCCAAGTTTGAATTCCGGGAACTACGGCCTTCAGAGGGAAGTACGGAGTATATCATCCTGTTTTCGCCCCCAATCCGGCGGTTTCCAGGTTTGCCTCCCCTCCTCTTTTAGGGCTCTTCTCCCCACAAGAGGCAGCAGATTATTACCGAAGGCCGATCGAACCAGAGGCACCAAAGGTGACCCGACCAAATGATTCGATGTTTCGATTGGTGACCCGGAAAATGCAGATCGCGCTGGAGCGACTCGGACCGTCGTCGCACAACCGCAACCGGCCCCGCGGAACCAGGATTGTCTCCCATGGCGATGGGCGCGCGGCTCGGGGCGAATCTGCTGCATCCATTGCAACCCAATCTGGTCGCACATCTCAAACGGGATACATGATACATGGATCGGTGCCATTTCATGGATATGTGGACATGCATTATGAGTGGTGCTAAGGATGTGGCACCTAATCCCTGGTCATATCGTCTCCATAGATGATACTCTCCCTCTCTACCCGAGCCCGAGTGAAGCCTGAGTCACGGCAATCTACTCTGGGCGGCCTACAGCAGACTACTGCAGAGAAGGGCGAAGGGCGGTGTGAAGTGGCGATCAGACTCTCAGCTGAGAATCAGCTCTTGCCACCTGCAGCACTAGACCCAAAGCGCGACTGGGTCGGGTGACTGAGCACGCTGACTCGAGGGTGCCCAGTGGAGGCAGCCGGAGTGGAGGCCAACTGGGGCCCGCAAGAAGAGGAAAGCGTCCCGGCGCCTTGGGACACCCATGACCCCAAGGTAACCTGCATTAGCGTACGTTGACCGCTGCGGGTTCCTAGGGCCACAACCACGTTGTATTTGGTTACTCCATTTTCGACTTTCTGGTCGAACTGGCCCTAATACTGCGTATAGTTCCTTCTGTCATCCGGTCCTGTCGTCACCGCTCCTGGGATGTGAGTGAAGGTGCAGATTCCCTCTGCTGCTGACAACCCCCCCGTCCTTTTGGGGAGGGCGCCCGAGAGGGGAAGAGGGGGGTTTCCCAAGCTGCAAATGTCGCCGAAATAGATTGCGCGGAGTCTAGAATCGCCATCTTCGCTTTCCTCCCAGCACCATGTCCTTCCAACGCGAACTTTTGCCGGGGGTTACTTGTCCCACGGGCCGCTCCGGCCTTCCCGCCGATCGCATGCATGTGCATCTGGCAGAAAAAGGAAAACCAAAAGTCCCGATTAGGAAAGACCGCTAAAAGATGAGCCTGGAGCCGTGATTGGGCCCCCGGGTTTTTCGCACGACCCAATCATGCTAGTGGATGCTCGCTGCTGCTAAATCCTGCTGCGTCCTGCCTGGGCACGGGTTTCGACCGATTTTGCAATCCTGGGTTGGGATCGATGGTCAGCCAAGTCCGCGGAGGTGTGTCAGGTTCCCACTCAATCCAAAACCCCCATCTGCCACGTTTTTGGTTTTTTATGGATTGGGATTTCCAGCGCCATGTTTCCCAAGTGCCCCCTTCCCCGCTGGGACTAGTCGTAACTTCTCGTACACCACGGCCCTGTTTACCGCGATCTAGCGGCCCCGATTTCGGGACTTCTCCACACCCACCCAACGCCCCTGGCCACTCGATGGCTTCTGTCCATACCAACCTTCCAGGAGGGGCGGAGCACAGGCTGCGACATTTCCTGCCTTTTCAGCCCGAGACTTCCTTTTCGCCTGTCTTTGTCCTCGAGACTCGGGCGCATCTCTTCGCGTGTTTTGGACTCGTTCTCTTTTCTGAGTGGCTTTTCTCCCCCTATTCTTTTCCCTTTCTTCCCCTTTTCCTTCCCCTCTTACCCACACGGGAGCGCGTCTAATAGGAATGGAGCCCGTCGGGCACTAATAGACGCAGCCGCAGTCTCCCGCAGTCTCCCGCAGTCTCCCGCATGGCCGAATGGTCACGGGAACAGGCTATGACGCGGAGGATCTGATTTGGCCTCGTCATTTTTCAATTTTCAATTTTCTTCCAATTTTTTTTTTTATTTTTTTTTTTTCTTTCTTTTTTTTTTTTTTTTTTTCCCCTCCAATTTCGAGGCAGTGCACTGCTGACCTCGGTCGTGTGATGGCCCTTCTATAGTTGCACCATGGGATTGTGATTCCAACTCGGAGCGTATCGACCGTGACCCTGTCGCAAATCCTCAAAATACTCGGGACATGGGGAATCCCGTACATATAGAAAACTCAGAAATTTCCAAAGATAAAATTGAAATTAAATAAAATGAAAGAAAACGAGTCACGCCCCCGTCACACAGCGGGTCGATCACACTGCTTGTCGGTCTGCTGCTAACCGACGCACAGGCGATCGAAGCACCCTGCGGCCTGTGCTGGGGATCGGATACATCCACGCTTGTTTGGCTAAAAAAAGAAAGTACAGATGTAAAACTAGCCCAATCAACGTTGAAAGAGATGATTTTCACGTTCGGCTCCCTCGTGTCGTCTAATCACAGTAACACGATGGTTTATTCCCGGATGGGCAGGCCACAGGGCTGAACGCAAAGACCGGGGGATCGTTAGCAAATAACTTGCGAGCCTTCAATCAGATTCTGGGCTTTGGGCACCAAGTCCGCAGTACCATCCGACACGCGGGATGCATGAGAGCACCGTCGTAGCCAATAAGGGTCTCCCAGTCGAGGTCTATCTCTTGGCATTGTATGGAGATCTCACGAACCAATCCTTCCGTGCGATGAACTCATCTGCATTTTTTCCCCAGAGGTCTCGCCAACGGGGGACCGTCCCGACAAACATAGAAAACACCTGGCGGTCTCGAGCCACCCCCATGGCCTTGGCCATAGCCATGTCCAGTGGTTTTCTCTTTTTGTTTTGTATTGTTTTATAGTTTGGGTTTTATTTGGGTTTACTTTTACTTTTTTCTTTTTCAGCTCTTTTTTTTTTTCTTCCCTTTTCTTTTCAGCTTAATTCACAGCTTATCGCCGATAGGTAGGTTTGTTTGGCTCGGCCTATCTGAGTCATTGTCCAAGGCTAGTTAACTAATCCATGCCACTAGTGAGTTTATGCTGCAGCCAATGGACAGCCAGAATAGCGACGCCACACGCTGGCTGCTAGCCAGGTATGCTAGGATACATCGCCATCATCCAAGCAGTTGCTCTCCTAAGCAAAATCATTCGTGCGGAAGTTCCGGGAGCGCGGTCGCTGCGAGATCAATCCACGGAACCAGCAAAATCCTTCGGCCGTAGTGTATGCGAAGATCCCCGTTTTGTCTTTTTTTTCCCCATAGGGAATAACATACTCAGGTAAATGACCAGGTCCGACCATGACGCTCTCCAAAAACATCATATTTCAAGGACTGATTTGCTGTCATTCTGGAAATTGTACTCACTAGTGGGACTCCTGGAGTCGGCCGGTGCGGATGTATATAGCCGAACCGGCTGTGGATACAATCGCAGCCTGAGGATGTGACATACGCAGCTACTGCAAAGTGCGGTACTCTAAATCATTAGATTCTTCACCTTAAATTAGCACTAACCATAGATAGACTTCATTATCCGATAACCTTCTGCACCGGCAGTCTTTTTACCACATGCCATTCCTTCAATCGTCCAGCATCACATTAGATTTTCTAACCGACGTAGCAAAGCGCACGGATATTCCTCAATTTTGAGATGGCCACACAATGATCGTCCCCTAGTTACGCCCCGCCGTCTGGTCGTTGCCACCAGTTGATTGATCTGCACATTTTCTGGATAAACCATAGATTCCTTCGCTCGGCCAGAATCCGGTGTTCAGGAGCCCGGGCAGCGTATGGTTGGCCGTGGCTCGCGCTGGAAACTATATCCCGTCGATCTCAATTCAGAGTCTGCGACCTTGGTGCGTATTACCACTTTTCCTAGCGACCTCCGAGGCTGTACGCGACGAGACCCCACTATCTAAGCGCAAACCCTCTCCAAATCTCCGAATCTCCGAGTCCCAGGAGCGGCGCTCTGTACGGAGTAGCCAACAGTCCAGACGGTCTGTCCCCACCATGACTGTCTTTTTTTTCCCACTCGAGTAATCTTGCATACAGCTCAGCAATACGTGCAGAAAACCAGAGTCGCGGCCGAACCGTGGATCGATGCGCGTGTCCAAAAACAAGAAACGCGAAGTCAAACATGCCCACTTCGGGCACTTACAGTAGTCCCCGAGGCCAGGGCAAAAGGTCCCCATCAAGCGCCAGCCATCAACGGCCCCTAGTGAGCCCCATGCTCCCCACTGCCAGCTTTTCGACTGCCCCCCCCAAGCCCAAAGCCCACCTGTAGTCCCCCAGCCCTGAGCATGGAAACGGTATGAAGTAGGGATTCTACTATTCCCAACCTGGGAGGAGCATCGATCTGCCCCAAGTTCTCAGTTGCATATCTCCTCCCCCCACCCCTGCCCAACATAATACACAATCAGGTACATGCATATATGAAACTCAGACATTCCTCCCGCTGCAATGCTTCCCAATCTCCTGGATCCTCCCCCCCTCCCTTCCATTTCCGAGACGGAGTTCCGGTCGAATCCACATGGGCTCCAAGGTTTTGCCTAACGGGTTTGCCCGACAACGGGCCGAACGCGGCGCGGTGGCAATGCGAAACAGCGGAGTTGCTGCAGAAACTCTGGTACGGGTGGCCCTGCCCTTTCAATAGTCATCGGGGTCTTCCATTATCCCCGATGCATTCTTCTGGAATACTGTGGGGCCCTTTGCCGGTAAAAATTTGATATGGAGACTTCAAATATTCTTATATTTTCTTTTTCTTTTTTTTTTTCTTTTCTTCTATACGAGGGGGTTCTCTAACTTGCTCGTAGATGACGTAGTATGGGCTGCCTGTTTCTTGTCGGATCCTTGGGCTTCGCCTGGTGCTTTGAGCCTTGGCCCCGGGAGCGTTTACCTTTTGGGTTCTGCTGCCAGGAACAGCGGTGTTGCACTCACCTGCCAAAAATGGCCTCATTGGGGGAAGAGGGGGGCTTTCTTGCGGCCCCGCTATTGGCGCGAGAGTAACAAGGTTCGTGATGAGGCGTATCATCGAGTGGCTGTGGTACGCAGGGAAGCCTTTCTATGGGGTCGCTGTGTGCCCGAAACTTGAACCTAAGACCAAAAAGTTGGGGGAGTTGGGAGGGGGTCAAATCATTGGTTTACAGGGTAGAATGGAGGAAGCAAATACAGTGTGAGTACATGATCATGGGCGGATCCTAGTATACACAATGCGGTTCTTTACACCGCAAAGAAGCCCTTTTTTGAAACTTTGTCGCTCCCAGTATGCAGCTAAGATGTGACGAGGCTGCCATGACACCCTGGGCTTGCATTGTTCTTGCAGATGGGACCCGCGGGAAGCTGTGGCCTGTTCTTAGTTTGGCGGGGGAACAGCAAAGCCTCGGAGGGGCCCACATCATAGTAGATACACAAGGCACCGGGGACCAAGTTGAGACAAGTCCAACAGGCATGTATTGGCGCGGGTCGAGTCCGAGGCTTACGAGCATTATTTGAAGATTATTCGAATGCTGTGCTGGGCGGACAGAGAGCGTGTGCCTGAGCCCGCTCCATTGGCATACAAAGAAAGGGTTCGTGCATTGTGTCGTTGGTTCTGGCGCGGTGCGCTACAGAGCAAGCGACATTCTGGGGATCTACATACAGTGAGAAAGGGGACAGATCCCAGATTTGTCAACTTTGAGAACTCAAGATCTGTTGTTACCCTGCTGTCTCCCCTTGAAATCTGTAATCCTGAATGGCCATTATGGATCGGGCATTACCACGCTATTGAGATGCGTCACCTATTAGAAGCGGTCAGTAAGGGAACAGAGTAAGACCAAAAAAAAAATTAGAGAAATCAGAAAAAATAAGAAAGGTAAAACCCGAAGACCAGACGGGCCAATCCCATGGGCTTCAAAAAACAAGCGACGAGCAGATGAAAGAAAGGGGATGGCCAACCGAGCCCCAAGTGGCTAGCTCAGAAGGGTAATGGACTAGTCGAGAGGGGGAAAAATCGGCGACTAAGCAGGGCAAGGCTTGTCAGGCCTGAACCCTGAAAGCTGGTAAGCAGATAGATCAAGGGAACGCTTACGAAGGGCTCCATGATTCCAATCAACGAGACGATCCGGTCCTGCGCATCCGCTGCCATGATTTCCGCGTCTGTGATGGGTCGTCCGATGGTAAAACTGCGCAGCCGCAGCAGCTCGATGTTTGCATTGTCAGCCTCGTAGCCCTAGAAGAATTAGCATTGTGTAGTCCCGATTGGCGGTGGATTTCGGATTTCTTTTCTCTTTCCCCCTCTTCCCCCTTGCCTTGCCCTTGAATTGGAGCATTTGAGTTGATTATTTCTAAGGGGCCGAGGACGATGGAATAGCCCGTGGAGCCATGCTCCGGTGCGAACCATGGAACCAAAAGCGACGGCGCGGCAGGTTATGGGAAAGAATGGGGAGACCATTGGAGCGATTGAAGTGCCCAGGGGTTATGAAATCTGGGCCATAAGGAATTCGGCCGATGTGATTGCCCAACGCCCTCGTAGCTTCTGAGCTAAGTAGGCGCGTTTCTTGTCCCCAAAACTCGGGTTGGCCTCCCGCAGACACCCGTGCGCGGTCATGCTTTCCGCCACCACAGGCCCCGGACCAGCTCAATGGACAAGGTGTCTGTTTCGGCGTTCGGGCATTTGCGTTCCTGCGGTCCTTTGGCTCTTTGGCTGGGAATTTCCGTCCGCATCTTTGGGTTCTCTGCCAAGCGGACGATCATGATGAGATTGATAGTGATGATCCATTGGCAGATGGTCCAAGACAGCCCGGCGAATCCTCCCCAGCAGCGAAGCCTGCATCGCATTGCAATTGGATGTGTCCCCCCTGGTTCTCGTGCAGTACCAGACCACACAAGTTTCCATGCTCCTCAAAATAATTGAGGAGATGAAAAAACCTTGTGATCACCGATCGCGCGATGGATAAGCCCACGTTCATGGACGCCGACCTCCTCCGAAACCTTAGCACCATCGTCCAAGGTTGCAAGCCCCTATCGAACCACGACACAAGGCAGAGCAAGGTAAAGGGAGAAGCCTACTTGGCATTTGATGATGCATTGTAGCCCTAATAGGCAGATGGCGGATGGGATGATAACTTTGTTCAGCTCACCTTAGGTTTGGTCTTCAGGGCCGATTCCTTGTTGTGATGGGCAAAGGCCCTCACCACTGCGTCATCATCGTCAGGTGCATTGTTCAGGAACTCTCGACGCATGTCGGGTGCCCGCAGAATCTCCTTCCAGCCTTGCGCGTTCTCGTCGATGTCCTCTCGAAGCGTTGCCAACGCGTCAGCCTCTGGGTTCCAGAGACCGCAGCCTAATTTCACGGGGGGCGTATAAGCCGACCATCGCCACGATTGGTATTACAAAAAAGAACCAAGCACAAAAAAGAAGATAAGAAGAAAAGAAAGGAATGATGAAAAAGCACATCGCATGAAAAATGGCAGACAGACACATGCAAGGGAAAGGGGGACAAGGATACCCAGCGGCCTGGTCAGAAAGGCTGCTGTACAAACGTACCGACAAAACTCGAGCCGGGCTGGAAATGCACATAGTAGGCTGCATAAGGGCCCTTCTTGCCCGTGCGTGACCTATCCTCGATTAATGAATGAACAGGTCGTCCGTCTTTGCTCATCTCCAAATGGAGACACCCACCATGCAGCTGAGAAATGGATCTATTCGCTCGTCAACATTGCGCCAACATAAAGTACCGTTACACAAAACAGCCAACTCATCGACCGGTCTGCTTCACGGAAATGGGTGTGCATACCTTGTATGGCAAGGGGTTCTTGCTGAACCGAATATCGCGATAAATACGAAAAATCTGTAAGGGCACTGTTAAAAAAAAAAATCTGAGAGAGCACGAGCATAAGATGAGCAAACTCGAAGGAATCTCATACCAAGTCCTTAGTTGGCAGCTCGGGGATCGTGGCATCTTTCTCGGCAATCTTCGACGTCAGGGTTTCGACGAACGTCTCAAAGTCCTTCTTTGCCGCGCGGAAGTCGGGATCGTGCGCTAAAGCCAAAAGAACCCGGTCAGTTCACTAGCCGCGCTGGAGAGACAGAGATCAAGGGGCGGAGCATAAGGCCGGGAAACAGACCTTTGAACCATTGTCGGTCATTGTTCTTGGCCAGATCCAACAGGAAAAGCTTCGTGTTGGGGTGGAGCGTCTCATCCTGATACTTTACGCCCCGGCGTCTCGTGGTTTCGGCTTGGGAATGAAGACCTCCGTCCCAGGGCCAAGTCCAGTTCGCACACCTTCACGCCACAATTCCTTTCCTGGATCTGCCTTCGCGCCCGAACCGCCCTTCCGTCGTTGCCCTCCTTTAGCTCGGACTTCTTCCTCGCTGTCTTGCAGCTCCTCTGATTCAGGGTCTGGGGATGCTTCCGACTCGTTTCCTTCGTAAGCGGATCCGGAATCACCATCTTCCGAGTCGCTGGACGGCTCGTCGGAGCTGTCTGCTTCAAAGTACTTGCTTTTCTTGCTCGTACTCTTCCCAGACAATGTGGCATTGGATTTGACTCGCTTGACCTCGCCGTGCGAGGCTGACAGCCTCGTAGAGGCGCGTCGCTTGGGTGCCGCCTCTGCGGGAGCGGGCTGAGAGGATCGTCGAGCCATGATGGAATCTCCTGCTTTTCCCTTTTTGGTACCCTTTGATAGAATTAAGCTAATAGCTGTAGAATTTGCGAGAACGCGTTCGCGCTTGCCTTCAAACCGTAGACGAGAATAAAATGAGCTCTTGAAGCTCCTTTGTTGTGACCTTCTCCGCCAAGCCGAACCCAAAAACTAGAAGATACTACTGTGAAAATCCAGGAACCGTCACTAGAAATTACTGCGTATCGTGGAGCTGACAGGTTTCAGACTTCGGCACTTCCGGTCTGAGAGTAAGCAAATAAGGAGAAAAAAGAAGGGGAACTAGAATCGAGGGGGTTGCGGGCATACTTTATAGTGTTCAAACCGGCTTTTTGTTCTGTTCTTACTGCGTAATACTCGTACGCGCTCCGCCTACCGGAAATCCTGAACGCCTTTTTTTTTCTGCCAAAAGGTGAACGCTGATCGCCGATCGAGTTCACTGACGCGATTGGTCTCACATTCCACTGGTCATAGCAACTGCTTGATCGAAGAGTCAGAAAAGCAGACGCAAATGAGCGCTCCGCCGTCTGTCCCTGCGGTGTTCCACGCCCGCAAGGCCAAGATTCTGGAAGAGCTTGCTATTCCTGATGCCGAGTACACAGACTTATCCCCCAAGGGATCGGTCGACAAGGGTATTCGAGACCTTATTGGCGACATCAATGCCCTGCCTGGCTTGGTGACAACCAGTAGCTGCGCTGGCCGTATTAGCATTTTTCTGGAAGGGACCACAAAGAGTTCCAGACCTGAGCCAGAGCCGCAGACGCAGTTCGCCCCGTCTGGTGGGAAAGGTGCTGGTCGCTGGCTCTACGTCTCGCATGATCCTTTCGATTTCGGTCAAAATCACACATCATTGCTTGAACAATTTGGTCTTGTCGAGGGTGATGGAAAGCCGCCGTCAGGCCAATCACTTCGTTTGGTCCGTTTTCATTTTGAGCCTCTGGTATGTAGTCGATTGAGCTTTAGAGGTGTTGCTGTAAAGGCATTCAGCATGGCAATCGCTGTGCTTTTCTTTCTTTTCTTTTCGATTCAGTTTCATGTGATGGAACCACAGTTCAATGCAGCCCGATGACTGACTAAAACAACAGATCCTCCACATCATGGCAGCAACTTTGTCCCATGCCCAGCCCGTCCTGTCTGCTGCATCGTCTTCAGGCTTCCGCGAAAGTGGGTTGCAGAGCTTGCGCTGCCTAGAGGGTGAAGGGGGCCCTAGCCCCATCGTTGCAGTTCGGTCTTCTGGCTTGTCTCTGGAATCAGTAATAGGCTACTATGATGAGAGCTCTGATGAGCCGGTGATTCGCAGCCTGGTAACTGAAGAGTATCTGGCGATGCTCATAGCAATGTCCAATGAGAGGTTCATAATAAATACTGAGCGTCGAGAACGCTTTCGGTCTGGCCTAATTGATCTTTGCTCCTTGGAACAGAGCCAGAGGGGCAAGTCAAAAGGCAAACCTGACTGGGAGGATCCTGTAGAAAGGAAAGAGAGGAAACGAGCAGAAGGGCTGGCGAGAAAAAAGCTCCTGGAGAGCCAAAAGTCCGCAAGTTCTCAGGCTACCGCTCGGGATTCAGAGACTGCACCTGATATTATGAGCGATATTCAAGATTGAACTAATCATAGACCTTGTTCTAACATGACTCCATGCTCAGAGTTCCCCAGGCTGGGAATTTTGAGAGAGGGCTAGAGTTTACGAAAGAATGAAACAGAAATTTGGCATGAAAGCGCCTTTTCAATTTGAATCTCAAATGAAACTACTCTGCTGGGACAAAAAAAAAGATAAAGAACAGGACGCGACGAAAAGCACCAGAAACCCGACCAAAAAAGAAACGACGAAAAGAGAAACACGACGAAAGCACGCATTGCAAAGCACCAGACTTGCGAGATCTCCAAAAACCACCAGATGCACGCATAAAAGGCATTAAAAGTTCAAAGAAATCTCACTACGAAGCAAAGCCCCCAAAAAAGAAAAACCACCTGCGATCCCAGACTCCTGTCTCTTCTTGACTCTTCTCTAGATGAAGTATAGACCGCTGAAAATCCAAACTTATGTCCCCATGAAATGTCATATCCTCAAAACGCAGCAGAACATTGAAATGGTGGTTTAAATGTCATATCAGTGGGGAATTCGTCTCCTTATGCATATGGACAAGAACCGTAAGTCCCGCTTAAGCAGAACGGCGGTCACGGAAACGGGGGTTGAAGGGCCAGGCAACCTCCCGCTCGTCGCCTTCACCATCACCCGGGCCAATCTCGCCACCACGACCATGGCCACGACGGGCTGGGAAATATGGACGACTGCCGCCACGACGCCACTCGACTGGGGTGGGGGCTCCACCTCGGGGGTTCTGAGGGCCACGGTAGAGACCACCACGACCGCGACGGACAGGCGAAACGGGTCGGGGGGCATCCCAGTCGGCATTCTCAACCTGGCTGCCGCCAACGGCAGTACCGAGAGCAGTCTGAAAGGAAGCGATGCCGGGACGAGGAGCTTCGTCCCAAGAGTAGTCGTCGTCGTCATTGCCACCGTCATTGTTGTCGTTGTCGTTGTCGTCGCTGGGAGAAGGGGCACGAACGGCAGTCGCGACGCTAGAAGAACGGGACGCAGCACGTTCAGCACCGGTCTTTTGGAATCCAGATGTCAGGAGGATGCGCATTATGGCAGCTTCGTACTCAACACAGTCGGCGAAGCTCCAGTTTTCTGTGATTTTGCTCTCATCCCACTCGTACCAGATGCGGCCGTAGGGTTCCAGAAGGTGTTCCATCGCCTCGTGGTACTGGTTGACCAAAGCTATGTGGTCGGGAAGAACAGCCGTTCCGTTGGCGATCAGATAAGCGTAGAACTTAACAAACAAGAGTTAGCCCACCGCATGTCAGTCATGGGGCTTGGATATCTTACCCCGAGTGTAAACGGGTTGTAGGGAGGAAGCCAGGTCAGGGTGTCGAACGGGAAAAAGGACAGCCACTCCTCGCTGACGCGACGAAGGGTGTTCACGTCGCGGCCAATATATGCCAAGCAGAACTTCATGCGGGGATTGAAGGCTGGGCAGTGAAGACCGAGGTGCACAAGTTCGAGGACGAGGTTCGTGGAAAGGCCCACCACCAATCCGTTGTCAATGCGCTCCACCAGGGCCTCAATCATGAAGCGCAGGGTGCGGAAGATGAGGTTACGCTCTTGGACGGTGTAAAGCTTGGTGTATGCCCATGGATACTGTAGTGAAGCCCCCGAGTCAGTAACTTGATAATCTCAAATATGACTTGGAATCAGGCAAAGGAAGCTGTGACTACCTTGAACATGGTGGTGGACATAAACTCGTAGCAGCGCTGGGGGGACCTTGTTGGAGAATGAGCTCTTCACAACAGGTTAGTATTAGCTCATAGAACCAGACATAAATCAGAAGACATACTCGACCAGGGTTCTCGGCATGGCGTACGCAACCGAACATCTCCTCCGGCGTGAGAAAGCCTTTGAAGCCAGTGGACCACGGCTCATCAGGTTGCTGGGCCACCTGGATAGGACGCCCGTTCTTCCAGCGGATACACTTGGCCAGAGGGAATATAGCCTTCATAAGCATGTCAGGGCTGCTCAGGCTAACATCTACATGACGAATGCCCATGCGAGGGCCCAGGCCAACATCCGATCCACGGGTGACACGGGAGACAGCCAACTTGGCTTCCTTGCAATCCTTGAATTCCACATAGCACTCCATAGTCTTGCCAGTAGAGCGCTCCATGATGATGTGGATGGGGTGCTCGTCTCGAGAGCAGCTCCACGACCGAAGAACTGAGTGATTTCGGCGCGAGTAACGGTGTAAGGAATCTGGCCAGGGCACAGGGGTCAACACGTGTTTTTGACGTGTTTGGTAAGAAGCAAGCAAGATTTAACTTACGTTTTCAATCTTCACCACACCATTCTGAGGCATGACACGAAGGTGAGCATTGCTGCCAATGGGGATGTTGGGGTCATTCAGGATATCCTCCAGCTGGCAACGCTTCCAAGTACGAAGCTGGCCTTCATGCTCCTCCTCGAAGTGGCGGCGAATTGGAAAGTGGTACATCCTGCTTTAATTCAATGCGAGCTGAGATGCTGAAGCAGGGAATACGTAAGGATAGGCAAAAGTATGTTCAAGGTGGATGGTAAGTCACGGTTGAAAGAGGTTGGGGAACAACGAGGAGAAGGGAAGGTCAAGAAGTGAGAGATCCAACGTGTAAAGTGAAGGACCACACCAGGATTCCGACGCGTTCACGACATAAGCGAGCCAGGAGGGGGGGGGAAGGGTGGGGGGAAGTTCAAGGTCAGATCATATGGGACCGAACTCTTATTAGCATAGTTCTGCAAAGGCCCTACTGGGAGGGACATGCTTAGGTAGCAGCCACAGACACCAATTAACATTCACGCGGCGTCTCTGAATACTATACAGGCTACCAGAACAGAATGTAGCGCGCATAGTACTTTACCTAGGTAGTCACAGTATCAAAAGCTTGAATGAAACCTCAATCGCGACTATATTCATTTATTTCATAGTCAGTGAATGGTGTAAATGTACTGGAATAGAAAGTTTCAATTGTCTCGGTCATCGCTAAGGAGAATCAAACGCCACATGATTTAATCAAACTGAAGGAATCGTCAGTTAATGTTCAGCTAGCCTGAATCAAGTGTGAGCTACTTACGGGGGTTAAGAACGACTCAGCCACAAATCGGGCCCGAGCATTCAAAAACAGCTTCATCTCGCTGATCTCCTTGTCTACATCTTCCATGAAGGAGATGACGAACTCAACAAGCTGATTTTTGTACATGGAGGAGGTATGGAAGTTCGTGATCAAAAAGGAGATATCGTAGCCCTAATAAGTGTTAACATCGGGCGAATTTTGTTAACACCACGCAGGCACAAACCTTCACTGGCTTTCTTCGGAGGATAAAGAATGACTCGGCTCGTTGAGTCAGGAAGCGCGCCAACTTGTGCACAAGGACTGTATTTGTTAGCTCTAGGTTGATTTGGTGCATACAGCAACCAGAGTCACCTACTATGCTCGATTTCATCTGCCTGCTTGATCCTGATTGACACTCTGACCGAATTGACCGATGGCTCAATGAGCACCGATTCGGAGTCATTGCGTGATACTGTCAGTGGGTTCAGGATAAGTTCTGGAGAAGCTCCGCTCTCAATTTCCGGGACATTGTCTGGACATATCAGTTGCTTGTTCGATTATCAGTGCTGGCATATGGTACTGACGGCGTTCTGAAATCTGTGAGGCAAAGTTCGAGATCGCAAGGGCGGCCGTTAAAGAGGAGCGGACACATCTAGATCATGCATGAGAATCGTTGCTGTACACCGGCTGGCCAGGAAGCTCTAAGCTCATTGGTTCACTCACTGGAGATACGGACGCAGGGATTGAGACTGTCATACTAATTAGATAAGAAGCTCTAAGAGTACCAAACACAACAGGAGGGGTTAGGCATACCATGATGCGGGTAGGCTGAGGCGGCCGTTATCAAGCGGCAGACCTGGAATGTTGGATGGGTATTTCAACAGAAAAATGCGGCAATTAGAGCCCAATATCCCAAATCTCCGATTGATATCAACTAGACCGAGGACAACGAATTGGCAGTTCGGGGGTGGCCTAGACGGGAGTTGAGGTCCCGCGCTTGCGGAGGCGGTGATGATGGGGGGCTGTTTGAGGCGTTTGCAATGCCCCCACCGCTAATCACCCGCAGCTGTTTATGCCTGGAGTCCGGGACCTTCTACGGAATTCCTCCTCTCGTTCTACAAGTTATCAGAAGGCCGTTGAAATGGCATCAATTCCAAGTTCGTTATGGCCCTGTTTTGTGATGAGTAGTGTCCTCCGAGGTTAACTAACATACGGTAGTCATTGTCAAGCACTCTGGCAAGCGCCACGAAGTCGACCTCGATCCCTCTGCGAACGGCGAAACCCTCAAGTACCAACTATTCTCCCTCACTGGCGTCGAGCCAGACCGTCAAAAATTTCTCATCAAGGGCGGCCAGCTCAAAGATGACACACCCTTGTCTTCCCTCAAGGCAAAGCCCGGCCAGACCTTCATGATGATGGGCACCCCCTCCGAAGGGCAGGGAGCAATCTCCCGCCCCAAGGAGGAGGTAAAATTTATGGAGGACATGACCGAGGCAGAGATAGCACAACAAGATGGTGCCATCCCTGCTGGTCTGCAGAATCTGGGTAACACTTGCTATTTGAACTCGACTCTACAGACACTGCATGCTCTGCCGGAGCTGAAGGAGGAACTGAAGAAGTACAAAGCAAGCAATGCGCCCGGTCAGAGCCTGTCAAACCTCAGCAGCCTGGGACTTGGTGGCCTCGAAAATTCTGGGGATCTTGCGGCTTCCCTTCGCGACCTCTTCAAGCAGATGTCGGAGACCCAAGAGGGAATCCCTCCATTTGTGTTTCTCAATGCGCTGCGCAACGTCTATCCTCAGTTTGCCCAGCAAGACCGCAGCACCCATGCATATGTCCAGCAAGATGCAGAGGAGGCTTGGTCTCAAATCGTTAACCAGTTGCGAGTCAAGCTAACACTCGCAGGTGGCAACGATGGACCTGCCGGTCGGACTTCGTTTGTTGACAAGTATATGGCCGGTCAATTCTCTTCTACTACTGAATGTGATGATCCTGGGGCGAAAGAGGCTGGTGAGGAACCTACCAAATCTTCTGATGTTTTCTTCAAATTGGATTGCCACATTGGCAAGGAAACCAACCACCTCAGTGACGGTATTATGGCCGGCCTTCAGGAGCAAATCGAAAAGTATTCTCCTACACTTGATCGCAACGCCTTGTACACCAAAACTTCTCGCATCTCTCGATTGCCCAAGTATTTGACTGTTCACTTTGTTCGCTTTTTCTGGAAGCGTGAGACTCAGAAAAAAGCCAAGATCATGCGCAAGGTTACCTTCCCCGCCGAATTGGACGTTGTTGATTTCTGTACCGAAGACCTTAAGAAGCAGCTCATTCCAGTGCGAGACAAGGTTCGAGAGATTCGAAAAGATGAGATTGATGCCGACCGCGCCCGCAAGCGCCAAAAGTTATCCCAGACCAAGGAGGCAGAGAAGAAGCAAGAGGAAGAGGCAGGAGTTGTCTCACAGGAGCCCATGCTAAAGAAAAGGCGGCTGAGGAGGAGAAGGAGAAGAAGGGCGACAAGGATGGGGACACCGCAATGCAAGAATCATACAAGACCGATGCGGAGTACGAGGCCGAAAAGACTGCCGCCATCCGTGCTGCCAAGGAGGAACTGTATGAACTCCTGAAACAGAATGGCTCTGGTGCCGACAACGGGACTAATCAGTCGGGCCTTTACGAGCTTCGCGGTGTCATCACACACCAGGGAGCTAGTGCCGACAGCGGCCATTACACCGCATACGTCAAGAAAAAGAGTCTGAAGCCCGAAGATGCTCGAGCTGGCGATAAGCGTCGTGACGATGACGACAAGTGGTGGTGGTTCAACGACGACAAGGTTTCCGAGGTCGAGGCCGAGAAGATCGAAACTCTGTCTGGTGGCGGTAAGTGTTCGAATGTGAGATCGAAAGCCTGCCTTGCTAACATAACCCTCCAGGCGAGTCTCATTCCGCTTTGATTCTCTTGTACGGGGCCATTGACTTGCCCCAGCTGGATTAATCCCGCCACAATGGCTTGGTCTACGCTAGATGAATAGACACGATAACCACGAGCCAATGCTCATATGACGAATGGAATCTGTTTCAAGCAGAAAATACTAGTGTGCTCCCTCGCTGGATTCGTAATTCATGATGGTGATCCAGTGCCTGAGACCCGCCGGAGTACCGTAGTCACGTGATGTAGACCTCGGCCAAGCTCCAGAGCTTCAAGCCAAAGCAAATGCATTTCTCACTGCTGTAATCTTCTAATCAGGAAGGCAATGTGACCAGTATGTATTCGCGACCGACTATGCAATTACTGCTACGCTCCTTTGGAACGCGACTGAACCTCCTCTCCCGAACTTCCGTCCGTAATATTGCCACAAACTCGCCCCGGCCCTCTACACAATCGCGATCACCATGGCCTCGCCGTCTACTCTACATTGCCATCTTTGGAGCTCTGGGGAAGCTGGCGGGTGACCAATCCGAGAAGCTTATCCTCCATCCCATTACCCCTGGGTCGGCAGAAGACGAAGCAGGGCTAGAGAGCATTCGGAAAGTCTTTGACGCCCTTCCTATGGTACAAAAGCTACGAGAGAACCCGGACTACGTGGAAACCGAGGCCTACGAGAACTTTAGTGAGGAAAAGAAGCGACCTCGATTAACAAGTGGCCCGATGGCTGGAGCCCGAGGCTTAGGATTGCAGGTAAGCCTAGACGATTGCTGGGTATAGCCAAGCCACGCCCACTGAACGATCGGGAGGTTTTTGGTTTTGTTCTAGCTTAGCATGTGTTGTATGATGCGCCTTTACTAACTGACTTTTGCCTGGCTACTACAGAAAGTTTTTTGGAATGACAAAGACCGTGAGCTCGTCAATGTGGTCTTCTTTGGGCCTGGCCTTGATGGCTGGCCGAGCATGGTGCATGGTGGAGCAATAGGCACCGTAATTGATGAAAGTTTGGGCCGAGCTGCCATTCGACACTTCCCGGTGCGCACGGGAGTCACTGCAAACCTCAACATTAACTATCGCGCACCGGTCTACTCCTCAAGATACTACGCCTTCCGTACCAAGCTGGACCAGGAACGGAGCACCGACAGAAAGGCGTACGCCACCTGCGAAGTTCGAGACAGCCAAGGTCGTCTATGTGTTGAGGCATCCGGGCTCTTCGTGGTTCCCAAGAAGTTCCAGCTTGCTGAAATCGGCGATCGTTTTTGACACATGAAAACCAACCATGGATGTAAAGAGTCCTGTGACATGCCGCTTCCTATTTCCCATTCTACACAGACGGCCCAGATCTTCATTCTCGTATTTGCGCCAAGAGCCGGTCATTGACTTGACCGACACTTCGAGGCATTCCACACCTCAGAATCTCGGGAACATCGTTCATTCCTGATCATTTGGGGAGCCTGCATCTTTAGTTTCTATGTATGTAGTTAGCATACTCCGTATAATGACATGGCTTCTGCATAATCTCCTTGCCATGTGCTTCATGACGGGCACAGACCTTGGCATGGTCAAAGGAGTGTTTCACCACCTGACGAGGTCCCTTTTGCTGCGGGGTTGAGCCTATTGCGGACATACATCCGGCCCTGGCGATCGAGACTCGCGCTCATGACGCCTCGAGTTCATCCAAGCCCAATCAAGCCTAATCAAGCCTATTCGTGGCGCTGGTCCGTTTCGCGGGACAGACTCCACTTTTCTCCATGTTTTCTATTCCCCGCATTTTCTGATCTGCCCGTTTGTAGGAGTTGTTCCTTTGTTTTGAGAAGCAGCCTCGGTACTTTCTCGATTCCTGTTCTTTTCCCCGGCTATCGCTTAAACTAGTTATGTTTCCTGGCCGAGTGGTCAAGTGGGCCTGCGGCCTCTCATCGCCACTCTCTTCTCGTGCAACACCATTCGCCAGATCGCCAATTTCGAAGTAAGCGAGCGGGACCGGGTCTTTGCGAGAGAGACCCAAGTCCTTGTGGCCCGTCTGTGCAGTGTCAGACCTGCCTGACAGGTCATGCCGCGCGAGGCGAAGTAGTATATCTCCTCCGTTCCCCACCAGTGGGAGGTCGGTTGAGAAGTTGAACTGATCAAGGAACTTTTCCTAGTACTCAGGTTGATACCTGTCTACTACATTAGTTGTGCCTTTTCTACTTCCGATATAATCTCACCCTTCGTCACGATACCCCCGATTCAATCTTCTTGAACTGCCGATCATGGTGGGCCCAATCGAACCCACAACCTCTTCGCCGGTCGAGGAGAAAAACGGGTTTGGATTTGAACCACAAAAGAGCGATGAACTCGGCGGTAGGCATATTCACCGGGAGGTGGTTGACTCTGCCTCCAACGAAGAAGCTCTCCATGAATCCGAGCAAGATATACCGGTTCGTATTAGTACCTAGAAGTCATTTGGAGCGCATGGGCAATGCTGATCTCAAATGCTTAGATGACTTTCCGACGGTTCATGGGATTCACAGCTATGGCTTTTCTATGGACTGGAAGCCAGATCCCAATCTACCTCTTCGGTACGTAAATCTGCGATATCAAAGTTTGCCGCGGGTATGATATATTGACTGGAAGTGTCGTCCAGGTGGGATCCCACCGTATATCTATGGAGATATCGGAGGAGCAGACCGATGGATTTGGTTGGTATGGAGCCCTCGGTTCGTTCCAGTCAGAGATGCCTTTCTAACCATTTAGTTGATAGGTACTTGCGAACTTGCTGAGTCTAGCAGGCGTGTGCCCCTTCGTCGGTTCTCTCTCTGATCTCTTCGGCCGTCGTTACGTGGCTATCGCTGGTGCTTCGCTCGTCTGCCTTGGAATGATTGTCTGCGGTACGGCAAATACTATGAACACCTTTATCGGTATGTTTCTAATCCAGAAGGTCTGCTCATGAAACTAAGACTTATTTGCAGGGGGCATGGCTATCGCCGGGGGTGGAGCCGGCATAAATGAATTGACTGCACTTGCAGCCACTTCAGAAATGGCACCCACTCGTAAGCGGGGCGTCTATGTCGCAGTACTCATTTTTACGATTATTCCGTTCTGTCCATCTGTGCTCTGGGCACAACTGATTTCCTACTACAGCGATTGGCGATACGTGGCTGCCTTTGCGGGCGCTTGGAATGGGTTTGGCCTATTGGCCACCGTTCTTTTCTACTTTCCACCTCCCCGAGCCAACTCGCTTGGCTTGACGCGAAGAGAGATTATTGGACGGGTAGACTACGTGGGCGGATTCTTGAGTATCACTGGTCTGGTCGTCTTTTTGGCCGGTTTGCAATGGGGTGGCTATCAGGTACGTCATCTTTGACCCGAACTGGTGATCATACTCACATCTGCTACAGTACCCCTGGTCTTCCGCTCACGTCCTTGCGCCTTTGATCATCGGCTTCTTCCTTCTCATCGCTTTTGGGTTCTGGGAAGTATATGGAGCCAAGTACCCGATCTTCCCAAGCCGCTTGAAGCAGGAACCTCGGACACTGGGCCTGACTTTGGTCATCACTTTTATTTCCGGGGCGAATTTCTTCTCGGTCCTGATGTTCTGGCCCACCGAGTCTTTCAATGTTTACGGTCATGATCCAATTAGCGTCGGCGTTCGTAGTCTGCCCATCGGGTTTGGTATTCTGGCTGGAGCGTGTATCGTGCTCGTCCTCCTGAGTGTCTTTCGAGGGAATAACAAGGAGCTCCTGATTATCAGTAGCGTACTTATGACCGCAGGTCAGTACACTCTCCATTCGAAAACAGGCCATTAACTAACGCAACTCAGGATGTGGTGCTCTGGCTGTTGGACGTGTCGATAATCTCTATCGGCTCTGGGGTATCCTTGTTCTTGCTGGTCTCGGAATTGGGGGCATTGTTGTTCCTGCCTCAATTATCACGACCATCATCTGTCCTGATGTATGACTCTCCTCGGGCCATACCTGCTGGGGGCCTTGGCTAACTCCTTGCAGGACCTCATCGCCACGGTTTCCGCTTTGACTTTGTCGATTCGTGTAGTGGGAGGTGGTATTGGCTATACCATCTATTACAACGTCTTCATCTCCAAATTCATACCGGCAGCAGAGAAATATATTGGTGGAGTCATGGTGACGCAGCTCAATATCACTGACACCGCGGCGATAGCAGAAGTCATCACTCTGACCGGTGCCTCTCTACTGAATGATATCAAGCAGATCCCGGGTATTGCAGGTAATGAGATGGCCTACAATATGGTTGTGGAGGCTGGTCAGATTGCTTATGCCGAGGGTTATAAATGGGTGTACTATGTTAGCATCGCTTTTGGCGCAGTCTCCATTCTGGCTGCTTGCTTCTTGGGTAATATCAAGAAATACATGACGGACCATGTGGCGGTGGTCATGTGATTTCTTTCTAAGAAACGATCGAATGTACGGGAATGGATTAATCACAACATCTTGTACCAAAATTTGGATGAGGGGATACAGATTTCATAGGCCCAATCAGTTTGTATCCATCGCAAGAGAGCAAGTATTAGCTTATTTCGTACTCCTGAAGTCCCCCAGTGGGGCCGCCGATCCATGACGCGCCAAGCCTCAAGCAACTTTTTCGATCGCGGGACCTTTAAACCACCTGAATTGTAACTGCTACGACAGCTACGATCACCAGGCATAATGGCCTCGCTCCCTGGGAAGAGGAAGCCTGCGGGATCGATCGGGGCGTCTCGGAAACGTGCCAAAACATACGATGCGCGCACCTTGGCTGTCCAATCCACCGAAGCTGCCCTCTCTGCAACAGGCGAACTCGATGTCGCTGCATATGCTGCTGCCCGCACTTTCGAAATCCAGGCTCTGGAGAAAGGCATGCAACGATCCAAGGGTGCTTTGACGACACGAGCCTTTCAAAAAGTTCCCCGTTCGCTGCGTCGCCGCACAGCGAGTCATAATGTGAAACGCGTACCGCGGAGGCTAAGAGCACGCGCGAAGCGAGAGGTACACTTTCCTGGATCTTGACTTGAGAACCCAGACTAACGAGGCCCATCTATTTACAGATGGTTGAAGACAATACGCCCACCGTTACTGCTCGGAGACGCAAGCCATCCCAGATCATGCGGATTCGGCTCGAAACTGCCCGGCGTCTCCAGAATCTTAATGCGAAAGCGAAACGGCGCCGACGTGCAGCCAAATCTCATGAGGGAAAGAAAGCGAACGTATTCTGAAGGAACAGGGCTCGCATTCGTTCAATATTGCACCGCGGATACCTAAAATCAAGAAGAACAAGCTCTCCCGACCAGCACCTGCCGATGCCAAGTATCGCAAACGTCAAAGGTGCAAAACGTGGCTCCCAACTCATCTTTTCCATGCCAAGAGAGCTCATATGGCCACGACAAAATCCCCGCTTTGGCGATTTGCAATCCCCATTTCTCCGACAGAGAAAAGTTATCGTCCTACACATAGAGCTCGAGGATCCCGTGGTGCGGTAGCATGGGATATGAGTTACATGTCTACGATACAGCTCGATGGCAACTTTGATTGCATTGAAGCTGTTCTGCGAGCAGTTGGTGTAGAAGGTGATGAAGCATGGGGCACCAGGGGAAGGAAATGGCGGCTCGGTACTCGAGTATTACAAGCTTGGACATATGAAAAAGACAACCGGGCCGTGCCAATTGCTCCAGTAACCTTACTTTGGTCTGTCCATACGAAGCCGGAAGATATCGTACCAGGCGATTCCACTCGACCATCTTTAGAGAAGGCCCGGCGAAAGCTATGGGTACGTGTTCATCCGTCTGCATTTCTTCAGCTATGGACAGATCTGCTTGATCTATCAAAGCGACAAAACCCTCATGTCACTGTTGAGGATCTGCGATTTGAGATTGGTAGCATTGAGATTACAGGCCCCGGTTCGACGGAGGCCTTGATTGCAGCATTACGCCCGGTTCGGGGTGAAGACGGCACAGCCCCAGATCCACGAAGCCCTGTGGCCACCTGGTCTGGGCTTCTTGGTGTCACAAACCCATCTTCGCTTCCGCAGAATGCTTTGTTATCGTTTGATGTTTCTGATCCTCGGCTTCACTTTCCACCCCAGCGACTAGAGATCCCTGAGGGTGAAAGCCACATGGTTGACCTAGCCAATTTATTGTCCACATGGACACCTGATCAGACGCAAGAACGATTCACTATCTTTGAGCGCTCAAATCGTCTGTCGGCTTCACGTCAGCTTCCAAGCCAAAAAGCTATCAATCGTCGTCGTGAGAAAACTCGCCAGGAAGCTGGCCCTGGAAATCATCCCGCCCCCCCAGCCCAATGACCCCAGGATTCCAGTGTTAGTCTTTGCCACCCGCCATTCGGATGGATCTAAGCAGAGTTCTGCACCGGGATCCTGGACGGTCCTTTTACCTTGGAAATGCGTTCCGCCCGTGTGGTACTCTCTCATGTACTACCCGCTCTCTAGCGGCGGAAGTCCGCGCTTTGGTGGGCTCAAGGAGCAGCAGCAGCTGGCCTTTGAGGCGGGCGAACCCTGGTTTCCTGGTGACTACCCTGGGACACGAGCTGGCTGGGAGTGGGGGCAAATGCAAGCCCAGAAATCGCAGGCTGAATGGGAACGGAGACCTAAGGGTCGTCGACCTGCTTTTGACAGTCTTACACTGGGCGAGGGTAGGCCTAAGGGCGAAATAGGCCGCGGTTGGGCTTGTGACTGGGAGAGGCTTATCCAAGGGCCTCCAAAAGACGTTCAAGGCAATTCAAGCTCCAAGGCAGAGAAGGCATCGCAAAAAGAGACGGAAAATGTGGAATCGCCAGTGCCTCCCTTGAATATTCACAGTCTGCGTTTCCCATTGAAGAACACAGACCATATCCTCGCCAATCTGGGCAGGACGCCTCCAAGCTCTTCCGGTCTTGCCACGGTCTATATTACACTCTCCAACCGAGGCACACCAGAACCTTGCGCACGCATCTACCGTCTTCCAACCGACCAAGGTTTGCGTCAGAAATGGACGGATTTGAAGTCCAGTGCCGGCTCCAAATTACAAGCCCAGCACCATAGACGACGCTGTCCTTCTGTTTCAGGCGAGCAAGCACGTCGTAAACTTGCCGAGTCTCTCATCTCAGCGACTGCACCAGAAAACTCAAAGCCGGATTGCTTGGAAGTCCCACCCGAGAAAGACTTGATTGGCTTTATCACTACCGGAAACTACAATCTCTCGGAGGGCAAGGCAACAGGGATTGGCTCGATTTTATTGCACAAGGTCTTGGTGGCAGATTTCAAACAGCATGAGAGACGTATGTGTATTATTCGAGGCTCAGGAGAGAGGACAGGAAGGCTCGGTGTGTGGGAGCTTGTATGATAATCTGATGCTTGATACCCCATGAGACCAATGTGCTGGTCTCACAATGAAAGAATCCCAGTTATTGTATCCCTTTCTCCTGGGCTTTCAATTGGAGACTCTTATCTTAGCTACGCGCGTAGATAATATTGATCTACCATGCAGGGGTTCTTATTTTTCTCCCTATGCAGTTTCATAGCTAGCTACCCAAAAGAACAAAATCACAGTCTATACATACAGTACAGCGGCCGGTAGCAGAGTGACGGTGGGCACATAATCCGAAGGAAAAGGCGGGGGGGACATGCACTGAACTTTCGCTGTAATCTAACCCACAATGCGATCCACGAAAGCTGCCTCCATCTTCGCCACCTCGCGCTTGAACGCCTCAACCTCCTTCCAGCAATCCAACGGGCGGCGGTCGTTCAATCGCAAGCAGCCCACAACATCCGTCTGGGCCTTGGCAACTCCCTCATCCAGCTCTAACAACTTTCTCCGTCCATCGAGCCGGTTACGCAGCTGTACAATCTCGCTTGATAGAGAGCTGTAGGACAGCTCGCGGTCCAAGGAACCGGATTGCGCGGTATCGTCTGTTGGCGCGGCCGCGGGGGGTGTCGTATTCCCGGCCGGCGAAGGGGATCCGTGGGGCATCCAGGTTCAATGACCCCATGCCGTACCCGGAAGGCGCTGGCGCAACGGGAGCTGTAGCGGCGCTGATGGGGATGGATCCGGTGTCTTTGGCTTCGGCGAGGCGCTTCTCAATCTCGGCGAGAGTTTGCTTTTCGCGCTCGTGGAGGCGCTTCAGTTCCTCGGCGACGCGGTTTTGGATCTCCAGCTCCAGAGACTTGGCGCGCGAGGAGTCGGTCTGCTCTGTAGGTGAGTTTGGTGTTTCGCTTGGAAGGGCATTGGGGTTATTAACGGACCTCGGAGGTGGTCTGGAGGGCCTCCACTAGGTTGGAGGAGAATTGCACGGGAGAGTTACTGCGACGGGAGTTCATGTCAGCTTCAAGATTTAGGAGAACAATTCGTCCAGGTGTGTCCGCATCGAGGCATGTGAGGAAGGAAAGATCGCAATGATCTTCGACCGTAGTGACCCGATGTTTGCGGCTCCGGCTAGGACGAATTGGCGGAAACAGAGGATTGTTAAGGCCGTACCTAGAGAAGACATGCTTTGAGCTGCCCGTAGCCTCGGGCTTAGAGCTGCCAGCACCCATGATTGTAAATTGGCCGTGATTGCTGTGACGTCGGAATCGAGAAGGGCGTGATCCAGCTCGACCCGATCCTCCGATATTTAGGTCACGTGTTGGATTAGTCACCTCCCCCCGTCGGAAACGATATCGTTGGGATGTTCAAGTATGGGATTCAAGCAGCGCGGTGGAATCAATCATAAAACCGGTGGAACCGGTGGCCTTCGCTACTAGGTACCTTTATGATATTAAAATCCTGCAAAACCAACAACTAAGGTACTGGCGTACAAAAAAGCAAAGACCAACCTTGTGCAAATGTGTACTACATGCAGTCCTATTCTCGGCAGCCAGTCCGTAGGGTTGAACACGTTGGCAAAACAGCAAAGGAGTATCCTCAGTAGCTGGTAGAGATTCCCCATAGCAATACGTCCTAGGATGTGAACTAGGGACGATTGGAAAATCCGGGCAACTCACGCACGTCTTCATGCAGAGAACTATGACGAGCCCTCCGAGAACAAGGATGCCCTCAAAGTATACGCTTGGTACACGACGAGACAAGCAATCTCAAAATATCTTTGCACCTTCACGTCAATATTAATAAATCGTTCATTAGCCACAATGGACCGATTCCCAGGAATCCAAGGCATTTGGGGTCAGTTCCCTCGCTCAAAGGACTACACTCATCTGGCCGTCCGTTTTGCTCTTTTATATCTCCAAAATACGCGCGTTGACTAGCTATATTTCACTTTCTACATCTCTCAAGATCACGAATGCTTGGAATGCTGGCCCATGAGCCCGAACCATCGGTGCTATTGAATTATTCTCACTGATAACAGAGTTCAGTCTCCACAACGATCGTGGTATCAAATATTGTACAAATTCTGGCTCCACCCGACATCATCGTCATCTATGCAATTCTTAGGGAAAGACCAATCCAGAGACGCCATAAACATGAGACTTGTAAGTCGAAAGGAAGGAAAAATGAAAAAAAAAAAGGGGCGGGCGTCGAAAGTAGGGTCACAATGGGGAAAGAAAAATGAGAAAAGGATAGGCAAAGAAGCAAAGAACGCCATAAACACCCCGATAAGTCAGGAAAGGAGTCGATCGAAAGGATCATTCTTCCCCTTATGCATCCGCATTGTCGCTCTTGATATCGTCGTCATTATCTTCCACAGTAAAAGAGTTCTTCAGTTTACTAGGACCGGGCTTGTTGACCGATCCCTTCTTAGAGGAGTTGAGCTTCTTCTTTTTTTGTGGGACTGGGGCTCCCCTCATCATCATCTGTATGCGAACGCTTCGGTGCTGAGGATGTGGGACTGCTGGCGCCACTAGCACCGCTGTCGGTTGGCGTCTTGTTACGTGTACTACCCCCACGACCGGAAATATTCATACAGCGTTCCAGATGCTGAGCAACACGGTTCATGACAAAGTAACGCGGGCAAAGGGGGCATTTGCTGGTGGGAATCTCGGGAATCGTGCTGTCTTTCTCGTTCTTTCGCTTCTTCGGGTTCGGCATCACCGCGAACATCTTGCCATGCACATCATGGCCGGGAATCGTAATAAGCGGGCCATTTTGACAGTATTCGCGGTTGGAGTCTGGTGGTGGTCGGTATCCAGCCCCGACTGGCGGGTAAGAAAGTCGCGGCAGTCGGCAGTCTGGGCAGACGATTTCTTTGACGGTGTGCATAGGGTTGCCCTTCAAGTGTACTTTCCCGCGATCGAAGATGGCCGCGTCCGTCTCCAGATGGGTGTTGGCAAGCTTGTTCGCATCGATAATGACTTCCTTGGCCTTTCCATCGGCTACCGATTTGCTTGGCGATTCATCCGGGACAAGAGCTCCCTCCTCGGCCTTTTGTCGCGCAAGGACAACGGCAGAGCGCATCCGCGCGATTTTCTCTTCGCGGTGGACCTTGGCGACCAGATCATGGATTATGTTGTGGAAGGTTTCATTGAGGATATCGGTTGACTAGCGAAACCCGTGAGCGTCCAATACCACCTCGCGCGAGCTTGATGAGACAACACATACCACTTTAGCGACAGTACCGGCAGGAAAGACCGGGTTTGTGGAGTCGGGGCCGGCCATTTTCCGGGGCGGTGCTGGGCAAGGAACTACCCTGCTCGAGTTTGCACTTGTACAATTCCTACTGCGTAGATTCCCCACAGGCGTACTGGCCCACGGCACGGTCCAGATGCCTCAATTCGCACGAGTGCGAGGGTCTAGTCGTCCATGTGCCGTGTTCTGTATGTAGGGAGGTGCCGGTGCAACTAGGCCGGAGTCGGTCCGAACAAGTGGAGGTGGCGACCATAGAACGACCGCAAATGAACGCGAGTAGGCTCCCCGTCCTAGAACCTGAGCCCCGGTATTAGCACAGGGCCAAATCCCAAAGGAAAACAGATGCCGAAGTAGAAATCGGGAACTCGGAATTGGGATGAGTGATGAGGTAGGTAAGAGCCCACTTAAACAGGCGTACCAATAGGGGGAGCGCAACGCGACAAAGAAGAGAAAAAAAAACTCTTTGCCAATGAAAGCCAAGGAGATCATTCAATGGCCACCTTGCGGATCGAGACAACTGAAAGGAAAGCACACTTACCACGAGCTGCTGGGCTGGGGGGGAAGGATGATAGTCAAAAGGTCGATGCCGGAAAACGAAGATGAACTGTCAAAGTCACGGCCGCCGCTTATCTTATCGTTTCTCCGCACCTGGAACTGACTGGACTTCACCTTCACGGTGTTCGGGGGCCTCGACATCCACTCCTCCGCAGTCCTGATGGCATACCAATTCTTCCCAAAATCCCAGTCGAGGTCGTCGACGCCTCGACCGTCAGCTCCTGCAGCCTCGCGTGCCGGGCCGCCTATACACCCGCCCCCACTGCAACCGCCAGATGTTGCGAAGTCCCATGTCACCAAGGAGTCGTTTACACCCTATCCACATACTGTCGCAGCAGCGTACAGGACACCGCACCCCCATATTACGGTGGAAACGGTGAAGACAGCGCATATCCCCTCCTTGACCAGGATTACGGGCCTTCTCTTGCCTATTCGCTACCCCAACTCGTTCTATACGGCCATAATCACCGATCCGGTTGTCGCGTCAATATCACGCGTCGCAGTCTACCATGACCACCCGACGCCGACGTTCACTGATGAGAATGAAACCTCTTGGAACAATAAGGTAATTGGAGGCATACGATGCCGTCTAGAGAGACTCGAGGCAGAGCCGGAAGCCGAGAAGCCCGAGGCTACAAATCTATACATCCAGACACTACATCTGCTTTCGCCGTATCGAGGCCATGGCGTGGCAGCATCCCTGCTAAACTCTATACTTTACACTAGTAATGAGACTGATGCTTCAAAGCGCACGGTTTCTGATCTTGTGAAGCACTACAATATCCGCTCTGTGACGGCCCACGTCCACGAGGCAAATGAGGATGCACTAAAGTGGTATGAATCGCGGGGCTTTGTGTTGAAGGATGGTGTCATTGAAGGCTACTATCGTCGTCTCAGTCCCTCTGGCGCAAAGATCGTTCAACTAGATGTGCCGTGGGAGGAAGCGACAGGAGCGGCTAAAGTCAAATCTCCTCCCGCAGCGACAGGCGCTCCCCAAGAGAGGGAGTTATCGCCTAATGATGCTGATGATGAGGACTGGGAGAAGGTGGAAGTCGAGGATGGTGAAGATGATGATCATGACGTTCTGCATGAATCACAGATATTCGAGAGAAATGAGAGCGAAGCCCTTCCTAGGAAGCGCAAGGCCGAGGAGCAGAATGGGAGCCAAACTCAACGGAGGTGATGCATATTCTGAGATCTAAGTAGCTTTATTGTCGTCACGATCTTGCATTCTCGGATACCCTATGAATTAAATGAACCCTACCATGTTCCAACTGGAAGTTGTCTTTCAATCCGTTGATTTCCAACGGTATGCTCAACCTCATATGTAGCAGGGTTTGTGGTCCCCCGATGTCTTCGAACAGGCTCATTCACGATACCAATAAGAAGGCTTTTGTTCGACTTTCAGGGACTTGAGCGCCAGAGCTTCCGCTGTTTAATATCTAGTACTAGCAATAATGCATGTATACCTCCCCTAGTACGAATGTAGGTAGAAGCTACGCCGCATGCAATATTGGAAGAACAATCACTTGATGATCCAAGTGACTAAGAAGAACTTTGGAAGGTGACCCAGAGCCATTGCGAAAGTCTAGCGATAAACATATAAATTAATCTTTTAACTCCCTTGAATTCTCAAGGATATTTAGCAAAGAGAAGGATTGCTTCATTCAGTGGTCTAGAACGCGTCACGGGTATCAAACAGGTATGCAAGAAAGCATCGCCAATGAAATTCGAAGATCAGATGTTGTAGTTCTCTGCATGTAGATAGATCTCATCTTTGGACGAGTCCGTCAAGACTTGCATTTGCAGTTTCGCCACGGTATTAGCCACGTCCACACGCAGACTAGGTGGTCCACAGACAAAGACGCAAGCGCGACGCCCAAATCCCTTAGAGAACTCGTTCAGCATCTTAGGCACATCTGGGCGGAAGTAATCGGTCTTCCAATTATCCCTCCGCGTCATCGGCTGGAATGATGCGTAACGTGGTGTCTGCTTCGGGATTGCCGTCTGCTGAGGTAGTTGTTGACCGTTGCCAAAGCCAAAGTCAAAAGGTACACTCTGAGGAGCCCTGGGTGCTCCATGGGGGACCATGCCCGGCTGCGGGAAAGCGTAAGTTTGAGGATAATGGCGGCTAGTAGCAAAGTAGTTCGCAGCGTAAGCATTTGGTAGAGGAGCAATGCCGTCCTCGTTCTCCCGACGCAATTCCTTTTCTCTCTCTTCATCGCCTGCAGCTACTTCTTGAATATAGGCTGAGCTCCTCTTGTCAATTCCCTGCAGCATATCGTAGATCTTTTCCTGGACCACATCCCGTCCCGCTTGATCAACTTGGTTGAGGCCAGTGAGGAAGAAGTGGCAATTCACGATATTGGCGGGTGCACTATCCCGACAGATGCGAAGCTCCTCTTGGAACCATTCCATGGTCTCTGCGTTTCTCAGAATCCAGATGACCTTGACAGACTTTGTGACCGCCTTTCCATCACGGATCTTCTTGATCAAGTCCAGAAGCTGACTAGCAATCGCAGTAATCCCACTTCCCCCAGCAAAGAAAACCACATCATCAAAAGCGGCCAGTTGACGATGCATTCCTCCGTAGGGCCCTTCGACATAGGCCGAATATGTCTGGAATGGGCCCATCTCCAGAGCTTTGTTGAGCACTTTGCGGGTGAACCCTTTGAATGGGCGGAACACCAAGGTCATATCACGATAGTCTTGACCATATGCCGATGGTAAATCATCGCTACAGAGGGAGGCGATAGTGAATGGGTGGCTCTCGAATAGTGCAATCCTTGGCATCCGTAGATAGACGTATTGCCCAGGACGCCACCGCATCTCCGTGGGGATAGTCACTTTGATGGCGTTCTGCGGGAGCAGAGTCACAGAACATTCCTCTCCGATCATGAAGGACTCCGTGCGGAATGGGCTCGACCAGTTCAGGTAGAACAGGCGAATAAAGTAAGTAATCGCCCAAATAGCCACCGTTGAGAACAGGTAACCCCACGAATGGAGATAGTTCTTCGTATGCCAAATCAGCATGGCCACGAAGATCCAAGACACTGGGATATGGATATAGATGAAGAGTTCGTACAGGCGGTGACGGAGGAAAGGGAGCGAATGGATGCACAGCACCAGCATCGGCACCATCGCTGCCCAGCCAGTTCCATATACATAGATCGGGAGATTGTAAAAGTTACGGTAGTTGATCATGGCCCCATCGGTCCAGATTGGCGTGACGTAAAACGGAATCATGTGCACCAAGCAGAGGAAAAGGCAAATATAGGCTGACCATCGGTGCAGTCCATTCAATCGCTCGGGGCCCAGTCCCGTGAGCATGGTGATCAGGTTCGCTTTCGTGGCCAATGCGACAATCCACGGTACCATCGCGACAGCCAGCATACCCGCCCGAATCGCGAGCGGTGGTGAGCCTAGTGCAATCGACCAATAGTACAATGGCTGTGGCACGAAACAGTACAGCACCACAAAGACCAAAGCGACGAATATGATTGCCACCACAGCGCCTGACGGAAAGGCAAATACCAGACTGCCGATCCTGAACGAGGGTATAGGTCGATAAAACACCCATCGGAAGAGCGCGATAGACTTGTTCAGAGGAACCAGCCGCTGCAGGAAAGATTCCCGTCGCAGAGGTTGAGAGGTTGGGGCGGATGATTTCAAGTTCGGTGATGGGAAGAACTGTGCGCTGGAAGCATCAGTGCCTGCACTGGGGAGTTCGTATTCGTCAGGCGACGAAGCATTGTTCGAGTCTGTGAGGTCCGGCGATCCGTTCTCTCTATGCAGCACAATCCGCATTTTATCGCCCCAAGTATTATAGAAGCGTACGACCGATGTGCAGACCAGCAACACCACGGCAAAGTAGACGAACCCATATCCGTATTTCCCAGCATTCCGGAAATTGTCGCGGTTCATCTCATTTCGCTCAGCGGCGGTGGTCGAGGCCGTAATTTCGACATAGACCCGCTTGGCGAGGGAGCTCATCTCGTTCCACATCGTGTTCAAGTTGATTATTATGAAAGATGGCGCTCCTTCCTGAGCGCAGACAGCATCTCACTGCACAATATTTTTTTAGCTTTCAATCCATATTCCATGTGCCTCTGGGCATTCTCACGGTTTGCGTACCTCTATCGAAACGAGATCTCTTTGCATGCGAGTCGCTCTCTCCCGCGTGTTATGACAGCGTCAAGCACATGCTCAGAGCTCTTCAAAACTTGATCGGAGAAAATGGAAAGGGGAGGGGGAGGTCTAATTGTATGGAACAGCACAAGTGGGGGGGGCACTGCACCGAAAACATCGTCGTACACTGTGACGGGATAAGCCATGGCTGCATGAGTTCGGCTTCTGAACTACCGTCCGAGCCAATAACACAGAGAATCGTTCCAGGAGGGCTCGTTCCAGGGTGGGTACTTCGGGCTTGCCTGGGCGCTTCACTTGACTGCAACGCAACCCCCTCATGCGGAGTGATCTCCAGTGATGTGTGATGGTTTAGCGCCCTGCAGGCCAATCACAGTGGAGTCTTTGGATCAACTTTGTGACACCGTTTCCGTATTGGGCCACCTGGGCAGCTAATCACCTGCTGACTACTCCGTACACCAGGACATTAACCCGAAGGGGAATGGTAAACTTCAGGAAGGCTTCTCCCTACCACTAGTTTCCTGTGCCGAGGACATGACCATCACCCTTATGAAGTGTTGAGCATGAATAGCGTGTGAACGCGTGTAAAGAACACCGAGTATGAGCTTCATCTGCGCTTAAGTGCTGATGGATCAGCGGGGTGTTAACCGTTGACAATTCCCCCAAATTACAAGATCTGCCATTCTCTTCAAAATAGATGGGAAAGGAAGTTGCAGCCTCCTAAGAGCGGCGCTTAGGCCTCGTTTAACTAATGGGTTTGAGCATTTTGGCGCCATGGTAGTTTTGGACGTAGCAAGCGCAAATTCAGAACTGTTCCGTACACTAGATAAGCCTCTCGCCTTTTGTTTCGTTATGTTCTTGAGCACTCACATCTATTCGAGCATTCCTAACACAAACACATACTGGAAATCGTATATTGATTAACGGTATCTCTGTTTTACGAGCTGGACCTTTTCCAGAATCACAATGTAGACTGTACGATCCTTGCCAATTATTTCTCAGATGACGTGTTAACAGATCTTAAATTCAGTCTGCTCAAATCCAAAGATGAGCCATAGCTCTGGTCGATCGGGGTTTTGCACCAACGCAGCATGCGGCCATGCCAATGGCATTCACCGCTACGAAGTCTGTCGCGCTCCAAGTTAAAGGGTTCGATGGAAACGGTGCACAGCTCCAGGTGACTGCGACGGGTTGTATTACAGGATTTGCAAGCGTTGTCCTGCTCATCCAGGAGGTATCCCAGAAGACTGGGTTTCAACCAGCAATATTCCACGTGCAGGAGCATAAGGTCTTTAGCAGGTGAGATCAGTATGCATTCCCGATATGACCGAATGCTGACCCATGCTAAAGAAATTGCCATGCTCGGCGGGTTATATGTTTTGCTAGTCAATTCTATTGAGCCATGATTCAATATGACCTTCCTTTTTGATGCCAGAGTTTGGAGTATGTGGCTCATCAATCTCATCCACATCCATAGAGCTTTCTTCCCAAAGTTCTTGAAGCCATTCATCCTGATAGATACCTTCAGGGGGTAGGCCCTCTCCATTGATCAATAACCAGTGGAAAACATCCAACGAAGCTTCTCTTGAAGCAGTTTGATCAATTTCTTTTTTTTCAAATATTTTTGCATTCTCAACAGCGGGGATACTTTGTTCAAACTTTATTTTCGAGAATTGTTCAAAATTTGTTCTCGAGAATCCATAATCGTGAATAATCGCTCCATCCGCCAATTCCCAAGTAAAATGTTCGTATTGATATTCATGCCGAGGGCACTTCAAGTGTGCAGTGACACGAAGAGCGCAATTCGTCGTTGGAGAGGTGCCGCATGGTGCCCAAGGTGTACTGGGGGCGTATGTATAGCATAAATCATCCTCCTCAATCGAAGGGAGATGAAGTAAACGCCACACATCTGTCCTTGAGATGCTTCCCGACTCTTCACAGGTATATGGACCTGAGCCTGGAATATCCATGAAGCTTTGCGCAGAGCCAGTCCAGGGATGGGCAAGAGGTTCAAGAGGTGGCCTCCCCCTGCTGACCTTCTGCAGAATTATAGGGCCGAGTCCACTAGCAATTGCTCCAACCCAAAGTGCACTCAAGTTTGGTCGGCGAATGGCACCTATCAAAGCAAGGATTTCTTGATTGTGGCTTTTTTTGAGAGAAGCCCCACCCAGGACCTCATTTAGCACTGGATGAAGCCAAGGGCTGACAAGATTGCAGGGAACCTCCGGTTCCCAAAAAGACCCGCAAAGAGCTGACATCAATACTTCCGGGATACAGCTCAAGCTTATATAATATGGAAGGTCGTCATTCAGATTTGCCCATGCTGAGGAAATGGCTTCGGTGCGGGTATTTGATTTGTAGCCACCTGTTGAAAACGGAGAAGGTAATTGGACTGTCGAGCCATAAAATCTGTGTGTTGGGAAACTGATTGCCATCGCCAGGGCAATGGGCAATTGACTTCCCAGTTCATGCAAGCGGCAAAACTCCAAAAGTACTTGAAAAGCTCTAGTTGAAGATAAGGGCGTATGGGAAGGGGATACAGAAGACGGTCCCCCTTTGAGACTAAAACTTGTTTTGCACTCGCGAGAAATTGTCCACGGAGTGAAGTACTTGCAGTTGGAACTTCGTTCCACAACGCCTTCCCACCCTGCGTGTGGAGCGAGTATCGCCGACCACCAACACGCCACTTCCTCATCCACTTCCCCAATATCGATGACATGCGATTGAGAGTCTTCTGATTGTTTCCCTGGGATTTTTTGAATCGCATCACTCTTATATTGCATGGTAGCACCATCCCCGCATATCTCAATGAGCCGTGCAGATAGAACATAACACCAGCCAAGAGCGAGAATTCCCAAATATTGAGGACAAGGGATTTTTTTCGTCTCTGGTCCGGACCCACGAATTGCAAATGCCACCGTGAAAGCTGTAAGGGGTTGCAGTACTGATACCAATATGTAGCAGAGCTGAGTGTGATTTCGCCGCTTTGATTCTATCGCAATTTGGATTCTCTAGCAACTTCCAGGTAGAGTTAGCTTGGAAGCAAAGGGCAAGATTTGGGGAATTTCCATAGGGACGGGCATAGGTCTCCCTAGGTCGGCCTTGAAATTGAGGTATCTTATGAAGACTTTGGCGAGGGCTTGTATACTCCGAAGGCAAGCCATGGTGTCGGAGGGCGCAGGCCAGTGAAGCGAGCTGATACCAGTAGCACCGGCTTTGTTCTAATGCAGAAAGGAGCTGTTCGTCGTGAGGCTGAAGATGGTCGTCATCATCAACAATCTATTTATTACTCAACCAGTTTAGTTCGACCGGTGCAGAAAAGGAAACGATCTCGGCACTACCGAAGAAAGACGAGGTGGGAGCAGTAATTGTTTCGGAAACAATGTAGACGACATTTTCAAGGCCGCGCTCAAGGACATCGGAAAAGCGGCCCTCTCATGTAGGATTGTCGAGGGTTGTATGTTAATGAGTTATTGGGCCATAAGCAAAATAACAAACGTCGTCAGGCTGACCGCCCAACCTAAACCCCTTACTGCCGCGTTTGTGATGGCGTTGGGGGGTCACAGTAATTGGGTCAATATTGTGGGTGGGGCACATCCCTTGTACTGGAGGTGACCGGGCCGCATTAGCGTGGTGGAGTTGAGCTTCGAGCCCGCCTATTACATATTCCAATAAAGTCGATAAATGCTGACCGGTTCGACTTCGCGTCTGTTTCTGTTGGGTGGGTTCTGCATTGGAAAAGGATTCTAGCTGCTGGATGGTTTCTTGATATAGGTGGGGGTTATTTCCACCCGTACTGTAGCGTAATCATCGTCATAGACAGCTTTTTTTTCGCCGAGCTCTAATCCAGGATAGAATTGAGGATGGACCAAATGACTCTCGTGGGCGTGAGGCAATGGCTCTTCGCCAATTTGCAGCCTGCTTATTGACCGCTGCCACATTTCCACGTTGCACTTACTGTCTTTTTAGACATGTTGGCTCTTATTACGGTGCAGTTCACACGACCTTCGATGCCTGAGGCATAAGAAGACCGCCCACAGGCGGGATGATTCTGCCGTGAAAATCAATACCACTTTTTCATAAACCTCCAGAGCTTCGAAGATCTACTTAAAGGAGGGCAAAAGATAAGCTACTCCATCAGTCATGGCTACTCCAACAGCGAGTGCTGTCCCTGCAGCACCACCATCACTGTCACTCCCGCCATCCCAATTCGCCCGCCTCCAACCTCACGCCTACCTGCTTGCCCACCTCTCCCCTCCTCCGGCGAGTAACCAACCTTCTATTCGCGCCAATGGCCGCGCCCCGGCTCAATTCCGAGTCACATCAGCCAATTCAGGCTCTCTTACACACACTAATGGTAGTGCCGTGGTGCGCGTCGGAGATACGACTGCTGTGTGCGGTGTCCGCGCCGAGATTTTGCATACAGATGATATCGCATCATGGAGTGTATCGCAGGCTTCATCAGGCAACACTCACAAGCGCCGACGTCTAGGCGATCTGGGAGGAAAGCCCACCGAGGAATCTGACGATACCTATGCCGATGCCCAAGATGATGAAGACCGAGCTCACATTCAAGACCTCAATCTCCTCGTTCCCAACCTTTCTCTGAGTACAGGCTGTGCCCCCGGCTTTACTCCAGGCGCTCCACCGTCGAGTCTAGCCCAATCTCTCTCTCATCAAATACTCTCGCTTCTTCACACTTCCCGCCTCGTGCGAGCGGATGACTTGCGCATCTGGTATCAGCCGCCGAATCTTGGACGCGAAGATCTCGAACGACATAATGAGGATGAGGCTATGGATGTCGATGCTGGCCCGGGTGCCGCTGGTCTCAGCAAGCCCCGAGAAATCAAGGCATTCTGGGTTCTCTACATCGATGTCATGATTATCTCTCTTGCAGGAAACCCCTTCGACGCAGCATGGGCATCTGTGCTAGCTGCTTTGCGCGATACTAAGCTTCCAAAGGCTTGGTGGGATATTGATAATGAGACGATTCTCTGCTCCGACGATGTTTCTCAAGCACGCAAGCTGAGCTTACGAGGATTCCCCATTGCTAGCTCGTTCTGTGTCTTTGACGCAGATGCCGCGGCCGCATACCGAGCTGTTGTCATTCCAAAGGCTGATGAGCCGAAGCGCAGGGGCTTCAAGCAGACTTGGATCCTGGCTGACCCCGATGGCTATGAAGAAGGTCTGAGCCAAGAAAGGGCTTGCCTTGTTGTTGATAAGGAGAGTAACGGGCAAGGGAAGACCGTGATTGTGAAAATGGAAAAGCATGGCGGATGGATAATCGATACCGAGGACCTTCGACAGTTGGTGAGCATGTCGGCTCAAAGATGGGATGAGATGAAGCAGATCCTCGAACAGTGCTGAGAGGTAGTTTGAAGCAGTTACAAAAGAACATGATACCACCTTTATGAGATGCCATAAAGACCGATTTGACCTTTCACTCTCTTCGTTGCTACTAGAATACATGGAAGGTATGCCGATATGACTTTGTTCAGTCGTTGGCTTGTCATAAGAATACACTAGTTTGAAAAGTAGAATAACAAACCTCGAGCCAGTCGCGCAAATGAACAAGGAAGCACTCTCATCAATCATGCGATGGCTTCCTCGGTGTGCCACGGCGTTTCTTCAATGGCCGCTCACTGCCTTCCACGGGCCCAGGGATCATCACAGGTTCATTTTCGGGGTCTGGCTTGGCCGCCGATGAGGCAGAACTGCTCCGCTTCTTGCGATGCAAAGAGACAGAGAAGGAGAACAAGTCATAGTCATCTGTTGAGCCAGTATCCTTGGGCTTTTCAGAGTCAGAGCTCTTCGAGCCTTCACTTTTGATGGAGCTACTTGGCCCTGTCTTCTTTGCAACGTCATCTTCCTTCGCACCGTCGGGTTTACCATACCATACTCGAGAGAAGAGACCCTTAATACCCTGTCCATTTTCGGTCTTGTCGGTCTCTTCGTTCTTCGTGTCTTCTTTGTCGGACTTTTCTTCGTCATCGTCTTCTTCGGCATCCGAGAATTCCCACATATCGCGAATTTCCCCCCGGAAGAAGGCTGTACCCCAAAGCGAGATCAAGACACTGGGCACAAGATATAGCAGAGCGGGTTGAGCATGGTTGGAATATTGCATGGCCAAAAGCGTTGTGATCATCCCAATCACATAGCCTACAATACTGGCCTTGAAGTAAACCTTGGGAAATGACCGCGCATCGAAGTAAGGGGGTTGAAGCTCCAGGCTTTGCGGGGCGATGGCTGGGGCCCAAAACTTCTCGCCCCAGGAACCAGTCGCTCGTTCATATTTCGGCTTGACCACCTCACTCAAGCCAGTGAGCTGGGCTATTTGAGCCCCTTTGCATTTGTAATAGAGGAAAAGGTCAAACCGCAGGGCTAGTCCAATCATCATGCCTGGGATGACAATATCACCCAAACCAAGCATGGCCAATGACTTCTCCTCGCCTGCTGTTGGCGGCCGAGGAAACAGGAGTTTGATCGGAACATCCAACTTTGTGGCGACAGTGACCATCAGAGGTGTAAAAAACACAAAGTAGATGTCATAAAAGAATAAGGACCCTAGAATCATTGAGCCAGTGCAGAAAGTTGACGGAGACATAAATTGCAAAGCTCCATAGGAGAAGCTGAATCCCAAGAAGTTGGTTAGCCACCATGGCTTCGTCACGAAAGCGAAGTATCCCACTGCAACCAGGGAAATAATGACACTCAACATGTCGAGAAGACCCACCAGCATCTTCCCTTCGAGTGCACCTCGAACTTTTGCTCGCACCCTCAACCGCTGGTAGCAAGCATTGCGCAAAGCCCAAAGGGTATTTAAGATGGCAGTAGGCAGAGGGATGGACCCAAATACCCCAGGCAGCGGCGACAATCGTACATCTTCCGATCCATCTGACTTGGAAACACGCTTCGCTTGATTCACTCGGTAGAGTCTGCCCCACGAACGATAATATTGCGGGAATATCACAGAGCGGACAATCAAGAAGAAGTCCTTCAAGAAGGCAACAGCAAAGAAAAGCCCCATCTGTGAGAAGTAAAAACTCAGGATCTTGTTCAGGATCGCGGGATCTTCTAGCCACTTGATCACCAAGTACAGCCCACCGAGGGTCAGTCCGGCAGTAAGCGGGAACATGAGAGCATCCGATGGCTCCAGCCCTTCCATCTTCTGGATGGGGCCTGTGTCTTCCGATTCTTCATCATCAGTGTCGGTTTCATCGTCTCCCTTCTTCTGAGGCTTGGCAGCTGAAGACGGCCTAGAAAGAGATGCATGGGCTCCAATCCAGATTGGAAATAGTGCAGCAACCAACAAGTGGCCGTAGGTGGGCAAGAAGGGCCGTATGCGCTCGAAATGATAGAATGCGTGCCCGAGCACCTCAGCGAGGGGGCTGATGTCGGCCTCGGCCATGATACTGTCTCAGATTTTCAGGAGACAGTGAGATGGTGCAAGTCAAGAGAAAGAGAAGTATCCAGGAAATTGTCGATGAATCACTCCATTGTGAGCAGGGTTGTTTATCAAAAGGTTGCGTGTTTCGATCCGAAGTTCCCACGTTGAGGGAGAATGTCGATTGCCAGCCTCCTCCGCCTTTTTTATTTCGCACCTTCCCTCTCGCTCGCAACCAGAAGATCACCTAGCTCCACGATGGCAACCGACGTGGTATTCGATACCTCAATGGTCCGGTTCTCCTGTTTTTGTCTTTTTCTGTCCTAAAGCTAACGTCTTCTCAGGGTTCTTTCACTGTTGAGCTCTACAACTCCCATGCGCCCAAGGTCAGCACCCCACTTCACGACTGCCCTACGAATAGCTCTCCAGCTAACTCTTGAAATCTTTTTAGACCTGCAAGAACTTTGCCACTCTCGCGCAGCGTGGCTACTACAACAATGTGATCTTCCACCGCATTATTCCCAACTTTATGATTCAAACGGGCGACCCAACGGGCACTGGCCGAGGCGGAAGTTCGATCTACGGCGAGAAATTCGAGGATGAGATTCGCGACGATCTAAAGCACACGGGCGCTGGGGTATTGAGCATGGCAAATAGCGGTCCCAACACAAATGGCAGCCAATTTTTTATCACCCTGGCTCCAACGCCCTGGCTGGACGGAAAACACACAATTTTTGGTCGTGTCAAAAGCGGCATGAGAGTCATCCAGCGCATGGGACTAGTCAAGACTCGGGGCGAAGACCGACCAGTCGATGAGGTGAAAATCATTCGCGCAAGGGTTGTGGAGGGTGAAGAGTGAGCAGCCTTTAAAGCGCAAGACTTTAAGATTGCACAATTGCTTGTTCGAGGTTCTGCATTATTGTTTACGCGTTGCTCTGCTGTCTTGCATCAATCGCGACCCATATTCCATGAAGGGCATACGAGAGTATACATGTCCTTTGGCCTGCGTAACGCAGGAGACAAATCTCAAGCGCCGCCCGACTACCATCCAAGACTGGATGGGGGCCCCCTTCGTGACAATGCCCCTACCAGAACGGGTTTACGTCCAACATTGATGGTCTACGAGGGATTCGATGTGTGGGGTTCGTACACCTAGCTAAGAAAATATGAATGTATCACTACAAACGAACCGCTTCCATCAGATCATAAATCCAGAGCAGCAGATACAGAGTGAATTTCTCATCTGCCACTCCCCCGACGAGAACCAGTGAAGGTCTGCGCCATAAAGCCCGAGATTGCCATGGTGAGGCAACCGAGCTGTGCAAGCACTGGGAGTGGCATGGGAGAGAAAACTTCCTCCGGTGGAGTTCGATTCCAATCCATTTAAACCGCTTGGCTGAGTCATCATATGCACGTGATGTTATGGGCTACGTGAGCCATTGTCACTCGAGGGCTACTTAGATCTTATTCATTTTGCAATGGGCCAGGTTCACGACGAATCAAAGGGAAAGAGCAGCGTGAGGTGATACTGAATGCAATTCATCACATTTTCCGAGCATTCCTTTACCAGCTCAAAGCCTGGAACTTGGAGCCTAGATAGTCCGAGTCTCATGCAGCTAACTCCTTCACCTTCTCTGCCATGCTGATACCTGCTGCTCTTCCTGAAAATATACAACCCCCTAAGAAAGTACCCTCAAGAGCACTGTATCCATGAACGCCCCCTCCCCCAAATCCAGCTGCTTCACCTGCAGCATAAAGCCCCGGGAACGGGCTTCCGTCCGGGCGAAGGACATTTCCTTCTAAGTTGGTATGAATGCCTCCTAAACTTTTTCGGGTCAAAATGTTCAGTCGGACTGCAATAAAGGGGCCATATCCTGGATCAGTCAGCTTGTGGAGCTTTGCCACCCTGGTCCATTTCTCTGGCCAGTAGCTCAATGCGTTCTTGATCAGCATAATTTGGGCATCCTTGGTGTACTCGTTGTCGAGTTGAATATCCCGAGTTCGGATTTCACTCTCCAGTTTCTCTAATTCAATGATAGGTCCGTTGCGCTCTTCAGCCAGTTTATTCATACGATCGACGAGTCCGGGTAGTGTTGCTTCCAGTATGAAGTCGGAGCCTTTATCCATGAATGCTTGTACCGGCCCAGGGGGTGACCAGCCCAAAACGCGTTGGAGCGCTCCTAGAATGCTCTTTCCGGTAATGTCGGGGTTCTGCTCAGAGCCAGAGAGTGCAAACTCCTTGCAAATTATTGAACGGTCCAGGACAAACCAAGAGTAGTCGTATCCAGTACCACAAATGTGCTTCAGCGTCGCCAGTGTATCACTCCCGGGATAAAGCATAGGCGGCAGTCTGTTTCCCAAGGCATCAAGCCATAGAGAGGAAGGGCCGGGGAGAATTCTGATACCATGATTAGGCCAAATAGGATTCCAGTTTTCAAGACCCTCGGTGTAGTGCCACATCCGATCCTCATTGATGACATCAGCTCCGGCTTCTCGAGCGATACCGATCATACGGCCATCGACGTGAGCAGGAACGCCAACAACGACCTTTGATGGTGGCTGACCGAGGCGATCAACAGGCCAATTCTTCTTTACCAACTCGATGTCACCGCCAATTCCACCACTGCTGATTAAAATAGATGATCCATGAAGCTCAAACGTATCGATACTCTTGCGGCTGCTTGCCACACCACGAGCCGTTTCAGATGGCTCGAGGATTTTCCCACGGATGCCGATAGCAGCGCCAGAATTCTCATCCACCAGCAAAGAATCAACTTGATGTCGGAACTTGAACTCGATAAGTTTCTTTTTCTCAGCTTCTCGAACTGGCTTCTCGAAAAGTTGGGTCACAGCTGGGCCAGTTCCCCATGTGAGATGGAATCTTGGAACAGAATTGCCATGCCCTGCAGCATTTCCGTCTCCTCGCTCGGCCCACCCTACGCTAAGAAACTCCAATCCCAGTGCTTTGACGTAGTCCTCAAGGTGTTCTGTTGCGAAGTCGACAAAAGCCTCCGCCCATTTTCTCGGCCAGTAATCGCATTCGCGATCGAATCGGGCAGTTCCGAACCAATCTTGTAGCGCTAGTTCGCGGCTGTCCTTGATCCCAGCTCGGCGTTGCTCGGCTGAGTTCACGCAGAAAAGCCCACCGAGCGACCAGAACGCTTGTCCACCTAGGCTTGCCTCGTTTTCTTGGTCGACGATGATAGTGCGCACCTCTCGTTTAGAGAGCTCATATGCAGCGACCAGCCCGGCTAAGCCACCTCCGATTATAATGACTGGGGACTCATGCGCCATAATTGTTATAAATTCTGCTGGTTTCGCGGGAGAATCACTTCTCTGAGATTTGATTGGGGCTTTGTGTACTGTTCAGCTTGGTTGTTAGACAGGCCGATTTTGAGGCGATACACAAGACTGAGTAGGACATACTTTAATGGATACTCATTGAGAGATGACGTGGTAGACCTCGGCTGTTTACGTGTTGTACAGATGAACCTCTGCGTTCGGGCTCTCACTCTCAATTTAATGGGTAGTTTTCGCAAATTGTGTCGACCTGTGAAATACCCAAAATCCTACCATTTTCCAACGTGGTTCCAATTTTGAGACTTCTACCCCGCTGGCATCCGGCTCCCTCTGCCGTGGCCGGCTCCATCGAGCTGGGTCCACTGAATCCTTCGGCGCCTTGGTCGGACCAAATGGACAGTCTGAATCGAGTAATAAATGCGACCGGGTCAAGCTACAATGCGCTTGAAGCTCTAAGCCCACAAATCCGTAAGTCTTCGTCTCCAAAGACGCCCCGCGAACCGATTAATCGTGATTTTCGAAAGACAGTATTTCGTAGATCGAGGGACTGGGCTGGTATCAGATACTGGAGCGCTGCAAGATTTAAGGTATGCCACCGCCCTCCAAGCTGCAGTTTGCTACTGGCAATGAATGAAAAAAGGTTAGAATCCCACCTACGTAAGCATCAAACGGGAGCTTGTTATATTTGTCATTCTCTTATATATAGCTAATCAGAGCCTTGGTTTGGATAGAATGATCGTATAGTAGACCCTCAAGTATACCAGTGTCTAGCTCGATTCAAGCACTCTAGCAACGGCGGGTACCCCGGACGAGTACATGCAAGCTCACCTAACGCAGAGCCCCACCGGCTGACCGCCTTGGCCCACAAAACAGAAGCTCCGCAACGTGAACAAATTTTTCCTTTCCTTCAGCATTACGAAGCTGTAGCTCTCTGGCCTCTGGCATTTCAGGCCTGAGCTTACATGTCACTGTAGTCCGTTAACTCACCACCGGCAGCTTCATTTCTGCTTGGCATCATGGAGACCCTTGCACAGACATCCTGGGATGTTATTATCGCAGGAACAGATCTGGCACAATCCCTTCTGGCCTTGTGAGTCCGATTGCTCTACTGCGTTCTGCTTGGTTCTGACTTCAATTCCCAAAGAGCTCTTTCGCGCTCAGGAAAGAAAATCCTTCATTTGGACCAAAACCAATACTATGGAGGATCCGAGGCAGCCTTTAGTCTGGACGAGGCCCAGGAGTGGATGAATAGTGTCAATCAACGTGCGTCTCCGAGAAGGCCTTGCGAGCTGGCCACCTGCTGATCTTGATTCAACGGTAGGTCGAGGCCGGTCTCCATTTGAAGACGTCGAGATTTTGTCATACCAGCACTCGCAAGATCCTGCGCAGCTAGCGTCAGACCCTCCGAAGCTTGCAGCCAGCCGAGCCTATACCCTTTCTTTATCTCCATACTTCCTTTATACCCGCTCTGCACTAATCTCTGCCCTCTTATCCTCGAAGGTCTATCGCCAGCTGGAGTTCATGGCTATGGGAAGCTGGTGGATCTATACCCCAGACAGCCTAGCTTCTGATGGCGATGACCCCGTTGCCACACGTGCTTTCCATCGTGTGCCTGGCAACCGAGAAGATGTTTTCGCAGACAAGCATATCAGCATGAAGTCCAAGCGGGCTCTGATGCGGTTCCTGCGTCACATTAGCAAATCAGAAGACGAGGCACCCGAAGAAGCGGCTGCCGAAGACCTGTCTGTGCCATTTGGACAATATTTGTCGTCTAACTTCAGTGTACCAGAAGATCTTCATGATCCCCTCATCTCTCTTTCGCTATCCCAGCTGTCCCGGCAGGAAACAACGGCGAGCTATGCAGTTCCTCGTGTCAAGCGACATCTTGCATCCATCGGCTCTTTAGGACCTGGATTCGGTGGCGTAGTCTCCAAGTATGGCTGTGGATCTGAAATTCTCCAAGTTGCCTGCCGTGCATCCGCTGTAGGTGGAGGCGTCTATGCGCTAGACACGGGTGTCCAGAAAATCACCGATGAAACATCCGAAGATGAGTACCCGGTCGAGGTCCATCTGTCTAATGGAGAAAAATTACGCTCCAAGTTTGTCGTTGGCTCTGCTTGGACCCTCTCTGCCGATACACCAGAGCTATTTGGCTCCAAGGTTGCACGATCCGTCAGTGTGGTCTCATCCGATTTTGCTTCGCTATTCCCCGTCACTGTCGAAGGGGCGCCTGTTCCTGCCAGTGCCCTTCTAATGTTCCCCGGTGACAAATTGAACAGCCCGCAGTCGCCGCCAGTCTATCTCCAGATTCATTCGAGTGACACCGGCGACTGCCCCCGTCAACAGAGTAAGTTCATCTGCCTTGATCCTCACATACCTCCAAATGCTCGCATGATGCTTTCCTTTACTTATCTACATTGGCTGTAACTCCATTGATGAGATTTCTTCTATCTAAACTGATCACGAGCAATGTTCACCTCCGATTTCGTCATGAATCTGTCGCGCATATGGCTAACATGTGAACGCAGGTATCATCTACGGCGGCGTTTCAGTCCCAGGGCCAGAAGGACAGGCTCTTCTTGAATCGGCTGTAAATAAACTCATCCAGGCTGAGGGCCCGAAGGCCATTATTCTATGGTCATTGCGATATACCCAGCTTGGTCGACTTAGTAACGACGGCACTCCGTCAGAGCTCAAGACCCACTCACCCCACTCACCCCATGTCTACAGCTTTCCCCGCCCAGCCTTGATATCGCGTTCGAAGACGATCTCCTCGACACCGTGAAAGAGTCATGGCTGAAGGTTGCTGGTGATGTGGATCCAAATGACTTTATGATATTTGATGACCGCGAAGGTACATCTGATGAATAATACCGTTATTGCTTGTCATGCCATTCTAGTACATACGATATAGAACTCAGGCTCCTCGGAGCGATCATACTTGGCCGTTTTTCATTTCTCCAAAATCGACCTGGGAATATATGTCTAAGCACTAGTAATTATCTGCCATCATTTCCGATTAGCCTTGTATCATCCGATTCGCTCCATGGGTTATTCAAGTTCTACATATCTAGCACTCCACGGCCGGCTTTAAATAAACATTGCGTAAGTTACGGATTAGATTTTGTCAATAGAATTTGCGTATACAATGTTTGGCCCCCAAGATTTCCCTCCCGACTAAATATTAGATATCCCCCCCCCCAAAAAAGACATGAAATAACCCACCATGAAGTTTTACTGCACAAACTTCGACGCTATCGACAGAAGCTGTTGCCGCTGCTGGTAAACAGCACCCGAAAGCGCGAGTGTCCCAAGCCCAAATGCCCACTTGGTCAAATTGCTAGGAACATCATTTCCATCTCGATCAAAGGGTGGCGTAACTTTTGGCGAAAGGGCGTTGGTCTTCTCCAGAGAATATGGAGGATACCGAGCACTCAGTAGCCCTTCCACCCACGAGGGCATGGCATTGATGTAGGTACGCAGATGTGAGAACTCGCGTACCCCGTGAGGTCCGTGGTAGTATCCAAAGCCAGATGTGCCGGTACCACCGAATGGAGCGTCACTAGGAAGGACATGAAGGGTGCAGTCGTTGAAAGTCACGCCTCCAGATTGTGTCTCGTTGAGTACACGTCGTTTCTCTGCTTCGCTGTGCGTGAAAGCGTAGATGCCCAGCGGACGTCCTGTCTTACGAGTAATCGAAAAGGCACCGTCCAGGTCGGCATCCAGAATCGGTAAAATCGGACCAAAGAGCTCTTCGGAAAAGAGAGAGTCGCTTGGCTGCACGCCTGTAACGATTGTTGGGGCGAAGAATCGGGTGGCACGGTCTCTCTGGCCGCCGTATACAATTTGACCGGAGCTTTCCCTCAGGAGGCGGTCTAGGCGATCGAAGTTTCGCTCGTTTATGATATGGGTATAGTAATCTGGTCGGTTATCTCGGCCACCCAAAAAAGTATCAAAATATTGGCCTAGTTTCTCCACGAAGGCTTCGCGGACCGTCGGGTCCACGATTACATGATTGACGTTCAAGCAAATCTATGCTGTTTGTCAGTAGGGTACTGAACATATACTTCCACGACAGAGACCACGTACCTGGCCAGCATTCTGGAATTTGGTGGCTGCAATGTGCTTTGCAGAGAGATCGATATCAGCGGCAGGTGTCACAATGGCAGGTGCTTGGCCGCCCAGCTCTAAGGTGACTGGGGTGAGATGTTTTGCTGCAGCTGCGTAGATGATCTTGCCAACGGAGCCTGATCCGGTGTAAAAGATGTGATCAAAAGGGCGGTCCAGGATGTGCTGCATCTCCTGCGCGCCAGCAGTGACAACAAGGACAGCACTCGTATCGAGATACTGAGGAATGATATCCACCAAGACGTCTTGACAGGCGAGCGCCATATCTGACGGCTTCACGATAATTGCGCAACCAGCAGCGATTGCCGCGACCATAGGTTGGAGGGTCAATAAAATAGGGTAATTCCAGGCTCCAATAATGAGGGCCACGCCCTTGGGCTCTTTGCGGACCCTTGTATTGCCTAAAAAATTGACTGGATCCCATCGCGTGGGTATTTCATCTTGAGTCCATTTGTCCAGATTCTGCAATGTGTGCAGAATGTCTTTTTGGAGCATGCCAATGTCCGCAATGATGCTTTCCTGCCTGTGACGGTGCAAGTCAGTGTACAGAGCAGCGCAGAGACGATCTCTATTATCTTCGATCATCCACCAAGTGCGTTTGAGCTGTTGTCGGCGCCATCCCTTGTCCTTGGTGGCGCCACTCGCAAAGGTATCCTGCACCGTATGATAGGCCTGGAAGCAGTGAATTAGTAAGGAACGAAATCATATGAGAAATCATTAAAGCAACAAGAATCATCAAATTACCTGGTCGAATTCGGCTGCGGTGCTGAATCCCATGATGTAGGAGCTTGTGCGCCGAGCCCGATGTGTTTAGTCGGAGGGGCGATCTCAATTTCGAGCAATACACCTTTTTGTTTCTCGAGCCCACAGGTCCAGGAGGGGGTACTTCTTTCAATGACTATGCTAGATGCAGCTAACGATGCAAACTTGCGTTGTTTCCCGTGTCTCATAGGCCATCCCCGATTAATGTGGGGAATAAGTAGCACCTAGACCCGCGTAGCAGGACCCAGCGTTTGCGATTGAGCGCGTTAGTGGCTGCCATCCTGCACCAGTGACTAGCCGTGCACCAGAGCATCCGATCGACGGAATGCGATCGGTGAATGGGCCGAGAAAGATCTCATGAACCGAGCAAAAGGGGCCTCGTGAGGCTTGAAGACGTGAAGGAGCCTGGAAAGGAGATAGAGGCACCTTCCTCAGACCATAATTGTCAGTACTCTCAGATCCGGTCTACCTCGTAGAATCATGCCGGCTTGGTGGTGCGCACACCGGGCACTTGGCCCAAATGTTGCATCAGTCTTTCCGTGTGGGTGGTGCCCACAGTGTCGTTGAGACGCGAAGGAGCGTTTTAAGATCCAAAGGAAGTTCCTTTGTCTGAAAGGCCCCCAATATGCTCTCTATATTGACCAACGCGCAAGGAATGCACCATCACGGCACCGCAAATCCCCTGCCGTCAACTGGTGGATTGAACGGGATTTGGAGCCGATTAAAGCCACCGACACCCTCGGGCGCAGTGGGTGGTCTTTCCAAGTTGTTTCTGGTTGAAGCTCGAAATCGCTGCGACTGGGCACCCCTAATGCCAGGTACGAACAAATTTGCAGAACTTTCGTCCATTCACGTTGATCCATCGATCTGGCCCAATATCCGAAACAACCTTCCAATGAAGAACGACGCATGCGAAACGGAACTGGTCATTTCCGAATGCGCTCCAGCTGCAATTCAACTACAACTGACAAGGAAGAAAAGACTTGTCGACTGGGCGAATAAAGTTAAACATTTAACTCGGGCATGACGGGCGCGCTACTCCATATCTGATTTTCTATTTGGGGGCGCATGTCTTGTATCTCATGGCGTCCAGGGAAATATACTTCGGAGTGGTGGGTGTCCTGTTAGTCACTGGAATCCCTCCATGGATAAATATATCTTGGAGCTACCTATTTACTAGCATAGGTGCCGTGGTGGGTTGTTGGAGGGATGCTAAATAACGTACTAACGAGATGGCTGCTCGTATACCTAGGCAGGAGAGGCAGAATTGTGTTCATTGTACGACCTGTCGAATATTCATATTGTGATGTTCTCTGCGGAGGACACCCTGGAAGTCACAAGCAGTGGCTGAGGCCTTCCTGGCCCCCCGCCAATTCGAAGCAGCCACAAATGAGACGGTGAGACCAAAGCTTCCTGTGTTACACGTTCTCTGGACCCCGTAGGAATCCCATTCTTGCTTCACATGTACATCTCTGTCGTGGATGGTCCGAAATGCGTGACGGTGACGATCACCGCCGGGGGCCGTAACCTACCAGCCCCTCGTTCGCTTCGCCATCGATAATTGGATCCATCAGTAATGTATGAAACGCTGACGAGCATCCACCCTCGACAGAGCGATTGGCATCCGGAGCGTTTCATGTGCACGTCGATTTGCAGGGCAAAGTTGCAATGCTCGAGATCTTCAGTTAATCTTTGATCTCTTTCCTTCGGACCCCGCCGATGAGCCTTGAACACTCCTTTCCCAGTATTTTAGCCGATGGGTTCTAAGGATTTGGCCCGGCATTTGCCTATCAATGATATTGAGAGGATTGGGAAGGGAGACCGCCCGTATCCATAGTTCCCACTCGAACCGTTCTTCGTTTTAGGGCGATAAGCCCCCCCCCCATGGGTGGACCAGACTTCATCAAACCTCTACTGCTACGGAAGGTCTCTCGAGGGCTCGAAATCTAATGAGGGGGCGGTTGGGACCGATAGGGGCACGTTGTCACGCAGGAATCTAGCCACGCTCCATGAAAGTGAGAAAGGCGATGGCGTTGTATTGCACCATCTTTCATGCTCCTCTCATTGGGTTATTGAAGAAGCTTATACCTGCCTACAGCGACTAGTACAGAGAGACAGGCGTAAAATTACGGGATTCTAGAATTTCGGCGGACCAGGTTCCTTGAATGGCTTCTACGGATGCTCCACCCAGCAGCGGAAATTAGCTGGAGGCCAAATTCCCACGGAGCACCCGCTCTTCGGATGGCAAAAGGGACTGGCGATCAGGGGGTTCCGACTCCACTTTTCATGGACCTACCACACTGCAGTTCAGGGTCCGTAAGATTACCGGCTGTTGAAATGGGTTTTCGGCGGGGTTCCCCGATGGCTTCGCTGCTCATTCGACTCGGACATGCAGTGGGCCGTGACGGCATAGGGCTCGAGTCGGGGCTCGGCGAATTCAAAGTCAGATTGGGACGATACGCTACTCGCCAGGCGTCGGTCTGAGTTACCTGCTGAAACGCAAAACATCACCCGAGAGTTTCTCCGTGGGGGGTTTGGGAAGTGCAAGTTCAAGTAGGCAAGGCACGCCTCCGCGGCCGCGTGCATGACTGGTAAAGTACTGAAATGAGCGGCTGGGACCATGGTTGCTGCTGGGTTAAGGTTAATTTCACGGACTCGCCTAAAACGGCGGGATCTGAGACACACTGCGCTCTGGCCGGCGTACTGATTGCTTGGCCCCTACTAGGAATAATAATAAAGTTCAAGGGAGTTTCCGTGTATTGCATCCATACACTGTGTAGATGTTGTCGGCACTTCGTCAACCTCTGAGTCCAAGGGTTGGAGTTCAAGTCCCAGAAGTTGATCGGGCCACTGAAGCTCCGTGCGTAATGCATGATGCGTATAAGTCTGCAAGCCCCTGCATCCACAGCCAAGCCTTCCCCACGCCGCGGGTACAGCGGCGCCCTTGAGGGGGTAATATATATAGAACACCGACCACGACGCTCATGACGCAGCTGTCTCACGAGATATGAGGAATTTACTTCCCGAATCCGACCGGGCCCTGGAGGGTTTCTTGCTTCAAGTTCTACGGAGTCTCGGACCAATCTGTCCAGAACGCTCGACTTGGAATGGCTGTGCCGTAAATCAGCTGTCGATCGCTGGCCCACCTATCTTCCGGCCGTACCACAGCCAGCGAGGTGAGGCCCGATAAGGCGTTAGTCAGGGTCCAACAGAATGGCGATGAGAAAGGTGCGTATCGGGGAGGAACGTGAATGGGACATTTCCTGCGAAAGAGCCAAGGTTAACGGCGAGGGACACGCGTCAGTGGGGTCTCCGCTGCCCGCCCTCGCTGCTCTGCTGGGCGCTGACTGGTCAGGGCGGCTGGACGCCAGGGCGATCGGCCTTCTGATCATTTCCTCCACAGGAAACGGAGGAAGCACAGGAAACACTCCAGTCCTCTCACGCCCCGTAAGGACGGTTCCGTAACTTTGCATCGTACGGCGCTTACGGCCTGCGGGTAGATCGAGCGTCTTCTGTTGTAGGACCTTTGCTATACTACCTAGATGAGTTCTCAATTTCGTATCCTGATCTAGTCGGATGCTGGGCATCTTGAGGTTTCAAGGTTCTCTAGCTTCCGCATCCCCCGTGGCTTGATCGTAGGGTCTAAGCGCCAACGGTGACGTGATGTATACTCGATCTTGCAGACCTTTCGGCATCATCATGATGGGATTTACAATGGATGGGAACCTCTCGGAAAAAAAGAACAGAATGCAGACATGGTAGTAATACGACGTTTTCGCTGCCGCAGAAGGAATTGTATACGTCGTATTCAATTGAAAGCTTTCGTGAAAACAGTTTCTATTCTAGAAGGAGAGCGAACGGCTGGTCAATACTGTGTAGTAGCATATCAACCCAGGTAGTGAAGCTTGATAAGGCCAATGATCCTCTGGACTTCCTACAGACCCAACCCTTTTCGGACGGTCTTCCGACGGACGCAAGTCGTTACGGATGATCGGAGAAAATCATTGATGTTCAAGATCAAGGAGATCTGATGGCCGCTCCGCGATCATCCCTCCAGCGGGCAGTCCCTAACACTGATCACATTCCGAAGAGCGATCGAAAACGAATCGTGCAAATGAAGCTAAGGCCCCATCGCTGATCGCTCGGCTGACGATACGCGACCATGGGCAGAGAAGTTGATCTCTCCGACCTAGCATTCCTTTTCCGGCGAGATCGGTGTGGCGAACGCCACGTAGGTTTTTGACGGAATACCACGATAGGCGGGATATTCTAAGCAGATGTCAGGTAGATGAATATATCCGTATATCCTGAACTGCTGGGATTATCGGTTCAAAGCAGGACATAGGAGCTCTCTAGAAGCAGCACGTATGAGAGAAGAGAGAACCAATCAATCAATTAGCAGGGAAAGGCTAGAAGTGTATCAAGGGTGTCTGGGCACATTACCGTATTACCATTCTGTATTACCATTACGGGCCATCTGTACTCCTTCCCCCCAGACCCATTTTTCGCAATTAATGGTGCTTGGTCGCCATCACTTCCTATTTCTCTCCCCTTTTTTCTTCCTTTCGACATCTTCACGACTACCCCCTCCCCTTCCTCAGAATCGACTCTGTTCGAGCTCTGGACGTATCGTCCAGCCGCGTTGGTCTCGCAACCTCTATTTCTCCTTCTGTCCCCCTTTCTTCACAACCGCTTCTCCCCCCTTTGGACCGTGTCGCGGGCCCCGACGCTGCCAGCCTCTCGTTGTTCTCCGGCATTTGAGGTGCCTGTCATTCATTAAAAATCCAAATCCACGCCTCCCGCGCCTAGCTCTGTGGTCAGTTTAAGCTGCACAATTATCCGGGACACGACATTCCTCTTCACGCCAACCCGATAAGATACCTAATCCTCCGAGGCTTTAATTCGCAAATCTCGAAAAAAAAAAGAAAAAAAGAAAGAGAATCTCCCCCTTGCCATTTGACAAGAGCCGCCTTTTTACGTACATGTTCGAAAAATCTTCGCCTCAGTCCGTCAAAATGCCTATTTTCCGGCTGAAGACGGTATTTCCGCTGCTCGCCCTGATCTCCATCGGTGTGTTCTTTTATTGCATGGACCGCTACGATCGATCCGCCTTCCTTCGATTCAAGCATCCCATCGAACATGCCAACCTTGGTTCCAGCCAGTCTCAAATAGACTTATCGCCGGGTGCGAAAGATGCCTCAAATACTTGTGAAGTTGATCCGAAGCTGGCCGCTCCCCTGCCTTTCTCCGAATGGCTTCCTCGCAAGAACTACACCCGCACCTACATGCGCCCCCGTATGGTCAAACCCGATGCTGAGTTCCACACTTTGGAGGAAATTGACAAGCCTGTCCTGCCCCCGTTTGTTGCCATGGAGCGAGGAATGGTGGTCTCTCCCGAAAACCGCGAGGAGAGCTTTGTCTGCCCTCACATCATTGATGTCGATGTCGCATCTGATGACGATGTCGAGGAGACTTCCAAGCTTCTTTTCGGTCTGGCTACCACCGTGGACCGTCTTGATCGCCTGCTCCCATCTTTGCTCTACACGTATGGTAACACCAAGGCTGGTTTGATTGTGCTGGTCCCTGAGTCGGATGACGACCTGGAGCGTCAGGAGACTTACTTCCGTAACCGCGGTCTGGACTTGACACTCAAGGCCTCTCCCTTGGACTTCACTGCTCGTTATTTCGGAATGGTCGAGGCTTTCTCAGAGCACATCCGCATGTACCGCCCTCACACGACTTGGCTTGGATTTAGTGATGACGATACCTTCTTCTTATCCCTGCCTACCATCGCAAAGGAGCTGAAACTCTTTGACGAGAAGAAGAAGCACTACATCGGATCCCTTTCTGAAGCCAGCTGGCAGGTCGATACCTTCGGTCACATCGCCTTCGGAGGTGCTGGCGTCTTCGTCTCCAAGCCGCTGCTAGATGTCCTGATGAATCACTACGACGAGTGCCAGTCTTGGGGTGAGCAACCCGGTGACCAGAAGCTCGGCCAGTGTATCCAGCGTTTCGGTGACACTCCCCTGACCCTCTGGCCCTCTCTCTACCAGATGGACATGACTGATCCCGTGGACGGTGTTTACGAATCCGGTCGCAAGATTGAATCCATGCACCACTGGAACAGCTGGTACACCAAGGATGTTGTTAAGATGACCACGGTTGCTGCAGCCGCCGGTCGTAAGTCCGTGCTGCGCCGCTGGGTCTTTGACCAAGAGGAGACTGTGAACAACGCGACCGGCGAAACCACTCGCCACTTCTGGGTTTTGACCAACGGATATTCCTTGGTCAAGTATACGTATGGTCAGAATACTCCCGATGATGCTGTCAACTTTGATGCTGTGGAGAAGACCTGGCCAGAAGACCCTCTCGGATACGAGTCGCGATTGGGTCCTCTGCGCCCTGCCGAGGAAGAAGGTGTGATCAAGGATCGCTGGCTGATGCACGATGCGTACGTGGTTGGCGAAAATGTCCACCAGTTCTATGTTCGTGAGGAAGACGAGGGCCATAGCGTGATCGAGATTGTGTGGCTCGGCCCCAAGGGGGTGGTGGTGCCGGTGTCACTGACCATCAACTGCGTGGTACTTACCAGCAGCAATAAACGACTTTCCCTTTGCTCATATGGTTACACCCTCGTCCCTTGAATGATTCGGATTCTGGTCCTTCAAAGGACACATTCTCATTATTTCGCTTGTCCAATCATTACCACTTCGCTGCACATGATTCGATTATTGTATCGCCTGCCCGTTACAACTTCATACTTTTTATTATTGTCACGACGCCACACCTCTTGCATCGATCCAACATTTTCTGACCCTTTCTTTTCTACCGGATGAAACTCGTTGATCGTGACCTGTACCTCGTCTCCTCCAGTTTTTGATTCTTTCCCCCCCCTTTTTCCCCCCTTCCATTTATCCGGCGTTAAGCATTGGCGGAGTCCATTGTGGTGCAGGAACCTGGTGGTTTTATGTGCTCCCTATATCCCGGCTCTTTCCACGAGCTTATCTTTTCTTGTGCCTACCTCGTATGGCTTCGGAATGGAGAAGAAACATCCTCCGGTCTCTATCTGCGCCTGCCTGGCTTGCTCGTCTTTCCTTGTTTTTCTTTTCTTTTACTCCCTTCTTCCTAACTTTGCTACTTGTCGGGTGCTCTGATCTCCGTTGTCACCGGGACAGAGTCTTTTATCATGCATCGTGTTTTGTAAAAATAGACTTGAACCGAAGACCATACTTGGGTCTTCGTTGGTGATTAGCGTTGAACTTATTGTTCATTATGTGAAGAATATGATGAAGCCTCAAAAACTCTTACCCTTCTTGAGCATTGCTGTTCTCTCTCCTTAGGCTGGTTCTCTTATCACGCAGCGCATTGGTTCTGCGCTTTTGCCTTATATGGTTGACTGGGCGTCACTTGGTCATGATCTCTATGATGCGTGGGTTGGAAGTTCGATCACGAGTCTTTCGCAGTCTGCACAGGATGGCTGTGACAGGATCCAGCCAGTATACCAAGACAATAGTAATTGCTGATCTTGCATGTGCTGATTTACTCCGCTTGGACTTAGCCATATCCTGGAACTCAACTCTAGACTTCGTGCATTTGCATAGACCAGAAGCGTCCGAACGATCGCCGTTGGTAACAGCCAGAGCCTGAAATCCATTCTTCTATATAAAGCCACCCGCCTGGGAGCAGAGCTCCGCAGGACCTATATCTTCTCTTGATTTACACATTATCGCTCAGTCATGTATGCCGAGGGATTCCGACGGAGGCGGAGGGTCTCGACCTCGGGCCTATTCCCGTCGAATGGGCACACAATGCAGCCTGCTGCAGGGTGTTCCTTGTACTTTATATGACCTCTGCCATGTAGAGAGCTCATGTTGATTGTCGGCTCTGTTTCGATCTCCCCTCAGTCAGAACACGTCCCCGGTCCTGTGGACTCTAATAGAGCCAATGTGTGAGGAGAAGATAGTCCGGGTCTCCATGCGGCTGCGAAGGATGGAGCCGTACAGAAAGCGCGTTGTCCCCGGTGGCTGGGGGCCAATAGTTTGCGAGCTGTGGAATGCAGGGTCAAGCCCTATAGGATAATAATAGAAATTTGTACTGGGGAAAGGGGGAAGAGCAGGAGGCAAAATACCGATCTCAGAAAGGTACGATCCATGATCCACGATCTGACGTCTTTTCTTTTCCCTGTCTTCCGGAACGTCGAAAGCATAATGCCCCTCAGACGATAAAGCGAGTCCAGACCAGCGCAGCATTAACCTTTGGGTTTGCGCTTTCCTCGAAAAAGACGCAAGCGGAGCCACGACGGCCAGCATGTGGGGCTCTTGCGTTGGCCCCTTGGGAAAAAGCGAATCACCAGGCAGGATGGCCTGATCGAGTGGAGAAGGGCCTGAGAGGGGCCAGAATGGGAGCCAACCATGGCTGCGCAGGGAAATCGTTGTATCGTGGCCAATATCTTACGGTATTGTGACGGGGGATGGAGAGGGGAACTGACGGGGGGTACAAGCTACAGTATGGGCAGTGCCGCACAAGCCGGCGTACCACATGCGTCCCGCACTCATCAGGCTGAGGAGAAGGGCGGTCAATACGTGTAATTTGCAAACATCCCCCGTTCCGGGGCCCACTTTAGTAGCATACACCGCCTACCCATCGTAACTCGCACTTTTCCTACTTTGCTCTTCCCCCCCTTCCCTATCCTTCCTATTTCTGATCCAAAGCGTTACTCGATTGGGTTATTTCGATTATCATCCCCTTTTGGCCATCTACAAACCACCCCCCCCCGGTGAACTTGTACGTGGTGCTTTCAGGCCTCTTTTTCAGACCTCGATCCTTTTCATAAGCCTTTATACCATGGCCGACATGTCTGCCGTGACTGACGACAAACTCTCCCCCGGTCACGACGACCTGCAGCAGCCCGGCAACGGTGCTGATGCCCGCGTCCCCAAGCGCAACCGCATGAGCGCTGAGGACGATGATGACGATGATGACAAGCCTGGTCGTGAGCGCCGCAAGATTGAGATCAAGTTCATCCAGGACAAGTCGCGTCGCCACATCACCTTCTCGAAGCGTAAGGCTGGTATCATGAAGAAGGTACGTCGCGAACGCCACCCGGTTTCTTGCCAAACCCCTCCCCTACTCCAATTCCTCTCATGTTTGCCTTTGTTGCTACGGTCGCTATTTAATTTGATGTCTGGCCCCTGACCTCGTTTGCTTCTAGGCCTATGAGCTTTCCGTCCTCACCGGCACTCAGGTGCTGTTGTTGGTTGTTTCCGAGACCGGACTGGTCTACACCTTCACCACCCCCAAGCTCCAGCCTCTGGTTACCAAGGCTGAGGGTAAGAATCTCATCCAGGTAAATTATACACTAATCAGATCCCACCCCTTCACAAAAACTCTAAGTTAATCGCGTCCCAGGCTTGTTTGAACGCGCCCGATCCTACCACCAATGAGAACGGGATCGACGCACCCGACGCGCCGGCTGAGGCCCCCGAAGATGTCGCCCACAACAACGTCCCTGCCGGCCAGCCCAACATGCGCCCCGGCATGCACCCTGGCTACATGACCAGCGAGCAGCAACAGCAGATGGCCTACTACCAGAACCTCCAACAGCACCAGGCTGGTGGCCAGTATCCCGGTATGCCAGTAGGCAGCCGCATGCCCTCTTCGCATCAACCCACCGCGTAAATGTCTTTCTTCTCTTTTTCTCTCTTTATCAGGAAAAGAAAAGGGCTGTGCGCCTCGACCGGGCCCAGACTGGACACTGCGTCTCTCTCTCTGTTTTACTCTCGCGTTCACTTGATACCCGTCCCTCTCTGCTGATCTCCCCCTCCTCTCTACCTCTCTCATGAAATCCTGACATCCCGACATCCTGTTTGGTATGTGTGTTACGTTGCGGATCTATGAAGTGTACATTGCCAACATTACGCGTCGACCTTGGTATCAGGTATTCGATGCCAACTCTTGGGGCTTTTTTTTTTCTCCCCTTTTTTCGCAACCCTGGTTCTTTAACCTTGGGATTGTTGAGTTTCTCATTGACCATGCCTTGAAGATACTCATACTCCTAATTTCTTCTTTTGTTTGCCCCTTAATTTTTTGGGAGTTCTGAATCACCGGGCGAGGAATTGAACAAAAGACACGCGGAAAAAAACCCCCCCTCATCCTCAAAACACCAAAAAAAGAACCAAAAAGAGAATGAAAGAGCGCAAGCACGCAAGTCTGGACTTCAGCACTATCCTGGCTGTCTCGGATTTGCCCCCTCTACCTAGATCGAATGGCGGAGGCTGTTGGTGTTTGTGGTGCATGGTCAGTTTTTGGCGAAGTGGTCCTTGCCTATTATCTGTTTTATTCGTTTGATGTCTCTTTCGTCTCTTTTTCATTTTCCCTTCCCCTTTTTATCTCATACGACCAATTATTGATCCTGTTTTCCTACCCACCTTGTCTAATCTCACACTGTTTTCTTTTTACTGTTTACCCTTTCCATCCCCGTATGTCTGTTCTTGCTAGTACGTGGTGACCTAGTTCTGTTCTGTTCTGCCCCGGGATCGGTATCTTGTACGTGATATGCGAACTTTGTTCCTTGTCTACCTGTAGCTGTGCAGGGTCTTTGCTTTCTAAGTATTTGAGAATAAGTCGGGAAGTATTTATCCTACTTGGTCCATCTCAGCCCTAGTAGCTTCCCAAGAGTGTAGCTATCTCTACTATGATCTACTAGTAAACCCAGCATACAGTGCTCCTTATGGGCACTTATTATGGTTTTTCCATTGTCGAGCTGGTGGGGCTGGTCCCCCCCCCGGATCAAGTGCGGACGTCCTCATGCGGAACGTGCGGCGAGACTAGGTTAGAGTTGCCACGCCCAACCCATGCAGGATAGATCGACATGGGTGGACTTTTTGGTGTACTGCAAGACCAGGGTGTGTGTGCGGCGGGTTTTACAGGGCTAGGAAGATCCTAGGGTTTCTCATTTCCTTCTATCGAAGAATTGGTAGCAAGATTAGGGTAACATGGGGTATGCACAAAATTCCGTCGTTCCTGTAAGCCAATCCATATATAGCCAGGTCATCAATGTTCCTTTGTATCCCGTACCAGTGACACGGCTCGAAGCACAAAAGGAACTGTGGGGATAGAGAGACAAGTACACGCGTGGTGGTGGTTGACCAGTATTTACTGAAAATACTGCCCCTACTGTACATGGCGAAAGTTGCACACCAAGGTCCTGCGGCAGCCTGCGGCAGAAGGTCTGAGTGGTGGCGCTAGTGGATAACGTCTATGAGTGAAGGGTCAAAGCTAATACCCTTGGACATCCGTTATCAAGATGGCGATGGTGGCTGCGGAGATGTCAAGTCGCCCCTGGTAGGATCTTGCGTATCTCCCGTTTTGGGTATACGAACGTCGGAATGAGGGAGAAGAGGGGAGGAGGAGCCGTCGTGTGGATTGGATTCGGAATCATTGCCCGCCCGCGGGCTTGTCCATCGGGATAGGAACTGCCGACTTGATTGCCAGGCACCCATGAGTGACCTTCTGGAGCCTGTGATAAGTCCCAGGAGAGCATTACTTGGGGGAGAAGATGAGGGACCATCTCCTGCTGGATGAACGGGTTGTCTTGAATCATCGCTGATCGTGCCATACTCTTGGTTATTGGAGGACTGCCCGAACCACGGTGTCCGCTTCTTGCGTTGCGACCCCCAAAGACCAGCCCAGGGCATGGATGTGCTGCGCCAGGGGTTTTCGGACGCAGAAGCCTGGACCCGATGAGAACCTCTAGTTCGGTGATACGGGATCGGGCCTATTGTGGAATTGCGGCTGAGGCGCTGTTTTGGGACTTTGAAAGCGGCACCGCTGCTTGAACTCCGCGGGCGATCAGACAAAGAGCGCATGTGCGAGTGACTGACATCCACGTCGGATTCATCGAGTTCAGCCCAAATCGATGCTGCGTTGAGGTCTGCGGCTTCCCGGTGATCCGCGGGCGGGAGGAACGAAAAACTGGGATCTCGTCCTTTTGGAATATGAGGAGTAATGTCGAGGTTGAGTGTTGGCTCGGAGGAGCGGTTCTCGCTCTCCACGGGTCTCTTCGTCGAAGCGGCCGTCCAGCGGCCCGGGCGATGGTGGATATTCTTCTACTACCGCCATGCCGGGGCCCAGGCCCGTCTGCGTAGCTCCAACGACGTTGACCGCGGCATGGTTGTCAACGTCTTCTAGTCGCCATGAAAGGCAAAGAACACCACCCAAGAGAATGATTGTCCCGAGGCTGATGAGGCCGGCATGGAGTTTCGTGAGCTGGGTGACCTGCCGGAAGTAGATCAGGCCATCGAGAATAGCGATGATGTTGTAAATGCAAAAGACAAAAGGATAAAGAATACTGGTGCTACACAGCTTTAATCCACGGTGTAGATAGAATAGCTGTGTTAGCGCTAAGGCGATCATGCCCAGCAAAATCACCCAGGACTGCCAGCGGTTGAACTGGTTCTCCCATCGACTATTGTACGGACAAGTAGCTCCACCGCTGACTTGGCCAGCAAGAGCGAGTGGGCTGACAGGATACCGCTAACGGACCCATAGCACATGCCCCGGAAGAGCTTGATCCGGATCTGAAGCTTTTGCAGATGTGGCGTGAAATGGCCGGTAGCGACAGGCCTGCCTCGAGCACCGGGGAGGAGATATCCGAGAAGCCTCGATCCTACCAAAATGCCTGCAACTACCACCAGTGTTGTGCTCATCCATGCTAGGAATGGCCGGCGCTGGAGGAGGCCCAGGAGTTGGTTCAAGCTATGGGCCGGTTCACCGATGGCGCCAAATGTAGCGATCAGAATAGCGCCGGTGCAGACAAGAACAGTACCCGCGAAAGAATAACGAGTGAAGGGTTCACCAAGAATAAGAGTAGCAATATCGTATTGAATACTAGACCGGACTGCATAGTTGCGTCGTCAACAACAAATCGCAGAGCTTTGCGGGGGGGGGGCAGGCCCGAGACTCACTGCTTGGAGTGTGGAAAGCACCGGGAGTGGAAGCGTTGTAATCTGGATTGTACTTCCCACTATGTTGGAGACAACAAACATGGCCATGCCGAGCTGCCATCGCCGGCGTTTATAGGGCGGCCGGCGCACATCATATGGGCGTTTCTGCTCCTCGAGCAGGTGGGATTTCCGCTGCAGTGTAAGTCCGATTGCCTGCAGACTCGTAGACACCAGCCCAACAAGGATACCCACCTGTGCAAACAACTTCTCAGCGAACCGTTCGACCTATACAGCCATGTTGGCCTAGCTACTTACCGCAACGCTCCCCTGTGGCGATAGGTCACCTAGTTTGCCCATCTTGTAAGTCTTGGATCAACGGGGTGGGCGGACCGTAGCTGCGCATGGAACTATCGGAACACGCAGGCCATGGCTCAGGACGGTAGAGAACTCGTAGGGAGGAGAAAAGGATCGAAGGGGCTCAATAACAAGAAAGGAGACGAAACGAGGGGATAAGATGGAGTGTGGAGAGAGGTTCTGGATGCGGATGCGACAACGGCTAAGACGCCAAGGCAGACGGGCAGCGGATCCCAAGCTTGGGTCACTCTTTCGACCTTCGACCTCCCTTTCCATAACCCCACGTCATTCGGCCTTCTCCCACCCACGTACCTCCCACCTTCTCCATTGCTTCCGATACCACGCATTCCTCGCCGTCATGTCGCAAAGTCACCCTCTGTCCGAGGATCAGGTGAGTTGTTTCGGATCTGTTCTTTCCCGGACCGCAACAGGCGGGCTGATCCCTGCCGAATGATAGGTCGCGGGCGAGCTCCGCAAGATGACCGCGTTCATCCGGCAAGAAGCTCTCGAGAAGGCCCGTGAGATTCAGCTGAAGGCCGACGAGGAGTTCGCCATTGAGAAGTCCAAGCTCGTCCGCCAGGAGACCGCCGCCATCGACACCCTCTACGAGAAGAAGCACAAGCAGGCGGCTATGGCGCAGCAGATCACCCGCTCCACCCTATCCAACCGGACTCGCCTCCGTGTGCTGGGTGGGCGTCAGGAGCTTTTGGATGATCTCTTCCAGAAGGCTCGTGAAAAGGTGACCAGCGTGGCTGGTAGCGACAAGAAGAAATACCAGGCTACCCTGCAGGGGTTGATCCTGGAAGGACTATACGCTTTGAATGAGGACAAGGTCGCTTTCCGCGCCCGGAAGAAAGACTACGACACTGCGAAGAAGGCTGCCGCCGAAGCTGTTAAGGAGTTCAAGAAGAACGTGGGATACGAGCCTACCGTGACATTGGACGAATCGGAGCCGCTGCCAGAAGGATCGTACGTCTTCACAAAGAATAACACCCAATCTGGTTTTCCCAGAAGGAAAAATGCAGCTAACCCATTTCCATTAGTGCCGGTGGTGTTGTTATTGTCGGTGGTCAAGGCAAGATTGAGATTAACAACACCTTCGAGGAGCGTCTGCGACTACTGGAGATCGATGCCCTCCCCGCCGTGCGGGAGGCGCTGTTTGGCAAGAACCAAAACAGGCGATTCTACGACTAAGCTGTTCTCTTTCTCAAGGTAGTGTCGGGTCTTTTCATGTTCAATAGTTTCTCGGGCTTCTTTTATAGGCCTCGGCCACCTCCATCTAGAGGAGTTGTTTATTTTCTTTCTTGCACATCGACTTCGGAGCTGAAATTTGGCCAATACGCTGAGCGTTCATATGACTATTCCCATTTAAAAAAGATGCAAGCTATGGACAAGTGCGTTCAGTCACCCGAAAGGGTATATGCTGACAGGATTACATGGTATGGAAGTCATAAAATCATAATGTCATAATCCATCGTAGCCTTCATAAAGGGAAGCTTGCGGTTCGGTCTTTGGTAGGACTGTAGTGAAATGGGAGATCCCTCATTTTTTGAAACATCCCCTTAATATCGTGGTTCCTTTGCCTCCCCGGATTTCCAAAGTATGATTTTCTTGGTGCGGGCTTGGTTCTGACAGAATAGAGAGCACGGTAATGAAGAGACTCGAGGGCCTCCTTGGCCACCATGCGTTTCAGATGGGAAGCACCGGTGTCCTTGATGGAGCTGAAGATGAGCTTGACCTGGCTAGCAAACTTATCAACAGCCCCATTGAATCGCTCTTCAGCATCTTTTTGGTCGCATATCATATCGTAGGGTGCCGAGGTAACGGCCACTTCGAGGAGCATAGCGATGGCCAGTAGTTCACCGTAATCATAGGTTTCGTTGGCTTGGTGTGACTTAGCATGGAAACGCTCGTCACGGGCCAAAAAGTGCGTCAGACGTTTCAGGTCAACCACAACTTCAGGTGATTCAGTGAGTGGCTCAGGGTTCCGGAGTAGGAATGCTACTACGAGGCGGTATCGCAACAATGAGATCCAGGGCATAGTCGGTAACATGTTCTCAAGCATGCAGGACAGGAACTCAGCATGTGGCACGGTCTCAAATATAGGTTTTCCAATCAGAAGGTTCTACTATAATCAGCCACGAGTCAAACTTAGCTATTATCGATCGGTCATTCATACCATCTCAGTCACATCGGCAGCTGCAACGTTATCTAACAAAGCAGTTAGACAGGTTTGCAGCCCAGATTGGATCATGTCATTCGTGATCAATGAGCCATCCACTGTAATTCGTAAGAGAACGTGAATAGCGTGTGCACGTGCATCAGGAGCAAGACTATATTTGGATTAGTTTCAACTCGGATGAAGTACAGTTCGTGGGATGCCCAAACTCACAGCTCAGCGGATTCTCGCAGCATGGCGAACGCAGATAGGAAAAGCTCTTTATGTCTCGGGGAAGGGGGATGCGACGAATCTAGGGAATCAGTTCTTAGGCATGAAAGAGGTGTCGAAAGGGGGTGGCTTCTTACGCTCTGAGTTTTCAACAATGACGTGGGAGGGATCCAAAGCCTCTGGCTTAGCTCCTAAATTCTGGAAGAGTTCGTCAATATGGTGAGGTCGGATCAAAGTCATTACCCGCTCTCTAGAGGTATGCTAACAAAGCTATTAGTTAGGAAGCTAAGGAATTAACGGGAGTAACGAACCGAAAATATTCTACAATAGGCACTTCTCAAGTCTTCTCTCCTTTCAAGAGACACTGCCTAATGATCAGTGAAATGCAAATATGTAGAAGTTGATCAAGACAAACCAGAGCAGAAGAGCCACAACAGGAACTCGTCTGGGAGACGTTGGAGTTTTGCCGCAAACTCCAAGACTCCGGACTGGAGCATCCGAGATCGCGATTCGAAATCTACATTCGAGTTAGTCACTTGCTCCTCGGCAGGGGTGCATGGTAGCCTACCTCGTAGAGCAGCTAGATGAGAATGAGGTGGGAATGAGTTTGTTGGAAACTCGTTTGTTTGCCCAGGAGTCTGAGCATGATCCAGGAACCTCCACGTCTTTGTGACATCCAAAGCCTCGGTTCTTCGAACAGCATTCAGTATACGCTCGACACTAGGTCCCTCGTCATCTCCACCTAGGACAGACGCCAAGATCGACTCTTTTGATCTAGGGACTTTTTCGCCCTGTTGTGGCGATGTCAACGCCGCTCTAGATTTGGCGACCTTGCCCTGTTCCTCAATGTCATCCACGGCGCCAATCACTAAAGAATCCATTGTATTCTTGTATTTTTTGACCGGTAGCTTTGTCATGGAAGTCTTGGAGGCGCTTTTCCCGGCTGGTTTTGATTTGAAGTCGAAGAAGAGGGCAGGGTCTTCAAACGAGCTACTGGAATCATCTGATTCCTCACCGTCGGAGCTGATAACGACCTCCTTGCCATCTTTGAGAATGCGCTGAGAAGACGATATTCCATCGCTCACAAAGGTTGATGATACGGAAGCAATCTCGGGTTCGGGCTTAGGTGGCGGCACGACACCTCCCGCGGTTGAAAAATCCTTCGGTGGCTCAGAGTTGCGAATAGATTCTTGAACCGCATTGTCGTTGGCGTCGTTATCGGAGGTAAGGTCGACAAGGAAGGACGATGTGGGCTCGGTGAGAGCGGAAGATGAGGGTGATGTAAATGGTGTCACACGAGGCGGCTTCTTTTCGGGAGTACTGTTCTGGTTGACAATCGCGAACTTAGGCCGATCGAACCATTCGGTGATCTTCTTCCCACTCATAGTGGGCTGCAGCCAAGGTGGGATGCTGTCGCCAAATTCGCCGCGTCGCGTGGGGATGAGAGCGGCGCGAGGTCACATGATCTTCTATCTCCATCTCGAGGACAAAGGGCCAAAGAGAACTTGAAGGCTTGGACTTGGAACCAAGAAACTTGGATTTACGATTGACGTAATGAGTGCAAAGGGAAAAAAGAAAAAACAAACAAAAAATTTGAACCAAAAAAGATCATCATGGAGTTACGTAGGATGGAGATCGAAACTAAGTAATATTGCAAATCAGCAGCCCGCCCCGGGAGGCTCGCGTACATACTACGAAGTGGTCCGGGCTGACGATCTGTTAATACTATGGAGCAACATCCCATAGTAGACCCTATATGTCACGAAACGCATCACCTTAACATCCTTATAATATTGGTTTGGAAACGGCTTTCTACTCCGAAGCAGGCCATTTCCGGCACGTTCGCGTCAGGGGGGGGAAAGTCTCCCAGCCGATTTGCTGGCGTGCGAATCCGCAGTGCCCCGTTGACTGCCGATCATTCGCCTGACGACAGGCTGTCATATTTTGATTCCGTCGACATGGCTTGTCAAGCTCATCCTTTCGGGTACGAGGCCACAAACCCCAGGTCGACTGTTGAGGCTTACATATCACATCCCAACAGGTGGTGCCAGCCCTTGATCATTCTGCAGTGATCATCATAGGGCACGCTCAAGACCGCGGAGGATACATTACACGCACTCCTGAGGCCCGCACGACTTGCCGTGTTCCACTTGCTGGGGCAGGGGAAAAAGACAAAAAAAAGGGGCTCCATGAGTACAGGTTACGAAACATCGGTATTGCCAAGATGCATAGCAACGCACGTTTTCTTTGTGCAGATAGGGAGTGCTTACGCTACGGTTCCCACAGGAGTTATGCATATGGAGTGGCACCTGACTCTCCACTCTGGAGGCTTGAATAGATCGGAATCTAGGACTTGAGTGGATCAGCCCATGTTCAAATTGGTGCCCTGAGCTCAGACATACTGCGGTGTTCTTCACTCCCCCAAAGCACCCTACACGAGCATTAGATACGCTATGGAGTGAGACAGCTCGGGAATTGCTCTCATTTATACAGCGGCTTAGGGAGTGGGGATCTTAGCGTCTAGTGAAGTCATCGAATGAGATGACACTCAGCTTCCAACACGGTGTCCTTAAGAACTGCTCCGTAGGCGTCTTGTCTAATCCGTACATGGTGCTTCAGTTCACTGGGCAGGTTGGAGCCGGGGAGTCCGTCGGTACAGCCCTGAAGACAAATGACTGGCAATGAAGCATGTACCGTCATGCAACCCAAGGGGATCCAGGGCTGTGTTTGGGAAGCGGGGGCCAACTTCAAACATCTCATACAAAAATAAAGATCAGACAAACCATGATCAGGCTGCCCATAGAAGTCTCTAGTTCGCACGTTCTGCTCTAGTTTCTCCGGGTCCCAGGGGTTGGTTCTTAACGTCCCTGATCCTCCCATCGCCACAGCGATCGCCACAATCAGAGATTGAAGTAGGCTGGAAGTCCGGAACGGGGCTGGTAAAGGGATTACAATCAATTACCGTACCGGGTTTACTGGACCCCACGCCGAATCAGCATATCAATGCACTGATGGAAGTAAAGTACTTGCTGACATCCACGCATGTAGTATCCGAGCATCGCTTCTTTACCAGGAAAATATGAGGGGCGAGAAATTCTGTAACGGTGGACTTACTGTGGATGAACAATATCTAAGGATTTGTAATGTGGGCTGTAAGCCGCACCTCACCGGAGGCTCCGGATATATACAAACTGCTTACCATGGCAACCCTGGAAAGGTCCCGGAGTCCTTTGGGTACCGAAGGACGGGTACAGCGGAAAGTTTGAAGGCTGGGCAAGTCCCGTAATTCACCTTCGTATAGTTAACTAGCTAGTTGCCCAGGTGGAATTCCCGTCGCTGACTACGGGGCCCAGCCAAGACGAGGGACTACGGAGATCAGAACGCGCCGAGCCCGCAGACCTCGTACCGTAACGTAATCCTTGTAACCATCGATCTCCCCCCCCCCCCGAGAGTCGTTCCCAAATCTGGAACCCTGGCTCGTCTTCATCCAAAGGGCCCTCGAAAAAAAAAAAAGTGTCCTGTCATCTTCCTTCCCCTTCCTCCCTCCTCCTTTTACCTCTCAACTTGCATGGCCCCTCGTGGGTGACTGTCATCCCTCCCTGGATCTCTTATCCTTGTCACGTCCGCGCAATCCACCTCTCTCCGTTCGCGAACGCTTGTGAGGCCCAGATGCGATTGCCAGTCCCGACCTTTCTTCTGTGACACAAGGTCGTTCCGATTGGGCTAGGTCGTCCGAAGACCACGTTCGACCTTCGCAGGATCCGTCTGGAATCTTGCCCTTATTGTCCGACCCTTCGACTCTCCTGATTGTATGCCCCCGTTGGGTACATCGACAGCCTGAATGGCTCCCGCCGTGATCTTCCCCGAGGGGGAGAACAACCAACCTGAACCTCCTATACAGGAGGTACCCAGTAATGTTTCCACCTCCAAACCGACAGCCAAGCGCCAGCGATGGGCCACCACCCGAGCCGGCGGTGCCGGCGGTGTCAAGAAACGGGTCTCCATCATGGATCGATTCCATCAACGCCAACAGCAAAGAGACGAGAAGCGCCGATCGAACATGGGCAGTTCGCCCGAGAACGGATCTACTAGTGGCGATGAGGGCTCGAAACCCGCCTCGGAGAATCGGACGATTTACTTCAATATTCCGATTCCCAGCTCCGAACGCGACGAAGATGGGCAATTAAAAGTCATCTATCCGAGGAATAAGATCCAAACCGCCAAATATACACCATTGACTTTCGTTCCCAAGAACATCTTCCTGCAATTTCACAACATCGCTAATATCTACTTCTTGTTTGTCATCATTCTCAACGTATGGCCCCTTACCCCTCCTCTCCTCACCCATCAGGAGCGAAGTTAACCGCGATCGTAGTTTTTCCCTATCTTCGGTGCCAACAATCCCGGACTGAATGCTACCCCTCTAATCGTCATTATCGTGATCACAGCTATCAAGGATGCTATTGAGGATTGGGGACGAACAGTGTCGGATAATCAAGTCAACAACTCGCCAGTATACCGATTGATTGAATGGAACAATGTGAATTCCACGGAGGACAGCATTGGTCTTTGGCGCCGCATCAAGAAAGCTTCGACTCGTGGCACCATTTCTACTTGGAAGTCGATCAAGGGCACTTTTGCCAAAAAAGACAAGAATAGGGACGACATGCAGGTCGCGCGACAGGGTTCCTTCAGCACAATAAATGACCCCCGAGCATCGATATACACCACCCGTAACTCTTTGGAGATTGGCGGGGCGGCTATCCCGATGACAGATGTTCCTTCGCCCCGCCCTGAAGCCCGTGAAGATTGGCCTATTCCCAACAAGACCGAAGACAATTTCCTTTCCCCCATAAGCCCCAATCGTGAAAGTTTGATACAACCAGCGCGGAAGACGGGAAGTATTATGGACTTGTCCAAGCAGACCCCAGGTACAGCTCGTTTCAAGCGCGATGCTTGGAAGAACCTCCAAGTGGGCGACTTTGTTCGGTTGTATAATGAGGACCCGATTCCTGCTGATATTGTAATTCTTTCAACTTCGGATCCAGACGGTGCGTGTTACGTGGAGACTAAGGGTCTGGATGGTGAAACAAATCTCAAAGTCCGCCAGGCTCTCCACTGCAGTCGCCAGGTTCGACACGCTCGGGATTGCGAAAAGACGGAATTCAAGATCGAGAGTGAGGCCCCTCATCCCAATCTTTACTCCTACAACGGCGCTATTCGTTGGGAGCAGCGAGACCCGCTTCACCCGGAGGCCCAGCGCGAGGAGATGGTTGAGCCCATCAGCATCAATAACCTCCTCCTTCGTGGTTGCTCTCTTCGCAGTACTGAATGGGTCCTTGGTGTGGTTATCTTCACTGGTGGCGACAGTAAGATCATGCTCAACTCTGGTGCGACCCCCGCGAAGCGTGCCCGTCTTGCCAGAGATCTGAACTGGAACGTCATTTACAACTTCGTCATCTTGTTTATCATGTGTCTCATCGCAGGTATCATCAATGGTATCATCTGGGGATCGTCGGGACAGTCTCTCCAATTCTTCGACTACGGCTCTTACGGTGGTACACCACCGGTAACAGGAATTGTCACGTTTTGGACGGCTGTCATCTTGTTCCAAAATTTGGTCCCGATCTCGCTTTACATCTCTCTGGAAATCGTCCGCACCATTCAAGCAGTTTTCATCCACAGTGACTTGTATATGTACTACGAAAGGCTAGGTCTGTACTGCGTCCCGAAGTCGTGGAATATCTCGGATGATCTCGGGCAGGTGGAATACATCTTTTCGGACAAGACGGGTACCCTCACGCAGAACGTCATGGAATTCAAAAAAGCCACAATCAACGGAGTTTCTTACGGTGAAGCTTATACGGAGGCGCAGATTGGCATGAGGCGTCGAGAAGGCGCCAATGTCGAGGAAGAAATCGCTCAAGCTCGTGCTAAGATCGCAGCCGATGGTAAGCGAATGCTTGAAGGGCTTCGCCGTGTTCACGACAACCCATATCTTCGCGACGAGAACCTCACCTTCATTGCCCCCAGCTATGTGGATGACCTGGAAGGCCGATCTGGAGAAGAGCAACAGGCGGCAGCCGAGCACTTCATGTTGGCTTTGGCTCTTTGCCATTCAGTCATCACTGAGCATACTCCTGGCGATCCTCCGCAGATCGAGTTCAAGGCTCAGTCGCCTGACGAGGCCGCTTTGGTGAGCACTGCTCGTGACTGTGGCTTTACTGTCCTTGGCCGTTCAGGAGATGATCTGCTTCTAAATGTTATGGGCCAAGAGCGCACATACACTGTTCTGAACACTCTCGAATTCAACTCCTCCCGAAAGCGAATGAGTGCCATTGTTCGCATGCCTGATGGTACAATCCGTTTATTCTGTAAGGGTGCCGATAGTATTATCTACAGCCGTCTAGCCCCTGGTCAACAACAGGAACTACGTCGTCAGACTGCTCAGCACCTGGAAGAGTATGCCAAAGAGGGTTTGCGGACTCTCTGCGTGGCTGACAAGCTCTTGGATGAAGATGAGTACCATAGATGGAACAAGGAACACGATATTGCCGCTGCAGCAATTGAGAATCGTGAGGAGAAACTGGAAGCCGTTTCTAGTGCAATTGAAAAGGATCTGACGCTCCTCGGTGGAACTGCCATCGAAGATCGACTGCAGGATGGTGTCCCAGACACTATCCAGCTCCTGGCCGATGCTGGTATTAAGTTGTGGGTCTTGACAGGTGACAAAGTCGAGACCGCCATCAACATTGGATTTTCTTGCAACCTGCTCAACAACAACATGGAGTTGCTTGTTTTGAATATTGGTGATGTCCCCTCGGCACACCAGGAGCTTGATAAGCATCTTGCCGCGTTCGGGATGACTGGTTCCGACGAAGAGCTCATCGCTGCGCGCTCGGACCACACTCCTCCTGAAGCGACGCATGCGGTCGTGGTTGATGGCGATACCCTCAAACTGATGCTTGATGACGAGCTGAAGCAGAAATTCTTGTTGCTGTGCAAGCAGTGCAAGTCAGTTCTCTGCTGCCGAGTCAGTCCAGCCCAGAAAGCTGCTGTTGTCAACATGGTTCGTAATGGTCTTAACATCATGGCCCTCTCAATTGGTGATGGTGCCAATGATGTTGCCATGATCCAGGAAGCTGATGTTGGTGTTGGTATTGCTGGTGAAGAAGGTCGGCAGGCCGTCATGTCATCTGACTATGCTATCGGTCAGTTTAGGTTTCTTCAGCGCCTGCTTCTTGTTCATGGAAGATGGGATTACCGCCGCCTGGGAGAATGTACAGCCAATTTCTTCTACAAGAATTTGGTTTGGACCTTCACGCTTTTCTGGTACTGTATTTTCAACCAGTTTGACTGTTCGTATCTCTTCGATTACACCTACATTGTGCTGGTCAACTTGGCGTTCACTTCGCTGCCAGTCATCTTTATGGGTATCTTCGACCAGGACGTTGATGACAAGGTGTCGCTCGCGGTGCCTCAACTTTACATGCGAGGTATCGAGCGCAAAGAATGGTCGCAGCTCAAATTCTGGTACGTACAACATGTAATGGCTCCCACTTGACATGACCTCTAACCCCTTTCCAGGTTGTACATGGGCGATGGTCTATACCAGTCTGTCATTTGCTTCTTCATGCCTTGGCTGCTCTATCGAGTCGCTAACTTTGTAAATCCAACTGGCCGTGATATCAACGACACCAGTCGTATGGGTGTTCTGGTCGCCACTTGTGCAGTCCTTGCCAGTAACCTCTATGTCATGATGAACACGTACCGATGGGATTGGTTCACTTGTTTGATCAATGCCATCAGTAACTTGTTGATCTTTTTCTGGACTGGCGTCTACTCTTCGTTCACCGCATCCACCACCTTCTACAAGTCAGCTGCTGAGGTTTACGGAGCTTTCAGCTTTTGGGTGGTGCTGCTTCTGACTGTCATGATTGCCCTGCTTCCCCGATTTGCCTACAATGCTTTCCAAAAGGTGTTTTTCCCTCTGGATGTGGACATCATCCGTGAGCGGGTGACTATGGGCCATTTCAAGTACCTGGATGATCTTGACAACCTCCAAGAGCTTGCAGAGATCTCGCTAAAAAAAGAGCATGAGGCGAAAGTCCCAGCCTCTAGCGACTCGGCAACATCCTCGGAACTCGCTAAGCCCATTCAGCCTGCGATGAAAGAAGATCCCTCGATCCCAGATGATGATCGGCCATTTTATCCCACTACTATGGCTACTCGTCACAACCCTCGCAGTCAGAATGGAAGCAATGGTACAAACTACACTGGCAGCCTTGATCAAAACCCACGTCCACAGTCCGTGGACTACGTACGCCGATCGCAGGAACGAACCCGGCACTCCTTCGAGCAGTCGGATGACTTTAACAACATGAGCAAACATGCTCAGTATCACCAGGCTTCATTCCAGCAGCCTCAGTACCAGCAACCCTCGTATCAGCAGGCTCATATGAACCACCATGCTCAAAACCCGTTTCAAACACCGGATGAGCAAAACTTTGCACATAATGTGATCTGAGAAAGCCTTGCTGCTTTTTCAGCATAGATCACCTGTGATGACCCGCCAGTGATGAATCCTATTCTATCGGCCTGTTTTAATTTTGTCTTGGCAATTTCATTTTGTGTTTTTCCCCCTTCCTCTGATTTCCATATTCATGAGCTATATGCCGTGGTGTTCCGTTTCCACACCTGCTTTTTCCTTTTCTCTTGATCCCCCCTCTTTTCAATTCACTCCATTAACAAGCCTGGATATTCCCCTGATAGACAGCAGGCGTTTGGTATACCACATTGGTGGAAGGAGCGGCGCATTGTTTTATCCCTCTTTTTCTTTCTCTGCTAGTTTCTATCCGTTATCACTCTCCTCTTTCCTTTTGCTTCATCGAGATTCGACTCCTGCTGCAATATTTGCTTCCTATTCGCATGTTTCATAGTCTGCTTTTTTGCCTTGTGCTTTGTACAAAAGCGTTTCCCGACCGCATTTGATGGCTTTCTTTGTCGCGATCCACCTCGTCACAAGGAATTGTGGAGGCTCTATCTGATTTGATATTCTGCTAGCCTTATCGCTGGGAGAATTTAGGCAGAGCCGGGAATGATATTCATGGATTATTTTCCAACGTCTCCATGTAGAAAGTAATTTTATGTATGCGTCTTGTTTATAACGAGCATTGTAGACCAAAGTCCTCAAAAAGTGCTTGCGACGTTTCAGATGCTACGTAGAGCTGAGGGGTATGGTAACTTGAGCAGATGTGCTCGTAGCCTAAGAAATTGGTCCCTCCATTAAGACCTTCATATGTCAAAGTGTAGACACCAGATGACATCCCGAAGTAGTAAAAGTGAGCGCGTCGCGTATGTTCACCGCCTTTCGACATGTGCCAATGAGCGTTCTCAGGTCGCCTGCCCGCGTTTGTTACTGGCAATTTATGGGCGTTCGGTCTTTTGAGCAACTTGGTTCTTTTCAAGGTCTCCCAACGCCGGGGTACCCATTCGCCTTTGTCTCTGCTCCAGGCTAGAGGGACTAGCCCACTTCAATTTCCGTCAAGATCGCATCTTTCTCAGTGACGCCACGGCATCGAGTCGTGTGCCAAAGCTCTGGGAAGACACCGTGCTTTTCGGAAGATTCCCTCTGTCCCGGGGTAGAGCTCGCTGCCTATCCAACCTGGGACTAAGCTTCACCCGACTCCCGGGCCGTCATTATTTCCTTTCCCTTGTTAATTGCCCTCTTCTCCTTCGTGACCCGGTCTACAGCTGTCGGACCCCAACCTCGATGAGCTAGGATTACCGGCGAGACACAAGATATGTGTGGCGTGACTACCCTTTGATGCTTGACTCTTATTTCTGGAACCTGAAGCATGGAGTTCGTGGATGCTATTGGGTTAGTAATGATCGATGGGTGTGCTCAAGGTTTTCCGTGACTCAGTGGCTAATGCTAGACTACCCTTCTAGAGAGCTTAAAGCTCTTCCAGATGGCACCCACCTACTTTGTGCACGACAGAGCGCCGATGACTATGGGCAATACGATGATCCCACCGCGGTCGATGAGAAAGGCAAAAGTGTGAAAGATTTGGTGGAAGAGGCAACGGCTCGCAAAGAGAAATTCCTTTCTTGCATGCGTATCCTTGCGTACAATGCAGACGGCATCGAAGAACTGCAGAGCTGGGTCTTGAGCAAGTTGGATGATACCCTGGAGAAATGCGACCTTTGTATCAAGCAGTATTACATAGGGAAGATCTGGCTCATGGACCTATTGAAGGAGGAATATGACGAGGAAGACATCGAGACTTTCTCGCAGCGAGTCGACGAGATAGACATCAAACGTGTCACGCGTAACTTGTCTACTGCCGTACAGCAGCTCAGGAGCGTGCCGCCGGAGAAAATTGTTTTGAGCGTCCTGGACCGAGCAGCCTTGTTATCTATCTTCGAGACACTGAGTTGTGAGGCCATGCTAAGGAACGATGGCCTCCTACAGCAATTCTTTGACGAGCCGTTCCGACTGGTTCAGACAAACCGAAGCCTAAAGATCAATGACTACGTGCCTGCGGTAACTCGTTTCCTCTTCGATTCCAACCAGGGTAGAAGTTTCTGGGCCATCTCCACCTGGACACGATACTCTCGTCCTCCAACCACACTCGAGTTCGATTGGGCAATCCGGGACGGTCTTCTCAGTGCGCTTCAGGCTGGCTCAGCCCAACCGCACCAATTCGCGCTAGTTCAGCGTCTGTGGCGTGGAATGCAGCTCATTACGAAGAAACTAGACAGCTCACAGATCACCCATCAGCTCCGGGCTTTGGAGATTGATCCTTGCCGATTGTCTGTTGATCACCTTGCCATCCCTACCCCTGGTCTAAGGTTCCTTCTTAACACCATTCAAACGATGTTGGAAAAGGCTCCAACCGATTTCTGGGATGCAATGCAGACTATTTCGCCGCAAGCAATCATTGAACATACCCTCAATAACCCCCAATTTCTTTCGTTTTTGATGCAGACTGCAGATGGCGAGCCTTACGCGAAATCGGCTCTGAGAGATATGCTTTCGTGGATGCTGCCTTTCCTTTGCTCACTCAAAGGCGCACACAAACCATCAGCTTGTCGAGCCTTCGCATTGCCATTGCTGAAGCGTTTTCAAGACAAGCAATTCCCTAATTTGGCCCGCTACCATTGTTTTCACGTCGGCCTGCTCTGCCTCCTTCATACCCTCCGCTTCTTCACGGATAATGAAGGGCAACGAAGCTCGGTGGGACAAGTCGTGCTCAAGGAAACCATGGAAGTTCTTGAGGAATGTATCCATATCATTTTAGAGCCACCGACCTTTAGCGTGGAGGCGCAGCTTCAGGAAGGTATCGTCAACTTATGTCTCGACGTCGTTCGCAACACGCTAGCATTGGAATGCCAATCTTTGAAGAGCGACTATGAGGTTATTTTGAAATCCGGTACTCTCTCGCATGGTGTCTCGACATCTACGGGGCCTATCTGGGATGCTGTCGTTAGACATCTCCACCAAGACAACCTCGGGCTCTCAACGTCGGCCTTACTGGGGATTCTGCCCCTTGTGGGTCTGGAGAAATTCCCTACGAAGGGGGAAACCAATCAGGAAAAGACTCATTTCAATATGATCTATGGTCGTCTTACCCACCTGTCCTGCCAGATCATCGAGCGGCTGGCCGATTTTGACCCGTCCCACGTGAAGAAACTCTTTGAGAGTCAAGATGTTACGTGCTCGCTGATTTCCACGCTATTCGCAGCTGACCTCAACACCTACCAAGCTGCTATCGACATGATTAAGAACCTCAGCGGGCAGTCAGCTCGTCGAGACGCCATCTCGTACTTGCTGGATTCATACTTCAACACCAGCATGTACGGTCTCAGCTGGTCATTCCGACGAATCTCCACCATGAAAACATTTGCGTCTGCGCCAAGAATGATTCATACCGGTCGTGACATCGTAGAAATCTTTTGTAACAGCCAGACAGGCATACTGCGAACGCGCAGTCTCAAAGACCGCCGGGAGGTACTTTCACTACAGAAACTATGGGAGTTCATGTGGCTTGCGTTGAGTACGATTTTCGACGAGACCGAATCCTGGCATATGCGGGGCAATGAGAAATCCGTAATGCTTGAATTCTGTCGCGACACGATCGAGTTCGCCGATTTTCTCTTCAATCAATATGGTGTTTTCCTGGGTGCGGTGGGCGAAGCTCTTCCGGAGGCGTCCCAAATCTTTCTCAAGCCCCCAACGGTGACCATGAGTGCAATGGTCAAGTGGCTGAGACTGAAGGATGATTTTTTGGCCAACACCCTAGTGAACCTTGTATCTCAGTTGTTGCGGAGGCTGGGGAGCTTAGAGGTCACCACAGTGAAGTCAGACGCTCTCAGTTTCATCGAAGGCGTTGCAGTGAATGGGACCATCAAAACAATCCTAACCCCGCGTGACAAGGCGGAATTGGTTCGCTCACTCGAGGCTTATTATAAGAAGCCCTTGGTTACTGCTTCCACCGCTTCACTCAAAAAACAGTCTTCCATTACTGCATTCACTAAGACCGCTGAGGTCTCCAGCCCCACCTCTCGTGCCAGTGAGGATACCTTCGACGATATCCCCGACTCTCATCTCTTGGAACTCTCTCGCTCTGTGGAACTCAACAAAAATCGCATCGCGGCTCAAGCCAAAGCCAAACCCTCCCCCAACATGCTCACCGTCCAGAGACCACGGCTGCCCTCTGGGTTGGCCAGCTCGGCTAGGGCTGCCATCCCATCGCGCCCCAGAGACGATGTGAGTAGTGTGTTGTCTTTCCGCGAGAAGCGCGAGCGGGAGAAAGAAGCCAAGAAAAGACGAGACCTCGAGGCAGTGGCCAAGCTGAGGAAAAACATGCCGGCGCGTGGCGTCGCCGAGCAGACGGCCGAGCAAGGATCAGGGCTGAAAGGTATTGGTATCAAGGGTAAAGATCACGCGATCCCCGGCGAAAGTATGATGGTTTCTTCTGGCTCAGAATCTGACTCGTCGAGTGAAGATGAACTCGATAAGGAACTCTTTGGCGCCAAGTCGAAGAAGCCGGAGGCCGTCAAGGCTTATGAACAAAGCAAAAAACAGTCCGTGCAACAACAGCCCGTCAAGAAGGTGAAGCGCCACCGCTCTATGAAGGATATGCGAGCACGATTGTCCCCGGATTTGTCTACCCTGCACCATGCTATTCTGGCCTGGGATTACTTCGCAACCGGTGATCTTCCGCCGACCTCAGAGAAGCGGGACTATACCTTGGTTTCCAACACTTTCCGCTCCCCCACGGACTACCAGAGCACCTTTGAGCCTCTACTAATCTTGGAAGCCTGGCAGGGATTCCAGCAAGCCAAGGAAGAAGGGATCATCCGGCCTTTTGAAGTGAAAATCATGTCCCGTCTCACTGTCGACTCCTGGATCGAATTTAGCACCCAGAACCTCGGCCCCCCCTCCAAGGACTTTTTCTTCAGCGAAGGTGATCTCATGCTGTTCTCGACGTCGCCCAACCCCACTCAGGACCAGAATGCCGGCCATGTGCTTGCCCGTGTTTACCACATCAACCGTAAGGGCAACAAGCAAGAGGTCACCTTCCGGATGAACCCAATAGCCGCAAAAAGCAGTATATCTTCGGCCCTTGCAACTGGATCTACTGCCTGGGGCGCCAAGATTACCTCGCTGATTCCCGTGGAGCGCGAATATGGTGCACTAATGGCCCTACAGTTTTATGATCTGGCGGATGAAATCATCCTGGCCAAGCCATCTCCCATCTTAACTTACTCCGACGCCAAAATGCAGTCCTTCATGGACAACTACACTATCAACCTTGCCCAAGCTAAGGCAATCCGATCTGCGATCGATAACGACGGGTTTACGCTCATCCAGGGCCCTCCGGGGTCAGGAAAAACAAAGACCATCACCGCACTGGTCGGAAGCCTTCTGAGTAACGTCCTTGCCAATGTCGGTATTCCAATTGGGACCGGCAGTCATGCCCCGCCACCCCCTTCCCGTAAAATCTTGGTCTGCGCGCCCAGTAACGCCGCGGTGGACGAGCTTGTCATTCGGTTGAAAACCGGTGTAAAATCAATCTACGGGAGCACACATAAGCTCTCGATCGTCCGTCTCGGCCGCAGTGATGCGATCAATTCTCAGGTGCTTGATGTGACTCTCGACGAGATGGTCAACAAACGTGGCAGCCAAGACCCCGCAGCAGGGAGCGGACCCGATCTGCAGAAACTATACGAAGAGCACAAGCAGACAGACAACGCGTTCAAGGAGGTTCGCTCGAAGCTCGATGAGTTTCGAGCAAAGGGTTCGCCTGTCCCCGAGGCACTGGAACGCGAATTCGAGCTCCTGAAAAAGAAGCGCTCCCAACTCAGCACGGATATCGACAAGGCCCGCGACCAAAACCAGTCGACAGCGCGAAATGCCGAATTGCACAAACGTGCTGTTCAGCAACGCATCATCAACGGGGCTCATGTCATTTGTACCACTCTCAGTGGTTCCGGGCATGAGATTTTCCAAGGCATGAATATCGAGTTTGAAACGGTGATCATTGACGAAGCGGCTCAGTGTATCGAACTGAGCGCTCTGATTCCTCTGAAATACGGCTGTTCGAAATGCATCCTTGTCGGTGACCCGAAGCAACTGCCGCCCACCGTTCTGTCCAAGATGGCGTCCAAGTTCCAGTATGAACAGAGCTTGTTCGTCCGCATGCAAAAGAACCACCCGAAAGATGTCCACCTGCTGGATGTCCAGTATCGTATGCATCCGGAGATCAGTCGCTTCCCGAGTATGTCTTTCTACGACAACCGGCTCCAGGATGGCGATGGCATGGCCAAGCTTCGGACTCGGCCTTGGCACCAAAGCGAACTTCTCGGCCCTTACCGTTTCTTCGATGTGCAAGGCATGCACCAGAACGCTACCAAGGGCCACTCTTTGATCAATTATGCTGAGATCCGGGTCGCGATTCAGCTCTATGACCGTCTGCTTACGGACTTCAAAGGCTACAATTTCAATGGGAAAATTGGTATCATCACCCCGTACAAAGGCCAGCTGAAAGAGCTCAAGCAGCAATTCTCACACCGATACGGCGAGGATATCCTGAAGAAAGTTGACTTCAACACTACGGATGCCTTTCAAGGTCGCGAAAGTGAAATCATTATCTTCTCCTGTGTCCGGGCCTCCAACAAGGGCATTGGTTTCCTGGCTGATATCCGGCGTATGAACGTTGGTCTCACGCGTGCCAAGTGCTCTCTGTGGGTGCTGGGTAGCTCTCGCTCCCTTGTGCAGGGCCAGTTCTGGAACAGTCTGATCCAGGACGCACGCACCCGCAACATTTATACCGAAGGCAACATCGCGCAGATGCTCGACAGGCCCCAATTCACCGGCTACAAACATGTTGAAATGGAGGACGTCGAGACGATGCCAGCGAAGGCCGTAGATCCGACCCCCGAGAAGAAGCCGGAGGATAAACCCAAGTCTCCGAGCCCCGTTGAGGTACCTCAAGTCAAGCCAGTCGAGTCTTCGGGAAAGTCCCCCAAGCCCTCGATCCGAAGCCCGGGACCTGCTGGCCTCGGTAGCGTCGGCGCAACTCCAGCCAAGCCGGGTCAACCTCCGGTAAATAAGCTCAAGCGGCGGAGGAAAGAAGAAGCTGATCCTTTCATTCGGCCAAAGAAGAGATAAGAGGAATTTGCATGTAACAGTAATCTTTTAGCGGGTCCTGATGACCATGTATCACTTAGAGAATCGCAGAAATCTCGCCCGACTATATTGCTCTACTAGTACTAGTACCGGCGACAGGCAATCGTAGCTCGTAGCCCAAACCCCACTTTTGGGTCTTTTGACAATTAACGGCACAGTTGGATGGCCGTGTGGCGCCCTCGCGGCCATGACCGTCGATGACTACTCAAACGGCTGCTATCCATGGATCCTGCTATTCCGTAGCTGTTTCTGCTTTTGCCTGGTGGCGTCTATAACCACGGAGTATTTTTGCCTCTGATCTATCGCAGATTCGACAGATCCGGGAAGTCATTTATTTCAGTCCGCCAGATCGCGGAGATTAAAGATCTTTAGATCTGTCGACCTGCGGACTGACGCAGAACAGGGCGGTGGATCCCGGATGCAAGGAAGAGGCGATAGCGCACACCGATCTGTAAATAAATCGATCCGAGTTTCTCCACTTTCCTCCCGCAGTCTTCTGCTTTTCGACATATTGGCGTCCATGAATCTGCTGGCCCCTGCACCGGCAGCTCTTTCGGCGGCTATTCTTGTCGAGAGAGCTGTAACCCCTACTAGATGACGGGGATTCTACCATCCGACTGGCAGACCGGCTTGGTGTGTCAATCTACTTACTGCCTTTACCCGTGTGGATCCCTGATCTGCGCGAACTGGACTTTAGTGGACAGCTCATAACCTGACGTCGCAAACATCCCATGGCCCTAACGGCTTTCATCGCTCCAATGGCTCTAGAGGGGCTCAAAGCGCCGCGGGCCACACCATCGGGTCCAGGGCCCCTTACGTGTGCATCTCGTCCAGCCCATTTCGAGTTGTACGGGAGCACTGGGTGAATACCATCGTCACTCGAGTTCGCAGAGCCATGCTGTTCTGGTTGCACATGAACAACAGGACAATTGCGCATAGCTCTCTGCAAGGACCCAATCATCACCTACATTGTGGTCGGGCCTGGGCGAGGCTGCGATGGTTTGCCAATTTCACCAGCTGCTGTGTCATATTTCTACTGCCAACAGGGCAAACCTAAATGGCCTCCAAAAGCGAGGAACAAAGCCGACGACTGGGGCGGCTCCCCCCCCTTTTTGTTGCAGGAGGGGATGGTCCTTTTTCCACTCTGCCTCGATTCTAGCTTCAACTGTATCTGTGCCCTTTCCAGGCTACCTGCTTACCGTGGGTCTAAACTTTCTCTTGCGTCTTGATGGTCATGAACGGCTACCATTCCCCCCTCTTTTCAATCCTGGTTCGGATTGACAGCTCAGCTCAGAGAATATTAAATCCAGCCTGTCTTCCCCCTCCGCGCCCTGTCGCCGAAGTTGCTGCTGCGACTCACTCTCTCCTTCGGTTTGGTTCTACGAAAAGCTTCCCTGCTATCACGTTTCGTCATCGCTGTACATAGTGGCTTTTCTTGTAAATAGTACCTGTCGTTTTCTCTAATCTTGGGCTATAATACCCTCTTGTCCCCCTCCCCTGTTGGCCCAATCTCTACCAAGGTGAGCAATCGACGAGCAAGGAACATACCTCAAAGACTTTTCTAACAACGACAAAGGGACCTTCTGACCTATCGATTCTCTTCCATATGCAAGCGATTGCTAGTCTGGTGACTTACGCGGCCAATTGATGCACCTTATGCATCATCGGGACATTGTACCTGACAGTGCCGTTGCACCGAGTCCCATTGTTCCAACATACCGGTCCAATTCTGCTCCCAAGTCTTCCAAATCTTCCAAATCCTCTAAGCGCAGAAAATCCAGTATGGCCTCTTCAGTCTCTGGCTCGCCGGAGTCCACGGTCTCCCGGGGCAGCGTTCCACGCCATCAAGCTCGATCTGCTGGGATGGCAGAACGCCCATCTCGGAACGAAAGCCTTTCCGACCTGGTGCGGTTCTTCCAGACACAGAATGTACCTCCAGCTGGCTCGGTGACATCTCCAGATTCGACGACAGCTCTACCTACTGTCGAGTCCCCGGAGGCCAAGGAGGTGTCGAAAGACCAACTGAAGCCCCTCCACCGTCGTCTTTTGCAGTTCACCCAACGCCAGAAGAAGGACCCATCTAGCAAAACCAAAACAGATGATCACCAACGGCAAATTGAAGCACTTCAAAGAGAAGGCTATCTCCTCCTGCTCCAAAACAAAAAGGCACAGCACATCGATCGAAGGAAAGCATTGATCAACCCAAGAGCAGCCTCGATCGTGCCCTCTCCAGATCAAAGAAGCAAGATGTGGAATCTATCGGCCAGCCATGGCTACAAAACAAGCCAAGTACCGATAGCCAATCAAGCTATAGTAAAAGGCGTCTATCCTCCTTGGATCTCAACGATATCGGCTCTATGGTTGACGTCGCGGTATCCATATCAGAGTATAATGACCCATCACCGCCTCCCTACCAGCAGTCTGGCTCAAATATGGCTGAACCCCGTGATCTGACTACAGCGTCTCAAACGACATCTGCACTTGCATCGGACAGATCATCATCAGAAGTTCAGTCTCAAAGAACTACCGAGTCGTCAATATCCCCCTCTACCTCGACATCTGTGGTCGAGACACAGGAAAGCCGCCCACAGGAAAACAGTCGCCCATGGCCATCAACTTCAATTGATCCAAGCATTCGAATCGACGAAGAAATCACCTCCGACTCTCCGAGACCTGCCCTGGGAAGGAAGCCTCGTGGAATACCAGAGAACTCTGACGTTGATCATGATACACAAGAGCAAACTAGTGGTTCAAGCCAGCTCCTACAAGGTCCCGAACATCCCCCTATTCCTCCTCAACAGACTCCTGCAAATCCGTCTCCGCCATCTTTAAAGCTATTCCCTGATGTGGCGCCACTACGAGTCTCTGGTCAGAAGGCTCGAAGGATGTCTGCAACGCCTCGGTATCAAACACCGCCCAAGCCGGCCTCGACAGCCTCATCAGATGCTTGGTCCGATGGAGAGACGCCCAGGCCACCAGCACAGAGGCAGTCCCAGAGAAATTCGTCTTCAACAAGCTCCCGCGTGAAGAATGACGAGCCCGTTTGCTCCGGGGCCGTCAACACTCCTACAACCTCAGCTAAAACAGCCCCTGGAGAGAGGACGTCAAAACCCGCACCTGCACAAAAGCAAAGCAGAGTCCGGCCTCCCTCGCTTGCTATGGGAACCCTGCAGGCATTTCCTCTCCCGGCCCCCACCAGGCCTTTGCCATCAGTGCCCAGGTCTAGCAATCTCACCGTTCCAGTCGATACAAAGGCGCATGCTATCCGACCGGTGCGCTCGGAGTCAAAAGCTTTGAATCATCAAGCCTCGCAGCCCTCGCCAATATCGGAGGAGCCTCGGGAGGAGCTTCGACCCGCTACAGTTCTTGGGCACATCAATACCGCAGACACAGCAAACGACTTTGATGATTCTGAGCCACCTCAATCCCTTCGTACAACTCCAGAGCGTTCCAAGTCTACTTCGCCTGAGGAAAACACACCAAGACGAAGAGCCGCGAGTCTCCATGGGCCTCGCATCCATCACCTTCCTGAGAGTCCTCCAAATCACTCCGGCGACCGCAAATTTGATGGCTTACCATTGGGTGAATCCCCCTATCTTAGGGCAACAGGCGCCTGCAAAACCTCATGGCAAGCGTGCTGCACGGAAGGGTCTGGAGATCAATGCTCGCCTCGACCGAAAGAATCTCCCATTCGGTCTTCCTTCTCCTCCTCCATCTGCTGCCTTACCGCTAGATCCACCACTCCAACAAAATGCTGGGCGCTCGGGTCATCGAAACTATACTGCTCCTACATTGGCCGGACCTTCTAAGACGTTAGATTTGGCTTTTAACCCTGCTAATCATAGATCTTCCATCATTTCTTGCAGTGACAGCTCCAGGAGTAGCCTCCGGCATGAAAGAATCCCTGAGACTGATGAGCTCAGCCGCGCAGGTTCTCCACTGCCATCTTCTGACGATGAATGCTTTGGTCCCAGCTCAGGTGCAAAACGCTCCGGTCGTGCTGCAGATAAGACCCAGCCACGTTACCCTGTGCGTCGTGGTTACGATACAGTCGATAGCCGCTCCTCTAGTCATCGATCGCGCCTAGTGCCGCCAATCAGATCAATGACGCCCCAGGGACGTAGCCCTCGCAGTTTTGAACAGTCCATGTCTCCAGTGTCCCAGTATTCTCAATCCACACATCGCTCTTACGAATCATCGAACAACCACCTTGGCCAAGGTTCCACCAACGACGCCGCCCAGCTCCTTGCAGACAGAATCTCGAATCTCGAACGCCAGAACCAAGTTCTTCAGGCCGCTCTTATGGCTGCACTTAATGCTGGTGTGACCCCCAACTTGTCACACATCAACCTTCACGAATCTGCCGTTCCAGCTTCCTTCCATGCGGCGGCAGATCCCCACCCGAATCGCTCAAACTCTAGGACTGAGAGCTGGATGAAGCCATCCCGCAGCAGCGAGCAGGGTGGATTCAACACCCCGAATTCCCTTCGGTATGAAGGAGGCAGCACACGATAACCGAGAAGTTTTTTGGGGGGGGTTCTAATTACGCATTCACGTATGTTGCAGCGCACGGTCATGCTTGATCTTCCCCCTCTATTTTTTCCATCTTCATATTTTGTATGGTCCCTTTGAAGGCTAGTACGATCTTTTGAATGTTCGATATTTTTGGCGATTATGGGGCTATGTTCTTCTTCAATTTCTATTTTCATACTTTTCTCAACGATACCACGTTTTTTCCGGTGAATTGAATGTCATTTGGTCTCTTCCATGTATCTCAGCTGGCATGGCATGTGGAGTGTAAGCAGAAGCGTACCAGTTGAGGCAGTTGATAGTATATATATTGGCACTAATCTGGGCATATTTTTGATAGCCTTCTTGACATCGATCTGAACATACCCAGCATGTAGAGTGTAGCGAGGGTACAATCAATCGTTCTGTCGAGTCCACAGCATGATGGTGGAATTTATCGCTCTCATCATTGTACCCGAGAGGGATATATTTTGCAAATATTAGAAGTCCCGCAAAATCTTAGTCAGCAGTATTTTGACGGCCTAAGGAGTTCCAACAGCACATTTTCGGTTCGAGTGACCTTCAAGTGCTAGAGTACATGAGACGAGAGTCTGCTAGCCCTGCAGGTACATTGCATATGATCAGTCGGGGTCGGCGCAAGCCATGATATTCACCGACTTCAACTAATCTCTTGTCCCGACGACTCTCCTCCTTCACTTCCCTTCCCCCCGCGCAGAACCCAACGATGGCCACGCAGGTTAGTTTAAAGCCTGGCAAAGAATGCTTTCCAATTGTTTTGGGAGAATCTAACAATCGCGGAACTAGCGTCTTCAGCAGGTGCCTCAGCATGTCACCGCGCTCCTTTCCCACCTCACCTCCCGTCCCGGAGTGCAATCCACCCTGATCCTTTCCCGTAAAGACGGGTCCATCATCCAAAGCACCGGTGAACTTGCCTTCCAAGAGACCAGCCAGTCTCGCCTCGCGCAGCCAGCTACATCCACCACCGACTCTACCTCTCCCCTGCAGACCACCGACTCGGGTACCACAGATTCTGCCCCTAAGTCTCCTACGTACCAGCCCTCACAAGCCGAGGCGCTAGCGGCACATATCTTTGCCTTTGTCTCGAGCGCATCCGCCCTAGGGATGTCGCTATCCAACCCCGGTTCTCAGACACAAAACAGCGACTCTTCATCAAGGGCGTTGGACAGCTCCTACGATACGTACGGCAATGGAACAGGCACGTCTACCCCTCGAGAGGAGGACCGCGATTCGCACAGCTATGATCGTGAAGAAGATGGAGAAGTAAAGCTCCTGCGCATGCGAACCAAGAAACATGAGATTGTCGTTGTGCCTGATCGCAAGTATCTCCTCTGTGTCGTTCATGACGCGTCGGGCAACGGCCCCAGCGCAAATGGGGCTCGGACGAGGTAATTGAGACAGCTGGTATTTTTCTCTCCTTTCGGTCTGCATTGATGCTTTGGCGTCTAGCGGTTTCTGTCCAGTGCCTTCTTGTTTCATCATCTTTCCTACCTTCTTTAAAATCACCTGTATATGAGCTTCTCTGGCTTGGATTTCATACGATATATACCCGATCGAAATAAGATTTCTTCTGCACCTACGCCTGTGCATTTGGCTGCGATTTGTAACATAACGACTTTTGTAATTTGATCTGACCTCTATAGCGGAGGCGCTTCGTAGGAATATAGGGGCATGGACATGTCCATTCTCTCCGAATTTGCTGCGAGTTCAAGTCGCCAGTTGAACATTGGAACACTTGAAGCCGACCGAGTCAAGCTCCTGGTACCAGTGCTAGTTGTGATAGTATAATAAAGAGTCTGACTTGTATTTGAGTGTTAGTATAATTTGTTCAACGCTGTCCCGTACTCCGGCCGGACCAAGTCCGCTATCAAGCGTCCCCACGCTACCCCCTCTTCGATGGAGACCCGAGTCCTTCTTCCCCAACATCTGCTGGATATATTTTGGGACTTGACATATTTTGAGGTCAGTACAAACAATCAATATGTTCGATGTCACTGCCGCTCCATTTGCATTCCCCGCTTTGCAGCAGAAGCAAGTCTATATGGACAATGCGGGTATGTCGCTATCTACTAGCAGCCTTCCGTGGTGATATCGGAAATGATGAGACCTAATAAATTGAAGGGGGAAGTCAAGTTCTGGGCACTGTGGTTGAATCGTGAGCACGCCCCTTCACTTCAAACTTGACATGGTCCTTCTTATCGACCTCTAGAATTCGTTCATACCTCCTGAACACAAACGTACAGCTTGGAGCCACATATCCCATTTCCAAAGCATCAACCAGTGCATACATGAAAGGATATGAGGCTGGCGCCAAGTTCATCAATGCGGAGCCAGAAGAGGTGTGGAACGTCTTCTTTGCTACTAGAGTAAGTCTATAACTCATGATTCGTAGATCAGCATTGGCGTCTCGACCACTCAGCTTCTCCATAATCTCTCGACTGCGCTAAAATTCGAGCCTGGGGATGAGTTAATTCTCTCCAAGCTTAACCATGAGGCCAATACAGCCCCCTGGGGTAAGAATCGCCACGCGATTGAAGCTGACTGTCAAATGGTGGGCCTCTTCCGATCCTCGCAATCCCACTTGTGATGTGACGGACTTGCAGGCTCTCCTCTCGGATAGAACGAGACTGGTCGCCTGCCCCCATGCTTCCAATATTACAGGGACCATCAGCCCCATCCGGGAAATCGCAGATGCGGTTCATGCTCATCCTCGAGTACGTTTCTCATCACGTTTCCTATATCGCATACCCCGTCCATGGGGACTGGGGACTGCGGGCTGCCCATTATCCGAGGCTACGATCCTTTCCAAGGTCCTGAGACGCTAGTTAACTTGCATTTGTCATGAATAGGCTCTCCTCTGTGTGGATGGCGTAGCCTTAGCTCCCCACCGCCAGGTCGATGTGAAAGCCCTTGGCGTAGACTTCTACGTCAGTATTCCCCTCCCATCTCCTACAGGCCTAAAGCCTGTTCCCCACGAAAAGGCGCCCCCCCCCTGCTAAAAGTCAAAAACGAAAAGGCGTTTTCTTGGTACAAAGTCTACGGTCCCCACCTGGCACAGCTTTACGCCTCCACACGAATCCATGACCAAATTCAGTCCCTGGCCCACTTCTTCAAGGCCACCGACACGTTAGACCTGAAGCTCAACCTCGCCTCGGCCAATTATGAGCTGACGCAGAGCATCCCCCACGTCGTCGAGTACTTTGGATCTAATCCCGCAGCGACATGGGCCGCTATGGCGGCCCATGAGGAGCGCCTGCAGGAGATCCTGCTCGCCTTCCTCACTGCGGATGAGCGGATCACTATCATCGGCGACCCGTCGCCGGCGCAAGACCGCCGCGTGCCGGTGATCAGCTTCATTATCCGTGGCATGGGTAGCCAGCAGCTTGTCGAGGCTGTGGAGGCGCGCACGGTCTATGGGTTCCGCAGTGGCCACATGTACAGTCACCGGTTGTTGGCTGATGTCTGCGGCCTCGCGAATGTGGAGGATGGGGTTGTGCGAGTGAGCTTCTTGCACTACAATACGGGTGAGTCTGGGTGCGGGGGGGGGTTTTTCGTCTCCTGTTCCTTGCTTCTTGCGTTCTTGGTTTCCTTTTTGCCCCATGGTTCCCTGACCAGGGCCGGTTCTGCAATATGTCGCGTGGCCCCGGCTGACTAGGCAGCAGAAGCCGAAGTGCGAGGGTTAGTGGAGGTCCTCGGGCAGGTGCTGGGCGTGTGGCCCAGCCAATCTCGGGCGATGCCGCGGATGGTTTGTCTCTCTGATGTGAGGCTCTATTGAGTCATCAGTGGTCTGATGGGCCCTTATCGGGGGGTCGCAGTGGTCTGCCTGTGAAGCCATGGGAAGACATCGGATTTTGGACAGGTGGGCCGATGACGATATCGGATGCCCAAAGATGCATGGGGGCCCTCTGAGATCGGCAATCAGTCGAGTCATGCTAGCTATGGAATATTCCGTGGATTCTACGCCAGTATGGATTCCACCCCGTATGTGACGATATCCAAAATTACGCAGTCCGTATCAGGGAACTCCGAAAACGGCGTACCGTGCTGTAGTACGTACTTGAGGGGGCTGTGAATGCCCCCTGTAGCATAAGGAGATCATGACTAAACTATGAGATTTGCCCCCTTATCTATTAATACTCCTCACGGGGCACGGGATAAAGGCGCCCGGGCTGCGCCTTCAGGAAAATCTCGAACTGCCGAATGACTTGCAGGGAGTTTTGGGCGTTGGGAAGGGCTTTTTGACGTCTTTTCTGGACTTTTTTTTGTTGTTCGATCCTTTCCGGGTTCTTCCCCCCAGACTGCAGGTGTCCCCAAGCAGCAACGCCGTTCGCGGCCTTCTCCAATGGCTGGAGTCGTGACCCGCGGGTGGGGAGGCCAGAGCGCCCGCAATGGATGTGATTGGCGGGGCGGGGGAACAGCGTGGCAAGGTCGTTTATGAGTCAAGCAGGCAGAAAGAGCAGTGGAACCAGAAGGGGACCATTCATGGGTGGTGACAGAGCCTTTCAGACCATGAGCCACTCAGAAGATAAAGATTACCTGCAAATTTACTGTAGTATGGTCTGCCTAGGGGGGTTATCCTGAATACGAAGTCACGGTAATCTTAGCAAAGAGACCTGCAAGACCATCTACAACACAGGGTCACCCAGGATGATGCCGACAATAAAAGCCCAGATCAAAGACATGATGCTCTCATCTCCTAGGAGTAGGCGAGTACAGCGTAGAGAGCAAAAGCAACGTGAGTCACGGAGTCCAGTACCGCAGACTTTCTTGCGCCTCCTAGATTTCTTCCCGCCACCCTCGCCACAAACCCTCCCCCCCCTCTTAGTCACGTTAGTCACGATCCCTCCCCCCCCAATTTCCCTTATGCCCAAGGAGTCATCTTTGGCCCTTTCCTTTTCCCCTTCAGAGCCTAAAAGACTCTGACTCCCATCCCTCCTCTAATCATCTCCTGACCTCGTCTGACTCCTACTCTCCGCTCCTTCCGCCCCGCCTCTTTCCTCTGCCTAGACACCTCGACTGCCTGAAAGCAGCCTCTTCGGAGATCTGCCTGTTCATGCTTCGGGTGCCTTGATTCTACTTCCCTCTAATTTTTCCCTTTCAAAATGTATACTGTGTCCCTCAGTCCGATCACCCAGGTTGTCGCTATCGATTCTTTCTCCCGCTCTCTCTTCATCTAAACGTGACGCCAAGTCTTGTGTTTGCTCCGGGGCTCGAATCTCTATAGCCTCAACTCTGGTGTGATCGGTCCCTGAATCATTCCCCTTTTCGCCACTTCTTTTTCTTTTTTTCTTCTTTAAAAAAAAAAGGCGGGCTTATACTCCGCCATATAATATTCCCCCTCACCCTTTCTCCGTGTCAAAACTGGCGCTTTTCAACTTCTAGGCTCTGCCGTCGCCTTCGTTTCCAAAGACGGTTCCTGTCTTCTCGGCCTTCGTTCCCGGTTCCCTGTTTCACGGTATCTTGACCCCTCAAAAAATTATACAAACGGTTTCCAAAATCGGATCATCCTTGGTCGGGTGCGCTATAAGTATTTGAATCTTCATGAATCCTTCCGCGCCTCCGGATATGCCGGGGATGGACGTCCTGGGTTTGCATCTCTCGAACCCGGGCCTATCAGGAGCTTCCCACGCTCACCCTTACGCCTCCTCGATTTCCTCCTCCGCCTCTTCCTCTTCCTCTTCCGTCTTTTCGCTGGATGCCTCCCAAAGCTCGATCTCCTCCACCGCGACCAACCCGGTCGATGTGATCTGGGAGAACGACGCAGATAGTCAGGTGGGGCGAAACCCATGCCCTCGCAGCTATGTCAAGGGAGCTCTCCCTAAGGACGCTGCGGTGCCTGCCGAGATGCGCATGCATCCTCGTCGCACCAAACCTGCCTCAACCAACGGTCCCACTAGCGCCCGCCCTCCGCCTTGCCTGCTCCGCCAGTCGGAGCGGAAGGTGAACTTTGTGGACAACCTTGTCGGTAAGTCGTGCGGCCTCGAGCACTCTTTTCTCTTTTGCCTAGACTAAGCTCTTTTCTGCGTGGAAAAAGACACTGCGTCGCAGATCGTAGAAAACATCTGGCCGCTATCGGCCGCCGCATCCCGCAGCGATGCCGCGACCGGGTCCAAGGGCGTTCTTCCTCTCCGGACGTTTATTCAAGAAACCCTCCGTCGCTCGCGCACCAGCTACAGTACCTTGCAGGTGGCGCTTTACTACCTGATCAAGATCAAGCCGCATGTCCCCTCCCACGACTTCACCAAGGAGCAACCTCGGGATCAGTCGATGATGCGGGCCATGCAGTGTGGCCGTCGGATGTTTTTGGCGGCTCTGATCCTGGCCTCGAAGTATCTGCAGGACCGTAACTATTCCGCTCGTGCTTGGAGCAAGATCTCCGGTCTCAACACCCTGGAAATCAACCAGAACGAGTTGATGTTCTTGCAAGCGGTGGGTTGGCGCCTTCACATCTGTGAGGCGACCTTCCAACGTTGGACTGACCTTGTCCTGAAATTGACTCCAGGTGCCGGTGGTCCCCCTGTGTCCGAGGGTCAGTGTTGGCGCACGGTTCTGCCTCGTCTCACTCCCGAACTCGATCTCGACTCGGACGCCGAATCGATGACTCCGGTTTCGGGCATGGGAGGCATGGACCTTGGCCTGGATTCCCCGTCCCCTCGTAGTATGCCAAGCAACGACTACGTTTCCAGTTCGCGTGAGCAGACGCCCACCTGCCCACCGTCGCTTCCACGAACCCTGGAGCCGACCCCTCGTATGGAATTCACGACTACGCTGCCTCCGGCGCTTCCTCGTCCTTCCATGCTCCCGACTCCTCAGATGACCCCTCAGTCGCATGTGGTGACTACTCCTGCCGCGAGTATGGCCGCATGTGGCGCCCGTCATTCATCTATCGGTACCGCGATGTCCCAGGCACAGAACATGGGCTTGGCGCGCTCGACACTTGATCAGCGCCCGCCACTCTCGTTCTGCTCTCGGGCTTCGTCGCTCGATGGATATCCGACCACGATTCGCCGTTCATCTTTGGCTCGGTCGACCTCGTCAGCGTCGTCTCCGGATTCTATGATTTCCGATGCATCGACTCTGTCGTCTCGTTCGTCGCGCTCTTCGTCGGTCTCCAGTGCTTCGGGAACCAGTGCTCCAGCACCTCCGCGTCTAGCCGTGAAGGCTACTCTGCGGTGTACTAATAACTCTCTAAAGGAGAGCCGTAAACCTTTGGTCGTGGCGTCTCCTATTGACGAGAGTAACTTGGTTGTTCTATATAGCTCTCCCGAGAGTTACTCCAGTGCCATGGGGTCTCTTCCTGACCTCTCGAGCTATTCTCTGGATAAGAGTCTGAGCGAAGCCGCCCAGAGTCTATGCGAATTATCTGGCGCCACTCCCGAGCGACGTCAGTGCCGCAAACGCGGTCGCACGGGATCGGACGACCTCTTCCTCCAGAACCATGTTCGCCACCTGATCGATCTGGGAGCATCAAACCCTTCCGTTGTTCCTGATGGTCATCGGGCGAACTCGTTCCTGGTCGGAGATGGTTCCGCCGTCTCCGGGCCCGCGGGCATGAAACGCGCGTGCTGCGGCAGCGAAGCACGCAAAGTCGCTTTAAACCCCCGCCTGCGCGCAGATTTCATGAATTGATTGGCCCTTTGTCGTTACGGTGTAGAAAAAGCCCTTCTGTTCTCTTTTGATTTACCGACCTGATTCCCTTTCACCCTTTCGAGGCGATCGAACCCGAGTTCCCCGAACCCCCCCCTATACCTTGTTTTGTACATATTCCGTCAAAACCTCCCGGGCTACTCGGTCGTCCTCTTACGAGTCCGACGGTTTCTCACTGAAGCTCAACGTGTACGATGAACGTGGTTTTCTTTTTCCTCGTCATCCGGCTTTTTTTTTTCTTTTTTTTTCTCGCTTTCTTTATAATGCTACGCATGGAGTGTGGTGGGCATTGGTCGGGTGGGTTCTGATTCTCTTTACATTATTTATCACCTCTAGGGAGGAGTCGACCGATGTTCTGTACTACGTCTTCATCCCTGGCGTGAAAGGCGCCTTGGGGGGTTTGGGATGCGGCGTCCGGACGCCCGGATTGCATCGCATATACGGATAGCCAATCGTACAGATCTTGGATAATTTGGTGTCTTGTGAAATCGTATCAGTAGTCTATGAATGCTGTAGGATGGCGGCGCTTAACGCTTTTGCAAATTTTTCTACGTCGGTAGATTGCTGGTGCAAGCCGAAGATACTCTGTCTCATGGGCCTTTCTGACGTCTCATCTACCATAGGTACCAAGCTTCGCGAGATTGAAGTGCAGACCTCGCGACGACATCGCCAGCTGGTGGTCTTTTGGCATGTTGTACTAGCAAGTTGTACTATACGAGCGTGCCAGGGAAACGCTGAGAAATATCTACACTGACTAAGAATTCAGTAGCTTTCCACTGGTTATTGCTCCATTTGCAACCCTTGCAACCTACTGGTATCTCTGTGTCGAACCACGAGAGCTCATTACTATCTGCGAGGGCATTTGTCTCATCTCTGAGCTCTGGTCTCATTCTTACTGCACCGATCCTCCAGTTCTGCCATTCCAGTCAGCTTTCCGCAGGCCCTGGCCTACTTTGACAGAACTGGAACGCACTATCGGAAGAAGTCTGACCATGCATCCCCCTCGGTTTTCAGATGACGATGGCCTAGAGTCGCACCAGGGGAGTCGCTCGCCCAGTCGCTCGCCCGCTTCCACCCCTTTTGATATCGCACCATATGGGACGGCTCCTGATCCGAGACATCTGATTTAGAGTTCTGGAGTGATTTTTCGGGCTTGGAAGAGGAATTCGATAAATTGCCGCGAAGGATCAAGAGAGAGAAAATCCTCGCAGAATAAGGTTCCCGCGATCATGCGATCAGATAAGATCAGCCGACGTTGGGATATCCGCCCTTCCGTCTCCGCACTTCGTTCCCCCTCTTCCCTTTTTGTTTTCCCACTCTTGATCTTCTTCTTTCCTCGTAACTCATACCGTGGGAAGGATATCCTCCCCAGTTTGATGCAAGCCTCACTATGCTCTGGAAGCCGGTCTTCAATCTCGTGGCTCTGGTCTCGGCGCCCCTCGTCGGGGCCTTCGTCATCCCGTATGACCCGCAGGTTCTTTTAGCCAACCATGAACAGCGCCTCCCAGAGTCCAGCCCTCTGGACCAGGGCGTTGACGCCTTCACGCGCCCCTCCTGGTTCACGTCTACCCTCCTAGCCCGTCGGCTGCTCGCTCTGTCGTCGTCGGGGGTGGTCTCAACCACCTTCCCGGACCCAGTTCCATCCTCGGCTCATGCTCCTTCATCTGTCGCGGGGCTTCCCATCGGACTACGCGAGTACACCGCCGACTGCAACTCCTTTCTCCCCGAGCACTTGTCCAACGACGACAATGGCGACCCCACGATCCTTGCTCTCCGTGTCGCAACGACTTTCAAGAATATCAATGCGGGCTCGAATCTGTCCTTAGAGCTGGACTGGTGGGATCACATTGACCAGGCCGGCCCCGTCTACCCTGGCCTCCCGCGCAGCCCAGCAGCTCTGCCGCGAGTCACCTTATTCGGCTACCTCGAGGCTCTTCCCCCTCTCACCGACGAGGCTGCCACTCGGTTAGAGCAGTGTTTCCTCCAGGCCCACCCGGACGCCAAAGTATGGCTTCCGGGCGCATCGGGTTCGCCGCACTCCAGCTTCTGGGCCCGCTTGATTGTCACCCACGCGTACTGGATCGGCGGATTTGGGGATGTCCAGCAAATCGGGTGGATGAACGTGACGGAGTGGAAGGGAATCCGGCGTGAGAGCAGCATGGATGGAGTGGGGGACGGCCGGGGCTGGACGCATGTGCGACTTCCGGGGAAAAGCAGTGATAGGCGTGAAAGTTTTTCATCGTCGGAGAGTTCAGTGGCTTTTCGGGTCGGGGGATTTCGCCTTCATACACGAGAGAGATCGAGATATGAGCCGTTCATCAGCCCATGTACTTCTAGTTCTTTATCTGCGTAGGGGCCGCCTCTGATTCGCCTGCGCTTATCAGCGCCATGACGGCAAATGCGGAGAATACCCCGAAGCGCTTATCTTCCTTATCTGAGGGCCATCGTCCTCAGTCGCTTTAAGCCCTGCATTCTTCGGATTTGCGTTTGCATTTGATATTTATTGGAATTCTGCTCGGAGGGGAACTTTTTTTCAGGCCGGGGCATGAATACCGTCGATCTCTTCCTAGTGCTTTGATAATTGCATTCTGCTCATTACCAACCCCACCCACCTTTTGTGCCAGACCATCCTTACGCCCTCGCTCCAAGCGGGATAAAACAACAAATGCGACTCTCTAGGCCTCGCCTGCGCGTCGCGCAGGCCGAATCAGCCTTTGCAACTGGCAATGCAAGATGGACGAATCGCGATCTGGACCCGGTTCCATTATTAGGGCGGAAATGGGGCGTCGTGAGCTTAATCTGTACGCCCAAACTTGAAACTGCTTCGCCCGACCCCATCCCAAGTCCCACTAACGGGTTTGTTTCCCCTTAGCCTATTGGATCTCGGATGCGTTCAATGCAGCAACTTGGCAGTTTGCGAGCAGTATTATCGCCGTCGGTCTCACCTACAAAGAGGCTATCGCGATCGTGGCCATCTCGTTCTTTATCATGTCTTTCGTCATCGCGGCCAACGGGGCTGTTGGTGCCATCTACCATGTTCCGTTCCCCGTAATTGCTCGTGCGAGCTGGGGATTCTGGGGCTCGTACGTTGCCATCGTGTCGCGGGTGATCCTGGCGGTCTTCTGGTTTGCCATCCAGAATGTCAATGGGGGCAATGCGGTGCGTGTCATGATCGGTGCGATCTGGCCAAGCTACCTCCGCCTGCACAATAGCATCCCTGCGTCCCAGGGTATCACGACGAATGGCATGGTGGCCTTTCTGATCTTCTGGCTCTTCCAGCTCCCATTCCTTTACATGCACCCAAATAAACTCCGCTGGCTCTTCGCGGTGAAGTCGATCTTGGTTCCTATCGCATGGATTGCTATCCTGATCTGGGCGTTCGTCGCCGAGAAGGGGGGAGGGGGGATCTTCAAGCAACAGAGCGCCTCCGTGTCTGGATCAAAATATAGCTGGCTATTCTTGGCGAACATGACCTCGGTCCTGGGAAACTATGCCACCCTAAGTGTGAATCAGGTAAAAAAGACGTAACCCTCTTGCGGGGACACTCCGCTCGACAGACAGCATCTGCTGACAAAAACCATTTTTCTAGTCGGATTTCTCTCGCTACTCTCGCGTGAACCCGCGCTGGCAGCTCCTCTACATTCCTATGCTGCCCATCATCTTCACCTTCATCTCCTTCATCGGCATTGCTGCCTCCTCCGCGGGGCAGACCCATTATCATCTTGCATCGATCCCGTGGGATCCCATGGAGCTTATCAGCCACTGGCCAAACCGTGCCTGTCGGTTCTTTGGGGCCTTTTCGTTTGCCTTAGCTTCTTTGGGCGTCAACATCTCCGCCAATTCGCTGTCGGCGGCAAATGACTTTACGGCCCTCGCCCCGCAGTATATCAACATCCGCCGCGGGCAGATCCTGTGCGCACTCCTCTCTTGGGCTCTCGTCCCTGGAAGATCCTCGAGTCGGCGGGGAATTTCTTAACTTTTATGTCCGCCTACGCCATCTTTCTGGGTCCGATTGCTTCGATCATGATGTTCGATTTTTGGGTCATCAACCGGCGGCGATATGACACGCTTGCTTTGTATCAGCCCTGGAATCCTATCTATCGCTATACATCGTCCGTGTCTTGGTTTGGGGGAATCTCGATCTGGGGGTGGAATTGGCGAGCGGTGGTCGCATTTCTGGTCGGGGTGGCCCCTAGCTTACCCGGACTGATCAACGCCGTGAACTCTTCTATCAATGTCGGTGCCGGCATCCACCCATATCAATTCGGATGGCTGCTCGGGTTCTGTGGGACGACTGTGGTTTACGTGGCCCTGTCGTGGTTATTCCCGGCCCGCGATACTCAGATCGATCATGCCGTCCTGCCCGATGAGGTTTATGACGAAAGGGCAATTATCGTCGAAGGAGTGGATACAGATAAGAGTTCCGACAGGGAGCCGCGCATCCAGCATGAAAAGATGCCGGTCGTTGGTTGAGGGTTCAGGGATCTGGGGGGGGTTCTTCTTGTCTGAATTTGAATCTGGTTCTCATGCCCCCGATCCGTAGGCAGTAGCTCCTTTCAAAACCTTAGTAACACCGGATGACGCACGTCCTAATTCGCCCCCTTCTTCTCGCGCACTCTTTAAGCCACGATCCACCGCGGGCATAAAGCGGGCTGTAAATACTCGGTAGCGATCCTCGCGGGTCTCATACATCTCTCCTTCTTCGTCACGAGGCTTTCCAAATAAGTTCAGATAGGCGTACGGCGCCGAGGACTCGGACACCATGTGATGACCCGTGTGAGACAGCGGGAAGGGCCATGCGGAAGCCACTGATGGATCTTCTTGCGCAGACCCGGCATCCCCCCTGGAGGCCTCTGGAGCTCCAATCCCCGCGTCGAGGAATTCTGCGAGCACTCCGAGTACCTTCACCATAGGTCGTCCCTGGCTCCCCGACTTGCCAAACGAGGCCCGACTCGATGACCACCGCGCTGACTCCTCGGTATGCCATCCCAATACTGACAGAAAGCAATTCAATGTTTTGATCCATCCGCCTGCGCACGAGACCACCTGCTCTCCCGCTGCCTCGACCAACCACGACAGGACTTCCACAGCCGAGACGCGGATATCAGCAGCGAGATGGGTCATCCCCGCTCGTACATAGGGGAGCAGCTGCACAACGTGGTCTTCGACGTCGCTGCGGGGAAGGGTTCGGAGGAGCTTGAGTAGCTGGGTGCGTACGTTGTTGTTGGCGTCGAGGAGCAGTGGCAGGAGGGATGGGAGCATCACGCTCACGGGTTGCGGAAGGGCCGAGTTCACAGGGCGGGAGGAGATCGATGTAGTTAGATGAGCGAGCGAGTCACGGCGCTGGCTGTCGGACTTTGACGAGAGGAGAGAAAGGTGGTGGGCGAACTGGCTGTCGGATGACGGAGCGGAGAGAGTGAGGGATTGTTGGTTGAGGACGATGGCTGATGGTCTGTCAGATTAAACCGTTCTGTTTGAAATTACCAGCCATCAATGAGTTGATCCCATACCTTTTGATCGGAAACTTGTATCCGTGAAGTTCTCTGGTTTGGCCTTGGTCTTGCCAACCTTGAGCTTCGGTTTCTGCGGAGTGTCAGAATCAATTGTCCCTGGCGGGATTGGTGTTCAAGGCTCACCTGGAAGTCCTTCTGCTTCTCCTTCTTGCGCTTGGCACTAGACCCCATGGCTGCGTTGTGTTGTTTCTTTCTTTCTTTCTTTCTTTCTTTCTTTTTTTTTGGGGTTATGTCAATTAGCTCGTTGATTAAATCCACGATTTCTTTTTTTTCCCGTCTCCACGTGATTGATAGCGATAGCGGCCTCAGGTGTCGATCAATTTGTCCATCTACATTAATTTCTGCTGGGCGTTTCATTGGAGGGCGAGCATTTGTTCATCAGTACCTGGACCTGGATTTCAAATGAAGAAGCCCTTACTCTTAGCTCCGTAGCCGTACGGAATTGTTTTGCTGTATGAAGCCCTGCGGACTTGGGTGGATTACTTGTTGACTGTCAGCGGTTTCATAAGCATCAATTGATCGAAGGAATGAACGAATAGGCTCTTCTATTGCACCATAATAATTGTTGTGCCGAGGGCAACCCTAAGGAATCGAGATCCTGGGTCGCAAACCAAGCTATGATACTCGACCCTCATCATGTTTTTAGCCTCGACCGGGGCGGCCTTGGCCGCGAGCATGGCCGCTTCACGGCGACGCGAGTGATTTCAGCCCTGGAGGACTGATTGGGACTTATTTCATGGTGGCCGAACAGACCATCATTGCGGAAAGCTCTGAGCTCATCATTCGGGAGAGAGCTATTGCTAGTTTGCCGGTTGGCAGTGACGCGGGGAGTGCATTGGGTACGTTCTACCTACTAGGAGCTATACTTCGAAATTGCTCTAATATCAACATATGGAAACCCTTGCATCATTGTATCAGTGGTGTCATTGTGGCCTTGGCAGAATGGCGAGATATCTACTGGCTGTACATTAACCCAAGCTTTGGATTTACAACCCCATTGATTAGGGAACTGTTCTAGCTTGCCCCTGGACTGAGGTTTTATCGTAGGAAACCTGGGTGGAGGCCGGCTGTCCGATCACACCGTGAAATGTTACATTGCGAAATACAACGGTGTGCGGTAACACCGTGAAGCATGTAGGGGTGTGGATTCCTGCTGACGCTCCCAAGTTTCCTGAGATTATGCGGTGGGCTGTCGCTAGTCTGGATAGCGAAGACTGGCCCCAACTACGGGAATTTGGGCGTATGGGAATAAAGATATAATTCAGATACGCCATATAAGTCTCAGACAAGAGCTCTGTGTCAGTACAATATATAATTGCCATTGCGAGACATCAACTACATAGATTTAACTCGCATCTGAAGCCCAATATTAGTATGAATCCGAGCCGGTACTGGGACTCGATACAAACCCTGCCCTCCGCCCCCAAGGGCTTTGGCTACGACTTCATGAGCCTTTGCCATTGGGGAGTTCTCAGGAGGCTCCGTTTGGTCGTCGAAATCCTCACCCGAGAAGTTGTCTTGGATTGGGCGGTCCATTGGCTCCAAGATGGGCGTATCCGAATAGCGTCGTGTAGTAGTCTTGTTTTCCCCTATCGCCGATCAAACGATCAAACGGGAGTCAATAAGGACCGTATTTCAATTTTCTTTTTCGGAAGGTCCTCCTTCTATCAAGTATGTTACGCACCTGGCTCGAAACGCTTGGCTATTCTTTCGCGTACCCCACTGGCCGACTGTGATATTCTCTCGGCGTAGGTATCCGGTTGAGCCATCGAGGTCTCGAGCTCCTCGGAGGCTTCTAGAACGAGTGAGCCATGTGGTCTTTAGTATGGGCCTATTTCCAATTTACCGTCTGTATGAGCAGTATCGCCCTATATCAGAATCCATCAGAATGGGGTTATGCTACAAGTGGTCCTCAGCTTGCATACGTACCGCAGAGCCAGACATGGTGAAATCGCCTTATGGTTGATTTCGATGAGACGACCGACGATAAAAGTTGATGAAAAGCTACAAGATCATGCAGCAGGATGACTGAAGATATTAGGTCAAGGAGGCGAATGAAGCTATGGCCACCGTCAACATGACGTGAACCGCACATCTACTAGTGAGAGCTATCGCCACCGAACATGCATACGGTTGAGGAATCGCCCCGAGGCCACCGGTTCGTGTTTTACCATCGGAAAGTACTTAAATTACTTGCGCGCGGAGGAAAAAAAGGATCGAAGTTGTCATAATCAAGTTCGAGTCTAAAATATCAGCCCCTCATTTAGAAACGGGGCGAGCAATGCTCAGCAGCTTGAAGGCTCGTAACAAGCAAAAATGAACACAACATGGAAAGGACATGTCGATGAAAGTTGAAGATGAGGGGGAAAAAAACAGAGGGGAAAAAAAAGAAAAGAAGAAACAAACAGACAAGAGATGCGCACTTCTGCCCGGCGCCGAGCCATACATTAAAAAACCCCCAAAAACACAAGAAAACAAAGAGCTCGGCGACCGGACAGACGCGATTGTATCAATCAAAAATCACTCAAAACCATTAAAACACGTCACAAAACACAAAACAGGAATGGGCATAATCAGTTCCGAATCAGTAGTCATGCGAAGCCACTAATAGGAGACATTAGGTCGTAGAGAGTAGGCATATTAAAGGAGTAGTGGCCAACTCTGTCACGCTGAAAAATCGTCATGTGAGAGAGTCAAAAGGGGGAAAAGGGGCGGGGGAGGGGAGATATTTGAGCGAGGCGATGGCAGTCAAAGAAGACGCAATTACAGACTCATTGTCAGCCACTCCCACTCTTGGCTTGCTCCCTGCCCACCGGCAATACTGTGGTTTGCCGGGTTCGTAGCAGCAGGAGGCATTGCGGGCGCAAGTGGTACGATCTTGGATCGACCTGAGGGCCCCGTAGACTTGGGACTGTCGTCCGTATCTGGATCCGTAGGCGCCTTTTCAATGCGACGTTGGCGTCGAGGGGCGACCTGCACGCCAGCTCGAGCCTGGGCGACTCCAGCAGGAGGGCCAGCCTTCGGGGGTGCCGCGGCAATAGGCACCACGCCCGGTTTTCCAGCGCCGGATCCCGACATGGCCGGCGGAGATTCGGATGCCGTGTTACTAGGGGCCCGAGAGGTGGTGGCGCTCATTGGGGTCTGCGCAATCGAGTTCTTGCGAGAAGACTTCTTAGACGAGCGAGATGCACCCACGGCGATGCTGTTTCGCACTGCTGCGGTTCCGCTTCTTGATCACATCGGTTTTCAGCGAAAGGGGTCGAACAACGCCATGAAGTTTCAAGAACAGGCCACAGGCATTGCACAATGGCTGGCCCTCAGGGTTGCGTCGCCATAAAGGAGTGGTCTGCGTGAAACAATTGGTACACGTGGTCGGCCCGGCGTTGGGATCGCCTAACTTGGAGCCGCCAGGACTGGCAGGGCGAGATGGAATGGCGCTACTGAGCCCGGATTCGGGTGGCGTGCTGGGAGATGGATGGTTGGTGGACGGGCCGCTAGCAGCACCATTCAGGTTCTGTCGCAGCAACGCCGCGGCATTGGGCGTCGACGCCGTGCGTGCGATCTTCGGACGCCGTGGATCTTGATCCCGGTTACGCATCTCACTGACTGAGACTGCGGAACCATGACCCCGACTAAAGCCATGCCCGCGACGCCATTCAGAGGGGCCATCCATCACATCGGCAGACCCGATGGTCACTTGCTTCCGCTGCTGATCCGGAAATCCAGGGAGGGACTGAACAGAACCGGGGAACCCATCCCACGTCAGGCCCGGGTTCATGTCGCTGCTCGCGTCATCCATCGCGAAATCACTTGGCATGGTGATGCCTCCCCGCTCGCCGTACCCGCCGTCCTCATCCTCGTTATCGGAATCCCCACCGAAGGTGAACATGCTGTGAGCAGGGGCAGTCGAAGAGTACTCGCCGGAGCCGAGCACCTGGTTGGGGTCGACGTGTTGCTGGGGAATGGAGAAACCCGAGTGCAAATTGGGTTGCGATCCTGGGGCCGATGAGTGATACTCACCGTTGCTCGTGTTGAACATGTGGCGGGGCTGCAAGGACGCAGAAAGATTGGAGGAGCGTTGCTGCAGATATGGAGGAATGCGGCGCTGGCCTTGGCCCTGGCCCTGAGCGTCGACCGAGGGCCCATCGTTGAAGAAAATGGACTGCTCGCCTTCGTATATGGGCTGCGGAGTGGAGACCGCGGACTGGTAGCCAGAGGGGGGGAGGAGAAAAGAATTCGGTGGAGTTGAGGGGAGGAGGCTAGGGGAGTCTGTGCATAGAGGCTGGAGAAGGGGTTACCCGCAGTCATTGGAGAGTCGGAGGGAGAAAAGGTAAAGTTTTGCTGGTAAGGGCCCGCCGAGTGGATGCCATTCTCATCATTCATGGTATAGGTATCCAGGTGGAACGGCACCCCGGATGTGGTGTTCCGGTGCTGGTGACGACCGTGGCTCATGCTATTGTTGGGCATGGCGAACCCCGAATTGTGGTCGAGAGAGTAATCCGGCAGTGCAGCGGATAGCTCGGAATGCCCCATCACCGCGTTGGACACAGGTGGCACCTGAGGTGAGGCATCTGCCGGTCGCTTGCGAGTCGGCCCTCCAAGGCCAGTAAAGAACTGACGCTCGTCGACGCTCGTCTTCCGCACCCGACGAGGCACGTAGCCAAACTCGTTGTTCTTGCGCTGGTCTGGAGGGGGGGTGTGGGAATGAAGCAGGGACATTCGGCTCGACGAGATGGTCCTTGCGTGACTTGATAGGGATGGAGGCCGTGGGGGTAGCGTTCAAATGTCGGTCGGCGTCGGGATGGTGAGAGGAGTAGTCGCCTGGCGAGTCAAAGGGGACGATGAACTCGTCGATGTTCATGGGGTCGGAAGTGGCATCGAGGTTCATATTCTGCTGGGAGTGGGTCGCCGGGTGTTCGTGCGACAAGTGCAACTGGGCGATCCCACTTGCGCTGGGACTGGCGCTATCTTTTTGAGCTTGCAAAATCCTGCCAAAGAAAAAAAAAGAAATAAACGGATGAGTCGTGCGCTCGTGACGGTTCCGGAGGAGGGAAGAAGCGGGAAGGGGGGAAAAAAAGAGGGAATAGAATCAGCAGAAAGGCACGACATACCGAGCTTGCTCCCTTTCCTTGCGTTTCAACGACATGGCCATCATTCGCCATGTCAAGTTTTCCATTCGCTCTTGATTCGGCAACTGGGATTTTGTCCGGGTGTAGAGCCGCCAAATCTGAGCGGCCAAGGGATCTTGCCGCTGCAGTTCCTCGGGGCTTTCGCCACCGCCGTTTTTCATTTCCGGGAAGATCGAGTCGCCCAACATCCCGTCCTGACCGGTCGAGCCGGAGGGACTGAAGGGCGAGCTAAAGGAGAAGTCATCGGGCACCATATGGCTGTCGATGTCAGGGAATGCGGATTGCGGCGGGCGAACTCCTCCGATGCCATGATGCAGACCCTCCATAGCCAAGAAAGTGGGGAGGGGTAAAACAAGCCCCCCAGGACAATGGTTTGGATTAAAATGCCCTCTCGCCGGTAGAACAACACGCAAGACGTAGAAGACGCAGAGGACACAGATTATCAGCCCGAACGTGCTCGACGGTAACGGCGGTGGACTTCGTCCAACTTGGTTACCGTTTTTTTTTTCGCTTGGAAATATATATGACTTTGAGACTCGGGCTTGACAGACTCAATCCGAAGCTTCTTCCTTCACAAAAAGCAAAAAGAAAAGAAAGGAAAAGGAAAAGGAAAAAGACTTCTTCTTCCCGCTGGTCTGCTGGTCTTTGTTATACTCGCACCAAAGTCGACCTCTTTAACTTCTGATAGTTTGCGGAGGGGTTAGACCCTCCAAGCGTTCATGCTCCGGAACTGGGAATGGGAAGGGGAGAGAGCGGACGCAGGGAATGGACGGTATGAATTGGGCCAGCCCTGTTGAAGAAAGAAGACGAGAGAGAGGAGAGGAGAGAGAGAAAGAGCGATATGTGGATTGTGAAGTTGGGAAAGTTCTCTTCTCTCGTGTATCGTGGTTGGCGGTACGCGATCGGCGTAATACCCGTACGGTCTTTTTGCGATCTCACAGCATTTGCCCGCGATTTGCCCGCAATTTACCCATTATTATTTTCAATCTGTCATTGCGTCTAGCACGACTTATAGCCCTCCAGAGCTGGACTGAAAACGTCGGAGGCGACCAAAAGTACCTGGGGCTTGTTCGGTATACCCCGGTCCTCCTCTAGCCTCTTGTTGGATTTTATGGCGCTTGCCTCGACTACGCAGGTTATTGCATTCTATAGCGCCGTTCGAGTCACTACCTTTAGAAGAACCGGGGGAATGGGGTCAAGTTCCTGCCAATCCCACCTCCTTGGCACTGATCCTCCTGACGTCTGTTCCCTCGTACGATCCTGACTTCCGGTATTTCCAATTGTTCTTGCTTCTTTTTTTTTCACCTTTGATCTTTAGCGCGGAATAGGAGGGCCGGGACCTAGGCCCTCCAATTCGGGCCGAGTCCGGCGAGAAGGGTCGAAAGGCGACAGAGATGCAGGTACTAAATCGTAGCCTCCTGTGCAGGTTTACCGGATTGGGGTTTCCCCGAGGCTTAAGAGCAGTGGATACGGCCGCGGTGGAGCTTGGGATACCGAGGCAAAGACCTCTAAGAGGACGTAGCGGACATTAGAACTGGGGTACTCCGTATCGACTCATGATATTCTAGAAACTGGGCCGAGTTCTAAATACTGGGGACTTTCATAGACACTCGATTCAGACTTTGACGGCGCGGGGGACGGTATAGCCCTTCACGGCGCAACGTCTCTCCAGATATACCCCAAGCACCATAATGGTTTCCTTTTTTTTGTCATTCTTCCTTGCTCTGTTTCTTTGTTTCTTTCTTTTCTTTTTTCTTTTTAAGAGAGAAGAACCCCACCTCATCAAACTAGTAAATATAAAGCAGCGATGGGGGCCTCACGAGTCGGCAAGACTCCGCTCGCACTGTATTTCACCGGGGAGAAGAGGTATCCCTACATTACCCGAAGCACGTATTGCGGCAGTAATCGGTAGTAAGAGGTACCACCGCGTAAGTCCATTTCGTCCTGCGGGGATTCACTCCAGTTCCGTTGGAACGGAGTCCATCCGCAATTGGCTGTCGGTTTGCCACTCCAGCTTTTGCTTTTTCCGATCGCTCTGCTACGGTCTCTTTGACATCAATCTTTTCTCCCATCTGTGGAAGAAAAAGAGCATTTCAATCCTTCGGAGTTATACACAGGCACAAGGCACACAGGCCCCTGCTGGCCCCATGGTCCACACGATAATGAAAGTGCGAGATAAGAAGATAAGGCTCCAGAGAGTAATTAGCCGTGGTCATTCGTTAGTGCTGCAACGCTGATTGGCCGGGTGGTGATAGGCGCGGCGCCGATCGTTCTGGGAGTTGTTTGTCCGGAGGTGGAGAGTGGAGTCACCTTATCAGTTGCATCGACCAGCTGAACTGGAGACCATCTCTCCTTCTCCAGAACCGTCACTATGCGGCCTTCTCCCGCACCCACCCGGGGGTTTCAGACCTTGTAATGTTAGCCTCCGTAGTCCAGCCCCTGCTCCGCCGCTCCAGTATTCTGCGAGTGGGCCACAATGCATGCAATGCTGACAACCTGCTTGGTAAAAGTGGCGGAGACTCGGTGGGTTGCGAGGAATTTTCCCCCACTCATGCGACAGTGACCGGGGTGGTCGCTCATGTAATCAATATTTTTTTTTCTGTGCGCGTTCTGCGGTTACTCGAAACACGAGGGTAAGAAAAAGCGAGACAGGGTCATCAGGTCATAGAAGGCCGGAAAAGGCGAGAGCGTGGAGGAAACAACGCCGACGGGTGTGCATATGTAAGAAATACGCAGTCCGGGTCATGAAGGACAGGGGTGGGAGAAAAAAATCCCCTGCGGGCTTCTGGGGAAAGTTTCCTCCTCTCCCAGGATGATTTTGCACGGAGACTGAAGCGCAACACGGCCTCTTTATATTTGGAGGCCCATCAACCGATATCACCCAAGGGCGTTTCGATAAGGCGTGACCCCTTGTCCAACTGGGTCTGATACGACCAGGAGCACATCAGCGTGAGATAAGTCTGCATTGCCCTGCCGGACCACTGGTCGTGGATGAGATAAGACGAGTCCTTTTCTCCTAGAGGCTGAAGCCTAATTCACGTGCTCCCTGGGCCCAATTCAGGGCCGTCGACGAATTTATTTGCTGGATTAATTGGAGCACTCTGACGGCTGAATCTGTGTTATGCCTACTCCTCGCACACCGCTTCCTTCAAAACTCCCAATCATCACGGCCAGTGGTTGCAATTGATCCACCAGATGAGCTGGTCTTCACGGCCATCGCATGCAACTCTTCCTCGCTTATCTCCATGAGTGCATCCTGCCGGGGCCGGGGGCAATCCGGTGACTGATAGGCGCAATTCTTATGACTGACTTTTGAGCAACATATCACAAACCAAAACGACTCACCCAAAGAACATGATTGCAGCGATACCGAAGTGCTGATCCAGCATCGGGGGGGTGCGTGCCGATCGAAGCCTATCTTCTCGGGTGGAATTCCAATCGCTGCCCCTGGATCCCCTATCGTTGCGTCATCAGTCTGATACGGAGTCCTCTCCGCGGAAGTCCCTTTACTGAATCTGCTTCACCTATGATATCGACCCTATCAAGTCAGTATATCTGCTTTATCTCCTCGATGGTAAGTGATCCTGTTGGAGTGCACTAACCAGACGAGCACATATCTGGTCCGTTAGGAGGAGATATGCAGGGCCCCTGTAGCCTATGAGAATCAGTCTCTGTTCACTCGATAACCGCATCCTCAATCACCCGATAAAAGCAGCGTCTTCGTGCAAGTCAGCAGCAGGCGAATACGTATCTGAACCCTACGAGCGCCTCCGTCCGCTCGTTCTGGACGGTTTTAGATTTGCTAGGCGTTCATCAGATACAGGGGCAAAGCTCTGATGGGAAGAGTCCAGAAGCAGAGCCACAAGGTCCTCATGTGGGGTGGACCCTTGCCTCGTTCCTATCTTAGCTTTAGAAATCCTCCCTATCTACCCTGATACGGCCATTCCAATTTCGTCGATAATTAATATAGATTTTATGCAGGTCATGGATGTTCAACATGGTTGTCATGATTGGCATGGATATGTCACCTGAGAACGGCTCACCAAGTAATCGTGGACGTGAATCTTTAGCCTATCAATGACACGTTGAATTCATAAGCTTTTTAAGTTATTCCCCACTGCGCTTTTAGTTTCACGCTCAATAGGCGCTGCTTCAGGTTTTCAGTGGAACCCCAATTGTCTGGGTACGGCGCTTATTGCACACAAGTGCCATCGAGGCCTCCATCAGACAAATTGGAGAGATGCGTAGGTAGGAGTATGGACTTGAGCCAACAGAGTGGATACTCAAAACACGAGAAGAGTAAAAAAGCATTCTACAGTAGAATCGAAGTACTTTCACTCATCGGTGCACAACACCTTGAGACTCTTATTTCCCATCCGAGGCAGTATATAGATGGCCTCGGCAAATGACTCAAAAGGGCACGTGCTTGGATACTGAAACCAGACTGTCACGAGTGCCGGTATCATAATGTACTAGCAGCCCGAGAATACTAGTGTGAGCCAAAGTGGTCAATATCCAGCCCCTGCTGGAGAGTTAGTACAAGCTGAGTCAGCCACATTTGCCTAGCCCTGGAGCGCTGGAGCTTTGGAGCCCTGGAGGAGCTGTAGTGCATACCAGGTGCGGGAACTGTTCCTTTGTTTAGCCATGAGTGGAGCAAAGTGATCAGTTCGTGACGGTGAACCGCGATTTGCGAGTATAAGCGTTGCCTCCTGCCTTTCCTTGTCACGAGCTGCGCAGATACTACGACCTTTATCTTCCATTGGTCAGGAGCAGATTGATTAATATGGGCGCGAATTCCACATAGCGCTCGTACGAGTCACAAGAACTCACCTTCGGACTTGCAAGGATAGCAAAACACTGGTAGGATTGCTGAGCATTGACATGTACTACTGTGATGTGGATACATATGGGGTCAACAAGCACGTGATACCTGATATCCATGGGGTAGGATGGAGAAATCTGGAGAGTCCGAGTCTCATTTGGAGTACGCGTTTGGCGGCGCTTAAACCATGCTCTATAGATTTATGCAGAACGAAAAAAATGGCAGGGACAGCTACCATCCAGGAATCAAGGCGAAAGATTCACGCAAAAGGAACCGATAAGAAGGAAGTCTATAAGTATGCCCGAAAAAAAAAAAGAAAAGAAAAGAAAAGATCAAGACCTCTCCCACAGATCGTGCAAAAACCCATGACTGATATCTCCGCAATCTTGCTATCACCCAAGACATCTCGGCATTAGCCTAACCACCGTGTGAATGCCAAGAATGCAAAGAAAAAAAAGAGAGAAAAGAAAAGAGAAGAAAAGAAAAGAGAAAAAACTGCCCCCTCCCCTTGGAATGACGAAACTCGCGCCATGGAAAAAAAAGAGATAAAACAGAAAATGCCACCCAAAAGCCCTTGCGCCCGCTAATGACTAGCTGCAAAGCAGACCTGCAACGGTGTATGAAGAGGTAGAAAACAACACATACCATAGAAAGATGAGAGAATAATGAAGCAGGGGCGGAGGGTCAAAATTGAAAAAAAAAAAGCTGATAACATTGCCTCGTACGGGGGGTATTAGGAATGAAACAAGGCCGTCTAGGAATGAAATAATTGTGAAACGTGAAATCATCCGGGCTCTGAAGATCAGGAGTTCCCGAGTTGGAAGCCATTGGAAGACGAAAAGAAGGACCCAGAGTTTTACGGCCCTGAGTGTCCCGGGGCCCCTGGATGTCCCATGGGGTCGCCGTAGGCGGTGCCCCGGCATACATTGGGTAGGGTACCGCAACGCCCGGGGGCATGCTGCTCATGGGCCATGGGGAATAGCCCATCCCGCTCTGCGCTCCATACGGGACTGAACCGGGGGGTGCTTGCATCTCCATGCCTGGGGGAGCGCTCTGGGACCCAATGCTCGAGGCAGAGAGGTTGTGAGCCGGTGTGGTGACTCTTCGTTTCAATTCGGGGGGGCATCTGGTGCTGGTACTGGTTCGCGAAGGAAGCATTCATGTCTGGTTGTCCGGGGAAGCTCATTGTCCTTGTTGGTCCTGGGGGCGGCACTTGCCAGACTGTACCGTCCGGCTGAAGGGTCTGCATCGGGTAGGATGGAGCTGCCATTGGCTGTGTTTGAGCCTCCATGGGCGACGTAGAGGGGATGGAGGGAACGGATCCCGTATTCCAGACATCGGGGGACAGATTCATCATTTGGCCCTTACCCATCGTGGCCATCATTTGAGGGTCTTGCATCGCCGTATACTCGTTCCATACCCCAACTCCCTCCATCGCGGGATGACCAGCGAACTCGTCCTGTCCCATCGGCCGATCTGTCGACACGTCGTTAACCATGGGTGGTCTTGGGGCGGCTGTTAGTAGTCGGATGGTCTCGGTGAAACAACCTACCTGGGAAAGTGGCCATTTGGGAACCAGCATAGGCCGGATTAAACGCAGCCATTTCGGGCCCTGACGAGGCCCCCAACGGCATCTGCGAATACGAGTAAAACGAATCGACCGAGTCCGGGTTCAACGTGGTGGGTGACGAGGCGAGTGGGGTGGCGACTGAGGGATCGGGTGGGTTGGTCTCCAATCTTGAATTTGGGCGGGATTTCTTCTCCACTGGGGGTTGTTGGTCGACTGGGAAGAACTGGCATTCTTTGCGCAAGCGGATACAGTTTTCGCATCGTCCTTGCGCATCGTCAGGCGCTACCAAGCATCTGATCTTCCGCCGTCGGCAGTGCACTGTAAAAGAGAAAAAAAATAACTGTATCAGCCCAACCGCCCATTCCGGGTAATCGCGATGATCTCCCATGAAGGCCTATTATCATGCCACACGCATGCGCGTCCTCACATGGGCCGACGGCGGGTAAGATACGGTGCGGAAGTGAAGGTACTGACCACATGCGACAGAAGTTCGGTGATATCCCAGCTTGTTGCGTTTCTTGTCGCTATCCATAGCGCTCTGTGAATTCGGTGTTGTTGCCATGATCTCGACGACCGCGGGCATAGCTCCCACGGTAGGAGTCAAGTGAGAATGCGATCACGGTTATTCAAAAGCCTCTAGCGCAATCCGGGGAGTGTAGAAGGACACGCATCCATGCAAAAGAAAAACCACGGTGCTCGAGGGGTAAACCGACGCCGGGGGATGACGGTAAAATTGCTCAGACTCTCAGGGCTTTTTTCCGATCCACTGCGCCACACGGTAAAGGCTGAGGTTTCAGGACACCAGGTCGTTCTCGGGTGCGCTGGAGGGAGGGGGAGAATGGGGGAGTCGATTCTTTGCTCCTCCCAGTGGCGAGAATAGATTGGATGAAATCGGTCTCAAGAACCCCCCCAGTCCGTGATTGAACAGATCAATGGATATTAAGGTATTAGAGTGCCTCGTGAAAGGGGTTAGGAGGGGGGGATTTGGAGGCCAAAGTAATCTCGATGCCTGAAGATTGACTGGTGAACAACGATTAATGGCGTATGGGATATAGTTTGCAAACGAGGAAATGAGACCGAAAAAAGAAAAGAAAAAAAAAGCCAAATGAGTGAATGCAGTGAAGAAGTGGAAGATCGAGGATGTCGTATAGACTCGACAAGAGACAGAAGCTAATCGCGGGGTGAAACGTCCATAGCCCTGCTTTTGCTTTTTGGGTTTTGGGAAAGGGAAAAATAAGAAATAAAAAAAGCCCTGGTATTTTTTTCTTCTTCTGGAATTCCAATCATCTAATAATTAAAATTATTTTTTGGAGAGGGACGATTTTTATTTTTTTAGTATTTTTGGATTTAGTATTTTTTTTTTAAGTACTTATCCCACCATACGTGGAACAAAGTGGCTCTGCCTTCGACACTAAGACTAAGACGGATGTATCGAAGCCAAATCCACTGCAGGTCATTGACATGATCTCAAACTCAGGGGCATCATATAATCATATCATAAGCCTTATTTATTGTTCCCCAGAGACTCATGAATGTTTCGCTACACCCAATGACGAAACCAACTCCATCGAATCTACCGTGCAGCGTTGATTCTTTTTCATTCTTTCTCATTTTTTTTTTTCGTGTTGTCGCTTTCGGCTTTTTTTGCTTTTGCCTCCTCCTCCACAAACCCTCTTTTATCATTTGATACTTGGTTTTCCGGGGGGAAGGGGGGGAAGTTAATCTCTTCCCATTTTATTTTATTTCACTTGCAATTTTGGCATATCACGAACAAAAGTCGACTAGGTCCCACCTGGAGAGGAGCCCTAAGGCGTCCCTAGACTCCTTTTTCTCGCAGAACAAGGAACCATGGGGAGCCCTGACATGGTGGGGCCTCAGGGCCGTACAACAGGCGATTCGGGCTTAGAGGCAGGGAGACCGAGCTGTCAATCCCTGATGAACTGGGGCATATTCCATGTGCGTCTCGGAGGGCTGATTGGTGAGGGTATTAGCGTGGCCACTGGAGCCAATGACGTTTCTGCGGGGCCCATCGCCGCCAAGCCTCCTTGTCCGGGCAGAAGACATGTTGATCACCTATAGAATCCTGGAGGGCTTCTCGAAGGGGGACGGTTCTGCAGCGGCTTCGCTTATGCGAGGGGGAGGGCGCAAATCGTGAGGACGTATAAAAGAACATCTCCCAGGGCGTAGCTGTTCGAGGCGCATGTTACCTCAGGACTGCGACCTCGTAGGCATCAGATATTAATTAGTTCTAAAAACAGCATCCAGGGTCCACGGATGATGCGTAACGCAAACCGAGGGCAGCACGCCATGAAATGCGGCCTTTTATTTTTTTTATTTTTTTATTTATTTATTTATTTATTTATTTTTTTTTTTTTTTGGTGGGTGCGGTTTCCTAGAAGGTTTTTGTTCGGGTTTTGTCTTTGCCCCTGATTGAGGACCTTTTCGCTCGAAACTTCTTTCTAGGGCAGGACCAATCTCAGGAATTCAAGATACGAGGGGAAAGCTTTGCACTTGCCTCTGGGTCGGCCATAGCTTAATCGGCGGTTTGACTGTTTGAGAGACTAGTGCGCCACCATACCCGAACCCTTTTCTCAGATCTCAACTCCGTTCGAGGGGCATTCCACAAGATTGGGAAAGATGGGATAAAACCCGGAGACCAGTAATTGGTTCTGCCAGAACGTGGAACAGCCGCGATCCATTCCTAACGGGGGCAAGGAATCGGCGGTCACCAACCATGGTTCAGAAGCCTCGATATCCGGTCAATCAGGCCAATCTTAATTACATCGAACAAAGCCAGTAAGCATCGGGCTTGCGACGAAAAGAGCAAGTCGGTAGCGTGGTCATCCAAAAAGACGGGGAATTTCTACCCAAAAGGAAAGCACACTCATACATTATGGAAAGCAAAGCAAAAGGGAAAAGGTCATCATCACATTCCGGAGAATACCGAGAGCGCATGAGATCTCAGGAACCTACGCCCAACTGGGGTGTCAGGTCCGAAGGCCTACGACGGATATTGGTCCAGCCCGCCTTCTGGAACAATGGGGGACAATAGAAAAAAAGGTTAGGACAGGAAACGATCTGGTGTGAGTCTGTAACAGAAAGCGACCCGCCGACTCCCCTGGGTGGGGCACAGTCAAGGTTTAATTAAGGATCATCGCTCAGGCAGTAGCGCGTTACAGAAGTTCTCAAAAGGGACTCCCAGGACCTTCTTTTGTTCTTCGAAGCCTCAACCGAGCTTCCATAGCCGACACTAAACGGGGCAATGGAGAAGTCAGGCAAGTTCTACGAAACCCACGAACCCATGCGTAAACAGAAAAAAGACAAAGGGCAGGGGCCTCGGACGTCAGTGATCGGCGATGGGTAAAAGAGTTCGATTGTGATTGCTTTGGTCACCGCCAATAGTCTGCTGCTAGTTGCGAACAGGAGAGGGGTTAATCCTAACTCACACTTCCCCCCAAAAAGGGGAGGGGGGGCCCTCAGCACGGGGCCTTTCCCACTGATCACTTTCAGACAAGAAACGTGTCACCTTCAGGCGTGGCTCCCAGGGCTGCTCAGTGGACACGGTCAAGAAAGTGTGCAGCATCTCCAGTGTCCCGGGTCTCCAATCAACCTAAGCAGGCAGTTTGCATTTGGATGAAGCTTCAAGCGCATGAGCCTCGGGGTCGTGTAGACATATCCCTTCCCCTTGGGACGCAGCGTACTTTGTCGCCTCACTGGGGCTCTGGCGAGTTTGGTGTTCGCCTCTCTGGAATTCAGCGTGTTCTCCGAATGATCGACACGAGCCTTGAGCGAACGTGATTGGAGCGCGAGGGTCGCACATGGAGTGCATGGACGACACTGGAGTCTACTACACCGTAAAAAGGCTTGAACAGCGTAACGCGCATTACAGGGCCATGGCGTCTCCGGTCCTCAGGCCCTCCGGTCGTCAGATTCACAGAATTGTCTCCATCCCAAGTTTGGAGTTTGTGCTGTCATTTGCTCTCCACTCCTGTTCAGCTTGCGTACCACATGCATTGACCCACCGAGGTTGGATTGGACCCGACACCCAGCTGAAACAGGGTCCAGTGCTGACTCAGATCTCTGTTTTTGGGGGGAAGCTGCTTTCTCTGGAAGGTTCTAGGAAATGCAACTCCGTAGCTTCTAGATGGACTGGAAGCCACCTTTCCTAACCGAGGATTGGGCGCTCGGAAGAAAAGTCCGTAGGGTGCACACGAACGCAACTGGGACTGTAGTAATACTGTCGAATCCTGCCCTAAGAAATCTTTTTTTTTTTCCCACCCCGAAGGTGTCCGGTCTGACGTGGGATCCCACGGTGTTGACCCTCCAAGCTAGGCCTAGCTGGGCTTAGCAATAGATCGGGTTTCCCAGGGGGCAGCCCCGTCTCAACTGCCGGCGAGGCTAAACGGGATTGCGCGCATACACGGCGTCTCCATTTCCGGGCTTGTCGTTGGTTCCCCCAAGGGACCCCTCCAATGGGGTCCTTGGTCGTGGTCAGAGGGTCGGAGATTGTCCTCTGCCCAAGCCTGGGTCAGCTAGGCTGTACGAGCTTCGTTTAGGGCATGCAGGGCCTCCGTTTCAGGTATGCGAGCCTTTTTCGGAGCCCAAATACGAAGTCGGGAAAAGACCTGGACCCTTTTGGCTGCTGGTCCCCAAAAGGGCATGAGACAACGTCAAACGTGCATGTACGTCTACAGGTTCCATTGCTGGGCTCTGCGGTTGATCTATTAGAGGACGGGTACCAATTGGATCTCCAGAGCAATCTACATGACGGATGTGAGGGGGAGGGGGGGAAACCGTATGATCTGGGACATCGCATCCATGAGGCTGTCGACCGTCTAGGCTGAGCTCGCAAAAAAGCCCTAAGAGACCTGAGTCCTCCCTGCATGTACTCCCGTATCTTCCCCGAAATATGCTCCTGTCAGCCGAGAAGGTTATCACGGATCGGTGGGAAACCCGATCGCAGCAGTGGAGTCCATGCAGGGACTTTAACTGGTTCGCTCCTCCACGCGATCCACTCTCTCGGCGGTTTCACCATCCTCGGGCCCTTAACTGCTTCCATGCAAGCGCGCCTCCTCCGTGGGCCTTTTCTTTTTAAAACTTGCAACCTGCCTTACGCGTCCCCCCTCTCTTCTGCTCTCTTCTGGGAATTGGTCGACAGTCCAGTTCCCTTCGGCCCTATCACGTTGCTTTTTGGCTTCGACGCTGCGCGACTTATGGTTCGGGCACTGAAAGGAAGGTGGTATCTCTCAAATTTCCGATGGTGGCTGTGTTGGCCCAGCTGGCCCAGCTGGTCCAGCTGCGATGCCCCGGCGAGGCCGTTTGGCTAAAAAAGGGGCTGGTCCCGCCCACCGCTCTCGCGTTCAGGCAACATAATCTCAATCGGACAAGGTAATCATTCATTATATCCACTGGGGCAAACCGGTCCGAGTGCCGGGTACGGAGTAGTTGGGGTATTTTCATTACATGACATCATGAGGGTAAACATGGCAAAGCGCGAAAAAGAGAAAGACAAGACGACGGGGGAAATGAAAAAGGATTAAAAGGGAACTACGGATTCGCAATATGCTCCTCCTGGCTAATCCCCTACGCGAATCACGACCTGAACGCCAATGGCTCGCGCCTCCCGTACACAGCACGCGACACACGTTCTGCCTACTCGACCGATCACACTGTGTGCGCCGACGGTCGCGCACCATGCGCGGGCCAATGCCTCCTTGCTGCGGCAACCCCGCGCGTCGATAACCACTACCTCGGGAGATGTGTGCAGCGACGACGAAGTGGCCGGTCGTGCGTCATTGGGAGAGAGCCTGGCGACTGGCACAAACTTGTAGGGGAAGGACTGATGCAGCGGGTGGCCTGGCAATCGTCGGAGATCGGTCCAAGCGCGCTTCTCTCCCCGTCATCGGACTGACTATCAGAGACTGCGGGACCCTGGCGTTGGGGCGTGAAGCAACGTGGTGGGCGGCATTCATGAGCGGAAACAAAGCGCACGTTGTATCTGAGAGGGAATCTGATCATAGTCGCCTGTTCCGCAGCCGCGGGGTCCTGGACCGTAAATGAGAGGCAGGCCTCGTTGGCGAGGGTGATGCAACGCTGGCCAGGGTTGGCGAGACTGAGTGTAAGCATCCCCACGTCCACCTGGGCCTGCGCAGTCACTTGTGGATCTAGCGGCAGCGAGAATGACTGCGCTGTAATGTCACCCACGCCTAGCGGTGAGGACTCCAGGGTCACTTTTCCTCCGTGCTTAATACGAGGGTGCCGGCTTGCAGATGGCACGTCCTCTGTGTGGACTTCAAACCAACCCGGGCCCAATGCCGTCTGGTCCGTAGCCTCGTAGGGACCCAGATCGCTGCCCACCCAACCCATACACGTTTTAGAGCCTTGCAGGGCAGAAAGGACTCGACCGACAATACATGCTTTGCTCCACCAACTGCGCCCCTTGTAGACGAAGCCCCCGTAGAAATTGGCCGTCGCGCCGAGTTGCTGGATTGCGTCGGCATCGTTTTCTAGAATTGTTCCCATCAGCAGGTGGCAGATGCCTTCGCCAGCTATCACGAATCCGGACAGCCAGCTGCGTGAGATCCAGCCTAATCGATCAGAAAAGTGTGGGTCATCGTTTGCTTCGCACGGGTTGTAGAGCTGAAGACACCAGCGTGATGGACTTCGAGTGTACATATCATCTTTCGCACCTTGCACAGCTGAGTGCTGGACGAACTGGTTCTGGCCTCTGGCCCAGGAATTATCATTGAGGTCTGGTAACGCCAATTCCTGCCCCTTTCTCAGCTTCTTCTCCAGCGTATCGTGGAGCATGTCAACATTGGGCCAACCGATGTTTTCTGCGAAGACATAGAGCCCTTCCAGCTGCCGATGTATCCGTGATGGCGACGAAGTAATCTGGAAACTCCAAGCAGACCCCAGAGCTGGCCCTGTGGAAATATGTCGGTTGATAATTTCCCGCAGAGAAATTCGATGGGGCTTCGTTGGGGCTTTGTTGCCAGAGTCGGGCTGCTCAGCGGTCAACTCAGGTTGAGGGATCTGGAGATTGTTGAAAAATCTCCGTACCACAATCAAATCCCAGTTCACTTTCCCTTCGCGTAATTGATCGAATTGTTGAAGCTCCTGGGCCGTCATCAGGCCCGCGTGCGGGTCATGTAACATGCCCTTACGAACGAACGCGTCGAGGCGTAGAATCAGCTCGGCTGCCAGCACCAACTGCACCAGGAGCCACTTTCGTTCCATGCCAGAATTGACCCATGATGGAGTTGAGACATCGCTCTTTTCATGACTGGGACCGTCCCCGTCCTGATGTGGCGGCGCCTCCCACAGTATTTGCCCGGCCCGAAGACGCCATTCCGGAAGGCTGAAATCGATCCACGCCCCAGGCGTAGCTAAGACGGTTGCTAGCGTCTTGATCTGGGACTTGAGGCTTTGGGGATGGCCGGGCATCACATCCCCGGAGGTGGGCGTGGATAGAGAAACTGGCCGTGGAGGGAATGGTGTAACTCTCGAGGCGACTCGGCATCGAGCAGTGTCAGCGTAGATCCGTCGGCCAGGATCTGCTCTCGTAGTTCTTTGATATAGTGGATGCGCTGGACCAGAACCCGCAGGTCGATATCACGGACTCCAATCCGTCTCCATGCGGTGGGCCCGTCGCGAATGAGTTGACGTCGATCGAACACAGTGCCGTTGGAGCAGTGGGCATAGGGTCGGTCATAAGTATCCACTACGTCAAAGGCTTCAACTGCTGGGAGCGAAGAGAGCTGCTGCAGCCCGGGTGCTGCATGGGGCTTGCCCGGGCCCGGATATCGAATGGCATCTGCTATCGGAACCTCCAGAAAATGTCGCAGACCCACGGTACCTGGCTCTCTTCCATTACTCGCCAGCATATTGGGGACCTCAAAAACTCCGATGTCAAATGTGGCGCGCTTGGTACGCCCAGTCCAGCGGAAATTCTCCAAGTGAATCGGGACGCCGTCTTTGACGGCCCAGTCATCAGGGATCGGCAGATGGGCATGAAGGGTACACAGAGTATACGAGCGGTGCGATAGCAGCTTCCGATCTAATAACCGCTGGATGGAGGGGTTGTGCAGATCCCAAGGGAATATAACTTCTGGGTAATATCTGCCGTTTTTCCCTTTCTCGAGCATGAAATGGGGGGCTCCAGAAAAGATCGCTTTGTAATCTTTTATCGTCAGTACTGATATATCCGGGCCTCGTGTGCTCCCGTTCGAGCCGTCTACCTTTGTTGCAGCCTCCAGGCGCGACTCGAGGTAGTCCTGGATGTTCCCCGGTTGTTTGGGCTCGCCGTGGATATTGGCCGATAGAGGCTCGGAGCTTGATGGGCTTCTCGGCTGCCCTGAACCGTGGTGACAGCTGCTATCATGGCTTCTCGGCTTCCTGTTCTCGTGATCTAATTGAGCTCTTGGCGGATTTCGCGACTCCTGCTGCGTCATTAATGGGACAATCACGTACGCAGCGGTATTTCCTCGTATACTTACGGTGTGGTGGACCTGGGAGGGTGAAGAGAGACTGTCACCGCGCCTCCGAAACAAGCCATGCAGGAATCCTAGAGTCGCGTCATGAGTAGCTGGCGACTGATCGGAGATCGATGAACGTCCGAATCTGAGGGTTGCATCGTCTGACTCCAGATCCGAATGGGATCGACGGCGGCCTAGTAGGAACGACATTGGTCCATCAGACCAGCTGCGGGCGCCTTCCACGGAGAGACGAGATGCAGCGGGGGACTCGAGAGCAGAGAGTACACAGAACCTTTTGAATCTGATGAGCTGGACTTCAAAAGACTTGAAAAGAAGCTCGAATGCGGAGTACCATACGATGGAGTTTCGGGTCCGTCGGCTCGGGTAGCGGCACCTCTCAAGCGGCGCAAGGTTGCCCCAATCCGTGACGATTGGCTGGGGCCGGAACGGTCTTACGATGCATCCCTTTTCATGATACGTCTTACGCTGGGAAGGATTGAGAGAGCATTGAACTTTCGTATACGCTGACATTACTTATCGTACTGAAAGAACAAGATCTAGACTAAGACCGCCCATTACGACCCAGGGCCACTGCCCTTTCGCGCGGCAGAAATTAACAAGGGAAAAATACAAAGGACTAGATCTATGCGTGCTTCTGGAAGAAGTCAAGCAGGGTCTTATAGCCCCGCTCGTACTCCTTGACCACCTCGGGGTCTTCCAGGTTGGCGCGAGCAGCCATCCAGCCGTGGATCTGGGTTGGGAAAGTCTCAACGTGGTTGGGGACCTGCAGGTTGGCCTTGAAGGCGTCGACGTCCGCTTGAGGCTCGTCTTGAGATGCCAAGGTCGCAAAGGGGACGCGGATCGCCTTCGCGTCATTGGGGTCGACCATCGCAGGGTGAGCCTGCGCACCAGCCTTGAAGAGGTTATTGTCGCTGCCGACCGTGAGCGTGGCGATCTTACCGCCCCAGCAGTATCCCAGAATCGACCAGGAGTCGAACTTGCCTCCCGAGGCGAGCTTGTTGGCCTCCTCTACGACGCCGGGGATCTGGGGGAGGATCTTGGGCGGGGCAGCCTGGGTGTTGAAGAAGTCGCCGAGCTTCTGCTTGTGCTCCTCGGTGGTCGGAGGGTACCAGGAGATGTCTGCGGGTTTGCCCTCGAAAAAGTCGGGCATGAAGACGCGGTATTTCTGCTCGCTTGAGGTGGCCAGGATATCGGCGCCCTGGAGAGTCTGGTCGAAGAAGCCGAAGATGTCTTCGAATCTCGTGTTAGCCATCGTCATCTGCATCTGTTGCCAACGCCCGCGCAGCATCGCTCACCAAAAATGACCAGGATAGCCTTCTTCGCGGACTCGGGGCCCGTGACATCTGATCGCCACAAGTCAGCTCAGTATACCATCCGCATTCCGGGGGTGTGAGCGTTCGTACAGGTGTTCAAGCCATTGATGGTTTGGTAAGCGCCCTTGGCCTTGTAGCCCTTGGAGACCACAGGGGGGGATCCTTGCTCATGTGTTAGCGTCGCTTGGCTCATGAGGTGGGAGCTGTAATGGGCAGAACGAACGAGCAGCAGGCCTTGCTAACGCCAGACATGGTGGGAGTTTCGGAGTGGTGCGGGGAGAGTTGGGGGGCGTTTGGTAGAAGGTCAACGCTAAGGAGCTGAGGTTAGAGAGAAGCGCCCGACTTAAATCATAGATTTGTTAGAGTACTAGTATACTCACTCAGTGGATTTTCAAGCCTTGGAAGAAAGGATCGTGAAGGGAGAAACTGGGAAATGAAGAATTCGAGGACCATATAGTCCGACCCCGCCGCATCAACGTCATGGCGGAACAAACCCCTCGGGACTTCCAGGTTCGTCAGGGTTCCAAGCTTTCCGGGACAGATGCATGAGGCACCCCTCTTCTATCTAGGTATATAACAGGGTCTTCACGAGAAGAGGACCACTGGAATCTGCATCAAGAGTGACCGCCGGGGTAGTGAGAGTCTGCTTGGGGGTTCTTGAACCAGGAGACCTTCCCTGGGCCGCAGCATTCCCCCCGGGCGCACTCGGACGCGACAGGTTCGACAGAACACGATTCGCCCGGCTGCCCGGCAAATCTGCTCCTTTGTTTACTCCCATCTGTACGTTCGATGTGATGGATTGCGCGTTCCAGTGGTCTCCACCATCGGTTGGGGGCCCAGATGCCCAAATCGACCGGGCTGCCGATGCTGAAGAACCTTATTTTCTTTTAGCGCTGCCAGTGAGGGAATCCTGCTAGAAGAATACGAGGAAGACAAATCCAACGAAGGGGGTCAAGCGAAGGCGCCTGCAAGTCCCTATATACTGGTCAAAATGGCATCCGCCTGTCAGCCAATGCAGAGGTACACTAGTCCGAAGACTCCATGCGAGGACGTAATATGAGGGATAGTGTTCTGAATATATATCCAAGGTTGCTTATGGGATGGGCACCTCAGAATTACTAGTAAAGGCAGGAACTTCGGTTGAAAGACCAGAAAACGCCGCAGATCATTACAGGACTCATGACTCGCAGTACTCATCAGTGGAGGTGCCTACGGAGGGCCTCGTAAGCTCCGTATGTATATGCTAGGTGCTGGGAGTCGCGATATGTGGTTTCCTACTGATGGGCTCTTGGCGCAGCCGCAGATTTCACTGTCGGCCTCACTGATGCAGCGCCAGTGGAGTAGTCATTTAAGTTCGGACTTTACAGCCCCAGGAAATCATGACGAGCCCACCGAGCTCGATCGATCCGCTCTGATCAGCCCTGCGAACCCTGCAGAAGTGCGAATGCAGATCTCCCGAAGATTCGACTGGATGGAGGGGAAAAGGGGGCTTGTTGACCCAAAAGCCTCCCCCGGCAGGAACCGATGCACACGACGATCGCATGGCTCGAGCCCGAGGATCCACCTGCGCTGTCCCATTTTGTCGGGAGCTGCTTCGCAGATTTCTTTTGACTCCCCTTTCTTCCCAGCTAAATCGGCAGCAGACCGCAAATGGGGCTCGGTGTTTGGGGGAAAGACGTGAGACTCGCCCAACTTCCGCCCAAAACTCTCCAGGTATCTCCCGTACCTTCCGGTCTATTGCTTTTCTTAATTTAGGTCTCAGCTTCCTGGACCCATGGGTGGAGCTCTCTCATGAGACAAAGAAGAATGCGACGGACATAACTTAGCCTCACATGCCACACGGAATGTCCCGTTAGGGCATTGCAAGCGAGACTAAATGGACTAGAGGGACTAGATGGACACTATCAGCACCGCTGCGGCCCCGATCATGATTAGGGGAATCGGGCATGGGAGAAAGGGTCGGGAAAGGGTCTGCTAGTTTGCGTCGAATCGGGTTGCCTTTTCTTTGAAATGTCCTTTTTGTTTTTTTGTTTTTTTGTTTTGTTTTTTTTTTTTTCCCGTCTCTTTTTTGCTTCTGCGCACCCCTTTCCAAGTCCCTGCGACCGTCCGTGCAGAGCAACAAAAGGACGAGCTCGAAGGCGAGAGGCATTCGATGTTTTAGCTGCCGGTTAAAACGGACCAAAAAGGGAGGGGAAAGCCATTCCGTGCGCCACCCCGATCGCATGCCAACCTTCTCTGGGGACCGGGGGATTGGATTGGTAGTGCGACATCCATGGTGCCACACGTTCGCCTTTCACACGTTTTCCCTTGCCCGGGGGCCAATCAGCGCTTCACTCCAAGCGAGAAAGGGGGAGGAAGGGAAGGATCCCGACAGGAAAAGCTGGGAACGCTGGCAACGCTGGCAACGCTGGCACCTTCTGATTCTCTCTAGCCGGTGAATGGGGGGCTAAAAAACCGCAGCTGACCCAAGTCGACCAGAATGCTCGAGACCGAGGCTAAGCCCGGATCGGTCGACGCGCGGACCAGCACAGCGAATTACGGCCGTCGCTCGCTTGTCTCTGCCTTGAAGGGGAGGCGAGATGCTCCAGACTTCCATGGTCTCTCGTATCCTGAACCCTTCTGGGCCTATCCCGGCATCCGTGCGCCTTCCCTCTGGGCTGTGGGAATCTGTTCGAAGCTCCGGAGCCATGGGATTATGGAGGATGACTGGCATCGGGAGGGCGATTACGAATGGGATCTGGGAGGCCTGTTTACGAGCTAAACAGGAGCTAACCAGAGACCCCCTGTCCCGAGGTTCCAGCACTACCGATATTACCCTTGAATTCCCGACCGCTGGAGGCCCCGATAGGCTCTTCGATTATAGGCGACTTGTCGAGTCAAAGGATGGTGGGGACGCAAGCTGCTCCAACCTCATTTTATTTTTAATTTGTCCCCTCCATCTGATTGGGGATGCATCACTTTTCGTGATTTCTCGGCTCCTCGCTATCTCTGTCCTCTCCACTTCGAACGCAAGGAGGCTCTCCGACGCCTTTGATCCTGGCAGACTCGCCGCGGGTATGTATCTTATCCGCCATGCTAACCTTTTTCTCCCACCTGGAAATTGCCCCCTTTGGCCCTTTGGCCCTCTGGCTTCGGGAATTGTTCCCTTTGCCCCCGGAGCACGAGTTACATACAGTCAGACGCTAAGGCCCCTAAACGGACAGAGAGTCATCTGCAATAGAAGTACAGAGGAGCATCAAGACACATTCGCGGGGGCCAAGGGTAGACAACTCGTAAATAGTCGGTGCGGCAGTCATGCAGAAGGAAGATATGGATACGGAGTTCTCCAGTGGCGATCGATCGAGACGATCTTATTCGGAAGCGCCAACCGGAGGTTCCAGCTGCTTTTTTAGCTGTCAACCACGAGGTTTACTGGGACTTTTGCTTTGGGGCCTCGTTGGAGCTTTTTCCCTCTTTTCTACCCCCCCCCCGTATTGCTATTCTCCGGTTTATTTGGAATGATTATTGGTTTTTCCTTTTGGTCGGAAGTTTCCTCCCCATTTTGCATCTCTATTTTCCACGGAATCTGATTTCTGTCTGATATTTTTTTTTCTTTCTTTTTTTCCCTCCCCCTCCCCCTTTTAGTGTAGGACTTTTTTTTTTTTACCCGTTTTTCATTTTCTTTGGTTCACCTTCTGGAGTCTTTCGTCCCCACGGTCCAGGCCTGTCGACCCATTCTTTCCATTTTATTTACTTAGCGCTGGTCTATACAGCCTTTCCCGGCTTATAACTGTTGCCCTCCCCGCCATTCTTGACGCCCCAACGCCACGGCTGTTCGACCTCTTGATCATGCACTTCGCGCGCATTCGACGAGCTCTTTCATAGTCCACCCAGTAGGCTCCTTTGACCTGATTTAGATCTCGAGCTTGCCCCCTCTCCACCCCCCTCCGATCGCATCCACCGGCGATCGATTGTCGCGCTGGATCCTTCGAGCCCTTCGGGGGCCCTTTCTGGTGGTCGAGACTGGACGGTGAATCCCAACTTTGGATCGTCATTGCCCGCACACCTTCCTCCCTCGCTCTCCGAGTCCGATCTGTTTGCACGAGATCCCAATCTGGCGACTCTGGCCGTGCCACCCATGGGGACCGCGCTTGATGCGCTGGCCCAGCAACCGCTGAACTCGCGCCGTCCAGCAGCTCCCACCTTGCCGAGTTTCGAGCTGCCGCCGCCGCCGTTTGGCGTCGCACCTAAATATCCTACTCAAGTGCAGAATCCGCCCGCATCACATCCCCCGAATGTCAGCGTGGGCAACCTATTGACTCCGCCCGCCACCAACCAGTCAGGCGAAACCCCCGTAGCACCACCTCTACCCTCCTCGGGGGTCTCCTCGGATCCCGCCCCAGCATACTGGCCAGGAAACAGTCCGTACGGCGCTGGGGTGGCCCCCCCAGAACTGGGCGTATCCCGCTCGCACCTCCTTCTCACCCTCCGGCCGTTCAGCGTCGGTCACAGCGCCCCCGACCACGGACGGGCTGCCACAGCCCTTTGAGGCACCCCCGCTGGCTTCTTACCCGCAGGGCCTTCAGGGCCTTCCCGCCCCGTCCAGCATTCCCCACGCTTCCCACCCGGTCACCATGTCTCTTTATCCGTCTGGCCCCGCGGCCTCCCCAGCTCCTCTCCCCTCCAATGACCCGTATAACCCCAAACCTCCTCTGATGTACAGCACTCCACATCTCGCCAATGCCCACCAAACAGGGTTTTCTCCCATGTATGGCGCCCCACCCATCGGAGCCGCAGGTCTCGGAATCCACCCTTCGGCACGGATGCTCGCCCAATCAACCCCTGCCGGGCAGCCATCGATGGGGTTCCAACGGCAACCCTGGCCCTCCTATAGTCTCCCGGCCATGTCGGGCCCAGTCATGACCAATGTGCACAGCCCGAACAGCCCAATGTCGGTGATGGGGGGGCATGCAGCCTGGGTTATTGCCTGGTTTCAACAGCGGACATGTCGCCAGCACACAGCATCTCTACGGAGGACAGCCCCCCCATGGCATCCCCGCCCCTTCTCCCGATCGTCCCTTTAAGTGTGACCAATGCCCGCAGAGCTTCAACCGGAACCACGATCTGAAGCGCCACAAGCGGATCCATCTGGCCGTGAAGCCATTCCCATGTGCTCATTGCGATAAGAGCTTCTCGCGAAAGGATGCGCTCAAGGTAAGAATTGCTTCCATTCCCCCACCCCAATGGCGGTTCTCCAAAATGACTCACACTCGTTCAGCGACACATCCTCGTCAAGGGCTGCGGCAAAGATGGCGATTCCGAGGCGACGCAAACGGCTCTTGATGGTTCCGTCAAGGCTGATCGAAGTGAAGACGGCAGTCCAACCCTGAACGGCAGGGTGTGAATCGATCAAACCGGATTCTTCCCGCATTCGTTGTTATATTCGTGCGTCTCTTGGTTCTCCAAATGACCCCTATTGCTCATCCTTCGTGTTTTTACCCCCCCCCCACGAGGAACAAGAGCAGAACATGTAGCTACAGGGCCTCGGAGTCGGTGGGATTTTCTGACTTTGAGATTTTTATTTGGGTTGAAATATCTTTTCTTTTTTCTTTTCTTTTCTTTTCTTTTGCGCAATGGCGACCGGGTGTGAATGGGCATATTGGGATGGGTGATCTTTCTATTGGAACTTGTGTTTGACTAATTACGTTTCTGAGCCTAACGTGTGTGACGTGTGTATTGACTTGATTTTCTGTGACTTTGATCAGCGACAGAGCACCTCTATTTTTCGGGAGTTGGTCCCTGGTGTTGGTATATATTTTCTGCATGCATGATCCTTGAATGGATTGTTCAAATACATCAACTTCCAAACTTGACTGCTTCCCGACCTTACATTTGAGCTCTTGGCTCTCACGTCGACAGTACACAATAAGCTGCTGGCGGGTTGGCTTCCGCCTAAGACCCCTTGGGCTTCGGTATCTGAGCCTGCCACTCACAGAGGAGTTCTACCAATCGGCTGAAGACGTGGAACATACTGTATGCTTCCATGGATCCTCCTGTTCCTCGCTGCTCTGGCCGACCTTTGGGCCGGTCAGTAGCCGCTGCTAACCTAGAAGCTCGGAATGAGTGCGCTGGGCAAGCGTTTCTGCATTCAAACTGTCCTAAACAATCAGCCACCTTCGCCATTCCGAAACATGCCTCTCGGACTTTGTATCAGCCAAGACGGAACGGCGACACGTGTGTTGGGTGCAGCCTTGTATCTACTACTCGTTAGCATATATGAGCAGCCAATCCTCGGTCTGATCAATCTGGCCATCCTCCTAGGATTTGAAAGACTCTTTCTGTCCTTTTCTGATCCGGCATCTGTTTGCCCGAGTCCCCACACTCCAAGTTTCGTTTGTTATATCTGCCCCACTGGCAGATGCCTTGGTGCCTGCCATGTATAATCATCCTACTAGGCCGAGCCTCCCTGTTGTCCTGGCCGTATTGATGCTTTGGGGCCCTGCCTTTGCCTCTCTTTCACAATCCAAGCCACAAGCAGCCGCGTGGCCGTCACCTTTTCAAGTCCATCCAAGAGCCAATTCGGCAGGCGAGAACTGGGAGTATTCCATCCCCAGCGAAGTGCAGCATGGGAGTAGCTCTGCCCGATTCAATATCTCTACGCCCGACACTGCTCTGAGCCAACATGATTTACGTATGCTAGACGCGCCCCAAGTGGCTAACATTACCGAGGCTGTCTTTGACTGGTGGTACTTTGATGCCGTATCGGAAACCAATCCAAAGGAGTCCATCGTGGTCATACTGTTCAGCTCCTCGGCAAATGCATTTCCCTGGCTGGACAAGGACTTGGATTCTGTCCTGGTGGCATACCTCTGGGCCTCTTTCGGAAATGGCACCGTTTTTGCACACTATGTCCCCGCGACACTGGCTACTGTGACCGGAGGAGATGATACGGTACACTCAAGTTCTGGCGACTGGTCCTCCACCGGCTTCAGCTGGACGAGTAGGAGCCGCGATCTGTCTCAATACGAGGTTCGTCTTGAATCAGAGAAAATGCACGTCAAAGGCCGCGTGGCCCTGAGCTCTGTGAGTGACTTTTTATGGATCGTATTCGGTGCCAACTTGAAGTGGGCAACTGACTCTCCACCAGCCACCCGCGCCCCATCTTCCGTGCGGCATCAACTCTCCCGTAACCACTTTGGAAATCTTCCCTCATATTGGCTGGGCGGGGATCATCCCGGACGCCACCAGCACCGTGGAGATCACGGTTCAAGGTTCCCCTTTGACATTCCAAGGAGGGGGTATCATGACAAAGTTCGTGCCAAATCTTCCAACAAAGAAAACGAGGGGACCGTGCTGATTTGATCATCAGAATTGGTCGGACCGACCTTTCATTGAATCCGTCCAGAGTTGGTACTGGGGCCATGGCCGTGTAGGTCCGTACTCGATCGTTTGGTTTGACGGGATCGACACTACCAACACGCCCCGCACGAGTAGCTACGTCGCCCGCGACAATGTGGTGTTGTTAGGGTCCTGCAGTACCGCGAGTCTCACTGTGCGGCCAGTCGGAGCATCGAACACGACTGGAGGGAGATATCCGCCGCAGGCTGGTGACATTCCCATTGGGTTTGCACTGGAGTTCGATCTTGGGAATGAAGGGATTCTCAAAGTCCATGCATCGGCCGAGGCGACCCTTGTGAATGATGGCCGGTACTATTTTCGTTGGTCGGGTCCATTGACGGGCGAGCTGCTTCCGGCTAGTGACCAGAAAGAAAATCTGACAGGGGTGGCAGTCTTTGAACAGTTTGCCCTGGTAGAGTAAGACGGTTTCTGGGGGCGGGTTTGGCTGGTTTGGCGGGCTTCACCGTGAGCCCTGTGAGGTCTCTCTCTTAATCGACGTCCTTGTAATTTATGGGAGACTATCGTGATTTACGTATTCAGTGCTCTGGGATTCCAAAGGAAAAGAGACGAAACGCGTGGAGGAAAATATTGGATTGGCAAACTCCCCGATGCTGGAAACAAGCAAATTCTATAAGGCCTAGAGACGGGAAATAGCACAATTCCATCGACCTGAAGACCCGGGAAGAAACGTGGGCTCAATTTGAGGCCGAGCTGGAAAGGGTATCTCGCGAAAGTGCGAAAAAAAAGGTAATTAGAGGGAAGGTTGAAAGACATGATCAGATGCACAAAGAATGAGCTTTTAGAGGGCAAGGCCAGCGTCGAAAGACAAAGGAAGGACTTCAATGAGCTGGCAAGTTGGCCTTCCACTCATCGATCAATCCTTTATAGTCTTCGACACCGTAGGGTTGAAGACACTGCGCAAGCAAACCGTTCTTTCGCTCGGGGTTGAGTCCCAGATCACGGAGCATCAAGTCCACGTACGGAATGGCATCGAATACAAAGTCTGGATTCCGCCGACCAAAGCCTGCCGGATATCTATATCTACCAAACTCGGTGTGAAGAGCGGTTTCCCAGGCCAAGTCGAGCTCATCGTTGTTCTCAGACTTGGAGTCAAGTCCGGCACGCAAGGCCGGAGGGCAGTGCTCGGTTGCCGTTGGGGTGTATTGGCCTCCGAAGTACGCAGCGATCCACAGGGCCTGAGTCTGGGCAACCAGAGTGGTGTTGATTGTCATGGTAATCCCCATGAAAGCCAAAGAACGATCCTTGAGACAGGATAGGGGGACCATGAAACGAGCGAGCCGGAAAGGGTGAGGCACCGCAGCTTCGGCCTCGTCATTCAGCGGGTGGTATTTGGGATTCGGACATGGGGGACTCTGTAGACGCGGGAAACGGCTCAGGATCTCCTCGTCGGCCGCCTTGACCATTTGGGCATTCAATGGATCTGAGCTCCACGGGAATCCCAGCTCACGGTCAAGACCCTCGGGGAGGAATTTCAAGTTGGGGGTGCAGCGCCAGCCAGTGGAGCAGATCAACGCCGTTGTTGAAAGACTGTCCCCGGTGGAGAGATGCACCGTATGGGCGGACAGAGAGTTGATGTCCGCAACATGGACTTGGATGGTGCCGTCCCTGACGAGGTCGAAGAAGTCGGTTGGATAATTCAAAATGCTGAGGGAGGACGCAATCCAGAACGGACTGACCCAAGGCTTCAGCTTCTTCGTCTCTGGATGTTTATCGTACCCGTTCAGCTGGATCACGTCGTCTGCCAGCACCGACCAGAATGCATCCACGATCTTCCGACCCAGCCATGTCCCATGCAAGAAGCTCCGCACCCGAGGAAACCCGTCGGCGCTCCCCCAGATACAAGGACTGAACCATGTTAAGAATCGAGTCGTGACCAGCTTCTCCAGCCACTTCTTCAAGGGTGTGACATACGGCGGCGCCATCCAGATGGGGCCGTGACCAGATTCGCGGATGACCCAGTCAACCTTCATTCCTGACGTTGCACATGCATATGCCGCATCCCATGCCGACTTGGTGCCTCCAAATACCGTGACCCGTTGACCAGTCTGCAAGATCTGGGACTCATGCTGCCGCAGATCGCGGCAATGGAAGATGGGCGCGTCAAAGGATTCTTGGCCCATGAAAGTGGGTAAGTATGCCTGCGAGGTGATGCCAGTGGCCACGATCAGCTTTTTGGTGTCCAGAGTCTTGGACTTGGAATCATGCAGCACAGTCAGCTGCCATGTTCCATCTAGGTTCTTCTTCGCGCTCTCCACCTGATGGCGGACGCGAATGAGCTGAGAGAACCCAAAGTGTTTCGCGTATTCTTCCATATAGCGCTGCACCATATCACCAGGAATGTGCTGACCAGCTTGAACACCGAAGGTCTCCTCGTCCATGGGGAAATCACTGAACTCGTACGTGCCGAGCATGTTGTTAGTCTTCAGACCGCTGTACAGCCGGTGTTTGGCCCACACTCCGCCAATCGAATCGGCAGCTTCTAGGAGGAGCACCTGGCTGTCGGGGTGGACTTCACGATAGGTCTTGATGGCGGCGAGCCCGCTCCAGCCTGGACGAGCCAGTTAGACGACTGATTCCCCAGATCCCCCCTTGAGCTGGAATGGGCGCATGGGCGGGGCCTGCGACGGCCAGGTAGGGCTCTAACTCACCGGCGCCAACAACCACCAGATCTACGGCTGCCATTGCTTCCATTGCTTCCATGCGAGGCGGATTGGGGAGCGAAAAGCCAATGACGTGTTGCGACCGAGACCAAGGGCAAAAAAACAACTATTTACACCCAGAGCCACCAATAGACACGGAGACGACTACCGGAGGTACGCAGAGGTGCTCAAAACCACCTGAGTACGAAGAAGCAAGAACACGCACAGTCTTTTAGGGGAGCCGGGAAAAATAAAATCAAGTCCAAAGACAAGGTGGGGAATGTTATCTCCATGACCCTGGCCAGAAAAAAGAGGGGTCTAGAGTGAAATTCAATAATAAATCATTTGGATCCTTTGGCTAGTCCGAGGCTCTGGCCTGGATCTAAAGAATCTCATACATGCAGACAAAGGGGGAAACGCTTCGTGCATCCCCGTCCCCAGCCCTCCCCACCGGAAAGGCGAGATCACCTACAAACATAAGATCACCATAGGACAGGTCACTGGAAGTGGGATCAAAATGCGCAGAAGGTATCAGGGGTAACGCAGGAATGTGTTAGGGAGGGGAATGATTGGACGAAGTGAGCCCTCTGCAGCAGCTAGTTCGAGCCCGGCGAACGGCAACATGCAACCGATCGAATCCAGACCAGACTTGATTCCAAGGGGAAGCCACATGATGCGAATTTTATTTTATTTTATTTTTTCTTTTTTCTTTTACGGGTTCCACCTGGTCGCACCGTCGTTTGACATCTTCGGTTCGCGGCCTGTCAAATATGTGGCGGGCCCACCACAGCTCTAACCTGTTTGATCCTTTTTCGAAAGCTCAAAAAACACTTGATCACCGCACAGGGACCGTGAATCTGAATGGAAAGGCTTCAACTAATAAAACCCGCCACATCACCGGAAACCGGGGCTCATTGTCAGGGGGTAATCGTCGGATTGTGCGTAGCCGGAAACACCAAAAGTACGGAATCCAAAGGTTCGGCCTGGGAAAGCAAGGCTTCTCCCCGGTCAATACTCGAACCAATTATGCTCCAGACCGGATCCCGGTGATTGGACCCCCAACTTTTGTGGCCCAAGGACAACTGCAGCCTTGATCCCCGATAGCAGAGCAGTTGGGAACGGAAGATGGTGTACTTGAGCGCAGGGTGAACACAGCGAACCTTGTGGGCCTTATCAGCGGGTTGTCCTGCCCTTCAGATATCTGATGAGCCCCAGTCTGGAGGAGGAGAGGTATTAACCAGTAGAAGAGCTCCCACGCCCTCGGTCGTGCTCCCGTCAACTAGAGGGAGACACGGCTCCGTCTTGACGAGACTCTTCAGGATTCGATCTCGGAGTTCGAGCCTTGGGATGCTTGGCAAGTAAACTGCAAAGTCACAACACGTTCTGACGAATAAGAGAATATGATAGGGCGTCGCAGCAGACCAACGCCCCGGGAAAAGTTCTATTTGTCAATATTCCAATTACTCGTACAAAGAAAGCTCAATTCATATTCCAAACCGACCAGGGGCCTCTATGGACTCGCAGAGTCGCGATGCGCCTTCCCCGATTGGAGCCGAGATAACCGCTGGTTCGCGATCAAAGACTGCACCCTGTGCAGACCGTGCAAACCGCTCAGAACGATCGACGTGCAGACATCGCACAGACCTACGCAGCCAACAGTCCGGTTCATGGCAGATCCTGGGCCGTCAAAGAAATAGATCTCGATGTTGGACAACATTTGCGTACCCATGGGACTTAGACCCTCTACAACCAACATATGCCGATCGCCTCAAGTCAAGAAGAGCTAGGGGCCATCCAGTGGGTCTTTCCCAGGACCTTGGGCGTTCGAAAATCCACGATGGGAAAGATCAACGGATCAGGCCTCGTGCTCCGTTGCTTGACCCACAGCCGGGTTGGGTCTAGAAGCTCTTCGATCAAGCATTTCAGTCAGAAGAGACCCTGTAGACCAGCGGGCTCGTCTCAATCGATGCTTACGAGATGATTTCGCGTTCCAGAGAACATAATCAAATTAGATAAGGGAAGCAGCAGCTTCCGTAGAAAGGGAAGCGACTTCTAGTTTGTGCAACAGAATGACCTCAACGTAGTGGGTTCTACTGTAGCCCAAGGGGAGCCACATCGGGCCCGCCTGTGGCTTCGAGAGAAGAGGAGCTATCCAATTCTATTTTGCGCCTGGCGTTTCTAAGTTGACCGGGGGTTCGATTTTCTTTGTTCGGCCTAGTTCCAATGGCAAGATACAGGCCGATGGAGGGGGAGGAGATCCAAGCAGCGACATGACATCCCCTGCTCTTCCCAAGTCTGAGGTGGTACTTTATCTACATCGTGCTCCCGAAAATGAAAGCTGGTTCATGGAACCAGATTCACTGACGGAGCGCGTCCATCCATCATGACCGAGTTTGTTACCGAGGCGTTCACTTTGCTAGGCGCGGCCATCGTCATCATTGGCCTACGCACCCTTGCACGATGGATCATGGTTGGACCTAAGAACTTCCAGCCCGACGACTATTTGATGCTGTTGGCATGTGTAAGATCCGGGCATCCCCAGAAAGTGCTTCGATGTCCGCTAATGCGCGGTGGCCCAGGTGGTTTACTCGTTTGAGACAGCGGCCGCGTATACGGTTGGGGCGTGGTTTGAAGGACTCGCAAACAATGCCATGACCGACGAGCAACGAGCCGCATTGTCTCCTAGCTCGCAGGAGTATTCCCTACGAGTGGGCGGATCCAAAGTGCAGGTGACCGGATGGTCGCTGTACACCCTTTTGCTCTGGCTGCTCAAGACCTGTATGGCCATCTTCTATGCCCGACTGACGTGAGTACTCCCACCGATCGCAGCAGCCTGTGCGCCCGGCGGCATTGGCGATACATCAGTCTGACGGGACACCTTAGGGCCGGATTGATCAACATGCGCATCCGAATCCAAGTTGCTTACGTCTTGATTGGCACGACCTACATTGCGACCCTTTTCTCTATCCTCTTTGGTTGCCATCCGATGGAGAAGAACTGGCAAATCTACCCCGATCCAGGAAGTATGGAAATCAGCATCACATAGTAGATGAGTACCCCTCTAACAGTGATGCGAATACAGACCTTTGCCAGCCTGCTGTATCCAAGATCGATATATACGTGACCGTGGTCTTGAACGTACTCACAGACATCTACCTGATAAGCATTCCGGCCCCTGTGAGTCACTGAACCATACGGATATCATAGCGTGGAGTCCTGACCGGTCTTCTAGATGTTATTCCGAGCTCGCTTGCGATGGCGAGAGAAGGTTGAGCTGCTGGTCCTGTTCAGCGGCGGACTGTTCGTCATGATGTGTGGAATTCTACGTTGCGTCTTGATCTTGACAGTAAGAGAATTACCTTCCCCCCCAAGGCTCCGCGACAGGATTCGGAGAAGCTAACACCGGGTGAAATTGCTAGGATGGAGCCAACGGTGCCGAGCAAGCAGGAAGTTGGGCATGTCGCGAGACCTTCGTCGCTGTTGTGATTGGAAACGTCCCCATGATCTACCCGCTCATCCGGCGCATGGCCCGCCGTGCAGGCCTCTACCTCTCCACCAAAGGAGGCTCGCAGAGTGATCCAGCCTACCAGCTGTCTGATGGCGATACTGGCCCCGGTAGCTACCCGAAGCGCAAGAAGTTCAGGCATCCTCTCTCGCTGCCCGCCGACAGCCAGTGGAATACAGTTAGCGACGAGCAGATGATCCTGCCGGATTCTCGACAGCAGCCGGCAACTTGTACAGGAGGCGACAATGACTGGGAAACACATAGCCACGCCAGCCACAATGGCGGTATCAAAGTGGTGCATGAAACGATTGTCCACAGCGCTGAGAAGGAATCGCGGGCATAGGATGTGTTAAGGTTCATTTTGTTCTGTATCATACTAGTAATGGCTGCGACACTTTTTTTTTTTATACCCTTGGACCCTTGTCGTGCTCACCCTTTATGCCAGCGGTTCGCTATACTCAGTGAATACCCCTCCGCGTTAGACGTCTCTGGCCAAGACGGTCACCGGCTGGGCTGTGCGAACCTCCAGATTCCGCTAAATTCCGGAAGACCCACAGGGCTCCTGGTTCTCCGAGATTCTCGTATTCAACCACGGAATATAAAGAAAAGCACGGAGTAGGGAAAATGGCAGGATCACGGCTGGACAAGGAGGCTGGTGTATACCACATGCCACAGCGTAAAAAGAAGGCGGACCCGTGACCGCAGAAGAGAGCAAGAAAGGGCGAGATACGCGCCCAAAGCCTGGTGAGTCGCAGAGCTCTGTAGACCCCCATCTCACAGTCGTAGAGAATCGCCTTGAACAAATGGGCGTCCAATAGGGAAAGTGCGCTACTTTTAGTGGATCGATTGGTACCATCAGTGGACCATAAGTCATCCTCTCCAGGAACGTATTCGGCCCAATCTAAGCTTTATGCATTAAGTACTAGTAGCATTGCACATCAATTCATGACAAATCGAGATCAGATAACTAGTCATTGGCTGGTGATTCGCCTTCAAATGCGGACGAGTTCGCGCAAATTGCGTGATCTCGTGCGGACGACGCGGTTTCCAGTGCTTTTCCAGTGCTTTTGCGAGTGCAATCGTCTTCGTGCTTCGAGGCTCGTAACCAACAAAACCGAAGAACGCCATCCTCACTCAGCAGTCCGCTCACGTCCTCGAGGCAAAAAGCTCAGAGAAAATGAAGTGAAAGTGCGGCCTTCGGCAGGTTCCGGCCCCATCGATGATCCTCACATCTCCGAAGGTCCTCGGCCCACTCTCCTGCTTAAACTGTAACTTGCCCCTCACTCGACTTCTTCCCTTCGACAATCCTCTACAGTCTCCCACAATGCCTACTTTGAAGCCCGGCGACACGTTCCCCAGTGACGTGACCTTCCAGGAAGTCCGTCGAGAGCCGACGCCCTTGCAATTTCTAAGCAACGAGCAGGTACATTCCATGGTCGGAAGAAAGCGGTGACATCACCTCCTGCGGGATTCCGATCAACTACAATGCCTCAAAGGAGTGGGCCGACAAGAAGGTCGTGCTCTTTTCGGTGCCAGGTAAAGCCATCAGAGATCAATTGATATTCCATGTTCCTAGCCGGAGGTCTAACGTCGCAATCGGTAGGTGCTTTCACCCCGACCTGCTCCGTGAACCACGTCCCTGGCTACATCCAGAAGCTGCCCCAACTCCGCGAGAAGGGTGTGGATATCGTGGCCGTCATTGCCTTCAATGACCCCTTCGTGATGAGTGCGTGGGGCAAGGCCAACAATGTCCGGGGTGATGATATCGTAAGGCCCACCACCTTCGAGCCCTGACCTTGCTGCTTATGACTCACTCACCTTACCCTGTAGCTTTTCCTCACCGACCCCGATGCCAAATTCTCGAAGAGCATTGGCTGGGCAGACGAGGCATCTGGCCGTACCGGCCGATATGCTATCACCATCGACCACGGCAAGATCGGCTATGCTGGAATCGAGACTGATCGTGCCGTTGTAAAGGTCAGTCCACGAGATTTCTCATCTTCACTCATTTACTGACATGTACGTTTCTTTTAGCATTCCGGTGTTGATGCCGTGCTTGCATCGCTGTAGATGTGATACACGATGCACTTCGATTCGTTCCCACCACATTGGTAGTAGCGAGATCAGAGGCAAGGCGTGATTCAAGGCCACAGACCGTCATTAGATCCAGTCAAGTTTCTTGCCTTAGCCTTAGTCACAGTCAGAATCAATTTCGAATTTTTGCACAGGATTTCAAGTTTAGTAGCCACAGACGTTCAACATCATAACTCGCAACGAGGGTAGCGGAATAAAATTTGCAAACCTAGAAAAAGAAATGGATCTCTCAAGCTAGTTCCGCTGGCAAGCACGAGCTCTTAGATGTGGATGACATGTCAACAAGTTGGCATATTGCTAAAATCTGCCTCATAGCTACGCCATGAGGCCCAATGGCCGTGACTGCGCTGAGAGACAGACAGACAATGTTCGGCCCCCTGCTCTTTCGGAAGATTGCTTAGCCAGATTTTATCCTCATCGGGCATCCTCTGTCTGACCCAAAAGGTAATTCAATAATTCAACCCCGCAGGGCATGAATAGTAGCAGCGGTTCAAGCGTTGGACTGTTAGACCTTTTGGGGGACGGTAATGTGTCTGCCCTGCCGTATCCGGGCCAGAGCTCTCCAGATGGTGCAAGCAGGGTGAAAGGTCTGGCACGCTTTCCTTTGTGGCCACGGATGGGTTACCGTTATGGGGTGTTGGAGTTCCCATCATGGATGTTTATGTACGGTTCTACTTAAGAGACTGCTGCGGGGCACACCTTGCTAAGAGTTCTTTTTCGGCTGATGACTCAAGATGGAAAGCATTTATCAGCTTTTACTGGACATCGCCCTGGACTGCGGGTTGGGGACTTGGATTGTTGCGCTGTAGCTTGTTCTCGAGCCGTCTTTGGCTCCGCTCAGCTAGGAAAGCGTCTGATACGTGAAGACCCGGCCGGGAAGAGCTGGGGCCTCTGCACACGAGGGAAGTCGATCCTGATGACCGGCAGGTGATTCAGAAAAGCCCTTCATCCTGCTCAGGGTCAGGGTTATGTTGACGTTCTCGGAGGCATGTTGTTTCGGCGAGATCGGGCTACTTAATCGAGTTGTTAGCCTTGGAGCCCTAGAGCGTGACTAGTTAGTTAACTAGTTAACTACGTTAGATTACTAAGACGTGTGCGAAAAAGGGCATTTGCTGTTTTCAGCCAATCCAGATTCGTTCTGGGAAGTTTGAGCGTCAGGTAAAGGGTCACCTGATTGCCCCACACGAAAAAGCGGGGACATCTGGCAGACGTGGGGCAGCTGGACTATGGGCTATAGAGTACATAGAATTTATTCGGGCAAGAGGCTCGGATCTGGGGTTCACTCTAGGAACAGACAAAGCGTCTGTCCCTCTTCACCTTAGGGAGAGGACGGTGAGAAGACCGTATCGTCGTGACCCGGGAAAGGCCCCGAATGCTGCACTCGGCCCGTTCTCAAGCCCCTACACTTAATGTTTCTAGGGTCTTCCACGCCAATGGAATTGCGATGAACGTGGGCCATGCGACTGAGCAAGTCTGTGTGGACTTCCCCGCATCGCGCAGGGTGGAGTGGTGACGACCACACAATTTCTATCCCCTCGGGAATTAGGCGCCCTATTCGACGTTACCGCATTCCGCGTGGTGTCTCTCAAAGGACATGACGCTCAGACTCTGGCAGGGTAGCTGTCTCAGACCTTGTGTGGTCACAATGTGGACTTCATGGCATGGCAATCCCATGGCCCGGGTGACTGTCTTTGGACTTGGCTATTTGCATTCGAGTAGACAAAGCCGCTAGCTGTGACTGCAATAGGATCCGCCAGATTCAAAACCGCTGAAGGGCAGGAATCCTTGCCAGTCGGTTTTCAAGCGCGAATCATCTTAAATGGCTAACTGGGCCTTCTCATTAGAAGTGGAAGCGATGGACAGAGGCGCGAAGTCGATAAAAACGTCGGGAGGATTCTCACCGACGCTAAGGCAAGATCGTTTGATGCGTCTCTATACGAGACGATGAAGCATCAATCATGTCGATAATATCGACAGGCCGCCGGGGGGGGGCGGTCTGGGCGCACGCGAGGCATGTTCAGCCGCCGTGATGCATTGGGTCGTACCAGAAACTCCCCACGCGGTCTCCCGGTGGCTTGAAGCCAAGGGTAACATGATCCTGGTCCAAGGCTTCCATGGTCGATCATGTACAAATCCGGGTGCTTGTCCCGAACCGAATCCAAAGCGTGCTGACCCTGACAACAATGCGCCGGCTTGGCGGCTATGCCTCTTGGAGGCCCCAGCCCCAGTCTCCAGGGTGCTTATGTCCAAGACTCGCCAAGATTCCAGGGGGCTAGCACCAATCATAATCGATCGGGGTATGCTAGACGTGATTAAAGAGGTGCGGCCTTATGTCAGAAGCTAGACAAGACCCGGAAAGCAGAACGGATCAAGGGGAAAGAGGGAATATGCGTGCAAAGAGGGCCAGGAGTCCCAGCAGGTAAATACGACCCCATTCCAGAAACAAGGCCAGAGAAGGTGAAGCTTCAACGAACCGTGGAAGGGCAAAAGCCCAACTCCAGGCCCGATTAGGTCCCGGAGCTGGATGAAACCATGTGGCGTGGAAGTCGACACTTGAAGTTGCATGCGCTAGAACCGCCACGCCCGCTGATTTGCCCACCGCGAGACGTGGGTTCAGATCCCTCTAAGAGCTTTCCTTGCTTCTATGGTTCGAGACGCCCTTTTAGTGTTTTTCTGGCGTCTTTAGTGGCCTTTAGTGGCTTTAGCGGGCTCGGGGCCCTTCCCTTCGTTTTCCCCCGCATCTCCGCAAAATCCTCTTTGGGGAATAAATGGGGCCCGTCGGGAGCAAAGCCCGCGTTGGGGCATGCGGAGGCGGTTGATTGGCTGAAGGTTGACAGGGTGCTGTTTGTAGAAATAAATTGGCTCTCTATTTATCTTCGCTTTCGTCCCCCCTCCTTCTTCCTTTCGTATCTGTACGGGATCGGATTTGCCTCTCCTTCGTAAGGTTGCTTCACTTGATCCCGCCCATCATGGGGTACGTGATCGGGAATATCTACATCATCACCACGGTGGCCGTCATTGGCGGTGCACTGTTTGGTTTCGATATTGCCTCAATGTCTGCTATGTAAGTTCCAATCATCCAAGGCCCAGTCTATCAGAGTCCATCTCTCGATGTACTGACGATTCTGCAGTCTCGGCACACAGCAATACAAATGCTTCTTCAACCAAACCGGTCATGACGATACTGGCGCGTGCGGGGGTCCCACCTCCTCTACACAAGGTGGAATTTCGGCCGCCATGCCCGGTGGCTCGTTTGTTGGTGCGCTGGTCTCCGGTTTCCTGACGGATTGGCTGGGCCGCAAACGTGCTATTCAAGGCGGCTCCATCATCTGGTGTATCGGAAGCGCAATCGTGTGTTCCTCGTTCAGCATCGGCCAGCTGGTGGTAGGCCGTTTCATCAACGGTCTTTCGGTCGGTGTTCTCAGCGCCCAAGTTCCGGTCTATGTCGCCGAATTGGCCCAGCCCAGTAAACGTGGTCAAGTGGTCGGAGCCCAGCAGTGGGCCATCACGTGGGGTATCTTGATCATGTTCTACATCTCCTATGGAAGCAGCTTCCTGGATGGCCCTGCCGCGTGGCGTCTCCCCTGGGGCTTGCAGATGATTCCCGCGGTCTTCCTCTTCTTCATGTTCTTCCTGCTGCCCGAAAGTCCCCGCTGGCTCGCGAAGCATGATCGCTGGGAGCAGGCTCATGAGGTCTTGGCTCTGGTCCACGCCAAGGGAGACCACTCTGCCCCGTTCGTTCTGACTGAGCTGCAAGAGATCCGGGAGATGGTCGAGTTTGAGCGCCGGAACAAGGACGCATCTTATGTCGAGCTGTTTAAGCCCCACATGATCTTCCGGACTCATATCGGAATGTTCACCCAAATTTGGTCCCAGCTCACCGGAATGAACGTTATGATGCTGTACATCACCTATGTTTTTGGAATGGCTGGCCTGTCCGGAAACGCCAATCTGATTGCCTCTTCGATCCAATATGTGATCAACGTGGTCATGACCATCCTTGCCCTGCTCTTCATTGATCGCTGGGGCCGCCGAACTCCTCTACTTGTCGGTTCTACCCTCATGATGATCTTCATGTTTGCCAACGGAGGTATCATGAAGTCATACGGCAAGCCGGCCCCGCCTGGCGGGGTGGACCACGTTGCGGAGGAATCTTGGGACTTGTCCGACGCGCCCGCGGCAGCGAAAGGGGTGATTGCCTGCACCTATCTGTTTGTCGCGAGTTATGCGCCAACTTGGGGCCCTGTCAGCTGGATCTACCCTCCAGAGCTTTACCCATTGCGTCTCCGTGGTAAGGCCGTCGCTTTGTCCACCGCCAGTAACTGGATCTTCAACTTCGCTCTGTCATATTTCGTGCCTCCCGCTTTTGAGAACATCAAATGGAAGACCTACCTGGTGTTTGGTGTATTCTGTTTCGCGATGACAGTGCACGTGTTCTTCTGCTCCCGGAAACTGCTGGCAAGACCCTCGAAGACGTGGAAACCATGTTCACCACCCCCGGGCTGCGGGCATGGAAGACCAATGTCCAGTTCCGACATGTCCGACAGCTGGAGCAAGGGGCCATTCAATCAGAGAAGCTCGCAGACTTGCAGGCCGAGCCTGGTGTCTCTCATCAGGAGTCCGCAGACAAGGAGACCTCGGTGACCCCCAAGGTGTAAGCATCTTCTTCGAAGGATTGGCATCTTCGACAATGTTGGCTTCTGACTGAAACTGCTTTGAAACTACTCCATACCCCAAGAACTTCCCTTTGCTATGGCTAATTATTGTTGCTGGTCCATTTCTAATCATACGTCACATATCGTCTTTAAAAAGGATATTCTCATTAATACTTACATTGTTGAGCCCGGTACCTTGAAGATATCTAATTATTCTACGGTCTTGCCCAAACCTTAGGCAATACAGGCGAGAGTTCTGCCGAGTCAGCACACACCCGTAGTTGATACTTGGCAATGAGGCAATAATCGCTTTCTTAAAAAAGCGGAATAGCCCTGTCTGGCTGTCAAGTATCTGTTATTGTTGACATGTTGGGCTCTCGTCGACTTATCCTCTCCTCATTGAAGTAGACCTGTAATGACCCGCTCATAAGGTTGGCTGCCTTTCCCGATCAATTCGCATGGACTTCCTATCAACTGTTGAGTCATAGGGTGCAGCAGACGCCCCAAACCCTTGCCGTAGAGTGCCACCAGGGCGGGCAGACAAGAACATTGACATACGAACAACTCGAAGCGCAGGTCCAAATGGTCGTATCTAGTCTTGCGGCTGCTGGCATTGAGCAGCGGACACGGATTGCGCTGTTCTTGGACAAGTCTCTCGAGCTTGTTGTGTCCATATTTGCAGCCCACTGTATAGGTTGTGCATACGTCCCATTGGATATCGAGAGTCCGGCAGCAAGTATCAACACGCTCATCGAGAAAATCGAGCCATCCGCTATCATCACAACACCAGCTCTGAGAGCTAGCTTGCCAAAACGGTCTCTGTCTTGACAATGGACACACTCTTTCGCTCTCGAAAATCTCCGTTCGTTTCTCGTCAATTTCAGAAAGCTGGACTCGACGACCTTGCAGCTATATTGTTCACGAGTGGCACCACAGGGACCCCCAAGGGCGTCTCCATGCCTCATCGTCAGGTTGTCGGATACGGCATTATGATGGCCCAGGCACTCGAATACACAGCAGCAGATCGGATTTTCTGGTTTGCAAGACCAGTGTTTGATGTTTCTCAGAGTGACCTTTTCGGCGCCGTATTTGCTGGAGCAACTCTCGTTATCACGCCGCATGCCGACGCCATGGCCCGCCTCGCCCCGTTGCTTGTCAAATTACGGATTACTTCGACCAGTATCACTCCATCAATTGCTTCTTTACTCCGACCGCAGAATTTTCCACTCATTCGTTCGCTATTCCTCGCTGACGAGATGGCCTCACAAGAGGTCATCCGACGCTGGTCGGCGGCGGTTCGTGTCATTAACGGCTATGGGCCCACCGAAGGTGTGGTGGTCGCATGGAAGCACATGAACCCCAGCACCAGTCCGCACTGCATTGGACGTCCGGCAATTGGTATGAATGTCTTCGTGTTGGATGCAAAGATGCGCCAAGTTCCTATTGGCGTGCGCGGGACAATCTGGATTGCGGGACGGCAATTGTCCCAGGGATACTTTGGACAGCCTAGCGCGACTGACCAAGTCTTCCGGTCCAATCTTTTCGGGCATAGGCTCATGTACAACACCGGTAAGGAACTTGTACCCTGCTCCGCAAATAGCCAAGCTACTTCGTCGGTAGTTCGAAAAGGTAAATAATGATCCTTTCTTTCTTCTATGGTGCAGGTGACATTGGCGCTTGGAGTCATGATGGCGAGTTACTCTATCTCTGTCGGGAAGATCGCCAGGTCAAGATTAACGGACGACGCGTAGAGTTGGCTGAGATCGAAAGTGCCCTTTCCAATTATAGCGTTCAAGTGGCCGTTTTGCTTCTCAATAGATCAGGGTGTTTAAAAGAGTTAGTCGCCTTCTTTGCGCAAGAAGATGAATCTCGAAAGGATCGTTCGGTTATGGCGGCTGAGCTCTTAGCGCAAGCTAACCGACGTCTGCCACCTCACATGGTGCCTCAGCGCTTGATCTTCGTGCCTCGTCTGCCATTGAACGGGAATGCCAAGGTTGATACCACAAGCCTTGAACAAGCTTACCTGAATGGATCTCTGCCAGATATCAGCGCCAAACCCACAAAGTTGTCCCACGCACGGCAGGACTGAAGCTCTTCAGAACTTACTCTGACAGATGAGGAGCTAGATGCGCGTCTTTCTGAAGCGCTGATTCGTTTTCCTCCCGTGATGAGCGCCGAAAGCAAAATGTCAGTCGAGGTATCCGAGCGACCAAACATGTTTCTCTTCTTCGCTGTGACAGGCACCTCGGTCCAATACCGCTTGCTAGCACAGCGCCCGTCTACCTACCAAGTCATCCGTGTGGACCATCCTCGTACAAACCAGCCTGAAGCATATCCGTCCATTACCAGTATGGCGGCCGACCTCGTGGAACTTCTGCGCCGACAACAACCGAGGGGCCCATACACTCTGGCTGGATTTTCATTTGGAGGGCTTGTTGCCTGGGCTGTCGCACAATATCTCGAGCAGAAGCATGGCGAGACTATTCGTCTGATTTTGATTGATAGCGAAGCCCTTGTACAAGCGCCAATCCCACCTCAGGCCAGCATGCAGGACTCTCAATCGGTGGTCACGGTACAGGCAACGCGCGAGAAGATGTACGAGCGACTCTTTGACATTCCCAGCCGGAGCATTGCAGATCCCACTACAATGCCCGAGCTTGCCGGTTTCGGGACGTTCTGCTCGCTCATGCGCACCACAATCTTGCCATTCATGTTGTCTTTCAGCCGGAAGTGTTACACGGGCCTATTTTGCTGATTCGTCGCTGCGCGAAGAAAGAAAATAGTTATGCAGAAGTGGAAGATGATAGCAATTCTTCTCCCCATCAAAGCGCATGTCGAGGAACTAATGGATTCGCCGAATTTGCCGCGGGGCATCTTGATGTCCGCTGTGTGCCAAGCTCAGACCATTATACAATGCTGAAGGAGGAACGGTGCTTGCAAGCAATCAGCAAGATATTAGAAGCGTATTGGCACGAGAAAGAATGATTATTCCGCATTAGCCATCATTATGAGCAATAGATGGCTACCATTGTCATTAGCACCTTAGGGGATCAATTATGAATGAAAAAGGAGCTCTATTACTTGTTCATCAGTATATCACTACTTACAAGGCTATAGTAGCCGATGATAGCCACGTTTCAAGATAGAATCCTCTACAAATTGTTGAAAAGTACTTATCCACGCCAGGTGGAATCTGCAAGGTCGGACTGCGAATAGGTGGGTTCCCTGATCGCGGACCGCGAGTTCGTGTTTTAAACACGTGAAAAACTTGCAGTTTGGTGGATTAATTAGAGATCTGAATTACCTTACAAAACTGTAGCTTTCTATTGGCCTCAAAAATTTCGAATATTCCTACGAATCTGCTCATCCATGCTCGACGAAATTACCAGTCGACGTTCTCCGGTTGACCGAATTCCCCAAGATCTTCAGACATAGCGCACAAGATGAAAGGCTTGCCAAGGAAATTGATGATATGCATGAGCTGCATGGAGAAGATCCTCTGCCTTTATTGGACGACTACACTAAGCCCTTGGTTTATCCCTCTCCGCGTGCCCTTCAATCTTAAACATGCTACCAACCACTCTGTGGCATGACTGGCGTGGAGGAATTTGGGGTAGGGCTGGTTTTGATTCCAAGTCCGATAAGTGACTAAGAGCGTTGATACTTGAGAAGCAACATTTTTCAAAATTTTGGTGGTCAGCATACCATGTGGTTAACTCCAAAGCCGGCCTCATTGGACAGCCCGGGAATGAAGCGGTACATCGGCTAGCTAAGAGAGTGGTAGTCTTAGGCAAGATACCCTCCGCCCGCTAGTCTCTAGGAAGAAAGGATTGATCCGCGAGCGACAACCACCGCGCCCGAAGAGATAAAAGATGGAAAACATCGAGCAAAGGCGCTCACTTACGCGAGACCGATGGCAATTCACCAAGTATCTGTACAATAGGACCGTCGGGGCTCTACGAAGGGATCGGGCGTATCTGTTGGCACAGCTCCACATGGACCACATACGGTAGGTTACCTATGCCAGAACTCGTCGATTCAGTGACAACACGGGACCGGTCGTGAAAACCCAGGTTTTGGTGAGTGCTCGTCCTCGTGAATAGGTCTGTCTCTCACAAGGTGTCCTTCTTTGATGAATTGAGCTACCGCATGGATCGATCCTAGCTTAGCTGCCCGGAGAGTGCCAGCTCAGTTATGATGATTCAGTAGATAATAGAAGCGATGGTTAGCCCGCACTAGCCCACGAAGATCCTGTTCCGATTGCAAGTGCTCCAATCAGGGGTATGACCTCGTTGGGAACGGTCAAAATGAACATTCTTGAATCAGTTTCAGGTACAGTTCTTAGGATAACGGATAGGCTTGATGTTATTTTATCCGGTACCTGGGATGGGGGCGTTGATAAGTGACATAGATATAAGGGATGTATCAGTAATGCGTGAGGTGAGGATTTTGGGTGGAACAAGGCCTCGCCAAAACCGCCCACGAAAGCCACCGGGTTCCTCCCGGGCTCGTGAGTCTGATGTTAGTCAGCACGCCTGCCCACGCATCTGTGCGATGTCAGTTGGATCCATGGATAGCTTGGAGTTAGGTATGCTAATTGCAAGGATAGTTAATGAACGAGGGCTATGACCACGTGTTTGTCTCCATATACCTTATATATAAGTACGACCAGCCATGTCTACACAAGCCATATCCGTATATCATAGTATGCTGAGAAAACTAATGAGGCCAAGCGCGATTAATATTAGTGAGGATTGATTCATTGATTAATTGATTCATTGATGGAAGTTCCTCGGGGATCTGCTGTTAAGGGTAGACACTTTGCCCTTTCGGGTTAGGCTTGACTCCACACGGGGTTGTCAGTCTGTTACAACCAATGCTTGGCGGTCAGCAGGCTCGAGTTCATGAATAAACAGGATCATATATTGTATGGTTACCTGAATTATTCTTTATGAGCAAACGACAGCTAGTGGTTCAGATAAGCAGCCATTTCGTCCATCGTCTCTTCTATGCGACCTTGAACGGCTTCGTTTGCGGCGGGCCGCCACCACGCATGGTTGATCGATCTCAATCCATTTTCAATATCCCATCGACTGGGACCTGTCATGCTCCATCCTGGTCCGATGCTTCTCCAGGGCATAGGTCCGTCTGTGCGGTGGGCATAGTTGAGAATGCTTTGGGTCAAATGATCAAAGCTTGATTGTTCCATTGAATGTAACAACCGAATATAGTACTCGAACATGTCGCTTGAAGGGTGCGTCACAAAGAAGCCAGTACTCATCGCATTGAGGTTCTCTATTTTATCACGCCGGACACCGCCATCGGATAATTTTGAATCCACATACCGTTGATTCCATCCCGCCATCATATAGCTTTGTGGTAGGTGATCTTGGGCATCGATTGTCATCTGTATTATAGTTGTTGTTGTGTCTTCGAAAATATCATCCAATGGATCAAGAACAACAGATGTTGGATCTAGGTATAGAACTTTGTCGTACTCCGACAATTGCCATATATTCAAGCCAACCGGGACAGGGACGTCCTTGTATTTCTCGGAAAAGGGCAGCGTTTCGACAGGGATCACAAGGGCGCCGTCTCTTCTCAAAATATCACGATCACTTTCCGGGATTTCGGAAGTTACAAGAATGATCAGCTGTGCATTCGGGATTTTAGTACGTGTGCGCGGATTGCGAAGTAATTGGAAGGAAAGTAGTCGTGTTGCCTGAAGATATGGCGTTTTGACATCAGGGTATTCCAGATCACTTCGTCTTGTCAGGATCGTGGCGAATGCATATCGAGGTGGTTGGCCTCGGGGGCCTGGAGAGCCCGTCGATAAATCGGTTGGTTTTGGCGTAAATACATGTGGGCAGATGGCCCAAATCAGAACAACGAAGCCGAGAAATATAGTCGCTGAGGCCTTCCAGGAAGTCCGAGCAGGAATTGTTTGTCGTGACTTAGAACTCCGAGCCATCTTGTCATCGATCGATTGAAGAGGAGGATGGCTGCATACCGAGGGACTGCACAAGAAGATCTCTTAATATCTTAGGCCCGAAAAGATCTTGGCGAGGACGGTGTTGAATATTACACATTATTTACACGCCATCTGCAAATATGGTAATGGTATTACCGGATATCTCGGCCGCTGCTGAGGAGTTACTCGCACTACCAAAGAGAGTAGCATTCTACGTATATCGTTGGCCCCAAGCTGTGTTGACAGTCACAAGTCAAGGTAGTCGACGGAAAAAGGATTACCTGATTACTTGTTTCCCATCAGGCTCCGCGATCGGCAGGCCCCACGTATCAGAGGACCTTGATGGATTGCGGACCGGCCGGAACGGAAGATCCCGCCCCCAAACTACGATCTCGATCTTCTGGCCAGTTGAACGGCACCCCCACAGGAAAGGCGCGATGTAGATCATGACCATTGAATCGCCGGGCTCCACACAGCGCCGGAACTTCCCCTTTTTGTCGCCTCTAATCGTACTTAGTTCATGCGGTCGGCACATGAAACTCTTGGCTCCGGGGCCTGATCCAAGTGGGACTGATTCCTTATCGAACCAATATCCCCATGACAGACGCAAGCGAATAGCATTTCTTCTCAGAACTCTTCGCCGTGGCTAGTCGGCCACAGCACGGAGCCCAGTTTTTCGGATATAAGACGACCACCAAAACCGCGTCAGGCATTCAGTATATCCGGCCAAGGCATCAGGAGATCCCTTCTTTGCGGTAGGGATTTACTCTCACCCCAATAAAAAGCCAACTCCCCGGTTGGACTTGGGCAAGACAGTAATGGGGCCAGTGCACCGCAATGTCAGCTGTAAGCTTTAGATTCGGCATTGGTGGACGGGAGTGCCTCGTCACAAAAGTACCTCCATCTGGGCCTTGCAGTATTGATTCTTCAAGCTTTTCATGGTACCCGCCAGCGGGCCAAGCACTCATGAACTAGATATCACAGGACTGCCTGCGTTCTACAATTACACCACCTACAATCATATTCAAAAGGATGTGCAGCCGGAGATTTGAGTAGCCAAAGCCCTACATTTTCTGCCAGTAGAACTACCATTTCTATTTACTATTATGTCATCTTTCATAGTGAGTAGGTTTCCCATGCGGTGAGCTTTAGCTGCCTTGTTGTCATTAGCAGTAATGCAGTCTCGTTTATTCCGGAGTGGGAATGTATTAGGGGGCTGTGTGTCCTATACATGCCGCATAGTGGTATTATATCCAGCATGTTTTACACGTTACGTAAGAGAAAGTCATGTCTTTCCAGGAAAAAAAAAAAAACTAATTAAACATATTCATCGGGCTGAACTCGGCCTGCAGCTAGCGTCGCATTGTGTTGCCACCTTTGATGTATCCCTGAAGGCCGCATATACCCCTGTCGTGTGCAGCCTATAGCCATAGCGGTAGGCATGATTGCCAAGAAGCTCTCAATTCCGCCAAGCTGAGGGGGATGTTAATACTTATGTGTGAAGTTTGATAAAGCGCCTTATGCCGGAACGCCTTAAAACTTCCTTATGCCGGATGCCTTAAAACTTCCTCATGTTGGACGCCTGAGGGTCCACATATTGCTTCAAAGTTCATTCCGAACGGCAGTAGTCTATATCCGAGATTTTTCGTGAGCTGAGAAAGGGGCGTTCTCTGTTCTCTATGACGTCCTTATGTAGTAAGATAGATGGGCTTGGCTATTGCCGGGCGGACTATAAAGTCATTGAGCTTGCTCCTGGAAGCCAGACCATTCTACAAGTCAACAACCTCATTCTAAATAACCCATTTCAATACAATCAACTATCGACTCTGTTCAATATGAAGTTTACCGCTATCCTCTGCACTCTTATGGCTGCCGCAGCCGTGAACGCCTCAGCAGTCCCTTTCCTGGAGACAAGAGCGGCACTTGACACATGCGGTGCCGGCTATGGCGGTGACCAGCGGCGCACAAACAGCCCTTGCGAGTCTTCGAACGGGGATAGGCACTTCTGCGGTTGCGATAGAACAGACGTGGTATGCCATATATTGGATCTGAATGAATTGTCTTTGCTAATAAATATGACGTCGAAAAGGTCCAGTGCGAGAACGGGGTCTGGACGGAGATTCAAGACTGTGGAAGTGGCACCTGCCACGGTACCAACGATGGGGCAGCCGTTTGCTAGGATGGGATCGAATGTGATTGCATTGGTCCGGAAATTGTTTATACTGGCACGCCACCGTAAATACTAGGCTGATTTGGAAAGATTCAACATCAACCAATTGCCCTGGCTATTTCTTTTCTGTTCTCATGTCCTTCCAATACTTGTGTTGGGACCGAAGTATAGCTCGACGCTCTTTACCTGTTATACTCTTCGAATACTACTTGTGCCGCTACTTACCTACTGGTTATGATCAGGTATCACCTAATGAAAAGTAGAGACCAATGAAAACATAGATAGTGCGAGGTGAGGCTCACTCGGGCGTTTCGTGGAATATTGCCTTAAAAGGATTGAGGGAGTTGTTACAATATACTTAATATTTTCTTCCAGTTTAGGCCATCGTTATTTGAACGATGCACGTAGGTTGAGGGAACGATTTTTCGCGAAATCTCCGTGGGTGGAATGTGTTTGTGGACAGGTCAAAGTTGAGACTTGAGCTCCTTGCTCAAATTAACGATCAACGGTGTTATATCAGGACGCCGAATCTGATGTAGTTGCTACGAAGATGGCAGCGAGATATGCATTGGAACACCAGAATACTGCGGGTGACCAGCTGTTCTACTACGGGCGCACCGCGGTGAACAACCCAAAAAATATCGAGTCCATCTGTGTGTTCAATGAGTTTTGTACACACATTTACACAACCATATGAACGATATACCACTCTCATATCCGACTCAAGTGTACGATACATTTGTTATAGGAAGCGCCGGTGCCGTGCGGGGATGTCAATGAATAACTTAACTGCTATCTAAATAACTCTCTGTATATATCTATATTGCTATACGATAGTGGTGTAGTCTGTACGATTGCCGAAAATGGTAACACGTATGGTGAAGCTCCTCGCAAACGAGACCCCATTCAGTAAATCAAACCGTAGGGAAACATTTACCTGTATAGGCATACTCCAAACACCAAGCAAAGATATTCAGGTCAATGTGTTCTATAAGGAGGCAGGGTTGGAACATTTTGGATTCGAGAGCATAAGTAACTATCTGTAGGAGGACTTGACTGGTTCAGCACTGACTGGAGAGAGAAGAAATCCTTCTTGTCAAAAGGACTCGCTCTCCTTGAGGCCGCCCACCTGCGCCATTGTTGGGGGCTGGAGAAACTTTCCCAATGCTTCTCTCACATGATCACTCCAAAGCGGGTAACGGTCTGGTTCGGCAAATGCATGTGGAAATCGAATGTTCTCAAGCACCATCTAATTCACCTTGCCCATACTGTATCGAAAATGTCCTCCCCTACAAATGCAACCGCACACGCAATGCGTGTCTTCCCTGTAACTTTGGACGCCCCAGGAAGTGCGGGCAACCCCACAACAGTATTCCTGAATGCGGGGCGGTTGACTTCCGTTGAAATGCAACAGCTTGCGCAAGCTTGCAAACATGAGTGCGGGTTCGTTGTGGCAGGTCCTGTATTAGCAGGTAATGCCGATCCACCTCGCTACAATGTGTCAATCAAGTTCTGGGTTCCTGGCCACGAGATGGAAATGTGTGGGCATGCAACTATAGGTGCTCTTTGGCTCATGGATCGGCTCGGCATGTTCGCCAACGCCCCCAACGTGTCCGTGTCAACCAAAGCCGGCACCTACGAGGCGCTGCTGCTACCGGAGATCGACAAGGGTAGCGATGGTTCAATGGTGCGAAAGCACATTTGCATCTCACAACCCAGAGGGACAGCCAAATTCTTGTCACAGGATGCATGCCAGCTCATTGCAGAAGCACTCGACATTTCAACAGATAAAATGGCTGACCTCGAAGGAGTGCAAAACGCAATAACTTCTCGAACAAAGACTTTGGTTCCGTTGAAGGATGTTGAAACGTTGAACAGTCTGCAACCCAGTCAAGATTCAGTCCGGCATGTCTGCGAAACCATTGGCTCTACCGGCTTATATCCGTATGCCATGGTCGGCGATACCACCTTCAGTGCACGCCAATTCCCCAAATCGTCCGGGTACCTGGAAGATCCTGCGACCGGAATTGCAGCAACAGCTCTCGTCTGCGGGCTTTTGAGGAGAGAGGTTATACCAATAGGGACCACAGAGCCTATTATCGTGATGCAGGGCTGGGCTATGGGTTGTCCATCCGAAATAAGAGTGAAACTTAGGAGGGCATCTTCCGGCGACGTTGTTGGATATTGGTTGACTGGAAATGTGGTAGATATGCAGGTGGACGAACCTGTGTTGAGTATGTTGAACCGAATTACTAGGTAGAACGCATGTATATTGTACAAGTTAGAAGATATACATGGCAAACTTTTCCGAATACAATGCGATCGTGCCCACGGGTCCTGGCCTATCAAGCACAGTGAAACTCTTCGCCATGCCGTACCGTTGTTTTCAAACCTTAATGGAGAGACGACGGTTGATTATCGTCGACTTGATTCTATCACGTCATAAAACCCCTATCCTGAACGAAACTAGATTGAATAATATATTGAACTTATGATAGCTGGCCAAAAATGTCCGAGGCGGCGATCATTTATGCTAATCCTCCTACCAGGGTTCGGAGCATATTTTCTTTCGACAATTTAGCGGCTGTGATATGGATTGGGACCTCAAAACGTAAACACTGCCTGGAGCTTGCGGAGACCCGGTAAGAGAGAGTAGCCCTCAATCCGTAGATTCGCGACACCAAACAGGTTTGAAAACTTGGAAGAAGTGCTATTCCAGGAGGAAGAGTCACCGGAAGCAAGATCTGAGCTCGAAAAGAAGGGGTGGCTTGAATTGTCATCACATTTATCCCATGCGACGGAGGATATTGAGAGACAGCGTAGTTGAAGTCCACGTTGAAAGGTACACTGAAAATGTTTCTCACCGCACTTTTGGAATCTTTGCGTGGGAAAGCTTGAAAGAGGGATTGTTCCACAAGAGGTGAGGGCCTGGAGTTCGCTTTCTAATGTTACGAACATAGGAAGGGTGGCCTATTGACTAGAATCAAGGCGCAGAATCAACATAATGCTGGTATTCGCATGTTCCGAGGACGCTGGATTAGAAAGATTGACTTGAATAGGTTTCGGCTGGGGAAAAGATAGTGATAGTCGCCCTATCATGCTTTTTCGGAGCCCTCGCCAGAGAACTACATCTTTTACCCCAAGAACATTTGGAGCAAAAGAATCTTCGTAGGTGGAAGACTCTCATGAACAGTTGGAACAACATAAAGCTTACGGCCATGCGCAGCAGATATTCCAGAAGTGCAGTTCCTTGACAACCGCCCGCTGATGGGAACTTTGACCACGTAGGATATTTGGCATATGGATGGCGCAAGATCGTCTAATTCTTTTTGAAGCACCTCAAAACACAATCAAATCTCCGAGGCTGGGCGGTAGTTCTGTGTGCCTTTTTTCTATCGTTGAGGAGGTTTCAATATGTTCACAGTACTGAGGAAGTAATTGGGTCGGTCTGATGAATTGAAAGGCTATCTCGCAAGAATGTCCCTCTCTGAGTACCTTTAGTTCTTGCTTCAACTCGTCAGGAACTGTTTGATGGAGCTTCAGAAATTTGTGAACTAAATCTTCATTCATAAATGCTGTTCCTTGTTGACCTTCTATATTTGCTCGTGAAAAGCCTACAAAGCTGTTAATTGACAGAATTGGAATCGAGAAAAGACGACAAATACCTTTGAATCAATATTAAGGGCACCTACAATAATATTCTCCTCGGGTTCCATCCAACGTGGACTAAATTATGAGCTATTGTTTTACTTACTCAATTGCAATTTCCACCCAAATGTCAAGCGAAAACCTTCATGCCTCCAGATCTTCTTCACTCTCTATTCTCTTTCCTGAGAGAACGTAGTTCTTCGCCTCGCTAGCTACACTAAATGTGACTGCTTTTCACTTAGGTCTATGCGACCTTCTTTAGTTGAGTCTCATGAAGCGTCTTATCCCATGCAAAGCGAAGCGTTGACCCAAGGTATTGGGTGAGAAGCGTTGTCAGATGCCTACGAGAACTATTGGCAGAGACGACAAAAGACTACTTTACCGGATGTTCTAAATGAAAGTGAGACACAAGCTTCTCGTGTTTGCGAAGATAATGCAGTAGCCCCTTTTTGGTTGTCCCGAGCAACTGAAAGATACTGTCAGAGATGGGGTAGCTAGAGTTGTTGTTTAGCCAATCGCGATCACCACGTAAGTTTAATACCACGAATAATAGACCGAAAATAGCTAAGATGCTAGTGTTCTGGGCCTATTGAATTCTGTTTACTTCTACAGAGATATCGATTCAAGGCCACAGAAGTACATCTCTAGTAGGCGGGCAAATACAGTTGGGACATAGCAGTATAAATCGGAAAAGAGATACCCTCCCACGAATATCAATGTCTGACGATCGCCGTTTACCGCGAACAGAATAGATGTTTCTCCTTTCAAATCGACGTTGGACTCAACGTTCTCCCCGGAGTTTCGAGACTAATCGCCTTCACACTAGCCAAGGTTGACTATCTGCAGTAGTTACCCGTCCACTCTGATGGTACAGGGTGGACGCAGGTGCAACTTCCCTCCCAACGCGCATTCGGTTTTACGGCACCAAGGCCACCGCAATCTTGATATGCCCGGAACCTAACGACTCATTAGAGCATTGCGATAAGAGTATGAAATAAGTTATTGTGAACTTACCACCAAGCGTTTCTACTTTCTATGACACAGTTCATCAAGGCTCTTCCATTGGACAGGCTCCTCAAACTTGGCAACAACGATGTCACAGGCTGATGAAGGCAACATCGCTAAAGGATCAGCAGGATCCTTCTTTACCACGAGACATTTATCATCCCAGAAAAGGACCGGTCGGTCGAACGGAGAGTCGGTTTTCCCCGATTGCGCGACCGATACTTCTTTGGCTTGGTAGTCGTAGGGGGTGACTTGGATAGCGTTATCGTAGTTGGAACTCCAATAGTGTTTGATACCGGAGGGGTGGACGGCGTAAACCAAGTAGCGTCCTGTGTTGCTTTTCCGCTCGAACGTCCACTGAGTAGGAACCTTCGTTTCCGATGCATATACACGCCCATCGAGATGGTAGACTGGAATTTGTTCTTCATCACGGGCGTTACGCGAGACGTACAGCGTAACATGGAACTTATCACTGCATCCTGGTTGAGAGTCCGATTTTATGGGCTGAAGACTATCCTGCGAGCCAAATGGAGCTTGATTCATGCCCATGGCGTAGCTGGACCTTAGCAAGCTGAGGAGCACGGATGGTCGAAGAATATGCATGGCGAATTGTTTGGGGGGAAACAGTGCGAAAAATGGATAGTATGGGTAAGCGAGTAAGAGCCGTATCGAGCACCCAGCAATATATACCTGATTGTAAGAAAGGGTGTAAGATTATGATCTTCAAATTAGTTACTAACTAACTAGTTAATATGTTAGGTGACGTAACTAGTCATGTATCGGTGGACGGGAGGTATCACGATCTTCGTTCTCACCGACCCACATTCTCATTGATACACCCGAAGGTCATTTCCATAAGGCCAGTAGCGGTTAACATGCTACCATAGAAACCCTCTCTGGCCCCTTGTTCTGGATTAAGCTAGGGACAAGGATCCCTGATGGCCATTGCACATCTTGGTTCCTGCAGGAGACCTATAGGTCTGACAGGAGAGGGAATCTTAAGGGAAGGAGCATGATGGACACTGTGTCTTCAGTGAGCAGCGAGCAATTTTACAATTTAGAATCCCCATTGGCTGATTTAATTAGGATGTGAATATTTGTCAGCCTCGAGCATGGAATCAGAAAAGAGACCTCCAGAGCTTAGATGACATGAAATGTTCGTTCACCGCCACTCTGACGCTATTTATCTCCAAGAATCAAGTGTTTCGGCATACCAAACTTGATATACGGGCTGGCGTGTCATATTTGCATAACCTTGTGGATGACTGAACCTAGCTGACAACTATTACGCGATACAGCTTGTACCAAGCTTAAGCTAAGAACATGGTTGTGAGCGGCATCAGCGAGACGGATCCTGGATGGCCCTGACTCAATGACTAGGCTAGGCTGCGGCGGGCGCTAATAATGCTAGATCGCGCTAGATCCTTCTCCACCCCTGAAGAATTTATGGAGTCCCAATAACCTAAAATGAACTGGTCCCTCGGTTAATTAACTCAATAACTAGTCAAGATGTTAACTGATATTCTTGACAGATTCACGGGGATACTGTATTTTGTGGCCTTCAGCCGTCCAAGGACTTATCTCACCCAAGCGCCGATCACTGATCACCTCCCCGAGCCTTTCTCCCCTCGATAAAGGAGGTCATATCATGGGCCTGAATCTTCAGACACCTTCTGAACTTTTTGCCCATAAACCACTTGACCACATACGTCATAGGATCGCACTGTGGTTCCCACGACACCACCTGCATAACGCGCCGACATTCTTCCCAATCTCCCCTCGGTAATCCATGGAATTCCAGCACCCGCTCCGCATATAACAACCACGCGGAAAGCCCCCGGCGGAGGAATCTGTGGCGCAGGCGATACGGGCCACCGTCTGTCCCTGTCCCCGGGCGGATTAAACTGGGTCACAACCAGACCAATGTCTGTCGACTTTGGTTTAGGTCCCCGTGTGCTAAACTTAAGACGGATGGCATCATTGTGCTGAGTTGGAGACGCGCCGATTGATTGCTCGTGGTGGTGCTCGGCTGTTCCCGGATCGTGGCGCTGGAACAGAACGTGTTCCGTATGGCCCAGGTGTCGGTGTCGATTACAGCGTGCAGACTGAAGTTCCTGCGGCCTTGGTAGCTGTTGAATTCACGAATGTCCCGATCGCCGCTCGAGCGGGAATGGTCTTGGTGGAGAGGTCGATGGCATGGAGACCGAGGTGGGAAGACATTGGAATGAATGGGCACCGCACAGCAGCAAATACAAGGGTGGTGGTTACTTGAAGAATTTTTCTTGCAAGGTAAATTAGAGGAATCAAAAGACTATGTTCTTTCCTGTGGATGTTGGGACTTTAGGAATGGCTTCATTGCGGACACAGCTAGTAGACTCCGACCGACCCTAAATCTGCAGGATGGGGGATACAACGGGTTTAGTATCTAAGTAGGCCCTTCGCAATCTATAGAACCAGTTGAATCACTGAATATTAACTGAATTATTGTCTTCTAGACATTCTTCATACTGTTGTGACGACTCCGCTAGCTCCTTAGAATGGAGCGGCAGAGGCCTAGATCAGCCCGGATTTTTCTTTCGGAGTTGCCGGCCTTGTCCTGGTGAATATTGCCTCAAACCAGGGGGCTACCGTGGGCTGGGAGATGCAGTATGTCTACGTTCCCTTGATCCTTGGCATTCTGGCGCATGTGGCCTTCTCAGTGGTGTAAGATTGTGCAGTGCGGTCGCTGGTGCCTATCAGCGCATTGAACTGGCGTATTCTCTTTGTTCTGGGGTGCATATTCATACCTCCATGGTTGCACAGCGTTTTCAGGACCCCAAAACCAGCTCACGTCATGGATACACCGGCGTGGATCACGATGCTTATCCATGCAATAGATAATAGGTAGAACAGTACTTTGAAAAAAGCCGTACCGGTCACAAGGTGCCCTTGGATGGACAGAAAATGATAGCTTCCATGTTTCTCATAATCGTCTACTGCAGCACTCATGCTAATCATATCCGGATGATTGAGCGCGCGGGACAAATAATAAGCGCAAATTGGGCAAAGTAAGTACAAGCGGATAGTGGAGTCGCTGTTTTTATAGCTTTTAGAACCGAATTTGGATAGTCGATAGAAAGTAGAGCTTTTCCGGACGGAGCAGTCGCGCTCAGCTTGATCATACCAATATGCTGGGCATTCCGGTATTAGAGTAGGCGTGGCAGGGATAGAATCTTCCAATACTCCTTGGCATGATTTGGGTCTTTTAGTCTAGCTAGTAGTAGATAAATCTCAATCAATATATTTCTAGAGTATATATACATAAAATATACATAGAATAAAAACTATACAATTATCCACAAATTCATACACTATCGTCTAGTTTTCGGCTTCTTCGTTAGTTGCATCTCGGCCACACTTTACCACTTTCAGATATTCTGATAACACGTTTTCTGTATTGATTAATATTTCAGGTAAAAGATTTTGACAACGGGCAATCACTAAGGCTCGTTGAATATCCTAGGAGAACGCCGTGCTCTTGTACCGTGTGATGTCGAAAGAAGGAGGCTATGGCTTTGCAGACTCCAGGACTCAGGGACAAAGATACGAGGGAGCGAAGATAAGGTGGATAATAGGTCGAGACCGGAAACCTCAACAAGCTAGAGAGGTATGGCGAGAAAGGGGAGCTTCTTGAACACTTGAATCAGACGAGATATAAGTTGGGAGTATAAGGTGGCGTAAAGGGGCCAAGGGACAGAGCAAGGGAATGTACGTTTTCTGGTCAAAGCTTATATGGCGAGACTAGCGGCGAGAATATGTATGAATAGACAGAATTCGCACTTTGGATAGTAACCTCAACAAGAATCTTACAACTATCTATCTCAACGGCTTTCATATCCGACATTCCGCTCAGCTGTCACGACACACTTTGTTTAGCTACGAAAGCGCCGCGGGAGCCCCGACCGGAGAAGGCTCGGCGCACATGTTGCATAGAATTAGACCCACTCGAAGGCTCGCTAAACAAACCGCACAATATATAAAGCTATCGTGAAGGGAACTAGAAGGCTTCTCAAACAATTGGTTATCTCGCTAATATCGAGTTATTTTCCTACAAACTCGTAGCAGTATTAGCCTCCTTCAGTTGTATCCTGTCTCCTATCTAAGGCTATTGAACAATAGGCCTCACATTAGCACACAATCACAATAAAATCATCGCTACCATCATTCTTTCTTGTAGTCCAGGCTCGTTCAATCTATAGGAATTAGAGATCCGGTATATATACTGTAGAATTCGAAAATGGATTACCTCTTCACTTTCTTTCCCAGCGCCTCACTCAGATCGTGCTAAATTGAAAGCCACTCCTGTACATCTTCTGTCTATCCCAACAGTACCTTTCCGGCTCTCGATTGTGTTTCTGATCTTCCTTTTAAAATACCAACCAAGCCACTGACTGACTAGTTTAATGAGGTTTGGAGGCATATGGGCTTTTGCTCCGTAGGAATTTTCCGTACACCCCCAGCAGAACCGCGGCAGGCAGTCCAACACCCAGAGCAATAAAGCCAATGATGCTTCCCGCCCATCCATAGCCCAGTGAAGAATACCTGTAACAAGTTTAGACTTGGTTTTAAAAGTGAAGAGCCGATTGTCAAATGGACTAACATGTAGGGCGCGAACATTGGAAACGTAAACCCCGCAATACACCTGATGGTAGAAACAGCCGCTAGTGCACTTGCCGAGTATCGCCCATATGTATCGATGACATATGCATTTACAGATATCGTGCATGCAAGTGCTCCAGCAACAAAAATGGAGGTTCCAATATTAGGCATAATCCAGTGCATCTTCTTTTCGGCGGTCCATCCGTACCAGAACATCCCAGCACTCAAAAAGAGTGTCGCAGGTAGCATAATCGGGATTCGAAACTCGGGGGCACCTTTACCTCCGTTCCGCTTCGATAATGTGCGATATATCCTGTCATTTATAAGCGTGCAACATTCTGCGGCAATGGCAGATCCAATAGCGATTGAAATGTAATTCAGCCCCGCAATCTCGATAGACTCCCCGTAGACATCAGTCCACAGATCGATAAAATCAGCGTATAATATATAAATATTGCCATAAAGATACGCGTTGTAAAGCGCCAGGATCTGGATGATCGGTTGAGTGGCAAGCAGTCTGAAAGGTCGAAACAAGTTTGTGCATAGAAGTTTGATCCGACCTTCGTCCAGATAGTCATATTCGGTGTAGAGGTTGTTGGCTCCGGTGGCAGTTGCCTGCCTGGCTTTCTTTCGACGCAGCAAAAGTGGAGGATATGTTTCCTCAAGAAAAATAAGACCGGAGAGTTGAATGACAACACTCAAAAGGGAGGATGCATAGAACGTCCACTGCCATGTTGCATTCTGTGAGATGAAACCACCTACGACTGCACCGACCAGCGGAGCGAGAATTGGAGACCAGCTGTAGATTGCCACCGCTTTTCCACGATCTCTCGCACGGAAAAGATCACTTAACGTGCCGCCCCCGATCTGAAGAAGGTAAATTAGATGATAATCACAGAAACTGAATTTGAACCACGTACACCGAGTGTGGCGCTTCCGCAAAGGCCGGCGATGAAACGAAGTATGATAATAGATTCTTTGGTGTGCGCCCCACCACAGGCTGCGTTGAAGGCGATGTACATCAAGTTCCACGTTTGGACAACTCTCACGCGGCCGTAAATTTCAGACAGCGGGCTTGCCACCAGTGGACCGCAAGCAAAGCCAAGGAGGAAGATTGAAAGGACCATTTGCTCAACTGCAGGCTGTGTAATTTTCAAGTCTGACGCAATTGCAGGCAAAGCTGGAGCGATAATTGTCGAGGACAATGGACTCATAAACACGAATGAGCTCATGGCAAATATAGCTTTCCATTTTCTCATTGAGGTCCAGTTTTTGGGGTTTTCGGGATCGCCTTCACCATCCCAAGTCACCTTTCATTATAAGCGGTCGCCAGGCAGGGTGCGCAACAAGGATTAAGATATAGACTCACAAGAACCTTTCCAGACTGAGTGGGGCCCTTTTCAAGCTCTATCTCCTCCATCGGGCCACCATGTGGCTTCTCTGCTGGTGCATCTCTTTGCGTACATTTGCTGGTATCACTATATGGCTTGAATATAGTCAAGCCTTGCATGCTTATCCTTGGATTCATAGCGGTCCCTTGAAAAAGGTGACTCAATTGATACAGTGACTGGTGGCCAGGGGATAATCACAGTCCCCCTCCAGGTCAGCTGGAAATAGAGACAGTCGAGTACGAGTAAAGGCTTGTAGAGATGATCAAGAATAGAGATGATGGATGTAATGGTCAATGGAATAGAGGATGCGGTATGGCTGTAAGTAGAAATACTTCGTGCTCTTTCCTTTCACCGGGATGATGTTTCAATCAAGTACCCCGAAAATACAACACCTATGTGTAAATACTGTCGAGAAAATTGGGGCAGAAATTGCGTCTTATCTGCCAAGGCTAATAGTGGACTCTTGAAAGACAAGTAATCGTCACCGATCAACTGGTTGCATCTAGACAGAACGAATCACTTAGCGCTACAGCCCGTCCGCTGAGCGCAAGCGGGTTGTGCAGCTATTCCGGTCCCGCCGTGCTGTTTAGCCCGCCTAATGCCGATACAAGTCCGATGCAGAAACAAAATTACGACACGAGGTCCGGTACTCCGTATTCACCGTCGGACTTGTAACTCGGCGCCATCGTTTCCCAGAAGGCCCGATATACTCCTTTCTCTCTCTGTTAAATATTGTTAGGCAATATGAAAACCTGAAAAACTATGCCGAAGAATTGGATTGGTCCTCTTTACATATGCTTCTAGAACGGATCTACGGCATTGAGAAACCGATGTCACGTGGAAAATCAAGACTGACGCTTGATTAGTTAACTAGCTATTTTTGGGTGCTCCATCACCTGAGCAAGAATGGCTAAACCTTTCCAGAAACCAAATCTGCCAACCGCACCGGGCTCGAACAGTATGGCACAGACTGGACCTTCGAAAGCGGCAATAGTCCCTTGGCTAGAACTCCAATCTTGCGGACATGGCTATTTATTTCGTTTGACCCCAATGATTCGACATCGCAGGCCTTGAACACCAGGCGTCACAAGTATAATATATAAAGGCCACGATGAGCATTTGGCGACCATGGAAGACATTATCTCCCGCCTACAATTATTGCCGGTGATTGAAAAACGACTCCAGGAGTACTATCCATTCAGTCAAGTTGCGCTTGTGCCTGAGACTACTCATGCCGCAGTTGATCGCTTATATTCGAGTTGGGCCTGTAGCCTCAGGCTATATAAAGGGAGAGAGGGCCGTTAAATTGTCCATTTAACATTTGTCGCAACTACCGGAGGATATTTCACGCTCATCCTCATAGGAAGTTGTCATCACGCTAGACTTGAACTTAGGGGGCTTCTATGCGCTGTTCAGTGGGGGATTTGCTCGAAAAAGTTGTACAAATGACCAATTGTCGCGGGATAACCTCTTTTTGACCCACCAATATGCCTGGAACTGTATGTACCCCGACTTTAAAGTTACTTTACTAAAGGCGCCCTCTTAACTAGTAACTGGTGCAACATTCTCTCATATGGTTTACCATGTGATGCAATCCTTTCAACGGCACTAGATCCTCTTACCCAAGATGTATCAAGGGGAACAAAACTCCCCTCAAGCATGAAGGCTTCTGATCTTATTCCCAATCCTTCTGTCCTAGTGTCTCAACTTGAAAGTGTGTCCAAATCCTCGCAGGCCATCTCGCGCAAGCTTGATCATATGTTGGATAACGTTACAACAGCCAATTCTACCAAGCCTTCTGACAGTTCTAATTTTGATCACTTGGACCTTGCAGATTGGGCAATTTATTTTGGTTTAGGGACTATGAGTGACGAGGGCAACGTGTTTGAGGACACAGGCAATTTCACACCAATATGTTCCTAAGGATCCGAAATGCGTCATAATTGAACACGAGTTTCGACACGCACAAGTCTTCCTTTCCTATCCTTCATTATTCTTCGCAATACTCCCGCCATTTCCCGCTAAGAGACTTACAAAAAGATCGGCCAAGACATGCAAGGCATGATCGCAGATCTGATAATGAATTATGAGTCGTCCTTGCAAGCGACCACGCATGGTCTTGACTCCTGCATTTTGAGCAAGATCCGCAAAGCGCTCTTTATCGATGCCTGCTGCATCCAGGTCCAGCCAAATCATATTGGTCTCTGTTGGATACTGGAGCTTTCCACCTAAACTCAACCAGAGCTTGGAAAGTTGTTTCGCAGAATCTTGACTGGCACGAAGGTGCCCACCAAGGAAAACATGCTCAACAGCAACTCTTGCTGGAGCGGATACAATGCCTGCTGCGCGGATTCCTCCGCCAAGGAGCTTTCGCATCCACCGGGCTCGCTTGATAAATGACGAGCTTCCGATCACAATCGACCCAATTGGTGCACCCAGGCCTTTAGTGAAGCAAAGAGACACACTATCAAAGCATGAAGTATACGCCTTCAAACTGCCTGCTCCAGCAGCGACGGCCTCCCACAGCCGAGCACCATCTAGGTGCATATGGATGGGAGGATTCTGGCTCCGTGCCCAGCTTGAAATTACGCGAATGTCTTCCAGGGGCATGATAGTCCCTGAAAGGGTGTTTTCTAGACTGATAATTCGTGTTGGGCAGTCATAAACATCTTCCCGAAGAGTGGCATGCTTTTTTACATCCTCGATGGTGAGATGATGGCCATTGCACGGGAAGACTCCCTCTAATAGCGCCCCGCAAAGCGTCGCAGGTCCTCCTGCTTCCATCCCAAGAATGTGGCTTCGGCTGTCGCAGAGGATGCTGTACGGAGGGGCCGGGAGGGCAGTTCGGAGAGCAACTTGGTTACCCATTGTTCCAGACATGACCAAGAGCGAGTCTTCGTGGCCTGTCAGTCTTGCCATGAAGTCTTGAAAGGAGTTTGTAGTAGGATCCTCCTTCATGACATCGTCCAACAGGCTGGTATTGATAATGGAGGAAAGCATAGCTCCGTTAGGCGAAGTAACGTAATCAGAGCGAAAGTCATATGCTGCTTGACCGGGAGAGTCCCAGGCTGTCTGTCTCACAGCCAAGCGATCTTCTGCAATGAAAATTGACTTGTCTTGACATGCCTCTGCAGGGACGTCTTTGCGGGTGGAGGGGGATGAGAGTACTCCCTCCAGTTTGAGATTTGAGACAAGAGAAGACATTGTGATAAATGGCTGCAAATATTTAAACGTGGGAGACGGATGAATTTAGACTCTTCAGGACTCTGTGAGGTTTTATTTTCTTCCACATAGCCCCTTTATATGAGAGATTTCTTTCTCACCTGGCCCCTGCGATAGCCAGAGTCCCATGCCTCTTTGTTACTTTCATTTGCTACTTAATCAGGTTTCGCAATCAATTGTGGGATTCGCAATATCACTGACTAACAGATTGACTAACAGATCAGCGTGATGTACTTTCGGAATGACCCTATTCTGTCTTTGGCCGAATTGTTAGATTTTAGGCGGTCCACAATACACATCCCTACTCAATAAATCAGGAATCTCCAAGATACTAGAAGTGGCATCAACGGTGAGGAAATCCCACACTGTGAGGCCTCATATACAAGAAGGCTGTGCTTAGATTTAGACATCACACTCCTACAGAAGGTATCGTTTCTACCAGATAAGAGAGCTCTTGTAAGACCAGACGTACGTAGTGCACAGTATTATTTTTCATCCGGAACTTCATAATACATGTAATGGAATGAAGGAGTTTACCCTCTAAGGTCGTAACGCCAATAAAAATTTCAACAATTTTGGTGTCTAATGACACACGAAGTCCTAGGGAGAATGTTTCTATCAAGCGAAATCAGAGGGATAGTCATTTTGATAGCTCTGAAGACGTATGGTAATCTATCCAATTCAAATTTGAAAGTTTATGGCGTGCTCCTAAGCCACAACGGAATACTGTGAAGAGCTATTCTACCCAATCACATAACAAAGTGTGCCGAAACAATGATATTACACTGGCTGGGAACTTTGGGCGCAGTGGTATCACTATTAGTCTTTACGACAATCAATTTTGAGCTCATAAGGTCAGCCTGTTTCGGCACGCCGGCTATACTTAGGCTAAATAGGGGCCATTCAAAGTTGTATCCTTCGAAATATTGAAGAACTTCTGAGCCTAGGCATTCTCGTAGTCTCAAATGCAGACATTGTGGGGAGTTATTTCAGCGAAAAAAGTCCCGCCAAGAGATGTGTATTGCACCATACTCTGAACAAAGTACATTGTGCGACGTGGGGCCATGCAAGGTTGTATCCTTGAAACGTCGCAATACTTCTGAGCCTAGAAATTCTGGTTGTTTTCAAATGTAGTCATAAAAAGCCGCCACAGGAGAAGTCGCTACCGGTGATGTGCATTGCGCCATGCTTTAAACAAAGTACATTGTGCGACGTGGGGGCCATGTAGAGTTACATCTTTCGAAATATCGAAGTACTTCTGAGCCTAGGCATTCCTGTACTTTCGAATACAGACACCACGAGAAGTAATTCCAGCGAAGAAAGTCCTGACGAGACATCTGTATTGCGCTATTTTCTGGACAAAGTATTTGGTTCTTTTTCTTACCCTTTTTCATGTGTTTACGGCTCTGGTTATACTATCCATTATAAAGGTCTCTACGCCTTCCTCCGTTAGACATCATCAAGAAAAACTCTGCCATCGACTTCATTATTGACGATTGCATCTCTGGCAGCTGGATTTACCATGGCATCCTTGATTCCCCCCCAACTCCAAGAACTTGTCACCTATGTGCGCTCACGCTCACCTTATTATCAATTACTCTACGCCAATTTACCAAAAGAAATCACCAATTTTGAAAGTCTCCCACTAGTCGATAATACTCTTTACTGGAAGTCATCCAACTCGGAGCCCAATGGTGTGTTGACAGAGCCATTAAAAGATGCGGTCGTTATGCGCAGCGGAGGGTCTACTTCGGAGCCAAAAACAGTTTACATGACTCGCGAGGAATTTCTAGAGACCTCCCGAATTAATGGCGAGCTCTTCGGTCGTTGCTGTGGCGTTCGGCCCGGAGACCGTGTTGCCAATTTGTCTTCCCAGGGGGGCATGTACTCCGGGTTCATGACTTACGGCTACGCTGTGATGAACTGTTCTCTTCCGGTTGTGAATCTGCCAATTAGCGGCAAGGAAACACCTGAAAACATCGAAAGAGATATATCGCAATTCAAGGCCACGGTCATTATCAGTAATGTTTTCATTGCTACGAAGCTCGCACACTACCTTCGAAACAAGCAAACTCAGCTGTCCAGTGTTCGGTTGATCTTATATACCGGAGAGCCCTTCTACAAGGATCTTAGGCTGCTTTATAAAAGTGCCTTTCCTAATGCTACTATAAGACCGCTGGCATATGCATCTGTGGAATGCAAGATCGTGGCGTTCCCCGAATATGAGCTCAATCATGAAGACGAAGACGGTGACATCAACCCTGTCTACAGAACGTGTGACAGATCTGTGTTCCTCGAGATCATTGCTGAAGATGGATCCGTGATTAAGGTGAACGGTATCCGGGGAAATCTCGTGGTCACTAACTTGCTCAAGAGACTGCAGCCGACTGTCAGATACCCAATTGGAGATGTGGGTGAATGGGTCAATATCCAGTCCGGCCTTTTCCGCTTGAGAGGCCGTAGCAATGTTGGGTTGAAGATTGGTACTGCTCTGTTGGACAAGGGTTTGATAAGGAAACTTGTTATCCAGGTCGTCGGTGCTGGTGTTGCGGATAATTTTCAGATCGTGATCCGCAGAAAAGACTCCTGCAACATTGTGCTCTTCAGGATCGCGGCACAGGCTCCTGCGGGCACTGATACTATACCGCAAAGGCTTGAAGAAGCAATAGTCAATGCGAACCCGAGCTGGGCAATAAATCGTGATGCAGGCCAGATCGCCCCTATTGAGGTGGAATGGGTGCGATTTGAACAACTGGTGTTTTTGGAGGCAAGCGGCAAACTTCGCGAGGTCATTGACGAGAGATTTTAGACATGTGACATGTCTTATACGTATAGAAAATAATTTTCGCGCTATGGTTGCGAGAATGCAGACCACCAAACGATCGAAAGGGCTGTACCTCAGTATTAACTGGCCTTGGATATTCGTGTAGCTTAAGAAAGCGTGTTTGGAACACCTTTGCAGCCACGTGGGACATCCGTAGTGGCTAAAAGGAGCACTCAATTCTAGACATCATAATGCCAGAACTGGTAGAGGCATACTTATGTGCGATGAGCCACTCTGCAATGGATACTAGGTAAAACAGTACTGCTAAAAACGCAGTACCGGTCATAAGGTGCCCTTGAATGGACAGGAGAGTATAGGAAGATATAGATTGCGGATATCCGTGGATATTACAGATCGTGCCGCAGCCTGGGTAGGATATCTTGAATAGCTTCGCTATAACATATGGGGCCTTAATTTAGCCTTTTTTTAACTACCTATAGGGCTAATCAGCCCCTTGCCCTCTTAGCATATTTGTGCCGTAATAAAGATCGATATGGTGACATGTTAGGATTTGAAAATGAAAGTAGGATGAGACGCGTGTTTTTCGGTGGTACTTCAGAGACTCCCTTCCTCCTGATGCTCCAACAGAACCTAGATGCTCTATGTAGGTCCTTATTTGCCGCTTGTCGTGTAACCTCGTATAGATCCTTGACAAATAGAGACTGTTCCCAGGACTATACAGCAGTTAAGGGACCAATGGATAAATTTGGGTCGGGGGTTTTGTTGCCTTACGAATAATGCTTTCTCCTGTTACTCTCATGTTTTCGACCGGCACTGTTCGGGGGCTAGTGACATAAATATGGGTCTTGGCACTCCCTGGGTTGAGTGATATTGAGCAATGGCATGAGTCTGGCATTTTCTACCGTGTGGTTGTGTTGGTGGTCGAGTTGTGAAACGAACCTGGTTTCAAGCGCCAGAATAGATGTGACTACGCTTTGCTCCGTCCACGATTTATTGTTTTTTTTGGCTAGAATTTGACTGAATCTCATCTTATTCATCAAATTCTCTAACCCGACTGACTCGATGTAATCGCTGGGTTTCTTAAGCTCTCTTAAAACCTCGAAGTGATTCAAAAGTGGGGTTCAAAGGAGGCAGTTGAGAGTTTCTAACAAATAGTTAAGTACGGGGTTCTGTTGAGGTAAGCGAACAAACCACGGTCCATTTGTCTACCTGATATTTCGGATATGAGGGTTAAAGCCCCACTGATGAACCATGTCATTGGTAGTCTTCTAGACTGCTACGAGAGCCGTTTGTTTTAAGCGAAGCATGACCAGGGGTCAGAAGGGTGAACAAATGTGGCGCGGATAAAAATAGTCCGCGGCAAGAAGATCCTAGTGGTCCCGACAATCATGTGATGAGATTTAGAAAGAGGGGAAGCTGGGGCTGAGTGGATTAAATTGATCATCCGCGAGACACTCCGGGTGGTGTGGTGAATGACACTGCATTGGTCGACTCCCTCCGCCTCGAACTCACCAAATTCTCTCATTGTAGATCCACTTTGCCGTCCACGCATTAATCTAAAATGGCGAACACCGAGGCATCCACCGGAAATATGGCAGACTTCGGTGGCTTCGTGAAGGATGAAGAAGAGGAACTTGATCTCGAAGAGCTCGTTGAGCCGTGGCATAGGTACGAAAGAGAGAACCAAAATGTCTTGTATCCTATTCGCCTTGGCGAAGTACTCAACAAGAGGTACCTGGTTGAACATAAACTTGGCTTTGGTGAAGGATCGACTGTCTGGATGGCTTTTGACCTGAAAGACAAGAAAAATGTGGCTCTCAAAGTCATGGCTCTGGGAAAATGGGGCGACAACGAAATTCGAATTCAGGACGAGATCATCAAAACGGTACGGGATACCTCTCGCTTGGTGATATATGAGGCGACTTTCTCTCTATTCATAGATGATAAAAGCTGCTATAGGGTCTTAGTGTTCCCCATGAAAGGGCCATCCATCTGCACCTTGACCCTAAAAAGTATTCCAATGGCCTCTCGCATGTCTGCCGCTCGACAATTACTAGAGACGGTGGCAGCTTTGCATGAAGCCGGAATAATACATCGCGGTAAGTCTGCGTTTCTTTACCTGGCTGTCTTATGAGCTAAGAGGAATGATCTAGATTTGAATGCCAGGAACTGTATTTGGGGAATGCCTCCTATCGATAGTTCTAGCAGGAGCGCCAAGTGTGAGTTACTCGGTCGGCCCTTAAAACAGACAATACCGTTTGTCGACCTCTGGAAAAGGGTGAGCTTGTTAGCCCTATCAGGTTTCCAGAAGACCTCCGCACAGACGAATTCTATCTCTGCGATTTTGGTTTAGCAAAGAAAATTGGCGACCTCTCCAGTCAACACGGCTACCCCCCTATGCATTATTGCTCTCCAGATCGACTCCATAAGCAAGAGCCGAGCTTCGCTTGCGATAGTGTGGAGCTATATGGTTGTTTTCTCTATGCTCTACCTTACATTTCCTCCGTTTCCCACATTTCTCGAGGGTGGAGTTGTGAGTGGTATGGTCGAATGCTTAGGCACCCTACCTAAGCAATGGAAGGGTCTCTATACACACCCAGGTGGACTTGACTCATGGTATGATGAGTCTCAATCTCCTGATCATGAGAACGACCTTGCTGCAAAAATTGCATATTTCCGTGCCGATGCTCACCTGGTCGAGCGGCCACATGTGCTATCTATCATGTCGAAAGCCTTCATCTACAACCCAGAAAAACGGCCGACGGCAAGAGAGCTTTTACAAGACCCCTCATTCAGAGCTATCATGGACCGGTATAGGTGTTAAGGCTTAAGGTAAAGTAGCATAAAAGACAATTAGATTCTGAATTCCTAATAGTGATAATTTGTTCCATGGCGGAAAATTCCCGGCAGATGCCCAATCGTGTGCCCAGGGACATTGATAGGCTCCTTGGTTTCGCGTGATGGCTTCCTGGACAGCAGTATAAACGCCGCAAGGCTGATCGGAAAAATAGCTATGAGGAGAGTGCTCAACACCATTGCGTCAGATTTATTCTTGGCAGATCAACAACAACGCTGCGCGGAGGGTGTGCCTAGTTAACCAATGATCGTGGACGCTCTGACGACAGCATCAACCTCGTTGGGACGACGTTCTGCCTGGCGAGACCCATAATTCTAGCTTTTTTTTTTTCGAACCTGAATTAAGGATCTATGAAGCCATGCGGGCCGGTCGGCCTCTTCGGGGCGCAGGAGGGGGAGGGGCCCAGCAGGGACCTTGCGAGCGTGGAGAGAACTACTTGAAATACACTCAGAACAGAACACAATCTATCTGAATAATCCTAAACTTCTGTATAGGCACAATGACCACAGCTAAGACCATGTACGACGCGTTGATCGTGGGCTCTGGCCCCGGTGGCCTTTCCGTTGCGCTGGGCCTCAGTCGCACCCACCGGCGCGCTGCCATCTTCACCAAACCCGGCGGTGCTGGCTTTCGCAATGAGGGAGCTCCTGAGATGCACAACTTCATCTCGCGCGATGGAATAGCTCCAGAGGAATTTCGTCAGATAGCGAGCGGGCAGATCAAGAAATATGGAACCGTTGATTTCATCGAGGCTGAGATCGTGGCCATGGAGAAGACGGAATCCGGACCCCAGACCTCTTTCACTGTCACAGCAAAGAATGGGGAGGTGTGGAAGGGTCGGAAACTGGCTTTGGCTATGGGCTCGATAGAGACTCTGCCTGATATCGAGGGTTATAGGGAGAATTGGCCTCATAATATGTGAGGTTCTAAAGCAAAATGCAGCGACGATCGAACAGCCAGCTAACCCGCATCCTTGTACACAGTTTTCAATGTCTGTTCTGCGACGGACACGAGCGCTCTCACCTCCCCGGAGGAATCTTGACATTCCCTTCGCCAATGTATACGCACATGGCTCAGATGATGAACCTGATCAAGACTCCAACCTCTGGACCGCCAACTATCTTCACCGACGGACCTGTGCCTGAAGTAGAAGCCATGCAAAAGGCCCTGGAACAGGTCAAGGCATTAAAGTGCAATATCGAGACCGGCAAGATTGTGAAGCTCATTCCTGCACAAGCGCCAGACGTTGGAGTCACGGTCGTGCTGGAGGGAGGAAAGGAATGCAAGATGGGCTACTTGGGCCACAAACCATCGACAGTTCTGGCGGGTGCCGACATGATCGCCAAGCTTGGAGTCGAGATCGAAGAGAACCCCGTGCTCGGCCCAAACATCAAGGTCGTTGACCCGACCTTTTCTACTTCGGTACGCGGAGTCTTCGTCGCTGGTGATGCAGCAACTCCCTTGAAGGCGGCTGCCAACGCAGCCAGTAGTGGTGAGTTCCCTGACAGATTCTAGTTTGCTGGAAACTAGAAGGCTGATTTTGAATGTACCAGGATCTACTGCCGCCGCGGGCATTGTACAGCAGATTCTCGCAGAAGATATGGAACTGCTCATGGCAGAGACCAAGCAGGAATGAGGATATTCTCCAGCGCAGCACAAGGCTATGCCTCGAGCTAACTGTGCGCGATTATGACACACATTGCCATAGACCTATATGAATGAACACTACCCTTATAATAGTGTGAATTAATCAAAGGATAGTAGTGGATTTCTCTCCAGAAGCCCGATAGTGTACTTCGGTGAGTTGCTTCACGCATACTAAAGCTTGCCGTATGACCACAACCGACAATCTGAACACCTCTATTGGACAATCCTCTTTTCTTGAACTAATAATAAACATAAGAAAAATAAGGAGGTACGTTCCCCGTAATCTGCCGCACAGCTATAGCTTCACATCTCTCGGCGATGGTATCTTGCGCAATACCTCTCGGCTGCAAGCACTAATGGAGGGTATCCCGGCCGTGGCCATGCTCAAATAGAGATCCGCCAGTACCGCAACACAACTTTCACTGATTTGCCATTGATGGCATATCCGTACATGAGTGGTCTTCCCACTCAGGACAGCGTGAGCGCCCAGAGCGAGAGCTTTGACAGTGTCCGAGCCAGTACGACGAATACCAGAGTTGAAGAGAACGATCATGTCGGACCCGACTGCATGGACGATTTCTGGGAGGACATCCAGCGAGCCGACAGCCCCATCTAACCGTCTGCCTGGAAACCGCCGCTCGTTAGCCATATCGTGTCTTGAATGCTGCAGAGGTAAACGAGGGAAAACCTGCCTCCATGATTTGAAACTACAATGCCATCGCATCCGTGAGCAAGTGCAGCTTGGGAATCATCAAAATGCTGGATACCTTTGAGAATTAAAGGCCCGGACCACGCTTCTCGGAGGAAGGCAACATCATCCCACGAATGATTTTGCTCACAATTTGGCTCATCCATTCATGAGATGCATCAGTGATGTCTTCGTGCACCGCCATGCCCGTTTTGGCTTTATAATTTGCCTGGAAAGCAGGACCCGAGAGCCCAAATTCAGTCCCGTTTGCGGCGAGGAATGGCAGGAAGCCGTTATCCAGATCGGCCTGGAGCCTAGTTTGTTAGCCTGTGAAGGGCCGCCATCATAGTCCACTCACCAAGCTAAGGACCATGTATCCAAAGTGACGACAAGAGCATCAAACCCGTTTTTCCGTGCTCGCTCGAGTAACGACCTGGTGATTTCATTATCTCTAGGCCAGTACAACTGGTACTATCGTTTGCCCAGCCTGCTGGCTGCTACTACATCCTCGAACGAACTATTTGCCGCAGAGCTCATGATATATGGAATATCGAGCTGAGAGCACGCCTCTGCCAGACCTGGCTTTTTTTTTCTGGACGCACCAGGGACTGAACTCCGATGGGTGCCATAAGAATGGTTGATGGATATTTCTTACCAAAGATTGTCGTTGACATGTCTACCCTCGACTATATTCTCTTTATTAGGACCGAGAGACTCAACGAGATTAAGAGGATATACTGACAGTGATGCACATTCTGGGTATTCTAAAAGCGGTTGAGCACTGATCCCAAATTCGAGTATAGGTTACCCCTACAGTATCCACCGGTCAAACGCGAGCCGGTTCCTAGCGAGGGTAGATTTTCCTCCAGCTCTGCCTCTGATATAGTCGAACGATTTCTCGTTCATCACCTGGCGGGCCTGCGTCTCAAGGCGTCGAGGATCGGTTGTGACTGCGGGACGCAAGCCGCGGTGCATTCCATTGGCGTAGATCGCCTTTTGGTAGTCGCCATGTGTTTCTGACATTGCGAAAACGTGATCCTACCGTCTCAGCCGATGTGTGGGCTGGAGACTTGATGTTCTAGAAGTCTAGAATGATATCCATAATGGGACTAGATCGCTCCGGCGCAACGGGTACCCTGGACGACAACAAGTGACAATCCGATCGGCCCGTTGTCCATCGAAATCAGCCAATCGGTTATTCAAACGTTGAGGAAAGCCAATTGGGGTTGCAGAGACCAGGAACCACTATCAGAAGGTAAACTCGATGTGTAGTATGCAGCTTTAGGAACGATGCTGATCTATGCTATGTATATATGTATATACTCCTCGGCGTACAACGCCACCCCCCTGAGGTATAGGAAAGTTTGAGACTAGTATTGTCTGTAGCTTAAATGTAGTCGTAGATACCCTCCCTGGTATCTATAAAGTCCCATCAAGTTAGAATCGGGTAGTTAATTGTCTAGGCCTCGAAATGCGAACGGAGTAGCTTGGCGACCGAAAATGGAGCGCCATTTCTCGTCGGATCCTGATACCGCATCAACGGGAAGTTGTACAGCGGAGCAACCAAAGCTAGAAAACACCAGACCCAGATGTCACCCAACACCCGAATCCATAGCGATGCTGGTTCATGTAGCTTTCCAAAAAGCTTTGTGTAGAGCGTCTCCTCAATGTCCTCCACGATGATACCAACGGGTTGGAGGAGGAAGCAGGCCCATGCGCCGGTGAGGTGGAATCCGACACCCCCTTTGGCATCAATGCAAGCGTGCATGAGAGCAGAATACAAGAAGACGAGGATTACGTTGAGGTAGCGTGCGAGACTGGATGGGTAGCGTAGGTGCTGAATATCACGGCAGATGAACTCTGTAATGCGCTGGAAAGGCTGTCGGAGAAGCTGATGCCAATAGAGACAGGGCAGACAAACTAGCATATAAGCGAGGCGCAAAGGTTGATTTCTACTTCTACCCCCAAAACCTCCGTTTTGTGTAGGCATCAGTCACCGAGCCAAACAAGGAAGGCCACTGATGAGGACCGGAAAAGCCCAATACGACAGATGTTACAGCCACGACGCGGTGGAAGATGCTAATAAAGCACGCTCCCACGGGCGCCCAGACGATCAAAGCCACTCCGAGATGGATTCTGACATCTGAGAATGTGGGAGATGGGATGTCGCGAGGGCGAAATAAAAGAAACTCTTTCCCCGGGCCAGACATGCGCTCAATATCCTCCGGTGACGATGGCTGATGGGTGACAAGGTCGATCATCAAGTATTTAAAGAGAACCACGCAACTTCAATTTATCGCTGAGCGCAATGGCTGGACCAAGATTGTCTTCATGTAAAATCACTACAATCTATATCGGGAGGAAGAGCGTAAAATGAATCGCTTCTGCCACAGGCACGGAATCGGCCTTATACCAGTACGAGCCCCATTTATTCGACGGGAATCATGAGCCAAGATCGCTAATTGGCTTCACCCAGTGGGCACCCCCAGCATCTGGCCTTCTCGCCTGCCGCTATGATGAGTATGGTAAGACACGTAGAACAGCCACGGAGTCCAAGAATCCACGCTTCCAGTACGTGGAAACAGCCCGGGACCATGAGATTATCAACCGAACGACTGCTGTTGCGCAGTGTCGAGGATGGAGCATGACGGATGTCTTGCTGGCTTGGCTGACCAGGCGAGTTACGTCCCCTGTGCTCGGATTCACCAGTATAGCCCGTATAGACGAGGCACTTGGTGCGCGAGGAAAGGCCTTGACGGACGAGGAAGAAGCCTTTTCAGAAGAGCTGTATACCGCGAGGCGGATAATGGGCCATCTTTGATTATTGACTATAGAACGAAAGAATTTTTCTAGCCTATCTATATTCTTTATCTCACTATCACCTCATCTTTGAAGTAGCAGCGGACCATTCATTGCAACTCGACTTAAGACCGCTGCCTGATCTGTTATTACCTCCGGTACTATTACCTAGACCCCGCCAGGCATTTCCAAGGTTCCAAGGTTTCTCTGATAGGAATTATGTAAGATAATCGCTCTTTGACGTACTGTTCCTCATGCCCTATCCTCTGCACTTGCCTCCTTCTTTTCAGCAAGCGACTGATCACGGCTGAGGATAGGGTTCCTGAGGCAGAACGCAAACCCAATCATCGGAAGAGACAGACACAGTCCAGTGATACAAAGATACCGCTGCACATACCGGTAGCTGTCAATGATAGCGGTGCGCACATCCGTTCCAACAGGGAATTGAGCGACTACGGCGAAAGGGTTGCCATAAACTTGTGCGGCAAGGGCAACATCGCCGAGATTCGTCGCAAGCCTGGATGGCAGGAGCTGTGACCACATCGCGCCGGCGACACTGGCACCAAACGCATTTCCCATGCTATGGCAAGCGAGGAATAACCCGGTCATGACACCGAGGTTTTCGTGCTTGAGGGAGGACTGCATAGATGCGAGGGAAGCATAGGGTGTCATTCCACCTCCAATGCCGAGGATGACCTCTGCAGCAATGATGCCTGCATGGTTGGAGCCTGACGAGCCGCTGCGGTAGCGAATAAGGAGACCGAATCCAACGATGAATAGGACAGTTCCTGCGATGATGAAGTATTTCAGTCGGTGGACGCGGTAGACCAGGATACCGCAAATTGGGCCGACGAGAAACATGGTGAACATGAAAAGGGTTGCGATGCGAGTCGCAGCGGTGATTGAAAAATCAAAGGCCACAATCAGAACAGTATACAGATAGTTGGACTGCATCGAGTTGGCAAAGTTCATAAACGCAGCAATTCCCAGGGCACCCCACACGCCGCGGTCTTTGAGGTACGAGAAGGGAACCAAGGGATGTGGTGCTCGCGTCTGCCAAAAGATAAAGAGTGGAATACACAAGAAGCCAATGACCAGAGGCGCAATAACGTGAGCAGTGCGCCACTTGGGGCTTTCGCCTCCAGCGATGGTTAACGGGGTGAGCAGGAGGGCCAGTGAGGCGATGAGAAGAATGATTCCCGGGACATCGAGTTGCCAGAAGAGCTGTTTCACCGGGATCCATCGAGGTGCTTGAGTGGCGGAGGAGTTTCGACGGGCGCACAGATCAAGGTAGACGAGGGTGGCGACGACTGGGACGACCAGCACAGTGAAGATGATGCACCACATGCCAATTCCCCATCTCCAAGTTGTACTGCCCAAGACGGCAGAGGAAATGTTGCCAGACACCCAGGCGGTGATGATAAAATGTAAATTCGGCACGTAAGTGGCCAGCAGTCGGACACGAGTAGAGGTGACATCGGCGATGAGGATATCGACGAGGGTCTGAACGATTGTAAATCCCAGAGTGTACAGCACTGCACCGGCGCAGAAGGAGGCGACCCCGTTCGAAGTGGCCTCAACGATTGATCCCACTAGGTAGAAGACAACAGAGAGAGTCAGGGTCTCGACACGACCAAAAGCATCGGCGAGTTTCCCGGTCGTGGGCTGAGCAGCAGCGGCAAAGACGGTGCGAATGACATTCACAGTCGACAGCAACGAGTGGTCCCTGTAGCTGGCAGTGGCATAGGTCTGGTAGACATTGCGAAGCACTGCATCCAGACCAAAGGCGTAACCTACGAGAAAGATGCCAGTGAATAGTATTATGCGCGTCACAGGCCCAAGGTTGGCGGCAATCGCTTCAATCCGGACGACGCCAGGAGACTTGTCCGCAAGTTGGCGACTGCCTGCATCTGAAGGCTCCACATTGGCTTCAGTAGTGGTATCCGGATGCTTTTCGGTCGGTGATGGGAACGACATGGCGGCTGGTCCCTGATCACTGGTCTGGGCTGGGGTACGAAGCAGGTCTTAAGGGGGGTTCCTGATCATATACGGCAGGCCCAGCGGTCGCTCAGGCTGGAGCCCCCACTGAGATGGGATTTGAGTAGTCCGTGACTGGGTCCTCCTCCAGGGGCCCCTTGGGCATGACCCATTAGCCGAACGGACCGATGGAAGGCCCTGCTGTCTGCACTGCGGCCCGTTCAGCTACGTTGCGCGACACCCTACGAGGGGCCAGATGGGCCCGGAGAATAGGTTCTGTTTATTCTATTCACATTCATCTACGTGGTTTTCTCTGCTCATAACCTAGGAACCCTATCCTAAGCCCCTGTCCTGCGCATAAACTTGAGATACGGCCCATCCTTGCTCCCAGCTGCAAAGTGATCCTTGACGTGGAATTCCAGGGGCAGTTCGTCTCGTGACTCAATCTCAAACTGGTACACCAGTCGTGCAATGGTCAAGTAGATCGTATGATAAGCCATATTCTTGCCGATGCATCCACGAGTTCCCATGCTGAAGGGGTAGTAAGAGGATCGCAGTTTCTGCAGCTCCACGTCCGAGTCGACCATCCAGCGCTCTGGTTTGAAAATCTGCGGCTCAGGATACACTTCTGGGTTACGGTGCATTGTCCATGTTGGTATCGCGACCTGGACCTGAGGCGCAAAGTAATAGCCGTCGATGGAGGCGCCCTGGGGAGCTTCGCGAGTCAGGAATCCTGGAACTCCGGGCGACATGCGGAGGGCTTCCTCGACGCAGGCACGCATGTATTTGCAAGCGAGAAGTTTCGGTCCTCCGACAATCTCATCCAGGCTGGAGAACTGGGTTCGGATCTCGTCCTTGAGTTTGTCATAGCACTCTGGGTAGCGGGCAAGGTAGAAGAACAGGCCGGATAGAGCCGTGCCAGTAGTGTCGCTAGCTGTGTACAAGTCAGTGGCTGCTGTTTATAATGCCATGGGTAATGGGACGTACCAGCAATAATCAAAACGACTGCTTCATCCGAGAGTTCCTTGAAGCCCATACTTTCACCCGTCTCCTTGTCCTTGTGCTCCAACAGAAGCTTGAAAATATCAGGTGGTCCTCTCCCGGCTTTCTCGAGCGCAATACGAGTATTGACCTGGTTGTCGACATACTGGCGGAACTTTTTGTTCTCGGCCATGATCTTCAGGAGGAACAGAGGAGCCAGTCCCCATTGATCCAGTTTGGGCTCCGTTCCGAGCTGGTGTATACATCAGTATGGAGTACCTGTGCGGAAAGGTCTAAACGTACAATTACTTGACTGTGCTGGTAGGAGTCGATCAAAGGCTGGATAAAGTGGTGATCGTCCTTGGTCAGCATGTCGTAACTCTGGCTAAAGGTGAGCTGCCCCATGATATCGTAGGTCAAGTACGAGAACCAGCGCGACATGTTCTTGTAAGCACCTCCAAAGGTATTGGGGTCGCTGAGGTTCTTGCAGAACAATTCAATCTTGTTCAAGATTGTGGGCTCGTAGGACCGAATGGCGGCTTCGCTCATGGCATGTGAGATGATGCGGCGCTTGCGTGCGTGGACCGTCTTGTCGGTTGTACTTGCGAGGTTCTGGGAAGCATTAGATTATACCTCACGGCTGCCAGTCTGAAAGAGCACATACCACGAGAAGCTGTTTCTCCTTGGGACCCCGGGTATAGAACATGGCCTACATCTGTGAGCTCAGATCGATTACCACCCAGCAGTGAATATATTCTCGTACCTTCTCGAACTTGGTGCCGGGCCCGTACATCGCTATCCGACATAGTTAGCCATAGTTTATCGCGGTAGAGGGTTCAGATGCTCACTTTTGATAGCGTTGGGAGTGCATATCGAGACGAGGTTGGGCTCCATGCGGAGTACCTTGCCTGGAACGCACTTAGTTATACACAAATCGAACTCGAGCACCTCAAAACATTACCATATTTTTTATGAAGTTTGTCGACGACAAGGTGTCTATCGCCGGTCCACGCATAGTACAAACTGGGAAGGATGCTGATGCGCCATAGCAGAGGACCGGGGTACTCGGCAAGGGGATGAAAGTAGAGCCTATAGACTACCAGCCAGGATATCTAAACCCGTCGTCAGCATAGACTGGAGGAGTTTTATTCTTCTGAATTCTCACGCGAAGCAAAACAAGAGATGCAGCCCACTGCAGAATGATACGCGTCGAAGTCTGCTGCCAGTGCTCAGTCGCCTGAACGAGCAGCTGCGTGGCGAGGCCAGTGTCGAAGTCACTTTGGGTGCTCATATTTGACAAGCACTGTGACACACTTCTAGAAGCTCAATGGCTGATGCACGATCTACACTTGGAGTCTCGAGTCACGATGACATTATTTACATCTGGATCGTCGTTATGCAAGTGGCCTCTCCGGCGACCGAAAATTCTGGAGCCATCTGACTCGGTCCGATACGGCCGTACACCTTGTTTTGTGCACAATATAAATGCGTCGCAGATCTTGGATATGGAGAGCAGCATCCAATAAGCGACGTGTCCAATCGCAAGGAGTTTGAAACAAGATGAGCGCCACGAACGAGTTTGTCTTCAACGTGGCCTTTACGGTGCCCGTGAACCAGCCCGAAGGCCCGATCCTCACCCTCGAAGAGTTCTGGCGGGGTCTTGAACGTGGAGGGAGCGCCCTCACCTCTTCGCCGAATACGTTGCGGGCACCGAGATCCTGCCGAATCGCAAGTCGAAAAATGAGTTCCAACGCAGATTGGTCATGGCCGACGGGGCCGTTCACACGGCGAAGGATGTGGAATTGATTCAGGACGTGCGCAACGCCGATAATCTGCTGGTAAGCCACACCCCCACTCTTGGCGAGCAACTTGTTCAGAAACAGGGCGCTAAGGGGGGGGCAACACTCCAACAGACTGAAGCCATCACGGTTGGCTCGGGGGCGCGGAGCACAATGCTTGTCTCCCGCGGAGGCCACGAGAAGGACGGGCCGGAGGTGCTCTATCTGACTGCGATCTACGAACTGCATGTGCCAGACGTCGAACCGGGCAGTGAAAAGGCCAAGCAGATTGAACGGGATTATGCGCAATTGGCGCAGGGGGCAGCGCGCACGGTAGTGGCCACGATCCGCAAGTGGAAGGTCGAGGGAGGCCTCTCCAAGGCCTAGACTAAGCAGTGGCCAAGGTGGCACTGCGGATCCATGCCTATGGAGAGTCATCAACACATCAAATGCACTATCATGCGTTCAAGGTCCAAGACAGCTTCCAGCCAATAGATATGGTGCAGAATCGAATCAAGCCATCAAATATACCACCCGTGCAAAAGTCTGTGTGCACTCGGACCCACTAGCATCACCCTAATAACCACCCATGTTTTTTACTGTTTCTCGTATGCCACCTCAATAACCTCGGTCGCAATCAATCTAGAATGCCATTTTATGAAGATAACGCAAAGCTTCATATAGCAAAAGATACACAGGTTTAGTTTGAGGGGCATCGGATATACGTTGAAGGTTAGCCTATATACTCGCCTGATCTTAATCCCATTAAATCGGTCGGGAATATACTAGAACTTGAAAATTTCTCGTAAATCTCGAGACCTTACATCGATGGATAGACTTAAAGAGGATTAAGCCTATTTCAAAGATTCTATTAGTGCTGTATCGGATGTATTAGACCAGGCGAAGGCTAATACGTTAATTATGAGTATGGGAAGAAGGACAGATAATTTATATGCGAACCAGGGCTATCAAAGGAAAAAATAAGCGAGAAAAGTCTCTATATAAACCTGGTTGTTCAGTATACTTCATTTTAGTATAATCCAATAAAAATTGGTTGTGTAGGATATATAACCATTGATATATATAATTTGATGTGGTAGGTGGCGGAAGCGATATGCCCACAGACTTTTGCGGCCCATGTAAGACACTAGGCCGTCGTGCACACTCCTGAATTAGGAAATTGGTACGCGACACATTTTGGTCTCCGGCAGTGACTGCAGTGAGGAACTTGCAGCCCTGGGCCCTGACCCCCACCTCGCTCAATCCTATAGGCTGAGCCCAACCCCACCGCCATATGGAAAAGCCTTCTCCGCTCAGCAGATCTCACGATACCCGGACTACGGTTACTACCCTGGGATGAGATAGCCATCGTCAATTCTCGGGTACAACACAATACTCGCGCCCTAGGCGCCCTCCACCCACAAGCCGGGGAAGACATAATATAAACCAGATAAGGCTACTGTTAGAATCACATTGACTCGCTAGAGAAGACCTGTCTTGGCTTTTGCGGGGGCTATCTCGCTTCAAGAAAAGTGAATGGGGGCTATTTCTGTAGAGTTGAATGTGGCTGTAGGAACAGCTTCAGTTAGCGCTCCCAAGGTTCTCAGCCAGTCTCGAGTCAAGGAAAAATCCCTTCACACATCCTGAAGAAAACCTGCAGGGATAAGCTGTCTCATTTATCGCCATTGACCGGAGTTTTCACGAATTCACGAAATCGCGGCGTTTTAATATATGGTTTTGAGCCCGTATAGACGCTGCAGTATGAAATGGATCCAACCATGTGCAACGCAACAGCCTCCAGGTGGGTGCCTCTGCATAATCCTCCCACCGATCGACATCCTTGCCGGAGATCCTAAAACTTTGCAGGCCCCGTAGTGAGCAGCCGCACGATGGGAAACCTGGCCGTCTGCGTGCGGCGTGCACCAATTGTCACGCTGCAAAGCTACGCTGTAGCGGTGAAAGGTCTGGCTGCACTCGCTGTCGGACGCTGAACCAGGATTGTGTCTATCTTGAGTCGCGAGTGGGAAAGACTCGAGGGAGAAGGAAGCAACAACTCAGTCCAGCTGCAGTCGATCTCAACAACCGGCCCACGACCGCCACTTCGTCGCACGAGGAGGCGCCCAGACAGATGGGCGAGTCTTCTGCAGTGCCAGGACTCTCTCCAGCCAGCAGCAGCGGCGATGCAGACTTCCTCAACAATGATATCTGGGATGTGTCGCAGTCCATCTCCGACTCGGTGATGCTGGACGGGATCACTGATCCGTCTGGAGTCGAATTTTTCCAACAATTTTCGCAAAAGGAGGTCATTGAGAATCCCCTGGGAGGAAGTTGGGGCAATATACAAGAGGAAAGGACAGATTCTGCACCTCAGCTATTGGATTCAGCAATTGAGATTCCCGATGAAGATACAACACCCACAATGCGACCGTCGCCTTGGACTGCTGCCTCTGACGAGACGAGCAAGACGAGCAGACACAGTCTCAAGAACTTCCCGCCACGCTTCACACAGCAAAGAGGCCTGGCTACGCGAATGGGCCCGTGTCCAGAGGCACTTGAGCATGACCACAAGGGGGTCGTTGTTGTCGCCGCAGAGATCCTCGAGAGCCTGGAAGGGAAGATCTGTGCAGGCCTCTCTGCGATAGACGAAGTATTACGCATCAACAAAGAGGCCACGCAGAAGATAAACCATTTACTTAAGCGTAGCGACTACACTCGGAGCATGGGAAGCCTGATGGTTGTGGTCGCTGCAGCCCATTATGTTGTATGTCTTTTCGAAACAGCATGTGACAACCTCTTCTCGTCTCCATGCCCTGGAAGGTGGTCTCTACCGCCTACTACTGACTCATCACACTCTCACAACCGGTTCAGAGGACATCGAGGGTCAGTCGGCAGCGGTATGAGTACCCCAATCTCTCTCAACCCGCCTGGTATCGGCTTCGGGACTTTTCTGCTAGACCCTCAGGATCAGGCTGCCATGGTGGCTCGTATCATCTACACCGAACTGCACCGAACACTGAGAATGGTACAATCACTCTCAGCACCAATGCAGGCCGGCTGCTTTGCGCCAGACCTCGCGCCTGTCGCTGTCGATGGTTGGTTACAAGACCTGAAGCAACGATTGAGGACCCTTATCTCGAGTATGGAAAGCAGTGAGCGGAACTGGGATGGATAAAATCAACATCAACAACATATATTGGACAAATGAGAAACTGCTGCTTATGCTTTACGAAGCGGTAACAAGAACATATCCTTTCGCCTCAACGTAGAATCCGGCTCCGCGGTGCGTAACGTAGTGACCATATCGTCGTACCGGGCGTTGCGCACCAGCATTTCTAAGCCGCGAATGATTGCGGTTTCAACCCGCGCAATCTCCTCCTCGCACCAAATAGAGTCATCGTATTCTAGCCGGAGCAATATCTCCTCATTCGGTAGCGCCGTAAACTCGCACATAAGCCCAAACTTTGCCCCTTGCGCCCAGGTATATAGCTCTTCGGCACCCTCAAGGCCAAATCGCAATGCATGTTCTCGGGTATGGAAGGTCACCATCACCTCGAATAGCGGGTGATTAGGGAAATCGGGCGTGATACCCAAATGGCAGAGGAGCTGCTGCCAGGGGATAGCGTGGGTGAGAGCTGTTTGACTGGAGCATCGAACGGACTGGAGAAATGCTTCGGCGTCACAAGTCTCATCAGATGTGTTCTCTGGGTGGAAACGAATACGGAAGGGAATTGGCTCGAGAAACAGACCGACGGTGTGCATGTCGGCTTCGGACCAGCGGTTGAGAAAGGGTCCACCGAGCACGAGGTCGATCTTATTGCTTTGAGACTGAAGGGCCAATGCAACGGCTGCGAGGGCGAGCTGGTGATGACTGAACGGCGAAGTCTGGCAAAAGTTGTCGAGTGTTTGTGCGGTGTCGCTTGGAAGCATGACGACGCGCGATGAGCCCGCATAACTGGCTCTTCTCCTCGTTGGACGAGGCGCATCCTGCAAATATGTTGCCCAAAAGGAGAGATCCGTCAATGAGGCAACCCTTTTCCATGCGTCTGCTGCCATATATTCCGGGGGCGATGACTGGATCGATCCACCCTGGTAGACCTCTCTGACCTGGCTTAGCAGAGTTTGCATGGCTGTCAGATCACACACGATGTGACTCGCGGTCACGACCAGAGTTTCAGGGGTGATAGTAACCCGAAGAAGGTCGTCTTCGCTGATGATAAACGGCCGGTTGATTTCGCTGAAGACGTCACATGCAGTAACACTCTGAGCAACGGGGGCACCTTCAGAATATATCCGTTTGAACCGAATGCCCGCGGGTCGATAACGGGATCTGAGGACAGAATGGTGGCGTAGGACTGTATTCCAACTGTCTGCTAACCGATGCCTGTCAATCGAAGGACTTAACCGACACAAAAAGGAGACGTTGAAAGCCGTTGTCGTGCTGTCACATGTATATTTTGCGCTCCATTCAGCCTCCATGCGGGACACTCTGTCCTCTTGTGTTGGCGTAAGTGAGTAAACCGCCTGCTGGGCCTGACAAGTACACAGCTCGTCTATTTTGGCAGACAAGTCGTAAAGGGTCTGTGCACCAATGACCAGGGTAAGTGGAACAGAACAGGCAAAGGCTTTGGACAGGCGACTGGCCAATCTAAGCTGGAGCAATGAGTTGCCGCCGAGCCCGATGAAACTGGAGTCGACAGTAATCTCAGTTGCCTTTGTCCCCAGGATATCAGACCAGACCTGCGCAACCTGTTGTTCCGTGGCACTCATCTCTCGCGGGGGTTCGTGTAGGCCGCCCTCCTGTACACTCTTCACAATTGCCTTGTAGTCTAGCTTTCCTGCGGCAGTGATTGGGAATTGATCGACTGTGATACAATAGCGTGGAACAGCGTGGATAGGCAACACACTTGCCATGCGCCTCTTGCAGTCCCCCAGAGAGAGGTTGCGTGGCTGGACCATGGCAATAAGGTCGTCCTCGTACCGAGTCACGGCAGCTCCAGTGATGCCAGGCAGGTTTGAGATGCGCGCTTCCAGGTCATCCAGATCCAAGCGGAATCCCCGCAGCTTGACCTGCCGATCATTGCGGCCAAGGCAAACGAGTTCTCCAGTTCCAGTCCAGTAACCCATGTCGCCCGTTGCATACATCTGCTCTCCAAGCCCACGACACACGCAATCCGCAAAGAAGCGCTCCGCTGTTAGCTGTGGCTGACCGAGATATCCGTTCGACACCTGCACCCCAGCAAGATAAATCTGGCCCACCAGTCCAGGCGGTGCGAGACGGCGCTGTCGGTCTAGAATGTAGATGCGGCTCGTAGGATTCGGACATCCAATGGTGACTTTTTCTCCTGGGACCAATCGTTTGATGGTGGCTCCGCAAGTGGCCTCTGTCGGGCCGTACATGTTGTATACCGCGGTTCTTGCGCTCCAATGGTCGTTGACTACTTGCGAGACCTGCTCACCGACGAGGTAGGCTGCTCGCAGATTGGGATAGTCGGCCGCATCCAAGGTCGCCGCCAGCGATGGAGTTAGAATGCACGTATCGACCTCGTGCAGGTGTGCAAATGGGTCTTTTGGAGAGGGCAGAACCAGTGTCGCTCCGTAGCTCAAAGCAGAGAAGATCTCATGAATGCTCCCATCAAATGAAACAGACATGATCTGGCCTACCTTGATGCCAGGCTGTGCAAGCAACCGCACCTCTCGGTCTCGCTGAAAGGCAACTAGTCCCTGGTGTGTACAGAGAACTCCCTTGGGTTTGCCGCTGGATCCCGAAGTGAAGCACAGATATGCATTTGCCTCTGGGCAGAGATTGTGGGGAGATCCGGATTCTTCGTCTTCGAAGAGTTCTCGCTGGAGAAGGTCCTCAACAGCCCAGCAATATCTGCTTCGCTTTGGACGCCACCTTGTTTCGCCTGTAGAGGCAGTCAGATATATGTCTGCAGTCGAAGCATCGAACATGGACGATCGTAGGTCCGGATCAAGCTTCGAATTGAGCGGACAATACACCGCGCCAGCTTTAAGAATTCCGTATATGGCAATGATCCAGTTTAGAGACTGTTCTGCGTGTACGCAGACAATATCACCATGCTGGACATACATGCCGAGATGTGCCGCCACGCAGTTGCTCTTTTGGTCGAGTTCGCGATATGTCATCATGCTTTCTCCCAACGTGACTGCACACACTGTCGGATTTTGGCGAGCGGCACGTTTCATGAGACTGACCAGATCGTCATGTATTGAAGTCCGTGTTGTGAGACCCGAAAGACAGTTCCCGTATTGGAACAAGGTCTGTTTGTCAGGTATTGATAGCATCCCATCCAGACACATACCAACGGAGTAGTCGTCTTTTGTGAGTGACTCAATGGTGCTGGTAAAATAGCTGCCGATTTTCTCGATATGTCTTTTATCGTACTTGCGCGAGTACTGAATATGGATTGTACCGTCGGTTTCAATGGTGACGCTGAGCGGGATCTCGCTGTTCATCCTAGATGAGGGCATAGACCGGATCTGAGGAGCTGAAATCGTTGTTGTAGAAGTATTGAACTGCAAGGCCAGGACCGAGGAAAACTGGCGCAAGCACCCATGCTCGGACTCGCTCCAGTCAAAGGCCGTCAGGGCAACGAGCTGCTGAAAGACTCTCCAGACAAACGAGCTAGTATTTTCGTTCGCATCCACTGAGATGGCCATGGGTAGAGTATTCACTAGGCTCCCCACGACCTCGAGGATTCCGGCCACCGGCAATGATCTGCCAGACATGACTGCGCCGAAGATGATGTGATCTGAATCACAAACAGTTGACAGGACCAAGGCCCAGGCAGCGTAGTAGATCGAGGCGGTGGTAACATGATGCTGGTGTGCGTATTGGTCGAGCTTAGTGGATGGAATATTGACCGCAAATGTGGCCAACCCATTCCAGAACGTGTCGGCTTCCCCCAAGTCGTGACTGCTGCACAGCTGCAGCTCGCTGGTGGCGGTATCGAGGGCATCCTTCTGCGAGCGCCAGTAGGCCCTAGCTTCCTCTTCTCGCTGCTCAATCAGCAAGTTCCTTTCGCGTACCACGCTCGCATAGGAAGGCCCCCGCTGTAGAGGTAGTCCAGCTATACAGCGCGTAACCTTGTCTAGGAGGAGTGTCATGGAGAAGCCGTCCACATATGCGTGATGAACATGCCACAGGAGACAGGCCTTCTGCTCCTCGGCCCATGTGATCGTTCTGAACTCAAAGTCAACATCGTTGAAGCGAGGCTTTGCCATAATCTCGGCGGTAAACGTGGCCTGGTCGTGGACGAGAATATCTGTCCACTTGATAGAGTTCGCATTAGAGTCCGTAAGATACCCTCTTCCATCTTCGATCGCAAAGGATTTGGCAAAGATTTCCTCTGCTTCGATCACATGTTGCCAGGCGGCGCGCAGTGGTGGCAGCTCGGCCGCATTGCACATCTGCTGATACGCCAGGATGTTGTGGCCGGGTTTGGCGTAGCTGCTCCGAATAAGGGAGAGCTGCATTTCTGGGATTGGCACACAGGGCACACTGGAAGCGGCTGTGATTATTTCCGTGTCTACCGTCGGAGATGGGAGATCTTCATCAGATGGTGAAGATGGTGCAATATCATTGATAGTGATATTGACGACGGAATCCTTGAGAATGTCGTAACTTGTGCGGCGGACTACATCTTGACCTTCCTCGTGACTGGATGGCGGACTCAGGGGAAGTCGGGATAGGACATCAAGAAGAGGCCGGTTGTCCAAGAGCTCACCCACGGTCAGAGAGTATCCTAATCGCCTGCACGCTGCTACCAGTCGAAGTGCGGCGAGAGAGTGGCCTCCGAGGGCTATGAAGCTCCGCGAATAGTCCAGCTGGGCCACAGAGAGTCGCAACTCCCGGGCAAACTCAGCGAGGATCTTGCTCTGCATGGTTGGCAGATAGGGTGGGCATCTACTTCGGTGGATACAAGAGTCGTAGGGCAAGTGACATATATAAAATAGGGTGTAGCTATGACAAGAGCGTCTTGTGCGATTGCTCGCGGTGCTTTCTGACCTTAAGCAACATGCCCATTCGGCATTGACGAGCCAGACAGGCTGAAACTATCTTGTGTACCATCGGACACTACAAACACGACTTCGGGCCGGTTGGAAGGCCGGCCATGGTGGTCTGTCCTGGTGTGAGACGGGGGCCCCCACCCTGGAGATGGGCATTCCCACTCCTCCAGGGACCGGGCTTCCGTTACTGAATGATCTCTCCACCAATAAGTTACCGAGGGCTTAATGGCCTTCATTTCCCCGGCCGCATAGTAAAGTATTGGGGTTGTCATCCAGAAACAAGAGCGGTGTTCGGTAGGATTGCTCCGCCGTTATGTGGTCGTATATGCAGTCCGAAGGACAGAACCCTGGAAAATTATCTTCCCGAAGAACCATATCCCATTTCAGAATAGAGAGCCCACTCGGATCTGAAATACGGGTAACGATTGCCAACTTTGGTGGTTACGAGGGGCTGCAGGCGATCGGAGAGGACTTGTTTCTAGGGTACAGCGAATAGAGATGCAGATCGAGTTGTACCCGCGTGTTTGTTTCTTTGCGGACCTCGAGCTTAGAAGAGAACCCATAATGCGTTTATTATCTTCTTATTGGACGATTTACGTATATAAACCTGTTTCGCAAGCCCATGGCATCGACAGAGATGATAAGTGCAAATATGATACGAAACACGAGTGCATTTTTTGCGCAATGCGTACGACGATGATTTGGACTACTGTACTCCAGTCCGCAAGTTCAAGCTCTTGCGGTCTCGCAGTAATCATGCACTTCTCTGCTTATAGTGGCTCATGAACCTTCCAACAAGGATGAACTTGGAAGTATATACGCCTGAGAATATATTTCCTTCAAATTACCCTAAACATTCTATTTCGTTTTTATCTAGGCTGAAGACTAACGACTGCAAAAAATCATGGCAATGATGGCCCTGAAGCATGCTGCTTGTCTGCCGTAGGAGATTGTCTGCCTAACTTCTCCCGTTACCTCGCCTTTAGCAGAACCATCTTCTCCGTGTCCGGCACAATTGCCAAACCGAAATGCTGCTGCTTCGGCTTCTCCACACCCTCGGGAAGCTTGATATCGTAGTTCAGGAGGAGATGAGCGAGGACAACTTTCATCTGGCTGCTCGCAAAGTGCCGACCCGGACATGCCCAGAGTCCGTGGCCAAAATTGATATTGTCGGTCCCGGTTGTTGCGTGCTGGTACTTGAACGTATTTCCAGGCAGCTCGCGCAGTTTCGAGAAGCGGAAACCGTCGAAGACAGAGGGGTTTGGCCAGAGCGTCGGATCAAGATTCAGTGTGTGGGCGCGCACCATAACTCGCATGCCGCAGGGGATGATGTGGCCGCTGGGCAGCTTGAGGCCACCTGGATTCGTTACGATACGGGGCATGTTTGCTGTTGGGAGCTCGCAATTAGCCACTGTCAAGTAATAATTAAGTGCGGGTAGCATTACCAAGTGAAGGAGGACTCAGCCGTTGCGACTCTCGGATAAAGCTGTCCAGCTTCTTTAGCTTCTGGATATTCTCCTTGTTGATGCGCCCGCCTTTGAGTACTTCCTGCAACTCGGCGCGTAACGGTTCGATATGTTCGGGGTAGCTGGCGAGATCAAAGAGAAGGTAGGTGAGGGCGTTGGATAGATTGTAGATTGACGCAAATGTCGCTAGAAGCTGATCGCGAGCAAGCTGCTTTGCGGTTGGGTTCTTAGGGTATCGTTGTCGGAACCAGCGCAGCATGTCGCCTCCTGGCTCACTGGGGTTGTTCTGGTTCTCTGCATTGTCGAGCAGCGGTTTGAGGCGCTTCTCAGTCATTCGGCGCTGGTTCTTCAAAGATCGAACTTGGGGCAGGAACGGCGCGACGAAGGGACGAATCACCCAGGGAATCATTCGCAAGACGAGCCACGCGCGCGTTACATCTTGTGTATAAGTCACGGTGGACTGAACCCAGGTTTTGTCGCGACTCAGTGGCAAGCCGACAAACGCTCGTCCAGACATGAGCGAGGCGATGCGCGACATGGACTCACGAGGTTGGAATGCGGTCCACTCGCTGGGTCGGCCAAAATTCTCCTCGACTGCATACTTTACTTCGGCGACAAAAGAAGCCAGGACAGTTGGGGTGTTTCGAGTAAGGTCGTAGCGCATGGCTTCGTCGAATTCGGGCGCTTTGGTCCCCATGTATGTATATTCCCCGAGGAAGACGTCATGGTGGTGCTTCCTAGTATTTGTTAGGTAGAATCTAGTAAACTGAGAGGAAATTACGCACTTGATCGAGACATGCTCCTCCGGCAGGGCTTTGATCAGATCGATCCCCGATCGAGGCAGAATGACCAGCTCCATGCCCACCATGGACAGGATAAAGGCATCGTCCGGACATTGCGCGTGGCCCTCTTCGATGGTCTTGAGTACATCAGAAGTGACCTCGAACCTGGGCAAGTTCAAAGACTGTCTCCGAGAACACGCAAGTAGGAACAAGGCAGTTCCAAGCCCCAAAAAGAGGGCTGCAAAAGGCTGGTTCTCCATCCATAGCGTACGCAAGTCTACCGAAAGCAACGACATTATTTGCAGGGCTAGATGCTGTGCGTAATTCATCACAGCCTACATTCATTCAGAAAGGGTAGAAATAAGCATGATTGTTATTCGTTATGATTCCAACAGGGTTAAAGCCCCCTCCGGCCCGATCACATTTCACTGTCAGTGGCCGATCTTTGGGGCCATCTCTAGCACCGCTTGGATTGCTGGCCGGACAAGCATCCTTTGGCTCCAGGCTTCGATATGAGGCCAGTCGTGGATATCGACACTGAGAAACTTGAACATCCAAGGCATGGCAAAGGGAAAGTAAGACAGATCGGCCAGAGTTGGGCGGTCGGGGAGCGCAACGTAGTTCTGGCCGGGCAGCGAGAGCCTCTTGTCGAGAATGTCCCACTGGCGCAGGCAATTCGAGTGCAGCTTCTCGATTGTGCGCGGCAACTGGATGGGCTCCTGGCGCGTGGGGTACCCTCGGAGAAAATACAGCCAATACTTGGCAGTGGGCCTGGGGAACGTATCAGCCGACGGATCCAATCGGTGAGAAAACAAAACGAGATTACCCCAAGGCGGCGGTCTGATAGGCTGTCCACGAAAGAACAGCCCCTCTTTCTTGGGCGTTGCGGCCGGTCCAGCTCCGGTCGTCGTCGAACCGGTCCGCAAGATACTGCAGGCACGCGGTGCTCTCAAACACAATCACCTCTTGCTTGGTCTCGGGGTCCTGGTCCTTGAGCGAGGGCACCATGCGCTCCGGATGGATCCGATAGAACCACTCGTCCCGGGTGTCAATCACCGAAAGCACGTGCGGAATGTTGAGCTCTCGGGCGAAGATGAGCGGCTTGATGTAGTTGATGTACGAGGTTTGGTCGGCTGTGGGGGTTTAACTGGTATCCTCTGGGAATGCGCCTCGTTTGCACCCACCTTTGATCACGTAGAGAATAACTCGCCCGTCATATTCGAGGTCGCCCTGGTTCACGGGGACTGACTCTGTATCATTCTTGGGCTCCATCTTCGGTACTGCTTGGTCATGGAAAATGTGATAACTTGCATTGTCAAGCTATTCTAGCGCTATTTGTATCTTCACGTTCATCACACCGGCCTCATCTCAATGGCACACGGCCAGGCGGCCCTTAGAGTCCGAATTTGCCAAATCTGCCACCCCGTCCGGCCGGCGAGCGAGCGCCACTGCGCCTCAGTCCGTTCCTGCCCGTCTGCGCTGACCATCATCGTCAGGTCCCCATACCGGGAGAGTCGGCTACTGCGCCCATCGGCCAGAATAGACTCCATGACCACGAGGCGGCTGTCGGCAGTCACCTGGATAGCATTGCGAATATTCCGTAGTACAGTGGCCGTCTTTTCATCGTCCCAGTCGTGGAGACACCACTTCATTGTGTAGAACTCGAATTTCGGAATGCTCTGCAGAAAGTCTCCGGCGATCAGATTTTCCTCCGGCACGCGCTCGCCAACGTCTGCATACTTTCCATCTCGGAACAGCGATCGCGCATGCTCAATGACCTTGGGCGTATCCAGTAGTGCCGCGCGCATGTTGGGATGTCTGCGGAGTAGCAACGCAATCAATGCACCCTCACCCCCTCCGATATCTAGGAAAGTCTTGTCCCCAAACTCCTCCCAGGGATAATCAGCGAGAATACCAGGAGCTTGGGCGGTAGCTCCACCTCCCAGGGTCCGGTGCAATCGTTGTAGCCACCCACGGCGAGCAAAGTAATCAAACATGTTTTCATCGGTATCGAAATTGATCTGTGCCGGAGTCCGCACCGTGCCCTGCTTGAGCGAGGCTGGAATTCCTCTCGCCATGTCGTAAAACTCGTTGCCATACAGATCGACCCAGTTGTGCCATTGAGTCCAGTGGTCGGTTCGAAGCATTTCAGAGGTTGGATTATTGCTGTAGGTATCGTCGTCGACTGAGTAGGCAAAGATTCCGTTGTTATGCAGCATCCGGAGGACCTGGCGCAGTCGATCCTCTCTGGCTCCTGACAGCTGGGCTAGCTTTGGGAGGGTTTGTGGCCCACCAGCGAGGAGATCTGGAATGTGGAACTCGACTGCCGCACACAGGCATTTGCAGTTGAGATAACCTGGAGGTATTAGCAACACACCCATCACAAAGCACCTGACTTTGATACACACCAAGGAAATGGTCGGCGAGCACTAACGATGATGGCTCCAGCAGCTGCTCTACCTGATGCAAACGGTCGATTGTTTGTGCTGCCAGCTCACTCAGTGCTGCATCGGGCAGTTTCCCTTCGCGGTGGTCATGAAGAGCAGCAAGGCGCTCCGCATTCAATGGGCCCTGAAGCTGGGAAGACGCCTCTTTCAGAGAGGCAAATAGGAATGAGAGCGCTGCTTCCATTTTGCTATCCGTCCTAGAGTATACTGGTGGCTGTCGGAAAAGGGCGTCATCGACCAACTTAAACGTTGGCTAGTCGGGCCGGAATCGACCCTGAGACACGTTCAAGTCTTTTGCTTCCTTGTCGGACCGGTCAATTGGGAGACTACTACGTCTTTCCATTATTCTTTTTGTCGGTATTACACGACCCCTTAGCCCAAAGTCGGACGCCTGAGTTCTTTTGATGCTCCTGGGCTGACTTCTACATTTGTTTCCGTGAAGTATGCATACTACATTGGCCATTGTGCGAAGGGGAGTAAAGTAATGCGCAATTTCCACAGAGTATACTATGTCTTCCTAGCATTTGACGACCTGTCACTCTTCAAACATCGGCCCAGAATAGCCAACGCCTTGTTTAGCTCCGTCGGTGGCAAGGCGAAGGTCAGCCTATACCAGCCCCGGCACTCGGGGCCTATGTGATAGGCTTGCCCGGAGCTGATGACCAGCCCCTTTTGCCTCAACCTCTGTAGGAATGGTACTTCGTCCTTCTCCGTAGCCTCTGGGTTCAAGCGAGCGAAAACGAACAATCCCGCCGTGGCGGGTACATACTGTAGATTTTCTGCCTCGAGGACTTTGGTAATCTCCTTGTAAGATTCAGCAAGACGTTTCTTGTTCAAAGAAATCAGGTCCGGCAACCTCGGGGAGGTCAGGAGTGCGGTCGCGCAAAGGGTGGTCAAGGCGGAAACTTCAGTGCTCGTGGGGAGGCGCAGGGCAAGGATCAAATCTGAATTTGCTTGCGAGACAACGCATCCCTATCGTGGAAAACAAAAATTAAAAAAGAGTGAGCTAAACGCGTCTGTCATATTGAATAGATGTGGGGGTGTACCAAACGAAGTCCACTGCATCCAAAGTCCTTGCTCAGACTCCACACCATGTGAATGCGCGACGGATCGGATCCTAAAGATTTCGGGTCCAATGTCAAGATGGATTGGAAGGGGACACGACTCTCGGTGGGCTCCGCAAAATACGATAGCGCATAAACCTCGTCGCAGATCAGATGGAGGTCCCGTTCCTGACAGAATTCTATGCAGCGCTGAAGTATGTCCGCGCTATAGCATTGGCCGAGAGGATTCCCCGGCGTAGTGATCACGAGTGCACGGGTAGAAAGGGGCGTGTCATTGTATGCCTGCGTCAGCGATGCGATTAGGGTGTCTGCATCGAATGCGTTCTTGAAATCATCAAGCCGTGCGACAACCGGTTGGACCTGGGCGTTAATTACAAAATGAAAGTCGAAGCCGTCTGCAGGGAGATCTTAGCTGTCTTTGTTCTTTCGAGCAGAAGAGCGACTTACTCCAGAACGGAGCCGGCACAAGAACACCCTCTCCTGGATCGCAGATCTGGCTCAGCAAGCCAGCTAAAGATCTTGATGAGCCGGGTGTCAACGCAATATGCGATGGCTGGACTGCGAGCCGTGGATCAAAGTATTCGTTGAAGAAGGTAGCCAGTGCTCGCAGCGTCTTTGTGTCTCCGAAATGACTGTCACTGTATGACAGGTGCTTGGGCCGTTAGTCTAACACTGAGCCTAGTTGAGACAACACGTGTTTACCTCGGGCGCGAGACCCTCCGTAATAGCATCCTGAAAGAGAGATACCAGCTCCGGCCGGATGGACCAATTTTCTGCTATCGACAGGTCGATAGGTGGTTCGACACGGCGCCGTTTCGGGGGTGGTTGCTGTTCAGGCTGCAACCCAAAGCCCTTCAGCCCATCTAGCGTGGCTATTGAGCGCTTAGATCTGATTGTCCGTTGTGCCATCTTTGGTGGCTTGGATTAAGCGGGTGAATCGATGAGAGAGCATGGGTTGACCACATATATAGATTCGGGGCCATGCAGCTTCGGGCCGTTTGCGCCTTGAGCCCCGGACTACCTACTATTTATGTTCTCCTGAGCGCGCAGGGACACATATCTCACCTTTAACCCTTTGTCGCTCCGATACTGCCAGACGCCGCGCTGAAATGGAAGAAAACAACCATGGAAAACAAGCTGTCTCTGGCAAGGCAATATGGTACTTTGCCTATGGGTCAAATATTCGGTCATCCGTGATGAAGGGACGCGGCATCACCCTCTCGAGGCGCAGGCCGTGGTAGTTCCATCCCACGTACTCTGCTTCGACATCTTTGGCATCCCCTACGCTGAACCCGCGTTTGCCAGCATTACAGCAGCTCCGTCAGATCTAGCAGCTGGAGACAGAGATGGCCATGCTATTCCCCCAGTGCAAGGTGTCGCATACCTGCTCACGGCCGATGATTATCGACAGCTTGTCCTCACTGAAGGCGCCGGAGTGGGATACAACGAGATCAGCGTACCCGCAAGTCCACTTAGTACGGAACATGGTCAGAAAGAAGAAATTCTGGCTTATACCCTGCAAGCTAAATACCCCTGGCGGCCCAATCGAGCCCCGAGTGCGAGATACATGGTAAGCGGCCTTTCTACAACCTGGTGCTTTGACTGACGTTAGTAGGGTCTGATAATTGACGGTGCGAATGAATTCAATCTGTCTGAGAGCTACAAGGTATACCTTAAATCATTACCAGTCTATCTTCCATCACGGACGTATAGATCTCTGGTGGGATCCTGGTGCTTCCTCAGCTTTTGGAGAAGGGTGATCCGTCTTCTGGCCCGTCTCACCAAGGTCAGCACGAACGATAAGGGACATTGCCCCAGATGGCTAGGGGCTGTAATAGTTGGGGTGTATCGCTGTATGTGGGGATGGCACGACTATGTGCACTCGGTGATCTGGACCCGGGGAGATGGACTCTTGTCCGGTCCGAAATGCTAGTCCGAAAGGTCAAGACTGCTATATCTGTGCATAGATTCGCCTGGTAATCCTCCGTAATAACTAGTGATCCAGATCTACACAAGATGACCGACAGTCTTCCTAATCCGGATCAGGCGCTTCTACAGGCACAGTGGCTGCTGCAGAGAGTGCCGCTAATCGGTGAGATTTGCCTGTCTGTCCCAAAAGGCAAACATTAAATAGACATTCTAGATGGGCACAATGACTTTCCGTTCATGGTCCGCGGGCTTTATTCAAATCAGCTGAGCCAGGGAGGACTGGCGAATTTTCCTATAGGGCAAACGGACATCGCTCGCCTGCGACAGGGCATGGTGGGAGGCCAGTTCTGGAGCGCTTACGTGCCATGGTTAGGCCCTAGCAACTGGCTCGTACGGGAATGTACTAAGAATTAAGCACAAACTATAGCCCGAATCAGCGAGAATCAGCATCAGACGATCTAGAACTCGAATGCCTCCGCCAAACACTTCAGCAAATCGACGTGATCCACCGGATGGTAGAACGATACCCGAAAGTCTTCGGTCTCGCTCAGACGACAAGAGATGTCTGGAAGACTTTTCGGTCAGGGCGTATCGCTAGCCTCATCGGAATCGAGGGTCTGCATCAAATTGCAAACAGTTCCAGTGTCCTGAGGATGTTGTATCGACTCGGCGTGCGGTACGCGACCTTGAGTCATACCAAAAACAACCAGTACTGTGACTCGGCAGTGAGTATTAACATGTCCTGAATACTGGCCACGAGCTTACGGACTACAGACTGACCAGCCCCTTCATTACGGGCTTAGCGAGATTGGAAAGACCATGATCCACGAAATGAACCGCGTAGGATTGTGAGCAGAAACATCCCTCGTTCGTCTACCAAGTTTCGTCAACACTGATGCTTTACTTTTTGCGAAAGCAGGATGATAGACTTGTCCCATACGAGTACCTCCGCTCAGCAGGCAGTCCTAAAGATCTCAAAAGCCCCTGTAATATTTTCCCACTCTGCCTGGTATGTGAACCTTTCTGGCGTGGTTATCGTTGAAGCTGACTAGATATCCAGTGGGACCCTTGTACCACACGCCCGCAACGTGACAGACGACGTATTGCACATGCTGAAGGATAATGGGGGGGTCATCATGATATGTTTCTTGCGTGAATTGGTTGATCCGACCGGCGGTGCAAAGGCCACCTGCTCGCAAGTCGTCGATCATATCCTGTACGCGGCCAAACGAATGGGATTTGACCATGTTGGAATCGGATCCGATTTTGATGGCATGTTAGAAGGACCGGAGGGACTAGATGATGTGTCTTCCTTTACCGGACTTGTGGCTCAGCTCTTACAGCGAGGGGTATCTGAACCCGACGTCGAGAAAGTTGTCGGCCTCAACATTCTTCGAGTCCTTCAGGAGGTGGAGAATGTGGCTTCTCGGGAGCAGACTACCAGCACTATGGACCATCTCTGCGATGAAATCAAGCCGATGTGGACGGCCGAACAGAAGGAGATGCTACACGTTCAAGGAAAGAAACGAGGCCTTACACAAGCCAATGAGGAGGAGCTAGAATAATTTCGCAATGAGAAAACCCTGAATTCTTCCCAGTCGGGCCGTGATGGAGTAGGTTAGCGTCGGCCTTTTGGCCAACCGGGCCGACAACCGGACCGGAATACAGGTTACAATGCAGGGCTCTCACGCAGGAGAGGGATATGAACATTTGCGTAGGCTAGACTCGTACTAAGGACGAGAACGTTGCCTGGAAATGGAAAGAGGACAGAATATCAGCGCCTCAGCATCGCCACATGGCTTGCCCGACATTGCAGATTTTGGCATTAGCTTCTGGGGTCTCTTTTGCCCGTTGGCAGCATATGCAATATGGACCTATCTGCCGAAAGCGAGACTGGGAGCGAGGTTCAACATGGTGATATCCATGGTCCTTGATGTAAGCCCACAGCACTCAGGTGAAGCAAGAAACACCACTGATGACCTACAGTTTTATTTGATGCGACGCTACCCGATTCACCACCTGGAGACAGGTAAACCTCTTCCTGGACGACCGTATCAGTGGCCAAACGGCCAGGGCGATGTCGGTAAGTTCATGGATGGGATTGAGAACCGGGACAAGTGGGCACAGGAGCATGGGCACCTCTACCGAGTCTGGGCTGGAATGAAGCCAGAAATGTAAGCGACCAAAACCGCCATTGCCATCTTCACCTTAGCATATTAACTCTGGTATGTTCATAGTGTCTTACAGAAGCCGGAGCATGTAAAGCTTGTGTTCTGCGACTCTGACCGGCACGCCAAGGCAGTGAATAATGACTCGGGATACCTGATGGGGGAGGTGCTGGGCAAGTGCCTAGGCCTGATCAGCGGCGCACAGTGGCGGACACTGCGCAGAGTGAGTGAGCCAGCGTTTAGGCATAGCACGGCCATCGAGTATCTCACTCTGATCCAGCGGCGTGTGAGCAGCTACTTCGAAGCGTGTTCATCGATGCGAGCCGGACTGATCGACCCTGTCGAAGATTTCAAGTTCCTGCCCTTTTTTATCATCGGAGACATCTTGTACGGGGAAATGACAAGTGACATGGAGGAAGCTCTGTGTGCTATGTGCCCCATTCGGGAACGGTTATTTCAACTGGTCATTCGTGGTGGGATCGCCCGCTTTTCTTGGTCGCAATATCTCCCCACCGAGGCAGGTCGAGTGTTGAAGCAGTTTCAAGCGCAATGGATCGCTTTCAATCAAACAGCCTACCGCCGCGCGCGAGACCTCGAAGCCACCGACACACCAGTCTATCAGTTGTTTGCAGCGGTAGATCGCGGGGAGATTACAGCAGACCATGCATATCAGACGTTGGATGAAATGCTGTTCGCAAACCTGGACGTCACCATGGGCTCGCTCTCGTGGAACCCTGTGTTTCTCGCTGCACATCCCGGCGTACAGGACGAGCTGTACGAGAGTATTACTCGCGCTCAAGAAGGAGAAGGCATCGAAATGGCCGGTTATCTGCAGAGCAACTCGACGTACCTGGCCGCATGCATTTTGGAGTCTGCACGTCTTAAGCCACTGGCCGCGTTTTCTGTTCCCCAAGCGGCACCGAGCGAGCGCATCCTCGATGGCTATCCGGTCCCGGCTGGCACCAACTTCATTGTCGATGCCTACGCCTTGAATGTCGAGCATGGGTTCTGGGGCACAGATCGCCGCGAGTATAGACCGTCGCGGTTCTTACAGCTGAATGCAGCCGAGACCAGGTATCACATGTGGCGATTTGGATTTGGACCTCGCCAGTGTCTGGGAAAATACGCGGCGGACTTGATAATTCGTGTTTTTCTCGCTCACCTTGTACGGAACTGGAGGTTGGAGTTTCCAAAGGGCGAGGGCACCGATTCGAGGGACTGGCAGCGCGACCTAAACACCTGGATCACCCACCCAAATGTGAAGATAGTCGTAAGAGCACGGTAGATCGAGTTTGTAGAGTTATTCCCGATAGAGAATAAGATTGGCAGATCGCGATACTATCTTCTCCGATTGGTGCACTTTCATCGGCACGATGCATCCTGAAGGGTCCGACGCTCCGGAGGTACTCGATAACCGCCGCGTCTCAGTAGCCGACACAGCTATTTTAATACACGATTCGAGCTCTTCCCAGATGAAATTAGAGAGAACACGACAGACTTAGAACCTGAATTGTGCTATCACGTGGGTCGAGCTTCACCTTGTTTGCCATACCCTCGCCATGGCTACAGTTGAGAAGACGCAGGATGCCCCTGAGACACCCAAGAACGCCGCTTCAGAGGTCTCGGTGGCCGTTGACAAGGCCGAAGAAAGTTCGTCTACAGAGGCAGCAGGCGAGCCCAGATTAACTGGGCTTCGACTGGCAGCAGTCTTTACAGTCTTGTGTCTCGCTGTCTTTCTCGTCGCATTGGTGCGTCCAAATCCTCTTCCTCCGACCCGATGCAGACTCATGATTTGCTTAGGATAACACCATCGTCGTGACGGCCATCCCAAGGATAACCGACGAATTCCAAGCACTGCAAGATGTGGGCTGGTATGGCTCGTCCTACCTTCTCACGACGTGCATGTTCCAGCTCATCTTTGGCAAGCTCTACGGATACTTTCCGATAAAATGGGTCTTTTTGGCAGGCGTGGTGATCTTCGAGATCGGATCTGCCATCTGTGGTGCTGCTCCGTCCTCAGTTGCGTTCATTATAGGCAGAGCCATTGCTGGACTCGGTGCGTCGGGCATCTTCCAGGGGGCAATGGTCATTATTGCGTACTCGGTTGATCCTCGAAAGCGGCCTATGTGTATGTTCTTTCCTCCTAGAATGGCATCCTTTTTGGACTAATTTACTGGCTAGACAACGGCATTTTTGGCTCTACCTATGGCATCTCCTCGATCATTGGGCCCCTGATCGGCGGTCTATTTACATCGCATGTTACCTGGAGATGGTGTTTCTACATTAATCTCCCGATTGGCGGCGTTGTCATTGCTATCTTGGTTATCTTTCTGCAGTTACCTCCCATCATCAAATCTGAATCGGACTGCAAGACTTTCATTCAGCACATGGACCCCCTCGGCATTATCTCCTTCCTTCCCGCCACTGTATGCCTACTGTTGGCTCTACAGTGGGGAGGGACCACATACCCGTGGTCGAATGCTCGGATTATCGCCTTGTTCGTCTTGGCTGGCGTGTTGATTATCGTCTTCGTCATAGTTCAGCTGAAACTGCCAGAGAACGCGATGGTTCCTCCCAGGATCATTCGAATTTCCCTGTTTGCGTACTCGTCTCTCTTTATGATTGTGTTCTCTGGTGCTTACTTTACTCTCCTCTATTACCTGCCTATCTGGTTTCAGGCTATCAAGGGCGCCTCTGCTGTCAACTCGGGAATCATGTGTCTCCCGATGATGTTGTCTATGGTGATATTCTCGTTCATCACTGGGGGAGGTGTAACTGCAACGGGCAAGCACCTTCCATTCTTCATCCTCGCCACTGTTTTGTCAACCATTGGTGCAGGACTGATTACGACATTTGAGACAGACACTGGTCATCCCAAGTGGATAGGATACCAAGTTCTCGTCGGCGCCGGAATAGGTTTAGGCGTTCAGCTTCCGGTGATCACCGCGCAGGCTGTTCTCCCTGCGCCAGATATCCCTGTGGGAACCGCCATTATGACCTTCTGCCAGACTTTTAGCGGAGCCATATTTGTAGCCGTCAGCCAAGCACTTTTCACCAACAAGCTTCGGAGTGGGATCCTGAATACAGTGCCTGGTGTCAGCCCGTCGATCGTCGAGCAGATAGGAGCAACGAATCTGGATACAGTCATCGACGCGAAGCACATGCCGGCGGTACGAGAAGTATACAACGAGGCCTTGGTGTCGATATGGTATCTTGCCGTTGCACTCTTTGGCGTTTCGGTCGCGGTGGTAGGAGTCATGACGTTGAGAGCGAGAAGGCAATTTTCAATCGTGTAGCTTATAATGGGGTATCTACTTGCCGCGAATGACCCGCAGGGTTGGAGTTTCAGCTTGAATACATATCGCCAATTGAAGGCGGAACGAACGTTATCTATAAGATGAATCTATAGTTACAGATAGTGCCCTATGTAAAAGCTCCATGTAAACAAACTAACGCCAAAAGCGCTGAAGATTTTGATGGGGAAACAGAGCGGGTCTCCCGTAGGCGGTGGCAAAATATATCCAATGAGAGGAATCTGTAGCATGAACGAGAATGCAGCATAGAAATTTTGATGGGGTAAATCAAGTGGATCCTCCCGCGAGCGGTGGCAGGGTAGAACCAATCAAAATAGGGTAAAGTAGACCTCCTGATGACCTCAAAAAGGATTAGTACCTTACAGAAACGGATGATGCTAAGCCTCTCACGGATCCACCTTACCTGGAAATGCTAGCTCCGACAACCTACTGAGTTGACTGAAGCTATATTCTCCTCTCTGTTCCTTCCATTTTCATCATCCTCTTAAAGCATGACTTCTGACACTACCTCACTCAGCTCAACTGGCCTAACCGCCACCAACACTGCGAACAGCAATCTTTTTACTGGATCACATCCACCTCTCCTTCTTTCAATCACGCATCAAGAGTCAACATGCCGTCACCAACCAAGCGTTATAAGCAGAATCGTCCTAGCCTCGAAGGAGTATTTGAAGGCCTCAAAATTGCACCAACGTCTTCAGATCCTGGAGCCACTCAAAGTATCAACCTAGGAAGATCACTTCACAAAATGATGAAGTCCTCTCTCCGCCTTGGTCATGGAACGGTGTCTCGCTCCGTCCGTGGCGTCGAGACGAAATTTACAATCACCCAGGATGACATTTACGACTACAAGATTGCACACAAAGATTTCGATCCCGATCTTGTGTTCCCTGAGATGGTCAAACTCGGACATCAACTTCAAGACCTCCTCCACGCTCGCCTCAATCCTGAACAAGAAGCCGCCTTTGAGAACCACATCTTGCAATGCCTCACCCGCATGGTATATGGTTCAAATATGATCGAAAATGCCGGTGCTGGGCTTGAAGTTACCTGGAACCTGTGCATGAGAATTTTTCAAGGTGACCAGGTTCCTGAAGATATCGGAGAGCGGGATGAGGACTACCAGCGCATCAAGGAAGAGCGCCTGCGCGCTATGCTTCCCACAAATTCCACAGCGATCCTGCGCAGTCGCCGTGAGATTGTCCAACACGCCAAAGCAGCTACGCACATGATTACACAACTCTGCCTCCAGGGCCGGGAACTTTCAGAGGAGCTCATTATGGAAACGCATCGCATCCTGACTTACAAAGTCGACGCTGAAAGCGCAGCATGGACACAGTATAGTGGTGTCTACCGTTCCGTGGATGTCTGCGCAGGCTTCAATACATTTGCAAGTCCCGGCAGCATTCCATCCAAGATGAAGGACATGGTCCGCCAACTACACAACGACATCGGCCAGGCTATGAATTCTGGTTTTCTTGACCCTATCGCACTTGCCGCCAAGTATACCCATATGTTCGTCAACATTCATCCTTTTCTGGACGGAAACGGTCGTATGTGTCGCCTGATATTGAACTCTATGCTTCTAAAATTCGGTAGTTTCATTGTCTGTCTTGGGGAATATGGGCCAGACCGGAGTGCTTACCTTGAGGTCGCATCTGCTGCGTCTCAACTCGAGGCTACTTACGATGGACGTGAGGAGGAGGAGAAGCCTGTAATGCACAAGGAACTGGCCAGTCTAATCTTGTCTCATGCTAAGACTGGCCTGAAGAAGCTGATTAAAGCGATTGAGAACTAACATGCATGGGCTTGTATGACTTCACTGTTGTTCTTCAATCTCTTGTCCTCTACTAATAATGATTCCGATTAGGGTAGTATCAAATGTATATGTTTACTAAATGGTCTTTTCGACTTAGTTCTCCGTTATACTGATTGGCTGTATATAGACTGCGGCATGTCCGCTCTAATAGATATAAGATCCATATCCATATCTGTAAGCTATGGATCTTCCATATGAGTTTATATCCATGTCCTCAATATGGAGCAATCTCGACCGTAAACTGACCATTCTTTTTCGTCGCTCATTCACAAGTTACCCCCCATGTTGTCTCGGATTTACTCGGTAGGTTTCCCGATTCAGCTCAATGCCTTCCGCGTGGAAATGGTTTTGTTCTACTCTACCACGGTCTCGGAACCGCCGCTGCTACATGGTTGAAGAATGAAACCTGGGGAGGAGATCAGCGCAGAACATTCAAACCGTGGCCCGTGCCATCGGGCCGAACTCCTCACACACCCGCACGGAAGAGACCCCAGATGTGGTTCAACTACTCCGAAATTCGAGACAAAACATAAAAACGGGAGTTTCACGTCAAGACGTTCATGGCATGGGCCCCACAGTATCATTCCCATCAGTGCAACTGCAACCGCTATGGCAAGTGAGCCCCGGCCCCTCTCACCAACATACATTCATATCAAGAATGCATCGGTAATTACAGTTGATGCGACCGCCGGAGTTCTGAGCAATTGTGATGTGTTGCTCGAAAACGATGCCATCAGGGCGACTGGACCAAATTTAGATGTACCGTCAGACGTTAGCCTCACCGTTATCGACGCTACCAACTGTATCGTCGTGCCGGGATTCGTGAACGGGCATCATCACCTATGGCAGCACCTCATCCGAGGTGTCTCCACGGACTGGTCACTCTTCGATTATCTCGTCAGCATCCGCAGCCTCTATGGTAGCGTCTACACCGCCGATGATGTCGAGCTCGCCTACTACGCCGGCGCGCTAGATTTACTCAACAACGGTGTCACCTGCATTCTTGAGCACAGCCACATTATTAACTCGCCCGAGCACGCCGACGCCGCCATACGCGGCCTGAAGAAGCTGGTATCCGGGGCACTTTCTGCTATGGCTTTTACGAGAACCCACCCATCGACGGCTGCCACGTTCCTGGCGTGGATCTGAACAAGTTCGACCAGGCTCAGCGCGTGCGCGATGCGCGGCGTGTACGTGAAGTCCATTTTACCAACAACAACCCAGCCGAAGAACTCCTCACGTTCGGCATCGCACCTACGGAACCCGAGTCCCAACCGCTGGACGAGACAGTGCGCCAGATCTTACTGTCTCGCGATCTTGGCGCCAGAATCACCACTATGCATGTCGCTATGGGCCCGTACGATACGGCTCACCAGGAGGTGGTACAGCATCTCGCGAATGAACACATTCTGGGCCCAGATCTAGTCTTTTCTCACGGCGCGTCGCTCACTGACAGCGAACTAGACTCGATCCGCTCTACCGGTGCGGGTGTCGTCAGCACCCCCGACACGGAGTTGCAGATGGGCATGGGCTTTCCCGTTGCGTTTCGCGCTACCGACAAGGGCTGTAATGCATGCTTGGGCCTCGACATCACGTCTAACCAAGGTAATGACTTCATGACGCAGATGAGGCTGGCACTTCAGGTCCAGAGAGCCGTGGACAATCAGGGCGGCCTTCCACTTGCTATCAGGAGGAAGACGGCTGAGGTCTTGCGCATGGGTACCTTGGGCGGCGCCGAGGTCTTGAGAGTAGACCATCTGGTGGGCTCAATTGCGGTTGGCAAGAAAGCCGATCTTGTCATCTTCAGGTGCGATGACATCAGCACTTTGCCTGTCCACGACCCGACGGCAACGGTGATCTTCCACACATCAAGTGCCAATATCGACACAGTTATCGTTAACGGCAGGATTGTCAAGAAGGATGGGAGACTTGTTGGAGCCGACTGGCCGTCAGTGCGGTCAGCTGTGCTCTCGCAATCGGAGAGAATCAAAGCTCAGGCAGCGAAGGTGGACTTAGGCGCGGCAAGAGCCAAGTGGTTGGAGGTATTTTTCTCGGCCACTGTAATGCTCACAGCGACCAGATCGTCCGTTGATTTTTGTGTATATCGTCTTGATCTTCACATGAAAATTGTCCTTATCCTGAGGGTGGTAGTGAGAAAATAAAATTAACCTCATGCTGACCCTTCATATTAAACACTATCACGCAGAAAAATGGATTCTTCAAGAGGTCTCATCACCGTCGAAAGTGCCCCTAATCACGAAGCAATAGATTGGTAGAAAATTGAACTTTATAAACCCCCTTTCTCGAAAATTAACGTCAAGCACGACTTCAATCTCACAACACGAAGTTGGAGGCATGATCTTGCCCAAAACTTGCGGTTCGGATGGTATGTAATGCTAACCGCAGACGAAAAAATTATGGTAAGCGGAATATCGTTTTATTGTAAAGCTAAGAACCCCTTGCATCTCCCTAAACTTCCCCTCTCGGCTTCCTTCGAAAGACGGCTACTGGTGGGGCACCTGGAAAATGCATTGCACCCTCCCAGAGGACGAACTATACGAATCAAAATCCCCTCTTAAGCCAACGCGTCCTTGGCTCCGAGAAACCAAGATTTCCTGATTACAGAACACACTCTATGCGTTCGGTGACAACGCTCGCATAGACACAAACCGCGGGGGTTTAAGTCAGGGAGCTGCTCTTTGACGAGTATTCAGTGAACCACTGTTGGTGGCCGAAGACGTAAGAATCAAATAATCAGGATAGCTCTATCGATACTCCCAGAGACCATTCGCTGTACGAAGAAATGAATGTTTCATTCGATGGCGCAATATGGAGTACGTGGGGGAAAAGGCTAAGAGATTTGTGGACCGAGGAGCAATAAAGCTGTCATCAAAACTCAGCAACCACGCCGAAATCGTGGTGGCGGAGTGGCATGTTTGGCATTTAGTGAGAATTAGGAACACCTTCCATCCCCCCAAGCTCTTCACCCAATCGCTGCCCATTGACTTCTACCACCGCCGCATCAAGCAGGACATATAGCATGCGCGCCCAGGAGTCACTGTGATTGATCCATTGGTGCATCGTACCCCTCTGGATAAGCACATCACCCGGGCACAGTGTCCTAGTCTCGCCTGAATCCAGCAGACACTCCATCTCACCAATGATCGCGACGGCGTAGTCACAGCTGACGGTGCGGTGCATAGGTGAGGCTCCGTTCGGGGGTAGTCGACGAAGCGCATCACGGTCCCCCCACGCTTGGCCAGACCGCCCTTCGTCCGCTGCTCATTCTCATTGGCGAACTCAGCCAGGTCCTTGTCGTCGTTCAATTGGACTGGTGAGGAAGCTGTGGTGTAGGCCAAGCCAAAGCCTGCAGGATTTGACCTGGGACCAACAGCCCAGAAGGAAACAGTCTCGGTAAGGGCATCGGAGTAGACACTCTTGCCATTCTTGTCGTGGCCAGTAATGAAGCGATGGATTTGAGGGAGTGGGTTGTTGAATTCGTCTGTGGCTGTCATGGCTGTGCGTATTCACACCACTCAACGATGATGCGAGGACTGAGAGGAGAGCAGTGGGTGGTCCCAAGAGTGATCGAGGCTAATGTTCAGTGGCACAAGGTGAGGAGCAACATATAACACAGAGAGGTATCGCGGCAGACGATAGGTTTTAAGGTCTGCCAGAGGGAATGGGGGCACTGTAATCATGGTCTCGCTTAGCTCATTCCTCATGAGCTTTCGTTGTGCGATGATAATTCAGGATGTACCTAATTCGAGGGCCATTTTACCCATGCATTGGGGAATGTCAGATTATGTTCGGGCCGAACGGTTTCAACTCGGCCGAGGGCGCAACCCTGCCATTTGGTCACCTGCGAGACACCCCTAAGCAAAGCCAGCCAATGGGATAACGAGTCTAGGATAAGTAGGAACATTACGTATTATCGAATGACAAGCTCGGCCCGTTTCTTAAAGTCTGGAGGAGGCTGTTTTCCCCGCAGAGGACAGTCAAAGGCAATATTGATTCTCCGAATGATCCGATGAGCCGAAACTCGTCACGACTTATTAGCTGTTCGTGCGGGCAGTATCGGCAAACATGGAAGGCTCCAACCAGGCAATATATATCGGGCGCACAGCCATCCGCCTGGAGAAGCTGCACACTGATTTGACACACCTTACCACCCAGAACGGAGTGAATAGTCAAGATGGTGCCTTGGCCAATTCCAATCGCAGCGGGCAGCCCTTTCACGCTCGCTAGCTTACCGTATGGCATCTTCAGTACCTCTTATCGTGTGAGTGAAGGTCCCTGTCATCAAATCTGCGGGGGTCCATGTCGGCGGACGAGCAGCAGAGATTTGAGAGGAAAACAGGTCCCATGAGACGGGCTGCTGAAGTGGACATTGTTTTAGGACAAACGAGTGGGGGTAGCTATCGGCGACTTCATCCTGGACCTTTCCTCCCTGGAACGTTCATCAATCCTCAAGGCCATCCTGCAGGGTCATGAGTGTGGCCATAACGGCAGATTCATTTTCACTTCTGAGGATCTGGGCAACTTTGCAAAAGTTCCAACTGTTATCCGAAAGCGGCTCCGCCAGCAGCTCATTAACTGGCTCAGTGACCCCACTTCACCTCTGTTTCAGGATGCGACTCTGAACGAGGCCACTTTCGTTCCGATGAGGGACGCGACAATGCATCTGCCATTCAAGATTGGAGGATTTTCTGATTTCATGTGCTCGGATGTCCATGTTGACAATGTATGTTACCGCCTAGTGCAAAGATGATTGATTTCGTATAGGCATCTAACAATGGACTACAGTGTAGTAGACTGGCCGGTGCTCAGACTCCAGCCAACCATTACGCCATGCCCATCGGCTACAATGGCCGTGCATCTTCGGTCGTCGTCGAGTCAGCACCGGTCCACCGGCCGTATGGCCTCATCAGGGACAAGGAAAAAGGTAAATTCGTGTTCAAACCCAGCATGAATATGGACTATGAAGCCGAACTGGGTATATTCATCTCCCATGCGGTCCCAGTTGGGAAAACTATCACTGCTGATGAGGCTGAGCAGCATATTTTTGGCTTTGTTGTATTGAATGACTGGTCTGCGAGAGATATACAGTTCTCCGAGATGACCCCCCCTTGGTCCATTCAATGGCAAAGCTTTCGCAACTAGCATCTCGCCTTGGGTTATCCCACTAGAGGCCTTGGAAAGCGCACGTTGCTCTTCGTCCTGTGTGGACTTACGTAGTGGCGGATCGGCTGGTGCCCCTTATTTGAGCCATGCTAAAGCTGAATCCACGTGGGACATTAAATTTGAGGTTTCAGTCAACCGTAAGGCCGAGGCTACCCAAGGTGTATATGTCATCCGTTAATCATGTTTGTAGGAAGGAAGTCTGGAGAGCAGGATACTATCCTGACGACCTACTCGAATCTTCGCGATCTTCGTTGGTCGCCTGGCCAGATGGTTGCGCACCTTGCTTCGTCTGGCTGCGGCTTAAACACGGGTGACCTTCTAGGCACCGGCACGATTTCGTCACCGGTGAGTAATACTTCAATATCTGCTTGATAAATTTCAGAAACTTACCAGGCAGCTAGAACGACACACCTACTCTCCGTACTCTTGGATGCCTTTTTGAGCTGACAGAAGCCGGCAAAATCCCTGCTGGTCAGCGTGAGGGAAGCAAACTCGCTTTCCTGGAGGACGGAGATGAGGTTGTGATGACAGCTATGGCGGCCGGAGCCACTGTGAACTTAGGAACACTGCGTGGCCAATTACAGGCGTGCCGCAATATCCCAACAGCTCCGTAGAGAATTAATCCTCTTTCCTGCATTACATCTGGTTGGAGATGGACTTGCCTTAAACTAAGTCTCCACTCAAGTACCGTAATGAAGTTATATAGCCAACTTGGGAGTAATATTAGTTTAAAAATTACAAAGCACCGCGAATCTTTTATTGAAGGGAGAGTTGAAGTCCTACACGATATGCTCAAGTTTGAAGCCCTTACCTTCAATGGTAGTCCTGTTGTGATGATCTCGATACGAGAGGGAGGACATAGTTGACGATGGAAGCAAACATGGCTGAATGGCGATGATAAGAGAGGAGGCTCCGTATCGGAGGACACAATAAGCATCACCTTACCAAGATAGATCTCTCTTCGTTTTCTTCCTCATACTTGATACTTCCCCTGAATGGTACAGCATTATCTCACCTTGTTTTTGACCATAACACCTGGGGATTCAAATGACGTATTCAAACATAAGAAGTACCATCCGATCACCGACATCATAGAGTTCATCAACACAGAACACTATATATTTCCCAGGTACGTAGGCTTGTCAGGTGAGCAGATTCAGGTATGACTCTTGGCATCTTTCATGAAATTGAGCAATTTCGCCGAATACTCATCAAATTATCTTACAAAACAAACTAGATACTACGTTGCTGCAGACCCACGTATCAGCCTTAGTAGCACGCAGAATTGAAGAAATATGATTTTATTCCTTAGTATCCCCCAAGCCATGATATCTTTCCCATAAGCAGGCGGATTCGGGGATTGATAAAGTAAAGAGGAATGGCTAGACAGGCAAGGCCGAAGAGAATGCCGCCAAAGATGACGTATGCTTGCATGAAACCGAGATTCTCAATCCAGGTGTTGAAGTTATGGCTGTAGCCGAAAGAAAACAGCGTTGCGACCACCGCACGTTAGCACAATAGCCGGGCCCGACATGTGAGGGATCAGCTCGCCGAGCCACACACCCGTGAGAGCTGAAATGGCACAGAATCCAAAGTAATAAAGTCCAAAAGCCACGTGAATGCCAGCCCAGCTGTACTTCTCAGGATGCGCTCCGATAAGACCGTACAATACGAGACCCAGGAATGACATTGCAGCAGGGAAGAGGAAGTTAAAAAGAATGTGCTCCGGCTCACGCACCCCGTAATTGCGTCGAGCTAGGAAGCGGCTCATAAGCTCAGTCATCTCACCAACGATAAGGCCGAGCAAGGCGCCGATAGCTGCCCCAGCCTGGACCGTGCCAATGGCGGAAGGGGAGAAGTGCCACGGCGCCTCTTCCAGGGCCTCACCATAGGTGAGGCTAAGGACAACAAGGCCACCAAAAACGATACTATTGAAGGCCAGCGCCCAGAACGCACCAGGGATCAACAGGCACATCATGATATCCTTGTATGCAGCAAGAAACCGGATAAGAGGCGCCTTCTGTACCTGGAATGGAGCAAACTGGCGTACGTAGGAACGTTCTATTTGGCGACCTTCAGGAGTGCCGATATCATCAACGTGAAATCCTGCCTCTCGGGCTTCGTCTACCGTAGCAAAGGCTCGGTGCGTGCTGTAGCTGTCAGTAACATGGACTTGTCCGGCGATCTGTGCCGGCGGGCGCAAGAAAAGTGTTTCTGGCACACCCAAAACGATCGCCAGCAATGAGAAGCCGGCAAAGCCAACCCAGAACCAGTAATTCACTCTCCAGTCTCCGCCTGTGTGCTCGACTATAAATGGAACGGCAACGAGTAGAAGGGAGGAGCCGACAGAAGTGGTAACCCAGTAAGCAACGAGGCGGGTAGATCGCTTGTGTAGGAATGAGATGTCGAGGACAATGATGGGTAACTGTGGACAGATCGGTCAGGAAGAATCCTTAAGTGTCCTGTCGGTGAATGACACGTACCAAGCAGTCCGAGATGCCTGCGCAGAGACCCTGAAGACAACGGGCACCGAGATGAGACTCAAAAGACTCAGACCGGGCAGCCCAAATCATGGATGCTAGCAGAATGATACTGCTCAAAATGAACGCAGCGCGACGACCAATAGCCATCGATAGGGGCACAAAGAAGAAGTTGCCCAAACCCATACACAAAGTAGGATAACTGGCTAGGTCTGCGATGCGCGACGGATTAAATGCCTTTGTTTATTAGCATCCTCTCCCGTCAGATATGAGCAGTAAGCAAAACGAACCCTTGTAGCGGGCCCAGGAAGCTCAACAGGGATAAACTTACTCCATGTGTCTTCTGCACGTACTCGGGAACAAGTTTGCCGAAGAAGAGCGGAGTAGATTGAACGGCACCAAAACCAGTGATGCCGTAGACACAAATAACCGTAAGGATCAGGCGCTGGCGACGGGGACTGAAGTTTAGTGGATCATTGAGGTTGGATGAAGGCACGGGGAGCTTGCGGACTGCGCCGTCTTCTGTATAGAGAACGACACCCTGATTCAGTGTGTCCTCGATCGTGACAGCCTTCCCAACGACGTCGCTGCTACTCTTCCTGTCCATTGTTGAGATGTTCCGAGAGAAATAGAAGACAAAATGTTCCCGTAGAGAACTCAGAATTAAGATAACACGGAAACAAGATCTGAAAGACTGGACCCTGGGCCGACAGATTACCGTCGTATTAAATTCAGGAGCCATGGAGCTATGGAGAACGAGATATTGCGGGGTCCCCGCAACTAACGCCTCCACAATATGTCAGGACGCAAGCAGATTCGGTCCGATATTAACCGTATTTGTGTTAGCGCGAATTTAAGCGCAGGCTATTAACCGGTTGAGCCTATTAAATTCCCTCCACAACGCCAGCCTAAAGTACCCACGTTCGGCCCGAGTCTTCGGAGTAATTTTCATCCGCTCCGGACCTTTCACCCGTTCGCTCCGATCCCCAGGCCCGATATCTCATCTGATTTCTCCCCACATTTTGCTGTTTAGCTGTTCTAGGCCGAGGCGGACCGTTTCTACCTATGCTGAACGACGAGCAAGGCAATCCCGACTCCAGGATATCCTCGAATCATAGTGCTTCGCTATGCATCGGAGGCAGGTGCCCACTGTGGCATGTTTGCGTTGTCGCAGTCAAAAGGTTCGAAACTCTCCAATCGCTATCGTTCATCCAGCTAGTATATTCTGAATTAAAATAGCTCCGTTGCGGCCGCGAGTACCCCAGCTGCAAACGATGCCAGAAGACCCAAAACGAGTGCTTTTATCCCGCACCACCAGACCGGAAGAGGCTTGCCTTCGAAAGGGCTCAGGCCAAAAACGCAGAAGCTAGGAACCATGTTGAGACGGTCAACTATCGTTTCTGTCGAACCCATGACAACCCTTCAGCCCCGCATCCTAGCTGCCCTTCTACGGAGGGCGTACATGCACCACAAAGAAATGGCCTCATGACGACGGAAGGCGACAATTCCGCGTCTATCCACCCCGCACAACCTGGGATAAGGCTTCCCCAGCAGCTGCAGCAGACCTCTCATGAAGAACCAGGCTCCATAGAGGTCTCCAGAGAAGTGGCGCTGTTCCTTATCGAGATCTACTTCGAAAGGCACTACCAGGCCGATCTACTGTTCCACAAAAGAGACTTTATACGGAGCTACAAGTCTGGGCGCATATCTGACCAAGTCTCGCGAGCCATCTTTGCTTTTGCCTCCGTGTACGTTTCGTAGACCTGTGACTTTGCTCTGATATCTTTGCTCATGATGACATCAAGGTTTTTACCCCCAGTGGCAGGGGGACTCATCTCAGGGGAAATCGACATCGGGGACGTATCTCGAGCAGACTGGAGGGCCATTGGCAGCCGTTGGTCAGAGCAAGCTAGCCAAAAAGCACTCATGAATGCCGACAAACCTTCTCTAGAGCTTATCGAAGCATGTCAGATTCTAGCCTTATACTGGTTTGCTAAAGCCGAGACCGTCAGGACCAATATGCATACTGGTACGCACATATCATATAGCCTTGTAAAATATCCCGTGTGTGGATCTGATATCTGCCACAGCAATTGCCTATCGCGCAAGTCGATTATTGCACTTACACCAAATACCTGGGAAAGGTTCTGCCATGGATTGGTCCGCTGACCGGGATAGGGTATGAGATGCTTTTGGGCCTGCTGGCTCACCAAGTGTGCCAGCCAAGAAAATGCCAGATTCCAAGTCGATTGCTGGACTGATGTTATTGGTTGTCCTTTGCCTGATGACGGTGCGGACGGATCTCCGGCGGTGCCGAGGCATTGCCTGGATAAACATGGCCTAATTCAAGACATTCGACCGATCCAACAGAACCCAGATATAGGGTTTCATTCTGCCCTAATTATCATCCAAGGCCATTGGTGCGTTTATGTTATCTCAGCCCCCTAGTTTCCTTCTGACAAACGTCCCAGGTGGGAGGTTCAACGATTTGCCCAAACCGTCCATCTAGATTACGGCAGTCCAACTGAGAGGGCTTCAGAATATTGCTCTTTAAGCAAGCGGCTAGAGGAACTGTCGGACAAAATGGCGGAGTTCACACAATACGAGCCTGGCCACGAGCCCTCAAGATCCATCACAGCAGATCAAGCTCGGACCTTCTCCCTCATCTACCTCTACCATCTCTGTGTCGTGTATCTGCACTCCTGTATGGTGCCCGTACTATCCTGTCGTCCACACACCCCCACTATCTCACGCGCCATGATTCGACTTGCTGCGGAGCAGGCATGGAAACATTCTATCTATATGGCGACCATAGCAGAGCAGTTCATAGCACGCAAGACGACCGTCTCGAAATCGTGGGCTATAGTGGGGTATGGCGCCTATGTGTGCGCTGCAATCCAGCTGCGGAGATTTCTCGCCCTTGGAGCTCTGAGTCACCAGCGTCTACAAGAAACAAAAGTACATCTACACCTCACGGGCGAACTCAGTAAGTATTGGATGACGTTACGGCCACTAGTAAGTCTAAGTTCCCAACAACCTTATCATCTTTTGCCTCCATGGCTCATAATAAATAGCACCAAGATATGGAACAACAGTTCTCTCAGGCCCAATCTCTTATATCGTCACGAGTCAATGATACTCAAGAAGTTGATCAACATCGTCGTGAACCCGCTCGTCTCATATACCAACCAGATTCTTGTTCCCTCTCTAGGACTATCCAGTCACATCCGCACGTACGTCGCAAATGAAGATCTTCAAAGGCAGGACGAACAGCCTGAGCAGCAGAATTTTAATGCTCCTGTCATTGTTACGGAGGCACGCGGCACTTCGCCAGCATCAAACGTGCCCCAGGCGTCAGATCACACACCCTTGTCCAGACATTAGAACCTACTATAGCTAGCGAAACACGACAGGCGAACTGGGAGCCCGCTGTGGACGGACCACGTGGGAATGTGTCATCCCAACCAAACTGGACATTAAGAGAAGACTGTATCTGGTGGAACCAAGACCCTTCGTCGCTGGGTGACGTGTTTGGAAGCGGATTCTTTCTCCACGACTACATGGACTTCCAAGGAAATATCTATTGAACACTAAGCTTCGTACCGATGAAACTCGATGCCACAGCCACTAAAGTCTGGCTTTTATGAATAGGCAATCCCAGTGTCACACGTTGCTATGGTCAAGGTTAGGAGAGCGTTACCTTAGCTGAATTGTTATACTTGTACAAATCGATACCAATAGCACGAAGAAAAGAAAACTCACTACATGTAAGGGAACTGCCAGATTTGGATGGCACCAGTTGACCAGGCGAGATAATGATATTCGATAGGATCCCACGGTATGGTTCCGGTCTGAACAAAGACTAAAGCTTACTCTTTCTATCTGAAAGGACAGCCCTTTTATAAGGGGGGTTCGCCAGGGGTTTGGCCCCGGCTCAGGTTTCAGCCCTAATCTAACCAATGGGATGTAAGAGAGTCCCGGGGCCCCGCTCCCCGGCCTTGAAGGGTGCAACTTGGGCCCAAAGGGTCCCGATATATCTTCAAAGGCACATCCAATGTTAATTCGATGGCGTTTCACCATCGAGTCCTATTGTTCCTTGACACTACAAGCCTAACAAGACAGATTAAGACACCATAAACAAGACCTAACAACAAAGTTAACCGAGCTTCACTGATACTACAAAGAGGCCTTCAGGACTCATTAGCACCTAGCACAGCAACATAGTGAACAGCCCCTTAACTACTTCCCAGCCAATATTCCCGACCTTACCCTAGAGCCGGAAACCGACCAGAGTCAGTAGGACTATAATCTAGATCCAAGAGTATATAAAGGAGAGTCGGATGACTGTCGCACAAGCCTATAGGCCGGATTTAGACAGATCCTCGAGGGATAGGCAGTATATAGAATACAAAGGCATTTTAGAACGTGAGCACCAAGTATAGCGACATATTTTTATTTTCTTGATTTTCGGCTATTTTAGTATTAGCGTGATATTGGCGTACGGGCCAGTTTCTGGGTCATGTGCCTGTGATAGTCATTCCGGGTCGCCTACCCACTGCGGGAGGCTTCCGCTTCTCTTTATCTGAGTTACAACGATCATCCTTGCAATACAAGATTGTGACCTTTTCCTTGTCCTTTCTAGGCTAGGCTTGTATTGTCCTCGAGACCCACTTATTGGTGTCTTGGGAGTGTGGTTCATCAACGGATAGGACTGTAAGGACCGAGAACAGTGGGACCACATTGATCCACAGATTAATTGTTTAGTGGCAAGTTTTCTTCATTTTATTGGTTTCTTTCGTGCCGGTTAGTTGGCTGCCGTATCTGGCCTTCTTGTCACGTGCATGTCAACCTTGACAGATTGGTTGGTCGTAGTTGACTTATTTCCTTCAACTGGAGGGGGTCCGTAACAGACCTCCACTAGGGCTACTACTGTGTACTTCCATTCTAGTACTCAAGGTAGCACCAAGTACCACATGAAGAACATCGGTAGTGGATGGATCCCCCCGCCCCCTCCCACGAATCGCACTACGAAGATAGTCGGTGTACGATAATTCAGCCAGCCACCAGCACTTGGATGTAGGATAGTGATATCATTGGACGCAGATCATCAATGTGCGAATTTGTATGACGTAAAGACCGAGGGATTTTGATGAAGCGCCAGGTACCATCGGACGACAAAAGCGGACGATATTTCTTATGTCTCATACTTGAAAAAAGGTATATAAATACCCGAATCTAACTCCTTCAGTTATTCTCCTTCTACACCTTGACGATCTACTAAAATTTGACTCTTTAAAAACTACACCATGGCAAAGGTTGGGCTTTCGTGAATTCTGAAAGTTTCTTTCCATTCTAATCAATGCTTATTATTTTGGTAGCCAGTAATTATCAGGTTTACGGACCCGGACTCGTGGGACAATGAGAGAGAAAATGTTGATAGGTAGGCAGAAAATCCAATTGTGGGATTTCTTGTTTGCTATGGTGCGGCTGACACATACATCAAGGATTTTGGACAAATACACTGGATCCTCAGAATACCCTTCCACCAAATCTTTGCCCCCTGTTATTTTCGGCGCAGAGTAAGTTTGCCCTTCGTGTTTTGAAAGGATTATCTAACGTAGATAATGCAGACTCAATGAAGGCGCCGTCGAGGAGTTGAGGAACTTGAGTGGAGTACTGGTGCAGTATCAGGATGAAGAGGAAGATTAGTTACTGACGCTCAGTTGGCTGCTATATAGCAGGCCAATCTTTGTACTAAGATCAAACTTGAGGCAAACCAGAAAATAAAGATGCCAGTTAGCGCAAAGGGTCATTTCCGAAACGCCGGTCTGATAATAGAAAAACATTGACTTCTCGCCACGCAGCATAAAAGATATCTCAAATTATGTAGACACCTAGACAAACCCACTAGAATAACCAGTGCTCGCCCTCTATATCGAAGACTGAGTTTGAGGAAGGATCCCACCGGCCAGCTCAATTAGTTACATTAGTTATGCTCAGCTGGAAGCGTCATAATCATAAACCGGTTCCGCTTGTTCCGCGAAACACCGCGGCTACCCGAGGGTACACGAGCCGAGGCCGGTCTTTCGCATCTAAGTTTGTTCTACTCGCCGTGAATCGGCTATCGGATTATCGCGGTCATCAATATACCAGGACTAGCCAATGCGGTTGTGAGAAGCTATCAGTGGCGCTCCACTGGAAATAATGTCGATGCATCTGATGTCAATTGGTCCCAGGACCGGATCCATAGCCGGTGATTCAATATACTATATATAGCTGGCTCTGTTCCTCGATTTGCTTGAACCTTGTCGTAATTCACTTGTCGAAAGTCGACTATGGCTCCTTCAACCGTCAACGTCGCAGAATATCTTTTCACCCGGCTCTATCAGCTCGGGGTGAGAGACCTACATGGTTTGCCTGGCGATTTCAATCTACTTGCTTGTGACTATGTCGGATCGAGCGGATTGACATGGATTGGCAATTGTAATGAGCTTAACGCTGGTAAGTTTTCTTGAATTACCACACGGGACGTTGGTCTAACAACCCTCAAGGTTATGCAGCAGATGCCTATGGTAGGCTCAGGGGTCTGGGTGCGATCATGACCACCTTCGGTGTTGGCGAATTGTCCTGTATAAACGCTATTGCAGGCTCCTTCTCAGAGTACGTCCCTGTCGTCCATATTGTTGGTGTGCCCAAAACAGTGGTACAGAAAAAGAATGCAATGCTACACCACACGGTATCCTCTCTTCTCGACCCTTCACAATCTGGTTGGCTCATTACTAACCTCATCTTAGCTCGGCAATGGCGACTTCGATGTGTTCGCCCGAATTGCAAAAGAGTTGAGCATTGCGCAGGCCAATCTTATGGATCCAGTCACGGCGCCTGACGAAATCGATCGCGTCTTGCGCGCTTGCTATATTCATAGCAGGCCTGTTTATATCCAATTGCCTGCCGATATCGTCCAGAAGCCAGTTGATGCCAAACTGTTGGACTCACCCATTGACATCGAAACCCCTAAGAGCGATGACGAAAAAGAAGGCGTGGTAGCGGACAGAATCCTGAAAAAGCTCTATGCAGCAAAGAAGCCAATTCTGCTCGTTGATGCGGGTGCTGGAAGACATTGCGTATGTTGCTTTCTTTTTTCCATCAGGTCTTGAAGTACCGCTGATTCGATTAAAAAGGTCGAGGAGCTTGTTGACAGCTTTGCCCGGAAAACTCTGTTGCCAACATTCATTGCGCCTATGGGGAAGGGTATGGTCAATGAGGATTTGCCAAATTTTGTGGGCATGTACAACGGTGCCCTGACTCCGATCGACGCGTGGCGCGATATGGTAGAATCTAGCGATTTGATTATGACCATTGGTAATGTCAAGTCCGACCTCAATACTGCTGGATTTTCCTACAATTTCAATAAACTGAATACAATCGATTTGCATTTCGATAATGTCTCAATGGATTATGCAATTTATGAAGAGATATACATGAGGTGGTTACTGGAGAGATTGGTTCGCGAGTTTGATTCATCCAAGATGCGGAAAGAGCAGACGGACCTTCCTGTCATTTCTCGCCCACCAGTTGCAGAGAATGCAAATTTCTCCAAGGAGGAAATAACGCACGAATACCTATGGCCCCGACTCTCGTCGTGGCTGAAGACTGGCGATGTTGTTGTTGCGGATACTGGTACCTCGTACGTCGGTATCTGGGAGACCAAACTGCCCCCCGGCGTGCATGTTATGACTCAGATTCTATGGTCATCGATAGGTTATGGTGTCCCAGCATGTCAAGGGGCCGCACAGGCGATCAAAGCCGAAGGCAGTGGACGAAGGACGATTTGCTTTGAAGGCGATGGTGAGTTGCTTTTCTAAAAAAAAGTTCTTGATCCATGATTGGTTTCCCACCATATTCTAAACGTTTTGGGGGGCAGGCTCGTTCCAGCTTACGGTCCAGGAGCTCTCCACTATCATTCACCATAACCTTGACGCGATCATATTTGTTATCGAGAATGATGGTTATGAAATCGAGCGTTGGGTGCACGGAGAGAAGGCAAGCTACAACGACATTCCCAAATGGCAGTACAGCCTGTTTCCGAATGCTTTCACCCCGACAGAGAAGACTTCCGAAAGGCGCGTCAAGGCCTACAAAATTAGGACTCGCGAGGAACTCGAGGTACTGTTGACGGACAAAGAATTTTCCAGTGGTAAAGGGTTACATGTAAGTTGGCATAATTCCTTCTCTCTTCAACCTCGCACTGACACAATATAGTTTGTGGAAATGCATATGCCTAGGCATAATGCCCCTACTTCGCTGATTAACTTCACCGAAACCCTTAAGAAATAAAGGGAAGGGGGTATTGTCAGCATTCGCGGTATACTGGAAGAGTTCCTCGTGTCAGTATTCCTCGATTCTGTCAATGGTGGCCTACATTAGGGAATAGGAAGAACCAGCAACGGCGCTTGTATTCGAGATACTAGAACTAGAAGGGGAGAGGAGAAGGGAAAGAGGGAGGAGCTACTATAACAGCCTATCTACTCCTATATAAACCTCTATCCTATCTATGCCCACCTTGTAGTTCGGACAGTCCTTCTTCCAGTATTAAGGCAGTAACAGAAGACAGAATCGAGTAAGTAGTAATATCCCTCCACTAAGACTCGACTTGTTCTTAAGTCGATATTTTATTTAGCTATTTGTTCGAGTTTTTAAGACAGTCCTGTTTTCTCTAGATATTATTAATAGAACTTCTATAAGACGAGTAACAAATTCTTGAAGTTGTCGGCTAGATATCAGGTATTGTTATTATTATCTTTATAGCCTTTTTATTTGATTTTGTACTAGAGTTTATAATAATATAACTAGGAATCTAGTATTTATTCAATCTTTTACTTTTTCTTTTTATTAATAATTAGCAATAGGAATAGATCTTTAATTTAGTCTAGTAATAATTCTGTTTTAACAGCTTTTTATAGCTAGTCCGGTAGAAAGATATTATAAACTTTTATAATTTTTAATAGTTTTAATCTAAAAAAATAATCTTTTTTTTTAAGTATTTTATAAGATCCTATAACAATATTAACAAGTTTTTAACTTGGTTAACTAGTTAGCTAATATTAGATTATTATATAAACTTTATTCTTTATTATAAAATTAGATTTTCTCTAGTAACAATCAATCTATTATTTTTATACTTTTTAGTTTTACTTTATCTTATCTTGAATATATATTTATATATTCTATATTCTTTATATAAAAGATTAGTTATTAATAGATATAGAGGTTTATTAATCAAATAAAAACCACAACTTATATCCTTGTTTAATATAAAATAGTAATATTTTTATGAAAATCTAAAACAATATAGCTATTACAAAATTAATAAGTCCTATCTAATCTAATTAGTTATCTTAATAATAGTTAATATATAATCAAAGATATTATTATAAATATTAGTTAATAATCTTAATTTATCTATTAATCTATTAGTAATATATAGATAATAAATCTCTTAAGATTTGTAGGATTTTATAAAGTCTTTTCTAAAAACCTGATATAAATTAAAAATCTTGGTCTAATATAATCAAATCTAGAAATCTAATATATAGAAAAATATAATTAACAAATAGTTATATCATATTTTTAATAATTACTATTTTATTATAAGATACTAAGATTAGTCTTTTTATAAATTAATTAATAACTATTATTATTATATTATAGTTATACTAATCTTTTAGAAGACTATAAAAGTCTATTATAATATAAATCTATAATTAATTTAGAGTTTCGAGCGGTTATAAGAGACCTAGTATCTTATCTTTCTAGATCTTAATTTATTTATATATTTAGTAGTTATTTATATATTATTATATATCCTATCATATCTATTTCTAGTAGAAACAGTTCTATAATAACTAAAAGATTTAATCTTAGCCTAGATAATATATTAATAACTATCGATAGATCTTATCTAATAACTTTATTTATAATTAATTAATATCTAGTATAATTAATTTTCTATCTTTAAATACTAGATCTTTTTTATCTTAATATTCAATTAGATTATCTTATAACTAGTTAACCTATTTAATCTATTTAATCATAGTTTAAAAACTAGTATATATCATTATTAAAAAGTTAGTTTAAGAGATATTTTTATAATTATTCTTAGATAATAACTATATCTCTATAATAGACTTTCTATATTCCTTTTATAATAATATATCTATAATCTTATTTTATTATCTCAGTCGATATCTAATAATAAAGTAATAATCTACAATTTTTTTTATCTAATAGATCTATCTTATATTTAGTTGTTATTTTATACTAAAGTATTTTAATATTTTATAATCTATTAAGACTTCAAAATAATCTCTTTATTAAAGACCTATTAATTCAAAATACCATTTTTTAAATATAAATATAATTATAAATATTTCCTTATTATAAATAGAGTAAAATAATTTAGTATAATCTATAATCTTCAAGAAATAGGCTATTAGATATTATTTGTTAGATTATAGCTATAATAAAGCTACTCTATATATATTATTAGATATATTAATCTTTACTTATATCAGAAAGCTTAGATTATAATATTAAAGAATAGATATTTTAGTTAACTATTTTTTTAATAACTAGAAAATATACTAGTATTTCTAGATCTACTCGAACTTAACTATATCTTTTATTAGTTAATATAATAGTTAGGCTATCTTGCTAAAATAATAAATAAACTTTTGGTAGAATCTATAAAATCTAAGAAAAGATCTAATATCTTATTTAATCTTAAAAACCTTTTAGCTAACTATTATCTTGATCTTCTAGAGATCTATTTATATATTACTAGCTCTTATAATAAACCCTAAAAACTTTATAATAATAATACTAAATTTATATTTATAAATAGTAGTTTAGAGATCTACTTTTTATAGTCAGGCTAGGACTTTATAGATCTAAGATTAATATTCTTAGAAGGTCTTGTTATAAATAAGTATATTATTTATAAATATAGTAATAAAGTTATCTAAATAATCTGATAATATCTTATTTATATATTATTGGAAGATAGCTAGATTGTTTATAAGGCTAAAAGGGAGTATTTAATATTTAAATATTTTATAGTAGTTTCGGAATATAGTTTTATTCTCGGAATTAGGATATATCTATATTTAATAGAAGTCTTATTAGATATCTAGCTTTATAAAATATTTTGTTTAGCTTAAATAGTATAATAGCTTATCGATTAATAAGAGAAGATATCAGTCCTTCTTTATAATTTTATTTAGTTTTCAGTAATCTATATAGAAATAAAGACTACTATCTTATTTTTAGGTTATTAAAATAGATAAGATATAAAAGATTTTATTTAGAATTATAAATCTTTTTTATAGATTATCTTTAATATAGATCTTTATTATTTATAGTTTTTTAAAAGATATTTTATAAAAAAGATAGTATCCTAAGATTAATTGTTAAATATCTATGTCCTCTAGTTTAATTTAGTAATTATTTTCTTAATAAGATAATAATATATCTAACTTAATTTTCGAAAATATATTAATAAATTTATAGTATTTTTTTAATAATATCTAATAAATCTTGATATCCTTATAAAATTAACTAGAATCTTCTTATTTATCTAGTTTATCTATAATATATAAGATATAGTTGATCGAGGTTATAAAGATTTCTATTCTTTGTTTTTTTATAAGATAATAATAATCTATATTACTAATAATAAAAATAGTAGTATTTTTTTTGGTTAATATATAAACTAGGATAAGCTTTATTTATTATACTAACTAGCAGAAAGTCTCTAATTAATATATCTAGATTATAACTTTCTTTAATATATACTTTATTTTTTTTATATCAACTTAGATTAGTAAGTTTTATTATAGGATTTTCTATTTTATTTATTCTCCTCAAATTTCGGCTTTCTATCTTTAGTTATATCTATTTATATCTTTTTAATAGATTATTTATATTATTATTAATATTTAGCTTTCGATTAATATCTTATAAGAAAACTAATAATAACTACTAGAATACTAGTTTAGGTTCTTTTCTTAGTTAGATTAATCTTATAGTTATTTAAATTTTTTTAGTTTATAATATATCTTAATATTAAAATATCTAAAAAATTATTATCTAAAAATAAAATCTTTCTTAGGATTTAATAAAATAATTATTATAAAAAACTAAACTAGATAATATCTCTTAAGTATTAATATTAGTTCTACTAGATAGATAATAGATAAGATATCTTAATTATTAAATATTTAGAAAAAAATTAACTAAAGAAAATATTTAGTTTAAAACTAGAATTATTATCTTAATATAAGTATTAGAGTTTAATTAATTAGGATAAAAATATTAACTTTTATATTAGTTAATATAATAATAATAAACAAAAATCTATTATAGATTATTTTTATATAAATTATAAAACTATTATTATCTATAAAATATTTAAAGTTGGTCTTATAAGATAATAATAATATATATTTATCTAGGCTAGAGATTTGTTCTAAATAAATTCTTTTCTTAAATTCTTGAGTTCGAATAAACCTATCTTAGACTAATCTTTATTTTTCTTAGTTATAATAGTATTAGTTAATATAATAATAATACTCTATACTAGATATATTTAATAGTTATATAAAATATAGTCTGGCTTGGTATAGAATAAGTAAAAACCTTTTTCTAAATAATAATTTTTTTTCTTTTTTAATAAAAGAATTTATAATAATTATTATTTATTTAGCTTATTATCTATAATACTAGACTTTGAAGATACTAGTTGTAGACTAAGAGAGGGCTATATTTTTTTCGATTTAGTTCTTTTATTATTTCCTAGAGATAATTAATATCTAGATCTATTATTTAACTATTAGTAAATAACTCGATTAGATATATAATATTTTTTTAGGAATATCTTATATAAGATTAAGAGATTATTATAATCTAAAAAGAGGTGATTCTATATTAGAGTCAGAAGATAGTTATAAAGTTCTTTTTTTATGTTGTTATTATTCTTAAATATCTTATTTTATAAGATAAATCTAGTAAATTTTTTGATAAAATCTTTAAAGCTATCTTTTAATTTTATCTTTAATTTTTTAAAAATAGTTTAAATTATTTTTTATTTATAGGAATTATAATAGATTAATTATAGATGATTAAGTATATTATTAGAATTAGTATATTTATTAGATGTTCTAGATATTATTTAAGATCTAATCTAGGAAAGTATATTATTATTATAATAACTAATAATATATATTATATAATAAATGACTGTTAGATAATAGTCTATATTTAGTTATAGCTTTTATTTTATTATTATATATTATTATTTAAACTTTAAGATATCTCTTTCAAAGAATATAGATATATCTAATATCTTAGAAAACTTAATATATCAGTCTATTAAAGATATAATATTTATTTTTCTTTTTTATTAGATCTAAAACTAACAAAAAGATTTTATTATTATCTAGTATTTATTTTTAGATCTTTTTTTATCTCTAAGTTATCTCTTTAAGTTATTTTTTAATATATAAGACTTAATTTATTATTTCTTAATATTATTTCTAGATCTAGATAACAACTTGGACTTACCAAAGGGGTGCCTTTTTCGGCGTCAAGTGCAGCCCTTTTCGGCCGTCATTTGGTAACACGTGATGCCGTGGTCGCGACACGCTCTTGCCATGTTAAGACCACGCACCAGAACGACCCACTCCGTAGCGCTCTGGTCTCGCTCGGCCTCCTCACCCCTGCACGCTCTCTGCCGCCCCGGCCTTAGCGAAGGCCAAGTGTTGGTTCGACATAGGAGGGCACCAAAGATGGCTTTACTGTCGCAGTACCCACAGACGATAGTGCCTGCTCGCTGTGGCTATCTTTCCCTATATTTACCTCACCCTCCCACCTCCTCTCCCTCGATCGCAAGTACTTCCCTTTCAACTGTCCTTCTCTTTCTCGGCTCTAATCTGTCCTTTTCTCCGACTCACGCTTGCCTCTGCCACGTTTGACCGGCCCAACTCTAGGGCATCGCCCTCTAAAACCAGGCACACTTTGATCTCTGTGTAAACCACCTATCCTCTTCACCAACTCGTGGTCTCGTCGGCTGGCATCTTGGCCTCTATGCCCTCGCTAACTCTATTCTCCTAGTTATTCGCCTAGTCATTCCGACCATGAAGCGTCCTCGAGGACAGTCGGATAGCACGCTTAAAGAAGATACTAGCGGTGAGGACTCTAGTACCACGCCTGCGAGCGATTCAGAGCACGACGACGCCACCTATGAGACGGAACTTTCAGAGCCAGAATATGACCCTGGGCCCCGAAAGCGTATGCGACCGGATAAGGAACTTTACCCAGAACCTCAGCTCTGCGCTGACGCCGCAGACTTTTACGAGGACCCCCTAGATGAAGGCGGGCTTGATCTCTCTGACATTCCAGAGGATTTCGATAAAGCACCAGGTACCATTGAGCGACAGGAGCGGATCGAGAGTCGGTGGGAAAGGTAGGTGGAGCGTCGAGACCTCCTTCACTCTATATCTTCTAAGCGCTAGACAGGTACTGTAACAGCCAAGTACGAAACCGGCCTAATGAGCCGAAATGGTACGAGGTCGAGGAAGCGCTCCGTGGGGCGTCGAACAACGACTTATATCGGTTTCTTCGCTGGTGTCTCCAAATCGATCGCGGTAAAGATGGACGGCATCTCAAGGGTATCAACAAGGCTAGCACCCTTGAGACCGACTGGAAGAATCTCCGCTTGTACTATCAGAAACTTACCAAGATTGTGATCAACGATAAAGATAGCTCGGAAATACGACGGGTTAGTGTTCTTCGGGTGTATCCTAGTTGAACTCTATGACCTTGACTAACCGTGGAATACAGGGCATGAAATTTTTGGTACAAGATTTTGGTTTGGATACACAACCTGGAAAGAAGACGCCGGTCTATATCGAGGATATCGTCCCTTTCAATGAGACAATTCTATCAACCCAGGAGAAGAAATTCCATTTAGGCTTCCAACGGATCCAAGTGTGCATTTTCAATTCCCTGGGCATCTTCACGGTACACCGGCGAAGTGCGCTGTTGAGTCTCCAATTCAAGGATCTCCGGATTTCTCTCCAGAAGGATCCCCAAGGCGGCCCGCCCATCCCCTTGATCGAACTTACTCCCGAAGGGACCAAGAAGTTTCTTGGGTTGACTAAATTGTACGGCAAGCGTTGCCCCTCTTTTCCCTTCTCGCTTCTCCCTCCACATAGTAGATGACCATGTCTCTCGAGAGTTCCAAAGGACTCTAAGGATTTCAAGACCATAATGCTAACTCTGCCGACTCATTTCTAGAACTACTTTCGCACTCCCCGAGATCGTCTACGGCCCTTCTCTGGTGATATGCCCGCACACGCTGCTTTTGGGCGTCCTATTCCATGCGCGGGCGTTCCGGAATCAGAGGCTGACCTCGAAGGCGCAGCTCCGGAAACTCTTAATCAACAAGGCCTGCGAGCAACTTCTGGTGCCTTTGGATCCAGAAAAGTCTGATTGGTACATATTCTGCAAGACCGAATTAATCAAAGGCGTCCCGACAATTCAACGAACTAAGCAGATGTCTAAGGCTACGATGTCCACCTTATTGGTCCAGTTTGGCGAGATTCGCGGGTGGAAAGGAGCCTTCCACGCTCACCAGTTCCGATATGGAAGCGGTAAGGTGCTTAACGAAAGTGGTGAGTTCTTACATCGACACTGTGGAAGGTCTCTAAGAGGTGGCTGACATCTGCAGGGTGGGTGAGCAAGGAGCAGCACCAGTTGATCATGAAGCATGCCAGTCCTCGTACGTTTCTTAACCACTATCACCCCCTGGAACATGATACCGACGTGATACGGATTATCTGTGGCCTTGACCCGGATGTGGAATTGATGCGTGCCGTCACACGGCAAAGCCGCTGGCGGGACACTCGACGCCCTCGTTATCTGACTGATCAGCAGCGAGCTCAAGTTGAAGATCATCCCGAAATGGAGGAAGCCCGGCGCAGCCTGAACAAAATCCGCGTACAATATGAAGAGACCCGGGAACCCGGTCTATTTCTCCGGCTTGAGCAGCGGAAGAAGGAGGTGGTAAACACGCGGAAGAGGTTGCACCGTAGCCTTAGACAGGAGGTCCGAGAGAAATTTGACGAAGAACAAGCCTTCTTAGACATAGAAGCACAGCTGTCGGGTACGGCCGTCCAGGAAGAGTATGAAGACCGGTCATCTCTAGAGGACACTATGCACCCTCTTCAGTTGCATCTTGTGCAAAGTCTTCTTTCCTACCCGGTGTCCAACTCAGTAGAGGATGAGTGGCGTCGACGCGATGCAGGTACCGAGGCTGTTGCGCAGTACTGCGATGTTCATGAAGGAGGCCCACCGCGAGGCCGGCCGAGGAAGAAAGCCTCTGAATCTGCTTTATTGGCTGAGTCGGTAACTCCGCCGCAGGCCGTACAGCCGACTCAAACCGATCCCGACCCGGGGGTTGGATCTGATTCTGAACCCCCGAGACCGACACGTGCGACCAGGGAATATCTTGCTAAAGCTAAGCGACCGGCGGCATGCTTCCAATGCTTTGCCAGTGAGGAAGCCCCGGAAAGTGTGCGCTTCCAGATGTTTCACGACGCTGGTTGTGTCACGCGTCACTTTGATGCTATCCACCTAGACGAAATGCCGCTCCGGTGCAACTGGTGTGAAATCACGTTGTTGCATCGAATGGGATTTCAGCGCCATGCCATTGATGTGCACCGTGTCCGTAGTCGCAGGAAATGCCCAAATCCTGTGCTGGATCTGTAGACGCGAGAGTCGACGCGACTATCATTGGGAAGCCGAGTTTGTCCGCAATTGAGATATTCAGGTCACAAGTATGATAGTCGTGCCATCCTGCGTGAAGAATTTTAGGGCTTAGCCGTTTCTTTGAGGACTTAGAAGACCCCGAGAATGAGGCATATTAGGAGGAAGCGGAACAGGCCATTAAGTGAGCTACATATGTGCGTGACAAGTATTCGTTAGCCGTACCTGAGCCAGGCTTGCGTGCTGTCAGCAGGGATTAAGCGTTGTCGAAATATTATGTTTCATGGGCCTTAACTAGTAAAAAAGCCCCCCACATTCAGAAATCATATAGGCTCCTATCACTCGGCACGTGACAGTCAAATAATCGTTAAAACCCCGGCCTAAGCACGATTCTAGACCTTCCAGCCTTGGGAGCCTGCACCCTTGTCTTTCTCTTCCTACGCACACCGCCGGGCCTGTTCACATGAGCGGCCCATCACGCTAATTATAATTAGATTCCTTCTTCGTCCTCAACCATCGTCTACTTTCAGTCAACTTCCAGCAGAGTAACGCGAACCCGCTTCCGTCATATTCTTCGTCCGATTTGTCTTCTCGGTGAACTGAGAAGATCTTCTTACCTACGTTGGTTCCTTCCACACGAACGTACTTGACCAAAGACCAGGCAGCCATATGTCGACTCTGGATGACAGCAGCTCCGTTGACGATGACCCACAAAACTCCCAAGCGGGCAACAAGGGCTTGCATAGTCGCTCGCCTTCGCCTGATGGATGCATTGGTGTGACCTTTGAAAGAGGATATTATCATTTCGATCGTATTTTCATCAAGCGAAGCCTCAGACCCAGCGAATTCAAAACCTCACAGAGAGGCCTTCACGTCCCTCGCCTTGGAAAAGAGAGGCTTCAGAACGAAGCCGAAACGCTAAGATTTATTCAACGCAAGACCAACATACCTGTCCCGACAGTGTACGGTGCCTTTGACATGGACGATTCGTATTATCTGATTACAGAATACATTCGGGGGACACCCATGTCCCAGCTTTCTGACGATGAGAAAGAAATTGTCCGCGATGAAATCTCTCAGCACTTAGCCACTCTTCGCGAACTTAAATCGGACACTATAGGTGGGCCTGCTGGGATCGTGATTCCTCCCTACCGAGTCATGAGACGCACAGACAATGACGTGTGGCCCAAGAAGTCATCTCAGACTACGGAATATGTATTTTGTCACAATGATCTATCTCAACCAAATATCATTGTTGATCCTGATACACTGAAGATACGAGCAATTATTGATTGGGAATATGCCGGGTTCTTCCCTCAATACTTTGAAGCGCCCTTTTACGAACGACTGGGGCCGTCGGTCCCAATTGGTGGCGAAAAGGATGATGTTGATGATTTACTCGAATTCTTGGGACAATGTTAAGCAATAGCATGCACTAAGGAGTGAAGTGCAATGCGAACATTATTTTCTACTGAAGACACGTAGAAAACAGAGCAGACACAAGACCGATTCCATCATTGGAGTTTTCCTATCCCGTATTAGACTGGAGCATCCGAGAAAAATCGTAAGGTTCTGCAGAAAATCAATACTTTGCATCGTGCTATTCCCTGAAAACAATAGAGGAACTCACTTAATGCGGCGGCTTAAAACAATTCGGACATTCTGGTTGAGTGGTGGAGACTTTCGTTCCACAATGTTTGCAGGACACTATTTCGGATGGCATTCTGATTGAGACGAGTTCTGAGATTGTCTTGTCAGCTTGCAACGGTAAAGGGACAAATGTCTCTTACTGAGGCTACTCACGATTTTATAATGATCTTTCTCATAAACAAATATGAGTAATTGAAATATTTTTGATTGAGCTGTCAGCCCAATTTATACCTAGGCTTCCGGATCCAGGCATGAGCGCTTGAAAGCGGGGAACCCTGTCCCAACCTCTGGAACGTGAGGCTTTTCATGAGGGTCGAGCGGAGTAAACGTAGCAGGATGTGATGGAGCATTGATAGCAGGCTCTTTTAGATAGGGATTCTGGCAAAATAACTGTCTATAATTGGCTCAAAATTGATGTGATACCTCGTGCAGGTGAAACGATCCGTGCGACGGTCGTCTCCTTGTGGCTGATGAACCGCGATTGGTCATTGAGCGCCAATCAAATTCAAGAGCAGCTATTGGCACGTAAGTGGGCGCAACTTATAGTCCACTTTGCAGACACAATCACCAATCATATCTTCTGGTATGAGCTGGTTTCTTGGCCTGCATATGCCGCTCAACTTTCTCAATAAATAATCAGTAACTCTTGAGAATCTGAAATAAGTCTTGTGACCATGAAAGATAATAAGTATTTTCCTTGTTATGAATTCTTGATGCTCATTGCTCATACCTGAAGAATTGTGCGTCCATATTGTAGGTATGTTCCATTCACTGCTGAATCTACCACTGATAAGGCTCTAGGGAGCGAGAAACCCCGGTATACCTCAACAAGTCTACTCGAAATGTGCTGGTGGGAGCACCCGCCCCGATATACTTTTCAAGGTGTAAACACAGGGTGAATCTTCCCCCAAAATCCACTCGCCACATGTGCTCAGACGCTCTGAATCGTACCCCGCCGACGTTTTGCGAACCCATCCGAGATACAACAAAAACATCGAGTACGAACCGTCGCGATATCTGTCCTAATTGTCGGTTCAAAACCCCTACGCTTGAGGAACATGACAGTGATGGGTCTAGAAGAGACGGCTCAACATGGGGTGTAGCGTCAGGAAACGCTGAGGCCAGGACCTAAGTCAAGGTTGGTGGTGGGTACAAAATAAGCGATACCCACGATAATGGCTAAAGATATGGGGTTTCAGCATTTTCCGTAACTATCTTATTAGGTGCGGATTTATATTACATCATGACAACCGAAGTAGCCGATATTTGACCTAGGAATCTGACCGGCTGACCCTTTTCCACTTTAAACATCAACATTGGCTGCACAAAAGATCAAGAACCAGCCATTCTATCCACTAGACCCAAAGCTCCTCTTCGGCCTCCAGAGCAGCAAGCTTGGTCTCGATGTGCGGGTCCACGAAGTCGTAGATGTTCTTGCCGTTCCACCGTTGACCTGGATCTCCATCAGGTGGGCCTTCTTCTGCTTGATGGGGGCAAACAATCGGAACGATCGTCCCTGATATTCGCCTCAAGACCGAGTGCTAAATCAAAGATTTGATGGTTGTAGGTTCGAGGCAAGCGCCTTATTTCTAGGTTAAAGAACGGTTTGAAGTACAGGAAGAATGTGTTATAAGATCAGCTTTGACGTACATTTACACTAGAAAAAAGAGACACCCCATCTTGTTTCTCATCATGCCAAGTGCTTGTAGTAACATAAGACCGGAAGCCATTATAGTTAAGAACCTAGACCACCCAAAACCGAACGTGCATCTTTTTCCAAAGCATCCGCACCAGCATAATCACCACTCAAGCACTTCTCAATGACATGGCCACAGAAGAGATTGTCTGTCTTAGGAAGTACATCAGGTTTAGGCCAGCCAGAGTGTTCTGGGGAAAAAAAATAATAATGATGGGCCTTCCAAACAGCAATGGAGTAGATAATCCAACCAAGGTGGAGGATTTCAATCCTCGCAGTCAAATCGTTTTCGCGGATGGTGTTCATATCAGCCGTCAATGGTAGTAAAATGGACTGACCGAAGTCTACAAATTTGAGTTGATCCTGAAAGACCAGGATATTGCGTAGAGCAATTTCGTCCAAGAACACTTTCCGTGAGTGCACATAGGACAAAGTCCTTATGAGGGACAGTATCCATTCCACCTTGACAGAACGTGGAGGTTCTGTGCGGCACTCAATGTAGCTCTGTAGATCGCCTTGTTTTGAAAATTCCAGCTCAATTCCATATGGAGAGATGCAAGTACAAGACACGATCCCCTTATTATAGCCTAGCCGTTTGTAGACCTGCGTTTCATGGAGTAAAGTGGACGTGTTTATTTCATTCATATACTGCGCATTAAGCCGCTCGGGTTCGGTGAGATTCTCAAGGGCATAGACCTTTGCTTTCTTCACAACCCGATAATCATCGATCTTGAACACGATGCCAGTCATACCAATGCCAACAACGGCAAGATCGACGTAGGGATCGAATGGGAAATTTTCGTATAGCGTCGTTACCGCATAGGATTCATGGGGAGGTGCTTGATAATGTCGTGGTCGGAGATTCCTCAAACCCTGAAGCGGTTAGCAAGCGGTATTCCCTTGAGCCTCGTGGTTGCTAACCCACCACCTTCCCTATAAACCAATGTGGCCCACACTGAATGGAATTGCGCAGGACAGATATCAGAGAAGCGAAATAGGCCTGTATCTGGAGAAGCATGCTTGAAGAAGGTGTGGAGGTGTGGAGGTAAGCTTAAATTGGCACTGGCCCTTGCTACCCGCAAGAGGACCTGAATAATCCCGACTATTCGGATCAATGCTTATTCCGATGCCGAATTTCTGCGGCATCACGACACGCTATTGACTACGCTGATCGGTCTTTGCCTAGCGCAAAGTAGGAAAGCTGATTGTGTTATTCCCCTTTCTCGAATCAATTAATTATCAAATCCAGACTACCATACATTCCAGTTGAACTACTTAAAAGGTTGGGTACAATTTGATGCCCAAAATACCATGATTAGTCAGGTCAAGTGATCACATGAGATTCCGATGCCCCTCTTTGCGGCAGTAAGTTTTCACTCTTCCAAATATTACGAACCACTGTCGAGATTCGAGGTTTTCTTCGTACCCCTTACTCTTGCCCGACGAATGTCCTGGCCCAGCACCATCGATACACGAGTACATTTGGTTTAGCCGGCCGGGGTTCTTCACCTCCAACGGGATTCTCTCCTGCGCTGTTCAACTCGACTCTTTCAAACGCTTAAAATCGGCGCGTCAGCTGTTTCTGTACGAACTTGGAGTGGCATTGGTTTGCGTGCCAGGCGATTCAGTCAATGGCTACGTTGTATACCTTAAATGTTCAACATTGTGCCGAAAACAATGAGCAGCTCGTAGAGTTGTTTAAGGACAAGGTACGTATTGGAACTACCACTTCAAGGACGAAAACCAACACATTCTCAGACAAAATACCACAGTGCAGAGCTAGAAGGTGCTGGCTCAGAAAAAGATTGGATAGCACCAGATCCATTCTTAGTATTTGGCCCTTTCGAACACACAGCCGCGGTTATAATCAATGGTGGTGGGGGCGTTGTCAGTATATTGAACGGCAATGAGTGCATAAAGAGCTATCCGGAGGCTGGTGCGGAAACCGCAGTCACAATGGTGTTCCTTGAGGTTGGGTTCTATTGCTGGAGTATGAAAGGCTCTCGTGTAAAAGTTATAAAGCGATCAGACACACCCGTTGGATGATCTTGGTTTATTAAGTTATACTGTATATTTTCGCATGATCTGGCTAGCAATCTCTAGTGGTATAAGCATGTATGGTTGCTGAAAGAAGGGATCAGGGAGTACAATCTGCAGTTGGTCCCCATGTCCTTTCTGAATGGTCTCCTGAAGCACCTCGATTGCGGCAGGTTTGACAGGTATAGTGATAGGACCTCGAGGTTTGGCATGATCTGGTCTTTTCTCTCAATATAATAGCTCTGCCAAAAACAGTATCGAAACAGGTATATCACGCATACCTCCATATTCTGGATGTGGCTTACCACTTAAGGTAGAATCTTCAGTCATTTCTTGTGATACAACCTCTTGCCCCGGATTTGAACGTTGCAGACAAGTGGCTCCATTCTGCAATTCGTCGTTGCCTGGTATTATTAGCAGTATTCAGAGCCTACGCGGGTAGTAGGGCCAGACCTATGGGACGGCCAATTTGAAACTTGTCACGGAACTGGGTCTCAGCTGTCGGGATATTGTACTGAGCAGCAAGCAACGCGAGGGGCTCAGAAGTAAGTACACTGCCGTTATTGGCTATATATCTTACAAGCGTAGTCCTGTCCTTTTGGTTTAATGTGATGGCTTTGGTCTTCCCGATGCTTGCAGCGCACAAAGTGGCCATGCTTCTGCCATTACGACCACGGCGTATCTCGTAGAGGAAGTCTTGATAGACTCGGAATGGTCGCTCGCTTTGTTCGGAAGTCATAATACGAGCCGCGTTTGAAACGAGGGTGAAGCTTCTCTTGTTACCAAACCGACCTAAGGTCCTCACATCCTCAGCAACTTGGTGGATTTTTTCGCATATGTCTCTGAGACCAATAGGTATCTCGGATGGCCGCTCTCCAACACCGTTTTGGATCATATTGGAGGAAAGCCCGTTGCTGAGATATTGCTGAGGAACTGATGAGAAAGTAGGGAGTGGGAGTCAGCTAGTAATTAGGCAGCCAATAACCCCGCAATCATACGTCACAAGATCCTTATCACATTCACATGACTGTACTATAATAATCGCAGGAACTGAGTAAATACTCAGTAAAAGGTAAGCAATTTGTCAGCAAATACTCCGTAAATGTTGATAACTTAGTCGAGTCGAAAAAGAATAACGGAGATCATATGTCGATATCGATAAAATAATCGTTTTCTCTTTTTCTTTTTTCTTTCTTCGACTTGATGCCTACTTCATCTCCCTGGCCTAGATCCAGCCTCGACCTTTGGTGCGGTTGCCCATGCAGCTCAGTCGGGATAAAGGGGTAGTCAGAGTTGAGTATTAGATCTGTCGCTGTAGAATAGATAATCAAAGCTTTCATTCTATTTAAAGGCAAGAATATCAAACATCTTGAAACATATAAATACAATAACAGGAATAGGCAAGCAAAAAATGTCTTAAAACAACAACAAGCAGCAGATAATAGCGTGGTTGGTTCAATATCCAGAAGGCTAAACGCAGGGACAGGTTGCCGAAGCAGATCTAGTGGCCGATGTGGTCGCCGGGATGGATAACAACGAAGAAGTCGATGCTTTGAGTGTGCTCAAAGACGGTGTCACACTTTTAGTAGCCTTCATATCAGACGCGCTACAGAAACTCCCTTTCTTAAGGCCATTGTCCAGCACACATTCGGCTTTGTTTCCATTTCTGTTGAAGAACGTGACTTTCCCAGATTGGCTGACTTCGATCCAGGCAACGTTCTTGCCATTGTGATCCTGACCACATGCCGCAACATCCTTAGTAGTGGAGTTTCTGTGGGTTCTATCGCCATCTTCGATCATCTCTTTGATTGAACTCTATTTAGCTTGTTTCTTCAGATATTTGGAAGTGGGATATTCCTAACTCGAGCAGTCGTTTCCGTGCAACTTTGCAAACGGTGCAGAAAAGCCAGTACAACCGTGATTATCGTCGGAATATATCTGACACTCCCCTGCTGTATTATCGATAACCTGAAGTGTTCCCCCTAGGGAGGTACGGACAAAAAGTCCGATCACAGCTGCGGAGAGTAAAAGGTTCATAGTGAGAGGTTAAACAGGAGTAAGAAGAATGAAGTCCAATGGAAAAAGAAATAAGGAGGGAGCTTCCTCGGTATTTGTAATGAGAGCTTATTCCCTAGGCAAATTACGGCGCCGGTTTCAGTAACTAGGTCGATTCCCTTCTACGACAGTGGAACTACTATAAAGAGAATTCGAAACAGGACAGTAGGCTCCGAAACAGGACAGGGGGGGTGGAGATACTAGGCCCCATCCTTCTCCCTTCATCTCTCTTCTCCTCCCCACTCTGTTCCCCATCCTTCCTATTAGCCATAGGGGAGACTGGGGAGGTTGTAGGTAGAGTAAGGAGATATTCGGGCTAAGTCTTGATTACAGTATGTTAGAGGAAAATATTGCGGTATGAAATACAGAAGTTTGATTCACAATAATACTCGCTTATTTGGTTTTTTGTGATCATCGCCGGCCTTCCTTTTTCCGCTTTTCACATCCCATACTTTCATGTATTCTCTTAACTGATCAACAGACATCGTATCCTCTGGGATATTTGGGTTACCAGCCTTGTCCTTTCTTTCCACTAGAATGAGTTGTTGCCGTAAAGCTTCATCCAAAGTTTTATCAAAATCCGGACTTTGAAGCCCGTAGTCTTCATGAATCGATAGAAACCGATGCTCCTGGGATAGAAACCGTATTTCAGATCGAATCACATTCACGTCCTCCTTTAGGAATTTGTAGTATTCTCGGGACTCGAGAAGAAAGAACACCACCAATTGAGTGTTCTCAGATTCAAACCAGTCCTTCAGAATGGTTTCTGCCTTTTTTTCTATGCGCAATTCCGTTTCGCTTATTCAATTGGCCACTGTGGTCAGGACCCTCGAATCCAACTGCAAGTGGAATCAGATGCTTCTCTGAAGCTGGTGCGCCAGACTCCGGGTGCTCTAAGATATGAGCTTGAGATATGTTTCCTGGATCAGGATCGAGCATTGAAACGTCGCCAGCAATTTGTTGATTATCTGGGCTCTTATTCACCTGTTCAAGAGCGTCTGCCTGTATGTCGGCACTATCTTGCCGAGTGGGAGAAATGCACTCGGTATCATGCCCATCAATGTTGACTAAAGAAGTTTCCACGTTTTGTTGTCGAGAAGTGTCTGGTAGATCATCTACCAGTTTTTGAATATCACCAAAAAAACAGATTAAGATATCGCGTGTAACACCCAATGGGGTTGGGTAATCTTTCAAAGACACATCTTCCTTGAATATCGACCACAGGAACAAGTGTCTACGTAGTGTAGAATACTGATCAGAAGATGGGGTGTTGTATCTCCTCTCGGCGTTCTGGCTGGGGTCATCCGTCGTAAAGCTTGCACTCTGCGCTTCAGTATCTCGCGGGGCCCGTTTCTTGAGATAATATTCCAACACCTGGGGCACGAAATCCTCTGGTAGCTTTGTGCCTCTCATCTTCTCTGTTTGATCATCGTAAAGTGTGTGGAATAGGTCTCTGGGAATCTCCTTAATGAATTTTCTTTTTTGATTTGCAAGTTCGGTGATCTTAGATGATTGAAACCCAGCACTCTTCGCAAGCTTGGAAAGATTCCAGAGATTCAGTGCCTTGGTCCATACAGAGAATGATCTTTTGTCTGTTCGGTCTGGTTTGGGTATGTTGTCAACAAAATGTCGGAGTGCGAAGAGCCAAAGCTGCAGGATCGAAACCTCAACTGGAGTCCTCGACTTTTCCCTTTTCACTGATTGATGCTCAGATATCTGAATCTCGATAGTCTGATCTCCAAAAGAGGTCCAGGAACGTCTCATCGTAGTAAGGAAATCTCCCTTGGTTTCTATGTCACAAATTTGATGTAGGCCCTTGACAGGTCCATTCATGAACAAGGTATCCTGGACCAGGGTGTGAATTGATATCAATCTTCCAGGGAAATCGACGAGGCATTGGGCCAGGGTTTCCCGCTCACATAGAACCATTGGAAATACTGTCTTAGAGTTTATAAGCTCTAAGATATGTTCGCGGTCTTTGAGGGATATATGAGGGCAAAGCCCTTCCAGTAAACCAATTGAATCGGCATCGAGAAGATACTGGTTATCAGACGAGAACACAGCACTCCATCTTACGTGGATAGACCAGACGTACTGATATATCATCTACAATCATGAGCATCATTCACCGAAAGAGTTGTTCACATACCTGAGGATATCGAAATGCTAGCATTCGCTCAATATGAGAGGACCTCAGAGGCCGCCAAAATCCAACGAATGGTAAAAGCAAATCAAACCCCCTCAAGAAGTCTTTGTGTTTCTGAAGACGACGGAAGTTTGTTCGACGGCCATCAGAACGAAGCCTTGACCACCATTTTTGCTCTTGCAGTTTATTATTCTGAAGCTGGTTCAAACGTATATTGCGGTAGATCTCCCCGTCGGTATACTCCAGACTATTAGGAAATCCTTCTTTCAATCCAATTCGCGAATCATGGGAAAGAGCTGAGGAAGTTAGCTAATTTTAAACAAGGGGCTCTCTATTCACGGGCATACTGTCCAAGTATAGATCGACTAGCCACTTGTGCAGTCCAAACTCAAAGCCTGCGATCAATCGATGCCGTCCATAGATAATGTCGATTGTTTTGTCACCAAGGTCCAAACATGGAAACTGCCCTGGATCCATAAGAGAGGAATTGGAAATATTTTGCTTCTGTAGTACCTCATTTAGAACATCGGAGGGTATGACTGCAGCGATACGATTTTCAGGATCCAGGTTTGCACAGCCTTCCAGTTCAAAAATCTTGGTAAGGCGAGATATATTTGTCTTGTTACGATGTTCATCTCCGAGAGACAGGTTGCGAAACGGTATGACTGCGGATCCTCGGAAACTTTGTAATCGCTGCCGCGCTAACTCATTTCTTTGCTGCCCAAGAGTGTTCGAATCCATTGTATTGGTCAGAGGAAGTATTGGATTCGACGGTGAGCGCAAGGAAGGTGAACTTGACGTGCTATATTTACAGTTCAGCTCACAGTCCAGTTTCGGATCCTGTGAGGGGCCAATCAAGTGTGAGCCCCACTACCAGTCTACCCGCTGGCATCAACCTGCCGGCTGGCATCAACCTGCCGGCTGGCATCAATGTGCCGGCTGGCATGAACCTGCCGGCTGGCATGAATCTACGGGCTAGCATGAATCTACGGGCTGGCATGAATCTACGGGCTGGCATGAACCTGCCGGCTGGCATGAATCTACGGGCTGGCATGAACCTGCGCATGAATCTACGGGCTGGCATGAATCTACGGGCTGGCATGAATCTACGGGCTGGCATGAATCTACGGGCTGGCATGAATCTACGGGCTGGCATGAATCTACAAAATAAGGCATGGCGATAAATGATCCAGTACATTCAGCTAATAGATTCGCCCCCAAACAAATGTATATACACTTTACCGCTCTTCGCTGATTCATTCAACATGTGGCATTCGTCACAAGACAGCCAGAGATGCCACTGCTCCCGGGCCCACGAAACGCAGAAACGGCGTTCAAAGTAAAAGTGTTCCCTCTTTTTGAAGATCACACAGATCTGATCTTCCTTGGAGATACACCCCAGTTCATCCTTACAAAGGTTGCATAGCGTGTGGATATTGATCCTTCGCTTCGAAGGGAGTAGCAATGAAAGGGTTGCAGAGAACTTTGAACCGGGATCGTATGAGCGTATTTTGACGGTTGTCTTCCGAAATTCACTTTCTAAACAAGAAACACAGGAGCAGCTGATGATTGCCTTCATTCTTGGAGGTTTTGGGTCGGAAAAACAGATGAGTGCACATATACTATAAGTTAATTGAAGGTGAGTTTGGTTGAATTGAGATTCCTTCATAAAATTGACGGTTATTGGTACTTTATGTTTACACAGATAGTCCTCAAACAGATCTTGCTGAAACAGGACACCCTTCCGAAAAGGGAAGAAGAACCGAAACGTGTCATTCCGAACGGTATATTATCACTGGATCTTGCAACAAGAACCAGGAACTATAGTGTGCTGAGTGCGACTTCAAACATGAAGCTGCTGCCCCTGATGCTAGTATCGACTAGTGTTACACTGGCTAGAATGGCCACTGTGCTTCTGCCAGGGTTCCAAGACCGCCAGATGGAGGGAGTCTTGCTTAGTCAAGTTCGTCACCAAGTGATATTCAACCGGGCATCTTTGTTAGTTGAAGTTGACGATATAACTACTAGGGAAACAATACTTCGTCCCTACGTATCGATTGTCCTACAAACGACGGCGGTAAATCGAAGCACTGTGGAATCCCTACAAATGGATTAACAGCCATCATTGCCCCAAGTTGGATACACTTAATCCAGACAAACAAGCTGCATAAGTGAGTTTCTTGAGCAGAAGAATTTGGACATTGACTAAGAATCTTTGCAGTAGCGCGGAGGTATCCTGTGATATCCAGGGGACGACATATGCATCATGCCATGCGAGGGAGATCATCTCAACGCAGGGGCCCCTTGTGGGTAGAGACCTTAATTGGATGACAATACCAATCGTTACTTCTATGACAGAGACTGTCTCGGTCCCCAGCTCTATACCAACGAGTCTGACTACAGATCCCACGCCGGGAAGGTCACCTACTAGAACGCAATCCGCCACTCGCACGGCATCTACCCAAAACAACGCAATCTCGATGACGTCATTCGTAGAAGCCGTTTATCGCGCAGGGGTTTCAGTACTAGCAGGGTTGATGATGATAGGCCTAGTGGGGCTTCCAGCCCCTCTTCTCGTGATTGATCAGCGATTTCTTTAGTTAACTAGGACCGGTGATATATAACTTCTTTGTTAGTTATGTACTGCGTAGCCCCGAGCGGCGCAGACCCCTGTAAATCCGTGCACAGACCCCGTCAACACGGGATGTCCTACCAATGAAACACAAAGACTACGCACTGTTGGTTATTTTGTGGAGAAGCCGGGCACATGTTCCGGGCCGTCAAGCCAATTACCATACTCTGTAGAGAAGACAAAGAATTGCTATCAAAGGGCGTACATAATGAAACTGGGCAGACAACAGGGCAGATAGTGAACCTTATTAAGATAGCGTCTGATCTTCTGTCTTGATTGTTGGACCATCTGTCACTATGTCGATTGACGAAGGCGTGGATGGCCTGTTCCTCGCCAGGGTCGTCTGATCATAATGGAATAAGCCGCTAGATGCTTCTTCGAAATGGACTCTCAATTCCCGCAAACTCTGCTCCTTGAGCTTCAAAGTCTCCTGAAGGCAGATTATCAGGTCTTTCTGCTGTGCATTCTCCGCCTGGAGTTCCTGAATTTGACGGGCATTGTCCCCATTGCTCAAATGGGAAAATAGGCAGTCGAAAGTGGGTTTAAGCCCAGATAGTCGAGTCTCTAAATCTCGAACTTTGCGCCTTTCTAGTGCAAGGTCATGAACCATGACGTAGCATGCGTCATTTGCCCATTTCACTGAAGCTTCATGCTGAGATCTCGAATTATTGAGCTGAGATATGACTCTTTCGATTTGTATACAATGCATCCGCAACCCGTGGTATGCCGCGGAGTCTTCAGCAATTCGGGATTCGAGGCGAGCCTGATAGGACTTGGACTCCTCTGCCTGTCGAAGGAGCTTCTCGATAATGACAATCAGATCCCGACATTGGCCTGGGTCGTACTTGCGCTAGAATAACGTTAGATACTTGCTGCCAAGTTTGAATGTTCGAAATACCTGGTTCTCGCTTTGAGGCATATTTGCTTCCGCAGTATGGCTTTTTGGTCCAAAAGCCTGCGATATATGATAGATTATATGGATACGACGGACTAAGATGTCCTGTAACGGAAAACGGAGGTGCTGTATCAAAGTCGGTAGTGGGGGGGGGGTGGGGGGGGGGGTTAGGGAGGCAAAATTACAACCATTAGAATACACCTGTTTCGGCCTCAGAACGTAGCTGTATCTTGACTGTCCTAGCCTTGCGCCCCTCTCACCCTGATTAGGGTAGAACCTGAATCTATCAATTTATCAAACGGCTCGGTGCCCACATCTTCATCCTGCTTAATAGAAAGAAAAACTCCAAAATCCATGGTGCTACAATACCCTCTTGTCCTTCGCCAATCAGACAGCATGTCTATTTCGCATCCGCATCTTGATCCTATCCCGGAGGAGAAAGAAATAACACCAATGGACCATCGTATCCTTTGCTCCGGTGGTACCACTTCAACCCTTGAAATGATGCCATCAAGAATCAAGCAGGCAAAGAGCATACCAAATGACCCAAAAGCCCACATTGAGGAACTTGTGTATGAAGTAAGCTATCTTCGAGCAGAGCTTCAGTGGCATAAGGAGACAAAGCAGGTTCTCCTGGAGTTCCAGCAACGCATGTTCGACATTTTCCAAAACATGGAAGATACTTTGTCTCGGGCTACGGCGCGACTACACGAGTCAGAGCGCCGGTATTTGAAGGTCTGGGAACATGAATTTGGCGATGAACTAGGAGGTCGATTCTAGATGGTAGCTCAAGATAGTTTGGATTCAATGTATCTAAGAAGATGACGTATTTTCAAAGACCACTGGCAGCCTGCTAGAGATTTCGCCTAACTTAGACATAGCCTCATACTCTCGCTTCAAAACCTCTCTAAAGATCTTGTTGAGGGAATCCACAGACGCAGCCGTTTGTGCAACACGCGTCTGCAAATCTTCCACTTGAGCAGATATCATGAGAAGCCTTTTCGAAAGATCGTCAGAGTTCTCAAGGACACGTTTGGCCGTGAAGTTGAAATGCTCCATTGATCCCATCATGTCAAATGCCTGCCCTTGCTCTATTGAAGAGCAGCCTTGCGTCAAGGCAGGGGAATCCCGGGGAAAGAGATCACTATCTCAACTTGTCAGGGAATATTCCATGTGATAGGAGCGACCACTCACGCCAAGTCATCCGGACATGTTCCTCGTGTGCTTTGAGGTTCGTTTTGGAGACCCTGTGATTGGCTCTCGGTGGTAAACAGAGCAGAGTCGAGGATATCGTCGATATTTATCGATGAAGAGAAGTCAGAATAAAGTGGAAAATCAGGGGTTGTGAACGAATCGGGCATCTTGGTATAGTGTAGAATAATTACTTGGACCAGAGGAGTGGGGGGAAGTTGGCTCATTAAATGCACAGTCTGCATCGGGCAGCCTGGAACTGTTGGTAAAATTCGTATGCATTGTGGTTGGGTGACTTGATACCCCCCGGCCCGGGCGCCGGACGATGAGCTATGCCCAGACAAGTGGATTCTAGACCTCCCGAGTCATCTGAGACGTGGGTGAGCTAAAGGTGATCTGCCGAGAATGGACTTAAATGACTTCAATGAATCTCAAGTATTTAGCCAGAAGACATGGACTGAGCTACCATCCTGAAGCCCAAGTCAAATCTGATAATCACTTAGAGAAATGCCTGCAGAGAATATAGCTTGGCTAGACGTCGGCTTGCAAGAGGATTCTAGGGCTGCAGTCCGAGACTATGGTCGATTGAGAGAACTTATCTCCCAGCTTCCTACACCACAAAAACAATATCCGTCTATCTGTGTGTTTTTAGGGGGGTAGGTTTAAACAGACCGTTATGCAAAGCATGTTTCCTATGAACAATATCAAGCGGCACAGCTCAAAAGTTGCTATCAAGCTGCGAGCCGACATTTCCACAACTACCTCGCAGAATCCCATGCTCTTTGCGGAAGGTGATGATTTTGGTCTTCTCCAGTGTATTAATCCACTGATATTCAAGCCTGGCCAGGGCCAGATCACCTCCTGGTCCTGTGATCCACCAAGCAAGATTCATCTAGTCCTGTGGTCCCTGCTTATATTCCTGTTCACCGATGTGATCTGTCTGTGCTTGGGAGAACGATCAGAGGTTGATGCTGCCATACAATTTCTGATAGAGTGTGCCGACATTCGGAATACGCTTCCTTCTATAATTCAGCCACGGGTCATCCTGATTTTACAAAGCCCGGCAACAGAGACCACATCGTGGAGATCTCAAGTCGATGAAAGACTCTGTCGCGCTCAGTGTGTTCGCCTTGGAGATTCGTTCTCTAGTATAACTACCATGTGCTTCCGATCTAATGACCTCTGGCTACAAGGTCGACTTAAAAGCACAATTACTACAGAGATAGCCATAGTGAGAGGTGTGCGTCAGTCCAAGGGGTCTCTCCTTAATGGGCCCCACTTAGAATCGACGTTCCAACTTGCGCTCGGACATGTTTTATCTTCCATTACTTCTAGTTCAAGCGACAAGAATATCGCGTCCAGTGAGTGCCAACATTACGGAGCACATGGTCCACTATGTCGACGTTGGGAAATATGCGGGGTTAACGCCACATGATCTTGCCCCCTCAATGGCATCCGCACTTTTCATGGATCACTATGTTCCTGGAACCGTTGGTGAGTACCCCGCTGGCCCCACCGAAATTATCTGGTTAGACTCATGAGAGCAGGATTCGAACCGCGCCATGTTTTCCGGTCCTTATACGAAGCGTCAATAAAAGATGCATGTAACATGCATTGCTCACCAGGGTTAGAAATTGAAATCGAGGATAAATTCATGAGCCTTTTTGACCGATTCGAAGGCGGCACCTCGTCAATCACATTACGAGCAGAGCAATTGAACTCCCAAAAACAGATCCTACGTCACATCCATAGCAATAGGATCTGCTTGGTCTGTCTACTGGGAGTGGCACAACATGTGCTCTCTTGTGGCCACGCTCTATGTGATCGCTGTGTGCAGGTTTTCGGCACGCCCACAGCTGGGTACGATTATCGATTTACGATCGGCAGCTGCCTCTATTGTTGTTACCAACGACCACTTATCGTAGATATTATGGGCCCAACAATGAGCCCATCAATATTGGCTATAGACGGTGGAGGGGTCCGTGGGGTTATCCCCTTGGAGTTCCTTTTGCTTGTACAGGAGCACTTGAACCCATGCACGATCCAGGATGTGATCGATCTTGGGATAGGTACTAGTTCAGGTAAGTTCTTCGTCGATCTCAATTTTGCGGCGCTTATCTGATTGGTCGCAGGTGGTCTGATAATCCAAGGCCTCTTTATCATGTCCTGGACTGTGCCGGAATGCTCTCGTACTTTTGAAAGCCTAGCCCATCGTATCTTTAGCCAGCGGCGGAATTCTGCCGCTCTGAACTTGATTCGCCCATTCATAACGGGCCGGTCATTGGTCAGCGAATCAGCTCGATGGCTGAGTTGGCTACTCCGTGATAGCTGCTACGATGCTCGTGTATTCGATGATGTCCTAAAGGAGACTTTTGGAGAGTATAGACGGATGTTTGGCCCTAGTCGAGATGATCCAAGGGAGCAGTCATACTCCAGCACCAAGGCCGGCGTGGTTGCGACAGGAATCTCCCGAGACACGAGCACATTTGTCTTCGCTAACTTTAATCCGACGAGTAGGAACGAAGCCGGTAAGCGATATGCATAAGCCATAGGGATGATTGTGCTCACCAAGTCAAGGTCATCGAATCATCCGGCCTAGTGACACCGCACGGGACCCCACGGTTTGGAAAGCGTAAGACTACCCCTGCACTGGCCCCATATAATGATTGGCTGAAAAATTTCACTAGGGCCAGGGCCACGGCCGCGGCCCCCCTTGTATGCGACCCTTTCCTTGTATTGGTCCGCGTGATAGACTGACTAACCCACTATAGCTTTTTTACCCCCGCAGATCTGCAAGGAATTGGCTCTTTTCAGGACGGTGGGCTGAAACATAACTTCGCTGGCGCTATTGCCCTGGAAGTTTCCCACCAGATCTGGCCAAACGCTGGCGGGTCAGTTCGGATGTTATCCCTAGGCACCGGGATAACGGAGCTATCCGTGAACCAGACGCCCCATTTTCGAAACGTTTTTCGGGACAGCTTTTTACGCCGAGGGTTCGACGCGTGGATGTCAACTATGGACACTGAGCAGGACTGGAGGAAGTACAAGAGCCGCCTCTCGAGGCAGGGGGCCTTTGACACCATCAGACTGAACGTCCCCCTAGGTGATACACCAAATGGGATTGACGCGGTTGCTAGAATAGAAGAATACCGCGGCCTGGTTATTGCCCAACCCGGCAGCGCTAGGATGGCCCGGGAGGCCGCTACCATGCTACTCGTATCTCGATTTTACTTCATTATTTGTGGCCTACCGGAAGACACCACGGCCCCTTTTTGGTGTTGCGGTATGATTCGTTGCAAGGGACCCGCACAGTCCATCATTGAAGCCCTGGAGCATCTTTACCCTGACGGCACGAGGTGGATGTCTGATTATGGACTGCTGGAGAACTTCCAGGGACAATCCGGGATTTGCCCATCATGCGGGGGCTACAGCCAAGAAATCAGAATCCTTGCTCGACATGAGGACCATGAGATCAACATTTTCCTTGAAACCGGGTCCAAGAAGCGATGGCGAGCCAGCGGATTCCCTGCCACTGTGGCTTCATTTGTGGACAAGCAGGGCTTCCATTCACGTTTCGGCCGGGACGATCACGGAAAACCAGGCTGGGCTTCCTGTAAAATGTGTGACGTCTCCCGAATGCAAACAAAGAGAAAGTGCGCAATTGTGGCTCCCAACGCCGAGACCCCGAAGAGAGCCCGGCGGCCTGAGCGCAAATAGTACAGTATATTACCGCCTGTATTTAATACCGTTATTTTAGTATCTCTGGCTATATAGTTCAATCGCCGCTTTTGCAGACCTCAGCATTCTCCAGCTATGTCCGAAGACCGAACCAAAGTCAGAAAAAGAACCAGGACTCTCTTAAGGAAAGCCAACGAGCTTGCAAGTTTACCTGATGTTAAAGTCTACATGCTAGTCGCTTCACCGTGGTATCAATTCTGCTATAACTCTGAGAAAAAGGGCATATGGCCTGTTCCTGATACTGAACTGGTCAGTGATGGACACAACGCCAAAGTCTCAGGACTGACCAGGTTCTAGGACTCGCATTATCCCAATCTCCAGCGTGAAACGCCCGAAACCATGATACGAAAAGACGATGGCACTCTGCGTGACCTCAAACAACTTTCTCGTTATTTTACCCGCCGTGCTGAATTCCTGTCTCGGCTTTCTCAAGGATCTCACCCCTGAGGGTGAGTTGAACGTGATGCACCCCACCGCGTCCTCTATTTAAGTGGACAGGGAAAGTGCCCCGTGATGATACGTCGCTCCGTGAATTATATCACATAATGGCTTTCACCCTACCAAGTGCCGTCACATCTCCTGAAGGTGTATACACTGCAATCATTCTTTTCATCGCATCAGTTTATTTGATGTATCACTTTATCATAGTCATCATACACTTTCTATCGTCCTGCTCATTCTTCTCTAATCGAATCCGACCCTATATCTTGAGCCAGATTATATATGCTCGGTTCAATAATCATTTCCTCGGTGTTCACAGCGTATCTCGGTCTCACGTTGTGCTTGGGACTGCTTACTTCCTGGGTACGGGTATATGTAATGTTATAAGCGTCAACACGCTAGCTAAGGCAAGCTCGAGAGCCGCTCATTTGTCTCTGGTCAACCTGGCACCTATGTTCATTGCCGGTAGCTACGAGTTTGGAGCTCGGCTCCTAGGCATCTCACTGCATGCCTATCGCTCCGTTCATCGGATATTCGGATATGTAGCCTTTATAGAGGCTGTCGTGCATGTGGTTATCATGGGGTGTACACGAAAAATATCATGGTCCGACCATTCCGACTTCTACGGTTTGCTGGTCTGTTTGAAAGATTTATCTTTCCTGAATCATTTCTAACGCTCAACTAGGCTTCCTGCACACTATTATCACTCATCATCCTTCCACTGGTAAAGAAGCGAGTTTATGAGGTCTTTCTCCTCACTCACACTGGAAGCTCGATCCTAATTATCTACGCTGTTTGGCAACATGTCAAATCAGGCCCACATAGACTGTGGATTTTCCCCTTGGTCTTCGTGTCCACTTTCAGCGTTTCTAGTATTCTTCAGCTTCTCAGAATATTGTACCGCAACATCGTGATGGGTAGACACCCGATCCGGCTGACGCTTGAGACATACACAGGTAATGTCGCGCGAATGACTCTGGTCTTGCCACGCCCTTGGCATGTGCGAGCAGGAGAACGCGTCAATCTAGCAATTCCACAGATCGGCATATTATATCTTTTCCAGAGCCATCCGTTCACCATATGTTGGTGGGAAATGGGCGAAGATCGGTCAATGTCAATATCTGTTCTGTTCCGGCCGCGATCCGGATTCACTAGAAGAGTGATAGAACGCATTGAGCCTCTGAGAGAATACGGGGCTTGGATAGATGGCCCATTTGGACCTTCGTCCCTAAATGGGCTTCATGGGACCATTGGTGATTTCGGTCATGTGTTGATGGTTGCAACGGGGATTGGCATTGCAGCACAAATACCCTATATCAAAGAGATTCTGGAAGGACATCACCAAGGTTTGATTCGAACGCAAAGAGTATCCCTCATTTGGCAGTTGGATAACCGTGGGGACTGGGAGAGTGCGAGAGACTGGCTCCAGGACCTGGTTAAACAAGATAATGGATACGTGAGTGGAGTACGTGCTTGGTGAACTGGTGAACTTTTCCATCTTACGATCCATTCAGATGCTATACGTCACAGTATATGATCAACTAAGCTCTGCTGGGTCTACACAACGTATTGGAGCCAATGGGTTGATTACGGTACACAGTGGCTTGGTCGATTGGGAAGAGCAGCTTCAACTCGAAATGAACAGACAGATCGGAAAACTGATCGTGACTGGTATGGAAAGCCTCTCTAGAAAGAAGTGATGCGGCCACTAAACAATTTCCAGTCTCTGCTCGGGCTCAGGTACGTCGCACCATGCGTGACTTGGTCAGAACAAGGACCCATCTTGGGGTAAGGCTTTTTGAGCAAGAATTCCAACCATGGGGCTTTGGAGGATCTATACGGGCATATCTAAGGCCATAGTGTTGCTGCCAAAGTTTTGCAACATTAGAGCAGCGAAGGCAGGGGGATACAAAGCTGAAAAGTGTACCTTGAATCGCATGGCACCGCCTACGTATTGTACGATTTGAATACTCTACCAATCTCTCTCGCAAGGCTTTTCGGTCTTTTCTCAGAACCTCTATTATCTTTAGACCTAGACGTCTCGCATAAAACGCCTGTCCAGTTTCGGATTCCGGACCCACATTAGCCTGTTTCAGGCCTTCGACCTGAGATAAAGGGAGTTGACGAGCCAAGCATGGAAATGTAGCCATGTCATCCTCGCCGCCGGTCACTTATATACAAAAGGTTGTCGAAGCTGATCAAGTGCTTTGGGAATATAACATCCTCGCTAGTATAGCACATTGGGTATTACTGGCAGGTTATCTCATTCTTCCAGGGACATTCACATCTCTCCAGAATTCAGACGGTATTAGTCACAAACTAGGGCAAAGCCAGACTGGAAAGGCAATCTTAAACCAAATACAAAATCCTCCACTCATCGTATTGGGATGTCTGTTCTTTTTCATTGGAACATGTGGAATTGGAGGTCTTTATTGGAAGCATCAAAACAATTATATTTGGCTTGTTAATAGGCTATTCATGTGAGTTATGTCAAGTCCTACTCCCAGCAAAATACAGTGAGCTCATTCCAACTCGGAGCAGGCCGACATTGTTAAACGCACTGGCTGGGTTTACCAACAACAATGATAAATATATATACCGCCCACCACGGGGAGTGGTCAATCATGGCACTCCTCACTGTGCTAGCATCCCTTCTCTCAATATTGGCAGCTTTGGTTCTACTCTGGATCTATAGGTTCCAAAAGATCTCAAATCTCAAGAAGGCCTATAGAGAAGCCTACCGTATGAATTCGGTACAAAGCTTTGAACAGGATACTGATTTGTCACGCATTCGTCACGGCGCCTTCAATTTGCCCGATAGACCAGCTAGAGGGACTATTGCCGAAGAGGCCGATCAGAATGACATGGCAACAAAGGTTGGAAATTCCGGGATAATCCGATGATTATCCAGCTTGTGTCAGCCGTTGGCCGATTCTGCCTCTCCCACCGCCCTTGATGGCAGCACTGTCTGAACTACTGTCGTCCGAACACATACGAAAGTGGATGGAGAGATGGTGGGAGTTGGGTATTAGATCGGTCGCCGTAGCTTGTCCTTCCTCATCTTCTCCTCTTCCCTCTCTAGCTTAGTATTCCGAATTGAAACACCGTTGTTGCCGCCCCCAACTCCGATTAGGTTTTCCGTTGACAGCTTACAGCACTACTGCATTCTCTTAGGAGAAAGATTCGTGGCTTATGTGGTCTGGTGGTGGTTGGGGAGAAACCGAAGGCTTGGGATATGCTGAATAAATGTTGAACCTGAGGTGCAAATAAGTACTAAATTGCATTTAAAAAACTGTATCTATGTCAAGATTTCCATTGTTATTTCACGTGACGAGAGGAGTCCGCGATGGCTGTAGGACAACTGGGATAAGGCAGACTCCAGCAACCTGAGATGAGGACTCAATGGTCCTGCTCCCCCATACACAAGAACTCTTTCAAGTCGGACTGTCTTCAGGCTGACCTTCTGCCTCTGAATAAACTTGTCCAGGTCCGACACAATGAGCCCACAGTTGACCAGATCTATCTGCTGCAAAGACTCTAGGTGAATACCTGCCAAGAAATGCAAAAGGCTGAAACTATCCACGAGCTTGATCTTCGATATCCCCATAAGGCATTCGCTAGCCAGAGCAAGTAGATCCGTATGGTTCTTTCCCAGGCCTGCATAGAACCCATAAACTTCGATAGTCTGGATAGAGAACCCTTGGACTTGGGCGCTGCGTAAGGCTTTCATCATTGTCTCAAGATGAAGCGAAAATGAGTCTTTCCAGTCTATGAAGACACGATTCGCGAACCAGAAATACTTTTCATGCTGCGTCTCGTGAAAAGACAACTTGAAAGTGTCCAGGTGCAAAAATTGCTTCACGCACCCCTCAAAAATCGCGACGTCATGCCTTCTAGTCAGTATCTCATTTTGATCCCTCGCAATCGCGCTAAAGTGTCTTTGCGCCGCCTTATAAGACACCTCTATTGCCGCGGAGTCCCAGTTGAACTCATTCCGGTCTCTTCTGTACTCTTCGGGCGTATAGATATAAGCTTCGAAGTAGTCTAGGTAGCGGACATCTGTAAAACGTTAGATAAGAAAGCACTGACCAGAAACGACCTACAAGGATCAACTAGTTCCGTGGCCTCATAGTTGAGTACTCTCACATGTGGGGCCATTGGAGAGCCTGAAAGCTGGCGCAAATTCTCCAATCCTTTTGTTGAGAACGTGATTTTGACTTCTCTATAAAGTAGACGACAGGCTATGGCCCGAAGCCTTCGATTTGCCAAAGAGACTTGCTTCAGGGGCAATACAGGGAGATGTCCAAAGACCATTTCCAGCAGCTCTGAAGGTAGGTGCGCCAACCTGTATCCTCGGGACATTGTAGAAAAGCATTATGGCTCGAAGTTATCTCCTACCTGAATATCATAAATAAAATGGCCCTACTCCCGAGTGGGGCAGTCCTGTTTCGGATGGACTGCCATTTCTGGATGCCTGCAAAGTAGCAGGAAGTGCACGTGACACAGCTGTTATATATGCGGCTTGCCCAGAGCTTCAAACCTTGATATCTGAAGCACCTCAAGAGGACCAATTCTTATATCCTAGTACGTGAATTCCCCTAAAATTAAATAACCGGAGCTGATCATCGGCAGCGAGATGAAAGGCACTATTTTCTGGTCTTGCACCACTTGCTACGATATGTACTCAAGAGACGCGAGCATAAGTATTGTGTCCGATGTTCCCAGCACCAACTCGAAATCTATCAAGAAGTGGACACTTATCATCATACGAAGAAGGGTCATCAAGATCCACACTGTCTGCGAAGATTGCCTGTCGGGATATGGGGAAAAAGATAAAAGAAGCCTTGTCCCGGAACAGCGGAGGCAGATCATATACACCAGGAGCTTTCCTTGGATCAAGCAGCAATGGGATTTTTGGATATCCTGTACTGAGAACAAAAGAATAAGTGGCGCTCTCCAGCGGGATAGAGGTCTGTGCCTCTACCTTTGCACGACTGCTTACATTGGATGATAAAGTACATTGAGATATAGTTATGTTTTGGGGAAGCTTAAGTTTGATTGACCCGATCCCCGATCTTTATTCCCATAGGAAGGGTGGTAAAATAATGCCTTTTGAGGCTCCAGGCCCCTCCTGGATTTGCCAACTGGAGGAATTCATGCTGCGATGTTTAGTACCATGCAATCGTGACCAAGCTTAAACTTACCTTCAATAGACTTTTCGCCGAGCTCTCCACTGATTTTGTCATGAACGAGCGAGCTGATACTGATAATGGCGGGGTCACTAACTCAGAATCAGTTTCGCACAACAGGTTTGTTCTATCCCCAAGGTATAAAAGTATAGAGCCAACAGCCTTTAGGTCTCTCTGAAAGCCCCGCTTGAGTGTGTGTCTAACAAGCTGTCACCAATGTTCGCTAGAGAAACTTAGCTCAGATCGTCCCTCAAATACTTCCTATTATGAGCTTACGTACCGATTTTTATTTCCCCCAAGTGGGTCAAAATCACGTTGCCGCAGTTTATTGACCCGTGGCTAATCTTGAGAGCCGTATGGAGATACAAAAGCCCACGAAGAATCTCTTTGCAAATCGTGGCCATGTCCGGTTCGCTAAAGTCGACGCTCCCAGCCACACAAGCAAGCGATATCGCCAAATGCTGATAGTCATATACAATATGGATGATGCCTTGAGATTCAAAACTGTCCACAAGATTGATCAAGTTCTTATGGCTGGCCTTCCTCAGTAAAGCTATATCCTTAGGACCTCCATGGCGTTCTTTAATCAAATAGACTGGGAAGGTCTCCGTATCCATAATAGCGACCACTCCTGGGCCTGCCTGATCTATTTTGTAGAACCTGTGGTAAGGCCTCTTGACAGACGGGCTTCGAGGTGCGGTCTTCTGAGGGCTTGGTTTGATCGGGATCCCAAACCTTGTAGATTTGTTGTTACAAGGAATATTATCATTTGACACTGGGAGTACATTTGACTTGTTTGAAGATTCAACAACGTCGGAACCTTTAGGTTCCTTGTTGAGATCGGATTTTGGGCTGGCAACAGGGCGATCATCTTTCTCTGATGTTGTAAAGGAATGAATCGAAGAATCACTGTGATCCCACAAGGAATGAGGAAGGATTGTCTTGCGCTTAGAATAGGCCATAGCTCCAGGGGATTCTCCAAAGAGATCAAATGGGGATGGAGCTTATAACAAAGACGGACCTACAGTCTTTCGAAAGGAGGGGGTTAAAGTGGGTCGTTGACCGAAACAGGACCTGACCAGTCTCGGATATAATTGACCGGGGTTTCCCACAGCTTTGGCCCAAAGAGGGCCTATTCCACGATGGGTGGGCAGGATAATAAGTCCGGAAATGAGAAGCGAGCTGTATTACGTGAAAGCTGTCGAAGGCGTCTCTCACAGCACATCTGTATGACATTCCGGTGGATTTATCCGAATAACGATTAATAGAGACTAGGGCAACGTTTGAAAATCAAAGTAGACCCATCCCAAGTCCGATTGAAGGCCGCAGGGGAGGGTTACTCTTGGAAGATCAACGATCCCTCTCTCCGACCCTTGTTCCGAAAGAATCTTAGCAAACATTCGGTTGGGGCATATAGGCGTCTATTGAAAGAAGTTGGGAATTCATTCTTCGCAGTCAGAGAATCTGCAACGCAAACCGTCGAGCTCGATCCTGGAATCATTACAGACCAGGCTATTAAACTACAAGCTGCGATGGAGAGAGTGGAATCACTCGAGAAGGCCTTGGGCGCCGCATACGAAGAGCTTCAATGCAGAGATCAAACACTAAAAGAAGCCCAGGAAACGATCAGCGTACAAGAACAAATTGTTCAAAATTGGCAAACGTTGGCTGAGTTTTACGAGGCGAAATGCAAACAGAACGACTATACTATCGGCCAGCTGAAGGGGATATTACAGACATCGGAGACGAATATCATGTGAGACTAGGATTTCTTGTGCTGGCCAGTTTCGGACAATCCTGTTTCGGACACTCCTGCTTCGGGCGAGCTCGTTTCGGAAATTACGTTAAATCCGGAATGTATCAATTACTGGACACCGTATAAATAGCCTTATTTTCGCTCCTCATTACGTAGAGCTATTTTCTTAAAAACCCAAAGGCAGACTTATATAATCACTGTCAGGCACTCTGTCATGGGCCGTAAGAAAGGAAAGGCCAACGCGGCCCAGGACGGGACCCAGAACGAGACCCAGGACGGGACCCAGAACGAGACCCAGAACACGACCCAGAACGAGACCCAGAACACGACCCAGAACGAGACCCAGAACGCGGCCCAGAACGCGACCCAGAACGCGACCCAGAACGCGGCCCAGAACGCGACCCAGAACGCGGCCCAACGGCAAGCACGGGATATTCAGACACCCGTCTCAGATCGTGAAGGGTCCCACGACGTGGAGAAGCAAAGATCGGAACCATCGATTACGGAAGTGAAAGCACGGGACATTCAGACACCCGTCTCAGACCGTGAAGGGTCCCACGACGTGGAGAAGCAAAGATCGGAACCATCGATTACGGAAGTGAAAGCGACTCCCCAGCAGACGAGGTTTGCCAGAAGTCCGACTCGGGCGGGTGACTTCGCTCCAAATGCAGGCGACCACCACTCGGATGATGCAACAGACGTTGATATTGATGATGCATCTGAGCAGGATGCCCCAGTCGAGAGCGAGCTGGAGCCTATCAGCAGTTGGGTCAAGAAGATCATCCGTAGTGAAACTTTAGCGCAGTCCGACAAGATGGTTGAGCAGTTCTTCACGGCCAATAAACCCCAGTTTGCAGAATGTGAGCAATTCTTCCAAAGGCTCAATCAGCAGATCCGGGCGGCCAACGCAGAGCACATGGTGGATAACGTTGACACCGGCGTCATCCCCGAAACCGGCTATAACGGTCTCTGTCAAACTTGGCAACAAGCGGCCAACTGGGCCGTCGCAAGAAAATCCCCGCAAGACTTCTGGGAGGCTTTCAATACGACCCATGATCTCCTCAATACTTTCAACAAGAGATACCACCTTCCACAGAGTTGGAACATCAGTGAAGCGTGGGCGGAAAAACTGATTGGAGCCCCGAACCCGGACCCCGGAAAGACCTGGAAGCCGATTTCGCCAGCGATCATCTGAGCATCAAATCGGATGTTGTCGCTGAAGAAAGCAGTGTTTCGGGACTCGATGCCTTGGAGGCAAGGGCAGTCAAACAGCAGCGCCAATCGAAATCGGCGGAAGTCTTATACTGGTGGCCCAAAGGAACAGGGTCACAGATATTTGTGCGCTACGGAGGCCAGAAGGCACCTATATATCGAATTCGCGCTGGTTCGCATGAACCCTACGACAAGACTCAGGTGAAGCGAGTCCTGACCTCACAGGCTCGAGGAACAGCTAAAGTAACGGGGACTAAGAATGGGTTTCCCGAGGAATACTGGAAATACAAAAGAGAAGATGTGAAAGACTTGATCGGCGTGGGTTGGAAGATAGAAGATGACGACGAAGAGGGATTGAACCCGCTCAGTTATCTCCAGCCCGCAAAGAGAGCTATTTATCCTCAAACTCGTTGTCTGGTAAAGTGGAAGGATGGTATCACGACACTGGAAGGGCGAGCCTTTCTCCGTCGTATCACGCATGGCTCAGCACTAGATGGTGACCGAGTGATATACCAAAAGGCCGCCGAACTTGAGAGTGCTTACCGAAAAACACAAGGCCTCGAGGAGCGGGAGGATGTCGACGAGGAGGACCACATAGACGACACTGAGAGTGATGCGTCTTCCGACTCAGCGAGTTCGCTCCACAATAAACCTCGAAGAGAACCAGTGTACTCTTCTAAAGCTTCAAAGAAGACTAAAAATCATCGGCGCTACGAGGACAGCAGTAGTAGTGATGCGGAGAGCCTTGCCTCGCGAGTTTCGTCCTCAAGAAGACACCGCGGTGGAGCAGCCTCTTACCGTCAACCAGGACGAGGGAAGTCTGAGAGCCACGAAGCTACGATCCGGAAGCTTGAGCAAGAGATCGCACGACTCAAGATGGGAAAACCATCAAAGGGTTATCGCAAGGTGCACTGACTGCGTTAGCGACGAGATGATGACTCTCCCTCGTGATGAGTAATATGGACATTAGTATATTCACTCATTGGTTTACATGAATTCGTCTCCTCTGTGGCGTTCTCCTGGAGAGATGGATTTTTGGTTTTCTATATAGTCATTCCTTATCTTGCCATTTGTCTTTGGTTTCCCGCGGATATGAGCAGGTCTCATGTCAATGATCAAGTTTTTCTTTTCGAAATTGGAAGTCCTCAGCTCATCACTTTACGCCTTGGCCGTGATCATTAACCTGCCCACTGCTTTCTAGCAATTACTGTAGGCCTTTTACCTCTCTTTAGAAAATCATTCCTTGAAATGCATAGATATATTCCGGATGTCCAGGTCAGGGGGAGAAGTGTTGGACGAATAAGGCGTCCCCTCAGAAAATAGTGGATGTGGGACGCCAACAGTTGTATTCAATACACAGTACATACATACAGGGCTGAAACATGTGGGTCTGTCTGCCAAGGCGCCCTGAACCCATAAAAACCGATAAGCTGCCGCTCTGGCGACCTGAGGTCTTTTCCGTGACATGCAACCCATCCAAGCGTCTGGTTCACGATGGCACCTCCAGAGAACCTCCAGGCTATCTCTCTCCTGAAGAAATTCATTCAATTTGTGATCTCTTCCAACGTTAATAATATTCAGGAGATCCCTGAGGTTTGTGATTTGCTCTACATTATCACACCGTCCTGGTAGTTTTGAATTGACAGATGGTAGTTCCGGGATATAACTCGTGAGCTCGTCCAGAAAGATCCTAATACAGCAAACGCTGTTCGAGAGGCTTTGACAGAACCATCAAAGAGACCTTTACCCCGAAGATCTACAGCGCGGCGAAGGCGCCGTCGAGACGGCCTGTCGTATCGGCCTCCCTACACCTCGCGAACATCCGCCCGACGTGGCTCCAACTTCGATGCCCATCCTAAACAACCAGCTAAGCACGCTGATATAAGGGATCAGAGTGTCATGCCAGGTGTTGAAGCCCAACCAGCAGAAGAAAGCACTAAGCAAGCTAAACAAGCTGAGCATATTGCACAAACACCAACACCTTCATCCCTCCAATATGGCTCCAACTTCGATGCTTATCCTCCACAGCCAGGGAAGCACGCTGATATGGAGGATCAGAATATCACGCCAAGTATTCAAGCTCAATCAGCGGAAGAAAGCACCAAGCTAGCTAAAGAAGCTGAGCACAATGCACAAACATCGACACCTTCATCCAATTTTCAAGACTTCGCTTTTCAAGTTACACAGTCTCTCTGGCATATAAAACTCTTTCAGGAAGAAGTTCCGTCAGCTTTCCACCAGTCGATCCTTCGCTCACTTGCTAAACGTGACGATGAACAATCACCTGCCCTGCAGCATTGGTCCGATGGTTCAATGTTCGTCCGTGTGATCGAGGCCAGTGCTGCTTCTCAGAAAAGAAGGAAAGTCCTCAACATGCTAGAATACATATGGGCTTATGAGTGGCATCAAGACCAGGTAGATCGTGCCAGAAATGAGACTTTTACGAAGCGACGGAAACCTATCAGCGATAGGACTGCTGCGGGCCGTGTACTTGACGCAATCCAAAAGCCCGCAATACCAGGATATATCTCTAAGCGCGAAAAGGATCTTCAGCGTGGCCGGATTGAGAAACAACTTCTTAGGGGGAAGATACTTAGTACCAAGTTGGTGAAAGAACTTGGGCTGGGTATCCTGTTCAGTCCAGAGATCTGGTATAGTAATGAAAGAAAGAGTGGAAGTATGGACACTAATTCATGTAACAGGGATTATATAAAGCTTAGTTCAAAAGAGCTAGACCAGCTTATCCACGATTTCAGGAATGACTATCAGTTTATGATATTATTCGAAGCCTTGTCGAAACAGCTATATACATTCGTCGAACAAGGCTGTCCGGATCTAAGGCAATTCTTCTTAGACCTCAAATCTAGTAGGGCCTTGGATTTTGCGGACCTGGTTTCTATGGAGCGGATGGAGACTGAATATGTAAGATATCGCGTCCTCTTTATAGATCTGACTCTCGATTCTAACTATAGATAGGCCGACCTGCCTGCCCAGAAGAACTATTGGAACGACAAGCTTGAAAGAGCTCTGGCTGACTTGGAATGTTACATCAAGGTCAGCATTCTTGCTAAACCTAAAGGGGCTTCGTTTGAGCAGGATGATGCTATCTATATTCTCAATAACGAGATTTCATGCGAGGATCTGCAGAGGCTTAATGGTAAATGGCTAACATCGTTGTTGATATTCGCTATTATGGGTGTGACAGATAGGCCGGGTTGGGTGAGTTTTGGGTACTCAATCCAAATCGACCAAACCGACAATCCTTTCAAAAGATGTGCCGAAGATATTTCATCCCGAAGGGAGCGCGGGCAGGAACCTCTTGTCTATTTCCGGCCCCTTAACCACCAGAACTCACACTTCACGCTGCTGGAGATTAATGAAAAGGACCGAATGATCCGTCATTACGACTCGCTTCCTGTTAAGGAAAACAGAGATCTAGTCATGCAGAAAGCGCAACATGGGCTGGGGCATATGGGATTTCAATTCGAAGAAGCAGTATGTCTTGTCCCGTCTGAGTAGGATATTTCTAACACGTTTCAAGCCTACACCTCGGCAGCCAGACATGTGGAGTTGCGGCACAAGAGTTCTGTGGAACTTCCAAATGTTAGCAAATGGCTTCCGAACGGATCCCTGTGACAATACAGTATCAGAGAGGATGGCATTCGATATTGTACAAAGGCTGCTTATATGCGCAGAAAGGGGATTCATATCAAAGAGATAGCATCCTGATTCTAGCCCTCATATTGGCCTTTGTCTATCAAGTAACAGTGCGTCGAAGAAGGAATAAGACAGCTTATAAATAAAACTAGGTTTTTTATTTATGACCCAGGCTAGATAGTGTCTAGTAAGAGTAGCTTTTTCTAAAAGCATATGGATAGTCGAATTCTCAGCATGGATCTTTTTTTCCTGTGTTCTAGGTCATCGGATGATCTCGAAGCCCTTCCTTAGCTTTATTTATCGCATAGAGAGGTCTCCTTGTCTGAATGCATTCTATTGCAGTGCACTTCCAGAGCGTACTTTGTACGGAAAGCCCTTGGACAGCAGGTTTCAGGGCATATATGAACTCTCATCTCTTTGTGCATACGTTTATGCACATTCGATTGATGATCTGTTTCAAATTTCTTTCCGCATCTAGTGCATCCAAAAGGGCCCTCGACTGGATGGAACCTTTGGCGGTGCGTTGACAATTGGTATTCTTTAAAAAAAGCCCAAGGACAGCGGAGTTCATCGCACATATAATCTCTCTTCTCTTGGTGCATGCGTTTGTGTACTTCCAGGTCATCAGGTGATTTCAAGTCTTTTTTGCAGTCAACTTCCTCGCATAGAAAAGACCCCATTTCTGGATGTTGCCGTTCGATGTGTCTTCTCCGATGGCAATTTTGACGGAAAGCCCCTGGACAGCCGATTATTGGGCATATATGACGTTTATCTTTGTGAAAAGCTTGGTGCCGTTCTATGTCATCACGTGATTTCAAGTACTTTTAGCAGTCATTTCCTTCGCGTAGAGAAGTCTCTTCTTAATGGGGACAGGAGACGGCGGGTTTGGGCTTTGGGATCTAGAGGCTCGAGGAGGGAACGGTGAATCTGTAGAGGTAGGAGCCAGATCACGTTCCTGTTGACTTAAAGCTTCCTGACCCTCTAAGCTGGAATATTGACTCCGAATTTCGGGTGGTGGGGATCCAGAAATATTCATAAACTCGACAGGTTGCAGGGGCGGAATTTGAATCGGACTCTGACAGGCTCGCGAAAGGCCCGGCGAATCTATATGGGTAGGAGGCGGATCATCGTTGTGTCGACTTAACACTGTCTGGCCTTCTGAGCGATCAGAGACCGGATCCAGTAATTTGGCAATATCCATGAAGAAAGTGGCAGGAATAAGCTGAGGAAAATAAAGGCTGGTCTCTCTTAGCAAGATAAAGGCGAGTTCCCCCTTTTGTAGAGAAGCAAGTTAATCCCAGCTTTGCGCTAATAGGACGACAAGGATTACGGGTACTTCTGTTTTCTGAATGGCTCACATACGGAGATAGAGTGGAGCCAGCTGAATGGCCCAGCGCACTATAAATTTACCAGACAGTACCGAAATTACAGGTTGGAAGCTTACAGTGGATCGAGAACACCCACTCGACTCAGAGACATGAGCCATTGTCAGTGTTCGCTGCCTTTCGAACCTTTTCTTTCCCGCTTCGTGCGCAGGGAATTCAGAATCTATCAATATGGTTTCTACATGATATCAGAGGAAACGGTATTCGGTATTATACAGAGGCTACTTTGTATGCACGGAAGGGAATTCATAGCGAAGCGGTAGCCTCCTAGTTCTGTCCTGAAATCTTAGCCGCCTCTAGGCACCTTTTCTGCTTTGCGATGGTTTTCTTACTGATTATTGACACCTTTACCAGTTGAATCCCAGCTAGCTTTGATCAACTATTACTACTCCGCTCTCGTGTCCGATGGAATTGTCAACCAGTCTGTGCTTCGCAGAGCCTAGTATAGTAGCCATTCTTTTCGAAGAGTTGCTGATGCGTCCCACATTCGCTGATCTCTCCCTTATACATGACCAGAATTTGATCAGCCTTCTTGATCGTACTCAATCTATGAGCAGTCATAACTATTGTGGCGTTGGTTTGTTTCAGTGACGTAACGACATTTTGCTCTGCGATCGCATCTAGAGCCGATGTGGGCTCGTCCAGTAAGAGAATACTAGGGCTCTTTAGTAGCAGACGGGCGATCTCGAGCCGCTGGGCTTCCCCATCGCTCAGGCGATGGCCTTCTTTCCCTAGGAGTGCTTCGTACTGCTCTGAGAACTTCATGATACATTCATGAAGACTAGCACGCTTGCATGCGTCGATGATCTCTTCTTTGGTAGCCCCTGGTTTTGCACGTCGGAGATTCTCTATCACTGAGCCGTTTGAAATAGTTGACCGTCCGGACATAATGCCAATATGACTCCGGAGAGATTCGCAAGTTAAATCGGTAATATTGTGCCCGTCAACAGAGATGCTTCCTCTAGTAACGTCATAGAGGCGGAAGATAAGACGAAGCAATGTCGATTTACCACCTCCCTGATTCTCCGACGATTGCAGTGATGGTACCCGGCCCACAACGGAAGCTAATGTCATGTAACAGTTCACGGTCAGAACCACCCAAGAAATAGACATTCTTAAGTGACAGTTTGCCCGTACACTCTGATAGAGACAGCGCGTCATCTTTGTCAATCACCTCTGGCTTTCTATGAAGATTCCTCACCAAGCGCTCGAGATGGATCAGATTGGACTGAGTTGACACAAATAATATGCTAAAAATTTGTTCGATCGGGCTCTTGAGCGTTTGGAGGAAGAACACCATAGATGTAAAACCACCCAGAGGTCGTCCGCCCATTATGACTTGTCTTCCAGCAAAGAGCACAGTGCATAATGTCCACAGCGTCATTATTAGTCCCTGGGCAAAGTTTAATTGGCTAGATGCCCATGAACTTCTAATTTCACTGTCGTGGAGGCTTTTCAAGGAGCGATCATATCGAATGATGTGAGAAAGGAGGTCTCCAAGATAGGTAACTGTCAACCAAGAATGAATTGGGTCATTCCTAATTTCACTGTTAGACACACCATGATACTGTGGTTGTACACTTACAGGGATTCATTGTTCTTCCGCCAATCATCCATCGTTCTTCTTTGAGACTTTTCAACCTTTTTCGTGAGCGCAAATGTGACCAATAGGTAGCAGATAGCCCCATAAGCAACAACGAACGCGTAATAGATATCGTAGTGGACCGAGAGATATACCAAAGATCCGGCAAGTGATACGGCAGTTGGAATGACGTTAAATGCGAACTGATCCAGGAACGTAGTTACCGATGACGAGCTCGTAATGTCAGAGACAGTGGTCGACGGATTTGTACTTAAATGGTACACGGCATCTAGGTTCATGGTGTGTTGAAAAGATTGCGTTGCAAGATCACGTTGACAGCTCTTTTTGAACTCCCCCCATAAGTAGTTGCGCAGTACATAGAGGTTTGGCTGAATTAAAAGGAGCGTTCCATATTGTAGAGTCTCTCTCCATGGTACTTGACCATCCTGAATTGCGTTGATAATCGCCCCAAGGCTGAGAGGGATTGTAAGTGATAGTGCGCGGTCCAATAAGGCGAGTGAGACGCTTATGGCCGCTGCCATCTTGATACGAAATTCTGAGGGCCAGAGGAATGGCAATAATATAGCATAGTCCCGGAGAGACAATGCCTGGTCATGCTCGGATTCTCTTTCTTGGTTTATGAGAGGTGTCTGCCCCCCGGCTTCCCGGTCAGGCTGGGATTCTCTTTCTTGGTTTATGAGAGGTGTCTGCTCCCAGGCTTCCCGGCCATGCTCGGATTCTCTTTCTTGGTTTATGACAGATGTCTGCTCCCCGACCTCCCGTGTGTCAAGATATTTTGGACCTAATAAGCGAAAATGTAGCAGTGACATGCCACTGAAGCACGCAGCACGAAGCGCATTTGACGTGACTTCAAAACCTAGGCCTGTGACTGGAGACAGAGAGACTTTTAAGCAGAGTCGTGATATGAGGATTGCTATCTCTGTAAGCATGCTGAAGAAGATAGAAATAGAGGGAAAAGGCTCGATTGTCATTCATCCGGTTTATATGGTTGAAGAAGTGTATGAAGAAAGAGGTGCATAGATAGACCTAATTTCTCAATCAGCAGCTATTTATAGCAGAGACAGCTATTATCAGAGTTACATACCGCAGTAATCTTCCTATAGGGCCAATTTTCGACCGAACTTATCAGATTGTCCATGATAAAAGCGATCCCGTCACCGATGTAAAGGAGGAGAATGGCTAGCGATAGCCAACGATCGTTTCTGTTCTCGATGGGGGGTTGCTGTGATTGGATACCCCTTCCCCTTTGGAGTAGATATATAACGAAGACGACCGTGACAAAGCCAAGTAGGCCAGGAGAGGCACCTAGTGTGAAAGCTATTATATCTCCGCTTAAATGCTTCATCGTGGTCTTCTCGTTTTGTTGCTGATAAGCATTTCTTGTAGAAGCGAGAAGGAGAGAGGACGGAATTACGACCATGCTTGGTGAAAGATTGACGAGGGTCGATTGCTGGGTGGAATGTGAACGGATGAAGGCTGGGGAAAAAGTCCTGTATGAGGTCTCTGGATCAAGAAATGCCACCTAAGAGGGCCTTCTCTGAATAATAAAGCCCGGATTCCAATTGTCGATCGATTATAGGGTAGGCGATAGGAAATAGGAGCTAAGCCACCACATCACAGGCCGAAGAAGCCAATAGCCTGAAGCCCATGGTTATTTTCTTTTTCTTAAAAAAGACGGTAATGTACTAGTATGCCCTTGCAGCCTCTAATTTACCGCCTTGTAATACCACGACGTGCCTAAAGCTCCACTATAGCCTGTCAGGTTTCTGATCTGGGTAACCTGGAATTAATACCCAGCAGCCTGATTCTGGAGGGGGCTGTGTAAGGCATAGTAGCGGTACTGGCATTGAAGGCGGCTATGAGCCGCTTACAATCGTCTCCCAGCTGCAATTTCTGTTTCTATTCCCGAACCTTCTACAGTTTTATATTTATATCAGATACAGAATAGCCTACGAGCGAATATACTACATTTGTAAGACAGAGCCAGACAAGTCTCATTGGATTTCCCTCGCTACCAGAACTTAAGATGCGCCCTTAGTCCCAAGATTTCTTCCTGAACCACAATAGCTAGTATTGGTTTCTCGAATCGTGACCGGAATCGTTCTTATGATGACCGATATTCTTTTCTCGATTGGCTATTCGGATACCGTGAAAGCCCATCTCCGAGGGATATAAAAGCTGAGCTGGGACAGGGCGATCCGTTCCTATAGTCGAGGAATATGGCCTTCCGATCTTCGAATCTAGAGCGTCGGATGTTATTGTTGTTGTCATCGCGATAGTAAACTTTGGTGTATCTTCAGAAGGGGGGGGGGTCTGCCAAAAAATGTCAAAGAGCAGCTCCAAGGACCATGTAGGGATCATGAGGGGACTAACCTGTCGATTCTGGACCGGAGCACTTAACATCGAACAATCTCTGTAGCCGCGGTTCTTCAAATTTGCAAGCTTCGATTGGCTGAGCTGAAGTCTCCTTCACAGGAGGTTCATTAGATTGTGGCGATGCTGTTCCCTGGCTATTATCGCTCCAAGGCTCTTGATGCGGGGGAGATTGAACCTCTGAACGAGCGAAAGAACCTGGATATGGCAGTGGAATTCCCATATTGAGTATATTAGAGAGTCATTCCGTTGTGAGACAACAGATGGATGATGTGATCCCTAAGTATTGCGAAAGGCGCACAGGTCCTTATGATAAAGCATCCGAGTCCTAGGCTCCAGGAAGTCGAGACCCGGAGCTATTACTATAGGTTTCCTATACTATGCCTGACCCATCGCCCCACAATTAATGGACTTGAAATTGTACGATCAGCGCCTCCACCCCCTACGTCCCCTGGAAAGGTCAACGTTTCAGCTAGTACTACCCCGTACGATCAGCGCCTCCACTCCTATGTCCCCTGCAAAGTCCGAGGCTTCCGGCCTACTAGATACGGGTCTATGTTAGACCCGGCTTTTAAGTTCCAAGTTCTAGCCCTAAATGGCCACCCAGGGGTCAGGACAGCTTTCGCGCTGGTTCCAAAGGAGATTCAGTGCGGATTACCAGCGATTCAGGCACATCGTATGCCACGGTCAACGCTCACCAACAAGTCGCAGCAAATCGATGTCGACACTCTCATACCACTGGTTAAACCATAATGTATAATATTCATTGAATCGCACCCACTGGGGTTACGTTCTAGCTCCTGATAAGAATATACCAAGTACTGTAATATAAAAAGCCGACTCTGCCATAAGATCCGAACAGTATAGAATCTCGGTACCATGTTTGACGCTATGGCGTGCTGTAGAGCGGGACAGTATAGATGGTTCAGTCTCCTTTCCTACCTACGTATAAAGCCAAGCCTATGAGGGAAACTCCAGGAAAAGCGGAAAGAATTTTGGAAGCAGTCTTCTGAGAGCGACCGATCAATACCAAAGGTATGATGGTGGAATAATGAACATGGCTTTTATTCGTCTGGGGATTTAACATCAGAATCATTCAAACCAAGAGGATTTTTAGAATACAAAAGAAGCATCTTTGCCTGCAAAATTGGATACTTCAGCCTGTGACGAAGCTCGTCATGCCTCCCTTTGTATTCCCATAGAGGAGCTTTGTCATCTTCTCCAACAAACAAATGATAAAGACCATGCACGGACTCATCTCCCTCAATTTTCTGAAGAATACACTCCTTGGTTTTATCGCCAAAGGGGTAACCGACCCTCGTACGGTAAAGGAGGGCAAGAGCATTGAGGTTCTTCTGTTCTATTATGTCTTCACGGTATAACTTCATCTCTAATATCACCTTTTTCAGATGTATCAGAGGTGCAAGACCTTGTCCCTGTGATAAAATTTCGGCTAATTCGAACGCAGTGTACCATGGCTTTCGAGCCCGGTTCTTAAGGCTGTCTGAGATTTTTGAGAGCGGAACTAGTAGCCCAAACTTATAGATACCGGAATCGACGGTGAACATGAAGATGCCATCTGAATAGGCGTCAGTATATTTAAACGAAGATAAGGAAGGAATCATCAACGATACCGCAGGTAACTTGGAGATCAAATCTATGTTCATCCGGGCCGAGCGTACAGGCATTCCAAACCTGGGTTCTAAAACCGGAATCTCGTTTAATAGTGGCTTTACACTTGAGGATGGTGTCAGGTAAAGCCTCTTCTAGCCGAGTGCGGAGGGTTCTTCGGTGGACTGAAGCTTCAGGGTCTCGGTCTCGGACCCTGCCCTTGATGCGGAGAACATCGCACTTTGGATTGGGGGGGAGACCCCACTCGGATTTATCCATTCCGATAAGAAGAAGATTTTTCAGTAGGTTGAAGGAGAGAATATTTTTCAGTGTGTTGACAAGGAGACCTTTCAGGGTTTATAACACTGCTGGCCTGCATACCTGGGCACCGAACATGTCAACCTGAAAGTATAGACACGCAGTACTAGTATTTTATGGTAATTTAATCCAAATATAAAATGATCCTATATTCAGGTTTCGTATGATCTCGTTCTAAGGCTCTGAACTTTTACTTCTTGCGTATGCAGCTAGTACTAATAATATTAATAATGGTGGGCCATAATGCAAAAGAAAGAAAAAAAACGATCCCTTATAAGCCGAATACGAGGGTACAACGGGTCCACCCCCTGTCTGTACTGGATCAACTAAGATGACCACAGATTGAAGGCCTGGAACCCCCCTAGACCCGGTATGGTATCTAATCACCGGTACTCAACATACTAGGCCCTAGGCCAAGCCGCAAAGGGATCTGCATATACCTAAGCAAGATAAACAAGCGGTGTATCCGCCATAATTACATTGAACCACTCCGCACTTTCCAGGTTCTTTCTGCACACATTTTGACCGTCCCTTGGACTGCCGGATACAGGATCGCCTATCTTCATCGGCGCCCATACTGCCGGGCTAGAACGACAAAATTAATTCCGGCTCATCCGTCTCAGGTAAGGGAACGACCCAGGATTTCAGCTGGCTACCAATGCATTCTACACCAGCCCCTATCTCTTGAACAGCATAGCCGTATGCCGATATCGTTTCCGCTATGTCGTATAACATAAGTAACACTCAGAAAAGTCATCACTGCCTTAGGGAGATGTCGTAAATAGAAGTACCTTGTTCCCGTACCCAAAAGCTGTGACTCAAAAGAGCCAAAATCTGGATAAGGTAACAGCGGGCTAGTATGTACGGGTAATACTGCATAAAAGTCGCAGTTGCGGCGTTATAGAGCCCTAAGAATGTCCACTCAGTTTGAGGCCCGTTATAGGGGTAGTCTGGATAGGATAAAGGCGCCATGGTAAGCACGATGCTGTTGCAGGTCCTTTTAAGGGTCAGTGGAGTATTAAGCACTGCCTTCTCCTTGAGTACAAGTCATTATGGAATTGCTAGGACCCGTTATTTATTACACATCTGCAACTAGTACTAGTAGGTCAGGGAAGAAAAGAAAGCATAAGACGGCTCATAAACGAGGTCCGCTTGAACATGGCCGCAGCAGCCGCTCGCCCACGTCAATTTTACATGGCCTAGAACGTGGCCTTAGGCCGGTAACTTCGAATTTGGAAATCCCGTGAAATTTACTCGTATTGCTCCTCTCGGGAAGTTTAGAGTGGAATGCGTGGACTGCAGCCGTAGCTTCCCAACGGCGTTAGGCGGGAGGTCAATCCAGGCCTAGACCGTATCTCATGCCCATGACTAGCCACAATCGAGCTAATGTACAACGCGAATACATCAAAGCCAACGGGTCCTTCCAAGTTATCTTTCGGCCCATTCAAACACGCTGGAGTGATCGGCAGGGTTACCGTAGGAAATACGGTGGTGTTTGTTTCTTGCTTGCTGTCGAAGTCGATTCAAGCTTCTCTCGTCAAATATTCCCTCGTGAAGGGATGTTACTTCCCGGTCTAATTCACTGCAGCTCCATCCAGCCTGAACGACTGCAGCTGTCGCTTCCGGTCCAATCGATTTGTACTCGCTCCAAGAGCAACGGTCGTAGAGTCGGTTTCGGAGGAATGTTACCACCAGGTCATCGGGCCCCCGTTCCGCGTCCATGAATATTATAGACTGGTTAGATTCAGTACAGTATACGATATAGGGGGGTAAATATGCTACTCACCTCCTGCTTTTGCACGCCGCCGGAAATCAATGAGATCCATTGTCTAATCCGAAGCGGAATTAGGCTGGCAAGGCAGTCCATGATCTAGGAAGTAAAATGTTTGACCAGTAAAAGCGCAACTCGTTTGGTGAGAGCGAGGTTTCTTGGGACCGACGGATCTGATGGATCTATATATGCCTCGATCAGGAGATGTGTGCATGCGAGCCTGGCAGTTCCAATAAAATCGACATGGCCTTCTATTAGCGTGCCTCTCATTTATATGCCGCTTCCGATACCACATCTTTGATTGGCATATTTTTGTGCATTACAAGGTAGGTAAAAAGCCATTGGTGGTGGCGTTATGGCCGATGAAGTCATTAGAATCTTGGCTTGCTTAAGTAAGGGGTCGCACCGGGTAAGAAAGAAAAAGGGGCTAACAAGGTGAAGGGGTGAAGGGGGGAAAGCCCGTAAGTAATGTTTCAGCTTCATACCGGGCTCCAAGCACGGCAAAGCTGACTGAATGAGAACTACGTATTGAAGCCAAGCAATCAAAAGACTCGACTAGGATTTGGAACGGCTAAAAAGACGCAAACTACTTTTTGAGATTCATTGCTTCTGGAGATCATTTTTCAACGGCCGAACCCGAGACTCTTTGACTATGAATGATAAACGCTGGACATGGAAAAGCTTCAGGTTGCCGCTACCGAGCGCGGTTTTTGTAGTTCAAGGATCCCAAGCAACACGGGAAGGGCATGCCAAAGAATACTCCGGAGAGAATGATGGTGTATTCTTGTGGGGTTGCTGTCGACTTGATGGTTGCGTACCATATTTCTCTGGGTGATCTCTTTTATACTTTCCGATAGCTTGACTTGCCGCATCGTGGATTGTACCTTGTATCTTCTCGCCACCCGTATCTCCCATGATCACAACATAACTATCAGTCGTTTCATCGGTATCTGGATTTGAGATCCTCATGTTCCTCTGACCGTCATCGTATATACCGGCCGAACATGTGTGGTTCTCGTCTCGATATGTTTCTTCTCTTCGACTGTTCTTTGGTAAACTTGGTGTCTCATCAAGGGATCGCCTAGAGAGACCACGTGTGACTCACCTGACACTGTTCCAATGGCTCTGCTGCATATGGATTTCATGGTCGGTACATGGGACGCCCAGGCAATGTTTCATGGAACACTCGTGGAGAATCGGCGACTTTATATTTTTCCTTCGAGAGTGTCCTAACTGGAGCAGAGCCGTATTGACGTCTAATAGTCCCGACAACTCGTAGTTTGTAATCATCCAATCAAATCCTGCTTCAAAGATACCCAACAGCTTGACAAGCTCATCGCCTGATTGGATTTTCCAAAGCGACTTTTGAAGCCCTTCAATGACAAGATGCTTTGCCTGTCTCTGCATTTTCCCTTTAGCGATGTATGGGGGGGCTCTCGAGCGCAGTCGAGAGAAACGGATCGGGCCTGTAAGGCTGTAATACTTCAAGGAATTTCGCATGTAACTGCTGATTCGTTTCCCCCTTGGAATGAAACTGCTCGCAAGGCTCCTTGTAGAGGTCATAAATCGACACGCACGGAGTATTGTGTATTGCGGACCGTACGAAGGTGGCAAAGGGGAGTCGAAGTAGAACTTTCTGACTGGCTTCCACAGTAAGAAGGGCAACTATTTGAAGATACGCTCCTTTTTTGAAAACAGATTCAACCGTATCACGTAGCTCTTGAGATTCATGAAGAGGTAATGAAAGGGCAGAAGACTGACTTCGAATATCTTCATCAGTGGCAAGCCCGAATTCTTCCAGCTTCTGTCGTTGGCCCTCTGATAAGGTTTCCCGTATACGTGACCACTGGTGAAGGAAAGCGGACTTGCGGCTTTCTACGTCTGGCTCCTCCATTATATTGGAATGTATTTCAGGAGAAAGAGACTTGTGAGAACCGATCAGGTTTCTGTTTGGTAAGACTCGATCTGGGACCGAAAATCTCTGCCGTATTTGAGCACGGTGGGGTATATTTTTAGTGTGAAAAACTTGGAGGCCATGGGAGAAGACTGCCGAAGTGACTGGCGAGATTTGTGCTGATAAGGTTCTAATTAATGCCTGTCCCGCAGCTATTCCATCCGGACCAAGGAAATGCTAGAACAAGGTTTGGCCACGGAGGGCCCGGGGCCGTAGAGCACCGGGTGGATCGGATCGTTGGATTCGGGCTGGATACCTCTCATTTGTGGACGTCGAGTCTGACGTATATTGGCGACTATTCCATCGAAAGGATACTCATAGTGCTACGTCAATACCCGATGAGCCCTGGTATTTTTTGTATATCACACACATGGCGTGCAACCCAGTTAAACTGTCTGTCTAAAGCCTATTGAAAGATTCAGACTGTCCTAAGCGGCGTGAATAAGTGATGGGCCGGACATCGATGGCAATGCACGCACATTCACTGGCTGAACCTGGGGAGCTTTGACACTACTGGCCACAGTGGTATTTGGGCGATATCACCGGGGATCATATCCCTAACTAGTATTATTTCGGGCAAGAGCCCACAATCTGACTGGTCGGGCCTAGGCTCGAATGCCGGGAATATGACCGCGTCAGCCTCTCATCTATTTCCTGAAAGGTAGGAAGAGCCTAGCCCAGGCTGATAAGGGCTTTCTTGGCAAGACACACTACCTAGCAGCCACACTACCTAGCGGCCACACAAGCTCCAGTAGTATCTATACTAGTACAGCAAACGTATGATAGAGACCATGTCTTCCGATTGTTATTGATTATATACATTCTCTGTTGCAGTGCTCAGTATCCCCCGTAGGCTGCTTGAACGCTGACTGGAAAAGGGGGTGGCTTGATCCTAGACTAGCCATTCCGCATGATATTAGCTTCCAAGTATTGGTCGGGACGAGATGGAGCGTACTGAGACCCACTTGACGAAAGACCCACTTGACGAAAGACCCATTTGAGATAACGGAGCTAATGCCCGAGTCAGGTGGGGTTGCTACCCTGTAGTAATTCGCGCACCCAAATCTCGTATAACTGGCTAGACTGTGACATGTACCGAGACCACCTTTTCCCAGCGTCTAGAATCCTTGGTTGCTCATTTAGCAGGTCTGGGATTAATTTTACCTGCCAGATAGGCATATGTTGGAGCTTTGGTAGCACGGACATAAGCGCGAGCCAAAGGCCTGGCTCGCTCTTCTCGGTTTCCACAAAATACATTTTGCGGCCAGTTAGAATGGCATGTTTCACGAGAGTCTCATCCGGTAGCCCTTCCTTGCGTGTGAAACCGGGATTTGTCTCTCCAGGCGTCTCTCGCAAACGCCTAAGAAGAGACCGTATTGTAAGTGCCGAAAGGAAGTACCTTTCAAGTTCTGGATCTGTCGAGTGCCCTTCACGATCTTGCACGCGCACATTAGCGTATGCAATCCTGGGATGCATACCGTATTCAGAATTCAGAATCAAGCTAGTCGGATCGCTTAGACCTTTCAGGAATGCTTCGGTCTTTTCAAGAGTGTGTGACGCCTGATCGAGGAAAGTATTCGCTGAGATTGAGGAGCTAACGGGCTTCGTGTTTCTCTCTAGGAGTGGATCGTCCAAAATTACGGCTTCTTGCTCCGTCGTACCGAATGGACGATCCCTCCTAGAAACCTCCCAGCCCCGTATGCCAGCGCCACGAAATCCAAACTGCGTTTGTCGACGTGGAGACCGATGATCTCTGTAGACAATCCCGCCCACATCAAAAGGCCAGACCCAGTACCTCCTTGCTGTATCCAAAGCCCACCGTGCGCAACAAGGAACTGATCAGCCCGGATTGGGAATGAGATAGCGTCGATCTTCTTACGATGCAGCTCCTCTTCGGTCCTTATGTTGTGGGATTCAGGATAGACTTTGAATAATCCGTCCTCTGGTCCAAGGCTTCTCGTGATAGGTCTCCAAATAACGAATGCCTTGTTGGGACAGGATGCACTTTTCGAATCGTGGGCCCAGGGGGACCAACCAAGTTGTGGATGATTGGCCCCTGCCGGATCACCTCTGCTGGAGAATGAAAGTGGGGCAGGATAATCAGGCCGTTTATCTGTCTTGCGATGTTAGAAGCCATTCTTATTTATATTTGTCATACTTACATTAAGGTCAGCCTCGATAAGTTGCTCCCACGCTTTTTGATTATCGGTACAAGTCCGAACCTCGCTCAAATTCGAGCGGGAGAGATGATCAGCGGTATCTCCAAGTGCAAAATGCCATTCTAGGGCTTCTCTTTTCGCTGGTTTACTATTAACCAAGAAGTACCCGTCGCGTTCTATGCATGCCATGACGACCTGATCATCCCATTCAAACGGGGCGTCAGCGTCCCGCGGGGATAGTGGGGTCTCCTCCATCTTCGGCTTAGGTAATCGAAGTTCAGAGGACAAGTCAACACGAATTCAATTTCAAGCGATACGGTAGGGCTTGAAGCAGGCTATTTATAAAAGCTTCATCTAGGATTGGTATGATTAAGGCTCCTCTACTCTGGCAGTGGACATAGTCGCTCATTTGGCCTTAAAGAGGTTGCATACGCATCTGCAGCAAACTCTGTTCATGCGCAGGTAGCTAAGTAATATTTTTTATCCAGATGACGTAGAAGCTCGTTAGAGGAAACGACTGATGACCTCGGCTTCCTGTTACTTTATGGGATATCTGTGATACCCGCAATATACGACTGAAGTATGCTTTACGGTAATTTCATAATTCAGGACGACCGCAATGTTGTTAATCACTATTCATCAGGAAACAGACACCTCACAATTGCTTTTAGGCACCCGGTGTCATGCCCAGGAAACCAAGTCATGTTTGATCCAAATTACGTACAAATTCTTCGGCTTTCTGTTATATTTACAGAATATCTCGTTCCCATTCGACAATGACCCTGGAGAAATGACTATTGAGGTATCTTTGGATCACTTTAAACAAGTCGACTGAGGATTTCAAGTGGGCCAGTGGTCTTGATACTAGATCCACGATGCTTGCACTGAAGGCGAATCATATGCTCCCCGTTGAGCTCCTGACATTCCGCCAGCTCAATACGTTCGATCACCAGTAACGTGGATTTGTCTTCTTCGCTGCATTGGTCATACATATACTTGAAAAGCCGAGCTGGGTCGACACCTCGGCCTATCATGAGAGACAGATGAATGAACATGCAAAGATGTGATCTCAAAAATTGCTTGTTTGAAACTTTTTTGCGCAGCTCAATGGGTATTTTGTCACAGTCCATGCCCTCATCAAGTTTTTTGTGAAGCTCTGGTACTGCTGTCTCCAACTCCTTGCGTGTCTTTTCAAGATCTGCATCACCATGGAGCTTCTTCCAGTCTTGAAAAAGACATTCCGGAACCCAGTCGTCAAGATTCGAGAAATCTGATAATATCTTAGTTATTTCTAGAACCTGTCAGAGTTTCTGTAAAATACTCACCCATATCAAATTGGGTTCTGCGCTATAGGATAAAGCAGTATGCAGAGGTAAATGGCTGAGTGCTGTGCTTGATCGTAATGATAGTAGCAGATATCCGGGGGGGCGTCGAGCTATTTATAAATTGATGCAAAAATATATCTGGAAGACTCTTCTTGATATGTGACTCGTATTAGCATCTAGAATAGTTTGATCACATGCTATCTTGATCGGCATTATCTATTGTGGCATAAGAGTCCGGAAGTATGATGGTATCATCACTCATAGAAGGTTTAACTAATGGGGCGGAACTACGCTAATTATCATTACTAGTATCCGTATAGGAACGAGGACTTAGTATGCATGAAGGTGCACACTGACGTGATGGGGATACTACTCTTGAACACCGGGACACTGAATGATTGGTGATCGTTTGTCTCCATGTTAAAAACGGTTAGTAGTCATCTCTCTGATAACTCTTAACTATGGTACAAGGAGACTAACGCTATCATTTCGTCTTTTCTGCACGTCTGGATGGTCGCTATTGCTAGAAGAGACTATCTATGAGAGAACTACCAGAGTAGGATGATCCCTGTTGACTAGGCAAGGAGATAATATTCAAAGAAGGCTTTACAATATTGTCCCGGTAAAATAAATACGAAAGATTACTCCTTTTTCTACATATATTACCTATTCTTGATGAAGGGCTTAGCCGGTAGACATATCATCTATCAGAGTTGTATCTAACTCCTTGCACACTAGCATATGACTATTAGTGAATCACACACATTGCTTAATCACTATCTCGTAGCAGTAGGCTTGCCTTTACCCGAGGGGAGAATGGGGACTTCGGGAGAGAAGAACCCTTTTCGAGCAACCGACGACTTCTTCAAGTTAATTGACTCTTTATCAAAAATTAATATATCAGTATACATATCAAGTTGGAGATTGAACAAACCGGATTTTCCTTCTTCATATTCCTCTTCCCTTGCCCTGGTCTGGAGCATCTCCCTGAGACGTTTTGATTCGTCTGAAGAGGGCTTTACTTCTTTCACTGCGTTATGAAAAACGGCACAGCCCCTCTTGCGCAGCAGTCCACGTAGCCTCTGGGGCAACTCTTTACTGCCTTCTATATATCGTCAGTCGGAAAATAAATCGTATCAGAGAATATGACCTGACCATGACTAGATTGCGAATCGAAAACTGGAAGCCCCAACCTCTTGAGAAGAGATTCTTGAGTATCTTCCCGAAGTCCTTTAAACACCTGTTCATAATAGGTATTTAGTCTACCCGTGTCGCTGAGGTGAATCGGTTTCGGGTCAATTTCCTCTGAAATCATGTCTGGATGAACAGGATATGGTGTAAGGAATTGAGCGTGTTCATAATAGCTTTTATGGGCGAGGATTGATTTATATGTTGTTGTTAACTGAATAAAATGGCTGTAGTATTAGGTATGCACTGAGCATGAATATTGGCAGGAAAAATGGAATCGTATCATCGCTCTTCCATTAGCGCGTAGAGATAATACTCGGTGTTCCTCCATCGCTGTAAGCTTCTGTGCTAGCTTGACTGTTTCTTTCTTCGTCCATTTGGCGGCCTCGATTTTGTATACCACAGGAAGAAGAGACAATCCTACAAGATCCTGCCTTCTCTTAACGGGTAAGAGGTGGAGAAGGATCTATGTAGCTGGGTTATTGTATCGGGATACAGGCATGAATCTTCGCTCTGAAGACCCAAAATCTGTCCTCTACGGCTGATATATTCATTCATGATAACCATAAATAAAAACGCCTATCAAAACTTTTCCCGATACCCCAACTCAGGTTCCATCTGATAGTAAGGACGATGCCACCAACCATCTATTAAAGCGTAAGGAAAGGAGGGGAGGACATCCTAAATTAGCGATAATATACGCGAAGATAGGCCAGGCAAAGCCCCACAAGATCCTGCTTTCTATTTGAGGGAGATTTCCTGGTTGGATCCTCCAAGCCGCTAGTATGGGTACCTATACAACCTAATCGTTTTGCTGTATTTCCCAGAGACATCTCTAACGCTCGATTAGGCTGCGAGCACGCTATTGTCACTCATCATCCTTCCACTGGTAAAGAAGCGAGTTTATGAGGTCTTTCTCCTCACTCACATGGGAAGCTCACTCGGACCTTTTTCCTAGCGCAATACTAAGTAGGTACTGATCTCTACTATATGACGTGAATCTAGAAAGCCTAGTAGGTATTGGCAACGGAGCTCGTATTCGAGATACTGGAACTGGAGAGGGAAAGGAAGGAGGAGGAAGGGGAAGTATGATGATATCTAGCCATTTCCTCCACAATCCTCTATCCTATATTTGCTTATCTTATAGTACAGACGGTGTATATTCCTTCCAATACATGCTACAGATCAGCCAAGCTGAGCCTATGGCCCATCAATTGGTCTGGGGAATGTAGAAAATATAGGAGATATACAGAGTGATTATCGGCCCGGCTTCGTCAGCCTCGTGGACTGCCGTCCTCTTTTGGTGAGAGACAGTCACCTGTTGGTAATCCGGCTCGGTGGTTTGAATTCCTAGCTGTCCATGTTTAGGTGATTGAATCAAATGAAATTTCCATTGCGTTGAGTCCTATTCCTGCCCGTCCCGTTATCTAACATACATCTTGTTCTGGAAGCACTCGAAAGAATGATGTGATGTCTGTCTTACTGCTCCTTGTATTGCTCATACGTTCTCTTCCTATGCGGGTCGATGTTCTCTTTTTCTTCGCCCATGCATATTGCCTTCAACGCTGCTTGTCCCCAATTGATTTTCTCTTGGTTTGTGGCTGATCGGATCTTTCTCTTAAGCCAGTCTGGTATGATCAAAGGTTTTGATAACTCTGTCAAATCTCTTAGCTTATTTATGGAGACAGCTGCATCATCAGAGACCTCTAGAGGTTTCTTATAATTCCATGCGGCTTTGGAAGTTGACCCGTCATACCCATGTAGCAGAAATTGAGGTATGTGCGACCCTTCATGTGTCTGAGTTCCAACGAGAAGGACACTCTGGGCGTTCAGCAGAAGATCGACAGTAAGTAAATCAGCCTAGAGATCATTAGTATATAGATATTGGTCGTGACAGATAATACCGAACCTTAATCACGGGCTCACCAAGCTTTTTTAGGCGCTCAAAAGCATCATCCCTTTCGGCTGTAGTATTCGCAAGTGCCGTATTCAATTGATTGCTTTTATTGTCGACTTCTTCCTGATAGTCTGCGAAGCTGTCCAAACAGTCCTTGTACGCTTCATTCATGGCCATACCCCCAATCTCGAACGAATCCCTTGATGTATTCGGACACTCCCGTATTATTGAAGAATGCAACCGACTCTTCGAATCTCTGAATCCTATCTCCCATCCAACCCAGGCACTTTTGGTGGTTCTGGTATGTGTTCGTCATGTTTTCCCGCTGCCCTTCCGTCGAGGTATCAGGGTCGGTCAAAGATGGCGCCTCAGGGATAGTACTCGGTGTTCCTCTATCGCTGTAAGCTTCTGTACTAGCTTGACTGCTTTCTGCGTTGTCCATTTCGCGGCCTCGAATTTGTATGCCACAGGAAAAGAAGACAGAGGTCAACAGGGTATTTATAAACCCCGTGCTGTGGGTATTTCGAAACAATACCAGACGAGTCGAGGAAGGTCAATCAGGTCGGAGGCATTGAGCTAGGAAAGGTCTATCCTACTAGGGCCGGGAGGGGGCGACAAGGATCTCAAAAATATTCCAAGATTAAACGACGGTTAGTGGATATCTATCTGATGCTCCCCTGCAGGCATATTGTAGACCAGGTGATATGGTAATAGTCCCTGGTAAGTAGTATCTCCATTCTTGTTGCAGGTTTTCTGAGCTTGCCCTCCGTAGTGAACAGCGGATGCTGGTACCTAAATGATCGAACCCTTTCCACTGTCAAGGGGAAACCTAATCGGAGTTGGGACACAGCAACAACGGCGTTTCAATTTGGAATACTAAAGCTAGGAAGGGGAAAGAAGAAGAGGAGGAGCTACGGCGACGATCTATCTCCCCCCCCTCGCGAACCTCGGGCACAAACGGCTACCCCACCTTACCGAATACCCCCCCCCCCCCACCCCGCCCCGTCCCATCACCGCTCTTGCATTAGTCTAATCCCGGCCAAGGCTAACTACTTTCAGGTGTTAGCAATGCTCGCATCCAGAAACAGTTAGTCTTCGCTACCTGCATGATGAGCTGTTCAATGTGACCCCCTGTCAAGTGTACTGCCAGCTAGTGAACTGGAAGGATTCCTGGCCAATTAGATTCACACCAGCTGAGGCTAACTACTTTCAGGTGTTAGCAATGCTCGCATCCAGAAGCAGTTAGCCTTTGTTACCTGCATGATGACATGTCCTTGCATGTCAGCTTGTCCAATTCCGGCCAAGGGTAATGCAACTAGACAAGCTGCAATCAGTCTCGAGCTCAACAAGCGAGACATAACAAGCACAATCCACGCAAAATGGCTAGTCAAACACCTGGGTCTGAATGTTGGGCGATCAAGCTTTATGAAACACATCCTCACATGCAGGCCTCAAGGTGGGCTGCGTCCTGTCGCACAGACCGTCCGGGACTATCGCACAGACCGTCGCATCGCACAGACCGTCGCATCGCACAGACCATACCATCACCCAGACCATCGTCCATCTTTCCTTTCTCTCTTCCCAATAGCAATGAGAACAGTCTATTCTTCTCTTAGTTGCATGCCTCTTTTTCAGCAACCGATGAGTTCTAAGCGACTAGTTCAATGTCAGGGCGACAGTGTTACTTACATTAAGCACCTCGAATTACGAGTCCTTAAATTAGAGAACGGGGACAAGTCCACTCGCTCGGGTTGTCGAGAAAGACCAGGATGGACCACCATACAATCCGTGTTGTGTGATGTCTGCCAAAATCCTAATCACTATACTGAACAAGCGAGTAGTGATCCAGGGGACTCTGTCGATAGGCTCATTTCTCAAAGTCAACAGCCAGCTCAAAGTCAACAGCCAGCTCAAAGTCAACAGCTAGCCCAAAGTCAACAGCCAGCTCAAAGTCAACAGCTAGCCCAAAGTCAACAGCCAGCTCAAAGCCAACAGCCAGCTGGACAATCCCCCACCGCCGGACGGCCATATCATACAAGCAATCAATCGAAGTCGGGCAACGACAAGATAAACAGTGCGAGTACATTGCAGATTGAAATTTGGGACTTCAAAGAACCAGCGAGCAAGAAAAAAAAAGACTGATACAGCTCCAAGGAGGTCCCAGGTTATCGAAAAATTCAAGTCCTTACCTACGACCGACATTTGGAAAACAGTGAACTCCTTCAATACGAATAGACGACTGGAGATCATCCATCATTTGGTATCGGGCCTGGTCCCGTCTGCTAGTGACAATCTACCCAAATTGGCACCGAAATCTCCTATCTCCATTTTGTTTGAGTACGGAGAGTCCATGCAGTCAAAGTCTTACATCGAAACAAACAACCGACAGTTTATTTGCTTCCGAGAGCTCCTATTCTGCTCCATGTGTGCTGTCGCTGTGAAAATTACCGACGATGTGAATAAGGTCTATGATGCCATGAGAATGATATACAGCTCTAAAGCCGACTCGTCGCGGTTCAGACAACTTATCCGTGGTGCAAAATGGGCGAACCAAGCTATTAGCGAACTATCTCAGACCAAATGGGGTTCTTTAAGCTGGGACCTTATATACATTGGTATGGGCTCCATCTTACTTTCACACTCCCGGAGCTAATTGCAAAATCCTGAGAAGTTTCACGCCAGGTTGACTTTTTCGCTCGCATATCTGACAATTGCGTCATCGAGCCAAAATCGTTGGCATCAGAACTTGAAGGAGAATTCTTTCCCGAGTGTTCCCAAATTACAGAAGTACCGTTTGCAATTCCTTCCATCGTACACAGGATCTACGGCTACGAAGTATCGTACGTTGCCTACTCGAAAGCCAGTGCATTCAACTGATATTCATTGATCTAGGCTAGAAGAAATATGTAAATTTTTGGGATATTCATACCCTGATTATGAAAAGCTCGATTTATCTAGTCTTAATACATCGCTTGCCAAAACAACGAAACGAAAATTGCACGGCCCTGACAGTTCATCAAGAAAGCGCCCTCGCAATACGTCCACTTCATTGCAAAGAGCAAGTGATATCACCTATTTGTTGAATCACGGACCGGAAGATGACTTAGATGGTTCATCGGATAACTCTTCCGTTATTTCATCAATGCATGGTCCCACTAGCCTCGAGACAGTACCGAGCCCATGCTCCACAATCGGCGCTTCGGAAAATTCGGAATCACCAGCCGGCTACGGAACAGATGGCTCCTTTGAAGATTGCATATCGGAGGCGTCTTTGCTGGCAAGAGACACGCTTGGTCAATACCCTCCATTGACAGCCGATATTGAACCAGAGACACGCCTCGACCAGCGGTCCACAAACACAACATCAGATATCGATATCGACTCGCTTCCCACAGAGGGCAGGTCTGAGCCACCTGAGCAAGCACCTTCCGGGTCACGACTACACCTCAGCCACACACTCGGAGCAGACAACTTGCTTCGTGAAACAGACCGAACTGAAATTCAATCTCATCCGAGCGTTTGTATGAATGCTCATCCTGAGTTCACTCAGCATGAACATGAGTGTTTTGCACTTGGCATTCCTCAACCCGACTCGACTGATGCATACACGAACGATATCCCTCGTAATGACTCTGCCATCAACTGGCAAAAGCCCTCCCTCTCATCTGGGTTACCGGGAAGCTTTTCGCATGAGATTCCCCAGTTTTATTCAGGTGGTGCTCCCGCTAACCAACTGAGGATGCATGGTGCCGAAGTCCGCCGACCAAGTTTGGTTACGTCTCCCGAGTCATTCAGCACAGGAGACAGTTGTGGCTCAGCCACAGAAGCCAGTTCGAACGTGACTGATGGGGCATCAGAGGAAGTTCCCCCAGAAACTACTTTACCAACTTATGGACTAGTACCTCCATTGCCCCCACATAGGCCCTGTCCTTACCCGCCAACAGAAGGTCACTTGAGAGAGATTTGGCACGGTGGGATGGGCAGTTATGAGCTTCCTCTTGCCCAGCCTAACCCTCCGGCTACATTCGTCTGTGACTTGGTTGAGCAAATGGTAACACAGCCATTTGACTGCAGGATGGCTGTCCAAAAAGCATTCGATGCATCCATTGGTCTAGAAAATGTATCAACGCTAGAAGATAGGCCGGGGTGATTTTTGACAGGTAAACTGGAAACAAAAAAAGAATTTTGATAGTGACCAAGGCTGATCAGGGCTGCAAGCCCGCTATTTTCCTAACTTAAAAACCCACGCTCCTAATTTTCCTTCTCCTGTTTCAACCAGCAAAGGACATTCGCCGGATACATGGTAGTGCCGTTTCAGTTCAACAGTATTGCTGCCAACCGTCACCTTACCCGAAATATAGAATGGAATTATTGCCATGTAAGGCCGCCCAACCGTGGTCTCTCCAGGGAAAAAAAACTTGAATCGCCGGTTTAATGCCTTTATATTCGGATCCATGTTCTTGACGATACCGTACATTCTACTTGAATAGTCAGAAATGAAAATTCCAAAGATGAGTTGCAAGGTCTTACCGCGGACAACTTTTCCACCTTGCCGATAACTTCTGAGCCCAGACCTTCAACAACCAATGTAGCATATCTCCTATCGGTTGGGATCGAAAGTGATGATGCGACAACACTGTCGGCTTCGCATGCTTCGTTGTAGAGGTTGTAGAGGTCTTCATCCGAAGCTGATATTTCCATGGACTCTACTTCGTACGCGTTGGCCATGGCCACTGAAGATATGGGCGCTGGGGTGTGAAGACTGCAGCGACAAGGGTAAACGGAGGCGAAGTCTGTGCACATGCACATATCAGTTTGAAGGATCCTTGTTATCCAATTTGGCCACTTGGGTCTCGGAGTATAGATGGTGTGCAACAAATATGTGTTGGATGAAGTTCCGCGGGGCAATTAGGAGGGGTTTATTTGAGCCCGATTAACTACTGCGAGTAATATTAGTCACGTGTCGGGCTGTGAGCATATGTAAGCCGCGAATAACGGACGGACACCCGTTGTTCCTGCCCAGATAACTAGTTAACTAACTAACTAACTTAGGGAACTACGCATAATAGGAGCTGGCCCAGAGTTCCTCCGAACCATTTCCATTTGGACCAGCCATCGCAAACCCAACCAATATACTAGAGGATGCAGGTGCTCAAGCAATATACATGCACCTTCGAAGGTGCTACGCAGCCTCGAAGGATGGTTCAGTTATTCATGTTATATACCGCACGCCCGACGCACTCGAGAAGAGTAGTAAACAGTTCAAACAACTGCCTTCTCCTCATCTCTATTGCCCATATCAGTTCATCCCCGTAAGCGACGCACCTTACAGGCCGACATTGCCCAGTGTCTCTGCAGCTCTGCTTTCTGTGACTGTTGCTCAGCTTCATTCTCCGCTCAGTTTATATCTTTAGATAGATGGGGAATCTTTGAATTTGATGAATTTATTACTAGGAAGAAGAAAAACTCGAATATGCCTAAGCAAACAGCGAAATCAAATTGTGTTCACTATCTAGAACATAATGGCGCTTAGTAGAAGGAGGCCCGACATCTACTTAGAGTCTACTGCCTTTTTGGTCGCCCTTAGGATAGTTACAAACCCCTCAGTGCAACCTGCGCTTATCCGTATTGCCTCTATACTCGGTAGGAGGCCGGCTTTCCAATGGTACGAGTTGAGCGGCGAAGGGGCTGATCGGTGAATCTCCGGTTATAAGGTCGGCGGGAGGGGCCAGGATTCGTTCTGCGCACGATCCTGTAATCAGAGGGTAGGCGTTCGGCCTTGAGTCCCATATTTCGAGCCTTGATGTCACGTATCCTTACTTCCATCTGTTCCGGAGTCTCATTGGGGTTCCTGCTAGTTTCTGTCTGTATTTCCGAGTTTGCTTTGCTTGCAGATAACCCATCATGCCTGTTTTTCAGGCGTGTAGAATATCGGACTTGGAGGGAGCCCACTGATCTATGGGGAATTTTTCCCCGATCTGTTTCCACGTCAGGCCCTGGGTTTCCTTTAAGTTGATCAACAGTTTATCGTCTTCAGACAGTTTCGAAACTCGCGTGATGGGTTTTGCAACTCGAGTGTTCTCCTTTCGAGATCGGGGAGCGTGAGGGAGCAGGACGGAGCAGGAGTGAGCAGGAGGGAGCGTGAGGGAGCACGACGGAGCACGACGGAGCAGGACTAGGAGCCTTGTTGGCCGTCTAGCCAATTATAGCAAGAAGTGGGAATAGACCGCGGTTTCAGCGAGATCGAGGCAAGCCAATCATGCGGAGAAGCTTTATTCCGAGCCTCGAGATGAATGATTACACAGCCATAGATTATATGCCCCTTCCCAGCAGCCGGTGTATATATCTACATCGAATACTGACGCTTAATGAATCCGATACAAGGCCTTCCAGAACCGTGGTTCGGTTGCGACAACCATATTTAGACAGAACTACATGCACTGAAATCCATTTCCGAGCAAGTTTAAAAAGCTCCAGGCTGTGACCTGTTCAATGCAACTCACTCCCCGAGTCTCCAGAAGAAGAACTAGGACGATAGTCACTACTTCGACGCTCACGTTTATATTCCCTATTCCTTTCCATTGACGACTCGTCCGAACTTGGCTCTTCAGGGGGGGTTTGAGGACGACGACGCTTTAAAGCGCCCGGTCGAATCCGATTGATTGAGCCTTGACGTTGCGTCTGCACCTGCTGCCTTGCTTCGGCACTCGAAAGAAATTCACAAAGCTGCTTTGACGTAACAAGAATTTCGTAATCGAGACCCGCCTTGCCTTGTGAAAGCTCTTCTGTCGCGAAGTCCCTGAGTGATAGTCGTAACGCTATTCCCTCTGCAGGATCTCCAGTGTCTGTACGAAAAGGCTGCTCAGTAATGTTAGCGTTTATTTATAAGACATCTTGCCCCAGCAAGGATCGCACCTGTGCATCTATCACAGCAGTCGTCCGAAATTCTTCCACACCTTCTGTGGTTATATATTCCGGTCGCCATACACTGATTGTCGCTTTTCTTGATCCTTTATATTGAACGTCGAAGGCAACAACCACGTTCACGCTTCCATCAGTGTTTAATATGTACTCATCCGCTAGGTGGGAAATACATCGGCTTTTCTGCGAGTAGCATACTTCCATAATGACACCCGGGAAATGAGCCTGGCGATGTCCAAATGATGCATCCGGTTCCCGTCTAGAAAATGTTGGTTTTCCATCCTGTGCGGCTTCAGGGATTAAGATTCGGGATGTAGCAAAATGCTCGACCTCCTTGGCGAAATCGGCAACGGGGCTATTCTGTTGGTATTGTCTGATTTGTTTTGATACTTCATCGACTATTCTGGCACAGAACGTATCATGTAGGGGACTTGGCATTCGGATTGTCAGACAGTAGCGACAGGGATCGTAATCGTATCTATGGAGTAATCCATCTGAGCACATTTACCTATTATAGGATGGGAGCTCACGGTACTCACCGTACTTTATCGTCTACGTAATTTCGAAGGGATTCGTCAGTATCGAGCACTCGCAAGACCTGCATATAGTCGTTCGGTCTAAGTCGACGCTCCCACCAAGCTCTTGACCAGTGACCTGCACGATGAAGTCGCAAATAGTCCACCACGCTTCGAGCACTTCTTGATAATGGCTTCTCTGCAGTAGGTGGTGGTGTGAGAGGAGGTTCAAGGACACTCCCTGGCGGAGTAATGCCAGCTGCCATGGGATGACAGAAGATCGGTCGGCTGGGAGGAAATGTTTGTTTATGCCGCTGTAGGATGACCGGGACCTCGATAAGGGATGTCCACGTGAACAAACCTTAGTCAGGAGTTGAGTGCCAAGAACCTCGGAGTCCGGTAAAACTATCCAGCCGACGCTACAGACATAAGCATCATATGGGTGTTTCAGCGAGCTCGAATGTAAGCCAATCATGGTAACAACTGCGAAAAGACCGCGGTTTCAGCGAGATCAAGGCAAGCCAATCATACTTGGTAACAGCTGAGTGCAGAGAGTCTGTGCAGTGTATGTGCGTCCTTAGCGGCATCTCACCCCGGCTCACCCATGGTTGTGTGACCGTAAAACGCCGCTCACCCTAAACTCACCAAGGCGATCCCCACCCGAGTACTGACTATGTTTTAGTTTATGATTTCTTCGAATAGTGGTAATAGCTTTAAGGCTTTAGTAGGCCTCTACATAGTTAGAAAATATAATATCGACCCTAGTTCATTTCTCAGCTATAGAAAGAAGGAAAAGACGAATTCTCTTACACTGGATAATAAACATAAAAAGCAGAGACTCTTATCTTCTTTAACGCTTTTAAAAGCTTTTAAAACCATACCGCGTTAAAACTATAGTCCGAAAAAGCTGAAGGAGCTAAGCAGTCCGCAGACTATCTTCATTTCTCTCGATCGGAGTTGGAAAGTAAGAGTCCTAACGATGTCAGGAAACTATGATCACAGATGTTATTCACACTTACTTACTAGTTTGGAGCCAAGAAATGACCAGAATCCGGAGGCATCTGCAGAGAAAATGAAGACTTTCCCTGACTGTCGAATACGTATACCTAAGCAAACGTCCGCCCCGCATATCTTGCTATACTCCAGAGCTTTCTTCTCCAGACCTGTCCTGCGCCGGTCCCTTTTCTGTCGTAGTAGTTTCTTCGCTACACTGGAACGGCTTGGCTGTTTTCGAGAGGTTCCCGACATTGCCCTGGTAGTGTGGATGTTGCTGGCTGATGGGAATAGGGGTAAAAAGGTTTGGTTCTATTTGGTCTGCTAAGTTTCGGAATATAAAGAAAAGGAATTTTGTATTTCAAGAAGGCCATCGTCTTTATATAACCCTCCCGATATCCGCACGGGTGAGAAGGTGAGCTAATGAAACTTCGCGATAAGGATAGGTGGAGACTTCGAGACCTTTTCAGCCTAAGGCTGTGGAACAGGTGAGCCGAGGGTGAGAGAAGACAAACATGACGTCGAGTTCTGGCTGTCCGTTTCAGACAGTCGGCGAAGAGAAGTGGTCGATGACAAGACTTCAATTAAGCTATTTTGTAATGGGATTGGCCTCTATCGCTCGTCAGGCCTTTCCTGGCCCTCCTCTGCTTCTGTTTAACAATAAGTACTCGTCTGCGGTAAATCGAGCACTGTGGATGGGCTGCCCGGGAGACGCCATCCTCATGGCTGTCGGCTCCCTCACAAACTCTTAGAGACCGGTAAGCTCTGTTGCAATGCCTACCGATCACACACGGCCACAGGCCTTAGATGCTCAAGTCCTTGGAGGTCTTGCTTAGTAAACGTGGAGCTGCTGAGAGCGCCGACGAGGTCAGGTTCTTATGGATCTCCCGTGCGTCGTTAGGCTGGTTGGGTTCGGAGGAAGCACAATGAACAATGAACCGTTGTCGTATTCCAATCTGTTGGTTCCTAAGTAACAATGGTGAAGTAATTGATCGCGAAGAACTAAATAAATGGTGCCAAATGAGTGTCCTTATATATCCAGTCCTTCCTGTTTCTTGACAGGCTCGGGTCCTGTCACCCAACAGGTTCATCCTGTCACCCGACAGGATTGTTGCCTTGTTGCCTTAAGCAGCCGTTCTTGGCTTCCCGCTAACCGCTTCCATTCGCATGTGCAGTTCCTTTCGTGCTGGTTGGTTGGCGGCCGTATCTGGCCTCCACGTCACGTGTGTGCCAATCTTGACAGATCAGTTGGTCGTAGTTGACTTATTTCCTTCCCTCAGAGTGGGTCCGTAACAGTAGGGCGCCTCCAGGCACCTGCCAATGGGATCTTGGTACGTGGAAGTGGGAAACTGGCAACAGCGCTCGTATTCGGAAAACTAGAAATAGAGAGGAAAAGGAAGGAGAGGAAGAACTACGGCAACTACCTAACTATACTCTCGCAATCCTGCATGCCATCTTCGCCCATCTCGTAGTTCAAACGGCTCCTTCATGTCCAAGGCGGTAGTAGGTGGCAGAGTCGAGTAAGCGGTGACATATGGCTCATATTCTCGCGATCACGGATCGGCCGATCCTTCGGACGCTCGCGGCCTGTAGTCCCCGCGAGCGGGGCATATGTATGTATCTCAGCCCAAATTTACACGGTCTCTAAGAGATCAAAGTTCTTCTAAGTCACAACACCGAATACAGTACAAGCATCAAATTTAGCTATGATTTAGTAAACAGCAGCCCTCTCAAAACGATAAATTTCCCGAGTGTTCGCAAGATATAGAACATTTACACAAAATGGCTGTGGCAGGAATGGATGCTCTGATATGGTCCCTTTCATGCGTAAATTACTCTCACGATAGAAGTCCTAATCAGCATAGCTGGATGAGAGTCCGAGTCTTCCCGTGTATAGTTACCTTTTCAAGGATATGACGGAATGCTGTCTTCCGACAGCCCCTGTGGTGTGATCACCACAGGGCGTAACCATTGGATCTCAGTACAAGTTGAAGGGAAGACCCTGGTCAACTTGACTCGTAACTGAGATATAGGTCAAGCGAACGAATGACAGACCATCAGAGAAGCGTGATAAGGAACTAATTACGTAACGTGTCATGCTCAATAGCTGGAATCCATACTAAAGAAAGGACCCATGACGTATGCCGCGGAACCAAGTTCCTCCGCGATCGAATACTTAGAACACCACGAATGGCGAAAATTGGGCCACAGTACATACCTTCCCTTCTAGGCATCTTGTTAAAGAGTTCATCATAAAATCTGCTATCGTTGCTCTGCCCTTCACACAAATCCTTAACTCCTAAACTCCTAAACGATCAAACCCTAAAATCAACATTCCCTTTTTCCGCTGTCCGCTTCTCCTACCTTGACGCTTTGGATGCCTCTCAAGATCTTCCAGAAGGTTAGTTTTGAAAGAGTGAAGCCGGTTTCTCTCTATATATAGCAAATGCGTTAACGGAAGCTAGGCATATAAAGTATAAGGTCCATTGCAAGCGATCCGCTCGCCCTAAGCGCTATTCTCAACGGTTACATGTATTTGATCGAGCTTAATCAAGGTTTTATACGCCTGGTTGGCCAGATCATCGATCTTACAAATACCGAACATTATCCGCTGCACATACAGTTCTGGGACAAACGTTTTCGGAAACAGTTGGAGATCGTTGTCAAGAGCCAAGTTCCGGGCAGTCGTATAGAAGAGGAACTGCGAAATAGGGCTCGAGCTTGCGCAGAAGATGGCACATATTCGTCAGATATCTTGGATGTGGTTCGGGCTGTTTATGATGACCCCACTAGCAACAGCATGGGCATTCACGATTTACCCTGACTCGGGATGTGAATCAGTACAGGATGTTGCACACTACAGTGGGGATGGCGAAAAAGATTGCACGGTCCTTACTGCTTCCCGGAGAGCATTTGAAATAGATGACTTTGGAAGTTGCATCTTGGAGTTATACAGTGATACGGGCTGCTCTGATTCTGAACAGATGTATGATGCGAATAACGAGGATGAATGTATCCCACCTCGCTATACCTGGAATAGTTTTGACGTTTTTGGATGTTGAAGGATAGTCGGCAAGGGTGTCTTCTTGGCGAGGCTAACATAAATTGATCAATTTTTCAGAATCAGAACAGATGGAACAAATGGGCTCAGGGGCTGGAATTCAGAGGGTTGAAGCTCACCATAGCCCTGAATTCAAATGCTGCTATTGGATGATCTTCTTGTGCTTCACTTCCACGGTCGAATATGCCACAAATAATGTCTTTGTGAGGCTGGGCGATGATCTAATTTACAGTGAATACTATGAATACTGTCACATGGATTTTATGGGATGATAACGACCGGGAGCGAGCGGTGAACCTCCGGCGGTTAGATTAAACAATCAGAAAGCTGCGCCCTCATGACCAACCAGTAGAATGGCCGTAGGCCAGTTTAAACCAAAGACCATGCAGTATTTCCCGCCGACACAATACAAATCGTTCGTTTGATGAATGCCTTAGATGCGTATGATTGCTAGTCAATATGCAGTACTAAGAGCTAGTCCCACGCACTCGCTCAACAAAGGATAGACCATCTCTAGCCTACGATGCACATAAGGAGACGGAACCCAGTTTCGTAGACAAGAGAATTAATTGAGAAGAATTTGTAAAACAATATAAGCACGACAAACAATGCCACGTACGTAAGCTCCCGCATTCGCGCGAAGGGGCAAGGGAAAAAACTTCGTGAGAAAAAAAACCTAGCCCGAAGCCCATGACTGACCAACCCGATCAAACATTTAGGTCCTCAAGACTTCGTTCTAACAATTGCTGGAAATGACGTGCCTCATCCCGACGGGTACTGACCTGCGCAGATTCTGCGGCCATTCGGAGCAATTCTTCAGTCTCATATCCACTTACAATGACAGGCTCGAAAACGCTCGGAAGCTTGGCGATGATATGACGTTCGATGACTTGCCTACAAACATTGTCGACAAAAGTTTTCATGGCAACCTGGAAGATATAATATTAGCACAAAGCCATGGCGTCAGGAAATGGGACACTGACTTTGTAGTATGCGGTGAGGTCGTTCTGTGCTTCGGAACAGGCCTGCTTCGTCATATCGACAACTACCCGCTGTTGCAGCGAAGTAACGAGCTTTTCTATTTCGTCGGAAGAGTTGCTCACATGAAATTTTCCGTTCCAGTCGTTTTGGATAGCGTCGTACATCGAATTTTGAATATCATGTTTGGACTGGTCATTTCGAGCCTTCTGGATGTTGTCTGTATAATAGTGATTGTACGTGATCGGCTGACGGGCCTCGTCGTCGAGCAGCACATCCAGTTCATCGATCGCGCGTTTGACATTTGCTTGCACAGATTTCTGAACGCAGGTCTGGACGTTTTGGCGGACTTTGACATCTTTAATCACAAACTTCAATGCTGCTTCTAAGAACGTGGAGACTAATTTGGCAACAGCATCCACGTGCTCACGAGCAATCTTGGCCCAATTCAGTGACTGTGAATGGAAAAGCTCTGCTAGAAGCGCGTGATTATAGTTTCCTGGTAGTTCCCTGCCTCGCGTCCGAAGATAGACCTTATATTATTAGCAGCTGATCGACAATGAACGGATCCTTCACTCACTTCTTTGACCCACGCGGCCATTCCTTCTTTACTAACAATAATCTGGCCCTTTTCGTTGAGCGAAAGCTCCGTCGCCTCATCAGCTGACTCGAGAGACTGATCATCAGCTCGACTCACAACCTTCCGCGTCTGACCGTATTCTCTCATGTGATTCGCGAACTTCTCATTCTCTAGATGAACAACAGCGCGCAACCGGTTTGCAAAATCCTTGTCATGGACGTTGAAGAATTTCGCGTCACGGCCACCATAGTCGCCATCAATGCCAGCTCGTACCACCCCGTGAAAATCGGCGCTGATCTGCGTTAGATATATGCGGATCTGACCAGGCGTATTCCGTTCCGTGCCTAGAGCAGCAAGGTCCTGACAATTTCGTTCAAGCAGCTCACGCAATTCCTCACGCACTTTGGGGAGCTCACGTTCAATGTGACTATCCAAAAGCTCCTGAAGGAACCGTCGAAGATTTTCAATACCAATACGCGATGGATCAAGTCCCAGGCTGCTCCATGGTTCACTTGAGAAAAATGCTTGTTCTGCCTGCTTCCTGACAAGTGGAGACAGGCCCTCACGCAGCTCGGCAGGAGCCGGGTTTTTGAGCAGAAAAAAACCCAGATTGAGCTTTGTACGGTCCATGTTCTTCGCGAGGCGTGCAACTCGCTGCTCAGTTCCAACATTGATTAGATCCGGCTTTGTGATGATTCCAACAGTTCGAACACCATCTTTATCATAGCGGCGCGCTCGCTGGATGATGCCTTGGGTATCAACGTCGCTACTTGCGGGAACAACCGCAAGTACGATAGTCCGCGAGCTTTCGAGGTAAGAATCAACAAGGTTACTGACAAGCTGCACGTCACGCTCATTCTCGGAAACAGAGATCAAGCCTGGTAGATCGACAATTGTCAAGTGCAGTCCGGTATTGCCAACCAACTCCAATCGCAGGACATCGGCAGCAAAAGCGGGAGCGCCGAATGCATCTCCCGAGGGGCGAATGCCCATGGATTGACTTGCAGCTTCGATGATACCAGGTAGTTCATCGAAGGCGTGAAACTCCAGTCGGAAGGAGGCCAGTCGTCGTCTCTCCTCATCGTCCCGTGACGAATGAGGGATTATCGTCGCCGTCATGCAAATAGCTTGCGGCGCATGTCTGAGGACAATTTCTGTCGCGAATCTGGTGCACAAGCCATCCTGTCGAGGGAAAGGGATTCCGCTAATTCCTTCCAGGACGGAGCTCTTGCCAGCAGATTGATCACCACATACCACTAGCTGAGGCAATGCAACATGATCGCCAACACCGTTGGCGCGGACACGGTCGATCTGATTGAGTCGCTGGGACGTTCTCGAGGATTGGAGACCAAGTTCGTCTCCGACCCGACGGAAGTCGATCGCAGTCCATTGTTCTTCCGAACTCCCCGGATCTTCTGACGTTGGGGTCAGATCGTTCTCCATTTCTTTCAGCAATGATCAAAAGTGTAGCTTGATAATTGATTTTCAGGGTTCGAGAAGAGAGTTTGGGGACATAAAATAACGAGGGAACCAGTCTCTTTATAGTTGCGATTGGCTCTTGCCGAGTTGGCAACGAACTCAGCATCCAATCCTCGGGAATGTCGCAAGCGGCTCAATCAGATCGGCCGTGTAACAACGGTGATTGGCGATCAGGTTGCAAGTGGTACAGCGTAGGAGCTGCTTGCAGGGTTCAGTTGTAGCAATTTATTCTTCGCGCCCCGGCATGTTCGCTTTCAAGGGGCGGAACTCCCTTGCCGAGTGCGTCCATTAATGGCTATCCCTCCCCAGTTACTGCAGCAAGGGATCGCAGATAGATCAGCGACGGTATAAATGATTGGATGGCATGAATCCAAGTTGGCATGTCAAATGACAGCCTAGGTCGGACATTCTTCACTTTCTAAGCAATAGTAAATGAGACAGTCGGTGAAACGAGGGGCACATCATGAGTGTTCCATACCTGCCATTTGCTGTACATTATAGAACGTGATTGCCTTCCACTACAGAACCCCATTCAGGTGCCTTGAAATCCCTGTAGCGCACTGGGCTCCCAAGAGGGGTAGGGCCATGCTTTATTTTCCATCTCGCGAGCGCTGAGTACAGTATCTCTTTAGCGAATAGATAGTTTCATATTGTAGCCTTCACCACAGTCCAATTCGCTCAGATCTATGGGCAAACCAAGCATTAGGACCGCTGATGGCAATGCAGGACGTCGCTGCTGGAAGTGAACGGAAGCGAGGCCGTTCCTAAAGCGAGGCCGTTTCTCCACTATTCGCTACAGTGAGTACGCACCCCGAGTGATTTTGCCAATATACACCGCCTTGTCTGGCTTTTGCCTGTCAGGGCGGTTGTGAGAAAAAAAAAGCGACTGGGGGTGTTGGGGGTACTAGGAAATGCACGGACCACCAGAGGAAGTTTGCCTTTAATTTTTAGATTATTCATTGGATTACGCCCGTAGTTGAACAGCTGGCCAACAGCTGGCCACCCGCAGTCTTCTGGTGTTCCAATGCCTACCTCACTGCCATGACGTAGCAATACATCGGATTCGGCGTCCAGATTCAACACAGTTGGTCATCAATTTGAGCAAGGAGCTTTCGCAATGATTCCTGTCCTCAATTACGTGCATCGTTCAAATAAGGATGGCCTAAACTAGGAGAAACCCTAGGAGGCCCACAGCACAAGAATGGTGTTGCTACATTCTCGCGTCGCCTAGCGTTACGGCAGAGAGAGCCCCCCAGAGAAACGCCTACACCTACTCCAGCTGCAACAAATTTGTGACTGGCCGGAGAAAATAGAAGAAATAAACCAATCCATTGTTTTTCCATGGACTTTCTAGGTCGAATGAAAGCCACTGCAGAGACGCGCTCCTACAGCAAGCTGATAAGCCAATGAAATCAATCCTCACTGGACAGGGTGGCTGTCTGACTTAATCGCCTTCCACATGCCCTGTGGCCTTTAGACCGTCCGAACTACAAGGTAGGCGAAGATGGGATGGAGGTTCGCGTGGGAGTAGATAGATCGTCGCCGTAGCTCCTCCCCTTCTTCTCTCTTTCCCTCCTGCAGTTCTAGCATTTCGAATAAGAGCGCCGTTGCTGGTCCTTTATGTTCCCAATATAGGCCACCATTGACACTGCTCCTTTTTCTACCGCTCCAGGTTCTCGCGAATCAAGCGGTGCTTTCGGCATCTCTTCTCTTTTCTCAACTGCCTCACCGTCTCCTGAAACAGATCCTCTGTACGATGGTATTACCGACGTAGTCTTTCCATCTTTTTCTTTTCGATTTTCCACCGTCTGAATTTTTCGGGACTCCTAGATTTAGTCCCCAGCGGTAAAACATCCACGTTTTCGTAGATGCGCCGCTTGACATCTCGGGTCTGTGTGACCACCTGCTTCTTCTTTTCCAGATACGTTAGGAATCTCATTGATACAGCTCGGGTCCTCAAGCCGGTAGGCCCGTCGAGGGTCAATAGACCGACTTATTGAGCAGGCAAAGCGCATGAGCTGCTTCTGAGCAGGCAGCCCTCTCACAATTGCCCGAGCATCCACATGGATTCCTACACTGTGATGCTGAACAAAGGTAGCAATGCTCGCATGTTGCAGCATGACGTTCTGCAACTGATCCGATACATCCGCTGATTCGGGGATAGGGGGATGCCATTCGCCAACAAGGACTGTAATGCTGGATCTGTGACTCACGACTATCGTTGAATGCTTTTACGGCCCCGTATCGAAGGCCATACGGCTTTGCGACTTCAGCAAACCCTGTGATCTCACCACCTCGTTTCATCCGATAATTAAGCCGTCATTTAAAAAGCCCCTTGTCCAGTGCCATCCGGACTCCGTCAGACTCTCGTAGCACTTGATAGAAAACATGGTGATCGAGGATTTCATGCTTGACCTTCAATCACACCGCGGTCTGGCGTAATACGATAAGGTCCCAGGCCTTCGGAGGGGACTAGAACGTGAAGATCTGGTTTCTGTAACCAAACATAGTCTCTAGGCTAAGAGAGGCTGGGTGGTAGATACAGATCGATTCTTGACCACGCCGGCGGCAAAGTTCACGGATTGGCCACACCTCAACTTGTGCTTGCGAAGGGATACTCCTGTTCCGTCTTTGTGGGATTATTCGTTCTTCGTCCTCGGTGTTAGGGAAGCGGAAATTTCTGGCGGGTAGGACAGCTGTGCACAAAGTTTGGATGAAGTATTTGAAGGAGATAATGATCGAGTTGTGCGGCGGCATGGGACCTAAGACGGGCAGAGTACCCTTCAGAACTCGGAGAGACACCTTCAAGATGTGTGTGGCTGTGTCTGCCACCGCCTATTCATTTGGGCTGAGGATATTATTCCAGTAGACCTGGATTGCGCCAGGCTTTCTGCCGGGGTATTTTTCCAAGAATAATCTTGTCACTTCAGACCACGGTCGGCTTCCATCTCGCTTGAGCTCTCGTAAAAGTTTTTTTTCTTCAGGCGACCACCGCACACGCCTGCTGGTCTTTGGTTTTGCACTGCTGCGACCAGTGCGAGACCGGGAGCTTAGCGCCGAGCTTATCGAAGACCTGTTCGACCATGCATCTTCGTCGTCGTAATCCGGGGATAAGGTTCGCTTGCGATGCCATGTATGTAACTCTGGCTCCGAAGATATATCCTTAGAGGATTTGTTATGCAATGGAGACTCGATTGACGACGCCACGGATTGGTGGTGCGAAACGTCCGGAAGGAATGTCATGAAATAAACGTGCCGATGACCGTGAGCTTGCATACGGAGGATTCCACGGCCATATATCTCTTGTGTTTCACCTGGGATAGAGGTTGAACGACATTCGGAAGATAGACTATAGCTGTCATCTTTCCCGATGACCTCCTTGGTCGAGACCAGTGTGTTTCTTGCGGATGTCTTTGGTCGTTTCTGTGGTCGTTCTGGTGGCTGAAGACAGGATTTACTCGGGAGTGGTGAATGTCTCTCCCTTACGGCCCGTTTTTGGCGATTATTGTTACGGCTGTTGCCGCCTCCACGATCGCAGCGTCGCGGTCTGGCTGGAGGACTCGCGTTGGCGTCTCTAGCAAGGTCGTCGCTTCGATGAGCAGGGACGACCACGCTAATGGCTTGTGATCGTTTTAACCGCCCAAACTCTGTATTTTGTCGTGGACGAAGGGAGCGAGTCTTAGCAGAAGGGGCTTCTGATTTTTTGACTCGACAAGTTCGTGGTATCGACAGGGGAGATACAGGGTCCTGTCCTTTCTCGATGGAACCCCCTCCGGAACCCTTGCCCGGGCATGGCTCGCTGCTTGAGGATCCCTCGGCCTGGGCACTTTGTGTCGTCATTCCACCCTCTACAACTTCCACCCGATCTTGCCGGTTTTCGGGTCTTGAGTCGTTATCGTCCACCTTGGATTCCTCTTGATTTGTGCTATCCATCCTGGGCTGTGCTGGCATATCCAGCGAAGGCGGCGGCGAGACATGAAGACAAGTCGAGCCGACTTGTGATAAAGCAGGAGCCGGGCGCGGCTCATGGTAACCTCCTAGCGAAAAGACACTGTCTCGGCGCCATCTGGGTAAGTCACTTGGGGCTATAGTCGAGGAGACGGGTGAGGAGATGGGTACTTCCGATAAAGTTAGAAATAGAAGGCGAACCACAAGATAACGATCGTAGCACCCTACCCTGTTGATGTAAATGCGGTTCCGCTGGTAATGGAGTGATTTCTAGGTCACCAAGCATCCTTGCCGGAGATCGGCCTGGATAATCTGGTAGACAATCTTAGTCAAGTTTACTTTTAAGTAGCCTGGTGATAAGTCTACATTACCACTTGTCAACGATGGTTGCTCGCTTTGAGGTATCTCGGTCTCGGATTGGACCCCCCGAGTCGATATGCATATCATAGTTCACGTCGTGCACGGCCAAGCCGTTTTCTCGCATAACTCTGCCTATTTCGAGATCGAATTCACTGCCGGCATTTGGAGCCGTACTGTCTCTTGTAGGGTTTTGGATTCCCACAGAGGGGGGGGATAAATGGACGGGTACAAGGTGCTATTGGAGCCTGATAGGTCCTCCAACAAGAAGCCGGAGTAATAGACGCGGAGGAAGTTTTGGTGGGCGGATGAGAATAGAAGCTGATATTATCAAGGTCGATAGGCATAGTAGCTCACAACGCCGATAGGTAAAGGAACTGGGCTTGGAACAGAGGAATATAGAGGGGGTTCACAGGCTTTTATAACCGCAGCTCAGGACCCGCGCAACACGGAAGGTTGTACATAGCCCCATCTACGGTCAAGGTATAGAACTGGGTCTTGGCCGGAATCTGCCTCGCCCCATAGACCATTAATCCGCTTTCCCCGTGGATGTCACCTTGTCCCTCCTCTTCCCCCCAAGAAAGCCCGCAACTCATTCCTAGAATGGACGTGCACGGCGACGTAGTCGGGCTCTCGGAGAAACACAGGTCCCTGCCATAGGCCAATCGGCTGGATCAACCACCCTAGGCCTCTATCGTGCACAAGGCCAAATCCTGTTTTAATCACCGCATCGCAGAGCCCACGGCAGCTCCAAACCAATCAAGATGATCTCGTGCAGGAAACGCGCGGCCTGGCCATAGCCACGAACGTACTCGTCTCGGCATTCGACGAACCAGATCGATTACAAGCGACCTCATGACCACCATACAGCATGCCCCACGGCCACGTCACCAACTATCCGCTTTCTATGAGCAACAAGGCGTACCGCATGCCCAGTTTTTCCCCCAAGGGCGCTCTGTGGACATCAAGAGGCATTTTTGCCATTGGCGGCTGCACTGCTCCCAGCAGGTTTCCAACGCCCGTGTGCATCTTGGCACGTCATCCCTCTGTCTCAGAGGTCAGAGATGCGCCTTGTAGGCTCTTCCAAGAGGCTTGGACCGAGAATCACATGGGCCACGGCCGACAGCCAGGAAAGCCCATTGGGGGGAGAGGGAGAATGGGGACAAGAGTCACGGCCCTAGAAGGCAGACAGACCTTTCTCCAGGAACGACTAAGATCGGCGATTCACGCCGATGGCGATCAAATCAGAGGCCTCGAGGGCATACCGTCGCAACGACGCCAGAGAACCAAGGGGGCGCAGCACCTGAGAGTGGAGACGGTCATCTCCGAGCACAGGGATCCGGAGGAGGGGGCTCCGGGCTGGCAGCGCACTGCCGGAACGGCAAAGCCCAAGAGGCGCGTCCGTGGGGTGGGTTGGAAAGGAGGGATGGTTGAGCGACGCACCGGCCGGGTTATATAGTTCATGAGGATCCACGAAGGCGGCGACAGGCGGCAGTTCTCGTTACGGGCTAGCGCAAGCGGCTAAACCTAATATGGACGCACTAAACCCAACCGAGGCGGCAAGAGACAGGCGCTAAACCGCATCAGTGGGGTTGCCAGAAACGGCGGCCTCCTGGTAAATACAAATTGTACTTATAAACTTAGTTTTAATAAATAAATCAGCAACTATTTAACAAGTAGAGGATAATGATGATAATTATTTATAATTTCTATAATTTTCTTTTAAAGAGATTCTTAAAGATTTCTAGGTTCTTGATATTAATAATATTATTCTGGTTTGTGATATTAATTAACTATATATTAGTAAGTATCTCTACTAGGATCTTATATAGGATATATTTATTGTGTTATATACTCTATTTAATTTCTTTATATTGTTTCTTAGGTAAGTCTAGATAAGCTCTAGATGTAGGGATAAGAGATTATAGTATATTTATATCTATATTACTAGTCATACAGTCTAGATTATTCGAGCGACTTTGTGTTATGGGAGATGTTATCTTGATAGGGTTTTGGTAGGTATTGGCTATAGTAGATATCTTAGATATAACAAGATTGTATATTAACAACATATATTATAATAAAAGAAGTGAAAAGTTGAGTTCTAGTATTGTTAATAGTGGCCTATATTAGGGAATAGAAAGAACTAGCAACAGCACTTATATTCGAGATACTAGAACTAGAGGGGGAGAGGAGAAGGGAAAGAGGAAGAAGCTATTATAGCAGCCTATCTACTCCTATATAAACCTTTATCCTATCTATACCCACCTCATAGTTTGGACAGTCCTTCTTCCAGCATCAGGGCGGTGACAGGAGACAGAATCGAGTGAGTAGTGATAGATTCTGCCAAATGTCACTACCTTGACGCCGGAGATATCGTCGAAATTATAGGAAGTACAAAGTTAGGGTTAAGACTCGCTAGAAGGTAGTTAGATTGTTATTATAGTTCTTATTTTTACTCTTCTCTACTTCTCCACTCTAATTCTCTATCTTTCTATAAAATAAAGCTTATAGGGGTAAAAGTTAAGGCTTCTGTATAACCTTAACTTAGGGGTCGAAGGTTACTGTTACACACTCTTAGCTTGGCTCTGTGAAGTGGGTCTCAAAGGTGATACTTCTCTTGCTTACTCGTCACCCCAAGTATGTCTTGTCAGGTTCTTATGGATCTCCCCTTTGTTGTTAGGATTGATTTGTGAACAAATAAACAATGAACAGTTGTTGTGTTCTAATACGGTGGTCCTAAGTAGCAATAGATAAATTGATCGTGAAGAATTAAATACATGCTGCCAAATGAATGTCCTTGTATATCTAGTCCTTATCATTTGATGTGCAGTTTAAGACACGATATTAACTCTGGCTTTGGATTTGACTTCCTTCTGTACACTGGGAAAGGGCACTGTCCCAGGAGCTGGACCCGATCCCATATTATTCTAGACATCAAGCCACCCTGAGTCCTGCCAAAGCCTTGAAGCCATAAATACTGCTGAAGGGTAGGGCGTATTGCCATCCTGTCCTACAACGCCCGCTACATTAGATACGCAATCATGCCGATATAACAAGTTACATAATCATGAGGTATGTGACTAGATATTGGCCAGCCGCCACTTCCTTCTCCATCTTAGATCTGCTGAGAGAGCCGTATGGACCTGGGCGTGCCAGATTACAGCGAGAATCTTGTCTTCTGATGCTCCTGCGCAAATAGTGTCGAGTGTATGTTACACGAGAGTCCTATCACTACTCCTGAGAGCTCCCAGTAGCTCACTTACAAACTCTTGGAGACTGGTAAGTTCTTCTTGGGTCTTCTTTGTGGTAGCCTTCCAACATCTATCGGAGAGTTTATCGAAGATGCATTCTCGGGTGTAGGTTTGACATTTAGAGCACGGCTGCCCGCTGCACTAACATGGGCCAACATGAAGGTCAGAGAAAAGTTGGTTAAAAACGTCTTAACGAGGGGGCATCACTGGGGAGAGGGGTAGGTGCTTCAGGATATCTACCTTTGTTCGTCTTTTTTGACACTCTTGGCAGATAGTTGAAGCCCTTCTCGCTCGACCATCGGCTGGAGGAGGTCTTTTACCACTGCTCCCCCCCAGGTAGCTGGCCGCTGCTCCCCTCGCTAGGATTATTTCGAGGCTTAATGGCCCGAAAAGGCCGCCCTATGGTGCCGCCCACGAAATCGACTTGGCAGAGCTAGAGGTCATAGTCAGGTCACTTTGAATAAGGTCGTTGCGAGCGCGGAGAGGGACGAAGTTGTTAGTCGCGGCAAAGTGTTCGGTGAACACGTATTGGATAAAGGTCTTGCTAAAGCCACATGCGAAGGCCCGGCCTTCCGAATCCTTCTGGCCAGCCAAAAATTTGTCAATGGTCACAACAAAGGAGGTGAGAACTTCGCGCCTCACACAGGCGCTTTTGTCGGAAGAGGGATTTGAGGGAGTCGGAGGCTTCCCCGGGCCTATTATCGTACGTGCTGCTACCCGTTCGAAGCGAAGGTGCCTGGCGGCTCGCTCTCTTAGCAGGCCGTTAGTCGGAGAGGGAAAATTTGAGGGTGACTCGGGGTCAGAGGGTCGCAAATATATTTGCCATTTCACTTGAGGCTGTCGGGGAGAAGTTCCACGGAGGTCTAGATCGAGAATCCATTGCTTTAATGACTCCTCTTCTAAAGGAGTTAGTTTAAAGCAATTTGGGCGTGTTTCATTGCGAGGTTTGACTCCACGGAGTCGATTGCGGATCGTAGCCTCCGAGACCCCATGCACACGAGCAGCTTCGCGTATAGAGGCAATTTTTTTCTCCCTAATAGCTTTGACGGCGAGGGCGACTTCACCCTCTGAATTTGATTGGATTTGAGCGCGTTTTGGAGGTATGGTAGGTGGTTGAAGGTGGAAAAACCGCGACGTGTCGGAAGTTCGGTGAGGGCTGCGCAGCTCGGCGGTGTGCGCAGCTCGGTGGTGGACCACGTTAGACAATCCGGAATAACCCCTAATAGACTCCTGCTTATCATCTGACGTTAGGTCTGACGTGTATCAGTCCTAGCAAAGACAAAAATAGGGAAAACGGATTTGTGCCGCCACATCATCGTCTTAAGAGTTCGAGCGGTGGAGACATGAACTGGCAAATCACGAATTTGGGAGCTTTGATGACCAGCCCCACATTCTTCGAGCGGAATTCAATACCAGGAGGTTCCGCTAAATAAAACCTCGGATCTCAAGCAATTCATAAATATAATTTGCGCTCCTTGTTTTAGAAAATCAATCCATCATAGATGAGAATCTCTGCTGAGGCGGTTATATCACACTAGCCTCGTGAAAACATCCAGCTCTCATGGACAAGGTTTTTCCTTTAGCCGAGGGTGGGTGATGAACCCCTGATTTTCATACGGAGTTCAATCTAAACGGCACAAGTTGCGCAGCATAACAACCAGGACAGCTGTTGGGTGATCCTCTACGGCAAGGTCTACGATGTGAGTTCGACATTATGTGCATATATCATGGAAAATACTGACTGCGAAGGTCACGCAACTAATCGACAATCATCCCGGCGGCGCCCAAGCGATTCTCAACTTAGCCGGCAAAGATGCCACGGAAGAATTTGATCCCATTCACCCTAGGGAGACTATGGAAGCTCTCCAGCCATCCCTCATGGGCTCTCTAGACCCTGCCGATAGGTCACAGATCATGTCTGAAGAAGCATCAGCCAAATCCATGAAATCCGGCAACGTCAACGCCCTCCTCAATCTCGACGACATCGAGCAAGCCGCAACTGAAGTAGCCAGCAAAAAGGCCTGGGGCTACTACTACTCCGCCGCAGACGACAAGATCTCCAAGAATTTGAATTCGGCAGTTTACCGCTCGATTCTCCTGCGGCCGCGTGTCTTCGTCGACGTCGCAGACTGTACCGCCCGAACCAGCTTCCTCGGCCACAAAGTCAACCTCCCGGTTTTCGTTGCGCCCGCTGCCCAAGCACGGCTCGGACATCCGGCGGGCGAGGCCGGGATTGCAGCGGCGTGTCGGGCTTTCGGCGTTGCGCAGATCATTTCTAATGTCGCTTCGCAGTCGCCGGAGGAGATTGTTGCTGATGCCGCGCCGGATCAGGTCTTCGGGTGGCAGTTGTATATATAACGGGATCGGAAGGTGAGCGAGAAGATGCTTCAGCGTATCAATAAGCTCGACGCTATTAAGATGATTATTATCACCGTTGATACGCCGGTCCTGGGAAACCGGGAAGATGATCAACGGCGGGATATTCAAGGAGGAGTGGGCAGGAAGACTCCCAATTTCATAGACACTTCAGTTACATGGCGTGAGACGCTGGGGTGGTTATCCAAGATGACAGATAAGCCGGTCGTGATAAAAGGAATCCAGACGTATGAGGATGCTTTGCTGGCTGCGCAGTATTCTTATTTGGTCAAGGGAATTATTCTTTCTAATCACGGGGGCAGATCCCTCGATACGGCTCCGCCTGCTGTTCACACACTTTTGGAAATTCGGCGATATTGTCCTCAGGTTTTCCAGAAAATTGATGTCTGGGTCGACGGGGGCATCAGACGAGGGACCGATGTGGTGAAAGCGCTGTGTCTCGGTGCCAAGGCTGTTGGCATCGGTCGTGCGCCACTCTGGGGCCTGTCAGCCGGAGGCGTGCAGGGCGTTGAAAGAGTACTTCAGAGTAAGTCACCCTCGATGGGGTTAGATGGCCACACGCTTACTTTCTTTCAGTTCTGTCGGATGAGATACATAATTGCATGTGTTTTCTGGGAGTTAAGACTATTGACGAGCTGAGTCTTAAACATGTAAGAAACCTGTTGTTAATCCAAGTGGCTCGCGCTGACAGCAATCTTAGGTGAATACGAGCATGGTCGAGCACCAGCTGTATAATGAGTCTCCAGATCTAGATATGGAGGGTTCTGGATCCAAGGCAAAGCTTTGAAACTGGTTTTAGCCATGGTTCTCGATATAATCTTAGCATCCCGTTCAATCAGGGCTTTGTAAGAAGGCCTTTCGTTCTTTGTTCAGGACCGTGGAACAGTCAACTAGGCGATCAATGGATAGATCCAAGATAGGCAATACATACTAAACTCCTGTGACCGACACATTTTCCAAAACTATTATCAACTAATGAGATAGGGACATCAAAAAAGATGATCGTCAGCACATATACCTGGATAACGTCGACCCCTCTATATGAAAGCAGATCTCGATAACCTGCAGCTCCCCTCTTTTTTCAAGTACCTGAGGTTTTAAACAACCTTGTCGGGCCGGTGTTTCATGTGTGTCAATAGTGGCCTACGTTAGGAACAGGAAGAACCTGTGAAGGGCTAAAGTAAGACTTGATTTAATCTATACTAGGCCACGAACTATATTCGATAAACGTAAGGAAAGGAGTTTAATATACCGGTCCTCCGCTATCATTGAGTTCTTGATTTCAGATAGTAAATCCGGAAACCAGCTCGACTAATCCACAATTTGTGAGTTTTACCTAGTCTCCGTGCCATATGCATAGTGCGGAATAATCATTGAATGTCCTATTTAGAGGTATAGGGGTTA